GAGGCCAGAAAAACTTCCAAATCGTCAGCATAGCTTAGTAATTTGAAGACCGGTGGATAGTACCATTGGATAGGGCTGTCGTCTGCTCCAGTATCCGGATGCCGAATGATTGGAGGATTGGCCATTAAAGATATTTGTGTTGAGAAAGGTGACAGTGACACTCCCTTAAGAGAAGAGGCCAAAATAGTACATAGAAATGGCTGGAACATCAGATTGAAGAGCAGAGGCGACAAGGGGTCTCCTTGGCGTAGTCCACGTCCTTGTAATAAAGGCTTTCCCAGAAAACCATTAATTGAAACGGAGATGGCCGTTGAGAAAAATAAGGACATTAGTGCTGAGATAAGATGAGGAGGAAAGTTGAACCGTGACAGAACCAGTCTGAAATATTGAGGATGCACCCGATCGTAGGCCTTTTCCTGATCGAGCAGGACGGCTACAGCTTCGGAAGCACGGGGATAGGAACTTAGGCGGAAACTATCCATCAATGTAATATTCACTCATCCATTATCTGAAATCAAGCGATGTGGCATAAAGCCTGTCTGATATGGGTTGGTTAACTGAGGAAGAACCATATTAAAATGATTCGCGAGAAGTTTGGTAAAGAGCTTAGCATCGGAATTGATAAGTGACAATGGTCGCCAATTACTCAAGGAGGAAGGGTCACCCTTCTTAAACAGCAACACTATCCTAGTTTGTTTCTAAGACAAAGGAATATTACCATGTAAGGCCTCATTCAAAACGGTCAAGAACAGAAGTTTAGCCTTGGGGAATTTGTAGATTAGAAACTTGTAAAGTTCGAAAGGCAAACCGTCCAAGCCAGGACTCTTTTGGTTGGGAGTATGATTCACTACGTCTAGCAATTCTCCGGTAGTGAAATCAGCGCCCACAGTATGTGATGCCTGTTCTTCTAAGATGACATCTTCTGGTATATTGGCTAAAAGAGTGTCCACTGCTGCTAAATCAATGTCCTCTGGGGCATATAAATGACTATAGAACCGGTGGGCCTCTTGTAAAATCTCGGGCGTGGTTTCCTATAGTTTACCACTGACGCTACATCTTAGGTGATGAATAGTCTGCCGCATTTGACGTGATTTGATAACCCTATAGAAATACTTGGTATTTCGTTCCCCTTGCTCATGCCATCTGGTAGCGGAACGAAGTAAAACTTTGTTCATTTCGTCCTTGGCCTCCTTATCTAAGGCATCGTTCAGCTGTTTTATCACGGCCTGTTGGCGAGTGTCATTTTGGAGATCACTGGAGATGGATCCGGCAGACAGCAATTGCTGAAGCTCCTGCTGTAGCTTTTGGAGGCGGTTGCGTCTATGCTTTTGAAAGCCACGAGTGAAACTTTCACTGGTATCTTTCAAGGCACGTTTCAGACTTTCCCACGTTTGTTGAGCAGTTTGTTCACCAAGCGACTCAACAGAGGCGAAAAAGGAGTTAACGACATCTGTTAACAAAGCTACGAAAGTATCATTCTGCAGTAGAGAAGTGTTAAAGCGCCAAAATCCGGGGCCAATATCATGCCTTTCCAGAAGTAGATCAGTTTGTAGTAATTGGTGGTCTGTCCATGAAGCAGGTAAATATGTCTTTTGGCAGTTGGATATTCGAGGCTGATGGTTTTTGCTACAAAAAATATAGTCGATGGTGGAGGTTTGAGAGCCTCGGTGAAACGTAGGTTGACCGGCCAAAAAGCAATTGTCGAAATGCTCTAAAAGCCATTGATGCCAGGAGACAAAACGAGGGTCGTCACAGGTCTCATCGAGCTTCAACAGATTTAAATTAAGATCCCCCATTATTATGGAAGGTGACTCTGCATGACCCGTAGACGCGAATGGTGAGGACATAAATTGTTCTAAAAAAGGTAGTCTGTTGGAGGATTGTGCAGGGCCGTAGATGTTGGTAATAGAGCATTCTACTTGTTGTAGAGTTTGATTATATACTGTTGCACGTATGCACCGCTCATCAAGTGAAACGGTAGCATCCTGAAGTGTGAGGTTTTTGTTTAAGCATATAATGGCAGAATATTTAGTGAATAATACGGAGCAGTTGGGAAAAAGATAAGATTGAAAGTAGCTGTTTTGTTGTTGCGTGAGATGATCTTGTAGGTGGAAGGCGGAGACTTCCTGTAAACATAAGACATCCAAAGAAAGAGATGATGATTTGAGGTAAGATAAGAACACTCGTTGATTGTTTTTATCTGCATCCTTGAAAATGCTACAGGCATTTAAAGATGCAATACGCACATGGTTTTTACTCATGGCCCTTACGGGCGATCGTATCAGAGGAGCTCGACTGAGCTTTCTCACTATTTATATCGGAAGACTTATCTTTGATAGTGGTAGACACAGTTGGACGCTTCAAAATCTTCTTGGGAAGAACAAGCGGAGTGTCGACATCCATGGTTAGGCGTTCGTGCATCGGAGCGTATTTAGAGTGCAGGGTTCCTAAAGACGGGAAATCAGTGTTAGTTGATTGCTCTGCATCAAGAGCAATTGTTCCTATATCTGGGGTGGACCTCAAATGGGATTCTATCCCGTATTCAAGCATGTGTGCGTCCTGATCCTCGGACAAATGTACTGGCTGAGTAGCACTAGTGTTGATATCCCTTATCTCATCAATATCCAATGCCACGGTTGACTGCGAGTTGTTCTCATCTTTAGATGTCTGTTGTGATGTAATAGTTTCATAGACATCTAAATCCTCAGTAAACGAGGTTTCTTTTTGTGCAGGTTCTGCTAAAAGGGGCTCTACGTCGGGGACACAGCAACGATGCTGAGTGTCCATGACCACCACAACGGAAGCAGACTAGTTTTTGTAAAGTTGGGCAATCTTTTTCAACATGCCCTTCTTTACGGCAGTAGTAATAGATGGGCTTTGCACCTTTGTAACTAACTGGGACCGGACGTCCCAGGCTTTTAAATACAGCATACGCTGCAGGGCTTGATATGACGGCGACCCGTTAGCTACTTGACAGTTGAGCAAAACAGAAATATCTCCTTCGAAGAAACCATGATTCAACCGTTGCTTGATTTGAAGCACCCGGCCATAATTGGACATTGACTCCTTGAGCTTGTCAATCAGCTCTTCAGACTCTGCTCCGTAGGGCAATGTCATGGTTACACGACAATGATCATTGGCTTCAGTCCTGTCCTTGTAGGGATATGCCTTATACTGCACACCGTTGTGCGTTATACCCTCCTCTAAGGCGACACGAGTACATTGAGCGTCTCTAAAACGGGTATAAAAAACCAAATCCCCGCGTGTACGGTTGCCACGGAGTGATACCGGGTTAAAGTAGTTGCCCACGACCGGTCCAATCTGATCGATTACTAATTTAAAAGCTTCAGATTGATGTTCAAGCAATCTGCTAGGTAAGCTAAATATTACAGCTCCGGGCATAAGAGCGGTCTGTACAATGGATTGTATACGCTGAGAACGGAGGTATTCAGCGACCTCAGGGTCTTCGAAAATAGTTTCGACAGTGTACAACTCTTTTTTTCCTGAAATATCAAACTGACTTCGAGGAAGGGGTACTTTGGTTTTTAAACCTTTGGACACGATGGTTTTCCAGTTAGCCCCATGCTTGGTTTGTGATTCGATCGTCATGGGTTGATCGATGACTAGAGATCTTGAATGTAGAGATGTAGTTGTTGGATGTAAATGCTGCAATCTGATTGGTCAGTTCAATAAATGTACTGAATAGACGGAAGAAAGGCCCTTCGTATTTGAGGCATGATGGCAATATGTTATATGAGTAAATCACTCAAAACGTCTAACGAAATGTAAAATAAAACTTGATCTCAGATATGAGTACTGCTCATATCTTCGTTCCCGCTTAGTAAGCAGTGTGTTCGATTGCATACATTTGAACCTTTAGATCAAATGTATAACAACAAATATAAAATAAGAAAAGAATATGGATTAAGGATAATTCTTATGGGAGATTAGCTACATCACATAAGATTTGAACAGGTTATCTTTATGAAATATATTTTACATAGATTATCTATGACTATATGACATTTAGGTATATAGCAGGATTGGTATATGTACTCGTAGGGTATATTGATTCAACAACCAGATCATAGTAGGTCATAGTACTGCTCCCTGCTCTGGAAATAAAGTATGGTTGGAGATAAAAAGGCTCAATCACTCTTTATTAACACAACAACGGTTCTCACAATCAAAATGATACCACGCACGAATATCTCTTCCTAGCTAACATCTATAATCATCCCCACAGTATCTGAGCTACACAACTGGTGGCCGATAGATATTGGATTATAGATGTAGCTGCATGATCACCCTGGATCTGCCAGGATAGCACATTACAAATCAATCCGCTCTGGGATGGACGAGTAATGATCCACTTAAAGGGAAGACCTATTCTTTTACGGAAACCTCTGATTCACTGAGTATTATCTGAACATAATACATCAATGTCAGCTATAGATCTTGATACAATCATTTCGTAGACAGCAAACACAATAAGTCTTTATTAATAGCAGTAATTTTAGTTTTCTTTTCTTTTTCTTTAGTTTGTTTTTGAAAGAGAAATAAAGACGGTGGTTTGATTTCGTTAAGCTTTCGTGTTTATTTTCTCTTGTGTTATTCTTTACCTTTTATCTTATAGTTAAAACTAGCGAATACCACAGTACTTCTATTTATATTTGTGGATATTGTAAAACACTTTTTCTATCGGGGCCCTTGAATAGAAGATGACCTGATGATAAAAGAAAGACATATCCAAATGCTATTATACGGCTAATCGTGACAGAGCGGTGCCTTGACCGATTGGATCGTTAACATGAGGTAAGTGTGTTGATCTGACTAAAAGTTTCTTTGATCCGTAGTCTCTTATTTTAGCATTATATAATAATCTAAGCATAATCTGATGTTGGATACAACAAAATTGACTGAGATATTTAGCAGTTTCGAAGGAAAACAGTTCGACCATTATATATAATCCATCTATATGGAAAGAAATATAGAAGCCTACGTCACGAGAAATGGTGCGGTAGATTACAAGAAAAGTTAAAAACTTTTTATCAGCCTGCAACTCTTACCAACAACTTGTACTGTAATTATGGAGTTTTTACTGCTTTGATTTTCCAACGCATCTTTACAGAAGGCGATGAGTCGAATCATATCCTTATGTTGTTTTAGGGAATTGCTTTTTTCTGCTTTTATTTCAACTAATCCAACTGAACCAGCAGACCTCCTTTGGTTCATTTTCTAAATGTGACCATCTGGTCGTCTGGTTTCTGTGTCCTGAGTTTGCTTGTTTAACCTAATTTAGTAGAAAACATTTACAAAAGACTACCAATTAGTTAATGTAATGTTAGACAGTACATAATATTCGCATACCATCGAAAAAAGATGTTAACTTCTGGATCGTGAAACATGGGGTACACAATAGGATCAATATAATTTCCTTACAGTTCTGCTTGCTCCCCGTCTGCCATCTTGGGGACGGAAATCCTACAGAAAGATAAAAAAACAATTATCAGCATTCAAATAATGTATAAAGATAATCTTTTTTTTTTTAAAAAAAACAACTTTCACTATGTCTTACCCATAATATTTCTGAAATTTCGTTATACAAATTATTATCGAATTTCACATTCGAATCCATGTATGCAGCGATTATAGTGTTTCGAAGTTTATCCAAATTTGCGGCTCCAAAATGAGCGATTTGTTGATCGCTATACTCATTTTCTTTCAAAAATAGAACATCCGATAGGCATCGATGAATCATTGTTAATAGTGATCTTCTTCTTTGCGACTAAGAGAATTCAGCTTACACAATCTTGTAAAGGTTGCCATCGACGTAGAACCTCTTTTCTTCGCTACGAGCTCAGCTGCCTTTTTATATTGAACGAATTGATCCAACAAATTTGGAAAGCCCTCATCAAATCTATTCACCTTCATCAAACGTATTGGCATTCTCATGGGCACCTCGTTAGCAGCACAGGATTTGATTAAGCTTGGGTATCGTTCAGCTTTGACATAATCTCCCATAACTAAATAAATCAAGGTTTTTATTGCAAGTTTGACAACGGTTAAGTAAAATCTGACATTGCTGATGGTTTTATTCACTGTTGTGTTAAAAAAAAAGATGAAAGCAGATTATTTTCAAAATATTTGCTTGTTTGATACAAATGCTTACTTTAGTTAAGTCAATGAACATGAATTTAAGTGTCTTTATTATTCTAGGGAAGAAAGATTGATTGCTGATGGGAACTTTCAGGAACTCACAAAAAAAGACTCAATATATTAATCAGAGCTTTTGCCATACTATAGAAAGGATCTGCTTTTTATTGAGCGGAGACGCCCATACGCCTTTTGAGACTACAAAACTTGGAAAAGACAAGGCGAGCCATGGCAAAGTACAAGCTTCTTGACGAAGAAGCCAATGCTCGCAATGAAGTACCAGCACCTATGGCAAGAAAGGTGAACCGTAATTTTACAATAATGTTAGACGAGGATAATCAGCTGAGATAGCTGGATGTCAATAGTGTTGTATCCAAGATACAACTATACGTCTTAAACTACAGAACGACTTCAGTACCTGCTTGGCAATCTGATACACATCTACTTTGACACCCGCTTGCGGCTAAGATCTTATCATTCTCATGATAGTTTTAGTTCAGTTGTATTAATAGTTGAATACCCGTTAATAACCCCGTTTCTCATATAAAAGTATCATTCTCAACAAACTTGAATAAAGAGTATCTTTGTTGTGTCTGGTCATTTTACTGTCTTATTTTATTTTATAAGTCTTTTAAAGTAACTGGATATATCAAATAGCATTATAATTGACTCAGCCGTCGATAGAACAGATGGTAGTCAAATTTACTCATCTAAAGTTCAGGTCTTGATTGAGTCACATTAAGAGTGCATGTATTTTTTGATGGGCTGTGGTGCTCTTGTATCGATTATACCTTTAAGTCTGGTGAAACGGTTGAGTAAACAGGATAACAGTAACTCCACGACGAAAACCCCAAAGTATGCCAATGGAGAAATTGAAAGACACAATTAGCCTGAAGTTGTATCTTGTTGACTTATTGACCGTTAAGCATACCTTTTATGTTGCAAACGATGATTGCAGTCCACCCATTCCAAGAATCGATTTCTTAATGGACACAATTGCCTTTATGATTCGTTGTAACAGATTATACGGTTCAGGGGTTTTCAAGGGCAGAACTTATGCGAGGTACACAAATTTTATAAGGAGGATTACCTAGACAGTTCTGATAGGGAGAAGAGCGTAATGCCTTTCAAAGTTAATGATAATAAATCGAAAAATGCTGAAGTATATAGTAAAGAACCTGGAGGTTGAATTAGTGCATTCACAGTTGACAAGATCTAGCGTTGGAACCAGCCGCATCAATATAGTTAAACTAAGATACTAATGCATGTTGCGTTTGCGGATTTATCACTTCAAGTTTAAGAGGTCGATGAAGGCTATCTGCTGCAAAGTCGAAAGTGGGATTCAAAATTCTAAAATAACAGCAGAGAATTTCTTAAAACCGTAAGATTATTCAGCAACACAATACATTGTGTTGGTCAACAGCTAATTTTACCACGGAGGCGAGAGTTTTTCGCCGAAATGCTGCATAGAAGTTTTAAGACAATCGCTTTATTAAGAGAATCTGGCCAACACTTGAAGAGGAACACAAGTGTCTATGCGGCAATAAATGGAAGTCCTTGCCGGTGCAGTTCTTATTTTCATTAGTTTGAAGAGCTGCTGGAAACTTCAGGCATAAGGCTTAGAAACAACCAAAAGAATAGAAGAGCTTCTCTTCTTGTAAACTTAGGTATAATGAATTTTATCCATCATCAGTGACACGATTTTGAATCATTGATATAAATGTTATTGAAATCAATACAATATAAGTGTAAGCCTTGATTAGTATTTCTTCAACGCTTGCATTGATGCCCCAGTACTAGCAAGATTTTGATTCTAATGAGCTTTTCCCTGCTTGCCTTTAAATTTGAAGTAGCCCAAATCTGTCCATAAAATTGTCTCCAGAGCACTAGGAGAAAAGAGTATTTAGTAAAAATGATAATAAGTTGGAAGCAGAATTAAACGCTTACTTACTGCAATCAACAGAGGAGTTGCACATTACGCAATAGCAGATTCCTTTTCCGAATGAAAAAAAAAAAGAGGGCGCAGAAACAAACGTCTACATGCTACCAGCAAAGGAGCTGAACAACCTACCCAAAGCTGGATTCCTTTTCCGAAAGAAAGAATATATGAAAAATAGAAAGAAAAAGGGCGCAGAAACGAATGCTTACATGCTACCAGCAAAGGAGCTGAACAACCTACCCAAAGCTGGATTCCTTTTTCGAAAGAAAGAATATATGAAAAATAGAAAGAAAAAGGGCGCAGAAACGAATGCTTACATGCTACCAGCAAAGGAGCTGAACAACCTACCCAAAGCTGGATTCCTTTTTCGAAAGAAAGAATATATGAAAAATAGAAAGAAAAAGGGCGCAGAAACGAATGCTTACATGCTACCAGCAAAGGAGCTGAACAACCTACCCAAAGCTGGATTCCTTTTTCGAAAGAAAGAATATATGAAAAATAGAAAGAAAAAGGGCGCAGAAACGAATGCTTACATGCTACCAGCAAAGGAGCTGAACAACCTACCCAAAGCTGGATTCCTTTTTCGAAAGAAAGAATATATGAAAAATAGAAAGAAAAAGGGCGCAGAAACGAATGCTTACATGCTACCAGCAAAGGAGCTGAACAACCTACCCAAAGCTGGATTCCTTTTTCGAAAGAAAGAATATATGAAAAATAGAAAGAAAAAGGGCGCAGAAACGAATGCTTACATGCTACCAGCAAAGGAGCTGAACAACCTACCCAAAGCTGGATTCCTTTTTCGAAAGAAAGAATATATGAAAAATAGAAAGAAAAAGGGCGCAGAAACGAATGCTTACATGCTACCAGCAAAGGAGCTGAACAACCTACCCAAAGCTGGATTCCTTTTTCGAAAGAAAGAATATATGAAAAATAGAAAGAAAAAGGGCGCAGAAACGAATGCTTACATGCTACCAGCAAAGGAGCTGAACAACCTACCCAAAGCTGGATTCCTTTTTCGAAAGAAAGAATATATGAAAAATAGAAAGAAAAAGGGCGCAGAAACGAATGCTTACATGCTACCAGCAAAGGAGCTGAACAACCTACCCAAAGCTGGATTCCTTTTCCGAAAGAAAGAATGTAGAAAATAGAAAGAAAAAGGGCGCAGAAATAAACGCTTGCTTACCATCAACAGAGAATTTGCACACTTCGCCATGCTGGACAATAGAAGGGAAAGGGTGTTCTTCGATATCACTCAGCTTCTTCTGCTTGGCTATCCATGAAAATTGATTCTAGAGCACTAGGAGAAAAGAGCAATTAGTAAAAATAATAATAAGAAGTTGGACGCAGAATTAAACGCTTACTTACTATCAACAGAGAATTTACACACTTCGCCATGCTGGACATTAGAAGGGAAAAGGGTGTTCTTCGATATCACTCAGCTTCTTCTGCTTGGCTATCCATGAAAATTGATTCTAGAGCACTAGAAGAAAAGAGCACTTAGTAAAAATGATGGTAATAGGTTGGACGCAGAAATAAACGCTTACTTACTGCAATCAACAGAGGAGTTGCACACTACAATAGCAGATTCCTTTTCCGAATGAAAAAAAAAAAAATAGAAAGAAAAAGAAAGAAATAATAATGATGACGAAAATTGAAGCCGGATTATTTTTTGCGGCCCTTGTTGACTTTAAGTGCCTCGACTAAAGAAATAATACGTCATCATAATCTTGTAAATACTGTTAGTTGTTCATTCTCCTCTTTTGTAATTGCTGCGACGAATAACCAAATCAGTATTCCATAATTATGCTTACAGATGTTGGCCATTACATATCATTGCATAAATAAAGCTATCCACATACAGATTTACAAAAATTCTTCAATATTTTTGCATTTTGCATTTCTTCACTCTAACGAGATATTACCCGTTAGGTTAAGGAGCAATATGACATATACCGTTCGCATAAGTTTTGGCGCTATCGTAGCACTTCAACTGCCATTAAGACTATAGATTGTTGCTATGCCGAACCGGGCATTTTTAGAGAAATTTATGAGTCGCCTAAAGAGCTTTCAAAAAAAAAACGCAAATGAAAGGGGATTGAGGGTAAAGTTTAGCTTCTTGTATTTAGCAAAAACAAGCCTTACCATGTTTGTTTTTTCTCTAAAAATAAAGTCTACTGTTAGTAATTCCATCGATTACCGTTAACTGCATTTCAACTACATTAACACTAATTGCGAGATGAAAAACTATTCCTTACAACAAGGAAATGGATATTATCCCCAGACTGAGTGGAATGATTCTCATACAAATATTGCCAAGTCGCTAGGCATTTTGCTACAACAGTTGAAAGGATTGTTACTGATATGGCTTGTGCATCTATTGGCAAGAAGAACAGGCCTGCAAAGATCAGCGCATTACTTGGTCGAAAGATATTTATTATTCTACACTGTGCAATTTATTACTGTGGTTGAGACTGCCCAAAACATTCAAGGACAAGGCTATGAAATCTGCGCAAACAATACGCAGATTCCTCAATTCATCTGATTTCAAATCGAAGATCGAGAAGTTGGCATTGCACTTGAATATTTGATTATCGAACGATTCGGTTGAAACGGGCAGAGGCTCATAAAGTTGGAAGGTTGAAGACTGGAAGAAAGTTGGTTTCAAGACGAACTCAAAAAAAATCGCCTAAGCTCAGATAGAAAGACGTGGACGTGTATCAAGGAGGGAGAATATCTTTAAGCTCACAATGTCAACTATGCCCACAAAGGAAGTGGAGAAAACTTGATAGTGTGGAGCTGCTTCACTCAATAGGGCCCTAGTATTATTGCCAAGATAGAGGGCGGGATGGACGCCCAGTTATACTGTGAAATTCTGAACGGGAACTTTTTGGAGCCCTCAAGGATCATGGCCTACAGAAGAAGGACATCATGCTTCAACAAGATAATGAATCTAAACATACGGCCAAAGGAGCTAAGGAATGGTTAAAAAAAGTAAATTCCTGACCAAAATTCAATTGAGAATTTGTGGTTCAACTTGAAATCAAGCTTTGCATTATACGATAATGCACCGCAGAACCTTGGTGAGTTTTGGGAACGTGTGACCGATGTTTGATGTAGCGAAGTCACCCCGAATCATGCATGAAGCATATAGAAAGCATGCCCAAAAGAGTCGAATCTGTTATTAAGGCTAAAGTGGGTGCACGAAGCACTAAGTTATATAGTTCTCTCTTTTATACAAAAAAAGCACAATAAAAACCTAGTAAGACTTAGCAAATCTCAGCTTTCCCATCACCATATATAAAAGTCATGCAAAGGTTATTGTCAGTGGTATTATTAGAAAAGTAGGAACATGTTCTTTCATATATGTAAGCGTTGTATCATATTGGTATAAAGATTACTGTCAATATGAGCAAGAGAAGCTCAAACATGGCTCTTCCCCACTCCCAATGGAGCAGAAATGGCTTTGAAGGCCAGACGTTCACTCAAACCTCGCTTAAATGAACAGAATCAACTGATAAACGGTTGGGTATACAGGCCTTTTCACCATGGACATATTAAAAGGATTTTCTAATTTGAACTAGCAATCAGGAAAACGAACCAATAAACACCAGTGACAGGAACGTGTAACTTGACCCTTGATTGGTCGGACTGAGTAGTTGCGGTTAATATAAAGATTGCCCTACTATGGATTGGATATATATACTAGTTCTGAATGATTCTTATAGCGTACATTACAAGAACCTATAAAGAAGAGGATATGGTCGACATAATCTTAACTAATTACCAGAGTCGTATTGATAGATTGTAAATTTACAACAAAAAACTGGTACACCTCTTTTAAGACCTATAACAGGTGGAATCTGGAATAGAATAATATCTGTGGAATAGCAAATAAAGACATCTCTCTCTATAAGGTAACAGTTATAGAGATTACAGAAATTGGATAAGTCACCTTAACATCAATGTAGATTATAGTTTGAAGTATTAATAGATAATGCACGTGGATTAACCTGCTTGTGATATTATTGATATCAGAAGTAATGATTTAGTTTTAGTTAAAATGGAACAGTAGTTCTTTGGTGATTTTTATTTTGGTTTAAAATTTGGATGGTTTTTATTTGAATGCGAAGTAAAACTGAGCTTATAATGGAATTAAGAAAGTAGTAGGACAACTGAATAGTATTGTCCCTGTTAATGAATTGAACAACCCCACAGCGATATCTAGATTCTCGATAAGGTTGAAGTGTGCCTAATGAAAAATAATTTATTCCAGTGTGCCTGGAATTTTATTTGTTCCAGTACAACATAACTGGTAAAGGCAGTAAATCCGGATCGTTTCTCAGATTGTTATATAAACTGGAGGTCAGAATGTGGCACTGCTATTTAATTAAAACTATCAGTAATGAAGCGTACTTCTGTTTTGTCATGTAATATACAGCAGTGATATCTTCATCGATACAACAACCTCACAGATATAGCAGCTTTGAAATCTAGTATTAATCTGGAGTTCGACGGAGGGAACATAGAGAAAAATCAGTCTCTTACCTGAAACGACTCTATCAGCAACTAAGTACCCAACAATATATGGCTGGCGTTCGACGAGAAACATCTAGTGAAACAAAAGCTGTCTCGCAGCGGTCAGCTGTCAAAGAAAAGTTTAGTACAGCAGAAGGCCCGCATTCTTTTAGCTTTTCACAAACATTCCTACAATCAAACCGAAGTGTGCAACCATTTAGACGATAGATTTAATCTAAATGAATCAATACCATTGAGAAAGCTTTTTACATGCCACCATAAAATATCGCATATTCAGAGGGAAAAATGATCCAGCATGCACGCAATAATTGATCGAACAGTATTAGAGAAGAAAGAGATTGTGATAAGCCGATGGCTAATGTATAACTTGGTACCAAGAAGGCGTTCAAATTGTAACAACAAGAATGGTGATAAAAGTGGCATATGAAAATATAGCAATGGCGAACCATTTGTAACAAAGACAACGACAATAGTGATAATGACAATGCTATAAATGTTCTTTCATGTTTCTGTACATTCAAATTCTTTTTGGACTTTATATTCAAAGCATTAAATGAGCAAAGCTAATTTGAATTGCTAATAAGGACACTGACCATAGTATGAGATTATTGACAATTTGTAATAAGGAACTTGCGCCAGTGGTTGGTCTAGGCGATCCTGGATGATTGCAGTTTTCAAACCATGTTCTGAGATAGAAAATCGTAAAAAACACCATTTTTGCTTTCTGCGATTTTTGAATTAGAACCGTGTGGAACCATAAAACCGCTATACACGACTTCATTTTTTAAGATTTTTATTTTCAAGACGTCATGTCGTTCTGGAAGCCAGGAACTGTTGCTCCAGGTAAGCTGATCTATCTTGTAATGGTGCACTGTCTTCAGCTTCTTATATATCTCCTACATTTATTTGTGCTTTAACACATACAAAGGTAATAATGTTGATAGAGACGCAGAAAACGGCGCTGAAGATTTCGTTCTAGCTCCTGTCGACAAACAATATCGACATCTGACAATAAAACAACAAAGAGAGCGGCTTCCAGTTTTTAAAGTAAGAAAGGAACTTTTGTATTTAGTCGAGACATACCAAACAGTGATAGTGGTGGGTCAGACAGGTTCTGGCAAAACTACACGTAAGGCATTGCGAAATGGTGGTCGATTGCAATTTTTTTATACTCATCAATTCCTCTTAACCTTCAATATACCGTAGAGATCCCTCAGTACCTTAATGAGTCTGGTTGGGCGGGTAACGGCAAACAGATAGCTTGTACACAGGTAATCCATCTGAATCATCAAAAGGAAAAGGATTCTTTGTGTATATCGATTCTTACTCTATTTCTAAAATCTGAAATAGCCTCGAAGAATTGCTGCAACATCCGTAGCTCAAAGAGTAGCAGAAGAAATGAATTGTAGCCTGGGTGCGGATGTTGGTTATTTGATTCGATTTGATGACCAAACGAGCGATAAGACAAGAATAAAGTATATGACTGATGGTATGTTATTTCGGGAGGCAATGATAGATCCCCTCCTGGCGAACTACAGCATTATAATGATTGATGAAGCACACGAAAGAAGTTTGTATACAGATATACTTATCGGCATTGTCAAAAAGTGAAGTATATGAGTTTGTGATTGGATCACATTGATGGAGACGTCCATTGTACAGTCTGTAGCTAACCAATAAAGCACTTGGTTATTACATTTAGGATACAGAAGAAGCGGCCTAACCTGAAAATCATTATATCGTCAGCAACAATGGATGCAGAGCAGTTTTATCGCTTTTTTAACACAAATTCAACAAACGACCCTTCAAAAGACACAGCTAAAATCATATCCTTGGAAGGAAGAATGTTCCCTATCGACATTTTGTATTTAAACGAACCTGTTATTGATTATGTCGAAAAGTGTATTCAAACCGTATTCGATATCCATGTTAAAGAGAGAACTGGAGATATATTAGTGTTTATGACTGGTAGAGAGGAAATTGATAATGTTGTAGCCGAGATTTACGAGCGAGGGAAAACATTACCGGAAAATAGTTTGGCTATCATGCCTCTTCCGCTTTATGCTGGCCTTACAGTGGAAGAGCAGATGCAAGTCTTTGAACCTACACCGAAATACACACGAAAAGTGATTGTATCCACCAATATAGCAGAAGCATCGGTTACTCTCGAAAATGTCGTATATATAATAGATCCTGGCTTTGTCAAGGTAGGATATTACGATCATAAATTAGAATATTATGGACCTAACGATATTATAATCTCAAGGTACGAGCATACAATCCAAAAACCGGAATGGACACACTGGTTGTTACACCCATTTCAAAAGCATCGGCTTTACAAAGAGCGGGTAGAGCAGGTCGTATCAAACCAGGAAAAGCCTTTAGATTGTATACTGAAGAGACGTACAATTCTTTGAGAGATACCAGTATACCGGAGATCCAGAGGTAAACCACTTATACAAATTTAAAATCCTAATGTGATGAAGAAACACTTATCAGCATGCATATCCATCAATAGGAGCAATTTAGCACCTATTATATTGCAACTGAAGGCTTTGGGTATTGACAATGTACTTCGATTTGATTTCATCACTCCGCCACCTGCTGAACTTATGATAAGAGCATTAGAATTACTTTATTCGTTAAAGGCTTTGGACAAGGTTGGACGATTAACTATACCCTTAGGCATGCAACTTGCTGAATTCCCCGTTGATCCCATGCTGGCCAAAATTCTCTTAGCCTCGAAAGACTTTAAGTGCAGTCATGAAATTGTCACTATTGCAGCTATGATGTCTGTTCAAAATGTATTTATCACACCACCAAACATACCTAAAGATATAATTCAAGAAGCTCGGCGTAAATTTTGGGTAGAAGAAGGGGATACGCTTTCTTTGATCAACGTCTATAATGCATTCATAAACAAGGGCAATAAATCCGGGAAATGGTGTCACGACAGGTTCCTAAACTTCAAAGCATTGTCAAGAGCAATGGCGATCCGATTGCAATTGATCAAATACTTGAAACGATTTGATATACCTTTGGTGAGCGCGACTTCCAAATACCCAAATACAGCAGAGGGCCGACTTGCAGCAAGTGCAGACGTCAGAAAGTGCATTGCTAGTGGCTATTTTTCACAAGCAGCGATCGCTGAACCGGATGGAAGTGGACGGTTTAGAACGATACGTGACGGAGTACTTTTGAGTATCCATCCTAATTCAGTTCTCTTCAACCGTAAACCGAAATGTGTCGTATTTAAAGAAGTAGTGGAAACGACCCAAGCATATATGCGCGACCTAACCTTAATTGAGCCAGATTGGTTAGCTGAATTGGCACCTCATTTTTATGAATACAAATCCACTGTTAAATAAAATTGTTGGAGTTGAGGCAGACACTTTTTTTCTTTTTTTTTTTTTGGTTTGTTTTTCAGGAAAAGGAAGAAATGAATCGCTTAGCAACCATTACCACCTTCGTTGCCTTTTATTGTTATTGTTATTATAGTTGTTATAATTGTTATTATGGTTGTTACTATAATTATTGTTGTTATTATACATATCAGGACGGAAAAGTGGGGGGCCATTATCTTCCGCTGTATTGCTATAGGCTGCATTTGCAGGCCTGAAGGGCGGTAATTCATGCTTCAACTGTTGTGCATTCTGCTGCATATTATGAGGTCTGAATGGAGGAGGTTCAATAAACTGTTGTCTCAAATGATCGTCACCACCGCCCTTAACCGCTGCTGACGCAGACTCATCGTCTTGGTGCTGGCTAGAATCGAACTTATCTACGGTCAATTCACCCGGCCGAGGACGCGTCCAAAAGCGTGTTGTGTGGTCATTCGAGCCACTCACGAGTATATGGCCAACAGGATGCCAGTCCAACGACCATACATTCGATTCATGGGCTGCTTCTTGCTCACCTAGAGGTTGGTCTTGCCCTGTCATCCAAAACATAAGTGAGCCATCTGATCCACCTGTAGCTAATAATCGCTCATGCTGTGGATGCCATTTCGCGGCTAACGGTAGTGTTTCATTAATAATAAAGTAGGAAACTGCAACTGTTCATGATAGCATCACTTACAGCAAATTTCTTTTTTGTGCCCTCTAAATATCTGCAATTCTGACATTGTACGAATGTCATAAACCTTGACCAGTTGATCTCTGCCTGCGGTAACCAACCAATTACCATTCTGATTCCATTGTAATGCCAGAACTGTGTTTTTATGTCCATGCCTTGAGGTGAAAGATAACTTAATTGTTAAATATACTACTAGCAAATTTATGGCTACCTTAATAATGTGCATTCGATCACTTACATTGTCGTGATATTCTTCCCTGATTTGGGATCCCATAACTTTATGAGGTTATCTTTACTACCAGATGCAAGCAATGCCTTGTACGGATGCCAATCAACACATTTTACATCCCAGCCGTGTCCTGTTAACTGTTTTTCTTCTGTACCAGTATTAAAATCCCAAATTTTAATTAATGAATCATCTGAGCAAGTAGCAAAACGGGTATCGGAAGGTGCAAATGTTAGGTCACGTATGGCTTCCTTATGACCTTGGAACATCTTCAAGTTGCTCATATTTGATTGCCAGTATTTGATGATACCACTATGATCACCAGTTACCATCCAGTTATCATTGTGCGACCAGTTCATCGCACGGACTGCTGAATCGTGTGCTTGTAAAATAGTTTCAAAGTTGAATGTAAGACCGTTCCATAATGTGAATTCACCACTGGAAGACCCTGTAATTAGTCGTCGTCCTTCAGGTGTCCACTGTTGTTCATTTAAAAGATAGGTTCAGAGAGGTTAGTTAGGTTAACCTATTTGGCATATCACGTCTTCCGAGGCCTTTATCAACAGCATCGATTAACTTACTCGGACTACGTTGACAGGAAATCTGATTTTATTGGTTGAGGTATGGATAAATTTGGTTGTAACAGCGTTGACAGGGTTATCAAGATAGGCAGCAGGCGGTAGTAACTACAAGTAGTCAAGGCAAAACGATAGTTTGTTACTCGCTTCCAATTTCCCGGGCAAAAGTATCTGCAATATTGTAGTACTCTCTTACGTTGACAATGAAGTTAGGATCGGGCCTTAGAAAGCGGCTATCCCTTCTATCACGAATCCATATACGCTCCTGCAGTTAATATGGTTGAATGTATTTCGTCAGGTGAGAAAAGAAAAATAATACACATTAGAAACATGTTCAAAGTATCAGAATCAAATGTAGATTAAATAGGGATATTTGTTCCCAAAATAAATGTTTCACGTAGTTAAGAAAAGCTTAGAAAAGCATTATAGCTTGTAACGAATTTTGAAAGCAGAAGAACAAAGCTATCTGTTTTTATTGAAGGTAAGTTGTAAGGAACGAATCTAACCTGCATCCATCGAGCAACGCTATGATTATAATCAACTGTTCTTCTTTGGATCGCTTTTCTCATTCTTTTGCCATCAAATACCATTTTTGAAAATGGTATATTTCCTCCCATTTGACGTCGTCCAGCGTTATTACCAGAGTGTCCATCGTCATTCCATCGGTGTGAAGGTGCTTCCATTATGTTTTTGAAAAAGAGATCTGTAATGTATAAAAAGTTGCTGCAGGTTTTCCATATCTAACTGCCGCGGTTTAAATTTTCTCCCACAAAAAAAAAAAAAAAAAAAAAAAAAAAAAGAGGATTTCAGTCGCGCTTGAAAGAATTATCGCAGAAAGACAAGTCCTTTTGATTTTTACGAAGATATCTGGTATTCTCTGCATCGGTTGCTTATCACCACAGTCTTAAAGCAAATTTAAGAACATTTAGAAAATCACATAAAAGGTTTTGAGATGATTTATCACAAGCTTCCACAACTTTTCTTCAAAGTGTTTCTTTGTCAAGTATTGCGTCTTTTATTATACTTTTGGTGACGAACCTAAAAAAAAAACCTTAATGAATACGGGGAAAAATATACAGCTCCAAAGCTTCAATTGCTAGCAAGTTCTTATATCATTGATTGTATGTATAAAGCAGTTACCCAGTAATTACTTACGGGTGTATAAACGACCTTTGGATAATTCTCCTGTGCCTTTCGTTATCCAATTCGCGCTTTTAAGTAAGTTATACCTTTCTAACTGGTATCTCAAAAAAAGTACGTATTCTTATTCCATGTTAGTCACTCAGATAACAGAAAAATCGTACGTATGGCATCTCATGTTCTTCCCTCAATCACAACCATACTTCACTTGCCAATGCTCTTGGTTAGCACATTTAGTATTAATACTAAACCCCTACTTATCAATAAAACGCACAATGTAGTCATATCAGTCTTTCCTTTTTTGATGGCATATTTGTCAAGATTTGGTCAATTAATTCCAATGATCGAACTCGTCCTTCAAATGATAAGGCTTGCTTGCTGTACCATACGCCTCGTTAGAGTTGCTTCTTCATCAAAAGTTAAGGGAGTATAACAGTATGTTTCGTTCCCTCTATATTAGGCATTCAAGACATTATATTTCTTTTAATTTCTATACCTTGTTGCAAAAGAAATAAAGCTGGCATTTGAGAGGCATTAAGAGCAGTAGTACCATTCCTAAAAAAAAAAAAGAAAACATGGTTGAGAATTCAATTTAAAATTGAACATTTTATGTTCATTCCATATTAAATGTTCTCATACCGTTGGTTGCAGTAACCAATTTGCGTTGCTCGCGACTAAATAAAGTAGATTATCCTTGTAATAGTAAGGAGCGATCATTTCCCCTTGCCCAATCGCGCTATTTTGAACTGATATTTGATACCCGTGGTGGATTATTTCTTCCAGAATAACAAGAAATTCAAGGACAAAGTATAATGCAATACTCGCAATACCGAAAGCAAACGCTAAAATCTTTATTGTCATTGCAAAAGTGCTTTAAACAACATGCAAAACTGCAAATGCAGTCCATGCAGAATATTTTCCTTGTTATACATTTTCGCTTAATTTTCCTCACTACAACTGCCGTTAGCAGATTAAAAAGACTAATTTAATGAAAACCCCAACAAAAAGGTATTATACACAAAATTGCTTTGAAATACCCAAAAGTTTTATTTCAATCGGAACTTTTCGAGTAAACTGTGCTTGGCATCGTAACAAACGTGTGATAAGAGAATCATTCTCTCAAGCAACTCTAAAGACGTGAAATAATCAATGAATAATGATTACTATCAGTTACTACTTGCTTGCTTTGATATTTAAGCACTCTGGGGATACTTACTTCGGCAATTCAAACTTTTGTCCTTTGACAACCCTTTTATCATTGGTCAGAAAAAAGTAGTTAGTTATGTAAATCACCACATACGCCTCCTTCAAATAGCGTTTCAAAGCAGTAGTATAAAAACATACTTGATATAGTAGATATAGAAGAAATCGCTGTATAAAATAGTTTGCAGTAAACCAGCGGTAGATGCAATCCAATCTATGGTGTAGTTAGGTTCAAAGTTGTAACGGTAAATCCAGTTGAGTAAATAGAATGCACGGTAAGCACCTAAAGCAAAAATATAATGTACGGTAATTGTTTCTGCTTCGCCGGTTCGTTGCAGCATGAATAATTGTGGTAAAATAGCTACAGATTCGAGCCAAATTGAAAAAGACCATAGCACCTAGAGCAAACGCATTATAATGGGGTCAACAAAATGTAAACAGGTAGAGAATACATCAATTTTTGTTACCTCTACAACTGTATAGTCGTAACAGAAGATCAAAGAAAAAATAGCTGCAAACAACACCAAGTACCTATTACGGAAGGTGTCAAGGTTAGGGTCATAGGTTGCTTTGAACTTTGATTTCATCAAGTAGATAACGTAGATGGAGGAGAGGATGAAGAAGATCTTCATGCAGGTATTGTAAATAGAATGGAAGACGTATATGACATCCACATAACGTGTTAAAAATACAACACAATATAAGATTTGCGATTTTAGTGAAATGCCTTAGGGACAGATAGTAATCATGCATAATAATAGTAAAAATACAAAGAGTTAGATTATTGTGGCCAGATGGCTCAAACAACAGTGAATTACTACTGATATTCATAGTTCATGTTGTTTTTGGCACCTTACCAACACAGGAACGGCTTTGCTTGATTTTGGCAAGCAGAATAAAAATCGAAAGTAAGTGAATTAAGTCGGCACTTAATCGAAATAAATTCAACATATTCTTCTTTGTCGTCCTTTCCAAGACTTAAGGTTTAAGTATAATCAAAAATGAAAAGAAGTACAGTGCTTCCAACAGTCAATGTCGCAGACGGTCAAAAATGATGTCGCAAGCCAATGAAAATCGATGTCGTCAGTTGCTCAATATCAATTTCGCATTTCCCGAAAACCAGGTCGTATTTTTAGAAACCACGTCGTGCATTTGAAAATGAAGTCGTGTAACAATGATTTTCTAAGTTGCTTGTAGCCCTGTTTATAATTTCATGAGAAGTGAGTGCAATCTTTTCTTTGAAGAAAGCTGGCTTCATTCTATCGAAAGAAACAGCCCAGCAAAGATTGAAGAGAGACATGATTGGATTCGTAAATGGGAGAATACTGCTACGAATTTTTTGACGAATTGCGTGTTTCTTGACGAGTCAGCTTTTGATATCAATATGAAACGCTCAAGAGCTTGGTCCCAAAAAAGGTACGCGTGCCATTGTTACTCGGCCTACTACGAGAGCAAACACAACATAGGTACTGGGTGCTATCTCAGCTGCAGGTTTGATCACAGTTGGCGTAAAAAAATCAAGACCTGCAAAGAAGAGAAAGAGGGAAGAAAATGTAAGCTCAGGGACTGTGGCTGGCCACTATAAGTTTCTTAAAAATGACTCTTGATAAAATGGACAACCATCCTCATATGAAGGGTCATTGTATAGTCATGGATAATGCACCCATTCACACGCATGAAAACATAAGGAAGTTGAGTATCGAGGATATAAATGTGTCTATCATCCTACATACTGTCCGGGGCTCAACCCAATAGAACAGTTCTGGGCAATAGCAAAAAATAAGATTAAGCGCCATAGGTTTTTTGCTGGAAGACACTTTACCAAAGAAAATCACAGAAGCGTGCAATAACGTAGAAAAAGGTTACTTCAAAGGTTTCGTTTCGCATTCTTACAAGTGTTGGAATAAATGACGAAACAGGGACAATATAAAGGCCACTGGCAAACATCTCTCACGCAGCAAAAAAAAAAAAAAGAAAAAAAAGAGCCTCGAGCACTCCCAGTGAGCTTCAAGAAGACTCCATGAAGGCAAAAGTTGGTGATTTGCAAAAGGTGGTGACATGAAGGCAAAAGGTGATGATTTGCAAAAGGTGGTGATTTGCAAAAGGTGGTGTAAAGGCAAAAGGTGGTGACGTGAAGGCAAAAGGTGGTGATTTGAAGGCAAAAGGTGGTGATTTGCAAAAGGTGGTGACGGATTTGCAAAAGGTGGTGACATGAAGGCAAAAGGTGGTGATTTGAAGGCAAAAGGTGGTGATTTGGAAAAGGTGACGTGAAGGCAAAAGGTGGTGATTTGCAAAAGGTGGTGACGGGTTTGCAAAAGGTGGTGACCTGAAGGCAAAAGGTGGTGATTTGAAGGCAAAAGGTGGTGATTTGGAAAAGGTGACGTGAAGGCAAAAGGTGGTGATTTGCAAAAGGTGGTGACGGGTTTGCAAAAGGTGGTGATTTGAAGGCAAAAGGTGTCTTTCTTCTCAACTGTCATTTATATGTCGATCAATGGGTATTTGGGTCAGCCTTTGCGACTAGGTCGTGGTTTACGACAAGGGGACCCTCTCTCGCCTTTGCTATTTAATCTGATGTTTGAGCCGTTACTGCGTACCATTCTGGTTTCTTCACTGAAGGGAATTACAATATTACCCTTATCCACGCCAGTCTCTTCCATGGCTAAAATGCCCATTATCCGACATCGGTATACTGAAAAGGACGACAGTATCATTCAATGGTCTCAGCCACCTGTCTTCTATCTTCTAAGTTATGCTGACGATCTTGAAGTCTTTTTGGCATCGCCCGGATGGCCCGTCTTATGCCAGATCTTATCTTTGTATGGTTCAGCCAGTAATCCCAGAGTTAACCTTCACAAGACCAACATTGTATCCTTATCAGGTGAAAGTAGTCCATTTTGGGTTGCTATTGCCAATTCTGAGAATATCAGATACCATACCAAGCATAGGGCAACGATTGTTCGTTATTTGGGCTATCCTCTCTACTCAACGGCCAAGCAATTGAATGCTTACCTCCATCGTATACCGAATGTCCTCAAAATGCACTGCAGACAGCTGAAAGATCGAGGCCTTTCCGTCCGCGGATTATCTTTGTTGGCCAACTCAAAAATTCTGAGCAAGATATGGCACTTGTAGCGGGTCGTGTCAGTGCCTAAGATGTGGCTGAATGAAGTTCGTACGGTCATTCGTAAGTTTGATTTACCTTTTTGGCCGGCTCTTTCTTGGGAATCCATCTGTCTGCGCAAGTCTCTTGGTGGCCTAGGAGTCATTGATTTACATCATCAGCACTTGGTCCTCCAGCTTATATACATTCAACGAATTCTTCGCCCGAAAAGCAACAGTGATTTCGTTACCCCACTGATCGGTCACTGTATCTATTTATGTACTGGTCATCATCCCTTTGTCCCTTAGTTGCAGCATGCACGAACTTTTTTGCCACTGTTCAAGAAAACTCCTACTTTATCTATCCTCTCAAGGCTTCTTACTGAGCTTCCGACACTCCCGTCTCATGCTACTTGGCCAGGCCGTTGGTATGCGGATACCCCTTTAAGATTTGCTATTGATTTGCTATTACTCCTGTCACCTAGTTATCAGCTGATGAGCAATACGATTTCACTTAAATACATTTGTGTTAGACTTTAGCAAATGCTGTGTCTTAGTCATATCCGTATAATATGTTCACCAATTTTCTGCGGATAGATAGTTCGAAATTTACTAAGGCAGGCTAGATACTAGATTTGATAACATCTGACATTCCTCCCATATAATGGCGATATAGCATCAAGAAGTTCATGGCTCCGCATGTTCGTAACGATGTTTTACCGCCTGATAAGCGTTTTCAGAATGCTGATCAGCGCTCAAAATAAATAGTTACCATTGATACATCTGTTTGAACTCCCTCTTGTACTCATTGGACTATTAAACTCGGTGATAATCAGACCGTTTCCTTGATAAATTATCTCCTGGTATACTGAGGCAATTCTGGTAGCAGCGCTATCTGCAGGAGAAGTTACTAGGTCCATTATCATTGCTAGGCATCCCACAAATTCCTTATATATGTCCACCAGGCTTTTGCCATCCTCGGATTTGGAAGGTGTTTTGGTCGTTGAGACTACCACATAAAGTTACCACCTGTTTGTGGCGTTTGCTTCGCAACTCTTTAACTACTCAGGCTTCGTTGCACCGTATAAGACCAAAACGATAACCTTCGGCAGCGTGTAAGCTGTGTTCAGCACCCATCCCAGATAACTACCACTTTATTGTTGACTGCCCGAATAAATGGTCATACTGGGTAAAATCCCTTGATCACGTTTCTCTTTCCAATATACTAAGAACTCCAGCAGATGTTATGCATACCCTGCTTAATTACGACAGCCAAATACTGACGAATATACTGAACGTTACACGCTAGAGTTTTTGGGTGTCGTTTTGGAAACTCTATGGAAGTATCATTAGTCTACTGTTACTAGTCATGAAACTTGGTCCACTGAAAATGCTTACCAGCGGCTATTATCATCGATCACCCTACAGTTTACTGTTAAGTGCGTCGATTTATTGTCTCAAGAGGGCACAAGCTGACCCCCTAGCTGAGGCACGTCTAGAATATCAGCTTTTACCGATCAACAAGGCCTTTTACCCCTATTTAACCTATATATCCTTTCTAGTCTTTTACTTCTGACGTTCGTTTTATTGAATAAATGTCGCATGTGCAGAAAGGTGTTAAATTTTCCTCCCCTTCTTTCTTTCATTTTCACTATCTTACATTCTTTACGGGAGTAATCACTAGGGGGCAAGCCTGTTGTATGGTATTGGGAGAAGAAGTAACAGATGTCAATCGAGTTAAATGTAAAGCAATCGTTGACTCTTATCATCCGCCATTGGAAGTTATCTATACAAGTGGCGAAGGCAACCGACGCCCTTTCACAATTGGCAAACAAGTTGCTGCGCGGGATCCATTTACATATCATTGTTATGTTGACACCCCTCCCTCTTCTCCTCGTATTGGAAATACGGTGATTAGTAATGATGAAGCGATAAACTGTAGGCAAAAACAAAACAAAACAATGGCAACGACTTATGAAAGAAATGGCACTCATTTTTTCATCATGTTTTGTCATAGACTTTGATTCTTCATCCGTTTCTTCTGACGAGTTCGGCTACAATAATTGTAAGTGATTGCTTATTCGAATGCATTATGAAGCTGATTGTGTGAATGCTGATATTGTCTCAACCATTTAGTAAAGCCAACGAAGCACTGTGTACTTGATTTCTTCAAATGCGTCGCGTCGAAAGATGAGCCATTGAACAAAGAATTATACAGATTTGGTCATTATAACTATATCGAATTATTTGACCTTGTCAAAATCTTTATGCCGAATATAGTTGACATTCACTCTCCTGCACAAGTGACCGATTGGTTGTCAAAGGATGGCCGATTTGGCTACTCGCAAGTTGCACGCGTCGGTAGCAAAAGAGAAAAGCGACGATCTTTGTGGATAATCAAGCAAGACCATTGGGGTGAGTAAAAATTACGTGCCACTAAAAAACAAAAGTGCAACAACAAACAGTCCTTTTTATTATAGATAAAGTCTTGAAAGATACCTTTAACACGAAATCGTTTTTGGAGGCATCAATGGAATCACATGGTTGGATCAATATCGGTTATGCACGAAAATCACGCACACACGATCCTGTGGGAAATAGGATCAAGTCAATGCAAAAGATGACAGATTGCCTCCGTATCAAATGTCACTGTGCGAAAGTCTTCTTGTCCCCCATGTGCTCCTCTGGATCGAAATTATGCCAACGTGATACAAAGCCTAATCTCAATATCATGGACGGTGTTCGCCATAAGCATGGTGATATGCAAGGTAGATAGCAACGAAACTGGAAGTTAATAGTTACTCATTTTTTTTTTATATCTGCCTAAGATTTGATTATGTTTGCGAAATCAACCAATTTTTCCGTACGACTTGTTGTGCTAGACTACGCTGGCTTATCCACGGATCCCATGGATGTACGAAAATTTGTCAAGTATGAGAACAATTGCTTGTATATCATAGATTTCTCGTATGAACAGCGTTCATTTTTTTATTTGTATCGATAGAGAACTTAAATCAATCAAGGAACTGGTTGTATATCATGGACACAAATTCGAATCAATACCACGACAAAACGTTCTTCGTGGAAATATTATCAACAAATTTGATTGTCGGCCTGGTTGTGTCAAGCGTTCGATGATATGAACTTCCTTATTCTATCTCACCCACCCACCTTATTCCAATGATTATTAAATGATACCAATTTTCCTATTGTTCCTGCAACTCGCAGCGTATTTTCTCACTTTAAAAAAAATAAAAAAGAAATCCGTAAATTTATGCTCTTATTCACCAATAGTTGCTTATTCTTATTATACATATTTCATCTACTTGAAAATCCAAAGAAAAACAATTACAAGGCAGACTTAAAACTTGGCATAAGTAATTTCCTTTTTTTACTGCAATTGTGCCCAATCTGCCGCACTTTGTCTCCAAATCACCACCTTTTCAATCACCACCTTTTGCCTTCTTGTCACCACCTTTTGCAAATCACCACCTTTTGCCTAATCACCACCTTTTGCAAATCACCACCTTTTGCCTTCACGTCACCACCTTTTGCAAATAACTTTGCCTTCAAGTCACCACCTTTTGCCTTCTTGTCACCACCTTTTGCAAATCACCACCTTTTGCAAATCACCACCTTTTGCAAATCACCACCTTTTGCCTTCACGTTACCACCTTTTGCAAATCACAACTTTGCCTTCAAGTCACCACCTTTTGCCTTCAAATCACCACCTTTTGCAAATCCGTCACCACCTTTTGCAAATCACCACCTTTTGCAAATCCGTCACCACCTTTTGCAAATCACCACCTTTTGCCTTCAAATCACCACCTTTTGCCTTCACGTCACCACCTTTTGCCTTTACACCACCTTTTGCAAATCACCACCTTTTGCAAATCATCACCTTTTGCCTTCATGTCACCACCTTTTGCAAATCACCAACTTTTGCCTTCATGGAGTCTTCTTGAAGCTCACTGGGAGTGCTCGAGGCTCTTTTTTTTCTTTTTTTTTTTTTTGCTGCGTGAGAGATGTTTGCCAGTGGCCTTTATATTGTCCCTGTTTCGTCATTTATTCCAACACTTGTAAGAATGCGAAACGAAACCTTTGAAGTAACCTTTTTCTACGTTATTGCACGCTTCTGTGATTTTCTTTGGTAAAGTGTCTTCCAGCAAAAAACCTATGGCGCTTAATCTTATTTTTTGCTATTGCCCAGAACTGTTCTATTGGGTTGAGCCCCGGACAGTATGTAGGATGATAGACACATTTATATCCTCGATACTCAACTTCCTTATGTTTTCATGCGTGTGAATGGGTGCATTATCCATGACTATACAATGACCCTTCATATGAGGATGGTTGTCCATTTTATCAAGAGTCATTTTTAAGAAACTTATAGTGGCCAGCCACAGTCCCTGAGCTTACATTTTCTTCCCTCTTTCTCTTCTTTGCAGGTCTTGATTTTTTTACGCCAACTGTGATCAAACCTGCAGCTGAGATAGCACCCAGTACCTATGTTGTGTTTGCTCTCGTAGTAGGCCGAGTAACAATGGCACGCGTACCTTTTTTGGGACCAAGCTCTTGAGCGTTTCATATTGATATCAAAAGCTGACTCGTCAAGAAACACGCAATTCGTCAAAAAATTCGTAGCAGTATTCTCCCATTTACGAATCCAATCATGTCTCTCTTCAATCTTTGCTGGGCTGTTTCTTTCGATAGAATGAAGCCAGCTTTCTTCAAAGAAAAGATTGCACTCACTTCTCATGAAATTATAAACAGGGCTACAAGCAACTTAGAAAATCATTGTTACACGACTTCATTTTCAAATGCACGACGTGGTTTCTAAAAATACGACCTGGTTTTCGGGAAATGCGAAATTGATATTGAGCAACTGACGACATCGATTTTCATTGGCTTGCGACATCATTTTTGACCGTCTGCGACATTGACTGTTGAAAGCACTGTACAGGAGTCAAAAGCGTTTTGAGGCCAAAAAGAAATATCCCATGAATGCACGTGCCGTTTCAATGTATTTTGTTTCTGGTCTGTGCGGAAGTAACACTATCGCACATGGGGCTCCTTTTATTCGTGAAAGTTATCATCGCTTGATTGTAACTGTAGCTTCAGCATCGACTACTCTATTTTGTGCTTAGCCCGTGTTTATGAATACATTCGCATTTTCGGTCATTTTCAACCTTATCCAGTATTCGAGCTTTTAAGATGATCCCTATTAATTCAATTGCTATGCGTTGTTGCAAAACAAGTTGGTCAAGGTGGAAGCTTCTCAGACGACATACGAATACATTTGAATATGAGGATCTATTACTTGTTATTTATTCGAAAATATCAGTGCAACGAGAATACTTCCTACTATAACAAAGCCTACAATATACGATGTAATCTTTACTATCAGAGTATGTAATTTTCTTGTAGAGCGATAAGTCTCCTGTGTCGAAAGTTGATTGGCATCAACCAAAGGTTTCAAGATCATGTCTAAATATTGTTCAAGTACAAATTCACCGTCCAGCCTGAACGCTGGTAATATATTCAACATGGCCAATGCTAGAGTGAAAGAAGAAATATACCTGGTTTTTTCTCTTTTAGCATGCAATTTCAATTCATAGTAAACGCCTAAATTTAAACGACTTTTTACTTTACCTTAAAAGCAATTCTACCTTAAAAGGTAAAGAGGCTGGCAAGAAACGATAGCGTGGAGTGATCAAGCTTACTTTGACTAAAATAAATTATAAGGCTATCAGTACATGAGAGGTTGAGTCTTTCCTAATCCAAGCCATCAGCTCTTACCGCTTTCCCATATATCTACTAGTTCGCCTTCGAAAATATACACTTTCTCCTTATTTGTCATAGAAGGGGTTCCGTTATCGTCTAGTAACCAATCTGGAGTACTTGCATATATCCTCACTACCTGACCTGTAGCAAATGGAGTGTAAGGTAAAACGCAGTTCTTGTTAACTGGACAATCGGTTTCTTTATAACACCGTTCCGGATTCAAAACAGAAAGCACATTTACTGTCGCTAAGCATAACTTTTCTGATTCTGGCATAAAAGGATATGTCGCAAAACATGATATAGAAGCATTCGTAGATTTGCCGAAAGGATATTCTTCGTCAATCTGACAGCAATCAAGCCCAAGATCTTGATCTATCTGATGATCATCGATACAAAAACCCTGTTGAATTGTATGCTTGCCTTTATCGTTCAATAAGTATTGATTCCATTCTTCGATATTATTCACTAACGGATAGTCATCAAGCTGGTATATAATAGAAGATGGTGGTATATGTGCAGCTAAAGGTGAGGTGGGTCGAACATGAACAACGCTAACACCACCTTGCCCTTCTAAAGATTGCCATCCAAGAAAAAGCAGCATTAATTTGAGCCCTCCTGCTAATGAGATATAGGTATAAAGATACAGCACGAGGTTATGCCAGACGCCAGCACATATGATTTGTAGCTGTTGGAATGCTTTAAGAGTTTGCAATTGCTGATCTGGTATATTTACAAAGGCTCCTGGATAAAGATATATAACAAACATGCCCGAACTTTGAATATGTATGCCCTGGCTGTAAGCAGCAATAGCGTGGCCCGCTTCATGAAATAAACCGCATATGATTAGTGCACATAAATAATAGCCGATATGTGACATAGGCAAAGTAACGCCGGGTATCTATTTGTTTATACGCGATAGATTAGATGCAGACTTCACAGTAGGAGTGTTACGAATATGAATGGATGCAGAGGGTATATACCATGGGTAAAAAAACTTGTTCGTCATCAATCTCCATGTCTAAACTCCTTTTTCTGAGAGTATCACCATTCTGAGCTTGGGCTGAAGGAACTATAGCATGGCCTAAAGTGTATAGTATTTTGGCAGCAGCAAATAATATCACTGCGATACCCACGGCCATCAAAAACGATGCGATAACAGCACCACAAGTAAACCATACCTTCCAAAATTTAGGTGCAAGAGTTGTCAAATAATGAAAAAATCCATTCAGGCGCTGAGTAGTGTATTTGACTTGAAACAGTTTAATGGACCATTGATCCCTTTGAATGGTCAATTCATAATTGTCACTGTTGACGAATGAAGAAGTCGGTAAAATTGAATTGATCGGTTTTCGTCTACTTCCAACACTACTAAAAGATTCCTTTTTTCTTGTGCTGATAAACCGTAATGTAAAGATTATTATGTACAAGAAAAACCATAATAGCAGAAATTGATACAGAATTGAGAATAAATCCATAATATGGATTCATGTGTCAAATGAATTTTTTCTTATATGAAAAAAAAAGAGGGGAAGAGTGTTGCCTTTGAAATATGATTTACCTTGTAGTTCTCAAAACTCAGAATTGCCCACTTCTTCAAACTAAATTATTACCAGTTTTTCAATGGATTACGAAGTGGAAGGTATGTAAGCGAGCGTAAAGATTAAGTTGCACCTCCATTTCAAGGTGTTTGCTTCTAATGTATACGTTTTTTTGTTACTGTTAAGGTATGACAAAAAAAAAACCCCCACAAATGACCAGTGTAGCAGAAATGCAGTATGCTTACTTGGAGCGTTTACTAAAAACTTCTACGGTTCTATTAGCATAAGTGTTTCTTCATACTAGTTTTGCTGAAGCTGGTGAAGAAATAATCTATTACTTCATGACATAATTGTTCAAAGAGAAAAGTGTAATAACAGAAGTAATGTGTCCCTTTGGACGGCATAACTGCCGGACCGGTCAGTGTGTTCAAAGGACATACGCTGTAAGTTAAACGGCTAGATGCAATTTTTGCTCCTGTAAGGCTTTGAAAAAGGATCCCTTTTGCTGTGTTAACAGATACAAATTGGAGCGAAATAGTGAAATGATGAATAAATTTAACTCCAATGTTCAAAACTGCAACTGATGATATATCAAAAGTAGTCGCGTTTAGTTAAAAAAAAAAAAAAAAAAAAAAAAAAACCACTCTACTGATCTTTTAAAACTGAGAATATTTTTGACCGTATTTCGTTTGCTACTGATGGAATATTGGGCTCTGGATTTTGTGATGGACAAAATTGCTTTGGCTTGCATGACAAAGTTTGTATAGCAATTTAATGTTATGGTCGAACAACTACTTTTTTATGTGGTATAGTTTTGAAACTGAAACAATGCATTTTATGTTAGCGAGCTTTAATGTGGTACTGTTGATTAACGTCCTTAAATTGGTAACTTGTTACCTTGATATGATCTTCAATTCAATATTTCATATATGAAAGGAAAGTCGTCTACAGATACTAAAGGCGACAAATTTCATTTGAGATTACATTAGAAGAGGTTTCACCGTTGATAAATTAGAAAGAAGCACAACATTTACAGGCATAGTACAACTATCCTTTGCAAAGCTGCTATCTTCTTAAACTATACCTGAAAAAACCAAAGACTCGTTGCTTTTCCGTTCTGACTAATGGGTGTACTCTCTACTGTGACAAATTTGCGAAAGGTAAACTGAACGCAAGCCAAGGGTATAAAAGTGGTTTCATCTTACAGCTAAGTCATGCTGTTCACTTTCTACAAAGTGGAAGAAACATATAGAAAGAAGACACAGTTAGTAAAACAAAAATAAAGTTGTAATAACATGCAGTTGCTGAGCTCTTAATAGCTGTCACTTGCTACTGTGAATATATATTAGACAATTTTACTATTGTTAAGGCCCTTGGGATACCCTATACATTAGTAATTAATAAATGACAATTCTTATCTTAGTCTTTTAAGAAACGTCATTGATACCTTGCAAGCAGATAGTATCAAATAATCACCCACGGTATAGATTAAGCGAAGAAAGAAACCAGCATAGAATCTTAGCACAACAGAGCACTAATTGATTCACATATGTTCCGAAATCAAAGTGTATCATACGTTAAGCACGATTGAGTTAATATTTGCTCTTGTTTCTCAAGTACTCTATCACTAACTCACTGTTTAAAATTACAACTGGATTGAAAGTCTTAGTCTACTAATTATTACTCCGTGTAGTGGTCGTTCACTACGCTATATATATGGATTTCTTACTAAAGTAAATTTTGAACTACTGTAGTCATTGGCATATTTGCGGACACGAACAGTTATTGCGAATTTGCTTCGAATTTTAGTGCCCTGCTTTGACAATATAATTTTTTATGTGTCTTTTCTGCATTACTTTACACTACCTATATTCTCCTCTATTCCTTGCAGATGAATTTTATAAAACGTCTGTACTCGACAAATACCGTTGAATCCTCGACTACTTCTCTATTACACAATTTATCGAAACTTATGCATGAGGTCAATGGCAATTCTAGCATTTCTGTAAAGCGTTCCATATTGAAAAAATACCCCGACTGTCATTCAACGTTAAAGCGTATATATGATCCACATTTCAGAATATTCTTAACATCAAAAAGTGTCAAAAACTATATGAATACAGCGAAAACTCCCTTGCTATCGTCAACCCCAGCAACATCTTTCACCAGTTTAAATGAGCTTTTAGACGCACTAGCCTCCCGGTCAATAAAAGGCCGTACTGCTCAAGATGCTATTGCCACTTTTTATGTTACTTATTGTAAGACGAAAGAACAACAGGATGTCTTCTGGAGAGTGATTGATAGAAATTTGAAAATGGGTGTTTCTTTTCAAACTTTACGACAAATGTTATTAACAAAAGAACATGGCAAAGCAGGAAAGGAAGAAATCGTTAACTACAATGGCAACAACAAGAAGAAAACAGCAAAAACTCCTTTCTTTACAGTCGCTTTGGCACATTCAGTATCTACAAAGAAAAAACCATTGGACTTTAATGTTGATACATGGTTCGCATCACAAAAATTAGATGGTATCCGTTGTATAACGATGATTTGTTACAATGAAAAATTGGCAAAGTATGATATCCAGTTTTACTCAAGGACAGGCAGACCATTTTATTCTCTACGGAAAGTGAAAGAGAATATTGAGCAAAGACTTTCAGAACTTAAAGTGAGAAAATCTTCAGCAAAAGATTTCGTACTGGATGGAGAACTATGTGCATATAATGATTCCGATGTGGCTAAAGAAGATTTTTTGAAAGTATTGTCAGAATTACGTAGACTAAACGAAGATATGCAGAACCCAGTTTATCAAATATTTGATCTCATACAATTAGACCATTTTGTACAAGCGAAAAGCCCTGAGTTATTTCATTCACGGCAAGCAACTTTAAGGAACTTCATTGGCGACAAACGTCTACCGCATATCAACTTAGTGGAGCAAGTTAAACTGCATAGTATGGATCAGTTAAATCAGCTGAAAGAAAATGCAGTAAAATTAGGATGGGAAGGTCTTATACTAAGGAAGGATGTTGAATATGAAGGAAAACGAACGTTTGTATCATTTCCTATTGTGTCGTGCTATTATGATTTTGATACTCATTTTCCTTACTTTGCCATTAGACGAAACATGTTAAAGCTCAAAGAATGGGAAGATGCTGAGTATATTGTTCAAAGTGTCGAAACTGGTTTCATGAGAATGCCAGATACTGGCGAGGATAGAAATGTCTTAACGAACGTCAATATTTTACATAAGGGTAATACGGTCAGTGTTGGTTCGGGATTCTCACTTTCTGAACGTATAAAATATGCTGAGCAACCTAATCTTCTCATCGGAAAACTGATTACGGTGCGTTATTTCACAGAGTCTAAGCGAGAAGATGGATTGGTCTCTCTCAGATTTCCAACAGTAAAAGCTATTTATGAAGAAGGCAAAAGAGATGCTTGATTTGCATAATGTTTGCGAAAAGAAATAAATCATATTAAAAGACAGTCCGCCTTTTTTGCACAAAAATTTGTTCATTTCGTCAGAGGGTGTTCTCTTTCCCGTGTGATCAACAAGCAAATCGATCTTTCAATAATCAGCATGCAGCCTTTGTTTGACACATCCGGTTGGTCTTTACCGAAGAATATAGTTGTTAAACAACAAAATGAAGTAAAGAAGTCGAACAATAAACCTGCTGTAACTAAGACTGCAACAGAAGGAGGAGAAGAAAAGGCAAAGTCCGCTAATGTTAGTATAGAAGCTGATCAGTTACAAGCTCAAATGGCCAGCTTAAAACAGACCAGGCTGGAAGTAAAGAACAATAAAAAGAGACAGCTGGCTGAGAAAGAAAAGAATAATAAGCAAAAGCAATCCAAGAAACAAAAACGAGATAATACACCACAAGAACGTCAGCAGAAGCAGAAGGGTGAACAAGGAAAAAAACCAAAAGAAAGTAAAAATGAGCCTCTGAAGCAGCAGGGCCAACAAAATCCAGTGGAGGATAAGAATAAGAAAAAGAATAAACAAAAGCGCCAAAAATTGAAAGAGGTAAAACGTTATAAGCAATGTTATTAGATACTTCTTTATTAACCATTAATCGTCCGACTTAGTTATTGGATAAGTCGAAGCAAGCTAGTAGTACTGAAGTTAAGCCTTCTGTCCCTGTCAAAGCAACATCAGCAACTGCTCATAAGAATGCCTCAACACCTTCAACCTCTGATGACGGGCTTACACCCTTACAACGTAAAATGAAAGAAAAACTATCGGGAGCACGTTTCCGTTGGTTGAACGAACAATTATATACCAATCCCGGCAATGAATCTTTTAGTTTATTCCAAGAAAAGCCTGAATTATTCGACGAATATCATGAAGGTTTCCGTCATCAAGTAGAATCATGGCCTGTTAATCCAGTTGATGTTATTGTTGAACAATTGAAACAGTTACCCAAGAAGAACACTGTCATTGCAGATTTAGGTTGTGGCGATGCTATGATTGCTCAAACTTTGACGAAACAGCACTATAAGGTGTTGAGTTTTGATTTGATTGCCAAGAATGACTTTGTTACAGCTTGCGATATTTCCAATCTGCCATTAAAAGCCAACGCAGTGGACGTTGCAGTATTCTCTTTGTCGTTAATGGGTACGAATTACTTGGATTTCTTAAAAGAGGCCTATCGCATTTTGAAACCTGGGTAAGAAAAAATCATACCTTAGTAATAAAGTCCTTATTGTTATGAAAATCACTAATCAAACTTGCCGTCTTATAGTGGCGAATTGAAGATTGCTGAAGTAGTGAGTCGATTTACAGATTTGGACGCATTCATCAAACTGTTAGAATCTCTTGGATTTCAATTTATGGGACAGGACGATGATAATAAAATGTTTATTATGTTATATTTTAAAAAGCAACAATCTTCCTCTGGTAACGGTGGTATGAAGAAGGACAAAAAGAAGAATATGAATGCTGGAAACGATGATAAACTACAATGGAAAGCACAAAACTTGTTGAAGCCTTGTTTATATAAAAGACGTTGAAATAATAGTATGGAATAAATAATTGCGAAGGAACGCTACATTCTTCTTCGCTCACCTTTTTGTGTTTTTTTCTTTTCTTTATCAAGCTCCTTTTCTTTCTTTTGTTTGTGTTGTAACATTTTATTACGTTCTCTTTCTTTATCTGCTGCCTTTTTCATTTCTTCACGTCTTTTCTGTTCCTTCTCTTTCACCAAATCTGCGTTTCGATTGGCCTGCAGTAGCGGATCTACATGTTTATTGTATTTACATGTTGAGCAATAGTTCAGAAGAATATTCGGTTCTTTCTATCAAGACTTTTACCTATCGATGGTGCAGCTGAAGCATGCTTATTCTTTCGACGATCTTTTGGAGATAGCGATGCTAATTCGTCTACCTTTCTACTCTCACCGTCTTCATCATCGCCTCCTTCCGTTACATATCCGTACTGTTGCATCAATTTCTCACGTGCCTCTTTTTGTTCCTTGCTTAATTCCTTTTGCGCATTCCGAAGTTGACGATTTTCCTCCTGTTCCTTTTCAGCCTTCAATCGTCTCTCTTCCTCACGCACTGATACGAACATGTCGTCATTAAGTTTTTATCAAATAAGTAATCTGCCTCAATTATTCTGCAAACGCATCTGTGAACGAACCGAATACCTTTGGCATCTGCAATAAGTTTTGCCTTTCTTTCATCCGCTTCCTTTTCTCTCTCCTCTTGAGCTTTTTTCCAATCATTTAAAATTGCACTGACAAAATTTGTTGTGTCTTTGTCCTAAAAGATGTATTTATATTGTTACTGTCTGGCTACCTTGTTTAATTGTTACGAACAAAATTGCTTGTCAACTTTGACTTACAGTAGCTTCTGATAAGAATTCTGTGATAACATCACGTTTTTCTTCCTCCTCCATGGAGGCATCCTCAACAATGCCAGCAATGTATTCAGCTATGTCATCATCTGTTTATTCATGAGTAACATGTTATTATTTTTTGGTTGTGAAGAGCATAATTTAGTCACCCTTGAGTTCGATAGAAGCAAGTTGCTTAACTACTTGATCCAAAAGGCTCATGTTCGTATCAGTTAGCAACAGTACTTCTTTTCAGGCCCTTTATTTTCTCTTTTTTTTTTATGATTTTCTTTCCGTGACTATACACCAGAAAATTGAGACATTGTCACTCTGAACTTGAAATGAATGGCAATTGCAAAAATTGAAAATCAAGTTCATACGTGGATGCAATGCTTATAAAAGTAGAGATGACCTTACGTCTTTGCTTACAGATCTCGTTGGTGATCTACAATAGGTTATAGAAACTTCAAAATGTCTATATTGTCAAAATGAAACAATTTAATTTATTTATTGATGAATATATCAAAAAAAGAGGACGTCAAGTTTTTAAATAAAAATACAAGAATGTCAATTAGCAATAAATATAACCATTCAACAGCCCGACTATTCTAATGATCGCGACTGCAAAGGGAGTAATCTTCATCCAGTATTATTGTCAAGATTGTTACTGTAGTTACTACGAAGTTATTCATCAGCTCTTACAACTAACTTTCTGCGAGATTATTTCAAACTGCAGTGGCATATTACGATCATAGTGCTCAATCTGAATTATTTGCCAGTGTTTGCCTTATAGAAAGTCTTCACATAGCAGTTTTTTTTTAATTCATTGTACGACTAATTATAGGTAAAATAATACCATTAGAACGATAATATAATTAGCTGTAACCCTACAATGTACAAACAGTTCAAGATGAAACATTCGAGTAAAGATATTAAGTGCACCTTTATAAACAATACAGCAACCAACGCGTTACAGAAACATGCAACACTTGCATAAATTATTGTGATAGGCTTCAACAAGGTACAGAAATGATGTGAGAGTTTACAGTTTTAATATAACGTATCCAAGAATGTGACATCTTACTATGAATTGGTTTTGTCTGGGAGGTTCTTGGAGAAATGCAGAACATGAAGAAAAAATATCATGCTCAAATGTAGTGCGAACGACGATGAAATCCAAATGTTAGGGAAAAGATCATGGTGCCCTATTATACTTTTGGTGCCATTTTTGACTAATGACTCTTTTCACCACCAATACATTTATACTTATACAGTAATTTTCTAGCAGAATACCACTATAGCAACAACATTACAACGTATCAAGTATCTGATATAAAATAACAGACTTGTATAGGTGTGAGATAAATGAGATAAACTATACGTCTTTAAAGAAACGAAAGACTACTATTCGTGTTGCTACAGCATATTGCTCGTTAAAATGTTAATGCTGCGCACAGTTTAATCACTTTTTGAGCCTACAAATTCCGTCGAGGTACAACACATTTTAAGGCCACAGAAACTGTAACGCCATCCACTGCATTGGTGATAGAGCTAACGACTAGTAATGGTTTTAAATTGGAGAGCAATTAGAGATATTTTTAACGGAAACCCCCCTTACTCTGTAGCATATAGTTGTGATAATGTATGCCGGTAAATACAATGTATACATTGGAGAATAGAAACAAGTATCAAAAGATAATGATAGAACATTATTTTGCGATATTTATGTACGAAATAAGTATAATTGGATTTACGATCCAAGCTGTCTTTCTAGCTTATCTAATCTTTCACGTAAAATATCTAACATGTGTCGATATTCATTCGGACCGATATCGTTTTGTGATTTAACAATGGTAGGTGGATTAACCAAGTCGCGAATTTGTGCTTGCTGCTGCTTAAAATTTGATGGAGATGATTCTGATATTGTTTTCTTATTATCTTCTACAGTAACAGAGCCTTCCGTATTTTTAGCTTCTTCTTCTACTACTTCCATACTATTTCCATTTTCTGTCTCCATAGTGTCGTATATGCCGGTTTGCATTCTCTTTTCCAACGCATTAATTCTTCGAAACAATTTGTCAACAGATGTCTCCATTCTATGCACAACTTCTTTTTGCACCTCTTTGATTTGATTCTTTATTAAGCCTTCAATTGTCGAAGAGGACGCTTGTAATGTTTGTATAAGAGTTGAAGATCGACGAATTTGATCATCTAACGTAGATTTTAAGGTACGTGTTGATTCAATAGTATCGAATAAGTGTTCGAAAGGTTGCATGAATTGCTGTTTTTGTAATTTATTATTGGAGGCAGGTGTGTTGTTGCTGTTTGAAGTGAACGACGGAGGCGGTAAAGGAGCCGTAGGTGGAGGATGAAGAGGATGATAGTGGTGAGGATACCCATGGCCGTGGATAAAAGCTGAAGACGAATATTGAGGTGATTGTGGCGGGAAAGGATGATGGGGGTGATGGATGCTTCCAGGGTGCGCCGTATGAGGAGGCTGATGTTGTGAGGGGACAATAGGTGGAACTGCAAAGTCAGTTACAGGATTGGTAGTCATAGTAGTTGTGTTGGCGGTAGTAGGCGTGTTTGTAGTGGTGCTTGTAGCAGGCGATATAAGTGTCGCTTGAGATAAAGGATGTGGCTGGTGGTGGTGCGACTGTTGCTGGTAATATCTGTTATGTACCTGTTGACGAAAATAAGATTGATTCAGAGGGGCTGATTTGATACTGCTATTCTGGAATTGTTCACCATAAGAAGGAGCATAGATGGTTAAATTCCTCGTGTTTTTGTTATGGCTGCTAGAGGTGTTATTATTGGTGCCTAATCGTTTGGCCAATAATGTTGGCATTTTCTGAGAGCTCACTGTATGAAGTGGTTTGGGTAATATAGGCGAGAATTCTTCGTGTCCTTTTTTTTGTCTTTTATTTGTTTGCTGATCTTCCTCAAACGTTCTGTGATAAATTTGTGGGGTCAGTAAACGATCAAAAACCAAATCAATACAATAAACTGTACCTGCTTAATCTACGATTAACTGGCAGTTGCTGCTGGTTTTGCTGCAGTTGTTGGCTGCCAGAACCACTCATAATATTATTCAATGCCATTGGATCGGATGCGTTTAAGATCATAGGAGGTCGAGGTGATATGGGCTCAGATTTAACTTTTGTTTTCGCATTATATACCTCAATATGTGAGGCTTTAAATTGCCCTTCATCCTTTTTAGGGCTGTAATATTTCAAACGCGGTAGATTGCTTAGTATTGATTCATCCAGATGAGTAGCATAATCGCTTATTTTTAATTTGCAAAGTTCGGCCAGCAGAAACTTGTTGTGCTTTACAGCTAACGTAACTAGATCATTTGTGGTCACGTAAATATCAGAAGTTCGCTTGTCTAAATAAATAGTAGCATCTTGTGATGTGTCTAACAGATCTGCAGCCAAGCCGAATAAAAAGCACAAGTCAGCAAATTTGAAAAGTAACGTTGAGCTATTTTCGGCGCGATACAGGTTGAACTCTTGGTTATCGTTATATTGCCCTAATAATAATGATAATAATTTCATAGTCTCTATAGAGAAGAGATATTGTTGCTGATGTTGATGAAGAGAAGGAAGGAAGGAAGGATAATTGTGTTCTATTTTTGTCACCTACCGAATATAATGAAAACGAGGAGAATGAAAATTAAAGGGGTTCTGTTTCTCTTTTCTGCCTAAGAGACAGCACTTTACTTTTCCTTTTATGGTTGTTTTAGTAAACGCCATATAGTGGAAGATCTTTTTGACTCTCAAGCAATATATTGATTATTCTACAGCTTAGATTGTGATCTCTACATACGCTGTTTATAAAACTAATATGAAGTGCTAATCACCAAATTTTATTATTTGTGTGATAAGGAAAGTAGCCAGCTTGATTTTGAAGTAATACTGATCCACTGAATACTACTACATTCTATCACATGGGCCCTACATTGGAGTATAAATTAATTCCACGGTACCGTAAACGATCCAAAATTCCTTTCAACTTAATGCTCATACATATCCATTGCTTGCCTTTATAAATTCTTAGCGGAAATGCTTATTCAAAATTACTAAGGAAACTCTTGCATTTATAAAAAAACAAAAAAAAAAAGTATAAACCGAAAACTTATGTGATCGTTGTGCAAGTTAACGATTTGTTGAGTATCCTGAAAGTAAGAGACAAAGAAAGACCGAGCATTATGATTCAATGCTGTGGATCATTTGATATTGCTACTCGTTCGAAAATTCGTACATCAATTATTCTAAAATATATACATAAAGCTATCGATACGGTATTACATGTTCTATTAAGGCTTAATCAAAACTGAGAAATCGCTATGACGATAAAGTTATTTACAATTCCTAATTTAACAGACAGCTTAAGGCAAGAGAAAGAATGTAAACTGAAAGGCTCATTGAGGATATACATCGTTGAATTGACGATCGCCCTGTTTTGATTCAAGGAGTATGATGACTATCAAACATTGATTATTTTGTCTTACTTATTAACAAGCAACAAGCATAGCTCTCAGAATAGTCTAGTTCGAAAAGCGTATTGCAAGTATTGCAAACATGTCTCTACAGTGACGGTGGTGCTGGAGAAGAGAACAGAATAACACTTTCGAGACACGAAGCGAACATCAATAGGCCAAGAATTTGTATTAAATGCCAGCTATTCTTTTTTATTTTTCGCTGCTGTACATAAACCTGATATTCTACTCATTTGCCGCTCTTAAAATTAAACTAAGGCATAGAACATTATGGAGCAACTTCAAGCAGCAACATCAAAATTCATTCAAGGATATAAAACTGATACCCCTGCTTCATTGAAGTTAATCGATGTTTATCTTGTCTACATAATGATGACTGGTGTCATCCAATTCGTATACATGGTAATCGTTGGTTCATTCCCGTATAATGCATTCCTTGGTGGTTTCATTTCAACTGTTGGCAGCTTCGTTCTTGCTGGTAAAATCAAGATTGAGTTAAAATTAATATACGAAGAGGACTAAGCTTACTTATTTACTGTCTTATCTACTTACATTAGCGAATCTACGCATTCAAACCAACTCAGAAAATCGCGATGCTTTCAAGACAATATCACCAGAAAGGTACAGTACGCTGAACACATTCTTCGATACATTGCAGCTAAAACCTATCAAATTCTATATGTAGGGCTTTTGCTGACTTTGTAGTATGCTCAATTCTCCTCCACGGCTTCTGTATTCATTTCTTGGGCTAGAAGATAGAACGCAAACATGCAAGCGCGACACACCAGGCCCTAAATCTCATAGTATGTATATCCAGTCCTGCTATATCTCTCAGCACTTGCTCATAATGATTTTCTACGTACAATCTTTTATAATAAAAAGCAGATTAAAAAAAAAAAAAAAAAAAAAAAAAAAAAAAAAAAGAAACTCAATTGTAAGACACATGGCTTGAAAATAACAACTAAATAGTATTATTTGCAATGTATTCATCGAGCAGTGGATGTTCGCTGTAGTGCTAAAATTATCGTAGGACTGTTCCGCTGCGAAGATAGTATGCAGGTCTAGCATAATTCTCAACAAGGCAAACGTGAATAATAAATCTGTGGCCAGGTCATTGAGCCAATAGTATCAAGCTCGCATTTTTTGCACAGGAACAGACAATTTTATTTAAAGTTTCGAACAATAGGGTTACACTCAAAAGCATCAGTTCCATCTTTTGTGATAAGATTTTTATCGGGTTTTCGGTATGAATCTACGTTCCGCTCTTTTAGCGCATAAATTCATTATTGGGGCCATGAGTTTCATATAAAACGTTCCTTTTCATTGGAAGATGAGGAGTATAAAGACATAGCAAAGTGTTTCCATTTTGCAATAACGGGACTAATAAAAATTCTTGCACTAACGCAATAATGTACATGGAAACTCTGAAAAAAATCGCCATAAATCTGGCATAGGTTGTTCTGCTGCAGTTCAATTCGCTTGTAAAGCAGCGAAAAAAGTCAACTTTATTTTTGCTGCTGCTGCTACTTTTTTGCTTCCTTCTCTTTATAAAGCTTAATTAAAATAAAAACAAATTTCCAAAGATACAGAGTCCTTCTCTCTTTTTTCCATATATCTTGATCTTTCCTACCAGTTTTTCGTTTTCAAATTATTTTTTTTTTCCCTTTCTTACTTCTCATTTCTTGTTTTGTTCTGTTTACTTGATCAGCTCAGCAGCAATACTATGAATGACAACACAGACTTTTCGACGAAATCAGCAGCAAGAAAAGTAACAGATTCAAGCAACAACAGCACTGGTTCAAATGTCCCTGATTTCATACAAAAATTGTTTCGGTTAGAACGTCATTCCATATACAAACGGTTGCAAAATAAAACGAATGGAATGACTGATAAGAATTGTATCATTTTTATTTTAGTATGCTGGAAAATGAAGCATTTAAGGACGCTTTCTGTTGGAATACTGCAGGAACCCGGTTTTTAGTGAAAGATACGAATGAGTTTTCAAAGACAATATTACCGAAACACTTCAAGCATTGTAATTTTGCTAGTTTTGTTCGTCAATTGAATAAGTATGATTTCCATAAGATCAGAAACAAATCAGACGATAATCAGAAAGCATATAGTGACCAGGTAAATAGAGATAATCGACTATCAATAAATACCGATTTTTTAATAATATACTGATTTTATCTTTTCTTCTGCAGGTGTGGGAGTTCGAGCATATCTACTTTAAAAGAGATAGGAAGGATTTGTTAGAGAAAATCAAAAGAAAATCCCCAGGAAAGAAAGGGAAGATAGAGGATAGCAATGCTGCAATAGCAACGGAAAAGAACGACTTCTTACGATCGCTCGATACAGCAACAGATTGCGCAACACCTGTCACTGACACAGCAATTGCTTCAACCACTACAGCAAATGACTCTGTTGTCAATCCGATACTTTTTGAAGAGTTAAAGAATTTCACTAAAGATTTGCAAAAGCAAATAAATCAATTAAAAGAATCCAATTCAGAATTAGAAGCGACAGTTGAGAATATGAGTCAAAAAGAAAAGCTGATAAAGAAAGAATTAGAGCAGTTTCAGTATAATCTAAAAGCGAAAGACGAATTGATAAAGGAATGCATCAAAGTGATACAACAGCAGCAACAGCAGCAGCCACAAGTGCAAGCATCAGGAACTGAAAGCAATATGGAAATCAAGGCAGAGAGACTGTCAAATAGCACTTACTATAATCCATTAGATACCGGCACTACTACGACCAATGCTAATACTAATTCTACTCCCACAGCCGATATCTTTATACCACCAACAACTGCACCAGCAACAAATTCAATCATGACACCAGCAGCAATTGCAGCACCAAGGATACCAATAAGTAGAGATACGCTTTTAGGACCCCCACTCGATCGATACAGCCATAATCATAGCAGTAGTAGTATAAGTTTTAATAATGGTCATGTGCCTACATCTATCATCCAACAACCAGGGCAAGCGAGCAGTGGCAGTAGTACAATTGTGACTCCCTCGAATCAGCAACAACAACAACAAAATAACAATAAGACCAAGGTTGCTATATGGAAGAAGTCACCTAGAGTATTATTAGTGGATGACGATTCCATTTACAGAGACGTAAGCGGACGTATGTTGAACAAATTTGGTTGCTCTATCGAATTAGCACGAGATGGTTTAGAAGCATTACAAAAAATCAGTGTAGAAAAGTATGATTTGATATTGATGGTTCGTACTTCCAGAATGAGTGTTTGATGAAAGAGCATCTTTACAAAACTAAAAGTTCGTATTGAAAATAGGATATCGTTATGCCGAAAATGGATGGTATTGCTACAACGAGAAATATTAGACGCTATGATTCCTTAACCCCAATTGTATCAATGACGTCTAATTTCACACATAACGATATTATGGAGTATATTGGGATTGGAATGAATGATATTTTGCCAAAACCATTTTCAAAAAATACACTTTATGATATACTGGAAAAGCATTGCGCCCATTTAAAACTGGAGCAACAACAGTCCGATATAACATACGATATGAATACCCAAAATAATGACTCTACAGCAACACCCTCGACTTCAAATTCTACACCTACTAATAACTCTCCAATTACCAACAACACTATTGGGGGTCACCATCCTCATCCGCAGTCTACCGAGTATTGGCAGTCAATAAATAATAGCACTAACAGCAATGGTGTAAATGATAGGAAGATGATTTGGTCTACATCGTCGTCTTCTGCTTCTAATAATCCTGCAAACACTACAAGTACTGCCACTATTACCACGCCACCTGCGCCTATGGTACCTATTGTACCAACCACTCCAATGGTCCACCATCATTTACTATCACCATCCCATTCACAGCCATCTTCCCAACAACATGCCCCATCTCCGCATAAAAGGCAAAAACTTACTGATTTATATGATACTTCATATTAGTCTATATCTATGATATATATATGCGAGAAGAAGAGAGTTTTGTTTGCTTTGAATTTTTTGAACGCTGTATGTCTCTTCTTCAGATATGTTTTATTTAATGAAATTTTAACTATACCAGCTAATGACACCTAACAAATAAATATTCAACTTTCTGCTTGAAATATACTCGAATGACTATATTATACTGAGCTTAACATTTTCTATGAATAATAGATGGTCCAAATTCATCATACTCCTTCCTAGATATCCACAATTGATGAAAAGTACCCAAAGATGCTAAAATAGAACCACCTAGCCAACTACTACTTTTGCGCTCTATTGTATTGCCAGAGGCGTGAATCTTAATTTTGCTCTATATTTTTCATTGAAACATTAGTACCGACACGTCTACTATTGAATACAGAGAGTTATGACACTTACCCCAGGAGCTTTCAAAGGTAATTCAAAATTCAATCTCTCATTAAATCCGTTGAATAGTGTATTTCCACCAGTAACAACCACATTATTGAACAAAAGTGGACGAAGATCAATATCACAATTATTAATGCTGTTGTAAATCAATTCGTGTACACCTAATAATTTCTTTTTTGGAACTGTTGTTGTCCCTGTCGTCATTGTAGCTTGTTCATCGTCCTCCAACTTCATCTCAACATCCCCCTCGTCATCTTCATTACCTTCCTTTTTGTCTAGAATATCTGGTTGGAAAAGCATCTCAGGAATTTTGTATCTTTCGATGCCAAAAGAATGATTATATCCATCTGGAAATTCGAAAGATTTTACTGGTTTGGCTGATAGTAATCCTTCGTCAAACGTTACGTCTGATATTTGGCCTACAGTTTCTTTGTATTCGTTGAGGATTCTCTAATAATAGCGAACCTGTCAGAGGTAGAAGTACTTTATACGGACTGAGCAGCATGTCATTTCTCCATTTACCTGAACTTGGTAATCATCAAAACTTTCTGTTGGCTGTTCGTCTTCTTTGAATTGACGTAAAGTTATATCGGGTTTTTGATCCGCTTCCACTGGTTTCTTTTTCGCTATCTTGTATTGTGCCGTGGTATCATAATTTAGATCAAGTTTGAGCTGCTTCTTAATCTGTTCTGTCAACGTATCTCCCGCTAATGGCTGATATAGGATTCCCTTGTTCAATACAAACCCGTCGTAGACAGGTACTGCACTTGTCATACTTCCACCAGAATCCAAGACAAGTGCTGTTGCTCTACCAGCAGAAAATGCTGTCATAACTGCATCCTGTGCTAAGTAAAATGCTGGAAATTGGAATTTTTCAAAAGCAAGTTGGGTGATCTTTTCTCTGTTCTCTTTCGTGTTCCAAGCTGGCTCTGTACATAATAATGGATGTTCTTCTGGATCAATACGCAGCATATCTTTGAAAATAGTCTCCCAGATTTGCTCCATAGCGTCCCAATCCTCCACTATAGAGTTGGAGCAGAAAACATAAAATGAAAGGTTAACAAAGTGTTTCGGCTTTCTCTTTTTCAAATTATCGTCATCTATTTACCAATTCCATCTTTAAGAGGGCTTTTGATTTCCATATTGCCCTTGAATCTATTTATTTTGTTATCACCAATGTAATATTGTCTCTTTTTTGTTGCTGGTCGTATGCAAGGAGATTGCTGACCTTCTTGTTGCTGCCGATCTTCAGACATTTGTTCATCCTCTATATTTTCCATAACAATATCGCTATCAACTGCTTTCCCTGCCTGATGGTCGGGAAGACTATCTGTATCCACATATCCAAATCTTGTGGGAATGGTAACGCGAGGTACATCTTCACCTGCGTAACCGGCTCGTACCGTTGTCGATCCAACGTCAAGCACAAGGGCATTGACTTCATCTAATTGCATCGTGCAGAGAGTGTAAGCCAAGTCAACAATATTTTTGATCACAATTCATTTGCTGAGAAGCTTATCTTTTCAAACATACCTCCTCCATAAGCAACCATAGCCTGAAATCTTTACGAGTGATAGTATAAAAGCAGAAATAAATCCAGCCTCTACAATAAAATGGAATTTGTAAAAAAGGGCGAAAGGAAGTAAGACCAAAAAAGGCTGCATTTCAAATGTGCAACGCTATGATTATTCCAAGCCATGCTACTGTCGCTACACACAGGCTACATATAGAAGGCGCTTAAAAACACGTCGCTGGCATACAAAGGATTTTAATCAATGAACTTAACGCAATAGACCGTTTATTTAATGCTAATGGTTGTATGTACAAATATATAATATAAACGATCTTTGTTCCATTACTGATCCTTTAAACATTCACTTTGCGTTCGTCACCAAAATTACGAGCAGTGCCAGCAGCCAATTCACTTTCATATACTAGCTGCTTGTTGATCGAAGCAATGAAAGCCTTAGCAGCGGCAGTCATGATGTCAACATCGGCAATACAAGAACTGAAAGCTGACTTCTTAACGCGTTCATCAGGAACAGTTTCTGAGTTTGTTACTACAGTAGTAGCAGGATCTACCATTATTTGTATTTCAGCTTTGCCCAAGGCGTCGCTTCCTTCCCCTACTGCACTAATGTCAAATTTGGTGAGACGGAAACGGCGATTGATGATACGCTGTATAGCCTCGAATATTGCATCAATGGGTCCATTGATTCCTACAGCCGCATCACTCAATTCCTTTTCTGCTTTCACATCAAATATCTTCACGCTTGCCATAGATGTTGTTTCTGCACCACCCACCACTTGAATTGATGTTAGAGTGTAGAATGAGGTATTAACATTGGCACTGATTTGGTTTGTCAAAATAGCAAGGATATCTTCGTCATTGACATTCTTCTTCTTGTCACATAGAGCCTTGAATTCATTAAAGGCACGTTGAAAATCAGCCTCTTGAATATCAACGAAACCAAGTTCCTTACAACGTTCACGGAAGGCATTGCGGCCAGAATGTTTACCAAGTACGAGATTGATATCGGTAACACCCACTGTTTCAGGTGTAATGATTTCGTAAGTTTGGCGATTCTTGAGCACTCCATCTTGATGAATACCTGATTCGTGAAGGAACGCGTTACGGCCAACAATGGCTTTATTGGGTTGAACAATCATACCCGAAAGAGAGGAGACTATCTGTGATGTGCGGTAAATGAGTTGTGTATTGATAGTATGGTGAACAGGGAAATAATTGGGATGCGTATGGATGGCCATGACGACTTCTTCCATAGCGGTGTTACCAGCACGTTCACCAATACCGTTGATTGTTACTTCTACTTGTCTTGCACCATTTGCAATACCAGCCAGGGTGTTAGCTGTCGCTAAGCCGAGATCGTTATGACAATGCGTAGAGAATACGACGTCTTTTCCTCCTGGTGTATTTTCAACAAGATACTGAATGAGTTTGCCATACTCTTCAGGCGTGTTATAGCCTACTGTGTCGGGAATATTGAGCGTGGTTGCGCCGGCTTCAATAACCTTGCCAAGAACTGTACAAAGGAAGTCGGGATCGGAGCGACCAGCATCCTCTGGAGAAAACTCAACATCATCTACAAACGAGCGAGCAAGAGTGACAGCAGCAACGGCGCGCTTGACACACTCTTCACGGTCAATTTTTAATTTGTATTTCAAGTGAACATCGGATGTGGCAAGGAAGACGTGGATACGTTTTCGTGGAGCTGGAGCAATTGCTTCTGCACAGCGCTTGATGTCACCTGGCGTAGAGCGAGCAAGACCACAAATTGTCTAATTGTATGAAAGATAACAGATGGATAAGAATGTCTTGCCATCCAAACTTTGCGCTTATGCATCTTTTAACCCGCCCCCAATTAAAGAATTCATATCATGCACTTACCATAGGTTGACCAATTTTCTCTCTTCCGTCCATCAAGGGTCCTACTTCTCTGGCAATCCGTTGTACGGCTTCAAAATCACCAACAGAAGCAATTGGAAAACCTGCTTCAAGCACATCTACACCGAGACGTGAGAGTTGTTTGGCGATTTCAATCTTTTCCTCTGTATTCAAAGTAACACCAGGGGACTTTCCGCAGAATTCATGTACAATATAATTAACATCTAAAATCTTTACTTATATCAAAAAGGCTACAATAGCCTTACCTGTTCACCGTCACGGAGAGTAGTGTCGAAAATGATAAGTTTGTCGGTGCCGGTCATTTAATTGAGAAGTGTACTTAATCAATGTAAGTTGTTATTTTAACGTGAGTTAGAAAAGAGTTAAAAAAAACGCAAATTGAACTATTTTCTTGTAACAAAAAAGAAAACGAAAAAAGAAACACTTATTCATGCTCTATATCTTTATAGCAATGTCAAATGTGAAGGGATTATTCCAAATACAGTTTTGTTGATTTAGATTTAGACAAACTGTTAATTTTTTAAGATAAAATACAAAACTCATATTCAGATAATTTGCAGCTTTTTTTTAGCAATTTTCTCAAAGGTATTCGTCATTCTTATAGACCACCTTTTTCGGATTATCAAAAAAAGTGATTTACAATGCTTAACGACGTATCTCTCAGCAACACTTTTCTGGCGTTTTTGTTATAAATGTTGTATTATAATGAAGAGGTTTTTTTAAACGGAAAAATATCCCTTCTTTTTCGTACTACGTTTTGTAACTTTCGGCTCTATTTGTGTACAGAAGTCTCACTATATAAAAATGAGATCTGTTAAAGGAAAACATAAGAATCATATTTTATTTAAAAAATGCTTTATAATTGTAGGGGAACCATCAGGTGAAAAGAAGAAAAGCAACTGGTGATCCCCACGCTGTAACGGTTAATGAATATCTACCACCGCGTATACACAATTGTTGTCGCTCGGACACATCAGAAGCATTAGAGACAGTCCGTGACTGTAGTATCCTTGTTTGCAAAAATTGTAAGGTAGTATGGAACCGCGTGTCAATGCAGTAAAAAAAAATAATGGTTATCAGCATTTTCGATTTTGAAAGACATCTTCGTCCTTTTTCTATTATCGCAAAAGCGAGACTGGCTTGATATCTACAGGAAAACGTCTCCATTTTAGTGTAGTTCGGCCTTCAAGCTCCAATACAACGTCTCAAAAATTTGGCTTGTTCTGTTCATTTGTATTGCAACTTTGTCTAAAACCAAAGCTGGAAAAACTGTAGCAGGTACGACTAAGGAACTATGACCCATTCAGTATATGGCCAATCAAAATAAATTGATCAACCTTAATCCATATTACGATTATCCAATAAAATTAGCCCTTTGCATGTAAGTCATCGTGTCACAAGTAGAATGCCAATGTTTTTTTACCGTTTAGTTGGACATTTCAACGTCTCATTCATACCACTATGGAGCTTGCAAAGTATCAAAATGAGTAAATCCCCGCATGAACGGATCAGTAGAGTTTCCAGAAGGATGTGCCTCAGATAGAGCTTTTCATGTTACAGTCGTGCAAAGAAAGTATTCGACGGATACTGTCAATGAGTGAAAGACAACTTCAAAATGCAAATAAATGCAGTACTTAAAACCTGCAATGACTCTAACTACGCACCACACATCCTCGCTTGGTTGCCTACAAAGAGGAAATATTCAATCTGCGTAGAGTCATCGTTTATCAGATTGTCCCTTTTTTAGGAAAAAGCAAAGGAAAACGTTGCAGTAATGAGCAAAGTAAGCAATTTTTATTCCTTCATTTACGACTAAGATATCCTTCGTTACAAAATCAATTGGATGAGTGAATTATAGACCCATGAAAATGTATTATCAACACACATCATCGCAATAAAGGTCCTTTGACAGGTGATGATGGTTGAAGGTGGTTCGAGGCAGTTCGAGGCGGACTTTAATGGGCTAACATATATATATTGAGCTTCTGTTGCTTCATCTCGACAAGTCTATTCGTCGTTACTACACATGTTCTCTTCAGCTTTTGATCTTTATGCTGCCATGGTTGCTCCTGGGTCCATTATTCTTCGTTATACAGCAACATCGCAAGCAAATACAGACCGTAATGGTCGCATATTATTCAGTGAATGAATCATCGCTTTCATTTTCGCTGCTAGAGCAGATCTTCAGCTGGATAATAATGATTCTGCTGATGCTGCTTCTTACAAACTGAGTCATATCAAGGGCATTGTTTCTCAATTATCTGTGTATAGAAAGAATGTCTGCATGTGGATGATAAATGATTTGGTGCAGTAGAGGAAGGCTAAACACCCCTTTGATATTACGACGCCCTGGGAAAAGCTGCAATTAGACTACAGGCATCTGTTCTAACAGCTCAAGGGAATGGCCTTCACATCCAATATTTCTAACACAAGACAATTGGGCTGCGAAAGGAATCTTGTCTGTTCATTATGGTAATCATTATTACCGTCTTTGTGAAACGACAAACTAGATCATTATATTTACTGCATTACTTTTATCATCACTCGTAGGACCTCTAAACTGAATATTATGACAATAATTGTTAGTTAAACTAGTATCAGATTGCCCTTGCGAAAGCACCCTCAATCTCGTCTTTTAACAGCTCAAAAAGAAAAGACTCAGAACCTGCCATATATTCGACTTTGAACCCCTCCTTAAACCCTCTATTTTGGATCGACTGCTACCATCATCACAGCCTTTACCCGTTTCTTTCTGACCATCAAATAACGCTCGCACCTGATGCCAAAACTCAACAAGCATCAATAAAGCCAGCAGATGGAGCAATATACGTCTTTGTTACGTTCGCTGTCACCTTCACTTTCTCTTCTTCGCACCTTTTTCTGTCCATACGAACTATTTTTTCTCGGTTACCTTCAATAATGTTATCCAAGCGTTACGCACCGTCTTCGGACACAAGCGACAACGATGTTTTTATAGGAGAGGAATTAGAGATGAAACGCTTAATTGATGATATTACGGAGAGGAGTAGCCAACGAAAAGAAATCAATGGCACCAACATACATGGATTGAGTAACGAAATTTATATTGCTTATCGGATGATGAGGAGTTGCACATCTCAGTTTCAGAAAATATACATGACAATGTGAAGAACAATACAACGACAATGAGCTAGCAGGTACTATTATTCATGATCAATGTATCTTGACTTTTTTTTGAAATTAGTGACTAATTTAGCAACTCTCTAAATAGGACTCGCTCAAAAAGAAGTTGCTTCCTTTGCAGAAGATGATGAACGTTTGATGGTTGAATGCGCAAAAACGGAAAAAATCCCTACGAAAGCATTAGCGAAAAAGAAGCAGAAAGGTAAATAGCTCACCGGTATTGAAAAGCAGATATATAAGAAGACTTGTCGTATTTAAGGGTAGATAATATACAAATATTGAAGATTTTAATTCACTTTATGAACGATAAGGATGAAGTATACAATATTGCAAACCAGAAATAATTAGAAACTACATAAACTCTAATATATGAGTACCGTGAATTAAGTGTTGTGTTTAGTTGACAGCATCATATGAGATGTGGAGACCTCGTATACAAATTATACAAGATCCTCACACCTCATTACTGCTGAAATAAATATAAAGTAGAGTAGGAAACGAATACAGAATAAGTGATGATTCTTATACGAGATTAGCTACCTCGTATAAGGCTGAACAGGTTGTCATTTAGGATATATAGTTTACTTATTTTACTGTAACACGTTACTATATGACATAGGATATAGTATAGTAAAATTAATATATGGACATGCAGGATATAGTGATCCAACACTAAGGTATAATAGGTTATAAGTACTATTATCTGCCTTCGGCATAAAGAATGATTTTAAGATAATAGGTTGTGATCATCCTTTACAATAACTGTTCACTCAACTCAAACACCACGCACGAATACCATTTTCCTAATTAATACTATTTCCTGCAAGCAGTGCTACATAATGGTTAGCACGAGAAAATAGATAGGTTAGTTGCATGATTACTAGATTAAGCCATGGATACGTTTACAAGTCCACCCGCTCCGGGTAGATGCGTAATCTCATCAAGGGAGAATTCTATTCTTTTACGGTTCAGAAGACGTACGTCTTCCTTGAGTAGAATAACTCAGCTGTCAGTTTCTAGGTTCCGCAATATGAAGAAGATATTTAACTTAACTTGATTCAAAATAAAGACTTACTAGTTTGATCTCGTTAAGCTTTTACTGTTTTTAATTAAGTGATATTCAACTCTCAAGTCGTCGAATATCACAAGAGTAAACGAGCATAAAAAAAAACTTATGTAGCGGCTAGTTCATCCATCATTTTCCATAATACAATAACTTACAGCCATGATGGCATTACCGAACTGCTTACAAAACAACAGCCCAAGTACAGCAATGAATACTTCATGTAGCACTTATCAGAATCCGTGGTTACCCACAATTATGGGAGAAGTTCAACGATAAGACTCTTGTTAACAATTTTGTGCGTGCCTGGCTAAAGAATACGAAATTGATAAACGCTTAGCGATACTATTATCGTTCATTTAAGCAACGTCAAGTAACTTTGTCAAATACCGCTATTCGTTTGCTGTGGCTGCTTGGGATGATGGTTTTATATATTCTTTCATCTACGAAATGTCAGTCTTGTAACGGTAACATCGGGCTGCCTGTAATTGTAATAGTAACCAAATAAACTAAGTCCCTTCTGTCAGCGTAGCATTTGCACTCCTAGTTGCTTTAATATATGGCAAACAATGTTGGCTTTGTGAATTGCTTTTTCGCCCGTACTCGAAATGGAATAATTCGTTTATTTTTGGTTGCTGATATGATGAAAGAACATGAATACAATCTTGAAATATAAAGATACTTGCAGTGGTTCAGCCAAATATGTACTGATATCTCATCTTCGGAACTATATTACCAGCCTCCAGTTTCTCCCTAATCGGTCTCTAACCAACTCTAATGGCAGCTTATAAAATTTATTGATCAGTCACTAGTATTCGTATTACAGTAGCTTTAATCTTTCATCAAAGAGTCTTTAGCAGAGTTGATTTGAAAGGTTCGAAAGTGGGGGAAACCGAATCAGAAAGTTAAAATTACAGCAGAGTCCCGTAGGAATACCAAAAAACAAAAAAAAAAATATTTATTCCTCTTTTTAAATTGTTATCGTACAGATCTCCCGATTGTTCAAAATTATGGTAGCTTCAACATCACTGGACGTTGTTCCTGAAGATCCCACTGCATACAAAAAGAAAGACTATTGGGATAAAAGATATCAGCAGTAAATTGCAGCAAAATAGCTAGTGTCAATTTTGCAATCGTTACTTATCATATAATTTTACAACTTATATCGAAATCCCAGAGAAAGCTCTGATACAACTTTTGACTGGTTCAAAACCTATGCAGAGTTAAAGCCTTTGTTGAATGAAGCGATCCCAAATAAAGATGTTAAAATTCTTATCCTAGGCTGTGGTAATTCTAGTAAGTTACCAGTAGATTTTACAGATGCACAGATACTGCACATGTTAGATGATAGATCGTCTGATGGTTTCGACACTCTTCAATTATACATATATATAGCTCTAGGCGAAGATATGTATGATGATGGATATAAAAACATAGTGAATATAGATTACTCAGCAACCGTTATTGAGCAAATGAAGAAGCGTTGTGCTAATCGACCTGAAATGAGTTGTAATTACTACAAAAAACTCTTGAAGCATACAGTCATGAATAGTACAAATAGCTTAATCTTTGTCTCTTCTACTGCTTACCACAGGGTTAGAAATGGATATCCGTGATTTGAAATTTGATAATGAGTCGATGGATATAGTGATTGATAAAGGTAGTGTCTTACATATAGTTAAATGGAAACTGGCAGCTACTTACTGTATTTCAATTTCTTCCTGTAGGTACAATGGACGCTTTGATGTGTGATCGTGGAGATGTTTGGGATCCTTCAGAAGAGCTGATAAATGATGTGAAAGGCGAAGTTGACGAAGTAGAAAGAGTGCTGAAACCAGGCGGTACATTTTTGTATATCACATTTGGACAGCCTCATTTCCGTAAACGACATTTACAGAGAGACTGTTGGACTATCAATATAAAAACGTTGGGTGATGCATTTCATTATTTCTTTTATTCAATGGTTAAAACTGTATAATACAATATGTAGATCAGATTTCTTGCATTTCTCCTTTTTATGTATATAAACATTTTAGATGTATTGTTGAAAATGATTCGAGGTCAAAGTAGCCTACGATAAATTTTGCTTTTGTGTTTTGTTGCTTCGTAATCAGCCTCTTCGCTTTGATGTAGATGGTAAAAACAATCTTTGCAATATTTATTGTCCTCATCATCACAATCTTCACATACAATTGTTGCGTCTTCATTGCATATGCCTATAAAAATAGAAATTAGAATGACCATATTCCATTTATATACTAGAATTATTCTTTACGTACAGCACCAATCCTCCATCTCATTATGTAAGAGTTCGTCCTTAGACATCGAAGAAGGCACAGTGCCCCTAGGTTTATTTTTGTCACTTGCAGCAGCTAACCCGTAACTATCAGGAAGTTTCGGTGCGTCTTTTTTCAATTTCAAGTATCGCTCTTTCAGCTCTTGGTCCGTTGATTCGATAAATTGTTCGTATTTACTGTCTAAATGAGCCATATCTTTCATTTTTTGTATCAATTCATCTGTTGTTTCATCCACATCAAGATGGATATCGCTGCTATTAGGGACGGTGGTTAAAAATACGTCCTCCAGTTGTTGAAGTTTCTTATTTGCCTTTTCAAATGAATCAATGCTAGTTGTAGGGTCAGAGGCCATCGTTGGCGAAGCTGTGGTATCGTCTATCAAGCTATAAATATCATCCATATCATCGTTTAGATTGTTATCTAAAATGAGCTGGTTCAACAATTGTTCGGCCTAGTATTTACATCAAGCAGTTTATTAGCAACAGTCTATATTATACTTGTCAGCAGATGCTTATTATACTGACTTGTTCCTCCAGATGTTTTTCGTCAATGTTATCAGGTATAATATACCTGTTTGTCGCCTCTTTATCTCTATTTATGCATATTTGATGGTTAACGATACATGTTTGACCACTGCAAGCTTCTCCGCTGGCATTTTACCCTTTTAGAACAGGGACATTTACGAGGTATTTCCAGTTAGTTTTTCATTTGCGGATATTAGCTTATTAAGTCGATTAATAAACACAGTTTCTTCGTGTTGCAGTTTGTTTGAAGGCATAATAAAATAGAAAACAGAAACAAAATGGATTAAACGAAAAAAAGGCAGATAAAATTGATCGAATAACAAATTCCGTGGCCTTTTTTTAATTTTTCAATCCACTTAGTAAAATTAGACCGCTGGCTGTCTAGCCATTCAATGTTAGAGCTGTTACAGAATCTTAGGCTTCAGATAGCTATTTACTGCATTATCAAGCAAAGTTTCTGGACGAAAAAGCATATCCGTAATCAAATGCGAGCACATGTAAAGACAACGTCAAATTTTTGTTTCATCTTTCTCTCATGAGTAAACCTACTTTTTGGGACGGCTTACACAATACAAGATTCAAAATGAAAGTTGTTCTTTTCTTAGACCGAAATTATTTCCCCAGTGAGAATAAAGAGTCTTCAAAAAGCGAAATGTTGTTGATGAGGAGGAAGTTCAAACCATAAAAAGCTATCGGCCCACAATTTGACATAAACTCTTCATACATTTTATCTCAGCGATCATCTGACAATTATTTATTCTTTAGATTGTGAACAACGTTCGGAAAATTAAGCGGACATTAAGTTCGTGAGTTACCTTAAAAAATAGTTTCTTACGCGTTCCCGTCCTCAAGATCCCAACTTCCACACTTTATAAAAAGCACATTAACAATAGTTAAACGAAACTGAAAAAACAAGAAAATCCTTTTAGCTTTTATATCAACAGCATGGTTTTAATGCTTGCGGGGACGAGTTTTGCAAGAGATTGTTAGTTATATTTATTTCAATGAATTATGAGTGAAAAGCATACAGATGGATTAAATTAGTTTGAATTGAAATCATTTTTTTAGCATTCTTTATGTGAACAATTTATCTTAATGTGCCTAATTGTGATCTCTTTTGCGGTGGCCAGTATCGGCTTTCGTCTATCAAATTAGAGCTAGCAATAGGAACAGTGCTGTCATGTTTATTTGTTGCCGCTTTAATTGTCATTGACTTGAATAGATGTTTGAGTTTGCGGTCCTTGGTGGTACTAATGTTATTTGTAGTACTTTCTGCAGGAGCAACAGCATTCGTTGGCATCAATTGTTTGAGTTTTGGCCACAACTTCCTTTTTCTTGAACTGGTATTGGTATTTTCAGGCGAACAGCTTAAATTATTACCGTTGATTTCTGCAATTGTATCAAAGTATGTAATGTACCCTTCTCTTTCTGCTTGTGCTGCTGATATTGAGGTTGAGTTTGCATAAGATGGAGGAATCGTAACTGTAGGTGTTGTAGGGCTTGCCATAGCTACTGTTGTTTGCGCTTGCTGTCGAGCAGTGGCAGCATAAGATGCAGCGACTGCTGGATAACCTCTTCGATCAGGTAACGGATCATCATTAACAATGTTAATAACTGAAAATACATTTGATGGTGGCGGAAGAGGTGATGCATCCACGGGAGTGGCAAGCCCTGCTGAATCTATCGTATCTTCAGATCTATACGAAGCTAACGAGAAACGAATGGGATTTGGCGTATAACTGTAGTAACTGAATTCAGTTGAAGTCATTGTCGGTTGTGGTAACGGAGAAAAATAGAGGAAAGGAGAAAGAAAAGCAAATAGTGCCAAATAGCTACTGCTACTATATATACTTTGATTACGATAAAAGATCTCAATCAAAGTATGAATACAAGATGCTGTAAAATGCTGTTCTTAGTCCTTGAGCACATATTAATATCAACCAGATATCTTGAATGCTTCCAAATTTATCTTGTTTTCTAACTCTTTTGGAGTTAAATTTGGCAACTTTCCTTTAAGGGATCAATATAATGTATGTACAGCTTCGCCTTTTATTTGAAAGCATTTTCATGAGCATTTGTGGTTATAGTTACAAAAAGAAAAAGTTGTTATTTGTTATGTAGGCTTTGGTAACCTTCCAGCTAAACAAATTGCATATAAAAAGAAGGTATGAAACTTAGTGATGACCTTATGATTGAGACTCTTCAGGTGCTTTGTAAGAGTAATCCCATCCTTGAGTAGGTGGTGTTTCCGTAGGAATCTTTGCTTGTCTAGGATAAGTAATATGTCGACTTCTCACAATAGCACCTTTATATAAACGATTACTTGTTTTTTCCAATTCTGTCATTGCTGCATTCATAGTTCTAAATTGGCGTTCCAGTGTTCTTTCTCTTTGTTCTCTAACACGCATTTTATGAAGTTTCCAAGCACGCTCAATTGTTTCATGTTGTTCTAAGAGCTCGCCCTCCAATTCAAGTGTTTTTTCTCGACGTGGTGGTTCGAATAATACACGGCGGATTGTTTCTAAACGAGGATCACCTTGTGATGAAGTAGCAGCATTAGCGGATGCCCATCTTTTTTGCTGTTGCTGGCAAATCGATAATGTAGCTTTTCGGAAAGGATTAACGGTGCGGAAAGTTTTTGACATTGGACAATGTAAAAGATGAACGAGGTCAAATGGTAAGTGTGGTTCCTTAATAAGCCCTGGCTTTTGCCCTGTTAATGTCTGATGCAAGCCACTTGAATGTGGGGCGATTTCGATCTGAGACTGAAGTGAGTTTATGCTTGCCGCAGCTTCCTCTTAGAATTGATCGACAGTTTTATATGAGAATTAATGTTTAGCTGTCGTATGCTTATAAACCCAATTGATGAACTGAAAACAATATTCATAGAGTCAGTCATCGAATAGACTTAACATATGATAAGCAGGCAGTGGGAAGAGCTCCGCTTCTTTTCAAAAGCAAATTTTCCAGCTCTTTTGAAAGAGGATATCCTGCTTTATAATTCAATCTCCTGAGAACGACATTGAAGAGCATAGATAAACTTTTTCCGAATTCATTGTATGAGCTCCTTAAATAATAATTGTTTGATGGTTGTAGTCTTTACTAGTTGGGTGAGAAGCCATGTCTTTTTTTGACAACTCGCAACTCTCCCTTATTATCCCCTCTCTTTTTTACTATTCGAAGAGCCTCCTAAAGCAAAGTCTTTGATGATTGCCGACTCATTCTCTTTTGTTCTTTTTATTTTATTTTCCTATACGATTTATTCAATAGGAAATAGCAGCTCCTAAAGTGTTGTCATTTATTAATCCCGGCAGAAGTACCTATTATGCTTTTTGTCTGTGCATCGAGATGCAACAATACTGATGATGCCTCATTGTTTTAGTCGTTATATAGTGATACTATCCCAAAAACAATATAGCTCGAGAAATGGCTGCAGCAATAGAAATTGCTGGTTGGGCTCTTGCGATAGTCATACTCGCCGCAATTGTCCTTTTATCAGTCGTCGTATACTTCCTCATTCGAAAAAGAGTTACAAAAAGCAGAGCCTCAGTAGGAACACAAGATGATATGGTCGCTTTGGAGAAGAGTGTTTCATCTAGTATTACTGCCTATTATCCAGTAAAGCCTCTGACAGCTTATAGTAGTAATGATTGCATTGTAACGGAAGACAATGAGAAGAAGACTACTCAGACAAACTATTTACCAGTTCAAAACAGGAACAGGCAACTTAACAACAGTAAAAATGCAGATGCAACAGCATCCATATTACCCACTATTGCATACGGATCCTCATCGGACATTGGAATGTCTACAACTGTGCGTTCTGATGAAAAAAGTTCCACTCATGATTTTGAACAAGATGATACAATTTGTGACAGTACAGTAATTCAATTAACTGATCCTTTTAAAGAAGAAGATACAGTCTCAACAGTCTCGACCAACGACACGTCCTTGGCATATCAGACAAATGAACAATATCACTTTAAAGCCTCAAAAGGCAAAGATTTCAAATTCGAACTTCCACTACCACCTCCCAGTAGTTCCTTATTTGCAGATAAAATGGAATTAAATTCTGACGAGGCCGATGAATTATATCACTCCTATTTTAGTATTTCGACTCAACAACAGCAAGGAGGTGGTGAAATGCTTGCAGATGACAGTAATAATACTAGGGCTTTCTTATCAGCTGCAGCTGCTACTATTCAACAGAAAGCAGCAACTATTCGAAGTAATTTAAGACAATCAATAAGACGAAAGTCTACTGTGGAAAATAAGTCGCACGCACCACTGAGTGAACTGTTCAATATTCATGGTAGCACTGTCAGTCACGATAATTATAGTCAAGGTAGTAACAGCAGCGCTAGCCATAAAACATCTGAAGCAGCAAACTGTATAAGTTTTAACGACAGCGGGAGTAGTGTCAATATGAGTCGACGGCAATCTTCATCCACCACAGTTTCAGCACAACAACAGCCCCGAAATTCTCTACAAGCTACGTCTGTTTTCACAGCCTCTTCATCGACGCATTTCTTGACACCGCCGGTACCGTCTACGGCGACTATCCTGTCAGATAAATGTAGCACTCACAGTAGTAACTACACCGACCCTCACGACAGCAGAAAATTAAGTGTGATTAGCTCTACTGCGAAAGGCTATCTGTCTTCTGCTTACAATAACTATGCCAATAAAAATGCAAAGAAAGAATTAGGGGAGATCACCGACGAATCGAATAGTAGTAATAAAATTATGATAGAGGATGAAACAATATCACAACCAATTCAGCAACAAAAGCCATTTTGCAATCCATGTGCGGCTCCAAGTTTGTCAGCGCCACAACACTCAACTACTACAGAATCAGAAGACAACACGCATTTCGCTAACAATAAGGACGAAGCAGCTACTGAACACCTTTCTCAGCCTTCCTCAGAAATAGTACAGCAACAAGAAACAACTTCAGCAGCAGCTTCAGCCGCTTCAGCCGCTCGTAAAGTGATTCGCTCTGCTTCCCGAAAGTCACAGAAGACTCGATCGATGATCATTGACGCTACTACTACAGAGCCCGACTATCAAACTGAATACCTCATGCTTGAACATGTCTCTTCAGCCCATCATCATAATGGCAAATATCAGGATACTATCTCGCAAAACCGATCAGATTGTACAAAAGCCATCGAGCCGGTATCAAGTCCCAAAAACTCAGCAGTGATGACTGTGGGACGTGCATTTGGCAAGGCTAGCAATAATAATAATAACTATAGTAGCAAAATAACCGATGCACGACCACTAAATGGCATCTTCATACCTGCAAGGTCTCCGCAAGATTTTCCTTCGCCGCAGCTGTCAACAGCAAACGGTAAAGCGGCCCAAAATGAATATCAGACTCGAACGGGCCATGTAGAAGTATCTACCTCTCACCCTTCATCTGATACTTCCAAATCATCCGCAACTGATCTCCACAACAAACTTGCAGAGATAGCTGACAGCTCAATTGATGACAATTCTTACTCACCAACCTCGCCAACCTCACCAATTTATTCGAAAGGGCTTCTTTCTTCGGACAGTTCATCCAGATATAGCACGCTACAGCTACGAAATAGTAATATTGCTGCTAGTAGTAGCAATGTTGATACCATTAGAAAAATGCTGCAGGCCTCATGGAGTAATAGTGATGTGAAAGAAAGTGGATCATCCTTTAGTCTGGCATCGTCAACATCGTCGTCAACACAAACCGCTCGTCAAAGTAGTAGTAGTAGTAATAGGAACAGTACCAATGCTTATCCGATGGATAGTCTGGGCTCAATAATTAACAATAGCCGACAAGTTGCATCGCCCATTGGTAGTTTAAACCCACGATTGCAGAATAAGCATTTGGTTTCACTATCCTTAAGGTTAAACAGTTCTCCGCAACAGCAACAATTGGCAACATCCAGCGTTACTCGTCGACCTGCTATGCCAGCAGCATTTTATAAGAGCAATAGCAACAATAATTGGGACTCAAGCATGGCAGATGAGGAAGAAGGACTTGAAGGGCCAATGCCGACAGCCTCTTTTTCTTCCTCTACTGTCCGTACTATGATACCTGAAGATGAGGTAATTACAGAGCAGCAACAATATACAGCAAAAGAGAAACTGATACAGCAAGAAAGAGCAGGTTCGACTATAAGAAACTCAACAAGACCCATTAACAACAAGTCAAAAACTATCAAAAGTACAGAGGACGATAAGCGGAAGAAAAATCATAATAAAAAGACACCTGCCCAGCAAGAACGTGAAAAATACCTTAGATCGCTTAAGGCTCAAAGCTAACAACTAATACACGCATAATAAATTCGCAAGAACATTTTAGAAGATGCACATGAGCAATTTTCAGTTGATCTTGATATCGTATATTACATATGATCCCATTTAATAATATTATGTGAGTCTTGAATAACATATTGGGCCTGCTCCATAAGCTGTTTAACCCTATTCATAAACCATAAGAACCATTCATCTTGCTGCCTCCATAACTCTATTTCATCCTCAGTAACTTCTCTTTCCGCTTCTTGCCTCTCTCCCATGACACTATTAAGCGTTGATATATTTTGTCGCTCCTTTTCAAAATCTTTTGGTGGGCTATTCGATAATTATAAAAAAATTGTTGATCAGATGCTGGATTAAAGTGCTTCATCTCTACGTAATACGAAGCTATACCTTGGTATGGTCATAGATATAAGAAAAAAACGGGAGCAGCAATAAAGAAAAAAGATACACTTGTATTGGTTAGGATAAATATAGGTTTCAAGCTCGGAGAATAATATCATGATCCCCTTTCGCAGGGTAGCTGAAGCTACCATTTGTATATACAAAGCTACTTTAATTACATGAAAAACAATCTATTTAAGAGTTTATTTGTTACAAAGTTAGAGGAGAAGAGATTGCTATGCTTGTTTGAAACCTTGGAGGTAAAAATAATGCTCCTTTATTTACAACTGCACTTCTTCCATTATCTCCTCTTCATCTTCGTCGTCATCTGAAACCTCATCCTCAATGTTGGTACCTGCATTTTGCTTTTCTGCCAACGACATCCTTTGTTTAAATTCTGGCTTCAGTTGGTAGTTACCAGCGTAAGGACCTCTCTTATTCAAAATGCAAATCTCTTGCAAGACTTCTTTCAGATATTGGCTAGGCTGTTTTGTATGTTCTAAGATACCTTTAAATGACCAATATGGAAACTTATCAAATGCCGCAAATAAAAGATCCATAAGCTCATTCCTCGGCATACGAGTTGCTTTCTCTTTCTCTGTTTTTTGTTTTTTGGTATTCTAAAAAGGGAGCATCAACATCTATATGTGAATTCTTCTTCCTAGCAGTAGCATATACCGCTCGTATGATTGACTTACAACAAAATTGGAAAATCCAGTGTCTTGTAAACTACTACTAGCACCGGGTACAAACACAGGCTGATTGTTTTGTCCCAAGATTTGAACAGATCTTTGCGGCGTGCCAGCTTCCAAAACACGTTTTCTCATAATATTTCTATATGTACCGAATTGGGCTGGAGTTGCTGTACATTCATGGTGTACTGTGCCGCTAATAGCTTTGCCTCCATTCTGATCTTCTGTAAAAACAAATTTATTACGTACTTCTCCTGGTGTAATATGTATACTGTACTCTCTGGGCAAGCCTGGTGTACTGTTGTCCTCGGGCAAAATAAGTGCAATCTACTCAATGAAGAATACGCCAGTTTTGGTTAGAGCAGATTATTGCATGTACAATACAATCCATATACAATACATTATTGCTTTTTCCAGGCGGTGCTCTAAAGGGTTGAAAAGTTCCAAAAGGGAACGAAGGTCAGCAATTCAAACATGTAGACGTCAAAAAGATCTCAAGATGTTACTCACTGATTGTATATACGAACACTTCCAAGAGTAGCATTGTCTTGATCAATTTTTCGCCATTTTTCTGCTAAGAATTTTGGAACCTTTCGTCAACGAGAGTTAATTGCCAACGTTGCATACGATTCTTTTTGAGATCAGTGCTGCAAATATTCTCATTTACTTTTACAAGCCAAACTTTTGTTTGCGCTTCGTCTAATCTTAAATCTTCTGCATCATCCTCGTCTATAACTTCTTCTAACGATCCTGGGTCATCTTCAAAAAGTGAATCAACGTCGTTGTTATCAGACATTGTTCGGATACCAAAAAGGAGATAGAATGAAAAACAAAAAAGAAGATTCTGACCACGCAAATCAATGTTTCTAATGGAAAGTCACCGCATGAATTTGCCTATTTCAGAGACTACTACTGCCCTGATGGCTAATAATCCTTTGATTTTTATCCCAAAATAGGATTTCATGTAGAAAAGCTACTACCAAGTAAGGCAGATGCAATAGAGAATTTTATTATTAGTGTTATTGATTCTATATCTGCAGGATTGTTTAAAAAGGTCAACTGATATTTGATTTCAATATAACCATAATCAATACTACTGTGTTGCAGGGCCGCTGCAAGCATATGAACATCTAGAAGATCTTTAATTACATATAATTTATAGCCACTACTATATTAGTATCCAAAAATTAGTACCACGATCATGTCTATTAATTTATTCTGGTCATTCTACACCTGATTATCTATAGTATGGTGTAGAAAGATGTACCGCGTGGACTTAATTGAGTGTTTTGATAGTTTATTTATACATCGTTTTTTGTCCCAACGTTACAATCCCAGTATCTTTCATCAATATCTAAACATGCCTTATATTAAAGACGCGAAAGCACATTTGATAGACGACAAGTAGAAGATGGAATAACGAACAATAGTCGAACGTGCGAGTTATCTATGTTCTTTTTCCTTTCATAGCAGGAAAATTAGTGAACTTGGTTATTAGAAACAGCAATGTCCACTGCTGACCACGAAGTGGCACATTTAAAGAATAAAAAAGGCCTAACCTTCGTTCAAACCATCACCAGAAGAATATACAATATCTAGCTTGTTTATATAATCCCATTGGCTGCGAAAAACTGTTTGATGTCTAAGGCCTTAAGGCAAACCTATACGGCTTGTACAGTTATCAAGCACGGCGAAAGCAGGTTAAGAATAAATATACTTATAGAAATATTATCTAAAGAGACGAAAGAAAACAGAATAGTAATCGACTAGGTGACAGAATGAAGTCAACAGAGAAAAGCAAGATCAATAAAGAATCAAGATGCAACCGTTCTTTAAAGAACCTTCTTCATGCTTAATCACCCTATATTTTATGAAGAGTTCATCTCATAGATGTATGGATAACAGTTTTGACATATTGTGATTTTGGAGGATGATATGGAAGGCGTTTAAACAGTGACATGCCGCTTTCCTATAGTACTCAATATACAACAACGTTATATATGTAGTATTACCATCTGGATGCTTCCACACTTAGATATTGGTTTTGGTTTTCGGCAGTAAAGGTATAGACCGGAGCATTCTCGAAAAATTCAAACTGGAATGTGTTGCCGTCCATCTACTGCGGCGTAGGCAATGAAGGATATTTAGGTGATAGATATGAGGTTATTGTATGAATTATTTTCGGAATCATGGTCACTCTTCATCATGAAAGATACAATAGCAACTATAGGGACCAAGTTTATATAGTAAGTGAACACTTCAAACAGGCTGATCTGTTGGATTTGTGAGTCGGATTACTATCGTCGTCTGTCCACAATAGGATTGGGTTGTGTAACTAAACGCCCTTTTAACCCAGTGTATTACATTTAAAATTGCTTATTATGCAGCTGTTGGTTCAGTTTTCTGCGAATCCAACACAGTTCTACTTGAGCTGACTAGCCAAGATGCTCAAGCCATAGGCCTGCCTTTTACGGTCGTTTATGTCATGTATAAATCAACGTCAAAGTATAAGAGCTTCTTGATATTTTTAGCTCCTACGAAGGAAGGGCATACGTATACATTAGGCATTTCCAGTGCAGCTGTGAAAAGGGATGGTGGAGGATAATGCTGACTTCAACTTATTCTAATCGACTCATTTCTCTTGTTGAGTACTGTTCTTTTTACAGTCTTTTGCGGTTTGCGAGGTTGACCGAAAATGGTTGAATTGAAGAACATAGCTGGTACTAGTGATAGCAGCTGTCTCATTCATTGTTGCGAATCCAAACAAGCAAACACGCCGTTATCAGATATAGTCTTCCAATTACATATTTGTTGATCGATTTGTTCTTTTGTCAGCAACAGCTGTCTAATATACAAGAACGTCTTCTCCACTCAGTTAAACTGAACCTTACTCTGATTAAGCAGTAGATGGGTAAGGAGCACCCAATAATACAAAAAATTTACATCAAAAAAGTAAATTTGCGGGGATTCGTTTGTGATAATAGGATGGTCTGCATAAAGAGAGACTGCACCAGACAACAGCCGTCTAAAATGTGCTTTTATTCTCATACTACGGTGATAAATTTGTTTATTAGTAAAAAAGACATTCGAAGATCATCTGTTTTTATCAGTTTATTCATTAAGCTCCTAATTGACGAAAAGTAAACGAGATAGCCTCGAAACACTCTTTTGCTAATAGCAGGGGTCTTCATTTTTATTCCAGCAAATGAAATCACTTCCAATTGTTTCTTAAGGGGATTACTATTTGTCTATTACAACGGTGTATATTGTTGGAGGGCTCTTTCATTCCTCTTCTTTAACATAGGCCACATGTTAGTATATTATAAGCTTTGTAAAAATGAAGGGAACAAAAAAAAAAAGGAGTCAAGCAATTGAGAAATGTTTATCTTAGTATTACTGGGTGATAAAGCACAAGTATCTTTGCCTCATACTTGATAGGCTTTAAAAAGGAACTGAACTTGAAAATTTTCTTTTTTTGCATTGTCGCTTTTCCCGTTTCTTTAATCCTGTATCTCTCTTTTTCATTTTTTTCTTTCCCTTTTCCGTTTTTGCTTCCATCTTTCTTTTGTTAAGCCAAATGTCACATCCACAAGATAGTCACTTTCCTTTAAACAATTCTCATCAACATAATAGCCAAGCATACCTCAACCTGATAAACGAACTGAATCAGCAAGTAGCAGAAAATGAACCAGAAGATATTTTGCAATTTTGTACTACCTTCTTTCTAAGAAAATTGGAAAATGAGCGCGCAGAATCACGTCAATATGATCAACACCCTCTTGGTAACAAGCTAAAACAGATGATGACTGTTTTCAGATAAAAGGAGCACGAGTTAACCCTTTAACCAATAGCCACACCAGGAACATCAGCGTTTCAGGAAAACGATAGCTTAGGACCTGATTTCAATCCCTCTTTAATACAGCATCAACAAGACCAAGATATGCATGACGAGGATGACGATGAAGAAAGGGATACAATAGCCGATGATATGCCAAACCTTTCTATTCCCAATATGTCCAACAGAGGCCGACGCACCTCAGTCAGTGCTGAATCCATGCAGCCCACTCACCATACAGAAAAATTTGTTAAAACTGTTATTCCAAAAAGTGAAGAGCAATGTGCTCGTATCCGTACTGCTATTGGGAATAACTTTTTATTCAAAAACTTGGATGAGGAACAATATCACGATGTGGTGAATGCGATGGAAGAGAAGCAAGTGACCGCAAATACACATGTTATCGAGCAAGGCGGTATAGGCGATTTCTTTTATATTGTGGAATCCGGAAATTTGGACTGTTTCATCAATGGACAAAAGGTCACTTCTTATGGCCCTGGAGGAAGTTTTGGTGAGTTGGCTTTGATGTACAATGCACCCAGAGCAGCTTCCATCATTGCCGTCACGGACTGTATTTTGTATGCCTTGGATCGTGTAACGTTCCGTTCCATATTAATGGAAAACACTGCTCAAAAAAGACGCATGTATGAGCGATTTTTGGAAGAAGTACCTATTTTCAAATCGCTTGAAGCCTACGAAAGACACAAAATTGCAGATGCATTAGAATCCATTCAGTTTGAGGATAATGAAGTTGTCATTCGCGAAGGTGATGCTGGTGATAATTTCTATTTGATTGAAAACGGTGAGGCTGTCTTTTATAAGAGTTTGCCTGATGGTAGTCAGCAAGAAGTGAATGTCGGAAAGAAAGGTGACTATTTTGGTGAGCTTGCCCTTTTGAACGATAAACCTAGAGCTGCCACTGTTGTTGCTAAGGGTAAGCTTAAATGCGCTACTCTTGGTAAGAAAGCCTTCACAAGATTGCTTGGTCCCGTCATGGATATTTTAAAACGTAATTCTGAGAATTACCATGCTGTACTCCAACAAGCCAACAACGATCATTAAAAAGGGATTGTCTCCAGTTCTCTGCTTTTCTTGCTGTAGTTTTATTTATATCTGAACCCTAATATGAATTGATTCAGCGACTTTTTTTACTTTTTCCCCTTTTACAATTCTACAAAAGTACATTCGCTTGCTGCTTGAATTCTATAGCCCCAGCCTATTACGTAACACCTTCCTTTACATGAAAAATCATCAACCTACACATACAAACATACATGAAATTAATGAACACACTATCTTGACCGCATTTCAATAGTGTTTTGTTATGGAATCTGTTATTTATTTTGAAAAGGTTCAGAATTTCCATCACTGCCAACTTTTCTTTTTTTTTGGACATGTGAACTAAGTTTAGCATTGGTTCATGTTCATAGCAACAACAAGATAATTTATGTGCTCAATATGCTTTAAAGTAACCGAAAAATTCTTTGGGATGGACATAAACCTGGTCAACTTAAAGTTATATACTAGTTCATTGTTACAGGGCAACTACTTTACAGCTGTAGACTTGGCTGAAATAGCTCAACAACTCGATAACGAAGAGCAACTCGTAGGTGGAAAGAAAATAGATGCAGAAAGTCAGAATTATGATGATTCTGGATATTTTTCGATTCAAGTTTTGCAAAAAGCGCTTGACATTTGGAATTTGGAACTGATCCCATGGCAGTCAGCTGAAATGGCTGCAATGAGAAGTCGACCTGTGTAAGTTTTCCTCCTTTTTTACCTTTCCCAAAACTGGTTTTCAATCGAAATACAGCGAAATAATTCAACCACATCCACCAAAAGTGAGCAAATAGCGTACATCTGCAATTTAAGCAACCATTGGTTTACTTTAAGGAACTTCTCTGGTAACAAGAGTGGCTCTCCACATTGGTATAACTTGGATTCGACGCAGCCTGGGCCAACTTTTATCGATGACAGATATTTACCTCACTTATTACAGCAGATTGAACATGATGGATATTCTGTCTTTGTAGTCAAAGGGGTGTTGCCCTTATCCAATGCTGATTATAAAGCGCAAGAAGGGTCCTTGATAAGTGATGACCAAAAACCGCTTGCTCAAACAAGTCCATTTTCCGGCCGCGGGTATTCTTTGACAGCCAACACCAACGATGATATGGTAGGAGGTAATGAGATGGGTGAAGATTTAATGTTGGCAAAGGCAATTCAAGCAAGTCTTGAAGACAACAATAGACCTAATAAGCAACAAGATACTTTAGACGAACTGCGTAAAAAGAGGCTTGCTAGATTTGAAGCTTAAATCAAATAAAAAAAAAGGCACATGGTTATTTTATAAGATGACTGTGGTCTCAGTGACTTTATTTAAACAGTAGGAATAATATAATTTGTAAATTGTTTGAATACTTGATACAAGTTTCTAATGAAATATAATAGTTTAAGTTGATATATAAGAAAGAAAAATTCAATCATAGTTGATATGATGAGAGCCAGTAATAGATTGCAAAAACCAAAAAAAAAAGGCATTTATCAAACGTGTGTGTTCAAGTGGTATATATGAAACACCTGGGCTTGAGAAAACGCGTTTAATCATCAGTGTGGATTTGGGCATTTTGACCGACCTTGTTGTCGTTTTGGTTGTTGTTGAGGAGCCCAGCACCTAACAAATTACCAAGGACACCATTACCGTTGTCGGAACCAGCACCAACAGTGCCAATAGCTTGGGTGACACCATGATCACCATCATCAGGGTTGGGAGAGGGAGCAGCGAAGACAGCAGCAACAAAGAAGAGAGCAAAAGCGAGGACAGAGAAGGACTTCATTTTTGTAGTAGTAGATTGAATTGTTTTGTTGATTGGTTTGATTCTGAAAAAAAAAAAGATTTCCGTCAAAAATGGGTCCCTTATATACAATTCTTGTAGCTTGGTTTGTTTGGTGTTGTTGTACATTTGATATAGATGAAGTATTCGTCTATCTTCTCCTTCGAGGACTCCTTATTTCTGATATTTCAAACGAGAAGTGTATAATAAAGCCTGTCGTTAGGCTTGTTGATAGAAGAAGTCCTTTGTCTTCTTTCTTTCTAATTACTAATACTAACCTGAGCCTCCTTAAATTTTTCGCGGCTAAAAATACACACGTCCGCTCTTTTTACATTACCTAACCCCTGAAGAACCTATTGTTACTGTACTAACAACCAGGAAGTCCCTCAGTTATTCTACTATTCAGTGGCGAAAAAAAAAAAAAATCTGTAGAAAACGGTTGTATTCTCTCTCTCCCTCTCTCTCTCTCTCTTACGGCGATCGTTGTTACGCAGGTATTTAGATGCGTCTAACAAGGTACAGCACCGTCTAGTTTTTATCGTCGAACAACAAAAAATAGTCCTGGTAGAATGCAGAATTCTTGTTTAATTTGATGTGAAACGTCAAACTTGGATTTTCTGCTTCTGTCACTCGAAACTTGTTCCTCCTTTTAAAGTACAAGTGTAGATCAACAATATTCATTTTGGCAACCTGCGTAATTGACGAATAAACGCGTTTGTTTTTACAACTGAAAAAAAGAGGGAGGATGTATGCAGCTAATTGTCAAATGAATCGACATTTTTTACTGCTTCTGTATTGCTCGAAAAGTCTCGAACGTTCAGTAAATTTTGTAGAGACAGGCTATGCACGGTATGTCTTATTGTAACTTTCTCAAAGATATATATATCATTGTAGATAAATGTAACAAGTATTCACTGAGAGTTAGATCTGCTGTTGTTCCACCGAATAAGGAGACCGTCAGTGATGGTCGTTTTGTTAAGAACACGCTAAAACTATAATAACAAACCATTACAAACAAGGAGATGAGCCTATAGAAACGGAAGAGATCCAATATGACAATTTTCTCCCGAATGTATGAAACAGTAAAAAACGATAGCATGTGCGTAATGACGATATGCTAACGCTCAGATTTATTGTTTCCGATGCTGATTCAGGGGAATACTACAGATTTCATATAACGCACGATATATTGCATCTAATTGTGCAGTTAATAACTATACATCCATTTTACTTGCCTCTGTTATGCTTGGGTCAAAGGGCTTGTTTCATCATACAACGTGAGTGAATGGTTACATATTTTCCTCCTCCCTCATTATTTTGTACTGCTATGCTGGTTTTGGTCATTGATTGTACAGATTTAGCAAAAAAGATTTCTAAGGGCCATGATGCATGCAAATACGTTATTGACACGTTTTTTTAGTAAACACGAATCGGTGATATCCCCTGGCTTCTAATTATTGATCTTGGACTGTGCGCTTTAATATTGACTTTTTTTTGTTCAATGGCGATCTTTTAAAATAGTGCGTTGCAATAGAGCCTTCGACGAGTAGACTCCTTTACCCATTCTATTATTAGAACACATACGGCGCTACAAGCTGTTAAACCAAACTGAGTATGATTACGTACACACTGACAATTCATACAATTTTTGTTGATAGGGTCTATGAAGCTTTCCACACAGCCGTTTAATGTGATTGCATTCTATAGGATTCATGCCAGTAACTACAATCCTACCCTTAATATTTGATGCTGCTATTACCGATCTTTATTGAAATCTAACCTGTGGCATGAGCCCAAGGGTATCAAAGACAGACTTTTCTTTTTTTTTCGGTTCTTTTTTTTTTTTTTTTTTCTTTTTGCATAACCAATTTTTGCATGAATTTGCTAATTAATGCAGCCACACCGGATGCCAGTTTAAATGCCCAATGGATGGGAGTGTTTATAAATGGCAAAGCTACCCGCCATGAGAAAATGCAGTTTCAGAAACATAACCTAATAATCTCTAATAATGCATTCAGTATATAAGAAGTTTTTTCAAATTTTAGCAGCTATTACAACCTTTTTTTTTTGTTCACGAAATTATTGTTCAACTTCCTGTATATTCAATAAAATAAGAAAATGAGTCATAGACATATGAATCACGTTACAATAGAAGACGTTGAGGATGAAGATAATCTACACCAGCAACAATACAGCCAGCAAAATTCTGCTACAGAAATTGATCTTGATAATATAGCCGGCAACCAAACACAAAGTATTAGCAATGGTTATGATGTTCGTGAAATAGAAGATCATCAAGGCTGGGTAAGTATATTTTGCTAGGGGTACACATCATGAAGTATCCAATTTTGAATAATAATATGTGGTAATATGTGATGTTGAAACGCAGGATGAGGTCGATGCTTTAGAAGAACAAGCAAGATCAGAAAAATTACGCGACCAACATACTGCAAGGAAGCTTGCCAACCAAACTGCTCATGTAGTGGATGGAACCGCTTAAAAGTAATTGCTCAAAAACGTGTTAAAAGCTTTTTAAATGTCAATGTACTTTTATCTATCTGTATTGTAGTTATATAAACACACAAATTCTGTAACATCTCAAAAGAGAAGATAATGATCGTTAACCATTTAGAGTTGACAGTTCTTACAAAGTGAGCGTATATGATTTATTGAGGGTTAAAAGGGCATTTGCCACCAGTGGAGACTATTTCATGTCCATTCTTGATCATTTGTCGCATCATGTCGGCAGGGTCGTAGAACGTTTCCAATTGCTCAATTTGGAACTTGTCATTGACGTGGGCGACAGTAACGCCGCATACTTTAACGGTTTCGTTGGTTGCAGGAGCCTCAAGCTTCTTATCATCACCAACTTTAACGGAAAGGTTACCCGACATGGTTCCCCAATGAGCCCATTTGAAAGCGACAACGGGTGGCCCACTGTAAACTTCTAATACCTCCCAAGAAAAGGTACGAAGGGCTCTCTTAAAAAGCTTATGGGACTCACTGAAATCCATTTCACTTGCTTTGTAAAGTTCCGTGTCGCCAATAAGAGCATTATACGTGCCAATCTTTAATCATAATTTATTTCCCAAGAAGGTTTAGAAACTTTTCTTAATAAGCATTTTCTAATATAACTGTACTTACTTTGAGCATTTCTTCAGCACTATGCCACTCTTTCCCATTCACTGAAAATCTATACTTTGAGGCATCAATTGTACGAATTTCGTCAACGCGGACCTTGTAAGACATTTCTTTTTCCCAATTCTACCGTAACACCATTTTTTTTATATAAAAAAAAAAGGGAAAAAGATGAGGTGCCGTTACACTGAATATAAGCAGGTAGCAGAATCCGTAAAAAGAAGAAATAAGAAAAAAAAAAAATAATTATCAAAAGATACCAACCTTGACGAGATTAGAGACTAACCATTCCAAGGACCCTTCTTTGTGATGAGTAGTCTTTTCTATAATTGTTAACAGAAAAGCCTCAGTATCCTATTTGATATGAAAACCACTCGATGTGGAAAGGCCGCTTTATTTAATTACCTGCTTCGTAAGCTTCATTGACTTTCTTGTAATCTGGGATACGATTGAATCGCCATTGATGGTCTTTATCTTCAAGAACAGCATTAGGATTTGTCATAAAATCAGGAAGGGTATTGACCATTTTATTATAATGTAGGGAAGAGAGTGTATGAAGGGCGATAGAGGGGTGATATAAGTTAGAATGAATGGGAATGGAAAGAAATAGCGACTGAATTAAACCGGCTATGTATGTACTTTTGTGCCCTTTTTATACCATTTAAACAGAATATCGATGTATTTACTTGTGTCTCGTTGAAGAACATCATTGCTGGACCAATGATTGCCTTTACGTTTAAACAAAGTTTTATTGACAAAATTATTTAAAACCCAATGGACACACAGATAAACGACTTATCAGAAATTGCCCTGGGTAGATCAAAAAGATATACAAAGGGAATTGAAAAGCCTTTAAAAAGAACAAGGGAAAAAAGTGATTGCTTTACTGCTGTCCCGCTGCATTCGAACTTTTTTAATACTGACTTTAGACTCATTACAGAACGCTTTTTAGATACTCTGAGCAAACGTTTTCGAGCACGTTAAATTCAACCTTACATGATAGAATAATAGATTAAAGTACTCCAATTAAAAAAATTAAAAAAAAATTATGGTTCTTCAATTTAAAAACTGTCAATTGCGGGTAACTTAGGCAGAAAAAGACAGTTCATTGGTTCTATTCTTATAGTGTTAAACAATAACAGTTTGAACTGCACTGGTGATAAAGAAGGCAATTATATAAGCAGCATCATCTATTTATTAGAGAAAAAAGCGCTCGTCTGTTTCGTAATACTGTTTATCTGCACATAGCAAAATGATATTGATCGGTTCAACCTGAACCCTAGTGGCTCGAAAAGGTACGAGATCTAAATAACAAAAGTGTTCTAAAACTATGTTCGCAAGTAGTCGTCGCAAGTTATGTATAAAACTGCTTAAAAGTGTACAATAACCATAATTACACATTACTTAAGAATGTTACCAGACAGCTTCGTTGCAAATCGCAAGTAAACCAGACTGTATTTTTAGCTGTTTTTGTAGCAAATTGGATCTGACTGTTCAGACTGTGAAGTCGAATGTTTTTTTAACTTTTTCGATTTGACTATTCTAACATAATCCACCCAACAGCAAAGTGGGTACCCGACGGGACGCCTGGTCAATTGCCTTTTTTTTATGAACAAATTTGTCACGTCAAAAAAAGTATTCTTACATGCCCATTTCACTCTTCTTTTCATTTTTCTTTCAATCACCGTTGCTTATAGAAAGACCAACTGCTTGAATATGCAACTTCTATCGCATCATTAACAAGCAAAACTTCAAAACTGCTCAGGATCGTCTATCATATATTGATCTGCAACGATTGTGATACACATAATTAAGGGCGTCTGTGCTGCTTTTTTTTTTTAAAAAAAACTTCTTTGTACGTTTATTCTGGAAACATCAATATCATCACCAATAGAATGTAACCAAGCTCTATCTTGAAATAGCCATTGTCTTCTCCTTCATCAATGACTTCTATATGTCAAAGGTAGCTAGCGTGGATTCAGTGGGCATGAAACGAGAAAGTTATGCTTGTTCAGAATTCTTTTTGGATTCTGTTCTGAATAACTTTAAGCTTTGTCCAAAATGCAAAAATTGCGTTTTACAACGAAAGTCAGACGATATTGTCTGTTACGCAATGATGAACAGAAATGAAGAAACTATAAATGGCCAGTAACACAAAACGCGCTCAGTAAGTTTATTTACGCCCTGTTTAGGAACCTTATATTACAGAAAACAAACTTTTTTTCTTTCTTTTTTTTTTTTTTTTTTTTTTTGTGACCATAAATTCTCGTAAAGAACAATACGCGTCCTTTGAACTGTACAATGTAAAATTTGAGTAGGCTTTTCGTCAGTTAATAACGAATCAGCAGTAAACGATGGGATATATATATAATTCCTACTATGACCAGGTTTCTGCTGTTTTGCTAATTAGATGGGGCTAAGGGAATAGAAATAAAAATTTTAGGAATACTAACGTAAGATGATGACAAAAGAACTAATGCCCGTTTGTATAGTGGTTGTGGAACTGAGAAGGGTGCGGAGAGTTCGCTTGAGAGCTCGAACTTCTCACGAGGTAATGTGCTTTATAATAATCGAGCATTTGCACTGCTAGATCTACAATATTGCAATAACCAACAATATCCGTTAGTAAATGCTCGAGCAAAGACAAGGCCTCATTCATCCCATTACCATAAACCTCTTCAGCATCCACATCACTATCTAAACTCTCAAACCAATTTTCGCCAAGTTTGTCTGATGCTGAGAAGTTGGTAGCTAGCAATACAGCAGCCATAGCTATGGTCTTCGGTTTATAGATTAAGCATAACGGTGCTCCAAGACTAACAATTCAATTAATTCAATCTACCTGTCCCTCGAATAGTGATGTAGAAACTAAGAATACCTTTGGTATAACAGCATCCATGCTTTGCGTATTGAAGATTGTGATACTATGAACAGAAAGCCATTGTAAGTAACAAAGACTCTTTCTTTATTGCTGTTGAGGCTTACCATTTAACTGTGATTCCAAGTTCATGAGACTCATATGGGGATGCTCCACTGATAAATCAAAACAAAGAGTCTCTAATACTATAATCTCGTTATAGAGTAGTGTTTCCTTCCATCGCACAAAATCCTGTTGAAAGATATCAGTTTAAACACTTATCTATAAGGTAAAAAAGTGAGGATCTCAATATACAAACATACTTTTGAGCCTTCGTCCAGCCTTAAATCATCATTTTTTTGAGCTTTTTGAGCACAGGCAATAACAATATCTTTAAGCCGCCTTGTACATTCTTCAACTTTTGTAGCAACAAATAAACAAGTCGCTGCTATATCCTATATTTCAAGGTGGATTCTATCAACTTACTCTGCATTTGTTATTATATTGAAAACAATTTGAACCCTTTACATAAACGTGAAATCTAGCCATGGACTGTCTCATGTAAAACTTGTGGAAAAAGGTGCATCCTGTAACAACGACAAGTGTAGGACTACCAGTACCAAGAAAAAAATTACCATTATTTATCAGTAAGAAAATTTGGTGACAAACTCGAAAAATATATCTGATGATTTTCATATTTACAGCCTCAGTTTGGCACCAACAGATAATAAATAATGACACCCTTTAATGCGATCTGTTTGTTCTTCTTCAAATGTTCTTCCATCTAAAATGCTTGGTGTCTCTTGAATCTCATCTTTTGTGAAAAACCACTGAAAATGCCAAGGAGCAAAAGAAGTCATGTTATTTCTTCACAACTCTTTCTTGATCAAAAAAACCAAGGGCTCTCAATCACGCTCTTTGATCACAAAAAGAAAGATCGTAAATCTGCTTACCTGATCAGCATTCATTGGTGAGCCAAAAGAGGGAAGGGGGATCTATACTAGCTGACTCTTGAACGGTTTTATGGAAGAAGATGAAAAAAGATCAGGAAAAGCTCTTACGAGCGGAGTTATAGTATAAGTATGTCTACCACGGGAGATCAAAATCGCTGAACCTATCATACCTATCATTGAGCTATAAAACAGGTGTGGGAGGAGTCCTCCATTATTTTACTCAAGTAAAGAAGGTGTTAAAGGGGGTTCTATTATTTGTACTAACTGAACATTGGGGTGAGGCCAGGCAATCAACAGATTAGGGTATCAGTATGAACATAACCTAGTCTATTCACTAACCCTTTATTAATGTGTCCCCTTAAACATAACAGTATAGATCTTTTGTAGAGCGATGACATTAGTAACACATAGGAATACCCTTTTTTTCTGTGTTTTTTTCTTATATTACGATGTCCAACAAATACCCAAAGGTCGATATACTGACAAGATTTGCGATACTCTGGTGTTTCCAATGTTTCCAATTAGGATTACCAACGATAATATTGAGGTCGTGTTTACAATAAAAGTTACTACTAGATTTTTTCAGAAACTAAAAGCACCTTTTGATTTGAAGTTATAGCCTACTTAGATTTTCTTTATGAATTAATTCAGTATTGTCGAACCGCGTAGCGCATCATTAATAGGGAAAGATGTGAAAACCTAAGAAGAAAAATTGTTATTTCTGGTAATATTTCAATAAAGTACGATGATCTGATTTAATCTTTTTTCTTTGTTGACCAACGGCACCTTTCTTATTGTAATTTCATATGGATGAAATCGGACAAAGCTGTAATGAAATTCTATGAAGTTGTCGATAAGTTTACAAATAGCGGTATCAAAGTTCAGTTCAAACACCAGCGATTAACGCACATTAAGCTGTTGATCATTGCTCTCACCTTGATTCTGTCGGCTTCGCAAAAGTCTCTATTGACCGAAGTAGGTACATTATTGTTGAAGTTCAGAGATCTCATGGATATTGTTGTTCAGCTACATTGAAGCGTGGTCAGGGCATGGTAAAAGGCGTCAAGGGACTATAGCCCTTATTGAGAAAACGAAGTTGCATGGGTTTTTCAGATATTGCTTATCGGAGTACATTAGCAAAGTTCTACGGAACGCTAAACACAAGCAAACATGCAACTAAGCGCGTACTAACAGATATAATCAACTGGCTACTCTATTTTTATGATGTGAAAGAAGACATTCTATACTAAAAATCACCAGATCAATATTGCGAAATAAATTCATTGCGAATATCAGCGAAATGTTATTGCCTCTAATTGAAAATAACATAACAGAAAGAAGCGATCGATGCATATATTTTTTTTTCCAATCTTTCTCTTGGCAAATACATGTGTATTCAATTTTATAACAGAGAATCACAAGTAAGTCTCTTCATTAATTGATCGATAACACCTCTACATGTAAGATATTGCCGCTTATTTGTTATAATAAAGTATAAAAATTCTCGATATATCATCACCATACTCTGTATTTAATAAATTTCCTTAGACGTCCATTAGCATCAAATGTATTCTTACTATCCAGGGTCAAGAAGACCTAAAGCTAATCATTTGAGCTCAGAGCAATCATGTCATTGCTTAAATTTTCACTCGACGCAAAAACCAGCCGTTCGTCGTAGATTGAATATACGGTCTTTTAATGATAAGTTGATTTTCTCATCGAGAAAGCCAAGGTTGAATGCAGGCATATTTTTGCTTCAGGACATACTTCATAATAGCTCACCTATTCGATTTCATTCTGATGAATAGGAAATGACACCTCGGTCAATTATAACTGTATAAAATTGTGCCTTCGATGTTGACTGCTGTTGAAGAGCCAATGTCAAACAATTCTCTACGAACAAAAAGACGTTTCGGATAATGAAGTTTATAATTTTCATCGAAAGACGATCAATTTACCTTTTCCGGCACTCTACTCTGAACCCTTCTTTTTGTCTTTCTGCTTTTCAAAAATTTTCTTTTAAAAGTAAAACAAACAAAAATAGCCCTTTTGGGTCAACTTCCTTGAATTCTCAACCTTTTCCTTTTTTTTCTTCTTTTATCTTCCTTCCTCCTGCTGATAGTAGTGCCGACTTATGACGACGAAAGACGAGGACGCAGCAGGCGCAACCTTTAATGCTCAGCATGCTGTTGAAATATATACAAAGGGAACAAGGGCTTGGTTTCCTGATAAGGATGAAGGATGGGTCTCAGCTACATGCAGTTCGACAGAAATCAGTGACGATAACGTCAAATTGGTATTTGAGGAAGATACAGACGGAAAGGTATAGAAACTTCTTGACCTTATCAAGTACTATTTGAGAGTATATCTTGCTTATGGTATTTGTTCGCATTATCATTATTTAGGAACATGTATTCGAAGCAACTTTGGCTCATATTACCAAATTGAAAGGGTCTAATTTACCACCCCTAAGAAACCCACCCAATATAGAATATACAGACGATTTGACTAATCTAAGCTACTTGAATGAGCCTTCTGGTAAGAAAGCAATTATCATATATGAAAAGGGTGTACCTCGCTAGCATAACTCAAATCAATGCGCTTTCAAATCCAGTTTTAAACACGATCCACACCAGATATATGCAGCATTTAATTTACACCTATTCCGGAATTGTTCTGATTGCTGTCAATCCATTCGATCGGGTAGCATTATATGACAATGATATAATACAACAATATTCAGGAAAAAGACGTGGAGAGTTAGAGCCCCATTTATTTGCGATTGCTGAGGATGCATATCGTTGTATGGTTAAAGAAGGGATAAATCAAACCATCGTCGTTTCTGGTGAAAGGTAATCTAAAGCTTTGAAACATATATACTGAGTGGAATATGTATTGACAGGGAACTCTTCGAAAAACAGTGGTGCTGGTAAGACCGTCAGTGCCAAATTTATTATGCGTTATTTCGCTACAGCAGATGATCACGAAAAATCAAACAAAACAAGAGGGGACGCTGGATCTATGACGGAAGTGGAAAAGCAAATTTTGGGTAACGATAAACAATAAAAACACACAAACTTGATAGTGGTGACACAGCATAAAGTAACAGCCCAATTTGTTCCTTATGCAAACATTTTGATACAGCTACGAACCCTATCATGGAAGCGTTCGGTAATGCTAAAACGACTCGTAACGACAACAGTTCCAGATTCGGTAAATATATCGAAATTCAATTTGATAAGGATGCAAATATTGTGGGCGCAAAGATAAAAACGTACCTTTTGGAGAGATCAAGGTTGATTTTCCAGCCAGAGACGGAGCGAAATTATCATATATTCTATCAGGTAAAAGCGTAAGAAAATATGGAGCTACTCTTAGAACCCTAAGACATACATGAGAGTTTTGTATGGCTTATGGTACTTTTGAACAATAATACATTAATTAGCTATGCGCAGGCGCACCGTCAAAAGAGAAGAAGAATTTTGAAATAGGCAATTATACTGATTTTCACTATCTCAATCAAAGCGGCACTGGAGAAATTCCTGGTGTTGATGATGCTGTTGAATTTGAAGCGACACAGAAAGCACTTTCCACAGTAGGATTGTCAGTTGATTTGCAATGGAAGATATTTCGAGTATTGGCTGCCTTGCTACATATTGGTAATATCAATATCACAGGTCGTAATGAAGCCATCTTGGCAGATACGGATGAGGCATTGATTACAGCCACTCGCATGTTGGGCATTAAAACCGCTGAATTCCGTAAATGGATTGTTCGTAAACAAATCATTACTCGCTCAGAAAAGATTGTATCAAACTTAAACCCAACACAAGCCCATGTCGTGAAGGACTCTATAGCCAAGTATATTTATTCCAACTTATTCGACTGGTTAGTAAGTATGATCAATGAGAGTTTATCTTGTTCTGACGATAATACCATCAAAAACTTTATCGGTGTACTTGATATCTATGGATTTGAGCATTTCAAAAAGAACTCCTTTGAACAATTCTGTATCAATTATGCAAATGAGAAACTTCAACAGCAGGTAAAATAGATGAAAAGATTACTAATTAGCTTTCATAGAGTATTTATGCGTCTTTCTTATTATAGTTCAATCAACACGTATTCAAATTGGAACAAGAAGAATACATGAGAGAGAAGATCAATTGGACTTTCATTGAGTTCAGTGATAATCAAAAATGTATTGAAATAATTGAAGGAAAATTGGGCATATTGTCACTTTTGGATGAGGTGCAGTTTAAATAATACTTTATGTTTAGAATGTGAAAAAGTATTAATTAGGCTTTGCTTATTCAGGAATCACGTCTTCCTGCGGGTACAGACGCAGGGTTCTGTCAAAAGCTATACGACAATTTTGGAACCCCTGAATTCAAACAATTTTTCAAGAAACCACGCTTCGGTAATGAAGCTTTCACCATAGCTCATTATGCTCATGAGGTTCAATATGAAGCCGAAAATTTCCTTGAGAAGAATAAGGATGCAGTGCCTGATGAGCACCTTAAATTATTGCAAGAGTCAGAATTTGATTTTCTAAAAGAAGTGCTGGCAAAGTCATTGGAATCCGCCAATTCTGCCATTTCTACTGTAAGGATCACTAAAAATTTTATAGAAACGCGAAAAAGAGTTGAAAGGTTGGTACCGCATGCTAAAAACGTCAAATCCATCATGATTAGGAAAACAAACGCAAAAGTATGGTAAATCGTAAACCTACTCTTGGTTCTATTTTCAAGCACTCCCTTATTAGTTTGATGGATACCATTGGAAATACAAACGTTCATTACATTCGTTGTATTAAGCCCAATGAAGCAAAAGCTGCTTGGGACTTTGAACCACCCATGGTGCTTGCTCAATTGCGTGCATGCGGTGTCTTAGAAACCATCCGAATCAGCTGCTTGGGTTATCCCTCTCGGTGGACATTTGAAGAATTTGCCGACCGATATTATGCCCTGGTATCCTCCAAGCATTGGGATCCTATGGCCAACACAGATGTCAGAGAATTATGCCAAGTTATTTTAGATACTTGCATCAAAGAAGCTGACAAATATCAAATTGGCGAAACAAAAATATTCTTCCGTGCAGGACAATTAGCCTACTTTGAAAAACTTCGTTCTGACAAAATTAATGCATGTGCAACTGTGCTTCAAAAGAATATACGTCGATTTGTTTACCGTCAGCGTTATTTGCGCATGCGGGATACAATCTTGAAGCTTCAGTGTCTTGTCCGTAGCCATTGCGCCAAAAAACAGCTGAGAAAATTACAGGAGAATAGAGCAGCCATCTTAATTCAAACGAACTTCCGTCGTTATAAGGCTCGTAAAGAATATATGGCAAAGGCGAAATTCATTTTACAACTTCAATCTGCTATACGTAGTCGTAAAGGTCGTCAGCAAACAAAACACCTTAGAGAGACAAGGGCTGCTATTCAAATTCAGCGTCATGTAAGGGGTATGCAAGCAAGAAAATGGTATAAAACTCAGTTGCAGCATATCATTTATATGCAGTCGTGTGTTCGACGCCGTGCTGCTCGGAAAGAACTGCTTAAACTCAAGGCAGAAGCTAAGTCAGCCAATCACTTCAAGGAGGTTTCGTACAAGTTGGAGAATAAGGTTGTTGAACTCACTCAATATATCACTGCTCTTAAAGAAGAAAACAGTAAACTGCAACAAACAATTTCTCAAATGAAATTCCAAATCAATCAATTGAATGAAAAGCACGAAAAATTGGAAGAAGAAAAGAAAACTTTAGATTCGAAAATGCATAAGGAAAGCGTACCACGAGTTGAATACGATGCATTAATAGTTTCAAAAGAAAAAGCCGAAACAGATCATGCTAAAGCATTAGAGAAGATAGCCACTCTTACTAATGATATCGAGCAATTGAACCAAGACCTGAGAAAAGAGAAAGAAAAGAGCGAAAAACTTCAAATAACGGTAGCAACCAAAGATACTCGTGTCAATGATGTTGATGTGTCAAATCTGAAGGCTCAAATTGCCACTTTGAAATCGCAGCTCGCCAAAGCAATGCATACCCGCCAGAATGGTTTACCACCTGCGAAACAAACAAGTTTGAGTACTAATGCTGGTGGTAGGAATAGAAGCAAATCTCCTTCTGATGTTACTAAACGCCAATTGTCTCGTTTGGATCATCACTTAGAAGCACAAGACTCGATCACACCTTTACGTAAAGACAGCAGCAGAAAGTTGCGCCGTAATAGTTCTGCAGATGTATCTGGTAACGCTTCAAAATCCTCCATTGACCAAATTCGTAAAGCTGAAGAAAACGGCAAGAAACCTCGCCCTACTTCTGTCGGTCAATCTAATACCATCGCCGGAGGCAAAAGTAGTAAATTATATACACTTCCTGATCATCCTGAGGACGAAATTAACGCTATCTTGAGACAAGAAGAACCCTTACAAGAAGAAGTAGTGGAAGGACTTATAAAGTCTCTGAAATTGCCTCTACCAAGTGAGAAAAATCCTCTTTCTCGCAAAGAAGTCATGTTTCCCGCTCATCTTATTAGTATGTGCGTGAATGAAATGTGGAGAATTGGCTACAATCCAATGTCCGAAAATTTCTTATTCACTATCATGGACACAATTCAAAGGCAGTGCTTCAGCTATGTAGGAGAAGAGGCTATATTACCTTGCGCATTTTGGTTATCGAATGTTCACGAATTGTTATCCTTGATTGTCGAATCAGAGAGCTACTTCGAGAAGGAAATGCATCGTAATGGTCATTCTATAGGTTGGAAAGATTTCGAAAAGTTGATAGAGACAATAAAATACGAACTACAATGCTTAGAAGATAATATTTTCCATGCTTGGATGAGAGAGATAAAGAGGAAACTCAGCAAGATGATTATACCTGCCGTTATCGAAAGTCAGTCATTGCCTGGTTTCATAACCAACGAAACTGGCAGATTCTTTAACAAATTATTGCTTGGTACTTCTGGACCTGCTTATTCCATGGATAATTTACTCAACTTCCTAAATAAGCTCTATCGTATTATGACAAGCTATTTTCTGGAGCAATCTGTTATCAACCAGGTATTGACAGAAGTCTTAAAGATGACTGGTGTTACAGCATTCAACGATTTATTGATGAGAAAAAACTTCTCATCATGGAAGAGAGGTAAATTGAATTATTCTAGTAATTGGCGATCGCATGGTTTAATGTTCCTTTGTTATTAGCTATGCAAATTCAGTATAATATCACTCGTATCGAGGAGTGGTGCAAGAGTCATGATATCCCCGAAGGAACACTTCAATTGGAACATTTAATGCAAGCGACGAAACTTCTTCAATTCAAGAAAGCGACTGTAGAAGATATTGAGAACATCTTTGATGTCTGCTGGATATTATCACCAACTCAAATTCAAAAACTTATATCACAATATCACGTTGCTGATTATGAGAATCCTATCCGGCCAGAAATCCTGCGTATCGTTGCTTCACGCGTTGTTAGCGGTGATAAATCTGATGTGTTACTGTTGGATTCTGTCTTGATTGACAAGACCTCCAGCCCATATGAGATACCTGGCCCTCGTGAAATTACTCTATGCTTTTACTTACCATCCTGGTTGAACCTAAAACGTGTTCGTCGACTAACATTATTGGAAAGCGCATTAGCTGATCAAAACACTGATGATAATGCAGATATTGATAATGCTACTCTTATATTCGAAGACGATAAGAAAACAGATGAAGCTACTCTCGTGGAAGAGCCAACCAACTTAATGTCGACAGTGTAAAATTGTGTGCAAAATTCAGATGTATATTTATAAATTCCTCCCTTTTCTCGTATAAAATAGTTGTAAATTTCTGATCACTTAATCAATTCTCAAGCATATCCATTTGTACAATATTTCTAAACATTCCTCTGTTGCAGACAAAAAATTACATTTAAAATCCGGAAGCAATAGCTGAAGTCTTCCTTACTCATCCACTAAATATGATAATGTGGCACAGAGGAACAAAACGCACTTTTTGTTTCCATAAACGTCAAAGGTTAATAAATTTGTGCTTCCATACAATTTTACACAAACAGTTCCAACAAATATGAAAAAATGGAGGCAATATCATTTTTCGGATCTTGTATAAATATTATTTTTTTAAGCTTCCTCTTCTATGCCTCAAAAAGAAAATGCTTGTTTCTCTAACAGAAATAAGTCTTTTTCTGTATATCATTATATTTCACACTTTGGGAGATAAATTTGTTGTAGGTCAACGCGACCAGCAGCAAAATGACTTCGATCAATCAGCATTACAAGATACTGATGACTACATTATTGTTTTCAAGCCAACTATCAACTCAAAACATATCAGCAATCAGCTTCAACTATTGAAGGCACACCAAGTAATTAACAATAATGACGGGACGACTAACTATACTTTGACCGCTTTAACCAATGGAACGCTGAACAGCAATTCTCCATTTACTTCGACTCGAGACCAAAAATATGCCTACAATTCTATTGGAAAATTTAGGTGGTACTCAGCAAAATTTCACACACAAGCCATCGATCAACTGTTGAATACTGGATCAACATACATTAATACCACTACCAATATTACTTTTAATACGGATATTGAAAATGCCATTCATTATTGGGTGAAGGACGCTTCTTTTTCTTTGCAAGAGTTTATACAGACTGACCCTCCAAGCTGGGTAAGCCATTCTTCCGTATACCTTCGATATTGATACTATTTCAACTCTATTTTTGACGCACCATATTTCAGGGTCTAGATAGAATTGATCAGCGTTTAGGAACAGATGGGCATTATTCATTTGCCAGCGGAAAGGTAATAATCGAAAGAGGAACTTGAACTACATCGTCAGCGTGAAGTACATATAGTGATGCACGATTCTTCTTTTATTTATACATTGTTTACAAAAGGGGAAAAATGTTAAGATATATTTGATGGATTCCGGTATCAGAGAAGACCATGAAGATATCAAAGGTCGAGTAACTATTGGGAAGACAGTTGTTGGTGATCCCAACAACCCATCTGATAGCAATGGACATGGTACATTTGTTGCTGGTGTTTGCTGTGGCACGAAGTATGGTGTCGCAAAAGAAGCAGAGATAGTATCTGTTAAAACGTTGGACGACGAAGGCAATGGTCGTTTATCTGATTTATTAATTGGACTTCAATGGATTGTTGACCAACATCTTGCCGAATCAAATGCAAAGAGTATAGTAAAGTAAGTTGTATCCTTATATCGTATTACTTTTCCTTTAAGCTTGAAGGTAGATTAATTTAGAATATCTAACATTTCTATGGTAAGCTTGTCGCTAGGTTCTTATTATAGCCAAGCAACTAATGATGCTATCGAAGAAGCTATTTCACTTGGAATACATTTCTCAATTGCAGGTATATTTACACTTCATGTTTTGGTATTTCATTTCTACTGTTTAATAAGATCGATTTTGCTTTCATCCTTTTCAAAAGCTGGCAATTATGGCGAGGATGCTTGTCGATATTCTCCTGGCAGTGCTCCTGGTGCCATTACAGTTGGAGCAATCGATGAGGACGATTCGGTTTCCTTTTATTCTAACTTTGGCAAATGTGTCGACATGTACGTCTCATAAGACAGTTATAAAGCATAGAAATTTAAATTGACAATAATTTTTATTTTTGCGAACAACATGTAGCTTTGCACCAGGTACTAATATCAATTCTATATGGTCAGCTTCCACAACTGCAACTCGTACATTAACTGGAACGTCTATGGCAGCACCACGTATGTTGATATGATTTCTCCTTTCAAAAGTGTTCGCTTTGGATATAATTTGATTTCTATTATTAACACACAAACTTCAATTAGACGTTGCTGGAGCAATGGCTATTTTCTTATCTGAAGCAAATTATACGCCTATTCAATTAGCAAACTACATCAAACGCGTATCTTCTTTGATAACAGAAGATTTTACTGTAAACAACACGGATACTTTTTATAACGAAAACAAAACCGTCATAGATAATGCTATCGATATAGGCTATAAAGTGAGGGGGCAACAAGATAAAAAGACCAGAGTCAACATACTATTTACACATCCTAATGATAGTCAACCATTTTGGATTTACGGACAGACATTGAGCGACGCAGTATTTACTACACCCTTACTATCTAGAATTACATTTTTGCACGTATTGATACCCCTTTCAATTTTGACGTTTTATTTTATGTAAAACGAAACATACAAAGATAACATTTTCCTATTTCATTCAGTAAACAATACAGTTTACTGTTGTTTCTCCAAGGTTAGTTGAAGCAAATAGAAACAGTCTTACACTATTTTACCCAATAAACACTAAAAATACGTAGCTGTCATTATAATCAAATGCATGCGTATCTATTTGAGTGAATCAGCAATGCTACTACTAATGGTGTTTTTCACTGTCTATTTTACCTTTTTCTAAAATATGTAACCTACATACTCATTGTAGTTTATTGTTGAATATAGTAATGTAACAGCAACTTATACTACAAGTATGTTTCTGTATTCTTGACAAAAGAGTGTGAGGTGAAGGTGAACCTCTAATGTGATTCAGAATAAAGATGTTGTAGGTAATAAATGACACAACTGCAGCATTCGCTTTAAAAGAATGGATTAAACTAATCAACTAAAATGTATAAAGGCTTCTCAAAAGGCATTGGAGAAATAGTAGGATGTTGGACAGCATATGAGTGACTGCATAGTAGAATAGAAGTCAATGTGAAAGCTCCCGACTATAGTACTAGCTTTCTGACGATGATTAGTGTTTGGGTATGGATGTACAAAACAATTTTTCCAGACAAAATTTAAGACAATTCAAGGTGGTATGGAGAAGCTTATCCTGCGTTTCGACCTTTAATAGACAGTGAATTCCATATAATGTTTCTTTGAACAAGTTAGGCCCCCTTCTACAATGGAAGAGGAGTGGAACATTATAGACACAAAAAAAAATTCATTTCCAACAGAAAGATTTATCTCATTGGCAAGAATAACATCGAATGAGTTCGATAAACGGTATTGTTCTGTACCTTTTTCCGCCATTCAAACTGGGTGTATTTCTTATGTAGCATGGATTATGCATCGAAGGAAGCAATTATAGCTTAGCATACGATAATATCTTTAAAGTAACTGTGAAATTCATGAATGGTTTGAAAAAGAGATATGACCCTCCAATATAAGGCGGACGTGATGACGTATATTTTCTTAGTGGCGAATTTGTTATCCTGGCAACTATATGCTCTAATAGACCTGCTGTAGCCTTAGCACTATTGAACCAAACATTTTAATACTCGCTTCTCTTCCATAACAAAAGAACACATATGGCTCGTATTTTTGGCTGCACAGTGCTTTTGCGATATAACATTAGACAGACAAACACGCTTGTAAGTGCTACGCCATGTATTCAGAAAAAAAAACAATAGAGAGCGTTTGCTCTCCCGATTCCAGGACAGCTTAAATCTTACCTTCTTTTTTCTACATATAATTAGACCTAATATATATTTGAAGCATACAGAGCTAAATGATGGATGTATTTCAGCGGCTCTAAGATCAGCTATCAGAGTTTCGGTTGAAGATGACCATATTGATGAAGCCAAACTTTAAGCAGAATGTATGATGCCACCTGGATCGCATTATTACGAAGCGTACATAGTGGCTGTACCTGAATTTAACTGATTTCTGGGGAAGTAAGATCGCACATTTTAAATAGTCAATAAAGTATTATTACATTTTCCAAAGTATACGCTATCTGTCTTAAACTTTTTCCAAATATTCGCTCAGCAAGTGTTTTACCAATTTTGTTTATCTTTGTGATAAGGGTTTCAAGGTAGGACTCTCTATTACGGGGTTTTGAAGCTGCAACTTTGTTTTTAAGATTTGAAACCGCAAACATCATGCTAATTTCGATATAAAACAAGAGTACCAAATGTTGAGACAATTTGATTGTACATAGGACACATAATTCGTATTAAATTTGATATGTTGTTATTATTGTTACTTATTACAAAAGTTATATACCAGACAATGTGTGTTTGTAGAGAGGGGTTCAAGTACGATCCATTCCAAACATGACAAGCCATTTTTTATGTTTGATTAGAATAAGGTGACTCCGCACATCTCCGAGTTAAGTATGATATCATTTTGATGAATCCAACATTCAAACCCTCAACACTTTAAAATGATATAAAATAACCAGCATTTGCACAAAGGCGATGTACCCTTACTCTTCCAATTTTTTTACGAACTCTTAATTCGAAATATTGAAAAATGAACTTCAAATTCATCCTTGCTTTGATTGCTTTTGCTTGCGTTGCTAACGTCGCTAATGCTCAAGGTATACCATATTTTGTGAACAGTTATTTATAATAGCTGAAAGAATCGTATGCATTTATTAAGCGTTGCTATTATCAATAATTAGTTGTCTCTGAAGTACGTTCAGCCACCTCCGTGGTCCGCTCTGTTGTAACCTCTGTCGTTCAAACCACCAGCACAAACTCTGCCACCGCCTCAGCCACATCCACCTCTTCTCAAGCCACAACCAACTCTCCTCAAGCCACATCCACCACTACTCAAGGACGTTTCGCCTCCGTTACTTCAGCCATTGCTCATCCTACTTCCACAGGTATAGTTACTTTTTTATAGCTTTAAACATGATTTGAATTGTTGTGTTAAATATGTATGAAAAATTAATGCTCTTCTTCAACGCTTCGAAACGGAATGTAATAGCTGGTTCCAATAACAACAACAACAACAATAATCATGCCAATGCTGCTATGTCCTTGGATGCCGGTTTGTTGCAAGCTGTTGTGGTTGGTTCTGCTGTTATTGCTGGCTCTTTCTTGCTCTAAATAAGTCGCGTTTTCGTCAAATGTGATCACCCTACTTTCCATACGTTGGTGTGCATAAATTTTATTTTTTTTAGTATTATATTCTTAATAATCACAGGTTAATATTTAAAAGACTACATTTTCTAACTGATTTACACGTAATTTATAAAAAATTTGGGACCAAAGACCCATTAACGAAATATTATTTGTCAAGAGGGCTAGTGACAAGCTCTCTTTATTGTATGAGTTAATAAAAAATAATATCGATTAGAATGGCATGATTAGTAGTATTTTCCAGCAATTTTATACGTGGGATTGAAATATAGCAAGAGATTTATTACAGGGAAAGAGTATATACATAGAAAACTTTAGAATAGGAAAGGTTGGAAAGTTGTTTCTTACATATTTGGGTATCAATGCGTATTATTATTTTTTTCTTTTCTTTTTTTTTTTTTGTTTTAGTTTAACAGCAGAGGATGCTCATCAATAAATTGAAAGTTCGTTTTGCGGGGATGAAATTGTTTTATGTTTGTATTTGTTGGAAGATTTGAGGGGAGAACGTATGGATTGAAATGCAGAAATTATGCAGGATTTTAAGTAGATATGCTTTGGGTATAATAATTAAACATGGTGGTAGTACGTTGTTGTTGTTGTTGTTGTTGTTGTTGAACTGGTGATGACGTTGGAGAGGATGGATGTGTTTTAAATCTGGAAGGCGCTTGATGTTTCGAATTACCGTTGACGTTTGGTACGAGCTGTTGCCAACCAAAATCGTGTACAGGCTGGGGGGTGATAATTGTGCAGTGACTATTTAATTTAAGTTAATATCGCTGTAGTTCAGCTTGAAGCCAATCTCTAACTTTGACACTAATTCTTACTATAACCTTTACTCGCACGAGTTTTGCATAACTTCTGATTTTCGCAGAGCTCAATCGAAATCTTCGGTTTTTATGCCTTGTTAAGAATACCTTCTCGTCGATCATTGTGAAGAAATTGACGTAGATAGCAATAGCAACGGAGATAGTTTCAGCAGCTCGCCATAATCCGTTACGGCCCAAGGTTTACCAATACCACCCATATTGCAGGGTTTGATAACGCTAAGGTCAGCTGAAAGCGTCAATGACTGTTGAAAGAATCAAATGTTTGCGCAGATTTGTCCCCTCCATGCGGTAATGTATTGTTTAAGAAATCCATTAATAATATGGCTATTAAGATTGCTTCTAGAAGAAGGAGCATACAAATTGTGATAATTTTTTCAAGAACAATCGTTGTCTTTGTCCATTAAAGTTTTCGATCGTCTAATTTATAGTAGTACTATACTGATTACTATGTTGGTGGAAATATGCTAATACTTCTGCCGCTGCAGATGGTGGCGCAATGCTATGATATGCTGACAAGGGACTATCAGACGTTTCTTTTTCCTGAAACAGTGGTTGGAATGAAGGTGAAACAGCAACGGATGCACTTAATCTTCTCCTGCCCCCATGTAAAGCGTTCATTGTAGATGTTATGCGTGGAGCAGAACCAAAATCAAAAATTGTTGGGCTGTTCATAGAGCTGTCAATAGTGGTGGTCTCGCCAAGCTTATCATTTTGAATGTTCGTTAGCATTTTATTTGCTTGAAAATATATGGCGTCTTGCGGTTGAGCAGATGATATTGACTGTTGAAGCATGCTGACACTACTAGTGGATCGTTGACGCAATCGCTGGCGATCGCTCCTTCTTCTTACCTTGACGTCTAGAGTATCTTTTTTCAATTTGTCTAATAGGCTATGCAAGATAGCTTCATCGTCTTCGGGATCATTGCCAGTGTTAAACTTAGTGGGACCTATATTACTATTGGTTCTTTTTCTTCGTTCCATCTGCCGTTTCTTGATCTTTTCAAGTCGTTCTTGTTTCTGTCTTAACATTTTGGATTCACTGGAGCATTTCTCCCAGCTATCGGTGAATTCTTTGAAAATGCCGAAAAATTCATTTGGCTGCATCTTGCAAGGATTTTCACCATAAAAGCGAACCACTTGGTTATAGCTTTCTTCCATTTTGTTAAACAGCATTTTGATTCGTTTAAATTCAGCCGATGCCTCGGTATAGAATTGATGCATGATGGCAACGAATTTATCTAACTCCATGTCCTCGTCTTCTGCGTCATTCAAGGCATAATGATCGCGTAACTCAATTTGTAGTTTTTGAAGTTCCTTTTCAACAGCTTGATATTCAGCTGTTACTTCGGTTTTAGAGACTTTCGCAGCCGAGCCACATTCATCTAATTCTTCTAGGAATGTTAGAACATACTGAAAGTTTTTTTCCACTGCATCAACAAGGAAATGCAGAAAGGTAGTTGTTTTAGAGGTTCCTTTTGTATCTTTCAGCTATATCATCGATTATTCTATTAGCATCGAGTCTCCCTTGAACTTCTTATGTATGTCTCACCTTGTTAATACTGGCAATTTTAATCCCAAAGGCACCACCTCGGTAGGTATTTCCGTTAAGGAAGTTACCCAATACAAGGATTAACTAAAGTTCGAACAATTTTATAAGTTTCGGTGCATCCAATGTTAACAATAAGACGACTCTATCCTTCGGATCTACTTACATGTAGTAAGACTTTGAATTTCTTTGCATCTTTAAGAGCAATTGATGCATTATATACTGAGGTCATTTGCTATATTTCCATTGATCATTCAATAAGTTGAGCGTTAAAGTAAATTTTTCCTTTTAATTTGTATTACCTTATGTAAGAGTGTGAAGCGCTCTAAGAAGTTTGCTTTAAACAACATGCATTCAAGTCTTTCTTTCAATCTGTTTGTTTTCAACATCTATTTAATGTCAGAAAGTGTAATTTGCTTTAGGATACAATCCAATTGAGGGGTATGTATGAATTTTACCTGCAGACAGAATTTTTCCGGAATACCCAACTTTGATATCTCCTCATCAGAGGCATTGAAATAAGCTCTTAGTTTTGTAGCTTCCTCTTCTGATGGTAAATATCTAACCAAGTTGATAAGGACTTGTTCGTCAGCAAAATAAGGGTCCATCAATAAGAAGTAATAACGTATTTGTTCGAAAGGAATTTTCTTGATGATGCTTTTTATGAAGATATCTGGACGAGAGCAATAAGATTTCCATTTTATATGATTTCCTCAAAAAATTTTCAAAGTGGCATTGTGTGAACTTACTAAGATTGTATGCCTTTTTGCTTTCTAAAATTTGTATTTCTTGCTTGATATTCTTGTTTTTGATTTCGATAGCCGGCCTTTGAGCAAATGCTAACTCTACTTCATCAAACACACCAGCTTTGGCGAGCTGATTCTCCATCAGTGAATCTGTCGATTCAAATTGTTTGTATAACGAGTTTGGTCTGCTGTTGCTCCTACTAGAAGAATCCATGCCAAATTCCTGCCATATTGTTTCATGGATGTTTGCGAGATTCATTTTTTCCCATTCTACATACTTTAGTCGTTGTTTTGACTGAAAAGCACTTGGTTTCCGGCCTGTTATACCAAGAAAAGGCGGTGGAGGAGGAGCTTCATTTCCTTCCTCGTTGTCCGAGAAGACTGGAGTGGGAGCTGGTGGCGGTGGCGGTGGTGGAGGTGGAGGTGGTGGTGGCAGTAGATGAGCGGGACCATTTGAAGCTAGAGGGTGTTTTTCAGTCGTGATAATAGGTAAGTCAGCCATATCTTCGTAATCCTTCAAAACATCATTCTTGCTCGCTACAGGTACAGCCGCAACTGAATACTTCGTATTTGCCACGGTTTGTAATTCGTCACTGCTTGACTTTCGAGAAGCCTGACTTCCCAACGTACTTGATGTTTGTGATAAAGAATGTTGAGTATCTCTATCAGATAATAGCTCTGAAGTTTGCGTGTCTAAACCTCTCTCCGATCTCTCTACTGTAACAGTATTTGGGACTTTACGACCATCTGCTGAGTTCTTGGATGTAACAGGTTGTTCCATAACAAGACTCCATGAAGAGGGGGGTTTTAATTGCGATGTAACCGAATCTATCGAACTTCCTCGTGATTTACTACTTCTGGAAACAGTGTCATTACTTGAACGTCTAACTAAACTGCCAAATTTTGACCTGAATGTCTGTTTTATTGAACCTGAAAAGCCGCTGTTTTCTAGAGTAGATGAACGTTGAATAGGACCTTGTGAGGAAAATCGCCGTGGACTATCTTGGTATGGCAGTGATGAAGGCAGGGATAATTTAGACGGCGCGCTTTCGATATCAACTGCAGACCAAGAACTTCGTACGGAATTGGCAGATGATGGGCCTATGCTGGCGGAACTTTGTTGTTGGCTACGACAGCTACGCCTTTTAAAAGAAGGATTTCCATATTCTGTCAAGTTGCGTATGGAATCGTGTAGTTTACGCATTCTTCCCTCAGTTTCGGCAAGCTCGCCTTTATAACACTCCTCTGTATCTTTAAGTAGCACTTTCAGCATTGCATTGGTCTGTATTGCCATTTCTAAATCCTTTTCGAGGTATTCAACTTTTGCTTCCAGCGCTGCAATAGTGTCATCAGTGTTATCTTCGGTTTTCATAAAAATACAATTATGAGTTACTTATCATTGTTGAATGCAAATGATAATCAATGTCACCCTTTTTAATGTCTTTACCTGTAGATCTTGAGAACCTCGGAATAAGACTCTTCACATTGAAACCTGAGATATCCGTGAAGTCTTCTAATTGATAGCTTCTCTGATCCAGGACAATTCGCTGTATCAAGAGTTCGATTATTTGATATTGCTGAGCGCTATGTGAGTGACAATATAATTTAGCATACCTTCTGGTAATTCGTCTTCACCGAAGTACGTACCTCTTTTTGGGGTCATCTTGAATTTTTAACAGATAACACAATATATTATGAATGCAGGTGTAGGATTCGGTATTTTGGGTGGATGTCAATATCATTTCTAAAACATCTTTTGGATTTAAATTGTTGTACATATCAATATCTTCTTGAATAATATCTGCATCGGTATCATCACGGTATTTTTGGATAGCCAAGTTGATCTGTTCGTGATTTAATAGTTCCATTTTCTGAAACACAGACTCAAGACCTACTGCTTGAAGCTCCTGATTTAAATTTACTCGTTCCTTTCGATCCTCCACTATTTCAGATCGAAGCAGTGTATTCATAAACAGCACACTGATGAACTACAAGCATGCACAAATTATTAGTAAGAACATGCATTTGCCCGCAATCTGATCATTAATGAATATATACCAGGTATTGAGTTATTTGCGTATCACCGCCAGACCCAACCATGCCTGTCATCTTTAAATCAGAACTTGCACCCACAGCTGAACCCATTTTTCCTCTTCCATCCAACGTCTTCTCAATTGCCTGTATCCACGTCTCAAATCTGTTGCTTGATGTTCCAGTTTTCATTAGGAAATCCATTCCTTGTAGAACCATGTCACGTCCGTGAGGCAAGAAACAGAAGGCAGTCAGAGATTCACAAGCCTGTGTTCGTGAAGGTATATAAGGTGAAACCAATGACAGACAAATATTATATATTATGTCTGGATGCTGAAATGCTTCCCGCAGTCCCGACTAACGATATATATGAAGCCGTTAGTTCATTTCGTTCATAATGTTTTAAATCGTGAGCAATAAAATTACCTGCTTGTTCATCAGAGTATTTAGGCATTTAAGAATCTCTAATTCTAGCTTATAGGCATCCTGCGTTCTTATAATCAGGTTAGTAAGTGTTTTTAGTTTTGTTTTTTTTTGTTTTTTAAGTGGAAAATGATCGCCATTGATGTTGAGTTTTACTTTTCTTGTTTATGATAAATCTTGTTCAACTCGTTTGCAATAACTTGCATCTCTCCATCAGTAATAAACCTTTCTAGCCAGCTAATAGAGCAGATGTATGAGAATTTTGTAGAATGTTGTATCTGTAACACATTATGATTTCAGTAGAATAACCCACCTTTCAGAAGTTTTGATATAATACGATATTTCAATCATGAGTTTGTACGTGATGCCTTTTTGTTTCTGCTTGTAAAGGATTTTGGTGTAGTTTCCAGGAGCTGACTTCTTGGTGTTTATGGTAGTTGTATCATTTAATCTTTTGGATGAAGCAGTTTTCGAGGCTGAAATAGTATTGCGCTCCATAGAAATGCTAGCAGCCAATTTCTTGATATCAACATTCAGATGTTTCTGTGGTAATGAAGTATTATTAGTATCCTATTTCTGACGATTAGATCTCAATTACATGATTTGGAGTTAGTATACGACACTATATATAGAACTTACCGCTACTTCTGCGTATATATCTCCACCATTGGTTTTATTTGGATCTGTCGGTGCTGCGAAACTTGTGTCGATCCTTAATTTTTCTGGTTTCAGCTTTTTACGTTGTGTAAAAATCATCTCTTTAATACTACTGCTGCTTTTTTTATTATTTAAAACAGTAGTAGTTCGGCTTTTGGAGTGCTCAGTATTGCTGCTGTTCGCTGCTGTTTGCAATGGCTTCTGTTTCTTTAGAAAATTCTTATTCAAGTTGATACTACTAAGTAGAGGTGGTCCACTGACGGAGGATATGGAAGACCTTCGATTGTTGTAGGAGCGTCTGTTGCTCCCTGAGCGTCTGTTACCACGTTTATTTCCGATGCCTTGTATGAAGTCCATTGAGCAAAAAGTATAGAGTTAAAAAGTACAAAAGTGGTAAGGACAAGAGGGGTTTATACTTCTCAAACGAAGTTAAAACGAAGAAGAAAGAACACCCAAGCAGGAGTGCAAAGAATGAAAGCAATAATTAAAAATTCATGTCTTTGTAACACACATCTGTCTCCCTTTGGATACTCTTTTCTCCGCTTTATTATGCTGTGTGTGCATATGTGGCAAATTTATTGTCAAAATAAGATACCATATGCATAAATTGTAATTGACAGCAACGGGGTTATGAGCATGGTTGATATTGAGAACCATACCCTTTTAGATCAGTAAAAGTAGGTTATACAATACAGTAAGGGCTACTTACCGCTTATTGCGTCCCATTTCAAAGCAGTGCGTCGCTGATTTCATTACAAAAAGGCCATTAGATAGATCTCATGTCAACATCTCATCAATAGAGATGCTATCGGTCTCTGTATCAAGCGTGGCTTTCAGCACGCAAAGGATCGTTAAAACTGTTTGTCCGTATTTCATGTCCGCAGTCATGAAAAATCCTCTTTATCTACCAATTTCATTAGAAATATGCTTTGTTATATTGCTAAAAGTGACCCCTTTGCACATATGTTTATCGGTTGGTCCTATCATATTTGTACTATAATAAGAACTCTAGAAGTAGCGGATGATAATCGGATACACTGTACCAGAAATTAGTTTACAACAAAATAGCAGTAGATGCTTGAAAGGTTGGCATTTCGCAAGAATGGCTAGAATTGGACGAGAAGAATTTGGCGACTCCATTGCTAGTAGTCTTAACTGTACAGCCAATTCAATTTAAACTTTGTCTGGAATTATAAGTTGTTCCGCTGGCATCTTATCCAATGACAACTGTATAAATGAATAATGTAAAACAGTCGCTGTCAAACGTTCGGTCGCCTTCTTACTAGTCTGACAATTTTTTCTTTCTAAAGTCGGCTTATCTTTCTGTTGGTAGGAATGACTTCTCTTTGCTATTCATCTCTATGCTTTTTTGCCTTGAGTGAATATTTCGATTGCGGAGTTCAACTCTTTTCAGGAACTTTGGATGATAGTTACGAATGATATACAAGCAAGCCTGCTTTATCAGTTAGATTGCTTGTGTATGAAACACTATCACACCAGAGGACTGCAACTGGGTTCTGCCACTTTTCTGTGGAACTGTCTTTGTCAATACCCTGTTCGGGACTAAACGTTGTATTTTTTAATGGTTTTTGTTTGGTTTGGTAGAACAGACATTTTCATATCCCGAGGGTAATCATCCACTGCAAACCAGGCTTAAAATTGCGGGGCAAAACAAAATGACTCACCAGGTACAATAAATTGTCACCTCTGTAGCGCAACTCTGACTTTTAAAAAAAGTTTTTAGTGGGGTTTCCCTATAATAGTTGCAATGATAGATCAGAAAATAGCGAGCAAAAAGTTTGTTTTTTTTTTTTTTTTTTTCTCTTTTACTTCTTCTATCAATTTTATTAGTATTTACACCGCGTGTTCTTTTCTCTTTTGAATAGCAAACTCATAACGACTGCTTGAGAATTGACATTCTTATTCTTTGACTATCTTCCAAACCTTTATTATATGCATATTGCTTTCAGTCTGATAACTTCTGGTCTTTTGGCATTCGATAAAACATACATTGATAACATCCTCATCAAGTAATTCCATCTGAATATGACTTCCACAACCATTACTACTGCTACTACTACTGTCCATACTTTCCACTGCACGGATCAAGCCGAGACAATCAGTCTCACTGCTCCTCCAACTACATCGCGAGAGGGATCCGCTGTCAAAGTGTCTGAGGAGATTCTAACAAACGTCAAGTTGGTTGATGTTAAAAAGGTTCTTGTTGTAGGCTCAGGTGGCCTCAGTATCGGTCAGGCCGGTGAATTTGATTATTCAGGTATGGTGCTTTAGGAGAAATTAGTTTTCTTTTTATACGGACACACTCACTTAATTCTCGTTTGTGTAAAATTAAAAAAAAAATGTAGGATCCCAAGCTATCAAGGCTTTGCGTGAATCAGGCATCAAGACTATTTTAGTAAACCCTAATATCGCTACTATCCAAACATCTCATACACTTGCCGACCAGGTTTATTTCTTGCCTGTCACTTGTGAATATGTGTCTCAAATTTTGGAAAAAGAACGTCCTGACGGTATTCTACTTACGTTTGGTGGTCAAACTGCTTTGAACTGCGGTATTGCGCTTGACCAATCTGGTATTCTTAAACGATTAAATATTAAGGTTTTGGGTACCCCTATCCAAACCTTGATCACTTCCGAAGATCGTGATCTGTTTGTAAAGGCTCTTAATGGTAAGATATCCTCAGTCTAGCCACACCCCTCGCCTTGCCCACCCCCCCGTGTTCCCTGGCGAGTGCTTCTTTTACTAACGAAACATGATCTATCTTTTTTTTTGCATGTAGAAATCGATATTCCTGTAGCTCAGTCAACGGCTGTCGATAGTGTAGAAGAGGCTTTGAAAGCAGCTGAGGAAATTGGTTATCCAGTCATTGTCCGTTGCGCTTATGCTCTTGGTGGTCTTGGCTCTGGCTTTGCGGATAATGAGGCTGAATTGCGTTCTCTGGCGACCAAATCGCTTTCTCTTGTTCCTCAGTTACTGGTTGAACGCTCAATGAAGGGATGGAAAGAAGTTGAATACGAGGTCATGCGTGACGCTGCCAACAACTGTATCACTATCTGTAACATGGAGAATTTTGATCCTTTGGGTGTCCATACCGGTGAATCGATCGTGGTGGCGCCTTCGCAAACGTTGAGCGATGAGGAATATCATATGCTTCGTACCGCCGCTATCAAGATCATTCGTCACTTGGGAGTCGTGGGTGAATGTAATGTGCAGTATGCTCTCAATCCTAAGAGTTTGGAATACAAGGTGATTGAGGTCAATGCTCGCTTGAGTCGTTCGAGTGCTCTTGCGTCCAAGGCTACCGGCTATCCTCTTGCCTTTATTGCTGCCAAGATTGCGTTGGGCCACACGCTTCCTAGTCTACAAAACGCTGTCACGAAGACGACGACCGCTTGCTTTGAACCCTCGTTAGACTATGTCGTGACTAAAATTCCTCGTTGGGATCTTGCCAAGTTTCAATATGTGGACCGCCATATTGGCTCCGCTATGAAATCTGTGGGTGAGGTCATGGCTGTCGGTCGTACGTTTGAAGAGAGTCTGCAAAAGGCCATCCGCCAAGTAGATCCGTCTTTCTCTGGTTTTGACGGCCTTCCCACGCCTTTTGAAGATGTGGAGGATGTTCTTCGTAGTCCTACGGATCGTCGTTTGTTTGCTTTAGGTCAAGTCATGCTGAACAAGGACCCATCCATCAGAGAACGGTATACGATTGACCGTCTCAATGAACTGACCAATATCGACAAATGGTTTTTGTTCAAGCTGCGCAACATTGCTCGCATTCACCTGATGCTTGGTGAAAGATCCGGAGCGCCTTTGACAGCAGCACTGCCTGCTCCCTTGTTGTTGGATGCAAAGAAAGCCGGGTTCTCGGACGCTAAAATTGCTCAACTGGTGAACGCGGATGAGCTCGCGGTGCGCGAATACAGAAAGGGGCACGGCATCCTGCCGAATGTCAAGCGTATCGATACAGTGGCAGCGGAATTCCCTGCCCATACCAACTATCTCTACACCACGTACAATGCGTCTACCAACGATGTTGCGTTTGAAGACAAGGGCACGATGGTGCTCGGCTCCGGTGTCTATCGCATCGGATCTTCTGTCGAATTTGACTGGTGTGGTGTATCCTGTACCCGTGCTTTGAGACGACTGGGCGAAAAGACAATCATGGTCAATTACAACCCTGAAACAGTGTCCACTGATTTTGACGAATGTGATCGCCTCTATTTTGAAGAACTGAGCTTTGAGCGAGTGATGGATATTGCTGAATTGGAAGGTGCCAAAGGCGTGGTGGTGAGCGTAGGTGGACAGCTTCCTCAGAATATCGCGCTGAAATTGCACGAAAATGACATCAACGTACTGGGCACCTCTCCTGTGATGATTGATGCAGCAGAAGATCGATTTCAATTTTCGAAAAAGCTGGATGAGATAGGCGTAGACCAGCCTGCTTGGAAAGAATTATCCAGTACAGAGGCTGCGTTTGCTTTCGCTGATGAAGTAGGCTATCCCGTCCTTGTGAGACCCTCCTATGTTCTTTCGGGTGCGGCCATGAACGTTGCTTACAACCGCGAAGCCTTGCGTGACAATTTATTGAACGCGGCGAGTGTATCGCCTTTGCATCCTGTCGTCATTAGTAAATTTATTGAAAATGCGCAGGAAATTGACGTCGATGTGGTCGCGAGCCAAGGAAGCGTATTGGTGCATGCGGTGTCGGAGCACGTTGAAAATGCAGGTGTTCACTCGGGAGATGCTAGTTTGATATTACCACCCCGTGATCTAAGCACGTCGACCTTGTGCCGGTTAAAGGAGATTGCTGATAAAGTAGCTCGAGCATTTGAGATCACAGGGCCATTCAATATGCAGATCATCAAAAAGGACATTCCTGGCCACGCCGAGCCTGTCTTGAAGGTCATTGAATGTAATTTACGTGCGTCTCGTTCGTTCCCCTTTGTTTCCAAGGTGTTGGGCGTGAATTTTATTGACGTTGCTACCAAGGCGTTGGCCCAAAAAGAGGTGCCAGCACCGGTGGACTTGATGCAAAAGACGTACCACTACCAAGCCATCAAGGTGCCTCAGTTTTCGTGGACACGTCTTCAAGGCGCTGATCCATTCTTGGGTGTTGAAATGGCCTCTACGGGTGAAGTGGCTTGCTTTGGAAAAGACAAGTATCAAGCATTCTGGGTTGCTATCCAGTCCACACAGAATTTCCGTATCCCTCAACGTGGTGCTGGCGTACTTATTGGCGGTGACGAAGTGACGGATAAGAAGGATTATATTCACATTGCGCAAACATTGTCTCGTGAACTAGGACATCCTGTCTTTGTGCCGACAGAACAAGACAAGCGCTTTTTGGAGGAGGAGGCAGAGGTTCGGGCAGAATGCTTGCCCATCGCAGCTTGTGCTGAAGATAAGCGTGTCTTGAACCGTCTCTTCAAGGACAACCATATCGACTTTGTGATACATCTTGCTAAAATCCGAGCACCTCATCAGTTAGATGAAGGCTACGTGTGTCGTCGTGCAGCTGTAGACTTTGGTATTCCTTTGTTAAATGATTCAAAAGTAGCTGCACTATTTGTGGATGCGTGCGTGCGTCATCGTGATGATTCGAATACCCATTTGGGCATTTCTGATGAAGTGAAGAGCTGGCGTCATTTTGTCGCTGCAGAAATTTAATTAGGCTTTTTACTCTTTATTAAAGATAGTTGTATGCAGTTCTTCATTATGAATTCTATCGTCTTTTACCCCATTTGCTCTTGACTGGCTTGTCAAGTGAGTTGCTTACAGTTTCTTGCATTCCATTGCCAAGATGTCTTTCTTTTATAAAATTAACGCTATGTTCAGCCTATCGCACGTCATTTGTGCAACATACTCTTGCCACTTTTTTAAGCCATTCATGCACAAATATATATATATACAATGTATATAAAAGATAATGACAACCCATGATTGGGATTGCGAAGGGGATGGTGCGCGTGAAGAAACCCGGAGCTGTGAGTCATTTTTTTATTAGAAAAACAACTATAGATGTGGGCTGATAAAAAGGGCAGATGATATACTATAGAATCATGAAAATGATGAATAACTATTTATAAAAGAGCGAGATTTAACTATATAAAGAAAAGAACTATGTATAAAAAGGGGATATCACGCTATTATATAGAATTATTTATGTACATGTCGAGGGAGAGAAAAAAAAAAAAAAAAAAAAAAAAGAAATATTTATATACATAACGTCAGCATTAGTGAACAAGGCTGATCACGGATTTGAAAGGATAGTTTCTAGAATCGTTCACACTGAAAGATCTTTGACGACCATTTTTATTGGCCACATCTGAGAGAACGCTGTTATTGCTATTCGTAGTTGTCGTTGATAAATGCTGAGAAACAGCTTGTTTAAAGGTGGTAGGCAGAAAGCTAGTGTCGTTGGGTAATGGGTTGTTTGTTCGAGCGATGCTGCTCCATTGCTCGCCCATCATCACAGACTGTGAAGCCAAAATCTGTCTAAGTTCTTGACAGGCTTCCTCTTCATCCTCATCCTTATAGGTGTTGGTATTATGAAGACTGCTTGTGTTGCGCATAGGATATGTATTGTGTGGCGCTGTGTTCACAGTGGTGTAATAGTGCGTGGCTTTCTTGGGGCGTGGGGCAACAATATTCATATTTATGTTCTACAGTTGGAATAAATACAGCAATAAAATAAAAAAAAAGCAGTAAGGTATGTATGTACAAAAGAGTTAAACAGAGTAGTGACGAGAAAAAAAGGAACAAAAAAGAAACCAATGGAGCTATTTATACCTTTTTTTTTTTCTAAGAAAGAGAACAACAGCTGTGTTTAAATATTTCAAAAAAAAAGAAAAACTTTATTTCTTACAGAGAGGGTGTGTCTTTTGGCCGAAACAGAATTTTTAATGCTTTTTTTTTTAAAAATTTTTAGATATTCTTTGAATAAAACTGACTTTTTAAGCTTGCTAGAAAATATGCACTTAAAATGGAAAACAAATTTAAAATTGCTCTATTAAAATGTTGTTACATATTTTATTGTCCTTTTCATTTTTAGTTGTCACGTTCATTTTCTTGACAACAGCTGAGAAACAAATAAAAAGGAAAAAAGCACTGTTTTCCGTATTTGGACAGATGCATTTCACTCCAATGGGGTTCTTGCAGTGCAAAACAAAGAAATGTTGAGAAATACACACTTATCTGAAAGCCCTTGCACAACATGATATAGAACAAAAACACTGTATGCTCGATACTGTCAATTAGAAAAATGGATTCAAAACCCGTGTATTCAAACTCTTTAGCCGTATTAGCGTTTCTCATTTATTTGTTCCTGTGAATGACGATTGCTCAAGTTTAACCATTCTGAATAAGTTGTGTTTGAAAAAGCTTTATAAATCAGACACACACATTCGAGACATTTTTTTTAGCTGATCTTGAATGTGTTGCTCTCAACTTGGATCGACGTAAAGGATATCCCAAGATCTGCAAAAAAAGACAAAAAGCAAGATCATCCATTGGGTCCTACACGATAAATTGAGAATGAGTGATTGTGTGGAACATTGCCTCTTCTTGTCCGTTAAAGATGTGATTTATTATTCACCGTAAACTAGGCTGTCAGAGTTATGAAAAATGCATGGAGATCAATTTTGTTGAACAGTAGATGGATGCCTTATGTTGTCCGTTTGAGTTTTTTTTCTTTTTTTTTTTTTTTTTTTTTTTTTTTTTGTGGCAGCAAAAACCCTAGCCCCCAAACCACAAATGAGACGCATCAACAATAGCTGTGTAATATATTCTATTTGCAGCGCAAATAATCATTATAATATGGCCATGTAGTTATTTAGATCTATTTTTCACTACCGGGTTCTCTTCCCACCACCACTATCCTCAAACCTGCGTTCTTTTTTATTGCAATAAAAAAGATTTTTAATACGTGAACAATGGAACTGGTTCTGTGGAGTCGTCAAGGGGTCATTTCACTCTTATTGTTGGGAATAGATTGGGTCGTGCGTCTTCTGTAGCGCTGTATTTACGGTTACAGTATTTTAACTAATATTTTAGATGAAATACATTTTTTTTTGGACGATTAATATTTTCATTTTAGATGAGTTGCAATTGTGTTGTAGACCAAAATATAAACCGTTTAAACAATGATTCAAATTCCAAAAACTTGTTAGCAGTGCGAAACAAAAAAAAAAAAGAAAGAAAAAAAAACCGTACTATTCCTCACCTGTAATGATCTAAATCCTTGAAATACAAGGAAAACCGTGTTTATTACGGCGATTATTTCTTCTTCTTCGCTGGCTTGAAAATGTCGGGTCTTCCCGCTCCAGACCAAACTGCTTGGGATATAGTCATCATGTTGATAGCGGCGTTAATGTCTCTCTGCCATAGCTTTAGACATTGCTTGCAATGAAGAACGCCGGTACCCTTGAATCCAGGGGTATTAACAATTTGCATATCATCATAGAAACAGAGGCTGCATGTTTTAGAGGTTTTGAATTCATCGATTGTGACAACAATCAATTGACCTTCAGCTTCACGTTTCTTCAGAGTTGCAAAAAGTTTACCGACAACACCACATCTTTGCCCTTTCAATTTTACTACATCTTTTCCAAACATTCCAGCACCAAAGACAATCAATGGTACCCTTCTAGGGAATCCTGAGTACTTATCAGCCTTCCACTTCTTGTCACTTCTAAAAATTATCAATCAGCGCGTAAGCTAAACGATGAACATGTAATTCATTGATACTCACTTGATTGGCGGCTGTTTGTCAACATTCTTTCCTTTCTTCTTCTTCTTCTTCTGCTGTTTTTTCCTCTTCCTTGCCTTGCTTCTCTTTTTGCGATTGTACTTGGCCGTTCCATGAGTCAACATGTTGGCCATAGTTTCGGGTGCTCTTTGCCTTCCTTGGTACAACGTAAACCGGTCCTTTGCTGTTTCATGTCCATAAAAACTAAAGAGAGCGTCTAAGTTATTGAGCATATAACTGGTGAACGCCTCATATACTCCTAGACGAGAGGTCTTTGACGAGGGGATTTGACTTTCTACTAGATCTATTCCTGTAACAGCTTTTATACTGTTCAATTTCTTACAATATTTCGTTGACCCTGCCATATGATAGTATTCGGATGTAGTGCATCTTCGCACTTGTCTGTTATATTCAAGGCCAATAGCAGCAGTAAAAACAGACTTTCTTCCGGGATCCAGGGTAATAGGTAAATAAGTATTGTCAACTTCATCCAGAGAGAAATCATCAAGAGTGAGGTCAAATTTTTGGAACGAGGCACCATGGCCAGATTGTTGTCTTTTATAAAAAAGAAAGTCAACTGAAAACCCATCCGTTCTGACAATATTACCAAAGAGCTCTTTGTTATCACCATTCGGTGTAAGTTCAGAGATACTACATGTGCCCAAGAAGTTAAACCTCATACATTATACTCGACTGCATACCGTATTAACTGTATGCTTACCTTTTGTACCTGAGTTTCTTGAAATCAAAGACATGGAAAAACAGCTCTAATTGGCTTTGGTAATTGCGGGGTAAAGAACGTTTCACAAAAGAAGACAGAGCGTTCACGCTCAAGGTAATGAACCTCCATTGAACGGAAACCTTTGGCAGTAAGGATAGCAATTTTGGAAGAGGACGTCGTCGTACGTCAAATGGTTTATGATCATCGTGTTCGCTCTCAAATTCTGCGTTCAAAGATAACAAAAAGGGTACGAAAGACCCAGGATCAGCAGATAATGTCTTCATGTTCACTTTCTTCCCCAGCTTCTTCTTCCAAGGTTCACAAAAGGTTTGGATCTTTGCTTTTATATCTTTGGTAAGGTAGTCATCAGTTGGCCATTTAGGTTTTCCTTGGCATATCTCTTGATAGCAGAAATCACTTGTGACCTTTTTGACAAGCTTCCAAGGCATACACTACGCAAGATGAGAGCTTTTTTTTAAAATTCATGTAAGACCCCAAGTAATATTGAGTTGCAACTTACCACAAATGCCGTTTGTATTTTATATATCAAAAAATAGAGAAGTTTCTCCTCAAAATTTTCCACTATACTGTTCGTATAGGAAGTAGCAATTTCGGTGCATGCTTCTGTAATGGCTTGACTAAGTCCAGGAAAGAGCTTGACAGGGAAGACAATCTTAGGGTAAGTCGTTTTAAAAGAATCAAACGAGCTCAGTAATTGTTGTGATATCAGCCTACTATTTGTTGGTCTTTGTCCATTCACTAGCTGTATCATAGAGTACCAGAAATTTTGTGTAAAGATACATTTAATACACTTTGGCTCAGCAAGAGCTGCATTTTCCAAGACGTAATAATTCACAAAGAGCTTCGCTCTAAGAACCAAGTTGCGAATAACAGAACAAGCTTCAACAGCTTTTGACTTGAATGTGTTGCGATAGTCACCAAAAACGCAGTTATCAAGAGGCAACCTTCTTGTAAACGCCTTGTAATTACTTCCCAAATGATGTTGAAAGACCTCTGCCTTTGATAATACATGTTGAGGACACAGAGGAGAACGCACCGATTTATGTCCTGGTTGCTTGCATTTGGTACAACAGGTATTGTCTTTATCCGGTTCTTCATTATTCTCTTTCCTTGCTTTCTTCTTTTCCTTCTTGATTTCAAAGTTCTGTTTGCGTTTTCTGCCTATCGAACCAACTATAGGTACAATGAGGTCGCTTACTAACGATGAATTTACCAACTTTTGAAGCCACATGAGGTGCTTACCTTGATCTGCAGTTTCTGTCTCATACAATTGACATTTAAAGTATTGTTGGGTGTAATGACCCCCTTTACCGCAATCAATACACGTTACATCTAACAGTACACGATGATTAATCTCTACGTATATATATGATCAGGTATATAGGCTTTCAAAAGGCAAGTTACCATTAACAGCACTTGATTTTTTCTTTTCAAAAATTTGCTTTTTCTTTTCATAAATTATTGTTTTGAACATGGGTCATAGTATGTATCTTAAAAACGTGAAATAAAAGTGAAAGAGACAACATTTGACTCTAAGAGAGCAATATATTTTATAGTGCTTATCTTTGAAAGTCACCCATGAACGCATACAAAAACATTGACAACAGTTAATATAACCATCCCATTCCGCTATGGTATCTGTTATACTATGACCATCAGCCCTCTATCAATGGTTTGATGTCAATCAGTTCAAAGTTGACCTTTTTTGGAACTCAGGCACCGACGAATATCGTTGGTCTCGGAACACATCGTCATTTAATAGAAAAGTTGTCAAGCTTTTTGTGTAATTTGGCCTATTGCAAGATAACGTCAATAAGACCATTATTGGCGACTTTCTTACTAATAGAGACTCATTTCTTGGGTTCGATTGTATGTCATCCTTAATGCTGCTTGAATATCACTGAATAATGAGTATCCAAATATCCAAATACTATGGACTTTTCTAAAAATATTTTTTAATAAATCTAAAATTAAAATGTATATTGTCCATTAAAAATTGTAAATCGTCTAAAATATAAGGTAAAATACTGTATTAATTAGTCGCAGAACGGAAGACGGCGGGGTAAACAGATGGGTTTATAGACACCGCTCACTGCTTGCTCATTGGTCAGCGCTTCCCTTTTGTCCTTTTTACACAACACAAGCAAACCCAGAAAGAGCCAAAATCTCCACAAAAAGAAAAAGAACAAAAATAAAAGGGGGATAAATGCTCATCCAATTCGTTCATTTTCACACAAAGAGCTTTTTGATCGTTTTAGCCCCCCGGCTGCCCTACTACGCTCTCTTTTTACTTTTTTCCCTTTTCCCCTTCTCTCCCCTTTTTTCCACAGTCATGGTTACTCTGATAACATCAGAATCAACAACAACAACAATCACAAGCAAGAAAAAGCCAATAGCAACAGAAGACGACATACCACAACAACAGAAACGCCATGTACGACAACCAGAAGTCTGTGTCGATTATTTATCGTACAACTTTGACGAAATGGATCTGGCTGCTTCATGGAGAGTCATGACGCAACAGAAAAAGCAAGTCGTCGACGGCATTCGATTAGAGAATGCTTCTTGGCGAACCTGGGCCAAGCAACGTAATAACTTGAAAACCATACATCCTCAATCCTTAAATTGGTAAATTGATGTTTACATTTGTGTTTGTTGAGAAAAAGAGGGGGAGCCCATGGGGGAAGGGGAAAGGCATCTGTTTAACAACATTACGCATTTAGGTTAAAGGATAGCGATGTGACGTGGTTGTATGGTCCTTTACATACAGTGATAAAGGTAGAAGAAGATCCTTTCATGAACACTCAGAGAACAACAACTGAACAACAACTTGGATTGATTACATCCTCTCGTAGTAGTCATGATAAGAATGATAAAAAACCTTTAAAATCAGCCTTAAAGAAGGTCTCGACTGTTGATCTATTAAAACGATCTATTGGTGATATTTATTCAGCTCCGACGACAGCGTCAGCAGACAAGAAAACAAACCATCCGAATTCATCACTGCCGCCGCCATCGCCACCGTCACCACCACCAGCAACAGCAACAGCAACAGCAGTATTAACGAGCACCGTATCCATGCGACAGCATCGTAAAAACTCCATTTCCGACATGAACAAAAAACTACAAGCTGTGTCGCCTGCTATTTTAGCAACGCATCGACAACCTAGACTAAGCTTCAATCACAGAGTAGAACAATGTATTGCGATCGTAAACGAGGAAGAAGAAGGCGTTGACGATATGGATAGGGAGACGAGAGACGAGGATGAGGATATACTCAGCAGCGATTTACATTATGCCAGCACCTCTTCCTATCAACATCATTCATTCGATAGAACGAGAAGGAAATCCATCTTGAAAATCAGATCGACTCGTTTGAAACGATCCCAATCGGACGATGACGAAGCCTGCTCTTCACTCTCTTCCAGTGCAGCGACAAGCAATTCATCCTTACATTACATCACTCATTCACCCCTCAGATCTTATGAAGCATCGCCTTCTTCTTTACAACAACAACAGCTAAAGTCACAGCACGATGTCGGAACAGAGTTTGAGGAGGAGGAGGAGGATGACGATGACGATGATCAAGAGATAGAAGAACAGGCAGATAAAAATAGATATTCTTCTGTCGTCCCAGCAGCAGCAATATCAACAACCAATGTATCCCTTAAACCAAACTACAAAGAAAAATCAAATATTGCTGAACCAGCATTAGTGACGATGCATCAAACAGCAAGAGATATACACAAAAAACCAGAAGACGCGGGTACCACAAAACATTCTCTACTCCAGCATATGGTGCAACTAGCTTCTAATTATTTTTGGTCATCCTCCTCTCATAGTAACAATACGCATCGTCTGAGTCAAGCTGAAAAGCACAACTCATAACGCACCCCTCTTTTAAGTGCGCCCTCCAAAAATGTAATACATAGGTGTATATATGTATATATAGATACCAATCTTTTGTTTTATTTTATTTTTTTTCGTTTACTTGTATTTGTAGTATTTCCATTGATATTTTTAGAATGATAAATAAACTGACGACTGACTGTCTTAATGCTCCTAATGCATGATGGAAGCGGCTGGAAAATAGGCCCGGGGTTTACCTGAATTTATATTTTTTCTTTCCAAAAAAATCTTGACGCGTTGCTTTTTTTTCTTTTTTGTCTCCTTATCTTTGACGAAAGACAAACTTACACCTATTCAAGCATGGAACGTACATTTATTATGGTCAAGCCAGACGGTAAGGAATTTTTTAGACCACAGGATGAAAAAGGAAAAATACATACTCATCATCTCCATGGCAACCGAACTTTAGGCGTGCAACGCGGTTTGGTCGGTGAGATTATCAAACGCTTTGAACAAAAAGGATACCAATTGTTAGCAATGGAAATGGTCCATCCCACCCGCGAAATCTTGGAAGAGCACTATCAAGAACACAAAGGAAAGCCTTTCTTCCCTAAAATTGTCGATTTCATGAGCTCAGGTCCTGTCGTCGCTATGGTTTGGTATGGTAATGAGGTCATCAAGACAGGCAGAAAGATGCTGGGCGCAACCAATCCTCTCGAAAGCGCGCCTGGTACGATTCGTGGTGATTTCGGTGTCGTTACAGGTCGTAATATCTGTCACGGATCTGACTCTGCTGAATCTGCTGAACGCGAGATCAAATTATGGTTCCCTCAAGGTGTCACAATGTACGACAATACACGCACATTGCAGCAATGGCTTTATGAATAAATCTTTTGAAGAATGAATGTAGTTTTTAATATTATAATTTAAAAAAAAAAAAATAAGATATGGGATATCACTTCTATACGGTAGGAAAAAATAGGGGGATTTGGAAAAGGCAGTGTTTAGGGTAGCCCTTCATTACGTAAGCTACGATAACATGATATAACGTGGGTTTCTATTTTTGAGTCTTGATGCTCGACAATTCGCTTTCAGATTTTTCGTGAGCAGCAGCTGAAGCAATCAAAGAATCACCACCTGCTAATTGAGCCTTCTTTCTATTCTCGGCCAATTGTACTTGACTGTCATAGACAAAAAACAATAACCAACCAAAAAAAAAAAAAAAAAAAAAAGAAAAGATGGGTCAGTCTCTCGTTGCCATGGTTTCCTTATCCATCTCCTTTCCAATTTCAACCCCTTACCTATACCAAGCACCACCTAATAAAGTCAAGATGATACCAACACCATTGGTAGCTGTAATACTAAGATCGAAAATAATGACGGCCAGAACAATAGAAAGGACTTGCTTCACATTACCAGCAACAGTCATCGTCAATGCAGAGGTCTTTTTGTTTGCTGTGAAAGACACCACGTTCAAAAAGAAAGCAATGATACCATTCAACAACAAGGCACTGAAAGCAGATGTGTCCAGGTTGGTATACATATATTCCTTTACTAGTTCCATCTCACCCGTAGCATAAGAATAAAACATGGTTTGAATGAAGGCTAAAGGTGACATTCGTAACAATAAATCCAAAGGGTGCAACTTGAGTCTACCGACCTGAACACGGTTGGTCACGACCGTCTTGACAGCAGCTAAAACTGTGCCCAAAACAGTCAAAAAGAAACCCATAGGTGTATAACTGTAATCACCAAACGTAGCAAATCCTACACCAAAAATGACCTATCATAAGCAAAATAGATAGATCGATAGATAAGTAGATGGTTCGTTAGTTCGTCCCTAAGAAAAAAAAAAAAAAAAAAAAAAAAAAAAAAAGCCCCCGCAACTTACAGGAATCAAAGAAATGTAGACCATTCCAGAATAGGATTTTTTCAAAAACATAACATTCAACATGACGGTAAATACAGGTGTCATTGCTCTAACCACTTGATGAAACTAAGATAGTCGTGTAAGTCCCTCTCATGATCGCTATACAACCTCTCTGCCACTCCATGTGGCACTTGTGCATCTTGCTGCTTTAGCTACTTACTGGTACAGTGACGAGGTTTCTATTATCCATGCCATGAAAAAAGTAGGATGGCTGAGCACTCATGCTATTTCCAACATAGATACACACATAGATAGATGCAAATATACTTACAAGGAGACATTACTGATAGCGATATTAATGGTATATAAAACAGAAAACATCAACATGACCATATTTTCTCTTTCGCCCAAACTGGCAGGCTTGAACAGGCCCAGCTTCCAAAAGATATAGGAGCCAATCGTGCCACATAAAGTGTGAATAGCTGTTAAAGCCCAAGGAAAAGGGAATTTGAACATGGCCATAATCACTTTGTTGTATATGGTTAAACCCAAGTTGAGGAAAAAGTACAGTGCCAACCAAACAGTCGAAGAATCGAGATATTGTTTAACTGTTTTCGCCATTTTTTATAAATATTATATGCTGTGTGTTTATAAATAAATAATCAGATTATCTTTTTCCCTTTTGGCTCCTTGAATTCAACCGTTCCAAGTTTATCTCTAAATATGGACGTAGAGTGATGATGGTGTCTACAGATGTTGTTGCTTCCACAAAGTTCAAGAAATTTTAAAAAAGAAAAGGGAAAGTCTTTATTTTGAAATTCCTGGTGCAAATCAGTCCAAAAACTTATTAGGCGGTTCTTGAAATTGTTTTTATTTTTGAAAAAAGTTGGGATTTTCCTTCAGCATGTTGGGTAAACTTGATGAAGCAAGAAAAAAAAGAAATGGCCCTCCTCCCTTTCTCTAACTCTTTTGTTTGTGATGAACAATGAAAGAGTTTCCGATAATGGACGCGATACCTTTAATTGCAACGTACTAAGGACCTATAAAGGAGGCTTGTTTACTTTTGGATACATGTGCATTTTTTGTATTTTGTAAAATAGACCGCTCCATTCTAAGGTAAAACTGCTTTGCCTATGAAGAAATGAAAAGCTGCATGCATACTGCTTGGTTCCATTAGGAAAGCATGAGCCATGATTTCAAAGTGGTTGACATTGTCTTTCTGTCATTAATGAAGGATAAGCAAAGACTTTTTACTTACAACACTTGGAAAATACCCTTACACGCCTCTGCTGTTTAATTTTAGATGTGCTCAAATGGCCACACTATCCATGACCGAAAGCAATGATATCATTCCAGCAGCACTGAACCATTGTACGAAATGAAATTATGACTGTGAAATATCGCAGTGTAACCACCCTAAAATATGAACATGTCCACCAAAACAGAGCCTAAAAAAAAAAAAGAAAACTCCTATCAGCTGGATGTCAAGGATATAAATGTTGATAATATACATACGGCACAGAATTCATTACTGCTGGCCTGTAAAGAGAAGTCGGTACAATGAATCCAGTCGCAGGTCTTCCTGCTGTATACGTCTGTGTGTTTATGTGTGTATCTTGTTGGAGCATCCTTATTCGATGAACTGAAGGGTCTGCACTCAATCAAGGGGAATGAAGGGTGACATGGGATGTTTTATGCACTCTATGTCTCAAAGAGCAACATTAGCCGGTAACAACGGAACCATTATGACTCTTTAAAAAACTGCATGCTGATGGATGTTTATTTTGCTGTAACTATTGCAAAGAGATGAGGCGGGTCTTGTGCAACAAACAAACAAACGATAAAGGTATCTAATTACGTTATTAAGGTTTGTTTGCTGCGTAGGAATCCTTTTTTTTTTTGTTTTTTTGAAAGATCAGCAACCGCAAGTGTGGCTGATAAGCACTTAGTAAAAGAAGCATCAATGGGTTGATATACATAGCACACATGCTAAAAAAAATGTTTTGTCAGACACTTAACTTTTGCAACGCATAAATGGCCTCTTGTTTCCGCCAGGTTCATGAAGGGTGTGGAGCTGCGGATTTGGCTTCTTTCTGCTTTCTTATCACTGACCATTCCCAAAAACAGTACCTTTGTGTACATTGTACTCTGATTGTGGCGAGGTAAAGCAACACGAAGGTGGCAAGGTAGTTGTGTAAAAATAGGCATCACATTTTCATGCTTTATATTTTTTTTTAAAAAAAGCATATAAATAGCAAATGTAATTTTCTTAATTGACAAGGCACCTCTATACCTTCGTCTTCATCTCTCTTTCTTTTTTGCTGGTTTTCTTCTCAATACGTGTACAAGATATGGGCTCTTCATCTGTTCAATGGGTTTACGCTAATGGTTGCAATTGGGTTGTTCTGGATGCCCTTGCTCAACAGCATATCGAAAGTCTATGGTCACAAAACGGAGCTAGTTGGATTCAAAGCAGATCTTTCCGAGCGCCTATTTACGTTGATATCAGTCAAATGGTACTACTTTGTAATGGTACTTCTTATACTATTGCGCGCCGTAGAACATAGTCAGATGTCTTTTCTCTACTCATATTACTCTAACAATGGATATGAAAGGAACGCTCAAAGAAAACTTTGAAAGCTTGCCATCTTTCTATCACGTGTGTCGTATTCATCAACACCTCTTTTACCTTCGAATTATATGCTTCAATAGTAATTATATAGAACACATCATATACCCAATGCTTTCTTGTCATTATTCCAACTCTTTAATCGCAAATAAAGATTAACTCATTTTCCACCAACGTTTGGCATAATGGCTGCTTGTCGGATCAAATGACGCAGGCTTCATTAGCAGCAGTATCGGCGTCGTCGTCATCTAAGCCACAAATTTTTGCTCATTTCAAACAAAACCGATTTTGGTTTTTTGTGCGGATTTTTCTTTTTTCTCTTTGTGCATAACGGTAAGTTTTTTCAGATGAGAAAGGTGTGATGATTGTATGTGGTTTAGAATGCTAAAACAACTTTATGAATTTGTCCTGAAACTTATAGAAAGGAGAGATCTTTGGCAATCCCCTTGAGAAGGACGGAACGAGCTTTTGCTCAAACTTACAGCACCTCCGGGTGTTTGAAGGCATTGCTCTTATTCATAAGAGCGTCTAGGCATATTGCCACTTTTTTTTTCATATATTTTATATTATCTTTAAATGAGAATGAAAAATGTATTTTTAAGCTTTTATGGTTATGTTTAAGCATGCTTGAAAGAAAAAAAAAGTTGCTCACATAATTATTGTAGATGTTGAAAACGCTAACATGAAAGAGGAACAGCAGAGGTCATCTACAACTTATGAACAATAACAAGCCATTATTCTGAATGACAAAGCTGAGAAAGAGTCAATAAGCTACTGACTGACAGCTGTATAGAACAAAAATCGTATTTAGAATTAATACGTTGTTATGGCCTTTTTACTTTTGATTTGCTGCTTTTGACAAGCGAAAAAGTAAATGTTTACCTCCACGGCTAGAGAGTCTGCTTGGATAATGGCTGAGATCATGCACATGATAAAATAAGCAAGAACTAAAATAGCACTTTATTTTCTTTCATACAGTACTTGACCTAGTCACCCATCGTGTCTTACCACTTGACATTCCACAATGGCTTCTTTTTTTTTGAGTTTTTTGCTATTCAACGAATCACCAAAATGCAATAGGGTCATAGACATTGGAATCGTCCAGACACTTCTTAGCCTCTGATAGAAATGCAAAGTATGAAAAGAACTGCATTAATCAGGTAGTAAGAGCTTTCTGATGAAATAAAATGAACTGTATGGAGCAGGAATAACGTTTTCTCCAAGATTGTTCCTGATTTGTCTCCGTTGGGGCCCTGGAAAAGCTTTTGCAGTGTGAGTTAGACGCGAAATAAAGATAGAATATTGGGCTCAAGTCAGTTATAAAGATGGCCATTATACCCTTATGACTCGTCTGTTAACGGTCAAGTTGATATGAGTACTTGTTTCGGCTACTAGCGAACCAAACCACCGACATCATTTTGTGGGTGTAGTTTTATCAATTCCCGGACAGTCACTTCGATTCATCTGCATTATCAAGTAATTCCGCCTCTCCATCCAAACCTTTCTTTCCCTAGTTCACTTTTTGAAAAGTTGGCTAGTTATACGACCCCTGGACTTGTAGAGCGTCTTTATATTGTTATAAAGTAGTGCAAGATGGGTAAAACACAACAAGAAACAATGAGTAATCCTTTCATATCAAAGGACGCCGAACTTCACGTATTGACGAGAACAGAGGAAGAAAATTGCTACAAAGATATGAAAGCAAAGGCTTTAGAAGCCTGTGAGCTACCCATTAAAGGTATCAGCGTAACTTTCAACAGAAACGAAAATGGGTAGACAAATGTCTCACACTCACTTTTTACGATGGGGAAATATATCAGATTTTGTCGAATGCAGTAAGGAGCACAACGTTACTGTCATGTGGACTTGCCGAAAAAAACTAAAAGCAATGAATAGTTGTTTAAATCAGAGGTAAAAAGAAAATATCATAAAGCTTAAAGTAGGGACTCTTCTGCACTTTTGTATGCACAACATTAAAAAAAAAAAATCCACTCGAGTAGGACATCACAAGAAGTATTGGATAAACTTTTATTAAAAAAGTTAGAAGAAAAAAGAAGAACCATGAAACAGCAATAGCAAGTATTGCCTATGCTAGATGCAGCTTTATACAGCATATTTCTGTTTACCTTCATCCTGTTTTTCACATGTACAAAAGAGATAAAGTCAAATTACCAAAATAAACAAGCAGACGCAAAAAAAAAAAATAATCAAACGTTTTCAGGCAACTTACACTAATAACGCATATATGATCGAGGTCTCTGAAATGTTCATTATAATCCAAGGCATATCCTACGACAAAGTCATCTGGAATAGCAAATCCGACATAATCAGGGACATATCCATTACTTCGTTCTGTTTTCTTGATGAGTAAACTGGTAACACGGATAGATGCAGGCTGGATTTTTGATAATCTTTCTAATAAGTAGACCATTGTATTGCCTGTATCAATAATATCTTCGACAATTAAGAGATTCTATAAGTAGAAGACGGTTCAGATTTGAGGACCTTTTTGTTCAACTTCTATGAAGGTCGCTTTCTTTATTTTTACCTTTCCTTTGAACTCTTCCAGTTCTGCATCTGTCAAAGATATCTTAACACCTGATTGCGTATCATTTGTATAGGATTTTACTCGGATAAATTCCAAGCTCAATTGGACGCTGGAACCATTATGTCTACAGAGCTTTTTAATTTCATTGACCAAATCTGCAAAGTATTGATGTCCACCTTTTAGCACACAGCAAACCACTATATACCATTTCAAAATGCAAAATGCCCTAAGGATGTGTTCATAACTCAGCTTGCTTGTTTATATTGTTCATTTTACCCAAGGGTCCTGGAGTATCATCTACAATAAGCCTTGCCAATTTTTTGATTCTATCCTGTATAGAATGACATGGTAAAAGAAGAAGAATTTGTTTAATACCATGTATTTGCTTTAACGAAGATCACTTTGTCCTATCACCATGATAACACCATGAGGAATCAAGATACTAGAAATATCCTTTTCATAGTGGTGAGGAATCACAAAATGGTCCATAGAATAGTGATTCTTTTCAATTGTAACATCAATCCAATCTTTAGGGTTCATATGCAGAGCTTTTTTTTTTCAGAATTACAGAAGAAAAAGGAATCGTGAGCAACTGTGCCACTGGTAGCACTATTCGAAGGCAACGGGGACAAAAACTGAACTCAGCAGCAGCTTTCTTCCCTTTTTCGGTCAAGGTCACCACCCCGCAATGATATTGCCCTGAGATGCCGTATTGCCACCGTCAATTGATCGCTATGCATAAAAATTTGGTCGGACATCAAATTTCAATTGGATTGTAAGTGCAATCATTAAAGAGTACAATGACTAGCCCTTGCCATAGTTGTGGAATTGAATTTTTCCTTATCAGTAAAGCTATATAACCATAATTATGATGTTCTTGTGAATACGTCTATAATGACCATTAACAAAAGTAGGGGCAGGGAATTTTTCAATGAGATACTGTGCTCTTTTTTCTTTTTTTTTTTTTTCCGTTAAAAACAAAATAGTTAAAGGAATATACGGCAAATTCAGTTGCCTTGATTGTCGTAGCAGACTTTCTACTTCTATGTCATTTATCAATTATTTGAAAAAAGAAAACACATAATAGAGCCTGTTCAACCTTATCTAGAGTAAAGAAAAGACGCGACTTGAAAACAGACGATGATGAAAGCACGTCCTCAGTTCTTACAAAATATACAAGCTAATAAACGGGAGGTTGATTGTAGCACTGGCAGTTCCATTACATTTCAAACCAAAATTCAATTTGATGATGACAACTCTATTCAAATCTGTGATTCACTATCGAGTTTGCTTCGTATTCAAACAACTGTATCTAGGTCGCGAAAACTGGATAAATGAAATTGATTTTGTTGATTTCCTCAAATAGCAAAATATACCCTTTTCTCACAGCTTTAGATAACATAAGTGATGTATTATCTGATGCGCCAACTGGCACTTGGAGTTTTTCCAACCGTGAATGGAGCAGTTACAGAAGGCTAATTTGATAGAACATTTCCTGCGTGTCAAGCCCTGCTGAAACAGCTCACTTGGGCATACTGAACAAAAATGATGTAAAGAAAGAACAAATAGGGTACATAAAACCAAAGGACTTACGGTTAATGACGTACTCTCATTGAGACACATATCTTGTTATCTTGAATGTAAAAGAGCTATTCCTCAATGCATGAAAAAAAGACCAGAACCTTTTTGCAGTCTCATTAATCTTCTATTTTTTTATTGATAAAAGATTCTTTTATTATAATATATACATCACACTGCGAATCTAGGCTGTTGAAAGAAGGCGCCATCCTTATTTATTTCCAGAGTAATTTGTTCGCTAAACATTGTTGATCAGCTATGATTCTGTCGATTGGATTTATACGAGCAATATGTTTAAATAAGTCGTCGCATTTGTTGAAATTGAACCTATGACCCATACCCATGCACTGTAGAAGCAAATTCATGTTTGAATGTTTGCTATCTAATCTTTTTGGTTTTTCTACCTAAGAATACTATTAAAAGTCGAGCTTTATTGGACCTTTAGATGATTTCATTTTTTGTAACGAACCTTGTATCAGCCACCAAAATGAAATTTAAGCTCTGAAAGTCATAATACACGATTGTAGAACATTACAATGAAGATGTCTTTTCAAGTGTCGTTTACAATGTACAAGCATTGATGGTATCAAGTTATATTTAGCTCTTATCCAAGATATTTTTAGATTTATTGTTTGTATCGTGCTACCATTAATGCAACTAAAAATAAAATCTCAATATTTACGCGTAGATTTGTACATTTGCATAAACTTAAAACACGCCCAGCTATTTTGATACAGAGGTCATATAGATTAACCGCTGTTATCGGTTTTCAAGGTGCTTACTCTTATCAAAACCGCCAATATAAATCTTGTACAATTCATCAAAATGTAGCAAACTGTCAGCCAGTATAAGATTTGTAAATAACTATTTTAAAAATGTGAGGCGTTCAATTCTGGTGTCCAGCTGACCCTCGATGACAATCAAGGTTCAACGACATAGTGTTACAGTTAGGGTTGTTCAGGGCATGATGATCAATTGTACAATTACAAAAAAGTAGATTTATTGTAAAGGTCAGATTTGTGGCGGTATACTCATCAGTCAAAGCAGTGAACAGAAGTTTCTTGTTTCTTTCTTAATTTGGCAAAATTAGTTTTCACGATTCTTAAAAATAGATCCTCTCAAATGTTTGCAAAAAGCTTCAGCTTCAAATCGCATCGCTAGAGTTACATATGTACTAATGTCGTGAAATCTTAATATGGGAAGTAATATCATATATAAATGGCCTCTTGTTTCTCCAATTCTTCTCCAGTTCAGAACCTCTCATTATAGATTATAGTCCTTACTACTCCATACTTCAATTAACAAATTCAAACTTTAACGCGCTTATTCTTACTATTTTTCACAATGGCTACTGTTCAATGGGTTTATGCTAATGGCTGTAACTGGGTTACGCTTGACGCTCTTGCTCAACAACACATTGAAAACCTATGGCATCATAATTCTTCAAGTTGGATTCAAAGTAAAAGTTTCAACAGACCGGTGTATATCGATATAGAACAAATGCTCTTATTATGTAATGGCATGTCGTATAGTATTGCTCGACGCAGGGCGTAGACGTACCAACAACATCTTTGACTGTATAATGAGCAACACATTGGTTCCGCGCAATCATCAGCGTCCCATCAATCATCATTTACAGAGGCCACATATAAAATTCCCTACTACCTATGCTTACCATTCACCATTTAGCGGTAGACTAGATATAAACGACTACTTATTCCGCTTATTTATCCACTTATCCATTACACATTCTGTCATTTCACATCAATTATTCATCTTTAAACAATTAATTAAATAAATCGTTTTACGTTTTTTCATACAATAGAGGAAAGGACGGGAAACGAGAAACAAACGACGACGCGTTGACCGTCAATTTTGATGTGTGTTCCTTAAATCGTTTGATTGACCCATTCTTGGTTTAAAACGCCTACAGAGATTGGAAGACGAATTGTTGTATATGCTTAATGGAAATTGGTAACGGATGTAAGTCGATGACTATGAACTCAAGTATCTTTATTGTTCTTCAGATGAAGTAGAAAAATTATTTACTTTGTAAGGTTTAATGGGAATTATATTATTTGAGGACGCGTTTGCTAGTCACTAATTTCAGGTACAGATGCTTGATGTGTGTAATTATCAGTAGGCCTGTATTTTCATTATATATGTTGTACATAACCTATATTAGATGCAATATAGATAGACCGTGGTGGAATGTATTCTCTACTTGGTTGTACGTACTTGAGTATTGTAGTTGTTATCTCACCAAACACGTCACGAATTACTCGCTGACGAAAGGTGATTTCTTCAATTGGTATGCAACTTTATATTAAATCGTTCATTAGATTTTACCCGTCTAATGGGAGCCTCTCAATACAAGCATAGCAACTGTACGCTTAGTTTACTTTTAATGACTGTGCTCGTATTATCATTAGGCGAACAAGTTTTTTGTCAGACATGTATGATCAATTTTTAATATGTGTTTGTGTCCATCGTAAATTGTTAGACAATATAACTAGCTAAATTTAAACCATATAGTAAAAAATGAAGCCAATAAACGTGATAAAACAAGGCTGTTTCTTTCCTTCATGTACTCTTTGCAATCATGTGAGGGTTCGCTTTCCAATTAATTTTTACACGTTTCTGACAGAGAAGAGGAGTTTCAAGAAGGCCTCCAAAATTGGGACTAATTGGGAATCGAGGATTTTGTCTTTTAGGATGAAAATTAAAAAGATTTAGATTACTTGCAGACAACAGACGTCTATAACCAGGGTTATGAATTAGCGTGGAAGGATAAATATAGATATATACAAATACAAGGTTTAGAGGGAATAATTAAATAGGATTAGAAAACAAGATAAAGAACATGAATGTTATAATAGTATGATAGAATGCCGTATTAATAAAAGTTCCAACTAATTTCACCAACGCCAATATCTAAATCGCCTACGACTCTTTCAAAGAGTAAGGGGGTCAGATCAAGCTAGTTTTGATATAGAAATAAACATTGTTTCAATGAAATTTGTATTGACTTGATCAGGTTTTCACAATGGCACAACTTACCTCTCCCCAGGAACATTCAGAACAAACATCCATCACTGTAGCCTTCGTACTACCCTTAGGGCCCCAAATTTCTACCTTGGCCCCACAATGTTTCGAAATTTCATCTTCATCACCGTATTGAGGACCATTAAGAGCAACTATTTCGGAATCGTCATCAATGTATGTATCCCAACAGGCACCTTGAGGGCCGCCATTCTTGTGAGGAGAATACCAAGTCGCGATACCAAAATGTTCACCGTCATAATCTTTTCTCTTGAGGACCGTGTTTTCTGTTGTAGTAATGGCAGGTGAAGCAGTGACCAAATTGGCAAAGACTGAAATGACAATACCGATGAAAGAAACGATTTGAAGTTGCATTATGAGTGTAAAGATGTGTCTATGCTTAGCTGGAAGGAAGATATAATGCAGAATAATCGAGAGACGACCGGCGTTCTTATGGGTTTCCTATAAATAAAACAAAATGATAAGATTGAGAACAAAATAGAAAAGAGACATTGGTAATGAAATAGGTCCTCTTTTATATATGATTTCTACCATTTTATTCACTCATGAACTTTTACTATTAATTATCGTTACAATCTGAGCTTTTTCGGATCAAATATATAATCTAATATCAACTTTTTATCAATAATATATTTTCTGAAACATTTAAAACGAAATACTTTGCATTTCGGATTTTGATTGAGTATATTACTCGGCAGAGTTTGAAACTAGCAAATAAAGCAAAGAACACAGTTGCATTTCGCTAAATGAAGAATCGACCCCGCTTCAACACTACACAGTATGAGATTGTTTTCAAGTATGACTAATAACGGGTAAAGATGTGCACAGGCCATAGAACCTCTTTCACCGTCGGGGAGTCATTCTGTGAAACGGCCCATGGTTGTTCTTACCGTCGCTTGGGTTAAAAATACACTCCGTTATTTTTTTCGTTTACGCCTCCTGAATAAGTAGCCTTAACTTCCTGTAAACAAGTAAGCGTATATCGTTATATCATCGTTAACTTTGTCCGATAATATGGTTGTAAATGCATAGTATTGATTTAGTCTCAAAGGTTATGAGTATTTCAAATATTTATTTCGTTAAAAGGAAATAGATCACAAACCCCATAACTGATTTCGAAAGACACATCACTTAACATACTTTTGAAACGCTCTTCTGTAGGTCCAAGATATTTGCAAACGCAAATGGCATTGTCTTATCAATTGGACGCGCTATCCCATCATCAATTTCAGGATTAAAATTAAAGGATAATGGGCATGCATACCCCGTCAAGAAATAGAACACAGAATCTTTTATTCAGGATGATGCTTGTGATTGAGGAAAAATTAGTCTTCGAAAATCAAATGATCGTTTTCTAATCTTATCTATATTATATCAATGGTCAAAGCACAATGCAAACACGCACACAGCTTAGCCAAATTGATAACGAAACATAACAAGACCCAAATTAACACGAAATTGCGCTGATATGCTTTATAAAATAATCCTTTCTCATAAATTAATGATTTCGGAGTTGGTCGTTGACAAACGAAAGATCATTTTCATACACCATGATGAAGGCTTATTAGCATGTGCCAATTTGAGGCAAATAAACCATGAAATTGTGGCGAGTTACTGATAGCGGCTTTTGTGTTGGAAGAGCAAAGAATTCTTCCTTGTTGACCTATCTTGAAACTGTTCTCATAGTTGGCATAATAATAATTACCCCATACTAGAGCTGGATGTGTAGATATTCGGATTGTATTTCATTATGACTCTCTCTTTTTCTTAAAATATACCAATTGTTTACAAACAAAAGCTTCTATTTCCTTTAAATAATATTCGGCAACCATCCCTGCTTCCTTACGTGGCGAATAAATATAATTCTACGTGCATTCAGCAACAACTTTTTGAAAATCCATTGCATGGGATTCCGAAATACATAAGGAAAAAATTTCAAGCAGCGTTGAACAGAAACATATTAAATATCTGTTAGTAGTTGTCTTTGAATGAGGTATGACAAGCTTGAAATGAAGAACAATGCCGACGCGTTTTACTTTATTGGCCTGAAACATTTTATAGTCTAGGTTCTCTGTCTAACAATTACAAATGGCAGAGTATTCAACAACAAAAACCTGGATGCTATGGGTCGCTCTGTGTATCAACACGCAGAATCTCAATCATGTTCGCAAGTTGATGCCGATGTTCATCTTTGCTGACGTGGTCGTCTTTTGTTCCCCATCAGTTGCAGAGGTGAACATCGCTATCAATTCCTTACTGTTGATAGCTGAAATTGCATTTAATGATGCAGTACTTTAGGGTTTTTTTTCTGACAAGTTATTTGAACTCATGTTGCCTTGAGTATTTGTTTGTATTTTATATTGTCAAAGGAAGTCTAGGAAGAAGTAAGTGGATATTTATTCAAAGTGCTATTATCTGTAACTTTGCTTTGAAGTTGGTGACTTTGAGGAACTAGATAGCTTTATTTCTCAAAGGGCCTGATTTGGAGATCAATATTACGCGGAAGATTGGCTGTACTTTGCCGTTCAATCAAGAATGGGAATGTTATAATTAATATTACTTGTTTATCCTGGTTGTATATAATCGTTATCATATATATATGTAACGGGAGGCTATACAAACTAACATAGTTATACGCTTGCAAATTGAAGTTGTTCACTCGCCACAACGCGTTAGTGGTTGCTGTAGCATGTCATCAATTTGACGTGAATTCTATTACTGACAATATCCCTGCTATAGTTGGTCCTAAAGTATCGTTATCATTATCCCTCAATGTAGCCTTTCGAAGAATAGACAATGGGTTGAAAATGGTTTTTATGTTAGAGGAGTCCATATCAAAATGTAATAATTGATTGCCTCCACTATTATCCATTATTGTTTGTCAATTTTTAAAAAAAGTGAATCTTGCTCACAATTGTATCTAATATGATCGTGTGAAGCTTAGTTGTCTTTTTTTTTTACTATGGCTGTAAGAATGACTATTTGTCTATCATAAAAGTAGTATATTCATGGTAGTAGTTCATTTGCTTTTGGTATTTCGATATTTTTACGATGCAAACATTGGTTTTCTGATGGATGAACAGCTGAATACTCATTACCTGAAATGGAAAGTTCGGTTTTATCCCTCGGGGGAAGCGCTTTTCCAATTTTTGTTTTATGCTCCTTTTCTGAACCTTTCTTCTTCTCTTCCAGTTATAACTCCAATTAACATTAAACAATTCACACATGTCTTGGTGGGGTCAAAGTCCTTTCGATGAGATAGTTGGTAGAGTAGCGATATTAAAGTCACTTGACTGGTAAAATTGTCTAATTCTTTATTTCGTTATAATTCATAGAAAAAGCTACCTCGGAGCTGTTACCTGGAGGTCAAGAAGACCTTGCGTTAAATTTGGAAATTAGCGATCAAATTCGTAGTAAAAAAGTGAATGCTAAAGATGCCATGCGTTCTATAAAGAAACGCATTCAACACAAAAATCCCAACGTACAGCTGGCTGCTTTATCGGTAAAATTGCTCTCTTCATTCATAAAATATGTTGGGCCGTTACTGACAATAATATGTGTGAATGCAATTTATAGCTTGTTGACACTTGCGTAAAAAATAGTGGCGAACTTTTTGTAAAGGAAATTGCATCAAGAGAGTTTATGGACACTATGGTTTCAATTCTTAAGGCACCGGTAAGGAAATGAGCATTTGAGAATAACTCACATGACCCATTAACGTTTTAAACTTTCTGTGTAGACTGGCTGCAATATGGACGTGAGGAATAAATTGCTAACTATCATTCAAACATGGGGACTGGCTTCGAAGAATAAACCAATTTTGAGCTATATGTATGATACATATGCCCTTTTAAAAGCTGAAGGATTGCCATTTCCTCAAATGAATGATAATATTGACGGTATATTATTGGAGACGGCAGTGGCAAGTTCTCGTTCTTTAAAAAATGATGTTCCCAACTGAGAGTTTGGCTTAACATTAATACTTTATCATTTTTTATTTTTTTTTTGAAATAACAAAATAGGCTCCTGAATGGTCTGATTCAGATGTGTGTGAAAGATGTCGTACAGCTTTCACTTTGACCAACAGAAAGCATCATTGTCGTAATTGTGGCGGTACTTTTTGTCAACCTTGTTCTGCTAAGACCATGTCCTTACCTCATCTCGGAATTAATGAACATGTACGTGTTTGTGATGGTTGCTATATCAAACTAAAGTTGGATAGAGCTACTACGGCCAATCAGGCCTACCAAAATCAGCGTTCAACTTCCCTTACGACAAATGCTTCAACAAAAGCCATCAAGTCCTCCGCTCCAAGGTCAGCGCAGCCATCATCAGATCAGTTTGACGATGATATAAAGAAAGCAATTGAGTTGTCTTTGCAAGAAGCGGAACAGCAGAAGAATAAATATAGCTCCGGATATACCCCTTCCTCTACCTCCTACAACCAACAGCAACCGCAGCAACAGATAACAAATGGCGTAAGTGCAGTCGAGGAAGATCCTGATTTAGCAGCAGCCATTGCTGCTTCCTTAAGGGATATGGAAATAAGTCAACAACGCACCTCGAACTCTCAAGAAGAAAACTATCGACAACAACAACAGACACCAGCTATCAATGCTAATGATTTGACATCTGTTGAGATGGAGAATATCTTACTCTTCTCTACATTGATGGAAAGGGTTTATGCAACAGGTGGAGATGTTTCAAATGACAATCAGATCAATCAATTATACACTCAAATTGGCGCTTTGCAGCCCAAATTAGTAAAGAGCTTGAATGAAACAATTCGAAAAAAGAATGCTTTTATCGAATTACATGAGAAATTGACTATGGTTGTGAAAGCTTATGATAAACTATTGGAAGAAAGAATCGCAGGCACATATCAGCAAACAGCTGGACATAATACTACATCCTCTCCCCTATACCAACAATACCAATATCAACCTGCTGCTGCAGTCACTACTCCTTCAACGTATAATTACAATAACACAATGAATGCTAATTATAGCAATCAGACCGTCACACCCACTATGGCAGCAACCTCCGTTCCTCCCTCTTCTGCTGTTTATTATGGCAGTCCACATACTCAATCACAACAACCACAACAGCAAGATTACTATTCACAACAACCATCAAACTATTACTACCCAGCTTCAGCTTCCAATGCTGCTACTGCTACAGTTGATCATCAATACCAACAGTATCAGCCTATGCCTTCTACTACTGAATCTGTGCCACCACATGCTTCAGCGCTTCAACAGCAACAGAAGCAACCACCTGTTGATGAAGCTCCTCTAATCGATTTATAAGTTACATATTATGTGTTGAAAACATTACAATAAAAAGGGAAACGGTCCATCTTTTTGAGCAATGAATCTGCAGTCAGAATTTGATTTGATTTGCACGAATCAAAAACAGAAGCCAAGTAAAGTTTCGTATAATTATTATACAAACTTACTCACTTGTGAAGCATTTGAGGATCAATGACCATATTCCTTTGTGTTAAATGATTAATTGCATTCCTTACGAAAGATTCCTTGCATTAAATTTTTTTGTTGGCGTGGAAAGTTGCTGTCTCCAAAAGAACCTTTTTATTATCTATCGTTAACATCACTTAACTTGAGGGTAAGAGATAGAACCTTCTTTCCTCCTTTTCTACAGACAAATGATGTGTAAGTTTCATTAAGGCAAGTACACTATATCTCAGTACATGCTGGAAAGAGTGCTTCCTTTTCTGGAAAAAAAAAAGGAGAAGAAGCTGAATCACAGAGAAAACAGAAATAACAATGCTGATATATGCTATGACATCCTTCGCTACAGATTTAGAGCATTATCAGAAACGATTTAAAAGAGCTTTAGCAAAAAATAGTTTGAAAACGTGTTTCTAACCATCGTCCTTCATTAATCCTTCTATTTGCATTTATGGGTGGGCCAAATTCATTGACAATGCATTAAACAAGCAAAAGTGAGATTGATTTTATAAGTTAAAAGAACAAAGTAGATGAAAACTAATTGTAGTATTACAATTACTTTGAACCGCTTAATTCTCTATCATAAGAAATAGTTAGTTTTTTTTTTATTTTACTATTTGAATTATAATATAAAAAAAGGTGTTGATGTTCTAGCCTACTCTCTAGGAGAGTAGTTGCCCAGGCAGCCCCCACGAGGAGAGACATCAACATGGCTGCCTATGGGACTGGTTGACATTAACCTTATGCTACCGGCTCACGAGGAACCGACAGACACCTATTTCAGGCAAGTGGCAACAACCAGCATTACACATGAATAGAGAGGCCATCATTGAACAATAGGAGTACTAGGCCATCTACACAGAGGAAACCAATTTAGAAATCAAAGCTACTGCAATATTTGTGCTGAGCTGATTCCTGAGTAAAGAAAAAAAGAAGCGGAAATTCAGAAAAATGAGCGCCTTTATATACTTTTTGAAAACAATTGTAACTCCTTTTAAAAGACTGCTTTTTGACCCAATAGACGTTGTGAGCATTTATCTCCTATTGAATAATTGCTCTTTCTTCCAATTGATATACATATGCAGCTAAACTATTCATGTACAGCAATAGATTTTTTAATCCACGCTGCTTGCTTTGATTTCCTCCAAGTGAGTAAACGATAATGTTACAAATCAAATATCTCGCCGTGTTGCAAAGTGCATGTATTGTCAATTGAGACGTTGCAAGCTTGACCCGCAAGATTATTTTCATTAAGCCAGATGGTATAATTAGTTTTTTATAAAACTGGGTCGTTAGCAGAGAAGAGTACATGAACAGCATGCCCAAAATCAGATAATCACTTTCAAATAAGCTATGGTCCTAGCTAAAATCCAACTTCCAAGGTTACGCCTGACCACTGCGATCATAATTCATTTATCAAAATTAGAAAAGCGAATATATTGATAAAGACAAAAGCTATTCGAGTATACCGCGTTATGCACTATTAGCATAATGGCCACAGTTATCAAAAGTAGCTCCACAAAATTGAAGCAGTATCCTGTAATTTGCTGTCATATCAACAGACGTTTCGGTGATTGACTGTATTTAGAAACCATGTGTTCTCAAAGCACAGATCTCGACAAAAAATATCGTGACTTAAGTTGGCTAGGTTGTGACGGCTAAACATTTTTTCTTTCTGAAGATCAAGAATCCTATGCCCATTATCCCCTTTTTCTTTTTTCAAAAGCAACATTGATCCAAATCAACCAACGCATCAGATGAGCGACAATCCATATTTAGCCCACTTGAACGAAGGCAAAAAGAACCCAAAGAATGATGCTTTTAATGGCATGATACCACGAAAAACTACAGCTGAACAAGCCGAAAAATTGGAAAATGGCACAGTTAACCCGTTCACTGGAAAGAACTATTCAGCTAAATACCAAAAGATTTTGGAAGGACGAAGAAAGTTACCAGTTCATGCTCAACGTCAGCAATTTTTGGAAATGGTCCACAATAATCAGTTTGTTGTGCTTGTTGGTGAGACTGGTTCCGGTAAAACTACTCAGTAAGTTCTCTATAATCTGATTGACATTCACTTTGTTGGTTCAATGGAGGGTCGTCGGTCATTTACGTTTGGTGATATAAGTAATTTGACTAACTGACGCTTTAACAAAAAAAACAAAAAAACATTAGAATTCCTCAATTCTTAGCTTATGACGAGTTACCTCACCTCAAGGGAAAAATGATTGCTTGTACACAGCCTCGTCGTGTCGCTGCTATGTCTGTTGCTCAGCGTGTGGCTGATGAAATGGATGTACAACTAGGACAAGAAGTCGGTTATAGTATTCGTTTCGAAGACAACACTAGTCCCAGTACTTTTTTGAAATATATGACTGATGGTATGCTTCTTCGTGAAGCTATGTCAGACCCTTTGATGAGCAGATATTCCGCAGTTATTCTTGATGAAGCTCATGAACGTACTCTTAACACAGATATATTGATGGGTCTGCTGAAAGAGGTATAGAGTACAATGTAAAAAGAGTTTAGGCTGCATTCGTATTGAAGACTAACCCTTTGTCTTTTATCACGTATTAGGTTTGTAAAAAGAGAAAAGATTTGCAAGTTATTGTCATGTCTGCTACTCTAGATGCAGGAAAATTCCAAAAATACTTTGATGATGCGCCATTATTGGTAAGTAGAAACCACATTAGAAAAGGAGCCATATACTATTGGGTGGGTAAGTAAATTCATTAATGGATCTTTATTATGATAATAGTCTGTTCCTGGTAGAACTTTCCCTGTCGAAATTTTCTACACAGCAGAACCTGAACGTGATTATCTTGAAGCAGCAATTCGTACCAGTTTGCAAATTCATCTAAGCGAACCCGAGGGTGATATTTTAGTATTTTTGACTGGTGAAGAAGAAATTGAAGCAGCTGTCAGCAAGATTAAAGCGGAAGGAGATGAATTGATTCGTAGTCAAGGTGCTGGTCCGCTTAAAGTGGTGCCGCTCTACTCTACATTACCACCACGTGCTCAACAAATGATCTTTGACGCTGCTCCTCCACCACGTACACCCGGAGGCACTCCTGGTCGTAAGATCGTCGTTTCTACTAACATTGCTGAAACCTCACTTACGATCGATGGTATTGTATACGTTATCGATCCTGGTTTTTCCAAGCAAAAGGTTTATAACCCTCGTATCCGTGTCGAGTCTCTTTTGGTATCTCCTATTTCCAAAGCTTCTGCTCAACAGCGTGCTGGTCGTGCTGGGCGTACTAGACCCGGTAAAGCTTTCCGTTTATACACCGAAACTGCTTTCAATCAAGAATTGATTGAAACTACATACCCCGAAATTTTAAGAAGCAACTTGGGCAGCGTGGTGCTTCAATTAAAGAAGCTCGGCATCGATGATCTTGTTCATTTCGACTTTATGGACCCTCCAGCTCCGGAAACATTGATGCGTGCGTTAGAATTATTGAATTATCTTGGTGCTCTGGATGACGATGGTGAACTCACACCCACCGGTGAACTTATGTCAGCATTCCCTCTCGATCCTCAACTCAGTAAAATGCTTATTGAGAGCCCTAAATTTAATTGCTCCAACGAAATCCTTTCGATTGCAGCCTTACTGTCTGTTCCTCAAATTTTCAGTCGACCTAATAATGCCCGTAAAGCAGCTGACGAGGCGAAAGCACAGTTTGCACACGCTGATGGCGATCACCTCACTCTATTGAATGCCTATCATGCTTTCAAAACCAACTATGAGGACCCCAATTGGTGTTATAATAATTTCTTAAATCACAGAGCACTGAAATCAGCCGATAATGTTAGAAATCAATTAAAGCGTACGATGGAGAAATACGATTTGGACCTTGTGTCGACCAATTTCGAGGACAGATCCTATTACACCAATATTAGAAAAGCCATCGTAGCTGGTTATTTCATGCAAGTCGCCCATTTAGAACGTTCAGGACATTATTTGACTGTAAAAGATAACCAGATTGTACAACTGCATCCTTCTACTTGCTTGGATCACAAGCCCGAATGGGTACTTTACAACGAATTTGTGTTGACTACACGTAATTATATCAGAACATGTATAGAAGTAAGAGCTGATTGGTTGTTAGATATGGCGCCTACTTACTACGATCTTTCCAATTTCCCGAACTGTCATGGTAAACGCCAGCTTGAACAAATTCGTAACAAAAAACTCAGGGAAAAAGACGAGGACCGTGGTGGCAAGAAGAAGAGAAAATATTAACGGCCGCCGCCACATGATAAAGATATATACTTATTATTGCTGTAACTCTCTCTCTGTCGAGCAGTCTTACATAGTACCCCCCCCCTTTTTTTTTCCCTAATGTGCATATAATAAACTCGTTTCAAACCTTTTCTAGATCAACAAAAGTATCTGTAGTAGTCAAGTTTGATTTCACGATGACACTAGTGTATTGGTTGGGGCAGACGGGAAACTCAAGCTGTATTTATTGAAATTTATTCACCATCCAAGAGGATTTGGATTGAATTCAAAAGCGTGTCTCAACGAGACCACTGTATATAGATAAAGCTATGAATCGGAAATATTCATGTGAATCCATCTATCACCATTGAATTTTTAGTTGCGAGAAGACCTGTGTTGGCGTAACATGGCACCTTGACAAGACTAAAACTGGGAGGCGGCTATGGATTCTTTGTGTGATGGAGAATAAAAAGGACCTGTTAACTGAATGGTGACATCAAACTTCTCAAGCAGCTGACTTTATGTCTTTTACTTAAAGAAAGACAGCTTTCCAAACTGCAGATAGCGTTGGACTGGATGGTATATAACGGACATTGCGATGTATGGTTCCCTATTGTATTTGATAGTCTTCGATGTGACGAGAATGAACCTATTCCAAGCGACAAGTTTACAATAGTACATATGTTTGCATAAATTAGATCAAGTAACTCGAAATAAAAGAGTTTGCAGTTTTATTTGTCGATGCTAGAATCATAATAGTACAGACGAATATGAAAACGATAAGCACCATAGAATAGCTACCCCAACCTGCTTCCACATAAGTTGCTTGCTTCACTAATAATCGTTGATTTTTAAAGTATTTGCCTATGCCAACTAGGAAGCATAAAAATCCAATAATAATGAAAATGAAGCCAACTGGTTTATTTGCAACATCTGCAAAATGGCTACCGCTATCACCGCTGTTGCTATTGTTATTATTGTCATGATCATCACCATTATCTGGTAACCGAAACTGAATCAGCACAGTAAATCCTATTGATACAGTAAAACTTTCTACAATAAGGATATTTCTGGTTTCATCCCTCACTTCTCTCTCAATCTCTTTCTATCAGGCTCGCCTACTGTGGCCCTCTCTGTCCAATATACAAACCTAAAATAATAAGGGTGCAAGAGAGTCGAAACCAAGTCAGCCAATTCCTTTCATTAGCTAATTGGTCTCTTGCCATACTTATATTATTGGAAACAAGTATTGAATAATCGAGAAGGTTTTCTAACCAAGAACTTTTATACACTTCAACTTTTCCTGCAAGCTCTAATTTCGGTTGCTGTACTGTATTCTGAGTTTGTTCATTAGAAGTAGTTGCTGATGCTGTTGAAGGTCCAGGTGCTGTACTCATTTCAAATATATTTGAACAAAATGATACAGGTTTATAGCGTTTTCTCAATAAGAAAAAGAAATGGGTAGTTATGAATCTAAAGCTGTTGTATTTTGTTTTGGAGACCAGCGTGAAAAATCAAGTAGCCATATTGCGTTAAAAAACCTACTTCTAGGAGTTTGGCTTGAAAAAAATCCGGATCAAAATTGCGTGCAGTCATGGATTCTATTTACGTCATGCTTGTTTTATTTCAAAGTTACACTGTAAACACTTTCCTAGGTTCCTTTGCTGTACCAGTGATCCCCTTGTCATGCTTCAGTTTGGTCAAAGTTTCAGCTGAACAGAACAAAAAAAGATATTCTATTTCTAACTTTTTTTTTTCTTGTGCTTATGATTTTGATACGTGAGAGAATAACTGGAACGCGGGATTTAGACTGAAAGCAGAAGTGATCGTTTGGGCCTGAGGGTGTAAATCCTCGTGTTATAGGTTGCCTATCAGCCTGTGGATTGATTGCGCTCTCCTAACAAGTTTGAAAAACCCGCAAGAAACAGGAGGTTATCACTGGCGTCAAAGCAAGGTCTTCCGCATGGGACAAATTTGGATCACTTCTTACTCTTTGTGCGCCCAAAAGGCAGCCATTCTAATAGATTGGACTTACACAGCAAAAACATTGTAATGGATAACGGTACCATTCATAAATCACCCGACGTACTGCAAGCAATTCCTGGCAATGGTCACAAAGCATTATCCCTCCCCAGCTTACTTTCCCATGCTAAATCCCGTCGAAGAATGCTGGGCAAAAAATTAAGGCAAAAGTACGTAAAACACTATGAAAAAGAACAAACTCGTAGCCAATCGTGGTGAAGAAGCAACCAAATCGATAACTGCCAAAAGCTGTCAGGGGTGGATACGCCATTCAACAAAGCTTATTGATAATTGCGTAGATATGATTAGCTTATAACCTATCAATAATGATCTCAATAAAGTGGTTCATTGTCTGAGTGTTCTTGACACTTCTACAAAAAACTTGAATGGAAGACAAAAATTATTTGTTCGCACTGCAAAAAAGATTGAAAGCCGAATAAAAAAAAATCGATTTTTTAAACGCAATACACTTGTATCTGGGAGTTGTTTTTTTTTTTCTTTTTTGGAAATCTAGATCATCAGAAACAATGTCCAACAATCATGCCTTCAATGGACAAAATATTGTAGGGAGCAGTTCAAATTCTAGTGATAACGAGAATACAGGTTTCAATAATGAAGAACATCTGCTTTCGCAACGGCAGTCAATATTGTTTTCTGAGAGTAATGGCGGTTTAGATCAACCAGATCAACAGTTTATTGAAGAAGCAGGCATCACTCTTATACCCGAAATGGACAAGCCCAGTAATGAAGAAATAAGTCAAGAACGACGCCAACAGAAATCCTTTAATGCCTTGTGTCAGATTTGTAAACGAAATGAATGGATTTATACTTGCCCACGTTGCCATACACGGACCTGTTGCCTCGACTGCGTTCGAAAGCATAAGAAGGAAACGTCATGTAGTGGCATTCGTGATAAAGTAGCTTATATACCCTTACAAAAATATAATGAGTCAAATATGATGAGTGGTAAGATAAATAGTAGTAACAGTTGAAGAAGAAAGAAAGGGGTAACTGATCGACGCCCTCTCTTTATAGATTATACCTATTTGGAGGATGTCTCAAGGCAAGCAGATAATGTAACCAGAAGTAGATTGAGTGTAACGAAAGATATAAAACACAAGGCTGCCGAGAATAAAGCGAGATTGGTGACAAAAATAGCTAACTCAATGGGAATACGATTTTCTTCTCTACCGGTTGGTATGAGCCGGAATAAGTTGAATCAGACAAACTATAGCAAAAAGTAAGGGGGACAAAGACATCTAAGTACGGTTATTACAGAAGAGTGGGCATTAACAAAATAAGTATATGGTTATGACGTTTAGCTTAAGACAGATTTTCTGGTCTTTGGAAATCAACTTTTGCAAAAATAATAGACGAGAGCGATATTTGGAACATTCGTAAAGTTATAATATGTATTCATCCATTGATTGTATTTGATCAAACTCATGCTTATTTTTCTTAACTTTACAAAACAGGTTTCCGAGCAATAAACCACTTTATGCATTTTTCGAAAATCTATTATATGCTGAATCTCCTCAAGGCAAAAGCGATTATCACATTATTCGTCATCAAGTCAACGATTTTGTTCAAGCCGGCCTTGATCAATTCAAAGTCGCTTTAAAAAAAGAGAAGGCACCTCGTGGTTATTTTATTGATGTATCGAATGTTATGGACGCACTATTTAGAGATGTTTTAAAGGACGAGGTCATTATTGAATTTCCAATCTTTTATATATGGTTAAAATCGGACGAACAGCCTTCAGATATTTCTGTGTTGGAAGAGAAAAAGCAACCACTAATAGTGCCGTTGAGAGAAGCAGCTGGAAACAAAGATCATTTTGATATGGATAATAACAGTCAACTACAGACTGGAATGGCTCAACAACAGAATATTGAAAAAGAGGATCAAGGGCAGACTCAAGCAGATGGGAATCCAAAAAACACGGATATAGATCCGATTCAGCCTTCAAATGATGCTGAAGTTATCATAGACGAGAATGTAATAAATGAAGAAAGTAATGATGCCATCGTTACTGAGGAAATTGAGACAAAAGCTTCTACTGAAGTAACATGCTCGACGAATATACCCAATGAAAATCAATAGACATTTCTGTTTTTATATATCTTACCATGTATCCTTTTGATTTATAATAAAAACAGCTCGAAAGGTCGCTCATTTTGCTACAATACGATCATTAGTAGCTTATTTTTTCATTTAGGCTGAGCAAAAATTCCATCCTTATATTCAATCATTTCAAACGGGTCAAGTAAAATACAGAGTAAAATGCATTCTAACACGAACAGTTTGCGATATTTTTAGTCTCAAAAAAAATCCCAAATGAAACGATAACTCCATCTCACAGGCCTTGAAAAACGTTTTACTGGTCTTGCAGCATGAAAATAATGTCTCTGCGTCTCTTTATGTCTTTCATAATAATGCAGACAAGTTGTTGGTAATGTTGGTAGCTGGCTGGCCTAAAATACCTCAAACCTAAATTTAACCGTTTTGTAGCAGCCGGCTCGTTTTTGGGTTTGACAAGCTCTGAACAATTGGAAAAAAAAGGCAATAATTTTTTAATTGGAACCCAAAAAATATTTCTTTTTTTTTTTTTTTTTTTTTTTTTTTTTTTCTTACAAATTGTAACCTCTTTTCTTCGAAACGTCTCTCTCTCTCTCTCTTTTTTTCTTTGTATCTCTTTATTTCCTTTTCCAAGTCATTGAGAACCATTCATCGGCTTAAATAACCCTTCAATATAATATATCTAAAATGATTATCAACGAATACCGTATCATTAACAACTGTACTGAATCAGAATATCAAATCGGTAAGGCGTACAGAACATTAAATTTTTTGACGTTTGACATCTGTCATGTCGAGATGTCATCACATATTATAAAGGAGGGGAGGCAGAAAAGAATGTTGATATTTTGACAGCTTGGTGAATGGGATAATACGTGTATGAAAGGTCTAACATTGTATTTATTGTTGGAGAATAGCTCAATTATATGCTACTGCTATGGCCTCAAAGAACTCCACGGGTGGAGGTGAAGGTGTTGAAGTGTTGAAAAATGAGCCTTACGAAAAGGGGGATGAAAAGGGTCAATATACACACAAAATCTATCGTTTGGCATCCCGTGTACCCTCATTTGTTCGTCATATTGCACCCGCAGGCGCGCTTGATTTATATGAAGAGGTATAAAGGAGAAATGACTTTTATAAACTGCTAGTCATTGATTTGAAAGACTGACGTCTTTCTATTGCTATATGAACTAATTTCTAGGCTTGGAATGCTTATCCTTATTGTAAAACTGGTAAGTTTGCTCACACCCGACGGGAGGGACTCTCGCTTTCTTTACGTATTCATGATGCTGTTTGCGGGATTTCAAAGATGGAAAGCACTTTTGAAAGTATATACGTGTGCCCTAAACCATGCATTCTGGTTTTGTTTTTTGTTTTTTTTTGGTTAGTTTTGAAGAATGGCTTCATGAAGGACAATTTCTCTATTGTATATGAAACTCTTCATGTGGATGGTTCACGTGGTGAGCTTGAAAACGCCTTGAAGATCAGTAAAGAAGATCTCAAAAAGAGAAATGTAATTTTTATTGATGTCGCCCACGACAAAATCAACCCTAAAGACTATAAAAAGGATGAAGATCCCAAACTCTACCACTCAGAAAAGACTGGACGTGGTCCGTTAACAGACAAAGATTGGCAGAAGAAATGTGAACCTGTAATGACATGTTACAAGTTGGTCTATATTGAATTTAAATGGTTTGGCCTTCAAAACAAGACAGAATCCTTCATCGCAAAGACAGTTCATAATCTATTCACTATGTTCCACAGGTAATAATAGGAAAAGAGGAAGAAGAATAGACATGAGGGCCGATCACTTAATGTGTTTTTCTTTCTGTTTTATTTTCATATATCTCCTAAAGACAACTTTTCTGCTGGACTGATAAGTGGTATGGTTTGACTATCGATGATATTAGAGAGATTGAAGAGCAAACAAAGAAAGATTTGGATGCAAAGAGAAATCAAGGAACCTCTCCTCTTGCTGAATAAGATTAGAATAAGCGGATGTACATAGTGGTTTATTCCTGAAGATCGCGACTCGTCTTAAACATATTCAACATTATCACTTGGAACAAAATTCCGAGTACATCGTCTTCCCAAATTACCTATTTACATACACATGATAGACAAATGTAAAAAAATTGTTCATTTATTTTTTATTTTATTTTTTTATTTTTTTCCTTTGTGATTTGATTTCCATATGTTCGTCGTGAAAGAAAGATGATCTCTATTCTTCCATGTCCTGAAGTCCTACTTTTTGCTCGACTGTGTAGAAATACCCACTTTTCTTCTCTGCATGATCTAATAAAGCGCGACCCCGTCGTTCTGTTGGATCCGTTTCGATTAAATTATCATCGCGTAGTGCCAGGCTTTTGTCCTGCTTCCAGAGATGCGTCAGAGGAGCTATTGTATCATGTTGTTGATCAAGGTTTTTGATGGTTTCTGTAATTCGCTGCAGCTGATGAATTTCTGATTTTAGTCGACTTGCTTCTTTCTCGTCTTTCACATTAATCCTTGCTAATGATAACAAATGTTTAAATTGTTTGTCTGATATGAGCGTTTGAGCGTCTGTTGTTTTTTTATTGTTTTGTAGCAAAGAATCAATAGTCCAAGTTGGTTTTAAAGGCTTCTCGTTTGAAAGACGATCAGAAGCTATCCGTTTTCCTTGTCTGTTATTTTTTTTCTTACCAAACAATGTTCGTCTACAGGGACTAAAAAAAAAAGTCAGTCTATTACATGGCTTCATAGACTATCTTCTTCTATTATGTACCTTTTATCGTATTATACCATCTCTTCGTTAACAGCCTTGTTGACATAATTTTTTGTTGGAATAAAGGAAAGTGGAGAAAAAAAGGTAAGCTTGACCAATGATGGTCATGCCGCTCCTTAATAATCTCCGGCCGGACAAGGGCATTTCAAAATTAAATGCACCCTACTATAATCCATAAAAATTGACTTTTTCCAATTCAAACTTTCCCTCTTTTGCCTTGTCGTATCTCCAAATTTCTGGCCAGAAAAAAAAATGAGTCAAATGGAACCCAGTGCACTTTTGCTTCAAAGACAATTGAAAGGTATAATATCTTTTCTAAACCATCATCTTTTAAACAATAATAACGTCTACATTATGAAGAAATATTGACCATTGCTTTTCTGTTTTTATTTTTGAACTCTTGCTCATCTCTGTTTTTGATCATCTCAAAAACTCTCTTTTTTTATGACCTATTTCTGTCCTTTGTCTGATTTTCTATTTTGTGATCTGTGCTTGTCAAATCTTAAATTTTTCTAGATCTTCAAAAGAATCCTGTTGAAGGATTTTCTGCAGGACTTGTAGATGATAACATTTATGAGGTAAAAAAAAAAAAAAAAAGGACCAAGAAAAAGGCTTAGAAAATGCTATCGTCATCTATTTTTTTATATTTCATTTTCTGACTCAATTGATTGACCATAATACTATGGCCTTTCATTTTATCATTTGATAGTGGGAAGTACTCATTATGGGCGCTCACGATACTTTATAGTAAGTGCCCTTTTTCGTTTGTCTTTTTTTCCGCTAAAGCCTGACATTTTAATTCCCTAAATAGTGAAGGAGGCTTCTTTAAAGCTCGTCTCTCTTTTCCAAAGGTAGTAAAAAAAAAATAGCAAAGCGTCTCCTCAATCTTAATGAATTTACAACGAAATAGACATATCCTATCGATCCTCCCACAATGGTTTTTACAACAAAAATGTATCATCCTAATGGTAAGACAAAATGCTGAACTCTAATTCAAATATCACGCTAAATTATTTGTCCGAACTGGCTTTAGTTTACCCTGATGGCACAGTGTGCATTTCTATACTTGTGAGTTTGAGCTGCATAACCAAAGCTTTTTCAGATATAGTTTCAAACTGATATATCTCTTTTTTTTTTCAACTTCAAAAAGCATCCACCTGGAGATGATAAATATGGCTATGAACATGCAAGTGAACGTTGGTCACCTGTTCACACCGTAGAGACCATTCTAGTCTCTGTCATATCTATGCTTTCCAGTCCCAACGATGAATCGCCTGCCAATATAGAAGCTGCCAAGGAGTATCGTGAAGATTACCCTCAATTCAAAAAGAAGGTAGCAAAATTAGTTAGACAATCCGCTGAAATGCTGTAAATAGTTTAAATCAATTTAATGTAAACGCACGAGTCTATATATTCTTTCAAGCATATATCATCATCACATACAAATCACTTTCAATTCGTCTTGCATTTAGTATTCCTACTAACCATTTTGAAAAGTTCAAAAAAAAAAAAAAGACCACTGTCTATAGACAAGAAAATCTAGCGGACACGTATGTATTATGAAAATGATTTATTTAACAATGAGTGAGGGGTATGCATATAAACAAAGTAGAAGGATAAACATGGTAAAGGAACAAAACTTCAAAAGCTATCTAATGAGCAGAGGGGTATGTAAAGTCTTCCTCCCAGTAAGGCTGTGTAATATCATTACATTGAAGAGCAGGAAGCACCTTGAAAGTTTCTTTTACCTTGGGCAACCACTTTTCTGCCATTTGTACAGTAGCATGGTTCAGTTCATGTTCTAAAATAACCGTACCATTTGCGTCTTTACCAGATTTGGCGTCATGTAACCATCCCTTGAAGTAACCGTCCACTGTAGCAGGCGGTAAGTTACCGCCTCCAGGAGCAGGCATGTTCCAATCAAACGTATCTTTGTCCCAAATCACAGTACGCATACCCATCTGCCAGGCAATAGCACGAACACGGTCATCCACATCACCTTGTGGAGGACGCCAGCATTTGGGTGTAACACCTGTGGCTTCTTTAATAGCACGTTGGGTCCAGTAGAGCTCAGCAACGACTTCTTCATTGGATTGGGTGGTCATAGCAGGATGGGACCATGTGTGAACGCAAAGGGAATGACCATCATTGAGGGCCCTTTTAGCAGCGGCAGGATACGCCACGACATTTGAACCAATATACTATCGAAATAGGAAAAGTTTAGTTTCTAGATAAATAACGTTCATGTCAAGCTCTTTCCCTCTACTTACGAAAAGAGTACTCTTCACCCCTTGATCAGCCAAAAAGTTATACAATCTAGGCTCAGCATAAGGATTTTCTTGTTTTGCATCTTCTTCGTCGTCATCTCTTAAAGCAAAAGGTCCATCGTCATAGGTTAAACCCCATTCTAATTGGTTAGGGCAGGTATACACGTCAGGAGGCAAATAGTTCACTTTAGGTTCAAGGCAATTGGAGGATGTCCACCAGCAATCGGGATCCTCATTAGCGTCATAGCCCTTCATCACCACATTGCCTTCTTTATCAACTTTACGAGCAGCAATATTAGGCACATAATCCCATTGAATGGCCTTCACCATAGCTTGCACTTCGGGATGGTTTGTGTCAGGCTTGGACCATGGTTCTGGGTATTTGGACAAGTCTAACGTTTCTCTGGATAAGGGGGCAGAGGTATCAATTTCGGCTGAGGCAGCGGCGCCAGCATAAGTTGAAATCACACCAGAGGGAGTGTCTAAGTTTGGAAAAGCAGGTGAAGTTTGAGGTGCGTAAATGTTGTTGTACAGAATCGTTCTAGTGGGGATTCTATTGTCTGCTGATGATGAGGAGATAAAGTCGCCGTCACGTCTTGACAAAGGAGCAGAAGGAAGAGCATAAACTGAGGAGACTATGAAAACGGCACAAGACAGTAAAGTGAATTTCATCTTTCTCTTTTATGTACTATAGGTGTAGAGATAGTGATGAAGGATAGATAGAATAATACGGTAACAATGTTTACTGTTCAAACTAAAAAAGCTCTTTTTATATAACGGATATCTTTTTTTTTTTTCTTTTTTTTTTGTTTCTCGGTATGTTCGGCTTCGTATTTACTCTATTAACCAATTTAAAGATTGAAAAACAGCAAAAATTAGGTTGATGTTGCCATCATAGAATACAAATTGAGACCTTGTCATTACTACAAATTAAGTAATTTGAGAAGTGTATGAGTTCCTGAATGCTCATACTGTTCCTTGGCATGTTTCAAACGGCGAAATATAGCCGTTAAATCAACCAATCACAGCTCTGAAAATGAAATTGATTCCATATGAATACGTTTATAAACAAAGGATTTTTATTACTGGCATTTTTTAGCCCAATGGACACGAGATATTAAGCTTATCTAAATTGTCCGGGGCAGCTCCAAAGACTGAAAAGAATTTAAAAACCCCTTAGGGCTCAAGGGTAAAAAGGTACTAAAGGGTTGTGGGAGGGGAAGAGGTTAACCAGTCGTGACACGTTAGGAGTAGTAGTCCGTGAAATAACTATGGTTGGTTTTCCAGTATAGATTTTGTTGTACTGTTTCTTAACTTAGATTTAAGATTGTTATATGAAAGAAAGCTCATTTATTAAAGTATATTTCTCATCTATCTATTTAAACTATTCTATTTCCGCACATTCATTCTACCGAGCATCGAGCCGGACTTCACGTGCTCTAATTCTATTGGTTGAGCTGACAATCCTTCACACTCCGTGTCAGTCGAGCAATAGGTGCCGGTAGAGGTAGTTAACACATTGGCTTTCCAAACCAACAATTGTTGGTTCGATTCTTGTACGCCGCTGATATTTTTTCAGCTTTGATCCCTTTCTCTCTGCTTCCTAGGGTTTTTTAATGCCGCTATCAAGGTGGTTCTCGGTCGGTGTTGGTGTTTAAACAAGTTATGAATAATTGCGGTGCCCGCCCAGGCTTAATTAAGCAAGATTCCGAACCGCGCCCCAAGTCTTAGCCTACCAATTATAATGATTAGTTTAGCCCCTTCCCCTCCCCCCATTTAGATAGTTATGCTTTTTTGCCCACTACGGCACCCTGACCGACACTATGCATCGCTCTATTCTCAAGAAATCGAGCTGCCCCGGGCAATTTTCTGTATGTAGTTTATCTGTGTGCGCATTGGGTTAAAAATTATTCAATAAAAATCATGTTAAATCGTACATCAGTTTCTTCAAAACGACTCTCGATGAAACGGACAAGTAGTTGCTTACGGAAGGCCATTATAAAGCCATGGATAATCCACCATTCACACACGCGATAGCATAAATAAGTATATTAAGTATTGAGGATACAAATGTGTTTATTTTCCTACTTTTCAATTTGCCAAAGATCAATCTGGCATTACATTATCAAATTTGGATTGCAAATCACTTCGATCGTTTAACGTTGGCTTGTCGGAATTGAATTTTTCCAGACCATTCTTTTCTAAGAGAACAAAACGTGACAAGATCTCAAACGAAGAGCCATGGTCTACAACAACTTCTTCGATATTGCTGCATTGTCTAGTATTCAAGTTAATTAATATGAAAAGACTTGCTGCAATCCGCATTCTTTTCGACTTACTCCAAAAAAACCCCAATATCATCTGGTGACGTTGAAAGCCCGGCGTAGTCAATGATTACAAGGCGGAAAGGTTTTTGACTGAAATGGACGTGTGCAACCAAATCTATAGAAAATCTTTAGTCATCATAACTATTACATTAAACCCTTGATGTACCTGAAATATCACCATGCGATCCTCTTAAATTTAGCAGTAAATCGTTTTGCTTTGGCGAATCTCTTTCTAATATTGGTTGATCTGCTTTGCAAATGGGACTCACGAATACTTTTTCGCACTTTCCGCGGAGGTACAGTTTGCTGACCATTAGCTGTAATAAACGTATTCGGGACTCTTTGGACTCGTCATATGGTGATTTACGTGCATAGCCAATTGTTCCGCATTTGGTATCATGCTCCAAATATTTCCAGTATGTCTTGACAGTGTCGGAAGTATCTGTCATAAACGCTACAGAATAGATTGTTAGAATATAGAAATCCAAATTTTAGTGCAGTGATTTTACCCCTTAACTGTTCATCAACCACCCATAAGGTTCGTCCAAGTTTTCGCCCAAACTCCCGTGAGCGTCCTGATTTTCCCCAGATCTTTGCCTTTCCAATCCAATATTGAAGTTGGCTTTGGCTACAATGGTTTGGAAGATGCGGGAACACACTGCACATTAACTGGTATTGCTTTTCTGCAGTTAGGAATTGTTTGGTATAACAATTATCGTTCAAAGGATTTTCCTCAGTAGCAATTTCTCTCATAAGGTTCAACAGACGCTCCTTGCAGAATGGTATAACTGTGTCATTAAGTTTCCGCTTTTTAGATCTGTCTTTCTTACTGTTGTTGTTTTTATCATTTTTATAGATACTGCTGTTGCTATCGTCGCTGCCGCTGTTGCTGTCACTGTTGTTGCGATCATCGCTTTTGTCATTGTTGTCGTTGCCATCATGGTCGTCAATGTTATCAGGTAAATCTGTAGCTAGCATTGTTGGAGAATCAGGATAACTTACGAATTTGAAGGGATTTCTCTTGTATAGATTGATACCAATGGCTAGCGGTGTCGTATTTGAGGGTAGATGATATACAAATATTAAAGATATAATTCACTTTATGAAGGATAAAGATGAATTATACAATATTGCAAACCAGAAATAATTAGAAACTTCATAAACTCTAATATATGAGTACGGTGAATTAAGTGTTGTGTTTAGTTGACAGCATCATATGAGATGTGGAGAACTCGTATACAAATTATACAAGATCCTCACACCTCATTACTGCTAAAATAATATAAAGTAGAGTAGGAAACGAATATAGAATAAGTAATGATTGTGATATTTGTAGTTGATTTATGTTTAGTGAACGCGACTTATAATTGATATATAGACTGAAGGTGACCCATCTCACCTTCAGTCTTTTTATTATACACTAAAAATCAGAGAGGGAAGCGTTCATAGCGAACTGAATGTTTGTATTGACAACAAAAGAAAGAAGGAAAGGAAAGAGATACAAAAAAAAAGGAGCTAAATACTCGTTCTTAACCAGTAGGAATGCAGCATTATGTATGCGCATTTTTAGAAATACAAGATGACGTGTACAAGTGTTATTATGGTTCTATGATCATAATAACGAGTCAAATGCTTGAAAGTGTGTCTAATTCGTCTTTATATATTATAGGAAGTATGGAAATACCACAATGATTCTTATACGAGATTAGCTACCTCGTATAAGGCTGAACAGGTTGTCATTTAGGATATATAGTTTACTTATTTTGCTATAATACGTTACTATATGACATAGGATATATAGTTGAATTAATATGGACATGCAGGATATATTGATTCAACACCAAGGTATAATAGGTTATAAGTACTATTCTCTGCCTTCGGCATAAAGAATGATTACAAGATAATAGTTTGTGATCGTCCTTTACAATAACTGTTCACTCAACTCAAACACCACGCACGAATACCATTTTCCTAATTAATATTATTTTCCTGCAAGCAGTAGTACATAATGGTTAGCACGGGAAAATAGGTTAGTTGCTTGATCACTAGATCAAGCCATGGATACGTTTACAAGTCCACCCGCTCCGGGTAGATGCGTAATCTCCTCAAGGGAGAATTCTATTCTTTTACGGTTCAGAAGACGTACGTCTTCTTTGAGTAGAATAACTCAGCAGTAGATATTTTTCTTCTCTTTGAACTTAACTTGATTCAAAAGAAAGACCTACTAGTTTGATCTCGTTAAGCTTTTTACTGTTTTTAATTAAGTTATTTAACTCTCAAGTCGTCAAATACCACACCTGATACTTCTCCACAAATACTATAATAAGTAGAGTTCTGAATAGTATGATCTTTGCGGAATAGCAAATAAAGACATCCTACTCTATAAGGTAATAGATATAAAAGATTACAGAAACTGGTTGAACCATTTTAACCACCAGTGCAAATCATAGACTGAAGTACTAATAGATAATGCCCATGACGTAAACTACCATCTAATTATAAATACCAATAATGAAATGTGCCTCCGTCTTGTCACGGATTATTCAGCAGTGATATCTTCATCGATAAAACACTGTCCAACATCTTTTCTGAGGTGTCCAACATCTTTTCTGAGGTGTCCAACATCTTTTCTGGCTGTCCAACATCTTTTCTAAAGTGTCCAACATCTTTTTTGCTGTCCAACATCTTTTCTGAGCTGTCCAACATCTTTGCTGAGGTGTCCAACATCTTTTCTGAGGTGTCCAACATCTTTTCTAAGGTGTCCAACATCTTTTCTTGCTGTCCAACATCTTTTCTGGGGTGTCCAACATCTTTTGTAAGGTGTCCAACATCTTTTCTGGCTGTCCAACATCTTTTCTAAGGTGTCCAACATCTTTTCTGAGGTGCATCATCACTTATTCTATATTCGTTTCCTACTCTACTTTATATTATTTCAGCAGTAATGAGGTGTGAGGATCTTGTATAATTTGTATACGAGTTCTCCACATCTCATATGATGCTGTCAACTAAACACAACACTTAATTCACCGTACTCATATATTAGAGTTTATGAAGTTTCTAATTATTTCTGGTTTGCAATATTATATAATTCATCTTTATCCTTCATAAAGTGAATTATATCTTTAATATTTGTATATCATATACTCTCAAATACGACAGAAACAACCCATACGTGCATAAGGAAGCTAGAAAAGATGTTGGACACCCCAGAAAAGATGTTGGACAGCAAAAAAGATGTTGGACACCTCAGAAAAAGAGCTGCGCCAAATAATTGAGAGCAGTGTACGTTTCTTGGTAGCAAAAAAAAAAAAAGACGCATGCAAATTATGCTGGCTTGGAATGTGCATGGTAGATTGCATAATGCTCGCAAATTCACTATGCAATTTGCGTGTCACCGCGGAGTAAAAGTGATGTAGCTGATGCTAGAACATAGATTGCACGCTACTATGAATAGAGGAAGGCCATAGACTTTAATTTTTTTGGATTAGAACAAAATCTTTGCCACCCAACTCTAATAAATGTAGCTACAATTTTATCAGCTCGAAAAAAATAATAATAATTTGTTGCTATTATCATAGCTCAATACTGGAACTTATTGATGTTTATAGTTCTAAAGTAGCTGGCGTAGGGAAGGGATTAGCTTCGAGGAATTATGGGGTATAAAAGCTATTTCGATTTAGCGAAGTTCATATATTGGGATTTGCTCAGGGTTAGAAAACCAAAAAATTAAACATCTACCGAAAGAGCCCCCATATATAGACTGACAAATATAGGGATTCTCTAGACAAGAAAGTGAAATGGAAGATAATGCATAATAACCGGTTTAGAAATGAAATGTTAATTATTGCTTTAATGATTTCAAGCTGATAATGTGTAATTCATCACACCAATTTATTATTAATTGTGCGCGATCATAAGATATTCTATTTAGAGTTCAAATAAAGATGTGCGGTAGAAACTGGCACCAGGATAATACCTCCTCTTACATTCTTATCATACTCTTTATTAGTCAGATACTTCCTTCCAGAGTATCTGAGGTACCAAGGGTAATATTTGTTTTCCTCAAGGGTCAGTGGTATGCAAACATTATACGATTGAAAATATCTATGCGTGCATTCAAGCAGTACCAGTATTCGTCTATCGAGATCAAATGTACATATAACAGTTAACAACAATATGTTGAGAGTATGTCAAGGAGATTTTCTCTATAAATTAATTCCCTTATTCTTTACTTGATGATCCAGGGTTCACGGATTGCTCATCCAGAATATACAGTATAAGACCCTATTCTGTTTGTGTAAAGAAGAGCACAATGAAAGACGTTGAGCACTGGACATTTCGGCAATGTAAGCAAGCAATGCCCTTTCGAACCTATCGGTCAGACAAGGTTGCGCTTCTCTTTTAGTGCTACGCTTATGCTTTTTTCTCTGTCAACACTTTCCGCCTTCTCTGTATTATTGTAAAAAATCAAAGGAAACCATTACATGTTGACAATGGCAACAGGAAGGACCCTTTAAATCTAAAGAAAAGAAACCTCTTTCGGATACATAAAAAAACTATTTTTTTATCTTTTCTTAAATGCTGGTGTCGCTTATAACCTCGAATTATAGCCCCAAACATTATCGTTCCTTACTGAAATTCTCGTCTAATTCTAGCATAACAACTCCTTTCTCGATGGCCCAGTAGGTTAACATTTGGTGAATACCGATCCCTCTCCAAGCTCCCATCGTCTGATACCGATTTTACTGAACAAAATTCCCGATCGTGACGTTTTGCATCAACTTTCTTTATAGTCAAGCCCTGTCGTCTTCGTGTTGTCTTCATTCAACGCAGCCTTTTCACCTTTTTGAAACCTCTCTCCATCTCTTGCATACATGTCCCTTTAAGCTGCAAGTTTGGAAGCTCTCGGATTATGTCAAGCCGATGTATAAATCTATTGCTGTCGACCTTATATAAGTGATTTCACCACTCAGCCAACTTGATACATTTCTCACTTCTCATCTCTTGAACTACCTTTCAATAGCCTATCTGTCTTACAGCTATACCTGTACTTTATTTGAAGTTTGGTAAGTGCATTGAGGGTATGTTTTCCACAATAAGCCAGTTGTCCCCTCTACTGTCGTTGCCACGGTATCTCGTCTGATCCCACGTCTGAAAACTGAAAATGCTTTATGATTATCAACTGTAAAACGTTTTCCTTTTTCCAACTATTCTCTTAACCTTTTAGTCTTCTTAATCTCTCATAACGATAGTAGAACTAGCCAGCGACATCGATTTTGATTGGCTGTAACGTTGCTTATTGGAAACACTATGCAGAAGCGCTTTTCAAGGGTCGGTAAGATATACTCTAATCTATATATGGGAGATTACACAGCCTTCTATTTGTTAATTTTGTTGTAAATTCTTATAACCAGCAATATGTTGTATCTTTTCTCGTGAACTTGAGGCCTAGAATAACTATTGTAGTTCATTTTTGTTTTCCCTCTAAATACATATATGCGACATATTTTCTAAAAGACAAAGACACGCGTTAGGAAAAGCCAAATGAATGGTGTATCCCTCTTTCTTTATTCCGGGTTACGCAAAATGGCATTTCTTTTACTATTTATAGCGTGACAGAAATATTGAATAAAGATGGACCATATTGGCAAAGTTTTTTACATTTGGCATAGGAAGTATATCTGATACGCAAAAGCGCATCTGTTTCAAAAACTAACTATGAATTGGTAGACTTACTGTCTTTTTTTCTTTCTTTTTACGGAGGGTCCAGTGCGCGGATGCAGCACACATAGAATATGCGCTGCTTTCGAATTATGTGAGTCACTTTCTTTATGCTCAAAGACGATAATAAAAACAGAACCAAGGATCTGATCACTGTGTACAACAACATACTTATAAGTATATAAACTAAACAATGTCAACAAGGCTTACGCTGAGTGAAAGTTGCACGTCTAGATAAATCGGTGTTGTCTAAAGAGTCCGTCGAGATATGAGCAACATCAGCATGAGTAGCAGCATTTGTATTAAATCGTAGCTGAAAAGAAATTAAGCATCAAAATTGACTATGTAATTAAAAACGCCTCAAATACGAAGGGGCGCAAGGCCAGTATTCAAGCAGTCGGTAATGGCTGTCTTCACGGCTTGCAGATGTCATCAATGACATTTATACACTAAGAGGAGACAATTGCGCAAAGCATCCGTAAAAAGCGTACAGTTTATACGTAAGACAGGAAATACATAATACAAGGAAACATAAAACACTATCTTCTTTTAACTTTATTAAGTTGTCAATAGCACAAACGTAGTAAAAGTTCAACTGTTTTCACTGGATAAGTAATAGATGAATCTTACAGCATGCTGAGCAAGCGAGCGGTAAGATAGTGATATGAGGGGGGGGAAAGGTCAAGACTTTTCTAATGTACATTATTCTTCTTGCGACGCTTTAATCGTTCAAGTTCTTTCTGTTCCTCAATTAAATCCTCACGTCTAGCAATACGTGCACTACGTTTTTCTTCTCTGAGAACTTCACTTGCGTTAGCTTCCATATCGTCATCAGAAAAGACAGGTTCATTTGCGTATCTAATGGGAAAAGAAAATTAACAGAAGCGAAAATGACATAAAGATTCCAAACTTAATAGCTTACTTTGACCGATCATAACGAAAGATTTTGCTAATTTCATTTGAAATGGCTTTACGCGAATGGTCACTAGTATAAACAGGGTCTTCATCGATATCGTCGTCACTAACGATAAAAGACGCCAGTTCTTCGTCTTCTTCTTCGTCTTCGTAATCACGATGACGACGTTTGTTGCTTGCTGTACGAGCGGGTGCACCTATAGGCTTACCAGTAAATGGCATACGACGGATAGGTGCTGCTGATGTCGATGGTAATCTTGAAGATAGGGATGTGGATGCTGTAGCTGAGGTATTTCTCTTAAGCGTTTGTGATGGTTTTTTATTGAGTGCTGCGGAAGAGTATCTGTTGGCATTTGATGAGAAAGGAACTGTGGAGGGATTTGAATTTCTTGATTGAGAGGCTAATGGTGATAGAGGACGCTTGCGTCGCTCAGCTGATGATAGAGATGAGGCCGAAGATTTTTTATTGACCAGTGAATGAGAGTAAGGTGCTACTGCTGCTGCTGCTGCTGCTGCTGATGCGCGGAAACTGCTACCGCTGGTATATGCTTTAGATGTTGGTACATGTGCTGATGCTGCAGAATCTGAACCACGACGTGGCATTAATCGTCTATCTCTGGGTTTCGTATTATTGATGTCATCTTCATCATCAGAAAATATACCTTTCGCGTGCCGTAGGCTGCGTTGAACTTCTGAAATAGATTGCCGATCTCGTTTTTGTGAAATAATCTTCTTAGGAGGTTCTAAAGATAGTTGTTTGGCTCTTTCTCTAGCAGAAAGAGTACTGCTGCTGTTGCCGCTATTATTAGTTGACGCTTGAACAGATGAGATCGAGGAAGCGGTAGGCTTGCGACGAAGATATATACTGGGGGTATTCTTTTCTTTATTGTGAGGTGGTGAAGCTGATTGCTTTCTTGCTGAGGGCAATATTGGGGACTTTATACCAGTTTTTTTAACATTAACGGTTGATTGCTCTTTCGCCTTGCGCATTAATTCGTCAAAGGACATATGCACAGGTTTCTATTCAAAAAGAAAAGTTAAATTAACAAATAAGGAAAATGGAAAAAAGGAGGAGGTTAAACTAACCTTCTTTTCGGCTAGTAATGTTACTGAAGGCACTTTCTTTTGTACGCTTGAAGAGAGGCCCGTTTTGGGCTTAAGTGCTGCAGAATAGGTTGCTTTATGTGTACCAAGTCGCTTCTGTTGTTTTTTCTGTTCTAAGGCTTGTTGTCTTTTCTTCTCCTCAATTAATTTTTGCCTGGCTTCTGCGGCTGCTTTCTCATGCTTCAACCGTTCTTCTTCACGCATTTTTGCTTCAAGCTGACGACGTCTTTCTCTGGCGCGTTCCATCAATTTCGCATCTTGCTTTGCTGCTATAGCTGTTGCTTGCGCCATCAACTGATTGAGATCATGAACTGGTTGACCGTTCTATCATTGTTAAGAAATGAACACATAGAAAGTAGAATTAGCTTTACATTACTAAACCTAGCAAGTCCTCTTGTATAGCATAAAAATATTCACCTTGATAACGCCCATGGTATTACAGTTATTGTATAATTATGTATAAGTTGAAAAAGGTATTAATAATTGATATAGTAGAGTCAGAATGTATTAAGAAATATTGACGAAAAAGAAACTGTCTTTTTATCAGGCAACGGACATTTTGGAAAAAGAAAGAAAAGGGAAATAAAAAAAGGCGGAAGTCACTTAGGAGTTGCTCAAGCTGTCGACCAACCAAATTCCTCAGTTGTGTTTACGGACAATACAATTAAACAAAGATTTTTATTGGCAAATAATTTTAAACCCACATGAGCATATAATCATTATGAGACCGAGTTACCCCCAAAATTGTCTTCACTGTCAAGCTCTTTCCTAGACTTAGTCAAGCCATTACAGAAACATCTACCGAAATTGCTACTTCCTATACGAACAGTATAGTGGAAATTTTGAGGAGAAACTTCTCTATTTTTTGATATATAAAATACAAACAGCATTTGTGGTAAGTTGCAACTCAAAATCACTTGGGTCTTATATAAACTTTTAAAAAAGCTCTTATCATGCGTAGTGTATGCCTTGGAAGCTTGAAAAAAAAGTCACAAGTGATTTCTGTTATCAAGAGATCTGTCAAGGAAAACCTAAATGGCCAACTGATGACTGCCTTACCAAAGATATAAAACCAAAGATCCAAACCTTTTGTGAACCTTGGAAGAAGAAGCTGGGGAAGAAAGTGAAGATGAAGACATTATCTGCTGATCCTGGGTCTTTCGTACCCTTTTTGTTATCTTTGAACGCAGAATTTGAGAGGTAACACGATGATCATAAACCATTTGCCGTAAGACGATGTCCTCTGCCAAAATTGTTATCCTTACTGCCAAAGGTTTCCGTTCAATGGAAGTTCATTACCTTGAGCGTGAACGCTCTGTCTTCTTTTGTGAAACGTTCTTTACCCCGCAATTACCAAAGCCAATTAGAGCTGTTTTTCAATGTCTTTGATTTCAAGAAACTCCGGTACAAAAGGTAAGCATACAGTTAATACGGTATACAGTCGAGTATAATGTATGAGGTTTAACTTCTTGGGGACATGTAGTATCTCTGAACTAACACTGAATGGTGATAACAAAGAGCTCTTTGGTAATATTGTCAGAACAGATGGGTTTTCAGTTGACTTTCTTTTTTATAAAAGACAACAATCTGGCCATGGTGCCTCATTCCAAAAATTGGATCTCCCTCTAGATGATTTCTCTCTGGAAGAAGTTGATAAGACTTATCTACCTATTACCATGGATCCTGGAAGAAAGTCTGTCTTCACTGCTGTTATTGGCTCTACATCAAACAGACAAGTACGAAGATGCACTACATCTGAATACTATCATATGACATGTCGACCCAATACAGTGCCAAGTTAAACAGAAAGAAGGCCGTCACAGGCATAGATCTCATAGAAAGTCAGATTCCCTCGCCAAAGACCTCTCGTTTGGAGATATATGAGGTATACATTGCCTATATAGTCAATAACATGGACGCTCTCTTGGCTTTTTATGGGTCCGAAACTGCAAAGGACCGGTTTACGTTGTTCCAAGGAAGGCAAAGAGCACCCGAAACTATGGACAGCATGTTAACTCATGGAACGGCCAAGTACAATTGTAAGAAGAGAAGCAAGGCAAGGAAGAGAAAAAAACAGCGGAAGAAGAAGAAGAAAGGAAAGAATGTTAACGAACAGCAGCCAACAAAGTGAGTTTCAATGAATTTCATCGTTTAGCTTATCCGCTGATTGATAATTTTTTGAAGTGCCAAGAAGTGGAAGGCTGATAAATACTTGGAATCCCTTAGAAGGGCGCCACTGATGGTGTTTGGTGCTGGTATGCTTGGCAAAGATGCAGTGAGGTTGAAAGGACAAAGATGTGGTGTTGTCGGTAAACTTTTTGCAACTCTGAAGAAACGTGAGGCTGAAGGTCAATTGATTGTTGTCACAATCGATGAATTTGAAACTTCTAAAACATGCAGCCTCTGTTTCTATGATGATGTGCAAATTGTTGATACTCCTGGATTTAAGGGTACTGGCGTTCTTCATTGCAAGCAATGTTGAAGCTAGGGCATAGAGACGTAACACCGCTATCAATATGGTGACCATATCTCGAGCAGTTTGGTATGGAGCCGGAAGACCCGACGTTTTCATGCCAGCGAAGATGAAGAGAGTGTCGTCGTAATAAACACGGTTTTCCTTATATTTTAAGGATTTAGATCATTACAGCTGAGGAATAGTACCTTTTTTTTTCGCACTACTGACAAGTTTTTGAATTTGAATCATTGTTTGAACGGTTTATATTCTTATCTACAACACAATTGCAACTTCTAAAATGAAAATATTAATCGTCCAAAAAAAATGTATTCTATCTAAAATATTAGTTAATATACTATAAGGTAGAGTTGAATACATGTGAGTTAGACCTATACCATTAGTCAATTTGCTATCTGTTTGCATATAAACAAGCCTCACTTTCTACAATATTACCTTTTCAGTTTATAACTTTTTAAAAAAGCGATAAAGGAATGAGCGAAATAGGAGTAAAAAATTTGATACCATGCGAGACATTAGTGATTGCATGTGAAATAGAGGAAGTGAAGAGATTTGAAGATAGATGAATTTGTAGATACGGCTTAGAGCGTGTCTATTACTAGATTGGCACTGTGAAAAGATTGTAGTCCGTTTTAAAAAGTATCGTTTAAACTATTATTCATTCATCTGCTGTTCTGGAACTTACCATATCATTCCATCTATATTGTTTCCTATAGAACACTTGATCTAACCCTACTGTTCTTTTTTATTATTATAGAAATAAAGCGATGCGAAAAGCAGAAGCCTCGTGTTAAAGTACAGCAAAATTATGGACAGCGATCTCAAATGAACGCTTGCATTTGACACAGAGTGCAAATCCATTCGGTACGAAAAGCATTTTTCTGTACTGCTACATTTCCTATCGGCATTGATTGGCAAGCAATTGTTCACGTATTTTAATAACAGTGAAAACAGTCAAGAATGATAGTCATGCACCTATTTAGTGGTGTTTTGCTCAATGACGACACTCGGTAGCGGATAAGAAGGATAATTCTGGGTTTGCCATAAGTATGTGCTATTAACGCCAGCGCCATACGACAAGAATTATTATTGCTGCAAAATTGTTAGTAATCTGACTGCACCCTCAAAGTATCAACAAGTATATTCTTCAAATACATTAAGTTAAGTTGAAAGCATATTAAGATATTCATGTCAAGAAACAATTCAGTATCGCATATGAGTGTATTTGTCAAGTCAATTCATGCTTCGTGAGAACGACTTATTCGCTGTAATAATAGTAGCTGTAGGATTAGAAATAGTTCGTCATTTTGATAATGATGTTGGGTTTCCTTTCTTATTTTGCTAACGGAGTTAACGAAAAACATTATCGGTAAAGTTTCATTTTAATGGCAGTGTTTACCAATGAGGTCACCTACTTTATTATTCTTTCATTAGCCATTGCCGTCACAGCAAGCGCACCTTACAATATTTTTGGTTCAGCTGATTGATTTGAATAATTTTTCTTAGATCGAAAACGCAAGAGCTGCTGCGCCAATTCCACCAATTCAAATGCATCCTGTCAACACACGTTTTTGGTAAAGCTATGTTCTTTGTTTCCATTACTATTGGTTGCGCCACAAATTTTTAGAGCTGAGATTAAATGAACAAATTTTATAGAATTTGTAACCTGAATGTAAAGAAGTTCGGATCCATGCGATCGAAAAAGAAAGAACAAATACTTTGATTTACATACATGAAGACGTACTTTATACCTCCATATTGTCTTATATGCATTATTAATTACTTCCTCCGTCAGAAATCATACATTGTAATGCTTTCGCTTCATTTTATCTTGCATTTCTTTACAGTTTTTTAGCTTTGGGTTTAGACGAAGCCGCAATATAACTAGACGAAAAAAGTAAATTTTTGAGATCATTAAGTTATAATTTCAAGATCAAACTACACAAAAATTGAGACGCTAACCTGTAAAAATCAAACCAGCTTCGTGCTGGCGATTAGAGGATGGTGTTAAGTGGTTGTTGCGGGTGATTTTGGTTTTCTAGAAAACTCCGCAGGTCTTCCTGTTGACTTCCAGATCGAAACGCTAATTGCCAACATGTTTTGTAGTGAGAGTATGATACTTACCATCATGCGCAGAAACTGCTTTGTAAAACTTGCATTCATGGTATGCCTTGTTGAAATGTCCGCGTGTTTTGCAATCCTTGCACTCGATGCTTACTGGTCATACGAAACATGAATTGAGGATTACCACTATAACCTATTTATGGCAGCGCGCTCATGTGTTACTTACGGAAGGACTCATCTTTGACTTTATTCTTATGGGCTTCTGCCACCGATTTGATTTTTTGCAAGATTTTGGCTGTGTACATGGTGAGTAGTAGCTATCAGGATGAGGAAAGAAAGTATGAAAGAAGAATAAGACGAAGAAGATGGAAATTAATGGAAAGATGTCAAACTTATTTTCTGTAAATGCTTTGAGTTTGACAACATCTATTTTTTATTACGACTGACAACAACGACCGTTATCTACGTGGCGGAAGAACGTGTCTGGGATTAGTTTAACGCGTAGATCAATTCATATGATCCATAAATAAAGTCTCGTAAACTACAACCCTATATCTATTGCTGATAAGACCTGTGTCACACTAAAATACTCAGTACGTCTCGTAGTACTTTAACGTAATGCCACTATCTATTGAAAAATGTCCACTGACCTTCAAAGTAATGTCTACAATTATTTATTCAATAAATCGTCCAAGAATATTATACCATTTCATCCTAAAATAATTTAAAATTATCTAAATTAAATATATATATTGTCCAATAAAATTTGTATAAAGTGTAAAGTTGAAGCTATCAAGTAATCTAGGTACCGATGAACTTTATTTGTCTTCTCCACAACAAACTTCATTGGTTTTACTGTAATCGGATCTTGCTTATCGAATTCCGACCTTATAATTCTTTCCATTTGCTCAAACGAAATCGTGCAAATAAACTGTGGAGCTGGTTTAAAGGAGCAAAGCAAAGGTTTTTCATTGGAAGAACGAGAAAGTGGCGAAGGGATAAAGATATATAAAGGACAGTAATTAGCAAGTTATTGGTAACTTCAACTTTTTTTTTTTTTTACTCCTTACTCTTAGCTTTCTTTCAATCGTCTATTCGAAGAGCTATTATTTCTTGGAGATCCCGTTTCTTTTTTTCTTTTGATTGCCTTTACTTACACTAACCCACACTAAAAAAGTTATAGCATCAATCACTATGCCTGCTACTGCCACTCAAATGAACACCAAGAGTGATATTCAATCCAAGAAATTGATGTCCGCATCCAACCTCTCCAAGAATGATGTCGATTCTAAGAAAGCTGAGGACCTATTAAGCGGCCTTTCAGCTGATGCTGAACATGCAGTTATTGCTGAAGAGCTCGCTGAATTTGTGAAGACCAACGGCATTCTTTCCCTCGAAAAATGCAATATTCTCAGTGCTCTCACCAAGGAATTCAACAATAAGAAGAATGTCAATGCTCGCTTAGGCGCAATTGCCGCTTTTACTGCACTCGTCAATAATTCAGTAGATCACCAAGTTGAGCCTTTTGTTTTACCATTCTTGACCAACTTGTTAGAATTGCAAGCCGATAAGCAAAATGCTGTGAAGGACGCTGCATTTGCTGCTGCTGAAAATTTGATCAGTAAGATCAACCCTCAAGCTTGTGCTCTTACTGTTCCTCATATTTTGCAAGGTCTTGGTAACTCTTGTAAATGGCAGACGAAGATGGCTGCTCTCCAATTATTGAGCAAGCTGACTACCGTTCATCCCAAAGAGTTCTTTGTCGCAATCCCCGATGTTGTTCCCGTTGTTTCTGATTGTATGTGGGATACTAAGACTGATGTCAAGAAGCAAGCTACTGAGACGATGGGTGATATCTGTAAATTGATTGAAAACAAGGATATTGAACGTTTCATTCCTGCTGTCATTGCTTGTATTAATCATCCCGAAAATGTGCCTGAGACCATCCACTTACTTGGTGCTACCACTTTTGTCCAAGAAGTCGACTCTGCAACTTTATCTATTATGGTTCCTCTCTTGAACCGTGGTTTGAACGAACGAGCCACCCCTATCAAGCGTAAATCTGCTTTGATCATCGATAACATGTCCAAGCTTGTCGATGACCCTGATGTAGCTGCTCCTTTCTTACCTCTTTTATTACCTGCTCTTGAAAAGGTCCAAGACGTAGTTGCTGATCCCGAATGTCGTGGTGTCGTTCAAAAGGCTCTTGCTACTCTTCAACGTGTTGGTAACCCCGCCACTGAGGTTTTCACAAAGGTTCAAAAGCAAGTCAAGGTTGAGTCTTCCATTAAAGAACTCTTGCCATCTGATTTAGATGGTGCTTTCGAACCTACTGTCAAATATATGAATGATGTTGCCCTATCTCTCTGTGTTGCCAAGAACTTCTTTAAGAATGTTTGGATAGAAGCTCTTGTACCTTACGCCAAATCCTTCTATAATGATAGTGATGCTGAAAACCTTGCTGTTACAGCTTTGAACAAGTGTGAAGAGGCTGTCACTCCTAAAGATCCCGAAGAAGAAGATGACGAAGGTGAAGATCTTTGTAACTGTGAATTCTCCCTTGCTTATGGTGCCAAAATCTTGTTGAATCGTACTGCTCTTCGTCTCAAGCGTGGGCGTCGCTATGGCCTGTGTGGTGCAAATGGCTGTGGTAAATCCACTTTGATGCGTGCTATTGCTAATGAACAAGTGGAAGGCTTTCCTCCTCGTTCTGAGCTGAAGACCGTTTATGTCGAACACGATATTGATGGCTCTGAAGCCGACACTCCTCTAGTTGATTTCATTCTGGCTTCAGAAGGTGTCGAAACTAAGGATCCTGAAGAAGTTCGTAAGATTTTGTTGGAGTACGGTTTTTCTGAAGCTATGGTGACAAAGATGGCTATTGGTGAACTCTCTGGTGGTTGGAAGATGAAGCTCGCTCTTGCTCGTGCTATGTTAATGAATGCCGATATCCTCTTATTGGACGAACCCACCAATCACTTGGATGTTGTCAACGTTGCTTGGTTAGAAAACTACCTTTTGGGTCTCAAGACTGTTACTTCTATCATTGTTTCTCACGATTCTGGTTTCTTGGATCATGTCTGTTCTGATATCATTCATTATGAACCTAACTATAAGCTTAAGCGTTATAAGGGTAACTTGTCTGAATTTGTCAAGAAGGTTCCTCGTGCTGCCTCCTACTACTCTCTTGAGGCTTCTCAAATCAAATTCAAATTCCCTGAACCTGGATTCTTGGAAGGCATCAAGACCAAGGAGCGTGCTATCTTGAAGATGAAGAATGTTGATTTTCAATACCCCGGGTCAGACAAGAAGCAATTGCTCGATATCACCATGCAATGTTCTCTTGCCTCCCGTGTTGCTGTCATTGGCCCCAACGGTGCTGGTAAATCAACTTTGATCAAGTTATTAACTGGTGAGATCGAAGCTCAAACCGGTACTGTCTGGAAGCATCCCAACTTGCGTATTGCTTACGTTGCTCAACACGCATTCCACCACATCGAAAAGCACTTGGATTTTACTCCCAACGAATACATCCAATGGCGTTACGCTACTGGTGAGGATCGTGAAGAACTCGATAAGAACGACCGTATGGCCAACACGGATGCTCAAAAGAAGATCATGGAACAAACTTTCGTCATTGATGGTGAAAAGCGTGTCTTGGAGGAAATTGTCGCTCGTCGTAAGCTCAAGCAATCTTATGAATATGAAGTTTCTTGGGTCGGTCGCTCCTCCGTAGATAACACTTGGATCTCTCGTCAACGTCTCGAAGAAATGGGCTTTGGCAAGAAGATTGCTGAAGTCGATGCTGCTGAAGCTGCCAAGATGGGTCTCAACCGTCCTTTGACCTCTAAGGAAATCGAAAAGCACTTGGCTGAAGTTGGTCTTGAACCTGAATTCGCTACTCACTCTCGTATTCGTGGTCTCTCTGGTGGTCAAAAGGTCAAGCTTGTCATTGGTGCTGCTATGTGGAACAAACCGCATATGTTGGTTCTTGACGAACCTACCAATTACTTGGACCGTGAATCCCTAGGTGCTCTTGCCATGGCTATCAAAGAATTTGGTGGTGGTGTTGTCATTGTTACTCACAACCGTGAGTTTACAGAAGCTCTTTGTAACGAAGTTTGGAAAGTCGATGCTGGTCGCTTAACTCCATCTGGCCACAATTGGGTTTCCGGTAATGGTACTACTGCTGTCAAAGAAGAAGAACAAGAAGATATGGTTGATGCTCAAGGTAATACCATCAAGGCCGTACAGAAGAAGAAGAAGTTGACTTCTAAGGAACTCAGAAAGAAGAAGAAGGAACGTATGGAACGTCGCAAGCGTGGTGAAGAAGTTTATACTACAGATGAAGAATTATAGATCATTTAATCTCCACTTCGCACTTTATTTATATATCATACTCATCATTTTACAATTCGTATAACATATTTTAATGTATTTTTTCTACAGCCATATCCATTATACATTTGATTGAACTTGTATAAAATTTTATTTGCTTAACATTCTCCGTTTTCTTGTCTTATCCTACTTCTCTCATTCATTGTTCTCATTGTGTTGTGCGCTCTTATTAACATTATATAGATGGCTTCTTCGCACGTAAACTAAGTCTACGATTAGAGAAACCAATATGTAACAAGACCTGTAGCTTTACACTTATATGTGGAAATTTGAAAGAAATTTTTTTCTTTTATATCTCATGTCTTAACAACCGAGAGAAGCTTATAACAATTTATTCTATAAAAGTAAATATATATAACGAAAGGAACATAGTAAAAAAAGAACTTCTTTTTGTTATTCTGAGAGTTTAATTAGTGCCAGTTAAAAGATGCTGAGCCTTTGAAATGACGGTTTCAATTTGATTTTTTAAGATGTCTTGATTTATCAAGTATGTTTGAAATCTTTCAAGGAGCTCGAGTTGTTCCTTGGGCGATAAGTTATTGATCATCAGGGCCAGAATATTACCAACAGATACATGATACATCTAATCAATAGAAAGCGATTTATCAATAAATTTCTCTCCTTTGAAGCCAAGCTCTTGTTGTACTGAGCTGCTTTACCTTAATGAATGATTGGTAGTACATATAAGCAAACAATCCCATTAAAAATTGGCAATCCATTCTATCTGTCAAACCGCCATGACCAGGAATACTGTCTCCAAAATCTTTAATTTTAAAGGCACGCTTTACTGCACTTGCGAAGAAACCGCCAAAGGGCGCAATCAAAGAAGCAAAACAAGCCATCACAATAGCATGTAATTGAACAGGTGCTATCCATACCTGACTGACATCTTTCATGAACTACAATAAAGGTGAAACTGGATGCGTTAGTCTATTTTCTCTTCACTGTTTCGTTAGACTATGAAATGTGGTATTCATTTAAAACATACAATATATTTGATAACATAACGGACCAAAGCAGGAAGCTCCCAAGGTTCTGTTGTGAAGACAGGATTCTTAGGATCGCAAGAGACGTTAGACCAAGCAGCAGCGCCCAAATCTTGAATAGGACACGTGATATAATCAAATCGCATGAGAATCGTTGCCAAAACAAATCCAAAGACAAGAGTAAAGATAAGTCCTCCCACAAAACCTTCTACGGTCTTCTTAGGACTTAATTGAATAAGTGGTGTTCTTCCCCAAAAGAATCCACAAACATAAGCAAATATATCGTTAAGAATCACCAAAGCTGCTGGTAAAATAAACCATATCAAGCCCTCCAAAATATTATCAACAATGAAATGTGCTTGAACAACGATCAAGAAGATAGCCATATGCATCCAGCCGAATTGTGACATTTGGCTTCTGTATTGTCCCTTTTTCAGATTCATCACAAAAAATACAAAGCCTGTATCCGGTTATTAATAGTGACACAAAAATGAAAAATATAGGTTTAAGATAACCTTGTTAAAGGAAAGTTTTGCTAAAAAAGAAACATCTAAGAACTATTACTTACCAATGACGTATAGTACGAAGCTGATAAAACGATGATGGGTTGCAAATGGTAATAGGAACGCATCAACCATGACAACCTCTTTAAAATAATAAATAATCGATTCGCCATACAAGAAATACTCTGTTGTAATTAAATAGTACCTATAGTAAAATTAACAAAGACAACGGTAGAATTAAGATCAGTGGATCTGCTACATGCACGATGCCTCACTATTTCAAATTTCCCTTTCCTACCAGCTCATTGTTTTAAACCATCGAGTATTTCCTTTTGCTGAATGGTATGCAATTGAAATGACCTCTCTATAAACTAACACTGTAATGATCATAACCAACACAACTGACCAAATATACCCAGACATGAGGACAAGCAAGAACAGACCGATCATAATCAAGGTTGTAATTGTTCTGATCCACCAGTTTTGCCATTTCTTACTCGGCGCTTCTGCTGCTAATAATACAGTAGGCGTTTCTTCAGTAACTGGCATGATCTCTTCTGCGTTACTTTCTTCGTCTGTATCGCCTCCTTCTGCTTTTTTTATCGATTGTTGCAGCTTTTTGGTCATAGGCTGCTTCTTCTCTTTTGGTGAGGATGGTTTCATTGTTGGCGTTACAGTCGCTGCCTTTCTACGTTTAGGTGGCATATTTAAGAATCCCGAGATAAATTAAGCAAAAAAGAGGAATGATATACTTTTCCAGCTTTGGAGAATGGGGTAGGGAAGAAGGAAAACGGCTAAGATTCTTCTGGATGGCCGCTCTTTTTTCATTTTCGGTGTCTACTGTGGAATTTTAACTCAGCCATACTGAATGTGTCTTTTGGTTCCTGTAAAAAATACGTGCGCAAAAATCATGCAGACAGCTTTGATCGAATCTGTATTCTCTTCAATAATGACATTGTACGTAATATAATGCTTGCTGGAAGATTCTTCTCCTATAATTCTGTTGACTCTGGAACCTTTTTCTGTATTTAATACGCATTATGTCACATACACTGAACAAGTACAGAACGATTACTGAAAAAATTACGATCCAAAGAAAGCGGGAAAACTTACAATCAAAAAGGAACGAGCGAGAAAGGAAATACAAGTTTTTTTTTTCTACAGCAGATCAGATCACAAATTGTCTGCTTTCTTTAATACAGTTTCATATGATTGAAACTTGGTATTGGCCAATTATAAGGTTTCTGCAATAAAACAGTACCTAAACAAGTGTGAGTACTTTTAAGGACTATACTGCTAATTATACCTTTGCGTCATGCCTTCATGCCTTTTTTTTTTGTTCTGTTGCTGCTATCTAGTGTATATCATAATATTCCCGAACTGGGTTGTTAGACATTGTTAATTGTCTGGTGACTGTTTTCAAACATATTTCGTCTAACAGGAGTGTGAAACCAACATATTAAAACACTTTGAAAGACCTTTGTCAATCTTGAAAAAGTTATAGTAGGCCTCATCGATTGCAAAAAGTAAATCTACAACTTTAAGACTCTCAAACTCTCTTCACCGTTGTTACCATGACAACGAACACGGTTGAAATAGCTGATACATATTCTCTGCCTTCAAAGGAATTTTGCCCGCCACCAAATGCAAAACGATCTAAAATGGATGTTGAAGCAGATGACGATAAACGAATCGATGCCATTGTCAATGTGTTAGGCGAAATGCTTATAGAAGTAAAGCAGTCTATTTTAGAAAAGACAGGTAACACATAAATTTCTGCAAATCCAGAAAGTTATTCACTATAACTCAAATCACCGGTTTTAAATGTAATATAATGTGTAATAGAATCCTATACTCCTTCAGCAGCAGTAACATTCGTACTGAGAAGGATGGATGTGAATACACACGACCTGTTATCTGATGAGATTTATTCTCTAATGACTGGATTCATGACAGTCTATCTTTGTTTCATACAACTTGTCTTACAGCAAGATTTCCATCACTTTATGAAATTATTCTCAAAGCACGATTCTTTTCTTACAACTGAGGACAACCAACCTTTTTTATGGTACTATACGCTCCATAATGACGCTTTAATTCCCCTGTTGCATCAAAAACTCCATCAAAAGATACAACTGCTTACTTCCGACTTCGTCTTAACTCGTATTGACAGTATCTTTTCCAAGTTTTATACCCTTCATTTTTTAGAAACATCAGCACGTCAACATCAGAAAGATCATGGACAATTTTATACACCTCAGTCTGTCATTGATTTTATGTGGAATCGATGTGCTTCACTTCCTCGACTCATAGAATACCTACTCCTTAACAACAACGACAACAATAGCAACTCACCACTTTACATACCGCGTATATTTGATCCATGTTTAGGTATCGGTTCTTTTGTATGTGAATATCTTACACGCATCATTAAAGCATGCCAATTCACCTCAGCATGGAACGATCCTTATCGCTTAAGCTTACTTTTAACACAACAGATACCCAGTGCTATTTGGGGAATTGAAATTGATCCATTCGCTTTTCAACTATCGAAAATGAATTTAATGGTACACTTTTTTCCTCTGTATCAAAGATTGAAAGAATTAAGAGTTCAGCTGGCGCCAGCATCTATAGAACGATTACGGCTTTTTTGCAATGATACACTCAAGTTAAAATTAGAGTCCAATCCTTTTTGGATGACGGCTGATCGACAACTCGCACTCAGCGAAAATAATAACAGTGGTGGCACTGTGGCTAAAGAAGATTCTTTTGAACAGTCTTCACTAGCATCGCTGCGAGATTCATCAAGTTTAAAGTTCGATTTCATCGTTACTAACCCACCATATATGATTAGAAAAACAGGATTCATAGCTCAACCTGATCCAGAGCTATACGATGAGAGTAGATTAGGAGGCAGAGGGACACAGGCTTACCTTTACTTCATTTGGATTGCACTCCAAAGATGTGATGATACACGAGGCCAGATTTGTATGATTACACCTAGTCAATGGACTGTTTTAGAGTTTGCTCGGAACTTACGGTAATAATAAAAAAAAAAAAGACAAAAGCCAAATTGATAAGAGGGTCGTACATGCAACAGATTCATTGATTGATGAAAAAATGAATAAACGCCTAATAGGGAATGGATGTGGGAGCATTGTCGATTATTAGACATGTACGAGCTTGAGCCTTATAAAGTCTGGCCTAAAGTACAAACCGACTCTTTAATTTTCAGGGTTTGTAAACGCTCGAATATTTTACCGTTTACGGATCACACACTTTACTTGCGGCATATGTCACGAAAAATCTCCCTGATGGGACTTCTACAGCAATACGAGAATTTTAATCCGTCTTGCCCAGTACCTGGTATCCTTTACAAATACACACCGCATTCATCTTACCAGCACACACATTATTCCTTTGTACCGACATCAGCTTCATCATCAAACCCATCATTATTCTCCAAGAATATCTCCTTTGCCTTCATGATGCCTTCCGCTTCTTGTTTAGAAGAACTCGAAAGAATAACGCGGCATTTACCACGCTTATGTGATGAAGAACCCAAAAAAGTATCAGTTTCATCGAGGGATAACAACATACCACCTTTAGTATGGAACAGAGGGCCCAACACAAATCCTGTCTATTCGCTTGTCGTTCGAACAAGTTGGGCAAAACAAATATTTGGTTTAGAAACATGTAATCGCTGGCTAAAGCCATGTTTTTACTGGAACGGCAAATCGATTTTGTCCGCCACAGGCGGTGGTAAAGAAGGTGAATTTTGGAAAACACGAGATCCACTACGCTTGATAAAAAAAGAGACGTCGGCAGCTGAAGCATATTGGCCGTACTGCATGTTGGACACAGACAAACCTGCAGAACCCTTCTATTCTTTAATTATGGTGAATAAGGACGACGCTGCTATATTAAAGGCAGAATATGAACAGTTTGGTCGAGAAAAGTCCTCTATCGCGCCTCTTTACCATTATCTGCAGGATGCTCGTGTGGCGTTACAACCTAACCAAACGGATAAGGACATTGCTCACTGTCAGTATAACAAATGTGGAATTGATGTGCCTACCAAGATTATTCACCCAATTAATTGCGGATACTTTACACGGTCTCAACCGCGATCTCGGTTCTTTGTGGATAAGACGAAAGCAGCAGTAACAAATCAATGCATTTATTTCACTATCAAAGCCAACTCTATCTGGCAGGATCCAGATTTCTTTTGCGCACTACTGAATAGCACTCTCATTCAATTCTTTCTCAAAATTCATTGTTGTTATGACCAGCAAGGACGGATGAGGTTTTTTGGCCGCTCCATGGCTGCTATCCCCTTTGCTCCGCCGCCACTCTCAGCAACAGGCATTGTGCACTATATGGCTTTATTTGCTCAAGGCATAACAGCAGCTCGTACTTGGATATATACCCTTGTTCGCCATACAACGCCCACTTCTTTCCAGACAAGGTTAATGGAGCGTGTTCGAAATTATGAATGGCGTCAATTGACACCCGAAGAACGACAAATGGTACGAAATCAATTTCGACCGCCAGGTGATTATTGGCTTGTTCAGCCTGATGTTAGTTTATCGACCTTTTCTTATCCCCCTCCACTCAACTGGATCTATATGTTTGCTGTGCAATACATCTACCAGAACTGCAATGGGTATAATGGAGGTGATAATAATGGATATGATCTGGATATCGCATTTGTTACGTTGATCAAAGTAACCTCCCTCTTCCAATACGCTCTGGATCAATTGACGTATTATTTGTATCAGATACCAGAATTCCTTCAGTACGAAATAGAAAAGGAGTTGAAGTTGACGAATTTACGGAAAGATTGGCGCGATGAGGGCCATCGGCAGCAGTACTCTATATTACAACAAGATTTGAGAATCGTAAACGATATAGATGGCTGGTGCAAAGGAGTAATGGATCTGGGTATCTCTTTTACACAAAACAAAGAATAACTAACTTTATCATATCTATATAACGAAAATAGTAAAATGAAAGGTACCTCATCTGTCTTTCTTTTTTCAAAAATGAAAATATTTCTCTTTTACTTCCTTTTTATTTACAACAATACATTGCAAACGATTCTAAGCATATGGAGTGTTTTTTCTTTTTTGTTTCTTATCACCTATAAACCCAAACGTGTTATAAAACGAAGTCGCTGTAGAAGAAGGGGTAGTGGTTGTGTTTGTCGTAGTTGTAGTGAAGCTGGAACAGGTTGAAGACGAAGATGATGAGGACGACGAGATTGTAGAAAAGGAGGTTGAAGAAGCAGAAGGAATGAAAGGATGGTTTTCTAGCAATTCAATGCGAGAATAAGATGGTTTTCTTTGTAGCTGCTGTTGTGGGTGAGGATGTTCTTGTTGAGAAAAAGTATGCGAATGTGTTGAAAATGGAGAATAGTACATGTAGGGAGGGTGTGAATGATAATATTGAGGTTGGTGATAAGGAAGTTGCGATAGTGGCGGGGGTGATTGGTAATAGTGAGCGGGGCTCATGCTTGATTGGAATGGCAGTAGGGCTGATGGTGGTGATGGTGGAGGAGGAAAAGGCGTGGATAATTTAGTCACAGTGTTCATCTTCTCGTTAAAGATAACTTGTTGGCTCAATTTGTATAGACTTAAAGATTCGTAAGGCTGATGGTGTTGTGGTTCTAATAAGTTAAGGCCTGTGGAAAAGGGTGAATATCCACGCATTTGGCGATCAGTATGGCTATTAGCACTACTGTTACTGTTGCACATACTATGTTCATAGTGTAATGGTGGTATGGTTGGTGAAGCGTTGTATAAATGATAGTTAAAACTGTCTTTGTGAAATCCGTGCCCTTGTTCCTGAATTTCTTCCTCATCATCATCTGTTTGCTGTTCTTCATGAGATGAGGAGATCATTGATATTGAGGATAACGGTGATGTTACAGTTGATGATGAGGGAGATGAAAGTACAGGTGAGCGTTGAGTGTTATATACAAGTTGCTCCTCAGTTAGAGTCTCACTTTTGCTGATGTCATCTACATTTCTTTGCTTTTGTGGTTGTGGCTCTGGTTGTTGCTGTTGTTGTTGCTTTTTAACAGCTTTATTGTTTGAAGTTTTTGTCTTATTTACAGTCAAGTTGTCAATAGCTTGTTGCTGTTGCTTATTTATACTAGCAGGCAGTGTTGGTATTACATTCTTTCTATATCCTTTCCGTTTTTTTGAAGACCTTTTTTTAGTGGTCTTTATTGAACCATTTTGAGTATTATCATAATAATATTTCTCCTTGTCATACATTTTATCCATTTTCGCCAGCATCCATTTTCTCTATAACGTTCGATAAGCAATGATCTGATTAATAAACTGACATTTTGCTGTTGAATACTTTAAGCTAATTTGGGACCGGATAAACTTACCTTGAATCCATAATATATCAATACCAATACTATTGCCCAAAAGAAAGGTGATTGCTTTAGTCGAAATAAAAATCGAGCTCTTCTCTTCACAGTTAAGTAATAAAGATAATGACTGTTGCTGCTGCTGCTGCTGCTGCTGCTGCCACCATTATGTTCTGTGGCGGTAGAAGAATTTACGGCTGCTTTCACAGCTTCTGCTGTTGCTGTTGTTGCTGCTGTTGCTACTGCTGCTTTTTTTATTGTTGCAGCTTCTTTTGATATGTCTTGTATCAAGGTGTGATGATGATATGAAAACCGTTGTTGTGCTGAATGATACTGTACATAACATGAAGTTGATATAGATGGAAATATAAAATAGGCTAATTGAGAATAAATAAAACACAACAACATTGAAATCAACGATATTATGATGAGCAAGACAGGCGACAAGACAACGATGGACGTTATCTGCAGCCCTCGAATGGTTCGCATTTTATAAGTATTGTAGTTTATCGAAAAATGAAAGAATGATCTTTCTTTCTTCTTTTGATAGAACTATTTTATTAATTTGATGATTTTGAAAAAAGGAAGAAAAAGCTTTTCTTTGTAAAACAAGCCAGCCCAGCCTATTAAAAAAAGAGAGCAATACAGGGCGCTGAACCAAAAAATTTTCTTTTTAGACTGGCTGACATTGTAGGTTCCCCCTCCCCTTCTGGCTGGCCCCCAGCATCGCATTCAACTAATTTTAGAGTGCACCAGCGTGGTACATAGTTTAAATAGCTCCATTCTTATTTTAATTATTTCATACTATCTTATTCTCATAACTCTACTGCTGCAATTGGTATTAAGTAATATAGCTGAAAGAGGAACTTTCATTGGTCCCTTCATTTTCATCTCAATAAAGACCGACGACTTGCAATTGCATTATTGACAGTGTGTTACGAGGAAGGAGAATGTGATATACAGTAGATTTACATTACATACACTAATCCCTCTGATACGAGTTTATAACGAAAAGAAAAAGAAAAGAAAGAGAGAGAGAGGGAGACGCTATCTCAAAGGAGCATCCATTTAGTACATATTTGACAAATTATAAGAGAATCGAATTGACGGGTATGAAGCAAGCACGCTCCAGCAGGGAGAAAATCAGCTTTTGAACCGTTTATTTGAAAAATATTTTACAAGTGAACTTTATTCTAAGGGCGCTTGCGCAGATGACAACGCTTCGATGATAAGAGAAGTAAAGCATAAAGACTAAATGAAACTCGCATCTATGTGGTTTTTGGATTGCTGTAGTTGCAGAAAGTGAGTAATGATAGTCAAGTACTTTAGAATAATCCACTGTTCCATAAAGAAGCGTCTGTCGATGTCATTGCTGATCATAGCGGCTGAATAGTTTTCTGTCTTTCTGCTTCCAAGCTGAGTTGTCATCGTCGATGACTATTATATCCTGATGTAATGCTTCCCTGAATCGGATGCAGCAGTAGATTAGACGTTTGTAATATAATAGTTGGAAAAGGCAACAAAATTGCTACGGCATCTGCAGCCATTGTTCGATTTACTTACGAGAACTCGTATCTTTCTTATGCACGCGGTCCACAACAATAGCACCTGTGTTCGAGTTGACAATTACTCCTTCTAAATGATGACAATGACGCTTTTTGATAGAGAAAGCGTCGTAACAAAGAGCTCCTTTCTTACCATGTTCACTATATTTCTTTCTCGCAGCAATCAAGATTAGGCCGCTGAGTCAGTAGACTCAATGTAGAAAGTGTGTCTGGCCATTTGCAGACAAAGCATGAAACAACAATGGAGGACATAATCAATGTATTTGAAGTAGTTAGTATTGAATGCCATTACAATATAAACCACTATATCAATTTTTTGATAACTTTTCTTTTAATAAAGTGTTCAATGAGAGGAGCGGGGGAGATTCCTTTTAAATAAATAGATAATGTGTACAAGAGATGAGAATAGTGAGTGTAGCTAAGCAATAAAGAAAGGAGCAGGAGAAAACGGTGTGTGTTTGTGTGTTTGTGTGTTTGTCCGTAAGAAGAACCTGAATTTTATATGCAAGTTAGGGAAAAGGGATCTTCATTAAAAAAAAAAAGAAAAAAAGGGAAGCATTTTATGCGTACGTATGTAAATTGTTTGTTATTTGTTTAGTTGTAACAAATGGAATAAGATGCATCTTGGCTTCAAATATGATCAAAGTCCACCAAATCTGCTAATTCTTGATCCGTAGCCATTGTCATTGGAGTAATATCCGAATAGCCACCTCGTTGTAGCCAGGAATTGATCTGTTCTTCTGTGACCTCAATCTTATTATCAACGTTATTACCGGAGGCAGCAGTAGCAGCAAGATGTTGGTGGAATAAAGTGGGCCAATAAAATGTTGGATAGCACTGTTCCATTAAACTAGGGTAAGTCGCTTCAGAGGTAGCATTACAGAGAGAAGCATCAGGAGCGGTATTAGCTGCAGCCATAGGGGTATAAAATGGTATCATGGCAGAAGCAATATAATTGCTGAACATTGCATCATGATTAAAACTGTTGATATCCATGATGTCAAAGTTATCAGCCTCTTGAGAATGACTTGCAACATCCGTAGGCTCAAGAAGTGACGATGCTGTAGAAGAAGCAGGAGAGGATCTGTGAGCAGCATGGGAAGGAGCAGCAGTAGAAGAAGTAGGTACAGCAGCCGTACTATGAGAAGCAGTATTATGTGCACCATCAGCTATTCTAACTGAGACATGACCACTTTCATCTGTAACAAGACGCAAGCATTGGTAAGGGAATTGGTGAACAGAAGAAAGAGTAGTACTAACACTACTATAATCATCTTCCTCTTCTTCTTCACTTTCCAAATCCGAAACATTGAGTTCATCATGACTGCTATGGTTCATCGTCGTGGCCATAGTAGTGGAAGTTGCACCAGATTCAGGAGAAGATGTCGTAGCAAATGTTTGTGTTGTTGTTGGCGTAGTACAGGCATCTGCTCTGTCGACTTCGATTGTTTTATTGTTGTCAAATTGCTGCTGATTCAATGAAAGATTGTTATAGATTTGGATATCTTTTGGTAAATCAGAATTTTTCAAGGTATCCATCATTCTAGCTTTTGCACGGAAAAGATTTGCTTTCAAATTTCGACTTAGTAGAACAATGCTTTCTGCGGTATAGGATTGTTTATGTTGCGCAGTACTTGGTGGAGGAGTAAGATAGGCAGTACTGCTATTGTTGTTATTATCAGATAAACGAACTTGTCTGCTTAAAGCCTTCAGTTCATCGACAGTCATTTTATGTTTGCCATGACAAGGTCGACCAAGAATAATCTTTTTGGATTTCTTTGCTTTGGGGATGACATCGATTTGCGCAGATTGTCTTTGTCTTCTTCTTCTACTCTGCTGTTCCTGCTGAGATATTCTCTTTCTTTTAGGGCTTTCCAATGTAGGGTTTACTACAGGTACGCTGCTTCTATTGAGGATGAATGTGTACAATAATTACGAGAAAAATGGCAAAGAACAAAGAGATGCGAGACAATTTTATTTTAGTTATCTAACTTTCAATGAATGCAGATCGTATAGGATAGAAGAGAAGACGCAAGATGATAGATAGTTTACCTTGATGAACTGTCAGAAATAGTTGCAAGGAATGAAGGAGAGCAAGAAGAGGAGTACATCAATGAGGACATAGATAAATGATTCTAACGGTTTAGCAATAACAACAGTAAGAGTAAACTTAGGCTGAACAAGTAGTAGAAGAAGACAGAGATGGAAAGAAGATGTGGATACGAAAGACGACGAAGAAGAAGAGAAAGAAGAAGAGAAAGAAGAGAGAGAGAGCTGTTGAACGAAGAAACACTTATTTACTTCTGCACACACTCCACTCACACTCACAATCACACAATAGACTTTCTTTTTTTGTTAGAAACAATTTTTTTTTGGGACTTGATTTTTTTTTTTTTTCCACTACCACATAGAAATGCACAGAAAAAAAAGGTAAAATTCAATAAACGCAGTGAAAAAGAAGGAACAGCGTGCATTAATTTGTTGTTGTTTTGGTCCATTGAACCTGAATAAGGATAAATGACAATTTAAGCGTATACTAAGATACATGAAGAACTCTAAAAAGCTTCTGCTTTCTGCTGTAGAATCACAGTTATCATGAGAGATGTACGCTCTGTTTACTGTCGTTCACTTTTTTTTTTAATTTTACAAATAAAGTCTTTAATGATCTAATTATGTTCTCAATAGAAGCGGAGACGAACGTTGCATTCACGGATACATGTTGTGGAAAAACTTATCTGTTTGTGTCAGCTAATGTCGTTCTCAAGCTTTTGTAGAGATCAACCTTCTATTACAATAGGGGTAACCATCTTGTGAGAGCAAGTATATTTTGTCGGGGTTTTGTAGAAAGGTACATAAACGGATATGTTCAGATACATAGAGTGCTGTCTTTCTTTTCTGACCAACCATATTAAATGTACCTAAGCAAGCTTCCCTTGTTGCTGAGATAAAAGATAGCTTACTTTTCATTGATCCGGAAAATAGAAGGATAACAGGGGCTTAGTCTCTTTTACAAGATTGGAAGCAACAGAAAAGAAGTAAGCTCTCGGACCGCCCTGACTTTGCATATATGTATGTATACACAGTTTAAGAATACTGGCAATGCATACAGGTGAAAGCTGCTTCAGATTAACAATTACAGTAATCAATCTACATTATAGGCTCCTATTGACAGTATTGACCTCTTGAGTCATTGTATTATTTCCCGTCGATTTATTTTACGGATTGCTATGGTTTCATCCTATGTTACACGAATGCAGGCTACAGCTTTTGAGACACTATCAGTATACCTCATCTCATAATAGCAGTATCATGGCTCTATGCTAGTTTGATGAAGGGTTCAATTATCATTTGCTGTGAAGTCCTCCAAGTAATTTCAAAAAAACTCGATTCGTATAAGAACTATCATCGACAAAAAGCTAATCATTTATTTATGTTCAGATGGTCAACCATTCCTTTTGAGAAGCTTGCTATGAAACCTATCTCAGAAGGTTTGTTGAATAAGGGGACTTATCTATTGTTTTGAACGATCATCTTCTCTCCATACGCACTTTGTGCGAGAAATGACATTTCGGTGGTACAGGAAAAGAACGTTATAAGATCAAGAAAAGAATTTGTCGGCGTTTTAAATTGCTAAAGAACGTTTGCTGTGTGGAGAAAACCTAAGATGCAAATACCCTCCTTGACCTTCTTTCACTGTTTTGTTAGCGACGATAAGCATATGTTCTGTTTTACAACGTATCCACTGCCCTTTTTTGCTATCTTGCTGCATTGTTATGCAAAATTGCGAAATTATCCTATTTCCGCATGAGTCTGAAAAAAAAAGTATTAAGGTGAAGGTTACTACTCCACATAAGCTATATCCTCAACCTTTAACAATACGAAATACTGCTGAATGCACTTCTACTATTTAAAGAAGATTTTTCCTTTTTGTTTATGCAATTCATATTACGTGTTGCGGCACTTCTAACGTAACCATTAGAATGTTAGATGTGGAATGGTCCGGAACTAAAGTGTTGACCTTCCCCAACATTGTTACTGCCATGATAAATTCCATTAACAAAGCATGGTGAAGGCAACTGGCTGTGAGAGCTTCATATGTGTGACTGTCACCCTTTTCCGTTGTTCATACAGGGAATTACCATTATTTTGAGAGGGCGCCCATTAAATTCAGGAACTTCAGGCCACGTTCTAGCCAGAAATAAATTGATTTGGCTGACATAGAATGTCATCCTTCTCAATGATAGCTGTAACATCTAATCATTATGTGCGTGTGTGTGTGTGTGTGTGTGTGTGTCTACATATTTATGGTGAATCTTTATAATCCCAACATATTTTTGAGATAACTTCTCCTACTTCCTTCTTGGCTTGAATGATAACCATCAATATAAAAAAATCTCATTTCCCTATTCCCGTTTCCTTTTCTTTTATATAAATTCCTTTATTCCGTTATACCTTTCTGGTATATAATTCTAGTAGGTTTACTTCATTATGGATCTACCTGCTTACCAGTTCATGGATACTGTTAATGATATGGATATACTATCGATAACTCAAAATCAATATTTACAGCAACAGCAACGCCAACTGCAACAACAACATCTCCAAACCGAATACCAAAAATACTATTCACCATCAACGCAACCCTTCAGACAACAGCCTACACATGCTAATACGTCTGCTTCTGTAGAGACATATAGTGAAATTCCTATCACAAATCTGAGCATACTTGCAGAGCATACAAATGATCCATCTGCTAGTATTCCTCCCTTTTATACACCGTCGTATAGCAGTTATTACTCTTTTTCAGCTGATCATGGACAAGGTGCGTCCACACCACAGTTTACTAGTGCTGCAAAACAAGATACATACAAAGAATCTCAACAGCAGGAGGTAAAGCTTCTCTCTCTATATATAAAAGCGCGGTCGTGTTTGAATTATCAGTCTGATGTAATTTACCTTTTGCACTCAACCTGTAGGATTTAGCTACTCCTTTGATATCACCGACTACCAGTCCTTCATTTGTCTGTCAAGTAAAACGGCAAATTGCTAGTAATGTTAATAATGAGACAGCTTTGAAAATTGCAACGAACGAAACAGGTTTGTCTCCACTCTCTTCACCAGCTATTCAACCAAAAGCTGTGAATTACCCCCTTTTGAGACAGAATAGTGATCGTCATCAACGAGCTGCATTTCAACAGAAATACATTGATAATGGCAATGGCAATGGTAATGGTAATTCAGAGGTGATGCCGAACAATAATACAAGCTATGATGCTATATCCAGTAGTAACAGCAGCTACAGTGCTCTTCCTACTATCACCACTTCGGAAATGACTGATATGGAGATAGAAGAAGAATACGAGCGTTTAGAACAAGCGAAACAATTCATCAAACAAAGGCTGACTGTTCTCCAGCAGAAATCCCAACAGGGTGATTTTCAGCGTACCAACAATAGCAGACCTTCACAGCAGACTTTCCAAACGGCTTCAACTGATGATGTATGCATGATGTTCACAGCAGATTCACCATCATCGCAGCAAACACAGACGTTCGTTAATAGTTATATGCATGGTATAAGTTCTTCACGCTGTGCTTTCAATATCAAGCCAGCGACACCTTCTTCACTTATGAATATGAGAATGCCCTCTTCATCGTCACATAATAAAACAATCTCAACTCAAAGGTCAACCAGCGCTATTGCTACTTCTATTCCGCCATTGATTACTGCTCAGCAAAGTGATACTGTTATGCCCGGTGAAAATTATTATACGACCCATAACAGCAGGCTCTCTTCAATTTCTAATAAGACGGCTGCTACTACCACAATGACTTCTCCTCCAATCTCGAGTAATATAACCCCTACTACGACACCAATTATCAGTGCTGTACGTGCAAGCGGTAGCAATTATTACTCACAAGAAGCCTCATCAAATAGAATAACCGACAAGAGTGCCGCTAATACCATCATCACTGCTACACCTACTACGGATAAGAATCCTTCATCCAATAGTCCTACTTTTACAAAAAAGAAAAGACAAAGGCGAATAACAGTAACAGATGAGAAGAAGCAAAAAAGAAAAGGGTCACATAATCATTCACACCACCGTCGTAAACTTCCTCAGCCATCTCCTCGAGCATTGAAGCCTTTGTTAGTAAGAAGCCCAATAGTTACTGCTGTTGTCGGTACTAACAGCAGGAGCAGTGGCAATCATTATAATGGCAAGGGTAACACTACTACAGCTCCTCCTCATGACAATAGTCATACAAACAGACATCGTTCGAATAGTCAATATCATTTCATAAAACCTGCAAGCAATTATTATCTTCCTACAAGCATTGAAGATGCTGAACGTATCTTAGCTACCAAATCAAACTACCAGAATCTGATAGAAGGAAAAGCAGCAGCCCTCGGTATTGCTTTCACGACGGAAATTAAGAGTGGTGTCGAAGTACGAAGAAGTGCTCATAAGGTGGCTGAGCAGAAACGTCGTGATTCTTTGAAGGAATGGTTTGATAGATTGCGACGCGAAGTAGAAGATGGTTACGTGAAACCGCGAAAATCCTTATTGTCGCAAGTGATAAAAGCACAGCAGGCTTCTATGAATGATGAAAATAGCGATAACAAAGATGCCACTGAGAGCACTAGTAGCGGTGGCAGCAAAAACAATGATAATAATTGTCAGGAAGCTGTAGTAGCATATTTGGACGACACCCTAGATGAAAGATCGACAAACTCTCCCTTATCAGCGGATAATATGGCTTCCGATAACAGTCGTCTGCATGATGCAGACGAACATAATGCCAATGCTATGAAACCGCTCTCAAAGGTATTACTACTACAATATGCATTTGAATACATTACACATATGAAGAGTAAGCTAGAAGAGAAAGAACTAATCATACAGAAACTGAAAGAAGACTTGTACACTAATGGCACTGCAAAAGAAAAGGAATATGAGAGAGGCAACGTCGAAAAGTTGATGAAGACATAGTAGTCTTCATTTCATATAAAAAGACGCCTTACACGTAGCGTTATTGCGCGCTTCTGCTTACAGAGAATTGACCGTTTATTTGATTATGATATCCTATGCAATTTTTACACCAAACTTTCATTAACAAGGCTGCTTTTTTATTCATTGCAAAACAAATTATGCCTCACAGTTCATCCTTTTTCGTAAACATTATTTTGCAGTTAACTTCTACTTACTATGAAACTATGATAACATGATCCTAATAAAAAGAACACATTAGAATAGTTTATGAAAGCGATGGTGTATTGCTCTCGTATCTGCTAAAAACAGGTACAAGAGAAGGAGAGAAGTTGATGTATTGAATTGAAAGTGCAATGGACTATCTGCATTAGTTTTCAATCACATATCGAAAACCTTCCAAATTTCTTGGTATAGAAAACCATTCAGAGCAAAGTACGGCTAAAAGCATTTCGCTATAAGAGAACCCTATTACCAAAGAGATATTGTGCATACTCCCCGTTAGCAAAGTTGTTCTGTTCACAATGAAAATCCAGTTTCTGTCTTGGTTATTGAGGTATTATGTATTATAGTTAAGTGTAATGGCAGTGATCTAGTAATTAAACTGAAAGATCCTTGCTCAGAACGAGACTAGATGTGGTGTTAAGAATGCTCTGAACAGATAAGTGACAACTGACTGGATTAACACTTATGATAAGATTTATTAAATGCAGATGGTGTTATCAGAAAACAAATAGAACAGATCTAAAACAGATAAAGACAGATAAGACAGATCAAAACACTGCAGAACTAATAAATGAATTTGGACGCGATATTTATATGGGTTATGTCCGAAACGTAGCCAACTAGGTAGACGGTCATTACATTAAGTATAATACTTCCGTAACCTGTTTCGCTGACAAGGAAGAAGGACACCTTGCATATAACTATGAACTATGGCCTAACTACAGATTGATAAAGGAAACTACACGACATATGCAACTGGTAGAGTATTTTTTTTTTTGGTTCATAAGAGGAGGCTATTTTCGAGAAAGCCAAAAGTTCCCATAAGTTACATACACCACTCCCAAAAAACAGAAAAAAAAACTGCCTCAGTGCTGGATTGAACAACAGACCTTTGGTTTACAAGACCAACGCTCTACCACTGAGCTACAAAGGCAGTAGTTGCAAATTAAAAAAACTTAAATATTATAATCATTTAAATTTTAAAAAACACGTGACTTATTATTGTTCTTACATAATAGTCCGCCTTGGACTATCCATTTTCGGGAACTGTTATGTGACCGTGATAGTTCATTTCTTCGGTGGGAGGCCGGTCTTTACGCGTTTGTCAAAATATCAACTACAATATTGGAGGGTGTAACCACATAGATGGTTCATTCTCACCACATTTCATCCGTATTGCATCCAACACAGGTTATACACAGTGTATAGCAAAATAAAAACCGAAGTATAAATAAATACACAATAATATAATACCCATTGGCCCTTTACATAGTATATAATCTTTCTGCTTCATGTAAAGAATGTGATGTCCTCTATAATTACCTAGGCCAAATATATGTAATTATTCACCTAAACAACATTACATGTATTTTCCTATCTGCCCATAATTATTTACAAAGTCTCAGACATGCCTTTTTCCAAAAACAAATTACTTATTCCAAAAGATATAAAAGAGACCCAAACGTTAACTCGAAATAAAGACAATTCAATATCTTTTTATAGTCTCGCTACTTAACTTAGTCCACTATAATCCAAATTGATAAGATTTACAAAGAGTAATATATGCACCATGTTCATAGTTCATTAACTTAATAACAGTTATTTATTTATCATCCTAAGCGAATATCTCACATCTCCTGTATACAGCCAACCTTGAGAATTTCACTACTGAGTTTGGTCGCAGAAACTACCAAATCGTTTGCAACAATTGCAATAGAATTTCCCTTTCCTACAATGCTTGTATGGCAAGTTATAGATGAAATCCTTCGTTGACTTAGGTCAATTGTTGCTCATGTTTTGTGGCTATATACCTTATGTATAATGTATTGGGCTGCACTAATTAGCATGCCAGGTTTAATATTTCAATTAATTTTCGATACCTACATAACAATTTTCTTAAAAGTATATACGCCAATAAGAAAGTTTTTATCAATAATAAAAACACAGTTGATCTCCATGAATAAAGGTTAGTAAGAACCATGACGGTATATGGACAAGAAAATTATTAAGCATTTATTATTGTTGCCAATGCTGTGGAGTAGTAAAGGTTTATTAGCTGGCAGGTTCACCTCATAAGATAAGATTTATCTATTTTCGCACTAACTTCACAGATTATGGATTTCTCATATTATTGCTATTAGATTACGAAAGACTAGTCTTGCCCCGCTTGATGGCAAATTGAATAAGGTCAGATGATGTTGATTTCATGTTTACATTATAACACAACATGAATTCGTCTTTTTGGCTGTCTTATAGAACATCTTAGATTGACTAGATAGTGCCTCTGATCGATCAACTAAAGAATCCAACTAACAAAGATCGGATAATGTCAGATTGGTGCTTGAGGACAATTACGAAAAATAGAAATTCTTTACCTTTTCGCCACGTTGAAGCACAGAGTCAATAGTTTTATGCTATGAACAAATAAACACGAAAGCCTCTTAATAATCTTTAATTTCCATTTTCTACTTCCAATTATCGTTGTCTCTTTACCAAAATAGCAGTTGTTTCATCCAGTTCTCTTTGAACCTTCATGATAGTGTCAGCTTGTTGTGGATCTTGGTATTTACGTAGATATTCAGCTAATTCTGGGTAATCCAATGTATCTGCTTTCTTCCAACGATCACTTGAAAATTTTGTCAAAAATTCATCCATAATCTTATTTAATAATGAAAATGCAACTCTGGAAGGATAATCTTTATCACTCATTATGATTCCACTCACGCCTTGTGGGTGGGCATATATGTGAGCAACATTATCTGATTTTTCATAACGGAGTTAAAGAACGTAAGAATGGTTTAAAATGAAGGACAATATATTCTATTCAACCATTTCAACTTACTTTCACTCTCAACACTTTGACGTTGTCCTGGTTGAGTACGCTCAGCAATAGTAACTGCTGTAAAGTTCATAAACTCTTGGACACTAACAGTTTTATCATTGAAGAAAAAGAAAGTTGGCCGATGTGTTAGTGACGGATGAGGAGTAGAACTGTGAATGTTCAGTCAATAGACTACCTGCCACGTTGAAAATAACCAAAACTCGACAAGTCAAACTGAGATGCAAGTATTTTGGCTTTGTCAGCATCTTTACGTACAATGAGGATTGAATATAGTTTCATTACGAATGATTATAGAAGGATTAAAAGAAAAATGATAAAAGATGAAAGCAATAAAAACCGAGAAAGTTTTGCCTTTATTTGGTAATCAGGTGCAGAATTTAAGCAACATCCGCCTGTCAAAGAAACAACTATACAATGTGAAAGCCTTTACAGTTGCTTGCGGTATTTTCTCTTACAGAGAACAAACGACCAAAACAGTGTTTGCTAATGCAGATATCCGCGTTCGTGCTTAAACTCCCAGGAGTTGAAGAAGTCCGTTTATATTGCCGGATTGCTCAAAAAGTTCTTCATGGTATATTCATGCACGTGCCTTTGCTCAACACCATTTTACATTTAAAGACAAGCTCAATTAAAGGATACATGGGCGCTTCGTACAGTATTCATACATTAACAAGAGGTTATAGGAGGATTTGTGGATAAACGTTGCTTTTCCTTTTCTCCCCTCTAGGACGGAAGAAGCGGTCAAGTGCTTGCTGTGTTATAAAGGTTTATAACTTAAACTCAAGTTGTCAGCTTTACTCCATGTAGTACTTATATGTCGTCCCAAATAGGTGAACACAGCCTGAATCAAAACGCTATCAGGCAGTTGCGATAACTACCCCATAATATTGGAAAACTTTGATCTGTTCGTGAAATATTCTCCTAACGTGAAAAAGCATACTATTCTTGTTATCAAAGAAAAACTAGCAGGTTTGGATAAATCACAATACATCTTACAATATATAGAACCAAAAAAATATTAGTCGGTATTTTGGCTTACTATTCAGTACTATCTGTCTTGTAGTTTATAATGTATAAACTTAAAGAAAATGACAAGGAGCGATGATTACGATATGCGAAAGCAGCAGTCTCCTGAAGCATTGTCAGTGAATTTATTGTCCTCTGGTGATGATGTAATTCTAAATGTAGATATTTTGGGTAAAACTCATCGGTAAGATATACACACTAATAGCATATTGCCTTACCGTAGCTCTTTTGAGAAGCGAAAAATTACTATGGGCGTACGTTCTTGGGAATATAGATGGAAACCATCACAAATAGATAAAAATGATTAATGTTCACAATTACTTTACCACAAGGAGAGGGCATCATTTTACTATTCTTGGAAATTGAAACAGATTTGTTTCAACCAATTTATTGTGAGATGTCATAAATAGTATCGATAATTCAAAACTATAAGAGTTTTGCGGGTTACAGTGCAACCGTACGACCCCTTGTCTCTAAGAATCTTATCATGCCCTTGCATCAGTAACCAAGCTAAAAATATCAAGGGTTGGTCGTTAAATGCTCATATAGGCATAGAGGATAGGCCAATGAAACCTTCTTTTGAAAGCGTAGCCATGTTTGTCAATATAAGCGTGGAATATGTGTGAAATCACATTTTCTAACCACTAGCATTACAACATATATTGTGGCGAGCTATGATGAGCATATTCTGTGAAGTTGTGACAATATTTATACTTCGCTGTCAATTAGAGCATTACTGATATATATTCTACTAAGCATAGCTGTAAGATTTAGGAACGTCAAAGTCTCTACAACATTTTAGTGATGTTTAATCATCAATTATACTTCGCAAATCTGTATTTGAGTTCGAGAACCTTGTAGCTACAGCCGAAGGTACTGTAACGTAAGATATTACTAGCAAATTATCCTAACATATTTTCTGCTAATTTTTTGAATCTAAGATGTTTGACGTACATAATCATAACACATTACATTCGTGAAAAGTAAGCTCTTACACTGATAATACTATACGAACAATGACAGTTATGCCAGTGATACTCTTATTATAGTTGGCTTTCAGCAGTGCATTGTCTTTCTGGGGGAAGGGGTGGGAGTCGAAATCACTTCTGGAAACATTTAGACAATTCTATTATTATGAAAAATTCTATTTTACAATCTTTTGCTAATTTATTTGAGGAATAGCGTTGATTTTATAAAGATGATGTACTAATACTTCCGTTCAAGCATCCTATATGTTGATGGAATGTGAATCGTTTGGTACTTTCTTGAACTGTTTCTAAGTCAAAACATCAACTTTTTCGATGTTTACGACACAATCATGACTATAAATAATATTCACTCTGTGGCATGATGAGTTAAGCATTCTAATAATCCTAATTGTTAGTTGCAAGCATATTCATCGAAGTTCAGATTGGCAATTATCAAATCACAACCAAGCTGGTTTGGAATCATTCACTCTGATTAATTATTGTTATTCAATACAGAAGGAGGCATATTCTTATATGCCTAACTATCGAATATAATTATTTACGTTACTCATGAGAAATGAATCTTACATTTTCTGCACGTATTTCTTTTTTTTTGTTTGGCATCTTTATTCTTAAATAAGTCTGAAAAGCATATAATTTAACGTACCAATTAATGCTAATAATGATATTTAGTGGTATTTAACCAACTGTCAGCAAGTAACGTAATAAGGTAAACTGTTGCTATATTAACATATTGAAGTTTCTTTTTCTCTAGATGCCTTCTGTTCAAAAGTTTTGAAATAGTATGACATCTGCTTTATTTTATTATTCAGAAGTAAAATACTGAGGCCTATAGATAAAGAAGCGCATGCTTAAACTCTTTTCAGTCATTGGAGATTCAACAGATGAGGTCTGTATAACAATGTGCATAGAGGTAAACATTGTGCACTTCCCCTTAAAATGGTGGATGTTTAGATTTGCGGCAATTTTTATTAGGTGTAATAGACAAAGCAATGACTAAGTGCATTCTTAAGCTGTCATTTACAGGAAAAAGAAAGAAGCAAAGGCTTTGCAAAAAAAACCTTTTTGAAACAAGTCTTTCCGATGCAAATAACCTGATATTGAAATAGACAAAGGAAACTTGGCTTTCTTACATTCAATTGCGAAAATGTTACACAATCGTCTTTTATGCAAGTAAATTCAGGAGGTTTTGACTTTTTTCTACACTAACTTTCAACGTTTTGTATAGTTCAGTGTAAGTGAGACTTGTCAAATCCAAAAGAGTTCTTATTCACAATATTTATGGTTTTAAAGGTCTGCCCCTTCATCACAGCCGTTTCGTGTGCATACACGTTATATCAGGTATAAAAGAGGCGCATTTTTCCCCTACAAAGAAAATTTCATTCATCATTTTAACATATCACTTAAGGAAGTTTAGATCGATCTACTATGACGGGATTCAGACTGTTCCTAACTATAATTTCAATACTCATCCTATTTCTTACTCTCGTATTTTCTACTAATGTGCAGCCAATGCTAGAGCCATGTAGCTGCAATGGTACCATTACCACCCGATTTGACGATATGTGTATATGTAATGGTTGCCAAAGTATCAAAGTAGCATATATTGGCTATCTCCGTCAATGCCCTCCAGAGAAGACTACAAAATTGAATTCGATATTCGCTCAAAAATGTCAAGGTATTGAAAATACAGAAGATTGTGAATACTTCAAGCGACTTCCGGGCAAAATTCGCGATGATTACAAACGATGTAAAGATGACCTCGACTCCGTTCATGATGACTGTGAAAACTGTGCAGGATGTAGCTTTCCAAATACTGATTAGCAACGAAACTCGGATATGAACTGTAATTCAACTGAGAAAATGTAGGGCGCCGTTGATGTATATTCATTATAATTATATGTACATTTGAATTTTTACTAAGTTACTGATATTAAATATGTATAAAAGAAGCTGGCATGCTTAAAGAAGTATCTCTATGATTTTTTCTTTCTATGTCTATTGCCGTTGCTTGAGTTATTATTGTTATTCCTTGACTTTTTACTATGGTTTCTACTACTGCTATTCGTACTTTTACTACTTGATGTACTTGTACTTGGACTTGGTTTAAGTGAACTTGGTAATTGCACTCGTGGTTTGACAGGTGTAGATGGTGTATTACTCTTTACAATTTCCGCCAATGTGAGTTTTTTCGGTTCCTGTACCAGTTTATCGTTTTTATTATTATCATTCATATTTACAGTAGAAGAATTCGGCGGTTGTCGTGTTGGCATCTTTTTTACAGTAGACCATCGTCTGGTTCGCTGATACTGCGGCAGCTGTGGTAGAAAAGCTACTGCATCAGTATTAGCATCAAAGTTAGTATTGGTCGTGGCTTCGAATAAATGATCTTGCGTATCGTTATCTGGACTTTCAGGGAAGGTCATGCTCTTGGTTAGGTTACTATTACTGCCTGATATTGCTGGCCAGTTGATCTCATCATTGGAACGTCGCCTTGAGTTTTTGAAATCATGATGACAGTGTGTTGGTGTTGGTCCACCTTTTCCTGCTGTTGTGCGACGGTAGCTTACATTATTACCTATATCGCCTTTTCGTCTATCGTTTGTCATATTGTTTCTCTTCATCGGCTGTGAAACCTCATTTGAATTAGTATAGGTTTGATGTGAGGGTTTTTGGTGTTTTTTTTGGTAACGTGCAAAAATTTTATCTACAGATTGATCAGGAAGGTGAGCCGGCCCAGCATTAACCATTGTAATTAGAGATGGCGGCACAGGAGACAAAGGGTGACTTCCATGCCTTGTATTTCGAATTCTTAGTATAGTGTCAATAGCTTGTGGTGAGCTAAAACCGGGATTGAAGATGGGCGGTACTCGTCGATGAGGTTTAAAAGACGGTAGTAGACGGTGTGTATATGGATAGTAATTGTTATACTCTGATGAGGGTGACGAAGGACGGTAGTTATACACGCCATCTACCATGCTCCTTCGCCTATCATATGGATGCGACGTAGTATACGGTGACATAGGATTGATGCAAACATTTGTTGGGAGGAGGAATGCCGAATTATGAGAGCCGGTAGGTAGAGTGAGAGAAAGTAAATCATTATTAATGTTTGCATTGGATGGGTGTGTATCGTTTTTGCTACTGTTTCTCAAAAATGTAGGAGGATGGTATGGTGTACAGATCGTATTTAAGTTCTCCCCTGCTAACAGTTGATCCAAGCACCTTTGAAACTCGCATCGAATTCCATGTACTGAAGCAATATCGGCAGAATTTCCGAGATTTCTGCTAATGTTGAAGGGCTCCTCCACACATAAACTAACTTTATTTCTACCAGTGTCCCACCCTTTCTCTTTTTTCGTCATGTATCGCCCTTGACGTACTGAAACGACCTGATTGTCATAGTTAAACTCAACAGCATAACGACGAAAGAAAGCAAATAGCAATCCGCCTAAACTTTCGTGATTACTCGATCCAAATCCTTTCAATTTCTCAATATTGTCGTAGAAATAATCCTCACTTTTGCACTCGTTCTCAATCATATGCAAGACAGGAAGAATTGGTGGTTGACGTTGCTGCAGAAAGTTGATGACCAAACACGTCCATGTGTAAGATGACAACGTCCCGCCATTTGCTATATTACGAAAGAGCGAATAAGAACCATTCTCAAAGCAGGTATTAACAGAAAGAGTGACCCTTACCTGCGTCGTTTAGTAATCTTTTTTTAGTCCAATGCTTAATTGTCATGATCAACGGTCTAACACGCGGATCAAGCGCAACATACGTTTTGATCATTTTGGTATTTTGAAGTGCTAAAGTATTATTGACATTGATATCGCATGAAAGTTGTCTAATCAAACAGATTATAGCTTGTAAGAAAGAACAGACAAGAGACATTCATCATTTTTTTCCCTTGATGTATATTGGACTTACAATTCGGGGTCGAATAGGCGAACGATTGGTACTTTAGCTCGGGGAACACATACTATATGCTGCATACCACCTTATGAAACTAGAATTAGTAAGAACAAATATGTTTTATCTTACTAGGGATAAAGCTTACATCTTCGAAAGAGCTTTGCGAGTAATTTAACGTTTCGCAGCCCATTCCAGGTTGTTGTAATACACAGATCTACATCTGAAGAACTGGTACCAAGATCATTTACAGAAGAGCTGTTGTATGTAAAAAGAGTATGAAAGCTCAGTACAAAAATAAAACATTAGTGTTTTAATTTCTTTCCCATGCTTCTTATTTTACCCAAAAACGTTCGCTTTAATATCATGATCGGGCCATTCAGTATTGAGAAGTTTCTCCATTAAATGGACAAATTTAATACGTCTATCATGACTTTCTTTCGTCGGTAAGAGTTTCTGTTTGGGGAAAGGTTAAGCTGAAGATTTTCCAACCATTCGTCAACTCGTTATGTCTGCTCAAAATACCTGGTATAACTTAAGTATGTCAATTGATAAGTTATCTTCCTGCTGTATGTCCAATGTGTATGGTATTAATGAATTAGAAGATTCATCGGATGGCAAATCTGTTACTGATCGCGGCAAGCTAGTTTCGTTGCAGGTGGTTTCCAAAAATTCCTGTGAAGCAGTATCATTTTCACTAGAGCTACTAGAACTATCTGTGGATGCCTGCATCCTCCTCTGCTTTTATATTGTCTAACTTCCTTAATATCCCTAATACGGTGCAAGCAGGTTATGAAGTTTGGAAACTTCGCGTCTACAATACTGCTCGTTGCAGGAAAAGAAGGGAAGTTTGAAAATTTAATATACCTGCCAAAAATTTAAAATTATCACTTTTCGCACAATTTAAACAGTTGTCACACCTCTTCCATTTTCAATTTCATGAGTTTTTTATTTTTTGATTCAGTGGCTTCGTTATCACAGTTTCAAGTGAGTGTCAAAGTTAGTATCCCTAACAGCGACAGTTCAACCATTTAGTAATCTATACAAACAATATTGATCAACTGACACGAACTCTTTAAATTTTCCTTCTTTTTTAATTTGCTCACTACAGAAAGAATAATATAGATCCACTTATTTCTCGAGTCACAACTACTGTTTTCAGTGCATTGAGCAGGTAAAAAAAAGCGGGGCCCGCGGCAATCAAATTTATTAGTTGATTAAGCGAGGCATTGGTACTGGATTCTTGATCTGATAAATTACAGCTGGAAAGCACGCTCATCGAAAGTAAAACCAAAATTAACACAGGCGGTTTGGCACTGATGCCATCAGGGAACTCTCAACCCACATTTTCTATTCAAAATATTTTTTTGCCTTTTACGTTTAAAAGAATATTGCAGGATTTATAGCAGTAAATGGCAGGAGTAATTTTTTGTAGAAGTGGACCCGGATCAGAGTTATCTACTTAAAGTAGCTTTTATTTTTGTGACTGCAGTGAAGGATTTATCTACAGGCAAAAATAGTTGTAATACAGCTATGTTGAGACGACGTAGACCAACATAAAGAAAAAAAAAGCTCGAGATAAGAATTATTCTGTTTATCTAATCTGTTATTCAAAGTACAGTTGCATTTTCAGTCATTTTTATTATAAAACGTAGATAAACTCAGTTTGATGAAGAGTCTCTGTTGCAAAAGTTATTGAGGGCTGATCATTTTCTCTGGTCTAACCCATTGTTCATAATCATCTGCTGAGAGGTATCCAAGGGATAAAACTGCCTCTTTTAACGTTGTTCCTTCTTTATGGGCTTTCTTAGCACATTGGGCTGCCTTGTCGTAACCAATTACAGGGTTCAAAGAAGTGACCAACATCAGTGACTATGCATCGTTTTATAGAGTTCTTTAAGTATGTTTCATCCAAATGCTAGATTGATTTTCAGGACTTACTCTATTCATGACAGATTGGATGTGTTCTCGATTTGCAATAATGCCTACGACACAGTTGTCTTTAAAGGAGTGACATACATCACTGAGTAGTTTGATTGAGTGAAGTACGTTCTTGATAATTACGGGTTTAAATACATTCAACTTGACAAAAAAAAAATTTAAAAAGTTTTTTAGTTTTTAGAAAAAAATAAAAAAATAACAGTATAACAATGTCCACCTTACCTCAAAATGTCCAGCACTGCCTGACACAGTAACAGCGGTGTGATTGCCCATGACTTGAGCGCAAACCATTGTCATAGCTTCACATTGAGTAGGATTTACTTTGCCTGGCATAATGGAGGATCCAGGTTCATTCTCGGGAAGACTGAGCTCGCCCAAACCACAGCGAGGACCAGAGCCCAAGAAGCGAATATCATTAGCAATCTTCATTAGAGATACAGCGATTGTGTTAAGAGCGCCTGAGCATTCTACCATAGCGTCATTGCTAGCTAATGCTTCGAACTAATCATTTCGACAGGTGAATATGCTTTTAATCCTACACTGCTGACTAAACATTTCCATTGATGCTAGCTATGCACGAACCTTATTTGGAGCTGTTTCAAACGGTAATCCTGTTGCTTCAGAAACGGCCTTGGCAATTTTTACATCAAATCCTTTTTGTGTGTTTAATCCAGTGCCCACTGCTGTACCCCCTTGAGCGAGACGTGACAAACGCGGTAAGGTTGCTTTAATGCGTTCGATACCATAAGTTAATTGTTGCACGTAACCGGAGAACTCTTGCCCAAGAGTTAAAGGGGTAGCGTCCTGCAAATGCGTACGGCCGATCTTGATAATATCGCTAAACTCTTCTGATTTTACTTTAAGAGCATCACGCAGCTCTGTTAGAGCAGGGATTAAGTCGTTGTTGATTTCTACAACTGTAGCAATATGCATTGCAGTAGGAAAGCTAAACAGACATTCAGAATTTAGAAACCAGCAATGTAGCAGTGAGAGATTGACTGTATGTTACATTACGTATCATTGGATGATTGACTCATATTCACATGGTCATTTGGGTGAACCGGGTTTTTACTGCCTATTTCTCCTCCCAAGATTTCTATAGCTCTATTTGATAGAACCTGAATGATATTACAGTCAGCGTATTTTTTTAGAGAACATTCACGCAAGTGTTACTATACCTCATTCACATTCATACTTTTTCGTTGGGTAGAATTCTTTCAGTATTTTTAAGAAAAAATAATGAATTCAGAAATAAAAAGCCTGCTATTCCTTACTGCGTTTGTGTGCCTGATCCAGTTTGCCAAACAACTAATGGGAATTGATCATTGTGTTTTCCAGCAATAACCTAAGCATTTATGTAACAGAAATGAAAGTGCTACTGTTAAAGCATTGTTAATAATGCATCATCGATTCAAGTTGGTCTACTCTACCTCATCGGCAGCTTGTTGGATCGCTTCGGATACTCTTGGTTCCAGCCCGTATTCCAAATTCACTTTTGCGGCAGCTTTTTTCAAGATACCAAAGGCTTTGATAAGCGTAGGAGGCATACGTTCACTGTGTCCGCCAATCTTAAAATTCTGTAAGGATCTATTAAGCGTTATCATCAGTTGACTTTAAGCTTTGAACCAAACCCTTTTCCTTGATGTCAGTCTCGTCAACATACCTCTGAGTTTGAGCTCCCCAATAGGCATTAGCAGGCACTTTAAGCTGCCCAAAAGTATCGCTCTCAACTCGATATTCGGCTGACATGTTTAAAAGTGAAATGTATAATTCGTCTACGCGTTTCGTTGAAATAAGAAATAGACGGAAGAAAAGAGCTGTGTTTCCGGATTAACTGCATTAGATAAATAAAAAAAAAAGCCTGTGACTTCTCTAAGCTTCAGATTTGTCAATTTATGAGGGTTTCCAATCAAGGCTCTTTTGCAGTAAATACAACATCGATAGCCTCTACCGAAAGGCTATAGTACATTGTTTAACTCTTGAAGCATCCTTGGAAATGAAACCTGTCGATTATTTTCATAGAAAAGTATTCATTTTCTATGTCTCATTTGCACATAATTGCAAATTAAATAACCACTAGATCTTTCTCAGGTATACACCGTAAATTTGAAGAGCTTCCTCTACAATGTGACACAGCATAACGGATTGTTATTGTGTCACATGGGGGAAAGAATTTTACTTTCTCATCTGGATTTGGTAAGGGCGCTGGAAAGCATGTGCAAAATAATAGAGAATTGACAGTCGACAAATCAACTATCTCACATGCATTTGAAGAAAATGCTAAAAATCTCTTGAGTAAGAAGTTGTTGACATCTTGAGAAATTTGGAACAAACACGCGAGCAAAAAGAGTGTGAGTTGTAAAGGATAGGAAGACCCTAAAATCTATCCACCTATATTTCATAAATGATGGCTACAAGTGCAAATTTACTATTTTTACTTCACAATTTTCTGACCCTCTGCAACTGACGGTTTATCGAAGTGTATCGACTGCTGATGATAGGACGTAACATCCGGACCGTAAGACGATGATTAAAGAATATGTGTACGGTCGACGTGTCTAGTGTACAGAGACTGTTTCAGCATGAAAAGTCGCAGATCATATTGATGCTTTACCCCAGAAAAGCAACTTGAGAACAGAATCAGTACAATACTGTCGTTCAAATAAGATAAATATGCACATTAACGTCAGCACGACCAAATTATCGTACATTAGTTAAGATTTCCAGCTAAATGAGTAAAGAAGTTTTTACCACGTCTTAATGAAGAGAAAAAAGGAAGACTACACTAATCAGTTGGTACGCAGGGGAAGTTGAACGTCAACCTGCGATACAAATGGCTTGAAAAAGTAGTTGAGATTATGGAGCAATTTCCAGTGAGCAAGATGCAGAATATTGAGGAGTGTTTGCTATAGGATTGAAAACGTCGAATAAGATACAAATGACTACTAGCTATCAATACAAATAACAAGCTTTTACTTTATTAATAAGATGTTATTGAGCATTCTAATATACTCAAAATATAAGTATGCGATGAAAATTGAAATTGTTGACTATTATACTCAGTTCAACAAACATGCTTATTATCACGCATGATGTATCTCTTTGTGTTACGTGTGGTGTCATAAAGGATTTAGCTCGCTAATTCCGCGTTTGGGTGCATTGTTATAGTTTATTAAAACAAAACGGAGAGTTACAGAATAAAGAGAAAAAAAAGTCTAAGAGATAAAGATCAAATATACTATTGACCCTACTAGTAATTTAACAGATATGTTACAGGATTTATAATGACAAGGAAACGGTTGTGATTACTTCTTGTTAAGGAAAAGCGAAAGGTTGGTACTGCTATTATTCGAAGACTTATTCGTTTCTGAACCAGTTGAATTAGATGGAGATGGTAGCCCAGTAAAGTTGCTGACTGTATCAGCTGCCCTTTCTTCTCTTTCATAATAATCACTAACAAGTTCCCGTTGCTGTAAATTCTGAGGATAAGAATGATAACCGCCTATTGTACTGTCGTGACCATGATTTATGTTATTATTGGTACTTTGATAATAATACCGAATGAATGATGACTGCTGTTTCCAATAATATTGCTGGCGTACTGGGTCGTATATCCAGCATCTAGTACAGTACTCATCCTCTTGGCCCATAAATCTGTTACAAGAACCGCATTTTTTATGACAATTTGTACAAAACCAATCCATCCCCAACTCTCTATTACATCCACCACATAGTATAGCTTCTTCTGTATCCGAAATGATGCTTTCAAAAGAAATATTGCTTCCTAATTCTGTAAAGGGCGACAAAGGAGGCGATGGTAAATAGCTATAATTCATGTTATATAAGAAACAGTTTAGATGTATACAATTTAAGAATTGAAGAGAGAAAGAAAAAAGGAGTGCACTACACAGACTTGTATATAAATCTTCTCGAATTCATTAATCCGAGTGTTTGAAAATATGCAGATTTATGTACATTTTAGGTATGTCAAGAAATCAAAATTTTGTTTGATAATCTGTGGTGTACCCTATCTCTGCTATGGAACATTGAATAATCTATCATCCACACGTTAAAGTTTCGCATGAGGCTGAATTATCAAACTGTACCATTAAGTTTGATTAATCTCTGCGTACACAGTGCCTATACTATCAATAAGAAACGTGATAACAAAAATAATGATCCAGTGCTTGTCAGAAAGACAACATACAATCTAAACACGTGGTTTGCAAGTATACATGAGCAGAGGTAAAAAGGAGGCTAAAGTCGAAGGCTAATTATACTGAGTATTGTTCTCAAAAACTTCTCCGACTACTAACGAATAAATAACGTCTTCATTAACATTCTAACGTCCTCACTTATTTAAAGATATTAATTTGAAGGATAAGTTTAAACGTCATTGTACCTGCCAATAATTGAGAGTGGAGGGGGTTTCCCCATAGGTGCTGTACAAATCGACATATGCCTTCTATAACTAACAGTTGGGGAAGACTGCCAAATCATCAAGGCGCACATGCAGATTGCTTATGGGAAAACTAGCTTTAAGTTTACTGTTGGCGCTTTTTCTTCGCAGGATTGACTCAGCTTAAATTTACTGAATCAAATTTGTACCACTGATGGCTTACGTTGATTCTATCCATTGTTATAAGTTATATTCAGTTAAAAATGATTTAAATACCTTGGTTCTTTCACGTTCTTTTCTTAGGAAGCAGTACAGCACTGCTAATTTGTATACGTTCATTCTCTTTATCATTTCGTCAATATAAAACCTAAAAGTCATGAACAACAATAAAAAGAAAATTATTAGAAGTCCTGAAGTCAAAGCAGCTATAGCACGTATCGAACGTATAAAAAGCCAACTCAATTTATCATCATCAGCAATGTCACGCCAAGCGCCGAAGGACATGGCAGAAGAACGCGCTGCTGCTGATTTTAATATTGAAGCATTAACAGCTTTTTGGGCTGGCGGTGAGCAGAAACACAGGCTTAAACAAAAGGCGTACGAGTACATCAAGAATGATCCAGAATTGGTCATTCAACCACCGCGAAACTATTTAGAATTGTCAAGAGACGAAATGCGTGAATTGTAACGTAGAACCACAGCTTATTGACAATAAGTGTTTATGCTCAACGCTAAAGCTAACCTTACATAATATATCTTTCCACAATCGCCTTTTGTACAGTACTATGGGGCAAATTTTCAGAATTGTCAGTTTGATGAAAGACCCAGAAATGTTAAAAGACCAGGAATTTCTACAAGAGATTGGTATTGCCACTAACATGTACTCTGAGAGTTTCTCAATGCGATTCTTCGTTCATGATGCACTATTCAAAAATGTTGTGAATATGTTAGGAAATGAGGAGCAAAAAAATAGATACAATGATGATATATCAAATTTCAGGATTTTGGGTTGCTTTGCTATGGTAAGCATTATGGTTTTTCAAAAGTGCAAAGTGGAGTTCAAAAGGTGATTAATTAGTGTGGTCTTTATTTAACTTCTGTCTGTCAGACTGAACTTGGTCACAGTTCTGCTCTTCGTGACATTGAGACAGTTGCTACTTATGATATCGCCACCGACGAGTTCATACTCGACTCACCAACGATCACTGCTACCAAATGGTGGATTGGCATGGCTGGCCAAACTGCAACACATGCTGTTGTTATTGCTCAGACTGTTATCCATGGTAAAAACGTAGGACTCAATTGGTTTGTCGTTCAACTACGTAGCAAATACACTGGTGAATTGGAACCTGGGGTGCAAATCGGTGATATTGGACAGAAAGCGGGGCATGCTGGTGTTGACAATGGCTGGATTCAGTTCCGCCAAAAACGCATACCGCGACAAGATATGCTAGCTAAATGGGTAAATTTGGACCGCCAAGGGAACTTTACTCCTGCTCCTAATCCAGCTGTGATGTATGCAACGTTAATTCCGGAGCGCCTTTCCCTCGTCACCGTCACAACGCAAATGATTTCTCAAGCGTTGACCATTGCTTGCCGATATGGTGTGGTACGTCGTCAAGGCAATCATAATCAGCAAATTATGGATTATCAATCACACTATGTAAAACTCCTACCTGCAGTTGCTTTTATGTATATGATCAAGAGTAGCGCGGGAGCCTTAAATGATCAATTTGCTGTTCTTACTTCTGGTGGCAAAATGGATCCTGTTACTTATTTAAACCATATGGGTGACATGCATGCCATGTCCGCTTGTTTGAAAGGCCTTACTGGCTGGTATTCAACTGAGATTTTAGAGACATGCCGAAGAAGTTGCGGAGGCCATGCTTATTCTGCCTATAATGCAATAAGTCATATTATCGGTGATTGGGGTGTCATGACAACTGGCGGTGGAGATAATGTCGTTCTTCTTCAACAGGCCGCTCATTATCTTCTGTATCGTCTTGAACAAAAGCTTGAATTCGACAGTTATCCTGATCTCAAGTTCAAAAGCTCTGCTTCCTACATCAAAGATGCGAAAAAGTATCTTGAAAACAGAAACTGGTCTACCAATAATGCTTCCGATTGCTTGAAAGATTTTGCTTTGGTAGAAGAAGCTTTGTATTCAATTTTAGTTAAGCGTGTAAGTGTTATACTGTTATAAACTCAGTAATGACGTATAATACTAAAAGAAATCAACAATAGCTAAACAGCATCAACATTGCCTTGAAAAATGGCTCGAAAAACAATGACATGCTACTTGAATCTGTTCGCGTGGCCGAACTGCATTGTGCTGCCTTTATGTTCAGCACTTCTGCAGAAAAATTTGGTCGACCTTTGGGTACTGAAGGCGTTGAACCTAGCGTTCTGTCTATCATGAAACGCCTAATTGCACTATGGGGCCTTCATATCCTCCACACTTATTCTGATCAAGGTTTTAAAGAGAACTATTTCACTCCTGAACATGTAAAGAGTATTGAACAGGCCTATATTGAACAATGTCGATCACTACGCAAGCAAGTGATTGGTTTGACAGATGCTTTTGGATTCCCTGATTTTGTGCTCAAAGCGCCAATTGCGAGGTATGACGGTGATATCTACCAGCGTAAGTTATTAGTTAAAAAAAAAAGAATCCGAGGAAAGTGTTACTATATTTTATTAACACTCTATTTCGTTTGATTTAGCTTATTTGGAAACATTGCTAGCAGCGCCAAGAAGTACAGGCGTTCCTCCCTACCATGAAAAGTATATCAAGCCATTGACTGAACAAGAAAGTCCAAATAAACGCAATTCCAATAACCAAGCCAATACCGGCATCAGAGGACTATTGTAGATCGAGCCTCATCTTTCTGATTTGAAAAACTCAGTTTGTTCTTTATTTATCACGTCAATAAATTAGTGTCTATTTACATATGGAAGAGTGTCGTAACAAAGGAAGCCGATAGAGCTGCCCTCTTAATAATCAGTATTCTATATATTCTTTATCAGTAGCATATTAATGTATGTTACATTGCCTCATTTATGAGTGTAAACACATTCTTGTATACATCAAGCATAGCTTTGCATTTTTCTCTTTCAGCAGCAATTAAGGGATCCTCTACAAGAAGATCATCGAATAGCTCCTCACGATATAAAGATGAAACTAGGCGATTTTGTACATTATCTTTAGTGTAGTTCACTAACAGATGCATAATAGCTTTGGGCACTCTGTCTTTGATGGATCTTCGAACAATATTGAAGTAAGCTATAATCAAACGACCTTTTAAATATAAAGATATAGGAAGTCATAAGTAACATATGCTTAATTTAAATTTTTACAATAATATCCTCTTACGAATCAATTCAACTTCTTTGATATCTGTTACCGATGTCTTTAAGTTGTCACCTTCTTCTTGCATTGTTGCCATATGAAAACTTCGCGGTATCTGTAGTTCAGCATCTGTTTGCGCACTTAATACTTGAGAGAGCCCAACAGTCTTATTTACTTGATATTCCTGTGCTCTATTATAGCTACTATTATTGCTTCTAGCAAAATAGTTCAATAAAGAATCTTTTGGTGGTGATGAAGATGTCGTAGAGATAGATGTAACTGAAGTAATGGACATAGATCGACCGGCTTTTCGTACTGATGGGGTTATATTTGTTAGCATATCTCCTCCATTCAATTGTTGTCGGGCCAGTCGCTTTCTTTCTGCTTTTTCATCTTCTTTCTGCTTTCTTTGCATTTCCATCATAATCTGAGAAGCATCCGGAAAATCAGGGTGATTTGTATTGATATAGGCGCATTCTATTTCAATCATACTTCGTATAAAGCTAGAGGATGGCTTCAGTTGTTCTTGCAAAAGATCGGAAACAACCTCAACTAATCGAGTATTTAATTTGGGGAATCGTGTAATTTCCTGATTACTACATGTATGGCATATTTTAGACAATTCCTCATAGACTAGATCTACGCATCGTAAGCTAGGTGCCTCTAATAGTCGAATTTGTGGACGAACAAGCAATTCAAATGAAGCCTCTGGTACAAATAATGAGCAACGTGGGCCTGTAGAGTTCCGAATGGCCGTGCGAATATCATCATTCGTCAAATCGGCACATGGATGTATGTTATCCAATGCTTGTCCAAAGACTGAGTTAAAAATAAAGTAGATACGTGCTCCTCCAGACAATTCTTTGGTTGATATTTCAGAAGATGTACCGTTGATTGAAGATATGAATTCGTTCGAGAATGAATTCAATAATTTTAAAACGAGCGAACCCTGTATATTTAAATGTTATGACAGCCATTAACAAAAAGATACGCGGTGGCAGTTTTTAAGTTTGTACATACTCGATGGACTGAGCCAGTGAACGCGGAATTACCGTATTGGGCCAATTCATGCTGTGCTTGTCCAATATGCGCGCTCACTTTTGATCGAAGATCTGGTAATTTTTCGCGTATGTGATTCACCAAAATCTATAGTAATATTCAATCTCGAGTATGTCAATTTTCTTCAACTAAATAAGGTATTCAAGTGCTTTTTCTCACCTACAGAATTCAGTCTATGCGTCAAATATGCTACACCACATCTTTGTGCGATACTTTTATAGGCAGGGTGGCTGTGAAAAAAGATCCGCTCTGACTCTATTGCGTCTGCCATAGATTTTTTCATAATAATGTCCTGCTGACTTCGGTTCACAACACCAATAAATCCCATTCTTAACGGAAATGACTTTCCCGTTAAAACTTCAAGAGCATTTGTACCGGTGTCCATTAAGTCCAACTTTGACAAAACGCCAATTGTTCTGTTGCCTTTTGGATCCGCTTGTTTTGCTAGTTTCAAACTGTCTGAGTTGGCTAAATCAGTATTTGCAGGGGTTATAGCTAGTATGATACTGAAAAAGATATATAATGTTGAAAACACAATGATAGTCAGCGATTAATTTGTCGAGAGCGTTGCAGCTATTACCTGTTGGGTTTGCTGATATAATCTAGTGCTAATTTGCGAATCTGTACATCAATATCATGCGGTTGATCGCCTAATAATAAAGAAACTCAAAGTTAAGAGGCTACGAGCAAAAGATTACAGATGTGGGTATGCCTCCTACCTATCGGAAACTAACAAAAAGCCCTTCAGTAAGTCTCTTTAAAGGGGTTTTCTTTTTTGCGCTATAACGCTTAAACAAACCTTTGTAAGACCCGGCAAATCAATCAACGTGAGGTTTAAAACGTTCCTTGAATGTATTTTTAAATTGATAGGTACACTTGATATGCCTTTATTTGTTCCTGCTACACGATCTGTTTCCTTTACAATTTCATCTCGTACTTCATCAAAATCATAGATTCTTTGCTGAGGTAAGTGCAAGAATTCGGCATAGTCATCTTCTTCCTGATTGCGGCTCGAGATCAGTTGCAGGATGAGTGGTCGCCGAGTGACAATGCCGCTTCCTCTTGGTAGGAAATCGCGCTGAACGATCTGCTCCAAGACGGATGACTTTCCGGAACTCTGCTCACCAATCGCAATAATCTGTGGCAAGTCTAAAGTTTCACTTCCACCAACAGCAGCAAAGGCATCTTGTATTTTGTTAATGAGTTCAACTATGTCGCCTTCACCTGTCATAATTCTAGCTTATCTCAGAAAAGGAAAATCAAGTGCTCGCCCCACATTTAAAGCAAGGCCTAACACGATATACGACCTGCGCAAATTTATTCTCAGCTTTAAAAGAACTCTTTATGAAGTTCGCATGATGTTGTTTACACACGGGGGAGTAGGGAAGGAACAAAATGAAAAATAAATATTCTGCCATAGTATGATATATGATTTAGAAGAGTTCATAAAGAACAACTACTGAATATATATATACATATAGTATCCCCTCTTATTTATGTCGTATCCACTTTATGGTCACCGCTCAGTAACCTGTGGAATTCAGAATGTGCTTGATCCATCTCAAATAGCATTTGTCTAGCTTGTACGTCAGTAATTTCATCGCTTGCTTTCATCGAATGTAGCGTTATTAACCATTGTCTAACTTTTTGTTTTCCTTCAAATTCCGCTGTTAGTCCAGGTACATTATTGAGTGATTGAATTAAGTCTGCCAAAATAGGATGCAACTCGTCGACTGCATATCTATTCAGTCGCAGTGTATCCATCAAAGTAATGAAATGCTGGGATAGAGGAGAATATATGTTAAAAGTGAAAATTGTGCTTAAGAGGGACAGGGATATTTGAAAGCCTTACCAAAACACTTTCTGCAATATATTTTGCCTGTTTCCCAACATCATTTTTGTTGTCTCCAATAGCATGCTCATAAGTTGCTGGAACACCAATATTGAATCGATTAACTGCAGCAGGACATGATAACTTAGGGAACAGTTAGGCGAGACGCAATGACTGGAACAAAAAAACTGTATGTATTATCATTACCTTATAATCGTTCATAAATGCTTCTAAGCTATCCACAGATTCTGATAAAAAATTCATTGTTGTTTTATATTTTGCTATCAGATTAGCACACTGTGGAGTGTATCTGATGTTTTTGAAAAAATGAGTTCGATTACTCTGTAACAAATATATTATAGTATTATCAGCGTTGCCTCAAACATACTCTTCTGCTGTTATGGAATCTCGAATAAATGCTTTTTCTAAATGTTCCATTAGCACAATAATGGAGTATAAATCAGCCATATTATCGTATTTGTCACGCTCTTTACTATTTGTAAACAGCTTGACTTCCTATATATAATGATTATCATCAAGTTTGGCTGAGACCACTTGAACAGTGCTACTAATTGTGTTTGGGAGAGACTGATCTTACCTCATCTAAGTTGATGCCTAAAGTATAAAAGATTTATTGAGCAGGTTAAACAGTTAATACACATAGACCAATAGGTAATACCTGGTATTTTTGATATGTAGTTCGGTGCATATTGAGGTACTTGGGAATCCATTTGTTCGTCTCGAAAGAGTTTGTTGGTAGATAAGAAGTGCTTTCATGCTGCAAACAAGCTGATCACTTTTTTAATTGGAGAGCAGCCTAAAATAAACTCCTCCCCTGTTTGCCGCTCCTAAGCTGTTCTTGTCTGCTTAACAGTTGTGAGTTCTGATCATCTTTACTTTCAACATCAGTTGACAAAATGAATAACCCTGGTGCATTTGGAGGTGGTCAAACAAAGGGCATGTCTCCTCAAGAACAGCGAATGGTACAGATCATGCAAGGTCTATTCGAATCGTGCCCTGTAAAGATGGGAATGTCAGGTGTTGCAGGTTAGAATACTTTTGCTACTCTCTAATAAGTGTAACTAATACCAAAAACTGACCAGCTCTGGGTGACTATTGATTTAATTATTGTAGGTTTTGGTATGGGCGCTGCGTTCGGTTTATTCATGTCGTCGATGGATTATGCGGGCCCTTTAACCAACGAAGACCTAGTTAAACAAACGACAAAGCAACAGATAAAGCATGCATTCAAAGATATGGGGTCAAAATCAATGTCAATGGCTAAAAACTTCGGTTTAGTTGGATTAATATATTCTGGAAGCGAGTGCTGCATAGAATCAGTAAGCTTTTCTTCTTTTTTCTATTTGAATATTAACTGCGCATAAATATGAAGAGGACTCATATATTTTTCTGATCTGCAGTATCGAGCAAAGAATGATTTATATAACAGTGTGACGGCAGGTGCTTTTACAGGTGGATTGTTAGCGGTCAAAGCAGGCCCACAAGCGATGGCTCTAGGTGCTGGTGGTTTTGCATTATTTTCATTGGCAATTGATTGGTACATGCGTCGTGATTAGTGGAAACATTGAAGCGAAGCGGTCATACTATATTTATTTTCTTCAGGCCAATTTTGTAGATTGGATTTCTTTATTTTATGTTTATTTCTTTGGACATATTCACCTATTAGATGCGATAATTAGATATAAAACGATAATTAGATATTAAACTCACTATGAGATATTGAATGCTTTCAATATGTTTTTGCAAGAGTCAAAAACTTCAATCTGGATTAGGCATCAAACTCATAGATATTTGACATCTTATGTTTAGGACGCTTAAAAATTTGGAAGAGTGCCCGACTCTTTCGCCCCAATACAAATACACACTGCTATTTTCCAGTTTGAGGTTCGTGAATAATTAACGCTTTCCTTGAAAATGAAATACGGTTCAACTTACGACAACGATTTTACGCAAAGGACGCTTCAAATAACTGTAACCATAAGCAAGACAGACTAACCGAGCAATTTTTTATAACTGCTTTCTGCATTAAAAGGGCATTTTGGCATCAAATCCTTTTTACGCAAATCAAATGCCAATGTCTTTTAAAAATAAGCACTAATAAGCAATTAACTGGAACCACTACAAATGCAAGTACGCTAACGGCTCTCCTCAATTATTGTTGGAGGGGGTACTGAAGCTGTAAACAGACCTTATTAGACAACACGTCTATCTTAAAATAAACACCAAACAACCTACAAAATATCAATAAACGTGCTTTTGAAAATCGGACAGTTGTTTGAAAGTCAGTTTTTAGCAACCCAAATTCACAATGTGCACAAAAGTTTAGGAGCTTTTTTTTATTTTTGCTTTTTCTCTTTTATTAAAGGAAGCTTTATTCACAATTTTAACATGGAACAACCAGCAGACGGAATCAAGGTCGTCGACGCAGAGCCTCAAGCTATCGGTACAAACACTCAAGCTTCCTCATTGAATGCAAATGCTTTTTTGAACAACACCTTGGATGGTTTTGCTAGTTTGAGCTCTCGTTTCAATCCTTTCGCTCAAAAGTTGAATAAAAGTCTTGGACAAGTTCGACAGGTATGAAACCAGACAAAGAAAGAAGGACGAAAGGACAAAACTTGAAGTAGAAGAGTTTTTCTAATTTGTATCTTTACGATTGGACCTAATTTTAGTATGCACAAGAAAAATTGGGTACAGCAGAAAGCATCACTGAGTTACCCCAAGAATATAAAGAATTAGAAAAGGTAAAGAGAAAATGCTACTGAAGACACTAGGATCAAAAATGTAAAATTGCTGGAACTAAAGGAACAAAACAAATGCCATATATCGTCCGATGATAGAAAGTTGATGCTCTTAGAAGTGTTCATACTAATTTACTCAAAGTTAGCCGTACCTTCAACAGCTCTTCTTATGATTACCCTGTTCAAATTCAAGAGTCGTTAATCGGTATTTCTAATACCGTCACTAGAGAATTCCAACACTTGGCATTATCTTCAGCTGCAGACCGTGCTGCAGGCTCTACTAATACTAATTCAACTGCTCAGGATAAACCCAATGAGGAACCGAAGACATTACTCCATGGTCTTTCTCGCGTCGCTGCTGAAGGCGCTCAAAACATCGGTGTGGATGAGCCTTACGGAACAGCTTTGTACAAATACGCCACCATCACTGAAAAAATTGCCGATGCTCGTGTTCATATGGACCGTGACATTGTTGAAAAATTCAACAAGCCTATGCAAACCACAGTCAACACTACTATTGAACAAGCTATGAAAGCCCGCAGAAATGTCCAATCCATCCGTTTATCATTAGATGCCTGTAAGGCCAAATACCGATCAGCACGTCCTGAAAAGTTAGAAGCAGCAAGGTTAGAAGTGGAACAAGCTGAAGATCAATTTGTAGCCGCTGTGGAAGAAGCTACCAATTTAATGAAGGCAGCCCTTGAGAACGTAAGTTGCATTGTATTGATAATGTTTTGCTCTAGGAACATATATTTGCCAAAGTACACATCCTTCTCTAACACTGATCACATTGTGTGTCCAAAGCCTGAACCATTTCGTAATCTAGCGGACCTTGTTCAAGCTCAATTGCAATATTTCAAACAAGCACAGGAACTTTTGTCTGATCTGGCTCCTGAATTAGATGAAATTCAAGTAACTCAGGAATCATTGTATAGAAACAGTCGTGCTTAATCAATTTCATACTGTATATAACAATATTACCCTTTTTAATTAGTACATTAATTTAATAAAGTCAGTATATCATTTTATGGATGAGTTGTTAGTAGGAAAGAGAAGAATTGATAAATGCAAAGTCGAGCATTTTTGAAAAGTCATATTTCTGAAAGAACTGCAGGTATATGTAGGATTATGTGAAGGGAAAGGGCTGCGTTATCAACGCTTCGCCTCAGTATTGATAATTATTTATTGATGGGTCATCCTACAAATACATTAACAATACTCTCATCGTTATAAATTATTTGATCGAGTCAGGATATTCATGCCCGTACTACACTAGGCTAAGAATATCATATGAAAGCGAACAGGTGATTTCGTATGATACGTGCTAAGTTGTTCTCCTTACCTTTTATTTTGCCTTTCCAACTTTGAATTCAAGTATATCTGTAGGATGACTGATAAAAGATCATCTCAGGAACCAGTTAATAAGAATATGAATCAAACAGGTACTATACAATTGATTTTTGCTCCTAACGTCTTTGCAAGACAGTTGAAAATTACACCCATTCAGCTAGTAGTGATTCATTCAATGAAGCAATTGCAAATCTTTCAACAAAGAAGGAGATAGAAGCCATTCCAGACAATGTCAAAGTTGCATCTCCCAATCGTAAAAGTATCCTATGGTTTTGGAGGGGCCATTCCAAAAATAGTAATGGTATTAGAGTTGAACATGATGAAAATAGTACAGAAACATCTACGATAGAAATAAATCCAATAAGCAAAAGAGCGGTTGAAACCAACAGTCTGCAGTTATCAGATAAAGAGAAAGAAAATTTTGTACAAAACGAAAGAGCTATAGCAGTAGATAGCTCTTCAGAGCAGCAACAACAAATAGTAAAAGATGAACCAGCAGAAACGTTGTCCTCCTTTCAAGCTGGACGTATCAGGAACGTTGTTTTGCCTACGTTCTCATCACAATTTAGCTGCCGGTTTCCGCAAAAAGAAGAAGCACAAGCTTCTTCATACGTTGGCCGACTTCTTGAAACATTCAGTGCATTTTTCACACAAAAACCGCAAGAACAACCGCCGAATACAAGTCTTCCGCTGATAGAAACTATAGTCAAGAAGGCTGATAGTTTTGGAGATAAAAACATAGTTGTCATTGGCGTGCACGGGTGGTTTCCGTTGAAGGTAAGGTCTTTTATGATACAAGAAACTAGACAGGTATTACTATCAGTTCAGTTTCCTTTATAACTCGCAACACCGTCTAGTATAGCTTGTACGCAGTATGGTAGGTGAACCGACAGGCACCTCGGAGAAATTTTGTCAAGAGATGGAAGTAGCAGTAAGAAGATATTTTGAATTAGAACACGACATCATTATACCAAAAGCATCTATAAAATCCATACCACTTCGATGGGAAGGAAAAGTCATGGAGCGTGTTGACAAGTTTTATGAACAAATAACCTCATCATCAGAACACCATGGCGATAGCGATGGTGATAACAGCTGGAAAGACGCCATTAAAAACGCAGATATTGTTTTATGGGCTACGCATTCTCAGGGTGCTCCCGTATCTGCTCTATTAATAAAGCGGTTATTGAGTGAGGGAATTCTGCAAACACAAAAACAGCATATTTGTATGTTGGCGATGGCAGGTATCTCGCATGGTCCTTTTCCCTCATTGAAAGATCATTTATTTGTTAAGGTAAAGTTTTGGTTTATTTGCTTGCTTACAGTTGAAAGTAACTATAGTAGCACATTACAAAAACCCAGATCGCCTAACATGGTTTCAACTATGGGATATATATAGTACTTCGAAGCAGATGCAGCAAGAGAGCTATTTGAGTTCATGGATTCGGAATGCACTATTTCAATTCAATATAGAGACTCCATGGTATTTCTCTTGCAAGAACAGGTGAAGGTAGTATTTGTAGGCTCTATGGATGATCAAGTGGTTCCACTTTATTCAGCCATTATGTCAGGTATCAGCCATCCCAACATTCTCCGTGCCATTTTTATTGACGGTCAACTTTACTCTGAGAATGATTTCCTTATCCGTCTCATTACATTTGCCATTCGATTACTGAATGCCGGCCTATCCGATCACGGTTTTTTGACTCACATCAGTGAAGTACTCGCTGGCAACTTCTACGCTTGGAATGGAGGTCACTCGACTTTATACGAAGAGACCGATGTATTTATGCTACCGATGGATTTTTTGTTTAAAACTAGCCCGCTAGGACCCTTCCGCATAAAAAGTGTCGTTCAACAGTTGCAAGAAAAGACATTTCAGGGAGTAAAAGCACGTTTGAATCCGTTTCAAGCAAAGCATAACCTAAATCCGTTCTATCTTCCTTGGACTTTGCGAGGTATATGGGATGACCCACAAATTTTGGAGAATGAGGAACTGAATCGAGAATTGAAGTCAATACAGAGCTTATTTGAGCAGTGGAGTCCGACCACTGCAAGATTAAAAGGAATAAAGTTTCGCTTGGAGCCTCTAAGAGCAAGGCTTTAATGACAGCTAATAAAGGTTTATCGTTCATTCTCCATTTATTGTAATGGGACATCCCTATTTTTCTTAGCTGTGTAGCCGAAGATAGAGATGTGCAAGGAAGATGTATAAAAAATCTATTCTTTTACTCAGGTGCAAATTGTATACATTATACAATGATTTCAACAATTTTTTCGAACATTGGGCCCTTGCTTTCAAATAGGCGACAGTCAACTTGTTCTTATAGTTGTTTTAATTCTCCAACACAAATCTGAATCTGGGTTTTCCAGCCTTGAAGTCCTCGATAGCTTTAGGGGCTTCTTTCATAGGATACTTTTGTAGCCAAGGTTTGATGTTGTGTCTAGCCGCAAATTTTAACATGTCCTCGATCTCAGCTGGGGAACCGATGTTGGAGCCACAGATACTGACCTGGCTCATAGCAAGCAACATGGGACTGATTTCAGGGAATTTCCACTCCGGAAGACCAACATTGATGAACACACCATTGGGTCTAAATAATGGCACATATGTTTCCCCTGGACGGTAAATGATAAGCACATGTCAGATGGATGAGAACGGGCTCTATATTATTTATCCAGACTCTATCACTTACATTTGAAATCACTACTGGTACCAGTGCAAAGGATATGTGAGAATTCGTTTTTGTATTCAGCTAAATTTGCAGCATCACTGGTAACGACATATTCATCACAACCAAGTTCCAAGGCAAGCTCACGCTTTTTATCGCTATGAGACATACCAACGACTTTAGCACCCATTGCTTTAGCCCACAAGATGCCATAATGGCCAAGACCACCAATGCCCATAACACCAACAATTGAGTCAGGACCCACCTGATGTCTCTTCAAAGGGGCATATGTGGTAATACCAGCACAAAAGAAGGTGCAAGCCACTTCATTTGACAAGTTTTCAGGAATTCTAAAGACGAAACGACAATCGCCTCTCCATTTATCAGCATAGCCACCATAGGATTTATCGCCATTAGGCCAAAAGCTGTTATAAGTACCTGTACGTTTTTGACGACAGAGGTTTTCGTTTCCGGAAGTACAGGTTTTGCATGTATGACAAGAACCGGATTGTGCGCCCACACCAATACGATCACCCACTCTAACATTGGTCACTTTCTTGCCGACACGAGTACACATACCAGCAATTTCATGTCCTACGCATACTGGATAGTTGGGTTGACCCCAATTTGCATCCATAGTATGAATATCACTACCGCAGATTCCACAATGTGTTATATCCATATCGACACTGTAGTCATCTTCAGCGCGAAGCTTCAATTCTTCCCAAACCATCGCTTCATCTGTCAAAGATTTTTGTTAATGGTTGTTTGTTTGTGAAACAGACCGTTCAGAATACGATGCTTTTTCAGATTATGAAGCGCGTGGATCACAACCTATGTTACCTTTGCCGTGGCAGGACCAACCATGAAAAGTTGTAGGCGCTTCTGCCATATTTAATCAATCGAACGGAAAAGTTTTAACAACCAAAATGAAAAAAGTGAAGATATCTGTTAACATCTTTTAATTTACAACTTTGTAGGGGATCTGATATGTCGGGCTTCAATTAAAAGCTTCGGAGAACATCTATTCTTTGTCTGTCCTTCACTTCTTCGTCTTCCAGTAAATGGTCTACGCTTGTTATGAATGCGTTTTTGTTAATCGATGCTTTGCAGTGCAGAAAGCGTATGTGTGCTTTCCTTACCACATAAAATGCTTAACGTGGAAAGAGCTAGCACTAGCAGCCGTTATTGCCAGTTAGATATTCCGTCTTTCATGGTCTACGCATAAACGTGCACTCAGAAAGATAACAACGGTAACAAATATAAACTCATAGTTATGATAACCATGTGTCCAAAGCACTTGAACGCCGTTTTGCAATACCTATATCGCAGAAACGGCAATTATTGAGCAGCTCACATCAGCCGAGTTTTAGCTCGCTTTAATCGCGTTTTTTTACAGTGAGTAAACAATGATTTATTCCAACAAACCAAAACTAGTTCTAACTCAACGGGTGTGACAGAAAGAGCAGCAGGAGAAGCAATAATAAACCTTTTCTCGAAGGCTTTCATCATCGCTCTTTGCCTAATGATTATCTGGATACTACACTCCCCTTAAAACAACAGTAACAACCACCATCGTGTACAATTAGATGGAGTCGTGGTACCAGCAAGCTTTCGCAATAACACTATGCCAATATTATTAATTTAAACTATCCACCATCTTTTTTACTCGAGTGATCTGTATATAAAAAAAAAAAGTAATCACGCAAAAATTGTTCTTCCGGGAGATATAAGAAAAAATGAAACGGTCTAAACTATCTTGAATATTATCTCAGACATTTACAATCCTTAATGGAAATTAGCATTTTTTTTTAGACAAACTGTGCTTATTTGTTAGATGGGAATGTGAACTGTCATAGGGCAAAACAAAAGAATAAGAACCATGATTTGTAACCTGTAATGATCTGAACCCTAAAGTAAAAGGGAGGCATGTTTATTACGGCAATGTTTTCTTCTTCTTTGTTGGCTTGGCCATATTGGACCTTCACCTCGAACCAAACTGCTTTAAATATGGTCATCATATCGATAGCAGCGTTTATGTTTCTCTGCCATCACTTCAGACGTTGCTTGGAGTGAAGAGCGCCGGTACTCATGAATCCAGGAGTATCAACGATTTGCATATCATCGAAGAAACAGAGGCTGCATGTTTGCAAGTTTTAAATTCATCGATTGTGACAACAATCAACCAGCCTTCAACTTCACGCTTCTATAAAGTTGCAGACAGTTCATTTACAACACAATATCTTTGCCCTTTCAACTTGACTGCATCTTTGACAAAACATTCTTGCATCAAACATAATCAGTGGTACCATTTTGGGGGTCCCAAGTACAGCTTAGACTTCCATTTCTCAGCACTTCTAACAATTATCAATCAGTGGATGAGGTTGAATCGAAGTCTTTGTTGAAACACATCAAAAAAATGATTCAATAAAAAAGTTGTCAAGCTTTTTGTAGCTCATCTATTGCAAATAACATGAATAAAGCCATTATTGGCGATTTTCTTACTAGTAAGAGACTAATATTTAGGGTTAGAATTGTATGTCATCCTTAATGCTGCTTAGGTGTTACTGAATTATTGATTATCCCAATAAAATCGTCCAAAATATGATACTATTTTATGCTAAATTATTTAACAATGTCTGATTTAAAAATTTTCAATACGTTTAAAATAGAAGTTTGAGCGCGTGACAATCTGGATATCAAAATTCTCTTGTTGCCACTGCTGCTACTCGTCGAACAAGTAGCTTTTTAGACACAAGTCGAGTTGATACAAATGTAGATCGCACTGTAAAAGCTTATTTTGTGTATCAACATAGAAAGGCGCGATTAAACTTCGAATGGAACAGTGAGTTCTGTTATCAAGTGCTTTTTCTTTTTTTCATTTCTGAGAAAAAAAAAAAGCTTTTCTCTCCGAAATTTAAAGGCATTGCGGCTAGCTTCAATTTTTTCCATTCTTGTCTTTCTTTTTTTTTTTTTTAAGATACGGATAGTTGCTTAAACAGTCGCGCATAGATTCATCATTAGACTATTATTGATATGCCTCATTATACATCAGATAATGACAATAATACCGAGGAATTAGCTGAGGGTTCTCGTAGTATCATTTTGAACATTTGTTCTCAGCTTACAAAAGGCACAGACTTGGTACGACTTGCAGAATTTGAGAATGAAAAATGGCCATGCTCAGTTTGATAATAATCTTTGTTACGTAACATGTTAGCACAAAGTGACCTTGCCCACTTTCGTACTTGAACCCAGAAGTATGCTGGAACGTATCACTGATTTCATGGCGCATCCCGAATTATTTATAAAGTGAGATACTTCTTGATAATAGTCAGTTTTCTATCTAGTTTATGATGAAGCAGGCATTCTAACCTTCCTATGCATTTCTCTTTGACAATTTAAAATAGTATCCCAAGTATCAATGATGATACCGAGCGGTTTATTGCAGTTGTTAAATGGTTTTTGGCCGGTTGGCATATCAAGCCTAAAGTAAGAATTCGTTTTAACGATAGATCAAAAAAAGAAAAAAAAAAAAAGTTAAGATCGTATTGATTCCTTGACATAAAAACGTTCTATGCGACTTCTATCAGGGAGTCAAAAAGCCTTATAATCCTGTATTAGGCGAGTTTTTCCGTTGTCGTTACAGCTATGAAGATGGCACAAATGCATATTATATTGCAGAGCAAGTCTCACATCATCCTCCAGCTTCGGCTTATTTTTATACATGTCCTCAACATAAAGTCATCATCACCGGCGATTTAAAACCAAAGTCTCGGTTTTATGGCAACAGTGTGGCTTCTTTGATGCAAGGAACAATCAACTTCATTTTGCCGTCTCGACACAATGAAAGGTATGAAGTGAAAATGCCCAACATGTACGCTCGTAACATTCTGTAAGTATACAAACGCAGAGTTCTCTGTATCTCAATTCTAGATACATTGGCAGGTTGTTAACGAACAAATGGTTTGATTTGTGATCGTGTCCTCGACTCAAAAAATCAATATAGAATTGGCACCATGACTTTAGAGCTAGGTGATGCATCTGTCGTTCGCTGTGCTTCTAGTGATCTGGTGTGTGAAATGGACTTTCAGACAAAAGGCTTCTTTTCAGGCCAACCCAATTCAGTAGTCGGCAAAATCAAGAAAGAATCCACAGGTCAAGTTCTATATGAGATTTGTGGACAATGGTCAGATGAATTGTTCATAAAGAAGTACATACCATCTGAAAAGGGTAGCTCTCTTTCTGGTCTATTGGTAAAAATTGCTAAAATCTACTCTTCCATTTCGTTTCGCTAACAAAAACTGTTCAATTGATGATATCTATCTCTTCTCATAGTCTCGTGGTAGAAGTGCTAGTAACAGCAGTAGCAATAACAGTGAGTTATTGGTGGATGTCAAAAAGTTAAAGATTCAGCCACTTCTTGTGCCAGAAAATCAAGAACTTAAAGAATCTAGACGACTGTGGTCTAAATTGACAGAAAATCTTCTAAAAAACGACATGGATAAAGCTACTGAAGAAAAGACCAAAGTGGAGGATCACGAACGTGCCCTAAGAAAGGAGAGAGAAGCCAATAATGTTGTTTGGACATATCGCTTCTTTGATGCCGATAGCGATACTTACAAATTCAAATTAATGGATCAGTAAGTGCATTTGACCTGTCTATAAATGAGCTAGAATGTACATAATTAAAAAAAAAGAATTTCAATGGTCCTAACCATACTGCTTTTATCATTTCTGTTTTAGACTGGATTATGCAAACCCAGATGAGATCTGTAAAACTTTAGAAACCTTATACAACAATAATTAGTTTATCCGTTTTTGCTTTTTCATTCATGCTTCTGCACTAGCCGATATTACTGCTTCTCATATCACTAAATTGTTCAGCAGCTATCAATAAAATTAAATGCATTATATCGTCGTTCACGTTCAAACGAAGCATTGTGGCTGTTTCATGACACAAATGCTCAGTGCCGTGTTTAATCCTCATTTCCCAAGCGTTTTGCGGAATTGAATTGACTTTTTTTTCTTTCTTTGGCTTTGGAATAATTGAGTGTCCTCTAACTCAACGCGTTTCTAGCCTTACTTCAATTTCAGGAGTTACACTTATCTTATCGAGTAGCAAAACAATAGTATAGAAATGAGCAGCTTGCAGGTTATTGAAGCAAAACTCGAAGCAGAGTCAAGAGCATTTCAACAGTTACAAAAAGGTAAACCGGATCTATGTCAAACGTAAACTGATAGCCAATGCTAACAGACTTTTTATACTAGAATTGACACAGGTTGTCGAAAACAGACAACGATTAGAGTCGCAACAGCAGGAAAATGAAATTGTTAATAAAGTATGACAGAGAACTCCAATTTTCAGCCTGCCATGTGTTCATGAAGCCAGGCAAACTCAATTTCTACGTTTCATAGGAATTTCAACATTTAGACGATGACAGTAATATCTACAAATTGATCGGCCCTGTCTTGGTCAAGCAAGACAAAACAGAAGCAGAAACCAACGTTAAGAACAGATTGAACCTGATCGCTAGCGAAATGTATGTGGCTTACTAAACCGTAAAAGTTAACAGACGGTTAAACTTTCTATTTCTTTCCTTCCTTCCATAGCAAACGGGTGGAATCACAGTTGACCGATTTGACACAAAAGTCAGAAAAGAAAAAGCAAGAGGTAGTTCTTAAGGGGAAAAAGTGTAATCGTTAAGAGAAGTTGTTTTTTTAACATACAAATGTTGCGCATTATAGATTGCCAAGTTACAGATGGAGTATCAGCAATTAGCAACAAAAAAATAATATTTTTAAGAAAATGTATAAAGTATGATGGAATAGTGATTATGATCATATATTTTGCTTGGTCATATTTCTCATATCAAATATATCATGGATTGCAAAAGTAGCAACGGTCTCTTCTTCTTCATCCTCTTCTTCGTCCTCATTATTATCTACCTGATCAATCTCAATTCCTTCGTCATCAACAAACCTTTTACGATGCTTGTATATATCGAATTTGCCACCCTTGATACTCTCCTTTTTAAAGCCTGCGATATATTCGAAGGTTACAATTCCATTGTTTAGCTCTTTCAAAATGACCTGCTTCCAATCAGAAATCTCAGGTGTATAGTTAGCAGTTAATTCTAAGGTCTTCAAAGGATGTGAATTATGTCAGTAAATATTTCATTTAAAGAATAGCCAATGATGCTATAACGCCTTACCTTGACGGCTAATCTATCGCCTATCGATGGTATATTGTTTTCAAAATCAGCGACTGGATACTCATCATAATTTACAGGTTGAACATGTTGCATTTGAGTGTCTTGTGATTGAACTGCCTTTGTTGTTTCTACTTCGTCAGATGGATGGTGTGGCGATGTTTCTGAAACTTTGTCAACTTGTTCACCTGTCTCAATAGTTGGAGGCTGCTCAATGGTTGAATCGTTTTCTGCCACTGCAGTGTTGCTATGCATCAAAGGCTGTTGAGCATAAAAGAGTGTGGGCATTGTGTTGACAGGATATTGAGTTTGAAGATCGCGATTTGTATTCTTCCGTTTGTAAGTTTCTATATTAGAATAGGTGATAAATGCTCGTCCATGGGGATTGCTGCTGTTGCTGTTGTTGCTGTTGATGTTGCTATCGTCAGGTGTTGATTCGAAATGAACATGATGCTTGGTTCCGGCTTTATTATCCTTCAGATGATTTTTCTTTTTGTTTTTATTTTTCTTCAAAAGCTGAGCGGATGGTATGTTTAATTCCTCTGTTTTCCTATCTTGTTGTGTGCTTGTCGTAGGTGGAGCTTTTCCATTTGTTTCTTCATCGACTGCAATACTGATAACTTCTGTTGTTTCAGTATGTTGTTGTGTTGACTTGCTCTTTGGTTGGTCTGCACCTTGCACATCTGAGTCTTTTTTAGCCTTGAGGCGTTTTTTCAGTAGTCTACGACGGCAGTTCCTTTTCTGTGTCTTCCTCAATCCTTGAAAAGGCAGACCCTGAGGAGCTTTATTGACTTGTTCATTCAATTGTGAAGTCTCTGTCTTTTCCAATGGTATATTTTTTAAATCGTCAACTGACGTTTCTGATTCTACTACTGCCTTACGACCTTTTTTCTGTTTTTGCTTGTCCTCCTCCTCCTCCTTTTTTTGCTTTCGCTTTTCCTTTTTATCTTTTTCCTTCCTACTACCGGTCTTGAGTTTTTTCTCTTTTGTCTTTTTCGTACGTTTTGCGGGCGGCTTAGAGATCTTTTTCTTTTTTGAATCTGTAGAATCTTTCCTTTTATCAGACTTTTTTATTTTCTTCAAAGCAGGTTCCTCAAAAGTATTGTTCATCTTTTCTACTGACTCTGTATCATAGACTGCTCCTTTTATCGATAAACGTGGTGTTAAAATAGCAGCACTTGAACAGTTCAGTTGTTGTCAACTTACTTGATTTACGCTTCTTTTCAGTGCTTTTGAACTTATCCTCTTCTATGCTATGAAACAAGACACACATTTTAGAGAAGAGTGATCGTCTTAACTAAAGATTTTCAAAGGATACCTACTGGATCAGATCGCCATCGCGTAGAAGCCCTTCGATTTGTACTTGGGGTAATAAGTTGAATCCATCAATCGAGAGTTGAATCAAACTTGGTTCTGTTTTGATAGATAGTTGCTTTACTATTTGCTTTCTTAAATCATGAACTGTTTGTTTCAAAGGATCCCCTTGAACCGCGAACCAGCATCGATATTCTGGTAGAGGATCGTTTGTCTGCAGTTTGACTCGCATTGAATTGCTGCTATTGGCGTTCTGTCCAAGAAAGAAAAAAGAAAAGCAATGACACGCGCTGTTTTGTTCAATTTTAGTAAGCTATCTTTGCGGTGAATCGATCGGCAGCCAAATGATGCAATTAGAAGTGGTTTCTGAATCCTTCAAAAAATTGCTTTTTTTTTTTTTTTTTTTGTTTCTTTAAAATTAGGGGAGCAATTCAATGCGGAGTGAATCAAAAAGTAATGCAATCATAGCAGCATATTAAAAAAAAAAGCTTTCAATTCTTTGTCATCTTTTTTTTGTTCGTTTTTTTTTTATATAAAGTGCTTACAATCTTATTATCATACAAAGATTAAAGGCTATCTATGATTCCGAATACTTTCCTTACAAGAACATTTATTTACATCGCAGCAGTAGCGCAAGCGGCTGTTGCACCATTTTCCTTTTTTTACTATCTTTATTATTTCGCAACAGAGAAAAAACTCTTCACTATACACTCAACCGTGGATACCCTAATTCATTATTGGCTAGGATGCGAGCTCATATTCTACATATTTTTCCAAATCACTCAGAACCGAATGCAGCGTATTTTACCTTCTGTCGCACCAAATCCCAAAGAAAGAATGGAGCTGTACAAACTGTGCGTGTCCAACACAGATGATCCTCGAGTTTGGTTAACAGGTTGGTTCTACCTAGCAGACGACCCAGCAAAGAATCCCAAATTTGCAGATATCTATAGGGAGAATGTAGCAGAATGGTAAATGGTCTTCCGTAACTGCTTATGTCAGTACATCCATATCTTTTATTAAATTGTTTTTTCTTATTTCCTCATGTTCAAGGTTTTCTTGGGGGTTTTTTGCCTCATCAATGGAAGACGTTCTAAACGATGAAAGCGCAACGGAAGACTTGATAACAATGCTTGACGATTTCGAAAACAAGTATAATGTACACTTTAAAGATGGCTTTAACGAAAATGTGGTTGCTTATCGACTCACATTAGATCCTGTACATGCTTATCATCGACCACTCGCTTTCTATACTTTGGTCATGTTTCTCACCAGCTTATTTGGATTCTATTGCCAATTTGTCTTGAAGTTGACAAAGTATGGACCTGAGAATCGGTCAAATATTTGGAGTCTAATTGAACCACAACAGATACCTGCATTCCACAATCGGGGCCGATGGAGTCACTGTAATCAAGGACGCAGCGCCGATAGCAGCCCCGAAAATTGTCAAATGAAGGAGGACAGCCCCAACAAAGTACCTTATTGGTTTCGTGATGGTGATCGTTCACTAAAACCTATAGTATTTATACATGGTATTGGAGCCGGTGTAATGTGCTACTTCTTCTTTCTGCTAAAATTGCTAAAGACGAACGCACCCATCTTCTTTGTTGAACTACCTTATGTGTCTATGCAATGTACAGAAGATGTGCCTACCATGCAGGAGACTGTATGTGATCTTCAAAATATGCTGAAAAGGCATCATTCGAAAGACGCCGTGTTCATTTGTCACTCGCTTGGCTCAGCCGTTACTTCCTGGGTGGTGAAATATATGCCGGAAAGCATAGCTGGTGTCATCTTTGTTGACCCTATCTGTTTTATGTTGCATTATAAAGATGTGTAAGTTTTTTATATGCAGTTCATCTTATTTTTATTTCAATTAGTACAAGAGAAATCAAAAAATTTTCTAATTGTTTTATTGCTTATTGTATGCTACAACCAACAGCTGTACCAACTTTGTATACCGTGCTCCGAAAACAGCTGCTGAGGTAAAGTTTAATCTGTTATTTAGTGCTTCATTGAAACTTTTCCATTATTGATACAAATATACAATGTAGGCTTTAGTCAAATACTTTGCTTCTTCAGAATTATATATATCTTACTTTATCGCACGGCAATTTCATTGGTTTCAAGCGGCAATATTTATTAAATCTGCAGAAGCGAGCAGCCAACAGCAATATGACGATATTACGCAAACAACAAAGTCTATGCTTTCTGTACAATTACCGAAGAATACCATGGTTTATTTATCAGAAAAAGACAATATAGTTGAATCAATGCGCGTTAACGCCTATCTAAGCCGTAATGGCGTGAATACTGTCGTCATGAAAGGATTAGATCATGCTTCTTTCCTGTTTTCCTCGTCATGGCAGAATGATATGTTGTCTACCATCCAACGTTTCATATCTCCTGGAGCTGGTGTTGATGAGGACAAGAAATCGTAAAGCAAGATGTTTTTAAAATGATTTGTAACTGGTTTGCAATCATACAAGTTTATCCACATTCATAGATTACCCCATCATTAACTTATTCATATAACACTTCTGTAAATAATATTCCACTCTCAAAAATGTTTGGAATAGTCATAGATAATCTCCTTTTAGCCTAATAAATCTTATGAAACTTCTATGTTTATTCTACACAGTTGTTACGCCTATCCTCCTGGCCAAATTCTGGTATTGTTCATGTGCCATCTTCTTTTGCCTCCAGATAAAGACCATTATAGATAAAACAGCCACTGAGAAATTGAAGCCCTATCGTTTTGATGGAACATTAGAAAGGTCTCATGGTATTCAAAATTCTACTGTCCAGTCTTACTTCGAACTTTAAAAATCGTGCTCGTTCAACTTGTCTCACTCTTGGACAAGCTCTATAAGACGGTAAAGTTATCGCATCGTCTTCATCGAACGTTGATAATGTATGGTTGCTAAGCCCACTATCTCCGATTTCTGGCTCATTCCACTCACATCGTATTGCTTGTTTATTGCCATAGTCAGCGCAATAAGGTTGTGTTTTCTTTGATCATGTCCAGTGTGTAAGCTTATCAGATAAGTATTCTATAGAAAAGTTCAACATAAATAAATGTTCGGATGTATCTTACCTGTTCTAATGGTGAGCATATTTCACATTCTCCAATAGGGTAACATGAATATGTTGATTTGTCTACTTTTTCATGAGAGTGAGTGTAATCTCCAAGCTTTTTTGACACATCACTGGCATTTTTTCCAAACGGAGGCGTCCTTTTGAATTGTTCTGCTTGTATTAAGGTGAAAAGATAAATACTACGTTTGATTTGTAAAAGTAAAGGGCGATGAGTTAGTACTGAATTGGCTCTGTTTATTGTTCCTCTTTGTTATATTACTTAGAGATTAATCCTTACATGCTTGATAAAAAAGAAAAAAATCTCATTGCGGTATCTTTTGTGAATATATATTATGTTATGTATCAAGATGTTTATAAGGCATGCGTTGAATCCTATGTTGTGCAATTGAGAGCTCAATAAACTGGGATAAGGTACTCGATAATTTTCTTGCAGGAATTGGATTTCCCTTTTAGTATATAAAGGCAGCCTCATTGTGACGTTCACTGATCGTACCACTGCAACGAGAGGAGAGCCTGTCGAAAAGAACTCAATATCTCTTCTTCTTTCAGAGTACTTAATTCTATTTATACTATAGCTACTATGCAAAGGAAGTCTTTATGGAGATCCTATATGTCGTTATCTCCCAGAACTCGGATGTATTTAGGATTAGGTTCGCTATATGAACACGACTTTCTTATCTCTAATTTGACCATTTTACTGAACTTGTGCTTTTCATATTGTGATTGTAATAGGAGGCATGGCTTTTGCAACAGTCGGCATGCTTTTATCAGATAAAATAGAGGAACAGCGTCCGGCGACAGAAATTGAAATGAAAGAACTTGAAAGACTATCGCCAGTTATCGTAGTTGACCGTCAATCAAAAGTGTAGAAGCAACATTATGTATTGTAGGGTAGTTATCCTCTAAGGAAAGTAGGTTGTATGTATCTACTCAAAAAACTTAAAGCTTCAAACTGAAATTTCAGCAATAAGCTAGATCTTATGAACTATGAACAAGATGGATAGTATATCTCTAGAGAAATTCTCTTCTCAATTTTTGATAGCAATAATCGATTTTTCGTTGCTTGCGAAAGTAAAGTGATGATTTCTTTTCCAACAAAAAAAAACCTGAGCTTGTGTTATAGAAATTCATGCTTCTCTTTTCTGTAATTCTTTCTCCTATTTGATTACCTTTATTTAAAATGGTTGAAGCGAGTATTCCACGTTACTATACACTTGAAGAGAAAGAATATACAGCGCCTTCATATCAAATTAGAAATGATTACAAAGCTTATCAAGCAAATAATGCCCCCATCGTCATTGACAATGGTACCTTTTGTTAATCGATTCGGTTGATCATATGCTCTTGCTCACTTATTACACGTTTTCTACAACTCTTGTATCTATTAATTAGGTTCAAGCCAGTGTAGGGCTGGTTGGGCTACAGAAACATTACCATTCCGTAAGCTCAATATACAACGACTTATGCTTAGGCAAAGTTTACTCATGTGTTGCTGCTCTGCTCTCTAGTCATTTTCGATAATATTGTGTCGAAGTATAGGGATCGTCGATTGAATGAAAGTATTCTGGCAGTTGGTTATGATGCATTAGCAGATCCGGCTGGCAAGTCCAACGCACGCTCTCCATTCGACAGTAATATAGTTTCTGACTTTGAGAAAATGGTAAGTTATAGAGAATAGTTTCTGTTCTATTTCTGGTGTAGAAAAACCCATCATTTTCAATCAAATTCTATGCAGGAAAACATTCTGGATTACATATTTGTTATACTCGGCATAAACACATCTACAGTGAATCACCCAGTTGTATTGACGGAGACACCTTGTGTGCCTCAATATACGAGAACAAGTAAAAAAGCAAATCAAAGATTTAGCAGGGCCAGAAAGAGTATGTATACAGTATGTGCAAAGACCTGAGACGTTACCTTTTCTTTTGTAGGGTTAAACGAGTTATTATTTGAGAATTATAATATTCCAAAAGTAGCCTACGGTATAGATTCATTGTTCAGTTATCATTTCAACAATAAATGTAGCAGGAGCAGCCATAGCGAAGACAATGGAGGTCTTGTGATATCTTCGAGCAACAACACAACGCACATCATTCCCGTCCTTAGCAACGGACAGGGTATCTTATCAAAAACAAAACGTATCTCCTATGGAGGCACCCAAGCATCTGATTATATGCTCAAACTCATGCAGCTAAAATACCCTACGTTTCCCACCAAAATGACACCTGCTCAAGCTACTGAGCTTGTACATCAACACACCTTTGTGGCTCAGGACTATCAAGCCACTCTCAAGAAATTAGAAAAGAAAGAAACAATGGGAGAATTGGACCGTATCATTCAGTTTCCATTTATAGCACCCGTCATTGAAGAAAAAAGTATCGAAGAATTGGAACGACAAGCAGCGAAACGAGAAGAAAACGCGAAACGATTGAGAGAGGCAGCTGCAAAATCACGATTAGAAAAGTTAGTGGCGCGTGAGCAACAATTGGAAGCCTTCACTAATCTCAAACTAGCTAAAGGAACCATGAAAAAATCAGATTGGAATGCTCAGTTAAAAGAAACGGGGTTTAAAGATGAAGCCGATCTAGACGATACAATTCAGCAGTTAGAAAAGCAAATCCAACGTGCACGGAATAAAGAATTGGGCATTGAGGAAGTGGAAGAGGAAAAAGAACCACCCATCACGACACTTATTGATATACCGGATGATCAACTTGATGAGAATGGAAAGAAAGAGAAGCGCAAACAAAAACTGATGAAAGCAAACTATGACGCTCGACAAAGAGCAAAAAAAGCAAAAGAAGAAGCACGGCTTTTAGAAGAAGAACGTCAGCGTTTGGAAGAGGAAAAACGATTGAATGATCCTGAAAAGTGGGTCAATGAAATCAAAGAAAAGAGACAACGTGTTATGGATCGTATTAAACAACGTAAACGATTGGCATCTGAATTATCGGATCGTCGTTCGCGCGCTTCGCAAATTCGTATGAAGAATATCGCTAATTTGGCGAGTGATTCGCCTTCTACAACCATGGCAGGAAACAAACGTCGCCGTCGCGGCGGTAACAACGACGAAGACACCTTCGGTCAAGATGATGAGGACTGGGCCATCTACAGGGAAATCAGTAGAGAAGATGAATCGGACGAGGAGGAAGAAGATTTGTCCGAATTGAATCAATATGAATCGTTGTTACTACAATATGATCCGGAGTTCTTACCAGAGCATCGTTATGAAAATCAGTCCTCGCCTACTAATACCTTAATGCATCTGTTAGCAAGAGGCGTTTATCCTACTTACGATCCCCAAGATTTAGAACAAAGTTACCAATTGCATGTGAATATTGAGCGTGTCCGTGTACCTGAAGTGCTATTCCAACCAAGCATTATTGGTTTGGATCAATCAGGATTGATTGAAAGTGTGCAAAACATCGTGAGATCATTCGACTCGACTACAGTCAAAAAGTCAATGATGGCTAATGTCTTTTTGACTGGTGGATATACTAAAGTGATGGGATTGCAAGAGCGTATTCATGCCTCACTTCAATCTATATATCCTGTTGATACTAAAATCACTGTTCGTCGAGCACAAGATCCTATTTTAGATGCCTGGAAAGGAGCAGCAATGTTCGCTCAAGATGCAAGTAAAGAACAATTCTTTATAACCAAAAAAGAATACGAAGAGTACGGCTCGGATTATATAAAAGAACATGGTTTGGGAAACATTATACAGAAGTAAGCAATCTTTATTATTAATAAAAAGTGATTACCATGGTTCAAATGGCAGTAATGAAGGGCTATTGGGTTTTAAAGACGATGTAGATGATGATGATGAAGTATTGGTGGTATTTTTACTACTACTACTACTACTTTTTTCTTCTTCTTCAATGACGGCAGACATGGCAGACGATAACGTTTGTAAACGCTGTAATAAAGGGGCTGGGGGAGTTAGTGCAGGAGTAAGCTCTAGATAATTGCTACTCGATGAGGGTGATTGTTGTGTTGGAGGCGGAGGGGTTGTTTTTATCTCTGGTATACCTGTAGCAGATATATTAGTAATAGATGAAGAGCAAGGTTCGTTCGTGTCCAATTCACTCATTTTGAAAACAAGTGAGTCATCATCGTCCATCAATGATGAGTTGTTATTATTGTTGATTTCATCAGAAGGCTGCTCGTCATCTTCTTTTCTATGGTATAATGCTCTATTTTTCAACGAAATTGGCCTTGATAGATAACGCTGCAATTCTTGGTGACGGTGATAATCTTGGGGATAGGTAGAGTAAGCGGATAGATCCTTATCACAGCTGTTGACTTGTTGATAGCCATCTTGTTTGAATTGTTTCTTTGTAGGGCTCGGTGGCGCTATTGAAGATTGATGACCGCCACTTACCGTTGTTTGCGGTGGAGGAAGACTTTTCGGATGTAAAGGTGAGGTTATCGTGGGCTGATGATGAGAAACGGTAGTGGTTGCAACGAAGGCTAATTGACGTTGCTGTTGTGGCGTCGGTACTGGCGGTGAAGAATAATGTTGCGACATTATCATACTGGTAGATAATGAATCAGACAAGGTATCATGTGTTTCTCTTAGGCTCTGAAAATGGGGTAGCATTGACTTTCTTATTATCATACTATTACTATTACTCTGATCTGATACTGGTGGTTCGTGTTTAGTATTAGTAGAAGGCGTAGCTGTCGTTGTCGCCGATTCATTTCTATTACGATTAAACATACGTAACTCTTGACTGGAACCTACTAATTTCACAAAATCCTCTAATTCATCTGTCTCATCATCATGTTCTGTTCTATTAAAACTGTACAGTGAGCTGTTTTGGTCGCTTGTACGAGACCATCGACGTGTCATACTGATACTGGAAGGTGAACCGGACATCAGCCGATTCTTTGTTGCGCTGGAGGTGGATTTATACCTTTCAAAACTGGAAGAAAATTCTATTTTACGGGATCCAAATGATGAGCCTCCTCCGCCAGTACCTGTCTCTATAGGTTTTGATGTTGTACTATTACTATCTATACTCGTATCGTCTTCAGTAAGCGTTGTATTCATAGTGCCACTGGTTGTACTCAAAGTATTGGATAATATTGCTTCATTAGTACTGGTACTAACGGGATGACTGGCAGCGGTAGTATTATTGTTAGTACTAGCTCCTCCTTTCATGTTACTAACGGAAAAAATACAATCTGCTTGAGGAGAAGATGACAAAAAGGGCGATTTGAAAGGCGAAACAACGAATGTAGCAGAGGCACGCCTACTGTTACTAGTAGTGGAGGACGACGTGTTTGACCTTAATCTTTGCTGCTGCTCATTGTTGTCATAGGAAGAATATCGACTGTTAATAGATGTTGGGGGAGACCGGTTGCTCAACATAGATACTGGACGCGTAGATGGCCTGTTACTTGATTGCTGTTGTTGCTGTTGCTGTTGATATTTTGCTAATGTAGGTGTAAAAAACTGTTCATCCATGTCAATAAAGTGCGAGCTTAAATCCTTTTCTGTATCCTCAATCTTGAAGTCACAATTACGGCGATAAATGGCCCTTAATTTGAATGTACTAAGTGTATGTATCAAAATATTCTCTGAGTAAGTGAAAGAAGCATTTCAACATCTAATTATGAAAAGTGCCTATACACCCTACCCAATAGGCGTAATGATATCATTGAAATCGTAATTACTTGTGGGTTTCCGTGCATCACTGTTGAGAATAGCGGTTTCTAAGGATATGTCGTTCCTCGTCACATCAGGATGTTGCTGCTGCTCTGACGGTAGCGATGCGGATAGTCGATATCCTATGCTCAACAAATTCCTTATTGCATCATCATCACCTGCAGTATTGGAGTGATGTTTATGTATTTTGCGATACAGTTCGTAACTGGGTAGTAGCCGAATAAAAGAATGTAGAGCACGAAAAAATACAATAGATCGCTTATACAAGTTAGGTAGATCCACAGCATGATCAGGAAATGGATGTCTATATAAAAAAAAGAAAGATCATGATCCAATAAGTAATGCGTTCATGCAACATATATGCCTTAAATATGTGTCCAAATTGATATTAATCTATTACGACCTTAAGGATAGCTCCCATGACTCCAAATAGATACGATCAATAGGATAATGCGACTTATTCAAATCAATATAACTCCATCTCAGATTATCATCTGCTATCATCAATGATTTATTTGTTGAAGATAATTGCGATGTATCCAAATAAATATCGATTCTCATTGGCGGAGTTTCTTCTACTGTCTGTATAGCTAGATTTCTCCAAAATCTCAGCTCTTCTCTTAACAAATCGCTATCTTCCGTAGCAACATTGAACTTATTGATTTGTGTCAGTTGCTGTTTGCCAAATTCCTATACATACAAAGCGCCTTACTTTACCCATTTGTTCAATTTTCTACTAGTACTACTTGATGAACTTTTCAAACTCGTTCTCTTTTTAGCATTATTGATGTCTAAACCGAGACTGTAGTTATTACAAGCGTTGGGTGAGCAGCGTGCCTGGATAATAATTTGTGCTGTTTTTGTATAAAAATTCTAGAATGTTTTTGTGTAAGGTTAATAATTTCTGTTCCTTGCCTGTTCTGTCTCTATTCACTTTGATATTCTTCTTTCTTTTTTACTTGTATTATCTGATCTAATTTTGAGTTACGCGTACTTGTGGATGATGTAAAAGGGCTTTGTGGAACTGTTGTTGAGGAAGAAGATGACGACGGACGGGGAGCTTGAAGAGATGGCTGATTAAAGTTGGAATGCATAATCTATTGTTAAAATGTGAAAAACTGCAAGTGTAAAAGAGAAATATTTGATCACATAAACTGTTTTATCTATATAATCGTTGATGGGGGGTATCGTTAGATATATCTGCTATTGATATGTTGATTAAGAACTACGCCGGATCGTAAAGAAAAGATAAAGAAACAAAAAGTGGCGAATTGAATAGAAGGAGAAGATAAAGAAATAAATTAAGCGAGCTTTTGTTCTTTTTTGTCTTTAAAAATCAATGTCTTTCTTCGGTTTAGAAGAATGATACAGTGATTCAAAAGGAAACAAATCCAACTATGCAAAAAGAGAGGAAAAGCATTGAAAAAAAGATCAAGGGAAAAGCACCTTTTATTTTTGTGTTACTCCTCAGATCACGTGAAGCTACCATCATCACTATCATCGACCGCTGTAATCATGTCAACAGAAACGTAGTCATTTAGAGCAGCTAGATATATTTGAGAATGGGAAATCATCTAAAATAATGTATATTTACATTGTGTGAGTCCTTCCATTGCATACATATTGATAAACATCATCAATGCGATCCAACATGACTGACAGCGGCGTTCAAAACCCATCTGTATCCAAACCCGTGGATTTTCCAGTGTTTGTGAGTGTTCCCCTTACCCCTCTTCTTTGTTATACATCATTTAAATTCCAGATCCATGGAGATGAATGCGACAAGGTTCAATCAAGCAGAGCAGGCAGAGATAAGTGCTATGCTTGAACGAAAACAAGTAATAATGTTATTTTCTATTAGTTTATTGTAAAACTTCATGAAACTGATTCTCTTTCAATATCACCTTATTCTTCCTGTTGTCTTATAGATGGCCGATTTTGTTCATTTGTTCACTGACTTAACAGACCGCTGCTTCCGAGAGTGTGCAAACAATTTTACTACAAAAGCAGTGACAGGCAAAGAGGTAAAGAGGAAGAAAAATAGCCCCTGATCAATTACTGAGAAAAGACAGTATTGAGCTTACATTTCAATTCGATTCTCTCTGATTTGCAAAGGCTGCTTGTGTTCAAAAATGTGCTGATAGATTCTTGAAGCATTCAGAAATTGTTAGTAATCGCTTTGCAGAACTTAGTCAATCTGTAAGTAATATTTGTGAAGAATAAAATGCTGATACCCGTAAGGACATCACTTTCTAAACTACTACATACAATTTAGTTCATGAATAATACACAACAACAACAGCCCAACATATCGTTAGGGACGACATCAGACATGCCCTCTTCGTCAGGGTTATAGCTCGAAGCAATATATATCAACACTAACCAAGGTCTATCGCAGTACGGATCTGTTTATTGTACATAGAAAAGTTAGAAAGCTTGTAATGCGATTTTAATATAGTGTAATTATACATTTAAATATGGACAAACAGCAATTATTGTGGATTATTATGCAGTAGATCCATTCTTTAACACTTTAGCATTTGTACTAATTGGTGCTAGTTGAGTAACTGCTTTGAATATTAAGGATGACCTTCATATCACTTCAACAGCAAAACTATTTCATCATTCACCAGAGAACTATAAGCTTCCGCTAGTGTAGCTACTTTATCTGTCAATTCTTGATATCGCTAATCAAAACCATTTCAGTCTGCCTACCCTCCCAAATACCCAATCGATGGAATTACAATGTCCACATGACCTGAGTATAGCTCAACTCCTTTTATAATGTAGTAAACTACCTTGGAGAGAAAGCATTAGATGTGTACGCATATTCACAAATTTGATTTGCCAGTCTCGTCCATTCCAATTCTGCAAGGTGGTTTCGTGTACCAATTTTATGGCCTGCTTCATAAAAATTCATGAGAGTTTGAGTATAATTGATAACTGTATACGAATGACAAGAAAAGTCAGTTTGAGGTTTTAATCTTTGGAGAGTCTAATAGTTAGGAGTGGCTTTAGCTCGTCATTCAACAAAATGCTGACGATAGGCACATGAAAGTTACGCCATTTCTAATACAATATAGAAGTATAATCTAAAATATAGAGGAAACAAACCTTATCAAAATCATTTTTTGTCCAAGCAATAATGTCTGTATCGCGAAATATTTACCCCAGGACTACCTTTAGTAATATTGTTACTTGAGGGACCTATATGCATATTCTCGAATACTGGCGACAAAATTTGTAAAATAGGATTATTTTTTAATGACGATAGCTAAAGTTGAACTGAACTCTACTTCTTGTAGGGATGATCGTTCTTTTAATCCCATTGCTTTGTACTCTCAGGTTCTCTTAATATGCCGCTTCCTTTTTAATCTATCAATAGTCATGGTATCAGCATTAGGAGCGGCCAATATGTTATTGCTAGTAACAAACCAACCTAGGGGTTTTCAGAATTAGTTTTCTCTTAAGGACATAGTAAGTTTAATGAATACTTGATCAATAGTTTGGCAGAATGCAGCAAATGCTTCGGTTATATAAAGAAATAGTTTATTTGAATAGACCTTTATACCGTTGCTGAATAAGAGCGAAAGCACAATTAACGCAGCCCATCATATCCTTATACTGAATTTCGTTGAATGGAATCATAGGAATAACAGAAACCTTTTTGCACTTTAATCGACACGAAACATGCAGCAGCCCTTCGTACGTTCTAAACGGATATGTGAATATCATATCAGAAGCTTTACTCTACAAAGGAGAGAAAATACGTACAAATTCTTCTCTCCAACCCCCCAAAAAAAATCATTTGAATATGAATTGTACGTTCCATATCACATCGTGTTCATTGTCATCACAGTGCTTCTGTTTGCCTCTACTAACATCGTCATCTGACGTGCTATTCTGATGGTATACTAAATTAGGATTCACGATTTTCTTTCTTCGTTCTTTTCTTGCAGTACTATTGTTGGCTGTATCGTTAATTACAGTAGTGTTGGTTTTGATGGCAGTTGTTACGTTTCCTTGATTAGGTGATGCCATGTTATATCCAAGTTGTTCATCTAATTCCTGAAATGAGCATTCTAATTCAGTGCATATGGCATCATAGTGGTGTTTTCCGTCTAAAAATGGTATAATATCTGGATGAATAGGTTGTCCTGTTCTTTTATGTAATATCACAGGTCGTCGCGATTGCGGCAGTTGATTAAATTGATAATGGTTTCTCTGATGCTGTTGATGATGTAACCGATTGAAAATTGTAGTCGTCGCTGTAGTGGCAGCATTTGCAGTCTTATCAATGATAACATTGCTTCTGCTGCTGTTGTTATTACTATTGCTATTATTACTGGTTATGTGACTATTATTTATCATCGCATAATAGTAAGGTAGCCCTAATTGTTCAATATCATTTTCTTGATTTGTTGTTGATATACAAGTAAGTATTGGATACTTATGCACTCTGTATATTAGACCCTTTATGACACCAAAGGATATGAAACGTCTGCAAAAAATTCCAACTATATCAACAACAGATTTTCTGCCATAGTCATAAAGGAAACTACCTACCTTTCATCAATATTCAAAGATGCCACCTGTTGCTCTTCCATCCAACCTTTCACTGTGAGTCCATATTTTAGACCACAATATAATGCATATATTTTTTCTACCGAGATTTCTGGCGCATCTATTCTTACGATACAGTTTAGTTTAGAGTACCATTTTCAGGGCAAATCAACAATCCCTCTATGTTCTACCTGGTAGCATGATATATTTCTTACACTCTTGTGCAAGCCCATATTTAGGATCAAATAAACGGGTAATCTCTTGCTTAGCAACGTATATATTCGAATATTGGAAAATGTCTATAAGAATCACGCAGCCATAATACCTATGTAGAGAGTAAATTCTTCATAAGTGAACCAATTTTCAACCTGCAGAGTATATAATAGCCATGCATAGTTTAATATTTACAATAAATGTTCTATGCTTTGTCTAGCCCACTCTGCTTTTACGTTGGCCAATTCGGCAATGCGTTTAACATGGTGAACACCATTAATCAAACTGGCAATCTTTTGTATCGTAATATCCCAATTGCGGCTCATCATTTTTTTTATATCCACAGTGAATACAGGTACATGATAGTCATAAACCTGTTGTGGATTAGGATAGGTAGGAAATAATTTCAAATTAATAGTGTTGAACTCGTCTATATATCAACGATATTAAAATAAGCATATATATAGCTTTGCTATTGTAAAACATTATAGTAAAAGGAGTAACAGTCTTACTTATTGGTATTTGGCATTCACAATAGCTATTCAAGTCTTCAAACAACTGCTCTATCACGTTTTGTACAGTTTGCTGCTGTTGTGATGAAGAATCCTTTCCTCCAACTTCGCTTGATAAGAAGTTACATTCAAGCTGAGTTATAACAGAAGTACATATGTGATTGACTAAGTTGGTGTAGATTGTAAATCATTTCTCATGCATTTTTCTTTTACCTCAAGCCCTTCTAATACACGTGATAGTTTTGTGACAATAGCTTCATAGCTACTCGTTTCTGCATCCTGTTCAAACACAAAACATAAATTGAACCGGAATTCGTTTCGATAATGCTTATAACGCTCATGATCGTGAAGTACAACTGGACAGCCCATGACTTTGTATCCTTTAGTACAAATTGTCACTAATCGTTTGTATAACTGTTTCTTGGGTATAATGTACCCGCTGATCGCTTCAAAGTCGATAAGTGTTTTGCTGTTGTTACTTGTCGTCGTAGGATCATTCGTTACGGGAGACGAATTAGACTCAGGTGACATGGCGAAATTATTGTTATTATTATTGATATTGGTGACATCTGTAGTAACGGTGGTTGAGTGTAGTTGAGAAGTGATACTTCCTTCAGGTACTTGATGTTTGACTATGGTACCTTTGATAATATCAAAGACAGCATAAAATATACTATGAATACGAGGAAATCCTTGAAATTCCATGCTTTTGCTTTCATAGATGATAATGACTTAAAAATGTCAGGTGGAGAAAACCAGTGAAACTTTAATGCACAAGTTAATTGCTGATTTTGAAATCGAATATGTTCCACAAGCTACCTGTACTTCAACACCCTGCTATGGATCAGTCACTAGCATACACGTCCTCAATATGTTATAATTCCGATCTAGTTTTGATATTTGAGCATATAAGATCAATCGTATATTGATGTTAAAAAGTTGATAAAAAGAAATTCAGCAAGCAGATGAGAAAAGTATACGATACGAACGCTTACTGTTATCTGTTGAAATTTCTTAAGAAAGTAAATTGAAAATTCGAGAGTAGAATAGCGAAAGCAGAGTACTGCAAATTTATTAAACATTACGACAGGCATCTCTCAGTAAATCTCAATTATATCTATTTTGACTCGGAAAGCTTTAAACCTGCGTTTTCGAGTTCCTTTCGTTCTTCAACAGAAATATTTGGTATTTCATTCTGACTAACATTAGTCAATGTTCGTAATATTTCTCTGTAATCATTGAATATCAAGCGGCGATAATCGACTGTTTTGATTTGAGTAACCAGATAAACTAACAGGCGAGCCATTCCATGATGTCCGAAGGAAACTGAGGCATATTGAGCGACAAAACTCTGATAAAACTGATAAAATGGGACTTGAGCCTGGCGTATAAATTCAGAAGACATCTGCCAGGCATGTTCGAGAGCCAGCAAGTCAGTGGTAGATGAGCAAAGATAGTCCAGCCATTCGTCAATATGTTTAGATACATTGTCATCACGGAATAATTCTCGATCGGTGACCATGTCAATCATTCTACCTTCTCTATCGCCAATCAAAAAGATCTTCATAAGAGAAATAATGGCAACTTCGTGTTGAATATAGTTGTTATCGAAAAGTTGACTCGCTAGCTGTAATGTTCTCGAAATAACTACGGCCGGTTCAGCTCTTGACTTTTGGGCAATCTGAGACTTATCGAGATGGTATAAAGCATCAATAGGCGATAAAATAAATACACTCGTTATGAAAGAGTTGCTAATCTTGCTGTTGCTATTTGTGCCATCAACAGCAGTATTGTACATAAGTGTTTGGATAGGTCTACCGTCATATGTAAATAAAGCTTTGGAAAGTTGACGGTCCTTTTCTTCCTGTTCAAAGTAGAAAGGCTCCAGAACATCTAACTCCTGCTTTGAAAAAGAAAGTTGCAAAAACTCTTGTGACAGCCATGCTTCCACTTGACCACCGAACTGACGACTCACAACTGCACATTCAAGTTCTGATCTGTTTAATTCATTTTCGTTGACCCATAATGTTTCTTGATTATTGCCGTAAGTTAGCCACAACCAGAAAGCGTAGCGACCCCGTACATCTACTTCATGGTATTTCTTCAATCCATCAGTCATCGCTGTCCTCGACAGTTCGTCTCTTGCTTCTAGAATAAGATCACGGTATTTATGTTCTGCTTTTCCGCCACTCAGCGCAATGTAGGCAATGATGAATTGTATATAACGTAATATATGGTTTGATGTTGCATAACATACATTCTCTTCTTCTTGTACAACAGCTTTCCAAACATCACGAACAGTTTCTGCTTCAGGAGGAAATAACTCGATATGGGAAGCCCAAGCACTCAGGTAGCCCAAGGCTGATTCGACGAGCGGCTGATCCAGTCGTCTCTGAGCACGTAGTACGGCTGTAACGGCTGGTAAATACGCAACAGGTTGATGCCACTCTATAGCGTGGGCAGGAACACTTTTATGCGGATCAGCTGCTATGTGCAAAAGAACTTCCAACAGAGTCAGGGCAGCGGCTGCTCTTATACGCTCCTCTGTTGAACACTTATTATTAATCATCGCAGCACGCAACCACCCCATTATAGGCTCTTGCAAATCTTCTAACGATGGTAGGATAAACCCATAGCTAGCCAAAACGCGAATGAGTTTTAATGTTTCCATTTGAAGGGCGTATGCTTTTTGTTTTAGACTGTCAGTAGCCGCGATTTCTGGCGATGTAATCAGGAAGCGTAACATGGTAGTTGCTTTGCCAACGATATTCTCTGCAATCGTTTTACTGCCTTGAGCTAATGTGGTTAATAAGCGCACAACTGCTGTACTAGGGTAGTTTGAATTGTCTTTGTCATCCGTCATTGGCCATTGTGTCTTAAAAACTCCCCATTCGACAACGGGTTCGATTAACTCTGCTTCATCTATAGCTTCACAAACATCTTGACCTGACTCAGCCATGCACAACAACATACGAATCAAAGTCTCAACTGAAACCGGGTCGTTTTCAATTAACTCACTGCTATTGGAAGCTAATAAATATCGGATGCGGTCCAATATATTCATATGTATTAGACCACGAATGAGGTCCCGCTCAGCCAACTCAGCGTCCTCCATTTGATCTTCTATCTTTCTCGTTGATTGCCCGGAACTTTGGCGAACACGATCAATCAATTCTGAGAGCTTCTCATTGAGTCCCTTTCTTTCCAGCATTTTGCTGCCGCTTTTCAAAATGGGTTGGTGCAGATGGCCGAAGAATTGATTGGATTGTGACATTTTTGCTAATGTATCTTCCCAGGATGGCTCGTCATCTAATAGTAAAGCTGACAGCGCCTTAATAGCACTGACCAAAACAGCCAAATTTTTATCATCTAATGCAGAACGTAAGTAGATAATAGCTGCATGCTCTTTTCCAGTTAAAATTGTGTGGACATGGCTCCAAACAATAAAATGAGGCGATGCTGTATTCTTTATCATTTTTTTGGTATTGGTAATGATTCGAGCAATAGTATTCAATACCATTGACCGCTGAGCAGGTACATGACTACGCGTCAAATAAAACAATTCTGCCAAAGTATAACCTGCTTTATCAGGATCATCACCATGATGATAAAGACCTGTATGAGGCGGGATCCTGGCTGTATCATCAACAATATGCCCTTGCAAATCGAAGCGAGTTTTTCGGTATATCTTTTCTGCTTCACTGGCTTTGTTCTCTGGATGATCTTCCCTTAACTTATTTTTTCGCTTTTCTTCCTGTTGCTTCATCTCTTTTGTCAAAAAACGATCGTCTATCCATGCTAATTTATCGTATTCTGTTGGCACGTCTGCAAAATACTGTCTCTTCATTTCCAACAGATCATCGTTTTTTTCCTTTTTAGATTCATCCTGTTCTTTTTTGCCTTCATTTTCTTGCTGTTTTTGCTGTTGCTCCACGCGCAGATCGGAAGCAACCTTAATTCCCTTTTTCAATCCCTTCATTAAAATGGATATAGATTCGGGACTTAAAGTATTCATGATCTCTTGACGTGCTTCCGCTAACTCTTCGTTTGACATTTCTTCGATTCGCTTGATGTTTTCATCCTCATATATGGAGGAATTGTTCAGCAATAAACCGTTTGATTGTTGCTGCTGTTGTTGTCCTTCTGGTCTTACTTTAGGAGGTGTGTCGATACGTGGTTGCGTCATTTTTTCCTTCTTCAAACGCTGTGCGTCTAATCTCTTTTTAAATTCACTACGATGAACAGGCTTGGGAAATCCATTTTGATGATCTCGTGCAGGTTTATCGACGTTTTCATTTGGATTGGGCAAAGAAGGTACAGTTACTTTGCCAACCTCTTTCTCTGTGATTTCTCCTAATACTTGTCCAAGCATCGATGTTAAATCCAACACTTTTTTACTGACCGGTACATGCGGTTCAGGATGAGGGTCCATGACAGGTTCATATTCAACCTCTTCGACTTTGTTGTCTATTGTCATAGGCGTCTCCGCTTTGTCTTTACTTTCCGGTGCAGGAATACTCTCCAAGGAAGGCATATCTTCTGTGGAGGCATCCTCAAGTGTCGGCATAAGGTTTTCCAAACGGGGCATTGAAGAGGATGAAGAAGCTGAACTCACGTCAGGTGCCGTTGCAGTGGCTGTTCGTTCTGCAAACAGACTGCCTTTGTTTTTTGGAGAGCTTTGATCGACAGAAGGTGGAGCTTCTTTTCGATATACTTTAGCTGAAGGTGTAGTTTTATAAGCAAAGAATTCTTGCTGAAGCCGTTCTAAATCATCGTCATCGACGTTGAATTTGGGACGAACAAATTGACTCATTCTCTTCTGCACAAATGATCTAACGTAGATCTGTAAAATGTCAAGAAAAGAAAAAAGTTTAAAAAAGAATAATCAGATGGCAATGCACAAACTCAGAAATGCGCTTTTTGTCCTTATTTGTGTGATTCGCGTCTGTTGCCTAATTACACGCTTTACCAGAAAAAAAAAAAGGAAAAAAAAGGAAAGGCTCTCTAAGAGCTTGAATGAAAATTAGCCATTGAAACAAACAATGTCCCAAAAAAAGGGGCAACAACAATCGATAAAGAAACATTTTCAACGAATTGTCAAAACACAAGAGGTAGAAGTAGAGAAAGAGATCAGACTATACCCATTGTTTCGCAGAGTAAACGAAAAGACCACCAAAAACGAGAGCATAGCAATCGAAGCAGATCACCAGAAACAAACAATACCCTCTGTTTCAAATGACAAAGCTCCTACTACTGCTACGAAACCTGCGATCATTGCTGAACCATCAGCTGTTCTTAGAAAAGTAAAAGCGCCATTTATTCCTAGACCCGATCCATTTGAAAAGTTGATCAAGAGTGAGAAACAGAGGTTCTACGCAAAGCAAAAACAACAGAGAGAAGCATTGATAGAGGCTGAAAGACAGCATGACTACATTATAAAAAAGCCAAAGAAGTTTTCTATGAAAGAGATTGATCGCAAAATGACTTTGCACTATAATGACAGTTGGAAGAAAGACAAGTGCTGCAAGGCATTATTTGATCGCCTATCACACATCAATCATTCAGACCGAAAAGTTCCTTGGGTGAACAAGTATTGCCCGCATAGAGTAGAGGGACTAATGGGTTGTGTCACAGATCATGAGTATTTAAGAGATTGGCTAAATATGTTGAAATTGAAACCTGCTGCAACAGCGAATGATGTACAAAGGTGGTCAAAGGCAAAGAAGAAGGATAAACTACAACCGTCAGCCATGCCTTACAGAAAGAAGAGGACGAATGATGACGATACATATGATATGGAAATGATGGATGATAGCACGAATGAATTATTCAATTTAATGCTACTTGTAGGCAATCATGGCGTAGGAAAATCAGCAGCCGTATATACGGCAGCAAAAGAGGCTGGATACACAGTTTTCGAAATCAATGCCACAACAAGACGTGCTGGAAAGGATATTGCTGAAAAAATAGGGGAAATGACAGAAAGTCATTTGGTACGATTTGATGCTCATATAAAAAAAAGGAAAATCGACAGAGAAACCATCATCATCCGAGACACGGTAAAGAAGAAGAAGAAAACACTTGATATAGCAGAACATTTCAAACGATTACTCAATGTATCAACTCAAGAAGAGGATACAGAGGAAAATACGGGAAAACCTCTTGAGAAAACTGAGGTTACGGTTGAAGAGGATGAACAGGGGAAAATGCAGAATAACAATACTTTGAAAATGTTCTTTCAAAAGGCAGAGGAAAAACAGAGAGAGTTAGCAAAAACTCGACCGAAACAAAGTCTAGTTTTGCTAGAAGAAGTGGATATTTTGTACGAAGAAGACAAAGGGTTTTGGCCAGCCGTTATAGATTTATGCCAGAAAAGTAAACGACCTATCGTCATGACTTGCAACGGTAAGTAAATCAATTTTTTTTATACATTATTGTAATTCTCAACTGAAAAAGGCTTCTTTTTGTTTTAGAAACATCCAAGATACCCTTCGACAGCTTGAATTTTCAAGAGGTAATATTTTACGAGATACCCAAGAGGGACAGTATTATCCCTTATATTCACTTGATTTGTTATTCTGAGAATTATGTTGTTGATCCCGTTGAAATTGAGTATTTATGTAACATGCTCGAATACGATATTAGACAAATCATCAATACATTACAACTTTGGCTTAGTAAATCGACACAACAGGATGGATATATCATTTTTAACCACCTTTTTGCACATATTATGGGTTTTTCAGACGTGCTTTACACTGGTGATCCTATTGTGCTTATGGACAAACTGAAAGGGTTGGATGTGAAGACGAGGACGCTGTGTACACAGTATTACTTTGCAATAAGGAACAAACGTAGAGGTCGCAAGCCTACGGAAACCAATATTGATACTATCTGTCGAGCAATGCATAATCTAGCCTTTGCAGATGTATGGATCGGTCTAACAGATAGACAAAGACATCAAGTAAGCATGGGTCGTGCTGTATGAAAGCTGCATTATCTGTCTATTAATATCTCACTACTTCAGTTATACGATATAGACCAATATGAAATTGAGGACATAGTGAATGGGAATGAAGTAATCTGTAAAAGGGCAAGAGACCTTGACCATTGGGATCTAAGCGAAACCATTGAAAATACTATATCAATTTTAAATATGAATGGCATCAAAGATTTGACTTGGCGTGATACTCTGCTAAATTGGCCGCTCCATTATGAAACGTTGAAACATCAAAGGTAGGTACCGTCAGATGATCAGTCGTAATGGCCACCCTTAACTCTCTTTTTTTTGTCTTGTAGTGCCTCAGTGTCAAGAGACAGCATTGCAAGTTTAAGTTCGTTTATAGTAGACACGCCATATATCAAGACAAACGAGAAATTATTCATGAAGGAATACATGCCTACGATCAGAAGCTTGTGTGAACACGATGAAGCTATTATCAGTAAAGGCAGAATCAGCAGAAGTAGGAAAAACAGTAGATACATTCAATTGGAAGACGAAAATAGGGAATCGCTTCGTTGGAAAATAATGTAATGAAATAGATCTCCCATGTTTTGCGTTTCTGCTGTCATTGCTGGTTGTAACTGATGCAACAATAAACCGCACTCCTTTCAAATTTTTGCTTTTTAACATCTGTTCATCATCAACAGCATATATTAAGGTTCTCGTTCATGCTTAGAAGCCACTAAATCAAAAGTGCGTGTTTGTTGTTATTACCCAATCAAGTGTCAGTAATTTATAAAGCCCAAATTTTTAGGCCAGTTACCAATAAGGGATGTATGTGATACAGTCCCCCTTGATTTGTCAAAATGCTTGCATTTTATTTACAGCAAAGTAAGAGAACAAAAGAAAAAGAAAAAAAAAATTGATTGTATGTCTAATGCAATGCTATCATCCGAAAACCCAAGAGTGAGGGGAAAAAAGGGAAAGCCAAATTTTGACTTCTTTTTGCTTCTTCTTCTTCTCTCTCTCTCTCTCTCTCTCTTTCTCTCACTTTGAAAATCAGTCTTTTCTTTGTTTATTGCCACAACCAAAAACCATTACTTTATATAATAATATAAGTTAATGCCCTGATTCAACATGAAATATAGTGGATCGGTAATTGACACAAGAGCAGATCAAATATCCTTACACAAACGATCATTTCCGATATGTCCCAAATGCAACCAAACATGCTTGAAAGATGACCATTCAGTTATGAAAGCTTTTAATCAAGTATACCATAACCAATGCTTCGTTTGTGAGGTATACACAAATAGAAATTATACAGGAGAGCGGGCGAGAGAGCCTACAGAAAAAGGGGGGAACAGGCAAACCGATAAAAAATAAAAAAACTCAACACTTTGATTTAATGGATTGTGGAAGGGGAGACAAAACAAAAAGATGGTCTTCTCTAACGGAATGCTGGCTGTAAATACTTATTAACTTTTGTCACTCTTAGGATTGTCAAAAGCCCGTAGCAGATAAATATTTTTTAGTTGATGACCAGCCACAACACCAGACATATCAACAGCGTAAGAAGTTAGTCTTATGTGAATTTCATCATTTGAGTCGATTAGGTTTAATTTGCTTGACGTGTAACCAACCAATTACTGCTACAACAACCGCTGCATACAATTACCATCCAGAATGTGTGCAATGTCCCCTCTGTACAACCACGACATCAGATCAATATGAATTTAAAGGCAAAAGCTATTGTAGACTACATTTTTCGTTAATCCCAGAGACGCATTGTGCAGGCTGTACACAAGCAATATTAGATCAATATATAGAGCATCAAAGTCTGCCCAATCAGATATGGCATCCTGAATGCTATATGATTTTCAAATTTTGGAGCGTAAAGTTGTTACCAGCAACTTATTGGAAAGCATCAGGTAACATAAATAGTTTGCTTGTGTCTAAAATCACAACTGATACAGAAAAGAAACAGTTAAAAAACCGTTTATATTATCATGGAAGAAAAGATGTAGCGAACCTGATTCACATTCAAGAACAAACACAGAAGATTGTGTCACGCGTTTGGACAGATGTATCTTCCTTCGAGGAATCTTCTGCCAATTGTATATCAGATATGCTTTTGAACGTGGCTGCTGGGTCATTTATAGAGGGCATGAAAATGGCAAACCATTTCGTCCTGCATCTCGAGATACTTCTAAATGGACTAAACATTTTGAACAGATATTTATTATTACAAAATCAAGGTAAAGATTTTGAGCATACTCTGTTACGAAAGTAGAGGCAACTTGAAAATTAATGACAAAGATTATGTCTACTCTCTACAGAAATACAGTGCAACGAAGAATCGATACTGATCTGTAAACAGATTATACAATTTTTTCAATTACTCAGCACGCCTGCAGAACATGACGGTTCAATAACACAAGAGCTCCTATTGTTAGTGACCAATTTGGCACAAAATTTGAAGTTATTAATTAGATCTGGACTTTCGACAGCACTACGTTTGGTAGAGTATCTTATATTAATAGCGCATAGTTTAGTCATAATATCCTCTCAAATTGGACCCATTATTCCCCCAACATTGCTTAATGCCTTTGTTTAGACTAAAATTGCTCGTTCTGCCAACATTAGGAACGCGAATATGGAATTAAGGATGCGACTATTGAATTTCTCGATCAACTATCAGAGTTGGACAAAAGGCGTATTTGGATAGCAGGAAGACCTATGTTTAAAGATATGCCTAATCCATCTGTCGACATCGCCGGAATACCTGTAATCAAATGTAACGTTTGCCACCAAGACATTGCAAACATGGATTATTTTGTGTGTCAGCAGCAGACTTGGCATGTAAATTGCCTAAAGTGTGGCATATGCTCGCAATCACTGAATGAAAAATCCACGTTAGTAGTAGCAGATACTCCCTACTGCCGTTCATGCTGTATTGACAGTGATAGTACGAAAATAAGATACTGTAAACTTGTAACACCACTGGAACATAGCTTAGAAAGGTTGAAACTGTTCTTGGCTAAAATGTCGTTCGATACAACAGCCAGTCATATCACCATCCAAAGCCAGCCAAATAATGCAACTATCACTGAGGGTAAGCATAGAATCTTCAGTTTCAGTCTAAGAAGCAATATGTATATCAAACATTTTCTAATAAACTTACTATTATATACAGAGAACGAAGAAAAAGTGGAGTTGAACAAAAGCATTCCAACAAAAGTGAAACGTCAACATTCATTGTTACGAAAGCTCAAAAACAGAGTACAGGATCAGCAATCAATAAATACTCCTGGAAGAAGAAGTTCTATCAAAATCGGCCGCTTTGGTCGCCAATCAATAAACAGTGCTGATACTGTCAATAAAAGGCCAGTAGTTTCAGAGAAAAATAGTAATAGCATATTCATAGATACTGCCACACCGTTATATCCTAATGGGGAGTCCTCATCTATTTCCCCTACAAGTCTTGAACAGCACACACCAACAATAGTCGCGTCTCCAATAACACCATTGGCCCCACTATCTGTTACCTCGCAAAAGGAAAACAATCTCTATACTAGCTTCCGACGAACATTCAGTACAGACAGCCAACGAAAGAGACGAAGTTCGCTGATAAACGTTTTTGATAGACGCAAAAGAAAAGAATCCAGAAGAACGTCGGTGTCAACTGTTGATGAAGCAGGTGCCACTACTCTCTTCGAAAACATGTATTTTCCATATCTGACAACCTCTCAAGATTTTATCGTACGATATGCATCTATAGTCGCTCTCCAACCGCTTATGTCACCACCTATTCCTTTCAATGAAGTACTTTCTTTTATCAATTCTAATACAAAAAAAAAGAACAGTACCAATTCACGTAAAAAGACAGTAAATACAGCATTATTTTATACATGGGAACGACTTTTGATGAAGAACTTCAAACCATCATCCTCTCTGCTATCATCACCAATCCACAAAGGGGAAAAAGTGCCAGTTCACAAAACGATCGGAATACCGCTATCTGTTATCGCACTTCGCGATTATGAATTAGAATTAAAACGAAGAAAGAAAATACCAGAGAATGACAAAAAAGGCGTTGCTCTATTAGATATGAGTCCAGCTTTTATTGCATGTTTATCTGATGAGGCATTTATACCATCGTTTGTCAAAGGTTGCATTACGCTTCTTTTGAAATCAGGTAAACATACTCTTCCTGACATGATTATTTCTTTGGGAAGCTGCAATTATTAACATCGAAACTCTTTATCATTAAAGACATATCAACTGAAGGTATTTTCCGTAAGAACGGTAATATACGTCAATTACGTTTATTATGTGCATCAATAGATGAGTTAGAACCTGTCAATGCGGATCAAGCAACTATCGAAAACTTACTGGCCAATGAAAACTCAATTCAATTAGCAGCCCTACTAAAAAAATACTTACGCGAACTACCAGAGCCATTACTGACATTTTCATTATATGAGCTATTTATCCGCTGTGGGAGAATCGAATCAAAAAATCGCAAAAGAGCGCTCCATCTTGCGTGCTGCTTATTACCAAAACCAAATCGGGACACGATGCTACTCATTTTCTGTTGTCTGAAATGGGTGTCCAGCTTCAGTGAAATGAACAAAATGAGTATCACTAATTTGGCCCGCGTATTTGCCCCCACCATTCTGTTTGGTAAGACTGCAGTATCTAACAGTGCAGCTGAAGAAGCAAGACAGAGTGCCGAGGAAGAAATTAATGTGATTGAAACTCTGATACAGGAGGTGGATGAGATCTCAAAGGTAACGGGGATGGGAGCCATAATTTGTAACTACAGGAATGAAATATGATAGCACTTAATTAATCAAAGTATACAATCAACTGGTAACAATAGGTACCTTCTGATCTGGCTACGATTGCAATAGACAATGTGTTTCAATTTGATAAAAAGGACTTTATTAAGCAATACCAACAATTGCTTGTTTCAGATTCTGATGTAACCCAAAAATCCTCCAAAAGCAACCATTTTAATGCTTTCATCAGGAAGTCTAAGGCATTTGAAAGTTGTCTACAATTATCAGATAGTTCTGGCCCTGAGAAAACAGATACGTTGCTCTCGCCAGCAAGGTCGGAAAAGGAGACCAGTATACGGCGTAAACAACGAAGGAAATCCTGGTTATACACATTTTCTCATCACGTTGTTGCGTTATAAATTCAATATGTCGCATGAAGATTGGACATAAACATAATGAAATAAAAGGATTTCGTACCTCGTTAAGTAATGCGAGTTACTAGATTCACTCAGGACATTCTATAAAAATGATGGACATAGATAACTTCTCAGCATTTGCTGATCCCTTGGTTTGTTTGTACTGCTGGTCCCATAGTGGAGTCTTATCTAGACGTAAAACTGTCAATGGACGAGCTGACAGACGGTTACACAGGAAGTATGTTCATGGTGATTTAATTGCTATGCATATTTCTGCTTTCAATCAATTTTGGCATCAAGTGATAGCCTAGAATATAACGTCCTATGGTCTTGAACTATAGGAGATCAATTTTGAGGAACACCATCAGCTTCAAGTATCCTTTATTTTGTTGTTTCTGAGAACTGTATTGGCGGTATCATTTAAATCCTAAAATGTCAGTGTGACTTCAACTATCACTGAGCAAATTCAGTTTACGCCAACTTTTTATTTTTGTTTTTTTCTGGTAAAGACTATAAAATGACTAGACTCTAGAGAAGTATGCGCTCTCATCAGATATTGCTAGATTAATTTCTGTATAAAGGTATCAAAAACAAGATGTATGTATGTAGAATAATATAAATAGATATTAAGTTAATGATCGTAGGCCAAGATGGTTCCGAGCCATTTTTCCACAGTTTCTACTTCCATATTTTTACGTTGAGCATAGGATTCAATTTGGTCCTTTTCAATTTTGCCAACAGCAAAATATTTACTCTGTTCGTGAGCAAAAAATAAACCGCTTACACTAGCAGGAGGGTCCATAGCAAGAGATTCCGTTAAAGTGATACCCGTTTGTTCTGCGATATTACCCAATGACCACATTGTTTGCTTTTCAGTATGATCTGGTTGAGACGGATAACCTGGCGCAGGACGGATACCTTGGTAGCGTACAGCAAATAAATCCGCTGCTGTCAAATGCTCTTCAGAAGCATATCCCCAATCATTCTTACGGACTTCTTCGTGAATAGCTTCCGCAAAAGCTTCGGCTAAGCGATCAGCAAGCGCTTTGGCCATAATACTGTTATAATCATCACCATCGGCCTCGTATTGTTTTACAAGCTCTTCACAGCCGAACCCGGTGCTTACAGCAAACATGCCGATATAATCGGGTATATTAGATTCCTTTGGTGTAATAAAATCTGATAAGCAATAGTAAGGCTCATCTGTGTCTTTCTCAACTTGTTGTCGAAGACCATAAAATACAGCCTCTATCTCTTCGCACGATTCATCTTTGTAAACCTCAATATCGTCTCCAACCGCATGAGCAGGATAAAATCCGACAATTCCGCGAGCAGTCAATAGTTTTTTATCTATAATCATCTTCAGCATGGCTTGGGCATCTTCATATAATCGCTTTGCTTCTTGTCCAACATGTTCATCATCAAAAATCTTGGGGAAACCTCTGTTGGGATAGCGTCCACGGAGCTGGAAAACTTGGAAGAAAGGGTTCCAATCTATATGGTTCACAAGAGTCTCCAAGGGATAGTTATCATACACTTTTGTACCCAAGAATTTAGGCTTGTGTGGAGGTGGATTTTTCACAAAATCAATTTGCAGTCTCTTCTCTCTGGCTGCCTCAAGGCTCAGAACATTACGCTCTTCCAAACCTTCATAGTATTCCTCACGCATTTCTTCATACTCTTCTCGAACATCTTCAGCAAACTCTTCTTTTGCTGAATCATCCAATAGACTGGCGACGACAGGAACACTACGAGAGGCATCCAAAACGTAAACAACAGGTGAAGTATATTGAGGAGCAATCTTAACAGCTGTGTGCATTTTGCTGGTTGTGGCACCGCCAATAAGGATAGGGATCTTTAGGCCAGCTTTTTGAAATTCTTTAGCTACAATGACCATTTCTTCCAATGACGGAGTAATAAGGCCAGAAAGACCAACTATATCGGCCTTATGTTCAATAGCAGCTTTGAGGATTTGATCACAAGGAACCATGACACCCAAGTCAACCACATGGTAGTTGTTACAGCCGAGTACGACTCCACAGATGTTTTTACCAATGTCATGTACATCGCCTTTGACAGTAGCCATAATAATGGTGCCATTACCCTTGACTTCAGTTTCACCGCTTGCTGCCATGTCGGCCTCCTTTTCAATTTTGATATACTCAACTAAATGAGCAACAGCTTTTTTCATGACACTGAGTATGACAGTGAAAAAATAAGTACCTTCGGGATCATAGACTTTGTTCGTTGATTAACTTACCGAGCGGAACGGATAACTTGAGGCAAAAACATTTTGCCTTTACCAAACAAATCACCCACGACATTCATGCCGGCCATGAGTGGGCCTTCGATAACGTTGAGTGCACGAGGGTATTTTTCTTTGTTCTGACGAGCCTCTTCAGTATCTTCAACAATATACTTCATGATACCCTTTACAAGAGCATGAGTAATACGCTCCGTGACAGGCCAAGCTCTCCATTCTTCCAAATCTTCATCTTTCTTAGCATCTTTAGAGTGAGCCTTGGCATATTCCAGCAATTTTTCTGTTACTTCAGGGTCACGGTTCCAGACAGCATCTTCGCATAGTTGTAACAAATCCTTGGGGATATCATCGTACACAGTCAAGAAACCAGCATTGACAATGCCCATATCCATTCCGACCTGTACAGTGTGATACAAGAAGACAGAGTGCATTGCCTCACGTACCTTGTCCATACCACGAAAAGCAAATGACAAATTGGATACACCACCACTGATTTTAGCACCAGGAAGGATAGACTTGATGGCCTTACAAGCGTCAATAAATTCAACAGCATAATTATTGTGCTCCTCTAATTGATTCATTAAATCACTGTAAAAATTTTTGGTATATATCTTTACGACTTTTCATTAGCAACATACCCATGCCAGTAGCAATTGTAAGAATGTTAGGATCGAAAATGATATCGTAAGGGTTGAAGCTAATCATTAGAATGTGGTCAATAATATTGTTCCTAAACCCGATACAAAGAGTTCTATATTGCATCCTACCCAACTTTTTGAACTAAAATATTGTAGGAGCGAGTACAGATTTCGATCTTACGTTCAGCTTCGACGGCTTGTCCAACTTCATCGAACTATTTTTATTTTTTTTTAAAAAAAAAGAATAAGATCCTTTTGCTTACATCGTCCTTTTTTTTTTTAAAGCTTACCGCCATAACAACAACAGCTGCACCGAATCGTTTTATGAGTTTTGCTTTCTTGATAAACTCTTCTTCGCCTTCCTTCAAAGAGATAGAATTGACTATACATTTGCCTTGAGCACAGCGAAGACCGGCTTCAATAACGGCAAAATTGGAAGAGTCAATCATTAGAGGAACACGGGCGCAGTCAGGATCGGATGCTAACAGGTTTAAGAATTTTGTCATGGCAGCTTTGCCGTCTAAAAGACCTTCATCAAAATTAACGTCCACAACCTGCGCACCGTTTTCGACTTGAGCTCGCGCAATGGCGAGCGCTTCTTCGTATTCATTTTTTAAGATATGTCTGCAAAACTTTCTCGAGCCGGCTACATTGCAACGTTCACCGACGTTAACAAAACCAGTCGTTTCATCGACACGAAGAACTTCGAGACCAGATAATAGCATGACATCCTGCTTACTGGCAGGTTTGGGGCGAGGTTTGTAGCTTTTGCATACGTCTACCAAAGCCTTAAGATTTGAAATGGTATGCTTGGTTAATGTAGCTCGGATAATATAATACTAGTCTATTTACCTTGATGTGATCTGGTGTTGTACCACAACAACCTCCAAGAATTGTAATGAGGCCTTCTTTTGCAAAGTCCTCGACATGTTTTGACATCATTTCCGGACTTTCGTCATATTCGCCCATAGCATTTGGTAGACCCTATTCGTATCAGTAAAGGATTCGAAAAGTATAAGAATTTTTAAGTTCGCGAGGCAGGTCCTGTATGAACTGTTCCTTAAGTACTTACAGCATTTGGATAACAAATGATATGAGCATCTGTAAATCGGCTGATATTCTGAATGAATGGCTTCATCTGAGGAGCACCCAAGGCACAGTTCAGACCAAAAGCCATTGGTTTGGAATGTTGAAGTGAAGTGACAAATGCTTCGCCAGTTTGGCCTGAAAGCGTACGTCCACTTTGATCAACGATGGTACCTGAAATAAACAGTGGGACTTTACATCGGCTATTTGAGGGAAATTTTAGGGATTCAGCTTTCTAGATTTTTGTGCAAGCTTCCTGTCAAAATGATTGAAAATGATCTATGTGTGTATACTGTACTTATCGTCAGTGATGACCATATCGATTGCAAATAAGGCTGCTTTAGCGTTTAAAGTATCGAAAATAGTTTCGACTAATAAAATATCAGCTCCGCCATCAAGTAAACCTCTGACTTGCTCGGCATAAGCGGTAACAAGTTCGTCAAAAGTAACGTTTCTGTAAGCAGGGTTTTCCACAGAAGGAGAAATGGAACAAGTACGGTTAGTGGGACCTATGGCACCGCATACCAACCGACGGATACCAGTCTCTTTGGTAACCTTACAGCGAGTATAAAGAAATCGTTGTAAGTCCGAAAAGCAGAATAGATGTCCCGAGAATCGCATTTGCAGCAACTTACATCCTCACAAGCTCTCTTTGCTAACGCTGCGCCTTCCTTATTCAACCGATAGGCATAATTTTCCAAACCATAATCCAATTGCGCGATGGAAGTTGAACTGAAGGTGTTGGTTTCAACCATATCAGCACCTGCTTCAAGATACTGGCGATGGATAGTATAAATGGCATCAGGCTTGGTCAGGGTTAGTAAATCATTGTTTCCTCGCAAATCTTTCGGCCAGTCCTTGAATTCTTCGCCTAAATTGAGATTTTGCCTTGAGTTCAGTACTTGACTATGCCCATTTGGCGTTCACTGCCTTACCTCTGAAATCGGATTCCTGGAGTTTCAACCTTTGCACCATGGTGCCCATGGCGCCATCAAGAAACATGATTCTTTTCTGAAGAGTTTCGTCAAGATACTTATATGTGTCCCCTAATACGTTGTTCAATGGTGTTCATATATCTTTTTATCGATTAAAAAAGTTCAAATATGTATTTTACCCATCTTTATTATGCCACTCTGCTTTTGAAAATAGTTGGATTTTGTTTTAAACAAAAAGAGGGGAAGAAAAAAAAAGATGGAGAAGCTTATTTTAAACCCCAGGTTTGTTTTTTAAGAGATCAAAAAAATTAAGATTATGTGTTTTTTGACAACTGATCTGCCTTTTTATTTTTTATTTTTGCATCACGTGAAATATGTCAAAATGATTGTCTCATCAATATAGATTATTTATCACTGCTTTTATCAATTTCCTTCATTGCTTTTTGAAGCCTGTCGTTGGCTTTTGCTTGCATTTCATTATCTCCAGCTACATGCCCAATGGCGTAATTTAAATAGCCCATGAGCCGATCATATTCACCATGCAATCTACTAGCTTCACCTCGTTGTAGCCTGGAAACTGCGTCATTATAGTCTATATCAGCTTCTCGTTGAAGCAATTTACCGAACTCTTCCCAAGTGTCAAAATTCGCTATAGAGCCGAGCGTGCGTTGAAGGCCGCCCGCCTTCTTCCAAAACAAGCTTTTCAATTTATCAATAGCAGGATCTGAATTGTGTTTATTTGACATATTGATATTATCGAATGATGTATCAGGATCTGCAGCATGGAAGTTCATTTCATCGCCTATTAACTCATGATTATCCAAACCCACATTTTCTGGATAGGCGTACGGATTGCTTAAATCCGGTGGTTCTGAACTAGTTGCATTACTTGTGTTTTGTCCATTAGAAATACTTGTCGTTGGATTGTGCATATCTCAATTAAGAGTGTTTATATAGCAGAAGAGCAATCGTAGAAAAAAAAAAGTAAAAAAAAAAAAGATGAAAAAGGAACTCAGTAAATTTCTTGTTGTTTTATGCAAAACCACAAAATGGTGGTTTCCATTTTTAGTATGATTCTTTTATTTTTTTAACTTCCATCCTTATCGTTGTAATCTCAGACGGTGATTGGTTGCTTGGATGGTCCAGGCTTAAAGAGCAAAATACAAAACGTCATACTATCTTATTCAGCCATTACAGTACTTATGGCCTCAAATGGTGGTATCTACAAATTTATGTTGCGTTTTGCTAAGATTCGATTGGCATAACTGAAATTTCCTAATGGCACAGTTGGCGTTCTACAACTCCAGCTAATTTTATGTATTTGAAAAGAAAACTGACACACTGTATATACTTTGACGGTGTAAGCAATTAACATCCTTTAAAAGTAGTTGAAAAGTAAAAGGGCCAATCAAATAGTCGCAGTTGAAGTAAGAGTATTATCAAACATTGACGGGTTTGGTGAGATAATAACTATATTATTCGAGTACGTGCATCCAGATAGAGAATACATTATATCACGGTCTGTCTATATCGCATCTAATACAGGTAAAATACAACGTATAACGACTTAGAGGCCTAAGTATGAACAATAGCACATCAAGCATCTAAACCTGAAATTAGTGACTAGGATGCAACCTCAAAATAATATGTTTCCTATGGGAGCTTTACACAGTAAATAATCTTTCTACTTTATCTAAGGAGTAATATATACTGTCCTTCACAATTGCCAAATCATGATACAGATATCACAAGTATTTATGTACCAGCGCGCATTTGAGTCTGATCTAAAAATGTGATTGTCCAAACTACAGCACTTTCTTATTGATTTCAGATCATGAAGCAAGGCATTTTCCTAACGCAGAGAACTTAACCAAGAAGAAGATACAAGAAAGTGAGCTGTGAGGAGCTAACAAGCTGACCTTACTATATAATAATTTAGAAATGATATTGCTATTCAATATACAGGAAGGTATTTGTAAAATCTCAAAGGCTTTTGCAAAGATCAGAATAATCATTACTTATTTGGGCATATGCTTTCTATCATAGATTGTGATAGCGATACAATATTTAAGTGCCTCAGAGTTTCATTGATTCCAACAATCTATGCATCCTAGCAGGGCAGCTGTTTTTTTAACTCTGTGTGATTTATATCTTACTTCTTTCTTTTTTACATTGTGCTTCAGTCAAGCATTCTGTACCTTGCTGTTTAGGTTTGAAAAAAAAACAGATGTCATCGTAGCGGTACTTAAAAAACAATTTCGCAAAAGTATGGAGAATCCGGGGCAACTTTTTCCTGTTCCTTATATTTATTTTCTTTAAGGCAACAGAAAGAATAAAAGATAGAATCAGTTTGAGCAATTCAATTACCCTCTGAACATACAGCCCAAATTTAATAGTTATATCGTTACATTAACACGCAGTAAATTTACACCCCTCTGTTTTTTCCGCCTTGAACACCAAATCTACGAAACACAATGTCAGTCAATCAAAAAGGGAATTTCACAAAGGCCGAATTTGTCGATCCTACCCCACTTCCTGCTGAAGTCCCTAAAGTTGATGAAGTAGGTGCTACCTCTGCTCCTTTGAAGAGTGCAGCATTTTTTATTGGTCAATATTGTAAAGAATATAACGAAGACTTCATGCTCTGTAAAGACGAGAATAATGATCCCAAGCATTGTTTAAAGGAAGGCAGAAAAGTGACACGGTGTGCAATTGATCTGTAAGTAACCGTATCGGATGGAATTCGGCCGACAATATACTTAAATCAGATGCTTATGTCCTGGAAATGCAAATAACCATTAGGATCACGAAGCTCAGAGAAAATTGTGGTAAAGAATTCGAGGCGCATTGGCAGTGTTTAGAAAACAATAACCAAGAATTTTATCAATGTCGTAAGCCGGAACGTACTTTCAATCAATGCGTTTTCGAAAAGCTTGTAAGTACAGCCTTATTGAGCATAGTTTGACAATCAGAGGAATATTAATCAATATTAATCATGGTAGGGTTTGGAGAAAAAAATTCCTGGTTCGCCAGAAGGCCAAGAACAAATTCAGAATAAGAAGAACCCTATATTCAAGAATGCTTTTAAATAGACTTAAAGATTTCACTGTAATATATTCAAATAAAACATGAAGAAGCATGAATCTATTTACGACCGTTGCCTTTGCCCAGTTTTCTCACTTTAAATCTGGACAATGTTTGCTTTTGCCTGGACAACCACATTTTTGAATTTTGAGATGCTAACTTACCTTTTTTTGAGTGAAAAGGAAATGGAATTTAGAAAGGCTGAGCACAAGGATCAACGATACTCTGATTTACATGTAGATATCAAAATATCTAGAAAAGAGGCACCATGCTGCATACGACTAAGTATAAAAAAAAAAGTCTTATTCGATTTCAAAATGCTTGGGGATAACTTTGACCACTGATTATAGCGGTTAATACTTGAAAATGTTTTTCAAGGTATTGACATCACGTTGCCATAATATTCCACGGCAAGCTAGAACGCTAAAGGGCATTAATAACATGAACAACATGCCGATATTTACAATGGTGAGATAGGTTACAAAATATTCCAATCGACTTTTTTCCAACCTCTGAGGTTTTATCGACGTGTATGCAACAATATCACCAGATTTTTGTCTATTATTTAAGTCGTTGCCAAAGAACACCGTTAAGCCTTACATACTGCTTCAATAATTGATTTAAGCTTTATAATCTTCAGGAAGTGCATCTGGTCTGCATACCACTTCACTAAAGTGTAATTAATAATACGTATAATGCGCGTACTATCGTCTGTAAGTTTCACCTTGTGCTTCTTCAAGCTCTTTTGTATGCTTTTAAACACTTTTCAACATATCCTGGGTCTTTTTTTTAAGCATTAAATGAAATATATGTTGTTAGAAAGACATAAAGAGAAAAGAGAAGAATTGGGAGTGCAAAAATGAAGGAGTATACAATTTTTTTAATTTTTGATTGATTGGATTCATTGAACAATAGTAGTAGTAACACCTGAGCAGAGACCAACTTGCTGTTTCCACTGTATAGATCAACCGTATGCTATTTACTGTACTGTACAGGTATCACGTTTATACTCACATCATTGACCGTATCATTAGCAGCTTTTTAACCAAACGCGTGCAACCCAAGAATACAACAGCTTCAAACGATTGATTTCACGCCTTGTCAGCGAGCATTCCCATCAGGCATTCCGAAATCAGTAGTGTTAGCCTTTATCTTTATCCATGGAGCACTAAAACTTTACTTATGACTGATTTTTCACACACTGCTGTTCACCAGCTCAGTTGAAGAGGCCCACACTCGCAGGGAAATTGTCCTTTAATCAAATCCTCACTTTTGGCATATGTTTGAACTGTTCAAGTTCTCTTTTAAAAATTTCAATTTTACTTTTATGAGAGTTTGACAATCATTCTGCTTTTGCTATCTTGAATGCTCTGACAATGTTAAGCCACTTCTACAAAAATGATTTCTTCTAAATATGTTTATAAGAATGCTATTCAAGGACTGTAGATTTTGGATTTGTTTAGGTCGTATAGACAATTTTACTTCATCCCAAAAAAAAAGTAAAAAAAGTCTAATGCGGAGCAAATACATTGAACTTTTTGCGGTGTTAGAAAGGCTTTAGAAGTCCTTCATGGTGGGAGTTTAGGACGGGTCATGACGCGTCAACAATCAACATAAACTTGACTTCTTGTTTCCTTTTTGTAACTTTGCTATATTCACATTAAATACTGCACTGCAGCCTTATACAGAAATTCAGAAAATCAAACAATGTCATCTAGCTCAGCAAACCCAATCGATCAAGATCCCAAAGCAAAAGCCTTGAACAGCTACAAAAGAAGACTTTTGGAACATCGAGAATTAGATGCTAAACTCAAAGAAAGTAAAGATCAATTTCGATGGATCCTCAACCGACTATGCATATTTAAAAAGGTTTACGAACTGAATCCATTTTTGTGAAAAAAATAGTGCGTCTTGGACTACGAACTCTTGACAAGGAGTTTGATAAGTCAGAAGACGACATTAAGGCCTTACAAAGCGTTGGTCAAGTCATTGGAGAAGTTTTGAAACAATTGGATGATGAACGCTGTAAGTAGTTGTATATAAACTTGATAAACATGTTAAAAATTGAAACAACGTCTGGTTACTAAGCTACGTATACCCTTTCTCAGTCATTGTCAAAAACACAAGTGGTCCTCGTTATGTCGTAGGATGTCGCAATACTGTTGATAAAGAAAAATTAAAGCAAGGTGCTCGCGTGGCACTGGATATGACTACTCTTACAATTATGCGTATTCTACCACGTGAAGTTGATCCCTTAGTATATAACATGTCAATGGAAGATCCTGGTGACATCAGTTTCGCTGGTATTGGTGGTCTTTCAGAACAAATCAGAGAACTCAGAGAGGTAAGTACTACCACAGTAAGAGACTGCTCTCGAAGTATGTTAAAAGTATGCTCATACACTTCTGGACGCTAAATTGTATGTTAGGTTATTGAATTACCTTTGATGAATCCCGAATTATTCTTACGAGTGGGTGTCAAGCCACCAAAGGGTGTTTTATTATACGGTCCACCAGGCACAGGAAAGACGTTATTAGCGAAAGCAGTAGCAAGCACATTACAAGTTAATTTCTTAAAAGTTGTATCCAGTGCAATTGTTGATAAATATATTGGTGAAAGTGCAAGGTTGATCAGAGAAATGTTTGGATACGCAAAAGAGCATGAACCGTGTATTATTTTCATGGATGAAATTGATGCTATCGGTGGCCGTCGTTTCTCAGAAGGTACCTCTGCCGATCGTGAAATTCAACGTACTCTAATGGAATTGTTGAATCAAATGGATGGTTTCGATTATCTCGGTCAAACAAAATTGATTATGGCTACAAATCGTCCTGATACATTAGATCCTGCTTTATTAAGACCTGGACGTCTTGACCGTAAAATCGAAATTCCTTTACCTAATGAACAAGGTAGACTGGAAATTTTGAAGATTCATGCAGGCAACATTACAAAACATGGTGATATAGATTATGAAGCTATCGTTAAACTCTCAGATGGTTTTAACGGTGCTGATTTAAGAAATGTTTGTACAGAAGCTGGTATGTTTGCAATCAGAGAAGAACGTGATTACTGTATTCAGGAAGATTTCATGAAAGCAGTGAGAAAATTGCAAGATGCGAAGAAACTGGAAACAAAGTTAGACTACGAGAAGATTTAATTGCAGTGTCATTATATTATATAATAAAAAAAAGGGAACAAAGGCATAATCCGTTTAGTTACTTCGTTTAGTGTCCTCTTTGAGAAAGCAGCCTTTCTCTCAATTTTCTAGCTTTTCTTATAGCCTTGCTGTCATTAGAGTTGTTCACTGTTTGTAGGCTCCACTGGGCTAATCTATACGCGCACCAGGCTGTCTCTAGTACAAAGTAACTCATTCCAACCTCCAGTATAAATACTCCCCATCCTGGATAAAATGCTTTCCATCCGCCTTCTTCAGACCATGTGCGCTTTATACAATTGAAGAATCCCTGATATTTTGTTTCTGTCCTCAATATACCGCTGTCTTGTATCATCAGTTTGAAAATAACTGTATCGATAGGATAGCTCAATGCTCGAGTGATAACGCTACTAATAATTCCACACCCTATTTCTGGGTAGAACGTATGTAAAACCGTTGCCTCTCTCTTCTTTTTCGTTGTTGAACTGTTTGCATCCATATTGTTAAGCTTCGACTGAGATGACAAATACTTTGAAATACGTCGATAGATGTACATAATCATTTTCTCGGTAAGTACATTCGTAATACAAGATGGTATGAAGGCAGACATAGTAATTCCAAAAGAGTTCGACTTTGGTGAAAAACTATACAGATATTTCTTATATAATTGTAGGAATTCCTGTACATTATGAATAGCGATACGGGTAGCTGCTGAATCGGATTGCACTCGCAGAACCAAAGCGTTACGAAACAATGGGTACAGTGGGATGTTAATCAACAGGCCCAAACCTTTTTTCAAACAAGTACCGACAGTGGCTGTTACTCCTTTCTTTTTCTTAAAAGTACTGTGAACGATATTATTGATGCCTGATTCGTAACAGGCGCTGATGGTCTGTCCGAGAAGACCAAGACCAAAACCCGGATAGAGTTTCCGTATGCTGCCAGCTTTGTAAGTATAGTATAACATGTTTGCACCATAAATAGGTGTATCTCGACGATAACTATAGAGAGTAGATAAAGCTTGCAAACGATGTCGAGCAGCAACAATGGGGAAACATAACGAATAGTTAGCTACCATAGTACCTATTGCAAGCACTACGCCCACTATGTTCTCTTTCAGTTCAACTACGTTATATAAGATGTAAGACAAACATTGAATACTTGCCCATATATGATGACAATCAATTGTACCTTTACGTTCTGAGGGAGCATTATGTATGCTAACAGTAGCTACAGCGTCAAGTTCTGCTATCGTGATCTGTTGAGCAACACTTCTTAAAAGCTCTACCTCTCGTTCTTCTTCCCTTCGACTCTCTACTTGCTCTCTAGTTTCTATAGTGCTCCCAAGACTTAGTTGACTAAGATAATTCTTTATTGTCATAATGTTCTACTACAAATGTAGAGGCTGTGTGTGATGAAGTTGGTGAATGATCTTCCTGCTTTTTTTACATGAGTCTCTCTACAAAGTATAAAATATGAAAATCAATCATTAGAAAAAAAAAGGTCGGGGTTTTTGACGACAATCTTGGCGCAATTGAGGGGAACAGCATGACCTGAAGAGTCAATATTAATCTTTGCTCACTTTACTGACTCTTTCCTCTAAAGTATTGACTATGAAACTCGCTTTCATAAATGGCTCGCAATATTCCCTGTCTATGTAAAGCACTTAAGTTACTGTAGGAAATAGTCTGTCAGCAAGCTGTATCTGATATCATACTTATACTACAATTTATAGTTTGTAAACAACGGCGAAGAAAATGTGAAAAGTTGGAGGAAGCAAACACTTGTAAACGATGTCGTGAACAGAATCGAAAATGCATAATACCAAAGCATGATTCAGACGATGAGCAACTACATAACAATGATATGCATTTACAGTCATTGTATGAGCAAGTAAAGCAGCTGGAGAAACAGTTAGCATCACTGGATTTAACCTTGAAATCGCAGCAAAAGCTCATCTCAGGTAGAGGGCAGAATGACGAGCCTTGTTGGGAATTGGAAATGATAAATGGACAGCTTCGCTTAAAATCAAAGATTTCAACTCTGGAAGAGCTTTTGCTGTACGGGAAAGCCTTCTTTCGTTACCTATCACCATTTGGAAACACGTTCCACAATACATCAATGGCTTTTGACAGAATTTACCCCAGTTTTTTACAAACGGCCATCCAGTTGTTAACCAAATACGGTATAGGACACGAAGTAAACTCATTACAACAGCAGCAGCAAACCCAGGCGTATAAATCTATTCTAACGTCCAGTTCTGTTGTTAAGAATGGGCGGTTTTCGGGAAACAACTCTCTGCGCTTTGTTCAACCGCACCTAGTCATGGATCAACTTGTGAACAACTATTTCGCTTGCTTCAATGACTCCATTCCCATATTACATGAACCTAGTTTTCGTAAACATTATGTTAGCTTAAAAGACCCCATGGATGATCCTGTTGTATTGGCTGTTTGTGCAGCCGCTTCTATCTCAACTTGCAGGCATAGTATTTTTTACAATATGTTTGAAAGGAGATACATCGGTGAACATTTTTTCAAATTGGCTTTGGAGAAGCTGTTGGAAATGTTCGATGAACCAGAACATGCTCTGGAAACAGTACTTGTTATCAATATATTGCAGATTTTTATGGTTGCCACTCTACGTTTAAACGAAAGCAGAAAATGGGCATCTATAGCTAGCGTCTTATGCTGCAACTTACAGCAAGAATATGTTCATGATATCAATGACAATGAGAATAAGGAAGCGAAGTATTTAGCTAGAGTGAGAAGTGCTATCATTCATAGAAACAGTGTCTTAGTGCACTGCTGTAAGGCTCTCATTGAATTTTTGCTTGGAGAAAACCTTAATCCGGTTCCCAAAAGAATATGTCCGTTTGATATCTTGCCGGATGAGCCTCAAAAGTTGAAAGATCTTATTGTCATTATGAATCTTTTATTTAAGCTTGCCTTTAATCCTGCTTTTCTTATTGTTATGGTTCAAGCAAGAAATATATCAGCAGGCGATACAGCAACACTTACATTCGAGGATATTATACGGTACGAGGATTTAGTATTAGATTGGTGGCACAGCTTACCGGAAGAATTCAAAATTTGTAAAGAGCCCTACAATCTAACAAAAGATATTATCCAACAAACAATTGATTACCGTAAAATTCTTCCAGCTGTTTACGTGTATGGAGTTACAATGTCTATTCAAGCATGTCTCATTCAACCTAAACCAGCGAAGAATCTGGAACATGTCCATTCCATTATTCGAGAAAGAGCAATCAATATGGTTATGCATGCAGCTGAAATGACTCTGCAATTGTCAAAGCAAATGGAAGCCTTAGGAGTATACTGTTACTGTAAGTCTAAGTTAATGCAACCAAAAGGAATAGTATTTTGATAATTCTATGTACATTTGGTATGATAAATTAGCTCCTGAGAAAATCATCGTTCGATCTATTGATTGCCTCGTCAATCTGGCCAATATACCCAATGAATCTTTGTCTAGAAAGGCGAAACTGAAGCTTCGTGAGCATATGCATGCGTTGAGCAGAGTGGTTCCAGCAGAACACCAAGTCTCGCCTGACGTTTCCCCTTACTCTTTGTTGACAATTACCCCTCCTGATTCGGCACCTGATGTTTTTGAATTGTACAAAAATTATCCGTTACCAGCTGAAGCGCTTATGTTTGATGTGGTTCGAACAACTGTAGCTAAAAACATAAATGAAAGCAATGCTGCTAATTAAAGTTCTCATTGAGAATTTATTTGAGAATATACAAAAAAATGCAGTTAATAAACACCTGTAAGAGATTCGCACTATAACTTTTTCTAATTTTGCGTAATTGGAGTGTATTTATAAAGATTTATGCTTATAGCGTTTAGTAGTGTAATATTGCTGCTTGAGTCGTTATTTAATTAATTAGAAGGAAAGATTTAAGTCTTTAAAAACCTGGTAAGAAAACTGGGGAGAGATTTATTCTTCCCGTTGCATTGACAGCAATTACGCACAATTTCGGGACATTGATCATGACAGTTTATACAGTGGAACTGCAATATCTGATAATAAGAAGGGCTACGATCTAGATAGCGAGTGGCATACTAGATCGATGCTCACCAAATATTGTCATTCGTTATGTAAACGTTTGTCTATTTGATCTTGCTTGCGTTTTGTGCACACTTTGCATCAAGTCATTCAAATTGGCGGCATAAAAACCAGGCCCATATACTCTTCATCAGCAAGCTAGTCGTTGTATTTTACTACTTCGTTCTCGGTAATTCGAACTTTGCTACGATTGCAAGAAAGATACTACAAATAAATGACTATTCAGATTGATTGAAAGGGAGTCAAACAGCAAGATTCAGGGACGAACTTCATTTTGTAGATTGCAAAATACAAAAAGGAGTCGTACCGACTTTTATAGAAAGAGAAGGGAGACTTAGTATATATTTGCGCACTAATTATAGGCAAAAAAGAGATGATTCACTTTCTTTTCTTCTATCTTGAAATTTGAATATAATTGTTTACAACTCGACCAAAAATTTTGCATTGCTCCAAGGAACAAGGAAAAAGCATCTCACATACATCTTTACGCACGCATATAATACAAAAAAATGACAATCAGTGCCTCAATAAAAGATAGTATTAATACTGATGACCTTACCAATGTAGAAGGCGTGTCAGAAGAATTAATAGCAAATATCCTTCGAGATCGTTTTCTAAAAAACCAAATATACACTCGCATTCGACACTCTACCCTCGTCATGATAAATCCCTACAAGGATTCTCGCTCAGAAATTCAAGAAACTAGTGAAGAATATCTTTTGGAGTACAAAGATACAAAATCAAAGAAGGAAGATGAATTATTGCCAGCCCATATATTTCAGCATGTCAACCAAGCCTATTTTCATATGAGACGTACTGGTAGCGATCAATCGATCATTTTAAGGTATTTCATGACATATGCAACATATTTCCCAGATGAAAGCCGCAACTTCATAGCATATGCTAATTGCTCCTTTTTATTCTTCTTTAATCAATTGTGAAAAATAGTGGCCTATGTGGAAGTGGAAAATCAGAAATGCATCAATGGATATTGTATCACTTAGTGACGTTGAGTAACTCGAAAAAACCATCCAAAATACAACAAATGGTTCAAAAAGCATATGGTATTGTAGAGGCATTTGGACATGCAAAGACGACAGTCAATGAAAATGCATCCGGTTTCGGAAAACATTACGAAGTTCAATTCAATGAAAGAGGTAGAATGATCGGTGCGAAGTTTTTGAACTACTTGTTGGAAAAATCAAGAATTGCCCACCTCAGTGGCGATGAACGAAATTATCATGTTTTCTACTATGTGCTACATGGTGCAACAGCTGAAGAGAAAGCTTTACTACATTTAAGTGATTCCATTGTATATCCGTATCTGTTTACATCAAAAGACGCTATGCGGTTAGCAGCCGGACTGGCTTTAGAGCATAAGGAAAAATACTATGAGCTTAAGCTATTGCTAAAGTCACTAGGTATGAGCAGAAAAACAATATTCCAAATTGCACAAATAATTGCAGCCATCATACACCTTGGAAGTATTCAGTTCGTAGACGATGCGTCTAGCACGCAAGATTCAGCTACAGTGAAAGATACGAATGAATTAGAAATCGCTGCTGAACTGTTGGGAGTCGAAGTCAAAGCCTTAGAAATATGTCTGACGTATCAAACAAAACTGATCAAGCGTGATCTTACGACAATATTTCTAAACGCAGAACAAGCGTCAGCCCAACGAGATGCACTTGCTGAAACACTTTATTGTTTGCTCTTTACCTGGATCACTGAGAATATCAACAAAAAATTATGTAAATCAGAATGTCAGAATTACATTAGCATTGTCGACTTTCCAGGAACATTACCTGCTGTACAAAATGCTTCTTATGATCAATTCGCTTTTATATACGCAAATGAACGAATTCATAATTTCATGCTACATAGCCTGTTTGAAAGAAATACAGAAGTGTATATTAGCTTAGAGATACCGATTCCCAGTCAACCAACTGTTGTATACAACGATAATTGTGTGCAGTTATTAGATGCTTCTGAGAATAGCTTGGTCAACGTCCTCTCTCATGAAGACCCGATACCTGTAGTGCAACGCCATACCCATTGGGTGGAGACTTTAGAGAAGCTGCATAACGGAAGTAGCCATTTTGGTTCAAAGTCATCGCCCAATGGAAAAGAAACATTATTTGCCATCGAACATTTTACGGGCACCATAACTTATTCAGCTACAGAATTTTTCAACCGTAGAATAGACACACTTTCTACTGATTTTACCTCTTTGTTTGCACCAACGCATAGTACGACAGAACTGCCTTCCAACAGCCTTGTCACCAAAATATTCAAGCAAAAATCCACCAAAGTTAATCCTCCTTCATTAAACAATATCACTACCGCTACTGCGAAAGATACTACCGTAATAAACCAACAGTTGTCATCAAGCATAGTAACCTCAGTAAGCGAACAGCAAAAAGGCACTACTACTACAGATGCAAATATTGCTTCTTCACTGATACCTGTAGTATTAGACGAACAACAGCAGCAGAAAAATCAGCAACAAGAATGTTTATATTTTACAGGAATAAAAGATATGAGCAAGCATGTAAACGATATCGTTTTGAGGCTCCATTCCACAAAGCCGTGGTTTGTCGTTTGCCTGCGATCAAATGATTTACTATTACCCAATTCTTGCGATGCAAAGAAATTGATAGCACAGATCAAAACTTTCGATATATTATCAATTATTAAGCGAGCAAAATACGAGTACACAATTGACCTGGATATACTGGAATTCTGCGATAGATACGAAAATGTGATCAATGCTACTTCTGTGGATTTGGATGCTGATCCGAAAGCTAAATTATCTGCATTGAAAGATACTTACGGATGGGATAAAAGCATGATGACCCTATCCGAAGAAAAGGTATGTCGAAAACAAATTCATATTTTTTATCTTCATCTATTTAAGAAATCACTCATTGTTTCAAAATACAATCTAAAGGTATATCTGACCGAATTATCTTGGAACTGCTTGGAAAACCAACTGCGTGCAATTGAGAAAAGAGAACAGAGAAGAGCAAGATGCATTGCCAAAGGAATTCCATTTGGTATGTACATCCGATATTGACTAATGACATTAGAATCATGATTAATTAGACTAATGGGTAATTATACAGAGGAAGATACAGAAGCTATGAGCCAAATGTTTTTACATTTATCGGGTAGTGGATCAATGATGGAAGCTGCTTCAATTTGTTCTGAGGATTATGACAATGGATACGATGTGGAAGACTTGAACTCCATATGCTCACATCAATGCGACAGCACTGTTCACTCATTAAGCACTTCGGATAACAAACAACGTCAACGCCAACAGCAACCAACACATTTACTATTAAATGACGAGAATACTGTCCATGTGAAAGGGACACAGAAGCACCAAACGCAGCAAACTTTGGCTGAAAAGACGAGTCGGTCACGAAAACTATGGGTCATTTTGACTTGGCTAACGACGTGGTGGATACCAAGTTTCATTATGCATTATCTATGCGGTATGCGGCGGTCTGATATAAGAATGGCCTGGAGAGAAAAAGTGACCTTGTGCGGCCTTATTTTTTTAATATGCGCTGCTATGATTTGGTTTATCGCTTTTTTTGGTCAGCTTGTCTGCCCCCATCAGGATTTATTTACTCAATCTGAACTTCAAGCCAAAAGTAATAGAGATAACGCATATGTGACTATTCGTGGTGAAGTATTTGACCTAACATCTTTTGCACCGAGACATTGGGCATCTGAAGTGATTCCAACGGGTGTTATCTTTCAGTACGCTGGTCAAGACGCCAGTGACCTCTTTCCTATTCAAGTTTCAGCCCTTTGTGATGGCGTGAACGGCTTTGTACCTAAAGAGGTTACACTGGATGCGCACATAAATATCACTGATTCAAATGCAGCCTACCACGATTTCAGAAGTTTTCGTGACGATTATCGACCGGACTGGTATTATGAACAAATGGTTTATCTAAGAAGAAACTATCGTATTGGCTTCATGGGGTATGATCCTATTGATATTAAGAACCAAGCAGTTAATCCGGTACAGATGGGTGGTATAAGCACTCAGAGACTATGGGCCATTATTCATAACAACGTCTACGATTTAACTTCATATTTAATGGGAGGCCGTTCTTCGCGTGTAGCTGACGGACAAGTACTTTCAACTGAAATTGACTTGGATTTTATGGATAACTCAATCTCAGAACTGTTTCGACAATTGGCTGGAACAGATATCTCGGCTCATTTCGACGCTTTACCATTAGATAAATTGGTGAGAGAACGGCAGCTGACATGCTTACGTAACTTGTTTTTCGTTGGAATGGTCGATACTCGCAACTCATTCCAGTGCTTGCTCTCTGAATATTTGCTGCTTTTGATTACAGGATTTCTCTGTAGTGTTATATTGTTTAAATTCCTGGCTGCGCTACGGATAGGTTCTCAACCGAAATCAGTGCAGCATGACAAATTTATCATTTGTCAAGTCCCTTGCTATACCGAAGGTGAAGAATCGTTGCGGAAGACAATCAATTCATTAACAGTCCTCAAATACGACGATAAACGCAAACTATTGTTCTTAATTGCAGACGGTATGATTGTTGGAAGCGGCAATGATAGATCAACTCCTCGTATTGTATTAGACATTTTGGGTGTGGACCCGAACATTGATCCAGAGCCAAAGTCATTTATATCCCTTGGGGAAGGACAGAAGCAGCATAATATGGGTAAAGTTTATTCGGGCCTCTATGAATACTCAGGACATGTCGTACCTTTTGTGGTTGTTGTAAAAGTAGGCACAGCGCAAGAAAGACAGAAGCCCGGAAATCGGGGTAAAAGAGACTCACAGATGGTGTTGATGCGTTTCCTTAATAAGGTCCACTTTGATTCACCAATGACACCGTTGGAGCTTGAAATTCATCATCAAATAAAGAATGTTATTGGTGTTAATCCGGAATTCTACGAATTTGTACTCATGGTGGATGCTGACACAGAAGTCTTGCCTACTTCTTTGAACAAAATGGTAGCATGCTTTGTTAATGATTCGAAGATTGTTGGTTTATGTGGCGAAACTATGTTATCCAATGAAAAGGATACCTGGGTTACTATGATACAAGTATATGAATACTACATATCGCATCATCTAGCTAAGGCGTTTGAATCTCTGTTTGGTTCAGTTACTTGTCTACCAGGATGCTTCTGCATGTATCGGGTTCGGTCATCCAAAAGAAATCAGCCACTGTTGGTCTCCAATGAGGTAATATCTGATTATGCAGAGAACAACGTCAATACACTCCACAAGAAGAACCTATTACATTTGGGCGAGGACCGATACCTTACCACGCTAATCTTAAAACATTTCCCAAATTATAAAACAAAATTCACACCGGACGCTGCTTGTATGACGAATGCTCCAGACCAATGGCCTATTTTATTGTCTCAACGCCGTAGATGGATCAATTCAACTGTTCATAACCTTGGAGAGCTAATGTTTCTACCTCAACTTTGCGGATTTTGTTGCTTTTCGATGCGCTTCGTGGTAATGTTGGATTTATTGAGTACCTTGGTCATGCCTGCTGTTGTCTGCTATCTTGGCTATCTGATATACCAACTTTGCACAAATACAAACCAGGTTCCACTTATGTCGATTGTTACACTTGCAGGTGTATATGGCTTACAAGCCTTCATTTTTATATTGAGACGAAAAGTAAGTAGAAACTGGGAAATGAACATGTCTGATAGTAAAAGCATTCTCTAAGTTAAATTTAAACAGTGGGAGCATGTAGGCTGGATGATAGTCTATATCTTGGCAATCCCGGTTTTCTCTTTCTACATTCCTATCTATGCGTTCTGGCATTTTGACGATTTTTCGTGGGGCAACACTCGTATTGTCGTTGGTGAGAAAGGCCAAAAGAAAGCTATGGGGGCTGACGAAGGGGTCTTCGATTCTGAAAGCATCACAATGAAGCGCTGGTCTGAGCATGAACAAGCACTTACTGAAGAATGGCGAAATAAAGATAAATATCCTTGCCAAGAATCAGAGTGTTCATGTGAAGTAGATGAATATGATAATCATTCACATGTGCCAAGACGAACGCATCACTGCTGCTCCCAACTCTCCTCATCTACCGACGGTTGCTCCCACGAAGGCGCATTTGTGGAAGATGCAACTTGGTCCGTGTACAGTGGTATGACGATCGATCATTCGAGCTATTCTTACCAAAACGGACGTAATTCCGAGCATACATTTTCGGGTTAACCCACGTAATTGCCTTTACTGAAAGCTGTTAGGGCCGCGGAAGACATCCAAACAAGTAGACAGAATTTTTAACAATTCATTGCTTATCTCTGTAAAATCTTCCTTTGTACATACATCGTATAATATACCACTTATTGAATCTATCTAAACATTTTGACCAACTTTATTATAATACATTGATTTCTAAGCCTAATTTATAGAAGCAAAAAGTGTTAAATGTTCCTTACTATAGTATGCTAAAATAAAGTATGTATACCATATTCATACTAATCTTTTGCAATCCATAAAAACTTATGTATGTATAAATACTTTCTATCACCCCCCTGACAGCGTCTTGAATGCTCAAAAGAACTAGAACTACCAGTTAGTCATTATTTGTTTATATTTTCCCAAATTGCGTATATTCAATACTTCGATAAATAAAAATAATGTCGGAAAGCTGACGGGATCGGAATAGTTCACATGTAATATTGTGCGAAGTATTAGTTTTTGATAGCAGAAATTCTGCCTTTTATTTAAATCGCTGCCATGCTATGATCTTTCATGTGTTAGCACAAAACGCTGGATCTTTTTTGCAGTTCACCTCATCAATCACTTTGATACTTCCCTTTCTAATGTAAACCAAAAATGATACATTTGTGGCAGCTTCTAACATGCTATATGAATAAAGCATTGTTGTATTACCATCTTTAGCGGTCTTTGGTCAAACATGATAAGCTGTTGGAGGTCAAGAATCTGTACGGTTGCTTGCTAGAATCCAGGTAGATGTGGCACTATGATAGGCAGTACATTACTTCAACTTTATGTGCAACACGATGGATGTTTTGAAAAATATGAGCAATTTAAGGGACACTATGTTGTGATTGACATTGTACTTATCCACAAAAAAATGGTGATATTGAAAAAGAGATCAAGAGGCGCAGTTAACGTCTGCTTGTATCTTTCACCTTGTTCTCCTGAACGATATCCCATCGAGCAGCTTTGGTCTGTTTACAAAAGCAAAATGAAACCAGAACAGCTGTTGTAAGAAGAGACATTGTCCTCAAGAATACATGATGTATGCAATAATATTCTTCTGAATGACCTTCAAAATTTTTGTAGATACTCCGTCAATGATTGCTTGAATATTTTTTGACGGTGCAAAAAGCACATGTCACTTGGCACGTTCTTTTTCTTTAACTTTTGAGACATTGTATGGCCCTAGCCTACTCCAAATACATGGTAAATATTTCTTCTTTATTTCATCCAAATTATCAAGTATAATGCATAGTTTAGGGGAAAGGAGGGGAGGGAGAGATAGTACATAGAGAGGATAATGAAGGAAAAGAAGCCAAAAGATATTATGATCCAAATCGTAATGAACATAAACGACGTCGATCTTTGGATATATCAATCAATGAATGCAACGAAGGATGTGTGGCACGACCATTTGCTTTAATCAGCTCTTCGTTGTCGCATGGTTTGAATAATCGCCAAAATACATCAGTGACTTTGAGCAGCATCTTCAAATTTTTCATGCTGATGAAAGTAGCTAATTCTTCAACCGATCGAGGAAACGTCATATGGGCTATTTCTTGCATGATATAGATGCCATCGTGTCGTAAACGGGTGAAGATAAGAGTAACGCTAAAACCTATTACAAGAAAATAAAGGGGTTCTTTAAATATTTATTCTTTCTTCCATTTTCCTTTGCTTACCATGTATTTGGAATGATAAAGATGCGTTCAACTTGTTTTCGTCAATCGTATCTTTTGCAAAAGTGGCCAAACGTGTCAAGTCGAGGCAAAGCATGTATTTATCGCATGTTGGTTGAGCCACTTTTTGCCTTGCCAAATCCAAGGCTTGGTCCAAAAGACATTTGCGTAACTTGCTGATAGTTGCATCTGGTCTCTTATCTCCGGTTGCATCACAAGTGACGTTTGCCCAACGTAGAAGTACATTTTCATCTGAGTTGGCCAAAATGTTAGCAAGGATGGGATCAAAGTATGTAGTCAGAAGTTCTCCTTCCCCAATGGTTGTTTAATTTGTTATCATTGATCGAGCAATTGAGTGATTCAAAAGAAAATTAAGACCGCCAGAATACTTATACGTAAAATTAGTTTCGCAGCTGTTCTAAGAACCTAGAAGAGGAAGTTTTCCATTACTACAGACATTACATAGTAATCATTGTTTCTTGTAATGCTTTAAGAGAGTTTAAAATGGTGGTGGGTTGGTTTATTCAATTGCAGCTTGTATCATAATGCATAAAGTTTATCCGAAAAATAACAGAAATAGTTTAAGAAAAAGCAGGAAAAAAGAAAATAATATCTAAAAATAAAATCTTTATCTGAGACCATAAAAGTTAAAAGATATCTCAAAAACTTTATAAAAAGTAAAAAATTTATCTCAAATTTTGTGTTTTACAATCTCAAAAAGTGTGTATCAAATAGCTTTTACCTGCCTTAAGGCAAGAAAAATGAACTATCGTTCTCACATATAAACGAATATACAGATTTCAATATAATTCAAAAAATATATACTTATATATGTTATAAAACTGTAGAAGCTTTTAAACTACAGAAAAGTACCATTTTTATGCTTTTTTTTGGAGGACCAAACCGACCAAACACAATCAAGTTGATTGAAAAAATGCAAGGACCGGGCAATTAAATTTATAAGTAGTTGATTAAGCGAGGCGTCGGTACCTTTCCGCCGATCAGTCTTTATTCATGAACTCCGCTTCAAATAGTTTTGGCGAAACAATACGTTTAAACGAAAGATTTTATTACATAATATTAATTTTTTAAAGCCCAATGGACACGAGATATTTAAACTTATCTAAATTGCCCGGGGCAGCTCCAAAGGCTGAAAAGAATCTAAAAACCCCTTAGGGCTCAAGGGTAAAAAGGATTATGTACTAAAGGATTGTGGGAGGGGAAGAGGGTAACCAGTCGAGCAATAGATGCCCTAACAGAGGAGAGTGGTGTAAGTAGTCGAGTTCGAACAAAATGTGACAAAGTGCTGGCCATACAAAATGCCAGTTTTGTATTTGGGATGGGTTGTTGATCGGATGTGTAGGAAGACGGTTGAGGACATAGGATATGGGATCACAGACTGATGTGGGGAGTCGTAGGCGGTGGTGGCGAAACAATACAGTATTTTACTTTATATTTTAGACGATTTACAATTTTTAATGGACAGTATACATTTTAATTTTAGATTTATTAAAAAATATTTTTAGAAAAGTCCATAGTATTTTGGATATTTGGATACTCAATTACTCAGTGATATTCAAGCAGCATTAAGGATGACATACAATCGAACCCTAGAAATTAGTCTCTATCAGTAATAAAGTCGCCAATAATGGTTTTATTGATGTTATCTTGCAATAGGACAGACTACAAAAAGCTTGACAACTTTTTTATCAAATGACGATGTGTTCCGCGAATAACCGGATATTTGTCGGTGCCTTTTTTGTACAAGAGTTCCAAGAAAGGTCAACTTTGAATTGATTGACATCAAACCATTGATAGAGGGCTGAGGGTCATAGTATAGCAGATACCATAGCGGAATGGAATGGTTATATTATCTGTTGTCAATGTTTTTGTGTGCGTTCATGGGTGACTTTCAAAGATAAGCACTATAAAATATATTGCTTTCTTATACTCAAATGTTGTCTCTTTCGCTTTTATTTCATGTTTTATGATACATACTATGACCCATGTTCAAAACAATAATTTTTGAAAAGAAAAAGCAAATTTTTGAAAAGAAAAAATCAAGTGCTGTTCATGGTAAATTGCCTTTTGAAAGCCTATCTACCTAATCATATATATACGTATAGATTAATCATCGTGTACTGTTAGATGTAACATGCATTGATTGCGGTGAAGGGGATCATTACACCCAACAATACTTAAAATGTGAATTGTATAAGACAGAAACTGCAGATCAAGGTAAGGAGCTCATGTGGCTTTGAAGTTGTTAAACTTATCGATAATAAGAGACTTTAATGTACCTATAGTTGGTTCGAAAGGCAGAAAAAGCAAACAGAACTTTGAAATCAAGAAGGAAAAGAAGAAAGCAAGGAAAGACAATAATGAAGGCCCAGATGAAGGTAATGCGTGTTGTACCAAATGCAAGCAACCAGGACGTAAATCGATGCGTTAAGAAGTGGAGGGCTGATAAGTACTCAGGATTCCCTAGAAGGGTACCACTGATCGTGTTTGGTGCTGGAATGTTTGAAAAAGATGTAGTCAAGCTGAAAGGGCAAAGATGCGGTGTTGTCGGTAAACTTTTTGCCACTCTGAAGAAACGTGAAGCTAAAGGTCAATTGATGGTTGTCACAATCGATGAATTTAAAACCTCTAAAACATGCAGCCTTCGTTTCTATGGATACTCCTGGATTCAAGGGTACCGGCGTTCTTCATTGGAAGCAATGTCTAAAGCTATGACAGAGAGACATTAACGCCGCTATCAACATGATGACTATATCCCAAGCAGTTTGGTCCGGAGCTAGAAGACCTGACGTTTTCAAGCCAGCGAAGAAGAAAAAAGTATCGCCGTAATAAGCACGGTTTTCCTTATATTTTTAAGGATTTAGATCATTACAGGTGAGGAATAGTACCGTTTTTTTTTTTATTTCGCACTACTGACAAGTTTTTTTAATTGGAATCATTGCTTGAACGGTTTATATTTTCGTCTACAACACAATTGCAACTTGTTTAAAATAAAAATATTAATCGTCCAAAAAAAAAGTATTTCATCTAAAATATTAGTTAAAATACTGTAAGCGGCATTAAAGTAAGATCCCGAACCGCGCCCAAAGTCTTAGCCTACCAATTATAATGATTTAGTTTAGCCCCCTCCCCCTCCCCCATTAGATAGTATGCTTTTTCGCCCACCACGGCACCCTGACCGACACTATGCCTCGCTCTATTCTCAACTCGAGCTGCCCCGGGCAATTTTCTGATATGTAGTTTATCTGTGTGCCCATTGGGTTAAAAATTATTTAATAAAAATCATGTTTAATCGTAAACGGCATTAAAAGGATTTTAAGAAATATACTACGATTAAACAGAAACGGGTTGCTGTAAAATTTGCACAGCGTCATTTATCGACAATATTCTTTAGCGCTCAAATTCAAAAAAATAATCAAGCCCCACGATTTTACAAGAATGATTTTAGCATTGTATTTCCAGAATTTGCTTGATCCTGCTTAACTATTAGCAGTTACAAAACCGAGCCCAACACAGATGTAATTCGCATGATGTATTGATCGGCACACGAAGGAAGGCTTCATTTCTTACAAGAAAATCTGAAAAAGTTTACAATATCCCAAACGAAAAAAACACAACAGCATTGCGAACAGATTTTACATAGTTAAGTCTTATCAAAAGACTTGGCAAGGTTTATTGCTATGTATTAACAGGAGCCGGCCTGAAAATAAACGGAGAAGAGCATCAAGCTTCTTCATTTACAGAAATCAATGAGTTTTCTACCAGAGAACTTGTATTTGTTGATCAGTTCCAAGACCAAGAGATAGGAACTCTTCCATTTTCCAAGTCAGCGATCTTTTCAAAAGCGGCTGGAGACAAATCAACATCACCGTGTCCACAGGCGGGGCATGTATCAACAACCTTAACTTTTACGCTACCATTTGGTCCGTGTACGGTAATAGAACGACCACAATTGGGGTTTCTATTTGGGTTACCACCATTTCTCATTTGCTCATGATTGATGGCAGCAGCCATATCATCATCGTCGTTTTCCCAGCCACAAGAGCCCAGACCTAGGTTGTAATAAGTACCATCGCCAGTATAAGTACCCGTTTTCTTGTGAGATTTTTTGTGAGGTTTCTTTTTGAAATTTTTGATAGCTGGTTTGATCAATGATTCCACAGTTTTGAGATCAATATCGTTGGTAGTAGAAGCGGCAGGTGCAGCTGATACATACAGACAAACAGCTAAGGCGATTAAAGCGGTAATAATGTTACGAGAAATGGAAAACATATTGCTGATCGATGCTGATTATGAACTAGAAGTGGAACAGATCTACTCGACTGTAGAAGAAAGAAAGAATACTTAATTAATGGAACATTAAATTCTTGTTCTTTTATACATACACGCCTACTTATCGCGTGTCGTAAATTGAGGTGCAAAGAAAATGTTCAAGTCAAACTTTTTCAAGGTCCTCCAATACGAAACAATTTCCTCAAAAAGCTGACATGAAACAAAGGGACCCGATTCTCTTTAACATGAGTTGCTTCGGCCCTGGAATAGAGCGACAGGAACATATGGTCTAACTACCACGCCCTGCTGATTCATCCTTATGAATTAGAAGCGATACAAGACAGTACTCGTTGAATGTTAGAATAGTTTCTAGTAGTATTTGTTTTACCATGTATTTTGCATTTTTCTCACAAATGCAATTTCCTATCTCTACATCCTGCTACTGCTGAATTTCAAGCTCCCTTTCAGCTGGCGCAAGTACAAAAGACGACCGTTTTGAATATTGCAGTAGTAGGTGAACAAAAAAGCCCAACCAATTTCCCAGCAATCATTTTATTCCAAAAAATTTAATAAGCAAATTAGTTTAGTACAATATTGACTCTATATATACTATATACATAAATTAAGCACGACTGAATAACCGTCGTGAAAACGTAATCAAATGATCGACAAGCATATCCCAGAAGCTGGCCACTCTATTCTTTGCAGCTATCAAATTTGCGGCTGTTCAAAATCGTGAAGTATTCTTCCTACCAAATAATGATCCTCCCTGACGGTTTGACTCCAACTTTTACCGAGCTTAAAGAATCCATAACCAATATAGAAACTGACAAATAACATAAGCGTCAAAGGGTAGATGGTCTGTACATATCTAACCTGACTTTCTATGTCATGTTCTATTTTGATTTAAAAATAGCAACAAGGAAGCAAAAGTGTTTAAGCAATGTGTTTGAGTTAGAACATGGGAAGTGCAAAAAAAGGCAATGTGACAGCACCCTGACTACATTATTTTTAATTTTTATTTTGCCTTACCTGAGCATTTGTTTCTAGCAATCACTATTGAGTACGGTAAAAATATGGCTGCTAAACAGACAAGTATGATTGGTGCGAACAGTTCTTTGAATTCTTTTTTCAATTCGAGATGCGAGACACCGTTCCCCTGAAACTGGAGCAAAATTGTTTTAGTTTTGTGATAAAAACTCTGCCACACTGATATTCATCTTTACTCTATTTAAAGCTGTACTTAAGCCGTTTGCCGGTGCTATTGATAGTAGACCATGTAATAATGCGAGACAAGCAATTCCATTCATCCAAACAAAGAATACATTTAATGTGGGTATTTGATCACCCCAGTTCTGCAATGGTATAATTATATACAGTTGAAAGACGATGCCCAATAAACTGGGAAGAATAACTCCCAGTAACAACGATATAACGGCGAAGTTGAATAACTATTGAATAACATGCATCAGTGAAAAGTAAAATAAGAACTTCCCTTTTCGAAGTTACCCATTGAATACACCTATATATAGTTTCTGATCCGCCTAGATCATCTGACAATACAAATTGCTTGACTTTCTTGACTGAGTATCCAATGAGGATGATTGCATTCACGCCAAAGAAGTACGCATAAATATCATGTATTTTTCGATCTGATTCAGCTACAATACCGATATAAACAAAAAGCCATCTTCCTATTGCAATTGGGCCCACGAAAAAATAGCATAATAGGGCACTCCAAGACACCCACATTACTGCTATGAAAACAGTAATTCTGAATTTAAAATAAGGAGGCAGATAGATGATGGTTGTGTTGGCTTCTTCCTCTTCCTTGTTTTTGGCTGCAGGATGACCTAACTCTCTTTCCAAAGGGTCCAGTGCTTCGAATGAAACAGGGTCCACTGGAACGAGCATTCGACGGCCGGGCACAAAACGAACACCATCATGCTTCGGGGCGCGGACGAGTTGGCCAGTGTTGACAAAGACAGCATCGTCTGTTTCCTCGAACGCACCAATCGTGTCAATAAACTTCAATTTTGGTCGTTGTATAAGCCAGGCACGCCATGTCTTGTAATGAATATGTCCTTCTTCTTCTGTAGGTCGATCACCCAACATGAAAGAGGTTAATCGAAGTCGACGGCATAACCAAGTTGTCCATTGAATCATAATGCTTTCGATGAGCTTTTTAGGATCAAAATAGCCAATCATAGATGGAATCACTATCATAACGATAAGTAGATCAAATGGAATAATGAGCAATGGTTGTCTATAATTTTAATGGAGAGAAAGTCTAGTTAAACATTTATGATATTTGCCTCTACACAGTTTACTAATAATAGACTTACGTATAGCTCCATTTTAAAGGTAAAATATCCTCAAATATGGCACCTATGGCGGCTACTAAACCGCCTACGCCAACTTCAATGATGAAACCATATAAGACAGCGCTAGCACCTATCTTCTTTAACTGCGCCCAGACCGGTCTTTCTACTAACTCCTTGATTGGATTGAATTGAGGATCATTAGGGTCACGAATGAACCAAAGGATGCCCGGCCGTACTACTTCTCTACAAAACGTCACCATATTCGTAAAAATAAACATAAATCCAGTGCCTACTACCCAGTGTATAAACATGGAACTAGTCAAGTTCTCTTTCAAAAACGTCATTCTTCGATGAATAGCCAACAGATGTCCAGCAGCCCCTGCTCGGTCATCAATAGTATAGAAAAGAGACAGCGATACGCAGTCAAGCAGCACACCACAGCACAAGGGGAAAATTGTAATTTCAATTAACATGAAAAAAGACACCTTGAGGAAAATACCCAACTGTTCAATCACAGTGCGTGCCGTACGGCTTATTCGCGCATAAGCGCTCCGTGTCTGGGACAGATAAAGCGATCCAAAGATGCACAGTATAAGATAGCCTGTGGAGATACAACCTACTCGATCGAAGACAGTATCGCCTGCTGGCATCCGCACGTAATCTTTAGAGAAAGATAGGAGTAACGGACTAATGAAATTCCAGACGGTAATTACATCGTCCCATAACGAAGGTCTATGTGTATGTACAGAGGCGGGATCCATTAACAAAATTTCTGGTGCTGTAGATGAAATAGTGCTATTTAGCAAGTATGCTTTGTAATCGTCAGCTTTGTTGATTGTGAAGAATCTAAACAAATTATTTCCTATTTGAGTGGAAGTTATGACAATTGCACGGACAATCACCGGTGACCAATCTGGTAGTTGTTGTTCTATAGGTTGCACTTGTGAGAAAACTTTCATCCAATAATGATATAGATAGCTCGAAAATGTATATGCAAACGAATACAATTGACTAAAAAGTAAATGAAGTACAGTCCAAGGACGTATCTAATAATAGGTATGTGGAGAAGAATTAGTTGTAGAGCAAACACAATCGTATTTCGGAAATGCAAGTATTTACTGTGATAAACAAAACACCAAGAATATAAGGAAGCCAAACGCCAACGCCTAAGCATACACTCATAAGCAGGAGCATTAGACCTGAATTTTGGAATAATATGTAAAATCGTCCTCTCATGCCAACTGCCTCCAATATACCAATTGCATCGTCTGGTCCGTTTGGAGCTGCTATTGCTGCTGCAGGAGGCTGGAGTTCCATTTCTTCATTGTTGTTATTGTCATTTTCAGCAGCATTTGATTGATTATTCTGGTCCAAACTGTCTGTTTGCCCATGGACTGTACTTCCATCGGTTTCATCATCGTCGTGGAGAAAAATCCTCGACCGCCGTTGGTATTTCTGATATTGGTTTCTATCCGATTCCATACTCTTCATGGCTGCGGATGTGGATGCAGTTGCGTTGGCTTGGGACTCACGCCGAATACGCTTAATGATATCATCCATACTATCCCGCCGGAATGGTGGTAGGTTGTCTTCTCCTACGCTGTTATTAAAAAAGTCCTCGTCGTCATCCTCAAAATTAATTTCTTCAACGTCATCAAAGGTTGGGTCCATATCTAATAAATGTCGTTCAACTTGCTGTGATATAGATGTATGTGATTCATATGCATTATGGTTAGTGATAGTCTTGCTCCGGTCAATATTGTCGTAAGACCACATCGCTTGGATATTCTCATAATCAGATGGCTCTATCTGGAAAACTGGTTTCTGTCTACTATTTGCTCTTCTCTGAACACTTTCGTGCTCTGATAAATAAGTTTCAGCCATACCATTGACATTATTATTCAAAGCATCAGTTTGTTTCTGCTGCTGCTGCTGCTGCTGCTGCTGCTGCTGCTGGTTAGTAATCATACTATTGGCAATAGGCGGCTGTACAGGCTGTAGTTGGTCCTGTTGATTTTCGTCACGCTGGGGCATTATTAAATTATCTGCTGTGTTCGCTTCATGTTCTATGTTTAAAGCATCATCATCTTGTATTCCTATAGGTACATTCTGGATGATCCATTCTCTTAATAAAAATCCAGAAATAAATACAATCATGACTGAGAGTGTAATAAGCCAGCCTTCAATGCAATCGTATATGATGCTTGTTAAAAGCGGAGTACTCTTCTCTTCAAAATCGGTTACAGCCGTAATATTTGCACTATCTGTCGATTTAGCATTGTATGTGATGAGTCGATGAAAAATATTATACGTCGTTCCTGCGTTCCAAAAATAAAATCGCCATATCCAAACCGTTATGAAAGGAACAAACCCTAGCCATACTAAGCAAACCAGGCTAAGCCGCAGTAACCATAATGCCCACCTAGAAATTACCTTCCTTAGGTGTTGTAGAAATAAGCTTTTGGGTATCTTGGAAGGCATATCATCTTTATATACGGGCGTAAAACTGAAGTAATGGTTACATAATTCACAATATCTATACCACATGTTCTGTTAAGCAATGGCTCTGTAGGTTTTTTGTCAGATTGTAATGTCTTACTTCTTCTTACTGTGGGTCAGCCAATCCGTCAAACTGTGCACATACAAAGATAGGAAACATACTTTCAGTAAAATCCATCAAAGATTGAGCTGCAAATACGACTATATATTTTTCTAGAACTATTACCATTGCTGGTGAACGTATCGAATACTTCCAGAACATTTGCACGGATGAAATAGAGGCTCCTCAAGCGTACTTTCGCCTCTGCATACCCTACAAATCTCCTCCTCTAGAATAAAAAAAAAAGCAAGCCGGATGATATAATATCATACATTACTACCCTGGATTGAAGTACCCTCTTTAACTTATACAATTTTAGTACCTTCTTCCATTATTTGATCAGAAGCAAGAGTATGCTTTAATACTACTTTCTCGAAGCTAGTTTCAGGTCGCAGTAGTTGTAATGGTCAACTCAAGTTCGGTTATTAAGACCTAAGATTGAAAGCGATTGAGGAGAAGAAAACCCATGAATTTCTTTCAATATTGTTTCAAAGCAGTTTTTTTTTCTGTGTTCCTTTTGCTCTTGCATTTTTCCTAAACAAAGTCCGAGAATTTAAAACAAAAAAAAAGTGAACTTACAATATTTCTTAGATTGATCCAATTTATAAAATGAACAAACTCGATAATCATTTGTTCCCATTTTCAAATGATCAAAATCGAAACATATCGGCCGACATTTATTTTCAATATGCGAATATAGATGAAGAAAAACAGCAATTCGAAACGAACTTTGTGGGTAGAAATCTAAAGGGACGACTTGTGGCGCTGGACCCCTCAATTGAAGGTAGTATTCTTTACACCGATTCAGTTCATACCCGTTGAAACTGTATTCAAACAATTGTTTACTTCAGGTCGTGTATTTGAAAAACTAGCCCCTAATATTTATGATGAAGAGGCTGTAGAAATGGATGACAGTGCACAAAATATTCCATGGACAGCCACTAATAAAACAATTAATGAGTTTATTTTATGGAAAAAAAATGCACTTCCTGATGAAGATGATCCACGTATTAAATCCTTGAAAGATTGGATTGCTATAGCTCAGGACGTAAGTAATCAGTAAAAGCCGTATCTGTACACAAAATCGTTTAATCTGCTCAATATCTTGTAGATTCATACACCTATTGCAGTCGAGAAGCAACAATAATTATCGTTGAAACAGTCGTTAGAGAGTTTGTAAATAGTAACAGTGCAGCATTTAATGTTAGTTACAATATATCACTTCTATTAAAGAAAGAATATCCAGTTTTCAATACAATCACACATCTACTTAAGCCGTTGTTGAATATTTATCAAGTCGAATATCCAAACTACGCCCACCATATACATAGCCATTAAATTTTTCTAATAGATAGTTTATGACAGTAAATCAGTTGTTAGTTTACCTGACCGTCTTTGTTTTGTGATAATGGACATTTTTGTGAATACCTATCGCTTTGTCACATAAAGCAGCATTCTCGAACCTCACAAAACCTGCACCTTTTGGATGTCCTTTGACGTTCAGAATCTCTGCCCTCAGGACAGGTCCAACATGACGGAACAAATCTATCAAATCCTGCCAAGTTGTTGAGAACGGCAACTTTATATATGCAATATCCAAGTTTTCACAACTCATTTAGTATGCTAATCACAGTATTTCATTGTACATGGAGACTTTTTCCCTTACGTTATTGACATAAATTTGATTCTGCCCATGGGTGGGCGTATTGGCTTCAGGTCCACCTATAAGCCCAATATGGTTAAATGGCGGTGGTAATGGTGGTGGTAATGGTATATGACTCAGTGGTGGCGGTGGTATTATCGGACTAGTACTACTATTATCACCTGCTCCATATCTATAAACATTTTGATAGACAGCAGCGGCAGGTAGTGGAGGCGGAGGAGGCGGTAATTGCTGTACGTGGTGAGCATCGGTAGGAACTGGTTGTAGTATTGGTGATTGTGTGGACGAGACTGCAGCACTCGGCGGGGGCACCGCTGTTGTTGGTGTCGCTGCCCTGCTCGATGAAGATGCATTTTCACTCATAACGTTCGTAGGAGGAGTATTGTGTGGGAGTTCCACGGGCCTCGACGAAGGAGGTGGTAATGGTCGACTAGTGGCTGTAGTCATAGGACTACTTCTATTTGAGTACCGTTCTTCTTTTACTTCTAGGTTGTATCCTTGCCATTCATATCCATTAAATATATCTATAGACAAAAATAGTGGGTACCCCTTGGGATTCAGCTCTTTCTCTGTTTGTATTTTCCTGGGGCTTTTATTTTATGCCATACCAATAGCCGCACGTGCATATCGGCTGTCATCAAAAATAACTGTTCCATGTCCATTTGATCTTCTTGATCCTGGCTCTGTGTAGACATCTGTATGCAATACACGTCCTGCCTTTCTGAATAGATCCTTCATATCCTGCCAGCTTGCATTCGGCGGTAACTAAAAGATATCAAGAGCCAACTTATCAGCAATAAAATCGTAACGTGAAGAATATGAGAGAAGAATATGAGAGAATAACATACGTTGCTGACATGCAGCTTACAATCCTCTGGCACATCGTGAGGATCTCGGACAGGTGCCGAGTGCTCAAATACTCTATCCTATTTTTGCAAAAAGTTATAGATATATCATCCTTGGACTGTTTCGGGTAATCTTGCTACCTTACCTCGCGAATGAATACTGGTCGTCCTAAAAATTCCACTTGATTCAATGTACGTATAGCCCTTCTAGCATCCTCCGGGTATTGATATTCTACAACACTAGAAAAATACTGATACATTAACAATTAAGAAATGATAATAATAGAAATAGAAAAGATCAGAGTTGCTTTATTGGACTATTTACCCGCAGCCTTTTGGCCTACCACTGAACGATTTTAATACATCAACATGAACCACAGGCCCAGCTGCAAAAAAAGCGAAGAGAACCACCATTATTCATACAATCAGAAAGAATGATTAGTGACTTCGCAACACCATACTAGTAGATTTCGTTACCTTCTTTCATAAAATCTTTCAGTTGAGGCCATGATACGTCAAACGGTAAGTTACCAACGTAAACCCTACAATCTTTTTTGGTAGCGGGGGGTAGTGGAGGTCTGCTGCGCCTATATGGTAGTACTGACGGTGGTGGAGATCTTGATCTGAATCTTCGTGGAGGAGGTGATCTTCGCAAACGATGATGGTGATGAGGTGGTGGGCCTGGTGGTGGCGATCGGGAATAATATCGTCGGTATCCTCGGCTTTTAGACCTACTTCTTTGACTATTATAACGAAATGAAGGAGAATATGATCTTGAACGGGAGCGTGAATATGGCGACCTTCGTCGATGATGGTGAGGCGAGTAAGATCGTGACCTCGAGCGAGAGCGAGGTGAGTAAGAGCGTTGAGAGCTAGAGGAAGAGCGAGTTTGTGGTGTTCCTGTCGTTGAGCGAGGGGAATAGGAACGCTCACGTTTTGATGTCGAGTTTGGCGATGAACAAGGTGACCTTAAAGGTGTCGACAACCTACTAGGTGCACTCATAGTTGGAACTGTCAAAACGAGAAGTTTTGACTAATGAAAGAGCAATAATCACTTTATTCAAGGGATCTTTCAATTTGGGTTTTATCGGATTCACAACCAAATACATAATGGAGTTTGAAAACGAAGAAAAGGCAATTGAACAAATGAGCAAAGAGCAGTGACCACAAGATCATCATGAATAAATTTTAGCACGCATTTTATTAGGTAACAAAATGTTGAATAAGAGAAGAGATTCTTGGGTATAATATTGTTTATAGGAGAGTTAGCTAGTAGATAATGTAAGTACAGGGTGTATGGAGCATCTCATTAAGTAGCCTTGTCCATTATATTCGTTCTATACCGAACCCATATTTTACTGTCTTTAGGTCCATCGTCACTTGCTCTATTCATTTCGCTCATCATGTTGAATACATGGTGCCAGTTTTCTAAACTTTTACCTACTGTTTGGGCATCTTCAGCTAATTCTTTAATGTTGTCTGTTAGGGTCCGGAAATAGCTCAACATATCCGCACTCATATTTTTGACTTTGTTTGTTCCCTCTACTTCCTTCTCTTTCTCCTTAATAGCCTCCAATTTGGCTTCAGTAGCTGGATTTGAGATCTTGGGTCCATCTATTATTTTCATTGATGATGGCACCGCTGAACCTGTAGCAGCAGCTGTGACAGTGATGCTATGTAATTGCGCGGATGGAGTCACGGACGTAGTTCTGGCTACCTTTGTTTTTATAGTTGAAGCCGTAGATGTGGTAGGTCTTTGCCGTTTTACAGGTAGTTTACTTTTTGATCGATTCATATGTAGAATTTCAAGATTTACGTTCGTTCCAAAATCGAGAAAGATGAACGAATAAGAAAACTAAACTAAAATTGTTACTGTCCGCATCGGGCAATTAAAAAGTTAAGCTTATTGTAGAGCGCCAGTAAACATTCAGAAATTGACGAGTACAATAGTACCTTGATCTGGATACAGGTGCTCAATGTTTCTTCGTTTACAACTTGTCCCTAGATAGTCATAACAAAGAAAGCTTAATTCACTGAAGGAATAAATATTAACAATCTAATTCATGATCCACTCCGAACATCACTTCCGGGGATAACATTCCGCACCGTACAATTACGTGTTATAATATCTTTCAAACGCTCTTCAAACTTCCTTTAATTAGTTAATTGACATGTTAGGAGTAGTAGTAATCGAACTAACTACAGTTGGATATAAGATATTATATATGAAGGAGAACTCATTCGAAAGTGTATTTCTCATCTATTTCTTATGCCACTTCCACTCCGATTATACTCGAACCGTCATTGAATAGTCCGACCCAAAGGTCACATGCTCATATAATTTTTTAAGGTTACTAAAAATGGAACAATTTTTAAAGATGTTATGTATATAACTTAAAAAGGAACTCAAGAGTCCAGGTTCAACTTAATAGTAAGTATTGTAAATGTGGAGAAGGGCCCTGTTTATTCTTTCGATCAAAATGACATTTAAATACAGTTCACTATTCTACATTTAATTCCCGCTTCACAACCTGATCTCTCCACTGAGCAATTATGAGTTCCAACCCTCTAGCCTATCATATTCTTTTCTGAGTTCGAATTTTATTTTCCGAACCATCTTTTAGCCAAACCATATCAAAGACATCTAAGTCGCTTTGTCCGAGTGGTTAAGGAGTGAGACTAGAAATCTCATACGCTCTGCGTGCGCAGGTTCAAATCCTGCAGGCGACGTTACCTTTTCATGTTTTGGAAAAAGTGGTGCGTGGCGCCGCATTGGGTTTTTTTTTTTAATGATTCATTGCTGTTGTATCCAAGATACAACTATACGTCTTAAACTACAGAACGACTTCAGTACCTGCTTGACAAACTAATATACATCTACTTTGACACCCGCTTGCGGCTAAGATCTTATCATTCTCAGGATAGTTTTAGTTCAGTTATATTAATAGTTGTATACCCGTTAATAACCCGTTTTTCATATGAAAGCATCATTCTCAACAAACTTAAATAAAGGGTATATTTGTTGTGTCAGGTCATTTTACTGTCTTAGTTTATTTTTTATAAGTCTTTTAAAGTAACTGGATATATCAATTGCCGCACACTAAGCTGGCGATAAAGCAAGAGTACTTTTATGGAAAACATGAGATTTAAGATGGCAGGACAGAAAGATGATTATTTATCCTATTAGAGGTTAACGTTCTTCCTATATAATGATTGGTCTGTCGTATTTGAGGGTAGATGATATACAAATATTATAATTCACTTTATGAAGGATAGAGATGATTTAGACAATATTGCAAACCAGAAATAATTAGAAACTACATAAACTCTAATATACGAGTACCGTCAATTAAGTGTTGTGTTTAGTTGACAGCATCTTATGAGATGTGGAGAACTTGTATACAAATTATACAAAATCCTACACCTCAATACTACTGAAATAATATAAAGTAGAGTAGGAAACAAATATAGAATAAGTGATGATTCTTATACGAGATTAGCTACCTCGTATAAGGTTGAACAGGTTGTCATTTAGGATATATAGTTTACTTATTTTACTGTAATCGTTGCTATATGACATAGGATATATAGTAGAATTGATATATGGACATGCAGGATATATTGATTCAACACCAAGGTATAACAGGTTATAAGTACTATTCTCTACCTTCGGCATAAAGAATGAATACAAGATAATAGGCTGTGGCCATCCTTTACAATAACTGTTCACTCAACTCAAACACCACGCACGAATACCATTTTCTTAATTAGTACTATTTTCCTGCAAGCAGTGTTACAGAATGGTTAGCACGGGAAAATAGGTTAGTTGCATGATCACTAGATCAAGCCAAACGTTTACAAGTCCACCCGCTCCGGGTAGATGCGTAATCTCCTTAAGGAAGAATTCTATTCTTTTACGGTTCAGAAGACGTATGTCTTCTTTAAATTTTTGCAGTAGATATTTTTCTTCTCTTTGAACTTAACTTGATTCAAAATAACGACTTACTAGTTTGATCTCGTTAAGCTTTTCACTGTTTTCAACTAAGTGATATTTAACTCTACAAGTTGTCAAATACCACATGGTCGTTACATTTAACCACGGCATTATAAGTATTTCAAATAAAGGCTATCAATTGTCGGGTTACAGTAACTTTACCATGTTGCGATCATTCTTCTCAGTTTATACTGCTTACATATTACTAAAGTCTCATCTTGTAACATATAACAACATGGTGTTTGCTGTTCTTATAATTTCATCAATACACGTACCTCTTCTTCTCACCACATCAGTACACGCCAACCTAACTTAAAAAATTAATAACGCACATTTTTTTCCCGTTTTTTTTTTTTTTTTTTTTTTTTTTTTTTTGAAGCTGTAGCTATGTCTTTGGGATCTTTCAAGTATCAAATAATTTCATTCATGTGTTCATATAGCCTAGTGCACGACAGTTGTTTATCAGTTCTTCTTTACTGCTGTCAACGGAGAGCGTTTATGAGCTAACCTTCATGCTTTGGTTGTTGAATAATAGTAGAGCCAAAGTATATAGAGATACACCTATTTGATCTCGTTGTGATATACACCTTAATTTATGGTAATTATATATTGAATGGATATTTAACGATATCCTTCGGTAGCACTATAATCGAGTCGAACATATATAAGACAATATATTGTCATCATACACTTTTCTGTTACCTGGTTTCCTTCAAAGCAGAAGGTAAAAATCAATAAAACTAGCAAATTTTGTCATTCAATCAACCTAAAACCTGTGAAAATTTCGTTTCTCCAAATCATTTTATCCTTAAACCGATCCTAGTTTTTACATACCTCAATGTTGTTCACCTTCTCCTACTTCTGTGAAATCATTCCTAGTCATTTTGATCCACTAGATTTGCTAGCCAATAATGCAAAGTATTTGAGCGCAACATGTCTATATTGCGGTCTGCGAAAATAACCTTTTAAAATTGGCATAACGCAAGTACGCAAAGGTTGTAAACGCAAAAGACATCCCCTCAGAAATCTTAGCAATACCAGGTTAGCACAGATATATATCCATTTTTTGTTGCAGGTTCCCTTGAGTCAGAGTGCGAACTGCTGCTACTGTTTGCAATACGCATTATCACTGTAAATCTAATTTCTACGTAGGTTAAATCAATAACTTCAATAATCGAGAAAGTCGAGACTATGTTGCAGAGAAATGTCTATAATATGTTGCTCCATTCGTAAAAAAATGCACATTTGTCATGTTCTCCTGCTACTAAACTACTTAAATCGACCGAAACATGTATAGAGAGACGAATGGGCTGATGTTTTGTTTCCAATGATGATATGTTTGTATTGTTTGTACTTTGCTGCAAAGACAATTTCATATTAAAGACATGTAGGCAACTTTTTAGTTTCAATTAATTTTTCATCGCTCTTTCCCTGACTCATAGACAAAATATTGTTAACATATTTCGTTTGTGACATTAGAAGAGGCACCTCTAACTATCTACGTTAAAAAAGATATCAAAAACAAAGTGGTAGCAAACAAAAAGACAAGGATAACTTTGCTATAAGTAAATGATCGCAAGAAAGTATTCCGTCCAAGTATTGTAACTTAAACATTAATATCTGTTACATACGAGTACACGGATACATATATACAAGATGAGGCGTGCACTCAAATAGGTGCTTTACTTATTCTTAACTATCTCTAATATTCGACCCAAGATTGGGTAATTCTAGAAGACCTTCATCGGTATCCAAGTCAAAGCAATTCATTACATAAAGTTTTCCCAGATCCGTTCTGCCGGTCGAGTCACTTCTTGGAATCAATTGCAAACCATATGGACCGCTTTAATATCATTTAGCAAGGTCGTCAATTGCTTTTCGAATATAATAACAGCAACCAGAAAAGATACGCGTTATAACGTAATGGAAACTTGCTGAAATTTCAGAATAAGTGTAAACAGTACATCAAATTCCTGCGCAGCGGGTTGCACTACAACAACACTCTATAGTTTTTCTAAAAGTTATCGTAGCTGAAACTATTTTGAAGCAAATACGGCAAATAAGTATCGACTTAAGCTGCTGTACATACTCAAAAACTGCTTTTGCTTTCATCTTTTTTTTTTTTTTTTTTTTTTTTTCTGGGCAAAAATCTTATTCATTTATCTAAGCCCAATAAAAAATCGCGGTTGCACGATTTTTGGTATACGGGGTAAAAGCGAAAATAAACTAAATTTAAGTGAAATAAATAGCCTATATATAAAGAAGCTTATCGCATCCCTAAACAATGTTCTCTGCTTTCTCTGTTACAAACCTTATCTGTTCTTATCAAATTTTAGAACATGGCCAACAATATTTACACGACTAGTCATAACACCTTGCAAAAGCATCCAACCGATGATCAAAACGGCGATCTTCTGACCGCAGTACCTGAATCGTCGTCTGCACATGTTACGTTTAGTGCAAGGTCACCGTCCATCCTCCCTACACCTGTATATGATGACACTTCATCAATTGGATTGTTCTCTCCCCCGATTCAATCATTTTCTCCAGTAAGATCACCTTCAGCTTCATCCATACTATCACCTCATAACAGAACGAGTAATTCACATTTTCCTCCACTGCTAAACAGACAAATTATTGAGGAAGATAGAGGGCCAGAACATCCGGTCCTTGAACCAAAAATACAAGTCGAGGAGGAATCAAGCCATATTTATGGCGAATTCGACGAGCCACAAGAGCAACACTATAGTTCAGCTAAAAGCCCTCTATTGACAAAAGGCTTTATACCGCTCAAAGGCAACGAGGTGGATATGGCGGAAGATATACAATTATATGAAACAAGGAACAGAGTAACACCTCCGCAGTTTCCTTCATCCACTAGTCCCACCGAAAGTTATCTAACACCATATCCACCAGTTACAAATACTAAAGTTGATCGGATGGAACAAAACGTTGGCCGAGTGGATATGTTTATGAATAAATTGAGAGGTTACCGAAAATTCACGAAAGATAGCTCAACAAGGCTGGAGCAAGGTGATAGCTATACTCAAGGGCTTGTATACGATCAGCATGTTCAGCAAAAGCAAAGGAACATGGTGTTTAGACAGTTATTTGGTGGTGCAAGATCTCCCTTATTCACTTGGGTATCAGGCGTCGTAATGATAGGTGTCTTCATATACGAAATAGTTAGAAACCACGAATTATCGGGCAGCTGGATAATGACAAATCCTTTCAATCCGATGGTCGGACCCAATTATATGGTAGGAACAGTAGCTTGAAATTTGAAGGAAAAGCATCTTATGACTAACATTGACAATTCATCAGGCTCTGATAACCATGGGCAGTAAATTCGTTCCATGTATGAGAGAAATTCAAAATTACTCCCCAGCAACAGTTCTAGGAAATTGTTACTCATCTTTGGAGGCAACCTGTTCTGTCGAACAGGTTTGCGGATTTGGAGGTTTTCGTGGAACGGCACCAAGCCAAGGTTTTCGATTCTTTACAGCCATTTTCATTCATGCAGGCGTTGTTCATATTTTAATGAACTTAGTGACTCATTTTCAAACTGGTGCAGAAGTAGAACGTGCTTTGGGGTTAATTCGCTATATGATCCTGTACATTGTGTCAGGCATATGGGGTTTCATTCTAAGTGCTGTGTTAGCTGGACCTACAGTTTGTAAGTCTACCCTTTTTTGCTTATTCATACTGAAGCCGTTGACAAACCAGCATTAACTTTTTTCATACATTAGCCTCAATGGGATGCTCTGGTGCACTTTTTGGAATCATTGGTTATACAGTAATTGATCATCTTATGCAATGGAAACAGCATAGACATCCACGCCGTGAGTTTATGAGAATAGTTATAGTGATAGTTATTTCTCTGGTGCTAGGCCTACTTCCTGGTTTAGACAATTTCGCTCATATTGGAGGGCTCTTGATGGGCTTACTGTTGGGAATTACACTTGCTCCCTTCAACCGTCATGCATCGCGTAGAGCTACTGTTATCATATGGACAGTAAAAATCTTGTCCTTTGTTTTGGTTATTATACTTTATGCTATTCTTTTATCGAAATTCTACTCCACAACCGACTTATCAACCGTTTGCCCCAACTGTAAATATTTATCCTGCTTGCCTGTCAATGGCTGGTGTGACAATGTTTAATCAAATATAATACATACAATGCCCACAAACAATCAATTTGACAATCAATATAGTTATTCAAGTCTATGACGATGTCATTTCCAGCTTTTTCAAATGGTTATACTTTGGTAAAACTTCTCTAAGATACTCTAGATGTCTGGCGTGGAGAGCTGCTTGGGCCTAAGAATATTGAAAAGGTTTGAGTGACTGCTAAGTAAACAAATATCATCCTTGTACGTACAGGTAATGGTTGGCTTTGCATTCTTCTCTTTGACTCTGCTCCATATATGACTGTAAAATCACCTATTGCCTCGTTACTTTCCGTAGAGCAACCCGCTCCAATCACACAATAATTTCCGATCGACGAGCTGCCAATTATGCGGGCTCTTGCTTCTATGACATTGTTATTGCCGATATGTGTTCCTTCAACATCTAAGTTTTATTGTACCTTCAATTAAGTCTGATTGGACACTGCATTTCCTTTAAGGCTTTGCTCAAACTTACAGCAGCCGACTTCAAATTCATTTTCATCGCCAATAACAAGCGGTGTTGATTGTCTAACGGTATTTATCGATGAGCAACGCTAACCTACTGCTTGTAGCCATCATTTTTTAACCTACCGGTTGAAAATGGTTACTTTCTCTTCTATGATATTGTTCTTGCCTATGTATATTGGCCCGTTTTCCGCGATAATTCTACATTGAGGATGAAGTACTGTGCCTTTTTATACGTCCATTTTAGCAAAACTGGTCTACGAAATTTGCTCCTTTCTCGTAGGTGTACCTGGGCCTATCAAAAGATAGTTAGATTTCCCAGGTTGAATCCAACTTAATCATAGTCAACGCAATGGGAAATTAGCTGGTACCTATGGATATTTCTCCTCTCAACTCTGTTTCTTGACAGACAACTGATTTTAAGCCAGCTGTAATGCGATTCCTACAACAAACGCTTAATAAACCAGATGAATTCCTTAATTTCTTGTTATTGCGATTACCTTGACATTCTTTGATGGCAGGAGAAAAAAGAAACTTTTGAGTTTTGAAACTTCACATTAACTCCACATTTTAACAGAGCTTTTTTAACTCAGTTGATCAAAGAAAAAGGCTTACAGCCAAGGTAAACAATAAAACCAGGCATCTTTCCTTTCTACTGCGGATATACCCTTCATTTCTTTTGGATGTTTCGTAATCATTTGCTGAGCACAAGTCATAAATATCAACCGCTTCGGCAATTCTCAACTTCCTGGATCAACAAATCCAGACAAAAGATCTCTGTTTCGACACCTCTACGGTATAAGAAGGTTATTCTTCCAACGAATGACACGGCTATTCCTTTTACAGCTCTACCCACCGGCTTTCGTGGCGACAGCAGACATATATTAAAGCGTACTCCTGCAAATTATAAAGGTCCTATCCTTTTTGCAACCACTTTCTCTTCGGTAGCCTTTGTTACCGCAGCTTATGTTTATGATAAGAACCAAATGACGATCTGGGAACGAGTGCGACAACAATTCCGGTGGCCATTAGGAACCCACCCCACCGAAGAAAAGCTGATTAGGCAGTATTGGTATGAGAAGAAACAATTGGTCTTAGAGCATAAACGAAAGTGTTTAGACGAACTATTCGCTCAACTGGAAGCGATGAACTATGTACCCTTGGAAATGAAAAGAGCGGTATGGATGGTTGGTAAAAGACTTTCAGAACTCAGTGAGGCAGAAAAGACCGTTGGCGTTTTATTAGCGATCAATACAGTGATATTTGGGTTGTGGCAAGTTCCTCGACTAGTGCCTTTTATGCAGCGTTGGTTCACCCATTTGCCAGGAGGTCGTGGTGGTATAAATGCAAACATCACCATGGTAACGAGCTGCTTCTCTCATCAGACATTAATGCATTATGTTTTCAATATGATCGGTTTGTGGTCTTTTGGTACCAGTGTTCACGAATATTTAGGCAGAGAGCAGTTTTTAGCGACCTATTTGACATTTGGTGTCGGGGCATCTCTTATCAGTCATGTTTGCCAATTGCCCACACGGATGACACGTTTAATAGTACCTAGTTTAGGTGCCAGTGGTGCTTTGTATGGTATCGTAGCAGCCTATTCCGTTATACGGCCAGATGCTGCTATTGCTTTAATTTTCTTGCCAATGGTACCAATCAAGTTAGGGTAAGCTGTTTAAAAGCATGATAACGTCCGTAATGGAAAAAAGGGGTTTGTGTGCTAAAACTGAATCCGTATATCCACTACCTGTAGAACTGCTTTACCTTGCATGATGGCTATAGATTTTCTGGGCATCCTCAAAAGATGGTCGAATTTTGACCATTTCGTAAGTATTCTTATATCTCGACGTATTGTATGATTTACCAAATATTGCTAGTAAAATTAACACTACATACTAGGCCCATTTAGGTGGTGCTTTCTTAGGTTTAGGGTATGCATTTTTTGGTCAACAATACATTTGGGAACCTTTGTTGAAAAATGTCAATAATGCCCGCCGCGCTATAAAAGGATGGCAATAGTGAAGATGTAAATAGAGGTTCTTTCTCGTCGAAAGAGCCTCGGCATCGATAAAACTCAGAATACTACTTGAATGGTTATCTTTACTATTTATTGCCACAACGTACAATATCCTCTTGTATCATATCCACCCTGCTCCATCGAATCAGCTATGTAACGCTTAATTATTATTTCTTTTGCTATTATTCGTTTATTATTTCTGTAAATATAATTGCCAATAATTAGAATGTCGATTGCAGTTTAGTGCCGGTGCTCCCTGTCCCTTCAAAACGAATTCCAAAGTTGAGAGCCACAGCGTGGATAGCAATATCTTGTGTCTTTGGTGGCCGTGTTGTGTAATATGCAATTAGGCCGACAGAGCCAGTTCCACACATATCCACAAGCATTAAAACCCCATTAAAGAATTAAAAAGGCAATCACGAGACTTCCTCAGATTGAATTTAAAAATAATATATGAACAACTTGTGGTTAAAGAAGCTGCTCAAAAATTCATTTATTCATGTCATTTAAAAATCGGTTTACGACAAATATTCAAGTGGACCGCAGATTGAGGAAGGTTTGTATGTATATTGTTAGCTGATGCCATCGCATACGTCACTTTCATTTGCAGCTTTGTTTGTTTTCCTAATAATTTCTGTAGCAGGAAAAAATTATTTTTACTGCTTTATTTCAGCAACGCCGCTGTTTGAAAAGGAGCCCCACCATGATTTGTAGGGGAGTGGTTGATTATGCGAACTGACTCTATTTTTCTAGCATTGCTTCCAGGCACTAGTACGTCTGAAGTATGCTCATTACACTTGTTCGCCTTCAAAAAGCGCCTGCTGTACCTAAGTTTTTCAAAGAAGCTCCTACACTTGATCACGTATGAAATCTTGGAGGTTTGGTTGAACAAAACTTCTTGCTTAAACGAATTGCTGTATAGTTCCTTGTTAGGGCCCAGGTGATCTCATTATATAGACAAATTGTACGATGTACAAAGGGTATGGATAAAACTCAAGCAAAAGAACTACTACAGTGGGCAAGGGCAGATTTTGAACGACACCGATTTGAGAAAGACATTGTAAAGTAAACGACATTCATGTTGAGTGCTACAACTTGCTTTTATAACCACTTTTTTCCTTTTACCAGGAAAACATTCGGTCTTTAATCACATCAGGGAAACATCAAATGCACTCCTTACAAAGTTCTGTAATGTTGGCTCAAGTGTCGAAACATTAAAGTACTTCAGCTGGTCATTTTGTAAATACTAAGCAAGTATCGGATCAACAACACCAACACGGTGATTTAATTATTTAAGATTATATACATAAATCAGGTTTCTTTTTTTGTAACATATGAACAGAGAGAAGTAGAGTTTTAATTGACAATAACACGCCAATTGCAATCAATTACAGATACTTTAGGATCCTTAACAGTTACTACTTGTCGTCGACTGTCATATTCGAATTCTACCTGCATTTCGTCGCCATTTTGAGTTATAACCCTGACAGTTTTGGGGCCCTTTTCTTGTCCTAAAATAACAATACGCTCGACACGCACTTGTTCCCTAGATTGAGCAAATTGCGTTGCTTCACTGTTATTAGGGTGTTCGTGCAGGTTTCGACATGTTAGTTCACCGTCTTCCTTGAAGATAAACTCAGTATAAGCATATGCGCCCTTTTCAAAATCATAAGTTTCTTCATCGTCAAGGTATAAATGGCCTTGAGCCGTGCCTTGCTCGTTCTTGGCTACAATCAATGTGAAAGGGTCCTTACGCATAGCAGCTGAGCTGCGGCGAAGACGTTCACGTCGAGGGATGATATGACCACCTTGATAATATGCCGGGACTGTATCCAAAGGAGCATTTACTGTTTGCCATCCTTCCTTAGAAATACGTTCGTAACTTTTGGTATGATACCACAAGCCATTGTTCTTTTCATCCTTAGGAAAGTAAATATCTACACTAGTGGCGCCTTCTGTAGTGACGGGCTTTACCAAAATAGAGTCGCCAACCATAAACTGGTCTTCCATGGCGTAGAGAGCTTCATCGTCAGGGAACTCCATGAACATAGGACGCATCATGGGAGTACCCGTTTTCGAGGTTTCATAAAATAATGTGTACCAAAGAGGTAAAAGTGCATAACGTTCACGCAAGGCATTTCGAGTGATAGACTTGTAAGGCTCAGGAGACAAGTAAGGTTCGCGGCGTTTGGTATCGATGTGGGCATGACCACGGAAGAAGGGCTGATAAACAGCCGCTTGATACCAACGAGTGAGCAATTCAGGCTCAGGGTTACCGAAGAAACCAGGTACATCAGCTCCTATAAAAGACACACCTGCCAAGCTGTTGGATAAGATCATGGGGTTGCTCATTTTTAGCGATTCCCAATTAGCCATATTATCGCCTGTCCAAACAGCACTAACGCGTTGGACACCAGCATAGTAAGCGCGGCCTAAAACAAAAGGACGCTTTTGTTTCATACCATTTACCTTTTGATATCGTTCGCGGACACCATCAGTAGTGGCCTTGTGGCCTAAAAAGCCATAAAGGTTGTGCAATACACGATGTTCATATTTTCGGCTGTCATGAACCATTTCCTTTTGCATGGTAATTTCAGGTCCATTGAAAACGGACGGCTCATTCATATCGTGCCAAAGATGTACGTTATCACGAGTGCCTTGAAACTTGTCAAACTGAAATTGTTCTTTCCACCAATCGTAAGATTCCTTGTGTACAAAGTCAACCCAAGATGATTGCCCCGGCCAACACCAACCTTCATAATCAGCCCCATCAGGCTTCTTGACGAACAAGTTTTTAGATTTAGCTTCATCGCAAATGTAGTAATTGTCAACACGTTTGATATGAGGATCAATGATGGTCACCAAATTTCTGCCCTTGTTATCTAAAACTTCAGCCATTTGAGTAGCGTTGGGAAATTTTGGAAGATCCCAGGTGAAATACTTCTTGTCGTCGGTGTATTCGATATCAAGCCAAATCACATCGTAAGGCATGTCATTTTCATCAAACTTTTTATCAACTTCAAGAACGTCTTTTTGATTGAGATAGTTCCAACGACATTGATGATAGCCAATAGCAAACATTTGTGGCATAGAAAGAGAGCCAGTAAGTGCCGTGTATTGACGAAGGATGTCTTTGGTTGTAGGGCCAAGGAAAACAAAAATATCCATGACTCCGGCTTCAGAAATCCAATGTGTTTGCGTAGAGAGAGAGTCAGCTTTCTGACCAGATTTAAACACTTTTTGAACTGGGTTCTATTTTTGTTTGTTTGTTTGAAAATTAAACATTTGCAAATTTTGAAAGATACATGCTTTGAATTCATTAACTTTTCTTACACTGTTGTCTGTAGGTTTTTTTTTAACAATATCAATCCAAGTTTCTGATGGGTTCATCCAAAATATACCGGCAGACAATCCCTTTCTATGAGCAATCATTAGTGGAACTGCACCGTACAAAGCAGTGGGACTATCCAAAGCATATTCAAAGACATCGGTATTGTACAATCTGTAAGGTTCGTCGTAAGCGTTCTCACCTCCCTTCGTCTCCTTCAGAGATAAACTAGAAGCATGCTCAGGAATACCATAAACGTGAGAGAATTCATGGAAAGTTATATCCATTGCAATTGATTCAGGCCCATTGGGTTTAGGGTCGGTCCAAGATTTGAAGGTTTCCTCCCACAAATCCTTTTCCCAGTCTTGATCTTCTTCTAGCGTCATCTTACCAGTTTCTTCATTTTTCTTTTCAATCATCTTAGGTTTGTGTGTTTCTTTCGTACGCAGATGCTCGAAATGGAAGAAGCCTCGGTCGTTAAGTGAAATAACGGGCTTATTATCGACGAAAAATTCAATACGAACTGGACGAACATGGAGAACAATCTTACGAGTGCTATCGATATGTAGAGTAACAGGCTCATCCTTGCTTTCAGAATTTTCGACTTTGGTGGATTCGCCTAAAAATTGAGGTTCTTCCACCAAAGTATGTTTTTGATGGTCGTCATAGCGTGGTTTAATTGGTGATTTTTCATTAATGCGAACGCGTGCTGTGCTGTCTTTGAGGATATCTAAATCAAGAGTAAGTAATATATTGGTATCGGTATTTTTGATATCAGCACGCAGTCGGTTGTTGTCATTGGAGAAATTAATAGAATCGGTCACCAAGATATAAGGGGAAGACTCTAAGGTGGCTTGCTCGGCATACAGACGATTACGTCTACAGAAACCAGATTGCGAACATTTCTTAAAGTCCTCGAACTTCATGGCCGATGCGGATGTTACAAGTAGTGACAAAGTGATGACGGTAGTTGCTAGTAGCAAAACTAGTTTAGGTAAGCGGTTAGCCCCTAAACTAGGCCTCATTTTGTTGCAGTATGTTGGCGAAAAAGAAAGTGATAACAAACGTCAAAAGAAAAAAAAAAAGGTACAAGAAATGCAATTTACATAAAAGGGAAACTAGTTTTCACTTCTCATCTCGCTTCCATAGAAACGTCAACAATTATAATTGGTTAAAAAATCGGGTCAAGTTTCCTTCTCAGTTACATACAAGTACAGCAGCAGAAGCTATGGTTGACTGACTAGTCAGGAGTTCTTCAAGCCTCAGACGACCGTTTTTGAGCTGCTCGAGCATATATGCATAGAAGGCCTTACCTTACTTGGGAAAAGACAACTACAGAGCATTAAGCATGAAAAGCATGATTCTTTGGCTTAAACAGCGTCACGTTTGAAACTCTTAATAAATAAAGGGAATGTTGGATTCACATCAGCATAATTTGATTTTTCTTCTTGTATATCATAATTTCAATATCATCACAGCCACAACTACCTACTTTTCTCAATTTTATTAAGAAATCTAAACATTGGAAGCGAAAAAACAAGACAACAATGGCCGAAGCAACTGAACAAGAAGATATGTCCATCAAAGGGATGGCATGTAAGCTTCTTCAACAATCGTTAGATCTTGTACAGTATCTTACAGATGAGCAATATACAAGAGACTCGGTGGTTATGCCTGGAGGTACTATAGGGAAGCATTTAAGGTTTGATAGAAAAGATTGCACAACAACCTTTAAATATACAGCAAGTAATAAGTCCTACGTTCTAGGCACGCCAACGATCATTTTCGCTTGTTATACAAACAATGCAGCATTAAAAGTGAGAATAACAATGAGTGCACGAATCCCATAAATTGCATTGTAGACTATGACATAAGGCAGAGAAATGTAAGTTACGTAAAGCGGACATTTCAAGTGTCGAAAGCTGAGATATTGCCTGTGTTTGTAGAATCCTTCCGAGATAGACAGATCGATTATGATGGATGACATTAAAAGACTCCAAACAACAATAAAGCAGTGCAAAATACCCTTGGAAACAGACGTCACTCTTTTAGCAGCAGTTGATGCAGCAGATCCGAATAAATATCCATTCAAAACGTCTTACGGACGAGAGTTATTCTATAGCTGTATTCATGCTGTGAGTTGACAATATATAGATGTCTGTTTTAGTTAATCATATTATGCTCGACTCACTTCAGACAACTCAACTTGTGAAAATGTAGATTCATCATTACGCCTCAATCAAAGCAATATGTATTGAGCAAGGCATATTAGTACCTGCTGAATTTGGAGTGGCGCCGTCTACTTTACAAAACGATAAGAATAGGGTTGCCAATGCCTGTAGCGCAAGCAGCAGTTGATAACAAATGATATTCGTCAATAAAAAGAACCATTCAACGAATAATAAGAATGACGTTTTATCCTTTTCCTTTTTCCCTCTACTTCTTATAACATGATTGGGGAAGTCGTCCTATACCCAATGACAGAAAAGTGCGGGGAAAGCGCTTTGTTTACTGACCTTGAAAAGGGCTTATCATTGATCTAAGGAAGTACAATATAAATAAGGGCTCGCCCAAAAACCTTTCTTCGTCTTTTCTTCTTGTTTTTTTATTCTGTAATAAATCTATATACAATGGTTGCTGGTCCTGCTGCTCAAGCTGCTAAGAGATCCTTCTGGAGTATTTGGTACAAGCCCGAAGTTGCTCCTATTTTCGTTGTCGTTGGCGGCGCTTGTGGTTTAGCTGGCTGGTATCTTACCCGTCTTGCTCGGTAAATCTCAAACAAATCGAAAATTAATCAGAAACAAAGAAATTTCTGTCCATCTTTTTCTAATCTCCAAAATCACACATAGTGGACCTGAAGTTGTCTGGGACCGTCATAGAAACCCTTATCCGTAAGTTTTCTTTATTAAAAAAATTCACAGTTTACAAGCATCGTACATTGAGAGAATTTCATCTAACACATGTCCATTGGTGTTATCTATAGTTGGCAAAACATTGACCAGGATACCCAGGTTAAGTTTATGACTGTGAATCAAAAATTCGACAAAGTGTAAGGTTAAATTTTGGGGGTAATACAACTTCAGGGACCTAATCTGACTTGTATTCTGCTTATAGATATAGTCGTGATCGTCTCTAGAAAGATCGTAAAGACAAAATGATGATTAGATAAGTTTTTTGCATAGAATTCTATACATTAGAAGAAAACAGAACCTCCAGAAATCTTCGCCTATATTTATTGACAACCACATACAACCTAGCTCGACCATGAATAAAATACTTTTTTTTTTTTTTTTCTTTTTCGGTGAAAGAAATACCCTCTTAAGGATCCTCTATACATATCTGTCGTTGAAATGGTAGCTTTATCGTAAATTAGGAATGATTGAAAAAAATAGTATATATAATTGTACACAATAAAACTATGAATGAAAAAAACGGTTATATTTGTATATGTAGATATTAGATGGTTGGGTTGGATGTCGAACTTGGCTCAAGTCAAAAATAAAATATGTATTAGAAAGGAAAAGGGTTCATATAAAATATATACAGCGCTACCACTAGCCATCCATGTTTTCATCGTTTCAGCATATACATAAATAGGAAAAAAAAAAAAAAAGGAATAGTGTTCTACCGCCTCACATTTTTCAATGGACCATGGGTCTCTTTACGCTTGATCCTTTTCTTCTTCTTTGTCCTTAAGTGCTGTCTCTACAATTTTCGCCGCTGACGTAGAGGTACCCTCGGTGATGTCTGTCAAGGTAGGCTCAGCATCTGACATAATTTCGTCTTCATCTTCAGTTGAAGAAGAGGAGCTATTATTCTCAACGTTGCTTGTTGCTGCAACTGTTGTTAAGGTATCATCGGTATCTGCTGTAGTGAAATTGGGGGACGTAAGGGTAGTGGTAGGCTTGCTTGTAGCAACTTTGATGGCAGCAGAAGGTTTCATGTCCGTAGTGTTCCTTACTTCCATAGGCTCAGTATCGGATGTCAATCCGTCGTTCGGTTGCTGCTGCTGCTGCTGCTGCTGCTGCGGAGATGTCTGCACTATGTCTTGCATAGGGTTGTCTTCGTCTTCTATAACTGTAGTGTCTAGGCACATTTTATTCTTCTCATCTAAATCAGTAGGCTGATCAGCTGTAGCAGCCATGATACCCTTTTCTTTCTCTTCCTTCTCGATCTCGAATTCTTCAAAGTCATTGTCTATCACTATATCCTCTGTCTCTGTTTTGATACTATCGTTTGTCGCTTCCTCTTGAACGTCCATGCTAGCTTGCTGTTCGCCATGTGTATCCTCTTCCTGTGTATCTGATCGCAGCAGTTGCTGCTGCTGCTGCTGCTGCTGCTGCTGTGGTAACGAAGACTGTGGTTTTTTAAGCTGTATTTTATTACTCTGCACTAGCTTTTCTATTGTATTGGCTGCTTTTAGTTCCTTCTCACGCTGTTTTTCCAGTATGTCTTTGTTCACAAAACCCATCACAAAAGACCTCACATCTCTGTCCTTGTCCAAAGCAAATCGATAGGTCATTTGCTCTAAAGCGTGCGCTGACTCTACTGACTGATTGGCTTGTCTTGAGGGAGCAGCAATAGCACTCAATTCACAACAGAACGGTTCATTGGTATAGATTGTTCCAATCGTACGCGATGCGGCAATACGTACATTCACCACCGGATCATGGGCCAAGGGAGCCAAACGGGGGAGGAAGAAAGAGGCAAAATCCGACGCGCCTATACCTGCTTCTATCAATGCCTTACAGATTTGAGCAAAGACGAGCCTTCCACGGTAATTTTCAGACCTAGCAAACTCATCCAGCCGTTCCATGACATGGCTCAGCAAAGCCAGGGCATAGTTTCTCTTGTTTTCTGTTATATCATCACCATAGCCATCCGCTTGTGATAGCGACTCCCCATCCTCTTCTACAGCATGCTTTACGACATCCAACACGACCGGGAACACTTTGACGCCAGTCTCGCGCACAGCAGCAAACTCATCATGACATGCGCGGACAACCAAGGGTAGCACATGGTCCACCACACGAGAGGCGTCAAATAACATGGCAATATCCATCAACTGCCCAGCCAGAATGTTTCGCAAATGCCAATTGGTAGACACACCGTCCCACACCTCTGCCAGAATAGGGATATATTCGTTTCGTGAAGCGGTGGTCAGCGTGCCCAAAAAATCGGCCAAATGTTCCAACACGCCTTGTTTGACATCGTCCAGGTCCATGAGATACAGAGCGAAAATCTGCACCAAGTCGCGCTCTGTATTTTCCGGACCGATGATACGGGCAATATCATGGAGGGAGTGAGCAAATGTAACACGTACTTTGATTTGATAATCCTTTGTCAGATTGAGATAGGTGTCGCGCAGATGACTATTCCAGTAATCGGCACCCGCGGTCAGAACGACCACGGGAAAGTTGTAGGCGCAAATGTAAGCACGGTCGACTTCCAGTTTCAACATTTGACTGCTGCTGTAGCCAGTGCTGGTACCGCTGCCATTGATGCTGCTGTAGGCATGACCGCTATTGAAAGAAGAAGTCGCGTTGGTACCATGGGAAGAACCCAGAGATAAAAAGTACTGTAACAACGGCTCAGGTAATTTTCCCGGTTGTCCTGTCTGTTCCCAGTCTTCGGGTAGGAACTTAGCCACGAGCTCACCTACAATATCGGCTAAAGCGCTACGAACGTTGCGTGATACATCTTCTGTGAAAAGCTCGAGGCAATAGACAGTAAGGTCTGTTTTGGCCCTCTCAGACAGAACACCGCAGAGTGATGGCAAGCTGAGGATACAAGATCTGCGAACATGCCAGATTTGATCTTCACAAAAATGACGGAAGAGTGGAAGCTGTTCATCGAAGGAGGGGAGAGGGGGGGGGGAGAGAGAGTTTTTCTAAACGTTAATGCAAAAAGAAGACGATCCCATTGTCTCTGTTGCTACTTACCAGCCTCTCTTCTGCTGTTTTCGTGTCCACAACCTGGGAAAGACTGCCAATAGCTGTAGCAGCCTCTTTTCTAACATAAAATAATGGATCTGAGGCTAATTGTTCGATAATAGGTAAACACTCCTCTGTGCATTTTGCAGTGTCAAATGTTCCCGCAATCGTTGATATTAACTAATTTTGCGAATGAGAAGGGAAAAAAAACAACAACCCCATCATGTGGCCCTCGTCAGCATAGGAGTGAAACAAAATACGCATGAAAGAGTCGACTTACAGAAATACATGTAATTTTGGCTAGACTGATTTCCCCTTGATCCAGGTCATCCTCTGACGGAGAGGATGCATGATGAATGTTCAGGGAACTCTCAAAACCAGGTGTAGCAGATGATCTTCTGCGTTGCTCGTGTTGCTGCCTGTTGACTGGCAAACGATCCTTATAATTGTCCTCTCTTTTATTGCTATTCGTTGTTGAGGCTTCCGTCATTTTTGCGTCCTCTTCTTCATCTTTGCGCCGTTGATTTAGTTCTTCTTCCTGCACATCCTCTAATCGAGGAGTTTTTTTTCTACCGTCAATGATAGCCGTGAGTCCTCCTATCACATTTTTAAAGATCTCTGAGTCGATCACTTGCTGATACAGATGCTGTTCGTCGTCGGTGGTTGATGCCAGCTGATGTAATTCTGTCGTAACAGATACTATCGCCTGCTGCCCTAATGAAGCAACGCCTGAACTTTGATCCAACAACAGACGAATCAACAAGGGCCCAAAACTCTTTTCTGAAGTAGCAAATGTATGAGGTGCATTCTTTTTTTTTTTTTTTTTCCAAGGAAGCGTTACGAAAAAGACAAGTGTAAAAAGTGAGCAACCAAGGTGACTGACTCGTGCAAATACCAGCTATCTATCATTTTTTTTTTTTTTTTTTTTTTTTTTTTTTGTACCTTGTAAAAATAGAGTAAACACTGATCGAGTTCACTTGCAAAAGTTTCCTTTACTGTATCATCTGTATCACGCGACAATTCATACATGATGGGTAAAACGTCTGTGAGGGCCTTGGAAATTTCCATGTCTTGTAAAGCATTCGATATTTCCTTGGCTAATAAAAGACTATAGACAAGCGGATAGATTGAGGTGATTAAAAAGTGGGGTAGAGGGGGATAAAGGCTTTCGGTGAGTGTTTACCGATTCAATAGAGCATCGTTTCGTTTAAATGCATAAACACGCTCGACTGGTGTGATATTCTCATCCGCCAATAACTCATCGTCCATGTCGTCCTCTAGCGGTCGTTCTTTCCGTAGGGTTTGTGCAATAGAGGAACGGGCATTAGTCTATGAGTAACGAAAGGAGTTCCCTTTTTCATTACCTTCTGTTCCATTTCTGATTAAGCCAGAAGGTGCCATAAAGGCCGATGTTGTTGCTGTACTGGTTGGGAATTCGTCCGTCGGGATGGCCTCTGTTTCAATAAAGTCATCTTCCTTGTCCAAAGCTGTTGCTGCCGTTGTTAGTTTTTGTTGTTGCTCCTCTGGTTCTAATAGTTCTGCTCTGGCGGCAAGGGCAGTATTATCGATATCATTTTCTTGTCCCATACTGTCGTCATCTGCAGAAGTAGGTACTGGCTGTTGTTGTGAGTTTGTTTCTTCCTCTTCAATTATCTCTTCATCGAATTCTTCATCGTTAAAGTCGAAGCCGAGATCTGCCAGAACGTTTTCATTTTTGGCGATGGGGTCAGTGGCATAAGTGGAGGTTGAGGGAGGGGGTTTGGAGCGAATGATAAGAATCCAACAATCAAGCATATAGAAAGGAGAAAAAGAACCATCAAAACGAGCACACATGAAAAGATGATCAAGCCATATACCCATGTTTTACGATATATGATGCTTCTTCTCTATTTTGTGAATTTACCAGCCATAATAAACTTGTTAAAATCTGTATGTGTCTACTTGAACAATAGAGGTAAAAAGTTATTGTGCTTTTGGAAAGCAGAAAAAAAAAAAAAAAAAAGAAAAAAAAAAAAAGAGGGATTCCAAATTAGGTGCGGGTGTGAAAGAAAAATAAAGCAACAGGCAATTCCATCTTTTTTTTTTTTTTTTTTTTTTTTTATTGATTTTGCTTTTTCTTTTGCGCTCAACCTTACAATAAGGAGAACAACGTGTTTTGCTTCTGCTCAACCTGGGTCGAATAAAGATGACAAAAAACTGTTTCGATAGCGTTAAGAGTGGAGCAGATAAAGGCGTTTGATTTTCTATCAGAATAGTACGAAAGCTTGCATTAACTTTTCCACTTATGGTAGGCTGCCTCTTTTTTCTTTTTGGTACAGTTTTCGCCCACTGTGATACAACATCAGTGATGTCTCTCTCCGCCTTGCTGATGGTTCAGGGTTTGAAAACTCCGCGTTGCCTGTCATCCACAGGCAGCCGAGTTAGGGTAGTACTTTTCATCGCGTGCTTTGCAGACAAGGCAGCTTAAACACAAAAATCTTTGTCTATTTCTGCATCCACATAATGGGGCCCTTTTGAATGGCTAGAAAAGGCTTGTGGAGTCACGTTTCAATGACCCTAAAGAACAGCGCTTCATTATTCTCAGAATCCAGCACCCTCTTGATCGAAAGCAATCTCAACTGCTGAGAGCTTCCATGGATAGTATTCTTTTCAATACTATCTGCTTGTATTTTACATTGTTTCCACCTTGATCAAGCACGGCCAACGTAGTAGTCACTACTGGACAAGATGATCCCCGGGAGCAATGAAGAGAACAACGAAATAATAGATATAATTTCAATTCAAAGCGTAGTCTTGACTGTAAAACCAGACTTGGTCCACAGGATCAGTGCTAGTGAAAGTGGTTTTTGCTGTACGCGTCATTTTGCTTTCAAATAGCAAATACATAGTTGTTTATAGCACCCTAGATGTCAACAGATATCTTGGAAGGAATGAAGAAAGCGATCGTCGCTTTGATTACATAAGATGTTAGTCACGAAAATGCATTGGAGTCGCTTTTTTTTTTTTTTTCTCTTGTTCAACGAGAGAGCTTTTTTATTTTTTATTTTTTTTGTTTATTATTGTCATTCGGTTGAAGGGTGATTGCTCATTCACAAACGGATCCCATTCTAAAATATTATAATCACTTGTACAATTTATTCTTCAAGCTTTCTCTTTTACAATACTGAAAACAGCGCAGAATGTCGTTAAAGAAACTACAAGGTGAGAGAAGACTGTTTTTGTTGACAAGTTTTCCATAGCGACAGAGAGTTCTCAGCCTCCATGGCCACCCCCCTCCCCCCACCACGGGTTGTGTTTTTGTACTGTGCTTTTCTATTAGCTGAAATTGACCGAGTATTGAAGAAAGTGAGTGAAGGAGTGGAGACGTTCGATGCGATTTCGGACAAGATGCAGAATACGTCCAACCACAATCAAAAGGAAAAATACGAACAGGACTTGAAAAAGGAAATAAAAAAACTGCAACGTCTCCGTGACCAAATCAAAACATGGATATCATCCAATGATGTGAAGGACAAAACAGCTTTAATAGACAACCGAAAGCTGATAGAATCGCTGATGGAGCGATTCAAAAATGTAGAACGAGAGATAAAAACCAAAGCCTTCTCGAAAGAAGGCCTCCTACAACGAGAAAGATTGGATCCAAAAGAGAAAGAAAAAGCCGATGTCAGCGAATGGATATGCAACACCGTGGACGAACTATCGCGGCAGATTGAAATGGCAGAGGCAGAGGTAGAGACACTGCAGGGCAGCTCGAGGAAAGGAAAGAAAGATCATGCAAAAATAGAGAGAACGAATGAATTAGAACACTATATAGAACGAGATCGATGGCATATCGGTCGACTCGAACTTATCTTACGACTGTTGGAAAATGATCAAATAGCACCAGAAAGAGTAAATGAAGCTGAGCAATGGCACTCTTCCGAGTTTTTCTTTTTTTTTTGTTTTTCCAACTTTTTTCCGTTTTTGTTGTAACATGCATTACTTGTTAGGTGCTTGCCATTCAAGATGATGTGCAATACTATGTGGAGTGCAATCAGGTAGAATGAAATGACAACGAGCAATGTCGAATAAGGTGTGGTTCGTGCAGCTACTCATTTTAGGATATGGTCCATAGGAACCCGATTTTGAAGAGGATGAGTTTATCTATGAAGACCTGAACTTGGAGGAAGAAGAAGAAATGTATAATGTGATTACAGATGATCATTATGCACCTGAAGGTAACTTATTTTCCGTTGGTTGTTGAACAGTAGTGGATACTTATTGCCATTCAATGTAGACAAAGAAACGGAAGAAAGAGTATCGTCATTGAAAAAGAAACTGAAAGAAAAGGAAGAGGAAGCAGAAATACCAATACCTACACCTAGTACACCGAAAGCAGCAAGATCAAAGAGCCTAGATGACAGCAGTAAGTTCAAAGTCACATGCAAGGGAAGATAGCTTGTGTCAGATTTTTTTACTGACTTATCACGGCTCTCAATGGATTATAGCTGCTACCACAGCAGCCAATAGTCCTAAGAAACCGACGACAGTGGCTAATGTCAAATCTCCAGAGAGCAGTAACGGATCTGTCACATCGCCGACAAGCGTGACTCCAAAGGCGGCTCAAGCACCCACCAAGACGACCGACACCACCATCAATGAAAAAGGTAGTATAAACAATGGGGCAAAAAGTACCCATTTAAGCGAGGGAGGGCAATCACTGATTGGTCTTTTTTCTGATATCCCAAAGGTCAAACACCAAAGATCACCGTACCATCCGCTTGGGCAGAACCGATTAAACTAGCAGATCAGATAAAGTCAGCGACAGAAAGTAAATCAACGCCACAAACAGACAATAAAATCACGAAACACGCGCCTTCTAACATGACGGCAACATCAGTAAACACGAGCGTTGATGGATCACCGCCAAAAACCTCTTCTGCGCCTGGAGCGCCCACCGATAGTCTGTCCAACATTCCTCCTCCTTATCCGCCAGTAAGTGGGAACATCCCTTTTTCTTTTTTGTCGTATTCAAAAGAACCGTCTATAAGCTGATGAACTCGTGTTTTGTTTGATTTTGCATTATCGTGACTGTAGCAGAAACCCGATTCATCTTTACTTGCCAAAAACCTGGATGAAGAATTATCCATTTCTGAATTACCCAACTCTTTGTCAGATCTTGTGGCCTCTTTTGAAGCGATCAAAGCAAAAGCCTCAGCATCAGACTACGAAGACAGCCAATACATGAACCGAATGTTGGATGCCAGTCTACAATTTGTCCCAGATTTGATGGATTCTGAAAGGTATTATTTATAGACATGAAGTATTTTTTTTATTGTCCGACATCGTGACCTAAATGATTTCTCAAATGATAGACCTAAAGTATATCATGCACAAACACCACAGATAACACCTGCATATTATCCACAACAACCTTTAGCTATTTTTGACAATCCTAGTTTATTTGAGAAATTTGATACAGATGCGCTCTTCTTTATCTTTTATTATCAACAAGGTACCTATCAACAGTATTTGGCAGCCAAGGAATTGAAGAAACAGTCATGGCGCTTTCACAAGAAATATTTGACGTGGTTTCAAAGACACGAAGAGCCAAAATCAATCACAGATGACTATGAGCAGGGGACGTACATTTACTTTGACTATGAAGGTGCTTGGTGTCAGCGCAAGAAAACCGAGTTTAGGTTTGAGTATTGCTATCTGGAAGATGCGTAAAAAGTTAGAGTAGGCTCATGATGCTCATTTTTGAAAACACACACACACACACACACACACACACACACACACAGACACACAGACAGACACAATACATTACACCACACCACACTAACTCTTTTTTTTTTGTCCTTTTGTAAATGCATTTCTAACCTATTTTTTCTTTTTTTTTTTTTTTTTCGCCCCTGATTTTGAAAATGTCTCTTTTTACACAATTACTCGTTTCGTAAACCTTTTTTTTCCCTTTTTTGTTATCTTCCACTCTTTTTTTTTGATTTTTTTTTTTTTTTTGAAAAAATCCCTATCTAATAGCTATGAAAATTAGAATAAACATACAGTATCTACTTTTTTGATAAAGTTTTCTTGTGTGCCTAGTAAAATCTGGTAAATCACTAGATGGATTCCTTCTGAACAAGAAAAATAAGTGGTGACAGAGGGTTACGTTTTTTCTTTTCTGACATTTAGTGTCACCATAAATGTGTAGAAAGTTCTATTTTTTCATTTTTTTTTGAGCTGCTAAAAATACTTTTTTTTTTTTTTTTTTTTTTTTTTTTGTCAGGCGCTTCAAACATGGCAAACGAAATTTGAGTATCGAAAATACAAAAATGTTTATTTAGAAAGTAAGACAGGAAAAAAGTAAAGAGTAAAATGATGAGAGATGATGAGAGAGATGGTTTGGTGTTGTAATATATATATACATTAATCAAAAAGATATAAGGGGAAGGGGTGGAAAAACGAGGAATTAGAAAGAAAAAAAAAAAAAAAAAAGGAAAAAAAAAGAAGAAATCTACTACTGCTGAAAAGAAGAAAACGAGAAAAAGTCATTATGTGCCTATAAATCTATTCAAGTATAATAATGATGGCCTTTTTTTTTTTTTTTTTTTTTTTTTTTTTTTTTTTTTTCTATTTGCTGGCTTGAGATTGTGAGGATGCGGGTGTGCTGCGTTTAAGGGTAGTGTTCGTTGTAGGCTTGGTGGAGGCGTTTAATTTTTCATTGTCGTCATCTGTGTTCACTTTGACACCGGGAATAGCCTCCGTCTTTGCAACGTCAACGAGACGACGTTCTTCAGCTTCCATGGCACGACGGTATTGGCCATCAATCAGGGGCTTGAAGGATTTGGAACGAGTTAAACCAAAGTTAGTGGCACGAGGTTTGCGAATATCGATATCCATTTCAGGCAACCACCATGGTAATAGGGGCATACGATCACGGAAGAAGTAGCAGGCACCATGGAGATACTTTGAGAAACGAGGGACCTCGTGCACCAAATGAGAGTCCACCAACTTGGTCAACCATTCTGGGGGTTCTTGACCCAGGTGAGTTTGTAACTTGGTTTCCAAAACAGCGTACGGGAAACGACAGATTTCAGTTTCATCCAAGTAAGGGAAAGGACAGTCGATGCCAACGTCAGGACGACGCCATTCCTCTCCTGTTCTACGAGACTTACCATCCATGCTATCTTCACGAATGAAACACAAATCCGTATCCAAACTCACTCGAACACGTTGGTCACCAGGAAGTTGGAAGGCTGTACGGTTGTAGAAGGCACGGAGAACAGGTTGAAGGCTCTTTTCTTTCAACGACTTTTGAACACCCGTGGCAATAAAGTCGGTATCCTTACATATTTGTTCGTCCACGCCTTTCGTACGCAGACGTTCTGTGATTTCTTCGGGAGTCAACTCACCGGCAATGAACTTTGGCACTTCGTCTACATCCACTCTGAAACGATCCTTCACGGAAGCACCGTCCAACCAATGTGCATGATGTGTCTTACGTTCAATAAACACGTTCTTGGATTCCATGGGGCCATACCAACGGAAACGGATGGCTTCCGCACCTTCATCACGTTGAAGACGGCCGGTGTAGAGCTCAAAGTCTTCGTTATCAAAATAGATACTGGAAATAGCAGAATCAGATGCTTCATACTTCTTGTCCTTGTTGAAGATCAAGACGGGAAGGTGCAACATGATGATGGACTTGACTTCCGTGACGTTATCGGGATGAATCCAATACTTGGCAGTAGCCCGTTCAAAAGCATTTTGATCACCGCCCGCAGCCGCATTACCCGTACGAGGCTTACCTTGAAGACGACAGAGATCGTGCAAAGCGGAAATATACACAATAGCAACATCGAAACGCTGCTTATCCAGGGGTTTAGCACGCAATTGCTTGATAAAGTCTTGCTGAAGATGAAGACCCGTCCATTTATCGTGCTTCTTGAGAATCTTTTGGAAACCAATGTAATTTAAACGGGTGAACTTTGCAAGATCGTTGACGTCAAACAAAACTTCAGTGAGCGCATCATCCATAATATTCCAGTTTTGCTCAGAAGACCATGAAGGATTGTTCATAAACGTCTGCAACGTTCTTTCACAGTAACTGATTCTAGCTTCGACTTCGCCGAGCTTGGCCGTGACGAAATCGTAAACCTTTTCCAATTCATTTTCCAATAGGTGGACAAAATCCTTTTCATCTGCATCTGTCCAGCCATGATCGAGCTGTCTAGCCTTGAGTTCAGTCTTCAAAACGTCATAATTGATGTAAGATAGACGCCAAGGAGCGAAGATATTCTTTTGAAGTTGCTCAGCGAATTTCATTTTTTCAAAGCCCAAAATATATTTTCAAAGCCAAAAAAAAAGAAAGGAAAAAAAGAAAAAAAAAAAAAAGGGAAGAATGGATGAAAGAAGAAGAAAGAAGGAGAAGGGAGAAGAAAGAATATAAAGCGAGAAGGGTTTAATCATCTGAAAAATGGGTCCTTTAAAAATAATATTAAAAAAAAAAATTATTCGGGATTTGAAATTCAGTCTGAAAAAAAAAAAATGATGGCCTATTTTAAGTAGTAGCTCTTTTTTTTTCTTTTTTTGTTGTTGCAAAAAAGCAGTGAAACAAAGTAATGGCCCTTGAGGCAAAAGTGTGCTTTTCCAACCGTGGACAATGGAAAAACCGTTTGTAAAATGCCCCCCCTCCATTCCCGGGAAAACCAACGCCGACTTTATGCCTCCATTTATTTTTGTCCATTGTATGAAACTACTCTTTTTTTCTTTGAAGATCAGCCTGCTTGTTGGAAAAAAAAATCCTTTTAACCCTTTGATTGACCGCAGTTATTTCATATTGGGGGCAAAAAAAGTGATCTCTCGTTTTTTAATGAGAAAAATTGCCCATGACCCATCGTGACCTCATTTTTGACATGATGAAGGCACTTTTTTTTCTTTTTTTATTTTTTTGTAGAAAGGGCAAAAAAACACGAGCTTTTTTTTTTTGCTGTTTGAGATTATAGATAATTGTATGTTTATGTTTGTTGATTGCTTTGTTGCCCTGTCTGCTGATTCGTTCCCAAATATGTAGCTGTGGCAGAGGGATGTTCCCAACGAAGTACAAAGTTCAACTAACGATATGAAAATGAAATAAAATGGACTATCAATAAAGATCCCCAAAGATGCAACGCGCCCAAATTTTTTTTTTTTTTTTTTCATATATGTTTATATAATTTGTTCAAAAAATAGGTTTTTGTAGACACATTTCAGATATTAATAACTTACCACCATCGCGCCTACCAATAATGCGCAAAGCCCGACAGGGCCGAATCGATCATCATACCGTACACCAGGAAATGTCTTGATCTGATACGACCGTAAACGATATCTAAAGGTGGAATAGATCACAATCACGGTCGAAATACCGAAAAAAGTGGCGCCTGCTATTGTACTGATATAATCACCAAAGTTGAGCAGTGTCAGAGCAGCTGTCATAATTAACGCAGAAAATTGAAGATACTTTAGAAAGACCCTTTCGTTCGCGAAAAAGATCTTTGGTTCGAGCATCTGTCCCTTCTTCTTCTTTTTCTTTTTCTCTTTTTTTATTCGCTTCTCTTCTTCTTCGATTTGTATAATAGCCTCTTTACGGAGCTGATCGTCTTTCTTGACCGACTCCACTCTTTGCAGTAAATAGGCCGGTGAATTCCCAGCTCGTCCGCTGTAATAATAGTCTAGAAACATGCTCTGCTGTTCGCTGCTGTCCTCACTCGATCGATGTGACCTAGCATCCTCCTCCTTTGCCATAGTCGAAGCTGCACATGGGGTGGGTTCGAACAATCGTGGTCGCCGCAGCCTAGACTCTAAATAGCCTACACGGTGCACATTGACTGCTTGTGCAGTATCTGTCCTACTTACAAGCGCTTGTTCTCCTTTCATCTTCCGCTTGTCTTGTTCCGCACGACGGATATCTTGATCCATCATGTCGAGCCACCACGGCAGAATGGCTAACTGAGGACGCCATAGTTGCGCCACACTATCTACAAACAGCGTGAATCGAGGTACTTCATAAATCAGCTTGGCTTCAGAGAGTTCCAACAGCCATTGCGGAATGTTGCCATCCAGCCTCGTATGGAACTGCGTTTCAAGTAATGCATAAGGGAACGTGTAGTGTTGACGACCCTCGTTCGATTGGGATGCTCGTGAAGAGAACGATGCTGAGGCTGAGGAGGATCCACCATGGAACAGATGGCTCCACTCCATCTCTGCTCCGTCCAGTTGGGTATATTTTAAATCTGTATTCAGTGACACAGAGAAGGCCGCATCCTCGGGTGATAAAAATAAAAATCTGTTCATCTGAACAAGCGCCTTTGGCTTTAACCGTTTATTTGTTATAGATGTCTGGATCTGCTGAGCTGTACGACAGCTGCCATCGATATATTCTTGCGCGTATCCGTCAGTGCGTAAATCTTCAGCCAGGCTATCTGTCGAATAGGTCCCTGTCAGAAAACCAACGATGCGTGATTTGCCCAACATAATTTGATCTGATGTCGGCCCTCCATCATCACCGTCGGCTGATCTTAGCGCCGTACGATAGACGGAAATACTGTTTGTTAAATCAATGTCATTGCACCAAGAGACACTGATCGATTCGGCCGCATCATCAAACTCTAACGCGCCTGTATATTGCTGGAAATCATCATTGTCAAGATAAATCACTGATCTGGAATGCTCAGATTGCTCAAAATAGGTGTCATCGGACGCTACTATCTGCATTGGCATATGAAACAATAATATTACTTTGACCTCCGTGATATTGTCCTTATGCACCCAGAATCGGGCGCTGACAAATTGCATCTCTTGTTTGGTATCTGATTTGTCAGCCAGAATTGATCTTTCCTCCTTCCTTTTTAGGTTATCGATGAGCGAACAGACATTTACAAATAAATCATCAAATCTTTGGTTATCTAATGCACGATCTCTGCAAATCTCTACAAATAAACTCCATAGATTCGTATCTGTCCATTTTCTATGTTCTTGTACAAGATGCTCCAATGCTTTGAAATTGTTGCGCACATAACGGTTCAACTCGACAAGCTCTGCTAAGATCTCCTTCAACGTTTGACTTGTTGAGGAACGCCAGTTCGAAATAGAATCTGTTTGTGCCCGTGCTACTATCCTTTGACAGTAGGCAAATCGTGTTTCCAGCTCACGCTGTTTGCGGATAATAAATATATTAACTTTACCCGCTTCCACTCGAATGGCAGATTCAAATCCGTCCTCGTCTTTTTCAGTCCAATGTCCGCTTTGACAGATCGATGTCAACCCTCTTAGAATCGCTCCGTACGCAATGTATTCCTCACTCCACGGTTTATACTTTTCATCTTCAAATGCTTGTATTGTCATGAAAATAAGTATAGAATTACAGCGTTTTTTATTGAGGGAAAAATAACGAGATATATATAAAAAAAAAAGAGAAAAGCCATAGTAGGAAGGTGTTAGTGTTGGGCAAATTCATATTACAGGCCATTTGGCAGAAGCCTAGATTTGTGAAATTCTGCCAACCAAAAAATCCGAATCAACTTTTTTTGTTTCGGGATTACTAAAATTAAAACCATTAAAACGAGTTAAACTTTTTGAAAGATCAAGTAAATTGCATGAACAATCGGAAGGTTATCATCTTGTAGGGTCTCTATATCAATTACTTCTTCTTCGTCTGCCATATTAAGATCTTCTTCTTCTATAGGCTGTTTTCTATCCTTCGAATACCCCTCTGGAACTGTTACCACCATTTCTTTCAATCGCATCACGTCACGTCCTATCTCTTTCTCTATATCTTCCAACACCAGCATACTCAACGGCCATAGTTTGCCGCAGACAGGATCACGAATGTCTTTTGTTCCTATAATGAGCATTCCTTTGTTGGCGAGTTTATCTTTTGCTTCTTTTGCTATCTGGACAATCGTCTCTCTGTAAGTGTCGATCATTTTCAAAGGAAGGTTCTCTTCGTGATGCATCACCATAAGCACGAGCTTCTTGTTGTCATAGGCATCCTTGCTCATCATGGTGTCATAATGAACTATATCTTCAGATTCCTCGCTTAATTCTGAAATTAAACCCTAAAGATGTGCAACAGTTCGGTTTCATTGAGCTAAGAACACACACACACACACACATTGGTTGCTTATGTAAAGAAAAAGGAAGGAAGAGTCTATGTGGATATATACATATACGTACCAACTTTAACAAGGTAGCATTGTTTTCTCGAATGCGTTTCTGTCTCTCCTGCTCATATTCCGATAGTAAACTGCTGTCTTCGTTGGTGCTGGATGGTTGATCTGGCTCTTCTAAACAAAAAGCACAAGGTTTCTGTTTTAAGAAAAATTACTATACGTCATGCGGTACTTTTCTGTTGTTTTTTTCACCTGTATCCATTCTTCTATTTTCTGAATTTAAACAAGGTTTGGCAGCAAATGATGTATGCACTTCTTCTTGTTGGTCCTAATCAATGGATGGAAAAAAGCGGGGAAGACCATTCAGTCAATTTCATGCCGCACGCAGAAATCTGTGTTTAAAAAAATGGATTACCTTGAATATGAGTTTTATATGCTCCCAATTGCCATCGTCCTTTCCAAAACGCTCGACCATACGCGACAAACACAGCTGTTGGAAACTGTAGTTCTTTTTCGGTTTAAAGATCCAGACGGTTCCCATCACCACGCTTTTCCGCATGATGGCGGAAGATGGCACACCACGTACACAACGGTCCAAACTAACCTTGTTCTTATCTGAATTATTTTCGTCGTTCAGGGGGTGGGGTGGGGGTGGAGGAGATGAGTGAGAAGGGTCAATCATCTGAAACATGGTAGTCTGTCCCTTAGAAAATAAAACCGTCAGTTGTTTTACTCTTACCAATATTGTCAAAGTCGATAGGCATCTTATTAATATTTTCCTTTGGTATCTTTCGAAAAGTCGCAATGAACTCATGCGTAAACACTAAAAAGTCAAACTGAACGCAAAGATAGGTTCCCAATCCAAATGCTGAACAATAACGTTGTCGCTTTACAATCTATCCATAACGATAAGCCCCATCCCCCCACTTTTGATTAGCTTTACCCTCTTTTCATTTGCTAACTTGTCACTTATTTCATAAAATGGATGCCCAAAAACTTACTAGTTCTTCTAATTCGAACCCCTGATCAATGTAGAGTCGCATCAAACTAAAGCTAACCGGTATGTAGAAACAATGCTCTCTGTTATCGCCAATTCCCAATGTCAGTCTTCGACCCATTTTGAGTAACCTTCAATAGGAATTTTAGCAATGAAGCCCATGCTGCATAAATAAAGTACGTTAAAGCGTCAGTTACCTCCAGCTCTCATTGACTACTTTGGTATACTCTAATTTAAAATCGTCAAGCGTTGTAAATCTATGCATCATTTACAAAACGGCCCCCCCCCAAAAAAAAAGTTGTAGATGAGACAGTTGGGCATTTTCCTCTTTGGATGGGTTGTTTGTTCAAATAGACTTACCTGGAGAGGTCACCATCCAAGTGCGTTGAGTAAGCAACGCAATCCTTATACGGCGGATGTGAGAGTATATGGTGGTAAGACTCATCCGTAAAAAGAGCACCGTTCAAGCAGCGAGAATCTGCTTGAGCGATAATCGGTCGATACTCAGCAGACGTCAACCCTGGTGGCACTTCGAAAGAGCAATTTTTTTGAGAAAGTGTCACTGCTGCCTATTGTAAGGCATCAGTATATCAAATAGACGAAATACGCAATAAAGGAAATTAATCAAAGATGTTGCACATACCGGGTTGATATCAACACCACAACATCTATTTTGAGTGAAAAAAGAAAAAAAGCACATTGAGTCACTCATTATAGCAAAACATTTTGCGACCTAAAGGGAGCCATGACTTACTTTCGCTGTAAGAGAAAGCATTCTATAGCATCGGTACCTATGATCATTCGTTTAAATGAGCCAATTCACTTGGGTTATAGTACGACTGAAATGATGACCTACCTCTACCCAAAAATGTGGATAGCACTCGCTCATTTTTGATGGTATGCTTCAAAATTGCTCTGATGTAAAGAATTTGATTAGCCCTACCCTTAAAACTATTGCCACAGTGATACCTCACTTCATTTCTCCTTACCTACGAACAGTTTGTGGAAGCCAAGTACCTATATCAAAAGAACCATGAATGCATCCTTCATTGCAAACACACCGGGAATCATCTTTCTTTGTTTACCATGATAATCTGTTCCTGAATGTGTCGCCCAGCGGGGTGCTCTTCCTGGTATATCGAAATAAGTGGAGTCAAACTTTAAAGAAAAAAGCTGGTGAGGCTGAGGCTCGTAGGTAGCTAATCGTAAACTCGAACTGGTTCGAGTAAACCTCTCTGATGACAATGCTTCACGCGTCAAATAAGGCTTATGGGAGTAATCCTCAATCGACGTGACGTATCTCTGTTGCGTCTGCATGGATTCACCGCCGTCATCGTAATTGAAGACAACGGGGGCCTCGTCCACGTTGCTTTTCCCGTCATTATCAATAAGAGTGGCAAGTTGAAAGCACTCGTCACACATGATCACTCCTCCATCATACCCTTTTCTCCAATTGTCGGTTTCGTAAGTACCACAATAACAGCAGGAAATCGGCATAGATCCATCTGGCAGCTTCTTCTTTCGACGAGGGAACAAAACTTTCTTTCTTTTTCGGGTATCTGGAGGGGTTGTTATGCTGGTTTAGATAGGGTACGCTCATATAATCGCAGCCTAATATCAAATTGTACTTACTGGCCGCTTTTAGCTTTTCTTTCTCTCTGGCTTCTTCGGTTGCTTTTTGTGCTTCCATTTCCTTCATAATGGCAAATGCTGCAGAATTTGTTATTGATAGTTTGATTGAAATGCTAGAGATTTTTTTTTATATTTTTACTTACAAGTCTCTTCAAACTCATCTTCAGCATGGGAATGGTTGATAGGGAAATTTTCGTAACACTAACGACAAACGTTGTTGGTTCTAGTAAATGGATTAATTCAATTCAAAGTCTTGCAACTTACCGTCGAGCAGAGATCAAACGATGAGAAATACGATGCACAAGAAACGCAGGTAAACCATGACTCATCATCCATCTGCTTTTTACAGCCGTCGCAGCTAAAAATATTGACATACGTATCTATTTGAAAAAAAGGGAAAAATACTGTTAGAAAGGGACCATGTGAGAAATCATTCAGGAAATGGGCTTCTCCAACCTTTTTTGTTGTAATATGCTTCATGGCTTTTGCACCAGAAAATAACGCCGTTCTTAAAGTTACTTATAGGCTTCTGTGCGCACGGAAGATGAAAGCTTTTTGTACATTTTGACTCGAAACACCCAATAGTAGCCCCTTTTTCTTTGCACGCATAGCAACGCTATGAGTAAAAATAATAAGATTCATCAGATGGAAGACTCTGATATATTATCTGTTTCTTGTATATTTCATCATACCATTCCTCTTCCACGTCTCAAAGCCAGCGTAACATTATACCATTTTCCTTCAGGTGTACAAAATACCTCTGGAGAGTACCTTGCACAAGAATCGTGCGCCCAAAAAGTTCTCTTCTTTTCAACACCGTTTTTATTGAATGTAGCCGTGATGAAAGGCCCAATAAATTGCCCTAATTCTTCTGAAGTGTCGGCATCATCATTACAGAATGCACATACTTTTCTACGCCGCCATTTCTTCAAATATTGATAACCTTGGTCCTCAGCAAAAGCTTTATCACCAGTAAAGATCTTACTCGCATCCAGCGCTTTTTCTTCTACTGTCATAATAAAGCAAAACTTTTATCATCATAAGTCAAACACAAACTGTTTTTAAACGCATCATTACCATCGACTTGCATATTAGTATTTTCGACCGGTTTGCTTGCTACATCTGTGCTATTATTATTGCTCCTAATAGTTTCGTTGGCTGTTGTGTTGCTTTCATTATTTTTCTCAAGAATATCTTCTTCCCAGATTGTAACAAGCTCCCCTTTGATCGGTCGAGGACCTACGTCGGCATTAATGACTGACTGAACTGCAAAGCTACTTCGAGGGTGTTCATGCCATACAGGAAAGTTCTGATCAAAGCATCTACAAAAGACAACAAAGAAAAAAAAAAAACCCCCATATAATCAGTAAATCTGCAGTGAGTCAATTATCAAAAATAGATTAGAATATTACTGAAGGCAAAGCTCGAAGCTCTGATAGTCATAGCCTGCTGAAGGCGTTTCGCAATAGGTACAATAATAGCGAAATTGCTTAATGACCACATTACATTGGTTACAGTAGACCTTCCATGAATCAATTTCGACCACTATACAACATATATTAGTTAGTGGCAGTTATAAAAGCAGTTAATGCGATTAATGAAAACCTTCTTCATCTTCTTCAATTGTTTCTTTATGATACTCTATATTGGCCTCGTTTTGCTCTTGTTCATTGGCATCCAAATCCTCGAGTGTAAGCCGCTTCCTTGTATGGCGGTTAATATACATTCTGCGGTCTTCAAATGCTCTAGCATTTTTGTCAATACTGGTACAACAAGGCTTTGAAGATCTATTTAATAACATTGCCTCGTGCGTTTCACGATAATTCGGTTCGATACATTGGACTTCATGATCGTTGGTGATGTGTTGAATCCTTCGACTACCCAATGTAATATATTCGTCGAACACGTCTGGCCAGCCACAAAAATGTACTTTCACCTTATTTTTATGCATACTCACAAGTCTTCCTTCGTAAATTTTCTTATCGCCGCTAAGGACAGTTACATGTTGCATATAGTCATACCCATAGATGTTTGCTACAAATTTGTTATTCTCTAGAGCTTTGGCTTGAAGCAGCCGTAAAGAGATGATATTCTTGTCATTGTCTTCTTTTCCTGAGTGAGCAATATCTGCTTCTGTCGTGGTTGCAGTAACAGTATACTGCTTGACTTCTGATTGCGCGTGCATGGGAACAGCTTTCCTTGTCCTCGACTTTCCAGAAGGTTTAGGAAAGTTACGCCTATCAAGAGTACTATTGCCATTGTTATCATCGTCATATTCACTATTGCTTTGCTCACCATCGTCTGTTGTGCGGTTGCTTATGGCCCTTCCTGACTTATCGGCTCTTTGACGTTTATTTTTGCTGCCATTTTGCAACTTTTTCTTTTCTAGTAACTCTCTTTTTCTTGCTTGCTTAGCTGCCAGCTCGTCCATGTTGACTAACAGGCCCAGTTTTTGATAGTCTTGAGGTTGTACTACTTTGTGCTTAACCTTCCTTTTAAGCTCATCTTGAAGTTCGGGATTCTCTTCAGTTATTAAAAGGTCATTGCTGATTTTTCTTTTCTGGCTAGGAGCCATATTTGTTTGTCCGCAGTTGAAATCCGATGCGTATGTAGACTCATCTGGAAGAGCTAAAGCAGCGGAAGTAGTGGTATCCTTGACGGGATGATTGTTGTCTTCAGTAATGGTAGCAATAGTGGTAACAGCGCGAATTCTGCGGCTACCTAGCATTAGCCATTCATCATAAATATCTGCCCAGCCTTCATAATGCACCTTAACTTGACCAGGTCGCATTGCGGTTAAACGTGCTCTTTCCCAAAATTTGGTTTTGCCTGACCTAGTATTCAGAACCTCTACCAACATATTATTCACGTAGCCATACGGATTAGGAATAAATCCATTTTCATCTTGGAGTTGACGCATTGCCGTTCTAGTAGCAAACGCACCAGTTGTAATATATTTTTCCTCCTTTTTCGACTCGGTCTTTTTTGAAGGTCTGGTCTCAACAAGATCAGTAGGAGTAGTAGGTGTCAAGCTGCTGCTAGACTCGGTACTAACCGTTGTGTCCGAAATAGCTGGGCTTCCAGACTTTGTCATTGCTAATGCTGTCTTTTTCGTACTTTTTGGAACTTGCGGTTCTCTCTTGATATTACTTTTGCCAGATCGCTTGGTTAACGGTTTTGTTAAAATAGATTTATGTTCGTCAGCACTTCGTGTTTGGTGCTTAGACTGCTCATCATTTTGTGATGTGATCATACCAGACGCCTGAGCTTCCGCCTCATCAATATTTTGTAAAATACGTCCAGATTGTACCAGACGAGCTTCTTCGTCTTCAGTTAAAACTTTCAGTCGTCGACTGCCAGAAACCATCCATTCAGAATGATGTAAATCAGCATACCATACTCTAACTTGTTCTCCTTCCATTTCTCGAAGGAAACCTAATCGCACCTCGGTGTGATTTTTTTTTCCTTTTCCCTTTCCTTTCAACGGACAAGTAACTACTACCGCACGGTTTCGACGATAACCAAAAGAATTTGGCCGGAAACCATATTCATCACACATCATACGGGCAAGTCTACGTGTCATAAATACCTCATTATTGTTGAATATTTGCTTAGGGTCTTTATCCATGGTATCATTGACGTAGTCAGTATTGTCAGCAACCTTGGTCGTTGTGATAAGAGAGCTGAGTAGTGTATCTTCTTTTGCTGCTACTTCAACAGTTTCGAGCAACCCGGATGAGTTATCTTGTTCGTTATAGACGGATAACATGAATATATTTACATAAGAAGAATGAACACACGCTGCGCTATATTTAAAGCATAAATTACCTTTTAGTATATTCATATCTCTTTCTCTTTCGTCAATTGTGTGGTAGGCTCCTGAGTTTGTAATGGATGGCTGATCTAGTTTTCTTAGACGTCTACTTCCCATAATTATCCATTCTTCTTGTTGATCCCAATCTAAATATCGAATTTTAACCTTTCCTTTATCCATTTGCTCCAGTATACCAGGATACCAATGCCCGTTCAAATTCAAAACTTCCATTTTTTGCTGGTAGAAGAAGCCATATGGATTAGGATAGAAACCGTGTTTCGGATCCGCTAATATCTGCGCTGTTTTACGTGTCAAAAATGCACCAGTAGTGACATGTTGGTGAACTAAAGTAGAAGAGGTTTCTTTTAAATCTTGCTCGACATTATTTTCTGTAGCAGTAGTCATCAATAACTGCTTCTTTTTAGCAGCTTTAATTTTTGTGTCTGTTTTTTTCGAATGCTGCGATTTAGTCGGAGGGATAAGTTTCGCTGAGTGTCGGTTGTTGCTTGATATACTTCTAACTGCGCTTTCTGGAAATTTTTTCTTGTTCTTCGTTGATTTTTCTGTTCTTACAGATTGTTTTCCTGTTAACTTTTTCTTTTTGTTGGGCTTAAAGTTTTGAGAGTTTTCTTTTGAAACTGACAGTAATGCAAAAGTCTCATCAAAGCTTCCTTGACAGTGCTGGCAAATTTTGATAGGTTGTAATGCTTCTCTATCTATGCTTTTTATTGAACATGTTCTGCACTCAACAGTTTTATCATTTGCAAAGACGTTATCATTTAAACATCCATTATTATCAGTGTCAGGATTTTCAATCAGCCCCAGCTCAATCCAAGGTCCTAGCACGTTATCATCTGATTGCAATGAGTCAACAGAACTCATATCATCGTTCTCATCTCCATCAGCATTAGTGTTATCTTCGTCATTTTTGAGGATTTCACCGTCCAAATGAATATCTCGAATCTCGGATACTATATCTTTATGCATCATGGTTGTAGCAGGTTGCTGCAATACTTTGTCACAGATTATATCATGCTTAGATGTGAAGTTATCACCATTTGCTGAGGTGCTTTTGAAATCCCACCGAGTCTTCCGACCGTTCCTGATATGAAATTTGGAAGTCGTCAGATACTTGACAGGTTCTGTGACATTGATATCATTATCAATTGCTCTGTGCAACACCGCATTTTTTACAGAAGAATTTTGACAGGTCGTCTCGTCGAAATTTGATGACGGTGCCATCTTTACGTCTTTTCCAAAAGGATATTCTTGCCGTTCATGAACAGTTTGTTCTAATCGACTTCGCCTTTTTTTGAAAAGGTCAGCGTACGGTTCTTCAGTCAAAACTCTTTGTGTCAGTAGTTTGGGCTGTTGTGCTATTGCCGTATTCTTGTTGCTGATTGCTGGGGTTGATTCTTTCGTGCTCTGCTTGCCCTTGTTACTGAGAAGTAGAATTTTCCCCATAAAACTTCCAAATTTTTTCGTTTTCTGTTCGTTACCTGTCTTTTGCTATAAGCAATACACATTTTTACGTGTACGTTAGATCATGTAAAACGTAGAACCCTCTGTAACACAATACTTACAATCATCGATGTGTTCTTTGGCTGTTTCATTGAGCTGCTTTCCTCAGATTTCGACTCTTTACCGTATACAATATCGGCTAGAATTTTTGAAGAAGCTCTTTCAACTTCAGTTCATTCACTTGCAAACTGCTCAAACTTATTACCCTCAACTGTTTTAGGAAGCTGCCGATAGAAATGAGATGATTTAGCATCCATAGAGCTGTTTTCTTACTGTAAGACCTTCGTAAATATAGATTCAACTTTTGACGTCTGGTTCCTGTGTGAAAGATTGAAGAAATGAAAAAAAAAGAACCCATTATTCCGCTTTCCTGACCACTAAATACGGCTCAAAAGGAATCCAACTTTAAAACCTGTACAACTTTATCTAAACTTAACTGAATCACGAAGGTCATAGTTCAAGCACACAAAGCAAACGTGTATACAATGGTAAAAATTCAAAACAGTGCTATATCTGCCTAGCAGTTGTGCTAACTGCTCTATACTTTAGGAAATAACGGTAGAAACAGTGAAATTGATGATAGTTGCAGTTCCATAACTATTACCTTAATTGAGTTTTGATAGTCCATTGAAGGTTGCTCTCGAGTAACACTACACTGATTGCAAGGACACTGCCGGTATCTGGGGGTGATACAGATACTTGTTGGCCGAGATCAATAGGCAAAATTGAGATTCTCGGCTTTCTAGCTGCTCTTGTGATAGTCAACCATCTCTTTTAAAGTAATAATAGATTTCTTCTCGCTTATATTAAGTTGGCCTTTTGTTCGTTTTGAATTAATGAATTTTTAAGTCTCGATACACACTTGAGCATGTGCCCAACCATCAAATTTTCACTCTGTCCAACTCTTGACGGACAAAAAAAAAAAAAAAAAAAACAACATAGAAAAGCCATCAAAGACTACAGAATTTGATATGCATATGTTCGCCAGCAAACGAACCTAATAATGATTAATCTTTAACTAATTATTCAGGTTGGCATGGTAAGTCAAACATTGTGTTTACACAAAGTATACAGATTGATAAAGAATATCGGTGATATTTTTAAGGTGCTATAATATTCGTAAGATATACTTATGCATTAAAAGCAGTATATGACAACTTACAATTCACGACTAGATATGAGCAGGGCATATATACCTTCTCACTTGAGTTGAATCATGACTGCTAATGAGATTATAGTACTAGCCAAGTCATCTAAATTTCCAAAAAACTAGTATATTTTTGAAGCAATGAATAAAAGAATGAGCATATCTCTAGACTGCAGTATATAATAACATATTGTAATTCAATGGAACGCGTAAATAACAAACAATTAATGGTTGAAAATTCTTGATAACTTTTAATATTATAACAAAGTTCGTCAACTGAGATCTTCTCAATATATATTTGCATAACAAGAGAGATGCTATAGGTATTGCTCCATTGGGTACAAAATAATGGCAATGCTAGCATACAGTTCTTATTTCGAACCGAAGTTATTAATCTTAATCAAGTTTTTTAACCTGCAGTGTATAAATTTGTTACATCCTTTGATACGAATTGCGTTCCTATACCTGTTTTTTTTTCGGTTTCAACTTTTATAAATACATATTTCAAATCACAATTCAAACAGAAGTAAAAAGGTTCAAAGTAAGATACATAAGTGAGCCCAAAAAACGGAACAATCCCAAACCACAGTTTACCCACAGCATAACAGACATATATGTGGTACCAACTGAGTTCACTAGGATAGACTCATAATTTGCCGTAGTAATGAAGACTACCAAAACAGCATTACAAGCAATCCATGTTAATACAAGGTGTGTTCTAAAAGAACGATAATAATCGTCTTTTGTAAGACTTGTACTAGACTATTAGAAGAATTGAAATTGTAAGGAATTCAGCTTGCATTACCATACTACAACAGCCACATATTAGCACGTACCGCAGTTGTTGAAATCTTGGAGTCCAATGCAAATAATGCTTCATCGTACTGACAATTAATATCATATTTGTCGCCAGGAAGTTCAATTTCTACAGTCTTGATGCCTTTCTCTTTCTCAGAGACCTTTACTATACCAAGATCCTTGGCAATAGAATTGTCACCTTTCGTTCCCCAACTTTGTTACAAACAAGTTAAAAATTAATTAAAGCCATGCTACGTTATCTACGTCCATAAAATATTCAAGATTTACCTCACGTCATGTGTATTGCAAAATGCGTAGATATTCAAAATGTTTACATATCCAGGTAAGAGCAATATATACGGCAAAAAACTTGTAAACATATGGTAGGGTTGACGGTACAAAAGGCTGGAAATAAAGTAGATACCATATGTTGAGCCCACGGAGATGACAATATTTCTTAGCCCTGAGTCTTGCATGGCAATTTGGAAATTTGTTGTTGTATCGTAAGTCCAGTTATATTTCTCTGCTGCCAAATAGATACCTTTGTAAATAAGCCAAGCAGAGCAAAATAGCATATAACACATGATCAATGCAAAGCCAACTAAGCATGACATAAATAAAATCTTTGATCTGTTGCATGCAATTTTGAATTGTTTGTCAATTAATAAGACACATGGATACGCTTACACTTTTTAGTGTTAGATCTCTTACCCTTGGGGTCGGTTCCCCATCGAACAGATGAATATTACAAACAATAAAAATGCATAGACATATTTACAGAAATCATGAATTCTACCACCCCAGCCATTTCCAAAAGGATCAACACTTGAAGCTGCCAAGCTTTTAGTTATGAAGTAGAAGGCTATAAAGAAATTGCCCTTTAGAACATTGCAGAATACATGAATTAATAATTTTGGGAGATGTATTTTAGCACGGTCATTATTGGACTTACCACACTGAACCAACTGAAACCAAGACTAATAACATTGTATATGCCTTCTAACAAAAGTAGCAGTGTCCGACTGAAGCCATGCCCACTACTCCAAATCTTCTTGAAATGGATTAAACCGTAAACACCAGCAAAGAAAGAGCCATTCAGCCATCGCCGCCTTTGCGAAATAAACTCTGGGAGCTGCCCTGGTACATCTGTTTCAGCAAAGGCATTTTTGACATATTGGAGCAGCCATTTTTCATTTTTCTTAGCCACTAACTCAAAGCATAAGATACGGTCTTCAGCTAAGTACATGTTGGCTTCGAATAATCCACCTTCTTTACTCTTCAATATTGGTTTATCATCGTCGCCCGTTTTAGGCTGGTGCTGTCCTAGATTTTTGTGCAAATCCTCGCCCATAAAATACTTTTCCAAAGGACCATGGCCGTTCACATCATTTTTGAGAGCGGCATAACGGTAGGCGGAGAATGCACCAGGTAAAACACTTATGTAACCAAAAACACTCTCTAATGGCTTGTCAAGAATGTTGGACATTTTATATTCAAAGTTTTGAGCAGCTACCAAAGGGTTCAAAAGTTGACAACAGGCTGTCCCCAGCATTGCTCGAATCTCACCACAAGCGCCTCCTATTAAAGGGTTTCGATCGAAAGCTTTCCAAAGCTGATAAATACTGCTATTTCCCGGTCGAGTACCAACGTCCAACAAAATGCATACATTGGGTTTGAGGACGGGTCCGAATGCATTAAAAAACCATCTGTGTGAATTTATCTTTTTGGCATTTTTCTCTTTTAAACAAAACATAACTTGTACTGGTACAATGCCCTGTAAAAAGCAAGTGAGGTGCTGTCAGCTTAATGTCTGTTACCAATATTGCTCAGCAGTTGCAATGATCTTAACCTTATCGGAGCCTTTAATATTCATATCAGAGTCTATTGAAATCTGCGTTGTATACTTTCCAATGTAAAAGTGTGATTTGGCTCAATTAGTTGTAACAAAAGAACTCATTCCAATATTGTCTTACCTCGTAAATGTGCGCTTTCACTGGCTTATCACCAACAATATTTTTTGCTATTCCAGCTTGATATACTCCCATAGTGGCAAGAACATTCAGGACCCTTTGATTCACCACATTTCTCCCATCTGCTACAATACAAACAACGATCTTTTTCCAGCCTTCTTTACCCCACATGGCACTCTTCTTTAAGCTACATAAATGAGCAACGTTTTTCATGACACCGTGCATCGTCCGTGTAAATAATATTTCGTCTTCCTATATAACATACAAATTTAATATATAGAATCACTTGACCATGGCCTTTGCTCGGCAAACATACATTATACATTGTCATGACAATAAATAATTCTGTTTCTCTATTGAAAAGCTTTGGCCTTAAAGTGAAGCCGTTTGTCTCGAAATCATCTGGTTCGCATGTAGCAGCTGTGTATCGTAATTTGCAAAATTCTTCATGGTCGTTGAAGGTTAAGGCTGATAATAAACGATCGGGTATAGGACAATCAACGACAAGGTTATTATTTGTCAGCTGTAATCTACGTGTTAATTTTCGCCGTAGTCCACAGTTTTTGTTGTTCTTCTCTTTGGTTCCTTCGTTGGAGTGTTGCTCCATTATTTCTTCAATGTCTTTATCGTCATTCGATACAAGTGTTGCCGCACTATTTCTATTCTTGCTGATGTCAGCATCTCTCTTAGAAAGCTTTGATTTTTGAGAACGTTGAGAGGCAAGAGTTTGCTGATTTTTGGCGTAAGTTGACGTTTGCGCTTCATTATCCGTCATATGATGTGATAGGCGTTGGCTAGCAGTAGTAGGAGAAAATAGCCAATTGAAGAACCAGCCGCCCCCACTAGTCGGTTGATCATCTTGTTCAACGAAGGAATCCATAATTGAATAAAGCCGTGAACAAAAAAAGAAGAAAGGATGCAAGGAAGAGGGAAACAACAGTAGGATTCTTTTGCTTTAACTGTAATAATAATGGGACAAACATTGAAAGAGCTTATTTTGTAAATGACGCTGAGTTGAATTTGGCATTCATTTGCCTTAAGCGTGGATTTGTTTATGGTTTAACAAAATTGGGCATAAAACACAGAAACGCAAAGGTGAAAAACTGAAGAAAACGTGCGTCAATTCAATCACAATTCGTCATTTCATTACATGCATAAGGATTCTCAAAAGTAACTTGCATTGCATCTACTCGACTTTTAATAAAAAGATATTACAGTAAGATATATTTGAAAAAGTCCTATTTAAATCAAATTTATCGCTGTTTTTGTATCTTCTGAAGTGAATTACTGATGCAGAGATTTACTCAATGCATTTGCATATCTGTATAATTCTGACGCTTGAGGTATCTCTTCAAGTTTGTCCCCTATCACTTCACGAATTGTAGTCAGCAGATCGTCTTGGCTTCGTACTACAAAAGAGAGAATGAATCAGAAATAGCGACGTTGCTCCGTTTTACAAGTTTGAACTTACGTGATCTAGCAGCCTCTACAACTTTGCATAATAACAGACACATATTACATTTGATTTGTACCGCAAGATCATTATTTTGTGAACATATATCATCGACGAGTACCTGTATTAATGAGCGTTCATTATGGTTTTTAGTCTTGTCATTTGAGTTTTCAGTATCATTCGCAACCTCTGCGTGTGGTATATCAGGCAAACATGCTAAAGATAGTAACAATTTTTTTCTTTAGTTATAGTCCTAAGGAATTAATACCTTCTCATTACCTTTATCCAAAAGTGAAACTGAGTCATGGTCTGAAAATACTAGTGTTAATGCCAGAACGCCTTCATTCTTCAAAATAGCAAATGTAGTTGTTCTAATCAGCTCTTTGATGGGCTCAAGAATATCTGCTTTTATCAGCCTACTCTTGAACTCATCGCTGTCTTTTTCTACCCAAATTGTTTTGACCAAAGTGATAAGTATTCTCGTAGCCTCACTTTTAGCTGCTATATCATCCACTCGCTTAATAAACGCCAGGATTGAATTTAAAATATCATCGTTCTCAATGACACTTTTAGCATTTTTGACTACATACGCAAACAAAATTGGTCAGATAAAACGTATTGTAATTTCCACTCAAAGCAATATACTTTACAACTTCCTGTACAAAGTAACTTGATAACACCAATGGTTAAGAATTGATTTCTCTTGAGCATATCGTTCGATGAATCAAGCATCGACGAGACAATTTCTATACAATTATCGTCTCCGAGAATACCTTTATTGTCTTTAGGAACACAAAGATGCTTTAAACAACCCAAAATAGCATATTGAAATGTAGCATGTTTGGTTGACTGATATAGATCAAGCAAAAGTTTTGACAGACCGTATTTCTCTACTAATTCAATACAATGCTGATCTGTTCTGGCTAGGTTCCCTAATATATATATAGCTGTTTGATGCGCAATTTCCGATGTTGACTTGGCCATCTTCAATAATTTTGACAAATAGTGTTGATTGCTATAGATCGCATCCATTTTCGCATCAGTGGATGCTGCGAATACAGTAATTTTACTGAGTGCTCGTCGAATTTCAGCAAATTTTTCTTCTTCCTCCTTATCTTCCAATTCTACGATTTCTGTGTCTTCCAAAAAGTTCAATAAATAGTCTAAAGATCCCATTTCGTAAATCACATTTTGAAGACTTTCTGCAAGGATTCGAACAGTATTAAAGTAAATATGCTGCCAATTCTTTCATTAATGATTACATATTTACCATCATCCATGATCAACTGTAATAAGGTATCTGTCAAGTTCTGTGTAAGATCTAAATCATCCAGATAATCCTTTGACTTACAAAGTGACTCTATCAAAGTCATATATGTTTTTACAGTTGCAGATGTTGCAATTTTCCGACGTGCATCATCTATTTTGACCCAATTTTGTTGGGGTTAGTGTGAGCTATAACACCGAAAATTACAGTATTAAAAACATACCTTCAGCTATTATATTATCTAGGGTTTTGATTGCCATCGACATTGAGCTATGATCCCCTTTACTCGACTGTAGTAGCTTGACGAGATCTTCAGCAGCTCCACATTGGGCAATCTCGAGTTGTATAGGAGCTAGAATTAGAATGGGCAAAATGTGATAATTAGCCTACTCTGCAGGCCCAATGTATCTTAATAAACATATCAATCGTAATTCCATACCGTAATCCATACTACTATTCAAATAAAATCCGCATACTATTCGTATTAGATCAGAATGATTTGCTTCCTTCAAGAAGCTTGCTACGAGTGACACAATACCAGCTTCTTCAACGCGTTTACGGTTCTCTTCTACAGTCCATTTAAACTATTAGCAGGACAACGGGTACCTCAAAGACATTGATGATATTACCATGATCAAAGCATAAATTACCAAGCACGCGTAGTGCTTGAATTTGGAATAGGTACTGTTGCTGTTGACCATCAGTCTGCTTTGAAATTGTGAGTAAAGTAGCCAAAGTCTGTATAACACCGCATTCACCAATTGGTGATCTCAAAGCAGCTATATTATCAATACAGTTTCTGTTAATTGAGCGATATTTGTCAGCTGGTGCATAATACTTCAGTTACAGTTGTACCTGTACGAAGACCGTCAGCAACTCTTTTGCAACTCTCTGCGGCTAATTTGAAATCGACAGGTGTTTTTTGAAGTGCCTGACGCAAATTAGCAATAGAACCATAAAGTTCTCCAGCTATATTGATATCAATCGTATAGAAAGCGGTCGTTAAAAAAGGCTTGGCGAGAATCTCAATCGAGCAAAATGTACGTACAGTTGTCGAGACCTTGCATTGATGTAGCTAATGCATCCAAGGCGATAGTCATCGTTGTACTTGAATTTTGAAGATAATACGGATCGAACTTTCTGATTTGCAATTGAGATTAGTTGTAGTTTTTCGATTTTCGAATACCGCTGCTAAGTTTTCGTCTGGACACAAGCATGATGAATTCATAACCAACATACCATATTCAAGAATACGTAGACAAAAATAGCCTCAGATCACCACAAGATTATATTCTTGAGTAGTGTAAAGTCCTGTTTGTTTCAATAAACAAATTAAATGATAACAGAATCCCCTTATACTCGTAGCTATAAATCCAGTAACGGCATCAATAATGAAGGCAAGCATTTGGTACCACCTTAAGACATTATAAATTGAAATCAAGGAAATATGGTGCTCAACATAGACGGTTGGTTAGATAATTCCCCACTTAATGCATTTATTTAGATATTGCAGCCCGCTGTTTATCATTAATTGTGTAAACATCATTTCTATTACCATACTTAAAGGGCCATTTCCTTTCAAGTAAAATTAGTACAAATTCAAATTTTTAAGCAGTGTTCAGTTAGTATCAAATCAAATATAGTCACGAAGACTATTACCATTGCTACGAGATGCATTTGCTAAAGTACTTTCAAACCAAAATAGCAGCAAAAAAAAAAAAAAAAAACAAAAACAAAAAAACTATAAAAGATATATATATATATATATATGTTTCCTCTATATTGTATGTTATTACTGTAAAAGTAATAATTGATTTCTATACCACAAATTGCCTTACGTTCAATACCAGCATTTTATATTCCCCGAGAATTGTTTAAATTTTTATCGTGATCTCGGCCGAGAAACAATGTAATAGTTGTCCAGCTCAAAATCCAACATTCCCTCGATGCCTATAAAGATTCGCATTTTTCTCAAAGAAGCCAGCCCTTTTCATTTTTTTCCCCAACTTACAGCCCTTATACTGTTCACTACCAAACTTATTAACTTGAAATCAACTATACAATAATGCGTTTTATCCTTACCACAGCTATCACTTTAGCTGCTGCTACCACAGCTCTTGCTGCTAATAGTGAGCCTGCTATGCCCGCCGCTACTACTCTCGTTGAAACCGAGGAGTCACAAGACCTTGAATACTTACTTTTTGATGAAGAAAATAGGGATCCCCGTTTTAATGAAGGAGATAGGGATCACCATTTTGACGAACATGATGGGGACCACCATTTTGACGAACATGATGGGGACCACCATTTTGACGAACATGATAGGGACCACCATTTTGACGAAGATGATAGGGACCACGAACATGAATCAGCATCAGCCGCTCCTGATGACAACCCGGATTTCGACGAACCTAGTGATGAGCCTGAGCCTTCTATGTCCGCCTCTGCTGCTCCTTTTGAAGACGAGGAGCTACAAGACCTTGAATACTTAGTTTTCGATGAAGATATGGACCACGACCGTGATATGGACCACGACCGTGATATGGACCACGACCATCCCTCAGCATCCTTTGATGATGAAGATAGAGACCACGATCATCCCTCAGTCTCATTTGATGATGAAGATTGGGACCACGACCATCCCTCAGCATCCTTTGATGATGAAGATAGAGACCACGACCATCCCTCAGCATCCTTTGATGATGGAGATAGAGACCACGACCATCTCTTAGCATCAGCTGGTCCAGAGGATGACATGGTCAACGAAAACGGTGATGATTTGAGACTAAACTTCGTTCCTTTCCACTGGCGGGGTGACGAGGCTATGGCTCGAGAAACTTTCGAATTTACTCTTGACAGCGCCGCCACCATTGAAATCACCGACTACAAAAATCGTGGTGATTCCTTTGAAGTTTATGATAATGGCGTTTTACTTGGAAGAACAAGCGAAGTTAAGGTTGAAAAAGATGACAATACCTTCGCCTTGACTCCTGAAGAAGCCCTTCATGATTCTCGCTTCAGTCAGGGTTCGTTTGCTTTATCTGCTGGTGAGCACAAGATTACCATCAAAGCCAAGGGTCCCTATAAAGCTGGTACTGCTGCTATTCGCGTCATGAATCATTATGCTCCTGTTTCTTTCCTTAAGAAGAGCGGTGGATATGGTGATCATGGTAATGGCCACTACGGTAAACACGGTTATGGTGATGATGATGATGACGAAGATGACTGGAAGCACGGTTCAAAAAAGGGCTGGGGCAATGACGATGAATATGATGACGAAGATGACTGGAAGCACGGTTCAAAAAAGGGCTGGGGCAATGACGATGAATATGATGATGATAACAATGGTCATGGTAAATGGGGTAAGAAGGGCAACGGCTATGGTCGTGGTAAATGGGGTAAGAAGGGCAACGGCTATGGTCATGGAAAATGGGGCAACAAAGGTGATAACTCTTGGAAGATCAAGGGCGATTATGGCTATGGCAATAAGGGCGGCTACAGCAATTACGGCAACTATGAACACGGTAAAAATGTTGACGACTATTTGAGAAACAAGCGTCCCACTGATGAGGAGCTCGATCTCCGCCATACATTCACTATTACCAGAACCCAATGGGTCCCTAACCCAACTCAAATCAGCCATGACGGATGTGATGATAATGATAACTATGGCTATTACCACTATTAGATTTCTTATAGAACAGCTTAGAAAGGTCAATATTTATTCAATTATACCTTTGACCTTTTATACTCTCCTACTCTAGCTTTAATTTTTTTAAATAAACTGTTCCACTGTTTAATTAGGCTAAATGATATCTGTTGGTTATCTGGGTTTTTTTTTGGTGGTGAGCCAAGAAATTGTTGCCACTAGATGAATGTAGCATATCTTAATAAACATCTTGTTAAATATGAATGTTTCTGTTAGTCCATTAGATTTGAATATGAGTTATCTAGGCAATGAGCAACTTTGGCAAAGCAGTTTATAGTACCACTAGCAAAAGATATTTTGTCGTATGTGTAGTGAAGAGCTTATACATCGCTAGTCGGATACAATTGTTCAACAAAGGCAAATCGAATAGGTAGTCTGCATCTGTATCTTTATTCTTCAGCATTGCGACAATTATGATTTTCCTTTGATTCGGTTGTAAATCATGAAAACAATAAATGTAAAAGATTGTACATAAAATTGTTTATCTCGTTAGCAGAACTTCCAATGGTTACCGCAACTAACACAAGTTACAAATGTCGTCATAGGTTCATCTGCACTTCTCGTTTGCATTTGGAAATAAGTACACTTTCTCCCGCCACATTTACCACACTTGAACATATCAGTTTCTGCTTGCGCTGATGTAGCTCCTCTAGCTTTGAAAAGGGCTTCTTCAGCTAATTTGCGATCACGAGCTTTGGCTTCTTCCGATGCAAGCTGGTCAACTGTCATTTTACATAGTTTCGCTACTGATAATTCACCGCTTACAACACTTTCACGTAATCCAGGATTGCTTTTGTTTTTAAGATTCAGGGCTAATGAACGTGCTTTGTTTTTGTATTCTTGATTGATATCTCCATATTCAGCGTAGAGTTCGTTTTCAATAGCAATGGCGCGTTTTAATAACAAAGACGAGTCTATCAAGTTGTCAATTTATACCACAGTTAATTTATATTATTCTTTTTTTTTCATCTCTCTTTTTCCCGTTTCTTCATACCTGCACCGCTTCCTAACCCAACTGAAGCATACATTAACTCAATCGTCCTGTCACGCGGGCTATTTCCTGTTGATTTAAATGTTACTTCGTCTGATTTGACAGTTCGTGCAGTGGGCTCTACAGAAGGCGTTCTAGGTGATGAGACTTGGGAAGAAGAAGGTGAGGATTTGTTGGAGGTAGGTGTTGTGAGAGAAGATTGTCGAGAAGGTGTAGCAGATTTTGGTGTAGAAGCTCTCGATGATGAGACCGACGTTGTTTTGCTATTGCCGTTACTGTTCTTTTGGGCTTGAACTACATCATCTTTCCATTTCTTCACGAGTTCTTTGGCTTTAACAGATATCTTTGCATCATTATGTGTTCTTAACTTCCCTATCGCTTTACCAATGTCTGTTCTCTATTGCCGCCAACGAAATTGTTATTGTCCTGTTGACGCAGATCGAAATTGCCATTTAAACTTTTTGACTTACTTTTAATAGCTCTCCTGTCACCTTATGTTTACTCAGAGTATCAAGAATATCTAGACATGTCTGTATACAATTCATGAATAACCAACAAGAAATGAATAAATAGTTTATAAGCGAGGACGATAAACTGAAAATCGAAATAGCCAGTTATTACCTGTATATTATTCCTTTCGACTGCAGAAGCAAGCGCACTCTTTGCTTTAATGAATTCTTGTTCGACACTCATAGTAAACTGACAAAAGAAGAAAGAAGAAATTGGCTGCATGTGTCGCATTTCAAAAATTTAATTTAAAGAGACCGGAAGTCACCATGAGGAGTTTGCAATGATGGGCATAAAAATTTCCTTTTTACAATTGGCATTACAATATGTGCTTGGCGGAGATATATTCGGGCCCGGCCTGGATCACTTTCCGGGCAAAAATATTATGCTGGCTGAGAGAGAGTAGGGATTTGCCTTTGACAGAGTGAAAGGCGAAAAAAATTAAGGTGTGTAGTAAGGGAAGAGGCAACCATTTGCTAAAGTAGGCAGTGAGACATCTTATAGATCTTCCTTTTCCACTTCCATCCGTTATAATAAAGATGAAGTTCTCTGCTGGTAAGGATTCCATATCAAATATATATAACTTGTAGATTATTCAAGAGAAGGGGAATGGATGGATTAGAGTTTTTGCACGATGCATTTATGGATATTCAGATATGGATTGACCATGAAGATCGATTATTGGATATATTACAGTGAATTTGCATACTTTACAGCTGTCGATTTACGTTATCAATGAACATTAGTAATTTGAATCGATTACTACCAAACGTAAAGGCCTACAAACAAATTCAAGTGGTTGATAACGCCCATTGCTCACTACGGTTATTCAACAAGAGTCCAACATAATCCATTCACCTCCTTTTGTCAACCTACTTCATTCGTTTCCCCTCTTGTAGCTATATAAATGTTGAGATGTCGTTGCGACTCACGTCACAAAAATCTGATTCTTTTCAATAGACGTCAGTTCTTCCCGCCGTAAGAGCAGAAAGGCTCACTTCACTGCTACCTCTGATGTTCGTCGCAAGATCATGAGTGCTCCTTTATCTAAGGAACTCCGTGAAAAGTACGGTGTTCGTTCTATTCCTGTCCGTAAGGATGATGAAGTTCAAATTGTTCGCGGTACTTACAAGGGCCGTGAAGGTAAAATCACTCAAGTTTACCGTAAGAAGTGGGTTATTCACGTCGACCGTGTCGCTCGTGAAAAGGTCAACGGTGCCACTGTTCCCATTGGTCTCTCTGCTTCCAAGGTTGTTATCACCAACCTTAAGTTAGACAAGTCTCGTCTTGCTATTCTCGAACGTAAGGGTAAGAAGGACGCCATGAAGCAGGTAAATTATCTTAATCAATATAGTTGATGAGTAATTAGGGAGCTTAAGTACAATTGTTAACTCATGTTGCTTTGTTCATCAATCACCATAGTAAAAACTTTCAATTAATGGATCAATTTTTTGTCAAATAATCCCGGTTTAATTCATTTGTTTATTCTATTGTAAAATGTGGACATTTTTGATTTTGTTGAAAAATCAATAAAAGGAAAGATGCGACCATCATGTTTATATTCCATTTTGATGTATTTGTATCGTATCGAGTTTATTCATTGTATAATTTATGAAATTGTGCTGTTTGATAGTCTACGTACAAGAATAAAAAATTGTGACTTCCACGTCATTCTTGCTTTCAGCCTTAACGGATTCTTTGATCTTTTCTCCCTCTTTGTTACGCTTTCATTTTTTCCCCCGTTTGTTCAATTAAATATGTCCAGTATTTACAATACCTCACGTTTGGATAAGTCAAAGAGGCCTGTTCAACGTCGCGTGGAGCCACCTCGACCTGGCATCGGTCCACAACGTTTGGTCCAACAACAAATTCTTCAAAATCGACAACAGCAATTATTACAGCAACAACAGCAACCAGAAAGCACTTACACTGATTTCCCTCTTATGTCAACCGCCAAACGTGGTAAACACCACATCATGGATTTCAAATCACCTAAAACAGTCGACCCCAAAAACTTTGCACGTCCTGTTAAATTACATCGTGAAAAAACAGACTTTCTACCTTATCGACAATATATTGCCAAAATAGCAGCACAAAATGCCGCTAATGAAGAACAGAAAAAAGCTGCGCAAGCAAAAGCGGAAGCAATCATGGCTGGCAAACTTATACCCACTTCTCCGCCATCCTCTCAAAGCAAAGAGAAAGGGAAAGGAAAAGAAACTGTAGAAGAAGTAGGCGGTGAAGAGAACAAAAGCAACACAGCATCAACCAAATCACAACATGGACCCAAATCAGGTGCCGATACCTCATTAATTGCACCTTTAGGTGGGGCTACTCGCAACAAACAATTGCTTTTTAAAAAGCGTACAAAGCAAATTTATCTCGCAAAGGAAGATACCAGAGAGTTGAAAGAACAAGAACACCGGCCATGGATATTAGAAGATTATGATAGCCAGCATAGTTTTACTGGCACTTATGAAGGTGGCCAGCGTTCAGATTATATGTTCTTTGTATTAACTGTAAATTTTTGCTATAGAACTACCAAATTATTTCTTTGTAATTTTTATCTCTGTTTGATAGCATTCATTGTGTTTCTTCCATTTACAATTAGGACAATGGATTCAGAGTTGTACCCGTTGATAGATGGTACAAATTCCAGCCCAAGCGCCACTTCAAGCATCTCAGTTTAGAAGAAGCTGAAGAACAAGTAAAAACATCCCTTTGCCTGAGGCTAGACCTCTTTATGTAACTGATCCCTACGTTTATTTCTTCATAGATGAAAAAACAACAAAAACGTGAAAACGGTAGATGGATGATGTTGAATCGTAGTAAAGAACAAGAAGAGGAGGAACGTGCAGCATCACATTCAGGCAAATTCAAAATTGTCGATCATAACGATAGTAGACGCGGCTCTGATGATGAAGGCGGTAAAGAAGACTCAGATATGGATGACCTTGATTTTGATGATGTCTTTCAAGATGATGAAGAAGGCACTGGAGAACACGAAGTTGAGGACGAGGAGATTAAAGACAGTAAAGACCGTGTTAAGAAAGAGATTAAGGATTACTCTATCAACAGTGGTCAAGACATAGATGATGATGACATTCTAATGAAAGACAACAATGGACTTTCTTCAGAAGGCAAACAGTTACGTAAACTTGTTCGTGACCTCGAAAAGAATCGTGCTTATGAAAGTGACGATGAAGAAGCTGATCCATATGCTTCCAGTGCTGAAGAAATGGAAACAGACAACGATGAAGAGGATGAGAGTAAGAAAACAGAGGATGAAAAGAAAGAGAAAAATGCACATATGCCACTTAAAAAGAAAATTTCTGCGACCGCTAATAATGCTCATAAGAGCAACTTGACGCCGAAAAAAATGCATGCGAACAAACTTAAGAAAGAAGCTATGTCAAAACCATTGGGTCGTCCTGGATCACCCTCCATTTATATGAAAAAGAAGGAGCACGGTGAAAATGTTTCTTTGTCTTCACGTTCTGTAGGTAAACCGTCTTCGCCGCTTTCAACTGCTGCTGAAGCTGCCGCTGCGGTAAAAAGAGAACCATCACCTACTTCTCCTTTAGCCCATCAACATCGTCCATCTTCGCCTATTGGTATCTCCAATAAAGAGTCTAATACCAAAAAGCGCAGAATTGAGGAGTTTACAGAAAGTACTGGAACAGGTAGCCATAAGCACAGAAAAACTGATACAAGCACGTCGCCCTCTCCAGTTACAACAACCGCAGCAGCAGGTGGCAATGGTGATGAATTGATTACAGAAAAGGAAGTCATCGATACTTTACGAGGAAAGGTAATGACAACGAAGGAATTCTTAATGAGTTTCCGTAAGCGTATCAAGAAAGATCCTCGCAACCGTGATATCATTACAACTTTGCTGAGAAAGGTAGCGAAGAGCAATCGTGCTTCTGATCCCAATACTCGCTCACTTGAATTAAAGCCAGAATATCAATGAATGAGCTTTAAGAATATTATTTGAGTGATTGAAAAAAGTAAAGGGATTGCTTATCTTTGTGAAGCTTATTTTTACTGGTCACTATACTAATAGATAGGAGAAGCCTACTATGTATTATTTTCAAGGTTAATACTACGTTATCAATAAATTGTACCCATCGAACATCATTTTTTACGTGTTGTGTATATGCTGAAATTGCAAACAAAAACTTTCAATTGCTATTCACTTTTCGAGATCTCAGGATCAACATTATAGATCAGATATTCAAGTCTGCGAATGTTTATTTGGTATTTTTTGTTGCCTCAGAGAAACAACGCCCCAATTTGTGGATAAAGGTGATTTAAAACGTAAAGCAGTTACAAAAATTCAAAAATTTCCAGTATTCTCCCCCTCGCTTTATTTCGTAAAAAATATATCAACAAATGTTTATTGCCACTGCTTCATCTGATGACAAGCCTCAAAGTAAAATTGTCAAAAATAGCCAAACAGCTGACTCTTCAGGTTAAGATCTGCAATAAGTTCTTGTGTCACATGAATGCTTATTGTCCTGTGTCTATGTAACAATTGGTTTTATCAACATAGCCATATATAGGAACGATCCAGAAAATGTGAAGACGGTTTATGATCTATTTAAAGCAGGCTTACAGCTTTCACCCGAGGAATACTGTCTTGAACGTCGTGCTTACGACCCAGCCACTAAAAAGAGAGGCAATATTGTATGGCAAACGTATACAGAGGTATCTCAACGTATCAATGATGTCGGATCAGGCTTAATGCATATAGTCGAGAATTATACTACCGATATCACAAAACCATCAAAACGCATCGGTTTATGGACACCCAACCACCTGAATGGACCATCACCAACATGGCGAGTGCTTCTCAAGGCCTTTGTAATGTTGCCTTATATGAAACTTTGGGCCCCGATGCTGTTGAATATGTCATTAACCACGCCGAACTCGAGTTGATTGTCTGTACCTCTAATCATTTGGCAAAACTATTGAAACTAAAAGCGACCAAATTGCCGATCTTGAAAGTAATTGTATTGATGGATGGTACTTTGACCGATTCCACTGAACTACAGCCAAATCAAATGCAGAAAGGCGACTTCATCAAGGAATGGGCAGCTGAAAAGGAAATCACTTTATTCGATTTCAGTTAGGTGGAAGATTTTGGTAAAAGATATCCCAATGATCATGAATATCCAACATCGAACGACGTATTCTGCATAATGTATACTAGTGGAACAACAGGTGTACCAAAAGTATACAGCTCCAACACGTGAGAATAGAAAAATGATTTTGAGTCTTGTTTCTTATATTTTGTTTACATAGGGTGTTATGTTGCAACATGGCAATTTTGTAGCTGCGGTTAGTGCTGCCAAAATTCTGTTCAAAACGGACGAAAAAGTTGTGGGTATTTCATATTTACCTTTAGCCCACTGTTTTGGTCGTGTCTACGAAATGACCATGCTCGCCAGTGGTGGTAAACTCGGTTATATTTGGGACGGTATTGAAACGTTAGTTGAAAATTGCCAAGTGTTCCAGCCTACCTTCTTTGGTGCTGTACCTCGTCTTTTGAACAAAATTTACAGTTTATTGGCTCAGCGTAGTATCTATGCCGGTGGCATGACTGGTTTGATATCTCTTATGGCAATGAATGTCAAATTGCGTCAGTTATCCGAAGGAAGGGGTTGCACTTACGCTTTGTGGGATCGTTTGCTATTCAACAGAATGAAATCATTGCTTAGTGGACGTGTGAATGTCAGAGCTTCAGGAGCAGCTCTTTTGAGCCACGATGTGTTACAGTTCTTGAAAGTGGCCTTGTGTTGTGATATTCGTGAAGGATATGGTGCAACAGAAACTACTGCTACAGGTTGTTTGCTACGAATGGGGGATAATACAGCTGGTAGCGTTGGGGCTCCTTATGTATGCATGGAAAGCAAATTGGCGGACGTGCCAGAAATGGATGACTGTCAGGCATGCGTAGAACCGCCAAAGGTAGAGATTTGTATGCGTGGACCTAGTGTATTTAAAGGCTATTTCAAAGATCAAGAACAAACCGATGGAGTGTTAGACAAGGACGGCTGGTATCACTCCGGTGATATTGGCACGTTCAATTCACAAGGAAGCCTGACTGTTGTCGATCGTAAAAAGAACATTTTCAAATTATCGCAAGGCGAATATATCGCTCCTGAAAAGATCGAAAACGTGTTTGTTAAAGATCCTATGGTAGCACAAATCTTTGTCCATGGTGAACCTTTGAAAAGTGCCTTAATAGCTGTAGTTGTTCCTGATAGGAAGAATTCGAAACCATTGCCAAGCAAGCCTTAGGTTTGAAGCAGTTCGAAATGGCCGATCATGAAGAGCTCTACCAGGATGAGAAGATAAAATTGGCAGTATTGAACCGTATGGTAAGACGGGTAAAGCTGGAGGACTCCAAAGTTATGAGATACCGAAGGCAATATACCTTGAATCAAAACCGTTTTCTATCCAAAAGAATCTATTAACTTCATCTCTCAAGATTAAACGACACCAGGCTAAGAAATATTATGAAAAACAGCTTGAAAAATATGTATACATCATTGGAGTGATATCTCCTAATTATTTTACATAACTCATTTTATATATCCTGTTGTAACTATTTCAAATATTGTAATAAATAAAATTAAACACTGAATAAGTAAAGTTAGACAACTTATAAATGGATGAGGATTGAACAATCCTATCTTGATCTGTACAAGCTCTTGCTGATTTCGGAGGAATTCTGTTATTGCGACTTTTTGAATGCACACATTTTACATGCAATCTCACCGTTTCCATCATCTTGCCACATACCTAGTCGATGTGTTTAAGATTAGCCAAAAAACTATCAATTTAACAGTAACTAACATAGCCTTTCTATGGATATTTGAAAGCAAACTAACCTGGAACACGTGATGATAACGCTCTACTACAGATAAAACATTGGAAATGATGAATATGATAATCGTGACCAAAAGCTTGGGCAAATGGGCCATCGATAACTTCTTTGCATTGATGACAGCGCTTCATTCTATTTAAGCTATCATTGCTATCATTTTGGTTGGCAGACCTTGCGTTTGTTTGCTGATTTTTACTAGATGGCTCTGCAATATTCTGGCTGTGAGGAGTCGATAGCGATATAGATGAGGATGAGAATGCAGGAATAAAGGCCGGCTTTTTGGGGACAGATGGCTTTGGTTTTAAATTTGGTGTTTCATTATCAGTGGCAGTAAATGGTTGTTTTTTTGATTGTTGTTGTTGCTGGTTCAGCGGTAATGCTTGTTTTGACGAAAACTGTTGCTTGCTATTGTGGTAGTCATCTTCACAATAAGGCTTTTTATCCCGAACAAGAAACAAGCCGTTTTTGAAAGTTCGTTTACAATCCTACTTTGGAAGCAATAAGTCTAATTTCTTCAACCAGCTAAGTACACTTAATTTTTAGGCTTCGTTACCGTGCAAACAAAGCAATTGGGATGCCAGCTTTGATCCAACGCATTTATATATTGTCCTGAGATAGGTTCCTTACATCCAGCACATTTTTTTCCAAACAGTTTTTGGTAATCCTCCTGGCAATAAGGCTTCTCTTCGTGAACCAAAAATGCAACCTGGTCCCCTAATGGCTTTTGACATGCTGAGCAACGAAAATGACCCTCATGAAAATGCTTACCCAATGCTCTGATGGCTGCCTACAATAGATAAGATTGTTAATAACTCTTAACGCATATAGTTTGAGCACCACCATCATAGATTTCATGGCATATTGCTTTACTTGGTTGACGATGGGTTCATGGCAATAATCACATATTAAACTGAATAATTCTTTGTAATCCTTCTCGCAATATGGTTTGCTATCGTGCTCGAAATACTGTACATGGTCTAAAGGGGCATGACAGGCCGTGCATGTAAAGCAACAAGCGTGCCATATTTGCTTATCCTCCATTACTGATACAATTTCTCCTTCTTCAGCAATAGGTCGATGACATTTCGGGCAATCCAAACCAGCGTAGATAGGATTGAGGGTTTTCACTTTATCATTCTGCTGGTTATTGGTTTTTTTATTAGGTCTGGATGGGCGTGGGCTGTTAGGAATGGCAGGTGGTGGTGATGAGTTGCTGCTGCTGTTTGACATTCTGGGCAAAGGCGGTGGAGGATTAGGTGAGTTGTTCTTTAGAGGGAAATTCTTCAAGGATAATGGCGATGAAGCTTGTGCGGAAGCCTGCTGTGGCTGTTGCTGTGCTTCATTTTCTAATGGTTTCCTATACATTTGTTGCTGACTATGCTGGAACACTTTTGGATCTAAGCACGCTTCAAAAGCGTCAACCTTCTTTTTCGGTTGAGAGATGGTGATTGTTGTCTCATCATTCAAATGTTTAGATGGTGCCGGAAAAGCTGGTATCGCACTTTGTGTAGTTGATAATACAGTTCCTGTAGCTTCTTTTAATCTTCTCATTCTATCTTTGATACTGCCGTACCCTTCCTGCTCGATATTTTTGCTGCTGCCCTTATGTGATGGCCGCTCATTCTCATCAGCCACGATAGACATGTTCTGCAATGGATAAATGAGTTCATTCTTTAATGCTTGATAGTTTGTTGTAGGAGAGGCTGGTGCTTTGCTCATTCTTTTACTACTGGTTTTACTCTGACTTCTGCTGTTATTGGGCAAGCTGTCGAGATATTTGTCTATAATGCATTACCCGAAAAAGAAAAGAAAAAACGAAAGTCCAAAAAAAAAGTAAAAACCATCTTTAGTCTAGTAGGAAGCATAAATATGTGAACTTGTAGTGAGTTACCAAGTTGGTCTTTGGTTAGAAAAGACATGTTTATTGAGTCATCGAGAATAAGAGGACCCAAACGAGGTACAACTTTCTTTTTTTTTTCGTTATTGTCCGATGGCAAATGCGCAGCAAACAGCAAAGGGCGATCAAATTGAACTGCAAATGCAGCAAAAGCGTTACACAAACGATGTGTAACAAATTCAAAACACGTATAATGTTAAAACCTTGCAGCAGAGTAGTTGAAATTAGAAAACCACAAGAAAAGCAATGGTTCAAAAAGGTGAACAAAACGTAAGCAAAATGCATTACATTCATTGTACACCTATCACTGTAATTTTTGATCAAGATCTGTTGATATCAAAGTACTAATGAAGAATATTCGCTACATATAACATCAAGTATTTGCGTGGCGTAAACTGATAGCAAAGCGTTCACAAGTACTTCAAGAAGTTTACATAAGAATTATACCAAAAACTAACTGAATTAAAAGGGAGTTAGTGCATGTTTAAGCACAAAGCGTGCGTCAAATTAGTTCATCACTTCCTCAAACAATTCAATACGGGTGCATCCTCAGAAACAAAAACCAACCTCTGCTGGCAAAACTTTATCATTTTTTTTTTTTCTTTTCCGCTGTTAAATATGTATAAAATATTTCATGGCATGAATGATTTCAAAAATGCATGCATACTTGAAAAGCTATTTTTTTTTTTAAAAAAACACGTGGTAAATTTTTCTCTGGTTGTTTGTTTTAAATTCTTTCCTATCATATCAGTGATGTTGTACGCATGGAAGGATTGCATACAAGTACAAGATTAGAACTTAGGTCTTTTATCCATGCTGTTGTGATGAACCTACATACATGCAGTACATGCATAGAAGGATTAATTCTACATATGAAGAGGACAAGCGCACAGACATCTTTCTGATCCTTTTCCCATATTAAAGTTCATTATCCTACTCCGCCATGATGACCTAACAAACATTTTTGTTTGGGCATCTGACAAAGGCAGTGTCTTTATCCAATACTCGAGTATATCAAGCATGTTTAGCCTCACCTTGAGACTGGTTAATTGTTTATTTTTATCTGTTCTGCGTGAATTAATTTAACATCCGCTGCATGCATACAGTTAACGAGTCCTTTTATTACTCCATTCTTATTCTAGCGTAAAGCTTTGAATTAGGAATATACGTAGCAATCGCAATCGAGTTTGCTGGCTTTACTATTTGTATATTCAAAGAATAACATGATGTTGCTTTGCATCGGGTTCCTTCAGATTCAATATGTCGTCCACAAGTAAGGAACATATGTCATCATCCTTTGCTATATAACTTCGAAAGCTGGCGACTGAAATAAACTTTATGAATTTCAATTATTTAATAAAATAATAATTAAAAATCATAACTTGTAAAACTGGTTAACCGACAATTCTACTGATATCAATATAATCAGCAAGGACCGCTTTACTCAATGGCTGACTATATATGCTAACGCGTTTCTTTGAATATCTTCGAGAAAACCCCCTCTGTTGCATTGCTTCATTCACAAAAATACACTTAATTATCGATTGTTTGTCAATAAAGTATATGCATTTATTCTGATGTAAGCTTTAATTTGTATCAGTAATTCATCGACCTAATATAATTCCCGAAAAAGTTCTCGCAAAGATTAAACACCTGACAATGTAAGCTTGCCTTTAATTATTATGCGTTAGCCGCTATTCTCAAGTCTATCCTATTCTTATGGTTACAATTCGTTAATCAAGAATCAAGTTTACCATATCCGTAGTATAAATATACAATACATAAAAAAGATCCCTTTATATCGGAAAACAGGTTACAATACTGTTTAATCATTTGAATATTTTTTAAGATACACTACTATCTATTCTTTATAGTCAAAATTTCCTCCTCCTTCTTCTTTGTCATTGACAAAGGCTTCATTTAAGTCTTGAAGGAGATCAAGTAGAGCATAGAGTAAGGAAAAGGAGTAAATTCAGAAGAGGAGATCTGAGAGGGAAGCCGGAGATGAGAGCTTGAAAGACCGTGCCGAAGTCAATTGGTATTAGTGATGAATGTTCTTTGCAGAATGTCAGACCAGATAGCGAGCTTACTGGACAGCCACCTAGGAAATGATCATAGGTAACGGAGGAAGCGTGACAGACAGGACAATTAGGAGACTCTTTTAAGTGTAGGTATCATAGAGTTCGTTATTCACCCACGGATACTTTGGGCAGCCACGCACGGTCCCACATTTGACGGTCGCAAAATAACATTGGGCGGTCCCAAAATAGATGTAGTTTAGTAGCAGGGATGTTGAGCATTCGTTGATGTGCTTTATTGTTGCCAATTGGTCGCATTCGCGGACAAGTTGTTTGCCGCCATTGGGTGCATTTGTGAAGTTATCGTGTTAATGTCATTGGTGGCATGTTGTTGTCCATGTGGCATTCATGAACGATCAAGTCCACAGAAAGGGTTGTGAATGAACTGTTAAGACTTGAAGTATATCGCGGTATAAGTCGGTGTCATTGTTGTTGAACATCGTATATAAATATATGGAGGCTTGCATATGAGCGTGTCAGTGAGTCTAATGGACTTGAAGTGAGAAAAGTGTGAGACAATTGAGAGGAAGGTGTAGCAGGGGAGAGGGGCACCTGATCAAACTTATATTGTATGTTATACAGATCTAGTGTTTTGTATAGAACCTGAACCATTGATGTTAGGACAGCTGATATCGTGTTCTCCTTAAACTTACTACGATTAAAAAGATTTTATTGACAAAATATTTTTAAACCCAATGGGCACACAGATAAACTACATATCAAAATTGCCCTGGGCAGAACAAAAATTGGAATAAGAATTAAAAAACCCTTAAAGGTGCAAGGGGAAAAAAGGCAGTGGTTCTTGAAGCAGACTAGGAGATAATGGGATCCTTAAGTATTGGTGGTTGTGGGCGCATAGAGCCAATCTAGGAAAAGCTGTCCTAATGTTTCTGACGGGGTGGGAGGCATTTTCTCATGTTGAAGGTAATCGACTTCAAAAAGTAGCAGTTGGACAATTGGCCAGACTATGCTCCAGTTGACGGGAGCATTGGCGCGCTGTTTTATTGGTCGGGTTGGAAGCTGGTTCAACAGGTGAGAAATGGGATCAGAGATGTCGTGTGGCAGCTGTAGACGGTTGTGCATATTGAGGCATTCGATGGCATGGTCTTTCGTGAGAGTGCGTGATGGGTGATGCAGGCAATGGGCGGAATAGTTGTTTGGAAGCCAGCCCAGCCTATATCTAAGGCAGCGACTACGTTCAATAAAAGACATGGGAAGCCAAAGAATAGGGTCAAGAGAGATGGTTGGACGGCAGCATTTAATCAGTTTCGAGTGAGGCGCGGAGCGTGTTGCATTGAGATTATCTTGACGGTATGCATCGATGGCCTGTCGTAGCGTTCGGCTATCGTTGATGGACGGGTTGCACTTCCAGATTGGATTCGCCATTGACAGTTGGTACCATAGGGAGCGACTATCAGCTCGGGTGATATGGGGTAGAAGACCTTAAACTTACTACAGTCTTTTCGGTTCAGATTCAGACAGCGTTGAGTTAGTTTTCAGATGAAACAAATAAAACAATTGGGAATTTGAGTACAATATTTTTGGATATATTTTTGATAAAATGTAGACTTATTTACCTGTATGTATCAGTCATGGCTCTTCCCAACTCCCAACACTTTTCTCGGTCAGCGGAGTCCAACTCGGCCTCCAAGCCCAAAAATCATTCTAAACGCTCCTATGCCCAAGTGGTCACAGCGTCTAAACGTGTTTCGCTGATGCATAAAGGCATCGAAGCTCGTGATATTGATGAAGGCACGACTTATAGTCGCCTTCAAACACGTGTCTATAGGTCCTCACGTACAATGGGGGCTTTGCTATTATCTATTTCACCGGTTCTCAAAGACTACTCCGAACTTCAATGTATGCAATTAGTTAAGGAACAGCACCCGGAGGTATATGGGTGCACCATTGCAAACGACGGTAGTCACAGATATCTTGAGATATATATCCAGAAGGACAGTAATGATCTCGCTTATAATGGCGTCAAGTTTCCCAACGCCAAGCTACAAATTCTTCCCTGCCAAGCTATCGATGACACGAACACCATTACTAAAGTCACTCTCACGAATTTACCTATGTTGCCTCCCACCGAAGTATTGGCTGGTTTACAAGAAAGCCTTCAACCGTTTGGAAACTTAGTTGACATAGGCATCGTTACTGAACCTACCACCGGCCTGTTCATGGGATCAGGTTACGCTGTACTGAGCACAAACCCCACCGACTCCACTATAGTACCATTGGCACACACTGTTATGTGGCAAAATACAGATGAAGTCTTTCATTGTACTTGGAACAACATGCCCACGTGGTGCCGCTATTGTCATGAAACTGGTCATACTAAATTTGAATGTGAAAAATCCAAAGCAAGAATCCGCTGTTACAACTGCCACCAACTTGGCCATCGGGCTTTTGAATGCCCTCGTAAGACGATTAATCCGCAAGCTAAGAAAAGAAAGACAACTCCCGCTCCCGTAATCGCCGAATCTATTCATGCAGCCAGTACTGAAACCGCATCACCTAGTAAACCAATTGAAGCTGAGAGCCTTCAGGATGAATCAGATACAGATATCGTCAGTGACGCCGACGAAGATATTGATGACATGGAAGTTGAACAATTAGTCGCAGAGAAAGATATACCTCTGGATGAATTAATGATCGCATATAAACATAAATTGTTTGACGAAGCTCAACTTGAACACCAAATGGAGAACAACGGGTTAGCCGTGGAAGACTTATCAACTGAAGATGCAAATGCACTGCGCAGGCTTCATGATGATCTAACTGTGCTAGTAAAGGAAATTAATAGACGTCAGGATGACGCCTCTGCCGAAGAGGCTCATCAATAATACATTACCCTAAACAATATATATATAATGACAAAACATATCTCTTGTCACTACGCTTCACTGAACGCCAACGGCTTGGTGAAGACCATCACATCCTCAACTTCAACTTCAACCCATAACTATCTACGATATCTTAAACTTCAAAAATTTGATATCCTTTGTCTACAAGAAACGCATACCAACTCCTCAAACATAATCGATCGCTTACAACTACAATTACAACCTACTCAAGCCTTTTGGACTGATTATGTAGGCATTATCTCTTTCTCACCAAATTATCAATTGACTTTATTAGATACTTCAGCATGGTACTCATCCCATCGATATCAGCTTTGTAAAGTTACCCATCCTCAACAGTTTTTTACACCTTTTTATATACTGAATCTCTATGCACCCGCTTCATCCCCACCGACTCGACGTTCTTTCTTTGCTGACTTGACTAAATTACTACACAATTTGAATACAACCATCCAGTTAGACAGATTAATTATTTCAGGAGACTTTAACTATTCGCATCTCCGTGAAAATGACTTAACCTCTGCCACATCTAACATTTGGGAAGCACTGCTTACCGAATCCTTTTTCAATAGTATGATACTTAACAATATGGACAGCATACCCACTTTTCAACGGCAACACGGACCGACATCGCTCGTCACATCCGTCATTGATTATATCTATCTGGGCGAAAGCCTTAGACACGGTATTTACGACAACGCTAATATAAGAATTGACCCTCGATGGTCTGACCATTCGATTTTGTCCATCCAGTTACGGGTAGGCAAATCCAAACTAGGTCCTGGAATGCTTCGGGCGAACCCATTCTTATTAAGACAAGATAAATTCAAACAACATCTCACCCATCGATTAGAGCGTCTCGTGGAATCGTTTGATTCACGAATTACGCCTCAAGACCAGTGGGAACAAATAAAGCAAATTACAAAAGAAACAGCCAAAACGTATGGAAGGAAAATCTCCTGTTGGCGACAAAAAACTCTGACTCAACTTGAAAAACAACGCAACCGCCTGTTACGGTCCAAACCACCTGCGTCCGTTCTTGCAGAAAAATTACCTTCACTGATGGGCAAAATTTATAAACTACAACAGGAGCTCACAGATATAGCAGCTTTAAAATCCAGCGTTCGATGGAGGGAACGGGGCGAAAAATCAGCCTCATACCTGAAAAGATTACATCAACAACGAAGCACACAACAATACATGGCCGGCATCCGCCGAGACGCAACCAATGAAGCTAATGACGTGATCATAGATCAACAGGGTATGCAACAGCTTGTCAAAGAATTTTATCAAAGATTGTACACCGCCCAGCCAGTTGCACCTGAATCTATTCGGGCGTATTTAGATAGCATCCACTTCCCAACTAAAGTAGAATCATTCGAATCTGAGAACTTAATAACGTCCATTACAATCGATGACTTACGCCAGTTGGCCAAGCGGTCTCCTACCCAGAGTAGCCCTGGAAATGACGGACTAGGATATCCCTACTTAGCATTTTTATTCAGCCTTCCTTTTCTTCAGTCAATTATCGTCAAGGTATACAATTATGCTTTAAGTGATGGGATCTTTCCTATCTCATGGAAAGATATACGGGTCCGCCTTTTGCCCAAGAAAGGTGACTTAACGTCTTTGAAGAACTGGCGTCCCATTTCTTTGATTAATTGCGACGGGAAAATCTTTACACGCCTCCTCACACAACGCTTGGCTCCCATTATGACTAGAATAATCAACCCATATCAGAAAGGTTTTCTTCAAAACCGTTTCATAGGTGAGAATGGATTGATAGTACATCTAATTTTACAACAAGCGCGACAGTTCAAATCAGAAGGAATAGGCCTCTTGTTAGATCAAGAAAAGGCCTATGATCGTGTTCACCCCAGCTACTTGGAACAAATCATGAAGCGCTTCGGTTTCCCTGCCACATTAATTACTTGCGTTCAACAACTTTTCTTTGGCAATGCTGTTCAAATCAACACCAACGGGTTTTTCACCGATGATATTGCCCAGACCCGGGGACTAAGACAAGGGGATCCATTATCCCCTCTCCTTTTTAACCTCGTACTTGAACCACTGCTTCTATCTATCCAACAGGATCAATCATTTCAGGGTTATTACTCGTATGTTCAAGGATCACCACAGCGAATCAAATGTCTCGCTTATGCAGACGACATCTGCGCATTTGTTAAAGATGCGAATGATTTTCAACTGTTAAATCAGCACCTTCGACGCTATGCAGAAGTTTCTAACGCTCAGTTCAACCAACACAAGACGGAAGCCTTTTCTCTATCAGGGGATAAATCCATGTCTTGGACATCCTTATTACAGTCGCATAATATCTCTGTTTTCTATACTAAGTTCTCTCCTTCCCCTCTCCGGTATTTAGGCTTCTATTTACATTATACGACTCACCAACGAAATTATGTTCAAGATATATTATTAGAATCTGTTCAAAAGCAAGTGGCACTTTATTCACCGAGACAATTATCATTACGTGGTCGGGTAACGATAATGAATACACTTATATTGTCCAAAGTTTGGTACTGTCTTCGTATATTCCATCCTACCAAAACCTTTATCAAAGCCTTACAGAAACTTAGCTATCAGTTTGTATGGCGGAAAAAATTCCCACTAGTTTCCTATGCTCGACTTCTAATGCCCAGACACTTAGGAGGAGTTGGTCTGTTAAATGTTGCGATGCAACATTTAATCCTGCAAATGAAATGGTTAATAATGTTATTCTCACCACAGCCTTCCCTAGTTCAAGTACTCCTTCGCCATCATTTCCGGTTGATGGGCATCACATTTACTAGTCCCTTACTTCCTTTCTTTTGCGCTATTCATCGTTCTCCTCATCTTTGTCATCCAACCTCGGTTATACCGATTATGTTCACAGCGTTTGATCATTTGAATGTTACCCTCCCATTGGAGGATATTCCACTCAAGAGCTTGTTACTCTTCCCATTACATTCGTTGTTTACACGTTTACCAGAGTCGCACTGGCTAGAACGCCATCCCAAGATGCTTGCCAACGCCTTTTTCCGCTACGACCAGTCCACTAACCGCCTCATAATGAAACGACCAGGTGAATATAATGTGAAACCGCGGTTGCTTTCACATCTCTTGGGCCAATTGCTCACCGATGCTACAGTTCAACTTCACCCGTATATTCACAGGGTGCCGGCAGGCTCTTCTATCACTACCGACGACCCAGATAAGTCATTGGAAATTACACTACTACGACGATTGGCCAACAGTAACCTTTGGCGTCATTATTCGGCTTCAACGTTTAGACTTCATCATCACATCCAAATGCAACAAGCATCAGGTATAGGGGTGATCCCCAAACGGATGTTCACCCTGTTCTGGTCCCTTCCTTTGTTTCTTCCGGCTCGTGACCTAGGCTATCGTACCATTTTGAAAAAATTACCATGCTTATCAGTCTTACAAGCCGCAGGGGTAGTTTCATCTGCTACCTGCAGACTCTGTAATCATGATATTGATACGTTCGAACATTTTACAACCAGTTGTCCACCACGCTGGCAGATATGGCAAGAAGGACTCGCGATATATTTCCCATCCTTCGACTTTGATCCTCAAAGCATCTCCGCCGCCCTAAGATTACAATCGCCACCATCACTACCTTCGTCCGAGCAATCTCGACTTTTCACCGTCTGCTTCAGTATCCATTGGGCTATCTGGACGTCATTTTTTCAAATGATATTCCATGATATTCCTTTTCATCCCCCATCCGTCTCTAGTAAAGCATACAACATAATTTCTTTGAGCCTGTCTTCCTCGCAGCTCATGCGAGAAGCGGCTGCTTTCGACTAAATTTACTTGTCATAGAAATCTTCCTTTCCTCTCCATGTCCCACCCCTCAGCGATGTGTGACTAATTTATTATTTTAAATAAAATAATCTACAAAAAAAAAAAAAAAATCAATGCCAAATGTGCGAACTACTATTACTCAAACAAGGTAAATATACTGTGCAAAAGTACAGAATACCTGCCCTGTTTGAGTATGTAGTAACGTCAAGCAGCAGTTAATAAAACCTCAGAAATGTACAGTGAGAAATTTCACAAGATGAACTCACCTAAACGCGTAACGTAGGTTACAAGGGGCAGTTTCCGAGCGTAAAGCTCATACTTATCTGAATAGTTTGTTCGAAGGAGCTTCGCTTTAGTAGTGATATGTTGTTGGCAAGCAAAGGAAAGCTTTGGTTGAGTGACCACTTAGACCACAGTGCTTGCATATGACAGTATTCAATGGCGATGCTTTTTTCGCTTCTAGCCTTCTCTTTTTGCCCTTCTCTTTAGCTTGCTTTGTTTCGTAGCTGTCTTTTCCGGACTTTCGCTTCTTGGCTAGAAAAGCGTATGAATAGAATATCAGTGAAGATGAACAGGAAATACTACCTCTTCAGCTATCTGTTACCATTATATTCTGGACACAAGTAGGAGCCCTTATGGGCATGTCCTTCCCGTCCGCAATCAGAACATGTTTCTAGAAATTAATGGTTCAACGATTCTGTTTGAGTACTTAAACGAATAGTAAACAAAATACAGCAATAATGAACTGACTTTCTTTATTTTCTTGCTGCTTTTTGAGAATACAGGATTGTGAGTCATTTACATAGAATCAACTGGACAACCAGTTCACATGGCAGCTAAGGAGAATGTAGGTAATTCTTCTGGGCCGATCAAACAACGAAACTTACTGCAACAAATGCGTGCAAAAAGAGGCGGGTCACAGATGTTTACTACAAGTGTCCAAATGTAAAAGTAAGTAGTCCGAAAATAATGACTTAAATTTTCTGAATTAAGTCAATTAAAAGATCCAATTTTGTATACAAGAAAGTCTAAATTAAAAGCCGAAAATACTGACCCTTTAGTTTATAATCCTTTTTACCCTTGAGCACTAAGGGGTGTTTAGATACTACTCAGCTCTTGGAGCTGCCCCGGGCAATTCAGATAAGTTTAATATCTGGTGTCCATTGGGCTAAAGAAAAATGTCAGTAATAAAAATCCTTTGTTTAAACGTAGTGCAAAGTAGCATTTTTGATTTAACTCCGAGGATACTGCGTAGCTAGAATTTGCATACTTGAGTGATGGAAGAACTTAAGCAATTTTTTTTTGAGTGGATTTCCTCTATTGTGCAAATAACTTTAAGAGACTAAAAAACATTTTTCTTTGCGGAGCAATAATTTACACATTGAGTTATTTTTGGCAGGAGTAAGTCCATTCCAGCTGTCGAATACAAACTATGTACAACCAGTTAAAGTGGAGCAATAACGTGACGGAAGGAAGATGACTTCGCGCTCATCTCTCGCCCATCTTTATTACTGCTTGCTGTTGTATATTGTCCATACATTGCATGTCTAGAATTCATAATCAAAAGCGACTCTTTTACATAGCTGTTTCACTAATGCTCTAAGCCCAGTTCGTAGTTTTATTAAAAGATATTAAGCAATAATAATTTGTTCCATTAATGCGTAGCACCAGGCGGATCATTTTCCCTTTGCAACTTCATCTGTCTGAGTCTTTTCTTCCATTCCAAATATCTCATATGAGCATGCGGATCATTATCTTTATCAGTGGACTCCTGCTTTGCATTGCTGCTGCTTTGATTCTGAGCCGCAATTTTTTCCTCTTTCATAGCGCCGAGCACCATGTCCTGCTCTTGTAATTTCAAATTCAACCTATGTATGGTTTCCGTTTGTTTCTGCTTTGCTTTCTCTAGTTCCGTAATCTTCTCTAACAATTGGTGTCGCGTTCTTTCATGCTCACTCATATAGGCAATAAAGTGATTTAGTTGATTTGAAATAGCTTCTTGTTTATCTTCTAATTCTTTAAAATTTGTATAATCGTAAGTTCTCTCCCTGTTCTTCTTTTCTTCCTCCATTTGCAATTTTTTTTTGGCTACTGCTTTGTTGATTTCCTTTCCTAATCTTTGCTTTATTCGCGCTTCATTCAACTCATTATCTTGCCTTAATGATTTCATGTATATATCTTCCATTGTTTTCAGTTCAGATTCTGTTTCTTTTGTTACTTGTTCGCGTATTTCCGATTCCATTCTTTCACATCTTGCCTCTGCTTCCAACCATTTACTGCGCAAATCTTCCAACTGCTCAAATAGCGTTTCTACAAATGGATCTTTTTCCACGTCGCCTTCATCCTCTTCTGAATCCTCTGACTCTTCAACGTCGTCGTCATCATCTTCATCTATGTTAGTAAGTGTCTGATCATCCCGGTCTTCTTGTTTATTAAGATGATTTGCAGCTTTCTTGATCGTAGACTGATGTCCTTCTTGTCTTTGCTCGCTTATTTCGTCAGTATCGCTTGGCGAAATTACTTTTTCATACTCTTCTTCTTCATTCTCTTCCTCATCGTCTGCCATCAAGTCATCGATACCATGATAGACGTGGTGATATTGCTGTTGTGATGCGTCGTAATGTTCATCCTGCTGTTGCTGCAAAGTAGGTAATGTTGTAGTCGCTGCTGTTGAATAGAGAGATGATGGTGGAGGCGCTGGTCTTCTCCTCTGTCTCTTCTTCACGTTGGACTGTTGTGCCAGTCCTTTCAAGTTTAATTTTGGATGCGCCCTCTTCCATGTTGCTACGTCTTTTGCTACTGCCGAAAATTTCATAACATGACTATTCTCATCAAATCCCGTTCCATAAGGGTTTACATTCACCACCATCACAGCCTTCCCGTTCCCCTCAAATGACGATTTGAACAGCTCTGTTAATTTACTGTGACGATAAGGAACCATATCTGGCTTTTTCCCCACCGCTACTTTAAGCTGGTTTAATCTCAATGTTTCCATGCACTGTCCCAGCACCATCAGTGATTTATTGATTTGACCAGCTTCTCTCAAACGTTGTCCTTGATTTAATGTATTTCGGTAGCGTTCAGAACCGGCCAGGTCCACAATTTGAAATTTAGATACACTGGAGTACATAGGATCTTCTATGACAAAGCCTTTATCAGTGTCGTCAATAGGAATCTTAACAACGGCGATAGTGAAAATGCTGTGGCTACGACTGCTTGTTTGATTAACTAAGGTGGAATATTGAGCACGGTTGGATAAGCCTTGAAATAAGACGGCATAGGCTTCTTCAACCGATTTAACGCGGACTTGCTTTAGTCCGGCTATGTATTTATTTTTGCTGTTGTTCGTTTCGTATTTGAGCGCCAAAGCTTTTCGTTTAGTGTTGCCGTTACCTAATGGGTGTTTTCGCTTTCGACCATTGTGAGTAGTCGTATTCTCATCAGGTGGGGGTGAGACGAGCAAATCGTAAATTTTTTCAGTATAGATTTCTGCAAAAGAAACCCAGATACCATATTCGTAGCCTTTGTCAATAAGTACTGTTAAACTTCGTTGTTGTTCATCTTGTAAAAAAGCTGTACTCAAATCTACTACTGCTTGTTTATCGCTATGACCACTACTATTATTATTTGCTGCTTGACTCATTTGATGCTGATGCATCGCGATGACATCTCTATGCTCCTCTTCTGCATGGGTATAAGACCTCACTCCACTATGCATACATGGTTTCAACTTTGTTTCATCGCTCGCTAAATTATCGCCTATACTGTTGAAAATAACATCGAGTGTTCTCGGTAAAATACCAGGTTCTTCTCGAGTTCCCATGATTGTGAAAGTTTTTCCTGAATTCGTAACGCCATAAGCGAATAAAAGAGCGTTTTCGCCTTTTTCTAAAACATCTTGGATCAAAGGTAATGTAGTCTTTGTGAAGAAAGTATATTGCGATACACTATCATTAAGAATATCAGTAAATTTGTATCGTTCAGGCTGAGCAGAATTACGGTTACGGAATGCATTGGAGTCTTCTGTTGGCGTCATAAGTATTTCGTGCTGGTTTAAGATCTTCAGGTAGGGTCCAATAGCAATCGATTTTTCATTTGTATCTTTGTTCTCTTTGTTTTCATCGTTAAGATCCTTGCTCTTCTCCTCATCGTCGAGTTCAACACTGTTGCTTGCTACATCACTCAGTGCACAGGTGGCTGATTTATTGATGAATTTTGGTCGAATCCTTAAATACGCTTTGATAGGTTCTTGAGTTGGATTGTATGTAACTGGGAAATGGGTGGACTCTTTCTCATCAAGTGTTTCTACTGCTGCTGATGTTGCGGTAATTATAGGTTTTGTTGACTTTCGTTTAGGTGCTACTGTTTCAGTAGGCGGAAATCGAGGTCTTCTAGGTGTTTGTTGTGCATGCACAGTTGCAGCAACAGCCGGTCGATAAGGTGTTCTGCTATAGTAATCATTGTAGTTCGCTTTGTGCAATGTACGTTGAGGCGTACTTGCTATCGACGATAGTGGCTTCTGGTAATGAGGTTGTTCACGATAAGGTGATGCTGCTGCTAATGGTTGGTGACAGTGGTATTGCTGTTGGAATTGTCGACGTTGTCTTTGCTGACGTTGTGGTGTTGTTGCTACGGATGAATGGTTGCGATGGTTATAAATATCAGGTGAATACTGCTGATGGTAATATGGTCTATGGTAAGCGCGGCGTGATGGAGTAGTGGCAATAGGACTGTTTAATATCAAGCTAGAAGACTCTTCATCCTCTAATTCCTCTTCAGCGTCTATGGTTGGGCTAGGAGGTCGCGGTGGTAGCATAATCCTCTGAGGCGGTGTATTTAATATATCAAAGTTGGCTGCTGTTATTCTGTGGGGGGTATATGCAGTACGTTTAGGTGTATGGAAACCGGTATCTTCGTTATAATGATTATTATTGCTATCATCAAAAAGAGAGGAAGATGGACGATAGTCCACTGCTTCGCCTTCTCTGCTTGGTGTGGTAGAGGAGCTATTACTGAGGTAATCGTCATTTGGATGGAGATTTAGCAATTTACCATTGTCGTTTCAAACTTTTTCAGATTATTATCTCTTACCCTAACATAATTTGGACTTGAGAGAACAATAACTAGTATGGATAGCAATGTGATGGTATATTGTTGAAATGATATCCAGTGAATGAGAAAATGAGATAATGATTATAAAAAGTGAATAAGGGATGATAAAAAAAAAAAGGGACTACTGGATTTTGCAGCAAATTTGGCAGAAAAATGGCAGGCACAGTCTCAAAAAATTCAGGTGCAGGAATTGGGTCAAATGCGCGTTTTGCATCGCGTTTTAATTTTTTGTTGCGTCCCTTTGGCTGTAATTCTCTATATCCGTTTATTTCCAACAATAACTGAACAATTAAACCTGAACTACATTCAAGATGTCAGCAATGGATATAGATACACCCAGTGTCTCTTTAACTGGTAAAACTGAATCTACTGAAGAACAAGATGGATACATTTTACCTTGGTAAGATAAGGATCGCTATCAATGGAAAAGATAGAGATCGAAATTCGTGCTGACATGTTACATTTATAAGGGTTGAAAAATACAGACCTACATACTTGAAAGATATTGTAGGAAATGAAGACGCAATTTCCCGATTGCAAGAAATCGCCCGATTGGGCAACTTACCGAATATTATTTTGACAGTACAGTATACTAATATGGATCCGAAAACGTTCATAATTCATTACTTACGGTATCTTTGAACATTCAAAAGGGTTTGCCCGGTATTGGTAAAACCACTGCTATTCTTTGCTTGGCAAGAGAATTGTTGGGCGCGTCATGCAAGGATGCAGTATTGGAACTGAACGCATCAGACGATCGAGGCATCGATGTTGTGAGAAATAAAATCAAAGCTTTCGCCCAAAAGAAAGTAACTCTCCCACCCGGCAAACACAAACTCATTATTCTCGATGAGGTCGACAGTATGACCAGTGGCGCTCAACAAGCCCTTCGACGTACCATGGAAATGTACGCTACTACAACCCGTTTTGCACTCGCTTGTAATCAGTCTCAAAAAATTATCGAACCCATCCAGTCTCGCTGTGCCATTGTTCGATTTTCCAAACTTTCAGATGCAGAAATATTACGTCGGCTTGAGGAGGTTTGCGAGAAGGAAAATGTTCAAAAGACAGAAGAAGGACTTGAAGCGTTGATCTTTACAGCTGATGGTGATATGCGTCAGGCCCTTAATAATTTACAGTCTACTTGGTTTGGGTTCAAGTTTGTTAATGAAGAAAATGTATTCAAAATCTGTGACCAACCTCACCCTATTGTAGTGCAACATATTTTGAAATCTTGTGCAGAGAGAAATGTAGATGAAGCAGTTACTTGTATGGAACAATTGTACGATGCTGGTTACTCATCATTAGATATAATCACAACAGTGTTCAGAGTGCTGAGAAACTACACTGAACTAGATGAAATGCTACGTTTGGATTTTCTGAAGGAGGTTGGGTTTACACATATGCGAATCCTGGAGGGTCACGGAAGTATTATCCAGTTAAGTGGCATGTTAGCAAGACTATGTGAAATCGCTTCTCTACCACAGTAGAGGAATACGACAGATAGGAGTCAGAAAGTTATCAGAAATGCAAAATGTTTCTGTATATGTATATATGTATGTGTTTGCTAATAGCTACATCTAATAAATACCTTCTTTTTTCCCTGTTTCAATCAGTGAAAGATTTGTTTGCAGTGGGTATTTTATCTGCACATCCATTTCTCACTCAAATCAAAACGTAGGGAAAATTTAAAGAACAATTGAGCTATGACTGAAGTTGATAAATGACCTTTGTCATTCTTTAGTAACAGTCTTTACCCCACATCAAGGATGTGGAGCAACTTTTACAAAAAAAAATAGTATCAAGCACTGAAATGAACAGATTTATCAATTCACTAATAGTTGATTAGATATCTGCATTGGTCTTTTGCAATTGTACGTTCTAAAGCTCGTGTAGTGGAGTCGTATAGCGCGAGAATTCCTTATCAAACTATCTAGATTACGCTCCGGAAGTTTTTGAACCTATCAGTATGTAATTTAGCATTTCACAGACCTCCTTTCCTTAAAAAAATCGAAACAATATGACTTCCCAATCACACCTTCTCGAATGTCAGAAAGCTGAAATTTATTCAACATTATTAAATAATTTCTAAAAGCATCGAATTGTTCGCTTATTGTTGGAAATATGTCGGTCTCGTTCTGGTAAATGTATGCCACTGTGTTATTAGTCCAAAAATTATTGGTTTCTCCTTTTGACTGGTTTTAACATCTACTAGAAAATTTTTGAATTTCCTTATTTGGATTCAGCCTGTGGTGCCTTTTTTTTTGTGTATTTGTGCGTTTTCGAAAATCAAAAGAAAAGCTTATTTTTACAAGTGCTTTTTATTTCCTTTAATCCTTTTTCAGGACCTCTCTATCTTCTGTAATCTATATTATGGCCGATAGTATTGCGAAAGTTTACACTTATGTGAATGCAAACAAGCCAAAAGAATATTATGATTATGAATCGCTCCAAGTCAATTGGGGGTAAAGTGACCTTTTTCTGTTCAATCTAATCGCTAATTGATGTTGATGAACAAATAGATCGCTAAACATCGCCTGGATTTTTTCTTTTCATGCAGTTCTCAAGATGCTTATGAGATAAGTAAAAAGATCGGTCGGGGAAAATACTCTGAAGTTTTCCTAGGTGTAAACGCCCTGAATCAACAAAAGTGTGTTATTAAAGTCTTGAAACCTGTAAAGAAGAAGAAGATCAAGAGAGAGATTAAGATTCTTCAAAACTTAACTGGCGGCCCCAACATCATTGGTCTGTTAGATGTCGTTAGGGATCCTGAGGTAGATTTAGATTCGAATGAATTTATCTCAAGTTTTGTCTATGTCTGATTACTCACATTTTTCTATTGGCATACAGTCTAGAGTTCCTTGCCTAATTTTTGAAAATGTGAACAATATCGATTTCAGAACTCTCTACCCAACTTTCACAGATATGGATATTCGCTATTATATGTACGAATTATTGAAGGCTATTGACTATTGTCATTCTATGGGAATCATGCACCGTGATGTTAAGCCTCATAATGTCATGATTGACCATGAACAGAGACAAATTCGATTGATTGATTGGGGTTTAGCCGATTTTTATCATCCAGGAGAGAAGTATAATGTACGTGTGGCTTCCAGGTGTTTCAAGGGACCTGAGTTATTGGTTGATTTCCATTACTACGATTACAGCTTGGATTTGTGGAGTTACGGATGTATGCTTGCAGGCATGATCTTCCGTAAAGAGCCTTTCTTTAGTGGAGCAGATAATTATGATCAACTAGTCAAGATTGCTAAAGTGCGTGGTACTGATAAACTATATGAATATTTGAAGAAGTACGACTTGAAGTTACATCCACAGATACAAAAAGTTATGGGAAGATACCCTGTTAAGCCTTGGAATAAATTCGTTCAACCTTCGAATGAAAGGTATTGTTCTGAGGAGGTGTTTGATTTGTTAGAAAAACTGTTACAATATGACCATCAAGTTAGACCTACTGCCAAGGAAGCAATGGAACATGTATATTTTGGTAATGATTGTTACTGTATTTGATGTTTTGATGGTTCCGTCCTTCAACTAACTCATTTTTCGAACATGATCAATAGCCCCTATCCGCCAACAACAAGAGCAACAACAAGCGTAATATTATTGTAGAGTAAAACTCTTTACTACGAATGATATGCTCTTCAATGCAATAGAATTATGAAATATGTTTATGATAATATGATATTTATATAATTATACGAGCTATTTTGTTATGTAGTACGGATTACTATTAAATGTAAAAAAAAAGGAACAAAAAAAAAGAGAGAGACAGAGAAAAGAATAGAAAGATTCATGTTATTACTGCTAATATAAAACTATATTAAGTGGCTTTTCTACTGTTAGAACAGAGCTTGCTCGCTTTCGCGAACTTGCCTTGCTTCATTAATCCTCATCCCAATCCATTTTTTTTCTTTCTTCTACCGGGATGAGGTGCTCCTTCAACAATCTTTCTTTCTAGTACAAAAGCTCCTTCTGAGGATACCACAATCCCTTGTAGCATGTCAGCCATGCAATAACCTCCCAAGTTCGCTTGCCAGAAGTAAAAGTCAGGGATGACATTGCCGCTGTTGTACAGATTTTCTAAATCGCGTTGATGCTTTAGCGTCAGAGGATGAAAGTCTTGATCTTTAATGACTCCCCATTCTGGATGATATTGTTTGGTAGGGTCCAATAAAGGCGGAGGAGGGGCAAGCGCTGGATTGGTTGATATATGATTACGGGTTTGAGTGGATAAAATGGCAGGTGGAGATAATAGGGTTGTAGTACTAGCATCAGTACTATGACTGTTGTTATTGTTGTCGTTTTGCATAGCGGCAGAAGTTGCTGCAGCGGCAGTTGTTTCGCTTGTTGTTGGCGGCACTGCATTGGCTGTCAAAGCTGCAGTAGGCGAAGTAATTGAAGAGATGGGCGATGCCACTGTGCTATTTTCGTTAGTATTTTTATTGTTAATAGAGGATGAAACGACTGCCTGCAGTGGTGAAATCCCTAGATCCATAGCAGCATTTGAAGTAGTATAATTGGATGCCGCCGTAGATGTCATAGTAGGTAGCGGAGGTGAAGGTAACTGTGGAGGTGGAGGTAAGGTCGTTTGATAATAATTCATTGCTGTTAGTGGAGAATTAGTAGACCAAGCAAGCATTTCATGATGGGATTGAGAATGCTGATGGTGAGGGTTGGTAGTACTATACATCATAGAGGCGGCGGCTGCTGCCACCTGATGATGATCCTCTTCTTCGGTGGATGGATGATCGTAAGTCATTTTTAAAACGACCTTGGATTAAGTGTCAACTGTTCAAGCAACTGATATCAACTGTATGTCGCCTTATGTATGTAAATGGTATGCAATGGCCAGAAGGAGAAAGAAATGCGTATCCACTCAAAAGAAGCGTTGCTATTTATGTGACAACAAGGAAGAAAATAAGGGGTAAAATAGCTTATACATTGTATATGTCTAAAGCAGTGGTATTCTAACCAACAATATATTTCTTTTTTCGCAATGTATGATGTTCATTTTTTATCTTATCATTTATAGCATTAACAAGAATCCCCACGATATCAAGGAGGTCAGCAGAGGGCATTAAGTAGCCCCTTTTTCTTAAAAGAATTCATTCGCGGACTCGCGTGTGCAATATGCTGATTTAATTCGCAGTTAGAATACCTGTCCAACGCCCACATAATTCTTTAACTACTAATTGAAACAATTATCAAGATATTAAGGCATCTGTTAGGAATTTTTCCTATAGTCTTTTCACATTCAGTCGTCCTATGTTGTATCAGATAGAAGATTTAGTGTCCAAAAGAGAAGAAATTGATTATCACGAAAGATGGACTGCCACTCAACTGATCAGTATGAAAAGCATTCTTTGATCTGATTCTCCTTTTTTGTTAACGGATTATACTTGATTAACACCCCTTTTTTTATTACGTTAATCTGCTATTTATACAGCTGCATTCGTTGCAGTTAATAAATTTGCATGGATAAAGTAGGTAATAAGTACGAGGCAAAATCCCTACCTTTACTCTTCAAAGCAAGTCCTGTTATCGATTTATACATGCATATCCCCTTTCTCTTCATTTGTTTTAAGGTAATAAGATGCAATTTGTTTCGAGCTTAAGAAATATTTCACTCTTTTGTCCCTTTCTTTCTCCGGGTCTTGTCGATCATTAACCAAAATCTTGGTCAACTTTTATCATCTGACTCATCCCCCATTCCTCGTGAATTGGTTTCCTTATTCTGTAATACTACGCTTTTAAAAGAAGAAAAAATACCCGGGTCATACACATACAATTAGAAAAATAATCAGATATAAAGGAGCTATAGGAAGACTATTAGATTGCTGAGAAAGAGAAAGAAAAATATACAAAAGAGGAAAGAGAGAAAAATTGATCGCAGAGCTTTGTTTAATCGATTAGAAGAATTATGAGGTAAAGAGTAGATTGCTATTATGGTGAACAACTTGCAATAAACAATGTATTCCTATAGCTTCATATAAATAAGCAACATCTTTCTTCCTTTTTGAATTGGTCGTAAAGTTTCTGTTAATTAGATTTAAGTTGCTTTGAAATTGATAAGAATGGAGATTATCCCCGCAGTACTCTTAATTTAAAGTATAAGGGATAAGTGCATAGAATTATAGTAATCAAAGTTATACATATTCCTTTGACTTTCTTGAATCACTTTATATTGTATTATTTAACAATTATTCAATGAGACGTGTGTAATCTCTGTTTGCTATACTAAGCTGACCATGTAGATACTATTATGAGGTGCAGCCAACAGATTCATCAAAGCTAGAGTTACATCAATCACCTATCTTTTGAGTTTCCGATTCAAAGCTCAACCATGAGTCAGGCCAAACGAAAATAGCTCACTTGTATTTCTCAGTAGCGTTTTCTGCTGGAAACGGCGTGCAACAACGTTTTCAGGGTAGTGATTTATAGAGCTCCGCTCAGCCAGGTCTTTAAAAGCAAAATTATATTAATGTATGTGGGCATTCGTTCGCTCTCCTTACCATCTTCAACAAATAGAACATCCAAATAAAGTAACATACCACCCTGTACTTTGACTTGAATTTGGCATATAATTAGTTCAAGGATGAAACAACTAAGAATAAACACAAGTTGGACGTGAAGGGTTATTGTGCGCTACGTTATGTAAAGTATTCTGATGGTCACAGCTTGAAAGAGCGAGTAGTTCGTTGACTTAACACTGTCCTTACAATCAAGAAGAAAGATTTTGAACATTCTTAGGGTCGCTTTATCGGCGCATACAATCTCGTCTAGACATTATTTTAGTCCGGGCTTTCTTCCAAAGTATGCATCATGGAGGAAGAAGAGCAATAAGGTCATAACGGTAATAGATAATCATTGTAAATATACATCGAGTGCTTCAATGCTTCAAAGTTCTCAAAGGCCGAACATTGGGTGTGCCCGCAATTAGCACTTTTAGCTTGCAAACCGGTTATACCATCCTTAGTATTAAAGTAGCACGGAAAGGCTGCACTAAAAGCCGCAATGATTCCTAGTTTCAATGCTTCTTTCTTTTCTAACATCAATAAGGAAATGATTATTTTTGTTATCTACCCCCGGTGATACGTTTTACATAAACGCCCATTTGCGAAACAAATATGGGAAGACATCAAAGATGGAACATTACGTGCTCGCATTAACGAAAGGAATTCATGTTGCAATGCAGGGAACTCATACGTTGATAAACATGCATCATTTACGATACTATTTAAATTCAGGGACCTTGAAGACAAACAGATCTAAAACTGTACACTTGAGATAGTCGAAAAGATGAGATAAAAGATTGCTAAAATATAGAACGTTCTCCAACGGCTTTCTTGCAAATTATTCATTGCTAAAAAATAGTAAAGACACATGTGCAACAATGTGTTGAGCACTTACTTAACCTTAGTTTTCTTCGTTATATGGGCAAATCATTTGTAGGAATAGCTCCGTTTTCCGAGACTTATACTTTCTTCAGGCCCAAACAAAAAAATAAAATAAAAAATAAAAATAAAAAGAAAAATAAAAAAGCTTCTAGGCTATCCCTTTCTGATGAAACTTTGTCTTCTATTCGAATTCTTTCCTTCAATCAAATTGCTTCTGTAATATTCTTCAGAGTGTTCTTTCATGTTCTTTTTGAGATTATTGTTTTGAATAGTTTTCCACATCTATCATCCTATAAGAGGAGTCTTTGCTCCCAGTTGAGCATGATAGTTTTTACTCGTACAAAAAAAGTGGCAAATCAAAACGATGTTTTAGTGACGATAGAAGCTATGATGGTTTACACAGGAAGAAAGCGGGAAAGCATTTTTTATTTTCGAAATGTCATGGGACCGAGAAGCATTGTGTTTTCACTATTTTGTGTGCAGTCTTTATTGATTTTGATAGGTCTTTCAGGTGTTTGTTACAAAAATTGGATTTGACACGAGACATACATTTTCAGTTGGTTGGCAGATCTTTTTAACACAAAAAATACAACATTCACTTTTAGTCCGCAAGCCTGGATGGATATGACGAACCGAATACTTTTATTTAACTGCTGGGAAATGAATATAGGAGGTCATTATTGAAAAGGTAAACAGCGTTGTACTTCTAAGCAAACTTTTTTCTAAATTTTTCGATTTTGGAAAGGGACACATATGGATGAACAATAGAGGGTATTTACAAAATAACCGCGTAATGACAACAGTGACGCGCGTGAAAGGTTTTTAGGGTTGTTTGTTCTTCTTATGCTTTACAAGCGTGGTATAAGTCAACAATTGCTGATTTTTTGTAACGAAGAAGGGAGGTGGGGTATTGCGATGGTACAGCTAGACGTTTAATGTACCGAAATTACGATGACAGCCTTGCTTATAATTATAAGCTTTACTTGAGCAGAGGACAAGTGGGTCTTTTATGACCATATTTGCCACACCAAGTGCTAATGTATACGGAATAATTATTACTATATCATTCCTATGCACGGCGTACTGATTAGCATATCTTACCATTGACCGCCTTGAAGATTCAAAGGTTTGATGTATTGTGACATGATCAATATAGCTTTCGGACGAGTACAAGAGTAAATGAGTTTGCAATTGAAATGAAAAGTAGTAGATGCAAAACAACGTCTTTTTATACTGTTTTTTATTCTGATATATTCGGTGTGATCGAAAAATTTAGGAAACAAGGACTTAATCTTATATCAGGCTACTTATACGCCACATCTTTGCCCCTTTGTCAAGTTCGAGAAAAAAAATTTTTTTTTCTTCGTTTTGTTAATCAGTATGCTCTGATTTTGATGCTGATATCCATTTTCTGCCATGGAACAGACTTGCATTTCATAATACTCACTCTCTTTCCTCAGGAGAAAGTACTTCTGATTGGAGCATAGTCATCTAGGCAACTCTCAGTGTACGGGGAAGTCTTCGTGAAAAGTCAAATGGTCTTATAACAGAAATTCCGTAGGTTTTCTTTGATGCTTGTCAAAGCATCGCTATAAAATTATGTTTAAAGTTTAAGTTAATTCTATATTGTAAAAACGCAAATAACACACAATACACACACATGCACAAAAATAAAACAGACAGGCTGTCTAAGTCTTATTCCGCCTTATCGATCTTCTGTCATACACAAGTACAATTTGACAAAGGTGTTCCTTTCGTCTTTACTAAAAATAAAAAGATTTGCCTTCAAACATAAACGTAAGCTGAGTGATCCGTATAGTTTTAAGAGATGTCATATGCCCTTGTTTTGACATGTTATAATTTAGTCATGCTCAGAATTGCCCCGTCCCAAACGTGCAGATTGAAATACATACAATGTCTCAAGGGATATGATAGAATATGACATTAACTGTCAAATCACGAATCTGGAACCAACGCTTTTTGTTGAGAAATAATAATAAAAACTCTCCCAAACAACCAAAAAAGAAAAAACCTTAATTCATAAAAAAGCATGGTTGCACTGGCTCTAATAGATTCTTTATAACCTAACTGCTCTTCTGTTTTCAGTATGCAATAGATTACAACAAACTTCAAACCTTCCCCACCCCCGTGCTTTACACATGAGGAGATTTATAATTCATTCCGACTAGAAAGCTAATACTATAACATGATACAATAATAAAATCATTGCATTAGATTCTAATAATGCTACTAAGCTGAATAAGGTTTTCGTTATCGATGGCGGCAAAACTTTGTTTAGTTGACATGTAAACAGAACTGCAAAAATGTCAACAGAGGAAATAACTCACATCATGAATCACACAGACCTCTAACGACGGGCATAAAGTTCAAAAGGGAAAACATGCTACTGTAGTCGCTCTAAATTCAATGGGAAGATTTATGAGGGGTGGCATTAATTCTTTCAATGACAATTTTCAGATGACCACTCGCTTTTATATATGAAGTTGGTCAAGGCAAGACTGTAGACAAAGAAAAATATGATATTATGGAATAGGATGATAACTTATTTCAGTTTACGCCTTTACTTATAAGGTATTTAGTATCTGATTTGTAAATCATGTCATTATCTTCCTTTGTTAGGAAATCGTCAGTTGTATCTAACAATATAAACAGTAATAAAGGCAGTTCAGAATAACCAGACACAAACATGACTGTTGTTTATTGGAATCGAATAAGACGTGCATCTATATTAATTCAATCAACACACGTAGAAACTAATTGTAATGCTAAGAACTAGTTATAAAACAAAAAAAAAATATGTCTAGGAGTGAAAGAGTGGAATAGATCAGACAAAGATGTTTAAGGAGCTCAATAAATTTATTTAAAATTGTTATGACATTTCTTCTACTAAATTTGAGACTATTCTCTGATGTTGGCCATAAAGGATCAAGGTTTTCATCATGAAGATTACATCGTCTACAATATGGAATGCTAATGCTAGCGTTGGATTTCTCTGATATTGTTGAGGTACTGGTTCATCATTAGGAGTGCAAGAAAGTAAGCTAGTGTTGCCATAAATTTTGTGTTGCTTGCTGGAAATAAGTAGTTACAGCATCCGCGGTCAACAAAAAACATTTCTCTGCCCATTTCAAGCTGTTCCGAGCAGAAATTTCTCAGCATTGACCCTAAAAAAAAAAAGCAACTGACAATGATTAGAACTACGGGTAAAACTTTGCACGCTTATAACCATTAGGCGCATAGTTTATAAGTCTAAGCATGAACTCTTTGAAATGATATTGAAGTTCAATCATAATCAGGGAGGACGCATGAACCATGTCTGACCGACTATTGTCAGGCCATTCAGTCGTGGCTACTGAGTAGCTTTCAGGAGTAACATCTACACTATATACCAATTTATAACAGTATTTACAACGCGTAATACAAGTATTGATGCATTACCAATGGGAGAGTGAATAATTGTATCCGCATCATTTCTGCATCACTTAATAGCATTTTTCTCCCAGGTTAGCACCCGGTTTCCATTTCAATGGTAATTTGAAACCTCTTAGACCGTCAGAAATTCCTGAATAAGCGCTTTATAAAGTACTTTATTCGGACGAAGCTCAAAGATAGGGACCGGTGACTATTCCTAGAACTAAAGTAGATAGCGGGCTCTAGAAAGGAAGAGTGAACGTTTGAATAGTGTAGATTCTAAATCCAAAACCGAAAATTATAGTATTGATGGGAGAGTGCACGGAAATTAGGTCCCTTTCATATTTATCAATCTTACGCTGGTATTCACTTGGACTTTTGGATTTTTGTTGGTAACATTCATGCCATCGCAGATATTTCCAATGCAAGCCACAACAAAACATTAAAGAATGGTCATTCAAACACTAAGATATTCAGGGAAGGCTGGCTTAGAATTGATCCAACGATATCGGAAAAGATCAAATGTACTTTACATAAACTTTAATAAATATTGCTTGGTGTTATTTATGAGAAGAATGGAGTGTTTGTATGCTTCTATAAGCTACTTGAGGACAACTTCGCCAGCTTCAGCTGCAGTAGTTGGTTAATCCTGGAATTATATGTACTGCGGTAAGAAGTATGCGATGAGAAATAGTTTACCCTAAAATTTCGATTCTGACGTTGAAGGGAAGCTTATGACAGTATGTACTGACACCCTTTTATTACAACAATAGCAAGCCATTTTGGATAAGTTTAATCTCAAAGAGTACTTTGTTAATTCTTATTTCTTACTATAACACTATCTTGCATTTTCTGTCATAATAAATCTTGTTTATAAAGTGCTAACTCATCTGCCTTATTGTAAGTTACCTGTTCAGAGTAATTTAAACACCAATTCTTGTCCTGGGCAAAAATATTTCAGTCAAATTAGTAGATCAATCCCATTAAAGTATAAAAACACTGAAGATAACAATGCAGCGACTCTGAAAGTGCTCTATACCGCAAACATACTGATGGTTTTGAAACTTTACTCAATATGTATATCCGCAATTGTTCCTGTGACCTTTGGTGTCACTCGATGGTGAAACACAATGACAAACACACGTTTTGTTTTCAGTACCAATGCGTCAATGTTATTTGAATGATGGATAATGTAGCTTAAAGATGAGATGAAGCCTAAGCAGCAATGATGACGAATTATAATGTAATAAAAATGATCTCTCTGTAAGAGAGCTTCGGGACGCATCTCCAAAAAAAATCGTGACTTCAATCCCTTCCCAAATGCTCTTTCTCTTTAGCGCTAATGGAAAAGTATAAGCGATTCTGATTTTCCACCAAATGTAGGTTTTATATGGTCAAAGCACTTGGCACCACTTTTTATTCCGAAATGATCTTAGAGTTTGACTTTTATCAATAAATAGTTTAAAACGAATGGCAGCTTTTTGATCTGTTTTAGAATCGGCAAAATAGCTCTTCTGCTTGTTGCTCATTGAATTTCTGTGTGCTGTTAGCACAATAGAGTTAAGAAAAAGATAAAATATGATTATGGTTAAAAGGGTATCATAATTTTATTTTCAGAAAAGAGGAGTATTTTGAATGATCAATGTAGGTTGCGTATCTATGACTTTAATGTACAGTGGGTTGATTTTGATTTTACATTCACTGCATACAGTACAGTGGGCATTTTTCGTTTTACGCCGCGAGTCTGTTCACCGCACCCATTAGAACTAAACAAAGAGTACATTTCACCCAGTAATTTTGTGATAAAGATTCATAAAGTGTCTTATACCAAGCAGGTTTTGACCGTATATCATAAGTTGACGCCTCCCAAGGATCTTCAATATCAATGCTGGACTCTTCACTTAAGCGACAATCCATGCTTTCACTACTGATAGCTGATTTTAAAGGGATACTCTGTGCTTTCTTTTCAGAAATTGGTGAAATTGGGCTTTCCACAAAAGAAGAAGAGGATGAGCTGCTTGTTGGTAACAGAGGTAAGGTATCTGCTGGCAAAGCTGCTTTGATGGCGTTTGCTGGTATACCTTGAGTTGATGAAGTTGCTTTTTGCTGCCTCTTTTGTTGTTCTGTAGCTCCGGAACAAATCCAACGCGTAATGATGCTTGTTGCTTGACTCAAATAGTAGCAGATAAAAACAAAGATAATACTGGAGATAACCAAGTTTGTCCACCATCCAAAAGAGGTCTTGATGGCCCAACTAGCATGCGGAAGCACCACTAGTAAACCTTTTGTATCGGCAGCAAGCCACATATGGAATTGGCCAATGAAGGTTTCTAAAGAAATTTTACCGATGAAAGAAAAGAACCGTGAATGGACATTTCGTGCAAAGCAGTTGAAGTTACGGATGACAACGAAGGAGAGAATAGGTATCCACGAGATGTAAGGGTGGTAAGGCGTGTAGGATAATTTGGAGTGCTGTAATTCAAATATAAAATACCACACCAAACCGACGGTAGAAGCAGCCAGCGCTGCATATTTGACAAAAGCCCAAGGACGAGGATAGCTAGTACAAACATTGAGTTCGGATAACTTAATGCTGGCATACGCGCAGAGCATACCAATATAGACAATCCAAGCATCTAGTGACAGTCTAAAACGCCACTCCGTTACATTCCAATTGATCTTGAACAACCAGTGAAGAGCGCTAAACGTCGCTTCCAGCACACCAGGATAATGAATAATAATGCCAGTCATAATAGACATAATAGCTATTTTGCTCAATATGAACCAGGCCTTTTGATTGTAGCTAGGCATGATTCTCATTGTAATCCAAATGACGGCAAACCAAAAGCTGACCAAGGGTGAAAAGTAGTAAAACAAATAATCTGTCTTCATTAAATAGGCTAGCACATAAGTGAGAAGGTTCAGCCGCACCATAATATTCATAATACGAGCAATACCGAAATCGGCTTTTTTGTAGAAAAAATGAAAGTGGCCATAGCCCGTCTGGAACAGATAAGACGCTACGAGAATACGAACGGGATTATATATGGCTGCGATACGAGAAGCACCTGTGAAGTGGTAAATCAAGATAACCAGTTGCATCCATCCTTTCCACTCTTCGGTTTGATCTCTATTAAGAAATCCTGCATCGTTGTTGCTATCCTCTTTATTGTTTTTTGTCTTGAGTGTGACGAGACCCAGGAGTAACATTGCAGCTATCATGATCCAGAAACCGGAAGCATCGAACTGTTTGAACATTTTTCCGAATAACTGAGTTCGATCGCCAAAATACATGTAAATAACAGATAGCCCAAAGATGAATAGTGCACTAAGGACTTCAAAAGTGGAAGGGAAAATTTTGCGTATTCGAAACAACTGGCCTATTTGAGCGGTCAATGCCATTTTAGAGCCCCATTTTTAAACTTCCTGTTCGATAACTCTCAAAATGGGAAACTTACCAGATGTAGTATAATGCAAAAAAACGCCAAGCGGAACGAAACCAAGGAAAAAGAGAAATACAGCAGACTGATACCAAACCGGTGTAGGATAGCTGTAACAACATGTACTGTCATTTGGAAAAGCAGGCGTTGATTTCTCTAACGCTAGTTGTTGGTTACAGCGGTAATTAAGAGCCAATTGTGCTTCAGCTCTTGTCACTGGTGTTTTAAAATGAAGTCCGTCTACTGTTTGGTTTTTAGACGTGGTGACAATTTCGTTCCATACAAAAGGTACAGCCAATGGTGTAACAGCAGATGATTGTCGTCGTAGCTGACTTTCTCTTTCACGAAGATAGTTGTTCATAATAGTGATTTTGTCATAGGTAAGAGTTGCTTTTCGAGCTGGTATCATTAAATCATACTCAACGATCTCTACAGGAGAGATGAGTACTTTGTCAGCTATTCTGTTTTTGATAGCACCATCGAAAATTCGATCCACGGCAGTTTTCCAACCGCTCAAGTATTGATTTCTTAAACGCCTCATATACCATATACCAGAGCCAATGATCAGGAGACTCGGCTTTTCATGCTCAGGCACATTAGCTTCCAGCAGGTTTATCGTCTTTGTTGAATTCAGATAAGGGTCCCACCACATTTCAACAGTTATATTAGAGTCTTTTGTGTGCACCTTTTGATCCGTGTGAATTGCTTCCACCGTAGGTTTGTTGAAGTGCAGAAATTGCGTCATAGTGTAATACTGCTCTCTCATGATCGAATCGCCAATATAAAGGATGCGAGTGTTACTGAGGCATTGGTCAATGTCTTTCTTAACGTAGGTCTTTGACATACAACCCGAAGGTTTCCATTGCAGATAATCGTCTGTCATCCATTGACCGTCGTTTAGCATACCATGACATCGAGAGAGATCTTGAGGCTCTGATTTTCCCCAAAAAAAAAAAAGGAACCAAAGGAGAAATGTGATGTTATTGATATCTTTTACTCATATGATTTTATTGACAGGGAAAGGAAGCAAGTAGCTTACCTGTAAGATATTTAATTAAAGATGAGAAGAAAACTATGATCAGTAAGGCAGCGGTCGATCCTTGCAGAATCCGCCTGGATGAATTTGTACTATCTTTTGTCTGTGCTGTCATTGATGAATGTCAGATTCCCTTGCTCCACAGATAAAAATTGATGAGTCGTGCCTATTCACACCGTCTTTAAATGACGTTTTTCAAGGGATATTTTGCCACTTGCAAAATAGAAAAGAAAGTGAAAGGAATGTATTAAAGAAAAAGACACTAAAGACCTCTCACCAGTAATTAACTACCTATTAACTACTTGATTTTTTTTTTTTTTTTTTTTTTTTTTTTTTGGTAACTTACCTTTTATGTTTGGCTCGAAAGCCAAGAGCTAAACAAATAAAGAGCTTTGCTAGTGATGTCGATCCCTTTTTTTTTCATATTCAGCTTTTTGTATGAATTTTCACACTTTTGACTCACAAACGCATATACTATTTACATATTTTTCTACTGTTTAGAAATGCATGCTTTACCGATTAATATGATAAGCAAACAAAAGCACAGAGCCTGTGATCCAAAGTATACTAAAATCACCAACAACTATAGAATCTTTCAATCCACTAACCTATGCAGCACAACAACTTTAAACTGATCGTATGTGTAGCCTTACAGTGTCATAAAAGATCTTCCATGATTTCTTATACCATCACATTACGATGGTAGTACAATCTGATACGGCACGCGTAAGCTCATGGTATAATTAGATGCTCAATTTATTCTTGCTCATAGAGTAAAATAGGAGAAGGAAAGTGAGTCCTATAGATAGTCCTCTTGGCTTTATACTTGAGCATTCTCCCTAAGTTACATAACGAAAGTGAAATATTGCATAGTCCATCCAATTTACTTGTGTAATGGCAGTCTATACAAAAGTAGCTCTTGAGATTGTTGCACAGATACATTGATAATGTTTTGATAGTTTTTTCATTGTTAAACATTTAGTGGCCAATAGTATTGCCATGGATTTTTTCTTTTTTTTTTTTAGTTTTTTTGCGTGCATTTGCAAGGTAGATACTTTTTTAAAGTTGATTTGTAGCAATCAGGATAAATTAAACGTTGATAAAAAATCAGTACGTTTAGAATAGTTTTTCATCATATCTCTCAACACCTCGTTATCGTTCACAAATAATGACCTCCTTTGGGTTCTGTTTTGGCCATTGTCGCGAGCAACTGCAGAAGTAGAATTTGTATCTGCAGTTACTGTTGTTTGCGCGTTGGTTGTATTGTCCATTGAGTTTGCATCATCTATTGAAATGCCCAATAACCGATCAAGCTTGGCAGTTTTGAAATCAATTCTCTTTTCAAGGTATGGATACAGCACTGTCGAATCCAGTCTTGCTAGATAACCTTCTGATAGTATGGATTTCAAGATTTCAGGCTTCACAACAAAGATATTGCCTAATTGTCTAAGCATTTCAAACCTTTCATCGAGACTAGGTATTTTGAATAACTTGATAGTATCCTGATATTTGGCAATATCCCTATAATTAATTGAATGCAGATTAGCCATCGTGTAATGGATACACAGATTCTCCTTGCCAATTTTTTTTTTTTTTTTTTTTTTGTTCGTTTCGTACTTGGTCACCAAAATACCTCCCGTAGGCGTGACATAAAACTTCTTAAAATGCTCTAGTAGCATACTACAATTTTAATCAGATTTTTTAATTTCCTTTAATGAATAATGTTTTTTGGTTGGTTTTTTTTTTCCTTTCTTTCCATCCAAACCTACGTGTGAAAAGCGTTTCCGATATGCTTCAAAAAGGTTTCTAAATTTTTGCCTTGCAAAGATGTGGAGGCTGCTTGATAGATTCGTGTGATAAAGTCTATACTTTGCAAACACGGCTGTGTTCCCATATTCATCATAGCATCTTCCTCCTCTTTCGGTCTAAAGTCATATCGCTTTTGTCGACTCAAAATATCATTTAACCAGTAGGTGATGCCTCTGACGGTTCTTTGTAGCACAGCGTTGATTTTGCGCTCGAGCTTGGCCAAGAAACTGTTTTTTAGGGCCAAGATATTTCTATGCATCGTAGGATTGTTGATAATGAGTGGCAGTATAGCTGTCTCAAAATGCTTTTGCATCAATTTCATGATGCTCGAGGCACAGTTGATAACTGAGAAACAAACGAGTTCGGGTTCCTTTACTACATTACTGAGATCATCCAAGACACTAGACAAAAAAAACAAAAAAAAAAGAAAAAGGTAACAGATGATCATGAGTCCACTGGTTTCATTTCCATCTTTGCCCCGGCGATATTCGTCCATATTGTGTTTGCATAATACTTACTCGTCTAATGCAATGTCCAAATATTTTTGACCCATATAGTCAATAAGGACCTCGTAGATCGTCTTTAATGTTGTTTGCCTGGAACATCCATGGAAGAAAGAAAAAGAGATGATCAGTTGGTCAATATTCTAGAAAGATGACCATGGCATTTACTTACATTTGCTGAGAATCTTCCAATTCAACACAACGCAATATGGCTTCCGCGTGGATATTCAACATTCTCATAACTGCATCATTTGACAATAAGGTAAAGCCGTTGGCATCGACAATGGTTATATTCATGGGTTGAGGGCGCGTAGAAGTACGGTTACTGCTGTGGTTTGTAATGGATGTGGGTGTCGAAGGAGATAAGATGCTATTCGAGGTTGTAGCTGAAATTTGATTCAACGTTCGCGTCAATACAGATTGATTTCTGGATGAGGTCAACTTGCGCTGTTGCTATATTCAACGTAGAGTTGGAAGGGGGGGGAGAGTTTGTGTAAGTAAAGCAAAGTTCTATCCAGTCATCATTTCAAGTGTTACCATGGCGTTCAAAAAGTCTGCAATGATTTGCCCAAAAAGTTCAATGAGGCATTCTACTTCCTTCTTAATATAACGATTTCCTTCTGTGTATGGCACGAACAAGTCGTCCATACATCTATCCAACGTTTCATCAGGGGAAGCTGAAGCGACAAGCCCTTTGACATCTGCTGTATCTTTTAACGAAACTTCTTTATCGCAATAGAACTTTAGGTTCTCAATCAATCTTTTCGTTTCAGCATGAGTGGAGGCCAATGTACGAAGATAGGCTAGATGTGAGTAACCCTCGGCTCGAGTCAATAAAGCTTCTATCTGATCTTGTATCTACAAATGGTACGGTACATGTCAGTTTTCTTTTTTTTTTTTTTCAACAAAGAGATACTAATAACATGATGTTTACGGATTGAGCAAAAATTCTCTGGAGCAATACGCGCATGACGGTAGCGGGTTGAGGAAATACACTAGAGATAATGCCTGCTTCCCGACGCACGGTAATACGAATATCGTCGTATAGCTTAACAAGGCTTGTGTCGACTTCGGGTGGAGGTACATTAGGATTAGACAATTCTGGGTTACTACGGGAGTAGAAGGTGGTTTGGCAGTCGGTAACCGAGCAGCAAAAGGTAAGTAGGGTATTTTTCTTTTCTTACTCCTCGAGATCACCCTCGACTGGCTCCGTATCCATCTTTAAATTTGACATGAAAAATTCATGTTGATTGACATAGATTTGTATGCATGAAGCACCCCCATTAAATTCAAATAGTACTTTTGCGCAGTGCTAGACGATAGTTGTCTGCGTTACTAAAATGATGCTACTCTCTGCGAAAAAAAAAAAAAAACGGAAAACGCATTTCGCTGCACTTACGGCCATGGCTCTAGGGTCACCTTCTTCATAGGCTCTGTCGAAATCTTCTAGGATTTCCTTTTCAAAACTCTCACAGAACTTTTCAATGGCCAGCTTTGCTTCGGGGTCATTGTCGATCTCCTTGGCAATAGCACTTAATCTTCTGCCAACAATAGCCGTCTAGCGTACGAAATCATTGATTCAGTAGGGATACACAGCAGCAGCAGCAGCAACGACGATTGAGTCCCCCCTACCTTGAGTTGGCCTTCGTCTCCACTCTGACGCAATGTTTCCAATCTTTCAGAGTTCCCGTCCTGAAACTCCATGTAGTACTCGATGATATCTCGGCTTTCTGATGCCTTTGATCTTTCTTTATCGATTGTCTCTAACTGTTCGCCGATACGGATCGCTGTTTTGCCAACGTCATTAATTCTACTTTCCAAACTATCATAGGATCTATAAACATCCTATGTAGATTAAAATCGATCCGATTCAGGTGATTTGCGCGTTAAAGAAACAAAAAGAGAGGAATGTCTTTGTGGCCTCCTATCCCTCATGCCCATTTCTTCTTTTTTGTTTTTACTCTATTACTTTACATCAAAAGCTCCCTGGAGATCTGTAATACTTTGCTTATATTCCACTTCTGCATTCTGCGTACTCTTTTCCAACTCATGGCACTGTTGCTGTACTCTCAACCTTAATTCTTGAAGCTCCTCTAATACAGACTCGAACGTACGAATAAATGGTTTGGGATCAAAGATAGTACTATCTAACCTCCATTGGAAAGTGGGGGGAGAGTAAAAGAAAAGAAAAAAGGCCATAGACACCACATCAGTATTCATTATCCATATTTTCAGAGTTGGGTACAACTATGCAAACAAGATAATTCAAGCAAGGCAAAAGCAACTTTTTTCTTACTATGGGTGGCATCAGTGTTTGAATAACCAAGTACACTTGACGAGATGCGCTCAATAAAGTCTGTTGTTGAGACGTTTTCCTTCAACAAACGAGGGAAAAAAAAAAGGGAAAAATTCAATATAGAGGAATCACTTTCTATTTTCCCAATGAACAGCATTAAAAGAATAAACCGCCCCACCCCCTTTTCTTCCAATACGTTATTATTGTGCTATCATACTCTGAAAGTTTCAATCGTTAACAATGCTTTTACTTCAGGACTGAGTTCATGAAAAGAATGATTGGATGCTGCCATGTATGTCGAATGCACGAGAGAACTGTGAATGAAAAGAAAAAGCAAAATCCACAGACTGGTGGAGACAGTTTACATTCAAAGTAGCAAATTGCCTTTTTAAAAGACAGACGCTTCATTTTATTTCGTAACTGAAAACCCCCCCCCCAATTGAAAGTGGGGATGTGAATGTTAACAGTGCGATCTGTTCATAATTTAAAGTATCTGCTGTTATAAAAAGGAAGAAGAAAAACACTCAAGAGGCATACGCAATGTACATATAGAACTTACACGAGCATGTGTTAAGAAAAAAACCTTGATGGCACACGTTCTTTTTTCAGGCTTAAAGTGCTTCTCGACATCAAAGAGACATGGGATACATAATGTTGTATCTAAGAAACAATAAAGAGCCACACACCTTCCCATTTCAACAACAGACACCAACGATGGTTTGACAATAGTCAATGGTGCAATGGTCTAAAATAACTGCATGAAAGGTTGTAGTGATAAAAGCAGTTAACAGAAAAGTATTCGTGGTGAGAAGGAGATGATGTAAGCTCTACTGAGTTAAAAAAAAAAATAAAATAAAAAAAACGACTGAACGAATGATATTGCAAACAGGATACTGCTACTTTACCAGATCATCTTTGCTATAGTTGTCTGATACACTATGCAAAAGAGACTGTTTAAGGTTTGGGAATACGTGTTGACATTCCCCATCCATGCAGAAACATACGGTGTTGGATTGAATAGTGCGGAAACGGAAAGGCACCCTTTTTTCATGCATTTTTTATTTTTACAAAGCTTAATTAGTGCTGGTTTTTTCTGCTTGGCTTTTGCATGAATGGTTAACCAATTGAGATATTTTATAGTTAATTTTGAGATTTATATAATTATAATTTTGGATAAAAAGCATAGGTTTTGGAATCAACTTTTGCTGTCAAAATGTGTTCCATGCCCAAATGTGCTACCTATTCATACTCAAACACGATAAATACATTGTGCCGAAGCACAGAATGACTCACCCTGTCTGGTTATGTGAGTAGTCCCAAGCAGTCATTTATAAAAACTGTATCAACATACATTGAGAAGTCTCACAAGAACTCACGTAAACGCGTACATTAGATTAAGCCATCGATTACTGTAAATTCAAAAAGTGACTGAAAGTGTCCGCATTTCAAGGATAAATAGTCGGAAAACAAATGGCCCGGATTATCTGAATTCACCAAGCAATTTATTTAAATTTTATACAAAGACAAAAGTTCCAAAATTTAAACCGAAAAAATAGTGTTTGTTTGCTCCGGTTAAAAGAAAAAAGTGCTGCTGTTTTTTCATCTGTGGTGTGTTTGGCTAAGGTTTCATTTTTTGACAGTTTTCCAAGAAAAGAAAAACATTCCTTTTACTTGGCCCGCGCAAATCTATTTCTTTTCTTCTTTTTTAGCTTTGATAGCCTAGAAGCTCTATTCGTTTCAATTTATTTTGTTGCTTCTTTTCTTTTTCTTTTTTTTTTTTTCTTTGTTGTTTTGTTGTACCTGTTCCTTGTTCTTTGAAGAAAAACGCTTGATTTTTGTATAATAATAATAGAATGGGACAATCTTTATCAGAACCTATTACTGAAAAGTCAACCTTTGAAGGAAATGACAAACGTGTCATGTACGGCATCTCCTCCATGCAAGGTTGGAGACCAAGTAAGTTTTTTTGTTCATTTGTGGTCCTCCAATGATGGCAATGACTGACGCAGCCAACAAAAAAAAAAAAAACCAATAAAAAAAGCCATGGAAGATGCGCATACAATCATTCCTTCTTATGCAGATACTGGAGCTAGTTTTTTTGCTGTCTTTGATGGTCACGGAGGTAAGTCCAGGATGACATTCTTACATGATTTATGTGTAACCATCCATTCATGTCTCATCTCATCCTATTTATGACAGGCGATGAAGTGGCGAAATACAGTGGACGAGAGTTACATAAAAAGATTATGACATCCAAATCCTTTGCTCAGAAAAGATATAGAGATGCTATTCGAATAGGGCATTACGCTATAGACGAAGATTTAAGAAAAGGTAAAACCAACAACCTTAGTCTCATGACTTGTTGGGTTGACGTCTATCTCTCTACTTACCTCTCTTTCTTTCTTTCTTGTCTTTCTTGATTTGGTATTGTTATCAAGACCCTCATTTTGATAAAGACTATTCAGGCTCGACTGCTGTGACAGCAATGATAACAAAAGATAATGTACTCTACGTTAGCAATGTCGGTGATTCAAGAGCAGTGATCAGTACAAAGAATGGAAGAGGGATACCCTTAACGCAAGACCATAAACCAAGACATCCAAAAGAAGCAGTACGAATAAAGAACGCAGGAGGTTTTGTTGAAAATGGACGCGTCAATGGTAAACGAGAGATAAAAAAGACCCTTTTTAAGCAACCGCACGCCACCACACGACTCTCTTGTGAGACAAAAAGCCTCATTTTTCGCTTGTTTTCATTCAAACTCTATAGGAAGTCTAGCTTTGTCAAGAGCACTTGGTGATTTTATTTTCAAATCAAATACCCAATTAACACCCGATCTCCAAGCAGTAACAGGTAAGCCATGATAGTCCATCCGACATTATAGATTGTGAATATAGAAAGTCCATTTTAGGAGACTCATTTCATTTATTGGTTTTTTTTTTTTTGAAACGAAAAGCTGAGCCTGATATTATAGAGCACCTTTTGACAGATCATGATGAATTTGTAGTATTAGCATGTGATGGCATTTGGGATTGTTTAACAAATCAACAAGTAGTGGATTTTGTACGTCACAAGTTATGTGAACATAAATCACTCGGACCTATCTGTGAGGAATTGATGGATTATTGCTTAGCAGAAACAGCGAATATGACCGGTATTGGTTGTGACAATATGACAGTGATTATTGTTGCATTTCTAAGGAAACGCAAACCTCAGCAATGGTACGATTGGATGGCCTCTAAAGCACAGCCGCCGCTACCTCTCAGAAAACCGATTTTGATTGCACCGGGCAGCCGCCAACATTTGACAGCATCTGATCCAAACACCGATGCTACTTCTATTCCCAAAGATAATAATGATACTAACGTCTCGTCGACCACCGAAAACACACCATCAGAAATACCCATACCCAGTACTACTACTCATAATCATCATGCTACTTCAACGTCTCTAGAAATAACTTTGCCCAACGCCGCCAAAGAAAGTCATCACAACACACCCCTCTCCTCAACACCGATATTACCACCATCACCACCTCCACCGCCACCACCTGCTGCTGCACCTTCCTCCTTATCCACGACGATGGCAGATGCCGCCAAACGGCATTCCATTTCATTAGACAATGATAAGAGTACCTCCACTTCAGAGCGAACGGATTCCCCAGCCAACACGGTCTCCAATATCATGGCGGCCTCAGCAGCCACAGCCAAAAGACAATCTATTTTGAATACCGCGTCGAAAGGCACACCTACGACCGACGCTCCTACGACCACGACTGCTCATTCGCGTAGTGCTGCTGCTACAGGTACGGCGCCTGTGAGAAAAGTTTCGTTTTTACATACGCCCACGCCCACGCCCACGTCTCCTCCTCCACCACCACCACCACCACCACCCTCCTCCATACCATCCAGTGAAAAACCAACCAATGCATCGTCGCCTGTTCCAGCGACGGCAGCTGTAGCAAAATAAAAAAAAAAAAAAAGTGTGTGCTTTATTTGTCGTATGACCTACTCTGGTTGTTTTTGGTTTTTGTTTTTTTTCTCATCTTTTTTAATGGAAAAAACTCCTCTCTTACTATGTACAGGCACCCCGACCACCCCCATCCCACGTCTCTTTTGCCCATGAGAATAGATCTGTACTATTTTGGATGGATAGTTTTCAAAGCACTTCGACTCAGAATCCTGATATTGTTCATAAAGACTTCAATCATGGGTGTATATTGAGAAGATTCCTTTCTGTCATATTTCGATTTTTCTTGCTGAAGTAAGGTCGCGTCAGCAAATTCCAACTCCAATTCATGACGAAGGTCTGTTGGGTCTTGGTCGACATTGGCACCTTTGACTTGAGTGAGATCAAAGTGAATGCCTCCGTGTTGATACGAGATACGGTCTTTGTTCCTTTCAAACACGGGAGGAGATTCAGGTTTTGTACGAGGATGTTCGATATTGATAGAAATGCGATAGTCTAAAGGTTGATTGGGTGCGTGAATATTCAGATCTGCCACACGTTCTTTTTCCACAATACCATTAGGTACAATCTACCCCAAAAAAAAAAAAAAAAAAAAAAAAAAGGAGGAAAAAACCATGAATATTCTTTTCCCTTGAGATCCTACTAAAGTAGTGGGAGGAGTGTGTGTGTGTGTGTGTGTGTGTGGTTCCCCACTTTACTTGGTTTGTCGATTGTTCTGTGGAGACTCTTATTTTGGATTTAGAATTGGGTATAATGTAAAATCGGTCTGTTTCCATGGTATGTTTATACTTGATACGTTCGCCCTTTTGTTGTTGTTGTTGTTGTTGTTTACAGGGAAAATATGAAAATGAGTGACAGGGGCAAGCAGAGGTGGGTTATCTTATTTTTTCTTTTTGCATTTTTATTACCCTATAATCTCTTGCTTGTGTTTTATTCACCATGTCGTTTAATATCTTGTTGTAGTGTCGGTGCTGTTCTAAAGGCATATTGGATTCGAAGCGGTACTGTCTCATATGTCCAGACGGGATCACTGTTTCTGTATAGGCGTCCATATCGATTCTCTGACCTGTCTGTTTATCGACAAAGATACCCAACTTGGCTTCGATCTACGTGCAATGTCCCCCTTTTTTTTTTAACTACTTTTGCCCACGGCTAGCTTCATGGCGCGGTAACTATGAACACACTTACTTCGACATTCTCCAGATGGCAATATTTACCGATAAACTCTGCCACATATTTTGTCATATCATCGACAGGTTTGATACCAAAAATGGATGGCTCGCGATAGTGATTGCTCCCGTAAGCTGATGAGGAATGGTGGGCCTTTTTGGCGGGTGGCTCTTCAGCGATTCTGCCGTTGGAGGATGCTAAGTCTACTTTGTCAGCCGATCTCTTTTTCGTTTCCATTTCCGTTGATTGAAAAGCAGTGGAAGGAAACAAACGAGGGGTCAACTTCTTTTTTGCGTTCGTCAATGCATGTGACTCTCTTTTTTTTTTATTCTTTCTTTCAGGTCCCTTTTCAGTCTGGGGCTTTCCCCCCTTAAAAAAAAGAAAGGGCTAGCAAAGGGATGAAAGAGATAGCTCGTGTTGGGAATAGAAAGGATAGCTTGACAGACGTCAAGTGAGTCTATGTTCATCTTAAGCGTCTGCTGTGAGCGATGCATGAATTTTTATTTGTTTATTTTTTTTATTTTTTTTATTTTTTTTTTTTAGCCCAATGAAGAAAAACAAAAAAAAAAAAGCTTGTTTGTACACTTGTATACAACAGTCAAGTCGTTAAAAAGTCATTTGGAGTAACGTTCCCATTCCGAAGGACATAAACAAAAAAAAGGATTTCTTTTTTTTTGAAAAAAAAAAAAAAAAAAATTGTGTGTATATATTTCGAAGAATAGAGGGGGAAAGAAAAAGAGAAAAAAGAGAAATGAAGTCAAAAGAGTCTTGATATATTTTTTTGATGGCATAAAGCATGTGTAAAATGGATTGTTCTGAGAGAGAAAGAGAGAGAGAGTAATATATATATATATATATATTTACATATATATTATGTGAGTCAGTGGTGGAGTGATTGAGTGAGAGAGACAGAGACAGAGAGAGAGTATGTGTAGGTGCGCATGTTTGAGTGAGTGAGTGAGTGAGTGTGTAGTTGTGTGTGTGTGTGTGTGTGTGTGTGTGTGTGTGTGTGTGTGTGTGTGTAAGTGGAAGTGAGTGGTGAGTACTCTCTTTTTTTCTTTTTTTTTTTTTTTTCTTTTTTTGGTTTACAAAACGACACAGCCTTTAGACTTCTTCTTCTTGCTGACCATCAATGCAGCTCGTGTAGCATGTTCGAATACCTCACGAACACCTTCACCGGTCTTGGCGGAACACTCAAGATATCGATAAGCATTGATTCTTTGAGCTACTTGGTTACCCTAAAATAAAAATAGTGTTGAAATGGGTTAAAATACGTGTGTGTTACTCCAAGAGCATCTATTTCTTTCACAACGATATCAGTAGCACTGCGACTATGATCCTCCTCCTCCTCCTCCTCCTCCTCCTCCTCTTCTTCTTCTTCTTCTTCTTCATCCTCCTATCTTTCGAACGACATTTTCTTTCATGCTTACCTCTTGAGTGCTAACAGGTTGTTGTGAATTTCTTCGAAGTTCTTCAATGGTTGCGGGATCATTTCTCAAATCTTTCTTACACCCAACTAAAAGTATAGGTAAACCTTGGCAGAAATGAAGGACTTCAGAAATCCACTGAATAATAAAAAAAAAGAAAAAAAAAATTAATTAATTAATTTGTCTATTAGAAAAAAAAAAAAAAAGAAAAAAAAAAATAGTGTGTGTCGTATACAATTATAAATATAAATATATTTACATCATACACATGCACAACATCCTTCAAGTCAACAAAACGAAATAAAAATAATGGCACTTTACCTTTTCTTGAACATTTTCTAAAGAGTCGGGAGAGTCAACAGCAAAACAGATCAAGATAACATGAGAATCAGGGTATGACAAGGGTCGAAGACGATCATAATCTTCTTGGCCTATAAATACATATGAGGGTATGAAGAAGGGAGGTGGTTAGTTATCTGATCCCATAAAAAGACAAGAGAATGACGATTCAAACCAAGTACCTGCTGTATCCCACAAGGCGAGTTCAACGTGCTTTCCATCCACCTCAACATCTGCAACATAGTTCTCAAAGACGGTGGGAACATAAAACTTTTTTTTTTTTTTTCGGCAAGTGGAGAGAAAAAGGGGAACTTTAGCAAAAAAAGAATGGGTTGCATATTTTGACTATGATACCCACAATCACCCACCCACACACTTACTCATACTCTTATACATAAACCCCATCCATCCCTCCTCCATACATACCTCAGGGAAAGTACCCTTTGAAAAGACAATCAATAAACAAGTTTTACCACAGGCACCATCACCAACAATAACGAGTTTTCTTCTGATTTCTGCCATTGTCTTTTTATATATATAAAAAAAAGTCAGCAAAAAGGCCCTCTTTCCCTTTCTCTCAAAAAAAGAAAAAACAAAAAAGAAAAAGATACCTTTTATATGTGTAATATTAGAGTCGATTGCAACTGAATTTGAGAAAGGTTTTCTTTTCTTTTAGATAATATAGACGTTCGTAGTTGTTTATTTCAGAGGATATAAAAGAGAGATAACCAATAAATAAAAAGAAAAAAAAAATAAATATGAAAAAATATGAAAAAGAGAGAAAAGGGAAAAAGAAGAGAAGAAAGGGAAAAAAGGGGAATTCAAAAAAAAAAAAAAAAAAGAAAAGCTTTAAATTTCGCAGTTGTAGTTCAACGGCTGCTGCTCCCCGACAACGACATACTTGGCATTTCTCGCTTCTTTTGACCATTGTCCTTTCTTTTTAAACGACAAAAACATCATCATTGTTCATGAACAAAACAATGACCAAGTAAAACAGTATGACAAGATAGACTATTCAACATACCCATTCCGTTTCAAAGGTATCTTGGGCGCGGTGATAACGTAGGCTCTCAGTTGGTCTTTTTTTTTTTTTTTTTTTTTTGTGGTTTTTTGGTTTTTGGTTTTTTTTTCTTTTCCGATAAATTTTTTAATATAGTATTTTACTTTACATTTTAGACGATTTACAATTTTTAATGGACCATATACATTTTAAATTTGGATTTATTATAAAACATTTTCAGAATAAAGTTCATAGTATTTTAGATATCAATTTGGATACTCAATTATTCAATGCTATCCAAACAGCATTAAGGATGACATACAATCGAACCCAAGAAATGAGTCTCTTTCAGTAAGAAAGTTGCCAATAATGGTCTTATTTAAGTTATCTTGCAGTAGGCTTAATTACAAAAAGCTTGACAACTTTTTTATTCAATGACGATGTGTTCCGCGAATAACCAGATATTTGTCGGTGCCTTTTTTGTACAAGAGTTCCAAGAAAGGTCAACTTTGAATTGATTGACATCAAACCATTGATAGAGGGCTGAGGGTCATAGTATAACAGATACCATAGCGGAATGGGATGGTTATATTATCTGTTGTCAATGTTTTTGTGTGCGTTCATGGGTGACTTTCAAAGATAAGCACTATAAAATATATTGCTTTCTTATACTCAAATGTTGTCTCTTTCGCTTTTATTTCACGTTTTATGATACATACTATGACCCATGTTCAAAACAATAATTTATGAAAAGAAAAAGCAAATCTTTGAAAAGAAAAAATCAAGTGCTGTTCATGGTAACTTGCCTTTTGAATACCTGATCATATATATAATGTATAGATTAATCATCGTGTACTGTTAGATGTAACGTGTATTGATTGCGGTAAAAGGGGTCACTACACCAAACAATACTTTAAATGTGAATTATATGAGCCGGAAACTGCAGATCAAGGTAAGCACCTCATGTGGCTTTAAAAGTTGGTAAATTCATCATTAGTAAGCGACTTCGTTGTACCTATAGTTGGTTCGAAAGGCAGAAAACGCAAACAGAATTTTGAAATCAAGAAGGAAAAGAAGAAAGCAAGGAAAGAGAATAATGAAGACCCAGATGAAGACAATGCGTGTTGTACCAAATGCAAGCAACCAGGACATAAATCGGTGCGTTCTCCTCTGTGTCCTCAACATGTATTATCAAAGGCAGAGGTCTTTCAACATCATTTGGGAAGTAATTACAAGGCGTTTACAAGAAGGTTGCCTCTTGATAACTGTGTTTTTGGTGACTATCGCAACACATTCAAGTCAAAAGTTGTTGAAGCTTGTTCTGTTATCCGCAACTTGGTTCTTAGAGCCAAGCTCTTTGTGAATTATTACGTCTTGGAAAATGCCACTCTTGCTGAGCCAAAGTGTATTAAATGTATCTTTACACAAAATTTCTGGTACTCTATGATACAGCTAGTGAATGGACAAAGACCAACAAATAGTAGGCTGATATCACAACAATTACTGAGCTCGTTTGATTCTTTTAAAACGACTTACCCTAAGATTGTCTTCCCTGTCAAGCTCTTTCCTGGACTTAGTCAAGCCATTACAGAAGCATGCACCGAAATTGCTACTTCCTATACGAACAGTATAGTGGAAAATTTTGAGGAGAAACTTCTCTATTTTTTGATATATAAAATACAAACAGCATTTGTGGTAAGTTGCAACTCAATATTACTTGGGGTCTTACATGAATTTTAAAAAAAGCTCTCATCTTGCGTAGTGTATGCCTTGGAAGCTTGTCAAAAAGGTCACAAGTGATTTCTGCTATCAAGATATATGCCAAGGAAAACCTACATGGCCAACTGATGACTACCTTATCAAAGATATAAAAGCAAAGATCCAAACCTTTTGTGAACCTTGGAAGAAGAAGCTGGGGAAGAAAGTGAACATGAAGACATTATCCGCTGATCCTGGGTCTTTCGTACCCTTTTTGTTATCTTTGAACGCAGAATTTGAGAGGGAACACGATGATCATAAACCATTTGACGTACGACGACGTCCTCTTCCAAAATTGCTGTCCTTACTGCCAAAGGTTTCCGTTCAATGGAGGTTCATTACCTTGAGCGTGAACGCTCTGTCTTCTTTTGTGAAACGTTCTTTACCTCGCAATTACCAAAGCCAATTAGAGCTGTTTTTCCATGTCTTTGATTTCAAGAAACTCCGGTACAAAAGGTAAGCATACAGTTAATACGGTATACAGTCGAGTATAATGTATGAGCTTTAACTTCTTGGGCACTTGTAGTATCTCTGAACTAACACCGAATGGTGATAACAAAGAGCTCTTTGGTAATATTGTCAGAACGGATGGGTTTTCCGTTGACTTTCTTTTTTATAAAAGACAACAATCTGGCCATGGTGCCTCGTTCCAAAAATTGGATCTCACTCTTGATGATTTCTCTCTGGAAGAAATTGGTAAGACTTATTTACCTATTACCCTGGATCCTGGAAGAAAGTCTGTTTTTACTGCTGTTATTGGCTCTACATCAAACAGACAAGTACGAAGATGCACTACATCTGAATACTATCATATGATAGGGTCGACCCAATACAGTACCAAGTTAAACAGAAAGAAGGCCGTTACAGGCATAGATCTCATAGAAAGTCAGATACCCTCGCCAAAAACCTCTCGTTTGGAAATATATGAGCTATACACTGCTTATACACTCAATAACCTGGACGCTCTCTTGGATTTTTATGGACCCGAAACTACAAAGGACCGGTTTTCATTGTACCAAGGTAGACAAAGAGCATCGGAAACAATGGCTAATATATTGACGCATGGGACATCTAAATATAATCGCAAGAAGAGAAGCAAGACAAAGAAGAGAAAGAACCAGCGGAAGAAGAAGAAAAAAGGAAAGAATGTTGACAAACAGCCGCCAATTAAGTGAGTATCAATGAATTACATGTTCATCGTTTAGCTTATCCATTCATTAATACTTTTTTGAAGTGCCAAGAAGTGGAAGACTGATAAATACTTGGAATCCCCTGGAAGGGTGCCACTGATTGTGTTTGGTGCTGGAATGTTTGGCAAAGATGCAGTGAAGTTGAAAGGACAAAGATGTGGTGTTGTCGGTAAACTTTTTGCAACTCTGAAGAAACGTGAAGCTGAAGGTCAATTGATTGTTGTCACAATCGATGAATTCAAAACCTCTAAAACATGCAGCCTCTGTTTCTATGATGATATGCAAATTGTTGATACTCCTGGATTCAAGGGTACCGGCGTTCTTCACTGCAAGCAATGTCTAAAGCTATGGCAGAGAGACATTAACGCTGCTATTAACATGATGACAATATCTCAAGCAGTTTGGTCCGGAGCTGGAAGACCCGATGTTTTTAAGCCAGCGAAGAAGAAAAATGTATCGCCGTAATAAACACGGTTTTCCTTCATTTTGAGGATTTAGATCATTACAGGTAAGGAATAGTACGGTATTTTTTTCTTGTTTTTTTTTTTGTTTCGCAATACTGACAAGTTTTTGGGATTTGAATTATTGTTTAAACGGTTTATATTTTGGTCTACAACACAATTGCAACTCATCTAAAATGAAAATATTAATCGTCCAAAAAAAAATGTATTTCATCTAAAATATTAGTTAAAATACTGTATTATGCCCGTTCAGATCGTAATCAGAGTAAAAAAGTTCGTTTGCTACAAAGGCCAAAAGGATAAAAATAGTATCAAAATGTGTTTACTTTTGTTCATCACCAAGAAATACAATTACGTGATAATAAATGGCTTTTCATAATGAGACGGCTATAAAGACTGTTATTTACCAATCTATTCATGAAAAGAAATTTTTCCTATATAAGCTGAGAGCTTTTATCCACACTGTGGTTAAGCAGCAGCCACCATCATCTAACACTGTCCCACAGGTTCTTCTCCACCACATCCCCCCTTAAATCCGCAAGGTTGTAACAGAGGCAAACCACTTAAATCAAGAAAAGCTTTTTCTCTTTGATAACCATTTGCTAAACTCTAAAATGCCTCTGTCTCGAGTCGCACCCCTTCCCTTCAAGAAAAAAAAAAACCAGTTTAATGTTACATCAAAAAAAATCAAAAAAAATCGTAGCATCTCCTTATTCAAAAAGGGACAACACCTTGGAAAATTATATTTCTGTGTATCGCTTTTTCTTTGGCCCTTTCTTTTTTCATCCCTCCTTCCCTGATTTACAAAGCAAAAAGAAAAATATGGATTTTATTCATGCTGTGACCAGAAATGATGTGGAAAGAGTACGCCATATGCTTCAATCCAATATGGTGGACGTAAACAGTTCATTTCTATGGAATTCAAAAGACACGACCACGCCAGTCATACCCTCTGAATGGATGGATCAAGTCGACATACTGCAGACAGATCAGAAATATCAATGTAAACCCTTGAATATCGCCGTATTAGGTGGTCACGCCAATATGGTTCGATTACTTTTGAGTGCAGGTGCCGATATCAATAATAAAGATAGCAGAGGAAGGTAAAATAGAATGGCTTTCAACCGTATAGCATACACATATACACGCATACATACATACACACATACACATATATACACACACACACACACACACACACACATACATACACAAACACACATTCTGATCTCATCCTCTATCATGGACGATAGAACTGCACTTGTTTGTGCTATTTATGGCTTAGATATAGATGCAGCGAATATCAATACCTCCAATCTTCATCTCATCTCCCAAACCCATACTGCTCATTTTGATATCATGAAAAACATTTTACTTTGTCATCCAAACTTGTATTATGCCACCTTGGATGGTCCTCAGTATGAAATCAAAGGTATTACACCTTTGTGTCTCGCTAGTTACCTCGGAAAAGCCGACCTTTTACAGCTATTGTTAGAAGATGGTAGAGTGAACGTAGACGGCACAGACAGTAAAAATGCAACCGCTCTCATGTATGCTGGTAACGTATATCACTTTTTTTTTTTTTTTTTTTTTTTTTTACTGTTGTATTCTGTCAACGTGGGGAGGACCCCAGATGGATGAATGGCCCAACCAAATGAACCCTATTTCATCTCTACCTTGTTGGCCCCACACTTCAATAGACACATACACTCATCCTCTTTCTCATCATCAAATGAATAGCACGAGATGGCAATGTCCCTATTGTAAAGATATTACTGAGTTATCACGCTTCTCCTGATATCACTGACAGTCATGGATGGTCCGCTATTCAATTTGCCGAAAAGAGCCCTGAAATAGTATTATTGTGTGAAGAAGTATTAAGAAGCAAACGCGCAGAACTTTCTGTAAGTTAAATTAAATGGAAGAAAAAAAGGGAAGGGGGGGGGGACGAGGAGGACGCTTGGACGAGGATCCTAAAGGATGCCTTTTTGACTTGAATCACCATCTATCTACGCAATATGATAGGTGGATGTAAGTACGAGTAGCAGCAGTAGCAGTAGTAGCAGTAGTAGTAGTCGCAGCAGCAACAGCAACAGCAGCAGCAGCAGCAGTAGCAGTAGCAGTAACCATAATAGGAGTAACAGTAGTGAAAATAACAAACAATTTGCCAACCCCAGAGTCGCCTATCCAGTCAATTATTCTAAATTATCAAACCTCCTAAATACAATGCCCAACTATCCTTCATCATTAAGCCATTTACAGTTCAATGTGCTAAAAGACATCAACCCACTGGACCCTTCTGCTCAACCCCTCATTCAAATCATCCAATCCGCCTTCTTGCAAGCTATCAAATCGCATGATCATCTTTCACTGCAAGCTTTACTGATGAAACCCCCTAACTTGACCAGGAATAATGAAATCGGTGAAAGTCTATATAAGGACATCATTACCAGAAATATAACCAACACGACCACATTGTGCCCTTTCTTTATTAATTATCATGACCCTAAAACTGGTTTGACCGCATTGCACCATGCCATGAGAACAAAACCTCTACCCTCCTTAAAGACCATCACCATGCTATTTCAAGCAGGAGCGGATATGAACGCTCAAACCTTCTATGGCCGTACCGCTCTTCATCATTTGGCTCGATTCGGCTTGAATAGTGATGGTGTTTCCTGGGGCATTCAGAAAAGTAGTCATACCGCTACCCATAAGGAGCCCGCTTCTCAAGCACTTGCCGTCACTTCCGCTACGACGACGACAACAACAACAACAACAACAACAACAACAACAGTCGTGGCTCCCTCTAGCACAGCAGACATGGCAGAAAAAAACGCTCGCATCGCGAAACATTTAGCCCTGTGCGCTTCGCTTTTGATTCGATTGGGTGCTCTTGTCAACGTAGCCGATCCGACCGGCAACACGCCACTGCATTTCGCTGCCGAATTTGGTGCTGTACCTGAGGTTTTGGAAGTGCTGGTGTTAGAAGGCTGTGCTGATCTCACCTTGAAAAACAAAAAGGGCTTGACTCCATTGGAGGTCGCCAAAACCGAAGAAATGAAAACTAAACTGAACCAATTGGAAACAGAACGTAAAAACATGATCCACTTGCAACACAACCACCATCATAAGCAGGGTAGACCGAACAAGCTGCCAAAAGAGACCCCATTGAACAGAACACGCTCTCTGGTGTCTTCCGTGAGCGGAACCATTCGTCCTTTTGATTCTGCCTCTCATTCTCACTATCCCCGTCTTTCTTCGACCACTTTCATGTCACGGCGCTCTACAAGTATCGCTTCCTTTTTGTTTCGTACAGACACCAACACAAATGCAAAGCAGCACCAGCACCAGCACCAGCACCAGCACCAGCAGCAAGCGATAGAGGCTCAAAAACAACTTTTAATGGCTACCGTTCAACGCAAAAAGGACGATCCAACCGCTTCCGAATATTCCGATTTTGAAATCATCTTGAAGGCCTTTTTTGCTTATCAAACAAGCTTTACTACATCCATTGAATCTTCTTTAGCTTACATTACAGACTCTATTTTGAACGGTACATGGCAGCAGCAGCAGCAGCAGCAGCAGCAGCAACAACACGTAGTTCAATCATTGCAAGTAGGAGGTCTCACCCAAGGACAACGGCCAACACTTCAACACCTGGAAAAGACGATTGCTCAACTTCGATATGAATTACGTGAAGCGCACGAAATGTTTGATACCACCGATGAATTGGTGGAAAGAGTCATGTTGGCCTTCCGCGAAGAGCTGGAACAGGTGGAACAAGTCCATCAAGCCGACTGGGAATTGTCAGAGTTGCAGCACGATAAGGTCGAAAAGCTGTTTGATGTATTTGAGAGAATTGATCATCGTTTTCTTCAATTGGAAATGGCACAAGAGGATCTCATTCTTCAAGTGGAAAAACTGAGAAAAGCTGCAGCTAGAAAACAGCGTCAGCCATCTCCCCAGCACCCACAAGATCAAGGTCCACAGGCAACGGTGTCCACCACCACCACCACCACCACCACCACCACCACAGTGGATGAGGTCGGCTCTTGTGTCGTTCACTTGTACCAATCCTTACTCATCCTTCAAGCCATACCTGTCGATCGCCCTCCTCACTTGTATGATGATAGAAGTCGACTCTATCGGGACATGTCTGCCGTAGTAGAGCAAACATTCGCAGAGATTGACCGTTACGCCGACACAAAAGGAAACAAGAAGCATCCTGCAAGATTGGAGGAGGCAAAAGCTATACTGGAAAAGCAATGGGTCCTTGTGGAAGCACTTTTGACAAAAGAATACAACCCTTCAACACCAGGGCAAAATGACCTAAAAGCTGCTGATGCTGATGCTGCAGTAGAAATAGCTTCAGACTCTATGAAAAGCTCATCCACTTTAAAGCAAAAATTCAAGGCAATGGCTGACTTGTATGCCTGTCTACCTCAGCGCCGTTATCCGTATCAACGAGGCGCGGAAGGAAACAAAAGAGAGAGCCGTTGTCAACAGCAGTCATTACCTCCTTCTTTGAATCAATTAGAACTGTCATTTGATATCCTGCAGTCTAACCTCAGTGAAATCCAAAAAGATATTGACGATGTGAATGAGCATTTGCATAAACTAACCGAAAGTAAAAAGAAAATGTATGAACTCTGTCTACAACTCGAAAAAGAGTTGAACCAGCAGCAGCAACAACAACAACAACAACAACAACAAGAGCAGCAGACCCATGCTGATGCCAAGAACTCAAAGAGAAATGCAGAGGAAATCAAATTAGATCTGCAACACGTCCTGAACTTTACTCAACGTCTTTTCGATAAGCAGCACACGTTAACAAAAGAGCGTGATCAGTTAATCAAAGAACAAAATGAAACCAAGAAGCGTATCGAAAAAGCCAAAGCAGATCTATGCCATGTCAGACCCCATGCTTTATTACAAGGTCTGTTGGATCGATTAGATACCGACGAGGAAACCCCTACCATACGGATTGAGAAGGATTGGAAGGAGGACACTCACTTGGTGACAGAGATCATCATGGAAGACGATCAAGACGACACCCTCTCGTCCTCCTCTTCTTCCGCTGCTTCATCCACATCCACCACCACAGGCCCTTGTCAGCCGTCAGAAAAGCAAGCGCAGGAGAATGCATTCACCTCACTTCAACTCCAGCAGCTGAACACGCAATGCTCCTCTCCTTTGAATACCCTCTGCTACATCGCAAGATTGGATGCCAGTCTTTATTGTCTCAAGGTGCTGGCCGCTCATATGACCAATAAATCGCGACAACACTTATTGCAAGTACAAGCGTCGTTGGGTCAAGCGAGCACCGATCTAGACGAAAGGCGTAACCAAATGACACAACTCTATGACAATGCGGCTGAAGTGGCACGACAAGTATTTGCTTTAAAGACAGAATTAGAAACCATCGTACGTCATCGCAAAGAAGAGGTGGTTAAGGTGTGGGAAGTCGTCAATGAAGTGTCAGAAGGTTTGGAAGTGAGAATCCAACAACAGCAGCAGCAACAACAACAACAACAACAACAGCTCGATGTATCGAAAGAATTGCCGCCTTTGCCTTCTTCCCAGCCATTTCAACAACCGAAGCGAGGTGATTCTCTACGAAGTCTAGCAGAACACGGTGATTCTATCATGAGCAGTCATAGTAGTAGTAGTAGAAGCAGCGGTTGCTCTCCGCCTAAAGATCTTAGCTCGGAGGAAAATCAAGATCATTACCAATGGATCATCCGAGAGCTTGAGCAACTTTATCACGTCTATGAGAGTTTACAAGAAGCAATTGACGATTTGAAACAAGAGCAAACGACGGTGGGTGAAAGCTTGCGAGAATTGGCCACTTCGTTTATCGAACCACAAGTGGATAAGCTGGTGGGGCCATCAGATACTTCCTTATTGTCCATAAGTGATCAGCTGGCTGAACTTATGGATCGTATTAGAGAAAATGAGCTTGGCTTACGACCGGTTTCATGTTGGTCTGCGTTGTCGTCGTCATCCTCTTCAAACTTTGATGACGATACTAATATAAATAAAGCCGGTGATGCAACAAACCAAGCACCAGCAGTAGCATCAGATGAAAAGAAATATGCATTCAAGGACTCTGTAACATCAACAAAAACAGATCTTGGGTAAGTGACCTAAACCTGCGCTATGGGTTCCTGTAGCAGCGATACTCATTATTCTTCCAACATTAGATATGCCTTTACTCCAAAAGCCAATACCACCGCATCGCACGTGTCCACTGCGACGGCCACGCAGCACCGACTTTCTGAAGCTACATTACAAAGTGGCAGTAATTTATCTGCTTCCTATGTTCGCCGCTCAGCTTCTAGTATCTTTGTAGAAAATAACAAACGACTGTCGTCAGCAATGACCCTTCGTACAGCCGATAACAGAAAACGTATGTCAGTCATCTCTACCACCAGTTTATCGTCGTTATCTTCTTATCAACAAGAGCGAATGATAGCAAGAGTATCTAATCTTAGCAGTGCCTTATCAAAGGTTCGACAGCAACAAAATACGAGCAGTAACAAAAACGCCTCTTCTTGAAAGCAATGATATTTACGAGAATAATTATTTATACAGTGAATAAACTCGATACGATACCAATACATCAAAATGTAATATAAACATGATGGTCGCATCTTTCTTTTTATTGATTTTTCAACAAAATCAAAAATGTCCACATTTTTTTACAATAGAATAAACAAATGAATTAAACCGGGATTATTTGACAAAAAATTGATCCATTAATTGAAAGTTTTTACTATGGTGATTGATGAACAAAGCAACATGAGTTAACAATTGTACTTAAGCTCCCTAATTACTCATCAACTATATTGATTAAGATAATTTACCTGCTTCATGGCGTCCTTCTTACCCTTACGTTCGAGAATAGCAAGACGAGACTTGTCTAACTTAAGGTTGGTGATAACAACTTTGGAAGCAGAGAGACCAATGGGAACAGTGGCACCGTTGACCTTTTCACGAGCGACACGGTCGACGTGAATAACCCACTTCTTACGGTAAACTTGAGTGATTTTACCTTCACGGCCCTTGTAAGTACCGCGAACAATTTGAACTTCATCATCCTTACGGACAGGAATAGAACGAACACCGTACTTTTCACGGAGTTCCTTAGATAAAGGAGCACTCATGATCTTGCGACGAACATCAGAGGTAGCAGTGAAGTGAGCCTTTCTGCTCTTACGGCGGGAAGAACTGACGTCTATTGAAAAGAATCAGATTTTTGTGACGTGAGTCGCAACAACATCTCAACATTTATATAGCTACAAGAGGGTAAACGAATGAAGTAGGTTGACAAAAGGAGGTGAATGGATTATGTTGGACTCTTGTTGAATAACCGTAGTGAGCAATGGGCGTTATCAACCACTTGAATTTGTTTGTAGGCCTTTACGTTTGGTAGTAATCGATTCAAATTACTAATGTTCATTGATAATGTAAATCGGCAGCTGTAAAGTATGTAAATTCACTGTAATATATCCAATAATCGATCTTCATGGTCAATTCATATCTGAATATCCATAAATGCATCGTGCAAAAACTCTAATCCATCCATTTCCCTTCTCTTGAATAATCTACAAGTTATATATATTTGATATGGAATCCTTACCAGCAGAGAACTCCATCTTTATTATAACGGATGGAAGTGGAAAAGGAAGATCTATAAGATGTCTCACTGCCTACTTTAGCAAATGGTTGCCTCTTCCCTCAATTCTGCGCTTTTTGGTATTAGAGTCTTTATTGGAGATACCAATAAGCGAAGATGGACGATGTTGATGGGCTAAAGGAGAAGTAGGTGATGGTTCTCTTTTCACCGCAGCGGTAGTTTCAGCAGCAGTTGAAAGTGGCGAAGACGGTTTACCTACAGAACGTGAAGATAAAGAAACATTTTCACCGTGTTCCTTCTTTTTCATATAAATGGAGGGTGATCCAGGACGACCCAATGGTTTTGACATAGCTTCTTTCTTAAGTTTGTTCGCATGCATTTTTTTCGGCGTCAAGTTGCTCTTATGAGCATTATTAGCGGTCGCAGAAATTTTCTTTTTAAGTGGCATATGTGCATTTTTCTCTTTCTTTTCATCCTCTGTTTTCTTACTCTCATCCTCCTCATCGTTGTCTGTTTCCATTTCTTCAGCACTGGAAGCATATGGATCAGCTTCTTCATCGTCACTTTCATAAGCACGATTCTTTTCGAGGTCACGAACAAGTTTATGTAACTGTTTGCCTTCTGAAGAAAGTCCATTGTTGTCTTTCATTAGAATGTCATCATCATCTATGTCTTGACCACTGTTGATAGAGTAATCCTTAATCTCTTTCTTAACACGGTCTTTACTGTCTTTAATCTCCTCGTCCTCAACTTCGTGTTCTCCAGTGCCTTCTTCATCATCTTGAAAGACATCATCAAAATCAAGGTCATCCATATCTGAGTCTTCTTTACCGCCTTCATCATCAGAGCCCGCGTCTACTATTGTTATGATCGACAATTTTGAATTTGCCTAAATGTGATGCTGCACGTTCCTCCTCTTCTTGTTCTTTACTACGATTCAACATCATCCATCTACCGTTTTCACGTTTTTGTTGTTTTTTCATCTATGAAGAAATAAACGTAGGGATCAGTTACATAAAGAGGTCTAGCCTCAGGCAAAGGGATGTTTTTACTTGTTCTTCAGCTTCTAAACTGAGATGCTTGAAGTGGCGCTTGGGCTGGAATTTGTACCATCTATCAACGAGTACCACTCTGAATCCATTGTCCTAATTGTAAATGGAAGAAACACAATGAATGCTATCAAACAGAGATAAAAATTACAAAGAAATAATCTGGTAGTTCTATAGCAAAAATTTACAGTTAATACAAAGAACATATAATCTGAACGCTGGCCGCCTTCATAAGTGCCAGTAAAACTATGCTGGCTATCATAATCTTCTAATATCCATGGCCGGTGTTCTTGTTCTTTCAGCTCTCTGGTATCTTCCTTTGCGAGATAAATTTGCTTTGTACGCTTTTTAAAAAGCAATTGTTTGTTGCGAGTAGCCCCACCTAAAGGTGCAATTAATGAGGTATCGGCACCTGATTTGGGTCCATGTTGTGATTTGGTTGATGCTGTGTTGCTTTTGTTCTCTTCACCGCCTACTTCTTCTACAGTTTCTTTTCCTTTCCCTTTCTCTTTGCTTTGAGAGGATGGCGGAGAAGTGGGTATAAGTTTACCAGCCATGATTGCTTCCGCTTTTGCTTGCGCAGCTTTTTTCTGTTCTTCATTAGCGGCATTTTGTGCTGCTATTTTGGCAATATATTGTCGATAAGGTAGAAAGTCTGTTTTTTCACGATGTAATTTAACAGGACGTGCAAAGCTTTTGGGGTCGACTGTTTTAGGTGATTTGAAATCCATGATGTGGTGTTTACCACGTTTGGCGGTTGACATAAGAGGGAAATCAGTGTAAGTGCTTTCTGGTTGCTGTTGTTGCTGTAATAATTGCTGTTGTCGATTTTGAAGAATTTGTTGTTGGACCAAACGTTGTGGACCGATGCCAGGTCGAGGTGGCTCCACGCGACGTTGAACAGGCCTCTTTGACTTATCCAAACGTGAAGTATTGTAAATACTGGACATATTTAATTGAACAAACGGGGGAAAAAATGAAAGCGTAACAAAGAGGGAGAAAAGATCAACGAATCCGTTAAGGCTGAAAGCAAGAATGACGTGGAACTCACAATTTTTTATTCTTGTACGTAGACTATCAAACAGCACAATTTCATAAATAATAACGCTGTAACAACATCAATAAACTATAGTACAAAGTTTTTCGTTTTATTTATACGCAGTAAAATATTGAATGTTGAGGTATCATATGAGTGTTTACATTTCTTTAAAAGAAGCAAAAAGCATCTTGAAACTATGTATTTTTGGTTTTTTGGCTTTTTCTTTTTTTACAAGCCAAGTCTTTGGATTTTGACTACCTTCACTTGGGTATATTCCTGGAGAGCATATTTACCGAGTTCCTTACCAAAACCAGATTGCTTATAACCACCAAAAGGCGTAGATTGGTCAAAGACATCAAAGCAATTGACCCAGACAGTACCAGCTTGCAACTCATTAGTGACAGTAATAGCAGTATCCAAATTGGAGGTATAAACACCGCCTGCCAAACCGTAATCTGAATCATTGGCCATTTCAATAGCTTCTTCAATGGTTTTAAAAGTAGCGATACACACCACTGGGCCAAAGATTTCCTCTTGCATCACACGCATGTTGTTCTTACAGTTGGTCAAAATAGTCGGCTCAATGAAATAACCCTTATCACCCCAGCGCTTACCGCCCAAAGCGACAGTAGCGCCTTCGTCTTGGCCAATCTTGATATAGTTGAGAATCTTTTCGAATTGAGCCTTGTTGATTTGAGGGCCTTGGAAGGTATCATCATTGAAAGGATCACCCAATACGATCTTTTTGGTTTCAGCAATAAATAATTCCAAGAATTTGTCATAGACTTCTTCTTGGACAAGAATACGGCTACCAGCATTACAACTTTGACCATGGTTGTTGAAAATACCACCATGAGCATGAACAGCAGCGTTGGCAAGATCAGCATCAGCGCAAACAATTTGAGCGGATTTGCCGCCGAGCTCGAGCTGGAGTTTCTTAAGATTGCTACCGGCACTACCTTCCATAATCTTACGACCAGTAAGGGTAGAGCCTGTGAAAGCCATTTTGCTAATGCCCTTGTGGCTACTGAGATAAGCACCCGTAGTAGCGCCATAGCCAGTGATAATGTTAACAACACCCTGGGTTTGTTGGAAGAAAATGTATATCTCTTTAGTCATCTACAAAGCCGGAATGGATACGACAAATTCTACTGTATACTTACAGCAGGGAAACCGGCTTCCTGGAAAAGTTCAGCAAGTTTGTATAAAGGCAAAGGTGTGATTTCCGAAGTCTTCATGACAACTGTTGGTTACAAGGATCAAATTTTATATTTAGCTCTTTTGGATTCTTTCCCAATGCATCTTCAACACTCCCCCTACTACTACTACTACTACTACTGCTCTACTATTACTTTACTATTCCACCTCCATGAGCTTTGTATACTTACTTGTGTTACCAGCTGCTAAAGCAGGTGCAAATTTCCAAACAGCCATCATTGTGGGATAGTTCCATGGAATAACAGCGCCCACGACACCGAGGGCTTCATGACGAGTATAGCACATCTTGTCAAAAGTGGTATCAATGGTTTTACCATGGATTTTATCAGCCCAACCAGCAAAATAGCGGAAACAAGCAATGGAGTCAGTAACATCAACATCACGAGCAATCCAAAAGGCTTTGCCATTATCCAAAGCATCCAAAGTAGCTATTTCTTCCTTATCTCGTTCCATAAGGTCTGCCAATTTGTGGATGAGACGGCCACGTTCTGCAGGAGCTAACTTGCGCCATGTGTCCTTATAAGCATTTTTGGCAGCTTGAACAGCGGCATCCACATCGGATTCATCAGCAGAGTGAACAGAGCAGATAACTTCTTCAGTGGCAGGATTAATGGTTTCAATTAAGGGACCATGACCAGGAACAAATTCATTATTGATAAAGAGATGTGTGTGAACTATACGATTGAAATTTTAAAAGAGAAAAAACCAAAAGTCAACAGTGATGGGATGATTGTATTGTTAGTGTATAGTCTGCATAATTTAAATTGCTGTCCACAACAGATATGTGTTGGTCTATTGCTCGGGTTACCTTTCACTTCTTGACCCTTTGAAGTCTTAACAGTTTGAATATCGCCTTGAGTCATTTGGATTGCTGTCGGGTTTTTTATTTGTGATTGAATGGAAAAGAAAAAAGTGCCCTTTTTGCCAAAGTAATTTGTTTGCACTTCTTTTATGTGAGAGAGATGGGTGATTAGCCATGAAAGGAACACTTCGGAGTTGCCTTGTTGTGTAATACTACCAAAATACAAAGATTATGTGAACACAAAAATTTGGATCAATTTTATTTGTCAACAATTATGTAGTTTCATCTTTAGAGTTGTATATTGCTTGCAGTGATGAGCTTTTATTATGAGCAATTGTAATAGGATACTTTTGAAATAATTTGGTGGGTGAGAATGATAATGGCCTGTTTCATACACGTAGCAAAAGCCAAAAGTAGTCAATCAAAATCTTTTTCTTGCTCGCATTACTGGTCTAAACCTCTTTGAATGAATTAGATGGGAACCGCGAAATCTTGTTAGTAATTCTAAGCGTCACACACTACCAATATTTATGCTGATTAAGCGGTCCGCGATAAATTGAGTTTTCTAACGTTGAATATCGATAGTATACAGACACGCTGATAAAATATAGCTCGTGTTCAAACATTTTTATCGATGTATCTGTCGTCTACAGCAACTTAGCATGCGATTTCCCCTCCCATTCTCGCCGTCAGTAATTTACTTTTTTAGGCGAAGGTGAGAAAATCTCAACGTGGCACAGCGAACTTCCAGCATTTATGAAAAAGCATACAATGGCCTTTTTATTGATTCAGGAAGCATATGTACAAATTTAAAAGTAGTTGGACGTTTCAACTCTCAACCAAACATCATGTTCTGAGTCTTGTAACGTTTATAACGCAGGGCTGAGTATATAGATAACTGATGGTGGGAACACTGTGAAGGGCTGGCCATTCTATTCGACATGGTTGTTTTGATGTCAACAATTCATTAAAAAGTTTTTCTCCACGGCATGGATGTCGTCTATCGTTTGATTATTAACTTGACTAAGCTTCTCTACTTTTTCCTTGTATTCCGTTGCTGTTCCTTTTGCTTCAGGCATTCTCTTAGTTAGTTCGTTCAAGGACTGTACAAATGCTCTAATGTCCGTTGCTGTATATTCCTTGTCTTCTTCTAGCTTTTCAGGAATGTTGACAGGGTTTTCATCTTTATTGAAAAGCTCTAAATAGAAAAGGACGTTTAAATGCTTAAAACTTATTCTATTGCTGATGTTGTACTGATTTCCCGCCATACCTCTGTGTCGCTGCAGATTAACTGATTCGGATTGTAGGAAAGTATCAATATTTAATGACCCATTTGTAACATCGAGAGTATTCAAAACATCAGCAACTGTATTATATTTAAGTGAAGCATCTGTCTTGACGCTTTTATGTTTGAAGAAATTCAACGACATTACCACAGTTGACAGAGAGGAAGAAGAAGTTACTTTGAGAAAAAGTAGTGCTGCCGTCGCCGCAATGTTTCGTGCAGAAAATACGAAGCTTTAAGAAAAATAATGAAGTGAAACTGTAAATAATTATGATTCAACCGATTAGTTTTATCGCATATCTTCAATTGAACAAAAAATTGCTACAGATTTTATGTTGCTAACAGTCGCTACTGACCATTTGCATCTGTTACTGTGATCGTTTGGCCATAACCATAGTCAAAATGTGTATACGACAATTCAAAATCCTGAAGTTTTCAACGAGCTTGATAGAACAGTACAGATTTTGTCGTGATATGAGAGCTTATAAACGCTCGGAATGAACCAGAAGGCGAACCTGAAATGGTTTATTTCGTTAAGTATCCGAATTGGCCTAATTATTTCAACATACTCTATTGCTAGCTGATGCAGAACTAGTCAATTCAATATTGCGTGGTAATTTCAAGATTTAGAGTAACGGTGTTCCAATATCAAACGATCGAGATGCCCACACTAAAACTGCTCGTCAAAATAAAAGAGACTTCCCTGTTTCCGCTGGAAAGTTGATTACATAATATTTCCCGAGTCTGCAGCTAGAAAATTTTCAGTTTCCTTATTACAGCTGTATACGCCCTTAGGGTGTACAGTAAGTCAGTTGGTCACCATGGTACATTCCAGGTTTGATCTTGTTGCAATGGTACTCCACGTACAGTTTTAAGTGGTGTTTGATTTTGCTTCGCTATCGGTGAGCGCTCCGTCTAAAAGGCTGTACTTCAACAGCTATAAGATATAAAGGTTGGCGGAAATGTTAGCGGACTGCCTGTATTCAAGAAAGATAACAGATCAGTGCGTGGTGCATGCCACAGGCACCTTGCATCTTGAGTACATTCCGGACCGATGGTTTTAAGATTTGCTTCTTTTTGTCCACTCACTGACATGTGCATCTATCTGCAATACAGAGAAGTAGGGTTGATAGAAGCTTTCTTTGGCCTTTAATTTCTTCCAAGAATATATTCGCTCAACTTTGTCTACAACCATTGTTAAGTCATTCTACCTATTCAGATTTTTTGCCCATTTGTATTATTGTAATTTATATAGCATTTTCATACTTCATTTGCAAGGTCTACGGTACGCTTAGTGCTTTTATTAAGGGTCTTATTGAAGGCTTCATTTTCAGCGACGGAACAGCCAAAGAACAATTGAAAGTCCTTTTGGCAAACAAAATTTTTTTTTTCTCCTGTACTTCCTTGTTTGAATCTTTCAATTATTCTTTCGACGTGTGGCAATAATTTTTAAGCATGCTTGACATTAACTTGCTTTTGGAAGATCGTGGCGGTAATCCCGAAGTTGTTAGGGAATCTCAAAGAAGACGTGGTGATCCCGTTGAAATTGTCGATGAGATTATCGCTGAATACAAGGATTGGACTACCAGTAAGTTAATCAAGACTTGGCAAATTCTCGTAGCTAGCGAAATTCTCAGTTGTAATTATTTTCGTCAATTCTTATAGTTCAATTCAATAGCGACCAAAAGAATAAGGAAATGAACCGTCTTCAAAAGGAGATTGGTCAAAAATATAAGGCTAAGGAAGATCCGTCTGATTTAGTCAATCAGAAGAATGCCCTTCAAAAGGAAAAGGAAGCACTTATCGCTCAAGCTAAGGAAAAAGAAACATCCTGGAAGAACAAGTTGAACCTCATCGGTAACATTGTTCACTCTTCAGTCCCCACTTCTATGGATGAGGTAAATTTTAATACATTCACAAAAGTACGATTTATTGTGAGTTATAATTAATGAAGGTGTCGATATATTTGGCCTATAACGTGCGAAGGACAATAATGAGGTTATTCGTACCTACAATCATAATAATGAAGAACCCGTCAAGAGAACTGATATTATGTCTCACCACGAAGTTCTTGCCCGTTTAGACGGTTATGACCAAGACCGTGGCGCTAAGATTGCTGGTCACCGTGCTTATTTCTTGACTAATGTTGGTGTAGATTTGAACTTAGCTTTGATCAATTACGGTCTCAACTTCCTTGCTAGATATGGATACAAGAAATTGCAAACTCCTTTCTTCATGAATAAGGATATGATGGCTAAGACTGCTCAATTGTCACAATTCGATGAGGAACTCTATAAGGTAATTGTGTGGATGGTAGCAGCTTTGTTAACTCCAAGCTATTAACTGTGAATAATCAATAGGTTACCGGTGATGGTGAAGATAAATACCTTATTGCCACTTCTGAACAACCTATCTCTGCTTTCCATTCTGGTGAATGGTTCGAAAAGCCTGCCGAGCAATTGCCCCTCAAATATGCCGGTTACTCTACCTGTTTCCGTAAGGAAGCTGGTGCCCACGGTAAGGATACCTGGGGTATCTTCCGTGTCCATCAATTTGAAAAAATTGAGCAATTTGTTTTGACCACTCCCGAAACCTCTTGGGATATGTTCAACGAAATGATCGAACATTCTGAAGAATTCTTTAAGAGTTTGGGCTTGTCTTATCGTATTGTCTCTATCGTCTCTGGCGCTTTAAATAATGCTGCTGCCAAGAAGTACGATCTGGAAGCCTGGTTCCCTTACCAAGGTGAATTCAAGGAACTCGTTTCTTGTTCCAACTGTACTGATTATCAATCTCGTAATTTGGAAATCCGTTGCGGTATGAAGAAGATGTCTGATCGCGAAAAGAAATATGTCCACTGCCTCAACTCCACACTCTGCGCTACTGAAAGAGCTATTTGTGCCTTACTAGAGACCTGGCAACGTGAGGATGGTTTGGAAGTTCCTCCACCTTTGGTCCCTTATATGGATGGTAAGACTTTTATCCCTTACACCAAGCCTAAGCCAGCCCCCAAGAAATAAAAATAGCGTTCATAGTAAGCAAAGCATATCCAACTATACAAAGCATTTGTTCCAAAATTTCTATTTGAAATATTGTAATTAAAGAATCGTTCTATGTCAAAATTTTTAAGTGCTCGAATTTTACTTTGTTTATTTTTGATGCGTTCAGAGATTCATGATTTCGAAAATTGGCTTCACTGTAAGATTGGGGGATGCGGTGGCTTGTTATAGCTGCTCGAATAAGTAGAGATAATAGCATTCTTTATTTTTGATATTGGCTTTAAAAGGGTTGTGTATGATATTTAAATAGATGAATATATGGTATGTAGTGTAGTGAATAATAGGGGGTTTTATACAATTAACGTTATGGTCATCAAAAAGCATAAAGTTGGCTCTGTTCTCAAGTTTCGATCTGTCTTTCTAAGCGATCTAGTCTATCTCGTAAAGTATTTAACATTGTATGATACTCTTGTGGTCCGATATCATTTTGTGAACGAACAATCGTAGGTGGCGTTTGAAGTTCTTTGTTGGTAACAGGGAAGTTAGTGCCATTTTCTCTTCCGTTTTCGGCAAAAGCGACCAATTCTTCTGCGATAGCTCTTTCCTCCTTAGTTGCGCTCGGTAACGGTGAAGGTAAGGAACCGGAACTTTGCTGATTTTCCGTTACGATTTTGGATGGTTTACATTGCTGAGCGCCATCTAGTCGCTTTTCGAGAGTTTCAATACGTTGCATCAAATTATCGATTGTCTTCTCTATTTGAGACATCATGTCCCATTGTGCTTCTTTAATTTGATTCCTCATTAAGCCCTCCAACGTAGTAGCTGAGGCTTGCAAGGTTTGCATTAAAGAGGATGAGCGTCGAATTTGATCATCAAGAGTATTTTTTAGTGTACGTGTTGTCTCAATTGTTTCAAATAGATGTTCAAATGGTTGAAGGTACTGCTGACGCTGCAATGCAGCAAATGAATTGGTAGTTGGTGTCTTTGGTGGCAAAGGTACATTAGCTGCTGTTACAGCAAGCTGAGGTTGTGTATCGTGGTTCTTACGTCTTTGCGCATGGTTGTAAGATGAGGAGTTACTCTGTTGAGGATGAGAATGATGACCATTGCCGCTTGCATATACTTTAGGAGAAGCAATATATTGTTGATACGCCATAGCCTCCCGACTAGTTGGATGGGCAGAATGAGGTGGTTGGTGCTGTGATGGTACGATAGGCGGAATTGCGAACTCATGCCGTCTGGGAGATGGATGGTGTGCGAAGGGTGGTGGTCGTGCTAATGTAGCTGTAGCAGGAACTGGCGCGAGATTGTGCGGATAAGATATAGTTGAAACCCCATTGGCTAAGAAGAGTTAAAGCATGATAATGAATTAATCTAACTTCTATGGCATCTTCAATCATACTGGATTAGTTCTTACCAAGTTGAGCTCTACCTTGATGTTGTTGATATTGTGATGGTAACGCTACATTACTGAAATGTGAGTTAATTGGTGCAGACCTCACACCAGCCAAATCTTCATTGTAAGACGGAGCAAATATAGTAAGGTTGCGCGCATTCTTCTGTTTAGAAGGCACTCTTTTTTTCCATGTTGGAGCTTCTAAGTGTTGTTTTTGTGGTTGCTGCTGTTGCTGCTGTTGCTGCTGTTGCTGCTGTTGCTGCTGTTGCTGCTGTTGTTGTTGAATTTCATGTTCTGGACTTGTAACAGAATGAGAAGAGACCTTACGTAGGTGGCCTGATATCGGTTGAGTGTTACTAGCACGATTGCTGGCTGTTAGTGAATGCGATCTTCGTTCCCTTTCATCGTTTGATGTTGAAGACGTAATCATTCCTTTAGCTAAAGGCGAGGAGGTCATTATACCAATTTTTTGGCGCTTGCTTACAGGATGTTCTACATCTAGCAAGCTATTTTTTGCGGTGAGTAATACATTCGACAATTAAATGCCTCGCCCGCCTGATCACTTAGTCAGTACCTGTTCCTTCTTAAATCGTTTGAGTTGAGCAAAACCTTATCTAATGCCATGGCGTTTTTTGTCTCTTCCCCGGGCTGGCTGATCAAAGGGGGCGGCGATGTTGGCTCAGCTTTGATCTCTTTTCCTTCCTCTCCTTCTACTATATCCTCTAAATTTTCCAATGGTAGTTGTACCGACTCCCAAATATGCTCTTCTTTCGGGGCTCTTTTAAATTTAGGGAATGTTTGGAGAATGGCATCGGCGAATCCAGCACTGTAGTCATTCGGTGAAAACTTACACAGATCGGCCAGGCGTTGACAGTTGTGCCTTTCCGCTAATTTTGTAAGAACCTGTGTATTGATGTAAGTGTCTTCATGGTCTTTATAGCAATTTCTATATGTGCCCTTCTCTAAAGACAACGGTGATAGGTTGAAAAGAAGTGCCATATCTGAGGTACGGTAAAATAGGGTATCTGTGTCTGGTAAACGAAATAGTATCAGTGGTTTATTGCTATCAGAATATCTTCCCAGCAGCTGACTCAGCACTCTCATTATAAGACGATAAAATATGGAGATAGTCGGAAGAGTAGAAAAGAAGGGAAGAATGGATGATGACAGGTTTTAAGGAGTGGACTCTATCAATTGAATACGACAGGTTTTGAAGGGGGGAAATTTCACACTTAATTACTTGCATTTAATGCCCGTTCAAATTTGCATTTTTTTATTTTGGACAAATTCAATTAGTTTCTATGTTACAATTGGATGCTGTATTTCAAACAGCGAACTGTTCTTACAATTCGTATCTCTTTAAGACCTCTTCTTCAATTTTATCGACAGGAGCATGTTTACCCGTCCAAATTTCAAATTGAGCAATACCTTGTGCAATAAGTATTTCAATGCCCTCAATGCATAACCATCCTTTACGTTCAGCTTGAAGAAGTAATTTCGTTCTGCGTGGTTTGTAGGCCATATCACAGATGATACCTTTGATGCCACCGTATAAATGTAATGGCAGTTCAATATTGGAATCCGCAGGGACAGTTGAAATAATAACTCCAGGCGCGAGCTTCTCATCTAATGAGTCAGCCACCTGTACGTTTATGATGCCTTTGAATGCCTTTTGAAGGTCATAAGCCTTAGAAATAGTTCTATTCCACAGATAAATTTTCTGGATACCAATCTGTTGCAGAGTATACAAAGCTGCACGAGCAGTTCCACCTGCACCAATGACTAGACCCTCCTCTGGAGGGTTGTTGATGTCTAGCATAAGAGCTTGAATGCAGCGTTTCATACCAATAAAGTCTGTATTTTCACCCAATAATCTACGTTTTTTCTCGCCGTTCACAGTCATTTCTCTGACATAGATTGTATTGACAGCACCAATCACTCTGGCATTATCGCTAACAGCATCTAAGTACTTCATAATGTTCACTTTATGTGGGATTGTAACAGAAGCACCACCGAAATTGGGATCTTTAAGAATTGCTTCCTCAGCATATTCAACCATATGGCATTCTAACAGCCCATATTGATGCGGAAGGCCCAACACTTGGAAACCTGTATTATGAAGCGTGGGTGACATGGAATGTTGAATGGGAGTGCCGATTAACCAGAAGGATTTAGCAGGCAAAAGACCAATCAGATGACGCGCTTTATTAATTTCAGCAAGAGAAAGCTGTCCAGGAGCAGCTTTCCGAGGTAAAGCAGGATGGGTGATAGGAGTCAAACAGTCATTAATAACACGCGATAGCTGTCCTGCGGCTCCCATGTTAATGGCGATAAGATCTTTGCCACTTTTTTTCGAAGCGCGGAATGTTTCTAGCAGCATATTGTCTTGGAAAGTCTGTGCGTTTCCCACCAACTTGATTATATCACCATACTTGTGACCTGTTTCGTACTTCAATTGTATACCCTTGCCGTCCCAAGGGGTATTATTTTGAACGTCATGCCAAGAAGATATGATAAGACTTTCACCCTTTTTAGCAATGAATGTCTCAATAGTTGAAGGATTCCAACACATTTCAACATCAACGTACTCACAGCCCCAACGCAAACCCCACTCGAGTAAATCGAACATGCCTTTTTCATCGTCATCAGGGAAAGCACCAGCTTGACCTTTGGAGCGAACAGTATAAATAACAGGAATAGACACAGTACGACGAAGCATAGCGAGTTGTTCACCAACATATTCGATATAATCCATGTCTTCCTTATCTTCAGGTTTTTGTAACAAATCAACGCGTAACTCAACTGCGTCAGCGCCTTCACACACTTCCTTGAGTATCCCAAGGGAAGAGCTGAGATCTTTGGAAGTCAACGAAACAAAGGTCGTGGGTGTGCCAGTGTGGCCAGAAGTGGTATCTACATGATTGGTTTGACGGCCAGTGATGAAGGTTAGGAATCGCTGTAAGTCCTTTTTGATGGCTAACCATTCAGTAGGAGAAACGTATCCATCGTCAAGCAAGTCATCAGCGTACGCAACGAATTCAAAATTACAGACTTCTTTGTACCATGAACGACGACGACGCCAGACAGTTAGCATATCTTCACCGAACATAGGGCGTGTTTGATCACGGTTTAAGTAACGCATAATTTGCTCAATATCACGCACCAAATGAAGGACCTTTCCGCCGAGCTTAGTATGATCCTTTAGGATTTCACGAGCCTCGGCAGTTTCAATAATACCGCCACCGCAAGCAATAACATAATTTCTTCCATATTTCGAATCTTTAGCTAGTAGCTGCTTCAAAGCTTCAGTTTCCTTTATACGAAATTGATCCCATCCCCAAGTGCTGATGAAGCTCGAGATGGTCGTGTTTAAGGTCTTTTCAAAATACTGATCAACATCAACAAAATCGAACCCCAATATCTCAGCGGCATATTGACCAAGAGTAGTTTTTCCAGCTCCTCTCATGCCAATGATAACCAAAGATTTTTCATTGTCCATCTTCTTCGTGACCATTGTTACATTACGTCCCAGGGATTTATCAGTATCGTTCAATTTTTTGCCTAAATCAATACCATTCAAACGAACACCTAGCTTAGATTGAAGGTCATCCCACCATGTAGGCCACGTTTTCTCAACGCACTTTTTATCCGTAATGATCGTTCCATGTGGTACAACTGTAGAGAGGACAGAGAAACTCATAGCTATGCGATGATCATCATAGGTGTGGACTCCATCCTTGGGCGGTCGCAGCTCTTTGATTGGTTTGCCATGGATTTGAATTCCATCAGGTAGCTCAGATGCTTGAACGCCGAATTTCGTGAGCTCATGAACCATAGCAGCAATTCGATTGCACTCTTTTACACGCTGATTAGCAATACCGGTAATACGTGTAATATTCTCATCTTTTGGATCTTCAGAAGAAGTAACCGCAGCAAGCACACTTGCAGTCAAGAAAGCATCAGTCATTGTCTCCATATCGATTTCAGCAAGCGGTCGTAATTGTCCAACTGGAGGGCCAGTAACTGTAGTGGAGGTTTCTGTTTGAACGACTGTACATCCCATAGGTTTGAGAACATTAACAGCAAAGGTAGCATCACCTTGAAGGGAGCTAGAGCCGATACTAGTAACTGTGCAAGTGGAACCAGTGATTGCAGCAATAGCAAGAGGATATGTGGCTGAGCTTGCATCAGACTCCACGAGATAGCGATCAGGGTTCTTGTAGATGCCCTTCTCAATTCTGTACGTATTATTTGGAAGGCGTTCGACTTTAGCACCGAAAGATTCCATCATAGCAATGGTCATATCGATATACGGCTGAGAGATTACTTGTCCACCTGTCAAAACAAGCTCGACAGGTTCGGATGCATATGGTGCACATAATAAAATTGAGGAAACATATTGGGATGAAATAGAAGCAGCTAGTTCAATTCGACCGCCATTAAAACCACCATTGGGAGTTACAGCGATAGGTAGAAAACCTTCTTTTTCAATAGATTTAATATTTGCACCATTTGTCGTCAATGCATCAAGAAGCGGAGCAATTGGTCTCTGCTTCATACGAGCATTACCGGTAAGTATCGCTGATTCTCGCTTGCAGCCATTGGCAGTGGGTATTAGAGTTAAAACAGACGTCAGAAATCGTGAGGCTGTACCAGCATTACCAACATAAATCTCTTTGTCTGGAACAGATAATCTGCCACCTCCTCCGTGAACAACGAGTGTTTCCCCATTATTTTCCCATTCGAAATCAGCAGCATTCAGACTCTTCAATGCTGCTAACATGAACTGGGTGTCATCTGAATGTAATAAATTACTAAGTCTAACAGTGCCCTCACCCAATGCAGCGATCAATAGTGCACGATTAGATATCGATTTAGAACCTGGAGTAGTCAAAGTGATTTCTTTCTTGGGGCCATTTGGTGATTCAGTCACGGGCAATACAAGCTGTGAAGGCGATAAAACCTTTCGGATATCAGCATCTGCTATAACGCTCGCGCGAGGTTCCAAAGTCTTCCCAATGGCAGAAAGCATAACAATACGCTTTTTGTCACCCTGATTCTTTTTATCAACCTTCATAACTTCCATAATGTCATCAACATGGCAGTATAATTCACCGATTCTATCCTTGACTCTTTTCTCGTCCATACTGATTGGTAAACCATAAGAAGCGAAGCAGCGAGCTAAGCGGCCAACAGCTACTTGATTTAAATAGCCAAGGTTACGGGCCAGTTCAGCCTCCTTCATACACCCGATAGAAACGCATTCACCATGTAGCATCAGGGGTGAGACTAATGCTTCAATTCCATGTCCAATAGAATGTCCAAAATTCAACAATCCTCGAAGGCCACCTTCTCTTTCGTCGTTCGTAACGACAAAAGCTTTGAAACGAGCCGAGGCCATGATGATGTCCATCAATAATATCTGCGATTCTGTACGAGTTTCTAGAGTTGCCCCTGAATAATATAATGATTATAGTGAGGTAAGTCCTTCAGCCCTCGCTAATACGCTTTTAATTGAGGTTCACCTTGATTTTCTGTGTTTGAACTATTACCCAAAACCGCTTCGCGAATGGCTTCAACGCCATTCTCGAGTTTGCAGAAATCATCTTCATTAGAAATAGCAGCAGTCTATATCAAGCCCAAAAAAGTAAAAATTAGCTTCAGAGCATATACTATACTCAGCTTCCTGTACATACCTTAATACATTCAGCCATACCATTCGAAAACTCGCGCTCTGGCAAAGTACGCAAAAAGTTGATATCGATAAAAATTCGCTTTGGCTGCCAAAAAGCACCAATTAGATTCTTGCCCGCAGGAACATCAATAGCGGTCTTTCCACCGATAGAGGAGTCAACCATAGCCAATAAAGTAGTAGGAATTTGAACTACGGCGGCACCTCGCATAAAAGTAGCTGCAATGAAACCTACTAGGTCACCTATAACACCACCACCGATGGCTAAAAAGCAAGTGTCTCTGGTCACTGCATTCGATAAAAGCCAATCCTCAATTTCTGCCTTGACTTTACGCGATTTGGTCATTTCCCCTGGCGGTAAGATACGAGTGAAAATACGTGGTGCCTTTTCGCCTTTAGCTGTATATAATTCGTCTATAAAATTGTTGAAAGCATTAACAAATTTGTCGAGGTAAAGTGGAGCAATATTGCTATCCGTAATAAGTATGTAATTGGAAGAAATAATATTGCTCAATACATCTCGAGCGATGTAGTTTGTCAAGTGAAACCCAACAATGATAGAGTCTTGTCCGAGTATTGAAATCTTGGCGACTTCAGAGTCGGGCTGCGTTGTCATTTTGCCAGTAAATGAGGCTAATGAGTATAAGAAAATGGAAAACAGAAAAAGGAATAAGCTTCTTTTGCGTGGTGGTTCAGTATCAGTTGGTGATTTTGACAGATGCTTAGTGCGGATCTGGAAATGAATACGCTTTGCAATAATGAGTCAAAAGTTTCTACCTGATAAATATTTTTGGCCAATGACCTGTTTCTATTATGCTTCTTTGGAAAAAAGGGACAGGAGCTAATAGGCATACAAGTTTGAAGCATATTACTTTATGGCTTTTTGTTTCTCCATGCTTATAAAGTAAGCAATTTATGCTTTTCATATTGTCGGTTCAATCAGGTTCTGTTCAAGCAGCTCAAAGAGCTTGCTTCTTTTTACGCTTATAGTTTAATGGGCTCAGATTGCACTTGACCACTCTGATTTTTTCACAAAATTCGACCTACTGATTTTAGCAAATGTCGTTAAAGCTCATTTTTAAAGTCTGATTGAGCAAGCTGACTTCTTCAAACGTATTTAGATGCGAGATACAGTTATCTCTTTAAATGGACATACTCGAACTTTTGGGAGCACTAGAATAAGAATAACATCAAAATTCTTCCTGCCTCCAGAGAGAATTTAGTTTTGGCTTCATAGTCAGAACTGATTGTTAAGCTATCAGTAAACAGCGCAAATACTTTGTACAGAAATTCAAGATGCAAATATACAGACAATAGCTGACTATTTAACTGGACTAACATTATAACGAAGATTAACCGTTTGCAGTGATTTCAAACAAGTTACAGGCAAACGCAATCGTTTAAATGTTCGAAGAAAGCAACTGAACATCAGTATCTCTCCCGAAAAAAAGCCTTTCTAATCATAGTTGAGGTTTTTTTTTAGCAGGAGCTTGTCAAACGTCTTGACTAAAAGTACAAAATCTGTCATCTCATGATATGCAAGTCTTAACAAATTCAGATATTGCATTATCACGGGATATTCCAAATTGCACTCTATCATATATGAGTTTGCAAAATTGGCAAATTATTACGTTTGCGGTGCTTTAGCGTGGAAAGTTGGTGTTAAAATAAGTAGTAAATGTTATATACGTGAATGTATATAACGGTAAATTGATATAATTTGAGAGCAAGTAAACAAAATATGTTTCTATCGAAAAGTGAATATAAGAAATTTAACTGGGTTGTTCTTATATTATGAATATACTAGCTATAAATGATTGATCGTGTAAAAATGTAGATTAATACTAAAAGTATCAATTTTAAAAATATAGGAACTAATGAAAACGAAGTAAACAAATCAAAATCCTGAAATATAAAATAAAACTTGAAATTAACAAAATTCCAATAATCAAAATAAAATGTTTATAGTAAAATATGAATGCCCAAAAGAACAGAGGGTTCCTAATATTACACGTTATGAATAGAATTTATACTAAAATTAATAAGTATATTGATGTGTGTAGTTATGTGAGTAACATTTAAAGTCCGTATTGAATGTTTGTCTTCAATAGTATACGTGATTTTATGCCGGACTGTCGGGTTAATCCGAGTCGAACTTATTGATTCGGAAAGCAAATTCTTATAATTTTTAACGCTCCACAAAAAATGATATGGATTATATCGTAAATGAGAATTTATAAAGCTCTGACCAACTTTATAGTACAAAATTATAGATGGAGAAAGGCCCTGTTCTATTTATTATACTTCATCTCATTAAATACCCCCAGATTAAGCTATTACTACACACTTCTACTCTCCGATTACTCTTAGATACACCCTCTTCGGTCCAGCGCTGCTTATAAAATCATGTGACCGGCTTTTCCTGAAATTTACTATGACAATCTACGTCAAGCATAACAAAATATGTGGAGAGATGGCCGAGTTGGTCTAAGGCGTCACGTTAAGGTCGTGATCTCTTCGGAGGCGTGGGTTCGAATCCCACTCTCTTCACTTTTCACATTTTGCTTGAAATGTGATTACGTAATCCGTTGTGTTTAGCAGTAAACTGAGGCGTGAGTCTTCCATTTTACGAACCTTATTTTACCAAGTATACAGCATCAAATTGTATAAGTCTCTCCTTAAGCTCACTAAAGACTATTTAAAACCCTTTATCGATTGTCTAATTCTAGCATATTGAATGCTTTTATACAAAATTTTCATTATACAAGACATCGTCTACCACTAAAAGTTTTAATACTTTAATCTTTTTCTCTAACTATTGTTGTTGAGATATCTTATTTTTCTAAAAGATATAGTTACTTAACCTCTTAGCTTGATATTACTAATCGAAAATGTTACAATATCGTAAGACAGTACGTTTGAAATACTTTATCTATTACTAAACTGACTATATTATTGATTGTCCACGTTTCTTAATATGGATTGATTGCTTTATCTCTATTTAAGTGTTTTACAAAACGAAACACCTATTCTCTGATCTTATTTCACCTCTCTATTTTATTTTCTTTTATTGTTTGCTTATCTATTTACGCGGATCGTTACCTTATATAGTAGTGCTCCTTACTTTTAACTGAATATCCCATGTAAATCATATTACTTCCAACTCTTCAGTCCCAAAAAAAAAAAGGGAAAAAAGAACCTACTCCATAAAAAAAGTCATAGATTTGTAAACATTGGTTCGCAGCAATGTTAATAAATATAGGCGTGTCCTCATGGCTGAAGTTCTCTGTATGCGACTGTTAGTGGTGCGCGTAGTCATGGTAGACTCCACAAAGTAAATGAGGCATAAAAGAAGGGTGGCGAAACCTACCTTAGCACATCTCAACTTCATCGTCACTCGATCACCACATGACGAGTGAACCGAAAACCAAACATGGTACCAGCTGGTCTACCATCGTCTCAAAAAGTCTTAAAACGAAAGTTCCGCCATCTCGAAGCCGTTATGACATTTCTGGAAAGAAGGAGTCTTATAGTGTTGAAACACTACTGGAGGAACCTGAAGTAGCAGAATATTTACGCTCGCAACGCGTCCAAGCTATTGTGCAGACCGCCATTCAACCTGATGCTGTTATCTTTTCAGTTCCCAGTAGACTTTTTGATCACCAGTCCGAAGCCTTTAGGCTGGTGAATGATCAAATTGGTCCGGTTGTGGGTAACTACTTTAATCCCGTTTCGCTGCGTGGAAACCGATCCCGCGGAGATTTGGTTTTCTACACTCGATTTCGAGATGCAGCACATACCAAGAAAGCGCTGGAGGAGGGCATTACTCATGGTGGAGTCCAATATAAGGCGGTACCATACAAGGACAAGACCGAGGCAAACGACTATTGCCGCGTAACTCTTAATCTGCCCGTCAGTGATGAGATTGATGTTGTTGTCAAGAAACTAACAGAGTCTATGTCCCATTACGGCCGAGTAATCCAGATCAAACAACGGATCAATCATGGATATTTTGAAGGTGATCTCTCCGTTCTCTTGGATCGTAGTCCTACTGCTCAGGTACCCAGATATCAAGAGCTACAACGTATGTTATATATGGAGGCTTGGGACATCGTCGTCCCTGCAAGTTTTAAGGGCGCCCAACCAATCTGCTACTACTGTCGGGAAGCAGGTCATATTAGAAAAGATTGCCCGGCTTTGCAGAAGATTATTTGTTTTCGATGTGGCGGTAAAGGACATACGCAGCGTAGATGTCGCGTCCCAGAACCACCAACACCAGTTCAGCAAAAAGAGCCTGAGTTCGAAGACGATTTAGCCGACTATGAAAAACTCACCGCTGGGGCGACGGTGTCAATGACGACTACTGGTGCCACCGTGATGAACGATACTGCTCACGATTTGAAGGATGATGCTGCTGCATTCAATGAGGATGAGGACATGAATGAACTAACGGAGGAAAATAATCAGGGTACGCAACTTTCTATCCTTTCTGCTTATGGAACCTACGCCTCAAAACATGCTCCGATCGAGTTGAGGTCCATTATGGATACAGATCAGCCATCGTCCACCACTGTTTCCTCTCATCCCTCAACGAGTAACATGCAGGACCACTCCGATTACATTCTACCCGATCAGAAAGGCAGCCAAAAGCCCCATGGCCCCAACTCTTCCATAAAGACGATAACGAATAAGCAACCTCCTGTAAGTAATACAGCATCCGCTCAGCCTGCCGCCCGTAAGGGTAATGAGTAAAAAACCAGTCCGTATAGCATCCTTAAATGCTCGTAGCATTTTCAAGGATGCTGATAAAAACACTCGTTGAGTGTTTTTATCATACCTCAAATCAACACCTCTCTCCTTCGATATATTATGTTTACAGGAAGTCTCCGCCTTCCACCTTCAAGCTCACTTAACTCAAGAACAATGTCACTACTTTCAATCTTACCTTTTTCCACAATGTTCTGTGCTATTTACAAAATATTGTGCTATTATTTGCTTAAACAAGAATTTTACACTTCAGGATGCTACCGTCTCTCTTGATGAACGGTGTATCCGTGCTTCGGTATACAACCAGGTACTTCAGCAAGTGGAATGCTCTATCACCAACATTTACGGCCCAGCCCAATACGAGAACCGATTGCCTTTTCTAGAACACTTTATGTCATCCCCTTTCGCGTCTACCGAGAATGCAGACCCACCTTCTATTTTATTGGGTGATCTCAATTTACGTCTACTGCAGCTTGTTGATAACTGTGACGACTCTCGTTTCGTCACTTGGCATCAATGGCTTGTTGAGCAATTTGACAATTGCTTTCCGGACAGTAAGCCTACTTTCCATCGTGGCTCCCATACATCTACCATCGACTACATCTTTTGCAGCAAGACTCACCAGCCTCGAATTTCCAATTGTCAGCAGACCTACCTGCCCGCTTCTTGGACAGACCACCAATTGTTACAGATTGATCTGCTTCCGGAACGGGACGATGTTGGCCCAGGTTTTTGGCGTTTCAACAGTTCGCTATTGAATAATGATACTTTCGTCGCTCTGTTGACAGATGTAGTCAACTCTTTCTTCGCTACCGTTAACTCGCTCGCTGAACAACCTGCCCAAACGACGTGGGAAAGCTTGAAACGCGCTTTGAAGGGTACCTGTGAAAGCTTCAGTCATGGCTTCAAGAAACACAGACGGACTAAAATACATCAACTACAGCAACAGCTTCAGCAATTGCTTGCTGATAGTACTGTTTCCCGCGACTCACAAAATGCCACCCGCCAACAGACATTGATACAACAGTTGAACGATACGTTGGTGAAGGAAGCAAAGGACGAAATGGAAAACGTGTTACTTCGATCCGCTACCAGGTGGCATGAGAAAGGAGAACGAAATACGAAGTATTTCTATCGGGTTATCAAGAAGCGACAAATGCAGCAGACTATTCATGCCTTACGATGCAGCGTCGATGGTAGACTATTAGAAACGACCCCAGAGATTTTGTGAGTCCCATCGATTCTATAGTCATCTATATACACCGGAGGACATTGACCTTGGAGCAGTTGACTCACTTTTGGCAAACCTTCCAGACGATGCGGTTTTATCAGCGCAAGCTTCTACTGCCGTAGGAGCTGACTTTTCTTCCGCCGACGTGATCGATGTCGTGAACCACACTCCCAATGACAAGAGTCCTGGATTGGATGGGTTGCCCTTTGAAGTATACAAATTTTTATTCCACAAGTTCCCTAAGGCTAAACTCTTATTTTTGACGGTGTTGAACGAGGCACTACATGGCAATATCCCGTTGTCGTGGAGGCAAACCAGGATGGTATTGTTGTTTAAGAAAGGAGACCCCACGTTATTGAGTAACTGGCGGCCTTTGTCACTTATCAATTCCGATGCAAAAATCTTCACCAAACTGCTTGCGAACCGCTTCAATCTTGTACTGCCAAACCTGATCAACCCGTACCAGACAGGCTTTATGCCACATCGCCTGATTTCGGATAATGGCTGGGTTAATTTGACATTAATGGACAACTACCGGCGTAGTAAAGCTGCACCTGCTTCTACTGCTGTGGCCGTCATGCTGGATCAAGAAAAAGCCTATGATCGGGTTCATCCAGAATATTTCCGTCTTGTCTTGAGACGATTCAGCTTTCCAGCTCATCTAGTTTCCGCTTTGTCGTCTTTGTTTTTCTCGACCTCCATTTCTGTGTCTATCAACGGTTTCTTGGGACAGCCTCTGCGACAAGGTCGTGGGTTACGCCAAGGGGATCCTTTGTCCCCTTTGCTATTCAATCTTATGTTCGAGCCTTTCTTGCGTACCATTCTGGCTTCTGCTCTAAAGGGCGTTTCAATGCTACCTCTTACAACGCCAGTCTTCTCAAGGGCTAAGACACCCACCATTCGGCATCCGTTCACTGGGGCAGACGACAGTTTAATACCGTGGTCTCAACCACCGTCCTTTAAGTTGCTTAGTTATGCTGATGATCTGGAAGTGTTTTTGGAATCCCCTGACGAGTGGCCTCTTTTATGCCAACTTCTGTCATTGTATGGGTCAGCCAGTAATGCTAAAGTCAATCTTCGCAAGACTGAAATTGTTTCTCTATCAGGTGAGAGCTGTCCATCTTGGGTCAATATTGCCAACTCTGAGGGTATCGACTACCATACCAAGCATAGTGGTACAATTGTACGTTATTTAGGGTATCCGCTCCATTCAACGTCCCAACAATTACATCGGTACTTGAACCGTATAACGAACATCATCAAAATCCATTGCAGTAAGATGAAGGAGCGAGGTCTTTCCGTCCGCGGTTTGTCATTGTTGGTCAACTCACAAGTTCTCAGCAAGATCTGGCATCTACTACGGGTGGTACCAGTTCCCAAGACGTGGCTGAATGAGATCCGTACTATCGCTCGAACGTTTGTATTACCTTTCCGTCCAGCTCCATCCTGGCGTTCTATCTGCCTGCCCAAGCGTAGCGGCGGTTTAGGTGTCATTGATCTGCATCAGCAACATTTGGCCCTTCAACTTATCTTCATTCAACGTATTCTTCGGCCAAAAAGCATCTATGATTTCGTTACTCCATTGATTGGCTATTGCATTTATCTTTGTACTGGTCACCACTCTTTTGTCCCTTGGCTGCAGCATCCTCGATCCTTTTTGCCTCTCTTTAAGCAGCTCCCGACGTTATCTATTCTAACACGGCTTTTGATTGAACTTCCAGCTCTACAGGATCATTCCAGTTGGCCAGGGCGCTGGTATGCGGACACACCGTTACGCTTTGCTCTCAAATCTGTCGCTTCACCATCGGACGCTGAGTATTTTGACCTGACTCAGATACCTTTGGGTTATACGGTAGCGAATGCGTTCTCTTGGTCCTATACATATGATATGTTCACCAATTTTCTTAGAGCTGATCATACCCACTCCAACAAGGTCGACGAAATGCTCCGGTTGCTGCGTACTGACAATCCTCTCATCGTTTGGCGCCCCAGCATTAAGAAGTTTCTGCCGCGTGATTTTTGCCAGGATGTTCCACCACCTGAGAAGCGAATTCATAGTGCTGATCAGCGATTATCCCTGATAGTTACTCTCGATCCCTCTTTCTGGGTCCCCCTTTGCAATCACTGGGTATTTCGAATCGGTGATATTAGAAAGGTTCCATTTTATAAATTGACTCCGGGACTATTGAGACAGTTCTGGTCGCAGAGATATCTTCAGGAAAAGCTACCGGGTCAATTATCATTGCTTGGTATTCCACAGGTCCCCTATATATGCCCTCCAGGTTTCTGTCATCCACGGATTTGGAAGACTTTCTGGTCTTTGCGCTTATCCCACCAAGTCTGTACTTGTTGGTGGTGCTTGCTACGTGCTTCTCTAAGCACCCAGTTATCGTTACATCGTCTTCGACCTCGGCGATGGCCTTCACCAGCATGTCAATTCTGTCCAGCATCAATTGAAGACGACTATCATTTTGTTGTTGGTTGCCCTGTAAAATGGTCCTATTGGGCAGCAGCTCTGGCTCATTTGTCTCTCACGGATGTATTGAGGTCTCCTGCAGATGTCTGGCATATTTTGCTCAATCTGAAGCTGCCAACAGCTATCGTATATACTGAGAATTACACTTTGGAACTGGTGGGAAACATTTTGGAAACACTTTGGAAATACCATTGGCATACGATTATCACTAGAGAAAGTTGGTCCACCGATAATGCCTTACAAAGGCTTAAGTCCTCAGTCAACTTGACGATTACTTTAAGCAGTGCTGCACCCTTATCCCCGCAAGCCGCAGACTAACTGCCTTGCTGGGTTTGGTGGTAACATTCGTTCTGTTGTACATCATAGATGCTCTTTTCCTCACTTTTTAATAATTCTATATCTTTATTTTTTATTGTTGAATAAATCGTACCTGAATTTAAACAAAAAAAAAAAAAAAGAAGGGTCACTATTCTTTTGCAGAAAAAGTACAAATAATACAGTCCAGAATAATATGCTATGGAATGTCTATCACTTTGGAGGATATGTCTGTTGGTTTCAAGGTGCAATATTAATACATTTTAGTGATCAAGTCTTTCAAAACGTCTTTTAAATTAATGAAATAAAACTCTGCTCATATAAGAGCAGTGCTCCTATTCAGTAATTTTGGTTTAGTTGGGATCGCTTTGTGTTGATTGCTTGTTCCTTTTATAGTCAGAATTAATGCGTACCACTGTGTCAATTGATTTTTGGTCATCGAAATATTGATTAAAAGCATATACCTCAATGCAGTTGTTAGCGAACGATCATATACTGTTCAGTTTGGATGCTTTCAAACATTATTATTTTCGGGAAAGTGATTACTTTTGGTGGTTCAATTTGTACATTGTTTTTAAAGCAAATTTTTTAACATTGATGTTGTATCCAAGATGCTACTACACGTCTTAAACTACAGAACGACTTCAGTACGAGCTTGACAATCTGACACACATCTACTTTGACACCCGCTTGCGGCTAAGATCTTACCATTGTCTTGATAGTTTTAGTTCAGTTGTATTGATAGTTGAATACCCGTTAATAACTCCGTTTTTTATATAAAAGTGTTATTCTCAACAAATTTGAATAGAGTATCTTTGTTGTGTCGGGGTCATTTATTGTATTATTTATATTTTATAAGTTTTTTAAGTACCTGGATATATCAGTTGACGTTGATAAGCTATAATAAAAGTGATGATTGATTTTAATTGAAATGACGGACAATCTCAGTTGAAGTTCACAAGTTCATTGACGGTAAAAATTCGTTCAATATCATAGAATTTCTACAAAGTCGAAGCAAGATGCGGTATACTTACGACTTTTGCGAATTGTTTTATGTTTAAGAACCTTCGTATTGAAAACTTTAATCTTTGATGGAGAACAGATGCTTTCTGACAGGTTAAGAAATGACATTGTATTCTGCGTCACTTTACTTTCTAAAATTATCTAACTGAGACATTATAATACATAAAGATTGGCGTACCAATTGATTTTATAGGAAGGAATTGCTTATTTTTAGAAAAAGAATTATGTAAATCTCTAAACAATTATTGATCTATTAAAATGGGCTTTTGCTTTTGAACGTCATCCACTTTTTGATGGTAGGGTATAAGAAAGGTCCAAATGAACTCATATACTTTCATTTTAGTTTACAGCTTGCGTGGCATAAGCAATACCGCTCAATATCAATGCCAGCCTCCAAAACCGGTTCCATGTATTATGAGAGTCGTTTGCCTGTTGTTCATGTATCGTCTCTCCTGCTTCTTTTCTACGCCTCGTAGCATTTTTTATGCGAATTCTACGTCTATGCTCCTCAGCTTCATAATGTCGATTAAAGTGTTCACTATGGTTAAATCCTGGATTGTTTGCTTGGGTATATTTAATTTTCTCTGCTTGTTCTTGAGCACTTTTGGTACCGGTAGCTTTCGGCGCTCTTCTTTTGAAATGCCAAGCAGCCTGAGCGTAAGCACGATTAGAGTTAGAGTCTCTACGACCTCCAAAAGGCGCTGCTCCAGTATCAACACTTCCATGTTGAAGATCGAAATCATACTTTCTCTTATTGGCTTCATTCCCCAAGACAGCATATGCTTCATTTATTTCAACAAATTTTTTATGTGCCTCATTGTTCTTCGGATTGAGATCGGGATGGTACTTTTTCGAAAGTTTGTAATAACTTGACTTTATAGCTCGTCGATCGGCATTGTGTCTCAAGTTAAGTATTTCATAATAATTTTTATATCTTATAGTTGTTGTATGAAAGGATCGTCTGGCAAACATAGTTTCGCATAAACAGAGAAAGAAGCATTAAAGTGGGGTAATCAAATCAGTCCCTGTCGTCGTTCATTGTTCACTTTTGCTATCTCCGATTTTTTTTTAAGCTTTAACTGAAACAAATACAAACAAATGTTAAATCTTGTGCACAGCCCACAGACAACGAAAAAGTTTTATTGTATTCGGGAATTTTGAGAGTGACCTCATTACAATTGAGCCATAGCCTTTTAACAGAGGAAATGAGATCATGGTAGCAAGCGGCTCAAAGTAAAGTGTGTCAGGTTGTAAAGCTAATACTTTGATCGCTTTGTAGTAGTTCGATGTAGCACTTTGTATCAACACAGAGCTTTTCAGGAGTAATATTTTCTTTCGTATCTTACAATTTATCATGAGTGCAATTTAATACGAAGGTGGAGTGGCAATGTAGTTGATGGGAATGGCGGCCGTGAAACCATGAATTATCTTTAAGACAAATATTAGAATTATATGACTTTCAGTGAATCTTTTTCAACTATCCACTGCTGGTAGAAAAGTTTTGAGAAGAAGAGAAGCCTATGAAGGAAGAAGACACAGAACGAGATTATGTTCGCTACATTGCCCAGGATAAAGCTAGATTTTTCAACCTGGAAATTGAAAAAACGCAGGGAGTGCATCAGCGCAATCATTTGAGCATTCACATTTGAGCTGCATAGAGATGGGTAGAGTAGTATACTCTGTGTCTGGTGACCTTTTTACGGGCTGCAGGATGTATTGACACAGCCTGTCGAATTGAAGGTATTATTGAACACCATTTAAAACGTTGGGACAAGTGAATGCAGCCTTTCTACGAAAGGAAACAGTTCAGCAAAGATCGAGGAAAGGTTCAACTGGTTCGTAAATGGGAAAAACACTGTCAAGAATCTCTTGACGAGCTGTGTGTTTCTTGAATTGATTGCTTCTGACATGAACATAACACGCTCAGGAGTTTGGTCAAAAAGAGGTACACGTGCTACAGTTACCAGGCCTGCTATCAGAGCAAACACTGCGCCTATTGAAGGCACTATATCTGCCGCAGGTTTGATTGCAGTCGGTGTAAAGAGGCCAATGCCTACCAAGAAGAGAAAGTCTGAATGATAGAAGCATTTATCGTTCAAAATTTTCAAAATTAACCATTTCCTAAAGAGTTCGGGAAAACAACAAAATTATGGGCACCGTCTAATCAATGAAATCAAGGTAATATAAATATTTACTGTCTACAATAATACATGCAAATACGAAGTCAATGATCTAATATATTTTTTTAAAATATCCTAATCTATGACGTTGTTTATAAAAGTTCGATTTGGACAAACGGAGTATGCCGTTTTTTCGTAGTGACATTATGAATTGCTGAGAAATAAGTGCAAAAAAGAATATACCGCTCAAAGGAAAAAACTATTCGTTTCATTAAAAGCTTAAGTTGCTTTGAAAGAAAAAAAGAAAAAAAAAAAACCGTGTCTAACGCCCAGAAAAAGTGTCTAACGCTTAGAAAAACAAAGGTTAGTTGTTTTAATAGCAGATTCATCACGTTGCGAAATTGAATCAAACTGTAGTTGTACTAAATGTATTTATTATTGTTTGTGTGTCATGAAGTAAGGATAACCTTGCTCTATGGCGAATCATTCTTAAGCGCTTTACTTGAATATCCCTTGATAGCAAAGACGATGACTTTCGGAAATACTTTGTACGCATCATGAATCTTTAAACAGTATTTGATTGATTTATTTTTCTCGGAAGGAGCATTTCAACAATTATTGGCAAGGCAGTTTCTATTGACTTATTTGCTCAAAAACGTAGAGATTGTCTGATTTCCACTCGTCGGAGAAGTCATTAGATGGAACACAATATAAGGAATCGATAACAAGACCATCCAACGTACAACCAATCAGGAACTTCAAGAATTCTGTCAGTCAAAAATAATAATCTTATCAGTTGCTGCCTTAATAACGACTCTAGAGATCACGCCCTGGACGTCTAGCTAGAGTTACAGTAAGAACATCAGGAAAATCGTTATCAAAATAAAGCTATGAGATACTTTATGTTTGAAGTTGAAAATACTGGCTTTTAACACGAATATACGTAAAAACTATTGTAAAGTTTTAAAATTTGAGTACAAATTCTTAACTACATGCTAAGAGAAAGACCACTTCCTGGAACTGTTTTATTCTAAAATTACAGTGTCTAGAAGCCACTTAGTCATTTTCATTTAAACTTAAACAGATATAGTTTGATTCAGTACTTCTTCCTCTATTCATGTGCTTCTGGTAATGTGAGCAAATATGATCTGTGACATTTAAAAGGACAAATTTAGTAAACATGAAGGTAATGTAAGGCAAAGGACACCTGTGGAAACCCGAGATAGCAAGCCAGAGCCCAGGTTAAACATGAAGGGACAAGTAGGTTCTTTTTGGTACAACTTTTTTTTGGCCTAATGTCACAAATTTTTGGGAAAGTGCCATTTATCTTTTGGTTATGGCCAATCAATTTCCCCAAGGTGACCCGCTTAAAGTACCAGAAAATCCCATAATGGCAGTATCAGACAAACATATCACTTTGACAGAAACAAGAGTATGCTTTAATTGCCGCACCGCCGCCCTCAATTCACCGAAAAGAAATGTCACATATTTTTCTTTTTTATACAACCTGAATAAACTTTTAAAACTCTTTTCTGTAATATCATATTTCTCTCCTCCTTTCTGCTTCTTATACATACCACTATTTACAATAGCACTCTATTGTGTTATAGCTTGTTTGCTTTTTCCTTTTGTCTTTCATGACTCAAACTGAGCCAATTTTTGAAAATCCTCACCCCACTCCAGTAACAATGGATGTCTTCGGCAATACTGTTAAAGCTGCAAACCCAGCTGTGCTTTTAGATACTAATACTAACGCAAATGTATCCTCTTTATTCTCGTCAAAGACTGCTACAACCATTGCACAGCAAATTGACTATCAGCTATCGCAGCTTGATCCATCGACTTATAGCGCTGAAAATAAAGGCAATAATAATAGCAGCAACAACAACAGTACGAGCACCAATAGCAACAATAGCAACAGCAGCAGCAGTAGCCCTCAACAGGTAATAATCGACCAGTCTGCTGTTAACAGCGCTGAACATGTTGTAGAGTGGTCTCCAAATAAAAGATATACCAAGCTCAATACATTGTTGGGGAAGGGTGCATATAAAATTGTATACAAGGCGATGGATTTAGAAGAAGGGTATGAGGTAGCATGGAATATACTATACGTGAGTATTGCGGCCTTCATATTTGAAGAAAAAAAGCGGTTTCATGTGACGAAATTGAAGGAAATACTCATAAAGTATTCTCCATCTACATTTAAAGGTTGGCGCTAGTAATAACAACAAGGACGTGAGGCTTGAAATTGAAATTCTGAAATCAGTTCGTCATCCAAATATTATTTCGTTTCATGATTGTTGGTTAAGTGAGGAAAATAAGGGCGAGTTCATTTTTGTCACTGAATTAATGACATCAGGTACTCTCAGGGAGTATATCCGTAAGCTCAATTTACCGAGTTTAAAAATCGTCAAAAGATGGTCTCGTCAGATTTTGAAAGGTCTGGCATATCTCCATGGTCACAGCCCACCTATTATTCACCGTGATATAAAATGTGACAATATCTTTATCAATGGTGCACATGGCGAGATTAAAATTGGTGATTTGGGCACAGCCGAGAATATGTGGCTGGATAAGAAATACACTATGATTGGAACACCTGAATTCATGGCACCTGAAATGTACGAAGAAGACGGTTACAATGAAAAGGTTGACTTGTATGCATTCGGAATGTGTATGATTGAAATGATGACAGGCGAATATCCGTATGCTGAATGTACCAATACCGCACAAGTTTACAAGAAAGTGTGTCAGGTAAACCTTGTACTCTCAAAAAAAAAAAAAAAAAAGGCTACACACATTAAACAAAATTATGGTTAGAAACATATTTGATACATTCACTGATACAATCTCTTTTATTGTTGTGCCTTTTCTATTGTTGTTGACCTAGCATATCAAGCCCGACTCTTTGAGTAAAATTACCAACCTTGAAGTTTTGGAAGTGATCAATAGTTGTTTAGAAACAAATGGAGCTGACAGACTATCTGCCCAAGAATTATTGGAATTGTCGTTCTTAGCTGTTGAGCCTGAAGTGGTCATTCTAGAAATTGATCCTTTACATACTATGATCACCCTTCAAGTAGTCTTTAAAGGTTCAGATAGGTTAGCCGTGAAATTCGAGTTTAACACTGTAAGTTTTTTGATCCTTTTTTTATGCTTGGTCAATAAGAAAGGGAAAGAGGATGTAGGAAAAAGTGCATGATCTCCATTCTTATACTTTCATTTACGTATTCTCGTGATTCAAATAATAGGAAGACGATACAGCAGAAGAGGTTGTTAAAGAAATGATTGACGAACAAGTGTTGCCCGATAGATATCAACATTTAATTACAAACGAAATCAACCGTATTCTGCGCGACCTTGAAAAAGACAAGGAAGAGGATAATGACGGTACCTCTTCATTACTATCTACAGCTACTGGTGACCGGTCTTCCTCCTCCGTTTGGCGACGGGAAAATGATATACGCTCAGAATTGGAAAAGGCAAAAGGAGAGCTACTACAAATGATAGATCGATTAGATGAAGCACAAACTAGATGTAATACAATGGAGCAACAAGCAATTTTGGCTGAAGAGAAGGAAAGACACATTATCGATGAAATAGAAAAGGCAATAGCTGTGCTTACAGCTGCAAAAATTACATCACAGGAGGAAACAGCTGTACAGTCAACAATGCTCACTACGAGTAGCATGGCAGGTTATGACATCGAACCTACCTCTTTATCTGTTGTTGAAGCTTCATACATTAATAACAGTAATGGAGACAGTAGCAAAACACACAGCAAAAGCCTTAGTAATGCCAGCAATAGCAGCAACAACACTGATCCGACAGCAATGACAACAGTGACATACGAGAATACAATAGTGTCAGACGAAGGTGATGAAGTTTCCGCTTCAATGGATGACTATTTACGCCACATGGATTTACACAAGATTTCCAGGAGAGGTAGAGTCAGCGCCCTAGAAACCTATAGTAGACTTTTTCTTTTAAAGTTCTAATTTTTTTGCCTTTCTGTACTTTACAGAATATCGTGATAATACCGCAATAGAAACATTCGTCCACGATACGGCAAAGGTTGCTAACCGTGACGCACATAAAGCAGAGCAATGGATTCAGAAACTAAGGGATCAAGACATAATGACAGTAGGTGATTTACGTGAGCTATTGGATGAAGATTGGGCAGGTATCGGTTTGACCGTATTTGCAATTCGTGCCTTGAAGAATATGCTGCAGAACTCTAGCGTTATAGTTAGCAATCCTTCCACGTCCTCTTCATTGACCTCGAACGGTCCGTCGACCGTCCCTTCCTCAGCTTCTGAGCAGTCAGTAGCATCCATCATTGCCACATAGTAGATCTGTTGTTGGCTTATATCCCGCTACTGCTAATTAATTGTTACCCACCATCAACTGCGATACTCTATGGTTATACCATTCATTATTTCTTGATCTATAATTATGGTCATTTTTAATGTTATTTATTTATAGTCCTCTTAAGAAATTTTTAAACATAGGTTTTAATGATTCACTTCACTATTCCTTCTCTATCTAGTAGTCCGCAAAATAATAAACGCAGACATAAAAGGTATTTGTTTCCTCGGGTAGCAAACATTGATTGTTATACTAAGTACAGGTATTTTATTGATATTTTGGGCTGTGAATCGCACATTTGACGCATCAATTCAATCATAACACTAAAGAGCAACGTGTATTGAATATGTATGTATCAATGATAGCTCAATATCTATATTAACTGTAAATTGAGAGAGAAGAATCTAGACGCAAATCTAACAGACTGTTTTAATCAAGGCTTTAGAGCGTCATTGCTAACCATATCAAAACTCAGGAGAAAATATCATGCTATTGGCTGTCGATTTTTACATAGTATGAGCTTATTAAGAAAGACTTTTTTTATATATATCTCTGTATAGAATCAGGGATTGTTTATCTTGAAAAAAAGCTTTGAACAACGCTTGAGAATTAAATAGTAAAGAAGAACTATTGAAACTTCTTGAGCAAAGGTACAGGCGCTTGACGTTAAACCCTAAATGATATCTAATGAAGACTTAAGTTGGGTTGCTCCTAAATGCTGTAGTATCTCACAGCCGTCATTTTTTTAACTTATGATTCGGACTTTCACACTATTTGCTTCAGACGAACAGAATAATGGATTTTGGAAATACCATAAATACTTTTTAGTTTGTGGTTATTTTAGTTTGAGATGAATTTTTTAGAATTTGACTCAGAGCACTATAAAAACGGAGGGGTGACGAGGAAACAAGAGCAATAACCAGCGCGCTTAACTATCCTGTATAATATATTAAGCATGCTATAACATCAAAACACTAGCTGAGGAGCAAAGATACGCCACTGTCTGTAGATAGCAATGATATTTCAGAACTTTGTGAGCCGTCACTTATTGAGTCAGTTGATCGTGATGTTGTCTATGAAGCAATTCTTTGACAACAAAAAAAAAAAAAAAAGGAACGCGATATACAATAGAACACACAGTGTTCTTTTCCTTTTTGCTTTCTTTCTTTTAGACAAAAGTGGAAAGACAAACAACGCCTCCCAGCTCAGAACGGGCCTTATAAAGGCCCAAGCTGCACATAGGTAAGACTATCTTATTAAGACCTATCAAGAAATCATCTACGTTGCTCCAGTTACCCACACACTAATACCAATGGCATACAATGATTCTTTGAGTGCTTCTTCGTCTAAGCCAGCGTTGTCAAAAAGGCTCTCCAAGAATTCAAAGCTGATAATAAAACAACGAAAATGATTACGTGCCCATCCTGTAAGCAAGCCAAACATGCATTGCCTACAAGCAATCTGTGTCCGAACAAAGAAGGCAAAAGTACCCATTGATGATGAAGATGAAAAGGTGGAAATCTGCTTCATCAATGAATATATTACTAGCTGTAATAAATGAAAGCATTCGACATTTGGAGAATGTAAAGACAGCAACAGCAAAGCGAAGAGTACATGCTGTATTGCAGTATAAAACTGTGATACAATTTGGAATCGCGACGTCAATGCTGCCAAAAACATCTTTCAAACGAGACCTACATGTGTGATTGATATCACTCCTTCACACATCCCTACAGTGTAAGTTGTAATATATTCATAAAGTAACCAAATGCCGAATGTTTACTGTTTTGACCTTATTTACTCAACTCACAATTCAATAACAATTTGGGTAATTTCTGGTAAGTGCGTCTGAATTTATTATAAAATTTATCTAGTATTTCTTCTCATAAAGATACGCCATTTTTCCAAAGTTGCCTAGTAGTATTTCCGATTTTAATCGAAAAAAACTGTACCAGCCAGACTTCACTCATATGAAATTTTCGCTTCTTTGAAGAGCACAAAATCAACCTAAATTTGTAAGCAGCAACTTGTCTATAATCATATGAACGTCGCACAAAATTCCAAATATAATTTGTATCCCTGACTGCTGTGAGGGCATATTGTATTTTATGAACTGTGACATTGTCGAAAAGCATATTCAAATTCTGCCTTCTTTTTTATTGGTCGTAATAAAATGCTTTGCTTGCCAATGGTCACTCGAGCGAACTTCTACGCAGCACGACGATATTTGTATGACTTGGACAATCCTGCAGCTCTCTTTTAGCTTTTCTCTCTTTTCATCCTTTATAACCTTTAAGAAACTGCCATTTCAGAGTAAAAGTATGACCCAAACACAAAACGCTCCTAATAACCCTCGTAATAATCCTCATTTGGAGCTATCTTCCGAAAGTACAACTTCACAAACAGCACAGGATACATCACAGAACAGCTCAACTTCTTTTTCTTCCGTATACCCAAAGATACCATACCAAGAACAGCCCCCTAGTTATACTGCTACAGTCTCCGGTTCCATTACAACTTACTCAATGGGCCCTCATAATATGGTCATGCCTCAGCCAGAATCTTATCAACAGCAATATTCATATCCGGCCCCTCCTGGCCCTCCACCACCATTACAGCCCTCTGAGCAACTTTGTCATCACCAGCAAAACTATCAACCGCAGCTACCACAATCTAACAATTTTTGCCCAGCAATTCAGTACGGGAGCGTTTCTCCGCCCCAAGCACAATATGCACCTCCCATCATCAATAATCACAGTAATATCACCATTGAGCCAGTAACAGCTCTCAAGACAAGCTCTAAATTGGTTCAATGCCCTCATTGTCAGCAGATTGGTTATACCAAATTAGTCCACGGTTACGGCGCATGTACAGGAGTGTCATTTGCGAGCTTGCTTTTTTTGGGCTGCTCTCCTATCACATTCCTTATACCTTTTTTCTTCCCTTGGTTTCAGGATGTAATACACAGGTGTCCTTCTTGCAATGAAGAAATCGCAAAATTCACCAAATTAGATAGGCGACTTCAAGTCAATTCGCCAATAACTTTAGTCTAATGATAAATATGTTCATAAACGGATGATACGTAATACATCAGTCGTCATTTATTCGATTCTAAAAGCTAAATCAGATTATAGCGGGCATAATGACATATGAATTAATAGCTGAAGTAATGTACGATGTCAACGAATAATGAACTGTAAATAAATATCACACAGAGCAATATAGGAATATTAAGCTATGTATAAACTCCTCCTTTTAAGCAGTCAAGACTTGATCAAATTCACCACTTTCAATCTAGATAGAGAGTGGTTATTAAGTCGTAAACTTTTTTGATACAACTACATGAAATAATACTCACCATTTCCTTCACAATGTCTAAGCCGCCTAACAATTCACCCTTGAAAAACAGCATAGGGAAAGTGGGCCAGTCCACATGCTTCTTCAATCCTTGTCTAATCTCGTCATCTGTTAAGATGTCAAAATAACCGTATTTTACATGCCTATCATTTAATAAGTTGACCATTTGCTTCGAGAACCCACACTTGGGCTGTTCAGGAGTACCCTTGATGAACACCATGACATTTTGTTTGTTAATGAGTTCTTCAATTCTTTCTGATAAATCCTTTTCTTTTGGTAACATCTCTCTAAATTCGCCAGAGGCTATCATTTCTTTCAAAATATCCAGACCACCTAACAATTCACCGTTCATGTATACTTGAGGATAGGTTGGCCAATCAGAATATACCTTTAACCCTGAGCAAAGTTTAAACCAAATCAATAAATCTTCAACTCATGCTACATCAATATAAATCAATGATCCTATATTACCTTGACGAACATCCTCATCAGCGAGAATATTGAACGAGCTGTATTTGACTTTTTGTTCGGCTAATAATTCAATCAACTGACGAGAGAATCCACAACGGGGCTGGATGAGAAAGAATTGATGATTATTAATCAATTTTTGGCAAATAACCAAGCTGCTTCTCTACTTTTTTTTTTTACCTGTTGAGGAGTACCCTTAATGAAGATCATGATAGGTGCGCTGTTAATTAACGCATTCAATCTAGCATTTAGATCTTTAACAGGCTTAACACCACTATCTGCCTTCGCCGTAGCATTAGTCGTTGAAAATTTGTTCAACACTCCCTTTGAATGTTTGGCAACTGCATTGGATAATTCGGCTGCTTTGGCTCCTTCAATCGTCTCTACCATTTTTCCATTCTATTTTGCCAATGTACAATAGAAGCTTTAGCTACTCATGATTCATATCAATTGCTATGCACCAACTATCCTGATTTTCCATTTACCTTGAGTAAAATAAAGGTTGGTACAGCCGAAATTTCAAAACTTTCGGAAATATCAGGATACTCTTCTGCTTCAATCTATAACACAGTATAAATCTCCTTAGTATGCGTTTTATTAAGCTAAATAGTACGATGTGTGCTCAATACATACCTTCAAGAAATGCAAAGCAGGGAATTTTACAGAAAGTTCTCCAAACACTTCATTCATTTGCTGACATGGTTCCGCCCAACTGGCCCAAAAGTTTAGAACATAGACATTGTTAGGCTTGGAAATTAGACCGTTGAATTGTTCGTCAGAGGTTATGTCAATCAAATTGCTCGACATGACTGGTATATATGTGTACAAAAGTGGGGAAACTGGAGAAAAAAAGGCTTAGTGAAGGTTTGAAGGAAACAGGAAACATACTGTGCCTTGTTTTCCAACAATTGTTCTAAACAAAAATGCATGTCACATCCCAAATCATTTATTTGTCTCAGACTCAGATCTATTCATTTGGAAAAAAAGCTCAGTAGCGATCCCCCGCTATAATGAGAGTCAAATTGTCAAAATGTTTGATTTCATTCTGGTTTATAACAAAAATTACAAGGAAATAAACGTGAGTATCCAGCGTAAGAATCGATGTATTATCAGTAAAAAAAAAAATTTCAATATTGATGGAAGGCGTCGTTTTTTGCCTCTCGCACAGCATTAAGAATCAAAAATTCAGAAAGCTTCAGCCCCAACAAGCCTAACCAACTGGAAACTGTCGTTAAGATCATTTTTCCTAGAATTTCACTATTAATAAGAAACTCAAACGAGTTTGTTATGCCCAAACTTTAGCTCTACTCATCATTAATCGACAATCATTACTACATATCATTAAAAATATCTATGAAAGCTTCAAGTTTTAATTCTAATTAATCTCTTGGGCGCGTTGGTTTCCAAATGTCATTTGTTGAGCGGGGTAAGGTACAGTTCAAAAAGTCTGAGCAAAAAATGAGGCCTTTGTATAACTTTGGAGATACATTGAGCATATAAAGAATATCACCACTATGTAGTTGTAGCTGATGACTACATTAGATTTAATATTGGGTTACTGGGAGATGGCTGATTCTTACTACATATTCAATAATGGGTTACCCAGAGACAAAATATATAAACTTTTCACGGATGTGTGTATGGATGACGTATTAACGATTGCAAACGTAGCATCATTCAAGTTCAACGGGTGCTTATACTGAATTCTATTCATGAAAGATTAGCAAGTGAGAGCCTACATACTGAAGTCGGATTACATATGATGGACATAAACCACTACTTCAGTTTTCCTCGGACTTTTTCAACTGTGTATCACAGCTATCATTTCTCTTTTAACAGCTTTGCTCCAAATTAAATAGGCCAATCATATTTGTCTCTGGCTCCCAGCCTCATTCATTTCAATTCAAGTTACGCGAACACAGCACTGTCAAATAGCGGCTTCTTTTCTCTCGAACATCTGTCAAAACAAAGCAAATGGCCTCAAAATTAATTCTTCTACTGGTTACAGTAGCTTGTCTCTTGAATCTCTCTAAAGCTATAACAACTAATGTGTTGATCGAAACTAGAGACTGCTACTTTGAAGAATTAAACACTGGTGATAAACTTTCCGTCACATTCCAAGTAAGTTTCTCAGTTCGTGTTGGAAAGATACAACACTTCAAGCATACTTGATTGATATATGACCCAACCATTTTACTAGGTGAATGAAGGTGGTGACTCTAAGATTAACTTTGAGGTAAACAGTTGAATAATCGCATAGATGCTTTGAAATTGTAAAACAACATTTGCGTACTCATTTCCTGCTATTCGCTTCTTTAAATTAGATATACGATCCTGCAGAAAAGAGGCTCAAAAACTTAGCTGGCAGACAAAGTGGTTTATACTCCATTGTTGCTCAAAAGGCTGGTCGTTTCCGCTATTGTTTCTGGAACTACAGCAAGAAGTCAGCAAAGAATGTTAGTTTCAACGCTTTCATTAATGAGGAGACAATTGACGAAGCCACCAGTAAGTTTATCGCTTTTTAACTAACCCATAATTATATCTTATCAAGATAACATCCACTAGACGTTAAATAAAAGCCGTTTTAATTGATAATATTGACATATCTTTTTGAATAGATCAGGAAGACCCCTTGAAGCACGAAATCGACGAATTAGCGGACAGTATTCTTGCTATCAAAGCTGGTCAAGAATATATTGTTTCTCGTGAGCGTGTACATAGAGATACTGCTGAGAGTACCAATGACCGTGTTAAGTGGTGGTCTGTTGCACAAATTGGCTTATTGATTGGTGTTTGTATGTGGCAAGTCCATTACCTCAAGCATTTCTTTGAAGTCAAGCGTGCAGTTTAAACCGCTCTACTTCAGGCAACGCGGAACCTGTAACTACAGTTAGCAATTTTGCATCTTTGAACAAGTGTACATATATCATCGTCAATTTAAAATAAAAGCATACGCATCTTTTTTACCGATATTGAGCCAATCATCAATTGTAAACGCATACTTTTGCGAAGCTTACTGATCTCCAATGATCCACGGTTACAGGCTGGTGATTTATTTTCAGAAGGTAAGGGAGAGCACACACAACTTTATCAACGAGAGTAGAATATGTGCATATATAGTATTTTATTACTTGATACAAAAGGGGAAAAAAAGATGAAAAGGGACACTCTTTACAAAAAAATTATAAATTTAAAGCAGGTTTCATTATGAACGCACATGTTGAGCATAAGAATGTTGATGTTGTGTGTAGTTTGCATTTCTATTGTTGTTGTTATTGGTATTGCCATCACCATTGATATGAGCTGCACGTTCATTTTGATCTACAAGATTGGCAACTTTTTCAGAGTACTGTAAAGCCAATGTTTGAAGTCTAGAGAGTTCAACTTGATGAAGAACAATGCATTGAGTAACTTGATCTAGAGAAGCAGCGAGCTCTTCATTGAAGATCATCTTAGAAACGATCGCAGAAACAGTGGAGACAGGTAAATCAAACATGGCGGATAGTTGGCTCAAACCCAAAGTAGCATAATAACTGCAATAGGTGAACAAGTAAGTGCGAAGACCTTCTTCTTGGATTTTGCGGACAAGCATTTCCTTGATTTCCTTGGTTTCTGTCATCAAATCCCAAACCTTGATAGCTAAAATGAAATCTCTGGCCCTTTCCCATTCACCAGAAGCTAAAGCCTTAGCTGCGCTCATGATGTGATCTCTGGTATTTTCAGGGGGACCAATGAAGGCTTGACGTTCATTGTAATCCAATAATCTGCGGAAAGGCTTGGAGATAAACTTCTTACCGCCGTTAGGTCCAGCCTGGGCTTGTGCAGGGATTTCTAAAAGCATAGAACAAGTCAAGAAAATACATTCCAAAAGTTCCAAGTTGATGTGCATGTGGAAGGGCAGCTGACGTTGACGTTCAGCAGCATCGACTTCAGGGTTGCCAGTTTGACGTTGCGCTTGGACACCTTGGGCCAATAATTCTTTAACACGACCGGTACCTTGGATTTCAGAAAGAGCGGCATGGGCTTCCTTGATAAATCCATCACGGAAAGCGCAAATACCGATTTGAACCATGGCACGGTTATATAAGATTTGCGTAGAGATGTCAGCTTGGTGAATGTTATCTTGAACGTGAGACATTAATAACAAGTCACGAGCAGTGTGGAACTTCTTGTGAAGAGCATAATAGTAAATGTGGCAGAGCATGGCACGAGTACGGAAGACAGTAGAATCTTCCTTGTAAAGGAAATTACAGAGCTGATTGACTGTATTGGTGCCATCTTCGGTCTGAGCAATTTTGGAAACAATGTACTCGGGTAACAATTTTTTGCTGGCAACTTGGAGAGATGCAACTAGTTGTTCAGGCTTATAATAAACATGGTCCAATTTACGAGCAACAATTCTGGGAAGAGCAAAGTTAATACCGGTGTCTTTACAGTAAACTTGTGCACGATCTAACATGGCGTAGACAGAAGCTTCATCCTTGAGGCGTTCAATATAATCAGGGGCGTGAGGGTCGATGTTTTGGAGAGATTTAGTAAATTCATCATCTAAACGTTCAACAAAACTGAGAATTGATCCACGGATCTTGACAACTTCGCCTTCTTTGGGAGTAATATCTTTATCTTCATTATCCAAATCCTCAGCATCTTCTGTGACAACGAAAGATCTATTCTTTTCGAGAACTTCGAGTAAAGTATTGAATTCCTTAGCAGATGAGTTCCATGCAGTGAGATCCATAAAAGGTGCTTTGACACCAGTGATATCGAATCGAGAAGCAAGAAGGGCTAACAGAACAGAGATCTTTTGGAAAGGAGAGGAGGCAGCCTCCAACAAGGATTCTAAAGTGCTGATTTGCTCGCTACGATCAGTATTCTAAAATAAGCGCGTTCATAACGAATGATGAGAACTATAACCGGTTCAACATACTCAGCTGCTTCTTTCTACAGCAATTTATACAACTTACCTTTTTACCACGACTTTCCAAGATGTCTCTCAAACGAGCTAAAACATTTTGAGGAGTGACAGTAGCTGTAACTTTACCACCCTTACCAACTGAAGAGAATCCTTCATCATCATCAGCTGTGGCAACGGTCTGTTGCTCTTCTTGCTTGGTTGGCTTGACGGGTTCCTCCTTAACTTCTTCTTCTTTCATAAATTCTTCGGGATCCTAAACAATTGCGGTTTCTGGCGATTAGAAACAGCCCATCAGATGACTAATGTTTTTCTTTTAGATCCTATTGTACCTTTCTATAAGCAGCAATAAGCTCCTCATATTGTTTACTGAGCTTTCTGAGTTTTTGCTTCAAATTGTTCATAGCTTTGGTATTGCCACTCTTCTTCTTATTGCCTTTATCTTTTTGTAAACTTTCAGCCAAAAAGTCTTCGATTTCAACCATAATTTTGATGTAAAACTTGGGCATAGGAATGGCGTTAAAACCTGATGTGGCTCTGTTGACAGTGATGGTCAATTTATCGAATTCTAAATAGTTCGATATTAAGCATAAGTATTACATCTAGATGGGTTGAAAGGTTTCAGTATTTTCAATTTGATAATTACCAGTGGCAATCAGATTCCAATCACTATTTTTTTGTCCATTTTCGATGGCCTTCACAGCATTTTCCATTTCTTCGAGTCGTTTATCCTTTTGTGATTTAGCTTGACGTTTCTGGTTGGACTCGTCATCGGAATCTTCAGAGTCGCTGCCGCCTCTCAAGAAACGGTTACGGGGCTGTTGTTCTTTTTGTTCATTGTCTGAATGATAACTCTCGGCGTCAGAAGAGTCATACTCGGAATCGGACTGAGAGTAGAGAGATTCATTTTCAGAGGATGAGGTCTCAGAATCAGATTCTGAATCGGAAGTACTACGGAAGAAACGAGACATGCTGGGCAGTTGTACTTTCTTTAGCTTAAAGAGAAAGAATTCTCAAGAAAGAATATTTAAGTGGTTGCAAAAAAATAAAAAAAAAAGTCGTCTCTACACGTCCCCCCTTTCCGTCAAAAGCTTTTTTTTCTTTTTTTGCCTTAGTGGTATGTCAAAGTGCGAAAAAAAATTTAGAAGTCACTCGTATGTGGCTAGGTTGGCTCGTTCCTCCTTGTGGATGAATTAACAAGAAAAAGCGAAATTACTTTCACTAATTTTATTATGGTGAATACTTTTTAGGCTGCCAAAGAGGTCTTTTATTTTAAGCTTATTGATGTTAAACCAAAGTTCTAAACTATTAATCAAAGCATGCTGAGCGAGGAAAAGAAGATAGCTATAAGAAGCAAGCATAAATGTGAATTTTAAAAGATGCTTGAGCAATGTTTGACTCTGTCTACACTTACCTCCAAAATCTTTGCATTTTTGTAAGTCTAATGTATTATATTCATGAGTGTTATCGTTGACCATTTGGAACGTTAAAGAGGAAGTGCAATCAAACATAAACGATTTTTTGCTTTCAAAGCTTTCTTACAACGAGTACAATTAAATATTAGCTCTTTGACGCCACTGTCAGAAAAGCAAAGACGCGGGGAGCAGCCTCACTATCCTCAGTTATTCCTCTGCGCTGACATTGACCTATTGTTGAAAACAAGCGCTGTGCATTATTTACCTGCATCATAACTAATAGAAAGTTTAAGCATTTTTTTTTACATTGCTGTAGAGACAGGGCAAGAAGTAACATTAAAATAATTGAGATTGTTTGGTTATGGTTTGTATGTTTAGCAACCTCACATTTAGAAGTTGTTCCTGGCGCTTTTTGCTGTTTTACATATTTTGCCAAAAAGGCTTCAAGTATGGATAATGGGATTACTGTAATAGAAATACTTGTCTGTTAGGAACTCTTTATCAATTCTTAGAATATAAGACAACGCTATAGAGTATTGGTACTTCTTGCCTTGAATGTGAGTTAATGTGGTGTTCGAGTGGTTAATTTCCTTACAAAGCATTAGTCCTCCGTCTTTAAACAATGTGCATCGAATATGGAGAACTCTTCGTGAAGAGATTTCGCGTCTCAGACCTGATAACTAATGAGACTTTCAAAATAAACGAGCTAACATAAATAACTATTATACTTTTAGCGGTAGCTATTATATGTTCAATATTAGCGACAGAAAAGGTATCTTATTCGATACGCTGTCTCCTAGTAGCTTGGCTACGCAAGAAATAGTTCGTATATTGCAGTCTACTTCTGCAGCTATTTGTTACCAAGTACTTGTCTATTTGATAGAAGGAAACTTTGTCTGCGAGTATCGTTGTAGAAACCATCTAAATTTTGTTTTTTAAAACAACTGCGGCAGATGTAGTGCGCACGTTTTGATTGGGCAATCACCTTCGCATTAAACTACAGAAATTTAAAGAAGGTTATTGTAGAAAACTCGTTGCTGCATTTCTTCTCATTGATAGAATCGCATCAACATGAAACAGCGATTTAATGCTTTAGACGTCAGAGCAACCGTGAAAAACCTCAAAGAGCGGTAAGGGCGGAAGAATATACAAGAATAGGGTTTTTTTGGGCTTTTTTTTTCCTTTTCTTGACGTGGAAAAAAAAATATACATAGGTTGATCGGCATTCGTTTACAAAATGTATATGATGTCAATTCTAAGACCTTCTTATTCAAATTTGCCAAAGTAAAGGACGTTTTTTTTTTTTTTTTCAGTTTTAGTTTTGGGATGATAGAATATTGATTGCTCTATATCTTATCTTATGCATAGCCCGACGATAAAGAGCTTGTGCTAGTTGAGTCTGGTATACGTATTCATACCACCCAGTTCAGTAGAGAAAAGTCAGATACGCCTTCTCCATTCTGCGCAAAGGTATACGACATATATATTAAGAACAGATAGGAACAGCTATTAAATATCTCGTTAACGTACAACAGCTTCGTAAACACCTTCGTACTCGACGTGTTACAAACGTTCGTCAGTTGGGTGTGGATCGTATCGTTGATTTTGAATTTGCAGGAGGCGAAATGGGGATTGGATACCATATTATTTGCGAGTTCTATGCTTCTGTAAGTAATTAGCAAAAGAGGATGAAAACGTCAACAAGTGAAATAAGGGACAAGTAGTAACACAACGGAACCGATATGTCATTAGGGCAACATCATTTTGACAGATCATGAATATCGCATCCTCGCTTTATTACGTGCAGTTCAGCCTTCAGAAGAGCTGAAAATCGCAGTGGGTGAGATTTATAATATTGAAACAGTGAAGGATTTTGAAAAAGTAGACGAAGAACATTTGAGAGCAGTATTGAAGAGTGCCGGTCCTAAGGATAATCTGAAAAAGATTATGAATATTAAATTTGGTAAGAAAAAAGCGCTATCTACCACTGTGTTGCAAACATTGACATAATGGTACTTGAAATGGTGTATTAGAGTATGGTCCTGCCATGGTAGAACATATGATTATGGAAGCTCATCTGGATCCCAATGTGAAGGTGGCTACTGATTTCGATACATCTGCAGGTAACAAAGTTCGAGCGGTGTGTGCAGCATTCCAAGATTTGCTATATTGACTGCGCAAGTTTATAGACTCACCGATGGTGAAGGCCTTATTGGAAGCTATGGATAAGGGACATGAAGTAATTAAAACTACACAGAACGCTGTGCCTCGAGGTTATATTATTTTACTAGATGACAAGCATAAGCCGAAGGTTGAGGGTTCGGAGGAGGTTGAAATGTAAGTCTAATATGCTTCTTCATCTATAAAAATCAAGAAAGATGATTGAGACTAAAACAACACCCCTTTAATGCAATAGTTATGATGAATTTCACCCTTTCTTATACAAGCAATTCGAAAACCGGAAATACAAAGAGTTTGACACTTTTGATAAGGCAGTGGATGAATTTTTCTCGGCTATTGAATCACAAAAATTGGAAATGAAGGCCAGACGTCAAGAAGAAGCTGCTTTGAAAAAATTAGAGGCTGTTCGCAAGGAACAGGAAAGCAGAGTACAAAGCTTGTTGGATCAGCAACATACCAATGTTCGTAAAGCACAAGTGATTGAATTAAACTTGCAATTAGTTGACGCTGCTATCACCATTATTCGCAATGCTGTAGCTAGTCAAATGGATTGGCAAGATTTAAATGATTTAGTGAAAGAAGAGAAGAGAAGACAAAATCCTATTGCTATGGTTATTGACGGACTAAAGCTACAAACAAATCAAATAACGTTGCTCTTGTCGTAAGTGATACTAAAGCATACAACTGTTGTGAAACGGGGAGGAAGGGAAAAAAAAAAAACTTACAAAGCGTGGGTGTGGATGATTTATAGAGATCCTGATAGTTTCGAGGAAAGTGACAGTGAAGATGACGAAGACAGCGAGCAGGAAAATGATATCAGTAAAAGCACTGCAGAATCAAGCAAAGTGAAAGTAGACGTGGACATTGGTTTATCGGCTTTTGCTAACGCCAGAAAGTACTACGAGCAAAAGAAAACCACAGCCAGCAAACACGAAAAGACCCTTGAAGCTTCTTCCAAAGCATTAAAGTCAGCTGAGCGAAAAATCAGACAAGATTTGAAGGAGACAAAAATAACAGCTACCATCAATAAAATCAGAAAGCCCTTCTGGTTTGAAAAATTCTTGTGGTTTATTTCTACTGATGGGCATCTTGTTATTGCTGGACGTGATATGCAGCAGAATGAAATGCTAGTGAAGCGGTACTTGTTGAAAGATGATGTCTATGTTCACGCTGATCTTCATGGTGCAGCCTCTGTCATAGTAAAGAACAAGCCAAATGCCAATGGCCAACCCATCCCTCCCAGCACATTGTATCAAGCTGGCATCATGTCTGTTTGTCAAAGTAAGGCTTGGGATTCCAAAATGGTGACCAGCGCTTACTGGGTCTATCCCGATCAGGTGTCAAAGTCTGCTCCTTCTGGAGAATATTTGACTACGGGTAGTTTCATGATTCGTGGTAAAAAGAATTTCTTACCACCTGTTCAGCTTGTCTATGGATTTGGTTATGTGTTTAAACTGGATGAATCTTCTATTGGTAATCATGTAAAGGCACGTGTTGAAGAGTGTGTGGGCGCTGCGCAAGACAACGAAATGATGAGTCATGGTCAGGCGAATCATAAGGTGGACTATCGCGACGCTATTGAGGAAAGCACAGCCAAAAAGGAGTCTGGTTCGAATGAGCAGCTGCCCAAGAAAGAGAAAACTGACGGTGAAGAGTCATCACAAGCGTCATCAGGTAAAAGACATACAATAACATTTCTCTGGTTTTTTTTTTCTGCGAAGAATAACATATCATGTCGATTTTTAGCTACACCAACACCGGAAAAGGCTAAAAAAGACGAAAATTCCGTTGAAAGCAATGATGAAACTAGCGACGATAGCAATGAGGATAGCAGCAGCGACGAAGAAGAGAACGCTTTCCCTGATACCCAACTCCAATCACTTCCTGCCGAAACGGATACCAAAAAAGACAGCCATGATGATGATATGAAACCATTAGCCAAGGCAGATAAATATGATTTACAAGATTATGGACATGATTCTGACGATCAAGTATCTTCTAGTAGCCGGTCGAGTGGAGCTAACACGCCTAGCAAAAAACGTATCAGTGCCAAAGAACGTAGATTGATGAAGAAGTTGAATGTCACAGAACTTACCGAAGCGATTCTATCTGAAAAGGAGAAAGCCAAGCAGCAGAAGCAGGCTCAACCAACGCAACAGCAACAAAAGGCAGCACAGGCGAAACAAAAGGCAGCAGCAGCAGCCCCTCCTCCTTCTACTCGTGGTCGTAAGAGTAAAGCAAAGAAGATCAAGGATAAATATGCCGACCAAGACGAGGAAGAGAGACAGCTTCGTATGGAGTTGTTGGGCGTAAGTTTAGCTATTGATAACATGAGCCAGCTCATGACTAGCCCCATTAATATCATTTTTTTTTGCTCATTTTTAGTCCAATAAGGGACCTCAACCCAAAGGTAAAAAAGCAAAGCGTGAAGCGAAAGCCAAAGAAGAAAAGACGGCTCTAGAACGAGAAAAGGCTGCTAGAAAAGCAGCCGCGGAAGAAAAGGCAAGAAAGAAGGAGGGAGAAGCAAACGGCCATGGGGATGATATCAAGGGTACAGACGATAAAGATACAGAAACCATTCGTCAAATGCTAAAGGAAGAAAACATCACCATGCTTGAAGCAGATGAAATAGCCAACCTTTCCATTCTAGATTCTTTGACGGCCAATCCATTGCCTGAGGATATTATTCATTTTGCTATTCCTGTATGTGCGCCTTACGCTGCTATACAGAAATATAAATACAAGGTCAAGCTAACACCAGGTTCTCTCAAGCGTGGCAAGGCGGTGAAGCAAGCACAATCTGTCTTTCTCAATTTGAATGAAGCTACTGCTCGTGAGAAGGAATTGATCAAGGGTGTTCCAGATATGGAGAGCATCAATACAATGATGAGTAAAGTCAAGGTATCCGCTCCTAATCTTGAAGCAAGCAAGCGAAAGAAGGCTGGAGGTAGAAAGTGAACAAAATAGTTCAATGTTTTTCTGTATAGGATAACGCTTGTAATCTATTAACTACTACTCCTTTAGACGATTACTGGAGGTTTTTTCTTTTTTGCTGTTACAATAAATGTATATGTATATTATCTTGACAGTTCAATTTTTTATTGTCGACACTATCATAACGCTAATCCATATTGCAAACAGTGAGGGACGAGTGAAGGGGTTGATTATTATATGAAATTTTCCAATGTCTTTTTATTGTAGAATAAAATCAAAGGGACTGGTATAGATTGATTTCAATTTACATAGTTTGATGTACTCATTTTTTATTTTTTTTATTTTTTTCCATTTTTTCTATACAGAGAGTTTATTAATTACATTTTGACGAGAAGGATAAGGGAAAAGTGAGTAGGGTAAAAAGGATGGACGATAAAAAAAAAAGAAAATTATTCGTTCTTGTTGCTATGATGTTATAGTTTATAAATAGTGAAATGCATTTTTTTTTACTGCTTGGCATTGGCCTTCATGAGGTTCAAGGCAGAACCATACTTGAACCATAAGATTTGGTTGTCATTGAAAGTATGGTTGACCTTGATGTCTTTGGTTTCACCACTCTTCTTGTGAAGTCTGACGGTCAAAGGTTGGCCTTCCTTGAATTCACGCAAACCAAGAATATCGACCTTATCATCGGCATCGACGAGGTCATAGTCAGCAGGGTTGGCGAATGTTAAAGGAAGCATACCTTGCTTCTTCAAGTTGGTTTCGTGAATACGAGCAAAGGATTTGACAATGACAGCGGCACCGTTAAGGAATCTGGGTTCCAAGGCGGCATGTTCACGAGAGGAGCCTTCACCGTAGTTTTCGTCACCAAAGACGACCCACTTGACGCCTCTGGCTTTGTATTCACGAGCGGTGTCGGGGACACCATTGTATTCGCCAGTGAATTGATTCTTCACACTGTTTACCTTTCCTTCACTCGATGTGGCACCAATCAAGAAGTTGTTGGAGATGTTATCGAGATGACCACGGTACTTCAACCAAGGACCGGCCATAGAGATGTGATCGGTGGTACACTTGCCCTTGACCTTGATAAGGATAGGGACGTCGGTAATGTCTTTGCCGTCCCACTTCTCGAAAGGTTCCAAGAGTTGCAAACGTTTCGATTGAGGGTCGACGGCGACAGAGACCGTGGCACGATCTTCAGGAGGAGCTTGGTATGTATTTTCACCGGCGTCATAGCCCTTGGATGGAAGAGCTTCACCTGTGGGAGGTTCGAGCTTGAAGGGCTTACCGTCCGCACCGACAAGAGAATCGGTCATAGGGTTGAAGTGCATGTCACCCGCAATGGACAAGGCAGTCACGATTTCGGGAGAGGCGACGAAAGCGTGCGTTTCAGGGTTACCGTCATTACGGCCGGTGAAATTACGGTTGTAAGAGGTGATGATGGAGTTCTTTTCGCCCTTCTTGACGTCCTTACGATCCCATTGACCGATACAAGGACCACAGGCATTGGCGAGAACAATACCACCGGCATTGGTAAGGGTTTCCATGATGCCATCACGTTCAATGGTGGCACGAATTTGTTCCGAACCAGGAGTCACGGTGTATTTGGACTTCATGGACACGCCGTGGTCAGCAGCTTGCTTTACAATGGAGGCAGAACGGGTCATGTCTTCATAGGAGGAGTTGGTACAAGAACCGATCAAGCCAACCTTGAGTTCTTGAGGCCAGCCATTCTTGATGGCAGTTTCCTTGAACTTGGAAAGAGGGGTGGCCAAATCAGGAGTGAAGGGACCGTTAATATGGGGCTCAAGAGTATCAAGGTTGATTTCAATCAATTCATCGTAATCAGCACCTTCATCGGCTTTGAGGTTGTGAGAGAATTGCTTGGCGTAGTCGGCGATAGGGGCACGCTTCGTGGCACGAAGGTAGTCAGCCATACGATCATTGAAGGGGAACAAGGAGGTAGTGGCACCGATTTCAGCACCCATATTACAGATGGTAGCCATACCGGTACAGGAGAAAGATTCAACACCAGGACCAAAGTATTCAACAATGGCACCCGTACCACCCTTCACGGTCAAGATACCGGCGACCTTAAGAATAATATCCTTGGGTGAAGTCCAGCCATTGAGCTTACCCGTCAATTTGACACCAATGACCTTGGGGCACTTGAGTTCCCAAGGAATATCAGCCATGACATCGACGGCATCGGCACCACCCACACCGATGGCGACCATACCGAGACCACCGGCATTAGGAGTATGAGAGTCAGTACCGATCATGAGACCGCCAGGGAAGGCGTAGTTTTCAAGAATGATTTGATGGATAATACCTGATCCAGGCTTCCAAAAGCCCAAACCATATTTAGCAGTAGAAGTAGCCAAGAAGTCATAGACTTCCTTGTTGATATCGATAGCACGGGCCAAATCTTTAACACCGCCGACTTGAGCTTCAATCAAGTGATCACAGTGGACAGTAGAAGGGACAGCGACAGTAGGAAGACCAGCAGACATGAATTGAAGAAGAGCCATTTGAGCAGTAGCATCTTGACAAGCAACACGGTCAGGACGAAGTTTGAGGTATGATTTACCACGAGTGATTTCTTGATTTTCAGCATCATCCAAATGACCATATACGATTTTTTCGGAGAGAGTTAAAGGGCGATTTAATCTGGGGTAAAAAAAAAAAAAAAAAAAACCAAAAAAAACGTTATTTATCCAAGCAGCTTCTAAATGACGACAACCCATTGCCCTGCTCCCCCTTCTCTTTTTTTTTTTTTTTAATACGCGCTTTTTCAATGCCACTTTTCTATCACTACACTTGTTCCCTTCCTCCCGCTTTCGTCAGACTCATTTTATCCAAACACACACTCACCTCTTACGAACAATAGCAAGATTGTCTTCGATTCTTTGATAATTGATGTATTTATCGGGTTCCAAATTAGACATGGAGACCTTTTGGGCGGCCCAGTTAGCACCTGCAGAAGCATAGGTACGAGCAGGTACGTGTGTTTTGATAGCAGGAATGAAAGCCTAAAAATGGGGTTAGATTCAAGTAGAGTGAGTGACTTAGGGATAATCAGAAAACGGCGCTTTATTTCAGAATATCGCTCTATACCTTTGCAGCTTTAAAGACGTTATTTGAAGAAAGCATGATAATTAAGTGCAAGGTTTTTGTCCAAGCTTTAAAAAAAAAGTGACTAGTGTAATAAAGTATAAATAAGAGAGGGGGGTGGGGAAGGCTGCTTTTTAGAACTAATGAAAAAAAAAAAAAAAGAAGAAAAAAGAACAGGAAAAAAAAAAAAAACAAAATAAAAAATGAAGAAGCCTGAATAAATAAAGATTTTTTTATAGTTTATTTGCTGTCACTTAGGCAAATCAGAAGTGAGCTACACAAAAAAGAATGAACATGTGTGGATGCTGGGGTTGATATTTCACATGAATCTGGGAAAATACTCTGTTTTATTACAGAATTAAGGTTTTATTATGACGATATGAAAGCACTGTTCTCCTTTTACGGCATAGACGAATGCTTCTGTGTTTACTGTGGCGATGTGAAGCATTTTTTGCTAGTGAGGGAAATGCAGAGAATGGAAGGGCCAAGAGAAAGTGACGAAAGCTAAATTTTGCAATGGTTTCAATACAATTAAAATAGTCTCTATATAGGATGAGATAAGCGACAAATAGTAGTTTAACCTGAATTTGCCTTAAAAAGAAGGGGTCGGTGTCTATGCCAAACGGGCCACGCAAAAGTTTATCATATTCCGACAATGACCTGGACAAATTCAAGTTGATTTGTTCTGCAAAGTCGAATCATTCCTTCGCAGCCACCCCCACTGCCAATCTTTTGCGGAAAGGGCCGATCGTTTCTTGATGTACGATTTATTATGAGAACTCTCCTTTAACGCCATCCTTTGTCTCGAGAATTATCTTATAGCCCCCCTGACGTCCTACAGTGTATTCGGTTTCCTTCTGTCCCTGCAAAAAGAAAAAGAAAGAAGTAAGTCGTTCTCGCGTTTAAAGCTCAGTCTCATGGACACACAAGTGTATCCCATTTCCTGAATTCAACAGCCTTGGTTTCTTTTTCATTTTTTTGCCCCGCAATCTTTTTTGCTCATTGTTTCCTTGGAGAAAATGCGTTTTCGTTAAATTCCGCTGAAAAATCGAAAATCTGAAGGCGATTTTTCCTTTTTTCCTTTCTTCCCCCGCATCTTGTTTTCTTTAGAAATGCAGTGGTTTCTTTATGAATGCACGAATTGCACATGATCATACCCAAGGATCAACAAACAAACTGCCAAGCCATGTATGTAAGTGTAAACGATGGGCAAAAGGAATGGGCAGTGAGAGAGAGGCTGGGGGTGGGGGGGGGACTGTTAGTAATCCAATAAACATCATGGATCACCACATCCGTATGTGTTCTGCAGTAGAATAATATTGCTTTTTCACGGCCCTCAGAGTATTAAATTTTTTGCGTGCAAGCGGATGAAAGCCAGGGAGTGGTTTCATCCTGCATTCTTTCCTTTCACAATTTGCATATCGCAGATCACATTTTCTTTTTTATGCCTACGTATTTTTCATCTCGATCCCCTGGGGTCTAGTCGCCATTATTTGCTGATGCCGAAAAAAAAAAAAAAGTGTTATTCATCCTATTTATCTTGTGTAAACTGTATCACTGTCATGAATGGGATAGTTGCTGGTTTTTTTTTTTTTTTTTTTTTTTGTTTTCATTATCTTATCATTCTATCTATTTTTGTTTAAAAGTTCGCCGTAATGAAAAAAAAAACTCACTTTTTATCTTGTCATACACTACAACTCCTTTGCGTATATTCGGCTCTGTAACGTTATACACCTTTTCTCAAAACGATGTCGCACAAAAAAAATTTAAATTGTCGAAAAAAAATGTCGCATTTCCGGAGAAAAAAGTGTCGCACTGATACGGGGGAAAATAACTGGCACGGGGGATTTAGACTGAAATTAAAAAATATTGTAATTTGATCTTTCTGTAACTTATTGCTATTCTCGAAAATTGCACACAACTGCAAAATCTAATTGAGAAAAATGATGAATATAAGAAAGATAAAACTTCTCAATTGGTAGGCAGGTAAAGGCTATATACATCAGCTTCAGGAAAAAAAAGTGTCACACCTTTACGAAAAAGAAGTGACGTACTTTTGAGAAAAAGAATGTCGCATCATTTTTTAGTAAATAGGAAGACCCATTCAAACAGTCATCAAAGTGTCTTACAGAATAACGTGCAAAGCCTTCGAAAGATGATGGCAATACGCTGCTACAGGCATCACCAATCTTAGCAGGATGCATGTCTTGCTTGAGAATAAACTCCCTTTTAACATTACACTTTTGACAACCGACCAAAATTGTTCGATTGGATTGAGCTCAGGTGAGTATGGTGGCAAATAGATACACTTTTAACCATGAGACTCCATAGTGGCTCTAATCAACTCAGAGATATGAATGGGAGCATTTCCATCAAAAGGTAGTGACCCTTCATTTCGGGATACTTGTCCATCTCTTCAAGCACGTCATCAATAAATTTCAAATAATGGTTGGTTACAGTATCTTTTGTTTGGGCTTTAGCTCCTCCTGCTAGCTTTCGTTTTTCTGAAGGGGGAAGTGGCTTTCTCAAGCAAACCTTGATCAAGCCTTTGCTTGATATTGCACCCAAGATTGATATTGAGTTTGCTCTTGCCGTGACGCATAAAGCCAGTCTAGCAAGGGCTGTCCTAATGTTTCTGACGGGGGGCATTTTCTCGTGCTGAACGTAATCAACCTCATAAAGAAGCATTTGGACAATTGGACCAAGATATACTCCAGTTGACTGGGGCATTGGCATGCTGTTTTATGGGTTGAATGGGGAGTTGGTTCAACATATGAAATGGGGTCAGCGACGGTTGTCGCAAGTTGCAGGCGGTTATGCATTTGTAGGCATTCAATGGCGTAGGCTTTAATGAGAGTGCATAGTGACGTGTTTGGTGAGATAACAACTACATTACTCGAGTACGTACAACGAGGCAGAGAATACAATCTACCACGGTCTATCTATATTGCATTTAACATAGGTTATGTACAACATAGAAGAAGATACAGACACGTGTTTGAAGGCGACCCTAAGTCATGCCTTCATCAATATCAGGAGCTTCGATGCCTTTATGCATCAGCGAAACACGTTTAGATGCCGTGACCACTTGGGCATAGGAGCGTTTAGAATGATTTTTGGGTTTGAAGGCCGAGTTGGACTCCGCTGACCAAGAAAAGTGTTGGGAGTTGGGAAGAGCCATGTACATTTGGCATTGAGCATTTTGACAGAAAAGGTATAATCCCAAAAACTAAGCTTGGTATCCAAAAACATTGTAAAATTAATCTGAATTTAAATAGTAAAAATGTCTCAATTTTTAACCATTTTGTGCGAAAGGCAAGCGAAAAAACAGTACTGAAGGGTAAAAGAATCAGGTAGAGATGGCATGGCCGCTGGATTGCTGATTTGCCCCTTCGTAGTGCCTTACAGCGTTCCCCCACGTTTGTAGGCCCCTTACCCGTGGATCTCAATAGCCTCCCACGGCATTTAATCGTCTCTACTGTTCTCCTTTGGTCTTCGATAACTAACTGCTTCTACACGCTAGGGTATACGTATTTTCAGGACTATCCGAAACTGAAAAGGATACCTAGTTTGCTTTCCCAAGGTGTAATACAATGGCTTCCTTTTATTCAGAACCGATTGATTGACGTCCGGGCCCCTCCTCCGGCTGCTGCTCCTACGCCCACTTCACGATGGCGTAATGTATCTTACAGCACCTTATGGTTGCCTGATATGTCCCAGTGGCGTGTACCTTTTGGTTCTCAGAACAATACCACCATATTAAAGCTTTCGCTTGGTATGCTACGGCTATACTGGCATCCTGATTATTCCGTTTTTAGTGACCCTCCTCGGATTCCTCAAGTGTTTCCTTTATGGTATCGGCCTCCGGCTCAATGGAAACGGTTCTGGTCACTCTCAATCCCTCATGCAGTGCTAACTCCATGGTGGCGTTTATGGCATAATTGCATTGGTTACAGAGCTTGGCTGTTTCCCATCAATCCTGTCATAGTTGACTCCCCTCTTTGCCGCCATTGCAGAGACTCCCCTGAGGATGGTTTTCATTTTTTTCGTTGGTTGTCCACCTAAATGGCAATTTTGGATCACGGCACTGGAGGAAAATAGAATTATCTCTTTTCTTGCCACACCTACTGGCATTTGGCATATATTGTTAACACTTTGTTCCCCGTTACTTAATTCTCCTCTGCCTGACCACACAATCGTTCAGGTTAGTTTGATACTTTTAAGTATCTGGAAATATCATTGGCGCTGCCATTTTGATCGCATCTTGGTCCCTAGCAGGAGTTCGTACCGTCTACCAAGACGAGGTTCGATTCAGAACACTCAATACGTGCTCGTAGTATATTTAATGGTTTCTTTGTAGTAGTTTTTATAGTGTATGCCTTTTCTTCTCTTCTTTTATTGCCACTTATCCAAAATATAATTTATTGTCCGTTGTTAGTTACTTTTAATAAAGTACGTGAATTAAATACAAAAAAAAAAAAAAAAAATCAGGTAGAGAACAAACAGCTTGACATTCTCAGTTATGGCGATCTTAATGCTATTGAAACGAACTGATAGCGGTATTGATGAAAAAACTGGTGGCGGTATTGTTTGAAGCAAACGCAGTCATTAGATTCTGGCCAACAATAACTGAAGCTTTATTTTCAAAAACAAATTGGGTCTTCAACTGGTAAGTCAAGCGACGCTACATTCTTCGAGACTAGAAGTTTTTTTTTTTGCTGTCTGTCATATGTGGCCGTCGTCATGGACTGTAATCTTTCCTCCTTTTTATTTTTTTTTTGGCGATTGTGTCAAAAGTTTTAACTTGAAAGATTCTCGCAGATGTCAGACTATGAGACACTCAATGGATAGTGTTCACTTTTGTTTTTCACGACGTTTCTAAGCATTATTTCGTTTATAGAGCCATCTATTTGATAATTAAGATTGGTTGTGGATTATTTACAAATGTATATATATTTTATATACATATATACGTATGCAGATGTAAGTGTGTATGTGCGCGTCTGTGTATCTGTGTGTGTGTACAAGTTTAATTGATAGCATATTGCTAGTGTAAGGAGGATATGTTAGTAGATGATGTACGTTTGTTTTCACAAATAAGTTTGACGGTATCAGCATTGGCGCCTTGCTTTATTATTATATGGTATTCAATGGCTGATCAGCTCGAAAAAAAGAAGTACAGGCGGCTGGCTTGCGCATACGGAGAAGCGGAGCTCTATTTGGATGCCTTTAGCCGGGAGATCGCTGAGATTGCAGCCCTGCGACGTGTATATGCCAAACTAAAAAAGTGTAGAGGTTGCGTCCGGTGGTATCAAATTTTCCACACTAATGTTTTAACATTTGATAGACATAAGAATAATATATGATATTTTCATATGAGATAGTTATACGATAGAGAAAAATAAAATAAGAAATAGGAATAGAACAAGAAGAGAAGAAAACAATAACAACATATAGCAGTCGGTGGATCATTCTGTGTTTTTGAAAGGTGGCATTACTAATTCACGTGCCCAAGGCAAGCGACAATCAGTACAGCAAGGTGATTCCGACGAATACTCTTGCATTTTTCTTTTGTCAAGCAATGCTTCATTGTAGAGCTCGACTGAATTCACACATAATGTGCGCAAAATAGACATACCATCGACAAATTCATTCATGTCCGAAAGAAATGTTGATTTCTTTGGAAAACGGAAGCTCTTCAATTTTTCTAATAGATACAATCCATTGTCTCGAAGACGTAGCGAATACAATTCTGCTTGTAGACCTTGAATTAGTAGCAAGGCTACTCTGATGCTGTTGTTATGTGTAACTTTTAAAATATTGTTCAGTTGGCTTTTGCCATTCAAAACCAGCTTTGTTTTGTCCTCATCATATTTGTTTTCGGACACCGATCTTCCAAATTCACCATTCGCGACGTCGTTACTGACTTTGTCCAGGTTTTATAGGATTCTTAGATCCATTTTTCTGTTCGTTTTTACTGGACCATAAGAGATGGTATCGCCCCTACAAAAATAGAACTGTTTAATATAGTTATTCTAAAACGTATGTTCCTAGCTTTACCAGTTGACAACCAAATTTGTAACAGAAAACAAAGCTTCAATGGCCGTTGACCAGAACTTGATGATTACACTTGCTTCCACTAAATTGTTAAAAACTTCAGGCAATAAATACTTTTCGTAGTGTACATAGGTCTCTACTACGTGGCTGAGTATTTTCGCCATGGCAAACTCGTCTTTAGAAACTCTACCCAACCTGGAGTATAGAGCTCTGTTTAAATTTACAAACTTTTTTTGCTTCATAAGCACCACCATTCATCATCGACTTTTCCGATTTGTTCATATTTGAGGTCGTCAAATTCTTTACCAATAATCTGATTTTTAAGCTCTTCAGCTGCTGTGTCTACATGGCCACCTGATATGTGATCAGTGGCATCAAAAACATTGTTCATACCACATACGGTAAAAAATTTCTCTCTTTCCGAGAGTTCATTGAAACGACAGAGATTTAATTCTGCTCTTTCTTTAACAAACTTGGCTACAGGATTCTGCTCTTCCATCGTCGTCACCTTTCTGCGCAAGGAAGATGCTGGTTGAAGGGCCTCCGAAGCTTGGCGCTTTTGGAAGCTTTTGGCGGTTGTATGGTGAAAAATGATTTCACGAACATAATCCTCCTTAGCAGACTGAATGTATTCCATTGTCTGCAAGCCAGTTTTTTGTGTATTGCGAGGTGTGTTTTGAGTCTCCGTCCTGTTGAAAGATGACTTCCTCGTTGGTAAGACCAAAGTACTCAAGTGTATCCTTATACGAAGTAGCCAAGATATAGGTGTACAGTTCTGAATTCATAGGATACTCGATAATACGGCATGCGTAACCTACTCCTAATGATGTCATGCATCCCATCTTGGGTTAATACCCTCCAATATGTTTGCATAGTCGTCAGCTCCAAGGCAAGAAAATCTGACGATATCATCATCTGACACCAGCATTTCAAATCCTCATTTGATGATGTTGAATGTAGAGAGTTTACCGCATTTTTGTAGTCAGTTTCCGCCCGCTCGCGTTGTCCTTGTTGTATTTGCTTATTTAAAAAATTGATAACAGTTGTAAGTCGATGACTATGAACTTAGGTGTCTTTATTATTCTTCAGATGAAGTAGAAGGATTATTTACTTTGTGAGGTTATAATGGGAATTATATTATTTGAGGACGCGTATGCTAGTCACTAATCTCAGGTTCAGATGCTTATTGGGTGTGATTATTATATTTAGGCCTGTATCTTGTTCTATGTTGTACATAACCTATATTAGATGCAATATAGATAGACCGTGGTAGAATGTATTCTCTACCTGGTTGTACGTACTCGAGTATTGTAGTTATTATCTCACCAAACGCGTCAGCCCTGAACGATATTCACCTTCTATGAAAAAGCCTGGCAACCCGTTAGTTTTTAAGTAGTTATTTTCGAGCCAAGAAGTGCAATTCCAAGTTGTTTCCATGGTGGTATAATATTATTGGCGTAATGATGGTAAAACGTCTGGAAACTATTGTAATGAGTGTTAGCCGCTCATTTCAGTTAACCCATCAGATTATGCAGTTTCTAAATGAATTATACTGAAAGCCACCCTTTACATGTATGAATGACCAAGGCTATGCAAATGGGGTATACTGTAAGTATTAGAAATGCAGTTAGGGTCGCACTCTTCACAAAAACCGCAAAGTACCAATACAAATGAACCATTTCAAGTTGTACAAAAACAAACCATGCATATACGTTGATGCTAAACGTATAGCCGATGCATTGATAAACATTCGTCGGTATCTATAGGCAATAGAGTGGAGTATCAAGGCGGATGTTTTCATGCTTCACAGCGTCCATTCTTTTAACAAACATTTCATGGGGGTGTTGAAGTTATTTTATTTTTCAATAATAAAGGTTGGGGCAAAAACCCACTCGTTTAAAAGATGAACATGGGTTTGAATGCACAGTGGCTGTACAAAAGAAAAAATTAGGGTACGAAGCAAAAATGCAAGTAAATAAGTTATAGTAACAAAAAAATCAAAAGAAAAATATATGTATGTACGATATAAATTGATTTTTGATTCAAAAATAAATGTAGATATTACAATAAAAAAAAAAAAAAAAAAAAAAACAACAAACAAACGAAACGCGTGCTTCAGCTGTGTACAATAATAGGTAAGGTGGGATACGTAAGAGTTCAAATCTATTTTTTAGAGCGGTGTTGGTGACGGTGATGATGTTGATGATGACGACGATGGTGATGAGGTTGCTGCTGTTGCTGCTGATGGTTATTATCTTTCTTTTTATCGGTTGAGGTATTGTCGGCTTCTTCTTCCTTCTTTTGAGGTGGTAAAACAATGATATTTCCACGTTCCATGACTGCTCTACTTGGTTGGAACAGTAAATGGTGAGGATGACTTTTTGCTGGCGCCTCTGGTGTACAACAATCGATGCTCTTGACCCAGTCATCCTTCAAGACATCTTCCAAGGTGCATCGGTTTTGAGGATCAGGTACTAATATTTGAGAAATGACAGGTCGTGCATAGCGTGGTAATAGTTTGAATAAACGTTCTGCGCCGTTTCCATCAGGCTGAATAAAGTTGCTATACGATTGATCCTTCTCCGGACGAGGTAATCTCCATGGGAAGCGTCGAATGGTCATACAAATGAAGATAATACCGCAGGACCATAAATCTGTTTTAAGAGCGTTGTATTCCTTTTGTGTGTATTGTTCTGGTGCAATGTAAGGGTCTGATCCGCAAATGCCTTTATTGAATAACAATCCGTTGTTAGTCCATCTATCTTTTATCGTGTGTTATCTCTTGCCCCCATTACATTACCTTTACTCAAGTGGGTATGTTCTTCAAAAGGATATTTAATAACAGTGGCACATCCAAAATCAATGATCTTTACAATGCCTCTTTCATCCAACACCATGTTATCCAGCTTTAAATCACGATGAGCGATGCCCATGGTCTGTAAATAGTCGACACCGTTCAATAACTGCCGCCAACAGCATGCAATTTCTTCGTCTGTCATTTTACCACTCATCACAATATTGAAAAGATCATTGGGAGCATATTCCATGATTTCATAAAATGTCTGGCCTTCTTGAATGATATCTAATGCTTCAATGACATTGTAATTGTGTAAAGTGGAGCCTATACAGAATTCAGCGGTCACTTTCTTGACATATTCCTTTTCATTTTCTCCAGGTCCTCGTTTTCTAAATTCTTTCACTGCAAATGTCTTTCCGTCTGTGTTACGTCGAATGATTCTGACAGATCCGCCTGAACCTTTTCCAACAAATTCACCTAAATTGGCAAATCAAAAAATTTAGTTTCCCCCCCATGGATAAAGGTTTTTTTTTTATTTTTTAATTTTTCTGGGAAAAAAAAAGAAAACCCAAACGATAAGTTTACCCCATTTGCCATATCTTCCTTCCAAATCCTTGTTGAATTCGTTTGCAAACGACAAATCACTCTGTCGACTATAGACAGAAGAAGCGCTGCTACGAACACTGGATGTGTCGTTGTGATCAAGCAAGAGACCTTTCTTTTTCTTTTTATGATCATGATGACTCGCTTTTTTAAAGAACCGCTTGAGATCATGAAAGAGGGTATCCTTTTTTTCAAGATGATGAAAATGTGTATGATGGTAATGACTGTCGTATTCGGGTTTCTTGAATACGAATTGAGAAGGTGTACTGGAGCGGGAGATGGATCGCGAACTATTGTAATCCGATAAAACAGAAGAAGCGTGGGGAGGAGGAGGAGCTGAACCTAACGAGGGTGGTGATGGTGGTGGTGGCGGCGTTCGTGCAGTTTTTCTTTGGCGTTGTTCTTCTGCTGTAGTAGAGGTTGACTTTTCTGGTGACATAGATTGAGGTGTCATGGTGGTGGTGGTGGTGGTGGTTGTCGTTGAAGACGGACTTTGTGCACCCGACACAGCTACGGAGGACGCGTAAGAGCTTTTACCTTCATCGTGGTGATGGGGGATGTAGGGCGTGCCAGGGACAGAAATATCCGGTGTGACATTTTCGAATTGATGGATGGCATGCTTATTTTGAAAGATTTTTGCAGGTGTATTGAAATCGACGTCGCGCAATCTTTCGCTCAAGTTATTGATATCATTTGCAGTAAACTGAAGATGGCTCCTGGACCGTCTGTCAGCAGCAGTGTCTACTGTACTCGCTGGCTGATACGAAGAGCACGTAGACTGTCTTAAAGGTGATGGTACGCTCACTTCAGACATTTGCAGATAGGAAGGCGTGAAAGAGCCAGAATTCGGACGTATTTTGGTGCTCATCGCTTTATCTCTATCCCAGTGAGTTGAATAAATAGATGTATGTGTGTGTGTTTTTGGTTTAACTAGAGAAAAGTAAAAGAAGAGAAAGAAAAAGAAACTCGTCTTTTCATTATTGCTTGTTAAAAAGCAAAAAAATCTATATTTGCTTTCCTTTACCGGATAACTACTGTTTGAAACACAGATTATTTTTTTTATTTTTAAAAGACAGGATTTAGATTTTGCTTTCTTTAGAGAATAGTCATCTCAAACCGCAAGAATTATTTCCATAGATTAAACCAATATATAGAGAGAGAGAGCCTCTATTGGAGAGGCATTCTCATTCACGGTCTATTTTTGTGATAGTGTGATTGCTAAAACTCCTTTCTGTATTGTATTTGTCATTTTTTTCAGTCGTATGGAAGCGAAATACGGACACGACCTCCTTCATGGAAAAAAGCTTTCCTTCAATTGTGAGATCGGCAAAAATTCTTACCGAAGAACAAAATGCCTTATATCCCAAAAGGAAAATTAACCGATCAATAAGAATTTGTCTCTAGATCGTCATGATTGACAAAGCTTTTTTATTTATTTTTTTGAAACGGAGACGATATTTTTTTTTTTTTCATTTGATGACATTTTTCTTTTCAAAAGCAATATAAGCAAAAAGAAAATGTGTATTTAAAAAAGACCCTCTTTGATCTGTGGATGATTATTTGTCATACACACTTTTTTTTTTGTCGCTACACAACCGCACAATGAGGGTTGTACAGTAGCACTTTGTCGTGTCAAAGCTTTTTTTTGATGCACAAATGAAGCACACTTGCCTACAAAAGATAACGCGAAAGTGTGCCCAAAAGGCAACGGTGTGCAGATCTCTTTTTTTTTTTTTTTTTGTTTGTCCTTCTTGAATACGTCTAGATCTATTCATGTCGTTTAGAACAAACTTCTTTTAGCCGATCAAAAACTCTACTAAAAAAAAAGAGGGGGGGGGATGGTTTTGAAGATTTCGCTATCGATTGAACGTACGTTTTTATTATTTAAACTACAGTGATAATGAGCTGATAAAGGACGCTTCTTTTTTTTTTTTTTTTTTTTTTTTTTTTTTTTTTTTTGCAAAATATGAAATTTGTTGGAATAAGAATGGAGGGGGGGGGGAGGGCGAATGAAGGCGTTGTCTCTAGTCATCCCCCTCGTCAAATCACTTTGACAACCCCTCGGATACAATTGCAATCTAATGTATGGAGGGGATAAATGATAAAGCGAGATGTTGAATTATTTTGATATGATAGCTTTTTTTCCACACAAGGAGCTGATCTCGAAATTATCTAGTAAAAAAAAGAAACTCAAACGAATCCCTTGCAGTGCTTTACTTGCGTGCTTTTACTTTAAAAGATGTGTCCATAGGAAACGGGTGATACGATAGCATTAAAAGCGAGAATAATATATTCCTCCCCCTTCTCAGCAGTAATAACTTCTTAGATGTCATCGTCACATCAGCATTCATGCGCAGAGCGAGACTGACAGACTGACAGACTGACAGACTTACAGACTGACAGACTGACAGACTGAGAAACGAGAGTGCGCGCGATAAAAAAGTGTATCGGTGCGCAACCCTACGAGCAAGCCGCATGTCTTGATTTTTTTTTTTTTTTTGTCATTTGAAAGGGAGGAAGATTAATTCATACGCAGTTCTACTTTTCTTTGCTTAAGCGTCAGAGATGTTTATCCGTCTTTTTTATAATGAGATATACCTTGGAACAACAAGTGAGTTGGATCTCTCAAGAGAAATGTCAATCTCATTAAGAAACAGTACATTTCGGAAGAGTCTCGCTTGTTGAGATGACACTCTTGATTCCCGTTTGTTCACCACAAGTTCAAGGCGAAGGATACCATTTTTATACAAGCTCATCTCTCTCTCTCTCGTGCTGGAAGCCTCTTCATGCATGTTTATTTGTTAAAAGTTTGCATGGTTTTTTAAGGTTTTCGGATGAGACGCCTTGGTTGTCGCTGTAATAGAGCTTCCCTTCTTTATTGACTCCCTCATGTCTCTCTATCACACACGCACATCAAAAACAGATTTACAATAGCTCCTTCCATTGTCATTTTTGCTTGACTATTTAAATGACAGGAGTCAGTCAATGGGAGGAGGAGAAGACACATTTTCAATTATTAAAGTTACAACTGCTTGCATGTGTATAATATGTATATAATATGTATAATTGCTTGCTTGAGAGTGAACCATGTCAAAAACCCTTTTCTTTTTTTTTATGGTTGCGAAAACAGAACCATTTCTGTGTCGTGTACCCTCATCTCATGCAGCCCTTTTACTTGAGTGGTGCAGTTACCCTATTTATAATTCTAAAACAAGGTATATTATTTGAATGCTGATAGATTGGAACCAAACCAAACTGATGTTGACCCTCCCCCCTCCCCCCCCCACTCCCCTTCTTTTTTCTTTTCGCATAACGACAAAAGGGTCGTTTCCGTTTCCTAGAAAGGCTTTTTTCTATTATTTTTTATTTTCATTTTCAGAAAAAAGCTTTTGCATTCAGTCCAGAGCGTAGTTATTGTAGCTTCATACATAAATCAATCATCCTCACTTTGGCGAATAGAGAGAGCTAATCACCTTATTTATCTTTTTTCTCAACAGGCTAGAAAGGAACCCGAAAAAAAAAAAAAAAACTAAAAAAAAGCTTATAAATATACATATGTCGATTGATTATATTTTCTGCCTTTACTCTTTTACGTTTCTTTCTTTCTTTCTTTCTTTCCCTTTTGCAACTCTTTCTACTCTCTTTATCTTTCCCCCTTCATCCCACTACTGTTAAAAAAAGCAAAGACAACTTTCCTTTTCTTGCGACCGCAACACTTTCAGGCAGCATCCACAACAAACGATCTGTCCTCAAAAGTAAAGAATATCACCCTCCATCACCTCGAGAAAAAGAAAAAAAAAAAGAACAAAACAGATGACAGAGAACTTGTCTAGAATTTCATCTAGAAAGAACGACTATCACCCGTGGTATCCTATGGAACCAAATGCTGGTAAGACAGTTTGAGAGGCGTTTATGCTCGCCACCCCTTATGATTATCATGCAAAAAAGAATTGTCAACCTTTTTTTTTTTTATTATTCGGGGGGCACTCATCATTGAAAGCCCTTTTTTTGTTTTCAGGTACATTCACAGAGCTTTGTTCAACTATAGGAGCGCAAGGCGTTCAAGTGGAGCAAGTTCATTTGGTATCGGATCAGAATCCGTTCCATGATTTAGAGTAAGGACCTGTTATACACATAGTTTATGCGTTGAGCAATTAAGAATATTCAACAACATATTGCATGTAAACAAAAACTTTCTTTTTTTTTTTTTTTTTTTCTTTATAGACCTGTTCATGGAATTATGTTATTGGTACCCTACAACAGCAACACGTATTATTCGTATCATCAGCAACAACAAGAGAGTAACCATCATAGCAGCAGCAGCAGTAGCAGCAGTAGCAGTAGTCATAATAGTAGTAGTAATAATAGCAGTCATCCCATCTATTTCGCGAAACAAGTAAAAGTGAAGAGAGCCAGCATCAACATCTAGATTCGAGCTAATTCATGTAAATTTATTGATAGATGATGCACGATGCTTACGCCTTACATGGTCTTTTAAATATATTACTCAATGGCAAAAATAATGTCCATATCCATCTCAATTTGGCTCGATTCAAGCAGTTAACGCAATACCAGTCCTCAGGGGTAAGGAAACCCGAAATGACTTTTATATTTTTTTATTTTTTTACAATAGCAGTGAATTGAGTACTAGTAGTAGTAATAGTGATACAAGTCGTTAATATCCCAATTTACGTAGGGTAAAGGCACCACTTTAATCAATACCGCATTCCTGAGAGAGGCTTACAATAGCTTGTCCACGTAAGTTTTGAAGTATTTTTTTTTTTTTTTTTTTTTTTTTTTTTTGCGAGCACAGTAGAGACACGACAGGAACGAAATGACCTACCGCTGACCGAGCCCCCCCCCCTTGAATGGAATGGGATTGATTGATTGTGTATAGGAAGGGAATAAAAGGAAGGCATCCTCCAGCAAAACAACACGGTTATCAGTCTATTGTATTCCTAAAAATAGAGGGAGCTATTTGGGAGTTGGATGGAATGAAAGAGAATCCAACGCTTTTGAGTAAGATCCCCAAAAAAAGAAGGACGCAAGCGTGAATTGTTTGGCTTACTAAAACAGCCAAATTTCTCTTTTACAGGTGCTTGTCATCACGACACGATCCATTGGTTAGATGTTGTTTACAGAGAACTGTTGAGAAGGTATGCAATCCCCCCCCCATTGGCTATCGAACACAGCGCAGTGGTTTGTAGTAATCATGCTCAAAAATGTATAGATACCAGAGGCTCGACGATTCGGTGACGCTATGGGCAGTCATAGAAGATAGGAAACTCGTTCTTCAAAGGCAAATCGTTGAAAAGCTTTACTTGAGAAGTGCGATTGAGAGAAGGCTTGATTTTCATCGTCCAGACTGGCGAATCAAAATGAATGTTATTTACTGGGATGAAGAGTTTCGACATACGATAGACAATAATGTAAGTTATCCAACGGCATGACCTCAATGTAGGGACCCACTTGAGTCATCCTCTACCCTCCCCCCTCCCCTTTTATTTTTGCCTTTCTTAGGAAACAAGTAGACGAGGATTGCAGACGTCGAAACAGCTTTTGAGTTACTGTCAATCGTTTTCACAACTACCGACCCAACACCAAGCAGAAAGTACAGCCACTTTGGATAATTATACTCGGAATGTTGAAACCATGGGAGTTGCTTGGTTAAAAATACAAGATATCATGCTGCAGCTGTATGAAAAACTCGGGTTAGAAGTAGAGAAAACAGAAAAACAGAGAGTACGTCGTCTTTGTATGTTTGATGAGAAGCGTTGTATTCGTCTTTGTCTCATGATAACCGTGTTTTCGTTTTAGATGGACATTCAAAGGAAAGCATTTGATTACACACCCTTTATCCGCTCGTATCTCAAAGGTTTATATGACGAGGGACACTTACCATCCGTCCTGCGCAACTATTATACTCAACATTAACAACGACACGACGACAACAATCCTTTCCCATTTTTTTTTTTTTTTTTTTTTATAATTTTTCAAAAAAAGCAACTAACTATGCGGTTTTCACTTTCTTATGTATTTAATTTGATCCTTTTTCTCTCCCGCACACTTACTTTATATACCTCAACATAAGCATATACCCGTAAGAAAATGAGAGAAGCACACACATGTTCAACATGCTTATTTTATACATCTATGTATACACACCCATTTACCCCAATATCCAATCAATCTTTATCATTAAACTTATGGAGCCCTTATTGAAAGGCATGCATTATTTCCCCGGATGGAGAGGCATCTATTGACAGTTGCGAAATTCAAAACGACGATCGATGATGACGATGATGACAATGATGATCTTTTCACTTGAATAAGCTGATCTTGTACACTACAATGGGTCTGATGAACAAGGAAAAGTATCCCAATCATTCGTTGGAAGGATAATCTATGGGTATTGATACATTTGACATTGGGGCAAAAAAAGAAAAACCAAAAGGGCCTCCATGCCAAGGTAAGCTTTCAGTTGAAGAGCTCTATTTGAAAAGCAGCTTTCAAAAGCAAATGAAAAGAGAGTAAAAAAAGGGGGTAGAAAAGGGTGGTTCATGATGATGATGATGTATTTTTCTATTTTCTGACAGAAATAAGTGAATTGGTGGAAAAAATGAACCACACCCACACCCGAAAGCATCCCTCGGAATGCGTCGAGAATTCTTAAGGATCTTGAAACATTATGCAGCAGCAGCAGGCTAAATTTTTCTTTGTACAGTAATCCGAGGAACGTCATTCGAATTCATAGTCAGAATAACAGTGAGAAATGAAAAAAATAAAATAAAAAAAGTTTCCAAGCATGACAAGCATGATGAAAAAGAGAATCAAATGTCATATCCATTTATACCAAAGGTTGCCATTCGGTTGACAAGTGGGTCATCATACGATGCCATGTTTTTTGTTGATGTTTTGTCAATTGTATCACTTTTTTATATCGGCCCCGTTTTTTTGGGCAAAACAGGTACAAAATTAAAATAGAGGAGGATGGAGAGTTGTCCGTTGTGGCGGTGATGTGATGATAGAAATCCACGCAACGTCGTGTTGTAAAATTTAAAGTTACCCAATGACGTTGGCTACCGGATATCTTCAATAAGGTGATCTGTAAAAATGATTCATACTACTTTTTTTGCCTGATAGTTGATGGGTAAGTTACTTTCTTCACGATGCTGAAGGCTTGTGTAGCTCTTCCTATTCACATGATTTTGAAGGAAAAAAAAAAAACGACACAGACATACACACACACACACACACCCGCACCCGCATGCTCCGTAATAAAAATAGAAAAAACAAGGAAAGAGGCTAGAAGAAAAAGAAATTGTTCTAAAATGTGGGGTTATAAGCGAATCTGGGAACAATGGTAATGCCTTGTTAAAAAAAAGGTTATTACCCGTTTCGCCTTTTACCCAGTTTGCCCACCCAGCCTTTCATGCAAAATGTGTGCTTCGTGTCTAGAATATTCTTCCTATTGAATGGAATAACCTAATAGAAAACTGTACGCGCTCTTAACTACCCCTTATTCCAGCCTTTATTCATTAAAGTCGATTTACGACATCCTTTAGACAAGAAAAGAAAAAAAAAAAAAAAAAAAAAAGAAAAGTTGAAAGATTTCTGAGAAGGTCATTTTTCTGTGTTTTTTTGTGTAATAGCAAAATGACTAAAAATAAAAGAATCAGGAACAGTAAATAAGAAGGGTATTTTTTTTCCAACAAAATACTGCCTTTATGACAGTTTCATAACCACTGCCCATGTAAACTCTTTAGCTTACTAAGCACATCATAAAAGCTATACAACTACCTTTGACTATTTGAATGTCATTGATATTTGATGAATTTTTACTACATGCTTTGTAACACTAAACATTGGCAAGTTTTAGAGTTTTGTTTTACAGGCTTTGCATAAAAAAGACAACTCAAAATGGACTTGCATGAAGGAACAAAAAAAAAAATAGCCAATTGTTATATTGATAGGTGACATGACTTCACTTATTGGGCAAAAGAAAAAAAAAAGGCTCGGATTATCCTCTATAGAATCATCCACAAACATCTATTATTATTATAAATACAATCCAATGGCATGGTCTTTTTTTTTTTCTTTTCTTTTTTTTTTTTTTTTTATTCTTTCTTTCTTTCTTTAACAAAAACCCTTTTTATTTGAAAGAAACACAACACTATTTTTTTACTTGACAGTTTTATGACAATTATTCCATCTTCTGATCCTGTTATAACACTTACTATCGAACTTCTTCCTGAATTTGGTTACAAAATACAAGATGAACCAGTCTATGGTCCAGGGTCGGTTTTTCAAGGTAGAGTATTTGACACAGATTATGGCTCTTTTTTTTTTTCTTTTTTTTTTTTTCTTCTTTTTTTCCACATCAGTGCAAAATAACCATAAATGGTGAAATTAGAGGCTACTGATACTAATCATTGCATGCTGCAAATGCATCATAATATGGTCTTATATAGGCATAGTGCACCTTCGATTGAAGGAATCACCTGTAGCGGCTGACCGAATTGTCCTCACGTTTAGAGGAGCAGAACATGCCACACCCATTCATGATGGAAACAAGTTTCTTGTTCCGCTTATCAAAAACCCCTTTTTCTCCATGCAGCAGACATTATGGCAGCGTACACGAGAAGAATGCTTACTGACAGAACGTCATTATCGATTCCCTTTCACCATACAAATGCCTATGACTCAATTCCCGCCCTCCATGGATCACTCATTGTATCAATGTCAATTCGACTTGTCGGCAAAGTTGATTCGCACCACCTTCACCTTACCGACCGTCGTCACAAAACGTACCATCCATTATATGCCTTGTATTGAAACAAGCGCATTGAAGCAGCCTATCATTGAAGATGGGTATCATAACGGTTTCTATGCATCCGTCAGACTTCATTCCCTGGACTATGTACCGGGTGACAGCATACCCATTACACTTACCACATCACGCCGCGATCGTCGTCATCGTCGTCGTCGTCAACGTCCACCTCCACGTCCGCTTGCTTTTGAAAAAGAAAAGCAACAGAAACAAACCCACGTCCACGTCGCCATGAAGAGTCAACATCCCATCCAACGCAACAAACAAGACGATCCGCTCGAAGGGGACGAGGAAGAGCCAGCAGAGGCCACTTCTATCCTTGTCGAATTATGCGAAAAAGTAGAGTTGCTACGATGCAAAGCCGTTTCTGTCACGCGGGTGGTCGCCACGCATGTGGAAAAACCAACGACCACAGGTTACAAATACGCACTGACAAAAACCTTATATGGTAGTGGCGCAGAATATCGTGTGGCGCTTCCGTTGCCGGTGGACCTGACACCGTCTATCAATTATTCAAAGATAGTCCATCTTTCCTATCTATTACGGATCAAAATCAAAAGCAGGGGAACCTCTTTGCTGGGGCCAATGTTCAGTTCCGTCGTACAGATGGAACTACCACTGAAAATCGGCACCTTGGGTTATGGTATCAGGGCTTCCAGAGACCTCAAAGTCTATTATGCCGATACAGTGAGCTCTCCCAGGTTTTTGAGATCACTGGAATATGAAGAGGCTTTGCCACTGTATGACCCAAGCAGGTTACCTTCGTATCACGATTCACCCATCACTGTATAATCCCTATCCTCCCCCATGCCATCCCATCCGTTATCATCCTCCCGCTTCCACTTTAATTATTGTATACACTACTCCATGCATCCTTCGCACATCCATTGAACAACATCTTGCTTTTTTTTTTTTTTTTGTAAACCGTATCTTTAAGCATTCTTACTCTTATATCACGTAATACCTATACTTGTTATTCTATTTATATTTCTATTTATATTTTATATTTATCGCTCATACCCACCCCCCTCAGTAATAAATAATGACTCCCTTATTCTATCATTCTATGCTCATGTGATGAAGCACAGGAGACAAAAAAAATGAAGGCAAATGGTTAGCATTGGATAACATCAAGGCAACCCCATTTGAATCATCAAATGCCCTTTTTATCAGCAATAAGATTAGAATAATTTATTCGGTGAAAACCATGTGTGTACAAAAGGGATGTCCATTTCAGATATAAAATGACAGATAATCTGATACATCGTGCTGCACATGTATGCGAAAATGATATTTTGTTTGTTTTTTCTTTTTTTTTTTTTTTTTTTGGATGCCTTCAATAGATGAATATATATATCATTCATTCCTCTTTCTCTTCTCAGCAATACACTCACTGAGAATGACTTATCCACCTCCGTCGTTTCGCCCCTCCCTTTTACTCGGCTTCTTCGATCTTGGGAGCCAAGTAATATCTGACATAACCCAGGTTTTCGAGTTTATAGTCAATCAAAAGAGGAACATCTGCTGACATATTTAAGCTGACACGAGGCGCAAGAGGGGTGGCTTTTGTAAAGTTAACAAGGTATTTGATGGAAAAGGTCATAACGACACTTTGTTGAAGTTCAATCACGGTGGCATCTTCTTCGTTATCGACAGCACTATTGGCCTTTAATGTAACAGCACCTTTACCGATTTCACCATCAGCAGAAAATCGAATACCATCCTTTGAACATTCAATTGTAACTGTATCAAAAAATCCATTTTTTTTAGTAAAGTGGCCAAGAAAAACATGCCAACATCAGTCCTATAAAAAAACCTACCTGTTTCACTAAGACTAGCCAAATCACGACAGATCTCTTGGAAACGTGCAGAAGACATGCTGACAACTGCATCATATGTTGTTTCAGGAATACCCAAATGCTCGCTATCAATATCCATCAATTTGAGATCGTATTCACTGATCTTTTCACTATCTGCAATGCAATTGGAATAGAAAGACACATGAGACCGCGTTCGTCGACCAGCGATAATAGGCTCTGTCATCCATTTGTTTTACCTTTGCTTTCAAAAACCAAACTTAAAACATCACCACCATCATCTGCTTTAAGAGTCAATATATCTTCATTTCTGGCGCACTTTAAGATTTTGCCCAGGTTGGTCAAGTTGATACCCAAAGGTAAGTTACGATCGCAACGGTAAGGGTCGAAACCGTCAGAACGTAACAACATAGACACTAAGGCGACATGAGAGTTATCCATAGCTTGAAGAGCAATACCGGTATCGTTACAGTCAAAGTTACATTCAGTAACGAGTTCTCTCACAGCGTCGAGAAGAGACTTGAGAAGTCTGGCTTGTTGGAGACGTGCTTCAAGCATGATGATGATTAAAATTGATCTTTACAAAACACAAAATTAAAAAAATCAAGAAATTTAGGCCTTCCATTGACTCATGGTGAGTTTTTCTAGATGGGGTCATTAACTTACTGTGATGAGTTGAAGAAGAAGTGTAAAGGGGGGGAAGAAAAAAAAAAAGGTCAACTTTTTTTTAAAATTTTTAAACCGAAACGCGTGTGTTTTTGTTTTCGTTTTCCGGTCGCCGGGGAACATGACGCGTCAATGGTTGGTCAAATCTGCCTTAGAACCTTGATCTCCCCTGCCCTGCCTCACAGAAAGGATACAATTTGGATACTGTCGTCTCATCAAAACTTCTCCTTGCTCATGTTCATAAATGGTAATCGTTTATGTACGGGATGATCCATAGTCACGACATTCTTTTTTGCGTCGTTGGCTTGGGCTTTTTTCCCTACTTTTATACCAAGTATTCCTTTGAGGCCCGTGAAGCATGACTGTCTGAGCAATCGTCATGCGGGTAAAAAGACCCATGGAAATACATGCGAATCACGGGTTCGTTCAGCTAGATCTACTTTGAAGCATGTCAGTAACAGATTTGATCTTCCCCTATTTTTCTCGCTTAAGGAACAGCCAATTTCTAAGCGGAGCTCTTTTAAGGCAATTGCATCATTTAAAGTAAAAGAGAGTTTCTAGCTGTAAACAAAAACAAAAAACTCCTTCAACAAAGTGATTTGGCTGTAATATAAATGATGCAGGATGGAAATCAATTCGAGGTTGGCCCATCTGATTTAAAAGGATATCTTTAGCTTATCAGTCAACAGCGCTCTGTTGCAAAAACCCAAGAAAAAAAAAAAAAAAAAAAAAAAAGTCAAAAAATCATTGTATTCGGTCTGCATGAAAATCGCACTTTCAAAATTAGTTTTTCCTTCTTTTTTTATATAATCATATTCGTTTTCTTCTGTTCTTCCCTTTTCACAAATCAACTTTTTCTCTTTCCCCCCGTTTTCGCTCTGTTTATTTGTTATGCAAGAACCTCATCATGACGAGATCCTCAGTCCAGACTTTAGCAATCCTTTAGAATACTTTAGCAGGAATAACTTTGATAACCAATCCACTCCACCTTTAGATACAGATGATCCTTGGAAAGCACCTACTTACGATGATAGAAGACCACCCGAGCACCCCTATACAGACAGTAGCACGAGTAGTCATGGAACAACGCTTGATAATGAAAGCCAACAGGATGGGATACACAACGTTCTTCGTGCTGATAAGAGTAGACACTACGATCCGCTTCACCGTTCTCAGTTGACGGCAAGTAATGTACTATGTAGGTAGATAGAGGATGAACTTGATGTCACTCTTTTATCACTCTCTTCTGCATCCTCATCTCTTTCTTGACTTTTTCCTATTAGCGGGCGTGGAAGTTCCTGAACAGTACACTACTCTTTTTGATGCATTCAGTACAACGCAGAGACGACTCATAGACACGTCCATATTAGAATCTATACTAGGACATGCCAATTTACGCAATGATATTCAACAAGAGGTGAGAAACGGATAACCATAGGGTTAGAGTGATGAACATAAGTAGACTCATTTCGAAAATGAAAAAGATTATGAATTTAGTGGTTACTCCTGACAAGAGTCACCATTTTGTCACACAAAGCGAATTCAATACTTATCAAGCCTTGGTGGGTTGTGCACAAAAGAATATGGACGTCAGCTTAGAAACAGTCTATCAGAACAGACATGGTAATGCTAACCTGTAATGTCGATCTTCCAATGGGTGGTTGCTTTCTTACTTTTATCTCCCCCCCCCCGCCCTATGATGGGTTCTATGTTTTTTAGATTTGCCTATACCTGTACTCGCAACGGATATCGACGGTACGCCTTTCGATCGAATGAGATACGATCACAAAGAACAACACCCGTTCAAAACGTCCTTTGCGTATGATAAGAAAAGCCAGTCAGAGACAGTATCAAGAAGCACCACATCGCAGGCAACCACAGATTGGACAGAAAACGATGTGGCGTGCGTCGAAGCAGAGGAGCAGCAGCAAGATGTAAGAAGGATGGAATACCATCAAGAGCAAGCAGCCATGAATACTTGGCTTCGACATAGGGATCATATCACATTGTCTCGTACACCTGCAAAGGAAGGTTTTCTTTTAAAGCATGTCAACTATGAAGTAGAGAGTGCCAAGTTGGGGACAAAAGTACTACGGCGATATAGCGACTATTGGTGGCTTTGGGAAACCTTATTGAAAAGATACCCCTTTCGTACGATTCCCAATGTACCACCCAAGCGAGTAGGAGGAAGTAAATGCGGTTAACCACAAGCAAACGTGCAGTATTTTCATCATTGACCCCCCCCCCCAAACTACTTTTTTAGGGAACAATGCGTTTGAAGAGGAAAGAAGGAAAGGTCTAGAAAGATTCATCAATGCCGTAACAAGCCATCCTGTGCTAGGTCGTGATGAAATCGTCAAAGCATTTTTAACGCATCCCTCCGTAGGTTTAGCATTTATCTGGCAATGGATAAGACCTCTTCCAACTTATATCGCATGTCTGTCTCTCGTTGTTTAGGAAATGAGTCATTGGAGAAAATACAACTCACCTTCACTGGATGAAGAGTTTGTCAGAATACCCCATGGCATTGCTCGTTACGAGCGGTTAATACCCGTGGACATCGTGGATAGAATCAACCAAGCTAAAAAAAGGCTGCCCGTATCAGTTCAACAATACGCTCAATTATGCTCTACAATGGAACACATCATCAAGTCCAAGAAGGCTTTGGGCTCAGGTTTCACGCTATTTAGTCATTCGTTCAAGTAAGGCTTCCCATGAGCACAAAGACCTATTCGCAAAAAAAATACTCACTGTACCCCTTCATAGCTCTCTTCGTGAGTTGGAAAAAAAATGTTGGCTCGATGATTGTGAGGCATGTCCTCAACTGATCAAAGGTTACGATAGCCTGGCGAAATCGATGCAGCAGGCTGGATCGATGCTCATCAAACAGGTAAGGAGAGAATGGCCTTCATCTTTTTGTTCTTCTTTCACGTATCCATAGCATCTCTTCAGATACTAACAGCAAAAATGCAAAGGCAGTCGTTTCGAGCGAAACAATACTTGAAAGCTTAAGAAAGCAACGAGATGCTTTAGAGTCTTTTAAGGTACGAGCCATTTTCGTGGGTTCTATAAAGCAGCAGCAGCAGCAGTGGATTGACCATTTTTTTCTTGCATCATAGGAACTGCTTGAACGCTCGGACAAGTTGAACCTTTCAGTCACGGAGACTCTTTTGTCCAGCCAAATGGCCAAACATAAGAAGGGAGAGCTTCAACCCTGCATCGCGCATGATGAACCGCATCATCCTACAGGCACCTCACCCCATCCAGCCGCACGCCATGCCATCGCAGCGTCGGTGACAGGAGGAGTGACTCTTGTGAAACAACGAAGCATCTTTGTTAATTATTGTCTCGTGTCCGAACTCTCCTATATTCATAAACAGCAAGCCAACGTCTCTGCGATATATAATCATTTTGTCAAAAACGAGATCAAGCATGCTAAACAGTGGAGTGAGCATTGGAAAAGTTTGGAACCTTACATTACGGAAATGCCAAACGCGCCTCAAGATTTTTTATAAAGAAAACACGACAGCACCTTAGGATACCTTCTCAATACCAATACTTGATAACAATGCAAATGGGGGAGGGGGATAAAGCACCCACCGTCCATCACAAAATAGAGTAATATTAACTAGTTTTTTTTTTATTCAGGTTATAGAGACATTACCTGTCTATATTTGATTCTTCGCTCTTTTGACACACACACACACACACACACACACACGCATACATAACACCACCACCTTTTCATTAGATGAATAAAAAGATCATGTCATCATCATCATTATTTTTCTTTTTCTTGACAATTAAAAAATTGGAATACACAAAAGGTTATATATATATATAAAAAAAGGCTTTATAAATTAGTAGAATTGCTTGGTGTGGTTTTCACAAACTTCACGGAGCTTAGCTTCAAGGTCTTTGGAAAGGACACCTTGAGCACGGATTTCTTCAAGAACGTCCTTGTGTTGAGTGGCAACGTGGCTAATAAAGTCCTTTTCCCATTCAGTAACCTTGTTGACAGGGATCTTATCGAGGTAACCATTGACACCAGCAAAGATGATAGGAACTTGAGCTTGAATAGAAAGAGGAGAGTATTGAGGTTGCTTCAATAATTCAGTGAGACGAGCACCACGGTTCAACAAGAATTGAGTAGAGGCATCCAAATCAGAACCGAATTGGGCAAAGGCGGCAACTTCACGGTATTGAGCCAAGAAAAGCTTCATAGAACCAGCAACTTGCTTCATGGCCTTGGTTTGAGCAGCAGAACCGACACGAGAGACGGAAAGACCGACGTTAATGGCAGGACGGATACCCTTGAAGAAGAGTTCGGCTTCCAAGAAAATTTGACCATCGGTAATGGAAATGACGTTAGTGGGAATATAAGCAGAGACATCACCACCTTGGGTTTCGATAATGGGAAGAGCAGTCATGGAACCATAACCAAAGTTCTTGTTCATTTTAGCAGCACGTTCTAAGAGACGAGAGTGGAGGTAAAAGACATCACCAGGATAGGCTTCACGACCAGGAGGACGACGAAGCAAGAGAGACATTTGACGGTAAGCAACAGCTTGCTTGGACAAATCGTCATAGATGATCAAGGAGTGACGACCATTGTCACGGAACCATTCACCAATGGCAGCACCTGAGAAAGGAGCGAGGTATTGAAGAGGAGCGGCTTCAGAGGCAGTAGCAGCAACAACAATGGAGTACTTCATGGCATCTATCATTATCGTGAACAGTAGTATATACTATATGAATAATCCAAGTGTCTTTTTGTACATCCGTTTTGCAATCCATAGCTTTCATGAACCGCAGTGGAAAGACAAACTTTTTTTTTTTTTTTTTTCTTCTTTTCTTTCTTTTGTCTCTCACTCCCTCTCATCGCCCTGTTGCCCCCCTCAGTCTTTATCTTTTCAATCGAAAAAAAAACCGACAAAACTTACCATTTTCTTCCAAGGTTCTGACAAGTTGAGCAACAGTAGAACGCTTTTGACCGACGGCAACGTAGATACAGTATAACTTCTTGGATTCATCGCTACCGTTGTTCCAGTTCTTTTGATTCAAAATGGTATCGAGGGCAACAGCAGTCTTACCAGTTTGACGATCACCAATAATCAATTCACGTTGACCACGACCGATAGGGACCATGGAATCAACAGACTTGATACCAGTTTGCATAGGCTCATTGACAGAGTGACGAGGCAAAATACCAGGAGCCTTGACTTGGACACGAGAACGACCTTCAGTTTGAAGAGGACCCTTACCATCAATGGGGTTACCAAGGGCATCGACGACACGGCCTAAAATACCGGGACCGACAGGAACGTCGACAATGGCTCCGGTACGCTTGACGGTATCACCTTCTTTGATCAAACGATCGTTACCGAAAACGACAATACCGACGTTATCGGGTTCCAAGTTAAGGGCCATACCCTATATTCAATCATTCGAAAAAAAAAGTTGTTTTTACAATGGGTGGGTTAATACGGGCCTTCGCCTAACTATCCAACTTGCTACTTTTTGTTTGGTCTTGTTTCATATCCCCCACAAAAATAAAAAGTTAGAAAGTTAGTTACCTTAAGACCGCTAGAGAATTCAACCATTTCTTCAGCTTGACAGTTCTTTAAACCATAGACACGGGCGATACCATCACCAATGGACAAGACACGACCCGTTTCTTGAAGATCAACTTCGGAGTTGGCACCCAAGATACGTTGTTCGAGGATGGAAGAAACTTCAGAAGTAGAGGGCTTAGCAGAAGCGTAAGTGCGAGCAGCGGTAGCAATAGCACCGAGATTGAGACGGGCCTAATGGGGAAAGTGACATTCATTCTCATTAGTCACTGTTCTAAAATTGATTATACCACTTCTTTCACAACAATCCATGTCTGCGCAAATCGAAGGGGAGGGGGAGGAATAGGTGGTTGATTTTCAACTCTATTTCCATGTCGTGTTCGCTGCGAGTTATCTGCATCATTATGTTTTTTGTTTCAAAGTTTGCTTTTGCATTGTTGTATCTAGTCATAGTCGTTTGCAGTCAGTGACCCATCCAAGTAGATGTGTCTCTGTTGTATGCATTGAATCTCCCCACTTTCCCAGATTGCGTTCCAAACAGTTTGCGTGATTTGAAGTTATAAACAACTTTTGTTGAAAAATAGGCTTACAGCAGGAGCTAAGCTGCGGACAGCTAAAGGACGAGCAATACGAGCAACGTTTCTAAGCATTTGAAATGTTGTGTTTTTAGAACAAGTAAAAAATAAAAAAAAAGAAAGAGACAACTGCTATTACACGCCTTAAATTTTATTTAACTTTTTTTAGTTTCCCCAGAATTTTTAGGGGTAGCTTTGAAATTCGAAGGGGAGGGGTGGGGCTTCAAAATAAAAAACGCAAAAAGTGATTCGGCAAGCAAACAGAATCTCAGTTTCCTTGAGTTGCCTACGTCATGATTTATGTTGCTGATCGTAGAAAAAACACTCCCAATTCAGAAACTAGTCAAAGCACATTATTGTTAAGCGATTTACTTTTATTCTATTACAGTCAGTTGATCAGTGGCATGAATATAGCCTTGGGCTTGTATGCCTATTCAACAATGTTCAGTTGTTCAACCCGGGAAAAACAAGAATACACCAAGAGAAGTAACTTCATTCGACAGTGGGTCTCTGAAGCCCTTCAGATAGCTTCACTATTTGACATTCATCTATTTGAGGTAGAGCAGCGTTTCTCTACAGTCTTCCTTAGAGAGGTTTTCGCAAGATGTACAACTTCCATTCTTCAAGTGGTGGTTGCTGTCGGGATTTCAAATCATATGCGGATAGGAAGTTGAAAACCTTCTTCCCTTTATTTCAGCACACAATTTATTTATTGCACTGGCAACTGTTCTCTTGCAGCTAGTGTACAAGAAAAAAAAAATGAATGGTTCAACTACACTTGTCGTAGACAACGGTACAGGTGTAAGTAGCTGTTGCATTTTTCTTAGAGATAGGAACGATAGACTGGGGGGGGGGTTTTTTTGTTTTCTGCAGCGATAAAAACTGCTTATGCTCCTCAACGCGCGCTTAACACCTTCCTTATCTTTTGCACCATTCAAAACGGTCATCTAGTTTGTCAAATGTGGTTATGCAGGTTCCAATTTCCCCGAACATGTGTTTCCCAGCGTAGTGGGTCGACCTATTCTGCGTGCAGAAGAGAAAGTAGGTGACCTTCAAGTAAAAGATATCATGATTGGTGAGGAAGCTGCACAACTTCGAAACATTCTTCAAATGTCATATCCAATGGAAAACGGCATCATCCGCAACTGGGAGGACATGCGTCATTTATGGAATTATACATTTGATGAAAAGCTCAAGATTAACCCAAGAGATTCCAAAATTTTGTTGACCGAAGCACCCATGAACCCCAAAAAGAATCGTGAAAAGATGGCAGAGATTATGTTTGAAGAATATGGGTTTCAGGGCATTTATGTAGCTATTCAAGCTGTATTGACACTTTTCGCTCAAGGTATTGACAAACCAGAATGTGATAACAGAGAAGAAAGAGAGAGGGAGAGAGAGAGAGATAAATGTGATAGCGACGATAGGTTGAATTAGCAAAAAGAGACACAGACGCTCATTCATGTTGTTATGATTAGGTCTTATGTCGGGTGTTGTAGTTGATTCTGGTGATGGTGTTACACATATTGTAAGTCTTTGAGGAGTACTATGGCTTTAATGCGCAATGTGAGTACTGACAGAGATTCATAAACATCAGGTTCCTGTCTACCAAGGTTATGCACCAGCCAACTTGACACGTCGTTTAGATGTCGCGGGTCGTCATGTTACAAGGTATTTGATTAAATTACTACTACTCCGTGGTTATGCATTCAACCGTACTGCAGATTTCGAAACCGTCCGTCAGATCAAAGAAAAGTTCTGTTATGTTAGGTAAACATTTTACAGCTTTTCAGCGATAAAAAATGTATATGGATAATTGAAAGCAAAACCCATTTTTTTTTTTCCTTTTTTTTTTTTTTTAGTTATGACCTTGAATTAGATCAAAAGTTGGGTAATGAAACGACAACACTTGTGGAAAGCTATGAACTCCCTGATGGACGTGTCATCAAAGTTGGATCTGAGCGTTTTGAAGCTCCCGAATGTTTGTTCCAACCCAATCTGATTGATGTAGAAGCACCAGGCATGGCTGGTAAGCATAACATTAGAGAAAAGAATAGAAAGGAAACACAATTCCGTTTGCTCACTTTCTTGACTTTTTTACAGAAATGCTTTTCAACACCATTCAAGCTGCTGACATTGATATCCGTGCTGATTTATACAAACATATTGTTCTTTCTGGTGGCTCAACCATGTATCCTGGTTTACCTAGCCGTTTAGAAAAGGAAATGAAACAACTGTATCTTACAAATGTATTAAATGGTGATGCCAGTAGATTAAATGTAAGCTACATTCTAAAGTCCTTTGTACGATTCAAACATTTATTTGTAGTTAAAGTGTGCTTATTCCATTTGATTTCTCTCACTCTACAGAAATTCAAAATTCGTATTGAAGACCCTCCTAGACGTAAGCACATGGTGTATCTCGGTGGTGCTGTACTTGCTGACATTATGAAAGACAAAGACAGTTGGTGGGTTACCAAACAAGAATGGGAGGAAATGGGTCCTCGTTCATTAGAAAAGATGGGTGTATTAGGCTCGACTGCATAAATAATGCAAATATATCAAACATAAAAAGAGTATTCTGTATATCAATTCCTACTAATAAAAACGACACGTCAGAACGAAGGCCTACCGTTCGACTTTTGCAACAAAATAAGTGGGGGATAGCATCCCCTTGTCTGTTAAGGAGCGAATCAAGGGCCTGTCACATGTTTACTGATTATCCTCACATTTGCACATTGGAAAGGAAAAAAAAAAAAAAAAAAAAAAAAAATAAATAAGGGGAAGGGATCAGGATAGGATACGGACGCGCCTTCACTATCCACTCTAACGACCGATCTGAGGTTTGCTTGGGTACAGACATGATAGAAACTGCTTCCATAGCCGTGTACTGGAAAAAAAGATGACTTGAGGTGTAGACAGAGAAGCCCTCCTACGATAAACTCTCCCCCCTCCCATGCTAAACGCACTATTTCCTACGTTGACCCATGAAGAGATCAGAGTTCTTCAGCACAGCATTGATAATCGATGGAAAAATGACTGACTGGCTCACGCTGTCTAACTTTATTTTTTATTTTTTGTGGCACGCGTATTTGCTTATGCAGAATAACCGGAAAATACTCGACGGGGGAAAAATCAATGTTACCCGAAATATTATCCAAACAGTAGCTTTATCATGTAAAATGACCTGACAATACACCTTACGAATCAAAGTGTAGCATTTTGAAAAAAAAATGTTGGGCAATCCTCACTGTCACTAGTACCGTTCTCAATGCACTACAGAAGGGATGTCGCCTGAGCAACCCGTGCATGAGTTACAAAATTAAGACGGGGCATAACGCTCGACTCACAAAAGCATCACCGCAAAAAAGAACAGCCATAATTTTCATGCAAAAAGTTCTGGTGAGGGCCATACAATTCAATGTACTCAAGCAATAATGAAAGGACATCCCGTGGAATGTTCAGGAAGAAATGTTTAGCAGCGAACGTGATTTTTTAAAAGCGAGTCAGCCAATTTCATTGGTTCATAATGCTTTAGCACCCCTCTTTTTCAAGCGTTTAATGCGAAAAGAAAGTTTCAAGCTAAATGATATGTTTGTTCAGTGATATGATTGGTTTAATTTTGACTCAAATCGTCTAAACGAAAATGAGAAGAAAACAAAAAAAACTTCCCTTTTTCCTTTACTCTTTTCTTTCTTTTTTAAATTAACTTTTTCTAAAGACTAAACTTTACTATTACTGCGCTTTCCATTATTCAAATTTTCAACATATTATCCATGACAAGTACTGTTGCTCCCAGAGTAAGTTCGGATTTGAAAGCAGAGATAGGGTATACAGCAGTAACACAAACTTATCTTGGGTTTTTTTTATCTCTTTTGGTAATGATCAGTCTCTCCGTCGAGTCAGCTTCGATTTGAGTCATAATGTCGTGTATGAGTTACCCACGCTAGAACAATGTCGAGAACAAGCAAAACGTAGAAGCAGAGAAGAATGGTTACGGAAAACATTGAACGAAGACATGCTCAGCGATGATATTGTTGCTGAAATTCAAGAAGAATTCCGTTCCGAGGATGAGTCAGAACAGCCGACTACGCATTCTTTAGCGCCTATTAAAAGCTGTCTGAAAAAGCAGCCCACCACGCTTGCAATGCCTGAAGCAGTTATCGATAAAAAGAAGAAACCTCATCATCATGGAAAAAAGAATCAAAAAAAGAGAAAGAGAGGCCAGCATCATCAAGCCAAGTCTTCTGTGCAGCAATCACAAGTCAATCGTAAGTCATCACTCTATGGGTAACTCTTGTTTTTACGATTGTGATAGTTGGATGCTAAATGCTTTGTCTCCATTTTTCATTAGTTCACAGCATGCCTATCATCTCTGTTCATTGAATAGACTACGACGACACTTCCTCCTTCATCAACGTGCTGACTGTTGAACCTATCTCTTTTAGAAGGAATAAGCATCAACACTCTAGAACGTTGGTTTATGTTCTTGGTCATAAGATAATCATCCTTTTATCTTTGGCCTTGACGCTTGTGTATATAGAATCCTGTCGAAGGAAGAAGAGACGTAAAAAAAAGAGAAAAAGGACTATACCAATTTTTCAAATGATATCTCCCATCCTAATCGTTATCCCTCCGCTTTTCGTATATCATATACGCACGACGCATTTTTAGCCGTTTTTTTATTTTATTTTATTTTTGCACTGTTAGCAGTTTTCTTTCCTATTTAGTTTACTATAAAATAAACATATAGTTACAATCTCAAGGAAAGGCTAGATGACCTCTTTTTTTTTTTTTTGTTTTTGTAAACAAATAAACGACACGAAAAAAAGGGTTGTTTTTTCCACTTGTCAAAAATCCTGCTGAGATCAATTTTAGAAAACCCGATCACCAGGATCAATCATGCCATTTTTGTATATAGAGTCTTCCCTACCCCTCCACTCCCCCCTCTCGCTCAATACTAAGCAACACGTTTATTTTTTTCGTCCAATAAGCAATGCTGTCCGCCTTGAAATGCATCCCTTTGAAGCGTTCGCTTTCGACAGCTGTATTACCGTATGAAAAAATTCATGTACCTGTTCTATTGCAAGAGGTTCTGAGTGCTTTGTCGCCAAAAGAAGGAGGGATCTACTGCGACATGACGTTTGGCGATGGAGGGTACACCCAATCGCTGTTAGGTAAGTAGAATTCACAATAAAAGAGAGTAGTATCCAAGGTAATCCATGGGACGAAGAATAACCTTGTAGGATTCCATTGCGCTCAGATGCGTGTCACTGTAAAGTAGTTGCAATAGACCAAGACCCCGTTGCTTACACAAAAGCTCTAAAGCTGGCAGAGATGGAGCCTTACAAAAACAGGTTATTTCCTATCCTGGGGAAGTTTAGCACAGTAAAGCAGGAGATGCAAAGCAAGTTTCCAGACTGGCAGTAAGCAAAACTCCCTACGTACACTATCATGTAAACCATGGGGGAGGGACTCGAATGTAACCTTTGACCTTTTTTGCATCTCCATTTTCTTTAGTATCCCATGCTTCGATGGTATGGTGATGGATATTGGTGTATCCAGTGGACAAATTCAAACGCCAGAAAGAGGGTTTTCATACAAGCTAGACGGGCCCTTGGACATGCGTATGTCGTCTCGTGGAACAGCCTCTCATGACAAGGATGGCATGACGTACGAGAAAGAGAGCGAGCTGTTGAAAAAGTCCATCACCGCGTATGAGATTGTCAACTTTTTCCATCAAGATCACATTGCTGATATCATATACCAATATGGGCAAGACCGTCTGTCACGGCGAATTGCTGCTGCCATAGTGGAAGCCAGGCAAAAGGCGCCTATCGAAACAACAAGGCAGTTAGCGACCCTTATTCATAAGGCATGTCCACAGCCTGGCTGGCTTCGAGGCGAAGATGACGTGGTGCGTAATTCAGCAGCTCGTACTTTCCAAGCATTCAGGATTTTCATCAATAACGAGCTAGATGAGCTCAAGAAGGGCTTGAGCGCCAGTGAACATCTGCTCCAACCGGGCGGTCGACTGGCCGTCGTCACGTTCCATTCGCTTGAAGATGGCATAGCAAAGGGTTTCTTGAATCATTGTGCAGGCAAACGCGATATAGCTACAGCAGGTCAAAATCAATTCAAGCTGGGAAGAGCAGCCTACAAGAAATATGTAAAGGCCAGACAATGGGATATCAACGCCAGTCCACGGCAACCTGAGGCAAGCAAAACCATCGAGGTGCCGCCTTCTTTCACCCTCTGTAACAAACATGTCATACGTGCATCCGATGATGAGGCTTGCAAAAATGTCAGAAGTAGGTCGGCAAAACTAAGAGTGGCTGAACGTACCATTTTTGAACCCTTGGACCCTTTTGGTTATTCGATCTAGAGTTCTGTATAAACACACACATCTCGTATTTGACATTCACTCACTTTATATACCCTTTTCCTCTGTAAAAAAAAAACAAAAACCCATAAACTATGCTGTATGTATGATAACTAAAACAATGGTCATCCATCTCTCCCTCTCTTTCTCTTTACTGCCCCGCGCAAAAGTGAAGAGCAAAACTGCCCTTTATGTCAAATAAAATCTGTGACCATCCTGTCAAAAAAAATTTTATGGTATTTCAGTCCCGCGCGCCGCGAAAATATAAAAAAAGAAAAATTTTTTTAAAAAAGAGGCTATCGGATTCCCTTTTTCTTTCTTTCCACACTCATGGAAGGCAATCGTGTAGACCCAATTGGTAAGTTTTCAAGTAGAATGTCAATCCAATGTAAAGTCATAAGACCTTTGAAAGGTCACTGCCCATGATGATAATATAGTTCATGCACCACGCAGAATCTTTATTTGATGATATATACTCACCAATCCTGAGGCTGATCTTTTAAAAGTTCTTATTCTTTACTGATCCTGTCATTATACAAGGCATTTTATTAACCCTTTTTTCTTTTTGTCGTTGAACATTTAGGTTTTTTCTTATTGCCGCTTGGAATACTATACCTTTTTTCTTTTTACTTTTTTGTTACAATAAACTGTTTTCATTCAATGAGATGTAATTTTGCAATGGGCGTTTGTATTTTCATTGTTTGATGTCTTTGGTTTTTTGGGGGGGTTTTTTTTTGTTCACACTGTCTAAAAAGCTTGATCAGGCCTCGTGCATTTAAGAATAACCGTCCCATAACCTGTGTGGTCTGGAGGGGGTGAGGCGGAGGCGGGTGCAGAGACTGCACAGAAACTTTAATTGAATCACCTTTTTTTGGGAATTGAGAAAATGGGTTTCCCAATCGCATTCTTCTTTTTTACATCCTTTTTTTTTTCAACATTGGATGGAGCCAACTTGCCTGTCCTTTATTTGAAGCATAGTTTGAACAATGTCGTATACAACTTCAGATGACGTTTGGTTCAATGGACCTGTGGAGGACGCCATTACTGCAGTATCTCGGAGAAACTGTGTTTTCCTGGTCTACGTCTACGGTAAACAAAAAGAGCAGCATCATAAGAAGGGGAAAAAAGTTGACTGACTAATATTATTCTAGACGATTCCGAAAAGTCAAACACGATGAATACTGTTCTAAAAGAGGAGGAAGTAACTTTCAGTCCTTCACAAAGAAGAGCAATGCAAATAGGAGATTCTATGAACCTAATACAGGTTGCTGTTTTTTAATTGTAGGTGAGGAAAACGATACGAGAGCAAACAATTGCTATTGCGTTTGAAAGGGACTCCCAGAACGCTCAATTGTTTGGACAGTTTTGTAAGTGTCAGAGAGCCATACAATGGAACAGAGTTAAGAAAAAGAAAGGGCTAATGCTGCGTTCCATCAAGATCCTGTGCAAACAGTACCTATCCTCTATTTCATACAACAAGGCACCATTAAAGATTACGCTATCGAAACAATAAGCAGCTTTGAATTCATTGAAAAGATAAATGCACTTGAACAGAAGATACCTACGTTGACATCCTCACCAGTATCTCAGCAGCAAGAAACACCAGCGTCGAACGCTGTACCAGGACGTGAACAGCAGCAAGAATTAGCTCACGGTCTGAAGGAGGAAGCAAGCACACAACCAGCGGCTGAGTTTACAAAAGATACCAATCGACATGATAACCCGTCCGTTTCTACAACGACGGCAGCCATGTATGCAAACACAGCATCAGAATGGCAACAGGACAGGAACGCTGATGAAATAAAAGCAAAAAAAGAAAAGTGAGTCCTACGCAGCGGACGACGGTCTGAGAAAGATCTAAAAGGACTCCATTCTAACTCACTTTTTCAGATTACAGAAACAATTGGAAAAGGCACGGAAAGAACGCGCAGAACGCGATGAAAAGGAATTAAAAGACAGGGAGATAAGACGACGGCAGGAGGCTAAAATGATGCAGGAAGCCAGACAAAATCAAATGGACAGAGATCATCAAATGTATTTTGCAAAGTTGAAGAAGGAGCGAAAGGAGGAAGAGGCGCATAAAAGAAGAGTACGAGAACAAATAGCACGAGATAGAGCTGAAAAGATGGAAAAAAGAAATGCAGAGAAACAGCTACACTCTGCCTCCACTTCTGCCACTTCGTTGACAAACTCTACTGTTGACAGTAATAGCAGTAGTAGCTCCTGTTTCAAAGCGGCCACTACACATCCTCATGCTTATAGTAACTTGAATATCCGTCAGTTAGATGGCTCAAATATCCGTCACAAATTTGAAGGTATAGTGTTTGATCCATTCTCCCGTAGGAGCATATAAAATAAAGTTGCTGCATCATTCATAGCATACACTTTTTTAGCGAATGCAACATTGGCAACTGTCAGGCAGTGGATACAACAGGTAAATGAACAAAGAAAAAACCCACCCCCCCCACCGTATCATTCGCCATCCTGAAGCTAAAAGAGTCATTCCTCTCGCTGGCTTGATGAATTAGAATCGTACTGACAATCATCAAGCACCCTATAAACTATCTTGTCAGTTTCCAACTCGACTGTTCACAGATCAAGAGGACAGCTCTACCTTACAAGATTTGGGACTTTGCCCTAGTGCGACTATTATCATGAGGCCAACGAAAAGGGCCTCTTCAACTTTATCTCCCAGAAACAACTCACACACTGGCGTCGTAGGCTTATTCCATTCTGCCTATGACTCGGTTTATAACCTTCTGATGACTCTATTTCATATGCTGACAGGCCTATTAGCAACATTATTCCCCACCAACACTATGGCACCTATGAATTTACCACCTTCCCAAGGACAACCCATCAGTGACAACAACCTCCATCATCGACATTTACGAGGTGGCCAAAGACTTGGAGATGGCCAAGTCGTAGGCGAAACCACATCTCGTCAAGAACAATTGGCACAACGGTAAAAAACAATGAGTATACACAAGTCCACAGTAATTGAAACAGGAAACTCAAAAGTAAATATGGTTTCTGTTTTTGTTTTTGTTTTTCCATTATAGCCGGAACCCATATGCTACGCGTATTCAAACTTTGCATGATGATCATCATGAGGACGGTGAAGAGGATAAGAGGCGACCTACATACAATGGAAACTCTGTTAACCACGAGTAAAGGGTATGATGAACACTTTTGCTTTTTTTTTTTTTATTGAAACCTTCATACCATACTGTAAATGTAAAAATAAAACAAAGAAATCATGGCTTAGTTGGTAAAAGCAGTTGGCTGGGTAAGGAGTTGTTGGACTTTTACCATCAATGTAAAAGGCAGTTACAATACAATATTTCACTTTCACCTTACGAGTTCATGGAATGCTTGATCTAAGCATCGGTCCAAGTGCTATTCACTTGCTGATAATGTCATTTTTTCCTTTAAACTATTGTAAATGTCAAGGTAAACACGTTCCTTCATAGTGCGATAGAGATTGATTTAAGCGTATGCCTTTTGCCCTGTACAGACTTTTCTTTTCTAATCACTCTATAACTAACTCTCTCATCTGTTCCGCTTCTTTCTTTGCCAAAACTTTGCGTATACATAACTATTAGAGTTTATTAAGTAGAAATTACAAAATGAAAAAGAAATATACAGAAAAGAAATAAGGAGAGTAGGAGAAGAATGCTATAGAGTTAGCCGAGAAGCAGTAATAATAAAAAAAAAAGAAAATATTTTTACAAATACTGTATGCTAAAGAGATGTTGTAGATGCTGAGATGTACTTTTAGTTGATTTTCTTGCTCTTCTTGCTTACAGTTTCCTGTCTCTTGCTCATGGCTTCTTCTGCTTTATTGATAGCTTGTTGGAGAGCAGCTGCCTCAGCACGATTAGAAGATGTCAGATTTTGAATATGATTTTCTCTCCAGTAGGCGTAGAAAGAAACAGCAGCAGCGGGGCCGACAAAAGGCGTTCCCAAAGCCACTGCCAAACCGATCAACATGCCGCTGTTGAAGGTAGCCCATAAAATAAATCCAACTGCCAAAACGATATATTCAATCAACAAAGTACGTGTAGTGAGAAGCTGTCCCAATTCACCGTAGGTCAAGTCAGCAGGAAGGGTACCAGGAGCTTTGAGCAATAAAACAATCGCGTCCCAAAGATAGATACCCTGTTGAGTAATCCACCAACAAGAACCGAAATAGAGAAACATATTGATGATGCCCAGTGTGATGTAGGATCTTTCCACAGCGTCCTTGCCCTCAGCAATATACAAACGCTCTTTCACTTCACGATTCTTGATGCGATCGACATAAGAGCCACCCCTTTTATACAATGTTTGACATACGCTGACCAGAGGGACCAGTAACAGAGGCAAAACAAACCAGAGACAGATAAAGTTCTGTTCAGCTTTGGTGTCCTCCCCGATCAAAGGAGACGTCATGATAGCGCTAGGGACCATGTATCCCAAAAGAAGAGCGATCAAGATACCATAGGCTTCATAAGCTTTGATTTGGTAGTCAATCTTGGTCTTACCGTGTTGATAATAAAGATCCAAAGGAACCCAGAAAAGCGTAAATACGGCATAGATACCAAAGACATGCGATAACAGACCAAAGAGAGGGAAAGCCATCAAGAGAGTCTTCCTGAAACCTCTACGCGATGCTTCGAATGTCATGAGAGCGTAAGCAGTACCAAACGCCGCCATCATTAACCTCAGAAGAGGAGCGCCAACAACATCGTGGAGTGGTTGTTTATAAAAGTTGACGAGAAAACACAAGTAGCGGTCCAGCGTATTGGAGAGTCCCGTATAAGCAACTCGAAGATCACCTTCAGTATCTGTATTGGCCGGACTGAAGCACATATTCATTAATTTCGGCGCCCATGGCTCCAAACCTTGTTGTATATTATAGTATGCATAAACTACAACAGCTGCACCAAGTGCAAGAGATAACCAAACTTTCATTGTCGATATTGTTCGTTTTTTTTTTTGTTCGTGTTGTGTTGTAAAAGGGAAAAAGAGAAACGGGGATGGGGGGGAGGAAGGGAAAAAATGATACTTCGTCATAATATGGTTTCATTTCTGGTTCTGTCAAAATTTCTCGCATTAGTAATAAATATGATTGGATGAATACAAAGCTGAGCTATACTCGTTTCAAACTAAGATTAATGCGCTCAATCAATTTCCCAATATATCCGGAAAAGCGGTTGTCTGCACTAGATAAACTTAACTGATTCGGTAGACTTTTCGACGCAATAGCCAATTTTTTGGGCTTTTAACCAAGTGCTCTGAAGTGCCCAAAATGAAAACAATCCTTCACTTGAAATTGGTGTGTAAAAAAGTGGTGATCTTTTTTTGAGTCTTCTTCATCAGATTAGGCACTCATAAAGCGACACGTTGGCGGAGAGCAAAAAAAAAAAAAAAAAAGGTAGAGGACCCTTTCCAGGTGAAGAGACAATAATGTTACAGATAAAAATTTCGCGCCCGTGGAATCAAACGCACTGAACCCACTTTCTTTTCCCACCCGTCATTGGTTTCTTGATTTCCCAGCCGTTTCTGCTACTGCTCGTGTTACCAACCTATTTCCTTCATTCTTCATTTGCCATCGTGGAAGGCTCGTTGGATAGATAGTATGTGTCGTGAAAAAGGCAAACAGAGAAACCATGGGAACCCTATGCTCTGTCTGGTTACGCTTGTGATGGCGTCCTTCACGACGAGATCTATGTTTTATGTTCCTTAAAACTTTTTGAATTTTTTCCCTTTAAAGACGGGAAAAAAAACCCAAGCAAACTTCCCTTTCGGGGAAAATTGAATGGAGCAGGAAAATACATTTACGTAAGAAAAGGCTCAATTGAATGAACGCAACAGAAACAGCATGAAAATGGATGAGACTATAATTTACGACGATTAGGAATATCCTTTTTGTTTCGTTCTTTTTCTTTTTTATTTTTTTTTTTTCATCTCAAAACTAACAGAGACATCATCATCATGCCCGTGAATAAGATTGAAATCGCTCCTGGTATTGAACAATATACTTTGATCAATAAGAGCAAAACCTTGGCTGTCATGGTTTTGACTTATGGTGCTATCGTCTCCCATATTCTTACCCCTGATAAGACCGGTATTATTCGTGATGTTGCACTTGGTTTCGACGATTATGAATCCTACAAGAATCCTGCCAATCCTTATTTTGGTGCTACTGTTGGTAGATATGCGAACCGGTAAAGTAGACACATGTTTCATGTGAGGATAGCTTGTCCATGTCTGTGACGAGAGGCACTTACCTTATTTCCTGTTACAGTATTGGCCAAGGCAAATTCACAGTGGACGGAAAGGAGTATGAGTTAGCTATCAATAACGGCCCTAATGCTCTACACGGTGGCCTCGAAGGCTTTGATAAGAGGATTTGGAAGGCTACCGTTGTCTCGGAGACACCTGCTTCTGTTCGCTTTGAAATTGTCTCACCGGATGGGGATCAAGGTTATCCCGGTACATTGACCGCTTCTATCACCTACACCGTGACAGACAAGGATGAGCTTGTTCTCGAATACCATGCCACCACTGACCAGGATACCGTCGTCAATTTGACCAACCACTCCTACTTTAATTTATCCGGTGTGGAGTTGAACCCTACTATTTTAGACCATCGTGTGACAATGACAGACGAAGTCAAGGCTGTTTTGGAATGTGATGAGAATTGTTTACCTACAGGAAAAGTACTTTCCTTCTCTGAAGCACCGTGGATGGATTTTTCGGTAAATATATATATATATATCATTGCAGGTGGATGAGAGAAGCAGTAGGTTAATTTTTTGTTTTGCCTTGTCAACTGTGGATAGGGTGACAATGCCGGAAAGCCAATCGGTGAACGTCTTGACAAAGTGCAATCCACGCGTGGTTACGATCATCCGTATATGATTCACAGGGACTACAAGACAGATACAGCTGATCTCCCTCTTCGCAAGGCAGTGACAGTTTATTCTCCTGACACAGGCATTGAGTTGGAATTTGCCACGACCGAGCCTACTTTCCAATTCTATACGGGTGGTTGGATTCCATCAGACAAAATGACAGCCAAGAAAGATCAAGGCCAGGGCAAGATTGGTCCTAGCTCTGGATTCTGTCTGGAAGCTTCTCGTAACCCTGATTCACCTAATAAGCCTGACTGGCGTAGTGCTGTCTTGCTTCAAAAGGAGGGTGTTTACTCTGGCAAGACCGTTTACTCTTTCCATGCTCGTGTTGATTAAATTGTCATGAGAATTGCTCACACATGCTCGTTGACCTATTCTTTATTGCTTCCTATATCCCCCCCCTTCTTGAAAACTCATCCTATCTTTTTGTATTTTTATGTATTTTCGTTCAAATAAAGCATATATCGATGATGGTTGGACAGAATGCATATCGTCCACTCCAAACAATAAAGTGCCCACTCAATAACTGATGCAATTATATGAACAAGTAGCAATGTATTGTCAACCCCACCGGGGGAGGGGGAGTCTTTTATGAGAGCAGGGCAATCTCCAGCGGCCGTAGGTCGATGAACAATAGGCCAGGCGGTCAAAACACGAACTCATTAGAATATAAAGAAACGCGAATGGAATGCCTCTTGAACAGTTATAGCGTGCAAGATGTACTTTTTAAATAGCTTTACAGAAACTAAAAGAAACCATACACCTTTGATCTGATGTGGATGCACTTGGGGGACTGTTTCTAAAAAAAAAAAAAAAAAAAAATCATGCAAACTGGATGCTGATTTCATTTCGTCCCCCGGCGAGGATTTTTTTAAATTACAGCACAAAGGCGAGCAGTAAGAGGATGATATCAACTGAAAAAATGTAATTGCTGTTTACAGAGCAGTATTCACATCTTGGCCATCATTTCTTCAACTTCGGATGCGTAATCCCATGAAACCAAAGAATAAAGGAAGACGATTTACAGAATTGACAGAAGACAGAGGGTTTACAAGTGCCCAGTTTGAAACTCCAGAAACTCCTAGTAAAGTCAAGCCATTCGAAACCTCACGCTGAAATGACAAGTTGATGAAACGGAACGATTGAAATTAACTCTCTACTATTAGTTCCTTGGAAAGCCATCGCTTTAGCCATTGGGTTATTTATTGTCGGTGGTATTCTATTAGCGGTTGGCATTTTGATCAAACTTGGTTATCTCGCTTCAGAAGTAATATTTGGATTATATTGTGTAAATGAACAAAGCTCTTTCATGAATGTCTAACCAACTTTTTCCCTCTCCACAAACCACCATAGGATCTTGTAGCAAGAGGAACACCGTTTATTGTTCTTGGTAGTATTATGTTTATACCAGGTCAGTCTATTTCTCGTTGCATGTAAGAATAATGGAGGATGTCCTCGCTGAACCTCTCTCTCTCTCTCGTCATTAGGTGCCTATCACTTGTACATTGCCTATTATGCATATTACAAATATCCAGGTTATGACTTTTCCTTGATCCCTGATTGGGATTGAAGAGGTTTATTTATTGAATCTTTTGCAATTTATTTGTTCAACGAGCCGAATGGAGGCGAGCTTTCTCTTTTAGTTTTTGCTGCTAAGCTTCCAATAAATTATGTAAATAGTGTACTATCATGGGGGATTCGTTCGTTCTGCTGTCTTTAAACTCAAAAGTGGCGATAGACATCTTAAGAAGCAGTGATAGTAAGCTCTGAGAAAATGATGGTACTCCTAAGTGCTTTAATAACAGCAAACGTTCGTCTACTTGGTATTCAGTAAAGACAAACATGGATAGATAAATACGCTTACACCTCCCATTGATAGTTATAACAGTATTTATTTCGATGCTAAAGAGAGGAGATAGGCAGACAAATAGTTTTTTTTCTTTTTTCCCCAAAGCGATGGGTCACACTGATCAAGTGTTATCAGGTATATGGAAAAGACTCCCTTGAGAGCCGATGTAATAAATGATTTACGTGGAATTACAAAAGAACAAAGATGATACAACAAGATTGTCTATATAAATAAGTGAGAGTCAGTAACAAAAAAATCAAAGAGAACAGAAAAAAAAAAAGAGAGGATGTGAGCGATATTCAACGCATAATCTTCTTTTTTAATCAGTTATAAGTGAAAGGATGCTTCTTCAGTTATCCTTGATGTATAAGCAACAAGGAAACACATAAAGTTAATTTTTCGTCATTTAATAAGCAAGTTGGAAAAAAAAAGGGACACTTGAACTAGCGGCTTCTACTTTTGGTTTTCAGATGGTGTAATGGGTGGTGTGATCCATACCTGCTGTTCTGCGGTACCCAAACGAGCAGTAGTAGTAATGGCACTAAGTGAGGTGGTATCTTTCTGTTGTTGAATGCGTGCTTCTTCTTCGTCAGCTAATGGTGGAGATGTAGGTAATAATGCCAATGATTGTTGTAGTGCATTTGTAGTAGTGGTAGGGACTATGTTGCATGTGGTATCTCGTGAGGTAGCATTGTGTAGGAGTAATTCTTGTTGGTGATTGAAATCGTCTACGAGTAATTTAGTGGTAATAGTCTCATTGAGTAACGCGGCGGTAGCAGTAGTGTTGTTATTCTCATTCAGGGAAGCTGCTGTGCTGGCTAAGCTTTCGGCTACTAACTCTTCATTGACGTTGAGAAGAGTTTGAAGATATTCATGGGAAGGACCCACTATGTCGTTTTCCATTCCACCCGAGTTCATGATGGAGGTGGGACCATGCGATGTATCCGTTACTGCTTGTGGAGGAAGGATGGCAGCGGCGGCAGCAGCAGCAGTTGCAGCAGCATTCACAGTAGCAGCGGCGGCAATAGCTGGAATGGCAAGAGCATCAGCCTCAGTGACGGCGGCAGCGGCGGTTGCTGTAGCAATGGCAGTCGCTGCAGCTGTGGTAGCTGTCATAAATGCATTGGCTGCAGTAGTGACCAAGGATTCAGCTGAGCCTGCGCTACTCAATGAGAGGTCACCCATCCAACCGATACCAGCACCACTAAAAAAAAAAAAAAACAGAAAGAAAACAGCCTACAATAAATATTCATTATCCTATCTCGTTCGTGATCATTCGTTTTTCTCTTACCTCTCTTCCCATTCAGCGCCCATCTTTTTCATGACAAGTTCAAGCCTCTCCTTCTGCTTCTCTAATGCCTCCAGACTCTTATCATATTTTGCTAAAGCTTCTTCCATTGGGTTGCTCTTAGAGGGCTTTCTGTTTGTATAGATTAGTATTTATGAATAGATCAAAGAAATCGCAAAAAAGGGTCGGCAATATATTTTCTCTTCTATGGGGATGGAGGGGAGGGGGATAAAAGTTCCTTTTTTATTATATTATTTAAAATAAGAAGATTCTTCTGTGGGCTACACGTGTGTTTGATAGACTATAATGATAACATATAGAAGAAAAAGAAAATGGAAAATGGAAAAAGAGAAGAAAAGAAAAGAAAGGCACCGAAAAGCGTTCTTCGAGCATCACAATTTGTACAAGTGAGTGCCTATCTTTAGAGATGGTTCAAATCGAATGATAGAACACCAATAGTTTACGATGAAAAAAAAAATTTTCTATTTCATTCTCGCCCTTTTGCTTCTATTCTTCTTCAAGGTTCTTTTGCTTCGATCCACCTTCCATTTTGCTTATCTTTGTTGTACATTTGATATTGTCCTCTCTACCTTAAAAGAACCACGTAATGCCAAAGTTGGATAAAGATAACATGGAATAATGTGTGTAGAAAAAAAGGACAGTTGTAGAATTCCGATCTAAGCGGTTCTAGATCACGGGTGGGTCTCCACAAGCCATTTTGACATTGGAAGGGGGAAAGAGGGGGGCGGGAGGGAAACTTGCCTTTTTGAGAATTCTATACCCATTTATTGGTTTTAAAAGTAAGCGAATCACATTTTTCAGTTTGCCGGATCGAAAATTTCTATTCTGTTGAGAACAGGAAACTCTCTTGATTTCACTTGTGTACGCGGTTTAACATTTTGTACATTAGACACAGACACGGAAAAAAGTATTGAAGAACGTTTTTTTATTGAACAAAAGGTTTTATGGTTTTTTATTGACGAAATGAATAAAAAATAAACAATGATAATGAAATGCTTCCTATCTCTGGAAAAAAATAGTTTTATTCATGAGAACGAGTAGTATGAGTGCTTGTAGGGACAGGGGCATTAAGAATGGTTTTAAGGAAATCACATCGGCGTTCAAGCATGCCGAGAAAACCTTGCATTTGATCACGATTCATTTGAAGTAACAAAGAGACAAATCGAGTATCTTCTTCCTCCAAGCCAGCCAATGGAGAAACATTGGGTGACAAAGCAGACGCAGAGTTGCTCATTGCTGCTGCTGCTGCTGCTGCTGCTGCTGTTGTTGTTGTTGTTGTTGTTGTTGTACTACAGGGTACAGGAGAAGTTGCCGCTTCTGGCGCCGCTGTTGCCGATTCAATGACTTGTTGCTGTAGGTGTGGTTGTTCGGAAATCGATTCTTGCGGATGTTCATAGACAACTTCCATCCTATCGCCCGAACCACTCGTATTGGCAGAATGCTGTTGTTCTTCCATCAAAAGAGAGTCTTCCATTGGTTCGTCTTCTGCTGTTACCGTATTCCAATCACGACGGCGTCTTTGAATGGTCGTTTTGCGCATTTCAGCTGGTCGATCACGATGATGAAGTTTGGCATACAGACCGCACGCATTACAGACAGGTTCTCCACGCTCATTTTTACGCCAAAGAGGGGTTTGTGTTTGGTGACAGTTTGCACATTCCTGATTACTACTACTGCTGCTGCTGCTACTGCTACTGTTACTGTTACCACTCTCCGCTTGTCCGGTCGTGTGATCGGTCTTTGTTGAAAGAATTAATACGGGACTGTTGTTGTTGTTGACAGAAGCAGGAGCTGTAACGTTGGTGATACTCATGCCATGGGAAAGTTCTGAGGTAGGTACAGCGGTATCCGCAATGGAGGTCACATTATTCTTGGGTACTGCTGGCTGCTGATGAATAGTAATAGGGAGAACACGTTCGCAAGCATAAGGATGAGAGGCGTTCCTGATCGTATGAGTTTTGTTTCTGATATGAAGAGGACGATGGCAATTGTATTGCTTATAGTAAAGACCACATGCGTTACAAAGTGAATGCTTACGATCAGGTGTTCTACGCCAAAGGGGTGTCTTGGTCACCTTGCAGTTAAAGCATTCTAATTTACGTGCAGGACGCGCAGACTTGTGCGTGTTAATCTTGATAGCCATAGTGCATTGACCCTGATAGTTCTTCTTATTATTATTACTCGTGGTGGTGGTGTTGGTGGTGGTGGTGGTAGTGACTGTGGTGGTACGGGGCTTCGAACTTTGTGGATGCATTTGTGGCTGTTCTGTCTTTGTGCTACATGAATGTTGAGTTGGCATATTCTCCTTGTCATTTTCGGGCATTTGAGTATTCTTCATGTCAGTTGAATGACAGACAGTAGGTAGACTCATCAAAGGCAGGTCAGCCAAATCTTCAGACTTGATGAATTGATCCAAAGCATCGAATTGACAGATAACATCCATACCAGGCATGGTGTTCGTAAGTGTAGGAGAAGCACTCAACAAAAGATCCCCTAAGAATTGATCCTGAAGTAAAGCAGAGGGAGGAGGGCTATCCAACGTTTCCGAAGCAGACGAACCTGGAGAGGAAATGGGTGAATGATAGACAGAATTCAATATCTGGTCAATTGAAGCATCCTTGAAGATATCCGTAAAGAGATTGTTGGTGTCTTCAACGGAAGAGGAGAAAAATTGCTGTTGCTGTGTAGGTGGAGTAAGATTCATTTGCTGTTGGAAGAGCAAGGGGTCTCGTTGCTGTTGCTGTTGCTGTTGCTGTGTTGGGGTAGTATTGTTCATAGTCGTGGCTGTATTCATCCTTGTTGTTGTGGTTGTTGTTGAGATAATGTTGTACGTTTCCAAAATAATGCGTTGTTTGATTAAAGTAATTGTTTCCAGTAATTGTGTCGTTGTTTTCTGTTTCAATCTACGTCGTTACCTACGTGCTTTCCGTTGAACATATAATAATAGGCCATTTTTAACTTATTTAACTTATTTTTTAACTTCTTTTTTGGGAGGTTATTTAACTTCTATTCTTTTTTAGGATAGATAAAAAAAAAGATAAAGGATGTTTAAAAGGTGGAAGTGTACATTGTCTCTATGAATGTACACAAACTTGGGAAAATATTAAAAAAGTAAAGGGTTTCAAAGGGTTTCAAAGGGTTAGGAGTAATATAGCAAAGTAAAGTGCAGTAGGAAAAGTAAATACGTATAGTAACGCTTTGTTTAGAAGAAGTACAACAAGTTAGAAAGAAAAGAAGAAAAGCAGGAAAATTTTTTAAAACGGGGGGCGCTTTTTATTGTTCCCATCTGTCGAAAACCTACATGAATGACTCATGAGATATGATTGGTTGGAGCGGAGCAAAGCAGAGCATTTTAGTTTAGCTTCCTAGATGTGTGCAAGTCCAGCATCGTTTGAATGAAGTATATTGTTTATAAACAAGACAGAAACATAAAACAATAGAGCACCACACTAAGCATTCATGAGAGCAACTTTACTTTTTTCATTATTGAAAAAAATTAAAAAACCAACAATAAACGTTTTTTCAGCTTTAGCAAGAATACAGTAATAGTAGCTGAAATGCAAAAAGATACTAAAGATGCATTTTAAATTCCTTGCTAGCGACGAATTATACAACCCAGGCTATAACGAAGCACATGTTTCACATGGTCTTCTGAATACCTGATTTCCCATTTATGGGTGAGATACGGGTATCATGTTATTGCTGATCCAATAAAATCAAAACAAGCTGTAGTCCATTACAAAGAACAAGTCCGTTCTTTATTGCCCTGTGCCCCACTCATACAGCTTCCCTGGGTTGAAATTGGCAATAAATTGTAGATGATCTCTTATCTTTTTCTATAGCAAGTGTAACAAAAGATGAAATATTTGCGCGGAAAATGAATTGAAGCCGACGATTCGCATTATGATTTCACAAGGATAATTGGCGGGAAGGGGACTTTGGAAAAGCAGAGAAAAACTGGCCTTTTATATATTGTTTGCAGATTTAGAGTTTTGCCCGAAAAAGAAGACCTTCAGATGGTGATAATCTTTGTGGGAACCGTCTCCTCAAGCCTTTATCGAGATGATGATGGTCATTTTAAGTATGTTTTCCAAGATGTTATCACATCATATCACGTTGTTTGGTCTTCATTTGAGAAAGGACTGCAACCTGCAGATCTACTTATCGAGGTGTGCATTTTGGAGGCAGCCCCTTAAGTATTTACGGCTGTAAAAGAACAATAGAATATGGTCCTTCTTTATGTTATCTAGCATTGATGACTTTCATTGAACTGCTTGCGTTTGCTTTTCTTTCTTCTTGTTCTATTCGTTCCATACTATCCATGTCATTTAGTATAGTGCTGGCGCTTCTTGTTTGATTCTACATCTTTATCATCGCGTTCTTTCATAGCAATAAGTGCAAGTTTTCTATGATAAGTACCTACGTACACAAATCGTATTTGTTAATAAGATCTCGTTATATGTATTGAGTCTATTGTCGTTTATGTTCTTGACAGCAACGGCTTCTCACAAAAATGAACCATCTACATACGTTTCTACCCATCAACCATAAAACGAAAACTTGATTGTTCCTATTTACTTTAAATATACTCTGACAGTCAACAACCCCTTGCTTAGTTAGTATGGGTTACAGCTTGTTCAACGCCGAGAATCTTCACTGATACCGTCGCATTTCAATAAACTGGACGATCCTCGACATGTCTTCCTATACTATGTCATAGAAATTTGTGTGTACTTCAACATGTAGCAACTTTACTTATGTATTTACCACTTATCAAAAAAAAAACAAACAAACAAGTAAAGCAAGGGATTCCAGCCCCTTGCTCCATCGTTTTTTTTTTTTTTTGTTTTTTTTAGCGTTTTAAAAGTAATCTCTTGATGATGCTTCTGAAAAGTAGAAGAGTATATGAAATGTTTTGATAAAGTAGTTGAGACTTAATATCTATGAAGGTTGCAGTGAAGAAATAAATGTCATGAATAACAACAGATGGCCGTCTTAGCAAAAAAGAAAAAAAAAATCAACAAGATCGCTACCACGATGGCTCAGAAATATTTTGCTGGCAACTCGACTTACTAACAATTGCTATCACATGTAAAGAAAACATCCCCATGCAGCACGTCAAGGAAAAACACACAAGTTCAAAAACAAGGCAAAATGAAAAAGAAAGATAGTGAAAAGTAGGTTAAACCTCTAGGAAAAGCGCCTTGACTACGATAAATCAATACGACATTTAGTTATATTTATTATGTAAACATGACGAGCATTACAGCAACGAAAAAGACGTATGAAAATGGTTCTTTGAAAACAATATAAGCTTTATAATTTAAATTGTTATAATTTAAACTGCTGTTGATAAGAACTTCTAGTATGTTAACATCATGCGGTTGTTTTGTATCTATCAGGTCGATATACATTACAGACGTCTTCTAAGTCCACTTATGACTATTCATCAGTATACAACTGCTACTCCAAAGCTGTTGAACGAACAAGTTCTCTTACGGAGGCGTATATTAGCTTCTCTTGATTCGTTTGCTTATCCCGAAGAAACTTTACTTTCCGTTATGAATTATTTGCCACTTTTCCAATCAAAGTGGCCCAGACAGACTATCTGCTAGAATCCTAATACATAGTAAGAAGTGAGAGTAGTTCAAAATATACTTAATATACTACGAACGTGAAACTGTGATGAGACATATCTCGAATGCTAATGATAAAGAAGGAAACATATCCTCATGTACCGAACAGAATATACAAAAAGTTTACAAGATTCTGTATCGTATTTTACCAAATCATCGAGATAGAGCTTTTATTGGGGGTAAGAAGAAAAGCAATTTTGGCCAAAATTGAATGGCTGTGGAGAGTAAGCTACTATGGTCAAGTAAGAGTGAACATGCCCACAATGGCAGTTAAAAAGACGAAACAATGACTGTATTCCAGCGATATATTATTATAAACAAAAGGTCATAGCGAGGGTGAATTATCTAATTTTTAAATGGTCTTATCTTTACACTTTAAATACTTTATAACTAACAAACATAGCTCCATAAATAATATACAGACTTTCATAAAACACTTTGATACGCTAACTACAGCCACAAAATATGTTTTATTACAATCATTATTCATCATCATCATCTTTTGTTTCTAATCCTTCTATAAATGCCGTTGAATCTCCAGCGTCTTCTGTATCTTCCTCACCATTCTCTTGAACTCGTCGTTTCTTTTCCTCTAGTTTTTCTATCAATTTTTTCGCTGTATTAAAAACACCCTGAGTAGGTGCACCACAAGCAAAACATTTAGGACTCTTTTTGTACTGTTTCAAAGCACATGCTTCACAGAAATAGTGTCCACACCGTGTTACGACAGGATTGTCGAATTCGTTTCTACAAATCAAACAAGCAAAAGGTAGCTCGTCATCATCCGAATCGTCTTCATCAGAAATCACATATTGGTCGGTATCGATTTTATTCTTATTCTTTTGAGCAGCTTCCCATTCCTTTTCTAATTGCCAGCCTGTTTTGTAATCACCACGATCGTGCAAGAAAATGCATGAATCACCATACCCACAGAAGCCAGTTTCTATATCATGTGTCACGGACGTTGTTCAGTTAGTGATTTATGTTCATGGTTCATAGCCATAAAGCAGACAATTCTTTACCTTTATAGTCTTTACAAATGTCAGGCTGATAGTCAAAACGGGCTGTTACTCTCAAATTAGCGGGCGCTCGTTGAGGTCCTACGGACATTTTTGAATTGACGGCATTCTTCTTTGGTAGTTCTTTTCCACTCTTATCCAATTCCTTTTTCTGTAACTCCCATTCTGTATCATATCGTGTAGCATCGTCACTTTTTTTCACAGTAGCTGTTTTATCCGCTGAATAGTGTACACCGATTAGATCGTCCACATCATCTTCATCATCGTCCACATCGCCGTCCGCTTTCTTGATACGTCTTCGTCGTGTTGACTGAACAAACGGGTTTTTAGCTGTTTTTCTATCTTTTGTTACTACTTCTGAGACGAGAGCCTCTTCTTCTTCATCGTCATCGTCATGGTCATCGTCCGAATCCACCTTTACCGAGACAGGCGTTTTTCGTTTGCGTATATTCTTCTTTGCTGATCGTTTTTTGAAAAAAGGGACTTTTGCTTCGGATGAAGTGACAGGAACGACATCTTCATTGCTTGTGTTCAATGTTACGTCAGACATGTTTATACTTGAATTAGATCAAAGGAGGTATGTTGACAAGTAGTATGACGGTTTATATACAAAGATCAGTAAATTGGAAATAAGAAAAAAAAGAAAATAAAAAAAAATCAGGACCATGCCATAAAAATAATAACTGAGGATAAATGGTATACTTTCTCCTTATTGGTTGGCGGCTTCTTATCAAATCATGCAAACTTCACTGCGCAACCTATTACATTCCACTGCATCGTTACCGTTTTTTCGCTTCAGATTCGAACTATTTTCAAGACTCTTCCATTAGATAAAATTGGACAAACTTAGCAACCTGTTCTAAACACTTTCTAGAATAAAATGGGACTTGTGGCAGCTGGTTCAGCCTAAAGCACCTTTAGGAGTGGGAGCATAGCAACCTGAATAACCCTTCTTTTACACATTTTCTCTTAGAACACCTTTTGAAGAGCTAAAATATAGACCTTATTGAGCGTAAAGCTCTGCTTGCACATTCTGTTGAGCATAGGAAATAGAAAACTATTACGCCATTCCAATATATCAAACAGTAATAGAGTGATAAATAGAAAAATGTTGTCATCTAACTACTCTCACTTTTCCCTTTCCTTTATTTTTTCTCCATCTTTTTCTTTCTTTCTTAAAAATTACTTAGATTCGTATACTCTTATGTCACGGCATAAGCTCTACGCCGAAGCTGAAGCTCTCATTAATGAAAAGAAGAAAACGAAGTTAGCTGCTCTCGATGATGAAACTGCCGAAAGTTGAAAGAAGATTGAGAAGTATGAATTCCTAGTATTGCTTATGTCTACTGTAAACTTACAATATACTGTAAATGTTGTATTAGGCGAAAAAAACGGTTAAAGGTAAGAAACGTGCAAAACAGACATTCTTTTTTTTTTTTTTTATCTACCACGCTTCCAATATAGAGTTCCGATAATGTATCGGATCTAAGTAATATACCGAGATTTTGTCCCATATGCACAATGGGTAATCAGCAGGAAACCAAATATCATTCATAAGTGATAGAGTAGGATCTTCAGAGACTGAACGCGAGTATACATTTTATCAATACTATATCCAAAAATAATGTACTCAAGATCCCAATTCTTTTGTTCTTTAATCTGAAAATCACTTCAATGCTGTCCGAACTGAACTGAAAAGACTGTACTAATGTCATACACGCATCCGGGTCAATACCTTCCATCACCGTATCAACGCGAATTACCACTAGTTGACCCAACGCAAGCATTCACTTTAAACGAGTTCTTCATATCTGAGGATACCATTGTGAATGCGATCAAAAGCTTCCCCCGTAAGAAAGCTCCCGGGGTGGATGATATCAAAATCAAAATGCTACAACCAGTCAGCGACCGAATAGCACCCTTTCTATTAAATCTCTTCCAATTAACCTGGAAATGGTCCTATACGTCTAAGTCATGGCGCATTGCCCAAACGATTCCAATTTATAAGAAAGGCCCCCCAACCGATCCAGGCAACTACCGTCCAATTAGTCTTACATCTATTTTTCGCAAAATCTTAGAGCGATGCATCCAAAATTACCTTTTGGCCAATAGTCCCCACTCGATATTGCGCAGGGTGGATTCCGTACTACCCGTAGCTCCTTAGATCAAGCTCTTTGTTTAGCGAAAATCTGCAATATTTTGAAACGCCAGCAGAAGATCGAATCAGTTCTAGCTTTCCTCGATATCAAATCAGCGTACGATACGGTTGACCGTAACGTCATATGAACAGTGCTTCGTCCCCATATTCCAGAACCGCTCCTTGCTCTACTTCAAAACATGTTTGACGATGTCAGCATTGAAGTCCTCCAGAACAATGCCAAGTCAGAGCCTTTCAGCCCTACTACTGGTGTCCTTCAAGGATCCATACTATCTCCTATACTCTATTCATATTATATTAACGAACTACCTACACTGCTCCGTCCAAGCCCACTGGATCTTTCCTTACCTGTTCCGGAATTGATTCTAAATATCAACCGTTTACTATATGCCGACGATGTCGTCTTGATGACTGATAAAGGTCATCTTCAGACGCTGTTGCAACAATGTAAAGCTCATAGTCTATGTCTAGGTTATCGCTGGCATCCGAATAAATGTGTTATCCTAGACAAATCAACGCACCCTATAGATTACCAGCTTCATGGAGTTCCTCTACAACGTCAGCTCACTTTTCCTTATCTAGGGATATCTTTTCAACCAGGTGGTAGTATAGATATAAATGAACTAGCACGTACTAACACGTTTAAGGCCCTTACTACGATGAATCAATTAGCAGCAATCGGTGTCAATCCTGGTGGATTCGAAAAACTGCTCTCATTACGGTATATGCCCAATTAGTCCGCGCAAAGATGGAATACGGACTGGCCATTAGCCCCCTAACCGCGAAGCAATATAAACAATTCGAAGATTCCCAGAACAAGTGTATTCGACGAATCTTTGGTGGATCCAGTAGATCGTCTGCCCGACTTATGCTCCACCTTGCCAATCTGCCCACCATGAAAGAACACTCCTTCATCCTACAAGCTAAGTTCCTATTACGTTCTACCTCACTGCCTACTGATACTTTCATCTCGATACTACTCCCATATATAGGCCAGCAACAGAGTAAATCGTTATATTGCAAGCTTGCTCGTTCTCCGATCTGGCAAGATTACGCTTCTTCTCCGCTCAATCAACGATCTGAATCAGCTGCTCTGCGACGCTGTATTGCTAACTTCCGTACTAGCCTCCTTCACATCCAACAATCGAACAGCCCCAAAGACAAACTATGGCTTTCTCTCCAAAATCTTTCTTATAAAACTTTTATTTTGACAAATGAAAAAAAAATAATAAAAAGTTTGGGAAAGCGTAAGGAGAGAAGAAACAAAAAGATTTTCAGAGTAATTATTTTTTTTTTTTTTTTTTTTTCTTTAAACGTTAAGGTGCTGCTGCACTGAGCGTGGAATGGGCGCAAGAACGTTCTCTTTCCTTTATCTCTCAGTTTGGGCTTCTTCATGCTTCTACTGGTTCTTACCAAACATCTGGGGTGGAAGACCTAAGCAAGAGATAAGCAAAGAAATTAGCATTTGAAATCGATCACAATTAACCAACTATCTTACCATTAGGCAAGGCATGAGGAGGCATAGGCAACATCATATCATTTTGCTGTTGTTGTTGTTGTTGTTGTTGCGGCAGTTGGTGAGGAGGAGGGAATCTACCTTGTAACTGAGGAGGTAATGGTTGATTAAAAGTAGCGATAGGTGGTGTCAACAAAGGTCTCTGTCCTCCAGGGGGGAGCATATGAGGATGATGTGGAGGTGGTGGAGGGCCCATCATCATATGAGGAGGCAGGAAGCGTTGTTGTTGGTCAGCGGAAAGGTGGGGAGGATGTGGGCCATGATGTGATCCAGGAGGAGGCGGTGGAGCTCCCGTTGGAGGATGATGGGGTGGAGGCGGAGGCATTCCACGCGACATGTCACCATTGTTACCTGCACCACTAAAGTGCATCATTTGTTCAAAAGACATTATTCGAGAAGGGTGATGTTGACCTGGTGAGTAAGGTTGCTGTTGCTGTGGATGGTGAGGATGGTGATAGGGGAAATACTGAGGAGGTAAAGGTATACCACCATTTGGTAAGTGATGTTGATGAGGTAGCATAGGTTGTTGTTGCTGTAGTTGCTGCTGCTGCTGTTGTTGTTGTGGTTGTGGTTGCTGTGGCTGTTGCTGTTGCTGCTGTTGTGTATATTGTTGTTGATGTTTAGCAGAAGGAGAATATCGCATTTCCGACAAATGAGGAGTATTCGTTTTACTAGAATGCAGTGACGGTGATCTGCCTTCTGATGAGCGTGCGCTCATTTGACGTAGAACGGAAGTTGGCAAATTATTACCAAACTTGCTGGCAACAGATGCCGAAGTGCTAGAGGAAGTAGAAACAGAAGGTTTGGCTTGAGGTGAACTTATTGAGCGAGGTGACCCCTTGTTACTATTGGACTTTTGCTGATAAGTAGCTTTCTCTGTTTCTTCTTGTTGTTGCTGAGAGGATAAAGAAGGTTTAGGTTGAGATAAAATTTGAAGGACTCTGTTGAAACCAATGGCATCTTCATTGTTCTTTTGATTAGGTGATTTGACAACAGGATCCTTTTGTTCAGCTGCAGAGGCTTTATTCGCACCCAAGGATTTCAAAATATCCTCTTCAGAAAAGACACGGACTGGGTGTTCCTGAGACTTCTCTAACATATCGGAAACTATAGGAGGGGACAGAGGTGACTCAGGTTTAGATTGGATTTCCGTCGCTGCTAAGTTTGCCATGGGCGAGCCTGCTTTGAATAAGTCATTCAGAGTAATCGAACGAGGTTGCTGATCTCCTACACCTACTGATGGTGGTTGCTTCAATTGGTTCATCCTTTGGGCTAAAGACTGATCAGGTGCTTCGACTACAGCAGTTGTAACATCAGAGGTGGGCTCCTCCTTTTTAGCGAAAAACTTGGCGAAACGAGAACCACTCTTTTGATCTCTACGTATCGGTGGAGGCTCAATTAAGAGGCTATCTTCAAAGAAGGATAAAGCATCCGTTGATGGTGTAACTACTGAAGGCGAATCAAAAGCGAGGGTGGCAAGCGACTCTTCTACTGACTTTGTATCGGATGGCTTTGATGTTGTTGCTGCTTTATCCGCTGTTATTGTGTTCCTTGTAGTAGTTGCTGTAGAGATTGTGCCATCATTAAAACCATCTCTTTTTTTCATATTTGATTTCCAAGCTTCTAAATCATTTGCAAATTTCGCTTTCGCATCTTCTTCGTCAACTTTAGCCTCTTTAGATGCCTCTAATGGTGATTTATCAATGTCTGGCGTATAATCCATCCACTCGGGCACTCTTTCCGATCTATCTGAATCTCTGTCCATACCCATATTATGATGATTGGTATTATGTCCTAGCATATGATTGTTGTGATGTCGGTTGTTGGCTCGGTTATTATAATTCATTTCTAGTGGGAAAAAAAAAGGGGTGAATATGAGTCAAAGTAGGCTTTATCAATGATGTTGCACATATAAAGATCTCACGTTTTCCACCGGCCATGCCATTATTTAATCGCTCGGTTCCATTATTGAATCGATTCTTGTTCATATTGTTGTTATTACTGTAATTGCCATGTGGTGGTGACGATCCCATATACTTTCTGTCAGATAGTGATTTATTCATATCAGATGACGTTCTATGTGAATAAGAAGATCCTTTATCTCCTGTATATATTAGACCACGCGATGTTCTGCTGTAGTCTTTTAATGTAGTCGATCTATCTTCCAACTATAAAGCAGCAGTATAAATAACCTTACGTCGCTCATTAGAAGAATAAATGCTTTTCTTGTCCCAGTTACCTGTCTATGATGTCTTGCTGAAGTGGTTTGCTGTAGCTTCGAGGTTGCTGAGGTCGTGCTATTGTTGTCATCCAGCTTTTTCAATCCACCATAAGTAGATGATGCAAAGTTAGTTTTTGTTGGGCCGAGAACTATATTTTTATCTGCTGTGGAAAAGTATGGAATAGGATGAGCAAAGGGATAAATTTTTGACTTGAAAAGCTTAAATGATATTTACCAGTGGATGTTGTTCGAATCATAATGGAACCATTAAGTATACTTTTTGTTGCTGGGGAATCCTGGTCCTCTCTATTACAAGAAAAGACATTCTAGTCAATCACATGTGCTTTTACAAAATCAGTTTTTTAATAACCATTTACCCGAACCAACTTAGTAAAGATGGCATCTTTTCAGGTTTCTGTACAAGCGGACTGTCATGTAATTTAATCATTTCTTCTTTTGTATATCGGATGACGCTTTTCTTTTCTTCTGACATTGTTAATGATGTTGATGGTGTTGTTGATGAGCAGTATCAAATTCTTATTGAGTGGAGAAAAAGGAGTTGAAGGATGTTATAATTTTTTTTTTTTTTTTGGTTTTTAAATATTCGTAAGGTCGAGAAAGAACTATTTGTTGAGTGGTACTTGCAAAGCGTTGAGTTGTTGATTCGTAGTGATTTACAAAATGTTCTAAAAGGAAAAACCGTACAGGGATTCACGCGTAAGTAATTCTGTAGGCTCAATCTGGTAGTCAAGGGATGTCTAAAACTCACTTTTTTTTGAAGGGTTTTTCGTTTGTAGTTTGAGAAGAATGAGTTGCTGTATGCTTCTTTAGTGGACGTGAACAGATGCTCGTTGTTAGCTGCTATGTTAGCTCTATTGGAAATAAGTAAAGAACGGGAGAAAAAAATGAAAACAAAAAGTATGAGAAAAAAAAAGGCAGTGCTAAGGGAAAAAAAGTCTTTCTTTCTTTCACTGCTTTCAGACTCCTTTTTAACCCCCATCATGAGTGGTGACGTTGGGTCGATGGTTCATTACACAAAATGAAAGTTTTATTTGATTTAGGAATTATGTACAAAATAGATAGAAAGAAATTTATGCAACTTGTTTTGCTCAAGCATTCATAATGACATTGAGATTGCCCTTACTTATTCTTTCGCTGTCCTTGATTTCATCGGTATTATTACCTTCTACCGTTTTACCAAGGCCGGTCACCACCTTTTGACGGCGGCTTTTGTCAGTAGCTAATGCACCTGATACTAGTAATTCTTCCACTAGCATGCGGCTATGCTTGATACAATCAGGTACACTTGGGCCTAGGTAACTAGCGCCTGTAAGACTCATGAGATGGCCATAATTGGCCTTCACTGCATGATGTAATTCTAGCATACGGCTTTCATGACCCACTAAATATTGAGGAATACATTGCTTTGACAGATTGACCAAAGAGTGCGTTGGGTCAGCACGAATACCCAAGTAAGTATCCATTACTTTACGAGCATAGTCATATGCGTCTTTAGGATCAAGTTGATCAATAGGCACGTTGCCAAATGCATCTTTCCAATCACTACCACCCATCATCGCGGTTAATTTCACGCATTTTTTGGTATCTTGACCTTTTAACGCGTTAGAATCAAAAATAACGCCAAGGGTACCAGGAAGGGGCATAGGATATTTGGTATCTCGATGAGGAGTTAAGAAACCGAAGCCATCGTATTTGAGTGTTGCTTCCTCAGGAGAGTAAGCCATGTTAACAACAGCAACATCAACGGAGGGGTTATGACACAGATGAGGTAGAGGTTTTTGTTGGAGTGTTTTTTTCAAGTCGATAGAGGGAAGTGTCGATATGACGTGTTCTGCAAAGATATCTTTTGATTTTGTTTTAATCTACAAAGGATGAACATGACATATACAACATAGTAAGATTTTTGTCGTTCATCTTTACCACAATATACAAGTACACGCACGCTCAGGCCCCTTTTGTTGTATATTTTGTCTCTTACTGCGTCCTTTTCATGGAAATACATTGCTTCTTTCTTTTCCTTACCTTAATTTCTTGGTCATGAGATACAGTCTGGATAGATTCAACAGGTTCACCAGTGAGTATTTCAACATTAGGACAATTTTCCAACCAAGCTCTCAGTTTTCGCGGTAGGCTTTCTAATCCATCTCTGAATCCAATCACACTGTTTTTCTCCATTTTTCCAAACCATTCAGGGTCGGCATTCCTGCTTCTCACCGCAAGACCTCTCTCTCTCATACTGCCGGTGTTCTTATTGCCTAATATCATGCTTTTAACGACGCTACCGTGAACCCTTTCTGCTTCATATAAGAAACGCATGGTGGATTTTACCGACAACTCTTTAATATCGCCGGCATAAATACCGTGTCCTAAAGCCCCCAGCAAATTAATAGCTGTGTGTTCGTTAAATCGTCTCTTCATGAATGCATATATAGTTTCATCTGCGCCGTTTGGGTCCTTGAGTTCTCCTTGCGAGTTGAAGCGTGAAGGACGGAAGAGCTCTAAAATGCCAGCTGAAATAACAGATTTGAAAACAGGCGGCGGCTTGTGGGTTAAAAGTGAGGCGATTCCCGTAGGCACAGTGTTGATTTTATCCTTATAATAGATATAACGGTGTTGGGCCGAAGGGTCAGTCTTTGGTACACATAGAAGGTTATCATCCTCATGGAGTTTCAAATGGTGAATCTTGAAAAAAGGAAAAAGTCCATAGAAAGAAACAAAGTGTTAGAGCTTGTGTTTTGCATTTATGCTTTATTTCCACTGTAGAATGACTGCCTCTTTGGTGACACTGTACCATTTCTAGCATGATAGCACCATTGACTCCTTTAGGACGTAAGCTTCTTGCACCTGACTCAAATAATATATCATCTTTATCTTCACTTTCCTGGGGCATATTATTCTTAAAGTCGTAGTTTCCTGGTGCTACTCTTTGACTTTGAATCCAACCACCCACGCGGTTTTTACCCTCGATAAGAAGAATCTTGGTAGTAGGAGGTGCAAATCTAGCTAGATAATAAGCGGCTGATAGACCTGATATACCACCACCTAAAATTGCTACAGTCATTGATTAATACAGAGAATATAAAAAGAGAGAGAAGATCTAGTGTTCAATAAGTAATGTAAGAAGAAGAGTAAGGAGGAAAAGTAAGATGCAAAGCATTTCCCTGTGGCAAATCGTAAAAATTCTAAAAAAAAAAAAAAAAGATCGCTGCACATTTTCCCATTGAAGCTCAGAAAGTGGGTCGATTATGGATAACAAACAGACAAAAAACCACGGCAACATGCACAGCATTTTGAAAGTGGCAAATTATTCATCCTTAGGCATAACAAACAACATGATTGCCGCTTGAGAGTTTATTGATTGAGGGTAAAGGCTACAGTGACAATTTTTGAGCCAGAATGACCTCCAAATTCGAAAACTGGATATTCTACATTGGAGTGAAAGGTGAAGTCTATATAACGTATGAAAAGTGTGGTTAATTTCTGGTTGTATTTAAAAAGGGCATATCCAAGATATGACTTACATTGCTTGAAGTTCTCGATTAATTCTTCCTTCGTCCAATTACAACTTGAAATCAGAAAGTACCCATCCTTAGGATCTATCAACTGACGTACTGATTCCACATATTTTTCTCTTGGTCCTGGCAGGCCTTCCTTTTTTGCTGTTACTTGATCAGGATGTAAAGAGATGGCGTCATATGTTCCTTTATCTAAAATTAATTTATATTTCATCGATCCAGCCCAGTTGGGGTTGGTTAAGAAATCGACAGCATCGTAACGAATCCAATCTAAACCTCGTTCTTTTGCCACTGCTTTTGCTAATTTGATGGCTGATTCAGAGTAATCAATACCATGAAGGTTTCTATAACCTTCTTGGCTTAATTCTAAAAGGAGATGTCCGTTGCCACAGCCAAGGTCGATAATGCTAGTGTCAGGATCGGTGGCTTGTTCGGTTACCCATTCGACCATCTTCTCCACACTTTCCTCGCCAAACCAGATCTCTCCAATATCGCCTATTTCTTTAAAATTGTCATTCTCACGATCGTATACTGTATCCCAACTGTGTTATTACGATAAAATGCAATAAAAAGGCTTGGTTGGTGACATGTTTACTTTTTGGAGGATAGTGAAAATACATGTATACATCGCTTTGAACTACTTTTATTTACTTTACTATGACTTAGTGCCTAATTTGGATGCTTCGAAATCTTGTATGTTGGGGAGCTCCATGATTTCAAAGTATAACGTACAAGTTCTCGAGTTGAAGAAAGGTCGTTGGCAGACAAAAAATAAAAAAGGCCTCCTCGGGCTTTGTATGAGTTTTAATGCGGAAACGCTCAGTTATCTTCTGTAGGGCAGCGGTGTTAACAACGGATTGAAACGGTGCTAAAACCTTTTTTTTTTACTTCATCAGTAAAATGAAACAAATAAATGTATAAAAGAAACCGGATGCGATATTTACTTATTAAAGACGCCTGCCATATTCAAATAATTATTTCGAGCTAAAAGAATACCATGCAGAGCACTGAACTCAAAGTTGAACTTGACAAATCCATCCCATATATAAAAGTACTATTAGATCAATGTCTGTTTGTACATAACAGTTAGTAGTTGCTAAAAAAGAGATGGATGATGTAAAGGCTCAAAGCATTGAGCTTCTAGTTTTATTTGGGTCAGATCTAAGAAATTGGGCACGTTAGCATGGCACCCCTTCTATTTTCTTCCTTTGTCATGTTTAATAAAATGATGTATAGAATACAGCATGATTTCATATCTTACTGCAGGTAATGTTAAAGATAAGACCTTTTTCCAACTCGTTTGTAAGCCAGTATTCAAGGAGGCTGGGCCTGTGCAAACGAGGAAAACAAGGGTACGTATTGCAAAGAAAATGTAACATTATGTTGTTGCTGTGTACCATTTATTGTCGTACGCTGCATTGTTAGCTCTGCATATTCGCATTGCTTACGATATCGACATGTGAGTTACCTGATGAAAATTCATTCATTTTACAACTTCACCGCTTTTTTGATTTTGGTCACCCCAATTGAAGGTCAGAAATTCTTTGGGCCGTAGCAGTAACTAGAAAAATCTATCATTAAACTCCCTTTTTTAGTTTCTTTCTATTTACTCTTTTTGTCCCTTGAGCTCACATACATTAACATATCTGTATATCTTTTCTTTTGTCAACTTGATTGACAATTCATCGGCTCCTTATCTATTTGTATATCGACCCTATTTGTAAAAAAGTACAGAATGACTTATTTGAAATCTAATACCATAAAACAAGAAGACCCAGACGACGTTTTCATGGCTTATTTGAATGCTGACTATTTTGATGCAGAAACGCCGTTATCTCCACCTTCTTCCACCTCTTCTGGTTCCTCCTCGCCGTACAGCTCTTCCACAGCCTCTCCAGTAAAGCATGATGCTGACGAGTTTATGATGGACAAGAATTCAACTGATTTCGATATTCATGATATTGACGATTCTGCTACTTCTTGGGACGATTTGACAGCTGTTCCTAACAGTCTTTTTATCAATTCATGTTTGACTCCACCCTCCCCATCCATACCAATGCCAGCTAATGGAGCGGGTACCTCTGGACCTACGACAACCACTATGACGGCCGATCTTCTGAATGGTTTTCCATTACTCTTACCTCCCGTCAATCCATTCATAACACCCTTCGTTACTACAGAAACTACTGTCGATCATTCTGTTGCCAGTAACAGCAACAATACCAGCCATACTATGCAGCAATATATTTCTCCCCCGCTATCTACTGTACCAAGCAATCTTACATTCATACCACAACCATCAAACCATGGCCAACAGCCGCAGCAGCAAGAACAGCAGCAAGGCCGTAAAAACAGTAGCAGTTCAGAAACGGAGCAGCCGAAAAAGAAACGAGGCCGAAGGAAACGAGAGCCTGTTAATCACCATCAACATCAACCCTATTCTGTACCACCTACTCTATTAGCACCTAAACCACTTGCTCCTAGATTCAATACAACAGAGTTCGATCCCCGAAGTCAACAGAAATTTTCATCAACAAGTCCTCCCCCTTCATCAACGACCACCTCAACAATAGACAATGGTGTCAAATCTGAAACACAGCCGGCTCTATTATCTCCTTCGCCTAGCGCTTTATCAACAACAAGCCTTCATAGTCATACCACAAAAAATTTGGAAACATCCAATACCATCATTGCTACCGGTACTACTGCTACTAATAATAGTAACGGGCAGCAACAGCAACAATTAAGCCAAGAAGCGAGTCGCCAAGCTCAAATTAAAAAAAGACAAGAGCGTTTGATCAAGAACCGTGCAGCTGCATTATTATCGCGTAAAAGAAAACGTGAGCACCTCAACTCATTGGAAGAAGATAAACAACGATTGACAAGAGAAAACGAACAGCTAACGCAGAAGGTGCAATCCTTGGAAACTCAACTGCGTTCTCTTGAGGAAGAGAATCAAAACCTGAAAATGAAATTAAAGATGCATGAAGAGGGCGATAATAATCAGCAAACTGTGATTCAGATGTCTTCTCAATCTTCCTCTTCAACAACCAATAACAAGTCATTGTCAGACACGAATCCTTGTTCCCAGCATCAACAGCAGAAACCCACAAGAAGCACTGGCGTCATGTTCATGGTAAAGAGCATTTATTTACATGCATAACGAACACCCTTACATCGAAGATATACTAACTTTTTTGCATTTTTGCCAGTTAATGCTCTTCTCTTTTGCTTTGTTTACCCTACCAACACAAAACTCAAAATCAAACTATTTAACAGTGGGCGGTTCCGATTACTTTGCTGCTACCGGGAAATCACAGTATCCCACGATAGGCTCCAGTTCTTTCAACAAGTAATGTATATCTAAAAGCTGAAACCACGTATTGCCAACTCTACTGACCTAAAATCTTTCTACAGTCCTGATAAGCTTTTAGATGATGGCTTGAACGGATTCTATTCAAATTATTACCATCCTGCTGCCCATGATCAACATGCTTCCACTGATCTCGTTCTTTTAGATTCTGTGCGACCTAATGAACTTCAAATGTGGATCAACGATAAATTAAATGCATATCCTCAACAAAAAGAAACCGCTGTTGTAAAGGCCAGTAAGAAGAATATTTTTGCTCGTTGGCTACCCAAGTTCTTCTTTAGAAGTGAGTCGGTTGTAGATAATGAGGCAATAGACGACAGCACGACCACTACCACCAGTGGCCCCAATAATGAGGTTTACTTGTATTCCAATGAATTAACAAAATTGGCTTATGTTCATCACTCACAACAGCAACAACAACATCAATATCAGCAAGATCAACAAGCAGATAGACCCAGCATGTCGTCGCCTCCGAGAATGTCTATATTTTCACCCTATAATCGAACTACAGCAGATCAATCGGACACTTTTCTGAAAATTGATGTTCAAATATTGAATTCTGCCATTGTGAAGGGCCAACTGCTTCCCATGCACCCTTTCGGTAACGCAGCGTTGTCTTCTCGTCAGGCTTTGTTAGACACCGATGCATTTGGTGCTTCAACGACTACTAGAAAGAGAAAAAATGATGTGAACTCTTCATTCAATGATACCCATAGCAACAACCACAGTAAACGCGGACTAACCAACCCCATGGTCTCCAATTCAGCCTCGACCCTCGCGAGACGAGATATTAAACGCGCGAAAAAGTTATCCAGGGTCATAACTTGAAAAATTAAACGAACACTAGACAGTAAAATTAGCTTTCAATTTTCTTAAACAGTACATTTGTTAAACACAACATTATTTTATCACTACGTTACCCAGCCTGATTTCTGATTTCTGATTTCTAATACACTTATTCTTTAACAGTAAACGAAGAATAAACCCAAAACGTCTTATATACCTCTTTTATGAATGCAATCTCATAATCCTGTATTGAAAAATGGTTCGTTTTTTATTGGTATCTGAGAGTTCATTTGGTAACATGATAGAGTCGTCCTCTATCAATATGTATAGAATAAGAGCTGTCTTTAACAAAAAAAAAAAAAAAAAGGAGGAAGGACTAAAGGAACGATTCAGGATATTTGCCTTTCTTTTGTATTCCTTTGTTTTTTTTAAAAAAAAAAAACTTCAACCCATAGAGTAATACGTGTCAATCCTTGGGTGCAATAAGTTCTACATCCGATATCCTTCTTTATTCTCTTTCAAAGACTGCAGCCATACCCATGCCAGAGCCAATACACATACTAGTAACACCGACCTTCTTACCTTGGCGCTTCAATTCAGGTAAGAGAGTAGCGATTTGACGAGCACCAGTGCAACCCAATGGATGACCAAAAGCAATAGCACCACCCTTAGGATTCACTTTTTCGAAAGGAATACCCAACTTTTCAACTGAATAAACAGCTTGAGAAGCAAAAGCTTCGTTGATTTCATAGATATCGACATCAGCAAGTTTCAAACCAGCGCGCTCGACAGCAATGGGGATAGCATAAGCGGGGCCGATACCCATCACCTTGGGTGGTACACCCACCACAGCAGAGGTGATGTATTTACCAAGAATGGGCAGGCCGTATTTTTCAGCGGTCTTACGTTTCATGAGAAGCACTGCAGCAGCGCCATCAGAAACTTGGGAGGCATTACCAGCGGTGGTAGAACCGTTTTCGTCAAAAGCAGGCCTGAGTTTCGCAAGCTTTTCGGCAGTGGTTCCAGGACGAACACCATCGTCACGGTCAACGACGACGGTAGTTTCGTTACCGTCGTTATCAATCACAGTAGCTTCTAAGGGGACAATTTCTTCGTTGAACCAGCCGTTCTTTTGAGCTTCAACGGCCTTCGTGTGAGAAGAAGCGGCGAAAGCGTCTTGTTTGGCACGAGAGACATTGAACTGAGCAGCCACATTTTCGGAAGTGATACTAAATGAATCCGACACAGAAAAAGAACATTAATAACCGCTCGATATAAGATGCATAGTTTTTTTGTAAAAAAAATGCCGTATGAGCTCTCTCTCTTCTGGGAAAATAATGATATCAATAGAAATGAAACCCAATATTCTTAAGATCAGCTGTTCTCATGTCTCTTTTGTATGCACTCATTCTAATTCATCCTACATCCCTCTATAATATCACACACATACATACACACACACACACACACACTCTATCTCTCTCGCTGTCTCTCTGTATAAAAAGATAAATAGCAAGTTATACTTTACCCCATAGGAATGAGACAATCAGCAGCTGATTCGCATGCATCAGCAATCTTTTCAGAAGTAGGAGCAAGAGAAGAAGCACCATAGTTCTTTGTCATGGATTCTACACCAGCACCAATACCGACTTCAATCAAACCGCTTTGAATGGCTGTGGCAATTTGAACAACAGCTTGAAGACCAGAGGAGCATTGACGGTTACAGGTAGCTACGGCAGTACTCTCTGGAAAACCAGCATAGAGAGCAGCCATACGAGCATTGGTCGCTCCACCGCCCTGTGGCAAGACATTGCCGACGGCAATATCGTTGACAATAGCGGGATCGATCTTTGTCTTTTCAATGATGGCCTTGAAGACACCAGCCAAAATTTCTTCGGGAAGTGAGTCCTTGAAACCGCCCTTACGAGCACGGGTAATGGCGGAACGAAGAGCGCTGACAATGACGACGTCTTCAGGAGACTTGACACCGATTTTGTTGGCAACCTTGTCGGAAGGAGCCAAATGATTTGTTACTTGTTGAATGCGAGAAGCCATCTTGTCTTACTGCTGCTTTACTGTAAAAGATTGAAATAGAAGGAAAAAGAAGAAGGAGATGGAGAAGAGGAGCACAAATCAGTAAAATTATATTGGAAACGAAAAAAAAATATTAATATGATGTTAGTCGTATTTTTTATTATTAAGAAGGAAATGCGCACAACAAATAATGTGGAGTAAGCGCATTTCCCAAAACGTGACTCTCTCTTTCTGGCTCCATGTGAATTTGGATTTCACATGTTACTGATGCTGCTGACGAATCAGAAATCATGGTGCTTTGGTGTTTATTCTCGAATGACGATGCCCTGTTGTAAAAAGCAGTAGAAGCCAGTTGGCTTTGGATACGCACGTCTTCCCTCTTTGATGAACATTGGAATAGAAAATGTACCTTGGTAGTGGTTTCTTTGCAATGAGTCACTTACGAAGAAAATGATAATTTATATAGGAGAAAAGCGCGTTGTTCCCGATTGTCGTGAAAGGAAACAAAGTTGAATAAAGCTTAACCAACATGCCACTGGTACTGTTTCATTGAAAGCACTTACTATAGACTGGACTAATCACTTGAAATGAAAAAGGTCAATTCTACTCTACGCTTTATAGCACATATTGAGGTAAGGGGCATATTGATGTATCTTAATGTAACGCATTTCTTCGATTCGTATTTTTTTCTTTCTTCGGTGTATTGCAAAAACAGTTTATCTGGCTCTGTTTTTTGAAAAAGTTTTGCTTAGAATAGCTCAACCGAACTGTATTTGGGCTAAACCTACCCATGGATCGATCTATCTATGCATCCTTTGTAACATGAACATCAAGTTTGACAAGCGGGGTCAGAAAAAAAACCAGAACTCCATTTTTATGACTACGAGAAATTCGACAGGAACCAAAACAGAGCTTCATTAGATCGCTTTTCCTTGGAACAACATTGCAATGGCAGACAACAATGTGTCTCAATTCATAGTATTATTTACTGCTCAAAAACAAAAAAAGTTTAAAACGTGGCAAGATGGTACGAATGATCAACCTACAGTTTTCATCGATCACGATGGTTGAAAATAGCTAACTTGCGACGTTGCATAATAGGAACCATGAAATATTACAGCAGCAATAGAAAGGTTTGGTTTGGTTGTGATTTAAAGGAATCATTTATTGAAAACACACTGTCTAATAAAGATTTATTTTTACGATGTAGCTTGTACTTATTGATGAGAAAGGCTACAATATCGACAGGTATAAACATCAGATACCTATCTGCATAATTTAAAGTAGAAATACAATAGACATTCAACATTGTAACTCGATAGTATAAATTCAATCAATGAAATAGAAAGTTTTGCAAAGGAAGTGCGCCAACTATAGGTGATGAACTTGAGTTTGATCGGCATCTTGTCACCATTGAATCACTCAAGGAGAACGAACTCGTGGACAGCAGCTTGGACCCTATTGTACAAACGACTTCTTCACGGCAACCTGCTCCAGCAAAAGCAGCTGCTTTCTTTGCCACAACTGCTCAAGAGCGACAACACATGCCTTTAATGAATAGACCTTATGCTCAGCCTTTTCGAACTATACCCAAGCCAAGCACTTCCTTTAGTAGTAGCAGTAGTACGACACTACCAAGAAAAAGAGCAATAAGGCCAGATCCAGAAGAGGAAGAAGATTCAGAGGAGGAAGTAAGGGTAGAACGTTCGTCTGTAGCGTCTATGCCTACTGTTCGGGGGACTTCCCAGCATCCTCCGCCGACTTTAGAGGCTGCGAGCGATAGAGCGAATATGACACCTTTAAAGAGACCCCGATTCGGTTTGTCCAAAGCGTCTCCTTCTACACATCTTCATCATGCAACGATACCCGCGCTTCCTCATTTACAAGGACACCAACATCCTATGTCTATGATGATTGCTAACAGGCAAAAAAGTACTCACAGATCAGCGGAAATTGTTACAACAGCTACACCATTGCCACCACTTACAACATCTACGTCTACGGTGGTAGATAATACCCACGGAAGGTAAATGATGCAGACACTTTTCTTACTACGACAACAAGAGTTTATTCATTGGATCTCTATACATAGTTCATCTTTTGCTACAGCCTCAACGTTAGCTGCAGAACAACAAAGCACAGTGACAGGCACCTCGAATGCTTCCTCCTCCAAAACAACTTCCAGCTCTTTCAAAAGCCCTCTCGCTAATGGAACGTAGGTCCTATCTACAGGAAGAAATATACAAAAGTATCCTTCAGTGATGTAGAGAAAAAAAATTGTCCTTAACGCGAAACAATGGTTACTTTATGTTATGCCTTTTTAGTTATACCCAGGTGACCCTTCAATTTCCCAACAGTAAAAAAGCATTCTCCATTTTAAAGAGCAAAAAATATCCCAAGAGATCAAAGACGGTGCCTGCCAAGTTCAATTCTGTCAATGCGTACACAGAAACGTTCAAAAAGCTTATTCTTGAGCATTTAGAGGTACGTTTTGCGTGATGCATGTGCCAGCTGCAGAGGCTATGTACATAGGGTAATCGGCTCTTTGTGTGTGAGACTTACTGTAAGTTTGTTGGTTTTTTTTTTTTTTTCTTGTCACGTTGGGTCATTAGATTTTACTTTTGAATTACGGCCTTTATTTTTACACAATGTATGAAAAATTTGGTAAACACAAGCACGGGCAAGAGTTAGAAAGAGCGATTCGGTCCAAGGGGATGAGTCTCTACGTCCTCTGTGAGATAAAATCAACCTATCCATCGTTTTCCTCACTCTCCTCTTCTTCATTGGAGGGTGAGGGCCACCGAAGATTACGGCTGATGATTCCAGCGACCAGCCGAGAGCACTCGTCGAAATACGCCAAGGACGATATTTGGGTTCTCTCCAAAGTTTCTTCTTTTGAATCGAGTCAAACATTCTTGGCAAGAAGTACCTTTTATGGCCCTTTTTCGGACGGCTCATTGGAACTAGAGTGTATTTCACCGAGAGATGCACGCGTGGCTGCTCAAATTCTCAAAGAAGAGGCAGATGTATACGCTTTACGCACTATTGCTGCCAGCACGGAATTTATGATGCTGGATACACTGAATGATAATGTGCTGTTGAGCAAACTTAATTTACTGCCATACATTATGACCGACGATCAGATTAGAAAGAGCAACAGAAAAAGCAAGAAGCCTGGTGGTGGTGGTGGTGGATCGATAGAGTACCCAACTTTGCATTGCATTCGGCTAACTGTTGGAGACGGTATTGATGTCGAAGCCAAGCTTGTAGACACTATTCGCGAGTACAAGTTAAATCTTGATCAAGAACGGTACCTATCTGATGGGAAGAAATTTTTTTGGGAAGCAAGGTAGCTTAGCTGGCACATTTTTTATTTATTTATGATAGAGTGTTAAGGCAAGTGGCTCATACTTTGATTGTCGCTCCTGGTTGGAATGAAAACGCCAATAGACCCTTTGTGTTGGTACATGGTGTTTACGGTTCAGGTAAAAGGTAGAAGGATCATTTGCAAAAGAGACGACATTGACATGAAAGGCAAGAACTGCTTTGACCTATGAATTCACTGTTTGCCCTATTTCCACTACTTTATAGTTATCTAGCTGCAGTGATTATTATATTTCTACAAGATATTATCGACTTGGCCAATCAAAGGAGAGAGCCAGAAGAGGCCATACAGTTTAAGATGTTGGTGTCCTCCATGACGGTGAGTGAAGAAAAAATCAACGGGGCATTTGCAGTATGACATATCCAACTTACAAGACTTGTATGAATAGAACGTGGCTGTGGATCGCATTTTACAAACCTTGATGAGACTTGGATTTGACCTGTTCATGCGTATCGGGAGTATGAGAAAGATTGCAAAGAATCTTCTGCCCTACACTGCTAAAGCAAGGCTAAATAGTAATGAAGAACTCAAAGAGTTGGAGCAGATGTTGGAGGATCCTCAAAACTCTGAGGAAGACATGGATCATATTTCGAGAGCCATTCAGAATTTCCGTAAGGCAGAGAAGCAGAATCAGCTACAGTCCGTGAATGTGATTGGCACGACGTTTATGGCGTCTAGTTTTGAAGTGTTTGAAGATGTTCAGTTCCCCTTTATTTTGATCGACGAGTCATCTCAACTGCTAGAGCCTTTGACAGTAGTGCCGCTGGCGAGATTTTCCTGTCATAAAATGGTGATGATTGGCGACCCTTTGCAATTACCGCCGACGTTGGCTACGAATGCAGAAGAGGGAAAGGCTGGTAAAGGCTTGGATAAAACCATGTTTGATCGAATGATGGAAATGGGGCATGAGGTAATCAAACACTTTTTCCCTTTCAAAATAACATGTTTCCTTCTCTTGTTTTCTCATCATCCATCCTTTGGGCTAGTCTATCATGCTAAGAACACAGTATAGAGTAAAGTATATAAAACTGAAAGCCAAACAGAATCCATATGGCCGTGCTAACTGATTTGATGTATCATGACAGTGCCATCCGCGTATCGCTGGTATCAGCAACAAGCTTTTTTATGAACAAAGACTATTGAATGGCGTTACAGAACAAGATAGAAAGCCTTTAATTGCCGGATTACCTACGCTACTATTCATTGATATGGGTGTTGGAAAGGTACTGTAAACTCTATTATTATTCTTGGTAACTTTTCTTTTTTTTTTTTTTTTTGTTATTAATCAGAGAATATCAACTATGTGTAGGAGCAAAAAGCTGTAAAGAACAACTCTTATTCGAATGACGCTGAAATGAGTGTGGTGCTAAAATTGCTTGGCAGATTGACCTCCTGTCAGGTTGCTGTGGAAGATATAGGTGTTATTTCATTATGTGAGTGACTGGAGAAAGAACCTATGGCTCTTCACTATCGAAAGTTTGTTTTTTGCTTATACCTTTTGCCGTCGATATAGATAAAGAGCAAGTGGATCGATTGAATGAGCACCTGAATACTGAGCAAGCAACAAACAAAGGTATTCAGATCTCCACAGTAGACGCCTTTCAAGTAAGTACCCGTAGAGAGGATACGGTTGTTTTGAGTGGGGGGGGGGATACTGACGCAACTTATTTGCTTGTGATGTAGGGCGGTGAGAAAGAGATTATCATTTTATCCACAGTGCGAACATCCGTAAGTCAATTCATGGACAATTATCCCCGTATCAATGTCGCCTTGACACGGGCGAGACGTCATTTAATCATTCTTGGAAGTAAAAACCTATTTGCGATGAATGAGCTTTGGTCAAAAATTCTTTGGGAGTGTGGGGGTAAGATAGCAGACTGATACAATGACTACATGTGTTTATTCATAAGGATATCAACGTATTTTTTTTTATTTTTTTTGTGAATAGATAGTTGTATTCAAGCCAATCATTTGGACGATGTCTTAATCAAACTTGAACCGTCTACTTTCGTCTAGTTCGCACTCTCTCTTTGCTCCGCTGCTGCTATTATAGATTCGCTTTTTTTTAATAAGATGGCTGTTTGTCTTTTGCTGTAAACTTTGAAACTCTTCCAGTTGTCTATGCGGTAAGAATGGAGTAGGTTCCATATTTCTGCTATGTAATGTCGTTGCTGTGGCTATTTGCCGTTTTTCTTTGGGAGGAGCGGCTTGTGTCTCGTGGGCGCGCACAGGGACCTCCATGCCGTAAGCATCCGGTAGAAAACGACTCTTTAAATCGTCCAAAGAACGCAAGCTGATTCTTTGACTCTGTGAGAGTCGTTTGACACTTGCCAATGTTTGAATCACCTCTATTTTATACTTGAATTTTTCAGCTCCCTTCCCTTTGCTCTCTTCTTCTTCTTCTTCTTCTTCTTCTTCTTCTTCTTCCTCTATCCAACAAGCGTGATTCTCATTTTTCTCTGCAAGCAGAGGAAAATGTTTTGATTTTTCTTTCCAGTCCCATGGGTCAGGTCTTGAGGGTAAATGGTCGTCTAAAAATACAGGTGGTTCTAAATACAGATGAGCTGGTAGCTTCATCCTGTGTTGGAGAGGTTGCTGTAGGGTGCATTCGAGTGTGTCCAATTTTTGCAGTGTCTTGAGAGAGACTCTCCATTTTTGGTTCCATTGAAGAGAGTCGAGTCTGTCTGTTTGAAGGTCGATGTCTGGTAAGCGTGGTAAAGGCACCGTTTGAGCCAATTGGAATAGTTGCTCTAAAGAAGGAAGAGAGAGAGAAAGGATAGGAGGCAGTGTTTTTCAAAGGGATGTTCTTCTGTGTGTTTACTGTACTCTTTTCTGCTAACGTGGGAAAGTATTCGTGTATGTCTTGACGCGTTTCGTTGTCCAAAAGTTCACGCATTTTTTTAAAAAGAGAACAAAGACAAGAAAGAAGACTGAATACATTACATATTTACCTGTTTTTAATTCTATAAGCAGTCCTATTCAGTCTTTTTGTTGCTAAAAGTTCATAAGCATTTCTGATAAAGGCTCCAGAAACAGCCTCTAACGGAAGCCTTTTCAGATGACGATTTGGCATCGTGGGCAAAACAAAAAAAAGAAAGAGCGTTATCTCTGAAAATGCCTCTTTTAGATATTTGTCATCATCAGACTTTTTTTCCCTTCTGCTTTAAGAAATGTCAAAAGGACTTGTTTGCTTTTGTTTATGATCATAGTTCTCCCCCCACCCCCTTTCACAAAAATTAATTGCTTTACAATGGGCTCAATCCCTTTAGGTTTTTCATTTTTTTATGCCGTGACTCGGATAAAAATTATCCCCTTCAAGCATGAACTTTAAAAAATAAAAAAATAAAAAAAGAGGCGTTTTTTCTTATTGCTTTTCTCACATTTGTTTACTTCATTTTCAAACCCGGGGGAAAAATGTTGCGTCGTTGTAATAGCTTGTTGACAAGCGAATTGACTATGAGAAAGGCAGCTCGATATTACCACGATTGTCCAACAAACGCTATACAACCCTTACGACTCTTACTTATAGGCTGCCCGGTACGAAAAGAAAAAAATGTCTAGAAACGGAAAAAAAAAAAGGAAAAATTATCTCTAAAGTTTCCTTAAAAAGGGCTCAGGAAAAGGAACACAATCCACAAGACTCCAGAGGAATTTCGGTGTAGCGCATTTATCGAGCGGAGACCTTTTACGAAAAAATATACAAGAACAAACCGTTTTGGGTCGACAAGCAGAAAAGTGTGTAGCTGATGGAAAGTTAGCGCCGGACGATTTAGTTGTCTCTTTGATTGATGCTGAATTGAGAAAAGTTGGTAACGCTGTAAAGTTTCGAGAAAAAAAAAAACAAAAAACAAGAGCAAGCAGCAGTAGCAGCAGTAGCAGCAGCAGCTTCTGACGGACAAAAGAAAACGGCTCGACTAAACCAGGATTGTCTCTCTTTTAGAATTGGCTTTTAGACGGATTTCCAAGAACGCTCCATCAAGCGAAAGCACTGGATGCCAATTTGAATAGAATAATGCAACCGTTAAACCTCGTTATCAATCTCCAAGTACCTGAGGAAGTCATTCTACAACGCATCATGGGTAAAATAAGACACAAAGAAAAAAAAACCCCCCATAAACAGGCAGATCCTATGTCTTTTGTCTACTCACTGTTTAGCCTTGTTATGAAACACATGATAGACCGTTATGTTCATATCCCTTCAGGTCGAGTCTACAATTTGTCGTACAACCCACCACAGATAGCAGGTTTGGATGATATTACGGGAGAGCCTTTATCGAAACGGCCAGACGACACAACAGAAGTATTTAAAGTGCGTTTGGATCAACATCATCGTATGGCCGCGCCTTTACTGGACCATTATCAAGATATTGTTGTTCATGTGGAAGGCAGTACGAGTGATGAAATATACCCAAAGATTGAGAAAGAGATTGTGAATCGATTAGGTGTTTTACCGGCCATCATGGTGCCCGATGCAAGCAACTACTCGATTGCATCCATTCGCCAGCAATTATCGTTTGACCGGCAGGACGAAGCAACAGAAGCAGAGGAGCACAGAGCAGTGGCCGTGGGTGCAAACTAAAAGACAATCACCGCCAGTAGTAGAACGAATGTATTCATTCCATTTATTCATTCCTTACACCCTTCTTTTCCCCCAATGCTTTCAATCTATTGACTTAGCTTTGCTTCTCCCCCTCTCATCTCTTATTGTACAGCAAAAATATATATTCTCTTTATCCGTCCTCATCCACAATTGAAACCCTAAATGAAACATCGTCCACCTCTTCATCTCTTTCCACTTCCCGAGTCATTCTTTTTTCAAGTTAGACAAATGTTCGTCTTGGATGGACGAGAGACATCCATGGTCTGTACTGCCATTGTGTTGTGGAAAAGAATCGTTTTTATTTGTGCAAATATCTATGTACACACTGTTTTAAAATTAAATGACGCAATGAGTTGGTGTGAAGCTGTAATTTTTTTTTTTTTTTTTTTTTTTTTGTGAATCTATGAAAAAGAAAAAAAAAGTTAAAATATATACAGACGTTTTTTTTTGCATGAAGAGTAAGTGAGAAAGTGAACAGAATAAATAAATAGGACACATTAGAAAAGAGGGTCTAATAAACTAGCAGAAGTAATAAAGTTGTCTTCCAAGGTGGCTGTAGTGGGAGTGGTGATGACAGAAGTAGTAGTGGTAGGATTGCTATTCATGGATAATACAGTATTGTACATCAGTTTAGAGAGATCTGCGGCAGTAACAGCAGTCGTCGTGGTCGTAGTCGATGTGGCGGTGTCATCATGACCTGCGCCGAGAGTGAAGATCGGATCGTCGACAGGCATGATGTATTGGTCAAAGAATTCGTTGGTGAATGCATTTGCAGGTAGGCTAGGACTAGGAGTGCATGCAGTACTACTGCTATTAGACGAATAAGAACTGGTTGAATTTCGATGGCTTTCATCCAGGCTATTTTCATTGTGTGTTGCTGTTATTGTTGTTGTTGTTGTTGTTGTTGCTGTGGTAGTAGCTACAGGAACGGTAGGACTGTCAAAGAGATGCGCGGTCGTCGCGTCTTGCAAAAGAATACCACAAAATAACGAAGCATCAAAAGCATTCATACTATCTTCGTCGGCCAGCGAGAAGCAATCTGCAAAGTCAAGCGATTCCGTGGTGCCACTTACATTGGACATAGCAGGCGAAGCAACAGTAGCGTTCTGGGTCATCTTTTCAAAGAATGCATTCTGAGCTGACAATGCATCCACCGTCAGAGGAATGCTGCCGTTTTTAGCTGCTGCTACTGCTGCTGCTGCTGCTGCTGCTGCGTCCATCGTCTCTTCTGCCATGGACGGCAGGATGGCCATAGGGGACAGGAGCCCGACTAAGGTCGCTTGAGGATCCATTCTGTCGGTCAAGGAAGGGGGCGAAATGGGGGCCGTCCGACTGGAATGCTTACGTGGTTGCAGAGAGGGCATGAATTTCGAACGATAGATATCCAAAGCACGCTGAAGCATGTTCTTCTTGCCGGCTAAATGTCGAGGATTCAACCAGGCAAGTTTCCAAGCTAATTCATTACACATCGTCTCTTCTACCCAACGAGCATCATTCGTAGCAGGCTTTGGAATACGCATGACGCGGGGATAAGGACAATTGGCTTTTCGGAATTCAATGTTGATTTCTTCCAAAGGAACAGATTCAACGTTGATCTTGATACGGAAACGTTGGTGGTGAGCGTCTTCAATAGCGATTGTTTTAGGATGATGCGTATGCGTATGCAGGGTCGATGGGGCTGCTGTCGAACAAGTGCTGCTGTTGCTGTTGTGGGTGGAGGCCGCCCCGCTGGTGATGGTAGTAGTAGTACCACCCACATGCGCTTCCGCGGCTGGATCTCCATGAGGAGGGTCGCCTTCTCTGTGTTTACGTTTACGGAGGGTACCATTCAGTAACTTTTCCTGACGAGCCACACGACGAGAGCGCATACTAGGATAACGGTTACGGTAAGAATCCACAGCACGTTGGATAAGACCTCTTTTTCCGGCAATTTCTTCTTTATTTAAAAAAGCCAGCTTCCATCCAAGAAGATTGCATTCGGTTTCATAAGCCCAACGATTGCCATTGTATTCTTCTTTAGGTAAATTGGCTCTAGGATAGACCTATTGTGTGTGTGTAAATGCATAGATATGAGTGAGCAATGTCAAGGGGATGGATTCCAGACCTAAATTAATATGAAAGTTGTTTTCCGCCCCCTCCTCTTCTGACAGACCCCATTTCGGTCATTGAAAAGAATGAACGTAGAAACAATAAAATGTTTGTTTTCTTTGTTTTCACGCATTTGGAGAGAGAGGGGGGGGCGGTGGGGGGAGGATAAACTTACACAATTTTCGCTTCTAAATTTATCGTCTAGAATGGAAACGTCGACTGCTTGAATATCTGTACGGATAGAGTAACGTTTAAGGGCACGATTATGTGAATAAACAAAGGACACCCATTCGACGCCATCTCTGACCTCGGTAACAGGTTCATTGTTCGGAGCTGTTGTGGGATGATTGGCTGCATGATGGGTTGTCTGTTTCAGAACCTGCTGTTTCAAAACAGAGGAAGAAGCAGGCGGAGGTGGCGGCGGAGGCGGGGTATGGGTCGTGCTGGTAGAATTATCTTGAGAAGGAGAGCCATGGAGACGTGTAGTAGAAGCCAAAGTCGAAGTAGGAGCAGTTGTCGTTGTCGTTGTCGTTGTCGTCGTCGTCGTCGTCGTGGTCAACAGGGTCATCTCATCGGTCGTGCTGGTTGGAGGTGGCGTGACGGGAGTTAAAGATACAATCGCGGCGGTGGTTGTAGTACCTATCTGTTGATCGTCTTGCTTTTCCTTTTTATGATGGCCATGTGTCAGTCGTCTACGTTTGACCTTTCCAATGGTGTGTTCAATAGCCGAGATCTGATCAGCGGTCAAGAGTTCAAGTAGACATTCTGCCTTTTCAGGTGCATTAATCAAGTCTTGTAACGATAAAGAAGTAGGTGAGTGTAACATTTTGTTTTCAGAAGATGAAGTGGTTGTAGTGCAAAAATCCATTTTAGAGAGTGAAAGAAAAAGAGGGGGGAGGTTATGTCGTTTGGGTTTAGATAGATAGATAAATGAGTGTGTCTGTAAGGTGTGTTCCTAGGTTTTTATACTTTTTTTTTAATTCAATGCAAAAAGACAAAACAAAGGAAAAAAGGGAACAAGAATAGAAAATAGAAATCACATAAAAAAATGGCTCAATTAGAAAAGGGCTTTCTTTATTCTAAGCAAAAAAGGGAACGAAAAAGAGAAAAGAGAAAAGAAGAAAAAGAAAAAAAAAAAAACCAAAAAAAAGGGTAGGTAAAAGGGCGTTTAAGGCAACCCATTGCATGTGCTGCTTGTAAATTTGTTTTTTTATCGGAGTTTTAAAGTATTTGTCATAGAAGAAAAAGGTGGAGTAACAACAATAAGACTCACTGAAACTGAATAGGCAATATGGAAAAATCGAAGAAAAAAAAAGCTAATGTTTGTAACTTAATTCTCATTGAAAAAAAATGAGCAGGCTTTTACGTGCATCATAGTAATGAAGAAGACAATTGTCATCTTTTTCATTCCAACGCACGCAGACTGCTTGACCCCCTCCCCTCGCAACCCCTTACTGTCCCTTTTTTAATTTTTTCTCCCGGCCGCATTTGACAACAATTCGTCTATAAACAGTATTCCGTGATTGGCCGACCTACGCTCACCTCAACTCGTTGAATTGTCTTTTGTATCACGCCTTTTTGGAAAAAAGTTTTTTTAGCCCAAATAATCAATTAAAAACCAATTTGTCATAGTGATTTCTTTTTGGGATACCACCCAAAGATCATCGTAAAGAAAAAGGGCATTTGTTAGGTAAACATGACATCGTTAATGCAATTGACACGTGAGTTCAATTTACTGTCATTGTCATCCTATTTATTCTGATTTATATGAATGTTGTTGCATCTTTTATTATTTACACTGCGAAAAAACCCAAATAAAAAAAAAAAAAAAAAAAAAAAAAAAAAAAAAAAAAAAAGTCAATCTAGAATTGAAGTTTAACGATTTAGTCCCATAGAAAAAATCTTTTCTTTTTCCGCAGTGTAACAACCAAGCCGTAAAAGTATGCATATATACTAGTAGAAGAATGCCTTGAAGATGTATGCCATTTTTTTATTTTATTTTTTTTTCATTAAAAAAGTCTGTTAGAAGGCATTGAAAAAGCGGATCATCACTTGACAAACTTTTTCAAAATCAAAAGCAACCGAACGTGACAATAGAACTAGGTATTTGACAAGCGTCGTGTTATTATTGAGAAAAAAATAAAAGATGTTAAAAAGCAATGACATAACTAAATAACGATGACGGCCGTTTATAAATAATCGATCAACATGGCATGACTGAGCTGGTACATGGTCCTAGGACACAACGGGTTCGTAGACTACTGTCTAAAGGAGGCTTCTTTTTTTTTTCTTTTTCTTGCACCAGTGAAAGTAAGAATGGCAGAGTGTACATGCTCTACAGAGAGGAAAAAAGTAGAAACCACCTGCTTTTGCTTAGAATTCTACTCACTACCTCGTAATTCTGCTAATGCGATTTTTGATATTCTAACAAGAATACGAACTGTGATTTCTTGCAATTGTTCTTCCGAGTGGCTTTCCATGATGTCTACAGAATAGGATTTAGCGTATAGAATTTAAGAATAGGTCCACCCACAAAAAAACAAACCCGCTTTTTTTTTTACCTGCAAGCCAATCCTTTACTTGTTCGAGTTCATTTCTATAATCGTAGAAAAGAAGCTTTTCCTGTCCACCATAGCTTACACTGATAATTGTTTCAATACCAAGCAACAGTGCTTTTTTAACACCAACCGACTGTTGATGCGCATATCTCATGGATAAGGCAAACTCAAAATATTCTTTGACAATCTTTCTTTTATCCGGTGTGTTTGCTGTTTGGATTCAGAGAAAACCGTCAGTATGTTGCACATTTTTATCCTCTGGTATTTTGTCACCCTATTGATCACGAACTTACTGGCGCTATGCAATATGATGTTGAGCGTTAAAATAAACCTTTCAGCTACTATTTGGTTATTTCCTAGCCAATATCTAAACGAAAACGAAAACGCGATTTGCACGTATCATAGAATATTTTTTCGCGTCAGTCCTTTTTCGATGCCAATCCTGGGTTGGTTTGGTTTTTTTTTTTTTTTTCTTTTTTGTATTACTTTATGCGGCCTTGTGCACCTTCCCACCATCCAACCAACAGAGGAAAGAAAAAGACGGGCCCCGCTAAGCCGGCCAATCGATTCTTTTGCACCGTCTTCTGCTGCTTTTCTAACGCCATCTTTCGTGACATAAAGACAGGCTTACCTACTTGTTGTCTAACGAGGCTATTTTCTGCGGATAAACTTATATCTTCCAACTTCTTTTCAATTTCTGTTACTCCTTTTTCTGTTTCGTCCGCCTGCGGTCATTCAAAAAACTGGGTTAGAAATGAACGCTTCAATAACAAAATGATCATGATTTCCTTACGTTTCCCGACAATGACCATCCAGCCAGCTCTCTTACTGCTAATGAAATGGAGCCCAATATAAGCTGCTTCTGTCCCGTAGATGTGTTTCTGTCGTATAATTCATCGATAATAAACCTATAAAGAGAAACACAGATGAGTGGATGCATCTTTTCTTTTCTTTTTTTTTTTACTGTGTCCCTTCTTTGTTGGCCTTTTACCCTGTCACTGTGGCAGGCACCGCTGCCATCAAAGCCACCAAGGCCGCCTGTTGTAACTGTCTTGCATGGTCGATTTCGTAAGCGTCTGGAAAAGTGATCAAGTATTTTGCTAATTCAATGGACGATTCATCTAACAATAACCCATCAAAATTAAATACATTCCTAGGTTTCAGAGCTATTTTGTCTCCACAGTTTTTTATTTTGTGCGTTTGCTTACTCAGTTCGGTTCCAGCCCCAGCTTTTTGACGGATAATTTGTTCTGCTGCATTCAACCCAATTTCAAGTTTCACCGGGTCTTCCTGATCTCGTAAGTAACAAATCAGATCTCTCACATATCTAACAATACATAGGTTTTACATTGACTAAGCATTTATCATTTCACGCACAGCTCTATTGTTCCCTCTTTGGCCCCCTTCGAACCACGTGTTTGTATGTCATTTTCTAACTTACACTGGTTTCCGTTTGTCTTGAGGTTTTTTCGAGAAGCCGTCTTCTTTTACACCCTCATCATCTGATTCCTCTTCCATATAATAAGGTTGGAGATCATCATCATCATCCTCCTCCTCCTCCTGGTCTTCTTCTTCTTCTACATTCGTATCAAAAGTAGATGTAAGTAAAATGAAAGCTTTCAAGAGATCCCGTGTTCAAAACGTACCGATATCGTCGTCTGTCACGATAAATTCAGCGTCGGGGTCCATTTCTTCATCTTCCCCGCTTTCGTCTTTATCGTCTTCGCTCTCATTCTCTGTCAGTGGAACAGTGTTGCTTTCACTCGTCACTTGTTCAAACGCGTCTTTTGTATATATAAGTTCCTTGAGTACGCTAAAGTCATCCATGGACTCTAGCAGACCTGTATTCAGTTTCTTTTCCTTATCCACTCGAGAGGATATAGATTCAGCCATGAGCTACAACACAGAATATGAATCATGAGTCGATTTCATGGGTAACCAGCAAAAACCGCAAACATTCTTACTGCTCCATAAGCTGCTGTTCGTTTGTCCCCACTATCGAAATACTGATGTACACTAGACATAAAACGCGTTTCAAGCATAATGTGCGTCTCAATATCCTCTGTAGGTAAATACGCTAATAGCACCAAGATGAAAATGGTCAAATCTTAAGGAAAAAAAAAAAACAAAAAGAGAGGATGAGCCTTCCTTTCCTTTTTTTTTTTTTTTTTTTTTTTTTTTTTTTCCTCTTTTGAAATTTACAATGTCGTTCACGAGAAGTTCCATGTTTGATAAATACAGGATCAGACCATGTCTTGAGGCACGTTTTTGCGTAATCAAGCAGAATGGTATGGGCACTGTCTGATAGATGAGTGTCGTTTGGACATCCTTCTGCTTGAATAACAGTGGAAATAATGAGTCTCACAAGTATCTCGTCAGCCCAAGTGACTCTGGATAGCTTTAGACGACTTGTGTTCAAAAAAGCAAAAACACGTAGTTTGTCTGTCGATGAGCTTGCGGTCTTGGCAGTGGTGGTATCTTTTAAAAGAATGTGTGCTAATTGTACCGATGCTGTTTTGATCGTGGTGTTGGGCACAATTGTGTTCCTAACATAGGATAAAATCGGCTTGACAATTTGCTCTGTTGAAGTCATGGCTTCCACTTGCTCAAACACATGTGGCCATAAATCAGTATGATGTGTGCATGCAATAGGGTAGATAGATTCCATAAAGAGATCTATTTATTATTCATTTAATAAATTTATTTTTTATTCATCCACTCTATTCATAGAGACCATCCTTTATTTTATACTGTACCTTCATAACCCTGTCGAATGATTTTTGTTGCCAACTCTACTGTAAACCGAACCGTATGCTCTCTCAAACACTCGGCTAAATGACGGCTCAGTCTTGCGTAAAACTTTCTACAACAATGTCAGTCTATATCCTTAAACTACCCCCCCCCTTTTATCTTGTATGTACTTTTTCTCTTACCTATCAAAAAACCATTCCTGTTCTGTATAAAAGGACATGTCCTGCGAATGAACACCAAACGTATTGGCTAAATGGCTTGGTATCGAACATAACAACGACACCAAAAATCGGCAATCCCTGTCTGGCGTAAATTTAGCATACAAGAAAAGAATATCCGCTGATAGAGACAGCTTTTTCAAAGACAAAGCATATATATCAAGCAAGTCCAAAGCCGCGTTGTGGCGTTGCTGCTCATCAGTGATACACTCTATCAAGATCGGTAAACTCTTGGCAGCCATGTGGTACCTCACTTCCTCGCTAGCAGCTGGGTTCGACAACGTAGCTGTCTTTAACAACGTTCTATTTTGAGAATGGTTCTGAAATGCAAACGTCCAACGCGGCAATATATCTCGATAAATATGCCAAACATGCTTTTTCCAGCTTTCGTGTCGCATCAACGCTACTTGCTGCTCATGATTCAGTAACTGTTCATCACTTTGAAGCCATTGGAGCGGCTGCGAAATGCATTCAACCATATTTTCTAAAGTGGCTTCGGCAGCTAAAGCTGCTTCGTCTAGCGCTATGAGTTGATCAACATAGGCTTTAATAGCTACTGACATGGACAATGGAGGAAATGACAATGTCAAACAGTAAAAAACGAATCTGTCCTAAAAAGGGACATGTTCAATTTTTTTTTTTTTCATGCAAAAAAGTGTGACCGTAACCAATCAACAATTCCCCCCCTCCCCCCAGCAAAAGCTTACAAGTGATCTGCCTTCTTACAAATGCTTTTGAAGAAACCTTACTTTTTCAAAAATTCAGGCACGGACCAGTCATACAGAAAATAGACTTCTTTTCCCATTGAGACAAGTTTTTTTTTCTGCCTTAAAAAAGAGCCTTTGTGGATCCCTAAGCATGGATTCCGTTCTGTATCCCGAGGAATACCCCCAAGTTACGTAGTCGGGCATAGAAGCCGTTCTCTTTTAAATTGCCTATATGCTTGTCTTTGTTCTGTTCTTTTTGTTTGGGCCTCAGGTATAAAACTAGTACAAAGAGAGTCCCGTCTTTAAAAATCAATCAGCGCATACATCTGCATATCATGTTTGAATGACTTGAATGAGCGCGTGTGTAATAAACCTAAGAAGCAATTTTGAATAAGAAAACAGATACAATGGACCCCATACCTTAAGAAGCCATCAAGGAAGAAGAAAGAGACAAAAAAAAAGAGAGAGATCATATTTCTATAATTCATCAATAGAATAGGTTGTAAGCAGACAAGACGCTCAATATTGCCTCTGTACCTGAAATCTCAAGATTCTTGGCAGATGTGGGCAGGTTTTTCTAGAATAAATAATAGCAATTTACATGTCTAATAGACACACGAATAAAATGAGGCAGGACAATGTTTATTGTTGATCCATTTATTTACTGTGCCGCCTTAAACCAAAGGCCCACCCATTTTCGGAACATTCTTATCCTGTCCGTGTCGCGCATTTAAAATTTTCTGTTTTTGAATCATACAACAAACTTGAAAATTCACCTTTTTTTTTTTTTTTTTTTTTTTTCTTTTGCACTTTATGATTACTATTTCACCTTCCAAAGTCAAATTACTCCATTTCCCTAGATCTCATCTACACCACGTAACCCATGCTGTTGTAAAGTCCTGTTTCTTTGACGACACAAAAGAGTAAAGTAGACGATATAGGGATGCACCCTTCAATTGACTATTTTTTGTCTAGTATATCTCTTATACAAATCATTGTTAATGCGTGCCTTTGTTACCTTTGTAGCTCTCAGTATTTTTTCTCATTCACTGAAAACGCTTATGAAATTTCCATTGTAGCCAATAAAGATGTGATTGACAATGAGTTTATACCGCTACTACTCCAGTCTCAATGTCATGATATGAGCGCCTCGGCTGATGTGTATCGAGTCTTACAAGTGGATGATGAAGGAGGACAAGGTAGTCTAGAAAGAGCATCCTGTTGTTCCTTCCTCTTCAAAGAGACAGACGAATGATTAACGTATTACACTTAAAAAGGCTCTAGCGGAAAGCGTATTAGTGACCTCTCTGGTCCACTGGCTCAAGGGAACTTTTCGATTTTTTACATGTCGATTTATCAAACAGATTTTGTATTGGTAAAAAAGGAAGAAAACAAAATAGGGCAAAATGAGGGATTCCTTTTTTTAACCGTCGTGGCATTCTTTTCTTTTTTCTATGCCCTTGCAGGTGAAAGAAAGACGTTTGAAGCAGGCAGTACAGCTACTGCAGCAACATGACTTTGAGTTCGATCTAGAGTCTGTAGACCAATATTTAGGCGGATCGCCACCACCCATGTACCCATCGGAAAAGGATAAACTTTCATTAGAGAGTGATACATCTCTTTTACTTGAAGATGCATTCGAAAGATCCGTCTTGTCTGACGAGCTTCAGTGTGTTGGTTTAAATCCCCATTATCGGTCGGACTGGGCAATGACCGTGCTCAAAATCTTATCTTACCCTGAATTGATCAAATCTGATGAAATCAGGTATTTTTTTTTTTTTTTTGTTTCTTTATTGAGACGCACAAGTGACACAAAATCGGGATACTGAAAAGCATCCTCCCCTTGGCCCTTTGGGTTGGGTTTCGAATCTTTAGTTTGAATGATACCCGTTTTTTCTCATACACAGCCACCAGTGATGGTATATCTCTCATCGCTAATCAACACATTTTGAATCTTTTTGACTCGGATGTCATTTTCCAAGATGAAGCATCCCAAACTTATCGCGTAATACAAGTCAATTTAGCTGGATCTAATTTAGACCGTTGCGGTATCGTGTGGTCCATCTCGCATCCTTTGGCTGCCGAGGCACATATCAATTTGTTATATCTCAGTACATACAAAAGCGCCAACGTTTTGGTAACGCTATTTTTTTTAATCCGTGCGCGTTTCCATCTTCATTCTCTAACCCAGTCCCATCTATGTATAGGTCTCTTCCGAGGATATTGGCAAAGCAGAGCAGATTCTTACGGATGATTTTGAACATTTCAAGGGCATGCTTGCTGAACTCGCTTTAGAACCAACATTATAGAAGTATCTTATATAACTATTGCTACCACGACATCATCCATAACACACATATTTGTTATCTAATTTTCGTAAGTTGCTACCTCCACCCCCCCCCTCCCATCTTCTTTGCTGCTCCTCTATAATCACTTGATGAGCTTTATCGCGTTTTCATTCTTGTCGTACAAAGGCACCCTAGCGCAATGATAGATAATGAACATTTTCTGCATTCAACAACATATATTGTCTATCCGATGAATGATATCCATTTGGTTTATTATATCGGTGTCATCGCGGCTTAGACCCTTCCGTAGTCTTAAAAACTGTGTAAGCACATGATCTTTTGCGATAGGAACACAGCCCGAGCTCGAAAGTACAATCGCCTTAACACAAAAAAAAGGGAAAAAAAAGGGCCATGTTCAAGTACAAGTTAGATCATCTGTGATGATAAAAATACGACCTTCTGTTCTGTGTTCAGTTTATTCATAACCCACTAAGGTTAAGGCCAGATGGAAAGAGAAAGGCGGTAACCGTGCACAGAGCCAAAATGGATAACATATGGCTAACGTGAAGACAGTCGGTCAGTTCTTTCCATAAATGCACAGACAAAAGCATAACAGATGCAGCACCCGTTTCCTATGATTGAATTTGAGTTCTATCTTGCTGAGAAAGTCTCACTAGAAATTCTTCCATCAAATGTATAGCATCTTCATCAGTGACATAAGGGTTTGCAGTAAAAAATCAACACTCACACAAGTTAATCAGTCTGGTTTGTTTTTTTCTTTTGATAACTTGCAATACACCAATGTCTTTTAGTCGAACGACCATGTTGATATCATTATGACGCTCTTTCATTGTAATCGATCTTTATTCGGATGACTTACTATATCCTCTGGACCCCAAAGAGGAGCAGGACGCACTTCGAACACTGACCAATGATTTACCTCATATTCTGAATTTCTGCCTATTCAGTTTACCCATGTGGCTCTGAGTGTGTAACTGTGGGATTGATTTTTATTGAAAGAATAGAACATGCCTTTCCAATACATGTCCCCATTGGAATGCCTAGCGTTGGATACACCAAGGCTAATTATAGAAAGCTAAGAGCATGTCTATTGTATCATGTAGCACTGGGCTTCTCCATATTAGCAAGTACGACTTTTTCTCGAATGAGTACATCAATTTTTGAACCATTTGAAATAAGAATCAAGACAAATTAGCTATGCCTTTTGAAAGACCTGCCGACTTTGTAAAGACAACCTATAGAAGATAACCAAGTTCCATCTAATGATGTATCAGAGATGAAATGCAGTATGGGTGGCTTGTAAAGATCACTAAGCTGAGGTCGGCCCTCAATGGCTTTCCGAGCCATTCAGGACAGGCTTTTGCACAGAATAGAAAGCTTGATAACATTCGAAAGGCAAGTCAACACTTTTACTTTAGACTCCTGGCGCATCTGTCGATTACCAGAACAAAGCAACCTTCAAATAACCACTCGTCTTCAGAGAAGCTATGATACTCATGGTTGCATGATTCTAAGGCACCTCCCCCCCCCCAGTATTTTTTCCTTTTTTTCAACATTCCGTACCCACCGTACGGCGTCATTTTTCAATAGCACCTTTAATTTTTTTTACCATCACCAAATGCAATAACTGATTCATTTGCTGCCAATCATGGCTACGCCTGCAAGGCGGTCTATGCAAGACTTGAAATCATTTCTAATGCAAAATTAACTGCTCAGATAATTTCGTGATCTATTGGCGGCTAATCAAACGCAACTCAGATCAATATAATTCAGATGATAAGGTTGTATGGAATCTCTGGACAATACGTTTAGCCAAGAAAAAATCAACTTCTTGAAACCAAAATCTACTTTGAGCATAAAGTCTCAATTTCTTGTAATAATAGTCTAAAAAACCTTACTTGCTTCTAAACGGAAAAAAAAAAAAAATAGTGCCTCAAACCTTTCATGATTCATCACATACAAAAATATATATTTACCCCTTTATCAGAAGAGCACTGTTTCTATTGCTAAATGTTTCAATCAGTTATGATTGTTATTTTGATTCAGAGTCATTTTGAGCCATTTTTGATATTAGAAAATTAACGTTTTAAATCATCAAATTCAGCCTATTACTTTGGGTAAAATAGAGTCTTAGTATACAGGCAAATAGGGTCTGAGATTTTATTTTTAGTTTTTACACTAAAGCCTTCCTTTTGCGTTTCGCTCGAGTTTAAACGATTCTTTTTATAGTCCAAGCATTCAATTGTTCTTCTTCTTTCTTCTTTTCATACTGACGTCCAACTACTCTTTTATTTTCACTTGCGGTTAAGATACCCTCCTTTTTTCAACGCGACAAGAGCCATCAAAAATTGACGCATTGATTCCCAAAAATAACCTTGGCACTTCTAGTGCAAATAATAGCTTCCTTAATCCTGGTAGCTGCAGTAGTAGTAACAATAGTGTTTATAGCGAACCTGTTAACACCAGCAATATTACATCTAGCTCACAACACCGTCGTATACCCTTTGTTCACCGATTGTCTTCTTTCAGAAAACACAAAAGAAGCTCATCCATCTCTTCTCCAATGCCACCGAATCAACCTGAATCGTATAAAAGCTCAAGCAATAACAGCGTTAAGGAAGATCTCTATTCCGCTGAACTCGTTTTAAAAGTCAATGTTATACAAGCACGCAATTTAATTCGAGATGATGAGGTAAAAGGATACTCAAGTAAAATGCCTATAGAAAAGGGTCATTGATGAAACTCTCTATCACCATCATAGACGAATGCTCTTAGCCCTTATGCAAATGTCTGTTGTGGTGGGATCCGACATAGGACAGATACTCTGAAAAAATCGTCCAATCCTGAGTGGAACTGTATCTTTGAGTTCAATTTGTCAAATGATATTCTAGGTCATAAGAGGAGGCTGAGGGCGTTGAAGAAGCAAGGATTATCCATTACAGTGTATAGTAAAGATCGATTCTCTTCTATATTCTTGGGTCAAATCAATTTGTCACTTGACCAACTGTTTAAACAAAATGAATCCATGACTTTTGAGAAATCTCATGTAAGTTGCCTGGGCATCATTCTACCCAAAAAAAAAAAAAGAGGCAATTACACCTGTGTAACGAAATACTCAATGAACCTATTTTTAAATTCTTTCGATACAATTAGCCCAAATGGCTTCCTTTGTCGCTACCAAGCAGACAGCATAGACGACTTCACCTGAGAAGAAAGAAGCTGGATGACTCAGCACCGACAACGACAGCAGTAGCCCCAGAGTCACTTTCAGATAGTGAGCAAACCGAAATACAGATCCAATATGGATTGTTGTTAAAGACGAGTCATGGAGACATAATACCTTATGATGATGCTATTTTAAGAGACGACTGGCAGTCTTTACTAGCCGATGATAGCACCAGCAACATCAAAGATGAGGAGCTGTCAGGGGAAACTGAAGCAGAATCAGGAATAGGAGGATCGGTGGATGAGGAAACTCTCTCTTCATCGGTACCCGCGCCTATGCCTGCTTTACATGGAAGCTCGAGTACAACTTCGTTTAGTAGCCGTTTCAGGCGACCCTTAAGACACAATCACTCAACATCCTCTACTACTTCATCCTCTTCCATTGCATTTAACACAGCTCCTTCAACACCTGCAATCCATCAGACGGAGACCCTTCCATCCGGTGATACGACCGGTGATAAGAAAAAGGGTAGGAAACTTAGACGAAAGTTTAAGAGAAAACAAAAGAACCGAAAGGCCTCCAAAGGGGGATACGCAAAGTTCTATTCAGATATAATGGGCGTCACATTCTTGGAAATTGAGAGCGCAAAGGACCTCCCCCCTGAGCGTAATATGACAAGAACTGGCTTTGATATGGACCCTTTTGTGATTATCAGTTATGGTACTTCTACTTTCCGTACAAGAGCCATTCGACACAGTTTGAACCCTGTGTGGAATGAAAAGCTATTCTTCCATGTGCGAAACACAGAAGAAAATTACAAGATCAAATTCGCCATTTATGATAAAGATAAGTTTTCCAACAATGACTTTGTTGCCTCTCAGGAGATCACAATTGCAGACATTATACAGAAAATGCCCACAAGTCCATCTTCAGCAGTAGATGCATTGGCCCATGCTACTCCTTCCCTGTCAACGAGTGAACATCAGGATTCCGAAAAACAGGATAAAAGAGAGGAGGATTGTCTAACAGCTTCTTCTAATGAAATTGAACGCAATATGGGTCGACATACCATCCCCTTAAACTTGGCGAAACCGGAAAAATGGAAAGACAGCTGCCACCCAATGCTAACCTTCCGTGCCAAATTTGTGCCTTATGTGGAAATGAGACGAATGTTTTGGATGGCCTTGGCTAAAGCATGTGATGCCGATAATTCAAATACAATGAATCGTTTGGAAGTACAGACGATGCTAGAAGCACTAGGTTCCAATATCTCAGAACACACACTTGATAAGTTTTGGAAGCAGCATGATAAAGATCCTAGTGAAGATTTGACTCTAGATGAATTGGTCGAAAGTTTAGAAGCATTCATATTAGCTAGTGATAAAACAGAAGAAGACCCGAACGTCATTATTGAGCAATCGAAAGATGTACCTATCTCGGCAGATAAATATACGACCGCCAACCCATTTTTCATGGCGGCAACCTCAGATGACGAGGAAGAAAGAGAAGGCTACGAGCATTCTGATGAAGAAGATGAGGACGACGACTATGAAGACGGACAAATGATGGATGATGATGAATACATAGATGATGAAGAAGAGGATGAAGATGAAGACGATGAAAGTGAGTACGACTATTTCACCAGTCATAATGAATATGACGATGATTATATGGATTCCGCAAGGTCTGGTTCCTCCAGCGCAGCAACAGCATCCTCTGTGTCGCCTGATGAATCTAACTATGAAGCTTTGGCTGAAGGAGAAGGAATCCAATATGTTGATACAGCTTTGAAACAGCTTCAGTTAAAGGATGTTGATGGTTCGACAGCCACAACCAACAAGCACCATCACGAAAAAGTGATTCGGCTGAATGAATGTCCTATCTGTCACAAGCCCAATCTGGCAAAACGTGGGCAGATGGACATCATCACTCATGTTGCAACTTGCGCAGCTAATGATTGGACTACTGTTGATAGGTTCCTGATTAGTAATTTTGGTTCAGAAGCACAAGCTCAACGGAAGTATGTCTTTATCGCGCTTATAGAAAGTAGACAATATCTTTATTTTTCTTACTCATCATCATACGATTGAAAATATTTTAGGTGGTTTGTTAAGCTAGTGAATCAAGTCGGCTATGGAAGATATTCTATTGGGAAGGTAAATAACTCAAAACGATTAAAGTGAAACTAATAGAATCTCCCATATAAAATAACTAATAATGTTATTAGAATAATGCCAATATTATTGTTCAAGACCGCTTGACAGGGCAGTTGATCGATGAACGGATGAGTGTTTACATTCGATTAGGCATGCGGCTCTTATATAAAGGAATGAAATCAAGTATTCAATCAAGAGCAGGTATGCGTATCTATTTTTATCAATACAAGTTTATTGTTGTAGCAACAAGAGGGTGTTTTCTGACACTGTTTAACCATAATAACTTTAGCTAAGCGCTTGCTAGCAAATATGTCCTACAAGCAAGGCCGCCGTTTTGATAGCCCTCTTTCTCAACGTGAGATCAGACCTTTTATAAAATTCCATCAGTTAGACATGAGCGAAGTGCTGGAACCTATCGAAAACTTTAAAACATTCAACGAGTTTTTCTACAGAAAGCTGAAACCAGGGTCACGGCCATGTGATGCACCTGATAATCAAAGAGTTGCCGTCAGTCCTGCTGATTGTCGTATGATGGCATTCCCATCTGTAGACGCCGCTACTACTCTATGGATTAAAGGTTTGGAATTCAGTCTGTCCAAGCTGCTCGATGATGCACAGGAAGCAAAGTATTTCGAAGGCGGATCTTTGGCTATTTTCAGATTGGCTCCCCAAGACTACCACCGTTTCCATTCTCCAGTAGATGGCACCATTCGCAAAATACATAATGTGGAAGGACAGTACTTTACTGTGAATCCAATGGCTATTCGAACTACTCTAGATGTGTACGGTGAAAATAAACGAGACATAGTCTATATGGAGACGGAGGAGTTTGGTCAAGTAGCAGTTGTTTGTATAGGTGCAATGATGGTTGGCTCCATTATTTTGACTGCTGGCGTTGGTGACTATCTCAAACGAACAGATGAGCTGGGTTACTTCGCCTTTGGTGGAAGTACTTTGGTCGTATTATTCCAGAAGCATGCGTTGCGTTTTGATGAAGATTTGTTAGAAAATGCCAATAACTCGTTAGAAACACTGGTAAGCTTTCTAAAAAGATAAATCTGCTCATATCCACTTACACTAATCGACTGTCTGGGGTTTATTTTACGTTTTTATCTTAGGTGCGCGTCGGCAATCATATTGGCGTACATCCTTGATATCCTTATTACTAACTATTTATTTTAGAGATTCCCCCCCCTAACCCAGATTATATACTTCCTTTTCTCTTCTGTATTAACATTATCAATTTAAAGTAAAACGATCACCGATGAACTTAATAATTAATATAATTGTATTGTTGAGTTCATTATTGCGATTTGATTTTTACTACGCTGAACAAATGAGCTGAAAATCTCCGAATTGTGGAAGTTGGTATCGTAATGGTTGGTGTAAGCATTAATTCCTACTCAAACAAAAGTGCATAACAAGTACTCTATATGCTTTCCCTTTTCTTTTCGTCAGAGAAGCAATATAAAATTGATTGAATTAGAATGAAATAAAGCTGATTACCGTCGTAAGAATAATATATTGATTTTGTGTATCTTTTGAAGCTTCAGTGTCTTATGCAGACAATGAAAGTAAACGCGCAAAATCGTACTCTACTTGCTAACGACAGCTTTTAAACCCTTAGAGTTTTCATTACGTGGCATACGCTGAAGCTGTTTATGTGCAAACAATCATAGACTATTATGTTCTACAGTCAACAGCTATATTAAGACTATAATCAATATCATACAATAAAAAATTCTTCTGGCAGCTAAACAGCAGTAGAATTTGATTATTGCTTTCCGATGAATATCTAATTTCACTTTTATTAACATATTGAAAGCAAACGTTAAGGCTTTATGTGGGCTAGAAGAGAGAGAGAAGAAATAGATGTAAATAATCAATGGGTAACTTTTACTAACAGGGTATATAAGAGACATGAACTATCCCAAATTTTATGCTTTATTACTCACCTCGCAATAATTAATCACACTCTGAATACTACGTCTTACGCTTTGCTCGTCACTAAGCTTAGCAGAACCCAAGCGAAGTTGACGCAGTGATTCATAGGCTGCTGTTGTTGTGTATATGGTACAGGCAACCTCGGATACCGAATTAACGTTACGGCCAGTTCTACCACTTTGTTGAACATACTCTAAAAGAGAGTCTGCAATACCAATGTGGTAAATATAGCTGATATTAGGAATATCAACACCCACCAAAAGCAGAAGTTTGGACCATAACGACACCTTGATCAGTAGTCGTAAATGACTTCTAATTTTGTTCTTTGATGTCAGTATTCAAGTTAGCGTAATACGTCAGAGCTTCTACTTGTGGAGAATTGTGTTCTGCTCTTGTTGGTAGAGTAGGGAAGCAAGATAGAATAACTTCCGTGTGAAATGTCGAATATAAAAGTGTATCATCGTTGACATCTTGACCAAGATTTTTACCTTCAATAAAAGTCTTGTTGGAGACTAAAGTAGTAACCGAGGTTTAGGTATTTTAGCTCTCTCTATATTGAGCATATCTTCTTAACAATAGCGCTATTTCTAAATGGAGAAAGCAAGTTCCTTGTTCAGGAAGATCGACAGAACCGTCAGAACCTACCCTAGGCAAATTACGTTCACTATCGTTCTTGCTAGTTGCTACCTGTAGTTTGACAATAGTAAAAGTGTTAGTATATACATTAATTTGCTTCTTTTCACTGTCATTTACCTCTAACTTGTTCTGAGTTTGCTAACCACAAGCCCTGATCAGCCTAACACTCATCTCAATTTTTCAAGAATATTTTGCTTTTTGAATCTGTGCGGACGACCAGAGTGTTCCAAGGTCAGACTGTTCGCTTAATCAAACACCACGCGTGAGTATTGTTGTAATTAATACTGGTTCCTGAATACAGTTTGGCTGGAGTCACTTTTATTGATGAGCGTCTGCTACTGGTAGGATTTCTTTTTCCGTATTTAGCTTCGAGCTTTGGTGTCATTTTATAGTTAGACACTATATCGAAAGCTTGTAAAAAAGAAAAAAGTCATACCGATTTTTCCAGGTGTTATATCTTGTAATTGGGAAGAGGTACCATCTTACAGCCAATTTCAGTTCGTTAGTTCCGACAACTTCCCATAGAGATGAACAAAAACAATTCAAACTCATGACATTTATTTTTCTAATTCCGAAATTCATTTTGCCTTTCCGCCATTTATAGAGCAAACGCCAAATTCCATAGGTTTAACTGTATGATGCTGCTGCCTCCTTGGTACAAGTTGGGCTTTTTCAATCTCCAGTTTCGGTCTTTTTGCGCGTGTTGGCAGACCACACAATAAATTTGCGGGTTAAACAATCTGCCCTAACCTTGTATGTATTTATTTGTTGCCTTTTTTTTTGGCTCATATCCCTTTTCACATCTTTCCTTGAAATAACTTTCCACCATACTGAAGATTATTCTTCTTATTTCTTCCATCCCAAACTTCTCTTCAGCGTCATTGGATCATCAACACGTGAAAATGAACTTTAACATTTTCAAGCCAAAGCAGAAAACGCCCCATGATCTTGTAAAGCATGTGAGGGATGCCATTCACAAGTTAGATGGACCTGACAAACGAAAGGTAACAAGTGGAAAAAAAAAAGCTACCATGTTTCTTATTGGTTGAATTTTTCATATTGTTATGGATGGGTTTAGGCAACTGAGGAAATATCGAAATATTTGGTTTTGATGAAGAATATCTTGTATGGTGAAGATGGTATCTTGAGAGTCCAATAGCATTTTAAAGAAGTACTTATTCACCAAGAGTGCTGACATAGAATGTTCATTAGATCACGAACCTAGTCCAGACCTCGTTGCTCAGCTAGCTCAAGAAGTTTATAGGACAGATTTACTACAATTATTGGTTTTAAATATTCATAAGTTTGAATTTGAGGTAAGGAGCTCTGTTCTTCAGGTGAAAAATTTATGTAAGCCCATAATTCATTATTCTTTACTTTTTCTTACAGGCTAAGAAAGATGTCGCTCAAATTTTCAATAATTTATTGAGAAGACAGATTGGTTCTCGTTGGCCTACCGTTGAGCATCTATGTGCCCGGGAGGATATCCTTTTCAACTTGTTAAGGGGGTAAGCTGACAGCGACATGCCTATGATGAAGCCAGGAATATTTAATGAGGCTTTTGTTCCAATCTAGTTATGAGCAACCTGAAGTAGCGCTTAATTGCGGTTTAATTTTACGTGAATGTATCCGACACGAAGCATTAGCAAAAATCATCTTGTATTCGCCAAAGTTCTATCAATTTTTCGACTATGTGGAAATGAGCACATTTGATATAGCTTCAGATGCTTTTGCTTCTTTTAAGGAGATTTTGACAAAACACAAGCCCATGGTGGCCGACTTTTTAGAGTTGAACTATGATCAAGTAAGTTAGAGTTTTATCGTGACTCCTCCTTACAAGAATAATCTGCTAAAGTAAATCGCGCTCTTTTATTAGTTTTTCGAACATTATAAAAACCTACTATTATCAGAGAACTATGTTACTAAGCGGCAATCATTAAAGGTAAAGATTGTTCTTTCAGTAAGTTATCGGAAATGGGCTCTATCAACTCAAAACATCTTGACCATAGTTGCTGGGTGAAATTTTGCTGGACAGATCCAACTTTACAGTAATGACGCGTTATATTAGTAATGCAGATAACTTAAAACTGATGATGAACCTACTCCGAGATAGAAGTAGAAACATTCAATTCGAAGCCTTCCATGTTTTCAAAGTGTTTGTTGCGAATCCGCATAAAACAAGACCCATCGTGGATATCCTGATTAAAAACCAGGAAAAGTTGATTCATTTCCTGGGCAATTTCCATAATGACAGACAAGGTAAGAAAAATAGTATCAGAGCAAAAACTACAACAATTTTTCAATTATTAATCTCATCCTGATGCATTAATTAGATGACGAGCAATTCAATGATGAAAAGGCGTTCCTTATCAAACAAATCCAGGATTTACAACCTGTTCAGGATTAAAAAATATCGTAAACCCATACCAATAATACCTCGCTAACCACAACATACATTATATATATATATATAACACCCTCGTCGCTCACATACACGGCTACCTGCACATAAATACAACATTTATGAAGTCGTCAATGCTAGCATACTTTGTATATTTTTCTTTTATATTAAAAATTTCATGAAAATCAATTGCCAACCATTGCTCCGAGAGCAACAACTATATTCTCAGTATGTAAGAGTACAATTTATATGGAATAAGAAGTAACGCTTGATTGGGCATAAACTATTGCGAACGGAAGAATAGATGCATGCTCCTAGAGGTGAAAATGTAGAGAATGTTTCTTCTACCAATATGAACGAGCAATACTTACTGATAAGAGAAAAAAACCGCACTGTCTTAGTGCAACTCTAATCAGCTAAATACCTGTAATCCTATTTGACTATAACTCTTTTGGCATACACACAACAACAACATATAACAGATGTATTCAAAATGCAAGAATAATTTGCCCCATCCTAACAAAAAAAAGGAATTTGTCCTGAGCCATGCTCAAACTAAAATTCTTCCTGAAAAGAATCACACACGGTATAAACAACGACATTAACATGAATGGTACAGCAATGTATTACTTTTGTTGCATTAGAGGTCGACAACTGATATTGTTAGTCACAATTAGCTCTCTCAATGTGCGTCTCGAAAGCCCTGTCTTGATCCTTATAGTATATTGCTGCTTAAAGTACACACATTATACTTTATGTAAATCACCTTAGACACGTGAGACGTTGTTGTAATACACTTCACCTTTCTGCGTGTCGTTCTGATCCCTCTACTTGGTCTATTATATAAAATCACGATCGTCTTTGAGCAATGTTTTCGAGTTCTGAATGGCATACGGACAATGGTCAAGAGCTGATTACGAAGTGTAAGTATCCCCGTAGTGTTCTCATTATATAATTAGCCTCGCTCAAGTACTTAAATTTCTATACTTATTTGATTTTTTGGTGCAACCATGAAGTGAACGACGCAAAAAATGACAATGTGTTTCTGGGAACTTCAAATATGATTCTTGTAACAGGAATCATCATTTTAATGCTTCTCAAGGGACTGTGATAACCATGCCTGCTCGAAAGAAAAATGATTTAATCTTTTGTCAGCAATGATATTGATGAATAGTTCAAAAGAAACTGTATTAGAAGCAAATAGGGATCTCAATTCGCAGAAAACTATGGATAATAAGCTTTGCTAAACACAATCAAATTTGAATGTCAAATGCAATAGCTTAATAACGACGCGTTTTTAGTTTAGTCGTTCAGATCGATAGGAATAGGCGGCTTGTCTCGCGATAGCTTAAAAAGATGCAATTATATTGTCGCTCTAACGTTAAATGCTTTTGTATGTTTGACTTTGACGTTATGATTATAGGTTTATCTTTTAGAAAAAATAATGAATGATGAATGATGGAATACTCTTTAAATCTATATGTTGGCTTTGGCGAGATCAACACAAGCTCCAACCTTGGCAGGAACTTCAGGATTGTATACTAGGTTATTAAGAGCGCTAACAAAGGACCAACCCTTCTTAGCACTTTGTACTGGATAATCCAAAATAGGAGGGATAGGAGTCTTCACGCCAGGAATACGATCTGTTGTAAACGCCTTAGGAACACAAAGACCACGAAGACCTTCCTTACCGGAGAAGCGACCATAACCGGAGATACCAACGCCACCAAAAGGAAGACCTTGACAGAGATAATTAACTGCAAAATCATTGACATTAGCCATACCGGTTTTTAATTGCATACACATCTTTTCCGCCAACTTCTTATCAGCAGAGAAAACAGAAGAACCAAGACCAAAAGGACAAAGATTGGCAATACGGACAGCATCTTCAGGACCTTGATGCTTCATTATCACCATAATAGGAGCGAAGGCTTCAATATTAGCAATATCCATTTCGGGTGTAACATCAGCAAGCAAAGTGGGTTCGAAATATTGACCAGAAGGATGTTTAGGGTGATGATAACGCTTACCGCCACGAAGAAGACGAGCCCCGTGAGAAACAGCATCTTGAACAAGAGCTTCCAATTTTTCGAATTGATTCCCCATTGTCATCGCACCACAATCCACGCCTTCGCCCTCAGCAAGAATAGAACCTTGACGAAGCTTACCAATACGTGTATTCATTTCTTCAACTACTTTCTCGTAGATTTCAGCAGCAACAATAATACGCTCAATACCGATGCAGTTTTGACCACAATTTTGGAAAACACCACGCATCAACACAGGAATAGCCTGAACGAGATCAGAATCCTTCAAAAGAATAGCACAATCTTTACCACCCAATTCTAGCACACAAGGCACAAGGTAGTCGGAGGCATTACGTTGAACCAATTTACCGACGGCAGGGGAACCGATAAAAGTAACGTGATTGACACCACTTTGAACAACAGCTTCACCTACATCAGCAAAGCCAGGTACGAATTGGACAAGGTCAGGATCAAAGCCGTTGACAGAAAGACAAGTCTTGATGATTTGCTCGTAGTATTTAGAAGACCAGGCAACATATTCTGAGCACTTGACGATAATACCGTTACCAGACATGAGAGCGGAAATGACAGGACCAATGGCATTATGGAAAGGATAGTTCCAACTGACCAAAGCAGAGACGACACCCAAAGGTTGATAAACAACTTTTGAATGCTTGTACATCATCATTAAACCAGGTGCTCTATAATCATCAGCCAATACAGATTCACCATTATCAATAGTCCAGCGTAATTTGGCACAAGTAGTTATAATTTCACCTAAAGAAGCATCAATCACTTTTTTTTTTATTGATTTAAAGAAAATACCAAAAGGTAAATTAGACCACTATGACATCCAGTATACCAATCCCCTCCATCTCAAATTCAAAAAAGGACTTACTGGTTTTTCCAGTATCTCTACAATCCACTCTACAAATGGTTTCTTGATTTTCCAAAACAAAAGCTAATAAGGAACGAAGGACAGTACGACGTTGTTCAAATGTGGTCTTCGCCCATTTTACTTGGGCTGCAGCGGTACGATTGTATAACTCCTTCACCTCCTCAACAGTAGGGTTGGGAACAGTATCAATAAGATAGCCAGTAGAAGGATCATAGCACACGATTGTTGAAGGATTACTAGGATCCTATTTACAGTTTCAACGAATATCTTAATAAAGGTTGCACTCGTGAATTGGTTGCAATGCTGATACACAAACTTACACGAATAGAGGGATTCTCAAGAACTTTGCCAGTCCACTTGGGGTCAGCAGCTAGAAACAATAAATAGCGCAGGTTGAGTATGTTTCTATTCGGTCAATAGACTCTCAAGTAGAAAAGGTCTACTTTACAACAGCAACTAAAGAATTACCTTCAGGTACCTTAACAGTAAACTTTTTGGGTGAAGGCGAGGTGATCCATTTCAACAATAGCCAGCTTACAATGGCACCCGCACCAATGGTGATCCATTGTGTTGTCGTGAAATCTAATGCCATGCTGAAAACCTTTCTTCTTTCAGTATGGTATAATACAGTATTTGCTTTGAAAGAAGTTTAGGAAATTTTGAGGAAAAAGAAAAAAAAAAAAGGAACTGAAAAGTAAAAAAAAATATTATTGCTGTCATATCGACCGTCATCCTAATCTGAGTTTTTTTACATGAACAACAATTCTCGAATGATAGTTGAAAGGTTGAAGAACGGAAAAAAAATAAAATAAAAGAAATAACAATAGCGCAGCTCAAAAATGAACAAAATACAGAAAAAGTTGTTACATAGGTGATAGGATTATAAATATTTTAAATTTTCTTACATAAGAAAAAAGCACGGTATATAGGAAAGAGATGAATTGGTAAAGAGAAACGAGGGTATTTGATGATGTTATATACGTGTATATGTATAAAATGAAGGAAAGGGGGAATACTATTAAGAGTGGTATTTAGCACGAATAGAAGGTGAAGGTGGCAAGTATGAAGCTGTAGATGCGGAGCAATGCTTGCTTTGTTGTACTTCTTTCTTAACTTTTAATAAATGACCAAAGGATCTGATAAAATGCTTGGAAGAAGTCAAATCGATAGAATGGGCAAAGATTACTTCAGACATTTTAGGATGTTCAAGAAGTCGTGTGATATTGGGAGGAACCTTTTTAGGTACAATATCGGTTAATAGTTTTGAACATAATTAGTGTAAGTGAGTGTACCGATCAATGTTTACCTTGACTAGCTCTTCAAAATGCTCAATCATTGTAGAAACAACCCAGATTTCTCCGTGATATAAAGATGCATTTTTCACGTCGGTTTGATGCTGTTGATTTCTGCTGCTAATACCGTAAGTATTATTGATGGTCGTCAATCCAGCAGTACTGCTATAATTACTGTTGTTGTGTTGGATATTATACAAAATATTCGGTGCCATGACTCTTGCTAGATTTTGCACTGTCATCTTGTTTTTGTCTGAATGTCTTGCTACCCATTTTAATAACGCTAGGGTGGCTAATAAAATATCTCTATTGGCCTTTGGTAATAAACATATGGCATAATGGATCAGTGTAACAGGTGTAGCATCATCGTTATTGTCGCAAGCATCATCAGTAGCAATTTTGTAAGAGAGAAGAAACAATTTGTGTAATTTGTAAGTGAGTAAAGGTTCTGGTAATTCGCGTAAAAATCGTTTTATAAAGGCTGCAGATTGAATAATGGGTTGGTTCATGAAGAAATGAGACCAATCTTCTCGTAAAGGTTCCAAATCGAGTTGTTCACACATTTCCTTCAAGCCACGAATATTACCATTTTTCCTAAATATCCCTTCTGTTGTAATGTCTATTCAACAAGTTGAATTTAGATTCATACCAAGTGTGGCTTACGGATGTGTAGTTTGCTCGATTTTTACCTTGTTCAATCATGGCTAATATGCAATCTTTTAAGAAATTGGGTATAAGTGAGTTTTGTGAAAAGCATGCTGCTACTGAAGGGCATATTGATACCCATTTTTCGAATGATATACTCGTAGTGCTTCCATTATTATGGTGCTGTGCTTGCTCTGGTAACAATGAAGTTAAAGAATTATTACTAAGATTAGATAATGAAACACCAATTATTCTGTTATCTCCATTGTTATTGTTAGTGACAGTAGGTACTGCTTGATGATAATCGCTGTTACTGGGTGTTAATATATGAGATTTTAGTCTTTCCCATAGAGTTGAAGCTGATGAAGAGAAAGCTCTTCTACCAACGGGATTGGCGGAGGCTGAAGTTGAAGTATTACTACAAGAAGAACTTGAGAGGGACAGCAAGCTATTTAGATCAATACAGTCATTATCCACCTTTGAATCGATATAAAGTATTGCCATTTGTCTAACAATTGTATCTTGTTGTTCTGATAGCTCTGGAAGATAATTAATAGCAGCAGCAGTATTAGCAAGGATCGCTGTACTGTTATTATGTACTTCTCCCAATTTTTCGGCTGAGGAAAAGAAAGACGTCGATGGTGGCGATAATGGTAGAGTAGTATACTCATGCAGTTGCTCAATGTCAGGTGGTGATATGTATAGAGGTGTTGCTTGACTATAGACACTAACTGATCTCGTTTGATCATGACGGTTATAATTTTGCAGGAGTGAAATTGTTGACGCTGGAGAAGAAACACCATAGTTCACTGATTTCAAGCCTTTTGGTCTGCTTGTCGTAAAGGCTCTCCTGATTGCTTCAATTCGACTATTGGTTTTTTTTTGAGACTCGTCTGTTTTTATACGATTTGATCTGTTTCTTTTTAAATTATCTGTTGTTGTTGTTGTTGTTGTTGGCGAGGAAGCAGTAGAGAAAGTAGTGTCTTGACTGAGATTGCGTGATAGATACTGTGAAATTGAACTACTACTAATGTTGACCATTTTTGTCGTGATACTAGAAGGAGAAGAAGGAGAAAAAGTTGTTCTATTGTTATTGTTGTTGATATTGTTATTTTTGACTTCGATAGTGGGCGCCTTATATGAGACTGTTTCATCAGATCTTTTACCTAAAATTGGCGAACATATTCAGTCAACTATGCGTGTAACCGAAAAATAAAGGAAAAAAGAAGTCTCACTTGAATGGTAGTTGTTCGTGTTGAAAGCTGTGCTAGTTTCTATATTCATAACTAAGCCAAGTCTAGTAGTGGCCATATCTATTAGTTGTAAATTATGGTCTAGGCATGAGAGATCCAATCTCTTCTTATATTGTTGATTAGCAAACATTGATAGCATTTGCTGAATAATAGCATTTTCTGGTCCGAACTTCCGTTCCTTATTTTAAAATAGAATCAGAAATGGAAAGTTAATTAAATATAGTAATTATGACTTACCAAAAGAATAGACTGCTGCAACGACAATTTGATCAAATCTCTTATACATTGAGATAGAATAGATGTCATCTTTATCAGTATATTCGCTAAAGCAGTCATCTCGGTTTTGTTGATAGTCGAAGTTGCTGAAGTTGAGTACTGGCATAAAATATCAAAAAAATAAGCAAGATTATTGCTCAAAATTTGAACGGATACATCACAAGTAAGATCTAAAGAAAAATAAGGCAAATCTTGTAAACATTATGTGTAATTGCAATGCGAATAAGTAGCTCTCTGCTTACTTGTAGCTTGTTGATGTATGAATAGTGAATCCAATACAGTGAATAATATACTTAGTTGCTTATACAAAGTCTTACATATTGAATACTCTTCTTTATAATCCCTTAATTGATTCATTATTATTATATTTGATACTAATTTTGACGTTGTATCCTCATACTGGCTCAGTTCCTTCCATATTTCGATTCGAAGGAGCTCTAGCTCATATTGTTTCGAAATGAGAGCCTCCTTAGTTTTGCATTCAACTGTTTGAGAGAATCACAGTATTAGCAGTGTGTGTAAATTCATGTAAATATGAATAGCTTACCTTGTTGTGAATCATTACTATCTTCTAATTCTATCAATCTTACATGCCAATACTTCTGTATCATATAGCATTCGGAATGCCATTTCGGGCCGCCTTCCCTTCCTTTATTATGATGTAGAATGGTTTGTCCGCAACCAGCACATTCTATACCTTTGATAAGTGAGAAATGATACCGACAATAAGGTCTTCCGTCATAATCATATATTTCTTTTGTTGACATAACTTGTTTCCGTTGTTGATTTAATCCCACAGCTTCATGCAAACTAGTTTCAATGCCACTTCTATTACTACTGCTGCTGTTGCTGTTTCCATTTTCATGACTGGCCATATTACTACGACTATTATTCTTAGTGATAGTACATCCAATGCATTGCAAACAATTTTTATGGTATTTATAGGCACTGAGTACAACATAATCATCATTATTGATAGCTTCGTTACATTGATGACATTTCAATTGACTGTGCTGATAGTAATCCTTTTCACATAAAATAAGTGTATTTTTCTGATTTCCGTATTCTTCTTCATCATTCGAAGTACTATGACTGCTGCTGCTGCTGCTGCTGCTGTTATGACTGCGACGATGTATATTGTCATCCAACATTACCAATTCTTCTGCTATTGTTGCTGCCGTTGTAGCATTCGGTGTCGACTGTTGATAAGTAGGGTGGTATATATAGAATTTGTCTATTACAAATCTATCACAAAACTATCGTTGAGAGAAAAATGAGTAAGATTCTTTTATTGAGAGCTCTCATCTCATCTGTGGTACTGGTTGTTTTTGAGCACAAGAAACATGACAAACAAATGTGGTCCCTTCCTATCTACAAGACATATATTAATGTTGATTGCACACCTTTTAAAGAAATGTCAGGTATTCGTCAATGATGTATGATGGATCAACAAGATTGGCATTTATATTAAATTTAATATTTAAATCAATAATATAAGATCCATTCATGTCGTAAATTGTAGTAGGGGCTATTTTTCAGTAATGGTACAATATGTTTGTAACGTTTGCTTGTGCCAAGATCAAGATGTTGGAAAAGTATATAAAACTTACATCGCAGCGAAAGCATTGCCGATGATAGATATTTCCGACAGCTCGGATAACGTTGGGATCACCTTTTTTACAGACTATTTTACATCTGTAGCATCTATAATCAATAGGTAATTTTGTTGGTGTTATTGCCATTGTTGTGGTGGCCGCTTTAGTAATATTGACAGTAGTAGTAGCTGCTGTTGATCGAAATGTCATCCTTTATTGTTGGCTTGCGTAATGCCATTTATACAAAAAATCGCAGTTCTTTTGTAAATAAAAGAAAAGAAGACACAGACAAATTATACAGGCACGCAAAAATCACAATGAAAGAAAGGAAAGAAAGAGAGACTTACAGCATCACACACGCAAATCAAACAATAATTCTTCTAAAATTAATTTTGTTTCTTCCATCATCATTCTTTTAATAATATTCATATCTTTGATATCAAAAATAGACGCCACAGAGACACGAGAAATCGGAAAATGGAAAAGGGAAAAGGTTTTAAAAACCGACATTAGACAAATTTAAACTAAATTTAAACCCTATTGATAAATAAAAATAAACTGCAACCGTACTTCTTGGACGACCCAGTACCGACGCCTCGCTTAATCAACCACTTATAAATTTGATTGCCCGGTCCTTGCGTTTTTTTCGATCAACTTGATTGCGTTTGGTCCTCGGTTTGGTCCTCCAAAAAAAAGCATAAAAATGGTACTTTGTCTACCGTTTAAAAGCTTCTACAGTTTTATAACATATATAAGTATATATGCGAGGCGTCGGTATTGGGTCATTGTTCAATGAATAACAAGCACTCTTCACTAAGCAAAAAGATGATTTTTAATGACGGGCAGTTATTGTGATCAAGCATTCAAGCATTTTACTTCTCCAGCCCCATACCTTTAAACTGATGATTCTGGCTTCAGATATTGAATAATTTGTCAGCTTTAAAATCGACTTCTTTTCCTTCCGTTTCGCTTGTTTAGTATGAGCACTATTTAAAAAATGCGCAATCGTTAATCACGTATCATTGTTAAAATTAGATAGATTTAGATGAATTTAATGTGGAAGATTATAGCCTTTCTATTATATGTTATTGCTAGTCTGTTTCCAATTACACTTAAATTTCTTGGTATCTATAAGGCTATGTAATCTTGGGCAAAAAGAGATACGATTGTGAAATTAGGCTATGAAATGTAATTTGCTATTTCTTTACATATCGGATTATGGAATCGATTTAATAAACGAGATAATGCATTACTATGACAGGTCTGAGTGAACAAACTCTTCCGTTCATTGCTAAACTACTGGACTACAAGATTGATATAGCAAAAGTCTTGTTATAGGATTAAGATACTGAAAACATTATTGAGCAAGTAAAGCTTTTCGATTATTATGGCAAACAGAAAATAATCTATTATGAAGAGTTTTACATTCTTTTGCTGAGAAAGTTTTAACCTTATATTTGAGTTTTCGCTTTTTTTTCTTAGTAGGTTTCGTTGATTTCTCTGTCAAAAATAATGTCGCTGTCAGTGATAACAATTTCGAAGAAGCGCTCCTTGGCGTTTCAGAAACAGCGCCCAGATATGAACTTATTTTGAGTACGTGAGGGTCGGTACAGTGACCATCATTGTGTTTGCCGACAGTGTCAAATAATAAAAAGACATTCCATGCCAATCTCTACTCTCAAGCTTTGCAGTTATGCTAAATGGCCATTAAGGTATGATTATAAACGGGCATTTATTATGCTAAGAATAAATGATAAAGGCTGAATGCATCAATTGATAGAGCTTTTTCCTTTCTAGGCATCCTTCTATAATTTACAGCATCTTTAGTCGCATAGCGAGCCAGCCATAATTCGTTCAAAGCTTTATCTATTTTATCCCAGTTCTCCACAGTGCTCTTCTAATTTTTCCATTTGTGAAGCAGTTGATGTTTGAAAAGTGCAAGGCAAGGCAAATTTTAAGTATCACTGTCACCGGTAGCAACATCGTTGACAATAATAATGTATAATTTCAAGGTAAAAATGTATGTCATCTTTCATCTACATTATATTACTCTTCTGCCAGTGTACGAGAGACACGGAAGCGTAAAATAGTGAAGAAAATTTACGGACCAGTCATGACAGCAAATTTCACGCTTTAACCTGCCATCACCAATCGATGCTAATAGAACAGCCTACTAGCTTCATCACAATACAAACTTAGATCATACTATTTTCAGTTAGTAATACACGCGCGTTACAGAACGAAGATGAAAATGAATCAAATTTTACAACATTGACTCGTATTTATTTTCACATATAGCGAACCATTCTGTATGCTCCTCGGGTGCACATTGCTTAGCCAGCTTGACTAATTCTATGGATGCCCTGGTATATTTTTTTGCTTCTTCTTTCATGGTGTTACAATCTTCTTCATAAATTTGAGAGACTAAAACATCTGTCTCGTCCACTAGGTCTTTCAATTTTTCATAAATATCGTCTAACCATCGTACAGGCACATCCATTTCTGCTCTTTCCTTTATACAACGACGTTCGATTTTCTGCATTACAAAAGCTGCCATATCTACTAATTTTGCACATTGCTTGGCTACTTCTAACTCCTCCTCGTTTAAATTTGTTCTTTCATCGTCAGTGTCTTCATTATCGTCAAATCCTAACGATTTGTCTTGTCCAGCTACAATATTATGTACCTCTTCTCTAGCATCATTTAGCGTTTCTGTGAGCCGTTTCCACGCTTTTAATGTAGCCTCTTTGTTATTTTTAGGTAAATTGATATCGCTCATTGCCTCTTCACATGTTTCCCAGAGGGCAGCTGTAGGTATCATGAAAGGCAATTTGTTTTGTTGCTGTTCCTTTTCAGTCTCTTTCTTGTTCTCTTCCGACATGAAACTAGTACATAAACTGATGACACCGTTCAAAATATCTCTTAAGAGGGATCGATAGGCTGATTTGTAAAGTTTTCCACTGCTGTTTGGAACAGTGTGATAAAATCCCACAATACGATAGAGTGTATTACTGATTTCTCCACTCATGTGAATAGCGTCGCTGGGTTTACGAGGTGGTTTGCAAGATAAAGTAAATTTAGTAGCATTGTGTGAAAGGATCTTCCCTAGGTTTACTGTTTAATCATCGTTAGTAACACGACAAATACGAGTGACATTATCAACTGAATTACCCATGGTTTGCTGAAAAGTAGCTGTATTAAAGTCAGAGCTGGCTTCAACTTTTCTATCCTCCTTTAAATCGTCAAGGTACACATTGCACATTTTGCAGCAAGCTTTAAGCTTAGCTAATTAAACGCAAGACAAGTTTTTAATAGTGACGCAGATTAAGAAGAAGCACAAAATAATATACCTTGGAATTCTTCCTCTGTGGACATATTGTTTCGAGAAATCTACTATTGTCTGGTACCTAAAAGAGGAGTCTTTGATTTTATGGAAACTTGATAACTCTAAGAATTGCAGAATTACCGATCACAGTGAGGTTGGTTTAGTGGCTGAGTTAGGAATATAAACGACCCGTTGCATAAAATGCGTGTTTGATTCCTGCAATCGTAAGCATTGTTCATACTTCTCTTCTATCTGACGAATACAGTCTACTTGAGGGATACTTCTTTTGAGACAACCATCATTGTATATCAAACTTCAATAAATATAAATACTGAAGTTCAAAGCGAGTCTCATCCGAATTTATGGGATTTGCAGAGGACTTTAATCCAAATGAGGCAATATACTTTTGAAACAAATCGTAATCGGTTATTTGTTCTGAATTGATTCTTTTTTGCATTTTCTCTTTTTTTTTCTCAGCTGGATGAGTACTGTTTTGACCAGAATTTCTCTTTTAAAGAATCATTTACGTACTTTCACTATGAGAGCATCTATCATGGCCACAACAGAAAAAGCGACTTTTGCTGCTGGTTGTTTCTGGTATGACCAAAACGACAATTCAAACTTGAGTATGACTTTAATTGGTGTTTTACCCTTCCCTTTATAGGGGTGTCGAGCACATCTATAAGAAGCATTTTGGACAATATGGCATCAAAACAAAAGTAGGATATACAGGTGGCAATACCGTAAACCCTAAATATAGAGAGGTATCCTTCTAACGCTGTTTCAAGTAAAGTGGAAATCAAAGTATTCACTTTTAGCTATCAGGTTTGTTCAGGAGGTACACATCATGCAGAAGCTTTAGAAATAGATTTTGACCCACAAAAGGTTCCGTATGAGGCTCTGGTAGAATTCTTCTATAAAATGCATGGTATAACTGTCAAATATTCTTCCTCTATAGGAATATATAGCAAGAAGTTTCCGTCTAATCTAGTATACCATATCTTAGACCCTACTACTATAAATGCACAAGGACCTGATGTTGGTACTCAATACAGATCAGCTATATTTTATCATTCGCCCGAACAGAGAGCTATCGCTGAAGAAGTGACAAAAGATGTGCAAGAAAAGCATTACAAAGGCAAGAAAATCATAACGCAAATTGTACCAGCAGATGTATTTTATGATGCAGAGACTTATCATCAGGTAGACAAAAACGACATATGCCCTGATATGTTCATCGAAAATAAGTAGGAAGGGTATTAATTTTAATCAACTTTATAGATGTACTTAGAAAAGAACCCTAATGGATACGAGGTAACTCAAAGTTGCTTAGTATAATAAAACAGTTAGAGCAAAAAATTCACTCATTCATCTATCGTTTCTAGTGTCCTACACATTACTTGCGCTGGTAGACTTTTTCTTCATCGGGGCAGCTAGAAATTATGCAGAAAAAATTATTCAGAAATAAAAAAAGCTTTCCTTCGTCTCTTTTTCGCTGCAAGTTGAAGCTGCCAAATATAAGCAGAAATGAGAACTATTTCCCTTGTGAAAAGACTAAAATGGTCTTTCTCAGGAAATATGAACCCTCATGCGCTTGTCATTGGTGATGTAGACGATGACAATGTACGACAATGAAAATGGTTGCATTTTGCGTTCGCATTCACTCAACGCAATGAAGCTATTGTTTTTGTTCTTTCAACTGTTAGGAGAACGAATTCGTCATTGGCAACTTGAATGGTGACATGGCCATATTTAAGGGTCAGTGTGAGGATGGATATCCTTCATTTATTTGTCGCGATTTAGGAACTGTAACTATTTTATTGAGAATTCGAGTAATCTTCTATGACTCTTGATAATTGTATGTTCTTATAATAGATCACTTGTATTGCAGTGGGTGATGTTAGAAATAGCGGAAAAGTAATGACAGACAACACTTCTGCAGTAAACTAGGCTTATGCACTCATTATCATTAACTATCGATACATTATAGAATTCAATTGTTGTCGTTAACGCTGAGGGGCACGCTCATATATTTGATGTCAAAACCAAGGCTTCATCGAGTTCCTTCAATCAGCAACAGCAACAGCAACATATATCTATTCATGATTATCTAAAAGGAGGTAGACGCTCTTCTGATTCAACTATGCGAAATTTCAGAAGAGCTATGAATGGCGGTAGCAGCAATACGTCTTTATTGAATGAGGAGGATAATCTTCGCAACCAGCAACAGCATGCACAACAGGCATTATCAAAATCCATACATGATCTTGAAAAACCCAATCTAACCTTGAAAGTGCCTGTTAACGTGAATAAAATATTGATTGCTGATATTGATAATGACGGATTGAACGAAATCATTCTAGCACGTACCGACCGAATATTGCATGCATTTCAACTTGTTCCCTCAGATTTCACAGCAATACATCCCATAGCAAGTACTACTAGCCTTAACATCAATGACAAATCGTTCAGTAACCATAGTAATGTGAACGCTACCACAGTATTATCACCTAACCATACTTCTTCATCTATTAACCTTACCTCTGGTCTCACTCATCATCCATCTCATTATCAACATAATTATTCTGCGAGGCCAACACTAGCATCTACTACGACTAATACATCACTCGTTACAACTACAGCAGCGGATGAGCATCATTCAAACAATAGCAAAAAGTACCGGCTCCTGGACAAGAATATGTGGGTTTTTGACGGTCAAATCAGTTCTTTATGTACGACTACTCATCCTGAAAAACCAGATGAACCTTTATTACTCGTAGCTCAACCAGGAAATACATTTGTGATTATAGACCAAGATGGCAAACGATTGAATAAAGACTTTACGCCTCAGCAACACAACGTCACTGATGACCTTCAGTACAACCTAAATGGTACAGCAACTTCATCCATCAACTTTGGACAAAACCAGCCTTCGAATATCTCTAATATTTCGGCCGAGGATCAGGACAGAATTCGATCTATACTTTTACAGCATCAAGCTTTCGCTTCTCCTTCTGTTGATATACCCATTGATACTACTGTCGACCATTCTGCAATAACTGCAACAAAAAAACGTTCAGGAACGGCAGGAGGAGGAAGAAGCTGGCCGCCATTGTCTTTGTCAACATCAGATCAGACGGGAGGAACTACGGACGTTGAGGAGGAGGAGGAAGGCGAAGAAATAGAAAGCGGTGCTATAGCTACCGAAATAGTGATTGGTAAACGACACTTGATGGGCGATTCTTTCTTAACCAACAAAGTAGGCATGCTTAGTATGGACGGCACATTCTCTGTCTACGATTTACGAACAAAAGCGACTTCTTATAAAGATCTTTTTGTTACCCATAAGTTATTCAGTTTAGCCACTTTGAACGTAAACTACAATAATAATCGGTTGAACAACGCCACCGACATCAGTTTAATGGAGAAGCCTGCAGGCTACTATTTACACCCACCTCATCACAGACACGGTGGCACGCAAACACCTATTCATAACAGTAACAATGCAGGTTCTTCTTCGCCGCGTCAACAACAATTACAGAAAGCTGCTGCTGGGTCATCGCCCATCTCAACAACTACCGCATCGTCGAGAAAAGCCTCATTGCCTCAGCAGCAGCAACAACATGAAGAACTGTCACGTGTCCCATCAAAGTGTTCGATCGATCTCAATGCTAACAAAAACAGCAGTAGCGACTTTATCAGAGATAGTATTAATGCTCTAAAATCAGGAAAAACAGACGAAGCAGTAGAGGAGACGACAATAGACAGTGATTATGAAAGTGTATCTTGGAGTGAAGGTGGCAGCGAGTCAGACAATGAAACTGGCTGTGATTTATTTGTGGCCTGTGCCTGGAATGGTGTTACCTACCTCATTGACTGGAGCGAACGCTTAGATGATGAAGATGAAAGTGATAGTGTTATCATCGATAGGAGCAGTGACCGTGACTCCGCCAGCACACACAGCAGTAATGAAAGCCTTGATGTTGACACGACACGAATCAAATACCAATTAGTCAAGTTCGCTTTCGAAGGCCGTGTCTGCGCATTCACGGCTGGGCATTATTGTATAGCCAATCATGTGAATGTGCCCTGTTTATTCTATGTTGATTTTGAGGATCAAATCTATGTATACTATGATGTGCGCATATCACCCGGGCCTGTAACAGGCTTTATTGATACGATAGATGACGATATAGAGGAGTCACTTGACAGAATAATGGGCTTGGAAAGTGCCATTGATACATTAGCCGAGGCTTGTCAACAAGAGCTGCATGAACAAGATGAAACGAATAATCAGCAAATTGATTTGGGCGATGGATGGCAGGGCATAGCTGCTGTGGAACAACATGGGGCCGACATCCGAAAACAACAAGAATATTCTTCTGAAACGGCAGCTGATCTGATCGACCAACAAGAATTACAAGATATGGACTTTTTAAGTAAATCGCGTTGTCAATATAAAAAAAAAAGAAAAGCATGTTGCCATGGGATACAACTGACTGCTTTGTTTTATATTGATTTACCGTGTGGATAATTCCAGACCTTTCAGATTTTATACACGAATGCCTCTACGGCTTCGAGGATATGAAAGATAAGATGGAAAAGGAAATGCTTAAGGTGATTCATTTGTTTACTTTTTCTTTCTACGCACTTAGCGCCTGATAATAATTTATAATTGAACTTTTTCACGTAGTTTGAGCAAAGCCTTCTAACTAATCGCATACCTGCAAGTGGAAACACTCGAAGACTATCGGATTTGAATATAACGCTGGAACCACCATCGTTGGACGAAGAAGTCTTCAACGATGATAAATCTGATTCTGGTTCTTCCACTGAACTCAATTTACGGAAAGACGACTTTCTAAATATCGAAGAGGGCGATGATTATCTAAATTCAGTTGCAAGAAGACACAGCAGTTTAACATTAACCCACAATACTACCAGTACCAATAACGATTTACTATCCTCGTCGTCGTACGACAATGACATGCACATATCGTCATGGATTGAAGGTTCGTTGATGGGTACATCTATTTTTAACAATAACCGTGAACAAGAAACCCATAACGATAATGATGGAGTGGAGGATGTCGATGAGAATAAAACCGCGGAAAGATCACGAGCAGAGTAGATAGAGATCCAAGATCAGTGTATCAAAACGCGAACATACTAGATATGTTATCTTCATTTTACAAGAATAGTACTTTCTATTCAATAAAAAATTTTACAATTGGCAGGATGACCTAGCAAGGAGTGCGAGATGGATGAGTAATAGAATGAAGGAGAGGGATATATAGAACACGTATATTATGGACAATATGGTTACAAAAATATTACAAAAATATTACAGAAGGTTACGTCGGGCAAAGAGATTTTATGAAAATGAGGGGTATTTGTGCAACAGATCCACCAAAAGTCTGATGGTGTGAAAAATAGCTGCTATATCGAAGTTATTGTGATACAAAAATGTATTACTTGGCATTTGTGGGAGGGGGGGGTGTTTCTTTAATGCTTGTATTTTCCTGTCCAAAGTTGCACACCTTGGTCTGCAAAAAGGTCGACAATACCAATATAGTAACCGCTTAGCGAAGCTGGTATACAAGCTACACCACTGGCGTACATCCAGTTCACGTTTCCTGTCAAATTATAGACCGCTTCTAATACGAGATTGAGGCTGACAAAGGAGAGACAGAAAGTACCAATGAAGCTTCCACCTTCAAGCTTGGTAGTAATGATGACAGCCATTAAGGCAAAGGTTGCCCACATGAGTAAATATATAGCAGTTGTTCTGCCTTGGTCAGGCGTTCCCGCATACACTTCCAATGCACCACCGATAGCTGGGATCATCAAAGCGCCAGCGCCCAACCAGTAAGCGCCAAAGCTAACGAACAAAGTACCATTAAATGTATCTCCAGTAAGCAACTTGAGGAAGCCTGCTATAAACTGGGCTAGACCACCATACACAAGTGCTACAGGGAACATAAAGTTATTTGAATTCGTGGGTAACACTAGCTTGTGTAATGCCATGAGCATGTATACGCTTGCAAATCCCCAATTTGCTATTTTGAATATGGGGTTATTTCTGGTTACATTCTACTTTCGTTACACTAAAATGTGTTTTTTTTGAGGGCAAGTGAGTATTTACCAATGACTGACGGATCTCCCATCCCAATTAGTCGTTTTCGAGAGTTTCCAGAAGAAGAAGGGTTCAACATATTGCCGCCAATAACACCAGCATGTCTTTCAATATCGTAATAATTGTGATGATTTGTAGTCGTTTTCTCTACGCAGAAAATACTTTTTGCTGATACATCAGGATTGGAATTATTGCTAGTTATCAAATGTTGTTGGAGTGCGGTAGCAGTAGTGAGAGTATTCTCGCTATCAACGAGCGTATAATCGGTGTTGCGCTGAATAGGGGTGGGAGCAGGCATAGACATCTCCATGGATGAATACAGTATTTACAGCTATTGTTAGCTTGAAAAAGGGGAGAAGGCGAAGATAATTGGTAAGCAGACAGAAGTGATTGAATCTGATAAAAAGTTGAAGAAAAATGTCTCGCTTCAACCTATTTAAACAATCCCCACATTTTCGTTTTGAAAAAGCGACAAAATTTAGTCCCTAGATGACCCTACTTGAAAGTAGCTGACGAGAAATAACCAACGAGCGAGCAAGTAAAAGATTGACTCCGATTGTGTTTTCGAATGGTGATACATCCTTCAAAAGAGTACGTTCTCTGTAGCAATTAGTCATCCAAGAACTGAGATGCCATCTTTCATGTTCAAACACATGTATAAAGGTGAATATCTATCCATCTTCATCATAATGGAGTTCTATTCTGATATGCAATTTTGTCAGTTGTACAAATCGCGATTTTTTTTTTTGTTTTTTGTTTTTTTTTTTTTTTTTTTGTATTTTTCTGTTTGTATAGTGCACCACATCTTTCGTTCTCCATGAATTCTTGTGTTATTTTGAATGTTACCGGATTACAAGTGACTGTACTAACATAATATGTTACTATGGAACAGACCCAACGGCTAAACAGCTTCAGAAATAATTGCTATATCAATTGCTAGCTGCCTTTATCCTCTTAAGTACAATAACTGTCAATAAAACAATTACCATGTTTCTGTTCAGTAATATACTCAGAGAAATTCGGAAAATTGAGGAATTGAGTCTTTGTTTGTTGGGCATATGGCGTATAAATTTTAGAATATTACCCGGGTGTTTTAAAGTAGAAAAAATATACAACACAGACAGTATTCGTATAACGATGAAATAAGTTTCCCGCGATACCCTGCTGGTATTTTTGGCTGTTTGTTGTAACAGAATAGCCCAGAATATGGGTCCAAAATGGAAGTCTAAAACCAAGAAACGCTAAAAGGCAAAACAATGTTGGCCATTCAAATAGCAATTGAAATTTTGATCATGCTTCTCTTCTAATTTGGCTTTTATTAAGTAGCTTGTGATTTTAGGTTGTTTATTCCCTGATTGCACCCTTATGTATACTGAATGGCTTTGATATTCTGGGCATACCTTTCACTCCGTCATATGTCTAAAATCCTAAATTGATAGCATACTTCTTATGCATGTTATAACGACGTGATAGTAGTCTTACAGCAGAATATCGTTTCATTGACGATATTAGTGATAATTGTTAAATGCATTATAAGCAAGTGCTCAGCCAAATATAACATATGATTTCGTCATCTTTTGTAACTTACTTCGAAACACCATCTCATTACGTCGACAGTACTACAAAACCAGTTAAATGTCCTTGCAATTCTAATGATAATACAATTGCAAATATACAAGGCTGTCTTAGATCGGTCAACATTTTACTCTAACAGCTTAAAATGAAGAAGAAGAGTAATGAGAACATAAATAATGGGATACACCCACACATTAGACAGCTAACTGGGCAGGGAGCAACCTTAATTGTCAATCATGATGGAGCCTTACATACTATTCTTGGCCAAAGAAAAGGACTTCAGTTCCACAGAAAAGTCAAACAAATGCTTGCGGTTTCCACATATATTGCCATGAAAGTTCATTTGAGGCATCTCGTTTTCAATATTGATTCCCTTTTGAATGCTGTACAAGACCAATTGTCAAGGAATTTCTTGTTTTCGGAACTTTTCGACGGTTTACTGAGCCTCGTATAGTTTTCTATGGAATCTGCAACAATGCGCACAGATGCTGTGTACTGTCAACAAGCTGATTTGCCTTATTAGAACAGTGGTCTAGTTTTAGATATGCTCTTTTTCCTTTCTCTGAAGAAAATATAGATAATATTAACATTATGCGATCTTGAAATGGAACGGGTATATTTCGAAACTTGAAAAAAAAGTTAAGCTTGACTCCATTGATTAATTATTGTCTCCGTGCCATCGAGACAGTGATGTGTCTAAAGGTTTATATTATTGATGCGAATTTTTTTCATCAAATCTTGACTTTTATTGCACATCATTTTACGTATTTTTTACCATACTATTATTTCACACCTTCCCCATTTCTATTCTCAAACTTTTGCATGAGTTCGCACAGTGTTTTGTATCTAAAATACAGAAGTGGGAAGACGAGAATTCAAATGCGGGTGTCACTGATACGAATTTGCAGAAATGAGTGTATTCGGGGAATTCCATCAGTGAGTGTAATGTTGAAGGATCAATGAAATTTCTGTACCATGCTACTTCAGAAAAAGGAACATGCTATTGTTTGATCGTATTTCCGAACGAAGCAAAAAAAAAAAAAAAAAAAAAAACTGTACAAAGGACACGGCTGTCGCGGTGTAGAGAAAATTGACGATGGAGTCATTAATCTTACACAGAATACTTCCTAATTATTAAAATTAATTTATACCTTTTAATTGTAAGTCTCTGTTATGGCGTGTGCAGCATAATAGTAGTACTTGGGTAATAACTGGGCTGTGTATATGAAACCCACAACATTATTCACTGTATTAAATCATGATGAGTTTTTTAAAGTTATCATTTGTGATATTTGCCAGGTTCTTTGCCCATATGCAAATGAAGGACCGAAAAACACATATCATGATGAAGCTGCTTACCCCAATTCTTCAGTTTACATATTTTCAACCAAACGGAATTGCGTTTACCTAAAGAAAGTTCCTTATTCATAATATCGACTGCATGAAGATTGAATGTTGATATTTACTTTCCAATACACATATGCATTAATTCAACTCATTCATTTGTTTATTATTTGCATATTTGAGTATCTACTTTTTTCTTAGACATATCTACATAATAAAGATAATCAGTCTTTAAACTATTCCTAAGGCTTTGTGATTGAGAGTCTCAGTGGCTAATGAAAAAGTAAAAAATTATCATGGCATGTGGTAAAAGCACTGCAAACTGGACCCTTGATGCAAAAGTGCACAGAGGATAGAAGAAAGTAATAAGATACAAACTGTTCAAAGATAATTAAGGTGTGAAAAGGGTCTTTTTTTCTTCTGAAATTGTTATAACAGGTCCTTTGGTTTTGTCATTATGGTCAATATATCGATCAATTATTTCTAGAGTACCTCAACAGCACATACATGCTTAGAAGAGCCAACGATCGAACTGAGCATATTCTCAGCTATATACACTAACGCGCCATAGAAATACATTTCAATATCTGAGTCGACTCTGTTCTTTTATTATCGTTCTTGCTCTCAGATACTTCTTGTACTCTTTGAAGAGCTTCAATTCTGATTATTTCGTTTCTAAGGAAAAAGAGTTAGAGTTATCACTTGTCTTTTCTCGGATTTTAGAAAGCAAAATCTTGAGTATTACGTGGAGTTAAGCAATGCCGACAGCTATTGCAGGTCTTCACTTTTTCACGGCTTTTTGCAGAGTATCGTTTAGTATAGTCAGATATAGAGTGTCTGTTATATTTAATAATTACATCCACATAGTTGAAATAGTCGTATTTGGACTGAAGGTCAGCAGCCTTTGATCTATTTTGTTTTCTTTTTTTCGCACCTTTATGGATCAAAATATTTTTACTGATATCGAAGAATAAAACGGTGTTTCCATGATATTGTAACACTAGCGGGGCTTCGATGAGTAACTGCAGGTAATCAAAAGCTGCTCATCATCATGGATTCACATCTGCTTGTAGTCTGGGCGAATCACCAAGCTTATTTTAATATAACAGTATAGATCTTCTGACTCTAGGTAATCATTTGAGCACTCAAAAACCAAGGAGCAAACTAAAACAATTAGCAGATCCTCTTTTTTTAAAGAATAATATGTAATGCCATTAAAAGGTCCAATACACAGTCTAGATTGAGCTGTAGAGAATGTTTGAGGTTCTGTATAAAATTCATTTTCAAGGATGACGCATTTCTTTTTTTCACTGTCTGCTCATCATTTGTCTCTAAGTGAGTGTTTTGAACTCTTTTTTTAGACCGATTATACCTGACAGTGTATGCTCTCATCTGAAGAATTCAGAGTTAAAGCAATGGCCTTTTACTTTCTGCAAAATCACTCGCTGGGAATATGTCACCGAGCGATGGATAGTTCTTACGTAAAACTATATTTTTCTGTGTTCATCATCGTTCGCGTATAACTGTGGAGTGTCTTCTTCTTGAACTGCGGATTGAAAGCTTACTGGCAAAGACCTAATATTTCTAACTTTTCCTTTCTTATGGAAATAATACTAATACTAACATTACGATCTTGTCGCATTTTACTTTGCTATTTCACCAAACAATGAAACCGTTAAAGGTTATTCTATTTCATGTAAAACACGACGACAGGCTATCTATGCCTTTTATCACAGATGTCGACTTTATTACGAAGAGATTCAAGTGTGCACTTACAAAGTAGTTTGGTTCCTTTTCTAAACCACAGCTCTTTTTTACGCGTATAGCAGCTCACAAGGTCGATATCGACATCAAATTCTACTGAAGCTTAGCGAAGGGTGATGCACTTAAGATTTTGTACCACCTAACTCCTAAGGGTGTCTTGCTTTGACAGAAACAGTTTGATGTGTGAAATAGCTCAAGATTTTTCTACCGCTTTACAGATATAATCTACAATAATGTACTTTATAGCTCGCTTGAATCTATTTAACCAAGTCTTATAACATAATAAACAGATTGTAGAACTTTGTCTCTTTCACCACTGGAGAATGTGTAGCCATAAGATCGGCTGCGGCTGGCCCTCTGGACTATGGAAAAAAGGGACCAGATTACGGTTTTTCTCAAATTGTTAAATCGGTCAAAAATACTGAACAACCTGTCCTTTCAGCTGGAGAGTAGACTTGGAGTTATGGTCAGCAACTTGGTTTAAATAAGGGTGATAGTATTTTAGGTTTCCTCGTTGCAGTGCTGAAAACGGCCTTCAAGTAATTCCTCGGCTGACTGTCAACAAGCAGAGCACGTTCTTCTTCCGTGGAAGGGAGCTTAAACCAATATGAATGCGTATACACTGATCCTGATATGACACTCACTGTACCTCACCAGCGAAAGTTACATCCATTTCTGGAAATTTTATATCAGCGGTACCTGCATTTGAATGTTTTCAAACGCCAAAGCCGTACAGAAATACCTGTACTTTTTGAGTTCTTGTGTTCTCTGTACATCGTATGACAGATTTGGGTTGCATTAATGAAAACACAAAAATAACACGTTGGTTTTTTTCTCCAACCTGTATTACGTTACACGTTTCATTTTTCTTTAACAGCTTTCTACTCATTCTTCTCTTCTTCTTTACTTAATAAATGTATAAATGGATCTGTAGCTGTAATAGTCAGAGCTTTTTCTTTATCTTTCTCTAGTAAAGGGAGCGTAATTTGATAGGCATGAAGCATCATACGGAAAGTATCTGTATATATATCTTCGTAGTTATAGTCACCAATGATAGGATGACCTATGTGCTTCAGATGCAAGCGTAGTTGATGCCTTCGACCAGATATAGGCGAGAGCTTTACTTTTGTTGCAGGAATTGATTTCTGCTGTCCAGTTTGAACTTCTTTAAATGTATAATAACCACGTTCGAGTACTTCAATATTTGTCTGCGCTGGTTTCCCTTCTTCGTCGATCCTCATCCGAAAAGCGTGATTCGGATCTTCAGCAATAGGTTTATCTACAAAATAACTAAATGAGCAAGTTTATTAAGCATTGAACGATTGGGTATCCCCGTCTAATAGAAGCATAGCGTTCTGATGTCCCACCTATTATCTGACAGATGTCCGTTAACCAAAGCTATGTAAGTTTTCTTTACTAGACGCTCTCTAAAGAGCTTGCTTGCTTCCGCTGCTGCTTTTTTGTTCAAGGCTAATACAAAAACTCCTGACGTAGCATAGTCAAGCTGATGAACGTTACGGAATTTACTAACTTCTGGGAATTGTTGTTTCAAAATGCTTTCAACTATTTATATAAATCAGTCAATGTAGAATTGATAACAGCAAATAACTTATTTCATACCCGTTGCTTCTGTGGAATTAGGGTAGTTTTGTATTTTACAATCGTAAGGCTTGTCAATCACAAACCATTCCTCATCCCTATAAATGACCGAAATGGGTAGATCTAGTCTATTCTCAGTCTTCTCTATCATCGTCGAATTTGGCGGTAGAATTGTGGGATGAGGGGTGGAAGTCTTCAATTTACTAATAGACTGAAGGCGTAGAAAGAGGAAAGGAAATATCGAAATAGGTGCTTTCCGTAGTGGAGGCTCAAATGAAATGCTCATATGTGAAAAATCGGTGCCAGTCTACTCCTCTAATTACCGATTTCATAAAAATACTCTTTCGTCAGGTGCGTTCCCTTTGCTCAAAGATAAGTATGCACAAAGGTATTGGTATAAGTGTGACTATTCGTCACAATAACGACAGTCAAAGTGAGGTTGTTGTTATTCGACCATTTGCTTAAAAGCTAGCTAAAACTAATGAATACAAATTACCACTCCTAAGCTTTTACGAGAAGAAGTGGAGGTTGTCAAGACTGAATAGTAAAGAGCAATTGGAAGTACACAACTGCCCTAATATTGATTCTTCAAAAGAATAGGAAGGAGATAAAGGTGGTTACATATGATAAAACTCTTTATTAGCGGAACAGATTTATTATTTTACAGTAAGTTGAGATAGGGTTAGATATGTATGAGTACGAATAGAAAAGTGACATCAAAATTAAATACATGTATTATGTTATTGATAAATGGCATGATTAAGTCAACAATTTAAAAACGAGATGATAGCTTGCGTAAGATTTCTGCACGAGTGTCTTCGCTTAACGAACCTAGGATTTGGCTGAAACCTTCAATGACAGCATCTTGATCGTTGGAGGCCAAAGAGACAACTTGCTCAGCAGTGGCATTACTCTTTAACTTACTAATACGTTGATCAATAACACTTGCACGCTTTTCATACCATTCGGCAACAGTTTCATCAGCATCTTCATAATCAACAGACTCATTATCATTGGCGAACCATTCCTTGACGAGGCTATACATTTGATCGCGAGACAAAGAAGATCTGGTAGCAGAGACAATCTTACGGAAAGTATATTCTTCGCTAAGACGACGACGAACACGCCAGTAGAAGTAATGACGAGCACGGCGCCAGTCAAGGGCCTTACGAATAACGCCCTTAGCCTTCATACGACCAGAGCGGTCATGAAGATCAGCAAACTGAATTGAAATTTGTTGATAAACGGGTAATAATTCTTGCTCACGAGCCTCGACTTGAGCCTTGAGTGCAGCCTTTTGTTCTTCAGTCTTGTCACCTTCGGCCAATTGTTTCTTCAGAGAAGCATAGGTAGGATCGAGGCGTTCCATAGTGGCAAGCAATGCAGGTCTACGGTATTTGATTTCTACAATACCTTCGGGTTCCAAAACACCACCTCTAGCATTTACATCTGCATACATTTCCATCATATCTTGGTTAATAGTAGGATCAACAACGACCCAAGCACCACCACGAAGCTCACCGTTGGGAATAATGTAAACAAAGACAGGTTGCTTGTAGTTACTAAGAGCATCGACAATTTGAGCGCCATATTTCAAAACTTCATTATACATATCGCGTTGTCCACCTGAGAAACCACGCCAGTTAGCAAAGATCATCAAAGGCAACTGTTCACCCTTATTGAAATCGTTGATAGCTTGAGCAGTCTTGTAAGCAGAGTTGGGAAACCAAACACCACCAGCTTCCATGAAAACTTGTTCAGTAGAATCTGAGTTGGCAGGATCAGCAGGAACGATGTTTTCAACAGTACGAGTTTCAACAGAAACGACACCCATGGGAATACCACCCAAACGAGCACGACCAACAACGACAGTACGAGCCCAGCCACTCAAAGTTTCAATGAATGAGCCTTGATCGAAGAAGCCACTGAGCCAGTTGCCGTTTTCTTCCTTGCCAGCCAAGAAGAAACGAGGATCGGAAGGACCCTTAGGAGGTGTGTATTCAATATCACGGTCGACGGGGTCAGTGCTCAAACGTATAGGGATCGAGGCATTACGGACATCAGGGACAAATGAAAGCCATTGAATAATCTTACAGACACCTTCAAGATCATCTTCAGCGGTTAAGTGAGAAACGCCATTCTTATACATGATTTGCGTACCACCTAATTGAAGGTTAGAAGTATAGACTTCACGACCAAGCACCTTATTCAAAGCAGGAGCACCCGTCAAGATGATGGGTTGGCCTTCGTTTTGAACAGTACGTTGACCTAAACGAACAAGGTAGGCACCGATACCGACGGAACGGCAAGTAACCAAAGTAATAGTGAAAATGTCTTCGTAAGCACGAGAAGTAGCACCGGCAATGAGACCGGAACCTCTCAAGTTTTCAACACCAAGACCATCCGTTTGACCGATAATGTCTGTGATACGGAGGCGGGTTTCGCCCTTTTCTTGAATTTCTTCGACGAGAACATTCTTCACATCCCCTTGTTGGCATAACTTTTCATAATCAGCAGGAGTGAGGTAAAGATACTCATAACCAGCACTGGGATTGGTTTCATCCTTCCATGCCACCTTGAATTGGCCGATGAGTTCTTCTGCGAGACCGATGCGAGCACCAGAGTTGGCAGATAAGTAGACGCGAGGAATACCGAGAGAACGAGCAAGCTCGGACGCCTTATAGAAAACAAGATCTTCAGCAACACCGAAAGAACCAATCTTAAAAGTAATATCGTTAGCGATGGCAATGATACGACGACCACTGGGGTATTCAGGAGTGCGAAGAGTCATCATCCAAGCAACCATTCCAACATTGTTAGTACCAGGAGCGCGGTCGATCTCTTGCAAGTTGCTATCTTCATCAAGCACTAATTCTTTGGCTTCTACCAAATGACTGGGTTGTTTCAAAAGAGGATTGTGCTTTTGAACCTGAGTCCATTGATTTTGAACAGATTGGCGGAAGAGTTCTGGGAAGTCGTAAACGTAGGTAGTACCCATCAGATGAGCCTTATAACGACGAGGTTGTAGCCATTCCTTGGTAGGGTAGGGAGCTGACAAAGATTGCATGTGCATAGGACCAGGAATCTTGTTGACAGATTTTAGGATCCATCCATTCTTCTCTGTCTTGACTTCTTGATAGACTTCAACCTTCAAGATGAAACCAGAAACGTTGTCTACCGTGAAACGCATGGGGATGATGGGAGCATCGGGCCTCTTGGATTGGACGTTAAAGCGGATTTCAGCACCTGTGACACGAAGCTTCCAAAGACGCTTACCGTGACGGTCAACAAAGTCCTTCAAGGCATTTTCGACTTCATCGGCTTCAATGGCAAAAGTAGGGATGAAATTGATGAACAAATGGTTACAGTCTGAATTTTTGTATTCATGAGATACAATTTCAAGTGTATCAAGAATATCCGTCAACAAGCGATCACTTTCGGAAATCAAATAGTCGGCAGTACGCATAGAGCTCTTCACACGACCAGGACGGACCAAAGCACGGATGAAGAAACGACAATCGGAAGGATTTTCCTTGGCGACAGCGTAGTAAACATGCATTTGTCTATTTTCGATGAAACAAGGCTTGATATCAAAGTTGGAAAGTCTAGCCAATTCAAGTTGGTAAGCCATGGCTGGTTCAATATGACGGATGGTTTGATCTTCCTTGTAGTTTTCGCGCTCACGGAAGGTATAGTAATCAGGCCATTGATTATCACGACAGACAACGACAGTGATACGACGAAGGTTAGCGTGACGGAAGTTGTCAACATAAGCAGCGATCTTTTCAGAAATTTGATCCTTGAAAGTAGCTTCATCGACATCGGCATTGGCACGGATAGCGATGTTGAGAATATTTTCCATACGGTTTTGTTCCTTAGCAGCTTGTTTTTGTTGTTGTAACATAGGAGGGAGGGGTTCTTCTGCAAAAGCGGTCATGATGCGAGGTAATTCCTGATCCAAATCATCCAGGGAGTTTAATGCAGTCATAGCACCAGTACGTATAGGTTCTTCTTCTGTCTTATTGAGCAAGAAGGTAAGATCAGAGTAAGAGGCGATACGCTTGCTAGGATCTACACTCGTAGCTGAGGTTTGCAATGAGAACTTCCAGGCAATAATGTAAGGGTTGTGCTCGAGATTGTAAGCGACATCCAAAATCTTGTAAGCATGGTACGAACGACGGCAGTAAACTTCAAGAGCAGCAAGCGCAATATAAGCATCATTGTGGTAGAAGAAGTGAGGCAAAACGTCAAAGACATTGAACTTGGTATCAATCAAATCTTTGAAGGTGTCATAGCTGGGAGTACGGTATTCAGTTCCTCCACCGTAGACGGACTCGGTAACGGAACTCTTCAAGATTTGATACATCTGAGCTTGACGTTCTTCATAAGAAGGTAGCTGACAGAGAATTAAGAGCTCACGAGCCTTGAGAGCCACTTTTTGGGTTGCACGGCTATCAATTTCAGACAAACGCTTCAAAACAGGAGTGAAGCATTTATCAATGGCATTGTTGGTAGAAGTAGGATTAATGATATCCAGGAGCATAAGAATGACATTGTTCTTGATGTTGACCTTGGCGTGGGATAAAACGACAGCCAAAACCTTATCTAAATCGTCCTTGTGTTGATTCTTGAGAGTCAAGATAACTTCTTCATCACGTTGCTGGCTGAACAAAATCTCAACGTCGTAATATTGTTCCATCAACTGAATGTAGTTACTGTATTCGTGTTCCTTAAGGCCATTTTTGAATCGTTCGAAAATGCTGACTAAAGGCGCCACCTGATTTCTGAGTAAAGTAACGTCCGATTGAAGCTTGAGGTTATTACGGGCGAAATCTTCAATCAACTTTTCCAATTGAGCAGCAGGGAATTCTTTTTGAGCAGCCTTATACTCATCCGCCAGATTGTGAAGAGATGTTTCTAAGCGTTGAGGAATACGTCCAGACAAAGCGGATAGAACAGAATTCAATTCGGAATAGGGCAAATTAGGATTTCTCAAAATATCCGTAAAATCTTTAACGACAGTTTGAACGAGCGCTTGGTTATCATAACCTTGAAGAATGTGTTCAAGAATGCCCTTCGTGGCGTTGAATTTCTGAATGGGCTTGTCGCCGGTGATATGAGGAACACCAAAGTCAGGAACAGTGCCGTTGAAAGGTAATGCATGCTTAACACGGCTTGGATCATCGAGGGACAAAATACCGATAATGTCACCTGCTTCTAAAGTAGCGCCGGCCTGCTTAATGAACTGGACGTGACCGTCTTCTGTAGCAATCAAAGGCATGTACATTTTCATGACCTGTTTTGATGAACAAGGGAAACAAAGGATCAATCCACTTTTTCACATCTTAGACTGTACCATACAATTTTTTTTAATTTTTTTTTTTTTTTTTTTTTTTTTGTTTTACCTCAATTTCAGCATAAGCATCACCAGCCTTTAAATGATCACCGTTCTCGACCAACAAATTGACGAGTTTACCGGGAGAGGGGCTTCTCAATTGAGTAGGGTCAGTTTCTTTTTCAAGAAGACAGGTTTTACCGTCAATCATCAAACGAGTAGCTTGAACTTCCTCTCGGGAGTAAGTTGTATGAGATTTGCCACCGATAGAAATCAAAAGACCGCCATCCGACAAATCACGAACGCCTACTTGGGTCTTGGTTCCATTAAGATACAAAGTATAAATGGTAGGAGCAGAACGAGTGACGGTGAAGTTATAGCGAACATCTTCATAAATAAAATCAACTGTAAAGACAGTTTTCAGACTACCCTTACTGGGGACTTGACCTTTCTCAAGCGATTGCTTGTATTGGTGGAAGCACTCCAGAGAGGCTTTATGGGCCTTGGTAGCAGCACCGCAAAAGATGGCAAGCATAGTATCAGGACGTTCGGCTGTCAATTTTTTCGAAATCAACATATCTAACCAACCGGTGTTGATGGTGTTTTGTTCGAATTCAGGAGTTTCGAGTAAGCGAATAATGTATTCGACAGTAGTACGGAAATCACCACGGATCGAAAGTTCTTTCAGAGCAATGACCATGTTCTTACGCGCTTGTTGACGGTTCTCACCATAAGCGAAAATGTGACCAAACTGAGAATCAGCGTATTCATGAAGACCACCCGCTGAGACGACAGAGAAATAACCCCAGACGTTCGTGCTAGATCTGAAATTGAGTTCTTGCATCATACCAGAGGAAGGCTTGAAACCAGCATCAGGATTTTCGGCCGTAATACGGACAGCAACAACGTGACCTTTGGGGGTTGGGCGACGATGGCTGGTCAATGAGGTAGGGTGTTCGAAACCGAAATCAATCTCTGAGGTGCCATTGGTTTCAACGCCATAAAGTACACGAATATCGCGAATACGATGAAGAGGAATACCCATAGCAATTTGAAGTTGTGCAGCGGGTAAATTGACACCGGATACCATTTCAGTGGTAGGATGCTCGACCTGAAGTCTAGGGTTTAGTTCCAAAAAGTAGAATTCATCGTCATGATGACTGTAGAGATATTCCACAGTACCAGCAGATACATAACCCACTAACTTTCCAAGTCTCACAGCTGCTTTTTCCATTTGTTCAAAAACATCTGGCTTCGCGATGGTGACAGGAGCTTCTTCGATAATCTTTTGATGACGACGTTGAACGGAACAATCACGACCGAACAAACTGATGGCATTGCCATACTGATCTGCTAAAAGCTGAACTTCTAAATGACGAGCATTACCAGCAAGCTTCATGATGAATATGGGGGAACCAGGAATTTCACCTTGGACTTGAGCGAATAATTGGGCAAAATTGCTAGCGTCTTCGACCTTACGAATACCTTTACCACCACCACCTTCAGAAGCTTTGATCATGACAGGAAAACCGATCTTTTCGGCAGCTCTCAAACCTTCCTCTGCCGTTTTGACACAGGCCTTTTCATAAACACGATCAGGCACAACAACATGGCCTTCTGCATCAAATTCGGTTTCAGTAACGCCATCACCACTCCAACCCATGGTGGGTACTTGGGCACTTTGAGCAACGATCGTCGACGAGATTTTGTCACCTAAGGATCGCATAGCAGAGGCAGGAGGACCGATGAAGACACATTTATTCTTGGACTTGGCAAGCATTTCAGGCAAGCGTGGATTTTCAGAAGCATGACCCCTAATCACAACCGTTTAACATGACATACAGTATCAATATCACAACGTGTATTTTCAACGCATCACTGTATATCCCACTATCTCTGTCTCTTTCCAAACGCGCCCTTCTACCAGCAGCAGCACACAACTTACCAACCAGCCCAAACAGCATGAACACCGGCTCTTTCAGCAACATCCACAATAAGTTCGACATTGGCATAATTGTTATTGTTTGTACCACCAGGCACTTCAACATAATTATCGGCCATACGGATGAATTCAGCGTTACCCTTCAAATCCTCGGGAGTTGCCATAACAGTGAATTCAATAGCACGTTCATTGCCAAAGATTTCATATGCCCATTTTCTGACGGAACGAATCTCCTTCATAGCAGCCATACCGTTATTGGCAATGAGTACTTTGGAAATAACAGTGTGACCTTCATGAGCTTGAACAAAGTCTTTTACAGGACTTTGAGGGGCAGTAGCAAGGGAATTGCCACCTAGTTGGAACAAATTGTATTAGTTTCGATCCCAACAGTAGCAACGTGAGTGTTCTTCTGTTTCGAGTGTGTTTTTTTTTTTTTTTTACCTAGAAAATGGCTGGATACATTCTTATGATTGACCATTGGTTATGTAGGATTGTATATAGGATTTTGTCCTTCTGTCAGATTCTAATAGATATGATGGATTGATTTACTTGTTGACTGTTCCACTTGGTCTTTCTTCCACGTTACAAAAATGCAGATTAAATCGGGCAATAAGATGTGTATATAATAATGTAACTAAACTGAGATCTCTACTCCACTTTTTGACTGTTCCCCTCAGTTAATGAAAAGTAATAAGAAATCAAATTAGATTTGCTGGTATATTTGAAATTAAAGAAAGGGTCGTAAAGAAAGTCTTTTAGAATTCGGTAAAAGGCGAATTTTTTTTCAACAAAAAAATAACACAGAAACTCCGACGAACGGGTAAGGGCCTCTAAAGCTTGGTTTGTCCCCACCCTTCAAACAGACGGAACCAGCCAGGCACAAACGAAAAAGAGGCTTGAAGCAGGCTTGATCGAGCTTTTTCATCTGGGTTTCAAAAATTTACCAATCATTGTTTGTAGCCCTTGGTGACCACCCCAACAAATAAAGCAAGCTTCAACTGTGCAATGTCAAATTAGGTTCGAAGCTTTCAAATTTGTCGACTGGTTTTGGGGGAGCCAAAGAGAGAGATCCAGTAATTTTGGGGTTTGAAATCAACAAGAGATAGAACTGTTTTATTGTACCCCGCAAAAATTACCGTACATTTGTTAATGTTTCGCAATTTTAAGAAAAGGAAGGCAGCGATATGAATTTTCTGGAAAATAGGCATTTCATTGTGTGTCATAAAGACAGGACTTATAAATGCAATTTTCCCTTTGTTTTGGCAAAATTTGACATTTTTACAAACGGCGCTCTAGGTTATTTTAGTTCAAAGGGTGGATGGGGGACAGGAAAAATAGAATATTCCGGTGGGCCCTGCTGCTGTTCAGCAGAACCTGCTGTTTGTAACTAGTCTATTTTTTTTTATTTTTTTTTCTAAAATGCCTTGTCGCGACTTTTCTGACGTTTTTTGACTATCCCCAGCCCAAATGGTTGGCCCCTGCTGATCAAACTAGCATGGATCGTCTTCCGCGTTTTTTTTTTTTTTTTTTTGATTTCGATCTATATTTTTGATTTTGATCTGAAACAAAAACTCAAACATTAAGGTACAGAAACCCGTCTGGGCGTGTGAGATAAGAAGAGTGTGTCATCACTTAAGGAATACACGAATGCACAAATCTAAGCAAAAGGTCTATAGAAGATGGGTTTCATGGAAAGAAGAGGTTGTGCCCCACTATGACGTCTTGCCTGTACTCCTTCCTAAAAGCCAGAAATGAAAAAAAGCTGCTCACTGGTGTAGCCATTTTTTTAAGTAACGTTGATGTTTGTTTCCTTTTTCTTAATTAAGTATAGAATGAATACAAATGTCGCTGTGCGTAAAGTGACGAATCTTTTATTTAAATTAATTTGTGTGCATTCTTTTTTAAGTACAAAAAGAGAAATAAACGATTGTGTGCAATCAAACAAACAAAAAGAGAATAGAAGGAAAAAAAAAAAAAAAAAAAAAAAAAAAAAAGTTAAAGTTTCTGTACCTGATCTATCTTTGCCACACGTAAGACTTTGAAATACATTCGTTACATACAGAAACAGGAGGAGTTTACACACGCTGTTTTATGGAAAATCTTATTGACAAAAAGTCGGGGAGCAAGACTGTTCCCACTCCTTAAGACGTACTCCTCTCAAAAGACCACCGCTCAATAGACTACTCTATGAAGAGCTTCTGCGTATACTGTCCAAAAAGAAAACTTACAGTAAAAATAGAACACTTCACGTCGTGTTTTTCTTAACGGCTAACGGCTCTTTCTTTTTGTTTCGTGGGGGATGCAACCCAGCTTAGTGGCAGGGAACAATAAAGCCCACAAAGACACATGCACATATTTAGAAAGACGTACAATTTAATAAAAATTAGCTGTGATAAAAATAGTAATCAGGATATAGCGCACACATTTCATTTTCTCTCTGACAAACAATAAGCCATTATTTTTGAGAGGAAAAAATATTACATATGTACAATGTCAATGGGAATAATGATACAAAGGCTGTAGAGGCAAACTTTCAATAATGATTGGTAAATAGTGAACTTGGAAGAGTATAGTTCATTAAGGTTTTGAGGGGGGTTTAGAAGGAAGGTAGGGACACGGTATGTCGATTTCAATAGCCACGAGATGCAAAGCTTGCTGATGGAGGTGGTGGCACTGCATGCTGTGGGTGAGGTGGAAGTCTACTGGTGTTCATCCAATGGGTGGACAACGAAGGAGGAGGGGGAGGGGGCGGAGGTGGGGGTGGCATAGGATAGGAAGGTTGATGATGTTGCATATAGTGTGTCATAGATGGAGTAGGCGTAAAATGATGTTGATGATGATAATAGTTATATAGAGTAGGAGTATTTGGTGAGGCAAGAACATTGTTCGTAGTTGCTACCACAGCTGAGCTGCTGATGAGCTGATCTTGGTCGTAAGCGCTCGGAGTACGTGTCGTTGTTGCTGCTGAAAGGTGATGGTTCAAAATACTAGAGCTGTTATTGCTGTTGCTCTTCTTATTGTTCATGATGCTGAGCGTTTTATTTGTTTCATTCAATCGCTGCTTGTGCTCCTTTTTCTGTTGTCTCCATATCTTGCGAAGCTCTTTGAATTCTGATGGTTGTCGTTTTGGGCCCTATTGGCGACACAAAGAGATAAGCTTAGCTTTATACGCTCCCCTCTTTATCAGAGGAAAAAAAAAAAAAAAACTTACGTGTCTTTGCATAGATACGTGAGCATTCAAATGATTCAATGTGCCATACGCCTTTTCACAATCTTGGTAATTACATTGGTACAACCGTTCTACTTCATGGAACTTTCGTCGTGGTCGCTTTTTTTGGTTGGGTCCCGGCAAGGGTACAAAGGAAAAAACCTTTTGATGAGGCTGATCGGTATGAGCGGCTGTAGCCATTGAATGTACATTCGGTGGATGCAAAGGAATGTTTGCCAGTGGATGATTAGGATCTGCTGTTATAAGCATACCATCAATCACTGAAGTAGGAGGCGAGGGTAAAGAATAGAATTGTCGACTTGGCAAAGTATTAAGGTTTATCTCATTTGTTACAACGGTAGTGGCGGTGGGTGGAGTATAAATAGGAGTTGTTGCTGTGTTATGATGTGAGGCTGCCGTAGTGGTGGGAAGCAAACTCAAATCAGATGATAATGGTACCATCGGATTGGGTGGTGGAGGATCGTATTGACTGTGATGGTTTCCGTCATTGGTTGTTAGCATATAATAGCCTCCTGCAGTAGGGTTGGATGTGGAGTATGTTCCGGCCTGGTGTTTTCTGTAGGCTGCTGGAGATTCACCAAGTGGTGACTGAGAAGGAACAGGAGGTGTGGCTGTCATAGAAAAGGTTGTATTGTGCGATAGGTAGGGTCTGGAAGGCATAGGGGCGACATTTTTCAGCATGTTTGGCTGAATCGTGGCAACTGTGGAAGACGTTGGAGGCATTTCTTGTTCTAATAGACTCGGATGCTGATAGCGAGCATCAAGTTCCTGTGTTGATTCGACATGAATGGAAGAGGGAGGGCTCTTCTCTACTGGGCTACTGCTGTTCTTGGCGTTTTTAGGTTGGTTACTTTTCGACGTCAATAAATGGGATAAAGGAGGGAGTGACTTATTCCTTGAAATCTCGTCTGTAGCGGAGGGTAAGGTAGTAACGGACGTGACCGAAGGCATACGCTGACTTTGACTCCGGCATTGAGAGGTACTGTGGGCATAAGACGTTGGCAGCGGAACAGAATGTTCTGTAGGCGTATAATAATTTGTTCTAGGATCATAAAAGCTTAGGTTCGCGGAAGATGGCACTTGAGGAGCTGTTGCTATACGCTGGTGGTGGTGAAAATCAGCATTCACTTTGTTATGTTGTTGAAAGCTTGTGTTATTCATAACTTTATTTTTCCACAGAAATCGGTAGGATCGAAGGGGGGATGAAAAATATAGAAAACGAGAAAAAAAAAAAAGTAAAATTGGTAAATTAAGGCAGCAATAGAAGTCTTTTATGAAATTGAAAAGCAATAGAAACAAAAGACAGAACTTTAAACAAACAGAAAAAAGCTTTATAAAGTGTCTGTGTTCCTCTTTGCTTGCAATGAGAGTATTAAAAAAAAAAAAAAAAAAAAAAAAAAGGAAAAGGATTTGCGAGCAGCCGTCTTATAAGTTGGTACAGAAAAGTTGGTCTAACTCTAAATAGTTTGGTTGTGATCTCGTCACATTGCGTTTATATTGGACTAAAAAAAAAAAAAGGATTTGCAGGCACCTGTCTTATACTTCACTATGAAAAGTCGGTGTAACTTGATAGTATTTTGTTGGTTTTTATTCTTTTAGAAAACTGCTATTCTTGAGATTTAACTTTAAACAGCCTGAGTTCTGATCTCGTCACATTCCGCTGACATAGAATTTGTTTGAAAGCAGTTCATGCGAGTATAAGTGTAAATTAATCATAAAACATACTTGCAATGATATGTAGTACACAAGCAGATATGCGGGAACCAGAAATGACGTTATCTTTATTGTAGGACCAGGACCGAAGAGAGCCTCCTCTCGCCTAAAAGGAGTATGATATTCGTGCTGTGTTTGTATAGTATCTGGGATATATTTCTAACGAATGCTGTTACAAGGATATTTCAGGAACAAATCATAAGGAAGCGTACCTTACTATAAAAAGCATACTCGTAGATCTTTTAGGTTATAATAAATGCAAAGTTGTTCATGTAAAGCAAAGACGAATAAGGGAAATACAGTGGAGGTAGGCAGAAATTCATTTTGAAAGAAAGTACATGTGTACATTTAGCAATACAAAAAATTCAAACTACACGTTGTACAACTCTAAAGTTTTAAGGTTCAAGATCCAAAAAGAAGAGAGATCTGCGCTGTATGTGAACGGTCATCGACAATCACTGTAGACAGTCCGTCATAGGGAGAAAAAGCATTGTGGTTCGGTAAAAGAATCAAGGACATTGCGCTTTATGCAACCTTATTGGATCAGCGCCGGCAGTGTATCCATTTTTCGAATAGGAATTGTTTGCAAGTAGTAAAGCTACATTATATCAATTCTCTGTAAACCTCGGTCATCTTTTTGACTGAGTCTTTTGTTTCTTTCCCGAATTCAGTGATAAGCTGCTTAAATATTGATCGAAAAAAGGGGGGCTAGCTTCATATCAACATTGGCCGTTGATGCATCATTGAAGCTTTTTCAGGTGTATGTACGAGTCTGCAATAAAGGAGGTTGCGTTTTGACAGCTTAAACTGAGGCTGCCTTGTAAGAATTCGCCAACTATCAAAGTAGGGAACAAAACAGCTCTTCCCTTAATTTCAAATCATTTTTTTTCTAATTTTTCTTTGGAGTGATTAGCTTACAATCAAAAGGACAGTTATAAACCCGCGTTTATTTCTTTTGATACTCTTCGAATGAACAAAAGAAAACCAAAAAAAAAAAAAAAACGAATAGTTGGAAAGAAAAAGAAAGGACGAGATAAGTAGGAGACAGACAAGGAGTTTGGAAAAATCGCATGCTATAACATTCTAAGTTTATTGATTTGACGAAAAGCGATGGCAGTATGTACTTTAAATAGAGCCAAATTTTATTTAACAAGACATAGGCTTATGAACATGGAAGGAAACAAGATCATTCTGCGTAATATAAACATACTTCAAAATTTAAAAATTGATCGAGCGTAGTGTAAATCACTCTTGAAGATTATAATACAGTACTCTTCGAGGCAATTGTATTTTGTTAAACTGATCTATCAAACTGCACCAGTGGCAGCTAACAATTGCCGCGATGCAAAAAAGCTATTATTCGTCAATTATTTATGAGCTTCTAATTTTTTCCATCCCCAATTTTTAGACGTTTTCGACGAAGGTTGTATCTGATTTTGACAAACGTCTCAAGGCAAAACCAAGAGTTGGAGTATAAATGGCAAAAAGTGAGACGAGGCGAGATATGACAAGAACAATGGAGACAGAGGGTCCCTTGTAACCGAAAAAGGTTAAAGAGAAAGAAGGCGAGTTCCTTGGAATTCAATGGAGGTGAACTCTGCTATGCTTCTCTTGTGATCAGTAACTTATAAGTGAAAGGGTTCAAAAGATTTTTCATTAAATAAATAAATGTGATTGAAAGGTATACGGGAAAATAAAATTACTTTTTTTTTTTTTATCTTTTTTTTTCTGTTGTCTCCAAAGCATTGGTTCTTTACTAAGTGGTATTATCCTCTAGTAATTCCAAGTGTCCTTTGATGGCACCACCTACACTGACGCGGTCGATTAAAAACGTATCATGCCCAAACATAGCATCCAGTTCGTAGTAAGTGACACGCTTATTGCCTGCTGCTCGCAGACATTCAGCAATTTCCTTTTGCTGCCAAACAGGGAATAAGATATCCGATTGTACGCCTAATACCAGCGTTGGCATATTAATGCCCTTCATACCCTGCACCAAGTCTTGCGTAGCTGGATCAGATGAAGATAGCGTCGTTAATGGTCTCTTACTTTCTCCATTTTTCACTTCTTGCTGATGATTATCATTCAGGTCGTCTCTTTCTGTTTGCTCTAACGCAGATTGATGGCCAACAATGGATCGGCAGGCCTCGGCCATGATGCGTGAAGAATCCGCTTCGGAACCGTTCCTCAGTTGTTGCTGCTTCTTTACGATTTCTTCTAGTTTGCTCAGATTATGTTTTCGCTGGCTTTGTAATTTATCGAATTGGGAGGAAGACATGTCAAAGATATCCATAGCTTTAGAGATGTACAAAAGAGAGTTGGGATCGTATTGCAAACAGAAACGCTCTCCCTGATGATCCAAGTAGGTCTCAATAAGGAAATCAGGGCACAGAGCTGGAGATTGGTTTTCGTGAGCTCGTTTACGACCAAAGCGTAATTCCCATTCTGGACCTGATCTGTAACTGATAGTGGCAATCTCACGGGCGAGCTATGTTGGTTCATTATATCGTTCTATCAGTTTTTTCTGGACGACTCAAAAGTTGTTGAAAACATGGCCTCTTCTACTCTTACCTTCATGCCTATATGAGGCGGAATTCCTTTGTAATAAAAGCCTTTATTCCAGTTCGGATCAGCCATTAACACTTGTCTCTGAGTATGTCGTAGAGCAATAGAGTAGGGATGTGACCTGACACAAGCTGATATTGAGATCAATCTCTTGACACGATCAGGGAACAGCTTAGCAGCCGCGACTGACTAAAAGAAACGTAGTATATTCAGTACGGCTTTTCGAATGAAACCCTTGCAATCCACGTTTTAATTAATGACAACTATTCCATCACTGCTTTACCTGCATACCACCCATACTGCTACCCACGCTAGCATGCAACTTTTCGATCCCTAAATGGTCCAGCAATTTGAACTGTGCTCTCACCATGTCGTAGATTGTCACAATAGGAAATCGTGTAGCATAGCGTTCTCCATCAGCAGGATCAACGGAGCTTGGCCCTGTTGAACCATAGCAACCTCCAATCACATTTGTACAGATGACAAAAAATTTGTTGGTATCAATATGAGCACCGGGTCCAATAAAATCTTCCCACCATCCTGGTTTAGTATTTTTGGCGTGCGATTTTGCATGCGAAGACGCTGACAGACCCGTGTGTATCAGAATAGCATTGTCTTTTTTTTCATTGAGCGTTCCCCACGTTTCGTAAGCAATATCAAATTTCGGAAGAATGCCACCATGATCTAGTAAAAAGGGATGAGGATATTCAAACTTTTCATAGCCGGTGACAATCTTATCATAACTAGGCTCGGGTCCACTGTCTAAGGCCATGGTGCGAGAGGCAAGTTTATCGATACATGGAAAGGAAAGAGGCGGATTGGAAGATGTGCTATTGGTATTGTCGCCGTTACTGCATGAAGCATTTTTTATGTCAAATTGTTGATGTAAGCCTAAATTTATTCACCAAGAAATTAAGGTGTGGGCTGTTGAGTTTTCCAAGTTGAAAAACAAAACAAAAAAAAAACAACATGCATAGCCCATTATCGCTTATGAAAATTTACCCCTTTGAGCAATTGATAATACCGGAAGAGCAGTCTTCCTTCGCGCTATATAAATACTTGACGAACGGAACAAAGAAAAAGTCGACTTCATTGAAGAGTGCGATGAGTTGTAAAAGAGCTAGTAAAAGTCGACAAAAGAAACTGATCAAACTTCAAATGTCAAGAAAGAAGATCTGATCAACTTGAGATGTCGAAAAAAGAGGAAACAACGAGAACAATGGGTGTCTTATAGCCATTTGCTCCATCATTTTCCATCACGCCATATTTAAAGCCTTCTTATTGGACTATGCGTTCCATTATTGGTTACTGCACACCCGATTTTCCTCGTTTTGACAACCAGGATTATTGTCCATTACGCCATTAAACGTACTTTTTTTCCGCAAACCAATGACCTGCTTGATCGAATTCGTTGTACAATAAAATTACAGCTGTCAATTTGCCAATTATTGAAATATTACGATCAGCATAAACGTTAATTCGCTTAAACAATGCTGATATTTATCTGATCTACGCCTGCAACCACAATGGTATTTTTTTTTAAAAAAAACTCGTGTTGATCATTTATCTCCTTAAATATCGAGAATGAACTAGACATCAAAATACATGTATAATAAAGCCGTAGCAATTGAGTGAAGAAAAGCTTAGCATGAATTGATAGCAACAATATAAAGTATATACCGTCAAAATAAGGGCTTTAATCATGAGAAAATCTGTTATAATCTGCAGTTACAATGGTATAAAATAGTTGTGCAATCTAAGCTTTTCCTTCAATATCTTGATCTTTCTCTACTGTCATACCTTTGCCGACGATGGTCATCATCGTTTTCCTTAGACTGTCTTGACTTTCTAGTATTTCGATGGTTGTCATCGCTGTCACCTTTATCATCGTATTTCCTTCGACGCCTTCTGTCCTCTTCTTCATCACTGTCGTTTTTAGATATTCTATGCCTGCTTCTAAGATCTTCTTCATCGCTACTATGTCGCGATTTTCTATGACGTTCTCGACTCCTATCCCGAACTTCATCTCTTCTGCTTGATCTATAACCATCATGATCTCTGCTATGGGACCTTTCTCTTTTATGTTTGCGTTTTTTGTCACTCTTATCCTTTTTCTTGGATTTTTTCTTTTCGTGTTTCTCTCTAAAATAAGCTGCCATAGGATCTTCTTCATCTACATCAATATTCGAGGCTGCGGATGTTGATTTCTTGCTTAAACGCTCATCCACTAATATAAGATTATTGAAAAAACATCACTGATTGATACAAGACCTGTGCTCTGATGCATAAAATGGAAACTGTTCATTTTATACCTTCTATCATCTGTGGCGCTACATTCATTTTTGGGCCCTCGTCATCCTCGTCATCGGATGCAGCATCTTTTCTCTTACGCTTTTTGGGACCTGTATGAGAGTGGTCTACACGAATTGTTCGCCCTAAAACCTGTTGCATTGGAGAGCGATGAAAAGTGAAGAATTTCGGTTAGAAAAAATAATCCCCTTTAAAACATGGATCCAATAGTCCTATTGCTTATATTACAGTGGCACCGTTCAAATTATCCACAGCTAAAATGGTACTGCGTTGATCTTCATACTGCAAAAAACCAAATCCTTTTGACTTGCCATCCTTTCCATCGCGGATAAGCTCTGCGTGTATGATCTCACCATACCTAAGGAAAGAAAGGTTTGCAAACTGAATTAATCGCTGTGTCCTTTTCGTCAAAAAATCGTCTTGGGCTGAATATGACAATACTTACTGCGAAAATATACAAACAAGATCGCCTTCCGTGAGTTCAAAGTCTAAGTTACCCACAAATATCCAGGCTGAATTCTTATATTCTGCATGCCATGATGCTGTGTCTGAATAAGATCCGCTAGCCAACTCCTTCTCATTTATTCTCTGAATCTCTTTGACGACGCTGTAGAAAAAAATGAAACAAATGAATAGGATAGTCGAAAGACCTTACTTTGAGTCTATCAAACAGTTAGGAAAGCATACTTCATTTAAGTAATGGAACAAAGGTGGAGAGCTGATTGCATAATGACCAACCATCGAGCGACCTACATAGTTGTGGCACAAATCTAATCCGGGTCGGCGCAATCGATTTTGGAACACACGCGAACCGGCACAAATAAATCTTTTACCTTGTCGAACCGAACAATCACATGTTTAATTAAATACAACATATCATATACTGAGCTTATAAATTTAACACTGAAGCGTGGTTGGTTAAGTGGTATAATCTTCGCCTGCCACGCGAAGGGCCGGGGTTCGATTCCCCGACCACGCATATTTTTGAAAATTTTTGTTATTGTGGTGGATGTAGCGAAATGGAGACGAAGGCTTTCTGGAAGTTTTGTTCTTTGGAACTAAACAATAATTAACAGAATAAAAAAAACACTTTGAAACAGCTGGTGGGCAACGTACTGAAGACTCTTCTAGACATCACTAGTATACGATTGTTGATCGATAATGCAATTCAAGGAGTGTAGCCCCCGGTCAACTTAGCCATCATTCTAAACAGTGCTGAACACCTTTAGCGCAAGAAAGAGATTGAGCGCCTTGCTAATGTTTGATAGTAACATTTATACTCTAGTTTACTCATAAATGACCTTTCCATCACTATTATTCACTCCAACTCTTTACTCGATAGGGTTTGTTTTCTTAACATTGAATAAATTTTACCTGATTTTGAAGCAAAAGAAATAAAAAAAAAAAAAAAAGAACTGGACGGTAAGCTCAGTGGCATTCATTATTGCATAGATAAGACGTTAGAGATTCCATTGCTTATATAGAATGGGTATCTCAACGAGCATGATTGAGATCTCTCCTTGCATCCATTTTAAAGATGCTGTCATTATTCTTGTGCAAAGAACATCCAAATTATATCCTATCGATAGCAACGCGCATCGATACCTCAAAGCATATGCTTCTCACTGTTATACAGATTAGGCCAGGAAAAGGTAAATTCGTGCCTTCGGAAGAAATTGGCACATCGAGAATTCATGCTGTTAACCAATCTGCATGTACCTGAAAAGCTAAAAGACGTAAAGAGAATAGTTATCGTTGCTACTTGTCCTTTCCCATGTTCATTTTTTTTTTTTCAATCTGTTTTTCTCGACAACCCTAGTTCTGGCAATAATGCCAATCAAGTTCCAATGTAAGTGCTGATAGATGCACAACATCTGTCGATGCTTTCGTACGAAGCAAGTGCTTTTCATTTTCCCTACACAATACAATCTTCTACGACTGCAGCGAACGATCTGTTTGTGAGTGCATGTCTGGTAGTTGTTCTTATTTACATTATCGTTTACTTTGCGAAGCTCAGAGTGAATACAATACTTTGGTGAAATAGGCAAATAGGGAGAGAGATTTACAGTTTGCTCCACATTCACTTTGGTTTATCTGAACAATATCTTTATACCTGCCCGTTTGAACACGACCCTTCACCTTAAATTAGCTTTTGGCATTCTCAACGTTAGCATATTGATTGCTGTCAATGTAAAAGTCAATGTCTTCCAAAAAGAAACTTTACGTGTCCTTAAATATAAGAAGCATTTTTAATCCATTGATGAGATAGAATGTACGGAAACCAAGATATAAAATGAATTTAAGTATAAATAATGGAACGATTTATTCAAGTAAGCTTTATTAAGAGAAATATTAATAGAATATAGGATATCAAAGCTGTACTAGTTTTTTTTTTTTTTTAAGCTGTACAAAAGAAAATGATGGGAGTCAAAAGTCATATAATAAGAGAAGAGTAGAGTTATACATTATAGGCGAAATGAAGAAAAGGGAATAAGTATCGAGAGTGGTGTATGTAGATGAAGCAAAACAGAGAGTATATTCTACTCTCTCTTTTGTTTTATATAACTGCTATCCTCCCATTTTTTTTTCAACAATGCATCTTTTCTGATAGAAGCCAGAGAAAGAATAGGTTTGGTGCTAATCGAATAAGAGCTGATTCGTATAGAAGTGGATGCTGTTTTTGAAATTGAGATCGATGTTTATTTGGAGGAAGTGTACTTGGTGACAGCCTTGGTACCTTCAGAGACGGCGTGCTTGGCCAATTCACCAGGAAGGATGAGACGGACGGCGGTTTGAATTTCACGAGAGGAGATAGTGGAACGCTTGTTGTAGGCAGCCAACTTGGAGGCTTCAGAAGCAATACGTTCAAAGATATCGTTGACGAAAGAGTTCAAAATGGACATGGCCTTGTTGGAAATACCAGTATCAGGGTGGACTTGCTTCAAGACCTTGTAAATGTAAGAAGAGTAGGTTTCGCGACGAGAGACCTTCTTCTTTTTGGCATCCATGTTCTTAGCCTTAGCGGGAGCTTTACCAGCGACAGTTTCTTTGGGAGCCATGTTGAATAGTTATTATATGGATAGATATAAATTACGAGTAAATGGGAAAATTTACAAAAAAAAAGGGTTGGAAATCAAAAGTAGGTCCTTTTATATGCTTTTTTTGCTACTCTACGCAATTTTCCTAATTTGTAAAAGTAGATTGACCTTGTGTGACTCGCCAATCATTTTTTTTTTATTTTTTTTAACCAAAAAAAAAAATACATAATTTTTTAACGACGAAAACTATGAGCTGCCAGCCTCAACGCGAAAAAAAAATTGAAATTTGAAAAGTATCTTTTCAGAATTACCGGAAAGTAATGGACAAAAATCAACATGAACGATGCTTTCCTTTTTTGGTTGTCGACATTGAATGTATTTTATTTTCGCGAGATTTTCTTAATCCACTTGAAAAACTGACACGTATAATCGCGTAAATGAATGATATACAATCGATTTGTCGAGTTTAATTATTTTTGAAAAATTTGGTATGACCCAAGTCTTTGAAGGGCTTGCCTTGTATATGAATGCCAAAGGAGGAAAAATTGCTACAGCCTGCTTTGAAAAAAAAAAGGGTACAACAAAAAAGGAGTCACTTTTTTTGTCTTTTTTTTTTTTCATTTTTTTGAGAAATTGCCAAATTTAGAAAGTGTCGAGGTGAGCTCAAAATCGTATATAAATACGCCCGCCTTTTGAAATTTCTTCATTTTTTTCCACAACTCTTTTTCTTCAACAACACATAACAATAATAATCAACAATGTCTGGTGGTAAATCTGGTGGAAAGTCTGCTTCTGGCTCCAAGTCTCAAACTCGTTCTTCCAAGGCTGGTCTTCAGTTCCCCGTTGGTCGTATCCACCGTCTTTTGCGTCGTGGTAACTATGCCCAACGTGTGGGTGCTGGTGCTCCTGTCTACTTGGCTGCCGTCCTCGAATATCTCGCTGCTGAAATTCTCGAATTAGCTGGTAATGCTGCTCGTGATAACAAGAAGTCTCGTATCATCCCCCGTCACTTGCAATTAGCCATCCGTAACGATGAAGAATTAAACAAACTTCTCGGTCATGTTACCATTGCTCAAGGTGGTGTCCTTCCCAACATTCACGCTTCCTTGTTGCCTACCAAGACCAAGAAGGCCGGTGCTTCTCAAGAACTTTAAATCTAGAACGACGAATAACCCAGAAAACAAACACATCTGTTACCATTTGCACGCACGCTAATTCTATACAACCAACATCAACCACAGCCAAATAACTTATATATTCCTATATATTTCACACCTTACTTCATCCTATGTTAATTTGGATATGATTACCCCTTTTTCCGTTTTTAAGAGTAAAAACTCTCTATTTTATTGATTTCCTTTGTACATATTCTCTACTTGTTTTTTTTTTCCTAATACTGGTCATAATATAATAAACCGTTTTGATAGTCATTTGCAATATGTTTATTATATCGAAAAAACAAAAACAAACGAGATATATTATTGCTATTCATCATTCATAGTAGTAGTAGTAGTAGTAGTAGTAGTAGTAGTAGCGGTGGTGGTAATAGTAGGATTGGGTATATGAATTACATTTTTCTCCAAATTGAACCTGACACGTTTCTTTTTTTTCCGTAAGGGCGAGTGATGGTTATTATCGTCCGTCATTGGTTTGCTTTTATCCTTTTTACTAGTAGTATTAGCATTAGAAGGTGAGGCGAGAATTTGTTTCCTCGAAAGCAATCTAGCAGCTCTTGCTTCTCTCTCTTCTCGTACTCTCCAGACTTTGAGTTGATTTGCTCTAGCTGCTTGTCGTCTTCTCTTTTCTGTAATGGTCAATGGTTTTGTCATAGGCACCTCTTCTTCATCGTCGTCCGCAGGATCATCGTGATAAAAGTGTTCTTTTGCGTTATTCCCAACGTGGGCATTCTCTATAGATGTTGAAAAATCAGTGGTTCTCAAAGATTCAGGATTTCTGTTGGAATGAATGGAACGAAAAGATGAACTAGACGAAGGCTTATCAAGTGCTGAAGAGACTCTTTTTTTACTGTTCTTTCTCTTTTTTTGTCCAATGACAGGTTTGAATATTCTTTTCAATTTCTTATGATGCTGTACGGGAAGAGTGCATGAGCTGGTGGCAGTGATAGCTGAAACATGACTTTGCACAGGAAATGTATCCGTTTTGGCAGCAGCAGCAGCAGCAGCAGCAGTAGTAGTAGTAGTAGTAATCATGGTCGGTGCCGACAGTGAAGCTTTGGGTGTATGCTTCATCGAGTTATCTGTCATCGGTACAGTTTTTATAGCAGATGCTGTGGATAGATGGGTGCTTTTGTTCACGTCATTCATAGATAGTTTATCAGTAGGTGGTGGGTTTCCACACATCTTGATTTTTTTAACAGGGACAGACGTGGGTAGAAACTTTGGATGACTGTTATTCGACAAAAGCTGCTCTATGGGCGTTGGTTCGTATAGGCGCTTCGTTGCAGCTCCCATAGTAGTCTCTGTCCTTTTCAAAGGAGCCGTCGTCGCTGAATGAGATGGCTTTGAGTGACTGAGTGGCTTGTTTGAGGTTTTCTTGTTATGTTCATACATTGTGATGAGCTTCACAGGAGTAGAGCTGGAACTCAAAGGCGGAATAGTCGACGCTGAAGATGATGGCACTGATGTTACTGTTGTTGTTGTCAATGACGTTTTTCCAAAGATTTGTTTATAAGCAAAAAGAGTGATTTCAGTGGCGACAGAAGGCGAAGTATAAAAAGTGGGGTGTTTGTATAAACCTTTCAGGGTGATCAAAGCAGGAACCACAAACACAGTGTTTGACAATAACGGCGGTTTACCACAGCCGGAACGAAGAGCGAGAACTGGGCGAGATGTTGCACTGAATGTCGACACTGTGAATGGAATGCGGCTTTTATTTTCGAGACAGTCGTTTTTGGTTCTCTGTCTAAGAGGTTGATCATTTTGAATGTTTTCAAGTTCAGTAGTAGTCATGCCTTTTTTTCTCTTTTTTCCTACATGCTGAAGACCAAAAGACATATGTATGAAGGGGGAGGGGGTGGAATACAATTTACTTTTTTTTCTTTTCAATTATTTCCAATCAGTGTTAAATTAGCCAATAGAATTGAAGCGATGCTTTATAGGACAGGGTCGACCACAAATTACTTACATATAGCTCTTTTGGCTATAATAAATACATACACTCGTGTGAGATGGGATAGAATAAAAATTCACAACGTGACTCTATGCCTTAAGCGTTTCCCCTCATGATTTTTTATCTTTATCAATGATTGATTTTTTTTTTATTTTTTTTTCGCTGTATGCGCACTGTCTCTTCATTGGTTATAATACCAATGCTGTCATGAATCGTCTCTTTCAAGGCTTTGTCTATGTCATCTACACCAACTAACAGAAGCCCATTCAAAAAAGATAAAACACTTTGCTAACCAATAAATAAAAACAATGCTTACTTTAAGGTTGGTTACACGTAACACCCAACACGACAATCAGAGCATAATGAGGGACCAAGTAGCACAAATAAACAAAAGACAAAAGAATTCATGTACTTCAAAGAGTCATTATTATTTTATTTACAGGAGAGTTTAAAAAAAAAGAATATTAGGCGGAAAAAAAAAAGGAGGAGGGGAATGATATAAAGTTGGCATCCTTTATATTGTAGTTTGGTTGTTATTTGTGTTGCGTATAAATAATCATAAAGAATTATTAGGAGAGGGCTCTTCCAATCAGTTATAGAAATAGTGAGGATATCATTGGAAAGATAAAATGGATAATTTAACCGCCAAAACCGTAGAGAGTACGGCCTTGTCTCTTCAAAGCATAGACGACATCCAAAGAAGTAACAGTCTTTCTCTTGGCATGTTCAGTGTAAGTAACGGCATCACGGATAACGTTTTCAAGGAAGACCTTGAGGACACCACGGGTTTCTTCGTAGATTAAACCAGAGATACGCTTGACACCACCACGACGGGCAAGACGACGAATAGCAGGCTTGGTAATACCTTGAATGTTATCACGAAGAATCTTTCTGTGACGCTTGGCACCACCCTTTCCGAGACCTTTACCACCTTTTCCACGACCAGTCATTTTGAATTATATAGTTTGTATGTTAATGAAATTGAATGAGAAGTAAGAAAAAGGGAATTTTAAGGAAAAAGACTTCCCCTATTTATATTCTTTGACATTTTTCAATAACCGACATTTTTACTACATCTTTTTGAAAAAAAAAAAAATGGTTTTTTTTTTTTTTGTAGAAGTTCCCAATTAATTTTTTTTTTTTGACGTCGCGCTGACTCCTTCCCTAACGAAAAAAAAAAACATGTATTATTTTTTTTTTCGCAAAAGGAAAATTTTTTCTTTCCATTTTTTTTTTGCTTGGAAACCCACAATGAAAAAAAAAAAACCAAAATTGCCTCGAGTGCCTCAATTGCTTCAATTAAAATTAAAAAAGAGTGCTTTCAATTGACCAAAGAATTGTTTCTCCAAAAAATAAATAAAATTGAAAGGCTTGTCAAGATGCAAAGAAACATTTGTTGGTGTCGTTTTTAGATGATTTCAAAGAAAGTGGTAGGGGGGGAGGTTGCTATCATGCATCTTGCGTAGTATGGAAGAAAAGAAAAAGACTTGTAAAAAAAAATTTTTTTTTTTCAAGGGAGGGAGGAGCGCGTCTGAAAAAAAAACTACATCTTTTTGAGGAAAAAAATGTATAATGCTTGAAAAAAAATTCATTCAACAACAGAAAATGCCATTGCATTTAAAAAAATATATAATCAATGATTTCCAAATCAAGAAGCGAGTCCTGTGACTTCATTTAATTTTTTTTCTATAAATACATCGACTTGGGAGATTCTGACTTTAAGTTTCCCTTTACTCTCTATCTTTTTTTTTATTTATTCCAAGAATTAACAATAATGGCTCGTACTAAACAAACTGCTCGTAAGTCCACTGGTGGTAAGGCTCCCCGTAAGCAATTGGCTACTAAGGCCGCCCGTAAGTCTGCTCCCTCTACTGGTGGTGTCAAGAAGCCTCATCGTTACAGACCTGGTACTGTCGCTCTTCGTGAAATCCGTCGTTACCAAAAGTCCACTGAATTGTTGATCCGTAAGCTTCCTTTCCAACGTCTCGTCCGTGAAATCGCTCAAGACTTCAAGACCGATTTGCGTTTCCAATCTTCTGCCATTGGTGCTCTTCAAGAAGCCTCTGAAGCTTATCTCGTCTCCCTCTTTGAAGATACCAACTTGGCTGCTATCCACGCTAAGCGTGTCACTATTCAACCCAAGGATATCCAATTGGCTCGTCGTCTTCGTGGTGAACGTTCTTAAACAATCTTGCACTATGATTCACTTATCACCTTTACTATAACTTCAACATCAACATCAACATCAACATCAACAACTGTCCTTTGACACTAGTAACATCATCAAGGAAACTTGTTTGATAATATCCAACCGTTATTGAAGAGCCTTTATTATGATTTAAATTCTATTTGTTTATTTGCCTTTGCATGACCCTGTCACCCACTCTCGCTCTCTCGCTCTCTTTTCGCAATCTATTTAATATTACCCTTACCCATGATGAACGCTACTTATTTCTTTTTTTCTGTACAGTTTTGTATTTTCTTTTATTATTTTACCCTGAATAAAAAGAACAAATAATGAAAGTTAATAATCTCTTTACTTTTTTGTCCGCTGTGAATGACTGTATTCTTTCCTTTGTTATTTGTAATGTCACTAAACATACAGTTTCCCCTCAATAAGAAAAAAGCTCATCGCTCTGTTGAACCCGTTATTCTATCATTATCCTCCAGGAGGAGGGTGACGGATTTACATGGATTGTCATACTGAAGCAATGGATACTTGGACAGATCCTTACATCTTTTTTTATATCAATTATCTCCCTCATCCAGCATATCAGGTGCACCTAACCATCAAGCATTATAAATCGTACCGTTGTTGGCGTGCGTCAGAATTCAATCATCGTAACTTGCCCATAGCCTTTTTATTGATTTTAAAAAAAAATGCCAACACAAAAACACTAGAGAAGGTTCAAGATGAAATATAGTTCATAGATGACATTTTTGAAAAAAATAAAAATAGATTGGCTTTCATAACGTAATAGTAGCCTTCTCCGCGCATTACTTTACCAGGAAAGATGTGGATTGGATTCTAAAAGTCAAAGAAAAAGAAATGTCCGGCATTTACAAAAATCATCATTTATTGAATGTTAATTACACTAATTAACAAGACGCGATGGTGTAAACGTTAAATAAGTTATTATTGAGGTGAATCGTAAGGAGGCTGCTGATAGTAGCCTGGTTGCTGCTGCGACAATTGCGACGTATTTTGTTGAGCCGATGGCTGCTGCTGTTCAACATCCTGCTGCTGCTGTTGTTGTTGTTGTTGTTGTTGTTGCAAATAGGGGTATTGTTGCATAGCAGCGTAGGAATTACCCATCATCACATTCATAGCATTCATAGCCGTCATCATATCAGGCTGCTGTTGTTGATAATTGGCATAATAGTTTGCAGCCGCCGCTGCAGCCGCCATATTCATAGGATTGTAGTTATTATTATAGAAGGAAGAAGGAGCGGTAGCAGCTGCCATAGTAGGTGTGGTGGCCGGTGGATCATGATCAAATCTCGTTCTTTTGTTCTTTATTTCGTCATAGTTAGAATTAAACGAATGAGGGCCTTGTCTTTTCATATTATTATTATCATCGTATTGTTGTTGTTGTTGTTGTTGCTGTTGTTGTGGTTGACGTCCGCCGGGTCCACGAGAATGATGATAGCGATCTTGTTGGTATGGATGATGGCGGTGCTGTTGTGGATGATGAGGATGCTGTCCACCACGGAAGCCAGTAGCCTTACCCTCATCGTAATGACTGTCCATTTTCCATTCCTTTTTATATTCGGCTTCAGGCTCTTCCACCACCATTTGACCTACGACGGGTTGTCCATGGAAGCCGCCCACAGGCGCATTCTGTAAGCTGTGCTTTTCTTCACTATTTAGCTCACTTAATGGAATGATCGACTCTCCACGATCAAAATTAAAATGCTTTTTAGGGCCAAAACCAAATGCCCAATTCACTTTCACTTGGTTATGTTCTAGCCTCATACCATCTGCCTCATACTTGGCTCTTTCTGTGGCAGCTCTTGTCGTGTATTTCAAAAACGCATTATGTTTTCCTCTGAATTTCTTGGATACAATCACGCTCCTTAATTCGCCATATCTCTCAAAGTTTCTTTCAACATCTTCTCTTTCGAAATGATCAGGTATAGGTCCAACGAATAAAGTACGTGTAAGCACTACAAACAAATACCCAAAACAGAAGAAAAAAAAAAAAAAAAAAAAAAAAGTTAAAGGAGCCACTTTTCATCTCGAGAATAGATCTTTTTTTCTGCAGTTCTTTTACCTCTTATGCAACCGGGAGAAAGGCTTGGATCATGTTGAGGTGGCGCCCCTTTGAACGATGAGGACTGTCTCTGTGGATAGGCAAAAGTATTTGCTTGTGGAGGGGGAGGAGGGGGAGGAGAGGATGCATACTGTTGGGATGATGGCTGATGTGGGTCGTAAGGGGCCTGTGCTGGATCTTGTTGAGACATCTGAGGATAGAAAGGAGCAGGAGCCTTTGGAGACATACGCGCAGGAGTATCATTCGTTGGATTCCAACGCGACTTACGAGGAATAGACGGTCCTTGAGGAGGAGGCCAGACACCTTGTCTTTTCGAAGGCTCAGAAGGTGGATTAGGAGTTTCCGTCTTTGCAGCCGGCATGTCAGTGGCAACAGGCGTTAAAAGAGCAGGCGGTGTCGGTGTCGATGCGTCAGACGGAGTGGAAGATACCAAACCGCCCAATAACTTGGCCAGTGCAGGTGGTAATTGCTTATCATCTGTCGTAGGTGTGGATGATCCCTGTGCTCCGTCTCCTAATGGCTGTTGCTGTGATGGTGGAGTTGATTGGGATACTGATGACGCAGTTAGACCAGGAATATTTAGAGTTGCTGCTAAACTTCCATTGCCAATATTACTCAGGGTAGCCAAAAGTTTCGCAGTATCTACTTCAACTTTTTTTTTTGGTAGTGTTTTTTTTTTTTGAGGGAAAAGAAATGGCAAAAGAAAAATGGCAACAAAGAAGCATTTAATAACTGAACAAAACCTTTCAAACTGTTACAAAAGAGAAAAAGTCTCTTAAATCGTGGATCAAAGAAAAAGCAAATGTTGCTTTTTCTAAGCTCCTCCTTTTCTCTCTGTTTAGTTTTACAATATATTCTTTTAAAATGATAATAACCTTTTGCTTTATTGTCTTCTGCTTTTGTAGTAGTTACTGTATTGAAAAGATGATTTTTCACGTAGTCCATTGTATCTTTCGAGTAAACATTTCCTTGTTCCCAAAAATCAAGCGTTTTTCTCGCCTTTTCCTATATGAAGTCGACATTAAAAGCGTAAGTTTCGACAGATCAGTCGCATCAAGGGGTGGTTGGGTGGGTGTGATTCTTTATCCTATCTTTGTCTCTCTTCTATCTTTTTTTTTTTTTTTTTTTTTTTTTTTTTTTTTTTGGCCACAATGTGTTTAGTGGATTCAAATAGAATTCGTGCTAGAAGGAAGCCAAGCACGACAATGAATCGACCTTTTTGTTGATCATGGCAGAGACAGAAATAGGTACCCCAACACCCATGCCCACCATGGTAGAATAGGTGTTTTTCCCTTTAAATACTACAGAATACTACTTTACCTTGTCTTTTTGAGAACATGGTTCAAAACAGCCTCTTAACGAATCCTCTTTCAATACAATAGCAAATCTTTTCAAATAACCATCCAATTCATGTGATTTCTGTTCATTGTTTTCCTCTCTCTTTCTCTGTTGCTTATGTACTGCACGAGAAATGGCGTCAATAACATAAAGCCCTGCTAACCGATAATCTGGAGGGGCTGTTTCAATAAATCGAGCAATGCAATGTGTAATGTAGTTGTGATGCTAAGATAGAGAGGTTGGATCAATAGGTCAGTCTTTCCAGGCTCATAACAGTTGGAGTCACCTGAATTAGTCCTGTAGCTGAATCTTCAGCATACTTTACCTGGGGATGATTCGTTGCAAGACTTTGAAGTGCAGTGATTTTGGAAGCTGACACTGGCAGTTTGCCGTCCAAAAGAGACTGCAATTCCTGTTCGAATATCGTTCTATCCCAACTATCTGTCATGTGTTTTCAATGTTTGCGAGGTTCTGTTGTAATGTACTTGTAGTCTAGTCGGTCTCCAACAATGTTGAGGCTAGTGAATAAGATGGGAAAGAATAAGAAAAAGAATGGGAAGAAAGTTTCAAAAAAAGAAGGGTTGCTTTGACACTTTCGACTTTTCTCCAACTGCTAAACAAGTGTAAGCAGAAAGAAAAATTTTTTGTTTGTTTGCGTCACCTTTTTCCCCGTCACCCACCACTTGACGAGAAGCAAGTAGAGGAAAGGTAGGTTTCAAGCCGTTTCTACTTGTGCAAAAGATGAAAGACAAAACACATATGAGCCACGGCTTTCAAAAACTCTCACATGCGGTCTATATTTTTACAACCCTGGCAATGTATAATGAAAATATCTTTCTCAATAGGCCATTTTTTAACCGAATAAACGATAACCTTTGGTAGAAGTGATAAAATGATCGATCAAAGCATTGATGTATGTTCGCTGATAAAATATAGAGCTGTTAGCTCACTTGGCAAACATCACACTCTAAGTAAATCGCTCTCTATATGCTACTGTACGCAGATAGAGGGAACGTGAGCGATTCCCGAAAATTTTCCAAGTACAGCTGAGACACTTTCTTTAGTTTGGGCTTTCAAAATGGGTGGAGGAACCACGACCCCTCCTCCGCAAATTTCGACCTGAATCTTTCTTGATTTTTCCACTTTGACAGTGCTCTCAAATACATCGTCAACATGCAGGCATTCCGTTCCATATTAAAGACAGCTCCAAGCTGGAGACCTTTGTCGGCAATTACCAACTCTACTCGCTCCATCAGTACCATAACACAACCTTCCATTACTACCTCAAGCCGAGTTTTAAGCCAACTTGTACGATCGAATACAAGACACACCACGATCCTTCCTTTCAACCTACCAACACAACCAGCCCAAAAAGCAACTATGGCCACTTTGTCACAAGTAATGAGAAAACCTCGAAAATCTAAAATCAGCCTAAGTAAAACACCTGCTTTGGACAGTTGCCCAGAACGCAAGGGAGTGTGTTCCAAAATTTATACCATGAAGCCAAAAAAACCCAATTCGGCTGTCAGAAAAGTCGCCAGAGTCAAGCTGACAAACGGTAATGTAGTTACTGCTTACATTCCCGGTGAGGGTCACAATTTACAAGAACATTCAGTGGTGCTTGTCAGAGGGGGTCGTGTACCAGATTTACCGGGTGTACGTTATCATTTAGTTAGAGGCGCTATGGATCTACAAGGTGTACCTACCAGAGCTACCAGTAGATCAAAATACGGAAGTAAGTTGCATTTTATTTTTGCATAAGAATCTTAACAGAAACAAGCAGATCAACAATGCTCATTGTTCCTTTTCTTTTCATCAAATCCCAATAGCTAAAAAGCCATCCAAGAATAATTAGACAGTAAAAATGCTCGATGCATAATAATTTTCAAGGGGAAGACAGCATTGTAGTCAATAATTTGTATAATTCAGTTTCTTCAGAACAGCTATATTAAAAAAAAAAAATAGTCTATATACTCAAAAACTGTTATATGTTTTGATTCGATGGATTAAGATGGCGTTGGGACATGGAAGTCAATGCTGATTTTATCTTGTAATGCGTTATGTATAACGTTTGCTCTTTTTAGATATGAATGCGCCAAACATGTTGGTCACTGCACCGATCATAAATGCAACTTGAGCACCGTCATGACATAGGCTTACCATGTTTGATGGTACAAGCATATCGACAAATCAAATAGCTGCTGCATGACAAAATGTCATAATTATGAGATAAGGCAAATGGAAGGTAAACGGATGCTTTATTTCTATCAGTAAGCTTTTTATGAGTTAAAGCAATATTATTAGTGTACAGAGGTTAGCTATTGTTCTCTTGTTCAAGCATATAACGTAATTCTACCTATTTTCCAAATAGCAATTTCAATATGATAATATAGTTACAAAAGTAAAATGCATATACATTAAATAGAATAAATCCACATCATGGTGCTGTCGTATCCGTATTCTTTTCATTGACTTTCTTGATTGCCAAATTTTGGGTACTATTATTACAGCTGATACTCTCTTTTGTGGCAGTAGGACTATCGAATAACTGTATATTTATATAGGGTCTATTATTATTGTTTTTCTCATGTTGACCCAAAAATTGATCGATTATTTCGGTAGTGGTTATCCAACCCACTAAGCCGGGCTCCATAATCAACCCAATATTGTCAATGATGGTTGTAAGGCTACTGCTCCCAACAATGGCTTCTTCTTTTCCTCCTCCAGCCACGGTCATCTGATGAGAAGTCAAAGAGGGGCTGATGCCGCGAATTCTTACTTTTTCATTTCCATCACAGCACATGTTATCGAATGACGTAGTGGCTGTAGTAGTCGTTATCTCACTATTCCTCTTACTGCTAGTGCTATTCAATTTGATATGCTGACATACAGGACATGTGGAGCGAAATAATTTACGTATTTTACAACCGATATTCTTCTGGTGCTTCGTAGCAACAGCTTCCTGTACGGCTAACAATCGTCTTTCTTCTTCTTCCCGTTCTTTTTCCATTACGTTTACGTCTTCTTTTGTGTAGTAGACTAGTATGATTTTCTCCCTAAGTTGTTTGACAACAGCGTCAAGGTTACCTAATTGATGGTTCCATGCTGTCTGCCTTTTTTTTTTTTTTTCGCCACTTACTTGGTTAGACGTAATGCTTGGTTCAAAAGATCAACTAGCGAAGTTCGTGACGAAACTGTCAAATATGGCTCTAGCTTCATTTCACCGATAGCTTGAGTGTGACATTCATCGCTTCCTACGGTATTTAGAGACTAAGAGAGTATGAGGTTCTTGGATGATTCTCGTTCCTTCTTGTTCTTTTATAAGTATATCGTTTCAACCCAGTAAACATACCTTCAAATCTAGAACGCCTCGTACGATGTAATTACTGTAACTGTTACGATCTTGCATCTCTAAAGATTCACCTATCATTTCGCTGTCGCTGTTGGTTTCACGGTTGATGTCGTAGACGAACAAGTGGGAATAACCATTATCCAGATAGCGTGTAATTTGAGAAGGCGTGATGACCGTATTGCTTTTCATTAATAGCATATCATTGACAGGCGTCATTAATTGAGCAGCGGTTTTCTGTTGCAAAGCCAACGTACGTTGAATGATGCTGACGGTTTCCTGCCTCAATGTGCCTTCGGATGAGCGACTTTCATCATGCAATTCAACCAATGCACTTAACTCTGTGGGATATGATGATGAAAAATTGACAGAGTCAGTTACACAAAAAATGATAAACACTCTATCGTGACAAGTCAATGCTCAGTTTACCAGAGACATCGTACATAAAGCCTGAATGGGTTCCAAGTAGGTAGTCAAGAAACCTTGCAATTGGCCATGCTATTACATACCAAACAGCAATGAATATCTTGACCGGAATGGCAAAGAAAGCACCGATGGCCAGACCGTGCTTTGAGAAGATGGCCTGAGGTAAAATCTCTGCAAAAAGAACGAGTAAAGCGGTTGATATGATGACGGAAATGAAACCTGGTAAGTTTTGAAAGTTATGTTAATCAAAAAGGTTCTTTTGTGTTCTTTTTGTAATTTTCTAAGATTTAATTTGCATTAAATCTGCAAAAAGTAGAACACACCCGTTAAGTGATTATCGTTACCTTTGCCGATAATGTTGTCGAATAAAATTGGAAGCGTTTCATTGAGTGCAGTATTGGTCAATAACAGCGTGGTTAATAAAATATGTCCATTTTTTCGAATGGGTAAGATTTTAGAAGCATGATATTGTTGTGTTGGCGAGCCTGCAATTTGTAGGATTTGTAGATTTGTAGTGTCCAAAGACATCTATTGGGGGTAAAGAAGAAGCGATTTTCAATTTCAAAATAAAAAAGTGCGAAAACTTGTTGATAGCATCACTTACTATGCCAAGTGTAAGGCCTACATAGAAAGAAAACAAAAAAAAAAAAAATACATTTGTTAGATACAAACTCATTTGCATGTATCACATTGCCACTCCTGGGATATAGTTACCTGCAACTACGCCACTCGCTGATACCAAAGCAAGAATAGTGACGACTTGACCCCAAAACCCAGCAGATTTTATATCTACCGAAGGAATCCCTTCTTCTTCGCTTGCAGCCAGTACTACATTATGGGCTAACGGTAGAAGTAGCAACCCTAGAATTAAACATTGTTGTCTACTGCTGACAACTATTGATTTATGCATGCAATGTGTCGTATAGTTGAGCAAATATGATATATCTATGTAGATAGTTTTAGAGAGACAGACTGAGAGAAAAGACAGAAATTAGGAAAGTAAAAAAAGAATAAAAAAAAAAAAGAGGAAGTTTATAAACTTGCAGCGTTTTATACAAGCACAATAAAGAACTACCTTTTTTCTGATGCAAAGTCTCCTCTTTTTCATGCGCATACTATCATGAAAATCATCCAGAAGAATGTGGTGATAATGAGCTGCTAGTGCATAATGAGCTTTTGATATTCTCGCTAATCCTATGTTAATCAGGTCGTTATACTGTCTCTTATACACAGACTATCAATACTATCAAAATAGCTATTTACGATCCGCCATCATATTCTTCTGAGGCTTTTATCCATTGCGTGCCTTCTCTAAATAAGATTCAGAATTAGGAAAGCAAACACAGTTTTAATTTGAAATCACTTAAATATAAAAATCCGCGTATAAACTAAACTACGACAATGTAAGTGGGAGATTTCAAAACGTAACTAGACATCTTTACTAATTCATCAAAAGAAGCATATGATTAGGCGCTCTAATTCTGTCTACGCACTTATCGACGATGCTCTATTCGAAGCGTCATGTATTTACCATGGTGAAAAGGTTGGATGATTCTCTTTGAGATCATGATTACAGCTTTTCAAATACAAATTTCCGTAACTTTATGCATAGTTCAAAAAAGTATATAATCCTTATTAACCGATCGATATATGTCTAAATTGCAAACTAAATTCTTGTAGCAAAAGCCTCAATTTAGAATTCTGAACGATACCAAAGCCATTACCTCAAGAAATTCAATTAAGGCCATTCATTTCTATTAATCAAGAACTGCAAGTGTAACAATCACAAACGCGAATTTTAACGTCTCGATTTATACAGCATTATTTAAAACTCTCTTATTTTCTTTGTTAGTTGCTAGAGATATCATGTCAATAATCTCATGGTTTTCTCGTCTATTTTACCTTATTAAGAATTATTTGCGCATAAATGCTTGATTATATCATGAATTTCTGCCGACTGTAGCAATGAGCAGTAACATGATCTCAGCTATGGAGGACCGGAATCACGGCTCTTTTCAATTTAAAGCGAGGATATCAATCGAGAAACAGTTGTTAGCAGTAGTTTACAAGTAACAAGTGTTCATAGTAACAATAGTAACGGAAGGTGCATAAAGTTGCGTATCTATTGATGCAAGGAAAATAAAGCGGTTACTTCAATAAGGGACAATACTTTTCACCGCACTCAAAACCAACGATAATATGGGTGTAGGAAAGATATAAGGCTCAGAGTACCCAATATTGTTCGCTGAAGGATTTTACGTCAACTCACGTCAAATGATACTGACAACCAATATACAAAACAATTACATAAGCTGACCTATTGAACGTGCCCCCGAGATCAAGTAAGAGTAATTCCATGGATGTCGAAAGCTATCCGTCAGAAAAAAAAAATTACTTCAAAAGTGAAGCTTTGTCTGCATTGCTACACATGCATATTCGTTTATCGAAAAGCAAAGTTCGGCCGCTAAGTTGATAACGATAGTGGGAATAGTTTTGTATGCAGATTTGCATTCTGAAAATTAAATATCCTTTCAGGAGTGCTTACATTTACGACTTTTGAATCGTTGTAAATCAATGCAAAGCGCTTTATTGTTTCTTGTAGATCCATCCTCAAACGTCTGTATGTTCTATTCTTTGCCGCTTTTAATATACTTAACTCACCGCTTTAATACCCGTTGTACTCATACTTCAGTGAGTACTGAGCACACTATTTCAACTTCTTTCATAATATCAAAAATGGCTACAACAGCAGCTGATATATCTACGAGTAATGAACCTATACAGAATCTCCGGTATGAAGAACTTAGCAAACTCTCAGGCACCTTTGGACACGTTTTACTACTGATACGAAGTACATGCCAAAATTGAGTGGATAAATCTGTACGCGAAGATGAAAGAGGCTAACTATTCAATTGAAAACATTAGTCCCGAAAAACAGATAAGTCAGAAAGTAGAAAAATTGAGCTTGAGTGTAAAACCACAGAAGAGAAGTACTCCTGTTCCCCTTCCAACTTTCTTATAGTTTCAATACAAAATAGCTTATTTTAGGTTATAACATCCCTTTCTTTTTTTCTTTTCTCTCTCTCTCGACGTTGAAAAACCTCTGATACAACAATTGATAGCACAACATGAAAATACCGAGCATCAGCTTAGCCACAGTTTACGCTTTTCTCTATTGTATTAATGCTTCGCTAAGTCAAGCGGACACTGCAGCAAGTGCATGTGATCCAAGCACATGTAAACTACCAAATTGCCTATGTCCCTCTTTATCACCGCCTGGTGGATTGTCACCGAAAGATGTGCCTCAGTTTGTCACTATCACTTTCGATGATTCCATTCAACCTGAATTATTAGCTACGGCTCGTGATTTATTGAATGTCAAGTAAGTTACAATGTATTTAGCTAATGGGAACAGGTCCTAGTTGAAGAGAAGCTGAAACGATAATTTCAACTACTCCCTACGTACTCAACCTCCTTTGACTCTTCCTCTTCCTCTGTTCTTGATTACGCATCGAAAAATTCGACCTTATCCGCTAATGTCTGTTCTGATGTTTGTATCTCACTGGTCCCTCTTTCCTCTGATGAACGTTTAGGAACCCAAATGGATGTGATGCAAAGGTATATCAGAGCTACCAGAGGAGCAACCCTAAAAGAGTTAAACAATTTGTTTAAAGCTTCTTGTATACCTGATCTATACATTTTAGGGATCTTGGTATGTCTCAATGCTATACACTAACTTTGCATTGGTACAGCAATGGTATGCTCAAGGCAATGAAGTAGCAGAGTAAATATCGCAATTTTTATTTTTTCTTGGAACAAAACTGGACAACTAATTCGACTATCTTATACCTTTAGCCATACATTTACACACGTTGGTAAGGAAGAGTAACACCGAAAGATCATCCTATTCCTCTTTATTGATTGTGGTGACACATTTCAAATTGCTTCGTTTATTATGTTCACTATAGGTTCTCCATCAGGGCAGTAAGTATATTCAAGCAATCAGTATTTAACGACTCTAATGATTCATTAACATCGGATTGATGACACAGGGAGATTGCTGCAGCTCGTGCTATGCTAAATCAGTATGGCGGTGTTCCTTTTGGAAAAATCAAGGGCTTTCGAGCTCCTTTCTGTAAAGTATTGACACTATTATATAGGGTCCGAATTTGACAGTTAACAACCACCTCTCTCCGAAAACTAGTAAATTATACGCAAGATACTTTACGAGAAATATCTAAACAAGGCTTTCTTTACGATACTTCTGCTAGCGGAGTCGTTGAGGATTGTTATTGGTATATATACGATTAACTTTACAAATAGGTAGCCGGCTAGATCACCTTTATAAACAAAAATCATGATTGTTAGGCCTTATACTCTGGATTACGGTCTTGCTAACGACTGCTGGAATAATGTCTGTGGGTCTGATTTGAAACTTCCTGGTATGCGTTTCTTTAAAACAATCAAGATGATCAGACTTTTGTCTAAGCTTCTCTTATCATTAGGACTCTGGGAGATTCCTATGTATGCTGTTAAAGATAATGCTGGTGTAGCACAGTTGATGGACGTGTATCTTGCTGGAAGTCCATCTGATGTTACAACTTGGTCCAGTGAGAATTTTAACCGGCATTATAATGGAAACAGACAACCTTTTGGCATTTACGTTCACCCAAGTAAGTCGTGCTGGTATCCCTTCATCATACAATTACTCGACATAGTAAACTGATGACATAAGAACTGCATTTCGACTAACATAGCCCATTTAACAAATTACCCTGGACTACCTGATACAAGTGCGCAGAAGAAAGCAGTTGTGAGCTTCATCCAATCTTTACAATCTAAGCCAGACGTCTGGTTCGTAACCAACGAACAGCTTTTACAATGGGTAAGATCATTGTTATTTGCCAGTATTGTATCAAGGCCTTGAACTAACTGTATGCCTTACTCTCATAGATGCAGCACCCTGTTCCTGCTAACCAGCTGGCCAGCCAACCTTACATGCAATGCAGCGCCCCCAATACTGGTAAAGAAATCTGTAATGGGCTTGAGACGATCAACATTGCTGGAAACGCCGTCTCTGGAAGTCTCCTTAATTCTTGCAACTTCAACACTACGAACTGGTCGACCTGTTTCAATTGCCCATCGTATGAGCCCACTCTAGATAAGCCTACACCTGACAGTGCTGCCCCTAGCTCAGATTCTAACTATCGCCACCCTTTGCCAAACAACTGCGATAGTATTTGGTGGGATCCTATTGCTGGTCAATGCTTATGTACAAGCACTTCTTGCGCCTACAACGATACCGCTATTCCTATATCTTCGAACCCAGCAGCTAATACTACCACATCAATCACTGGATCTACCTCTCAACAAACAGATGCAAATCAAAGTAATGCTCATCAATTGAAGATGATATATTCTATGTTGGCTTTTTGCACAGGTTTAGTGACAGTTATCGTAATGGGTGATCTTTGTTCGTATTGATAATTAAATCTGAATATACGTTTCTGCACAACTGTCTCGCTCTTCCTATAGTTTAAAATTAAGATAGTCTATAAGTTAATTAAATTTTATTATTTGAGGAAATCGAGTATAGTAGAAAGTGATATATATGAAACGAGGCATGATAATTTACAAGTCTATAAAATAAAAAGTGAATGAAGAATGTACAAGTTATGAACTAAAGAAAAAGAGACTTTTTAAATAAAGATAATACGATTAGAACATAACGAAAAGAGAAAGCAGTTTCACAATTAGTAGACTACGCGAGAGAAAGGATGCTTGACAACACCATATTGGATATCCATAATGGCATCATTGATCTTCTTCGTCAAAGGACCAGCCTCAGAATGAGGATCAGAAGGGTCTAAAGGAATATCGAGATCTTTACCATTGAAACCAATACGCTTAATAGGGCTTACAATACAAGCAGTTCCAGCACCGAACATTTCGAGAACACGGTTTTCTGCTACTGCTTGAATGATTTCGTCCATTGTCACTTCAGTTTCACGCATAATAATACCCGTCTCAGGTTCCCATGACTTTACTAATTCGATAATGCTGTTGCGAGTGACACCAGGAAGAATAAGACCGTTCAAAGGAGGGGTGATGAGTTCGGGACGACCTGTATCGGCATTCTTCCACAGCATGAAGAAGTTCATGGTACCAGCTTCGGTTACTTTGTGGTCCTCACCAAAGAGCCACAGATTTTGTTGGTAGCCTTGTTGAGCGGCAATGGTTTGGGGTTTGACACAGGGAGCATAATTACCACCTACTTTACAGTCACCAGTACCTTGAGGCCAAGAACGAACATAATCGGTTGAAGCTAACAGACTTACAGCCTTGAAACCTGTCGCAAAATAAGGGCCGACAGGGCTGGCAATGACGAACAATAAAGCAGATGAAGGTGCACGCACACCTAATGAAGGTTGGGTACTGATCATGGTAGGACGAAGGTACAATGAATAGCCACGCTTAGAAGGTATCCAACGATCTTCAATACGTAAAAACTCAACAATGACTTTAATAAGTTCTTCGGGATCAAATGTCTAGACAAGCGTAGGAAGAAAAATTGTTAATATAGTGTTGACAAAAAGTGCAGTCTTATCTTTGACAGCTAGTGTAGCTATGTACTTACGGGTAAACCCAAGCGGGAGGATGATTTATTCAAACGATCCATATTCATTTCGGGGCGGAAAAGTCTGACATGACCTTCTGCATCCCTGTAAGCTTTCATACCTTCGAAACACTATGTATAGATTATAGATTTACGAACATTCAGTCATAATGAAAACCACATATTATCACTGTAAATCTGTTATCCGTGCCCTACCTCAAAACCATAATGAAATACTGTAGCACAAGGTTCAAGCTCAAGTTTACCATAAGGCTTAATGACAGGCTGACTCCAGCCACTTTCGCTGGTATACTCGATGGTTATCATATGATCAGTGAAATGCTTGCCAAAAACTAATTCATTTTCAGGGAGCAAAGGTTTTCTATCCTTTGTAACTTCAATTTTGAGATCTGTATGTTTGAAAGTTTCCAACTTTGAACCGGTCATTATGGGTTAATGGTGCTGAAGATGAAGAACAGAAATTTTTCGGGAGGCGAACAATAACTATGCGTGAGAATTCAGCGCCCTTTTATAATCATCACAGAAATGAAAAAAAAGTTACCGAATGAAGTTTCGGAGATCAAAAGGCGATTATCTGTAAAATGTTTAGTGTAATACCATGTCTCAGGACATCCTGTCTAACCTATCATTGTTCAGAAAAGAAAAAGAAAAAAATCTCGATTTACAAGTATCAGATAAATTTTACAGAAATTCATCAGTTGAGACGAAGCTTGATTCATGAGTTATTGCTGGCTCATCATACGAATTCTTCTACAGAATTGTAAATCACCCAATGCGCCTTCCGTGGCTTCGTCCCACTTTCAGCAGATGCCCTATCTCAGAAAAGCGTTCCGAGATTTTATCGATAATTAAACATCCGCTACGTGATGGTTTTCACTGTCATTAAAAAAAGAATCTGGCAGAACCTGTCAAACCCTTAATTGTGCCTGACCAATGATAAGTTGAATGATGTTGCGGCTTTCAAAAAAAGGGGATCACCAACTGAAATCATAATGATTCGACTTGCCGAAATCAATACTGTTGTTCAAAGATGAAAGAAATTTGCATAGCATCGCAACTCAAAGGTAACAGCATCTATTACTATACAAAGCCAAAAGGAGCACTCTCGACATACCTATTTCTTATACAAATTCGTTGTTGAAAAATTGACGTTCTAAGTGTCAGCAATGGCAGACAGCCTGTACAAAATTACAGAGCATATAAAGTCCACGTATTCGTATAGAATAAGTCGAAAAGAGAAAGAGCATGTGTTGAGCGAGAATGAAGACGGTGCTGTATAGGAAAAGTTCGCAAATCAACAAGATAAGATCACAATCCAGCTTCTATTTACTTTGAGCAGTCTAATTCGCTTACCGTTTACGTCGCCTAAAATTACCAGTAGTCCAAGCCACTTGAAGCATAACTAGAGATCCAATAGGTAAGCAAGAACATTAAAAAACAATGAAGCCAGACCACCTCAGCTTACGAACAAAATCTGGCTGAAGAGGTTTCATATACAACAGCTATAATAAACACTTTCGGAAGGTTATGTTATCTTTGACGTTCTTATTAGAGTAGTGGCACGAAATGGTGATTTTGATTTGACAATGTAGGCAGTCATACCGAAGCAATTCGAATACCAATACGAAAAATATCTCAACATCTTAACCCCGTGCTGGCGATGCTCTTAAAAATTGACAAGACAAAAGATTTTTAAAGCAGTCAACACTTACAAGGAGACATTAAGTAAGAGCCCTTTAACGTTTTTGAGCCTCGTATATATATACATGGCAGAGAGAACTTTAGAGCATATGAATCAAATAACGTTAATACTAATAATTCAGTTTTGTTCTCATTAATTATCGTCCTTAATGTCGCAACGTTGAAGGGTTATGACCACGAGGATTAGTATTGCATAAATGATTAGTGACCTTTTTATGGCCATTTTCCTAAGCCAATGTTTCTTTCGTAAGACCAGGTATTTTCTGATATCCCTCTTTCTTGTAGAACGGAATATCTCAAAATAATAAAAACAATCCAGCTGATGATATACTCAATGACCGGAAAGGAAGCAATGACTTCAACGGAGCAATTGCTAAAATGCATATTCATCTCTTTTTGTACCGTATCTGAATTTCAGTCTCGTACGTATCTTCTGCTACTGCAACTAATGAGAAAAAAAAAAGCCAGATCAGTAACGCTTCATCACTTTAATGCAGCAAATTAATTGATATACCAAGACTGAAAAGATAGAGCCAATCTTGCAGATAACTGGGCCACAGCCATCTCATTGATGATATATGCTATGAATAGCACTTGACAACGGTAATCCGAAGCTTTGCAATATTGAAACATTCACAAGCCAAATTACAAAGGCTGAATCAAGCAAGAGTTGTTCAGTATAATATTTGGTTTATGTTCGATCATATTCACACATTGTTCGTGGATCATACAATAGCGCTCTTATTTGATCGTCTAAAGATCAAAACTTTTCTAGAATGTTACAGTCCAAACTACAGGTCTAGACGGTTCACAATTCAAATTCAGAAGATTCCTTTTAGAAAAAATTTCCCCCAATCTACTTAGCGAACAGCAGTTTTACCGATGCTGCGGGCAAGTAAGCCGTTTCCTTCATTATATTCTTGATCCGACAAAAGCGGTGCTTCGAGGAATATCACAAAGTTCTGCAGCCTTTGGAATCGAATGTTCATCCTCTAGAATAACACTTATCGGGCGGGTAGTGGCATTCTCGTCGTACTTTATAAATTTGCTATGCTTCTTTGTATTTGATAGAGTGCTTATATCTCCTGTTAATTTTTTAAGGCTTCTTCTATCGTTTCAGCTTGTTGGAATTGCTGTATAGTGTCACAGTCAACAATTTCTCTTGATCTATCATACTATATGGAAAGAATATCAATCTATTTCATTTACAACGTTTTTAAAGGGATCATTGTCTAGCACAGAATCCATGATGATGCTGAAGACTTTAGGGAAACTGTATGATTGAGTAGCACTATATCGTACTGATTTAGGTCCAGGAAGGGAATGGAATTAAATTGTGAACCGTTCAAAACAAATTGGATACCGTTTAGATGTAATACTGTAGGTAGCATCAGATAATAAAAGATCCAGACCTATTCAAAGCTGCATACATTATTGATATGATATCAATATGTGCGGATTTATTATTCATGAACATGTTGAGCATAAACAATTTATCTTAAACTCTGCTTTTTTAAGCTGTCGATTTCTTCTTATTTTTCTTTGTCACCACCACCTTGAATTCATCATCGTCGTCATAGAAACCATCCATACCAGCTGTGACAATTTCCATATGACCTGCCATATCAGCCTTTCTACGCTTCATGAATTCCCTAGCGAAACCCTTACTGTCTAGAGAAACAGAATTGGCATAAATGACATCTTCGATAATTTCTACCGTGCTGTTCTCCACAGGGAAAGACAACAACATGTTAATTATATCATCACGATTAACACCAGAGTTCAAGCTACCACGTAAAGTTTTACTGCACCAGCGACGGAACTCATCACTTGGACCACTAGGTTTGGGAGCAGCTACAGCAGGGCGAACAAGGGGTTTAATGGTAGTGGGTTGCTTAACAGGTGTTGCAGTCACAGGTTGAGGGGCAGGAGCAGGCTTAGAAGCACGGGAACTGGTGACAGTGGTCCATTCACCATCAGGAGCCGCTGATGGAACAGCATAGGTTTTCGTACTGGAAGCATAGTTCGCAGATGCAGCAGTGGCAATTGCTGCTGCTGAAGTCTTGGAAGCTTTGGCATTCTTTTTCTTCAATGCTAACTCTTCTTCCTGTTGAATTTCTCTTAGTGTCTTTTTTGGACCAGAAGGTGCAGACCATGGTGCAGATGCAGATGCAGATGTATTATTGTTGGCAATAGCAGTAGCGTTAGATTGAGTAGAGGTAGTATTGAGAGTAGTCGATTTACTATTAGGCACTACAACCCCCCAAGATAAAATACTAGGTGTGGCATTGGCGGCCTGTTCTTGATGAGCCAGATATTGAGCGGCAGACACAGTTGATGATTTCTTGCTTTCCGCGGCTTTTTTAGCTTCCATTTCTTGAATTTCACGGAGTGATAAAGGCTTTTGAGCAGCTGGTTGAGCCCAGCCAGATGTCGAAGTTGAAGCAACAGGTGTATTATTTGAAGCAGCCCAAGCGGGTGAAGATACAGCAGAATTTTGTTGTTTAGCTTGCTTGGCTTTTCTTTCTTTTGCAAGTCTCATTTCTTCCTCTTGAATCTCGCGTAAAGATACAATAGGTTTCTGTACGGGCGCCGGTATTGCGGTAGGCTTTTTATCGATGAATGTTGGTGCTGTTGTAACAACTGATTCGTTTTCCTTTGTTGACTTTGAACTAGATTTAGTAGAACCGGTAGGAGCGGCAGTGGAAGTAGTATCAGCCACACTAGCATCAACATCAGCACCACGAGAGGCAGCGGTAGCAGCGATAGCATCTGCCTTTCTTTGTTCTTCTAACTGAATATCAGCGAACGATTCAACTATCGTTTTTATTGCTTTAGTAGGCTTTTCAGCAGGCTTCTTATTAGGTGAGGAAGGCGTAGTGCGAGGCGACTGAGCACCAGGTGCTTTTGACTGTAATTCTTCAGACACTTTGCTGGGAACAGCTGCAGGTACAATAGAACCCCAGGAATTTATAGACCGTTCATTGACCGGTGTGCCTGGAATAGAGCTCCAGCCACCAAAGGAAGGTTCTGTTTTTTTCAAATTAGGTGAATCATTACTACTCTGATCGGTTGCAACATTATCTCCAGACGGAGTATTTTTCAGAATGTGCTGCTGTAATGGACTCTGTTGATATTGAGAGTGAGGTTGTGTTATGGTTGAGGCCCCTTCAATCCATGAAGTAGTTTCCTGTACCAATCTATCTTGCTCTGATGGCTTTCCTTGTAAAAGTTCGGGTTGTTCTTGGACAGGAGCTTGTTGTGTCTGCTGTAGTTGCTGTGGTTGTGTTTGATACTGACTCATAACATTTGATTGCTGCTGCATAGCGTTAATTGAATTTGGATAGTCAAACAAATTAGAAGTGTTCATGGCAGGCCCAAACATCGGATTAACTGTTAGCTGCTGTGCAGCGAAAGGTGATGGTCCGCTTAATAGATTGTTAGTAGCGGCCCCTGTAAACAGATCATTGGAGTTCGTATTCAGCCATGAAGGCTGTGAAGTAGCGGCAGCATTCATATTAGAAGCGGGCCAACGATTATCACCCAATAAAGGATTGCCTCCATAAGCATTGTAAGGATTCTGCTGATATAGCAACGATGAAGGCAGATTATTACCGAAAATGTTTCCTATACCAGATATCGGGTTTGTAGGAGCAACTCCGAAAGGCATCTGTTTCGATTGCAACTCTGGCATTCTGAATACGCTGGCATTGGGTTCTAAACCGGACAAAAAGCTGGGTCGTTCCAAAGAAGGTCGAGGCATCAAAAAAGGCTTGTCATTGTCACCCACTTTCTGACACATCACAACAAGTGGTTCAAAAATATTCTCGTCGTCACGACGAATCATTAAATTAGGAGCAAAATAACCTGCCTTGTACCAGTTTTGCATGGCTTGAGCATCGAATGGACCTTGCACCTGGCCAGCGGAATCGCGGTAAAACCATTTAATTTCCTCAGGTGCTCTGCTGGAAGGCAACATATGGTTAATATCTGCAGGTATAGCATTGCTACCGCTCAGCAAAATATCCGACTTAAAGCCAGCCGTAGTGGGCTCGCCACCGATACTTTCGGAAGTCCCATGACTGCTTCCCATTGCAGAACCGTCAGCATTCGCTTCTCTAAGGCTTTCGTTGATATCACGGTTGGTAGAAGATTCTTCGGTGTGAGTACGTCTTCTCAGGAAATCTACTATTATATTACGCGAACAAGAACAAAATATTCGTTATACACATCAACTTGCAACATATGACCCGACCGCGTTTGTCTCCTAACAATTCAACAAAACTTACCACCACTGTCAGTACGTCTGAAGGATTGTTCCTTCCCAAAATAGTCGGAAGAACGACCTATATTAGACAGTCCAACAAATTGTCTGTTAAAAAATGAATCCTCTTGTTCTTCATCTAAAAAAGAGATATACGTACCCTTACGATTCGCGAATCGGCCACTTGGGGTGTTGGGCGTGTTTTCTGCAGCTGGACTTTGAAGAGGGCTCGAAGAATAATAATCGTTTCCACGATGTCTGTGCGTTTTACGTGCTGACGCTTCCGAGTGGACAGGGCCCGAAAGAAGCTAGCGATGAAGCGTTTTATAAATGGAGAATATTGGTAAGATAGGTAAGTTTACTGCCCGTGTACGTTTGAGTAATCAATCTAATAGTAATCATAGGTTACCTTTTTCTCGAAGTCAGTAAGTTCCTCAAATGCTATAGGAGTATTGGTATGGTCGATAGTCGCATATTCGTGATGGTTAAAATCGGCAGGTAAAGGTAAATCGGGCTTAAACAAGCTGAGCAAGACGTCTTTCGAATATTTATAAGGATTGACCGTTTGTTGTTGAGACTTGTCACTGAAAGATAAATATGATTCAGTTGCAGAGGAGGCAAATTCATTATTGAAAGTGATATCTGCGGCTTGCTTGGGGAATGTAGTTTCACGCATCCTGGGAGCGCATCACAGAAAAATTTTGACAATTTAACCTCACGTTCACGCAGATTTTGACAACTTTTGAGCTCAAAAGTTATTGACGATTCTTACCATTCAGGGCCGAAATTCATATTGGTAGTCATTTTAAAAGTACTGATATTTTCAATAAAGAGTAAAGAATAGATGTGAGTTGCCGAGGAAAGTCTTCGTTAAGGTTATAGGATATCCTTTGAATAAAAAAAGGAAAAAGCAGATGGGGGTCTCTTGGGCTTTTTTAAAGAAAACCCAAATAATTTTTTCTAGAACTCAATTTGATTGGTAGAAATTACGTGGAGTTGACTCCTCATTGGGAGAACAATGACAGTGCTGATAAAACACGTGTATACTGGGAAGAATCCAGCTTTATATACTACCTTTAAATAGGTTCAGTAGAAATTACTTCATTTCTCGTTTGTTGTAATAGTCTTATTGCTAAAGTATAATTTATTGTATCCTATATATGATTTAATTGCATAAAAGAATTTAAACATTAAATAGACTTACAGCTTATGATTTGTGACTGACGTTGCGAGATAAAGACAAAACGCGAATCAGAGTCTCGACCTTTTCCTTTCATTAATTTTAATATTCATACGGATGTCAGCACTAAAAGAGGGACTAAGAGAAGTGGATCAGCTACTTACACAACAAATTGATAACTCTCAATATGACCCTCACCAATCTCATAACGAGCGTCGTGAAATACGTAGGAAATATAGAAAGCTGACTGAGACCATCGCTGGTAAAAACTTCACCATTTTGTTGCCAAAGCATTAAAGTAAATCAGAGTCCAATATTCTTCGTTCGTAACTGATAGAAAAACGAAGAGAACTTAGTCGACAAGATGACGGCGACACTTTATACCACTATTTAGATAAAGCCAATGTTCTTTTCGCGGATGGTATTGAGGTTACAATTTGTCCATTAAATGCCTAAAAGTATCAATTATGCCAAGCGTTGCTTATTTGATCAAATAGTTAGGAATGTTCAAGAGGCAGTATTGGATTCCAAACTGCTTACAATTACATCTGATATCAATAGTCAGAAAGCGAGAAACATAAAACTTGGTACAGAGAACGAAGTGAACATTGATAAAGTTGTGCAAAAAGTGATCACTGCGTCAAAAAGAGGTCTTCATCATGTCGAAGATGAGCGTTTGGATTGGGAGTACATTGGTAAGACAGCCTGTATCTTTGGTAAGCGTGCTCATACAATGGATTTTCTATTGGGACCATTGGCGGTGGAGCATAAGCAGAATAAGAGGGGAAAGGTCAACCGATTAGTAAAGAATAAAGAAGACCTTGTTACTCCTGCCAGAGTAAGTATAGTCAATCTACAAAGTCGATGAAATGCTCTTTAATCTTAACTTTTGATACATTACGAATTTGAATTTCAATAGTTAGAGGAAGGCGATATTCAAAAGCAAGAAAATGAAACATCGAACAATGTTAACAATATTTACAGGATTTTGGCTGAAATTGGGCCGATCAATTATTTCAAATTTGTCACCAACCCTGAGTCATTCTCTCAAACCGTTGAAAACATCTTCTATGTATCGTTTTTGACCAGAAATAGCGTAGTTAATATTGATACAACCAGTGGTCAACCCATTCTTTGTAAGTAACATTTGTTTTAGAAGACTCAATACGAAGAATGGCTGTAAACTGATGTGATCCATTGACATTAGCTGTAAAAAATGCACCAAACATTCAAAGTGTGGAAGATATTGTTGAGAAGAAGCAAGTCATTATGGGTATCAGCATTGAAGATTGGCAAAACATCATTGAGACATACAAAATTGATACATCCATTATACCAACACGACAAAATAAAGCGAATGCTGCTTCTGATAAGGGGTGGTATTGAAGAAAAACAAATACATTATAAATATTGCTTTCAGAAACAGGTTTTCCAAGTGCAGATTACTACTACAACTATAACCTGTGACTATTACTCTTGTACATATTCCCCTTATTATCTTGATAATTTAAATTATAACGTAAGATTATTTACATCGTTTAATTATAATAAATGCTATTTACAATGTACTGTTATTATTGAGCACTCTCTTTACTTCTTCTTCCCACACAGTTTTCGTATCAAATTGGCTTCCTAATTTTGTGCAGAGTAGAAAGGCCCCTGAAAGCTTTTTGTGGAGGCCATAGCTTTCATCTGGTGGGGGTGTCAAACGATGGCGGAGCATGACTGGAATAGTTTCACGGATCCGCTGTGTAATGGTTTGATTAGAGAAGTCAAATGTGTCAGGCGCAGTTTCTCTGAAAGGCTCTCCCAGAACCATAACACTATCAATATGTGCATTCTTCATGATTTCCGTTTCATAGCCTGTCACAAATCCCAACTCTTCTGAATGTCTCCACACACCTTCTCTATCATTATTAGCTGCCGCTGCCAATATACATCCATAGAGTTCTACAAATTTATCAGGGAATTGACGACAAGCACCAAAGTCCAGCAACTCAATTTGACTTTTGTTGTAAAAAAAGTTAGACCAGTTAGGATCAGTTTGCATAAATCTGAAGGTGAACACTTCTCTTAAGCAAAGACGTAAAAGTCTCTCACCAAGCTTTTCAATAAACGATAGACCCTGTCAGCAACATGATCAGTGAGCATTATATGAAGATTCTATACAAACCTGATTACGAATTTCTTGTGTTTCTCCCAGTGCTTTACTCAAAACACGGCCTTGCAGTCTTTCACTTACGAGGATTCTCGGTGTGCAAAGCTCTTTAATCACTTTAGGCACTTTGTATCTTTCATCACCTGCCAGCAACTCTCTGAAACGAATAGCGTTATTCGCTTCTCTAACATAATCACACTCCCAGGCTAGCTCTTCCTTGGTTACTTTGATTGTATTATCCAAATAAAGCCCTCGAGGTAGCAGATTGCTAAATGTCACTAATGCTTTTAGATTACTCAAATCACTATCGATGGATTCTGCCACACCTGGGTACTGAATTTTGATCACTACCGGCTCGTTTGTAGACGCTAATTTGGCAGCATGGACTTGACCTATGGATGCAGCAGCAATAGGCACTGGATCAAAATCGTTGAAGTACGATTGCCAATCACTGCCCAACTCTTTACTCATAATTTTTTCCATCTGTTTGCGAGGCATATAATTTGCGCTGTCGTGAACACGTAGTAAGATTTGTTCAAGTTGAGGGGACAAACCTGTCTTATCACCGGTTGCTTGTATACCTTGAATACTCAGCATTTGACCCATCTTTAAGGCAGCTCCTCGCATACGAGATAACTTTTCAACTAAACGGTTCACGTTACTCTCACTGAGAATAACCGAGCCTAATAAATTTTTGATGGTAGAACTATGAATAAATGAACAATTTCCCATTTTTTAACTACTTCTAGACGGCTAACTACAATTGTATTTATTCTTACCTGAACTATCTTGAGAAAAACCGGTTGCTCTTTTGAAAGACTCATTTAATGCACCCATACCCATGCTGGTAGCCAAGGTACCATAATTCCACAATCGCCCGAATCTAGAAGTAGGAATACGCGATTCTTTAAGCACTCTACGTTGCTGTTCTTCGATTACGCTGTCCTTGTTTTCGGTAATTGTTGCCGCCTGTTCCAGGGCTGGAATGGGAATAGGCTTACTTTCGGATATCACATTTAATTTAGAAGCTTTAACAGATGAATCAGATATTTCATTCTTCAGTTTTTGAGGTACATCTTCCGGAACTGTCGCAGGAATAACTTCGGATGAAGCGAAGTTTTGTGATAATGGCTCCGGCGTTGGTAATACTGCTGCTTTCGATACCGATGATTCATTAAACGGTTCAGAGGTGTCCACAGTTGGTTTTTCAGTAATAATAGGCTTATCTATATTATTATTGATCTCCTTTTGTATAGCAGGGACAGGGGAACGCTGAACCTGTTCTGAATTTTCCATATGTTCCTTGTAAGTTGTAGGACTAAAAACACTGGACGTTTTTACATGATGGCAAATAGCTGAGGTTTGGCTAGAAACAATACAAGTTCCCACTTTTGAAGCCGATGTCGCTAACACATAAAGATCTAGTAACCCACGTGTAATAGACATAGAAAATAATCTAACTTTTATGCACGAAAAAGGAGGGGAAAGGGACCATTTTGACAGGCAACGGAGAAATGCTTCACGGCTGCTGTGACTGATTTTGAATTGTAGCAAACAAAAAGTCCCATTTTGCCAAACATCAGCTACTCTTTCTTTTCTGCTAATCATAACCACAGTTAGAAGAAACGCTCCTCTTTGCTGCACCTCAGAGAACCATTGCAATGGCAGAACCGCAGGAGAATACGGCTGAACTTGGTTGGCCCGAGTTCATCAAGACACGGGTCGTTAACAGTATTACTGACTCTAGTGTCACGAACAGACTAGAATTTTTAAACCATTCCCTTCTCATTCGCCTTCGCCGAAAAGGTATTCGAAGAAATTCAACACTTGTCTTGAGATCTGGGTCATTAATTGAATATATTTTTGAGTAGATCTGCCTGTGGAAGCCCTACCTTCTTTATTACACCTTATTCTCCTTACTATTCCTCGTTACAGTGATCGTGCTTCACGTGCAGCTATTTGTGAAGTTCTAAAAGTTTTAAATGACTGGAATGCTGAAGTATTTCAAAAGACTATTATTCCAGTGGTTGGTAGAGAAGCTGAAAAGTATGGCAAGCGTAAATCTACAGGGTAAATTTAGCACCTTTTGCAATATGTTCGTTCTTGACGAAAGAGAAGTGGCGCAGTTCTTAGGGTTGACATGAATTTTGCAATCTAAATTTTTGGCCTGAATTTTATTTCAATACAATAGTGAATGCAACTCATCAGCAGCTGAGCGCTTTGTATTGCTCACTTGGGTCAATGTATTATTTACTTGTGCCTTGAAACGGGTGACCACAACAAGTGAAAGTGCTAAAATTACCGATCCACTTTTCTCCATTATTTTGAATGCACAAAGTATTTTGATTGACTCACTTGCAGACGATAGTAAAAGGAGTATCAGTAAAAGTGCTTTGGCTGATGTTAGACGAACAATTCGGCACAACGCTAGTTTTATTCCGCAGATCATCGATGTAGCCCTTGCCAACGCACAGACTTGCACTCCTTCCTACAAAAACGCTGTTTTGATCGGCACAGTGATAGATGTCAGTTTCCGTTTAAAGACACGTTCGGATGGGAGAGAAATGGTTGAAAAGGAAGAAACTCGTTTAACAGAATACTATCTTAAAAACATCATTTCTTCTCGTACTCCAGTTCATAGAGCAGCTCTGGATGCATTCCATGACTTCATTAAAAATATAATCACCAAAGAGAAATTCGAAAGTGAATATATACCTGTGCTTGATAAAATGATGCTTAGATCACCCGAAATTGTTTTACACGGTAAGGGTTACAATTCAGTTTGACAAACCCGATGATATTATTTTCAATCGTAGTTAATTTATATCGTTTTCCAGCGTTGTCCAGAAGTACACTTGCGTTTTCATTCGACCCATCTTCTATATTCGCAACAAAATGGTTGGATCCACTTCTCAATCATTTACGATCGACGTCACCCACAACTGTTAGTGGTGCCAAAGCATTATGGAATAGCTTGTCAAAAGTTTGTCACGAAACAGAATCATTGTTTAAGGTTGTAGAAGGAGTGTCCAAGCTTTTGACAAGCGGCAAGGTTTCTTCATGGGAGCATCGTGTTGCCTTGTACAACGCACTTTCATCACTTGCCCGTGTTCATGATCCCGCTCTCAGCCAAAAAGTTTTAGAAACGTTTTTCACCATGACAGCTAAAGAACCACATGAACAAGCGATGGCTTCCGCAGTTGATGGTATCGGTCGTCATTTGACCGTCTCAATTTACAATGATGATTATTGCTCAGCCAACGAAGAATTTGTAGAGAAGATAGTAAAGGTCTCGACTGCTGGTCTTGAATCAGCCAAACCTTTGGCCCGAAAGACCTGGGCGAATGCGGTTGGCAACACCGTTTGGGAGAGTCAACAAGGCACTAGCAAGGCATTGAGCAGTAACATCGTTAAGTATCTCCAAGCTTTCTTTAAGACTTACAACAAAATTGTTGAAAAACCTTTGATATGGAAGGATGGACCTGTGGAAGCTTATATTATGATTGCCATTATTTCTGGCCGTATTCAGCATTGGCCACATGTACCTCAAACTGTTGTTGACCTCTTGAAGACAGAAAAATACCCATCTGATCTTTTAGTCACTGAACCCAAACCCTCTTATCTTTTGTGGGATCGTATTTACACTAAAGCAACCAGTGCTGAGGAAGGAATGTGGTTCGTACGAGCTCTTACCAGCGTTTTTTTGAATGAAACTCAAGAGTCGCTTGAGAAGACGGGTGCAGGCTACTTAGCAGCTCAAGCTCTAATTTGGATTGTCACCAGCCACCCTGAATACACAATTCGTAGTGCAGCACACAATGAAATATCCAGTATCGCCGCTAAAGAACCTATCAAACTTAGTCATTTTATGAAGCAAGGCCTTCAGCAATGGCTTCTCGATCTCGAAAAAAACACCAAGGACTCCACAGCTGTTAGTACAACTCAAGTTGATAACTACAATAAAGACATTGCCACCTATCGTCTAGCCAGTTTATTAAATGCTATCACATCGTATACAGATGATCTTTCTGAAGCCACTAGAAGCGCTGAACTTGTTGATTTGTTGGTGTTGGCTCATCATGAATATATTGCTTCTCCCGGAGATAAATACAACTGGATTACTTTGGTTCAAAGAGCCAATGTTAATCCTGGGAAACTGGTGCAGGAGCAGTCAGCCAAGCTCTTGGAGACCTTGAAAAGTGCCTTACAGAATCCAGAAAAAGTAAGAATCTTTCTATCAATAACTTTTTATGTAATAGCGTTTGTTAACATCGACTGTTTTATTTAGTCTCAACTATTTTACAATGCAGTACTCTCTGCAATTTCAACCCTCGTATTTATATCTCCCGACCTCATTCCTGAATTCATTGAGCTTGCAGAAGAAAATTTGGCTCCAGAACTTATGAGCGGCATCGGTGAATTAGAAAGTAATATTTGGAAACACTCTGTTAGTACTCCCTACGTTGACGTTCTGCAAAAGGATAAGAAATCTGAAAGCCGTGGTAATAAGAAGGGTAGCAAGAATGACGAGGAGTGGGAAGAAGAGCTTCGTGCTGAACTTGCTAAGAAAAAGGGTTTAACTCAAAAGTTAACCAAAGAACAACAAGCTTCTGTTGATGCCCAATTGAAAAAAGAAGCTGAAATCCGTACAAATGTTCAGAGTGTTTATGAGAAGCTTACGCTTGGTCTGGCCATTGTTCGCTCTCTTATTCATGGTAATAAGGAGGAGATGCCACATTATCTTAATGATATTATCAATATGTTATTGAACATTGGTAAACAAAAAGCTGGTCTCTTGTTGGATGATCAGTTGGTTGAAACTTACCTTCATTTGGGTGATTGTGTTGACGAAGAGATTCAGTCTATTTGTGATGCTATCTCTCTGTCCATACTCCGTTCAAATAACATTCTTCCTATTCCCTCTCGCTGGTTAGATGAGCCTTTAGGTGCTCTTGTCACCCGTGTGCTTTATCGTTTGCGTTTCATTACAGAAAACCATCCTCTGTCTCCTGCTTCTTTCGGTTTTGTCTTCCCCGCTCTTTACAAGGTTATTGAACAAGGAGGTATTGACTGTGGAAAGAATAATGAAAATGCTCAGGAGCAGATTACCATGGCTGTCGACATTATTGGTTTCCATTGTATTCATGGAGAATCTCATTTAATGCCTCGTACTGAAACAATTGATATTCTGTTGCGCAGTATCAAAGACTATCCTTCTAACAGCAAAACTGCTAGGACTTCCCTTGTCACTCTCTGTGAGTCCATGGGTGAGACTGTTACTATCAAAGAAATCGAAAACCTTTTCCAAGGCTTATTATCCTCTGAAGTACTTGTTCGTACGGCTGCTCTTCAAGCATTAGAACTTTTAGACCTTACTGACATTGACTATTCATCCGAACTCTGGGTTGCCTGCCATGATGAAAATGAATCGAACGCTGCTTTAGCCCTAGAACTCTGGGAAGATAATGCCATGGATGTTGAAGATGGCTTTAGAGATAAGCTCATTGAATACATCGTTTCCGACAATGATTATGTTCGTCAAGCTGCCAGCAAAGCACTTGCAGAAGCTACTGAGCAATATCCCGAAACCGTTTATGATACCCTTCAAACTATTTATAGTTTGTACAAGAAATTAGCCGCACCTCTTGATCCTGAATATGATGAATATGGTATGGTAAAACCCGAAACTTTGGATCGTCCTGACCCTTGGGAAGCACGTGTTGGTCTCTCTCTTACATTGAAGGCTATTGCCCCTTTCATGCAACTCGATAACGCTTCAGGCTTCTGCAGGTTTTTAATTGAAGATCAAGCCCTGGGTGATCGTAATGAACAAGTTCGTCGTCGTATGCTGGAAGCTGGGTTAGCTGTCATCACTGCTTATGGCAATGTTGATGTTGAAGAGTTCCTCAAAACCTTTGAATTATACTTAAATTCAAGCAATGATAATAGTGACATTCAAGACTTTATTCGTCAAGCCGTAGTTATTCTTTACGGTGGAGCTGCTGGTTACTTATCTCCAGGTGATGAAAAGGTCAATGCAGCTGTTGAAAAATTGATTGAAACACTTGATACTCCCTCCGAAACTGTTCAAAGTGCTGTTACGGATTGCCTTCCTCCACTTATTAAGAAGTGTAAAGATGAAGTGCCTCGTCTTATTAAGTTACTTTTAAATAAGCTTTTCAAGGGAGAGAAGTATGCTCAACGTCGTGGAGCTGCCTATGGTTTAGCCGGTGTTGTCAAGGGTCGTGGTATCACTGCTTTGAAGGAATGCAATGTTATGAATGCCTTAAAGGATGCTGTGGATAACAAGCGTGCTTATGAGTATAGACAAGGTGCTCTTTTCGCTTTTGAAACTCTATCTGCTACTCTGGGCCGTTTATTCGAACCTTATATCATCCAAATCATTCCTCTGTTGCTCATTTGTTCGAGTGATGCTAATATGGATGTTCGTGAAGCGTCTTCTGACGCAGCTCGTGTCATTATGAGTAAAATTAGTGGTCATTGTGTCAAGTTGATTTTACCCTCTATCCTGGAAGGTTTAGAAGAACGTCAATGGCGTACAAAGAAAGCCTCTGTTGAATTGCTGGGTTCCATGGCTTATTGTGCACCCAAGCAATTGTCTATTTCTCTTCCTAACATTATTCCACGTATTTCAGAAGTACTGGCTGATACTCACTCACAAGTTCAAGCTGCCGCCAAACGTTCGCTTCAACTCTTTGGTGAAGTTATCAGCAATCCTGAAATTCAAGAACTCGTACCTGTTCTATTGAAAGCTCTTAGTGACCCCAATAATAAGACTGCTCCTGCTTTGACCGCCCTTTTGCAAACCTCCTTTGTACATTATATCGATCCTCCATCTCTTGCCCTGGTAATGCCGATTTTGGAACGTGGCCTTCGTGAGCGTGCTACAGACGTGAAGACCAGGTCTGCTCAAATTGTTGGTAACATGGCATCACTTACTGATCAGAAGGACCTTGTTCCGTATCTCAATGTCATTTTGCCTGGTCTTCATGAAGTCCTCATTGATCCGGTACCTGCCGCTCGTGGTACTGCTGCTAAGGCTTTGGGTGCTCTCGTTGAGAAATTAGGTGAAGAGAATTTCCCTGGCCTTGTTCTTGACTTACTCGATACATTGAAATCTGAAACTGGTGGTGTCGATAGACAAGGTGCTGCTCAAGGTTTATCTGAAGTCCTCGCTGGCCTTGGTCTCGAACGCCTTGACGGTCTCTTGCCAGAAATCATTTCCAACGCTGATTCCCCCCGTCCTTATGTTCGTGAAGGTTTCATTTCACTTCTCATTTATTTGCCAGCTACTTTTGGTACTCGCTTCCAACCTTACTTGGGCCGTATTATCCCTCCTATCCTTAACGGTCTCGCTGATGAATCAGAATACGTTCGTGATGCATCTTTACGTGCTGGTCGTATGATTGTTAACAACTATGCTGTTAAGGCTGTTGACTTATTATTGCCAGAGTTAGAAAAGGGAATCTTCGATAACAAGTGGCGTATTCGTCAAAGTTCAGTTCAACTTGTTGGTGAATTGCTCTTCCGTATTACTGGTATTACGCACAAGAATACTGATATGGCACTTGGCAATGTCGATGAGCTTCTAGATGACGATGCGGATGCGGTACGTGAAGATAGCGGAAGTGATAACAAAAAGAAACAATTGGTTGAGGTGCTTGGTAAGGAAAGAAGAGACCGTATTTTGGCTGCCTTATACATTGTTAGACAAGATAATTCTGGTGTTGTCAGACAAGCATCACTTCAAGTCTGGAAGGGCCTTGTTGCCAACACTCCTCGTACATTGAAGGATATTCTCCACGTATTGATATCAATGATTATTAAGCTTTTGGCTAGCGATAATTTCGAACAGCGTGCTGTTGCTGGTCGTACTCTCAGTGATATTGTACAAAAACTCGGTGAAAGCATTCTCCCTGAAATTCTTCCCGTACTTGAGGAAGGTATGTCATCAGATGATGAGGATATTCGTATTGGTGTTACTGTTGCCTACAGTGAAGTCATGACGGCTGCAGAAAAGGTTCAAGTTATGGACTTTGCCAATGATATCATTCCTGTCATCAGAAAAGCGTTGTGTGATCCTTCCGACGAAGTTCGTGAAACTGCTGCTCAAGGTATGAGAAATTTTCTTTTATTTAGTTTATTTGGATCACTCACCTAATCTCTACTGAACAAAAATAGCATTTGATACCCTCCATCAAAATGTTGGTGCTAAGGCAATTGATGAGATCTTACCTTCATTGCTTAATAGCTTACAATCTTCTGATGAAACATCTACCTATGCCTTGTCAGCTCTTAAAGAAATCATGTCTGTCCGTTCCAACGTAGTTTTCCCTGTTTTGATTCCTACTCTTATCACCGTACCAATCACTGAATTCAATGCTCGTGCCCTTGCTTCACTTGTGACAGTAGCCGGACCTGCTCTCAACAAACGTCTCACTACGATCCTTGAAGCTCTAGTAGAGTCACTTATGTTGGAAGAAAATGAAGAGACTAAAGAAGCTCTCAAATCTACTACAGAAGCGCTCTTGCTGTCCATTGACGATGAAGATGGATTGCATACCCTAACTCTGGAACTTATGGACTATGCCCGTGATGATAAGCCAGCGAAGAGAGGAGTCGCTGCTGACATTGTCGCTCAATTTTTCAGCGAAAGTGAATTAGATGCCTCCGCTTACATTCCTGATTGGATTCATTTATTAATATTACTCTTAGATGACCCATCTGAAGGAGTCATACAGTCTGCTTGGAATGCTTTGACTGCTGTCACGAAGTCTATGTCCAAGGAAGAGTATGAGCCATTGGTTGTACCTACCCGTAACGCAATAAATGCCGTCGGTGTTGGTGGAATTGACATTCCTGGCTTCTGTTTGCCAAAGGGTATCAGCTGTGTCTTACCGATCTTCTTGCAAGGTTTAATGTATGGCTCTACTGAAAACCGTGAACAATCAGCACTTGCTATTGGTGATTTGGTGGATCGTACATCTGCTTCCGCTCTTAAGCCTTTTGTCACTCAAATTACTGGTCCTCTTATTCGTATTTTAGGTGACCGTTATCCTGCTGAAGTGAAGGCAGCCATTTTACAAACTTTAAGGTAAGAATAACGTACTGATCCCTCAAGATGAGCTTATGCTAAACTACACCCTTTTACTTGTATATGTAGTCTAATGCTTAATAAGGTCCCTATGCATCTCAAGCTTTTCTTACCTCAGTTACAGCGTACATTCGTCAAATCTTATTCTGACTCAACTAGCGATGTTGTTCGTGAACGTGCAGCTGCAGCTCTCAAGGTTTTGAGTACATTACAACCACGTGTCGATCCAACAGTTGCCGAAATTTTAGAGAAGGAAAACCTTTAACGGATATAACTTTGTACTTTTAGCCTAATAAGATGCTTAATTTTTGTGTATATGACCTAAGGAGTAACAAATTCATCCATTGTATATTGCAGTTATTACTCTCATCAATTTTATCAATATAGATTACAATAACAAAAAAATTTTAATGTGAGTGTCTTATTCTGAATACAACCAGAATTGCCTGTTGGGATGGGTACTTTTGTATTGTGCGGCTAGATTGGTGTGTGTGCATGTCTATGTGTGTATGTGTGTGTATGTGCGTGTATGTGTGTGTATGTGCATGTATGTGTGTGCGTTTGGTGTGGTGTGGAAGGGAGTACAACAGCGCTTTCATCAGCAAACGAAAAAAAAAGGTGTGTTTCGAATCAACGTACAACAGACAGAACAGAAATTATTGATTTTCCTATGACAGATAAGCGTTCAGCGCTTGGGGTTTCCGAATATGGGATGATCTTGCAGAGATACCAGCGTATCATGGAACAGTAGGGATCTCCCCATTTTTACAATTAGGAGTTTCCGACAAATTTCAATATTTCTATGTTTTAAAGCATGATGATCACGGCCATTCATTGTTAAGTACATTCCTTCATTAAAGTGGTGTTTACCACATACTCAGACATACACTATAATCATATGAAAGCGATCAAAATCCCATTTACATATAGAAATGACAAGGTATGGCTTCAAGACAGTTAAACTCACAGATCCAAGAAATTAGGAATGCCCAATTCGTTTTTAGTATAGCATGATAATTAACCTTATAAGTCAACTTCTCGGAATGTTGTGTAAGACCGAAGCGTTTGAGTGCAAACATTCAATAAAAGTTGTACTAACAAACAAAAGATAAGCCTTATCAATTGAACTTATTGACAAAACAATTCAGAGAGGCATATGCGCTTTTTGCTGCTTTTAAAACCATATGAAAAGCAAGGCATATTTTCCATTGCTCATTTTTGAGATCATTGCAAACACGGATAACAAATTGTATAATCAAGAGTGACACTGATTGGTACCACTTAGATTTCAAATTCAACGAGTTGTCCTACATACGATTTTCTTTTTCTATGAATTAGAATGGAACTTGTGCCTTACTTCTCTATCAATGACAACAAACGATCTTAGCCCCTTCCGATTCCAGAAGAGCTATTTTCCAATGACAATATATGCAGTTATCACGTGAAAATAGGAAACACTTTATTTCTCTTTTCTGATTTAAAGTTTTTTTTTTTTTTTCTTTTTTCTTGACGATTGTTAATAATAAAGGCTTAATTGATCGTAGTTGAGATTTATCTCTTTATAGTACTCTCAATGCCATCCTTTGTATCTTCTTTTCTTCATAGCTCAGTTGATAAGAATAAATCTCAGGCAGCGAGTTCAAATAGGGCAAGCGAAATGACGAACAATTGTAATAATTTCAGACGACTGCCAGTAAATAATGCATCAGCACCCTCATTCTCTTCTGGCAATGAAAATAACATCAGTGCAAATACATACTACTATCAGTATCCTCAACAGACATCAAACCACAATAATACAGATTGTATTACTGCCCCTCCACCCTATGACACCATGAGCCAGTATCAATATTCTTGTCAGCCACAAGCACAGCAACAACAACTGTCACTAAGTACCAGTCCAACTCCAACTCCAAGTACATCATGGACCTCTGAGATGAACGCATTAGCACAGAAAATCAAAGACGACGTAACTAAAACTTTTCTATCGAAGAGTAGTAAAAAGACATTGTCATCAAGCTCGATCAGCAACACAACAGTAGACAGGCACAGTATATCGCAAGGTATGAAACTCGTTTCTATTGCCGCCGATGAATATGAAAGTGGAAACGAAGCCGTTGCTCTTGGTGTTTATTTGACTGGCGTAGATAAGATACTCATGGCGTTACCAAGTATGTGTAGCCTTTATACTGTATAGCATCTGCAAAGGAAGATGAAAAGTAGCAGTATTGTCATTCAAACAGATTTTTATTTGATAAACTAACCTTTTTTTTTTAAAAAAAAATATATTGGCCCGCTTATCTAAGATAAAACTGATACAAAGACAAAGTTGGCAATCAAAAAGAAGCTGCAAAGTGTTGAGGAGAGAGTTGGCTTATTCGCAATCGCTAACCTACAGAAAGCATCGAATAACGATCACAATACAAAGGATGCAAGTACCAATATAACAGTACAAGTACAATCTTTACTCTTATCGCGTCTTACACATACAATAAGCACGATTACCAACAAGGCGTATCAAAAATCCTCAACAACGGCTCCATCAACTACCAACGATAACGCAAACTGTGAATCGAGTAAAGGCGCATCTAGGATCACTACGTCAACAACACATATGCATGATTCTGAACAGCAAGATTCAATGGTGCGATTTAAACGGCTCGGGCAATACATGATAGATTTCACAGTAGCTTGTGCTATTATCATAAAAAAATCACCCATTCCAGGTAAATGCATATTAAGACATATAAATAATCTTTGCCAAGATGTATGGCCCTAAAAAAACGACCTGGACAAACTTTTCACACATTAATCTATTTCAGGGATTCTTTCGTTCTTTTTTGGATATATGGTCCAAATCTTCCTTTGGATGGATGCACAATACCATGTCATTCATAAAGCACAGAACTTCAGTATTCGTTGCCTGAAATTCGGTCTAGAGGCAGATGAAAAGTACAGATTGCATGAATTTATTGCTGAGGGATTTTATATGTTGTTCGCTGCAGGTCTGAAAGCAGCCATTGCATACAAAGAAACCCCATGTTATACATATGAAAGTAATATTGCTGCTAATGCAGCGAGTGCTGAACCTGATTCATTTGAACCAACCAGTTCTTATGTATGCACCGATGGAGAATCATTCAATAACTGTCCTAAATTACCAGCAGAGACTTTTTTCAAAAGAAATGATACACTATCACAGTCTTGGACACGACTATTCAACAAGAATAGCCATGAATAATAATAACAGAAAATGTAGCTATAGCGTTAAGATCTCATTACTTTGATTTTAGAATAAATTAGTTGTTGGAACAAATATAATTCATACGTAGAAAAAAGTATCAATATCTAGCCAAAAACATATAATGACAGGAGACGCGCTTGTACTGTTATTAAATAACATGAGAAGCGTGGTAATCTACAAAAAGCAATAGCTTGTATAACCAGACCTCCCACAACCCATTCTTATGAAATTCATTCCAGTAACAAATTTGTTGGGAAAAAAAAAAACCCAGGTAAGTGCAAACAAAGGCAGAAATCGCAGTAGAACGATTGAATAAAGCCTAACATATATAGGAAGCGCAAATCCGCCCAATGATTTCAGGCATATGGCGAAGTTAGCATGCACGTATATACAAAGTGCGTGAAGCGCGCTTTTCCTTTAGTTTTGCTTATATGAATTTATCTGAATCAGGTCAATGAAAATGTCCAATTTTTATTTAAAAGAAGAAAGTCTGAATCAAAACCGAAAATACACTAGCTCGTTTTTTCTTTTCCCCACCCGAAAGCTAGCTTCAAGAATCTCATTGGGCTCTATTTTTATTCATAGGATTTTCGCATATTGGAAAAAAAGGCGCGCGGCCTACAGTTGTAAAAAAGCTTTGGTCTAGGCTGTCGATTTTACTTGTACCTTCAAAAAAGATGGGGACCTCTTTGCCCTGTTTCTATTTGTTCAGAATTTGAAAGGGATCGAATATTGACAAACTGGACTTTGCTTTTATTTGAAAAGAACCTTTGAGGCGACATGTGTGCAGCTTAAAGACAAAGGTCTAGTGAGTGAGTGAAGATCTTTTCTCTTTATTTGCATACGGTAAAACCAATTTCGTCTGAAACATTTTTTATGGACTCAGCCTCTCTTCTATCGTCAAGGCAGAGAAGAGACAACGCAGGTCGACTGCAATTCATATAGCCCCTTACATAACATCTTCTCTTCGCAACTCTTCAGAGGCGTATGATTCGAACCTCCGTCATGAAACATAAAATGAAGATCTTGTCACGTTAATCTGCGTATTGCAATGGTCTTGAATGTTTTATAATACGAAGCGTTTATTATTTGCAACCTTTTTATGTTGGTGAACAGAAGTATCGGTGGTAAAAGGGAACGGTCGTTTCAATAGCAATAGTAAGCTACAAAAGAGGCAATTCATTTAAGGTTGATTTCGATCTAGTTTAGCGCTTACCGTAAGATACTCGTAATGGCAATCAGTTTACTTCATGATTAAATAGTTTGAAATTCTATTTTCAGGGGTAGAATCAGCCGTCGAGCCATGGGTACAGTCAACTCAAACAAAACTGTGTTAGCTAGTGCTATTTTCTCATCCAATACGCTGTAAACCAATGCCACACAAACTGATAAAATCATGGTGTTTCACCTCCACTTGGTATAGAGCATCAAAAAGGTCCGGGTGTTATTGCTACCCCAATGCCACAGTTCAAAGCACTTTGCTGTCCATTCACGCGTCGTCATCCAATAATTCCGCGTACACCAGGGCGGGGGTTTAATCTATGCATACACTCCTGTATTCACTTTTTTTTTTTAAAAAAAACTGTGTTCGAAAGAAAAAACTTTTTCATGAAATAAACTGTTGTATGATCTAGCGGGAGAGAAGATTGCCACTCGCTACAAAATAACCTTCCAAAACCGAACTTACAGCATGCATTGCAAATTCCATACGGGCAGGTGCTTTTAATGACTAAATATTGGTACCTCATTTATAAGCATGTTCACGTGTTGTGGTCAATGCTGAAAAGACAGAGTACTTTGATGGGATATAACTTTCTATCATGTCCTTCAAGTCCAGTAAACAGAAATTGGATGTCTGATAATGAAATGTGATAGGAAAACTTAAAAGAAGCAGGCGCTATCCAGCTACCTAACACAGCCGCGGTAAAGCCAGCTAGCGCGGAGTAGTTGGTCTCACAACGTTCTCTTCTCTATAAACAGTTCTGCCTTCTTGTGATCATATATAACAGAGTGAGCTTTTGAACAATGGAAAACTGTACCTAGTGTCAACTTTCTTTCTAAGCAACCACAGCAAAGTCGGGACCCCATGTCTGAATAGTATTGATTGTGTAACAAAGTTAGTACTGAGCTACAACAAAGCGCTCTGTTTAGTCCTCTTTACAGCGTTGAATAGACTTCATGCATTTCTATTCGAACGGGGGACCTCATTTTCTGAGATTACACTTTACAACCGCAATTGTTGGCTATTGCTTAAAAGGAAGTAACGCGTTTTCAAATACCTGAGCCTGAAAACACCCTTCAATCAATGAGTAGTTGTATATGTACATTGTCTATTTTGCTTGTATTGTAAAATTGCTTTATCTCCAGTAGTAAATAACCACATAATGCTTCTATTTGATTAAATTGAAAGACCTTTCTAACAGTTCGCTCGAAAGTTTCATATGGACGATCATTCTCAAAATGAAGGGCAAAAAAAAAAAAAAAAAAAACGCAGTGCAAATATTTTTGACGATCCGCAAAACCTTTGTGAATTGAAATTTCAAAAAATCACGGGCCCTTTGGCACGAAAAGCTCACAGCAACATGTGGCATCTCCGTCCGTTGTTTTCAATTAAACACTTTTTGTCAACAGAGAGCGCGGCATAAGTTTTACTATTGTTTGATATTCCGTATAAAAATTTTCATATAAAAAAGGACCCAACACTGTCGACAAAAGTCTTGTTTTTTTCATCTCATCATCTTTTATTCGCTGGTCGTCTTACTCTTTTTCTTATATACAAAATGTTCCGTGTTACCTTCCTTTTCGCTGTCGTTTTAGCTGTTCTCGCTGTCGTCTCCCAAGCCGCTAATATTGAAGCTCGTGGTAACAAACACCACGGAACTGCTACTTTCTACTCTGTCAAGCACTCTGGTAAGCCCTCTTGTGGTTACAAGGCTGACAACGATGATATGGTTGCTGCTCTCTCTCACAAGCGTATGCCTAAGCACGGCCACGGTAAGCCTTGTGGTGAAAAGGTCAAGGTTCACTACAAGAAGAAGTCCATCACCGTCAAGGTTATCGATACTTGCGACGGTTGTGGTAGAAATGATATTGATCTTTCTCCTGCTGCTTTCAAGAAGCTCGACCACAAGAAGAAGGGTGAACTCAAGGTCCAATGGGAATTCAAATAAGATATCCAACTGGTTTGATCAAGCTACCTTAACATCTTCTGATCTATGATTCTATTATTCAACGCTAGCCGTTTTGTATACAAACTAGCCAAAAACTCTGTACTATTCATTAACGCATTTGTTCATTTATTTATATTATTATTCATGTACCTTACTATCGTAATAAACCGATCTAGGCAGAGCCCGGATCAAATACTTCGTAACTTAGTAATCGCACTTTGTGTTTGTTTCTACTTGAGCTCTATCTTTTTGATCGGATATCTCTTTAAAAAACTGCGGATGTGGTTTCATACTCACAAAAGCTATCGGACAAACTGCAGGTAGGTTGAAGAAACCAAACGAGTTGTTGTACTAGATGGGAAAGACTTGTCTGAGTTATTTAATAAATTTGAAGTCTTATCGTTGGCGCAAAACAGCTTCCATTTTGCCTTAGGATTGATTTCCAGACATTTTAAAGCAATTTTTTTGATACCGACTTTCAGGTACCAAAACCTTGACAGAAGACACGAAAAAACCTTATTCTATTTTAAACTTTTGCAGGTACAGCATTTGCAACCTATAGCACATTATGTCATTGTCGATTCCCCTACATTCATTACAGGCTCAACATAGCCTAGCTTCTTTTGGAAAGAACTATCATCGTGGAACTTTTCTGAGATCTTTTAATTGAGTTCATGAAAGATTTGAAGGCCTAGATCAGATGACCCTAGCACCTTTGTGCTGAAAAAACCAAAAAAAAACCACAAACCCCAGACCACATATCGCACCTGAAAGACTGAAAAGTTACCAATCACCGAAAATTCTCCAAAAAGACTTTACATGTATTCAAAGAATAAGCCTTTTGTTCCCAAGGGAGTTTCTTAGGCGATATTATACCAATTCGTATTTGATTCTCTGTAATCAGTTGCATACTCAGGAAGAATGTGATCTTCAAAATTATTGTAGCCAACTTTCTTATTTGCAAGCTTTGCTTAACATATCTAATAAGCATCTTGTATTGAATAGACGCGCTGATTGGCGGTGTTATTCTATATCATGATGGATGAACTCGTCAAGTAAACTTAATAATACACCCTCCCCCTTTGAAGATATACCAGATAAAGACTCTGATGAGCGTTAATATACCTTTGAGAAAGTAAAACAAGAAGACTTAGAATGCTCTAAGTGGTGATAAGCAGTTCAGAGTGAAGTATAGCAATCGAAAGCGGCAGCTTGAGCTTTATAATTTTGCAAAAGCTAGCAAAGTTATGAGCAGCTTAAACATTCTTTTTTTGAGCAGTTTATAGTCTTGGCTAACTATAAAACGACATACTGTTACTGGAAAGCTTAAAGCTACCTGATCGCCGTCGATCAACATGTTTTGAAGTTAGCAGATGAAATAAATAGAATTGAATGGCATGTATCAACTGTCTATCAAAGAATCGGCTACTGAACCAGTAATAGATACCACACATTGGCAGTGCGTTTGTTTACATTAAAAATAGCCATTTCGACTTTATTTATTGTAGGTTGAGCTCATTAGCCTTATAAGACTGTAATTGTGGCTTCATAAACTCGACTTCACAATCCCTTGCACATTTATTTTCATGACAAGCAACAGTAATAGAGCTCTATGCCCAATTGTTCTTCTGCTATTTTCTATCTCCGCAGACAAAAGGAGCAATGACCCCACGTTCAACGAGCTGTCACAAGAGCTTTAAGCTCAAGAACCCTTCAGAAAATTACAATGTCATTGTTCTTCCGAATCACAAAATATAGCAGGATCATAAAAAATGAGACAGAACTTCATCGGTATGGTTGTTAGCAATGCAATGCAAAAAACAGTGAAAGTCAAAGTAGCAAGGCAAAAAATTCATCCTATTGTTCGCAAGGTAAGCTATTCAACTTATTTACCCCTGGCACAACTGAACTGTTTACTTACCTTTTCAAAATTCTGTAAATATGTAGACGATCAAGTCATACAAAAATTATCTGGTGCATGATGAAAAAGAAGCCTGTAATTTAGGCGATGTCGTTCGTATCGAAGCTTGCAGACCTTTGAGTAAACGTAAACATTTCTCCATCGCTGAGATTCTCAAGCAAGCAAAATAAACCACTCTATTCCTTCAAAAAAGTCCTGACAACCATCCGACTTTCAATCGAACGACGCTCACTTTTTCTTTTATATATCAAATACGATATCGTTTTTGTTCAAAATAAATTCAATTCATGTAAATAGACCACTACTTTATAAAGAAAAACCACTTTATTGGTTATCTATAGAACCTTCAATGTCCAAATTTTACAATGCAAAAGGCATTTAGTTTTTTGATTGGTTCGTAATAAAAAAAAACGACATAAATTTTGCCTTGGGAATTCTGGAGTTACACCTTTTCTTTCACTTCATTGCATTTCAACTAAGCGATGCCGCCACCACAGACACCACAGCGCAATGAGATTCTCGACTGGTATAATTCGATTCCACCCATAACCAAAGCACTGATTACGCTCTCACTTGCCACGACCACGTTATCTGGTTTGGGATTTGTGCAGCCTTCAACTTTTGTATTTTATTGGCCAAATATCAGATATAAATTACAGGTATGAAAAGGCATAGAACAAGCAAACAATATACGTTATACGCGTACTAAGAGAATTACGAAATTCTGTCTTCACCACAGTTATGGAGATTGGTGTCATGCTTTTTCTTCAACAGATTCAGTCTCGGTTACGCCTTTAATCTTTATTTTTTATATCGCAATTCACAGCAGTTAGAAACTGAAGTCTTTCGAAACCAACCTGCCGATTATATATTTTTTCACTTGTTTACTGCAACTTTGCAACTTATAACAGCCATTCCTTTCGACCTTTATGTTTTAAGTGATGGTTTATTACTTTCAATTGCCTATCTCTGGGCACAGCATAACCGAGATTCGATAGTGAGTTTTATGTTTGGCATCCGTTTCAAGGTATTGAAAGAAGTTTCGAAAATATGAAGGATGATCCAAATCACTATTATTTTCCAGCTGCTAAATGTAATTCATAGGCTGTTTATCTTCCTTGGGCAATGGTAGCGACTGATTTTTTGATGACAGGAGGCATTCCCAAAGCATCAATTACAGGTATTATTTCAGCTCACATCTATCATTATTTAACTGCCATCTACCCAAGGCAAGGCGGCCGTCAATATCTTCAAACACCTGCATTCTTACGAAGATTATTCCCACAAAGAAGACTGAATTCTACACCAACATCTGGTGCATTTAGAGGAGGATTTGGTCGTCAGAACCAAACAGATAATACGAATATGTTTGGTCGCCATAGCTGGGGAACAGGCCGGCGTTTAGGTTCATAATAGGCTTTGGACTTGACTTTTTTTTTCATGAAAATAGACATAATAAAATTTGTGTGTTGAATCAACGAGAGAAGAAAGAAGAATCGCGCTTTTGCGTTTGAAAACATGAAAGTTGCAAAGATTCAAATCCAAATTCAGTTGCGGCTGATATAAATTTCCCTAAAAGAGTATAACTGCTTAGTTGAACTGGGTAATTTCCAGCAGTGAGTGTAACTCTTTAGAAGATCAAGGAAATCTCAAACTGGAGAGCAGTGTAAGTCTTGAGTGATCAGTATAACATGGAGAACGAAATGTGCAGCGACAAACTGTTAAACCATGTTTTTATCACTGTTCATAACTTAAGTCACTCATCTATTTGTGTCCGGATACGTATTCTTATTGAATCCTGTCTTCCTGTACCAAACCGGATGGAGAAAGTGAAACCCGTGCTCTGTTTGCTGAAGATCAGCAGAGGAACTTCCCAAGCTTACTTCTCCATTCCTTTGATATTGCAACCAGGAACTATTCCAATGCACGTATCATCATTTTTATTCTGGCGGCTACATCTATGACGTTCCTGAAAGAGATTCAGAGGATACTCCTAGTCAGGGACCTTCCATCAGTCTTCTGCAGCAGATGGACAGGCATTGCAGTGGATGATAATATATTTGCAGCGGAATATAGCCTTCTCAAAAATGCAGATGTATTTATGGCTGAAGAAAGCTGGGCTTGGTTTATCAACCCACCTTGGTATGAACCCCTAAAAAATACAAGCCGAAGCAAGTAGTGCAGATTAGTGCTCCAAATCCAGAACAGCTGCTCAAAAAGCTGTAATTATGCCTTCTGCCAGCTATAACCCTCTCAGCCGGTATAAGAAGAATAGAGGCACAATTCTCTTAGGATATGTACCAGCATCAGCGATGAAAAAAACTGCAACAACATAGAGTTTAATGATGGGCATTCCGAGTTTTTTTCGAGCTTATTATTGTATCTGTAAACAAACATTGATTCTTTATCAACAACATCAGATAATACATCTTAAACTGTGAGTTGAATAAATAAGGTCCAACAGTAGGCATTCAGCCTTTGGTTATACTTTATGAATATCGCACAACTTACACTGTAGGGATGTGTGAAAGAGTGATATGGATCACAAATGTAAATAGAATTAATTTCGTTTAAAAACTGTAGATGTTCGATAATAACAATCAAAAATGTTTAACGATGTTTTTGGCAGCATTGTCGTCGCAATTCCAATTGTATTACAATCTTTATACTTTAACACAGCATGTATTCTTCGCTTTGACGCCGCTGTCGTTGCATTCTCCAAATTTCGATGTTCGCATCTCTTACATAACTTAACTAGTCAGATATTCATCGATGAAGCCGGTTCTACCTTTTTATCTTTATCGCAATTAGGTGTTCGACCACAAAGTGCTTGTAGGCCATGCATGTGTGGCTTACAGGATAGACACATCACCGTTTTCGTTGGTTTATTTCAGCCACCTTCTTTGAACATTGTATGCCATTGGTATTACTGTGTGTGTAACTGAAGAAACATTGATCATTTCTAGATAGAGTCGAGCCTATGTGTAGTTATGGGGCTTTTACATGACCGTTCTGAGTTGAGAGGCGTTGTTTACCTTTTCACCTTGACTGAAAAGAAAGAAAGCAAAAAGAAAGAGAACATCCGCTTTTTGAAATTGTGTGTTCTGTTACATATCGCGTTCTTTTTTATTATTTTCTCTTTTTTTATTATCAAAGACAGCTGCACTAGCATTATTACGATGACTCAATAAGTGATGGCTCTTATCAACATGCATCAGAGTTCTGAAAAATCATTGCTTTATACAGATAGTGACGTGTCTCTGCTCCTCCAACTAGCTTTTGATGTTATAGCATGCTTAACATATTACACAGGGTAGCTAGACGCGCTGGTTATTGCTCCTAATTCCTCGTCACCCCTTCGTTTCTATTGTGCCCTGAAAAAAAAAAATCAGATTCTCCAACTAAAATTAACATAATCTAAGAACTACCTATGGTATTTCTCAAACATATGATTCTGTTCGTCTGGAGCAAACAGTATGAAAGTCCGATATCATAAGCGAAAAAGCGTATTTTTGCAAAGTTTCATTTGCTCTTCTTCCCCGCGTTGTTCTACGTCACCTCAATTTTTCTTTCTGAATTTCTATTTCCTCTTATTGTTTCGTGGAAACGGGCGGGGTAGGCTCAAGGCTGGGCCTGTAACAGGGTCGAGTAACCATTACGGCTTACTTCCTTTTTCTAATTGTACCTTCATTTATTTTCTAATTTTTTTTTTCTTACTACATTTCTTGATTGTTACGAGTAACAAAAAACCCACCCCCCTCTCTCAATGTTTTCTCGGATCGCAACATCTACAGCAAAGCGTTCAGTACGTCAATTTGCTAAACCAACTGTTCAGGTACGACATTTCTGATTGCAGTTTTGTATTTACCCCACAATACATATTCAAACAATAAGAGAGTTCAAATTGATGGAACTTGTCGATAGTAACAATTACAAACATTTTTTCATCGACTTATATATATATATGTATATCTAGGCTAGATTTGCTTCAACCAAGCCTTCAGTAAATCAAGTATGTTCACTATACGCATAGAAATGTTTCTATCAATGACTGAAAATTTTATGTTTATGTTTTTATTGTTACCCAACAACAGCATCCTTTACAGTTCGGTTTAGTAACAGGAGGTATTGTGGGTCTCACAGCTGCTGCCTATATGTATACAGAAGCCTCCGCGAATATGGCTGATGAAGGTCTTCATGCCCCTCATTATCCTTGGCCTCATAGTGGTCCTCTTTCTACCTATGATCACGCCTCGTAAAGTGCCACTTTTAAGATAGATGTGCAAGTTTTGTAAAGCCTCTTTTATACTGAATTATTTGTGGGTATGCTTATAGTATCCGTCGTGGTTATCAAGTTTACAGAGAAGTTTGTTCAGCTTGTCACTCACTTGACCGTATTGCTTGGAGAAACTTGATTGGCGTTTCTCACACTGAAGAAGAAGTGAAAGCTATGGCCGAAGAATTTGAATATCAAGATGGACCCGATGAAAATGGCGAAATGTTTATGAGACCTGGCAAGGTAAACATCTATCTTCGACCTTCAATAGCATATCCTCATAGCGAAAAGTGAGGAAAAAAAAAAGTGGGAGGCTTTGTCCACTGTAAAAAAAAAAAAAAAAAAAAGACAAGACAAAGGATCAAGAGATAGAAAGCAGAGGACCATTAATTATACCCCACTTCCAAAAATGAGACAATTGACTGAATTCACTGATACATAAATTACTTCTACACGTATAGCCTTCAGACTATATGCCCAAGCCCTATCCCAATGAAGAAGCTGCTCGTGCTGGTAATGCTGGTGCTTTGCCTCCAGATCTCTCCTTGATCACCAAAGCTCGTCATGGTGGAGAGGTAGGTTGACCATCTTGAATTGTTATCGCATCGAAGAAAAGCAGACACTAACTTTTCTTTCAACTATTTAGGACTATGTGTTTGCTCTTCTCACAGGTTATGTTGATCCTCCAGGAGGTGTTGAAGTCCGTGAAGGTTTGAACTATAACCCCTACTTCCCTGGTGGTGCCATTGCTATGGCCCGTACACTTTTCGATGGTGTTGTTGAATATGAAGATGGTACACCCGCTACCACTTCTCAGATGGCTAAGGATGTGTGTACTTTCCTTGCTTGGTCCGCTGAGCCTGAGCATGATGAACGTAAAAAGATGGGTATGAAGGCTGTCATCATCTTGACAGGTTTAACAGCTTTATCTATCTATCTCAAGAGATTCAAGTGGGCTCCTCTTAAATCTAGAAAGATTGTATACAAGTAAGTTCAAGCATAGGTGTGATATGAGATATTTCAGTAAGCATAATATACTGACTCTTCTTATCCTTTCAATTACTATGAATAGCCCTCCCAGAGACATCAAATAAACATAACCCAAATTAATACACTTTACGAATTCAGCAAAAAATAAATTATCACCTTTCTTTTTTTATTTATCAACCCTTATTAGTAGTAGTATAATTGTAAACACTGGAGAAAAACAATAAAAAAGCCGAATGGTTCGCTTTAGACAAGACATATCAACTGCAAAGATTACTTCTCTGCATTATCCTAACATGTGTCTGTTTATATAAGAACTAAGTTGAAGCTATCCCTCGTTAAAATAAAAGTGCATGTATAATCAATACGTATTTACTGACTTTATTAATTGTCAGTGCAAGGGTGAAGAATAAATAGGAAATGCATTGAGAGAAAAAGAAACGGTATATGAATAGAGTATGAGATAGCAATGCGTGGAATAAATACAAGTGTATACATATATAGACAGGATAAGAATAAAAGTTACTATGACAGATGGATATTGCAAAAGATAGATACAACATATTGAATCTAAGAGAAGAAATGCTTGATACGGTTCTTCATCTTGTATTCTCTCGGTATATCATGGTTACACTCAAGAACAGCATTGGCCATAAATTCCAAAAATCGTTGGCCATACTGAGTGGGCTTGACAGCTGAAATGCCGTTTTTGTCTTGCGTCGTCAGTGATTTATAAAAGTGCTCTGATTTTTTCTTCATATCATAAGGTGTTAAAATATCGATAATGCCCAAAGAATATAAGACTGGCAGAGGCCTGTTTGATTCATCGGTAGCTTGGAAACCGCCTTCTTCGGCATAAAATGCACAGCTATGGCGTCTGTAAAAGCATGGGTATGTCATTAGCATGTCTATAAGTACAGATAGATTCAACGTCTTTACTTACTCTTGAGTATCTCCTGGTAATTTGGAAGCATCTAGTTTGTTGAATGTAGCTTCTGCAATCGCTGTACGAACTACTTGTGCTTTACTTGATTTACGGTTCATTAATGTATTTCTACGTTGCACCAGTTTTGTATTAGGATGAAACGTCTGCAATGTAGTGTCGCGAATATTATCCTTGTTTCCGCGTAACATGTCGTGAATACCAATAAGTAGACTGTAATCCATAATATTTAACTGTGTGAGTAGCTAATGTACGTAAAAGAGAGACAAATAAGGGTTGGCATCGACGTTTTCTTTCCAGCAATCAAAAAAAAAAAGAAGTTTTTTCTTACCGTAACATCACGAACCAGTTGACCTATGAATAGCTTTCTTTTAACAGGGCCTAATTGAAGCTTACGATTCTTCTTTTCCCAATTGAGATCTTTCATGACGGCATAAGGGTTCTTACGTATTTCTTCTTCGGGTAAAAATCTACCTAAGGTCGAGCCCTAACATTTTAAAATAGAACAGAAAGTAACGTGACAAGAGTAAGTTTAAAAAGTTCCGAGAACAAAACAGACATCACTTGGAATTTTTTTGGCCTCACGAAAAGTTTACCTTCAAATCATACGTCTCATGAATATCTTTACTGGGAGGAAAAACGTTACTCATCACCACAAAATGAATTTTCCTTCCATGTGGTAGCTTGATTCTATGTAGACCATAATATCTGCAAAGCAGGGTATCAGGGTTGTTACAAATATGCTATTGTACAATTTACAGAGATCAGTGATGAGATCATATGGGTCAACATGTGTGTACCATTTTTAAGTTGTTGTTCTCTTGCAAAAAAAGCCGAGTGCATTACCTCATAGTACTCTTTCAAGATCTTTCTCATAAATTTATGCTCAGTGTGGTGTATGGTTTTTATAATGTATCGATAATCTTTGGAATAGTAAAAGAAGCTACCACTTTTACCGGGAGAACCCAATTCAGAGAGGATGTATTTGCTCGTGAGAGAAATCTGAAGGACAAGATTTAATGTAAGCGTTCGACAGATGCATTGACTACAGATGGAGGTGAGAAAGAGCTGTTGCTTACCAAATAGTCTGCAGGATCCACACCACACCTATCTCTCAAGCTGCGGAATATCCAAGGTGCATAATCCTTGAACTTGAAATCATATTTTGCACCAGGTGTTAGCTCATCACCAACAACATCAAAGGCCAGCTTATGAGCAGCCACATAATCTTCATCGGTCAGAGGACGATCCATCTTGGCCGTGACTCGACTCACAGCAATTCGAATACCCGTCAGCATATTGTACATCAAGATATAATTACGATGACCTTCTGAAATGCGAGTACCAATCAAAACACGATCATCGTCTTCGTTATTGTTGTTCGTATACGAATTCTCTTTATTGGCCATGGCTAATCTTGATAATCGTTGAAAAGCCTTTCTTCTCGCTGAAAGCTCTTTTTGAAACTCTTCTGAACGACGCATCATATCTAATCTTTCTTTATCGGCCATTCGCTGTCTGGCTGATTTCAATGTATGCCCTGTCGTGTGATGTCTACAAAGTGAGACTGAAGACACAGTTGTAGTTGAAGCAGCTGTATCGTTTTGTTGGCTTCCAAAGGAAGATTTGGATTTCTTTGTCATGCCAAGTTGAGGCTGTAGACTGCTCTCTGTAGCAGTGCGGTAAGAAGAAACTGTTGAATAGCGTTTCAAACTGATTTGGTTATGCTGTTCTGGAACGGAAGAGCCGTCGTCATTCAAATCTGAAAGGTTGACTGGCTCTTCTCTAGAAATGATTGTATCTTGTCTTTGAGAAGGAGAGATATCGAGCTCTTCTTCATCGTTATGCTCGGGTGTTGGCACAGGAGTGGGCATGATGTTGAATTCATCTTCAGGTTTGAAGTAGGGTGTGGTATAGGCTCTCTTTTGATGTAAAATATATTGTGGTTGGTCTGTAGAAGACGTAGGTGCAGAAGATGTAGGTGTAGAAGGTGGTGACATTTCTATCGGATCTTCTACTAGTGCATGTGAACGAGCAGTAGCAGTTGCTGCAGTTACCGACACATACTTTTTATTTGTAGCTGCTCCTGGATGAACAGGATATGATTCGTTGTTGTTATCATCAACATTGAACTTTTCTATTTTATTCCATACTGGTATCGACTGTGAGTTTTGTATAGTTGTAGTTTCCATTGACTCTGATAACTGACAAAAATACTTTTTCAAAGTGAAAAAGAGAATGATTTAATTGAAGGGAGACAGAAAAAAAAAAAAAAAAAAATAAAAAAGGAAGGAAAAGAATTGAACTTTTTATAACTTTCGACTGATTCCGTCGGTTGCTGAGTTCTGCACGTGTAACAAACAATCTCAAATTTTCACAGCAAAGAAGGATTATTGTAGAGTCAGAAATCGCATTGAACACAGTATAATCCGGAAGAATCTTGGCAATATTTCGAATGATGTGAGAAGTTGCTTCAATCTGAATTTTGAAAGCTATTCAAAAAGTAAAAAGTCATGACTGAATATAATATCGAGCAGTAGGAATTCATTCTGAGTTTTCCGCGCTATTTTGGCTGGGCATTCTTTTTCTATTTTTATCTTCATCACCCTCTTGACGGCTCGGTAGGTCTTATTGTTTCAAGGTCCTATACGATGTAAACAAATGCCTACAATATCATCCTAAGGTCTGTGGGTCGTCCTATAATTGAGTTGAATTCAAATTCATCGTTTAGTTACAGTAAGGTTGATATTTTCATCAAATTTTTACGGCAGCGTTTTGAAGACATATGTCTGAAACAAATGAATAGTTATATCGCTCTCTAGAAAGATATATTTTTGCTATTAACCATTTGTCGACTGTCAAACTCATAGATGCTGCATCTCTACCTATATTGTATGGATTCTTTCTGCTCCATGACCGCCGTGATGCCATATCGTTATTTAAACTTTCTGTACCTGAAGTCGCAGCAGAATTACACAAGTAATTGTTCCTCCAATTTGAACGAATCAAATTTTGCATAGAAACAATCAAACAGGCACATGCATAAAAGAAAAAAGTTGTCCAACCAGAACACCCTTCGTCATATAGGCTATTTTTCGAAACATCTTGGAGAAATAATACAAAATAGGCTTCTACCGACATTGATTATAGACTTTTAGTTCAGCAGGGTACACTATCAAGTTTATAAGAGGCTCAAACAGTTGTAAAACTGGAAAACAAATGATATTGTTTCCGACTATGTCAAGAACAACCAGCCAGTGGCCAATTGGTCTTTTATACAAAGCGCATACGGATAACACATTAGTGAGAAAGCAAATGGATGGAGTTTTTGAAGAATCGGTTCGGTACATTTTTCTGAATTGTCTAAAGGAACCCTTGAGTGAAAGAAACAAACAAAATATCAAGGCGTTCTATGAGTAATACATAGGCACTATCCTATTCATTCCGCAATCATGGTGGGTTCAGCCACACACTTTTTATTCATAGATTTTGATACAATCATATGGATAATGATAGTTTGAAGACAAGGATATACCCCATTCTTAATGAGGATAGATTGAAGTCATGTTTCTGTGTGCAGTCCAGTGACTTTTCTCCCTCCCATTGTAAGGATAAGGATAGATGGTAAAGCAAAAAAGTTATCTTTAGTACAGTGAATTATATTGAAGAGGGTGCTGCTTCACAAAGGACTATATCACTGACTTTTGCTTCAATAAAAAAAAAAAGTATATAAAAATAGGATGCTGAGCTTGATGATTAAGATGAAGAAGTATATTTAGCGACCAGTTGGTCAGCCTTTTCTTGCTGCTCTTTCATCTTGGCAGCAATATCAACAGCGCGACGCAATTCCAATCTACCTAACTGTTGTTCATGAACTGCATCAGGACCGTCAGCAATTCTCAAGGTACGTGCAGACGCAAAATAATGCGCTAACGGAGTATCTTGTGAAAGGCCTGCAGCACCAAAGGCCTGCATAGCACGATCAAGTACTTGTGTCAACATGCTAGGGGTGATAATTTTGGCCATACCGATTTCCTTCATGGCACCCTTGGCATTCCCTTGATCGATCTTACGAGCGGCATTCAACACCAAGAAGCGAGCTTGATCAATTTCTAAACGACAGCGAGCGATGTCCTGCACCACTGTGCCGTGCTCAGCAAGGACTTTACCGAAAGTACGTCGAGAGGGATCGGTAACACGTGCTAGCATGAATTCTAGACTGCGTTCGGCCATACCGATGCAACGCATACAATGATGGATACGGCCGGGGCCGAGACGACTTTGAATGATTTCAAAACCTTTGCCTTCACCTGCAACCATGTTCTCGACGGGAATACGGACCTCTTTGAAGACAATCTCACAGTGACCTTCAGGAGCATCATCAAAGCCAAACACTTGCATAGGACGGACAACAGTAATACCAGGTGTATCGGCAGGAACAATAACTAAACTTTGTTGACGGTGTTTGTTTTTATTGCCAGGATCTGTTTTACCCATGACGAGATAGACGGAGCAACGTGGGTCACCAGCACCAGAAATCCACCATTTGATACCGTTGACAATATATTCATTACCGACACGACGAATGCTGGTTTCAATGTTGGTTGCGTCTGAAGAAGCAACTCTGGGCTCGGTCATAGCGAACGCTGAACGGATCTTGCCATCAAGTAAAGGTTGAAGCCACTTTTTCTTTTGAGCAGGAGTGCCCCATTTAGCGAAAACCTCTATATGTGTTGGACGAAAAAAATAAATAAATAAACCAACCAACAACCCAAGTGTCGCTAGGATGAGTCTGTTGTCCAATTTCACATGGATGTGTAGATATCGCTTATCAAGACCGTCTTATACGCATCGATGATACAATGCTATTGTTCGCAAACTGAAGGTCTCTTACACTTCTCTATCATCCGAAAAATGTTTATTGTAAAAAAGAACTTTACCCATATTGCCAGTGTCCGGAGCACTGCAATTCATTGCTTCAGGTGCGATTTTGGGACAACGACCGGTGAGTTCGGCGATCAAAGCATATTCAAGGTTCGTTAATCCAGCGCCTTCGGCGTAATCGCGACCCAAGAAAAGGTTCCAAAGACCTAGTGAGCGAGCCTTCTTCTTGAGGTCTTCAATGACCGGAGGAATAATCTGAGTGATAATCCATCAGCACACTATTTTATTTCCATATAAAAGTTCCTTTGTGATGTTACCTTCCAACGATCCTCGTTTTGTCCCATCTGGAGAGCAAAGATCTTTTCAGCGGGAATACAATCATTCTATCAATTAATGAAGACAGGGATTCATAGTTGGTATATTAACAGACATATCAACGCAGAATTCTTCATATCATTGAATCGGACCTCGACAAAATCCTTAGCCTTTGCATAAAGGTCTTGAAATTGGGGTGAGAGTTGAGAGATGTCGACGAGATTCTGAGTAGCCATGGCGAGAATGACAACAAAGAAGAAGAAGAAAAAAAAAAAAAATTGTATAAAAAGACAGAGTGCCAAGAGTAACGATACTTTTGCACTGACTAACTTAAGGCAATGGCCTGAGTTTCTGCTTACACTCTCTCTATTGTGATAACCTTATTCATCCAAATTTTTTCCCCCACCCCGCAAAATGATCAATGTCAATTACTCAGTTTAATTCCCAAGATTAAAAAAATTCTTGCATGATGACACAAACTGTTGTTTGTGTGCATACGCTTGTTTGACTTTATTTACTACCAGGTAGATATACCTTCTACGATGTGTCTATAAAAGTGATTGGAATAAGTTGAAATAGAATCATTGTATAAAAAGGGTAAAATTGATATGCGCTCCAACGGTCCGTGTACATTGGTGAATTGTTTAGAAGAGTTCGACGTAATTTGCAGGGAACTAGAAATAGTGTGCAGCCAAACCAAAGAGTGTATGAGTAAAAATCATGACAGTTTTTGTCTACATGAATTACTGGATACTTACCATTCCTTGTTTGCCGTTGCATTTGCCTGTCCACCAGTCATCTTGACTTTCTGATTTTTGTACAATAGTTATCATATCTCCTTCCTTAAAACTTAGATCACCCTGCTCTTGCCCATCAAATGCATACAATGCTTTAGCCATTGTCGGTTTGGGTATGGTAGGCTTCCGCGATGGAGGAGGAGGAGGAGGAGGGGCTCTTTTGGCAGCTGCTTGTGATGCTATACTATTGGCTGCACCCATACTACTGGTATAAGCTGGCGGAACTGAGATTCTATGATTCATCGAATTGCCGTTATTGTTATTGTTTCCATAAGGCGAATGCTTCCCATCTTGTCCAAATGGGTTGTAACTACTATTTGCTTGATAAGTGGGTGGAGGTAGATGAGAAGATGCGGGTAAACCGCCGCTCGATCGAGGTGGCGGAGGTTGCCTTAATGTTCCCGGAGCAGAGATATTAGCGCTTTTAAATGAGCTCGTATGACGACCTACTGATGATGCTAGACTCCTACTATCACCCTCACCAGCACGTGAATACGTTTGCGATCCTAAACTATGAAATTTAGCGTTGAGCGCCCTATAGAGACTATCAGCTTCGGGTGGCGGAGGAATGACGCCAGTCAATAACTCTTTAGCAGACACCTTTTGTCCATAAAACTTTTCATTCGCGTCTCCTCGAGAAACGACCACTGACCCTTCCAGAGAAACGCCGGCAAAGAGTCCCCTCGTTCTACTATAAGAATACACAGCAGCAATATGTTTTAAATTGGCACTTCCAGATGCCTCTGCATTTCTACCCACTGGACCAGCAGCGACTGATCATTGATTCCAACAAACAAGAGATAAATGAGTTCTCGGGTGTTCTCGTTCAATCACAGCAATAGAACCCACCTATTTACCTGACACATTGCCACCCAGGGTAACATTGCCCACCTGACTGAATGTCTTTACGGCTTCCTGTGTATTCAGCACGAGTACAAAATCTGTAAGCTCAGCCCCTAATGGATGTAACAATCTTAGCTTTTTGTTTGTAAGAATCTCATCTTTCCAATGCTATCGCTTTACCAATTTGTCCACCTGCGCCTATACCGCCAGTGGCAATAGCTGAAGGCGCAGACCACCCTATTCAACGCCCCCCACCCCCAAAAAAAAAAAACCCAAAAAAAGAACCATGATTATCGTGAATGTCTGCATAGGTAGAAATAAATGATCCAATGTTTCTGTATTGGGTACCCATATACCTCCGTCCGGCAATCTAAAGGTGAACCCATGAGACAATGCCATCTTTTGCTGATGATAGCTTGGCAATAAATGATTGGCTTACCTAGCGACTACTATACCACTACCCACACGACCTGAAAACAGGAATCCTGCTTTAATGACTGTGTAGATGGCTAGTCCATGGGCTTTTTCTAAAATCTTGTCAGGAATCATTTTATCCAGTCCTTGACCAGGATCTGCATTGTTTAAATCAAAGGTCATATGGGATGGTTTATCAGCATATATCCACATTCTTAACTTTTACGGACCATCATTTTCTATACACTCTACCAATAAAGCTGTTTAAAATCTTTGTTGCTTTCTTACACTCGCCTGTTGAAGTTGCAGAAAAAGTTGTATCGTGTTAGGGAATAGCTACACTCAGCATGCTACATCATGCTGTACCTGACAGGCTTGTTGGAATAGGGGAGTTTACTGCAGCCGTGATGCCTGAAGCAAACTTTTTCATTGCAATGGTCAAACGATGAAAAGTAAGATGGCGAAAAAAAAAAAGAGAAAATAGCAAAGGAAGGAAGAAGTATAGACTTTCTCAGTCGGCTTTTTTTTTTTTTTTTTTTTTGTTGAGCTTCTTTCCATTCATTTTCATGCTAATTTTCTGAAAAGTAAAAAAAAAAAGGCGTGCGGCGAAAAAAGTCCGCAAAGATATACTTCCGTCATAGTTGCGAAGAACGAATAAGCTGCGCGTGCTTGCTTTATTTCTTTGGCAAAGTGTACGAAATTTTTTTTTTCATTCTTTAACCCACTCTATTCAAGCTTGAATTAAAGTGAAGTTGACCCAAGCTTTCATTGTATATAAACATCATACCTGTTGGATTTCTAACCAGATAACGAACAACGCCACTTTTTGCGTATACAGCATACAGCCTGCGAATTGCGACCCTTTGATAGATAGACCATTTGCATATTGAATCAGCATTATACCATTTTGAAATCACCTTGTATTTATAGTTTACTTGTTGCTTCTACTATATATTATCTGTACAAATATGAATGCTTCTGCTCCTACTTTTGTACCTGCGTCACATAGAAACAATAACCAAAATGAAAACAACAATACGAATAGTAGTACTACAGACAATATCACTACCACCCATGACAGCTCCAGCGCAAAGACGAACAGTAGTCATCGTCAAAGATCCAAACGTAACAACAAGAATAGCAAGGATAAAGAAGTGAGTCACGCCAGTCATAATAACAATAGCGGTGGACGAAGACGTCAAAGTAAGCAGGAAAAATGGAAACGAAACAATGAACAATATTTTCTAATGTTCCATGGACCTCGTCAGATAAAAAGTATCCCTCTCAGCAGAACAAAAATCCTGAGAACAGACAAATGAGTCGTCTCACCGATGATCTACAGGATCTCGACTTGGCAGAAGTAGCTTCATTGACAGGTGCTTCTGCTGACAAGAAGGGTCGAATTTCCTTGAACCATTTACTGAACTTTTCGTTCCCTGAAAGACAGGCCGTCAATCCGTTGCCTCATCGTCGATCGAAGGTGACTTCCTATCAACCGTTCAATAAAGAAAGGTTCATCAATGCCAAGTAAGGGCGTGTTCATGTGTGCTTATCATTTTCGTGTGGAAAGCTGTGCCAGCCATTTGCTTACCCATTTATCTCTTGCTCTACAGCTTTCGTTTCATGTTAAATCCTGCAGGAAATTACGTTTACCAATTAGCAGATCCTGATATCAATTTTGATTGGGAAACCATCGAGCAAATTGTAAAGTAGGAAAGCCACGGAATATGCCCTACCGAGCCAAGAAGAGTAGCTAACCCCCTCCCCCCCTCCCCCTCCCCATTCCGATCTTTTTTAGTTGATTTCATCAGCAGAAACACAGTTTTGTCCCATCTGTTTATCGCCACCCACAGCAGCTCGCGTCACCAAATGTGGGCACATTTACTGTCTACCGTGCATCCTGCATTATCTCGAACTGCGTGAAAATACCAAGAAGCTTTGGCGTAAATGCCCCATTTGCTGGGAATCTATTTACGAAGCAGATCTTAAGCCAGTACGCATCATGAAGCCTTTTGCCGTCTCTTATCATCCTCATCCGACCCTCCAGACATCTTCAGCATCGAATGCGAGTGAGAAAAGTACAGAGAAGAAAGCTTTGGCGTGTGGTGTAGCGGAAGGGGATACGGTGGACATGATCCTTATCCAGCGACCCGCCCATTCCACGTTGGCGTTTCCCCTCTCGGATACATGGCCATTGCCTCAGAACGTGATATCGAATTACGTCAAGCCCGATACACCGTTGATACCATGGCATTTTACACCCGCTGCCATGCATTTTGCACGTTTCATGCTCGCCAGTCCAGATTACCTAGACGCAGAATATCATCGAGATACAATGGAATTGAAAGATGCTCTTTCGGATGCTCAGGGTTGGGGTGGGTTCGATGAGATACCCTATATCGAAGCCAGTCTAAAAAAGATTTCAGAAACACAAAAGAGGCTACAAACACAAAAAACAAAGGAGCTGGCATTAGCGATGCATACAATGGATATGATGTTGGAGGCGGTAGCAAAGTATGCCAAAAAGCATCCTCCATGCGCCCCCGCCGGGTCGTCTGCTCGAGAGCAACCGCCAAAAATGATGGAGGAAGAAAAGAAAAGAGATGTTTCAAAGAAAGAGGAAAAGATGAAAGTGGAAGTTCCCGAAGCTTACCTTCAATATCAACTTCAGCAAGCAGGAGCAGATTTCAAACCGCCACCACCACAACAGCAGCAGCAGCAGCAGCAGCAGCAGAAGGAAAAGCAAGCTGGTGTTCGACCTGCGCAGCCTTCAAGGCAGAATACTCGTCATCCTAACAACAACAACAACAACGATAAAGGCCCTGCAACCGATTATTTCTTTTATCAAGCCGTGGATGGTCAACATGTCTATCTCCATCCCTTGGATATTCGTATTTTGAAGCATGAGTTTGGAGAATATCAGGACTTTCCCCTTCGTCTTCAAGTCCAGGCCACTGCTGTACAGGAGTCCACTTTAACAGAAGAGCTGCGAAAAAAATGCAAATATTTGGGACATTTGCCTTTGGCTTGCGATGTCACTTTCTTGGAAATCAATGTCAAAGACATTGTTTCTGCAGACACATACCAGCATTTCCATCGTAAGTGACGACATTCTTGTCTCTCTTTTTCATTGTTCCATAAGATACTCATACTATGTTACACAACCCTGTAGAGGAGCTCAATGCCCGTGTGAAAAAGAGAAAAGAGAAAGAACGACGCGAAGAACAGAAGAAACAGCAAGCTGAATCCAAACATAAACTACAGCAGCATGTGAGAGAACATGAGATGGAGAGACAACAGTTACTTGAGAATGATCCTTTTTTCTCAATGTACCGACCTCCCGTATCTGCAGAAGAGAGCGAAGAACATCTATCTCAGGCGTTGAGTGAATCGGCTGCATCAGCAGAACTATCCGCTGCACCCTCTCCGTCAGCAGTCCATGATGGAAGCAGAACAGTTTGGGGTACACGAAAAGTGCCATCGAGGGAGGAAGAGTTGATGATGAGGAACCATGCTCATGAATGGGCAGACCATATCATCTTGCATAAAAGTCATAGAAAGAAACGCGTCAATAAGAATAAAAAATAAAGATTTTTATTTTTATTTCACAAGTCACTACTGGATAGTTATCTTATAGAGACCATGTCAGAAATCACTCTTTTCATTCAAAGTTGTATAAAAAAGAGCGGCCAATGTACGCGCAATGAGTGGATGCTTGTTATGTTTTGATATACATGGATAGCTAGTGGGGGAGGGGAGGGGGAGGGGTGGAATGGAGAGACATCTGACTGACTCATACTCTTATAGCACACGATGGCTACTCTTACTGCTTGGTATCAAGACAAAAGAGAGTCGCGCCACACGTGTGGGCAAAGTCTTTTTTTTTTTTTTTTTCCACCTTTTCAAATAGTGCCAAGCATCGTTCAACCGCGTATGAGACATTGGTTTTGTTTCATAGACTTTCATGGATGGCAGCTACATTCGAAAGGTGGTACGCCGGCAAAAAGATGTTGCAAACTAGTTTCCTCTACCCTTATTTCCAACGTACCGCGGTTGGTATAGAATCGTGCTCAATCGGCTTATGAATGAGCGGATAGAGCTGTGGGATAAACCTTACAAAATTCTGTAACAGTTGTTCCAGCCCACCGCTGCAAAGATGAACAGCCATCTTTCTCTCTCTCTCTCGCACACACAACTACATGTTTCTCTTGCAATGTTTGTTACAGCAACGAAACACATCTTTAGACATGATCTGTGAAACCGGGCCATTGCTGAGGGTAGCCAATCAGAGTACTGTCTGTCTATCTTGAAAAAAAGGAAAATCACATTGTTCCTCTTTTTATTTGTTTTTTCAGATTGGAGATCTTGGGGGAGGGAGAAAAGGGTACGGGGACACGCGGGGGCCGCGGAACGTCGGCGTTCGGCTTATACATTTTTTCATTCCCTTATTTATTTGTTTACAATGGAAAATTCCAAGCTCAGGACCAAGGTCAGTCAGTTTTGTATGGGGTGGGTTTTTCGTCCATGCATTCTCTGAAATAAACGTGAATACATCATGCTGCTCAATGCAAGTGTGCCTTATTCCAGCGAGGTTGGGGGGACCTCAGCCTTACTCAGCTGTGAAGAAGACGACTGCCAAGACCCTACCACAGATCCAATGGTCAGGAGGACGGGCAACTCAATGAGTCGATGGGATGATCTGTGATGGGTTGAATGAACCATGGTGCATTGCATACATACATCATCATCATCATGGGCGGGGGTGGAAATAGAAATCTCTTTGGTAGAAAAACAATTCCAGCAAGAAAATCATAATGTATTACGAAGAGAAGCCAAAGCAGGCAGTCGCAGTAAGGAGTAGCATAAATAGCGCAAAGAACTCTTTCAAAACCCAACAAAACGCCATCAAAACGGCTTGCTAAGGGACATGAATAACGCAGAAAAAAATGGGATCATTCTCAGACAATGACCCTATTTGGCTTTTTTCAGCACAAACAACGTTTGATTCACATGTGTGTGTGTCGTCTATGCTTGCAGAAAACAGAAATAAAAACGAGTCTTTGTATTTCTTTCTTGAGACTTGCTCAACAAGAAGCACACATGGGCGCGTGCGATCACGTAATAGGTTCGCGTCGCTCCTTTTCCTCAAGTTCAAGTGACACAAATGTAATTTTTAATAAAATGTACCGCCAAAAAAAAGAGGAGTACGTGGTTGGAAGGGGAGAAAGAAGACCTAGAATATCATTCCAGAACTGAGGTCTCGATGACCTTAAAGAAGGAACGGGGAGAACATGAGATCTGTAAGCACACATACACATACACATACATACATACATATATATGTATATATATATGTATATATGTATGTATTTATATAAAGGATAAGAACACACACATGTTGAATACAGACCATGCAGGGAAATGCCGTTTTTTCTTCTTTTCAACATCGTGGTGTTTTTGGCTGCTTATTCGTCAGCCTTGTACAGAAACAGTTATTCACACACACAGTATCCTTTTAAAGATATTCCACCCCCCCCCTTCCCCCTTCCTTGTCATCCCCCACCCCCAGGATTTGTTTTTATTTCTAACAAAAAGAACCAATGAACCAGAAACTAGAAAATATACAAATATAGACTATTCCGTTACAATTATGTTTTTGATAGATGATTGTGGCGTTTAAGCTTTTCGTTGCCTTTTTTTTTTTTTTTTTTTTTCTTTTATTTCAAATGAAAAAAAAAAGTTGCATGTGTAAATGTATCAAGAAAAAAAAAAGAAAAAAAAAAAAAGCAATTCTGAAAAAGGGTATGAGGTTGAAGCGATAAAGTACAATTTGGCATAGGAGAAGAAAGGTTAATAATAGTAGCAATAGTAATAATAGTAATAGTAATAGTAGTAGAAAAGATAAAAAAAAAAATATATATTTGAACAAAGAAAAAGTGGCATGTGTCATAAAACTACATCCTATTGGGTTTCATAATTTGTTGAGTTGTTCAGCAATGGCTTGTTTGTCAAAACCGGCTTCTAGTAAGCTCTTGACTAATTCAGCTTTGGCTTTGACTCGTTTTGTCAGTTCTTTTTCAATTAAAAGTTGGTCTCTTTCGATCCGTTTTTCACGTAGAAACTGCAGCATTTCTTTGGATCGTTTCATTCGGCCTGCTTCTTTTTCACGTGTCACTTGAAGTAAGGATGCTGCGAGTAATGACTGTTGTTGTTGTGATGGTGGTGATGGTAGTGGTGGTGGTGGTATCACTTTGTGCTGAGAAGCAAGGGCTGCATTGGTATCGGGGGTGGGTGAGGAGGGTTTCGACGTAGGAATGTGTTGTTGTTGTTGTTGTTGTTGCTGTTGTTGTAATGGTAAATGAGCGAACGGAGGCGGTGATGTGGTTGTATGGGTGGTGGATAAGGATCGAAATGGTACCTGAGGTGGTGGTGGGGAGGTAAAGGACGATGGCGTGGTCGTTGTCGTTGTTGATAATGTTCTGTTGGTTAATATCGAAGAAGAAGAAGTAGGATAACTTAAGGGTGGAGGAGAGGTACTTATGGAAGATGTAGCTGAGAGGGGAGACGTATTTGCCATATTATTTTGTGATGTGGAAGCGTGAACAATAGGCGAATGCAAGACTCTGGGGAGAGGCCGTATAATCATAGGTGAATGATGTTGCTGCTGCTGCTGCTGCTGCTGTTGTTGTTGTTGCTGTTGTTGTATTGCTCCTTGTGGAGGAGAGATAGGCGGAACTAATGTAGGAAAACTTTGACTGGGCCTATCGGGCGTACGATGAGGTGGAGGGATGCCTCCCATGGGCGATCGTTTGGCGTTGATATCGAGATCGACTGATTTCCGCTTGCGTTTACCAAAATGATAAGCGTCGTTCGAGTGCTCAAATGGCTCTTTCTTGATGAGAGGAGGAATCTGTGCTTTTTGTTGATGATGAGGGTGACTGGAATGCATCAAATTACTAATCGACATGGACCAAGAAGCTGGAGGAGAATGTTTAATGTTGACGGCCGTTGAGCTTTCATAGGGTTTGGGTGAGCGCACCTGATGAGGACTGGAATGGGTTGAGCTGTTGGCTTCATGATGTTCGTACTCTCCAATGGCGGGTTTGTTGAATGTCGTAACCGTAGATTTCGTCGTAATAGTGTTGTTGTTATTATTGTTACAAAATACTTCATCCAAAGCGTCCCAGTAAGGAAATCTTTTCAACAGTTCCTCTATTGCATTTTATTGGTTACTTTCAAATCGAAATAGAACTGTGATTTATTTTTTTTATCTTTTTTTTTTTTTTTTCAAACTCTTACCATGCACGCTTTCTTCACTGGCACCCGTTTTTAGCAGTTTCCTGCCGTCTGTTTCGTTCCATTCACGCGCCAAGCGATAATTGCTTTGTAAAGTGGAAATCTTGGAGGCGACGTCTTTTGCTAAGCGATGATGGATGCCGACTTGTCTCATTTCCTCAATGATATCTTCTAATAATGATTTTTTGGGTATTCTTTCACATTCATCTCCTTTCCATTTCGCATAATTGGCTTTCTTTGATAGCCAGTTGACCAAGACGTCCATCGAACAAGGACCACCATTCACGCCATCTTTGAGCCAACTTTTATAAGGCTTCTTTCCTTTTAAATGATTAGTCGTACTGGGAGTATTTGAAGTAGAAGACGTATTAAAAGCCGGCGATGTCATCATGAGCATTATCTAATAAAAGGCGTTTGAAGAGTCGGGAAACGAGGAAAAGAGTCAAATAACAGAAAAAGGGAAAAGGATATATGTTTGTTGAACTATTTAAAAGGGACCAAAAAAAAAAAAAAAAAATAAAAAATAAAAGAGAAACAAAAAAAAAAAAAAAAAATGAAGGATTTGAAAAAATTCAAGGATCTCAATTTTTTTTTCTTTTTTTTTTTTTTTTTTTTGTTCAACAGATAAAAGGGTAACTTTACCCCAAGACGTCGATCTTTTTGCAGGTTTGAAAGTAATTTTTTCTTTTCTGTATTTGTGGCTCTCGCACAAAAAGATCGGCTTCTCAATATCTTGTTTTATTGGTTCCTTGATTCGGATTCATTTCATTTTTTTTTGCCCAAAATGGATTCCGTTGTCCAGAAAAAAAAACCAACAGCAAGGGAGCAAGTCAAAAAATGGCAAATGTTCAACAAAGCCCAGTCATTTGGCATTTTCGCCATAGCATGGACTCCATTCATTATTGGCACACTTTTTTTTTTCAGTTTTTTTTTTTTTTAAAAAATAATTATCATTCGGGGCATCACTTATTGTGTTATTACCATAGCAACCGGATGCTAGGTTGGACCAAAGAGGAAAAAAAAAAAGGTCCAAACCTTAAGCAAAAAGCGTTCTAGATCCTATCCATACAGAAAAATAACAATAAAGATTAAAAAAAGGCGTGATCTTATTGCTCATTCTCTTTTTCCAACCTTTCATCAGACAGGTTATTCTTTGCTTTCTTGTAGCACTTGATAGCTATTTCAAACTGTAGCCGCGGAGTATACTTTGATCTGTCCTTCAATTGTTTCCACACCTTGAAAGATGTCGTGTTGTCATTATCCACTCGCGCAACTTTTTGACCCAAAAATTCGGGTCAAGAATGGTTTTTGAGACAGTCAACCATGAATGGAGGTGAGAGAGAGTCATGGCGCGTATTTCATATGACAATAAGGTGATACATCCTCTTTCAATGGGTTTCAATTTAGACTTTATTATTGTTAAGAAAGCAAATTTGCCTCTTTTGAGGCTAAGGAGTCATTCTATTTAAGTAAAAGATTCTTTTACAGCATCTCCCGTAATTCTTAAATTTAATTTAATTCAAATCAGTCTAACTATTTAAAGAAAACCAAGTGGCGTATGTCGTATGTTGAACAAAAAATAAAAAGTTTATATGTATGTTCTATAAGCCTTTGCTTGTGGCAAATAAGCGTATATTCAACCCATTGATCCATCTTTTTCGGCATAGGTCCACTACTTGAATGTGTGTATGCACGTAGTACAAAATGAGAGGAACACACCGCCCCCCCCCCCAACAACAACAACTTTAAGTATGAGTAATGATAGCAATTTTTTTTTTTTATTTTCGTATTGAATCAGAAACTAGCCTATTAAACCTTTTTTTTTAAATTTGTTTTTGACATGCAGAAAACTCAACCTGTCTATCGACACCCCTATCCCCATTTCTATATAATTTGATATAGTCTGATGTGTGTCGATAAGAGACAGTATGGCTTTCATTATTGGCCTTTCTCATATCAGCGCATGCCAATATACGCTCTACCAGTGAACTCTCTTGTCCAATGTCAACCATGATTTTCGTTATGCACCCTTTCATGATATTCTTTACATCATGCTGAACCTCTTTCTTTTTTTTTTTTTTTCCTTTTTTTTCTGATAAAAAGTTGAGAACGTGACGCAACAAGAAAGAGAGAGAGAGATATATATATATATATATATATATATATACAATAGATTGAACCTATCGCAGCAACGATAGAAGGCTGCCACACGCCTTTCACCTGTACCCCGCTTCACTCTAGGTTTTGATTTATTGAATGGACTGTGTTAGATCGGTTATGCTGCTTCCATCACAGTAGCTTCGATCTCGCCGTTTTTTCATTGTCGTCTTTTTTCGTTTCTTTTTTCCCCCCTTTTCTTTTTGTTCAAATAGTCCTTCTTTGATAGACAAGTGTCTCTATTTTTTATTTTTTTATTTACCTTCTTTTTTTTCTGTTACAGTTATTCAAGAAAGTAAACAAAAAGCAACAAACGGTCAATGTCCTTATGGAAGGTATTTAGTAAGATGGACATGAATCATTCATCTATCAACAGGAGTAGTCGTACTGGTATGACGCCAATAGCTATTCCTAGCCATCGACCTAGCAAGAGCAGTAGTATGACTGCTGCCGTTGCTCCTACCCGAAGAAAAAGGAAGCCATTTGAGTGTGTTATCTGCATGAGTACTTTCAGAATCAATATACCGCATCACACCGAACAATGTGAGCACGCTTGCTGCCGTGAGTGTATTCGTGATTATTTTCAGAGTGCTCTGAAAGACGTCCGTTACGCATCTTATGATAAAATCGAATGTCCTCAGCCGGGTTGTAAAGCTCACTTTCATACGGAGAAAGCACTCTATCACTTTATGACGAAAAGCGAGATGAAGCATTGGTGGAAAAAAGCAATTATGAAGTCATGCATACACAATAAGGTAATGGAGAGAGACTTGAAAAAAATGGTTTAAATAATAAGAGCGATCACTAGAGAACCTTTTTTTTTATACCCATTGCCTGCACCTCCCTATGCCATGACAAACACCAAACACAACAAAGCTCGAATGCCCGTATAAAGGCTGTAGGGCTATTTATGATGTCGACGATATTAAAATGTTTAAAAAATGCACCTTTGTCGAATGCTTTGAATGTCATCGGGGTTTCTGCGTCGCCTGTCAAAGCCCCTGGCATCCTGGTACGTCTGTGTGACAAACAAGGAAAAAAAAAAAAAAAAAAAAAAAAAAAAAAAAAAAACCATTCACGTCTCTTCAAAACTCACAGTTATTTGTCTTTAGGCGTCATCAAAAAGAAAGACGAGGAAGAAGAAGAAAGACTGGCCCTGGATGAAGCCAAAAACCATGACTGGACTCGTTGCCCCAATTGTCAACGTTTCGTTGAAAAAATCGTAAGATACTCGTCAATATTATGACAGGTATTACAACGTTTAAAGAAAAGGGGGGGTCTTTTAACTTTATTTCTTTTTTATTTTTTCAGAGTGGGTGCACGACGATCACCTGTAGATGCGGTAGTTGTTTGTAAGTGTAGTCTTGTTTTTTGCTTCTATCACTATGTGGGCTGATATATCTTTGTTTATCTTTTTGAAAAGCTGTTATCGCTGTGGCGGACTTTGCTACAATCACCAATGTACAAACAATTGTCAAAATTATACGCCTGAGAAATTAAAGGCAGCTCGAAGTGCCATGTTTGACATTAAAAAGCTCGAACAAAGCAGAGGGCCTAAACACCTTACTTGGACATAAAAATCTGTGTTTCAAATCACAGAACCCCCTTCCATTTCACCCACAAAAAAAAATAATATATATATATATATTTCTTGCTTATATGTTTTCACTTTTCTTTTTTTCTTTGCTTCCTCCTTTGCTTCTCTTACATTACTCATCTCTTTTTTTCTATGATGGTTGATAATTTGAATATTCTACCTTCTCCCGTTTCTTCCTTGTCAACAGTAGCTAAAGACAATAAAATGTTGGAAAAGTTGCCCCCACCTTCCTCCTTGTTGAGTCCGAATGAAAAGCTTGATTTTGTGGACGTTCAACATGAAAGCAGCCACCAGCAGCCTTTCATCCTACCGCCACCTTCTTCGTTACCAGGTTTCCATCATCATCACCCTCCACATCCTCTTTTAGAAGCCAAGGTCCCTTCTCCTCCTCCTCCTTCCGCCAGTATCAACTATGATTATCAACCATTATACTATTATTATCCTAGTCCTACAAATAGTAATACTACTACTACTAGTACTACTACTACTACTACTTCAATCGCACCTATCAAACAAGCTGGGAAAGCCGGTGCAAAGAGGAAAGAACAAGAGACAACCTCCCCAAAGATGAAAAAGAGAGCAAAAAAGTTGCCATCCGTAGCAAAAGCAAGTAATACAACGAATAACGATGACATCTCCGCAGCCGCAGTTACTTTAGCTTCTTTTGCTACTTCTCCCACTGTGAATGATACTATCGATGACACTGCATCTGAAGATCCTCATGATCCTGAACATTCACCCACTGTCACAATGAAGAAGAAGAGAGCTTATACTACAAAAAACCAACAACAACAACAACAATCGGAAAGCAACCAAGTATTAGAAGTAAAGTCTATCTGCAATAGAAAGAAAAAAAAAATTTTTTTGTTTTTCTTTGAAAGAACTCTTTGACTGAAACCAATTATTCCCTTTTTATTCTTTTTTGCAGGCTGCTAGAATTCTTATGGATATCTCTAGATGTGTCGTTCGACCTGTGAGTGTAGCTCATTAAGCAAACTAACTGATGCACTCTCATGTTTGCCTTTTTTTTTTTAAAAAAAAAAAAAGGCCCTTTGTATATAATTTTTTAATTCTAAAAACCACATCAAAAACACTTGTAAAAGTCGATTCTTTGTACATAACTCTTTTTCTTTTTTTCTTTATATACTGTATTTATCATTCACGCCCTATTGCTTGAATAAAAATGTCTTTTGATTTTCTTCTACATCTTTTTTTTTTTTTTTTTTTTCAATTTATGCGGGCAGTTGGACAGCAGGCAGAACGATAGGATTGTTGCCTGGGTTTAAATTTGAGTAACTTTTTTTTTTTTTTTTCTTTTTTTTTTTGCATATTTGGGATGAACAAAATAGTTTCCGAATCAATAACGTCTACATTCTAATGTTTGAAGTGGTGTTCTTTTGAGCCCATATAAATTAGCGTTTCGTAGTATTCATGTATGGCCTTCTTCTTTTCCCAACTATTTGACTAAATACATTCCTTTAGCAGCCTTACACTCCTTTTAAGAGCTACTCCATTGACACTCTTTTCAACTCACCTTGACCCTCACAGTGCATCACTACGCTCAAGAATACTTTCCATCATTTTATAACAGCAGTAGTAGTCATAATAGTCATAGTGAAGTCCCCTATCCAGCAAGTTCCTCCACAAGGCCCCTTCCTATGTTTCCTCATTTGAATCCCCTCGATTATGGCCCTACCTGGGCACCATGGCTTCCGTTTGCTGTCTTTTATTTCTTTTTTCTTATCGTACCTATCTTTGGTAGCACCTTCTTACCCCACAGTCCTTTGCAAAAACCTACCGTCCCTCCTCCAAAAGCTCCCTATGTGGCTCCTAAAGAGCCTAAATACAATTATGCCGAAGTCATGCACAAAAGTTACCTGTTCTACCATGCTCAAAAATCCGGCGTCCTGCCTTATCAACGTCTTGCTTGGCGATCGGATTCTTGCAAGGTGTGCGTCGGTCGTTTTGGTGAAGATCTCTCCCGTGGTTGGTACGAGGCTGCCAATACCATGAAATGGGGTTTACCTTTTGGTTGGACAACCACTCAATTAGCATTCAATATCATGATGTTTGAAGACGCTATGAATTCTGTCGATGAACTAGCGGAAGGCCTCGAATTGCTCAAGTGGGGTGCTGGTAAGTCAATCCTAACATTTTAATATTTTTTTTGCTTTGGGTGTGCGCGGAATGTCCTTTTTTTTTTGGTCGTCGTTAAGGAGATTTTTTTTTTTAAAAAAAAACTTTTCTTTTTTCCCGTTGGATCGAATCTAGATTATATCACCAATGCCCATTATAATGATACTTATATTGTGGGTCAGTTAGGCACGTCTGCTTTAGGCCCTATTTCAAAACTGGTCGAATTGGATGTGGATTTCAATTATTGGGGTCCACCCGAAGAGTACGAACAATGGGTGCCTACCGGTATCCCTCATCAAGCTTCTTACATCTCACCTGACAACCCGTCTTCAGAAATCATCGGTGAATACAGTGCTGCTTTGGCCGCCATTTCGATTCCCTGGAAACGTCACAATGCAACCTACGCGGAGACCCTGGTGGACCATGCCAAGCGTCTTTACAAGTTTGCTACTGACCACGAAGGGAGCTACGTCTCCTCGCGCGAGAACGCTTTTCAATGGGCGACCTTCTGGTATCCTTCCACTCGTTATGAAGACGAATTGGCTTGGAGCGCTGCCTGGATTTATGCCGCCACACGAGACACTTACTACCTGAACGAAGCCAAGAAATGGTATGCCAAGGCGGAGGACTCCTGGACCGAATATTCCTGGGATGAAAAGGGGGGCGGTCTCCATGTGTTGTTGTATGCCCTGACCAAGGACCCCACCTTCTACAAGAATGCCATGAACTACTTCAACCAGTTCCTGCCTGATAGTCCTACCAAAATCGTCAAATTCACCCCTCGCGGTTTAGCCTACATCGATCATTGGGGCTCTGTCGGCTATTCCGGCAATGTCGCCTTTTTGATGCTGGCCTTTGCCAAGACGTTGGGCTACGATCAGCCCGAGGCCAAGGCCATGACCACCTTTGCCGTGCAGCAAATCAACTACGCGTTGGGCGATTATGGCTACAGCTGGGTCGTCGGTTTTGGCGACAACTATCCGCAAAAGCCCTACCACAAGTCTTCTTACAACGCTTATATCGATTTCCCCATGCGTGGCCAGCAGCAGAACGCCATTGAAGACGACTTTTCTGAATCAAAAACAAAACAAAGATTCATCCTTTACGGTGCCGTCGAAGGAGGCCCCAACATCGATGACACGTGGTATGATGACCGTTCCAATTACGAATTTTCAGAAGTCACCCAAGACTACAATGCTGCTTGGACAGGTGCCATGGCTGGACTCATTGATTTTTACGGTCACAACAAGTTTGAGCCCTTCACTGACTGCGGTTTGGATCTGGGCTGGACACATCCCAATGCATCGACTCCACCTGCCTGGCCCGAAACAGACTGCTACCATACATGTAACAAGGGATGCCCTCGTGGTGAAATGAAGTCCTCGTATTCTTGGCAGTTGTTAAACACCCCTCTCGACCGTTTGCCAAAGAAACTCGACCTGCTTTATCCTGGTCAAGGTTTAAAGAAGGCCGCTGCTCTAGAAGGCAAAACGGTCGCTGATTTGAAGGCCATGGGTATCGTGGGCGACTTGACACAGGACGATCGCATCAGCAGCGATGGTAGCCCTGTACAAGGCGAAAATGGAAAAGATCGACATGGCAAGATGACTTCAGGTACCCCCTCTTTTCTGAAACCAAAGAGTTCCCCCTCTATGTCGTTCGGTATCAGTTCCTTGGCCCTTGTGTACCTTACTTCTTATTTCTTTTAGTCGATGACGACCCATAACAACCTTTTTTTTTTTAATTCCCATTTCTCGCCTTCCAATTGAATATTCACTTTTATTTTTTTACGGAATTCATATTTATTTATTTCTCTACAATAACGTATAATTTCAATAGCATAGACTATTCATCTTATAGATGATTGAAAAGAAACACTCCCCGCCCCATTCATGACTAATAAAAAAAAAAAAAAAGACCAGTAAACAACTTTAGAGCGCTTGGAATGGAAATGGGTCCTTCATTATGTTGAATCATTAGATTGTTATGAAAGCTATACACAGATGAACGGGCAAAACAGATAGGTTTTATATGGCCAATCCTTAGGTCTTGTAAGTAATGGAGATAAATTATTTTGGTGCCTTTGTCACCTCACCTATCGTCCATTGAGACGGTGACTGCCTGGAAGTCGTCTGTTCTGGTTTTATTTGAAATGAGCTATTGCTTATCGAAATGGTCCGCTAGTTTCTTTCTTTATAAACAGCAATAAACCTTCCATTAGTCAATTCCAGGATGTTACAAAAAGACTTTCTATAGATCACCGCCCAACCAATGAACGACAAGATCAGTTTTTACAACCTGCCCTTATCTGATCCTTTTTTTTTTTTCTCTATTGTGCATCAAATCAAATCCCCTTTTGCCACCCGCCCCTTTCCCTTTTTTTTTTCGGAACCTGTCAGTAGAGTCTTACTAATAAAACGCAATGGCAGATCTCGCTTCCGATTATCTTATACTTTGGGCTTCCCAAACTGGAAATGCTGAGTGGATCGCCAAGAATATCCATACAGAAGCCAAAAAGAAAGGTTATTCCGGACAATGTCTTGTTATGGACGAATTTGAGTCTGTAAGTATTACAGCCATCCCTGATCGTCAAAAAAAAAGCAAACAAACACATGCATTGCTAACACTTCATTGGATTCCTCAAGGCATCTTTGCAAACAGCCGGTGTCATTATTTTGGTTACTTCTAATACGGGAGACGGCGATGCACCTGACAATTCTCTCAAATTTTGGCGTTTCCTACGCCGTAATAAGGATGCCAGCTATTTTGCCAACACCAAGTTCACTGTCCTTGGATTAGGCGACACAAATTATTCCAACTTTAATAATACAGGCAAAAAGATTGAAAAGAAGTTCAAGAGTTTAGGAGCTCAAGTCTTTTATGAGAAGGGCTTAGCAGATGATGCTGAAGGGTAGATATTCAAAAAAAAAAAAAAAAAAAAAATAGCTTAAAGTTCAACGTCTCAAAAGATGCTAATAAGTTCTCTTGCTAATGATCTGTTTTCGCTTTCAAACTAGCTTGGAAATCACAGTGGATCCTTGGATTGAAAAGTTATGGGAGGTTTTGCCCACCGTGTTGAAGCAAACTACAGAAAAGACGATTGAACAATCAGTGGCAGATGAAAAGAAAATCGAGAGAGAAATGACAGAGTTAACGATCGATCCTACTTCTGTGCCTTTCACCAAGAAAAACCGTAAACATACACTTCCCGAACAAGTTGAGAAATATACCCAGATAGAGAATACACTTATCGAACCTAGTACTACAGAGAAGGAAGCAGATAGTAGTCAACTTGACGATGCCAATGCAACTGCACAAAAAGAGAGTATAACAGATACAGCTCAGGTTTTGAAGGAAAAGATTTACAAAAATGGTTATCCTTTCAGCGTGAATACTACTGGACTTCAGCCTGGCGCCAAATTGACGGGCCTTCCTCGTGTGTCTGTACCCATTGCCCAGTTGGTCAAGGTAGAAGGCACCAAGCCAGCCGTCAATGATCAGCCTCTAAAGGTGCCCGACTTTTTCCAGACCCCTACCCCTATTGTGTATGCACCTGTCACGATGGTGTCCTGTCTAACCACTTCTGATGCACTCAAACGAACACTAGAAATTGAATTGGATATTGGAGAGGATACGCACTACGAACCAGGGGATGCCTTTGGCGTCGTAGCGCCCAATGACGAAGAATTAGTGGAAGCAGTTTTGCAAAAGTTGGGTGTGAATGAAAAGGATCGTCATCAAGTTTACAAGGTGGAAGGAGAAAACTTGCCTACTCATTTGCAACATGCCTCGTCAGTGACCTTGCTCGATCTTTTCCGTTATGCTTTGGATCTAACGAGTCATCCTCGAAAAGCTCTCTTCAGAATGTTGGCTGATCATACCACCGACCCTAAAGAAAAGCTTTTACTCATGTACATCTGCAGCAAACAAGGCGCCGCTACCTTCAATGCCATTCGAGATGAAGCACCCACCGTCTTGGATATTCTAGAGACATTCCCTAACTGCCGTCCACCTATCGAACGTCTTTTGGACTTACTACCAGCTCATCAACCTCGCTTCTACTCGATATCCAGTTCTCCATTGAAGCGTCAAGGCAAGATTCGTTTTGCTTTTAATGTTGTCGAATACACCACGCCCAATAAAGCTGAGCGTCGTGGTGTGGCAACACCTTGGATGGACAAGATCACTGAACTGGTTCCTAGTCGTAATACGCCTCACAACGTCGAAATCCCGGTGTCTAGCAATATCACTTTGCCTATTTTTGTTCGTCAAAATGTGAACGCATTTGTGTTGCCTACAGATACCAAGCGCCCGTTGTTACTCATCGGTCCTGGTACCGGTATTGCTCCTTTTATTGGCTTTTTAGAACATCGTCAAACTCAACGCAACATTCGTCTCTCGATGGGGGGCGTCGGCCATCAACCCGCTCAGCAGATACGTGATGATTTTGGGCCTATTTTCCTTTATTATGGCTATCGTAACAAAGAGAAGGATTTCTTATTTGAAAAGGAGCTTCGTGAGTTTGAAAGTGATGGTATTATCACTCATTTAGCGTTAGCAGAAAGCCGCGCTTCAGATGGATCGCCAAAGGTGTATGTTCAAGATCTGATGAAGCGTGATTCAGAGAAGCTTGTGGATCTCTTAATAAATAAGGATGCTGCTATTTATCTTTGCGGCGATGCTAAGGGTATGGCGAAGGGAGTTCAGGATACACTCGCCCAATTACTCGCTGAGCATCTAAAGATTGACTTACTAGAAGCGAATAAGATGATTATCGGGTGGATTACTGAAAAGAAATTCTTACGCGATTTGGTAAGTTCTTGATGTCCGTGTACCTCAGTCTTTTATTAATTTCATACTCACACTTATCGTTCTCTTAATAGTGGGCTTAGAAATTATCAACGCACTATATCGGCTGCCTTTGATTGCTCTCTTTACCGAGGAAGCTTTACGTTGAATTGTATAAATTAGGTCTAATCTTTACATCCGTAGAAACAATTGTAAATTATCATTTCATCACTATGTTCTAAACGTTGCTTTCATTCCCAGGAAAAAATACACTATTTTCTTTTTTTATGAGTGGATGATAAATCTTTTCACAACATATTGGAGTATGTCTGTGGGAAACCAGCCCATAAAAATGCTTAATGGTCGTTTCATATCTCCTTGTTGTACACTTTTGAGTTGCTGACAGCGTTGATGATGCCGTGGTTGTTTTTGATTTTCTTTTAGTATCAAACTTGTATTTCATATGGTATATCACAAGACCGTTCCATCTCTGAAAGCTACTTTATCAATAGCAATGTTTCCATATAGAGTTTACGATGCACGGGTTCTTTGTTGGTTACCATAACTATTTAAGAAATATTATCTTTGTTTCATCCTTTGCAGTAAAGTTGTGCAGAAAAGAAAAATAAAATAAAATAAAATACAGATAGACATGAGCTTTCTGTCGTTATCAAAGAGCGTTGATATTGAACTTGGCTCCTAATATGCTTCATATAAGACTTCCACCTGGGCAAAACTTTTACTCGCTTTATTCTAGTGTCAATCTATCAATTGAATTGCTTTCTCAAACCCACGCACAAATTTTCTACTGATCTTATTTTCTCGCATTGATACTCTATCAAATTTTGGCGACTTGAACCAGCAAGGCGTGAAGAAAAACAAACCAGGATCAGTAACAAGCTCTGGAAATTCGCACGCTTAAAGGTTTCTACTAACGCTCCGGTTATTGATAATCTACTTCCTTTTTATAGGCAGGTACTTTCTCTGATTGGCTATAGCTGACAAATGCATGTAAATTTTAAGGTTGAAACAGCCTATTGAATAGAGTTTTCTTACCTGCTTTTGACACTTCAATTGAATCACATTTTTTTTTTTTTTGTCCATGTATAAAATGGAGTCCAGCTTGTTGAATTGTTTGTTTCTGTTTTCCCTTTTCTTACTCTCTTCTTCTATTTATCTCATTCTGAAAAATGTCCACTGTATCAAAACTAACTCAATTCGGTAAAAGACATATCGCCAAAGGTATCGGTAGATCAACCGAACTAGTTATTGAAAAAGCCAAAGGCACCTACGTGTATACTACTGAGGGCAAGAAATACCTCGACCTTACCACTGGTATTGGCGTCACCAACACAGGTAAGCATTCAAATGGGCATTCACATCAGAAAATCCGCATGTGCGAAAGAAGCCAACAGAGTGTTCCTCTATTTTGATGGTTTTTGACACTAGGCCACTGCCATCCTACCGTCGTCAAAGCAGTCCAAGAACAAGCTGCCAACCTCTCACATGGTCAGGTGAACATCTTTTATCAGAAGCCCATGCTCGACCTTATTGAGGGATTGATCCCCAAGATGCCTTCATCAAAGTTGGACACTTTCTTCTTTTGGAACTCTGGTTCCGAAGCCGTCGAAGCAGCTGTTAAAGTTGCCCGTCATGCCACCAAGAAGCAGAATATTATTGTTTTCCAAGGCTCCTATCACGGCCGTACTTTCGGTACGATGGCATTGACTACTTCCAAAACTGTTTATAGTGCTGGTTACGCTCCATTAATGCCCGGTGTTCATGTCGCTCCTTATCCTTACTTCCAACAATGGTCTGCTCATAAAGCTGATCCCGAAAGATTCACTCCTGAGTGGTGTGGCGAGGAAGCTCTTCATCAACTCGAGCTCTTATTGAAACAACGCTCTGATCCCAAAGATACTGCAGCTATTTTGATTGAGCCTGTTCAAGGTGAAGGTGGTTATGTTGTTCCCCCCAAGAGTAAGTAGTATTTTCAAAAGATGAGAACATTCAATAGAATAAGAGTGTTTTTATGCTTTTCTCGAAAAGAAAAAGAAAGGTCATCAGAAGTGGCTCACTGAAAGCTATTTTTTGCCCCAATAGACTTTTTGACTGGACTCAGAAAGATCTGTGATAAGCATGACATTTTATTGATCTGTGATGAAGTACAATCTGGTTTTGGTCGTACTGGTAAGATGTTTGCCGTCGAACACTTCGGTGTTGAGCCCGATATTTTAGTTATGGCTAAGGGTATCGCATCTGGCTATCCTCTGTCTGCCATTGTCTCACGAAAGGAAATCATGGATCAACAGCCTCCAGGCTCTATGGGTGGTACCTATTCCGGTAATGCCATTGCTTGTGCTGCTGCTAAAGCTACTTTACAAATTTTTGAAGAAGAAAAGCTCTTGGACAACTGTAACGCTCGCTCTGAACAATTTTTCAAGGGTTTGAGAGAAAAGATTCCTTCTCTGTTACCTGAAGGTGTCACTGTAGACATCCGTGGTAAAGGCTTAATGATTGGTATTGAATTTATGGGTGTTCCATATGGTTTTGCCAACAGCGTTGCCAATGAAGCTCTCAAATTGGATACTATTGTGCTTACTACTTCCATTTACGAAACTTTACGTTTAATCCCTCCACTTACTATCACAAAAGAAGAGACTGATCTGGCAGTTGAGAAGGTCGTTGAAAGTATCGCTGCTGCCGTTAAAAATCTTTAAGTTGAACCATGATTCATAATGCTGTAACATAAACATTTTCCCCCTTTACCCTGTAACATTTATATCTAGACAAAATAAAACAATGGACTGCATAGCTTTATGAAAACGTATTTAAGACACCCTTAACAAATACTGCCGATCAAAAAAAATTTTATCTGCTTCTCCTTGCGTACCTTTCTATTCCTTTTTAGTATTTTTCTAGCAAAAAAGAAAGATAAAATACCAAAAGGGGATGCTGTTGCTTTTAGGCGATAATCCTTTCTCCGCAATTTTCCCATTACGTGTTGTCTGACATGAGTGGTTCAAATAACGCAGCAAAAAAGTGGAGTGGTGCATATATAGTAACACATTTGATTTGCTTCCTTCTTAGTCTATCATGTTCTTTTTTCTTCATATCCAATCAAGTAAGATCTATACTAATACAAAGTAGATCTTTCTCATTGGTCATTACATACTAAATCATTGAAGAACTTAGCGTGCGGTGAGCATAAAGGAGAGATTGAAGAGAAGGTCATTAGTAACGGCTTATGTAAGGGCTAGATAGGAAAAATAAATATGCTTGACATTCTCAATATCTAGCATAGTAGAGGCTCATACTGTAAAAGGCTAGCTTAAAAAATGCACACCTACTGTTGAACCTTTGAAGAGTACAAAGATTCCGCTTTTGCACCCACACACAAAAAAACACACATATCAAAAGAACGAGTCATCGTCATTCATATACGTCATAAAGTTTAGTGTGCTTTCCCGCTCTGTCTTTCAAGAGAGTATATTTTATTGTATGTGGTTCATTATTTTAGTTTTTTTTTATTTTATTTTTTTTTTATTTTTTTTTTTCATTGGAGATTCAAAATATCTAATTAAACATGTATCATTTTCATCGTTCTTTTTTTCTTCCCCTTTCTTGATTTTCCTTTCCTGGTTTTCGTTCACTTTAGTGCCTTTACATGTGTTTTAGATTGCTGGATTTGATATACCTCAACATACAGACATAGATTGATCCAGTCACAGCTTTCACATAAACGATGAACAGGTAAAGCCATACGCACTCTGGCAATTCGTTTACACAGCTCAATCGTTCTATTCTATCCCTTATAGTAGTGATACATCATCTTCAGCTACTTCGCAGTATCATGCTCAATTGTATTCGGGCCAAAAACAGTTGCAAAAACGGCACCAGCAACAACAACAACAACAGTCACTCAGCCAACACCTTCACTATCAACATAATTCTAATACTGCCAATACCACTGCTACTGCTTCTTCTACTCATGCGAATGCTTTATCACTTCATACCCTTAACTGTAATAAACCAACCCATTTAAATTATAAGGTGATATCCTTTGATCCACCAAACTTATACCATACCTCATTAAAGTTGACCTCCGAAATTGATATTCATGCATGGTGGTCCTCTCTTGTCAAGATTTTTTCAGGTACACCTTAGTAATATTACATTCAACAAAATAACAAGAGTTTTTAACAGGCTAAGGACATTTTTTTTATTTGAAATTAATCAACAAAGGAAATTCGTTTCATGCCACTAGAATTGCGCTAAGTATACCCCAAGATCCAAATGATCCCTATAATGGTCCTTGGGGTTTAAAAGCAGTCTACAATAAAACAGGCTCTATCAGTCAAGATACGGATCAAAATAATCGAAAGAACAATTCATACACAGTACAGACCGACGACGATGATTACTTTTTGCACAGTCATACCGTTCATGAGACAACAGCTCCTAGACACATTCCATGGTGTTTTGAACGATTACAGCCTTTTGAATCAGAGCCTGAGCCTCTCATCAACAATCCAAGTATCAGCAGAATATTGAAAAGGAATGCACCCGTTGTTCTCTCTAGAGAATATCGCAGAAAGTCATCCACCTCCTCAACAAAAAAGCCTTCTAATGAAGACTACAGTTTTGAGCTCTTTAAAAGGGCTTTGATGGAAAGAAATGATAAAAATCGCAAGTCGAGTTGGTCACTGCCCATCATTACAACGCCTTGTTTATCAAAGGATGAAACATCTGAAATATTGGTGGACGGTACATTACTCTCAGAAACAAATCTCGATGATTTGGTTGAGAATGCAACACTAGCCGAAGCTGCTGCATCGAACAATATAGGTAGTAAGCATAATGCCCCCATCTCCACATTTATACCCGATTATGATGAGTATGAGCAGCAGCAACCTTCACCATGGTCTCAGTCACCGGCCCCTTCACCAGCTATCATGGACGCTGAAATAAATCCTTTTTTCCAATCACCTCCGGATATTGACGACGATGCTTTCAATCCCGCATCACCTGAGAATTATGACAACACATCTGTACCGTTTCCGCCTCCTATTTCCAATGTGCATTCAGTTGTACATGTTCCTCTTTTTCACCCTTCTGATGTAATAGATGCACATAATCAACATCAGCTTAATCACCATCCTTACTTTCCAAATTACAGTATGCCAACTCATTATCCCAACACTATCAGCCATGGAGTCGATGGGGCGCATACAACTAAGCGCAACGGTCACAGTAGCAATCCAACACCCATTGCTATATTGTCCTTCCTTGCGCCTGTTGTACCTTATCCCCCCATTTTATTAAACAGTATCAACTCACTTTCTCCATTCATCGCTACAAGTTTTACAAATGCAAATCAAAATTCTCAATTTAGGAAGCAAGGTCAACCATTACGTACCAGTAGCAGTAGCGGAAAAGGTGTCAGTAATGACAAATATACTGAACAACATATAAGCAGTAGTGTTGGAAACCCAGTAGATCAGGGTAATAGTAAAAGACCAAAAGCTCGTAGGAATAAATCCTCTTCAAAATCTCAAACGATTGTACAGCAATATATGAACAGACAAAGCAAGTCAGATGCTGAGGATGATGACGAAGACAAATTTGAGCGAGATTTTGGATCGACAACCACAACACCCATTGCTGCTTTTCCTTCGCAGCATCTTGAAAGACCTAATCATTTGAATTTTATGTCAAACTTTACTCGAAGCTCTTTAGATACGGTTCACACAGATGTACAGTCGCCATTATTTTCGCAACAACCATTTGGAGCAGTACCTCATCAGTTAAACACAGCAAAAGAGGAACAACAGCAAGAAGCTGCACAGGCAGTGGTGGAAGAGAAAACATGTGGCACTGCCACCAGCAGTGTTGCTGGTAACTCTCCTGACGAAGAATCAATGCATTCTGAATTCTCGTCTCTGTCTTCCTTATCAGATCAATCAACATTTTCAGCGCCTGCAGAAAGTTTGCATCAAATCAACAATTTGCTGTTGGATTCGGATGATGTCCAGGCAGATGATCATCAATCAAATTCAGAAACAAATTCGAATGACATAATGTTACCCAATTTCCATCATTATCCATATCAAAAGCAGCAGCAGCACAGAAAAGGATCTTCTTCGCATATTTCATCAACAACGACAACTAACACGAATAACGCGAATAATTCTGTTTTATTGGAAAGAAGACAATCGACTGGCAGCATTTCTCGTACTTCATCCTTCAAAGCCTTATCGCCTTCGTCTATTGCAGTGATGGAAGGCTGGGATGCTGTTTCACCTACAACGGGTTTACCCATTTCAGCTTCCATACCGCCCCATGATATGTGTAGCGATACCAATTGCTGCTGTGATGACGGCCATTCAACTCAATTTGGTGTTGAAAAAGGAGACGAAAGGGCTATAATGAAGGACGCTGATCCCTTTTTAGAAACAGATATGGATGATAATTTTGCAGCCGATGTGGATGATAATGATGAAGATGATTGCGACAACTCCTGTGTGGATGATGGTAGTCTGTCTGCAAGAAAAAGAGTAGTAGGGACAGAAGATGAGAATGCCGGCTTCGATGAACATACTTCCGATTTATTACTCTGCCAACGGATGATAGCAGAGGGAGACAGGCTTTTCACTCACAGTACCAGCAATAATAAGCGACAGCAATCTGTATACAACCGGTCAAGAAGAAGAAGCAAGAAGAAGCGGAAATATTCTTACAAACATTTTAAGCGACAACAACAATATGATGATGACGGCTTTCATTATCATCATAATCATTCAGAAGCGGGACATGCTCGTTCCAGTAGTGATCCTTTTTTGGTCGTGCCAAGATCAAGTCTCTTGCGATTAATTATTGATGGCATTCCCATTCACGTATTGTAAGTATAAATACATCAGATGATATACACATTAGAGCAACAGACCTTACTCAATATGTCACTTTTTTTTTCTTTTTTTTTTTTTGTTGTCAGTACCTATTCTGCACGTACAAGGCAAGTCACTTGGGTCAACAACAGAACTTTACAATATACAGGGCGATCTTTGAACGAACATTTGGGGCCTAAATGGCTTTCCCACATGCACCCGGATGACCAACCCGAGTGTAAAAAGGCTTGGGAACAAGCATACGAGCAAGGAAATGGTTTCGCTGGCGAGTACAGACTCAGGCGGTTCGATGGTGTATATCGCTGTTTTCTGTGGAGGATTGTCCCGTTAAGAGACGTTCGAGGAAGAATAATCCATTGGTTTGGTACATGGTAAGTTAGAATTGGAAGAAAGTCAGGTAGGAATGCTTCCTCAAGTTGCAGTCGGTAACTTCTTACTCTCATGTGTTTTTAAAAGTACGGATATCCATGATCAGCATTTAGCAAAGGAGAATAATTTACGTCAGGTAGAAATAGAAAGTAATGAAAGGAAATATCGATTGCTCGCAGAGGCTATTCCTCAAATCGTCTTTGCATTCTCGCCAAGTGTTGGACTGACTTATGCCAATGGTAACTGGAGCGAGTACTCTGGAAAATCTTTCTTGGAAACGATGGGGCTAGGCTTTATGTCATGCGTACATCCTGAAGATAGAGCAAAACTCCATTTACCTGATCTACCAGGTATACCTAATAAAGCTGGCATATCTTGGCAGGATGAGATTCGTCTGCTTAGTGTGAATGAGGAATATAAATGGTTCCTTGTTAAATGTGTGTCTGTTGACGAATTAGAAACAGATGACGTTCGTTGGTTCGGTACTTGGTATGTTGTATTTGCATTAGAAATCGTTACTGTGGTCACAGCAAAGACTATTTTACTTATAAAACTCGCCTTACCTTCGTCAAATGTTCTTAGTACTGACATCAATGATCATAAGCTGCTCGAGCAGAAACTGAAAGAAGCACATGACGCAGCGCAAAAATCAACGGAAAGTAAAACACGCTTCTTGTCAAACATGTCGCATGAGATTCGAACACCATTGATTGGCATTACGGGCATGCTGAATTTCTTGCTTGATACAGAACTAACAGCAGAACAAATTGATTATGTTCATACAATTCAACAATCAGCTGAATCACTTCTTGTTGTTATCAATGATATTCTGGACTTGAGCAAAGTTGAAGCAGGAATGATGAAGTTGGAATGGGAGCCTTTTAGTTTAGTTACAATGATAGAAGATGCCAATGAATTGCTTTCCACCTTAGCCATTCAAAAGAATCTAGAACTAAGCTTCTGGGTCGAGGATTCGGTGCCTGACGTTGTAGTTGGCGACCGAGTTCGCTTAAGACAAGTGCTTCTGAACTTGATAGGGGTAAATATCTTTGATAAAACTTTTATGATTTGTAAAGGATTAAGCAGTTTACATTACGTAATTTTTCTTTTAGAATGCTATCAAATTTACTTCGGAAGGAGAAGTTTTTACAAACTGTGTTGTTCAAAATTTCGACAGAGAGGAGTCAGAATTGACTTTGTTGTTCGAGGTGATTGATACTGGAACAGGGTTCAATAAAATGGAGGAAGCTGTCATGTTCAAACCATTCTCCCAAGTAGATAGTTCTGTAAGTATTTAGTCATGACATAACGATGCAGCTTTCTTGATATCTCATTCCCCACATGAAAACATTATAGAGTACACGAAAGCATGGTGGTAGCGGCTTAGGTCTGGTTATATCGCGTCAATTGATCGAACTTCATGGAGGTACTATGAAATGTCATAGTCAAAAGGGAAAGGGATCAACCTTCTATTTTACAGTTAAATTCAGTGTTCCCACATCACACACTCAACCATTACCACAAACTCCACGAGATGAAAAAAAAAGTGACCCTTTCTTCCGCTCAAATGGCTATGAAAATAACAATAATACAGCACAATCAGATACTGAGAAAAATGAATACCGCAATTTGTCACCCATGCCTTTTGTTAGTAGAAATAGCAATGCAGTGGATATTCAACCATTCTCTACCAGCATGATCAATGATATCCCTGCAGCGACGACAGCTAATGGCAATGCTATCATACCAACAGATATGTTGCAGGATGTTCTTTTAACAAAGGCAGCTACCATGCAATTAAAACCACCGCCTATTCGTAATACATCGACAACCACGACGGCAGCTCATGCTACGGTAACTGTTGCTAAAAATCCGACCGTCTCAACCTGTGATACCGCAGTATCAATAACAGCAACAGAAGAAACAGAAAAAGAGGCTTTAAATAGAAGGCCTTCTGTGCGGGTTGACGATATAGTCGCCTTACCTTCGACTACCAACAATGTAAGCACGGTTCTCAGTACTGCTACACCTACTAATCCAAACTTTCTTCCGTCCGACGATAATACAGCTAATAACAAATCAAATTCAAATGAGCTTCGTATACCTACATTCAATAATGGCTCAACAGCCAAAACTTCTTCTTCAACAGCTTCATCCATTGGCAATACAGATCTTCTACCGCCACGGACACCAACAATTTCCTCACCGTTACGTGCACTAATCGTTTCTGAATGGAAGTGGTCTCGGGAATGCATCGAAAATAGCGTCAAATCAATTCTGAATAATATTGTAAGCTTACCTTCAAAAGAAGAAGTGGGACGAGAAACAGATGACGCTACTGCTTCTTATTATTGGGTGGATACAATAACAAACCATATCGAGGCCATTGAGCGGTTGACTGACCCGAATACACCGCCCTACGATTATATTTTGATCAACTTACCATCCGAACAGCATATCTTATTGATAACCAAGACCATTTGCGCATCCCTGCAACAACGAAATGCTAGTGTACTAGTTGTGACAACGCCTATACAGCGATCCCTCATTACTGAGGGTGCCAAAGGTCAGGAAGATCAATTCTTCCCTAAAACTTGTGGCTTCGTCTTTAAACCTTTAAAACGGGCCAAATTACGTTGGTATTTCGGTATTCGCGATAGGAATAATATTACGAATACTGCGTCACCTTCTAGTAACAATGAAGATAAGCCTTCCGTCGTTAATAATGTTTCTGTGGCGACTCCAGATACCCCTTATAAAAGAGCAACTACCCAGAAAGAAATATTCAAACGTATGGCTGCAGATGTTGGAGGCAAAGGTTATCGTGTTTTACTAGTGGAAGGTAATGTCACCATAATATTTACAACCGTTGAAGAGTCGCTCACTAACGGAATTTCCTATGAACAAAATTATCAGATAACCTCGTAAATCAGAAAGTCTTGACAAGATATTTATCAAGGGTGGGTTTGAATGTGGATGTCGCAGCACACGGAGGAGAGTGTCTTGAATTATTTCACAAGCACCCCAAAGATTATTATTGCCTCATTCTTTGTGATTTGTTCATGCCCGTAAAAGGTAAAGACAGAGATAAAGACTTTTTGTGCACACATCAACAATTGTATTAATAATAATGTATTCATATCTGTGTAACAATGTATTTTTTGTATACTTATCCTATAGACGGATACGAGACAACACGTGAAATCCGTGGGTGGGAAAAGGAGAACTTAGGACCTGACGAAAAGCCAAAGCCGATTATAGCCTTATCTGCCAATGTCATGAGTGACGTAGCGAACAAATGTTTTGACTGCGGATTCTCTACCTATATCTCTAAACCTGTCAATTTTGCAGTTTTAAGTGATGTTATACGTAATTTTTTGTTAAACAATGAACAGTAAATAGAAATTATGTAACAAAAGAAGGACATTGCCTCTTTAAAGTAACCTTTAGCCGAGATTCTGCATTGTGTATTGACCCTACCCTGTCACAATTCAAAGCCCGTTTGTACACTTATTTATTTGGATGAATGTCATCATGAATTGACTTTCTGTTTCTCATTTTCTTTTCATTAACATTACATTACAAAACATTACCCCACCCCACTCTTCATCATACAACCCCTTGTATCTCTCCCTATTTTAATAACCAGTTCGCAGTTAATGTCTCTTTCATTACAATCTATTAGAGGTGTAACTTCACATTTGACTCGTGTTCAACGCGCAGCTGCTTGCACTACCGTAAGCCCAAACAATATTTCTTTTGGAAAGGCCCTGGAATAACGTAACTAATTGAAAATTTTAAGACTCTTATGCGTATGCTACAAACCAGTACAAAACTTAGTATGGCTGCTACAGCAGCAGATCCTACAACTGTTGATAACCTTAGAAGTGAACCCAGATACAAGACGTTTGAAATTTATCGCTGGGTAAAGTTATAATCAACGTTCTCCAATAGCAAGAATTATAGCCTAACAAACAGTTCATTTCTTTGATCATGTAGGATCCAGACCATCCTACTGAGAAGCCTGTTCTTAAACGATATAAAGTAGACCTTAATTCATGTGGGCCCATGGTGCTGGATGCCTTGATTAAAATCAAAAACGAACAAGATCACACACTTACTTTTCGTCGTTCTTGTCGTGAAGGTATTTGTGGTTCTTGCGCTATGAATATTCAAGGTGGAAATACATTAGCCTGTATATCAAAAATCGATAAGGATACTAGCAAGACTGTGAAGATCTATCCTTTACCCCACAGTAAGTTTTTTGAACGGAACTAGATAATAAATCGGGGCAGGACATGGAGTGACACAATAAGCAAGGAAAATCAGGGAAGTGGCAGGAGCAGATGGGTCGGGCCGGATCGGGAAAAGCATTTCGCTGACAAAAAAACAGGATGTTTGAAAACCCCCTTTTTTGCATCTGCGTGTGTGTTTCTGTGTGCATATAGTACACATTGTGTGCGTGCGTGTGCCTGGTTCCTGAAATTCGCATTAGCAGAATGTTTACTAATATGCAAAATTCTATCTGAAACACCACTACAGTGAATATCGTCAAAGATCTTGTACCGGATTTAACGCATTTCTACAAACAGTACAAGAGTATCGAACCTTATCTAAAGCAAAAAACGCCACCTACGGATGGCAAAGAAAATTATCAATCGATCGAAGATAGAAAGAAATTAGATGGCTTATATGAATGTATTCTATGTGCATGTTGCTCAACGTCATGTCCATCTTACTGGTGGAATCAAGAAGAGTACCTTGGACCTGCTGTACTTATGCAGGCTTACCGTTGGATGATCGATTCCCGTGATCAATTTGGTGCTGAACGTAGAGAAAAACTACAAAATAAAATGGCACTGTACCGATGTCACACCATTATGAATTGTTCTAAAACATGTCCGAAAGGTCTCCAACCTGGTAAAGCTATTGCGGAAATCAAAGCAAAAATGGCCTTTGAGTAAGACAAGGAAGGCCGTAGAAGACAATTACCAACTCATACACGCATCTTACTGAAAAGCAAACTTTTCAGGAAATTCATTCATTAGCACTAATTCAATGATTAGAGAATTGTAATAATAAATAAAGGCAGCACATATCTTAATCTAGCCACTACTCCTCAATTAGGGCCATCAGTCGACCAACTGCAATAAGTCGATCAATACCAGCAGTTTGATATACAAACAGTTTTAAGCAGAAAAAGCCTCGAAAAACACGTAATGATTCCGAAGCTATCCTAATTCGAGCTGTTTGGGTGGTTGTTCCAATGACATGAAAAGCAACCCCAAATTAAGAAGCATTTGTAATTTAATGATTTCAAAAGGATCGGATATGTCTCATAAATAAAACGCTCGGTTCTCTGGGCTGTCAACTTGGGGATGATATCAGTTTTTTTTCTTTTAATTTCAGAAGCGTAATGTAAATAGACAACAGCAGCCCTAATACGGCTATCTCTACAGGAAGTGCAACACGAGTTTGTTTTTTTTTTAATATGACAGCCGAGGGTTGTTTGAGTACAAATTCAGAGCTTAATCGTGATATGTCTACAGTTCATAGTACACTGTTTCCCCTTTGAAAATCCCCGAAGCGGACTATACGGTTCTTTACTTGGAATTAAAGCGGTTGACAGACTTACATTGAACATCTTTCATATTGAAATTATGTCTTGATGAAGAATGTTCAGGGAACCGTTTGATATTTAATTGAGGGTGCACAAAAATGAAAGTTTAACTGGTGGCAGTAAGCAATACAAGTAGTGATAGTATCTTTACCCGCTTTTAGAAAATAATCAGGACAATTTTTGTACTTTTTTCTTTCTTTTTTTTTTCATCATTCTCGGTTACTATTCCTATCCCTTTCGTTTAACTAATATAGGATGGTTAAAGAGTCTTCCGCTACTACTGGCAGTAGTCAACCCAAGGCTTTAAACATTATCAGACCCGCCAACAGCAATTATGCTTTACATAAAAGCTTAAGTCATAGTAGTAGCGGCAGCACAGCAAGTAGTTCGTCACAACCAACAGCGACAGCTACAAGACGTCATGCTGGCTCATTCCATTCTGCCAATCCGTCAACAGTCTCCTACCACAGTTACAATGGTGGTAATAACAGTAGCAATAATGCCCGCAAACCAAGAATAGCCAATGCGAATATTATAAAGTCAGCAATGGAAAAACCTACTCTGAACATATACCATCCACCCACGGCGAATAATAACAACAATTATCATAGTGGTATCAATCGTAAGCCGTCTTATTATCATGAGAGTAATAATGTATCAACTACTATTACAACTCCACGGCCACCTATAGAACTCTATAAACCCTCACAGCATCAACAGCTATCACAACAACCATCATCGCACTATGGTCTACAACACCAGCAGCAAAGTCAACGATCAGGAAAATCTTTCTTGGTGTCATCACCCATCAGTCTCCATTCTCCTGATGAGAAGGTACAAACACCAAAGTCGTATACAGCAAGCAATAATAATAGACCGATGTCTCCTACTACTACTCACCCTCACACTAGCAATAATGGCACCGTCAACAGCAGTCCGAGACAAGCGGCTGCTATTCCCTATCGGTCCGTCTTGGGTGTCATTAATTCAGCTGCACCGTCAAAAAATGACTTGCCTTCCCCGCCACCATTAATAACGGCCACAGTTGACAGCAGCAATAGCAACAAGACTACGCTCGGTAATGGATATGATTTAGAGTCTACTGATGATGATGATGTGGAAGAAGACGAAGTAACAGATGCTAAGAACCAAAGATTACACACTCAAGAAGTAGAGGAAACTACTAAAGATGAGGAGGCTGACAATGAACTCGTAGATTCAAATCCAGAGGATGCCGAGGATGATACCTTTATTAATGAGGCCAGAGTGAATAGGAAGGTATTTGAAAGCATGACATTCTTTCGAACTATTCTTCTATGTGCCCTTGACTAAAATGCTTTTACCAACTGATGCGCGTATTCAATAGATTGCAGATTTAGAATTATCTATAAGTTCATTATTAACTGTCAATGCAATGTTGGAGGCAACTGTACGAAAGCAAGCATCACAACTAAATCAGCTAAGGAAAGAAAAGACATCACCCGATTCGAATACGTCTTCCATATTATCGCTCGAGCAGAATTACTTGGTAAAACTTGGAAATATCTTGTTTTGCGCACCTCTTAAAGTTAAAGCTCGGTTGTTAATTTGCCTGTCCTCTAAATATCTTCAAATAGATTAACGATGAAAAACATAATGAGGATGAAGATGATGATTGGGAAAAAGACGAAGTATTTCAAAGATTAAAAAAGATTACGGAGCATATGATTGAGCAGGGGCAAAAATCAATTGATTTTGAATATAAGATTTTGAGTCGAGTGTTATCGAATTACAACCAGATAGAGGAAGGCGAGGGAGAAGCTGCGGAAGATAGCACCACTATTAATAGCGACAGTATCATCAGTGAAGTGAATGAAGATCTCGAGGAAGATTTACAACAGGCCTCATTAAGCATAGGTACATCAATAGCACCAGCATCATCACAGACGAATAACAGTATATATACCCGCAATTATATAATGTCAAGCACATCTAATGATAATAGAAAGCAATCCAACATCGTTACTACAGATAAAATATCGTTACAACGGAAGCTGAACCAAAGGCATCAGCAGCCACGACGAAAGCTTGTTACTTGAACGTATTATTGAATGACTTGTATAATGATTTTCACGCCGACTCCTTATATATATATCTATTCACGGTTGTAGTCATCTATATACTTACATTTCTGCACATTCTTCTTTTTTATTCTAATTTTGTCCATTGTACTTTTTTCATGTTAAGGCACAGCAGTATAGCATTAAAACGTCTTCTTTGACGACGACGACGAGACGAAGTCAGCCTATTTATCTCCGCATGGAGCACGCGCTTCGCTACTGTCAGAGCTCATTCGAATAAAAAAAAAAAAAAAAAGTTAAGGCGTGTCTTTCACGCGCTTTAAAATTATTCCCCTCACTTTCAAAATTTGTTATATTTCAACCATTTTCTTGAGCCTAGATGAGCGAATTGAGTAAAGTGGTTCACCCTTTCTTTCAGCCTCGGCAAAAGCAACCAAGCCCTTATGTATCTTCATCGACAACAAACATCAATAAGCCTCTGAGTTCGGCAACTGTAACAGCGTCCGTTGAGAATGGCGCAACTGTTCCATCACTGTCATCTGCCACAGAAGGAACGCAGAAAAAGCAAGACAACTCAAAACAGAGTTTATTAAACAGCCTTAAACCATCTACCCCATCGTTACAGGAAGCAGAGCTCGTTGATTCAAGTAATAATCCGTATGTAGCAAAAACTAAAGTTCCGACAACCCGTGGAAGACCGAGAAAGGTGGCTACCGCCGGAGGAAGACAAACAACAGCAACAGCAGCAGCTATAGAAGACCAAAAAAGAGAAGAAAGAGAAAATGAGAAAGGGCAAGGGGAGCACTCTCGACCCAAAAAGAGAACGAAGCGAACGACACATAAAGCAGGGGCAAATATCAACACTGATTCACGCGCTGTAGAGGATACAAACACGAAAGAACTTCAGAAGACAACGGAAGTTGCAAACACTGTGCAAACTGCAAGTAAGGCTACTTCTAATCCAGTAGGAAGACCAAGAAAGAAGTTGGCAGAAGTACCATCTAGAAAATCAGCTAGAATAGCAGCACGACAGTTTTCAAAACCAACATTCCCTTCACGACGAGTGCAACAAAAACCAGGGGCTTCGACATCCTCTCACACAAGAAGAAAACCTCCACCTCCACCTCCAGCTTTAGAATACTGTACAGATTCTTTTGCAACCTTGATGGAAGGGCCTCAGTTTTACCATGACCCCGAAGAAGTATATCACGAATTTGAAAAAGAAATCTTGTTAAATGTATACGGTATCGATAGCAGCAGCAGCACTAAAAAGTCAAAACATCGCAAAAATAAGAAGAATGATCATGAATTCTCAAGGCTGAATCCTGATGTATTTGATACAGGGCACATTGTAGCTGCAGACAAATCAATCCAATATCCAACAAAAACTCCAGATCAAGGAATTATAATGCCAGCCTTTCGTTCAAAGAGCAAAGGTAACAATATAAGCGACATCATAAAAAATGGACAGACAGCTTTCTTCCAATCTCAAAAACTTAAACGAGGACTGCAAAATAAACAGAAATTGACGGGCAATAATAGCCATTCTTTTCATTCGAAACATAAATTAATAACAAAGACAGACGTGGAGGCTTTTCTTAATGCTTATTTTCCTCACTGGCATACATTTTCTTCCTGTGTCCTTCTACTTCAATCCATATTTGACACGAAAAATCGACCAAAGAACGACTATTTCGTTCGAGAGAATATGAAGAAACAGTGGACAGATAAATATCGACCCAAAACGGCTGAAGGTTTACTTGGCGCCCGGCATAATTTTATGTATTTGAAAGACTGGCTGCAGCAAATGAAAATTGAACCTATTACAGCTTCCTCAACAGCCAACGGGAAGAAGAAGACAAAGCGCGCTACGAAAAAAAAGAAAAAGTTAGCTATGATGGAAGACGATATCATTATGGACGATGAGGACACCTTCCATAGCAATGGATTACAACGTGCTCTCAACGCTTACGATAATGATGACGACGAAGATGATGATTTTGTGCTAAAGCCGGCTTCAGCTACTAAGAAAAAATTGCAGTTGCAAAAGGACGCGATGAAGTCTAATATAATTTTGTTGATCGGCGATCATGGTATCGGCAAAACGGCTGCTGTATATACTGTTGCAGATCAATTAGACTACGAAGTATTTGAAATCAATTCAGGTACCAGACGTTCAGGGAAGGATATCATCTCCATGGTAGGGGATATGACCAAAAATCATTTGGTTGCATTTGGCAGCGCACCTCCTCTATCAGCTGCTTCTTTATTTGTTGACAAGCCCTCTACATCTCGGTCAACCATTACAGATGACGGTAGAGAAGTAAAGAGCAAAAGAAAAAGAAAAAGGCTAAATCCCTTGTTCAAACCATCCGCATCAATTGATCAAAACGACAAAAGCAATAGTGGAGCCATCTCAGACATACCTAGCGGAATCAAAGAAGCGAACGATGAGCCTATTACTGAATTACCGCAACAGCAACCAGGACTCTTGAAACATTTTCTGCGAAAGAAAGATCCTCTTCAGAAAAAGTTGTCTTCTTCCACCTCCACTTCAATGGCAGCCACAACCAAGCAAAGCTTGATACTTTTGGAAGAGGTAGATATCCTATTTGAAGAAGATAAAGGTTTCTGGAACTCAGTCATCGAATTGTCACAAAGCAGTAAACGACCTATTATAATGACTTGTAATGGTAAGAGAAGACATTGTAAGGTGAAATACACGAATGACCGTTGTTGTTCTTAAGTTATTTTGCTTTGTAGATCCTGATCAAATTCCTTTCGAAAATCTTTGTCTGCAAATCGTCCTTGAGTTGAAGCCACCCACAGAAACAGAATTACTGCCTTATTTATGGTTACTATGTTATGCTGAAGGCCATATCGTTGATCCTAAAGACTTACTTTGCTTCACAGCTTTTTTCGGTCATGATATACGAAAGCTTATACAAACTTTGAATGTTGAACTATCGGCGAAAAAGCAACAATCAATGTTCCTGAATCATCTTGGCATTACAGCGGCTACTTCGCTTGATAGTCGTAGTGAAAGCGATCGCATAGAATGTTTAGTGGATATGAGAAAGAAATGTATACCATCTAAACTCGCAGTCAACACATTCCGCTTAGCAATCGCTTATGATCAATTATTGGAACTTGACAATACTGAGGGAATGGTGATCGCCAATGATGGATACAAGGACGGAAAGGAAAAAGAGGAAAGACAACGATTGGAAAATTTTTTGCAGGCTTTGAATAACAACGCTTTTGTAGACAGTTGGTTGACATGGAAGCATGGAGGGACTATGGTAAGGACGAGATGAGAAAATAACGGGTCGATAACAAAGAGTAACTGATCTAAATCCGTACTGGTTAAAAGGTACAAAGATCTGATATTGATCAAATCAACGGCTATACCACTTTATACAAAGAAGATGAAGCTATTGAAGGCAAACCCGCATGTATTTTTGAGGATCTGGAATCCTGTATATCTGTTTTGAACAATGATATCTACAGTAAATCATCGTCTTCTTTAGAAAAGTGGAGTAAATTGACTTTTGAGGAAAACAGCTATTGGGACGAACTCTGCGATACTAGGTAAGCCAAAAAGAAACTTTTGGATAATATCTATCAGTTCATGTGTGGCAAAGGGAAGAAATATAACATTTGAGCTTTAGAATACTCGCGCAAGAGGACTACAAAGAAGCAACCGAAAATTTGCTATCATTTTCATACCTAAATCAACCCAACGAAAACATCTTAATGATGGAATATGTACCCTATATACAGTTGATGGTTACAGCAGAAGATGGTGTCCTTCATAAAACAAATCGAACAAGATCCACAAGATCTAAGCGTAAACGACGATATTTACTTTTGAATGACGAGCAAATTAAAATGCTAATTTCAAAAAAGTTGGTAATTGACGAGGTAATATCCATTCACCAACGAGTATACGCATGGTAATAGATTCTTTAAGAAAACTGACAATTCTCTACTGCTTAGACCATGTACATAACAAAAAGGCTTGAAGCTTTGAACAATAAGGCGTTTTCTCTTATTGATGAAACACGATAGTTCCATCTCAATACCCGCAAAAAGTATATCCCTACCTCTCAATCGATTTGGTATAGTTCGATCGTCATCCCCCACAAACCAAACTGTATAAATCTTGGCTCCATCAGTCTCACGTTAATATACTTTGGTGTTATATTTTTAATCTGATAGTGACATGTATTAACTACAAGTACGTTTTCATGTATTTTGTAATAAAGAGCAATTAAAGGAAGAGAGAAACAAAAGTGTGGAGGGTTTTGATAGTTTTACATCGGCTAGGTCGGCAGATCCAAGCGCTGCGTGTATTTTACCCATGATTACCAAACACAACTATCATGACTTCCATGCAAGTCAATGAGCTATGATTAGAGTTTTCTTCTGATCGAGGAACACATGAATGTGACTTCTATTTGAGCTTTTGAGGTTTTTTTTATTATTTAAAAAGCCGGGCCAAAGGGTAACCTTTAGAGTCCATTCTGTTCTTTTATTGTTCCCGTTAGAATTATTTAAAATTGAGACTATTTTAAGAAAGAAATTGAATGGAGTCCAGCGTATTGCCAAAACCAAGAACGCGTACCATCGCTCTCTGGAAACTAAATAGTATGCATATCAAGTAGAAAGACTATAGCGTAGTGTATTGTAAGATACACTTTCGCGATGCAGACATTGGAGCTCTACATGTTGTCTGACTTTCTCTTCCGATTGTTCTTCATTTTAGAAATGATTGAGGAAGGAGAGGTGTTTGTTGTAAATAGCTTTTTGCCCATTTGTTGCGAGAAATAATTCACTAGAAAACAAACTTATTCATTATGCTTTTGTAAATCAACAGGATGCTCCTTACCAAAGAGATATTGTGTGGAATGCCGAAAAGATGGGAGATTTGGTTGACTCGGTACTGAATAATTATTATATTCCACCGTTGTTGTTTGCAGTGAGACTTGCTGTGAACGGGAAGTTTATTCGGGTTGTTATTGATGGTAAACAAAGACTAGCCGCCATTCGAAGGTAAATAGTTGGAAAGAATCAATTTTGACGAGTTTATAATGAATGGGTAGCTCAAAAAATACTTGTGCAAAAAAAAAAAAAAAAAAAAAAAAAGGTTTATGAAGAATCTAGTGGCTTATGTTGATACATCGTCAGGAAAGACTATTAACAGATACTATCTGGATGACCCCACGATCAGTGAAAATGATACTGAAGCTGAACGTGCATTAAGAAGTAAGGACATGCTGAAATTTGCAGTGAACAAATGAACCAAAAGAAAATGTAACTCTTACGAATGGTTTTTGTAGATAATATCAAACCTACGCATTTTTTAACGCCAGAACAATTCGATACATTTAATGATTTTGAATTCGTAGCTGGTAAAGTAGTGTACATCCCTTCGCAGGTCAACATTTCCCTTTATTAATGTTTGAATTTGTTGATAGTGGAATACGCAGACATTGCTGAAGAGGACGAGGTAAGTTGGCTGACCAAGCGAAAAAGACAAACCTACAATGTGATATTGTTTGTAACCCTGCTTTTTCTACCTCCGTTATGCCCATATTCGCTTTCCCTTTCGTTCCCCCTGAATTTTAGTTCAATATCTTTTCTAGAGTCCAATTGGGTATTTCCCTGTCCAGTGCTGACAAGTTGAAAGCAACAAACACACCTTTGGCTGCTCTGTGCCGTCAACTAGCAAAAGAGTTCCAGCCGTTAGTCAAAGCTCTATCTAAGAAAGCCGACTCTGAATTGTTCAAAGCCATTGCACTTTCTTACTATAGTGTGGCTGTTGAACCGAAATATTTCAGAAGTGTCAATCTTCAAAAGTTTCTTGCGGAGGATAAAGCTCCCAATGCTGACATAGTTGAAAGACTACGTAGAGCGCTAGGGATCATGAAGTCTATTGCTGCAAATGAACCAACTGTATTTAATAGACATGATAATCGTCATGTAGCTTTTAAAATGATAGAATTTGTTTCTTTTGCAAGATACATAATGATGATTGCACGCCCAAGATTAATGGAAAATTTCATTGGAGATTTTCTAAACATTCGTAGATATTTCTACGAGAAATCAGATAATAACAGATTCTACTTCAGTGCAAGCAGATGGCAAGATATTTGTCGATGGCTTGACGAATACGTACAAAAAAACGGACTAAACCAAACACTAGCACCTTCCAATTATACCAAAAACAACAACAATTCGGTTGACACCATTGTTTACGGAAACAATATACCCCCCACCATCACCACCACCCCTCAGGTTGTTGCCAACGTCGTCGGGGCAGATCGTTTAGCTCACAAAATCTTTAACAGTGATGACGATCTCTCTGACGATCTTTCTGATGAATATGAAACAGGGAACAATGCTGTTTCAACCGTCCCCTTCAAAAGAAGACATGTTAGTGTTGGAGTTGAACCAGGGAGCCACCCATTTGGTGGTCGTCCCGTGGCCAGGAGAGGAGGCATGGGCAGTCATCGTTCCAGTCATTTCCACTCCAGCAGGAATTCAGCTCCTACCACGCAACACTTCTGACTGTATTCCGATCGTCACGAAAGGGTCGGTCGCCCTTGTCAAGGAGGAAAAGGCATGAGCAGCATTCGATCCCCATTGACTTGCGTATCTACAGATATCCCCTGCTCAACACTTTCAAGGACCTTCAACGCCCTAGCCTATCCTATCCTCATCTCTCTTTTATACATATTTTAAAGTCGAAAAGCGAATTGTATCCTCACCTCCCCCCCCCCTCCCTTTTTTGCTTCCGGAAAGTATCCATGGGCTTTACATTCAAAGTTTTATTAAAGGCAATTCGCCAGTTTGTCATCATCTTGGTCTTTTACTATCTGTCATTGAATGATTAAAGTTATCTGATTTTCTGATCTTGTTCAGATAAAAAAAAAAAAAAAAAAAAAATAATGTTCCTGCGCGTCTTTCTGTATTTGGTCAAGCTATTGACAGGCTGTGAAAAAGCACGCGGGTTATAAAAGCTGTTGATAGGTGAGTCATTATAGGCATTTAGCCGATAGACTGTTGGAAGAGCAATTCCATTCGATGGTGGATATAAATAGGAGCAAAAGCAGTCAATCATACCCGACTCGCGTACTTTGATAGCTTGTCTATTGCTTTTCCAAAAAAAAAAAAAACCAGATATAACAACACGGCATTGATCTTTGAAACTTTTGAAAAAAAATCATCCGATATACGCGCTTTTATGCACAAGGTCATTGTAAATGGGATATTTCTAAAAACAATGAAAGCAACAATGATATTCAAGCTCCTTCCAGGCCAGTAGATTTAATGAAACGCTTTAAAAAGTGCAGTTTCACCGGTCCTCGACAAATAGAACAAAGAAGAACCTTCTATCCACCTCCCGCCGCCCCTTACATGAACGGATTCTTGAAAATGGTTTCGATCTGATATCTGTTTTGTTTGAAAAAGAGGAACAAAGCATAAAAATAAATGGCACGTTCAAATAAAATATACATTTTATTTCTGATAAAATAAAAGGCTGATGTTACAAAAATCAGAATGCAAAAAAGTGATGTCTATACATGAATAAGATGTATATAAGAGTGGAAAAAAAGTAAAAATACTATTGTTACAAGGGGGTTGGGGGTGGAGAGGATGAGAATATGAAAGATGGGTGAATAAAAAAAGTCAAAGAGTTTGTTATTTCTTGGCGGCCATCATAGCAATGATGGCGGCACCAAGACCAGAACCATCTCTGGCAAGATCAAATTTAACCTTGGCACTGTCGGCTTCACCCAAGATTTCGTTCATGGATTGGCGCATGTTGTGTTCAAAGAAGGGATAGAATTCGTAAAGAGAGCCGTCAATAGCAATGATAGCTTCTTCACCCACCTTACCCGTCTTTCGGAGAACACCAGCGATGTGACAAGCAGCAATACGAGCAGCACGAAGACCAACGGCATGACAGATAGTCTTGACAATTTGACGATCAGCCAAAGTGGTAGAAGGAATATTAAGGACGGATTCGAGAATGTGAGCGGCTTCAGACAAGTCTGGTGTTTCATCTACTTCAATGGTAGACATATAAGCAGTTTCAAAGCTCCAGTTCTTGTTCAATTCTTTAGAGGAGCGACCTCCAAACAATAATTGTTGATCGATCAGGTCCAAAAGGGCATTGCGCGTGATTTCACCGAGATACATACCGGCGACCATCTTTTCGTGATATTGTTGATAGACGTTGATGGATTCACGATCCAACTTGTTATCGTAGACAGTCATAGGTAAGACGCGACGTTCAATATCAAAGGCACCACATTCCATGTTGATGACCATTTCTTGGTCCTTGTCGCCCTTCCATTTCTTGACATCCTTCATGTTTTCATAGTAAGCGGCGTTGAAACCAGTACCCATGATGACACCCATGGTGGTGTTGGGATGTCTGTAAGCATAGGCCATGAGAGTACCAACGGTATCGTTGACAATCTACATTGAAACGCACGAGCGTGAAGAGAAAAAAGGGAAAAAATTTTAAGAGCCATGGACAAGTTGGATGAATGGTTTCACTTTTCTTTTTTTTTTTTTTTTTTTTTTTTCTTTTCTTTTCGTTCCATGCCTTTCTTCTCATTTGCCTTAACATAACCCCTCATACTTACGGCAGCAATGTTGACATTGATATTCTTGCGACGGAAAGAATCTTGAAGCATCACAGCAACATCCTTACCAACAGCACCAGAACAGTTGAAACCCTTGGTCCATTGCTTCAAGACACCACGGTTAATGCTGCTTTGATAGATAGGGAAAGAGAAAGTATAACCCAATTGAAGAGCATCTTGACTGCTAGTACCATTTTCGGTCAAGAAACTATCAACACAATCAGCAATAAAGTCGCAAAGATTACGCATAGGACCCAACTTCAATTCTTCAGAGACAACGTATTTTTGTTGACGAATGGTATGCTCACCGCCACCTAACAGATTGACTTGACAGACACGCAAATTGGTACCACCCAAATCAAGAGCCAAGAAGCTACCCTTTTCATCACCAGTACAACGACCAGAAACAAAAGAAGGGATCATGGCAACAGTAGCGCCTTCTTGATCCAAACCCTTATTCATTTCTACAACAAATTGGTCAGTGATCTTCTTTAAGGTTTCACCATCGACTGTGAAACGATCAACGATAGTGTCGACAGCCTTCTTTTGAGCGTCGGTCCAGTTGCTGTGGTTGATGGTAGCAGAGGTAGGGGCCATTTTTTTACAATTGATATAATGCTGTTAATGAACAGATGACGAAAAAAACGAAAAACGGAAAAGAAGAGAAAATGCTTCTAAAGACCATTTTAATTTATATACAATGGTTGAAGTGTGACCCTTCTTTTTTTTTTTTTCCAAACCTTTCCCTTTTTCTTTTTTCAAAATTGACAAAAAAGGCAAAACAGTGTGGGATGGAAAAAAAAAAAAGAAAAAGAAAAAAGAACTCACACAATTGGGCTTTTTCCCAGTCCGTGAAAAGGACGGGTAAAACCGAAAAATTCAGCATTTTTCAGATATAAAACCTGCTCCACCTCTTATTGACAAAAGTATATATAAAGCGGAAGATCATGGGTCATCATGGAGAAATCCAGTTACGAAATAGGGTAGTCGTGTGTGCATGCTGTTTTGCTTCCACAATGTACCCATGGGGTTCCTTGTTTATATAGCCTTTCATTGTCTATGTGAGTTGCCCTCACGGTATAACTTTTTTTTTTTTTTTTTTTTTTTTTTTTTTCAATAGGCGGCATAAAGTACCTTTTTTTAAAAAAGCTTTCAATGATTAGATAATCGGTTAAGGGCCGTCTACCAAGTCATTCGGACCTTAAAGGGTGGATGCGAGAAAAAATGACATGATTGATAAAGGACGCATAAATGGGGGGAGGGGGAGGGGGGAAAGCCATGCATTTATAGAGTTTTCCCAACGTCATTGTTGATAAAAACATCAACAGTTCCTACTGGCTTTCTACTCCATCCCTCAATAAACTTAACCTTGAGAATCGACATTTCTTATGACCGCATAAGCCTAGTAAGCCCGTTTAATAAATAAGTTAATAAGCCATCAATTTAAGAACACTGAAAAAGCGACACGGCCACTATTTTATCCGAAAGCAAAAGGGATGATTCAACAACTCAGTTTTTCCCCAGACCCTGTTCTTTCCATGGTTGTTGGCGAAGTTACAATAATAAGCTCATTGCCAAACAAGGGTTGTTAAAGTAGAATGCTCATTTAAAAGCGAGTGCTCCACTCCATGGGCACATAGCCCAGTTTGGCCGCCCCCCTCCCCCCAAATGATGAAGGACGTGTCATTCTTCAGACTACTTAAATTATCCAATGGTAGCTATTTTTTTATGTTGGCATTAAAGTTTCCATCTTTGTTGCACCATGTATCCATTGTAACATACTCAGTGTTTAAAGGGCTTTTATTCTGTACCTGTCTTTCTATCTCTTTTTTTTTTTTTTTTTCTTCTTCTATCTATTCCACAAAGATGCGCGTGCTATGTCAATCCAGCTCTAAACGATGGACTTGCATTTTCAACCATCAAGCGACGCATCGTTTCTTTTCCTCATCGCTGACGTTATCAAAAAAAACGCTAGTGGAATTTGACAATGCCCAGGTACATCGATTCGGAGTAAAAGAGCCGGCTTTTAGAAACCTCTCCCTGAAGCTGAACAGCGATGAGCGTTTGGTCATCGTGGGCCCTGTCAGTGCCGGTAAGACAACCTTGGCAGAAGTAGGTTGAGTGAAGGAAAAAGCAAAGGAATAAACCTCCCACCCCCCAAAAGCAACCATTGACTGGACGATTTCTCTACGCTAAAACAGACTATTGCAGGAAAGCATTCTATCCAACCTTCCTCTGCAGGAAAATGGCCGATCATTCATTCTAACGGTGGTTCAAAAGAATCCAGTTATGTATCGGACCATATTCAGCTGGTTTCGTTTAAAGAAAATTCAGGATCGTTCTCGTATGCAAATCACTATTACCAAGAGCGATTCAATTTCAGGTAAGAAGACTCCCCTTTTTGTCTGTTACAATACAAAGGGAAATCTCAAACCCGAATCTGATGATTCTCTTTTATGAAGCGATCCTGATAATGATACCACACTGATGGATTATTTGAAGAGCGCTCACGAAAATAAAGAGGAGATACATCGCGTGGCTCAACAGTTGAATATTGACACTCTACTGCCCTTATCTTTTGTTAAACTTTCTAATGGACAGACAAGACGCGCACGACTAGCACGAGCGTTATTAAGGAACCCATCGATGCTCGTATTGGATGAGCCGTTGAGTAAGGGATAGACAAATGCAAAAAGTGACACCCATTTTCTCTTGACTGACTTGAAAAAAACCAAAAAACAAACAAACATAGTGGGTTTGGATACTCGCCACCGGAAACATTTATTAGACCTGCTTGGCGAGTTAGCAACAAAGTCATCTGTCCCCATGGTGCTTGTTTTAAGGCCTCAGGACGAATTTCCTACTTGGGCAACCGATGTCATCGAATTAAAGCATATGAGGATTTGCTGGAAGGGCAAGTCCCATGAATACCTACACAAGCATAAAGAAGAGCTTCAATCCGAGAGAAGGAGACTTGAGGAAGAAAACCAGAAGAACAGCCTAGCACAAAAGAACAAAGCAACCTCTATGACGAGTCCAGCTGTAGTAGAGATGAAAAACGTCAAAGTCACGTATAGTGGACGGCCTATTTTACGCGATATTAATTGGACGGTACGAAAGGGAGAACGGTGGGCATTACTGGGGCCCAACGGATCAGGCAAAACAACTCTGTTGTCATTTTTGACCGGTGATCATCCACAAGCCTATGCAAATGATCTCTCCTTATTTGGACGCCGTCGTGGTACTGGAGAGTCCATTTGGGAAATCAAACAAAAAGTGGGCCTTGTGAGCCCTGAAATTCATTTGTACTTTAACCAAATGCTGACGGCTTTAGAGGCAGCAGGAACTGGTTTCTTTGATGTAGTGGTTCCTCGCCCATTGAATGGAGAACAAACAAAAACCATTCAAAGACTGTTTACTGAGCTTGGTATGAACACGATGTTACATCGATCCTTGAAGGACATGTCAACAGGCGAACAAAGAATGGTATTATTGATTCGATCGCTGGTAGGTTGGAGTTTATTTTCTGATTCAAAGTGTTATCTGTGCACTCACATCCTTAGAAAATCGGATAGGTCAAAATGCCAGAGTTGATCATCTGGGACGAGCCTTTTCAGTCCTTGGATAGTCATATGATTCGTAACGTCCATACATGGCTAGAAGACCATATGAGACCTGATCAGACTCTCATTATGGTCACTCATCATGAACAAGAAATTCCGCGTGCAGTGACCAAGAGATTTGAACTTACTTCAGACGGCCTGCAAGCAAATTAATCCATTCACTCTATGCTTTTATTTCTATCTGCCATGGGGAGATATCAAAACATGGGGAGAGAGGAATAGGTGACGAGAGATTGCATTTTTTTTGGGGGGGGGTATGGCCCAACACCAAAACAGATTCATAATGTACATAGAATGTTACCATGTCGATCGATTTTCCAACTCGGCCAAAACAATAAAATGCTCTACCCATCTTTAATTAGCCCATCTATTCAACACCTCCTCCCTATCGTAACCATTGGGATGGCGGGAGAGGAGGCGGGGGGGGTATCATAGAGACTTCTATATATCAAATTAAAGGTGGATCGTTTCTAATGGCTTCATTTTATAATTTCTATGCCATTCTTTCATCTGCTCTAATGCAATAAAAGTGACAATGGTATGTGGACCTAATCTCACAAAGGCTGGCATCCATCCTCTGAAGAGTGAACCTGCACCTTCCGTTTTTATCATATGTGACATAATTTTCAGCGGATGCTTTCCATCGTGATTCCGTGCGCTCATGATTCTAGTTTTCACAACATCCAAAGGTGAGCATACAGTCGTCGCCACAAGCCCCTAAATACCAGATGAAACGGGGATAGAAAAAAAAAAATAAGCTCTCCTCATCCTACACACAAGTTCGTTTCCCCTCTCTCTCATGTACGTCAACCTACAGCCAGTAAACTCGATAGAAAATGGGTTGTCAATCCATCACGCCACTGGCACTTGTCTATAAACGCTTGTTTGATCATGTCATAACTCGACATTTGTGACACAGTGATCAGAATGGCTCGATTCGTACTGGACCCTATACCCCTCAATAAGACCCTAGGACCTTCTTCTCGGCAAATTCTTATCATGCCGTCCACGACATTTTTGTAATTTCTTCTTTGGCTGGCTGGCAACTGTCCATCATTCTGCATCCTCACATTAACGACATCACTTGGGTTGCCAAAGGCTCCTCCTAAAGCCCCTGCGAGTGTTGAACAAACGATCAGTTGACGTGGTGTGGGTTCTAATGAAAAATAGTGAGTAAAGGGAAAAGTATTTTCCAACCAGCCCCCCCATTCTACAAACTCAATGAATAGGACGAGAGACATTACTCTTATCTCCAGCTACTGCGTATTTGAATTTATCGTACAGCCCAAATCGTATCGTTGAATAGGTGCCTTGTCGTAAAAGACTGGCTGATAGGCCTTGATATAATGCTGTCATTCCTTCTGTTCTGCTTATTGTCCACATCGTCTTAAACATGCGAGAAGGGCTTAGCAATTTGAATTCATTCCATACCGATATACCGTCTACTTTTAAAGTCTGTAACCGAACTTTAGTGAGGTCAAACGGGTGAGAGACAAAGGTAGCAATACAAGATGCTGCACCGCCGAACCAGAATGGTGATTGTACAAACGTTCTGTTCGAAGAAGAAGTCGCTGGTAATAGGGGTTGTTTTGCTGAACTCTTTGTCGTCGTTATGCTCGTCGCTGGCGACGAAACCACAGCAAGCATGTTTTATATATAGACTATGTCAAAGAGTTCGTTCGATGTGACAGCAAGGGAAGGGCGTGGGGTTTTCTCCACTTTTTATTTTTTTTTTTTTGGAGAGAAAAAAGAGGGTTTGTGACAGCGGTTTGTGTAATGATGTTATCCAATGTGGGGTGAATCGACTGGATCATCATGATAACTTTTGCGATTCATTACAACGGCTTTAAACCGTCTACGAAATGATGATATAGCCTTTCTTTTGAATGATGATCTCTCTCTCTCTCTCTCTCTCCCTCTCTTATTCTGTTTTCTACCATTTGATTTTTCCTATTCTCTAACGTTACAACCAAACGAAAAGGTTCCCTTTTTTTTTTCTCCGATGAGTACAGACAGCCAATCACAAATAGTTCCTTTCTCCCCACATTCATGCAGCACGCAAAGCCTGTCAGCGCAGAGAAAAGCCTCGCCCACGTTTCATGAATTGAGACAGAAAAATCGTAGGGTCATGAATGTTAGTATAGACATAGAGCGCCACAACAGCGAAGCAAAAGGAAAAAGGAAAGAGTTGGATTAGTTTAACCAGTCAGCGTCAGAAACCTTTTTACTCTACTTTTTAGAGGCTGCCGGCAGAAGCTAGCTGGCCAAGTGCATTTGCCACATCATGACTGGCACTGAAGGTAGACGGACGGAACTTTTGATCGTAAAAAAGAAGGGATGGCTGTCAACATGGCATGGTCGAACTATCTTTCCTTTGACATTGTAGTTTCCTCAAAGCGAGTCACTTGGGACCCAGCAATTGAAACACATTCATCACACTGTAGTTGGGCAATGTGGGTGGTTTTCTCTACGCAGTAAAATAGCCGAAAGGGGGGGGGAAAACTCCCAATACGAATGATCGACTTGGGTGTGCTTAAATGTGTAGCATGTAAAGCCACGGTCATTAAAGTCCTTCAACAGTACACTCGTTAAACCAAACCACCCCTTTCTGGAAAACAAGCCAAGTTCAATGTACATGGATCGCTTACACATTTTCCCAAAACTACCGTTGACTAGGAATTTTCTTTGCTCATATTTGATAAACGAATGAGATTGTACTGTCAAAAACCAACGCTGAGCAGAGAAATTCCTTTTCAAGGGTCCGGAAAAAAGGTGGGTCGAATCATTGCGGGACAAACCATTGCAGCTACGATGTTAGAATGTGCATGATAGAGTTTTCGACCTGACATGGCATATAGGTTCGACAAAGATAGAGAAACTCATCGATTGTTCGTGTAACTAGAGAAGGCGGTTGTCACATGATGGCGATGCTTTGATGATGAATGTGATACTTGGAACATACGGCAAGCAAGCTTTCACATAGAGTGTCAGTCAAATACATGTTTACTGAGTACAGCCAAATGGCGATAAGTAAATGAAACCTTTTCTTTTTTTTTGTCTAAACCATAAGGGAATGATGAATAGCAACAAATTTAAAGCATAAATGATTTGATAGGATATCTTGAAACAATTCACAACTATTTCATAAAGAAAAGCTGAAAAAGACATGATTTCATGGTGCGATATTGGTTGGCTGGGTATTTTGTTGATGTCGCAGGAATTCGACCAATTCGGGATTTCTTCTATAGCCTGCCTTTAATGTTGACGGATCCTATGAACAGAACAAAATCCAAATACGGGTTGCTCCATTAGCAAATCGCCACTTTATTCATAGTAATGACATCCATTACCTCTAATTGTTGTAACCAGGGATGGCGTAAAACGTCTTGTATGGTATATCTGGTATCACGGTTGATATCAAGCATATGTTGGATAAGGTCTTTAGCTAATTTCCCCCCCCGTGCATCCATTGTAGGTGGTTCTGTCAGTAACCAATGGGCAATAAAAACGCAACTTATTGAAATATACCTTCTGCACTGATTCCTCGCCAAACAGGGTGATGAAAGTTGTAATTTCCTGTTCTAATTTGTTCCTTCAACTTTGCTCTTTCTTCGAGATTATCAATGCTACTAACTGTCAATTGTCACGGTTCTTTTCAATGAGTATCCAGCAGAGGAAATACTGAATAAGATGATTCAAAGAATCTTACTTTGCATAAACGGTGTATTACTGGCTAACGCTGTGTATAATAAAACACCCAAGCTCCAAATGTCCACTTCTGCACCATAGGATCGTGGCGTTGTCAGTAATTCAGGGGCAGCTAGTTTTTCAAAAAGAGAAAAGCAATCCATAAGGAAGGGGACAAACAACTTCATTAGAAAGGGGGAATGACCCAACGCATACTTTACCATAATTGATGGTACCGCAACTTGTTTCCAGATGCTTTCCATCTTGGATAAAGTTGGATATTCCAAAATCACACACTTTGACTTTTAGCTGTTCCCTATTACATAAAATGATGTTTTCTAGTTTGAGATCTCTGTGAACAATGCCTTTGTCATGCAAAAACTATCGACAGGGAGCACCAAAAAAGTAAGCGTAACGTTACTCAATATCGGAATAGCGAAACACTCTTACCGCCACAGCATGCGCTATTTGATCAAACACAATCTTGACTTGATCTTCTTCCAGAAAACTTTTTAATACTGTTTCAAACAAATCGCCGTCCTTACCGCTAAAGGAGTCAAAGCAAAATGAGCGATCAGGTCCTACGTGTCCATGCGACGACTACTACTACTACTACTACTAAGAGTAGTCATCAAAGACTACACTTTTATAAAAAGATACTTTACTATTCCATGACAATATATATTTTGTTGTTGGATTCAAAAACACGGTTTATCTGAATGATACAAGGCTATAGAAAATCAATGAAGAATAAGTACGCCCCCCACGAGAAGCTTTCGGGATGATGTGGTGCTTTTGTGAAAGAATAGAAAAAAAAAGAACTTACGTGATAGGGCAAAGAGAGACAAACACTCATTTCTCGCAGATAAAATTTGGGCTGTCTCGGCTTCTTCTTCGTCTCCTTATTTATCCGCAGCGGCTGCTGCTGCTGCTGAGAGTGAGGTACCTGATCGGGTATGATCTTTATGACGACTTGCTTATGTGTCATTTTACACTCAGCTGACAATACATCACCAAAGGCGCCAGTGGACAGCTTTTGCTTTATTCTGTACAGACAATGAATCAGCTTTACAGGAGAGGAAGGCTTGGTGGGCATGAAGAAGCGTCCTTCAGGTTTCAGAAACTGAAATCGAGGATTGTCAGCCAGGTCGGGATACCGTTCAGGATCCATGAACCTAATCTCGTCGTTGGTGTGGAGTTCAATGTCTCTATTGTGAATGCGCACATGATTGACCCAGGTGCCGTGCACACTTTGATCATTCAAAAAGGCAACGACGTAGGCAGCACCGTTCCTATGACGAAGACGGCTATGAATAAACGCGTGGCGTGGATTGGCGTCCGGGTGGGACAGTTTGATGTCACATACATCGTCGGTACCGACATAGTAGCCTGCCGCTTCGTTTTGACAACGGTTAGAGAGGTTTTTCACTAAGGGATAGATCATGCTGTCGTTTTTGACGATACAGCCCCACCTGTCGTTTTTGAGATATTGGTAGTTGCCGTCATGATCTCTGACGAGAACAGATTCGAGAGAGGTGGGTTGAGCCGTCTTTCTGGGTTTGACGGTCTGGCCAGGTGGAGCAGCAGTAGTAGTACGATGGACCTCCCTGTCCGGGCGCCACTCTATTATCCGCTGCAGGTCTCTGCATGGCTGATCCGATGTTTCCTTGCTCTCATCGTCTCTTATACAATAATTCACTTTCTTTTCGCTTTGTCTGTCACCCTCCACCATTCGAAAGTAGTGTTCAACGGTCTTGTACCGATAAAGTCGTTTTTGGCGGTTGGATTCTAGTACCTGTTCCGTCAAGGAGGATTGCAGTGGGTGTTGTGGTGCTGCTTGAATAGTGTTACTAGAACCACTGCATAGATTTTCGGAACAACTAGCTGCTTTCGAAATGCCCTTCTTCGCCTTCATTCTTGCAATGGCAAGCAAACAGACGAGTATGAATGACTGAAATGGGCGAGGGCTACTGGGCTTGGAAAGAAAAACAAAAAAAGACAAAGGAAAGAGACGAGAGATTTGATAGAAATTTTTTGTGCCTTATCTCTCCCTTTTTTTTTTTTAAGGTTTTTTTTTTTTTTTTTTTTGTTGGCAGAGAACACAGGACCATTTCAGTTGACAATGAGCATTTTAAAAATCAACGCAACTCATCTGTTATGGAAAGATTTATGCATTTCACCTCATGAATTACGACTCAAAACTCTTCATTGTGGGCAGTCTTTCCGATGGAGACAGTATAAAGATCAATGGTTTGTGATGGCTTGGGATTGTATTGAGCAGTATTTCTTACTGAATTGACAACTCTGTTTTTAATAAAAAGAAATATTTTTTTATTTTCCAAAATGCAAAAAATAAAATAAAATAGGATTTCAACTTTAAAAGGAAACCTAATCATACTCAAAGAAACTCGTAAATAACAACAATAGATAGTAAATACCAACAAAACGACAAAAAACTTACCTTGTTCGTATGTTCTTTGTTTGTCATTAGCCTCCAGTATAATGATTGGTTATCCTTCTGAGGAGGATGAGACATCCAAAAAAGAAAAAGAATCGATCCTTAAAGACTACTTCCAATTGGATAAGGTTTCCTTGAAATCATGTTATGATAGTTGGTCCAAAATAGACCAAAACTTTGCTGAAAAGGCTGTCGATTTCCAAGGAATTCGTATCTTGAGGCAGGATCCTTGGGAGAATCTGATATCCTTCATCTGCTCAAGTAACAACAATATTACAAGGATATCGCAAATGGTAAGATAGGAAAGAATCACTTTGAAGAGAACTTTGATAGATAACGTTCTTATGATATGCTGCACGCACATTACCCCATAGATTCATAAACTATGTACGCAGTTTGGGCAAAAAATAGCTATTGTAGATGATCAAGAAGAGTTCTATGATTTCCCTAGTTTAGAAGCATTGTTGGCCGACGAAGAACATAGGTCGACCGAGAAGGTGCTTCGAGACCTGGGATTTGGTTATCGAGCAAAATACATTGTCAATACTGCCAAGTTCATCAAGGAAAACTATCCAGAACAGGGACAACGATGGCTGAATACATTGAGAGAGAAGCCCTATTTGGAAGCCAAAGAAGCACTCATGCAGTTACAGGGCGTAGGTCCTAAAGTGGCTGATTGTATAGTAAAGTTGAACCCCCACCCCCCCCCTCCCCCATTTTAATGGTTATAGACGACCTACAGCTTTCTTACTCTCTTTTGTGTTTGATAGTGTCTCATGTCTTTGGACCATCCTGAAGCAATACCTGTGGATACTCATGTGTGGCAAATTGCGTTGAGAGATTATGGATTCAAGAACAAAGGAAAAGCATTGAACCACAAACTATATTTGCAAGTGGGCGATCATCTGAGAGCTATTTTTGGTGATTATAGTGGTTGGGCCCATTCTGTTCTATTTACCGCTGATTTGAAGTCATTCAAAATAGTAAAAAAGACAGTGGAGACAACCATCCAAGAAGAGGAGGGTACCCAACACACCCAGATAACAAAGAAAAGGAAAAAGATCACGGTTGAAACAAGTACGACAACAAGAGTCAAAAAACGAGCATCGTTCTAGTTGAGAGTATTAAATTTTTGCGTAACTTGACTTTTATTAAACTTGTGGTAGATGGTATTTCATTAGATAGAAAAGTAAATAAAGCAATAGTATGGATGTTGTTTGATGATATTAGGCGTATCCAATTAAAAAGCAGAGTATATAAATATTCAAAATGATAGTAGTGATACGTTCAGAATAAGTTAGGGTAGTGGTCATGATAGTAGTATGAATAGTAGTATTAATAGTAGTATTAATAGTAGTAGTAGTAGTAGTAGTAGTAGTAGTAGTAATAGTAGTAATAGTAGTAGCAAATGAGTAGAACATTCAAAAGATACGCTTGGTATTTTCTTGTCATGCTTAAAAAACGTGCATGGCTATTTATTATGCTGAACGACGATGATGAGCTTTCTTGGCAGTGGCATCCACAGCAACAGGAACAGTAGCAGAATGACTGCTGCTACCACTACTAAGTTGACGTGAGAGCTTGCTGGTACAATGCCTGATGAATTCCTTAAAGTCAGAACTGCTGTTTGATCTCTTATGAGAATGCTGTGGGCGCTGTGGAGTTTTCGATGGTGAATGCGTATTCTTTGATGGTTCATGTTCATAATGGTGAACTAACGGCGGCTCTGCAGAAAATGAAACAGACTGAATGCAAGCAGTTTTCCTTCTTTTATTTTGAGACTCGAGATGACGACGTAAAATGTCTTGATGCTTTTGCTTGAGTTGTTTATCCAGATCATCGTGCTTATTCGAATACCAGACGTCGAGAATAGGTAGGCTGTCATAGATGGAAATCGACTTGTTGTCATCACGTAAAGTACACTCAGTGGGTGTAGGGCTTGTAGACATTAACACTGCAGATGCCATTTCTTAGTGGATGCGAGAAAAAACGTATATGCAATTAGGATAAATAGATATAGAAAGAGAGGGAGAAAAAAAAAAACGAAATTCAAGTGAATTTATATGAATTTGGGAGATTGAAGGGGAAACAGAGAAAAAAGAAACTTTCTGTGATCTATCAAAAAATACAAACAAAAAAAAAGAAAAACCTCATTTTTGTAACGTACCATAAAATGCGGAGCTACCCTCAGATGCAAAAGTTTTTTTTCTTGATTTGGTAAAACTACAACCAATCAAATATGAACTCATTTGCAAAAAAAAATAAAAAATGGAACGATAGAAAGAATTCATTACTCCTGAAAAAAATGTTGTCAGGGAAAAAGTGGACCTGAGCACAGACAGTCTACTCACATATCACAACTTAATCGAGTCAGAATTCTAAAATAAAAATTCATATCAAATACGTATGGAATTCTAAAGTTTGGATTGAAATTATTAAAGTAAAATACGAGTAACCTGATGCTGTCTTTTTTTTTCACTCAGCAAAAAAGGGAAATCTTCCGCCACACCTACACACACAAAAAGAGCCTTATCGTTACATTTTTCCCTTCCAAAACTAAAAAAAGGAAAAAGATGGTTTTTTCCAGGGAATAACAAAAAAAAAAAAAAAAACAGAACCCACGATAGATCAGTTTTTGCCCGTGTGGGATGTTATGCGTATGGATTTCCTGTTAGGAACCAAAAAAGAAAATCATTCTATATGTTTGATTTCTCAACAAAAAACCAAAAACCCATTTTAAATGATAACACACGGGAAACCGGGACTCATTACCTCCAAAGAAATCCACAATTAATATAAAACACGTTTTCTATTTTCGAAATTCTTTCGCTTTTTTTAGTTTGTAAAGTATTCCTGCGTGATTGTGATTTGCTGGGGTGCATTACGCTTTAGTCGTCGGTTCAGGCTTGGAAAAGAGAAACCGAATCTTTTCGCACTGTAAAAAAAAAAAAGGTCCTATTATGCTCATGCAAATCATGCAACATTGTCATTATTTTAGTTTAACAAAGGCTTGGCATGGCATTTAAAAAGAAACTTTAAGATTCTTGCAATTAGAAGGCTTGCCTATGCCGAATCATTCTCTGGTTTTTTTTTTACCGTTTCTAAATTACCAATTCCCGCGGTTAATGAATTTAGGCCATTATTTATTTACATAAAGAAACAAGTCACTTTTTTTTTTAACGTGCAAAAAGAAGTGATAGGCTCCTCAAACGGGTAGCAATGATAAATGACATTGAACACCTTTTATGCCCCTCCCTCTCCCCTTAAAGAGTGTTTCAGACCAATAGTAACTTTCCCAAGTGTTTCTCGTAGGTCAAACCCTCATTACACGTTATAAATTACCCGCTCATGTCGTTCCTCGTACTGAAGGAGGTAACTGCAGCAATAGACACGACGGATTTTACTGGCTTGACAGACGCACAGCATTTTCATTTCAGCATTACCTAAGCTAAACAAGAGGGTATCATGTGCGTTGTCTGTTCGAAAGAGTGCTTTTCCAATTAAAAAAGACACAAGACACAATTATAAAAGGCTTTATAATAGTATGCTTGGAAAAGATAATGATAAAAAGACACATTTTTCAAAAATGGAAATAGCTAACAGAAAAGAAAAAAAAAAAAAAAAAAAGGGCCTTTTCTATCACAAAACATCCAAGAAAAAAACCCAACAAATGCCCCCACTTGCCATTGAAGCTGTATCTTATCTCTTGGACTATGTAGACAACTCATGTTATGAAACCGTAACCATGCATTGCTACAATCGGTATAGCACAAGATGAACCATTATCACGGCAGCAACACGAAAAAATTTATCGAAAATAGTAAGATAAGTGATGATAGTCAGGGATGCATCGGCTACTTCTTTGTATATCTATATACACCTTTCTATACCACGGAAACATGATAGGCAATGGGGGCGTATCTTGATGGGATCAACGCATCAGTGGTTTCTTTACAGGTACAATCGCGTCACTTTGATTCAAAAAGGGGGGAACAAAATAGTGCTTTCTATTGTTTATGAGCTTTGTGACAAGCTGAGAAGCATTGTAGTAGCACCGCTGACGGTGCGATCCTCATTGTTTGATCTTGAACCTTTGAATTTTAGCAAAATCTATATTGAAAAAATGGGAAAAACATAGTGTCATTTGAGACCATTGAACTGCACTCTTTCATTAAGGGAGTTGCGTAGGAAAAATAGGGGGAAAAAAAACCCACCCCCCCCCCCAACGCCCAAGCCTAACTTACTTGTTGGAATAATTCTTTCAGCTTTTCAGAGGGTGGTTTTTGCCATTGTTCAATGGTATCTAATAGCATACGGATGGTCTATCCAATCAAAGAAATGACGTCAGCAAAAAAAAGATGCCAATGGCGCTATCAGTTGCTAAAAACGCATAGCCTACGAACCATTTCATCCAGCGTCTGTACAAGGAAATGGCGAAGGACGACGTTACAAAAGCCTTGAAAGGAGGTATCTTTTTCATCATCTTCACGTAAACCCCGTGATCGGTACAACCAAGCACGACATAAAGAAAATGGCTGTTGTTGCTGCTGCTGCTGCCTGTGGTGTGATGTTACTGCTGTTTCTAATGAGAGATAGTGTGCGACTCTATCTGAATGATGTATACCTAGTCGACCAATTGTGATGACGGTATTCACCTGTAATTCGATCATACTGCCTAAATAGGAAGCTTGTGAGAGTATACTATTTAGCTGATGATCTTGCTGCTCTCGTCGCTGTTCTTGTTGCTGCTGCTGCTGCTGCTGTAATTGCTGGAGTTGTTGAGATACAGTCGGTGTGGGTGAGGGTGGCGGCTGTGATGCTGAGAAAACGTGTGAGGGTGGTATAATGGATTGTAGAATGGGTATGAGTTGTTGGAGAAGAGGATCAAGATAAGGTTCCATAGCCTCCTTTGTCCAACGTAAGGAAATCTCGCCAATCGCCCAAATGGCATTATTTCGTACAGATTTAAACGCTGCATTATCGTCATTTTCTTTGATTTGACGGATGAGTTCAGCCATTATTTTATCCAGGTAAGGTGGAAGAAGATGGAAACAAGCTTTGGCAAGGTCACCAATGAGTGCATACGTAGGCTGAAGTACTGCATACCGAGATTCCTAGCCGTCGTAAGCAAAAAAGGTTAGCCACAAGTTTTTTCTCTGGGTTTTTTAGTTTCTTTTTTGTGTTCTTTGAATTTAAAGTTTACATAATGCGCACAGACAGTTAACAATGGTAATAAATTAGTTTGAATCACAAACGGCTCTACTTTCGTGCCTAAACCTTGTACAATTCCGGAAAGCAAGTCCAATGGTACAACAATAAAGTCTTCATTTTCTTCAAAAAACTCGTCTTCGTCATAATACGCTTCCTCCTGTCTGAGCATAGCATTCTGTAATGTCCTAGATATCAGTAAAACACACCTTGTAATGACAGGCTCTGTAAAAGGTAAGAATCCAGTTCCTAAGGAGCTAGCAATGTGAGTCAAGCACTTTTTTAATTATTATTATTTTTTTTTTTTTTTTTTAAAAAAAAAAAAAAAAACCAAAAAACAATCGTGGTGTGGGTTAGTTAGACAGTAAAATCCTGTAGACATCATATCATAGCTTTTACGTGCTACGTACCATCAAAAGTGGGAATAGATCTGGATCTGTATCTTCCAGTCTATTCCATTTGGAGATCAATGGCGGCATTAAAACTGCAATAAATTCACTTTGATTTAATGATGAGCCCACAGACTCAGCCAGCGTTCCCATTGTATCGTAAAGCAATTTCAAATTTCGTTGGCGATAAAGGCGAAGGGCTCTTGTCAAATGATTGAGAATGACAGACAGATAAGGCACGAGTTCTTTCTGTGTTGATTCTTCCACCAAGGTAGAGAACGCAGAACAAGCGGCTTCTTGCACTCTTTCACTCGGATCGAGAATGCATTTCAATAGTTCGCCCAATACAGACTGGTAGTGTTCATGTTGTGAAACAACCCATGCCGAAAAACGGCTAATTGTCCAACAAGAGATGTATCTGATATAAATCTAGGATGGGGAGCAAACAACCCCCAAAAAGAAATAAGAAAAAAAAGGAAAGCGTTAGACCATGAAAGGAAAAGCAATGATATAGACCGCTCCCCTCCCTAGCAGGGAAGAACACATCATGAGAAGTTACTACAAACATTTGAATTTGACAACTGTCGAATCAGATAAGGTATAATGGCTGGTAGATGAGGTAAGATGCCTCTCATACCACCTATGAAGTAGTAGAAAACTTTCAGAAATAAAAAATTGGATTGTTATAGTAAACAGTCGAGACAATACCTTCCGCAGTAGCTCCAAGTGCTAGGATACCGCTTTCTACGATTTTCCAATCTTCTGCAAATAAGGCTTGGTTGAGAAGCGGCAAAAGAATGTCAATCACATGCATTTTGAACGTGCAAGCCAAAGCATCGAGAGACGTCGCGCTAAATTTTCGTAGCGTCCATTCAGAAAAGAACTCTTCATCTTCGAGATCGTCATCCTCGTCTGCATCTTCGTCGTCATATTCTTCATCACTACTATTGTAGAATCCGTTATTATGTTGACCCTGTCTATAATAAGTTGCTTGTTGTTCTGCATGATAATATTTAAGGTTTTTGTTGTAAAGTCCACCACCTCCACCACCACCAACGCCATGGATACTATTTACAGCATCCGTAGGCTGCTGTAATGCGCGGGGACCCTGCGGTGGATAGGCATCTTCTGACACTTCACTCATACTGTCACCAAATAAAAGAATATCCTCATCAGAGTATTTGAGTGAATTCAAAAGGACAGGTATCACATGGGGTAGATAAGGAATGACATAACGATGATGGACAGGGTTTTCTAAACGAGCAAACTGGTGCCAAAAATCACAAGCTTCCAAGGCGAGCTTGGCATTCTTTGTCTGTTGATTACAAAAGATCATATAGTTGATAATAGGATTCAAGTAAGGCAGTAACTCTGTTGTATACTTGTCCAGTAGCATTGTAAAAGAACGACATAGATCTTGGTATAGCAATAGCTCTAAAAATTCCTGACGGCTATTTTGATGATGCGTGCTGTTATCGTCTAACGTAGTAGCATGGCTGCTGAAAGCGGGTGAAGAGGCCGGTGACAACGATGCTACCGTAGTGATCAAGGATTGAATGTAGGTGTTTATATGCGCGCCTTGCAATGAAGAAGCTTGTAACATAACAAATTGATTTATGGCTGAAATAGCTGAAACTTTGAATTTAGTGTTTGGATGCTGAGCAAACGGTATGAGTTGTGGTATTATATAATCTAACACAGGTCTGCCGGACATCGGTTCTATCGTTTGATACACATCAAAAGCATTATCTTCGCTTATCATTTGTAACGTATCGAGAGCCATCTAAATTGAGTTTTTGAAAAAGAGTGTCATGAAACAGTGTAAACATAGACACGTTGGGTGATCGATAAGGGATCACACTAGATAACAAAAGCTAAAATATACCTCCACTGTGAATTGATTTGTCGTTCTGTCATTTCCATCTATTAATTTCCCTACTACGATTGGCAAGCATTCAGGCCAATTTATTGTCTGGCCTCGAACCATAATTGCTGTGATTACAGAGCTGATTGTTCTTCTAATAGTTGAATCAGCATCAGGATAATCGAGAGATGTTAGACATAATTTCTTTACATAGTCTAGAATGGACTCATGGATCGACTCGAAATTATTCAACAAGTTGTTCTTCAATGTTAAACCGGCTACTGCGCGCAAATAACTGTCTTGATTCGTCATGTTCACGAGAATATAAGCTAAATAGTTATTATATTCTGGTATGACATTAAAGGAAAGCAGCCTCTGAAATACAGAAAAGAAAAATCTTAAACATTACAAAGCTGCTTTATTCCGTTTTTTATCTCAGTTTTACCTCCTTACGTTGTGAAGTAAAAGCTGATCTCGGTGAGGTCGAATGGCATCTCGAATGACACTTTGCAATTCGTTGAGACTTTGTGAATCAGGTTGCCATTCCATTTAGGTCTATCTGCTTTCAAGTTTTTTTTTTATAGATATTTCAAAAGATAATACCACAAAATTTATTAAAAATACGAATAGAAAATAGAGCCACAAAAAGTGAAAAAAGAAAAGAGAAAGAGAGAACACACAACAGACATAAGAAGCCCAATGTGTAAAAGAAACGCGAAGCTTTTTTTTTTTTTTTTTTTTTTTTTTTTTTATACTCTATTTCATGATATTGGTACAACCGCTACCTTAACTCTATAAAGTAATGATCTTATAGTAATAGCACCATTTAACCTTATCTGTAAAACGTTCTTGTCTCCCCCGTGATTTCAACATAGAAAGTCATCATGATTAGACATAACATATCCAATCAGAGAAAGTAGGATGATGGGGCACCCTGCCTCGTCGTCTAAGCTTTCATACAACTAATCGATTTACCCCCACATTGACCGCCATATGAAATAAAAAGGAACATAGTCATGTTGACTTTCAAATCAAAAATCCAAACACGAAGCAGACGCAACGTAAAGTCATGGGCAGGAAAATTATTTATTTTGTTCCAAGGGTACAGATAAAAAAAGAAAAGTCGACAATACATCTGTGCCACTTGCAGTTATGTGTAGGTTATAAAAAACATTGCAAAATCACTCCTGATAAGTCCCTTTTTTTTTTCTATTTTACTTTCTAAGTTACACTATCTTTACGTAGAGAGATAAAATAAGCTTTTACTTGCTACTCTTGCCAGTAAACGTCCAAATTGCTTTTTCTCTATGTTTTTAGGAAGCTCATACAAAAAAGTAGTAAATACCTTTTTCCTATGGTTTTTTTTTTTTTCTTTTATTTACAAAAAGCGTTTGACGTTACTGAATGACAACAGAGTCTAAATATTGTTGTATATAGCCATAACTCTCCGCTACATCCTCATCCCTCCCTTCATCATCCATGACCACAGTGGTTTCCTCGTCGTCCTCTTCCATTCCCCCTATTGCCGCTGAAGAGGATGTTGTGGGTGGTCCTGCAGTCATCTCACGCTGCGGATGATTTTCATATTCTTCCCTTATGTAGTTTAATTCAATGTAATTCAACGTATTTAAATGAGGATAATGGTCAGCTGTGACAGAAGTTGGAGGGTAAGCTCGGATAGGTATTTCGGGGAAGTCATGCTGCGTTAAACCACAACTTTTCAATCCAAGTAACCTCAAATGGTGGCAATGGCTTATCAAATGGCGTACCCCGTTCGCCGTTAAATGCCGACAAAAGGAGAGATCCAGATGATGAAGGGAGAATGACATATGAGTTGCAATCGCTTCGAGTGTGGCATCAGTAATAGCACATTCTAACAAAAATAGACCACGGACGTGAGGATGGGTTTTAATAAAGGGTATAATAGCGTTGTCGTCAATCAGGGTGGCGCCACCTGTAATAGAGAATTCCTGTAATTTTGACAAGCATGCTTTAGAACGTTGATAGCGATGATAAGAATTATTATCAAGTCCTATTGTTGTTGTTGTTGTTGTTGTTGTTGTTGCGTCGCTATTTCCACCCCCACCCCCACCCACCGCAGGGGGAGTGGTGGTTGCAGCACTTGCTGTTACCATGGATCGTATAAAATCATGATTAATGGTATCACAACAGACTAGGTTCAAATGAGTCAAAGAATGCAAACAAGAGATGTCATAGGCTGTATCCGACGCATTCAGCCATTTACAGCCTGATAAATCCAGATATTCAATAGGCATATCAACAAATGGTAGCAAGGAAATAGATGTTAAATTGGAACAGGATGCCAGCGTGAGTTTTGTGATATGCCGACAATGGCATCCTAAATTATGCATTGAACGATACGTGACAGAGGCGCCTGTGACGCCAAACGATTTTAATTGCTGACATTGCCGTGATAAGGGTATAATACTTTTGTCTGTGAGCTCCTCTGCCTTTCTTATTTCAAATACTTCCAGGTTGGGTATCAAAGGTAACAACTGAAGCAGGTCGTCGTCGTTTAAGGGTAATTTATAACCGAATTTCAGTGCACGAACATATTCGCCCTTTTTGGAGAGCTTTAAGCATTTTATTAGTTTGTTTAAATTGCTGTTGGAGGAAAGAATAGGCTCTCTCCATAGTTCTGGTATAGCTGCTGCATTAAAGTCTTTATTGACAAAGGAACAATTATATTTGGCTGCTTGTTTCAATAAACTACAAATAAGTGATATAATCTCTCTGGGAAGATCCATAAATCCTGCCATACTGTATTGTTATATTCTGACTTGGAGAGTTTAGCTGCCAATGACGGGGTTGCAACGAAAGAATAACAAAAAAAACAGCATTCTAAAGGGGAAAAAAGGGAAAATCTTCAGCCTGTTTGAAATTTCACACCCAAAAGAGAAAAACGTAGCCATTTTTTCCGGTAAACCTATTTCGGACCGGACACTCGAAATTATTCACACTACAATTAAAACCTGTTTTGCTGGTTTGAACTTGACAGCCAGCAGACGAACAACATTGGGTGGTGAAGCGGATACACTGGAAGGAAGCAGGCGTAAGTTAGTGTATCCTTCCTTTTCCCCTTTCCAAGGTAATTAAAGTAAATATTTAGTAAAAAAGCCTATGCAATCAATCTGTAGGGTGTGTGTTCGATGCTCAGCGACGATGTATAGATTGAAATCGTCAATTGATATTACACTGGATGAATGGAACTTAAAAGCAAAGGATGGATGAATTTGAATTGATACCAGTCTGTCTGTCAACATGGTTCGAATCACACACATCGAAGAATGGGGATGATGAATTCAAAATGGCAGCCGATGTACATATAGAATGTCCCTATTTGCTCTCAACACGCACGCACACACTATCTTTGATTTGCGTAGGTGAAGTCGATCTGGAAAAATGGTATAATCTAACGTTGAATTATATCGTTTTTTTTTTCGCTTTTCAGTTATAACAATGGGTGCCTACAAATATTTGGAAGAGCTCGCTAGAAAGAAGCAATCTGATGTCGCTCGTTTCTTGCTCCGTGTCCGTTGTTGGGAATTCAGGTTAGCTTCGTTAAAAAAGTGCACCTGCAACAAAAATGAGAGCGATTCATATTCATTTGCTAATCTCAAATAACTTTATAAATAGACAATTGAACGTCATCCACCGTGCCTCTCGTCCTTCTCGTCCCGATAAGGCTCGTCGTTTGGGTTATAAGGCCAAGCAAGGTTACGTCATCTACCGTATCCGTGTCCGTCGTGGTGGCCGTAAGAGACCTGTCCCCAAGGGTGCCACCTACGGTAAGCCTGTCAACGAAGGTGTTAGCCAACTCAAGTACCAACGTTCTCTCCGTGCTACTGCTGAAGAACGTGTTGGCCGCAAGTGTGCTAACCTCCGTGTCTTGAACTCCTACTGGATCAACCAAGATGCCACTTACAAGTACTACGAAGTTATCCTTGTTGATCCTTCTCACAAGGCTATCCGTCGTGATCCTCGCATCAACTGGATCGTCAACGCTGTTCACAAGCACCGTGAAGCTCGTGGTCTCACTGCTGTCGGCAAGAAATCTCGTGGTCACAACAAGGGTCACCTCTTCAACAACACCAAGGGTTCTGGTCGTCGTGCCACCTGGAAGCGTCGCAACACTCTTTCTCTCCGTCGTTACCGTTAAAGACTTTATCCGCCCTATTTTATTGCTTTTTCATTAAACAGTAAAGTAACAACTACAGCTTTTTTTTTTGTCAATTGTATTATAATGGGCTTCCATCTTTCTTTGGTTTCGACTGATCGTTCATTGGCATTGCATGGTGAGTTTTTTGCGTGTTTGTGCAGGAGTGTGTGTGAAAGGGCATATATACTCTAAGCTGACGGCTTCCATTCAACGAGTTCGTTTAACCTTATTTCTGTTACTTTTTTTCACATGTATGGGGAAATTGCTGACTACAGCATATTCTTATGCGGGGGAAACAAGTTGGGCTTTTCAGTTTTTCTTCCCCTCATTTTACTGTTGTTCTTTATCTTCTAACCTATAAAATAGATCGCATCAAAAAAAAACATATAATGTCTATCCATAGCACAGTTCCCCAGCTTGAGACGATGGAGATTGTATTGTTTCCTAATGGTGTTGCAGAGATTGCGCACAATCGACCTAAGCGTTCAAATGCTCTTTCTCCCCAGTCTTATCGAGTAAAAAATAGTATTGCAATTTTATCAAAGATGGTAGGACGACCGTCCAATTAAAACGTTAGCAATGATAATAGGATTGGTTAAATGCGTTAAGATGGGCAGCTCAGAGTGACAGAGTGAAGATAGTGATTCTAACAGGACGGGGAAGATATTATACCTCAGGGCAACAGTTAGAAATGCCTGATGCAAGCATACAGAATTTAGAAGAAGAAATGGACCAAAGAAGACAAACAACAACGTAACTATAATGAAGAAAGAAAGCTTAATATGTGTAAAAAGAGTAGGCTTAACAACCTTCCTATGCAGTGATGTTGTATCTGAAATGATCAAGTTTCCAAAGTTGATCATCGCTGCCGTCAATGGTAAATAGAATAATTGTTTGTTTACTGATCTTTTCGTTTAACGACTTTGCAATGAACGCATCTGTGATAATTGATAGGTCCAAGCATTGGCTTTGGGACAACCACTCTGGCATTGTGCGATGTTGTTTATTCTGTACCTGAAGCAACATTTTCTACTCCGTTCATGAAATTAGGTAAGAAAAAAAAAAAAAAAAAAAAAAAAAAAAAAAAAAAAAGGATCGCCGTAGTCCATCCCTACTAACCCAGGGAATATCTGTTTCTCAGGATTCTGTGCGGAAGGATGTTCTTCGATATTACTACCAAGGTTTGTGTCTTCCAATCTACTTTACAGATGCTGGTTTTTGCCATTAACCAGTCCATATCCATTTAGAATTATGGGCCAATCCAAAGCAAATGAAATGCTTGTACGTTCATTTTACAGTTATTTTTAGCCTAGCATACCACAAATGGTAGTAACAAATTTGATTTGTATCACAAAATGTAAAAAACAGCTTTTAGGAAGGACATTTAATGCACAAGAGATGGTAGATTGTGGATTCATCAGTCGAATTTTGCCTGCTCAAGGGTTCCGTGAAGCTATTTTGAGAATTGCAGATGATGCGTCAAAATTCTCCTCAGAAGCTATCAAAGTGACGAAGGACCTTGTGAGAAATATTGATCGTGATCTTTTGGAGCAAGTCAATCAAAATGAAATGTCTGCTTTAAAAGATCGTATGAACAGTAGTGATTCTTTGGAAAGCATTATGCGATTCTTGGGTAACGAGCAAATACAATTCCATTGCCCACATCACATTATGTTCTATGTAACTCAAATCCCCATTTCTGTCCTGTAGAGGAAGCTGCTGCGAAAAAGGCAGCTAAGGCAAAAGCTAAATTGTAACACGCTTTTTCGGAAGCAGTGATACTAGTCAATGAAAGAGACAACTGTTTAAATTCATTGAGAACCAATAGTAATAATGGACACTGTATTGCTTTATTTTTATTTTGAAGGAAATAATCTATTTCTATACAATCAAAATAAAGATGTCTTATGTATGCATAAAATAATTATTTATTTGGGCAAGGATTGCATCTCTCCCTTCCTTTCAACAATTTTAAGCAGATAAAGAGCCCCTTTATACATGAATGCAATGGATTTTGCACCTATACAACACCGAGCATCTGTAATGTGTGTGTGTGTGTGTGTTTGTGTGTGTCGTTCATCTGCCCCTTGTAACTGGTTTTTTTTTTCTCTTTTTTTTTTTTTTTTTTTTTTTTTTTTTGTGTTCTTCCTCAGATCAAAAATAAAGAGCCCTTCTTTTCGTTCTTTTGATTTCTTTCCTTTTCCTTCCTGTTACAAGTTTTTCCATCTATTTCAACTCAATTTACATACAATCATAATATGAAATCTACAGTTATCTTTAAACTTATAGCTGCAATTGCAGTTTCTTCTGTATCAGCCCAACAAGCTGCAAGTTCACCAACTGCCGGAAGCTCCATTTCACCTGTCGTTGTTGTTGCTTCAGCAACAAGCTCTATAAGTACTCCTGAAGTTCCTGCTGCCACACCATCTTCTACTTCTTCATGTCCCGTTCAAAGCACGTACGTATACTGAGAGCGAAGAAAAAATAAGGGAATTTCAGTTTTTCGCTTAATAACATCCCTTCTTTTTTGCACACGCCGATTTTCAGATTTGAGTTATGTTTAAAGAATGAAGATAATTATATCAAAACCTGTCAAGAACAAGGTAAAAATGCTAAGATTATCTGCGTGAAGATCAGTGTTGACTAATTGCAATCATTTGATGCTTAATATCTGCATAGATTATGCTTGCTTGTGCAGAGTAAGTTTTACCTTTTTTTTTTTTTTTTTTTTTTTCCTCAAGATAGTCTCAAAATCTAACAAAGAGATGCACCGAAACATCACAATAGTGGCATAAAGAAAAACTGACTTGCTGGAATAATTGTCCCCACGATTTGGGCCTTCCAAACCAACAAGCTTTAGTGAACGACTACTGCTCCAGACCTGGCGCCAATGTGTAAGTTAAACCAGACAAATAGTGAAATAGAAAGAACAGCCAAACACAGTAGAAGCTTCTCATGAACTGATCATCGGTTTTCTTTTTTTGTGCAAGCAGCTCTATTGCTCCTTGGACAAGTAGTGCTCCAGCTACTTCAGCTACGCTTGCGCCCACCCAGGTTGCTGTCAATACACCATCTTCATCACCTACTGCTGCTACCAACAAACCATCCAGTGCCTCTAACTTGCTTGCTCACCAAAGTGGAGCTGTGCTAGCTGCTGGTGCTGCAGCAATTGCTGCGTATATGTTTTTGTAATAGGTGGTAAATCACTTGGAGATTTTCAACCAATACTCTATTCATTGAAAGGTTGAAAAGTTAAGTCTAGATTGAGAACCTACTGTCATTGCCGTCGTAACGGAGAAAAAAAAAGTCTTTCTTTTGTTTTCTGGTTTTTTTTTTTTTTTTTTTTTTTCTACTTCATTATGTACTACAATTTAAATTTACCTTTTAAATGATAATAAATAACTACAATATCATGCTTTATTTGTCACAGCTTAAATTATACAGAAAAATTATGATGTGCAACATACTGTCTCTGTGCAAAGCTTGATATTTGTGTTAGCATACCGTAACTTTCAATGCCGCTCGATGCAACGCTATTGTGGACTCATTTTGCGGATATATATGCCGTTATATCTGTTGTACATGCCGCTCCATTGAAATCTGGATTATATCCGTGTCATAAAAATGCTGAAAATGCATCGGATTTTTCAAAAAAAAAAACAAAACAAAGAAAAGTAGAGGCAGGGGCATGTACGCTTACTCATGTATTGTTCTGAAGATGGCAACGATTAAATGTAATAAATATTGTGTAATGTTACTGACAGTTTATTTATACAGGACAGGTTTCTATGCTTTATTAAATATTCATTAGAAATGAGCTTCATCAGTAGTAAATGTGACTACACACGTAGCTTCTTTTTCATTCCTTTCCAGAAGGTATGTTGTTGTTGCTGCTGTTGATATTCTTGAGTGTCATCCTTATCAAACCACTCGCTCGATTCTATCTTTTTTTGGATTAGATCATAGTCATCCGGCTTCCAAACAGATAAGTCATCAATTTCCTTAGAGATGGAAAGTCGCGCATGTAACTGCTCGGTAAACTCTTTATAATAGGTTACTTCTGCGAATTCAGCTTCAAAATCGGACTGTTTCGTATCTACAGACGAAGCTTTATCAATAGCTGTATTGTTATTGAGCGCATTCGTTGTTATTTCACTTGTAGTATTCGCCATGGCAGCGTCAGGAATGAGAGTCTTTTGTTGATGTACTGATATTGCAGAAGAAGTATTGGATGAAGTAGGTACGGGTGGAAGGGGTATCGAGGGTGGAGGTGATGCTGGTGGTAAAATAGCGCCATTTAATCGGAAAGTATTGATTGATCTCTGATCTAATGAGGTAGTCGTTGTATAAGAGGAGCGGGCAGAATTCGTGGTTTTTGTATTTGGACCGTTATAATGATGATGGTCTACACCTATCATATCTTTATATACAGAGTTATTCATACTTTTAACACTGGAATTTTTCATTAACAGTTCTGTATGCTGCTGCTGCTGCTGTTGTTGTTGTTGTTGTTGTTGCTGCTGTTGCAGTAACTGCTGTATTTGCAATTGCATTTGCCGTTGTTTTAGCTGTGCTTCATAGACCAGTTCATCTTTTGTCAGTACTTTATCCAAAAGCGACTGAACTTTGTTATCAATATAAAGTGATTGTGCTGTATTCTCCTTTTGTATTTCTCGGGCCACGCTTGCCAATTCGTTTATCTTGATTTCTTTAGCAGCAATCTCTATCAATAAATGAGCAATGGTTGATTGGTAATCTGATTTTGTAGCCTTTAGTTCTTCCAGTTCTTGTCTTATGAATGAGAGCTCCACAACATGTTCAACAGCAGAAACTGGCTCTGCAGACACTTTGTCTTCTATCTCATTGTGGATGGTTGCTGTAGAAGCAGTTACTGTCGATTCAAGTTGCTCCGTTAATACTCTTATTAACATATCTTGCTTAAGAATAACGTCGGACTGCGTTTCGTTTTGGTGTTGTAGATCAATTAACTTTTTGGAAGTTGTGTCAAATAAAGTTTCTAACTCCTGAACACGTTTTTTAAGTGGAAGTTCCTTTTCAGCATTTATTGGCGAAAGGGAGACGATCATGTCTATCGTATCATCTTTATTATCGTTATCTATATCGTACTCCATTTTGCTCGTGGCTGTGGTGGTAATCTGAGAATTGACAGTAGGGCTAGATAGGCTGTTGTTGCTACTGGTTGTTGTTGAGGGGTAACACATATCTGTGCTAGTAGTGATTGACAAGGATTGAGACCCTGACATTTGTTTTAGATCATAATTTTGGTGGTGTTCCTTCTTGCTACTGAGTCTTATTGTGGAAGGTGGAGTCAAACTTGTCGCATAGGCCGTATTACTAACCTTGTATGAATCCTGTTGGAAACTTTTATTAAGCACAGAGACAACAGCTAAACTTTTCAGTCTTTCCAATTCTTTATCCCTTTGACTGAGAATACTAGAAGGTCTTTTTGGTTTTTTGTCTTCCATATTGTTGTATTGAGAAGTAAAGGGTAAAAAAAAAAAAAAAAAAAAAAGAAAAGCTGCTAAGATGCTGTAAGGCAAAATGAGAATAGAGGAGACAAAACAAGAAAAAAGAAACAATAAAAAACGCCCACTTGATCTCATTCTTTATGTGATGCACAGTTACACAAATATAAAAATAAGTGATCAGCTTAATTATGTACATTCCACATGCTCAATACTTGTCTTTATAACGAGCTGCTTTTATTATTTTACATGCTCACTTGCAGTAAACATTTGATTAAAAAGAAAGATTCAATGAGGGCAATGAATTTAGGCTCTGGAGACTTCCTTGTAGTAATCGGCAAGAGGACCCTTTTGAGGGTAGAACTTAACGTAACAACCATCAGGTCTGAGCAAACCCTTGGAACGGGCTTCAACGTAGTCTTCACGAGAGAGAGGAGTGAAACCCCACTTCTTGGAAACAATGATCTTTTGTTGACCAGGGAACTTGTACTTACAACGTCTCAAAGCTTCAATGACGACAGCCTTGTTGGAATCCTTTGAACGAACAGAGAAGATAATTTGGCCAATGTTGACACGAGCAACAAGACCGTTGGGCTTACCGAAAGCACCACGCATACCGGTTTGCAATCTATCGGCACCAGCACATGACAACATCTTGTTGATACGAGTAACGTGGTAAGGGTGGACACGGATACGCATGTGGAAGGAATCCTTACCGGAGGTCTTGGACATGTACTTGTTAGCACAGATACGACCAGCTTCGAGAGCTTCGGCAGAAAGTTGTTCGTATTCATTGGAAACCAAGTGAATACAAAGAGGGAATTCGTCAACAGAAGCCTTCTTACGACCTAAATCGTAGATTCTAAGCTTGGCATCGGGGACACCACGATTGTATCTAGACTTAGGGTAAGGCTTGTTCTTACAATAACGATAACAACGAGCGGGACGACGACCCATGGTTGAATTCCTATATATTGTTGAGAGAGAATGATCGAAAATAGGTCAGTCCAAATGTCCCAATGCATCAATGTCATCGTCTGCTATAAATAGTCCCATCATTCTTGATCTTCAATGCCCCTCATTTCAATGTGTTGACATCTGAAATAATTCGCTGATAACATAGGATAATCCATCATCGAAAGCATATCATCCATTCAACGATATACTGTACAATTGTATATCATGTCCTCCGAAGTAGCCCCATCCCTTCAACTGTATGCAATATGTAGTATCACTTACCAAGTACAAAGTACAAAAAAGAGAAGGATCCACACTGTTTAGGTGCACTTCATCCATATACCCTCTGCCTCCTGCCAAATTTTCGCCCGCTGATTTCATTATCTGAAGCGAAGAGGGTGTCAGACAGCCAATTTCATTCAAATTGAACGGCAGTCCGAGCCGCGCTTGTGGAGGTTATTCCAGTGCATAAAAATGAAAGTTCAAAGCAGCCAATTGAAGTCTCTTATTAAATTCAAGCGACCTACTTCATATCTGTTTTCTCTTCAGTTTGTTTGACTTTATGAGCCATCAACATCAGCACGGTAGACCATCCTTTACGAGGAAACGAAAAACAGATTACATACCTGATGAACGATATGATGTCGATGGAACACTCATCAAAAATACTGAAGCTTTAAAAAAGAAGCGTTGGGATTTAAGGGACATTGTAAAATGATTATATTTCACAAGCTCCAGTTGACGACGACCATAACTGTAAACGAACTGAACAAAAAAAATTCTCGATGTTTGATTTAAAATTAGATAAAAAATCCTGAGATATATGAAGAGGCTCTAAAGAAAGCCCAAGCATTTTTGAAAGAAAAAAAAAACCAAAAGGACAGCATATTTTATGATACAGGTCATAACCGTCAACTATGGACCGAAGAGACAGACAGTCTGTTTTTCTCTCGTAAGGATCGTGGTCTTGTCGCATGGTTTTTGCCTCGAGGCTCGCCCATATATTATGAGTTTGAAGGTTATTCATTTTCATCTTTCACTATCGTGGCAATATAAGCTTCTCTGTAAAGTCTTTGCTGAATTCTTTTCTCTTTTTTTTTGGTTTTGTTTGAAAGGATTCTATTCCTCTCTGAAAGATAATTTGTGCAAGGACAAACAATTGTTAAAGTACCACAAGTCAGAGCGTATGAATGTTATACGTCAAGAAGGTGAAATGATACGGCACGCTGTCGTCTTGTTCCATGATTTTCAGACAAAGAAAAGAGAAAAATTGAAGAAGCAGATCGAGGAAACCAGAGCAGCTTTACCGGTGACACCTTTTGCAAACGCCATTGTGCAAACATTGAAGCAGCACCGTGTTTTGCTCATTGCTGGTGATACAGGTTGTGGCAAAAGTACACAAGGTAATTAGTCATATTAAACTAGCATGTATACACATGCTAAGTTACAGGCTTATACAGTAAGATGCTTTTGATAATAGTGCCACAAATTTTGCTGAATGCTGGTTTCAAAAAAATTGCTTGTACACAGCCTCGGCGTATTGCTTGCTCATCATTAGCAAGACGTGTTAGGTAGAAAAATTCCAACTCATTGCATATTACTGATAAACTAACCGATCTCTTCATTCAGCTATGAAACTTTAAATGAATATGGCACGGAGATTGCATATCAGGTTCGTTTCGAGGGAACTAAAACTAACAGAACACGAATATTGTTCTTGACAGAGGTATTCCAAAAAAAACCACCTCAACTTCACCTCGTTAAAGCAGGTATTGAATGGATCAACTCCTGTTAATTAGGGCTTACTATTGCGACAATATGCGGCAGATGATATGCTCTCAATGTATGATGTGATTGTAGTCGACGAAGTTCATGAAAGACATATGATGGGTAAAGCTGTTCCACTTTTTTCTATTTTATGATCTCGGATACATTTTGGCAAACTTCCTATTAGGTGACTTTTTGCTTGCATTATTAAAGAAAACACTAGCAAAGAGGAACGATCTTTATCTGGTCTTAATGAGTGCTACTATAAATGCTGAATTGTTTGCACAGTATTTTGATGCACCCACTTTGGTTGTAAGGAACTTTTAATACTAATTTGACTATGATTGCCACTTTCAAGAGATTACCACCATTCCTTTCTTCCTGTAGATACCCGGCAAGATGTACAGTGTCAAAGTTCACTATTGGGCCATGGGGGACGAAGATAAAAACTTGATAAATGATGCTGCCTATCGGAAGCGACAAGCTGATCCAATAAAGGTAATTGTGTTCATATATTATCATCCAGATCGTTAATTCACCAATATTCTTAGAAATCCATCCCTAGTCGCTCAGAAGTCGTAAAAGCGGGTAAATCATCCAAAATTTCAAAGCATTATTCTTGACTTCATCTTCACTAACAATTTACACAATAGCTCAATACATCAAAGTCTTGGATTATATTGATCAGTCAGCTCCAGTTGATGAGCGAGGAGATTTGCTTATTTTTATGTCTGGTATCAATGAGGTAAGCGGTATAACTTCCCATCCTGGTCTTTTAATGGTAGTGAAAAGCTCTAACTATCACTAATGACTTTCTAGATTGCTAGTTTGGCTGAGCAACTGACGGAATACACTGCAAAATCTAAGTAAAGTTTTGAATTAGAATAGTTATTAAAAACGTGTATGCTGATATTTTTTGCTTTAGGAAGTGGATAATTCTTATGCTTCACTCTTCCCTAACAGTTGAAGACCAAGAGAAAGTGTTCGACTCACCACCCGAAGGAGTACGTAAATGTATAATAAGTTCAAACATGTAGGTTTCTTTCAAAACTTCTATATGAGTAGTTACAAAATAGGAGGCCTACCTTTTATTTTTTTTTCATAGTGCTGAGACTAGTATAACCATTGATGGTATTCGCTTCATTATTGACTCAGGTACTTCAAACTACCTTCAATATAAAGTGCAATTGTAATGCTTGCACACTAATGCCACTTCTCCAACTCAGGAAAAGTAAAAGAGATGCATCATGATCCCAATTCGAAGCTCAGTCGGTTGTCAGAGTTTTGGATCTCTAAAGCAAGCGCTAAGCAACGAACAGGTCGTGCAGGACGAACAGGGCCTGGTGAATGCTTCCGCTTTTATTCAGAAGATGAATTCAACCATTTAAATGATTTTGCTGTTCCGGAAATCCAGCGCGAAACATTGGAACCTTTACTGCTACAGATCAAATCCCTGGGTTTCGGTGATCCTCGTCGATTTGATTTTGTAGAGGTAATGGCCCTGTTAGACATACAATTTTACTTGACTATATCACTCAACGAATAACTTTGGGTTATTGTTTATCTAGAGTCCGTCTATAGAACATATTAATTCGTCGATGAAATTCTTATATAACCTAGGTGCAATTGACGCTCATGAGAATTTATTAGGGTTAGGTTCGGTTTTAGCAAAACTGCCTGTAGATGTTATTGTTGGAAAGATGCTCATATTAGGTGTTGTAAGTAACGACCAGCAGGCTGTCAAGTAGATATATACGCATAGTCTTACTCTTTTCCCGAACACTAGGTGTTCAACATTGTTGACCCTATATTAACCATTGCCGCAAGCATGAGTGTACAATCACCATTTACAAGAGTGACACAATTCTCCAATAGGGACTATCTTCAAGTATGGTGACCACACACACACGCATTTATATAAATACATGTATATGAAGACTGTAAAGAGGCGACTAGGATAATAATGTTTTGGGCTTTTTATAGAATCGCAATACATTTGACTCAAAGGATGGTGACCCTTTCACAATGCTAAATTTATGGCAAAATTGGATAGAGATTAAAGCCGCAAAAGTGAGTTTAATATAGAAGAGAGATGAAGCTGTTAAGCCATTGCTGAGATAGCATTATCGCATTATAGATGTCTTCACGAAAATGGTGCAGACAGCATTTGGTGGAAGAGCACAGGCTGTATGAGGTAACTTTACGTAACAAATTTTCAATAACATACTCTCTTTTTAATCACTCGTTCTATTTGGTGTGTTAAAATAGATTACAAAAATGAAGAGACAGTTCGAGAAAGTTTTAAACGATTTTCAACCGGGCTTGCTAGAAGCATTACGCTTTTTGGGAGATGATGGCTCAGATGAGGAAGAAAGTAATAAGGTTCGTTATATAACGAAAGTCTGCTCAGTATACGCGGTTAAATCTCAAAGTTCAATATATGCAGAACGAAAACCACCGAAAGCGTGATGTACAGGAGAGGCTTCGTAGAGAAAAATTTGAAGAGAAATCAAATAAGCGTCGTCGTACGCTAACTATGGGTAACATTGGGGATGAAGGCATATGTAAGTGCTTAGTCTTTTTTCTTACCGTCAGTCTATAATGCCTAACAACTATCAATATGAAAATTAGATGAGCAGGAAGACGATTACGAAAAGATGGACATTCGTGAACTCGAGTTTACACTTATGAATAACATTAGACAACTTCGATCAAGAGCTCATACTTTATCAGAAAGAGAGATACAGATTATTAAGCTAATATTATGCTCGTCATTGTATCCGCAGTTTGCAATTGGGGACGAACATAACCCTTACAGAAAGAGCAATGAGTTAATTTTTCATACACAAGGTAGACAAGTATCTTTTTATTGCTTTTCACTAAATAAGCTAACTTACCCATATCACAGCAAAGAGCTTTTTGTCGATACATCCAAGCAGTGTTTTTTCAAATCATGCTGAATTGATTCAAGGACATACTGGAAAAGAAAGAAAAGGTACCCAATGAAAGAAGAGATAACATACGATCAAACTATTAACACTTGCATATCTATATTAGACGATAAAACAGTAGAAGAGTCACTTTACCAACAGCTGCTATGCTATCTTCAGCTATTGGAAACAAACAAGCCATTCATAGTGAACCTTACTCGAATTCCTGGTATTCATGCCTTACTTATGTTTGGCAAAACTAGTAAGCATATCAAATATTGATAAATGGCAGCTGCTGTTTTATATGCTAACGTATTTACATTTGTCAGTTGACATAAACACTGATTGTAGTGTCATAGTTGTTGATTCTTACTTCGTTATCAAATTCAGGACAACTCAAGTAGCTGAATTTGTTCTTTACCTTTCCTATCAGCTTCGTTCTGAATGGAATGAGCTTTTAAATCTTCGTATAAGTCATGGTTTAGGCCAGGTATAGAAAACTCAAGTTCTGGTTTTGACTTGTTGAATTTTATTAATGTAATTCGGATTTAGTCTTCAGACGAGCAACTAGGGGATATTGCATCCAGCCCTTCGATAAGAGATAAACTTCCCCTTTGTCTTAAACAGATTCTGGATGATGAGCAAAGAAAGCATACGACAGAAAAGCACATGAGGGATATGTGGACGCCAGAAACTGAGGCGCATTTTCAGCGGCAGACACAATTGTTAAATCGTAAGTTAAGAGAAATGCCAACTGCAAAATATACCTGCTCAAAAATATTGGTCGTAAATTGTAGGTAAATTAGCTGACTTTATGGAAACTGCGATATCAGCAGAGTTAAAAGTTGCCAAAGCTTCTGAACTCATGAAGATGGTAACATATTATTCCTTGGCATTAATTACTGAAAAAGAACAATGGTATTAAAGTGATTTATTTCCTATTAGTATCCCAAATACATTGAACCTGAACGAACCCCGGAAGAACAGAATTATCCCAGAGTCTGGAGTTCCGATGATGGTATTTAGACTATTTATTCAAATCATTTGTGAGTTTTTGTTTAAGTAACTAACAGTACTCACTTATATACAACAGTTATTCGTTCAGGGATACAACTCACACCATACATGTATTACGATAGCATTAATGAGCCATCATGTGCATCTGCTATACCTGAAAGCGCAGACTCGATCCCAACAAACATTAAATCCTTCTGGTTTTGCCAAGAATGTCAAAAAATGTTCTCGTTCAACAAAGAGGAAGCGAGGAACCACATTATGCTTAACCACCTTGATGAAGTTGCTGTTGGAAATAACGATGATAAAAATCCTTTACAAATAACTGCAAAGCAACAATAAAATTATGGAAAATAAATAGTTGTCACTATGATAGAGAAACAGAGTAGCAATCGTTTATAAAAAAACGATGAAAGGAAGGGTCTACTGAGAAACTATTTGGTTGGTGCCGTTGAAACTGTTTTGTATCCATTGACTCAACGAAAGGTAATCAGGACAATGCTACCGAGAACTTTTAAGTAAAATATTTACGATGAAATGACCAGTCCACCAACATCATCGGCTGTTTACCTTTTTTTTTTTTTTTGGGGGGGGGAGGGGATACGTAATTTATATGAGATTTTATTAAATACAAAATTCAGGATCTATATACAGAAGAAGAGAGTGTCTAAAATGGTATTATTGAAATGTTCATCAATAAAGACACTACAGTTTGAGCTCTTCAGTTTTCAAACGTGCGTAATATACTGCTCCAGCCAATGACAATAACATTCCAGCCAAGTTCTATGTTATAATTATTAAACAGACGTTGGTAAGCAATGTATTGTATTTACACACTTTCTCATTTAAGAGCTTACCAAGAGCGACAATGGGTTGCCAAATATAACATAAGCAATCAAAGTCTGGATGATGGTCTATTTGAATTTACAAAAAATTTTTGTTGAAAGAAAAGAACTTCTACATACAATTACGGCTTTTCGCATTATTACCTTCGTTACTCCAGCCACAGATAATGACAACGGTGATACTCGGATAAGTAATATTAGCATGATAACGTTGACTGAGAAGTTCGTCAAACTGGTAATGATCATTTGCACCCAAAACCCAGTTTCATCCCAGAACCATATACTTGTAAAAACTTTATCGAGCTCTCCAGATAAAAAGATAAGCGGAATCATTATTACAGTAGACATGATGGTGTTGTACTGGATAAGTAACCTAGTATGAATAATTTTTGCCCTACTTAGTCGTCCAAAATGTCGTATTCCTGCCTCTTATGTTCAAAATCACTCACCAAAAATCGTTTTTGAATGCAACCAAAGTCTTCTTCAAATAGATGCTATATATTGCCAAAATAGCAGGCCAACCTAAGCCGTAAAAAGTACTAACGACTGAAAAGTTCAAATGGCCGATAAATCCCAAGCACATACCGATGATCATAATGATACAGGCCGATTTGACGCGTTGTGAATTCTCCACGTGCAGCATTAAATGCGAGAATATCATTGAAAATGCGATTGAGAGCGAGTGGGTAAAATGATAGGTTGACACTTCAACATGCTGCAGAAATAGTGGATTAAAGATAATGACACACAAATATACAAGGGTTAGTGGTGCGATACGAATGGCGACGGAAGAGTTCCACCTTAACTTAGGTATACGAAAGTAGGATGGGTGATGTCTAAAAAGAAGTGATGAATTGGGTTGGGATCATACTGAATCAGGATAGAGAAGATAGACAAAGCCAAAATCCTTACGTTGGGTTTATGAAACTCCATAGAGCCATGAATATTAATGTGATTACAAGTTGGAAGAAGACAGTAATGAAGGGGAATGGGAATTTATACTCGGAATGAACATAGAGTAATTTATTGACGAAGGTCGCTAATGTTGAAACAGAAAGATATGATATGGCGGTAGTCGATATGGTGCTTGTAGAGGACGCAAACAGTTTACTACTTCGTCCTCTTTCAGATTTAGAGCCTGCTGGTAGGGGAAGGCCATTCATTTATGTTCTGACAATGTATGGATGGCAAAAGATCAATTATCAAATTTGAAGGATCGAAAATAGAGGATTTTATTGGTGACTGTTCGGCTTGTGTGAGCTTCAAGTAACAACCATGATCTTCAGTGGTATCGAATACACAAATTCCAACTACAGTTGACTTTAGAAAACAAGGTTTGTATAGCTGGTAATGGAAGCCTTTGATGTATGGTCTTGTGAGTGCACTCATCTTTGAACGCCTACTACGCTGGTGGCGGCTTCTATCTTCTCATAGAAGATGCTTGATGATAATGAAATTCCTGAGCGTTTAATGACAATGCCTGTCACTCCACCCTCCATCCTTCCATGCCAAAAAAGAGAAAAAAAGCGTACATTTCGCTGCATTTGCTTCATTTTTCCGTCAGTGCTACAATCAGCCGAAAGAATCATAGGATTAATGCCGCATTTGAGCGAGTAACTGTATTGTTCACTGTGAATCTTTTCTTTCCCACGATTTAGAGCTCTCTGAACTGCACAGTTTACTCCTTCAGTTTCAAAAAAAATAGTCAACAATATAAAAGCCTGCTTCCTACGTTTTCTTCCCTGCATTTTTCTCTCTCGCTAAATATATAACGCTGTCATTTTTCAAAATGATCACCCGATTTTTTAGACCTACAAAAATAGCTGTCAATTGTATTGCACTAGCTCTTCATAATACAGAACGGCGAAATTTTTCAAAAATAGCCGTTCGCTCTCTATCCACCTTCGACAAGCATCATTCGGTATTTGAAGCATTAGGTTTGCAGAAGACGAATAATAGGGGTGTTTTTGACGGTGAATGGAAAGGTTCAGGCGATGTTGTTCCATCTTATAATCCAGTCAATAATGAAGTTATTGCTGAAGTCGTGACGGTATGTATTTAGATAGATCTATTTATTTCTCACGTCTGTAACTCAAAAAGTTTTTGATTACGCCCAGGGCACAACGGAAGATTTGAATGTAGCTCTCGAAAAGGTAGCAGAGGCGCAAAAAATATGGAGAGAGGTAGTATAAAGTCAGAAGATCAACGTTAGCTGGTAAAGCTAAGCATTGACATTCGTCGGTTTGTACATTAGCTTCCTGTACCAAAGCGTGGTCATGTATTGCTGACCATGAGAAATGCACTTGTGGCGAATTTGGAACCGTTAGGGAAGCTTGTTGCTCTTGAGATGGGAAAGATTCTGCCAGAGGGCATTGGAGAAGTACAAGAGTATATTGATATTTTGGAATATGCATTAGGCCTATCTAGAACACTTCAAGGATCAATCATTCCTTCGGAAAGGCCTGGTCATGCTATGTTAGAAACATGGAATCCTTTAGGTACAGTTGGCATCATCAGTGCATTCAATTTCCCAGGTAAGGATTTGTCTATTTCCATCCTATGAGAGGAAGAAGGGCTGTTGAGGGCTGTGTGTAATATGTTTAAGAAGCCTTTTACGATAGTAATTCTAACATTTTTATGTCTTTATCCTTTGTTAGTGGCTGTTTATGGTTGGAACTGTGCCATAGCACTTGTGACGGGAAATGGTACTCTTTGGAAACCAGCGCCTACTACCTCACTGGTGTCTATCGCTGTGACTCGCATTATAGCGCAAGCCCTCAAGGAGCATAACCTACCGACATCTTTGTGTGCTTTGGTGACTGGAGGCACTGATGTTGGAAAAGCATTGGTTGAAGATGAACGCGCCCACGTTATCTCGTTTACAGGATCTACGAAAGTAGGAAGAGAAGTCGGCAAAGTCGTGCAAGGTCGATTTGGACGCTCCATCCTAGAACTAGGTGGTAATAATGCCTTGATCGTCACCGACAACTGTGATTTAGATTTGGCAGCTAGAGCCATTTTATTTGCAGCAGTTGGTACTGCCGGACAGCGCTGTACCACAACACGCCGTTTGATTGTTCATGAATCTGTGTATGACACACTTATTGAAAAGCTGAAAAAAGCCTATATGCAAGTCAAGGTGGGCGATCCTTTAGATGATGGCGTATTATGTGGTCCGCTTCATACAAAGAGTGCTGTTCAAGTCTTCAAAGATACAGTGGAAAAAGTAAAGCAGCACGGTGGAACCATATTATGCGGCGGTAACGTACTCAACACGGGTCATTTAAAGGATGGTAATTTCGTAGAGCCCACCATGACTTTCGTCACGCCTGATATGGAAGTCGTGCAAAACGAAGCCTTCGTTCCCATTTTGCATACAATGAAGTACAAAGTAAGAATATATTAAAATCAAAAAAAGGGAGGGGGGCGGGAAGAAAAGCTGTTCAACTAACAATGTATTGCCTATAATAGACATTGGACGAGGCTATAGCTATCAACAATAATGTCTCTCAAGGCTTGTCTAGTTCAATCTTTACAAACGACCCTGCCACCATCTTTAGATGGATCGGTCCTACTGGATCTGATTGCGGTATCATTAACGTGAATATACCTACTAATGGAGCAGAAATTGGCGGTGCATTTGGAGGAGAGAAAGCAACTGGCGGCGGCCGTGAAAGTGGCAGTGACAGTTGGAAGCAATATTGCAGGAGAGGTACCTGCACAATCAATTACTCTGGTGCATTACCATTAGCTCAGGGCATTAATTTTGGTTGAAGCAATTTTAGACAATAAAATTCAACTAAAAAAGTTTGTAAAACGAATAACATTTTCTTTTCTGAATAAAAAAAAAGTCACAAGAAAGCTAATATACAAGTTTATTTGAATTTCAAATGGTAAAGCTATTTAACAAAGAAGAAATATGTATTACAATTGGAAAAAAAAAGAAAATAGAAAAAAAGGTTGATGGAAACATAAAGAGGAATGGATAATGGAGTGTATAAATTATGAATATGTAAACTGATGGGAGTAAAAAAGTAATGTGATTGCTGTTTATGCAACGACCTAAAAGCCAGTATAAATGGCAGCACCACTACAAGGCTTGGTAGCAATGATAGCATCGTCTAATTCTTCTTCAGTGATGTTGGGGTACTTCTTTCTGTAGAATTCATTCTTGATAGCATCAATAAGCTTAGCGACGTTATCTTCAGTAGTCAAATGAACGGTGGAACCACCCCAGCCAGCACCACTGAGTCTGGAACCAAAAGAGCCGTTTTTACGAGCAATTTCACAGACATCGTTGATTTCGGGACAAGAACACATGAATAACTTATCACAAGATTCCTGAGAGGCATTCATGAGATCACCCAAAGTCTTGATGGTGGAGTCACCTTGACTGTTTTCACAAGCTTTGTGGAATTCGATGACACGGGATGCTTCGGACAAGACGTGCTTAGTACGATGAACAAGACGGAAGTAATCAGTCTCAACGGGGAAACGAGTCATGTATTTATCTTGGAGTTCTTTGACAGGAATATCGAGCATTTGAGAGACTTCGTCCAGAGTGTAACCATTATTGTTGCTATTGTCCTTTGGGTAAAACTCTTCGGCCTTCTTGAGAAGATCAGTAAATCTTTCAACTTCAGAGAGAGAAGAATCCTTGTAGTAGAGATCGTAAACCTCCTTGAGGGTATCAACGGCAGGCAAGTTAAGCTTCTTAGCAAGGAAAAGAGCAGCCATATGGGTTTCGACGACACGAAGATTGTAGTTACGAGGAGCAGTGACGAACTTATCAGCAACAACTAAAGTGTTGGCGATGACAAAAGCCAATTTGGGTGATGTCACGGGCAAAGGAACGGCTTGAGTGCGAAGCTTAGGAACAAATTCCACGTGAAGGGCAAAATCCTTTTCTGATAAAACGGATGCACTTTGATCCATACCACCAGAGTTAACACCAACGTTACGTTCGGCAACGATAGCAATTTCAGTGAGCTCGGTCTTAGAAATGGATAAATTGTTGGCAGTGACAACGGCTAAAGCAGAAGCACAGACAAAAGCAGCGGAAGAGGAAAGTCCACCGCCAGCGGGAACGGTACCGTCAACCATCAGATAGAGACCTTTGGGGGTATCCAACTGGAACTTCTCAAGCATACCCTGTTATAGAAAACATACATAGTATTCGTTAACAACTAATGTCGCTACTACACAACCGCCGCATAACTCTTCGTATGTTCCCAAAGTGAACAGCGTATACTATACCTTATAACCACACTTAAAGTAATTGGACCATTCCAACTTGGTAGAATCGATAGAAACCACCTTCTCCTTACCCTCATAGTCAAATTCTCTGGCAGGATACTTCTTGGAGTTAATGTTGGCAATACGAATCTTGGTATCCTCGTCAGTAGTAGAACCAACAATGATAACATCACGTTCAATGGCCATAGGAAGGACACCAAACCCACAATAATCGATATGTTCACCAATTAAGTTAACACGACCAGGAGAACGGACGACGAACTCGGGCTTGCGTCCATGGACCTTTTCAAATTGGGCAAGAAGATTCTTGTAACGCTTGCTATGAAAGAAGAAAATCAAGCACCGAGTTAATAATCCTGCAGAAATAAATTTGCCCGACCACACGTTCTGTTTCAGGCATTACTCACTCTTGCTTAGGGACAGCGCTAGGATCGTAGATCTTATCGAGTGAGTTGATAGAAGGTACAGGAGCAGACATGTTTGTATATTGAAAAAAATCGACTTCAAGCTTCAAGAAATGAGAACTTTGAAAAAAAAAAAATGGAAATCCTTGTGGAGAAGAAGTGGCTCCCCTTTATATAGTGGTTTTTTTAAAGCACAGGTAAAACTCAAAAGGATGAAAAAAGCATGCCCATAAATGGGTTTTAGGCGGGAAGTGACTTTTTGCTGAAGTAAGCAGAGCTTTACCACTACTTTAAAGTCAGTTGCCCTCGGAAGGGATCAACCCAGCTTTTTCAATTTCTGTCCTTCCCTTTCTGTTTTTCCAAATAGAATGCCTGAGGCTCATGCTTTGGGATGCTCATGCGTTGGGAGCTTCCAAAGTTGCAAATGCAGCGACTGAAAAAAATAGCATGAAAAAAAGTGAATTTTTTCAATTGCAGCCAGATCATAAAAAGGCTTTCTTTCTTAATATGTCGAATGAGCCATTTTAAAATACATACGAAACAACATTTATCATTTAAGCTTCATTCTTATTGTGGAGAACATAGTCTACCTGTTCAGAAAAATCCTAATAAAACCAGAAGCATGCCTCAAGAGCATCTATCCAATCAAATCTTCTGCAAAGTCAATTTTTGAAAGGGACGCATTGTCGGATCCACTTTTTGCCGCTGAATGCTTATTTTTGGCTTCCAACTCAAAATTTGCTTTTTTTGCTCATTTTTTTTTATTTGGAATCAAAGGGAGAGCTATTCGTCAAAAACAGAAATGAACATTTTTTTTTCTCTGTTTTTTCTTACTCCACACTGAATCGCATGCCATTGAAGACATACATCTGGCGTTATTGATTTTCTTACATACTGACTATTTTAATATTTAATACCGTTTCTTTACAGCAACAATATTTATTTGATTTTATTTTATCTGTGTCAAATCTGTTGTCAAGATTTTGAAAAGTAAAAGAGATTGTTTTGTTTGCGAAATCTGCTGGCAATCCCCAAGTGTTAAACTGTAATGTCTCTTTTTATAGATATAGCGAATCACTTGTAAAAAAAAAAGAGAGAATAATTAGAGCAGTGATTTATTATGAGCAACAATATACAAAATACAGGCAATAATCCTCAACCATGGGTTTTATCAGCAGGTATAAAGAAGGACAGTAATAACTTTGGTTTTATCTTGCTTTTGATTTACTGACCAGAGAAAAAACCTTACACGCTTTCTATCATCAAAAAAGCTCCTGGGCATGGAGCGTTCAATTATGCAGTAGTAAGGCCGCCTCATGGGTCTGTATTACCGATACCTCCTCAGCAACCATTGACCAATCATCAATGTCAACCTGTGTCGTCGCCACGAACATCCTTACAGTCTCCTCTCGCACATCAACTAACACCGCAACCCCATACACCGCCTTCACAGACTACATCACTTTTACTACAGCATCAGCAGCAACTGCAGCAACAACACCAGGCAGTGAAGTTTGAAGATCAAACAATGTCTTTACATAATCAAGCTATTGACTTTCAGCAGCAGCCGCCACGACAAGCACCACAACAACAGCAGTCAACATCAAAGCATAAACCTACAAGGGCAGTGATACCATCCAAAAGAGCAGCTCAAAATCGGGCAGCACAAAAAGCATTTCGGCAAAGACGTGAACAATATATCAAAGAATTGGAGCAGAAAGCAAAGGAAATGGATGAATGGCATGATGAATTAGACAATCTTAGAAAACGAAATAGTGATTTACAGAAAAGGATGGCATTATTAGAAAAACAAATTGTCTTATTGACTGGAGGCGATACGAGTAAAATAATAGAAATAGACAATCAATTAAGAGCAGAAGCACAAGCACAAGCACAAGCAGAAGTAGAAGCAGCAGCAGCAGCAGCGACATCATTATCAGATAACACAACGTCTGCGATTCTTTCAGAGAATGAATTAACACAAAGCCCGGAGCGAGAGTTACCGCGTCCACTATCTCAATCGACGGATCGGGATGGAACATTAGCAAGCAGTAGTCATAAAGGAAGCACATCTCCTGTGAGTTCCCGTTCAATGTCAGTAGCTTCAGGAAAACAATCACATACAGAATCTCGTCTTCGGAACGAGCAGTTAATCTCGAAAGAGGAGAATAGGAGTACTGTCATCAGTCATGATGGCAACAGTAGTAGGATGGAGAACAGAGGGTCTGAGAGTGAAGGAAGGTCATTCACGCCCGCATCGTTACAAATGCCCAATAAAATTGTAAATAATGGTATTACAACGTACAACGCATCTGACCAAGCTAAAAGGGCAGCAATGGACAATAGTATATCAGAATCACCAAATGATGAGAAACGACGGAAACTAGAGACTGCTGTATTCACCGGCACCACTATCACCAACACTACTACTCATACTCCGTCTACCACTGATCACGTTTCTATACCAGCTACACCACCAACACAAGTCATGAACACGAATATAAATTCAATAATACTACCTATTCAACACCAGCAGCAAGATCAGCAGCAGCAACAGCAAATTCAAAATCAACCTCAAAATGCCTTCTGGAATAATGCCGCTGCCAATCCACCCAATGCAAAACCAGCTTCAAGTACCGCTGGTAACAATGCTGCTGTTGGACTAAATGCCGTTATGGGCAACTTTGACCTTGAGTTCGATTTTGATCCTTTCTTTGAGGATGAATTTGGACCCACAATGTCGAACAATAACAACGACTTCTTGGCTAATGCCAATAGCGGACAAGTGTTGGATGATCTGTTTGCTATGCTACAAACTAGACAAAGACCACAAATTCCACTCATACCTACTGAAGATAACCTTGATTTAATGTCTGCTGCAACAACAACGAGCAACAATCACACTATAGGAAAGTAAAACGAGAAGCGTTCATGAATAGAAGTTGCATCACCAGTACCCATCATTATTAGTTTTTCTCTTTTTTGTTACCCTTCTTGCCCGCAATGTGTATCGTTCATATCCCCTTCCTTTCCTGTCGTTTCCTTTGTTTCTCTTCATTGAATGTACCTGTTTCTATAATATAATTGTAATTTTATCGTTGTAATAATACTGTTACGATAACTATAAACAAACAACAAAGCCTATGATGCAAATTCAGCTCGTTAACATTTGAAAATAAGGAATAATATTTTTACCATTTTTAATGTCAAAGGTTATTACGGGAGGAGAAAATGTTAGTCTTTGAGATGGCTTCCTTGATCCAAGAAAGTTTTTCCCGGAGGGGGTGGGGGGGGAGGTAAACGGAAGGGCGCCAGAGACGTTTCCATCCAGCCAGGTAAGATTCTCCTTCCGGCTCTTGAGTAAATTTCCTCTGTAACTCAACGCTTACAGAAAAATAACATACTCCGGTACAATCCTTGTTTGAAATAAAAATCCCGGTGCATACGGAAACTGTGTTTGCTGAAATATGCTTAAGTAATCAGGGGAAAACTGGGAATGGTGCAGCATCTTTTTATGTTTTGTAGTTGGAATTCATATCTTTTCTAACAATGCATGTACTCCACATTATTTTACCTTTTATGAAAGGCTAACAAAAAAAGGTTAAGAGTTGTATAAAAAAAGGATTGATTGAGCAGACAAACAACTGTTAGGGAACGCCTAGGAGTACACGAGCTGCAAAACCGATAGTTAAGCTTACAGTACTGATGGTTCCTTGAGAGCTTCAATGGACTTTGAGGCAGACTTCAATATCAGACAAATGCATTGAGATGTATCTTGTCAGTCTATGTGAAGGTGCAAGCATCCAAGGAGTATCCCCAACCGTAGATATAAATACAGCATCCTCCTTCTCCTTCCATTTTCTGAAATACCCCCAAAAAAGATCCGCTTCAAAAATGGAAATGAAAATGGCTTGCTTATCCTTCAAGACTTTTTGAGGCAAGCTCTATTGGAGCAGTATTTGGAGACCTGCGATTCGTATCAAACCTCGTAAAATATAATAACGATAAGGTCGATTGGGTACATCACTAAAAAGAAACAACAATTCTGTTAGTACAGTGACTTTTCAATTTGGTTGAGCTACTTGCGTAAGGTATATTTTTTTTTGCTTTTTGTGATATACGAGACATCCTGTAAGCGTATCTTTCATCAAGACATAAAGTAAAGAAAATTCACATGTTTAATCTTTACTGGAGTGTGAACCTTTAAACGCGTGATGTACAATTGCAGATGCTAGTATGTCAAAAGACTTTTTCGAACCATACAACTGATAGAGGTAGCGACATAAATAGAAGCCTTAGCGAATTTTATTCAAAAGAGACTTTGCAGTGCTAGCTATATAAGCGCATGCTTTCTCTTACTGAAAGAATCAAGTGTCCGGGAGTAACTAACCATTCGGTTCAAGCTCAAGTTATCTAAATACAATTTAATGTATGTAGTTGCTCTGAGTATGGCAAAAGGAACTTTGTGAAAAGCAGTATTAAGTGTAGTCCATCAGTTATTATTATTGTTAGCATTTTCGTTCGATTGTAATGGAATACACATTTTCCATTTATTTTCCTTTCTTTCCCTTCTCCTCCTCCTCCTTCTTCTTCTTCTTTGTTTTTCAAGTAAATCGAGTTATTGACAACCATTGATATAAAACACATATACAATTCAATACCTTAACACTATACACTAGTACTACCCCACATAGTCAGCTGAACCGAATTCTTCAACATGAACAATTTCAAAGGTTGGTTTGGCATGTGTGTGCTGTCATTTAATAGCTACAAAAATAGAAATACAATTAACAACAATTTTCTGAAAAAAAAAAAAAATCAAAACGTTAGATTACTATAACAACAGCAACAAGCCATCTCCCTCCTGGACTGCTTCAGCTCAAACAACCTTCAGAAGGTTTGGCAATAGCAACATTAGTGGCAGAAGTGCTTATCCTACTACGTCTACCGCTTCGACAGTATCAAGAGCAGATAAAGCAAGCACTTGGAGACAAAAAAGATCGTTGATGTCAAACAGAAAGATAGACGAGAACGATGTAGAAGACAACTTCTTTGCAAATAGAAGTAAAGTATATCTCTTTGCAGTGCCACGACTTCAACCAAGATAATGTTTCGTAACAACTTTTTATTTGTTTTCTCCTTCCACAAAATTACTCTTAGTCAAAAGTGGTCATGATCATAAAGAACAAATGATCAACTCTTGGTTGAATCAAAGCAATCCTTCTGATATTATGAAGCAAGACCAGCAAGAATCATCCACAACATCCAATAGCGGTAGTCTTCTCTATGGTCAAAGCAGTAGCTATAGCAAAGCTCTCATGGACACATGCTTTCATAAAAGCGAACCAGGTGATAAGCAATTGTAACGGTTTTTTGTTAGTAACTCGTGGATCTTAATGATGTATTTATGCCTGTATTAGTCGGTCTCTGGTCTTATTCTTCCGCAGTTAACGATAGCACGACTTTCAACTCTGGAAATAATCCTGGCTCTATGGTAGGACATCCATTGATGAAAGATCTTCCTCCTCCCGGCTTGACTCCTTTGCAACAGCCTTTATTGTCCAACGTCGCTATTTCAAGCGCTGCCACTCATCACGGTGATGCAGTGTATGGTTTGTCTTATGACTTACAGCAGCATCAACAGCAGCAGCAACAACAACACCCACCTCCTTTCAAAAGAAGAATGATTGAAAATCGTGACCCTACTCATTTCATGGACTACGCTTCTTCCTCCTACTATGCATCTCAGCTTTACAACCAACAGTTCTATCAACAACCATTCTTTGGTGGACTTCACGGCGGTACTGCTAATACTACTACGAATAACAGTGACAACAATTTTACTATGTTTCCCAATAGCAACAATATGATGTCACTCAGTATGACCGCTACAAATAGTAACGCGTATCTTGAGCCAGCACAGCAACCATTTCGCCAGCCTTTAACAAATATCAGTAATAATAATAGTAATAACTATGCCACGAGCCCCAACGCACAGCAATTAAGCACTCCTGCCAAATCGAAAAGAATGGAGGCCGACATGACCAGTACGTACAATGCTACTAGTAACTTTCAGTACAAAAAGAAACCAACATGGTCAAATATCGTAGCCAAGAACAACAGTAGCAATGATGAGTCTACTGCTTCCACACTTCTAAAATATCGCCAGCAACCACCAACTGGTCTTCATTTGGATAGCAGTACAGCTACTGTCCAATATCCAAGCTTTGACACTGCTTCCACTTCTGCAACGATGATGTCGAGTTTCTCTGCGAACGATCGTTTGATTGGCTGCCCCAGGTTCTATCATCACGCTGATGATGCTATGCCGCCTGCTGCTGTTACTGCTACCACTACTATGACTACTAGTGATACTAATAATACGAATACTGCTACTCCTACTGTACCACCAGCTGCAAGAGCTCAGCGATACATATCTGATTCCATTTATTTTCTGGCTACTCGATTGTCGAGATCGAATGACACCGTGGTAGATGGGCTCAATAAAAGCTGTGAAGATAATACGATATGTAACCGCTCTTATAGAGTCCTCAAAGTGACCAATGTGAGTCTAGCACATCACATTCGACAAAAAAAAAGAAGAAACACTCTTTCTAATGATACGCCTGTGGCTATTTTTCTTTTCTTTTTCTCGTTTGCTTCAGCTGCCTTGGAGTGTACAATCAAATGACATAAGAGCTGCATTGGAGCGCAATACATTGATCAAGATTCCACCAGAAGACAAGTTGCCACACAATGTACATGTAAGTGCTCCAAAAATGACGTCAAAAAAAGGGATTGGAGGAGGGGATTTAGTTTTTCCATGATCGATTGACAATTTTCTTTCCTCATGTTGCTAGATACTGATGGACATAGCTACCGGTAAAACGACTGGGACTGCCTATGTAGAAGTAATGATCAAAAACGACCTTGGTTTCTCTGAAGACGCAGTAATTAGTAGTATTGTATTTCAACCTGTTCAAGGACGTCGGATTAAATTTGTAAAGAGTACCTACGGCGAGCTCTGTCGAGATCTTTTTTCTGCGTGGCGCCCTGGCTTCACTGACGACGGTTTAGCCATCTTACCCCCTGGTAATGGTGAAAGCGGTGCTGGTAGCGCTAGTTATAGCAGCGCTGGTAATCATAGTACTCGACGTGAGGGTAGTAATGGGGGTGCAACTACTATTACCACCACCACTACTACTACGACTCATACGGCCATGAGTATGACAGACGACAATCCTGATACTGATACTGATATGATGGTGGATGATTTATCAACATTCTTTATCGAGCAAAAAGACCTACAAAGCCTGCTCAATATTTGTAGACATTACAAGGTAAAATAATTTTTTTTTTCAAATTGAAAGATGAATGGAACATACATTTTTCTGACGCATATACACATACGCCTACACATAGATCTGTTACAACCGTAAATGTGCGCAGCGTCCTTTTGAGTTCCTTATGACTTTAACATTATGCTTGCCTTGGAAGCAACCGAGAGCAATTACTACCATACAAAGGGATATTATTTATGAATGCTTCAAGCTTGTAACAGGTAAGGAAAAAAAAAGAAAAAAAGCCAGCTTTTGGTGGGTAGATGTATGTGCATACGTGCCTTTTTGTTACTGCTATTGCTTTAATGAAAGCATAGCATTCAAAGATTGTTTAACTTTTGTTATTTTTGTTGCTATCAGTGGCTTTACAGGAACACACGACCAGAAAGCTCCATTCGTTCGACAGAAATCTTTTAAGCCGACTTATTCGAGTCGCACTGTTATGCGACGGTTTTACGGCCAAGCAGAAAGCGGGGATCCTGGCAAGCTCGTAAGTTTACTGTCTTTGAAGCGGGGTGGAAGAGATTTACAGGTCGAACTAACATTGGCTGTATTCTATTGTATATGATGATAGTCATCTACCTTGCCCTAGTGATCTGCAAGGATATTTGGAAGAACCCTCCATTTTAAATGATTTGGAGCTCGTCAATATGCTTCGGTGATCTGCTTGCGTTGACCATGTTCACTATAGTTATTTACTTTTTTACTAGGCCTATCAACAAATAGACACTTTCATCATTCACTTGAGCTATACACAAAGTAGACGACGCATTCTACCTTTCTACTTGAGGGCTTTCATTTATGCTCAGCAGTAAACCATACCAAAATAAAATGCTAATGCTCTTCTTATCTGCCTCTTAACTAATGTTGGGCTCGAGAACAAGAGATCCACAATGAACGCTATGGCTGCATACATCCCTTCAAATATCATTCTTAACAAGGCAAAAGACGATTTGAGATTTGAACCTACTTTTTTTCCCCTCTTATTTAGCAATTCAGTTATTAATTTTCAAAGGGCGTTCAAAAAGCAATAGTTTCCTTTTCCAATCGAAAACCCTTGTCAACTACACTTTCTAACTTTGTTTCTGCTTTTGCTGTTTACACTGACGAAAAAAGGGTCTGTGCTGAACCGACATGCGATAACTCTTTTTTTTTCCAGCGCCTCTTTAAAAATAAGTCATTCATTTCTTACATGTATGTATCTATCTCATAAAATAGCCCAAAAAAAAAAACCAAAAGTTTGTGATTGTTCAATAACATGCCTCTGACTCCTTTCTCTAGCCACGCGTTTCATACAAGTTATGGAATGAAGCGGCCAAATCGAGATTGCCCCTTTGCATGATTTGGGGCAACGGAGATAAATGCCCCCCGCATTTTCGTATAAGCGTCCTTCCATTCTATGTGGTACCGTACTAAACCATCAATGCGATCCTAAGCTACACATGTCTGTACACTTGGTTTTTTTTTCGCTATGAAACCCCTCTGCCAGGAGTAGAACGAAGGATGTACTCTATAAAGTGAGGGTTAAAACCGATGCAACTTCCTTGAAAAAAGCTCTTTTGTGTATATCAATGATAAAGAACGATCCAGTTAAGCATTCAATAAGTCTTAATAGAATAGATCGCTGTTAGTGTGGTTTTTTTTTTTGTGGCATGTTTCAAAAAAAAGAAGAATAAAAAAAAAGCCCTGTTTGTGCGTGTGTGTATGCTTGCGTATATGTGTGTGTGTGTGTGTGCATTAATTGATTCACACGCAAGAAAAAAAAAGAGCGACTCTTTTTTCAGTGATGAGGCTTGACTTACTCTTAGATCGATGTTAATAAGCATTCAAATAGTAAAAAATCGCTGTTAAAATGAACGGGTTTTGAAGCAAGTTCCATCATCCGTATTTAGCAGTTTGTAGTACATCATTTAGAATATTCATAGAAAAAAGAAAACCAATATGGGACGTTCAAGCCATGCAAAACTCGAATGTATGTCGGTGTTAACGGTCTTTTTTACCCATACCGAATTTATCTGATAATGCCTTTAAAGAAACAATCGTTTTGAAATCATTTTTTTTTTTTCCTTTCTTCTTCTTCTCTCCCTTTCCTTTTTTATTACTTTTTATTTTTTTTAATATCGATATTGTATATATATTCTACTCCCTTTTTTCTCTATTTCCTCTGAACTTGTACCTCTTTGGTTTTTAAGCAACGCTCTGCGATTTCATCATTATTTCCATGGGTAAAAACCAGAAATTTTCTATTTTTTACACACAGACATTTTTTTCTTGTGGAAGGTCGATCTTTTTTTTTTTGTATTCTTTTTTTTTTAACTTGACGTTTCATTCATTGCTTGAATTGCTATAGAAAACCCAACTGCTCTTGATCAACCACAACAAGACGAGAATCAGACAAACACTGATACCGATAACAAAATCAATGAAAATGAATATCAGCTCTTGAATGCGGATCAAAACAGCGATACAGGTGGCCCTTATCAAAATACTCTTCAACAGCAGTATAACGATCGAAATCAATTCATGTTCAGCATGTCACCACCGAGTCAACAAAGTAACACAAATGATGCGTCAAAGTATATTGGCTGGAAGGAGTATCAAAGCGAGCCAAACCTTTTGTCTCAATACGAATTCGCTGCTACTGATGTAGCAGTGCAAGCAGCAGCAGCAGCAGCAGCAGTATCACAAGCAGCGACCGCTCCTCATCCTTATGACACCTTACATGAACAACAACAACAACAACAACAACAAAATATGATACCACCCTCCCCATTTACTCCGAATCAGCAACAGTGTTTCCTTGCTGGTAAGTCAATCTTTTTGTTCTACACTAAAAGATGTAATGTTCAAAATACTCTGGCAGGTTGTAAACAAAATTCTGTTATAGACACCTATAATTATTCACAACATCGGGGAAGCTTGCCCGTAATATACGATCCTAACTTATTGAACCAGGCGGCAGGTATACATGTTACAGCTCAAGCAGCAGCAGCTGCTGCTGCAGCTGCTGCTATGGCACAGCCACCACATGTACAAATGATAGATCAAAATCAATATGCCCGTCGTCATACAGAAGGTTCACTTCCTTTGAGAAGTTTGGGTGGTGTGGGTAGCGGTAGAAAACACAGAGCGAACTCTACTACTGGATCCAATAGTGCTGGTAACAGCAGGAGGAACAGTAAAGCAGCAAGTACAATTTCCGACGGACTGGGAACGGAAGAAGAAGATGAAGCGAAACGAAAGCAGTTTTTAGAAAGAAATAGACAGGCGGCATTAAAATGTAGACAAAGGAAAAAGCAGTGGTTAGCTAATCTACAGAATCGCGTAGAGTTTTTGTCAGCTGATAATGAGCAGCTTCACTCACAAGCGACCATGCTACGAGAAGAGATCATCAATTTAAAGACCTTGCTATTAGCACATAGAGATTGTAAAGTGGCACAGGCGAATGGTACAACTGTAGAGATGATACAAAGTGTATCTAGTCAATCGTTCAATAATATACCCCTAAGTTCCTCAACTATGATTTCTGGAGCAGTAACATCAAATACTAGTACACCTATTTTTGCAAATACTAACTTAGAGATGCGCGGTGGTCCAAATCTACACCCTCATCAACAGCTACAACAACATCAGCACCACCCACAACAATAACCCAGAAAAAAAAAGTTCAAATCATAGACAGTTGTAGCATAGTAAAACCGACGCTGCTACCTAAATCAATCCCCACACTTTCCATCGAATTTATTTTTATAATCCCGTCCTCAATAGCTCCAACAAAAAATGTTATATTTGTCAATTTTTTTGCCCTTTTTTTTAATATTTCCTAAACTCTCTTGTTTATAATAAATAAGTAAGGATATCTAGCCGCTTTGGAACGAAAAATATAACGGCGGCGTCATTCCCGCCTTTTTTTTTTTTTTTATCTTTCTACGTGATTCAAGGGTTTAAATTGAAAAGGGGAATCGGCTGATCACTGTGCAGCACGTTTCGAAAGCTGGAATTGCATGCATGAAAAAACCAGCCATTTAATAATCGCTCTCAGAGTCTGGTTGCAGTCTGAAAACCTTGCCCATCCCATATTGCTTATATATTTTTTCAGCTCGTATACACCCTATATTTTATTGTTCTGATTTTTTATTTTTTTTTTTTTGTTGGCAGCTGTGCATATTCCAAATGCAAGTTGCATGACTCTAGCAATGACTATGTCCGTTTGGAGCCCTCTTGGTTAGTCTATATCGAGAAATCTAGCCAGCAGTATCTTATGTTAGCGGATCAATACTACCATCTTATCAAAACAACGTTCGCTTATTCACCTGTGGCTTTATCTATGGGATAATCCTTCTATGATACCTTTTATACGGCACACGGATTGGATTCATGTGTTAGACTTGATAGCGCAGGTGTCGTTCGATAACGATAATAACTATCCTCCACCTGTAGAATGCATTGTTTATATGCGGCTTGGGAAGACAAAGAACAAAATCAAACACGGTCATCATTAAGCAAAACTCTTTTAGAACAGCCACGTACCAATGAAAATCGGTCAAGTACGTCAAAATTGGGCGATGTATTAAATGTTCGCTTTTACCTTCAATTTTTGATCTGCTGTAGGGCTTTGCTTCTGCACAGAAATTTTGATTGTAAGACCCCTGAAACGCTTCCTTAAATCCTCTTGGCAGAGATTTTTTTGTGTTTGTAAATATAGCAGAAACGTACAAGGAAGCGAATCTTAAATTATTTCCGCCATTTTCTGGCAGTTTCCGTAAAGAAAGTAAAGAACGTAAAGACTTCATTGCACTCTGTAATTGATGTAGTGGCTCTCATCTATAACTGATAGCTTTTATGTCTGCTTATCTCTTTTGGAAAGATTTGTATTTTCTACAAACAGCGTCCAACATCACCATGCAAACCATTTGATGCTCTCAATTACGATTTATTGGATAATAATATATAAGATAAGATATTATATAAGAAGTCGGGCATGGTCCGGAATAAGTTATAAATGAATAGGGTACAAGAAATGTATAGATATATAAATGTCATGTGTTCTCCCGTAGGTAAACAAACAAGCATGGAGGGCAGTAGCATAAAAGATGCTTACATGGAATGTCTTTTAATCTCCATTTTACTGTGCGATAGAACCTTTTTGATTTTCTTAGTGAGACTTTTACGTCTTCTATTTAATTTAGTCGTTTCACGTCTAAACAGCGATGCCGTTGTATTTCGTGATTCCAATGGTGTTGCTGTCACTGTTGGCGCTATTGGTAAGGTTTTAGCTAAAGAACAACCATCCTCATGATGCTGTTGCTGCTGATGTTGTTTTCGTTGTTGCTGTTGTTGTTGACGCTGATGATGGTGTTGTAAAACAGAATCAATGGGAGATGGTGTCTGTGGTGCTAGAATAGAGGATGTAGTCGAAACAGATAACGCCATGGGTTCATCGACAGTAACTGCTGTTACCATGATTGAAGGACCCTCTTCAGTAATAATAGTATTTTCCTCTTCCATTTCTTTCTTTTTGCCCTTCACTGTCACAGGTGATTTATCTGTATCATTAACCAGACGAGTAGTCTCATTGGCTTCTATTACAGTTGTTACTCTTTCTCTATTCTGAACATCATTTGTGTTGCGTGTTTGACCATCATTCATTTCTGTTTCAGCTGGGTTTGAGTTTATCTTGCTCACGTTTGCTAATGAGGATGGCCTTAGCTCAGAACTACTGCTGCATTTCAGCTGGTTGGTTACTACTTTATCTTCTCTCAGCGTAGTATCGTGTTGAACAGAGGGAGTACAAACGATTTGTACATTATCTCTATCTGGTTGAATATTTTCGGTAGGTAACGCACTTATTCCGCAACGAGAAGGATTGTACCATAAACGTTCCATCGACAGTAGATAGTTAAACCGAAGCATTTTTTTCCGTGGAACAAATCTAGAAAGGTAAAAGAAAGAAATGAAATAAAGAAAAAAAGGCAATAATTGATCTGCACTAGTCTTTGATATAAATATTTGACTGAACGAGGCATTCAAAAAGCTCTGTCCCTTCAAAAGAACCTATCATGGGGGTGGCACAAAAATTTAATCTAATTTTTTTTTTTGAATGGTCAGTTTATGGTTGGGCATTTTGGGCAAAGCAGTATAATATAATGTCATCAAAGGAATCAAGCTCAACAAGACTGAAGTAAAACACCATCCATTATTGGATATCATATTGCTATTACGAGTGCAATGAGAAAGTTATATTATGTAATGATAGCTTATAATAAAACAGTTTATTTGAAATTTCCAATGCAATGGCAGCGTAAACTCTCACTGCTGTTGAATTGCTTGATTGAGCTTATTTTTTCTAACTGGCCTTGTTCAAAGCATTTCTTCCAATTAATTCTATCTGTTTTTTTACTTTTGAAACGTTGAACAAATTCGTCTAGCTCTGTATCAAGTTCGTTTCCAGGCTCTAGAGCGTTTATAGGCCTTTTTTTGTTCAGATATTCTGAGGAAGGGGTTTCTTCAACTGGAGTTGTTTCAATGGCGTCACAATATTTCCTTCTCTGTCGCCGTAAAAACGACAAAGTGTCGTCCATATAGCTCAATGCTTTTTTGTTTGAAACTTTGACCAGTTGACTGATGGAGACCGTTCTAAAGCCGCAATATCAGAACATATAACGGACACTTGTAACTTGGGAGAGAGGGAACGTTTATATCCCCTCACCTCGTCCAAAAGTCGTGCGAGAACCAAAAAGAAAAAAAAAAAAGGCAAGATTTTGTACAGTATTTATAATTTTTCTGGTTCTCCTTCTCTTCCAAAACATCAGTCTCACGTTGAGCTCTATTTTCATATCATGCTCTGGTACTGTGGTTTTAGAACGATCTCCAATCAAGTCAGTTACTGGCCTGTAATTATAAGGGAGAATGTTGTCAGTTGTGTCTAAACAATTTCTTGGAATAGAGTGTATGTTTTTATAACATACTTTCTTATTATACCAATGTTGAAATAATCAGGCTTTTTTCTTTTTTGTGAGTTAAAATGAAGAAAAAGCGTATCGTACAGCTTTGATAAAAATCAAAAAAAAAAATCAAGTTTTCGCACAATTTGGAAAAAGAAAGATGACTCTACAGTGTGAAGCATTCAAATTAATGACAACAAAAAGGAAGGTAGATATGCGAATTTGTTGGACGTATGAACAAGACAAATCACTGTATTTCAAGGAAAAACAATGAATTAAGCTCTTATGTATATGAGTAAATGCATCCCTAATTTATTAATCCTATGTCACATAATGAATATCCTTCTAGAGCAAATAGATGACAAAATGTCTAGCAATCTTCTATTGAAGGAGAAGCGACAGAAACAGTTTGTATCAAAGTTTATGCATACTACTTAAGCTGCAATGATATATCCGCTTTTTGTACTCTTTGTTCAAATTACTCGCACATACCATTACGCCGTGGAATGACTATATTCAACCTCATTTATTCTTTCCTATGCAAAGTGTAGATGCATCTTCGATTAATCACTGGCCTATACATTTCTATCTTTTATTACTGAGATCCTATAAATATGGATGTTGCATCTTAGTCAAACGTTCATTCATAGCGACCACAATGTTTTCGGTACAAAGTTTGCAGATTAGTGGTTGGATAACATTATTTAAATTACATACTTGCCGTTAACTGCAATACTAAGTTATCAGACTTAAACCACCAGTGATAACGCTTTTCTTTACTGAATATCATTCATATACTTAACATTAATCATAAAACTGGCCAACAGATAATTCATAAAATCAAAAGTTACTACTTTTATTTCATCTAACTGTATGAAAAGTAAAAATTAGGTCTATGTCAATGAATAATGAGGCAGGGATGAGTAACTAATACAGACGGGTTGGTATAAATATTCAAATTATTGTATAGCTGAAGATTTTCAGGGACTTAATATTTTTACAGCTTTGACAGGCTGTTACTGTTTAAGTCAAGAATAGTGCTGGCCATATGAATAAGGATAACTTGGATAATATCCAAAATAAGTATTTGCTGCCGGAGGATAGGGAGGGTAATGTTGTAATATAGCAGTAGTACTACCACTGACGATATAAGGGTAAACTTCGGGATTGTAGTAGCTGCGGGATAGGTTATAATTTACACAGGATCCGTCAGCTGCAGTAGGGACAACAGTACTCATTGGAAAAGAATATATGTGACAAGGTGGCGGTGGCAAATCTGATACAACAACATAATGGCCATTTAAAAACGAAGAAGAAGCTGGAGCAGTGGTTGTAGGGACGTACGTCTGCAATGAAGTGGGTGACATTTGTCGTGGAGATGGCTGAGCAGCTAATTTGGGTGATGTCGACCGAATACTCACAGTCTCTACCGATATAGTGCGACTTCTTACGGACTTTTTATTGCGATCTTCACCTATCATTGTTTTGTGTGGCATGCTGTCGACAGATTTGCTTCTTTTTACTGGAAATGACCTCTTATTCTTTGTAACAGTTGGGCTGTTTGATATGAATTTCGAAGGCCTTTGCTCGATATCTAAATTGTTCTTCTTATCTGTGCCTAAAGTACTATCCGATGCTAGCGATGATATGCCATCAACAGAAGCAGGAGAATTGTAGGCATCATATTCACGGCCTTCACCTCTGTAAATAGCAAGCAATTTTCTTCTATTTTCAAATCCAACAGCTACAAACCCGTCAGGCTGACTTCGCTGCGTTTTGTAAGCTCTCTTTTCAGTTGTTCTCTTTCTGGGACGAAATTTGTAACCAGGATACCTGAATGGGGCAGTAGGAAAAAATTACTTGATTGATACAAATTCATCTCACTCGACGATCTAATTAAAACTAGTTCTCACTTACATCCTCTGATGGATATCCTTCAGCCGTTTTGACTCCAGAACGTACGGCAATTTATCCTCCTTGCTCAATTCCTTCCACCATTTGGAAGTTATTTTGGATATATCTCTGTGATTAGCACCCGGGCATCTCTTTGCTATTTCACGTTGTTTTTCCAAACGAAATAGCATAAAGCAGTTCAACGGTCGAGGAATCCTGGTTTCTATATGGGCATCAGTGTCAACAGGCGTTGGAGAAGAAATAGCAGCACGATAGCTCATAAGTATAGATGTTGGTCAAACTGAAGTTAAATCAAAAGAAAGAAACAGAAGAAGAAAGAGACTACCCTTTTTGTACAGGCCATGGATCAATCCGTAAAGGCTATTTTATTACATGCATTCGGTTATAACCTATTATTGGGAAAATTCAATTTTCATTATACTCGTCCTTGTCTAGAGATATGATACGCATGCACTAGGTTTCTCCTTGAATTGTTGTTGCTGTACAATAAAGATTGATGCTGCTTTAAATATCAAAGAATAATCAAAGCGCTTTCATAGGTTACGTTCTTCAATAAGATCAATAAAATTTACTTTACTCTAGTGATGTACATTTTGCTTAAAAATTATATTGGACTGTAAGCTTGTTGTTTCTAAGTAAAAAAAAAAAGGCATCTATGTTACTTTTTGTCGCATTGGCAGCGCTTAGACATTTCGCCACGGCTTTCATAACAGTAAATTTGCTTCAGAGCATCTGCATTGATTGGGTAGATCCCTTAAATTGACGCCCCATACCGCTTCAATAAAATTGGCCTTTTCTGAAGATCCGATATTTTCTTTGTTCACTTTTCTTTCTTAAATCAAACCGAATAAATCAACCAAATTTGATCCCATGAACAATACAGACGGAGAGGCAAAGCTAGTCCAAAAAAGGAAAGTTTAATTTTTTGAATCCCAGTTAGCTTAAGAATTCAGGGAGGATTTGCGAGGCTGGGCTGTCAACCAGGACCTGCTATTTCACTCCACACTTTTCATAAATTCAACCAGATTCCTTGTCAAATTAGCAGCATGTCACTGAGATCTTCAATACTTTCTCTAACACGAAAGGCTGATTTTACAGCCCTTTCGTTTACAAAGTCAACACGCCAATTCTCAATGTCTGCCATTGCAAAGCAAGCTTCACCAAATCGTAATGGCAGCAGCAGCAGTAGCAGCAGCAGCAACAAAGTGTCTTTCGACTCAGGATTGAATGAAAATTTGTTGAACCTACCAGAATCGCTATCGCAAAAAATAGAGGGAGCAGCACCTAAAGAGACCGCTTATTCTCTCCAAGCTTATATTGGTCGCTCCGTCGCACATTCGAATGCTAACGTCGCCTACAGACAATTAAACGGTATATTAACAAGAAACAGGATTAGACAAGATGTTAGGAATAACAGACATTACGTAAAACCTAATGAAGCCAGAAGGCTGCAAAAGGTAGAAAGTTCACGTAAACTGTTCAACGCTATGGTGAAGAAGAAGATCGGTATCATTATGCAAATGAAGCAAAGGTAAAATGAATATTTGAATCTTATGTTTCGGATGGAAATCCTTCAGTGCTAATATTTTCTCTGCTTTTGACAATGTACAGAGGCATGTAATTATCCGAACGGTATCAAATGTATATTTTCAAATACAGTATCTACCGAATATTGTTGTAGAAGAGAAGAGCATTCAATACATGTATATTTTGTCCTTGAAAAATGATAGAAATAAATGATAGAAATAAATAAGGTTGAGCTAGAGTCTATATTAATAACCTAAACCAAGGTTGACAGGTTCATGGATATTTGCTATTCTACATAATTGGCGTACGATAAAATGCCAGGCGTCTTGTTCTAACCCGACTCGTCGTCCGTACTCCCATAGCTTTCGACGTTTATATTCATAGGTTTTTTCATCAATAGACCTCAAAATATCGTCCAGGCGATGCACTTCATCCCTGCGAATCTTTACTACGAAAGAATCCCAGTCCACATCGAACTCGAAGGGTTCAACGATGCCATCTGCAATTACGACAGGTACAACGCCAAAAGCAATAAACTCCCAAATACGAGTGGTATCCAAAGTCCAACCCATGGGACTTAATCCATACTTGGCACGAGCAAGCTTTTGAATATACTCTTCGTCTGCAATCACCTGTCCGATTTCATATCCACGGTAATTTTTGAAATGGTTGAAAAATAAAGATCGTATGCCGTTAGAATAGACGTCCTCTGGCTTAACTTCAGGACAACAGCCTTGAAATAAGACAAAAATGTCCCTTGTGCCTTTCTTGGGTTGGCCATCAGGTGTAAGGTATTTCATAGGGTCGGCTTTTAGATGATGAATCATACGTGTAGCGGAAGGAATCACAATATCTCGATCGTATCGATGTCGATGAGCCCACTTTTCTCTTTTGTCACCTACAGTTTTCAAAAAAATTGCAGGTTGAAATCTCTGGTTACTTTCATAGTAAGTAAATGTCTTGTCCATTGGGTGGATCATGATGTGATCTTTGCCACCTGAGCGATTCCAATAGGGATACTCGTTTATGACCATGTCCATCATCGGATCAACGTATCGCAGATCGACATCGCAACGTTCATCCCAATTCCAATTATGTTTTGACCAACAGTTGTAAAGGTAACAAGCACCGAAAAAGGGTATAAAGAAAAAATCGGCTTCTTCTGGCTTTTCAGTGACATAAAATTGATAAAACGGACTGGAAGAATCAACAAGTTGATTATGGAGGATAATTTCAGAGTTATAATTGGATTCATGACAGCGATTGTCTTGTGTAGATTTGGGAACTTGAAAACTGTCATGTGCTTTATATACATAGATTTTTGGCTGACAAATGGCTTGCTCGACCGGTGATGGCCAGTAAGACGGTGTGTCTACAAGTGGGAGAGGTGGTGCTGGTTGTGCTGTAAATCGGCTCACTTCAAATAGTAAGCATAGTATTATAAATACCACAGCTATCAGAGACAACCATTTCTTTTTGAACCGTACTACGGCTGCCATTTCCGTTTTGTCTTCAAAGCTTTTTGTTTAGTTGTAACTATCAAAAAAGAAGTAATAAAGGGGAAGAGGGAAATATACAAGCGGCAGGATCAAAAACCGGTAGGACCTTATTTTTTTTTTTCAATATTTAATTTCTGGAAGATTTTCCTGATTTGTTTATACTTTTACAGATTTTCACCTTCGAGTTTAGGTAAAACTGCAATATAATTAGACGAAATAAACCAATTTTTGAGACGTTTAAGTTGAAACTTGGAGACCGAACTACACTAAAATGGAAACGGCTACCTGTAGAATGACGAATGCAGTTTAGAAATTTGCTACTTTGTCTAGAAAAAAGCTGCAAATGAACTATAAATTAAAATTATATTTTGTATAAAATTTGAAAATTTGTCTAAACATAGACGGAATAACTGAATTTCATTCGAGAGTTTCAGAATCCCAAATTGGTAAAGATCTTCCTTTTGCATATCGTAGACTCAATATAGATGAATCCAAAACATTTTATGTAGTTCAGTATGTGCAATAAGTAAGAAGGGACCAATATATAAGATTAATCAAAGCTCTGGATGACGGAAACTTGAAGATATGAAGTTAATAACCTTTTTTTTTCTCGACAGATAGACAAATTTTGAAAGTCAAGCTTGCTCAGTGCCAGTTGTGTAAATACCAAAAATAAATGCCACCTATCGCTCCACCAACATTGCACAGTCCAGGAGATTCACATCAACAGTCATTATTATAATACATAGACATACAAACAGCCCTTACTTCAGCAGCCATATATTAAGTATGATAGTCTAGCACATAAGGTTACTAGCAATTAAGCTTAGCACAATTCTCAGACATGTAGCAGACGATATCAAGTAAAATGCACGTAAAGCTTAATGTAACAGTTGTATAGCATAGCTCTCGTTCCATTTTGCATCATCTTCCTCAACCTTTTCTCCCGGTGTCTAATTGGTTGTAGTTATTTCGAGAAACTGATTCCATCAACCCTTGTATGTGTATAGACCCTCCCAAGGCAAGTCGGCTCCTGGCCTATTTCAAGTTACATACGGTAACTTACAAAACTCTGTCGCTTATAGAGGAAAGTTACTGCTTGCTTCACTGCCCTTGTAATTTAGCATCCTTTACTCCGAGAAAAACAGACATATTGAAAGAATCACAATCTTATCTAGTGCTTATAAGAATACATAAGAAGCATATTACTCTACATTGTTTGCAGTGACATCTATTGTAAGTAAGCACTTCAACCTGGTTATACGATGCACGGCTAAACTGAAACTCCGATTGCTGAAAAGACTGTTGAAACGTATGTAATGCACTTCATGCACATTTCGATTACGTTGTACGTGTTTTACTTTCGATTGAAATTTGTTATGCTATCCAGTCTCACAGGAGTAACGGTAGAGAAAGACCGATACAAAGTACATTCTGCTATAGTTGGACTAAAAAACGAGCTTGTAGAAAAAACAGAAATCGCAGTATTGAGAGCTAGCATATACTTGACTATTGTACAGATGCCTTCCTTCATTTCATTGACTTTGTTAAACTGTATAGTAAATGTTTACTAGTACCATAATCAAGTAGGCTTCGTTTTCTAACTTTCTGCAATTTGAAGTAATGGTACAATCAAGTTCAAGCAGAAATCTAATGATCGTTACAGTTTCATTGAACACATTTCCTATACTGTAACACAGTCAAACGAACTTCCATAATAACAAAAAGTGCCTCCAATACAGCCACTCTCGATATTTTTCTCTGCGGAACATTGATCTCGTCACCTTGTATCACAATGGACGAAAATAGTCACCTTTCGAAGAATTGCTGTCTATAATGGCAAAAGTTCTATCAATCTTCCTTAAAGAACCGTATGATTAACTGCTTAGTCCACAAACCGTTATAAATGTAACTGACAGCTAAATGAGTTTGTAAGTCCCCTTTTCCCCCACTTACAAGAATTGCATGAATTACTGGTAAGCTTAACGAAATGCCTTAAGAAGGAAGACTTATAAACAGTTATTTAAACTTTGGCTCCTGTAATATTAACTTGCCCCTATTAAATTCGGTTTGTCCTCCCTTCACTTGCAAATAAGTTTATTTTAAACGCAAATGACTTTGTCCATCATAGCACTACTCTGTGTAAATCCTTTCAATTCATTACGCATATACTTTTTTTTTCTGGATTCTTTTGCCCTTCTTTCTCTTTCTCTGCTCTTTTTCCTGCACTCCAACATTTTCGTTATAGCCCATTTGCTCAACCAATTATTTATTGTTAGCCAACCCCCTTCCACTCTTTCACAACCAATAGCTGTCAACCATGTCTTTACCAACGATTAGCTATGGACAGCAAGATGAGATGCCTCAACTGAGATCTCAAAATGATCAACTGTGGAAGATCATCGAGAAACAAAGAATCATGATTCAGAATCTTCAAAAAGATAATGTTCGTCTTGCAGCAGAGCGAGACGGTCTTCAAGATAAAGTCAATATTTTAAAAAGAGAGCTTGTGCGGAAACAAAAAGCCTCTCTGCTTATTTCACCACAAGCTCTGTACGAAATGGCGGAGGCAGATGATAATGCTTCCCCGTCTACTCCCACCACGGCTGCAACTCCAAGCAGCGAAACAGCAGCTTCACCTGTAGAAATATCCGGTGATACTCCAACTACCGCAACGACACCAACATCAATATCATCTGCTGCAGCCGCTGTAAGTAGCCCTATGCCTCCACCTCGTTCGCCATATCGTCCCTTAATCAAGGAAAAATCAGACGATGCGCTGTTTTTTGACAGCAATAATAACAATAAAAAAGGCAGTGGTAGTCTTTCAACAGAACAAGACTCTACTACCACCACTGCTAGTAGTGGCGCAGCTACTGATTTTTATAGTTTGGCCAAGAATTCACTTGGAGAGGAATACATTGACAACGGCAACGTTATGAACGGAAGGTCTTCGCCAGGGTCTCCAGCTCCTGGGCCTCAAGCGCCATATCCGCCGGCACAACAACAACCCTATCAACAATTACGTAAGGATAGTGCACCTTTACCGTCCACAAAAATGCCCGTAGTTGTACCTTCTCCAAATAAATCCACTTCGCTAGAAACGCGTAAAAATGCTCGCCGAAGGGATTCAATGATACCGTCCACGAGAGGCTTGTCACCCACGGACAATAACAGCATAAATCTAGATCATAGCACCAATATTAACAATGCAAGACTCAATTCAGACATTAATACTACCCATTTTGATATTAATACCACTCATCCTAATACCCTTAACACAAATCCTAACCACCTTAATACAACTACTACAGCTAATATACCTACAACTAATACAACTAATACTAATAGACAATATGAAAGCATCCACCCAACTGCTTCACGTACTGAAAGAAGACATAATAACGGTAAAGACGATGGAAACCAACAACAACCTAGAATCGTCACCAAAAAACAACAACAAATGGCAATTTTGAGCAATTTACCTTCTGTCTTTATAAAAGTTGTTGGGTCTAATATAAAAGCAAATGAAAAGGGAAAGGAAGTTATATCGTTTATTATCTCTATCGGATCTTATAGAGAAAACAACGAGCAAAGTAACAAGAATAATCAATATGATGAAAGTTGGCGAGTGGAAAAGCTTTATTCTGATTTTCTAGCACTTGATTCAAAGGTAAGGAAAACAATATATGCTGCTATAGAAACTCAGCTTTTTATATCGTATTTTTTGTCTTGGTAAAAATAGTTGAAAGCTCAACGCAATCGAGCTGTTTCTAACAAGATTGGTAAATTGCCTGACAAAGCTTTGTTTTCAAATAATGCGCCTACAAAAGTAGATCAAAGAAAGGTTTGTAGAAGTTATAAGATTAAAAAGAGTTGTTGGCGCAAAATCCAGTAGAACTTACAATAAATATCAATGTCTATGTAATAGATTGCTTTAGAACAGTATCTTCAACATGTATTATCGTTACCGCTAGACGATCCTACAGACCTACGTACTTTCCTCAGTACGGATATTATTAATACTAGAGTTTATCAATTTACTGGTCAGAAAGAAGGTTATTTGACAAAGAGAGGAAAAAATTTTGGTGGATGGAAGACTCGCTATTTCGTTCTTAACGAGGCAGCATTGGATTACTATGAATCTGTAAGAATAGGTCTTCTCCTTCTTCCTTCAATTGACGAGAGTGTGCTAACTCACATCATCCAATATTTTCAATAGAAAGAAGGAACCCAATTAGGCTCCATTCGACTGACTAATGCGCAAATTGGGACTCAAATGCAAGGGCCTACCTCTTCCGATGATTCCAACAGTGTTTACCGCCATGCTTTTCTGATTGTAGAACAGAAGCGGTCAGGCTCCTCTCATAGTGTTCGCCATATTCTATGCGCAAGCTCAGATGATGACAGAGACACTTGGGTTCACGCCTTGTTACAAAATATCAGTATTGCTGAAGATGATGCTGCTCCGGTACAGACGAGGACTTCCACTTCATCCTCATCTTCAGCAACCTACAACAAGAAAAAGTCCTCGTCAGAGAAGCCCAGAAAATTATCCAAAGGTGAAATAAGAGCCATTTCCGCAACACCCATCAGTCATTTGAAGCTGGACCATGTTGGCGGTAACGCTGCCGATATGCAAAAGTTGACATCAGTACCTACCATTAATACAAATAGCGTAGATAAGTGTAATAACAACAGCAACCATCATGATAAACAATATCAACATTATCATCAACAACATAGCAATAACCACCCACTTTTGGGCCATAGTAATAGCTCAGATCCAGCCTTAAATACTTCAGCAAATATTGCAATGGCAAGCCCGTTATCCCTCAAGAACAATATGACCTGGTCATCCTCCTATGAGACACGCAGTAGCTTCGATCAATCTCATAGCAGTAATAGCAAGAGTTTAAATAATTTGAAAGCACCTCGTCCTGGTATTACTCGTCGGAGCTCAATGGGAAATCTTCTGAGTACCCGTGAATACGAAGAGCATAAGCATCGCCGTGCAGTTTCCCCTACAGTTATCTCTCGTATTGAAGACCACGCAAATCCTTATCCTTCATCACAATCCATGTCAAAACAACAACTGCTCCAAATGCCTGAACCCATTTCTACGGCTACTACCGTCTCGACAACAGAGAAGAAGGCTCGTAATAAAGCTCATCGTATGACTTTTTGGGGAAAGAAAATGCTATTCAATAATAGTAACAGCGATGGTAGTCTAGATAACCAAAATTTACAACTCCCTACCAACAATTTGCCTCAGCCGTCTCAATCATCTTTAACTATTCCAAACGCTTCTTCATCAACGTCCAATGTTACTCCGGGTTTACGTGGATTTTTATCTAGGTCGTCCCATGAGCAGCAACAAAATGATCGGCATCAACGTAACAAAAACAATAATGAACAATCATCCAAACATGCTAAACGAGTTTTTGGTGTTCCCTTGGAGGAAGCGGTTCGTATTTCACGTGTAACAGAGGGCTATGATTTACCAGCTGTTGTGTACCGTTGTATTGAGTTCCTAGATGCCATGAACGCAGTACACGAGGAAGGCATTTATCGTCTCAGTGGCAGCAATGCTACCTTGAAAGCACTTCGTGAACGTTTTAACCAAGAAGGCGATGTTCCCTTATTAAAATACAAGCAAGAATATGATATTCACGTCGTGGCAGGCTTACTGAAAATGTGGCTGCGTGAGTTGCCCACCAGCGTACTCACAAGAGAACACCGCATGGATTTTTTACATGTGATTGATTTGCTTGATCGTGAAGACAGAGTGAATGAATTGGGTAGATTGGTTTCGCTACTTCCCTTGGCAAATTATACACTACTAAGAGCATTGACAGCACATTTGATTAGAGTCGTGCAGCACTCCGATATCAATAAAATGACGATGCGAAATGTCAGTATTGTTTTTTCGCCTACGTTGGGGATTCCACCAACCATTTTTAACTTGTTTATCAGTGAATTTGATTATATTTTCTGGACAACCAAAAATGGCGATGCTGCACCTCGTAAAATGATGAAGGAGGAAGGCAAAGAAGAACAAGCGGTGACTGAGGAGGTAGATGAATCCAAATCAGAGAAAGGACAAGTAGGAGAAGCAGTAGCGAATTCAACGTATCGAGTATCACAAGAAGAGCGAACAGATGGGAAGACGATAAATTATGATGCGTCTCAAGTTACAGTAGAACAAATTTCGAATGATCCGCCGCTGCAATCATCCGGACCAGGTTTGGGTCGAAAAACCACTCTTCGTTTACGCGAAGAGCATGGACGGAGTAATAGAAATAGCGTAACTTATATGGATGGAGCGCCCGTTGCCATAGTCGATTTGGAGAAGCATCAAGATGGACCGCTTATCCTCGGTGAAGTTGAAGATGAAGAAATGGATGATCTCAACTTGAATGGTGAATCAAGTTATCCACTTCAGACTTAAAAAAAACTGTCGACTTCACCATCAAGATTAGCCCTTTAAAAAAGAAATGATAAAAGTAAAATAAAAAAAAAAAACTCCCCTTTTCTAAGTTCTTTGAGTATTTATGATGCACTGCTTCTGATAGAAACCTTACTTGTTTACTACAATTCCTATGATTACTTTTATTGAACACAATTATCCAAACTGAAATAGTAGGCATAGGACGTAATCGGTACTCGTCAAATGAAATAAATATAGTCTTTACCGGCTTTTAAGCATGCATGAAGCTGTGAAAGCTTATGATCATTTTCTGCCATGAGCCAGGATTATTTGCTTTCTCCGAAAAGAAGGGTTCTATTTATAAAAAATACAAACAATTTTTCAATCTATTTTCAAATCAGTGGCGATCATGCAATTCATGACAATTTATTCATGTATGTGTGTTATTTTTATTAAAAGAAAGCGCAATAACTTGAGATAAATGTACTCCCTTTTCTTTCCCTTTTCTTTCGTACTGAATTTATTCCCTTTTTTTTTTTTTTCTTTAATTGTTTCTTACATTTATAACATATTTATTGACAGCTTACATATCTATTCTTTGTATTTATTTCAACAACGATTTTGTATATACGACAATTTATATCTTCCAAAATATAATATACACATCCCAATCATCTACCGGCATGGGAACAGAAGAAAATGTTATACGAATTGCCATTGGAATTTTTGTATCTTTAGGTTTCTAAAGTTATTATTATTTGTGATATAGAACAGCTGTTCGAAGGACACCTAAAATACTTATACTGAATTTGATTTCAGGTGCTTCATTTATGGATGCTTTAGGCTTAAATATCTTAAAGCTGGACCATGTAAAAGAATCAAATAAACCAGAACGACGATCAGATTGTGGAAGACCATTATGGCATTTGGGACTTTACACGTATATAGCTAGTCAATTGATTGGTAGTACAATAGCCCTAAGTATGTGTGCAGCATTTCTTGATCTTATGGATAATAGAGACTTATAACTTACGATTATTTTTTGCTTGTACACTAGACTTCTTAAAAACACAGTGGGTAGCTCCTTTAGGAAGTGTAGCATTAATCTTCAATTTTCTGTTTGCAAAGCTCCTTGTCAATACACAAATAACCAGAAAAGATGTACTCGGTACATGTGTTGTTGTTGCATCAGTGGTATGGATAGTGGTATTCGGCGGCATGTATAACGGTGAAGACCGTGAGTATTCTATTAAGCAATTTTATCACTTAAAAATCTGATAAAAAAGCACTTAAACGATCTTTTAATCTTACACTTCCTTATATTTACTTTACAGCTGAAGAATCTATATCAATTGACAGCTTAAAAGTCTTGTTTGTCCGACCAGTATTTATTATTTATTTCAGCATCTTAAATTTCGTTGCTTTCGGCGGGCTTATCCTTTCGTTATGGTCGAAATGGTCACTTACTGACGAAAACCGCAGGCAAAAAAGCCAACTATTTTCGAGTATGGATCAAAAGAAGATGGCACAGATGGTTGGATTAATGTTCAGCATTGAAGGTGGTGTCTTGGCGAGTGAAACATTATTATTAGCAAAGAGCGGGTAAGCAGTACTTTCGGAACAAATAAATATCTCGATTTTTCCCTTTACTTAATCTGATTTTCTTGACAGCGTAAAGCTATTCACACTCTCTGTGCAATCTCAAGTAAATCAATTTAACGACAATGCCAGTCGGTTTATTTTATTAGCGTTACTCATTACAGCTGTATTACAGGTTTGTTTGCAACATTCTATGTATAAACAATCCTTTGTTGACCTAAAATTTCATTGTCCATTCAGGTTTACTGCTTGAATACAGCATTAAAATTGTATACGTCAGTGGTTGTTGTGCCTGTATTTTATGGTACTTATACAGCATTAGGTTTAGTCAACACAATTATATACCTAGACGAGTTTGGCAACTATCCAGTCTGGGCCATCTTCTTGGTGTTTGCTGGTATTGGTGTTTTGATCTACGGTGTTTATTTACTAAGCTCAAAACCCGAGCCTAACCCAGAATCATCACCTCATTTGACGACAGAGGAAGATTTGGTGGTGGCAGCATCAGCAAATATAAAAGATTCGGATGACGACTTACCGTATCATTTCCAGCATTGTCAACAAAATAACTCTTCTTCGCCCACAGATGATGCTATTGCATTAACAAAAAGATCTCATCAAAAAGAAAAGCAACAATTTGCGTCGTCGTCTAGCTCAACAGTAATGCCACCTTCCTCTTCAACAGTAATAGCAAACCACCAAATCAAAGACGCCGCTGCATACCAGCCAATATTAGTAGATGACGCTGCTACAGTGATAGACGACGATCACAAGCAGCCATACTATTCCAACAGCAGTAACTACCTGAAGAAGAAAAAACATGATAACAATAATATTGTTCAGTTTTTGAAACGTCTAAAATACCTCGCATTTTCACCAAATCGTAATGGCGACAGATTTTCAGCAAGCAGAGAAATGAATACATTTTTGAGTTTACATAGTTCGGTGAGTAGATCATCGTCAACAAATAACGATAATAGCGTCCTACCAACGACAGCAACAGCAACGAAATTACCATCTTCATTAGAAATCCATGAAGACTTATTAAAAAACCAGTTCAAAGCAAAACTGATTGATCACCACGCACTATTCATTCCAGCACCGAAATTCACAGAATAGCAAAATTTTGTCTTACGACAGCCTAGTAGTATCATTTTACACTATACAAAATAGCCATAGACTACAATTATGTCGTGCATCTAACTATTTATTTTTTTTTGTCATCCCTTTCTTGTGTAAATAATATCAATTATATAAACATCATATTTCCAAAATTAAATGAACCCTTCTTTCTGTTAGAAAACTCATCACGCGAAAGATAAATAAATGTCGTTTACAAGTGCTGATTTACTTCGTAAAACGAAGAGTTACCAAGATAGTCTTGGATACTCTTGTATTCCAAATGATTGAATATTCGTTCAAAATGCGGCATGAATTCTCGACAGGGTACGTAAAGATTAAACTCTAAATCCGCAAAAACCGCAAATTCATGCTCATGAATCTCTTCAGCATCCACGTTGAATTCATCATCAATGGCATCCAACAATGGACCGAACCAAGTACCTTTGGCTTCATTGACCTTTGTAGCCAAGAACAAACAACATGCTGCTATTAACTTTCGATTCTTTTTCGTCACCATATTCTGTGTGATAATGAAAGTTGACAAATGAATAATGGTTTGTAACACTTGGCTATTTTTATGCATTACCTTAATGACGAGTTTTTCAAAAAAGACGTATGCATGAGCAACACTTGATATCTCTAGATCCACTTTCTTAGCAATTTCGAGTAAGTGAAGTTTGATACTTCTGATTTTACTTAGTGTTATCTCCGGTGACAGCTCAGGGTGGTCTAGGCGAAATTGTTCGTTTACTTCTCGTTTAATTTCTGAAGGCTTCGTAGTATTTGCCATAGTGCCCTATGAAAAGCAAAGGTAATTCAGATGAGCTTGGGTATTTTCTTAACAGTTATCAAGCAGTAAAATTGCAGTTCTCATTATATATACCATTGAACCTGACTCAACACCAGAGTTGTTATACTTGTCGTTGTCGAGAAAATATGGATCGTAGGCTTCCGAGCCAAGATTTTCTTCAATGGTCTGATCATCACTATATTGAGACATATATACAAAATATAACATGAGTTTGTTGGAAATTTGAGACTAAAGTTTTCATTGAACCTACAGTAAAGACCCAGTGGGATTTAGGAAATGAGCATAGGAGAGTGCTTTTCGATGCTTAGAATGATCGTGGCTTTGAAGTTGCTGTTGACTGCATATAAATGAAGAGTTAGTTTGTTAATAACATTCATGTCGCATTTACGTCGAGAATCGCTACACCCTTACATATAACTACGGTTAGCTGGTGTATCCGACGGCTGCTTTTTATAAGTCGATTGCCGCAGTTTGTCAGTATAATACCGCAGGACTGCCATGATTGACATGTTACTACTACTGCCATGTCCATGCTATGAAGGGACGGTTAGAAAACATTCTTTGCAAATTCAAAGAGCAGAGGAATAGTACAGCAATATTTACATCTCGATCAGCATGAGTCGACCTCTTCTTGATTTTTTCAGACGCAATAGGTTTCTCACTATCTTCACGAGTCAATTTATGGTGTTCCACATCCTCACTGCTACTGTCAGAAGAATGCCTTTTTGAGTGATATGATTGATTTTTCCCTCCTTTTTGATTGTAATCTATAGTATTGTTAGCTGCTATAATGGGTGCAGAGGTACTTGAATAAGATCTTCCGGAGGGATCAGCAGATAAGGAGGCTTGAAAATTGTCGTCATCGCCTGAAAAGCTACTGTCTGATGAATGTAAGGAAGTAGCTGTTGGTTCAATCCGAAGGAAAAAGACATAATAATAGAGTCAATAGCCACGATAACAACAATCATAAGTTATAAATTTTTCAAAATGCGGGTGAAGTGAACTATCCCACAGGAGAAATGGCCATTTCTGAAATGCATAAATTCTTAGATTTTACCTCTAAGACTGTTTTCAATATTTTCGACATCCTGTAAATGATCGACATTCGTACTTTGGAATGTTGCTGGATTAACGCTAATTGGGGTTTTCGTAGAGAGTAGATAATTGGACGGCTTTCGTATAGATGGGTCGTCAGGTGGCTTCTCATTTTCGCTACCCAGAACGATATTTGATAAGAAACTAAAGGCAGTTGGTCTTGAATTATTCCGCCTAGATTTACGACTTTTAGTCGTACCCATTGGCGAATGAATTGATTAGAGTTTGTTGGTTGTTGCAAATATGAAGAATATCTTCTTGCAATCAAAGCCGTATTGACCAGGTTGATTATTAAGATCTCTTTTCTTTCGTTTGAGTTCTTTTGTTAATAAACGGAACGGAATAAGCAGATCTCAGTTTTTTTCACTTGTAGAGATCCCACTCGTAAATAGTATAACTTGTTCTTTTACAACAAATTAATTGAATTGTAGAAAGATAAGAACTATCGACAGTAAAAAGCAAGTGTAGGATTGTTCAACCTGACCGAGAAACAATAAAACAGAAAGAAATGGATAAATGCATTTTTTCACTTGCCCTCTTGCAATTGTGTATACGTTAATCCAATCATTCATTGGACGACTGCGAAAACAGTTGGTGTATGAGAAGAGCAAATGACGTCTTGGAGCGATTCGTTGAGCGATCCTGATCTTTTCTCATAAAATGAAACTCCAACACTCAATGCCTTCCTCAAGTGTTTCGGCCGCTACAAAGACGCCTTTTCCGGTTTCCCTTTCATAAGTTGCATCCAGTTACAGCACATTGACATCAACGTTATGAAAACCTTTGTCAGTCCAGGAAATGCTGTATGCTGCAGCTTACTGTCTTTCTGTGGTATCATATTTCTTGTAAGTATTTGGCTTTTGTAGACATGGTTGATGAAACGATTTGTGTTATTTTACAAAGTATGGGGGTATTAGCTTTACTTTCTTTAAAAATATGATTGACAAGAAACGAGTTTACAGGTTCTTTTAGGAATGGCTTTTGATGCCAAAGTTGAAGTGTTGACAGAGACTATTAACGATCCAGATGACCCGCATGTCACAGCAAAGGCTTGTTTCAGTGCCGCTATCGTCTATGCTTGTTTTCTTGGTTTTTGCGGGTGTCAGGTAAATGCTTTTCTAGTAATCTACGACTTCCAGTAAGCGCATTCTTCTTATACTGAATATTATTGTTGCAGATGTTGGTACACAAATACAATTCTCGCAATCAGATTCATTTATAAACCGACATACGTTTTTCAGAGTAGATGTCAAATATTATTTTCCACTTATTATCTTGCCAACCTTTTGATATCCACCGAACAATACACACACATACATAAAAGATACTCTCTTGAATAAAAGAAATAAAAGCAGAAAGCAAGACTCTCGACACGCCATTGTTTCAAACTAAACGGGAGGAATGGTCATGCAATAGTTGAATGTTGATTTTATAGTTTACAAAAAAAAAAATTAAGGAAGAGAGCAACATAGAATGGGTGCACTATGTAAAGATTTGAGCGCCCTTGCATGTATGTATGAATTATATACTGATTTATGATGAGGAAAAAACAACTCTATAAATAATAATGAGGAACATAAGAATTCAAAAATCCAAACTTATTGAGCCTTCTTCTGATCGTAAGCAGGAGTGATTTCTTGAAGTGCTTCAAGCATTTGATCGCGGCATTTGTTGGTAAGCTTTTCGATTTCAGCAGAATCTTCGGCGACACCTTCAGTTGAAATAGGTGGTAAAACTAGGGAGTAGAATTTAAGGATGGTTAAGTATACTTTCCAACAGGAAGTTATTAACAATTTCTATTTACCTTTGCAACGAATAGTCTTAGGGAGAAATCTCTTTTTCTTTGCGTTATAAGCTTCGTTATAATTTGCAATAACAACAGGAACAACAGGAACACCAGCTTGAACAGCCATGAAAAATGCACCCTTCTTAAAAGGAAGTAGGGAAATTTCTTCAGCATGCCCGCGAGTACCTTCAGGGAAGATCCAAACGCTTGTCTGTTAATGTATACATGTATGCAGATCGATTAGCACTTGAATTGTTCTTCATTCTATTCCTTTTTCACTATGCTTATGCACTTTACATTTTTCTTATGAATATCCAAAGCTGCTTGACGAGCTTGAGCTACAGCGCTTTTTCTATTTTTTCTGTCCAAAAAGATGGCATTACTTAAAATCACTATAATTAGAAAAAGAATCGCTAAGGGTTAGCTTGACTTTAAGTTTACTATCTTGCCTCTTCTATTTAGACTTACTGAACCAGCCTAAGAAAGGATAGTACTTTAATTGCTTTTTGGCAACAATAGCAGTATTCTTAGGGTACACTTTGCCCATCAACATAATGTCCATACTAGATTGGTGGTTACAGACATAAATGACAGGTCCCTTATGCTTGTATAGATTCTCTTCTCCCTCAGATTTAACCTTGATACCGCAAAAGAAAGTGCCAACCATATAATAACCGTGAGCGACGGTATAATTGATCATACCCTTTTGACCGAAGAGAGGGAAAATGATTGAAACAATTGTGCCGTAAATAGCCATAATCGTCAAACAAACGAGCGCCATTAGAGAGCGATAGTAAAATCCACCAAAAGGACGATATAAAATGAGAAGCAGTACTACAGTCAAAGAGATGGTAACCCAATTCAACTGAAATGGGCTCTTTGACACGACGGCTGCTGCTGCTGCTACTGCTTTTATTTTGAATTGTAATAGTGTCATTGTTAGTACACATGTCATTGGTTTTTTTCCAGTTCACAATACAGCAAACAAGTCATAATATAAATAGATCTATTATACATTAAGTTGAGTCCTATACCTTCTCCCTTCATTTCAATTGCCTTCTATGATTGCGAAAAGAACAAAAAAGAAAATTGTGGGTGATTTTTTACCGCAGAGGTAAAAAAAAAAGGCTGCCCCAAAAAGGGATCACTACTGAAGTTAAAGAAACTCAGAAGAATTTGAAGTGGAAGACCAGTGCCTTACAACTTTTCATATGAATTCTTTTCATTCTGTGTTACGCATTCTGTTGGAATCTGAACTTATATACGGAAGCAGTGATAGTGAAGCTACGGTTGGAAAAGCTACAAGTAATGGTGTATACTTTTCTGGTATGACAACTGCTGACAAAACATCTGTAGGTGCTTAATATCAAAAGACGGCATTGCAATGCGAAAGGGCTTGGGCAATCATTTTTAATAACAGCCGCAATACAATATATCCTTAAATTTTACTCACAGACGCTCAGGAGAGAATCCTAATTTCTTTGGATTTCAAAACCATTGTAAAAAAGGGAAAGACTTGTATTACCATGTCAGTACTGCTTCATCTATTTTGAAATTCATGATGCATTACCTCAGAAAAGCGATAATGACCAACAGGCTATATATAAATTGAGAGTCTTCATCAGAACTGTAACAATGAAAATGCTATTCTTTGTGTTCTGGTCTATTGGATTAGAGCTGCTCAACCATTCTGTTCTGTGCCTTGAATTTCGATCCGATTTTAGAAAAATCACATTTGGGCCTATTAGAGTTCAGCTGCTGTTACAGTACAAGTTTCATTAATTTAAGCGTGTTTGCCGCCAAAAAGAAAGTTATGATTTCATCTGTTTCTGCTTGATACTTTGCAACTCCAACATGACAATCATGTAAGCATAGCTCTATTCACGAACCAATGTGAGCAATTTTATTGTTTGAAACATCATGAATTCGGGGGAGAGCTTTCACTCAAGGTAAAATGAATGATGAGAATGGAGCCTTATAGCTATAAAACAACTTCATGGCCTACATCACAAAACTTTAATCTTCGAACCCTAAAAGGAAGGAAATTTTCAGACTGCAGCAACTGTGAATCCAACAGTACTTTCATTGTTTATTAATGTCAAAAAGGTGGCAATTTGGATGTGTAATACTTCAGCTTATAGATCTGCAGCTCGTCCATGCACGATAATACTTCGATGAAAAAGGTACATATGCAATACGTAGATTTGGTATATTGTACATTACCTTTTTTTTTTCTTTTTGAAAAGGCTTCCTAATCCAAAGAATTATATTACAGAAGGTCTTTTCAGTCGGTTACACTTGTACTTATTATCCCCTTTGGACTGCACGTCTCGTCCTTCCTTTGGGATTGTATCCTCTTTACTCTATCGGTTTCGTATACTAAACAAATCAAACTTGTCCCAACGTTACAACAACAAGAAACAAATAAAACAAAAATAGCTGCAATTGATATATTAACCGGCAACCGCTATTTTCTCGTTTCTTTTTCTTTTCTTTCTCTTTGTCAATTCGTATTTTCTTGATTTCAGAGCTTTTTTATGTGTAATTATCTGCTACTTTTTCCTTTTCATTTTACGTAGTGGTTATTGCACATTTTTAGAACTATTTACCAACAGCCAACTATTCAAACAGAACGAACGATAAGCGAGAAGATAATATTTACGCCTGTAGTCAGTAGCTTTTTATCTTTTATCTCCTATTCGGTTATTTTATTTATCGCAACTTAAGAAGTAAAAGACAAGCAGAATGGGCGCTTTATGCTGCAAACAACGAGAAGAAATAGACGAGTTACAAGGTTCAATAAACGAAAAATGAGAGACTAAAAATTCATATTGGAAACTTCGACTTACCCCTCCTCCTCCTCCTCTCTTCATTTTTCAAATAAAAAGGGCCTGAACTCAATCATTTCCATTTACGTCAGATTATTGGAGCAGGTGTCTTTGGCAGAGTACGAATCGTTCAACATAAACGCAGTAGAAAGAAATACGCATTAAAGTACATAAACAAATCACTTTGTATCAGACAAAAAGCTATAGCCAACATAATTTCAGAACGAAATCTGCTACAAAGTATCAACCATCCTTACATAGCAAATCTAAGATTTGCTTTTCAAGACGATGAATCATTATTTATGGCACTTGACCTTATGCCCGGTGGAGATTTACGACGGCTTATACAGCTAAACGAGCAACAACAACAACAACAGTTACAACCAAGCATTTTTACATTCAACGAGCTACAGGTACGACATTATGTCGCTACGATCGCTATCGCATTAAACTACCTGCATAGAAACCGAGTCATCCATCGCGACATCAAGCCCGAAAATATCTTATTGGACGATAAGGGTTACGCTCACCTCAGCGATTTCAATATCGCTGTTCGATACAATGTTAATCAGCCTTTGTTGTGGTCTATGGCAGGAACCATAGCCTACATGGCTCCGGAAATGGTAGCAAGAAAAGGATATTCTACTTCAGTCGATTGGTGGAGCCTTGGTGTGGTCGCTTTTGAACTTTTATTTGGCAAAGTAAAGAAAGAAAGAGAAAGAAAAAAGCTTGTGGCGACATGAAACAAAGACACACAAAAACTAACTTTTTTTTTTTTTTTTTGTTTATTCGCGCCGCCTTTCTCATGATATGTCGTCTTTCTCACAATCACGTTCATTTCTCTCTTGTCGCAATCCACAGCGACCTTTTACAGCACCATCAAAAGAAGCTTTAGCGCAATCCATCCTACATGATCCAATTGATTTTCCTGAAAACGTACATCAAATTGTGTCAAGAGATTGTCTTGACGTTTTAGTTGGTGTAAGTTTTTCATTATTTGTTTGCTTACAAAATTACAATATTGACATTTTTGAACAGTTGCTGGACAAATCATCTTTCCCAAGATTGGGCGCCAATATTCATGGATTTGAAGAATTTAAAAGACATCCTTGGTTTGATGGCTTGGATTGGGAACTGTTGGAACAGAAACGCTTACCACCACCTGTTCGATTAGATGTATGTATATGTACAAATAACGCCTGTATACTGCTGATAATAATACGTCTATTTCTTGTGATTATCATTTACAGAAAAACGCCAAACTACGAAAAGCGATAACAGAGCAACAACAACAGTTGTTTCACGAAGATGGTCTGAAATCTAATAAGCGAGTATCACCTTCAATGACGTTGTTACATTTTGATGATTCAGAAACAGTACCTGTTACCGAAGAAGCTAGACTTCATTTGCAATTAGAAGAACAGTTTCTCAGTTACGACTTCCAACGACCAGATAACCAGTATCTCTTACCCGGAAAAATATCCCCTATTTATTCAACTAACGATCAGCAGCAGCCAGAAACAACCATTACTTCTAACGTTGCTATGATGGAACAGCGTGAAAGTCATTTCTTAGCTAATTTTCTAGAGCAAAGACGAAATTCACTCAAACGACAATACGATAAATTCAAACGAAGATCACAATCGAGTTATCAAGATCTGCCTAATTCCACACTACCATCATCAACCACTGTTGACTAAACACAACCAATAACTATTATCCACACATACACTTAGCATATACCTTCGTTCTTTTTGTAAATAGCTTTGCCTTTATTTTTCTTCGTTCTTTTCATGTATTTACCTTGTTCAATTAAAATATCACGGGTTTTTTTGATTCTACGACCGTCTCGGAAGCTCCGTTGGCAAACAACGGATAGAAATGGAACTCAAGAAATTACCGAGCAGACCATCCTATAGAGATTCAGAAGGTTGAAATAACAACTAATGCTGTGCATTTGTCAGTTGCGCTTATTTCTTGCCACTTTTGGTAGCAAGGTTTTCATTTGTCAACATCCAACATGTACATTGAAACAAATGGACTTCTATTCTAGAATAGTGCTACTAATGTGTTCGGCAGATATGAATGAACATAATATGTAGATGGTACTTCTTCATGGATATTATATACAATTTATTTTGGTATAAATTCTTTTCACTCTCTTAATAAAAGACGTGAAATTCTAACAAAACATTGACTACGGTACATGTCAAATAAACGATAATCATCCACCAACCAAGTTGTCTATTAATATGATAGCCGTTGATATTAACAGCAATAAGCGTACTGAGCAGTACAATAATTAACCCCGAAGATGAAATAAGGATGGTGGGTGCGATGTCTAATTGGTATGGTACTCCAGTGATCCATGTCTGATAAGTTGACGAAATTCCGACTCCTAATACCATATCTAATAAAATAAACCGTACACAATATTGTGAGCTTAGTAAGGGTCATAGGTGCTTGTTAATTGTTAGGAATACTTTACTCAATAATGGACCTGCATAACATGCTGAAATCGCCATGGTCGGGAACCCCATTTTAGCAATAGCCGTATTCGCTACCAAATCGCCGACGCTGTTGCCCTACATATTTCAATTAGTTGGTCGTTGTTTCACCGTTAAATAGCTTTTTTCTTTAACAAATTATACCAATGCAAAAATTGTCAAGCCCATAATAGCTTCACTAATATTAAAGATCGCTCCTAATGCCTGTAAAAGCCCAACCATTTCATTGGCTATTAAGAAGATCCAGTTCAATGCAATGACAAATCCAACGAACGATAGCATCCAGTACCATTTTGGTGCCTCGTTTGCTTTGGTTTTGACTAGCACGAGACAGGCTAACATACAGCCTATCAAAAATCCAACAAAAACACCGGGAGATGGGATATAACCATTCACTATGGATTAAATTTTTCTTAGCAAAAAGAAAAAAAAAAAAAAAAATTCCCAACCGTTCTATGTGTCTTCCCTTCTTTTCCGTTTAACATCATTATGAAAAGTAAACTTACATGCCATAACGATTGTGACAAATGTAGTTGCAAATATTGCTTGTATAGAAACCAACCATCGACACCAACCAAATGGAGTAGGGTCTTCTTCTTCAATTAACAGAGGTAGGTCTCCATCTTCTGTATTTAATTCAAATATGCTCCTTTCGGAAGTTGGCACTGTCAAGAAGGTCTTCGACGTAGTGCCACCTTCAAAACCGCTTCTTGTAATTGATGTGGGTACATCATCTCCTGCTGATGTAACTTCTACTATAACGCGAGGTGCGTTCAAACTGCTATCGTCGTCGTCATCGTCATTGTCGTCTGTCAACGGCATCATTGAATCAGAGACCTCAATATCATCCACTTTCACTTCGTTTCCTTCGGCAATAGGTAGAGTTAACGTAAAGACCAAAACGAGAGGTACAGCAACAACAGCGCTCAATTTAGCCATTGCTGTTTTTGATTCCCATTCTTGAAGTGTAGGAAATAAAGTTGAGCAAATATCGTCCAATATAATTGAAAAAGAAATAGATCTTTTCAAAGCTTGTTGCCTTGGAACGCCTTCTATACCACTGTCATCATCGTCTACATTCGCTTCTTCGAGGTCATTTTGCGGTTTTTTCTGATGTTGTGGGTAATCTGTTGTTGCTGCGGGTGGTGCTAGTCTTATTTCAGGTATGCTGTTTTTATTGAGGGTGTCGTTCCTTTGGGGACTTGATACATTCGTAGCAGCAGTGCCTGTACCATTCGTAGGCAGTTGCTGATTTGCAGAAATATATGTAAAATAATCGTTTACAGCGCCATTGTTATAATTATCCGGCGATCTACCTAAATAAAGATGCTGTTGATGGCTGTAGGGAAAAACTGCATGAAGTTGATCTGCATCATTTTGTTGTCTGTTATCGACTGCCGTTGACATGCAAGGAACTGATGTTTGTGAATGTCCTTGCCGCAAACCTCCAGATAAACGTCGATTACGGTATATTTGTGTACTATTAGCTCTCTTTATGCTGGTTATCTGTTCTTGAAACTGTAGAATATTGTAATTAACAACTACTTTTCTTTTTTGAAGGAAAGTTGCAAGTATTTCTCTCTCTTACCTCGATAGCACTGAAGAGTGATGCACGCATTCCAATGCGTGGAGTCATCGCACGTCTATAAAGCCTTGATGATATTGATCCGTTAGTACTTGTGGTACGAGGGACATATGAATCCATGTGTAGAGAGGATCGTCGTGATATGAAAGATGAGTTCGGAGAAACGGGTCGAATAACGTGTCCCAAATGCTCTTGTTGAAATCCTTGAGCTGGAATATCCAATCGGAGAGGCTTACTATAACCATCCACTAAAGTGACGCATCATTAAAAAAAAAGACCAAAAAAAAAAAAAAAAAACACTTTGAATGCGATATACCTGGATTGGACTGTAAGAGTCTTGAAGTCTCACTCAGTAGCTCTCCTGTTTCGTTATGATCAATGCTAATAGATTTTGGTTCGGGCAAAGCAGGCGTTTCTGCTCCTGGAAAACGGTAGGCGCCCATTACCACAACAATCACATAGGTCAAGTAGTAGCAAATCAAAATTAACCCATGATACCAGCATATACGTTGATGATATACGATCCATGTCATGATCATGATGGCTCCGGTTAAAAAGGTTGCATCACGCATAAACGTTATTCTCTTTGATCGAAAAGGTCGAATAATTCCCATGCATCCTGATACTACCGACACAATAAAAAAGGCTGCTCCGATAAGCTCTCCAATAGCTAGAGAACCTGATCCGCTGTTCATAGCCCTACAATTGATACATTGAGTATATTGTAGTTATCCGTCAATCAATGTTCTAATTGCATCTATTTATATGCAAGCTCACAAAACACAGGTATACGGACTTACGTAAAGGTACTAAATAAGTCTGGACTGCCATTACCAAAAGCCAAAACCGTTACACCAGCCATACTTTCTGATAGTTGAAGCCGTGAAGAGATTGTCTGGAGGTTTGGACCTGCGAATAAAATTAGGCGCATCTGTAAGTTAGTAGATAAGATCGACATTTCTTTTTTTTTATTTTTTGTTTTCTTGGGGGCAAATTAAAAAGGCATCTCACACTTACAAAAAAAATCAGCGGCAACTGTACTGACTGCACCAAACAGTAGCAATAATCCAGACAGCTACATCGACTTTTTCTATGAGTTACTTTTGTTTTGGTTTTTGTCAAATTCGTCCAAGATACTTTGTAACTTACCATTAATGCTAAACTAAATGGTTTCCACAGGTTTGAACAATAGTAGAATCGTAAAAATACGCCACTGAATCCATGGCAGGCGGTCATGACAAAGGCACATTGATCTTCATGACTCTCTATATTCGAACACTATATTACGCAGGAGCTCAGTAAAATGAAGGTATCAATGAAATATATGTGTGGTGCACTTTACTTGCTTGCGGTGCTGTGATGCTTGTGTTATTGGTATTAATAATGATGAAGAGACTATCAGTGGGAATATAAATAATACAAATACAAAAAAGACAGATTTTGAGAACATATTTTGGAAAAAATAAGGCCCAGTTAGAAGAAGGACAGTTATAAAATCAAAGATGAAAACCGTTGATGCAAAAGTAGAAAGAAAAACGAAAAGCAAACCAAAGCAAAGCAAGAGAAGATTTATGCTTAGCTTATTTCTGCTGCATTTTTCTTTTGATTTGCATCCTTATTTCTTAGTGGTTGATTTTTATATCCCCTTTCTTTCCTGCATCCTAGACGCGCTTCTTATTTTGGGCTTTCGTTTTTTCTTTTCGCTGTGCTTATTTGTTTTGATTTTTTTAAAAAAAGGTTACAAAAGAAGATAAGTCTTTAATAAACAGTCTGTATTAAAGACGTTACATGAAAACTCAGTCAATTTGGGTTCATTAAAACTGCCGATATACTAACTGTTCGCTTGTCAAACATCATGTAACCAAGAGATTATTGATGCGCTATCCACTACATCAATAAGCCAATGTACAGTCATTTCATACACTTTTATGCGGAATAGGGCTCAATAAAAGGGTATGCATATTGTCAATCATCTCCAACTATAAAAGAAATTTGCTCAAATGCAGTCACCTGAGAGCTGTTTCAGTGAATTGCTGAAGCTAGAACACTTTTGCATCCGTTAGACATATAAGACTACACTTTCAAATTAGGTCATAGCGTACCTTTTCATGATCTGAATCTGATTTCGCCATTTTCGATGGCAACAATAACTCAGACATTCTCAATTTTACCACAAAGCTGTCAATGCCAACTTTACTTCATAAAATTGTAAACCCAATGTTAAAAAACTCAGATTTGACTCAGGACTACAGAGTTTTACTGTGAGAGCATAATCATCACTAATTCTACCCATCGAAAGCACGCTGATACGATGAATATAATATCAATATTACGTCAATTCTTTATTGTATTAAACGGTCAGTGATATATCTAATACCGTCTCTGCTTTATTTGCCAATTTTCTCAGTCATTTCAGGCACAGCCTTGAATAAGTCATCAACAAGTCCGTAATCCGCAACTTGGAAAATAGGAGCATCAGCATCTTTGTTGATGGCCACAATCGTTTTAGAATCCTTCATACCAGCAAGATGTTGAATGGCGCCAGAGATACCAACAGCGACATAAAGCTCTGTGATGGATAGACGGTCAGTGGCTTCACTCTTATCTGTTCATTGGTCCATTCTACTCTTTTACTACTCACCTGGTGCAACAATTTTACCGGTTTGTCCAACTTGTAACGAATTATCAACGAAACCAGCATCGACAGCAGCACGAGATGCGCCGACTATCAACCAACAAATAAGTAAGTAAAAATAAATAAGGCAGAATGGTGTGAGTTCTTTATCTCCTTCTTTTCAATTTAGCGTACAACATTTTACCAGCAGCACCCATCTTATCAGCCAAATCATAAAGTAATTTGAAGTTCTCGCCATTCTTCATACCACGACCACCACTAATGACACGCTTGGCTGAACCAAGGTCTGGACGATCGCTCTTCTGAATATCTTCACCCATCCATTGTGTCAAGTTTGGTTTATCAGCGTTGGGTGCAGCTTCCTCGGCCGCATTGTCATCGCCAGCACTAGCGGCTTCAAACGCAGTACCTCTGACGGTCACAACCTTCACTTTATCATTAGACTTGACAGTAGCAATCGCGTTACCTATCATATTTACAGAGATGCATATTGATTATAGATATCTCTGCTGCTAGCTTCATTTGAATACACCAACAAAAAGAAAGTTACCTGCGTAGATAGGTCTGACAAAGGTATCTTCTCCTTCAACACCGACAATATCAGAAATGGCAGCAACGTCCATCAAGGCTGCGGCACGAGGAAAGATATTTTTACCAGTCGCGGTGTGGCCTGTGAATAAATGGGTAAATCCAAATTGCGCTTGTGCAGCCACCAAAAGAGGTGCAATATTTTCTGGTAAAGCGTTAGCATAAGCGTTATCTTTCGCACTCAGAACCTTTGAAATGCCAGATAACTTGGCTACTTCTTTCACAATGCCCTCAGGAGCGTCGCCAGCTACAAGAGCAGTAACTGAACCACCTAGCTTCTTTGCAGCTGTCAAAGCATTCAAGGTAGCGCCTGTGATGGCACCGTCCTTATGCTCGACAAACAGAAGTGCGTTAGCTCCAGCTCCGGTAGCATAAAAACGTTGAGCAAGTGTATTGCGTGCCTAGATGTTGGAATGACAAGGTCAAGATGAGCTACGATGAGTACCAATCTGATATTTTCTAAATAGCCCAATATGAGAGGCGCAATTTTACTTGAAGTGCAATTCTAGATGTGGTGGTAAAGAACATGATATGGTATAAATTACTGTGCGAAAATAATCGAATAAAAAAGGACTAAAAAAGAACCTGGGGAAATGAAATTTTGAAACCTCTTACCATTGTCGAAATCAATCTCCGATAGACCCGCCTTTGAAAGGTCTGTTGAAACGTCATCCTAAGAATTTTCACATGGATTCTTATGGGCTGTTAGGTAAGCAGAAACCAGCTGCTAATGCAAAAATTGCTAACAGTAAAGTATTCGAGTTCTTTTACGTTATTGATAAGTATACCTCTCGCTTTTTCAGATTAAAAAAGAACAAAAAAAAATATGTCCTTTTGAACAAGCGGGAAAAGAAAAAAGAAAACGTTCCTGAATTTTTGAATGGATACTGAATGATCCGGTCTGAGAGTATATGCCTGGCATATTCTGTCCGTTATCAGCGAAAAATACAATGTTTTTATCAGTAACTTTTTTGCTATATATAGTCATGGCTAAGCGAAAAAGCTTAAGCAGAACCAAATATTACGTTCGTTATAGCGTCGAGGATAAGCAATGCTTCGAATATCGTACTGTAAATAAAGAACCATTAAGTTATAAATGCTTTTTATTGATATTATCTATTTTGACTGTTATTGCTTTTCATCTGGATATGTCTATACTGCTCCTTCAAAAGCTTTTAAGTCCTGAAAGACAGAAGGGAAGATTACAACTAGTTCTAAAAGATAAAATGTTCGGCGTCCGAAAGTCGACGATCTGTCTATCTCTCTCTCTCTCTCTGGGGAGCATAAAAAAGAAGCTATCCCTGAAGCAACAATTCGATTTAAGTGATATCCCCTCCAAATCCTATATTAAGGTTGAGTGGTTGATAAGACTGGCTTCTGGTTATAAGGTTGGCTTGGTGATTTGAGGGAATAAAACGTAACCTTCACACGTAGATTATAAAAGCATAATATGACTCAAAATATAATCCTTACCCGGATTACTTATTGGCAGTATTAAAAAATTTACAGTGTTCGGAACATGATGTAATATAAGCGTCGCTCACTCTATTAGAATGTTGAGCTTAAAATATGAGATATGCAGTGTTTGATTTGCAATCCTCTACGGGGAAAGTAGCCGAACAAGCCGTATTGTTTGAATCAGTCAGCAAGCATATTTATACATGACCGATACCTGCAATAAACAGTTATTCTCCTTTTTTTTTTTTTTTCTTATATATAGTCTTTTCTTGCCCAACAGTTAAAGTCAATATCAAACTATTAAAAAAAAATGGATCTGAATATCTTGGTGAAATCGTACAGTTCAGCATTGGAAAAATTGCTGCCCATGTTACAGAAGAAGTCTAAATACTCGTACATCGGGGTTGCTATCCTGTGTCTCGTGCTTAAACAAGCTTATTCTTTAACCGTTCCTCCCAAAGCTTTAAGATGCTTCCCAAAAATAGGCGTTCTTACCATGTTTAAGTCCATGTATTCCAAAGAGCCCGTTCTCGACAGAACTAAAAGATTGGTTACTCCTCTTACCAACAAAGATCATAAAGCTTACATTGTAAGTATGCCATTATGCCTATCTCTCTCTTTAAGGCACTTGTAACACGAATCTTTACATTATAGTCAAAGATTCCTTTAAACTGGACCGTATATGTTACTGACCCAGTAGTTGCAAAAGCTCTCTTGATGAAATCAGGTAATTTATCAAAATAGTTATCTTTAGTAAGAAATGTCTTATTTACCGTTTGTTGGTGGGGGCGTCGAAACCATAATACAGACGCATTTTTTCCCAAATCTCATGATCTCTTAAATCTACTTGGTGATTCCAGCCCGTTGACTCATTTTTTGGGCATTGAAAGTGTCGCCATTTCTAATGGCGAACAATGGAAGAAGCAGCGTAAGGTATGCCTTGGTCTTTGAGACACATTATAAACCGTCAAAAAAAACCGCATACGATTAAACATGCATTAACGCTTTTAACTGTTTTGCATACAGATAATGAATCCGGCTTTTCATCGAGCAATGCCTGTCAAAACATTCGGAGAAACTGCCTTGGACCTCTTTGCTCTGATCGATCAAGATAGTAATAACGTTCCAATAACTGTGTTTATGAAGAACTATACTTTAGATGCCTTGGGAAAATCTGCATTTGGTAATACTTTTATTGAGTATTTTACCAGTTTTTTTTTTCCTCTTTATGTGCGCTAATATGTACCGTATATTGTCACTCAGGTTTTGATTTTCAAGCTATGAAAGGTGACCCTGAAGGATGGACGAAGAAGTACGATATCATCGTTGCAAGTTTATTTGGTCCCGCCCTATTCTTCTTTGCGAAATACGACTTTCTACTCATGTACCTGTCGCCCAAACGTAGAAGAGTAATGAAAGCAACTGTAGAATTTAATGAAATGCTCGAAAATTTGGCTGACAAAAGACGACAGGAGATCCTTGATGACAAAATGCAGAATATTCCTGACAGCGAAAAAGACTTGCTAACCCTGATGATTGAGGCTGACCTTCATGAAAGTACGAAAACAACGACAAAAGAACTCAGAGTAAGCTCGCTAGTATTTATCAGGTCATTTGCCAAGCTATACTTAAGATACTGATCTGTGATCAAATTTCTAAATGATTGTAGGAAAACATCGCTCTCTTCTTCTTGGCAGGTAAAACTATTTGTACTTTAATTAATACTAGGCTCAAAACGGATAACATTTATAATTTTCATCTCTGTAGGACATGACACTACAGCTAATACTCTTGCATTCTGCATGTACAATCTTGCAAAGAATCCAGTAAGCTTTTCCTTTCCTTTAAATCGACTTTTTTTTTTCAAAATAATTAATCTATCGAATTTTATCCTCAAGCACGTACAAAAGAAAGCGCGTGAAGAAATCCTGTCTATTCTTGGAGATGAACCTGCTGACGTTGTCCCAACAATGGAGGACCTGAAACAAATGTCCTATTTGGACATGGTTCTCAAGGAAGTAAGTTATTTGTAGAAAATATAGTTCAAATAACATACTTGTTAACTCGAGTATATACTATACTATCTTTTTTCTTTTAGAATCTTCGTCGTGATGGACCTGTTGATAAATTGATGATAAGAGATACAGCTAAAGACGTTAACTTAGCAGGAATATTTATTCCTAAAAACACCAAGGTCAGTGTGGATTTTGCAGCGCTTCACTTCAACCCAAAGATATGGCATAATCCTGAGAGCTTCATTCCTGAGCGGTTTGAAGAAGGCGGTGAATACGATAAGCACGAAGGCTTGACTTGGGGCCCTTTCAGTGGTGGTTCAAGACAATGTCTTGGCCTCAACTTCAGCTTAACGGAACAAAGAGTACTATTGTCTATGATATGTATGTTACTTATTTCTCAATATGATAAAGCACATAGTAAAATAAGTTGAACCATTATTAACATTTATCACTTTTTGTTCCTTTTCTCATATAGTAAAAAGATACGAAATCAGCATCTCACGCGATTCTGAACATTATAACCGTGTGATTTATGACCGATACTTCAGCTTTGCTCCCAAGTCTTTGAAGTTGATCTTTACGCGGCGTTATTGATTGCCATGCTACAGTTGTATTTGGCAAAACGCGCTCAAATTGAGCTAGTATAGCATTTTAGTTCTATAGTTTTCTAATACTCTATGCAATAAATCCGAACTCTTTTTAGTTATCTTACGTACATGTCTCTTTTCTTTGCTTTAGCACATTGATCCTTTTTCCATGAGAAGTTAAGATCACTTAACACTAACATCCAGAATGTAGAATAATTGTTACGCAAATTCCAACAGTTAGGAAACGTTCGCGGAGCATTCCATAACACTCGGGCAGTAGTTTCCGCGCTTGCACGTTCCCAGGCCAATCAAAGAGATGAATTTGCACAAAATGACAGCACACAGAAGATTCCCCTGCTCTTCCATTCTACAATAAGGATTGTAGCAACTCTTATTGGTTCCATCACCTTTCTTTTCTTAAAAAGCTTTCATTCTCTTTCAAGAGTTAGCGGCTGTCTTTGTTCCATTCTCCATTTTTTTTGCAGATACATTCAGCAACTCTAAACCATGTTTGCAACTGAACATCTGGTGCAAAATCTCAACACTAATATTGATGCTTTATTAAAGATTGTCTCCAAAACAATCACAAGAAAAGCTGGTATTATAACTCTCTCGAGCGCTATAGCGCTTGCATTTTTATATTCAACTATTCAGAAATTTATTCAGCCCTCCAAGAAATTGAGACATCTACCATTCATCAGCTATCTAACATTTTTAAGATATGTCTTCAAAGACGCTTTGTTAGAAGCATATTCAAAAGAACAAATCTTGCCCCTAATGAAAAGGTCCAATGGCGTTTACGTAGTAAGCACACAGATTGTTATCATGCTTGGGCTATCTTTTTTTTTATTAAGATTTGTTTCCACCTTTATTATACCTTCAGAGGCCGACTGTTCAAGGTTGGTCAGTCATGTTTGCCAATCCAGTTGCAGTAAAGCAACTTTTGTTAAAACCAGGTACATCTGTAGAGCATTTGACGACTGATTCTTAAAGTAAGTGGATCATCTGATCATCTTTTTTCTCTTTGGTCTCCAATATAGAAAGCAGCTTTCCCAAGGCGCTATCAAATGTAGGACTACCTGGGACACTCATTAACAAATTCATTGGCGGACCCAGTATTCTCAGTGTCAGCGGACCAGACTGGAAAAGACATAGAAAAGTATGCACAGCAAATAATCTGTACACTATACATCCATAGTTAAAATGGGCTAATTGAAAAATAAAGAGCTAACAATATACTGATGATTTCTGAGTTAGATTGCAAATCCTGCCTTCCAACGGTCTATGCCAATTACAACCTTTGGTGAACTCACCATAAAGATGTTTGAGGTCATAAACAAAGAACCAGGTGATACAATTGATGTGCTCGACCTTTTTGAGAGGTGGACACTTGATGCTATAGGAATCACAGGCTTTGGTAAGACCTATAATGGTCGTTGTTTCGTCATTACTTGCTTCTCATTTGTTATTCTACCCACATTTAGACTTTGATTTCAATGCACTTGGTGACAAGCACAACAAATGGGTGGATTATTATGACTCTGTTAAAGGCGGCATGAGTAATCCCTTTTTTATCTTTTTCTATCAATTTGACACCAAGTACGTCCATCTTTTCAAAAAGAGAAAAGAACTCCATGAGAAACTCGATAAATTCTTGAGTAATTTGGACGACATCATTAATCAAAAACGAGAGCTTGTCCGGCATAATATATCAAAGACTACAGATAGTGAGAGGGATCTGTTGACTTTAATGATTGAAAGCGAAATGAATGAAGAGGGCGACAAAATGTCGAATGAAGAACTTCGTGTAAGCGGCCATCTAAGTTGCATGGATGCTTGTAGATACTAACTCATCCGTATGTTGCTTTAAGAGTAATTTGTGTATATTTTTCCTTGCGGGCCATGATACGACAGCCAATACATTAGCATTTGCACTTTATGAACTGGCCATGAATCCTGTAAGTAAACTTGTAATGCTTGAATATGACTAAAAGAAGCTCTAATGCCCATGAATTACTGTAGGAACTGCAAGAAAAGGCAAGAGAGGAGGCAATCAGGGTTCTTGGTGACAGTCCTGCAGATGCCATACCAACTCTCGAACAAACTAAAGAATTAAACTTCCTCAATATGGTTATTAAAGAAGTAAAAACTATTTGTACTCTTTCTGAAATGCTTGGGAACCATTATTAACAACATGAAAAATTGACCATAGACTTTGAGACGACATCCTCCTGTTTACAATATTACCAGCCGAGTAGTCTTAGAAGACATGGATATAGTGGGCAACTTCATTCCCAAAGGATCTGAAGTGACTGTGGATATATATAATCTACACCATAACCCTGAGGTATGGACTGATCCATACAAGTTCAATCCTGACAGATTCTTACCTGGTGGTGAAGCTGACAGCAAAGAAGGCATTGTCTGGGCGCCTTTCTCTAATGGAGGGCGTCAATGTATTGGCATGAATTTCAGTTTAGCCGAACAACGCGTAGTGCTTTCAATGCTATGTAAATGCCGAATTTAGCAATATGCTGAAAAGGAGAAGTATACTTATCCTTTTCTTTTTACTCTATTTTAATGTTCCATTTAGTGAGAAAATACACGTGGTCGCTTCCAGAAAACTCACCTCACAAAAAGGTTCTGCAGAAGAAAGGTATCGCTTGGGGACTGGTCATTATGAGTGATAAACTTGACCTTATCTTTAAAAAGAGATACTAGAACAAATTGACACTATAAATTTACTAGTCTTCTATGAGCTGTATATTGTTTTGAAGCCCTTGTACGGCAAATAGCAAGTAAATTAAAGCTTCCATAGCTTAATATATAATCTAATCATGTATAGATTAATTGTATTCAAATTAGTTGTGTTGTAAAAGTTGCTTTCAATGGGAGAAGTACATTAACGCAGTCAACCATGAGATACTGTGTCTAATGCAAAGCCATTCTGTCTGTTCTGTCTGTTCCTTGGAAAACTTACATAGAGAGCTCTAAGCTTCTGAAAGCCAACTTGACAAATTTCATTTCATTAAGAAGCTCGGCCATAGAGACCATTTTAATCGAGTTCTATGTAATAGATATTTCATAGTTCAAAGGCGTCAGGTCAATAATAATGGCAGAAAAAAAAAATCGAGCACATTTTTCTAAAATTGGTTACGTTTGGGTATGTACAGAATATTGAACTAGTATCTTAGCTCATATGATACCTTTGAATTGGTACGACGCGTCTCTGTAAAATGCGTTAATGAGAAAAAGTACATATTGAGTTTACTTCGAGGACCAGCGGGTTTAACGGTGGCAGGCACAGCCTTTTCTACCCCTCATTTTTACGCAATTTGTTTGAGACAGGGATTGAACTAAACACAAATGCAAAATGCCTTTGAGGTGCTATATTATGTATAAAATATTTGATGTAATTGCCTTACGAAATTGTGCTGAAAAGTTTTGATCGGAATCTTTTTCCTCTTTTTTTGTTTTGATTTTTTTGGAAAGAGAAATTGCGTCTCTGTCTTGTTTTCGCGCTTTCACTGCCATAGCCCCTAAGTTAAACATTTTTGATTTGAAATGGAGGATGTCAATAACACATTTAATGTCACCATGCAAGCATTCCATCTGCTGTCTGAAGCATATACATTCTGTTACATAAATCTCAAGAAAGCCAATATACCGATCCCGGAACTTAATCAAATGATTCAGATGACAAAGGCGACTGTATCTTATCTCCTGTCGAACTCGCCCACCATTATTGGGCAATTGTACAATATATTGTTTAAAATGGTCATAGAGTCCAACTTTGTGGGCTTGTTTCTAGTTTTAGTTCTTCTATATATCGCGTATTGCTTTGTCATGGGAACAGTTCGATGGTTATATAGAGTACTATATGGATTTGTTCGCTTCACCATAATCATATTGTTGTTCGCTGGTCTCATGTATGCTCTTCATTTATATCACCTCAGTACAATAACCAATCATAACCATGCAACAAAATCATATACCTAACTGAAGATAGTGATTTCTTCTATATAATATATATATATACAACCTTGGAATAAATAAGATTTTATTGTTATGATGATAAGAAAATTATAAAGCAACAAAGGAACAAGATTATGCAAAAACTAGAATTAAGGGTGGAATAAGGATAGCTGAATTGTATGAAAATTAAAAAATTTACAAATCTCTACGAGTGAGTATAACTCTACTGTCGGAAGGTACAACGACCATAGAGGTATAGTCAGGCTTGGGGGCAGCCTCAGAAACAGTTTCGAAATCGAACTTCTTAACAAAAGTACCAATGATAGCCTTGAGTTGCAAATAACCGAACTTCTCGCCAATACAACGGTGACGACCAGCACCGAATGGAAGGAAAGGACTACGGGAGGAGATACCGACGGCACCGAAACCATAATCAATATTAGCATCATCACCTACTTCCATTTTGTGAACAGGATCAGTCTTATTAATCCAACGGTAAGGATCCCAAACCATAGGATCATTGAAATAGGTAGGATCGATTTGAGTAACACCAGGAGCGGCACAGAGGTAGTTACCCTTGGGAATTTCTTGACCAGTCTTATCATAGATCATCTTATCAGCGACAACACGACGCATCATATTGAAAATGGGTGGGTGAAGACGGAGGGTTTCTTTAACGACACATTCCAAGAGGGTAAGTACTTCCAAGTTATCATAAGTAAATTCGGCTTGAAGAGAACCGAGCTTTTCGATCATTTCTTGGCGAAGAGCCTTGATAACTTCGGGACGGTGAGCAAGTTCAAGAACAGTCCAAGCAGATGTGGTGGAAGAGGTATGTTGGCCACCAAAAAGGGCAGCGGTTAGAATACCGCAAATGTGATGGTCAGGAATTTTTGAACCATCCTTGTACGTGGCATCCATAAGAGCTTGAAGAAGATCGTTGTATTTAACGTCAGGCTCAGCACGTCTCTTTTGAATAACGCCAGAATAAATCTTGGCCAACTTTTCACGAGCTTGGTCACGTCTGCGGTAAGCAGGAAGAGGCAAGTTGGGGAACATAAAGTTAAGAGGACGGAAACCTTGATCCAAGTCATAATAGAGTTGAGCAACACCATCATCAAGAGCATTACGGATTTCAGGACCGAGAAGGGAGCGAGAAGCTGTGTTAATGATGAGAGAACCGAACATTTTGTAGGCATCGACTGTGGTCTTCTTATCATATTTATCCCAGAACATATTACATTCTTCGATGATGTAAGGAACTACCTTACGGAAGTTTTCGATGTTGAGACCGGCCTTAATAAATCTCTTTTGCTCCATAAAAATGCTGTGGGGAGCATCAAAAACGATATCGCTACCGAAAACATGTTTTGTCATATGATTATAGGCTCCAGCAGCAGAGGCAAGATTTTGCTTAGCATTGAATATGAATTGATTTCCGTCAGGACCTACACAAGCAGTAACGCGCTTGTGCAGCAAATTGAAAGTGAAAACGTCACCATATTTCTTTTGACAATTCTTAAGGAAAACAATTGGATCTCTATACAGTATTGTGCAACAACCTTAAGTCATATAATCCCTTTGTTATCCAAACCCTCGCCTGTTAATTTGATATCACTTACTTTCCAAATTCAATGGCGCTACCGATGAATGGAACCCAAGAGAAAACAGTAGGAACAGCCTTAGGATTTTTGGGGAGAATCTGTAACGAGACGAATTGATAAGCAAAAACTTCCAAAATTGATCACAGGCACTCAACAAGATAGTAAACGTCCGTGCGCTAATTTGTTATACGTTACCAATTGAGACAAGATGTGGAAGGCCCAGTAAAGGACAATGGCAACAACAGCCTTAGTAAAAAGGTTTGTTGCAGATGCATTTTGCACAAGTGTAGAAATAATGGCCATTGTTGCCTTTATGTGTTTTAATATAAGAACTATTGAATTAAAACAATAAAAGAAGAAATAAAAAACTTTTTGGTGTTTGCTCCATATCAAATACATCAGTTACCCGGAGTTAAAATGTGCATTGTGTCAAAACGGAATAGAAAATCGTTTTGCTGTATAAAGAAAAGCGTGTCACCGTCGGTATCCATGACAGACTTTAAAAGGATCGAACGATTTTTATAAAATTCAGTTACAACAGAGGTGACTTCGAAGTGTTTAATTTGCTTGCTTCCGTAATACTCTAAACTGTCACTATATTATGGTATCAGAATCGAATTATGGTTTTAGGGCTGCGTGCCCTCCCTGCACCCAACTCGATAGCGAGAGATATTATACCAGATGAAATTTGGCAACGGAAGCAGTTAGAGAAAAAAATTAAGCAATTAAAATACTTCGCAGAACTACTGTAGTAAGCTGGAGAGCACTGTACAACAGGCATTATTAATTGAAAATCCACTATATGCAATCTGAACACTCCGGCATAGGACTGTAGATACATCTCAGCATGATACACTGTTCTCTTATACGCCAATACTATATTTATTGTTCACAAAAAGTGATTGTCCATCTATTGTCTTTATTGTTTTAAAGACCTATTGTTTGGAAATTTTTCGGAAGAACATCCTTTCCGAAAATAAAACGTTTAGATTGGGCACATTAATTTTACTGTAATTGACCAAATGGTGGCTTATAGAACAAAAAGCTCAACAATCTTCAACATATTCCCGTTAGGCTGCAATATCATTCATTACTAAATTGTGCTGAAAAATTCTTAGAGGCAACTAGGGATCTGAATTTCGAAGGTTGATGCCATTGAAAGGAAGTGTACCTGATTATGGTATTTGTGTAACTGAATCAAAGCTAGATTTATACTTCACATGCATGAGCATTCCCGCGGATAGAATTTAACTTCATCATTGAAAATTGCGGTGGTATTCAAAAATAATTAAATTTTATTGATGTATATACATTATCTAAAGGGTTTTGATTTTCCTGGAGACTGTGGTAGTAGGTGGCTCAACCCAGTTACGTGTAATAAATTTAAGTACTTCGTCTATAACGATAACAGGGAAAGAAATCCATAAAACAGCAATCCATTCTTCTTTGTTGAGGGGTACAATAGCAAATAATTTCGTAAAGAAAGGAACATATAAGATCATAAAATGAAGGACCATGGACAAAGCGATTGATAGCACAAGGTAGGGATTGCTCCACAAAGGCAAGGTTAATAAGGATTCATTTTCACTTAAGCTATGTTAGTGGAGTACAGAGGTCAATCAGTATTGGTTCTCTATCCTATATCTGGGTAACGCTTTTCAACTACTTTACCTGTTCATAGCGTTAAACATTTCAATGACAACTAAAATGGATAGACTCATGGTTGTTGCTTTCATAGACAATTCGTTATTGAACATATCGCAGCCGATTTCAGGGAACAATTTTGTGCAATGATGGAAGTGAGAAAGTTGATACCAAGAAATCTTGGGTCCATTTGAGTAAAACATAAACCACCAAACATAACCGAATACAGTAGCCATTCCAACATAAGTACCAATTACCATATATCTAAAGAATAACCATTTACCAACGAGAGGTTCCTTCGAACTTCGTGGGGGTCTACGCATAATGTCATGGTCGGGGGGGTTAAAGCCAAGTGCGGTGGCAGGAAGCCCATCAGTTACCAAATTGACCCAGAGCAATTGTACAGGAATCAAGGCTTCGGGTAAACCCAAAAGCACAGTCAAGAAAATAGAAACCACTTCACCAATATTCGAAGAAATCAAGTAGCGAATAAATTGCTTCGTATTGTTGTAAATACTACGTCCTTCCTCAACCGCCTTTTCAATGGTAGCAAAATTATCGTCAGCCAAAACCATGTCAGCCGCCAATTTCGCGACATCGGTACCTGTACCCATGGCAATACCAATATCAGCCTGCTTCAAAGCCGGTGCATCGTTCACACCGTCACCTGTCATGGCAACAATTTCGCCGTTCCTTTTTAACAAATTAACCAATTGTTGCTTATGACCAGGTTCAGTACGTGTGAACAAATTGGCACGTTGAATAGCGAGCATTTTTTCTTCTTCTGATAGACTGTCAAATTCCCGTCCTGTATAACTTTTGCCTGTCAAATCTTCATCAGCATCAAACACACCAATTTGTCGGCAAATAGCTTCGGCCGTATTCTTATTGTCACCGGTAATGACAATGACACGAATACCAGCCGTCTTACATTCCGCAATGGAGTCAGCAACCTCAGGACGAGGAGGGTCCATCATACCAACCAGACCGATGAAAGTCATATTGCTTTCATACAAACCAAACTTGGATTGATCACGTAAATCAAATTGTTCTGGGTTGATATGTTCAACCTTGGCAAGACCAATACAACGAAGGGCCATACCTTGCCCATATTCAAGTACCTTTTTATTCAGGCCTTCACGGATAGCATCGGTCATGGGAACAGGCGCTTCTAATCCACTTAAGCGGACAAAAGAACAGCGATCCATGATGGACTCAGGGGCGCCCTTAACCAGTAAAGTATTGTTGTTGACGATGACAGACATCGATTTACGATCACGTGTAAATTCAAGTGTAGCTGTACGTTTGAGTTGTTGACCGTAGAAGTCGTTACAGGCTGTACAGCGTTCACTTTTGGAAAACCCATCAAGATGCTGATTGTATTGTTGATCAGGTGTACGTAGCTTTTCAACCAGAACTTGAAGAGCTGCTTCCGTAGGCTCACCAATGTTGGAATAGCTATCAGAAGACGCGTCATAGACAATGCGAGCATCGTTGCAAAGAGAACAGACAAGAGACACATCATGCAAAATAGAGCCTTCTGTAGGAGTCACGATGGCATTATCATTCATCGTTCGAGCATCGCCAATGGGTTCATAGCTAGTACCATCAACTGTCAAATCATCAACTGTACCATCTACGCTAGATACCACGGCAACACGAGAGACGCACATTTGATTGGTCGTCAATGTACCTGTTTTGTCAGAACAAATGACACTGGTACATCCTAATGTTTCTACGCTAGGTAAACTACGGACAATAGCACCACGTTTTGCCATCTTCTTAGTACCCAATGCAAGACAAGCAGTAATGACAGCAGCTAAACCTTCAGGAATAGCAGCTACGGCCAAAGCAACAGCAATCTTAAAATAATAAACTGCACCTCCTAACCATCCCTTGTGTGAAGGATCATTGAAATTCTGAATGTTGATTAACCAAACCAAGATACAAATAACTGTGATCACCTTCGCCAGCATATCGCCAAAATCATCCAGTTTGCGTTTTAAGGGTGTCTTTTCTGAAATCTGAGAAGAGATGGACTTGTGGATGTCACCAATGGCCGTAGAAGCGCCAATATTGACGACGATCGCTCTAGCTTTACCCAAAACACAGGTGGTGCCCGAAAACAACATATTGCATTGATCTTGCTTCACGGCTTTTTCGTCATGGATGGCTTCAACTTGTTTTTCGACGCTGACAGATTCACCAGTCAATAGAGCTTGATCGACACGAAATACGCTGGAGGAAATGGAAAGAACACGAGCATCGGCGGGAATCTTATCGCCAACAGCTAGGTCAATGATATCTCCAGGGACTAATTCTTCAGCACGTACTTTGCGTACTGTACCGTCGTCACGGATCACTTTAGCTTCGTCAGGGGAGTATTCTCGTAAGGCATCGATGGCCTTTTCAGCGCTAGTTTCTTGAAGTACGCCAACAGTAGCATTAGCGATGAGAATAATGAGAATGACGATTGGCTCAACAAAAGCAGTACTGGTTTCCTGATCTTCAAAGATCGCAAGAATGAATGAGATGATGGCAGCGCCAAGTAAGATTAAAACTAGCTGATCTTGGAACTGTTCGAGAATTAACTTGTACAATGGTGTCGATTCTTCTACAGGTAATTCTATAACAAACGTAGATATTCATCAACAAAATGAAAGGTATTTCATTAATTATTAAAAGCCTTCGCAGTTATTTATCTATAATTTAGTTCTCCTTAAAATAATCATACCATTTTTTCCGTATTTCGCTTGATGTTCTTTTACTTGCTTAGCATTTAAGCCTTTCGTTCTATCCACATTGAAGTGCTGACAGACTTCTTCTGGACTTTTCACAAAGGCGTTGTCCATGGAAGAGGCAAAGTGAATTAATATAATTCTAGAATATGATAGTTAATTAAGGAAGAAAAGGATAGAAACTTGCTCTCCAGTGACCTAACGATCTTGCCAGTCTTTTATCGTTCTTTTACCTGTATTGAATTTCCGAGTGTCCGTTACACGAATCCCTGCAAATTAAGACAAGACAAGTATGTTGCACCACTAATAAATGAGCCCTTCAAGAGAGGAAAACGTTGTAAAGCATTTATCCAATACTGTCCTTTCTTTTTTTTTTTTTTTTTTTTTTTTTTGTTATATTAAAGAACTATTTATCAAATGAACTAAACTGGAGCATGCAACAATTTTAGTCCTATTTTGATGATTTAAAGTTCACGCAAATAAAAGCCTTTGTTTTTCCTTTGCTTCAACAACAATCATAGCAATTTATAGATTAACACGTTATACCGTAAGTAACTACTTCAGACCTTGGAGAGAAGTAACGGCTCGCACAGACAATTTGTATTCAATTGATTGCCTGCCAAATTTTCTTATCGTTTGTTTACTAAATTATTGCAAACTTACGTTTGAACAGTACATACAAATGCATAAGTATTGAACTAAGACTATTTACTGTCAAGGATGATCTGACTGAAATACTTGAAATCAATGCAGTAGTATCTTAAGCTTGAAGCTAGTGATGGTTTAACCAATATTCATAATGATATCTATCCTGTTTCATCAAATTCAAGTAGTAGGTTTCAATTTTGCAGAAAGCGCTATTTTTTTATTTTTTTTTTATTTTTTTTTGCTATACTAACGTGTTGATTGCTATAATCTCGTCGGCCAACGAAATATGACTACGCTACACTCTTTCTGTTCTAAGATAATATGTATAGGACAATATGCCTACCAAATCACATATGGTATTGTCATAAGTTGTAACCAAATATAATTGCAAGCACAAAAAGCACATAGATTGGCTCAACTTCAACTGCCATATCGTGCTATAGGAATGTTTTGCCACAGTCGATCAAAGGCGGATGTTTCAACAAAACACTATTCGGAGAGCTGGTTGATAAAACTATCATCCCTGCTTTTGTGGATACAGGTTCTCATTTCTGTTCCTCGTATTTATTCAGTTTGTGAAACTATAGAAGATTGCGTTGGTTATAAAGTAAAAGCACGTACACATTTTCTGGCACTTCATCACGAGGCTGAGCTGGTTAGACTTCCAGCTTATAGCATACTTGCAATAGCCAAGGATCAATGGATGGGAACTATCCATACATTGCTCAAAATGAAAAAGCACATTAGACCGTTAAGGAACGGCTTTGGCTATTGATCGATTATCTCAATCATTATCTACCATATTTTCAAACCTCTGACACTGGATGACCTTTAGTTTCTTCCAATGCTCAGAAATAACATAGAATTTGTGTTTTGTGCTTCCGTGATAAGCCTTCAGTATAATGTCAGAATTAGGGGAAGGCACGCATGGTAAATTGCCTTAATACACTTTTTATTCATCTTACACAATGTAATTCATATCCGCAAAGCCAGTTTAAAAAGACCTTTTGTCGTTCTCCATGTTTTTCAATTTTCCTCATGTTTTTTATTTTACGAAATAAATCGATAAAATCAATTGGGTTTTTCCACTTCTTTTTGTTTTTTCTGTACCAACGATTCCCTTTCATATGGTCTTTTGGCAATTGTCCTTCTCTTCATTTAGACGTCAAATTGTTTAAATGGCACGATTTCATCTTAGAAAGGGACTTGTCAATTATGTGGGGCTTTGTCTTTCCATCATCGGCTTTATTTTAACAGTATTATGCCTTGCAGGTTGTCTGAAGCCAAGCAGTTATGGATTTTATTTTGCAAAAATAACCGATGCAGAAGCTTCAAGTGACGGAAGTTTTGTATCCATTTACTTTGGATGGCAAGCCTACTGCGTACAAGAGAGCAACCAGCCTATGGCATGTTACAACGATCGCAGTATTATGGTAGTTCCATTCGGTAAGTGGTGTATATTGGATTATGATGAGACCTTAGCTGATGTACTCTTTTCACTCTCCTCCTCTTTTTACTGCGTTGCAATTAACAAGACGTTTCTGTCAGCAATCAGCTTAATGAAACTTATCCTCGGCTCTTTATTGATAAAGTTGAACAAGACGAAGCACTCAATCCAGGTGCATCTCCTAATCCACCTCACGATCCGAAAATTTATCCAGCGGCTGTGCTTTGCTTGATCTGTTCGGCCATATTACTTGTCTGTTGTTTATATCGCGTTACATATCCAAGCCGATACCAGGATGAATATTTTACAAGAGGATTCTTGGCATTGGTATCTGCAGTGTTTGCACTGCTTTTAGTAATTTTGTCAACCGTTATGTATTCTGATGCGGTGGATCAATTAAATCGAGCATATCCTCATTTGCAAGCAACAGAGGGAACAGGATTGCCAATGATAGGATGCGCTTTCGCAGCATTCACGATAGCCGGATTTATTTTATTAAGAGGGTGCATGAGTATAGATTCGAACGATAACGATGGATATAGTCCTATTTAATTTAATTGCAAAACACTTTACATGTAAAACTATAATCTGAAATCTATAAAATATATCCTCAAAACCATGCATAGACAAAAGGGTCTCTTTTATTAGCAACTATCGTAACGTAAGAATAATGTAATTCTTTTCCTGACACTACATACATAAAATGTCGTTATTAAAAAGAAGTGTGGGGTACATGAATTGTACAGCAGCAACTTTATCTGGCTTATGTTCTCATCGTTTTTCAAGCCAACAGATTTACATTATATAGGTCTATTCTTAACTAGTTGAATCCACTTATCTTGGATCATTAGAAAAAATATGTTGTGTAGCATTCACTTAAGTAAATTTTCGCCAAAGTGCTCGATTTGGTGAAATTATTTCCCTTGGGTTTTTGTAAGAGCAGACGGCCCCCGACCCCTTCCCCTTCATCTCCCTCTCCTCCTCGCTTCTAGCCATCAGGGATAATTTTCGTCGTAATCTGTTTTCCTTTATTAACAGCTGAGTTAATGAGAAGTAAACTACTGCTAGTATACTTTGGTTATGGAAGTAAATTAGAAAGTCAAGGTAAATAGCAGCAAATCAATGCTAGCTTGTAAAGCGTGTAAACATTAACAAAAAGGGAAAGGATTGCTCATGATGTATACGCACTTCAACTTTCTTTTAGATCACATTTGCTTTTCGTTCGGTTAACAGGTTTTCTATTTTAACTTTCTGACTACTTAGCTTTTGTGTATTTGATGTAACAAACATCTTGGACAAACTCAAATTCGAATCAAAACAAAGACTCGATAAATAAAGAAAACAAAGCTTATATGTGCTTCAAATGCTTCATTCTTTAGTTGTTTATGTCTGTTTCCTTTGAGGCCCTTTCGTAGCAAGCAGAAGCACACTTATGCTCAAGAGTAGTATTCGAACTGTACCAAACAGCAAGGTTGTGAAATCAATTTTAAAATAGATGTTTATGCATGATGTATGCATGTATTCTTGGCTTTTTTTTTTTCTTTTATTTTCTATTTTGCAGCGCATTGCATATTTGACTAAATACATATGGACTTAGTCTATACCTCTGTTTTTGTTATTTATATATATTTATCTAGAAAGGAATGGGTAGAGTAGACGGTAAATAATGACAATTACGAAATAAATTGGACTTTTACAAGTAAATGAGATGATTCAGGTGATTCAAGTGACTTGCACGCGCTTCATGTTGTTCACAAGATCACTTGTGTCCTTGCGGCTAACATGGTGCAAATCCAATTTAAACGTCTTGCCATACCTATATGAGTATAAGTAACAAACAAGTTGCAAAGTCTTTAAAAAAAAGGGGGGGTTGCTCAACAGACAATCTCTTCAATGTTATTATTTTGTTTATGGTAGGGATGATTGATCAAGTGTAGCTGTTGTGTTGTTATTATTTACGGAGCATACTGTCGATTTGGGGTCTGAATGAAAATGGGGCGTTTTTTTTTAAAGTTTCTTTTTATTTAAGGGGGTTGCCATAGTCTGCTCGTCCTTGAACTGATTCCATAGCAAAAGTAAAAGGGAAAAAAAAAAGCGAATAAAAAGCGCAGACCATAGAAATCTGTAATATTAAGAAAGTACCAGTAACAGTAAACATATTTAGTTATATGCTTTAATGAATATACCGTATATACTTGTATGTATCTTTTTATTTACTAATGAATATCACATCTACCCATATGCAGGTAAAAGGTGAACTTTTTCTTACTCTGCAGTATTGTTTTCACACAAAAATCTTAATCAATCATAATTAAAGAAACACACGCACTTTGCTCTTTTTGCCACTGTATACTGTCTGTTATCCCCTTCTTCCGTTTCTTACGAATAAAAAAGGCATTTAAATAAAGAAGGAAAAATTTATTAAGTTGGGCTTTCTTCTTTTCATTCTTATTGCCTATCTTTCTTTCATCAGTGCGCGTGTAAATTCATTTCTCGTCAAAAACTAACAAGCAAAGACACTTGATCCTAAACGAATAAACTATACATAAAAAGTAAGCACAATAAAATACCGCTTATACATACATATTACATATTACAAGTATAGTAACATTTTACTGTTTTAACAATAAAGTGGAAAGCATATACTCTGCTACTGCTACTGGTGATGGTACCACTACATCTTCCACAACAACAAATGTCTCACCTTATGATTTACAGCAACAGAACCGCAATTATTATGGAAATCAGGCTTATCATTCCTATTTTAACAATAACACAGCTGCTACTGCTGCGTCGTCTTCTACAACTGATCATCCTACAACTACCCCTTCAAACGTTACTTCACCCATGACACCTCATGTTTATGCTACTAATACAGCACACACATCGTCAACAACAAATGTTACTACCATTCAGCAAGACAACAGTAACAATACTACCAGTCCTTCATGGTCTCATACAAATAATACTAACAATACGATGACTTCACCTCCACTACTGCCACCGGCAATTCCTCACTTTTCTCGATACTCTGCAAGCCCGTATGGTGCTTATCCGACCAGTATTTCCAACTACTACAATACCGGGTTTCCATTATCTAGCCATCATCATCATCAGCATCAGCATCATTCAATGACCACTACTGTTATGAATGCTATTGCAAATGATAACGTAACTAATGGCAGCATTGGTGCTCCTGCGACTACAGGTACCATTCAGAGGCCCAAGTTGACAACAACAGTATGGGAAGATGAAGGTACTTTGTGCTATCAAGTAGATGCCAAGAGTGTTTGCGTTGCTCGCAGACAAGGTAAACTATTGACATGTTTGATTGAAAAAATGGAAAGTTTATTGACACTGTTTCTTTTATACCTCTAGATAACGATATGATTAATGGTACTAAGCTTCTAAATGTCGTTGGTATGTCTCGTGGCAAACGTGATGGCATTCTGAAGAATGAAAAGGGCCGCGTTGTTGTCAAAGTAGGGGCGATGCATTTGAAAGGTGTTTGGATAACTTTCAATCGTGCCAAAGATTTGGCCACAAAATTCAAGATTGTCGATATCTTATATCCCTTATTCGTTGAAGATCCTTCCGTCTTTTTAACTGTACAGCAACAACAACAACCTGTTGTAACAGCTGCTACAGCAGCAGCTAGCAGTCATAATAATAGTCAATCCGATATGCAGCAACCACTTCCTAGTATTTATCAACAACAGCAGCAAAGTGGAAACTATAGCCCTGTACCCAGCAGCAATAGTAATACCAGCAACAGTCTACTTACAACAGCAGACAACGATAACAATGACTATTACTATTACCGATCTTCTCCTTCTTCTTCTTACTACTATAACAAGCCATCCTACTACCAGCCGCCCGTTTATACGGCCAGCACTTACTATGACCGTAAACTGCCTTATTTAAACGCAACCGAAGAAGTGCAGATGGAGCGAAAAATGATTGATTTTCCTACAAGCCCGCCACCTGAAATGAACCCACCCTATTATTCCGCTACAGGCAATACAGCAAAGCATTCGCCTCTGGGCTCTCCTTTAGTTAACAATTTGAAGCGTCTTACAACAAGTAATAATAACGAGCCGGAAGAATTGCAACTTAAATCAAAAGGCAGAAAGAGAGGCTATAATCAGACCAGTGCTTCTACAACGACAAGTACCAGCATCAATAAGCGTGCCAAGATTCTAAAATCTACACTATAGCTACTTATATAATATCCTCTACATTGTTATCTACTTTTATATATTTAATACCACTCCTTCATACACTCTAAAATAACCTCATCACAAAAAAGAAACTGACAAGCGTCAAGTAAATACTTTTTCGATCCTAAAGCACATAATAAATAAAGATCATCTTTAATTTATACATGGCCAGATTTATTGTTTAGCAACACTTTAAGCAAAGTAACGTAAGGCTATTTATTCAGCATCTATTGTAATGCCTTCAATAGCTTGGGCTTCTTCTGCCGTTAAGTCTTGAATATCATCTTCATCATTTTCATCGTCTGAAGGAGGAGGCTCAATGTCGCCCATCTTGATAAAGATAAATTTCATAATATCGTCGTACATTGTAGGCAAGGTAAAATCACTAACTTCTTGTTCTGACGAAATGCCTTGACAAGACCAACGTACATCATTGATAGGCTGGCCCTTGGGAGTTGAAGGATCACTTGACCAATTCACACATCTTTCAAATAAAAAGTTTCTCCTGCCCTCTCCTTCTTCAATCATCCCTTTCGAATGAGCTGAATCAATAAAAGCTACCCCTTTGACATGTGATTTAATAAAGTCAACTTCATTATTCAGAGCGCAAGCAAAGCCATGACCGCCCCAGCCTTGAGCAATCACAGCCACTTTTTCAGCCTTCACATTTCTAATATAGTGATATTACTAATGCGTTTATGCATTGTATTTTAAAATAGTAAGACCATACCTTATAAAGTGATGAAATACATATGGGGTGTGCTTTTCCGCCAAATCACTACCTGGAATAGTAATAATTTGTTTGGTGTGAACAGGAAGATTTTCCTACAATGAGCATACGTATTAAAACAAATATACAGGTAACCAGAACTACTTTTTTCTTTATTTTCATTACCTGGGCACGTCCCTCTACCCAAAAATTAGCATTTGGGTTCAAAATAATGACTTCATATCCTTTCGCGACAAAATCCTGCGACATCCGTATCATGGAGCCACTGTTGATATTTTCATCGCACATTATTCTTCTGCTCCATTGACCAATTCTTGTGTTATTACCAGCAATCAATACAACTACTTTATCCGGAGTGGACATAGCATGGGGTCTATGACGTTGATGAATAAAGTCAGTAGCTTTCTTAATAGTGAACCATTACAATATAACCACAGATTTACGGTACGTCATATAGATGTAAGAGTGTGGCTCTTTTTCAGGGTCAACTCCAACCGGTATATAGATTTTTTGAAAATTGAGGGGCTCTTCTTGTAACTTTTTTTCGACTTCATTGCCAATTAGTTCTAGCATTTCGAATATATTGATAAACTGTGAGTGATGAGTTGTCAGCTGAGAATCATGGAGTGGGTTTATCAAGTGCAGTTCGCAGTCTTACCTATAAACTTGTCATACCGCATCTTGTTGTACTCATAATCCTTGGGTAAGTATTCAAATACATAAGGCTCGTCTACATAGTAAAGAATATAATTTGATCTTAAGTTTGATTGAGTCTATGCTACATGTTGAAATCAGAAAACGTGTCTGTGGAAATAACTACCTAAAGAAATGCTTCTGATCTCTCCGTTACTTTTGAGACGATAACCAAATTCTTCAATTGTATCAGGAATAACTGGCTTCTTTTCCTTGATCACTTTTCTTCTTCTGTACATTTTCGTTATTGATCGACTGTCAGTAGTGTGATAAGAAAGGAACGTTGGGTTTTTTTTCAGTTACTGCCATTAAATCACAATAGCTCGCGTTTTTCAAATTTCAGTCTCCTCCTTGGTAACAGCATGATTCAAACAATGAATTCAGGACGAATAGGTATATCTATAGATTTACTCTTCTTATTGAAATTCCGCAGGTAATCATGGCAATTTTGGGGGTATGCACAAAGCAACGTACTGAGAGAACCCATTGGAGGACCAAACAAGCTCTTCAAATTACGGGCAGCATGGTAACAATAAGCTCCTTTAATATTTCAAATGGTGGCTGCTTTATCTTATACATTCACATTAAGCCATTATACTTGCCACTGGTTGCGCAAATAGGCCATGTATCGCGCAATATTCTCAGGAAGATTTTATTTATGCCGACATAGAGTATAAATCGTAGAAATCAATATGGTCGTGTATCTTCAGGTTGGAACTCTTGGAAAAAGATCCAAACCTTCAAAGAGAGGAATATGACTGTATGCAAACACACGCGAGGAATATGTGCTAGTATTATTATTATTGTTAGGAATGGAGCCGTCAGAGAAAGGCAATAATAAGAGCAATAAGAATAAAGATTAGCATATTTTAAGAAGCCATAACTGATATTGAACTAGAAAGAAACTCGTCTACATATATTATCTCTGCAGCTGCTGCGCCTGTTATAGTTGATGCGACGGTTGCTTTTGAAGATGAACAGTTTTAACAACAGCAGATTATTATCAATAAGAGGATCAATGTATCGACGGCTGACAAAAAAGAAATTAACAATATGCCAAGAGTTGTAGGACCATTGAGCGCGAGTTCTTTGAACTAAATACACACTAGCCAACAGTCACAACATCAGCAATACAAGATTATGAATAGTAGTGTTTAACCAGAGTGAACCATAGGAGTATGGGAAAGGGTAAGATAAAAAGTGAGAGCAGTGTATGGTGGAGTAATAAAGTTGTTACTAGGACATTATACGATCTGTTTCTTCATGCTGGATATAGCGCTAAAAAACTCGCCAGGCCCAATCCAACATTGAGCTCTGTCAATCACTGCATCCACAACTTCCTATCATTGTGATGCAACCTCATCTTATTCACCGACGCCAACATTTTATACAGCCATACCTTCACCTATCAATACTTCTACTACAAGACTCAATGGCGACAGCACTTCATCTCTGAAGTATTAGTGAACTTCTTCCAAACCTTATGGAAATACTTCCTAAACGGAAATAACCACCAGTGTCAAACAAGAGCATCCTCGATTTCCAAAGCTGTCACTAATGTACAGTCAGTGGTAGCCAGTGGAGCAATTATGAAAAATTGCAATGATAATAGTGTGATTGATGGTAATAGCTTGACATCATTGCCTTCATAACACAGAGCAACAGTTATAGCAAAATCGATATTGCCATTGAAAGTGTGTTTTATTTCCATAAATTGTACTCCAATGGTTTATTGTTTGTAATTTGGAAATCTTTGAAAAGGTCTTGAATGATGGTCCAAATATTCTGTTCTATTTCTTCCTTCGACTGAGTAGCATCAATAAACTAAGAAAGGAAGAGAAGTCAGAAGAGAGCTTAAATTCTCCTGCTTAAGTTGTCTTTGCTGATTTCAAAGATTTACCTTCCAATTCTTATCTTCTAATTTCATGAACTCTTCTCTGACTCTTATCTGTAATTCCTTCTTTTCATAACGCTCTTCACCGAATCCACCTCTTTTTTCTGCCTCATCAATCGGCAAGTCTAAGAATAAGACAATATCTGGCGATAACAGCCCTACATCTGAATGACGGCACCAATTCGAGTCTAACCCTTTTGCCGACGAGAAGGCCACACCTGAAAAAGCATATCGATCCACTACTAGCGTTTTCCTCTGATGCACAATTTTATCATGAATTGCCTGCATAGCTTCCCAGCGATTCGCTGAAAAGAGTAAATGGATAGCGTGATCGTCTAACTCACTTTTTTGTTGAAGATAGTTGTCAATCATTTTGCCAGTCTGTGTGGTTCTATCTAATCTTAGCACATGAGAAGGATAATTCCATAAATATACGTTTATGCCTTCTGTAAAAGACTCTATCATCTTTTCTTTTACCAGGAAATTTGATTAATTCTGCATCAATGCCAGATTTTGTAAGGTTGGAGACAAGATTGGCGCATTGAGTTGACTTTCCTGATCGATCGCAACCTTCAACAACAATAAAAAGCCCACGTTGCAGCATAATTTTATATTGTCTGTTGTTTTTTGGAAAAAAAGCACAAAAGGAATTCAGCAGACAAAAGCGCGTCTTAATTCAGGAAAACCAAATTAGCTTTATTTTAATTGGCCAATGAAGTACCTGATGTCGAAAAAAATTGGAAAGTTCAATACTATCAATGCGCGTTTTTTTTTTACTTATTTATGATTTGAGCAAATCATTAAAAGGCTTTCTTCTTTACTGTTAATTTCGCCTGATTGCTGTCGAATACTTTGTTTCCGAAGAGTTATAGCTAGATAAAAATAATGCCTGTTCGACGAATTAGAAGTGATTCAGAAGAGGAGGAGGAGGATCGAGCCAATTTTAACTCCTCTACCGTAGCTAATAAGCGTGCTACTTACGCTAATGCTGACGACGATTCCGATACAAAGGAAGCTCAACAACCTCGACCCTCTAAACGTGCAAAGATCACTAGCAACGATAACGCTGAAGCTAGCAGTGATGAAGTTGATGATCAAGAAGAAGAGACCGACGGTATGGACGTAGAAAATATACCTCGCCATTCCATCATTGATGATCCACCCAAGCCTTTAGAATTTGGTGACGATGGGTAAGTAAGAGATCATTTTAGAAACAGATAGGCGAGAAAAATTCGATATATTCAAAATTATGTTACTTTTATGCCAATAGTTACGTTGAAGGGTCTATTGTCAAGATGATTTTGGTCAACTTTGTCACTTATGACTACTGTGAAATATTTCCTGGTCCTCAAATGAATATGATTATTGGCCCCAACGGTACTGGTAAATCCACAATCGTATGTGCTATTGCCCTTGGGTTAGGAGGCAGCCCTAATCTCTTGGGTAGAGCCAAAAATGTCGCTGAATTCGTTAAGACGGGTCAAGATGAAGCTCAAATAACCATTGAACTTAAAAGGGTGAACTCACGTAATGTGATCCTTCAACGTACTCTCCGCAAATCCAACAATGCTACTTCTTGGCGACTCAATGGCAAGCAAGCAACGCAAAAAGAAGTGTTTTCTCTTATTCAGTCCTTCAATATTCAAGTCGATAATCTCTGTCAGTTTTTACCTCAAGATCGTGTCGCTGAATTTGCTGAACTGAGTCCTCCCCAATTGCTGCAAAGAACACAAATTGCCGCTGGTAAATTTGATCTAGCCGATATGCAGAAGCAATTAATGGAATGGAGAAATGAAGAGAAGCAACTGAGTAGGACGAATTCTTCAGATATTGATCATTTGAAGACACTGAAAACACGTAATTCAGAGTTAGAAAAAGATGTGGTGAGGATGCAACAACGTAAGCAATTGGAAGATGAAATTAAATTGTTAAAAGCCCAGTTGCCGTTGGTTCGTTATACGGAATCTAAGAGAAGGAGCGAAGAACTGAAGAAGATTTACGAAACGGAAAAGGAAAAGGTACGTCAAGCTAAAGCTAAAGTGGCTCCTATTCAAAACTTTTTAAGGTAGCGTTTCTTCATAAGCATAAATTACCCTTTTGGCGCGCCCGCGTGTTTTGCGTGTGCTTGTATGTGTGTATATATTGTCAGGTTCTCATTATTAATAATTTTTTTCAAGACAATCTGAACAAGCAATGATGGAAGCTACTGCAGAAAGAAATGATACAGTCAAGCAATTCAAGAATGCTACTCTTAAAGTTAAAGAAGTCAATGAAAAAATCAATTCAAAGGTACGCGAATAAAATTGATAAAAGATGCAAGGCGTTAAAGGAGGAAAAATATTATTACTTGACTAACCGGCAAACCTTTCAACAATGATAAGAGAATGGAAATTAGCACTAAAAGAAAGGAAATAATACATCAACAAACGAAGCTTGCTCAAAGACAAGGAGAAATTGAAAGGGCAGAGACAAATATTAGATTTCTGGAAAATCAATTGCAAAATAAGCCCAATGGTGATACGACCAAGATCGATGAAAAGATTGTAAAATAGGAGTCTATCATGAGTTATCGTGCAGTATCATGAAGTGCTAATATATTTTTGATATAGGCTGAAATCAACAGCGAAATGAATGAGCTTTATGAAAAGTCAGACGACATTGAAGCAGCTAGTGAAAAACATCAGTCCGCTTTGAAAAATGTGCAGCGAGATTTTGAAAGCAAAAGACACCAGTAAGTCTTCCCTTGTAAAAATTCCTAAAAAATCGCGGGTCGACTGATAAATTTATTACCACTCACTTGAAAAGATTGGAAGAATTAAAAAACATTCAGAAGACTCGACTTAGAAAGCTTCAGCGTGATTACCCTGATACAGTAAAACTGCATGAATATATCGACGAGAATAAGGATCAATTTGAAGGGCGCGTCTATGGCCCAGTCGTTTTGATGATGAATCTGAAAGATGCTCGTTATGCAGCTTTAGTAGAACAAGCCATGGGCGGTCCTCGATCTTTTATTTTCAGAGTGCGTTATCTCATGGTTTTCGACTATTATTGCCCACCTGATATTTATGTTCTGCAACTAACATATATTTAGTATCGCTTGTAGGCTTTTATCTGTGAAAAGCAATCCGATTATAAAAAGCTAACAGCTTATGCCATCGATAAACAGCAGTGGAAAGTCCGTATTCAATGGTCACCGACCAATGAAGGTGATTCAAGGACCCCAATCTCGACAGAGGAACTTCGTTCTAGGTTTAAATTGGATTACTTTGTCAGTGATCTTATTGAATGCCCTACTATTGTTCATCGTGCGTTATGTCAGGACTCAAATATCAACCTAATTCCTGTTGCACTTCAAGGTGTTAACCCAGCACAGATTGCTAGCTCGGGCATCTTCCGAAAATTCGTCGTTGGGCAAACTTTCTATAACGTCAAAACAAGTAATTATGGTAAACGTTCTAAGCAGATCACGACTAGTGCTATTAGAAATGAGTACTGGTTAGGAGAATCAAGTAAAGTATTCAAGGAAAGGAAAAAAAAAAAATCAAAAAAAATCAACAGGGACTAACTCCTTTACTTTTACATATGAATCAAAAGTTGATTTGGATGCTAAAAACGCCTTGTTGGAGAGTTTGAAGCAACTACAAAGCAATAAGCACGATTTAGACGTTCAACTGGAGAAATTAGGCTCAAAGCTCGATCAAATAAAGCGAGAACTCGAGCAGAAAAAGGACGAAAAGAAAGTCCTTCAAAACGAAAAAAGAGAAATCCAAATCGCTGAACAGCGCTATAATAAGAATCGAGATAGATTGGTTAGGCTCAAACACGACTTGGAAGAACTTAGGCAAAAGCCCGAAGAGGATAAACGTAAAATCGATGAACTAGAACGGGAGATCAAACAAATGAATGAACATGAAGAGTCTTTGTTAGCTGAATGCGAAGAATGCTTGGGAAAAGTCATTGATTATCATAAAACTATGATTCTTGCTTCTATAAACTACCTTCATTGTAGTACCAAACATACCTCTGTAAAACAGTTTGCAAAGCAGCATTCAAAAGACCTTGAGGCTGCTGAGCGAGAGATGAATAATATTAAAGTACATTATGCGAATGCAAATAATGACGTCAAACGCCACATGCAACATTGTAGAGATGCTGGTCAAGGCCTTCCTGACGAACTTACGGAGAAATGGAAAGAAATTGTTCAGATATGGAAAGCTGAAGGTCTGCCTATCACACTTGAAGATTTAGAGAATAAAATAGCTGTACAACAAGGCAAGAAAGATGGTATGCGATTTGCTAATCCTCATGCTATGGAGCATTACGAAGAGAGGAAGAAAGAGGTAGGGATTACACTTTTGTTTGTTTCGTTTGGATTCAAAAGATTATAACTGGTATACTTGTTTGATCAATAGATTCAACGACTTGAAGAAAAGATTGATAAAAATAAACAAGTTTTGGACGAGTTAAAAGCCAAAATCGATGGATTGAAGGTAATATTACTTGCTTCAAAACTATTTTAAAAGATCGTGAACGAAACTCTGATTTCTTACCTTGCTTTTGACACTTCAGAATCAATGGGCACCTATGATCCATTCACTTGTAGAAAGAATCAACGAAAAGTTTACAGCTGCATTTCAGCGTATGTCTATCTAAAAACTATCCTTATCAGTAGCTTGATATTGACTATAATCATATTGAATATTTCTCCTAATATAGGCATTCGATGTGTTGGTGCTGTCAGTGTTGCAGAGGATCCCGATTTTGATAAATGGGGTATCAACATTCACGTTAAATTCCGTGAAAACGAAAAGCTTCAATTATTGACGGGCCAACGGCAATCTGGTGGTGAACGCTCTGTTACTACTATCCTTTATTTAATGTCTCTACAAGATCTCGCAAAATCACCTTTCCGCGTTGTCGATGAAATCAATCAAGGTATGGATCCTAGAAATGAGCGCATGATTCACGAACAAATTGTGAAAGGCGCAAGTAGACCTGGTACATCACAGTAAGTTAGAAAAAGCTTTTATAATTTATCTTTTTCGTTTTTGTGTGGCATCTAACAAATCATACTGGGTTTTCTTTTAGATACTTCTTAATTACACCAAAACTTTTACCAGATTTGTATTACAATGAGCGAATGCGTGTATTATGTATATACAACGGCGAATGGCTACCAGACAAAATGAAGCCTTTATCTCATTACCTGGAAAATGCTCGCCAGATTGCTCAGGCCTAGATTACGAGTTGAAAAATATCTTTTCACAATAGCGCGAATCGAGCGCTTCATGAGCTAACCCTTGCTTTGAAAATCATTATTTCATTTTTTTTTTCATGTCAATGTATATGTATACATATATATACATAGATGTATATTTATGTCTTAATACTATAATCAGGATACCCAGTTAATGTCGGTACATAATATATATGCTATATTTTTAGAAGCAATTCGACTTCGAAGTCTATAAACTTGAACGTCAGTTTTCAGTTTCTGATTGATTCAGGCTCCAATATTAAGCTGGCAGACTAATGATAAGATAAGATACCGATTGAAGACTAGCCTATACAGGACTACACTTATCTGATTTTTTCCTATCTTCAAACCAGGGGTATGAGAAACGAAAGCTAGCTGTATTGTATCAGATTGACAAATACCTGGGTCATCGAATCATTCATTACATTGTATTGGGTCGTACATTGTGTTCAAAAGTGGAACTGAAAACATCTTTCGATGTCATGATTCCCTGTGCCGCAAAACATTAATCTCATGATGTTGATCGCCTATTCAGATTTCCTGGTATGTAGATATACACTCAATAAGTCGAATTATGACTACTATAGATGCATTTATACGCATATAAACAGCTGTTTCGGTGATTCTACGATGATTCGTTCCTAATATTGCTTGTATTCACGAATATCAAGGATGATACCTTGTGGGACCAACAATCGGACTCTGAATATACAAAAGAGGAGCATCCGTTTAACCCTCTTCAACTTTTAGTCTAAAATGTTAGAGTTACAGTTGCTTTTTCGGTGGCTACGGAAACGCACACACGATTGAAAATTATGGAGTCTGCATGCAGTCAGCATAAGACTGTCCTATTGCATGATAACAATGATAACGTTAGATATCGTGATTTCTCGTTAGATCTAGTCCTCCGCAACATGGTCAATTGTGCTTTAGTAACACAAATCAGCAAGTTTCAGAAAAAAATAAGTATAGATCAGATAAAGAAGAGATAATTTAACAAACACAGAAATGTCTATTGTGGTTGGTGTACTTTAAAGTTTGCTGGTTGGTGAAATATTTGCATTAGGTTTATTTCATCCCTGTCTCAATCTTCGATCTTTTCTTTCTTTTACCCTTTGTTAATCAGATTTCGGGCAAAAAAATGGAGAACGAAAAAGATATACGAACTCCCCATCAGGGTGAGGAATATATCCATAAAGACACCAACAGTGCTAGTAGCTTTGATGAAAGCAAAAACAGCGGTGAAGTGAAACTCTATGGTGGCGATACTGCATTGGCAAATGCTCCTTGGAAATACAAAATTATCGCTTTGACTACCGCACTCTTATTTCCATGTATGTTACTTTTTAAAATAATCATTAGATTGATTATGAGTTCAAATGATTAAATGAGCTTAACTTTTATGTGGAATCATGCAGTTGGTTCGCATTTTTCGCAAAGTGCTCTGTCTGCTATGAAGAAACCAATTGTTTCGGTATGTGAGACGATCCCCAGGCGCGCTTTATTAATTTTAGCAAACAGGATAATTTATTCAACGTACACTAAAACTCTACTTTTTATTGCCATGACCTCCGATAATATAGCACTTGCAAATCACCAACACTCAATATGGTGTCATTTCTGCATCCGTATCTATCATTAATACAATCTTCCCTATTGCTGGTGGTATATTTATTGATATCTTCGGTTCTGTGTGGGGTACCCTTGCCATCAACTCCATGGTCATCATTGGTTCGCTACTTACTGCTATTGCTGCGAAGTACAATTCGTATGCATTAATGGTCGTAGCGCGTGTCGTTTTTGGTATTGGCAGTGGTCTCATTGTTACCATGCAAGAATCCTTATTGTCGAAATGGTTCCGTACTCGCCATTTATCTATCGCCATCGGTCTTCAATTGTCTATCAGTCGTTTGTCTACTTTTCTCGGTACTCTGGTCGCTAATTCTGTAGCCAAAGCCGCCGGAGATTGGGTCTGGTCGTTTTGGCTTTCTTTTATACTTTGCGCCTTTTCCATCGCTATGAATTTGATTTATGCCCTCGTTGTCAAACATCTGCAAGGACGAGTTCTTATGTCGGCCGAAGAACGAGCTGCCTTGAAGAAAAAGAAATCCTTCAAGTGGCGCTCTATTTTCAAGTTCCCTGTTATCTATTGGCACATTATAACGATTGAATTTATCTATGCCGCGGTATGGTCGTCTTTCCAAACCATTGCTACTGATTTAATTATCAAACATTTTGGTTCTAGTGATCAATTAGCTGGATACCAAGCAAGTGCTTCACAAGTGGTACCTATTTTAGCCACTCCCATCTTAGGTTTTGTAATGGACTATTTTGGTGGCCGTGTGATAATTTTACTTATTTCTTCCATCTTTTTAATTCTAAGTTCGGCCTTACTTGGCTGGACCTACGTAAATCCCGTGGTTGGTATGGTCTTTTATTCTATTTCATTGGCTTTTGGTCCTATTTCTATGATTACCTCCATTGGTATGCTTCTACCTTCTGAATACAATGGCACCGGTTTGGGTTTGTATAAGAGCTCGAACAATGTTGGTACCGCTATTCTGGACGTTGTTGTCGGTGTTGTGCAAGATAACACAGCTGGCCAATCTTATACCAAAGTCATGTTAGTGTTTATCATTTTAGCTGCTGTCGGCTTTATCCTCATTACTGCTCTCTGGTTCAATCAATTCTTCTTCTATGATAATCTCTTGGAAGTCAAACGTGCGAAGCGTGTCATACGTATGCAAGAGATCAATGATAAAGAGTTAGAATTCACATCAAAGGGCATGGATCCGTATACGGAAACACCTATTCGCAAATTCAGTATTCCTTTCATTGTCACGTTCGGTGCTGCCATGCTTACAGCCTGGGTCCTCTTCTTTGTCTATTCTATACATGGCAAAGGCTAAATAGTAAAATCATTATGTTTCCACTATGTTTGTAGTTTCGATAAAAGGAATCTCCCTTTTTAATTTCATTTTCACAAGTATATAGTATATCATACCCTACTTAATTATTATTTAGGGTTGTTTAAAACTGGAAGTTTTAGCAATCCATAACTTAATTTATACAACGATATTTACAAATAAAACCAACTTTTACAGAAGGCCAATCAACCATTTTTGTTTTGAATACATACTCATTTAATATGAAGCGTGCAAATGTATTAAAGTTGGAGGCCGTCGAGCTTGACTAGGACCAGAAAGTTCAAGAATATCAGAAATGCTTTTCGTTCTTTTTATAATGATAGAAAAAAAGGGATATATTATATATGCCATTAAAAGATAGTATATAAAAGAATTAACGTAAATCATCATCGCAATCGCTGCCACCAATATCGATGTCTTCGTCATCTTCTTCATCTTCTTCATTATGTTCAAGTTTTATTGTTGTTCCGCCTGTGATGGTTGCCGAATGCACAGCAGAAGAAGACACTGTCATAGCGCTATTATTACTATTGTTCTTTATAGCATGCTGGGTTATATTATTAGTTGTTTTACTGATATTATTCGTACTTGTAAATGTATTGGTATTGGTAGTAGATGGGATTGCAGAAGATTTGGGGTTTTCAACAATCGTCTTATTCACTAATCTTTCATTTTCGACCTTATCTACAATATCCACTGCTGTCTTTTTCTGATGCTGCGCAGACGTTTGTTGCTGTTGTTGCTGCTGTTTAGACTTACTTCCACCCTTCTTACCATTCGTCGTAGAGGCAGACCTTTTAATTGTAATAGTTGTGCCACCGCTGCTGGTGCTACTGCTGCCTCCTGCTGAGGATCTCTTACTACTAGCTGTAGATGCAGACCATTTACCACTGCCATTACTACTTTGACTTCCAGTATTGGCTCTTTTCCTGCTATGCTCAGAGCTTTTTGTAGACTTGGCACCATTTGACTGGTTTGACTTTTTTTGCAGTATATCAGATTCATCGTCTTTCAAACTTCGGCTGACTGCTGGAGAACTACCAATGGAATCTCTTCTTCGTTTCTTTTGTAAGTCGCGAGGATGAACATGTAGTGGCTGTTGCTGTTTAGACGCCGCGACTCGGCTTAGAAGCTCTTCCAACTGTAGTAATTTAGAATTTTTCAATAATGAAGCTGAAGCGGACGACGTTGGCACATTGGCAATGGAAGCAACGTCGGTAGCGTTCTTAGTGGCTGTGTTAGTGGTAGCTGTAGCTGTTGTTGACTCAACATCGCTTAATTCATCAGAAGACAAAGTAGGTGAAGAGTCACTTGTATTCACAATATCAACATCGCTACTATCGTCCTTTTCTCCTGCTTTTGACAGCGCCTTCTTTTCCTTCTTTTTTCCTTTGCTTAGACCTTTAAGTGGTTTTGATGTACCCATCAGCAGTGATGCCGAAGTAGTTGCAGCAGGTGTTGTTGGCGAAGCAGGTCCACTGATAGTAGGATCATTTATAAAAGTTTTCCCATTCGATTTGAGGGCTTTATGAGGATGAGCCATCAATAATTCTTGCAACTGAGCAGACACCATACTACCCGACGATGAAGATTGACGAGAAATGGGAGGAACTACAAATGGTTGTCGTTTAGCTGTTACTAAACCACCATTGCCTGCGACAGCTGCAGCATTAGCACTTGTTTCTTTCAAAGCTGCTAAAGCCAAAGCGGTCCAACGATGATCCACCACTCCACGTTTATTCTTTAACAGTGCATGAGTTGAATGATGATGATGATGAGGGGGTAAAGGTAAAGGTAATGGCGAAGGGAATAACGTATCTATCCGGTCATCCAAAAAATGACCCAGCTTGTGCTGTATCGAACATGTTACCGCCAATTCTTGTGCTCGTCTCAACGGAATCCATGTCCCAAACAGTATACTCTTCTTTCGTGGCATACGAATTCTTTCCATTTCGAAACTAAGTATCATACTACGTTCACTTTCTGTTTCAATCCCACCTGCTGTCAGTAACACTGTACCGTTAATAAAGTTGGTATCAATACGTCTCATAATTCTGTATTCAGGGGTAGTATCAGTTTTGGGCAACACAACAACACAAACAGCAATATGATCTACAACCGTAATGTACATGGGTGGATTCGTCGGTGTAAGAGGTTGAATCACAGGTTCAGTAGTAGCGGTCACTGAAGGATTGTTCATCGTAGTGGTGGCTGCTGTTGAAGATGTAGAAGCAGCGCTTGCTGATGAAGAGTGATGGGTATTGGTACTACCGCCAGCAGTAGTTGTGGATGAGACATTTGAGGTCATTTGTGGAGCAGTTGTAACAGTAAAAGTTGGCGTGGTCGGAGTAGACGGAGCAGTTGTTGAAGTAGTCGTTTGATGTGAAAAATCAGTTGTTGTAGGTGATACAAGTGGTGGTGTTGACAAACCAGAAGGTGCAACAGCAGCCGAAATGAATGGTGTGGCTGTTGTAGCAGCAGAGGTTGCCACAGCTGTAGTAACCGTCGCAGAAGACGATGCTGTTGATGTGGCAGGATCTTTTTTGAGAAAGGCTTCCAGAGCAGGAAACCGAGCCAAAATAGACTTCAGATCCATAGCATAATTATTCGCCTGTTGCTGTGGAACAGTACCAGATGCTGAAGAGGAGGAGGTTGAGGATAATGCTGCATTAGATGCATTAGCGGTTTTAGCGAGTGTTTGCATATAAATAGCCATAACTTTTGCTAAATCTAGAGTAGGTGTTAAATATTGTAAAGATGGTATTGATGACGTGAGTTGATGAATGGCTGATAAATTGTTTTTAAATAACTCGGCTGCAGCTAAAGTAGACGCATTTGTGTTAGTATTGGTATTAGTATTGGCTACCGATGACATTGCTGCTGTAGCGTTTGGTGTAGCAGCAGGCAGTATATCTGCCATCTTTTTTACTGGTGAAGCTGTCGTAACAGGAGCTGGCAAAATCGGCGCGGGTGATTTGGTAGTTGTACTATTGATAGGTAGTGGTGTTTTGTTAGCTGACGTGGTAGACGGTGGATGTAATGAAGAAGAAATCGTTGGTGTTGATGGTGCTGTCACTGCTTCTTCCTTCTTTTCGTCATCCTCGAATTTGACAAAATCTTCGCCGTTAGTCATGTTTGTTACGTTTATCGAGCTACTACTATTAATAACACTAGCTGTTGGCTGTGGGGAAGAGACTTTCTCTTTTTCTTTCATTACTGCAGTTGTAGGTTTTTGTTTTTCTTGTTCAGCAGTTGATGGTGAAGAATCATTGTTGACATTTATGAGAGTCTCATTTTCTTTACTGACTGTTGATTTGCCCTCCATCTGTTGATGGTCAACTTCTTCTGCTTTCTCTTCATCGCACCTCCGTTTTGTCTCTTTTATTTCGTCCTCTTCTGCTTCTTCATCAATTTTATCAGCTACACCTCTAGCAGCACTCGTTAATAGTACCTTTTGCAATAACGATTTGTCATGGGGTCCTAGCATGGTTGATGAAAAGCTTTTTCGTTTCGATTTGTTAAATTTGTTATCATCTTTCGTATTGCTTTGAGCTTTAGAAGCATCCTTTGACAATGGACTTCTGTTGATAGTGTGGTTGTGGCTATTTGATTGCTTTGCTAATGATGGTGTGTTTCCTATCTGTGACGATGTTGAGGACGACGAAGAAGGTGATGGTGTATTTGCAAAGTAAGTTTCTAACTCTGAAACAGAAATGGATTCAGGAGTAGCGATATTAAATGGAACGGTAGGATTAATTATTGGATTCAGTGTAGCAGAATGTGAAGTGTTAGAAGAAGGTGGGATCGTTGTTATGGCAGCGGTAGTTGCGCCGGTATTATTGGTAGCAGAGGTTGCGGTATCGTGATTTAAGAAAACGTTATCAAAATCATGCTCAAAACTGAAAGGTGTCCAAAACTCCTGGTCGCCTAGCGAAAATGAAGGTTTTCTTGCAGCCGTTATGCTTTCCAATGGCTGAGGTAAAAGACCAGCTTTGTTCGCTGGCGACAAATGAGATGGCACGGACGACATGCCTGTTGCAGTCGCAGCTGTCGTTGGAGCATTTGTTACGACTGCTGATATAGAGGGGGCATCATTGCTACCTAAGCTACCTTTACTCGATGTATGGTTTGTGCTCAACTTTAAATAAGAAGGTCTTCTTATGTTTTTCAAGGGTTGCGTAGTCAATAAGTTTAGATCGTCACTCTTCAACATTTCCTCGTGGTAATCAGAATGCTCGCCCTCACTTTCTTCGCTTTCATCCTCTTCCTTAACGACGCTGGTATGGAAATTACTCATTATTTCTTCGTCGTCTTCCTCATCCTCAACTTCTCCAATATCTGATCCATGGTTAACGAGTAACTGTGGTGGTGACCGATAAGGGTATTGATGTGATGTTTTGTGCTTTTTGGATGCGTGATGAATGGTTCTATTTTCTGTTATGCTGTCATCTCCTTCTTCGTCAGTACTTTCATCGCCACTACAAATATCATCGCTGCTCATTTTGGACCGTTTTCCACGATGATGTTGCAGTGAAGTGTTGGACGATTGTGATGGCTGTTGTCGTAATTTATCTTTTCGCGCATTTCGTAGTGAGGACTTTATATTAGGAGTGGGCAAAGATGCATTCGTAGATGTATATGATGCTGCGGCATCGGCGGTATTGTTATTATCATGTGCTTCAGGAGATATCGCAGACTTGCCCGTATCAGTGCTACTATCTGTCGTATCGTTGGCAGGAGTGGTAGTACTAGTTGTGGCTAAAGAATAATTTATCTTTCTCGAATGATTTTGATCCACATGTTTGGCTAACAAAGGTGGCCTAGGAGGATTATGCTCTGCTGCTCTTTTAAAATGTTGCGAAATACGTGAAGAAACCGTAGCAAATGGAGTCGCGCCACTATACAATGTTTACAGATACGATAGAGGACAAATGGGTTAGTGGGGACATAGGCAAAATGTTGTCAAATTAAGCAGACGCAAAACAACTTGATAAATATTACTTTACCCAAGCGTAGCATATTTATATTTAACTATGATATTTGCTAGCTCTTTTGGTGAGCTAGGCTTATTTCCCATTTTTAACAACGCCTTTAAAATAGCTGTGAACACTTTATCTTTCGCATCATCGGGGTGGATGGACACAGGTAAACCATTTTGATTCCTTTGGTGCTGTTGTTGCCTTTGTTGTCTGGTTGTTGGTTGCTGCTGATGATGCTGCTGCTGTTGTTGCTGTTGTTGTTGCTGCGAATGTTTAAACTTATCTTGGCTACTACTATTTGTTGATTTTTGTGTCATCTTTCCTCTCTTTTTTCTGAGGATTGACTTTTTTCTATTTTGCAACTGTCGGATTTAAGCTTAGCTGAGGCACAATGATTAGAAAGAGATAGAAGGTCAAAAACACAGACAATTTTTGTTATAAGTTGTTTCGACGAAACGCCGCACCAAGATAGATGATAACAATAATAAAAAAAAAAAGACCAAAGAAATGACAGGAAGTAGGGAAGAATGAAAAATAAAAGCTTTTGAAAAGGCGAAACGTACTGGGGACTCTCAAAAATAAAAAAGTAGAGAGGTTTCTGACGGACTTTGAAGTCAACAGGTTTAACGCATTTGCCTGCTTTATGATTTGTCTAGTTCCGGTCGATATTTCATTTATTGTTAACCCATATCCCTCGTTCGGGAATCAAGGCATATGACATGAAAAGGCAGATCATTTACGACAAGGATTACTGGCCTGAACCAGCTTTATTCAGAGATAAAATTGCTCTGAAAGAGCACAACAGCTTCATTGTGAAGAAGATGAACGGTGGTTGGACTCTAGTCCAATTTGACAGTCGATGTTCGTGGGTACGTGTTTTGCCGGCTTATCAAAATTCAACTGGCGGTTACAAAACAAGGAATTGTTGGTTATGTTGTTGATTGAAATCGATCTTCGCTTTAAGCGAAACATCCAAATGCAAAAACACTATGTTTATATACTTGATTGTCAGTAAGTTATCATAGCAAATGACAGAAAAGGATCTGATATTGAGCTAACGCTCTCCATTAAATAGTGCTTTTTTGCTGACATTCTATATTTGATTATATCTCGGTACGCCATTAATGGCTTACAAAACATCGATCAATTTCCTTGCCGCTCTTCTAGTACATAGACTTAGTTTTTTTTTTTTTTGTTTTGTCTTTTTCCTCTGTGGCAATAAACATGACAGTACAAAGAACGAGAAACGTTTACCTTACCCGATTTGAGAATCTTGTACTTATAGTAATGCCAGTTTAATTCCATTTGTTCATGCAAAAAGCGTGCTAGTGTGCGTAGTTCACTCTAAGCGTTGGTTCGTTGCTTGACTAATGATGTCGTCACAGCGTTTAAATAAAGGTGGAAAAATCAGCGCATTCAGAGGCGCTTGATCGCTTTCGCTTGCCTACTAGCATTTTCTGTTGTACATTTAATATGCTTAACAAATTCTTTGCTGTGAACGCTGGTTTAAACCGGCCAGATCTATGAAAATTTATTATTCTTTCTAACGTACGCATGCGTCGCTTATGCAGTTGTTTATTCCCATGGACCGCAATACTGAGTGTGCTTTCGTTGCTTTGGCAAGATCCAAAGTGTCTAAATGAGTAGCATTGCACTTCTATGAAGATTTCCTTGCCTTTGTTTCCTTCAAGGAGTTGTTAACAGCATCTTTCAATCTAAATCCGACGACGATAGAATTTGTACGCCTACAACCTTTCTAAATGCACTCAGTTGGCTTACAATGCTTCTAGCCAGAATGAGCACCTCCAATACGTAGTGGATTGGCTGAACCGTAGAATACTTGTTATTCCATGCTGAATTTGCATTGAACCGTTCAGATTGATGAAATCGAAGGTGCCTTAATGAGCTATTAATGTTCAATAAGTTCAATTAACTCTTTTGATGGCAATACACACGCATATAATGTGCAAAAAGAACCTCAAAGCATCTTACTTCGCACAATACAAAGCTAGTTTTTTCTACCATTCAAATGTGAAGTTTACCAAGCTTGCTTCTGTAACCATAGTGCACATGTGAAGCTTCCTGATGTCTCAGATTGATTAAAATCCAAGAAAATGAGTTTGAAAGTTCAAGACCTCATCAATCGAAAATGCTTGACAGATGGGACGAAAAAAGAAAAAAAGCAGCAGTTAAGTCCTTTGAATTGGTAATCAATTGATCTGAATAGCTACACTGCCGTTGTTTTCTAAAAATTAAATGAGCTTGACACTTTGACAATGGAAACTTGGTTACATCAGAAGAGCCAGTATTGTCGGGAAAATGAAAGCAGAAAAAAGCTTTGCGTCGATTCCAGCTAGTCAGCGACTTTTAAAAGTAGCATCCAACCGCTTATTTGTTACAGCACAGTTACAAGCAAAGGAAAGTAAATATCAATATTCCATTTGCAAAGGCAGATCTCCACGACAGCTGTAGCCGAAAAAATAAATAAGAAAAGCTTACTGGCAGTTGTTGTGATTGACGAGGTTTCAAAGTTAAAGTTATTCCCTTCTGATAACTTTGGCATATTCATAGTTGTTTTTGAAAGCTGATACGTAATTATTTAGGCTAAAATCAATTGCGAGACCATAGACATGAATAAATTTTCATATCCAAATGGATCCTTTGTTCACGGGACCAAAACTTGCATCTGTGGTAAACTGTAGCAAAGGGGACGTCGATGATTTAAATGCTTGATACTCCTGTGCGGAGAGCAAACGGCTACCAAAAAAACACGGTAAGATTCGTAGAATAGTTTCGGCTAAACTGAACAACTGATCCAAACTTTCGCCTTTTATTTATATCAACATCATAATAAATTGTTTATCAGCTCGACCTGAGTTATTACAGTTGTGCTTCTCATTTGGAATAGACTAAGCAAATGACTTTTGTCAAGAATAGATGCACTTACTCACTGTTTAAACATGCAACAGCGCAATTAAGAAGTCTGAATTGCTATTGATGAGAAATCTTCTGAGGCTGTACCTGATTTAACTTTCACCTTAACCGCGTTAAGTCACACAACACACACCAAAAATTTAGCAGGGCGTGAAAGAAGCGCGTTTTATTGTCTGTCGGCAACCAGAAAAAGAGAAAGTCCCCACTACTGAGAGCAAGTTTTTCCCTCCATTTTTTCTGTCTACTACATATTTAAGCTCATGGTTCGTGCAAAGAAACAAGCTTCACCAGAAGTAGAGAAACTGGTCTCCAAGTTTTTCAAGGAAGGTAGGCTAAAAGAAGACGTTAAATGACACGTCCTCCCTATGTTGAACGAAAAGAACTATCCAAACACATCATGTTCTGATCGTGAAATGAGCAAACAACATCGATTGTTTAATGGCGGATTAACTCATCTCGTCTCATTGCTTTGAAAAGTAGATGACCACAAGAAGAAAAAAGCCGTAAGGAAACCTTTGAAAGACATTTCTATTCCTGTGTGTGTCGAGATTCGTCCCTTGCTGGTAACGATTTGAACAAACTGCAAAATACCCTTATCGAAAGCAACTGCTGAAAGCTTGTTTACCTTTTTTAAACAATTCTTGTAACATAGCAAAAGCTCCGGGAGGTAAAGCAAGTATTCGATGAATATATTGAAGAAGAATATAATGATTACAAGATCGATCTTGCTGAAAAGTACACTATTTATTTGAAGCACTCATTGTCTACAACAAAATAAGAGCAAGCTCTAACTTAATTTTTGTTCATGGTATAGCGAGAAAATTGAAACTGTCCGCAAAGAAAACGTCTTCAGTGAAGAGGTTACGGAGTCTGAAATGGACATTATCCAAAAGCGTGTCGCTTTGCAACAACGCCAATTCAAAGAGTTTGAAAAAAGAGAAAGAGCAAGGAAGACAAGGAAAATCAGAGCTGTATATGATTATTTGACAGATGAAGAAATTGTAGAAATGCTGGAAGACTGTAAGAATGATGAGGTAAAGGACAATTAAAACAAATAGTAAGAATGTTAACAGCTGATCATTTTTCTGGTATTAGGAAGAGGTTATTGTGCGTCTTACTCAGCCTGGATACCTTTACGATATTCGTAAAACAATTGCCACAAAACATGCACCTGAAGTAGAAACAACGGCCAATACAATGAGTGAAGAGCAACAGGCGGCTTATAAGCAACTCTTGAAGAAACGTTCAGAGACTTTGAAAAAAACGACAAATGATTCTGCTAAAAAGTAAGTAGATATGGAAAAAAACTCTCTCCTATAGGAGCTTGTCACTATACTTGAGGTTAACGACTATGACATTTTACAAATAGACAATATCGTATGGGTGGTCGTTTAGGATTGGATGAAGCTCTGGCACAAATACAGGAAAATCGTGTTGATCCCGAAAAAGCATTCGAAGGCTGGTCTCAAGCTCGTATTCGTGCTTATCAAATGATTGATGTTAATCCCAACAGCTACTATTACCGATTTAACGCGCCTGGCGAAGTGCAAAGAAGAGGACAATGGTCTGACGAAGAACGTAAACTATTTTTCAAACGACTTGAGGAAGTGGGGGCTAATGGTCAATGGGGCATTTTTGCTATGAAGATTCCTGGTCGCGTAGGCTACCAATGCTCCAATTTCTATCGTCTCCTGGTAGAGAATAATGAAATTCAAGATCCCAACTATGTATTAGATGAAAAGGGCAAGGCTCATTATCTATTTGAGAAAAAGACAGCTGATGGCTCAACCAAAAAGACTTTCCGTACGCATAGCAAGCATGGAACTGGACGCGGTTCAGGGATTCCTTCTTCTACTGCGCTAGCAGCGGGAAGCAGTGTCGGTAGCAGTAATTCCATCAATAGCATTGGCGGATCTAAAAGAAAGGCGCGAGTAACGTCAGCAGCAGCAGATAAGAAGAGCAAAAAGAAGAGAAGAAGAACAAGAGGATGGGGAAGTAGTGATGATGACGACGATGAAGACGACTTTGAAGACTATAATGATGACTCTGGTACCTTTACGATGAGTTTACGCACAACTCGTAGAACCCGCGCTCTTGCAGAGAATAATAGGAAAAATAGCAATGATACCTCCTCTAATACTGTTAACTATAACGAAGATGACGAAATGGAAGATGAAAGCGAAGAAGAACTAAATTTGGATAATCCCTTACCAGGTTTTATTGATCCAATTACATTAGATGAAGTGGTGAAACCAGCTATTTCAAAATACGGTCATGTTATGGGGTAAGTGGGGCTCCTTTTAACACGTGCTAAATCTTTTAACTCTTACTGACCATATATTTTCACAGATATGATAGCTGGGTACGCTGCTTAACTAATTGGGAAGGGAAGAAGAATATTTGTCCACTAACAAAGAAGCCTTTAACGAAACGTGATTTAGGTTAGTCGATCTTTCATCTGCTTATCAATTGACCGAGGTTTCTCAACTTATCAATCTATTTTTATAGTGATTTTGACGCATGATAACATTGAGGAATACAGAGATAAAATTATTCAATGATTACTTTTAGCTTATATCCAGGTTTGTAAAACCTTCCCGCATACATTTTCTTATTTATCCATGGCAATAAAATTCAACGCATACTGTCTACCGCCATACACGCCTCCGTCTCCTAACTTTAACGCAGATGTACTAACCTAGCAATTGCTCTAATCTAATTAAGGTACACGATAATTTTATTTTTTTCAGTCAGAGATAAAGCTACTTTCCATAATTAAAAAACCACTAACCTGGATATTGACGCTGCCACTTTGAAAAAAGAAACAAAAAAATTTATGTGCATGAATTTGTCAAGGCTAATTGACAGCCTTCCAACAGTAAATAGAAGATGAATTAGTTACAAAATGACTGATTATATGACATTTACATCTGTGAGATACGAATGCAGCCTTATTCCAGAATTTTACTTCTTCTCTATAATTCCCACTCACCTCCTTTAGTCTTTAAGTAGTACTGGTTGACTAACTCTGAATTTTTTCAAATATCACTATCTGCAAGATATTCGATCCTTTTTTCAGGAGAAATCACTGTCTTGCAATTCTAATACTATCCTAAACTTCACAGATATTTCTACTGTTATTGCCTCATTGCTTAACAGACTTTAGATCAAATTAAACTTAGAATGTGGAATGGAATTGAGTAACCGATATGGGATTTAGCTTCTTAATAATCTCCATTTTTTAAAGCAACACAGATTGCTTTTCGGAGACATGTTTTTCTACTACCCATTCTCATCGACGTGTACCACTGCCGAAACTGCATTTATTGCTATAAATTTGCTTAAAATCTCAATTCTAAAGCATTCTAGCTTCAATGTTCGGTTTCAAAATGAAAAGATTGTTCACACTTGCATTATTGCCTTTATCTGCTACATTGTTCAATGCAGTATCATTTTGTAATGCTGAATTTATCATCAATAACAAAACAGTCGTCTCTTTAGGAGGGCCAGGCATTAGAACGGTGCAAGATAGGTATAACCAAGATGGTGATTGGAACAGAACGTACAGTCCATTTGAGCCACAACAAGTTCACGCTTCATGGCTTTCAGATGGTAAAGCTTTCCGAGTCCAATTCTCAACCATGGCGCCAGTTAAAAAGGCAAGTTTAAAGTACTGGATCAATAGCGGACTCTCGCATAAGGAAGAAAAAGAGCAAAAACATAAAAAAAAGAAGCCAACAGGACATATTGAAGATGCGGAACAGGATGCTTACATTGTAGACCAAAGTCATGTAAATCTAGTCTGACAAAGAAAATAGCTATTACGTGTCATAAATATTAAATAGTATATCGTGTAGAGCTGGACATTTGTTGATGGAGGCGAAGCGCAACATACTCAATATATGCACACACTTAGCACTGAAACATTGAAGCCCGCAACAATTTATAGCTATAGAATCATAACTATCGGTGATGACGGTGAGTCGTCCGAAGGAACAGACAACTCTTTCGAATCGAAAGTGTTTGAACTGCATACACCTGCGAAATCTTCCAAAGGCTCATCCTCTTTCAAATTTATTGCAACTGGTGATATTGTAAAGTATTACCTACAATATATGATATAACCTTGGAACCAGGAATTAGCAACTTACAGCCTCTACGTTTTGCGCGGGTTCTTTTTTTTTTTTTGCCTGTTTCCATAGGGTGTCAATAATGCCGTTTCAATGCCACTTTTCAAGCAGTTTGTAACCAGCCATGAGTACGATTTTGTTGCTTTTGTAGGTGATCAGGGTTACAATTTAGACGATTTTAATGGTACCAAAGGTGACGAGTACATGAAGTTTGCAGAGGAACTCTATGCCAACCTTCCTATATTGACGACTACGGGTAACCATGAACAGGCTTACAATTTCTCACATTATAAGAATAGGTATGACAGTCGAGGATTTCATGGGAAAATATACCTCTTTAACATTCCTTCGAAATAGGTTTGACTTGATGCCCTATCGCGAATCTGGTTTTGATAATGCCTTGCAATACTCTATCAATTACAAGAATCTACATCTGGTTTCCTTCGACACGGAAGTATTTTTCGAAGGGTCGGAGGAAGAAGTGCTTACTGCTCTACATTGGTTAGAGGAAGATTTAATTGAAGCAAATAAGCGTCGCTCGAAAGTCCCTTGGATTATTGTATTTGGCCATCGTCCTTTGTATTGTTCCGTAATGTCGAGTAGTGATTGTGTCGAAAAAGCTGAGAAGTTACGATTCGGCGAGCCAGTGGATAAAAACTATGGATTGGAGACTCTTTTATCAAGATACAAAGTTGATCTATATCTTTGGTAAGTCAAAAGAAATACTTTACTTTATAAGGATGTTATGGTGTATTATAAGTCGTTTTACTTATGGTTCTCGTCTATACTGGTCCAAAGCGGTCATAAGCATAATTATGAAAGATCTTACCCTGTCCTTAACAATACACTCGTAACGACTTCGTATCATAACCCACCCTCTTTCTTTCAAGTCATAACTGGCAACGGAGGGAATTATGAGGGCTGTGACAAATTTGATGATATGACAAATACAGCAGCGATACCTAAATGGCTGGGCAACCATTATGAAGGATATGGATTCACGACGGTCGAAGTCTCGCGTAATCGTTTAGATTTACATCACTATGAGGTGCAGGAAGATGGTACTTTAGGCGACTTGCGCGATCAGGTTCGCGTACATAAGACGAAAGGACACGTGAAAAAGCAAGCAAAGCTTGCTGCTGAAGCTGCCTAAAGGACAAGGAAAAGCTCAATTGTATTTTTAATCAGACATACAACGGAAGTTGAAATAAAATTGTAAATCTTCCAAACGCTGTTTTTAGTCCCACTCTTTATCAAAGGCAATTTCGTTTTATCTGCCTATACTGTCTTCTTTTACACTCACGTTGTACTTTTAAAATGGCATTGTTCAACAATGCCCCTGAATTACGACGACATAGTTCAGATAGAACCATTAAGCTTGCTTCCGTCAACTTTGTCGCGTCGTCAAGAGTTACTGAAGCTTTAGCTGTTTCAGGTCACCTGGCTCTATCTGCTCCTTCTCAGATTGTGGGTCAATTTCAGTTCTTGAAGGTATTGCATGCATCTGAGTCATTTTGTCAAAACGTAAAACATTTTCTACACAAGCATACTTATGCTTGCTATAGACCCTTTCTCATCCCAACCTATGTCAATATGTTGAAATTCATCGAGGAAAACACGGTAAAAATCTCAGAGATGCATAAATTGTCAATTCAGCCTTATTGGACAAAACAACTTGTACCAATTCTTCTTCTACTTCAGATAGAATTTTTGTCGTTTCAGAATACCTCGACATAACAATGCAAAAAGCAAGAAATTTAGATTCGAAAACTCCACCGCCTGTGAGGTTAGCAAATATGAAAGACTTATGAAAGATATATGCTGAAAGCTGACATTCCCGAATCACCTCGGTAACTGTAACGTCTTTAGTTTATCAATATTGAAACAGTGGGCATTTGAAATTTGTTCAGCTTTGCAATATTTGAAAGAGAACGGTATAATTCATGCATCTCTGTCACCAAAGAATATAATGCTGGATAAAGAGGTAAGGAGAAATATTCATCAGTTTTTACCACATTACTCCTACAAACTATATAGTAACAGTACACGCAATATAGAATCATATCAAATTGTTCGGATACGGACTATACTATATGACTTGCGAAGGAAAATACGTTGACTTTCCTATAGGCTACCCAACCTATCTGGCACCCGAATGCTTAGAGGAAGACTTCACATATTCAATAATTAATATGAATGATTTGAAGATTGATGAGGAACGCTATAATGGAAGCAGATTTAAAAGCAATGATAAACGAGATATTTGGGCGCTAGGCGTCGTCTTGGTTGAACAGTACACACGAAACTCTTTTTGGACAACGAGTGATGTGGGTTTGATTTTTGATACGTTAATGACGTTGAGAGAATGGAGCGAAGAAGATTCTGAGCAAACTAATATTTGGTGCCATGAGGGTATTGAGACTTTGGATATCAACAAGGCGATCCTAAAATTTTTGCAAACGGAAGAAGATGGAGATAAGACAGAGGAAACAACTGCAACAATAAATCAAAAAGAAGACGAAATTAAAATTGATCAATTACGGTTGAAGAAACAGTTTAGAGAATTTGTATTGAATTGCTTGAAAGTGGTACCCGAAGAAAGACTGAGTATCACAGACGCGCTCAATTCAGACTTTTTTGAAGAGGGCATTACATCATTAGACGCTACAGCATGGGTGGAGGGCCCTATTTTAGCTTCAGATGTGGTAGATCCTGAGACAATCGACTCTGTCAATAGTCAAAGTCAAGAAGATGCACAAGAAGTATTAAAAGGGTTACCCGCATCCCAAATTTACCACTTGTGGAAATTAGCGGGAGGCGACGTCGAATTGGATTTAGTGAAAAGAGGAGTGTTTTTGTCCACACCTGTTATCCATAGATTGCCGAGAGTTTGTTTGATGCCTGATGGGATAGAAATAGGCGAAAAGATTACAGACACAGCACAATTATACTTGGATGCAATCTATGTCCTGAGCTTTAAAGAATTATACCAGCGATTAGAAGAAAGGAACAGCAAAAATGGAGAAACATTTGAGTGGGATACAGATTATTTCAATTTAGTCGAAGAGAACGATGTGAATTTTCTGTTAGAAGACGACGAGAATGAGGGAAGTACATTCATGAATGAGGACAATCATGCCAGTGAAAATGAAGAAGGCTTCAATGACAGAAATGAAGTTGAAGATATTGTCGACGATTTCATGTTTTCAACCTCACCTAACTCTAATTTCAATAACCCTTCACCCACGGCCAATGAAAGTATGTCCTCAGCAACGGCAACAGGTCCTACTATTAGTAAAGTAAATTCGACTTCACGCCTTTCGATTAATGGTAATAAAAACAATTCGATTGTGGGCAGATCGCGATCTACCTCTTCACTTTCAATGAATAGCATTGCCTCAATAAACACCGTTAACGGAGTCAGCGCAACAAATAAATTACCATTATTCTTGAGGGAGCAGGATATTGATTATCAAAATTATCGACAGGCTTTGTTTTCAGAATTACTTAGACAGTACCCAGCCTCCAGACAAGAGATTATACATCATGCCAAAGTGGATATTCCACCAATACTAAGAGGGAAAATATGGGCAGCTATTCTGGGAGTGAGCGGCGATCTACAGTATGAATACGATCAAATCAATAAATACGTAGATATGGGTGCTGATCGACAGGTGATTTTATGTTTCCTCACTAGTTATATTTTTAAAATATAGTTGCTAATTAATAGCCTACGTGTAGATTGAAGTCGATGTACCTCGTTGCCATCAATATAACCAACTGTTAGCTTCTTCAGTCGGGCATGAAAAACTTAGACGGCTTCTGAAGGCTTGGGTGTGTGCTAACAAGAACTTAGTATACTGGCAAGGTAAACTTTTTAAAGTTAAATATTTATAAACTTTGAGAGAAGCAGGATTAAATTTGTTCTTAATAGGTCTTGACTCACTATGTGCGCCATTCTTGACACTTAACTTCAATGATGAGGCGATTGCTTTTGCTTGCTTACAAAAATTTATTCCTCGATTTTTGAACAATTTTTTTTTATCCGACAATGCGCCAGTTCTACAAGAATATTTGGCTATATTCAGACATTTATTAAGTTTCCATGATCCTGAACTCTCCACCCATTTGGATGCGATAGGTTTTATGCCTGACTTGTATGCTATACCATGGTTTTTGACATTATTTACACGTAAAGTATCCTTGAACTCATTATTTTGCAGATGTGATGTAGAATTTGAGAGCACTGACTTTTCTTTTTAGATGTATTCCCGCTTGACAAGATATACCATTTATGGGACAAGTTTTTAGTTGGACCTTCATCCTTACCATTATTCGCAGGGATCGCTATCTTACGCCAGATTCGAGATACTTTACTCTCGTACGAATTCAATGATTGCATCGTCCTCTTTTCAGATAGTTTTCCTAGAGTTGATATTGAAAAGTGCGTGCAAAGTGCATTAAGTATGTGCAAAGTTACCCCGCTCAGCATAGTAGCAAGAATGCATGGACCATCTTCATTAGAAAGTATTGGTAAATCAACACATGATGACGGGGAAGAGAAAAACTCAAAAATAGTAAAGTCTGTTCTGGTAGAGTTATTTATGCACTTACTTGTATCAAACACTGATCAATGACTTCCTTTGATTTGAACTAGAATGAGCCTTCTACGCAACTATGGTGGGAAAAGCCAATTTCCATAGAAATGAAAAAGGTAGAATTAGCACCACGGTTATTTGTTACAGACCTGCTTAAAATTCTAGCGTATTCTTTAATTCTTGATATACGGCCGGAAACAGAGTAAGTAAGACATTCGGCAACTCATCATGAACAAAGATAAAGCAGCATCTCTAATAAATATTTATTTCTGATACAGATTTGTCAGAGGCCATGTACCCTCTTCAATGAACGTACTGACTGAGCAGTTACCTAGTTATGCTAACATTATAAAGAAAGTGAATAGAAAGTACCATATAGTAGTTGCTTCTAGAAGCCAAGAAGGGCCTGAGGTATGTCATCTGATAGCTAAGATGTCTACGAAGTTCAATGTAGTGGATCAATTGAATGTGTTCCTTACCTATTAATACATATAGTATGCCGCTGAATTGGTTAGAAGAAATTTCTCTCGCGTGGCTTTACTTCAAGGTGGAATAGATGCAGCTTCCAGTTCGTTACAGATTTGCAAATGTAGACCACAGAAGCAGACTACCGCCGGATTCAAAGGGAAGGGATCAGAACCGCCATTTGTTATGTGGCGCTGTAAAGCAACACCTCCGACAATAAAAAGTTAGGTGGCTAAACAAATGCATTTATAACTTTTAAGGCACTCATTTTCGTGTCATCAACGTTTAAGATAGCATACATAATGGGTTTGCAGACAGTTGGGTTTCTTTATTGAAAGCTATACAGTTTCATTGAAGTGCGTTAAAAAAAGAAAGTGACTTAAATAATTGATGATAAGCAAGAACACTATAGAGCAGTACCTCTTTCGAGGTTTTCACGAATTTCCTTGGTGTATTTATCATAAAACCTTGCAATTTTTTGGTTGAAGACACGATTCTTTTCGTTGATCCACGAAATATCATCTGTCTTTTCTTTGCGATCACGGGATCGAGTCTCACGCTTCTCAATTCTATTTTGAAAAAAGAGCTACACTTAGTATAAATTTTAATCTGTGGTAATATACATATAACTTACTGTTTCTTAGTTTCCAAAGCTAGCCTGTCAATAGCGTCTTGGGAAGGTTTATCATCGATACTGGCATAATCTATTGAGTTTGCCACCACTGTAACATCTGAGGGATCTTCGCCGTTCCTAATAGCACGCTCAATGCTTCCAAGAATCTTTTGATTATACGTTCTCATATCGGGCTTGAAATCAGACATGAGTCGAACATATTTTTTGTGTGCAGCCTGTGTATGATCTAGAAAGGCATAGACTCTGTATGAGCAACAAAACCAAGTATTTTTATTTTTTTGATTTAATGAGGATTGCTCACCTGAGAAGCCTGTATTTGCCAAACGCTGCTTCTTGGCCATCTTTTTCTCCCAAGCTTCAGCAGATTCGGCAGAGTATTTCCAAAACTGTTTGCGCTCATAATCCTCTCCTTTATCTTCTGCCTCCTGTTTCTCTAATAGTTTCAGTGCTTCTGCTCGTTTTCTTTCATCCCTAATTGCTGCTTTAGGGTTTTCTTTACTACGTTGAAACTCTAAGTTACGATCACGGCGATTTCCTTGTTCCACTTCAGTTGCCTAAATATCACATAATAGCCACGATTAAGAGTTAATAAGGTAGTTAATTCTGAAGATTTGCCAGGAGGAATACTTACTCTTCGTCGTTTTAGTTCTTTTAGTCTAGCTAATCTATCAGAAAAGTTACTGCCGACTGCCGGTGCCGATTCCTTGTTTTCGTCTGTTTTTGTACTGGCTGCGGAAGCATCGTTGTCAGTAACATTTTCATCGGTTGATTCACGTTTACGTTTTGCTGATTGTGTCTCTTCTGCAGCTGTCGATTCTATGGAATCATCGACATTAGCTTCTTTTACTACGTCTTTCTCTATTGTTTTTCCTGATTTATAGCTCTTCTGGGTAGCTTTTCTGCCTGTTGCTTTTCTCTTTGGTGGCATTATAAAAATATATGTTATATTAAGGGAATTATTCAAATGTTGAAAGATAAAAAGAACGGCCAAAAAAAAAGCTCGAGCTCATTTTCTTATCCAAAATTGGCCAATGAATACCAGCGTACAATTTTAATGCGAAAAGGCGAGTCGTCCTGCCATATAAAATCCCTAGGCCCATACGAATAAAAAAAAAAAAAAAATTGGGAATAGTTTTCTCTTGTATTTGATAAACGTATATGAATTTGCAATATCTCCACTGTGAATTTTTCTGCTAAAGAATGCGTCTTGATACAGAGAGATCTCGTTTTTTAATGTTATCATACCTTAACTCTAGCAGCTCAACAATTAGCATAATTTCAAGTACTGTGCTCTGACAAGGAAGAACCTATATCGAAAGTCAAGATAATAGTTAGCATGTATTCAAGTATACTAATGTGGTGACCCAGAAATATCTCATGTAAGTAATTGATTTAAATATGCATCACATAACTTTTTGTTTTCGTAAATACGTTGAGACCTTAGGCTAAAGTTGTAGCATCGTAACCGCTAAGATAATCATCACTCCTAAAGTTTCGGAATTATCGTCCATCGTTAAGTAAGAGTCAGGAAAAAAAAATAGCTATCTGTGTCTGTCATTTGAGGGTAGATATGTACAAATATTAAAGATTATAATTCGCTTTATGAAGGATAAAGATGGATTATATAATATTGCAAACCAGAAATAATTATAAACTACATAAACTCTAATATATGAGTACTGTGGATTAAAGTGTTGTGTTTAGTTGACAGCATCACATGAGATGTGGAGAACTCGTATGTAAATTATACAAGATCCTCACACCTCATTATTGCTGAAATAATATAAAGTAGAATAAGAAACGAATATAGAATAAGTGAAGATTCTTATACGAGATTAGCTACCTCGTATATGGCTGAACAGGTTGTCATTTAGGATATATAGTTTACTTATTTTACTGTAAGACGCTACTATATGACATAGGATATATAGTAGAATGAATATATGGACATGCAGGGTATATTGATTCAACACCAAGGTATAATAGGTTTTAAAGTACTACTCTCTGCCTTCAGCATAAAGAATGATTGCAAGATAATAGGCTGTGATCATCCTTTACAATAACTGTTCGCTCAATTCAAACACCACGCACGAATACCATTTTCCTAATTAATACGATTTTCCTGCAAGCAGTGGTACATAATGGTTAGCACGGGAAAATACGTTAGTTGCTTGATCACTAGATCAAGCCATGGATACGTTTACAAGTCCACCCGCTCCGGGTAGATGCGTAATCTCCTCAAGGGAGAATTCTATTCTTTTACGGTTCAGAAGACGTACGTCTTCTTTGAGTAGAACAACTCAGCAGTAGATATTTTTCTTCTCTCTGAACTTAACTTGATTCAAAATAAAGACCTACTAGTTTGATCTCGTTAAGTTTTTTACTGTTTTTAACTAAGTGATATTTAACTCTACAAGTCGTCAAATACCACAATTTTTTTTGTAATCTCTCATGGTTTTCACTAAAATTAAGAGACGGTATTGTTGAAGTCAGGGTCAGAAAGAGCTGCTTATAACAAACGAGGAAGGCTGTTGTCTTGAACACCAGACAGGACAGGATGTTTCCAAAGCTATATTGTTGGTTGTTTGTAAAAACTGGCTTTTGAAAACACTTACTTTCCCTACTTTCTTTTTCTTTTAACACTAATTTCGAGTTAACATCTTCAAATTTTGGCGGCATACATAAGGTCAAATCTTATAATGCATTAGTGTTAGGAAACACTCTATCCCTCAATTTACTGAAGTAAAAAAGCTCCTGGAATAAAATGCCTTCCTGTTAAAGCCTTGAATAGGTTGCTGACAACTTCGTATGTCAGGGGTTAGCTATTCTCTGCTTCCATTTCTTAATTGGCAGTAACAGCAGCAGTAAAGTCGGTTACAGTCAGTTGTTTTAAACCGAAAAATACAAACCTTTTTTTTTTCTTTTTCTGTAGTACACATTGAACCGTCTCACATTAAAATAGACATCGTTGGAAACAAGCAAGATGGCCCGAAAACTTAAAAAAAAGCGTATCGTGAACGTATCGTATCATAGCATAATACGTATCATAATACGTATCGTAAATAAGTAATTTTTTTTTGCACTATGCTATTTTGCCCCAAACTCTGCCAATTTTACACTATTTACACCAATTGAAAAAATAAACGGGCCACTGACAGAAAATAATTTGGCCCGTGGATAATTTATTGTATGGGACAAAAATGTAAGTGAGCTAAATGTCCCAAATGTCTAGAGGGGTTGGTGCTCCAACACATCAGGAAGCTTTTGGACGGAATACCTGCAGAAACCCTTCATATCAGTTAGAAGAATACTGTTACAGGCATCGCGAACACGTAGTGTCAATGTTTCTTCTTCGAAAAGTGCTTCGCGCTTGAGTTTGATTTTACAAACTGACCAAAACTGTTCTATGGGGTTCAATTCAGGAGAATAAGCTGGGAGATAAACGCATCCATAGCCACGACCTTGTATATAGTTTCTTATGTCGTCATGTGTATGTATAGGTGCATTATTCATTACAAGATAATGACCTTTGAACTCTTTATGCTTGCCCATAATACCTAACGTACTGGCAATGAAATTGAAGTAGTGTCCCATACAGGTACCACCTTGGCCTTTCTCTGTAGCAACTGCTGCTATGCCACCACTACTTGCTACTTTTCTTTTTTTAGATGCTGCCATCACCTTTGCAGCCCTAACTTTGTTACTCACAATTCCATACGTTAACATAGCGCAGATCGTCGTCATCATTGATTTGGTTTTGGGAGTCTTGACAACTGCATGAGTTCCCTTCTGCGACCAAGCAAAGGATCGCTTTAGACTGATATGAAAGCCTGCTTCATCCATAAATACGCAAGTGCTTTCATAGTTCAAATTAGTATTTTCTATCCATCGCTTAACCATCGATATCTTTCTTCAATTTTATCATGGCTATTCCTCTCAATAGAGTGAAAATGGGCTTTTTTAAAGCTGATGCGACACTTTTGCGTCGCGAAATTGTAGAGGGCCGTTTTAGATATACTTAGATCCTTGAATTGATCAGCCTAGCTCTCCATCATTTGATCTAAACGAAGAGCACTGTTATCATCAATGAGATCGACCAGATACTGATGATGGCTCTCAGTCAGAGGTGATGGTCTGCCAACTGGCCGGCCACTACCAGCCTTTCTCATATCGACATACTCATCTGCCGCCTCAAGACACTTTTTATGCCAGCCATATACTGTGCTTTTTGGAATTTTGAGCGCGCTCGCTGCACCGTGAATCGACATTCCTTTTTCAGTAACTAAATAGAAAAATGTTTCCATATCTTTTTTTTTATATTTTCTATAGGTTGTTCTCGACATCTCTTCATTTTTAATCAGCTTTTTATTATTGATTCTTTTTTGATCTCCTTCTTTTCAGATCTTTCAGGAGGTTTGAAGTCATTATACATATCAAAGTCAATAACAGCACCCAAAGGGAAAAAAAAAAGATAAAAGATAACGACTTCACTTCCAAATCCTATCTTTGGATTAAACGTATTTGTTGTAATATAACTTCACGCTAACTCACATTTTATATATAAGCTGATGGTATGATTACTTGTGAACAAAACTAATGGCTCGATTGTTTTGCAAGCTTTGGGGAAAATATTGTGCAATGGGCGGGCTCCCTTAGCGGAAAGGAATGGATATACCTTATTGAAATGGGAAGAATTGTTCACAATTATGAATGGAAACAATTCTTCATTTGACAGGAAATTCATGAGCGTCTAATCTCAGGCAGAATTGTATCTTCCTTTCTTCAACTCGTTTATCAGCAGTCACAGTCAACGAGCATAAAAGTAACTTCTTTTAGGATTGGTTAAGATACGCATTTGTGAACTGCTAAATTGCGTAAAACAAACATTTGATAATGCTACTCAAACATTGGTGCAGTGAGTCAATATGTTGATCTTACAGTTTGAAAAGACGTATTTTTAAGAAGCTACTCGTTTTAACTAAGAAAAGATGAAACTAACATAATCAAAGTAGAGAAGTTCAACCTTGAAAATTCTGGTGCTAACTTTGTTTCATGATACACCCAATAATAGCTTACGTCGGCGAGTTATAAGTTCAATTATTGAAATGCGAGTTAGACTGTGATACTATACTTCATTTTTCATAACAAAAAGCGGGCACGAAACATACAATAACGACTTGCTTTCGATTATTCTTCACAAACCAAGGTTTTATTGATTAAAGATATTATAGTATGTACAATGAAAGGGATATTAACAGGGTCGTTATACATTTGAAATTAGTCAGATTGTGATATTAACTCATCATATGTATTAATGGGGCTTTATTTTTCTTTGATTGTTTGGCCAGCTTCGATAACTTTATCGCCTGCTTTCTGCTGAAGTTCCTGGCCTTTTTGAGATGCCTCCTTCTTGGCATCCTCCGCTTTCGAGGATGCTACAGCCTTTCCCTCTTCGTATTTCTGTTTGACTTCACCAGCCTTCTCATCCACGGCTTGCTTAGCATTATCCTTATTTGCTTCATACTTTTCCTTGGCTTCTCCCTTATATTGGTCATACTTTTCCTTGGCTTCACCCTTATAGTGGTCATATTTTTCCTTGGCTTCACCCTTATATTGGTCATACTTATCTTGGGCGATATCTTTAGCATAATCTTTGTACTGTTCATACTTGCCCTGTGCCTCATCAGCCTTTTCGTTCACGTAGTCTTTTGCATGGTCCTTGCCCTTTTCGTATTGAGCCTTGGCTTCATCTATCTTGTCTTCAGTGGCTCCCTTAGCAGCACGCTTGGTTTCTTCATAGTTTTCAACAGCTTCATCCGCTTTTCCACCAATGGCGTTTTTGATATTGTCCTTGCCGTGTTCATATTTGGCTTTAGCATCATCAAGAGTATGATCAACAGTTTGCTTGACGTCGACCTTGGTCTGTTCATATTTAGCTTTGGCTTCTTGAGCTTTAGCGGCTAGTTGGTCTTTGGTTTGCTCATATTTGGCGTCAACAGCCTTTACTTGATCATTAATGGTTTCACCTACATATAGGCCAAAAGAAATCAATTATATTGCTCGTAACATAATAGTCTGCGTATCGTTGACTTCATTTGTTAGAGCTAAGCAGGGAATAACTTTACCTTTTGACTTATTATACAAGTAATAGCCGACGGCACCTAGACCTATAGCTCCAATCACTAATCCAGAATTACCATTCTTTTGTTGAGCAGGAGTCGAGTAGAAACGCTTGTTTGTAGCAGCAGCAACGTTGCGACGGATGAAAGAGGTTCTTAGAATTCCAGACATTGGTTTAATAGACTTGAGAGTAAGAAAAAATTACGTGTGAACAAAAGAGTAGTAATACAAAATATGTTTCAATAAAACAGAAAAGAAGGGTAAAACGACCTTTGGAAGCTGTATTTATAGTAGGCAGAGAGAAAGAAGATGAGATCATTCTATCAAATATTGTTAGCCCCACCTGGCAAACTCTGATTTTATTACGGTGAGCATCTGTAAATGATAGTGTGAAGTGACGTAAATCTTACACTTGATGTTCTATACGTGTTTTTTCATCTTCCACACAACATCCATCATGTCGTAACTTCATACCAACTCCTACTTTTAATAAATTCGAGTTCAGAAGAAGGTAATACAACGATCACTTTGCATTGTTCATCGACAATCCTTGCCTTTACAAAGATATAATCACCATTGAGCTTGCTCACCTCAATATCTGAGTTGAAATAACGAATAAGAAAAATAGAAGTTTCTCCACTGTGGGGAAAAGAACGAAACAGCAGGAAGTATAATACCTCCGGAGATTCAACAAATCTTTAAACTTGTAGTTACTACAGATAATCAACCATAGAAGGTATAATTCCTTTCGGAAATGATGGCCCCTCACTATGGAGCTTATGGGGTTTAAAGGCATTCCAGTATGGCATCATGGGGAAGATCTCAAGCATCTCCAGTCCTAGTAGGACAAGAGGATGAGTCAAACTAAACGGAGCAAGCATTACAAATACTGGCATTTGATCTGTTCACGTACAAATTGAATTTTGTACAAAGGTTCTATGTTCGATGTTCTATGTCGTTATCAAACGATGAATGATAGGCAGTGGATATTTCTATACAACAATGTTTGGGAGAAAAGGCGCAAAAAAAAAAAAGGGTCATCGCCATTAGTCTTTAATGTAGCCTATCAAATTGCACTTTTTCATTTTTCAGCAACGGAAGTACAGCCCCCATTACTCCTTTTCCTTTTTCATTCATTCATACTTATTGTTACTATTTATTGCGCTTACGCATAACAGGCCTTTTCTTCCTTTTCAATTTTTCCCACTGTTCAAATCTTAATCCATGGCCACTAATGGAGGTTTATCCTTTTCACAAAAGGTATTATAATGGAACATTGCACAACTTAATCATATAGAGTCAAAATGCATCTTTTTCTGTTGTGCCTTTCTCGACTTATATATATTTCACTTTCGATTTCTGTATTCGTATTAAAGCTTGCTACTGTGACTTCAGAAGCGACACGACTTTTCCAGCAATGCAATATTCGCTCGAATGCTACAAGATTTAATAGACATACCCTCTGTAAAGATTACCACCAATGGATTTGTTTGAATAGAAATGCAGTATGGATATTTTCTAGTGAATTCGCGATGGTCACCATACTAAGCATCGCCGGCTAAATCCCTTCTCTTTTTTTCTGACCTTGACAGTTACCGCCATCGATAAAGGGTGCGAATTTCACGCAACTTACTAGAGCAGTACAAAATGCCACTCAAATTTTACGGTCGGATCCAAGCCTTGTCTCTAAATTAGCACGCAGTATGCCGAAAGAATCTGTAAGAAGCATGGAAAACCATTTGATACCCCTAAAAACAATGCAAAGACGTACCTTTTTTTCCGGTGGGAACAGTAGTCGTTTCGCAAATTATCGTCGATTAAATAAGCTGGAACAAGAAGCTAATGCGTCACCAACGGATGCCAGAAAACAGGCTATCATTTATAAGGTATCTTCAAAAAAAAAAAAAAAAGAAAATATGCATAACGATACATCATACATTCTTTCTGACGTACAGCTCGCTACGCTGCTCTTTTGTCTTTTGTAAAATAATGAATTGACAACAACAGGAATGGTTAAAGTCAAATAATCCTCAGTCAGTCATCAATAGATTTGAGCGGGGTAATTTTACGCATAATGAAGAATGTTGGCAGTACTATATTGCAGCCTTAGCACAAACCGGCAAAGCAGAATCCATTTTGCCAAGGATTATACAAAAGATAGAAACCTCAGGAGTCAACGAGGCACTTCTATCAAAAGTAAAAGGGGGCAGCAACGGAAAACTGTATAGTAATGCATTGGCAAACGAGATTATAAAAGAAGTAGCAGCCAAAAATGCAGTATCAGCATCTATACGAAATGGAAGTGCGTTAACAGCAGGAGAACTAGAGGCAGCAATAGCAGGAGGTTCAGGAAACAAAGCCAATCCTATTTATGTTGTTGTGGAAGAAGCGCGTAGAAATCTTGTCTGGAAAGTACTCAAATTCGTGGGTGGTGCTGTAATTTGGAGCTTTTGCATACTGACGGTTCTCTCTATCTTTTTGGAGAGCTCCAATATACTGAAATCTACGAATTCACAATTTGACTATGAACCTGTCACATCTTCTACTGTTAAGTTTGAGGATGTTCAGGGAGTAGATGAAGCTAAGCAAGAGTTGGAAGAAATTGTAGAATTTTTAAAGAACCCTCATCGATTTACGGAACTAGGTGGTAAATTACCCAAAGGTGTGCTGCTAACTGGCCCCCCAGGAACGGGTAAAACGATGCTAGCCAGGGCGGTGGCCGGCGAGGCTGGAGTCCCTTTCTTCTTTATGAGCGGCAGTGAATTTGATGAAATGTACGTTGGCGTAGGTGCAAGAAGAGTTCGTGAATTGTTTGGTAACTGTTTTGTCCAACTCTACATATTCATATAATGTGAAACGTCTACTCTAACCATATAACTTGGACGTTATTCTAGCCGCTGCCAGGGCAAAAGCGCCAAGTATTGTCTTTATTGATGAAATTGACGCTATCGGATCAAGAAGAAATCCTCGAGATCAGTCATACATGAAACAAACACTAAACCAACTACTCGTAGATTTGGATGGATTTTCACAAACGGAAGGTGTTATATTTATTGCAGCCACCAACTTTCCTGAATTGTTGGATAAAGCACTCGTACGCCCGGGAAGATTCGATAGGACTGTCAATGTACCTTTACCAGATGTGCGAGGCAGAATAGCCATCTTAAAGCATCATATGAAAAAGATTCATATTGCTAAGGAGGTGGATGTCAGCGTAGTAGCAAGAGGTACTCCAGGATTTAGTGGAGCCGATCTGGCCAATTTAGTCAACCAAGCTGCTATACAAGCGAGCCGTGAAAACTCAAAAGAAGTGACTATTCGTCATCTTGAATATTCAAAGGATAAAATATTGATGGGTGCAGAACGTAAATCAGCTGTCATCACTGAAGAAAACAAAAGACTTACAGCTTACCATGAAGGTGGTCATGCTCTCGTTGCTTATTATACACCGGGTGCTTTACCTCTGCATAAAGCTACTATCATGCCTAGAGGTAGAGCGTTGGGTATGGTCGTTCAATTACCCGAAATGGATAAGGTAAAGCACAAAATAATATGAAACGAGCGATACAATTTTAAAATGCCAAAAAAAAAAAAGTTTGAATAGCTGTCCTTTCTAGTTCATATCTAAAATATCTCTTATCTAACACCGTATATCCCTCTTTTATACCTTATCTTCTAAATGTAGGATTCTTATACTAAGCAGGAATTCCTTGCAATGATTGATGTAAGTATGGGTGGTAGAGCTGCTGAAGAACTCATTTTTGGTTCAAATAATGTAACTAGCGGTGCTAGCAGTGATATATCTAAAGCAACTGATGTGGCTAAGCGTATGGTTCGCTATTACGGAATGAGTGACAAGGTGGGGCCTGTTACTCATGATGACGACGATATGAAGCTCTTGAGCACGCAAACAAAAGAGTTGATTGAGAGCGAAATATTTCACTTGGTGCAAGAATCAGAGAAAAGGGCAAAGAAGATATTGAATGAACATAGAGAAGAATTAGATAGATTAGCAAATGCTTTGGTTGAGTATGAAACATTAGATTATCAAGAGATCATGGATGTCTTAGCTGGTAAAGCTATCAACAGGCCGAAATAATAAAAACATGTATCCTCATCTCGATTAATGCAAGAAAAGAAAGGAAGGGCGACATTTGCATTCTATTTTTCTTTGTTTAGAACAGAATATTCTGTTACTTATCCAGATTTTGTCTTGTGGATCCCTTTTTTGGGCGGTAAATGAAATACAGGAATCGATTGCATATCATAAACGAACAAAAGAAAAAACGGAAAAAAACCAACAAAAAATGAAACTTTTTCATTTTGTTTGCATGATTGTCATTTCTTAACATTACTTCGTAAATGGACATCTCTCAGTTATGTTCTGATTCGCCGAATCAAACCCCATTGTCCTCCTCTAAGTAAAGAATTTACAACTTTACAAAATATCGTTGTTAGCAATCGCTAAATATCAACTTTTCTGTCTGTGTGCATCCCCATCAGTAAAAATGATTCTTCCTCAGAAGATCAACGAATACAAGCTGTATCCGTAAAACAATCCTGCAGAACTAATATTACGAATAGTCCTGGTATAAATTTCTTACTGTCAGCAACTGAAGAGGACGCGTTAGACAACAAGGAGGAGAATGTTAACGATCCCTCATCCGATGTAAAGCCTTTTTTCTATTTGTCAGTTTACAATGACTGCTGAGTGTCCTTAACCCTACACTTAATTATGTAGATGCTTTCATATTGTAAACAGATATGTGATCAGATTCAACATCTCAAATGTTATAATGCTATTTTATCATTAGAAGATAGAGATATTTTAGTAAACAAACTATCAGATTCGGCCAATAGACTATTTCATGCTTTGCAAACAGTGGATATCAGACATAGAACAAATAAAATTGAGCTGAATAATAATAAACAAGAGTACGAAACTGAAGATGAATGCGAGCATCCTTCCGGAAGTAGCAGTGTATCTACCAATGTAAGCTTTTTTAGAAGGCAGAAGAACAGAGCAAATTGTTGTAGCCTAAACGCCATTTCTTTGTAATGTTTAGAAGGAGCATGCTGAATATGAACTTATCAGACAGGCAAGAAATCTACAAAACACACAGTCAACACCAAAATATAGAAAAAGAAATGTAATTGAGGTTTTCCAGGTGCATGCAAATCGTGTAAATTATGTATGCTAATCGGCATACTCTTTTGTCATTTTTACACAGAGACGCAATATGGTCGGTCAAAAATGTCATTCATGTAATACAACGGAAACACCTGAATGGCGTCGAGGGCCTGATGGCGCTAGAACGTAAGATAAAGTTTATTTGATGTAATAAAATTTATGGAGAAAACTCTAACTTTTTTACGTGTCCCTATCGGTTACAGATTATGCAATGCTTGTGGTTTACGTAAGTTTTAGCAATAGTCAATACCGTGATAGATGCCATTGAACTTCTGACAGTCCTGTTTTCTTGTTCTTATATCAACAGACTATTCAAAGTTATTGAAAAAGGGATCTATTGGCGTGCAAACGCATAACTATCTAAGGAGTTATAACTCTCCAAACCTGCAACCCATTCCTGCATCGGCGTCAAATAGTGGTACTCTTTCGCTACAAAATCAAAATAATATTCATCAACAACAACAGGTTTTCAAAACTAGACCCGATGATACAAACATACAACCAAAATTGAATTTTCCCTTCGTTTTAATAAATCCTAAATATGGTGTTGACAAGTTACCTGAACATGACCAGCCTCTACTGTTCAACAGTTTCCAGCAGCAGCAGCAGCAGCAGCATCAATATTCGCCCTTGAACAATCAACCTCGGACTCATGGTCCTAGTCAGTATTCACCAGCATCAGATCACACATCATATACCCCTCAATTACCTCCAGTATCACCAGCAGCTTTATCTCAAGCAATTTCAAGAACTACTGAAAATCATGATTCTACCTCTTTTACTGAATCGCGGCACCCTGTAAATAATAATAACAGCAATAATAATAATAATAATAATAGACAGACCAAATAGTAATAATCAATATTGACAATAACAATGACATTGATGCATCTTCTCTTGCTCTTTATTCTTTACCTTAATATTGTTAAAACGCTCTTGACTATGATTCAATTCTACGAATTTACAAAAGCAAAGATAGGATACTTTAGCACAATTTTCTTTATTTATCAATAGTATGATAGTTACAATCATTTAACTACAGATACCTCTTGATAATACGGCGTTCAATACATTGCCCCAGCTTTGCACACAGATATGTATATGTCAAGCTATAAACTTGCCAATATTCCTACATTTTAATTTTGTTAGAAATCTTGCTGTGAAGAACCTACAATTGAATACATGTATCACTTAATAATTGATATATGAAGCCTTCTTTAGTATTGTGCTTTGAAGGAAACGGCCGTTCAGATCTGCACAGAGTAATCTGCTTTCTTCCATAAGGCTACTGATGGTTCTCACTGTATGTGCGGAGAATGTACGGTACTTCCCCGACGAATTTTTGGAATATCAATGACCGTCCGGTAAAAAGTTGAGTCGTCGGAAATCGTGAAGGTACACACTATGGGAGCTGGAAAGGGAAACGGGCCAGGAAGTAAAGGCTTGGTAAGAAGGTGGCAAGTGGTCGAATCTTCCTCTTTCATAATATATCGTAGCGAGATGGTAAGCTTAATCTTTCTCAAAAGAAGCCTGACAATATTTTTTATAATGGATGCATGCAAGTGAAGGATGGATAAATAGATAGATTTGCAGTTGCACGTTTCAGCTGTTTGATAAGTTTAGTACATCAGTGAAATTCCGATTTTATTCATCACTCAAACATTCTTGTTACACCTACAATCAAACGATTCAGCTTAATTTCAATTTGTGGAAGATCCATTTCTCACTGTGTGCATCTGATTATGTTAATCACAGTGAATTAATCAAAAATGTATGTTTTCTGATAGCCTCAACAAATTAAGGATATCAAGCAATTCCTCGAAATTGCCCGTAGAAAGGATGCCAAGTGTAAGTATTATTGAAAGATGTACAACGTTTCTATTGCTATGTTTGTATACTTACTTTTCTGCTTTGGTTTTTAATCAGCCGCTCGCATCAAGAAGAACGCTGACTCTGTCAAGTTCAAGGTTAGATGCTCTCGCTACCTTTACACTCTCGTCGTTAAGGACAAGTCCAAGGCTAGCAAGCTTAAGCAATCTCTTCCTCCTTGTAAGCATAATTTTAGATGTATGACTTATTGTAGGCTACTTTTCTCACTATTTATTTTCAATTTTCTCTGTCTCAATAGCTCTCGTTGTCAATGAGATCTAAATTGCATAAACGGACAACAATTTTTCATTGTTACAACTTCGTATTTACTGTACTTCAGTCGGTTCTTTGCAACCGAAGATAGTATTTCACAATATGTTTACGCAAAAAAAAATGTAATAAAGCAACACCCTTTATCAAAGCGATATCAAAAGGAAAGAATATGGTGACGTTGTGTTTAAAAGGAAAAAAAAAAAAACCACACGATTCGGCAGCCCCTTTGTCAGTCAAATCAACCTACGAAGTAGGCATTAAATGCTGGACAAAATATTCTAGATTTATGTGGGCTAATTGATTGAGAACAACTATAAGATAGAAAAGAACGCCTCTTATTACGAGGAATTCATTGTTTTGTATTTTTTTTTTTTTTTTTTTTTTTTTTTTTTTTGTTTTGTCTGTGCGTGTCGGATCTAATGCAGTTTCGATTGCTCAATATTCTGGATGTTGTTTATATTGACATCTTTTCTCTGATATCGATTGATGACTCGTCTTCTTTTGCCAACTCTTCTTCTACCAACAACATTTGTCTGCTCAACCTTTCAATAGAGGTTTGAATAGGAAGATTACAGTGTGCTAGAAGAGCAGGGGAATTGCATAAGATATTGTAAGAGAGCTTCTCTTTTGTATAACATACCTAAAAGAATATGATTCACTTCTGTAGCTAATTGACTCCGTCTATCTTGTGCTAATAAGTGACCCACTTGAGACTGATATGGATCGGTATAAGCGATCAGAGTGGTGACCTCCTCTACTAGTTTTGTTGTGGTTGCGTTTGTCGGTCGAAGATTAACCTGAGCGTAACGAAGTGCTTGCTGAACTGTAGAAGTACGGATAATCTCAATGAATTGTTGGCATTTTAGTTGAAATAGAATATTGTGTATTTTGATGGCTTCATTATCATTGGGTGGAGGGACTCCGTTAGGGATCAGATTATGCACGGCAATAGTTGGAAAAGATTTCTTGATCAAAGCAAAGGCCAGGTTTATATCGCCAGTTTCAATAGCTGCGATAATACCTAATAGGAAAAAGATATTTTTCGATCAACAATGGCTGTATATCATGCGTTAAGTGTTCGTATAAGAAATGCTCTTTTTGACTTGCTTTTTCTTGCATCTAACAAGGTCCATGTATGATCTGAAAGTGAGGTATGTTGAAGTTATGTCAATGGTCATCAATTGAAGTATTTCTGTATTGCTTTGTAGAAGCTGAATATTACCATCATCAATTTCTGTTTTAGCCATAAATTGTACTAAATAACGTATTTGTTGGTTTGGAAATCTGGCAGTTAATATTTCCTCGTTAACTAAACATGCTAATTAGATGCATACTTTTGTTAACATATGACGTTCTAACATGGAAGTTCTCAAGTTCATTTTTTTCTTTGAGCAATGCTCTTGCTGTATTCTTATAGCAGTTATGGATGAGATATTCAAATACCAAAGAATGATATACAGTATCCATCAATGCTGCTGAATCAAAATTTCAAGAAAAGAAGGGAAAGAAAAAGAGGAGTATTTATGGAATAATGTTGTGCGCGATATATCATTGACAGGTTCAAATATTACATCATGTGATTAAATAAGCTCGTTGAATGCAACTAAACGAATGACGAGGAAGTAGAATGTTTCAATGAGCTGCAATAATCAATAATGTCTGAACACTTCACGTTCCAACAGATCATTGTTTGTAACGAGGGCGTACACATTTAAAATGATCGTGTCTGTTTGCTTTAACTTCACTTTCTAGCTCACAGGATGCATGTCATTTAACAACGTTCAAGCTTACACAATTATCAAACATGTTTCGTAAACTTAACCTACTTTTGACATGTTCACATAAAAGCATTTTCTGTATTATTTTGGAGTTTGCATTTTATGATTCGCAACTGTTATATTTTATAGTTTGTAATTCAACAAAAAGATGTACATTGCTTGTACGAGTCATGTATGATAAATCAAAGTTTCAATATGAGTGCTATTCCAGACGAAAAAGGTGTAATTGGCATTTGAAAGGATCAATCAAATTGAGAGTATCTCAATGCTTTTTGTGCGCTAGTATCACAATTCAGTCCATTACTCTAAAACACCCCTTTTGATATAGATACCACCAATTGCCCTAGTTGTTTAGTCAAAAACTCCGATACAACATTTATTTGGTGTTTTTGTCTTTTTTTTTCTTTAAATAAGCGGCTATCAGATGTACGAATGCATTATCAGTTGACAATTGTACAAGATAAGCCTCCTTCATCGAATAGTTGAAGCTGAGAAGCTAAATAAACAGCTATCTCTTTGATTGGTTAAAAATCTATGTATAACGCGAAAAGGTACCTGAACGGCCAAATGAAAAAGCTCTGTCAACCCCGCATTTTCTTATGATGAATCAGAAAAAAAAATTTGTTTTTTTTTTTTTTTTTTTTTTTTTGATCTTTTATATTCCTATTCTACGAGACATCACCTTTCCTCCTTTTTTCTTTCAAAATTTGTTGATTGAAGTTATCTCTCTTTGACTTTCACTACATTTTTTCGTACTGACTTTGCACCTTTTTGTTGCATCCGTTCCCTACTAAAATACTACGAAAGATAGTTTTATTCCCTACAAATGACTACAAAAGGTAACCTATAAAAGTGCAGGCAATGTATTTAAATAATTTTCACAAACTGAATTAAACTCTCTAAAGTCACTAGAAAAGCCATCGAAAAGATGAATCAACGTGTAAAGGACGGTGATCCCGAAGCAAAGAAGTATATTATCATAGACAACAAATTGTACGATGTGACAGAGTTTTTGGTGGATCACCCCGGTGGACAGGATGTTCTACTAACGCACATTGGCAAAGACGCATCAGGTAAATAACAGGAGGATAACCAGGAGTAAACAGCCACTGTAATATTATGATAGTAAACTGATATGTAAACTTTATGCAATATCTGCATCTATAGATGTATTCCATGCTATGCACCCGAATTCAGCCTACGAAACTTTGGCTAATTGCTATGTTGGCGATGTAGAGGAGACGGAGAAGCAAAATGATGAGATGGAAAACGACACTAAAGCAAAAAATTCAGCTAGCTTTGCGGCTGAGATGCGTGAATTGCGAGATAAGCTTCAAAGCGAAGGTTATTTCAAATCCAGCAAAGTGTATTACGCCTACAAAGTCTTATCCACTCTTGCTATTTGTGCTGCTGGCTTGACGCTGTTATATTTGTATGGTCGCACTTCAACGCTGGCAGTGATAGGCTCAGCATTTATCATTGGTATCTTCTGGCAACAATGTGGATGGTTAGCCCATGATTTTGGCCACCATCAATGTTGTGAAGACAGATCAATTAACGATATCATTTTGATTTTCCTCGGAAACTTTTGTCAAGGATTTTCATTATCCTGGTGAGTGTAGAAAATCTACGGCATAGCTAAATCTCGAACAAAATACTTACCAATTTGTATTACCTTTTCAAACATGTTACTATCGAAAGGTGGAAAAACAAACACAACACCCATCATGCCAGCACGAATATTCATGGACAAGATCCAGATATAGACACGGCGCCTGTGCTGTTATGGGATGAATTTGCTTCAGCCGCTTATTACGGATCGTTGGACAGTGAGCCCAATTTTTTGTCGCGTTTTATAGCAGAGAGCGTATTACCATATCAAACACGTTATTATTTCTTCGTGCTTGGATTTGCCCGTCTATCATGGGCTATCCAATCTCTGATTTACTCATTCAACCAAGGTGCACTCAATAAGTCAACCAAATTAAATATGTACGAACGATTCTGCCTAGTCTCTCATTGGATTTTATTCACATATTGCACATATGCATGGATCGGCGGTTTTCACAATATGATCCTATTCTTTTTGATTAGCCAAGCTACAACAGGTTACACCTTAGCGTTGGTTTTTGCCCTTAATCACAATGGCATGCCTGTTATCACAGAGGAGAAGGCAGAAAAGATGGAATTTTTTGAAATCCAAGTTGTAACCGGTCGGGACGTGTCGATGAATACCCTTGGAGATTGGTTTATGGGCGGTTTAAATTACCAGATTGAACACCACGTAAGTCAGCTACTTTTTTCCTTTTTTATGCTCATTGTTTACAGCTACTTACTTTTGCCTTATCTTATTAGCTCTTTCCTGATATGCCACGCCATAATCTCCCTAAGGTCAAGCCGATCGTTAAATCTTTATGTAAGAAGTATGATATTTATTATCATGATACCAGCTTCATAAGAGGAACATTGGAGGTTTTGAAAGCATTAGATATTACAGCAAACTTATCATTACAACTGAGTAAAAAGGCATTTTAGAACCCATACAATGATTATCAATATAGATACTTTTTTTTTCATATCAGCAGTATGCTGGTTCTGTTTTTTGTATAATAAAATAATCATCTCTTCGTTGACGTGATTTTTTTTTTTTTCGAGAAGTGAACCATACTTCTTTTACTAAAAATATGTTAATATCGAATCAGATTCGGAATGAATGAATCCGAGAAACTGATTGTCTTAAAAAGGAGAAGAAGCAATGGATCAGATTTCGTCGACCGACATTCTCGCATCTAGATCCAGCAACAACGCCATATGACCTCACATCAGCACCTGTCAAGTTGCCTGTTATGTAAAAATATATACAAAAAGTCCAAAATATATATAAATACAATAGAAAAATGGAATTCATACTCTTCTCTCGAGGATCAAGCCAACGCAACAATCAATTGTAATTATAGACAGAACCCTTCAACAATAGTCCTTTCCCTTTCATTTTCGCTTCAGAGCTCCACTCCATTCCTTTCTCCACTCCCTTATCTTTCCTTATCTTTCCTTTAATTAAACAACTACAAATATTCTGAAAAGCAACTTGCTCAATACCAACATTATGCTCTTCCAAACACCTCTCATTCGCCAATTCCTGAATAGCTTCGTTTCCAAATTACAGTCTTCCGTCGAGCCACCTGCAGTTGTGCTGGATAGTAATGATTCTATATCTTATTATGAAGATAGTATTTTGAGCACAAGCAGCAGCGAAGAAGAAGAAGAAGAAGAATTTAACTTTTACAGATACGCGCCTTCTTCCATTTATTCCAACGAATCTTTCACTTCATATGACCTCGACTGCTATGAATATCAAATCTATGAAGACAAAAAGAAGAAAAACTCGTCCTTATTTGAAAAGACTTATGTGTCTTTCCCCCAGATTGACTCATTTTCCACGCCCACCTCAAATATTGCTAAGCGAGAGTTTTTTACTATGCCTGAAGTAGTTACTGCGACTGCCACTCCAATTTTTTATACTGAACCTCTTCCTACCAGCCACAATAACAACGAATCTATCTGGAATAGCAGCGTTGTATTCAATAATATACTGACAAATCTATACCATCTTACTTGTTGACTCTCAGCACTTTAAGGTTACTCGCTATAATGCCTTTAACTTTGTAAATATGAATAAATTTATAAATACCTTTTGATAAGGTTCGAAAAAGTCTTCAGAATGGTATACAATCCAGTTCATTCATTGATTTTTCTATGGTTGAATATACATTGAATGGAATGCTGCAAATGAGTGCTGTCTTTACCTGCTAAAGTACGACCTCGTCGATTTTTTTTAAATGAAATAAGCATTACTAAAGAGTAACTATCAATGCTTGTATAATAGCTGGGAACAATATAAACAAGCCTATTGCTACTATGCATCAATGAGCATCATTAACAATCACTCCTAAAATCAGTTTATTTATTTCTAAGTTCGACTCATTATAGACGGCCTCACAAGTTTTGTCTATCTTAGATTGATCAGTAACAATTTATCGAATAGATGATCAGCATATTGTATCAAACTTACGCAGACGCGATGATAGCGCCTCTTCGTTGTAATCTATAAAACCATCTACAATTTTAGCGTTTTTCCCCAATTGCTGTAAGCTGTCATGATTGTAGGTTTTTCTCGGCACCAAAGTTGCAGATGGATTTACCCGTAACAATTCTCTCTTCAGAATTAAAAAACTATAAGCCGAAGGACGGTAGCTCTCCTACTACCTAAAACAATGATGCATGATTAAAGAACCAGTACTAATATTAGGTATGCAACGATGTGAGTATTCGACAGCTTTAGGCTTCTGCTTTGAAATCGACTTGCATGTTAAAAAAGGAACATTTGCTGCTAAAAGGGTCCATGGCTTTTTCTGCAACTGTTCCAGTTAACACTTTTCTCATAGTTTGGTAATAGAAACTGTAAAAAGAAAAAACTTACTGCGAATTTATGTTCATGAACTGTTGATGATAGGAATAACATTATAGATGCCAATAGATGGTAAATCATTCACCCACCAAACTCCATTAAAGTGTTGAAGAGCGCATGTCCAGCAGACGCTATTGTCCATCCGAGCTGATGAAGAAATATTTAATATGTAACTATTATAGAGATTACCTTATACAGCATCAAAGTACTGGTAATACCCATGCTAACAAGCTTATTTTTGATAGAAATAGATTTTTCGCCATGCTCTGCATAAAAAGCATTTCATTTAAACAGAGTCAATTCTGTATCGATGTTGATTTTAGAAAGCGAAAGAGGTGAACTATGAAGGTAACGAAAGTAGGTATGTACACATATTCCAATAAAAAAAATACGGAATCTATCAGTAAAGTTAGGAGTGGTTGCAGCACAGGCCTCAAAATTGCCATCTCAATTACCTTGACTCTGAAAGTACTGTCTACTACCTTGAAACGTATACAATAAAATGAACATTGTTTATCAAACGCTGAAGAAGAACTACACCAGTGGACAATGCAATTCTTGTTCATCCTTGAACAGAAGGTCATTTTCTATATCTGCTGTTCTCATTGTTAATTCACAGGTAACGGGACGGCCTTGGAACTGTAGATCTCAATCTGTCAACGTTGCTAAAGAATATTAATTGATAGTTTGGGAAATAAGGAATGAATTATAGCTAATTTGCGTTCGAATTCTATCGCTGAATAGTTTGTTTTTCTTTTTCTTGTTTTTTGTTGAAAAATCACTTTTTTTAGGCGAATGGTTTTAATATGAGTCTGTTCAGTCATCTAACCAGAAATATTATCTTTTTGTAAATGACCGATCTGCAAACGTGAACAAGCCTATATCTTGGCGAAAAGCCTAAATGGGGTGTAATACCGTAAAGCTTCATCCATTGAAATCGAGCTGTGGTTTTTTTTTTCTGCTTCGACCCGAATAGTAAGGGTGCGTGCTTAGCTTGCGTCGATAAGCTTCATTTCAAACCTTGATTCTACATGTTATCGAGCTTGTCATCGCGTATCAACGCTGTTCTGTATCAAGGACGGTACCTGATACCATGTCGATGCTATATTTTTCAAAGTTTGTTGTGATTTCACCGTGATATAATAATTGATTGAATAACTTGAAACTGATGTAGTACTTGAACCTTTCATAAGCCGGCTGTATAAATTACATCGGCAACAGTTGGAAAGGAGAAGCTGACTAGTGCACGTCATTCAGGCCAAAATAGTGTGGTTTACTCTACTCTTCACACAGTTATTAGTTATGTAATTTTTTCGTTTCCTTCGGTCTGTGCATTTATGTTTTCTGTATACTGTATTGAAACGTTTGTTACAACTAATAACAACATAATTGATCTGGTTTATTTCAAGGCAGATCAATAACCTCATCGAAAAGAACGCTTGGCATATTCATTTATTTATAGACAGTACCATACTGGCGCATCAATAAATGGGGTGGTGTCAATAAGTAATTCAGATAATTCATGAAACTTATTGTCAATGACCTGTTAAAGAGACATCCATGTAAAAAAGCTGGATAAAGATTAAGAGAAAACATTTAGAGAAGTATATAAAGAATACGCCTGTTCAAAAATTCTCCCGTTATTACTCATACTAGGATACTTTCATAATACGTTCTACCCTTCTCTCTAAAGAAATTTCTAACGTCTCCTTTTTAAAGATGAAACTTTCATTTGTTGCCACTACTCTGCTTTCAGCAATTGCCTTGGCCCAAGCTGCTTCCATTAATGCCAAACGTGATGATGGTCTTGTTTTTGGTAAGGGTGGCAGTGCTGTTTTAGGCAAGGATGACTATGTAAAAGGTGATAAAGATGTCGTTGTCAAATACGACGATGGTGTCGTTGTAGGCAAGGATGGCAAGGACGGTAAAAATGGTTCTGCAAAGGATGGCAAGGATGGCAAGGATTGTGAGGATGGTTCTGTGAAGGATGGCAAGGATGGTAAAGATGGTTCTGTAAAGGATGGCAAGGACGGTAAAAATGGTTCTGCAAAGGATGGCAAGGATGGCAAGGATGGTTCTCTAAAGGATGGCAAGGATGGTTCTCTAAAGGATGGCAAGGACGGTTCTGACAAGGATGGTTCAGTATAGACCCTCCAAATGAAATGATTAAGAATTTTTCTCAACCATATTTTAATAAACTGTACAAGCAAAGTGCTGGTCTTCATGTTCCTTTCTTAAGCGAGCGGCATTTTTTCATCCAATTATTAGTTAAGGAACGGCTACATTGATTGTTGATTATCATTATTTTCTCTGTAGCTATAATAATTTAAATGGATGCTATACCGTCGCAGCTTTTCGCTCTATTCATTGAGCAAGGGATAGAAAAAGGACTATTGAAAAAAGTCACTAAAACACTCAATGAGCAACAATATTTGCATTACGAGTACATCGATGACACAATCCTCAAGTTAATAGATTCAGCTGGTAAAACAAGCTGTTCCTACGCCCGAAACATTCGATTGAGCTATGCAGTAATTAGCTCACGAACATCACTTTTCAATAGGAAAAATTACGGTTGAAGAGTTAGCAGAATCTTTACGTTTGGAACACGCAGATGTAGCCGCGTCAATCAAAAGAGCTTCGCCAGATTTGCAACAATGGACTATAATTGAAGATCTCGTGTTCACAAAGTAAATGCTGGACTTTTTTTTTTAAAAAAAAAAGTAAGGCAACTGTTAACACTGCAGCCTAAAACTTTGACCATACTTAGAAAGTATATTGAAAAAATCAAGGAGACAATTATGAAGCAAATTGCTCAGAAAGGATATGTCTCTGTTATAACTCAAGCACAAGAAAATAAGCTTCCATATGCACTGATTAAATCTGTAATTTCAAATTCTCCAGCAGCTAAACTCAACAATCACAGCTACATTGACTGATATTGTTATAGTTAATAGACTCTTTGAATAATGAAAAATACATTCGGTATTCTCAATTGAAAGATATTATGTTTACAAAAGAATTTATTCGATCAATCAAATCGGCCATGATTAATTCTTTGAAGTTGATAGACGAGTAAGTCCAATTTTAAAAACATGTAGTGCGAGGAATAGCCTTCCAACCATTGACTTTTACGAACCAGACCGACACCTGTCAGCCGACTTCAGAAACAGCATCAGACAGCCCCTGAAGATCTCTTTTACTGTAAACATCAAAGATTATTGATTATCTATATTCTGTATTTATTAACAATTGGTATTTGTAGTAATTTTAGAGCAGATTGTTAAAGAGGATGAACCTTCCTTGGGACTATTAAGAGGAAAGAGAAACAGAGCAATATTTGAGCCAGAAGAATACAAAGAAAGGCAGGTGCTGCTCATAAAATCAGTCTTTGATTCGAACGAATGTATCAGTAAGTATTTTAGCATCTGGAAGACAAGTAGAATGAACAATGGGCATCAACCGTATAAAATATTCCTCTCCCTTTGCAGGTTACAAGAGTATTGAGGAACTTTATCCCTTTACTGACCCTATTGATTTCATGAAAGAAAACTACAATGAGAAAGCTTGTATGTTTTTAAACTCATGTGTCGTCAAAACAGAAGTTAAAGACAGAGCCAAAGCTACCATTGAGATTACCGACTCATTCTATGCTGTCAATGTAAATAATGCGAAAACTCATAATGCTGTTTCCTTTTTCTTTTTTTTTCTTTTTTTTTTTACTTAACGATGAACCAAGTTTGCTAAATTTTTTTTTTTTTTTTTTGGGTAATTATGTAGGAGTTGTTTCCTACCGATTTCACCGTAGACGATACCAATAAAATGATCGATATCATAATGGACGAAATAAGAACGAATGATAGTAAAGAAAAGCCATCTGAACTACTGGTTTTGGATAATGGCTATGTTGTAGCTGCAGAGTATGTCGAGAAGCTTGTATCTGAAAGCCGGTCATATTTGCGTGATTTATCGCGTAGTGTTAGGCAAAGGACTCACAAACAACAGAAAGAAGATTCCCGCCTAAAGAATACAGATGTAAATTTTTACTGATCAGAAAGAAAATTGTTAAGAACATTTCAGAAGCTCACGACTTCTTTTTTTACCTTCCCCTTTAGATCGTGAAAGCTTTTGAGAATGCAGGATGCCCGAACTCAGTTGCTAAGGGCTTGATACCTCATACGCAGAAACAAATGGTTAGTTACTATAACGAACTTTTGAAGACACCATACTTCGAAACGAAGGAGATATTATCCAACGACGAGTGGATCAATACTCACAAACGACTCCTAATAAAAAAACTTACCAATATTCGTCAATGCATCTATTATAACTACAAAGCATTATCGTTATTCACAGGTAAAGTGTATTTTAATTTACTCTGATTCATATCGAACTAACAGAGTAATTTTCTCCCGTTGTTATTCCAGACGATGGTTCAGCTCACAAAAGTTTAGAAAAGTATCTCTTGAAAAACCAATGTACCGATTTTCTTTTCCATTTTGTGATTTATTCAGTTGTGTCACAGTCATTTAGCAAAGACGAAGTAGCTGGATCATCTTCACTTTGCATACAGCCAGAAAATATCGAAAACGAAGACATTGTAGATACAAAACAGCAAAAGAATGTTATTTCTCATTTTCTTGAAGCGGACGATCATAAATATGATAAGTCAATGGTTACTGAAATTGAAGGTTTACTAAAAAAGAAAGTAAGTATTTTTTCAGTATGAAACATTATAGAAAGCTTGATAACTTGAAGCTTTTCTCTTTTTCTCCTTTATCTGTTTAAATATTCAAATTGAGCCTACAACTAATATTGACATGTTTGCATACTATAGGATTTAAGCCAGTTTATAACAATTATAATAGGACGAGATGGGCAGCAACTATTCGAAAATAATGATATTTTGGGCTCAGAAGAAGACAAGGCAGGGGCTAATGAGATGATACAAAGTCAGTTACAAAACCAATTGCAGCAAGTATCTACAATATCCCCAAGTACAGCGCCCCAATTGCTACACTTAGTATCTTTAATCATTTTCCAGTATCTGTTCAAAATGCCTCTGTACGTTTCAGGAAAATTTGTACCTGCCATTCTGAAAGTTATAATGGAAAAGAGTTCTCTATCCAACGAAGAGGATGGCCGGTTACTTAACGCAGCTCATACATCAATTATGAATAATGATGTAGCAAATCATATTGAATGCTTTCAAAGATTGAAACAACGTGCAATAACCTATAGGTGATAGTTCGTATTGTATTTTGTTAATTTACAAAATAAACTTTTGTATAACTGCCGGCATATTAATTATCTTGTTAATGATGACCTATTCATGTTGTAATAGTCTGCTAGTTTTTGAGAGCTAGTGCTTTTTATACATTGTTTATTCGTTCGGAAAAGACAACAATAAATGGTGGGAAAGCGGGTATTGATATGGATAATATAAATATGGTTAACAAACGATAAAATATAAATAATGATTATGTTGCAAAAGAGCATAGGTTCAGATAGAGAAACTTCTATCAACGTGAATGAATCCTGACCATCCTGGCATCTTTTTTCAAATACCAATTCTTCTCCAACTTAAAAGACGCATAATTCGTGCCACAATATAGTAGTACAACCGTGTTCGAATGGATAGTAGAAACACATCTGACTTTTTATATTCTTCGTATTCTTGTACAGAAGTAAGCGATTTGGGCTGATTTTGTACAAATTCGAGCAACGTGTTCACGTTATCACCAATCACACCGTCCACACCCCATAGAACGCAAGTTCTCATTTGTAAAGGGTCGTTGATCGTCCAAGTGAAGATACTCTTGCGACGTTCATGAACCTCTTTGATGAAAGTTTGGCCATCTTGATTAGCTAGTGCAGCAAATGGCAAACTGACAAAATCCACATGGTCTATAAAGTGGGAGCGCGCAGCAGCTATTGAGAGACCGATAAAGCATAACCTGAATTTAGGAAAGAGCTCTTTGGCTCTCTTCAAGAAATCAACATTCCATATGCCAATGATCAGTTGATGATATAATTTGGGGTAGTTTTCAATGTAAGGGTCAAGTAAATCATGCAGTACGCTTAGGATTTTGATTGGATTGTCGAACTATATGTTAAGTTATAAACATATACAAATTGTGTAATACAAAACAGTAAAGTTTTTAGTGTCCATTTCTTGACGACTACTATATTCGGCAATTATAATGATAGCTCTTATTGAAATTTTGTGTACATTTTTCTTACCTTAATGTCGATGATCATGTAAAGACCGTCCATTAAGCTGATATCAGGCTTGACCAAGTAATCAAGAACATCCTTAAATCGAGTAATGGGCTGGGCAGGCTCTTTTCTGCTTTTCAAGTGCTCAATATAGCCATACCAATTACAATCATTGACTAATCCTGTGCCAGTAGTGACTCTATCCAATGTTGTATCATGCATCATGATTATTTCGTTATCTTTACTGAGTCGTATATCTAGAAGAGAAAGCAAATTGAAGTGCATATATGCATGTTTATTCTCTGAATAAGTTCGTATAGATTGTTGGCCCGTGTTTTGATTCTTTACCTCCTTCCAAAGCGGTTGTGCCAGCTTTGACAGCATTTTGGTAAGATATAAGTGTGTTTTCAGGATTTTCAGCAGAGAACCCTCTGTGCGCTATCACATCAGGGGGACCTATCAAAGTGGATCAATGCAGAGAGTACAGTGAGCTTCCTGCGGTGGATCCCGCGCAACAGATCAGATAGGATTCGTACGAATACTAAGATGAGTTTCCTTCTCTCTAAATTCTGGCATGTCCTATGATAAGCGTTATATTACTCTGTATGATGTTATATGGAGTAGAAAGGGAAAGCAGAAGAAGAGGCCAACTTAATTTATATGCTGTTGGAAAAAGGGGGAACATTGTTAAAACTCAGCTTTGCGCTATTATGTTTTTTCCGATCCCGAAAGCCGAAACATCCTTTGTCGTCATGTTTATGCTAAAAGTTTAAAAGGCAGAGAGTAGTTTGCAAAAAGAAAAGAAAAGTATGAGATCATTAAAAAATGAATAACTACTATATCAAAGAAACATCTCTTCAGGAAAAGGAAAAAAAGGGAACTTGTTTGATACAAAATTATCCTTTTCTTGCAAGGATCTGCTAAGATTACCAAACGTACTTCGTTACACCCTAATGTTTTTTATTTTAAGGACGTAAGAGAACAAACAAAGCCTGGATCTTTTTTTTCTCTGAAACAAAGAAAGAGACTGGCTCAGCAATTAGTAAGAAATATACCGTTCAAAGTTTATTACAATAGTAAAAAACACGCTTTATGTTTTTGCGGGCATAGAACTCCGCCTTCGCTTTTCTGACCGTTGGTGCTAATGCTGGCCTAGCACAGTAGTAACAGTATCATATTGAAATCAGCAGCAAACTGATCTTTCCGTTTCTGTCAAAAGAAAACCTGTTCTTTAGCAAGGGCAGTAACCTGATCAAAAGGTTTACATGATCAAATCATGGATCACGAATCATAGATCATGTCTCCGGCATGCTTTAGTAGCTTAGAGCGTGATTTTTCTTTACTTTTGTTAGTACAGACAAAACTTAGTCTCTTCCGAATTGCGTACAGCACTTTCAAATGCTTCAAATTATGTTGGGGTTGGGTGAAGGTTACATCCACATTATCTTCCTTACATGCGAAAATTTGCATTGTTACAATACATGAAAATGCAGTAACAATACGGGACAGTAATTTCCGTAATAATGCCAAAATGCATTATTATTCTCATCAAATATAAATGCATTCATTTTGAGATATAGGAGAACGCTTTGCCTGCTATGTAAAACATTATTTATTTTGAAGGTATTCTTCGTATCTTTCTCTATTTTTATTGGCACGGAAGAACAGGTTTAAGGGCGATGATACGATGGTTGGTTATTACTGTACATTGGACTCGTAGTAGTAGTAGGATATTGTTGTTGTGCTATGTAATAAGTTTGAGAAGGGCAGCTATATGTAGAAGGTGGTGGAGACATATACGAGTTGATAGATGGTGGAACCATGTGTTGGTAGGGTGAGTTAACGTTCATATTGCTAGAACCACTGCCCGTTGTTGGTGGATATTGCATAGGTGGTGCTGAAGGTACAATTCCAGAAACACAAGCATCATACAATTGTGAGGAAGGCGGAGGCGGTGGTTGTATGAAAGGAGCGTAGTGTTGTGATATGGCCGGAGGAGGAGGGCTGGATATCATGGCCTGGGTTCCTGGAGGTAAGTAAGGTGCAGAAATAGTTGATAAAGCAGGTGTATCACTAGCGGAATAGGGATGCTGATAATGGAGAGGTGGGAGAGGAGGTGATGTCAAACAAAGAGACGTATCTTGATGCATGTATGGTGAAGCCAAGGATGGTGTATAACTGCGTGCCTGATTGCTGCTGTGAGGCGTCCCATGAGCCGATAAAGATGGTGATGGAAGAGTAGTTGTAATATTATTAGGAATCGGCGTGTTTACATGGTCACCAAGAGGGGAAGAAAATTGATAACTGATGATGGATTCTTTATCCTTTTCCCGAATATCTGTATCGACGATAGTAGGTGCATCTTCATTGTAGCTACTGCTGCTATTCCGTTTTTCATCTATTGCGTCCACCTCACGAGCCGGTTTTGGCTCCGCATGGATCAATTTCTTTTCATGCCACATTAGAACACCGCTGATAACCACAGGTACAGTCGAAATGAAAAATGAAAGCCAGGAGAATGCAGCGGAAGCTCTAGCACAACGACACTGGCAGTAGAGAGGAATCAATGGGCCGTTGAACAAGATAAGAAGAGAATGACAATAATAGTTTCTTTTCATACCTGATTATTCCATGTATCTTCGTAGCTATCGTCCTTCTCTAAAAGATTGGAATCCAAGGCGCAATTCGAGCGCTTTGTGGTATGAGCTGTCATGACAATCATGGCAATAAACCAACAAATAGCCATATAAATACTGAAGATAAGCCTTGAGCGTGGTCGTAAAAAGAATCTTCGTATGGTGGCATAACAGCCTACTTCCACTTTTTTGTTGATTTTTGAAAATGGAAAATAAGTTAAAGCAGCAGCAATCAATATAGTCTGCGCAGTTACGAACAGTGTGAAATTGGGATTGCCTTGGCTGGTGTTCTAAAGTAAACAAATAGAAAAATCAAATGATCAGAATAAGCATAGATGCTAAAGACATCAATTGATGTCATCATTCGCGCGTATTGCTGAATATGCGATATTATTATTTTTTATGGAGCAGAACAGCTAAAAACATAGTGATCAAATGCTTTAGCTAGATAGATGTCTTACGTAGAATTTTCTCTCTGCTACAATAATGGGAACTGTAACGCACAATGTCAAAAATGCAAAGATTATCTGTAATAAATGAGAAATGACTTTATAGATGCCCAAGTTGGGTGCGCTTGGAGGCAAGTCAAAGTCAATTTCGAAACGATCAGCCAGGACCATAAGTATTTTTGATGAAAACAAATATGCAAAAATATGTAATAAAACAAAAAAAGAAAGGAAAGAAAAGGATAGAATTGGAAAAATGATGGCTTAAAAGATCTGCACATTGCTTTCTTCTTTCTGAATGCGTGAGTGTGCGTAATGGCTGAAGAATTTGTAAGGCGCGACAGTTACTAGTACATGTGTGTTTACGCTTATCGACAATGTTTTGATTCAAAAGAGGCAAGTATCCAAATTTGGTAATTGAAATGTTTTGCTTCAGGTCGCTCGGGCCACCTTTTTTCTGGCAGGATCTTACCTGAAGTTCAATTCATATGCTTTGTTCTACTCAATAGAGTGGTATATTCTACGAAGGCTTATAAGTTGATCCTGTGGAAGAAAACTTCAGTAACAAATCAGTGAGACGTAGCATCGTGAAAATTCTCAATCATTTTTATTCTTGAATGAATATAACATTGTATTTCCAATATCCATATTTTTTTGACGAGGGAGGTTTAATCGCTCAGGGAGATTCTCCTCCTTAATTCTGAACATGTGAGGAATCCTATTCGCAATGAAACCTTGCCAGTAGCAAACATGTGTGTGAACCAACAAATGACCCAAAGAGAAGTAATTCTCAGACAAGTGGCTGACGCTATGTTCGCTTTTTATACAACTTTGGCCACGCAGTTTTAGGCGGAGAAGTATAGCCTTTCGGTCAGCCTGAACCGATTGTGGCTGTTTTCGGCGAGCGAATTTGAGCATTCAATGGATAAGCATAAAATATTTTTGTGGAGAAGGCTAACCTTCCCTAAGATGCGGTTTCCCCCCCCCCCTTTCATAAGTTATAAAAGTAATCAGAGAACGACGGATCTTCCTTCTTGATTTTCAACGGCGTTTTGTGAGTGTCCTGTTTTTTTGCCGAGTACTCGTCAATAGGATTGAATATTGGAGTAAAACGAGGCAGTTGAGCATCATCAGGAACTGCTTGGAAGCTTCCGGAACCTACAACTGATACTGCTTTGTAATCTTTTTATATCTTCTGTTGGTACCAGTGAAGAATACTAAAGAAGAATTTGGATTTGGTAAGTTTTTCCTTTTAAAAATATACTTAGTGAAGCGTCCGTTGAAGCAAACATACAGGATCCAGTAAGCGAAAATGCCCGTAGGCTTATAAACCTGCCCATCCCCTAGTAGCCGACCTACCTTGCATCGTTGTATTTGTGAATGGACCCGTAGGCCTAAAAACCTGCCCATCTCCGAGTAACAGATATAGCAATATCTCTCTGCGCAAAATGTCCTTTGCTAATTTTTTTTCTTTTTCTTTTAAAGGATATAGGTTTTGACGCGTTTAATAGTATAACTGTGAATAATTGGCCTTATCAATGTTAGACTAAACGTATTCCTTTATAGAGTATCCCCCTTTCATGTGTATATCCTTTCATTCCATTCCATAAAATAGTAACTTTTGAATTTTTTGCCTTAGAAATCTAATCTATATGAATAAAGCAAAAATAAAGTGAAAACTAATGGTTCGCAGTGTTTAAGGATTTAAAACGAACTCAATCTTTGCTTCGCATTAGCTCATATTTAAGTCTTGCATAATCTTTGAAGTTGTTAAACTGTTCTGCTATCTGAATGCTACTTTATTGTCATAATTGTATGTCAAATATGTGCTTATCTGAACATACTTCACTCTCGAAGTCTAATTCTGTTATCCTATGTAACTGTTTATTAGTCACAGCTAAACAAGGCTTTCTTCACGAACAAAGCACATGGGCTTTGCCCGCTTGTAATTGATTGAAAAACAGATTATATTTAAAAGAATGAATCTACAGGCGTAATTCTGTCTTTTTCGTCTTCGCCCTGCTTTGTCATTGAAGCTGTGCTATGAAAACCTGGCTCTTTTAACAACTTTCTATTAGCAAGCGACGCTCAATTCGGGCCAATACTTCTCCAATACAACTAACATTTATAATAGCATTTAGAACAGCTAGTAACTTTTTTTTGGGGAAGATAAGCATAGTATAGTCAAGATAAGCATTTTTATTGATAGTAGGGACGTAAAGCGAAGAGGGTTTAATATCGAACATGCTGATGATGGTTCTTACGTTTTCGGTTAGCTGTCTCCGTCGTTATTGCTCGCAAAATTGGAGACTTTAATGTTGGTCTAAAGACCTCAGCTTGTTCAAATTGTACAAAGCAATGATATACTGAATATTCGACAATATCCATCAATTTGTCCATAATGCCGAATATCATCGTCATTTCGTGAACTGATGCGGGAAATCGAATATGTTCTATTTGGAACTGTTGTGTTTGTTTATTTAAAATTGGTAACAGTTGTAAGTCGATGACTATGAACTTGAGTGTCTTTATTGTTCTTCAGATGAAGTAGAAGGATTATTTACTCTGTGAGGTTTAATGGGAATTATATTATTTGAGGACGCGTATGCTAATCACTAATTTCAGGTCCAGATGTATTGGAAACAACTGTTCCTATTTCTGTTGCTGATGATGTAGTAGCCTTCAATATGGGGACATTATTGATCCTATCTGTTACGGATTTTTGTATGTTCCATTCTATCCAAAACTTCTTAACTTCATCTACATTTCGTTTCCATTCCTCAAAGCTTTCTTGAAGCGTCTTTTTTTTTTTTTTGATTTGTCTACAATCCACTCGCTTACAATGACATTGTAGCGTCGGACCAACTGTCGCGGAGTAAAATACAGGTTGTGATATGTGGAGCTGTTATTTCTTCTAATGAACGCGACTTGACGTAAACAGAAGGTGATATGGATCACCTTTAGTCTTTATATTATACACTGGAAATGAGAGAGGGGAGCATTCATAGCTAACTGGATGTTTGTATTGACAACAAAAGAAAGAAGGAAAAGAACAGAAACACACATAAAAAAAAAAGGAATTAGTTAAATATTCGTTCTTAACCAGTAGGAATGCAGCATTCTGTATGAGTATGATTTCTCTGTACAGGTATTATGATGCTATGATCATAATAACGTGTCTAGTATTTGAATGTGTGTCTAATTCGTGTTTATATATTATAGGAGGTATGGAAATACCATACAATGGACGCTTCACTAAGTAAATTTCTCAAAAGAAAAAAAAACAAACTTTCCGAGATACGAATTGCTGGTATATTTCTCATTAATCCATCAGATATAAGTAAATATAATACTTTCCACTGGAAAAAAAGACAGCAGGAACTGTAAAAATCAAAGAGAGAGAAGCAAGAAAATCAAAGATATAAAGAAAAACGTAGGTTTTCCTACGTAGCGACATATTTTCCTCAGAAAGCGACTTTGTCAATTAGAGAATTAGAGTCAAATAATTTTTGATTGGCTGTTCAACCATTTGAATTCTATTTCAATTTCACAAAACACCATACAAAGCAAGACGACCTTCATCCTTTGGACATACAAAGCAAAATCTATTTTTAACTGAAGAATAAAGTGAGCTTGAATTTGTCAACTTCATTTTTTGAGTAGTGCTGCACGATTAAACACGAACGAAAAAGACCGCGGAAAGTGTAACTTGATCCGCGGAATATCCCCACATTTTAAAGAACAATAAATACACTAATCAATAACTAATCCACGTACTCTCTTTAACCATCCAACCCCTCTTTTTTCTTCTTTTCTATTTTCATTGTTTATCACAAACTTCATATTATATTTGATTCCAATAAGCTATGACCAACTCAATAGTAGAAAAAATAAATGGACAACAGCAGCAAAATATTGTGATACCATGTTACGCACTGTCAACACCTTCACCGCCACCTGAGCCAGAGCAACTGAAGCCTCAAAAGTTTTACTACACAGACAATCGGCCTCCTACGCCAGAGCCTACTCCACCAATACCACTTAGCTCTAATAAACTCACTACGTTTAGCACTTCACAATTAATTTCACGAATACGAAATACCAAAGGCTACATCACACTATTACAAAAGCTATTAAAAGATCTCGATGGTCGAGATAAACTTATGAAGATTATCCAATATTTCATAAAAATTCTCCTTCATTACCAACTGATTCGAACCGGTAAAAAGGAATGGCCTAGCACATTAGCCAGCCATTTTTCGCTTGTACGTAAAATCCTTCGCTTGGGCACAGGCATTGGGCCACTGAAACAACTTTTAACAGCAGATATCACTAGCGCTATGATAAACAAGAAAACGTCAGCAGTCAATATTGCTATTCACATAAACGAGTTGGTTAACAATGTATCAGATGATATTTATTGCCTTTACAAAATGGGAATTGTAGGCTCTTATTTAGGGGCTAAAACAGAAGTTGTTTCGGCTTATTGCTGGTTTATGGGCATCTTGATCGATTTAAGGGAGAATATAACGAACTTCATCCAATTGAGACAAAAGATACTCGTGAAACAAGACAATTCAACAGAAAATGATTATAAAAAACTATATTTACTACAGGTATCTATTGTCAAATTATTGATGGATGGTATATTTTGTGGTAAAGTACATCGTTTTGCATATGGGTGAGTTGAGTGAAATGTAAAAGTACAAAATTTTTAATACCACACACTCTGTGTTATAGGTTGTGATATCTGGAAGCCAAAATATTCAGCAGGAATGCAAGTCTGGGCAGGCTTCTTTAGTGGTGCTTTATCCGGTTATAAGTTGTGTATCAAATTTTCAGCATAGAAAGGCCATATACCTCAGTCTACATATATATACATATACACTTCATGTTAGCAATCCCATTCTAATATCTTCATGATCCTCATTTTCTGTCATTCTCTTCTCCATGTATATCTCATGAATATATATACCTTTTCACTTTTGTATGGTATGTCTAATTATAATAATGTATTCTGTTCGTCTACTCTTCTACTGGAGAAACTTTTTTGTTCTGTGGAGGTTTTTCTACCATTGACATTCGTAATCTTGCAGCATTATCTAGGTTCTGTAAAGTAAGATGTTGTATTTAATTAACGCGTGTCTCTCAATCGACAAAGGCAACAACAACAACATAATAAAAACTTTACTTGATTGTTGTCATCCTGTTTAGTAGGTGGTCGTTCTAGATCCAAACCTTCTGCGGAATATTCTTTCCAATTCTGCCAATTCTCGTTCGCATGCCTTGGAGTAGGTGCACCTGGAACGAAAGATAGTATAAAGTATATGACTCCGAATGAGAGATTCAAAATGCCTGCTGCAAGCAGGAAAGGATGCTGTATAGAAGAGCCGAGTGTAATACAACCAAGTCTTTCCAATGATTTATCAAAGGAGAGGAAAATTTTAGCTAAGGCAATCAAGTGCTAATTTGTACTATCAATCTAACTTACAATATGAGTAGTAAGCTACGACCTCGATAGAGTGTGAAGATTCTAAAGTAATATATAGGTATATCCATTGATTTGGTTTCCATTGCGATAAGCCACGCCGCTAACAAGCTATGATATCATCATTGTAAGAATTAATTAGCAAATATTGAGGGCAAACAAGACTTACAATGCATAAATACAGGTCAAAATTTGTGACACACTTTGGTGTTCAACGATAGCTTTCATCATGGATGCTGCCATTGATAAGGTGTACAGCATGATGTTGACTAAATTAAAACCAATCCCAAAGATATTTTCTGCTTTTGTTCTGGAAACCATCCTTGCAAAACTATCTATATTGAAACGTGAGGTTATGTGAAAGAAGCTATTTTTGTCGTATCTGTCAATTACAGTGCAAAAAAAAAAAAAAGGAAAAAGAGAGAGAATTGTTGGTAGAATGAGAAAGATTTTCTGTGTCATTCAGAAATGTGGTGGTATGAAATCAAGTTACCAAACTGTATATTTATTTCTCAGCTCAGTTCTTTCAACAACTCAGCCTTTGTTTTCATTTTGCTATTTTTTTACTTTGATCAACAAATCCACCCGCCTCACTTCTTTCTTCCTTCTTTGCATTTGCTATGGCTGAAAAGAGGTATCTAGCATGGATCTCGTAATACTTTCGCTCCTTCAACAAAATAAAGAACAGCAAATAGGTCGAAAGTCAAAAACGGAAGGCAGTGTAAATGATTGGTTTGAGACCGAAATTCAATCTCTAAGCTGTTACGTTTCCGTTCGTTAGAGAGGGAAGAAGCCCTTATATCAAGGCATTCTTCGTCGAATATATGCCTCAGTTGCAGAAATGAGGCCTTTACAGCTTTGTATAGATTTTGACCCAGAGCGATCAAGAAAGCACAGTAAAAGTAGCCAGCAGTATTTGTTGAACAGTACATGATTTATATGATAGATAGAGGCGTTGAAAGCTTTGAAAGCATGTAAAGGCTATTGATTTCATAATGCCATCACTCAAACTGGCTTAGAAAGCAAAAGCTGTTTCAGTATTCACGAAAACATACTTTGAATCGCAGACTTGCATTCATTATAGTTATAACCACATCGATTAGCATCAAAGGTTCCAGGCGGTTTGCTGTACAATATCACGAAAAGGGTTAAAAATATGCATTCTTCTTCTAAGCATATGTTCGACAATCGCGACCTCAATCTGAGATAATCGGAGCTAACCAGAACCGTACAACACAAGACATGAAGAAGTGTCTTTGTGCGTTCAATAAGCAGACTTTATAATGCATGTATTTGACATACAATCATGTATAATCAAGTCTTCCTCGAATGAAATTATGGTAAAGCATTAGATGTAAGCTTCTGCAGATGTTAGTGTAGTTAAAACTGGCACAGAATAAGGGCGTTTAGGCTTCCAGAGACGCCAAGATATGCCTTTCATTGTGGGTAACCAACCAATGCGATTGATTAAGTGCAACGATTTCTTCTCCTTTTTCTTTCCGCTTTATATAATCCCCGCCGAAAATTATGCTTCTTTCTTCCGTAATCATGTGCTTTGTCATTCCTACCTTGCCCTGCTCATCACCAAAATGGCACACACACTTCTAACTGTGACTACGGGAACGATAATTCTGAAAAGAGCACGTTGACACCACATAGCGATCAAAAATAGTTGTCAAAAAGCAGTACTTTTTTTTTTGGCAAATATACCGTACCCCCTATTGTTTAATTAAATTATGCGAGAGGCCGTTTTCCGTTTTGCCTGTTATTATTGTACAATGCTTATAGTTTAAAATGATAAGATTCGTTCTTTTCTGGATTTATTGTGTTATGTTCTTCTTATTGATCCTATCAAGATCTTTTTCAGGCTAAACAAGGAACGTGATTTTAGGACCATTAAAAAAAACACGCAAGATGATTCGCTACTTGATTTACTTAACAAGTGCCAATTAGGAATTTTTAGTCGGATCATAATCAGCAATGTGGCTCTGCCAGTTAGTATGTTTGAATTTATCGTTTGAAATTATGAGCACTGTGCATATTCCTATTTCTGATAAGGTCGTTTCCTATCAAAATTCTCGTTCTGGTGTTGTACACTAGTGAATAAAAGTGACAAGGGAGAAAACAACCGAAATTGAGATTCGGTATTATACAAAGCAGCGCAGATAATAAAAACGGAAAGATCAAGTTTAATGGCAGGGCTAGTTTTTTAGAATGATTTACGAATACAAACTAATGGGATAACGGACTCATTGTAGACATAAAGGAATTACTGTTGTGGTTATGGTTGTCGTTGTTGTTGTTGTTGTTGCTGTTCATAGGATCAGAATGAACAGAAGAACTTGTATGAAGGTGCCTTGGTGTATGTGGCGAGTTAGGAGAATAAAGTGAACTTGAGTTGTCGATATCATCGTCAGATAATAGCATACTAGGGCTGGGACTGGGCGGTAGTTGGTGAGAAGAGTTATTTTGGAAATACGGGCCTAACGGCGACAAGCTTTGAACATTGATGGTATTACTGTTGCTGCTCGTATTACGAGTTGCTGCATCAAAAATATCATCTATAGAAATGTGAGGAGACTGTTGACTCAAACGATGGATGTGCTGCGGTTGCGGTGAATTGGGCTGAAAATGGTTATTGCCGCCATGAGCTGGATCATGGGAAGTTATAAATATAGATGGAGGCTGCTTCTCTGCAGTTAGTAAGGATTTTGTATTATTCAACGAGTCGTATGTATGCCGCAATTCGTTTGGTATCTGTCCATTATTTTGCTGGAGGATATAGTTCATCAATGATCTCATCATTTCAAAGTGGTTCTCTTGTTTTTGTTTGGTGGATTCTAATTCCTTCAGCACGTCTTTGAAATTGTTATATAAATGCTGGATTTGCTGTATCATTTCAGCTTGTGCATTCTGTAAGATTGATAAATGATTCTGCAGCTCTAGTTGATTTTGACTGCTGTTGGTGTCTCGTCGGTTCAGATCAGAGGTTTCCATTGTTTTACGTTTGATTTCGTCTAACAGATCTGGTTTGTTTCTGATGAACTTTGCATGACTGAATTCCCATATCTGATTTTCTGCTAATGTTCGATGACCTCTTGGTGACTTATTCACCTTATGAAAACCATACCTGCAAACAGAGAATGAGCTTAATAGGAGAAATCATTTTTTAAGAGGTAAACGATGTATTAACAAGAGTAGGCAGTCTTACATATTCAATTGACGAACAAAACTACTAAAATTGTTATGCTTGAAATGCTTTGGTAAGACATCACGGGAAAATTCCATTATATTACATACAATGAAAGATGTGCCTGCATAAGCCCATGCAATTAAGTGTTGATAATGGCTGTCAATTACCATGCTATCAATGTACAACGGCTTGGTCAATAAGAATCGTCACGCACAATGTTACAGCAGAATGACAAACTACGCTTACTTGTATAGTTTATGTACAAAGGTATTGGTATGCGTTGGCTTCTGAGTGGTGGCAGGAGGTGGGGGTGGCAAATGAGTCATGCTAAGGCATGGTGAACGAAGAGGCTGCTCTTGGGCCGATAAGTTAATATCGCTAGTGGTAATTCTGACATTATCAAATTGTGCAGTAGTATTATATTGCATTCAAAAATAGAAAATAAAAAGGTTAAAGTAAGTTATGAGAGCGCACAAGTTAAGGAAGGAAAGAAAAAAGAAGTAAGAAAATAGAAAGGAAAAGTTTGATCTAGCACTTAAAAACCAGCTCAGATATGTTTATAACCTCACGCTCACTTATTGACGCAGTACACACAGCACGCATACACTCACACAGGCAGACATTACACTAATGACACAGCTCCAAAAGTTAACAGAGTTATTTCAAAATCAGATAAGAATAGAATTTCAGGAAAAGTTACCTTCGTACGATCATTATCTCTTTCTCCAAAGAAAAGCATCAAAGCGGCCCCGCTATCTCTACCACTTCTTCCCTTAGGTTTCAGATCCAATAAGAAAACAAGATGACGGCAATAAGGTCTCGTTTTTTCATCGGAACGAAATAGCCGATTATTTTCTTCTCATTTCGCTGCATAAGAACGCCCTTCGTTTAGGAGCAGATATAGACCTCCAACAAGTGACACTGATATGAACAGAATATGTTTTCATTTTTAGAAACTCGCTTCAAAGCTTGACAATCTAATAACAGAGAAATCATATAAACTGCAAATTTGCGATTTTCATAAAAGACTCTGAGTAACAAAGAGCAAAGAAACTTGACAAAAACAAAAAAATAATAATAATAACTAACTGGGCTATATATTCACCTACAATGGTTTAGACGTTAAAGTCACGAGAGATAATTCCAGCCAGTTTTGTGGTAGACGAATCACTGAATCTGTTAAGCTGCAAAACTGAAATTCCCTGTTCCAGCCGCTAGAAATTGTTTTGTTCTAGAATTCCAATTAGACCGCGAAACAAGTATACCAGCTCCCTATCCATGTTCTCATTAAAAAACATGGAGTTTTGTTCGAAGAAATTGACCAAGTCTACATAAGTCTACAGGATTACCCTGGCGGTTGGTTATTAAGGGTCTGCTTTTTCGCTTAACGTAAGCCGTTAGCCATTTACATATAGCTGAATAGCTTGCAGCAGAATGTTCTGGTAAGTATGTCTTAGCTATTTTTTAAAGTTAAGGAAGAGCCCCATAGGAGGCATTTCGCTGATAAGCTCTGCAAAATCAACTTAATATGCAAACTGAATAATATTGACAAAGAACCACTTGAGGCTGCATGTGTGTGGAACAACTTACAGTGAGCGGAAAGGGAGTCGTTTCTCATTTTTTGAGGCGTGTCATCTGCATTTCTCCTTATTGTTTTGCAAGCTTCTTACAGTCACTATGTCGCCTTCAAGAGTGCAGATATCGTCAAGGTCATAGCCTCGGCGTCAGGAACCCCGAAAAAAGCTTTATTTCTCAAACCAATCAAAAGCTGTAGTTGTCAAATCTATTGTTATCTTTATGCTTTCCATAAGCAATGCGAGTCTATTTGTGTGCTTTTCCCCCTACTTTGCGATTCCAAAGCTGAAACACTTGTAACGATTCCATGTGTCGATTTCTCTTATATAAAGGAAAACAACCTATATTACTTGCTCATGTAATTATTCAACAGTGTTTGCTCAAGCGGAATGCGTCCATTTTGAGGAACTAAGAATTCTTTATTGACCGATTCAAACCATCGTAGCTGATTACCCGACCGAAACACTCTATAGTCAATCAGGCATTTGATTCTCGATTGCGAATAGACTTAAGAAGACCGTTAAACGGTAATGAATAATTATTTTGCTTTGCATTTGCTTTGAAGTATTCAACGGGACTGAATGCGTTTAATGGGTAACTCATTCTGGACGTTCTATACCAAAAGGCGATGGTTTTGGGGTAGGCTGGTATGATAATTGTAGTAGTAACTGCAACAAAGACAAGCCCAATATAATTGACGGCGAAGATACAATTACACCCTGTATTTTCACTTCAGTAACACCAGCATGGAATAATATCAATTTGACGCGGTTAGCAGAAAAGATAAGAAGTCCCTTAGTGTTTGCACACGTTAGGGCAAGTACATCAGGGGCAGTTTCCGAAACAAACTGTCATCCATGGTCGTAAGAGATCGTCAATATGAGAGCAAGGATACCTTATTTCAATAGTTCCATTAACAGATAATTTTGTATATGTCAGGTACGGTCGTTTGATGTGGATGCATAATGGAGGCATTGCTCAATTCGATAGAATTAAAAGGAAGTTGCAAAGCTCCTTACCAGAACACCTATTTCTGTTTGTACAAGGAAATACCGATTCAGAATGGGCATTCGCGTTATTTTTAAGCTTTGTAAGTGAACTATTCATTTTTCTTGTGAGGAATTACCATTTAGAGAAGTTGGGGACATGAACGGTATAATTAATATCGCAATATATCTTTGCAGCTTGCAAATCCAAATGCAAACTTCTTTGAACACCAAGAATTGAAAGATGCTATGCTCAAGACGATTGCACAATTGAACGTTTGGGCGGAAGAATTTAACATCACAGAGGTAGAAACTGGAATCAAACATGAACTTTTCCAAGTTATCTAATGTCTTTAATTTTTCCTTTTACAGCCATCACTATTGAATTTTGCAGTAACAGATGGAGAATCCGTCGTTTGTGTCAGATATATTAGCAGCAAAACACAAGAAGCTGCTTCACTTTACTTTTCTTCAGGTACACGCTTTGAGTGTTATCGACCCGGTCATTACCGCATGGTAAAAGCGGATAGACGAGAGGACATTGTTGTAGTCGCTAGTGGTAAATTCACAAAAAAAAAAAAAAAAAAAAAATTTTTTTCGACAACCATATGATTTAAATTTCTTACGGATAATTGACACTCTGACATTGTCATATAGAGCCTTTAACATTTGAGAAGGCTGATTGGCTTACGATTCCTACGAACAATATTCTTGTAGTAACCCCGAAAATGAATGTGTTGATACAACCCATCAAAGATAAATTCTATTCCATACCGGCAGAAAGGACAGGAGGCATCATGATTATAGGCGATGAGGAAGCTACTACTACCAGCGATTCAAATACGGCGGCAGCTTTTATACCAGAGCCAAAAGCTCAATTATTTAAGGCTCAAGCTGAAGAGCAAATGCAACAAGATTCACCAGTATTGGTGGGTTGATGAAAATCCTTTCTTCTGCTACAATAAACATTTTCATTACACGTCAAATCACATACAATCGCCTTGAAAATTTTGTTCAAATGGGCAAGACAACAGGGCTTTGTTTCAGATTTTTTTTTTCCTCAGAGCAAAAAGATAAGCACTCAACTCCTTTCTCCTTGGCATCTCCTTTTTTTGTTTCTCTTTCCGTCTTTCCAGTCCTTTCCTTTCATCTTTTCTTGACCTCAGCCCATTACACTCTTTAACATCCTATATCAACTCTGCGCTCCTTCAGAGACTTCAGCCTACTAATAACTCCAATAAATGGAAAAATTCTCCTCAACCTCATCGTCAGTCAGTAGCTTCTCCACTATGCTGAGTTATTTCGCAAAATATAACAATAAACGAACGATGATGGTGGTACTCTGTATTTTCACATTTTTCTCATTGGGACTAATTACATTATCTGGGACACAGCAGCAAGTCTTATGTCGGAGCGGCACCCTTTCTTCATCTTACAGCGACTCTACAACATCAAGTCAAGACAGCTCCATGGCCGCTGGCCGTGTCAAATTTATTGATTTGAATCAATTGGAAGCAACGTCTACTGCCAAAGAGAGAGGAGAGAAAGTATTGATTCTCACTCCTCTGAAAAATGCAGCCAAATACTTGGATCGTTATTTTGAATTGATCGATAAACTGACTTATCCAAAGCACCTCATCAGTATTGCATTTCTGGTGTCTGACACAACAGATGATACTGTGGACATTATACGACGAAAAGCCGATGATATGCTAAATCGATCCGTGAAGAGCAACGAAAATAACGAACGAAATGATAATAGATACACGGAACGCTACGATTCAGTCACTATATTTGAAAAAGATTTTGATTTTGATTTACCGGAAGACAAGCGACATACTTTTGAACTGCAACCTTTAAGACGCTCGTTCATGGCTAGATCACGTAATTATCTACTTTCAGCTGCCTTACGCGATGATCACGCTTGGGTGCTTTGGTTAGATGTGGACCTGGTATATTATCCCGACACAATCATCGAAGATTTACAAAGTGTGGATGTTGATGTCGTTGTGCCAAATTGTTTGAGAGAGACCGACGACGGGTCTTTTTGGGGTTACGACAAGAACAATTGGCAAGAAACAGACAAATCTCTAGCCATTCAATCCAAATTGGATCCAGATCACGTTTTGTTGGAGGGTTATTATGAATTTTTGACTGAAAGGTATCTGATGGTTGATATGCCCACTCATGGAGATCCGTTACGAAAAGTTCCCTTGGATGGCGTCGGTGCGACTTTCACACTGGTTAAATCACACGTGCACAGAGAAGGTGCCAATTTCCCTCCTTATGTGTACAAGCATCAAGTGGAAACAGAAGGCTTTGCAAAGATGGCAAAAGCTATGGGTTTTGGAGTTTATGGTTTGCCAGCTTACAAAATTTGGCACATCCAGAATTCTTAATCGATTTTTTTTTTTTTTTTTTTTTTTTTTGTAAATTATAGTCATCATCCTACTATTTCCTATTACTTTGATTTGCATTTTTTAAACTCATATTATCTTTTCATATCGTAAATGGTTTTACCGTTTTTTGCGTTTTTACTTTGTTTGACAGATACAATAACTTATTCTAGCTTTTTGAACTTCCTTTAATGTAATTATATTTTTCAAAATCATTCCCATCCTCCTGCCCCTCCCCCTTAAATATCTTTTTATGACACGTTATTAGCATAGACTGTATATTAAATATAGACTTTTTCCTATATCAACTTTAGCTTTGCTACAGGAGCCAAACTTTCAATAATATTTTTCTTATTTCTAATCTTGCCATTTGGTATCTGAATTCAACAACCCTCCCAAAATTTCAGCCGCTATTATTGCGCGAAATGCTCGCCGCGTTAAAGTTTGATAGAATTCAGATCAAGGAAAAACAGAACGCAAATCCTTCCAAATGCGAAAAGCTCCGCCATAAAGTATCAGTATCTTCCTTTACAATTGCCTTTTGTGTGTCCGTTTCAAGTAGCAGAAACTGACTTGCAAGAAAAGTATAATATTACATTTATAGCAATACTAGGTCGTTTAGACTATTGATTTCGGGAAAGAGTTCCCATATCATGAAAGCTTCAGTAAACACCACTTTTGCATTTTGATGTGTGAAAACTGTTATGCTCAAAAAATGTAAAATAAACTTTTATAAGAGTTACAGCCAAGTTAGAATGTATTTAAATGGATCTATAGTGAATGCAAATTGTTTCTTGATAAACCCCAAAAAAAGAAAGAAATATTGCAGCAGCAGCATGATAATGGGGGCAGAAAAACGTCTATCTAGTTAAAAGTTCAATGAGTAGCAAGCAGCTCAAATGTCTATAATAATATTTTCAGGTGATAACCCTTCATACGCAATACGATAAACGGTACTAAATAAGGGAAATTCATGTTGCATGTTCCTTGCTGATAAAAATTGATGCACCTCCCGAGCTGTCAATGTACCTTGAAGCTTTTGCCCATTTAATAATTCCTCTTCCAATTGTTCAATAGGTTTCTTAGTCAAGACAAATGCTTCGGCAACCTTACGGTTTCGTCCTCCGTTACAAGTTGTAATTAGATCAGCAGCACCACAAGATTCAAAAAAGGTTTCCGTTTGTACAGCGTCACCAAAGAAAGTTTGACCAAACTTACGCATCTCGAGCAATCCTAATCGAATGATTGCTGCTTTGGTGTTGCTTCCATAACCTAAACCATCCGAAAATCCAGCACCTACAGCCACGACATTCTTCAGAGCACCACATAACTGTACACCGACATGGTCCTGAATGACATTCACCCGAAAGTAAGCAGTATTAAATAAGTTTTTAAAAATGTGACCATCGACTTCAATATCTTGACATCCAATGGTTGATTCGCTAAATTGTTCCAAAGCGACTTCATTCGCAATATTGGCTCCACTGAGAGCAGCACAAGGAATATTCAGAATATGAGAAATCTCCTCTGAGAATAGTCGTGTGCCTTCAGCTGTAATTTCAAGACCCTTAATGAGTGAAATGGCACGGGCTTGCGGCCGTAAATAGCCTTTCATTTTTTCGCAAACACCGTGAATGAATTGATGCGGCAAAACAAAGACGAGCAGCGAAGCGTCCTTACAGGCTTCAACAAGGTCAGACACGGCCACGACATTATGAGGCAACTTCACACCCTTCAAATATTTGATATTCTCGTGTTGCTCATTGATTATATCAGTCAACTTTTTATTGTCCAAAATTTCTTCATAGACCCATTGACGAACTGTGGGCTCAAACAGATCCGTGTGACAAGCTGTGTTTGTACCAACAATCTTGGCAATGGCGGATCCCCAGTTACCAGATCCGATAATAGTAACTTTTTCAAGAGGGTGCATAATGTTACTGTGTAAATAGATTGCTTGAAAAGTAGAAAAAGAGAAGCTTAAGGTGGAAGAAGAGATGCATCTCCTCATCTTTATATGTCTGGTTTTTTTTTTTTTGTCTTCCTTTTTGGTAAGGACAAGATAAGGCTGCGTTGTTATCACTCCGGCCAGTCAGTTCAGTGAAAGCTAGCTTTTCATAAAAGGCGCTAGTGCGTTTTCACGAATACTTTGTACTGAAACTCAGTTTCAACCGATTGATGGCTATAAAATGTGGAGAAATAGGGTCTATAAGTACTTGTACATACATCCAACGAATGCATTAAAACCATTATTCCTTCCCCCCCCCCAAAAAAAAAGTGTAGATCCTTGAATCATTTCTAAATGCACAGTTGCCTCCATATATACCTGACACCTTTAACGTATATTATCATGGGTTTGTCCGTTCGCTATATTTGTTCACTTGTACCACATCACATCATCTGTTGCGGCAGATGAAAATTGTAGTGGTATCCTTTGCTCTTGTTGCAGAGTAGAGCCGTGGAAAGAGAAAAAAGTTTAATAAACTTATTGACATCATAGATACGACCTTATTTGCTATATTAATCTGTTGGTGAATGATTCAACAATAGTGCAGAATTACCTCTATGAATCACAACGTTCGATACTTTTCCAGTCAGCGTTGATGAATGATATAACTGCTATGGTCGATTGAAGCCTAAAAAGCACACTTCTTTCTTTTAAATAATTCACAACATTTCTTTTTACAATAAAATCACGGTTTTCAACCACATCATTGAAAGAATGATGATGCTTATATAACACGACTCAACAAAAGGATGCCCTATTTTAGTCAAAACAATTTCCTGGCCCTAATCTTTAGAGTTGTTCGTGTCACTCAACCTGTCTAGTACGCTAAATGACAGCTATGTATAATGGCAACCATTCTTTTTCTGAACTAAAAGTGTGCACTAGTTTATCTAGTGCAAACTACAGTATTTTCGGTTTTTGATTTAGACGTTTTTCTATCAAAATTGGATTTTTCAATAACCTAATTCAGACAATCCAAGTAATTATTTTCGATGACTTTTTCCAAAATTCGGATACTTTCAGTATATCCACCACCCATTCCTACCTTCGTCTGAACAGTCTCGATTTTTCACCGTCTGCTTTAATATCCATTGGGAAATATGGACATCGTTTTCTCGAATGATATTGTATGCCATTCCGTTTGACACCCCCCGCCAATCCATCCTTAGTAAAGTTCACAATGTTATTTCATTGAGCCTGTCTTCTTCACAGCTCTTGCTGGAAGCGGGTGCCTTAGATTAATTTTCCACCACAGAAATTGTCTTTTTCTTCTCCATGTCTCATCCCTCGGTAATGTGTGAATTTATTATCTTTGAATAAAGAATAATCTACCAAAAAAAAAAAAAAAAAAAAAAAAAAAAAACAAAAAAAAAAACTACTTTCAGTAAACTATCTTAGGCCCTCTTCTTTCTACACGCATCTTCCCTTCAGCATGCCTGATCCAACCCCTAAAATCCTCAAGAATAAACGTTTTTCACGCTTCTACGATATGTGGTGTAAGAGCTTATTGCTGTCTAATGGTGTGCCTTTGGTGTTATATTTATCCTTAGCCTAGCGCTTAACAACTGGTAAATAAAATAGATGAAAAAGCGGGCCAATATCTGCTTTTGATGATGGCATATTTAATAAGTGAGATATGGTCATGGTATCCGTTTCTATCTGTTTTGCTACCATTATAAATTCTTTAAATGTTGGAGACCATACATTGTCAGGAAACTCCTTATTCATAAGCTTCTGAACGATAACGTACTATTGGATTGATATAAGAACAGGCTGTGTCGTCCTACTATGTATCTGATTCAAAACAGACTGTCTTTTCTTTTAAGTAATCATAGTGTGAGCGTCTGGAAATAATTATATATATTTTTTCTAATTGCCATGACAACTAGACGACCAGTTGTGTTCTATGTAAATAACTCATATTTTGGCTTCTCATTGACTATTCGGCATCTCTGTTCATCTAGAACTTTATCACTTTTTTTCCGTTTTCTACAAGAGAAAATTTTCCCATTCTAATATTGTTGACCTCTTTTAAAAGCTTATGTGATTGTGCCTTCTCGAGAAGCTAAGAGATATCTCAAGCGAAAATTAGAAAGAAAGAAAAGAGAAATTTGCTGAAAGTATGTCCCTGCAATCTTATGTCCAGTTACAGAATTCTACAATTTAATACTCCTTACGAATGTAGGAATTTGTAAGAACTGTGGAGAGATTGGTCATATCAACAAAAAAAGTTACAAATGGCAGCTTTACGATGCATGTAAGCCGTGTTATCATTTTCCGATTCGAAGGTAAACAGATCTCTTACCATACCCGTTTTATAGCCAAAAAAAGAAAAGCAGGAGCGAAGGATGATTACGAGACTAAGGCTGCAAAGGCTAGAGGAAAAAAGAAGAAGTTGGAAGACAGCAAGAAACGAGCAGAACAAGACGTTGTTTGTTCCTCTTGCGGTAAAGCAGGCCATAGTAGATCATCTTCACCACTATGCTTGAACTACAAGCCCCCAAAGGATGTCTTGCTCCGCCAGCTGTTCGAAGATGGTCATGAAGTCTACAGCATGAAACTGCTTCTAACCACACTGATAAGACCAGCGTTTGCTCAAGTCGCTACAGAAAACATCATCAAATGAGCAGAATTTACCCGTCAAGTGGTGTATAGAGCCCAACTATTTGTGAACTACTGCATTACTGATAACTACGAAACAACGACTGGTCACCCATACCTTTATGAGCAGAACTTCTGGTACAGCATCTGCAAGCTTATATTAGGGAAGCGGGTCAGAAATCGACAATACATGGACATGTCGGTCACGCTTGCCTTTAATGACTTTAAAAGCAAATTTCCTATAATCGTTTACAGTCTGAAGACACAACCCATGAGAGGATATAGCAATTCTTTGGCAGCGGCCTGCGTGACACTGACCACTACTTATTCAAACATTATAGTGGAGAATTTTGAAGATAGGCTCAAGCACTACGCTCGAACATGTTTGAAGCATCTGTTCCCTGTAAGTCATGATCGCATTCATAACAACTGTAGTAGCAGAGTGTCTCACGAAGTTCTGTTTATTTTATGTTTTAGGAGCATAAGAAGAGAGAAATCGACAGAATTGTCAACGAATACTGCTTCAAAAAGATAATGAAGGGAGACTACCAATGGCCAAACGGGGTGACCGGTTTGGAGCGGTTAGAGGAGGCTAATGCCATATGCAAAGCTGTTGAAGACACACTGCTCAGGGTCCTGAACACAGAAAATCTTACTTCCAACAGGTCAATGTTCCTGCCAGCATTAGGCTTGATGCTGCAGAAAGTGTTATTTATTTCCGAAGCTACTACAGACGACCAAAAAAAGCCACGACTTTTCTATTTATTTCCAACGCCCTCTTTGAAATGGCGCCATATCCATATCAACCACAAAACGCTGTCTATTATAACGAGCCAAAAGTCTGGAAACACCTACAGAGAACAGGTTGAGGTTTTTCATCGCGTTTTTGACTTGTCTACATTTGGATACAGTTCCGTCGATGATATTGTCAACGACTGTGACAAAAGCTAAACTGCACTGCTCAAAGCGACGGACATGCTATCGCACTACAGTTTGTCAGACGAAAGGCTACTTCCGGTGATACAAGAGCACTACTACAACTAGATGACTTCAATCTCGCGGAAATAGGTGAGTATTTCCACCCAATTACTGTTGATCCTGGACGCAATGAAGTATTTACAGCTGCGGTTGGCTTCAGCAATGTTAATCATGATATACGCAGTTGCAGCAAAGGTGAAAGAGCCAACTTTGCCTTTGCGGGCTATACAAGGAGAAGCACTTATTTGAAGAAATCAAAAGAAAGAAAAGGAATAACGTCCATTGAGTCATCGCTGCCTTCACCGAAGATTATGTCCAAAGAGGCCTATATTGTGTACTTGAAATACACATTGCAACATCTGCAGACACTATTTGACTTCTACAGCTTCAAATCGGCCCAGTTAAACTTCACTTTTCATTCCAAAATAATTTCTTGAATTGGTCTGAATTTTAATTGTAAGATAGTCTCAATTTGATAGCCATTTTTCGTGCGAAAATCAAGGCGAAAAAACAGTAAAGACGGGCTCTTCTGGAACCGGCTCCCATCAACCCATGATCCTCGCTCCTTAAACAGAGCTATTCGTGTCTACCGTCAAGAGAATCTCAATAAACTGCGGAATGCGACACAGCATTCAAAACTACTACTGCTCTGCCGCCCCGTTATATCGCTCGACCCCATTCTCTGGCTCCCAATGACCTTTGTTGAACGTGATCGATGTCTACGATGGCGCCTTGGCTGGCTACCCAATAACTACTCAACCAGTTGCCTCTACCATACAACGCGTACACTTACAAAAGCCCACGTCATTGACAGCCTTAAGATACACAAACCGCTTACAGCTTCCCCACACCATATCTGACCCCATCTCTTTTTTTGCTGAATTTGTTACCCACCAGTCCTTCAGGGCAGCACAAAATACGGTGCCACGCTTGGACACTTCGATGGCCCACTCTGCAGCTAATACTATCTGAAGTTGACTACCTCCAACATAATAAAGAGCCTCCAACACCGCCAGAAAACCCAGGACAGCTACTCTTGGATTGGATGTATGCGCCCGCGTTAATTACACCTTGATCGTTCCGTTATTCCTTAGTTTGCCTCTGATCATCTTCCCTTTTTCCTTTGTCCCGTTAAAGGTTTTTTAATTCCCTCACACTTTCCTTGAACCTCCCCGGGCAATTTTGATAGGTATTTATCTGTGTGCTCATTGGGTAAAATTTCATTGTAATAAAATATCTCTTTAAACGTAAAGACGGGCTCAATTTTTGCGTATGGCATTCTCGGTCCCGTAAATATCCTTTCCAATAGTGTGGTTTGAAAGCAGATGATTGTACAGATTCTTAGTGTTTGAACAATATGAGGGAGTGCTGGAGTGCAAATTTGTTTCGTTATTCCTGGCTGATTAATAGTAACTAGGTGGCTGTTATGGCATCCTCTTCCGTATACTTTTTTTTTTTTTTCATGAAATTACTTATTTTATTCTAATACAAGAGTACAATGATGAAAATATAACAAATGATTCGGCTTTTTTGTTTTTGTTTGATTTTTCCGTGAAATCTTTGAGATGCGGCTAATATATCTTCTACAATAATAAAATCTCAAGTCGCTGTGCGAATGACAAGAATTACAGTTCGTTTTGTGCGCTTGATACAGATTAATGTTCACCCTTATCGGCTTCTAACTTTTCTTCAACTTTTTTTAAGACTTTGTCAGTATCCACTGGTCTAGCACCACCGAAAGGATCAGGTTTGGAAGATTTCTGAGCAGTAGTTCCACTTGAGGCAGCATTGTCAACAGTACGAGGCTTCAAATTGAGACGAGGGCGTTCAGCAGGACGATCTATGAGTCAATAGCAAGATATATTAGTATCATTTCTGAGACTTTTAGCATGGCCGTAATATATGAGAGCTCTAACCTCTACTGGCGAAACCACCACGACCACTGCCCCATGAGCTATCGTTACGACGGCCACCAAATCCGCTACGTTCACCACCAAAACCACCAAAACCACCACGACGAGGTGATTCGGGCAGTTCAACAGGGCCTGAACGACGCCATGTATCGACATCTGTACGATCAACTCTACGAGGACGATCTTCACGAGCTAAAGTAACATGTATTCATTAATTTTGATCCTTAAGCACTTTCCCTTTTTAATATTGAACCATTTGTACTTACGAGGCTCAGCAACCATAACACGAATGTTTCTACCCTGAACATTTTCTCCTGATAATTCTAAAGCACTCTTAAGGGAATCAAGGTCTTCAAATTCAACATAACCGAAACCCTTGGGTCTTTCGTCACGATCACGAACGAGTCGAATGTTGGAAACCTTCAGATTGCTGAATAAATTACTCAGATCATCTTCAGACGAATCAAAGGATAAATTGGCAACACGAGCGGTGAAAGGTGCTTCAGTTGGAAGCTCGACAGGAGAACGGGGTGTATAAGGACGCTCGCCACGAGATTCGAACCCACCACGTCCACGTCCACGTCCACGCTCTACACAAAAAGTGAACGTACGAAAAATAACAGCTCTTTAGTACCCTTCTTCTTACTCCCCTAATCTAATCATCATCCCAACAAATCCAAATGACCGTTACCATATCGATCGCTGCCTCTACGGTCGCCACCGAACCCACGATCGTTACTATAACGACGTTCTTCTCCATAGCCACGGTCGTTGCGTTCATCATCAAATCCGCGGGAACTATATCCCTCGGATCTATCTTCTCTAGCTACAGAAAACGAATACCAACAGGTCGTCAAATTTAGTTTTGTAAAACCTTTCAGTTGACGAAAAATCTAATCAAAATTTCAATTATTACCAGCAGCTATATTGGTATAAAAAAAGATGATTAATCCTATATTGTCTCACGAAAACATTATCATTGAAGATGAACAGCAACTTAGTGATAACTTACGTGCAGTAGGAAGGTCAACAACATCATCAGCCCAAGAAGACGATCCGCCAGAGGCTTTAGATTGATTAAAAATATTAGCAAAATTACAAAACCTTTCCTCCCAAAAAGAAAAAAGCTCACTTCTTTTCTGCTCATTCTACGATCTTATAAACACTTACGACCGTCAGCTAAAAAGTCAGACAATGACATCTTCTGTGCTTTCTTTTTTCCAGCTAATTTAAAAAGATAAACCTCGTTTTAGAAAAAAAATACGAAATACCGAGTTCCTGTGAATTAAGTATACTGTACACATGTTGAGCCGATTATAATTTTTAGTCAAGGAATAGAGGAAAAAAAAAACTTGCTGAAAAAAAGATTGAAAGAAGTTTAACTTTTTTTTTTACACTTGTTACCTTATCTCAGTCACAAAATTTTACAGCTTCTGTACTCTGTGAGCATTCACAAGAATAGCAGTGGAAAGTTCCTTACTTCAACCTAATGCAACGCAAAGCACAAAGTTTCAAGATTTTCAATAACTAAAATATAAAGCTAATAAATAGCTTTGTTTTTTCTAACTCTGTGTTAAGAATATAAATTCTCTGCTCTACAAATAGGCTGGTGAGATCTTTTATTTGTGTCCTTATTTCATGTATAAATATGGTTTTGAAGAAAAAAGTAACTACTCTGTTAGATATACGTGAAGGTTTATTGCTTTTGTCTTGTTACCTGTGCATTATAGAATTAGAATATCAATCTTCATCGCGTATACACCGTGGTTTTTAAAACCGCTCAGTACTGGGTGTTCAAGCTGCACACAGCTTTATTCCTTGAGAAGAGTCACAAAGTGACGTTCAGGCAAAACTCCATTTGAACGCGTTTAAATTGAGAGAAACTGAAGTTTTCACATTGCACATATTCCAATAAACTTTTCTACTTCAGACCATTCTGTACTTTGTGATCTCTTCACTAGGAATAGTTTTTGATATTCCTCTCTAAAAAATGGTTCAAACTGATCAAAAAGAGAAGTTTGCTAGGTAAAGCAACAGATGTTTGATTTTCTCTGGGTACATCAAGCAATTAACTTGGTATCTCTTTGCCAATTTCCAGAACATATCGTGAATTGTTCGACACAATTGAAAGAGGGGCGGACCAGTGCTCAACAGACAGACTACAAACCCTTCTGGAAGAAAGACAAGAGCAGTTAAAATCTGGTTTAGACGCTTTTGGCTCAACTTCAGCTCAATCTCGTTCGAAGGTCAATTCTGGTACGAATGTCACAGTTGACGGAAAGACAATCAAACTCGACCAAAGCGAAAAAGAATTCGTACTGAAACTGTCAGAATTAATTGACCTGAATGAGCTTCAGTGCGCTTCATTATGGGATAACTACAGGACCTTCAATAAAGAGGTTATCGCTCGCCTCACCCATGCTGATGATGATCAGAAAACTGTAGCGTTGCATGAAAATATTCAACTACTTCTGAACGTTATTAATCTGCATTATGAAGACCGTATTGCGCTTCTGGAATGCATAGCATCATTAAAGCGTATTGCGATGAACGGCGGTCACCTTTATACCACTATTGCGGATAATTTCATCACAAAGCTTTATACTAACCAGACAACAGGTGCATTTATTGAACGTCTATTTGCGCAATATGTTAAACTTGTCCGTACAAATGTTCCTCATCAAATGTATAGCTATCCTGGATGGGCACTTGTGTGGGCAAAGCAAAACTTGAGAGAGCAAAAGGCTTTATTGGAAATCATCTTTTTATTTACAGTGGTAGAACCAGTGTCGCCAGATTTCACTTTCACGGTGATTCAAGAATTTGAAGCAGATTCCTTTGCATCCCATCAAGCATTTGGTTATATACTCGATGACGAAGGCATAGCCCTACGTGACAAAGTGATGAATTTATGTATATTGTTATCTATCAGCACAGTCATTAGCCCAACCCTAACAACCGAGATTCAACTGGATTCTGCAAAAGCTGGTCAAACATTGATCGACTCCCCAGGCATCATTTCAAAGATAAACCAAATTGCTGTATATCTAGGTGATAAAACAGAGCATTCTGTTTTCTTATTAGCTTGGTCTTTTCTGCTCACTTGTGTGAATGCTGTCAAAGACGCAGAATCAACCTTGCCAGCTGACTACAAAGAAGTCGAAGATATTCTGGCAGGCAAACAAGCAATTACAACAAATTATTTACTCGATAGACCCCCAGTTTCTCGATCCGATGTGGAACGTACCAAGAGAGTCATCTCAATCCAGCAGCTCAGTAATATGGATCGTATTTATATTGGACGCTCTTTAAAACTTGGTGTATTCAATGTCATTTCACAGATTTTATCCAGCGAGACTTGCAGTGAAGAGGATGTGAACAATTTTGGTTACAGAACTGTTATTCAGAGATTGCTCAAATCCTTCTTGTCATTCATGCGTCCTCATTTCATACCGACTGAAAGCTATGAAGATTTAATCAGTTCCTATTGCCTTCTCTATAAGAATCAGCCAGCGCTGTGCAACACATTCTGGAACGAGTACTTTGATGAAAGCAATCCTTTTTCGTTGTTAGCAACGGCTCGTGGAAGGTTTCCAGTACTTTTTGCTGATTTTATACGACTTTTATCTGCTTTATCAGGTGCGCCGGATGAGGAATTGACACAATTTAGTGATATATCAGCACGACGCGTTTTCAACTATGTATGCAACATCCCAACACTTACAGTTCAATTAAAATCTTCTACTAATTTGAGAGAGAACACTGATGATGCCGAAAATACTATTTATTCCAACCAGCCAATCCGGGTTACTTACGAGTCTGACTTGATTGGTGGTTTGGTTATCCCTCAAAATTGCGCTGGAAAGCTTCTCAACAATTCTGACGATGAGCCTATTGTGCAATTTATATACTCTTACTCGGGATGGCATCTTTTGACATCAGTTTTATCAGCTTTTGTAACAGAATACAAACACAACGTTATCGATATTGAAGATGATAACAATTTCATGAGTGGGAAGGATATAGATGTCATTAATAGTATCTTGAGTTTGATCTACAACGTGCTACTGAGTGATTCCTCTTTAGTTTCTGAATTAACACAACATATCGATAAAGTCACTGGCAATACAAACAATGCAACACCCACACTCATCTCCATTTTATGTAATACTCTTACCTTCTGCAGCGGTTTTGACAAATGCCCAATTACGACGATGACTCTGACCTTAAAGTGCTTGACTTTACTGGTACCCTCTTATTCAGATTTTATTTGGGCATATTTGAAATTTGCACCATTATTACCAACCACCAACATCAGCTATCCTGTACAGTACATAACAGCTAATGCAACTACATCAGCACAGATTCAGGGAATTGTTTCTAGATACGAATGTACTATCGGACGTTATTCCCTGTTACTGTCATTCTTGGATTTTGTTCAGAAATTAGTTACTGATATTCAACATAAATGGTGGATCAGTGAAAACATGCAAAACAATTTAGCTAGCAACTCGCAATATAAAGTCGAGATTTTGTATATTTGTCTCCATTACTTAATGTCTGATGTATTCCCATCATACGCTCATTGGCGCTATCAGAAGATTTCAGAGCGTTTCCTCATCGGCACCAAAATATTATCAATCTTCACAGACATTGCAACAAACTTTAAGGATACAACAACAACTGATTCCAAATTATCATTGAGCAGCATCCGTGAAAATATCTTCAACAATTTCTTATACGAAGGAGGAGTATATCATGTTTCGCCCTTAATTGATACCATCTCTGATGGCGCCAAAACCGCTAATACATTATATAAATCGGACCATCCTAAAGAAGCTCAGCGAATTGAAAAGTTGACAGAAATAACTTTCAACTTTGTCAAGATTTTACTGCAATATCGACTCGAACAAATACAATCCGGACAAACGATTGCGGAAAGTACATTAGAAAGATTATTGTTAGAACGCACTTCTGGCAAATCCAGCTCAGATTTCTTGTTGAGAGTTGCTCGTCATATCCATTATAGACACAACATATCATTACCAATTCAAGCTACAAATGTGTTATCCATTCTTTGTCGTACCACAGCCACATGGAAAACATCGCCAAATTTTGTTCAGTATTTAGGAAGTACCGAACAAGTACATTCGATTATACGTACTTATTTGGAAATCGCCAAAGATCCTTCACAAAACAGTGTTTTGTTAGCTTCTATCTGGCAGCTATTAACTGTCTTGCTTGAAACACAACCTAGCCTTGCTATCCTCTTTTTGGATTGTGGTGATTTAATTATGCCAAGTCCTAAATCAGCTGTAAAGCTCCTGTCAGGAGATGTCCAGTCTTCTGCAGCACCCAGCAATGCTACAACAGATTCAGCCATTCGCGCAGCCGTTGATATTTTAAGTCATTGGGAACTTCTTTCGGTTGAGAAACCTGCAGTAATGTCAAACGCACTTCGATTCTTGGCAACTTTCTGGAAAACTGCTTTCGATCATTATGTCTTGGTTGAACGTAATCGTGCTGATAATGCTCTTTGGGACGCCCTGGGTAAAATTCTGCTGAGCCCTACTAGTGATATTGATATAACAGGCAAGCATATCGCTTCGCAAGATTTACTTCAAAAGGATAATGCTGACCGCTTTGATCTGGATATACGTCGCCTTTGCTGTCTCAATTTGAGCAGAGCTTATGCTATGAGAATCATGGCATATGAAATTCACCTTACCGCAAGTAATATACATCGAAGCCCCAATGCCATTGGTGAAAGACTTCCCGCTGGATTAAAAAGCATACTCACCAAAATATGCGACCCTGCCAAGCTTGGCTCAATACGTGACAATTTTGTGAGGAATGATTTCCAGCCTTCTACTGTTCGTGCTTCAGAAACATCAGCAGAGGTCTTACTGCAAACGCTAGGTGTAATTAATCCTTCTGTCTTACTGCGCAAAATACCACGAATTGGTGAAGGTGATGACGTTAGTGCAGGAGAAGCCCGTGAATACGGTGACACATTCTTGTACGATTTCAGATTGGCGACAAACCGTGTTCATTCGCTGATGGAAGACATTGATACAAAGTACGACTTTGACTTGCAGAATGTTATTATTACTCCTGAAGTTCAAGCTGTTCTGGACATCAAACAGTATGCTAACCAGTTCTTGAAGAACGTACTTCTGGTCAATCACAACAGCTCAATCGTTGATTCTCAGGTGATTTTGATGCGCTCATTCAAAACTTTCGTGGAAACGGCCTCTTACCATACTCCCGCTCTAATGTGGCCTGCCAAATCAATGACACCCAGCTCCGATGCTTTGTATACCTTTTTAAAAGATTTATTAGAGAAAGCCCAACAAGAGACTCGTGACGATGGAGTTACCCTAACTTCTTACCATATCTTGATTGAATTCATAAGGAACCTTACCGAAAAATGGATCAGTATCAATGGAAGTGTTGTTGCCGGTGAGGTATCCGCTCAGCAAAAGGATTACAAGCATAAAACGTTTGAGATTTTATTCACTTTGAGTGGTTTACTGGAGCGTGAAAACTATGCATTGTTCAATAGTATTTGTGATCATACTGCTGTACGTTTCCACCAGCCCCTTTTAGAGTCGGTCATGCTTTGTCTTCGAACATTGTCTGGTATCAACAACGCAGCACCTCTTTCAGATGATCGAATGCGATTTGAAACTTGCTTAACAACAATTTTATCAGTAATTTGTTCAAGCTTCCATGTACTCGTTATTAAGGCTAATTCCTTCAGTGCTGAAGGTTCTCCCGTGAGCGAAGCAGTTGTAGAGAATGTGGTGGAGGATATTACGGTTGTAGTATCGCTTTTGCAAGAGTTGATCAGTCCCAAATACAAGCTTGCACAAGATATTTGGATTGAGGTTTTTGAGAAGTCGAATACTGTTCCCTCTTTGATATCATTGTTTGCTGGTGGGATCCAAGTCCTTGTGAAGGAAATCGATAGGTGAGTATAGTCCTATAATTTAAAATTAGGCATGCAACGCTAATACTGACATTTGCTGTCCTCTACTTTAGGCAATATTCTGGTGCGGCAAATGGATTAAATAATATTAAGATAACACCATACGCAGAAACAGCACTATACTTATTACTTTCACTTTCAAATATACCAAAAGCGGCAGATAAACTTATTAAACACAATATCTTTGCAGTGCTTTGCAACAACAGCCTTTCACCTCGTTTACAGCAAGGACAGTTAGATCTATTTATTCGATTCGGAGAACGCAACAAAAATGGACCAGCACACGTTGAACGTAATCCTGCACATGTTTGTTGGGGCCAAATATTAGGTGTGGTGAATAACTTGATGCGTACAATCGGAAATTCAGAAACTGTTTTAAGGGATACTGTCAACTTCTTACAGATGTATGGTCCACAAATTGCTACAGCTTTCAACAACGCCAACGGAGCTAATGATTCTATCTTTGGCCTAACAGCTTCTGAATCACTCTCATCCTGTTTACTGGAAGAAGTCGAACGTATAAATATGATCTTCTTCAACCTGTCAAAATATTCAGAACGTCTCCCAAATATTGCAAATAACCTTTTTATAGCTTTCAAAGACTGTTCTTTATTCTTATTGCAGCGATATCATTATTTCTTCACGCATCCTTCACATATGCAAGCTCAGCTTCATCCTGTAGATAATTTGGAACGCCAACAATTACAAACGTTTGTAGCACCCGATACCAATAGCGAGGACTCATCATCTGCTGCAAAGTCTTCAAGTCCAACTATGATTGACACAAAACCACAAATAAGTCAACTCATGATAAAGATCTTACGGTTAACCATGAACATAACACACTATATGCTTAGTACATTGATTGTCCTGACCAATACAGATGTTATATTGACAATGAAAAATGTGGAATGGCCCTTTGGTAATACAATTATTTCTCCCGGTCTGCGCGTAACAGTTGGTGAATCAGCATCGTTTGGAACCTTAATGGAATGCATGAATATTTGTACTACCATAGTCAATCAATGGCAAGGCATTGCAGAATTCCCTGCACAAATGATGCTCAATGTTGTTCAGGACTGTGCTATTCTGTTGACTACACAGGCAGCACTCTGGGTGGCTAAACCAGGTATTCCGCATGAAAGCAGATTAGCGCTTGCTCAAGAAAATGTGCCCGATATTGCTGAGACTCTTAACAAAACTATGACAGCATTGAATAAGTTGGATGGAGATAAAATTGAAAATGTAGTGTCCAAACTGAAACTGATGCGACTTCTGCAGCAATATATAAGTCAACGCTATTTTGAACATTAAAAAGAAAAAAAAAACCTAAACTATTAAAACTCGATATATCCTACTTTATTGGTATCACCTACAAAAAGGAAAATTCCTTTCCGCTGTTGTGCATGTATTTTAAAAGTAGTATAGTAGTGATCTCATTAATAAAACAAAACGCTTCTCATTTAGATAACTTTAAAGCAACTTTAGACGACACGGCAGCCAGCCGCAGCAATATGGTGCTTTGTGACTCAACAGCAACTGAGCTGGTCTCTAAGCACCAGCTCACGCTTGTTGAACAATATCAAACATATCTTTTGCCATCATAACATTAAACGCTACAAGTTTTACAATAAAAGGACTTTATAAATTCGTTGCCTTGATCAGTATAAGAATTAATTAACTTCTCAAATTGATAAGAGTTGCTAATCTAAATATTACCAAATTTAGTTGATTTGGGTATTTACTTTTGAAAATATAGTCTCAAAATTGCCAATGGTACGCCAGATCTTTTTTTGGAAGCAAGACTATCGATACATATTAGAAAGCAAAGCTCGCTGCTAAACAACAAGCACAGGATAATCAGGAAGAGCGCGATGAATACCGAATCGAAGAAAGTACCTTGGGTAGCAGTTCAATAGTAGCAGCAGGAAAAGGGGGATGGGTGGAAAGTGAGGAATTCCTGATCCACTAGAGAGGCAAATTAACAGAGGATGCTTACTCTACGTATATTAAGCAGGAACGGAAGAAATGTTGATATCGTGTTCAAATTGCATATTTTCAAGGGATCGCTCACTACATTTTAATTCATGATTTGCTTTCATTTTGTTAAAAGGAGATAGAAAAAAGTACTGAGGAGTTACATAATCGAAAGAGGGGATTAAATCCTCAGGAATCATTGATAACAGATAAAGGTTTCATTGAATTGCTAGAGAATCAAGTAACGAGAATAATTTAGATCTAATATACAACTGCCTTCATGCCTATTACTTTTAAGATGAAACACCTGTCTTTGATGATTAAAAAGGCTACTGCGGTAAGATTCAAAAGCAAACACAATGCAAACGTAGGCATGACTGGCTCTACCTAGACCATGCATACGCCTAGGAAATCTCAATAAGACAAAATTACAAGAATTAGTTAGACGAGCGAAGGCTATATTGCTTTACATATAGAACTACTATAAATTCGTAACGAAAAAACTGACGACGCGGATTCATAATTGGAAGTAATCATCTCTATTTTAACATTCAGTTCGAACCTATACAACATGCGAGGTTTTGAACTTAAACTATGTCGCTATATCTATCATTTCTCAACTCTAGTTGCAATAGAATGTTGATCAAAGCAGAAGTTGGAAGAAAACAAATCATAGCGACAACTAAGCATGTTCAATCTGTGTTTTTAGATTGATATACTAGGCATTAGTTATTAAGGCGCAACCGTTAACATATATGAAGAGAAAGAAGGCGTTCATTAGTAAACAGTGTTTCGCAGTAAAACATTAAGAAACATATAAAAACTATATTACATCAGTCTCAATTTATGATTTTTAAGCTGGAATTTCTTCCAAATTCAAAGTAAAATACTGTACGTAAATCGGTAAAAACCAACAGTATTAATATTCTAAATTGTACATAAATTGCTAAAAAGTATATACACACAACATTGAGATTGACAGCTATGGGGTGGTGCATTCTCAAATTTTGTTCGCTATCTATCCACAGTATATCTTTTCCAGCTTGGAATTCATAACTGCCCTGGAATTAAGTTGTAAGTGGGTTGGTTTCCTGCTGATTGTGTCTCAGTTATAATATGAAGTCATATATACAATAAGAAAGTATTGAGATATGGTCATTTGCTTGCTAGAAACCATTTGAAATATTCGTATACACTCCAACTGATGGCTGTACTAGGCATGTTGGTCAGCACACGTGGCTTAAATCCTCTAAAGAATCCTTTCACTCCATGTCTGCTGTAAATAATTGAAACTGCCTCTTTAAACCCGCTGGTGTTTTTGATTTGAGCGTCATTCGAAGACCCTTTTGTTTGTAACAGTGTTTTGACCACATCTAATGGCGTTGTTACTGACGACGCCACCGCGCCTGCAATAGCACCTGCTAACATATGTGCTTTCGGGTTGTATGTTCCTTCTGGATCTAGCAATGTCCTACAATATTCATAGGTAGCAAATTGAACAGATTGAAATGGTATTGACATTGATACTGTTGTTGGGAAACTAATATAGAATGCTTTCAATCCTTCGGTGCGATATACTGTTTTTGCGCACTCGCGCACAGATCGGTATACTGAATCGCGCATTTGCATCCTTTGCTTTATAACTGAAAACCGCAGAACGGGTCAGCAAAGTAGTGAGTGATGGTGATGGTACGGTTTTAGAGTAGTTAACTTTCAGTCTCTTACCATCAAAGGGCGTCATGAGACCATCATGGGCAAAAGTAGCAATAGCGCCTGCAGTTCCTGAAGCCAGCAGTTGTGGAGATATCACAATTGATTTATTGTTGTCACTGGGGCTTTTCAAATTAAGTTGTTGATCGAAAAATCGATTGAACTTTTCTTTACAGAATTCGTAAGTTGCAAAGTGTATCGCATGAGCAGGGCCAGCCCCTACCACCACAGAATATACCCCTTTCCATAAATGACGTTGTTGTCCACGTAAATATTGTTTAGACGCGTTCTTAACCGCAGTATTTAACTCTGCAGCAGAGAGTACTTGCATTCTTGTCTATAAATAAAGAAACCATCTGTCTGTAAGTTTACACAGCTTTGAATTGGATGGAAAAATGCATAAATGTTTGCCGGCGGTAGAATCAAAAAGTGTATATTTCACTTAGCACCTTTAGAAAGTTTGCACCTACATGCAACGTCTCACTACGTTCCAAGCGAACCATACTAGCTCCAAGTTGTAACGACTACCAAAAACCGTTCAAAAAAGGTATACAAACTTACACGTATACTGTCGACAGGATACATGATACAATGCTCACCGATTCCTGCCATCGCTCCAGCGATTGCATTTTGTGTCATAGTCGAGTTGGCTCCCAAAGATTCGTAGTCGTGTTCCTCATTTTCGCTCATCACAGATATATGCGTTTTACCAGTGTTATTTTTGATCAACTATGGTCTTTTTGTTGTTTCACAAAGAATTGAAAGGTTCTGTTGGATAAAGATTAGACAGTTAAAATATTAGTAACTTTGGAAAGAAAGCCTTTTATTGAAATCGAAATAAAGTTAAAAGAGATATGCACAATGCCTCTATAAATACGTTGGTATATGGTATCTATTTCAAGGGTACGTATATAATAATTTTTGACTCCTCAAAGAAGTGCATATAAGAAAGAAGTGAGGTTTCTTTTCCCAATCTTTGTCAAAATGATGTAAGAGGCTTAGTCGTGGTATGAAAGGCTCAACGTCTATTCGGAGGCTTCTATTCTGAGTCCTTTTGCATTCTAGAAAAGGAAAATGCATTCCTCTACAAAAGGCGGAGTAAACTTAAAATGAAAGACCAAGCAACATAAATTCAAAGCTACAATGCTTCATTATTATTTGTTAAAGGTTTTGTTTGATTATTTTTCTTTTTTCCTTTTGTCAATGCAAGTAGCATTTCTAGGCGGTATATTGAATAAACTATATTGAAGCGTTTACAGTGTAAGATCAGAGAAATAAGGAGCAGGGCAAATAATGCAGATTCAGGGTCAGGCACATAGACTCTCCAAGCATATCGTCTCATTGGCTGAAGATTGCTATGTACAAATTGTCTTCTTTATAATTCTATCCACTCAATGTTCTAGAGCGGCTTGAACTGCAGCTGGTTTATGACTTTTTTTAAACACATTAAATGCCATATTTGAAAATGCAATCGCTCCAATGGTGATTATTAGAAAGAATGCCTAAATTATTATCGTGGTTAGAAAAGAAGATCAACTGATAGCACATATCAACTATCTATTACCATTGTTTTAAATGAAATTGGTTCCACAAAACTGTTTAATATCTCAGCAATAACTTCAGCAGATATTTTTGCTCTATCAAATGGACGGAAAGCAACGTCTTCAATTAGTCATGTTGCGAAGAAAGAATGATACAAGAGTAATGATTCTTCGCTTACTGAGCAACAGCAGTATCTCGGTTCATACACGATGCCCACTGATTACACAGATTTTCAATGGCTGGTACTCTATCACTGTCTGCACAGCGATTAGCTATGAAGCTGTTTGTACAGCTCATTCTTTCTTCATGTAATGCTGCACAAATGAGGGAGCAACAATAAGTGATCGTGGGTGGCGAAAGTAGAAAACAGTCATAGAAGCTATCAATTATTTACCATGTATATGTTCTTCGGTTTTTAGTTTGAAATCCTGCTTGATTGATAAAATTATGTTGACAAAGATGTAAAAGATGCAAAATGAGCATATGATATTGAACAGTGTCTGTATGTAAAGGACGATTGTGTATGTGATATCCTGGTGTTTTAGGAATCGAGATTCGTATATCGCTGTTGGTTTTTTTCCGTTATTGCTTGACATTGAAGAAGCTTTCAGCGTCAGAATTTTAGATGTCTTTTGGTTCTCTTCAACGAACTGTTTCGATCGTTGCTGAAAACGCTGTGTTAAAATATTGGAGCTCAACAATCGCGTATCGCTTTTGGTCTCGATATTCACATCAAATAGTTTCTGATCTGGTTTAATCGTTGGTATAAAATTGAAGTTGTGATTTTTAGGCAAAGTTTCCCTCACATCATCAACAGTATTCTGATCATCTAAAAGTGAATGGATCGAGCTAAATTAAGAGAGCATAGAAAAAATCGAACATGTAAACATACCTGCTTCTGCTCGGTTCCTTTTACTCCCAAACATGTAGTTGCCTGAAGAGCTTTGTAAGTGAACAAAAAAATCTCAAGTCAGAAAATGAAAGGTTGCATTTCAATCCAAATTATGCAAGCTGGGGTTTTCCAACATTTGCCGTGACTCTGCAATTGTTATAGTAAAAAGTAGAGTAACTAACCTCGTAGATTTAATCAAAAGGTCATAGATGTTGACACAAGCTACATATACATGGAGGTCGATAGGTTTAGAGTCGTAGTAGGCTCAATATTCAGACTTCTTTTCAAGCAAATCACCATATTTGTTCGGCTTTAACCGGGAAAACAATTGAGCGAATTGATTGCTGAAGTCATACACGTTTTTTGCGCTCGAGAACAATTCAAACGTATGGCCACATAAGTATTATTAAATCATTCAACCTATTCCGATAAGTTCTCCAGCTATTGATTGTGGCTAATGTCATATAGGGTTTGAAACATCACTTATGTTTGTTTTGTGGCAGATATATGCATTAAATAGTTAATGTTCCAAAAGCTGATCGGAATGAGACTTTTATTGGCTACATACTGCCTGCTTTCATAAATATTGAAATGTGCGAAATTATTGGATAGAAATGTAGAACCCACAGACCATCTTACTCAAGTACAAAACTTTCGAAGCAATTATACTCAAGTAGTTGGATTTTCTTATGGTCTATTCCCAGGAAAAAAGAGTGTTCAGAATTTTAACCGCATGACCTTTGCCTAAAAATGAATTTTGCGGCACAAACTTTAGCAAGATGGGAATCATAGCAAAATGGGATATTGTAGGAAATAGGAATCTGGAATTGCAAGTACAAAGGATCTACACAATAAAGTCAGCAAATGAGTGGAAGCATTGTTTTTCCGCCTTCCCGAGCATCAAGACAACTTCTTTGAATAAAAAGAGTTGGGGTCTAACAACGTCTAATCTTCTCATCTCTTTTTCTCCTGTAACTTGCACTCGGTAGTACTTTTCAACAGCACACTTTATATTTAAAGGTTTTCGAGAATAATGGGTTTGATTGATAGGATCAAGAACAGTTACGATTATCACAAAGTTGACAAATATACCAAAAGACGGGTATCCCAATCACAGTTTGGAAGCTATGACCGTCGTTACTATGAGCAAGTTTACAGAAATGGGGATTATCTGCGTCCCGAGGAGATACATTCTACAAATTCGTCATCTCGATCGAGCTCTTCCAACCATTTGTCCTATAAACAATCTCGATGGTCCATTCCAGACTTCTTGAAGAAATCGCACAGAAAGTCACTTACTGTCGCTGCTGCTCAATTGAAAACCTCTGAAACTTATACCTTAGATCGTGTTTAAGTGTGTTTTTTTTTTCTTTTTTGATCGTATTTTTCGTTTCATGTATATAGATTTCATTTTTTTTCTTTCTGTACAGTTAAACTTGTCATATCTCTCGTTCATTTCATTCACAATATAATTTTTTTATAAGTGTAGCTCTAGCTTATCCCGTTTAAGCGATTACTTTATTTTGAAAATAAAATGGCAAATGCTATTTTAATTCTCTGTTTACATGGAGGTTGAAGCTACGGCTGAGCCACCCGCTCAATAGACTGTTGCCACTGTATTTCGCATTTTACGGAGCCTTTCTCTCATTTCTTCTGAACCAAAATTTTCAACCTAAATTTCTTGTTTAACAATTGCACAATTTATGCAAAACTCCCTATTACCTAATAATGAAGTACTTACTCGACGTAGAATAGCAGGATAAAGGTCCCAGGAGAACTGTTCCTGATTTGATCGTCTCTTAACAGAAGATTCATCACTTAGAGACTCTGGTAAATAAAAGCTGTGCTGCTTCTTTTTGCTGCGTGCCAGGGCAATGCATGGAGGTTCTCGTTCGAAGCCGTTAATTAACTGTCGGGCTACAGCTGGATATAAATCGCAATGAGGTGGAAGGGCTGCATACTCGGTGTAGTATGCCACGGGAGTAGCTTCAGATGTCCCAAGTTGAATTGTTTGATGTACAGTCATTCTGGGTGTTGAACCAAGAATTTGATTAAGTGTCTAAAGCTTTGTTCAGTATCAACATAGAAAGAGAGCAAGAAAATATCTACTTTCTGTATTTATATAAGAGCTAAAGGGCAATGTGATCAGAAAAAAAGGCCTTAACTTTAAAGTCCTATTTTGACATTACTCGGCTTTTAAGTCTGACTAACAGGACAGGTGATATCATTCAAAAGTAGCAAAATGCTGATGCACACAGATCTTGATAATAGCACTTTCGGCTTCGTCGTCCAACATAAGATTACTACTATCAACTACGCGAGTTTGATCCAATGGCACTTTTCAGTGTTCCTTCCCAATAAGCCCGATCCCACTCTAATCAGAAATACTCATCAACGAAGGGGTAGACCCTTATCTTTATAGTATTTGATTGTCATTCTATTGCTTGAACCATAAAATTGCAGAATTGTGAATCTTATCATGAGATTTCATCATGTGGATCTCTCACTTTTTCACGTCTAAGCTACAAAAATCCAGCTATCTCAGAATACAACGCGAGCGAAAAAGCAACTGATACCCATGATCTGATAAGCAAACAACACGACTGCATTTACGGCCATTGACGCCCTGCTGAAAAAATTGGGTCTAGCCAAAATAGACAAAAAGATAAACTCAAATAAGGAAGACGAAGTTTGATAGGTTTTTTGACTCCTCCAACCTTCTTCAACTTCGTCATTTGCACGGGATTAGACTGTGAGCATGGTAGATAGATTTGAAATAAAGCCATGCCTATTGCAGCAACAGTAACAAACGAACAGTGCTTTAACCGAATGAACGGATGTAGAAAAGTACACATCATCAGTTTATTTTATGATAAAAGGTGTAATACGATAAGTATAAAATTGTTGAACTAAGTGATAAATGGGTCCTCACTAATCGGAATCCTCGTCACTATCACCATTTTCTCTCAACCAAGTAGCGAAAGGCTCTAATTGTTTCAAGAATACAGATTTGCCTTGGGGCAAGTGAGCCTTATCATTCCAATAAAGAATGGCATTGTCGGACAAGACATCATTCTTGTAAAGTTCTTGAACAATGCGGCGGAAAGATTTGGTAAGCTTGACTTCTTCATAGCAAGTCGTTTGGACTTTTTGAAGCAAAAGAATTTCGGTCTTGGGTGATTTACAGAAATCTGCCAAAATCTGTGTCCATTGATTGACTGCGCGCAAAGCTTGTCCCTCAATTTGATCTGCACGGTTCATAGTATCGATGGTGTTGGCGAGTGATTGCCAAATGATAGGGATGACATCAGCTTCGGTAAGAGCAGCCTCTTTCATATTTGCTCTGATAAACTGAATCACTTCTTTGTCCGAGGATTCTTCACCTTGTACGAGCTCGGACAACTCATTCAAAAGGGTGGTTTTAACGGAATTCTTCTTGGATTTGCGATAATAATCCACTAAACTCTTCATATTTTCAGCTTCAAAATGACGGATAAGGCTATCTTCATCACGCTTGTTGGGAGGGAAAAAATCAACAATGCGCGCATTCAAACCTTCGCTGGTTAGCATACGGCCTAACTGGTCAACATTTTGCTCGGTTATGACAGTTCTGAAAACGCTGGTAACAAAGTTCAACGCCAAAGCTTCTTTGATCAGATAGTCTTGGAAAAGTACCTTTAAGACAGAGATGGGGACGATTTGTTGGCAAACGAAAAAACCGGTTGCTTTAGCCAACTTTGAGTTTTCCTCGGAAGACCATTTGTTACTGAATTGCAGAATGTTCTGAAGAGTCTCTCCAAAAATTCTTTGCAAATATTTATAACGACGGATAAGCTTATTGAACGTATCAACGTACTTTTTAATCACGGAGGCATCATCTTGTGCTGCAAAAATGCAGAAAGGGCTTTGCTCAACATCATTTTTAATGATTCCTCCAGGTTCTTTGAAGTCGATAGAAAAATTTTGTTAGTTTCTTATTACTCTCGAAGCTTGCCATCTCTCTTTTCCTTCATTGGCTACTCTTGTTACCTAAGATGCCACCAGTTATAAGAATTTCGAATAGAGAATCTCCGTATTTGCGATAATCAAGAGTGTTACCGAGATTGTCAAGTTTAGCAGAAACAGCTTCAAAATCACTTTCTTTGATGGGTTTAAGATGGTTGAGAATTTGATCTCTGAAAACTAAAAATTAAAGAATCCGACTTAATGTCAGCCTTCTGAGGAATTCAATAATTTAATCGACACCGCTCATGTTACTTACCTTCTGGTTCGTGTTTAGCGTTTGCTTTTTGGACACCCTGAAAAGCGCAGCAAAAAAAAAATAAAAAATATTAAATTACTGTCTTTTTTTTTTTCAAGGTCTTACTGCGGAATATTGTACTTACTTTTCTTTGTTTAATTTTTACACCATGCAAGACAGGTTTAGGATTATTAGTTGCCTGGGGTTGGGTTGTATTCATGTAAAAGCGTAAGAATGCGATCTTTTTCTATTCTTCTGATTGCCTGGGAGACTTGTAGAGATTTGTACGGTGAACCCTAAAGAATAATGAGCGAGGAAAAGAAGAAAGGAAAATAAGAAAAAAAATCATCTCAAAACTTTTATTTCACGAAATGGGTCAACTGACGGTATGTGATGCTTTTAACTGGTTTAGAAGGATTTTGTCGTTTTTTCTCTAGTCACTTTTTTTGGACTCCACATGGCGGGTATCTGAATGCCAAAAATAAGGGGGGGGGGCAATTAAGAGATCCGCAGGTTCTATTGAATCGCGTTTTTGTACGCGCATTCGGATTTTTATGAACTATGGATATAGACCTCCTCAAGCTTAGCAAGCAAACTAATAAAGAAGCACTCACTGTTTATTTGAATGAACAAACTTTTGATGATGTAACTTTAATAACTCGGGCTTCATAGCTTCTATTAATTGAGAGACGAGTTATAAACTCATTGTATATAATCAACCAGATCCAGGATTTGGTTAGATCTAAACTGAATAATTACCATTCTTCTGATGAAGTCGGCCCCATTTTACTCTTACGTGCAATTATACAAGGTAGAGAACTTTTGTGTCTTAGACATTTTAACAAATTCAATCTAAATGTTTGCTGTCATAATCGTCAAAAAGGTTCACCTGTCGAAGGTGGTGGGAACGGTCAGTGTCTGCATAGACGATTTTTAATATTACAAAATGTCATTGAATGGTAATAATCTCGGCTCTCAAGAAGTTAAACGACATACGTGTGTTCTGAGATTTCTCTTCAACTTCGTAGGCTAGGCAATGAAGAGAACGACACTTCACAAAAAACAAAGCAAGCATCTTCTATTGTCAATCTTCTCTTACCAGAAGTAAAACGACTGTTTTTGCAATTCATCATTTTGTCTTACTTTTTATTCAAAAGCGTTACCTTTTTTTAGATAGAGTTGCTTTCGCCAAGCTACCTAGGAAAAGCTGCTAACATGATCGTCGACATCGTTAAAGCAAACAGACCTATTCAATTGAGGCTGTTGGATATATTTACAAAGATCTGGAATGTACTCTCTACTATCGATGAAGTTAGCACTTTAAATAATATATTCGACGATCTTCTAGAAGCTAAATGGTATCGGCAGTTAGCCGTAGGAATGGCGTCGGCACTAAACGATATGGAGCTCTCCGATAACCAGTTACAATTAGTTGTAAAATATATGATAAGGTATATTATTGGCACTTGTTCTGTTTCAACTGTGGGTTATATCCCTACAATTTGTCCTTCTAATATCCTCGGTTCAGAAAATTGTCAGAGGTGGATTTGGAAGAAGTTCCTCCGTTTATATGGCAGCTGCTGCTTATATCCCGAAAGGGCTATAAATCGTTAGTCTTGAATGGCATTTTAGACTTTTTTAATGTAGTTACGAAAGATAAAGATACAAGGTATGTCTCATAAACAAACCGGATTTTTTCATACACAATACTGATCTTTCTTTCAATTCAAAAAGCCGTGTTGAGGGCACAGTGATGTTGCATATCTCCTTTGCCCTGAAGCAGGATCAGGAACTTGGAAACGAACTTATTAAACTAATGAAAAATGATAAATCTAAACAGCTACAAGTCTTTAATGTTGCTTGTTTGTTGACAGCCGCTAGAATACACCGTCTGCAAGATGCCGTTTTTGACCTCCTCAAATCGTCTATTATTTCAGCATACAAAGATAATGACAAGCTTCACAAGAACCACTGGATCGCAAAATACACCAAAATGGAAGAAGACGCTTTTTGCAAAGTGTTATTAGACGTAACTGATAAATCAGCATCGGCTGGTTGGGATCAAATCATACAGAGCTTGACACAGCTGGCCATCCTACTAATAGATACAGCAACTAGTTTTGGTAGTTTCCTTGCTAGTAAAAATAGTAATGTATCATCTTCAAAAACTATACATAAATATGTTTCAAAGATTACTTATACGCCACTGTTCTTCTTTCTTTAAAATACAGCCGTCATAAAATCAAGAAGCAGCCACACGAAAGAAGATGGCCCCATGGAAAGACTCTCCAAATTTGGTGTCGAGGTTCTTCTACGACTTTTCAAATACCATGATATTGTCAGGGGCGAAATATTTGAGCAAATTACTTCACGGATAATGTCCAAATCGAGCAGTACAATGGAGTTCTTATCTTTGTTAGGGACCATAATGAGAGAATATCCTGACACAGTTGAGAGTCATCTCAATAACGTAGGCTTCCGATCACCTTTATTAATCAAGAGTATAAGTTCTTTGTTCTTTCTCACCATCTTTTACCCTTTTTTCAGATTAAGGATATTCTGGATGTTCTGTCATTTTTGCCACTAAATATAGCAGATAAGTTGCTGCAGGTCGTTCAACCTCTTTCTAAAACGAGTGATCAATTCAGGAATAGCTTGATTCTAGTATTACGAAAAAGTTTGTTCTCAAAGTAAGTGTTCTGTTAAACGACCAGTATTGATTTAAAAGGGCTACGCTTACTAAATACCTTTGGTTTAAATCTTGTAGAGATCTGGATGGACGGTTATTGGCTGTTCGAGGTTTTCTCAGTATATTGGACGAACAAATGTTGGAGGCATCCCAAAACACAGAATCTGATCGAAATTCCAGTTCTCAAGCAGTTGTTTTGGAAATCCTAGGTAATACATTCAGCGTTTTATACATCAATTGTGTCTAATTTGCCTCAATTCAAAGGTCTGCTAAGGCGTTGTTTAAGTCAACAAGCTGAAGTAAGATCGACTGTCTATAGCAGTCTCGGATCCCTGAGTCAAGAATATCCCATTTTTGCTGGTGACATATTTGAATTATTGTATGCTCAGGTACAGTATCTATTCGATAAGTGATAGACCTATTGATATACGCTAACTATTTTGAACGTATCATTGTCTTTGTAGTTCGCAAAAGTACTGGAGAAGGATATGAATATACCCAACGTTATCAAGATCGACGCTTGCATTGAGAATGCAAGTAATGGTGCTTACCCAAGAAAAGTTGAAGATGTCCCCAATTTGATTATCAATCTTGTAAAATCATTAAGGTCAACTTCAGTCCAAGACACAATACCTGCGGTAACAGCAGAAACAATAACTCGATACAAAAGTGATCTCAACACTTTTATTGAAAAGTTAACAAAGGCTGAACTGGAGGATTTTGAACTGGACAAAACATGCAATCTTGATATGGCAACACATCTCGGTTTACGAAATAATATACTGGCGACGTTGTTGATTGATATCTACGAGGTACTATTTGTAAAAGTAAAATCCCTCCTATTGACACCAACTAAATGCTTAATGTCTTATTATTAGGTCTCATTGGAATGTGTATTTCTGACGCACGGTATTACTGTGCAGTCTAGTGAAACGCTATTAACTCTTTTCAAAAAAAGAAGTTCATTGATTACTCGCTTGAAGGATTCTGCTACGAATGAAAAGGGCAAAAAGATTACCAACGTTGCCGAACAAACACATGTCAGCCTAGAATTTACGTCAAATATAATCCAATCCATGTTCATTCCTAGCCAGATAAAAGCGGAATATACCCATTGTATCCGTGATCTCAAAGCAAATATCGATTTTACTCACTTTCTAATTACCAGTACTTCTAATAGCTTAAGAGCTGTAATGATCGCCCTCTATAGAGTATGACTGATTTCGTGAACTAACTTCTGTCTTTTAAAACACTAGGCGATCAATGACCTTTATTGTCAAAGAGATGAACAGCATTTTGAGTATTGTATTATCATTTGCAAAATATATCTGAAGATCCTAACCAATGAAGATTCAGACAGTACCTACGCTAATCAGCTGTCCACGAAAAAGGCTCCGTCTGTTTTGGGTTCCATTGCCAGCTCTCTCTTAACTATTATTGAAATAGTAAGACATGTGTGGCCTGAACAACTGGCTATGCTCCTTAAATCGATCGTGGAGCTTAATGATGATGAAGACGCGCAACAAAATGAGTTAGAAAATTTGTCCGATAATGCCAGTAGTCGCCCTGCCACATATGTGTACAGAACGAAAAATCGTGTCATTATTGACTTTATCATGAATATCAAGGAGATTATTTTCAAATATCTCTCTGGTCGCACACCTATCTACAAGGAAGCCTCTCAAGTTATGCAGCTTGCTTCATTTTTATGTGACAACTTGGAAAAAAAGGATCCCGACTACGTCATTCGATCACGCCATGTCGTCTCATGGCTAGATAACTTGGCCAAGGAACGTCCATTGGAAGAAGTGAGTTTGGCCAGAGACATCATTACTTTACTGATCCAATTGTGCGCCAACATTGGAGAATTTGATGTGATACAAAGTCTTTGTGAAGATATTCATATTTATATGGGTGATATCGAGGTAGTTACAGAAGACACTGATGATATGCAGCAGACAACTAAATATGCGATCATCAATCCAAAAACCTTGCCTGTCATCCTTATGAAAATATTCGAGTTCTTGGACCATTCATTGGACGATCTAACGTGGTGTATAGGCAAACTCAGGCTTTGTGGTGAGATTGCTTTACTCTTTTTATTTGATACAAGGCTTAATGTTCTTATTCATTTTTCCTGCACTTGCAAAAATTAGCCTCAGAATTAAATAATGAAGACACTACCAGATTGTTTGAGAAGGAGCTATGCAAAAGGCTTGTAGCCCTCATAATGATTCTGAGCCAACTGGTGAAGTCTGTCTTAACAGATGTACATGCTGAGAGTTTATTCAAGACGTTAGCAAAAGCTTACAAAACATTCCATACACTTGTAAAATACGTAAGTAGCTTCTATTCTCAGATTGATTGATCGGATTGTTGCCCTTATATTTACGCCTTATATCTTACAGAAATTGGGCAATGTACAAGAAATTTCTCAAGATTTTATCAGCGTTATTAGCAAATCAGGTTCTGAAATAACGACAAGAATGTATAAATTTTTAACAGTTTACGGGCAAACACAAAGCTTTGATCCATCCTTTGTTGATGCTGGCGGTTATAAGAAGAAAGGCAAAGGTAAAAGTAAAGAGGTGAATCTTAAGCGTAGGGCCAAGATCCAGCGGGAGTCAAAAATGATACCCAATTTGATTTTTGCTGTGGAACAGTTTGAACGCCATTTGATTCAATTGAGCAGGAAATCGAAGATCGATTTCATGCAATATATGAAGCGTAGCACTTCCCGTGATTTCAAGATTCAAATAGACTTGGTTATGCAGCAAAACGGCGAATCTAGTGCTGAAGAAGATCAGCTTGACAAGGATGAGAATAATGAAGAAGACGATCCTATTAGTCTTTTTAAAAAGAAAAGGGTCAATAACGAAGAAGAAGAGGATAGTGGTAACGATTATGGAACCGAGGGATCTGCATCGAACAAAAGAGCCAGGATATCATAGTTACCCACCATTACATGCTTGACGAATATTGATCCTAATAAACAGTATAAAAGAATTCGTATTTCCACAGATAGATCTGATTACTTCTGATTTGCTATTTTTTTAGTCATTTTGTAATAATCTTAAACCATATACTTAATATCTGTTGAAGAACCTCTTGACGATTTTAGAAAACTAATACACATTTTCCTGTATCAACAGAGCAATGCGCGTTTTGACGGAGAGCAACGTTAAACCTCACCGGGGACGATATAATAACGTTTTAGAATCTGTTTATGTCAACGATCTATGGTCAAACAACGTCCTTCTATTTTCATTACTACAAAATTACGAAGATTGATCCGACCATCAACTACATAATATGCTACAAACAGTTTATGAGATGATTGGGAATCAAATCAATAGTAGAGGAGGTATATTAGCCAGAGCTCACGAATTGGCATTACTAGGTATTTTTATTTACTATCAACTGTGAAATAACCATCTTATTTTATCTTATTCTTGCTTATACCTTCCTTGACCGCTCTGTCAACTCTTAGAGATTTCTAAAAGCCACCAGTGAATTGATTAATGCTATTTCTTCTAGCCGTTCCCATCACTTCAACTTTACATGGTAAATGTGTCCGAAAGCGTCATGGATCAGCCTATTGTTTAAAGTCAGAGAGCCGTGACAAACAGCGATTAAGGTACGAATTTTAAGCCACTTGAAATTTGTCTTTATTTTGTGATTCAACTGCCAAAAAGAAGCTCTTCTTTTTTCTGTCTTCAGTAACTATACATCTTTTTTATTCCTACATTTACTCTTTTTATATATAGAAACGGAATTAGTTTTTCATTCCGTTCATTCATCGCACGTTTGTAATCATTCCTCAGCTATTCTCAAGAAAAGTGACAACCATAAAGTGACATTGTAATGACGAGGTTGCGTGATACTATCGACCGTACACCAGAATATGTCAACTTTATGAGCGAGTTAAAACAATTCCATGCTGAAAAAGGGTATGTTCATGCATACTATAAGCGATATAAAAATACATATTAGCTATACTCAACTTCACTTTGTATACAGTACAACCCTTCAAGCAGAACCTGTATTAGGAGGAAAGAGATTAGATTTGTACAAGATATACCAGTCTGTAGTTAATGCTGGGGGCTTCGAAGAAGTGACGAAAAATAGAGGTTGGAAGCAGATTGGTGATATATTCAAATTTCCGTCCACTTGTACAAACAGCGCCTATATATTGAAAGGCGTCTACATTCGTAATTTAGTACGTTGGGAATTTCGATCCATAGTCTTTCTAATCTATGATATCAATACTAAATGCATATTGCCCTTTTATTTTATTCTAATATAGCTGGGTTGGGAAGAAGAAAAGCTATGGAAAAGAAAATGGGAACCTCCAAAGGAGTTGCTAGGTCCTAACGCTCACAAACCTTCTAATCTAGCCGGAAAAGCATTCAGATCGGCCATAAAAAAAACAACACCGGCCATAACGAATAATAAACCGACTGCATCAAAATCGAAAACCAAAGCGCAAAAGTCTCTAACTAACGTTAGTGTGGCAGCAGCAGCAGCAACAGCAGCTTTACTTAATCCTCTCAAATCTCTTCAACAAACACTCGACAATCCATTATTATGGAATTTGACAATAAATGATACGATCACTACAGACATTACGTCCGATACTACGACTACATTATTACCACAACAGCAACAGCAGCCAGCACAACTGACACCACTACAGATTGTAGAACAACAGTTGAACAATTTGGTCCCAGACAAGGACCGCATCGTGTTCACCTTGCAATTTGGTCAAAAAAGTGATATTGATGCTGCTTTGAATCAATTAGTAGCAATGTCATTCGATAGTCCAGAGAAACTTGATCTCAACGTCTCGCCACTTCTTTTACAGTCATTAGTATCACTCGCTCAGCCTTGTCTGCTAAACATTGCTGTTACAAATGCTTTACCTACTACTGCACGAGATACTTTGAATAATATGCTGCTAAGTGACAATATGGATGTACATTTAAATAGTCCTGTAACTGCACCCAGTACGGACAATAACGATATATTGTCGTCATCAGCTACCGTCCCAGGCATATTACAATCCGAAAATCTGGGTTCTATCAACATGGCTATTCGTATACTCCATATTTTACGCAATTTCTCTCTTGTTTCCTCTTATGCATTAACACTCGCACAATTCAAACCTGCTGTTGAACTTCTTGTACAAGCTCTTCAAACGGCTATGAGCACGGGCCAAGTAGAATTAGGTAGACATTCGATTGATGCATTAGAAAACATGGCAGCTTATATTGAATTCAGTTCTCCAACTGACCCATGCTTGCAGTGTGTCTATACACTCATTGCCGCTCATGATCGCTATTTGGTAATCGGTGCCATTCGTACTTTAACTTGGTTTACTATGAATAAGAAAAATGCAGCTTTCTTAGCATCAAATTTTAGTCCCGTGATAGCGCGGATTGAACAAATGTTGTTATCAAATGATGAGGAACTTGTAGGCACTTCGTTAGAATATATTTATCAGTATACCAAACTCTCAACGCATTGTCGACTTCAATTCCTCAGCACACCTTATGCAGCTGCCTATATTGGCTTATTTGTGTCTTTATTACTGACGAAGTCAAAATATTTCAACACTCGGTTTATTGAAGAGAATCATCCATCTTCTACAACTACCATCGATACATGTGTATCAGTAACGCATACGGCGCAACAGCAGCAGCAGCAACATAAACAAACTCAACAGGTTGCTGCTTTCCAGATACCTGATCTAACTGTGTACCACAATTTAGACGAACCTTACCGTTGCTTGGGATGGTAACTTATCTATGTAATTGTATATTTGTCAAGAGGCATTTGCTTAACATTTTTATGTTCAATAGGTTGAAGGACAAGTTTGAGTTTGGGGATAAACATAGCGTACTGTCCCTGGATGACATGTATCTACTATACGAAGCTCGATTTGGACTGGAAAAAGCTTTAAAAATGAGAGATTTTTATACAGTAATGAAGATTGCGTTTCCAAAATCATCGTCTGCTGCTGCTGCAGTTAGTCCTTTATTAGGCCCCTCTCGTAGTTCTGTACCGGTGGTAGAAGGATTGAATATCTATGGCCTTCAAATTAAGACGAATATCCTTCAAGATCGTAAGACATTAATATAGCTTAAAAATGTTAAGTAAACAGACACTAATAGGTATTCGCTTCGCTCTTACAGGGCCTCAAGTTGCTTGTAAATGGGCTCAATGCTCTCTACTATTTGACGATACATTCACTCTACAACGACATGTATTACATGATCATATGGTACCCATCGAAATCGATATTATCACCAATAATAATGACAATAAAGATGAGAACAACAAATCAGCAAGCACCACGAAGAAAAACTGCTATGTTTGTAGTTGGTCACATTGTCATTTAACAGAACAACATATTTATTACGAAAGCAAAAACGACTTTATCTCGCATCTGCGTACTCATTTTTACAATCAAGTGGGAGAGAGTTGTTGTAACAGTCCCATACAGAGTCCTGTGCCATCACTCGCTTCATCACCTTCGTCACCCACATCCAATGTATCCTCATCCTCAAGTAATACTACACCAAATGTGTCAGAAAGTAATAGCAGTATTAAGTCCAACAGTATAGAGGCTGATTACTCTGAAATTCAAGGCATTGCACTCGCTGCGGCTCATTTATTGCAATGGCTTTCTGAAGAAACACAAAAGTCGCATTATTTTATTCCCTTTGAAAAGACCTTAAAAGATATTGCTGAGCAAAGGCCCAAGCTGGCTTCTCGTATTCAGGTGATTTGCTCAAATTACAAAAGTACTTCTTCGAAACCTGCAGCAACATCAACAACATCAACTATCGTAGATTGTAACACTAGTAATTTTATCACAGAAGCACCCATACATCATATAAATACTCCCTGTAATAACAATATAAACTCCTCATAACCCGAGACAAAGTCTCTACTTTGCAAATTGTAGATAGTATAGCACAACATCACACTAAATACTTCATTAGTTCATCGTTAATAAATGAAACAGAATCATGTACTTCCTGTTCTTCGAATTGAACCCTTGGGCTGCTACTGTTATTATTCTTATTCAGTCAACTGTACTGTATTTTCTGTCAGTCTTGGCAGGTGTTTCTTTTTTTAAAAGAAAAAATTAACGAAGACCCTACAATTGTATCAATAGACATAATATTATACGACAGAGTTTAAACAGGTAAATGGAGGGTTCCACATTCTTCTTTTAAAAGTCTTCTATTGGTAATCTATCTGACCTGCCTTCGTATACTCATTTTCATTTTATAACAAGATGTAAACTGGACGAATACTATCTTTCAGCTTTTTTCCTCGATGAATTTAGGTTTTGAAAAATCATTAAGAAGGATATAATGAAACTTCTGTATAAGATTTTGGTTGAATTGTAGCACATCGATAACATTTTCATGAAATAAAACTTCCAATTATCTGGCTCTTTAAGTATTCTCTGGCTTAATACACATGATGATACCAATAAACTACAATTATTTCTCTCATCCTGTACGACATTATGTAATTTACTCACTTTTCAAAGTGCTATCTGGAATAATGAATTGATGAAATTATTGCTACAATCTTCAGAACAAGACCGTCGCCGAAAGAGGCATTGTGTTAAAGTACAACGCCCTTACTACAGTACAACCTTATCGCTCTGTTGAGATTATATTCGTTATTGTACAGAAGGCTACACTTGAACAGTAACTATAAATTATTGAAAAGATAGGTGGCTTGCTCTGAAGTACATTGTCAAGCAACTATGTGTTTTCTCATCTGTTCTAGAGGTTGCAGAACCATTCAAGAAAAATCACAATTAAAAATAGGTTGTGTTCAACTTACAAGACTCTACTAACAATAGTTAAACTCTTTGCATTTTTCTTTGATGAAAAATGAATTAGCGATTTTAAGAGATGATTTGACAAAGGACTTGGAGAAGGAATCGTCAATGAGTTCTATCCTTACTTGACACTAAGCCCTACACAAAAGGCTATTTATAACTGAATAGCAAGCGTATATTTGAATTCTCAGTGTCCAGCAAGAATTATCACAAAATTATTTTATTATAACGTGTGTCGATCCAAAGATATACAGAGTGCAAAACTACTTTAAAAAGAGAATTTTATTCTTTTTAAACAATGGAACACGAATGAACTTAAAGGAATAGAGATATAAAGACAGTACGAAAAAGTGGATATGTTAAGTTAAATTTCTACAAGAATGATTGTGCAATCATCATAATCTTGTAGAGTTGAAGCAAAGAATCCATGTGCGCCTTCTCTGTTTGCAAAATATCTTGCAGAATAGACAAGCGTACGCTCCTTTACTTTACGTACTTTAGCCTCTTCTTCTGTAAGAGCACGGTGTAATAATGGTATCCGAGGTAATTCCTCTTCGCTCCTCTCATCTTCAACTTCTTTCTGCTTATCTTCCTCAGTTTTGTTTTTTAACGATGCATCTTCCATATTTGCATCATTGTCCTTCGTATTTGGAGTCTGCTCATTTTGTTCGGGTGTCGACTCGTGGTTATTTTTATGTTCGGTCTCATCTTTCTTTTGATCAGCTTGTTCGTTTTCATTTTCTGCCCTAATCTCTGGTTTCGTAACCTCATTTTTGTTCAATTGTGACTCAACCTTTTTATCCGGCTGTTTTGACGTATTTGAGTTGGTAGGCTCATCAACATCCATGGGGGATTCATTGGTCTCTTTTTCTTCCGTTTTAATGTCATGTTGTGTACCTTGATTCTCAGATTTTGTTTCTTCCTTTGCATTTTGATCATCTCCAGTTTTGAGTTCTGTAGTACCGTCAACGTCCATCGCGTCCTCCTTCCCTTCGTCTTTTCCATGCTCAATTGTTTGACCTTGAATACGCTCTTCTTCTTCCAATAAGTATTGTCCAATTTTTTCACCATCTTCAATCATCGGGCCAATCACCTTAGCAATAGCTCTATTCTGTCTTTCTGCTGTCTCCTCGTACATATAATCAAATGTCCCATCGGTACTCATAAATAAGAAATGGCGACGCTTCTCTCTGTGAGGGCCGTTCAATAATACAGTATGGTCGACATAGGGTTGATCAGAAATTCGTATAAAAGTAATATCAGGTTCGCATGAAATAATTTTACGTTCGGGATCCATTTTGAAATCGAGATCACCACAGGAGCGCGCCACGTTCAGGGACGGGATACGGTCTTCTTTTATACGATGTTTCATTAGAGGCGGCGCTGCTGTTGACTGAGAAGGCGCTAGAGATGATTGCGGCGTATCACTCATATCTTCATCCTTATCTATAACTGTTGTACGAACTGCACTTTGAGCAGCCCAGTTGACAGCAGGTGTAGGTGTATTTGTAGTGGTAGTTGTAGTATTAGCGTTGGTATTAGAGGCGGAATGCATTGCTGATGATGATGACCTATCAAGTCCAGCCTGATAATCCTTAGGTCTGATTCTTGCATTTTTTAAGGCAACACGTTTTGTCTGTCGGTTACCATCTTCTTTCAGTTTATCGAGTTCTACTTTGATGACACGGTTTTGAACAGAGTCTACGAATTCACCTCCATTTTCTAGAATGTGTCGCGCTAAATGCTCCAGGTAGGGTTTATGATCTTGTGAAGCAAATACGACATCCATTTTATAATCGTTGTCCACACTATATGTATTAGCATTTTCAATAGAGGTTGGCGGCGCAGAGGTAGGTTCAGGTGCAGATATCAATACACTTCGTGAATCGCCCACATTGACATTAATTAGCCATTCTCCCAAAAAGATGTTGAGGATAAGTGTACAACCGTCATTGTCTACCTGATCTTCTTCCGATTTCTTCTCGGCAATTTGTTGACGTTTTATGCTCAAATAGTCATCATCCAGCTGCTGTATAACCAATTTAATGTCGCTTTCAAGTTTCTTTTGTATAGTGACATCATTCAATTCTGTTACGACGTATTTTTCACATATTTTTTGAATAGCTAAAGGCGTATTCCTCACAAAGTATTCTGAACAGCCGGGACCACCATGTCCGTCGGCTAAGATAAATAAACGGCCTACTACCTGGTTATCTTTGGATATGTCAGTAACTCTAAATTTGTCCTCGCAGTGGACTTTAGGTATTTTGATCTTTTCGTGAGATCTGAAACGTGGATAAGAATATCCTTTTTGTTGAACAATGGCAAAGTAACTGGCTATAGGGTACTCTGTGAAATTTATAGGATCAATATAGTCGATATCAGTGGTTGGTGGAGTATACAATAGCGAATAGTTTGCAATTGTATCTTCTTCAACGACTTCAGGTTGTGGGGTTTCTTCCTCATTACTTGCTGTATGGAAACTGTTCAAGAAATGGGGAAAATAAGGTGAATTACTGTACGAGCTTTTCAATTTAAGCTTTTTAACATTTACTCAAAATCTTCTTCTGAATCGATCTCAACGTCTGAATTGGAGCCTTCAATCGCATTTTCCTTCTTTTTCGATTTTTGCACTTTTGATCTCTTTCTTTGTTTGGACTTTGCGGTGGCAGGTGTGTACAAAGACGGCGGTCGACGTTGACGTTTACCGTAAACCGAACTATAACTGCTTCCTCCTCCGCTACCGTGATGGACAGGCCGTAATATTATAGGCTCATCAGGGATCTCTTTAATTTCAGGGACTTGAACACCGTTGATGACCTCATCAGCTATGGCATACTTTGCTTGTCGTCCTGTGCCATCCTTATCAATACGAAAGGGGTCAGGCAGCTTCATGTCTCTAGCAATTTTTCTCGATGTCGAAATGATGCCTTGAATGGTACTTTTAGGAGTTTCACCTCTGTGATTGAAAGAAAAAAAGTTGCAAAATGTGTTATGATCAGCTTGTAATTACCAATCTGTGTACTTCTTCCACGAAATAAGGGAATTTAAGTAGTAGCAAAAGATACCTTAGAGGCAACAGTTCTAATGTTCTAACTGCAATTACAAGTTGTGCTGCGTTCATGGCTTGATTACCGTAATGGAATAGCGTTGCCATGACTTTCATAAAAGAAGAATTGGCCCTGAGAGGTCCAGCAATGTTTAAATGAGCCAGTTCAGTATCAACCACAGGCTGTTCAACATCACTTTTGGTATTATTCTCTGCCGCTGGTGAGGGTGGTGATTCCATAATGTATAAGTTGATGGTTATTCCAGAATTGAAATCTCGGCTTTTTTTTAACAGTTTGCCTTCAAACCACTCCTCATGAAAAGACCCAAAGGTTTTTTTTGTCGGAGTCTGTGCTTGCTTACAGTAACCTCAAAGCAGGAGGAGAAGAAGCGGCAGCAACGGCGACAGCGGCGCATTTTGTCTGCGCTATACCACTGCTGTGTGCATAAAGCAACTCTTACTTACAATTGCTTAGCACGTTGATGTTTCGTGTACAATCTATATTTTTGTTTTAATATGTGTAAAATAGAATAAGAAATAAATAATGCTTAAACCTATATTGCGGGTACGGCTTGAACTTTCATGCAGGGAAGTAAAATATGACTGAAGTTCCTTGACGAATTCTAGCGTACTCACCCGTAAGCCCATACTATGAATGGCTCAAGTTTCGTCATGGTTAGATTTTATATTCTTCTAGTGTATGAAATCAATAGAGCTCTGCAGAACAAAGCGCTTGTCTGAAGGATTTACCTTGAGCTTTTTTGCAGTGATGACAACAACTTCTAATTCAACATCCGCCAGCAAGCTCTGCTCTGCTGTTGTTGTACATATTCATTGAGCAGTGTCAATGCCTCCTTCTCGTTCTTCGCACACACAACCGTTGTATCTGTGAAAAGATGAATGACAGCATATCTATCTTGGTAGCAGTTTTTCTTATTCTGATAGTTCTTCGTTGGTTATTCGGTAGTTGTTGTTATTTTTCTTCATTATCATTACTTTTGTTACAGTAATTAACTAATCCTGACTTAGGTGGAAGCCAACGCAATCAGCCACAACAGCAGCAACAACCACAGAGACGTACAGTAGGAAGAAGAGTTCATCGAGTTACGCCTCAAATGGTAAAGAGTTGATATCTCTATTATTTCAATAGCCTGAGCGTTTAGAAGTGATTCTGATTGCTTTACCTACAGATTGAGACCGTGCGTGCCATGTTCCCTGACATATCTGTGGCCGCTATTCAAGCTGATTTACAAAGAACTGGTTCAGTTGAAACGACAGTAGATAATGCACTTCGAAATGGGACTCTTTCATTGGTAACGTGAAGTCCTTTAAGCACTACGTAGAATATACTCCCTCTGTAGATTGTTAATTGCTTACTTTAACAATAGCCACCTTCAGCTAGACCTTCTCCTTCTTTAAGTCGCAATAGCACACCTAATCTGAACGGCAGTCATGCAAGTGGAAGCAGTATCTCCACTGGTCGTAATTCACCTAATCATAGCAACTTGATACAACGATACAAGATCGATGTACAGAATCAAGATGATGCAGTTGAGCCACCAAAGGTGTGGGAAGCGAGTCCAGATAAAAGACAAGAGATATTAAAGAAACGTAAAGAATTTATGGTTCTTCAAGCCAGAAAGTAAGTGACAATCTACCTTGCAGCCAACTGATAATGTGTCTTTTCATTGACGTATCATGTATATCTCTCTCTCTCTTTTATTCATCATCCTCTTTAAAAGGAAATTGATGGAGCAACAGATGAAGAAAAAAGCAGACTTAGAAGAAGCAAGTGCGTCAACTTCCACTGCTACACCAGCTTCAAGTACGGAAACATCAAGCCAGAATGAAAACATGGCGCAGGAAGACTGCACAAACTTTGATAGCATGTCAGTGGAAGAGTTGAACTCACTCACACCGGAGCAAAGAAGGGATCAAATGTTACAAGCTTTACAAAAAAGAACAAATGCCACCGTTTGAAAGTTGTTTCTGAGTGGATTTGCCTTTGTTTAGTTTGTACAGATATACAATTTATTAGAGCGTCTTATAGATATGATAAAGATATTACCTTATTTGCATTGATTACGCTTTTACAGATGATTGAAAAGGATCTGATATTGGGTTGGCTGTAAATTTCAGGAAATGGAAGGTATTGTTGCGTTAGTTAGAAGTGGGTTTAGATTTTCCGTTTTTAAAGCTGAAAGAAATTCAATTTCTGAAAAAAAAAAGTATAATTTGTATAATACATATAAACATATACATGTATACATATTTATTTTCAAGAGAGCAAATAACTATAAAAATAGGAAAGAAAAGAAAAGAGAATACAATAAAGGTAGATTGTAAAAGAGAGGGATTAGATTGAACTTCTCCATGATAGGCGAAAAGAGATATATGCGGCTTTCTTTTTTTTTTTTTTTTTCTTTGCTTTCCTTTTTTTAAAGACTCTATACTATATTATGTAACTGAAGAAAAAAAGAAGACAGATAAGGAGAGGGAGAGGATAGAGAGAGACTAACTCTTGCGGGGATTGGAGAAGTTCGTATATTTAAAATAAAAAGAAACCACGATTGAAGGGCGTATATCAATTGGTACTGAAGGGGAATCTAGTTGTGAATGTAGAATTCATTGGGTTCACGACCACGGACACGAGGAGGTTGGGAGCCTTCAACATAGATATGAGTATAGAAGTTCTTAACATCGGGTTCAGAAGCAGCCTCAGCTCTCTTGGCGGCTTCTTCGACGCTCTTACGGACATCCTTGTCGATATTCTTGAGATCAGCTTCAGAAGCAACACCATTTTCAATCAAGATTTGCTTTAAGCCGGTGATAGGATCTGAAGTAGAACGCATGTGTTGAATTTCTTCACGAGTACGGTAAGTGGTACCGGGATCAGACATGGAGTGACCACCATAACGGTAAGTAGCCATTTCCATGACAAGAGGACCCTTTCCAGAAGTAGTCCATTCCTTAGCGAATTGACAAGCCTTGAAAACAGACAAGACATCCATACCATTGACCTTAAGACCAGGAATATAATCACCACGCTTGAAGTATTCAGTGTTGGCAGCAGCACGAGCAGCAGAGGTACCCATACCGTATTTGTTATTTTCACAGACAAAGACACAAGGAAGATCCCAAAGCTTAGCCATGTTGAAAGCTTCAAAGACTTGACCTTGGTTAGCAGCACCATCACCGTAGAGAGCAAAGGTGACGGAAGGGTTTTCGAGGTACTTTTGAGCAAAGGCGACACCAGCACCAAGAGGAACCTGTTTTGAACATGTACATAGATTGTTTCCATGAGTTCTATGGCTGACTCCTTATAACAGCAGCTTATCAATGATGAAAAATAAACATTGTACATCTACTTTACCTGAGCACCAACAATACCGTTACCACCGTAGAAGGATTCGGCATACATGTGCATGGAACCACCCTTACCCTTGGAGACACCAGTACTCTTACCCATCAATTCAGCCAAGATAGCTTCGACGGATTGACCACGAAGATAGGTGAAACCGTGACATCTGTAAGCAGTAATGATATGATCATTTTTGGTGATAGCAGCTTCCATACCAACCGAGACAGCTTCCTATAGGGTGTAGTCGTTTTGATTTTGATTTTGGATTTCATTAGTATTCATTGTTTGAAGTAAAATTAATTTTCATTCCCCTTCCGCGCCCATATTGAACCAGTGGAAATAAAAAAAATCTGTGACATCAAACGCGGGGTTTTTACCCAGCATCCCCCGCGTTTGCCCGTTGCAACCCATTAAAATTTTACTTATATCGGCTACCCCTCAAAAAAAAGAAAATACATGAAAATAAAAAATAAAAAAAAAACCCTCCCTGTATGCGTTGTATTGGCATAAGTACTTTACCTGGCCGTTACATAAATGACAAAAACCACGAATCTTTTTGGCCTTATAAAGACCATCAGCAGTCATTTCCATACGTCTCATGGTGGTCATCTTAGTGTACATATCCAATAATTCATCTTTGGAAATTTCTAATTCTAAACTGGGCTTTTCCAAGTTGTAAGTCTCGAAAGATGTATCAGGCAATGTGATTGATAATTTTTCTGAGAAGCGAGGTGCACTGGTGGATAAGGCACGCTAATGAGATAGTGGAGAGTTTATTATTCGAGTTAGCTGTCCATGCTTCTTATGATTGCTCTCCAGGATACCCCGCCTTTTTTTAAAAATATAATAACACTTTTTTATAGCCCTTCTTCTGTTCTTATGGTTGCTTTCTTCCTTTCTTTTTATCGATGACGTTACCATAGATGCGAATGCAGTAACATTCTTTGCGCTGAATAAACGAGTAGCAGCTGTTCTAAGCATATTGTTCAAAGAAAAATAAAGAGAAAAGAAAAGAAAGGAAATTGAAAGTAAAAAGGAAAAACAAATAAAAAATTGGAGGTATATTTCTTGCTTTAGCCAGCTTTTTTTTTTTTTTTTTTTTTTTTTTGCTTTTTCCTCAAGTCCCGGGGCGATTTTTTGGGGTATTGGAATTTTTATTGGGCAAAAAAATCAGTAAGGTATTTGATAGTCTAACAGCGAGCATGTCCTTCTTTTGTTTCTATATGTTAATACGCCAAAGGAGAGAGCACGTGAGCAAAATGCCTGCTGTTTCAAGTTGAGCGTTAAAAGGGTTATGCTAGTTTCATTAGTAGATCATCGTCTTCCTCTTCGTCCTCTTCAAAAATCGTTCTCTCATCTACCAAAAATTCAAGCTTTTCAGGATACAGCTTCAAATATAAGCGATGGAGCGTATCCAGATCATGCTCTAAGTCCAGTCGCTCATCATCTTTGTTTGAAACACGTTCGTCTACATTGGGTAGCTGAGCCACGTCGATGGGCTTTGGACCATATTCCAGCGATTCATCTTGGTCTTTTTCCTCTTCTTCTTCTGTATATTCAGTGATATAATTATATTGGATGGGTTGAACAGCCTCTTTCACGAGCACGGGTGGTTTAGGCTTCTTGGGAGAGGAAGGGAATTCTTGAGGTGGATCAGGAGGTCCGTCGACAACACAGAAGAATTCTCGAGGGTCAAAGGTACCAAAGGTTCTTTGACAGGTGGATATGTGTTGATGATACTGACTACCCACTTGTTCCAAGCTATCCATTGTTTGTAATTTGCCCCACAAATCAAGCACAGGCAACTCATCAAAAGAAGGTAAACGTTGCGCTGGTAGTTGCGATAATATCGTATCGCGTTGCATGAGAGGAACCATAAAAGTGCCAATGACAGATTGTCTCTTTTCGGACTTGACATGAGTACCAAACTCAACATGGTTGGTAGAGAACGCTTCAAATCCTTCAAAATTGGGGTAGAGCATGACATAACCGCGTAGATAGACCAACTCAATAAAGTATTTCTTCCATGACTTTTTCCATTTATCAGAACGACTGTTGGGCACACTGATCAGACGTACTTGATGGTCTTTTGGTAAATTGAGATCCTCTAGCCGTCTTACTAGATAGCTATGGAACTCTCGCCAATGTTCCGGAAAATAGACACCACCCCAACTACAGGGCACTTGGCTAGCATAAGGCATATGTTCTGGATGGCCAGCTGGTAGCAACACAGAATTGGGATCAAAAGTAACACGACCCGCTGGAATCAATTCCAAATTACGAGGCGCATATAAGCTAACACCATACATCAGTCGGTGGGCTTCGCGATGACCACTGTATCGATATTTGAGAATAGCGTATTTTGACCAGACGTAGAATAAGGGAGAGACTTCGATGTCGTCTTCGAGTAAAACAGCATATTCATTGTCATGACTTGGATACCAAGACTCTACAATAGCAGGCATGAGTCCGCCTTTACGAATTCGATGGCGAAGAATTTTCTGGCCATACTGCCATTGAAAACTGTTGACAAGCATTCGCGTCACACGATCGGCTGACTGTTCCATATGGATCATCAAGTCCACCGTGTCTCCCAAGTAAATGGATTTAGCGGATGATTGCAATAAGCGCGATAAGGAATGTGGCCTTCTATCCGTTATAACAACCATCTTGATCTCTATTCTATTCCAGTCTAATAAAAAGTTGGCAAATATAGTGTTTTCCGTTAGTCATAGAACACATGGCTTCTTCGTTTTTCATTGAAATACTCTACTTTTTAACGCTTCCAACGAGAGATCGGGTATCCACAATGCGTTTACTATTTCTTTTTCAGGCAGTTTAATGTCTGTTATTCTGTGTGCTTCTGCCATCGTTTGAAGTGCATGGTACATTGGCAACAACACGGAGTTACTACTTGTCGTCGATGGTTTTATCTGAATCATGATACTTGGTTGAATGATTTTGACTAAATACCCTACATGAGTATCTTCATGATGCTCCTTCATATGTGTAAAATCATGCACACGAATATTTGGTAGCGCTGGACAGTCAGAGGATGCTAATGTGTGTTTGACGGCTTCGCCGTCGATATCGTCACCTATAACTACGAGATGCACAGGATAATCGTCCTTGCTGAACCTACAGAGAAGAGGGTGAAGCGAGATGAACTGCCTTGATCCATGAGCGACAAGTAAAACACCTGGCTTTGATGGCATAAAACGATACTGCAGTGCGGTAGGATATCGATTTTTCTTGACGAGGCTTCGCCATCCGTCATTATGTGTCCACATCGTGAGAGCATGATGACATAATTGTTTGTTTTCTGTTGTTGGTGATTGTTGTTGCGGTATATAAATGGTAGGGATGTTCAATTGTTGCTTTAACGTTCGACTGATATAATATCCCAAAGGAAGATGAAGCATTTCTGCTGATGTGTCTATAGTTCGTCTGAGGGAGGGTAGCCATTCTTTACGTAATAGCCATGCGCCTAATAACATGTCTGTCGGCTGAGAGACAGTGACGGGTAGTTTTGTGTTAATGGGTAAGCAAAAGTTATCCACAACAGAATCGTCCTGCTCTACGTCGCCAGGCTGTTTGCTCTCGGAGGGAGGGAATAAGGTATACGCCCTTGTGCCGATAAGGGCATCTTTATAAACGGTTTGCGGAATGCCGTCGCTGCTATCGACAATTTTTTGTTTAGCTTCGAGTAAATAAGGCAGCTCATGTAAAGTGTTTTGCGACAGAGATGTAAATTCGTCTAGAATATATACATAATCCGTGTCGATATCATTGTAATGCTGTATCAATGCTTGAAGCCAAACAGAAGATCCTGCTGTACCTCGTGCGAAGGTTCCTGTTGCACCTGTTGCAGTATTCGCGGTTGTTGAACGATCAATTATTGTTATTTTAATATGCTTATTCTTCTCCTCGTTCTCTGCATCAAGGTTTAATTTATCGTGCAGTAGTGAGAAATATTGACTTGAACAAATGATATGTACTTTTAAATGGACGTTATCTAAAGACCAGCTTTTGATGGTATCTATTTTCGGTAAAGATTCTTTTGTGTAGATAGGTAGAATGACAGTCGTGTTTTGGCTGTGATTTGACGTTGTTGTTGCTGTTGATGGTGATGATAACATAGTCATGATTTGGTCTGCAGAGTGACCCTCTGTGGTATAGGAAGACAGTCGTTCTAAGAAATGAGAAGACGACTTGTAAATGGAATCTTCTATCACCCATGGGTTATTTCCTTTGATATAAAGAAAAAAGCAAATGAATATTTCAATATGATAAGACAGCCCCGTTCTCGCTTTTTTCTTTTACCATTATCCCACGTTGTATTTAAGAAGCTTGATTGTCCAAGCCTATTACGACTGTTTGTATCATCCGTTTCTAACTTGAACTGCCGTTTATTCTCTAAAACTTTGTCAATCTGTACAAGCGAATTATAAGAATTCGGTAATAAAATAAATAATACAAGGCTGATAAAGAATATAATGCCTATGAACTTGAAAAATTTCTTTGGAGTGCTTAATCGAGACATCAATAAACAAAAGCGAAAAAAAAAAAGAAGAAGAAAAAAAAGAATCAAAAGAAAGGAAGAAGCAAGGGGTTAGCATCAAATGTATAAGCTCAATAAGGCTTATCAAATCACCTTTTTCAAGTGTTGTCGCACAAGCAAATTACACAAAATTAAGGAAAAAAAAAGGTACACTTTTCCTTCCAAAAAGACGTTTCCGCTCTTTATAAAGAAGAATGACGCGCTTCAACATCTAATTTGTCGCAAATTCAGTGAACATGCTAGAAAACCCCTTTTTTTTGTGCTTTCTATAATGTTCAAAGGGAAGGCAAAGACACTTTCAAAGTGGTTGTACTGATGCTCACATCTGCCAACCAGATGCTCCATCTTTTGAAATGCATACAAATAATAGAAGCAATTGCAAGAAAACGTACCGGCATGCTGCAAGAAGGGAGCTGTCATTTGCAAGCCTTTCTCCTTTTTTGTTTGGATAATACAGATTGGCAAACAGAATCGCACACTAAAAGGATAAAGTTTTTCTGATCACAACATGAGAAGTGCTATTGTCAGCATCACTTCACTTGTATGACGAAGGTGGCTGTAAGAGATCTATGAGTTGTGTGAGAAGCGAAATTTCTATGTCCCTTTTTCTAAAGTACTTTTTGAGGCTCACATTGACTCGGCTGCGACGATGCTATCAATAAATACAGGCCCATATCATTACTTCTTAGGCTCTGCACAAGAATAGCAATAAGACTTTCAGGAGGGCGGACGGTAGCTCCATGAAGAAAATTCCTTGAGAGAATTTTAACAGAATTTTAGTGACGGTATAAAATGGAACGAAGCCATCAGATTCAGTAGCCATGTAGGCAGATATTATTTAAGGAAGCTTCTGGGATGGCTGGTGGCTTTTTCCAACGTTCTGCTACACAATGAGAAATTGATAATAATAAGGCTTTTGGATTCTGCTGCTTTTTTTAGGACTCGCGACTGTAGGGCTCTATGGATCAAACTTCTACCTGCAACAACTTTCAGAACAATCAATTGCATAAACATAGCATGCGGTTAAAGTCCTTGTTTGTAGTAATGAACGCTGCTAACGTCTTTGTGTGTGTGACAGATTTGCTTGATTCTTCAAGCTGCTACATAGAGGATGTAAGAAACATGGGGGTGCGGATAATCTGGACTTTAGCAAAGATTAGTTGTCCCGCTTTGAGTACATTGATGTTCAAATACAGTGGTTATAAGATAGCCATTATGTAATAAAGAGCACTGTCCAAATATTGCAAAGCTAAAGGATCCCAAGTTCAATTTTTCTCCAACATTAAATTCACTGTTTCTGTTTAGATGCTGATGTCTTGAGCCGTGTTGACTTGATGCGAATCGCCAGTTTTCAAAACCCTATTTCTAGTACATATAGAACCTTGAATTATCTATCCGCTGCATTTGTTAACATTGCCCTTGATTGTTTATTTAGACTATAAAATCTGAATAAAATCAATGAACCCCTATGATATATCCCTTTGTCTAGATCAAAATCATACAAGTCTAATATTAGAAAACTTTATTATTTCAGAGTCAAAGCAGGGAAGAAGTAAGGACCAAGGTTTTTCCGCAAAGAATGAGGTGTCGTGTTGGAACATAATAGAGTAAAAAAAGCATAGATTCTAAACAGCATTTTCATTGATTTGTTTATTTCTAAGTCTATGACTTTCTCTCTTTTTCTTTTGTAGGATATACCATATAAATTGGCAAAAGATGGAGAGATCAAATATAAGTGTACCAACACTACCAATCAGAAAAGGTAGAGCTTCTAATAAGATAGCTGTGGTTTGTTGAGGATGTAATAGAATACTGGAGGCATACGTTAGGTTGCCTAAAGCTGCGAAAATAAATAGAGAAATAGACAGACCTTCGACGGATTGTCTGTAGTAATTTTTCAACAGTTGGGGTATTCGGGACGTCAGGTACAAGCAAGTGCAAGTCCAGGCAATCACCCGACCGATCCAAAGTATGGTGTCTTGATCTACTGCTGATGTAATAGATAGACTATGACTGCTGCTGCTGCTAATAACAGTATCGGTGGTTGTTGTAATGATATTTGACTGGGGAATAAAATAGAATGATGAAAAGAACAATATGGATAGCAATTTGGTAGCATTAGAGTGGTTATGAACAGTAGCCGTTGTTTTGATACTGTTATTCGTGCTGTCAAGATCGCTATCCTTCGTATCCTCTTTGGTGATATTGGCTGGTGTGATCGATAATGTATACCACTTGGAGGGTGAAGCGGAAGATGAAAAGGGGGTTGATTCTGTGGCCGTATAGTTCACAGTGCTTGCTGTATTATTGGGAGAGGGAACATAATGGTAATGGTGAACGGGTATATTCCTATATGCTGGGTGCTGTAATGATAATAATGAGCTGCGGTTGTTGAAGCTATCGGTATAACTGTAATAATCATCTACTGCTACCACTGTAGTTGATGTGGATGAGGGTATAATGACATACTCGTCTTGTTTGTTCTTGTTTTTATAATACATCCATTGTGCCAATAAACATAGATCGATAAACACAAAGTAAGTTCCAAGATATATTTGAAAGGGTAGTTGGTGTGTTAAAAGAGAGCCAACCAGATTAGTAGAGTCGCCTGCTAGCCATATCGCTAAGAAATTCAGGCTTAAGCCTTCGGTTGAACCCGCTTTGTAATTTGTAATGACTTGCCTAAAAAAAATTCAAATAGACCAAATCAATAACGGTTACAGTGAACGTTGACGATAGCAAAAAAAAAGGGGGGGGGAACTTACGGTAACTGGGCATTCAACCAGAATAACATAGAAGCGTAACCCAGTAAGGTACTTATTGCGTCTTGGGACCCGTATACACAATCGCCAAATATGTACTGTTCATAATTTACAATAGATTTGTTGTTGTTAGTTAGGCGCCCGTCAATTGGCAGCAGTAGCCTGAGCTATACAATACTGAAATTTACATTGATCCATTCAATATAAGGTACGCCATCTTGTGTAGGCACGCAAACTGTCATAATATACTGTTTAGGTTGTCGTTGTTATTAAGAAAAGAAAAGAAGGTATTGTGCAGTCTGGTATATTGCTTGAGCAGAAGGGGGTGGAGGGTGGATGGATAATTAGAAGAGGAATACGGGCAAAGAGCGTGAGTCGGTGAAGAAAAGTAAAGAAAAAGAAAAGGCATAGTTTTATTTTCTGATCTGCTTTTGCTTATCACTTTTTTCGTAGATAGAAAACGAATTTAAAAAAAAGGTTTAGGTGAGGGGCTAATGCAATGACTAACAATAAGGAATTTTTAGCTTCAAATTCAGGAACAATCTGATGATAAAGAATTTTTTGTTTACTTATCGTTCTTTTTTGTTCCGATGACCGTCCACTTTGATTATCACAAATTAGGCATTGTCTCCTTAAACCTCATATTAGTCTCATTAATGTAACATTGGCTCAGAAAACGCTATATCTGACACTAATGCTAATGCATACAACATATGTGCAAGTACATAAAACGAGCATTTCTTTTTCAGTTTTTGGATGACTCACGACACGTATTTTAGTACGGGCATTCTCAACTATAACTCCGCTACCCCCTTCCCCGCACACATACACACACACACATGTATTATTCGAAAGCATTTTCAAAAATTGACAGAATTGAGAATGACAAATTTTCTTTTTATTACTTCATTGCTAAGCTAAACGCCTTGTGTTCGATGGACCGCTGGTGGCTACGTCATTACCGAAAAAAACATTGAACTCTCCTTCAGCTGATACCTCAGAGTCACTTGCATGAATTGCATTTTCCTGCATATTCGTACCGTATAACGCTCTGATGGTGGTTGGGAATTTCTCGCGTGCCAAATCTGGATTCGTCGGTCCGATCAATTGACGTAGATAGGGAATCGCACGAATTCTTGATAATTGCAACACGCGTATAGGACTCCTTGTCAAATAGTTCATGAGAGATGGATAGTAGGGCGCTTCAAGTTTATCAAAATACCATTCTGACACTTGCTCTGCTGTCAACTGAAGAGTTTTATCCTGCTTTATCACAAATCCTTTCTTTAAAAGTATGTTCACAATCTCATTTTCGTGAGACATACCGTCAGGTTTAATGACAGCTAGTGTGGTACCGGGGGGTTCACAATGAAAAATTGTCTCTGCTAGTAGGTACTGATGGTGGGGGAAATGGCGTTGCAAACGTATACAGATCTCATCGTGAATATTCTCTTTGGTTAAATGAGCGAAATATGAATTATTGGGTACAAGCAAAAGAAATAGAAAGGGTATGTAAAGTAATAGGAGAGTGATCGATATTTTGAAATACTCAGGCATTCGATTTGAATGGAGAAATCTACCTTTTAACGCAAAGGGTTGGGAGATGAGCAACAACTGCTGACCATCACACTTTTTTGTTTTTGTGTGCGGGAAAAAAAAAAAAAAAAAAAAAAAAAAAAAAAAGTCATTGTTCTGTGGTTGATGCATTCTGGCGTTTTGTGCAATAACAGATCATTTCGCTATTCGCAAAGATCGCACAGTGGCTTCATATGACCAACTTTACTTTAAAACGTGAGTAGAACCATGTGAGCGCTTCTCCCCACCCTTAGGCACTTCACCTATCCACTTGATGTCTGTTTATTTGACATGGTCGAACTTGACTGTAAAAGACCAAGGCCTTGGTATATAATAACGGTCGCTTGCTTCGGTTAAGCTATTGACACAAAAGATGATGCCTGGTGTCAAATATACTATTTCTTTTGGCTATGATTAGGCAGCGATGTATATTAGCTGCTCGATTTATTTGTGTTTAGCAAAGACTGAACAAAAGATGTTTTGTCAATAACTTGACAAACCCCTCAGTATCACAGTTGTCAGCCTAACATAGGAATAAAAGGCAATACAAGAAAAAAACTGCCCACCCTTTAAAGATATAAAACTTGTAAATACCCAAAAGGAGCGTGGTTATGGAACAGTTAGAAAAATGAGTAAATCAATTTGATTTGTACTTTTAGAATACTAGCAAATCTCCAGCTTATACGGTGCACTAGATGGGCTCATAGCAAGACAACATGCATCCAGCCGTTGCTTCTCAATACAGTCAACAATAGGATAACGAAGAAATAAACGAAAGCACAAGCTCGGTTTTTTCTTTTTTTGTAGGTCTTCAATTTGATGTATATTTTATAGTATGGAGGATCAATCAGAACACGTGCTATTCCCGCATTGCCAACATATTACTCTGTTTCTTGGTAAATCATTGATACTAACTTATGCTAGGCAGTTTTATAAAGAAGGGTCATTTTGAGGCTTTCATCAACCTTGCCTGTGGATGCAATATTCATGTCAAACCTACATAATGAAAACTCTCAATGTTTGCCGTCTAGATGGTCTAACTGTAAATGACCAGAAGCAACCATACACTTTTACCATATTGTACTCCTTTTGCCAAAACGATGTCGCAAGAAAAGAAATTAAAGTGTCGCACTTTTACAAAAATCAGAACAGAGTTCAAAGAAATAGTGTAGTGCTTTCAAAAAAAAAAAAAAGAAAAAGGGGATATGTCAGCTATATTGTTTTCTGTGACCAGATCATTTGAGCATACAAAATACTTTATTGAGCCTTTTGATGAAAATCCTTGCCTTGTACTACATGAAGCAAGAATCAAATTAATCGAAAGACATCCAGAAATTGAGAAGATTGCTCTATCGAGCTTATATACGCGCATTAGAGAAAAATGCCGCCTTTCTCTGCAAAAAAGCCAGCAAGTACACTGCGGAAAGGGATGCTCCCAGGACATTAGAGCTTCGCGCGAGCATAATTAAAAAATGGCGAGCGGCTGATGTAAATTTCATGACGAATTGTGTTTTCGTGGACGAAGCCGTGTTTAATTCCCAAATGGTTAGATGTCGAGCGTGGTCGGAAGTAAATGAGCCTGCAAGTGTCAAAATGAAAACACAGCGAGGGATAAATGTCAACATTATCTGTCGTATATGGCCAGAGGGATACATAAATTTCACAAAGGTCAACCCTTTGAAGGCAGACGACCTAGAAATTCTCTAGAAGCAGTAGTATTCTGTTGAACCTAAAACGAAGAAAAGAAAGGCTGCTCAAGTTGTAACTGCTACCCAACCTGTCCCCAAGGGTACATAAGATATATTCGGCTAATGATCTATCTCGTAAGTTGTGAATCATTCTTTCTAAAAGTCTTGTCCTCTTATCTTCGTCTTTCTCACATAGTGACTTTCTAATATAGCCAACTATTTTTACTCCTGATTTCTTTTGCTCCTTCAAGTATCCTTGATACTTCTCATTGTATTGAAGTATGTCTTGAAGTACATTTGCTACAAACAAAAAGTCAATAAGGAAGTCAATAAGGAAGTCAATACAAAACACCTTCACTTTACCATGGTATCTTTCTTTGAGAACATAAAGATGCCATTGTCTTGAATAAGAGCCGGCTACATGTTTTGATCTCTTTTGCGAAGACCCTCCTTCCATGAACTTCACTTTGTTTTTTCCGCAAAATGAACTGAAACTGTTTAGTGTTTTGTTATTGAAATAGTTTGAGCATTGTAGGATATTTGCAAATATTTCAGAGAGAGATACTATTAAAATCAGAGAGGGAAGCGTTCATAGTGAACTGAATGTTTGTATTGACAACAAAAGAAAGAAGGAAAGGAAAGAGTTACAAATAAAAAGGAGCTAAATACTCGTTCTTAACCAGTAGGAATGCAGCATTATGTATGCGTATGTCTTTAGAGTACACGATGACGTGTGCAAGTTATTATGATTCTATGATCATAATAACGAGTCAAATGCTTGAAAGTGTGTCTAATTCGTCTTTATATATTATAGGAGGTATGGAAATACCACAAACACCATGGTTTTCAGCGTAGTTCTACTGTGGCCATACCGTGGCCATACCGTGGTGATACCGTGGTCAACACCATGGTTTTCAGCGTAATTCTACTATGGTCATACCGTGGTCAACACCATCTACGGGAACAGGGTTCATGCCAGTGGTTTTCGAACGACCTCCTAGCCCAACTCTCAAGCCCACCAGGAGGAAAAATCTAATGTTGAGGGGGTGGTGAAATCCGATGTTGGTGACCCGTTACCAGAGTAGTTTCATCACCCGTTGAATTATCCTTCCATGCATAGTGGCACAAGGGAATGGCAGCCAGTGAATTTTCTAAAAGCAGAACCAGAAAACAAAACCCAGAAACTTATTACCCGCTTAAAGTTATACTAGTCTGTTCCCTGCCGAGATACTGTCCGCGTTTACGTTTATCATGACAAGCTATTGGCAGTTCCTTACCATGGACTGGCCAGTGTTGGCAAAGACAAAGTACCATCGCACGGTGGTAAAAGAGATTAAAGACATACAGCATGTCAAGTCATACGTGCTGGAGCACTTGGGTTATATTCCCGTTTTCTTTTTCTTGGTGGTGTTGTTTGCGAACGATGAGTACCCAGGTCCCTACCGGGGGAGTAGAGAAAGGGTTACTGGTACTCTACCAGTTGCTGACGGGAGCATCGATTGCTCACATGGCGAGATTCATCCCTGCCAGTAGTTACCATAGTATCTACCATCGGTTCTACGTTAAGCATGGGAAGAAGCGAGGAAAGATGTTGGACCAGTGTTTGGCAACCATGTTCTCTTTGGCCAAATTTCGTATTATGTGTGCTATGCATTTCAACCCTGAAGACTTTAAGCATGTTACCTTCATGGTGGACGGCCATGATACCAAAGCTACTTACATAAAGCCACCAACCATGCCATCTACTATTCCTATAAGCTCAAGAAATCTGGTTTTCGTACCCAGGTGTGTACCGATATCAACGGTATGGTCTTGTTCGTATCTGACTCTGCACCCTTGTGCTAGTTGCAACGATGGGTCTATGCTGGCAAAGATGAAGCTTAAGGGCAAAGTTAGTAAGTACGATTGTATCGTTCTGGATGGGTGGATATACTCTATTCGTTGATCGTATCTTAGCTAACAACTCTTACCTCGGCAAAGAAAACTTTGTCCTTCCTATTTGTAAGCAACGTAGCAAAGAACTTACCCCCGAAGAAGCAAAGTACAATTCTATTCTTGGTAGTTTCCGTTCTTCGATCGAAGCAACCTTTGGAGCACTGGTTACTCTATTCCAGAAGTTGAACGGCAAGTCCCGTCTTCCGAGTTACCGACATGGAATCGTTTACCCTGCAGTTTAAACTTGCTTGTGTTCTCCATACATAACATGAAAAAGTTTGTAGCCTTGGGTAGTGACGTGTTTGGTGAGATACTAACTACAATACTCGAGTACGTACGACCAGGTAGAGAATACATTCCACCACGGTCTATCTATAGTACGTCCAATATAGGGTTATGTACAAGTTTATAACAAGATGGAGGATTAAAGTATAAGCAATGACACGTGAAGCATCTGAACCTGAAGTGAATGAATAGCAATTCCAGCCAGCTATTCATCTTTCTTCTAGAATAATAAAGACACTTAAATTCATAGCCATCGACTTATAACAGCTATCAATTCTAACTAAGCAAATACCTCACACCCTCTTCTCTTTATAAAATAATCATGGTTTTTACAAGTCGAAACCGAGCACTCTGCATCTTTTACCAATTACAGTTCAATGAAGAAAACAGCGTTCAAGCTTGAAGGAGTTTCCAGCATTGGGCGATAAATGCGAAGTGTGCTATTTGAGTGATCCGGCAGTTCCCGTACGTGTGTTAAGAACAAGATTATACGCCTTGCAAACGCTCTGAGAGTGGAATGACTGTATTTTACAATGTTGAAACTATTTCAACAACAAGACACTAAACAGTTTCAGTTCGTTTTGCGGGAGAAACAAATTAAACTTCATGGAAGGAGGGCTTATCGCAAAAGAGATGAAAGTCCTCCTTCCATGAAGCTGGCTCTTATTCAAGACGATGAAATTTTTATGTTCTCAAAAAACGACCAAGGTAAAGTCAAGTATTTTGTATAGACTTTGTTATCGACTTCCTTATTGATTTTTTATTTGTAGTAAATGTATTTTAAATCATACTTCAATACAATGAGAGATATCAAGGATATTTGAAGGAGTAGACATAGTTGGCTAGCTACCCGTGCCCGCCCGCTGAAAAAACGCATCTCTGCTGCCCGGCCCTTCAGGTCTGCCGAGGCTCAAGGCCCCAAGGGTTTTGACAAAGACCGTTATAAAATTTTCTATCTCCATCTGTAATACATCATCCTTATAGGCAAGCTGTATATAGCATCGTTGTTGATTTGCCGCCTATATAACCACACATTGTCTTTCTTCTTTTCCTCCTATTACTATGATTAGCAAAAGATATTTATTTCCACTGGCCAAGAATGGTGTTCGTCTTTATTTCACTTGAAAATGACCTTCAGGTAACGGATTTTTGTAAAAGTGCGACACTTTCCACTTCTTTTCCTGCGACATCGTTTTGGCAAAAGGGTGTACTATCTTTCTTATTCTAGAATAGGAGGGATGCCTAAAATAACAATCATGCGTTGATTTGACCAGGAAAGATGGAATACTGCAAAATAATTGTCCAAAATTAAAAAAGAACATTGTCTACATAGATGAAAAATGCGTTGAAAATGATAGTTATTCATGTTCAAAAAAAAAGGAGACAATCTGAAATAATCGTTATCCTTCTATAGTTTGCTTTCACTTCACTTGCATTCTCCCTCATTTTTTTGTGAATAGGAGTCAATGAAGGGTTTTTCTATTTGCCCTGGTCAGTGTTGATAGGTGGTCTCTTGGGTATTGAAAAAACACCACCCTTTCATGGATACATCTTTTTGTGAATCAGGAACTTCAATTCAATTTAAACCCCGAACGTGCCTATTGGGTCCTTTTTGTGAATGTCTTCCATTGATTTGTTTTGACACCATCTTTTCAACGAGTACACCACTCAACTACTTGAGGATAAAAGGACTTTTTGTTGCTAGGTCGTCAACGTCATTTGCTGCGTAATCCATTATAGTCAGTAGCAATAAAGACATAGAGTTTTACAGTGGATATCCTGTATTGACCACACAACACTCTACCTATCTATAGACGATATACTTACAAACACCATCTCACCCTCATCTCCACATTGTGTAAAGTCATCAAAGAAGCACAGCCAATCGAACATGGGCGCGAAACAAAGCTCTACAGCAGCTGTACACAATCAGCCTAAGCGAAAAAGAGCGAATACCCAGACGTCTATGCATAACCATGCTCGCGTAGATAATACTGTTAAACGAGATAATCAAGCACTTACTCGCATGAAGACGTCGCCAGCGGCACCCACTATTGTTGTGTAAGCAATTGTCTATTTTATATCATGGCTTTCAAAAAAAAAAAAAAAAAAAAAGTTTGGCCTGGGGAGAATAGATTCGATAATGCTTTCTATTTTTCATACTTTCCCACTGTGATAGACCTAAAGTAAAATTTGCCAGGGGCAGATATGTCATTCCAGCGTTTTGAAAAAGAAGGCGTCTATCTCATTTCAGCCCACTCTTTTTTCTTTTTTTTCTTTGATGGATAGTTTAATGAAGTGGAATGCTTACAATTGTTTCAACGGTATGCCGATGCAGATACACCGGATCTCATATCACCCAGAGGGACGCAACAATTTTTTGAAGACTTGGGGTTGTCTATTGAAGATGTAATGATAAAGAAAAGAGCTCTCAAGGACAAAAAGAAAGCAGAATTAACAGAGAAAATGCTTTTGTAGGTTCTGATATTTGCCATTGCATGGAAAATGCGCAATTCAACGATGGGTAAAAGCAACAACCAGTAGAAGAGTGCAGTGGGGGGGGTCTCTCGCAAGTATCGTTTGCTGATTGATATTGTTACTAGGATATATAACAAAGGATGAATGGATGATTGGCATGAAAGACCTACAGTAAGCATACAGGAGTTTCAAAAACCACCCCGCCCCCTCCTCCTCCTCCTCCAGAAAGCGGAAAGTAGTAGGCTCATGTCTCTGGGTTTTTTTTTACATAGAACGGATTCAGTAGAGAAACTAAGGGAAAAGCGTCCTGAATTCGAAAAAGTATTAAAGGATCCACATCAATTCAAAGAGATGTACAAATACACGTTTAACTATGCAAAGAACCGAGACCAAAAATGCATGGATATCGAAGTAAGCTCATTCCGCTCTGCATGGACTGTCCAGAGAAAGTGCTAGTGACTTAAGAAAAAAAAAAAAAAATGATACCCTCCTTCTATTAGATCGCTTCCGTTTTATGGACCATGCTGCTAGGCTCCAAATACCCTATTGTAGATCCATTTGTACAATTTCTAAAGGAAAGGAAACCGGTCAAAGTGATTAACCGAGATCAATGGCTAAGCTTTTTGGATTTTGTACAGTATGATCTATCCAACTATGATGAAAGTTCAGCATGTAAAGAAAGCCCAGTCAAGATCCTCTTTACAGAGAGCTTTATTTGACTAAATATATCTATTTTTCGTTAGGGCCGGTTTTATTTGATGAGTTTGTCGAATGGAGAAAAGGTCAACATCAGGCTTGTTAGTAAGAAAACAGGAACGAAACAGAAGAAGTATCTTTTTTAAATCAGGGTTTGGCTGAGTTTAGTGATGGCATAAAAAAACGTCGTATTTCGTGTAAAATAAAACAAAAAAATGTTTTGAAAATCCCCTTTGCCAAAAAAAAAAAAAACAATGGTCAAAAGGCGGGAAAAGTCAAACTTTTTCTTGCTGATCATTCTATCATGCTTTCAACTTGAAAATCATATGGTATGATGTTTTCTGATGGCTATTGGTTTTTTTTATGACATGACGAGACATTTGTAATGAGAATATTACTTTGTAACAGCGTATGTCTGTGATGGGTAGGATTAGTTTTCCAATAACGCGTGATGCACAACAGCCATCCATTGGCAAGCCAAACAGCTTCGTTTATTTTCTCTCTAAGCCAATGGAAAATCACTTGCCAAAGTTGGAAACAGCGACTTCCAGGAACAGTGTACCCAAGGGCAGTTCTATCGTATGACTTGGGGAAAAAGAAAAATGGGGAGCTTCTTGTGAGCTTTTTTTTTATATAGACTATTTTTCTTGTATGATCCTTACTAGGATCTCTACGGCAACTTTCGTCTTTTTGTTGGTTTTTTTTTTTAAAATATTTTCAGGGGGGTTGTTCGGTAAAAATGCCTTATTCAGTATACGATGGATTCTATCTTTCGATAGAAATGACATGGATTGAGATGCATCATCCATTATTAAGCTTTTCTTGACTCGTTTCTTTGGAAGCGTCTTCACAGAGAGAAAATAGAGTGATGCTGTAAAATGGAATGGACTTTTATTATCGTTTTAGTATTAGGTTAAAAGAAAATGCATAGGTAAAAATAACAATAGATAGAGGATCAAATAATGAAAGAGCAGGATCATTTAAAAAAAGGAGACGTTTTTTCTTTTGTACACAGTCGATATAGAAACAAAAAAGAAAAAAAAAAAAAAGGGCGAACGTAGTGGAGGAATAGAGAAGCAGAAAGGCATATTGCTCTCATAACAAAAAAACAAAAAGTTTCTACTTGTTTTCAAGCGTTAGCTTATTGAATGCTTCAATATCACCTTCACTTAAAAGCTCTTGTTCTCTTGATTGAACTTGGTTTTTCTTTCGAAGCGCTGGGAATAAAAAGTTCTCTTCTTCTTCGTCATTATCATCAAAAAGGTTGTTTACTTCCATTTTGATACGAGGAGAGGCAGGTGCTGAGAGGGGCTTAGGTATCTTTACAGGAACATCTTGTGAAAAGTCGTCTTCATCGTCCAAAAAGCTATCCGGATAAGCGCGACGGAGAGCCAATGTACGAGCTTTGATGTATTCAAGACCCATGCGCTTCCAGTCAAGGAGATCAGAAAGACGCTCTGTTCTGTTACGTTGGTTGATACGTTGACGACGCGTCTTTTGCACGAATTGATACATTTGATCACACAATTGTTGAAGCGAATCCTCTACTGACTTCATACGACGATCTGTAATGTAGATACCATAATCCTCACAGTTCTCAATATTTTCTTCCATGAAACAGCCGAAACCAGACAGGTTGGTGGTGACGGAAGGAACGCCCATGACAGTACATTCAGCAGGTGTATAGCCCCAAGGTTCATAGTAGGAAGGGAAGACACCCAAATGACAGCCTCGGACAAATTCTTCATAGTCCATACCAAAGAGAGGGTTGTTGGCATTGAGGAATTCAGGATGGAAGACAATTTTGACGCGATCATCTGCATTGTTAAACATGTGAAGACGACGAAGCTGGTTCAAGACAGGGTCTTTACCGTCATCGACAATGTTGTGGGTGACAATAGGAGGAAGGTTCATGCGCTTGAGGGCGAACACGCGGCGTTTCAAAAGCACTTTGTCAGCATCCGAAAGGAAGTTGGCCGGGTTGATGTCCTCCAATCGCAAAGCATTCTCGTAAATAGCTTTTCCTACACGATCCTGAATCTCACTGACAGTTGAGCGAAGTTGACGCGTCACTGCTTGACCCTTCAAGGCTTCCACATTGAATGAATGGGTGGCTGTCGGCATAATAATGAAGGCTACTACTGTCATATTTGAACCGGAGGACTTGAGACGGGCATTTAAACCTAAATATAGTAGATAAAAAAGAAACAGATGTTAAAAAAAAAAAAAAAATTCAAATGGAGATAGGACTTTTCCCCCACCCCTGTGTTGATTCAACATCCTATGTATTTAGCATGAGAAACTTACGTGCGAGGGACTCTACAAACATATCCACGCCTTTATTGCGATATTCATAACGACCCGCTGTGAAAATATAGATGGTGTTATCGAGGTCGAAATCATAGTGACCGTAAAAGTGACCACGGACAAAGTCATGGATCTTTTCCTTGGATAAAGCGTGAAGATTCTGGAATTCATGCATAGCGGAGAATTTCACCACATTCAAACCGTTCGGCAAGACACCATCTAAAATGAAAGTGAGAAAGGAAAAAAAAAAAAAAAAAAAAAATGGCATGAGTAAACGCATCCCACTCGGTAAAATCAAGATGAGAAAAGGACGCTTACCAGGCTTTCGTTTGAGGAGATGTTCTGATTCATAGGCAGTGATATGAGAGACAGTGGTAAAGACATCGGCACAATGAGCAGCACTACGCTCAATACAGTATCTGTGATAAATACCACGCTTGCCTGCCTCTGCATCGACATCAAAGTTGGCGAGATTGTTATAAAAGTCGACAGAACCTGCACAGAGATAACGACCCAAAAGAGTGGCGTGAGTGGTAAAGATGGTGCAAACGTCAAGATGACGCTTCTTGATCAAGGGAACAGCTACACCAGCTAACCATTCATGGAAGTGGCAGATGATCGCAGGATCATTCGGTTGGTTATACTAAAGATGGTTCAAAGTTAAAAAAGTTTTCAGAGTTAGCATCGAACGAACAGTTCTGGGTTTGCCACTCTTTTCTGAAAGAGTGGAAAGAGGTGGGTGTCCCCTCTCTCTCCCCATAGAAAATCAAACTCCACACACACACACACACACACACACACACATAGTGTCTCTTAAAATAAGCATGTTGTTAACCCACTTGGGTTTAAGTTTACCTTGGGTGTCAATTCACCGATGAACCATGTCACCAAGTAGCCGAAAAGGATAGCATCGTTTGTTTCCGTGTCGTTGGGTGGTGAAGGAATACCAGCAGAACGCCAGAGATCACCTTTCCATTCATTGAGTTTGCCTGCTTGACTACCTGTATCGAACAACAAGACATAAGGAGAACCTTCTACCAACCAGCGACCGTAGAGATATTTGACACCATCTGCAGCCATTTTGTCAAGGACTTCCTTCATCTTTTCATTGGCAGGTTCACAAGCTTCCACTTCCATAGGAGCTGTCTTGTAAGAGAGAGGACCGATTAAGGTATAACGGTCTCCGAATTCACGAACGGTAACAGGAACCTTTGTTCTAATGACAGTGTAGATACCACCCACTGTCAAGCAGCAAAAAAAAAAGCAATGAGCATCCTCTGCCTGCCTGTACTTGAGTTTCCTTTCCTGATGAACTTACCTTTGTTGGCGACTTCCCAAGCAATTTCAAAGAGAAGAGGATTGTAAACGTCCCTTTGAACAGTCATTTTTTTATGTTACTTGTTACTTTATTGAAATGATAAAGATGAATGGGAGATGTTATTATGGAAGATGTTTCCTTAGAAGTAAGTTTGTTAGGAAAACGAGGACGTTTAACAGAGAATGACAAGAGATAAAGGAAAAGAAAAGAAAAGAAGAGAAGAGAAAAAAAAAAAAAAAAAAAAAAAAGAGAAATAAAAAACAATGCAACAAGTGAATGCTCTCTATATATACGGGTTTTTTCTTTTTGGTTTTTTTCCTCTCTACAAAAAAAAAAAGCACAGATTATCGTGGCGTGATGGGAAACTTTTCGTCGGTATATCTGTAGAAAGGCTTGTTTTACTGTCTACAACACCCACTTTTCGCATTGTTTCTAGCAAAGTGTGCACTTTTTTTTTTACATTTTTGACCGGCGATTGTTCGTCATTATGCTAGAATGGGACATTATTATTTTAGATAGACTGTGTAATACACTATTTGGCTTTCTTCCCAGATGACAAGCTTTGATCCCCACTTAACTCTTACTAAAACTGAATAGTCTGTTTAGATTTTGGGCCTTCGTGTTACTCTACTTTGCCTTTTTTATAAGCATAAAACGGGAAAAGTGCTAGACCTCTTTTCCTTATGTAAGTTTGTGGGTCTTGTCTTATGCATGAAATCATTTGTTGGTTATTAGACTTTTTAAGTAACATCCATTGCCCAAAACGCAAGGGCCATTCCTCCATTGAGAAATGCTTCCTTTCTTTTCCTTCTTTTTGTGCAGATGAAGAAGGTTTTCCACTCTTCCCTTCTTGACTTTACCTTTCTTTCAAAAAAAAAAAAAAAAAAAAAAAAAAAAAAAAACGGGAAACGACAAGATGTTTCATCGACAGCCCTGAAAAAAGCATATCAAGGGTAACGCATAATAGAGAAAAAAAAAAAAAAATGAATGATTGACTTTCCGAAATCCAGGAGAAATTTTTAAACCCTTATTTTCTGTAAAGAAAAAAAAAAAAAAAAAAAAAAGACACTGTCTGAAACCGGAAGTAAGGCGGAAGAGACCCTCTCTCTTCATGGTGGAGTAAAGCTGTCGTGTTTCTTTTTTTTTTTTTTTAGGCTTTTAGCTTAAACCAAAAAAGGCTTGTCTTAAAGGAATTTATTACAAAAGTATGTACAATAAGTTTATTTGGCGGTTGTTTTTCTCAAAAACAAATATTTATCCTAAAAGAGGTTCCAAATAGGCAATAGATGTATATTCCATGTTTATCCATTCGCGTCAAAGAAAAGAGGGAAAAAAAAAAAAAAAAAAATAAAGAGAGTTGACGTCCCAATAAGATGACCCCATCCTTTTCAAGCTGTTTAAGCTAAAAACTTGCCGACAATATGTAAACCGAAAACAGAGGCAATGAAAGTCAAAGAAAGAACCAACACAACAACAGGATCACTATAAAGGAAGGAATAGATAAAAGTCCACACATGTTGTGAGAAAGTCTGTACTTTTCTGTCTTCTCATGGAGGAGGTGGTAAACTTACACACGGAGACCGGGGGAATCATCAGAGTAAATACGCATCATGCTTGAAGTGCTTCCACCAGGAATGCCGCCACGAGCTCCACTATTAGCATTGCTACGAGAAGTTACACGCTTTCTATAAAATTGAAAAAAAATTCAAACATATTTTTTCGTCAACAACTGTCCAACATTGTCATGGGTCGACCATCTATTCCAATCTTTAAAAGTATTCTTCGACCAGTCTATACACACGGCTGAGGAATGCTCTGTAGGCTGTTGGGTGCGAATGCCAACCCCATGATGACCCCCATATGGATGAAGAAGTCTCACAAAAAGCCAATGAATTGAAAAAAAAAAAAGTTCACTTTACCTAATGGTGCCCTTGGGAGTAGACGAATCAGCCTAAAAAGACAATATCAAGAGAGTCAGTAACCAGCTTCAACTCTATGATGAATAAGAATTACCATTCTAAAGAAATTCTATTGATGGAAATGGGGAAGTGGTAAAAGAAAAGAGATGCTTGGGAGTAAAGTAAAACGTATACTGTGAAAAAACTGTTGGAGGCTTTTCATTGGATGTCAAATACCACACATTTTTATTAAAAATATTTTCGTCATTTTCCTACTTGTATTTTACTCATACGTCCAGATTAGTCCGTGCCCTTATACAAAATACCGCAAATCAGTGCATGTCTGGACCGGAGCGTCATGTGCGTCGTTCTTATTTTTGCTCCTGATATTTTATTTTACAATTCAACAAATGTATCACCGGCCTTAGCTCAGTTGGTAGAGCGGAAGACTGTAGTTTAACCGTCATCTTTAGGTCTCTGGTTCGAATCCGGAAGGCCGGAATAACTTTTTTATTTATCTCTTGTGTGGTGTGTGTAGAAATAGGCAATTTTTTCTTGTAGCAGGATCAACTAACGCTGATTAGGAACGCACGTCGTAAAGTATCAATCTGGTCTTTGGTATTTTTTATGTTAGTCAAAGGTCGAATGGCTACACTATCTTCTCTCCACCGTTCATTAGTGCTATTACTATCTTTCTTGCTCGAAAGTTTGATATATTTTAACGAGTGTAGTAATTTCTAAAGGCGACAATCAACAATAGAAAAGATAGGCATTACAACATTGACACATGTATCGCACCAATGATGAGATTTACCAAGTTGACTAAAAGACTTTTGCTCGAGTTGGCGTTAGAAATACTCTGAACAGATAAGTTACAAAAGATTCATTATAACAGCAATACAAGGTAGAGTTATATAAGAACAGATAAAAGCACTGGTAAACAGGATAGTTCACTTTAGACCGATATTAGACGCGGTTGGCTTGAAGCGTAACCACCGAGATAGATGGTCATGACACGCATTGATGCGTGTGTTTTACGCTCAAGGAATAATACGTTAGCCGAAATTTTCGATGAGCTTGCGGTTGGGCCTTTGTATTTTTGTGAGAGGGAAATATAAGTTTGTACTGATGCAGACGACGAGTGCTGGTCTTTTTGTTTTCTCAATTGTTTTCTTAATTGTTTAGCCAATTTACATTTATCGTCGTCGCTACATCGGGCCCAGACTTGTATTGGTGACAACGTAGTAAAGCTCCGGTTATTATGTTGCATAACTTTCAGTAAAGAAGTTTGCTTTGGCTTAAATGGCATCAAGTTAAAAAGTCAACTATTTTTTTTGCCAGGACGCGGTTTTTTTGATGGAAAAAAAATAAGAACTGTGTATCTTGACAGGAGATCTTGCTGGATGAAAAGGATGGTCAGGTTTTCAGGGAATATACCCTACATGGTAGCGTTTTGTTTGGCTATTCATTGGCGTGATAGTTCCTCGCCGCTTTTATTTTATCTTGGAGAATTTCATAATTGCAGATGATTGATTTTCTTGCAATGAAAAAGTTTATTGGATATATTTAATCACATGTTTGAGATCAAAGTTGTGTAAAGTATATTAAGGTCGAGGAATGGTTCATTGTACAGTTTTTCGACGCCTCCAAGTATTTGCGTGAAAAGGTCCCACTTTGTGGCCTTCTAGAGCGATGTTTTGCTATCTTTTTTACCATACTTTAATTTTCTGGAAGGGCCAGATTGGAAAAGTGAACTTGACCGAGTGGGTCGTTAGCAGCGAATTTGTACAATTTCCAAGCTATGCAATGGCGGTAAAATTGGACTGTTCATTTGGTCTATTGTTTCAACACTTTTCGTAAGTTAGCTAATGTAAAGTTATATAAGCTAAATCTTCGATCAAGTATTGCTTCATTGTAAAGTTTATCAATGCCACCAATGTAAGTGGCAATGATGTCGACTTTTTTTCCTTCTGTGTTAATTTTTGAACATTTGTCTTGCATTTTCTTATTGTTTGGGAACTGTTGTCTGTACAGTTCTGCGTCTGAGTATTCGTATGTTTCTGTTTTTTTGTAAAATTGGTATGCCATGTAATAGCGGCTGAAATGCATACGAAGTTCATTTTTGGCAAATGTATCGTATGCGTCCAGAATTTCCCTCATGGTCATGTTGTTTATTGTTGATTCATTCGGTTTTATTGTTAAGGTGATAGGTGAGGGAGGGCGGTAGGTAAGTTGAGGGGTGGTTTCTTTTAGTTCGTTTAGTTTCCTGACAAATGTCGTAATATCTATTTTGAAGGTTAATTTCAGTGTGTAAGTTGATGCGTTTTTTATGTATGTATTAAAGTATTACCTTGTTGTCTATAAGTTGTTTTGTTTTTTTTCTGTTTTTTTGGAGGTGTGGGTGATGCGTAGGGTGATGCTAGGGTTCGATTTAATCGAAGGGTGCGGTTTTGTCGTGTAGGTGATGGTGGTAATGATTGTTCTTGCGGCGGAGGTGATGGCAGTAATGGTTGTTGCTGTTGGGGAGATAATGGTGGTAATGGTTGTTGTTGTGGTGGACGTGATGATGTTGGTGTGTGGTGGTTGTTTATAGGAAGCTACAAAAAGAGTTTTTATTAGTTCAAGTAAGTGAGAGGTAAGGTGTTTACATACAAAGTCAAAGCACTGGTTGGATTGCATCAAAATTGATTGTTCTCCTGAAATTGTTAGTTCAAAGTTGGTTTCTTGAAGATGTTCTTTGAACGCAATAATCAATTCCATGGCTATTGAAAAGTTGGATTTATTTTTCTTTAAGGTTCAAGACAATGTTGGAATTTGATTAAATTACTGTACGTTTGTCTGCCATAAGAGTTTTAATGTGTTCTTTGAGAATGTTAACATTTGTTTTGGAGTATTGGGTGGACATGGTTGATTAATTTCAAGTGATAGTATGATGAGGAAAATGACTTTTTTTTTTTTTTTTTATTAATTCTAGGGGAAAAGGAGTTTAAAAAATTTGTTTAATTGTCAGAAGATTGCTTTTGCAGATCTTAGTCTTCTATAACTTTCTTCAACTTGTACTGAAGCGTTGACTGTACCCGTTTTAAATGGTTGCTTTCAATGGTCCGACTGCAGATAATGCCAACTATACATACCTATCTATCAATTGAAAAGTTTCATAGGCAGCATCTAATTGATATAAACTATATGTATCAATTAAGGTGAATGTAATAATTTGTCTAAATGGAGGAACTCACTCAATAAATCATGATAGGTGCAAGCTTTATCAGCTAGTCATTCATTATTTGTCATTACGTATTTGATTCTTCATAATTGTTCCTCAAGGAATGAATCGTAGGGCAAAAGTAATCGCTTGAATGTAAAAATCAGAAAGTAATTTTATGAGTATCTCCTGCAAAGGATTATACACCTACAGAGCGCCCTATACTTACACTTTGGTTTTGCCGACTATCCAGCAATGAATCAAAATTACCTCTAATACTCATCTATCACTATATGAGAGATAAGGTACACCATTAATCAAAATCCAAAAAGCATGTGAAGAATACATTGGCCTTAGTTCTTTAAGGTATTGCCACAATTTCCCTTTTTCTTCTCTTACGTGTCCTTAATGCTCTTTGGTGCCATTAAACATGGAACGCAACAACTCACCTTCGAATTTGAAGCAATTACTGCCGTCGCTGCCGAACGAACTATTGGAAAAGATACTTCAGCATGTAGACACTGACAATTTGAAACCTTTCTTATTTCTCAACAAGTTTTCCTTCCGTTTGGTTCAAAAGCAAGTTCATAAAAAGGTGATATTTCCTTCCAAACAAGGCATAACCGAGTCTGACGTTATCGGCTTTTTCGAGAGATATGGAGAATCTGTTCGAACAATAGTGTTCCCAGATGAATTACCTGTCGGAGCAGCGATATACGCGGCCATTGCCCAATATTGTCCTAAGGTTTCTTTTCTCTATTCAACGAACAATGAATCAATAGGTACTCTAAAAAACCTCTGCCATTCGTTCAAAAATGTTAGTTTCATGACGCCATTACAGGATGATGAGCGGGACTATTATTTTCCAAACTTTCGCAAAACGCTCAACTTTTATCAACTATCAGATGGGCGTCACATGGTTTTCTATCGCGCCTTGAAAGAAAAGGTAGTGGTGTTTTCACGTAAAAAACGCTTTTATGCAGGCGCTAATCAACCTTCAAGCGCTCGGATCTCCATCTTGCAACTATTTGAGGGTATCTCTTCGGAATTTAACCATAGAAACACCTTCGATAGTATATTTCTATCAAGAATACAAGTTCTTCACATAAGATGGCCTAAAAATCAAGCTCCTTTGAACTCATCGCAAGCCCAATTACTTAGTCGCTATTGTGCTAATGTAAGGGTTTTGGCGGCTTCTGCAATAAATAAGGGGGCATTACGCTTGATACTGAATGAGTGGCACAGCCTAGCGTCAATAATCATCAGCAGTTTTCTTTCTGATGATATACCACAAAAAATCCATTCAGTCAACAGAGTTGCTATTAATACAATTCGAAACCATAAAAGGGTATGGTATTTGGATGAATCATCATTTAATTACATGCCATATTACTTTATAGGTCTCTATACAAATGTATAAAGTAATACATTATACTTGCTATTCCGATAATATCACTTTCATCACTGGTTGACGTGAATATGAATAATCGAAATTCATCAATACTGCAGTAAAAGAAGTTTGTTTGCAATAAATTTTCACAACAGTTAAAAGCTCTTCAAAAAAATATAAAAAAGGGAATAATTACTGCAAAATATTGATAGACAACATAGCTCCCTTTCCTTTCTTATCTGCTATATAATCGCCTTACTCTACTACAGATATATAAATGCATCTCTCTTTGAGACGCTCAGTTTTCTTTTCATCTATTTTTTTTTTTTTTTTTTTTTTTTTTGTTTTTTTATGTATACTTATTATTGTTAGGCAGTGTTGTGGAATATAACATAGATGTGCTTATTGATAATGCTCGAGGAGCAGCAATGTTTCTGGTACGATCTTGTTGAACAGGTTCGCATACGCAAAGGAAGCTTGTATGCGATCTTGCCTTTATTGAATATAAATTGAGAATATTTTTAATAAGAATGAGATGCAAAAGCATCAATCAGCTTCCATTACTATATATCAATGAATAATTAATTATTCAAACCGTAAATGCTTCAATAGGGAAGTTCGTAGACCGCTCAACTACTCGAGGTAATCATGATCTCCTTCAAATACTTCAACGGGGGAGCGTGCTTTGAGCCAGTGCACTGGCGAGAAAAGTCATAGTTTCATCTCAGTGCTTGAAATGAAAAAGCTCATATTTTTGGCGAAGCACGGTTCGAAAAGTACTTGACCTGTTTAGACAGAAGAGCTTATAGCTTGTATAAAGAGTACTTTTCAGTACTTTTCAACGGATTCCGTATCTTGCTCAAATGCCACTAGCAGCTCTGGATTATAAGCTTTAATAGTGATGCCTTAAAAGCGTCTATTATATATCTGTTAGTCATAAATTGACGCATAAAACTGACAGTGAAGTTATAGGAGGATAACATGTTGTTACGACTGCATTTGCCCTTAATTCCGCTTCAATGATTTAGATGACTTTAACCTCCAGTTGTTAAGCAGAGTAGGTTAAACTGACTTTAACCTCCAGTTAAGCAGAGCAGGTTAAGCTGACTTAAAACCTTCAGTTGTTAAGCAGAGCAGGTTAAACTGACTTTAACCTTCAGTTAAGCAGAGCAGGTTAAACTGACTTTAACCTTCAGTTAAGCAGAGCAGGTTAAACTGACTTTAACCTTCAGTTAAGCAGAGCAGGTTAAACTGACTTTAACCTTCAGTTGTTAAGCAGAGCAGGTTAAACTGACTTTAACCTTCAGTTAAGCAGAGCAGGTTAAACTGACTTTAACCTCCAGTTGTTAAGCAGAGCAGGTTAAACTGACTTTAACCTTTAGTGCGCACTTTGCGCATAAGATATTTAAGCAGATATCACTTTTAAACAAGGATTTTTATTACTGACATTTTTTAAGCCCAATGGACACGAGATATTTAGCTTATCTAAATTGCCCGGGGCAGCTCCAAAGGCTGAAAAGAATCTAAAAACTGTTGTGTGCGTGTAAAGTATAATAATAGAAAGAATAGAAAAACAAAGAGAAAGTCTGTGAAAACTTGTGGTAGGTTTATTAAGAGTCAATTACGACAAAGATAAGACAAAGACTTCTACACTTCAACTTGGGATCATATTTATACTTTCCAGGAACTTTGATCTGAGAATGAGATATGCCTTGCGGAGTTTGCTTGCTTGGAAATTTCTAGGAAATCAGAACAGTAACATGAGACATGTTTAATCATTCGTATCATTGATATCAGTTGATATGACTATGTGGAAGAATACAATTGGATCTTCATAGGCGGATATATATATGTTAAGAGAATATGGAAATTGCTGGAATAGACATGATCTTTCTGGATAATGTCTGGGTCTAACTGATACAAGTGGCGTTGCTGAGCCAGAGATCTTTTATCCGACCTTCAGGTCTCTGCTGCGCCATTCATATCATGAATACCTCAGTCTATTATGTCCATTGGATCTATCTTATTATTATCTGGCTTAGGATAAAATATGTATGGAACATGCTCTAGCATTGGACTCTATTATAGTAATATTATCTCATAATGCACAGACAATAAAGAATATGTAATTTATCCATATGTAATCTCAACAGTGAATGATTAAGTACCAGAAGAGACCAATGTTATATTATGGGATAGTCACATAGCAAGTATTGCAGGATTTATTTGTCTCTGTCAATATCTATATACAGACTTATGCCTCAATATACAACAGCCTTAAACCGTTTGGAGACTTAGTCGACGTAGGCATCGTTACTGAACCTACCACCGGCCTGTTCATGAAATCAGGTTACGCTGTACTGAGCACAAACCCCACCGACTCCACGATAGTTCCATTGGCACACACTGTTATGTGGCAAAACACGGATGAAGTCTTCCATTGTACTTGGAACAACATGCCCACGTGGTGCCGCTATTGTCATGAAACCAGTCACACCAACTTTGAATGTGAAAAATCCAAAGCAAGAATCCGGTGTTACAACTGCCACCAACTCGGCCATCGGGCTTTTGAATACCCTCGTGAGACGATTAATCCGCAAGCTAAGAACAGAAAAGACTACTCCCGTTCCCATAATCGCCGAATCTATTCATGCAGCCAGTACGGAAACCGAATCATCTAGTAAACCAATTGAAGCTGAGAGCCTTCAGGATGAATCAGATACCGATATCGTCAGTGACGCCGACGAAGATATTGATGACATGGAAGTTGAACAATTAGTCGCAGAGAAGGATATACCTCTTAATGAATCGCATATAAACGGAAATTGTTTGACGAAGCTCAACTTGAACATCAAATGGAGAACAACGGGTTAGCCGTGGAAGACTTATCAGCCGAAGATGCAAATGCACTGCGCAGGCTTCATGATGATCTAACTGTTTTAGTAAAGGAAATTAATAGACGTTAGGATGATGCCTCTGCCGAAGAGGCTCATCAATAATACATCACCCTAAACAATATGTATATAATGACAAAACATATCTCTTGTCACTACGCTTCACTGAATGCCAACGGCTTGGTGAAGACCATCACATCCTCAACTTCAACCTCAACCCATAACTATCTACGATATTCTAAACTTCAAAAATTTGACATCCTTTGTCTACAAGAAACGCATACCTCCTCCTCAAACATAATCGATCGCTTATAATTCCAATTACAACCTACCCAAGCCTTTTGGACGGATTATGTAGGCATTATCTCTTTCTCACTAAATTATTAATTGACTTTACTAGATACTTCAGCATAGTATTCATCCCATAAATTTATAGGACACTAATGATGATTATATTGGATTTTATATATAAATGTCCAAAACTTTAAGTTTTGAATCGATTCCAGCTTTGTAAAGTTACCCATCCTCAACAGTTTTTTACACCTTTTTATATACTGAATCTCTATGCACCCGCTTCATCCCCACCGACTCGACGTTCTTTCTTTTCCGACTTGACTAAATTACTACACAGTTTGAATACAACCATCCAATTAGACAGATTGATTATTTCAGGAGACTTTAACTATTCGCATCTCCGTGGAAATGACTTAACCTCTGCCACATCTAACATTTGGGAAGCACTGCTTACCGAATCCTTTTTCAATAGTATGATACTTAACAATATGGACAGCGTACCCATTTTTCAACGGCAACACGGACCGACATCGGTCGTCACATCCGTCATTGATTATATCTATCTGGCGAAAGCCTTAGACACGGTCTTTACGACAACGCTAATATAAGAATTGACCCTCGATGGTCTGACCATTCGATTTTGTCCATCCAGTTACGGGTAGGCAAATCCAAACTAGGTCTTGGATTGCTTCGGGCGAACCCATTCTTATTGAGACAAGATAAATTCGAACAACATCTCACGCATCGATTAGAGCGTCTTGTGGAATCCTTTGACTCACGAATTACGCCTCAAGACCAGTGGGAACAAATAAGGCAAATTACAGAAGAAACAGCCAGAACGTATGGAAGGAAAATCTCTTGTTGGCGACAAAAAACTCTAACTCAACTTGAAAAACAACGCAACCGCCTGTTACGGCCCAAACCACCTGCGTCCGTTCTTGCAGAAAAATTACCTTCGCTGATGGGCAAAATTTATAAACTACAACAGGGGCTCACAGATATAGCAGCTTTAAAATCCGGCGTTCGATGGAGGGAAGAGGGCGAGAAATCAGCCTCATACCTGAAAAGATTACATCAAAAACGAAGTACACAACAATACATGACCGGCATCCGCTGAGAAACAACCATTGAAGCCAATGACGTGATCACAGATCAACAGGTTATAAAGAATACCAAATGATATTGAAAAATTTATAAACCTTTCGTTTCCAGGAGCCAGTAATTCATTCAGCATTTTTGTATTTTTGTAGTTAAGAGCAGAAGAGAATACAGCATAAAGCCGATTGTTATATACGAAAGGGGATTTATCGTATACGCCATAAAATACTGTCTGCCTGAATTTCTAGGAAGAAAAACTACAACAAATTTCAAAGCATAAACTCGGTAAAATATGTTTATTTCATAGTTTACATTATTTGTAATCATTGATTGACTATAACATCTCGAACTCAAAGTTGGGTCTAACAGAGGGGAACTCTGGTCCAAAACCCCTCAAGTAGGGGACCATTTGGCCCAGAGACTTTATAAAGGTTGTAGAGTGAAAGGCCGTAATCATTTGCTGTAGATAATCGCTTAGCATTCAACGATATCAAAGATGGCTGATAGTTAAATGTACTGCAAGAAAATTATACACCCCACTTCTCTCAATCGACTTGTTTTCATAGTTAATCAGCACAAAGTCTTTCCTGAAAAAAAAAATTCTATTAAATAAAACAAACGGAAAAATGAATGGGAAAAGGACAGTTTGATAGTATAAAAATATTATAAAATATGCGGTAATGTATATGATCGTTAATATTAATGCTGTAACATGAGTAGAACATTTGTAATTATTGTTCTGCAGTAACCACAAGGAACAATGACGATAAATCAAATTCTGACAGGTTAGCATAGAGGAACGTTGACAGCTAAACCGCCTTGACTGGTTTCCTTGTATTTAGACATCATATCAGCACCAGTTTGGCGCATAGTCTCAATAACTTGATCTAATGAGACCCGGTGATCACCTTCACCGTTAAGAGCTAATTGAGCAGCTGCGATGGCCTTCACTGCTGCTAAGGCATTACGTTCAATACATGGCACTTGCACAAGGCCAGCAATAGGATCGCAAGTCAAGCCCAAGTTGTGCTCCATACCTATTTCAGCAGCGTTTTCCACTTGCTCGACGGTGCCACCCATAACGGCAGTAAAGCCGGCTGCAGCCATGGAACAGGCAACACCAACTTCACCTTGGCAGCCCACCTCAGCAGCTATAAAATGGATAGAAAACAGTTAGTTTGGTTTAAAAAGAAGAGAAAAGGAAAAAAGAAGTATGTCCGATATCCTCCTTACCTGATATACTAGCACCTCTCTTGAATAGCATACCAATAGCAGAAGTGGTGAGTAAAAATTCCATTACATCTCTTTCAGGGTTATCCGAAATGAATTCAAGATAGTACTTGAGAACTGATGGGATGGTACCAGCAGCACCGTTGGTAGGCGCAGTAACGACACGACCACCGCAAGCATTTTCTTCATTTACAGCAATTGCATACACAGAGAGATAATCAAGGGCAGGCAAGACAAACTTCTTTCTTGGTTTCTTGGGTAGAAAAGAGACGGAAAGGGGATAGTGGGTATTGATTGCTTCGGTAGAGGAAGATTTGGCTTGTATTTGCTCTTCATTGTTGTTGGAGGGTATCTGTGAAAGATTGTACATGCCAGTTTGATTCAAAGGACCACCATAGAGACCCTTTAAAAGCTTGCTGTATAATCGAGGTGCACGACGCTTTACTCGCAAGCTGCCGGGTAAATAATCGTCAGCAGAAGCCAATACACCATTGCGGATGCTTTCATCCATGGTGTTCCAAATTCTTAATAATTTGCTTTTAATTTCTTCGGGTGTGCTCCATCGTAATTCATTTTCAAACACTACTTGAGCAATTGTCATATTTTCACGCTTACAGACTGCAATCAATTCTTCTGAATTGCGGAACGGTAAAGAAACAACTGCAACATCTTGCTCACGACGGTCAGCAACTACAGCTTCGTTTTCATTGTCTTGTTTGTAATACACATTTTCACCGTGATCCAATTGTGTTGCTTCGTTAACAACGAAGCCACCGCCAATACTGAAATATTCGTTGGTAGCAATCATGTTCATGTCTTTGTCGTATGCGCAAAATCGCAGGCCATTGGGATGTTGAGGTAAAGTCTTGAAATAGTTGAAGACCATGTCCTTTTCATAGTCGAATTTGATACGATGTGTTCCGTTCAAATGAATCGAGCTGTTTGTTTGGATATCTTGAACACGAGATTTGATGGTTGTAGTCTCTACTTTGTCAGGACTTTCACCTTCGATACCCATCAGAACAGCTTCAGGAGTACCATGTCCGACACCTGTCAAAGCCAAAGAACCAAACAAATCTGTATTTCAATTAAAGGTAAAAAAAAGGGGGGAGGGAGGGTAAGTTAGTCACCTAATGGCATAGAATTTTGCATGCTCGTAACCAAAACGATCCGTCATCAACAAGCCCCCCTTCCTCACTATATACTGCTCATCCGAAGTAATAAATGCAGCTTCCGCGGGATGAAAGCAACTTTTCTTAACAAACATTATAATTTTCTATATTTAGAAATGTGAAACTGATATACGAAAGAATGGACAGGAATACAGCATGGACTCGGAAAAATAACAAAAATAGACAATAACCCAACAGAATAGATGCTACATTACCTACTCGTAGTTTCGATACTTTATCCAAAACATTATGTTCTGCCAAATCTGATATGAAAATTTTGGCTGCGCGCATCGGGCCTACTGTATGTGAAGAAGAAGGACCAACGCCGATGGAGAATAGATCAAAAGTTGAGACAACAGCATGATGGTCGTTGGTATTCTCTACTGGCTCACTGTTATTGTTAATTTCTTGTGCACTGGCAGATGTTGAATTGAGGCGCTTTATTAACTGAAATTGTGGGACAATTGCTGCTGCACGGCCACGATATAAAGCCTGCTTCAATTGTCGACGAACAATGGGTCGAGTAACAGTAGTAGTAAAGCTCTTCAAAGCAAACATTTGTTGAAAATAGTTTAACTTTGTTAATGAATGGAAAAAAGAAAGAAGAAAGAGTGGGGTAGTTTTCCTTTTTTTTTTTTCCTTGTTAATGTAAGAAAAAAATAGATACAAGCAAATATAGACGAAGAAACAAAACGGAATTCGTTAAGCTTTCCCGTTTTTATACATGATTCAACTCTGATCTGGTATAAAATTCCAATTTTTTTTTTTGTTAAGAGTTGGAACAGTCACTTTACCCACGCTTTTAGCCAATGACAGCCTCTCATTCAAGTAAAAAGTACACGGTGATTCCATTTTCTGTCGAAGTATGGCAATTTCTATGGACTCGGTGAACACTCTTTAAGGTAAATCGTAAAAGTTTCAAACTTTGAGACCTTTTTTTGTATCCTAAAACTACTTTTAGTACACCAATTCTTCAAGTCATCTCAAGATAGCCTTTCTTCCAAGGTCATATAGTCATTTACATCTTCCATACATCAAAATAAAGAAATCATTCATTGCACAACCATTTTGACCATCCCCATATTCGGTCTAGACTTGTACTGCTTATTATTCTCGCTCTAACTCAGCAAGTAGCTGAACTAGTAGCAGGCTTCATCTGAGCAAGCTTACCCCGCTTAAAATGGCTATTCAACAAAACTTGGTGTTCTACTAACTTTGCACCATCTGTATCATGCAACTTCACTTGTCTTATTATCGATCACAGAATGTGAATTCAATACTTTATTCAGTATGCCCATATGAAATCAGCTGTCAATTTTTAATCAATTTTGATGCGGTTGTAAGTCTTTTCAAGGTCTTCCTTAGATACCTTCATCTGAGGCCATCCTATCTTGAGACCCTTTTCGGTATCAGGCTTAGGGATAATATGGAAATGGACATGGAAAACCTCCTACAGATAAAACCAGACATAACAATGCATAAGGTTAATTTTAAGTGTTTCCTCATTGGTTGTTACTCTTTTCAGATAGTACCTGATGTGCCATACGTCCATTATTCTAATATAAAGAATGAACGCAGAGATGAGAATGTGTAGCTCAATAATCAAAGTCAATTCTATGAATAATATTCTCTTACTTGTAGTAAATTATACTGATTGCCTTCTAAACCGATTGCGAGAGCAACCTTCTTGGCAAGAGGAAGCATATCAGCGAGAACATCATCAGGTACTTGATGGAAATACTCTGCATGGTCTAGAAAAACGTGAATTAGCTGTAGGATACTTCACGTTGACGTCTACTTTCTGTTATTGCTCACATTTAGGAATAATAAGCTGAAATAAATTATAGCAACAGTGTAAGTCTAGCGGTCATATTATATTGCACCTTTTAGAAATTAAAAAACTTACAGCGTGACCTTCACTCAAAGGGTTGATATCAAGAAAGGCATAACTATTTTGTTACCATCTTAGTATATATTCTTATTTTCTCTTGAAAGAAAATGACATTTGTTTCACTGCGGGCATGTACCTTTTGTCAGTTTCGGTGATTTTGAATGAAGGAATCTCACCACTAAGAGAAAACGAACGTTAACGAAGTAGTCCAGTAAAGCAAACTTGATAATAGACATTACCGAATAATTTTACAAAAGATACAATCCGCTTGCAAGTGCTCGTGAGACATGCTTAAAGGTCCAAGATTTGAAGTCCAAGAAAGAAATACAAAGAGGGGCGAAAAACGATACAGTCTAGTCGACCTTCCTCTTCTCGAAAAAAATTGTGTTCCGATCACAAACGGAAATACAAACTCCAAAAGAGCATGCGTCAATCAATAGGATTTGCAGAAGGTTCGCGTATTTACTGACTTCCAAGCATACTGTCGTTAGTTTTAGGCCTCTGATAAGACTTGCTTCCGTTTATCATTGAATAATGCCTTGATAGTAACTGTAAAAGCCCTGTTTGGATTGATCTGCAAGCAATTCCTGATGAAAGCGCGTTAAACGATGAAAAGGCATCAAGTCGTTGAAATGACTACACAACTTACATAAAAAGCGTCCTATTCTGTCAATTACGACAGTTGGGACTGAGCATGTAATAGATACACTATGCAACGGTGTTTAATTTCAAAAGTTCAGGTAGGTACAATTGCTAAAATTTCTCGATCCAATTTGGTTCGGATTATGCCCAATGGCAATATATGATGAGGCTTACATAAGAGCGAAGCATTGCTGACGCGTTTCCCTCGGTTATCATTTATGAATACTCATCAATAAAGAGCTAGACCCTCATGGTCAATCTATAAGCATAAAAAATCAAATTATCATAGGCACACTTTTTGACGTGACGGCCGGCGGTATTTACTTTCTCAAATCTGACTTTTCCTTGAACCGCTTTTTTGGATCTTTTTCCTGCTTCTTTGTAAATAACCTATTTATTCCCTTGTCCAACACCATTTCACTATATCGATATACTCTGGCTCAGCACTATATGAATTAGCCAAGATCCTGTCAAACTGCACGACGTTATAATATAAGCTGCTCGACCCACGAAAATAAATTTCACGAAAACAAGGAGATTCAAAATGACAACTTTACAGGTTTATGCTCATAGACTAAGCGATCCCAACTTAGGTATTGAATCAAGGTTATGCTTCTATAATAACACTTGGAATTTCATTACTAAAAAATTAATTTGCTATCTTACAGCTATAAATTTGAAAGTTACAATTGCCAATGAGCTCAGAGATCAAGTTGAAGTATTTCAGACAGCAGAGTATCCAAAGTTCCTCTCAACCCTTATACCAGTCTTTCTCAGTATTCTCCAGAATGAACCACCCGTTTTTTTAAGTAATGCTCCTGAGCAGGTAGCGTTTTCAGCGATAGAGATTGAATGTTTGTTCAGAATGCCTTAATTATTAATCACTTTGTCTATTTGTTAAATTAGAAACTGAGAAACATCATATTAGAATTAATATATCGATTGCCTCAGACAGAAGCTTTGAAAGAATATGCACCAGAATTAATGAAGGCCCTGATGAGCACCTTACGTGTTGAGAATGAAGAGAATGCAGTAGTTTGCGTCAAAATCATTATTGATTTGCATAGATCTTTCAGACAAATTTTAGAAGATCAAGTGCAACCATTTATGGACATTGTTCAGGAATTATTTCGAAATATGGAACAAACTGTCAAAGATTCATTCGACAATGTGGATCAAACAACTACTGTAGGATAGCCATACATATATCATTAAATTGTCTTATCATTAATTAATTTTGTTTTTCATATTTTAGCCTTTTGCAGCAGCTTCTCCAATGTCACCAGCAGCAGAGACACCAGAGGTTCCAACCAAAACATTACAGAAAAGCATGTATAGCTTTAAAGTGCTAACAGAATGCCCAATCATTGTCGTCTTGCTGTTCCAATCTTACAGACGATCTGCTTCTGAAAATATCATGAAGTTTATCCCACTCATATTTCAGGTACAAGAAAATAAACAAAGAGAAACCGAGTAAAAATCGATCGCTCATTTGATTGATTTCTTGTACAGATGTTAAGCTTACAGGCAAAGCCTCAAATGGAGGCAGCTCACGCTGCTTTCGCTCGTGGCGAAGTATTTATTGGTGTCAGTCCCTTGATTAAACAGAGAAGCCTGTATAATGAATTTATTGTTGCTCAAGTCAAAACGATGTCATTCCTGGCATATATTCTGAGAAGCTACACAACACTTTTGCGGCCCTATCAGCATCAAATTCCTGACGTTGTTATTCGATTATTACGCGAGTGTCCAGCTGAATCCTCTTCCACCAGAAAAGAATTACTAGTTGCAACTCGCCATATTTTATCAACAGATTTTCGCGTCTCGTTTGTGCCAAAGATCGATTTATTACTGAACGAGAAAGTATTAATTGGAACAGGCGTAACCGCTTATGACTCATTGAGGTAACCTGAAGAAATGGAGTTTTGTACAAAACGTAATTGTATGTTAACCTACCAGTTTCTACATGGTGATAGACCATTAGCTTATAGTATGCTTGCGGACCTTATACACCACATTCGAGCCGAACTGAACCCATTGCAGCTCTCCCAAACAGTATACATATATTCACGTAATTTACACGACCCAGCACTAGCACCGAGTATTCAGACAATGTGCGGAAAGCTACTCTTAAATCTAATCGACTGTATCATGAAAATTACCGATAAAGCACAAGGAAGAGCATTGCTGATGAGGATATTAGAAGCATTTGCTAGTAAATTTGAAGCTTTAAACATACAATTCCGTTCATGTGTAAAGCAGTATAAGAAAAGAAAACAGACGGCGGAAGAATGTAAAGCTAAACCGACAGATAAAACAGATGATAGTATTGAGTTCGATAGTTTCGATTTTGACAAAGCACGCTCAATACACACAGCTTCATGTATACCAGAACCCACACAGGATGGAATCAAGGATGCAAGATTCCTTTTCAAAAATCTAGCGATCGGTTTAAAACCCTTATTTATTGGGTTGCGACACTGCAACCCACCGCCCCATTCAACACTGCCAGGTGAAGAAATTAATCTGCAACTATACGCTCAATTTGCTCGTGGATTCACACAAGATGATATACATTTGTTCATCAAACTATTCAGAGAAGGATTGAAATGCTTCGAATACTATAACGTTGATAATTACGGACCAGATGGTTCTTTACCAGACTATTCTCCATCGAAAGAAGAACTATCAAAAGATAACTGGACAATAGGCTCAACAGAAACTTGTTTAAAACTCAATATTCAACAAAATGGCGAGAGAGAAGTGCTAGAAACATTTCCTATCGTATTTACTTTACTGGATCCAGCAATATTCCAAGAGATATTTGCTTCAGAAATGGGCTTTCTATATTCACGTATGCTTATCAATACGTCACTTCTCCATCTGTCACAGTACTTCCTCGTTAACGAAGTTACAACACAAGGGTTTGTTGGTATTTTGCTCAAGTTCTTGGTTGGCCGTATAGAGCAGTTGGGTGATGGAAATCTACATAGCTCAGCCATTATGCTTCACCTATTCCGTTTGGCTTTCATGGCAGTGAACCTCTTCCCTGATACGAATGAAGTTCTACTCCAACCATACCTAGCAAATTTGGTCATGTCGTGTTTTAAATTAGCAGCCAAAGCAAAAGAACCAGCCAATTACTTTTTGTTATTAAGAGCTCTTTTCAAAAGTATTGGTGGTGGTCGATTCGAACTCTTATACAAGGAAGTGTCGCCTTTGCTGCAAGTCATACTCGAAAATTTGAATTCCCTTTTGTCGCTTGCTCATAAGCCAGATATGCGCAATCTATTCGTAGAATTATGCCTCGCTGTACCTGTTCGCTTAAGTACGCTCTTACCCTATTTGCCTTATTTAATGCGTCCCCTCGTGATCGCTCTTCAAGCAGATCAGGATCTTGTTTCGCAAGGCTTACGTACTATGGAACTATGTAATGACAATTTAAATCCGGAATTTTTGGATCATATTATGGCACCTGTTATGACTGAATTGATGGATGCATTATGGAAACATTTGAAACCACTACCATATAACCAGCAGCATAGCCATGCTGCCATGCGGATTCTAGGAAAACTTGGCGGCCGCAACCGGCGTATGCTGAAGAGCCCTCCTAAGCTTGGTTTTAATGCACGCATCGAATGCGGGACTGCTGTGGAGGTGATTTTCGAATCAAATTCTGCTCCTCAAACTCTACCACTGGATGAATGCCTTGAAATCGCTGCACATGCAATTAAAACACCAGATACCCACATAGAATATAAAAGACATGCTTATAATTTCCTTAAGTCACAGCTAGCATTGATGCTGGAGGTCGAGGACGGACCTGAAAATTTAGCAGAAACGATATATAGACGAGTCAAAGAGCAAATTGTAAACCGCTCAGCGGATGATAGCATACCTGGAATAGCTGCTGGAGTGGGTACACAAAATGGCGGGCGAAGTAATAAAGATGAAGACAGTTCGGTGGTGGGAAATACATTACATGAGACCGGAATGAAACCGAAGAGGCTCCCAGGAAATGGTTATGCAAAGTATTCTTCTAAACGGGTCGCTCAAGAAGAGGCTCTTCGGACTGTGCTAGAATCTCTGATGGCAGCATCCATCATTGAAGAACTGAAAGAGGATGCTTGGCAATTCTTCCTGAATGTATGCCGTCATTTTACTCTACTTCACATCGGTGAAGCTATAGAAGCCAAAGAGAACGGACGTAAATGTCTGGCAAACATAATGGATGAACGGTTAACTGTTCAGCACTTGAATACAACAATATTAGTTGATGCAATTGTTGAAGCTATGTGTTCGTCACAAATTGAATTACGAAAACGAGCAGAAGAAGCCTTAATTTCGTGCTATAATGTTGCAGTATCTATAGTTGGTTCCAAGGAGCATGTTGATCAACTGCCTATATTCCGCGTCTTTGCATCACAATTTTGCTCTTGTTGCTATAAACCCGAGTGGTTCAAGAAGAGAGGTGGTTGTCTTGGTATCTCTATCATGAGTTCACAGTTAGACATGGGAACTAAATGGATGCGCGAACATGAGCTCGACTTTATTCGCTCTTTATTGTTTGTTCTTAAAGATGCCGCCCCTGAAATGGCTAATGTCAACACTGAAGAAGCGACCCAAACTTTATCTCATGTACTCAAAGTTTGCAATGGACCAGAGGACGGTGAATCACCAGAAGCTCAGCAGAAGTTCCAAAACTTGATTACATTATTGCTTAGTGAACTGTCAAACTCTAACAGTGTTGTTCGTGAAACAATACAGTCATCTTTCCAATTGCTGGCGGACTTGACAGGAAATGAGGTTACAGAACTGCTGGCTCCGGTGCGTGAAAGATTAGTGGCTCCTATTTTCGCGAAACCTTTACGTGCTCTACCTTTTGCAATGCAAATCGGACATATTGACGCTATTACCTATTGTCTGACTTTGCGACCGCCGTTCTTAGAGTTTAATGACGAATTAACTCGACTTCTTCATGAAGCTCTAGCTTTAGCAGATGCGGAAGATCAAGCCTTAGTAAGCCGCAGTTCTCAATACAAGAATACTACTTCTTTAATGAATCTGCGCATTGTGTGTATCAAGCTTTTATCGGCTGCTCTTGCATGTTCTGATTTTTCCAGTCAACGACAGATTCATACTCGTGCGCGAATTATTCAAGTCTTTTTCAAGTCGCTTTACTCTAAATCTGTTGAAGTAGTGGAAGCTGCTCACCGTGGTTTAAAGCAGGTTTTAGCACAGCAAAATACCAAAATGCCCAAGGAATTACTACAACAAGGCCTTCGACCTATCCTTACTACGCTTTCGAATCATAAAACACTAAGTGTTGCGGGTTTAGAAGGATTGGCACGGCTGTTAGAATTGTTAACAAACTATTTCAAGGTCGAAATTGGTAAAAAGCTACTGGACCACTTAAAACTTTGGGCTGAGCCGAAAGTCCTCCAAGATATTGCAGGAAAATCACTCAATGAGAATCATGAAATCAAGATTATTGTGGCCATTTTGAACATTTTTCATTTGTTGCCAGCAGCTGCTCATATCTTTTTGGATGAATTGGTTACAGTTGTAATAGAAATGGAAAGCCATCTGCGGCGATCAGTGTCAAGCCCCTTCAGGCCAAACCTTCTCAAATATCTCAATCGCTATCCCACAGAAACAATAGAGTACTTCTATGAAAGACTCAACGATCCGCAATGTTGCCAGTTGTTCATTGATTTATTGAATATGGAAGATGCAACACAATTACGCGAAGAGGTTTCAAATACATCTTCTCGATTGCTGAACAAGGTCTTCAGCGATATAATGACTAATGTAGAAGCCAACGAACAGACATCTATCCCTTTCAACGTTATTCATTATCGAGGTGCCATGATTATACATACCCTTTTCACATACAACAATGATTATTTGAACACCCACAGAGAAGTTCTAGAATGTTTATTGAATCTGTGGCGTAAGAGGCAAGGAGATAGTCAAGCACAAATCGAGCAGGGATCACAACATTTGTTGCCTACGCGTGAACTAGTTTTGCTAGCGAGGATATTCGTGTCTTATCTGCAAAAGAATCCTGACGAAATTGAATTGATATTTGAACTTGCCGCTCTATTTGTTCACGAATCTGTCGTAGAGCTAACATTCCTGCAGCGCTTTTTATTGGAAGACGTAGCCTTGAAAGTATCTGCCAAGCTAAAAAGACAAATCCTAGAGAAATTTCTGGATATGTTCACCGATAATTCTGTATCAACCTATCGAAAGATGATGACATTACGGCAACTCGTCAATCCCTGCTTGCTTGTAGCCTTTGTCAATGATAAAGAGTACATCAATGAGATATTTGATGCAAGCATGATTGAGCGGTTGCATGAAAGGGTTTGGGCGAATCTACTAATAGAGACCCTGGAAGAAAACCATTACATCAAGGATTCCCTTCTTATAGAGCTTTTACAAATGACAGCAATGATTGTACAATACGCGCCCCAACTTTTGGCTGATCGTCGTAAAGAAGTGATTAAATTCGGCTGGAACTATTTACGTTCAGAGGATGCCACCAGTAAGCAAGCAGCTTATGTGTTGATCGCCCACTTCATTGCTGCTTATGATACCCCTAGTAAAATTGCAATACAAATCTATGCTGCTCTACTTCGTGCACATTCATCCGAAGCTCGCAACTTGGTAAAGCAAGGTCTAGACATCATTGCACCTGTAGTACCCATCCGTATTACATCTCAAAACAACGATCGTATTCCAACCTGGGTTAGATTAACACGCAAAGTCGTTGTTGAAGACACACATAGTATTTCTCAAATAGTCAATGTGTATCAAATGCTCGTTAGACATGGCGACCTTTTCTATGAATACCGTGAACATTTCTTACCCCAAATAGTCAATACACTTCCGAAACTTGGCTTATTACAAAATGCTACACAAGAACATAAGCTGTTAACGGTCGAGCTAGCTGATTTGATCATGAAATGGGAGACGAGGTGTATAGTCGCTCAAAAGCAATCAGAAGTTGGAAGTACCGAAGAAAATTTACCTAATTCAGAAGCTCCGCTATCACCTTCAAAACGGAAAATGGAAATTGATACGGATCCTATTGAAATGCAAGGCAGTAGTGGTGGAAGCCCTAGCAAAAAAGCACAAGTTGAAACATCCTCTGGTGACGTTAGAGCTGTACCTACATCTTCAATGGATATAGACAGCGACAAAGCTACAGATGCAAAAGATTACGCTCCGAACCTAACTCTAAGGGAGAACCTTGTGGGGTACTTGGTTCGTCTTTGTTGTGCTCTTTATAATCCAATGGATACTGTCCAAAAGCGTCTGGTTCAACGAACCATAGAGTTGATAAAATCTTTCTTGAAGCCTGATTTCTGGCCTGATGTCCATATCAGATTCAACCATTTGGAACGCCCACTAATTTTTAGAGAAGCCAACGAGATGATTGTTACTAGCGTCTGTAGTGCTTTGGACTTATTGAATGCTGAGATCTCTCACCGCGATGATGAATCGATAATAGCCAATATGGGTCAATTATATCGTTTACTTGAAGCTAGTATCAAGTCAGAAAGTTCTCGTATTCAAACAGCACTCTACCCAGTTTTGATCCGAATTTTTAAAGCAATAGATAAAGATAAAAAAGAACTATCTAGCATAGAAGCTACACCTAAAGCGCCAACTATGGGAGGGTCACCGAATGCTACCGCTCCTTCTGCGTCTGGAGCGCAAACTAAAGTGTCTGATGTCACTTCTCCTATAGTCAAAACTTCAGCAACTTCGTCACTGAATGCCGCAGGTTCTTCTAATGCTGAGTCACTACACGAAGTAAACGAAAACAGTATTACACCCAGCAACCAGGTTTTGACTGAATCTGTACAACCAGCGCAAACACCTGAAGTAATTATTTTCTTGAAGTTAATCGACTCAACAATAAGGGAAGGTTTGGAAAGTATGACGAACATTTACAGTGTCTTAAAATTGCTTCATGCAGCATGCAGCAGCCGTCCTGAATATCTGGACCCATATGTTAGTGGCATAGTGAAGATGCTTCAATTACTCACTAAAGAGCACACCGTGCCTTCTGATTCGCCACCAAGCATGCCATATGAATCACAAATCAGTTTGCTCAGTTTGGGGCTCTCCCTTTTAAAGATACGAATTACTCATTTGGGTGATCAAAGACGCTGGTTCTTAACGTGTTTGATTCAACTAATTGAGAAGTCTCCGGATGCGCATCTCTTACGTAATATTCTGGAAATGCTTAGTGAATGGATTCTTGGCAAAGTCGAGCCTATTCCAACGATAAAGGAAAAGGCTGGCTTGTTAGGGAAAATGATGACGATTGAGTCCAGGCAAAATACTCAGCTAACTAATGATTTCCTAACCTTGGTGTTGAACATTTATAATGAGCCTACTTTTGCTCGTTCTGAGCTCACGGTTCGCTTAGAGAATGCTTTCTTACTAGGAGCACGTAATGACAATCCTGAAATTCGGTCACAGTTCATGAAACTTTTCGATGACAGCATCGACAAATCACTTCCTACCCGCCTAAACTATATTTTGGGCGTGCAGAATTGGGAGCCTTTGTCAACTTCGTTCTGGATACATCAAGCACTTGATTTATTGTTCGGCTGTATGCAGATCGATACGAGCGTTTCAACGCCATACACTCTAAAGGTTAAATCAATCAACATATTTGTCAACGATTCAAGCAATGAAAAAATGGATATCGATGTTTCTGAGGATGTAAGAATGCTAGTGGAATCCCACCAAAGTTTCTTGAAAGAAATGCAAAAGACCGATGTTCAACAAATGATAAATGATATACGTCAGTTACAATACCTTGATGATACTACTGCATTTAAACTCTGGGTGAACTTGTTTCCTTTATGTTGGGTATCATTGACAGCTGTTGCACGCCATGATATTACCAAAGTAATGATAGTTCTGCTTTCAAAGGATTACCACACTAAACAAGCGGAACTTAGACCCAATGTCATTCAAACTTTGCTGACGGGTATTTCAAACACAACACCGGCTATATCATTACCGCCTCAATTGATTAAATATTTAGGAAAAACGCACAATTGCTGGCATACAGCGATTGAGATTCTGCAAAGAAATGCGGTGACTGGACGACTTACCGATATTTCGAAGGAAGAACAGCTGGAACAACAACGATTGCTCGATTCACTTGCTGAACTGTACACCAGCTTGAAAGAAGAAGACCTATTCTATGGCTTATGGCGTCGACGTAGCGTGTTTGCTGAAACCAATATCACAGTATCTTATGAGCAAGCAGGAATGTGGCAACAAGCACAACAAATGTACGAAGCTGCTCAGATTAAAGCTAGAGGAAATCCATTGCCTTACACCGATTCTGAAAGCATATTGTGGGAAGATCATTGGATTTTGTGTACGCAGAAACTACAGCAGTGGGATATACTTTCTGATCTTGCAAAGACCGAAGGCAACACAAGTTTGCTGCTAGAATGTGCATGGCGTTTATCAGACTGGACAGCTGAGCGGGAGAATTTGGAACAATCACTTCAGCAAGTGGTAGACTTTGAGATTCCTCGTCAAAAAGTATTTGAAGGTTTCTTGGCCTTGATTAAATCGCAAACCAATCAAGAGCATTTGCCAGAGTTCACTAACATTTGTGAAGAGGGTGTCCAACTTGCACTACAAAAATGGCACGCACTTCCAGCCATAGTTACTCAAAGCCACCTGCCATTGTTGCAAACTTTCCAACAATTTTTGGAGCTTTCTGAAGCAAGCCAAATCTTTTCCAGTTTGTCTAATACAAATGCTCAAAACTTAGATCAACGCTCTGCAGAGCTTCGAAGTATTTTAGGAACCTGGCGTGAGCGTCTGCCTAATACTTGGGATGATATAAACATTTGGAGTGATTTAGTCGCTTGGCGTCAACATATATTCAGTGCTATTAATCGTACTTATTTACCTCTCATCCCGTTGTTACAACCTATCCAAGGGCAAAGTAACAATAGCAGCGGGCATTCATACGCATACCGTGGTTACCATGAGACTGCTTGGATTATCAATCGATTTGCGCATGTGGCTCGTAAGCATCAACTGTATGATGTGTGTAATAGCTACTTGACAAAGATTTACACCCTGCCCAATATCGAAATTCAGGAAGCTTTCCTGAAGCTTCGTGAGCAAGCCAAGTGCTACTACCAAAACTCCAATGAATTGACAGCAGGTCTCGACGTCATTAACAATACGAATTTAATGTACTTTACCCATCAGCAAAAAGCCGAATTTTTTACACTGAAGGGTATGTTTTTGGCTAAACTTCACCATTACAACGAAGCAAACGAAGCTTATGTCAACGCCGTGCAGATTGATATGAATTTACCTCGGGCTTGGGCTGAATGGGGCCGATACAATGACCGACGATTCAAGGAAAATACAAAAGACTTATCGTGGGCCAACAGTGCTGTCAGCTGTTATTTACAAGCGGCTGGCCTCTATAAGAATGCTAAATCACGTAAATATCTACTGCGCATTTTATGGCTTTTGAGCCTTGATGATCAGAATGGTACCGTATCTCGTGCTGTTGAGAATTATAAGGGTGAATGGCCTATTTGGTATTGGATTACGTTTATTCCTCAACTCTTGACTGCGCTTCAATATCGTGAAGGAAGACATGCCCGTTCTATTCTTGTGAGAATTGCAAAGCAGTTCCCCCAGGCACTCCACTTCCAGTTAAGAACAGCGAAAGAAGATGTAATAAAACGTGCCAATGTATATCAAGCAACGCTTGCCGCTGAAGCTGCACAACAACAGCAGAAGCAGCAACAGCAACAAGCATCTTTGGAAAACCAGCGAACTGCCAATGGTAATACTAGCAGTACCGCTGACAATAAACCAGAAACAGCAGATGATTCAGCGTCTTCTAACGAAAACACCGCTAATGGTTCAGCTCAAAAGAAGAAAGATGATGACGCGATGGATATTGATAGTAATGAAACAAGCGCAAAGGCTGAAGACAAGGAAGAGCATATGACTGAAAACTCTAATAGTACAAAAGAAAAAGAGAGTGGCAGTGGAGAAAATAGCAACAAGATAACTGATGCAGTGATAAAAACTGAGCCTATCGACGATGATGATTCAACAGAACAAGCGAAAACATCATCAACTACACCAGGGCAATTAGCATCAAACGGCAACAATGCGAAGGAAAATGCATCTCCAGCTGTGTCTAAAGAGACTGTGGCAACCAATGCCAATAATAATAGTATTGCAACAATTGGTGCCAATTCCTCCCAATTTTCAAGCAGCAACGCTGGCGTTAATAACGGCGTCCGACCTACAGCTTTGCCATCGCAAATCAACCCAACACCAGCAGCAGCAGGTCCTTTAGATGAGGTGATGTCCATGTTAAAGACAGGCTATCCACTTTTAGCATTATCTATGGAGACAATGGTTGATCAAATCCAACTCAAGTTCAAACCCCAAGCAGATGAAGATATGTACCGATTGGTTGTCGCTTTATACAATGAGGCAGCTCAAGTAAGTAATCGCTCCGAATAATGGATACATACATCTATACAAAGCTTACTCATGCTCATTTATTTTCCTTTCAATAGCAATTGCTGACGCGTTTACCTAATCCAAGCGATCCTCTTCATGTATTGCAACCTACCATTGCTAATCTGCATCGGTTTGCCGACAGTCTTTACCCTGGATATATGAAGACTGCTTTTGTGAATGATTTCGTAAAGCCAAAGATGAACCAAGAAGAATATATTGCCAAGTTACGTTTGTGGCGAGATAAATTTGAGGCCATGCTAGATGCAAGACCTCGTAAACTCAAATTAGAAGCTGCCAGTCATTATTTAGTCGAATTCCAACACCAAAAGTTCGATGATGTTGAAATTCCTGGACAATACCTTATGGTAAAACATTCATAAAAACCTATTCTACATTTGAAAAAGAATTTTTCTAATCAAAACTCTTCTTTTCCGTCTTTTTCTTTATGTTATAGCTCAAAGATAATGCCAACGACTTCTTACGTATTGATAGGTTTTTACCTGATGTGGAGATTGTTCGTAGTTACGGAAACTGTTATCGTCGCTTGCGTATTCGCGGTCATGATGGTTCAATACATCCATTCTTGATTCAAAACCCTGTCGCTCGTCAATTCCGTCGCGAAGAAAGATTAATGCAACTCTTCCGTATGCTAAACTATATTTTGGAGCGTCGTAAGGAGAGTCGTTTACGTAATTTAGCGTTCCACTTGCCTGCTATTGTACCACTTGCACCAAATGTTAGAATGATTGAAGATGACCCGTCGTACACTTCTTTGTACGACATTTACGAAGATCATTGTGATAATGTGCAAATGCATAAGGATGATCCACTCGTCTATTTTGTAGAAAAATTCAAGCAGAACATAAGTAACCAGAAGGATGTAAGTTGCAAGCAAAACAGAAGTGATACAAAGTTCTGTCTTCTAAAAATAGAGTTATTGTATTTTACTAGATTGTTCATCAAAAGACAGAAATGATAAATCTTCGTATGGAGATCAATCATTATATATCATCTAATATGGTGCCGTCTGATATCCTAAGCAAGGTAGGCTATTCTTGCGATGCATTAAAAGAATGCTGTTACTCGATATTAATCATCACTGTTGAATTATAGTACTTATTTAAGACCATGCAGTCTTACACCGATTTCTGGATGCTCCGAAAGCAATTTACAGCACAATATGCTACAGCTACGTTTATGACTTACATATTCAGTGTAGGACATCGTATGCCTCACAAAATCATGATTTCGAAGAGTACAGGCAATGTTTGGATGGTAGAATTATTACCTGGTAAGTTTTTCGATTTTCTGCAGAAATGTCATTCATAAAGACCTATGTACTCAACGTTTCTCAATATCTAGTGTGGAATAATTCTGCTTCTCCCATCTTTAACAATTGTGAATCTGTTCCTTTCCGTTTCACACCCAACATACAAGAATTCATTACACCCATCGGTGTCGAAGGTTTATTCACCAGCTGCTTAATGGCCACTGCTCGTTGTTTGACTGAACCTGACTTTGATTTGGACCAATATTTGTGTCTCTTCGTGCGTGATGAGTTGGCCACTTGGCATTCTAATAATCAGCGTTCATCAAATGACGTACAATTCAGAGAAAGAATTAATACTAATGTACTGCAAGTGCAAACGAAAGCCCAATTCTTATCTTGTAAGACAGACCGTGAAAAGACTTTGGCTGCGGGTAAGCCGAACAATCAGAACGTTATTGATCTTATATCACAAGCCAGTAATCCTCAAAAAATGGCTCTAATGGAATGCACTTGGATGCCATGGCTGTAGTAGAAAAGTTATTACGTACAAGTTGCTTTTCTTTATATTATTATTTATGTATATTCTTAAATACACACATTACTACTATGCACTTCTTATTACAACAAAAATAAAATGTAAATTTATTCTTAAGATTTCGAACAATAATATCAAAAAAAAACCAATTTGCTAATTAATACAGGTCAGAGAATAATGAAAGAAATGGGAATTGAATCATGAGAGAGTCAATCGAGGCGAGGAACGGGTGTGAAAAGACTGTTGTTTTTTTTTAAAGAAAAAAGCGTATAATAATCGGTTGTGGAATGCACTTAGTCAATGTGGGCATTTTGGTTAACGTAGTTGTTGTTTGTAGTGGAAGATAAGATGCCACCACCAAGAAGACCAGTGAGCTATTATTATTTGTACGAATGAAAAAGCGTGTTAGTTTACTAAACTCTTCTTATTTCCCCGCGCTTTTCCTATTTCTCTGGATTTTTTGATAATCAGGAACTGCAACTTACAAGGCCACCTTTGGCACCGGAGCTACCACCAACGTTGCCAATGACTTGAGTAATATCTTTCTTACTGTTGTTATCACCTTTATGTTGATGATCCTTATCTTTGCAGGGAGCAGCAGTAACCATGAGGACGGCAGAGAGAACAGCGAGGAGAGTAAAGCACTTCATTTTTGTTGTAGTAGTATTAGTATTTATGGTTTTTGTTGTGTGGAAATCTGTTAGTTAATTAGATTTGAGAATGATAAAAAGAAGGATAGGATGATTTTGACACTTGTATTTATACATAATTTTCTTCCATCATCCCTCCCCTTTTAACCTCACTTCAAGGAGGCGATAAGTTTTCTATATCTTAATTACGGATCAGGAAGCAATATAAAATTAAACTAGAGGCACACACACACACACAGTTATACACAAGCAACAACCCCTTCAAACCATGACCACGAAATTCTTTACATTTCTTATTTTGGAAAGTCAAACTGAAGCTCAAAAGACTACATTTGACTCTTAAAAAAAGGAGACAACAGAAAACGCAAATGAGGGGCCGTTGTATTGTGTAAGTGTCACGAAAGATACGATTTTGGGAATTTTGCTGTAGAAATCATAGATGAAAATGGCAGGGAGTTTACGTCCGTTTATATGGGATTATTTTGCGTATAATATGAGCAATATACTCAGATCGCTACCAAATTCCTAAAAGCAGCAAACTTACATTCATGGTAAATTGGTAGACTCTTTGTTACAAGATGTTGGAAAAAGAAAACTACTGGTTAACCTAGCCAAAAGCATTCACGTTTTGTAACAGCAAAGCAAAACAACAATACAAAGCACTTTCTTAACCACAGCAACATCTTCAATGGCAAGGAAAAACTCTTCATTTGTTAAAGATTGCTTTGCTTGCATTTGCAGCGATTGAAAGTTTGTCAAACCAGCGAACCTCTCCTTGATACTATTTTAAAGTCGCAGACGTAAAAGACTGTTTGCATCACTCCGTAGGATATTGTGATAAACTCTTTGAGAAATAGAATAGCTTTCTAAGACTGGTAGTGTTTATCGCGTATCATTATAGAACAAGAGATAAATATGTATACAACCACAGAATCACACTTGATACCTAGCCGAAGAGCCTCAGAGGATACAACCACGGAACTTCCAGAGTCTCTCCTTTCTTTCAGCGGCCAGGCAATTGTGTTATTGTGAGACAACACTTCTAACACCGCTAGTTCTTCCTAAGCATCTCGAATGTTAAGTCGCCGGAAATGGTACAACCATTGACTAAACCTTGATTTAACGTAATGAACAAGAGGAGTATGACAGAGTCTCAACATGAGTATTTCAATCGGGCTCCTACTGCTGCTCATTTATTATAAATCACTCACCCTTGAATGCAGTGGAAAGGATGCTTCGGTTATTATGAATGTGCCTAATTATCTTTGATTGCAGAATATGTGGCGACAGGGAGCATTTCAATTGCATGACAAAGTTGTAGGTTATTTCAAGAGTTTACTATCAGAAATCTGCGGTTCATTTATTTTTAGAAAGGTAGATGACCTTGTAAAACATGTTTGAAGAGCGATATGAACGTCGACAGCAACAATATACAGCGAAGACGACGAGGATAATAATAGAAGCCAAAAATTAGCGAAACAGGGAGGTCAACATCTGATAATCAGAAAAGAGAAACAACGACATTGAGAAAGCAAAGAATAATGAAAATTGCAAGTAGTACGGTTCCTAAATCGATGATAATCACTACACACGTGTATCAATGTACATCAATAATACTATCATTGTCGCTGCAATTGTTGATTGACAGAAAAAGAAAACCAGTAGGCAGCGACTCATCTTTACCAACGCTGTCAATGATGCTTATTTAACCAAAGCAATCATGCTTGAAGTATTGAAAAACCATTTCAAACGTACCGAGGCATTTGCAAGGCTTCATCATCCTGACTATGGTCTAGGCTGTGGACCATTTATCAAAGATACAGGAGAAAGCAATAGCGTATAGCTAATCAAATTAGAACTGGAAATGTTCGGATCAATACTTACAATTGAATGCCTCCTTTTTTTACATTTGTGCTTTGAAGGTAGAGGGATATGGGGCGTTAAGCTCTGGGATAAGAGCTCTCATCTGAAAAAAAAAATATTTTTTTTGCTAATGTATAGTTATTCAAAAGATTATGAGAGAAGTCTACAAGCATTCCTATTTTTTACAATCATAATTGTGTTTTGATTCTCGCGTAGTTGAAACCTATTTTCTGTTCTTGGAAAGGTCTCACGTTAAACACATTTCTGGAATGGTTCCTAGAAAGATATCACGGTTTTGAACGTGGGAACTTTGATCAAAGGTCTATTTTTCATTGAGAAAGACAGCAGCGTCATTTTTCTCACGATTTTAACTCTTCTCTGAATTAAACGAAATGCCCTTCTTTCTCTTCTCTTTTGCACCTACGTAATTCCATATCACTCCAGTAAAATTGACACGGATAATGTTGGCTAGACTCTCAAGAACTACTGCTGCAATCAAAGTAAGTGCATAAAGAGAAAACCTATTTTGACAGTCGTAATCCTGTGTCTCCTTATACTTAAGTGTGTTAAACGAAACATCTCCTTAACTTCCACGAATAGAATTTACCTTTTTACAGGAACAATAACATCTATAATAATGTAATCCGATCATCTTCAATTAAATCATTCACCACTTATAATTCAGCTATTGCCAATTTGTCACCTCAACAAGAAGAACTGCGTGCAGCTGTCCATGATTGGGTCAATGTAGAAATCGCCCCTCGCGCTGCTTCCATCGATAAAACGAACGAATTTCCTATGGACATGTGGCGTAAGTTAGGCGATATGGGTTTACTGGGCATCACAGCGCCTCAAGAATATGGTGGTTTGGGTTTGGGTTATTTTGAGCATACGCTTGTCATGGAGGAAATTTCGCGCGGAAGCGGGTCAATCGCACTCAGTTATGGTGCACACTCAAATTTGTGCGTCAATCAAATCACACGTAATGGTAACGCTGCTCAAAAGGCTAAATACCTGCCCAAGCTCATTTCAGGTGAACATGTGGGTGCGTTGGCTATGTCAGAGCCGACAGCTGGATCAGATGTGGTGAGCATGAAGCTACGGGCTGATAAGAAAGAAGGAAGATACGTATTGAACGGGAACAAGTTTTGGATAACCAATGGTCCTGATGCTGATGTGTTAGTGGTCTACGCCAAGACAGATCCTGAAGCAGGAGCAAAAGGTATCACTGCCTTCCTAGTGGAAAAGGTAAGCTTCATTTAAGGAGATTGAGAGCACATTAGTTGAGTTGAATGAGGGTTTCCCGTGTATATGCATGTACGAAGTCTCCCTAAGAAACGAAAAAAAAAAAGGAATGGTCTCGATCACTCAAGGGAGGGGTGAGCTATTCAAAGATTGGATATTGAATCAGAGTATCGTTCTGATTAGGGATTCAAAGGGTTCTCAACAAGCCCAAAATTCGACAAGTTGGGTATGCGTGGATCAAATACATGCGAATTGATCTTTGAGGATTGCGAAGTACCTGGTAAGTTATCGTTAGAGCAGTGACTGAACATAGAACGGAAAAAGGACCTTTCGATTGAGTGCTCTGTCATTCTATAGAGGAAAATGTACTGGGAAGCGTTGGCAAAGGCGTATATGTCTTGATGAGTGGTCTCGATCTTGAAAGACTGGTTCTCTCCGGTGGCCCGTTAGGGTAAAGTATTTAAATTATACGAGAATAAGGAATCGAGCAGAGAAAAAATGGAGAAAAAGGAGACCATACAAATTCAGTAGCAGTGTTAATTGAAGTAGAATGTCCATAAAAGAGTATTAACAGCACCATTACATAATTTCCTTATTTCAAATAGTTTGATGCAAGCGGCTTTCGATGTCGCAGTTCAATATGTCCATGAGCGTCGCCAGTTCGGTGTTCCCATTGGTGAATTTCAGGTAACAACAATAACAACATCCCGCAAACCTAACGACCGCTCACAGACATCTTTTTCTGTATTTGAATTACATAAGCTCATGCAAGGAAAGCTTGCAGATATGTATACCAAATTAAACGCAGCACGTTCCTATGTTTATGCAGTGGGCAAAGCATGTGATCTTGGAAATATCAGTAACAAAGATTGTGCAGGTGCCATTCTTTATTCTGCAGAAAGAGCTACGGAAGTAGCACTGGATGCTATTCAGTGCTTGGGTGGCAATGGCTATACTAATGAATACCCTACAGGAAGAATACTACGTGATGCTAAATTATATGAAATTGGTGCTGGTACTAGTGAGATTAGAAGAATGCTGATTGGTCGTGAGTTCAACAAAGAATTCAAACAGTAAAATAGAAAGAAAAAGGACTAGTGTAGATATACCTGTACCTCTAAAGGTCAACATTTTGATTTCTAATTGCTAAAATTCATAAAAGTTAGCAAGTTGTCTCAAACATTGTAGATGGATATCTCATTTATCGTTAAGAATGCGAACCTTAAGTTTGTCTGTATTTTATCTTTTGATAATGCTTTTCTTCATCCTGTCATTACATAGTAGGTAAAGGGACAATTTTAACCGTCTATACTTCAGTTTTAGTCGTTATTCTGGCAAAGGGAGCCTAACATCAATCTATTGAAAACAGTGGCAAGGGCTTGAATTAGGTCCTTTTGAAGTTTTTTGTACGTAATCCGTAGTTTAAGTAGAAGAGACTTCTAATTGTTCGCTAAATGTTTTCATTGACGTACAATCGTTGTAATAGCAACGTGATGTACGATACAGAACAATGGTCAAACAAAGGGTAGCCAAGAGATGTCATACATGGGACAACAGCATTATTTGCCTACGTACTCAAACGGTTCAAAATAGAAACTGTATGCTTAAAGATTATTACAGCTACTATGCCTGTTAGACCATTCACGAACATTATTACAATATTACATCATTACCGTGTTTTATGTGTTTTAAAATAGTCGCAAATCGAATAAAAAAAAAAAAAAATCTTCGTTTGTATAATAAAGCGATCAGAAAGGGTTACCAAGTGCTTAAATTCTTCGTTTAGTCATACTGTGAAAAAAGCCTATGACGTCTGTATAATGTAGGAAAGGTAAAACAGAAATAGACGGGTAGTGGCAAACAAACATTATACTTGTGCTGATAGTGCTAATAGCAGTTTACAACTGAAGGAGTGGAGCTTTACACAGCCATATCCGACTTCAATCTTTCCTCTTCTCAACTATTTCAGGGCTATAGTGCGATTTGTATTGATGATTTAATGCTGCGAAAGACTAACGATCAAGGCAGGAGAGCGTCTCATTGATCAATGATATTAGTCAGACACTCTTCCAACAGATTTTCCTCACTCGCCCTTTAAGAGAGTTGTATAGCACTAGTCAACAAAATTGTGCAGGTTCGAATCATCCCATTCAGACTAGACAAAACGGAGAAAGAGTACCTGTCTCAGAAAAAAAATAAAAAACCCTAGTTTTGTTTAATTTGGCTGATAAATACTGATAATACTTTTCAACTGTAATAGAGTAGGTATCTATATAAGTTGCACACTTCCCAAAATTGGATTCATGCAGAAGACATAGATTTTCGCGTTTTCAGTTTCTGAATTCCGCTGACGAGCACTTTATTACAGTTGCAACACAAAGTTTTCAGTAGCAGCCAAAAGTATTACTTTCTTGGGAAATAGGCTTCCAAATTTATGCACAGTATCTTTTTTGATTGGCCAATATTTGAATTCGTCTAATGCGATTCTCTGCCTTAATCAATCGATCTCGGCTTGCTTGGATGCGTCTGTCTTTAAAAGACAACTTTTTTGGAACACTTAAACCTCCATCCTTTGGCTTTTACGATCAAAAAATTTTGTGTTTGGACATCAAATTTTTTGGTAAACCAGAGTAAAATTTGGTACAGACCAATGAAAAAGCGTCTATGTCAACACGCACTACTTCCGTGAGCTTCAAATCAATCCACGCCATCTAATGACTTTCCTACATTGCCTTCACGATTCATTATCGCTTAAAGCTCATTGTTATCATCTTCTTGCTCTTTTCTGTGCTGAAATCATTGCTCGGCATTAGTCCTTTGATAACGACATCGATCAATAGATCTCAAACTTAATAATCATCAAGTGATGAAATTAAAAGTTTCCCTCATGAGTAATATGCACTTGACACGCTTCAAACATCATCTTAGAGAATGCTCACCTATTTTCATTACTTTTTAAGGAGTGAAAACAATAAGCCCATCTAATTAAATCATCATCAGCACTCTAAACAAAAGTATATGCCTCCTCAACAGTATTTTCAGTCACTAAATTGAATGGTATCTTACTAATATGTTTTCAATGCCGCATTAAACCATTGGTATCCACACCTTGAAGTTATTCTTCAAAGCATCTTGTACAGATACCTATACTCCACAAACGATACGGGTAAGCCTCAACATGAAAAAGCATAATCTCAATTTATTGCGATGCTTATGTCAATATCGTTATTGCAGCTTCATATTCTTGCAGCTTTGAAGTAATGTATATCGTAAAAAAGAATCAAAGTATCGCACGTACTACCAAACGCACTATATTCCGCAGGGGCCATATTGATGTATGATTGAGGCTTACCTTTTCAAGTACTAGCATAATTTCTAAATTCAGTGTCTAGCAGGATGATTTCCAAAGCCTTTCATCAGCAATACCTTTGCTCTTTAGCTTTATATGCCCATATACTTTGATAAATAAAAAAAAACCAGGACGTGCGTTTTATGTTGCCCATCGAAATCGAAAAGGCTCGTGATTATACACCTTTTCGATAACGTTGTCACACGTAGATACCTTTTGCAAAAGGAATTTGCTGCTTTTCCAAAAGATATGTGAATATATTGAAAGTTCGTTAGGAATAGTGCAATCGATGAAAATGGGTTTACTGTAAAACGTAAATCATATAATATAGTTTTACAGCAAGCAAAATGTTTGAGAATAAAAAATAATTTGAAAAACATATCTGTTTCTCGATTTCCAAGACGCTAAGTATGTCTTTATTACATTACTGTAGGAGCGGAAGATTAACGTGTACGACTATAATAAGAGTCATGATGGCACGTCGTAGAACAAAGGTATCGCTGGAGTCGTTTTTATTTAAAGAACTTCCTCGAGACTGCTGGCTAGCCTTGAAAATGACAGCCTAAGCTACCCAAAAAAATTATATAATCAAGATCTGTCAGTATTTACGTGATAAACCAGTGGCAGTCTTCAAATAGTAAATCTTGAAGGGATTGATCTATCTTGTAGCTGCTTTGATGTCCCTAGAAAATCAATGGAATTGCTGGAAGCAGGTTTTCGCTTAACGCGATATATATCCTATTGCTAGTGACTCACCTATTCGTTTTGTTGTTAGCGACTCGATTCTGTAAGTATTAGGATTTTTTTGTTTGATCTTACTACGACTTTCAATATACATGTTTGATTGCCAATTCTTTTTTCGATTACTGTTCTGCTAGCGCCTCTTTTCGTATTGTTCCGTGAAACTGGGGATGATATTCGCTTTTTAATACGCGAAAGCTATTGACTCGCATTAACGATCCTAACGTATTGTGCCATCCCCACAGCGAACCTAGAATGCTGTGTCAATTATCAAAAGTATTTCCAAACTCAATCACTATGAACTGCAAAAATCAGTTTTTTACTTTCCAAAATTGAAGAGATTTTATCAAAAATCCAAACCAAAAAAAAAAAAAGAGAATTTCAAACATTGCAAATAGGGTGGTCGTGGACCTGATTAGCGATTTTTGTACGGTTAAAATATCCGCGAAACGCCATTTTATGATGGCTTGTTCCTTTGCCATCGGTCAACAATGTTGATTTCAAATCAACATATAATGCGTAGCAACTCTTTAGTTTTCTGGCACCTTCCTTCTGTATTTCATTTGCACACAGAAATCAAGCGACTTTTTTCCTCATGTGACTGAGATAAAATACGAAACTTTTTCCTTCTCCTCTTTATCTCCTCTCTCCACCCTCCTCCCCCCCCCCCTTTAAACGGAATACCCTTTTTCAAACGCCCTTTCTCTTTTTTTCTCTTTTTCTTCTTTTCCATTCTATTTTTCTGTGTTTGAATCTAAACAAATAAAGAAATCTTGACAAATATCATGTTGAATCTAGAAGACTTTGTAGATATGGAATGGGTAGAGGATAATAATAACAGTGCTGCTTCTGAAGAAAGCAATACTAGCGATAACAGCAGTACGGACATGATGTTCAGTAATGATTACTTCCTGCTTTCACAACAGCAACAACAGGCTTTGACTTCCACAACAATGAATATGACCGGTGTTGAACAACACCATCCGGATCTGATGAAATTGGAGGCTCTCCCTTCCACCGAGCAAATCAAACAATTGATTGAGATAGCCAAGCAACAACTAGCTTTACGTGAACAGCTTCAACAGCTACAACAACAGCAACAGCAGCAAGACCTTTTTCAAAACATTTCGGCTACAGCAGCATTAAAGACTGAGGAGGAATCCCAAACTGCTGCGCCTTCCACTATTTTTGCACCACCGCCACCTGCTACTGATAGTAACACTACCACAACGGCTAGTATACTACCGCCTCCTTTATCACCTAGCTCTGTCACATCAACAGATATGGTTTTACCGGCGCCTGCAGTAGCACACTATGAGGGAAATGAAATACTAATGAAAACAGAGGACTCAGCTTCTTCTTCAATAAATCAAGACAGTTTGATGAGTGAAAGTAACACTCATAACAACGACAGCTGCAGCACAAGTAGTTGTAGTAGCGGCAATAGACAGAAGGGTTCGCTTTCACATTTCCCCGAAGAGCCCTTGTCCTTAGAAGCCTATGCTGAAGCTGATGGCATCGATTTAAAGAAATTAACACCTAAAGAACGTCGTCAATTACGCAACAAAATTTCAGCTCGAAATTTCAGGGTTAGAAGAAAGGGTAAGCATATATTATAGTTTTGTATATACATGACAGAATACGTCTATATTAAATCTAATCTTTTCTGCTACAACAAATTAGAATACATCTCCACTTTGGAAGGTCAAGTAAATGATCATAAAATGGCTGCAGAAGCACTGAAAGAAAAATTGAGACAAGTTGAAGATGAGAACAAGAAACTACGTTTAGAAATGGATTCATTAAAGAAACAAAATCAACAACTTTTACAGCAACAGCAGCAACAGCAGCAACAGCAACAACAACAGACACAAACACAAACACAATCAAAGCAAAGCCCTGCTATTTCATCACCGCGCATTACCTCCCCTTTACCCAAGCCCAATTTGAACAAAGATATCAGCATCCTTGGAACAAAAGCGACAGATTCTTATCGCCAACAAGAACATTGTATCCTTGTTTCTAATGCTGTTATGCCCAACTGGGATTACAGTACTATTTTGCATCAAAAGGTTACTGCTGTTCGATCAGACGAGCAAAAAGAGCCTCAGATATCAGAACATATGAAGAAGATCATCGGTCAGTTTTTATTATCCTTTGTGCAACTTGCAAACACAATGCCGACAACCATCACTGCTGCTGCTTCCACCACCAACACCACTACCACTATTACTTGTGGAACCAATAAAAAACAACAGGATAATAATGATGTTATAACTGATAATAACAAACCCCTGATGCCAGATGATCGTGATTTTACATCTTCCACAACAATGAACAAAGAAAATAAGCAGCAACAACAACTACAGACACAACATCAAAAGAAAGGGTCCTCCGCATATATAGAATATCTTTATGATATCTTGATACAATCTTCGCTTATCAACAGCTCAAATAATGACCAAAAATCGTTCTGGTGGTGGGATAACAATACGAGTAACAATCACCGAAATCCACGAGCTGCTTAATCACTTTTACCTGTTTTGCCCCAAATTTCATCATATTACCCCTACCCCTTTCTTCTTTTTTGCACACACATACACACACACACACACACACACACACATATTACCCCCTACTCCACACATAAACACACACTATCTCTACTACTGCTTTGCTTCAACACATTATCATACATGGTTCATTCTATCTATATCGTCCCTTTTCTGTTTTATCTAATTGATTTGATTTTCTTTTTACTTCAATATTTTTGGGCTATCCAAATATAAAATTATCGCTCTTTCAAACAAACTTTATACACTGTTTTTCTCTAAAGAAACCTCGAGTTTCAAATCTTAACCATCATTTGACCATTTTACCCATGAATAAAGCATGTTTCTGTATCCAAAATGTATAGACTAATACCAATCGAAGCTTTTAATTTGGATCGAGAACTAGTACGAAGTGCATATCTCATTATTACAGAAAAGGAAGATGAGAACAATAAAGCTCGTTTTCATTTTTATACACCCTTTTTCGGAAAATGATCCGGGCTTTTGCTAAAGGAATGATATGGACAAAGATGGTAATAAATAGTACTTTCCCTCTCTCTACGCTTAAAGTATTTTAGCTCGTGGTTTAGACGAAACTGCAATATTACTGCTGTGAATCAAAGTATCATAATGAGATTTTTTTCTTTTGAAATTTAGACGTTTTCACAGTTCACGATAATGATGTTTGTGTTAAAAATAAATAAAAATAAGCCTGCTTCGCTCTACTATAGATAGTTATCATGCTATCAGCTATATCGACGTTCTTTTTAAAGTTATGTGTAAGTTATGCATACAAGAATACTCTAACCCGTTACACTTTCTAATGCTTTTAAGCTCTCTCGTTTATAAGTGATGTATATTTATGTATAAATAAAGTGAGGCGTCCATCAATAGTAATAACTGGAGAGTTACTCTAATTAAAAACGCCTTAACAGCAACCTGAAAGACTTTAATTTAGGCAACAGTATCAATCAGTTTGACATCGTTTGGATTTGATATGTTTGAGTGTATATACATCATCTTGAGAAAATTTCAAAGCTAGAGAAAGCATATGAATGAATACACATTCTGGATTCTTACCCCATCTTGTGGTTCGGGCAGTTTTTTTATGCCTGCCTGAATAGCCTAAGAAGGCTTACAAATCTATGCTGTTGAAGAAGATTGAACTTTTTAAGAGTTTTTTTGTGAGAATATGCGCAATGTTACTTGAAGCATATTGGCTTCAGGGAGATGTACTCCTATTGAAGGATACCTTCCGACTAAGTGCATAAATGTTATCAATAGTTGTATTTAGTTGACGGCACTTTCGCTTACAGAAATATCGTGAGCTAGGTTCTTTAAAAAGAGATAAAGGGTGTGGCAAGGTTCGAACCGCAGATACGTGCAAAACTGACATTTCCAATAGAGATTATTTCACGATTCTGTACTATATCATCTTTCCTTTGTCTAACCTTGTTATTTGATGATTTTCCTGGTTTCCATTTGTTAAGAAAACAATATGAGCACTTTACCGAATAAAAAATTTTGCAGCAGCGACACAATAGCGTTAGCCGGTTTAACCATAGTATAATAAGAGCTGCAGATAGCAACCGTAGAGACAGATTGCGAGAAGTTGTTACTATGAAGTATAGGCGTTTAAGCGCCTGCTTAGGGAACGTTGCAGGAGGTTAGCATGTTACATGGTCAAAAACATATCTTGATTATGAAGCACAGTGGTAGACAATCCTTAAAAGTGTCATATTTTATATCTATTTCAGTGATATTAATAGCAACATACAAGTAATGTTACGTGTTAGACGACACACCCTATCCATTCAATCTTTATAACTATTCCTTTTTTTAGTAAATTTTTCAGGAATATAACAACGCAAAGACTTTGACATAGTGCTTGATCATGGGCTCAATTGATTGATGTGAAAAGCTCTTTCGCTCGTTGACGGTATTACGGAACAGATGGGAGTCCAATAAATTTTCGGTGTGGAAAGTTGTTTGAGCTGCCTTTGCATAACATTAGAGAATAGAAGCAAAGTTGAAGAAAGAGAAGAGATCGGAAAGGCGTCTCGAACTGAATTGCTTTTACTTTGCTCTTCGGTATGCGCGTATCTTAAACTTTGACGGTTTAAGAAGAGAAATTAAGAGAATGAATAGTAAATGAAAAGGACAAGGGACAAAAAGTTAATTATTCATTATGGCTGCTTTCATTCTTCAGGCCCTTCGTTTCACCTCTCACATCCTACCACAACAGCGGATATTACAAAAGAAGACGCGAAAACTGAAAGGCAGGACCAAGAAGGCTTGTATTCCCCGCTCTCAACTTAGCGAAATTTACGTTTTTTTTTTTTTTGCGCCTCAAAGAAAAAGAAAACGCGTTCTCCATCTTTGAATTCCCATAAAGTCTATTAAAGAAAAAATAATACTATTAAGAAATTGTATCATCTTTGTGTATACAAAATAAAGTAATGCCACCAAAGAAAAACAAAGGAATGGAAGATATAACACCCATTTCTAAGGATAAAGAAGAGGAAATGAGCTCAGCCCTCATTGCTCAGCTTTTGGCAGAAGACGCAATGGCAGGCAACGATCACTATTATGCTGAATATAGTAACGATTCCAGAGCGTATGATCCCTATCAATCAAGAGAGGAATTTGACGACAGTTACGAAGATAACTCAGAGGACGAGTTTAATCCGAAAAAGAAGTACACGCCCAAATACCCAAAAGGTAGCAAATAATTCATGGTTGTATGTTGCTTGCCCAGGTTATGAATCACCACTTATCGCGAATTCCAAATTGATAGCCAAAAGGGGCCGTAAAAGAAAATCAACAGTTAGGAAAGATGAAGAGGCACAGGAAGCCCCTACATCTGACAAGGACCTAACAACTTCTGAAGTGGCACCTGTCCCGGAGAAGAAAGTTAACAAAAAACCTAGAAAGCCCGTGCCTGAAGGATACAACACAGGCATATACACAGATTTGGAGGAGCAGAAATTTATCGAAGCACTGGAATTATTCGGTAGAGACTGGACAAAGGTATTGAAATAAGCTTTTATATTGTCTCGTGGGAAGGTGCACCAAATTAGTGGACTAACAATCCTTGGTCAGGTTCAAACACACGTTGGCACGAGAGATGCCAATTCTATTCGTAGTCATGCTCAGAAGCACTTCATAAAACTGTACAGAGATCAGATACCTTTACCAGAAAAGGTAAGAGAATCTGGAGAAGGGTATACACTATCCGGTAATCCCCTGGATCCAAACTCTTCAGCAGCCCAAGCCTATTTGAAACGTGGTGCACCAAAAACCAACACAACGAAAAAGCCACCACCTGCAGTTGAAAAGATCGAAGACAAAAAAATCGTTGAGCCAATGGAAGCAATGGAAATAACAGAAAACAAAACAGAAGATAAAGTGATACCTGCTTCTGATGAAACGAAAGTAACCGATGACAAAACAGCTGTTGCTGTTAACAAAGGCATCACGGAAGGAGTTGAAAAGCAGACAGAAGCACTTAAGATCAGCGAGAAAAAGGAGAAAGCCCATACAAAATCATCGACTAGTTCATCATTGTAAACTATTATTTCTTCTAGATGAATGATCTTCAATTAGTGCTTACCAGTTTTTGATGTATAGGACGACAAACAAGTCTGATGTGTACGACTCATCCGGGAGAACAACGTACGCGAGTACCCGCCTGAGAAAACAACGAGACGCGTCCTCTTTGAACTACGGACAGATTACCAAAAACGAGTAATTATCAGCTCCTTTGCCATTCTTGCTGTTGAAAAAACTGATCTTTTCCTGTTTTACATTTGTTTAGAGATCCATTGACAATGATAAAGTGTGAGCCATTCATCGGAAAGCCCGGATCGAATGTAAGCGGATGCCAACCGTTCGAAATATCAGTCGACTCGAACGTACTATTAGCGATGGATTTCCATGCCCATCTTATGGAAACAGAAATTATCGGCTTCCTGGCTGGCGAATGGAACAATGAAACCAAACGTAATATCATCCTTTCTGCCATTGCTCTCGATTGATAAGTTGTTGACTGTGATCTCAAATTTATAGGGATGCATATTAGAGAAGCGTATCCTTGCAAATCAATTGAAACTGGTCAAAATGATGTTAACGTGGAAATGGATCCAACAAGTGCTATTGAGACTAGACAGATAATTGAAGAACGTGATATGAAAGTTGTTGGCTGGTACCACTCACATCCTAGATTTATACCCGACCCCAGTCTCGTCGATATTGAGAATCAGCGCAACTATCAAACATTATGTCGAGAGGAGCATAAAGAAGGTGAAATAGCGGAAGCATACGAACCATTTGTGGGCGCTATCGTGGGGCCCTATGATCCAGCGCTGCCTGGTTCCGCTAGCGTCATCAATTGGTTTCATGTCTCCACGTCTGGCAGCGGAGATAATAAAAATGTGCCTAAGAGACTAATATATGATCTGAAAGAGAATGAAAACATTTCTCAACTGGAAACTGAAAGATTGGTGAGCTATCAAGTACATCTATAGAGAAATGATTGAGCGTGGTTATACTAATAAGATTTTGGTTAGTTTGATCTACTCGAATTATACAAAGACTCTCCAGAAAGGGTGGCATTTGCTGAGCATTGGAGACAGGATGCGTCAGAGACCAAACTACAGAAGCTGATTAAAAGTTTAGGAACGCGAATGCCATGGGTTCAAAAGCGAATCAAGGATAATATGGCAGTGAAAGATATGTTTTTAGAACAAGTTCAAGCCAAATTGAAGGATTGGTAATGATTGTGAAGCTTCTCTGTTCAGAGGAGCGTTATTTGACGTGTAGATATCCTACTCTTAATAAAAATCACTGTGGTTCCCGAAATATAGCGAATTACATCTTAAGAAATTTCTTAACATTGGATGGACCATAGTTTGCAGTTGTAATCAGAAGTTCAACTTCAAAACATAGTATTGCCATATAGTAACGCGCTTCCCTTATTTACTAACGAGCATTGTACTCTGCTAATCTATCAGTATCACTCCCTTCACTTTTGGCAGCAATGCTGATAGGAATCTTTCATCATTCTTTTCTTTAGTGTCTTTTACACTAATATTACCGCTCATTTCAATGCAATGATAGTTTGATTCTTAGCTAGGAGCCAAGGTATGAAGTCATCTTCTAACTTTTTGACTCCTTGATAGAGTTCAGGAGGAACTTAAACTTAACTCAAATTAACACTGGAATTACTTTCACTGAAAACTACCTGACTGGAGTGGGGCATACTCGATATAAGTATTATGAAACAGAGCTTAATTCAAGAATTCTACAGATATCACCAATCACGATATATAGTAATAGGACGTAGTGTCATTGGGTTTCTTCAGTTGCCAATTTCAAGTATGTTCCTCGTTCTTCGCGATAACCTGACTTTAAATTCTACTGAATTGATGAAGAGAAAAGAGATGGAAGATTCCGAACTCAATTCTGAACTGTTTATTTCGCTTCAGTATTTAGGAAAGACGAGCAATTTGATATTTTGTACATAATATTGCAGCCAGAAACAGATACCAAACTTGTGATATCTTCAACTTCCTTTCTTCTTTTCTCCTTTTTGTTTTTATTTTACCTCTTCAGTGTTAAGAATTTAAAAGAAAGTGTAGAAGAAACTCATAACAACTGATGTTGCCACGCCAACCTTCATTGTCACCTAACGGTCAAAAGGCTGATTTACTTCAACCTAAAGCAAAAAATCAACCACAAGGCCAGGTCAGTGCATAGTGTCATCTATTTGCAAAACTAACCTCGAGATGTCAGCCAGGGGATAGCAATAATTGACGTGTCTTTCTCTCCTTCAAAATAGCTTGCTGCACTTTTGTACGGCAAATTAGATTATGATGACTTATTCGTAGGGTCATCGCCCTCCTCTTCATCTACTGCTATTTCTTCAGCGGCAGCAGTAACAGCAGCATTAACGGGTTCTTCTTCTTATTTATTCGATGAAGATCATCGTTCAAATAGCGCACCGCCTACTCAACAATTGCTGAATTCTCGTCGCTTTAATGATAGCATGAGAGATCTTTCTCAGCAACAGCAATGGCCACTATGGCAGACTAATAGTGAAGCTATTACTCCTTACAATGGTAGTAATGAAGATGGTGAGTTGAAAAAAAGAAAACTTAGGATTCTTTGCGTGTGCACATAATATAATTCCTATTACGCGCAAAAACTCGGCTTACTCATAATACTTTGCACAATGATGATAGTAGTTTTCCACACAAGAAATAATACATATAATAGAAGACAAACATCTGCAAACAATAGTAATAGTCGCCGTCAAAGGAATTTGGTAGACTTGATACAGCAGGTAAAAGTAAACTCGACTTTTTTGTTTTTTATATGCTCATATTGATATCTAATTGTTTTACACGGCCCTTGAAGGACTTTCCCCGTACACCTTCTCCACTTTACTCTCTACAACTCCAACAGCAGCAACAGCAGCAGCAACAGCAGCAGCAAGGACGATATCGTAGCGAAGATAATGCGGGTTTGAATGGGAGCAATAGTGGGCTTATTTTTGATAATCCAAGCTTAGGTGATTTAGATGCTATTCAGAAGCAATATCAAGATCAATTAAACGCTCTGGAATATGAAGAAACTTTAATGAACAGAAACCGTCAAATGTCGACTCCCAACAGTGCACTCATGTCACACCTTCACGGTCGTCAATACCAGCAGCAAAATGAAGGTGATATGTCCAGTAGTAATTCCTTCGATATGTTTTCACCTCCTTTAAGAAACAAATTAGTCAGTACAACTCCTCCTGCTCGTCCAAACTCCACACCTCCTGGACGAAAGTTGATGCAAAATAATGATAGCAGTAACAGTGTGAATAACAAGTTATTGGACCGCCAAGCAGCAGCCTTAGTAATGAAGAATTTTGCTGCCTTAGATTTGAATGATTCTGTATGAAAAAACTTACAAGTTCTTTATATTGTTGAACACTTACTGATCTCTTCCCCTTAAATCTTTCTTCAATGCATGCAGAGCAATTATGGAATGCCATCCGACAATCAGTATTTGCAACAAGTCCAGCAGCAACAGCAGCAACCTAATGCTAATTACTCTGACGCTTATTTTGGCAGTCCTTATCATAACTACAGCCAGACTTATGTGAACGGCCTATCAGTAACAGGAATTTCTAATGTGGACCTCCATCCGACAACCATGAGTGACGTCGGTACGCCCAATAATATGCTGAATAATGAATCTATGTACGCTGGTGCAGACCAGTGGAATGAAAGAGAGATTGCTTCACGAAGACAGCAACAACAAAGTAAGAATAATAGCTTTAGTAAAGATTTCTTCGACTTTTGTACATTTAACATGGTTTCTTCCTCTCTCTGAATTTACGAAAAGTTATAGCTAATATGACTGGTCCCTTGACGGCACCTGCTGGTTTGGATACAATTGATTTTCCTGAAGATGCCCTTTCTAGTGCAACCGACAAGAAGCTACGCGCTCTGCAAATGCAACAGCAGCAACTATTAATCCAGCAGCAGCAGCAACAATTAATAGCTGCCAGACAACAGCTCTTTTTGCAACAACAAATGCAACAGCAGCATCATAATGGTCACATAACACGACATTATAATAATAATAGTCATAATAGCCATCACAACAACCATCACAATAACAGGTCGAGGAACAATAATTATCATCAAAACCATCATCAAAATGGTGCTAATAACAACAATAGCAGTAATAGATCTCACCACAATAACCACAATAACAACAACCAACATCATTATAACTCGCACTCCAATAATAACAATAGTAGCAGTAATAATGGTCATTCTAGAATGCAACATCAACATCATCACCATCACCATCACCACCATCAGCAACAGTCTTCTTCTTCTAACACTGCCTCTACTTCTACACATGACCTCGCCATGAACATTCGCAGCCCATTGCTTGAAGAATTTAGAAATGCCAAGAATAAAAAGTACGAACTTAAAGATATTGCAAACCACATCGTTGAGTTTAGTGGTGATCAACACGGATCACGTTATATTCAACAAAAATTGGAGACCGCCAACAGTGATGAAAAGCAAATGGTTTTTGAAGAGGTCCTCCCTAACGCGTTACAGCTCATGACGGACGTATTTGGTAATTACGTTTTACAAAAGTTTTTTGAACATGGTAATCAGATGCAAAAGACTATCTTGGCGAAGCAAATGGAGGGTCATGTCCTTTCGTTGTCGTTGCAAATGTACGGTTGTCGTGTGGTACAAAAAGCGCTTGAACATGTTTTGACAGAGCAACAGGCGACATTAGTCAAGGAGTTAGACGGTTGTGTGTTAAAATGCATAAAGGATCAGAATGGAAATCATGTCATTCAGAAAGCCATTGAAAGAGTCCCGGCTCAACATATCCAATTTATTATTGACGCGTTCCATGGACAAGTGTACAACCTGGCCACACATCCTTATGGCTGCCGAGTCATTCAACGTATGTTTGAACACTGTACTGAAGATCAAACTGTAAGTATTGAAAGGTTTTTTGTATGCTTACCAATCTTTTGTTAATTTTCACTTGTTTAACATTTTGCTTGAATTGAAGGGTCCTCTGCTGGAAGAGTTGCATAAGTGTACCCATCAACTGGTCCAAGATCAATACGGGAACTATGTAATCCAACATATTTTGGAGCGCGGACGTTTAGTCGATAAATCACTCGTTATCGATAAAATCCGTGGCCAGGTCCTTACGCTGAGTAAACACAAATTTGCCAGCAATGTGGTTGAAAAGTGTGTTGATTACGGATCTAAGCGTGATCGTCAATTATTGATAGAAGAAGTTCTTCAGCCAAGATCTGATGGGTAAGGTGTTAACTAGTATAAGAAAATACATAAAGTGAGAGATCTCTTCTGCTAATTCTAGTATTCGTAATACGCTTTTTTTTCCCGGCTTAGCACTTTGCCTTTAGTTTCAATGATGAAGGACCAATATGCTAATTATGTCATTCAAAAAATGCTGGATGTTGTGGATGATGATCAACGCGACTTACTTGTGAATAAAATTAAACCTCATCTACAGTCTTTGAAAAAGTATACCTACGGAAAGCACTTAATACAGAGTAAGTTTGCTTAATAGTATTATTCGAGCATCATATGTAGCACAAAAGGATTAAATGCCTCGTTATTGCAGAAGTAGAAAAGATTTTACCTCTTTTGGACCTTAACCTGGACGACAGCGATGTAGATGATGAAACAGAGAGTGACAAAAAACAGACAGAGAAGGAACAAGACAAAAATTCTCACACTGTTAAGCAGCTTACCGAAGAACAAGTCATACCTAGAGCAACACCAGCAGTAGAGCAAATTGAAGAAGAAGATCTTTAGATGATGGCATAACAAAAAGAACGTCTGTGCATTGACATTTTATAGCTATCCAAAGAAGTTATGGCTGTCCTTAAACCTTCCTAATATCCCTTTCGAATACGACTTCCTTGTTTACAAATCTTTCTTTTCACCTCTGTTAGATACAACAACCGTTTTTTTTTTTTTTACTTTCGATAATCAACAGCCTCCTACAAACACTTATTATCTTCCCTAATACCACTACTATTCTTCAATTTACTGTCACTTCCTTATACTTCCTGTACATCAATTAACTACTAGGACTTCTGTATATGTTTTTCCTTCATTATTATATGATATTTGCTTAAATTTCAACACACATAGTTCATCTATGATCTATACATAAAATACCTGAAATACCTTAAAGAGATTATAAACGCAGTAGTGCACGTATAAAATACTCATCAAAATTGCTGGGATAGTCTGTATAAGCAGAAGTAATTAGGAAATATTAGCCATCAAAGCTATAGAAAAAGAGTTGAGTTAATTCTTCTATCATAAATTCTTTCATATTGATTCTTCGCGTCTTCCAGGTCAATAATTGTTTGTTCGATTCCTGTTTTTGCCACTGATGTTTTCGGCTTAACCCCCCTCCGTCTCTATGCTTCTTAGGCTTTTAATGCCTCTGTCCTTGGTTCTCGGTTGGCTTTAGTGCTCAAACCAGTAATGAATAACCGGTGTCCGCCCAAGCTCAAATAAGCATGACACTCACTGTCCTGCAAGTTTTAGCCAACCAGTTATAATGATTAGTTTGACCTCACTCATCCTCCCCTCCCCCCAATTAAGATAGTAGGCTTTTTCACCCACTTCCTGCATCTCGACCTGTATTAAAAATCGCTTCCATACAATTAAGAGAACTGACTCGGGCAATTTTAGATTAATTTATCCCATGCACATATTGGGTAAATTATGAAGATTATTTGTCAATAAATTCTCTTTCATACGAGTATTACATTTATCCTCAAAGAGACAATCTTGTTTCCAAATCAAATTAACAAAACGAAGTTCTTCCCAAAGTATAAGCGAATCTACAACCTCTTTCCTTTAATTGCGTTATTGAAGTAGATACATGTACAGACCAAGACTTAACATAAATTCGCTGGTGGTTCCACCTCGGGTATCTTGCCAAATAAAAATTGTGGCGCGGAAAACGCTTCAATATCTGATTGCTTCATCTCATTATTACAGTCATTACTACTACTCATAGATGTTGCTGCTGACTGTGTAGATGATCCAAATGCCGATGGTGCACCAAATGCTGATGGTTGGCCAAAAGCAGGAGTGCCTGTCATTGTCGATGATGGTGCTGCTGCTGTTTGTCCAAACGTTGAAGGTTTTCCAAACGCTGATGTGGTAGTATTATTACTTGCTAATGCACCAAAAGCGCTCGTTCCTGTATTACTATTAGTATTTCCTCCTAAAGATCCAAACGCACTAGGTTGTCCAAAAGCTGATCCATTGTTTGTCACGCTACTACCAAACGCACTAGGCTGACCAAATGCTGACGATGTATTGGATACAAGTGAGCTTGTACCAAAGGCCGATGGCTGTCCAAAAGCTGTAGTAGTTCCTGATGTTGCTGCTACGCCAAACGCTGAAGGTTGTCCAAAAGCTGTTGATGCTGTTCCACCAAAAGCCGAAGGGTTACTGAAGGCTGATGTCGTTTGTTGTTGCTGACCAAAAGCTGAAGATTGCCCGAAAGCGGAGGGTTTCCCGAATCCTGATGGCTGCCCAAAAGCCGAGGACTGCTGTTGGCCAAAGGCAGGTGCTTGCTGACCAAAAGCACTACTACCTGCCGCGCCGAATGCACTACCACCTGTAAAAGGCGTAAATGGTTTAGTGAAAATCATTGTTGCTGTTGGATTACCGAAAGGCCCTGTGGATGCTAAAGACGCCTGACTAGCTTTTTCTTTTTCATAATGTTGAATGGCACCTTGAGGGTTATTGACGATAGCGTTGTACTGAGATTCTACCTGTTTGAGAGACTGATCATAATTTGCTAACTAATGTATTAAATGCAATTTAGCGAAGTAAAACACAGTGTTAGCTTGTGGAGGATATAATTTATTATGAAAATGATACTAACGTATTGCATATTATTTCCTGTCGTTTTCATACTAGTATAGTAAAGAAGCCGATCCTCTTCCGGACTTCGATCGACACCAACAAGAAGGTTTGGCTCCTCTTTAGCTGGACCATATACACTCAATTTCCACTGTGGTCGTTGGTCAGTCAAATCTAACTTTATAGATGCCTCACTGTTTTGTTGTTAAAATTGAGCACGAATGTTAGCTCGAATTCTGATCTGAGAGAAATGGAGTCATAATTAAATAAACTTTACTGGTATTTACTAGTTGCGGCTTGTCCTGTAGAAGTACCCCATTTATTTTGATTAGGTAAGACATGCTCAAAGTTACATCTATTGCCAAATTTACAAGAGCCACTGGCAAAATATTTACAGAGAACCATCGTTAACGTATTATAAAAGATTCACAATGAGAAGCGCATTCGCATTACTTATTTGCGCTGAGAATTGCAACGTGACGGTGTGTCAAAATGCAAAAGGGCTATCGTTCCGCAAATCTTTTCTTTTCCAGCTGTGCGAAATCTGGGAGTTCGAAAATGTGCGTGCATTCCTTTCCAGGTACAACGCGGATCACAATAAAGTTTTCTCTTAATCTTTTTCAATGTTACACTAGTGTCTTTTTTTTCTTTTTCTAATTGATCCTGAAGGAAGAAGCGGATGGGAAACAAGTAGATCTTTATTTTGTCTTTCTTTCAGTTCTCTTCTTTGACTTTTCCTTTATACGACGATACTTTTTGATTTTGTCCTTCTTCAGTCCATTCCTACACAGAAGTACCATGTCTGTTTCCACCTCATCAGCGACTATACCTAAAACAATAACTGATAGCCCCAGTGTAAACGGAAATGATGCAACTGTAAAACCTCTCGCTACTACTCTAGATTCGAGTGATAATCCGACAAACAATGCTAAGGCTTCTGATGCTACCAGCAATGACTCGACAGTAATGAGTGGAGATGTAGCTGATAATCACAATGAAGCTACAACAGGAGTACCAGCGGACACAAATCCCACTACCGCAGGAGTACCAGCGGACACAGATCCTACTACACCTGAACCAAAAGATACAACACAAGCACCCCCCACGGCAACAAAAGATCAACAGCCTCAAACTACATCACATCCTCCTCCAAAGACGACAGTGACTCATGAACCGGTCGTGAAACCTCCTCCTACCATAGCTACACCTTCTGTTCCTGGTTTAACGACTCCAGCTGCTGCTGCGGTGACGACTATATCGACCGCTGCTGCAGGGGCAACGACATCGATCGCTGCGACAGTGACAACATCACCGGCCGTTACTGCTAACACAGCACAGAGCGTAACTACTGTTTCTGAATCCACCATTGCATCCATGACTGATTCCTTACTCAGCGTCAGCAGTAGTACGAGCACGTTATCATCAACCACCAGTAGCAGAATTTTACCAACTCCAACATCCATCAAAAAAGATAACAACAGTAACAGTAATATTGGTTTAATTGCCGGTATCGTTGGAGGCGTGGCTGGTCTTGTTATTGTAGGAGCTATTGCATTCATAATCATCCGTCGAAGCCAACGTAGAAGAGCAAGAAGAGATTCAACCCGCGCTAGTCGTACGATGGAAGATTTATTTTCTCCTACTGGAGGAGCATCAGTCGAAGGTGGAAACAGAGGAGTACTAGCAGCTGACAGCACAGCAGTAATGACAGAAAACCATGATACGTATAGAAATGATACGTTAGTGTCAAGTGGAGGTGTTATGGCTACTGGAGAACAATCCTACTTTCAGCAGCACCAACAATACAGTGGTATGACAAGTCCTTCTGTGGCTTATGTGCAATCACCAGCATTACCACAACAGCATCAAGATCCTCTAACTGCTGCTGGTCAGTATTATGAAGATCATCAGATGTTATCTCCTCAAACACAGCATCAAGAAGCAGCCTACTATAATCATCAAATGGTATCTCCTCAAATACAGCATCAAGAAGCAGCATACTATGATCAGCAGCAGCTTTCCCATCAACAGCAACTGGTGCAAGATGTGTATTATGATCCCTATCAGCAACAAACACAAGGGCACGAAGTGTATTACGATCAACATGGCCAGCCTTATTATCCAGACTATCATAATAATGGCTATTTTAATGAAAATGGCACAGCAGAATACTATCATCAACAAGAACAACACCACCACCGCGCAAATGAATATAATCATTCACCAGAACCAGGCAACAATACACAAGTACATCAGCAGCAAGTGCCTCATCAATAATTACTGTAAGCAGGTTTTTACTATAAACATATCCTTTAATATCACATATCGAAAGTTAGCTAAATTATTTATTTGTAATGCTATGCTTGCCTCTCTTATTTCTTAATTATTATTGCTTGCACAATACTACTCCCCCCCTTCACAATATATTTATGACAACTAGACCAATCAAACACAAAATATAACCACGTTATCAGATTACTTGTAAATTGTAAAACAATTGAAAAACTGCGATGCAGTAAAGCTATTTTACGTAATCTTCTAAATTTTCTTATTATAATTTCAAAGGTGCATATTCGATGTGTTAATTTTGATCTATGAGTTGATTATAATATCTGCCAAAACAATTGCATAATCGTGCCAATTGTTTATAGCGTACTTGGCCAATTCATAAACATTTTATACCATTCTTGAGTTGATCTATCAACGGATGGATATGGTTTAATTAATAATAGAATGCAATACATAAATTGCGCAAAAGTACTACAATTGAAATCTTTGGGTTATGCTTAAAGGCTATTATGATGTAGTAGAAATGTCAGTCTACATGCAACCCTACTCTGAGATTGTACTCTGCAAAAAAAAAAAAAAAAAAGCTTATTGCTGCGGGCGTTGGTTTTATTCTTTCCTTTTTTTGGTTTTTTTTTTTTTTTTTTTTTTTTTTTTTTTTTTTTTTTTCAGTCTTGAAAGTCCATTGAGCACTCTAAAGCACTGGGAAATGGGTAAACCTACTAATAAACCTAGAGTCAAAGGCAACTTGAAGCCTGCAAGTAGTAGGTAATTTGAACTCTTGCCTTTATCTGAGCCTTTATGCTATTTGTTTCCTTATATTGACCTTCAGTAACTTTTCCACACCTTTTTTTGGCAGCCGTGCCGCTGAACTTACAGGAGGTAGTCATTCATTAAGCTTTGACAATCTTGGCGGGTTTGCGCAGTTCGCAGGCGCCATACCTGCCACGACAGCAGGAATCGTTAGCAGTTCTCGACCTTCGACACCCTCTTCTTTTGATGGGCACGATAGTCCCAGCTCGTTGACAGCAGCTGATTTAGATCCGGAACTCGTCTTCATTTTGAAAAAATTGTCAAAGCGCGATGTTGTTACAAAGTTGAAAGCATTAGAAGACTTACAAGCTTATTTACAAAATAATGAAAAAGCGATTGACGCTATTCTCCACAGTTGGGTAAAATAACGAAAAAGGAAGATACTAGTATAGATTTTTGACAGTTGCATCAGATCACTCACAACCTATGCCCTCACTTGCAAATTATTGTGCTAAAACAGATAGGTATATACAATAAAATGACCTTAGAAGTAGATCGACGTGTTCGTCTAGTTGCGAACGAAATTCATGGTTTGATGACAGTGCATGCAAAGAAGAAATTGGCACCTGTATTGAAAGACTTGATTGGGCCTTGGTTATTATCCATGTTTGATCAAAGTAAAGACATAATGCAAGTTGCAAGATCCGCTTTTGAGGTAGGTTGGACGTTTAGACAAATCTAGCAAAGAAGATATAGAATGTCATATTTTTTTATTTTTTTTAATAGACTGTGTTTATTCCTGAGAAAAGATTGCCAGCCATTTCATTTTGCCAGAAGAAGATTTTGCAATATAACAGCGATATGTTGTTGTACAAGACAGCAGATACTCTCAGCGATCCGAGATATGTTTCAAAAGAAGATATGATGGCTAAATACGCGCGTATAGTGTCTTCCAGTTTTCAGGTTTTAGCTTATTTGATTACATCGCTGTCAGTCGAGGAAAGAGACAAATGTCAGTCAGATTACACGATCATTTTGGATGATACAACTATGTGGAAAAAGTTTAGCACACATGAGAATGGACTTATTCGTAAAGCTTTATACGGATTTATAAAGACTCTATTGCTATCATGGCCAGATATGATTGAAAGGAGGATGAATTTGATTTGTCCGTCACTTTTCGGTAGTGTATTCAAGGAGAAAGATTCTGCAACCCATTCAAACATGTGGGATGCTGTTCTGTTAATGACGAAGAGTATGTAAGAATTTTAAGGAAGAAGATTGAGTAGCGAGCAAATAAAGAAATTGACTGAATGAATATTTCTTAGAGTTTCCTTCATCGTGGATTATTATTGGAGAGAAGAAGCCGGCATTACCCAAACTATACAATTTCCTTCGATGCGGACTCCATGGATCACCCAATATTGCTTATCCTAGCCTTCTAGCATTACTTGCCAATTTGCCTCCTGAATTGAAGTCAACACCAAACTTTTACAAAGATATCTTTGAGAATTTTTGGAAGGGCTTGTCAACTGAATACGTTGACCGCTCCAATTCTCACATCTTTTTAAATGCATACGCTGAATGTATCGTGTACTTCGTCATGACCCTTAGGTAAAAAATTCACATTTACCGTTACTTACTCAAAGATTTCTAAAACCATTCTTCATTTATATAGCAAGTCAAATGAAGAATCTGCAGCGGGAATAGCCAACTATTTGATACTAAACACATTTTGGGATATGGTCAAAATTTACTTTTTAAATTCAAGCGATAAAGTAATTAACGACAAATTGGACCCCAACACCGGATATGCCATCATTGCGAAACATTTCGCAGTTCTTGCTTCTGTCGATAACAGTATTGTAGAAGATTGTTTGTCGACTTTGTATTTCAATTTTGATGAGCTTTTCGTGCAAACAATTGTAGATTGTGATTCTTCCACTACACGCGCACCCTTGGATATGGACATATTCTGTCAAAAGATCAGCAATTTCTTAACAGCTATTTCACATGAACTCACTAATATTATCATCAAGCATAATGGCGGAAAAGGAAAATCACTTGCGCAGTTTGTTGAAGGTTCAGTACAGCGGTTACTAGTAGCATCCGTTGAATCCAGCATTGTACATGGAGGACATTCAACAAGCTTATTAAAAATGGCGAATCAACTAATTCATGCTGACAATATGGTTTTTCCCGAAGAAAGCTTGAATAAGTTGCTCCAGGCAAACAAACAACTTCTAGATTCATTAGTTGGCAATGTTTTTGAAAAGTCACTCGCCTACTCCACAACATACTATATCGCCTTTATTGCTCGGCTGAAGAAGGACAATAATAAAACAGCTGAAGCGAACGATCTTTGGCTCAACTTGGTTGCCAAATTGAATAATATGTATCAAAATAATGATGATTCTATAGTCATGAAAGGAGCCTTTATTTTGGGGGTAGTATGGAAGCAAATCATGGCGGAAAAACTTGCACTTAGCGAAGAGGATTGTAGTGAAGCTTTGGAAAATATCATCAGAATCTCATTATACAAACTTAATGATGGCAATATCAATGATAGCTTACGCCAGGTCTTAGAAAGCACCTTATCATCAACTCTTGGTTATTATTCATGTAAGATCAATGCTATTACATCGATATACTTTACAAATACTGATTTACTTATAACTTTTTTGTGAGTAGCATCTCATTTCCCCTCAATTACCACAGCAAGCATGACTATCGAAACCATTAAGGCTAAACTAAACACTTTCAACCAACATCATTATGTTGACAAAAAATCATCTGCTATAACTAAACCAACTGTTGCTGTACTTTATAGTACTTTGTCAGCTCTCAAAATTCTAAGCGGTGCAATTGAAGTCACTGTGAACGATAAGAAGGAAACATTACAGTTATTGCTCAAATGTGACACATCGAATGAACTTTGTGCCGAAATATTCGATGCTATATCCACTGCTTCTAATTTCAAAGCATCAGTGCTAGTAGAAGAAGATGAAATGAAGGAAGAGGTAGAACTTCTTGCCAATATTTTCGATCAAGCCTCTTCTATATGGCATAGTATCATTGAAGTAGGCCTTTTACAAGAAGCACAACAACAGCAGTTGAAGCCTTTGCTTGACCGTGTAAGAAAATCCATATCAAATGTTTATTACGCTGCTAGCCCTTCCGACTCTGTTCAGCGCATCAAAAACTTGGTAACAGCTGCAACAATTGACACCAGTACTTGGACGGCTTTGCTAGGCACTGAAAAGGAATGGATACAATTAGCATCACGTACCTTTAATCAGCAATATACTGCAGACTACTTGCAATTGGGAATTCGCAACTCTTACTCCATTGCATCATCTGAGATTTTAGTCGACAATGCCGATGAATTAATACCGATTAAATACGATATTTACGGATTGTCAGCATTCGGTCGTTTGGTATTAACCTGGGCCGAATACTTCGCTACCGCTGCCGCTGAAGATGTGAATTCAATCATGAATAACATGAATTATGATTGGGTCATACGTCAGCTTATGTTAGCCAGCATTTCTTGTGAACAAGGCCTAACCGTTTCAGATATTAGCCGTACAATATTTAGCTCAAAAGCTACCAAAGGCATTCGCAACTTCGTTGAAAATATAAGTCAGCAAGTGTTTTCTGAATGGTTGATGAGCGTATCATCTAGCATTGTAGATATCAACGCTTGGAACGACCAACTGTTGCAATCAGTGACAGCGAAACAAATTGACATCTCTAATGACCGTCTCATATCCTTCATCGCTCACTTAATTTCTCAAAAACAAGCAGACGCTAAGAACAATAGTAGGTTTATGGTTGTAGAATCAGCCATTCTCTTACAATGGATATTACAAAAGCTTGTCATTTTAGGTGATTGGCCAGTGGAACAAATGGAAAGGTGGTTGCCGCTCATTAGAGCTGAATCAGATGAATTGGATTTATTGGTCAAGCTTGCTATATTAAATGCTTTAAAAAATCGAATGAATCAAAGCAATGCCTATCAACACTATCAGAGTGACTTAGCCAGTAAATTGTCCGGTATTACTCAAGGTCTTGATCAATTTGATTTCTGTATTGAAGAATATGATTCTAGAAAGAAGCTCAATTGGAATTTATTATGCTTATTAAATGCATCTGCCTCAAAGACAAGCGGTTTTGATATACCTAGACAAAGATTGATGTTTTTGGTTCAAACTCTACGTCCACTTTTAGCAAGCGATTCATCAAATCAAGGAGAAGAATTTAGCAATGAATTGCAAAAGGCAAAGATTCTAACTCAAATGGCACAATTATTAAAGCATATGACTATATCTATCGCGGATGTACAGGGTAGTCATTGGGATTGGTTCCTACAATGCTGCTTCGAATGGACTGCTTTTAAGGATACAGCGGCCCAGCCAGAGGAACTACTTCTTGTGTACCATGCACTTGATTTATATCACACCTTATATGATATGTCTATGATCGGACAAGAGGAATATACTATTGTGCAAAATGAAGAACTGCATGATACTGCCAAGGAGCATTTGAGGGCAATGAGTAAGTCCTTGTTGCAACTTATGGCTATGGAGCAAGAATACATGAAAAAGCTTAAGAACAATGATATCGAAACTCATATTGCCCTAAACAACAAGAAGGCCAGAATAACGTATCAAGCATTACTTTCTGGATTGTTGGAACATATTCCTGAGAATGTTTTATTCGATGATGAGTACTTTTCAAGCGTAAGTTGGTTTTCTGTAGTTCAGCTAATAGCCCAAGGTATATTCATTAACCAAGTCTTCTCTCGATAGTTCAATGCTTTGATTCGTATACCCAATGAAGTACTCCAAAAGCGTGCCTATTCTCTGTTAAAGAAGTACATTTCTTTTAAAACACAAGAGTTATCTGTGCAACTTGAGTTCACTGAAACTAGTGGTGAGATGTCTTATTCCTTACTTCTGTAATGACTTTGTGTCTAATCTGTACAATTGCTTGTTTTTTATGGACTGCCATTCTTAGAGGAGGAAACACAAGTGAATATTCATGATGATATTCTTTCAATATTGTTAAATCCTCCTGAAATCGCCAGTGAAGGTATTTTAGAGATTGAAGGCCCCGAATATTCGAACAATGTCCTTGCATATCTTTTGACTTGGATGTTAATGCTAGATCATTTTACAGATATTGTAAGCTTGAACAAACATTGTTGTCTTTTTTTTTTTTTTTTTCTTTTGTGGTAAATGTAGTTGATGACAGTTAACACTTTTATTTTTGATGCATTAGACGTTCAAATTGAAACAAGAGTATACAAACCAATTGAAGGAAAAGGAGGCTGTTTCTCATCTTATGCCATTACTGTGTAAGATCCTCAATGTAGGTATCAATAGCAGTAACACTAAAAAGGCATTTGATTTATCACTGTGGTCTGTGAGTGAATATGATGTGGAAGGTTTCGATGCATCCATTGAAACAAGCTTCTTTGTGTTGGCTGGCCACCTTTATTATCGAACGCTCGTACATATTCCCTCACTGGTGAGACAATGGTGGATCGATTGCAAGAACCGTCAAATCACCATTGCCGTTGAAAATTATACTGAAAAGTACTTTAGTCAACAGCTGATTCAACGTGAGCTCGAATTGGTCAACCATCCCGATATTAAAAACCAATTAGAGGAGAATGAAGAGAATGAGTTCAGCATCAAAACTTTGAAAGGCGCAAACGAAGTTACCGCAACTTACAAGGTGGACGAACAAAATATGCAGATTGCTATTAAGCTTCCCAGTAATTTCCCTCTGAGACACATTGATGTAGAAAGTATTCAGAAAGTAGGTGTCAACGATAAACAATGGAGAGGCTGGATGTTTGCAGTAGCTTCTGTTATTAGCTCTCAGGTAAGGACGACGTTTTCATTTGTGTTGTAGAGCATTGTAAAACTAAACGGCTCGTCCTATGTCCTTGCAGAATGGAAATATCGTAGATGCTTTGACGGTATTCAAGCGCAATGTTAATTTACATTTCAGCGGTGTGGAGGACTGTACCATTTGTTACTCTATTATCAGTATCCAGGATAGGTCCATACCGACCAAGCAATGCAGGACTTGTAAGAATAAGTTCCATTCAAGTTGTTTGTATAAGGTAACTTTTTTATTTTTGATTGCCCTGAAATTAGAGTTTGAAAGGGCGATTCTAATTGATTTTTGCGAAAAATTCTGTTTTCATAGTGGTTCCGTTCATCCAATTCAGCTAGCTGTCCCTTATGTAGAACAGTTTTCTAAACTTTTTGTAATTATCAAAACTCACATTGTCGTCACCATCTTTTGTAAGAATATTCCTCCATTACGTTGTTTTTTTTTTCAGTTGATTAATATAGAATAAGCCTCTTTATTGAGAGTAGCATAATTAAGTCTTATAGATGGTTATTAAATGGTGAAACGTTCATTTGGATACAATTAAGATTATAGGAAGATGGATATAGATAGTATAAGGCCGGGTTTGTCATTTGCGTTTATGACGTGCTGCTAAATATTGTAGGTGTAAAATGATAGATGGTTGCAATTGACAAGCTTAACAGACAAAGCGCAAGTGAATCTACGACAATTGTGTGTTAGAGAACAGTAAATAGACGCCGAGCCCTCTATCTCACACTTACTGAAAAGGAACTTTTCCCAAGGCTCCAACATGTAAAGAGCTGTTTGTAACTCATATTGGTATACTTTTCTTGAGATATATTTATTGATATTCTTGATAGCTGTCATTTTTATTTGAAATTTATTGCAGCAAAGGAGCCAAAAAAACCAAAAGAAAAGAAGCACCAACGATAAAAAAAAACCTGGCTTTGGCAGTGGCACGATCGCACAAAAGAGTTCGCACTTTGAATTGAATTAGATAAAAAATAATAGATTCTGCCTAATACATGCTTTTGACAACGATAAAGCTAGTATGTTGATGTCAATATGGTATGAATTTAAAGGTATTATTTAAAAAACGCACTCTATGTATAAGCCTTCTAGGGCAAGAGGAGCCATCTGAAACAACATATTCTTACAAATAAGGAACACAGAAAGGACCCATTCCATTGATTTTCGATAACAGCAAAGCTCTAAGCCGGCGGCCTTTGAACTATTTCAGTAACCATTTTCGACATTCACAGGCACATCATGCATGCCTAAGGCTCCACAGGATTATTAACATTGAAACTGTGTTTGATCAAGTCTGCTGGCGTGTATTTCATTCTATCTTTTTAATGCTTTCTCCTCACTACTTCTCCTGTAAATGACAGCACTGCAACAAATGCAAAACGAGCAAGAGTAAAAATCTCATTCTCCATTCTACGTCGACAACGAAAATAAACAGCATATGCTTAATATTTAAAAGTATGATAGTAAGAGGAAAGGCTCAATCCATACTAATACTGCTAGGGAAAGGTTTATCTGGAATTTAAGCGTGTAAAGTGATGGTGGGATGAAACTAAAGAATAATATACTATATACAAAGAATCCGTTTCTCATTGAGTTATGAAGGGTTATGTAGCTTTGCCCTTTCCCTTATCCTTCTTTGGCACTGGTGGTGGTGATTGCAACACTTCTTCTTCATCGTCCGCATCTAACTCAGGAATTGAATAGTGAACATCTTCCCATTGACCTACATTTTTTCCACATTTGTCGAGAGCAGGTTAATTGATTTCAAATATGTGTATAACTTTTAAAAACATTGCTTTTGAAAGCTCTTGCAATACCTTGATCACGGTCATAATAAACAAAATAAACAATATCGGCATTCTCTAGAGCCTTTGCCGATTCTAACAATTTATACTCCCCTTTCGTATTGCCCTCCACAAGTAGCCGTACTTCATCGCTTGTTTTACCGTTGTTCAATGCTTTACATAAACTTTGCTTGATTTGGTCGATTGAATCTTTTTTGTCGATGCATAAATATAAAATTGTCTTTTCTCTTTTGGCTCGAATGTACGTTATGTCGGGCTAACAGTGAAAATGAATGGTTAGGGAAGTTTATTTGGTAGTTTCGAGCTAGGCGACATTTACCATGGTACAATGTAAGTGTTATCAATGTTGGAAATCGCGAAAAATAGAAAAAAGAAATCAAGGAGAAACGATGTAATAAGAACAAATCAGCAGGTAAGACTTGCAAATTCTTCTAACGTGACAATGAAAGATAAGTTTACATAATTCTTTTTTTTTTTTTTTTTTTTTTTTTTTTTTTTCTTGCAAGTTGGGGATTTAAATTAGTAATAGGTTCACAGTAAGAGTAATATTAAGAATAACAGTAATAATAGTAATGAGGTAATAAGTACGATTGTGCGTATGATAGTAGTGGGGTCTAATATTTTACTTCAGTCCAAAGATAAGGTAAAATGGTGACGCATGCAGTATAAATGACTGTACAGAACATGAGGAGACTCTGAGGAGCACCTGTCCAGCTGTTCTTTTTTGCTTCAAGGTATACTGAGTAGAACGCGACTGCAAAGAAGTGATATATAAGTACAGACGGACGTTGTAGTAAACCTGCCAAAAGACCTACGGGTTCAACGGCATAATCTCCCAATTTGAAATAAGCGAAGCAGCCTCTTTGTAGGATGGCCAAATTAGGATCTAAGAGTAAAAAGAAGTTTTAAGCTTTGCTTGATAGACGGATGGGTAGAATGTAAAATGCTTTAAATAAACTAATTCCTACCATTCCCTGCCGCAAACAAGGTATACAATGCCATGGCCAAAACATTTATAGCTGTACAGTATTTTTTCCTTTTCCAGTGGAAAGATCTCAACTGCTGTAAAACAAGTTCGGTATCTGTAAATGAAGGTATATTTTCTTGTGATAAGAGCTCTTTTAAAAGTACAACGTCATTGAATGCAACGGTCATCCCACCTAATGGAAGCAAAACGGTTTAATGTACATCTTTGCGAACCATATGTCTTTCTATTTCTTACCTCCTGTGAGTGGATGTCTCATGTTCATTGCGTCACCCAATACTATCATACCTTCGCATTGATTGATGGAAGGCGGTAAGAAGCCATTTGGCATAGACCGAATCCTTTCTTTCTCCAAAGATTCCAAAAATTTAGGCTATTTAGAGGGGAGAAAAACAGCGTTAGTATACTATACGATAATCACTGCTACAGAGCCATCAAACAACTTTACGCGTATGGTGTCAGGTAGCTGAGGTGCGATAGTCTCTCTTAGATATTGTTTCAAGTCTCCATTGGACAAAGAAGGCAATTTACCGGGTATATCGATTAAAACTCGTGTATCGTGTGTACTGATTTGATACATTAGAATAGGTGAAGGATTTGCTAGTATAACGTGTCCATGATGCGGGTAAGGTAACTTGACGTCTTTCATGATGAAGCTAATCAAAAGCACAACAAATCTGTGAATAACGCGGCCTTAAGAAAGTTGACACTTGTAAATCTTTGATTTTTTCTTACCCCACAAAGTTTGACCTTACATCTGGTGTTTTAATAGTAAACTCTTTGCGGAACCTGGAAAATAAACCATCACATACAATTGTAAGTGGGGCATAGAACTGTATTTAAAAGCAAAGGTTAAGTTATGACTGCAGGTCTTTCTTAATTTCAAACATCAATTCTATTTTACTCTAAACTCTTCATCTGTTTTCGATTGAGTAACAACGCCAATGACCTTTCCCTTCTCTCCTTGTCCATTCTCTTCTTTCAACAGTGTATTTACTGTCAGTTCTTTCACTGTAACACTATGGAAAGGGGATGCACATTAATGGATAAATGTCATCAAAGTGACACAGAGATATTCAGAACAAGCTTTAAAAACCTTACTTCTCGGTAGTCGTAGCAGCTTGTCTTAAATTTTGGATAAAACGGCCATGATGGAAAGATCTTCCAACTGCTTGCTTCTCCGTGAGAGTGTCGATAGGATATGAAAGCTGTACATAGTCATCATTACGTAGAATACCATAGCCGTAACAAGGTATACTATCAATTCCTTCCACACAGTCTAGATATAATTTCAAATTGACCAAGAGGTATATCTGTAAGAATCACTTCTTTGCTCTCTGTTGTTTGATGGTAAGCATGTCTTTTTACCTTCTAACCTTAACGATTTTAATGCATTTATGCCTCCTGGTTGTAGTAATTCGCCTACAATTCTATCTGGCTCTGATAAATCGCGCTCTAGTAATAGAACCCTTCTGCCGTCCGAACCGAAAGCTTTAGCGGCTGCACAACCCAATATACCGGCACCAACTATAATAATATCATATTCTTGGCTAATGTCGGTGGGCATTGGAGAGATGACAAGTTTATTGTAAATGGAGTGGGGGAAAAAAAGCAAAAAGTGGAGAGAGAATTTTTTATTTTTTTATTTTTCTGGTTTGAAACTGTGGAGCAAAATATATAAAAGTCCGTCCCCGCTAGGGAATGCTATGATTGGTAGATCCATGTGTACCTGAAGAATCACATGAAAGTGCAATACTATGCACAACAGCAGCAGTGGGCAACCTTGTTGAAAAATGTCGAACGATGTTTTTCCTTTCGGGCTTTGTTTTTTTTCCCTGCTCTCAATAAATCATGACACAAAGTACCAAAAGGCATTATTAAAATACTTGTTTATTTAGTAGGTGAAGTGAAGAATAGACTCCATAAAGTACCAGCAATGGCCATGAAAAGAGAAATGGTGAAAATAGTCCAATTCAGCATTTTTTCAACTGTAGATAGCTTACTGTTGAAAAGTTTCAAGTGACAAACAATGGGAAACAGAATAGAGATGCCGAAGCTGAACAATGCACCCAATAAGGACTAATGTTTAACACAGAGTAACATTTGATGATTAGACTGTTTACATAATCTTTTTTTCTTATTTTGAGGGTCTTTCTTACCATAACTCTATCAAATGCTGGTAAAAGATAGGAGATATAAACCAAAATGGCAGTGATAGTAATTCGATTAAAGATTTTGAAAATCATACTATTGTTTGTCTTCAACTGATAATAGCTAGCCAGCTTATGAGATAACCAAAGTTCACAAGTCAAATTGAGTGGCTGTGTCATCAAGCCGTATTTTGAAACAGGCGTCATCACCAGTAACCAAATGGCAAACTTATTGAGTAATTGACTGTATTCAGGTATCTGGGTCAGATTTTGAGTAATCTACATGAAGGAAAAGGATATAGGATCAATTTACGAGTATATAATGATCCTATGCAAAGCACATTATTTTACCTCTTCCATTGCGTCTTTCCCAAACATCAGATAACCAATAACTGCCATCGTCACATAAATACCGGCAGTAACAATATATGTTAAATTGACCATGCGATTATAAGCTTTTGGATCTTCCATGTCTCTATAGATAGATGGGAACACGGCATGACCTGCAAAACCAGACATGATCAAACCGAAACTGAGCGGCACATAGGAGATGTCAGTAGGAATAAATTCTGTTTCCTAAATGTCGGATAGGTCATTCAATTGAACTGTATCTTAAATTTGATAAATGTATGTGTGCGTGTGTGTGCGCTTGTACTACAACAATTTGCTCAATGAGGTACTTACCATGGGCTCTAATAAACTTCCCGGTTTGTCCTTTTTTGATATGCCGTCGTAAAAGACAATCAATAACAGCGAGAAACACGCAATAATGCCTGTTAGACTTGTATAGGCTAACTTCCTTATAGGTAGGAATACAGTTGGTAAAAGTATAATAAACGACAGGCATCTCGTTTCGACGAGGGTCAAGTCACGCGTGAATAACGTTTGAAGAACATCACTAAACAGTACAATCATGGCCACACTATGATATACATCGCAAATGGACGAGAGGTAAGAGAAAAAATAAAAAAAAAAGCCTACGGCATCTCGCTTTCATACTACTTTGAGTCTTCTCCTCTCCACCTTCTTACCCTATTGTGACTAGCTCCACTAGAAAGACAATGCTGATCCATCGTCTGCCATTCTTGCCAAAAGCAATTTGACCCATATCACCGTAGGTTTGATTCAGCCCATCGTTAGAAGCGTTCACTTTCAAACACTTGATGATAAGTTTGGCTGTGTAGTTTGTCCCAAAGCAGCAAAACATAAAAATCAAAGAGCCGCCAATCCAGCCAGCGTATTTTAGAGAGAGGGGGAGCGCTAAGATACCAATGCCTACCAGAACATTGATGGCATTGAATATAGATTGTACAAAATTGCTTTTCTTCCCTTCAACGGAGATATCTGCATCACCATCATCATCTTTGAGTATTTCAGAGGCTATGGTTGAATGACGTGAAATGGGTGGCCCAAAAAGCATATGTGTCTTGGCCTCTTCTTTAGAATTGAACGTTTGATAATCTTGACTTTGATCTCTCTTAGAATCACTAAGTATCATTTGAGGATATGGATGACGCCTGTTATGGAACAGCCTTTTTTTAATACTGCTACAGTTATATGTACTTACATTGATTTGACTCTAGAGAGTAAAGATTCCAAATCATCCTCTTCATAAGCATGGCTGTGCTGGTCAACAGAAATAGAATCTGTCATATAAAGTAATGAAGTACGCGAATAAGATCCCGCAAAATCTTGCAGCGTTGCCTTAATGATGGACTGCGGGCGCGAGATTGGTGTTCCCTGGGCTGAATAGAAGGTGTCTTCCTCATCTTCTTTTGCCGCTACTGCTGCTTTCGATTTCGTATCCTGAAACTGTTGATGCTGAAGCTCGTTCACCTCTGCTGGCCCTTGTTCGTAGTTTCTAAAACTGGGATGTATGTTACTTGGGGCACGAGAGAAATTTACACTGTTCGTATTGCTCGAAGACATGAATTGTGTTTTAGAAACTCTCAAAAAGTTCTACTCTTTTGTTGAATGAAAAGACAGAGTGAACTGTGAAAAATGGGAAATTATTGCTTAATAGATAATTTATTTATACTATAAGCTACCAATCAAGAAGAAAAAAGAAGTCTAAAATCTGTTTAGAACTAGTATGTATTTGTATATTTTCAAACGAAGATGATGATGAAACAGAGATGATGCGCTGTCAAACAGCCAAACAATAATAGTTCCCTTCCGTTTAATATATAGTTCATTAAAGCTCTAGTGTAACCAAAACACAATAGTAGAGTCAAACCCAAAAAAAAAGAAGAAGAATCTGCTCACAGATCTCGATATGCAGATAACTTGATAGGCAGACTATGTGAGAAATGTAGGATTTGTTTTCTTGAATGCACAGACAAAATGACACATTGTCCATTCAATACTTATTTTGTCGAGTTGTTGTTTTTCCACTCATTTACTAAAACTTGGTAAACCTATAAGTGGTATATATGTCAAATAAGAAAGGAGCCAGAGATACTGCTCAGAAATGGTAAACTCTTTTATTCTTTTTAAGAAATACTTTTTGTTATATAAACACAAAAGCCATGATTGATGTGTGCTTGCTATTAACTCTCCATGCAGGGCTTGTATAACAATGTGAGGTAATTTATTTAACTGCGATCGTTCAATAATGTCTAATTAAGCTAAAAAAAAAGCAAAATAGTTTCAGGATTGATATAAATCGGCATTCATTATCACCATTAGTCAATATGGTTTTTAACTTTTATTTTATTTTTTTTTCTGAAATGAAACGGTGAGTGAAATTAGATCATTTGAGCACATTAAGGTGATTAATAAATGCCTCATAGAAAAAAAAAAACCTCGTTTATAACATTCTTTGAGATGATGTATTGGGCATAGAAATAGCTGAATGGGTTGTGTCTCAGGGTAAAGCTTTTGAAGCCGGTATTACAATTTAAGGTTGAGGTAGATCCCTTTCCCATGATATGACGCCTCTAGCTGAGCATTATCCGCCTCAGATGGTATAGGCGATAAAGCTAATTGACCTGTTTATGGTATTCTTTTGGATGTCTTGAACTGTTGAAGAGAAAAACTGTTTGAAGGACCTGCTCTGTTCTACTAAGTAGTATTTATTGTTTTGGAGATATACAGCTAAAGTAATAACTACCAAAGTAGATAATGCAAAAACCAAGTCAGTGTCTAACATTATATCCGTCATAGTTTGTTATGATCTGATAAGGATTATGATATCGTAATCCATAATGTTAACGACATAACAGAGCAATAACTATTCAATCATGTTCTTGCTCAACCGAGAATTGTACAGCTACGGTTATATTTATTCACATTATTGTACGTTATGAAATTTTCAAAGTTAAAGTAATGAATAGCATTTTGATGAGGCTCTCCAGTGCATAGGCCGAGTTATTATTATTATTCAAATAGATGGTTTCTTCCGGCTTTCGAACGGGAATTCTGATAATGATTGTAATAAGCTATTTATAAAAGTTAGCACTCGGTCAAAACACTGGGAAGCGCCAAGAATTTACAACAAATAATTTTGTCATGCCGATGGCATCATCATTCAGGTCCCAATTTCCACGCGACATGAAAGAAAACACTAAATGATAGATCAAGATTTGGAGCGCAGTTAAATGTGAAACAATTACGACGATCTAACTTTTAATTTTGGAGGGTTGTTCATACACTCATCAACATCATTGGAGACCGTGACGCACAGCTACACATTGTAGTAGTAGTCTTACCAAAGAGTCAATAGAGATAATGTATTTCCCTCTCATGCTTAAGAAGCAACTCGAAACCCAAAAAGTGTTTTTCAAAGGATAAGCCAGGAGAGGGATCTTTTATTATAGTTGAAGCCTTTGCACCAATTTAACTTCTATTATAACATACCATTAGTTCTCTCCGTGCGTTCTCTACTTAGCGGAAGAGTCGTGTTCTATCCGATGCCAACTTTGCCCGCTCATTGTTCTTCCTTCCAAATCTGTCATCCTGCCCAATGGTCGGACTGTCAAATTCAGAATAGTAGGGTATTTACAGAATCTCATTGATAGCAATTGGATGAATCGACTTTCATCTATTTAAATATACGATAGCTTTCTTCTTTCCAAACAACAGACATTGCCACCCTAACGTATGGCGATAGAGAGTTTCAATGGCAACAGCGCCAAAGATAACTCACAATCTCGGCTTCAACTGGCCGGAAGACACATTGGTGCAACATAACAAAAGAATAGCCGCTATGAGAAAAAGGAGTCAGAAAAAAGGTCAGGCGTAAGGATACCCGCTCACCCCCGCCATTGTAACTTTTTTTAGCGTGCTCGCAAATCAGAACCAAGCTCGATGATCTTTAGATTCAGATCTATGTACTTTTCCTAATTCTTCAGTCAGGGTCCAGTACATGCAGTTTCTTACATTGGACCGCTTCTGAGCTGATAAGATTTGTAATTGTTACAGAAAGCAAGAAAAATGATACCATTATGGCCTTATTATCTTTACCAAGGAACGGGGGGATGGGTGTGCAAAAAATTGGATCTGTCATTCAAATAAGATGAAAATCATTGAACTTTCCAGAACGCTTTTTATTGGTCAACACAGTGGACCTGCGATCTTTTTCATGTTAGAATCATGGCAATCCCAAATAAAGTGAAAATGACGTAATGGTTACAGCTGCCTATTTCTTGAACAGCCGAAGTTGAATTATTTTATCTTTTTTTTTTTTTTTTTTTTTTTTTTTTTTCTTCTTCTATTACTTCTTTTTTTCTAACTGTTTCTTGCTCAGAAAGAACAACCTCTATTGCACCGGAACAGGTTCCATAACATTCTTTTCTTTCCTCTACAGCTTAATTTGATTACAGTTTGTTTTCTCTATTTCTTATCACTTCTTTTTATTCGAAACATTTCTTTTACATTCTTACAAATAACCTAGCTTTCTATTCAAAAAAACAAAAGAAAAGACTGTATTCATATCGTTTAAATCAAATTACAATTCAAAAGAGGAAAGACTTTTCAAGGTAAAATACATTCAAAAAAAGGCCCATTTCACTTCTTGATGCTAACCTTTATGTTTTTCGTTTGTGACCTATCCATCGTTCATATCTGATTAAAAAAAAAACAAAAAAAAACATAACCAACCTGTTTTATGAGTAATAAAGACAAAGACATTATGGAATCAAACCCAATGGTTCAAGGTATGTTGCATTTCTTTTATAAAAAGCTTTTTCTTTGACTGATAGATTGCTTTCGGAATAAAATAGATGAAGCTCCCATGGCAGTATTGCCTTTAAATCCTAGCGCCAAGTTAGATCAAGAACCTAATCCTTTTGAGAAAAGTTTCTCAGGAGCATCCGTCGAAGAAACGTCAAAAGATAAACTCAAGCTGCCCCCTGTTGCTGCTATTACTAGTCCTTCGCAGGCTTTAATAGTCAACAATAACGATCATAACAACAGCAATAGTCAACCACAACCACAGACCAACGTTATTGGTGGAGGTGTGTTACCAAAAGAAATTTCAAATCAGTTCACTTGGGAAACACTTCGTACAGGACCATTATCCCCTTCCATGTTACAAGGTCCTGCAAATCCTGATGAATACTATTCTACTGCTACTACGACAAACGGGCAATTAGCACCACCTAATATTTATTCTAGTCGATCTTCATTCACCTCTACTGCCAATCCTATTAAAATGGAGGCACCTCAGCCAATTTATATGAATACTACGCAATACCATCAATATCAGCCGAATCCATACCCACATGCACACTTGCAACAACAACAACAACAATTGCAAGAGCAATCCATACCGCGCATGAGACAGTCTTCTACAAATAGTCAAATGAGTACTAATACAACCACATCCAATAGTAGAAAACGGTCATTTTCTCATCAGGAAGATGATGGTCACTCAATAGACAGTAACGAATCGAATAATCAACCACAGAATAAATCAAGAAGAAGATCTTCTGCAGTAACCAACAACTCTGAAGAAGATCAGGATAAGAATAGCAACAGTAGTAGTAATGGCGGTGGTGGTGGCGGTAGAAAGAAATCAAAGTCGACTGGTAAATCAACTGAAGACGATGAAAAGCGAAGAAACTTTTTAGAAAGAAACAGAATAGGTGAGCGAAAACAATCCTAAAGGTTTCTATAAGAAAAGCTTATACTCACCTTCGTTTATTTTAGCCGCTCTAAAGTGCCGTCAGAGGAAGAAGCAATGGTTGAATAATCTTCAAGCAAAGGTCGAGTTTCTTACAAGTGATAACGAAAGACTTCAAATACAATCAGAATCCTTGAAAGAAGAGATCGTCAACTTAAAAACGTTACTGTTAGCTCATAAGGACTGCCCTATTGCACAGGCCAACGGTTTCCATCCTAATTCTATACAAAAAGCCATGCCTTCTATGTTATCAACGCAACAAATGATGCGACAAGGTATACCTCCTCCTCCTATGCCTCCTTCTTCTACTGCACCCAATAGCAGCACATTGGGAATGATCCCTGCTCCACCTACTTCTTTTCTGAATAACCGTACATCCACCACTAACACCGCAACCACAGCAAATACTTCTGCATCTGCCCCACCGCCGCCGCCTGTTTCAACCACCACATCCAATATCCCGAATTCTATTCCTCAATATCAGCGAGCAACGACGACTATGGGAATCCCTGTTCCACCGCAGCAAACAAGTCATCAACAACAAAGCATGGTTGCTGGCGGTTCATCAAATGTGTTAAGATTTTAAATGATCTACCCTCAACGTCCATTCTATTCCTTATTTTTGCCCTTCCCCCCCCCCCCCCTCTATATACTTTGAGGCATTAAAAAAAAAAGGGAAAACAACTACCATTTTGTTACTGATAATGATACTTATTCTACTTTTTATTTTATATCTTTTTTTTTTTTTTTTTTTTATCTTTTTAAAACGTGCAGCTGTACATTAACACTTCCCATTTCTTTTTTCTTTTTCGCTTATAGAAAAATATGAAGGGAAAAAACTATACTTTTATCTTATACACATTTACTAAGTTAAAATCTTTTGCTTTTTACCAATTTTTATTGCTTTTTAATTAAAAACATATATCTCTTTGCAAAAAAATGACGTGAACATACTGAATAAATGAGCGAGTGATTGCAATGGCAGTTGATAAAGGCTGCTGCTACCTTTTTTTGAACCCGAATTTTTTCCGTTCGTAAAACAAATCTGTCTTGGAAGACCCAAGGTTGATGATCTTTGGACAACCTTCACGATCTTTTTCTAATCGAGTACATTCTACACAATAATAAGCATCGGCTACTCCTGGACCACCACAAACGACACATCGACCTTGAAATGAACCTACAGGAGAAGGTAAGTTTACTGGACAAAAGTAGCTGCAAACAGAAGAAAAACAAAAACACTCACCAAAATTGCATTCATCGCAAATACGCACTAATGTAGCAGGACGAACGTATGAATCGCAAATGACGCAACGACCATCACAACGTTCACATAGACGTCCAATGGCAATTCCTGGCTGTTTTCGACAGAAAATGAGATCGGGATGATGCTTTGCCATTTGTTCCTTTTTCTTAAAGCAAAAGTTGACAGTTGAAAGAATTTAAAAAACAAAAAGGAATCCCTTTCTGAAATTTAAAGCAGCCCGTTGGTTGTGGACTGCGCAAATTCCCGCCCATCCTTTTTGTGGGGCAAAGGAAGAGATGATGTTGACTTTATTTACACGTGATCTCGAAAGATAAAAAGAGATCAAAACACAGTTTGAGTTTCTTCTAGTTTCATCATTGTAAAAATGGCAACGAACAGAGATACTATACAAAAGGACACCCAAGTAATGATACCTTGATTCGCAGGAAAGTTACCGTGTTGTAATGCCCACTGAGCATTAAAATAGCGCACACAAGCAAAATACAAAAATAGCATGCTTGTCACCACAAACACAAGGCCTAAACATTTGCCGAGTTTCTGGCGCTTTGTTACTGCCGACAAGTCATCTACCTGAACGATACCTTTTATAACAATATGAAATCAGCATAGAGAAACACACACGCACACACACACACACCCTCTCTCTCTCTCTCTCTTTTCCCCCCCCCCTCTTTTTGTAGCCCTTTCATTGCCTTTTACCAATGCTTAGAGCTACAATTGAAAGCGATGTTCTGAACCATGCGAGAAAAGTTCGTTCATTGGCTACATATAATATTGAGTAATAAAGATCAATATATAACAAATACTTTGATTCATAGTATGAACGATGAACCTAGATGGTCTCTGGCTATATTGCCCTTGTTTTCCAATTTGACCGCAATTGAATATTTATTAAAAAATTCGTAGAATGAGTTCAATAGACTTGCGAAAACAAGAATTGAGGTGCGAGCTTTTTTACCAGCCGTTCATTGATCGCCCTCATCATGAAAAGTATGTGTTTTTTTCTCCTCATGAATGATAGTTGTAGTATCACTGTGTAGCTGAAAGATCGCTGTTGATCTGCTCTTTGATGAAGAATGGCTATTCAGATCTTTCTTTACCGTAGTAGTTGAAGATGTGTTCAAGACCTTTCGAGAATCATAAGCGGGCCTATCGTTGCTCTTGGTGCGTTGATGATGGAGCTGTTGTGTAAGATGATGGCGGCGATCATTATTATAATCCATATTTGACAAATTGGTACGCTAGAAGAGATAAACCAAAAGAAGACGAAAAACAAATGTCTATGAATTGCACATGCATCTTGTCAGTAATAGCTTTGTTAAGAACAGGAATAGATAAACTTGCTTTTTCTTGAAATAGTTCTACGCAAAATCGGCATACTCCTCCCCGCTTCTCCTATCTTGCAGGATTCTTTTCATACTTTCAGTAATGAATCTGCTGTATAAAGCGCCCTTTATCTTTTTTAAATCCACACTTTTTGCATGGCCTGGATTACATAAGAATGGGATATTGATGGAACATTTCGTTACCAGAAAAGTAAAAGGCTTCCACTGCGGGTTTAAAAAAGGTGATCTGCATAAATTAAACTTATCAATAGTTCAAACTAGATGATTTAAAACAATAGGATGAAAAAACTAGCCTATCTTGATAAGAAAGCCGTAGCAAAGAAGGTCTAGAATGCACTGTTGTCTAAACGACTCCTATCGAAGGTATCATAGAAAATAAAATGTAAATAATCCTGCTCATTCTGCGTAGGATAGAGATCTGAATTTTCTGTTTTCTGGAAAATGCAACGCTATGGTTTCAGTTTTTCAAATGCAACATTACATCACTGATGTATGTATATTTTAATGAAACCTGGAGAATCGTCCTTTTTGCTGGTACAAAATGAACTGCTAAAGTGAGTTGTGGCATATATAATCTTTAAGCTCAATTTTGTATCAACGAACCCAACACGAGAAATTTTTTTTCTCTGGATTGTTGCATGCATTTTTTATTGTCTGCAAACTTGCATAATAGAAATTAGATGAAAACGGGAACAGTTCTCTCTCCCTTTCTCTCTTCATTTTGCTCTTCTTTTATATATCATATCTATATTATATCTTGAGACTTTTTTTGAAAATACAAAAAAAAAAGGAAACTTATGTCCAGTCCACAAAACTATCAACCTGACGTGGAAACATCATCTTTTGAAGAACGGTTAAAGAATAAAAACATTCGCTCTATGCCTGTAGGCAACGAGCGGCTTGCTGCTTTACGTGACTTGGGAGCAACATTTGATGAAGGACGACATAAAACTACAAAGATAGCCACTCCTTCCGGTACACCCAAGATTCCAGCTTTTGTAGATGCTGGTCAAATTGAGGTATGGGTTACTCAATATTGACTATGATCACCATTGCAAAATAACTGACTTGTACGTTATGAATATGTAGCGTCTGTTACAACAAAAGTCAACTGCCCGAAATCCATTTTCAGCATCAATATCATCCAGCAGGGGAGACTTTACAATGTCCGGTGAATAGCTTAATTACGAAAAATGGCGGATACAAAGCACCTTTGCTGCTTTCTATGCATCTTTGTACGCCAACCGTTTTCTCTTCGCCCCCATCATATAAAGTGAGAGCGGTACATATTGTCACAATGCAACAAATTTGAATGTTCTTTACTAGAAAACAAACTTCAATCTGCACAAAGCTAAATGGCACTAAACTGAAAATAATTGTCCTTGAATAAAATCAAGCTGTCTATACACGTCAAAAAGATTGTCTTTTGATGGAGAGGAACTGTCATTAATTCTACCAGAAAATAATGTAAAACTTCTCCTTCTTCAAGGCTTCGAAAATGTTTAATGGTATCACGAAGAATACGACTAATTCAAAATGAATGACGTAGAAGTTTAGCGGCAATTTACTCATATCTCGATACCCCACCTTATTTCATCGTCTTGCTTCTAATATTTTAATTGATACCACTTCATATGATCATGTGATCTTGTAATTTTTTGACATCTAAGGTGCAAGGTTTTTTTGAAATGCTCTAATCGTAGCTAGTAAATCAGTGAAATCAGTATTACTTACCTTATGCGGATACGAATTAGAAGGTAGTTCATCTAACTGTAATTTATAGTCCGTAGCTGTATTGTAACAACACAATTGTAAGTATTACATGTTAGCATCTGCTTATGCTTAAAAAGAAGGTCTCTACGGAGTCTCTGTTAGAGGTATATGAATTTAATGCACAGTTACAGCATTCTCCTCTGTCCTAGCACAATAATCTAATGACTTGCACTAGTATTTTATGCTTGTGGTAACCTATTTAGGAACTTTGCAGATAGCAACTCCTGTCTACTTATCCTTTAACTTAGAACTCTTTGCCAATATCGACAATAGCTATTCATCATTCCGTACTGAAGGGTGGTTTATTGGATTGAATATTTTTTATTACCCATTTGAAAAGTCAGCTTTCCTGATTTCAATTTGTTCACTACGATACACAGAAACACCTTCTGAACACCGTCTTTCTAGTATCATAATGTTGCATATGTAAAACATCCATAACTCTATCACATCATATTGATGAACTTGTCTCATAAACAAATAATTCACTTATCTTGGAAAGTACAATAGTGACCTAGCATTTAGAATATTCACTTCTACCCTAGAAATCTTGGTAAACGACTAGACAATATTACTTTATTTTAAACGATTTTATTTTATGTAGTTTGTACGTCACCAATGTAGTCCTTGAAGTAGTTGTTATCATGCGTTATTTGGACTATCATTAAGTAAAGTGAAGAGAGTGTCATTGCGTACAACGGACGACTTTATTTAATACGTATTGTTTTGCAAACAGTATTTATAACGCTGTTAAAAAGAGCAAAAGCTCTTTTACTCAAATTATTTGTATTTCATCGGATTTGTTTTGCTAGCAAAAGCAAAGGTGTGATGAAATGCCGGCCAATAATGAGAGTTAATGAGTTTTTTTAGTAGCTATTTCGAATAGAGCACTCGAATTGAGTCAGAAAAAAAAGAACAAAAAACCCTTCAGTCATTCCGTACATCGCCGTCAACAGGATAGGGTCGCAAGACCTTCCATGGGTAGCCGTTAAAAAAAGGGGTCCGTACGTTACATTTTTCTCACAACGGTGCAAAATTGAGTGATATCATGCCTGACTGTGACAAATTCATTTCCTTATAAAGTAGGTCATGGTTGGACAAATTAGAAATCTTCATATGATGGAATAAATAATAGCCGTTCAATTTCTTATCCAAATGCGGGGCGAAACTAGATAAGATTACTTTCCATTAGAAGTAGGAGAAAAGATCTTCTCTCTCTTCTTCTTTATTTACCATTAAAAGACTGCATAGAAAATCGCACACCCCATTTAGACATAATACTACTCTACATTAATATGTTACGGCGAAGACTATTGTCCCACATAATAAAGCCAACTTTCAGCCAATATCATAGAGCAACTATTGTTCGGTTACCGATAATTTATTCTGCCAAACGTCTTCATTCGACATTGACCATTGACAATGACCATGCGTTTTACTACCCACAACCAGAAGTAAACAATAATAATAAAAAGCTCAAACCAGCGTCAAAAAATAAGTCAGAATCTATGATTGGTATGACTGAATGAAGAACACCTCATCCTTACCTTCATAAAATGTGTTCGACTCTAACCTATTTCCTAAAATGTTATTGATAAACTACTTAGTCTCTCCTCTTCAACGTTATGATGAGCTCACTGCTACAAGCACTGTTCGAATGGATCTTGACCAAAGAGCCGTCATCGAAAAATTAGACCATTTGTGGTACGACTTGAAACACTATGTACCAAAACCACATACAGCAGAAAGAAAATCAGGCTTAGTAAGTGCTTGTTTGAATTTAAAGTTTTTTATTATTTTTCCGTCTTGTTTTTCTCATATAAATTGTTCATTATTTTGTATAGTGGAGTAGATTATTCGGCGCCAAAAGTATGGGTGAGCATCATTATGCTCAGCTCGATGCCAATATTCCTAAATCACTCTATGTATACGGTGATGTCGGTACCGGTAAAACAATGGTCATGGATCTCTTCTTTGATACGTTGCCCATCGCTCGTAAACGCCGTGTGCATTTCCATGCATTCATGCTCGATGTTCATCGACGCATTCACCAGATAAAAACGCAATACCCAGGTCTCGCCAATCCTATCGCACCTATTGCTGAAGATCTTGTGAGAGATGCTTATGTACTCTGTTTTGACGAATTCCAAGTAACGGATATAGCCGATGCCATGATTCTACGTAATTTGTTCGTTGAACTCTTCCACCGTGGAGTTGTGTTGGTCACTACCTCTAACAGGCATCCTACTGAATTATATAAAAATGGCATTCAACGTGCTTCCTTCTTACCCTGCATTGATCTCTTGATGAACCGTTGTGATGTGCTATGCTTAGACTCCGGTACTGATTATCGAAAAATGCAACGGGCCCAATCGCATGTTTATTTCTATCCTCTGAACGGAGAAACAGAGAAACAGGTCGATAACATCACCAATATACTGACCCATGGTAAAAAGATGGAGCCGAAGCATCTTCACTTCTTATCACGTACCCTGACGATTCCTCAGCAAGTGGACGGTGTGGCTAAAATGCGCTTTGCAGATGTCTGCGCCCAACCTTTAAGCGCGGCTGACTATCTTGAAATTGTAAAGAATTTCCATACGGTCATATTGACTGATATTCCTCGGATGACAATGAAGCATAGAGCAGAGGCTCGTCGCTTTATCACTTTTATTGACGCCATGTACGAATCTCATGTTACTTTGGTGGCGAGTGGAGATAGCAACATTATGGAGATATTTAATGCGGAAGAAGGCAAAGAACATTTAGAGAATGAAATGAGTGCTATGCGTGATGCCTTGAACGTTTCCGACGTCTCCTCTCCTTTGTTTAATGGGCAAGAAGAAGCATTTGCCTTCCAAAGAGCGTTGTCTAGACTGATTCAAATGCAAAGCAAAGATTGGGTCTGTTCAGAATTGAAGAACCAGTAATGGACGTTTCATCTCAATGCACTATACACTTTATTCCTACACTTTTGCATTTCTATACATAACTTTCCTTCATTATCAGCATCATTCATTACTTTATTACACTTAATCTTAAGTCATACCTCTTTTACCATGCATACAATTAACATCAACTAAAATTATCACTACCCACGGATCTTTTTGGGGTTCTTGTTCAATAAAAAAACCGAAACAATACGAAGAATGTACCTTTGTTAACTTTTTGTTGCCATTGCTTGCACATTTTTGTATTCTCTAGGTGAAAGGAGACGACTCCGCAGCGACCTTTTGAAGACTACATGCTTTAAAGTAATTTATTCCTTTTTGGCAATATAATAAAAGTTAATACATATGAAGCTGCAATATTCTGACGATGTTATTGATAGTTTAATTGCATAAAATATTGTATTATAAAGCGCCTAAGATTCCTTTGTCCAACATAATGACCTCAGAACCCAATGTTAAAATATGTATCTATTTTCTTTAAAAAATTGGTTGTTATGCTAAGGAGTAGTACAAATGATAATATATTCCTTCCGATGAAAGAAGAGTAGGTTTCAAAAGAGCTGATATAGCAATCAATGGTTACTGTTGTTGCTCTTTGGAACATCGTGAATCATATGGAAAGTATGCTTATTGTATGGAAGAGGTGTACTCGGTCTTGTGGACCTGGTATCGCCACTATGACTGCTTTCACTACTAACTGCAGTATTTGAATTTATACAATGGGTTGCGGTCATAAAAGAGTCAAAGGTAGCAGCTGAGTCTGTTCGTTCGTGTTGTAGTTCGTTGTTAGTAGTAGTAGGACTGCTCGATACATAGCCTGATGGTTGTTGTGGCTGTTGCCAGGTTGGAGGAGTATTTTCTAACACTTTACTGTCATAACTATGCATGTTATCAACAGCTACGGTGTGACATGGATTGTACAAGCCTGTAGTGCCTGTATGATCTCGATGTTGCTGCTGCTGTTGCTGCTGCTGCTGCTGTTGTTGCTGCTGTTGATGTTGATTATAGTTATTAAGCATACTCTGAAATTTAAGAGGCGAGCGATTGTGATACCGATGATAGGCATCGCAATCATTGGCGCTTTGGGATCGACCATGAAAGTTACTGAACGCAGCCATAGCATGTTGAGAATGCGACGGGGACATCATCTGCTGTGAGTGATGTGGCTGAGGAGAATATGGAAAGCCTGATGGTGAAAAGCCGGCGTTATCGCTTTGGGTTGGGCTCTGACTGGTGATTGTAGGAGGAGCAGCATAGACATATTGTGGCGGTGGTAAAGTGACAAAAGATTGAAGAGATTGGTGTGGTGAGGAAGATGAAGAAGCCGTCATCGTCAACTGAGTCGTTGTCGTTGTTGTCGTTGTCGTTGTTGTCGTTGCTACTGCCGCTGCCAATGTGTTACTATTATATGTATTGATAGACGAAGAGGATGGCGAGGCAGCAGTAGCAGCATGGTACGTGGTGGCATCAACGGTTGGATGCGAATTGTTGTCAAGTACAAATGTTACATTATTATAGTCATTATTCACTATGAGACTTCCCTCTTTCATCTTCTTGTTACTGTTGCTGTTGTTCACATATTTATCATTTGCTGCAGCGTTATTACTATTCTTCTCACTTGCGTTTTTTCTCTTTCTTTGACGTATAGGCTGTTGCTGCTGCTGTTGCTGTTGTTTCTGTTTGTCTTCAGCACTGTAATGGCCTGGGCTTCTTCCTCTAACAATAACTGGTAGTGAATAACATTCGGAAACGACATGTCGCGACCCGTCGGATAACTCTACAAGAAGCTCTACTCGTAATCGGAAATATTGTTGCGTCGCTTTACGTTTTCCATTATTTGCTGTAGCTGTTTTGAATTGAAGACGGTCAAAAGTACACACCTTATTTTGTTCCTTTACATCAACTATATTGCCACTGAAATCACTGCTACCAGCTGACCCTAACATACTACTGGAACTAGGAATGATGGCCAATAGAGGCGGCTCTCGTTGTGGTCCCTTGTCACGTTTAGCTGTCATTTGTGTTAAAGCAACAGGTTTGATCATATTATGAGTTTCCAAAAAAACAGAAGAGCTTTCTTTGAGATGCGTATTGAAGCTATCACTATTGGATGTTGAAGAGACTGATGCAGTGGAAGTAAAAGCACCTAGTCGCAAGTAAAACTGTTGAACAGGTAGCAGCGGTTTATCTTCGCTTAGTTGCAGTCCATAAAGTATACCGTCTGTATGCCCTTCTATACTACAACTAGCTGTTATTTGGAAATAATTGCGACGGTAGCAGGTCCATTGTTCTGCATCATCAATGAAAAACCCTTTATCCATCTTACAAGTCAAATGGACAGGTATTCTAATAGCATTGGTTCATTTAGTCATTTGAGGTCAGTGTCCGGTAGTAAAAATCATCCTTTTTTTTGATTTCCCCCCTTCCCATCTTATCTTATGGTTTCTCAATATACATACTTCATTAACTTCTTATTGTAATCACATAAATTGAGTATATTTTTTGAAGTGTAAAAGAACTTTTTTGCCTCTCTTTCGTAACATCCTTGCGGTGCTTGCATTACTGACACCGTAGCTGGTACGATTGGAAAGGATGTGTTCAGAGGTTTAAGTGCAGGCAGAGGAAAGCCCGATTCCTCATTTTTAATGTATGAATGTTGGTTAGTTGCTATTATAGTCGAATCATTCTGTGTAGTCAATGGAGAGGGTTTGCTACAGAAGGGTTTGCGTGCCCTTACAGTTAGTAAGCTTACAACGTATATTGTATGCATCTATCTACTGTTTTAAGAGTTCTTCTTCCTACCTTCTAAAATCAAACATTCTAGGGTAGCCAATTGGTACAGCAGTTACCGAACCGCCATCCTTATATTGAACACCATTCTCACTATGAACACATTATTCATTTACTGTGTTAATTTAGGCTTTTATTTGAATTCTTGTAGTGTGGAGAAAAAAGAAGTGTCCTATTGTTGATAGATTACACGTACTTTAAATAGCCATGACCGACAGGTACAGAATGTGATCTCTGGTGATAAAATGGTATAATATCGTTTCCTGACATTTTAAGGTGAAATCCGTTCTGACTTGGATGTACAACAATTAAAGAAGAAAAAAAAAAAAAAAATGGAAAGGAAAGAAGTATAAAAAGTTTAAATCAAAGGAAGAAAGGAGAACAAAGCACGATATAAACAAAGTAAAAAATAGCTTTTTCGAACAAAACCTGTTAAGGAAACGGTTCTTTGGGGTTTTTTTTTCTTTCTCTTTGCTTGTTTTAAGGAGTAGTTGACGCCAGTAGTATATAGTATTTTTCTAAAAAGTCGTCATTCATCGCCACCGTTCAAGGTTTTTACTTTCTATTTTATATCTTAACAGGGAGCATTGTTATACGTTCATATCACTGTTTTTGGTATGGCTGTTATGTATAATGCAGCTTTCAACTGCAAACAAGATGCACAGAGAGGTCAACTCTCTTTTTTGATATTGCAGAAATATACAAGTAAAATTAGGGAGACAATTTGCAAGTGAAGCAGTAGACATGGGCACTAACTTTAAATAGATACGAGCTGTTAATAAAATTGTCAATTAATGTTGATTTACTTCATGCGTGTATAGTACATATGTGCTCGGAAATAGAAGTGATCTCTCGCCGAGCAGCAGAAAAAGTAAAGATTCATCAGTAAATTGTAGAACAACCAGTAGCTCCTTATCACTTTGACACTTATCGACTAACTAGAACATCCACCCTATCATAAGTGAGCCTTACAGCAATTATCAATGACTTTGGCTTGAACTCGATTAACGTCAATATATAAGTTCGAAGGGCTTCTCGTACCAGATGATGGAAGCCGCATCTGCTGCTATGTACATATGCACGCTTAAGAAACGTACAAGCATAGAAAAGAAAGAGCTATATAAAATGACAGCGATCATAAATAGGTGTAACATCTCTAATTCTTTGCGTGGAAAAGAAAATGGTCGATAATAAATCGATTACCTGCTATATATGGACATTGCATTCTTAAACTATACTCTACACTTTTTTTTTTTTTTTTTTTTTTGGATGGTAGAGCAGATGTCGGACTATATCGAGCGCTTGTAACTTTCAATCAGAACTTGAACAGATTATGTTGGCTTCTATAGCAGCAGCTGACAATTATATCAGCTGGAGAAAGGTTAGCCAAACCGTTTTAGTAGTGGAAAGATGTCTCGAAAGGTTTAAAGAACCTGACCCTCTGCGGAATAAAATTGCATGAACTTGTTAAGCTGGAATTTATAGGTCGCTTTTTCCTTTCATTTCTCAATTTACAGAAATGAATATTCTTCCTCATAAAAGGTATCATTTATCTACAGCATCAAAAAGCAGTATACACAGCAACTAATTTTCTTTTGTGGTACAGTTGGCACGTTTATAACAAGGCTAATGTAGAACGAGTCCGTAAAGATGAAGCAAAAGCAGCAGAAGAAGCAAAGAAAAAGAAAGATCGTGCTGATCTAGCTGTAAGTGGGAATGGTACGAAGAACAGATGAAATCGTCAAACAGCCAAATAACGTTAAATATTCATACAATAGGAAAGTGAAGCTAGACTCAACCTTCTGAGACAACGAGCCAATACCCGTTTACCGCCCGAAGATCAGCTTTTGAGAGAACCTCAACCTATTGAACACATCAATTTGTTTCATGATTTCGAACAAAAGCTTGAAAGGAATGAAGAAGCTGAAGCTGAGAGAAAGGTTGAAGAAGAGAAGTTTGATAAACGCTTCACTATGTACCTTGACAAAGGCACAGAAAAAGGTAAGGACTGTGTTCATTGATGAGGCCTGTCAAGAAGGTTGCTGATCTGCTTCAATGTTATTCTAGCTGATGAGCCTTGGTACGTAAAGACAGACAGGAAGGAGGAGAAATACATTGATCCCTATAAATTCAAATCAAAGCAGGAGCAAAAACGGAAGGTGAAAGATACTAGTAACAAGGACGACGATCCTTTGCACTTCATAAAAAAGAAGCTGCAACAAAAGAATAGTAACGACAGGCGAGACAAAAAGAAAAGTCATCGCGAACGTCATGAAAATGATAAGAGCAACAACAACTGTTCAAATTCTTCTCCGACCATGGAAGAATTAAGGGCAAAACGATATGCTCGAGAAAGAAAAGAGAAAGCAAGATTACAAAATTTATACCTAGATCATAAAGAAGATCAGGAAGACGTCATCGACGAAAGAAAACGAGGCTATAACTCACAGTTTAATAGAGAAGAGACAGAATTGGCAAACAGTAAACGGCGAAGGCGACAATAAAGACCGGGATTGTTTAAATTTTATTCCTTGCTTTTTTCCACTCAATTATTCTCTATAATATATTTTGACGTTATGCGTGAGATCGTTACACTTCAGTTGGGATCGTTGGCGAATTACGTTGGCACCCACTATTGGAATGCTCAGGTAGACATAAATTACTTTATATGCAAAACCTTATGGTTGATCTAGCAGCTGATGAGCGAAGTTTGGCTAGGAAGAGTATTTCAGTTTTATAAATCAAACGAACACTAAAAACGAATTGGACCACCAAGTATTGTATAGACAGGGCGAGACGTCCTCAGGTATTGCAACCTATTCACCTCGAACATTGATATATGACCTAAAAAACGGCTTTGGATCGATGCAAAAGTACAATAAGTTATTTGCAGCAGACGATAATGATGATAATTTGATACCTTGGGATCAAGGAATACAAAAGATTGGTCGGCCAAACAGCAAAAGTAGATATCAACAAGAGTTGGATCGTATGGAAATTGATAACGAATATCATATGGACCTGGACGTTATCAATCAGTTGGATCAATCCGTGAGCAACTGGTCCGACTATAACAGGATATATTACCACCCACGATCCATCAACCCTATTGTAACGCATGAAATCGATAATGATATAACGCCCTTTGATAACTTCAACATTGGAAGACAGGCATACCGAGACAATGAGAAGGAGCTTGAGCTGTTCGATGAAAATTTCCGGTTTTTTGTTGAAGAATGTGATAATCTCCAAGGTTTTCAGATGATGGTCGATGTTGATGACGGTTTTGGAGGATTTTCAGAAAGTTTACTTCACGATATCAGAGATGAATTCGCGAAAGCACCTATTTTTCTATATGGTTTAAGTGATTCACGAGCAGTTTACCGAAATGAGGTATTGTTGCAAAGGTTTTTTCCCTGTAAGGACGCTAGCTTTTATACTAATTGTATGTCGATTTCATTTCATGGTTAAACAGCGTCAAAAGCAGAAAATTATGTTAAATAGAGCACTAAGTTTAACACGTCTTTCACAACTAGCCTCGGTATATATACCCATATATACGCCAACAAACGCAATGGCTGACAAATGTGGGTTATCATCCTACCTTCAATTTAATGACAACTCAAAATACCATACCAGTGCCATTGTTGCTGCTGCAATCGACAATAACTCTATACCTTATCGATTAACACGACCTCAGCTATCAATGGGAGATGTGATGACTAAGATTGTGCAAGCGAACAATTCGAGGCTCGCCTCGTTATCTGTCTCCATACCGTTACCTATTTTGGCTAAAGGTTATAGAGAAACTATGGAAACTTTCAAATTCGATGACCAGTTAAAGCCTCTATTACCATTGTTGCAAAGTTATTCAAAACAGGTAATGAAATCTTCTCAATTATTGGGCAATGATAAATTTTTATTAAAAGATCTTATAAACGATAGTCGACGGATGTATATAGTGAAATTGTTGTAACTAGAGGATTACCTGTAAATTATCCAAAAGATAGGACTATGTATATTGAGCGTTTATTGTCGACGTTCAAAGACACCAACGACCTTTTGCACACAAATGTGGATATTGAAGCTGCATTACCATTGCCCGAGTCATTCCCTCATATATTTAAGGCTTGCTTTGATTCGAATGGGTATATTAGTCACGGGCAGAGTAATCATGATTCGCTGCAGTCCATCCCGATACTTACCCATTTCGAATCAGGATCCAGATTAAAGCATTATGTGGATCGCCATATAGAAAACGTGGATACAATTGATTTCAAGGATTTCCATGAATATGCAGAGGGAGAAATCCCGATCACTCGTGAAGATTTCTTGCAAATGAAAGAAGAGCTAATAACGCTGTCTGACACGTATAACACTGACGAGGATTTTTGAGCTACTGTTTAAAACTGTAGATAGCTTGCCCATATCCAATTTGCAGGCGCCGATGGATTCACAAATGTAGGAGGCACTTTACGTAGCCTGTCTTCATATACATTTGCTTCCCCTATATCAGACAAAATATATTGATCCCACATTTTACGAGTTACGATTAAACTACTCAAAGATTGTTCTGCTTCACACCAATATTTGTAAGCATTTTCGTCTATAGGCATTGAATTCCATTTGTCTTCCGGGTGTATATATAATTTCTTTTCTGTCTTTTCTTGAACATTGACATCGGTATTTCTCTCCCTTTCATCCTCCACGCATGTTTGGTGAGTTTGCCGGTGTTGCTGCTCAGCTTTTTCCCTTTCATGCCATTCTTTCACTTGGTTATAAAACTGGCTACCTTCGTCAGCAAAGAAATGACCCTGTGCTTCCAGCCGTTTTCTCCGTAAAGATAGTAACTTTGTCAATTTTGAAAGCACTTTCGACAAATGCTTGATCTTTCCTTTCGCATCCTCCTTGTTGGAAGATTTCAAGTTCTTGGTCTGTTGTTGTTGTTGTTGCGATAGATTTTGAGCTATGACGGATGGTGTACTTGTAACTTTCCAAACAATATCTTTCTTCCACTGTTCGTTCTTTCTCAATGTTTCTTGTTTCTGACGACGCATGCGTTCATTATGCCTCTTTCGCCATTCACGATGGCGTGCTAGTTTCTTCTGTTTGCGCTTGATCACTTGTATGCGATGCTGGTCTAATTGTTGTGTTAACCGGATCAGCTTCGCCTTAATATTGTAAACGTTGTCAATATTGCACCAAATTTATCGTAATTGTTTCCTTGACATTAGAATCCTTACTGTTTCTAATCCCAGTTTCTGTAAATGATCTCGCCATTGATCTTGAGAAAATTCTCTCAACCCTATTTCACCGTCAATAGCTGAGTTAAGTTGCTCATACAGTTCTATTGACTCTCCCAGTTGCAGTTTGGTTTCTGTAATGGACATGAAAAATAATCTAAAATGAAAGAAACCGTTTGAAATATTTAAGCTCTCTATATACCATAAAAGGCAATTAAGTCTTTTTTCCTTTCAACCAACTCTATACGAACAAAGCAAGCGTCATATTCCCCTCAAAGATGTATAGCCTAATCTATTGTTCAGAAGACAGACCTTAACATAAAAGCTGACAGCTTGATATGAAAATAATGTATTTCTATTAGGTTCATTATGTACACAGGACAATTGTCTGTTTATTACAAACTACTGCTTTTGAGCTCCCAGCTTCAAAAAGAACCAACATACCCGAGATAGTGTATCGAGGCGGCCTCAAACTGTGTATTTCGAAGTTTACTGATATTTGACTTTCAAGCTTTTTCTAGACATTGTCTGACATCCGAACCTATAGTTAGTGAAACCAAGCTAGCAAAGTCAACAGAATAATAGGTTAATACTTCCACTGTTTGCTGGCGAAAAATGCGTTAGCCTAATGCCACAGTAACCAAGCTCGTATCGCTGTTTCTGACCTCTTGTCAGCGATGCTTGACTTTTGAGAATTTAGTATTATCTGAATTAGCAAGCGACTAGAATTCTCTGTATTTGCATATTGTTCTATATGCTGCTACTGAAAGAACAAAGGAGCACTGTCTATTACAGATTTCTATCAGGTGTATAGGTACACATAGCTTTAGCGTTTATTTGGCTCTTCAGAGGTGAGCTCTACAAAGGAAGCCTTTTTTCTGAATTCTTAAAGACTTTGGATTGCAAAGCTTTTTCATCTACAAAGGAAGCGCTGAAAAGCCCGTTAAAAAGAATCATCAGTGTACCATCCCGTCAATTGTTGATGTTTTGCTTTACACAAATGTGCATTCGAACTGAACAAGTAATTCCGCATATTTCTGATTTGGCACGCCAAATTACAATACCTGGAATCAAGGGACACTATAATGCATGCCTACAGGCATTATGTGTTTATACTTCATCTTCATCCCGCTTTTCTCTTTTGTTTTCTTTCTTGAATCCCCTTTTTATAAGCTGACCCTCTTCTTCTGATACAGATCACTCATCTTTGAATTGATTACATTCAAACGAAAGTCATAACGTTTTCTTCCAGTAACAATTGATGTTGCCAATACCTTCAATGCTTCAATATAAATACCGCGCCGGCTGACCATCTGATTATCATCTCTTCTTTTCTCGTAGGGACTTGAACAACGCCAAAAATTCATTATCCTTACCATTTTTGCACAAACCTTAATCTTCAACCTTACTTGTGCGTGATTTTGAACTTTCGATCATAATAATAACTGATAAGCCTTCCCCAAGCCATCATTCAGACAATAGTAGGGTCATACATTTAAACTCAAAGTAAGCTCTCCATATTACAAACAACTATTGTTTTGAGAACCGGTCTCTTGCATTCCTAATACACCTTCTTTTTCCCTTCATTAAACCCTCTAGATTGTAACTGTCTCTCAACTATCTACACAACCATATCTATATTACAGTAAATCCATAATCTCTATATGCCTGTAGTAACGTGCTTTTGGTCCCTATTATCGCTCGATAATCTCGAATTCCTATATATACCAACCGTCGTCGGCAGGAGAAAAATTCTCAATACCAACCAAACCTTAGAAGATATTCTTCTGCATCACTCTTTATATGAATTCATGCATCCGACAGAAATCGAACTTGCAAAATCTGATTTATCGAACTTTTTGAACCTAAAGATCTTGGCAGGATCAGTTACCAGGTATATTTGCGAATTTATCTGATTAGATGGGTATAGCAGCATTTTGTCCCAACTCTGCTTGCATTATTCAAACAAAAAATTTTAGATGTCGTTTGCTTTCACTTGAGAACATAGCTTGCAGAGCTGCCGGTATGGAACCGCCATCTGCTTCACAAACAAATCAAGGAGTAAGTAAGATTAAAGTTCAATAGATTGTCGATTACATACATATACACAACCAAAATATAATCGATCAAACGTTTGTTTTGAAAGGTGGTTGCACTAACATTTTTTATATAGGCGATAGTTTCAAAGCCATACAATGATCATACGACTGATAATGTAGACAATATGTGGACTGTTGTAGACATTGTTATCTACTCAGCAACACACGAGTTAGTCTTGGCATTCTTCCATAATATAGGTAAATGCAAGCGACCATGTTGTAGAACTATTAAGGACAACAATCTTCTTGAAACAAGCAACGTCAGACTTAAAATCTCTGTTTGCATCAGATTTTGGGCCATTGTGCATGAATGAAAAGATAGCTCGTGGAGATGATGAATATTCCCATAGCAACTTTGCAAACCAGGTAAATATTTTATACAAACAAAACTTACTGCAACAAATACCAAAATAATTGCATATCAATCTGATCGTAGGATACACTGAACATGATTCAAGCAGTCGAAATGGTCAAGAGGATGGCAAGAAGTGATCTGAGCCGTAGGAATAACGACTTAAAGCTACCAAAAAGATTTTTTCAAATTACAGATCAACTTGCACAAAATGTAGCCCTCTCTTGGCTGGATACTAACTCTTCCAACCCAGATGATTCATTACTCGATATGATCAAATTGATATCAAAGGATATTGCTGTTGAGGAATTCAGAAGCTCATCTTACAATAGCAATTGCAAGCTGATTACAGCACCATTCGAAAGTTCAACATATACCAAAAACAAAGACATTTCATGTACTCGCCATTTTTATGCAAGTGTCAATGTTGAGCTATTCAATAAGATGTATAACTTTCATAAAATTTTGATACCTTATGGAAGCATCATATTCGAAACAATCCAAATTACTCCACTCGATAAATCCGCCTCAGAAAGAAGAATAAGTTCATCACATGCACAACTACATTTAATACGGCAACCAAACCAAATATCTTTACCACCATTGAATGGTCTGTCTCGCGAAAACGGACGTGCCGATAAAAGTTCTAAAGCAAACAAAGAACATCAATTATTACCTATTTCTACCCACATTCTATTAAGTAATCCACTTACCAAAGCAAGCACCGATTATAATATCAATGTAACATTTTTTCATTAAAAAAAATATATGATGAATCGGCCTAGTACTAATTCATGCACAATCAATATTAGGATAAAGTGAATGCTGCAATCTACCGCAGTGTTGGAAATAGAACTCGTGAAGATGATAATCTTGTAAGCCGATCCACAGGTCAAAAGTCCATTCAGCTTCCTCACTTGCACCAAAACGACAATGCTTATAGTTCATTAAATCAAGACGAAGAGGCAACATCTTCCTCCTCTGTTGATTCATATCACCGTCAAACTCACCATCACCAGCAACACCAGCAGCACTGTTTACCACGAATGGAGGTGTGCGATCAGTTGTTTCCTAACTTCTCAGCTGAACGAAGGAAACTCTACGGAAACAAACGACAGGCGTTCAATAACAGAATGAGCGGAGAGCCTGTTAAAGTTTGCACTAGATGTTTGACGAGCCAAAGTCCTGAATGGCGACGTGGGCCGGATGGACATAAAACGTAAGCTATGTTGGTTTCTTTTATTTTCTTTCCTTTCCTCCTCTTAATCTCTGTCCTCTACTATTATCGAGTATTCACTAATTTTTCTTTCTAACCTATCCATGCAGTCTGTGTAATGCTTGTGGTTTGAGATATTCGCGTTTGAGATCAAAACAATGGCGCGCTGCTTTAGCTGCAAGAGATGCAACCAACTAGCAAGAAATGTGTTGTTTCTGCTTCCACTCCTTCTGATATGTCTCCCATTATCTCTAGTTATTAGACCCTTAGTTCATTTCAATCTTTACTATTTAACCAGTGAATATGAAGGAAAGTACGAAAAGCAAAGAAAAATTATGTTCGTAACTGTATTCTTAAGAAGAATACATAAAAGTACGTTAAATAATATATGACCTTTAATACTACATATTCTTACAACGGTAACAGCAGCCTTTTTTTTACCAATTATGTAAATTGAAACTATCTCTATGTACTCCACTCAACAAGTTTTTTTTCATATAGTAATCATTTTGATCGCCCTTTTTTTAATAGTTCGAGATCGTATTGTTGCTCTTTTAATACAAAAAAAAAAGCCATTCTATACATAAAATGCTCTAAGAGCGACCTATATTTAGTTGGTTATTATTTTGCCACTTTATCTACTGTATGCTGACAGCAACTGTTTCTCGATTCGCCATTTTACATACATTCGTTTACCACAAAGTATTGTATAAAAAATATGCACTTGCAAAAAATAGAGGCATTCATCAAAAATGTTTAAAGAATGGTGCCTTTCCAGTAAAGCTGAGTGTATATTGACCAATCATTCATTTTAATGCTAACTGTTCTTCAATAGTAATAATAGCAGACTCGTTCAAATACGAAGGAGGCTTGATATTAACTCATCAAAGCAACACACTGCGTTGATAAGTCTTAAAGTCATTATTTTTGCGACTGGAATCATGATCCATCAATAAAAGGTACCATCAGGATTGCTCTTTTTTCCCAGATCAACCCGATCTTTGACAGGTCCAAAGCAATTTAATCTCCGCACAGAAAAAAAAAAAATCAATTTTTTTTTTTTTTGAAATATACCTTTTGAGGTGATGGAAAAATAAACCCCTTTTTTTTTGGTTTACGAAAAAAGCCTTTTTATCGACGAGAAGCAATGGCAACTTCATCTCAAGCAGTGTTAGAGCGACTTGCTCAACTTCAAATAAGTCCCAAGGTTGTTTCTCATGATTCTGTCAATGATAACAAAGCCTGGGCTGAAGCTCTTAAGGACACCAACGATGTCGCATTCGAAATCACTAAAACCTTGATTCTTAAGCCTAAAACCGCCAAAACTGCTACTCCTACGCCAGTTGTTGTTGTTGCTTTGGATTCTACCGAGGTGAATGCCACTGCTCTTGGTAAGAAGTTGTCTTTGAAGGACTGTCGTTTTGCCAATGAAGATTTGCTTAAGGAAACATTCAGCATCACCAAAGAGGCCGTTTCTCCTTTCGTTTTGAGCAATGTCAAAGAACTTGATTTGGTTCATCTTGTTGTTGACAGCGCACTTTTGGCGCTTCCTAACGAAAAGAAGTTGGCTTTCCACCCTTCGACATCGGATAAATCCATCTTTGTTACCGTGGATGAACTGAAGAAGTATTTTGAATCATTGAACAAAGAACCTGTTGAAATTGATTTTAAGGCTTTGGCTGCTGCTAAGCCTCCCGCCAATGATGGTGCTAAGAAGCCTGTTAAGGCTGCTGCTAAGAAGGAAGGTAAAATAGGATGGAGAGAGAGCTTTACTCACCATATAGTATGGCGTTAAAAAATTAGTAGATGAGTTAATCTTTTTTTTTTTTCTTCCCCTATTTTCATACTCTATCTGTGCTCTTTAGCTGCTTCTTCTGCTGCCACTGAAGAATTCAATCAGATGGGTCTTGGTTGTACCAAAGATGGTGATTTCCCTAAATGGTATCAACAAGTCTTGACCAAGAGTGAGATGTTGGAATACTATGATGTATCTGGCTGTTATATTCTTCGTCCTTTAGCCTACAACATTTGGAAGGAAATCACCAATTTCTTTGATGAAGCTATCACTGAAATGGGTGTTGAAGACACTTACTTTCCTATGTTTGTCTCCAACCGTGTTTTACAACGCGAAAAGGATCATATTGAAGGTTTCGCCCCTGAAGTTGCCTGGGTTACCAAGGCTGGTAGCAGTGATCTTGAAGAACCTATTGCTATTCGTCCTACCTCTGAAACCGTCATGTACCCTTATTTTGCCAAATGGATCCGTTCTCACCGTGATTTGCCTTTCCGTATCAACCAATGGTGTTCTGTTGTCCGTTGGGAATTCAAGAATCCTCAACCTTTCCTCCGTACTCGTGAATTCCTTTGGCAAGAAGGTCACACTGCTCACTTGACCTTAGAAGATGCTGATAAGGAAGTGAAGCAAATTTTGGATCTCTATGCTCAAGTGTACAACGATTTGTTGGCTTTGCCTGTTGTTAAGGGTGTTAAGTCTGAGAAAGAAAAATTTGCTGGTGGCTATTATACCACAACTGTAGAAGGCTATATTCCTGCTACGGGTCGTGCTATTCAAGGTGGTACTTCTCACTGTCTCGGTCAAAACTTCTCCAAGATGTTCAATATCACTGTTGAAGATCCTAATGCCCCTGCTACTGCTAATGAAGAAGCCAAGAAGATTCACGTCTGGCAGAATTCTTGGGGTCTTTCTACCCGTACCATTGGTGTCTTGGTCATGACACACGGTGATGATAAGGGTTTGGTCCTTCCTCCTCGTGTGGCACTCATTCAAACTGTCATTGTTCCTTGTGGTCTGACTGTCAAGACGACCAAAGAAGAATCTGATAAGATTTTCGATGCCTGTCAAGAAGTTGCCTCTCGTCTTAAGAAGGCTGGTATTAAGAGCAAGGCTGACTTGCGTGAAAACTATACCCCTGGTTTCAAATTTAATCACTGGGAAATGCGTGGTGTTCCTCTTCGTCTTGAATTGGGTCCTAAAGATCTTCAAAAACAACAAGCTACTTTGGTTCGCCGTGATACTGGTGTTCGTTTCTCTGTTCCTCTTGATAACTTGGAGCAAAGTGTCAAGGAAACTTTGGATACCATTCAACGTGATATGCTCGAAAGAGCTACCAAGAAGATGCAAGAAAATATTGTTCGTGTTGAGAAGTGGGAAGATTTCTGTCCCAATTTGAACAAGAAGAAGTTGCTCTTGGTCCCTTGGTGTGATCGTACTGAGTGTGAAGATGACATTAAGGAGCGTTCTGCTAAGGTCGCTACTGAAGGTGAAGAAGAAGACGAACGCGCTCCTTCCATGGGTGCCAAGTCTCTTTGTAAACCATTCGAACAACCTACTGAGAATCCTATTGTTCCTGGTGTGACTAAGTGTGTTGCTTGTGATCATGATGCTAAACATTTCATGTTGTTCGGTAGAAGTTACTAGATTAAAAAAAATTTGTACCTTTCATGTCTTTCGTCTTTTGTCATAATAATAATTCTAAAGCATTGTATATAATAGCACTCAAATAAAATATTTGACTGAACTTTTTTTTTTCGTCGTTAAAAAGACAGTAGTATTTAACTTTGTTCTAGAAAGTGAATGCGTCTATGGAGCTTTAATCAATTAATTCTAAGCATTGAATGAAAACTGTGCGAAATTATATACATGATGAATGAAGACTAAAATGGGCAAAGTTATACAAAGCACAAGAAAAAAAAAAGTAATTAAAAACAAAAGCAGAAATATACATCAAATAAACAGCCAAAACTATCCAAAGGAAAGCTGAAGGAAGAAAGGAATATGATATAAATGGGTTATCATTGTTTAGAAAGGATTCTAGAATGTACAGGTGCACTTCTTCCTTCAGATTCATCTTCATCATTGTCCATAGTAGTCATAACAGTATGAGCAGCACCTGCAGCATTATGCATAAAGTGATGATGACGAGGTGGCGACATAGCCATTCGTGTATCCTCATGGGTACTAGCGCTATCGGTTGCATCGTTTCGCTCCAAGCTTATAATGGAGAAACTTGATAAGGAGTGGTTCATTGAAAGGATGGAATCATTATCGTCCATGCTTTCTCGTTGCTGTTGCTGTTGTTGTATCTTTTGTTGTACAGTTTCTGATACAATAGTGGGTGATCTTTCGGAGATATGATGATGATGATGATGAAGATGGTACAAAGTAGATGATGTGGATGCTGAAAATGTTGGGTATGCAAGGGGAGGTTGACGTATTGTCGAAGAATGTATGGAAGGGGAAGATGATGAACAAGATCTGATGCGATGCTTGATGGGCTGCTGTTGCTGATATAAAGAATAAGGCTGTGATTGAGAGGTTTGCACAGAAGACGAGGATATAGGTACAGGCGGTGCTGATGCTGGTAGCGGGGGTGGTGTAGGCGTGTTTGAGGTTAAATTTGAAGCTGACACTTGTATAGAAGGAGGAGGATAATGTTCCGTTTGCTGTTGTTCTGGTACAAACAAATCATGAGTGTAATATGGATAATCTGTCATTGAGGTGCGGCTATAATAGGAAGATTGGGATTGGGTAGGTCTGTGCTGACGTGAGTAAATGTTCGAAACACCATAGGCATCATCAAAAGGGTCATCCAAATTAGAGGCGAAGGGGTTTGAAAGTGTTTCCAAAGATACAATAGATGATTTCTGTTGGTGTTTGCTACCAAGGCCGCTGCCACTGCTATTATTGGTGCCACTATTATTCGGTTGCTGCAAAATGTAGCGGTTGGCATCATCGTCTGAAGCAAGACGAGAATGCCCATCTCCACCTGTCTTTTTCAATTTACCCGCATCACGGATTTGAACCAAAGGCGGCGTAGATACGAACGAAGCAGGTGAATCTAACCTTAAAGAGGAAGACCAAGAGGGTCGACTTGTGTGCCCATTGTTGTTTGCTGCTGCTGCTGCGCTACTAACATAGCCTGTAAAACCACTGAACTTAGCATCTAACAATTCTTGCTGCTCCTTTTCCTTCTGTGCAGTTTTTGCAGCTTCAAGGACTTCAAAATCAGCTAAACGCATACGCATAATATTCTCTTCCGCTTCTAATTCTTCCTCTTCTATATATGCATCGTCTCTATCTATAAAGTCATCCATCAAAATACCATGAAGCCGACCGCGTTGTGTATGACGATGATTTCGTTTTCTACCTGTTGAGAGTGCAGTAGTATTAACAGTGCTAGTGGTGTCAGTAGTGCTAGTAGTAGTGGTGGTGGTGTCGGTTGGCCAAACATCATACCAACGGTTTGCATAGTCAGTGCACCATACTGCTAGCAATGGAAAATAGACGTTAAAGATAGGCACGGAAAACAACCCATAAAGAATGAACCACAATACATATTTAAACTGACGTCGAATCAAAAAGTAGAAAATATGCAAGGCCACCAAACACGTGAATGAACCAGCAATAATGGCGTAAGCCAAGTCTTTGGAGTGGAAATATCGAATGTAGATGGTGTATAGATAGACAATGAACGGCATTGAAAATATCATGTCGAGAATCTTGGTAATAGACACGAGCCAATACATAAAGCCAAGATGTTTAGAGATATGGTGGAATTCAATTTGTGTATGGAAAGTAACGCGAATATTACGAAGTTGCAAAGCTTGGAGAGCGAAAAAGTTGGATGGAATAGTGGCATAGGCAATCGCTTCAGGTTCGAATGCGATACGATGACCTGGATGTGAGCGTAGAAGAACGAGCCCGAAATACTGTTCCTCACCTAATAGCAAGATATTTTCCATGTGCATGGTGTTGGGACGTGGTGCAGCAAAGCCGCGAAGAACAGTGGGTTTAATACAGCAGGGTATAATGTTTCTGTTGGGTTTTAATGAGGAAAATGTTGTCGAGGTGGCGTCCTCTGATTGTTTTATCTGGCCATGATGATGGTGAGATGCATTGATGTTTCGGCTACTATTGTTACGTTTACGCCGACGGTAAATAGATTTATGGTGGAATGTGGTTGCTGTGGTATTCATGGTGGTTGTTGTGTCGTTATCGTCACAACTTGTGTTATCGTCGTCATCTCCTTCTTCAATATCACGATCATTGTCCGAATTAAGACTCCTGGGAGTAATTATTTCATCACTTACTTTGGGCTTTCTATTCGAATTACTAATATCAGGTTGTAAATGTAGGTGCTGTTCATCTCTAAATGGTTGCTGTAATTCCACATTTCTTAGCTTGATATCCCCTTCGAATTCCGTGTCTTGAGTACTCGATGCATCACTTAATAGGCTGTTATTTGGCCTTTGATGGTGATAAAGGGCAGTCACAGTATCAGTTGTCGCTTTATAGACTTCTCCTTTCGAATTTGAAGCGCTGGAAGATGCTTCAGACCAAATACGATACATCACAAATCCTCCATTGATACTGGTCACACAACCTAAACAAGCCTCGTAGGCTAAACCTGCAAAAAATGTCATGTACAAAGGAACAATTTGTAGCATAGTGACAAGATTTTCTTCAGGATTGGCGGGACGAATATGTCCATTGATGGCTAAAATTTTCCTATCTGCCTCTAAACGTGAGACCAATTTGAACACCACGTCATCTTGGACTTGAATATCAGCATCTGTCACCAGCATATACTTGATATCTCTGGGATCGATACTAAGAACGTTGTAACATAAATTGAACAATTCAAATTCCAACGGTGTAATGCGGTTATAGGCTAAATTCAGGCAGCGTTCTAAAAAGCCCAAAAGGAGAACCATAGAATCGCGTTTACCCCTGTTACCGGGGATCCGAGTTGTGGATAATGCCTCGCTCGGTGAGCCTACTTTGACAACCATCATGAAGGGTACTCGGTTACGACCTGATTCGTAGAATCCGGCATAGACTTTTGCGTAATTGATTTTGCGAGTGCCTTGGCCTAACGAGACATAAGCACGTGGATCGGGGTCTTCAGTGGAACTGTAACCTAAGCTGTCTAAAATGCAGAGATATGTTTCTTTGGAATCGGTATCGCTTTTAGCAGTACCGTCGCAGACGAAAAAAAGCAGTTTGCAAGCGTCGGGATAGCTGGTACGAGCGAGTGAGTCAAACGTTTGTTTGATTGCCTCGGATGATTCGGCAAAACAAGGTATAAATAGGAGTGTTAAAGGGTATAAAAATCGCGTAGTAGAAATGATACTGTTACTACTGCTATTGCTGTTGCTTTTAGTGTCCATCCTACTCATGTGACTATGACTATGATCTGTACAGGGTGTTGTCGATGCCGTCACAGTAGCAGGAGTGGTAGGTATAGATGCAAACGTTGCTATGGACGAAGACATGAACTTGCCGTCTTCCAACTTGGTTCGCCTTTTTCTAAGCTGTTGTTTTTGCGAGGATATCTTCTCATCGTGTCCATGGCTATTGCTATCGTCTATAAGGATCGGTTGATTCGTCGGTACTGATTTATGTAGAATATGCCGTAACCATTTCAGTCTGGAGAGATTCGCCAAATTCATTTTAAGCAGAAAATAGATCAGAAAACAGCCCATAGTAATCCACAATCCCATATTGATCCTTGCACATCCAACGTCCTCTCCTCCTTCAATCACACCGTGCTGAAATAAGGTGATTAAGCATTCTTTGTAGCTATCTGCATTCTCTATGCTGGCGTAAAACTTATCACTGATATCTTCTCCCAAATGTACGAATAATAGAATGGTGAGATCGAGAGGTAAGAATAAGCGGTCGAGAGCGAAAGAGCGTGAATAGACACCTTTAGCAACACGAACGATGTTAGTGGCTGAATCCAGGTAGTCGGTGACGTCCAACACTTGTCCATCCAATATCACAAATCCTTTGCCTGGTTTGCCGTTGTGAGGTAAAGATGAAAAGTTGGCATAGATGGCGTCTACATCAAATTTAAGGGCTATGAAGTAAAAGGAATAGTTTATAGTAAGTTAGCTATCTGCTCTGCCTAAAACAAAGCCCTCCACCCCCTTTGTGGTCTCTTAACAATTATCGCTATTTCCTTTACCTCCTTTCTTAGGTCGCCTAGCGTACTCATGTTGTGCAATCAATGAATAGAAACAAGGTGAGCCTGTCAAATTTCTTTGATAAGGAAATGGACAACTGACCAACTTGTCATGCTCAAACACATATCCTGGATCAGTTGCCAACTTGTGTTTTAACCAATTATCAGCTTCTGTTCTACGATTATTTCCATTGATGCATTCATCGACGATTCTGTTGTTGTAAAAGAGTTGATCTTCAGGTCGCTGTAGAACCATAAACTGAGGAAACATGGCTGATAAATCATAGTGCGGATACAAGTTCACTTGTTCTGTCATCTCTGTTTTGTTTCCCAATTTCCGCCAATCCACGACGTCGCCGTTGATAGAAGAATAGTGTGAATGATTGTTGTAGATATCTTTGTAGTTGAATGTAGGTGGGACATCGCAAAAGAAGACAGTAATGACTTCTAGCCAAAGGCAAAATGCTGTACCTATAAGTAGATAGGACAAGAACAAAGCTATTTTCTCTCTCCATGCTTCACGTCTTGCTATAGGGATTTGACAAGTATGAACGTAAGTGTTCAAATCCAAAGTGTGCATGTGTGTACAATGTACGACAATGGTGCATGTTTGTGCTCAACAGATAATTTACCTTTAGTTGCAAGGCGTCCATTTGATAGGTATATTAATAGTTTATCAGGTATAAATAATGTACAAAGTTTAGCATAAACGACCCAAACGATACGTCTCCAAGATGTTGTTCGATGACGTACATTTTGTGAGCCAAATTTTGCCATATTTCAGAAATGATTAGTTAAATAGAAAAAGATCAATCAGTTGATGCTGACATATAGGAATTGGAAAGAAAAGGAAAGATAGGAAAAGAATGCAAATATACAGATAGAATAGAGTTGATGAAAGAATGCTTTGACAAAAAAGAAATAAAAATGTGCAGAAAAGAGAATTATGGAGAAAAAGGAGTTGAAGGGTTGCTTTGTTGTGTACTTTAAAAAATTCAGAAAAACAAAAAAATAATCCGACCTTATTGACCCGCCAATCAGATGACAGCTCAGCACGTACTAGATTTTTCAGCAAGCCAATTCAAGCAGTTCAAGAAAAAAGCTCTTTTCAGTACAGTCAACAGTTCCTTTTGTTTTTGTTACTGAATTGTTTTTCAAGGTATAATTGGCGTATCTGATATGGTAGACAATTGTTGGAATGCAGCTTCGAAATCTTAGCAGAAACTTCTTCTCAATTTTGAATGTTAATCATTTGCTAAGAGTTTTGAATGGCGGTACCATTCTGCGTGCCACAAACAAGCAAAAAAAAAAGGGAATTGACTTTAACCTATCTTCAGATGCAAACAGTTTACCCGTGACAGAAAATCTGAGTCGTCTAGTTTACTTCAGTTCATGGGAGACTTGATCAACCGCTCCTTCGCACCACAGTCGTTTTTGCCAATCAACTTTAAATGGACGTCGGCAACAGTTAATTTTTCTTTTCGGGATTAAATGAACTTACTACCTCCTCGCGGTTGGTCCTGTTCATCTTTATAAGTTTATACTTATTTTGAGAACTGAAAGAAGTTTCAACTCTTTGCATCTGTATGAATCAATCAATAAATGAAATGTTTTGTAAATTAGTATCTTGAAGTATTAGTTTATTTAAAATGGTTTTCTTTCAATGCTTGCTCTCTGACTTTGTAGCAGATGCAGTGGTTTTGATAGTACTTGCGAATATAGTGCTGGTTTATTTATCAGGCTTGATATTTGAAGTAGAGCTTGTTGTTAATAAAAAAAAACCCCAGCTTGTGTTAGAAACTTCCTGTAAGATGGATGTAACCTTTTTCTTTCGAAAACACGTCGCGCAACAGCAAGAAATGATTCAATTAAAATCGCCGACCGTAGCATGGTTTAAGAGTGGAGTAAAACAGATTGAAATCGACGCTTTTTCTCGATGAAAATTGGGTTTTGATACATGAGACAGTCTAAAAGGGCAAACTGGCTATCGTAACATATCCGGTAGCAGAGCAACATCTACAGTCGTAAGTGCTATTTCAGCAAAGTATGTCGAGTCAATGAAGCTTAGAACCTCGCAAAAGTGTTCTTCATAAGGATAACCGTAAAACGGGGGGAAAAAAAGGACCTATAGGCACTGACACAAGTTATTGTTTACTTTCACCAGAAAACGATGGATGAAATGGGTTGCGTTTCTGAAATAAAAAGATATAATATGGTAATGGACAACTCACCCATCCATACTATCGATGCAATAGACGCTATGATTACAGCAAGAGAGTATAAATATGTTTATCTCCTGCTTGATACTCCTGAGCTTAATCCTAATGAGCAATTTTGGTTCAAAAACCAAAAGGTATATAGTCTGAATGACAGTGAATATTTTGATCAATGCAAATTGGCTAACACAAATAATAAACGATCAGTCGCTATTCATTGTCTTTTTCTCTCAATAATAAACATCATTGACTGACTCATTCTATTCGAGACTTGATATGCTTGAGTATGCAATCTGATTCATGTTTTGTTGTGCTTTATGCTTAATGATTCGCCTATCCATAACAAAACCCGTCAAATGCTGTAAAGTCAACCAATTTCTGACTTTGCTTTTTGCGTATTTGAATGAAGTCAATGTTTTTCAGCTACTGCTACGATGGTAAGCTCTTTTGATGAGCAAAATTATGCACTCATGAACATGTTCGTCTTACGAAAACAATATGTTGATTTTTTCAATTCAGTTTTCATTTTTTTCTTTTCCATTTGAAATCATAAATCCTTTGTACAGTTACACTATAGAAGGAAACATGGGCGAAAAAAAAAGGACATATAAATAGATGTGGTATATTTTGTATATATAAATAATAGAATAATTTTCATAAGCTAAAAGATAAAAGGCCGAATTTGGATAAATATAGATAAATATATAGAGTGTGCTTACATTTATAAGAAAAAAGAAAAAAGAGGTATCTAAAGGAGAGTATTGTGTATAAAATGGAGATTGAATGGGTTATGATTACATAAGATCTCTTTTCATTATAGTTTGTTGTCTAACATGACTGATAATGTTGTAACCGGTGGCCAAAGAATTTTCGCAAAAAATATTGGCACTGTATTTTCTTTTTTTGCCAGTTGAATAAATATCATTGCTGATTGGAGAAGGCGTCTGCATAGGAGTTGAATCACTGGAGCTTGGTAAAGATGGGACGTTACTAAAATTGCTGCAATCATTATTCGTCTTTCTTTTCTTTCTTTGATGAGTTTGGTGAGGACATACATAGTGTGGCTGTTGGCGCTGTTGCTGATAATATTGAGGCAGTAAAAAAATAGAAGGTGAAGGCAAAACTATGTTGTTTTTAGTAGATGCTGATAACGAGGGTAAAGGTAATGTAGGTGGAGGTGTATGTGGAGGTGTGATAGTAGTGGCAAATGAAGTGCTGTTAAAAGTGACTTGTTGTAATGTTGAGGACGTGAGCAAGTGAGATGGTAAGGGCATTGTCGTAGGCGTTGTTAATGTTGTCAGAGAACTATTCAAAATCTCTGTGATGGATGTTGGATGCTGCAGCATGGTTTTGGCTTCCACATGCTTGTGTAATGACTGATACCATTGCTCAAATGTAGGTTGAGCGATGTACAAGTTGTAATCGATAAGCTTTAAAAAGATTCTTTCCGATACATTTACTTCCATGACAGGTAAGCCAGCAATCTTGGCCCACGCAGAGTTACGATAAGTTTTGTCTTGGACAAACTTGGAAGCAGTAATTAGACTCGCCAGGAACATCCGTCTTCCACAACTAATATAGGCGTCCTCGGTGGCTAAAACACTGGATCCATTCTGATGAATTCTTGTTAAATTCAATCTGATTTCTTGTCGAGAGCGAAAGATATAATACAAAGCTGTTTGCAAGGTTGAGTAAGTTGTTCGTGATCTTTTCAAGACTTCTTGAATAAATGTTCGTAGAGGCACCACCATGTTGTTACTGAAGTTGCTGGATGGCTTTTGGGAGTAAACGATATCCCAAATGGATTCAATGACTTGGGCATTTGCATCTAAAATATAAATTCTATGATAAGTATGAAGCGATATACAGCGGACGAGTGTAGTCTTATTCGTGCCTTGCTACCAACCTATGAGCGCATCAACGTAAGCCATCCTGTTATTACTTAATGAAGGTATCTTTTCTTTATATGGTTGAAAAGTAGTAGTAGTAGTAGTGTTGGTGGTGGTAGTAGTAGGCTGTTGGCGATATTGATATTGAATGGACGACATTGGAGGCTGACGATGAAAGAAAGAATAGAGGAAAAAAGAAGCTTTATAGTTGTAGAGAAGAGATGGTTCGAATATTCCTTAAAAAAGAGGAGAGAAGGAAAGAAGAAAAAGAGAAAGAACCAGATAGAGTGTGAAGATGCGAGGAAAGAGGAGAGGAAGAGGAGAGACAAGAGAAAAGATAGGTCTTTGGATGCTTTATGACTACTTTTTTTTTTATTGTTGTAATATGATGACAGACGACTACCGTTTTTTTTTTCTTTCTCTACTCGTTCAAATGATTGACTTTTACAGCCAATTTATAAAAGAAAAAATCGTTTTAAATGTGTTAAGAACAAAGAAAAAGAAGATCAAAAAAGAAAGTAGTTAAAAAGGGGATCTCGAAAAGTAAAAAAAAAAAAAAAAGAAGGGAAGGGGAGGGGGTGGGGGGCGTGGATGAAATTTATCGTGAACAAGTGCTTGTTGGATACACACACACACACACACACACACACACACACGCACACAATCATTCACACAACATTTCAAATGTCGTTTTTAACTCGTTCAGCCTATTATCACAGTAGGGGAAGCTTAACTTTATATGTACAAAAAAAAAAAAAAAAGATATTTTTCAGAAACACCTGACTTCACCAATCAAACAATGAAATTTCGCTCCTAATTTGAAACTTTTTTTTTTTTCGTAGCTTGATAAGTCGTAGTCTAGCTATAATACATGCTTCTCTGTAGAGAAGAGTAAAATGTAAAGAATCAAAAATAATAAGTAGAAGCCACGTTTCTTTTCCCTTAAGCATGGCACTACACATAGGGGTAGAAAAAGTAGGCTTTCTTGAACAGAGAAAGGGGGTCTCTAACTACTGCTTTCTCTCCTTTAACTTTATCCAAAATCTCGTGGTTCGCGCGCGCGACAATGGCAATAGTGGGTGTGGCAAACCAATAGATGAGCGTCCCCGAAATAGTATTATTGCATATGTAGTGATGATTGCAATTTGTAACCAATCAGTTGTTATTTTAAATGTTTCTTATATGGCCATCTTGTAGTCTATTGCCAAAAACATTTTCAACAGGGCTGTTTGATAAGAATCGGATCAAGTTAATTCGGCATACAAAATAGTAGGTATCAGGGGTGTCAATCATCTGTAGAGAACAGAATTAATTTAAATCATATGCTTAGATGTTTATTTGTAAGAAAAATTATTAGGTATGTACTAACTGCTGCACATTATCTAATTCTATTATTTTACCAATTTGCATAGTATAAAATGTCAGGAAGAAAAAGGGTCTTCGGATGAATTATGCGTTTCTTTTATTTGGGGCTTTTTTTTTAAAAAAATTTTGGCCAGTACATCATGTATACACATAACTGTTACATAGTGTTACAGACTAGCAATGCAATCTTTCGTGTTGTACTCGATTTACACACAACATGTAATTATACCAGTAGAGTTTCTTTATTAGCTGCAGTCTTGGCAAGCTCTACAAAATTATTTTGTAAAACAGATAAAATCAACGGCACACGCGTTTTTCTTTTTTCTACCACTCCTTTCTGTAATATGCACAATATATTTGCATATAAAAATGTAATATGTATGTGCTATAAAAGAGCGTAAGATCCTATCCTGTGGATTCGAAACAGAGATCGTAAAACAAATACAAGTCATTTACTTGCAGTCATATATTTTATTACACGAAAATCATTATATCATAGCTCGTTTCATCTCCCTTTTCAAATAACATCAGAGGAGAAAACTTGGTCAAAATGTTCTTTATTAAGTACTCCTAATAAAGTAATGTAAATTAATAAGGTCGCTCTCGTCTGTCATATCTGTTCGCGTCTCTTCCATAATTGCTGGAGTGAGTTCTTCCACCTCCTCTACGATCGTCATTATATCGACCACCGCCACCAGCGCCGTCGCGGTAACCGCCTCTTTCTCTCGTGGGTCCACCAGAAGATGATGCGGATGAAGATGGTCCTTTCTTGGTGCGACATTTGAAGCATTCTTCCCTTCTTGAGAAATTATTTACCCCACAGCTATTTTTGACAAAAAAAAAAAGTGTAAGTGATGTGCAGCATTCACAATATTATAGGAAATCTCTAACCTAGAACAAATCCAATCGCCCTCTCGACCACCACCATTACCACCACCTCTATCACCACCGTATCGGCTTCCACCCCCTCGTCCTCCAATGGAAGAGCTGTCATTGTTAAAGTCTCTTTCGTTGTTGTCTCCTCTACCACCGCTATATCTATCGCTGTCGTTGCGACTGGGGTAATCGCGATATCCGCCTCTTCCACCACCACGGCCACCGCCTCTACCACCGCGACGATCGTTAACTATAAAGGTATATACAAAAAGAGACTCAGCATCGAATATCTATTCATCTAGAAAGGGGACAAAAAAATAAAAAATAAAAGAATAATTTGACTTACATGAAGTATTCATCTTTCTTTCAGCTTTAGAGACTTGAATAATATTGCCCATAAACTCTTTTCCGCCAAACCATTCAATAGCGGCATCAGCTGTAGGTGGGTCATCGTATGTCAATGTAGCTAAAACAAAACAGACCACTTTTGTGAGTTGACCTTGCTCTTTAACTTGTCACTGTTCCAAGTCACTGATTTCCGCGAGTATTACCATCACCCTTGGGAAGACTAGTCGCTTTGTCATAATAAATCCAAATCTTGGGTTTTCTCAACTTTTTGTCTGTCTTAATAATACCAATCGTACCAAAATGTTCTGCTAGTTTCTCTTCGGTGACGTCTTGTGGAAGATTAGTGATATAGATGGTATCATCCATAGTATGCATACCTATAATTTTAAAGTCAAAGTTCAGTTTTTTCCTTTTCTTTATTCACATATATTTTTTTTTTCTTTTTTTTTTTTTTTTTTCTTTTTTTTTGGTTGCTAACAAACGAGAAAGTAGTAAATTGTTTACCATTTTCATTAATTCTTGGTCCTCGACTACCGCTGCCACCACCTCCGCCATATCTTGAAGGACCTCTGCTATCATAACCACTGCTACTACGATCTTGTCTATCGTACCCACCGCGATCTTGCCTGTCATAACCTCCCCGATCTTGTCTATCGTAAGTTCGATCGTAGGCCGATGAAGAAGACGGTTGCTGCTGCTGTTGTTGTTGGTCATAATTGTAGCCTTGCCCATAGTAGTTGTAGTAATTTTGGTAATCGTAATTATAGCCTGCAGAAGTCGCTGCGTTGACATCAGTAGCGCCTGATGTTGCTGCTGTCCCCTCTGCTGGGTTAGCTCCGGCAGCTGGATTATTGTAATATTGTTGCTCATCATCTTTTTATGAATAAAAAAATGTCAGGAAATCCAGAACCAGAATATATATACATATATAATGAAAGAACAATAGATAGATAATCCATCCTTCTGCGGACAGATATCATCTTACTGCCTTCAATATATCGTCGCATATATTGCAATATATCGCAAATATGCAAATGAAATAAAACCCTCTTATTTTTAATCCGAATTATGTCTAGATTTACATTGTTGATATGAAGGAGCTTGTTTGTTTCCTGAATCTGCCATTTTTGCTTTCGTTGTTCAGAAAAAAAAAAAAGAGCCAAAGGAAAAAAAAGAAAACCAAATGGAGAATAAGTTGAAGAAAAAGAGAATTTAGTCTAGGAAGGAGCAGCCTGTCAAAAGAAGTGACGCGCAATTTTTTTTTTTTTATTGCACACATTCATACAAAAAGCACGCAGAATTATGCAGAAGGTTAGAAGAGGCCTTTTCTGTAGATCTTGAGCAACGATCAAGTAGTTCTTTAGACTGCTCTCTCTTCAAAATCATGACTCTGATCCATTGTTCTGAGCAAGAACTTATAAAGCTAACCAATGCCATTGTGTCTTGTAAACTTACCACTGAGATAAATGCAGACGGAAAACCTCTTATTCTTAGTATTCGCAAATTAAAGTGTTATATGTCAACTGATGGCGAAAGATTGATGACTGTATGGGAGGACGGCAAAAACAAAAAACAAAAAAAAAAAAGCAGAAAGAGATCACTATCAGTATTGCGATATTTACTTATTAGTCTTTTGTTTTCTTCCTTTAACGGTGATGATGCTTTCCTCTTGGTCCACAGTGGATTTATAACACATTAAAAGCCAGGAAAGCCACAGCTTTACGTAAATAATAATATAATGATAACTGCTTGTTACCTTTTGTATCATATAAGTAACAGGTTGTTTTTCTCTTCAACTTTCTCTTTTACCTTTCTTGCGCCACTTTTTCAATAGAAATGACAGATCCTGTGAATCAGGCATTGATAAATTTGATGAAGGATATAGTAGTATTTGAAGAAGCTGTTAACAAATCAAGGTATAGTTTTCGAACTGAGCGGTTTTCCGTTAAAATATACTTTTAACTAATTAATTCGCTAAAAGCTCACTTGATACTTTGTTCAATGTAAGCTTCAGCGTTCGTCAATCAAATTACCGACTGTGCAGCTCGTATCCACCATAGTTTTCTTTTTTTAATTCGCCCTTCATGTCTCTGTATAGCTCATCAAAAATGAAGTTCTGAGTATGGTTTGGCTGTTATGTTTGATAGGTGAAAAATTGCCAGAGATAGTAGTCCGTCGCATCCATGAATACTTGATTTTAGGTTTCGCCTCCTACGGCAACCAATACCTGAGTACAAGGTAATCGGTTACGATCTATACTATCATCGCTTTTTATTCTTTCGTATCGGCCATTAACAATACCTCTGATTTTAGCATAACGAACAATGATCAAAGAAATATTGTTTATACCAGCAATCAACTATTTACCCATATGATGAATCATCAAGATCCGATGCTTAAGCGAGTACTACAAAACTCTATTGTTAACGTAGTTGATCAATATCTATCTGTGGTGAACCAGAATAAACCATTGTCAACAGGTTAGCTTGAAGATGTTTCTTGAATTATTTTGTTTAAACAATCCTAATAACATACCTTCTCAATAATAGAAATAGAAAAATACACCTTAGGCTATATATTAACCCTATCAAAATCATCCCCATTACTTATGGAAGGTTAGAGCCATTTGAAAATTCATTATAACGTAATCTTAAGTCTTCAATGCTGCTCCTAATCTTTGCTTTTGTTTCTTTTACTCTACGCAGAGTCTTGGCCATTGCTATTCAGACAATTGATAAAGGAGGATACAGCGGGTACCATTTTTCTATATGAAAAAGTTAACAGATACTCACTCGTACGCACTTCAAGCGACAAAGCAGAAACGGTAGCTGATCTCTTTCCTACATGGCTATCTAAGATTGCTTTTGATCCCCATGGCCTTATTATGAAGCATGCTGTAGATGTGGCTGTCATGTTGGACACTTTAGCTCACGACCCTCGATTAGATTTAACGCACCTGGTGCCCACTGGTGATAGATCCATCATAGATACTCTAAAGCCTTCGTTCGAACAACTGGATTTGAAGCAGCCATCTATTGATTTGATTCAATGGGCTCTATCGCTACTTTGCTCAAAAGAGAATCAAAAAAAAACGACGAGAAATGGACAACAGCAAACATTACGAGGTGTAGACGATTTAAAGATTCCCTTATTTTTGTTGCAGTTGGTCATTTTAAAGGATGAAGTTGTAAAAGATACGGCGATCGATATGTTTGCTCAATTGATTACTCAATTGGATAGATCAGAAAGCAAATCGTTTATGGGAGCAAGATATCTGATTTTGGAGCTCTTAACCTCGACAGAGGCTAAATGGCCAGGCATTTTCCAGTAAGTTCAGTAGGTGATGTAACTAAACAGTGCTTTACGTATTGCAATGATTTATTCCTTGAATGCCTTTTTTATTCTCTCGACAGAATTGTTCTCGATAACATATTTTCCAGGGCAATTGCAATGCACATAGCTGATAGCGAAGGGGCTGTGAATGTCGAAAAGATTCTGGGGAACTTGGCTTTATTATTTGAGCATGATTCTACCGCACCCAATGAACCAACAGCAGGCTTTCAAGCTTTTCATTCATATATGACGACTCATTGGCGCCAAGTGACTCTACTCTTCTTGAATCATCCGTCCATGGAATGTCGTGCCGTGGGATATCGTGTTTTGACAAATTCCAAATTTTGGCTGCCTATTACCAATAAGGATGATTTGCAAACTATTGCAAAACTCTTTGTTGATGCTTGGTTTAGAAATTTGAAAGGTCGATATGTCCAATGTGGACAGCCACAGGAAGAAAAGGGTGAGCTTTATGTGCTTGAAGAACAGCAACGATTAAGTAAAATCAATGATACGAAATCTTTTTGTAAAAAATTTCAAATGGACTTATCATTTTCTCTTTTTCTTACTATTCTTCATCAGTTACACATTGCGCTGAAAACATAGAGCTGGTTAAGAGCATTTTAACTGTTGCTATCGACAGCATATTGGATGGCGCGCTGGAAGTGTTTCCTAAATCAGATATCAACGCGATACAACAGGAAAAAATAAGTTTATTGAATAGAATGCAAGCAACTGGAGCACAAGTTGATGCATATAAACAACAAACTCGACAACCAAACTCATTCATCATGACGAAGCCGCCTCAATTTGTCACAAGCATTAACTGTCTCAGCCAAGAAGAAGTAGAAAATCAAGGTTTTTTGACTATCAGAGATAAGATTTATGTGGATAATATTGAGAGGACAGCCAGTCTTTTCTATTTCTCAAAATATTTGCCAACTACAACTTGTGGTAAGCTCATTTTCATTACAACTTCAAGCCAGTTTAACGTATGCTCATGCTAACTAATTATATCGCGTAATTAAGATGGCTTTATGCAAGTAGTTGTTCACATTTTGTCTTACTTATGCCGAAAATGGGAACCGAATTCGATACCTTTGGACACGTATGACGACGTGTTACCTCACAATATACCTTACCAATGCGATATAACAATTGGAAGTGCTTTCAAAGATCATCCTGTTTTGTTTCTCATTTTCGAAAAATATACAAATGCAATACGCGAATCGGCAAACGAACAGCTTCTACATCAGTTTCCTACCAATGAAATCGTACGCAGCATATTGATCTATCTCATCGTTTTTTGGTATATGAGAGAAGTTGTTACCATTCCCACAACACTTCGATTTGCTACTCAACTTGAAGAAACAACACGGCTCTTATTGCTATTGGAACCTGTAAGTACTATTTGAATGGTCTTGCTCATATATGCGTATTATATGTGTTCACTAACAAATACGATATGGATTGTTCAGGTTTTACCTGAATCGCTAGTCAAGATAAATCAAGTATTCCCATTTGTATCTGCAAAGGATCTTGGTGATATACTTCATCAAGTGGTGTGGTATTATCTTCGTTGGCACCCTGCGACAAGGAATGTAACAAGTATACCTGGTTTAAAAACGATGACAAAAACAGCAGCTAGCTCATCTACAATGTATGGGAATGAGGATGAAAAGGAGTTAGCAGAAAAGTGTATGAAAAAGTTGAAAGAAATTTGTGAAAAGCGACTTGCGGTTTTGGAGCAAGCGCCTTCATGGCACCGAGCACTCAAAGAGGTGTTGGATGGGTTATCGTAAAACTGCTATACATAGAACGGTATGCCCAGTTTTGCAATCTGTAACTATTACTGTTACTCCAACTCACTCATTAGTATGCCATCATTAAATCCCTAAGAATGTGATTTTGTAAGCACAATATCCAAATTTCGCCTTCATATATTTTAATACATTAAAAGTGAATAAAAGAAAAGAAAATTACAGAGGTAAAATGAAAAAGATATAACTTGAATAATTTTTATATGTCAAAATACAAAAAAAAAAAAAAAAGAAAAGTGTTATATTGTTTCTTATATAGCACTAAACCTTTAGGCCATACGAATGATACCGGCATTCATCAATTTACGGATGTTATTAGCTACTTGAGGGTTCTTTAGGTGTTCTTGGGCAGCTGCGGGATCAGCTTGCATTTGTTGAAGAATTTGTTGCATGACAGGATCAGCAAGAATACGTTGAACTTCAGGATCTTGTGCTGCTCTCTTTAATGTTTCCTCAGCTGATTCATTAGCGTTACCCATAGGGTTCATAGCAGTATAAGCCTTCATCATTTGTTGTTGAATCTCACGACTAGCTTTTCCTTCCTTGTCATGCTCTTGAGCAAGCTTGAGTGTATCGATGGATTCTTGATATTCTCTCTTGATGAGTTGAACAGCAGCCTTACGAATATAACCACGGACTAAAATATGTATAATCAGTTTGAATTGTTCTCTTTCTCCTCCGAATATCTATTTTAATGCTTTAACCAAAAATACTTACCGAAGGTAGGGTCGAGTTCAATACACTTGTCAGCATCCTTTTCAGCTTCATGAACAGCCATTAGCTTCAAGTAACAGGCAGCACGGTTGGAATAAGGTCGCACATCCTTATCGTTACGTTTGATTGATTCAGTATATCTTTCGACAGCTTCAGGCCTAAAAAGAAACAGATTCAAAGACGAGAAACAATATTAAGTAACTTCCTTCAAAAACGCAACTTATCTGTTTCTGAACTCAACACCAATTGTATATCGTATACTTACCATTTGCCTTCCTTAAAGAGAGCATTACCCTCTTCACGAGCTTTATCAGCAAGTTCAGGGTTGTAATAAGCAGCTTTCTCCTTTTCTTTCTTTAACTTTTCGGTGTCACGTAGTTTTTGAAGAGTTTCAGGTGTACGATGTTCGGTCAAAGATTTACCATAATATTTGATGGCATCATCCAAGTTATCCAATTTAACATAAGCGTTACCAATACGCTGAAGAGCTCTATTGAAATCATTCAATTAGAGAAGGTTTAGAAAAATTATCATATCTCAGGCTCAAAGGTGCATGTCACTTACCTTGCAATTAACTTAAAGTCACATCTCAATTCGCGACCGCGTTCAATGGCATCTTCACAGACCTTGATACAGTCTTCGAACTTTTCTTGTTCGAAAAGAACAGCTACATATTTATATACAATGTTTACGTGAGTCAACGGTTTGCGTATGAATAAATCCCCACACAACATTAAGCTATGCAACGATGTAATTGCCCGTTTCTGAAAAGCATACCTGCTTTATTGGTTAAAAAGGTGATATTTGTGTTATCCAATTCATACGCCTTATCATAATGGCTAAGGGCAGTTTCGAAGTCGCGCTTCTTATAAGCTTGGTTACCGAGTTCTTTTTCGTTCAAAGCTAATTGCTTATTATCGTCAGACATGCTGTATTTTTTATAGCGGTTGAAAAGAGAGACAAAAAAGTATGTTCGAAGTATCGGATATTGCAGGTAGGTCGCTTATATAAAGAAAATCCATCACGAAATTTCTCGAATTCTCGATGACGGGTGACCGGAGAACGGCTGATCAATTTCAATTTCAGAACAGATACGCAGTGCTAAAGCTGTGTAGTTCAAACGGGAAGTTCTATTGTGGTGACTTACCCTTTGTCATTACTAACCCTAAAGACTTTTAGAATTGTCAAAGAACAGAGAACAATGTATATAGGAGTACCTATGTGATTGTATTTATTCTGTGGTACGCCTTGATGCAAGACTCCATATAATAGGCGATTACATGCCCCGAAACTACACCACAACGAATTAAAGAGCTATGGAGCAACAATGCGGTGATTGCTCCGTAAAAAACTTGTTCAAAAACGAGACCTCTCAATTACCCTTTTTCAATTATCTTTGATAGCCATGCAATTGAGCATATAATCGATGCTTATACATACATACGTAATTATCAACTTTCAACAAGAAAGAGTTTAATAAATCTAATGGATAAATTCAAATATTGTTCAAGAATTTATTGTTTTCTGAATGACAACTAAATAAAGTACAAGACAAAATGCAAAATGCTTAACCTATCATTCTACATCAGACTTAGGCTTGTTGTTCCTATTTCAATGAGGGCAATAAATGTTAGAAACACTCTAAAAGACCTCTCAAAAAGGCAATTTATACATCAGTTTCTTATATCCTTACCTTTTGGAAAACGTAAGTCAAGTGACACTTGCCACAGTATTGACGGTCTTGATGCTTGGCCATGAAGACACCAGCACCACAGGTGGCATTAGGACATTCACGACGGAGACGAGTGATCTTACCGGATTCATCAACCTTGTAGTACTTAAGGATAGCCAACTTGACCTTGGTACGCTTGTGCTTGATCTTCTTGGGGGTAGTGTAGGTCTTCTTCTTTCTCTTCTTACCACCACCGAGGAGTTCGATGTTAAGGTTAAGAGTGGAGTTGTCTTGGACACCGTAGAGGGCAAGAGCTTCAGAGTTTTGGAGAGACTTACCAGCGAAGGAGAGACATTGAGCATCAGCATCAATACCTAATCAAAGAAGAGCAATAAAAAGGGCCAAAGAAATTCTAGTCAGCTATGACCATAAACATATAATGTGCTAGCGCGCTCAAACTGACAAAACAATCATGCTCTCGACAAAGCTACACAGAAAGGTTGTATGTATGGCTTTTTTCGAACTTTAAAAATTGTTCGTTGAAATGATGCTGACTTCAGTTACACTGACAGGATAGCATCGTCGAGAACAGATAGCTTTCTTCACGCAATTATCTATCAGACTGATAAGTTACCTTCACGAGCAGCAATCATAGCCTTAACATTTTCAACGGAGGTGGTAGGGGCAACCTCGAAGGCGAGAGTGTTACCGGCAAGAGACTTAACGAAGAGTTGCATGTCGAATGGGGAAAGAGGGGGAGCAATAACTTTGCCTGTGGCTTCGTGATTCTTAATATTGTTTCCCTTCAAAAAATTTTCTGTATTTAAATGTGATTGGCTTTCAAAAGTTTAGTGGCTTGGAAAATGAAGTGCCAAATAAATGTACATAGCAGACTTATAACAAAGTCGAGGAACGGTTATAGTCCAACGATCAGCAATTGATACATGATGTCAACGGGATGTAGAAACGATGGATCGCCTTTCGGAAATTCCAAAAGAACTGCGCCGTGAGTTTTCTTAATGAGCTGCTTATGCTGCTCGCATAGTCATCATCCTTCTCTATCGATCTTTTTCAGAATGAGCGAAGGTTCAAAAAACGTACAGGATCCTTTATTTTTAGCAAGAAACTAGTACTACATGCTCTTCTGCATGGTAACAATTTTTAATACTGTTTGAGAACGGGGGAGAAAATGAACAGTTTATTTAGACGTAAACATTAAGTAAGATATTGCAATTTCAACAAAATCTACCCTCCTGTAAGGAAGTGGAAGAATTGATGAGAAAGGCACACTATATTGAAATAAGTTGATATGAAGATTTAGCATAATATCCAGAACAATCTATGGTTTTTTCATTTGCGTTCATTATAATGATAAAGAGTATAAAAAAAAGTGTAAGTTATCAGACTTGTAGCTCCTTCCTTGCCATGTCTCTGGAATAGAAGACAGGCGAGATCATCAACTGACAAAAGCCACTCAGAGAGCCGGCAATTGCCACACTTCACTCAAAAGAAGGTCTACTAACAATCATCGACTAACTTTGGTATTGTATCTAGTTTAGAAAACGTAGAATTGAAACGTACTGAATACAGATCCTGTAGAGTACGGTCACTAAAGAAACACATCCCTTTGTCTACTTTTGATGCCTTTTTATACCTTTTTTCAGCGAAAAAAATTTTGCAACTGAGTTGGAAACGTACAATGCACGGTCACATATCACAATGAGTTTGAATATTTTTGGTTCCGTTTGGCTGATAGATTGAAACAAGCCGACGATATGTATCAAATCGAAAAACTGTACTAAATTCTCTAGGGGGCTCAGCCCCCGGTGGAGTGGTTAACGCCTTGGCTTCCAAAACCAACGATTGTTGGTCGATTCCTGTACGCCGCTGATATATTTCAGCTTTGATCCCTTTCTCTCTGCTTCCTAGGGTTTTTTAATGCCGCTATCAAGGTGGTTCCCGGTCGGTGTTGGTGTTTAAACAAGTTATGAATAATTGCGGTGCCCGCCCAGGCTTAATTAAGCAAGATCCCGAACCGCGCCCAAAGTCTTAGCCTACCAATTATAATGATTAGTTTAGCCCCTTCCCCCTTCCCCCCATTTAGATAGTATGCTTTTTCGCCCACCACGGCACCCTGACCGACTCTATGCATCGCTCTATTCTCGAGCTGCCCCGGGCAATTTCTGATATGTAGTTTATCTATGTGCCCATTGGGTTTAAAAATTGTATAATAAAAAAATCCTTGTTTAAACGTACTAAATTCTCTAGGAACGCTCTAATAGGAAGCATTCTACAACAGAAAATCCCTCTTCGTTGCTGACTTGAAATCCTAATTTGATAACTGAATTGAGAGCAAAAATTCTGGGTCCGAACGCATTTACGATGACTTAATTGGCAAAAATACTTCAGAGGTACGGCAAACTTTACACTCTTAATCATTAAGATTCCTATGATTTGTAGCCATTTTGCTATTAATTGCTTTGCATCTTTGATCTTTTCAATCAGTTTGATATCTTTTTTCTCAATCGCCATCATGAGGTTGAGAAAGCCTAGTTTGAGGTAAAAGCTCTAGATCAAATACTCAGATCTACTCACTGTTCAGCATCCGTCTAGCTTAGTCAGAATTTGGGTTGACTACGGATTAAAATTATAGACGTAAAACATTCTGATAATGGTTATATATTAACGGCTGCATTAATAGTTTGAGTTATCCACTCAATGGCGGATTAGCTACCAAAAAGTTGGAGGGAATAGTTTAAGCTTGTAGTATAGAGAGGACAATCAATTTAGTATCACTTTTACAGAATTAAAAATAGCATATATAAGTTTGTTTAAGGTACTTTCAGCATCTGACTCATATGAGTTCAGTATATTAGTAGATACCTATTATGAAAATTTGGGTCAGTAAATTGATTGAAACGCAATCGTTCTTTAGTGAACTTTACCAGGAATGATCTTATATTTCACAATCCTACAATATTTTTCCCAATCTTCACCATACTTAGTTCTACATTTATGATCGTCTCTTTTTTCACGGTGGATTAAAAGAACTGCAAAATAGACAGGATAAAAGTATGGAATAGGTGAGCCAAATCCACATGGTAGACTCCAGGATAGAGACATGAGCCAATCGCCAAGGTAGTTGATATGGCGAGCAACGCCCCACCATCCTGAAGTGATTAATTTGCTGCCTCTCTTAGTTTGAATGTATTTGAGTTCTAAACAAATAATACAGAATTTATATGTTACTTGAATTGCGCCTTAGCAAAGGTCACGAGAGGTCTTTGTTGGAACTTACTTTTGGATTGGGGACTATTGGGATTGGAACGGAACTCATTCTTTTGTGAATTAGCACTTCTGAAGATATAATATCCTAGGAAATTCAAGGCAAGGATACCGCAAAATTCAGCCCAGCTAATGCTTCGAGGGAAATCGACTAGATAGCGTGCTTGAAGGGTGTAGGTAAAAGGTACCCAAGTATACAAACCGAATGCGAGCATAAAACCAAAACCATCTGAAGGGTGGGAATTCGGAATAATTAGTAAAGTTCTGATAAGATGTACAGAGAATTTTTAGCTTTAAGGGCAATCCTGTTCATACCTGTAGTGATATCCATTGTAGTCAAAACAGCTTCTTCATTCCAGAGTGAGTCGATAACATACCAAGATTGAAAGAATTGAACGAGAACCATACTATTAGAAAGATATCCGAGGTCGCGATATTGTTTAGCAGCTAAACAATAGTTGAGCACAAGCCAACCGATCAATCCAGGACGAAGCTCCGTGAAAAACTTGATGTCGAAACTGCCAACACGAGGGTTTAATTCTCTACCAATCATAAACTACAACACGATTATTATTTTACACCGTCATTGACTTATCGCTTCATATTTATAATGATGCACTTACATCGTAAATGGGATTACCCGAGTTACCTCCAAGGGCTAGTAACTTGTCTCGGCCGAAACTTCCAAGATAAACGGCCAATGAGATAGCATAACTGAAAACAATAGATGCGAAAGCCAATCCAATATAATGATCATAGGCATATTCAAGAGGCTTGAGACCTGTACTCTTCAAGAAATAGATTGCAGCAAAAATGAACGTATGGAACGATCTAAAACCTATGGACCGTTTGTCATCATATAATTAGAGTCTAACACAGAGGCGGCTTTCAATCGATGATTCAATTTCTTACCATTCATTCGATATTTGAGTCTTTTACCGTTTCTCAACTCTGTACCGGGCACTAAATCACCAGGCAAAACAGCATAAAAAAGAGCCAAAATAGCTACAAATGCCGTATAAACGAGAAAAGCCGAAGGATCGATCATGGAATAGAGATAGTATAAAGTCATTTTTGATAAAATGGTGCCCTTAGGATCTTCCATAAATGCTTTGGAAGGGTAGCCGGTGGAATCACAACAGGTGGAAAAAAACAAAACAAGAAGTGGCAAGAAAGTTATCATGCCTAATGCGCCAATGGGACCACCGAATTCATAATGAGTAGTCTTGGGATTCAATTCAGTGATTTCGTTAGTAGCATCGGAAGAGTTGGAAGAAGATGCTGCTGCTGTTTGTTGTTGTTGCCTCTTTGAGGCTGGCGTCTGTTGCTTTTTTCTTTGAACAGGCTTTGCCATATATGAGTTGTAATTAACAGAGGCTTTCGATAGTCTCTGTGAACGCTGGCAGATTTGATAGAAGAAGTAAGAAAAAGAGGAACAATGACAATTGTAACAATAGCAATCAAAAAATATTATGCTCTTCTTTATTCAAAAAATGGTACGAGTCTGTATTGACATCCGACAGATTATTTATTCGCGTCCAGTTCTATCATAATTTTTACGCTTCTTGACTATTCAAGCCGGGAAAAAGGAAGCAAACTATTAGTTCAAGGTAACAATGGACAGGCAGGTAATGAATTATATTACCATCTCTTAAAACACTGTAAGCAGCTGATATTTCTTGAAATTTGACTTTTGCTTGCTTTTTTTCTTCATCTGACGTGAATCTATCTGGATGATATTTCATTGCCAAACTAAGGGTTCATAGGGCAATAAATAAGTAATTTAAGTGTTAGTTGGGAGTCTGTCACTAGGCTTTGTAACATCTTTGATTCTAGACTTACCCTCTGAAGGCACTTTGAATATCTGCTTGCGTTGCCGAAGGTGATACACCGAGAACTCTATAATATCCTTTGGAATCACCTCCGCCAGTATTATAGCTACTATTGTTTTCATACCACGAGGAGTGATTAGTTCTCTCTTCACGCCAACTACGGCGTCTCTCTTGATCTTCAAAGGCAGCATATGCTCTGACCCAATCCTCATCCCATATCTTCTGATCTTGAGCAATTGATTTAATCTCTCTTTCTCTAAGAATATCTCTGACATAAAGCGAGAGGATTGGGTAATACATTGCTAAGAAGGATGTTGCTATTGTGGGTAAAACAATTCCCAACTGCAGATTTGAATGCTTCAGTACGACGGTTGATCTTTGCATTTAAAAAATGTTTGACATACCCAAAAAGAGCCACTGATTCCTCCCCAACCTATGCCACCAGTGATTGCCATGGTTGTTGCCATACCAATAGCTGAAACGCCTGCTACCCTTTCCCAGTTGTATGTCTTAATACCACCCACGGATAAATCGTGTCCATTGATAAATGTCCGCAATCTTCTTCCCAGGTATTCCACAGTAAATATAAATGTAGCGTAGTAAACTGGTGACACTTTTACATTCTCCAATTGAATATTCAATTTGACAAGTCTGGTTTCGTCCATGCTGTAAAAATCTCTCAAAAATTTGTCGGCCAAGCTGTATTCCGTATCTTGTATGTATGTTTTGGCAAATCTTAACGCAGTAGCTGGATATATTGAAAACGGATCCACTTTACGCGTTGCACTGCTGTCGTTATCTAGGGTTGGCGTTTTATCAAGAAGGGAGGGTGTAAACGGTACAGCATTTTCAAGCGCTGGACCTGTCGTTATATGGCTGACAAGTCCTCGTCGATATCGATGTGAAGCATAGATTTGCAATCCTGAGTGACCTAGTGGATTATAATCGCGTGTAAAGCTGTGCTTTTGCGGTACCCATGCCCATTCTGTTTCCCATCTTGTTTCGTTCTGCTTTGTAGCAGGATTGTAGCGTGTTTTTAGTACTCTTCTGCCCTACATTGATAAAGTATAGTCGTACAAATTTTTATTATAAGCATGGAAGACCTTCCCATTGCAGAACTATTAAGCTTACCACTTGAGCTTGTTCTATAGCTGAATGCACTGTGGCTGAAACTACCCAAAAAGGCAGAAATACCTCTTCTGGAAGTTTTGTTTTTGGTATACGTGCAGAAAAGAAGCCTTTACCATGATAATCTTGAAATGTCTAACAACGACGTACATGAGAGTAAAGAAAAGAGTGACTTTCAGATTTGGTTCATGGTTTATAATAGTTTGACATTGAATGTGCGTTTTGAGATGCTTGATTACCTGTTCTGCAGCTTTGACATGCTGTGCAAAAGGAATCGCTTTCAACTTATCGGCGGAAGGGCCCCCATCCTTTTTATTGTTATGGCTGCTTGAATAGCGAATGATACGTTTCAGCAGACATGTTGTTCTGCTACTTTTATGTTTGACAGTTGAAAGGCGGAAGGTTGAACTAATAAACAGCATAGCTTGTGTCTGTGTTTACATTCCTTTTACTAAATCTGTAATCATTTGGGCTCTCAACTATTGTCCGACAATGACTGACCCCGCAGTTTTGTGTGTGCACAAACTGTAAAAAGGGCGGGGTTTCATCATTCGTTTGACACCAAACAATAAAGACCTTTCCAATCAGTCCCAACCCCACAAATTTAACCGCGTTCCTTTCTTTATTGGAAGCTTACAGAACTCTAATGCCAATATAAACCTAGACTTTCAGGTCCGTTGCACCAGTGAAATTGTACGCATAGTATGCTGAATAAGCCTTTCTTTTCCTTTGGCACTACCTATACTAAGTCTTATAATGATATCATTCACCTTATTGTTCTCACTTTTCAGGATCAATGGCAGACAGGAAAAGCTAATCTAAAAAAAAAAAAACGAGATGAACTTAGTGCTAAATAGGGTTTAGTAAGGTAATGCCCACTATTCATAAGAGGACGAGAAAAAAAAAAAAGCTTAAACTACAGTACAACCATCAATGAGAATTTTTTGAATAATTTTCAAACAATACTTTCCCGCGCGTACATGAATGTAACATTATTAAAAATGCATAAGCAAGTAACATACAAAAAAAAAAAAAGATATAAAAGAGCTGTCTATTTCTCTTGTAGCTCCTTTTTTTTATTATTTATTCAATTTTTATACTGTTATTGAATAAGTTCCTTTCGATCAAACGTATACTCTGTTATAAAATATGTCTCAATTCATCGTAGAAACTGCCACTCCTAAGGGTTATCAATTAAAGCGTAAGCTTATCGTTTTGTTTCATTTCATGCATGAGTAATCGAATTCATATACGCTCTCATTTCTTATGTATAATAGTTCAAACCGGTTTGTTCATCAACAATGAATTTGTTGCTGGTTCCGATACGATTGATACCGTCAACCCTGCCAATGGCAAGGTAATTGCTTCTGTTCAAGCTGGTAAAGTATTATTTTTTTTAATTCACTTGTTTGGTATTCACAAACTAATTAATCTTCATTTTATGTTTCGAACAGCTGATAAAAAGGAAGTGGACGCCGCTGTTGATGCCGCTTCGAAGGCTTTCCATGGACCTTGGGGCAAAATGACACCTAGCAAACGTGCCGAACTCATGCTAAAGCTCGCTGATCTTATTGACCGTGACAACGAAGTTCTTTCTCAAATTGAAAGTCTCGATAATGGTAAAGGTATTACGTTCTCTCGTTTATTCGATGTGAAGCAGATTGCAATTACACTCCGTTACTTTGCTGGCTATGCTGATAAGATTCACGGTAAAGTTATCGACATTGAGGGTGCTTTATGTTATACTCGTCACGAGCCTATCGGTGTTTGTGGTGCTATTATTCCTTGGAATTTCCCTTTGATGATGTTAGGCTGGAAGCTTGGTCCTGCCCTCTGTACCGGTAATACCGTGGTCGTCAAGACTTCCGAAATGACACCTCTCTCTGCGCTTAAGGTTGCGGAACTTATTGTCGAAGCTGGTTTCCCACCCGGCGTTATCAACATTATCACCGGCTACGGTGCTATTGCTGGTGATGCTTTGGCCCGTCACATGAAGGTCTCTAAAATCGCTTTCACTGGAAGCACGGCTGTAGGTCGTCATATCATGAAAGCTGCTTCTGAGAGCAATTTGAAAAAGGTCACCTTAGAGTTAGGCGGTAAATCTCCCAATATTATTTTTGACGATGCTGATTTGGATCTTGCTGTTCGTTGGGCCCATAAGGGTATCTTCTTCAATCATGGTCAATGTTGTTGTGCCGGCAGCCGTGTCTATGTTCAAGCATCTATTTATGACAAATTCCTTGAGAAATTCAAGGAATACACTAAACAAACCAAATTGGGCCATCCACATGATGATGATACATTCCAAGGCCCGCAAATTTCGAAAACACAATTTGACCGTATTATGACTTATATTGAAAAGGGTAAGGAAGAAGGCGCCACTTGTTATATGGGCGGTAACCGTTGGGGTAACGAAGGTTACTACATCGAGCCTACTATCTTCACTGATGTAAAGCAAGATATGACCATCGTACGTGAAGAAATCTTTGGTCCCGTTGTTACCGTTTCCAAATTCGAAGATGTGGATGATGTGGTTCATATGGCTCTTGATACGGATTATGGCCTTGCTGCCGCTGTCTTTACTAAGGATACTGCCCGTGCCATTGATGTTTCTAACCGTTTGCAAGCTGGCACAGTTTGTAAGTGTTGCAACAAGCTTCATGTTATTATATCTGGTTTGTTTATACTGAGTGCTTATCTGTTTTATAAATAGGGGTCAACTGTTATAATGAATTAGATTATAACACGCCTTTCGGTGGCTTCCGTCAAAGCGGTATTGGCCGTGAAAATGGTGAATACGCTTTGGACAACTATCTTCAGGTCAAGACTGTCAAGATCAACGTCAGTCGTCAACCTTAAATAACCTTCATCTTCACATTCTTCATTTCAAACAAATCATTATTTTTATATCTTATAACATTTTATACTATGTTCTTCTATGACACTACTATTGTAAATTCAATATGATTGCATGAGAAAGAGTTATTTCATAATTGCACTATTACCCTTTATGTCACATTGTACGTTCCAATCCAGTAAATATCAATAAACCTGTGGTTAACATTTCTTCTGAACATCTTCATTGCAAAATACATACACTTTTGCAGTTCTAAGCACGGTTCAAATAGGACGGCACGGGATGTGTATTTAAGTTTTATTTTGCAAAGGTGCGGCTTTAATTGTGAAAATCCGAGGTAATAGTCAGCAATTGCTAATGGAACGCACAGTGTAGAGGAATGCTAGATTACCTATTGCTCCTTTGAAGTTGACTAAATCATAATGCAATTGTGCGGAACATTGGATTTGTATTGCTTTGTGGAACTAACAGAATGAAGCAATGATCCAATTATGAAATTTTCAGAAAGACACAGTTACAGTAATATATCCTCCTACATGTGCTGTTACACAGTGCTGACAAGTTCTCATTCATTGAGTGAATTGTTACAACTAGATGTACTATTGTAAAACAAAGCCTACTGCTTTCAGAAAATCTCTCCGCCTGTTATAATCTTCAATATGGCACACAAATAGTAATGATTTCGTAGACATCTTCTCCTCTCCTTCTCCTTTCATTCTCTTCCTTCTTTCTTTTTCAATTTAACTGTCTTTTTATCACCCCTTGTCAAATTTTAACCGAACACTCATTTTTTCTATTTGTCTTTCTTTTATCTATTTGTCCTCTTTTTATCTCCTATTAGAAACAACGTTTTTTGTGTATTTTTGAGCGATCACTTAGACCACTTTTTAACAATACTTATTTATTAGAGTACAACTTATGACAATTCCAGCAACAGTAGTTTATGCAATACATAATTTTGAAGCAGAAAATGAGGATGAAATCAACTTTCTCGTTGGCGAACCAATTACTGTCTTGGAAAAGGACGAAAAATACATGGATGGATGGTGGCAGGTAATGACGGACAACGAAAGAATAAAAAAAGGAACAAGTAGGTAACGATATCTTTGGTTTGTTAGGGAAGAAATGTACATGGAGAGACTGGTCTCTTTCCGATGAATTATACATCACCAGAAAAGCCTAGAATCAGGCCCACACAATTGCAACAGCAACAGCAGCAGTATATGCCTAGCCCCCTTTTATCTTCGCGTTCGTCCGGATCCACAGTAGAAGAAGAAATTGAACATACAATATCTCAATTAGAAATTAGTTCAAACAATACCAGCAGTAGTAGTGTCGAAGTTTGGGATGTAAATCAAGTTGCCAGTTGGCTTAGAATGGTTGGATTTGAATCTGTAGCAAGCAATTTCATTGGTAATAGAGAAGCGAAACTATGTTAGCTGTTATAATGCTGCTAGACTGAAATTTATTTGATGATTGACGGATTTCAATGGAAACAATAGATCAAGAAATTACTGGCGATATCCTATTGGATCTAAATATTGACACCTTAAAAGAATTAGGCGTTTCTACATTTGGAAAACGTTATAAGATTATGCAGGCCATAAATACGTTGAAGGACGGCTCATGTCAAATGGAGGTAATTATACATATATATTCAAGTGTGTGTGTGGGGGCGGGGGGGGGCGGGTGGAGAGACGTAGAATAATGATTGCTCGTGCAAAAATTACTTTAAAAAAGAATTGAGAAGGGGGAGAAGTTTAAAATAAGCATTCGATCCATCGTAGAACAAAGGCAATGAAACCTAACCCTATTTCTCAAATTAAAAAAAAACTAAAAAAAAAACCCAACTCCTAGAGCACAAAGCCTACTCCTAATTCCTCTGTCTCCACCAGTGCTATTTCCTCGAGCCGCCGCTCCAATACAGGCCATTATCTTCATCAAAATAAGAAATCAAACAGCATAAGAAGATCTAGCTCGCAGACAGAGCGAATGTCAACTGCTGGTGAATCCTTCATTTCAACGGATAACAGCAGTATGATATTTCAATTTCCTCGAAAAGCTCCATTGCCGCCCTCTATCCAGCATCAACTGAACAACAACAATGAAAACAGCGACCAGGGCGTTTTTCCACAACATAGTCTATCGAACAGTCTATTGAGGCCCTTGTCGCCGCAAAGTCTATCAGCAGCTTCCTCTTCAACTATTAGTAGATCAAATACTTATAATACAATGTCATCTTCTGGCAGCGGCTCTTTAAGAAGTCAAGACACGAAACCAGCAAATTCAGTATCAACGCCAACAGGATTTCGTAGTCCTCGAAGAATGCTATCACAAAAAAGCCAGCAAAATGTGGAGAGTAATGATTTCAATTTGAATTTGATGACGAATCAATCACAACTATCCTCAACAGTATCTCCTTCTGTCACTCCCAGCAGCACAACAGCAAATCATCACCAACAGCATCACCAGCCATTGGCCAACAGGAACGATTGGTCAACGAATGATGTAAGTCTACAAAGTGATGTAGAAAAGGAAAGGAAGGCAAAAGACGATTACGTAACTTTTTATTAATGCGGACTGGCTCTGAATAGATAAGCAACTATTCTCCTGCGAATCATTCAATGGGTATACATCCTTTGAATGCACCTACAACATCTTTGTCGACACCACGACAGCCAACACAGATAGCCAATACACATAAATTATCCGTTTCTTCATTTGATGAACATACTTCAAGAACATCAACTTCATCAGAAGCATTCCAAGCGCCAGAACACGAAGGATGGTTGCATAAACAAAGCGACAAATACAAAACATGGAACAAACGATGGTTTGTATTAAAAGGAACCAACCTTTTCTATTTCAAAAGCCCAAAAGATGTTCGCATGAAGGGCATCATCAATCTGCGTGGGTATAAAATTATTGTTGATGAGACAATACATGCTGGAAAATATTGTTTCAAAGCACAACATGAAAGAGAAAGAACCTTCTTATTCTATACGGATACGGAAAAGTCGATGCGTGTATGGCTGAAAATGCTGATGAAAACGACGATTGCCCGAGATTTTAGAGCACCTGTCATGTCATCTAATCATATTGCAACTGTCTCTTTGGACGTAGCACGCCGCATGAGACCTAGACCGCCCTCTGTTATCATGTATAAGAACCAAAAGCAACTGAAAATGAGCACTAATAGCTCTAACGATCCTAGCAAAATGATGGCGATGTTGGAAGAAGAAGAACTAGAGTTTATACCCTCGCCGCCCATCATCGAAGAGCAACAAAAAGAGAGTGTTCATAAGAATAGACAAACATGCGAATCTGGCATAACGGTGCCACATCCAGCAAATAACTCAGTGGAAGAAGAATATACACTGTTTTCAGACAACCATAATCCTTATCATTCTCAGCATCTGCATCCTTATGATGTGGGAATAGTAGATCAAAACCAAGCGGCTTTGAATAGGCAAAAAAATCGACATGAAGAGCAGCGCATACTATTGAACGATGAAGAAGAAGATTTGATTGATCCTCAACATCGCAGCCTTCCTTCAAGTCAGTCTTATGCTAGTTCATCATCTTCCAGTCATAGCCTAATTGTAGACAGTAGCGAAATACAACAAGAGGGCGAAGATGAAAAAGATAATTGGAGTCCTCAGCAATATTTAAATTGGGTGAACGCTTATTTACCGCCTGGGAAGAAAGTATTTGATTTAAGCAACGGGTTTAGAAACGGAGAAGTGTTGATTCAACTCTTAGAAGCCATTAGTCAAAAGGAAGTTAGAAGATCACGCACACCAAAAGGAGGATCTATGAGTGTGATCATGTTGGATAATATTGTCGCCGCCTTCAAATTTATGGGGCGTGAGGGTGTTGAGGTAGATGGCCGATATACAATCAAGGATGTATTTGGAGGTAATGAGCCAAAGATTATTACCATGTTGGAAGCCATCAAGTCTTGGGCAGATGAGAGGTATCCCGTCAAGACTTCCATAAGCCAATCTTCACCATCGATGAAAAAATCAGAAACGTCGGTTCTAATTGATAAGAAAAGTGGCTGGAGAGGGTCTGCAATGATGGACAATCGTATTAGCCTCTCCGATGATGATATGAGATAAAAGTTTCTCTACACGCCAGCCTGCCTTTCTTTCGTTAGCTTTGAATGGTATTTCTCTCAATAACAGACACACTTTGCTAACGCTGCTGCTGCACTTTTTCCATGTGGTGTTTCGTTTTACTCTCCTTTAACTCTCCTTTCCGAACATTATTTATCTCAGTCATTCTTATTTATTAGTTAATATCCATTGTTATTAATACCTATCTATTGAAACTTTTCTATCATTATCGTTATATTTTAGTCGTGCTTTTCCCTGTTAAGCCCTTTACTGTTAGCAGTATATATCTTACCAAAAAAAAAAGTTATTCTTTATACAGCCATAACCTATCCGGCTTTTGAGATATCCTACCCTCCTCTACCACTTTGATTCGCATTTATAAGAAAATTACCAAAATACTGGATGTTATGAACAAATCACAGCAATGATGGTTGATGCTATAAGTTTAAGTGCAGCACCCAACAGTTTCGGTCATTGTTCGACGGGCCTGCCATTTTGATTTGTGCCAACAATTCATTGTATATTTTTTCCCCGATTTTACTTTTTTTATTGTTTCGTCGTATTCACTTTAATTTATCACCATAGTATTATACTCAATAAAGTAGAAAATGAACTCATTTGCTGCTAATCTGAATCTACCAATACCTGATTTGTGGGAAGTCAGGGTAAGTTTTTAACTTTATATGAACTCTTACGAAGCTGTTCAACAAACAACTTGCTGATTGTTTTCATTTGTTAGGATGTCATCAATAAAGTGTAAAGTTCAACTTTTATGGCTTAGTTTGGCTCAAATAGTAAAAAAGAGATGTGTATTATCTGTATTAATACTTCCAATGTTATAGTAAAAGTGTCGTTCTCAATTACACGGAAATGGAAGCCAAGGTACACGAGGCTACAAATAACGAAGCTTGGGGAGCTTCAAGCACACTTATGCAAGAAATTGCACAGGGCACCTTCAACTAGTAAGTAGCCGCTAAGCAGTATTACAAAATGAACTATGTATTTTTGGATACATTGCTTAGGATTCACTTCCATCATAGTGAACAGTTTTCTGAAATTATGCCCACCATTTACAAACGTTTTACAGAAAAAGAAGCTAAACAATGGAGACAGATCTACAAGGTATCTTTCTAGAGACAAACAGTATATTAGTAAAAGCAAAAATCTTAGTCATTCTTTTGTTTAAAGTCGCTTGTACTCTTAGAATACCTTGTAAAAAATGGCTCTGAAAGAGTAGTGGATGATGCCAGATCTCATGTATCCATGATAAAAATGATGAAAAACTTTCATTACATAGATGATAAAGGAAAAGATCAGGGAATCAACGTTCGTAACCGCGCCAAACAATTAGCAGAACTATTGGGAGATATAGAATTGATTAAAGTTGAACGCAAGAAAGCCAAAAAGAACCGTAATAAGTATACAGGTGTTGGATCCGATGGAGGAATGGCGTACCAATCATCTAGTATGAGCTCTTCGAGATTTGAAGGGTTCGGTAATACTTCCTTTAGTAGTAGTGGAACTGGTATGCAAGGTTTTGGTAGCGACGATTTATATGATGATGTCGATGATATGGGAACCAGTGGAAAATACGATGATGATAGCCATTTTCCTTCTGGATCCTATGAGTCTAGAAGAAGGAGATCTTCTGCCAACAGTAAAAAGTCAGCAACGGCAGCGGCAGCAGCAACATCATCATCAACAGCATCAACAACAACAAACAAGCCCAAGACTGCAAAAGAAATGAACTTGTTCGATTTTGATGATGAACCTGTTCAAACTACAAGTAAAGCGGGTAATGTTGCCAAGAATTATGATGATTGGGGAGACTTTGCAACAGGCGGTGTTGGTGGTGATGATGACGGTAAGAGACCAATGACAGGTAATAAAGTTAGAATGCTAGGTTGTGTATGCTAATTATGATCCCATTGTCTCTGGCAGACTTTGACGATTTTCAAAGCGCTCCAACAACGACAGCAGCTCCGGCTAAGCCTGCGCATTCTACTATTACTTCGACACAAGCAAAGAAAACAAATGATATTTTCGACTTGTTGGGAGAAGATAATGTGAATACGTCGACGACATCAGCTCCACCAGTATCTAATTTGATGTTAGCGCAAGGCATTTCTGTTGATTCACTCGTTACCGGCCATAGCCCACAGCCATTAAATAGTCACGCAACGCCTACAGCACCTGCAGCCTCAGCAATCCAGCCCACCAATACAATGAAAACGCCTACATTGGCGACCCAGAATAGCTCGAATGACAACAACAAGCCTACTACTAGTAGTACTCAATCACCAGCATCCTCTTCTGCAGCTTCCATTGGGGGTATCTGGTCTCAAGGTTCAAAATTAATTAATCTGGATAGCTTAACCTCACCACAAGCACCCAAAAAGCAAGAGCAAGGGCCTACCATCAACTCGCTAAAGACGAGTAGTATAAACGCTAGCTGGAATAGTTGGGGTACCTCCAATTCTTCCTCATCAGCAGCTACCCCCTCTCAACAGTCAACGCAACCACCTCAGCAACAGCAACAAAATAAACAGCAGTCTTTGTTTGATGACTTGTTAATGTAGTAGCTAGCTTGTTTTCTTTTTCTTTTTCATTAGAAGGCACGGTGTATATTCCCCCCCCCCAAAAAAGTTTCTCTTAAATAAAATACCTTCCGTGCAAGGGATCAAAATGAACTTTCATATCGCTGATATCGAAGGAGACAGTACAGCCTTGTGACCTGTTACGAAAATGTAAAATATAAGCAAAAGGATGTGGACAACGCATAAGATAGTGCATAGAAAAGGTGCTACATATATAATAAATATATAAGCTAAAAGGGAATAACGAGCTCAAGGGACTTTAGAAGCTGTTGCTGTTGAGTGGAGAGATCTCACGCCTTTAAGACAGGCAAGGTGATTACCACTGTAAGGGATGTCTGGTTCTGGTGCTAGAGGGAACCAACTTTTTTGAATTCTACCATATTTGCATTTTTGTCCTCTTTTACGCCATCCTCCTATGGGAAACTATAGATTGTTCATTCTGCTACCCTTCGAGCAATAGACATTTCAAAAGTCGGTGATTTAGGAATTTTGCCCAAATGAAATACATTCGAAGGAGACTTTGAAAGTTCAGGGAGCTCCACAAGTGTTTGAGCTTCTTTGCATCCAAGCACTAAAGAAGGAGGTCGCAAGGAAACGATTTTTCTAACAAGCTTACAGACCACCGTCTATCGATGGATGGTTTCTTCAGCGCCAATGTCTTTTTTAAGACTCTTTCTCAGAAAGCTCGTGGATAAAAGTGATCGGTAAAGAACTTTTCCTCCTGTAACAGCCTCCTGTAGTCGTTCTAAATTGCTTTGCCTAGCGTGATTAGCCGCAAATTGAGCATTGAGGAGGTCAATCCTACTTTGTCTCTTAATTTCACGCAGATTCTGCAACCTACCTTATCACCCACCCCTCTTCACTCTTCCTTTTGTAGGTTCTTCTTCTTCGACAGAATCTTTTTTGAAGCAAAAGCAATGGTGAGTACTTGGTCTACCGTTTTGTAAAACAGGCATGATCCTCATCAAAGACGGGCCTGCAATATCCGGTCCTCGTGTTTTAGAAAATAGAATTTGTCTTTGTGGACGTCTTGGTTCCAAAAGCACAGGATGGTGCTGCTGTGATCTCATTGAAATGCTAATAGTTTGCCAGCAAATATATTCTTGCAATAAGGTATAGATTCTCTCCTATTTATGATTGGCATCTTCTCTTCGTTTATTCTTTTCTTCTGCAAACATCTGTGAGAGCTTGTTTGAAGCTCTTTATGTCAGGACAGAATTCATCCTACAACCCGACAAAGAAAAACCCATTGTTTTCTTGTTGAAAACAATGATGCTTTGGCGGGCTTCCTATAAGAGTTTTTTCTACCTATAAATAGATGTCCATAATATACTCAATGGACAGCAACCGCGTCCTCTTTCGTGTTGTACAGATACGCGCGCGTTCAATCGGTCAGTAAGCCAATGAACAGTCCGTTCTATAGCTAGAGTGACCCGGTCTCTATACCCAAGGTCCGAGTCATAATGGCACATTGTGATGAAAGATGGACATTCTATTTACCACAAGATATGCTTTGGCATCTCGTGTGTATACTATGCAACTCTTTCATGCGCAGCGCACTCCATTTTGGTCAATGACATTCAGTAAATAATAGTAGCTCATGATTGCTTTCTTTTGGACAACTTGGGCAAAACGTTTCTTGATTTAATATCAACATTATATTCGATTTTACGCAATTTATTCCTACAGTGAAAGAGCGGAGGGTGGCCAATGTTCCTTTAACGGTAGGTCTGAGACGATGCCAGGCCCATCTTTTATTAAACAGTATTGTATCTAAATAAGATTCCCAAAGTGACAATGACGGATCAGCTTTCCTAAAGATTCAGCACTTTTCAAAAGTGAAGCATAATTGAAAAAAGTAGATTTTACTGTCGACAAATAGGTCACTACCATGGGATTCTATTACTGAAAAACGGGAAGAGAGCGGTGTACAGAAACCTCAAACTGAAATAAAAGAGGACACGATGAACAGTAAGTTATTTGTCGTGCGTATCAAGGGATTGTCGAAACGAACAAGTGCGTTTCTTTTTAAAAGCAATATGAAAAAGCAAGAGCAAATGAAACGTAGAAAGACAGAAACAGGCGGATGAGATTGTCTTGTGCTTATGTTATGGCTGTTTTGCCTCACGGCGACTCGACCCGTTGTTCGTTATTGGATAAATGGACGTCAGTTTTGAGTAACCATGTTCATAGATACACTCAAGTTGTGTTTGCATACAGTGTTTTTTTATTGATGAATAATAACTGGAATGACCCAAAAATAAAGTTGTAAGATCTAATTTAGTACAGTTTTTTTTTTTCTAGAAAAAAAAAAAAAAAAAAAGGGCAAACGGAAGCCTATTTTCTGTCTGAGTAGATCCGTATTAAATCAGCTCATTTGTCACGGTGTGCAAGCGTTGCTTCCGTTAGAGGGTTCTCTTCCCCTCTTTCTCTCTATGGATGAGGTTCTAGGAGTGAACATGTCGACGAATTAATGATAAGCAGGTGGAGAGAGTGCTGGTGAAGGTGCGTGGGTATGCGTACTACTATGGATGGCCTCAAAGTAGGAAGGTAATCCACTATCTTCTGTTGATAACCGTAAAGATTCGTTGGGTGTGAGGCTGGAGGCGATAGCGTTCGTCGCCATTTTCAGATAATCCCTCAAAGCGTCTCTCCTTTTGACTGCATCTTCTTTGTTGATAAACTTGATGTCCACTCTGATGTCGTCGCCGTGGTGCAGAGTCTTGATGTCGAACCGTAGCCGTTTCTTTCGGACGAGTGTTGTCTTTAACGAACGAAATTCAGATAGACGAAATTCACAGGTGTCAAATCGATGCTGATCCCGAGGCGGTGCTATGCTTGTGGATTGTGCTAGAAAGATAAGACGTTTGTTGGTCAAGTGAACGGAGGCCATGTCTGCTTCTTGAACGTTGAGGGTGGTGCGTGATCCTAGAGCGATTTTTTGGTAGACAATGACCTGAACTGCTTCTTGATTAAAGTAAAACTTTTCATTCACCAGTGGCACAGGAACACGATAAATGGACATCATTTGATCCTTATTATTCATCGTGCGACGCTTTCGAGTGTTCAAGTAAACTTTTGTGGTATTGAAAGAAGCCATTGTCGTATAAAATTGAAGAGAATGGATTTCTGAGTATATAGGGAAAGAAAGAGAAGGTTGCCTCAAATGACACTCAGTTATTCGATTACAACTAGGGTTTCACTTTTTGAAGAAAATGAGGGGCAAGTGTCTCACTAATTGAGCCGTTGACAGGTCGGCGAAGAAAACAGTGCGTTTTTTTATATGTTCAATCGATGGCCAATGATCAGAAAAAGATAGGTCAGATTGATGTAAGCCAAAAGGATTCGTGCATTTCAGAGTAATATGTTTCTGTTCGGTAGAATAGATTAGGAAGGGGTGCGCATAGCATCAACCTCATCTTTTGTAAACGTCTCCCTCCGTTTGAATAAAAATAGACCTTGAAATCCCAACTTTAAAACGATGCGTGCTGTGAAAAATCATAAAGTACACAAGTGCGCATAGATGTGATTACCTTTTTTTTTTTTTAACTTTTCTTTCCCATCTTCTATTGTTTCAACCTAATAGAAGAAAAAACAAAAAAAGAAGGTCAACCAATAATAGGATGGATGCTCAAGATCAGAAGAAATTATTCCGTTTGGCGATGGAAGGTAAAGAGAAAAGGGCTTATCATGGACAGATAAGATGATGACGACATTATAAACTCATTGTTTTGGGTTTTTTTCTTCACTCTTTGGTAGCCAAAGAGACTTCATACTCTCCTTATTCAAAGTTTAGAGTAGGAGCAGCGTTATTGACCAAAGACGGCACCTTTTTCAAAGGTAAAAATTGAAATAAGACTACCATCAATTGGTTATGAAACTCATCAAGCCATGACCAATGTGTAGGTTGCAATGTTGAAAACTCATCGTATGGTAAAGTGTGTGAATGTGTTGGATTGTTCAATGCGACGCTACCTACTGATGACTTTAGATACACACTTTGATTCCCATTAGGCGGTGCTATATGTGCTGAACGAACGGCCTATGTGAAAGCAGTGGTAAGTCCAATAGTCAAATCGCTCTCTGCCTGAAAAAGATGATGTAAATTCCCTTTTGCTTGTTTCGCACGGATAGAGTGAGGGACACAGGCAATTCCGCGCACTGGCTGTGTCAACTGATCAAGAAGACTTTGTGTCACCTTGCGGCATCTGCAGGTACATAGTTTTTATGCGATGGGAACAGTAGGTGTACATAACAGAGTCAAAACTGAAAAGAAAAAAAAAAATCTTGTAGACAATTTATTTCCGAGTTTTCAAATGCGGAGATGCCGATTTACTTCTTGAATAACAAAGGTGAACACAGAGAATTTACAATGGGTCAATTACTACCTTTGGCGTTTAATTTGGAGAACCACATAGAACGTAATCATGAAAAGTCGTAATTAGGAAGGCATGTCTGGGTTTTGGCTGAACATAGGATAATGACGTAAATGTAGTGGAATGGCTGAGGATTTAAATAGTTAGTGGGTTATTTCATCATGCCAGCTGGACCGCCAGTGACAAATTTGGCTAATAAACTAGTCAAGATATCTCTCTTTTGATCATAACTTAATTTTTGGAATGCTGCGTATACAGAAGTGCCTAATGAAGAAGCATACAAACAAAAAGCTATAAATACAGGAATGATGTGCGTTCTAGGTTGTGGATGACTACTTACCCTTGTTATCACGAATACCACCTAACGTCTTACCGGCCACAGCACCCTATCCATCATACATATTAAACATCCCCATTCTCATGTCTTTTTTTTAAAAAAATCATTAAAATGATCTCTGTATCTGATCAACTTACAGCTAGAGCACCTGGGACATTAGCAAGAATGAACCCAATCACTAAACCAGCACCTGAACCAAGAATCTTCCAAAGATGCCCAGGTCTTTCCACTGATGGTGGTGGGAGGAGGAGAGAGAGAGAGAGAGAGGAGATGATGAGCTTTCAGCATTAAGTATCTATTATAGATAAATAGTGAGAGTTTATCCCATTACCTTCGACCTTTAACAACTCTTCAAAAACACTTCCAAACATTTGATTTGCTTGATTTGGTGATGCATTAGGCTTTGCAGACGAGAATGGAGTGAAGCCTGTCTTGTTTTTACTTTTTGATTTATCATACGATTCACGTCTGGTACGATCACCCAGAATAAAGTAAGCATCAGCTATTAATTGAAACTTTCTTGTGGCTTCTTCACGTTCCTGAGGGGTAGCAGTAGGAGGAAGACGATCAGGGTGGCTGATAAGTGCCTGCTTCTTGTAAGCTAATGTTCAAATGTGTTTGTTATATAAGTGAAACCAAGAAAATGGATTCAGCAATAAGACATGGACTATTTTGATGCGACGAAACTCACCTTCACGGATTTCGTCTAATGTGGCTGAAGGTTGAACACCGAGAATGGCATAGTAATCAGGAACGTTGGTCATTGCTTTTTTCTTTTTCGTTTTTCTGCCAAAACAGAATTTATATCAACTTTAGAAAGAGATAAAAAGAAGAAAGAAAAATGTACAATCCCAAAAAATTGACATTTACACTTTAATAAAATGAAACAAAAAACATGGGACAAAAAGTCAGTTCTGTCCAAAAGTGGGAAAAGCTGAGGAGCTCCAGTGACATGACAGTTCCATCAATAATACTACAGCCCTTCTATGAGCCATAGGGTTGGCGTCATGGCGCAGTAGCTTGGGTCTTTAACAAGGTCAACCGACATCTTGAGTCATCTAGGATGGATGAACGATGTGGTACAACTCACAAAAATGAAAAGGCATGAAATTTGGCGGAGCAGGATTGGTTTTCTTTTAATGCAGACTGTGATAAAGAAAAAAAAAAAAAAAAAAAAGCTTCAAATTGGGTTTTTATAACCCTCCCCCCAACCTGCTGATCTTTTCAGACACAACATCATTGGAGGCTCCACTCACGTGGGTAGGCTCAAGTGACTTGTAAAAAGGCTTGAAAGAAAAAAGTCTACTTCAATGTACTAATAAGCTTTGTACAAAATCTGTATACACAACATCATCCTACTCATCTACACGTCAAACGTGTTGCACAAGTAAATACTACCTTCTCTACTTGTATCCACTTTTTTACTTTTGGTTACAGATAAAGTCTTACTCAACCATCCAACATACGTTGCAGCTTAACAACCATCTACGACTGGAGTGAATAAAGATCGATCAAGTAAGGCTTATTTATCCTTGTTGGATGTAAACCGAATTGAAAGAGGGTGGCACATAATGTGTTTTCATTGGCTGTTTTTCCTTTGCACACTTTCTCTCTGTGCATGCGATCACTTTTTACAAATAGATCAAATGAAAAAAATTGAACAACAGAATTTGTAACAAAAAGTAGATTTGTTGTTCTTGTTTCGGATCGACTCTCAAAAGGTGCGAAGGCCAACAAAACGATAAACGATTTTGGAACGGATCTTGAATAACTAAGATCAAAATACTGAGGAAATCGTCCTTGATGAAAAAGGAAAAGTATATACCGAGAACAGTATGTTGGAGAGCAGCATTGACACTGACAGGGCTATGACACGGTTATCAGCCACACTTGTTTCTTTTTTTCCATTCATGTCTGCTGTATCCAGACAAGCTGCTGAGGACTTTCTTCGATGACCATCCCAACAAAAAATCAAGGAAAAACATGTTTTATCCCAATGTTTGAAAATAATACATTCTCATCAACAACGAATGCTTAAAGAACAGCGATAATGATTAGTGTACAATTTCTGAAACTGACCATTTTTCTCAATCAAACTTTTTTTTTAATTTAGAGGCGTAATTAAGAATTTCCCTGTTACCGTGACAACCTTAAATTCAATCGAGCGGAAGTCATATAGAAAAAAAAAAAATATAAATAAAAAAAAAAATACTGCCTAGTTACAAAAGTAATTAAACACTTTTATCAACAATGATATAATAGACTCCTTACATGTGTTTTTTTTTTTTTTTTTTTTTTTTTTTTTTGTGGAGCACAAATCAATCTTCAAGATAGAACTCTGAATATGATAAATTACCAACGTGTTTTTTGGTTTTTTTTAGTTGTATTTTTTTTATTTTTTGGAGTTTCCAGTATTGGGGGTTAAAAATAGTAACGTGAAACCCCGATCTTCTTTTTTATCACGTACAACCACCCTTTTTTTTTTCAAAAACCGATGTTGAAAAAAACGCCTTTGTTTCTATTTTAAACAAAAATAAAATAAAGAAAAAAAAAAAAAAAAACTAGTTTTTCTGTATCGTCTCCTTTTTTGATTTTATATATAGACTTCTCTCTGTCTTCTCTTTGTCGCCTTTTTTTTTTTTTTTTGTTTCCTTTTATTTCTCTTCTTTTCTTTTTTTCTTTTCAATTTATTGCTTCTGCAACTCCCCCATTTTTCATCAACAACACTTCTTCTATTTCGCTCGTAAAAAATGACTGTGGATTATCAAGGACTCCGAGACACGTTTGAAGCCGCTGGTCAAGGTCATATTTTCGCCTTTTTCGAACAATTAACTGCTGCTGAACAAGAAGAATTCTTGAGTCAATTAGCACAAATTGACGTGGAAGAAGCCACGAAAACGGCCAAGAAGGCATTGGAGAAGCATGGTCAACCAGAAGAGGCGTGTGCTTTTGAACCTATTCCTGAAGATGTGATTGTGGACGTAGAAAATAACCGTAACCGTGACGCTTGGTTCGCAATGGGTATGGATTTGATTAGAAAGAACCAGGTCGCCGTCATTTTGATGGCAGGTGGTCAGGGTACTCGTTTGGGTTCTCCTGATCCTAAGGGTTGTTACAATATTGGCCTTCCCTCAGGCAAATCCTTGTTTCAGTTACAAGCCGAACGTATTCGTCGTCTCCAAACTTTAGCTGCTACCGATGGTCAAGATGCCGTCATTCCATGGTACATCATGACTTCAGGACCCACCGACAAACCCACTCGCGATTTCTTTACCAAGAACAACTACTTTGGATTGAATCCTGAAAACATTATTTTCTTCCAACAAGGCGTGATGCCTTGTTTCACTCATGACGCCAAATTTATGCTTGAAGGAAAGGGAAAGGTAAAGTAGTCGTATTCTAGTTTGGGCTTGAAACTTTATTATTCAAACTTTTTTTCCGATATGTGTATGTGTATGTACATGTACATGTACATGTGTGTGTGTGTGTGTGTGTGTGTGTACCTTTACATGAACTTTCTTTTTTTTCTTCTGTGTTTGAGGAGGGGTGTGCTTTGCATGATGTTTATAGATGTGTTTATTGACCCTTTTTTTTTTTTGGCTTTGTTTATCGCCCCTCAACCAATAGCTTGCTGTGGCTCCTGATGGTAATGGTGGTATTTATGGCGCTCTTCACAAAGAAGGTGTCATTAAATCATTAAAGGAAAGAGGCATCCGTTATTCCCACTGTTACTGCGTTGACAACTGTTTGGCTCGTGTCGCTGACCCCGCTTTCATTGGTTATTGTGCTTCTCGTAACACCGATTGTGGTATTAAGGTCGTACCAAAGAGTCACCCTGAAGAGCCTGTCGGTGTCGTCGCTCGTCGTAACGGTAAATACGGTGTCGTTGAGTATTCCGAAATCAGTGCTGAACTTGCCCACATGCGTCAAGAAAACGGTCAACTTGCCTTTGGTGCTGCCAACATTGTCAACCACTTCTTCTCCACCGAATTCTTGGAACGTGTTCCTTCTTTTGCTCATGAGTTGCAATACCACGTCGCTAACAAAAAGATTCCTCATATCGATACCACCACCGGTGAATTTGTCAAACCAACAAAACCCAACGGTATCAAATTAGAACGTTTTGTTTTCGATGTCTTTGGTCATAGCAACGCCTTTAGCGTACTTCAGGTCAGCCGTGATGACGAATTCTCTCCTTTGAAGAACGCGCCCGGTGCTGGTGTCGATTGTCCAGAAACATCCAGAGCGGCTATTTTGGATCAATCCAGACGTTTCATTCAAAAAGCAGGCGGCCACTTTAAGGATGACACCATTGAAATTGAAGTCTCACCTTTACTTTCTTACGCCGGTGAAAACTTGGAAGCCGTTTCAGGCAACACCATCCAACGATCAGGTATTCTGACCAACTTGGAAGATATTGCTTTAGCACTCTAAAAAAAAAAAGAAAAAAAAAGCAATGAATATCATCATATCCCCCCACCCCACCCCCACCCAAGTTTACTTTTTTTTTTATCCCTTCGTTTTCTACCTGTTTAGATCTTACAAACTAATGCATCCAATCATCTCTCTTTTTGCTCCGTTCCTTTTTTCTTTTTTTACAAATTGTAATATTCCTCTCTCTCTCTCTCTCTCTCTCTCTCAAAGTCACTTTGCTCTTTGTATATTCCCAAGTTAAAACCCCCCCTCCTTTTTTTCGTTTCCCTAATAAAGTTAAAAAGTTGAAACACAACTCTCTTTTGTTCTTTATCCTTTTTTCTTCTCAAATTCAATCTCCGCTTTAGGACACCTACAGGGGGATCTATGGACGGAAAGTCAAGAATCCTTTCTTTTACAAGTGAAAACCCACAATGATGTATACCACAATGAAACGCTTACTACAAAAGCCCTTCATGACAAAATGCCTCTACTCTCCATGCCGGCACAAGAGCAGTCTTGAGCCTCAATCGATCGTTGACATTCTAAGACTGAATCTACCCAAGCCAGCCATAGCCCGTCCTTTAAAACCATCCTCACTTCCTCACAATTACAATAGACCATCCTCATTACTACTGCAAAAACAAAAACAACAACAACAACAACCACCACCATCACAGATAGACTCAAAACAACCCACTAAACCCAACATGGACCGTCCACCGCGCGATGAAGAAATTACAGCCAGGTTTATTACGCTGGTGGACGAAAAAGGCGACCTGCACCAAAAATGCAGACCCACCGACGTTCTTTACACCATGGATCGTACCCAATACTTTTTGGTAGAGGTCGATCCCCACGCCAAACCGTTTCCTGTGTGTAAACTTTTTGATAAAAAGACGCTGTTCGATAAAGAAAAAAGCAAGAAAAAGAAAAAGAGCGCATCACCCGCCAGCGTGCTGAAAGAAGTCGCCTTGGGATGGAATGTGACAGATCATGATATGGAGCATAAACTGGGAAAAGCCTTTGAATTGCTAGACAAAGGCCATAAAGTCAAAGTGAACATTGCACATAAAAAGAACCAAAAGTGGGTCGATGAGCAGACGCAGCATCAGCTTGTGGCAAAAATTGAAGCTATGCTGAAAGACTATAAAGTGACCAAAAAGAAGTTTTCAAAGAATTACTGCTCCCTACAATTTGAAAAGACGAATGCTTGAAAACATGCGAGACATAAGAAAGGGGCGTGGGCCCGGGGGCCGGGGGCGCGCGCGCGCACACACATACATCACTTGTCAATAGACAACCTACAATTCATACATAGCGCATCTACATAAAAACAGGATGATTTCTATTTATAATAAATGAGGGATGACGCTTGTTGTCATCTGGGGACTATTTACAACATGGTCGCATGCACTGTTCTATTCTCCTCTTCTTCGTTGGCTTGTTGCTGCTGTTGTTGCTGCTGTTGCTGCTGCTGCTGTTGCTGCTGCTGCTGCGTATGGAAACCTGTTTTTTCTCTTTCCATCGCATAGAATTTTTCCAGCTGTTGTACGTCTATCGGATACGTGTTTTGCGGTGTAGGAAATTGCCTTGTTTTCACTTCTTCATGATATTGCCGTAAAGCGGTCGTGATGATCTGATTCAAGTTGCAATATTGTTTGGTAAATTTCGGCACAAATCGATCGAAATAGCCTAGCGCGTCATTTTGCACGAGCACTTGGCCAGCGCATTCTCTACCCGCGCCAATACCAATGGTAGGTATCTTTAATTTGCTCGTGATATACGCTGCAATTTCAGCAGGCATCGCTTCCAACACCACGCCAAACGCACCCGCTTCTTGCACCGCATAGGCATCCTCCACTAAAGCAGCCGCTTGTTTGGCTGTCTTGCCCTGGACTCTGAAACCCCCCAGAGCAGACTGTCTCTGTGGAGTTAACCCAATATGAGCAAGCACAGGAATGCCCACGGTGGTGATGCGACGAATCGTCTCGGCCATTTCAACACCGCCTTCTAATTTGACAGCCTAATTTATTTTTTCTGTTGAATCTCTCTTTTACTCCGCAGCAAAAAAACAAACACACAAACAACAAAAAAAAAAAAAAAAGGAAACTCACATCGACATGGCCCTCCTTTAAAAACCGGAGAGAAACCTTGACAGCATCCTCAGGACTTGCTTCATAGCTTCCATACGGTAAATCACCCACCACAAAGGGTGCTTTGCATCCTCTCACCACGGCTCTACAATGATGTAACATTTCCTATAGAATAAAAAAAAAAACCACAAGTTTAAAATGGCTTTTTCTTATTTTGGGGAGGGCGCGCACGCAAAGGGGGAGGGGGGATTTTTTGACAGTTTACATCCACTGTAAGCGGGTTGGTTGAATCATAACCCAGGCTCACCATGGCGAGAGAATCTCCCACCAGGCAAAGATCAATGCCAGCTTGCTCCACCATCAAACCAGAAGGATAATCTTGGGCTGTCATCATGGAAATAGGTTCATTGCGTCTGTACATATGCTGAATCGACTGTAGGGTCACTTTAGGTCTCCCTATACATCGGTTACACAAATTCAGCGCAAAGCGCAAAAAGAAACAGCATCGATCCTTTCTCTCTCTCTTACTTTGAGGCCTATTGGCACTTTCTGCTGGTCTGCTCGAATACGGCCTACCTGCTGACTTGTTCAATGGCTGATAGGTAATAAAAGGGACAGCTGCCGCTCGGCGAGCTACTGCTAGATGCCCCAGGAGAGGTCGCTTTAATACTGTCACTGCCCTTGTCACTGTTGCGGATAACATAGACATGAAAGAAACTCTAAAAGACTAAATGAACAGGAGGGGGGAAAATTTGTATAAAGAAATAAATTCATGATAAACACAAAAAAAAAAAAAAAAACTTTGTAAGCAAATGAGAGAAATCAAAGTTCTGGAAGCTGTGATTGGAATTCCGCTGAGCTTATCAGTAGGGCTTTATTTTTTCTTTTTTTAAATTCTAAGCTTTTTTTTTTTTCAGCTGATTCAAAAATGGGCATCCGCCTTTCTCAGTTTTTAGCCCGTTTATTCGAAAACAACCATACTACATTGTCCCCATGTATTCTAATTTGAAAGAGAAACGGACCTATTCCATCAGCAGTAGCAGGATCTTGCACGCCAAAGTTAACTTCAAGCCATATACAGCAAACTCACTCTGTTGAATGCTTGTAAGTATTCCTTTTCTTCATCACTCACGTTCTATTGACATTGTGAATATCGCATGGTATTTTTATTCGTTTGACAATAGAGTAATCGTGTTAATGTAAGAAAAACAATTGTTTATATATATATATATGTATATGTAAAAAAAAAAAATCAAAAAAAAAAAAAAAAATCAGGCAAGATAACTCTAGATAGTCCTCTTCATTTTAACAATGTGGAATGAAAGAGCAAAAATAGAGGGGTATTGATCTGTATATAATTAAATGTAAATGAATAAAACTAAAACTCAATGTCGTCTTGAGCAAACATGCCACCTAAAGCCACTTTATCACCCGTATTGAAAGCTGGCATGCCCAAATAAGGACACGTTGAGCATCTAAAAGCGTCTCCCAGAGCACAACTACCACATCCACCGGTTTTCTTGGGTGTGGGATCTACTTCTACAATTTCATCTTCATAATCATCCATCATATCCAATGACACAACTCTAATCTGTTCCTCTAACTCTTCTTCTGCTCTACCACAAGTACAGTTTTTACATGCTTTTCTCTTTCCTTCTGTCCATTCACAATCATCAGGTCCTAAAAAAGAAAGGAACACAATAAGTAAAGCGTTTTCCCTTTGCCAATAGCGAACGATTGAAACCAGTCACTTACTTGTCAAGGAAGCTTTACTAGGTTTTACTTTGTCCTCTTCATCCAATAAGGCATCCTCATCTTCCAAGTCATCCGTGGTAGCCATCAACCACATTTTGTGTTTGTCAGTCGCGTCACCAGCCTTCTCTGTGCTCTTGGGTTCGTTCTTCTTCTTTTTGTTTCTGCCAAACGATAGCGATACTTTCTGTCCGACTTCATACGTGGGCTTGCGAGCTTCTATATGAGCAATTCCAAACTTTCCCGAAAGTCGACTCACGCCTTGCTCTATTTTTGTCGTACCCCAGAGACGAAACAGATCGGCAAGCATGGCATCAGAGACAGGTGTGACCTCCGTAACTACGACATCAACATAACCCGCTAATTTCAACATCGATTCCAGATCAGCTGATTGACGAGTGATGGGACAGACAGTATTGGACAATGCCTTCAAGAGAACCACTTCCTCTAACACTAAGCGTCCACCAGAAGAGAGAGTACTCAAAAAACGTGCTAGCATGTTGGGTGTATGCAATGAGACTGACGGCGAAAATAGGTTGGAATACACAGCGTCATAGAATGAAGTCTTTAAAGGAGCTGAATTGACGGGAGCCCAAGAGCAAAAGTCAGTAAAACCTTTTATGCTGCAAAAACCAAACAAACAAACTCTTTACCTTCTGCCACTCTATCCATGACTTCAAAGGCTGTTTGGCCTTCAGACCCTAACTGATCTTGCATCGAGGATCGAGTTTGCAAAAAAGCTGACTGATCGACAGTAGCAGGTGCAACCAATAATATCTTTTCTCCTTTGGATACTGAACCGAAAGACATAGTTGAACTATTTCTTCTTTTTTTTTTTTGTCAAGTGAGCTGTTGTTGTTTAATGTAAGAAAGAGTGGATTTGACCTTTTTTTTTTCTTTTTTTTTCTATCACAGAAAGAAAAGAGAAAAGAGGAAAAAAAAATGCCCTGATTTGTCCGATTGAATTTGTAAAGAAAAAAAAAAAAAATGATAGAAATTGAATGTACGAACACGAAAAAGTATCATTGGGCAACAACTTTCCATCTCCTTTTGTTCCAGCCCCCACACTTTTCGTTTTCCTCTCGCACAGCTTGAGTTTGATTGGTGGAAAAGTCCTAAATACAAGTAGGCAAGCTCGGGCAAGAAACACTCAGTCCCGGGACATCACATAATAGAAGCATCCTATCGCTAACCGGCCGTTCTTATCAATGAATAAAAGGCTGCTTCGCCCAAAGAGCTCACATCCTACATCGTGTATCAAAAACTTTAAATTCATTACCCATGTTTTTGACTGGAGAGCATCCTTTCTCTGTCAGTGGCGCCATTTTATCTTGTCAGGATGACAAATCGTCGTGAAATCAAAAAAGTCTCTCGTACTACCTCTGCAAAGAGTGATACGCATCCAACGGAGCCTTTTTGCCAATGAATAACATTCGAGTAGCTCTCCTATCAATGCGTATCTCTCTTTCCATGGTGAAAAAAAAAAGAGCAAGACAAAAAGCTGTGATACAAGATGAAAGCACGGTATTCGATCAGCTTGGGAAGGGTTTTTTTTTTTTTTGGTGTACAGAAAGTCCTTCTCATGATCTGATCAGTTATAATGTATGCCAAACAGTGCAAATTACTAATACAGAGATGGTGAAACGTCACAGATCTTCCTTGATCATGCATTTTGTTGCTCTCCAGCAAGTTCTTTATTTTAGTCGTTGTAGCGTGGATGCTTGAACCCAAACATTCTACAGAGGGTCGTTGAAGGCGCGAGGGACGAGGAAAGAGAAAAGTACTCCCTCTTGCTATCGAAGATTAACCAATAATTCGAAGTTCATGCTTACGATCTTTTGCATAAATATCCTTATACTTGTCATAAATGGATTGAAGCTCTGCTATATATCGACTCTGAATTTCCAGCAATTGCTCGGTAGTAGGCTCGAATAGGTCAGCACCCTCTATTTCAGGAGCAGAGATAGGTTTACCAACTTTTAAAAAGAAGCAACGGTGAGCGTCATCGATTCTATTCGCGTTCTCAAGATGTTCTGCACTTGGAAGGGTTTTTTTACAATTCACTCGTTTCCTTACCAACAGTGACAATAGGGTGTCGAAAAGGTATCAATCCAACATCATCTAAGAAAGCAAAGAAAAAAACGTCAGCTTCTTTTTCTTCATCCAGATGTGAGCATCCGTGTGTGAATAGCCAACAACCCCGGCTACCTATAAATTTTTTTACTTTACAATTAAAAATGCCTCGAGCATGAAACAAAGGCAATGTAAAGCCAAAGACAGACTTTATCCATTCCTGAAATTTGTAAAGTCTACTACCTACTGAGTTCTCCATTTGATTGTAAATGTCATTCTCTCCAAAAGAGAACACAGGAACAAGATCTGCTTTGTGTTTGATAGCCAGTCGTATAAACCCTAATCTTTTTCGTAGGACCAAATCAACTACACCAGGCCGTGCATTCAATGATTCTGCTGCTCCTCCCACCACAATGGCAATCGATCCAGCCCCTGGTTCTTTCGACGACAAGATCGTCTCACAAGACTTTTTGGAAACGGACGCTAGACCTAAACTGAGGATCAAATCACGATAGAAGGGAATGCGGAAATTTGAAGTGAGAGTGAGTAGCCTTGTCTGAATGCCTGGAAATAACTGGCTGTAATGGGTGGCTTCTGTTCCAAAAGTAATCCATGCGCCTACAGAGATGATGCCGTGAGGATGATAGCCAAAGATGTATTTTTTGGTTGGATCCAAGTCCTGCTCCTAAGTGAAAGTGATCAGTGAATAGCTCACACTCACACTCCTACTCATACTCCAGAGAGATACAGAAAGAGAAGGGAGAGAGAGAGAGTCAGAAAACTGTTTTGTCCCCGTTCAACCTTACTTTGATAAGTTTTGCTGGAAAGTAGTCTGCGAAATATTTCCAGAGTTTCCAATGCCTGCAACTATCGACACGTCTGCCACCCGCTTCGGGTGCTTTGTCCATATAAATAAAGATGGTGTAGGCAACCAACAGGGGCCACAGAAACCTGTGGGCAAGAAAGAGGTAGGTGTAAAATAAAAAGGAGGCAGCCATCAGTAGAAACCAAATACAGACAGCCATCATCTGCAGGCGTCTTTCCAAAGGGATATCAAACACTGGAGCCCAACGAATCGATAAAGCTGGTTTTTCTCGTTGCTGCTCCTGTTGTAATTGTTGTTGGTTCACTGTTTGTTCCTCTGGTTCCGCTGCATTCGAAACGCTTAACTCTTCAACGTTATCTTTTATAGTCATGAAAAGGGCCACTTGATTGAAGGGCTTGGGATAGTTCAAAATGGCTATGAAGAAAAAGAAAGAATACACCCTTACTCCTCCTCCGCTAAAGAAATAGCAGTTTGTCCTACTTTCGATAGATTACACAACTGATATCCATACTCTAGCTTTCAATTATCTAAACATGCTTTGTATACTTCATGAATTCATCCTTTGTTCATCAAGTACTTGCATAGATGCATTGAGAATATAAACATGAGCTTTTAAGCGAAATTTGATGATTGTGTATTCCAAAACTATATCTAGAAAATAAAAGCCGAATAGAATGGGGTGGAGCATATCAAATTTGAAATGGTCATTTGCTAGTGAAACGAATCATGCCTATTTACGAAGAAAGCAGCAAGCAAAAAGGGATTCCACCTTCAATGTGAAACCTGAATGTTCAGACAGGTATGAAATGGTGCGACAGACGACTATCGAAACTTTGCTATTAGCCGTAGTGTGCATTGGTAGGATGTGGCTCGATGGTTCTCTTACAGTAGGCTTTGGCCAATTCTCTTTCAATCACAGACAATGTGTTGGCTGAGCTTTCTGTCAATTCAAAAAGGAAAGCATTTTGTCAATGCAAATACGGAACCTTCTATTTTTTTATTTTTTTTGGAAAGATTATTTTGAGCCTACAATGAAGGTAAGACAAATCTCTTTCATCAGTCGACTTCTTACACTAATGTCGCTGTAGCTGATTAATAAAGTTTTAGAAAAAGATTCCTCAGGCTACATTACACTTCTTCCAGAAGAACTGGAGGATATGTGGCATATCTACAATTTAGTATCAAAGGATGATATGATTAAAGCAACAACTATTCGGTAAGATCAATACTGATTTGCTATTGTCAATGACATAATTAGGACTTACAGTACTCTTTTTGGGTAGTCGGGTGCAGTCTGAAAGTACTACTGGAACAGTAACAAGTCAGCGTGTTCGCATGGTTTTGACAATCACGGTAGAAAGTGTTGATTTCGATCCTATCGTTGGTCATCTTCGTATCAACGGCAAGGTCTCGAGCGAAAACCCACATGTTAAGGTAAATCTATTCGATTTTGCATTTATAAATGATATTGTACGACATGTAAACTGAACAGCAAATGCTCTGCTTAGATGGGAAGTTATCACACAATTGACTTGGAAATGAATAGAAACTTTACTTTGTTTAAACCTGAATGGGATATCATTGCATTAGAAAGAATTGAAGACGCTTGTGATATTACAAAGCAAGCTGAAGTGACAGCCATTGTTTGTCAAGAGGGTCTAGCGAATATCTGTTTTTTGACTCCCAACATGACCATTGTTCGTCAGCGTATTGAAAGTCCTATACCACGAAAAAGAAGAGGTTCTTCAACAAAGCATGACAAGGTAAGTTGCCTAGTAATAACAATAAACGTTTTCGCTTTCCTCTGACGGACAACGGGTCTCTCTTTTATAGAGCTTGCTGCGTTTTTATGAACAAATTTACCAGGGTATCAACCGACTTATACACTTTGATGTTGTAAAGGCTGTGATCATTGCCAGTCCTGGATTTGTAAGAGACCAAGTGTATGATTATATTTTTGATCAAGCCGTGGTAAGTCATTTACTGGCATAGACATATTCATTATGAAAGATAGATAGAATAACAGACTTGTCTGACGTTAGAAAACGGAAAACAAAGTACTATTGGAAAACAAATCCAAATTCTTGCTTATCCACAGCTCAAGTGGACATAAGCATGCATTAACAGAAGTTTTAAAAGATCCTGCGATACAAGCAAAATTAGCAGACACCAAGGCGGCACGTGAAGTTCAAGCACTGGACGCCTTTTACGAAATGATGGAGATGGATCCCGATAGAGCGTTTTACGGTTATCAGGATGTATCTAAAGCAAACGAGAGAGGAGCTATCAATACATTATTGGTTACAGACGAATTGTTTAGATCAGCCGATATTGCTACACGTAAAAAATATGTAGTGCTAGTAGAGCAGGTGAGAGAACAACATGGAACTGTTCATGTTTTCTCTAGTCTTCATCCTTCAGGAGAACGTAAGTGATGAAAGGAAAAAAAAAAAAAAAAAAAAAAAAGTCAAACGAATCGGTTGATTGCCTTTTTCTTTTTTTTTTTGTTACTGACTTAATTTTGTATGGGTATCTTTTTTATATAGAACTCAATCAGCTTACTGGTGTAGCTGCCATCCTGAATTTCCCTTTGCCGGATCTTGATGAATTGGAAGAGTGACAGAATAAGACATACTGCCTATCAGGCGCTCAGAAACAGAAGGACTGTATAATAACCGTAATATAGATATTCTATTTTTAATAAAAAATGCATAATTGATGGTACTCCCAGGACAAACCGCTATCAATTATTTCGAGTTGAAAAAAAAAGGTTAAGATTCAGCGGTATTCCTCCTTGGGGGGTCGTCCCCGCTGGCGGTCCATGTTGTTTTTTTTTGCATTTCAAGATTACAAAGGCACAGCTATTGCTTTATTCATTATTTTACAAGTACTTGAATTCCATGAGTAATAATAATAGATAGATAGATAAAATTTTAGTTTGATATAAAAGTGTATTTACAAATGCTGCTTGCTTCTAATCGATGGTAAAGATTATTGCTAGCGATCTAATTTTTCAAAAGGCTTTCTAATCCTATTTTACATATTGACATCATCTCCAAATAATGCTGCTGCTGCTTGCGCCACCACTGCTTGAGCAGCCGCCTGGGCAGCAGCATAATTCATTGCTAAGATACCGTCTATAGCAGAGAGGATGTCAGCTTCCCACCATCCCATCTCATAATCAACGAGGCCGTAACGCTCCAACTTATCTGCCCAAGCGACGACCATTTCTCTGAGATTATACAAATGTTGGTCAGTAAGTCTTTCTGCATCACAACTTGGTTCTTGTCTTTGAGCAAGTGCATATAACCAACAATTATTAAGTCCAGCCCAAAATTGTTCACGGTCAATGGCATTATACGGATGGTCATCAGAGGTTAGACCTATGTAACAAGTGAAAAGTTTAGAAGACGAGGGGGGGAAAAAGGGACGAATTATGAATCAAGCACTTCGCACCCACACATTAAGGCATACACTCATTGTATCAATGCGTATAATTTTCTTAAAAAAAAAGTATCTTTTCTTAAAACAGTTACCTAAATGTTCACAGCTATCAACAACTGCACCTGTTGCTTTACTCAGTGTTTGAAATCCGCTTACCATATTTCGCTGTTCGATATGGTCTAGTGTAGCTTTTAATTGTTTTTGGATTTCTTCAAATGTTGTAGCAGGTTGCGGTGGTGGAGCAGTTATAACAGACGTAGAAGGGTTGAAAAGCATTGCTTGTGCAGTTGTTACTGCATTCGCTGGTATAAATGATGAAGCTGCTGCTGTCGCTGCTGCTACCGTTGTTACAGGTACTTCTGCTTTTGACATAGCCGTTGCGGTTGTCTGTGATAATGGTTGTTGTGCTGTTTGTAGCTCGGTTGTTGTCTGCTGAACTGATGTTTGTGCCATTGGTTCCGATGTGAATGGTTGTGGCATTGATTGTTTCGTTATAGCTGGCTGCAGAGATGTTTCATCTGGTAAAGGCTGTACCACTGTTGATGTGTCGCTCAATAGTTGCTGCTGCTGCTGCTGTTGTGTAGCTGTTGAGCCCGACGCTACTGATTCCATATTCTGATTCAATGCTGCTTGAGTAACCGCCGATGGCTCGTTTGTGCTTGATATTTCTACTTGCGCTGCCGTACTTGGTTGCAACAATGACTTTGTTTTTGGCGTTTGTATGACTGACTGCTTCCCTACATCTTGCTGTGCCTGGATCAGCTGTGTTGACCCTGGGGCCGTATTTTGTTCTCGGTTATCTGTTGATGAAACAGTCTCCGATGCGGATACACTTTGCGCTGTTCCTGATGGCTCAGAGACCAATGTGGGGATTGGATGGACTGTAGAAACTGTTGTACTTTCAAGGCTTACAGGGTTCGCTGTAGTGTCGTTTGAAGTAAGGTATACATCGCTAGAAGCATTGGCAGACGCTTCGGGTTCAGCTACAGCAAGCGCTTGCACCGGTTGCTCAGTTGATTGCTGGACCGCTGATAATTCCTGATATATGGGTTGAATCGATGATACTTTGGTTTCTTCTGCTGAATCAGTGTTGCTTAACTTCTCTTGACTCTTTTTGACCAAGGGCGTTTGCTCACTAGAATTGCCCGAATTGTCCACCGATGTTTTCTGTTGGTTCACAGCAGGGCTCGATGTCCTTACGGCTGTATTCACCGGGGTAGACTCAGCCTCTACTTTTACTTCTGGCATTATGGGCTCTTGCTTAACTTCTTCTACATCACAATCTTTATCGTTAGTCTGCGTTGTTGACGGTTCAGATGAATTGATAGTAGTATCTTCCAAATTTTTTGCAGTCGCCTCAGCGGCTGGTCTATCGGGGGTCTCTTCAATTTTTATGGGCTGGCTTGTCGAACGATCTTGATCATCATTAGCTGAATCGAGATTTGACAGTGGATCGTCTTTGAGTATTGAATTCGCAGAAAAGGTCATTGATAGCAATTATTTATTATCAAAAGTTGAATAAGTTATGGTAGTTCGCAACTCGAACACACGGGGAAGGAATTAGGAAAGAGGTGGTAATTGATATGGGGTAGGTAAAATTTCTTCCAATAGCTCTATTTGTTTTGAGCTTTTCTCAGGTGCTATAGATCGGGCTTTTGTTCTTTATTCTGGCAGTAGTATTCGAAGTGAAAGTCAGGATGGATACTGTCTACTGTCTGCAAGCAGAAAGCGAAAGAGTTGAATGATGCTAGGGTTGAAGCTGTACCAGGCATATTTAGGAACGCAGTAAGCGGCATTTGAATATTTCAGGTAACACCACCTTTCAAAGTTTTTGCTTGAATGGACTTTGCAAGACTTAGCGAACACTAGAAAGTCACTTTAATAGTATTTAAACAAGAGTAGTCTCTCCATTTACAAAAATATTCATAGCCCAAATCCAAACATAAAACATTTGTCTACGAACTTTACAAACAATATTGATACATGAAGGCAGCATCAAAGGACGACCAATAACAAACATTCTCTCTGTCGCAGATTGGCTGTTCTGGAAGATTAGCCTGAATTATCAGATAACAGATTGACTCTCCGTCTTCTTTCCACGTATTCGTATATTTTCTGCTGAACCACGTTGAATGAAAACAGTTCGACATAGCTCGCACAATATACAGCAATGAATAATATGACACATAATTTATTCAGCTCTGCAACTGTAAAGAATTGCTCGCGAGAATATTGACCGTTTTGACTTTCGTACAACTAGAATGCATTACTAATTTCAGATTGTAAAACTAACTGTTCAGTACCTACTTATGGGTGCACATACAACGGAAAGAGTCCCGTCAAGGATGGTAATGCTGCCTGATACGAATTGCAAGAAAAGAAGAAAAAGAAAAAAGTATAAAAGAAAGCAAAAGCCCGTTGGCGTAAGATCTACAATTCCTTTACTTGATTAAAAGGCTTTTGGCCTGAGAAATTTACAACTCAGGTTGAAAACTGAATGACAGTCCACAATGACTGCTTTAAAGATTCTTATTAGGAAAAAGGGAAGCTTTTTCATTTTGAACGATCTATTAACAGGTTCATTGATCCATAGAATTGCAGAATCCCCATGTCTCAAAGCAAAGGGCTCTTCGCCATGTTTGGCGCTGTTGCAGCACCGCCAAAAACAATAAAAAAAGCTGAAGACATCAAAACTAAAGAAGAGTTAGCTAGAGAAGCAGCATTTGATGCAAAGAATAAAAACGGCCATTCTACGTTAAAGGACCTCAGTAGTGGAGGAACCGGCGGTGGAGCTTGGAAAACAGTTTCCAAACGAAGAGGTTTGGCTCTAAAAGCCAAGACGCTTGGAAAAACCGTTACCGTTTCAGAGAACAAGCACCATATCCCTGACGACGTAGAAGATGTTACTATGGGCGGTACTGGTAACAAGAAGAAGAAAAAGAGATTGTAAGATATTGCACTATGAAAAGAGAATGAGCTGTTTACTGACCTTTTTTTTTCCAAAAAAAAAATTAGCTCGCCTTATGGTGTAAGTCGTCCTCATAACAAAATGGCAGCTACTCAACGACCGGGAGTTGACAAACGAGTTGATATATTAGTCGCAGGCTTCGAGCCTGGTACTGAAGCTGGTGTCGTTCCCTTTTTAATTCTAAAGTCCAAAAAAAAATGGGAACCTGTCGATGTTAAAGTCGATGGACAGCAAATGCTACTGACTGTTAATGATCCAGTCATAGCTCGAATTTTAGTTCGTTTGGACGGCTATATTTATGGAACACAACAACTTCGCGTTCAGTTATGGCAAAACTCAGCATTACCCATGACACCCATGGTTGAACAAACCAAAACCAAAAAGTTAACTACGATCGATCAGCTTCGTAACTTCTTATTGAGTCGTTGGAACGCAGACGCAAAGTATTTGAATTTGGATAGAATGGCATCGGATCCAATTTTGAAAAAAGCGGGTATTAAGCCTCCAGGAACAGCAGGCGCAACTGCAGTTGTCGGCCCAACCATGATGAAATTAGCGGGAGAAATGTTTGAGGAGGTGGTCACTATATCGTTTGCTGGCAACCAACTGAAAAACGTTCAACAAATCTCTACCTTGGCTCAGTATTTGCCCAACATTCAGAATCTTTCATTCCAAGACAATTTCATTAAAGAGTTTGAAGGTTTAGATGCATTGAGTGGCACAGGCAAACTGAAGTGTCTCAGAGAATTACTACTGGCTGGCAATCCTGTTCGCGACCATGAGATCAAAATGAGAGGCAATGACAGAGGATATGTCAAGAATATTGTCAAACGTTTCCCTACACTTGTTTTATTAGATGGTATTCCAGTCCAATTGAGTGAGACGGAAGCAGCGGCTGTCCACAAAACTGGACGCGTCTTGCCTTTAGACAATAAACCCAACTTCTTCGATAATGAGATAAGTCAAAATGCCACGATAGATTTTCTGTCAAAGTTCTTTCAGAAATTCGATTCGGATCGGTCTTCATTGGCAGTTTTATACGATACCAATGCCGTTTTTTCTGTCAACTCGAATGTCAAGTTACGTGCACAACAAAAAATAAGGAGAAAGGAAAGAAAGAAAATGATGGATGATGAGGAAAGATTAACATGGAACAGCATAAGTCGAAATTTGAAAGGCAAAAGCAAAAGTAAGCGAAAGGCAATCAGTTTACTCGCTGACCTTGTAGTTCTTACCGGTTTCTTTTTTCTGTTGTTGATAGGACAAGAAGGCAAATGTCTCTTCATCGGACCCGAAATCATTGGTAGTACATTATGCAGATTACCTCCAACTATTCATGATCTGCAGAAAGTAGATGATTTCGTGGTGGATGCCCACCAGACACCTGTAGGGCTGTCGATCAGTTTGCATGGCGAGTTTATAGAAGAAGAAAATACGCCACCCTTCTCTTACAGTCGTACATTTCTGCTTCGTCCTGCTACGCCAGATAGTCCGTAAGTATCTATCATTATCTATGCTTTTAGGGCTCACATGACTCATTTTCTTTTTTTTTTTTTATTTTCTTTTGTTGCTGTGCTTAGTACATTGGCTGCTGGATGGCCATATATCATCATGAGCGACATGCTTATCGTACGTGACTATATTGGTAATCAAGGCTTCAAACCTCAAGTAGCTGTGCCTACTAGCATTTTTACCTCATACCCAACAAATCTCTAAGTTTGTCATATTTATAAACAATTGCTTTTATGTACTCAATTCAACTCGATTCATTCTTAAAAAGAAAATATATCTGTAGTCAACTCATAATAACTTATCTATTAAATTGATAAAACCGTCACCGTAACTGCCTCCAAACATCGCATAATGATTCAGATGATGATACGCTTCGTATATTATCAAACGCTCCTTTTTACCCTCACTTGTTGTTGGTAACAGTGCTGTATTCAATAAGGCGTCTTCATATGCATCGAAACACGTCTGCGTAAATCCACCAAACATTTTCATGATGCCAAATTCAAATTCGTAATGGCCATAATAGCAGGCAGGATCAAAAATAATAGGCTGTTCATTGTTCGAACCGCGTGCACCCCAGTTCCCATTCCACAAATCACCATGAAGTAGTGAAGGTTTGACCTCACCAATCACGTCCGCACCGAGCCAATGCTCCAAACGTGAACAAAGGGAAGCACCTAAAGTATCAATATCTTTATCCAGCCCTTTCACTTGCTTCAATAATGGCTGTAAACGCTGCGTTTTGTAAAATTGGCACCAGTCAGTGGACCACGAGTTCTCTAATTTGGTGGTACCGCACCAGGAAGTGACATCAAAGCCGAATTTATCAGCAGTTGAAGCATGTAAACGTGCCAATTTCCTGCCGAGTTCGCGTTGCAGCGTTTGATGACTACTACTGGCTCGACCTAATGGAACATATTCTGTGACAATGTAAGCAGGTTTTGCTGATGCTGTATTGTTCTTGCTGCTTTCGGTAGCGTATGAGTAGTGAAGTGGCATCGGGACGAATCCGTGAACTGCGTCATTCATTCGCTCAAGTGCCAATGATTCTGCTTCAAACCATCGACCTGCTTCAGGATCAGCATTTGTCTAAAATTTTGTATTTGATCAGTTTCCATACAAGAAAAATGCTACCCCTTGGCGTTATTATGGTCCTTACAGCCTTCCACGCATTGTTTTACTTTTTAAAGGCGCTACTATTACCTTCACAAAATAATCTCCTTTATCTGTTGAAAAACATGCAGCTTGACTTATAGATCCTCCTCCCAATCTTTTAATTTTTTGAACAGTCGTACAAAAAGAATGCTTCTGAAGCTCAGATGATATATATTCTTGAATGTTCATACTGTTAAAACAATGATGCTATACGTCGACTTTAAGTTTCAACTTTATATGCAAGTTATCAAATCATGAGCAAGAAAGAAAATGTAAATTCTATTCAGAAGATCAGATAAGCTATCGCAAAGAAAATCAAACTTCCTGACGTCATTGACATGAATACTTGACTTCGTGCTTTCCGTACTTATACTGACTTGTTTAAGCCTTCTTTGAATCCACCAAATCTTAAATTCTTTCATTAGATAAAAGTTTACTAATGGTGACCCACTGAAACTTCGCTAAAGAAGCTTAAATGCTTTTAGGTTCGTCCCTTATTTCTGGTAACATGTAGGTATATTGGTCGACTACAATGCTTGCACTGATGAGAACGGACTCGAACAAAATAACTGCTCAAAGACAAAGAAATAAACTGCTATAATGTTTCTAGCTTTCGCATAGACGTCATGATAAATGGATAGAATAATTGACGTAGGATACGACTTACATCTCAAAATGCTATAGTATCTATTATATTTGTGAATTTATTACAGGCAAATCATTTTCAAGTTACAATATGGGATAGCAATTAGCAAAGGATTCCCATACGTATTTGAATGTGTAAGCTCGTCCTTTTGCACAGAACGCGGATCAACAAATTTTCATCTTTTGACCTTTGTGACTTTCTGTACCTTAAATTTTCATTTTATAACAATAACACGTAAAAGTGCATTTGTTCTTATATTATACTCGAGAAAGGGTATAATTTCCTCATGGCCCTATCTGAAGAAGAGGCTAACGCCAAACTTGAACGCTTGCAGCAGCAAGTGACGCTAAACTTACAAGCCATTGATAAGAATTTTGCAGAGTGCAATCAGGTGCTCACTTCAAGAACAATACCGGAAATAGAAAGATATTCAGAAGCAACTCATCAAATATGGAATCATTGCAAAGTAAAGAAAAAAAAAAAAAGCACAAAAACGAATAATCAAAAGCATTACCAAATTGCCATTTTTCAAAAGCAACTAATTACCAATAGTAAATTAGATTTGGCTATATTTTTTCAAGTCAATGGATCGTGAAGAGAATCAGTATCCATTTTCGGTGTTGAGTGGTGAAGATGGTACAAACCGCCCAGCCCACGATGCAATATCGGATCGCTTCAGTAGAATGAGTCATGATGTAACAATGAGAGATATAACTGAAGTGTCTGCGCATAATCGTTTACGAAAGAACTTACGTAGAGCACAGTCTAATACGACAACCTCACAAGCACGTAAAGATACCCTCAACCCTGATATACTAGATTCAGAATCATCAACCTACTCCAGTAGGCAGAGTACGACGAGATCACCGCCACGCATCATACCATACGCTATGGCTCCAGACGTGCTACAACGGACACCTGTGCGAGAGGCAGCAGATTTATTTACAAAGGACCAATTTCGAAATGCTGGGGCATCTACTTCTAGCGACGACGACTCAAATCAATATCGATTTAGCGGCGAAAGTGATGGAGGAGGTATCGATGATAGCAAATCGAAGGACAAAGGTAAAGGAAAAATGACAGCAGATGGTTTTGCGACGCCAGGTCTAGGTCCACGACATTGGGGCCAGTTGAACGTAATGGAAGATGATGTTAGCAATCGACGAATTTTCGAGAATTTTATGTTTGATCGAAAGAGAAATCAAGATAAAATTGAGAGTAGAATTACATATAACAGTGGGAATGCGGGCATGCACTCACCTAGCGACCGTAATTATCAATTCAAGAAACCACCAGAGTCCATACGCTTAACAAACACACGGGAGAGTTTCGTGCCAGAACCATTCACATTCACGCCGAGTGATGCTGGTAGTCGAACGCAAACACCAATAAAATACTCCAATCTTACAAGTAAAAGTCAGCAAAACCAGAAATATCCGAGTTATTACCCAAGTCCTTTCGGCAATATACCCCATTCCCAGAATGATAGACAACAAACACCCGTTAGAACACCCAGTATCCGCGGCGATGATCATGCATCAGAACAGAAACAGACACCATCATCGATTCGTGGAAAACTGCTAGACACTTTTAACGATATGTCGAGTATAGAGAGTTTTGGTATGGAAGGCAGTGGACTTCGCTTGGATCACTCGCAAACTATTCACTCACCGACGCCTACAGGATTCGATTTTGCACAGAGAATGAGTACACTCAAAAGTCAAAATACGCCTTCTCAGCAAAGCCAGTCGGGATCCAAAGCGAATTTAGCTGCTGTTGATAAGCAACAAGAGAATATCAATATAGAAGAGGAATTTACCGATCCGTTGAGAAATGTTTTAACTGATAATGAAATGAGCCATCAGTTAGATGATGGTAATGATACGCCAAAAAGCACAGCCACTGACAGATACGCGCGATACAAAGTGAGAAATAGTGACAGCCTTAAAAGTGCGGATCTGACATCCAGATCAAGTACAACAGCAAATATGACCATGATATCGGGGTTGACTGGCCAAATACCAGCTCGATTCGATCTGAAATACTTTCCAGATCAATTTAAACAACCTCCGGCCTCTACTCAATTAACTCGAATTTATAATTATTTTGCGGACAGGCCAGCTCAAATGCTAACAGCGGAGGACTATTTAAAGCATGTGAATAACGAATACGATAAAGAAACTGTTCATGTTCTCATCAACTTGTTAGCGCGGAAGAAGTTCTTGAAAAGAGTTGGTGATAGAGAACGAGGCGCTTGGACGATTCGAAGGTAAAAAAAGCAGCAAGACATCAGAGGCAGCTATGATATCATGCTTTCCTTAAATGGAGAAAAAGACAAAAATTGTGGAACGACGTCATGCCAGCGTCAAAGGCAACCTTTTTCTTTTCCAACCGTTTTTCACTGTTCTTCTTTTTTTTTTCCATTCTGTTTAAATTCAGTATAAATATTCAATTCTTATATCTTAGCTTGTCCTAGCGAGAAAGATAGAATCTTTATTTTATTCTTTTCTATACTTACTCTTTAGCTTTGTTAATTTGAAAAAAAGAAACAACAACAAAAAGTAAACAAGTCAGATTTGTTTGATTCTGTTACCGTCTTTAATTAAAAGATATACTTGCTGGAAACAGTTCCTGATCGAAAAAAAAACCATGTTTGACCAAATTAAAGGATTATTCAAGCAGAAAAAAACCCATCCAAAAGGTGTGTGTTTGTTGTGTATAAAATTTCGGATTAAGGCCTTTCTGGTCCCTTTTCTTTATTTCAACGTCTTTTTTCTTTTTTTACTTTTGTTTCGTTTACTTACCTTCCGTTCTTGTTCTTGCAATTTCATTATAAAAAATTGATGATGAATATAGAAGCCGTTACAGCAGACGAAAAGCAGAAAAACAAGGATGTCGCAACTCGTATTGTTCAAGAAGAGAAGCAACGCAAAAACGTTCTTCCTCAATACCCAGGTTTGGAACGGTTTGAGATGATTGAAAAGATTGGAGAGTAAGTTCAATTTTATCAATAAGTCATCAGGTTACAATTTTTAATAAGCAACTTTTTTCTTAGGGGCGCATTCTCTTTTGTTTTTAAGGCAAGAGATAAATTGACCGGTAAAGAAGTGGCCGTGAAAGTGGTTCGTAGGCGAGACTTGGACGCATCTGATGCTGGCAAGAACCATCTCCATCCCAACATGAAAAAGAAAACAAAGGCAACCGAAAGAGAAAACATTTTGAAAGAAGTTCAGATTATGCGCAATATCAATCACAATAATATTGTTCGTCTCATACAGTTCTCCGAATCTGATGACTACTACTTTTTAGTTTTGGAACTATGTCATGGTGGTGAGTTATTTCACCGCATCGTGAAGCTGACATATTTCAGCGAAGATCTTGCTCGACATGTCATTGTTCAAGTTGCTGAAGGTATTCGCTACCTTCATGAAGAATGTGGTGTCGTGCATCGGTAAAATCTCATTAAAAGCGGTGTTGCATCAATTTGTCGGATGGGACTCTAACCCCGCATATTCTAATTTTTTATTGTACCTTTAGTGATATTAAACCCGAAAATATCCTTTTTGAGCCTATTCCCATTATAAAACGTGACCATGTTGTAAATCCTTTTAATGACGAGGATAAGGAAGATGAAGGCGAATTTATTGAAGGCGTTGGTGGTGGTGGTATTGGCATCGTTAAAATTGCTGATTTCGGCTTATCAAAGGTGATCTGGGATAACTCCACGTTAACACCTTGTGGTACTGTTGGCTACACAGCTCCTGAAATTGTACGAGATCAAAAATACTCAAAATCAGTTGACATGTGGGCCATTGGTTGTGTACTCTACACAATTCTATGTGGCTTTCCTCCGTTTTATGACGAATCTATTCGTGCGCTTACTCATAAAGTTGCTCGCGGCGAGTATACTTTCTTGAGTCCTTGGTGGGATCCTATTTCACCCGCGGCAAAAGACTTAATTAGCAATCTTTTAACTGTAGATCCTGAAAAGCGTTATACCATTGATCAATTTTTCCAACATCCTTGGATTACCAAATCACAATTCCCTCCTCCTGCTCGCAGCTCCACAAACACATTGCCATCTAAACCTTTAGTAGAAAAGAAGTTCAAGGCCAATGACCCCCGTGCCCAAGCGATGCAAAATGCTGCGTCCAAGGCGGCTGCTGCTCAAGCAGAACAAAAGAGACAAGATCAGGCTTACAATGCTATGATGGCTGGTCAACAACCCGCGGCAGCCAATGTTAATACTATTCCAACCAACAACGACAGTAAACCTGCAAAACGAAATGATATATTTACTCCTGGCATCAATTCTATCAAGGAAATCCTAGATGTTACGTATGCTGTCCAACGTATGGGTGAAGAAAAGAAGATGCGCACTGGAAATACTCCTGCCATCCATACCGCAAACCGACAAAACGGTTTTATTCCTGATTATGATTCCATATCCGAGGAAGATGAAGAAGATGAAGACGATGATACCAGTTCCAGTAGTTCAAGTGAAAGGGCCAGCCATGGTATACAGAAGGATGTTATTGCTTTGGCTGAACAACTAGTTCATGATGGTAAAGGTATTGCGCCTGGTGCTTATTCACTAAAACCTAAGCAGACATCAAAAATACATGATACAGACGTTTCCATGCCCGTATCGAGAAAGAAACGAAATGCATTTGATCTTGATTTATCCAAGGCTACCTTGTTGAGAAATAGACGTGTCGTAGCCTAAAAAATGCTGCAGTATCGCAACACGGTTTTCTACATTAATTATATTCTTTTATATGCTACTTCTATGTTCAGTAATTAGCTCTTCTTCCTTTCCATTGTTCCGTAATTCATGTTTTGTTCATTTTTTTTTTCCCTTTTCTTCTGTTTCTATTTTAATGCGATATACCCAATCATTTCTTATTTCAGAAAACGTGAACGAGACGGGAAACGAAGCTCCTTTTTGTATAGAACATATCTTTGTTTAATTTTGTAAATGTAGTAATAGTATAAATTGCTTTATAGTGGTATCAAGAACAACATTTGTGATGTCTTTGAAAGTATCTAAATAGTAAATAAATAAATGGTCCATCTTATCAAACGTAAAAAGCACCACTTCTGTCAGTCGTTATTTGTTATGCCATATTAACGTTTTAAGTGAGTTCCATGAGTCTGAATCGCGATAGATGTATTGCATTGAGGCTCTTAGAGAAGGTTGAACTGTATCTGTCTCGTGTCTGAATAGCCACTATGTAGCAAGATAATGTATTTTAACTTTGAATTCTACTAAAGTATGTTCCATGGCATGAGCGGCTTACCATAACTAATCCCCACACGACAGCCGCAAATACGGGGTATGTGTTTTTGGGTGCCTCAATTATCTGTTTCCTTACCGGCACCTTCACTAGAGCTAGGACCACTCTCGAAAAGAGATATAAGATGATCTACAGTATGACTTCATCAGTATCTCATGTACCTATCAGGTTTCATTTTCACACTCAAAAACGCTATGAAGCAATCCTATCTATACCTGTTGATTGATACTGTTATTTTCTCCAAATACATAATATCCTCCAACGATACCGGCGAGAAAGGGATGAATACTGGCTTCTTTTCCGCCATTAAGCTTCTTTTGAACAAGCATTAAAGTTTTGTAAATCGTCGCAAATTTACCCAGGTTTAGCGCATGTTGCTTTGTTGCTTTAAGAATTCCTTTTGCCTTACTTTGCACACTACATATATTTTGGAGCAAACGTTTTAATAATTTTTTTTCTGCAGTGTTCCCCGCTCCCAAATTCGTCGATTTGAAACTCTGCTACTTTACGATCCCGTTTTGAACAAAATGGTCATAACAAGTGCGTGAGGGAACCTGACTTTTGCGCCGTAAACAACGCCATTACGAAAACCTTTAAGAATGGTCAGGACGTCATGATATTTTGGGTTGGTAGCCAATGCATTCAAATAGTCCATGTTAATCTTGATTGCAGATGCAGAAAGGACAGAAGAATGAGCAATGAGAAATAAAGTATTATGTAAAATAAAAGGCAAAAAAAGGGAAAGAAGAACAGTAAAACTCACAAAGATGAAAAGAGCAATGAAATAACAAGTATTAGCGTGAGACTGTAAACTTAGTCGGCTTTCACATGCTTTTTAAGGTCATAATGCCTAATCAGTTGCTGATGGTACAAATAACTGCTGCTGCACAGAGCTTCTGTTCCGCATCACCCTAGTATTTCAGGGACACAATCTTTAGTGAGGCTTCACAAAATAGATAGGAGACATACGTCGCATTAACCATTGACGATCGGTCCTTCACATTCCCTCTCAATATTTTATAGAATGCTAACTCCATTCACAACTTCTAATTCAAAATTCAGGGCATCTAAAGATTGGACACTAAAACCAATAAGAAGCTATCATTGGTTACAGTTAGTAGAAACGAAAATTATAGCCTAATAAAAATATAGTATTAACAGAGGGTTATGCAAACAAAGTGGCAAGCTGGTTACACAATTAGAACAGGGAGATCTTGACATATTTATGGTCTCAAAAAGAGTACTAAGGCCAATATAGTTTCGTTAGGGGATCCTTTTGGATATACTGACTTCCAAATAATATATTTGTCTTCAGATAGTCTGCTGTTCAATGATCAAAGAATTTGATTTGGGAGTCTCCACATTTACAAAGAACGTATGCAACTGATCGTATTACATTATATCTGATTTTTTACAAAGGTATTTATTGTAGTGAATAATATTTAAGCGTAGTATTGCAATGTCATCTTCTTCTTTGCCTGTACTTCTTGGATAGCTTCCATGAAGTCTTCGTGTGTAATTTCAACAGCTCCTCTTCTTAAGGCTAGCATACCACCTAAAGAATAATCATAACGTGTTAAATAGGCATCTTTTCCGCGTAAGAATCCAGACAAAAGATTAAACACTTACTCTCAACACAGACAGCTTTACATTGAGCACCATTGAATTCGTCACAGCATCTAGCTAATTCTTCAAAATTGACATCTTTACTGACATTCATTTTTCTTGAATGAATTTGTATAATACGAGCTCTAGCTTCTTCATTAGGTAGAGGGAATTCAATTTTACGATCTAAACGACCAGATCTCAGTAAAGCAGGATCCAAAATATCAATACGATTTGTTGCAGCAATAACTTTGATACGATCATCGGAAGAGAAACCATCTAACTGGTTCAATAATTCCAACATAGTACGCTGTACTTCACGATCACCCGATTTTTCAGAATCGAAACGCTTTGTACCAATAGCATCCAATTCATCAATGAAGATGATAGCTGGTGACTTTTCTTTTGCCAATTCAAATGCATCCCTTACTAATTTTGCACCATCGCCGATGAACATCTATAGGAATATAATATCGTGAGCTGAGCTGAACACATACTTACGGTATCACACATTCTGCTAGTATTACTCTACCTGGACGAGCTGAGGACCAGCTAATTTCAAATATGCGGAATTTGTTTGCGCAGCGCAAGCTCTGGCTAATAGAGTCTTACCAGTACCAGGAGGTCCGTACATCAAAACACCTTTTGGTGGTTTAATACCAAGGTTTTTAAATCTTTCAGCATGTGTCATGGGCAATACAATAGCTTCCACCAGTTCTTCGATCTGTTTATCCAAACCACCAATATCATTATAATCTTCAGTTGGCTTTTCATCAACTTCCATAGCTTTGACTCTAGAGTCATATTCTGCTGGTAATTTATCCAAAATTAAGAAACTGTCTTTATTGACACCGATAAGATCGCCCGGCTTCAACTCGTCAGCATCGACAAGACCGATTAAGGGTAAAAATATGGTCTAGAAATTGATCATAAGTTTTTTCAAAATTTAAGTCTTGTCTCTACGTGACAAAAAACGACGCGTATGAAAGCAGTAATTTACCTGTCTAGTTGAAGTTTTAATAACTGCACATTTTCCCTTTCTCTGACTGGTTAAATCGACATTAGCGCCTTCGTCTTCATTTTCATCTGGATCAACATCGAGCAACTATGGTAAAAAAGTACAATAAAATAGGTTTAGCCGCGCTATATTACTCAATACTGTATGATGGATATGATTGCGTTTTATGCTTTTGCTCGAATGGCAGACCGATGACTTTACCTCAACAACGTTACCGACGAGATATGGAAGTTGCTTATTTAACTTTATCTTTTCTTTATTATCTTTAATGCGCTCTTTCATAGCAGCTTGTTCATGTTGAAGACGAACAACTTCAGATTTCATAACCTGCCAAAGTGTGTCCGCAATACAAGAAATTGCAAAATGGTTAGATCTGGCTACTTTTCGAACCATTTCCGACTGTCAAGCATCTAATTCCTAACCTTAATGTCATTTTCCAAAAGTCTTGTTCTGTTATTGATTTCTTCAGGACTAAGGCGAAGAATTTCTTGCCCAATGTCGTCGTCTTGTTCTTGGTTTTCCCAAAGTGATTTGTCTTCCAAAGTTGCCATTTTAAATGTTTATCTGAAAAAAGTTATGAATAGGAAAAGAGCCAAAATAAATATGAAGGTTCAAAGGGTGGACACGTAATTTTGTTTCATACTCCGCGCACACTTTCTTCTAGCGCGTCAATAGCTCACAGGTTCGGCTTTATTTGGCTTTTAAAAAATGGCAGGAAGATATAGAGAAGAGGTAGAGGGAATAGAATGGATATCAAAAATATCATTATTAGGAGGTAGTTGAATACAACTGAAAGAGTTAAGATCATGTGTATGTAGGAATAAGTCAGAATAGCAATAATGTATAACTATGAATGAGGAAGAGTAATAAATAGCATGTTGAATACAGATGTAGTGTAATGGAATAACGTAGCCCACATCATTCCGTATGAAGTGTACTTTTGTTATAAACAATTTAGCGAGATATTCCGTTTGACTGCATCAATTTTCGAGAGATTTCACCATCGATTTCTAAATCAAAGAGTCGCCAAATACCGTTTTCGTCTTGGAAGTCATTATGAACAATATTGATGAGATACCAGTTGCTGCATACATCCAAAATGAGTCGAGCAGAATCACTTTCACGGTCGTAGATACGAGCCCAGCGGTTCCAGAGCTCAAACGCTTCATCTTTCCAAGCCATAAAGGCTACTCCTTCCACAATAGTAGGCTGAGCAATTTCTTTACCGGGAAACACACCCCAAGTTACAGCATTAGGTTCATCATTTTGAGTGTTTGTGCGGAAGTCACCTCGTTTGTTGACAGCATAGTAAGTCACTTGAGGGTTTCCACTGATCTTATCAATTAGTTCATTGAGCTTATCGGGGGAGACAAAAAATTCAAGGTATGCCTTCTGGAAGACATAGCCGTTTCTAGGTCCCCATCCGTAGATCTTGTCTGAGCTCCTGACACCATTAACGGCAGGCTGTGAATTGATAGTAAGATATCCGAGCAAGTTGATTGCTGCTAAGCGTTGGCGAATAATATCAGTCTCAGGGTCCAGTTGTTGTGCACTCCAAGGAATTCCAGCAATTTGACCCTTGCAGTAGCGAGCAAATGTTTGAGCAATATCATCTATGCAAGTAGGATAGCCCCACATCTTGATACATTGATCTACAGGGTATTTCAAATTAATGCCCCAACCATCTAATTCACCAAAGGCAGGAGAGCGTGAATCTCCCCAGCGACCATTGGGAAATTCATCCCAGGTTTCTGTACGTTGGAGATAACTCTTTGTGCGATTCTTCCAGAAAATAGGTCGAACATTTTCCTTGGCACGTTTGCTGGTAAGACATTGGTTCCAGGGTAAAGGCTTTACTGCTTCTAATGGAGCAACCAGGTTAAGGCGTTCTAAAATAATTCGGGAGGATCGTTCGAGATTGAAAGTGTACAAATGGAAGCCATTGATCCCAATTTCGCGAAATTTCTTGATAAATTCGACAGCGAGGTTGATACCGTACTCCTTTACGGCAGTATCATCATCCTTGATAACTTCAAGCTCGTCCCAGATTTTCTGAGGAACAAAGTTATCATTAAAGGATATCACGCGTTTAAGGCCAGTGTAATTTTGAATAGGAAAGACACCCGGCAAAATTGGAACGTTAATGCCGATGGCACGAGCCTTCTTATAAAAGGCTGTAAACATGTCGATATCGAAGAAAAGCTGAGTAACGACTAAGTCAGCACCAGCATCTACTTTATCTTTGAGATATTGCAAGTCTGCATCTTTATCTGGATTATCGATATGACCTTCGGGATGACCTATAAATCAATATTGAACTATGTAATTAGTAACAACGTTTGCTGAAAACGTGTGATTGTATAGTATGTTCCCACCTGCAACTGCAATACAGAAGTAGTCACCGTACTTCTTACGAATATATCTCACCAAATCGATAGCATGCTCAAATCCTTCTTTGCATGACTCCCATGTTTCTTGTCCTTTAGGGGGATCTCCACGTAAAGCCAAAATGTTTTGGCATCCACAATTTTTGGCTTTCTAAAACAGCATATCAACTGAATAAGACCACTAACTCAAAGGCATTCATACTTTTATCTGATTCTGATACTTACTTCCAATGCATCATCAATTTCCTGGACAGGCATGTTAGTACACGTCAAGTGCATCATTGTTTCTAATCCATATACTGATTGGGCTGTTGCCACAATCTCCGTTGTTAGTTCCGCTGATGATCCGCCAGCTCCCCAAGTGACATCAATAAATTCTGGCCCATAACGTTGCATTCTTTCCATACGATCATAGAGATTTTGCACACCCTAAGTGGAAATTAACAGAATATTTTTGTTTGTAAATTATGTTGTTGCCTGTGACTTATGACTTGCTTATAGCTCGCTTTATTTACCTGTGCTGTCTTTGGAGGGAAATATTCGAAGGACCAGAAAGGACGTCCTTCTTGTTCAGCTTTATGAATCTTATCAATGACTTTCATGGTTTAATTTTGCTTGTTGCTGATGTTACAAGTGCCGATTCTAAGATCAAATGTTTTAAAAGCTTCAAAATAAAAAAAAAGGATTGTAAAAGGGTGTGAAGTAGCCATTATATATGCGAATGTGGGATTGGTTTAGTCGTACAGATCCTTGGCTATTCTCTTCCCTTCTCGTTCGCTCCTTTCAACCATTAAACTTTTTGTGACTGGAAATCTAATTGATTGATCATCTTGATCTTTCCAAACCGAAGTTCCAAGTACATAATTCTGTATGCAAAGGGCAAATGAAGGCTATGCCGGATTGTTCTTCTCATACTTACGGAGTAGATAATCTTTGTTATACAACTATGATAACTGAACTTTCGGCATTTCTAGTGACAGGATACCTTCAGATTTCAATATCAATGTTTTAGAGGCGTGCATTGGCTTTTTAAGTGTACAATTTTCATTACTGATGATTGGCTGACCCGAAAATTTTGATCTTAAGTTAATGCTGTACCTGATGTATTGAGGAGCCGAGCGAATCATTTCTGTCCGTCAGCGATGTTAAAATGTGTCAAATGCTAACTTGAAGTTTCTTTGTGTGTTCCCACCCCTTTGTGTAGCCATCATACAACAGCAATTTGGCAAAAATACAAAAATGATAGACGGTTGACTATGCACTGACCGAAATTTTCAATCAGAGATTCCTGGAAAACAGATAACTGGAAGCAATAACCAGTGCTAAAAATTCTTTTTAGTAATATGTTCAGGTGATGCGTCTGATACTGAGGAATAACAATGATGATTGTTGTCTTAACAGCGACATTGTAAACTTTAACTATCTTAAATACAACTTTGAATAGCTAATGTCTCACTGTAATGGCATTGCGGAACACTGTCAATAATTTATTAAATACGATCGTCAAGCGTAGTATATATATGATGACGGTATTGAGAGGCATAGCAGGTTTAAATATCGGAACGTACAATAATCGAATCATTGTCGTAAGAAAAGTTAACGCACCATATCTTGCACCATATCCTGAATGGTTCAATTTCTATTGTATAAGGACTCCGTCACACTATCATTGAGAATATACTCATGTGTTAACATCATTACGTAGCAGACGATATTATTAATTGCGATGGTACCTTTATTATAATAGGTGGCTCCTGTGTATTCGGTCTGGAAATCTCAGCTAACTCCTTACCAGCCTAAGTGTAAACAGTATACGTATTAATATGAAGATGCTTGATCAATTACGATATTCTCTTTCCCAACTTACACTGGTAGTGCCTCCCTCCATCAATTGAGATAACGTTAACGACCGTCGATTCAGATTCATCACGGAGCGAACACGTTCAGCTACCAGATCCAAATAAGCAATTGTTAGAGCGCGCCATTCGGTAATAACAGGATCAGATATATCAAACATAGGCGTTATTTCCATCTTAGGCTGCCCTTGCAAAAGTGAGTTTTCCTTATGATTCTTTATTCCCCTATCAAAATCAGATGCTTTAAGGGTTATGAATCCTGTATCAATAAGCAATCCGCCTAACGCAATAGAATAAAAAATTGAAAGAATTAGTCGTTTTAAAGAAGGGAGGTTGCCATAGTGTGCCTGAAAACGATATGCATACCATTAGCATAATCAGGAAGGGGTGTCAATTGTTCGGTTCCTTCGATCATTGCACCCAACATCTTCTCCATAGGCTCAATCAAAGAATACAACATCCATTGAGAGAATTTATGGAATGGCACCATTTGGTCAGCGCATGAGATAATAGGACAGGACCAAACATCACCCAGTGTCAAGGTTGCACCATCACTATTGGATTCTGGATCAGTTTGGGGGACGGACCAAAGCTCACCTATTTCTAAAATGATCGGCCAAATTGTTTCTAGAAGTATTAGGGGGCCTTTTTTTGTTGTGATTGTTGTAGGATGGTTTAATATATAGTCTATATGAACATAAACGTAGGCATTTGCACCAAAAAAAAAAAAAAATAAAAAATAAAAAATTATTAACCCTTAATATTTTCTTCTCCCAAGCTCCCCTTTTGACGTTGAATCTGTAAAAAAGTTTTCATTCCCTTCAATGTTACCTAACATATTTCCAGGACGGAAAGCTTGATCTTCGTTGTTCCTGAAATAATCAGAGCAATGTTGTAGCTTATGGCCAAGGTGTTTCAAAAGCTTAAATCTTTCCTCTAAATCGTTCAACGTTTCAGAGGTTCCTTTAAAGCCGGCTAATAGATCAGTTATTTGCAATGCCATGATCGCGTTCGCTATAAAAAAAAAAAAAAAGTTGCATTGGTAGGTAAAAATTAAAAAGGAGTCTTTGTATAACAAATATCACCAATTTTGTAAAATGCTCACGTACAGTCAACTCGATGCGGCTGATCAGGATTTGCAGAAAATAGGCCTTTCATATACATCTCTAGGATAGCAATAGCTATGCCTTCTTTCTTCTTATACAATCGACCGGAAGATGCTTCCTGATACGAATAATTGTGAGAAGGATTCAGATCGAGTATGACAGCCACTACCATTAAGTCCAGAACTCGTCTGGTCTGTTCAGTTTTGTCGATTCCGAGGCTTGCCCAGGAGTTGATCAATGTTTGAACACGAGGATAGCCATCTGCATCAAAATGTCTCCAACGTCCATGTGTAGGGATTTTAGAAGGATCGTCGAAATCCCTTTTTATAATAGATATAACGAATTGAACAATGTCTTGTAATTTGGAAGTATCAATGTCAAAGTGCTGGAGCTTGTTCCTGACAGCTGCCTCTTGCACTTTGAAGCATCTTTCACGTACTGCGCGTAAGCTTAAAAGATACTCCTCGTTGACGTTCATATTATTGCTATTCGTGAGTGATTGTGTTGTCATATTTTTCTACGTGAATTACAGTGTAAGTTGGGATTGTTTAAGTGCGTTTTCAATGTAGTGTTGTGAATGATTAGAAAGAACGTAGTACTGGATAATAGACTCGTATAGATAGAAGGGGGGAAAGTATCAATCTGTAAGGAAGGAAAATGCGAAAGGAATGAAATTATACGACTTAAGGTAGCAGTTTTTTCTATTTAAATAACTGAAGATAAGGAGAAAAGAAATAACTTTTTTTCTGGGCTTGTAAATTATAGGAGAAAGCCTTCGATCTCTAAACGAGGTGCAAACGCTCATCATCAATAGACCGTAGACATCGATTGAAACAAGCACTATTGAAGTGAGTGTCGAACAAGACAAATTAACTATAGACGAATTAGGTTAGAATCAAAACAATTTGTAAGTCCTTTGTGTGCTGAAAATAGGAGCACCGGCACTAAAGGTATAATTTTTTAAGGTTTTGAAAGGTCGAGTTTTCGTGTTGCTTCAAGCAAATAAACAAGCAGAAAGTTAAAAGCGATAATTTCCCACCAAATAAGCAATGTCAGCGTTCATTTGGTTCATTTGGTTCATTTGGTTCCTTTTACCACGTTTTTCATAACATTCAACACTATGTCTATCAGAAAGTTTGCAAAATTAGCTCCTCAAACAACAGCTTTGTTTGTCTGCGATATCCAGGAACGTTTTAAAGGCCTCATATGGCAGTACCCTTCAGTCATCTCAGTTGCTGGTAAAATGGTAAAGAAAAGGCAATGCTGCGCATAATAGATTTGAATGCCAAACATCTTATGAACTCAATCTGATCTTTCAAAAGATTAAGGCAAGCGCGATCTTGAATATGCCAGTGGTTGTCACTGAACAATACCCCAAAGGTAAAATTTGAGAAGACTTTCTGTGATATTTGCACTATGTAACTCACAGACACATGAAAACAGCATTTGGCCCTACTGTATCTGAATTGGATATTTCGGATGCAGCCGTGCGTCTTGAAAAGACTAAGTTCAGTATGTATTTGCCTGAGGTTGTTGAGGTTTTAAAGAAACAGAAAACCAAATCTGTCCTATTACTCGGTATTGAGGTGAGTGCGCTAACGAACACTTGCATTGCTGTTTATAACAGATTACTCATCGATAACTGTAGTCTCATGTGTGTGTACTTCAAACTGCACTTGAACTTCTTGAAAATGATTACGATGTTCATGTTATTGCCGACGGTGTTTCGTCCCAAAATTATCCTGAAATTGACATTGCCATTGCAGTAAGTCCTTATTTTGTTAACAAAAGACTTGGGTGAATCTATTGAATACACAATTGAGCATTAATTTAAAACTAGCGTATGAAAGCAGCCGGCGCTATCATTACCACTTCAGAATCAGCACTCTTCCAATTATGTGAAGACGCTAAACATGAGAAATTCAAGCAGATTAGTGGTTTGGTAAAAGAGTATATGGAATCTAGCAAAGTAAACAAGCTTTTACAACGAGCAGCAGGTGCTAGCTTATAAATCAAAAAGAGAAATTTAACTGTTCCCAGCAAATGGATGATGTACCACTACATTAGTTGTAAGAATTTTATTGTGTTACTGCTCAGTCTACCATATCAATAAATAAATGCTGACACATGTACCGAGATAAGTTTATGATTCAAAGCTCTTTTCCCAAAAGCCTTGGCTTGCGTTCAAATTGGTTGAGCACGTTGTTCTCTTTCTCAAAGAACGGAACGCTGCTTTAAATCCGGGGTACAACTGCTGAAAGTTCATTCTCCACCAGGTTCGGTTGTATTCCATGTGTCTATCATAAGCTTCGTTTAAAAAGTTCTTGTAAAAGATTGACATAGCCTCTGCTGTAATCTCCTCCCCATTTGCTCTCACTTATTTTAGAAATGAGACATAAGTATACAATATCTGTATCTGAACAAATATTATCCTTTTTTATAAGCTTACATTGGTCTTCATAATCAGCTTTAGCTTGTGCAAACAGAGTATTGTTATTATGCCAAAATTCTTCATTGTAAGCATCCAATTTTTGGCACGATTCTCTCCATTGTTTATCCTAACGTCAACAATCGCTTTAACATTCCAATAAGTAAGATTCTATAGCTTCATTGTAGTCTTACTTCTTGTGTCTCATTTGGTGGTATATAGTATTTTACGGGTCTAAGATTGGATATCGGATCAGGTGTACCGATCATATCTGCTGCAACTGGTGCTGACAGCTCGTCGGACCACTTTTTCTTTGAAGTTTTGTCTAATTTTGAATCATAGATGTTATCAGCATTTGTATCTTTTTGTATAAATGTTTCAAAATAAAGTTTCTACATTTCGTGGTGGACGATGTAAATGTTCGTGTGCATTCGTGTGTTGAGATTCGTTTTATAGATCGCTAATTTACGCCAGGGGTAAAGTTTAACTTAGCGTTGGAGTATTTTTTTTCTTGTCACAATAATTTACGTACGTTGAGAATCATTGCATACACCGCCATTGATACTGAAAATTAATATAAGAAGTTAGGTAGGTAGCTACGGAAGGAGTGATTAAAAAGGTACAATAGCTTTTTTAAATTCGAAACAATTGAAATACACAGCTGCATTATTTTGTGGAGGGCAGGGCTACTGAGCCAATAACAAAGTAGTTTCTGAGTTCCAAGGAACGGCAAAGGGCAAAACATCAACCCTAAACAACGCTCTCAATAGAATACTTTCCGAATGTCTACGTTTAAATCGATACAATTCGTCTAAGTGACTTTATTCCTAAAGAAAAGATAGTATGTACAGCGATAGAAAAAAAATAAGAAAAAACTATTGAATGGTAAATTATAAAAAGAATATGTCAAAGAAGCATGCTAATTAAAGAAAATGATAATAAATAAAGTTATGGTAATGGAGGAGTCGGCCAAGGAGGTATAATGCTTTAGTAGGAAAGAAGCGTATAGAAGAACTGAATTTACATAGAGAATTTAGGCAGCAACAATATTTTGTTGAAATTGTTGAGCCTCTTTCTTTTTCTTGGCAGCCATGAACGCAGCACGCATCTTGAAATAGTCTTTGTGTAGGCCGCATTCAGTCTTCTGCTTACCAACCCAGCGGCCTGAACGTTCATCGTCGCCATTTACAGGAGCCTTGGTCGAATGCCAGTCGCCAATTGAACGATAACCTTGATCAACCAAGGCATTGTAGGGAACCTCGTTGGCACGAATGTATGACCAGACTTGTTGGAAATCCCAGTAGGCCAAAGGATTTAACTTGATTAAACCAGTATCATCGACTTCTAAGATGGGTATAGCTTCACGAGCACCTTTTTGACTGCGACGACGACCAGTAATGACGGATCTTACGTTTAACTCTTCATAAGCACGGCGTGCTGGTTCAACCTTGACAAGATAATCATAAGAATCCTCATCAGTCTCCCACAATTTATGGCCATATTCAGCTTCAAATGCATCGACAGTGTCTGTATTGAAAGGTTTATAGACTTTGAGTGGAACATTATAGGTTGATACGCAACGCTGTGCTAAGTCTAATGTTTCCTTGAAATGGTAAAGCGTGTCTAAGAATATCAAAGGAACAAGATGGGGCTGGGCTCGGTCAAGACTGATTTTGTTGATCATGTCAAGAGTAACTAAACCGGTCAAGCCGAAAGCAGTGGTTTGGTACAAGTTTGGAAGACAATTAATAGCCCATTCGAGTATATCTTTTGGTTCAAGAGTCGCTAAGTATTCGTTGAGATGCTTCAATGTCTCGGGAGTTAGATCAGTGCTGCTTTCAATCTTAATGTTTTTGGTACTGGCAGGCATATTCTTTCTTTGTTCCGATTATTCAAGTAATGATTGATGAGGAAAGGCTATAATATGTAGGCGTCCAAGGTAGTTTTTATAGCTTGACTCAAAGTACTATGAAAGTATTCTTGGACAAATTTGGAAGGCGAAGTACGTTAACAGATTATTCTTTAGCCAATAATATCCATTTCGAATGGCGAAATAAAGCGAATACTCTCGTCAACTATTCAACCTCATTCTTATTACAGATCTGAGTCGCAAACGTTGATGGTGGTGTGAAACAGCATATAAAAGCCCTCACTCGATTAATAATACTGTCAATGATACAGAACGTTTACCTACAATTTGATGAATAATGTTAGAATCTGCGGATGTACATGCATAACTATCTGCTTACACGATTGAGGAATATGGACAGCTCTAGCTTCCAAACCAGTCATTCTCGCTCTACATGCCAACCCTCAATAATTGATCAGCTTTTATTCATAATCGTGTCATGAGCTCTACTTGGTCGTGAGTATATAGAGCTTTAGATTATCAAAAGATGATAACTGATATATCAGGTAAATGTGACTTGTCCTACCCACTTTTTACCACTTGAAGGATCATATAAACGTCGATACTAACACGCTACACTCTGCCTCAATCTTGAGCTTCATCAGTTATCGCTATTAATAATCAATGAGAAAAGCAATACATCATACTTAATTGATGCATAATAATAGAGTTCAGCTTCGACTCAACTTTCAAATCCGAATTGATTTTTATTTTCAAAAGGAAGGCTTCCTATCTCATTTTAACATTTGCTGCAATAACAACGCAAAGAAAGACAGTATGCTAGTAGTTAACTCTATCTCCTTAGTAGAAAGCAGCATCATAGCTATGAAATTACCTGTCGAAGCATTGTGATGCTGTCCTTAAAGTTTGACATACTTCGGTCATTATTTTTACATTAAAAATATCGTCAAAGAAAGATATGGCCATACAATTATTTTAAAATAACATTGTAAATACAGCCATAATAACAATAACAATAGCAAAAGAAGGAAGCTTAACCCACCGCTTTAGCAGAAACAGGTTAATAATCGCACATACTTTTAGCGAGCTCGCATTCTATATTCTAAAAATGAACACTACCGAAATGTCTTAAAGTATAAGCTATCACAGCAATTTGAATTTCTTTTTTCGTGAACGTGCGATGAAAAGTTTCAACAGACCTCAAGTAAAAACTATTTCATAATATTTAGAAGGGCCCGAAAAATTACAAATGTTTTTGCAATATTTTTCTTCACAGAACAAGCAGGAAACAGTCAAGCGTAGCCGTATATATTAGATTCTATGCTAAACTTAACCTTCAGCTTTCCAAAACATTTACTGCCATTTTTTCGATCGAAGAAAGCTTATGCGTAAATAATGAATCTGTAATGATTGGAACGCTTATTCCGTGCTTAATTTATTGTAGACTTCAAATTGTTATAGTCGAGTGCTCTATGCACAAAATCAATCAGTGCGGGTATATGGGTAACGATAAATGTCGTATTAGATATCTTGTAATTCGCTGGTTCTAGCCGTATATCATGTAAATAGTCCAAGAATATATATAGCATTCCTAGATCACTAAAATGCTGTATATTGGTCTTATTGCAAAGCAAAGGATATACACACATATATGTATAGAAATATTCTTACCTTTGAGTGGCCTGTTGATTATCTGTACAATTGAAAACTTCTTTAACCTAAGGAAAATAAAAATGGTTTAATACTCGGTGTCAAGGGTCGCATGTCAAGCAAGGACTATTCTGTATATTTACAAACGCGATTTTTTCATCGAGCGAGTTTGAATTCATCGTAAGTAAGATACATAGCACAAAACAAGCAGCAACTATACCATTGTTATTGAATAACTTTCGCCACAATAGAGGCAGATACCTCAGCAATCCGTCAGTACCTAATTGTTTCAAATGAGACTGCTGTAATTCAGACATTAAAAATATACAAAGCATTATCACCTTGACATGATTGTATCCAGCTTCTAACTTCCGCTAAAGACTGTGCCTCCCTATAATCCATACTAGGATATATTAACCAATTGACATACCGAAGCACATTTTCCAACTGATGAATAGCAGGAATTAGTAGGGTGCAATCGTCATCTAAATGATTTTGACTTCCAAAGATAGAAATACCTTTGTAGACCACGGACTAGAAGTTTCGCACCACTGCACAAGTTCTTTAATATTATGCCACGTAAAACATGGGGAAGACATGGCCAAGCACCATGCTATCTGCCGTTTGGTTGCTATATCTGCATTATGTCCAGCATAAACAAAATCAACTATTTTGCATTGTATATTGTGCTGAAGGATTTCCATATCACCGCATTTGAAGCTTATAATACGCTGAAACACTTCGGGTAGTTTCTCGACGAAGTAAAGAGCTATACATTGCATCATCCGTAAAATTCTCCAGTCGTTAAATAATAATGCATATGCTGCAACTTTTTGTATGAAAAGATTGACTAGACGTGTTGAAGTGCGTATTGAGTGTATTAACCTCTGCTCTTTGATATACTTGTACAGTGTTTTGATTGATGTATAGCTATCCTGCTGCTGCTGTAGGAATTCTTCTATAAATTGAAGCATTTCAGTTTCAAAGAAGAGATTATGGCATGCAAATAGTCTACGACCGTAAGTTAAAAGAGATCAAAGCTATTGTCCATGAACTTCGTCCTTTGATTACATACTTCATCCTTAAATCATAATCTGTCTTATAAAACCATTCGCGATATATGTTGCTGTCCACGCCGTTCAATAACTTTAAAAAGTGCTCCATAAACTGCATGGGAATTACTGCTCTTGGCACATCAAAATGTATCTCGTCTGCTTCTGTATCAAAATTCTTTAGCGCTAATCCAAGCAGCTTTTCGATCAACGCGAAAGCATGTTTCTCACTGAGTAGCCCAACGCACATCTCAAGTAACCTGTTGATCGTGCTATCCTAAGAGTTATACAATACAAACGTTATTCACGAGGCCGGATCATATCTTACTTTCTTTACTGGTGACTGTATGCTTTACGTTCAGATCATTCTGTTTCTGCTCAATAGCCATTGATATGTTCTTTATTAGCGTCGGACAATCACTTCGCTTTTTAGTGGCTTCTTCAAAACTAGTGAAGCGCCGTAAACGAACAATCGGCCATACAATTGTTCTAGTGAAAAGCTGTAAGATCAATCATTTGTTTTGAAATTAACTCGCTTGTTCGTGTGTGTACTCACTTGTCAAGGTTTGGATTGTAAGTTGAGGGATCTAAATCAAGTTTGCTATATTCCAGTATGCAATCGATGATAAGCCGTCCCAATAAAGTATTACAGGCTATGAATCGATGAGTCTTCCCAAAAGAAAAATGAAAAAGCTGTTAACTGCATTATTCTCTTAAACACACAGGCGCGAATTGGTTGAAAGTTACTGCAGCTAAAGTCAATAACGAGGCCTCGTCTGGATACTGTTCTGCGTTCTCTTTTGGTGTTTTGGTCGTTCGTAATTTCTATTGTCAATGACACACAAGCTATTTTAGTCGAGTTGCTTGATTCGAGCTTTGTCTTTGTGCGATTTGCATAATTACATTCAGTAAATCTCGAAAATACTCTTCTAGTCGACCAGCATTCTGTGTCGTGTGCACTAACTGTTCATGGTCGTTTTCGCCTTTGAATGTCAAAATCTGCTGAATATGCTCTCTTCGGAGAGCCATAATCGAAGAAAGGAGAGAAAGAAATTCAAACTGTTGAAGCACCTCTCCTTCTCGTTTCATTAGATACCTGTCTTTTTTCTAACGGAGAAGCGGGGCATGAGTTCAGTCACGCGAGATCAAAACATTTGTCGTGAATAAACGCTATGTAATGTTCATTTGCCTCCGTGAAACTGGTACACTATGGTATTACACAAGCCTCTGATTGACGTTGTATTTGTAACGTGGATATGTCAATTGAAGTAGATCCATTGACCCTCTTTGTTGTAACTATCGCGAAACTCTAAGTATCATTTTCTGCATGTAACAATGTGTCCATTCCACAAGGAAAAAAAAAAGTCGCACTATAAATGACAGCCCAAAGCACTAGTTTAAAAACGTAAAAAGTACACATTTATTGAATACAAATTAAAAGGATATAAAATAGCAATAAGTTGAATTAAATTAATGAAAGAGATATATAAATACTATAAAGAGGGGACGCTAAAGCTTCGAGTGAATAACATGAGACGAAGGATAAGCATAAGAATCAAGGGCTGTATATATGATTAGGAAAGGAAAATGCATGGAATATTAGCAACCATCAGGGCATTAAAATGGAACTGCAAATTCAGTCATATATAGATATATAAACAGACGATATAAGGAAGAGTATATTAATAACAGATACAGGGTGAAAAAGAAATCAAGTAAGTACTGTCAGGTTTTTATGAATGAGATTCGTTTACTTATGTCGCTGCGGGAGTTGTTGTATTACTACCGTTGGTATAGGTAGGTTGAGGATGAGGATTTGCCACGGACGAAGAGAAATAAGATGGAGCATGATGTGGTACGGGGGATTGCTGCTCATAAACTACAGGTGAGGGATGATTGTCTGTTGGTGTGTTGTTCATGCGGTTGTTAGGATTCCAATTGTGCAGTGGCTGTTGCTGGTATGTATAGGCTAGTTTTCGATCATTATGTATTCCGTTATTCCCATGATGGTGAGCAAAAGCGCCGTTCTTATAGAGATCAGGCGAGGATGTTTCCGAAGAGGAGGCTTCGGATGACATGTTGGGCATCAAGTATGGGTGACTCTGAGGGTGAGGGGCTACTGGATGATGAGAATGCTGCTGAGGATGAACTGCTGGTGTAGGTGGAAGTCCATTTGTGGGGGTCGGAGGCATCATACCATGTTGTATGGGTGTGGCTGGCATAGTGTTGAAATGGGGATAAGCTGGATATGGCTGGTAGGTATATGGAGAACTGTAGTCTGCAGGGCCCATCATGCCTGGAGGCGTGATAGGCGTTCGAGGAAAAGCACCATTGAATCGATCGTCATGTGGAGGAGGTGGAGGAGGAGCTGTGAAGCTATTTTCGTAACGAACGTGGTTATCAGAGTAGTGGCCAGGACTTCGACCACGGACAACAAGAGGAGCAGATTGGCAGGAAGCAACTTTGACGCGTTGGTTGCCTTCAATTTCTGCATAAAGATCGACTATACAAACATAATATTGCTGTGCAGCTCTTCTTTTACCATTATTTGCAGTAGCAGTCTTGAATTGTATTCTCTCGAATGTAACAATGGTTTGACTGGCGCCAACTGAGCTCATACTCAAATTTCCACCCGGAACGACTAATTTTGGCATTGGTGTGGTCTGCGGGCCCTTATCTCTTTTGGGTGTATGTTGAACTAGTTCAATTTTCTTGTCACTGTTGGAAACACGTGCTGAAATATTCATCGAAAAATGATGCACTGGATAAAATATATTATCCACTTGAACCAGACAGTGGGGTTCTTGTTCGACATAGTATTGATTGAGGCCATGAATAGAGAAAGCCCCACTCACTTGGAAGTAATTTCGGCGATAACAGGTCCAATCATTATCAGCCAAGAAAAAACCTCGATCCATTTTAGCCTGAATGCGAACGTTCAGCCTAAATAGAACAACTAGTGATGAGCGACAAAGTAACGTTAACGAGATGTCAAAAAAAAAAGATACGTACAACGTAGATCTGTCCGAAGCATATAGATTGTCTGCAGGTTTAGTGGAGCTGAAGAACGGGCCAAGTTCATTTGAAAAGAGATCACTTCTACCTCTTTTACTACGGATGATTGCAGGAGCAGTGTATGGTGTACCGTGGAAGTAGCTTGTAGGCTCTTTATTAGAGGTAGGAGATGTCTGATTTGGAAGTGGTGTTCCAGGTTGCGACTGAGCCATCATACTATAAAATGCAAAGATTAACGAATGCTTTAAAAAAAAAGCTTGAACAGTGCTTATATAAAAATATACCTTGGTAATTGAGAAGTAGTATTTGGTTTTCCAGAAGGTAAAAAATTGCTTGTGGGTGGAAGCTGATGACTGTACGATTTGAAAGAAAAGTTATTAGCAATTATTCTTTTCTTATTTGAGACATATCTTTACTGATATTGCAAAGAAAAGCAAGTTGAGTTTTGACAGGCAACAAATCAAAGAGCGTTTACTTACATAGGTGAATGCATCTGAGGTGTTTGATGAAACTGCTGGTTAAACTGGTGAGCCATAGGAGGAATGGGGGGATAATGCTGAATTTGAGGAGACCGAGAAACTGAACTTTCGGGCATACAATGAGCTTGTAGGGTGTTCGACGACATATGCCAATCTTTGGTATCGTGAGCAGGATTCATAGGAAGCAAAATAACTTAAAACTTTAGAGTGGGCCTTATACTATTATGTTCAGTATTTTATTGGATAGACAGAAACTCTTAGTATAAGAGAGAGCGAGAGAGCAAAAAGAAGAATAAGAACCCACAAGCTCGTCCAGATCTTGATTAGTACTTTTTATATAGAAGGAAAAGAGATTGCGGAAAGTAAATTGAAAGGCAATAAAGTTGAGGGGCAGAATTAGAGAGTTGAATGAAGAGCGGGTATTTTTTGCAAGGTTTGCTTATAGACCTAAAATAAGTTTCTCTCTAACCGATTTAAGTTTGTCGTTATAGCAGCCGTATTTTGAGGAAGCTATAAGTGGATATTCAAGTATGAAGGAGTGGTAACCAGTATCTGATCCTTAAAACGAGTCCAAATCATGCTAATGACAACTTGTATTATGCTTAGTATACACGAACCTGATCTGCATAATGGAACAACAGTGATACTTGTATTATCAAATTTTGACTTTTTTTTTTTTTATATTTTACTACAACTCAATCGAAAGTAAGAAGTGTTGGAGGACGTGCATTGATGTAAAGGAACAAATAAGATGTGTACATTAATACTAGAATAGGATTTGTCACACTTAAAGCTGTATTCTGATAAGTCACTAACGATGTGGTACGCAGAACTTTCTTTTTGGTCGGGCGTATAGCTTAACGTACTTGGTATATATAAGCTTGCTGATAGACTACTACTGCATGTTCCTTTTGTAAATGAATCATTGCTACGTTGCTGAATTGATGCTGATACTATAATCTATCGTAATAGAAGGGCCATGCTGGCACAGATCAAGTAGTATATGGGGGGTGGGTCTTAAATACTTTTTTTTTTCATCCAAAAATATCCAAAATCGATTTGATAACATAAGGCTTTTTCCCAGTAGTCACGAAGTCCTTAATTTCCTTCTTGAACCATCCGAAGTTGAAGATGTGTACTACGTCAAGTAAGCCAAAGAGAAAAGAGATTGGTTAGTGGCTTTATGGATCACGTTCAATAGCAATGCCCTGCTATAAAAAGGAATAACCACCTAAACTGGACAATTATATATCAGCTTATTTTGTCATCTATTGGACACACTTAATTAACAAACAAGAATTAGTTTATCGGTACTGACCGCACACAACGCCATTCAACCTCATTATCCGAAGGTCGCTATAAATAGATCCTTTGATACTTGATCATAGACAGCTCAATGAACGTAAACTGTTAACTCATAGTGGGGCTCAACGAAAGCGGAGAACTTTTCGTACTGACAAAAGAGAAGGCAAAAAAGAAAAAAAAAAGCTTATTTGCGCGGTCATTCAGTCATTTGCTTCCGAACAGTAGAGAATGAACGCCGACTATTTTTATATAGTAACAATGATACGGTGGTAGGGAGGCTTTATCTTATCCCACACAGATATACATTTACCTCGTTCCTCTTCTCCTCGAGCGATCACCATAGCAGCCACAAGAATTCGATGCAAAATCACGTTTCTAATAGACTGATGTAGCGTGATCACGTGGCTATAGCACAGCTTTCTTACAGTAATACCTATTTCGTCATTCACATTGAGAAGATTACTATAGTGTCGAACAATAAATCAAGGCTACCTTTGATTGAAAACCCTTTCTGATTCTACATTCCAGGAAGCAGCACTCTTTATTAGTTGATTCTATTTTTAGCAAGCGGAAATGTTCCTTTATATTTGATTCGACATCGTAAAGAGCTTATTAAGCTGTTGTTGAACACTGCATTTCTTGTGGATTTTCAATGTAATATTTTCTTAGGCCCTGGGTCCCTTCCTCTCCGCTTCAAATTATCTTTTTCTGATCTGCAGGCACCAAAGGTTTTTCTTTTTAGACTCTAATAATAGAAATAACCAATCGTTGGTGCGTGCCTTATTTATTGTCGATGATCGGGGGAAAATGAGAGTGTTTTGGCAATTTTAAATATTTACAGTGAGGCAAAAGAAAGTTTATCCTATATTCTAGAATAGATAAAGAAATAAAAATAACGTCCAGAAGGAAGACTATTTACAATAATAGAGAAATGAATGGTAAGAAACATATAATGAATGAATAATACAAGGGACGGTTAAAATTAAAGCTTGAACGGGGTAACAAATTTGGTATCTTTATTCTTGGCTTTAGTCATCTTGACTTCGACACGGTTACCTTCACCGTCTACTGTGATAAGAAATTTGTTTCCTGATTTGATACCATGACCATAGGGTCCTGGAGAGACTCCGCGGCGATGAAGATATGGTTGTTGTTGATGATACGGTGTAGATTGCGATTCTCTCAAAATATCTTCTGAGCTTTGTTGTTTACTGACACGTCTGACATTTCCTGCAGCTGCTGTTCCTCCTCCTCCCCCTCGAATAGCAATGACACCACGCTTATCATGTTGAGCGTTATCGCTTCTATAACGGGCGCCCGTCGTTGTATTCAAATAACCATCGCGAACAGCACCGGAAGGTAAAGGAGGTAGTGAGGCTCTTTTATGATTTGTCGACGAGATAAATTGCCCACCTTCCAATAAAGCATGATCTCTTAAGAATTGTGACAGTTCCACCCAACCTCCGCCCACACGCACCATCACCATACGGCTTCTTAGAATGCGACAGTAAGCTAATTTTGGATTGACATCACCAAACCAATATTTACCTACTTCTCCCGGAACCATTTTCACTTGTATTTTATAAGGTGAATCATTGATGATATCTCCCAAGGCGACGTCTAGATCATTCTTAGGATCAGATACATACGTTTCGGATACTGTCGAGGCAGCCTTTTTCGTAGCCGCGTTAGGGGCTGTTGTGGTGGTGGCTACTTTATCGCGATGTTTTTGTGCGGCAAGTTGACGAGCGGCTACTCTTCGCGTTGTCTGATCTTGCTTTGTTGATATGGTCGTTGTACTCTGTGAAGGGAGTGCTGCCATGGCTGACATTCGTTTTCTAGCATCAGCACGAGCAGCAGTAGCGGAAAGTGCAAAAGGAACAGGTGTTGTTGTTGTTGCTGTTCCTGTTTGTGTGCGTCGACGAGTATAACCTGTCATGCCTCTTGGTACGGTGGATTGTATCACTTTCGGCCGAGGAGGTTCTTTTAACGGTAAGGGTGTTCCGTTGCCTTTGTTGTTCATCAGTAATTTAGAAGCCCTGTCTTGCAGTATACTATGATTACCGCCAGCAGTAGCAGTTGTAGTAGCAGATGTTCTTCCACTTGTGCTCGTGACTGATCTCGACTCCAAAGGAGAGGCTGGTTTTCTACCAATTGAACCCATCCTATTGTTTGCATTGATTAATGCAAAGAGCTGCGCTTTTTTGCTCATGGCGTCTTTTTTCAAAAGAGACCATTTATCTGAAAGTTGTTGAACACATGCTTTGACGCGCTCGTCCTTTATTAAATCGTGCTTCTGCATGACGCCATTGGCTTCAGTGAATAAATCATCTATTTTAGGTTCATAGTACCGGTACCGTGTGTCGAAATCAATCAACAGTGCTTGAATATCGACGGGACGGTAAAAGTAGTCACTCTCAAAACGCGCTTCAAACAGTTGCGAAACGGCATTGCTGCTACGTTTTTGTTCTTGCTGCTGTTGAAGATGCTGAGGAGTGGCTCGTACAATGACTTCTGCTAATGCTGATAGCAACACCTCAATCTCTTCTATGACTGTAAAAAATCCGCTCATCTTCTCGGCTGCTGCTATACCATGCTGTTTGGCCTCTACAGTTTGAGAAACAGCATTCAACATGGTCGATAGAGCTTCCTTCTGCTGATGAAAGGTCGTGGCTGCTGAAAATTTTTCGTCTAATTCTTGAATAGCTGGATGCAGTTGCATTTGAATGATTTGATGTATCATACCTAGCTTTAGCTTTGCTGAATTCAAACGGTGCTCGGTTGACATCCAGATGGAAGGGTACTTTAAGACAGCAGTGACAATGTCATTGTCTGCTTCTGCTGCTGCTGCTGCTGATTGTATTTGAGAGGAGCTGGTATATTTAATCAGGTGTGTCGTACTGACTTGATGTTGTAGTTCGCTTATTTGATGTTGAATCATTTTTGCTTTTTTATTGAAATCAAAAGATCGCTTTGATAGCTCAACAGCCTGGCATGCTTGTGAATGTTGTGCTTTCAAATGGACCCACTGATATTTTGTAGCTGCTTGTCGTTCATCGACGTCCGCGCGGATTTTGGCAAGATCTATTCCTAGAGGACTATTCTCAACCGTCATGGTTTCATCAAAAATGCGCAAAGGCATCTCCTCGAAAGCTTGTACTGTTGGCTTGAGTTCATTTATCTTTTGCTCAATGTTGCTTAACTCTGAAAGTAAGTCCTGTTCTTCATACACAGCAACATCGGTAGGTAGTTGCTCGATGGCTTCCAAGCACGAAGCCATCCATTGCTGAAGATCGTGAGCTGCCTTTGTATGGATATACATTTTGCGAATCAAGGCGGCTTGCTTCTTTTGCGTATCAGTACAACTGACGAGCTGAGCGTATGTTTCGAGTAAAAGGTGCAAGGATTTCGTCAGGCAATCTTTAGCGGAAAATGAGCTGAGGGCGATGTTGTCTGCTTTGCTGGTGATGGCGTTAAGGTTGTCTTTCCACTGTTTGACTTCTTGTTCCGCTTGATCGTTTGCTGTTTGTATATCATCGGCGACAGTCTTCAACTCTTCCAAAGACAAGTTTGCAAAATGAGGGTTCACGTTCTTGAGCCGCTGTGTGATGTCATGTGTCTTTTCTTTTAGCTGTTGGCATAGGTTGTCAATGTCTACCAAAACGTCCGTCAGCATACGTGCTTGATTTGTATCTGATTGAAGGATAAGCAGCCGTTGATTGGCACTTTGCACTTGCTTCATTAATTCTGAACATCGATCACGAGCACAAGCATAGTTTGCAATCTGCAATGGATCGGATTTCGTTTGATCTTGATGAACAGCCAACACAATTTCTTGTTCGATCGCTTCTAAAAGTACGGTAGCCTTCTGAATTCTGCCTTCTAATGTTGCGGTTTGAGGTTGTAGCGGTGTGTTATTGCTGTTGTGTCCTACACGTTCTTCCGTTAGATGCTGAAGATCATCATTCAAGTCTTTTAGATACTCAAGCTCAATACTGCTCAGTCTACGTTGACGCTCAAACCATGCTTCCACTGATGCTGTGAAGAGTTGAAAGTTCTTTATAGCGTTACTTATTTCTGTCCATTGTTTGCTCAGATCCATTTGAATGGCACTTGTATCCTCTGGTGCATCCGACGACGACACGGTTGTTTTGTTGGAAGTGTGGACAGGTGTACCGCAGAGGATGTTATAGAGCATGGTTTGCGTTTGGTGTTGGTCTTGTAAACCTCTGAGTGAGGTCTGTAAGTTGTTCAATCTGCTGCGGTCATGCTCTTCTGACTCGCCGGTCATCAAACCATGCAACTGCTTGCATGCAGGGATAGCCAGTCTGGTTTTTTGTAGATAGGTTATCAGAGACTGTACTTGCTCCCTGAAATGATGGCCATCATGTAGGATCTGGCGCCATTGGTCCAGGGCTGTTTGCTGTTCTTCTAATAATTTCTGTAGACGGTCAAATCTTTCTTCCAATTGACGCGAGATGTGTCGAAGACGATGATGATCAATCATACTATTTTCAGCGGTCAACGTTGGATTCAGTTGCAGAGATAATTTTTGCAAGCTGGCCGCTTCTTCCAAGATTTGATGGATACACGTCAGTAATTCCACCACTTCATCTTCCTTGCCCCCTGCTCCTGCTTCTCCATGAGCACCGTTGCTAAGCAATTGAGCCAGTATTTGACTGCGGTCTTGTTCCAGTTTGTGTATGTTTTCTGCAGTCCAAACGACGCCTTCGATGTCCTGATGGGATTGCGGTCGATGCTGTTGCTGATATGTTTTCATTTCTTGCATACTTTTCAAAACAATGTCTATCTGTTCCTCTGCCCATTGACATAGGTGGTTTGCGTTCTGTAAGTAATGCTGCGTACGTGCTTGTAATTGCAACATGTGTTGATACGTCTGCAGAAGCTTGTCTACTTCTTCGCTGAGGGTGATCAACTGGTTTTTATTTTGTGTGACAACGTGATGTACTTTTTCATTCGCTCTCTTGGCTTCTTCTTTGTCTTTTTTGACCCACTCTTCTTGCGCAGATGCGGAAGAACCCCATTTTTTGCCGCTGAGGTGAGTGTGGATGGGTACAGGATAGGGTACTTTGGCAGCGGATACGGTCACAATGTGCAATATTCTTTCATGAATATCTTGCACACGTGATGAAAGCAACATGACCGTTTGATGCTGAGAATGTTTTTGATGCGGTTGTGGATGCGAGTCATCCTGAGGATGAGGATGAGGATGAGGATACATGGCGTCAAAAAGATCCTTTTGCAACGCTTTGGCATCTTTTTTGAGATCCTCTGTCTGATGACAAAAGTCCAGCATCATGAGACGCTGTTCTACGACTTGCCTTGCATAGGACAAGCGTTTCATCAAGTTTTCAAAGAATTGTTCACAGCCTTCTTGTCGTGTTTCCAAGTGAGTGGGCAAGTCAATATTGGCCATCGTGTCTAATTCTTGATACAGGTTGACTGTCTTTGTAAATTGACCTTGATCGAACTCGGCTACTTTATGTTCCAACGACAAAAGGTGTTGAATCACCATGGCCTTTTGTTGATGATTTTGCTGTTGATCCGTTTCATGGACGGAAGCGAGGGAAGAAGAAGACGAAGGAGAAAGGTCTAATTGCCAACGTGCTTCTGTAGTTAGAAATTCATTGACGGATCGATCCGTTTCTTCTAACCATTGCATTGTCTTGTGCCATTCTTTTTCCCAAGCTACACGTTGAGTCAACACGCGTAACGTATGGCTTCGTTGACCCAAAACGTGAAGCAATTGATCCAAGGTCATGAGCGTCGTCAGCGTAATCTCAATCGTTGTGGTATCAGCGGGAGTCAAGTCTTTTTTTCTACCCTCCTCGGTACCACCCGCTGTGGTGGTGGTGGTGGTGGTGGTGGTGGTAAGGGATTTGACATGAGAACGTAAACGTGCCATGTCTTGATTGTCAAATTGCTCGATTTCTTTCTCTAACAGACCATGAGATTCATTCAGTAAGAGCAAGTTGTATTGAAGAGCCGACAATCGATGATCGTCATGATCCTCGTTTTCGTCATCCTTTTGGATTATTTTTTCTGCAAGCGGATCATCAGGGAGTAAAGTGGTATAAGCTGTACCATTCAGCTGTTCGAGACGTTTCTCGATCCATTGTCGGATACGCTCAGCTTCTGTGAACCAAATACGAACTTCTTCCACCCACGAGCAAACCAAGATGTTTTTGTTCTCGATCAATTCCAACTGAGAATGATAGGAAGAGAATGTAGAGGTAGGAGTTGTTCTCAGTTCTTTGTTTTTATCGATACTCTCTTGTCTTGTGCTGGTGATGGCATTGGGTGCTTCTATTGACTGCTCTGTTGCAGCAGCGAAAGATAGCGGTGGGATGGCTAACAAATCGTGATAATCTGATTTCAAAGCTTTGATGGTCAGGGTTGTATTCTCTATTTTTGCTTCCAACTCTTGGATGTCTTGGTAGGTTGTGATGGATTTCACCATTTTCTGCTGTACAAGATCGAGTTCTTGTCTGATTGACTGACATAATTGAGAGAAAGAGAAGGCACGTTTAAAGTGAGCTAATACGATTTCAGATCGTTGAAAGGCTTGTGCTAGCTGTGCTTGTAGATCAATGAGCTGGTTTTTTCGCCAAAGTAGTTTCGGATGTTCGCTCAAATGAGGGAGCGAGGTACTCGCTATCAGTTGTTTGGGTAAATAAATATGTAATAATTCGTGAAGGTCATGATCACAAAGTAATTGAAATTCAGATTGTAATTGTTTAAAACTCTTTTCATAAGGGATGTTTTTCTCTTCTGTCGTGAGCGAGGGTAATGAGGAAGACGATGTGTTTGTTAGCAAAGGCGGTACGAGCAATAGGTGTGGTTGTGGTTGTGGTTGTTGTTGTTGCTGGAGCTGGAGCTGGTGGAGCTGCTGCTGTGGGTCATCTAGCAATGCATTCTCATCCATGCTACAGCGCGTACTTGATGCACCACTCATGGAAGTGACAGCAGTGGCTCCACTCGTAGCGCTATAGTGAGAAAAAAAGTCTGTCTGGTTTGTATCAAAAGACACAATAGTTGCAGATGATGGTGAGTAGCAAGCGGAGTCGGTGGTCGAGGTGGCAGTAGTAGTAGTAGTAGTAGTAGTAGTAGTAGTAGTAGTAGTAGTGGGTATAATGAATGACAATTGATATTGTAATTGGTTCATTTTTTCTATTAATTGAGATGCTCTCGTCTCAAATTCTTCGAGATCATGTGGCACTTCGGTACCATCACTGTATCTGTACACAGTGGTTTTTGTGAGCTTTACTTGCTGACTTGTAAAAGTAGCTGTCGTCGTTGTTGTCGTCGTCGTAGTTTCTGTGATGCCACTGTGCTTATTGGTTTCGTCTTCAGCTATCCCTAGATTAGAAACAAGTCTAAATAAAGCATGATAACTTGAATTGTTATTGGTTATCTGGTTTACCTGTTTGTTGTTGTTGTTGTTGTTCATCTTCTTGATCATCCTCGTTGTGGCGTAAATGTAACGTTGAGTTGACTTTGAAACGCTCTAAATCCTGATGTCGTTTCATATGAATTTCGTTTGAAAAAGGATAGGGCAGATGGGTGATCAAGTCCAACAGGAGTTGAAGTTGTATGTCTTTTTCCTCCTCCTCTGCTTCTTCACTTGGTAGCGGTGATAGTAAGGATATATTGTAGGTTTCTTGCAGTAAGTCAAGGACAGTCTCTTTCGTATCCTCTAGACAAAGAAAGTCGGCCACGAGATGGGGCTGATGATAATGTAAAATGCATAAAATGTGCTTCCATGAGAATAAGAGAGAACGAGACGATGAGAGCGACACAACTGAGGCTGTGATATAATCTGATAATATAAAGGAAGTCCATGAAGTCAAGATGGAATGAATATCCTTCCTGCTGTGGAGTGTAAAGGATGAATAAGGATAATAATGATGTACCTAATGACAATGAGATGACAATAAATTATTTAGTTTAGGCTGTGCAATTTGAATTGTCTAAACACGTTGTTTTTTTACATAGTGAGTAAATGATAATGTCTGGTCTCTGAGTACAGTATAAAGAATATGGTAAATATAATATTGCTCTTGTACATAGTGTATCAGGTCTACGTCATTATTATAATTGCCGCTACTGCTGTTGTGGTTTGCAAATATCTCTGGTATACTCGTATGGATAGCATCGAATATCTGTGGAATATCTTTTGCGGTTGTTGTTGTTGTTATGGATATATGAAATAAACTGCTTAAAAATAAGACAAATGTATCCATCTGTGTCGTCAACTCTGTTAATGTTGTCAACTTATCATAATGCGGAAAATGCAATTTACACCAATGAAATAGTATAAGAGACTTTTTTATATTACAATGGCTGTTCATCGTTTTTTGTTGTGTATCAAACTCTTTTTGCTTTTTGTTGTTTCTTTAATGTTACGCTTTTCACATGAATTCTCTATTTTGTTGTCAATGCATGTAGTTTATTAAGAGGGAAAGAAAAAATGATAGATAATCTCTTAAAGTAAAGAAAATAAAAAAAAAATAATATATGAATTTAATGAAAAAAAAAAAAAAGAAACGAATAAACTTTTTTTCTCTCAAAAAAATGTATCAGAAAAAAAAAAAGGGGTAAAAAAAGGGGGAAAATGAGGGGAACAAAAAAAAAAGGCAAAAAAGGGAAATGAAAGTCAGAATACATTTGTATTTGTGCTGCATATGAGGTTTATCAAAGGGGGGGGGAGACTGAATGCGTTGTTTTTTCTTTTTAATAAAACCCCGAGCGAGCGAACAATAGATGTGTGTCCTGTTTTGTTTATGTTTGAAATCAGGTCACATGACTGTATCCTTCGTGGTGGAACGCTATTTTATTTGTTTCTTCTATAGAGTTGATATTAGGTTGTGAATGAAATAGGTATGTGTGCTGTGTAGCAGAAAGAGAAAAAGTATTGTTATTTACACGCGAGTACGAGTGTCTCTAGGTATAAACTGGAGAGATTTGCTTACGGGTCAGTGAAACGAAAGCAGGATAATAAACATAGATGCTTTTTACTACTTACTCTGGAAATGGCTGTTTGAGTCAAGAGGGGACCAATAATAGGTAATCTCTTCAAGAAGCCAAAAATGACAGGGAAAAAGTCACTAGAGGAGAAAAGAGGGAAAAGAGTCAGCCTATGTCCATTTCACGGCGCGCGCACGCGTCTATGTGTATAATATCTATTGTATATGCATTATGCAGGGAAATTCCTAATTTTTTACCCAAACAGGTTTAAAATGCCAAAGATTTCTATGCAAAATCCAATCAAAGGATATTTGACCAACACTAATGCTATGCCTCCCAAAAAGCAAATAGTTCCTCTTAATTTCTCTTTTCGACTGAAAAAGACAAATGTATTTTTTGCTCCAATAATAGCCGTGATGCCACTCAAGAACATGATCTACATGTTGAAAAATAAAATCTGCATCAACATTAGCTTGTCACAGAAAAAACATATGGATGCTCTCGTTTTCTTTTTCTTTTTTTTTACGTTGCCAATGGCCATCAAGCCTCCATCAAAAAACATCAGGACTCCCATCAACATGAAAAAGAGACCAAAAGCTGTTAACCCAACTCCAATTTCTAAAAGAAAGGAAATATGGGTTTATTTTTCCTTTTGAACAGAGAAACGCTTGCATCTTGTTTCTTTTTTTTTTTTTTTTTTACTTTGTCCGTCGCTTAACCACATTGTGCACTAGAAAGCTCGTTTTGTTTCAGTGTATAGCCAGATGTGCTAAATAGTTGTTTTGTTGATCGGTTATAGTTGCAGCTGCTGAGGTTAGATGAGCACAACCAACAAGAAAATTAAAAAATTAAATAAAGAAAAAAGAGGAAAGCGGGAAGGCAAAAATCCAAAGACTTTTCTTTTGACGTAAATTCCAAACATTTTCGCTTTTTTATAAACCCAGATCTTTACTGCCTTTTTGCTCAGAAAGAAATGAGATCATAATTTGATCTTATTTTTTATCTTTGCTGATTCTTTCTTCTTTTCTAATGCGCTTCTTTACAACGATTTATACTTGTTTTATTCTATCATGGTGGATGCAGCAAATGCAACGTTAACTGCTTATTCTTATGTAGCTATTGTTATCTTTGTATTGACAATAGCACTGGTGATCCGACCCGTCAAGATTCGAGTCCATCCTCACATCAAAATCTATCTTACAATTGCTACGGTGCCTCCTCTCAGTGTGTTGATCTTGCTTATTATACGTGCTATCGATTTCGATGTGGTCGGTCGAGGATTTTTAGGAACGATGGGTGTACAACCATGGGCCATTTTAATTCTATTCTATTCGCTGGTAAAAAAAAAAAAGGGAAAAAAACTGTGATCTATAAGTCAACAGAAAAATTTGGATCTACGACCTAGCTGACCTCTACTTATTTGGTAGGCGTATATCTGTATATCGTTGGATATGACAGGTGTTTTTCAATTCTGTGCTTTTTGGGTATCGAAAAAAGCGGGCAATCGAGGCATGCTGGCCTTTACTTTATTTTTTATCCTCACGAGTGTCATGAGTGGATTGACAAGCAATGATGTGGTCATCTTGACAGGCACCGTTTTTTTATCCTATTTTACCAAAGTCTCGGATATTATACCCACCGCCTTTTTGATGAGTGAATTTACTACGGCCAATATAGGTAACGAGAGGGATACTACATTATGGATAAAGGAAAAAAAAGCAAAAAAAAAACAAAAACTTACGCCTGTCTACATCTATCTATCTATCTATGTCTATAGCTTCTATGGCTCTCTATATCGGCAATCCTACCAATGTGGTTGTATCGGAAGCCTATGGCATCAGTTTCATCACTTATTCTGCATGGATGCTCCTCCCTACCGTTGTTGTCCTCCTACTTGCCTACATTATTTTACGTCTCGTCTTTCACAGTGAACACTATTTACCGCGTCATATCAATCCACCCGATGCTGATCCCAGATCTGTCTTGATCGACCCACACGGAGCCGTTTTCGGCCTCGTGTTACTCGCTTGTTGTTTATTGACCCTTGTGGGTACTTCTTTTGCTCACGTTCCCGTATGGATGGTCACTCTACCGTTTGCCTGTGTGATGTTGATTCGAGATATCCAACACGATTTAGGCCTTTCTTTTCACCGTCTCTTTCAGAGAATCCGCCACCGACGAAAACATCAAACGTATTCTCAGCAGCCCGTTCTGTTGTCGATGATGTCGAGAGGAGCAACCGTCACGTCCACAGCATCGGCACCCGCTACTACTACTACTACTACTACTACAACAACAACAGCAACAGCAGCAGCGATAGCGAGGAGGGACAAGAGAGAAGAGAAAGGAACACGCGACGCGATCACCTCCTCATCCTCGTCCTCGTCCTCGTCCTCGTCTACCGCAAGCAAACAACACGAGCAAGAGATGAAATTAGATAGGCTCAATACGAACCCTACAATAACGATGACACCTCATCTTTTGAGCGATGATCAATTGGATATGGGCACCTTGTACCTGCCATTGTCGAAAAGTAAAAGTGCAGGCAGTATGGGCATTGTCCGACGGGAAGATACCACGAGCACGATGGCTTGGAAAAGGAAAAACTCTCAAGATCCACCAGAAGAGGCAGACGAGACAGCGATCGGAACGACTCAACGACGCTCTTGGTTCAAAAGCTATTTCCATCCCTTGTATCGTGCTTGGAAATGGTACCGCCATCACTTGCCGACTCTCTACGCAGTGACCCTACGTATGCCTTGGCCTATTTTACCCTTTAGCTTGGGTATGTTTATCTTGATTGAGGCGCTTTCTGACTTGGGTTGGGTAGGCATCTTTGCTACGGCCATGGCAGTCTTTGCCAAAAACTATGCTACAGCGGTGCTAGGTACTGTCTTTGTGTCCATTTTAGCTTGTCAATTATTAAACAATCTGGTAAGCGCACACTGTTCATAGTACTATTGAGAGAAAAAAAAAAAAAAAAAAAAAAAAAAAAAAACGAAACTGACACACACACGATGGGCTGCTGCTGCTATTGAACAGCCAATGACTATTTTGTTTACCCAGATCATTCAACATCCAAACTTTACTCAGCACGTGCAATCCGATGCTACGATGCAAGGGTTTTTGTTAGGACTCATTGTAGGCAGTAATCTTGGCGCGTGCTTGACTTTGGTAGGAAGTCTTGCCGGTATTATGTAAGTCGTCGTCATGGACCCTTATCTATCGAGGTAGAACTTCAACTTACTCGCTTTGCCTTTTTATTGCTGTATTTTAGGTTTGATCATATCTTAAAAACCAAAGGCATCTACACACTGGGCTATTTCCAGTTTTTGAAATGGAATCTTGTCATTTTGCCTGTGCTGGCTCTGGGAGCGTCTGCTATCTTGATAGCAGAAATCTGGTTTATGTATTTACGTTAAGGAGTTGCTTTTATTTCTATTCTATCTATATTCTTCCATTTATACCCAACGTCGATCCCGTGAAACGATCTTTTTGGCGAAAAAAAGAAAAAAAAGCTGTTCAAAGGAATAACCTATTTCCTGCTTTGTTATCATTCAAATCGCTTTTTTTGGTTGTATCTCATTTTATGTAATAGAAAGCAAAAGAGAAACCTTATCTAATGAGAATGATAAACCCTCTTTCCAATCACTTTATCACCACAAAAACTACTTTTCGTTTGTCTCCATAATGGAGAGATATCACTGATAAGCAACAGTCGTGGATGCACCCCCTCAGTAAGTTTGTATAACAATGCTTTGTTTGTTTTAATTATGTAAGCAATCTTCCAAAATTAAACAGATTGAATTGGTAAACGGAACAATCCCAGCTTACTGGGTTTACCCCATTCACAAAATGAGAGTCTAAAAAAATTCAAATTATTTTTTTTTTCAGTCGCTGGCTCTCTCTCTCTCTCTTTTGGGGAACAGATAGAATTTTTCTTTTTCAAAACGTTATTATCACTGGCAAGAAAACCGTCTCTATGACAACAGCACGTATCATCTGTATCGTTCTTTTGTTTCCAAACAAAAAAAGAATAGATAGAACAGATAGCCAATTTTTGTAAAATTTCGTTCTAATTTGTATCATTAACTGATCTCAAAAATAATAGAGTCTAGAAGGTCTCTTTTTTTTATATCTCTGCTTATCGGATAAGAAAAAGCACGTTCCATTTATTGCTCGATACATACTCGCCTTTTTTTTTATTATTTTTTTTACGCTTTTTTGTCGGGCGTTTTAGGTGTTAAATTAGATATCAAGTAAAGCTTATATAATCTTAAACTTCACTAATGAATGAAAGACAGGGAAACAATGGAATAACAGCTTTAAGGTACTGATAACTTCGAAACAGAAGAAAAAAATAAAATGAAATAAACAAATTTAAACTAAGCCAATCTACAAACTGTATCCTGACCACCCACCCCTTCTCCTCCCCCAAGTAAGAGAGACTATGTGTGGCACGCACAATTACATAACTACCGATTATCGATAAAGAGGGCGGGCAATTTTGGGGTAAAAAAAAAAAAAAAAAAATATAAAAGCCCAATAGCGTATTTCTTACTTTTTTTTTTTTTTTTTTGAATATCGCCATCTCTCTTATTGATTTGATCCCTCTTGTCTACTACTGCACAACACCATACATCTAATTTGTAAAATGACAAGTTTTGTAACGACTGACGATACAGCATTTCTGGTTCAAAAGAATGATACAAAGTTCTTTTTGCCGTTGGAAGAGGAAGTGGAGGAGGACGAAGCAGTAACAACAGCAGCAGACGATTATTACTACTGGTCTTCATCTACTTCCACAACGTCTGATGATAATGAAGATAGCTGGTCTGTAGGCCCCAAAGAAGAAGAGGAGGAGGATGGTGAACGGGAATTGATATTTGAGAAAAAGCTGAATCATTGTCATCAACCGACTCGAGGTACTTCATTACTATCATGCTTGTTACAGCAGCAGCAAAAGCAATCATCCCCTTCACAACAAGGCATCCATTCTACTACATATACCCCATCTCCATTGTCTTCATTAAAGCGCTGTCAATCCCGATATCAACATTTAAACGAATGGTTCACCAATACATTAGCATCTTCTTAAAAAAAAAAAAAAAAAACGATATACACCTCTTATCTTATAATATACCCCTCCTCGTCTCCCCTCCCCCTATAACAATAATTATTTATTTAACGATATATACTAGGAAACCTATATATCTTTTTTTTTTTTTTAATACTGGTTTCCCTTAGTGCCATTTTTGTCTCTTTTTTTTCAATAAACGTATACATGCCTTGTAAAACAACAATACAAACCCTATCTTGAATGTGGGTTGGGGTGATCAGAAAAAAGACTCTCTATTTTTTTTATAATAGACCTATATTTTGCCCCTGCGTACGTGTCGGTGCACACACCCACACAAAAATTGGGTAGAAATGTCGAGCATTCGGGTACTACCCAGAGCTTCACATCAAATTTGAGTAACTAGGCTTTTTTAGGCAATCTGATGAAAAGCGAAAAAAAAAACGATGCAGACAAAAACAATGAAACGATGGTGAGAACCTCCCAGTGCAGAAAACGGAAAAGTTTAAGGGTCCAGCATTTTATAAGAGCTTGCTCATGTAAGCTCTCTTTTTGATCAAATGATTTTTTCTTTTTTTTTTTTTTTTTTTTTTTTTTTTTTTTTTCTTCTCCAGAAAATAAGCAAAAAAGCGTCCAACAGACAGCTCTCTGAGGCCAATTCCTTTGATAGAGACAGTCTGATCTAATAACGACCCGTCTTTTATTTAGTCTAAAGGGAGGGGAGTATTCTAATGTTATTGTCTAGTAGCGCAAAAAAACGATGCGTCCTTATCAGCACCTGCTGTCACGAGCGAGGATGGATACACACCAGATCAGGCCTGGATGTTGCGCATATACATTCGAATATGAGGTGTTCCATCTTCATCAAAAATCTCTTCTCCTTCTTCAATCACAAAACCCAACTTTTCATAAAACCCACGACGAGGATATTGAGCATGCAATACAATCGTATGATATCCATGCTTCTTGCAATAAGCAATAAACTCCTTCACAAGGGTTTGACCGATGTAAAGCCCACGCGCGGCTGCAAGCACCGCAAGTCGACCTAGTTTAGCTACACCATTAGGCTTTGGAATCAAACGAACTGTACCAACAGGCACATGCGATGCCACCATCTGGCTGTGATTTTCTTGATCAACAAGATCACAATAAGCAGCCCAATGAAATGAACCTTCATCTAATCTGTGGGGATCCAAAAAATGAACGGTAGGGAAAATGGTTATATAAAAATTCGATCGAGATATCCGTTTTTCTTTTTATTACCCATCATATTCAGTTTCTAAAGGATATTTTTGTTCGTCTACGAACACAGCTATTCTAACTTCCATAGCATCTTTTCTTTGTTCAGGTGTAGTAAGTTGTTCTATCGAGAGATTGGTATATTTTACGGATGAACCTTGTTGAGCAGCATCGTCAGCAGCAGCAACAGCAGGCAACATAGAATGGATTTTTCGTAACAGTGATCAAGGTGGAGGGCAGCAGTAAGCATTTCTTTATTTTATGTTATTTCTTGGGTTGCATGGTCTCCGCCAGAATTGCGCCAACGAAATTCAACAGCTTAATTGGCTTCTCGCCCCCCATGGGGAAGTGAGTTTTGTCATTTTTTACTGATGCATTCCCCCATCGCAGGCAGTCTGGTTCAAAAGGACAGTGTCATACCGACATAGACTCTGAGCTCTACCCTACAACGCAAGGGGATACCTCTCCTTATCCAATATAAATGCACCTTGGTCTCATCAATAAAAGCTGTATGAACTGTTACAACAGAATCATTCATTTCTTTTTTCTTTTTTTTTTTTTTGGCGTGTAACATTTGATATTTTTTTCTCCACTTTGGATAAGCTTTTTCTTTTGTTTTTTTATTTTTTTTCTCTCTTCTTTCTCTCATTCAATGATAAGTTCAGTATGATGGCCAAGAATTCCTTAGCAGCCAAGAAGCAAGAAGAAAGAAACTTAGAGTAAGCATGAACAGTTTTCTGAGTCATGGAAACAAACCCATCCACGTTCTGAATGGACTTCTATGGATATACATCCACCTTTACAAACCATCCTATAGAAAAATAAAAGATTTGTTACGATTGCCCGAGAATAAGAAATGCTTTGATTGTCCTACCAGAGTAAGTTGAAAGAGTTGGACGACTGTGTTGTTATCAAGTAGCGTTTATAAACTCATCAACATCTGCAGAGTCCTTTCTTTGTCAACCTTAGTATTCAGACCTTTATCTGCGCTCGTTGCTCAGGTTTAGTGTAAATGGTGACATTTTAACCAAGAGAGGAAATAGAACGACGAAAAAAGACTTAAAAAGTGTGGGTCTTTATTTTTCTTTTTTTTTTTTTTTTTTTGTATAGCCGCGAAGTTGGACATAGGATCAAATCCATCTCGACAAGTAAATTCTCAGATGCAGAAGTGATTGCGTTACAATGCACGGGCAATCAGGTGGCACGTACTATCTGGTTAAGTAAACTGCTCTTTCATCAGGACACTGAAGAACCTGAAACGGATGGCGATGTACGCCTTTTCATGAGGCAAAAATACTATGAACAGAAATGGTTGGACCGCGAAAAAGCAGTCTCTCATGTCAACTATATAAAAAAGGTGCTGAACGACCAGTTGGAGAATAAAAGCAGTAAGCGCACGAGTACGCTGTTGACGACACCACAAGCGACGACCGCCACCACTCCCCCTCGTGCAGACACTAGGCCTACCAAAGTGAGTATCAACACAGAGAGAACGGCACCCCTTCCTGCCCAGGCGGAACAAAACGCATCACCGCTATCACCCAACCGCTTGTTAAGTTTAATCGATTGCGACGATCATTGTATGAGCCCTACGAGTCGTCATAGCCTTCCTCCGAAGAGCAGCACCATGATCACTCGACCCAGCTTTCAGCCCACGCCATCGTGGATAGATGAGCATGTTCCCGTTGGATTAATACCCACGTTAAGGAACAACGACAGCAAGAACGAACATTTACTTCCTATCCATAGGACGAGCACCTCGTTGAATGCCATCTTTACCTCGAGCGATAACAACAAAAATAGCGGCAGCAGTTGCAGCCATGTCACTGCTGCCCCATTACCCTCATCGCCTACCGTCAGCGGCAACAACCCTATATTTAAGGATCTAGCCCAGTTGAACTCGATGGATCAAAAAACATCCTCCTCGTCCTCCGGAGGCAGTACCGGTGTTCTAAAACCGACGAGTACCTCCTACCACCACCATCGACATCATAGCAGCAACAGTCCATCTCCTACTATCTCGTCTTCCTTCTCTTCCATTACAAGCATGCCATCTACTCCGTATCAACAACAACAGCAGCAGCAGCAGCAGACATTTTATTATTGCAACCCAGCACAGCTCACTCATTCTGATCCTTATGCAGCTTTACGCACTGTCACATCATCCTCTCCGCCAAACGTAAATAAACATGCAGCGCCTGGGAAAATAGACAACGCTCACCTCTTTCGTGATCTAGATCCTTTATTTCATAAAAATGTATAGAATCTAGCAAAGTCGATTGAAATTCTAAGGAACTTGAAACATGAACAGTCATGGTTTATTTCTTGAAAATTGAACAAAAAAAAAAAAAAAAAAAAAAAAAAAAAATAATTTGTTTATTTGTTTCATGACGTGGTTAAAATATAATCCTTATGATTTTCTTCTGACTACCATTCAAAATCACCATTGGCACGGTGAAATAGATAGTCTCTGCCGTTCACCAACATGATACCATCTTTTAATATACACTTCCACTTATTTTTTGTTCTTGTGACTTTATCGTATAAACATAAAATAATATGCTCAATCTCTTCATTTCCTTCTGCATCATCATCATCTTCATCCGTATCGTCCAAATCGGAACCAAGATCATAGTCATCTTTTTCATCCGCTTTTGTCCCTCCTGCTGCTGATGGTGTGGTAGAAGCAGTCGTAGTGATAGCTATAGACGGGTTGTCGTCTGTTGCTGCCGTCGTGGATGTGTTAATTTCATCTTCATTCACTATAGGCTTGTGATCTTCTTCTTCTGTTCCTTCACCGTCTAATTGAGGAATTCTCTTTAATTCTCTCTTTTTCAGAGCCCCTGCTTTGAAAGCCCTTTCTTTTGCATCTTTCATCAATTGCTTCACATGGTCAGGTAAGCTCTCCAAAGAAAGGGACCGACCTGACGAAAATGCTGTGAATGTAATGTCTTCCTCTTGATCTGTTACTGTGCTTGATTGTATAATGTCTGCAATGTGCTTATCAATTTTTTCAGTGCTTGCAAATTCTATATCGTTTGCACCATCATTTTGTGGAATATTATTATTGTTATTATTATTATTATTCATGTTCCTTTGTAAACCTGGTAATTGTAAATTGAGTTGTTGAGAAGGATGTTGTTGTAGTGGCTGAGATAGGGGTCTTGGTGGTTGCATCATTGACTGTTGATATGGCTGTGATTGTTGCTGTTGTTGTTGTTGTGGTGGTAGAGGTGGTTGTTGTTGTTGTGTAAGAGGAAGAGGAGGAGGTAAAACGTAGGGTTGAGGCTGCGGTCTATTGAAGCCCATACCCGTAACATTATTGCTGGCATTCAAAGCCAAGTTGGCTAGACTTGCAGCTTGCGGTACATTATTCGTTGTATTCATCGTATTCGTAGTAGGGTAGTTTTGTGTATATTGAGCGTATTGCTGTGGTAATTGTGCTTGAGGCGGCTGTTGTGGATGTGCTTGCGATAGTTGTGTTTGAGGTTGCTGTTGCTGTTGCTGTTGCTGTTGGTAGTTATTATAATTGGTAGCACTGTTAACATCATTATTGTTCGCCTGGTTCAAATCGCCGTTGTCATTGGCGTCTTCGTCATAATAATTTTCATCTTTAAATCCAAAATTGGCTACGCGAGAACGAGCAACTTTTGATTCCCAAGACTAAAACAGAACAAAAAAGAAAAAAAAAAGAAAGAAAAAACCCTACTATTAGCATACATCCTAAACGTCTCATTGCTCATACGTCATTGAGCCATCAAGCATACCCGTTGAAGTTCTTGCAATACTGAATCATCAATACCCATATCTTCGAAATCACCGCGAACTTGACTAATCACATCGTCAATGACATAACGATAGACGTTGGACTACATAAAATAAGTAATAATATCAGAGAAATGCCCCTATTTTACTATTCACTATAGGGAGAAACACGCTATGTTACCACAATAGCGTTTGACATGATTGCAATCTAAAGGTGAACGTAAAGGAAAAAAGCAAAAACACAGTTATCGAGAATATGGAAACAAACGCAACGACAGGCCAAAGGAATTCAACAAATTAGAAAGAGGAATCAGTAAATGTGGCTTTATTCAAATCTCTCTTCTTGGTACCTTGATTTTCAGTTAATTCGTGTACCTGTGTAAGTAACCAAAACGAGGGAAAAGGATAGGCAGACAGTAAAAGATGGAAAGAGCAGTCAACTGAACAAAAAGAAGAAGAAAGGGAAAAAGTATAAACAATGTATTTTTTTATTTTTTTCCCTTGAGTTTCAGCAAATGAGTCGTCTATTCGTAAAAATAAAGAACAAAGAAAAATTGCGAAAGGAAAAAAAGTAGAAATCTGAAAAAAAATCTTTTTATACCACTTTTTTTTGATTGTATGACGACATTATTCCGAGCCGGACTTGTCCTCTATAGATTAAAACCTTACAAATCAAAATGCAAACCAATCAAATGCGGTAGATGTATTTGCTTTTCTGAAAACTAAAAATGCTCCCCCTCCCCACATTTGTTTGTAAATCATGATCTGCTGGTTAAACTGCAGTAATTTGATCGCGAACGACGCTTTCTGTAGTCTTTTACCATCTGTTTACTATGTTTCCTATTCACTTGTCTGCTTTTTCACCCTCCTGTTATGATCAATTGCTATGACTGCCCAAACAATCTAACAATTTTATTTTTACATGCACAGAAAAGAAAAATAGCACGTATGGTAATAGAATAAGTCAAGTACACCAACTAATCAGATCTAATCTTGAGATCAGATAAATCACATTGAGTTCCCATAGTATAACCGCGAGAACTATGACGTTCAAAAAGTCTATTGACGTAGAAGGGAAAAAAGACAAATCCATTCATTAATTCCTACCGATACCATCCTGATGTTGAACAATAACCCTTACTCTGTGTTTCTCATGCGGTAAATAGGTCTACGATCTGAGCTTTGTACGAGTAATCTGAAGGGGACAAAAAAAGTGATGTGTTTAATGCATTTCATCCTGATGGAAAGCTACCGGGGTAACTGTTTTTTGAAATATTTACTTGTACTCGGCTGCTGCCTTTGCTGCTTCTATTTTAGCATGACTATATTGATCGTTTTCTTCTGCAGTTGACATATGGTATTCAATCCATTTGGTAAAAGGGTGCTTTTCCTACAGTTGTATAGATTAACAGATCAAAAGGTTAGGTTATTCTGATACCTCACTCGTTTTCTTTTTTGCAATAAAATCATTGTATTTATGACTTACATCGCCAGAGTGAGTGATGTGTTGATCGACTCTGTACCAAATAAAACCTGCAACAACCGCAATCAAGCCATTTCTCCAGGCATTTCCGCCGAAAGCTAAACGACAAAATTGATTGACAAAAAAACAAAGAGAAGGGTTGTGTATGTAACGTAAGACGTCTGTATCTATGAAAATAGCAAAGAAACAAAACATCTACTCTCTGCAGGAAATTGCTCAGTGGCTGTTGTAGCTGCCGCTTTTGTCTCGGTAGCATATAGACGAACTGTTCGGGCACAAACTGCCTTATTTAATAAAGACGTCCTTGTGATGAGGCGAGATGACATGTCGAGAATTCAATTATTTTATCAAGGAACGAAAAAAAAATAGTAAAAATCAAAATGTGGAGAAAAAAAAAAAAAAAAAAAAAAAAGGCCATTTGAACCCCAGGTGTCTTACACTGGCCTTTGATTAACGTCATCAGTAGTAAGTCTGATAGCGGAGAAGGAATAAATAAAAAGCAAAAGTAGGTTTTTTTTTTCTTCTTTGAAATTGCCCAGTCTCACCTTTCCTTTTCCTTCCAACGCCTAACTTTTTTCGTTCTCAAAAGCCAATAATATTTATCCAAAAGCAAAATGTCTAGTGACGAACTCGATATCGATATTAAAGAACAAGATCGCTTCCTTCCAATCGCAAAGTAAGTAATGATGATGGCTACAGCAATAGTGGCGATCGAACAATAGCGTTTATTCAAAATTTTAGATTCGAGAGCTAATCATTAACCTCCTTGGCATGTAGTGTTGCACGTATAATGAAGAAGGCTTTACCAGAGAATGCAAAGATCGCTAAAGAAGCAAAAGAATGCGTGCAAGAATGCGTTTCAGAATTCATCTCTTTTATCACCAGTGAAGGTAAAATGGGCCATACATGAAACGTATGGAGGAGGCTTTTCATTAAGCTAATCAATGAACTGCATTTCACGATAGCAAGTGATCGCTGTCAGCAGGAAAAGAGAAAAACCATCAATGGCGAAGATATTTTGTGGGCTATGCAATCACTCGGCTTTGAAAATTATACTGAGGCATTAAAGATTTATCTTGCAAAATACCGTGAAGTAAGTCACTCTGGCGTCATATAATGGAAAGAAGTTGGAAACATATTGCTCATCAACCATCTTTTATCAAACTAATATCTTAGACTACAAAAATTGAAAGAACCACAACAACAGGTGGAAGTAAGGATAAAGAAGAGAACCCAACACAGCAATTAAATGCGGCAACAGCACAACAACAAGCAGCAGCATTATCAGCAGCAGCAGCAGCAGCCAATGTTCAACAACCATTATACGGCGATCAATCTCAGCAAATGACAGGCTACTTTAATCAGAATATGTAATAAAAAAAAAAAAAAAGGGAGAATACCCTTTCTAGTTTCCTTTAATCAAACTATAAACGATATCTACGAACTCTTGATTTCATTCTTATAGAAGCTATTTCGTTTACTGTTATGCAACTAAAAGCAAAATTAGTCAGTCTATCGTCAGTCTTTCTTTATTTCTGCAAATGATGGCTATTCAATCGCTTATACTTACCGGTAGAAGGTCTTTTTCATTTTTGCTCCATGAAGCTGTGCTTGCAGAAAGATCCAGGATGCTTTGTGGCTATCCAAATTCATTCGTGAGACGTTAGTACTTGAAATAGAACCTGATATTTAAAAGAAAGAAATTACCTTCTTTTTTAAGCTGGACTTGTAAACAATCATTAAAATACACAAAACGAACAAGAAATGCCAGAATGTGAAGGATTTGTCAGTGCTTGATGTGCTTTTATGATTGGTATACTGGTCCTTTTTAAAGTTGTTATCTTGGTAAAAATTGGAGTTGCCTGCCACTATAGCAGGGCGTTGCCACGGTATATGGTTCGTTTCGTGCATACTGTTACTGTTGCTATCATCTTGATCCGTTTGCCTGTTTTGTGCAAGTGAAGCATCTCCATGAACTGTCCTGGCATCTGAGTTTGCTGTATCATTTTCCCGTAGGCTATTGCTTCGCTCTTTTGATTTTTCTGTGACTCCTGGATCAGTTTCTTTATTATTATTATTCGTACTTTCTATTAGTTCCTCCTCGTTCTCATCTTCTTCATCTTCAATTTCTTCCGTTTGTATATCATTCTGTTCTTCATTTTCTTCGTCTTCAGCTGTTTTATCGTCTCTCCCGTCTTCTTGGTCATCTTCGTCTTCTGCTTGTGGAAGGTGTTCAAAAAATTCAGCTGTATCTTCATTTTGAAATTCAGGGAACTCTGGCGATAAATCGTCCTCTTCTTCATCTGTATTTATTGATTCCATATCAACGTCTTCGTCTTGTTCTTCATCTTCATTTTCAACCATGTCATCTGTGAGTTCGATTTGGTCAATAAGCTCGTCTTCTTCTCTATTTTCTTTATCTGTGTTTTCGACAATAACAATTTCGTCATCATCTTCTTCATTATCATCTATATCAGCGGCTGAAAGACTTTGTAAATGATGTAGTAATTGATCTTCTTCTTCTTCTTCATCTATTGATGTTTTGTCTATCCTTCGGAATAAGGATACGTCATTATCTTCTTTATTCAACTGTATTCGATTTTGATTTGATTCTATGGGCGAAGGTGCAAATAATCCTTCTTTATCTTGTTGAGTTGTAGCAATAGCAGCAAATGTTAGAATGGCTAACAAGGAAGTTAGAAATAAAATAGAAAGGCTCTCTGATATTGATTTCATTACTGCTGGTGATATTATCAGGGAATAATCGCAGCTACGGGATAAGGAAAGAGAGATAATTTGAAAAAGAGAAAGGAAAGAAGCTAAAGAAAAAGCCCGGAGTTATTGCACTTTCTTTGTGCGATTTGTCAAATGCCTTATTGCTTAAGAAGGTTCAACGATCCACAGCACAAGAGTTTTCACAAGCCATAGTGTTGGAATAAGTAAGAACGATCATGAAGAGCTCTTTTTGTTACAAATTATATGTCGTGTGTAACAATAAATCAAGGGACCAATAACTGGGCATTTGCATAAACGGGAAATTTGAGGCACTTGATAAAATAGCTCTTAATGAAAGAAAAAAGGTGACTCTACCAAAAATAACTTTTTTTTTTCTCGAACATTAAGTGCCAATAACCATGCATATCAATTTACGTAATACAAAATGGAAACAGAGTAGTGTAAGGAATAACAACTGCTTTGGTCCTTATGGATCTGATGATTTCAAGTGATATTTCTTATTATTAAGTGTATTGGTCTCGTTCTTCTTATGTTTGATCATGACATTATATACGATGCAGGAGCGGTAAATACCGTACAAACTACTTACTGTTTATGTTTTGATATATTGTACGTACTACATCTCTGCCTAAATGAAAGGGATGCTATTATGTTGTTTTTCCCTTTTTTCTTTTGGGTTTCCTATTCTTGGCATCCACCTCCTTTTGCCGTATCACTGTTGCGTATATACAACAGCCTACTGTTTCATTCAGTTTACAGCAAATCTTTGTTAATCACTATGAACTTGTACTATTGACATTATTTGGACTCCTTTTGGTTAAAGAATTGTATTAGCTGCTAAGCAACAGGATGATATTCTTACAATTTACGGCATACTATAAATATTCTCGTACTCAAAATAAAAACAACGCTTCTTTTCAACTTATCAAAGGTTCATCTTGTACCAAAATTGTCAGAAAATAACTTTTGGTAGTTCAATAAAGTCTTATTATGAGAAGAAGACAAGAAATCATCAGAGTTTTATAGGAATACGACTGTAGAGACAGAAGCTCAATTTATACGGTAATACGCTGAAGCAGCACGATGACTACTTTTATTGTTGTGGGGGCAGCAATTAGAGAAAGAGTAATTATTAAACAATTTAAATATGGCTCAAACGGCGGGGGGAAAGGCGTTACTTGATTTTCAACGGTGATATATGCTTCCATCAATGGCTCCAAACCAGCAATTCACCTTATCATTAACCATACTAGTTGGTGTTTTGAACAGTAAACATAATATCTACCAAAATAGGCCCAAATATTGACTCAAGAAAGACGCTCTTTTTTTTTTATCGAGAAAACACAAAACGGACAAAGGCACTATCATCTACACCAACAGTATCAGCATGCTGTTTTTACATTTGAGGACTATGAAAATACCGAGCTAAGACCATAGAGGAAACAGTAGTGAAAGTAAAAAATAAAAATAAAAGCAATATTAGCAGGAAAAAAAAAGGAAGGGTAACTATGTAAAAATGTTGAAGTATGAGACCAATAAGCTATTGTAATTATGGTTATTGACTTGAATGAACAAAATAAGTTTTACATGTGTAAATAGAAGAAGGGCTTATATAGAGCTTATGGAAAGTACGTAGCGTTTTACTAGCTTACTTGTATGGTTATTTATATAGCTGACATACAAAGGAAATCAATACTGTTTTGATATGTATAGCGTAATATCCAATTTGTGGAGAGAGCAGTATACAGCCTCCTTTCAGGGTTCGATAACAGGTGGTCGTCTTTTGTTTCAAATTGAATGCTGATAACAGCTACGAGTAATAATTGGATTGTTACCTAGCTTACACGATTAGTCAGTGTATATGACTTTTTAGTATTCTCTTTGAACCTTGAAGTAAACAAATGTTTATACAGGGCTATAATTGGTAATAGCAACAACACTTCTTATGTTGAATAATCTCAGAAACGGGGGATGAATGAATTGATTATCGCAAGGAAGAAAAATAAGCACAATTGCTGTAACGCTTCCTCAGGCAATTTGTATGCTGATATGAAAGTGTGGTCAGTTACTCAACAGAGCCATAGTCAAGTATATTGTAATAAGATCTGCTTCTAATCACTCCATTGAACCATACAAGTAGACATACCAATAATACAATAACATAGCAAGTAGAAAAAGATTTAAGGCGTTGAATACATAAGTTATGGCAAGCAGGTTCCTATTCTCCTAATTAAGGAAGCAGATTATGAGTTTACGAGAATAAGTCACTAGGAACAAGAAATACATTCATCATCTGCTTAAAACCGCGTTGGTTAATGTAAATACACTAACTGGTACCAATATCAATAAGAAATCAGAACTGCTTGGTTTAATCGTCCGAGAATTGTTGGATGTACCAGACGAACGTATTGAAGAACTACTTTTGCCGGTGAAAGTAGATATCACTGTCTACTTTTCGACTAATTGAAGAAATGTATAAATGCAAAATTATAGCTGTCCAAGTGAACAATCAGGGTAATTAGCCATAAACTCTTAATTTGATGTCATATATCCCAATAATTTCAAAAACCTGCTCATTATTTATCATCCACAAAGCTGCTCTCCAGTCGAGGTTAGTTACTGCTAAATGAGCATGTAATGCCCCGCCCGCTTCAATTTAGGAGCCATTTCCTCAAACAAAAATATTTAGTAAAGTGTTTTAATAATGGTACTACAAGTTAGAAGTGTTTTATGTATACAATTACAAATGCTAATGCTAATGCTAAATAGTTCTTAACAAGAACAAACCGTAACGATTATTCCCTATTACCGACTCTTTATTTCCGCCTTTTTACTCCTGTTTCGAGCCAGCTCATTTAGAGGCAATGGTAAGAAATTTAGTTGCAAGTACATCAATGCCGTAGTGCTCGATTTCTCTACAACTCTCCGTAGAAAGCTTACCTTTATTTCTCGCTTTCCAATAAACAGTCTTCCACAGGGATTTTAAAAGCTGACATCAGTACCATTTCGTTGCACGTGAACAAATGATCAGTTTTTATAAATACACAAAGAAATAGAATATGTCATATGCTCAGAAGGCACATAAGTAGTAGGAGAGTACGACAGTCTGAAATACAGCTTTGCTTAAGCGACAGGGATTAGCCTAAATTTTGTTTTGAAAGATCTGATAAGAAGGACATTGAATTTGCGCCATTTTTGGCAAGGAAAAAAGTTTCATTAAAATTCATCTGATAAAGAAATTAGTAAGTATTTTAGCGAATATGAAATTAGGAAAGAGCTGGAGCCAGGGTGTGGAGGAAAGCATAACAAAAAGAATTAATCTTCTTCTTCAAAAAAAAGGATGGGGGGAGGGGGAGGAATAACAACGATAGACGCATATGTTAGACAATTATTAAACCTGAGCATTATGCGACACTACATAACAGCAATTTGCGTAGAAGCACAGGTTTTTTATGTCGCCATTCTTCTTCAGAGTCTTGTATGCGACGAATCACATCCTCTTCGCATAATAGACTGCCATTTCCAACCACAAATGACTTTGCGAACGAGTATTTCCAAATAACTTGCGAATCAACACCGGCTCCTTCTAGCATATGCTGTAGTCTTGACAAACGAGTATGACATTCGTGAGTATGCGAATGACAGTAATTGATTAAACTGCGTGGCAATGTTGCGGAATACTGCTCGTCTTTGTTTCGCTTTTGTTCAGCGACAATGTATTTCAAGATAGGTTCCGAAAGTGGATTATATTTGAAACACCCTTCCTTTGCCAATAATTCATTCAGTTTTACAAAACTGTTTTCATAGATCTGTTGCTGATTACCATTCAACACCCAGTCTAATGTGACGCGTAGCCATTTGATTTGTAACTTTGGTGCTGTCAACATGGATGAGTTTGATGTCGAATAATAGCTCGTATGTGTAATTGAGGATTGCTGTAGTAAGGTTGCATGCTGCTGTTTTGGTCGTAAATACGATAAGGATAAAATCAAACCAGTATCGCCAAGATACCGTGTGGTGTCACTATTTCCAGGTTGTTTCAATGTGTTTTCCGTTGAATTCCAAGAAGGTAATTCGTAAAGCTTTTCTAAGGCTGAATTGTACTGGTAGTGGTATAAGAATACAGCTTGGTCTTGCGGTGACAGCTTTTCAAAGGGTATATTTGTCGATTGTTGATGATACAGCTTTTCGTTCTTCTTCTTGAAATGTTGCTTCAAAAGCCATTCAGAGAAATGTATCTTAATAAGCCGGTGATATACGCTGCTCAACTGATTAGATGAATTGGCCAGAGAAATTACATCCTCGTTTTCCGCAGGTCTAAACTCGATGACCTTGTTCTTCAGGTCATAACTAGTAAGATGAAGCTTTATGTACCTTTTATTATCATTACCGTCCAGCTTGATCAGAATGGACTGCTTTAGAGCCTTGATTTGCTGGCAGATATGATATTCTCCCATCACGTGGAACCTTCGACATACACCTCGAAGGATGTAAACTTCTTGATATGACATGTACGAAAATATTTTGTAGATGACCTCTGGAGCCATTGTATCCAACCGAATCTTTGCAGCAATAGTTTCTGTCGTCATTCTTATCTTCATATATGCTTGTGGAAGTATTAGTCGAAGTTGATTCTATTGAGTATATGCTTATGACTAAGGATAATATATCATTTATTTTAAATGAAGAAAGAGCACTTTTTTTTTAAAACAGAATGCAGGATTGATTGTGGGAAAGTCCGCCGTTTAAAATGGAATGCATTCAAGCAAGTGACCGATCTTAAAAAAGGAATGTTACACTTTTAGCAAGAAGTTTTTCATTATACATTTCTTAAAACTGCTTCTCCTATAACTCATAACAGCTCTTCTGTAATATAAGGCTGTCCTACATAAGCACGGCTTTATCTAGCAATATACAACTTTTATCGGTCATATAGTATTTGGGAGACATACATCCAGGAACAAGTATATTTTTGCAGCAGACGGGTATTGAAAGAATATGTATAATTAGAACAATTGCACCCTTCTCCTGAACCTAATTTGAGAATAAAAATAAAAACTTCTGCCCGTGGAACAAGGGAGCCCTACTTTAAACATTTTTCCTCCGCCTGATCGACATACAACAATAATGAGCAGTTGCTGTTATATAACTTGTGTACTTTCCATATTATGAGTCGCTTCTATCGTGCATATCAGATCAAAAAAAAAAAAAACTCTTTTGAATGAATTCATGACATGTTCATCTCCTTCAGAAAATGTTTGCACACTTAAGGCAAGATCATCGTATACTAAGGTGTACATTTCTTACAATAAAATTAGAAAATCTGATAAAAGAGAGCCGCGGGAATATTAAGGTTTTTCTCCAGCTTGATTGCAATTCCTAAGCAAACTTGCTTTAATTGACAAATTAGGCTATAACAAAGATAATCTTTTCCTCTTAATATATTCGAAGGTGAGCCATAACTCCTTCATTAACATTTAGAAATTGTAGATAAGAAGCTTGGATAACTGTACTAATATAGCCGAGTGTCTTTCTCATATTAAGCAGCAGACGAAGGGACGGGATTTGAGATCCAGCAGCAAGTCGTTTATTGTAGTTACTCGTTAACTTCCATGAAAATGTAGGTTGCTATTAAACTGCTTATTGTGCGCTCTATAAACTTTTTTTAGTAGAGCTTCATCTATTTCTATTAACTTTGAAGATTGATATGAAATTTACGTAAATATTTGATATGTACAATTATGATATATAAGGGAATCGGTTCTGTGAGATTCTCTAAATTCAGCGCATCAGGATGAAAAAAAAAGTGTCTATTTATCACAGCTACCATCAGCTGGACCCGTCAACCAGCGTTCAAACACTTTACTGCAATCAAATTGCTTCTTTCCCAGCTTTTCGTTGATTTTGTTATGCCTTTTGCAAAGCCATTCACTTAACGCGTCTCTGCTTGTCACATCAATAGGATTTTCAGCCATTTCTTTTTTGAAGTCTTTCTACAAATTGTTCAAAAGGTTCGAAATTAAGAAAGAAACCACGTTAGTAACATATTAAGCTCTTTGCTACCATAATAAACCGAATTAAAGCTATGGCATGCAAACTTTATGAAAAACTTATCTTTACCTTGCAGAACCAGCATGGATAATGTTCGGTAAATGTTTCGAAAAATGTCTTCATACTTTGCTGTTGTTCATTATCAGGTTTTTCAGGGTAATAAGCAGCCATTGTATGTAATAAAGTCCAAGTATGTCTGCCTAACGTTTTCACATCTGCAGGGCAATTCTGTCTCTTCCACTCATCCGTTCCTACTATCTCTGCTGCTGGTACGGTCGGTTTAGCATTTGACTTTGCTGCTGTTTGTGTCTCTGCTGCGCTATTGTTTTCTTTTGAACTGTCCTTTCGCTTGCCTAACCTTGCCCAAGTTTTGAAATCAACACAAACTCGACAAGGTTTGCCATCTTTCATTGGTATTTGTTCCCCAGTCTGAGGGTCAACATAAACTTTTTCTTCTGCCATTATTTCGTGCGATTGTCAAACTGAAATGAAAGAGAAAGCAAAATTTAAAGAAATGCTTATAAATGTATCAGATAACAACCCTAGAAAAGCGGGAATCTGCTGCGTGCGGAGGGGCGGCGGAAAATCGCCACCATTCGCTGTCAGTTTGCATTTTTCGGAGCTGATTCTTATGGAATTTTGATTCAAATAAGGGAGCGAAAAAAAAAAAGTTGTGGTTCTTTACAGTTCTTGAATAATCAGCTTTAATAATAGTTCGAAATAACTGTTAACAATGAAGAAGTCGTCTACGTTACCGAAAAAGAAAAAAATACCTTGCGAAGGTAAGCAGAAATAAACCTTGAGCTTGATATCAGTTAAATACTGAAAACGTTGTTTGACCTATTATGTTAGAATGTCGAGATCAAAAGCGCAAATGCAATGGCGAGAAACCTTGCGAAAGGTAACATTACGCTACAAGCTTTTATTTGCCAGTCAATTCAATCCCATTATATTGCTATATGATATATTTATGATTAATTTGATCATTAGATGCCATAAATTCAACTTATGCTGCGTTTATACTTCAACAAGGTCTCCCAGAGACGAAGAGTTTATTGAATTAGCACGAAAGCAAGCCCTACTTGCACAGATAGAAACCATGAACGATCAAATGAAAGAAATGGAGTCTTTGATGTGGGAAATGAAACACTCCAACAACAGCTTTAAGAGCAATAATAGTGCAACTAGCGCAACATTCGCTAACAGTTTACCCTCCCTGACAGATGATAGTGACAAGAGTGTGTCTAGTCAGGAAGATGATAACTCAGCTATTTGCAATGCTTCGGTTGATACTTATTCATACTCTTACCCCAATAAACGCACGAAGCTTCTTTGTTCGTCCGACAAGAATGATATATCAGCTTACGTTACTAGCAATACAGAAGTTACAGCCATCAAAACCCCATATAAACCATTAAACTCACCAATTTTCACAACAGCCTCATTGGATGCATCTATATCGCAGCAACAGCAACAGCGAGAGCAACAACAACAGCAGAAGCAGCAAGATAAGCCTTGGTTATTGACGTTCAAACGAGGCAATTTATGTATTGAGACCAATGTAAAAACACATTCTGAATTATTAGACAATTTACGTCGAATGATGCAGACGACCCATCTTTCCACTGAAATTCCGCCTATGCTAGCTTTTTCTGTCAAGCACAACACTCTGATTGGTGTACTTAACGACCTTGTACGTAAAAGGTACGGCAAAACCCATTGCAAAAACGTCGCCCGGTCCGTACAAATCTTTGTTATACCTGATATCTCCAATGTCGATACATTGACGGTTTCCCGCGCTCCTGACAGTATTCAAGTAACTGCTCTGAAACTCATACGTGCTTATTTACGATGCCAACATTTACAGCAACTTGCCATTCACGCCCGTACTTTCATTCGACTATTTATGGATAGTGGTTCAACCATCGATCAATCCCCAGCTGCCATGGCTCTATGTGCTGCTATTTGCACTATGCGCTGCAAACATATTGCTGAATGCTTACCTTCTATATCCTTGGTTGAATATGGCAAATTTTATTTTGAAAGGGCGAGGGATCTGTTATCAGATCGTTTCGACCAATTTGATTTGGAGACTCTTACATGTTACACATTCATGACAATTTATAAAATGACAATGTTACACACAGAGGAGGCATCATTATATGCTGATATGGCGGAGCGCATCGCTTGCATTTTGGACCCATTCTATTCCAACATTTTAACACAGAAACAACAAAAAAAGCTGCAATACCATCCAGACACTCCTGAAGGCAAAAACTTCTCTTTAAAGATCGGTGAAGCAGTTCATTTTATTCGTACCCGCAATCATCTACACCGCATACAAACCTATGATCAAATCTCACATGCTACAGATCCCAACAAGAACATCAATTTTATTGAACAAGATTTACCTTATTGTACCTTAATTCACATGAGTGAAGGCCGGTGGGAGATTGCTGATGACGATTCTATTCAAGAAAAATGGTTTGCGCAGATGCACAAGTATATACTACAATTACAACGAGCAGAGCACGCTGCCAGTCGAACTGCTCAATCCTATGATTTACATCACTTAATTGGTCTAGTTAGCCACCAAGTGGAAATGGCTATGCGACATTGGTATTACAAAGTTCTTCCTCCAGAATTTAAATTGTCCCTGCCATTGTTCGACTCAACAGTGAGCTGTCAAGAATTCTTTACAACTTTGGAGAGGGAGACTGCTCATAGTGCAATACCAGTGTTAACAACATTGACGTTATACGAGGAATGGCTTGTATTGGCACAAAGCTACCTACCTAAGCAAACTCCTTTACCTGAAAATGACTGGCGACTGTTAACTGAAGTATGGCCTTCGGGTTCCTCAGTAGTAAACATTACTAATCGAAAATGGAAACGCCGAGTACAGAAATTGATTGATTTGCGAAAGATCATTGATTTCGAAGGAACTGATCAAGAATACCTAGATACCATTAATAGACTGCTTTGCCCAAGGGAAGAGAAAATCAATAGTACAGTGATACTTTATGCTATTCATGCTGCACTTAATACAGTACGTTTAATCAAATACCTACGGTCCAGATCAGGTGATTGCTATTTTGACATTCGTACCCTGATCAGCGCTTGGCAGATGTTACTGACGGTTTCCAAACTACAACAAATGATGCCTTCGGAAGTACTAGAATTTATTCCGCGTATCCATAAGAATTTAAATGTTTGCATGGCAATTGTTAAAGAAGAGCTGCAATTCCAGCCCTATCAAGGTAAAGTAGGTGATTATGTCGCTGAAATGGAAAGAGAATTGAAGAGTCAAGTGGTCAATAATGATGCATGTGATTGTATTGCCTGTCCTGGCTTGTAAACCGCATTTGTTCATTATGTATTATTTATTATTTTATATACCTGCATTGTAAATTACTTTCGCTATATTTCTTCAAATCTGTCTGTAACTTTTGTATCTTTACTTGTTTTACACTATCCATTTCAAACCCATCGATACTATTCAACTTCTTATTTTGTATATAGTAATATATAGACTACATATATTAGATGTTATAGTGTAATTTGCATTAGATAAACAAAGTATTTATCAATGTGATTTTTAAGTGTCGGGCCACCATCTGTGCGTTTGGATTGTGAAATTGGCTCACGATGACCACAAATATACGAATGAAGGTATAAAGTGAACTGATTAACGAGACCAATTGCAAGACGAATTCAAAAGATACAGCTTTTCTGAAACCGGCACGTATCCTTAATTCTAGACAGTTTACTAATAATATAATGTAAAGCAGTCATTGAAAGAAAAGAAACATCCGAAGATTCACATGCTTTATAAAGTAGCATATATGAGCTTCATATTCAAAAGCCAACGTTATGAGTATAATTCTGTTATCGACAAAAAAGAGGTTCTGTGAAGGAGATTATTACAGCCCTATCACAGCATCAAATTCAACAATTATCCTGTTGTTCAGCAGATTCATGGTCCATCAATAGGTAACACGCGTTTTCAAATGAAGTAGATGCGAATAAGCTATTCCTCAAAATATACATGGTCAAATACTATAAATGCTTCCTTTCCTGTTTTCTTTTTCTTGTATAAAAACGCTTTTCATATCTTTCGTGTAAAATGTTAAAGCCGGAAGCATGCTGCACTACGTACCAAGGTTTATTCAGTTCTGGCTCTTTTACAATTGTACAGAAACCGAAGTGGACAGATCGTCAACAATCTGAACATTTTAATAAAAGAAGTAAGAAGCACTAACTTTTCAGCCCTTTCGTCAGCCAGAGTATCCAACTCTTAGCACAGACAATATTATAAAGATGATTGAACAGGTACGGCATACAATGTCAAAGTTCTTAAGTTTTTGTGGCTACTACATCTGGTTAGCAACAGTGATGAAATCCGTAGTATCAGCAGCAAATATAATAGTAACAGCGCCAATATTATAAATTGCATCAAAACAAGTATTTGAAATTTACGTTGCAATAATCTGAAAAGTTTAGTTTCATTTTTGAGCGAAACAGATGTAGATAGAGAAGAATCATAAAATATAGTTCCGTCAGAGGGACAGCAGTAGTTTCTAAAAACTACTATATTTCGTATCTCACACCCACTACGTTGCCTATACTGCGTCCATAGATTATTTATGAAATGTATGACATAATGACGTAAAAAGTAAGAATAAATACTAGTAATATTAGTTAAAGGGTAGTTTTTAGTTCTGCTTGGCTCGAGGCACTTTGCAGGAATTAACAGTTGTTGCAAACCGTAATGAAAACAAAGTTTCTTTAAGGTGGCGTTTTTCTTGAGATATATTGACAAACATGAGAGTTTTACAGTTGCCTCCTGTTATTAACAAAACGGAATTTGGATCAGGATAAGGGCATTGCTTTTCATTATTCATGCATTTCATAAAATATACATAGTTTCTTACCAAATGAATCCTTCAAAAGATATGTTAATTTTGAATCACGGTACGGAACATGGGATGACTTCTTTGCTAGGGCTTGAATGACGTTTCCAAGATAACTGAGACTCTTGTTGATGTTAGAAGCCTCACGAAATCTTTCTCCTTCAGAACCTGATTTGCTGACAGATTCAGAACCAGCCAAATCAACCAAGTTCAATACACCTAGTCTTGTCTCTTTCGTTTCCGTATTCTCACCAGTGATACGTAAAGTAAAAACGCAATGGCTACGCGAAGACGCATGATTCAGTTTAGTCGCGGCAGTGGAGCGATTTTTCATGGCCTTCGTCAACATAGTTTGCACTTGTTCGGGCGAGTGCAGATCGACCGATGTCAATTTGGAAACGGCAATCTTTTCGTTACTATCTAGCATAATGTCGTGTTTGATCTTGCCATATTCAGAAGGCTCGCCTAATAAATCATGGATTGTTTCATTATATATTTCTAGGAATTCTCCAGTAATTGTGTAATCCCAATTGAACTTTTTCATCTTCTTGGCAACGTCATATATTTGATGTACAGCTCTTGGGATCATACCGGCATCCCTGTGTAAGATATTATTGCTATTATTTTGAGAAGTTGAGGAAGCAGCGTTGAACCTTGGTGGCCCTTGCATAGTATATGTTTTACCACTGCCTGTTTGACCATAAGCAAAAATGGACACATTATAGCCATCCAAGGCGGATTGAACAAGCTGTGATATCTCTTCAAAACAATCCTCTTGTGATTCTTCAGGCTGAAATACACGATCGTAAGTAAATATATGCTTTTTTGTCTGTCCAAATTTTGTAATTTCGTCAAATTCGAGTCCTTCGTTATCATCACCGAAGAATTTAAATGCAATGTAATTCTCATTTTCATCAGCCGCTGACGTATTAGCTACCTTTTTTCCTTCAGCGATTGTCGATTTGCCATTAATACTATCAGTTACAGTATTTAATCGTGGTTTAACACGGCAAAAAACGCGAATATTTCCTTTTAACTCTTGGACTCTATCATGAGCCTTTCTTCTGCTCTCTTCATTTGTAAGTAAAGTGCCTTCCGCTCGATCAACATTATTATCTATCTGTTGCAATTTTCTGGAGATAGTGAGAAGGGAATCTTCTGCTTTGGAGATGGCAGATTTTTGCTGATCAATTCTCTGTTTCTTTTGGGCTAAATACTCATCTGCGTTTGCATACGATTTTTCGTATTCTCTCTTTTTAGCTAATAAAGCTGTATATTCTTTCGTTTCCTCTTCATATATTTGAAGTGCTTCGCTGATAACTGCTTTCTTCTCTTCAACAACCAACTCGTATTGATTGTATGCATCTTTTGTAGCTTTATAACGATGTAGTAATTCATTGTTTTCTCGCTGAAATTTATTATGCAGTCTTCTGATGCCGTCCTTGTACGCTTCACTTTTAGTCTACTCTCCATCATAAGGGATCAGTTAAGTATATTTTTTAAAATTTGAGCTTCTTTTTAAAAAGAAAAAACAACTATTTTACCTTCATTTCTTGCTGTAGTTGTTCAATTTTTGCACGTGCCTCATTGAGATGGTTATTCTTAAGAAACAGTTCTTGTTCAATGTCGTTTTTCATTTCCTGGTAATGAGTGACCTCAGCGTGCACCATATTCAGATTCTTCTGATGATGGTTTAGGTCTTGTGCCACATTGCTGGTTTCGTTGAAAGTGTTTTTCTTCAACGACGCACTTGTTACTTCTTGCAAAGGTTTGCTTAGCTCTTCGAACCTGGATATATTTGATGGTGGCTTGGTAAGTAGCGGCATCTTCAAGGAGGATAAGTTATTTGTCATTGCTTTCTTGGGCAGTAACCGTTTTCCGGGTGCTGCTTTTTTAATAACTGTAGACAATGACTTTCTATTTTTCGAAATATCGAAGTTGTTAGACAATGTGCTACTGGACCTAATGGGAATTTTCGAGTCTGAAGGTAAACGACTGGAGTTCGACTTGCTCTTCTGGGATAACACACTTTTAGGAATTTGATTTGTCATGGCTACCGTTGATGTACTGTTTTCAGGTGTTCGTATTGATTGAATTTGCTCTATTCAAACAGGCGAAAGCGGCTTATAAAGTGGTTGTAGATAATCGTAGGTTTATTTGTTGTAATACAGAAGCAAGAATAATTGATTTTATGAAATATTGAATCCGTCGTCCGTTATACTTGGAACGTATAAGGGCGTTAACTTAAGCTGTATTGGAAAACTGAGCTAATGACAAGAAAGGTCGAAATGTTTGACGAATGTGATCGAAGTCGTATCTATACATGTAGATAAGTGTTAAATTGGGAATAATAAAATATACAAATTATTCCTTTCGTTACGTACATTACGGAGAGACTTATCGGAAGTGTGCTACAGGTTTTCGCTTTGATGAGCGAAGGACATGGAACAAAAACAAAAAATAAGAATTAAAAGGGAAATTCAGCATTTATGGACAATCCTTAGAACGCGTTTGAAAATTAAGGTACCTGTAGTGCAAAATTCAGCAGCCAGCAATTGAAATTCCGCATCTCTTTGGTGGCTGAGCTTTCTTCCGTCTTTGGTGAATCATCACTAGAAATTCAAACTTGTCCGAGCGATAATTCCATCAAACACCAGTTTGATATTCACTTTTCCTTTTTACCAACACTAGTTAGTTGAATATGCCCACAACCGAGGAATTGCAGACTTTCGTACTATCGACACTTGACAAGTGTAACACTATTGAGGACTCCAAAGATCTCAAATACGACAATGAACCCGTAGAACAACTTGCTCTCCTCGGTGCTTTGAACAGTTTAAAGTCAAAGGAGGTAATAGAATTCAACGCTTTGCACCTAGCATTTAAATAGCACAACGCTGAATGGTCGTCTTTGAACACTGTAGATGATCGATTTCACTCCTTTAGACCGTATTTTCTGGGTTTTGACAGAAGAAGGTCAGCAATTAGCTAAGGATGGCAGCCATGAAGCTCGTGTCTTCGAAGCCATTCCTGCTGGTGAAGAAGGCCTTCCTATTGCTGAACTTCAGGTAACGTTATGCTTTTTTCTGTCAACTGTGTTATATAAGATGACTTGTAAACTCAGTAGTTGTTGTGTAGGCTAAAGTTGGTGCTTCAGCTAAACCTGGTCAAGGTAAAGCCTTCAAAAATAAGTGGATATCCAAGAAGGGCGCCAATTTGGTTCGTCTGGTCGATTTCATTGTTGACGAGACTCAGAATGATTTGATTGAAATTGGTAAAACTGGTACTCACAGCAATGCCAAACTTTTGGCGGAACTGAAGAAGAGAACTTTGATTGACAAGCAGTAAGTGAACAGTTTAGCTTCATTATATCTGAACTATTAAACTTTACTAATTGAACGCACATTAGAAAATCAACTTCATATAAAATCCAAAAAGGCCCTGAATTTGCTTTGGAAGTTAAGAAAGAAGCCACTGATATCACCTTTGAGATGCTTCAATCGTGAGTATCATAAACAGCAATTTATTGAATATGTGGTTATAATTGATGAAGGAAGGAGGAGGGAATAAGTTCTCACTAAAACATTACAAATTTATAGTGGTGAGTGGAAAAATGCTTCTTTCAAGAAATATAATTTTGACGCTGCTGGCGTTCCTCCTGCTGGTGGTCATCTTCATCCTTTGATGAAAGTACGTCAAGAATTCCGTGAAATTTTCTTTGAAATGGGTTTCCAGGAAATGCCTACCAATTGTTTTGCTGAATCTAGTTTCTGGAATTTTGATGCTCTTTTCCAACCTCAACAACATCCTGCCAGAGATGCACACGATACTTTCTTTTTGAAGGGTTAGTATTACCAAATGCAATAGTGTGTAAGTAAAGGAAAATTGATGACTGATGGCTCCCATTCTTATAGACCCTGCTACATCTGATCGTTATCCTCGTGATTTGATGGAGAAGATCAAGAAGACACACGAAAATGGTGGTGATACCGGTTCTATCGGTTATAATTACACATGGAAAGAGGAAGAAGCACAAAAACTTATTTTACGTACTCACACCACAGCTGTCAGTTCCTACATGCTGTATAAACTTTCAGAAGAAACCAAGAAACTAGGCGAATTCCATCCTGCTAAATATTTCTCTATTGATCGTGTTTTCCGTAACGAATCTGTAGATGCTACCCATCTGGCCGAATTTCATCAAATCGAAGGTGTTATTGCTGACAAGAATTTGACTTTGGGTGATCTGATTGGCTTTATGGATGTCTTCTTTAAGAAGATGGGCATGGACAAGATCCGTTTCAAGCCTACATACAATCCTTATACCGAACCTTCTATGGAAATTTTCTCTTACCATGAAGGATTGAAAACATGGGTTGAAATTGGTAATTCAGGTATGTTCCGTCCTGAAATGTTGTTGCCTCTTGGTTTACCTCCTGATGTACGTGTTATCGCTTGGGGTCTTGGTCTTGAGCGTCCCACTATGGTGAAATATGGTATTTCAAATATTCGCGATTTGCTGGGTCATAAAGTAAACATCAGTATGATCAAGGATTACCCTATCTGCCGTTTGGATAAGAAAATGGGTAAGGAGTTAATCGGTTTGAGTGAAGAGCAAGAGACTGCATAAAGTAGAAGACGTTCAGCCTTGTATATTTTTATTTGCCCTGTAATAAAGTAAGAAAGCATTTTTAGATAAAGTTGTAAGCGCTATCGCGATACGTGTAAATATGTCCATTTGCTTGTTTGCTTTTTTGTACCTTTTTGAGTTGCATAACACTTTACTTTTATTGGACAAATATGTCAAACTGTCATTTAAAAATACGTGACGTAGAAAAGAGCAACTTGAGGGCAAGATAAGCAGCACAGTAAAATGTAACCCTGTTTGAAGAACTCAGAAAATCGAAGGCCCATCCAACTTTTTTCTACCAACTAATCTCCAAATATTCGCAACCATGGGAGTTTCACAATCAAGAAATACAGAGCCCATCATATTCTATAATCAAAACACTAGTCCACTCTACGTAATTTGAGCACAAAACGGCAATCGTATACCGATCGACTTGAAACTAAGTTTTATCCCATAGTTTCCCCAAAACCCAGCAGATTCTGTCTTGGACAACAAATCTACACAGATCAAGGTACTTAAATGTGCCTGTACATAAGTCATCAGACTATTTGACCTATCATATTACTGATCCTCAAATCAATTACACACCCCAATAGGGACAACAACAGCCTGCGGCTACAACTTCTGTCAGTTCCGATGATAACGAGAAAATCGAGAAAATCGTCCGCCAGCGTGTGATGGAAGAATTGAGACGCGAAAAAGATCAACGAGAGCAAAACCACAGTCAAAAATATGAAGAACTGGCGAAAAAGAACATTGAAAACGATTTAAATTCAGTGGCTATAGCTGAAGATATTGAAAATATGATTGAAAAATTGAAGAGGTAAATAAAAAGGAACCGTTGATTTGATGGGCTAGATGCGGGGTAAGAAGAGCTCAATTGCTGAATTCTGAAAATACGAAATCAGATCTGTTCCTGCTGATATACCTACAAAAGTTGCTCAGAGCCAGGAAGCTCTCATTGTTTGTTACAAGTAAGTTGATTTACAACGAGCAAATTCAAAAACATAATTGGATCACAGAAATTAAACAAAGTACTCTCTTTATAGAAATAATCAAACACGTCCCTTAGATTGCTGGGCAGAGGTTGAAGCATTCAAAGAGGCTGTAGCTGAAGAGCAAAAGAAGTTTGTAGCTTCACATAAATGATGACACACAGGAAGAACACCTAACTAGTAGAATATCAATTGATGTCATCATCTAAACGATAAACGCACTTTTTATCTTTTACATTCCCGTCAATAAATAAGGCGCATAAAAGAGAAAGGGAAGCAATGTGATTAGACCGGAATTTGCTTATCTGAAGTGGGCGACGCTATTATCGTCAGTAATTTAACCTTACCAGCTATTTACAATCAACATTGTACATAAACGAAATGTGTATTTTTTTTTTATTACTAAAAGGGAGAGAGTTCAATGAATATCAAGCTCATGCCAAATGATGCAATATAACAATATTAAGCGGTACATCTCATAAGAACAATAGCGGTTCATCATCAAAGGCAGACTATAGTATGTTCTTGATGACTAAAAACCTCAGAAGGACCCATTTTCACGACGTAGACTTATATAGTGGGTCAAAAAGAACCAACAAGCTCCAAAAACTGATCTATTTACCTTTTTTTATTCACGTTCAATTACTGTCTACAGTAAAGCTCGAACCATAACCTTTAGACAAAAATTAAAAAGGTATACCCATACAGTTTCTCAAAAGAATAATTCTTGTCTAAAAATGTATAATCAAACCAGTTTTATAAATTACAAGTGATATTAAGTTAATTGATAAAGAAAAAATTTGAAGGCACATAATGAGGAGAAGAATAGAGGAAGTTATAAAGTAACATACCACTTTCAGGTATTATTATAAATTTTTGAAATTATAAGAGGGCACTCCGGGAACAGCATTTTCAGCTGCTTTTTTATCCTCATCGGTCCATTGATCATGACCTAAAATAGTAACCGTTTGGAACCCAAGTGCACGCTTGATTTCGTCAATGGCATTATTAAGAGCATCAATTTCGTTAAATGTTAAAGCACGGTTAAAAGCTTCTGGACCTTCCTTAGTAATCAATTTCTTTTGTTCCTGAACAAAAGGCATAACCTTCTTATCCTTAAGCATTCCCTTAGAACCGAGCTCTTGACGAATCTTGACATCATCGAAAACACCGTTGTTGTAGTTGGTCTTCATAATTTCTAAGCAAGTTTCTTGCCACTCAGGGAATTTAGTAGCAACGTAAATCTTAAGTGCCTTGGGTTGCTTGGGATCGTAAATAATCTCATTGGCCTTTGGCTTTTTCTTCTTCTTCAACATAGCCAGTTCAGTATCACGAATTGATTTGATAGTCTTACGGATGTAACGAGTAGCAGCATAAAGAGCATCATCAACAGGAGCAGACACCTTAGGGAAAGAAGCGTTAATAGCCAAACCATCCTTCTTAAGGAGTTGGCCATATACATATTCCGACCAATGAGGAGTGATAGGACAGATCAACAAAGCTTGAAGTTCAATATAACGCATAACAAGATCCTTGTGCATACCAGTATCAACACAAGCTAATTGGTAGGCATCCTTAGCAGCTTGGAATTCGAAACAGCCGTGTTTCAAGACCTCACGATAAAAAGTAGCTTCATAAGCTGCTTCAGTGAGACTAAGAAGCTTGTTCATTTCGTTATCAAAAATCTTATCGAAATAATTGAACTCGCCAGTACGAAGATTACCGGACTGAGCAAGCTGCTCTTCAATCCATTCCAAGAGAGTATGAAGACGCAAAATAGCAGCATTAGCAGTGGTGTCTTCGAAGTTAGCATCTTCAACAGAATCACCAGCATCAGCGAGGGCAAAACGGGTAGCATCAGCACCGTATTTGGCAACAGCATCGCTCATAGTCATGAAATTACCAGTAGATTTGGACATCTTCTTAGAGTCGAGCATCAAGTGACCGTTGGAACGGACACCACGAGGCCACATTTCTTCAGGGAACATAGCAGTATGGTTATACATGAAGAAGGTCAAGTGGTTGGGAATCAAATCTTTACCAGAGGCACGTAAGTCTAAAGGATAGAAGTATTCGTATTCACGTCTTAAGCGATCAAGGGTGGATTGGGGAATTCCACAATCGGCGGGGTAATCACCAAGTTTGAAAATATAGTCCCAAACACTGTCCTTGAGCTGTTCAGGCTTAATACCAGCGGGGCCAGGTGTAGCACCGTTCAATGAACCTCCATGTAAAAGATTGGCAACAGTGTAGTAAGCCATATAGATAGTAGAATCCGAGAGAGATTCAACCAAGAATTGCTCATCCCAAGGCAATTTAGTGCCAAGACCAAAACTACGGGCGCAAGCCCATTGATTCAACCAATCCAGGACGGCTTCGAATTGATTTCTGGTTTCTTGAGTGAAAGTATTCATCTGAGACAAACACTTTTTAGTCTTCTTTAACCATTCTTCTTCACCATAGTCTAAGTACCATTGATCTAAAAGAGCAACAACACATTCGTCACCTGAGCGAGACATGATAAGGCTCTCAGGTTCGTTGTAAACGAAAGCTTGACCGGACTTGATCAAATCTTCTCTAACCTTAGGCTTAGCTTCTTGAACTTTCATACCCTTATAATCACCAACACACATAACACCTTGATAGAAACCTTCCTTATAGGCAATTTCTTTGGCTTCTGCAAGTTGTACACGATCCTTTTGAGAGTTGATCTTTTTCATTTCACAGAGTTTAGGAGCAATGAGGTTACCGTAATTGGGAGTATCAATAATAGGAACAGGTTCGAAACCATTCACCCATTCGGGCTCAATCTTGTAGTAATCAGGTTTCTTCTTGAGATCACTAATAGTTGCGAAGTCGTCGGGAGAGTCAGAGGGGACAGAAGTAACGACACCAGTACCCTTGGTAGCCAATACAGTTTCCATAGGAAGGACGTAGACATGAGGATATACGCTGAAGGGAGCATTGATCTTGGTACCAACGATGTTGGCACCCTTGATATCAGCCAACTTTTCAATAGTAGTACGACCATTAGCAAAGATCTTTTGCATGGACATATTGCGAGCAGCACGTTCAGTACAAACATATGCATCGGTATCATTAATGTTGTAGATACCATAATCCAAATCAGGACCGACATAACAGTTAGTCTGGCCATACATGGTTTCAGGACGGAGGGTAGCAGCAACTAAATAAACATTCTTGCCTTTTAAAGCATCGGCATAAGTAGAAAGAGCCTCCTCAGCTAACTTAGACCATTCAAGGACCTTCATCTTGATACCGGTATATTCTTGTGGACCGACAGCTTCGCCAGAAGCACGGTCGTGATCCATACAAGGTTGATTATCGAGAATTGAATAAATTGTATATCGCTCACCGAACTTAATCTTATTCATAGCCTTTAATTTTCTCATTTGCCAGCGAACAAATGAATCATAGTAAGGATTGGCGTCAGTGGTAATGAAAGAACGACGCCAATCAACCTTTGCACCGAAAGCGGTCAAATCTGAAATGGTTTGAGGTGGAAAATATTCAGTCCAATAATAAGGATCAGCAAATTTGTGAATCTCTTCTTTCGGAATGCCCAGTGAAAGCATGATTTGGAATTGATAGGTGACATTGCCGGTCTTAGCGGCTACTTTGCTCTTTACATTCTTATTAACGTCGACTTTCTTTTCAAGGTCGTTGGCTAAAGAAACCTCCTCGAATTTTTCGAAGTTTTTGCCAAACATTTTCATTTCACGGGCGATTTTATCAGCGCTAGCCTAATATCATTTGAAGTTGACAAATTATAAAGTTAGGCTAATTCTTCAATTAAATTGACAGAATAAATCAAGACTACATCTATTCTGCTCGCTCGTCATATCCTTCCCACCCCCCCCCGCTATTTATATATTATTTACTGACGTACCTTAATGGGCATACCGGTGCAATGAAAGCCTTGAGGTAACAGAGCTCTCTTTCCTTTCATACGCTGATAGCCAGTACCAAATTCAACCTTAGAGAAGGTGAAAGCATGGCCTAAGTGAAGACGACCGTTCATATAAGGAAAAGGCATACATGACATATATTTGGGATATATTTCATGAAGATCTGCAGAGTTAGCGTGCTCATCAATTGTAGGTGCATCAATTTCGAAGGCTTTGGCATCGTCCCACAGGCTACGCGCCTTGCCTTCAAGTGCACGAAGAGTATCACGCTTAGCGGTCTATAAAAGTGTGAACAGGTTTGTATACAATAGAATTGGATTATATAAATGGTTATTTATAGTATGTGTTATTCCTACCTTAGGTGCTTCAGCAGCCATGATTATATAACCTGCTACAGGAACAATTGAGGAAGAAGAGAAAAAGTGTAGAAAAATTCGTCTGTATTTTAAAAGTGTGGTTGTCTTGAAAGTCAGTGGCTTATGGTGGTGTAGGTTAAGTTCTGATTGGATGAGCACTTGACTCATCATAGCAAATGAGACCTTTCAAAAAGAGAAGAGAGCTAAGCTATGGAATGATAGCTGTAGGAATCTTTGAATGTTAAATGAATATTCAGCCTGCTTGAACTCCTAATATATACATATCACTCACTGTTGAATTAAGCACCTATTCTAATGTCAATTAAGGTGGATAAAGGCTAGATTCACTGTCGCTGGATGATATGTACCATATTCTCACGAGGTACACAATGCAGCGCGTTTAGCGGCCCATTGCATAAAATCGAAAGCTAAAGAGAGGGCTCAGCGCTTTTGTTGTTTATTTGAGTTTTTGTCATTCAGTGTATACCTAGCACATATAATTCCTGAATTTTAAGGTTGCTTCGATACGCACAGCGCACATTCACTCCTTTCTGTATAGCAAACATGTACAAATGACTCCTTCTTCAACTTTTTGTGGGATTATTCTTTTTCATCTGTTTCTTCTTATTTCCTTATCTTTCCGCACCTTTAATGAAGTACACCTTACTTTAACTTTTTTTATAGCCTTAATATAAGAGTCAGCTATAATGGTAAATGCCACAATATTTGCTTCATCCTTATACTTTCTATTTCGCCAGCTATTATTATTATTATTATTATTATTACTACCATCTATATGTGCGATCGATCCTGGCGTTGTTCCTGTGCCTGGAAAACCTGTCTACATTGAAAAGTCGAACACTTTATGGATTTTTTCGTTTTCAAGAAACTCGCAGGCCGATAATAAACTTTATTTAATCGACCTTAATCGAAGCTTCAATACTTTATCCCCACCAGTGTAAGAAAAATCTAAGAACAATGAAAATGGACGAACAAAAACAAAACAAATGTTTACTGTACCACTCTTGCATTAGCCATCTAACTTGTATTAATCCTTCTCCGTGATTTTCCTATCCACTTGTACCCATATAGAATAGACTTATCATACTCACTAAAGAATACACAATGTCCTGTGATGCATTTTGCTCAAGCACTGCTAGACGCAGATGGTATTAGTATTAACATATTTGGGGCTGGAAGCAACACAAACGGTGTCTACAGCTCGACTATGACTATTTGTCAGTTCAACACCGAAGCACGAACATGGAGGCAAATTAACAATCCTATCAATTCACCATTTGCAAGACGCAATGCAGCTTTTGAAGTAACGCGTTCAAATCTCACATTTGTATTCGGTGGGTTCAGCACCAATAAATACCACGACTAGAATTTTGAAAATGGAAACGCTTTTCTTTACTGATTTGTAGAATAAACCTTTTTTTTTTCGATGGTATATGCTCTTAGGTGGTAGTTCTGAACCTATTACAGGTTTAAGTGTAAGTTCGTCTTACTATCCAAACTACTGGCATCAAGATGTCGCTATATATGATAGCAAAAATCAGCAATGGTTGAATACTGGTCTGTCGTATACAGCAGGTCCAACGAGAGCAAATGCAACAATAACACAAATCAGGTTAAGCTTCCTCCATCAAATTTATTCCTAATCACGCTACCCATTGCCCTTAACAAGCAACTTACCATAGATCTTGTATTACCTTATTACCTTCAGCGATACGAATGGTCAACTCTTGATCATAGGAGGTTCAGTTATAAACAACATCTCCTCTCCAGATATGGTTACTAACTTCCCATTAGCCAACATGTCAGATATTATAGCATTAGATCCTCGAACTTGTAAGTACTTATACGCATATATGATTCATATCAAGCGTCATGCAGCTTCTAATCCACTATTTTCTTAGCATCTTGGAGCAATATAGAAGTAGGAGGATTCAATATACCAATCGGACGGAAGCACCATACAACAACATTACATTCTGATGGTCGAACTCTCATAGTAATCGGTGGGGAGTACTTTAACAATTCTGGTTCTTACTTGTTGAATGACGTTTGGACATTAGATACCAGAAACACCAATAATTATACATGGAGCCAACCTCCTGTTAAAGGAACTGGCTTTTATCGCTCAAACCACACTTCTATTTTAATTAATGATCAGATATGGGTTATTGCTGGAACCAATTTATCATTAAAGGCTGTAGATATACAGTTATTGAATATAACAGATTGGAGCTGGTCGAGTTCATATATACCTGCACACGTAGTAACACTACCTGTGGCAGAAAGCTTCTCCAATATCGGCGGTATAAAGGGGCTTATAATCATTATCGTTGCTACCGTAGGAGGAACACTCATCGCTTCCTTATGTGTCTTATGTTGGTTCCGAAAAAGACAAGCAAAGCCTTCAAATACAGCAAAAGGGGATCATGATGCAGCAGTACTCAATACGATGGAGTTACATACTAACTATAACGATGTCCAGAACGAAGATCTTCTAAAGCTACATGAAGAGGATCAGCCACATTTATCAGCAGACAACAATACTTCGACCACAAAGGCAAATTCAAAGTTAGCCTCGCTCCCTTCCATGTCAACAAACGCGTCAAACTCACAAAACACGAATACTTATCAACATCGAATGAGCACTAACGATTGGCTTAAGCAGCCATTGCAAACGACCAGTTACTCAATGAATAACATCAGCTCTCATCCACAGCTGCAGATTGATTATACTCCTTACCAAACTACAAGTTCACCTGCTGATACAGAGACTAATGCTTTAGAATCACATCCAAATGAACAATATGAAAGTGGCAACCATTACTTTTCAGACCGTTATAATAGTGCAACTTATCACCAACACATGTCAAGTTTGCCTCCCATGTTAAGTTTCCATGACCAAAGTAACAACAACTATAATAGACGATCATTTGGTTTTTGGGATGCACCAGCACTGTAAATTTCAGCTCTATAGTAAAATTGCGAACAACCAGATGTATATTTCTGCTAATCATTTTCTTTTTTTTTTTTTTTTTTTTTTTTTTTTTTTTGCATTTGTAGACAATCGGCTAACTTTGGAAGAGAGTCAAATATTATGTTATCTCCTGTCCATAGGATGGAAGACTCAGTAGGGCCTTCTTATTCCTTAGATATGATTCATCCACATTTATCATTACAACAACAACACCAACTTCAAAAACCGAATCAAGTAGATGCCAATATTTCAGCTGCGCCAGTACCTTCACCGGCAGGTTCAATCACAGCATGTGCATCAACATCATCTATCTTAGATGAGAGCCGTCCATCATATGCGTAGCTTTATTCGATTTAATCTTATACTTGAAGACTGCAATATATATATACCAACTGAAAGCTCTTATCTTCAATAAGCGTTATACTTAATACCATATATATTCATTGCCCGAATTCTTGTTTAAATCATGTATTTTCTTATTATTATATGCTACTTATTTATATAAAAGACTTCCAAGAACCAACATTATTTATTATGATCCTGTTGCTGCAGTTGCTGTTGGTGATCGTCTTTAGGAGTTCGTAAAGCTTCAATTGAATTTGCTATTTGGCTCTGTTGCTTTTCTAATTCTTGTGCTTCATTTAAGAGTGAGGTTTCCAATTCTTCGTATTGGCCTACTTTTAAAGACAACTTATCGACCATTGTTTTGACTGCTAAACGTGTCCAGTGCTGAATTTCTTGATGCTCGTAGTCTGCCAGCTTTCCTGCTTTTTGGACTGCACAATTCAAGGCACCCATTGTAGCTCTTCTTATAGTTTCCTTTGAAAATACACCTTTATTGGCATTATTTGCTTTAATATCATCTATTTTACTTTCCTCATAGACATCATCTTCGTCCGTCTTTATGTTATCCATTTTCTCCTTTGTCGCGTCCTCCGTTGAATTGACATCCATTGAATCATTCGCTCCATCTTCTACTTTTAACTGTTCTTTGTTCTTATTATCATGACTTTCATCCGATTCAATAAGGATTTTCAACGCAGCTTTAGATGCTGCTGCTGCGATGCCTGGGTTGATATGGGCAGCCAAGAATGAAATCATCATCATTACTGGATTTGTGGTGTCATCGAACGGAGTCTCTACTAACTCTTCTTCAGAAAGTGTTGCCGTCAAAAATTCATCATTAATAGGTAACTGTAGGAATTGAGTGATGCATTGTTCTTTGGAGCGGCTTCCAACATGTTCTGATATCATTAACCAATCATCATCGTATCGATCAACACCTTCGAGCAAACGTAAAATTTCCTGATCTGACCATGGTTGCTGTTCATCCATTTCCAACTCTGCTGATCCACCCGTACCCTCAACACGCAAGAAATCAGCACTTGAATAGACAGCAGAATATCGGCCTTCTAGAAAGCAATCGATGCAAACCTGATAGTCTTTTGCTTTTAATGACTGATAACGTACTGCGCTACAATCTGTTCTGCAGGTACAACAAATAAAGATTCTGCGTCTATCAGAATTTTTTGGATCTTCCACGGACAGTTTCCAATGAGAATGTCCTGACGAATCATGTTTGTAAATAAGGTCGCGTAGATATTGCATATCAGCTTTATCGATATCTGCAAAGTTTCGCTGTGATTTAGGTTTCAGTTCCGCGTTAGGGTCAGTGTCAATATAGGGGTCATAAATCCTCCGTCTTGGATCAACGTGAGAATTGATGAGCCCATACATTTCCAAGAAACTATGTATACGAACAAGTATGGGTAAATCTGTCTCTAACTTGGATGTGCATGTCGATATTGTTAAATAGTATGCTGGGCTGGCTCTGTAGGCATCGATCATATAATTTCTAATAGCAATGTAATCGTCAGGTGTCAAGCTGCAATCCTCATCATTTATTTCGGGAATGGAAAGAGCCTCTAATCTATGAATCGATGATCTATCGAACCATTCAGGCATAAATAGGTCGTCGTAGTCGTAAGGAGTTTTCTGAATTAGTGAAGGGACGTCTAAGGCTGTAAAGAAATGATATCAATATATCTGCCACCATTTGCATTCAAGAAATTATTTGCTTTTGCCTACCTTTATTATCACTGTCAGCTTTTTCAATTTTTTGTATCTTGGTAGGACGTTTAGCGTATTCAACATTTGTAGCTGTGTACTGTGAAATGTTCGCTATATCACCGTGTAAATATGGCTCAAATTCGTTTTTTCTTGGTCGAGTATTAGCTTGTGGTTTCTCGCTTTCAATATCTCTCACTCGCACCTCGGGATGAGAGCCAGGTCGAAGTAGTGGTACCAAAGGTACCTCTGAACCTTCTTCTTCCTCTGTAATTTCCATGGGCGTTGATATTGTAGGCATGGATATCTCCGGTTGGTCTGTATCTCTTGTATTTGGGATGTTATCGTTGCTCGCGTCAACGCTTTGACTTGCTTTTCTTTTACGAGGTGTTTGAGAGTTAATCGTTTCGTCTACTGTTTCTTGTCTTTTTTCTTCATCCTCCTCCTCTTCATCCTCTTCGTCTTCCTCTTCTTCAAGATCTTCGTAATCCTCCTCATTCATAAATTCGTTAAATCGTTCTGTATCCTGAAGCCATCGTACGGAGATTTTCCATGGACCAGTATGTTCCGGTGGTTCTTCAGGGTCTGCAAATTGCTCTGTTTGTGGAAGCCAACTATCAAATGAGTCAGGGTAATACCACCAATGTACTAAAACTAGCGGCCCATCTTTTTCGAGTGTCCTAAACCAATCCTCTTCTGGACCTTGTTTGTTGTATTCATGTAGTTTTCCATGCAAAATATGTGTTGCTTCCTCTTTATCTTCGACAAAAATCGCTGTATACATATAAAATATTGTAGAATTAACATAGAATGTCAGCAGACGTAATGAAAGAATGAAACAAAATTTGTAAAGAAAAAAAAACCATAGAACGTAAGTTTATACCTCCTACTCTTTTTATCATATTAAGGATTGTTTTTTTGTAGGCATCATTGATCACTTCTGCAATAGCGATCTTTGGTATACTTATAAGATCTTTTTTAATCAACGCTTTTCTGACACTTTGCATTAGGTCGGCATTCTTCTGTTTTCGTGCAGGGTTATTGAAATCCCACTTTTTCCAATTATGTTTTATACGGTATGTATATGCACTGAGGAGGATGGTGTAAATAGGTAAATCCACTGTTAACCTCGTATTTTTACTCACTTTGAGTAACTTTGCAGGAATCCTCACAGGTGCATGATTGGGTCTGTTAAAAGCGCCTAAGCAATCTTGCTGAAATCGCTGTATTTGACCGATCAATAATGAGAGATCACGAGATGTTAAGGATATATCTAATTGTAGATGTTGCAATTCCTTATTCAGAGGTTCTGTTATATCGTTAAAACATGCAACAACTTCGTCAGATTCGAAATAACTTTCTTCTAAAGCGGCTCCTTTGAGTTTTCTACCACTCATACTAACAAAATTCTTTGAGGCTGGTGGAGCAATAAAAATAACCAGATCGTTTCTGGCAGCCGAAACCAAACTTTAAATGGGCATTTGCTGCTAAAGCTTGGCTGAGATCGAATATAAGTAACTATTGCTAGAGATAAGCAAACAAATGAGTTGTGCATAAAAAAGTACTAATGAATACATCGATCTCTAAAACATCTTCCAAATTTGAATGGCTCTGTACAAAAAGCTGACTGAAGCACTCAAACGTTATGAGTTGTAAGTACAGGAGCTTTTACAATAATTACTGTTTCCACTGACCATTTTTCTAGTGTTGAGTTAGGGCTTATTCCAATGGCAGCGGATACGAATGAGTTACCTTTAGAAAGCAGGCAATATCACCCCTTAGTAGTTGTGGAAAGGAAGCTTGGAATAGACTTTTCATCTTTGACAATAATACTTAAAGAAGCTCATGAGTGCTTTATCAAATTGAACAAAACGCAACAAAGGGAACTTGAAGAGGTTACACGCGTAATGGTCTTACTGAAGCCTGATAATTACACAGCGATGAATCGAAGGTGAAACCACCGTTTTTGCTCGTCCACTTTTTGAATAGTGAGATATTCATCATAAACTTGTTGCTAGGAAAGACATGATGTTGAAAGGCTACATCAATCCAAAAGCAGAATTGGCTTTGATCGAACTAATATTCACTGTACCTAGACACTCTAAGAGCTCTGTAGCATGGTATCATCGTCAGTGGATACATTCACAATTTCGGGATAATTTACGGATTAATGTCGAAAAAGAAATGGAGTTATGCAAGATTACAGCTGAAGCAAATCCTCGAAACTATTATTCCTGGACTTATCGCATATGGATATTATCAACATATGGCATTTCAGATCGACTAATAGACAAAGAATATAATGACGTGTGTCAGTGGCTCACACTTAATATCAGCGATTATTCTGCATTTCAATACCTACACAACGTTATTATTGCACATAAAAATTTTAATAGAAACAAACATACTGATTGGATAAACCAGCTTATCATCAAATACCCCTTTCATGAATCTCTGTGGTATCATAAAAGGTTCTGCTCAAGCTTGTTTATAAGTGCAGAGGATTACTGTGCCCAACAGAAGCAGTTCGTTGGTGAAGTACTGGATGATAAATATAGTAATCGATCATTAATTAACTCTGATCTTGAATTAACCAAACAAAAGATATACGCTGCACGCTTTAATAAGTGGCTATCATTCGTGGTAAGAAATTGAAAACTTTCGAAAAATATATTCGGTACTGATCAGCCTGTTGTAATTCGCATTCCTAGGAGAATCGGCATCATGGTGTATCCGATACTACTTTACGAAAACCTGACACGCTAACCGGCATTTGATTCTTTGTAAGAGATAAAATGAGAAGGATAAAAAATCGTAAACTGGTGATCATGAATGATCTTTATCACCTATGCGGAAAGACCTTCAATATAATTGAATTTAAGGATGACTAATGTTGTTCGTGATAAAAATGTATATACGTGCTGTTATTGTTGTTATTGTTGATGTTGCTTTCGTGAAAAGACTGGTCAAAGCTGATTTTGGCATCTTTGCTGTCAGTTTGGGATCGACAGGGGATTTTAAAAGGGACATATAGTGGCATCCTTTACAGTATTTCGCAATGATTTTGAGGATATGTGATAAACCTTAAAAGAAGTATTCAAGGAGCTTTGCTTTCTTGAGATATTTCCCTCCTGTTTATAGTCTGAAAAAATGTGTATGCATGTTTATTGAATTGCTCAGGGATGCGAATAGTCCTTTAAGCTATGACTGTAGACAAATAAAAGGTCAATGGATACAAGTAACATTACCGAAGAAACCAAGCTTGACGACACCATAAAGGGGTAGAACAACTCTTTATTCCTCTTTTATCTTTTTTTTTTTTTGGGTTTCTGCAAAAGAGAATTTGCAGTGGGGCGAGCGCAGATCATTTCTGTTACCATATTTGTCACAGTTGCTCTTTTAGCGAAACTCCTTAGTGAACATCATAGTTTTTTATTCCCATTTTCTGCAATATCCACATGAAAGAGGAAAAACAGAAAATACCATACATAGTCAGTTATGCCTGCGTAATTTTTAAACCGTCGTCAACATTTATATGTGATAATAGACTGCAAATGCATTCGCAGGAACATACGTCAAACGAGACACGGAGAAATTAACCTGAAAATTTAAGTGTATTGTAAAACTATCTATTGTAACTTATAAGTTATATCAAAAATGAGAGTTTATGATGCGATGTTATGAATTTTATTATGTATCGGTACATCTTAATTTTGAAGCCTTGAGTACGTAATTGCTTTCTTTTTACCGGATTTCAGTTTCAAAAGTTTAGCCTACTATTGCTGCTGTTGCTGTACATAGATCACTTTTATTTTAGTGCAAAAAGTTTATACAATATACTGCCAGATCAACTTTCCCCTGCTTAACTTACAACTGACAATCAAAAAGCTGACTTGATTATGCGTAGAGTGCTTTGTTGCAGCATTTGTAGCTTGGCAATCTGTATAAATAAGCAAGTGCCCGTTAGGAATAGGAGCACTTTTCGTCTAAATTCAATAGTCACCATAATCATATTTTAATTAGACAGTAAATTAGTAACAGCAGCCGTAAAAGGCAGAATCCGTAATATTGTCATAAAACAGATCTTAGAAGTAGGTAAGACTATCTTCCATTTCTTCTATACCTATTAACATATATTGCATTAAACTTTCATGATCTCGTAAAAGTCTTTAATCCCTTCTCTTAGAATGATCAGTTTAACTTTCAATCTTTTGCACTTTAACATTTCTGTAACTATTTTTTGACACCTCCTTCTTCTTCTTGTTATTTTTTTCTGCCCTTAGAAGCCTTTAACTAGAATTCTGCATTATAACTTTTTTTTTCGTTTTTTATCTTTCTCTTTCCCTCTCACTCTTTGAGATTCATGAATTATTTACATACATATTGTTATAGATTATAATGAATGAGAACTTGACAAGCACCACACACAAGCTTTCTAAAATTGCGTTTGAAGATGACGACCACGCTTCAACCAATCAATCATATGATAGACATATTATCTTTTATGGCAGTCAAATAACAGATGCAAGCACTATTTTTACTCAAAAATCAAATCAACAGCGTAAATTATCCAATGCACTTTTCCAAATCAAGTATTGGTTGATTCTAATCAGCCCGTGATGTATTTATATAGTTGACAGAGCGCTAAGTTTGTCAGACTCCGGTTACTCTTCAGAAAAAAGAAGAGGCGACAAAGGCTACGGAACGGATGAGGAATGCACTTTATACGACAGTGATGATTTCGTAGAAGAAGAGTGTCGATACCGATGGGTTATATTGTTAGGAGGATTTCTTGCTCAAGCAATTAGTATGTGTACCTTATCAAGTTGGTAAGATGTGAAGTGATTAACGCCATATTTTTTAAGCTATTATCTGCTTTTATTAACAAGCATTCTTTTTCATTGCTTATATGCCAATATTACCTGTATTGGACATATCCTCTATTCTTCTTCATCATCATAAATAGGGGTAAGTAGTAAAAAAAAAAAAAAAAAAAAAAAAAGATAAGAGGGTCCTAGAGGCAAGGATAAATGTTCTTCCGATACACATGCATACCATCATCAGCATTCGGCAGTCAATCAAATCATATCTGTTTGAACTGCTGAGTAGCAGTACACATTTGATCTATGTGGTGTATATACGGACTGTTTTTTCTCTCTGTGTGGATCTTTACAGATTTCTGTAGAATCACGCACTGACGCTAAATTCCTATTTTGATTGCTAGGAGTCATGCAAGACTATTACGATCGACAAGTTTTTGGAGGGTCAGTTGATGCAGCTGAATTGAGTTTTGTAGGAACGATAGGTTTTGCATTTTGTGGCCTCATGGGGCCAGTGACGCCAATTTTTATGTCATTGATTGGAGCTCGATGGGTCTTATTTATTGGTACTATTTTGATCTCTGTCGGCCTCATCTTAGCAAGCTTCTCCACTAAGGTTTGGCAACTGTATATAACTCAGAGCGTCATGCACGGCATTGGCGCAGCACTTCTGTATATTGTGAGTTACATACTTTGATAGACCAGCTGCCGAAGCAAAATATTAATTAAAAAAGAAAAACAAAAAAAAACTAGGTTTCTATGTCTATATCACCACAATGGTTTGTTAAAAGAAGAGGATTTGCTATGGGTGTAATGGTGAGTGGATCTGGTATCGGTGGCCTCATAATGCCTTTCATTATGACAAATTTGAATGAATCGCTAGGAGGAGCCTGGTGAGTAATATAGGAACGGTAGCAACCACGTTAATTTTGTTGCACATTGCTAATTATATCTTGACTAAACTCTAGGTGCTATCGAGTTTTGAGTATTATCTCCCTTGCTGTTAGTTTAATTGCTACAATTTTACTACGTGAAAAGCCCAATATTAGCAAACTGAAGAAGCCCAAGTTGAGAGATATGATCGATTTTAGTCTATGTAAAGATTTGAAATTTATCATATGGTGCATCGTTGGCAACTTGAGCATGCTATCATATTTTATTCCGGCATTTTACTTACCTTCACATGCCACAAAAATTGGGTTGTCACCGTCCCAAGGGTCCACATTAGTTGCTGTGTTCTCCGCCGTAAATGTCGTTGGCCGAATTCTCTCCGGGTAGGTGCTAAATGCTGTCCGTTTTTGTAACTATATACTGTTCAAACTGATAACTTTGATATTGTAGTTTTCTTGGTGACAATATTGGTGTAATGAACGTTAATATTATTTTTCTATTTACATGTGGTCTAAGTGCGTTGTTTCTGTGGACATTCGCTACATCGTTTGCCACCTTACTACTATTTATCATCATTTATGGCTGCATGAGCGGAGCAGTTTTCTCATTATGTAAGTTAAGAACCTACTGTATTGAGAAGAAAAACAAACATTGATACATTATGAATAATAGTGGCACCTATTACTGCAAATATAACAGGAATGGAAAAATACCCTTCAGGTGTCTGCTTGTATTTATTCTTCATGACAGCTTCTCGGTTTGGGCCTACAATAGCAGGCGCTATACAGACAGCAGCTAATAAGAACTCCTTCTTCGCGTACCAAATGTTTACAGGTATTGCATTCATACTCGCTGCCGTCGTGAATATGTACTTGAAATATCAAATAAAACCTAAATTGCTGGCAAAAGTGTAACACTACTCGACGATATCTGCTTGTTCCTTATATTAGATCACCCCTCCCTTTTTGATTAATATCTCATAACATCTTCATTTCTTTTCGTTCCTCGCATTACATAGACTCATTGGAGAGGCGTATCCGCTTTCCTTGTAAAACATTTGTTTAAACTGAATAATACAAAGTACCATAATTTATATTTATATTGCCAAACAAACATTCGTTACTACACATGTAAACGCTTAACTATCGTACACGATATATGCCAACGAGTCGGACACTGTGACTATTATATTCTTTTATCGTTTTATCAATTTTAGATGTCTACGAAAGATTCTTATTAAAATTATTGAACGGTCTTCATGGTTATTATATATAATTTCATATAGGGGAATGTAGCATTGAGAGCGATAGAAAGCATTAACGCAGTGATCTCCCGCCAAATTCTGCTTTCATTAGTGCTACAGATATGCAACAGCAGAAATAAGAAAATTCGAAGATCAAGATGTGATTTATGTTATAAGGGTAAATCAGTAAGAGTTTTTTCATTTTACGAACTGTTCCTCAAAATAAACATATATTTCTACTGCAGAAGCGACAAAGATATGTCGTATCCCTCTGTCGGTAAGTTTATTCGTATGATCTCGACAAACACACACATATATTTAGATGCAAAAGGTTATCCGCTTTTGATTTCTTTGGGAAAAGAGGCCCAACGGTTAATTTTTCAACCATGAAAAATGTACGTACATATAAGGAAATGGAGAGAGAGAGAGAAAGAGAAGCAACACTGGCCCTACAGATGAGGTCATCACCTTAATTTGCCCTGGTTGACATAGGCTAGTCAACAAAAATTACATTTTGGTACCTGACTCACTATCTTCTGCTCCTGTTCTTTTTTGTTGTACCTCCTGAATAGTTACTAAGTGGAGTATATCTGGACTTAAAGTAGGGCTAGGATGGAAACCGCATATTTATGAATTAGAGGGTGATTATAATTTATATGTACTCTGACGCGATTGAAACTTTGAGAGTGGAGAAGAGGGAAAGAAAAGAGAAGACATGTATTGTGTGCAAAAAACTTAGTGTGTGCTTTAAAAAGGAAGACTAGAGGCTTAGATTGCCTCATTAGCTACTTACCATTACCTGTACAGTTGGCGAACAAAATAAATCAAGACGTTCCTCATCTAATAGACACATAATGATTTTCTGTAGCGCAACCCAATTAAATATTTAGTTTGTTTTTTGTTGAAAAGAAAATCGTTATCTGAATATTATGCTTTTATGAGTAATTGAAACAGTCAGGTCAAACCTTGACCTTCTTATTAGATGCAATAAAATTGAACCTAGATCGCTATGAAAATAAGAGAATAGCAGCGTTAGCAAACATTGCAAGCATTTCACTGCAACTTCTCGAACCATTTAGCGCGTACCTTCTCTCCAGTTTTTTGTTTCTGTTCTTCATTGAATATTTCCAAATACTCCTTAGGTAAGTAGGTTTTCTTAATGGTCTTTTGATGGAAGTATATTAGTTATAATTTCTCCTGTGTTTGTACAATGATTACCGTTGCATTTACCTCATTCTGAACTGGGCCAGTAGGCAAGGGGCTATACAACCTAGAATGTAATGATATATGTCCTTCATATGCATTTAAGGGCCACGAAGACTCCTTACATTTAGTCTTAACTATTAAGCCGGCAAGATCGCTTAAAACATAAGAGTTCTATCATATAAATGACAGTAATGAGTGTGACAAACTTTATAAATGGTGCGCTTCCGCCTTCATATTGTACAAACCTTGCTAAGTTCTTCAGCAACCATATCTTTTGACAATTTGATCTTTTGCAGGACATGGTATAAAAATGACACATTATCTGCTGTTGCAACACAGTTAAAGTAGAACTTGAAATACTGTGCAAATACTTGTAAATCCTCGATGGCCTCCGTAAAATCAGGATGATGTGCTAGGAGATGCACCAAGCGGACAAGAGAAGCATCCAGCTTAAAGGTGTTTTCTTGTGTAGCTTTTAATGCTGCCATATTTTTTTGAATAAAACTTTTCACTTGTTTCAGCAACGCTACTTCTGGTTCGTGAGCACAAATAAAAAGTACCGCATAATAGCGTGAATGGAGCTGGCGCGTTTGTAAACCTTTCATGATGGTTTCGGCGAATTCCTGTCGCACATAATAACAAGGATCTTGCAAAGTTATCGCCAGTCTCTCAAAGTTTGAGACAGTTAGTTGGTTTATGTATTTGCTGTAATGGGTTAGCTTGACTATGGCCTGACTAGCACCTAAACGCATATGAGAAGTTTCGGCAGCACTGAAATATGTTCAACACGTAGAAGAAAGGTGAAAGATATAAGTTAGTATAATTGTTATTAAATGAAGTCGAATGTAATCGTTTTACTTCAAATTATCGGCAACGGCAGCTTCGCAAGTCCTATCTGTCAGGTCCCAAAGGACACTGAATATTTGCTGCACTACTATGTCCTGTAAATGGACATCATCTTTGCAAGCAGTTAAGTAATTCACTAAGATGCGAATACCAAGTAATTTTTGTTGACTTAGTTTGGGCAATTCGTCAAATGATCGCCATTCAGGATTTTCTTCGACAAACTATAGAAAATCATCCAATAAACATTTAGTCCACAGTAAACAGGTACAAAGAGTGATGTATTTACCGTTGTAGTTTTTGCAGTTAAGAGGTCTTTTTCGACAAAACGGATTATTGAATCGATCACTGGTGAAATAAGGCTAGGTGAATACAATGCAAACTGGGCCAATGAAGTAAGTTTTTGTGATAAATTATGAGAGTCGAGCAATAGTCCATCACTGATGTCAGACACAAGGTCAGCAAATACAACTTCGGCATCATACATATTAGCGAGAGCAACTGAAGCATTTTCGGCTTGTTGCTCATCACCTTCAAGCGCCACAGCCGTTAAACGTTCAATCATGTTACTATGTCGAAATCTGTCAGAAAGGACTGATTTTAACAATTATCTAAAAACTGACTTACTCTTGATATTGCACTTTTTCTTTTGTTGAAGACTTGCAAAATTCTGCAAATTGTTCAAGTCCTACATTGGCTGTTGACATTCAATGTAAGTTATATTAGCTCTCGGAATATCGTTGATTTTTACTTACATATATTATCGTTATCACTCATTATCTCTTCCATAATAGTTTTTACAGAGTTCATCATCAATGATGGATAGGAGACAGAAATCTCTTTTAGAATCTCTTGAGCAACTACTGCTCTGGCAGTTGATACACTATGGCGTCTTCCTGTTGTCTCTCTGCTGATTGTCAATAAGTGAGCAGTGATACTCTTGTTGATAATCAATGGACATGCTTTGTTGAGAATGGCTTGGAATACTTCGACGATAGCTAATTGATCTTCGTCTAAATGATCTAGTAACTTAGCCTGCAATTTTATTTTGGATAAAAATGACTTTAACAACAGAATGATACCATACACAAACCACAAATAAACCATACCTTTGCTGTCAATATTTGTTTATAGGTTCGATTGATGTCAACTGCTTCTCCTAGGAGTTTCAAAGCATTTTTATCTTTTCTTTCTAGAAAGGAGCGCAAAGCATTAAAAGTTCTAGCTTTATCGCTAAAATAATCTATTGTTGGAGAGTAGAGTTAGATTAATGATCTCTGTATCAATTGATGATAATCTATTTACCAGCTAAATATTTCATAAACTGCACCAATTTTCCCCTGCTGTATTCACTATCATTGTCATTTAACTGACAAGTTTTATATTAGCTTTGTGCAAGTCATGCATTATCAATAAAGAACTTACATAGTCTCTACACATCTCGACGTAATTTTGTAGCTGTGTATTGAAGTGCTTTTGTTTGCGAATAAGTGCTGTAAAAGCTGTCTTTTGTCTAGGCTGGAATGAACTAGCTACAGTAACCAATCTAATGGCTCGTTCCTGGTCATTTTCGTTTTCGGATAATATGTATTGGTTCAAAGTTTGTTCCAAATTCATCCTGCGGCAAGATGGCATTAGTCTCTTGTCAAGGAGCCTTCCTTTTGTACAATGACTACAAAAACTTACATAATCGACGGATCACTGTTATAAAGAGTACTCAACATATAATCCGGGATCCAACCAACTTTATCAATGACAGTTTTATCGTTGGCTTGGATGCGAGTATAATAAGCGTCGTATATAAATCCCAATGTGTTCATTGCTTCTATACGAACAGAATTCTATAAGGCCATATGAGTATCAACAATTGAATAGCATCGACATATATTTTCATTTTACCTTTTTATCTTTGGCTCTTGTAGAAATAGCCTCTAATAGCGATTTATCCAATATTCTTACATTTGTTTCCATGCCTACATGTTTCAAGATCTTACAAACTTCAGCACGAATTTTGTCATCCGGATCAGCTAATTTTTCTTTAAAGCATCCTATGATATAGTTATAATCGCATTGGTATCTCAGTTGTATTCGTTGAGTGTAAGCACTTTCAGCTGTCGTTACCATTCAATTCTAAAATTGTCTCTGGGTGATTTTTGTATATATCGATACACAATTCTAACCAACGAATTCTCAATTTAATATCTTTATCGTTACGCCTACAAATGAAAACGCAGCAAAAGTAAATTGTTAATAAAGAGTTCACTTGATGCACGGGGGGGTGACATAAGGATATATTTCACCTTCCGAGCCAAGTTTTCCACGTTGTAGTGTATTTTTCTCTCAAATTGGAGGATGGGTCTGCAAACATTGTACCCACTGTATCTGTCGCTAAATGACGAACAACAGAATGATCTACCGCCATTTCTTCTTGTAGCAATGGTAATACATTGAGTAAGAGATCAGGGTTGATAATATTGATTTTACGAATGAGCACATGGATCTTTCTAGCTTCCTCAAAATCTTCTGAATCTTCTGTGGCATTGCTAACTCTCAGCAATACGTCAGAAAAATACTAATTTCAAAGAAACATGTGTTATATGATGTAAAGTGTAGTGGGAATGGCTCTCAAGGAGGCTTACTTGGCAGACTTTTCTTTGCATAGCATGGGGACAAGCATGACATATATCTGATGCCATTACAAATGCTGGGTTTGTGGAGCCCTATTTATGTTTGCATAACGTATAACCATTAAATTGTGTTATATTAATGCCTCGATTTCTTTAATGTTGAATTTTCTTCTAGCATACTGTACCTTTTCGTATTTATCAAATTGTTCCAATATCAACTCTGTCAATTCTGGTGCAGAGATATTGACGTCTTCTATCATTTGTATAATTATGTCTGTCATGCAAAATTCTACGTTTCGTGGCAAAACGGCCCTATAAAAAGATAGTCTGGTCAGTGATGCCCGAGAGACTATTTGCTCTGATAATAGTGAAGCTTCTCTAGATTGTTGACAGTTACCTTTCTGCAACCTTGAAGAAATCTTCTATCATAGGAAGAACAATTTCGTCTGTATCATTCATTTCGGTAAGGAGTAGAAATGTTTTTACTGACTGCAAGTTTTCCAACAGGTAGAAGTGGTATGAAAAGTTTGATGTTTCTTGTCCAAATTGTCTTAGTTCATTAACAAACAATATGAAAACATTCTAATAAAGAAAGAAATCCGATTAAATACTGATGATTCATTGCTCAACCAAAAAGGTTTCTTTGAATAAAATAGCTACCCTAAGCAAGTCAAAAGTATAGGGGCTTTTGGGTGCATGCAAACGAATAACATCTGCAAGACAACATGCAACCAAAGCGCTTATTGTTCCGTTCTTCGTCTTCATGAATTTGTTATCCACAAGTTCACGGGTTATTCGTTCAAGTGATGTTTTGTCAACATTTTGGTCCAATTCTTTAAGCTGCTTATGCAAGATCTATAATTTATTCTACGCGCGTAAGTCATGATGCATTCAAAATGTCAAACAGCTGAGGGTCGAATCGTATGTACCTGTAATAGTAGTATCTGTTCTTGTATTCTTAAACCTTTCGTTACTAAAGATTCAGGAAACACCAATACTGGGATTTCATCCTCTATTTGCGTATCCAAGATGGAGACTTGGGAATCCATGGGTACGTCAATGTCCATTTTTACAAAGATTATTTAGTTTTAGGAAAAAAGAAAATTGATCCTTTATCTTAGTTTTCAGTGACAACAGAAGGGAAGAAAGTAGATTTTAAACTCACGCGTCCAAAAGCTCTAACGCGCTTTAAAGTCACAAGTAAATTCAGGGCTGCTTTTTAAAAAGGCACCACAGCAGGAGCAAGCGATTGTTGGTGAAACATGTCAAAATGGGTTTTCACCCCACATTTTGTATGCCTGTCTTCCTGGGGTTCAACATGCTGAGAATTAAGACAATGTCAACGACGAAGATCGTGGCTGCTGCAATTAGAATCAATACTCAATTCTCAAAGAAACCTGGTATATCTGCTCAATATTTATTCAGTAGAAATATCAGTTCCACGATAAAAGCAAGGTGTAACACCAACTTCGTTCAAAAAGCGAATATAAGTCGAGCAGCAACAGTAGAAGCACCATACCCTAAAAACTATACAATCAATCCATACACTGAGGCTAAATCTAGTATCAAAGCACAAGCCAAACTGGTAGGGAAAATAGTAGGCTATACAGCTCTTTCTGTAAGTGCAGCACTAGCACTTATCTGGCAAATGACACATTGGTATATTGAGTATTTTGTGGAATCCACACCAGCAGAGCTAGGCTATCAAGGTCGTAACTTATTACATGGCGCCTTTATTCGAGAAAACCTGGCTATCGACTACCAGGTTGCTACAGTTTATTTGAGAGAAGCATTGCATATTGCGTTAAATGAAAAACAATTAGACGAAAGCTCGAAAACCATAATTGATCTCAGACTTCGGTTGGCGAACGACGAAGCACATGCTGGTAACCTTTTAGATTCCATTACCGAATATACCCGTGCTTGGAAATTATTGATAGACAAGCAAGAGATATCAATAACAACTATTGCAACGGCACAGCATATTGGGGAGCTTTATTTGCGAATTGGCGATTACGAGCGTGCTGAAGAATTTCTCGTTTGGGCTCTACATCACTCGAGTGTCTCTTCCCCGACAAACGCGGCAGCCGCATCAACCATAACAACCACTACCAATTCAGCCATTAATAGTAATAGTAGCGACGAAGACTCTGATATAAATACATTAAAATCAAAAATCACACTCGTACTCGGCAGTTTATACGCACTACAAAAGAATTATGATCTGGCGCTACCGCTCTTGACTCAAACGCTTCAATCAGTGCCAGAGGAATCAATATGTTTAAAGGCCATTGTGCAAAACCAACTGTCAGAAGTTCTATTCGGATTGGGAAAAGTAGAGGACGCAATGGGATGGGCACAATCAGCCTTAGCATTAAGCGCCACTAATATAGAAAAGCAAGATTGCATTGAATGTGGTGGCGTAGCGGCTAATAACCTGGGATCAATATTAGAATTGAGAGGTGAATTTAAACAAGCAATAGAGTATTATAGCCAAGCCGTTCAATATGGAGCCGCGATACATGACAACGCAAGTCAATTAAGATACACTGTGAATATGGAAAGAGCCAAAGAAAAATTGAAGAACGATGAGTAAAAGTAATTCACATTGAGTCAATAAAAATAAGTAATGGTGAAGGACATGAAACAGAGGCATAAAAATGATGTGGGTATGTAAATATTTGCGATCAAGTAGAAATGAAAAATGGGAATAAAATTGAAGGAATGGATACGTAAGATATACGTATATGAAAAAAGGATGTCAGTTATTAGTACTCAATCTAATGAAATGCGAGAGTAACAAATTTTTTCAAATTTGACGAGTTGATGTTTAATGGTTTTCATTGCGTTGTTGGTTATCATGAGGTAGACCGTCCATAAACTGATCGAGTTTAGAAACAATATGCTATAATGCAATAATGAAATAACTCGATTCAGTATTGATCACTTCATGTACTATAATCATCAAAAATATACTTACACTTCTCAGTCCACGAACATTCTCATAAGTGCTATTGTAATAATTGCTCATATCGTCTATTTTAAGTTGTTGTTGAGATTGTATCAAGTCATCAATCAAGTTATTCACATCCGTCTTTAATTGGACAAGGTCTGGTGGTATACTGTTTTTTCTGTGAGAGATTCTACTGCTATAGGATTGGAATGGTGTCGATACTGATCCTTGAGGATGAAACTGTAAGGGAGGAGGAGTAGTAGTAGAATGATTTTGAGCTGGAGGCTGTGTGTAAAACTCAGGATGGAGAGGAGGTCTTCTCATCCCTCCGTGACTAAACCTACGAGGACTGTCAATAGGTCTCATTTGCTGTTGCTGCTGTCTATCAATAAACTGCATACTTTCAAGGCTGCTTGTAGAGCCATATCTATCAGTTGAAGGTGAAGGGAGAAACTCTCTACTACTATACTTATCGTCGAAGTAGCTTCTATAAGTACTACTATTCAAACTACTCAGAGAATTGTATGGATAGCTGCTAATGGAAGAGTCATTCAAAGATGTTGAGGAGCGAGAGAAATAAGCGGAATAATCCGCGGAACTGCTCATGTCGCTTGTTGAAGCAGATGAGCTAGTATTGCTGCCTCCGCTTGATGGCCGAGGCGGTAAGCATGGTTCTGTTGGATGGTAGGACGGCAGATAGTCGAGGTTTTTGTTCTGAGTGTTAAAGTGGCTAGAATCACGACGATATAAGTAAGGTCGCTTATCAGATGTATCATGATGAATCTGGTTGATTTCGTAGCCTTCATAGCCATCGTGTGGATGTACGCGCACTGTATTTCCTTCTTTGGCTGGGTACATATAGTCACACTCTCCTCTGAGATCCTTGTTCACAGACATTCTATTTGAAGCCTCGGTTGAAGAGTGATGTTGCGTATAAATATTTGGCGGCTTTGAAGAACGACGATGTTTTAGGTAGCTATCTGATGTACTATTGACGGGTTGTATTTGAGTGATTGAAGAAGGGCTCGCTCGGTGTCGTGCATTAAGGGTAACAGAAGTACTATCAGGTATATCTTTGTGAACTGTAGCCACTTTAAATATAGCATCTTGAACTTGTTGTGCCATGATAGCTTGATCAAGTACATCATCATCGTAGCGTTCACTAGGAAAACTTCTTGATAGGGACGACGATCTCGAGCGGGAAAATAGCTTGCCAATACTCATATTACTGGCTACACGAGTAAGTGATTTAGATCTCGATCGTGATCGTGCTCTTACACGTAATAAGTCATCACTGATAAGTGAAAAGGCTTCTGTTGCTCGCAGTCTTCGTTCATAAAAAAATACTACCGTAATAACATTTTGATGATATGGTTAGTATGATTATAAGAGAAGGAGATGATCAAGCAAATTTAATTTAAATTTACAGTTATTCCACAGTGTATCAATGAAGTCTAATGGCTGATTGTTATTCTTCAATGTTTGATGATGAACGATGGTTTCGAATTCAATTTCCCGACTAATATCTCGAATGGGAATCAGATTTGTTTTGGCACGAATGGTTGCTTTGTATCCCATGGCTTGCTGATGATTTAGCAAGATAATGATCCAGACATCATCCGATACAAGTTGATTTAATTGTATTTTATGTTTTGGACAGTTGTCATCGACATAAACCATCAAGATATGATTCTAAGCAAAGTTTAAATAGAGTTAGTTAGAAAGAAGTTACTGAATGTGGAAGTCCTTGTCTCCTTCAGTTGCTTACTTTAAAGGTAGCTAAGTTGTAAGAGTTTTCATCGTACATATGTGTGTAGGCAGGATATTTAAGTTTATCTTCTTCGATATATAGATCATGATCCACGTCTGTTTCAACAATAGAATGACATAAGGATGACCGAGGATTAAAATAGCAGAATGAGTGACCATAAATTGAGCAAAAGGGGTTTTCTTCTATATTTACCTTTTAGCTTTGCCACGGCACACTGCTTCTGACCTAGTTTTATCAACTCTTGTTTCTTTTCCAAGTAGATAGAAAGACTTCTGAATTTGTTGGTATTGGGAATAATGGAATAAAGTCGGTCACTTCTGCGAAAGTAGTCCTCGCATTCTTTTTCAGTGGCATTGGGCGGCAGCTCTGGAAGACAGCTTCTGATAAAGAATGTATCAGGGCGGTCTAAAGAGAACAGTTATCATAGTGTTAGTAAGTAAGGGAGGATTGAATAGGACTGATTTCGGACCGATAGCACATCAGTGTAACTCTCCAACAAAATAGTAATGTTACCTTTTAAACCATTGAAAAACTCGATGGCACGGATATCTGCCCAGCCTTTGAATTCAAAAGGCAGGCCATTGTAAACTTCTTTAGCCTTTTGTAGCATGCTACTGGATGCAGTATTTTTGACCTTCTCCTCGATCTTGTCCAAATAGTCTTTGCCTTGCAAGTTGTAGTTTTTTCTTTTTACGACCATAATTTTGTCACTGAAAATAAGAATGGTAACAGGCCGAGTAGATTTTCCTGAGAGTAAGGAAAGTTCTGTTGCATCATAATAACCAAGCAGCTGACGTGATTGGATCAGAGAAGCCTAGAGCAGTACAGAATGTAAATGGGAAATAAGGATTGGTGGTTCGTGCACTTACTCATGCATACAACAAAAATGCGGGGTGAAGGAAAAAGCAAAAAAAAAAAAAAAAAAACTTAATTACAATACTTACCGGTGCATCGCGAATGAAGTGGTACAAATTGAGAAGTGAAGAATCACCATATTGCATATCATTGATTTTAGAAACCTTAGAATTGGCCTCCCTGAGATTGATGATATCGGGGTCATTGACATCCATAGCGTTCATAATTACTAACAAATGTCTTATTAACTTCATGACCGCCAAACTTTCAGACAGTCATTAGTAGTTATTTCCCTACCTTGTAACAATAAGTTGTACCGTGTCATGCGTTGAATAGGTTGGATAAGAACATCACTCATACCAAGATTACCCTTAAACTCCTTATTAATCAGAAATTTCGAGTAGTTTTTATTCTGTTTGATGTTTTGCGTATGGCAAGCAAGAGAATTGGATTTCCCTAGGAAGAAGATTCTGTAGCAATCGAATTTGTTCATCTATAATAAGGATAATTGTGAATTGTTAGCTTTTTCTGGTGAGGAAAAATGTATACAAATTGCTAAACTAGCAGTAGAGCATATGCTTACTTACATGTTCAACAAGAATCTGACCAAATGTCTTTATTGAATCCCCATTTTCGTACTTTTTCAATGACGTTAAAAATGCCTTGTTTACAGTGAGAATATCTTCCATATTAATAAAAATTCTGTTCAATGAATATTGATCCAGTATTGGTGTTTTGTCAGGATCAACAATAGATTCTCTGATAGGCCTCATGATCTTATATACAATTTCTTCTAGTAAGTTGACATATGACTGTTCTGTGTGGATGAATTCTTTGATGGGTTTTGTAACAGACGACTCAAAAACACACGCATTTTTTGTATCATGTGTTGTCTAAAAAAAAAAAGTAAAAATAACGGTGACGTTCAATACACCCTCTTTTTTGTCAAAAATTGCAACTTGAAATTACATTTGGTGTAGAGAGTCTTTCAATATTTTTTGTTGTTCGTGATTCATGTAGTTGCGTTGGTGTATATTTCTTGCCAAAAAGATTTTTGAATAGTTCTAATTGTTTCGCTGCAATTTTAAATGCATTAGAAAGTCAATATTAAAGATCAAACCAGGCTCCTTAGCTTACGTTCAGCAATTTGAGTTGATTTTGGTATCAATACATCGACATGTTGGCTCTGAGCATTGAAAAGGACAATGATGAGTATGATTTTGAATTTCAGACTGAAACAAAAAAAAAACCCTCAAAAGTTAGGTTACCAGCGGGTTCTTTGTCATGTTCAGAATATGCCTTCCAATTTCTTTACATTGATCGGAAACGTTATAATCCTTAACGATCGGTATGTCATTTTCTTTATATATATTACACGGATGTTGAAAAACTGTATGCTCCAAAATATCCTATGAATCAGTACTGCACGTTAATTGTCTGACTGTACTTAAAAGAGTGAAATTAGAAGCTATCAACCTTTGCTGATTTCGTTTCCATGGTTAGACGTCTAATAAAATATGTAAGTTGAAATGTGATATGAGAATGTAGAATGCGCTTGTAAGTATGCTTAACAAAATAAAAAATAAAACAACAAAAAAAAAAAGAAAAAAAAGGGATAACGTATATTATAGAAAAGGAAATGTGTTAAATGAAATGGAAAGAAGGAGAAAAAAAGCCAGTAAAGTCTGGATAGGTGAGTCCGTTCCGAAGTGTTGTTTATATATCATTTCTCAAAGTGTAAGAATGCAGCAAAAAAGGAGTGCCCTTTGTTTTCCCTGTTATGTATCACAATAATATTTCGGAAAGGAATCCATCATTTACTATTCTGTCAAGTATTTCATAATTGCAACCTATGCGTGCATCTTCAGTAAAAAGACTTATGCTCTCCCCCCTAAACTGCAACTGTTCATTAATGATGAGCTGTCAAACTAACTTGTATAGTCCAAGTTCCAACTGTACCTTTTCAGATATCCCCGCTCCTCCTTGATTCGCCATTCTCGCGTAACATTGTAGTTGTAAGACGTTTATGAAGGATCAAAGGCAATTTATATTTTTGCCTCGAATGACGAGCAAAGCCTTCTTTTTTGTTTGTTTTTATTGTACAGCCATTTGTTACATTCCTTTTGGAGTAGAGAACTTTTGACGCTTCACTTAGAGTGTTGTCAAGAGAAAGCGTTGCAAACATCATGTAATTCCGCCGTAAATATGATTTGAATGCAGATCATTCTAACTAATAACAATTTACGTGGTTTGTCAGTTGGAGGGAAGAGCAGCAAAAAGATGAATGATTACGGAAAACAAAGACAAAAAGGGGGCCGAAAAAATAAGGATGGAAGCAAAAGTGCTACACAACAACTAGAAAAGTCGATGATGTGCAAACTTCACCAGCCAGCCTCCCTCACCCTTATCGATACAAAAAGCGAGGAGGCTAGTGATACAACCCATGTTGTACAAGAACTCTATCTTTAATCGTCTGTTGCCAACCCTTAGTTTTCGGTTTAGACAAACCCTAATTAAAAGAAAAGTTTTCTTTTCTCCAGGCTTGCTCAGACAACGTATTGATGAATACATACTTCAACCTTATTATTTCTGGGTAATACTGAGCAACTCCTGTAGGTGTGGTTTTGATCAGAGCAGTAATAAGCCCATCGATTGAGTTTTAAGGGCACAACTGCTGCATACGCACTTAGAACCATACACAGACGTCATATAAAGTGATAAATGACAGCAAAAAATGACGTCAAGCTTGAATAACTGAACGATAAACTGCCTATGCTGATTTAGCAAACCATGTACCTTTCATTGATTCGGAAGACGCAAAAGATTCTAGTTTTCTTCCATGGCAAGCGTTTCATGCATTTTAGAGATGAAATCAGTTCCCGAGCTTGACGGAATCAATTCCGTCTATCGAATACAAATCACATGTCGACATGATACTACAATAACAATGCAAAACGCGTAACTCTGGGTAAGTAATTGCGCGGAGAATAGTACAGCTCGAATACATGGAGAAAATTATTAGATAAGGGAAGAAACGAATTTATGTCTGAAGGCTTAAAATAAGTTACGGTATCCAAACTATGTTGTGTTATAGAAAATACAATGATTAACATTTAGTCTTTTCAATATGTCTATAGATTTAATATTGTTCTGCTCGCTGAAGATCAAAATAGTTCAAACTTCTAAGAGAGAATTGGGAGGCTAATTCCGCAGACCGAAGTTGCTTTAAATTCGGAGACAGCGCTTGTGAAGCTTTGAAGTGGTCATTGTTGAATGATAGTGACACTTCTTCATGGCGGCAACTTATTCCTTCCACTTTAAGGGGTAATTCGTACGATATCTGATCTTGCATTGTGTTTGAGACTATATCAAAACCAGAGAGGTTCGTATTTGAAATTCGTAAAGGTAAAGTCTGATTTGTGATTGTAGATAAAGAATGATGAGTTTCATAAGGCGTTAGAGTGTATTTTTTGTTTTGTTTGAAAATGTACAATGTTGATAAGTGCTTCGGGAATCTATCGATGCATTTGCGTTCAAAACATTCGTAGAGCCATATCGTGGGTATAGTTTGTAGTATTCAAGAGGTAAATCTTTTGATCGTGGTTTTTTACCAACGATTTTAGAGGCAGCAATCGACTTTGTTTCATTCTGCACAAGCTTGAGGAACTCTTGTCCATCAAAATACTTGAACGCTGCCCAAGTGGGGTTTAGGGGAAAAAAAAGCCTTCTTTAAATTGTATAAAGGCTCTTTGTATTATATTTAATATTTTATGTTACTATATCATGTTATAATTGGTAAAAGCTTGAAAATAAGAGCATGGCTTTTTGCAAATTTGTTAATCTACTTACGACAGCAAGTTTTCCCTAGTGCTTCATCGCCATGCAATGGTTCTAGAGGGGCCAGTAAGGTTCCTTTCGTGCCTTGTTTCAACGGTAACTTGCCTTTTTCAAGTCTGCAAATATTTCGCGTTATGCACGCACCAGCTAAAGTAGCGGCATAACCTGTCTTCTCTTCAACTATGTCAGTAATGTCGCCGCCGGCAAAAATGTGTGGAAATTTTGGGTGATTTAATTGCAAAGTGGATTTGACTCGAATACGTCCTTGACCGTCTAAACAAGACTGAAAGCCATCTTCCGTACTATTTTACATAATAGTACTACAAGGAATAAAACCAGTTGCTACGAACACTTTATCATAGTTTGAGTAAACAGTGCCACTGGAACCCAAATAACAATTGCCATCAGAAGAGTTGAAGTCAACAATCCTTTCATTCAAAATCACCTCAACGCCCAGTCTTTGGAGATATTCCAAGGTATTTCGTTGTTTTTTTAGGAGAACTTCGTTGCACAAGATTGGCATGTGAGTCGATCAGTATAATTTTCTTTTTCTTGTCATACGGCGAAGGATAACAATGCGTGGCAATCTCGTTTGCAAGTTCACAGCCAACAAGTCCCCCTCCTGAGCATATGATCAAATCGACATGTGTACAAAATGGTCATTGTTTGCAATAAGGAAAAGGTAATACAAGGAATTGCATGAATTTCTTACCTATAATAAGCACAGACTTCGCCTCTTTCAATTGTTTGTTCAGCAGACAGTTCCGAGAGACGATAAACTGAAGAGGTATCAAAGGATTTCAATCTCGAATGGTATGTACTTCCTGTAGCAAGAACCAAATAGTCAAATGGAACCTAGTAACGCCAACATTCTGTCTTATTCTTTTTGTTTCTTCTCTTTACAACAACACGAGAAACCTAGCATTACATACTAACTCATTGTTTACTCGAACGACTTTTACGTCATCTTGCCAACACACTGTTTTAGTCTTGTTGATAATTTGATCGGCATAACCAATGATAACACGCACATTCTTAACGTACGCACCATGCCTCACTCGCAAAGAAGACATTTTCTCCGGCCGGACAAGCAGCTACACGTAAAATGATATGTTGTTCGTTAGCTGTAAATTTTCTATAGTGGTGTGCAAAGCGTTAAGAATGCGGCTAAAACAATCAACAACCTTGATTATCCCGGGATTGTATTCACATGAATCTAAAATCGTAGCATAGGAGCTTTGGTATCAGTCTTGACAGTAAATTGAGCTGTGTTAGCGTTGACAGTCGAAACCTGTACCTTTGGTGTCGATTAAAGTTACTTGAAAACGTGGCATCGGGTCTAAAATTGATGCTACCATGAAACCCTATGTTCTCGGTTGAGACAAATTTTGTTCTAGTTAACGAACACAAGGTCGCAGTACATTCTGCTTTAAAACATCATGTTCCATGGTATGTTTAACCTACAGTAAACCCGCCTAACACGACTTTTTTTGAAATTTGTTATATTCCAAATCATATGGCTTACTGTAGAATCAGATAGAATTATGGCGGAAATTTTGGTTAGAAACGGAAAGCTGCGATTTATTATGATGTCAGAATGAAGTAGTAACTGTACACATCAAAAGTACGTTTTGACTGGTCTATAAATATTATCGAATTCAACGATCTTCTCGTTCTAAGGAATAAATGGTGTTTTACGGCCTTAATATCTCTCAATATATACCACATTTCCATTTCTACACGAAAAGGGCGACCTTTTTATTCTACCAGTAAAATTCTAACTTCTGTCTCTATCTCCTTCAAAAGCTCAAGTGCTGCTTTTTTTGTTATAGAGTTTATCCTATCCTGATCATCTAATGCTTGGCTTATTTTTGTTTTATCCTGAACATTAATCTCTAAAAGAGCATTGGGTGTAAGGAAAGTCTTATATATTCTAATAGTGACAGGTATCGCAAAAAATTAAGCATGCATGTTCAGCAAAAAAGTTACAAAAACCCGTGTTGCTCAGATGAACATAATATTTCATGCAAGCGTGCGTATTCATCGCGTTCAAAAGCTGTATTATCGCACGAAAAATTTCTGACTGTCGCTACTGGTTGCATTTGAATATTATCTAATATATATCAATCAGTATGATTCAGTTGCTTAATACGTTATTTTTGTGAAGCCAGTATATTTTATAATAGAATACCACTTGTAACATACTCTTAGGCTATAGAAGGGCTGCTGTATAGCATACAACTTCGAAATTGTATAATATAATTGCGTACAAGAAAGGATCAATAAAGAAAAACGAAATGAAATGGCATCAACAAGATCAGACCAAGAATTAATTACCTGTGGGGAGAAAGAGGGGCAGCTTTTCTGATTCAAACCATTATTGGACTTGAAAAGATTATTTATAACATTTGTTTCGGTCGGTATTAGCTCATTGGTGCATTCACGCATCCGTTTCCTAGTCTACAAAGGCCACAACAAATCACAAACCTTACTCCAATAATTCTACATATGTTCTGAACGCTAATGGTTATTTGGAAATGTTATCCGTAACACTATTTACCGTCACTACACAGTTCAACTTCAGAAGTCATAAACGTAAAAGATAAAGAACAACACAACTGTGTATCTAACGGGCAAAAATTCAGAGCGATGGGTTTTGATACAGTATATTAAGGAGTGTAATGATTGCGGATGTTGAGATAAGCGAAAAAATTGATAAACATAAAATATACATTGGTTTAGTGTTATTAATCTCAAAAAAATCATATCCCTTGTAAAACTATAGCAAGGCTGCTTTATGGTTTGGGATACAGAGAGAATGCACCATCTCCAAAATACTTTTCTTTCTTCTTCTCCTTAGCCTGCTCTAAAGCGGCTGTTGGATCGATCAACTCCATACTCTGTGCAGGCGTAAATGCTAAAGAAGACGCCAAACCAGAGGTTGCTGTGCCCGAAACACGATTGCTGAAACTCTTGAGTTTAGGACCTTTGACTGAAAACGAAATAGTGTTAAAGTAAACGTTTAGTAAACCAGCTAAATTGATTCTTGAAGGTGGAAAAGTGTAACCAACTTACTTTTATTACGCTGATCTGCCACCGAAGCTCTGATTTTACCATACTGTTTTGTGGCCATACCCAAACCTTCTGTCTCATCACCATATCCTACCTCTTCTTCAGCTTCCCCGAATGCGATTCTATTTCTGGCCGCACGTAATTCCGTCATTGCATAAGCCTCTTTCTGTCTTCTTACACGTTTACCAGCTCTTCTCTTCTTGGGTCCTTCATCAGGAACAGGTAATGCTTTGACAACCTTTAAAGACGGTGCTTCTTGTAACTTTTCAATCTTAGCATCGATTTCATCTCTCATTTTCCGACCAGCCGAGCCATCAGGTGATTGATGACTTGCATCAATACGCGCTGCTAATGCTGCTTTGGCAGAAACAATCTTTACTAATTTCTTCCTCAAATCCGAGGGTGCTGTTAATACTGGCTCTGAATATAGCACGTATCCAGCATGTCTATCCACCTGTGCCGAGGAAAACCCTGTGTTTGTTTTTTTATTGTTACCAATAACTTGGACATTACATGAAGGTATCTTACAAAACGCAGTAAGACCACCTGCTGCTGTCAACAGACGAGCGGCTGTAGCTGTCCCAACAACTTTAGATAAATTGGGAGCAATGACTGTCATACGAGATTCGACATAGGTCATAATCTTTTTACGAGCTGCTTCAAGGTCGAGTATCATATCGCATGCCTCCTCTGTTAACTTCCATTCTTCTTCAGGCAATTCTTTACCGGCAGTTGTTGTACCTGTAACGGTCACTACCATTACTGTTGCAGAGGGCAAAATCGAACGAAGATCTACTTTGGTTATGTCAGTTTCGTTGCCGATTGCTTTTACCGTAAGCGCGTATTCTATAGGGTTGTACACAAGTGTCTCGAGTTCAGGGAATTTCGCAGCATAGTGATCACGAACGAACTATTGCACGAAAAGTATAATTTTCATCGATAAGTCAAAAATGTTTTATGTTAAGAAGAGAAAGCCTCCAGAATTAGCTTACTTTATGCACAATTTGAACTTCTCCATCGATCTCAGCCGTCATACTGTTTGATAGAACTACTAATTTGTATTCCTCATCTTCTTCACTGGGACCGACCACGTCTGAAGCTGTTCGATTTTGTTCAGTGTATTTATCAATTTTCTACCACCGAGATAGAAATGAAAAAGTGAATAATACAGTTGCGGTTACAACAGAACTGATTCCGAGCAGAAAGCAAAATTACCTGAAGTGTATCTTGCATTTGTTTACTATACAAAAGTTTAGCAACTTTTTTAACACTATTTGGATTATCTTCTGAAAGCTTTTTATTTACGCTACTGTGCTCTTCCTCCATCTCCATAGTATCATTGGCCTGCTTGTTCTCATTTAGATCGTCTAGTGCTTGTTGTTCCTCATCAATATCGGACGCTTGTTGTTCTTCTTCATCGGAAAGCAGATCAAGATCAGCGGCAAGTTCATCAGCTAAGGTAGCCATTTCTGAATTCTTTTATAATAGATCACGAAATAACGAGCAACTGTAGGAAGAGGTCTAAAGGGGGAAAAAAATATGCAGTTTTTTAACTATGATTCGGACTTTCATACTGTTTGCTTCAGAATGAACAGAATAAAGGATTTGAGAAATATCATAAACACTTTTTAGATTTTAGCAATTTACTTTGAGATAAATGTTTTAGAATTTGAACTCAGGGCACTATAAAACGGAGGGTTGACGAGGAAACAAGAGCAATAACCAGCGCGCTTAACTACCCTGTGGAATATGTTAAGCATACTATAACGTCAAAAAACTAGTTGAGGAGCGAGATACGCCACTGTCTGTATATAGCAATGATTTTTCAGAACTTTGATGCATGTTGGTAAGAGCCGTCACTTATTGAGTCAGTTGATCCGTGATGTTGTCAAAAAAAAAAAAGGAACGCGATATACAATAGAACACACAGTGTTCTTTTCCTTTTTGCTTTCTTTCTTTTAGACAAAAGTGGAAAGACAAACAACGCCTCCCAGCTCAGAACGGCCCATATAAAGGCCCAAGCTGCACATAGGTAAGCTATCTTATTTACGACTCTCTATGAAGAAATCATCTACGTTGCTCCAGTTATCCACACACTAATACCAATGGCATTGGCATACAATGATTCTTCGAGTGCTTCTTCGTTCAAGCCAGTGTAGTCAAAAAAGGTTAAAAAAAAAGAAGCTCTCCAAGAAGTCAAAGCTGATAATAAAACAACGAAAATGGTTACGTGCCCATCCTGTAAGCAAGCCACACATGCATTGCCTACAAGCAATCTGTGTCCGAACAAAGAAGGCAAAAGTACCTATTGATGATGAAGATGAAAAGGTGAAAATCTGCTTCATCAATGAATATATTACTAGCTGTAATAAATGCAAGCATTCGACTTTTAGATAATGTAACGTCAGCAACAGCAAAGCGAAGAGTACATGCTGTATTGCAGTATAAAACTGTGATACAATTTGGAATCGCGACGTCCATGCTGCCAAAAACATCTTTCAAACGAGACCTACATGTGTGATTGATATCACTCCTTCACACATCCCTACAGTGTAAGTTGCAATATATTCATAAAGTATAACCAAAGGCCGAATGCTTACTGTTTCGACCTTATTTACTCAGCTCACAATTCGATAACAATTTGGGTAATTTCTGGTAAGTACGTCTGAAATTATAACAAAATTTATCTAAAATATGTAAATACGTTTTATCATAAAGATACTCCATATTTCCAAAGTTGTCTAGTAGTATTTCCGATTTTAATCGAAAAAAACTGTATGCAGAACGGTAAAAAATGGATTAATTATCAACTCTTCGCCTTGCAGGGCGCCAAAAAAGAAAAGCACAACAAGAACGCTCATTTATTAGAAGCCGTTTCGTTTGTGAGGACCACGATAATGCGAGCAAATAGGTGTACAATACGAATGATCAAAAACTATATATCTATAGTATTTAAGAAATGCGTGCTGTCCAACCAACTGCACATTTTTTGTACTTATCATAAGATCCTCGCGTAATAATAATTAAGCCAGAATATGTTTTATTCAAAAGGGGTAGTAAGTATAAAAAAAGGTATCATAGGTTTAATCGATTGTCTGTAGCTTGTACAATTGTATAAATAGAATATAGCGTTATTAATGAAGGCTATTATTATGTAGATGACCAATATTGTTAATGTTATTATTGTGTTTTCTAGCTTGCATTGGCTGCGGCGGAGGCTGACTTCTAGATTGCTCTTCCACAGTTTGTTGAAGTGATGTGATGAACTCCGTCATAGTATCAATCTGTAGGTAAGCTATCTTATTTACGACTCTCTATGAAGAAATCATCTACGTTGCTCCAGTTATCCACACACTAATACCAATGGCATTGGCATACAATGATTCTTCGAGTGCTTCTTCGTTCAAGCCAGTGTAGTCAAAAAAGGTTAAAAAAAAAGAAGCTCTCCAAGAAGTCAAAGCTGATAATAAAACAACGAAAATGGTTACGTGCCCATCCTGTAAGCAAGCCACACATGCATTGCCTACAAGCAATCTGTGTCCGAACAAAGAAGGCAAAAGTACCTATTGATGATGAAGATGAAAAGGTGAAAATCTGCTTCATCAATGAATATATTACTAGCTGTAATAAATGCAAGCATTCGACTTTTAGATAATGTAACGTCAGCAACAGCAAAGCGAAGAGTACATGCTGTATTGCAGTATAAAACTGTGATACAATTTGGAATCGCGACGTCCATGCTGCCAAAAACATCTTTCAAACGAGACCTACATGTGTGATTGATATCACTCCTTCACACATCCCTACAGTGTAAGTTGCAATATATTCATAAAGTATAACCAAAGGCCGAATGCTTACTGTTTCGACCTTATTTACTCAGCTCACAATTCGATAACAATTTGGGTAATTTCTGGTAAGTACGTCTGAAATTATAACAAAATTTATCTAAAATATGTAAATACGTTTTATCATAAAGATACTCCATATTTCCAAAGTTGTCTAGTAGTATTTCCGATTTTAATCGAAAAAAACTGTATGCAGAACGGTAAAAAATGGATTAATTATCAACTCTTCGCCTTGCAGGGCGCCAAAAAAGAAAAGCACAACAAGAACGCTCATTTATTAGAAGCCGTTTCGTTTGTGAGGACCACGATAATGCGAGCAAATAGGTGTACAATACGAATGATCAAAAACTATATATCTATAGTATTTAAGAAATGCGTGCTGTCCAACCAACTGCACATTTTTTGTACTTATCATAAGATCCTCGCGTAATAATAATTAAGCCAGAATATGTTTTATTCAAAAGGGGTAGTAAGTATAAAAAAAGGTATCATAGGTTTAATCGATTGTCTGTAGCTTGTACAATTGTATAAATAGAATATAGCGTTATTAATGAAGGCTATTATTATGTAGATGACCAATATTGTTAATGTTATTATTGTGTTTTCTAGCTTGCATTGGCTGCGGCGGAGGCTGACTTCTAGATTGCTCTTCCACAGTTTGTTGAAGTGATGTGATGAACTCCGTCATAGTATCAATCTGTGTTTGATAATTGGATTCTGTTGTTGATAGTAGATCTTGTACCTTCTTCACTTCTTTGTTCAGTCTTTCAATTTCTGAGACCATCATACATTTTTCCTCTTCATCCTTGAAGAGTCTTTCCTTCAAACTCCTATACATAGCCGCGAAACGTACCGCTTTACCGTCGGTCATTTGTATCTTATCTGTCAACGTCTTGACCTTTTGTTCGTAAAATGATTTTAATTTTTCCTCGCGCTTCAGCATATCCTCTTCGGTGTATATTTTTCTAGGTTCACTGCCATCGGCTTCCTCTAAATTGTTATCAGCCTTTACATTCTCAACATCGCTAGCACTTTCAGTGCTTCTAGACTCTAAAGGTTCCTGGGTATCTTCCTGCTGCAAAGGAGCATCCATTCCACGATATATAAAGACTTCCTCTTCTTCTTCAGTTATCATGTCTTCTTTCTCTGGGGCATTCAACTTGTTCTCTGAATCACACTGTGTCTTCGCTGAGGGTGTTGGATATACAAACACATCGCTGTTGTTGTCCTCATCCTCATCCTTCCTGCTACTGCTCTCTTGATCCATTTTAACTTCATAATCTTTACTTTCTTGCACAGTATGGTCAGTACTGACTTGAACTTCTCTGTCGACTGGCTCTTTTGATGTGCTTTTATCCTTAAATTTTTGCAACTCATGTCTTGCTTTTTCTACTACAGATTTCTAATCGTGGACAAACAACCAATAACTATTTAAGCTATAGTCACTTAATATTACTGTCATTATATGTACCTGTTCTTCAAGCTCAATCTTTAAAAGCGAATTGCTGTTCTCCAGTTCTACTATCGATTTTTGCAGAACAGTAATAGATGCTTCGTGGTTTATTTGATCAGTCTCAATCTTTTGCAATAGGTTCGTTATTTTTTCGCTCTGTTGCTGGGCTTTTTTTTCCAGGTCCTTTTCTTTGATCTGATAACCTTCCTTTTCTTCCTTTAACTTCATCAACTCTGCTTGAACTTTGTCAAGTTGTTGAGATAGATTATTTATTTCTGTGTAAAATGTATCTGAAGAAAGCTTGAGTTTGTCGGCAATTTCAGAAGGCAGATTTGGTGCATCTGTATCAGCATTAGGATTGTTCTTAATAGAGTTGAAGTAAGCTGTAGCCTCTTCTTCTATATTCTTTAATGCTGTATTGGATTCTGAAATTCGATCATACAATGGTTTATCATCATTACCATGTAAATTACCCACTTTTGCCAGCAAAATAGCACGTAAACTTTGAATTTCTGATGATATCTCAATATGATTGTTCCCTATGGTTAATTCTTTATCGTCTAGTAACTTTGTTTTCCTACAAAAGACAAATAGATTTCAGTCTATTGTAAGAGTAAATATATAGGCGGCGAGGGCGTTTTGTATATTTACTGATTGAGCTCATTTTTCAGTGCTTCAATTTCTTTTTGAAACTTTTCGTAATCGTCCTTTCGGTTCTCCTCCTCTTTTTTTCTTTTTTCGCCGTCGCTCACATTGTTTACGAATGCTGCTCTGCTTAGCTTTTCTTGTTGCAGGTTTGCATTTTCATCCTGCAATTCTTGCATCTTTTTTTCTAAATTTTGGATTTGCTGTAATAATCCATTGATGCTTTGCGTAAACTCGAACTGCCGTTCATTTAACTCCTCATGTAACTTTTCATTTTCTTTAATCTTTCTTTCTAAGTCCATTTTTGTCTCTTCCAAAGCTTGTGTGTTTTTTTCTAACTCCTTTTTCAAAGATCCGCCTAATAAAGAGAAGTGTGATCCTTTATGCTATATATTATATGATTCAATTTTAGTTCTGTTATATGTATTATAATTGCACAGACGATCCACTTACTTGATCACTATCCTGTACTGCTTCTATACGCTTTGTTAATCTTTCATTATGAAAAGCTAGTAAATCCAACTGCTCTTGTAACTATATTTTATACAAGATACATATGAGATACACTCCTGTGTCTAAAAAGGCATGGATTAATTCCTTACCTTTCTAAGTTCTTTTTCTTTCTCCTTCACATTGCCTTGAAGAGCTACATTGGACGTTTGCTCCTAACGTAGAGATGTGAAAGTTCGAGTCAGTCATTTGCACAATCAGCCTGAGAACTTACTGTTACCTTGATGACGGCCTTTTTTAGAACGGTATGTTGAGCTTTTAAGCTATTGAGAATGATTGATATAGTGTAAGAATATAACTGAATGCTAGGTCTTAAGACATAGACTACGGGCGATTTTTTACCGAGAATACTGTTGAAAAAGTTTAACGTATCGTTGAGAAAGTTCCTCTGCAGTTGCCGGGACAACGCCTAGATAAAGACGTTTCTTTATTTTGCTAAGCTAAGGCTCACATAGTATAAATATAACCCACTCTACCTGCATTAAAGGCAGCATGCCTAGAAAACAAGCTGTCGCTCATGTTTTAACTTGCAAAGACAGAGAATCAAATAAACGGGGAAAAAGAAGTTAAAGCTCTACCATACACACGCACCCGACCAAAATGCCGCTTTTAAATCGGAATTTAAATGCTCGACAAGACAGCTAAAGATAAGCAATGTGATAAAAAATGATATCCCTTCATACATTTAGAAATATGGTTATACTTCTGTAATGTAAAATCAACAGTTTTTCTTGTCATTATAGGTAACGTATGGTTTGAGTATGTAGTAGTTTTAAAAACTTCACAAATACTCGTTTATATCATTTTATGTACTGGAATCACGACTATAACATTCAATACTAAAGCGTGCAGAAAGCAGCTGAACGAGGTTAGTCTTCAACAATCTTTCAGAAGTGCTAAGAGAATTTTTGCTTCTATTGATAAACAGTCGCATGCCATTCCACGATTTTTAATAATCAGGATTGCACTGGAACACTCACTCTTGCTACGCGCTCATGGCATAGCTGTATAATACAACATGAAATAGCACCTTTCTTTTTGGCTTTCTGCTTAAATAATTATTGCGAAGTCATCAAAAGAGCCTCTTCAACACTAAAAGCATTATAATATATTTTGATGAATCGCGACTAAACCAAGAAGAATTGGGTATTTTTTCGCTTGATTTCTAGGGATAGAAATTGAGACCGACAGTAACGATCCGCAAAAGACCTAACGAGTCTATCAGCTTTAACAACTGTACACGTAACTGAAATACTCTGCGAGAATTGTTAAATATTGTACAATTCGCAAACAAAAAAAAAAAAAAAATGAAAAAGACGCATATACTCTGAAACCATTATAGAATAACTTTGGATAGTATTTACATGAGTAATACAACTCAGAAGTTAGAAATGAAGAAACAATATCGCAGAACACAATGGAGTATGAACTTTTTGCTTCTATTGTTGTTGCTATCCAATGAAACACTATAAATAGAGACGCGCTGCAGCGACTGCTCATCCTCGTTTAGGAACTTCGCAGACAAATGGTTTTGTAATTTAGTCTACAGCTACCATGGTTTAGCGATCATGCTAAGGATAAGCTCAACAGCACAATTAAAAAAAGGCTCTATATGTTGTTTCTCTTAGCATTGTTATTTCGTTATTACTGATGAGCAACAGAAATATGAAAGTAATGAAATACACCAGATGTCCCTCAGCAAGTTGAGTAACAAAACAATCTTCCAAGTGTAACAGGCAAATCCAACTGCAACAGATATTCGAACTGAAATAACTCATAGTCAGACACAGTGCGTATGAATTAATCTTTTTGCCACTCTGTTATATTTGCAGTTGTTTTGTCAGGAGTCTGCTTATTCCCAGAGTAATTTAGGATAAGCTTAAGTCAAAACAATGAAAACCGCAAAGCTTTGACTGATGAGGGTGTTCTGTTTGAAACGTTGTTCGCCCCTCAAAAAAAAAAAAAAAAGTTTCTGTGCACTCAAATAAGCTTACTACCGGTAGTTTAAACTCGCGTCTCGAAAGAAAGTTTAATTGCACTTTCTTCTCACTCCTTTTCATTATCTTTTTATTTGGAGAAAATAAGCTCAAAATGGTTGCTATCAAGTTACAAAAAGAAGAAAACAGACAAGCCTTTTTGAAGATCTTTCCTCAACTAGCTGATGAAGTTCTTGCTGAACTTCGCAAGTACAACATGCCTGAAGATGCTTACGAATGGACAAAAAAGGTAAGCAATTGTCGATGGTACCTCATCTCCGTGTGCTTACAAAACGAACACGTATATTTTGTTACTCGTTTAGATGTTATATCATAATGTCCCTGGTGGTAAAGTTTATATTAAAAATTTGCGAAAAATATGATATAAAATTGTAAAGAGTTCTAATATATCGACCCTGAAATTAGGTAAATTGAATCGTGGTATCTCTGTTGTTGATACTATCCGTATCTTGAAGGGAGATACTGCCACTGAAGATGATATCTTCAAGGCAACTGTATTGGGCTGGTTAGTTGAATTTGTAAGTAGCAAAATGAAAGAGAAGTAAAAGAGACTGTGGCTTTTATTTGGTGGTATACTAACTAATTCATTAAAAAAAATGAACAATTTATCTGGCATAGCTCCAAGCTTTCTTCTTGATTGCTGATGATATTATGGACGGTTCCATCACTCGTCGTGGTCAACCCTGTTGGTATAAGGTTGATGGCGTCAACATGGTCGCCATTAACGATTCATTCATCCTCGAGTCTTGTATTTACATCTTTTTGAAGAAGTATTTCAAAAACACTGAATACTACGTTGATCTCCTTGAACTATTCCATGAGGTAGTTTCAAGCAAAATGGAGGGGCTGTGACAATAGGGAAGAAAAAAAATTAAATATGTTGTGTTATTTGCTCTTTTAATTTTAATAGGTCACTTTCCAAACAGAACTTGGCCAACTCTGTGATCTTATTACTGCCCCCGAAGATCACGTTGATCTGAACAAGTTCTCTGTTGAAAAGTAAATTGAGAGAAAATTACAAAAAAACATAAAGAGGAGCGACTGTAGTGACAGGCTGACATCTAATTTCCCTTATATTTAGACACAAGTTCATTGTTATTTACAAAACCGCCTATTACTCATTCTACCTTCCTGTTGCTCTTGCTATGCACATGGCTGGAATCAAAAATGAAGGAGCTTACAAGCAAGCTCAGAATATTTTGATCCCTCTTGGCGAATATTTCCAAGTTCAGGATGATTATCTTGATTGTTACGGTGCTCCAGAAGTTATCGGAAAGATTGGTACTGATATTCAAGATAATAAGTGCTCTTGGTTAATCAATCAAGCTCTTGCTTTGGCCTCGCCTGCTCAACGCAAAGTTCTTGATGAAAACTATGGCCGTAAAGATGCTGAGGCGGAAGCCAAGGTAAAAGAAATCTTCAAGGACTTGAAATTGGAAGATGTATACAAGGCATATGAGGAAAAATCATTCAAGGAATTAAGTGCTCTTGTCGAACAGCTGGATGAATCCACTGGTCTTAAAAAGATGGTTTTCACTGAATTCATGGATAAAATTTACAAGCGTACCAAATAAAAAAGCCAATAGTTCGTAATCGATCATTGTCGTATTAGATGTACTCCAAACCAGCATATAAACACAGATACATATACACATTGAAAATATTTATTGTACGAAAATAAAAGAAAAATGGCGATTTTGTTCTGCAACTACAGAGATCGACTATTAAACTTACAAGATGATGCTATACCACTACAAGTTTTTTATTTGAAGCATCACTGAGGCAGCCGTCGAAAAGTAGCACAACATTTGTAGTTATGATGGGCTTCTACGGTTATTCCAGTCAGCCTTACGATGTGAGAATGTGCTTGCTTTGTTAGTATTCGCATACAGCCGTTTCCTAACTATTCATGATTCGCACCTACGTTAAAATCACAGATATTTATCATTCGATGGTTTTTGAATTGTATTTACAGGATGCAAAGACGCCCCGCGAACCGATTGGCTATCAAGAACGTATTTAAGTCCTACCTTCTATTAGAACTGACAGAATAGTTCAGCTCTCCGGAGTCCAGCCTAAAGCTTTCCGGAAATACTCAGTGAGTATAAAACACATGCTAGCAGCAGCATGGGTATCTCTACCATCGGCAAATGAAAGAATAGTGAGAAGTCCTGAATACCAGGATATTTTATGCAAGGAAAACATGTCTGACAATTACTAATGGGGTGCCATCATCTTTTCACTGGTCTCTGGGGTACAGTCAAAATAACCAAACTTCTTAATATTACATTATAAGACCGAGAAAGAGAAGGATGAGAGTCTGCAGTAACTTGACCTTCAAAATATAATTATCTGCTTATGTATCCACGCATCTTGCTCTGTTCAGGATGATGGCATTCCCGTCGAAACACTTCGACGTTGCTCGCCTTTCACCCAACTTTTTTATACGACAACTGAAATTACCGTAAATTAGATGATTAGCACTCAAATATTGATAAGTAGAAAAAGAAAAAGACTATCCCACTTGTGCTTGCACTTCAAAAACTTTTCGTTCTATTGAACATCCAAAGATCAATAAAAGTACGAAATTCATCAACCGTATTACAAAATGGCTTCTTAACTATTGCTCGTTGAATACTTTGACAGGTACTAATGTATACTTTTATGATCACTTCTGAAGATAGATTAATGTGGGAACGAAGAAAATTTGGAACAAGTTCAGTATTCTTAGAATGTTTCTATATATGTAATCAGAAAGTATCTTGACAATGGTACTTTTATTCGATGATCTACTGCTTCCCGCCCACAAGTATTCAACAACATAGAATCAAGAAAATTAAACATTAGAAATACATAACTTTTAGAGACATGTGCAAGAGACAATAACAATCTAGAAAGCTGGTACAACAAGTTAAAAAACTTGTACATACACAAGAAAAAGAAACAGACTTGTCGTCGTTTGCATTGCTTTTGTTGTTGATGACAGTTTGCAGGCTTAACAATATCAACAGTATTTCCACGTCGGTATTATGACTCTAGAGGAAGGAAGACGCAAATCAGGCGAGATAAATGCAGAGGTCGTTTACAAAGCCATAGCATATACTCTTGTTTCTGCATTTTCAATTCTTAAGTGATGGTCGTACTTAAAAATTTAAGGATATATTCTTTCAGAGATGACGCTTTTAGTTTATAAGATTGTCCTTGAAGAGTAATTGAAGCCATGCACTCGTGGAAATTTTCTTTTCAGAAATTGCATCTAAGCATATGTACCTTTTGACGAGTACATGGAAATATCCCGTTTATTTCGAAAGTAAATATCCTTTAATAACATGACATATTCACGCTTTTAATAAGGAGGTAATCACGGCTGTAAATGTCAGACATCAGCTCTATTGCTTGGCTTCAGGTACGTTTACTACCACTTAATCGCAAGCAACTCAACCTAGCGGCAGTGTTAGTTTCTTTGATTAGTAGTCTTTTATCAATATTTTTCAAGGAAGCTCTCATGTCTTGACTACAGAGGTTAGCTTCTCTTGAACAGTGGATACATAAAATCAAGAACATCTTATAATATCTTATAAAGCATCGTAATAATCTCATATAAATTTGCGAACGTAACGTAAATGTGTAACAATTGTAAGAAAGAAGAAATGATAGACAGTATTATACAAAAAAAAAAGGCACCATAAACAAAAGAATAAATCTGATCTACCTGACGTACGTCATTCGACTACGAGTCAAAAGTTCGCTTGAACGTATGAGATGTGTAAAACGCTTTATCCACTGTACGTCATCAGAAGTCCAATTTTTGGAAATCAAAGACAGCTGGCCCTGATTTTCGGCTTACCCTAAATTGTGTGGGGAGGGGTGCTGCTTTAAGAAGATTCCTCAGTAACCAGTAATAGCTCGTCGATGCAAAAACCACAGATTCTCCTCTTCTTTTACCTCGTATTGTTTCTTATTAGACTACCTTAATTCAATAATGGCATCTAGATTTACACGCTTGGCTATTGCTGCCCCCAAGGTAAATGAGTATACCACGCTGTTCGTAATACATAAATACACTTAGTGAATGACAATATCGTGATCAACACAAAAACTACGATTCTATTTTTGACACTTTTACATATTACTAGTGGACCCGTGCTTATGCTGCTGCTAATGCTGCCCCCATTAAGGTAAGCCATAGATCTACCAAAAGAAAAGCATAATAGATAATATAAAAGCCATAAAGCACGACAAAGAAAGCCGAAACTTATTTATATGCACATTGTTATTATATTTTTATTAATAGGCGCCTATCACTCTCTTTGGTATCGGCGGTCGTTATGCTACATCTCTTTACACTGCCGCTGTTCGTCAAAATGTTTTAGAATCAGTCGAAAAGGACTTGAACACTCTTGCTCAGGCTGTCGAAAAAGATGCTACTTTGAAAGCATTTTTAGAAAACCCCACCATCAATCGTAACCAAAAGATGGATGGCATTTTATCTGTCTTGAAAAAGTCCGGCAAGCCTAATCAAATCACTCAGAACTTCTTTGAAGCTTTAGCTGAGAACGGTCGTTTGGATCACACTTCTAAGGTGACTGAAGCCTTTGCTCAATTGATGAGTGCTCATCGTAATGAATTGCCTCTTGTTATCACTTCCGCCAAGGTAAGAAGAGATTGGTCAAAAACTTTGTCAAAAATGAATGAACAAATATATTTGGATTGAATGTCTTCCTGCGACACAACTTAAATGCTAATGTTGACGCATCTTTCTTTTCAAAGGCTTTGGATAAGGCTAACTTGAACAAGGTTGTTGAATCGCTTCAAAAATCTAACCTTGCTCAAGGTAAGAAACTCATTGTTTCTAATAAGGTCAAGCCTGATATTCTTGGTGGAATTATGGTTGAAATTGGTGATAAAAGCATTGATTTGACTGTATCTTCCAAGCTCGCCAAGTTGAGCAAGCTGGTCACTGGTATGTTCAAATGCTATAGGAAAAACAGAGACCACATGAATCTCAAAACTAACACTATTCTTTCGTAATGTGATAGATTCCGTTTAAGATGAATTTCAAATGTATAAAAAAGATATTTGGATACGTATAACCTCTCACTTCCTCTATATTTAAGTTTCTTTTTATAATAAATGTGTTGACAAAGAAGAAAATAGATGAACTGTCCAAGGGCCATGTTTTGGGCATATGTGATTCAGTTGTCGAAAAATATATGAACGGATTACAGACTGTTGAGTCGCACTACACGCAAAAAGCGGACAGAAGTTGAATGTTTGATATTGTCTGGCTAACAAATATCGTGCACTTCCGCGGTTACAGTCATATTAACTCTTAAAGGATGCTTGCCTTTCAATTGACGAAACGATCAGTCGGCAATCAGAGTAGTAAGTTACCATAGATTTAAGCAGGGTGACGTACAGTCACCTTCTTTTGCCTTGAATATTGCCCCCAAACGTCTGCAACAATATTTTTTGACCATTTATTACAGCATGTCAGTTTGCTTTAATTGACATTCAATGAACCGGACAATATGAATAGCAGAATTTATAGTTCAAGTGTAGAAATGGCATTAAAAGTTCCTGTATAGGGGGACGTTAAATAAAAAGATTTATATATAATCAAAGCCATGTGGAATACATTGCTTGCATGATACATTTAAAACACATAGAAATTAAGCTATCGATCTATACTATTATGGTAGCTGTCGAAAGCTGGCTTTAGAGTTGCGTTGAAGGGTGCTTCAATCAGTGATATCGTACTACCAATTTCATAACGAGCCAAGATCTGCTCTCCTCTGTTTCTATCCTTTGTTAAAAAGCTTTGGTAGAGTTGATACTAAACAAATATTGCATCTGTGCATCGAAGGAGCAAAGGAAGATAGCTCGTAAAATTCATGGTTAGTACGCTGTTAAGGTCGAGTATATCCATAAATGCTTACATTGAGCTACACTTTGCCATCTTTCTTCGTTTCTGTTTCATCCGGTCTTGGTATCAAGGTCTTACTCAGATTATCTTATTTTTGAAGAGAAAAACCTAAAGAAAATTCCACTATAATTAGGCTGGCCAAGTCGTCGTTTATCAACCTGCACATGATTGCAGAAACTCAATTTATTTTGCACAAAAACTAGCGGAGATGAGGTTTAAAGCAGCCAAAAAAGAAAAAAAAAAAGCTGAATTGGTGCATGTGTCTTTTTTGATGCGTTTCTCAAACTTTTTTTCTCTCTTGTACTTACATTTCTCGTTATAACAGCACCATATACTTGATACCTTGATGTATATTCTTAAAAATTAGTATATAGTATGTCAGCATCTGTATTTATACCATTTTCAACTTCAAATATCTCAAATAATGCAACATCTGAGGATAGTATCAAGAGCTTTATTAGGCCGCCACTGCCTACGCTCATATCAGAAAATTACCCTCCTGCACCTTCCATTATACCTTCAACCTTCACCTCCATAAATTCAGCTACAATGGGAATAAATGACACTCCTTCAATGCATGTATCAGTAGAAAATATAAAAGATGGCAACGATGGTACTATTTACATTATACGAAACAACTCAACAAGTGATGTTTTATACCATTTCAAAAGACCGCCGCTGATAGATACGAAGGAAGCGAGCAAAAATAATAATATACAGGATGAATTTGACATACTCCTGGATAAAGATAAGCGACCACTGTGGAAATTCAAAGGGCAAAATTTGCATGGCATCATATTGGCATCATCAACCATTGATTCACACAATAATGAACTAATACAATTAACGACTACACCGCCTTACTTCAAGTTTACAATACAAGATAGTGTATATTTCTGGCAAATACAGCAACAAAATGGTTCTTCGGTAGCCTATACCTTGAAGTGTTTTGAAAGTACAAATGCCAAATTCATGTTAGCCGAGCTTAATTCCAACAATACCAATATCATTTCTCTATATACCGAAAACTTTTGTAAAATCACCAACCCATTTACCTTAACAGCTACAACGTCCGAACTTTCATCATTAATCATTTTATCATGTATTTTATTACGGAATCATATCCAACACTTACTATTGTCATTAGGAAGCGATACAGAAGCACTTCAATTTATATTGAATCCATATCATCACCAACAGTACATGTTAGACGCAGAGGGAGAAGCAGAAGACGGAGACGATAACGACGACGATGACTATTATATTGATGACTATACTAAATATTATCCAGGACATCAAAGCTTGGTACTTGAAGCAAGCCAAGTCAGGCAGAAAAATAATCTAAACAATAGCAATACAAGTCACCGTGTTTCAACCACGGATAATTCATTCAAGAGCCTTGAATTAGATCCTGGGTGCTGGCATTGTTGGTGGGGCTACAAATTTTGGTGGTCTTGGTTTCCTTATTGCATGCCCGGAGGCTATTGTGATCGATATTTCATAAAATTAAGAGGCCACCGATCTTCATCTCGGATTATCAATAAAACGCAAGGTTATAAGCAACAGTATTATTAAGACTATATTAGATTCATATATGTAACATAGCATTGTAATAAAGAAGGATTCCTCGTAGCTTGTACGAGAACGTTTTTTAGTTTTGTTGCGAATTTTAATTTTCTTCTTGATCTTATGTAAGCTGTTCGTTCTCGCTTTAATTCTTTGATTTTTTTTGGTTTCTTTTTCCCGATTTTTGTTAAAGCAGACAACGTCAACATAAATACATAACAAATTTCAAAAGACTATGACAATAACACATCGCCAAAAACCTTCTGGTAGCGCTTTAGGCGCAGCACTAACAACAGAAGGCGCTAGCTCTTCTGGAGTTGACGATAAAGAGCCACCTAAATATCATTGCGATGCTTGTTCCAACGATGTCACGAACACTGTCCGCATCCGTTGTGCCGATAAAGACTGCCCAGATTTTGACCTTTGCGTAAGCTGCTTTTGTGGCGGGGCCGAGCCCGTTAAACACAAAACGTGGCACGATTATCGTATAGTTAAACCGCACAACTTCCCCATTTTCAGTGAAGATTGGGATGCCGATGAAGAATTACTACTCATCGAAGCAGCCGAAAAGAACGGTATTGGTAACTGGCAAGCCATTGCTGAATATGTCGGTACTAAGGGAAAAGCCGAATGTGAGCAACATTATTTGGATGTCTACGTTTCCAGCCCTTATTGGCCTTTACCCCGTATGGATTTGACCTTTGAAACAAGCGAAATAGAGTGTCGAGAAAGGAAGCGGCAACGATTACAACAGTCCCGTGGAATTACTCGGAAGCCTCACTCTAGTCAACCTAACCAGCCTAAACCGATTACGAGTGGACCAGCCTTCCATGAAATTCAAGGATATATGCCTTGTCGGTTCGAATTTGAAACAGAACATGAGAATGATGCAGAACAGTTCGTCAAAGATATGGTGTTCAATGATGATGATACCCCAGAAGAAATTGAATTGAAGATTATGGTTTTGGATATATACAATTCACGCTTAGATAGACGAATGGAGCGCAAAAAGCTCATATTCGAGAGAAAATGGTTGGATTTCAAACGTATGCAAGCAATGGAGAAGAAGCGAAATAAAGAGGAAAAAGAAATATATAATAAAACACGTGTGTTCTGTCGATTACAAACAGCCGATGACTATGAAACATTTGTAAGAGGATTAATCAAAGAGCAACAATTGAGTGATAGAATTGCTACACTGCAAGAATGGAGACAAGCAGGATTGACCACCATCAAGCAAGGGGAGCAGTATGAACGGGAAAAGCAAAATAGATTGGCACAATTGAAGACTTATTTATCACTAGCAAGTGACAAATTAGGAGCAAATGCTTCCGGTCAAAAAAGTCAGTTTCGTTCTCAAATGGCAGCATTGCAACCTTCCAGTGGCGCTAATTATTATAGGGATAGATCTAACAATGCAAACGCATCAGCAGTAGCATCAGCGGCCTCATCTATTACAACAGCTGCAGCCACCGGTGGTCGAAAACCTGCCAATCCGCTCAATATTTCGGAAGCAGATGGTGTTCATTTGCTTACGGAAGAGGAACAAATTCTATGCTCCACATTACGTATTATGCCAAGGCCATATTTGGTTATCAAAGATACTATATTGAAAGAGTATGCCAAGCAGGGCTATTTAAAACGTAGACAAGCTCGTGCACTAATCAAAATTGACGTGAATAAGACGAGTCGAATATATGATTTCTTTGTTGAGAGCGGATGGATCAAAGCTTTTAAAGATCCTGTTACAATACCAACACCTGCAGCCGCAACGACCGTGACCCCTGCGGCTGCTGCTTCAATTACTCCTGCTACAACAGCCACACCTGCGGCTGCAACAACTGCAACTCCTGCTGCTGCCGGTTCGGCAACTCCGGTTCCCGTTACACCATCGCAACAACAACAAGTTACTCTTAATGCTGATGATAATGCCTCAACAACGAGTGGAAATGTTAGCACTAAAGACGAAATAGCAAATACGCCTACTGCTTCAGCTGATATTACTTTAAATAATACTACCATTACTCCCAATACCAATAGTTTGGCCGGTTCTAACGATAACGCCACCAGCATGGAGCCAGAAAAAGATGAATCATAAAATACCCCAGTTTGTTCTTCATATCATAACATTATAAGCATCCTCGAATAAATTAATGTAACTTGGACTTGTTGATGAGTCTTCCTATGTCCGTAAGTCTTAAAAGCTGTGAAAATGCACTCGTTAAAAAGTCGATATGGTCATTAGCGCTATACCACAAACGATGGGTTATGTAATGTTTAAATGGTTGAATGTACGTTTTACTTGATAATGATGTATTCTGATGACATCGTTAGAGAAGTCTCGATTGACTTTGTATTGTTAAAGTTTCGCGGTAGTGGTGTCACACAAAACATCCAAAGGAATCGTTAGAATGTGTTTACAGAATCATGTGGAACGAAGTTTTATTCCTCACAATTACTTAATACTATTATGCTATGCTTATGAACAATCTTATTATGGCCTTGAGGTGCGAAAATATGTTCCTACCTATCGTCAATTTGTATTGTCTTATTTCAATAAATCTTCGATTTGAAACTGGTTTCTATCCTTTTATACATGATATCTCAAGTCTAAACAGCTCAACGATATGGCCATATAGTTACAATTCGTAATTCTATACAAATTATATTATTGAAGAGTTAAGGGCTACACAGAGGCATCATGCAAAAAAAGAAAAAAAAAAAAAAAAAAAAAAACCATACTCTCACAGATTTTTATGACCTTCTATTTCTTTTTTCCATACGTTATTCCTATTTTTTCCTGTCTTACTTGAATATTAGGTTATCTGTGCGTATCTGTATTTAATTGTAGATTTAAGCTTCTCGTTTTAATCGAGAAAAGAGGTACACATTACCACCAAGATGCAATCATCTCATAGTGATTATCAGCAAGCAAACCTATTATCCTGGCAACAGCAGCAAAACCTGCCACAGCTGACAGCCATGCAACTGTCCGATAGAGATCCGTCTGTAACGATTGATGACTTGACTATGTCTGGTCGGATGGAAGACGAGGATCCAGAGAACTTCAGTGGACATCCTAATAAGAAGTCTGGCAGGAGAAAAATCAAAATAGAGTACATTACCGATAAATCAAGACGACATATTACATTTTCGAAAAGAAAAGCAGGAATTATGAAAAAGGTAGAGATAAGTCTTCATGATATCTTTTTGTACATCTAGCTAGCGCTCAGCCAATTCTTTATATCCTTAAACAACTTTACATTATAGGCTTATGAACTTAGTACATTGACAGGTACACAGCTTTTACTGTTAGTTGTTTCTGAGACAGGCCTCGTATACACCTTCACTACACCAAAATTACAGCCATTGGTAACCAAGCCGGAGGGCAAAAACTTGATTCAGTCCTGCTTAAATGCACCAGACCCACTAATGAATGAGGCATCACCATCCTCCGCTACTGCTACTATTGCAGCGATTAATAAGATGACGACGCCTTTAGAGACGTCCACAGATTTAAAAGAATACCAGTCATCACTCGATAATAATTTTAACCCAAACCAAATGCAACAGTCTCAGTCCATGCTGTCAAATAGTAGTAATCCAGATATATTGACTTCCCCAATCCCCAGCAATGTAAGTGCTACAGTTTTTTAAGGTTTTTGATAGCTGTAAGGGTAATTTGGTGGATCAGGAAATATACATATGCCTAAGAGAAACGTTACACCTTGTGAGCCTCTTCATTGGGAGTTTCGCTACTCAAATCCATTATGCTTATGCTCTGTAGTCTAACATTGAGCGAAGTGGTCGTTAATCCATTATTCTTAACCTAGGGAAGTATATTAAATCCAAATTTCCGTGGGTCAGACCAAGCTGTGGCCTCGATTTATGATTCAAACAACAAGGTATACCATCAGTGCAAATTAAAGTATTGCTTTGATGTTTCTTCGAATAAACTATTGAAGTACACTACACATGGCAATTAAATTGCTCCAACATAGGTATTTCATAGCAATCTGTTTTCTACCTCTGCAGCAAACCCCTCTTTTATGTTTCTGAATAAAATTGGGACTACCTACGTGCAGATGCCTCCCGATTATACTTCTATGGATCACACGCCAATAGGATATGGTACTTCTGCAAAGCAGGCAAGCAATTCTTCATCATACTCTTACGATGTTCTTGGAGAAACCGAAGGCAATAATAAGCAATACATATGCAATGCTGCAATTAGATACCCACAATTTCAAGACCATTAAGGTTGGCTGTCAAACAAAAAGCAAAGCGCGAACAGAGTATGTCACTCGTATAATGCTTTCTGTACATTATTATCATTATACCACGCGTTAAATTATTCCTGTGTAGTATCGCATTCCTTTCATTAATATACTCATTGCTGTCATTTAATTGCAAGTATACGAAATATAGTAAACTTATCAAAACTACATGATGTATTATTCCTAATTCACCTAAAAGAGAATAGTATTACTATGTTCGAATCTTGGAATCGATCATTTTTAGTCTTACGGATCGCAATTTCAACATACAGGCTTTACGATGAGTACTAGAAAACACCCTCTATATTCAGTATGAAGCATTTCGTTCGTTTTGCGAGATATTGGAGAATTGAATATATTCTATTGTGATTATAGCAATCGTCTGCGTTCAATTTTTTTTTTTTTTTTTTTTTTTTTTTTTGTTTAAACACGTTGCTCAATGATTAGGTATGGAAAGTCATCTTATAAAAGTGAACTCACACATCAAAAGTTATATTTTACAAATCGATCATTATTCAGAATAATCATTTTATGAAAACAAACAATGATTTTTATTAAGCTTTCTCTATATAAAGTTTGTTACAAGGAAGGGCATCAATAATGGAAGTCAAAATATCTTATAGTAATACGATCAAAAATTCAATGCTTCTTCAATACAATAATTGATGTAATCCTTTTTATGGGCCATATTGACACCGAAGTATCGACTTAGCTGTTCACGTACTTGCTTTTTGGTTACTGTCATTAAATCTGCAGTTGCTGTTATACGCTGAACTTCCTGGCGAATTTCTTCGTCTGAAGGAAAGTTACCGTTGCTATCGGGCAATATTATTCTTCCAGAAACATTGCCACTACTGTTGTTATAATTGCTTGGCACAAAATAACCGCCATTATTAGCTAAAGCAATACTACTGCTATGCACACTACCACCACCTTCACTATAAATCGAAGGGGTTGACGGTCTTGGTAGGTGAGAATTCCTAGTCTGTGTTAAATTTGGTTGAGAAAACCTAAAGCTACCACTAGCATTATCCCGTAGAACTGGGCCACCTAAGCCACTACCGTTCATTATGCTCCCAGGAGCAGAAGAAGTAGGTATCATAGGTAAGGGTATTTGGTTCAGGCTGATCGCAGTATTATTCATTAATGGTGTCATGTTATATGGTGAATAGTTCATTACAGGCGTAGGAGGGATGGGTGGCGGAGGAGGCAGCATGGACGATGTGAGTCCATTAGCTGTTCGGCGTATTGTGGAAGAAGTGATGGTTGTTCCTTTGGTTTCTGCTGACCCGGTTTCCCAAAGTTCATTCTCATGGTCACTCCATTTTTTCAAAGGTATCGATTTAGGGTCAAAATTACCTTCGTCTGTAGGTAGAACCTTTTTTGAACCGTCGTCGCCAAGGACAACACGTGTATTGCCCCAAGAAAAATCGTCAAAGTGCCAAAAGGCATACATAGGTATGAAGAATGAAAATAGTGGAATGGCTAGAATATAAACTATCATCCATCCTATATGTTCCCACTATGTTTAGACGTATATATTGAAAAAATTAATGCATGTTTCTTATAAGTAATGTAGTGGTAGGAATACGTACCTTTCGGCGAATGATAAATATAATAGCTTGTAAACCATAGACACCACAAAGAGTGATAATTGAAATGAACGGTACTTGATCAGCGTTTACGATCAGACGATAAATAAGGAAACCAAGATAGCAAACGACTGCTGGCATAACAAGCGTACTGAGCAGATCTAGGATAACAACAAAACGCATGGAAAAGCAGCAGAAACCGCAAAGCTGAGGTAAGAATACTAACTCTCCAAGATTATGGATAGTGGAATTGATCCAACGCCGACGCTGCGAAAGCAACACGCTCCATCTATCCGGTGCATTCGTTAAACATCCTGCGTCTGCAGTAAATTTTGTTTTGTACGTTGGAAAATACTTCAGAATGAGAGTGGTCAAATAGCGATCTTCACCAAGGTGAAGCAGGTTCTTCTGGTGGAGAGTGTTGACTTTATTTTCAGCGTAATCTTCAATAACTTGGTTACTGACGAGTAAGGGTTGGTTTTTACCTGGAGATCGCACACGATACATGCAAAAGCAACCAGGCAAACAGGTCACAGAGCCAAATAGAGATTCGAACGCCTTAGATAAAAAGTGAGAAATATAGTATTCATAAACCTGTACCATAGTGACCCAACTATCTTTTTCATTCGCCAGCTTTGTTTCGCCACATAGGCCCACTATTTTCGAATCATGTACGAAACAAGATACCATACGATTGAGGGAATCAGGTAAGACTTCAGTATCCGCATCAACCATGAGTACAAACTCATAAAAGCTTGGATTGACGCCGATTACATTTTTGATTTGATGGTATATTTCTAGTTCCATGGGCGTCATAGGGGATTCAAAATGTACCTTATTCAGGAATCTCATTAGAACCATTTGAGAATCACGCTTGCCTCTGTTGCCAGGTTTTTGACGCTCGTTAGGTGCACCCACTTTGACTACGACGAGATATGGAACAACATGACCGGCACATTCATACAGACCAGAATAAATCTTTGCCATATTGTGCTGCTTAATACCCTCGCCCAGTGATAAGAAAGATAAAGGCTCGGGATCAACTGTAGACTCGACCCCTAAGATATCAAGTACTATGCGAGGAGTTGGTCTATCGTTACCGCTACCAACAATCATACCATCACAAACTAGGAATAGTAACTTTCTCTTGTCATCATAGCGTAGCACAGCGATAGAGTCAATGGTCTTCTTCAATGATTCTTCACTTTCAGTGTAACAAGGGACTTGACAAATTATAAACTTGTCATAATTCTCAGGCTCACGATTCGTACCTAATTGTAGGGCAGCCAGGAATTTGAATAAGATTACAGCACACAGGAAGCCAGTGACGATCAATAAAAAGTATTCCGAAAAAAGACATTGAATAGATCGTCTAGTATCAACTTTGCCCACAAAAAATAAGTTACGCAGACATACTAACTGACGTGTCCTTAGATCCTCAGATATAGGCAAAGCATCAAAGTGTTTTGAGATATCTGTACCAGCCAATTGCCTAAATAACTGCACGATGCTATTGTCCATAAAGTTGATATCCAGATTAGAAGGCGGTGACATCCCTTCAGGTGCGCGAGGGGCTCTGCCACCCAGAAGGTAGTTTGTCAAATCATACACATCGCCATGAAGGATTGCCCAGCTTCTATGTGTACTGACGTCGCCTACATTCACTACATTTGTTGCCTGTCGTAGAATGTCTGATGGCTCATAACCCATAAAACCCAATCGATAGTTCTTACGAAGATAAACCATTTGTTCAAAATACCAATCCGGCCTATAATCGTTCGTAAAGAATCTAAAATCATGGTACGCAGCATTACGATCAGTCAAGTTGACTTGGTAATCTAGTACTAGTTCTTCAGGAATCCTCCCAGTGGTGCCATCGCAAAGGGCTGAGACTTGAACAGGGAATAAGTTAGTGGCATCTTTACCGGCATAGTCAAAAATAGCACTATCAGGAATGACTTCGGATGCCCAGTGATGTGGGGCAAACTTTGTTAAGTCAAATACTTCACCACGTATAGCCACGTATGCATTATCTTTCTCAGAGCGACCTTGCAATTCAGAAAATGAAAAGACATCTTGATGGGGACAGATAAGTGGGCCGAAAAATACAATGAAGACGACCATACAGGCAGAAAGGAAGAAAATGAGCAAACATAAAGCTACCTTTTCTCTCCAAGCGAGGCGTACATCCCGCCTTTTCATGCCACCACAGTGATTGAGCGCAGGAGAAGGGACCCACCAAGTCAAAAACCATACAAAAATTAACCATCGACGGCGAACAGAGCTCATAGGTGGCTCAAGCTCTTTTTCCGCCTGTTCGCTTGATTTCCTGCCATCTGCTTTATCAACTCGTTCAGCATCGCGATTTTGTTTTTCTTGGAAGCTACTATGCTGATGTCCACCGTGAAGTAGTAACGAGCTGCTTTTTTTACCGTCGAGTGTTGCTTGCGAAAATACTTCCGAATTATTGTACTCGTGTAAGCATGCCTCGCTTATGAAATCATCGTCAGAAGCTGCAGAAGACATTATATCTTCATTAAAAGAATACGCATCGTAGAATTTCTGGCCAGCGAGAGGATTACTATGCACTGATGAGGAAATTTTCGACTTTTTTGATTCTGATTTTTCCAAGCTTCGTAGGTCATCTTCAAGGATTCTGAATGCGTAATTCGATAAATAAACCTATAAGAAACAAAATCCTATTGCGTTATTACCAAGACATCAAGGATTTCTGTTAGACAGCTGTTTAATATTCACCTTTGTTTCGCCAACGACCATCCAACTTTCATCCCAGCTCATAGTTTGAGCAATAAATATACATTTGTCTTTGATTGATAGATTGGCATCTGGCACTGTATTTATTGTCAAAGGTATGGATATATGGTACCTATCCCAGAAATCTTCAATAGTAAAGCTTGCCGTATAGTTAACCGCCTTTATGTGTCTCAAAATATTGAGTATTTCAAATGAGGAGTTTTGGCCTGCAATCTTCTTGACATCACATGAATTCGGTAAGGATAAGTCATTCGGTCTGAAGCAGAATACAAACCAAGCTTGTGTCAAAGATAGTGCATGCGTTAAATCGCTAATACCCGAAGCTACCAGGTCTGCTATAGACGGAACATGCGAGTTTAGTGACTCTGCTGCTGTTGAAATGGCATCGTCAGCTTTTTGGTCCGTTTGAATATTTGCTTGCTGTCCTGATGTCATGACTGTGGGCGCTCTTAGCGGCCGAATTCCCTGTTGCTGTGATATTACGCGGTTTCGCGTGCCATCATCGGAGCCCAGTAACTTTTCATCGAATATATGAGCCACCAATGCATTTGTAGTGGAGGGATTATATGCATTCCCATGAAATAAAGCTATAAAATCGTTGCATAAATAGTCTTGATTTCGTTCAGAGAATTGTTGAGGGTTGTAGCTGACAGATCCCCAAAAATGCTGTATGCCGAACATCCTCGCACCTGTATCACTTTTCACAAAACTTAAAATTTGGTCATTAATAGCTGTTTTATTGGCACTGGTATAGTTGTCCATCAATGCTTCATCCTCATTACTTAGTTGCTGCTGATAATACTGGCGAGATGCTTGAGAGTTCATGATGGAGTATAAACCGCGTGAGGGATGAGTAAATAGAGAGATAGTAGATGCATTGGACGGCCATACTGCTGTACTGACAGACGCAGGTGTTATCCCTTCATTTGCATATTCTTGTCGATCGCGCTCAAATATACTGTTCAGCATAAATTGATGAAGTTTTTCTTGGATAAAGTGAAAGGCAAACTGATCAAAATTATGACCAGCTGGTTTGGAATATAGCCAGCCAGAAGAATCTACCAAACCTATAAAGCTGTGAGCATTCTTCGGCGCTAAACGATCATTGATTTGTTCAACCAGCCATGTAAACAATAGACTATAAAGTGATTGTGCAAGTTCATCCCTTTGTTTACTTGCTTGGGCAGGATCAAGAAATAAGGTTGTGATATCTCTTTTGATCATTTTGCTTTTGAATGTCAAGGTACTCAAAAGAGAATTGGCATCGACACCGAGCAGATCAGCAGCTAGAGCAAGCGTGTCCAAATTTTTAACTATTGCAGCATCTTGAGAATTGTTTGGATCTTCAGCAAATTGGATATTTCCTAAGTGCAAGATAGCCGCAATGAGTTGATAAACTTGTCCTACCCACTGTCGACGAGGCAATATTGATTTCATGGCTGTACGTAGTTCATTATCTGCTACACCATCATCCAAATATGTTATTCTTGCTGTGTTTGTCTTCAAAAGATATTGAAAGCTAGACCAGTCACTGAGTGACAAATGTGCCTTTTCTTCTTGCGTTGCACCAGATAGTAAATTGTAGAATATATGAAAGTTGCGTTCATCTTGACCAGCTGCGGTTATTCTCGATTTCTCGAGAGCATAAGGTAAGAATCTTGCGCCGGTAAGACGACCTCTTTCAGTAAAATGCAACTCAGTATAAAGTGTACATCTGGAGACGTTGTCATGACTTGTTGATTTTGCGTGACTAAATGCACGAATAATGGTTTGAGCATGATTAATGTTTGCTTGAGTGCGCGTTGATTTTTTATTTGTGCTAAGTAAGGTTAAGTAGTCAATGGCTTGTCTGAATTGTTCTGTTTTGCCGCTTCCACTTTCACCACTATTGATGAATCAAAGAAATTGAAAGAATAAGTTTGTTACGAACAAAAAAGAGGGAGAAAGAACCAAGGGGCTTTCTTTTCCTTTTTTTTTTTTTTTTTTGTTTTTGATGCCATGCCTAGATTTAAGTAAATTAATTAAAGAGAACATTACCTGAATAAGATAGATTGACTACAGTGGGTTCGTCTCATGTGGAAATACGCATGATTCAAGAGTTGGTACAGATGAGGCTCTTTCCATTGGTCCATCTTCGCACTTTTAGTGTCTTTATATTCTGCTAGGTATTTGGCCTTTAAATTGGTTTGACTGTCCTTATTAACGTCTCTGAAAGGATTTAGACTAAGCAGAACAGTAGGACCGATGCTTGTATACAATAAATCATGTAAGTATCGTTGACGTAACGTTTCTGTAAGCTCGCTTAAAGATACTTCATGTTGTAGAAGAGTTAGGTCGTTTATAAAACTTGATTGTGCTGGAGTTTGTGACATTGCTTATATCAGTATTAATATTCAGATATTCAGATATTACAAGGCGCTTATTATTGTATCAATTATAAGTTGTTGGATATGTGCTCTTTTGAGCAATTGCAGGTATATAATGGTATTTTTTGAAAATATCTCTTTTACAGCTTTACTATGGTATATTAAAAAAAAAAAAAAAGAATATAACAATTGGTATAAATATTGAAACTTCAGAAGGTAAATAAAAGAAAAGCAAACAAGAAAAAAGCACCATAACAATAAAAGACTCGAGAAGTTATTCTCCTTTTCTATCAGAATTCAACCCCTTCGAACTGATGCTCTTTGAACTTTCATATATGCTACTTGGTCTTCCACAAGCAGCCCCTTGAAGTAAGGTTGCCTAAATTAGGAACATTGATCGACTTAATGGTATCTGACAAGAGAGTATATAATATCAAACAGTAGCATCTTCTTTCCAAAAAAGAAGCTACAATATATGTTGCTACAGGAACTTCATAACAGAGAATAATTACACGCGTTGTGTGTATTAAGCAAAATTAATGACTCAGGGTATCACTGCTCCAAAATTTGTAAAAAGAGATTAGTAACTGATTGTGATAAATCGAGCATAATTATCCAAGCATTGATTCATGTATTTATGGAATAACGAAAGAATATATATACGTATAGTTAGTGCAACGATTCTCCCTTCTAAAGGACGTGCACTGTTTCAGATTTTCCTTTCTGGCTTGATTATTTCGCTGAAACCACTCGGTATACATAAAGGATATAGGCTTGTATAGTAAAGCTTGTCAGTATCTCTTAAGTCTGCAAATTTGGTTAGTGAACTTTTCTGTAGTATGCAATATTCTCTCTTATATATAGTTAACTTACTGCAGAGATATCTATAAACCCTGGGCGACACTTGTAGGTGGCGTATTTAGGCCGAAGATAGGGTAAGATTTACTCTGGCTCATCGAAAAATATGGCCCTTCTAACAATTACCATGGTTCCTAAATATTCCCTTACATCTTCCCGCCAAACTTCCAATAGCAAATATATGCATAGCTGGTATTATTTGATATCTTTGATCAGACATGCTCTATATTACTGCACAATTTTCATAAGCAAGCAATAGCAATTAAATCAGCGAGACAAATTTTCATTTTCAGCAATCAGGTTCCTGAAAATACACAAATGCGACCCCTTTAGAAATACATTTGTTCTTTGCCATTTTGTGATCCTTAATAAACCTATCGACAGTTTCCATAGACTAGTATTCATTTTTGTTCTATTTACTACTTTTATCCTTCATACACGACACCACCCAACATACAAGGATTTCATTACACGAGTTTTATTTAATTAATAAATAACAATAAATATAGAGAGGCGGTCAATGGTGATTAATGTTGTGTCCATTGTATAGATTTCAAATCGATGCCTTCTTGAACCATTTCCCATAGAGGAGACATATCTCTTAATCGTTGTACATGTTCCACGACCTTTTGAATCACGAAATCAACCTCAGCCTCTGTAGTAAATCTACCAATACCAAATCGAATGGAGCTGTGAGCTTGCTCATCATCCGATCCCAAAGCACGGAGAACATAAGAAGGTTCTAGCGAGGCAGACGTACAAGCTGAACCTGAAGATAATGCAATATCTTTCAGTGCCATCAATAAACTTTCACCTTCAATATATGAAAATGAAAGGTTGACGCAGCCTGGATAACAACTGTCAGGAGCACCGTTTCTATTGACATGTTCTACTTGCGACTGAATACCATCTATCAGTTTTTTCGCTAAATAAGAAATTCTTCGATGGTCATACTACATATAAATCACTCATTTCAATAATCATATTCTATACTTAAATTGGAAAGCAATTATAACCAATCGACTTACTTCCATTTCTTTGGAAGCTATATGACAAGCTTCGCCTAGACCAACGCAAAGATTAGTAGGCAATGTACCACTTCTTAAGCCCCTTTCTTGACCGCCACCGCTTTGGATAGCTTCAAGGCGCACGCGAGGGCGGCGACGAACGTATAAAGCACCGATGCCTTTTGGACCGTAGATTTTATGACCGGATATACTCATCAAATCAATGTTCATGTCATTTACGTTTAACGGAATCTTGCCGACAGCTTGTGCAGCATCTGTGTGGAAAAAGACTTTCTTGGCTCGACAAATCTTACCGATTTCTGCAACTGGCTGAATAACACCAATCTCATTGTTAACAGTCATAATTGATACAATGGCTGTGTCTGGACGAATACTTTTCTCTAGTAATTCTAAGTCAACAAGCCCATTAGATTGCACAGGAAGATATGTAACATCAAAACCTTCCTCTTGGATGACACGGCATGAGTCTAAAACACATTTATGCTCCTAATTTAAAGGTTAATGAACCTTTCTGCATTCACCGACTCTCCCTATATTTGGAAGCTTACCGTTTGAGTGGTGATTATGTGTCTTTTCTTATTCTTATAGAATCTTGCTACTCCTTTTAAACTGATGTTATTTGATTCAGTTGCACCCGAAGTGAAAACGATTTCTTTTGGGTCAGCTCCAATTAGATGAGCTACTTGCTATACAGATCAAGAACAAACTCAGCTATCTTGAGTTTTCTACCCCAATGTATTTCTTCGTAATATATTTTACCTCTCTAGCGGCATCAACTGCCTTTTCTGACTCCCAGCCATAGGTATGGGTTCTTGAGTGTGGATTTCCATATATTTCGGTCATGTATGGCAGCATTTTATCCAACACCCGAGGGTCCAATGGGCTTGTTGCTTGCATATCAAGATAAATAGGTCGACTCGTTTTATTATCTTTGACATTATTTGCTGAATGTAAATCATTCACTTTGACATAGCGTAATAAATGTCAGCGATTATCCTTTTTTTTTTGCTTTCAAGTTTAATGAATGCGTAGTATTTGATGATTTACCTGCTGGAGTGCCCACAGTACTATTATGTCTCGAAAGACCGATAAGAAAACTGCGTACGGGCAAGACACGGAGTTGTTTTCTCACAGATGGCTCAAATGCTCTTAAGAGTACCGATTGTTGTAGTGATCTAAAAAGCATGATTTTAAGAGGTACCTGATTACAGTTATAAAAACTGGAAAGTGCGAATGTATTGCCTATGAAAAATAAACTTCAATTTACTCCACATTTTATAATTTTAAAATCAGAAAAAAAATGTGACTTTATTCGACGGGTAAATTCAAACTGATATTGGTGGTAATAACTCTATTGATTTACTTTTTAGAAGACTTCGAGCTGCTGCCTGAAGGAGGAGCTAACGGTGTAGAAGTAGGCACTACACCACGATTACCAACGCTAAGAACGACATGAGCAGCACCTGTACGTTTCTGTCTCTCCAATAATGCGCCAGCCAAGTTATGAGGTGTATCAGTACTGCTCATCATATTAAGTTTCCGCTCTTCTTCTATCTTCTTCATTTTCTTTTCAGTCTTTGTCTTTCCTGAGGTCTTGCCATGGAACTTATGGGACATATATTTGAAAGCTTCTACAGTCTTCATGACACGACCAGTATCATCTGTGTATTCCAGATTAACTTCAGGTTTATAGTTCTCCATTGCCAATTCAAATTCTTTCAATCTTCTACGTTCTTCTCTTTCTCTTTCTCTCTCTCTCTCACGTTCGAGTTCCCGCATACGATCAGAATTTTCCCTGCCTCCTCTTCCTCTACGACGTTCTTTTTCAATTTGGTCATCAAGCTGACGAAGTCTTTCTTTCTTTCTCATTTCGTTCTGCCATCTAATTTGTTCAGCTGCTATTCTATCACGCTTGAGCTGTTCCTCAGTCGGCTTTGCGATCACACCTTTTTGCTCCAAAAGGTTGAGCGTAGCAGCGAGACCTCGGCTCACAAGTGGTTCTTCAACTATCACTTCGGCTTTGAATTCTTTTTTCACAGCAGGTGCTTCTTCAGCCTCGTGAGTTGCTTGTTGAGCTTCTGCCTCTGTCATTTCGCTATCTTCGTTTGCTTCTGTCATTTGTGTAGCTTCTTGATCACCTTCTGTAGTTTCATTGATTTCATATTCCTCCACAGGTTCCGTCTTTATTACGGGTTCAGTAGCCTCTTTCTTTACATCTCTGGGATTGAAGAGAGCAAAATTGCTACCAATCGAGTTGACAAATTCAGATGTTTCAGATAAGACAAGACCTCCATTATCATCGTCTTCCACTTTGATTTCAGTTGCTTCCTGTTTAAGCTGCTTAGCAATCTCTTCGGGAGTCATTCTCTTGAATTGTTTATTCTTCTGCTTGTTTGCAATTCTTCTGGCGCGAGCTAAAGCTTCTTGTAAATCATCGTCGTCTACAAAATTAGCATCAGGATCCAGTGTATGAGGTTTTGGTACTGAACTAGGCTGAGTTGAGGTTTCTTCTGTTAAATTGGAATTTGTAGTGGAAATATTTAAATCATCTTCATCTTTATTCTTGCTTCTCATTTTCTTCTTCTTCTTTGATTTTGGTTTCTTGAAACTGACGGCCACTTCTTCTTGCGTATAATAATCTTTAATTTGCTGCATCTTGTCGTATGTTAATGATTGTTCTTTTAATTTCTCAGCAACGGATTTCTCGTCTGCCTCTTGCTGAACAGGCTTGACAACACCTGACTGTCCAATCACGAACCCTTTCTCTTCTTCGTTCTCCTCATATTGAGGTAGAATGCTGGGCTTCTTTCCGCTGAATTGATCATCGTCATATGGGTTATAGCCCGGTTTTTGCTTTTTTGCTTCCAAGTTTTTCTTTAAACGTTGACGGTCCTCCAGTTCGACATTACTGAGCTCAACCATTTCTTCGTCGTTTTCTTCAAGAATGCCACGATCTTTTAACGTTAAAATGGTTTCACCTCCTTCTTCAAATTCGGAAAGAGCATGACTAACCTTAAGCCCAGCAAGTTGATTTGCGTCGTATTTTTGATAAGTGTTATCCATGTCTTCTAATTCTTTAGCTCGACGTGCTGCCAGGTCCTTTTCTATTTTTCTGCTTTTTCTAATCCAATTGAGAGCGCTGTCGTCTTCTTCATCATCTGCTTCCCCCAAACCTTTACCTTGAAGCTTAGCTAAGTTACGTTTTCTGTTTTTCGCCCTACACAAAGTTTAAAACGCTTGGGTTAATTGAGATGCCTACAATCATAATTCTCAACTTGGAATGAAGTTTACTTTTCAATATTCTTTTTTATCTCTTCTTCCTTTGCTGCTTTTTCTTTTTCTTCTTTCAACTTTTGATAGTTTTCGTAGGCAACTTGATCGGGATCAGCGACTTCGTCAGCATCATCATCAGCCGCTAAAGGAGGAAGTCCCAATTTTTCGCGCAAAGCACTGTAATAAAGCAGGCCAGTAATAATAATATAGACATAAATTAATGCCTTGTACAAAAAATTATACAGTCTAATCATAACAACTTACTTTGTTTCTTCAATTGATAGGGATTCAGCCATCGTTAGGTTTTTACAACGGAAGAGGCAAAAAGGAAAACCAGACAAAAGGCGAACTCCATTAAGGCAGCCCTTCGGGAATTTAATTTTATTCATTCTGAATTATCAACCAATTACATTCCTTGTTTAAACTCTTGGACTGCTTTTCACCGCTTAAAAAGTTAAGAAAGACATCCAACCTATTCGAAGTTTTGTTGATCTACTTTTAAAACGCTTGTAGTGGCCATGGCTCGTTCACAGAAAAAAGGCAATACAAAAGCTTCTAAGGTACAGCAAAATACCATTACAAGTAGCAACGGCAGCAGCAGCAAAAAGCACAACAAAAAGTATAATGTTCAAGACAAATTGTTGAAGAAATCTTTAGCTCATGATGTATTTGAAGCAGAGGAGGAAGACGATCATCGTAAAGCCAACGATTTGGATGATGTTGAGAACTTAGAATATGAAGCGGGTGAAATCGCGGAGGAAGACGATTCTGAAATTGATTCCGATGAAGCTTTCGACGAGTCTGATGAGGAACGGTTTGGCGAGTACAACTTTCTGAATAAATCTGAGGATGATATGTCTGCATCCGATTTTGAGGATGAAGAAGGAGAGGATTATGTTGATCTTGCCGAAATGATTAGTAATCTCGATTCCAAAAAGCGTAGACGCCCTAACGAAGACGAAAGCGGCAATAAAAAACGTCAATTGAAAGAAAGGAACGAAGCATATAATGAAAGCGAATATAATTTAGGCACCCGACAAACAGATGATGATTCTAAGAAGCTTAGCCTTGCTGATTTGATGGAAACTGTGGAAGATGAGTCCAGTCTGAGTGCTTTGAAGACAAGTTTGGAAACTTTAGCTGGCAAAGGCAAAAATGTTACCCGTAAAGCCGTTGATGCACCAGTGGCTAAGCGTGTACAAGAGCGTATGGATCGTCAAGCTGCTCTTGCTACGGCTAATGAGGAAGTTTCTAAATGGCAGCCCACTGTCAACATGCTTCGTGAAGCTGAACATTTACAATTTCCTCTTCAAGATAATACAGCAAAGCCTACTCGCAGCAGTGCTGCCATGGCCGATAAGTTCAAGGCAGAGACTCAATTAGAACAGCAGATTAATGAAGCACTTGCTGAAGCCGGCATGAAGGATAAAGAATTAGAAGAATTTGAAGCCCTTAAGCTCAATAAACTATCGATTGAAGAAGTAGAAGCAAGACGCAAAGAGCTTCGTATGATGCGTGAATTAATGTTCCGTCATGAAATCAAAGCAAAACGTCTAAAGAAGATCAAGAGTAAAAGTTACAGAAAGTTGAAGCGAAAAGAGAAGGATAGAGTGGTTCATCAAATGGATGAGATTGATCATGATATGGAAGGGGATGAAGATGTCGCTTTACAAAGGGCAAAAGAACGCATGACACTTAAACATAAAAACACCAGTAAGTGGGCTAAGCGTGCTTTAGCCCGTGGTGTGAAGGACGAGGGTACTAGAGAGGCTATTATGGAGCAGCTCCGTCGCGGTGATGAACTTCGCCGCAGAATGGAGGGCGAAAATTCTGGTGACGAAAGTGATGGAGAAGACGAATACAATGGGGAAAATGCTTCTGATAGTGATGACGAAAAAGTCGAAGAAAATGAAGATGATCATTATACCGTTGTAGCTAATAATCCAGGTCGTATGGCTTTCGGCGCGAAGGCGAAGCAAATTAAGAATGAATCAGCAGGTACAAAGAATAGAGATTCTTTTGAGGAAGAATGGCTTCCTGTTAATAGTGATGACGAAGAAACAGAAGATAAAGTTGAGGAACACTATACTGTGGTAGCAAATAATCCCGGCCGTATAGCCTTCGATGGTAAAGCGAAACAAACCAAAGCAGAATCGAATGCCGATGATTCTGCAAATCCTTGGCTTCAAGCTGATACGTCTCGTCTCAATAAGAAGGCTTCGAAGAATAAAACTCTCTCTGGACAGAATGAAAGTCGTGTTGAGCACAGCATCGCCAAACTGAACAAGAAAAAGGAAGCCAGTGCAGCCGCTAGGGACGCAACTGAAGATGTTGAGCTGGATTTAACAAACGTGGCAACCATTTCGTCATCAAGAACGATCAGTACAGCGAAAACAGCTAAAGGTGATTCAGATGATGAATCTCTTGATGAAGATGATACCCCCACTGATAAGAATACCGTTGCCTTCAGTCAGCGAGAGCTTGTGGCAAGAGCATTTGCAAATGACGACGTTGTCACTGAATTTGAAGAAGAAAAAAGAGCGGAAATTGAAGAAGATGAAGATAAAGTTGAAGATTTGACATTGCCTGGTTGGGGAAGTTGGGGAGGTGCTGGCGTGAGGGAGAACAAGAAGAAGAAAAAGATTATCAAAGTGACAAAAGGCATCGATGCTGATAAGAGAAAAGATGCCAAGCTTGCACATGTCATTATTAATGAAAAGCTGAATAAGAAGGCAGAAAAATACTCATCAACAAATGTACCCTTTCCTTTCAAGACAATGGAACAATATGAACGATCTATTAGCCAACCTGTTGGCAGTGAATGGAATACTCGTCAAACTTTCATGAAGCTTACTAAGCCCAGAGTTATCACTAAGCTTGGTAAAGTTATTGATCCCGTCAAAGCACCTTTCTCATAGAGTAATAAAAAAGTTTACCACCTTGAAAAAATACAGTTCAATTCTGGTTTTAGCTTTAATGAGAGCACACTTGCTACATATTGCCAATTGCCGGTCTTACTATAATTTGATAAAATAATAGTATTTCAACTTAGATCGATCTGTAACTGATTGAATACAATCGACCGTAAATGAAAAGGTTCTCAGTGTTTGATGCTCCTTGAAACAGTTTTGCCACAGATAGAAGTGCTTATTATCTCTCTTGTACACACATCCTTGGGTTTGAGACATGAATGAGCTACAACATGGAGTATTGTGATTTCACTGCTGGCTTGAATAAGTTTACATTGAGAAGGCTAAGGCACCATATGCATTCTTGTTTTGAAGTGGCTGAATTTGAAAGACAATTACTGTGTCTATAACGTATACTTTATTCACCTGTGACAGAACGAGGTGAGCTTGACATGATCGTTTATTTTTAGTATCTTGGCACGTCTTCATCTGGTTGGCCCATTTTACTGAGTCTGGTTCAACTAGTTTTACAAGACTATTGATTGGTAACGCCCTCTAAATCCTCTACAGAATATGAGTTTTCTTCTGAAATAGAGAGAAATAAATGAAGTTGTAGGACGTCAATTGATATGCATAAAAGTGCCATTTGGAAATTTCAGTTACACCAATCGAATCATGACAAAACGCAAAAATGAGTATCCAAATACCACTATTTCGAGAACCGGAAGCGTCCGTAAGCAATGTAAGCGAGTAGACCTTCAATAAAAGACCTGAAAATTATAATTTTCGAAACTAGCGAAGGCAAAGAATCATTTGGAAACCTTTTATATTCGACAATGACTCTGAACTACCTTAAGTCAAAAGTAAGATAAATGTAATTGGAGGTTGTACATTGGCCGATGATTCACATAAAAGAAGAACGAACCTTGAGCGGTCATCTTCAAGGAAATTCATTTTACGAACATTGGGACTACGGACACTGCGGTATGCATGACCATTTGACATAAAAAAAATTAAAAGGCCTGTGTGTAACCACGATCATATATGATTAAAATAGCAGTAAATATACATATAGCTTCCATGAGTATGTACGATGCAGCTACCTTCCTTTGAGCAAACCTTAAAGCATTCTAGACCTGTCACGGATAATCATGTTTTATATGTATTAACAAATATTAGAGTACTATTTACAGTTATATTATATTAGGAAAGACAGCAAGTACATATCAATGTCTTAGGGATGAGAGTTCATTAGTTCCTCAACGACTTTACAGATATCTTCTACTGACTTGTCGAGTTTTCTCCCGCCGTATAGGCCGTCCACTACATTTTGCATCTGCTGAGGCGTCAAATCCAAAAAGCTTTCAATAAGGTCACCATCTATAAAGTTAACTGCATCATCTTTTCTATCCATTATGCATACACTTCTCCAGCTATGAACGACAAAGAAAGCAGTTAGCTACGCTTATATTTATTATGCATAACTGTATATGTCAATGAGCGATGTAGGGCGACTTACTCTGTGTGCGATAATCCGCCTACACTTTTTACCACTTTCGACATATTATACTGCATCTGATCTAACAGTTTAAATTTATCATGCGGCACATCTGTAATCAAGCCTATAGCACCACTGGATGTGGCAAATATCAGACTAGATGCCGTCATTTCTGTTGGTTTACGGTCTGGATCATTCTCATCGTTCATTCCAAAGGAGCCAAACCGAATTCTTCTCACTGTATCCCCCAGATGCCACACACTAACTGTTTCTAATAAAGGTTCGTCCGTCGCAATAGCGTCATTGTTTTCTTCACTGCATTTTTCCACTACAAACAAGTGCCCTTCTCTTTCCGCTGCTACATACAAGTTTTCGTCCGTCGCCTCAATAGCCAGTATTTCCTTTAATCGTTCGTGTGCAGCGACTTCTATTAAGCTTTCGGTTCGAGAATCGTAACGCATGACTACGATAGAATAAGCCATATCACCAGTGATAATGTAGTCGTTGAAAGTAGAAATGGCTTCAGTAACCGATGGCAATGGTTTGGAACAAACCGATTTTAGCCGTCCTTTACTACCCGATGTTTTTTCCCATTTATATACATGTAGCTACATTATTTTTGGTGTATTAGAGAAAAATCATTCGAAATCATATACTGTGAGAAGGAATCAGAAGAAAGATATCTTCTTCTTTTTTTCTTTACCTTGCCACTCATGCTAGCTATTAGTTTGCCTTGGAAAGCCTTTAAACAGTCAACAATGCCGTCTGTTTTAATTTGATCTACCACTCTTAGTTTTCTTTCGTTTGTGGATGTGCTTATCACTTGAAGAACAAAGATTCTACCCACACATTTCTGTTCGTATTGATCCGTATCTATGCCAGTAGCCAGCACATAATATTCTCCCTGTTGTTGTCGTTGTTGCTGCTGCCCATGTCGAGAATGCTCTTCTTGATGTGGTTGTTGGTTATGAGTGTGGCGTTGCTGGCTCTGATTACCACTACGATCATTATTGTCAGTATTACTATTGTTACTACTATCGCTTGTCATACTATTGCCTTCATGAGTACTATTGATGTCTATATCATTGTCATAGAAACTTATAGAGAGAGCTGCTAAAGGTCGTTCAAACTGTTTGAAGTATACTCTATCTAACACTTGCATTGTCTGATCGTCTAATAGCTCAAAACCGCCAGTCGTAGTTTGCATGGTATAAGCATTTTGCTGTTGATTGGAAGGGGAAGAAGATGGTAATCTTTCAGTGACAACACCGAATGTGCGTGTTGACTCCTGATAGCTGATACGTCTAGGTGTATCTATGGTGGGTATCTTTGTAATATGTAATTTCTGGATTTCTTCCATTTGTCCAATGATCAGTCCATTCTTCGTGGTAAGTGCAACTGTGTCGGGGAATAAACGACTGTTGAATGAAGTTACATAGCGCACTTCTTTCATATTGACATTGGAGTAGATAAGCTTCTTGTTACGACTGTGTATTATACTGGGCTTATCAGAGGCAGCAAAGACGTGTGTCGTACCGTTGGATTTAAAAGAGCTGAGATAAATAGGAAACTTACCCAAGAACGACCGCTTTTTGTCGGAAAGTTGCAACGTTGCAGTATCTAGTTTAAAGTTGTAGAATTGTCCATCGCCTAAGGCTACTAATAGGTAGCAGATGTTTTCAAACCTTTCCATGAGGATGGAGCGTGGCATGACAGAACCTGCAAGTAATTCCTCAGCAATTATATTTAGGTGAGGCAAGGATAGTAAACAGACACCCACTTGCTCCCATAGTCCGACAGCTACGACATCTGATTGTAGAGGCTTATCTACATGAATAGGGTTGATATTCAAGCACGAAATTTCATAAGGTAACTGTATGCTATTTATGATGTGAAGTTTTTTGTTGATGAGTTGAAAGGCAATGAGCCGACCAAAACCAGTAGAAATGACGCATTGTGAAGGATTGACGGCAGCTACAGTAATAGTCGATTGCTGATCTGGTAAATATTCGTCTAGTAACATGCCTTCATTTCTATCAGCTTCCATTAATCTGACACTTTTATCTGTTATTTGTATGATCATATTGTCGATCACATTTGCGGCAACCAACGTCCTCGAATGCAAGTCTATGCTCGCATAGAAGTCTAACTGAGTCATAGCGTTATCACGTATCTCTAGTAGAGTTGTTCGATCAAAAAATGATATGACTAGTAAATCGTCGTAGGTATCTTCTAATGATGGGCGTAACGTCCATATACCTTTCACGCCGCTGATTTCTATTGTAGCTAATTCATTTAACCCAACACCATTTCGAATGATACGTAAGGTGCTATTTTTAGCGACACCCGAACAGGTGATCAATTGGGTTTGTCCTTGTTTGTCTAAATCAGCTACAATAAAGTCGGTAATTGGTCCAATATTAGGAAACTCTTCCAGTACGTCTACTATTTCTCCTTTATTTGCGCCAGTAGAGAATTTGTTGATATGAACAAGTTGTGAGTCGCCCACTTGGGACCCAATAAAGACAACATCATTAGCGAGATAAGTAATACAGGAAGGTATAGAAATCTAATAATGTGGGAAAAAAAAAGCCATCCCGTAAGTCATTGGAACTTCCCTCATAAAAGCTGTATTTGTTAAATGTGCTCATTCCGCTCATACCAAACCCAATCTGATAAAATTTAAAGCATTGACTTGCTGATGGTATTGGCCGTCGAGGCTCAACGTCAAAAGATGCAGCTCTCCTTTTAGATCTCCCAATAATATACGTGTTCCGTCCAAGTTCATAATGGCATAGCTATTGATGTTGGAAGGTTTAATACCAATGGCTACTGGTGGTAGATTTGGCTTCAAGTATCTTATGAATTTTTGGGCGATTACTATTACGCCGCCAAGTGTAGGCGGTAAGGGGATAAGTAATTTAGCGTCTGGTTCAAAATGGTCCATGACAATGTCGCCTGGTGTTAATTCGCGCTCTTTAATATTCAGCGTAAATGACTGCAAATAGCGGTGATCAAGTGCGTCGTCATACAAAACGAGTAAAGTGGATGATTCTTGTTCTTCATTTATTGTTTTCGTGTCGTCGTTCTGTAAAAATGTTAAAGAAATGACCTTTTTATCAAACATACTAAAAATGGTTCATTGGATGAAGATTTAATCAAAACGGAGCGAAAAACTGCAAACGTTCTTTTGAGTATGTCCTTCTTTTACCTTATATTCATGAAATCATTAGGTAGATGTATGATATCATGTGCATGTCGTCTTCTACTGCCGAATGTACTATCCTTACTCCTTAGAGATATCTTTCTGACTGTCTGTGGCGTGTTCAATTCCTTCGGTTTCGTGAAATCGGGTATAATGAAGGTGATGGTGGACTCGTAAAGGTTGGCTGCAAAGAATCGACAAGAAGGATCGACGACGAGATGAACATTAAGTGGAATAATTTCATTACGTGGTTGCTGACCTGGAAAGCCAATCTCGCCATTGGAGTCGGTATTTATTTGTTGTGTAGTGGAATCAAAAGACAAAACACAATATTTATGTCGAGTTGTTAACAAAAATAATGAATCTTTATCTCGTCCCTATTGAAAAGATCGATCGTAAGATTAACTCAAGCATGAACAAAATGTTTCAAAGTTTCGCCCAGTTTTTCTTTTTTTGTTCTTCTTTTTCTTGTTTCTCTCAGCTTACGGGTGGGGTATATAATTTCATGGCGAGAATGGTTCCGTAAACACTGAATTCAACAATGGACTTTAAGCCTTCGGCTGTTATCGTATAAACTTCGATCCGATTTCCTTTGCTTTTTAACCATAGAAGTTAGGAAAGAAAGGTAAGCAGCTGACAAATCAATGGTAAGAAAGTAACCAAAATGGTTTTCTAAGTACCCCAGTATCAAGTTAGTTTCATAAGGCGATGTAAACGATCCTCTTATAGCGGAATGGACAGCTGTTGGTTTTTGCGCTGTAACAACATATTTTTTATGGGACATGGATTTGACAGTAAAATGTGGTCGTACGAACAATAGTGCGTTTAGGTAGAAAAAATAATGTTATATTGGCGCGAAACTAGAGGATGATACTGTATATTGTTAAACGCGAAAGTACTGATAGAAAGAAAACGTGAGTCGAGCCAAAATTTCAAAGTAAAAAAAAAAAGCCCTTTAATCTTTTTTTTTTTTTCAGTGTCCCTTGAAAATTGATTGGCTGAATCAGGACTTTGGTTGAAAGAAAACGGAATAGACACGGATGTGCAAGTCGTGTGATGGATGAAGGCCCTGTGTCTAACACACTCATTATTGACTACAGAATTGCATTCACACAACAGAATGGCAGTCCTCTACACTAGCAATTGATATATGACTACAAAGGACTATGTCTATTTTTAGGTGAATATGTTCACAGAGAGATCAAATACCTTAACCGTTTACGCATGAATAAAAATGCGATTGAACAGATTTGTGATACGGTTTCCGCATAAAAAGGGAGCCTTATTGAAAGCCTGACCAAAAAGCGGCAGAGTCACACGTATTGACGTCCTTACTTAATGGTATGCAGGCATCGTGCAGAGACCAAAAAAAGGGTTCTTTTTTTGTGCCTTTTGAGATTCCCTTTCCCTTTTTCTTCGCCTTTTCCTTCTTTTCTCCTCATTCCATCTCCCTTATTTCATTTCCTTTTTGACAAGAGACTTACAATGGACGACTCACAAGCAAATAACATCAATATGTTATTTTCAGGTAATGATTTGATGCTATTCACAAAATGATGTATCATGAAGCTGAAGAGTGTATGCTTAGATGAGAGCCTATTTTGGAGGAATGCGACGAATGATGGCATGGATAAGAGAACTATCAATCATAGTCTTATGCAAAATGCTAATAGCAATATCACTGATGGCGATTATGCAATTGCGCCTCCTGCCACTATGGTTCCGGCTACAACTGCTGCTGCTACTTGCTCTGCAACAGCTAATATTAACGATATATTCTTATTTGGACAGCAGCAGCAGCAGCAGCAGCAACAGCAGTCTATAGTCAATAACCACCTGCATTCTACTCTTACTGCCCAATCTTCCTTAATGACAACCACATCAAACTCTTATTTGCCGCAAATGTCTGACAACAGCTTAAATGACTTTGACTTTTTAGACCTACTCTCACAACAACAAAAACAGCAATCATACCCATCAAGTTCAATAACCCACTTCCCATCAGTAGCAACAAGCAAAAATCAATATATGTTTCCTCCAAAGGACGCTAACACTGCTATCAATTCTGCAGAATTGTCGTTACACCATTTACAGTCACGATATGCATTGATCGGTAACAGTATCGATCAACAATGTCTCACAGGAACGAACATACCGATGCCGCCAACTGCGACTCAACAACAATATGCGACATATAATACCAAACGTAAGGGTACAAGTATCGCTGATACGATACAGAGCACAAATGATATTGTTCATAAAGTCAAGCCGAAAAAAAGAAAAAGAAAGAAGGCTATAAACACTACAGGCACTACTCGTAACGTCATCGACGAGAATGGTGTTATAACAGTGGATAATAGTGTTCAGAGCACAGCTCCCAAGACCAAGAAAAACACGGGTCTCAATAAGCCCCTGTTATTAAGCCCTTTATTAAGCACTTTAATGGGTGGTGAAAAGCAGGTAGTGCACATGTGATATGGCATAGACGGAACTTGTAATGATATGTACTAACTTTTATGCTTACAGTTACCAAGACCAGAAATTGTCAAAAGGCTGTGGAATTACATAAAGACAAACCAACTACAAGATCCGGCAGATCGTCGCTTTATCCTATGTGATGAAAAATTGAAACAGTTGTTTCAAAAGGATAGAGTAAATAGCTTCGGAATGAACAAAGATTTGACTGTCCATTTGACTAGCATTGAAAGTAAAAGCAATAAAGAGGTTACTATGATTACGCCTTCAGATATACTTATGAGGAATACCACAAGCACAAATAACAACGTTGACACCACCATCGCTACATCGCCAGTACAGACGGCCGATAACACACCTGACATTATGACGCCAAAAGACACTGAGTACACATACAAATGGAACTACTGAATTATTTGTTAAAGACTACTATAACTTATATGATTATGATAAATTGAATTTATGCTTTTTTCTTTTTTTTTTTTAAAAAAAAAAGGAAGAAAGTTTATTTATTCAATGCGAAACAACTGGATTGAAAAACTTCCGTAACTGTAAATACATTCATTACTTTAATAATAAGAATGCTACCCTATGCCAATAATAACCAACGATAGATTGAATTTGTGTATTCTGCCACATTTATCAAGGAACAATTTCGGAAAGAGGTTATTGTCAACTAATATGGGAAACAGGTAGTCAAGAGGGGCTGATGAGTAGACAAGCTAAGGTCAGAGATTTCTTCTTTTTCAACGTCCTTTGGTATGATTAATGGAGCTGTTAGGCTCAGAAATTCAGATTGCTTCAGTTGTCGCTTTTTCCAAATCAAATCAGCTACTGTAGGATGCGTATCTACATAAGCATAGATCATTGTCTCAGCACTGTCATGAGTAGAATAGTTTTCCTCGTTTTTGTAGTCTCGCTCTTCTTCCGTAAGATAACATGTCAAATTCAGAAACCTAAGTTCATGTTTGTTTGCTTGTAATAGATCAATGTTCATAGTTTTACTTGTAAACGGATGATAAATTTCGATGGGAAGCAAGCAAAAAGAAGAAGATGCAGAAGTTAGTGTTTAAGCTTAAATAAGAATAAGAAATAAAGACTGTTGTAACAAACTTTCCTTCTATCCATTTGAAACACACATGTGATCTTTCATTATCATCAAAACATCTCGATTGGTAGTTGCAATTACAGCCGGTGCTTATTCTAGTTGTTGTTAGGTATAGGAAATAGCAATGAATTAAATTTCAATACCAACAAACCAACTTTGCCTACGGACTATTTTCTATTCGACAGTAAAAAAAAAAGGAAGGAAACAAATATGATTGAAAATTCTTATATATAAGAGTCCTTTATCTTTCCACCAGCAAAGAAGATGAAACTTGATTTTTCTTAAACACTCAAAACAATAGCTGAAAACTTACGTAGAAATTAACAATGGTCAAACTCTCTTTAACTTCTATCGCGTTGGCTTCCTTGTTGGCAATGGGCGTAGCTGCCAAAAAGAAATGTAATGTCATTTAATGATGTGCTTTAGCGTCATAGAATGAATGCAATGCGTGACTAATATAACGTTCATCTATATTTCATTCCTGTATTTTAGCCAAAGATCAACCTACACCATCTTCCTCAACAGCGGTTGCTCCTACTGGTACAGTTAAAGAAGCGACTTGTGAGCGCAATCTCAAGGTGACGAACCAGTCCGATTTAGATGCTATCAGCAACTGTGCAACATTCAAGGGTAACATTGAAATCAACGGACTATCTGCTGTTCCCAATTTGCACCTCAACGGCGTAGAGCATATCATTGGCGATCTTGTTCTTACGAATAACAACGATTTGGTCAGCTTTGAAGCTGCTGCTTTGACGAAAGTAGAGGGGGCTTTACGAATCGAGAACCATATCCTTTTGAATCAAGTACAACTTCCTCACTTGAAAGCTGCCAGACTTGTCTCATTCTCTGTGTTGCCAGCTTTGGATGTGATTGCTTTCCCTTCCGGTTTGACTCATGTCGAGCAAATGAAAGTGGAAGATACAAGAGCCCCTACTGTCCATGGCTTCCTGGCAGACCGGGTCGGAACATTTATGTTATTGAACAATAATTACATGAAGTCATTTGATTTCAACAGTGTCAAGGATGTAACAGGTGAAATGTTGATTATGGGTAACAACCATGCTCTCACTTTCCAGGTAACAATTTTATCTCTAAACATATTATTTTAATTCATCATAACTCTTTCTCAATCCAATGTACTTTTTGATAGGCCAATCAATTAGCCAAAATACAAAAGGCCACTTTTTTCAATCTGTATCAGCTTGACATGCCTGCCCTAACTGAAGTTCAGAATGACATTTCTTTCCACGAAAACGACTTCCTGAGTCTCAACATGGATTCTGTTGAAAACATCGGTGGTACCATGACTATTGCTAACAATAATAAACTCAAAGAAACTTCCTTCAAGAAGCTCCACTTGATTAATGGCGCCCTTTCTATTGGTAACAACACACAACTCACAGCCATTGATGGTTTCCCTGCGCTCAAAGCCGTCCATGGCACTATCGATTTAGCTGGTGGTTTCAGTAAATATCATATTCCATCTCTTCAAGATGTTCGTGGAGGTATGCGTCTTCAAACTACATCAAGTCAATTTGGTTGTGCCGATATCGAACGTAAATTGCGAGGTGAAAATGTTGTAAAGGGAACAACTTGGAGCTGTACAGCCAGTATGCAAGAAACAAATTTGGTGCCCACGATGGGTCAATCTCCTAACAGTGGTAATAATAACAACAAACAGCCAGCTTTAGCTACCGGTAACAATAACAATAAGGGAAGTGGCAATACCCCCACAACTGGCAACACTAATATGGGTAATGCTATCGGACAATTATCAAGCAGTGCCGCGTCTTCTTTCAACGTGATGGCCACTAGCGGTTCTTTGATGGCTGGTGTGGCTATAGGTTTTGTCTATAATTTAATTTAAATCTTTTAAGATCACTGTCTTTATTAATTACTTGCTTACTTTCTAACTCGAGCTATTCTTTGTCTGCTGTCTTTTCTCTAATTAATAACTGATTTTTCCCCAGCCAACCGTGGGGTCTTTGCCTGTCTGATTACCGCTTTTTGAAATAAAAATCTCCTCCTTTTAACGTTTGATTTCGCTTCATTGACAAGCAGTTTGCGTATGTAACAATTCCTATGAATGGCAATATATACTAGAGCATACACTAGTAAAATGTTAAATTCCTTCTATTCATGTATGGTATTCGAGTTTTCAAATATCACTCAAAAGGCTCATGTTTAAATCTTCCAAGTCCGTAAAAAGATACATAGTTGACAGTTTCAAAGTGCCATTGTTCGATCTGTTAAGCACACCATAGGCTTCCGCCTCGCTAGCATTAATTGTTTGATAGTCGTTGCCTAGTATAAGCACTTGCCATATTCAAAATTCTGATCCTTGTTTTCATTGAAAGCGTAGCAAAACTGTCCAGGTCAGAAAAGTTCCGGTTTTATTAGACGCATACATCGACATTATGCCTTTGAGAACAATTTAAATGGTATCCGTATTGTTTACTAGTTTAGCTTTATCCTGTGTTATGTCAAAACAGCTATTATTCTCTATTACAGTAGCTATCCCAAAGCTAACTATACGAATTGTAAGGTAATACTCAGAAGGCTATTCTCCGTCTCAATAGATCAAGTAAGGTAGCTTCATTGAGTAACATAAAATAAAATATAGTATCCTAAAGCTATTTCAAATGGCTGTTTATTCGTTTTTGACTGAAAATACCTGAATTACTGCGAGACAGTTATTGAAATCAGGGAGGGAGATGGGGAGAGATATTACAAGGAAGGAAAAATCTGGCGCAGTAACCAATAAGCTTTTAATCACCGTGTTCAAATAAACGTAAATTAGGTAACAAGGAGCAGACACCATGATATGTGCATCCTCTATCAGCACAACGTCACCCAATACAAATCGAATCGTCTTTTCTAGTTTAAGAAAGATAAGATGGCCGGAATGACAGCTGGTGATTTGATTACAATCTGCACAGAATATAATACATGCAAAGCTATATGCACATACCTGAACATTCTTCTATGCACTGTTTGAATAATATGCAAGCAAGGCAATGAATTACTGATATTCACTGGTGGCAAGTGACTTACATTAAATCTGTTGTATGTACAATTCATTCATGGATCTTTTGATACTTCTTATTCACCTTTTTTCTTTATTATCATTTTTTTCTCCCTTTTGCTTCAGCAGTGGATTAAGTCCTTACACTCGTCGATAGTTTACCTTTACTTTGCACAGAGGAGCATTTCTATCGGTCAGAAAAAGTAACCAATCAATGAAAGAAATAAAGAATTCGTCCAAGGAAGGACCGGATGAACCGATAATTGGGACCGAAGCTATTAATAGCATCAAAAGTGTTACGAAGGATACTAGCTCTTCAAACTATGACTCTTTCCTTGAAATAGACGATGATGGGGAAAGAGATTTTTATGGTTCTATCGATATGGAAGAAGAAGAAGAAGCTAGAACAATTAGTACTTCCAAATTTAAGGATGATGGAGAAGAACAAGAAGTAGAGAAGGAAAAGATAACACCACTTCCAAAACTTCAGCTATTCATTATCTCAATAGTGTTGGTCTGTGAGCCACTAACATTTGCTGTACTGCTTCCCTTTATTTATTTTATGGTATGAAAATCATAGCTATATGGCGGCGGAAAATAATAAGAAAAGATCTCCTCCTGATCTGTATTAACATTTTCTACGTACATATAGCTGAAAGACTTTCATCTATCAGATGATGAGAAACAGATAGGCTCTTATGCAGGATGGATCAGTAAAGTATTTAAAATATTACTCATACTGCTCAACTTATTAAGCTCTATAGTTGCGTACGTATACATTTTTCGTTAACCATAATGGATTTTTAGCTTCCATGTTCTTTGTAGCTCAGTTCTGTACAGCCATCATTTGGGGAAAGATATCTGATAGGTATGGACGGCGAACGGTACTCTTGACCGGCCTCTTAGGTAATGCCATCTCGTCTTGTCTGTTTGGAATGAGTAAGAGTTTGTCATGGGCAATAGCGTCACGTACATTATGTGGTATAATGAATGGTAATGCAGGCGCTGCTCGTAGTATGGTTAATGAGATTACAGATAAAACAAACAAAGCCAAGGCATTTTCTTTATTTGGATTTTGCTGGGGCTTAGGTATGATAGGTAAGCATGAAAAAGAACAAAAATCAACGCGTATGGTGTTTGACTGAGAGTGTCTTCCCGTTCTTTTATTGAATTGTTACTATGCATAGCCGGTAAGTCCATTCATCAGTGTATAGCTGTTCATACAAAAACAAAAACGTATTAGTTCATGATATTCGACTTTAATTAACATTTAACTGATGAAATCACAACAGGTCCTGTGTTAGGTATGTTTATTTTATAGAGACTGGTAGAACAAAAAAAAAAAAAAGAAAACAATGAGAAACCTTTTAGACATAGTTAACATCTCTACATATTAGGTGGTTACCTCGTTAAACCAGCAGAACACTTTCCAATAATTTTTGGAAACAGTGAGTTCTTCAAAGCCTACCCTTATTCTTTACCATGCTTTGCAGCTTCCACTGCCTCGATATTTGGATTCAGCATAGGGTATTTTTTCCTTAAGGAGTCTAACCCTATAGTTATTGCTAAGAACCATAGTATTGAACGACAACAAAATTTAGTGGCAGATGAAGCAACATCACTTCTAGCCAAGAAACCACAAGCAAGTACCGTTACAGCCAAGAATCCTGATAAGTCTACTACTACGGAAAAGGCTGGTTCTCTTCGTGATGTCCCAAGCACATCCATTATTGTCATTAGTGGTTATTTGTATGTACATGTACCAAGAAAGCAGTAAAAAACAGCTGGTAAAGCAATAGCAACTATAAAAGTGCGATTAATTTATAATTTTTGTTTTAATAGTGTTTATGCCATACATTCCATGGTTTTCGATGAAGTTTTGCCACTCTACTTCACTGCTCCAAAATACGCAGGTGGACTAGGAATTAGCACGCAAGAATTTGCAGAGATCCTGTCATTTTTTGGTCTTGTGCAAATAGTGTCTCAGGTAGTCATATATCCTCGACTTACTCGTCACTTTGATATATTGTCGGTGACAAGATGGGCCTTCGTACTGATTGTGCCTGTCTATGTGCTTTTCCCTGAATTGACGTCGATACAAAATTGGTCTTTGAAAATCATCTCCCCATTCCTCAATTTTGGTAGTGCTATTAGTCGTGGTGTTGCTGAAAATTCTGGAGGCAACACCTTGACATTGGCCATTGGTTATGTGATTTTGCTGTCCATACGTTGCGTAACCACGGCATCTACTTTTACAGGATTCAATTTAATGGTAACTTGATTGCACGAGACTGCATAAGGAAAGGGATTGATAACATCTTCCATTAACATAACCCTCTCCCTCAATAAATTATCCATTTTCCTAGGTTAATATGTCGGCTCCATCTGAAATACTTGGTATTGTCAATGGGTGAGTCGGTTGAGGCTACGTCAATGTTAATGCAGCTGATAGATCCTTTAATAATGGCAAAATCTTTTCAATTAGGGTAAACATGGCAGTGACAGCACTGGCAAGAGCTTTTGGTAAGGTTTGATCCATAAATGCTTTAAGAATCAGAACCCAGTATTATTTACAATTTGCATTATACTTCGTTTTGAATTTTGAATGTATTTTTTCAGGTCCTACGTTTGGAGGTACAATTTGGTCTTATTCTCTGCAAGAAGGAAACAAATACCCTTTTGATCATCATTTGATATACTACCTGATTGCTTCTTTGGCAATAATCAATCTTGCGCATAGCTTTTTTATACCTCCTTCGGTGGCGTTAGGTGGCAAAAAGAGCAAACACGCTTAAATATGTCCGAAAAGAATTGATATTTTTACCTTTTTTTTACAAAAGAATCTCCTGACTACAATGTTCTCAACAATGTATTATATAACCGCATTATTTGAAAAAGAAGATACAGTTGGATTTTCTTCCAGGCAAATACCACAAAATAGAGTATAAATTGGACTTAAGAGGCAACTATTAGATTTGAGAGTTTATTTGTTTTGTTTCGTTCCTGATTTCTATTGATTTCTGCAATTTCAACTTTAAATGTAAATTTCTTATTTTTCGCCCTGTTTTAGTAGTTGAACGGAAGAGATTCAAGTACATAGACATCGAGTACTATCTCAACACGCGATAAATGCCCCGCCTAGGTGTTCATGATGCTTGATCTCCAGTCTTATGAGACTCTACACTTCAGGTAAGTTTTTACTATCTGTAAATTCTGTTTGGAATTCTGCATTGATGATAAGTTTGAGAAAAAAAGTTCGATTTGTCTTCTAGTTTGTCCTCTGTTCTTCGGGAATATTTTATTTTCTTTTTCAGAGCCTGTATTATAGCAAAGCATATCTAAAATCAGACTGGGTTTGAACGCCTCCGATCATTTTACCTATAAAAGGACAATTTTCTGTCTATTCTTTCTTTTTCTTTCTCTTAACTCTGTATCCTAAATTTTTCTGTGTCAAGCTGATTTTTTCTCTGTTTACATTTATTCACATATCTACGCCTTCTATAAATTACTCAATAAATAAACCAACAAATTAAACAATGTCAAGCTTCAATACTAAATATATCTTCTCCGGATCTCCTACAAGCCCCTCATTAGGTAAGCTATTGAACTATATATTTATGATGTATGCAACGTGATAGAATATATAATTTGTTACCTTGAATAGTATATAGTGGTACGTCTATTAACTTCGATTCATTTACTCTTCTACTTGAATATCAGGAGGTCGTTCTGCGGCTGCTCGACAGCGTTTGTCAAGCAAAATATCCGCCCCACGTCCGATGAACTTACCAAGCTTAAAAAGCGAAATTGGTTCCGGTACTGGGAAAACTTCCACATCTCCTGCAACTACGTATACATGGGGCATGTCCAAAGACACGAGCAAAGAAAATAACACTGATAAAAAGCCCTTAAATACTACCAGTAAAGCAGCACCTACCTCACCTGCAAATTCACCTACAGCATCAACCACGACAGCATCTCTTAAACAGACTGAGCCAGCCATTGCTACACCAGTAGCTACATCACCACCTCGTGCTTGGGGAACTGTACCTAAGGTGTCGACAGCCAAAGTACAAACATCATCATTAGACTTTCCAACAGCACAAGAAGCAGCTGCTTTTGAAAAATCCAGTAAGTCGTTTTATCATGCTAGATTTTTTTTGTACATTTATGCTGATTTTTGCTTTTCTTTCGCTCTTTTTTTTTTTTTGCTTTATATCATATCAATTTCTGTCGCATTCGTACTATTAGAAAAGAATACTTTGATGGTAAGTTTTTTATTGATAAGTTGTGTTTCGATAAAGTAAATTTAATACACGGATATTTTAACTACTCATTGATTGAATAGGATAACAAAAGTTATATCGAACTTATGGCATCCAGTCCTACCAAACTTCGTTGGGACGAGGTAAAATTTCGATTACAATTTAGACACTTGATACCGAACTCGGGTTCAATGCTATACTCAAATTCATAGTCTTTTGATCAATTGCATTAGATGGCTGATGATGAAGATAATTTCTCTGTTGACACTATTGTATTCGAGGATGGTACTGAATTCCATATTGACAACACTGACGCTGCGGATGCTGTTGATGATGAAAGTAGACTAAATGTTAATGAGCCCCCCACTCATTCAACACTCAAACCTTCTCCAACATCAGCACCGCCATCACCAATTGATCAAGAACCTGTATCTCCGAATGAACGTTTCGCTAATGATTACGATAGAAGCTATCCGCCACAATGGAAGCATTCGCCTGGTGATACTCATATTCAACGTACAAATCGATATAGTAATAACAGTAATGGAAGTGGCTTCAATGATAAACGCCGTAATAGTCAATACAATCGCAACAGCACTTACCGTGATAGTAGCAACGCATATCACTATAATAATAACAATCGACGATCCAGTTATAACAACATCCGCCGGCAGAGCAACGACAATTATTATAATCGTGCCCCATTATACCAACCAACAGCTGTTCTGAAGAGACCGTCACCGCCTGAAGCCAGGCGCCCATCCGCTTCAAGTAATAAATCTGATGATGGAATGGCGAATGCAATTGAACGGGCTAGGAAACGTAAAGAAATGCAGGAAGCAGAGTATATTGCCGCAGCAGAGCGTGCACGTCAGAAGGCCGCCGCTTTGGCTGCAGCTTTGGCTGCGAAGCAAAATGAAGAACATCCACAACAAGAGAGTTCAAACGATGAGCACTCGCAACGAAATCATATTGAAGAGGAGCGTTTGCAACAGGAGAGTTCACAGCCAGAACGTTTAGAAGAGGAGCGTTCGCAGCAGGAAAGTTTACCACCGGAGCGTTTAGAAGAGGACCGTCCGCAACAGGGAAGTTTACAGCCAGAATGTTTAGAAAAGGAGTGCTTACAAAAGGAGAGTATACAAGAGCCATGTCTGGAAGAAGAGCATTCACAAGGAAAGAATTTAAGCAAAGAGGAAGAAGCTAAAAGCGACACATTGGAAAAGAACGCTGAAGTGCTTAAAACAGATGCAGAAAAATGGGAGCAATATGTTCAGAATGTTAGAAATAACACTGCTGATATAACTAATACTGTAACATCCAATGATTGGAGCACTTTCGCAACACGATTAGAGAAGAAGACATTAGAAGAGAAGGCAGCAGTTGCTGAACAGCGACGTGAGAAAAGGCAGCGGGAGCTTTTAGAGGAAGAAAGTAGAGCACAACATCATAAGGGAAATCACGGACAAGCACAGCCTGAGGTTGAGGAATCAGCCGGCAGTCAATTGTTCGAGAAAGCTGAAAATCAAGAACCTATGAAAGAATCAATTAGTAAAAAACAGCATACGCTCAAAAATCCGACGGACAGTGATTTAGTATGCGTTACTACTAAAGATGACGCAATAAAACGACCTACACAACATAATTTTAAGAAAAACAAGGAATTAGCCAATGTTACCCAAGTTCTATCTAGACGATCATATATCACTGCTCTACTTCACGAAGCAAACGCCCCGATATTTCCTGAAGCTTTCGAGAAACTTGCTAAGAAACCTGCCAGTCTTTCGTTCATGGTGTCCCCGATGGAGGAAGATGATATTGAGCAATTTGCAGATACCAGTAAAAAGGTTGCCACAAATCCCTTTTTCCCAAAACTCATCTATCGACCCAGTGGTAAGTACTAGAAACACCCTTTTTTGGCTGAACAATAAAAACCGTTACTGAGTGTATCTTGTCCTGATTACTTTATTACTAGACGCTGATTCTCCGTTTTTGGGTATTTATCTTACGCCGATCACGCCAGTTCCTAATTGTAAAAAAGCTTTGGTTCCTTTGGCAAAAGATCAATATTTTAATATTCCATTATTCTTCTGATTTCTCGCCCCTTTATATTACGTAATTCCTTTACCTTTGAAATAGCCCATTTCCGTATTCCACTATTTTCAGTTCTGAAAACGTATATCTCTCACTTGCTTTGAAGTGCTTTTTCATGCTATTTATTAAACAGTTAGCTTCAAATACATATTGTATCAAATTATTGTTGCAGAAAGGAGAAGCACAATACAGGACGTGAATACTATCCCCGCTGCTCTTCGAGGATAAGAAAAAGTGCTGGTCTATACTATCGGTGATTACATCGAAAGCATATGCATACTGGTATGTATAGCTACACCCTGCAAGTTTTAGCCGGGTAGTGTACTTTGGATGGGCGGCACAACTTTCTTAGAACAAAAAAATTATACTTCTTTTAATGTATGCATCAAATCATTCATTTGCAAACTAATCGCATCGGAAAATAGTATGTTCATTGTTCGTCCAGATTTTGTTTAGTAACTTTTGACTTCCGCATTGATGTGCATTGAGTTTATTATTCTTCATTACACGCTTCGCTCAATTATAACAAAAAGCAGATCTTTATTTTAAAGTGACATTGCGTATATATCATATTATATAAATGCATAGACATGCTTAACCTAGTTAACTTTTTTCAATTCAATTTGATGCGCTATAATAGCGGACTGTACGATCTAAACTTGAAGTCATCAAACCTTGCGCAAGAGGTGACCAATGTAAGCCAGTAATATCTGCAGTATTATCCTGGAAAGCTGTGATAGCTGAGCCATCCTTAGCTTTGAACACACGAACATCATTACCACCTACAGCCAAATACTGACCATAGTCATCGAAGGCAAGTTTCGTAATCTTATAATTTTCGTCTAAAGTGAAAGTCTTTGTATTTGCTAATTTGCGAAGATCCCAAATCTTTACTAAATTATCCTCTGAGGCTGTGGCTAAGATATAACCATTTTCGGAGAAAGCAAGAGCTTTGATTTGACCAGTGTGATCACCAAAATTGGCTGCAACTGTTTGGGATTTGGCATCCCAAATCTGTACGACCGAGTTTGATGTACCAACACCAAGAAGCAAACCATCAGGATGAAATGAAATACAGGTGTAACTGCTGTCGCTGTCTTTACTGTAGGTTTCCACGATAGGTTTGGCATTTTCAAAGTCATAGAAAGACCATTTGCTATCTGTACCTGCGCTTACGAAATAGTCTCTGCTAGGATGTACATCAATGCCGACTACTTCACCTTGATGTGCTGTGATATTGTGTCCAAGTTTATACGTCTTCTTTTCATCCGGAATCCATACACGAACATGTTTATCAGCACTTGAACTCAAAAATATATCATTTGCTGCTTGTTGACCTCTGAATTTCACAGCTGTAATCTTCTTTGTATGACCACCAAGGTTGACCAAGACTTTCTCTTCTACCTTATCGTATATCTGAATATGTTTGTCATTACCGCCCGTCAGAATTAAGTTGCCAGTTACATTGACATCCAAAGCTGTAATTCCCGCTGGACGCGATGCATGAAGCGAAGGAATGGATAGAGATTGTTTATATTCTTTGACACTGTCAACTGTTGCGAATTCAACTGGAGGTTTCTTTTTATTACGACGCTGTCCGGAAAGCCTACAAGAAATGAATATTGGTTAGTTATAATCTCGGCCCTTAAGACACTGACTGAACTATTAAAGGAAGCTTTACTCTTGGCTTGTCTTGTTCATTTTTTCAACTACTTCTTCAGGTAGACCGCCAGCATCTACATCCATCGCTTCGGCAGAGGCAGGTTCTGCAGGGGCTGCAGGGGCTGAAGTACCCAAATGAGCCTGGATATTAGCCAATGCTCTACAAAATTCGAAAAAAAAAGACAATAAATAATTGGTAAAGAGCAACATCAAGGAGCCTTCTAATGGCAAACAAACTCCCAAACTTACTCTCTAGCGGCGTCACGTTCTTTTTTCAAGCGTGCAATTACTCTTGTTGCTGCGTCATTTTGGTATAAAGCATGAGAAAGTTCCTGACGAACTTGTTGATATTGTTGCTTTAGTGTAAAAGATTCAAGCATGACACTATCCCACTCATCTTGAAGAGCTGATAGAATGGAAGGAACTGAAGAAAACTTTGGCGGACGTGGTTTAACAGTCTCAGGAGCTAATGGGAGAAATGACGAACGCGTTATAAAAATATTTGGAAGAACAAGTTTCTTGATCGATCTGCATATCAAACTTTACTTGTTTTGATCTCAATTAGATCATCAGTTGTCATTTCTTCATTGTTGGTGGGATCTCTGCCATTGTCAGCAATATACTTTTCGATCAAATTTCGTTCGAAAATACATCCTGATTTTGTAGAAACAACTGGTTGTTTGGGTGCCTCACCGGAAACTGATGATTAAACAAGACGAATAAGTATTGAATAGGCAGCTGCATGATTTAACGAAACTTACTAGCACAAAACATGGTTAGTAATTATTTAGCTCCTAGGAAAATTGAAAGAAAAGAGGAAGCTACTATAGTCAAAAAACTTTCAGACTTCTTTTTGTGTGGCAACCGAACAAAAAGAGACAGCCAGAAAAAATGGATGACGTACGGAAAAACACGTGACTTTTCAAACTCGCCATAATGTCAGCAAGAAGTCACTTAATACTGTTTAAACATAGATTTTATTACATAATATTAATTTTTTAAAGCCCAATGGACACGAGATATTAAGCTTATCTAAATTGCCCGGGGCAGCTCCAAAGGCTGAAAAGAATCTAAAAGCCCCTTAGGGACTCAAGGGTAAAAAGGATTATGTACTAAAGGATTGTGGGAGGGGAAGAGAGTAACCAGTCGAGCAATAGGTGCCCTAACCGAGGAGTTGTGGCGGCTCTTGAGAGTGGTGTAAGTAGTCGAGTTCAAACAAAATGTGACAAAGTGCTGGCCATAGAAAATGCCAGTTTTGTATTTGGGATGGGTTGTTGATCGGATGTGTAGGAAGACGGTTGAGGACATAGGATATGGGATCACGGACTGACGTGGGGAGTCGTAGGCGGTGGTGCATGTTTAAACAGGAGATAGCGTGGGACTTTGTAAGTAATGACGAAGGATGTTTAAGGCAATAGGTTTTGATAGCCTCCAGGAAGCCAACCCAAACGCCATCGGATACATCGGCTGCGTTCATTAGTTAACATTGGACCATAAAGGATCGGGTCGATCATTAATCGAGAACGGCCTTGAGAGATCAGTTTGGAGTTGGGGCTGTTCGATTGTTGGATGTGAAGGAGGCTAGTACGGAAGTTAGCAATACAGCGTCGCAGAGCAGCTGATTAGATCTGAGCGGAGAAGAAGTGTAATCTTGCCAGGTCGGAGAACGAGCAAGCTTGCAATATAACGATTTACTCTGTTGCTGGCCTATATATGGGAGTAGTATCGAGATTAAAGTATCAGTAGGCAGTGAGGTAGAACGTAATAGGAACTTAGCTTGTAGGACGAAGGAGCTTTCTTTCATGGTGGACAGATTGGCAAGGTGGAGCATAAGTCGGGCAGACGATCTACTGGATCCACCAAAGATTCATCGAATACACTTGTTCTGGGAATTTTCGAACTGTTTATATTGCTTCGCGGTTAGGGGGCATAAATTTGTACGGTATCTCTACTTAAAATTCAGACGATGTTAGTTTTTTTTTTTGGATAAGTAGTTCTTGGTAATTTTTCAATAGATGTACATACAACGTAGCACGTGTCTTTTATTTTGGTATGATATGCGAGAATAGATCAAATTAGATTTACATAAATTAGCAAACGCACACAAATAGTAGCTGTCAAAAATGAGAGATTAAAGTAATATATAACGTAAATAAATCTAATTAGTAGAATCTTGTTTAACCACTTTAGACTCTTGCTTTGGTTGATCAGGCAGAGCAAGGATGGCAGACAATTGCGCGTCAGGGACATCTTTAGTTTTTTGGTTCTTGTCATCACCGACATAAATGGAAAGGCCCGCTGATGCCATCAACACTGCGATTGTCACTGCTTGTGCATACATACGCGCTTGTACAATCTTCTGTTGAGTTGTTAAGTATCTATTGGAGAAACTGTAACCCAGTGCACCAGCCATTGAAACAGCCCATGATAAACCTACTCATCATCATTACATTATAATTCCAATTGAATTTAACCCCCCGCTTATTTCCCCAGTTTGAGTCAAACTGCTTACCAATGAATGACCAACGATTATCGTTCAAATAACGCAAAGAACGATCAATTGTCGATAAATTTTCATCAGGTGTCCTTCGTCGTTCCAATTGCTCTACAAGTAGTTCGTCTGTATAACCAAGTACATTGTTCTCGTATGCAGTGACAGCTCTGTCGGATGCGAAGAGAAAGCCAGCGGTCGTTGCTATTCATTTAAATCATAGCGTGAGGTGATATTAACATCTCAACTTGCGTCAAAAGTTCATAATTGAAGCGTGTTCTCATTTGCATCAAGAAACTTACTCGAGGCTGCCATAATAGATTGCATAGGTCTACTTAAAGCTCTAAATTCGGCTGATTTACGAACAACGAGAGCAGTAGCTGCTGCACCAATACCTAAACCTATTAATGCGCCTTTGATACCGCTTTGATAGAAAATGCTATCTCTCGTCTTTTGTTGTTCTGGTGTCAATCCAACCTTGACCACTTTATTAGACATGATATTTATGTAAAGTATCCGAAAAAGAGGGATCGAAGCAGCAGGAAAAATCAACAATAGACGCAATTTATTTCTCCAAACCCCAGAAAATTTGTGTTCCCGTTTACGTCCGAGTCGGATTGAATTAGCCTCTGCATTCTATTTATGGATATGGTGGATAAAAGATTAAGGCATTCAATTTTCGTCTTGCAAGTACTGACATAGCTAATCCTTAATCTTATTATTCTGGAGATTACCGAAACAACAAGCTTAAGAAAGTAATGGTACAATTAGGGGTTCAGTTGCTCTACCATTCATCTCTGTCGCTGATTCTTATATGTGGAGAATTCCTGCATTTATACTTCTATAGCAGTTGTACATGCCATACTAAGTGGTACAAAAGTCAAAAAAGGATTCCTTTTTGCTCAATTACATTTTGTTTGGCCGTTGAAGCTTCTTGATTCTGTCATGTTTAATGCATAAAAGTACCAAAATGACCATTCTATGTACAGCCTTAAGCACCTAAAACTACATTTTGTCGCGTTCGCAGCTGACTTGAAAGCTCACAAACATATATTCAGATGAGTTACGACAATACAACATCTGTTAAGCATCACTGGTATCAATGGTAATTTCAAAGAGGCGATCGAAAACTTAAATTGGTAAATTTTATTTTGAGCTGACTATCGGCACATCACAATGGCGCACCATAATGATATCAGTTTGAACAACCACACGATGGTTGTCAACTTTATAGCATACTCTTTTGGATTGAATTCAATCAGCCTTTACGGAAAATAAATTGTCAAAACAGTATATTCTCAGCATGTATTGTTTCTATCGCTAATTCTTGCAGCCAACTGTTTGATTGAACACATCTTTAGCAAGAAGCAGGGTGAATTAGAGGTTGCATAAAATTCCTGCAATCGATTTTCCGTTTTGAAGAGCTGTCCATCAATGAGTGGTTTAATTACGTTTGCTTGAGTTGAAATATGCTGCTAAGGCTTTGTACTCAAGAAATAATTCCCTATGACCCAAAGTTCAATTGGTTTTTGTTGCTTGAGGCATATCGAAATAAAGTAAAAGCTGTAGCCTAGGATTTGAATTAGATGAAAAGTTAGCTGTAGGCGCTTTAAAAACCTTCGTAGCTACTTGTAACTTTTCAGAAAAATTACGATGTTTCATATTCAATTCCTGGTATATGCCAAATATGCTTTGTTGTTCTCTAAAAGGCCACCATCTAAATAAACTTTCGCATTTCACTCGAGCAATTTCAAACGTACACATAAGAGATTCGGAATGAATCTTAATAACGTTTCGAACCCATAAGCCCGTTGTAGTAGTTATAGCATTATGTTCAATATTTGTCGAGTCTCAGTTTGATTTAACTTCTGATTTGATTCTGCTGCCTGGTATGGATTCTCGGAACGTCATTTTGAGACAGCTGTTGGTATAAGAAATTATCCATTTTAATATCAGCAAAAATGCTCAACTCTAGCAGCCTGTTCATTCCCTGCATTTTCAAACCGACAGCAACTGTATATAGCTTAGCAATACTGAAGTTGTAGTCAAGAAACTGATTCCAATAGTACGCTAGAATCTCTAGGTTTGCACCTTTGTTTACGATACTGATTATCAACGGCAGTATAAGTTCGATTTTACAGAACAAAAGTACTATTTCAATATTAAGTACCTTGGCTACTTTTTTGAGTCAATAAAATATCCTGTATGTCAGATGGACGGAATATGAAGATGTAATACTAGAGTAAGTATTTAATAATGTGAAACAAGTAAGCTCGAATGATTGTTCATTGAATATATATTGTCAGGAAGTAGAAGCACTATGTTTAATGCATTTATACGGAAAAGTGTATTCGATCATTAAGCTTAAGTAGGATAGGTCTACAAACCAACGCATGCAAATACTTTTAATGCTCTACTCTTATTATAAGTAAAGAAACAGAAACTCATTGTATCATTCATAATGCAAAAGAATCTACGGAGAACACTGCATATAGGACTCGTGTATCTAAGAAGCAATTTATCAATCGCCAATTTTCAACAAATGATAGTATTGTACATTAGAACATCACCCACTAATTTATTCATTGCTGCCTCCAGATGAAGCAAATTGAAATAACCATATTTTTAAGCTTTAACCAAGAAGTTTCCGTTGTACTTCTTGTTGCTTCTCGATTTCAAGGCATTTTTCACATATGTGATGGCAGGTGCGAACAGGAAGATAACCAGATTTGAAATTCAGCTTTTTCCAATCCGAACCAGGATTGACGGGCTGACGGATAGGTTTGTAAATCGCATCCGAAGGGACAGCAGGTAAGCTTGCAGTTACACTATTGACGCTGCCAAATGAATATGAACGACTATATCCTTGGTATTGGTTATAACTGTTCATCTCATTTTCAGGGTTATTATACTGTGTGATGTCAGTTCTCACAAATGAATGATCAGGTATAATCGTTGAGTTTTCGCCTATCTCTCTGAGCATTTCAGGAGTGTATCTGATGGTCTTCTTACAAGTCTTGGCCTTTGCAACTTTATCAAGGGGTTGAAAGGGTACTTGAGGTTCGTCAGCAGCTTCATTAACGGGAGTAATAGCCACATCATTAGAGTCCCTAATAGAACTTTTTTCGAATATAGCAGCTCTATGGCTAACATCGTCATTTAAGATTATTTCTTCATTATCAGAAGTGGCATTCCAAGAAGGCCGATTGCAAGAAAGGAGTGTATTGTCAATTGTAGAAGCTCCATTAGCGGTTTCGGAGACATCCACAGATGTAGGCTTATTATTATTAACTGAGACTAAAAATTCTTCCTCTGTTGCGGTGGAAATGTGGACGTCTTCGGAATCACTGTTTACTTCTTCTTCGTTTTCCTCACCATCTGAGGAAAATAGTTTCAAATAATCTACCCAGCTAGCAGTAGCCTATAGTTATTATGTTGCAATAATGTAAACTCATGAATATTTGCAAGCATATACATGGACTTTTTCTTTCTGACCTTTTCTTGCACCGGTACTTCACAAGTTGAAAAACTCTTCCAGGACGTGATTGCAGTAGTTTCTCCACCTGGCTCTTTGGTAGTGTAATAAGTAGAAGAAATTGGATCAGTAGTAGCAAAAGAAAGCTCTGATACGAATTGATTAGGAGAGGAGACTACATCTACACAATAAAGTTATGATTTGCTTAATAAGTGGAGAACTGACTTTGGAATATTAACTCATAGTAAGCCTTAGTATAAGGTTATACACTACTGTTATGGGCCATTTGTGCTTGTTGTTGTCTAACAGGGCTACATGCTGGTTTTTCAGCTTTCCATTCTTCAGTATTATCATAAAGAGTATCAACATTTTTCCACTCTTCAGTATTACCTTGGGGAATATCAACTTCTTTAATTATGCAATCATTGACGGTTTGATTAACACTTTTCATTTGTTGGTTTTTTTGATGTTCATAAGAAGCACTTTTCAGATCCTGATTCTGCTGCGAGACCATCCCCATTGGGTATTTTTTATTCAACGTGTATAAATCGTAAGTTTTGGCTTGAGCCTTTGAAGGACCCAACTCTACAGATTGAGTGAGTTGGTCATCGCCAGATTTGTTTTGTTGCTGTTCATACTCTGTAATAGATACGGTAGCTTCACTACGGCAGCCAGCATTGAAAGGTCCAGTATGACATGATGCAGATGGTGATAAAGTACTAGAATTACGGTTATCGGAATAGTTGACAACATTAGGTGTAGCACCATTATTAGAGGACATGCCGTTATTAGACGGCAATTTCCGTTTCATGTCAAAAGTTGTGCTATGCCGTCTATCAATCTGCTTGTCTTTATTCTGTCCATAGCTTCCACGATTGTTATCATGTTCAACTCCCTCAACTGCGTATTTACTAGTGCTATGGAACTTTTGCTTTAACAACGCGAATAAATTGGTGGATTCGTCATCAGTTGTAGGTTGGTTTGTTATTGCAGTGGCATCGGTTGGGATAGGAAATATTGCTGCTCGGTCCGAGGGTTGATCATCAGAAAATGAAGTAAGTACAGTTTTGTGAGGCGGTTGCGTTACTAGAGACTCACTATCTTGCAAAGATTCGGCGAGACGTAGAGTAACTGTAGGTACTTTGGGCTCTTTTAAACAATGGCATCGAGAGAAGGTAGAATAGGTTTGAAAAGCGCAGTTATTTCAGTCATTTAAGTCCAATCTTAAGTATAGAGGCTCAAGGTTAACTTTTAAGGCAGTATATACTTTACCGTCTTTTACACCAGGTTGATTATGATCATTCATCAAAAGAATGTTGCTATCATTGTTGGACTTATCTGAGATCAAGCCTACATTAGAGAACATATTCAGAAGAAATAGAGTTGATAAAGTAGTAAAAGAAGAAAGAAAGTTGTTCAAAAAAGAAAAGAATAATTTTTTATGTAGCGGTTGATGTTAGTTCGTGTACCTTCACTTTTGTTATCATTATTATTGAGCGCGATGAAGGAGAGCGGATTTCTAACTGCCTCAGCTATTAAAAATGTAATGTTAGAAGTTGTGCCGTTTCGAACATTTAATCCTACACGACGGTGTGCTAAATACTAACTTGAACGTTGCTTGTGCTGTCCAAGAGCACGGAGACGTATCCAACAGGAGTCTTCCTTCAATCCATAGACTTTTATTCCGAAAAATCGTAGTTATAGGAGAACAAAGCGTATCATAGCAAATAAGATTAACGTAGTAGATATGATGCTTTGAATCACGATATTATACCTATTAATCTTGACGATGATGACGCTTCTGCTTCATTATGAATGCTGATATTCTCTGTCAGCAAGAAGTCGAAATTTATTCATGTCAATTTTCGTCGAAATAGAACGCCTCAAAGCAACTTACGTTTAACATATAATCAATATATCATTTCAGTTTCATACTAAGTCAGTATGCCTATCACGAAATGCAGTTAAACAACATTTTGGCGTCTTGAATGAGCTCTATACTAACCACTAATACCTTTATATAGTTTTTGATTGACTAATAGTAGGTTTACTGGACATGATATTTGTGAACGATATGAAGGAGAAAGAAGGAAAAAAGCCATGCATACAACTTGTAAGTTTTCCAATAGCATAGTGACCGCTGCCTAGTAGTATATCACTTCTTTATTGCTGCTGTAAAGCTGATATATCATTGATCAACATGTCGCTGTTTCTTAGTAATTCGATAGATTCTAAACATCATGATGCACATAGAAGCCCAAAGAATTCAAATTAAAAAAACAAAACAATATACTCTTTATCCAAGACCTTAATGGGATTCTACGCATTTTGTAAAAGTTTATTTGAAAGCTATCTCAAGTGACGATGAAATCACACAGTCTATATTGCCACAATTTGTGCCACTTGACGATAAGCGATTACTGTCTTCAAATCTTTTTTTGAAAGGAGTTTAAAAAACCATGCTGCTACGGTACTTAAACTAATATTTTAGATAAAATACATTTTTTTTTGGACAACTAATATTTTTATTTTAGACAAGTTGCAATTGTGTTGTCGACGAAAATATAAACCGTTCAAACAATGATTCAAATTCAAAAACTTGTCAGTAGTGCGGAAAAAAAACGGTACTATTCCTCACCTGTAATGATCTAAATCCTTAAAATATAAGGAAAACCGTGTTTATTACGGCGATACATTCTTCTTCTTCGCTGGCTTGAAAACGTCGGGTCTTCCCGCTCCAGACCAAACTGTTCGAGATATAGTCATCCTATTGATAGCGGCGTTAACGTCTCTCTGCCATAGCTTTAGACATTGCTTGCAATGAAGAACGCCGGTACCCTTGAATCCAGGAGTATCAACAATTTGCATATCATCATAGAAACAGAGGCTGCATGTTTTAGAGGTTTTGAATTCATCGATTGTGACAACAATCAATTGATCTGACCTTCAGCTTCACGTTTCTTCAGAGCTGCAAAAAGTTTACCGACAACACCTCTTCTTTGCCCTTTACTTGACTACATCTTTTCCAAACATTCCAGCACCAAACACAATCAGTGGTATCCTTCTAGGGGATTCCGAGTACTTATCAGCCTTCCACTTCTGAACGCATCGATTTATGTCCTGGTTGCTTGCATTTGGTACAACATGCATTGTCTTTATCTGGTTCCTTATTCTTCTCTTTCCTTGCTTTTTTTTTCTTTCTTGATTTCAAAGTTCTGTTTGCGTTTTCTGCCTTTCGAACCAACTATAGGTACATTAAAGTCTCTTATTATCGATAAATTTACCAACTTCAAAGCCACATGAGCTCCTTACCTTGATCTGCAGTTTCTGTCTTATACAATTCACATTTAAAGTATTGTTGGGTGTAATGATCCCCTTCACCGCAATCAATGCATGTTGCATCTAACAGTATACGATGATTAATCTATATGTATATATGATCAGGTGTATAGGCATTCAAAAGGCAAGTTACCATGAACAGCACTTGATGTTTTCTTTTCAAAAATTTGCTTTTTCTTTTCATAAATTATTGTTTTGAACATGGGTCATAGTATGTATCATAAAACGTGAAATAAAAGCGAAAGAGACAACCTTTGACTATAAAAGAGCAATATATTTTATAATGCTTATCTTTGAAAGTCACCCATGAACGCACACAAAAACATTGACAACAGATAATATAACCATCCTGTTCCGCTATGGTATCTGTTATACTATGGCTCTCAGCCCTCTATCAATGGTTTGATGTCAATCAATTTAAAGTTGACCTTTTTTGGAACTCTTGTCCAAAAAGGCACTAACGAATATCTGGTTGGTCTCGGAATACATCGTCATTGAATAAAAAAGTTGTCAATCCTATTGCAAGATAACGTCAATAAAACCATTTTTGGCGACTTTTTTACTGATAGAGACTCATTTCTTGGGCTCGATTGTTTGTCATCCTTAATGCTGCTTGGATGTCACTGAATAATTCAGTATCCAAATTGATATTCAAAATACTACGAGCTTTATTCAAAAATGTTCTTTAACAAATCTAAATTTAAATGTCTAATGTCTATTAAAAATTGTAAATCGTCTAAAATGTAAGCTAAAATACTGTATTGACGGTAACTTTTATTTTTGATCACTCTGCTCGACTTTTTGGCCTTCTATCAGCAAAGAATGAGTAACGGCAGAGAACCAACAGAGAAAGAAATTCAAGATCTTGCCAAGAAAGTTGACAAGCTTGTTTCCAGTAAAAAAGTCAAGCAACTCTTAAAGGACCCTCAATCGGTGGCAGCAAGCAGCAGCAGCGGCAATAAACCCAATGAAGTTGCTAAACTTGCACAATTGAAGCAAATGATGGAAAACCTTGCCCTTTTAGAGCAAGCAGGTAGAATTAAAACCACTGGCAGGAAAGATATTGGCGATCATCAATTTTGGAAGACGCAACCTGTTCCTAGACACGGTAAGTTTTAGAAACAAACCTTGCGAAAACTTCCAGCAGCAATCTGTTCGTCTGAACTGAGATCGCGTTATTTCTCCTTATAAAGATGAGGAAATAGTTGAAACTGGGGCAATCGAGCCTGACACACCAGAGGATCAAATCAGAAAAGAGCCTCTCCCTTTACCTAAAGAGTTTGAATGGTGTGAAATTGATATGCAAAATGAAGCAGAGGTAGAAAGGGCATTTGTTTGTTAGGCTTCGTACAATAGCAAAGCATGGAATTAACAAATTCTTTTTCTTATAGGTCAAAGATTTGTATGAATTATTGAATCTAAATTATGTTGAAGACGATGACGCCCAATTTCGGTTTGATTATCCTGCAGAGTTCTTGAAGTGGTAGGCTAATACAGCATCTTCAATGTAATGCCAGTAATTATGTTCAGAACGACTCACTTTCTTTATTCTTCATCTAAGGGCTTTATTACCTCCCCATTGGAGAAAATCATGGTTGGTGGGTGTCCGCGTTGCAGCCAATAAGAAGCTTGTTGCGTTTATCAGCGGTGTTCCTGTTACAATGAGAACATATGATGCGTACGTGTTTAAACCAAACTTAACCTTGTTATATTAAATTTACTCTCTAACTGTATACTTTCATTTAATATATGCAGCGTAAAGAAAATGACAGAGATCAACTTTTTATGCGTTCATAAAAAGCTCAGATCGAAAAGATTAGCACCTGTTCTTATCAAGGAAATTACTCGTAGAAGTCATATAGAGGGTATCTTCCAGGCTGTTTATACTGCTGGCGTCGTTCTTCCAAAGCCTGTTTCCACTTGCCGGTAAGTTATCACAATTGTAGAAAGCGGCTAAGTCAGGCGCTTAATCCTCACCCGCAACTCTTTCTTTCTTTTTATACGCTCCGTAGTTACTACCACAGATCCTTAAACCCCAAGAAATTGGTTGAATGCAATTTCTCTCGTGTTCCGCCAAGATCCACCTTATCTCGTATGATCAAGAATTATAAGTTACCTGAAAATACGAGCACAGCTGGTTTAAGAGAAATGCGTGAAGAGGATGTGCCTTGCGTTAGAGATTTGTTGAACAAATATTTGAAACGATTCGATATTGCACCTGTTTTTGAAACAGATGAAGACGTGAAGCATTGGATCTTGCCTCATGAAAAAGTCGTTTGGAGTTATGTAGTAGAGAATCCTGATACGAAGAAGATCACAGATATGTTCTCTTTCTATTCACTTCCTAGTACAGTGATTGGTAACCCGAAGCATTCAACTTTGAACGCTGCTTATATGTTCTACTATGCTATGGATTTAGACGATAATCTTGATGAAGAAGCAAAGAATAAATTCATTAAGAAGAGATTGAACGATTTAATTAATGATGCTTTGATTTTGGCCAAGAAAGTAAGTATACATATTGCTCTTGGGAACAATCCTTGATATACAGATAGAGCTAACAATATTTGCATCCTGTTAACTGCTTTTTTATGAAGGCGGATTTCGATGTAGTCAACACTCTCGATTTAATGGATAATGCCAAGTTTGTCGAGGAACAGAAATTCGGTAATGGCGATGGTTATCTAAACTACTATCTGTATAATTGGAAATGTCCCGACGTCACTAGAAACAAGGTTGGATTAGTGATGTTGTAGTGTAAATGTACACACCCGTATAATACTGTATAACAAGCAAATAAACAACTTTTCATAGAAATTAGGGTAATCTTTTCTTTCTATTTTTCTTTAAAAAGTCTACGTTACGTTTGTTTCTTTCTTGTCGTTTTTACTTGGCTTATTCTTTGTTTGTAGACTTTTTCAAACTGATTTACTTGATACCATTAAAACTGAATGCTTCTTACGCAATCATTTCAACCTGTCAAAGATCAACAAAAACCGAAGGTTACAGTTTCGAAATGTTGTCTTGTTAAAAGAGCAAAGCGATTCCTGGCCGACTTAAAATCAAGACGACGAGAAAGTGGAATGGTAACAATACCACAACAAATACAATATGAATATACAGCTTCATTTAACTTGCCATCAAAAATGAACTCTCATTATCCCAGCCTTGTACCCCCACAAACAATGGTATCGCACTTTCCGCACTATTATTATTCAACTGTTCCCATGCAACACACCATTACTGCTATGGTGAACTATCCGGTTTGTATACATATCTGTCGTTGCTCTTTACATGGTCATTTTTCCCCCGTATCCTTTTCACATTATTATTTCTGCAGCTGATTTATCGGATTGTCAACATCATAAATCATGAAGTCAATAGGGGTAAAGCCAGTGAGAGACAAGAACAACAGCAGCACTTATCGTATGATAGATGACTATTACGATCGACTCTGCACAGTTGTCATCCATCCATGTCAGACTTGGTTAAGGAAGGAAATGTCGATTGTTACGTCCTCACACGAAGCGTCAACTACTGCAATAATACTTAAGGAGCCATTGACTAGTAATTGTTCGGTATCTGCTCAAAATAGTTCCTGTGATTTGCTATTTGATAATGCGAAAAAAATTAAAATAGTTTGAGTACTTCTATGTGTATTTTACATATGTGTAACATTGAGGAACCTTACCCAAGTCAGTTTACTCAGTGTTCGTCCATCTGATGGTTTCTAAAAAAATCTTCACAAAATTCGCACAGCGAAAAAATACATATCAACATGTGATCATAAAAACGAACTAGAAGGCAAAACTTTGTAAGATTATGAATACAATGCAAGGATGTAAAAAGTGTTAATTGTTTATTGAGCAGAGATGAAGGTAGTATTGAAAGCGTATGATGGATGTACGGTATTTATAGACGTATACAAGTAAATATGAACGGGATATGGAGAAACCTTACAAAAAATGACAGGCTTAATTCAATTCAGTTCTGATAGTTATGCTTTTGCACATTATGTCTCGCTAAAGCATCTTTTCTACTGAAGGTAGATGAGCATTCAGCGCAAGCAAAAGCGCGTTCACCATTGTGAACTGTTGAAATGTGTCTGGACAAATCATGTTTACGGTCGAAAGTCTTATCACAAAGATGACAGGAAAAGCTCTTTGCCCTGTTTTTATTGTGCGTTTTAACGTGAGTACCAAGATTGTAACGACGGCTGAACATAGCACCACAAAGATGGCACTGAAAACGTCGTTCATTTTGATTGACCTTGTTTGCTTTTTTGCTAACGTTGAGAGTCTTTGTATTCAGCTTGATGCGTTTAAAAGGATTCTCAGCAGTTGCCTTAGTAGTTGTTTCATCTACTAATTTGCGCTTATTGTTAGCGGCGACAATATTGTCGACTTGTTGTTGATGTTCATTTTGAAAGTTGAAAATATCATTGTTTTCAAAAAAGAGACTATCAAAACAGTTATCAAACAAGTTACTGGCATCAAGCATAGGGTCTTGCTGCTGTTGCTGCTGTTGCAAGCTATGAATGGCATCATCCATAAGACCATGGAAATTTTGTTGATTGTTTTCGTCGGAAACCAAAGGAGGGAACAGGAAATCAGTAGATGCTGTCAAAGATCCTTGTAAAAGGTTTGAGAGTGTATTATCGGTCGTTGTGATTGGATCATTGTTTACTGTTGGTGTAGATGAAGGGTCTAACATCAGTTGAGCAGCAGGGCCATCTTGAATATTTCCAAATGTGCCAAAAAGATCAGAGGTAGCAGTTGAGAAGCTAGGCGTAGACGGCAGTTGACCAAACAAGTCGAGGGCACTAGCCGAAGTAGAGGATTCAGCAATGGAGTCCGTGGCAGGAGTAGCATGCCAGGACACATCATTTTTTAGATATTTGGCAACTTGAATATCGCTTTGAGTATCCATCTCAGGCCGTTGCAGCTGAAGGTCAGAAGATACAACTGCTATCTGCGGTGAGTAGTAAGGTGAAAGCTGCTGGAGCTGTTGTTGACTCGGCGTGAATAATGCTGGGGTAAATGGCGTATTCGTACACGAATCATCAAGAAGAGGGGTATCCATCACCAAAGGAGATTCTTCGTTATTGGCCATAACAACAGCGGCTGCTGCTGAAGTGATATCACCGAGCAAGTCAGATAGACTGGTAGAATTAGAAGATGTCTGCTTGATGGTTGAAGAAGATGAAGAATCTTGAACGGTTGAAGGAACTAAAAGATTTTGCATTAGGATAAGTTTGCATGCTTCAACAAACTCTGATGCATACGGGTATACAATATACTCACCATGAATGTTTTGCCATAATCCATTGAAATCAAATTCTTTAACGGGATGAGAAGATGAATTAGCAACGGAGGGATCAAACAAGAAATCTTGGAATTGCTGTAGGTTCAAGTTGGACTCAGAAGACATGGTTGGAACTGTAGCTATGGTAGTTTGAATCGTAGAAACTGTTTCTGACAAAATGTTCGAGACTTCTTCTCTAGGGTTGAATGGGTGATATAAAGAACTAGCGGATAGAACCTCCTCTGTGAGCAAAAATGCGTTAGATAATGAGGATAAGGGTTAGAAGGGTATAAAGGTGATTTGAAGTGTGAAATAAAAATGAAAGAGGGAAAGAATAGCTTTGCAAATCAGGGTTAGGTTTTAAAATGTGCGCGCAATTGCCGCAGCAAGTTTCTTTTTGCCTGTTTTGATAGAAGATGAAAATTTTTATGTAATGATTGTGAAACATGTACTAGACGGGCAATAAATAACAGATGGCTCTATGGGTTGCTCTCTTCTACAAAAGGCTTTTCTCTGTAAAAAAGTAGCACCAATTTTAGGATATAGAGTCTAACTCAGTTTTTGCACACATATTAATAATGAAAAGCTGTTAGAAGAATAGTCAAAGATGGCCCAAAGAGCAAACACATACTGCAAATTTAAAGCTCTCTATTCTAAGCTTTCTATCGTACAAATAAGGCAACTTGTGCGTTTGAAGAAGCTTTGCTTCCCAAAATTACTTTTTGGGGTTCTGAAAATCGGGCATACCCAATTTGCTACTACGAACCTTTCTTTTTAAGGCGGCAGATCAAAAGGAAAATACACATATTGGATCTGCAAAGATTTTGAAGAACCCTCCATAAGAAAACCCATCCAGCTTTAAGATATTTAAATGATTTAATATTATGACATATATATTTGATTTGACGATAGTAAGAGTTACATAAGAATTTATATATAATCCTTTCTATTATTTTACTACGATAGCAGGATCGATGGCTATTTACAATGACAAAAGAACATTGATTTTTACTGCGTTAATGCTTGGTTTTAACAGTATTTAAACGAGCTCGTATCGAATCGACTGGTATCTTATTCTTTATATCATTGCCTAACTGTGTCCATGTAATTTCGCCAGGAGCTGTAGATGTAGCCTTATTTGTGCTGGTTGAAGTCGATTGTGCTGCTCCTGAATTTACTCTGGTCAGGTATTCTGGTGACTGAACATAATCTTCGAGCACCTGATAATTGTAAGCATTTGCCTTATAGAACATATGGAAAAATCCGCCGGCAAAAGGAATCAAGCTGAATAAGAAGTCGATAGCAATATTAAGTAGCATATACATGAACAACCACAATGGAATGCCAAATGTTGTTGATAAGTAAATTTGATAGAATGAACACAAAGCGCCCATAGGTCCTCCTACAACTGGAATAAAGCCCTACCAGATTAAATAATTCGTGTCGCGAAGAATGAGTAAAGTTGCAGACAAGTATAAGCGTTATATACTTTTGTACATACTAGAAGGGAGTCAAGACCCAAAGGAATAGGAGAATGAGGGACTGCGTTATCTAACCACATAGAAAGTTTTTTGATCTTTTTCAAAAGCTTGGCTCTTTGACGATCGGTCATTGTCGTGGAAGGTAATGTTTGGTGCATATAAGGATAACGTTGGCTGTACTTTGAGAATTGGCTCGCGCTTTGAGATCGAACAGTGTCGGCAATCTCTGGCACGCGCATTTTTTGCGCTATTTTCGACTTTACGTAATTCATTTGGGTAGTGTATAAGTGCTCAAAAATAGAATGTCTTTATTTGAATGCTTTGGAAGAAAGACGAAGGTGGAAAACAAATAGATGGCTTGCATGATTTGCAATATATATGTACAAAATTGAACGAACGCCATTTTCCAATGTTTCGTTTGACATCACGATTATATACGGTAACTGTTCGAGATGATGTCATAGTGGCGTTACTTTCATTATTTTTGTATGTGTAATTGCAAAAAAGCTAATTCAGCAAAAGGGTCTGTTAACTACTATACCATAGAAAACTGCATTTTTTGTTCGATCCGAGCAGTAAATCTGCCACTGTCACACGTCACTTTCAAGTAAACGAAATTATATGAAAAGACGAAATTTTTTTTAATTTTACAATAAATTTACAAATGACAATGGATGCCTATAAAGGTTAGATATGAAAAGAATAAAAGAAGCCAGACATGTACGTATATAAACTTGACTTAGCGCTGTAAAAATAAACTAGAGTACCGCCCATTTCTTGACTGCGGAGGTGACATAGTTTTTAATTGTACATTTCTTCTCTACCGCATTCACTCTGTCAGGTATTATATCCTGTAATTCTTGATAAGCAGTAAATTGCAAAACAAAGAAATCCAATTGACAGCCATCAAAACTCCAGCCTTCATCGTCCACGCGAACGCAGCCATTGTGAATTTTACCATCAGGTAGCTTCAAGCCATCTAATTCTTTCACATATAGAGTGGTGCCTTTTTTAATATCATTCGCCGCGACACTCACCCAAGGTTGCAAACCATTGCCGTTAGAGCCTAAGCCATAAGGTGTTTTTGATCGGTCCAATTCCATGAACTTATCATTTCCACTGTCTAAGTTCACCAGTTTTCCAGACTTGAGTAAACCAGTACCTTCCATCTGGAATTTCTCATATGTAATTTTGGCTACTTTCTCAATAGTACGGCCTTTTTTATCCTTGAGACTTTTAGTTTTAGAGCCGGTGAGCGTAACACTTTTGCCATCATTGGTCATGTCTTTGTCGCCTTCTTTAGGTATCCAATATTGTGTTATTCTCGCCTTTTTGTAACAGCTGGAGATACCACGCTTGTCGAGAGGAGCAGCTGATACTGTTATAGAGCTTACTACTAGCAGTAGCAATAATAAGAGCGATAAAAACCTGATCATGCCGAAAGAAGAGATTTGCTTCATTGTATGCATATATGTAGATGATTTGTGTGTAAGATGTCGTGCAAATGTTGTGTATGTAACAGTTTTGTTATGGGTATGCTAATGATGAATATAGAGCCTGCTATGGTTGCTAAGTTGGGATGGTGCGATCAACGCTTTTCTTGATTTAGAATGAGTGCAAAAAAAAAAAAAGACAAAGATCGAAAGAAGTGTCCTTTTTTGTCTTTTGCAATGGAAGACTATTCTTGTGAAGGAAAGGAATTGACAACTTTCATTCTACATCTATTTATATGTGTTTTGGAACTGTCAGTAACGAGATCTCGGATAAAGGAGCTTGGTGAGAGACGAACTGCAATTGTAAAAGAGCTTCGATTCAGTGTAATACAAACGAGGCCCATTAATTGCAAATGGTGTGGATAAAGCTATCTGCATACATAAATTACAAACAGATCATCAGAAAATTTCCTGTTCTTTTTTATCTCCATGACCCTTTAATTAAGGTGTTAAGTAGCACGTAGCACAGTTCCTTTTGCAAATAATTTTATTGTTGAGCTAAAAATTGCTGCTTTTCATGCTGCCGTCCGTTTGCACTAATGAATGTGTCTCTTGCAATGGACAGGTTTTCGATTATCTATAAGCTATTCTCAGATACGTAATTGCAAGTTTCTTTAAAAGGAGCTATATAAAGACATTCTTTGTCAATTTTCACGGAATTTTCAGTTTCGAAGAGCTCGATTTCCATGAACAAGCAAATAGTGTTCCTCGAATTCTGCATACAACTGTTGAAAAGACGTGCTCGAATCATGTTAATGACCTTAATTACCTTCAGTTTACGATTTACAATTTATGATTTCTTTGTTACATTTTTTTTTTCCCTGTTCAGCTTAGAGTCAAATTGCAAGAAAGGGAACACACAGATCAGTCAGAGTGTCGAAATTTAAGTTTGCCAAATCGCGTGTAACAGGGCAACGCAGTAATCAAATAAACGTCCTGCGTAAGAATCCTCTCTATCCGTCATAGTAATCACTCTAGAAAAAATTCATATGCCACGCCGCCTGATGTTGCGCTTATCATAATAGTTGTCATTTTACATCTTCCATTTGATGTGTCATATGAACTGAAAACAATAGCATGCACGAAACATTGTTCAAGATCATTGCAGTTAATTCAGGGGTTCGATATGATTGGCTTATCCAAGCTGTCATTTTTCGCCGAAGTAGGCAGCTGTTGATAAGAGTGAAAAGCTCAAAAGGTCGTACATAGACCGGGGATTCATCATGATACACTCCTTTTCGCTCAAATGAGCTTTTTTTTTCGTATATTCCACTTTTTTCTGCAATCGAAACAATGACCGTTTCCAAAGGAACATGATTTCCTCACAACTGTTATGATTAAAGTTATGATTGCAATTGCCTTTTCACTTCCCTTCAAAGCCCCTAAGTCCTACAGTCTACGAAATGAACCTATTGGTAGCGACTTTGTGAGACAGTTGTGCTTCTCCCACGTGACGGTATTAGCAATGAAGAGCACAAATTAACATGGCTTTTTCCTTGTCATATACTTTTGTAAAAGGGGATATAAAATGAAACTATCACAGCATTAGCTACAATAGGCAATTTCCGAAGAAACATAGAGCGGTTTATTGACGGATTTTTGACATTGCCTAACCAACTGTTCAAACGTTGAATTGAAAAAAGAAACGGGAGAGTTGAAAGCAATAACATAGAATGACTGCCCACATATGAAGGGTGATTACATTTCACGTTTTGTGTAAAAGATTGTTTTATATACACATCAATTCGAAAGAATGTTTTGACTCATGGTACCCTGATTCACCACCAGAATTTCTCGAGTTACGGTTACATGCAATCATTGTAATGCGCTAAAGCAGTATGCATAATGCTATCTTTGACACGCTTCTGCAATGCATGTGTTGTTACACCTTGTTTTTCTGCACTTTATCGCTGACAGGTTATCGATTGCATGTTTGCAATTCAATCAAAGTATAATAATCAGTTCAACAGCTGATGTCATAGTTGAACTTCTTTGAGTATGGCATAAGAAAAAGAGATCATGATTCTATGGTAGCAATATCAATATACAAAAATGACCGTTTTTCACCATGCCGTCATTTTTTCAGGTGGAGAACCATCCATATCCAACAATACACATGAGATATACAGGCCGACATCATTCATACAATAAGTACTGTCGAAGCACGCGTAAGATTAAAGTTGTCGACGCAGTATATTCAGCAAACAATTTATGTACAAACAATTTCTCATATTTTTCTATTTCTTGATGTTTCTCATTCATTATAAGTATGGTATAATGTGTATACATATATGTATATATCTAATGGATCAGTCCACTACCAATTATTGGCTTGTTCGATATCTTCCAACTTCTTAGCATGCTTATTTACAATTTGCAAAATATTGTTGATTGTAAGGTTATCCGGTTCTAAAGCCACTTTCTGCCCATCGCCTATACGTCGGTAATATATTGAAGCCAGATGACAACTTTAAGTCATATACAACAATAATATGTTGGTTTTAGCATATCAAGCTTTTATCAACTTACGGTAAGTCACTTTAAGTTGAGATGGTGCTTTAGGATCTGCTAATACATCGGTCGCAATCTTCAATGTTGGGTTTATTTTACGAGTATTATTTGTATGCACGTGAGTCAAGAACAGCCTACATATGTCGAACAAGAAGATCATTTGTTAGGTTTACCTTCCTTTGAACATCCCCACACTCTGCAAAAAATCCGATTCCTCTATTAACTATGTTTCACCCTAAAGTCTGTATACCTTGTTGACTTAGAAGCAGCGTTGAAAGGTGATAAAGCTACTTTAATCTCTGTGATTTGTTTCATAAACATCTTGTAAATGTTGCCAATGGTTGGACCAAATATGAATGTCAATAAAATGTATGCTTATAATGAAATTATAAATTCAAAAATGGCCCTGGCTGTCAAAGCGGGAAGGGGAGGGCTTTTTGAAATTCAGCTGATACAGCGCTCACAACCAGCATAATTCTATTTCTCAAAACAAATCACGCACACACACACTGGCAATAGGTATGTGAGACGCTCTACTAACCCACAAACTCAATTAAATCAAAAGTAATAATCTTTTGATACAATGAATAACCATATTTTTTTTTTTTTTTAGGTCATTTATTATAGTGTTTCATCATGGCCATTGCCGTTCTAAGTGTTTTTATATCCTTAATGACCTCGTTTTCTTCTGCTGTAATTGGACTACACTGTGTCTTGCTGCATTTCTTCTTCTGTTCGTTGTTCTTGTTCATCATTATTTATTCGATCAGAATTAGCTAGGTAATCCTCCGAAGCAGTGTGTTCCTGTTCTTCATGATGATCCCGTTCCTCTTCTTTATTATCGTCGTCCTCTACTTCTTCTTCCTCAAGACCGTTCAGTTCCTTCACACCTTCTTCATTTACATAAAATTTGGTTGCACTGGTGATCCCAATATCGATTAACCATGAAGGCATTTCAGGGCCTAGATGACCTTTTCTGATCATGTTCCTGATACCGTGGGGTATATTCTCACCTTTCAATCCGACGTGAAAATGAATGAGTGGTTTATGTTTGAGTCGACCATTGGCGTTTGAGGTGCTAGTGGTATTCGAGGTATCAGGGTCATGGGAGTGATCCTTTTCATTGTCAGCTTCGTCTATGTCCATTGACATAGTATCTGAATCTGGTGTTTGCGGTGGTCGCTGTGGTGCCGCTTCATCATCGTCATAGTCAAACGGTAGTTCTACATCAATATCCAACTCTGTCGACCCATAAAACTGCCCGAATCCAAAGTTTTGCAGCACTTGGCGAATACGCTCTTTTCCTTCTTTTTCATCGGTAAGGTGTTTGATACGCTTCCTTCGTTCGCTCGATAACCGTTTTTCCCGATCTATACCGCTTTCAATGTCCCATTCATTGTGAAGTAGTGATAACGCAGGATCTTGTCTTTGTCGAATATCCAGTGGATTAGAGGATAGACTGTTGTATGATATTTTCAGGCCGTCTTTAGCTCCCTCGCTCCCGTTATCCATTTCTTCTTCTTCATCGTCATACTGCGCTTGTAATTGTTGTTGCTGCTGTTGAATCAATAAATGAGCAAATTGCTCTTTTGATCGCTTGTCATAAACCACATGTTGCAAGTACTGCACAGCATCACTTTTAAGAGTTTGAATTTGCAACCTGTCGCCATGAAATGTTTCCAAAACAGCTTCTTTAAGACTCGTTTGGTCGCTGGTATAAAATGGACCGGTATACATTACATATTCTGATTGAGGATAATAGACCATGTAGCCTACGGTTTGAGTACGAGCTTTGGCAGAGACTTGAATATCGTCAAGCTGAGAAAGTTGAATTCGTGTCCAATAAAGCTTTGTCTTTTTATCAAACATAGTGTACAGATACTAACAATAAGAAGAAGCACGTTCACATATGAGTAAAAGGAAAGATAATGTGTGTATGATTTTTATAAAAGAACATACACAGTTATAAAATTGTGACAAGAAATCTTCCATTGATTCCTGAATTTTGGACGCTTCTCGGTTAAGCCTTAGCTTACCATTATTTTCTTTTGCCAGCATAAACATTAGATATTAAGTCGTTAGTTGCGCATATTTTTCATTTCTCTTAAACACGTTTCACCTTACTTTTTAAAACTTTGATAACAGTCCATCTTCTTATTCTTTTGTTTAAAATAGCACCTTTCGTATCCAAATAAGCAATCTGCACAGCGCGCAAACCTTGAGGCTACATAGTAATCCGTCACAACCTTGTGAGCAGGGATTTTGAAAGATTTCAACAATTGATCCAATGGTCGTGCACTACTTACCCAATCTTTATTGAGTATTAACTCTACTATGTCTGATTTTGTGATTTTGTCTGCAGTGTAAGCCTCAAACGTAGAACGTCTATTGGTAGGTGCTAGGTCAGGTGTATCGAACCACTGTGCCACTATACTCTGCAGTTGTGGAAGAGTCAATCGGCGAAATAATTTGTATGTGTTTTCATCATGCTTCACGATGGTAAGATCTTTTTCTGAAAACATTAAAATCAAAGGTCAAATAGGGACAAGCTCGAGACATATTGCTGCTTTAGAAAAATTGGGTTTAAAATTAGGAAAAGGAAAAAAAAAAAAAAAAAAAAAAAAATGAAACCAGGAAATGGATTGACTCCATCAACGCGTTATTGACATTAAATTCGTTATAGGGTCGGCTTATATCTTTTCTTTTCTCTGAAGAGCATTCGCGCATTGGGCACGAACAGTGATCACCAGCTTCATCTAAACATTTAGTAACAGTAAAAAACAAGTGAATAAAAGCGATGAGATGCATTGCGAACCTGCGTGTATGTATCAAGCGATTTCCACCTGCTACCACGCCTATGAAAGAACAACACTGATATTCTATCTCTTAAGAACTCAAGATGATACTATTTGAATCATGAATTGGAATTTTGGCTCTCGCATTGAAAGAAATACCCAGCGTATTGTTCTATTTTCTTATTTCTGACCCTTCAGTGTGCCTCAAGTAAATAGCCTTACTTGAAAAAGATCTTCGTGCTTAGGGTCACGAGGAAATTGCGTTTCATTTGAACCAATGAGAAAGCTTAATTACTACAGTTACATGGTTGCTGATCCCGCCAATCAGGAGAGTGACTTACCAGAGGAGAAACTTCTTTTCGGAGAGGCTCTTTTTTGTATGCGCAGCCATTGTCTGAAATGTATTGGTTCGATTCTGGTAGAAAAAAAGTCAATTTAAAGAAGCTACAAAAATTTCTTTTTCGTCCTTTGTGTGTATACCTTACTCTCCTTTTTCCTTTTCTTTATTGTATAAGAAATAAACTTCCGAATGCTCAAGTACCACTCAACACATGCTTGCCCTTCAGCTGCAGAACACCAACAAGAAATGATGAGAGGTAATGAATGACTGTCCATTGACTTACACAACTGCAATAGTGCATCTCTAACACTCTCTTAGGTCGTAAACGTAGGAATTCCGAAGATGAAGAAATGGCAGATGTTCCTAGTACATCTACTTCACCACTACGAAATCTGAGCTATAAGTCAAGGATTTTGGATATCAAACGGCAAAAAACCAATACAAGTTTTCAAAAAAGAGCCACGAGAAGCATATTACTAGGTAACATTGTCGTCGAACTCTCCCGCCTCCCTATATATATTTTTTTTTTTGGTAGATGACGTGTCCTAATACAATATTTATCTGTTTTATAGATACCTTACAGAAAAATGATTTGCTCAGTATTCTAAATTCAATGTTGAAGAAGCAGCCTGATTTAAAGCAAGATTTGCTCAATTATATACCATTGCCTACCATCTTATCTTCAATGAACGTTTTAATGGATATGGAAAAGAAATTCTTGAATAGCTTTCCGTTCAACAAAAACGGGCCTGGTAGAGATGACTATACCTTTTCTAGAGTGAGAGAGAATTTAATGGATTATATTGTAAGTTTTCACTTTAGTTCAAAAAAGTAGAACTTTGACCAACCATCTATCAATGTATAGGACACTATTATACAATATGCAAACCACTTCACCTCTGTCATGGTTTTTCCAACCACTTGCTTTACTTTCCTGGATCATGCAACACACATGGCCCATCGTTTACCAACATGGAATAATCAGGAAAATAACCAGTATAAAGCAGAACTTTATCAGCATTTAAATGATTTCTGGAAGTTAGCCATACAAAATACAAATGATTTCCTTACGAGTACAGATCAGCAGCGACAGCAAGAAACACATAGCACATTCAGTCCACAGACAGTCAGTATTTGGGCCAAAAATTTAGCACAGCATAATAGTTACACCCATGGATTGTATTTCACAGAAGCTGTTCATGAGTTCACCGATAAATTAGGTTATTTGATTGGTTTATTGCCAAATACAAACTCTATGATTGATCACCATAATTATAGTGGTCTGTTATCGATGGGAGGACCTTTGGCAAGTACTCATGCTGTTGCAGCTGGTACATCTTCCGCACCAAATTTAATCACATCAACGAATTCTGCAGGATCAGTAACGCCTGGAACAGCAGGCCCACCTTTATGTCATTCTTTATATCCCTCATTATTAGAAACCACACCCACGCTCACTTCTGCTTCAGTTGTTGGCGACAGAAGATAAGCACTACTTAGCGCTCCTTTGGTTTGTTCTTCTATTATATCATCTTATGGCTATTGAGCCTCCTTCCTCCCCCCCCCCTCTTCAAATCCAGCTTAATAACTTTCTATTTTACTTTTGACGTTTGCAACTTTTATAGGATCTCTTATAGTTTGTCTGTCGCCCTTTTCCTTCATTGTACATCATTCCTTTTCCCTTTCCAAAATCAAATCCTCTTTTGCACCCCCCCCCAAGTTTTTATGCTATCCATTAATTAATTCTATTGATGCTGCTTATATTATAAAACTACTTAGTATGCAGAGTAACAAATGAGAAAATTGTGTCATGTTTGTTGCGAGAGTGATCTATTTCGTCTTTGGGCTTAGACTTTTTGTCACATTGGTACACCTATCGGATTTGGTAGATGCCCCTTAGATTTCAAAGACCTTCTCTCTTTTTTTTTAATTTTCCATTTATCCATTACAAATTTGGTTTACAAACAAAAAAAAAATAATCGGAAGAGTTAAAAAGAAAAGGCCGCTTTTAGATCCTTTTCTTTTCTTACTCAACAACTTTTTACCATGTCGAACGATTCAACACCTACAACTTTGTCACCAGAAACAGCATTACGAGAAGTTAGCAAAGAGAATACGCCTACTGTTACTATTACCACCACGGCGTCATCAAGTCCTCTTCCTACTCCCACCTCTTCGTTGACTTCAACAGCGACCCATCCTGAGCTGCCCCAACAACACCCTACGCTCAGCGATTCGAACACTTCTTCTGTACCCACAACGACCACCGCCACCTTAACGGCAACGACCACCACAACAACAATGGCAAAAAAGCCGAAAAAATCTCGTCGAGCACGTCCTGTGCCTGCTGTTCGAGAGACGTTGGGCGCTAAAACACTCGAAACAGCGGAAGGATTACGTAAAATCAACCAGTATGTTTTGAAAAAAGAAATTGGACGAGGCGCCTTTGGCACGGTACACTTGGGCCTCGATGAAACGACCGGTACAGAATATGCCATCAAAGAGTTTAGCAAATCACGTTTAAGAAAGAAGGAACAGATGGATTTGTTCCGTCGGGGTGCAGGCGGGCTAAGAGGGAGAGGAGGCATTCGAGGACGTCGTATGTTTGGTATAGGAGGCGTGAACAGACAAGGCACTGCTGTAGGTGCAAATGCCACACCAGAGAACCCATTAGATTTAGTGAGAGGAGAAGTGGCTGTATTAAAAAAATTGAGCCATCCGAATATTGTAAGATTGTATGAAGTTTTGGACGATCCTTCGAATGATTCACTCTATATGGGTAAGAAGAAGGGGGGGGGGTGTTGATGGTTTTCTTGGAGAGTGAAAAGCAGGAAGGATACTGATAAATCCATTTTGAATTCTATGTGTGGGAGAACAGTATTCGAATTGATGGAAAATGGTGTTGTGATGTCTATAGAAATGGATGCAGTAGCAAAACCCTATTCTGCTGAGGATGCCCGACGTTATTTTAAAGAGATGATGCTTGGTATAGAATATTGTAAGATTGTATTTCATGGAGGGCAGCGCCAATCACTGTATGCATGAAAATCTAAAGAAAAAAAGCTATTTTATGATCCCATAGTACATGCCAACGACATTGTGCATAGAGATATCAAGCCTGATAATTTGCTGCTTTCAAAAGACAATGTGTTGAAAATTGTTGATTTCGGTGTATCAGAAATGTTTGTGAAAGGCAATGATAAATTGAAGAAATCAGCAGGAAGTCCTGCTTTTATGGCTCCTGAATTATGCATTGCCAAGCATGGGGAAGTGTCAGGTAAAGCAACCGATATATGGTCTATGGGCATTACTTTGTATTGTATGATCTACGGTCAACTACCGTTTAAAAGTGCCAATGTATTGGAATTGTACGACATGATCAAAGAAGCACCGTAAGTTTTCAAGAAAGGATGGATGGAAGAAGGAGTAGAAAAAATAGACTGATCAGACAAATGCATCTCTTTCCTTCCTTAGAATTGACTATCACGAGGTTACAGACACCGATTTACTTGACTTGTTCGAAAGGATATTGGATAGAAACCCAGAAACACGTATTACGATGAAGGAACTTCGTGTAAGTATATGTGTAGGAGTGGGCTGGCTTTTCCTCTTTTTCATCTCATCATGTTTTTTCATCACAAAAAGGAACATCCTTGGATTACCAATCGTGGTACTGAAATCATGATACCGGAAGCAGAAAACTGTGATATCGTGTCTGAAGTAACAGAGGAAGAAATGAAGAATGCCATTAAAAGTATTGGCAGTATATTTGCGGTCATGACGGCTGTATCTAAATTCAAGCGTCGTTCACGTCGTAAATCCAAAAGAAATAAGGAAAAGCTAACCGCAACCATCACCAAAACTGAAGACGGTGATGATAATTCAGTGTTGGTCACAACATCTACTGCTCTACCAACAGAGAAAACGGATACAGAATCAGATGCAGAGACATGTACAAGTTACTCTTCAGATTCCTGTACATCATCATGCTTTTCAGAGAATCATGGTTGTCATCATAGCAGTAGTAGTAGTAGTAGTACTAGTAGTAGTGATGGTGAAGACGATGGAGGAGAAGTGAAAGAGAAAAAGGTGGAAATCAGAGTTGTGAAGAATGAGTAAGCAGCGACGTAGTATATTCCATTTATTGTAAAATAAAAAACCAGATATCCATTTCAAGCAACTAAAAGGATGAAAGCTACGTAAATATGATTGTCCTTGTCTAAGAATAACCTTTTCCGAATCTTTTAAGGATATCTGATACAGCTAGACTATTCTCCATTGATTCTCTCAGCTTTCAACTAATTTGCTTTGATAATTTCACACCATTTTCTATTCCAGAATAAAGCATGTTCTAGTCAATAAGATGGTTTTTTGAAAGTGACGTTTTCATGATGGTTTCACGCTATCGAAAAGCCTGCGGGGGGCTGCATAAATGTTAAAGATCCAATTTTGAATAAAAGATAATTGATATATTACTGCGCGTATATATCTTTGTGTTTTTTTAATACTATTATTTGCAAGTTTTTCTTTTCTTTTTTTTCGTTGCTTTTACATAACAACAATTTCATATAAGAAACGAATATGCTTTATAAAAAGATACCAATATTGCTGTTTCTGTTTCTATTCACCAACTTCTGTTTATTAAGATCTGTCACAGCCGACAGCCTTTCATCTTTGTTGACGTCCAACAAAGGTGGTCATGGTGGAGGCGACGGCGACAATCATGATGGCAAGAGAACTATGTGGAACGTGCTTACAAGAGATGGTCGCTTCTCTATACTTCTCAGACATATTGAGGACAATAATCTCACCGATATCTTTAAGCAAGAAACACATCCCAAGACGCTCTTTGCACCCACCGACAAAGCGTTTGGTGCCCTAGGTGGAGCTGCGTTGGATGATGTGGATGGTGGTGATGACAACCTTTTCTCTTTTATTTACCGACAAAGAAAAATGACTGCTGACCAGATCCTATATCACCTTATACCTATGACTGCTGTGAAGTCGAATGAGTTATGGAACGGTCGTTTACTGAACACTACAGCTCAACTGTATAACGTTCAACAAAAAGTAAAAGTAAGAAAGTCCAATACCGATATTTACGTGGGCGTTGGCGTTCACCCACCACAGGAAAGTGATACTGACGACAGCATCGCTGAGCTCGATGGTTTGGAAGCTCGAATTACAGAAGCGGACTTGGAATTGTCGGATGGCGTTATTCATGCAATCGATCATGTGTTATCTTTACCTGCATTTTTAGGTAATGGGGTTAGAAGAAAGCCCAATGCTCTCTCCCACAGCATCTCTGGATTATTAACTGTCGCTTCTTTGTTTCCACTTTAGATGAAACTTTATCTTTGGATGAAGACACCAGAGGCTTTTATGATCTTAGTGTCAAGGCTCATATGAAGCGTGATCTGAAACAAGCTGCTGGTAATACACTTTTCGTTACGCAGCATGATCAATTCGGTGATGCCTTGACCGACATTGAAAAGAATTACCTCCAAGACCGTTCGGGAGCCAAAGACTTGACTCGTTTCTTGGGCTATCATATTGCCAAGGGCATCCATTTCAGTGATGAACTTATTGAGGGTGAAACGACGATTCCTACTCTGGCTGGCTCTCAGTTAACCGTTGTCGTGAAAAAGGAGAAGGATATACCCAAGATCACTGTGAACGGCATCCCAGTGATTCGCAGTGATGTGATTTCGGCGAACGGTGCTGTTCATATTCTCGAGAGCCCGCTTGTACCGGGGGATAAGAACAAGTTCTTTGACTTTAACGCGAGAAAGATGCTTGTGGGAATGAATGCAAGTCGCTTTGTTGAATTGTTTGATGAAAACGGTTTAGGTGCCTACCTGGATGCTGATAATTTGAACAATGCGCCTATTACTATCTTGGCTCCCCCTAATGAAGCACTTCAGGATGATGATGATGATGACGATGGCGATGGCGAGGACGATGCGGATAGGGAGGGCGATGGGTTGTTTATGCTTGAACGATTTGAACGAGGTCAAAAGAGAAGAAAAGCTATTCAATCATGGCTCAAATACCATCTCGTTCATGGTCGCTGGGAACCCAATGAGCTGGTGGACCATCAATTGCTTCAAACGGAGTCCAATGATCACCTCAATAAAGGAGATTATCAACGTTTGACGGTTCACATCAACAACCAAAATGGCAATAAGGATATGTTCCAAAAGAGAACGATTCTCTTTGGCCAATCCGGGGCAATGAATGACCCTGTGGCTGTCGGTGACAATATGCTTATCTACACTATCTCACGTCCACTTGCTTTGCCGCGTGAGCCTCTCAGCCGCCTTCCTGTCAATTTAGAACTCTCTACTTTTGTGGCGAGCATTTATGCGTCGGGTGCACAAGACACGTTGGAAAAGGCACATAGTATCACTTTATTCGCACCTACCAATGCCGCTTTCAGTCGTTTAGGTCTTGTGGCGAAATACCTTCTCCAGCCCGAAGGAAAAGACAAATTGAAAGAGGTGGTGACGTATCATGCTGTGCGCGGTTTGTTCTATACCAACTCTACTACGGCGGGAGAGCACCGTGAGCCTACGCTCTCTTCTGGCGGTACAGAAATAGTATTGAACAAGACGCAAGAGGGCCAGCTTTTCCTTCGTGGTAGTGGTGCTGTGGATGGCCAGGACCGTTCCATTATTGGGCAAGTCAGAGAGGAAGCGAAGGATACGTTGACAGCCAACGGTGTGATTCATACCATTGATCGCGTTCAAATTCCTTATACCGTCGAGATTACGCACCGTGATCTCTTGTCGATGGAAAACGCCAATGGCTTATTAGACGTTTTGCATCGTACAGGATTGGACAAAGAAGTGTTGGGCGGCGAGGGAAAGAACAAGACGTATACGTTTTTGGCGCCCACGGATCGTGCTTTTGGAAAGTTAAATTACACGGAATGGATGCAAGAGCCTGAAAAATTGCTGAAACTTGCCAAGTTGCACATCTTGCCCGTCTCACTACCTTCCTTTGACGTGGACCATTTATACAATACGATGACTTTTCAGAAAACGGAGAACACACCCGAGGATCCCCCTGTGACGGGCCGAGACTTTCCTACTCTTTTGGATGACACGCAAGTCGTCATTACGAAAAATGTCGCTGGTGGCTACACCGTACGTGTGAAGAGTAGTACACAAGAAGGCGCTGACATTGTGAATATTGGACGCGTGTCATCCGTCAATGCTGAGGGCTACGGTGGTGTGATTGAAATTGATCGTGTCTTGATACCCAAAGAAGAAGTCAGTTTGCGAGGCATGGCTTGGTGGGCTATTGCCTTGATCGTCTTGGGTGTCATTCTAGGTCTGGCTCTCTTGGCGTTGGTTGCCTATTATGGTTGGCAATGGTATCAATCTCGCAGAGGACGTATCGCTTTACCTGGGTCGGAGTAAAGGCCGATGTGTTTATGTACTCTTTCATCCGTTAAAAAAGCAAAATTATGTTTATCGCTTACATGCTCGTTCGTTTATCGTAGGGGGACAATGTAACGCAATCGTTTATATTTTTAGCGCAGTATTTTATCAATCAATAAATGTGTTTATGCCCTATTTCTTTCACTTGTTGCATTGATACGGAAGCCATAAAAGATATGCACGGAACTCTCTTTCCACGCTCGAAATAGGTTCTAATGATCGCAGACAGATATATTCAAAGTGATCATTCAACCTTTGGAGAATCATGTATAAATGGGACCGGCTTTCCCTTTCTTTTTTTTTCTTTATCCCCAAAAAAATAAATTTATACTGTATCTGGGAGTGAAAGAGCCGATCAAATCAATAAAACACCTTTCCCTTAGAGCCCGTTATCCAGATAGATATCAACTTTTAGAAGCATAAGAAAAACAATCTGTTTTTAAAATACAACACATCACATGGAGAATACTCTATTCTACAGACTCGTCCGTTGACTGGAAACAGCAGCTCGGGAGCGAGATACAGACAAAAATTGTTGGTAGCTTCCAACCCAAAAAAAAAAACCAACCAAATAGATCTATCACTGTATTTTAAATACAGAACATATTTGATATGCTGCAGTATTATAAAGTGCGTATTTTACCTTTCCATGAATTTCCTTTTCTTTTTATCAAGTTTATTATTTTCTGAAGCTTCAGACGTCGCGTTAGATCAAAAATTTCAAATCGACCAAAAAGGATGGGCTTCTTGGACGAATTGAAATCAAGAAATTTCAGTGTCTATGGTCAATGGTAATTCCAACCCGTTTTTGACACGAGCCAGATCAGTGATTTGATAGAGTTTGCATTTGCTTTTTATAGGTTCGGTATCATTTCACTTATTTGTAAGTTGTAGCAAGCATTTTGATATTGCACAGCAAGCTTATTTTGTTCATGATTCAAATGCATGTTTAGTATTAATTGTGTTGGGCGGCTTGAACTTTGTCCATAACGTCATTTTCAGTATTGTTGGATGGTGAGGGCAACAAAATGGCATCTTGTTAAAAAAAAAAAATAGGAAATATGCTAACTTAGTGATTCAACAGGGTGATCGCCTTTATATTGTTATTTGTAGAAATTCCACTCCTAACACATTGCTGCCCAACTAGCCCAAGATTGTAAGTGTCTGTGACCAAATAGTAGACTGATGATGAGATTGCTTATTTTTCTATATGCAGTGACAATTTCATCTCCTACTTCAAGAATGTCTGGCTCCGTGCTATTCTTTATCTTATGTAAGACTACAAAACACCGAGAAAATTCCGATTCAAGCACAACCTTTTTTGACTTTTACATTTCTGCACCTTTGCCTATCGTAAGTTTTGCTGTCATCATGTTTCTATCTACCATGATCAACCATTCAAGCTTGATCGCATCTGGTGTTATTCTCTTATTTGCATCCATTTGTTATTGTGAGTAGCACCTTTCCATCCAATCCAGGTAGTTGTTCTAAGCTAATCGCCTTATTACTTTTATTGTGCAACATAGTCGTTGCTGCTTTTATGGGCCAACCGTTTGCCAGTTCAAAGTAAGATAAGGGATCACTCACTGGTATGTGTATGTTTTTGCAGCCTTGTTACTTAGTATTCCTTCTTTTTTTTGTCTTTCTAGGGTTTTGGGAGGAGGTGGAGTAGACACGATGGTTTAAAGCAGCTCAACTATGAAACATTTTCGTTCTTTATAAAGCAGAAAATGATGGGCGAATTTAAGGTTGGCTGATTAATCCATACTCAGCATGCGCCCCCCGCCCGCTTCCACAGATTTGTAAAAAGAAAAATTCATGCTGACTGAAATACTTTGTCAGCATTACGAGGTCGAATCCCCCATTAAATAAATAAAAAAAAGTGCATTTTTTATCCCATTATTTTTCCCTTTTTTTTTTTTTTTACGTTGAATGTTATTCAATCCTTCTAGGACTACGACTACTTTTCACTTGCTCAAACCATTGCTTTTTAACCGTGCCAAACAACAATTCTCAACCAGCAGCTCCTATTTATACATACAGAAGCCAACTATGTCTACTGAAGCAAACAAAGATCAATCTAAAATTCTTCAATGGGCCTCTAAAGACGGTGAATTCAGACGCCAACAGTCTACATTTCGCGATTTTATAGAGGATCAAGAGAATGCTAAATTTGCTGCCGAGCCGTAATGTTCCTCCTGCACAAAGCAGCAGACCCAATGCTTTCATTTCAGGAGACTCACTGATACATTTCATTTACTGTTAGTGATCGTTATCATCTATATATCTCATGGGCTTGTCCTTGGGTAAGTTTGTCTCTTTTTTATTTTTTTTTCTGTGGAATGTTATGCGTGCGCATGGAAGGTGCTCATACTTTTTTATATGATAGGCTCATCGTACTGCCATTGTTCGAGCCTTGAAGGGATTGGACAAATGGATTGGTCTCTCTGTCGTCGACTATTTAATGTTGGATAAGGGATGGAAGTTTTCCAGTTCAGAAGAATGCCCAGGTGCTATTCCCGATAACATCAACAACGCCCAGCACATACGCGATCTTTATTTCAAGGCGAATCCCAACTATGAGGGCCGCTTCACTGTCCCTGTGTTGTGGGACAAGAAATTGAACACGATTGTGAATAATGAAAGCTCGGAAATCATCCGCATGTTCAACACGGCTTTTAACAAGTATCTAAGCAAGGAACAAGCAGAGTTGAATTACTATCCCGAGCATCTTCAAAAGGAGATTGATCAAGTCAATGAATGGGTCTATGATACCATCAATAACGGCGTGTACAAGTCTGGCTTTGCCACCACGCAAGCTGCCTGTAAGTTGTTGTACTCTTTATAAAAGAAAAAAAAAAAAAGAGTTGGTAAAAGAGACTCATCAAGGAGGGATGGTATTCCTATTTAGATGAAAAGAACGTGTATCCTCTTTTTGAATCGTTGGATCGCGTTGAAAAGATGCTCGAAGGCAAGAAATATCTTGTTCAGGATACTTTTACTGAAGCGGATATTCGTTTGTTCACCACAATTGTCAGGTAAAACATCGGGCGATCGTTTTTTTTTTGTTTTTTTTTTCTTTATCCATCTCATGTCCTATTATTTCAAATAGGTTTGACCCTGTTTATCATGGCCATTTCAAGTGCAACCTCAAATCGATCGAACATGACTATCCCAACATCTTGACATGGGCTCGTCGTATCTATCAAAAGCCTGGCGTCAAGGAAACGGTCAACATGGACCATATCAAGGGACACTATTACAAGTCCCATAGACAAATCAATCCTACTCAAGTGGTCCCTGTAGGCACAGGGCCCGATCTTGATGTACATGTTGATCCTTAATCAGCACAAAAAAAATAAAAAGATCTTTACAGTAAAGTAGGCGGTGTATGTAAAGATTGGACGAGTAGTATTTATATCACTTTTTCATTGCTTCCAATAAAAACTTTATCTATTGCATTGAACGGCTGGGCTTATTACATTATATGTATCTGTTGCTGTGGTTGGGAGAAAATGGAGGGTTCATGAAAGGAGGGGACACTCTGTTTTACTTAGACACCTTCCATTTGGCTTTCCAATTCATCCATTTCATCTTTGGCAGCCTTCAATTTGGTTTCCAAATCACTGTTCTTCTTGTCCCAAGTTTTGATTTCCTGTTCAAGTTTGACAGCCTTCTTATTGAGTTGTTCAGCTTTTAAATCAGCTTCACGGAAACTATATGTTTCAGTCATTGAAAACAATGTGTTTATCGATCAGCTTTGGGAGGTTTTTGGGTCTCTCTGATCATTCATATCAAGTAGTAGCTTCTTGTCTCTCTTCTCTACACACGCCTCCTCCCCCAGCCCAGCCCATGATTTCCCCTGAGCAAAACACGGATGCATCTGTCTCAAGGATCTTACTTGGTAGTAGCCGCTTTCAAGTCTTCTTCAGCTGCCTCAAGGCTCTCCTCCAATTCCTTGGCACGATTTTGCAAGTTAAGGAGTTGTTCGTCCTTGTCTTCTTGATCTTGCTCCAATTCTCGAACTTTTTGTTCTAGGTCGGCGGCCTTTTTGTTGGCCACTTCAACCTCATTGCGAAGACTTGTGAGTTTCTATGGATTAAGTAGAGTAGTGATTTTAGATAGGGATTTGATACGTCGCTTTCTTGGCCCAAACACGCATCCTTCTGACGAAAAATTCTTTTCTTTTTACAAGAGGATGCGGGAGGGTCGGGTTCTACTCTTACCTCTTTGATTTTTTCCATAATGTATTCAAGATAAAAAAGAAAAGGAAGAGGAGGAAAAAAGAAAGGGAAGGTTACAAAAAAGAAAGAAAAAAAAGACGAATAAAAAAAACCTTGTCATCCAAAGGGAGTCGGGGCTTCGTAAGACAGACAGCGTCTATTAGGGTATCTGCGTGTATACAGTCCATTGGAATAGCCCAAGAGGAGTCACTCTTTTCTTCTAAACTCTTGAGGGCATTTCAAATGTGTGCAAAAAAAAAAGGGGGGGGAGTAGAACCGAATAAAGGAGGATCAAGAATAAGCTGTAGTAGTCCTAACTAACCAATGCAGTCTTTGATTCTTTGATCCGCTCTCTTCTTACTTCAGGAACAGGGTTTTCAAGTGATGTAATAGGTAGAAACGTGGGGTAAGAAAGTTAAAAAAGTAAGTGCAGATGCAACCTTTGTATTCAACAAACCACTATAGCAGCGAGGGACGCCGTCATCCTTGTTGGGCTTTATTTACCTTTTTCCACAAAGGAGGCTTCATGGTGTGAAGGTTGTTTTGCATGAAATAGAAAGGGGGTTCAAACCCGACTCACAGCAACGAACGATGAGAGGTTGCGTTTTTCAATCTACTGTAGTCTTCCAACCCGTTGTCTTGGGGCTATAGAGTTCGATTTTGCCCTCGTCACTCGTTTTTCCTATCCATTATGACCCATCATGGAGCCTTTTATTTCAGGAGAGCGACTTGAAGTGGAAGAAGGATGCATGCCCTTTCTTCATGGTGTACGAAGCCTTAGCGCACCAACAAAAACTTGAGATAATTCTCCTTCGTTAGATAGATGGGGGGGAGGGGGTTGGTTGGTATGTTGTAAAAGATGGATAGGCCAAGAAAGAGACTATTATCATCATCGGCTTGTTTGATTATTTTTTATGGCAGGAAGAAAAAATAAAAGGGCATTGTTATTCTGACCAATCGCATGGCTACACCTTTTCTTTTCCAAAAAAAAATTCGAAATTTAGACATAGAATGAAGCCGCTTCTTTTACTTTACCTACTTACTATTCAAGCGCCGTTGTGTCTTCTAACAAACGCAGCATGCTTCGCTTTGCCCTTTGTGTAATTGGCATTTACACATGTTTTTTAACCTGGGGCGTCGTTCAAGAAAGGGTCACGACAACAGCGTACGGAGGCGATGCGAACACACCACCCAAAAAATTCAAATATTTCATCGTACTTAACTTGATTCAGTCTCTAATTGCGGCTTTCGTCGCCTTCATCTATCTCAAGGCATGTGGACGACAGCTTCATTTGAAGACAACACCGCGCGAGCTGTACCTTAAATATGGACAAGTGGCCCTTTTCAACTGCATGGGCTCGCCTTTTGGTTATGCAGCTCTCAAACACATTGATTACCCGACGATGATCTTGGGCAAGTCCTGTAAGCTTGTGCCTGTGCTCGTCATGAACGTGTTGGTGTATCGTCGTCGATTTCCTCTGCACAAATACGTCTGTGTTCTTTTGGTCACCCTCGGTGTGTCGCTCTTTATGTTGTGCCAGCCTGTCAGTGCACACAAGGCAAATAAAGGGCCCAGTACGAGTTCATTATGGGGCCTCTTTTTACTCTCCATGAATCTCATGATTGACGGTCTCACAAACGCTACGCAAGATCAGATTTTTGTCTCTCGCTTCCGTACGCTTGTCAGCGGACAGCACATGATGTTTTTTATGAACGCTATTGGATCTGTCTATTCAGCCTGCTATTTATTCTTTTTCAACCGAAATGAACTGCTGGATGCTCTCCGGTTCTTTGAAGCGCATCCGGTGGTGATACGTGATGTCTTTTTATTTGGCTTTTGTGGCGCGGTGGGCCAGTGTTTTATTTTTTATACCCTTCAACATTATGGTAGTCTTCGCTTGGTGACAGTGACAGTGACACGAAAGCTATTTACAATGCTTTTGAGTGTATTTTGGTTCAATCATCAGTTGGTGATGGGTCAATGGACCGGTGTCGTCCTCGTTTTTACAGGTAAAAAAAAAAAAAAAAAAAAAAAAATACACTGTGGTTTTGATGAAAGATGCAAAAAAAAAAAAAGAAAAAAGACGAGTTGAGAGAGTAATCCCTTCTCTTATGTTTCCTTTTCTACAGCTATTGGCATTGAAGCGTATGTTGGAAAGAAGCAAAAGAAAGCCAAAAAGCTGGATCATGCCAATGATCCGAGCATTGTCAATGAAAAACTGAATACAAATGACAACAACGACATGCATAAAATGAACGATCGTCAGCCACCTAAAGCCAAAGTAGCTTGAGCAAGCTTTTACTCTATGCTTGTTTTTGGGTAATTCATTCCCTTCCCATTTATATCATAGACATCTTTTTTCTTTCTTTTTGTCATTCGTTCCATCTTTATATTATAATGTTTACTTTGTAAATGAATAAAAAGTCTCTTCTTTTTGAAAGAATGGCGGCACTTTTTGGCATAAAAGTAAGCGATGTTGAGTACATTCATGGATGTATTTTGAAACGTCTCACACGCGGATGAAGCTCGAGATTGGAGGATGGGGGAATCAATGAAAAGGCGTAGAGAAAAGAGGCTCTTTTTTTACTGTAAAGCAGCAAAAAGGGCAACCACCTGCCAACAATTCCAGTTCTATTTTTGTCTATTTATTTATGCAGCAGAATGAAACGTCATTGTATCATGACGCATAAAAATCGTTGTTCTTGTTGTTGTTGTTATGACAACAGGGATCATTTCTATTTTTATTCTGAAAAAAATAGGAAAAGCAGAGAGTTTTATTGGCTTACAAAAATAAATGTTGATGGTAGGCTGCGTTGACAACAAGCATCTCGACAGACGCGGCTCGCTTCAAAGTCTTTGTTGTGCTTGTTGCAGTGCAGGTTTTACACCCTTTCTTTTTATAGATCAACATGAGCGATTTGAAAATAAAAATAACTTTTTTTTTCTTGTTGTTGACAACACTCAAAATTAAAAAAAAATAAAAAAAAATGAAATGCCGTAGAAGGTCTGTGAGTAACAAAAAATGCGATTTTCATGCATTGAATGAGAAATCCAATCACTAAAGAAATCATACAAAATTCAGGAGCCCGTTATTTTCTACTAACCTAGAAATAAGGGCTTTTGGTTGTTGACACCTCTATTTGTTCATTTGGTATACAATGTCATCTTTCAGACAAAGTAATACGCCCTCTTCCCCCTTCTTTTTTTGCATCATCAGAAAAAAAGTCCGCAGTTACAGCAAAAAAAAAAGCCACGAGCCCCAGTATTCAGTTTAGTCAACGGTAAAAGGTAGGATACATAAACAAGTCCCCATGCGCGTAAAAGGAAGTAAACGCGCAGACGGGAATGTAGGTGGGTCTTTCGTTATGAGTCAACCACAGGATGTTGGTTGGAAAAAAACCGAGAGCCTTAAAGATTGGATTGGGAATAAAAAAACCTCTTTTTCACTGTAGAATGTTTAACCGACTCATTCATTCATCATCACTCGTCATCCTCTTTTTCATTCGTTTCATGAAGAAGGCTTTATCCTATGGGCGAATGTCTTTATCTTTTTCATCATTTGATAGCACCCTCTTTCATATAGAGAGGTTTAAACAGAGTGCTCATTGGGCAAAAAAAAAAAAGAAAAACCATCTATCTACGCATGAGACTTTGACAACGGGTGTCCATGTCCTCCCACGTTTTCTGATGTTGCTACTGCGCTGTTACTGCTGACCCACACCGTACACTGGAATAAGTCATCTTTTTTTCACCAAAAACAGTTCATGGTGGAAGGTCGGACATTGGTTTTTTTGTTTCTTCAAAACGTTTTTTTAGTGTTGTTTCGAGTTTCTTCTTTATATAAACAATAGCGTGCGCCATTATTGGTGTAGGAGGGACCTACGTAATGTCAAGTGGGTCTTCTCTTGCGTCTTACATGAGACTGAGTCATCCATAGTATCTACTTTCTTTTCAGCATGACACGTCCGACCCAGGAGGAGCGTCACTTGATTTGCCTTTCTGAGTACCTCTTTTGAATGGTTTGGTCTGAAAGAACCTAGAAATTTACAACAGTTTCCATCCTACCTTTTTCCATAATAAGAACACAAAGCTTATTTTTTTTAGAAAAAAAAAAAAAAAAAAAAAAAAAGCCGAGATTCAGATTCTTCTGGTATCGTTTTGGTTATTCCTTTCGCTTTTGACAGTTTTTCCCTTTTTCGGGTTTTTCAAAAACAGCGTCAAGAAATGGTTTCGTCTTGGAGGAAAAAAAAAAAAAAAGACAGTGGATGTGTCATCAAGATTTATTCACAATGAATAAAAGTCATAGAGAAGTGGAGGTGATGAAAAGAAAATGGGTATCATTCTTTTTTTTGTTGTTGTCATCAATACAGAATAATAATTAAATGGTAAGAAATGAAAGAGTAAAATAACAAGAAGAACGTGTTCCTTTTTTCTTCTTGCTGTTGTTTGTCATGGTTTCGTTAGATGGTATCGTAAAATGGAAGGGTGTGGGGTGACATGGTTGATTTCACCTGAGTGTATGGACAGATAGAGGGTAAATGTAGATGAACGTCCATCGTAGGCTTTTGAGGCAGAGGAGGATAGGGTAACGGTAAAACTGAGTCAGCAGTCGCAGCAGGAGGAGTGAGAGGGTAAAAGTGGGATCGGTAGGCTGTAGTGGTAGGCGTAGTAGGAGAACAAGAAGAGAAAAACGAGGAGGAGGAGGAGGAGCAGCTTGTCGTTGTAGAACCAAGATCATCAAAGTCAGAATAGACACTGACAGGAGATGAGGAGGCAAGAGACACTGGACTCTGCTGTGGCACTGAGTAAGGAGAGTGTTGATGTGGCGAGCTTATGTTCATTGGGCTTGTCAAAGAAGAAGAAGCAAGATCTTGCTTTCGATGTGTATGTTCTTGATGTCTCGACAGTGTTGTTTTTCTTGTAAAGGATTTACCGCACTCGAAACATGTATAAGGACGATTGCCAGTATGTGTTCTTCGATGTCTAGCTAAAGAAGATGACTATAGGTGTGCGCATCCCATGGGTGTATGAATAGACATGTTCCTATCAAAGAAAACTGAAGAAAGAGCGCTACTTACATCTCCAAAGGACTTTCTACAGTCTTTGTATTCACAAACATGGGGTCTTTCTCCAGTGTGCGTTCTGAGATGCACAGTTAAAGCAGATCGTTGGATGAATTGCTTGTCACAACCATGCCAATGACAATGGTAAGGTCTTTCGCCTGTATGGATTCGCTTATGTCTGGCAAGATCAGATCGTCTGGTAAAGCTTTTCGTACAACCATTCCAGTTACACGAATAGGGCCGTGATTTGGTGGCGGAGGGTGCTTTGGTAACTGATGTAACGATATTGACAGGTTGAGAGTTTAACAAGTGGCTGATGTCCATAATTAAGAAAAAATGGATGAAAAATGGGATCAGAAATTAAATACAGTCGTATGGAGGACAAAAGAAAAGAAAAAAAAAAAAACAACGCCTGTATTTATACAAGTGGAGCCGTGGGGTTGAGATTTATATAAATATAACTAAACCACATATAAATATAATCCCTTTTTTCTCTTCAACAAACTGACTTTTAAAAATCAGCCTATTCGGTAAAAGACGATTTGTGATGGTAAATCCTAAATTTGTCATTAAGCGGAGAAAATTTTCCCTGCTTTATGGTAAAGAAAGCACGAGCCATTTTGACAAGAGAAAAATACTAATTCACCCTCAATTTGTCTCCCCACTGTATTCTAAGGGAGATTTTTTACAGTGTAAGGTGCAATTCAATCGGTTTCATTCTATTTTTTTTTATTTTTTTTCTATACAATACGCGGCCCCTACGCTATCTCATCCACTATAAAACACGTTGCAACAAAAGACTACAATGATGGTAACATTGCACAGAACCATGTTGAAGCACAGTGTTTTCAAAAAAGAAAAGGAAATAAAAGCAAATACAACGTTCCTCAATCACAATGTTTCCAGATGTCACGTTTTTTCTGGGCATTTTTTTTTTTTTTTTTTTTTTTTTTTAGCTTTTTGCTTTTGAATTCATGACTCAACGGCTTCATCAAGAGACAAATATATTATCATGAAATGAGCTTGTTGATCTTTATTTTTTTTATTTTTTTTTTCCTTTCATTTATTGATAATTGAGTGGTAAATTTATACACTCATTTTAATGTCGGTCAATGTGTATCTGGGCCTTAATTTCACTGACCTCTGCGCTCTATAGAATACAAGCATTGCATAATATATACTGTACTTTATTTTCACTTATTCTTTATATACCCATCTTGCACATGTTTCTATTACAAATATCGCTAGAAGGATTAGAATATCCGATCCGCGCTTAGGAAAAAAAAAGGAAGGTTTCATTTGTGCAGTGTTGTAACCTTAAACCAAGATTTTTTTTTCATATTCACGACAATGTCCAATGGCATTGTTTCTTTTCTTTGCCTTGGAGAATCTAGAATAATATGGATGCCTGAGCGTTGTTACTTACTTTGTACAATCTGTCTACAGTTATTTTGAACCCAGGGCATAAGAAGAAGAAAAAAACGCGTTTGAAAAATGTAAACAGAATGACAAGACCATCCAATAAACGTCCAGATATAAAAGATAAATTATATAAAGAATTTAAATGGCTTTATTAAATGAGGGGTGTGTGAAAATAACAGCTATGTTTCTAATAGAGAATGACACTTACTGTAAGCTTCGTTGTTTATTGGAGTAAATGATGCCATCCAATGCTTACCTGATTATTTTTATCTGCAAATTGAATTGAAAAAAAAAGGGGCTGGTGTATAAAAATGGACACCTTTTTTTGGGGAGTGTGTGGTTAGAAAAGAGTGTGTCCTTTCTTGCTGTAAACTTTAAACAAACGAAGAAATAAGGCTTATTTTACGCGTTTATTTTAAAGTTATCTATCATCTGACGTAGCTGTTTATATATGTAAAAAAAGGTTTTCTTTTTCAACATCAAGAAAGTGTCCACGTCAACTTTTTTGAATGGCTTTTTTTCTCTTCTTTTTTTTCTTTAATTTCTGTAAAATAACAATTTGGTTCACGTCAGCCCATTGTGAATCAATTTTTACAAATACTGAAATGGTGGAAAAATAATCCGCCGTTAACAAATATTCTCTCATCAGGGACCAAAACAAAAAAATATAAAATCCGACGCTGTGATCTTCCACTTTTTTTAATCAAAGCTTGACCAATCGGATCTCGTTTTGAAAAGCCCACCCTTTTTTTTTTCTTACATAAACCCTTCATGGAAATACAAAAAAAAATAAATAAAATACATACGGTTAGTGTGAGATAGGTCATGGAAAAAGAGGCTGACGTATTTGATAGTTTTTCAATAAAGAAAAGAAACAAGTCGTTGCTTTATTTCATAATATCACACGGTCCCATTTTCAATATAGGTTCAAGGCGTTTAAGAACAGAACGAAGCTAGTTGCTTATACGATGCTTATCAATCTTTTTTGGGTGTTTTTCTAAAACCTAAAGGGGAACAACATGCACGTCTCCCGTTCTTTCTGACTGTGTGTTCTAACGTCTCATTCCTCATGTCATTTCATATGATTGAAAGTGCTGAACATATGAACAGCCAATGATATGAAACGTTCATCTTTCTTGTTCATATATTTCTTCATTTCTCTACAATTTTAAAAAACGATAAAAAAAACTAAAGATGGCCATGTCCATATGTCTTTTGGATTCAAGCTTTTTTTAAAGCTTTATTTTGGCGTTGATAAGTATACAATTCATGTGTACATTGTGTAAAAACAAAGTAAGATACATGGGACAGGGAAACCGTGTCTTTATCTATGGTTATTTACTAATGAAAACAGATTCAATTCTATTGAATGAGGGCTTTCTTCCTTTTCTTGGACGATTTTTCACATAGTCTATTTGTTGAGCAGGATCCAAATCTCTCTACTGTCGCTTCAATTCAACAAGCTGTACATCAATGGCTTGTTTCATCCTAGAATCCAAACTAGGCTGCTTCTTGAGAGCTTCTTCAAATTGGCCCAATCGCAATTTAAAGTCCTGGCTCTCTTTATTGATCTGTGATATCTTCACCAAAGACTTTAGGGCGAGCAAATATTTCTGTTGACAAAGATAGATATCAAACGCAAGTGTGCCCACATCGAGGTTATCGGGCGCTAACAAGGTCAATGGTTGTACGAATTGAAGTGCGTCCTCCAATGGCTTTTCCGTATGGAGATAGGCCTCTCCATCAGGGTCTGTATCGACATTCTTTTTGTCTTTTGCACTGCTGCTATTCTTGGCTGTTTCCTCCTTCTTTTTGGCTTCTTTTTCCTGTTGCGCCTTCAGAGCTGCTTTACGTGCTTTATTTCTAGCCTTCTTCTTTTCTGCCTCAGACATGTTGGCCTCATCCATCCCGTCTTGGTTTTCCTTTTCGTTGGTATGATCCGCTTTACTGTCTGCAAGTGCCAAGTAAGCCGCTACAGCACCTTTCGCTGCCTTGAGATAGAAGGGATGCTTTTTCACGCTATCTTCCCAACGCAAGCCCTCCACATACGCACGAAGTGTCAGCTTGCGGAGACAGTAGCTGTGGAAATCGAACTGATCATCAAAATAAATCTCATAAAACTTGTTCAACGCATGGAAACGCTTCAACGCTTTTCCGTACTCTTTCTTGCGCAAATAAGCATAGCCTTCCTCGACCATGAACCATTGGCATTGCATGTCCGTCAAGTCTTGCAGAGCCGTGACATCCTTACGTGTAAACAGACCCAAAATACGTTCCGCTTCTTCAATATGTCCGGCACGTAACATGTATTTCGCACACTTGGAATTGATAAAACGATCCTGCAAATCCAACTCACGCGCCTCATTCATCACTTTCCAAGCTTCCTCCAACTGTCCCATGTGCTTTAAAATTCGCCCCTTCGTCATGTAAAGCTCTACCACTGTGGGTGTATGCGCAATGGCTTTTTCAATCCATTCAAGTGCTTTCTCGCTTTCCTGACGGAAATCAGATTGCTTGGCAAGATAGTATAAAGTCCATAAAAGTGCTGTTGGAGGCTCCTTGACATTGTCGCCATTGCCAAACGTGCCGTCCTTCTGTAACGATTCGTAATAACCCGCTACAAGCTCTTCAATAGCCTTCTTTTTGTCTGGTTGAGCATAGTACTTCTTCATCGAAGCGAATAAAGAGGGAATCCCCTTTCTTAATCCATTCTGAAGAGAAGCCGCTACCTTGACTCTGAAAGAGTCGCCTTCAGCATGTTGAAGAATCAAATGCTCAATGGCTTTTGATCGAGGATATTGAGTAAAGAGATCTGCAAGCACCTTGTTGGCTTCACCTTCTGATGAAATTCAAAACGAGCATGGTTAAACACTCTGCCATCCTTCCATCGTCCTCCTACTTTTTTTTTTTTCCTCACCTTCAGTCTCCATCGACAAAAGAGCAGTGACGTAGCCACTATGGTGAGGATTTTCACTGATCAAATCTCTATAAGCCTTTTCTGCTTCTTCCTTCCTATCCAATTTGAGCAGATAAAGTGCATGCTTCTCTTTCCACGATCTCTTATCGGTGACCTTTGATTCTATACTGATCAAATGATCCATAGCTGCCTGATAATCGCCACCTTCTTCTAATAACATATTTTCATACATGTGCAACTCTGATCTTTCAAAATCATTAGCAGCTGCCTACATATTTTATAAAATGAATTGTAAAAAAGATAAATGCCCATGTCTACTCTTTTCATCCTGCTTCTTCCTTTTTTTTTTTTTTTTCCACCTACAGAAATGACTTCCGAGTCAGTATAGGCTCTTAGGACTTTCACACCCTCCAAAGGCTTCTTGGCCAATTGATAAGCAATGGCCAAGCCAAGCCAGAAAGGAGGATTGGAAGGCTTCGATTCCAAAAGTTTAGTACGTGTTTCCTATCAGGGTGCCAGAAGAATGAATACTCAAAGCGCCACCTTTCTCTGAATAACCTCCCTCCTCTGTCACTTACCACCAAAGCGTCGTATTGACGAAGTTGCGTCTGAAGTACGGCGTAATCACGAAGAATGTTAATGTCGTTTTTGTTGAATTTCAAAGCATTCGCATAACATTTGGCGGCTTCTTCGTAGTTTTTATCCGCACGGTACAAAAGACCATAGACATGCCAGCCTACCAACCCCGTCATGAATGGAGAGTAATGGGCGAAACAAAGAGAAAAAGAATTTTCTGTGAGTACGAAAAGCAGACAAGACGATAGACTGTCGTGTACCCTAAAGTGTGAGCTCTTACAGATATGCGATGTCAAATTTTTCAAGAGCCCCTTTTTCACATATTCATATCCTTCTTCTTTCTTTTCGAGATTGTTCAAAAATAAACCCTTCATAGCCAACGTTTCTAATAGAAAGAAAGTTTAATTCATCAAGTTTGCTTCTCACCATCATCACAATGAGGGCATGCCCACGTCACAACATACCACCATGATCAGGATACTTTTTAAGAATCCCTTCCGCTAATTTGAGGCCCTTTTTATATTGACGAAGTTCATAGTTTTTCTACAATAGATCATCCCAACACATGAGCACGCGTAGGGCATCGTTTTTAGTTTCGTCACTTTTCAAAGGGAGCAGTGTTGACCGTCTATCTATCATATCTTTACCAGGATATTTCTGAAAACTTGAGCTTCTTTGAGGGGAAGCTCTTGCTTATTTGCGACAGCCATTCTCTTTCAATACAAGCTTAAAGCTAAAGTTATCCACACAAAAAAAAAAAAAAAAAAAAAAAAAAGAACCTGACAGAAAAAAAAAATTCTAAAAGTCCAACTCGTCGGTCATTTAACCCATAATTTTTGAAAAAGCCTTTGGAAAAACAGTGTATAGCTGTCTACGTAGATAGACATCATCTATACAAGGAAAGGAACAAATGTAGTGTCTGTAGCGTCTATTCAACCGTATCATTCTATTCTTACAGCATATTTTGAAATTTTTATCATTGATAAATGGCCCGTTTTACTTTTTACAGTGGAAAAATGAAAGGGACTGAAGGAAAAAGGGAAACAGAAATAAAAAAAAATCGGATAATTTTCATCGCATTATTCTGACCTGGAAATCTCGCCTTTACCCTTTATTTTTTTGTACAATCATTTTCTCGAAAAAAATACAAAGGAAAAGCGTTTGTGCAGCAGTTAAAAGTAGATGCCTTACACGCCTTACACCTTGCAGACGATTGTAAAGGCTTCTCAAGTACAAGAACAAGCATCTACCTCACCTACATCGACAACACTTTTGCCAAAAAGAACAGATCCAAATGGCAATGCACCCACATCGCCTACCATCAGCCAGGCTCAACCAATAGACAACCATATTACAGCCGTAAGCGCTTGGGGTACTAGACACATATAACATATTGCATTCCTACAAAAAAAAAATGAATTCTACCGAAATTTGAAAATCCTAAAATTCTCCACGTATCTGTCTCCATTTTGATCCCTTGAACATAGAAACGGATATATACTGTGGAACATCCAAAGGGACTGTCCTACATTATGTTGTTGAGGACACTGCATCGCTCTATAAAGTAATAAAGCATCGATCATTTGAAGATGATCATTTTTTAAATACACACACACACACACACAAACACGTAGTATGGTTCTAACAGCTATCAGGCATTACAATCGTCGTCTCCGACTCGCTTAGAAAACAGAATCCACTTGAATTTGGGAAAGAAAAGTGTAGAAAAGATTTTGCTGCTACCTCAAGTCTCCAGAGCTGTCGTACTCTGTGGTAAGTTTTCACCCTTTTTTTTTTTTTTTTTTTTTTTTTTTGGCCAAACCCCCCAAGCGCAAAAATATGGAAATTGAACCATCTTTCTCTCTCTCTTTTATCGTCCCGAAAAAGATGCAACACTCTTATTTTTTTCATTACCCTTCTTTGAACCCATCCCAGCATCCTTCATACAACCCATCAAAGGCGTATTCTGCTTTTCGCATGACGTCGGTGAAGAGGGTAGGATTGGAGAAGATGGGACAGTGGAACTGGTGGTAGTGAAAAGACGAACGATGCAAATTTACAAAATAGGAGAGACAGTGCATTTGAAAAAGGTAATGCAGGCAAAAAAAGCTATTTTTTCAAAAGCAGAACAGACTTTATTAAAAAAAAAATCAATGGGATAAATTCATAGGAAATGCCTCTCTCCGATAATGCCATTACGGTGACAAGATATGGCCGCATGGTCTGTCTAGCCGATCACCAGGAATACAAACTCATCCACTTGAAACAAGCGACAGTAACGCCTTTGACACCCATTCCGCGCGTGCCCGCAACATCCACTTTATCGGGAGGAGCATCGAACAGCTCGCTCGTACCTTGTCCAAAAGTAGCCGTTGTGAAAAAAGATGAATTCGTCATTGTGAACGGCAGTGCCGACAACCAAGCCATTGGCATTTTTGTCAACGCCAACGGCGATGCTATACGAGGCACTCTACAATGGTCCAGCTATCCTCAAGCCTTATGCATCGAATTCCCCTACACTGCCGCCTTATTATCCAACCAGACGATCGAGGTGCACAATATCCTCGATCAAACGCTTGTACAGACACTACCCTTGGATCCCGATGTCCAAGCCAAGGGAATGACGTTTGTTCACGGCATCACTGTATGGATGAATGACATAGCAGAAAAGTTAAAGCAACGGCCATGGCCCCACGAGAGGATACACCTGCAGGACGCAGAATTGGACAATCGGTTACGACGGGACACGGCTCGTTATTCAAGCGCCTCAGCACGTATTCTTCTTTATGGGAAAGAAACCGTCATGGCCCAAACAACGACCCCCTTCGTCGTACAAGCGGACGCATTGCTCGATAAAGGTTCGCTGGAAGAAGCGCTGCAGTTGGCAGAACACACAAAGAACACCCTGTCCACGGATAGCACCGTACACACGGAAAAGCTACGAGCAGAGTTGAATTACACATTTCAAAAGGCCGGCCTTTTACTGCTAAAGCAGACGCTTTACGAGGATGCCTTTTCATTGCTGTCGAACGGAAACATCGATCCACGCGTGGTAGTGCATATGTTTGAAGGGCTATCGCAAGGAAAATGGCTAGAAGAGTATCCTCCCGTACTCCTTTACGATGGCGTGCGACACGTACTCGAAGCAATAGGAACAATAAAGGATATCGTGAACGACAACTTGAAAGAGTCAGCTTCTGAACCCGGAGGACCTACAAACGATGAATCCCAGCTTGCCAAAGACGTATCAAAGATGCGGCGTGTATTGTTAATGAACGCCAGAGATGCTTTGCTTGACTATTTAAAGAAAGAACGCGATAAATGGAGAGCATCCTTATCAGACGATAACGAAATCATTCGCACCGTCATTGATACCTCTTTGCTAAAGATATATTTGTCGCAAAAAGATGATTCCTCCATTCTTGAATTGTTACAACAATCCAATCATTGCAGTATCGAGGATTGTGCAAAGGCATTGACGAAAGCAAAGGTAACCACCCTACAAATGATCTATCTGTATTCGGCTCCCTCCCACCCCCCCCACCCCTCGATATCGTATACTTACCCTCTATTTGTTAGAGATTCTATGCTTTATCTGTAATGTATAAATCGAAGCATATGTATGAAAAGGTGCTCGATTTATGGGCAAAGTAAGAGCAAAGATGTTTCAATCTCTTTGAATTTAAAAAACTGTTGTTGATCGTGAGCTTTCATTTTAATAGGTTCTATACAGGGGAAATGGTCGATGCAAACTTTAAAAATGGATTAGAAAGCATGAAAGAGCTTTTATTACAAGATACTCCTTCAAAAGAGTTATCTTTATCAGTGATCATGCAGTATGCATGGTGGATCACTAGCAAAAATGCGAAAGAGGGTGTTGAAATCTTTATGAATTCACCCAGATCCAAGGAAATGGATCCCGACGAGATATTAGAGAAGCTAGAGGATGACAGCTCTGAAGGCGCAAAAATATACCTCGAACACCTAGTTTTGACAAAGAAGAGCGAGAGACCTGACTACCATACAAAATTAGCGCTCAACTACTTAAAAGACATACATGACTATTGTTTACAATCAGATAGCCGCAGTGACACAGAAGCTTTAGGTAGGCCTTTCCCTTTTCCTCATTTCTCTGTCTTTTTTGCATAATTATACTCTCCTGTAATGTTCCGTTCTTATATTGTGTCATCTCTTTTTTATAGTTGAACGCTTCAAAGAAATACAGAAAACATCCTCTTCAGAGGATGGCAGTGAAGCCCTTGAAGCAGAGGATCAAACACAACAATGTACATTTGTGAGCTATCTTGCCTCACAGCAACATCAAACAGATGTAATCAAACTTCATCTAAAATTAATTGATTTACTCCAGACGTCTGGTGTATATTCGCCTGCAGTGCTGTTCGAAAGAATGAAGCAACCGGGGTTGTTGAGCATTGAGGAAGCTATTGTTCGTGGAAGAGTAAGTTTGACAACAGAAACAGGCGTAGCCTTGGAAGGCTGCTATGAGTCTAATCGATCTGCTGCCTTTTTTGTGTCTTTAGCTCGGCGACCACAAAGAAGCCTTGACAATTTTAGTGCGGGATTTACAAGACTTTGCTGGTGCAGAAATATATTGCCTCACGAACGGTCAAAGTGTTGGATTGATACCTCATACTCCAACAGCAGAAAGCGGATCTTTTAAAGATAAGCCTTTGCTACCCTTGCAATGCGACGATACCCAACACTCAAAAGAGAACTTTACTGAAAGACAAGCCTTGTTTTCTATGTTGTTGCAGTCTTACATAGCTGCACCGGACAGGTACGAGCGAAAAAGAACATATATACAGAAAAGTAGCAGTTTGATTATTATTTAATTGACACGTTGCTCCCATTACTTTTGCCAGTGATGTAACGATGGCTCGCAGTGCTCATCTACTCAACACTCAAGGAATGTATTTTGATACCCTTAACGTGAGTAGTTATGCTTATGAAATCACACGAGATGAACTTCTTTTCACGAGCATTAATACTGTCTATTCCAGGTTCTTGAACTTATACCCGACCATTGGCCTGTGCAACTCTTTCAAGATTTCATAATACGATCATTAAGAAGGTCTACGAATAGCCTCGATGATAATAAGATAGAATTAGGTTTGAGTAGAGGTCAAAACATTCTGGTGAGCAGTGACCTATTCAAACTCTATGGAGTCATCGGGCCCATTGAGGTGGATAACCAAACAGTTTGTGTGAAATGTCACCGCTACATTGGAACGAATATTTTTGTGAGAGAAAGCCAGTACGGACAGCTGCTCCACCTTCATTGTGCCAAATTACTTGGCTACGTGGATGATGCTGGTGAATGACCAGTAGAAATTGACTGAAATTATTGCACTGTTCATTTTGTATATTTAAAATAGTATTCCCGTGTATGTGCAATATGCATTTATTAGTTAATAAAAACAAGTATTTAGTAGTATGTAATAAATAGAACGTTAATGACTATAATGATAATCAAAAAAGGTAAAATAGTAGTTCTAATGAGAGAATAAAAGGTATGCCTTCCAAACCATTAGCTCTATTGTAGAAAATATACAGCAATAATAACAGCAAAGCCGACGACGACCTTCGAGATATGGTAATTGTTAGCGGAGCTATTACTAGGTGCAGGAAGATTGCTTGAAGTTGGAGTATGGCTCGGCGTTCCAGATGGGCTAGAGGGTCCTGGCTGGCTGGCAGAAGCAGTAGGGGCGGGACCGATCAAGATGGAAGAGGTTGAAGTATTTTGCTTGTTATCCTTGTTGTTGCTGTCACTCTCGTTGGATGGCTTTGAAGGTGAAATTACATCCTCTTGCGATTTGGAATCACCGCCAGGCCAATGGTCTTTGATACAACGAGTATAACACGAATTTGATTGACAGTCCGTAATACATTTGTTTGCCTTAGTGACTACATAGTAAGTTACGTTAGATGAATGTTGTTACTCTTTAGTTTGAAAAGTATGCTCATTAGCTCAAGCCTTTTTTCTACTTACCACAGTCAGCCAGACAGTCTGTGTCTGCGGGATCACAAGAGCATTTTGCGTTAACCAACGTCACAGTGAATGTGAGTAGAGTGGCGATAAAGAAAATCGTAAACTTCATTTGAAAGTGATGTATAATGAAATGGTAGAATAACTAAACGGTTTGGAAAAATTGGACTCTAGCTGAACAATTTTTTTGGCAGCCCTATTTATATACGGCTCGAATTATTAACTTATCCATCGAAATCAGTTCGCAATCATAAGTATAGATGAATTCTATTCAAGGCTATCTTAGTTGTAAGTTTAATAGAGTATATGAAACTTTTTTGTTTCAATAAAACTCATATATGTCGTTTTCTTAACTGCTGTTTTCTCCTGGAAGTTGATAAAGTAACTGGTTTCTGCGTTTCATTATCCCTGTGTTTCTTACATGAAAACGTTACAAATTGTAACGTAAGTGAGGGACCTATCCTTCTCTTTTAATGTTACCCCTTATCCGTCGTATGCTGTACATAAAATGTTGTATGTTGGTCATATTATCTGTATGAACCCATCTCCTCATTTATTCTTTTCGGCTTCTCAAAAGGGGTATGTGCTGTATGTTTTTAGTCCCTTTGGCAGATATTCCAAAATATATGATGCCCTTCTCAAATGTGCTATATAAATGCATGATTTTTTTTTTTTTTTTTTTTTTTTTTGTATTGACTGACGTCTTTGGTATTAAGTTTATCCTTTCTTGCTATTTCACATATCGTGTATTAAAAGATGTAGGAAAGTAACTGACGATAACAATAATGTCAATTGGTTAAGCAGAAAAGGAGAGCCAATTACATGAAATATATGATTGTTATTGGCGCAGTTAGTCCTTTGCTTGATAGACATAAAACAGCATATATTAACTATTTATCATTATATAGCTTATATCGCTGTGTTCAATTGGCCTATGCCGTAAAGATTTCCGTCGAGACTTCCTGATTCTTTTAGCATACGGTCCGATTTAACATAGACCTGATACTGTCTTTCTCTTGTAATGAAAGCACTTTGATCTTTTATAGGCCTAATGAAAGTGAACCTGAGGCTTTGATTAGAGATCTAAATTACTAGAGTCAGCAAATTTTTCAAACAACACTATACAATCATATCTCTTTTATTTGTACTGGTAGTATTGCCCAAAAGAAAAATGATTTGTGTGCAAGCAGCAAATATTTAATGTTATCGACAGTAATGCAATGATTCAAACAATAGCTGACCATTACGAACAGAGAGTTAAAATGAGTAGCCTCGTTTAGGCCACGTCAAGTGACTTCAAATCATTTGATACATATATATATTAAGGCCATCTTTAGCATGGTCTTTCCTTATTTATTTCTCAGCGACGGCTATATGCCGATATTCACTTTGTCAGGTCTGAATAGGAATCATATTTTTGACAGGAATCGTATGCTATTCAGTAAATTTGAGGTTCAAATGCTTCATGTGTGATTATTTACTGAGGTCTCTATCTTGTTATATTGTACATAAACTTATATCAGATTCAATACAAATAGACCGTGTGTCTGGTTGTACGTGCATGAGTATTACAGTCTTTGTTTTATAGAACTCGTCATTTCCCAACAACCACAGGGCATTAATTATGGCAAATGGAATTCAATTAGATTCAGTTGAAGAGAAGTACGGCACCAAGGAGCACCTAATGCCATTGAATGAGAGTAACAATTATGGTAGCTATTATCAATGTTTTACAAGCCAGATAGTTGGTAGTAAGCAGCGGATACCAAGTTGATATCGTTGTGTTTGCAGCCAAAACTCTTCAAGTTCACTAAGGACGGTTGATAATACGGCCGTCATGTAAACCAACTTTGCACTCGGTCTATTAACTCATGGGTGTTTGGCCTCTTTGATAATCCGAATAACGGCTGTTATATACGTTTGAGTCAACGTTGGAAGATAAATCTATGAGTGGTTTAAACAGTTCATCTGATCTCTGTATCACGAAATCCAGTGGCGTGAAGTGGGTGGTCGATGTAGGATACGGAGCAGCAAGTCTGCTGCGCGAGATCAAGACAATCACTTGATATGTAGAATTTGCTGTAAGTGGTCGTGTTAGGCAAAGAAGCACTGGACATGCATTTAATGAAAGGCATACTGGGTATACACATAATAGGCCGAGTGATTTTTTTTTCGCGGGATTGATTAAATTGGCTGTAATCCCAGCTCCTGACTCTCTGCAATGCTTATCCGCATTCATTCTGGGATCACTAAAAATGATCAAAGCTACTTAATTCCTTTGATCGAATTTGCGTCCTAATTAGTAATGCTGAGCCTACCAAGAGTCGTCGTACACCAACCTTATCTATGTCAATATTTGATCTGCTCTTCACGACATCAAAGATCGAAAGAAGCTATGCCAGTTGAAACTTCATATATTTGATTTTATCATTTTATTCCATTCTCATTTGAAGCGACACCATTGATATCGTTATTCTTCAATTCATATTCACGCGAAGAGTTTTGTTTTTATTTTATTTTTATTTTTTTTGGGGGGGATGGTTAAGCCCAATAATCATTTATATATCTTTTGTATGTTTGTTTGCAAGTACATGTCTTTGGTCTTTCGCGGGCATACCGTATACGTTTATTTGTAGTTGTTGCGATAATTGCAGTAGCTGCAGTCGTCGCGGCAGTTTTTTCTTTTTATTTTCTAATTATGCTGCGATAGTCGCAAATACTTTTTTTTTTCACTTTATAATCATTACATGGGCATTTTTTTTAACGAGAGGGTACATTAACTTTTCAAGAAGTTATTGACTGTGCTGCGTCAGTTAAAAAAGAATAAGGATATACCACTGATAATACGGACCATTGGAGATAATATTTGTTAAAAATATTCATAGAAGTATTGAAGGAGTAATTATATAGAATTATTCACAACATCACACCGCGAACTTGACAATGGAATGATCATGAAATTGCTTCAGTAACTGCTCAATCACTTCAACAACAGTAGCAGAGGGATCAGCATCAATGTAGCAAATAACTGTTGTTTCATGCTCTTCATTTAAGATTCACGGACGACCTCTTGTCTACAGCGGTCAAAAATACTGTAAGGACACGCATTATACTGGCTAAACCATCTATAAGCTGTTCGAGCGTGGATGTCCAACTGCTGCGCAGCAGCTGATGCAGCCATACACTTTGTATCTTCAGAACGAAAAACCTAACGCTAACTTGGCACATATTTTCGTTTTGGTTTTTGTCTCCTTTAATTTCGGCTGACCAATTATTTTACTTGTGGAAGCACTGCAGTTCCCGCAATTTCCCATGAGCTAAGTACTTTATCAGTTTTTAGACCTTCTAGCCGATCTCTTCCAATCTTTTCGATCTGTTGTACCAAGAAGATTGATCCATGTCTGCAGTCAGTAATGCTAGATCATCCGAAAACAAATTGAAGAATCGATTCTCGTTTCAATATTTTGATTGTGAATCGGACTTCGGCATTGAAAATGAACAAGGTGAAAGAGTACGTAAAAGGAAAAAGCCTGGACGCAAACCAAATCCGCCTTCTATTCAAGAGAGACGTGCGCAAAATAGGGCAGCCCAAAAGGCATTCAGAGAAAGAGAGCAACAGAAAAGAGAGGAGAGAGAAAAACAATGGAAATTTTACAGTGAAGAAGTAAAGAAACTTCGGAAACAGTTAGCTATCACACAATATGAAGCCAAATACTTGAAGGCTTGCGTTCTGCATTTAACGCTTGCTTTCTTAGTGCTTAGAGGCTCTGTCCCTCAAATTTGGTCTGAATCTCGCATTATCCCTAGTAATAGTCATGGGGAATATAAAAAGCCTTTTTGTAAACCTTACGGTCGAGAGATTGTCAATGAGGCCTATCAAACACCAGCACTGTTAGACATGATGTTGGAAAAACAACATATAATGGAGTTCAATAAAGCGGCTCAACTTAGTGTTGAGCATACACCATTTATACAGTGTAGAAAAAGGAAGATAGACGATGCCGATCATATCATTTCGGCTTATCAGGCCTATATTGAGGATGAGATCATTACTTTAAATAAAGCGACACAGGATCCAAATCGTACCTTTCCTCGTGCAAAAAGACTAAAGTCGAACAGCACAAACTATGATAATATCTCTCCCTCAACAATAATCCCTACGTCGACTCTAACAACGTCTCCATCGGATCTACCTCCATTATCATTTGATACTCCATATACGCCCCAAGGACACGAGTCGTCGACTTCGATAATTTCCTCATCGGAAGAATCTGCATACATCCAACGATTTGAGGATAATACTTACCAGCGACAGACAGCAGATACTCCTTCCACTTTTCAAAGTAATAATATGTTTAATAGTAATTCGCAAGCATTAACTATACATCAAAAGCCGGTCGTTGATATTTGTTTGGAATCACCACCGTTCAGAAACCCAGAAGACTTGATGGCCATGCCGGCAATTCAAGCGTTGCACGTTGTTCGACTTCAATTGAAATTGAGTAGTATTTTGGGCGGTATAACACCAGTCTTTTTATTACCCAGTAAGTTACTGCTATAGCAGAAGGAATTTGAGTTGAGCAAACAAAAAGGGTACATTGTTTAATGTAACTCTCTTCAACCTATCACCACTAGCTGCTTTACAAAGAGTAATACCTCATGATATTCGAATCGATTATGTTCCCGCGGGTTCCGTTCGCGACCGACTCATTTTGTTTCAGGATTATTACGATATGGATGAATGTTTTCAGTACTTAACACAAACGATTGTCTTCACAGGAGGCGATGTACGGAATCCAAAAAATTGGACCTTAGATCCATCTTTTAATGTAAAATTCTGGTTCCTGTCCCATCAAATGTACGACTATGCCTTTGCTGAGTATTTACCCAGAGACCAGTTGTTCAATATTTCTGAAACGTTATTGAGAACCCCAACTGAAGATGAGGGAAGTAGTAGCAATACCACCAGTTACAGTGCTGAAGGCACAAGAATATCCGCCAACAGCAAATCAAAGGAAGCAAATAAAACAAAGCAAAATAAACAGAACAATGAGAGTAATGCATGGAAAAACCGGACAGCTTGCAATACAACAATTTCATAAGTGAAAACGCTGTTGAAGCTGAATCTATCCACTTATCACATTTTTATGCCAATAAACAATAAAAAGAAATTCTACACTTATTTACTCAATTCTGGGGCACTACTTTTCGTTTTATTTTTGTTTCATAAAAGTTTTTTTTTTGAAAATATAAATGTAGAGAGGTTACTATCAAACGCCTTTCATTGCCCGGAGGCTAATGGTGTTAGCGAATCAACTCATTTTCGTCTTTGGCTTACAGACTGGCGGTCTATTCAAAAATTGAAAATTTTGGATAAACCGAATAAGCAGCCTATGAACCATTGCCGATGGAGTTTTATCGGCGACTAGCTGGAAAATTACATGAGTTTCAGAAATACCGCATCTCAACTTGTGGGGAGGACAATAGATTGAAATACGTCGGAAAGATTCATCGTTATACGTATAAAGAGCTTGGATTGACAGATACTTCTTTTTAATTAATGGGCACCACAATAGCTATCTGCCAAAAATATTTTGGGGCAGTTCTAAAGGTGTAAAAGGGATAAAAATTCCTTACTGTGGACGAAGCGGAAAAAAAGAAAGGGTGCCATGAATGCGTGCGTGCTACAGGATAACGGCACTGTCACTTGTAAACTGTTGAAGGCGCGTACAACCATTCCAACAGTGGTTAGCCAAGATTGTCTGTGAGCAATGTTGGCTATTTCTTATGTTGGATGTAACCGATTGTCTAGTTCATGAGTCGTTATGGTACCAATGCTTTGGCTGGAAGGAACTTCAATAGAAAAGAAAATGGTTCAAAACTGGAGTCCGTACTTCGGTGCATGTGCAGAGATTTAGTGGCGTGCGCTTTTGTGAGTGTATTCGATGGATATCAGCGGCATTTGGTTGAAAAGTACCAGGGAGCCAACCGGTTTTTAACGGAAACATTGGTCACGTTCTACAAAGACATTGATGGTCAAAGGAATAGTTCAAGGGAAATCGTTGTACGGCATAGAGATATCAGTTTGGAATTATGCGATTCATAGAAACTTCTATCCGCAGCCTTAAATTATGTGTGTCTGTAATGTCTTGTAGATCGTAATAAATCACAATATTTTTTTAGGGTATGAACTGATTCATTTATAGTAAAGGGAGTGATAGGCAATCATGACACAATAAACTTGCAATTCTCTTTGGATGGTTTTAAAGAAAACTCCAGATTTACGAGCAATATCTTCAGTTATGACCTGCATCACTTGACTCATTAGAAAACTGAGCTCTATACTGGTTGAAAAAGTCGTTATAAAATGTCGCTAAATATGTTTATTTATAGCTGTATTCTAATCACAGATGAATAAGAAAGATATATCATCATATGAGTTTGGGGTTGTATCAATGAATCAACCGATGTCAACAATCCTCAGCTTCACATGTATGAACGTAATCTAAAATCTGCTTATCACACTTCTAACCTCTCTATTAGGAAGCAGTTATGTTGTCGTCACTGAATGGAAAATCCTATCATTTCCTCATCTCTATAGAAAACATACAGGGTGTTCTAGTTGACCAGCTGACGCGTTTGGTGAGATAACAACTACAATACTCGTTTACGTACAACCAGGTAGAGAATACATTCCACCACAGTCTATCTATATTGCATCTAATATAGGTTATGTACAACATATGATGAAATACAGGCCTAAGTATAATAATCACATCGAGCGTCTGAACCTAAAATTAGTGATTAGCATACGCGGCCTCAAATAATATAATTCCCATTAAACCTCACAGAGTAAATAATCTTTCTATTTCATCTGGAGAACAATAAAAACACTTAAGTTCATAGTCATCGACTTATAACAGTTATCAATTCCAACTAAGCAAATACCACAGTAGCCGATTGGGCAGTGGGCGCTTCCTGTAACGACTAAAAGTGCAAAGAGGAAAGCACAGCTATAGATAGAAATCAGTTGCTCCAACATTTCAGCTCAACCAGCCCCTTCTACAAATGCATATTGAGTCATGAATATACAGAACTTTTAAAGTCAATATGTGAAAGTATCAACATAGACTGGCTAATTTTCCCACAATACAGATATGCCATTTCCCAACTTTTTTCAGGGGCTATTTTAGTAGAACAGTCCTCTGCTATTCTGCGAAACTGTGTTGAGCCTTACGGCCGTCTAAAGAGTACCGATGCACATCACGAACGAAGAATTGCAACAGCAATCCATTTCTTTTCTTATCCGGAAAAAGAAAGTAAATATGGCTAGATCACTCTGATTTAAGTACAAGAAGACAATACCACGAAACTGAAAGTTGAAACTACAGCATTCAATTTACTAGCAACTTATAGTTTATGATTGGACAAAGGCTCAAGTCTAAGCATTCAAATAGGTTCTAACACAAGCCATTTTACTCCTCCACAAAACACATCGATTTATATTGATGTTGCTTTAATAAAACTTGGCAAATTTGTTGATAGAAAATGAATTAGCCACATCCATAAACCAAGAAACATATCTGTATCAAAGACAGGCCAGGTCTAAATTTCACTGCTTATCAACATATAGTCAGTGTCGATTTTTTAGCTCAATTGCTGCAATATAGCGTTTCGCCCATACAATTTCTGGACATTATATGAGTATGACACTCCACAAAACACCAATTCAGAAGCAAAACTGCTATCCAACATTTTCCAAAGTATTGCATACTCTGTAATCAGAAACGGACCGTCTGCTCGTGTAAATGTTAATTGCTTTAAAAATGTGAAAAATCAGTTGAAGGGCAATGTGATAAAAAGCATCCTTGCTCAAATACTAGAGTTAGAAGATGAGTTTATTATGATAATCAACAATTTCGAACTCAGTAGTTTGCTCCAACCTTTAGCTGATTCTATGAGCACTTCAATTAAGGTGCCAATCTGAATGCTGCAAAGCTATTAGAAAAGTCTTTAAAAGCTTAAAACATATCATGTTTAGTGCATGTCTTTTGTTTAAGAAAAAAATAATAAGTCATTAAAAAAGTAGCTGTAGAGAAAGTTTCAAATTGAAGCAGTAGTTTCACTTCAAGTTTGTCAGTACAGCTTACAAGATGATGTTCATGCATATAGGTATATATCTATTAAGCACAAGAAAGACACATAATACTTAAACTGGGTCTCATGGGGAAAAGCAATCAGCAGCTCTGCCCCAAATTAACTACAATTGCTGTAGCTATAACAGTATGGAAAGAATCGTTTATGTAAGGTATTCTTGACAACCAGGAAACAAGTTGGTTTATTAAGGATTATAATAATGTTGGATTTTGCGTTCGGGCGCTTTTAATCTTGCAGGCTTGTAGACCAGTTTAATATAGACTTCAATAGCAGCATAATCTTGTCTTCCTTACCACTGTATATGTCTAAAGATAGAAAGCATTATTAGTGTGATAATAGATCATTCTTTTTAGTGTCATCAGAAGCTTACCTTTAATGGTAAACTGATCGTCTAACTCAATTCCCTCCATTGTCATAAAATTAAAAGCGTCTACGATACCGTCTGGCATCAACATACTGATTGTACCCTTAACTATGGGAGAGGCACATTTCTTCACTTGTTTGCCGCTTATATGTTGGAGAATCTCTTTCAAAACGTCGCCTTGGCGTATTTCTTTCAGACTACAGATCTTTGATTTGGTACAAATTGTATTTACCCAGGTTATATATTCCTTAGCTGACCAGAATGATGCATCAATGAAGGTTTTCTGGTCTATACTAAGTATGTCATCATAGCTTTGGTTACAAGTCTCTTCTCTAGTTTGATAAAGCAATCGACTATTTTCTTCGTCTGTAATACTATGGCTTTGGTTCAAAACTTCCAATAATGTTAATGTCTTGCTATCATCACTGTCTTCTTCTTCTACTAGAAACTGATCGCATTCATCGTCATTTCCAATAGAGCTGCTCGTACCATGCTCAGTATCTTTGAATGAATCGCATGAATCTTCCTCTTCTTCTTTTTCTGTTATCCGTAAAGATGTTGTGGTGGTCATTGTGTGAGGTGTCGAGTTTGAGCCTGTAAGAGCTGTTAGGATAGATGTTGAACTTGCATCAGGAGAGGTACGGGGGTTTAGATAACCAGCACTACCACTACTATTAATGAGGCCGCTGGTGCCTTTAATTGATTTGCGAGCTTTAGACGATGAAGAATTAACTGGGGATGATTTCGAAACTGCCCCTCCTTTTCGATGCAGTAAAACGGAAGGAGGTCTAGGTCGCATACGGCGAGCTACTTCAAGCGAGACGGTTGGTATAATGCTTGAACTCAAAACAGGAACCGCAAAATCTCTTGAGATCGTTGCTTTAATCAAGCTAGAAATCCAGGCTTTCATCTCTTGTTCTATATGGGTATAGAAGAAAAAGGTGCGCTCTTGTTCATGCTGTGCTTTGAATGAAAATGTACCAGGTTGAATTGTCTCATCCACCACAATTTTGTAGCCTCTCAGGTTGATGATACCTTTCATACGGACATCCTAACAAAAAGAATCGTTAGCTAAAGATAGACTTTTTACGCATGCTTCCCATATAAAATATACCTTTGGGCTTTTGAAATAAAACAAATTGGGACCTTTCAAGACAAACCATCGCTTATTCCATTTTTTATATTTGCAACTTTGCTTATAGAGCCAGCCTTCCATATCAGGTGAGACATTTTCTGTTTCTTCATAACAGTACATGTCTAAAGAGCTTCGACTGTTCGCTGAATTTATTCTTTGGTTATATTGTGTCTGTTGGATCGTATACATATTACTGTAATAGTTCGTAATTTTGATATTAGTTCTATAAGCAGCTATCATAGAACATGAACTGAGAGTCTATACCTGTTTTCTGCAGACAGGAATGTTTCTTCATCTCCATTCAAATGCTCGAAATACTATCAATTCGATTATTGATAGAAATAATGATAAGAAAAGACTGAAGCTTTTATTTAATGATAATTGACTTACGCCCTGCTTCATATCTGCTATATCAACAGTTGATGTTGGAGTTAAAGGAGAAGAGCCAGAATATGAACTCGGAGATAATTGATATGTATCTAAACATTTACAAAGAGAAGACTTCAATTAATAATCTTGATTGACTATGTCTTTTCGAGAGAAGATATGTTCTTACCATCATCGTGAAAGTTGTCTTTTTCATTGCTACTGTAAACGCTTTTACGATGCTTATGGCATTTATTTTCTGTCATGAAGATTGTATTTTCTGTAATTGAATGTTTAGTGTGAGACGATATAGAGTACTCAGGTGAATGAGAGCTTTTTTCGTTGGTAAGATAATCGTCAAAGCAAGTGGGAGAACAGACAGATACACGTTTCGGTTGATTTTTAAGTCCACATTCGTTTCGAAGAATTTGAATGGCTGTATGAATTTTATATCTTTTACCAAATGTAGGCACGTCTAGCTCTTTCAGAGACCCCATATTTAACTCTAACAAAATATCCCCTGTAATTTCCTGACCTAGAATTGGACGAAATGAATGTTCATAAAGAGTGTATGAGAGTTCGATCAATTCTTTTGGTCGTTAGGGGTCACTTTTAATGCATCTTATTCTTGGATAAGTATAAAAGTATATGTTCTTACATTTGAAATTCGTAGCTACGCTTTGAAAGTCCATAGCATTCAACCAGATTTCTACTTGATTAACATTCCATGTTTCAGGTGGCGTTGAGCGCAAAGCAGGTAAAAACAAAGCTTTGATAACCAATCTACGGATAGCAACGTTGTTAAAACCACCAAGATGGTTCGACAATGCTGCTGTAGCTGCTGCTGTTGTAGGACCTGTTGGACAGGTGAATGAGTAGGATGACTGCTCCATTAAAGATCTTGTTTCGTTATTACTGCCGTTAAAGAAGCTTGTTGTTAAGTTGATAGGGGCTGCACCCTTTTTTGTCATTACGACATCCGAGTTAGACGGTGTAGGAAGTTGTGCGATTTGTTGACAGTTAAGTGGTTCTTTGTAGGTAGTGTAAGACATCGGAAAGAGGCCTATATCACCACGTGTGTTCTCGCCCTAAAAAGATCCGCCCCATAAGTCTTATGGTAAAAGCACCTAAAAAAATTGGATTATTACCTTCCACCAGCCATCATTATAACCATCATCTTTCTGTAGGATACTGATAGGCTCGCCGATTTGAAATGTTAACTCATCTTCATTTTCTGCTTCAAAGTTTTGGATTGCATATACTGTTTCTAATACTGTCATAGTTACTTATGCTGGGTTTATTGTAAGGGCTAATATAAAGAAGGATTATTGGAACTTGTTAAGGAATGTCAAGTATTAATGATAAGTTGAACTAAATGAGTGAGGTAGATTATAGTCAAAAGTATCAAATGAATGTAAACTAGAAGGATGGAATAGAAGAAACTTTGTATAAAGTGGTATCAATAATGAAGAGGGAAAGGATCTTTGTAGTTGGAAAGAAGTTCAAGTGACGATGACAAAAATAGTGAAAGGAGGAGTTAATCGGGCTGTCAAAGGAGAGCAAAAGAAGTTCTTCTTTCCGCAAAGGTATGCTGTGTACTCATGCATAGTAATTTGTCCTAACCAACAAAAAAGAAAGAGATTAAGCTCAGTTCATGTAAACATCTGAATTCACAAAGTCATATGAAAGGCTGAAGAGGAAGACTAAACGGAGAGAGAAAAGAATATGAACTTGGGCATTTACAGATCCTGTTTGCATAGATCTCTAAGCTTTATATTAGAGTCCTAAGCGAACCGAATACATAAAGCTAATCGTACTGTATGCAAAAATTAGACTTTACGACAAGCTTCATTAAAGCGCTTCTGTTCAAGCATTCTTATGAGGTACAGATCGATTTTGGCAACTCAGAAGAAAGCATTGGATAGGGACTTGTTATATAGAAAGACAGTAACACGAAAACGAATCTCCTTCTATGCTAGTCAATATGACTAGCCATGCCTGGTAAACATTTCTAATTTTGACGATATTTTAGCATAAAAAGGTAACTCTTCAATACTACTGTATTGGCTTTTATAGACATATTACAAACACCTTTTCTTTTTTTTTTCTTTTTTGTTGACGATGATCCGAAAGTATTTCCTTAAACGTCTATTATGAACATTTTCATTATATTTTTCTACTTGGCTACGAAAAAGCTGAATATATCTTCATTAAAATCCTCTTTGTATATAGCATCTGGACAACACGATAAATAAGCAGGAGTAACGTAAGATCAATCGAACTTGGCTTATTATTTCGCTTTCAGGAGAAAAATATGAAAATCGTTTCTTTTATGTGTCGTCAGCTTATGCAAGTTAGCGAGCCAGAATTGGCATATATCCACCGAAAAGCCGAAGCCTAAGAGAGAACTTGAGTTATTCAGAAGCTGCTACAAAGTTATATATTAATAAAAATTTGGTCCTAAAAATAAAAAGAATTATGAGAGATGAACTGACAAAAAAGTGCTGTCATCCCCTTCTAAGCAACTTGACGATCGAGCTGCACCTCCTACATTATTTCTTTCTAGTTTAAGGCATATTTGAACAATTCTCCCATTATTGACACTGTAAAAATTTCATATAAAAGCTGCTTTAGCAGTAATGTTTGTCCATTAATTTTAATTGAGAAGAAGAAATAGGGTCCTCTCGATAAGATAACGGAGCTTCGCGAAGTCCCGTTGCTCATATGTCATTCTGTCATATCAGTTTCCTCTATTACCTATGCTGCTTTGTTTGGATCATAACATTCCTAGTCATATATTTAATGATAAAAGAGTACAGCTTTTTTTTTTGCGCTTTATCTTTTTTTACCTACTGACTTGATGCTCTCGATCAGCGTTGGAGACCGTTATTAAAATCCCATAGCGCTAACATACTTAGTCGTGATATTGGTTTAAATGGGAAACAACAGGAAAAATAATTCAGATATAGAAGCGTGCAAAAACTATACTGTAAAGGAGAGTACTACAGTAAGGCGATGGAGGTGCTCGTCCGGCTTGAAGTTGATAGTATTGTTTATGGTTGCTGGAGTCATTCTATTATGCATACTTTTGCCCAAGTACTTCCAGAATAAAGGGTCAGCGTCTGATAGCTTGACAGATCCAACTCATGCAAACCTTCCAACTACAGATTAATGCGATACCACTACATACCTTTTTTTGATAAGACATCAATTCACATTAATTCTTTTTTTCTCCCCTCGCTTTTCCGTAATGCAAAAATTATTATTGGCTGTAAAGAGAAGATCTTCCCCGACTGGTTAACACAGGCAAAAGCTAATTTTCGGACTCCGTAATTCTTGATGAGGGTGATGCCTTAAAAGAATACCACCCCTTTCTCTTCTCCCTTTACTGTCTCTCCTTTTTATTACTCTTAATACCCAGATAAACATATTCAAGCTACGAATAAATCTCATTTATTATATTTATATTAGAAGAGAATGAAGTTCTCGCATCAACTACAATTCAATGCAGTTCCAGATTGGGCAGATTATTATTTGCCGTACGTAGTATAGCAGTAAACAGTTGGGATTACATTAAAGCATTAAAAAAGCACCATCTTATTAATAAACCTTTACCTTAAACAGCTATTCAAATCTTAAAAAATTAGTCTACTTAATTGAAAAAGACAGAGTTGGAAACAAAGGGCATCAATTATCTACCGACCTCGAAAATGGAGGACTATTGCCTAGTGAACATACAGCACTCATCAGTAATGATAATCCTATAGAAAGGCAAAACGCACAATTCATCGACGCATTGAATAAATCTCTGGACAGGATATCAAAATTCTATGCAAAAAAGGAAACCGAGCTTTACGATGAAATGGACCAGCTTGTCACCGAGTTGGAATCGCTAAAGCACTATGAAGATATTACTGATGATGCTGCTCCACAGTGGCACCGTCGCAGCACCGACAATAACATATCCATGCAACAACAACAACAACAACAGCAGCAACAGCAGTCACCATCTGCGGATACTGGGACAACAAAAAGAGTGAGAAGCAATACTTATCAACTACCACGTCGAGAATCCAATGTCGAAGGAGATTCGTTTTTACCAGCCAATATCATTTCGAAAAATGTGACAGACATGAACCCTGCTATTACGGAGACTATGCAAAGGAAATGGTCTAGAGAGGCTCTTCATGATGTTGTTGAGCTAAAGAAGCGAACGATTGATCTATTTGTTCTACTATCAGAACTGAAATCTTTTGTGGCACTCAATCTGACTGCATTTGCGAAAATCTTGAAGAAATACGATAAAATTACCAATAGTCAGTTGAAGCGCTATTATACAGGAACATATGTCTCGAGTGCATATCCTTTTCAATCCAATACCAAATCTCGATTGAATGAACGTATTCAACAGACAGAGAGAGCTTACGCACTTTTGGCTGCAGGAAATGACTTAGATATAGCAATAGAAGAGTTGAAGGCGCATTTGAGAGAACATATTGTTTGGGAGAGAAACACTGTGTGGAGAGATATGATAGGGCAAGAGAGACGAACCCAGACTGTTGGCTTGAGTGAATCAAAGGCGTCGGTACTACGGACGCCCTTTGGTGCTTTACAGGTTACGCGTGATCAAATTTTGAATGTCTTATATTCGATCGCTTGTATTGCAATCTTTGTCATTTTGTTACGATCGGAATTATTTGATACAGTGGAGCAGAATAGATGCTTAGCTATACTTGTGTTTGCAAGTATGTTGTGGGCAGGTGAGGTATGTTAAAGAAAGGAATGGGGTCGTGGGGTGATGGTACAAAAAAAAAAGCTCTTGGCGCACATAAACAAAGAAGAGGGGTCATGTAGGGGGTTAGAGCAAAAATAAAGGGAAAAAAAAAAGAAATCAAGATAGACCATGTATATCACTTACATCCACTATATATACATACGTGCATGTAGGTTATGCCCTTATTCGTTACAGCACTTCTGGTGCCATTTCTTGTCATTACGTTACGCGTGATGCGGTCTGATGATGGTTACTATACTCGGCTGGGTGCTCAAGAGGCTACAAAACGTGTATTTGCTGCTATGTTCTCTCCAGTGATTATGCTATTATTAGGTGGCTTTGCCATCGCGGGAGCTCTTAGTAAATTTGGTATTGCTAAATCCATGGCGACCGTCGTCTTGTCGAAAGCAGGTACAAGACCGAACCGTGTACTCTTTGTTAATATGATGGTGGCTACAATAGCTAGTATGTGGATAAGTAATGTAGCTGCACCTGTGCTATGTTTTTCGCTTATTCAGCCCATTCTCCGTACTCTTCCTGAGGATTCCTCTTTTGGTCCTTGTCTTATTATCGGCATAGCACTCGCATCCAACTTGGGCGGCATGGCCTCTCCTATCTCTTCACCGCAAAATGTGATTGCTATCCAAAATATGCAACCTGCACCCTCGTGGGGTGAATGGTTTATCATTTCGATACCCCTTTGCATCATTGGCAACCTCATTATCTGGCTGTGGTTAGTCTACAACTACAACCCAGAAAAACAAACACCCCAGATACACACCATCCGCGCCAGTACGGATCCTATTACGGGCACCCAGATATACGTCATTGGCGTCACAATTGTTACCATTGTTCTTTGGTGTTTAGCACATTCTTACGATCATATCTTTGGTGATATGGGCGTCATTGCTATTCTTCCATTGATTGCCTTTTTCGGTCCAGGATTGCTGACCAAGGACGACTTTAACAACTTTTTATGGAACGTCATCATGTTGGCTATGGGTGGTATCGCCCTTGGAAAAGCGGTAGAAAGTTCTGGTTTATTGAAGACCATCGCTTCTCAAATTGAGGTGATGGTTCAAGGTCTCTCTGCCTTTGAGGTGCTGTTTGTTTTTAGTTGTCTGGTCTTGTGTATCGCAACCTTTATTAGTCATACAGTGGCAGCATTGATTGTCCTTCCTATTGTGGCAGAAGTAGGATCTCAATTAGCGAATCCTCAACCGAGATTGCTTGTCATGGTAATTATAGTTTTATATATTGAGAAAGATGAAGGGGGAAAGCGAGAGAGAAAGGGTTAGTCTTTACTGACTTTAATTTTTTTGGTATACTTTTTTTAAATGAAAGGGTACTGTTTTAGTATGTTCTGCTGCGATGGGGTTGCCCGTATCAGGCTTCCCCAATATGAATGCTATTTCTCAAGAAAACGAATTAGGAAAGCCTTATCTAAGTACTAAGGATTTCCTAAAGAATGGCGTTCCTTCTAGTATCTTTTCGACATTATGTATAGCCACTATTGGATATGGATTAATGGAATTGATTGGGTTTTAGATAAAGCTGCTAGTCATTGCTTTTGAAGAGAAAAATTAGATTAAACTGAAAGAAAGGACTGTTAACAGTAGCATTGCTTTTCATGAACATCTGAACATCGAATAAATTTATGATTACTTTTAGAAGGTTACTATTGCCCTTGAAACAGGGTCTTCACAAAAAACTTGAAAAGTTCAAGGGTTTATTCGATTTGTGCCTGATGTTTGAATAGGAATATCGGTGTATCGTGCTTATAGCAATGATAGCAATGCTCCCAATCATAGATTGATACGCGTTCTTCGCTGTAAGTATGAAAAAGTAAAATAATTAAAAAAAGAAAAAAAAAGAAAAGTGCCTGTTATTTTGCCTATATTCGAGACAACAAAGAATAGTATCAAGTCAACATAGGAACTACCGATGCCTTATCCACAACGACAACATATCTAGTTTCTTTCTTCCGTCATGTTAAACTTACAAGCATCTTTACAAATTCCTCATAGTTGATTTGTCCATCACCATCTACATCAGCTTCGCGTAACATGGCGTCCAGCTCATTTTGAGATAGTTTCTCACCTATAATATTGGTGAACCTCACTTGGAAGTTAAATCGCAAAGACTCCTTTTCTTTCTTTTTTTTGTAAGTATGTACTTTACCCACTGAAGCCATGATATGTCGCAGTTCTGTTTCTGATATGTATCCATTACCATCGTTATCAAATACGCGGAATGTTTCTTTGATTTCTTCTTGTATTTCGGATGCTCTACGTTTTCTGATAAACATTGGATTGAACATGCAGATGCTCGAAATAGCCCACGACGGTACTTTTTTTTTTTTTTTGTTTTACGACTACTCACCTGGAAAGCATGGCGACAAACTCTTCATATTCGATTTTTCCATTGCCATTCTTGTCCACTTCGTTTATCATATCGGCTAACTCTGTTTCTGTTGGATACATGTTTAACGATCGCATGACAGCACCAAGCTCTGAAGCTTCGATGGTGCCATTATTATCCTTGTCAAAGATCAGAAAAGCCTCCTTGGATTCTTCAAGTGTTGCTGTATAGGTTGGAATGGTCTGCAAAAATATAGGCGTACATATTAGAGGCTCTCTAGCTATTATCGGTTTACTCTGGGCAGAGTCTTTTGAGATTTACCATTCTCTTCAGGACTGAGGGTGGTATGGATGGTGAGTATGAAGGCAAGGGAGACGAATAGGGGAGAGAAGAATTAACAAAAAGGAAAACGACAACAACAACTTTAAACAACTTTGAGAAAAAATAAAGTACCTCGCTTTTTTGTTTCGACTTTCTTTTTTTATAAATATTAAAGTTTTTCATTATTTACAATACAACACATGATAGAACAACAAAAAAGAAGAAAAACGATAGTCAATTTTTTAATTCTTGTCTAATTTTTTATCTTCTTCAGAGCAACAGGATGAATCTGTCGTTGTGGTTGAGGAGCAATTGTTGTAGATAAACTGTTGGTGCGGATGAACGAGACAGCCTGGGCACATACATTGACTACCGCAATAACAAGTGACAATACGCGTTGTAGTAGTTGATTGGCTAGGATGATCAGACAAAGGTGTAATCGTGATGACTACTGACTCTCCAGGATGAGCGGAAGTAGCGAGAACAGCATTGTTGCTCAAAGCCTGTAGAGTACAACTACTATGGGGAATAAAACTTCCGCATGGAGAAGGCTGAATGATAGTACTAGTGGTTGCGGAAGGGTTCGTAGTCGATGTGGTCGCTGTCATAGTGGCAGCAGGAGAAGTATCCAGGAACATTGCATTGTTAACTTTAACACTGTTCAAATCCAAATCATCCATTGTGGTGTCTTCGTCTAATGCAGTGTCAGTTGCAGTCGACATAGGGGCACCAGCAGCAGCAGCAGTAGTAGTTGTCGTAGTACTTGTAGTAGTACAAAGCATGGAATTTAAAAGTTCGTCTTGAAGCCCCGTATTAAAGATGTCGGTGACTACAGCTGATGAGGAGGAAGCAGGGAAACTATTATTACAACAGTTATTGTTGTAATTATTATTGGAAAGAATTTCTAATTGCTCGGTAAGATAGTCGAATTGCATGTCTACAAGATTAACAGAAGACGACAACGTATCACGAAATACATAATTGCTATTCGCTGTATTGGTGGCAGTAAGCGAAGTAGAGGGAAGTGGTGAAGCAATGGAGGGTGGAGGCGTTGACAAGCTGTTATCATCTGATACTGTTCTTATGGTGGAAGAGTAAAAAGTGTCCATACTTAAACCGTTACGGCTACTGTTCACATTGGGCACGATGACTGCAGCAGACGCTGAATGATTGTAATCTACAGCGTCAGTAGCTGTCGTAGCCGTAGTTGTAATCGTAGTCGTACTCTGTGGCTGTTGCTTAGAAGTCGGGATGGCTTGAGGGTTATTCGTGTTGTTGTTCGAGCCTGGAGATGAGTTGGAAATATTGATTGAAGAAGAACAACCACGCTTTGTGGCCGATTTCTTTCGGTGTATACTGTTACAACCTCCATTACTTGTGCGAATACGTGGTTGGCCGTCTAGAAACCTTTGTGATGTATTGCTGCCACTCAGGGGTTTGTGGAAATGAGGATGTGGCTGGAGGGTGTGGTAATGTTGAAATGGCTTGATTGATGCTGAATGTGGGTCATGTTTATCCACTTTCTTGTGGTTACTAAGACTGTTTCCTCCTGAGGATGCTAGATTGATATCGTTCACCGCAGAGGGCAAGCTGTCAAGCAAGCAAGTGTAATCGGAAGTGATGGAGGAAGATGAAGAAGGTAACAATTCTTCCGAGATGTTTCCCTCTGATGCGCAATTACTGTTGCACGAGGCTGCGGATGTTCTAGTAGTAGTAGTAGTAGTAATAGTCGTCGTCGTCGTCGTCGTCGTCGTCGTAGGTTCAGCTGTAGTTGTAGAAGTAGTAGTCGCTGTAGGACAAAGTGGCGCGGATGACAAAGATGTGGCAGTCAACGCATCTTGTGTTACTTTTAATTTCTGAGAATAAGTTTGTTCTGAAGGAGTGAGGCGGTCGTTACTTACAACTGATGAAGGCACAGAAATAAATGGTATGATTTGCTTAGTGGTTGTACTAAGTAATTTTGATAAGCAGGCACACTGTCCATTTGTAGTGATTACTATTTCGTCAGTAGAGGCTGTACAGTTACCAGAATGCTCGGTAGGTGTTTGAACTTGTTGCGTTTGTGTTTGTGTTTGTGAATGTAGTGGCGATGTAATCTGATGTGGGTGCCTCAAAGAGTTGTTTTCTTGATTATTTATTATTTCGAAGAGAGAGGACAAGAGAGCAAGAAGAAATGAACAATTAGCGTTGAGCTAAGCTTTATCACCATTTTTATACAAATTTACCTCTTTTATCATGACCATTACATACACATTTGATATGTACTTGATGTTTTTTGCGTAGATCTCTACAAAAACTGCATTGTGTAATTGGCCTTCCTTTTTTACGTATCTCAATTAAGGGCCTATCAGCATGATTACATTGAGAAGACCGATGACCCTGTATTTAATTTGAATGATGATAATAGAATAAACATTTTGTTCTGTTTTAGTCCAGTTTTTCGTTCACTCTATCGTTTAGGTGAAGACAAAGCAAAATCGTACCTTGATACAACTTGAACAAGCATACTTTGAACCGTTGATATACATAATGAGGGATCCAAGTCTCTTGCGTTGTTGTTGCTGTTGTGTCTTTAATGTTAGCAAAGCGGTGGATATGGAGATAAGGCAAGTTTGTAATAAGAAACAAAAAAAAAAAAAAAAAAAAAAAAAAAGGAAAGTATCAAAGCGCTACTCCAATAACTATGAATAAGTAACTGGACACGCAAAAAAATTCATAACAATTCTCTAACTAAAACAAATTCTATTCGAACTGGAAGAAATCAATGGGAGAAAGGGAGAAGCACACGCACAAACACACACAGAGAGAGAAAGAGAAAGAGACAGACGTTACGTTGATAAATAGACGGGAAGGAAGAAAAAGCGGGTTTTATGCGCTTTGTTCTTTTATAACCGGAACACACACTAGTACTGTCTGCAAGCTGCTGTGTGCCTTTTTTCTTCTTGTTGGTCTACGATTCGTAATTTCAATAGCAAACTTTAGGGCAAAAATCAAAAAAGTAAAGAAGAGAAAAAGAAAGAGAGAGAGAGAAGGAAAAAGTAAAGGAAGGCAAGCAGAAGAAAGAAAAGAGCAGCAAACAAGGAGAAACGATCCATAAAAAAGGGACCCTATCCCTCCCCTCTTCGTTCCCTCCAAAAAATAAATAAAAAAAAGCATCCAATCCCCCAAGCATCTGCTTAGCTGTTCATCACCCTCAATAAATAAAGAGGCATCAAAGATCAAAAGCATGATAAGAAAAAGAAAAGTTCATTCATCTGTCTTGTGAAGTGCTTGCGTTCAATTACAGCAGCAGCGGTAGTAGCGAATAGTAACAAGCAGCAATTAGCAGAAGCAATAGAAAATTGAAACCCAAATAACTGGGGATGCAGGACGTTCTTTCTCAACTTATCATTGTATAAGAGTCACGAACAAATCACAGCAGAGAAGTTTATCTTTTTCATTGAAAGGTATACAACCAAGCCAAATGAAATAACGCTTTTTGTATTTCAAGACGGAGAATGAGTGGCACTGTAACTACAGTCAATTATTGAAGAAAGGAGAAGAGTTTTCCTAGGAGGTGATGTTAGTAAGGACAATAGAATTCTTTATTCTATCCGGAAACGATCGATGGCAAATTCGGCCAACATTACGGGTATAGTTACATAATGAAATAGGTGCATTCACATCATGTACATAAATTCTCTTTCAACGCTGTAGCCAACAAGATAAATACATACTGTATGACATAGAATACTGTTGTTTGAGTTTTTCTGCAAATAAATATATTAGCAATGCATACTCGGGATGGTTTATTCAGTTAAGAAATCACATGTAGGTTTCTACTTATTCTATTAGCAGAAAAAGACATGTCTGGTTACTTGATTCGGTTCAAACTCCTGACGAAGAAAAGTAACTTTAGGCTAGTAATTATCACAGTAGCCTATGCCCTTCATGCGTCTAGTGTTGTATTTTGCATTCAAAAAACCATAGATAAAATGATTTCTATCAGTGTTTCAAGTGATACAGATCAAAAAAAGAAGGCTCTTTTGCCTCGCACACAACACAAACAAAAAGCGAATCTCGGACGTCTAATTGCAAACATAAAGGACGGCGGGTTAAACTGACCAATGACCCATTTCCCCCTTTTCCCATTCTTTTTTATTGTTTTATTGAAGCGGAGTTTTATTTTTATCCTTATTGTCCCAAAAATCATCAGATTTTTCCCTTTTTTCGCCAAATGCACATAAATGATTGATCCATTCACCACATAAAAAAAAAAAAAAAAAAAGTTACAGTTTGCTTTTTTCTTTGTACATATCAGCTATTGACCTTTTTGTTTCATTTATCTTTTTTTTTGTGCGTGTCTGTGTGTCTTTTGAATAGCAATACCAACCGTCTTTTTAAAAAAAAACAAATGTTGCTTTACACAACCAATATCACCGATCTTTTGCAGACAGTAGCTTTCTCGATCGGCCTACTATTGATCACTATACCCACTATTCATTGGTTACTCATCCGCTTACAAAATGAACAAGATCCATCACCGTCAAAAACTTTTATGCGTAGTTTATCTCGTCTATATCGTTTTTTACGATATATCACACCCATCGGCTCCTCTATTGAAGCAGAGAATGTTGCTGCCATAGTCGATCAGTTTCAGCTTCGATCAACCACCAGCAGTAATGCTGCCAATCCATCCGTTACGGGGAAGAATGAAACACTCGTGACTACGGAGCTTATTGATGAAGTATGCTTATTACCCGGTATCGAGAAAGAAGTTACTAAAAAAGACACAGAACATTCTACAGCGACGATGGTAGCTGGATTGGCGAATACGGGCAATTCATGCTTTCTGAACTCAGTCTTACAGGTAGAGAAAAAAACAAAAACAAAGTTTGTTACTAATGGATTCTTAAAGCTTATCATAATATATCCGGTTATGCATTTCATATAGTCATTGTCTTCTCTGCCAACATTGCAAGCTTATTTACATCAGTTCAGTCGATCCACTGCGGCAACCGCCTCTATTCCAATCACAAGATCACTACTGATAACACTGTTAACATTAACAAAACCATCACCGAGAAACAAGTTTTTTCGACCGAAGGAGATGGTGACAGCACTTTCGATAAATAATGATATCATTAATAGAGAACAACAAGATGCACAGGAACTGTATCAGTTATTGATGAATGAATTGGACACAGAAATCAGCAGTGTGAGGAAAGGTCAGCAACCTTGGAAAAGAGGCTTTAAAGATATCCTGAACGTGATGGCACATCATCCATCCTCCTCTCAGAAGGCCAAACTAAAGAAGCAGCAGCAGCAACAAGATGATTTCATACATTTAGAGAATCCACTTCATGGTTTATTAGCTTATAAAATGACCTGTACACAATGTGGTTCCATGGTAAATTAGCAAATAAGCATGTCAGCAGGATGAAGCAATGGTTATGAAGACTAACAGCCGACGTTTGTACCTTTTTATTTCTTAGTCAGGAATCCCACTCCAATTATTCAATAATGTTCAATTGGCTCTTCCTAACAATAAGGTAGAAAAAATACTCGTCATAGGGAGACTGGCATGCTTTCATTTTGGGGGGGAGGGGGTTTTGAAGAGGAAAGCTAAACTTTTTTTTTTTTTTTTTTTTTTTTCCTCTATTAGGATCACACAAGCTTAAATGATTGTCTGGAACAATTAACAAGCGTTGAATACCTGCAAGATGTTGAATGTGAACAATGCACTTTGCAATCTTTACGACGAAAACAACATGGAAAAAATACATCTCTTGACACTGCAGATACGACTGCTACTACCTTAACACCAACCACCACCACCACCACAGCACCTACCGCAACAATCAAAACTGAAAAATCCAAACAAGCCATGTTTGTTAAACCGCCGAAAATTCTTTGTCTTCACTTTGTTCGATCTATGTATGTATCCACAGGCGAGATATTGAAAAACACCTGCAAAGTAGATTTTCCTGAAGTGTTGGATCTTACTCGCTATTGTAATACTACCTCCCACCCCAATGACACGATCAGCAATGCTATCACTGTGGCTGCAGTTACTGATAGCAAGACGCCTACTCACACGACAATGAAATTACCACTGACGCCGCCGCCTACACCCCCTATCGCCAGAAATTACACGTATCGCTTGATGAGTATGATTGTGCATTATGGAGATCATTCTTCGGGCCACTATATTGCTTATAAACGACGTATTGTAGCCAACACGTGCAGTTGTAAGATATGCCGCCAAGAAAAACTAACATTGAAGCCATCGACAGGGTCGGAATGGTACAAAATGTCGGATGACAATGTTCGAGCGTGTCCAATAGACGAGGTCCTGAGCGAAAACCCATTCATGCTGATGTATGAACTTGTCGAACAACCTGAAAAAGAAGAAAATAGTGAGAATGAAACAACCGTATGTGGAAAGTCTCTGTCTTCTACAACAGCATTGGATACTACATTATTGCATCAGCAGCAACAGCAGCAGCAGCAGCCAGCAGCGGAAGAAGTAGCAGACCTTCTGACGCATGACAGCGCTTCCAGTAGCAGTAGTTCTGATGATGAAGATGAAGATGATGATTTTTATCATTTCACTCTACCTGCAGCACCTCCATCTTCGCCCCTGCTAAGACCTATCATGAAACAGCCCAACCCTTTGTTACAACAGTCTACACCCGCTCATCATCATCTAACAACGACTGTCAATAAATGTGACGTTGTACACAGGAAAAAGCGAGTTAGCATTAATAGTAATACCAACATCTCGCTCACTGAATGTCGTTCCATACCCATCGTAATATAATAATAAACATCCAGGCATTTACTGTAATATACATAGGCATATCAAATATTTTAAATTTTTTTTTTGCCTGCCAAAAAAAAAAAAAAAAAACTCGTCTATTACGCTATGCGCACTACTGTCGTACCACAAAATTACGGTATATAAAACTTTAGTAAATGTAACAGTAATAATCCTATAAGAATACGAATGTTGCAAAAGAAATAAACGGCATCCTTTCTTTCCCTTTTAAAAAGTATTATTGAATTGTATAAAACTTGCACTAATTGACGGGGCTATCATTTCAAGCACGACACTACCACTAGAAAATCAAATAAAAAGAGGGAGTCCTTATATGTAGTGGCAGCCTACCCAATTAGTTCTCAGACGTGCTATCTCACAGCCGTGCCAGTGCTCTGGGTTTTCCCTGCTGTATTGCTACCCTCGGGCGGTACCCCAGTATTGAACAACCTCCGTGCCCCGGCCTACGCCAGGACTCGAATATTGACACCGGACTCTAACTAAGACACTGTCTTCGACGAACTAATGAATAGACCGTTAAGCCCACCAACACATAAATTCATCTCCTTATAGACTGCAACTCTGCTTACAGAAAGCCGCTACACTTTCCAGTCAATTTTGGATGGGAGTGCAAATGCAGTTTATAAACATTTAAATTCAGACTCTGTGTCAAATTGTGGTCTCAACCGCGAGTTTATGGTTGTGGGAGAAGGAGAGAGATGGAGTGCCCATTCTCGTCGCTTTCCATCGTAACACTCGACATCTTTTATTTTGCATTCGTTGACTGGCTTCTCCTTTGTCAAGTGTCATACGGGTACATTGTATTTTCGATAGGAACCTAGAGTTTTATCTTGATTTTTTTTTTTTTTTCTGGGATGACCAAGGCTAATTTTTACGAATTTAATCCAAGACTTGAAAGATACAGGAGCCTTGGCTTTGTCAGAGTAGTCAATAGAGCCATAGCAAAGTGATGAACAAGCTCTCGCGAAATAAAAAATCAGCAAGTTCTCATATTGGCTGAAGCCAGAGATTGAACTGAGGATAGTTTCCTAATGATTGTTTGCTCTTGTTGAGCTCATTTAATATGGGGCTTCTTGTCATCTGTAAAGTTCAGTATCTAAATGGATAAAGATAGAAACTGCTAATGCTGACTTTGGAACATCTTCCAACAAGGCTTTGAATATGAAGCTACAAGCTGCTGCTGTTACAGTAAATGGATAGAAACACAAACATTCTACATGTACAGTACGGGTGACATGGTATACAGGTGATTTGTACCGTGTTGCCAAAAGTTGGTCTCTCCTTCATTTACTACTCAACCACGACTGTTGTGTGGATACTTGGACATGGACAGGTAAATAAGTATACTTATTCCCTGCACTTGATTTTTCTTGTAAGTTGGGGTCAGGAAGGGGGGAGTTCCTTTTCTCCAAAAAAAGATATCCATGGTATTTCAAAAACAAACTTACTTGGTCCAGAATAGAAGTTGACATTGTTCAAATTCAAGAAAGAAAATGTACTGATCACAAAAAAAAAAAAAAAAAAAAAAAACTTTTGCAAATAGGCTTTTCTTTGGAAGGAGGGGGGTGGTGCACTGCAGGAATGCATATATTTGTATCCGTCTGACATAAGAATCGTTACAGGATTCATGCTTCCATCAAAAAAAGACAGGCTCATTTGTCTAACAAATGTTGGGTGTACATGGACGGTTTGTTTGAAAAATGATTCTGTTATTTGAGTGTCGAGTAAGAATGGAAAAAGAAAAAGATACCGTCTGTTGGTAATTGTAAAAAAAAAAAAAAAAAAAAAAAAAAAAAAGGTCATCGTATGAATTTACTTTTGGTTAACTTTCCGTAGCATTCTCCTCATTCAGCTGCCATTTCCCGAAATACCTCTCATTTTGAAACGCTTTACCAAGATATAAAGTCCAGTCAATCCGTCAGGAAAAAAAAAAATTAAAAAAAATAGCTGGTATGGTAACCTTATTTAAAGTTCAAGATCGATCATTTACATATTGTATAATCCTATATAACGTTTCCGAGACCATGTATTTGGGTGATAAATAAAGAAATAGAGTTCTCAAATGATGAGGAACAGGTATATAAATAATCTTAAAAATCGTCTTCTTCATCTTCTATATTATCCCAATCATGAAAAAGAGCTTCACTTTCTTCCTTCATTTTCTGTAGACCTGTTACTTGCTCCAAATAAAGAGAATCTTGTAAAACCTTCTTCATGAAATTCAGGGGATCTTTTTCATAGGCTGACAAAACCTACAGACAATGATTTATATTTAATCTTTTGATTTGCAAAAAACTAAAAAATTGTCCGTCCTCCCAAATATACCTTTTCTGAACATGCCGTGCAATTTTCATATGCCTGTCCTACGATTAACAGGTTTCTGAATTGGCCCAAAAAGCCTCTTATCTGATGAGGCAAAAGACCGAGTAAACTGCTTTGTTGATTCGCAGGAGAGGAAGCATTGTTCAGAGTGTCTGCTTTGGCATCCATACTGTCAATAGAAAGAAAGAATGAGCCATCTTTGTTTTTGAGGGGTAATGACTATATTTTTTTTTTTTTTTTTTGGTTACCCATCTGGATGCTGAAGTACAGAGACCATCAATTCAACCGCCAAGCCAGCTGCTATGGCTGATAAACCAGGTCTTGTGACAGTACATTGTTGATCTAAAGTACGGTCTGTCAAAGACTGTGTTTGTTGTTGTTGTTATTGTTATTAGAAATAGGGGGTGGGGGGGGTTAAAAGACAAGATAGAAATATACGTGTCAGCTATTTTTCTTTTTCTTTTATAGAAACCCCATCGCTTGGTATAACATCACACTTTACATCTGTAGGTGCCACCACATCGTTACAAAAGTAACAGCCTAGATTCTGTTGTTGCGGTTGTTCCAAAGAGGAAGGTGTTTGATGGTGTCGTCGACGAGAACCATGTCTCATCACGAGATACGTGTCAAAGCCTAGGGCACTATTGATCGTCAGCTTATTCAACATGGACGCGACCAACGTCGGATACCATCGACTTTCACGACTATCTGTTAAAAGAAAGATAACGTCATGCTCTTCGATTAACTGTGTGATGCGATGGATGTCTTTTAACAGTTGTTCATCGTCGTCTTTCATTGCATGACCGGGCATAGGTATATCAAGACAATAGCCGGAAGAGACCACGGTAGGATGGATGTCCTTCAAGTTGGCAGCGGCTGTCTCTGCTTTCGTATGCTTGCCATCGATGGCATCTTGGAAGGAATACAAGGGTTGACGTACAGGATTCGACAAAGATACTTTTCCATTATCGACAAAGGTGATATGACGCACACCCCAGGCCTATCCTTTCCGAAAAGAGATAGAATTCATTTAGCTTTGGCCCTTGGAGACAAATAAAAAGAGGATGCATCTTACAATAAGACTACGAGCCACATAGCATCCTAAAGTACCCGCACCGAACAACAAACATTTTGTTTGTTTAATTTTTTCTAAATCAAGGTCAGGCAGCAAACGCCACCGCATCAATTTTAAATTGAGGTCACCGTATTGTTCAGAAAGTCTAGATTTGAAAATTGAAGGAAATTAACTTTTTTTTTTTTCATTTCATATTTGGCCATTCTGTCAGTTTTTGGGTTGCTTTTTTTACCTTATAGGATCCATCAGTGGCCCTAAATCAGCCAATCGGGGGCCGAGTTTGCCTTGCACGTTTCTTTCCCATCCCACAGATGGAATATCTATGACCCCCCCAAAAGAGTGTTTTAGTGGGGACTGAAGTAGAAGGAGGGAGGGTAGAAAAAAGCATCAAAATAGGAAAATACCGTTTCTGTAAAAAGATGTATTTGGTAACTCGATATCAATGACAAAAGAAGATGTTTGTTGTTGTTGTTGTTGTTGCTGCCGATAACACAAAACCTTTAATCTTTTCAAATGCCAAGTGGTTTGTACTAGATACAACACATTTCTTAAGGGCCAGCCAGGGGATTCATTGGCTGTCGACGGATCAAAAAATCCTAAAACGCACTTATCAAAAAAAAAAAAAAAAGAAATGAATGCGCGCGGGTCTATGGGTTGTTCAAAATTAGAACTTTTTATCTAGCCAAAAGCTTACATCATTTTGATGATTTTCGTAAAAGCGATCATAATCGCATAATGGTGCAACCTGTAATTCCCCGGTTTCTTGCTTTATCCAAAAATAAGGAGATGGTCTCGATGACAAAGAGGCGTTTCGAGATAAAGCTTGATAAGCCTCATCGATGTCATCCAACTGATAAGGGGCGCGTGTGAGGAAAAAAAAATAAAATAAAAAAAAGGGTGCTACATTTCACTGGTGGAGTGAAAAAAAGAAAAACTTACTTGCTTCTGTGTGAAATAATGCTTATCTTGAGATAAGAGTCGCCAAGGTTCGGGTTGAGGCATCATGGCGGGAAAGGCAAACCAGTAATAAAACTTGTGATGTTTCAAATCTGCAAACATGAGCATCAAGAATGAATTGAGAAGACTATTGTCTTTCAAAGCATCTCCCGATTCTACTGCATTCTTAATCTTGAACAACAACAACAACAACATTAGTTTGGAAAAAGAATAGTTTCCGTTTCTTAGTCAGTGTATTCTACCTTGTCAGCCACTTGTTGAAATAGTTGATTCTTGTCAATGAGACGAAACTCTTCCATCGTATTTGTATTCACAAGTGTTCCTTTCGATGGAAACTGTCCTGTCGTTGTTGTTTCTAATGTCTCCATCTCCAATCCATACGAAGGTATCTGGAAACGGCTTGGCAAAGGTACGACTTTACCATGCTCATCAAGTGCTTTTGGATGGAGTTGAGTGAAATAGCCTTGAATGTCGAGAGGCTCACTGGAAAGTTTCAAGTCGTTTAATTTTTTAGAAACAAAGGATTGCCAAAATGCAGCATCGACAGCTGAATGGAGCTGTGTGAATTTCAAAATGTCAGGAGTGGAAGCCATACTGTTCGTCTGGTCTTTCTATGTGCGTTCTCAATCTCAGAAAAAAAAAAAAAAAAAAGACTATTCAAAAGGGAAGGCTTTCAAAAAGCCCGTATAATGCAAAAGAATGTTGTTGCATCAAGTGTTGTTATTGTTTGTTATCAGGGCGGACGTCATTCATGCAGACGAGCAAGCTTGTGACTCGTGTTCCTTTTTTTTTTTTTTTTTTTTTTGTTCTTTTTCTTTCTTGTATTTCACAGAATTCCTACCGCCTTTGTGAATGTATTGGAGGAGGGGGGGGGGAAACATCATCCGTTGAAGTTACAGTTCACAGTCCTCAGACGATTGGATGTAGGATGTCATTTTGAATCATTCAAAACGTGCTGAAAGCTTATATGAAAACCAGGACAACTCTCACGGTAATTAAAAATGCGCTACTCTGTGCTGAGAATTTGAGTGAACGAGAGAATGGGTGTTTCTACATATTCCCATCATGTGGTGTGTCTCTCGTTTTTATGACATAACGCAGAACGAATAACCAGAATAACGTGTGTGTGTGTGTGTGTGTATGTGTGCGTATGTATGAATAATCCAACAGACTTAAACTTTTAGACGAATTACAAATAAAGGATTTACAAGCTTATGCAATCCTGTGTAGCCCAACTCACCCTCTTTCTTTCATTATTTCGTAGAAAATCATAAATGAAAGCGTACTTTTGCTCATTGTAAAAAAAAAAAACGGGTAGGAAATAGTTTTACAAGCAATTAGAAACGTTTTTTTCGCACGTGAATGGATACTTTTCGATTTGAAATATTCTTTTTTTGGTTATTGCACAACCTTCCACATCCTTTTTTTTTTTTTTTTTTTTTTTTTTTTTTTTGTGTGTCAAGTTATACATTTTCAAAAACACACATGCACACGCAAATGAGAAAAAACGTCAATTATTTTCTTGATTTCGTGACATGGTTATTTTAAGGTTTTCCCCCGCATTTTTTTTTCTTGGGTTTGCTTATCAACTCATCTGATTGGACTTTTTTCTTTTCTAAAGAATGAAGCACAGACATAACAATGTATTGACAAAGTAGAAAAAAAACTGATACATCCTTTTCTTTTTCCTTTTTCATCACTGATGAGATGATAAGGAGAGGGTTTCCTAATGAAAACGAAAAAGAAAAAAAAAAATAAAAAAAAAGAAAAAGAAAAAATTAAAATAAAAAAAAAGTAACACTTAAATGGTGTGATTTCTTATTATTGGAACAAGAAAAAATGTACATTTGGCTGTATTGCGTGATCTTTTATATGAATTTTCAAAAAAGGGATTTTTCGATAAACGAAGCTATATTACGTGAGATATTCATTTGGGGTAAAAAAAAAAAAAAAGACATGTATAAGAAATCCAGAACCATTTTCACCCCCTCAAAAAGATAAGCAGTAGATTTTTTTTTTTCATCTGTTTGATATCATAGCAACGACAAGGAATTCAATTCATGCTTTTCGTTTCATTTGTTCATTTCTCTGTTAAAGTAATATCAAAAAAACTCCCCGACGCTTGAAAATAAGTTGGTTTATTTTTTAATATATAAAATAGTTCAAAGATCGTGTGAAATAAGAATGATAGAAATTCAGGGATTTCCTTATCCGGTTATCAATGCTTCATCTTTCGGGAAAGGAAAAAGAAAAAAAAATTGCGTGTGGAGAAATTAAAAAAAACCAGTTTGATTTCCCCCCTCCCCCCCCACTTTGAATCAAAACCATCATCATCCTACACCCGGTGCCCCGCAACGCTCCCTCCCCCCTTTTTCTTTTTTACACCTCCCCACCTTTCCCCCCCTCCCCCCAATAAATAGAAAAAAACCCTTATCTCAGCCATCAGTGAGTTCCATAAAAACCTTAATTGCCAAATTTGTAAATTGAAGAGAAAAGCAGTATATAAACCCTGTCCTAAACTTTTTTTTTTTCTCACTCTTTTTTCTTTATTTCCCCCCTCATTTCTACCCTTTTTTTTTTTTTTTTTTTTTTTTATCAACTCGATTTTTTCTTTACATGTCTATTCCTCTTACTTCTACACAGCCTTACTATTTCAACCATCTCATTCGACCTACGACACCCAAAAGGCCTGTACCGCCATTGGATAAGGCGAGCATACCGAGACCGTATAAATGTCCCGTGTGTCCTAAATCATTTTACAGACTTGAACATCAAACACGTCATATTCGCACACACACAGGCGAAAAGCCTCATCACTGCACGTTTCCTGGTTGTGCAAAAAAGTTCTCAAGGTCAGATGAACTGACTCGTCACGTCCGCATCCATACTTCGCCTAATAAAAGACGTGCCCGTAAGAGCCATCCAAAGTCTTTAACAACAGCTGGCTCTCTTCTTCAACCACAACAGCAGCAGCAACAGCAGCAACAGCAACAGCAACAGCAGCAACAAAAGCCTATTCAGCTTTACAATCAACCCATTGTTGCAAAACCACTGCTTCATCATCCCTCTCCTCCTGCTCTTTCTCCTTCTGCACCTTTATCACCTGCACTCTCCACTACCAGCTCCACTTTCTCTATGAATCATCATCCACTCTTAACTCCCGATCAATCCCCCATTTTGACACCGGTAGGCTCTCCTCGCCTCATGTCTTTACCAACGCCTACCTCTTCTATGTTTGCCAAGATTGCACCTTTGGAATGCAATCATCTTGATCCCGTCTGTAACCGATTACCCGCCACGCCTGGCAGTCTGTTGGAAATCTTAAAGAGACCACCTCAAGCTCGCGTGCTACCTCCTGTCACTACGACGACGACGACTTGCGCTACTACGAATGTCAATGGAACAGCCAATACATTGCCTCCCATTCATTCCATTGTTCCATTTTAAAGCTTTGTGATTCCCCCCTCTGTTTTATTTTTGTACATAGATTCATATTCGTCCCCCATACCTGGTATAACCCACCCCTCTCTCTCTTCTCTCTTTTTTTATATACTTTTAATGTAGATGCTTTATCCTCTTTTGATATATAATTCTAATTTTACATTTTTTTTATTTTTTTTTTCATTGCTGCTTTGGTTTTTTATTACAGTGTACATACATACATATCCCCCTTTTCCTTTTTTTTTTTTTGTTTCCTCATCATCATTCAATAAAAATAGGTAGCACATCATCCACTGGTCCACGCTTTTTTTTTTTTTTTTTTTTTCCTCAATTTTTTGTGCATGTGTCTCTGCAATCAAAGACCAGAATCTTCCCGTGCGTCTATCTGATTAGCTAAGAACACTTTTCATTGGGTCCGTTTGTTTCAGGGTCGTAAGCAACTTGATGATTGGAGGATACAACAAGGGTGGGGGGTGGGGGCGGGGAATAAGCAGAAAGTTGGTAAAGGAAAAACACGGGGAATCAAAAAAAAAATTTTTTTTTGCGGGGAGGAAAAGAGCTTTTTTCTTTTTCCCTCTAGAAAAGAGAAAAAGGAAAGATCCAATGGAAAGAAAGCATGGGGGGTGGAGGGAGGGCGGGGGCGGTTGTTCTATCATAAAAAATGGTAAGCGCGTGTTTCTCACTCTCTAAAATGGGGTTTCTCTCGTTTCAAGCCCTTTCTAAACTCAAGGAAACGTGGACGCATTCTTTAGGTGTAGCCATCTACAACGATCTTTCGTTTGAATCCTATCGAATGAGTTTTTAGGAAAGGGCCGGTTGGCCCTGAGTTATGTAATCATTGGCTTTTGCGTTACACGAGTGTATATTTTTAATTTTTATGGAACCCAAATGAGAAGAGCATCCTGTTGAGACAACATGCTGACATATTTAGCTTTTTTTTGCATCTTGTCATTTTAAACAACATGGGTCGCCTCATTTAAGAATAATTCCAAATAAAAAGCTCCCAAAAAAAAAACCTTGGCCAATAAGAACGAGTGACAGTTCAAGAATGAGATCCCTTTCATTCTAACCATTTTAATTTACAGTGCATAGACATACATCCTCCATTGCATTGAATTTTTCGTTGAACAAGGGCATAAGAGCTCTGTTGAAACAAAAGCCCTGTCATACCATCTTTCTGTTGCTTCTTTTCTTGTTGCGCATCGTATTCACTGTACAGACACAACCTCTTCTTATCTTCTTTCAATGGTGTCATACAACTTTTCCTTTTCATCTCAAAATGGGACATGCCATTGTCTCAAGTGAACCCTGTATAAAAAACTTGAAAGTTTGGTTTATTGACTACCTAACCCCACTCAATAATGAGCCAATGAAAAGAATTCAAATTCTTCCCGTTTTTTTTTTTTTTTCGGACACCCGGTTCAAAAAAAAAAAAGCGACCCACGCGACTCTAGAGTACTGTAACATCCCACTCCGCCCACTCCCCTGGACGGATAAAAAGTGATATGGCTGCAGACAACATGGGCCGCCTACCGTCCATCCTATCGGATGTGCCTTTTATCAACGGGTTGCACAGACATAGACACGCGCGCATGTTGAAAAGGGACTGTTTACATCGACTGATTTTCTGGTAAAATTTAGTCAACATCCCAAGAAAATCGAATGATTCACTTTAGCCTTTTTAACAAACTTTAAAATCAAAAGGATAAACGTAAAAAAAAAGCAAACACACTCTATGCACAGACAATGAAAATGATACGTTCATAAAATACTCACTGCCCAAGGGTGGACCCTCCTCCCCCCTCCCCTCTCCTCCCTTCCCTCCCCTAATGGCTCCACCTATGCCCATGTAAAATCATACTGAACAAAAAAAAAAAAAAAAAAAAAAAATCCAGAAAAAAAAAACAAGGCATTTTGACTTTTCTTCTATTGCGTCATGTCTGTTATCGGAGGGTAGCACAAATGGTTATCTTGAACTTTATCCACGTTTTATTCCGGTACCTTGTTCCTTGGAACCACTCTCTCTTTTTTTTTTTTTTTTCTCTCTTTCATTCAACGAGGGATAGCGGTTCATGCAAACCCTCTTTCATCCTCACCCCATCTCCACGCCGTTTTTCCATTGGAGGGGAGATCCAAAGGGGGGGTGTGGATGCCCATCGATGAAGCCATGTCATGCTTAAAGAAACTGTCCCATCCATCCAAAGATGGATTCGAGAGCCCTTTATTCGATTGAATGGAATTGTGTTATCGTATGTACAGAAGAATAAATAAATCAAATCCCTCTGTTAAGCATCACAAAGGATGCAGAGAGAGAGGGGGGGTGGCGGGGGGATCTTTGGACGACGCGTCTTTAGGTTCGCCCACCGTGGACAGAGGGAACAGAAGCAGGGTCATCGTCCAGTATGACGTGTTGACCATCAATGACACGCACAGGCCCTGTGAACCATTTACGGCCCCAAAAGTAAAAGTACGTCATGGAGCAAATCATGATGGCGGCAAAAGGCACGATGGCATAATTCATACTATCGGCTGTGATGGGCGCTTCGGTAGGACAGATAAAAAGGGCACACGTAAACACCAGCCAGCACGAGGAGAGGATACCGCAGGGGAGACTGAAGCGCCCGAGATGGAAAGGTCCAGGCTCAAACGTGTGACGCGACGTGGTGATACGCAGCAAAATGGGCACCAGGTAGGACATCTGAGAGCCGATCGTGTTGACCGACACAATCGCTTCGTAGGCGGTGCTGTTGACCATGTAGAGGACGCCCACGACACCCGCGACCAGCACGTTGAACCAGACGGCAATGACAGGGCTCTTGGTGCGCGGGTGGAGCGAATGGAGCTGCTTGGAAAAGGGCATCGCCCCATCGCGCGCAAACGCATACACCATGCGCGAGCTGCCCAAGAGCAAGGACGAGCCGCAGAAAAAGATGCTCACCATGACAAACATCAAAAACACCAACGTCCACGCCGGCCCCACGCCGTCGTAGAACACCTGCACCATCTGCGGCTGGATCGCGTCGTCGCTCACGATTTGCCCGCTAAAGTCTTTGACCATAAAGCTGATCGCGAGCAGGAACACAAGACCGGAAAGGGCATTCGCCGCGACGGAAAACAGAATGCCCGACGGTGAGCCGTGTTGCGAGTTTTTCGTTTCTTCCGCCATGTGCGCAGCACTGTCGTATCCTGAAAGCGTGTATTGAGATTGAAGAATCACGAGCAAAAACGCAAAACCATCACTGCTGAAACCAGAGCCATTATAAAATTGCGCAAACTAAATGGAGAGGGGGGAAGCACAATCAGTCCATCATGGGAAAGAGAAAGGGGACGCTTTTCTTTTGCGTCCAACGTACCACGAAATCGCCACTGGCTAGCGGTTTGGTTAATGCTAGACCCACAATGACGATCAATAAAATACCCAACATATTGGCAAAGACTAGGGACGCAAAAAAAAAAAAAAAAAAAAAAAAAAAGAAAATTCGTTCTTCTTAGACATCCTTCATCCATGACCACAAAAAAAAAAACCACAAGCTTACATGCTCCTTGGTTCATGATACCGTTCCAACTGACCGCAACAGAGTTAAGGATGCCGTGAATAATAAGAATAGCGACAAAGATACCATATTGAGCATACACTGAGAGTTCCACCTCTGGATTAAAGACGGAAATGACACCCGCAATAAACTGAGAAAGACCTAAATCAACAGAAGAGATACCAACTAACCACACATGGAAAAAAGAAGCAAAGGGTGAGTGGTCATCATCGTCCATCGACTACTACGGGAGAGGGAAAACCACACACACACACACACTTACAGCATAGACCGATCCAGTTACACCAACCTGTCACCCAACAGGCTAAAGGCATCCATTCGGAGGTAGCCAAGCGCGATACCCAAAAATAGAGACCCCCCGTGGTAGGATAAGCACTGCAAATTTCAGCCAATGATAAAGCCACGACCATGGTGAACGAGCCTGTGATGACCCAACCCCAAATAACGCCTAATGAACCTGCGTCCATCATGGAGTCTCCCCACATGGGCGTTAAGCCTGAAAGTACCGAACAACATGAAAATGCAATAGCAAAATTTGAAAAAGCAGAAATGGAACGGTTCAAGTCCTAACATTGTTGGTAAGAAAAAAAAAGAAAAGAGTCATTCTAGGCTTATCCTTGGAATTTGCCTCATTGCTTTTTTTCTTGCCACTTTTTTAGTTTACCTGCTTATAACCCAGCTTTTGTAGTAAAAGTTCATCAGCATTCAATGCTTGAGTAGCTTCGCCATGCTCCACTTGTTGTACCGAGATCTTTTCAATTTCGTCAGACATCAATCGATAGTGTTGTTGGATCTACTCTTTTGTTTGAATGATCGTGAAAAAAATGAGATCCAAATATAAATGCCCCCGCTTTTTTGTCGGCCGTTTTCTTTTCAAAAATAAAAAAATGTGTGTGTATTAATCTATGGTTCGATCCTAAAAGGACAATGAACAGAGGAAAGAGTGTTTGAGGATAGGAAACGAAAAAAGTAAGAAACGAACGAACGAAAACAAAAACGATATGTCATTTATATAGATTGGGGATTTCCCATGAGAGAGCCCTTTGACAGGTTTTACTGCATTGTTACTTGATTCATATTATATACCGTATATAGATTGAAAAAATGCGTGCTATGTATACCGTGCGTGTGTACAAAATAAATAAGATATCTCTTATCTCTCCCACGACACAATAGGTTGGAAATTCAGCGATAGTAATAGGTTCGCTCGATAGATAAGGGAGGGTTTTTAGAGCTGTGGAGACTGTGATCCCCCACTTTGGGTCAAAAAAAGAAAAAAGGGCATTGTACAAAACAGGAGGGATGGAGTAGCGAATCATAAAGGGGGGCTGGGGGAGGATGAGAGTGTGAGTATGAATACGTATTTGTCATCAGACATGTCTCATTGGCCAGTCATTGTTCTTTATCTTGACTTTTAAGGATAACTTTTCAATTGTTTGGTAACCTAGGCATTTCTTTGGCACATGACCCTCCCAATTTTTTTTTAATACAGAAATAGTAATTCCAGAAAACGCGATCAACAGCCAAGAGTCCATGATTCATGTTGCATAGGTAGACTACAAGCATAGATGGCTAGCCAAAGGTATTAGCTTACTGTTGCTGACAGTACCTACATTCTCACCCAGCAGTTCAATGGATGATGAACATGCGGGGGGGGGAATGCGACTTTTTTTTTTTTCTCATTGTCCTATGACTCCAATTTACGTCAGAGAAGGCTGATGGCTTCCGAAGGAAGGTTCCAAAACCTTGTACGTCTTACTGGTTGTTTAGTAAAGGCTGGCATGGTTTGTATTTGTGTTATTCATGCTTCAGGACAACGAGAATACTGCCCTCCCGCCAGGTAGTTTGAAAGATAAAAGAGTCTACAAAACTAGCCATGACCGCCACCTTCTCTTCTGATGTCAATGATCTCAGCATGTGACCATGTGTCCCTAATAGGTAATTTTGTGGGGGGGGCCTACTTTATTTTTGCTAAAAAAGGAAAATTTTTATAAACCATCTTTTTTCATTGTTGACAATCGGGATGAATAGAAACCATTCGATTCGATTCGATCAAACAAACATAGCAAAAAAAGCGCGATACCAAGTGTTGCAACGCTTCATCCCACTTGTGTTGGTTACATATATTACACCCATAGGCCTGCTAGAAACGAAACTGTCACAAATGAGTTTGTTTCCTTTTCGAACGGTGGGGATAACCCAAGTTTATTGCCGTATTCTCAAAAATAACAAGACTGACAAAAGACACACTTCCCTGATCGTGAGTCTCTTTTTCTATGATGTCCCCTGTTGCGATAAGAAACATGGCACGATGCTGAAAACACGAGGGCGACTCTAAAGATTCTCCGAAGGATAACCTTTGATCTGAGACAAAAACATCATTTTCGATGAAAGAGACGTTTTCCGGTGTCGTCATCCAAGTACACTCACTTTGATGACAAAAGGGGTGGAAACTAGCAGGAAAGAAAAACTTGACGATGCCAAGTAGGATGTTTTCAAGATGAGACGAAAAAAAAAAGCAAAAAAGCAGTATGGATAGGTTGAAAGGAAAGAAAGAAAAGATGGACCAGCATCTTTTCTTTATAGATACAGAATTTATTGAAAAAAAAAAAAAAAAAATAAAATAAAAGGAGTAGAGCCATGCGGTGCGATAGGATGATACACAATCTATTTTGTCATCCCGTTCCAGCCCACTTTTTTCTTTTTCAAGTTATTCCTCATCCTCATCGTCCTCTTCCTCGTAAGCGGCTGCTCTGGCGGCGGCTGACGCTGCTTCGACTTTATCAAAGTAAGCCAGCAGGTTACGGTTGGGACTGGAGCTTTTGTAGGTGTCAAATTGCAGTACGCCACGTGTTGCCATCTGTCGGATGGTATCGTAGACCTCTTGTGCTGACTTGAACTCTCTTTGGCTCATCAAATTGGCTGCGATGCCTGCTACGTGAGGGCTGGCCATGCTGGTACCGTCCATCGCCTTGGCAGCATCCGGAGCGCCGACATAAGCACTCACAATGTTGGCACCGGGAGCGTAGATCGAAACACAATCGCCGACATTAGAAAAGCGGGGTACCGCGTCATGGATGTCGACCGCCCCCACGGCAAACACATGAGGATTGGACGACGGTGAGAAAAAGCAAGCGTCTGTACCTGCATTACCGGCCGACACAAACACAGGAATATGATGCTCCGTCACGAGCGTCGTCAAGGCTTGGTCAAGCAGTCGGGAACGAGGCCCGCTAAGGGATAAGTTGACGATACTTTTACCAGGAGTGGCGACTTCCATAACATGCTCAATCCCCTTCAAAAGACCCGAAGTGGATCCATCGCCGTTTTTGTTGAGGATCTTGACCGATTTCACGACCGCCCCTTTGGCCACGCCATACGCTTCACCGATAATTTTGGCGGCTACATGCGTGCCATGACCCCCCCTATCCGTGTCCTCTTCGCTGCGAACGTAGGATTTGGAATGTTCAGCACGTCCATTGAAATCGACATGTTCTGCAAATACGCCCGTGTCCAGCACATAGACTTCTATTCCTTGGCTAAAGGAGGGGGATAGACATAGATAGATAAAATGAGTGGATGCACGCCCCCTTCTCACCTCTTCTTCAAAAAAGCACTGTTTTTCTATAGAATACGTTACCCTCCATTAGGATCAAACTCATACTCGTTCAAGTTTCCGTTTTCATGGCGTTGAATACGTGCCAAGCCCCAACTCGCCGGTTTGACTCTTCTCACGGCGGATTCGTTCATTTGACGTTTTTTGACAGACAAGGTACTGTTTTGAGGGTAGAGGACGGTCTCTGAAAACTGTCTCGGCACAATATGCGTTGTTTTGTAGACTTGATTTTTCTCTACGTAATCGATGGAGGCGATACCGCTGAGATAATCCAAAAACTTGTCGTCAGAAAAGATCCCCGACACCGCCGTAAAACCGGCGCCGAGATCAAAGTGATCCAGCGATAAATTGTGCTCGTTCATCGGGGAATGAGCGGCAGCAAAATCCTTTTCCCGCGCAGAGGATAAAAACTGTTGATGATGGCTTAATAATTCAGTTGCAGCTAATGAAGTTAAAGTAACAAAAATGAGAAATTCCTTTTGTCGTTGTTGGGTGTTGGACAATTAAGAAAAAAAAAAAAGGGCCCCATTATTTTTTACCAGTAAGATAGTCTAGGCCTGCTGTCGGTTTAAACTTGATGATATGTGTGGGCTCTTCCGCACCTTCCCATTGGCAGTTGACAAGGGCTAGCAAAGACAGTAAAGATATGGCTGCAGTTGATAATGTTGTCATCTGTGGCATTTTTCTATTTTTCGGTTTTTGACGTGGTTTTTTTTTTTTTTTTTTTTCTTTCCCTCAAAATTAAGCTAAAATGCTTTTAATGGAAAAATAGAAAATAAAAAAAAAAAAAAAAAAAAATCAAAGAAATCAAAAAAAGTTGCTTTAGCCTTTTTACTGCCCTTTTTATAAATGTCTCTTTTAGTGAGCTGAATCAGGTTTTATCCCAAATAGCCCGAGTTCATTTAGTTACATGGCCCTTCCCTCGCCATCTTAGACAGTAGCAAAGAGAACAAAATGAAATCGATGGGATGACGATTTGCATATTTGTTGATTGTTCTTCCGAGGAGAATGCCAAGCTGTGTCTAAAAAAAAAAAATCTTGATTTTTTTGATTATTTTTTTTTCTTTCCGGGTTCAAGCTCTTCATTGTAAGACTCTTTTTTTGGATTGCATGAATTAGCCTAAAGTAATAAACCAATCAAAGGGCTTAACCGAATTTGTAATTGTTGACTTTCAAAATCGAATAGTAATTGGCGATAAATTGAAAAACAGAAGAAATGGAACAAAACATATCATTCATTTATGAATGCGTGCACTTAAAGGGTTGCTCGTCTTTGGTTTTTTTTCTTTTTGCTTTCTTTTTTTCTTAAGCTTCCTTTTTCTCACCAAGAAGTCTTACCGCTATTCCATCCCGTCTATTATAGAAATCACATATAAACCACCCATTTTTTTGACGATGAGCATTCTTTATCACCATTTTGCAATGCATTCTCCAACCACTACTTCCACTACAGCAACTCAAAATAACGAACTGATTGATGAACGGTTTGATCTGTTCATTGACAGTCATCCTCGAGATGGCAACATCACTCTAAAAGACAGAAGGGCCATGACATCCTCTGTGGCCAATGCTACGACAAATAGCAGCAGTTTTGTAGCTTACAACAATCACAACGAGATCAAAAATACCTACAACAACAACAACAACAACAACAATTTTTATCCATTGGTGGTGGACAAAGAAAAAATAGGAGGTGGAGCTGACACCGCATGCTTTAAAGAAGATCTGGGCGACTATTTCCCCGCCATAAGGATACAACCTGCCACTCCTCTTCCTACGACTGTTCCTCACGATTCAACAACACCAAAAGAAGAATCAGACAATGACTATTTTAATAATGCTACAGACAACAATAACTCTATTGATGAAGTGATTCAAATTGAATCCGTCACTGTCTCTGCTTCGAAAAAGGAATCTACAAGCACTGCTAGCAGGAGTTGGGACGACATTTATACTCATGGCTGTGCTCCACCAAGGAATTTAGAAGAATATCATTCAGGACTTGTGGAACATTATCTGGACAGGTTGCTCAGCATCACGTCTGCCACAGACACTGTCGATAGTATTCATGCAACGCTACCACAGGTGTATAAAGACTATCTGGAGTCGATCCATCAATATTGTATGTAAATAGAGTATTTTTTATAATGCAGCAGCTGAGGGAGAACACAAACACGACGAGATTGAAATGGGTCACCATGACGTCCCTCGTCTTGTACGTCAGCCAAAGCATTGTAAAGTGCGACCGTTTAGCAAGCAGCATTGGGAGCTCTTCTGACACACACCCGGTCGACACTAAGATACGACGACGATTGCTGCTGTTACTTTCTATTGAAGGTGTGCGGCGATTCGCTTCATATACCCCCCCCCTCCCGTCCATCTCTATTTTTTTTTTGGATTTTTTGCGGCAAAACATCATTTGTATTCTAATTGCTACTATATATGTATATCTTGTAAACCATCGTGGTCGCTTATGTAAATTTCTTTTTTCTTTTTTGTCTATCACCTTCAAAGAAATAATAAACTCTTTGCTTTACCCGTCCTTTGTTCCTTATCCATTTACCTTGCCCCTTTTTGGCTGAAATTGTTATTCCGCTGATTTAAATTTTGAAAGACTGTGATAAAAATCAACGTCACATGAATTCTGTAATTCTGTGTGATTCTACAACACAAGTTACCCATGACCAAGTGACATTCTGTTGTAAATTTTTCTATTCTTCTTTGGTTCATCCCGTACTTTTAAAATGCTAAACGTTCGGATGGACCTTGAAGCTATTCACTATTACTCACTACGAGAATAACTCCTCGGGAATTTTAAACTAGATTTAACCGATCATTACAACAATTTATAATCAGTTACTATTTTGATGGGTTACAAAACTCAGTTACTTCATCCTCTTACTATAATCTCGTGCGTTACCCTGAACTTAGTTTCATTAGTTCCCCTAAATCCGGGTAAGAGAAGACAAAAAAAAAAAAAAAAAAAAAAAAAAAAATAATCCAGGGGCGCGCAATTGCGGACATTATTATCTGTTAATAATGCAAAAAGCGCACACGCACACACACACACACCCCGAAACTTTGACGCGTGTGAGGGAATATCTTACTTTTCCCAATTACTGTGAGATTTGTAACTGATAATATGGGTAGACTTCAAGGAAAGACCGTTTTTATGTAAAGTCTGAGTTATTTCAAAATGCCCCCATTCTTGCTGCACACACCGTTAGAATGTTAGAGTTAACCAACACATATTTTTTAAAGTACAGGTGCTTCTGCAGGTATCGGCGAAGCCAGTGCACGTCAGTTTGCTGAGGAAGGTTGCAACTTGGTAAGTATGCAATAGATACACGAGTGCAAGAAAGAGAGAAGTCAACTTTTTTTTCTTTTTTTTTTTTTTTTTTTTTTTTTTTTTTTTGTTCTTTCGCTGATGCTAGATCATCACTGCGCGTCGTCTCGAGAAATTGGAAGGTTTAAAGAAAAAACTTCAAGAAGGTCATCCCAACATTTACATTCACGCTGTTCAACTCGATGTTCAAAAAGTGGACCAAATTAACAAGGTTGTTGCTGAACTACCCGACGCTGTCAAGGACGTAGACGTCCTTTTGAATAATGCTGGCATGGTGATCGGTGTTGATCATTTAGTAGACGTCGAAGAAGCGGTGGTTGACCAAATGCTCAGTACCAACATCAAAGGTCTTGTTTTCTTGACCAAAGCACTTGTTCCTCGTATGAAAGAACGTGGTACTGGTCATATCATCAATATTGGTTCTGTCGCCGGCAAACAAGCTTATGCTGGAGGCAGTATTTATTGCGGTAAAGTATTATCAAAAAAAAAACAAGCAACTTTATGAATCACCCTATTTAGCTCTTTCTCCTTTCTCTTTCGCCTTGCCATGGCTGCCATTTAGCTACAAAATTTGCCGTCGATGCCATCACCAAGGCTTTGGCTATTGAACTTGTCGATACACCTATTCGTGTCAGTCAAATTTGTCCCGGCTTGGTCAACACTGAATTCTCCACGGTTCGTTTCCGTGGTGATAAGGAAAAGGCCGATAACGTCTATAAAGGTATTCAACCTCTTGTCGCCGACGATATTGCTGAATTAATTGTCTTTACTGCTGGTCGTCCTGCCCACGTCAATATTGCTGATATGTTAGGTAAGCATGATTTGAAGCGTCGCTCTTACTTTCCTTCAACCTTGAGTACTCTAATGAACATTGGCTTTTGTTGATTTTTATTTTTCGTCAGTTTTCCCTGTTAACCAGGCTGACTCAAAGACAGTTTACCGTCGTTCTGAATAGATTGTTCTAGTGCTTGTCAAACATTTTGATCGATAAGGAAAGCAACAAATCAAAATTTTAAAATAAAACGGACAGAAAGGGAGTTGCTTCAATACATTTGGATCGTATCCATCGCGTTGGCTACGATTTATCTTATTCTTCAAGTCTCAGCTCAACTTAATTGAGGAAAATACAGTCTTTTGAAAAACATCATTTGAAATATTGATAGCATGTCGGCATAGTCGGTTGCATGGCTATTGCTCTTTACGGCTTTTTTTTTTAAAAATAGACCGTCCTGTGGTTTTTCATGTTGACGAGAATAGTTAAACGGATAATCCTGTTCTCTGTTTTTTGTTGAATATATTTTTTTGACTTTGTCTGAAACATGGATCGGTTTCGTAAAACCACACATAAGACTCAAAGAGGTATTAAAAGCAGAATCGAGTGTTTATTAGTTTACAGTTGAGTTATGTACGTAAAAAAAAAGCAAAATAGAACAAACAGAGAATGTTTATTACTGTGGTATTATTTACATATGTATAGTATCTAATAGTGAGCTACTTAATGACGTTTACCCTTCTTCATCTTCTTTTCTCTTCTCTTCTGCGCTCTTCTTTCATTCTTCATCACACCATCTACCATCTTATAGCGGCCCTTGACACCCTTGGGACGGCCCTTAATACCGCGATTAGCACCTTTCGCCACAACCACTTTCACTTCTTTCTTTGGCTTAGACTTGGATGCTCTGGCAATCAGTTTTGTAATATTCTTTGCCTTTTCTTTTTCTGTCATATCTGGGTTCTCAGCAATATCAGTAGCCTTCTTTTGCGCTTTAGCAAGTCTTTGCGCAGCCTTGAATTTCTTACGTGCCTTGGCTTCTTGTACTTTCTTGATCGGACGAGCATTAAGAGCCTTCAGTTTCGCACGTAATTGATCCATCGCTTCTTTCGTCACCGGTAAATTGGGTTTATTGTGATGTTTCTCATCATCCAAAAACCAACTAGGAAGTCCGTCCTTATCTCTAAATGCTTCCTTTGTAAAACCTTCATCGATCAAATCTTGCACTGTCTTCTCTTTGTTGGCTAATTGTCGAGCTAGCGTCATCGCTTCCGGTGTCGTCAGGCCCTTTTCTATTGCCTCCTTCATCGCTTTCGAGTTCTCATCTGCTTTACCGTCCCAACGTTCTTCGTCCAATGGAGCATCCTCCTCCATTTGTTCAATTTCAAAATCACTGTCGGCTTCCTCTTCCTCTTCTTCGTTGCTACTACCTTCATCCTCTTGTTGTCTCTTTCTCTTTCTTGACTGTTCTCTAATGAATTCCTCATCGTCACTCGAGTCTTCTGCTTCTTCTTTATCAACAATATCATCCAACTCAGCGTCATGGAAGATATCTTGATCGAAGAACATAGCAGCGGCTGTTGTGAGCCCGCTGGATGTCTTTTTTGATAACGCCGCCTTCTCCCCTAAATCATTCATGAGCGAGTTGCCAGACTTCTTGCTCTTTGTCACCGTGGTGCCTGTCTTCATCGATTTAGCTACAGCTGTTTGAATCGTCTTTTCTAATGTCTCGTTCTCACTGTCGCTGTCATCGTCAGACGAAGAATCAGAAGCTGTGTCATGATCGCTTTCATCAGAAGACGATGCATCTGAGTCAGAGTTGAACCGAGAATCTTTGGTTTCCACATCTTTCTCTTTCCCGTCGTCAAAGCCCGTCCATTCGTCTTGCTCTTCGCGCACTTGCTTCGCTCTGAATTTGGCATCCTTTTCAGCCCTTCTTTGCTTGTAGCGAGCATACTCTTCGTCCATTTGAGCTTCGAGATCACGCTCATATTCTTCGTCACTGTCCACTGCCTCGTCATTATCAATGTCATAGTCCATTTCTCTAATACGTCCTTTGAGCTTGGCATTATCTACTTGAATATCATCTTCACCCTCTTCCTCCTCGTCTTCTAATGCATCGGCAAAAGACATGTCCCCCTCTTGCAGTTTAGCAAGTGACTCGTCTTGTTTGATCTTTTTGATATTGAAAATCTCATCTTGTCCAACATGATTCTCGTCCAAAGCAATATCCGTCGGTACAATCATATTCAATTGCATACGTTGAATCAGCTTCATTTTCTTCTCGTTGGCCTTTCTTTTTTCTCTCTTCTTTTTGGCTGCTTCTTCCTTTGTCAAATGGGCTAGTTCAGCTTCTAGCATTTCGTCCTCATCCATCGATTCCGCTTCTACCATAGCTTCCTCCATTTTACTTTCTTCTTCTTCTTTCTTATCCATCTTGTATTCTTCACGGAGCGCACTTCTCCATCTCAACAATGTCTTGAAGTCACTCTTGCCCAAAACCTTCAAATCTTCACAATTCACCTTGACATCCTCTGTTGTAATATCACGCTTGAGCAGTTCTTTCGCTTCGTCTGAATCCCATGTAAATTGATTGTAGGAACCTAGCGTATGAATAGGATCTTGCGATCTGATAAATTCCATGACATCGATCTTTTTGTGCAAGGTATAATCGCCCTCCTCGTAACCTTCTCTTTGACGATGCTTCTTTTCAGGCTTGAAAATATCCGTCATTTTTTTGGGCTCTTCAGCACCCACGTCTGAGAAAACAGCCTTAGGATCCAACATACGAGGATCAATTCTTTTAGGCGCAATATAATCTCGACACACAACGAAAATTTCTGCAGACACATTACGGGAAGAGGGGGGTTTCGTTGCTTCTACTTTACGAAACAATTGTTGAAATACCCAGAGCAATTTGTTGTAATCTTTTGATCTAAACACTTTGGTGACGAAAATACCACCCTTTGACAAGAACTCAGTAGCTAATTTGAGTGAAACAAGTACAAGCTCTGATTGAGAGAAGGCATCGTGAATCCATGCTTTACCGACATTAGGAGCACCATCATGAAGCACACTATCAAGTCATATTCATTGATATGGACGGAATGTTAGTCCTGTTCTACTGCTCATCTCAACTGCAAATAGAATAGTTACACATCGGCTTTCCAAGTCTTCATTTCTTGTCTTAGATTTTGTCTACATCTTTCCGTTGTAATATCATCTTGGAAAGTAATCACACCAGGAATCGGCTTAATGGGCGCAAGATCGACACCAATAATTAAACTCTGCTGAGGCATATATTTTGTAGCAACTTGTAACCTAGTAACATTGAGATTATCAGAAATAGACTGTGAGCGATCTGCATGGACAGTAGATGGAAGCAAAAAAAGAAAGCGAAAAAGGCAACTTACCAACCACCAGGAGCAGCACACAGATCAATAAGAACTCGAGACTTTTCCAAAAAGTTGAATTTTTTATTCAATTGAATCAACTTGAAAGCCGAACGAGCACGATAACCTTGCTCTTTGGCCAAGTGATAGTACTTATCCAAACGACCTGTTCAGCAATGACAAGCATATGAGTTACTCTTGCCAACAAATATAAATTACTTCTTCTCTCTGTTTGTCTGACGTTATTTACCTTTGGAGTTCTTTTTCTCTCTTGCTTTACCCATGATCTACAGATTGGTATTAGTTACGAAAATAGATCAGTTACAACTATTTTTTTGAGCTTCTAAAATTATATTAGAGGTCAGAAATAAGGCAGATCCATCAGAAAGCGAAAAGCCGTCGGTGGCTTATTTCTTCTCCTGATGCGGGGCGGAAAAAATCGACAGGATATGAATGCTTCAATGCAAGAGCTGCGCAGAGGCGAATTTCCTCTTTCAGCAAGCTTAAGATGGCAAGCAATAATTATTTTAACATTAAACGGAATATGTTTCTTTATTCAAATGATTAGAAAAGGCTCTCAATGATGTCGAGTTTTTTTTTTGGCTACGTAAAGCCATCAAGTTGAATTACTGCAAGCACAAAAGAAATATTTTTCCTTTAAAAAGTGCTATAAGCTCTCAAAAATTAAAGTCCAAAAAAAAACCACAAGTTGATAAAAATTTAAAAATTAAAGGTTTATATATAATTTTCTGCAGCCGACAGAAATTGTCAAGTCTTCGGACCTCTGACACTTATTAAAATTGGAACGATACAGAGAAGATTAGCATGGCCCCTGCACAAGGATGACACTAAATCTCTGAGACGGACGCTCTACGGAGCAAATTTTTTTTTGTATATTTGCTATCAAATACTATTGCTTTTGCCGTGTACAAATCTACGATAAACACCAAGTAATGGATATAACTGAAGGAATGGAAAGTAATACTGTCGTCTATTCTCTTTGAGAAACTTTTCAATTTATATTCTTTGAATTTACATCTATTACTAATTAATAATAACACGACACTTTTACAAGCTGATTGTCTGTTTTCACATACTGAAGTTAGCGGTATATAACCCTTATTTAAACATGACCCTACTCTGTCATATTTTTGTGTCATAACGAAATTAAAATTCGAGAATCAGCAATAAAACCCTTATGCTATTATGGAGCTACTCCGTAGCCAGTAGATAGTTTAGTGGATGAGGGAAACATACATAAAAATAGTACTAAAGGACAGATAAAAAGACAGAATGTACAGTTTTCACTAATGTTGAAAGTATAAACGAGACATCCTTGACAACACAGTGATTGATATTCCTTAACTCAAGAAATAAGACAAAGCATCAGAACTCACTTCAATCTATTTTATACAGTTTACTGCTCCATCTACAGCTTTTGTCAGTCGAATCAGATAGCCATCATGAACTCTCATTACATTCATTGATGATTTTGATGTATTACTCATTCTTTCTTGGTTCGTTGCTGTATATATTATTCGAGTTTTGTATCTTATATGAAACAACGCGTTGTCAACTATAGATTAATAACCTACACTTAAAAAATTTGTTAATACTCTCCAACCTTCTTTTTCTAACCCTCGATTCAAAACTCGCAACATCTGCTTAACGGAAAACCTGTAGAGAATGCAATCATTTCTATAATTGATTAATCATTCTACAAGTGTAAAATGTCTTGCTGCTATTTTACGTTGCAAAAGGTTAAACACAGAAAGCAATTTTTGGCACTATCAATGCTTATTCAATTAGCGTAGTATAAGAAATAAGAAATATAGGCAGACTGTACAATGTGACGAATATAGCGTCTCTCACGAATCGTACATTCGTTATCGTAGGGTATTTCGAAAACAACGTAAATGAAAACGTAACATCCATTTAATTTTCAAGCACAACTTCTTTTTCGCTTCTCCTTTATCTAGGAATAACTACTGATTGTTTTGAGTTGGTTGTATTGATCAATTAATTTGGGAGCACACTATACCACTTATTAGGATATACTTTCCTTAAGCTATCAGGACTTAATATTGCTATTCTATTTTAGTTTATATTCTCTTAGAGCCTTATCTTTATTCTATATACAAGTTGAAGAACACTGTAAACTTAAACACCCAACTATACTTTCATGGGTATAAAACCACTCTTTATACGCTTATGTTCTGCAGCAATGAATAATAGCAACAATGTGGCAAGTCATTTTACAAATAAGTTTACAACCGTAAAATAAAGAAGCTATCAAAAAAAAAAAAAAAATTATTCAAAAGCTAATTTGATACGGGTACTTTCTTCTTCTGTTCTGCGGGAGCTTCCTTTGGCGCATGATCGTTGGTCACAGTATCCCTACTTCGTAGCACATTTTTTTGTCTCTCAGGATACCTACAAAAAAAAAAAAAAGTGTTGGGTTAATATAACCGCTCTATATGACAGCAAGTTCAAAGGAAAATTTCAAAAAAATGTAATAACCTTCTATTTGCTTGAGGTGGGTTCGCGCTTTTGTCTTCAGTTGACGTCTCTTTTTTAACATGCTTGTTTAAAGCATAATCACGAATCACTTTTTTCCGTTCTTTCAAAGAATTCTGACAGCTGGATACCCTTTCGCGAACTTGATTCTCTAATAATAACCTCGCTCCTAACTGACTCTTATGAAACGCTTTCGAGGATATCATTACAGCAGCTCCTCCTAATGCTAAAACGGCGCCACCTGTCATTGCCGCTGCACTACCCAAGGCAAATCCGCCGACCGCTGATAATCCTCCGATGGCTCCACATCCCCAGCCTGCCGCTTCCATTTTTTTATTTGCTCGTGGATCGAGCCGTGTCAAGTACTCAATAATCTGCTTAATTTGTACTACATCATTTCGTATTCTATCTGAAACAGGATCTCCCAACTTCTCATGCTCCTCGATCCAAATTTCAGTGCTTTGTACAATGGACTGTATTTGGTTGATCAATATTTCTAATTGGTTGTGGAACGAAACTTCACTGAATTTTAAGCTGGCTTGGTAAGTTGAGTACAAGGACAAAGACAGTACACTGGCTGCTGCTGCAGATTTTGCAATAGTGGATGTTGTAGAAGATGTTGCTACTTGCTGCTGCTGTTGTTGTTGCGTCTTTGCCCTCTTTTCTCTTTGTGTTCCATAGCTGTCTTCTTTATCTCTTTGCCTTCTACGCCTCTCTTTTTTCAACATCTCTTCTAGTTCCTCCTCTTCTTCACTGCTGTCGCTGCTGCTGACTGGAATCTCTGTATTAGTATTGAAATTGAACCATCCTCCCCCTCTGTGTCTTCTGGCTTCAGCTTCTCGTCTTCTACGTTCTCGCTTTTTATCTTTTCGGTATTCCTTCTCAAATCGTTCGAACTCTGCCTTCTCGTTCGATGACTTGAGATATTCCGTACCGCATCGAATCACAAATTCTGCCAATGCCTTTGATCTCTCGGATGCCGCAATCGATTTTATATAACTCTTCCAGCCGGATGATGCTTTGTTGGAGTGGGTATAAAAATCTTCGTCTTCAGACTTTATCGGTTTTTGATCCTGACAAGTATACATTATAGTATCGGGTTTTGTTAAAGGAAGCACTATCCTTGTTACAAATAAAACGAGCAATAAGTACCTTTGTGTCCTTAGGCAGCTGTTGCAAAATGTGTGGTGTAAAGTCCAATAGTGTACGGATAGGTGTTGTGAAGTCACCTGTATCTTTATTGTATAGTTCTTGCGGAAAGTGATAATCTTCAAAAAAAAGCTATCATAATTTTGTAATCCATGTGAGTTCGTAGCTTTACAAGTTTATCTCCATTTGGTTAACATTTAAATGAACTGAAGCTTACAGACGCCATGAAAGAGATGCCTATAGAATACTAAAGTAAAAAGAAAATGGAAAATAGAAGTAGCTTCGATTGTTCTTTTTCTTTTTTTTATGTCTTAACATTATGCTCATGAATAAATTATGTAACAACCGACCAATGAAAAATGGACAGAATTCAAGATTTCCCAAATTACTGGACCGTATCATTTTATTTACAAAAGGTATAAAACTACTGCGTTGAGAACACATGCTATTCAAAAGATAAGTAGACCTTAGACGGATCTGCCAGACTTGATTTAGAATCTGCCATGATTTTTTTATCTACTCTTCTTAACCTATATGCGATTCCGCTGTCATGCTCATCACAAGCTAATATGTAGTTTGCCAGACTGATAAGATCTAGATAAATTTTCGGTGAAGGCCTTTCTAAACTTTCATTCTTCGTATAAAACATCTCGCCAATTTGAATTCTGCTTCCATCTTTAGAAGCAGTAGACACAGGTTCTTCCATCTCTCCTGTGACGTTTGAAGCTCGTTCTTTAGTATTGACAACCGTACGCTCAGCGAGTCCGGTTTCAGGTTCCTCAACTATGGTTTTATGAGTATAAGTCTCCAAAATACTTCCAATGTCGAAGGCGTCATTATAATCTGGTAGTCGGCCTTTGCTTCTTGAGGTAGACTCTGTTTTCATCAAAACGTCATATTTGTTACGAATTAAAATACTCGCTTGTCTATTTCGAAGCACATTCTTAGCTTCTGAATCTTGTCTGAAAACATTCAACGGTAAAACTAGGGGTCGTAGTGAAAATGAAGGTATATAGCGTTAGGTATAAAAATTCACAAAATCATATAAAGTTTACGAACGACAATTACATTGCTTATCACTTTGATGTGCCATAATTTTATGCTTGACAAAACCTTGTTGAAGTAAACGAATGATATTTTCTAAGCTATGTACATCTTTGTCTATTTGCTTCCATCGATTCAAATTGGCACGTATCTTGGACAGCCACTCCCCTTTGGTTACTCCGGGATTATATTCAGACACAAGTTTACAATGGCTGTAAAAACAAATATTATAGAGTTAGGGTTCAATCATTGAGCATATCTATTGAAGTTAACGATTACCTTTGATTATCTACGACACCGTAAAATAGTTTAGCCGTTGCTAACACACAAGCCATCAAGACAGTGGAGGCATGTTGATGCCTTGCTTTGCTAAAATCATGCTCATGCTTCAGGTTACTTCTTCGATATAAATGGTAAGCATAATAATATCCTGCCACTATATGAATTGGAAGTCACGAATCAATTTAGTATCTAAAAAAATAACTGTAACCCGCTGCTTTTTTTGCCTTTTGTTACCTGGAAGGTGAAACTGATCACAGAATCGATTTAAAAGTAAATGTATGTTCACTGGAGGAAAAATAACTTTACATAACCGTATGAAACAGAATGCATAACGACGCGTTCTTTTTAACAGATAGTCTGAATTAGGCAGCACAGTCATACGATGCGCTCGCTCGCCAGCATGAGATAGAATATCTTCGGGGATATGCTCTTGCATTTGCAAGAAGGGAAGTTGCTCTGTCTTACACCATCGTACAAAATCACCAACTATAATTGGATAATGCAGATAGATGCAGGCTAAGTACAGAAAAGCTAGCGTATCAACGTAGGTAAGCGACGGCCATGATCGACCTGCCTTCCACCGTTGCCGCTGCTTTTTCTGATCCATGCTCTCAAGTGGGCCTACTTTTATATTGCTCTCTTGACCTTTGTTTGGTTCGTTGGTTTTCTCCTCCTCTTTATCAATATCGGAATCGCTCTCTGTATCAGATTCTTCTAACAGAGCTTCCGCATTATGAGCATCGTCTGCATCTTCATTTCCAAATAGATCACTTTCTTTGAGTCGCCTTAAGCGTTCTTCGTCCTCCGCTGTATTGCTGCTGTCCACATCGAATGCATACGCATCCGCCAGTTCAATTTTGGCATGACTTAGATACAACATCCATAATTTTCTGACAGTTATCTCCAATTCACGAGAAAACCCTAGTTCCTGGACCATACAACGAGTCATGACTTTCAATGCATAGTGGCACATCTTGATCCAATTACTTCTTTGTTCCAGTGGAGTATAACCGGAATCAGAGATGCTTTTGATGTTCCTCGCCCGCTTACGCTCTCTGCCAGAGCCCATACCGTCTTCTCCTTCTTCAACAACGTAATCAAGTATTTGGTGACCATATTTACAGACGAGTGTGCTTTTGGATTTTTTAAATTTCGTGGTTTGACATACAGGACATACACGTTGAACCATCGTATAAATAGAAGGCGTTTTTCTGTTATCTGTTGTTTGTAGGCTTGTAGGATCAATATTATTCTATTGATGCTAAGAAGGAATAGACTATATTGTTGCTGCTATTATTGTTGTCAGTTGGGTTGATTGTAGATAATAGTAATGGATAACAATCAATCAGATACGATTTGCCGAAAGGATGATACAAATATGTTTTTTTGTTTGCCAATTAAAGGAGTTACTATTCTATGTGTAAATGTTCTTCTTGAGCAGCCTAATTAGACAATTAAGTGTCGTTTGATCTTTTAACCTCGATCCTTTCTTTTCCGATCAATTAAGTACAATATGCTATATCGTGATATTTTCCCACTACAACACAGCAGAAGTAATTTTCAAATAAAGAACCGATGTGAAGACGAAGAAAGACAAAGTGGGATTGGGCGAATGCAAATGGGTGGAAGGGAAGCTCATGTATGTGTTTGTTTAAACAAAGCCAGAATTTACCAAACCAAAAAGTTTTTTTTTTTTTTTGATTCCTCTGGGTTAGAATTCGGAAACAAATAGATTCGGGAGCTGTGGGGATATTCATCACACACACACTATTAAAAAGATTATGGCGAGCCTTCATATTCAAAGCATTCTACTTTTACATACTATATGAAGAATGTAATAGCTGTGCCTTTTTTGTCATAATTGTTAAAGATAACTTACTAATTAAAAACGATCGTAATTCAATATATAAAGTATCTAGAGACGACAATTGTGTGCATTTGAACTGGAAATAAAACGAGACTTCGTTGCGTCTTTCTCTTTCACACATTGACGGAATGACATTAGCGAATCCTTACTGCAAGCACTAACCATAGCTAAGCATAGAATCTATACAGCTGAAAGTATTGTGCAAATATAAAGTCTACATTATCGTAAATTTAGTCTGCATTTACAGCTGCATAATCTGCAGAAGTATCAATCGCAAAAAAGCTTAATTCTGTAAGGTTAATAGCGATCAAAGTTGCTGTGGTACCATTTGTATGAAACACACTGCTGCTGCATAAACTCATTCTTATTCTTAAGATAGCATTTGGGTCAACTTGCCTCGTTTGGAAAAGGTAAAAGCCGAGGTAAGACATTATTCGCTTTTCACTTGCTTATCGATCGTAACTAGGTTACAGTATCACAGGGTTCTATCAAAGCAAACTTGCAAACATTAAATTGAACTGCATTAGTGTCTGCTATGTGTTAGTTCATTGGCAAGTTTTGATGAGTACATTAGATGTCCCCTTTTTTGCAGTCCCTGAAAGTCAATTACTCCTCTTGATATCAATGATTGCCATCATACAAACATACATCCTTGTAAATAGGCTCCGATTTCCATGGTGAAATGCACCTTTTAGTTCGGTAATTTCTGGCATTTACTATAACATTCGCGGAGCTTCCTTGGTAGAAAAAATTCGAGCTGGTTCTATCAATTTCCAGAAAAGGCAAATGAAACACCACCAGCTAAAAAATATAAAAGAAAGTTAGAAAGATGGAGCGACTTTTGCATCAATTTTCTTTTTTCCTGTTAAACATTTCTATAAATACCAGCTTTTACTTTACGATTATTTATTAATACTTACTTACTGCAAATTTACTCTATACAAACACACACACATATTAATACAACATGAGTGGAATGAACTTTACTGAAAAGGTCGAAAAGGCTTTAGCTTCTGCACAAAATTTAGCTCGCGAATTTGGCAACTCACAACTTATGCCTCCGCATGTTGCTTGTGCGCTATTTGATGAAACCGATAACACGCCCCTCTTCAAATCTATTATTGAAAAGACAGGTGCTGATCCTGTCACAGTCGAACGTGGTTATAAAAAGATGATGGTTCAACTACCTTCTCAAGATCCCGCTCCTGCAGAAATATCTATCAGTCCACAAACCGCTAAACTCTTACGTCATGCTGAGAAACATATGAAAGATCAAAAAGATTCATACATATCTGTTGATCATATCATTTTGGGCCTTGCAGATGAAGATAGTACATTCAAGCCAATGAAGGAAGCAGGAATCACGAAGAAGGCCTTGGAAAACGCAGTCTCTCAAGTTCGTGGTAATCGTCGCGTTGACTCAAAAAATGCTGAAGAAGTCTATGAAGCTTTATCCAAATATGCCATCGATTTAACACAGATGGCTCAAACTGGTAAATTGGATCCTGTCATTGGTCGTGACGATGAAATTCGTCGCGTTATCCGTGTCCTTGCACGACGTACCAAGAACAATCCAGTTTTAATTGGTGAGCCTGGTGTAGGTAAGACAGCTATTGTAGAAGGATTAGCTCGTCGTATCATCGAGCGTGATGTGCCCCAAACACTACAATGTAAATTATTTTCGTTGGATATGGGTGCCTTGATCGCTGGTGCCAAATACCGTGGTGAATTCGAAGAGCGTCTGAAGGCCGTGTTGAAGGAAGTTAAAGAATCCGAAGAAGGCGTTATTCTGTTCATTGATGAGATTCACACTGTTCTTGGTGCTGGTAAAGGTGAAGGTTCTATGGATGCTGCTAATTTGTTGAAACCCATGTTGGCTCGTGGTGAATTGCGTTGTATTGGTGCTACTACCTTAACAGAATATCGTGAGATTGAAAAGGACCCTGCATTCGAAAGACGTTTCCAAAAGGTCGATGTTGGAGAACCCTCTGTTCCTGCTACGATCTCTATCCTTCGTGGTCTCAAGGAACGTTATGAAAATTATCATGGTGTTAAAATTGTCGACTCTGCTTTAGTTGCTGCTGCACAGCTCTCCGATCGTTATATCACTACTCGTTTCTTGCCCGATAAAGCCATTGATTTGATTGATGAAGCTGCTGCCAATACACGTGTTCAATTGGATTCTAAACCTGAAGAAATTGATGTCCTCGAGCGTAAGCGTTTCCAACTTGAAATCGAAGCCAAGGCTTTGGGTAAAGAAAAGAGCAATAAGGAATCTTCGGAACGTTTGCAAGAAGTCAAGGAGGAAATGGCCAGATTGGATGAAGAACTCAAACCTCTCAAGCTCAAGTATGAACTCACGAAGGGTCGTTTAGACGAAATCCGTGATTTGAAGCAAAAGCTGGATGATCTCAAGTCCAAGGCAATTGAAGCAAGGAATCGTTATGATTTGGATACAGCTGCTGATATTGAATATTATGCTATTCCCGACGTTGAACAACGCATTGCTCAACTTCAAGCCGAAAAACAACGTAGAGTGAGTGAAGCTTTAGCTAACGATAGCAATGATGCTCTATTGACGGAAGTGGTTCGCCCTGAACAAATTATGGAAGTCGTCTCTCGTTGGACTGGTATCCCTGTCCAACAATTGGCCAAGAGTGAACGTCAAAAACTATTGACTATGGAGCAAGAAATTTCCAAGAAGGTGGTTGGTCAAGATGCTGCAATTAAGGCTATCTGTAATGCCATTCGTTTGTCCAAGGCTGGTCTTCAAGATCCTCATCGTCCTTTGGCCTCCTTCATGTTCCTGGGTCCTACTGGTGTTGGTAAAACCCTGCTGTGTAAGACGTTGGCTGAATTCTTATTTAACGATGAACGTGCTATGATTCGAATTGATATGAGTGAATTGATGGAACAGCACAGTGTTGCCAAGTTGATTGGTGCTCCTCCTGGGTATGTTGGTCATGAAGAAGGTGGTCTTTTTGAAGCAGTTCGTCGCAAGCCTTATGCTGTAGTTCTCTTGGACGAATTGGAAAAGGCTCACAAAGATGTTGCAAATGTTCTCTTACAAGTTTTGGACGAAGGTTTCATTCATGATTCTAAAGGTCGCAAGATTGATTTCCGAAATACTATTATTGTTATGACCTCCAATTTGGGTGCTGGCCTCTTAGCAGATCAGTACAAGGGTGACATGCTTATTTTGAAGGAAAAGATTATGGAAGTTGTTCGTAATCACTTCAGTCCTGAATTCACAAACCGTATCGATGAGTTGGTCATTTTCAACCGTCTTACTCAAAAGAATATTACCAATATTGTTGATGTTCGTCTAAAGGAAGTTGAAGAACGTTTGGCCGACCGTCATATTATCTTGGATGTCTCTGATGAAGCTAAGCAGTGGTTAGGTGAACATGGTTATGAACCCATATTTGGTGCCCGTCCTCTAAACCGTCTTATCCAACAACGTGTCTTGAATCCTTTGGCAAGAATGATAATTGATGGCGGTATCAAGAACAACGAAACAGCCAAAGTTATCCTTAACGATAATAACCATCTCGAAATTGTTAGAAATCATGAAGGCACGATTGGTGGATACTTTGAAGATGAACCAATGGACGAAGATGAAGACCTCGATATGGACTAATTACTATTAATTGCTTAGAAAAAGCCTATTCCTATTCAAGTATATATTCTCTAATCACATCATCCGTTTTGTACATATTATCATTTATTTCTTTTTGTAATATAAAGTTTCTTTTTTAAATAAATTTCAAAGTTTCTTAATTCATCGCAAATCAGTGTCATATTTTGACTTTGAATACGGAGAGCCTTCAAACATTAGCCATTTCTTTTTATTTAAAGGTTTCTATTTAGAAAGAGTTTCTATAGAAATATGTGAGTACAAGTAAATAAATTCATTAATGCTATGTTAAAAACGAAACTTAATTATTTTTGAGCCATTAAAAAGAAATCTATAGCAACGTGTAACACTGGTAATCCTGGCTTCGCTACAACACGGTGGTGCTTATATATTTACAGAAATTGGAAATGACGACATTTGCAACAAGGTCTTAACCTCTTATTTTAGGTGCGAGCCTTCTCAACTCTTCACAGTGCTTCAACTGCATTTTCTCTGCTTGTCGGTATGCTTTTTCATTTCGACCCACTCCGAATATGATGCCGTCTGCTTGTGCCATTAAATTCGCTCTCTGTCTTTGCTCTTGTTGACATGCCAACCTTAACTCATCTACCCAAGCTGATTCGATCTGCCGTTCTGTTCTCTGAAATTTCCATGCATTCTGGTTTACATATTGGGCAAACGATTTTGGATTCACATAATATTTGATATTATTAGCTTGTGTAGATCTTAATTGTACGTTGCTTCCTTGGGGACGGAAGGTATAAAGGGGCTCGCTTTCGAAGGAGAAAATCAGAGAGAAGATGGCAAGTAAAAAGAGTAAAATAATAGGTAAAAATTGAGAAAGCATTCCGATAGAAAAGGTACTCTCCTGCTGATGCTGGTGATTGTTATATTGCTGTTGCCTACGCTGTTGCCTATTATTATAAAACGGATGGCGTTGCCTGAATTGCTGTTGTTGGTATCTATATCCTGCACCAGGTCCAAAATTAGATGTTCTGACTCCACCACCGAAAAACATATTAAATAAGTCTTCAGGTGATATATCTTGTCCATACGATGAATTGTATGCGTGGTATTGCTGATATGATGATGATCTACCGCGACTACTGTTGTCTAGATCACCGCCTTCATCATGTATAGCTCTTTTTTGTGGATCTGACAAGATATCATAGGCCTTTGCAACCACTAATAGTATAATAAAAAATCATAATACTTGTCTTAATAATCAACATCTTCTATTGCTTGGACAGTAACGATGTTCAAAATACATACGTTTGAAGGCTTCGTCTGCTCCAGGCGCACTATTTTTATCTGGGTGGAATAGTAGAGCTTTCTAATATAAATTATATCAAATCATTAATAAAATCAAAAGGAATTATTAGTAACTTCCAAGCTTGACGAACCTTTCTATAAGCTTTTTTCAGCTGTGCATCGGTGGCTGTCTTTTCTACGGAGAGTACTTTATAGTAATCTTTACTATAAGCCAGTACTTCTTTCACTGCTTTCACCTGCTCAGCAGTATAATTTCTTTGATCCGATGATGTATCAGTTGATCCAAGTGTGCTCGTTGATGCTTTATGGTTCTTTGTCGACGATGCTGCTGCTGATCTAGACGAAGCAGTCGCATATCTTCCATTTTTTAAATTCGTCAGCAGTTGTTCCGCCTCAGGAGTTGGGTATAAACGGATCGATTTTTCAACAAAACGTTGTGCTTTCTCCAAATTGGCTAACTCAATAGATTTCCTTGCAATAGATAGACATTTTATTGCGTCTTCCTTATTGCTCTCCATATGTTTTGATAAAATAGTAACAGAAAGGGCAGAAAAAAAAATAAAAAAAGTAAAGAATATGCATTTATGGTTATCAAAAAATTTGTTCGTAACTCATTGGTTTAGAGTATTGATTCAAACTCCTTGTTGTGCGCGCTTTGCTGGTAAATGCTTACTTTCTTTCCTATCCTAGATCTATGAATTGCAGAACGACATTTGATCTTGACTCTTTCTATGAGGTTATACGAAGCCGCGTTCCATTAAATCTTAATTATGAAACACAATTGACAAATTGTATTATCAATGCTACTCTACCTATTCATTGTAAATTCGGTGCGGTCATAAATGAGTTCGTTTTAAGGTACAGCATGTCTCTTCTTCTCACCAGTTGCATATTGAGGTTATAATCTAATAATACCAATATTCAATGTATAAAGCACCTTTCTTACAGAACAGTGTCATAAGCTACCAAATGAAACAGTTCTGTCTTTCTTTCAAAATTCAACCAACATTAACTCAGTTACACCTAGTCAAGTGCTGATCTTATTATACGTTTTGGCATTTAACGACTGCATAATCGCATTTCGAACTGATCCAAAACTGATAGCTTTAAGTAGCAATGCAAAAGAGCAAGCAGGTATAATATACCGTTCAAACAATATTCTCTTGTTAGAATGAAAAGTCTAACCTATTGTCTTTTGCGCTTGTATTCTTTGTCTTAAGAATATCCCACAGAAGTACTTGACCAAATTCCTATCAAAAATATATTGAATCATGTCGAAAAGAACAAAAGCGCATCAGCGTATCGATCAATTTATTCGGATTTGCTTGCGTTAACAGCAAACCTATACCCAGAATTTTTCGATGTTCAAAGCTTTTTGACGAAGGAAGGAAATGAATTGGATTCAGAAGAAATATGGTTAATGAAGCCAATATGTAATTGGAAGTCTTACTTAAGCTTATCAGAATTTGAAAAAGTGTTATTACAATACGCATCAAATCCGGTTCTCGTGACCGAGGGTATGTGCCAACGGTTATCGCAGCAATGTCAAGGATATATAATACTTGAAAGGAAGAGTCAGCTAATTTTTTTTTTGTTACTAAAGTCCTAGGCGCTCTGGAATCAATGGCAGCGCTAGAGTTAAAAGAACATCTATCACTGATGCTAAAGAACTTGATACCAGCGGCTCTAGAAGGTCAATTAGATATGAAGTTAGCACAGTCATTTCGGTCGACGTGGGAAGCATTTAATCGAGTTCTACCACATTCCTTATGGGAAATGACAGTAAACGTTCTATCCAAACAGTAAAGTACAACATTTATGTCCAAAAATCAAAGTTTTAGTGAATTTACAAACTCTTTCTGTGGCTGCAGGGTTTACAATTTGGATGATTTGATACAGGATCCACTCATATTATTTAAATGTGACTCCCGTGTATTTCGTTCGGACGAGCTGCTACCAATATGGCTCCACATTTTGTCGTCCTTGAGAACTACGTCAAAGCATCGTATTTGGAAGCGGTACCATACTGTGTTTCCGCGACCCAATGTGAGTGAATAATCCCTCCCAGTAAAAAAAAAAAGAATAATCAAGAGTTATTTGACTGTCTAGTATTGACTGAATGTTTCTGCTATAAAAATAGCAACAACAACAAGATTTGAACTTAAGAAATATAGTAGCACTGACAAATGCTCAAGATACAGCAATGCTTCAATTATTATTGGAACTCTGTCTAAGGAGACATGAAGACAAAGAAAACGAAGGTATATAATGCAAATTGTGTGTAACATTATTCACATTCATAATATCCTTATTGTTATTTATTTGCTATATGTAATGTGTCAGATGCTTTACAAAAGTCAAGGAAACTTATCTGCGACTTTATTCATACTATATTTATTGATGGCGATCGTGACATGTTACTCGCTAAAATCCTACATTTTCAGACGTATTCTACAGAACTAATTCCGGTGGTCGTTGAAATGATACCCTCCATATACATAGTAATGAGCTTCATCCCTGAACTAACTCGACAACCTCAAATCGAGAAGCAAGTATTTGGTATTTTAATGGGATGTTACCTTTGCGAGAAGTACCCTCTCGAAACTTAGTAAGTCTTCCGATCAATACTTCATGAAGATAAATATAACTGAAGAACTAATCCTGTTCGCTCTAGTCTCCTAACTGCTGAAAAGCATATCTTACCACGATTATTGCGTATCGCTTTTCCAGTATCTCGGGATGGCCAAGTGTCACCAAGCTGTGTGCCTTCTGAGCATCTTGTCAAAGCTATACCCGGATTCGTGCATCTTGCTCGAGCATTTCCTCACTTCGGCCCTCAAATATTAAGTGCATTTGATGGTAAGGAGCAATTCATATAGTTTACTAAACACTGACCCGAGTACCAATACCGTTTTTTTGCATAGAAATTGAGAAAGGGTTACCGAAACCAAAGGATTTTATTGGCCAAGAAGGAAATAGTAAGATTATTTTACTGCTTCAATTACATAAGGTTTTGAAAGACTCGCGCGACCTTGTACAGATTGAAGTAGGAAGAATGGATGATGTTAATAAAATAACTATGTAAAACAAAAATAAAGATTTATTGCCGTCCGTTTAAAAGAGCCTCTTCTCTAGATAGACGGTGGAACGATTATTTCGGATATTGACTGCATCAATGACAGTTGTACGTAAGCGATGAATTTGATTCGAATAGAGTCGCAGGTATCCTTCGACTGTTCCTGTGTGCGCCTTGGAAATTTTATAAATCCCATCCTTTTCGAGTGCTATTCAATTGTTAGCCATAGAATACAAAGCAACAGGCACTTTTTTCTTGCATACCTAGAGATGTGCTCAAAATTAAGCAACCTGATTCATCACCGATCAAGTATTCATTCACACTAATTAGATTACCAGCTATTGATCGGCAGAAATTAGAGATCACTTGAAAAGCGACAAAGTACGCTATTTAGTAAATAATTATTACAATCGTCATGCGTTGCTTTTAAGCTAGCTATTAACTCTACAACTTTTATTGTAAGCTCGATGCGATAATTATTAGGTTTTAGACTGTCAATATTACTTATCATTGAATGAAAATAGTAAGAAATTGTGTCAAAGCAAATTTTTTATTTTATAGTTGTATAAATTTAGTCAGGAAACATAAATTCTAAGCTTGAAGAAATGTGAAAGAAATATTCTGGAGGTGATAATAATTAAGAATGATTTTCTTTTAGAAATGGTTAATAAATGTTCAATATTATTTACAGGTGGTTGAAAGCTACTACATTTTTTGAATGATTATCGTTGTTGTATTCGTGAGAGTAAAGGGTGATTTATAAAATACATTCACAAAATTCCTTTCGACTGTCTTCTCTACTTGAAACGAACATATTTACCAACGACAACAGCGTGATCTCTTTCATAAGGTTCAAGAGTCAATTGTTCTTGAGGCTTAATTCTTTCTTCCTGAAGTTTCTTAACTTCACGGGCAAAGACGGTAGCAGCGTCCACTGTAGAATCGATACAAGAAGCCTTGATGGAGATGACAATGTGTCCTTCATTCTTAAGGAAATGGTGAGCATTCAAAGCAATAATACGGGCCTGATCAGGTTGAGCAACATCAGCAAAGATGACATCAACCATAGGAACAAGCATACGATACTTCTGAGGATGACGAGCATCTTCAATAATAGGCACAACATTAGTACGCTTCTTAGCCATATTGATCAAATCACGACCAGGGCGATGAGAGAATTCGACAGCATAGACAGCACCTTCAGGGCCAACAACATCAGCAACGTGAGAAACGGAAGTACCAGAAGCAGCACCCAAATAGAGAACCTTCTTTCCAGGTGCGATATGAACATGATCAATACCACCCAGAACAGCAGCAGCTAACTTGGAACGGAAAGGATTCCACACACGGTATTCAATCTTGGTACCTTCGGGACCATCAACAGAAATACGTTTCTCACCGTAAACGGCTTCACCAGGAACCAAATTCTTAGTGACCAACAAATCTTCCTTACCACGAGCGACAAAAATACCAGCATGACGATGGGGTTCGATAATGACCTTAGCACCTCCCTTGGCACCTCCTCTGGCGCCTCCTCTACCGCCACGAGCAGCACCACGACCACCTCTGGCGCCACCACGTCCGCCTAATTTTGATAAAATAAACATCGTAATGTTAATTTACTCAATTTTGAAAAGTATTGCTAAAATGCTTCAATTGAAGCTAATATGTATATTAGAGATAGAAAAATACTTTACCACCACGGCCACCGCCGCCGAAACCACCACGACCGCCACCACGGCCACCGCCGCCGAAACCACCACGACCGCCGCCACGGCCACCACCGAAACCACCACGGCCTCCACCACGGCCACCGCCGCCGAAACCACCGCGACCACCTCTAGCAGCACCACGGCCACCTCCACGTCCACCTTCAAATGCCATTGTTATTATATATGTTGTGTAGTGTCGAGTTGTAAACTAAAAAGGTTAAGAGTTGTTGAACGAATAACTTGTTACTGTTGTTTAAATTATTCTAGTTTGTTGCTGCTATCCTTTGATTGTAACAATAAACTAAATGTCCTGTAGATTCAACAGTTGATTCAAGTTTACGAAAGATAAAGAGAAAGAGAAAAATATTTTTATCAGCTTTTCACGGAGAGTTTGTTGGTATTTCAGAAGCAGCCAGAGCAAATTATTCTATTTGACAGGTGGCTTACTCAAAAAAATAAGACTGCTTTTCAGCTGTGAATTATGCAGCAGGTGGCTGAGTTCCTGACAATCGGACGAGGAAAAGACATAATTATTGAAAACTCATTTTATTGACGTTCAAGTTATACATAGTTGATATGGCACAAGGAAGCTTGAAGAAGATCGCCAAACCAAAGCAAAAAGGTGGCAGAGAAAAGAAGGGCATCACAAAAAAAGGAGGTAAGAAGCTGCTTAAACTCATAGCTTGTAAAATTTTTAGCGATACTTAGTGTTTGCTCTCAAATAGCCAGAAAAGTTGCACCAAAGAAGGCTTCAGTGATAAAGCAACGCTCTTTAGATAAAGTAAGCATAACAATTGCATACACGATGTATATGTCATCTGCGCTAACCCTAGTGCTAAAATATTAACCATTATTTTTTCGGCGTGAATTAGAAATTAACAGCAGAGATCAATAGGAAGATTGAAAAGCAAATGTCAGTAAAAGCCAACGCTGTTGGTAAATTGACCATCATGAAAAAGTTAGCCGAAGATACCTCTGCAGAAGAAAAGAAAAAGAAAAAGAAATAAGCAAACTTCTATATTTATTGAACAAACTTCACTTTATCCATGCATATAAAGAATACCACAACATGAGTCTTCGTCAGCTTCATGTTCGATTTATCGATGAACATGCCTTTTGAAACCAGTAACTCATGTTATTCGGTACAACCGACAATACGTTGCAATTTAAAACATCTACTACTTCGTAAACGTTATGATACACGTAATCCATCAAGGGTATGTATACATATGCATAGTTTCATTCTTAAGAAAAATTACAAGTTATGTATCATTACCTTCATTCAGTTCATCAATTATTCAATAAACTATTTTTATGTTAATAAATGCGCTTTTCAAGTATTTCGATGGATGATAATAAGGGAATTGGTATCTATGCAGTGATGGTAAATGGTGATATGTGCGGTCTCTAAACAATCGTAAATTTCAAACACGTTTTTGCTTTTTCTTCTTTAATTTCTGCTTGTTATTGAAAATAGCCTCTAAAATAGATTCTGTATCTGTTAAGCCTAAAATTTGCCCTGCACATCGATAGCCATTCTTTGCCTCTTGAATTCTCTTTGGATTTTTCGTCTGAAGAGCTTCTGCTAATTTCTTCTTGTCAATCTCTGGATTCTCCCCCAATTCACAGATGGTTCGTCGACCCACCCAACCAAATCGATGCGACTCCGGAACTTCTAAAAATTCAACAAGAATATCACCGTTAAATCGTCGATTAGCAACTAATTTATCACCAGCTTCTTCGTCCGTGTAATTGAGAAACTATCAATTATAAGCGAAAAAATGTCAGAGGAGAACACTTTATATAGGTATGAGCGAATGAAAGGTTAACCGTTATGTGTCCTTTACCTTCGCAGGATGAGAAGGAAAGCCATTCACTTTGGCCCAAATAATCTCTCCTCGTTTGAAGTTCGGTATAGGTATCTCATTTCTGCCCCCGCGAGTTCGCTTTTTCTGTTGCTGCTTCGCTAATTTCGTTTGATCATCCTCTGCAATATCTTGCTCATCATCAGATACTCTATCAACATCTATATATTCGTTATGGCCTCTGTCGCCTTCCGTTTCTTCTGCCATTCTTTTGTTATTTCTTTTACTTAAACTTCCTATATTCATATCTGTGTTATTGCGATTTTTAGCACTTATATCCATTTCACTATTATCTTCATCTTCATCCTCATCTTCGCTTTTCAGGTAGACCCAACCTAAAGGAGCGTGTATTTTGCGGTTTTCTTTGTATGTTTTTTTACTCTTCTCAATGGACTCTTCAATGTTAGAAACACCATTGTAAGAGGCAACTAATGCTTGAGCTTCATGTGATATTTTCGCTCGTTTTCGCAATTCTTCGATACTCGCTTGCAGGCCTATACTACGCGTGACACGGCGTATAGATTTTTTGCCCTTAAAAGTGCTGTTAGTGTGTTGTGATGATGAAAATAATATTGTAGTATTGTTAGCAGGCGATGATATTGTCGAGGAAGGGTTTGATGAAGATGTTGTATGAGAGTCATCTTCGCTGCGTTGCCGTTTCCGACCACCACTGCTGCTTTCAGCTTTAGCATATCCGTTATTCGTAACCATCGTTGCTGGGCCAGCAGAAGCAGAAGTATTCTTTGAGGCATCAAAAATTGGAAACGTAGTACTTGGTACAATAGCATTCGGAATGTCGAGAGCTGGGATATCTCGCAGCGACGATTGCTCCTCTAAATTGTTTGTTGATATGAATGCTGGAGAAGGTAATGCCTTCGGTAATGTCATGTGTGTTGGTGTCTCTCCTTCTTGACTTTTGTGCGTATGATCTGCTGAAGGAGACGGCATATGCTCGATAGATGAGGATAAATTCTCAAGCGGCTGCTGTACTTGTCTCGTTTCTACTTGCGCATTAAGGGTATTCATCTCGGAAGGAGTCACTCGAAGGTTTCCTAAGATAGGGCTGTGCGATACCGCATGTGGAATATCCATTTTGTTTTCCATATGTTGTTGATGTGAAGCTGACTTTAAAGATTCACTTTCGGGTGCTTCGAGTACATTGCCTATTGGCTGTTGTATCAATACCGTTGGAGATGGAGGCTGAAATGATGAATGTTTATGTGCTCCTGTATCAGTTGTACATCGAGCGTTATTCGTAATAGTGATAGTAGTGTTGGTATTTTGTTCGTTTTGTTTGGAAGTAGCATTAATAGCTCTCGTCGGTGGAGATTGTTGTACTTCTAAATTCTGAACTTCTTGATGCATTGGAGGAGAATGGTGAACCGAAGATGCTTGATTTTGTGTGTCGTTGGGTTTCGCACTTTGAATATATTCAAACAGTTTGGTTTGTCGAGATCTAAGCTTTCGCGGTTGTATTTTTGATGAAGGGTATCCTGCAGTTGTAATAGATGCGAGTTCTCCTGTAAGGTTACTGGATGTATCCTTAAGGCCATCATATTGCTGCTTAGAGTGGTTAGTTTCCAATTGTTGCTGCCGTTGTTGCTGCCGCAATAACTTAGCCCTCTTCCGTCCCTCTGTTCTTGCTTGGACGTGACGGCGATGCTCCTCGGCTTTCTCTATTTTCCGCATTTTTATTGCTTCTTTCTTCTCTTCGGGCCGTCTATCCTTTTTCTCCTTCAGGAATTGGTAATCAAACACGCTTTGATCTATTGCTTCATTCCAAATTTTATTTTCTTCTCCATTGATTATATCAACATATTGCAACTTCTCATCTGCTGTTTGAAATAGTTTTACGGAGGCGCTTTTTAATTTCATAGCCAACTTATGATAGCTTGAATTCTTCGAATTGTATTTCATACAATTTTCCCAAATGAGTGACATATCTTTCTTAAATTCATCTAAACATGTGTAAAGATGATTCTCGACCTTTTCCTCAATATCGTAGAATGACATAGGTTGCTGAATCACAGTATGATAATCAGGTGCTTCTTTCTCTGTGACCGGGTACCAAAAGGCTTTCTTTTTTTGATCAAGGTTTTTGAATTTCGTCAAGATGGGCTGTATGACATAGTAAAGGGGGTCCAATATCATAGTCAGATAGGTCTGTTGATGCTGAGTTCTCTCAAGTTTGAGTTGCTCTCTATATTGCACTTGTTCAGCCAAATATCTGACATCATCGAGATCATCTCGTAACTGTGTAAGAAGCTTAATTATCGGGTATGAGAAAACACAGAACAAAATTCATGCAAAAAACCAAAAAATTGAATTACCGAATGGCGGATCAAAATGTCTTCTGGCGTAAATCGTGGAACTGTACTCCATGGCTACAAACACGAGTAATTTAGAATGAAACAAATGCTAAACACTGAATAAACTTTCTATAATATACCTCTACTTGTAGTCGCTTCAGCAATGGTGCGCCTTTTCTTGTTTCCCTTTTCAAAGACCAATAGTGCGCGATATCGGTTACTACCTGAGGTCTTCTTCTTATACCTGAACTTCGTACACATTCTAAATTATTAATCTTGTCCAAGATAAAATCTGGAGCAACAGGTACGCCCCTTGAATAATGCTGTTGAAACGCACGTATCAGCTTATTATGAGTAATCTCTGTTGTATCTCTCTCAATAGAGGTCTGCTGTTCCAATTGCTTCCTGTTGTTACTACGATCGTACGCAGTAACTTTTTGGTTACTCCCTCTCCCAGTTCCATTTCTTCTTCCAAAAGCATAAGTAGTAGTTGGTTTATGAATCATTCGCTGTTGATTATTATCTTGCAAGCCAGAATATCCCGTCTTTTCGACGATCTCGTCTTCTGTCTCATGTAGTATTTGATCCTCACATCCCGCTTCTTGATCTCCATCCTCTCGGTTTGATAATAGATAATCCTTCGGTGTGTGTTTTTCACAGTATGCTTTTAGTAGCACACCTTCTGTTTGGTTTGCATGTGTATGAATTCTCATACATAACTTGGCTGACTTTGCGCATGTCACGTGAAATGCCGTAAAGCAATGTCTATTATCGCACTGAATACAAGCGCCTTGTTTGATACGGCAAATCGAGCACGTCAGCTTCCAACGACTTTTTGGAATTTTATCAACATCATCAATCGGTTCCATATAGATAGGGTTTTGAACGTTGACCTCCGGTATCCATATGGCGCATAATACATGTCCCCAGTCGCCTGAAGTGGTTTGTTTGAAGGCTCCTCCCTTATTCGGACAAAATATACATGAAACATCTGCTTCAGGTGATAGCACACTGCATTTCTTACATAGCCATTGACCTTCCGGTATATAAGGGATACCATAACAGTCTTGATGAACAGCAACGTTACATCCATCGCAAAAAACAATAGCATTACTGTTTTCAACCTCGGTATCATCACATACGGCGCAAGCAGAATCCTCTTCACTGGACATGGATCCTTTATCATCATCAGCTGTCTGATTTTTCTGATGGCTATGCTGTAGAGAAGAGTCTTGATACCGCATTGAATTCGTGAGATGATGACATTGGTTATATGCCACAAGCCGAGACGGTATATCTTTGATCTAAAAAGATAAATCGTAGTAAGTAAACTGCTTGTACATGATGCACATACGCCTATTTATTTGCGGAAAGCCCTACTTACAAGATTGAACCATTCTTTCTCCAACTTGTCCATAATAGCCTCAAACAATAAAGGTGAGAGATCCCCCAGCTTCTCTTTTCTTCTTACTTCTTTATTGTACGTCTGTAGCCAGTAAAAATCTTGTTCATCCATATCATATTCTATCAAGTTGTATAATTCCGTGTCCGATGGCGGTCGGTGATGAATATAATGTCGCTTCGGTTTCTCGAACAATAATTCGTTTGTTTTCTTCTTTCTGTATAAGTAATTGTAGAAGTCATAATCATTTTGTTGTTGCTGCTGCTGTTGCAGTTGCATAGTTGCTAATAACTGTTCTTCTTGCGCCTGTTGCTGTTGTAAATGAACTGCTTCATTTCCATCTCTCTCGGTATCATCTTTTAGTAATAACGAACGCGTTGCATCTTCATTTTTGATTATTTCGTAGTGTACCTTGGGTAATCTGAGCTTTGCTGTGGGTATCATCGTGTTGGTGGTATCTGTATCAAATTTGATATGTTGTTCTAGAGCAAAAGAAGCTTCATCGGAGTTCATCTGTCCGTGCTGCTGCTGTGGTGTCAGGCTACTATTGCTGCTTTCAGTAGCTTCCTGTATAATGTTATCGCTAAGAATATCATCACTGCGGTTTTTGCCGTTTGTTACTGTACTTGTTTCAATAATATTTAGCGGCTCGAAACGATTAATGTGATAAATTTGTTCACTATTACTGGTAACATCAGTTACTTGATGTTCTTGCTGATCTCGACTGTTATGCGTAAAACTAATCTGTTCTTCATGAGCGACCATAAAATTTGAGTTGGAAACTGTATTACTGCTATTATTCTTCCGTGGCCGTCCAGGTCTACCCCTCTTTTTCGTTGTTGTTGGTTCCGTCATTGAAGCAGTGAATGACCTTTTCTATCTTTCTCAGCGCTAGTTTTTACAGTAAGGACAGCGTTTATACAAGGATAGATATGAAAGTTATTAGTAAGCTATTTGTATTCACAAAAAATATGAGAGAAAAACAGAAAGAGTGGTTTTTCTTTGGTTCCTTTTGACATTGAAGTTACTGTACTCAATTTATCGCCCCTCATTTTTTTTTTTTTTTTTTTTTTTTTTTACAGCTTGCAGCTTGCCACTCTTCAGAAGAATAGAATATGTATACTGAGTTTCAACCCAATACAGCCTTTCCTGTTGATTATCTTTAATATTTCAAGTGGAGAGAATTTCTCTTTTTCCTTCACAATAGTAGATCTAGATCTAGATTTTCCTAACCTACAATAATGCCGTCTCAACTTTGGAGTAAGCAAATTGTAAAACTTGTTAATTAAGTTTATAATTTTATATTCTGACTATTTCTTCTTTTCTTGTTTTTTAAGCGCTATGCTTCAAGCCTGGCGATAGATATACAATAGAAGTTGATGGCATTCTATACCTAAAACAAGTAAAATTACTTATTGTGAAGTACCTCTTATATTTATGTGAAGCGTCATGCTAACAAGTAGGGCTAGGCATCATTAATAGGGGATAAGTTAAAAAATGGAAAGACGACACTTAAAGTGAAGACAAAGAAGTTCACTTTCACGTTATGCACGCTATCAACCAAAACCGTAAAGTTTTCATTTGCATTGAAAGTGCACAAAATAAGAAGAACACGAAAGCTAAATATTTAGTTTTTTTATGCTGGATGTTATGCTTATATGCTGTAGGTGGAACACCAGGCACTATCCCATCAATTTATTTTTGAGGATCAAGCGACGTTAATAGTGCAGGGAACAAAGTAAAATTACAGTATGCTCACTCATTCATATGTATACAAAACAGCACAACTAACATTATGCCTTTCAGCTGCGTACAGTTGACAGGAATGATAGCGGATGTAGATCCTTTATCTGATGACGAAAATGGTAGCGACTCATCGGACGAAGAAGAGCAGGCACAAAGACTGATAAAAGCATTGAACGCAAAATCCGCGAAAAAAGCTAAACACCGTGTCAATTTTGTTGATGCTGAAAGCACCGATGATGACGACGAAAGTGATGCAGATTATGCGGACGAAGATGACCTGGAATTAGAAGATCGTGAAACAATAACTGGCCAACCTCGTTATGCTAATTACTTGAGTGATTTACTTGGTCCGGATCTACCTGATGACGACGATGAGGAAGACGACGATGACGACGAGGACTATATGTTCATGGACGAAGATAGCGATGAGTTTGGCACTCTAGCATTCAGAGACCCTACTGATAATGAGTTTTTGGGCGGGTTTGAATTACGCCATTTCAACTTGGCACCTGACGTACCCGGCTTCAAAAAGGTGGATTTGAGATCTCAGGAAGACTCCATTCAAGACACACAGTTGAAGTAAGTGAACGACTCAATGTCATTATTTTGAAGAAGAGTTAAGATACTGACTAATAACGATTTTCATATAGCGATAATATTGCAAGGGGATTAGTGAACGCATTATTAAACAGTGGCGATGCTTTTCAAGTGAAGGAAGGGAAACGAATATTACGTAAATTGAAGAAACAGATGAAGCGCAGGAAATCAAAGGCTTCAGCTGGAAAACCCACATAATAACGATTTTTAATTTAACGGCACTTGTGCATACGGTAGAAAAAGAAGGTAGCTAAGTGATTGAAAACACATTATTAAATCAATAAAATAATAGTGGTTACCCTGCGACGTCCTGTAACTGCTATTGATGTTATATTTTATACTAATAAACCTGTTAGAATAATAAAGATAACCTTCTATATACCTTTATATGATCCAGGGCTGTTTTCCACAAAAAAATGCGCATATGGATGAGTCAATAAGTTGATGAATGCTTGAATACTGTTGAGAGTTATCGGGTTATTGATACTTTGCATGCGCAAAAGCACGAGCACCAGTGAAACCGAAAAGTCCAACATATTGCAAGTTGAAGCTACAATTTATTGTTTCCATGACAGAAGTGTCTTCAGTTAGGAACTTGAGCAAAATATAACGACCTGATCTTTCTTCTATATCAACGACACAATTCCTAGTTCCATTGTCTTGAGCATCATTGGAAGTGTCTTTTGTAGCTTGACAGCAATCGAACCAGCCTACAGGTTCATAATCGTGTACGCGATATAGACATCTGCTCTTTGTTACCGTATAGCGATCGTATTTCTCTTTTTTGAACCAATCGAAAGCCTGTGTACCTGGTGTATTTTGTAGCAAGTGCTAATATAGGTTAACTGAGTACATACGCTGCAGCATGGCGGATGTTACTTACGTTGAATATCTATTGGCTTGTGCGATACGAAAATCATGCCTTGTTTGAAGCGTGGACCAAAACTACAATAAGAAATGATTTATAGGGTTATCCTATCACGTTTGTTAGAGCCTTACAGCTTCAATAAGATCAATAATTACTCGGCCGTTTTATCCGTTTTCAGAACAATTTTAGAAATAGTACAATAAGGAATATTGTAGGGCCTGTTGTCATTATAACTTCCACCACAGTATTCCAGGAGGATGTTCACGACATTCGCTTTCTGTATACTAGTTGTTTATAAACTTATTTCAGTGTGTCACAGTATATAGCTATTGAACTTTGCATCCACTTACGTGTAGACATAGGAATCGTCTATCAAGATTGAATCCCACCAATGATCAAGAGTGGCATTAGACAGTGAAGTTCCACAACGAATAGATCTAACTGTAAAACACAAAGGAACAAGATTCATATTGCTTGGCATCCTCCCTATAGGGCTCTGGCAAATCAACGAATATTTTTCCAACCAACGATCATAGTCTTCATTTGCGTTACAAAAGGGTCGAGACATTGAAGACAAAGAATTGATCGAAGACTGATGCAGTGTTGTAGTGCTTTCTGAGGGAGTAGTTTGGTGGTAACTATCAATATTACTCCTTGTAAGATGAATGGAATTGGACGTAGGCAGTCGTTGGGAACTAGTAGTAGACTGTAAAGAAGCGTGAGCAGCTTGAGCTGTTGCTAAAAAGACTTCGTCTCTGGACTGTGTGTCAATAGGGCGCTGGATACGTCCGGGATAACGAAGCACATCTCTATTACTGTTATTGTGCTCGATGCGGCTGTAAGTTATATTACTTCGATTATAATTAAATGCTGGGACTGGGATCCTACTTCTACTGTTAACACTGCTATTGTTAGTATAGTTATTGTTGCGAGCGACATTCGAAGGCTGCCTACTGTTTAGCCTTTCTGAAGCAAACCGTCGCTGGTTTAAAGAAAATGCTGCAGAAGTTGAATGTTGTCCTTGTTGTTGTTGTTGCTGTTGAAGCTGTTCTTGTAAACTCCCATGGTCGTCGATAAAGTGGCTTCCTTCGTAAGCATCAGCTAATGGGAACCTACTATGATAAGACTGATGTTGATGGTCTAAAGTCAAATGTCCACTTTCTTCTGTAAAAAAAGCAGACTCAATAGTATTTGTAGAGATGTCCATATTATGATAGATATTTCGAAGGATAACATAAAGTATAAGGCTTAAAAGCGGAAAAAAAAGATGGTTTTCTAGAGTCTTTATCACTTGAGAAGAAAATAAAATAAGATATGCAACTACCACCTAAGACATATAGAAAAGGCTCATTTTATTGTTCATAGATACAAGGGATATAATTCTGTTTGAAACGAAACATACTACAGGTGAATCAACCTCGGAAAATTTGATCTATCCATGGCTACTGCTTTTTTCTCTCATTACGTGATATAGGAGCTATTCATCTTTGAACCCTTCAGTTTGTTGATCATTGTTAGCAGCAAATTGCTGGCCCCGTTGTATCAAATATTCTATCTCGACTTCTTTGGTCAATGGTATTACCCACTGTTTGTAGAGATCAACTACCAATTCGACAGGAATTCTCAGATGAATATTTTTGCCTTCTTGTTCTTCGTCTAACGTTTGCCCGTATACCAGTGCTTTCCTACGTAGTCTTTCTAATACTTTTCTTTCTACTGCTTTGTTCGTCAACAATTCATCAATTTTCTCTCTATCTTCTATCAATGCAAGTTGTGTATATTCTTTAGGATTTGACCTGAATTTTGATTCTGCAATAAATTTGCCTATTTTCGACAAGTTGAATGGAATTAGAAATCTGCTGGCTTACAGGTTCGTATTCACATAGTTATTCTCAGAGCGGATACACACCATAATGAATACGCTTGCTTAATGCCTGCAAAGCTTCAATATCGCGTGTCACGGAGCTGCCATAATTTCTATCATCGCCTTCTTGCTGAGAACAAATATGAGGGACAAGTTCTTTCAGGTAAATATCCATAATTTTATGGTTAACATTGATATCATTTGGTGCAAGAAACTTGTCAAACTCTAAGGGCGGAAGAATGGGGTCTGGTAAAGGGGATGTGAAGGCATACTCATCAGGACTGCAGTTGAATTGAAGCAACAACCTTGTATAAGTTTCATATTGTTTTTATTTTTGTGAATTTGGGAACGTAAATCTTTACCTTGTATATCTACGAACTTTTGCTGTTATGTGTTTATTCATAGATTGATTTTGAGGTCAGTAATGCAAGCTCCTTCTGTTAATTGCTATTTTAAGCCTTACCATGTACTTTTTCTGTTTCCCATAAAAAATATTCTAGAAAACTTAATTCGCCTGTAGCTCCTTTGAATTCTAACGCCCCTTTTTGATATATAGAGGCATTATAGGCAAACTGTGCTCTTTCGATAAGCGCTGGAGTGGTAGAAGTATCTAGTGTCAGAATTGGGTGATTTTTCTGGTTCCTGAATTTTGTATGCCGTTTCGGGCCTACCGCCATTTCATTTTTGTTTCCTACCGAAAATAATGGTATCTTCAAGACGAATAAGGGTACTCCTCAATTTATCAAGTGTATATTTGGCCATGTAGTCAGGGATGAGGTTGAATCGCGCAATGAGGTAGTTGATTTAGGATGCAATATCGCGCGGAAGAGAGAAGATAGATAATTTTTGCCATAGAAAAAAACCAAAGTTTCGGATGCTTAACCATATCATTTTTACACTGGCAATTCACAGTGAGTCATTTTTTTTTAAGGTTTTTTATTTTATTTTTTTTTGGGTGTCGGCAAGATGTGTTAGCCAATGAAAAGCCGCCTTAAAACTCAAAGGTTTGTTGTTAATCTTGTAATTGCCATACGTGAATGCAGGAGGCAACTTATGAACAAAGCAACCAAGAACGAAGTCAAAGCCATTTTCTTTCAAGTTGCCATGCTATCCGTGGCAATTCAGTGTTTTATTCTGAGCAAAGAACCAATCTCTTTCTGAAAAAACAGATTCCAGTAACTGATATTCCTGAACTGCTGCCGTTTGCTTTTCGAAATCTTGGTGTTGATGTCGACCTTCTTGAGTTGGAGAATCTGTTTCTGGACTTGGCGGCATCTTTCCGTCCACCAAGTGGCAGTGGTGTTACTGGTTTGTGGTGTGAGCCACATGAATTACTTTCTTTGTTTCTGCAGCCTGTTAGCAATGGCAAGTTTTCTGGTCCTGGCTTCCGCTTTGACAACTTTTGTCATTTCCGCGGTATTGGTGGTTACCAGTACAAAAAAACAGGTGGTGAATTGGTGTCGGTCCAAGCATATGGTACGTGGAAACATGCTTTTTTCAGCAGGGTTTCCACATCCGATCGTCAGGGATCGGATTTGTCAGCTATGGATGTCTTCAATCAAGCAAAGACATACAAGAACTGGATCGTAAGTCATATTTCTGTCAGCGCTAGTAGTTACCATAACATTGGGCTAATTTGGTGGGTATTTTCTATCCATAGGAGCATATGGAAAGGGATCTTGAGCGGATAGTTAGCCGCACATACGCTGCTCGTTTGGAGTTTAGGGTAAAGTCGACCATTGACTTTACTCGGTCTATTGCTGATTTCATGTAAGTAGCCTTTTACTTGTTTTGCTTGATGTTTGTAATTGGGTTAACTAACATTGACTTGAACTATGTGTATTTTTGACCTTTAGCCCAACGGGTATATCGTTTGGGTTAAAACCCAAGATCTCTTTGACTTTGTTCGTTTCCGTCTCCTTGCTGTTGACCATATTGCTCGTTCTTCTTTGGTGGCTAACCAAAAGTTCACTTACAAGGCCTTGACCACGTCGATGTTGCTTTCCTTCTTTTTGAATTCTTTAGTTCATCATGAACAGGAGGGCGGTCGTACTAGTGATATCATCAAGCTTTTCCACAAATATCAACTTGAAGATTCTGTTTTTCCGTTTGTGCCGTCTTTGTTTGATAACCGTCAAAGTCATTTTACGATTACAGAAGAGTTGAACAGTGGACAACTTGTTCGTATTTTTGGTGAAAGTTTGGTTTGTTCTTGCCAATCGTTAGTTTCAAGAGTACCACCACCACAATCATCATCATCAACAGTACCACCATCATCGTCATCACCATCCATCCAACCAACAGAAGATAACAATATATGCATATCAAAGCATATATCCACTTTGTTGAATCTTGACGTAACACCAGCATTACCCGGATATCTTCATTTTCACACAATCGACATTCATCCATTGATCCAAACCACTATCAAATTTGACCATAGTACACAGCATTTACAATGGTGTATAGCACAGAATCTCTCTATCAAATATGATATAGCATCAACAGAAATTCATCAGCTATTCTGTCAATTATTATTGAATGAAGTAAGTAGTAAAATATCGACATGGGACAAAGTTGGAACAGATTTAATGGATTCAGTTGATAAAGCCAATCATTATGGTTATAAAATGTTCTTTTCAACATCATTGGCAACCTATGTAACTCAATATCATACAACAGGTCTTCCAATAGTCAAATTTAAGCAACATTTAGATCGATTACTACCACCTATATCATCGATTTTGAACGATTTTTCAGAAACATACATACAAGGCAAGAATTCGAAGTTTAAATTACTTCAGTTGCGTGCATTTTACATTAATGCAGTTCATCAACTTGGAGTGCATATGGAGAAAACATCCTTGGATCCAATTGTCGCTTTTGGCTCGTTCTTCAATGAGCAGAAGCAATCCTTGGCCGATCATGTTCATCCTCGCGATCCCTTCATTCAGCATTTATACTCCAGCGCAAAGCACATTTTTCAACATCAGATTAAGGTAGATGAATCATTGGCAAGTTGCCTTTTACGTGTCGTTATATGAGCTACACAACCGGTGGCCAATAGATATTGGATTATAGATGTAGCTGCATGATCACCGTGGATTTGCCAGGATAGCACATTACACATCAATCCACTCTGGGATGGACGAGCAATTATCCATCTAAAGGGAAGACCTATTTTTTTTTTACGGAAACCTCTGATTCACTGAGTATTATCTGGCCATAATACGTTAATGTCAACTATGGATCCTGATACCACTCATTTCGTAGACAGCAAACACTATAAGTCTTTATTAATAGCGGTAATCTTAGTTTTCTTTTCTTTTTCTTTAGTTTGTTTTTGAAAGAAAAATAAAGACGTTGGTTTGATATCGTCAAGCTTTCGTGTTTTATTGTCTTTTGTGTTATTCTTTATCTTTTATCTATTGGTAAAACTAGCGAATACTGCAGAATCATATATTGCCTCGATTTGAAATCGGTGATTCAATTTAGCCGACTCTGGCCCATTTTCACCAGCAGTGATCCAATTTTTCTGCAACCGCTGTAGAACTGGCATGGAATTAAATTAGTATAATCGGTTAGAATCTCTGCTTAATTTTAATCCTTACAAGTTGAATGTTATATCGCTGCACACATGTACCCATCTACACATATGCACAGAGAAAATACTGACAAAAAGGGTCAATAAAATCTGACACAAGTTCAGTTGAGAAAGTTGTACAATATGTGTAACCCACAAAAAACTATCAATAAGAAAGAATATATGATCTCTTTTTCCTGATAATTTGCTTTCATCCTGTCTTTTCCTTCAGTCATCTTTTCTCAAGCAGTATCTCGTAAAAACTATAGAGAAAATGGAATCATTCCACCCTGGTACAAAAAGCAGCATTTTTGCTCTGTTAGTAGCTTTTCTGTCGACAAAGAAAGGAAGAAATCTGGGTAGATATACCACAATCAGCAGCACATTCAGCTGAACTCTGTAATAATCTACTGTTTAATATCCACAGGCGCAAAGATAATTCATGAATACGTAAAAAAAACAATTTTATTTTGGATACCCTTGAAATACCGGTGTAAAATGGTCGAAAGGATTATGTCTATGCCAATTGCTCAAGGACAAAAAGTCATGAATAAGACGACGAAACCTTACGGATACCAATGGGACTACATCCATCCATTGAAAAAGAAAAACTGGATGGGCCACTGGATTACCAGTCCCGATGATGACTTAGATCTGGATAAAGCAGATATGATAATTTATTATATTCATGGTAAGGTTGAAAAGTAGCTGCGTGGATACGGAAGCGGCGTCTATAGCAATCACAACATGTTTTATAATGCAAATAGGTGGAGGATTCCGTTTTGGACATTCTTTAATGTACATGGAATCGTTTATTCATATCATTGAACATCTCAAAAAGCAAAAAAAACTCAAAACACGTATTTTTTCCATTGAATATTCGCTTATGCCCAAGGTTACGTATGACCGTACTAAACAAGATTGCATGGAAGGATACCGTTATTTGATTGAGGATTTGAAGCTAGACTCTAAAAAGATTGTCATTGGTAAGAAATATATGTATGCAAATGAGAAGGGAAGCATTCTCAATGATAGTCGAACAAACATTCTTTAGCTGGTGATAGTGCAGGTGGTAATCTTGTGGCCAACTGTATGTTTTCGATACTGAATAGTGATGACTTACCTTTACCTGCTGCGAATGTACAAATCTCACCATGGTGTACGATTGAAAACAGCCAATCTCACCGACCCAATATAGTTTACCAGGATTGTATTACATATGAAATGCTCAGTGTAGACCACGGAAACTATTTTTACAAGAACACAGAAAATGGTACAGTCAGTGATGATGACAAGATACAGCTTTTACGAGATCCTCGCATTTCACCTCTATATGCACCTTCTTTCGCTGGTTTTAGCCCTACCTTAATTACATATGGAGGCACAGAAATCTTCCAACATGATATTGAGCTACTGATTGAAAAAATGAAGACGGAACAAGTAAAAGTAGATGTGATGACGCGCTCAAATGCACCCCATATATGGATCATCTCTTCTATTTTATCACCTACTCATGCCATATGGAAACAGGATTGCTCAAAACTCGCCGAATGGTGCGCTAAGCAAGTGGCTAATGCTGCTAACGAATACAGTATTATTGATGCTCCCCTAGCCGCTAAGTGATCTAAGATTTCTGAAATAGTACTACTTACGGTTATTCTAATCAAAAATATCAAAGCACTGAAAGGTGCATATATTGAAGTATTTCTGGGCTCATTAAATTATTATCTTTGCGTAAAACATGATAAAAAAGAGACAAACAAGTATAGTAAATCAGCCCTATTACAGCAAATTTTAGCCTTCAGTGTAGCATGGACCATTTCATCTGAAACATAGTAACCACATAAATTGGAAAGCCTTTCGTTTACGTTTTAAAAGTATCCATGGCATTGGAGAATTAAGCTATAAGACAAATAATCAATAAGCAAATCTGTGAAAACCAGAAAGGATACAATTCATTTTCAAGAATAAATTGAAGCTTAGAGATTAAAAAATTCATTCAAAGATACATAATCGAGAACACAACTTGAACTGTCTTCCTATTAGCTCCTTCCGTTTCTACCCCAAGCCCAAACCTGGTATTACAGGTGGCCGGCTGTTTGCCACATTTTTTTTTTTTTTTTGAACTTGACTATCTCTATCATCAGCAACAGCCTCCCTTCCCTCCCACTAGTAGGTCTGTCACTTTTTGACTGGTTAGCCTCCTTTCCCTCCGATCCGCCATAGCTCACATTCTTTTTTATCCTTGAGCCCACAGATTTTTTGAATAACTACAATGCATTTGGATCTGCACTGGACAATTTGGATAAGTTTCATGTCTAGTGTCCACTGGGCTGTAAGAGTATTTGTAATCGAGAGTTTGTTCGATTGTAACCATAGATCTATCTTTCTTTTTTGTCATTAAGTTTTTTTTTTTTTTTTTTTTTTTTTTTTTTTTGTTTCATCTCAAAATTATGATTATCATGCCCCAAATTTTAGACACTAGAATTTTTTCCAATAAGGAATAGCTTAAGAACAATCAGCTCTCTTCCGTGTATTTTGTTTTTCAACTAAATCCACCAATCAAATCGCGACATACCCCTCCTAACCCGTAACCACTTTTGCCAACACCATCTCAACCCATTTGACAATGAGTGTTGCATCCTCATCTTCTGAGGCTACCTGGGCAACTGTAACTGCTCGGAAAAGCGCCAGCCGTATCCCGGCGCCATTAAAAAAGGTTCATGATGGCCAACGTGAACGTTTCGTTGCTAAGCTGCTTTACGAGGCACCTGACGTGGCTGCTTATTTGCGTTCACAACAAATCACGTCGATCGTCCACTCAACTCTTACGAGTGGGTCGGTTATCTTCAAGTTTCCTTCTAAAATTTTTGATCATTATACCGACGCGTATAGATTGATCACTGATCAGCTTGGCCCTGTCCTTGGGGGATTTAATCCTATCTCTTTACGTAGTACACGTCCCCTTTCCGATTTAATTATTGCAACAAAGTTCAAGTCCGATGATGCCAACACCAAAGCCATTTCGCATGGCGTAACTGTTGAGCATGTCACTACAAAGCCAGCCGCTTCGTAGATAAGGTTGATACCACTTTCACGCGTGTCAACCTCACCCTCTTTCAATTTGAGGATGAAGCAACCTTGATAAGTAAGCTTAAGAAATCTATGGCCATTTATGGCAAGGTGTGCCAGATCAAGATGCTTACCAATCGAGGTTTCTTTGAGGGCGAACTTTCCATCTTGCTTGACACCAGCGGTAGAGATGACGATGACCCTTCCCCCGTACAACCATTGGACCGTAAACTGTTCTTGTCTGAATGGGATACGTTAGCCCCTGCCAGCTGGAAAGGCGCACCTCCTGTCTGCTACTACTGTCGCCAAGCCGGGCACGTTCGTAAAGACTGTCCTGCTTTGCAAAATTTGACCTGCTATAAATGTCATCGCAAGGGTCATATTCGCCGAAATTGCCGCATGGCAGACGTCCCCGTTCCTGTTTTAAACGTTAATGAGCAAAGTGATACTGACGCCATTGCCGAATATGAAGTCCTGAGTGAACTCACCCATAAAGAACGCCCCACCGATAGCCCTACACATTCCTCTACCATCAATGATGAGTCTGGCCTTATCATCCCGAAAAAGGCAAAACGATATGCTACCCGATCAACGACCGCTAAGGCTTCTGTAGATCATACTTTGTCTCCATTCAATACACCCACTGGTACTGCCGGCTCAAAATATGCCAGTATCACTGTTGCTGCCAGTATGGCTCTGGACGAGCCTGCAACACCTGCGCCTTCCGATGCCAACACTAGTTCGGCAACTACACCCCTTCATAGTCGTTTAACTCCTGCTCACACCGATGATATGGATCTGATAATAGATGCGGATACCACTCCTCCCAATATAGTCATGACCGCCCAGGAGGGCAATGAATAATCGACCAATACGCGTCGCATCCTTAAATGCTCGCAGCATTTTCAAGGATGCTAACAAATATACCCAGAAACAATATATATCCCATTTACGTTCCCCTGCTTTGTCTGTTGACATTTTATGTCTCCAAGAAGTATCCGCATATCATTCACAAGACCACCTCACAATCGATCAAATCAAATATTTCCATTCCTTCCTCTTTCCCCAGTGTGCAATCCTACTCTCTAAGTATTGTGCCATTATCTGTTTAAACCCGACGTTATTGTTAACAGATGAAATTGTCACTTTCGATGAACGCTGTTTACAAGCGACCATCATCGATACAGTTACCCGTAATTTTATATGCTCTATAACTAATATTTACGTTCCAGCAACTACCCATGATAGAATGCCTTTCCTCGCCTCCTTGATGTCACAACCGTTTTTTACAAAGGAGGCTCCAGATGTCAGCTTTATTGTTGGCGATTTTAATATGTCGCTAGCTTCTCTATCAACCACTTCAACCAATCCTAGTTTTCATGAATGGTATCGTCACCTCACTCATTATTATGATAACTGCTTCTCTGCAAGCATTCCTACTTTCCAGCGTGGTGTCACTCGCAGTACCATCGATTATTTCTTCTGTCACCGAAGTATTACCCCACGAGTCCTTAACAGAACTCAACGGTACCTACCTAGCGCTTGGACAGACCATGTCCTCATGATGGCTGACCTGTCACCCGATCGTTTGGACGTAGGACCCGGGGTATGGCGCTTCAACCCTTTGCTGCTGTCTAACGATATATTTGTGGATTTATTAAAGACTGCCCTCATTGAGTTCTTTGAAGTCCGTAATAATATCACCTCCAACCCACAAAGTACCTGGGAGGCTCTAAAACAATTATTAAAACACATTGCAGACCTATTCTCCCATGGATCTACTGCTAAAAGGCAGACAACCATTGCCGAACTTCAACACCAACGGGAAGCCCTGCTTTCCTTAAATAAGCCAGCATTCAATATAACCAACAGACAAGTGTCGCTTATTGAACAGAAACTAGACAAATTACAGGAAGAATCCGCGCAGCAACATCTTTTACGGTCAGCCACTCGATGGCATGAGAAAGGAGAGCGCAATAATAGATACTTTTACAGGGTTATCAAAGAAAGACAAGCACAACGAACGATTCACTCTTTAAAAAGTGGTCAAGATGGCCCTGTCTTAACTAGTACTAATGTTATCCTTGAGGAAGCTCATATGTTCTATAGCAACCTTTATCGCCCTGATCCTATCGACCTGTCGGCAGTTCAAACGTTACTCGATAATGTTCCGCAGGCGATTGGTCTTACAAACGCTCAACAGAATGATCTTACAGCACCGCCCACGTCAGAAGAACTTATTTCTATAGTTAACCACTTGCCCTCACAAAAAAGTCCTGGGTTAGATGGCATACCGTATGAGGTTTACCGCCATCTGCTTTCCTGGAACATTCCGAGCTTTAAGCAACTCTTCCTTCAAGTGTATGCTGACGCCTTTGAAAATATTTTCCCAGCCACCTGGAAACAAACTCGGATGGTCTTACTGTACAAAAAGGGAGATCCTGAACTCTTACAGAACTGGCGGCCTCTATCGATGATCAACACTGATGCGAAGATTTTCACAAAACTATTAGCTAATAGGTTCAATGTCGTTTTACCACAGCTGATTAATCGCTATCAGACTGGCTTTTTACCGCACCGACTAATCTCGGATAATGGGTGGGTTAACCAAATACTAATGTCACATTATAGCCATTGTGGTATGTCTTACCCTGCTGTTGCTGTCCTCCTTGATCAAGAAAAAGCATATGACCGAGTACATCCTACCTACCTTCAGATGGTTATGAAGCATTTCGGCTTTCCTGCTTCCCTCGTATCTTGTTTATCTAGCCTATTTTTTGACACAGAAATATCCCTTCACATCAATGGATGGTTAAGTGCTCCCGTTCGCCAACAACGTGGCCTTCGGCAGGGAGACTCCTTATCACCACTGTTGTTCAATTTAGCTTTCGAACCCTTACTACGTACCATTTTGTCGAGCTCTGACATCAAAGGCGTTTCACTGCTCTCAACCTCCGCCTCCTCTAGTCGATATGGACAACTTCTAGCTCGCAGTCTGAGTGTCCGTTTTGAACCACAGCCTTTGTTTGACTGGCAAGACACCCCTCGTTTCAAATTATTGAGCTATGCGGATGATTTAGAGGTTTTCTTGACCACACCTACGGAATGGCGTGTCTTGAAAGACCTCCTTACAGTTTATGGTAACGCTAGTAATGCCCGTGTCAATTTGACAAAAACAGAAATTGTTTCCCTCTCTGGTCATCCGCATACGGCATGGCTCCATATTGCTAATCAGGAATCTGTAACCTTTCATACAGCTGAAAGTCCATCTGCTGCCAAATATCTTGGCTATCCTCTTTTCTCAACCAATGCTCAACTAAAACACTATCTAGCTTCCCTTGAACTGAAAATAGTCCGTCACTGTAACCTCCTGAAACAACGGGGATTGTCTGTCCGAGGTGCCTCACTAGTTGCTAATTCCTTGATACTTAGTAAGTTATGGCATCTCCTGCGTGTTGTAGTTGTTCCGGTGGACTGGCTTGATAAGCTTCGTAGCATTGTCCGGTCTTTTGTGGTTCCTTTCTGGCCTGCTCCATCGTGGGAGCGCTTGTGCTCACCTAAACGTTTTGGTGGTCTAGGCTTAGTGGATCTGCACCGACAACAATTAGCTCTTCATCTTGTGTATGTTCAGCGCCTTCTACAGCCCCCTTCATCAACCGATTTTGTCTCCCCATTACTGGCACATTGTATCCAAGTGTACACCGGTCAGTTGTCCTTACTACCATGGATTTTATCGACTGCCACTTATCGTTCATCATTTCGCTTCCTTCCGAATATGCTCCACCTATGTTCTCTGCTGATGAAACTTCCTTCATCATCTCTTTCCTCCTCATGGCATGGCCGCTGGATTGCTGATTTGCCCCTTCGTAGTGCCTTACAGCGTTCCCCTTCGTTTGTAGGCCCCTTACCCGTGGATCTCAATAGCCTCCCACGGCATTTAATCGTCTCTACTGTTCTCCTTTGGTCTTCGATAACTAACTGCTTCTACACGCTAGGGTATACGTATTTTCAGGACTATCCGAAACTGAAAAGGATACCTAGTTTGCTTTCCCAAGGTGTAATACAATGGCTTCCTTTTATTCAAAACCGATTGATTGATGTCCGGGCCCCTCCTACGGCTGCTGCTCCTACGCCCACTTCACGATGGCCTAATGTATCTTACAGCACCTTATGGTTGCCTGATATGTCCCAGTGGCGTGTACCTTCTGGTTCTCAGAACAATACCACCATTTTAAAGCTTTCGCTTGGTATGCTACGGCTATACTGGCATCCTGATTATTCCGTTTTTAGTGACCCTCCTCGGATTCCTCAAGTGTTTCCTTTATGGTATCGGCCTCCGGCTCAATGGAAACGGTTCTGGTCACTCTCAATCCCTCATGCAGTGCTAACTCCATGGTGGCGTTTATGGCATAATTGCATTGGGTACAGAGCTTGGCTGTTTTCCATCAATCCTGTCATAGCTGACTCCCCTCTTTGCCGCCATTGCAGAGACTCCCCTGAGGATGGTTTTCATTTTTTCGTTGGTTGTCCACCTAAATGGCAATTTTGGATCACGGCACTGGAGGAAAATAGAATTATCTCTTTTCCTGCCACACCTACTGGCATTTGGCATATATTGTTAACACTTTGTTCCCCGTTAGATAATTCTCCTCTGCCTGACCACACAATCGTTCAGGTTAGTTTGATACTTTTAAGTATCTGGAAATATCATTGGCGCTGCCATTTTGATTGCATCTCTTGGTCCCTAGCAGGAGTTCGTACCGTCTACCAAGACGAGGTTCGATTCAGAACACTCAATACGAGCTCGTAGTATATTTAATAGTTTCTTTGTCGTAGTTTTTATGTATGCCTTTTCTTCACTTCTTTTATTGCCACTTATCAAAATATAATTTATTGTCCGTATAGTCGCTTTTAATAAAGTACGTGAATTAAATACAAAAAAAAAAAAAGCTTAAGAACAATCAACATTCGAAAATATGATCTTCATGAAGTTCTTTCTTTGGTAATTCGGTATTTAATTGTAACCTATCCCAAAAATGAAGTATAGAGGGGTCGAATCAGCATGTTATTACCTAACCAGAGCTTGTAATCGAAATGATAAAACAAAAAAAACGCGATCAAGCACGCAGCAATGAGTCTATCTATCGTTCAAGTGCAAGACCAATCCATTGCTTAATGATTATTATTGTGGACAGTTTTACTGTTGCTTCTCGATTAGCTACGCATATTACTACTATTATTGGGATAAACCTAGTATATTGCTTATGAGCACTGAAAGATTTTTTAAAAAAAATATACAAATACATTGAATAGAGTAAATTATAAGCCAACTGAAGCAGGGGAATGTAATTGGGCAATCCTTGATTTTTTTGTTTGAAATCAATCTCATTGTTTCTCTTCCTTTTTAGCTTTTTTTCCACTTCCTTTTCGTCTTTATGTCTAACATTCCATATCATTAAGAATTACAAGTTAAAAAGACCCTCGCTTCCGGATAACATAGATACATTAATGGACTTCGATGACCTTAAAAGAATGTAACACGTATCAGAATGGAGGTGAACAAAACGAACCAGCTCAATTAATAAACCAAGAGACACAACAGCACCAACGGCGAGAACAAGACATGCAAGCAAAAAGGGCTAAAGAAGCAAGACAATTGCTTGAAAAAATATTGTCTATAGCTAAAGAAGAAATCGATCAAGATGAACAGGGCCATTTATTACTGCAAGGCGACGACAGTGATGATGCTTACTGGAGCGAGGACGAGTTAGCGATGTTGAGAGCCTATTGTGATTTGGAGTCCGATTTTGAAGAAGAGAATGAAGAACAAGAAAGATCACTAGAGAATTATGTCACTAAAATATTACAAGGACAGCAACAGCAACAGCAATAGCACCCAACAACAGCGGGATAGAATGTAACTAAAAAATGGCTACTATTATAGTCGAGTGCCATATCCATTAGCATTTGCAAATATAGCTACTCCCACCAATAACCAGCGGTTATCGAAAGAAAGCCTTCTTTATTGGGTTTGCTCCCCTTGTTTTCAGAAACTCTCAGTTCTTTTAATTGATTAATAAAGTAGCTGAATGTTGAATTATAGTTATTTTCTGTTATTCTGTAAAGCCTTTAGCATTTTGAGAGCCTTTGATGCTGGTGAAAACGGTTTAGCTTGTTCCCAGCGACTTAGTCAATAGTAGCTCACCAAAATGTTGAAGGGAAAGATATATGACACAAAGTAGGTGTCAATCTATTTGTGATATGTGTTTTGGTCTATATAAGCCCCACTAAAAGGACTAAAGCCTTGAAGCCATTCGTACTTGAAGTAGTCAAATTATCAGGCAATGATTTGTTTATTTCACGTCTAACTGAGCATTAGGAACCAGCAATTTATCTTTAAAGCGAAAATGATCGGTTGTAGATATCTGTTGTCCATCCATTCGAGACCGATTTTACTGCTGTACTTGGAAAACTGTGCCATGTGAGTTGATCGATTAGTGAGTTTGGTTTATAATGCTAAATAGTAATAATCCTTTAATAGCAATAATGAAGACTATTAGCTCTCCAATTCTATTGGTGTTATCATCAAAGTGCAATGTTCTTCTGCAAACACCATCATTTTGAAAAAGAAACGTTCTATCCATCACAGTGGTAATCCAAACAATCTTGCACAAGTGAAGCCTCTCATATTATTTGCTCTCCGAGTAGTGGGCAAACACAGATAGTTACCTACTCTTTCAATACTCTTAATTCGGTACCAGCTGTTTCTTAAACTAGTTGGTCAATGAGCCGAGGACACTCTTCGCTATCGCGATTAATATATGTACGCATTAAATTTGAAGCTCTTCTGGATGTTTTTTAAGCACTGCTTGCGCTTGATTGAAAAGCAGTTGAAAGATCAGAGCGGCAAAGTGCTTTTTTATTTGGTCTGGAATAACTTTTCTTTTTTGGTGGCAAACTCATGCTAGCTTTAGTTTGAACTCATATAATGACTCTGTTCAATTAAGCACATAACAGGGATAGAAAACCATTTAAGCATAGCAGTTCTGCTTGGTATTGCACTCATATTGGGCTTCATTCTTTAAAGCTGTACACTGATTTTTTCAATGTTGGATATTTTTCAAATTGGTGTACGTTGGTAAACATCTAGCAACTAGCGAGGAGGATGTTACAAATTGAGTTGCATTCATAGTCCGCCTTTTGCTTTAGCTTTAAAATGCTCTCCAACAAACTTTACAACTCCATTGTTCCTATATTTGTCACATTTTAGCCTATAAACAATCATGAGTAGTAGTTCCTTAATGAGCCCTGCTCCGTCAGAGGACCAGGCAAAACTTCTAGATGAAGTTCTAAACGTTGTGAAGGTTCAAGCTCATCTAATGAAGAAATGTTTGGTAAAAAATAGCGCTTGACTTATTGTTAACATAAACGCAGAGAAGAGGACAATCTTCATTAAACCCTTGACAATGTCAACGTTTTATGAACTTGTAGGAGAATAACAAGCTTATGGATGGGTTGAAGCATTGCTCTAACATGCTTGCCGAATTGAGAACTTCCGCTTTGACTCCCAAGAACTACTATGAACTCTGTAAGTTAGGGCGGAAAGGTGTTTTCTGTTTTATGCATAAAGTGGAGGCATCAGCTATACACATAGTCGAGAATGTATTCGACCGAATACGATACTAACTCCATAGTTTTATAGACATGTCAATATTTGACGCCATGAGGCACTTAACAGCTTTCTTAACAGAAGCTCACACTTCTGGGCGCCATCACCTTGCTGATTTATACGAACTTGTGCAGTATGCTGGTAATATCGTTCCTCGTCTCTATTTAATGATAACTGTCGGCTCAGCTTACATGAGTATGCCTGATGCTCCTATTCGTGAAATTATGCGCGATATGATGGAAATGACCAGAGGAGTTCAGCATCCCGTCCGTGGTTTATTTTTGAGATATTACTTGAGTAGTATGACCCGTGATTATCTTCCTATTGGCGAGAATTCTGGGTAAGTTCAAACTGAATAGCCTGAAACTTCCTTCTTTTGTTTGAAACTATATTTCAAGAAGGGCCCTTACTAATCTATTGTTTTTGATAGTCCTGAGGGCAATCTTAGCGAGTCAATCAACTTTATTTTGATCAATTTTACCGAAATGAATAAGCTTTGGGTTCGTTTGCAGCACCAAGGCCATTCAAGAGACAGAGAGAAGCGCGAAGCAGAACGTAAAGAATTACGAATTCTTGTAGGAACTAATCTTGTTAGATTAAGTCAGTTAGAAGGTGTTGACCTGCAGACATATCAAAAGGTACAGATAGAAATGGGGCGAATGAGTGACAGAGTCAAAGTCCTAGTATTTTGTACAAAGTGGAAATAACATCAAGTCAACAAATGAATAGGATATTTTGCCAGGAATCTTGGATCAGGTTGTCAGCTGTCGTGATGTTATAGCTCAGGAATATCTTATGGAAGTTATTACTCAAGTCTTCCCCGACGAATTCCATCTACGTACACTCCAACCTTTCCTTTCTGCTACTGCCCAATTGCATCCTAAAGTAAATGTGAAGCAGATAATCATCTCTTTAATTGATCGCTTAGCTGCCTTTGCAAACCGTGAAAATGAAAACGAGGAGAGCAGTGAATTTTTAAAACAAAGAGAGGCGAATATTCGACGAATTGCCAATGCTAGAAAAAGAAGTCTACAAGGCCTGGAGCCTGAAGAGACTGAGGTAAATAGCGATGTTGCGCCAGAAACAGCTCAGTTAGATGAAAACGACACCGAAGAAAAAACTGATGAAGAGGGCAACGATGAAAATAAAGGTGAAGGAAAGGAGGAAGCCACGGAACTCAACGAAAATGAGGAAAAAGCTGAAGAAGTACCCTCAGAGAAAGATGAGAGCAACTTGCCTGCTGGTAATAATATCCAAAAGGAAGATGATTTGAAGAAAAATCGCGGTATCCCTGATGATGTTGAACTTTTTGTCGTCTTTTGGGGTCAGATTGTTGAACTGGTGAAGGTATTTGTCAAAGTTTTTGGAAGGAGGGGTGGGGGTGTATAGACAGGCGACAATTGTAAGATAACTGATAACTTGCGTTTATGATCCAGGCTCGTCCAGATCTCACAATTCAAGATTTAACTGCCTTGTTGGTTTCGTTGATCAATCTTTCATTATCTTGTTACCCTGAGAAGTTGGACTATGTCGATCAAATCCTTGCGTATGCTAAGGATAAAGTCCTCGAATTCAACGATTCACCTGACCTTCATTCCAAACCTACTGAACAGAATTTATTATCTTTACTGTTAGCACCAATTCAGTATTACAGCTCAGCATTATATTTATTGGCTTTAGCCAACTATCAACCTCTACTGGTCCTGCAACCTTATTTCACCCGCCAATCAGTAGCTTACGCTATTGTGAATCACGTTTTGAAAAATAGCACCGTCATTGACATACCCGAAGATGTCCATGGTGTTTTAGATCTATGTGATGTACTATTACGCGATCAAAAAGATGCGCCATCAGCAGCATTGATGGTACCACAGGCTAATTATGGCACCATGCGTCACAAGGCTAATGATTTGAGCTTTGAGCAAGAAGAATATATTGAAAAACAAGGCCTACTCGCGAGAATGGTCCATTTGTTTAAATCAAGCAGTGAGGATACACAGTTTTTGGTAGGCATTTAGCAAACCTCTTCAAGTATGTCAATCACTGATTTCTCGTTTATCTTATCTTTTAGCTTTTGTCGGCTGCTAGAAAGCAATTTGGTGACGGTGGTGACAGAATCCGATATACCTTCCCCCCACTGGTCATAACCGCTGTAAAACTTGCGAGACGGTATAAATTCCAAGAAGAACAAGACGAAGTTTGGGAAAAGAAAACCGCAGCACTTTTCCGTTTCATACACCAGGTTATTTCAACACTGTACAACAAATGTGAATATGCTGATACATGTCTCAATTTGTTTCTTCTTGCTGGACAAAGTGCTGATGAATGTGGCTTCGAAGAAATCGCCTACGAATTCTTTGTTGAGGCATTCACTATTTATGAAGAATCTATATCTGATTCAAAAGCACAATACCAAGCCATCACTTGCATAGTGGGCGCATTACAACAGACACGTGTCTTCTCTGCCAATAACTACGACACTTTGATAACTAAAGCTGCTCTACATAGTGGTAAGCTTTTGAAGAAACCTGATCAATGTCGTGGTGTTTATTTGTCCTCTCATCTTTGGTGGGCTACTGACCGTGCTATCAGTGACGCCGATATATCCGATAATGAAAAATCAGGTCTGTTTAGAGATGGTAAACGTGCTCTTGAATGTCTGCAGAAGGCATTAAAGATAGCAGATAGTTGCATGGACCCTGTTACAAATGTCGAATTGTTTGTTGAAATTTTGAACCGTTACATTTATTACTTTGAAAAGAACAATGAAGCTGTAAGTGAGAACAGAGTGATATTCTTACTTGTTAATAAAGCGTGCACACTAAAAATATTCCATTCTTTTTCTAAAACTACCAACAACTAGGTAACCGTTAAATATCTGAATGGTTTGATTGATTTGATCAATTCAAATCTCAGTAATATGGATAATCCTGATCAACATCCTCCTACTGCCAATTCTTCCTCACTCGTAGAACATGATGGACCGGCTTCTGAATATGTTCGCCGTCATTTCCGTGCTACACTTTTGCATTTGCAAAATCGTAAAGAGCAATCATTACGTACGGAATCTCAACATGGTCCAAAATATGATGAACTAGAGCTTGTTGATATTTAGGCATGAAAGTAAGAGACCATATCACATTATAATCTTCGTAAAAATTGTAATAGTATAAATAAATCTATGATAAAAAGATGAAAATTGCAATGGATTGGCGAACAAATCGTAGCAGGCTGTTCCTTTCGTGTTATTGATGATGGCTATATGACCCAACAGAGTATCCGACGTTTGCGATTTGTTTACGGCCACAAATGTGGTCTTGAAGTACAAAACATTGGTTCAGCATTGATCCATGCTTTCTTCTAGATTTTTTGACCAACCATAGCTTTTTTCGAAGCTTTTATGCTAAGATTGAACAAAGTGACGAGTGTTCATCTTTTTCTGCACTTGAACATAAAAAATGACATGAGTTTACGAAAACTTCAATAACGGGGCAAACAATGCTACTGATAATTAACATGCATACTCCAGCCTCTGCTCAAGGAGTATTTTCAATAAATCAACTATCCATATTGTTTTGAACGAAACTGTTAAAGACTAAAGCAAACAAAACGAAAAAAAGTCGATTAAGATTTCGCAATGTTTTTATCTTACTTCTACAAGGACAGACGACTCATAACGCATCGAAACTCAAATAAATAGATTATACGGATAAATATACATTATACAAATATAAGCATAAAAGAGCAATTGGACTTCCTTTAAATGCGTTTTGTGTTGTGGGCATAAAAAAAAAGACGAAAACGCTGTTATAAAATGTATCTAAATGACCAATGACGATCACCGACCAGATCAACACCACCATATTTATGAATCTGTAGCTCTTTTTGCTCCTCTGAAAAGTTGTCCCTCCTTTTGTTCTCTCTAGCGAGTAATAGCCGTAATATGATGACTATTACAGTTTGCGCAGCCATACAAGAAAGTGCGATCGTGTTACCCGCTACATAATGTGGAGGATCTTTGAAAAAGAGGCAATGTTTAGGAACGCTTTCAAAATAGGTGTTTGCATACGTTTAGTTTTTCTTTACCGTAATAGATTTGCCCTCCTATAGCACCGCCAATTGTACCAAAACTAACAATTGCTGCAGAAGCAACGGCGCGTCGAGTGAGCCCACCACTAAAAAGGCAAAAGATTCAGAAATTTAGTTTATCCAATTTAGCAGGAATACTGTTGTGTCAAGCCATGATACTGTACTAGTTGTTATTGAACCATGCGACCTTCACAGCAACATTCGCATACACAGAGATGACTACCAGACAGGCTGCACAGTATAAACCTGATACACGGCTTACCGGAAGGAGTATTAAAAGCAGCAAACCTATGAGACCCACTACATTTATAGCAATCATATGGTATGCTCTTTCAATGTATCGATCTGAACAAGAATATTAGACTCACTAGCGATAGCACAATTTCTTTAATTTTCCACATAATTATTGTCCTACCAGAACTCCAGCTTATAGCGACAGTAGCAATGAAGGCAAAAAAATAAGGGGGTACAGTCAATGCTTGAGCTACAGCTTTATTCCACGTACCCATATTGGCTACAATGGAAGGTAGAAAGAGTGTAACACCTTGGAGTGAAATAGTCCCTAGAATGTAAATAAGCATATAAAGATAGGTCTTCCAATCATAAAAAACTGATGCCACTTGCGCCCAAGCCCAAGAATGATCATTAGAACCTCCAGCATCTATTGTGTGCAGCTAAAATTCAGTAGATGATAACGATTATGAACAAAAAGTATTATCAACCAACATACCAGCAGCCAATCGGCTGACTGCAAGACGACGCTCGTCTTCTGTTAAGAATTTTGCAGTTTCAGGTTTATTAGGTAGGTACCAACTAGCAAAAATAGCCAAGACAACAGAAGGGACACCTTCAATAATAAAGAGCCTTTGAGTAAAAACGAAAACAATTTAATTGCTTATCTGAGTATAATATCAACGTAAAGTAATATGATGATGTATACTTAGTGTCTTGTTACACACTTACCATTGCCATGTAGCCAATCTATCATCTTTAATCTGCCCTATGCCAAAGGCAATTAAACCACCAAAAGCACCTGCTAAACTGCTAAATGACCAGAAAAATCCAACACGCCGACCATACTCTTTTCTCGTATACCATAATGACATGAAATAAATAACTCCAGGGAAGAAACCTGTGGGTGAAATACTTGCTTATGAGAACTATCCCATCCTTTAGTTCTGCCACTACTCCCTTCCATCAACTCACCAGCTTCGAATAGACCCAAAAGAAATCGACAAATAGCAATACCTGCAAAGCTAGTGCTTGCCGCCATAGCAGTAGCAACAGTTCCCCAAGCACTGAGGATGAGTGAGGTAAAGAAAATTCGACATTAAGATGAAGAAGAAATGTCATTTAAAAATTGTTTCGATACTTACAACATAAGAATACCTAACCAGTAAGACGGCCGCCATCTTCTCATGATGATGTTAGAAGGCAATTCAAAGAGAACGTACGAAAAGTAAAAGATTGAAAGAGACCACTGATATTCCGAAAAAGACATATGCAAATCCTCCTCTAAACCGCCAAGTTTTGCATTGCCGATGTTTGATCTATTCAATTATGTTGAGATGTGAATGCATCACTTGGAAAAGTAACCAAAGTCAGATTGCTTTACCTGTCAATGTAACTTAAAAGGTATAATACACATAGGGTAGGAAGTAATCGTCTGTCAAGTTTTCTAAGTGTATGCAAGTTAGAGTTAAGTTAACGAGAACAATGTTAATACTACCTCGCGGGCGTTGGGAATTAGTTTTACACCTGCCTTGTGAGCACATGCGTCAATTTTATATTGTTCTGTAATATCTCTTCATCCGAAAAGGCCTCCAAGGTCTTTTTCTGTATGTCTTCTATAGTTACTTCATTGATAGAGTCTAGTTTAACATCTGTGTGTACTACATCAGCCGTAGTGGATGCTGTTTTCTCTGCTAACATGGTTCGGATTTCTAGTTTCCGTCTGCAAAGTGACAAAAGAATGAAAAAGGAATAAGAAAAACTATTTTTCACTATTTATTTGTTGCTTAAGCTTGCAAAATCGGAAAGCTCCATTCGTATGTATACTGATTATTTGCATCTCCATCGGCGAACCTTCTTTAACCTCTCAACTTTTTTTTTCGTTCGAATTGATGACAGATCAAACGAATTAACGTTTTGTACGAGGGAACAAAACATTGACAAAGTGACCCCACTAAATCGTAGAAAACATAAAAACGAAATATGCAAAAATTAGATATGTGTAGTTATCATGCTTAATTGGTATAAGAGAGTAGATGACTAAATAATGAACAACTCTAAATGTGTTACAAAAAGATGTGATTCGACACACCAACATGCCACATTACCTGTACACAGCTGGTAAAAGGGTAAATTCGCCAAAATTGGTCATAAACAAAAAGAGAATACAAGTCTAATGTGGTTAGGTTATTTTATCATCATTTGATCTTTACTAGCAGAGTTTGTTTATTTAAAATTTAGGAAAAACTACGAGTGGATCAAGTGTTACCTCCATTATGAATTTCCCGTATTTAAATTTCCATCAATAACTTCGGGCTGGTCCCTTTCAATAATAGTGTTACAGCTCAGCCTGATATAATAAATGTATAGAATTAAATCAGTCAAATTATTTTTATAGTGCTGTGATATTTGCATGTTAGCAAACTAGATCGGTCATGGATAATAATTTAGGAATTGTCATAAACTTTAGCAATTTGCGACGCTCATGTTATCATGTACTCTGTTATCGTGGGGACATGATGATATAGTTACTACTGCTTCAGGATACCCAACAGTATATGCACACATGGCTCATGCTTTTGCTATGACGCGCTGGATAGGTTAACATCCTCAAGAATTTAGGGTTAACTGTAATACTGTTTTCTGCGAAGTTGTGATACGAAGAAGTGGAATTCATTATGCATAGGAATCTTTCTTGTCCGATGTATTGAGCATTTCATGCAAAGCATACTGATCATTGCAATGCATCTTAACTTTTTTTTTTCCAACAAAGTTCAAACAATTATATATCTACTAAGCTGTGCTCATTGCTTTCTTTGAACTCGCCACTAATGCATATTCCTACTTGCTGAATTCTTTAGTCCTTGAAGAGTAAGCATCATCCTTTCCATCATAAGAGGAGCAATAATGCGCGTAAAATAGTCCTCAACGCCAACTAGCACAATATGAATAGACTGTGAACAAATTTCAAAAAAATAGTCGTGTTACTATCTATGAGACAGTAACATCTTACGCACCATATTATAGAATAATTGTGTCACTTTATAAATGTTGATAATGGAGAGCATTTCTGAGGAGTCGACAATAAGCACGCATAGACCAATATATCTAGAACTCAACTTCACTAAATAAACGGCTGTTGAAGCAATTTAATAACCTTTTTTTATCAAGTGCGCGTGCTGCATTTTATTTTTGGATATAGAGTAGTTATTGTCTCATTTCAGTTATAGAAACTGAGGTCGACTGTGAAAGGCCGCCTTTGGTTTTTGATCCGAACTAAAATTCAAGGGGTAACAATTTTAACCAATGATCTTCCTTGAAACAACGAATTTGCGGGGTTGCTCCCTACAGTATTTTAGCTAATATTTTAGATAAAATACAATTTTTTTGAACGATCAATATTTTTATTTAGACGAATTGCAATTGTGTTGTATACGAAAATGTAAATCGTTCAAACAATGATTCAAATTCAAAAACTTGTCAGTAGTGGGAAAAAAAATCCAAAAGAAAAAGGTACTATTCCTCACCTGTAATGATCTAAATCCTCAAAATGTGAGGAAAACCGTGATTATTACGGCAATACTTTCTTCTTCACTTTTGATTGGAAAGTGTTGCTATAGTCACCAAAAACACAATTATCAAGAGGCAACCTTATTGTAAACGCATTATAATTACACCCCAAATGATGTTGAACCTCTGCCTTGGATAATACATGTTGAGGACACAGAGGAGAACGCACCGATTTATGTCCTGGTTGCTTGCATTTGGTACAACACGCATTGTCTTCCTCTGGGTCTTCATTCTCCTCTTTGATCTCAAGGTTCTGTTTGCGTTTTCTACCTTTCGAACCAACTATAGGTACATTAATGTATCTTATTATCGATAAATTTACCAACTTCAAAGCCACATGAGCTCCTTACCTTGATCTGCAGTTTCTGTCTTATACAATTCACATTTAAAGTATTGTTGGGTGTAATGATCCCCTTCACCGCAATCAATGCATGTTGCATCTAACAGTACACGATGATTAATCTATATGTATATATGATCAGGTGTATAGGCATTCAAAAGGCAAGTTACCATGAACAGCACTTGATTTTTTCTTTTCAAAAATTTGCTTTTTCTTTTCATAAATTATTGTTTTGAACATGGGTCATAGTATGTATCATAAAACGTGAAATAAAAGCGAAAGAGACAACATTTGAGTATAAGAAAGCAATATATTTTATAGTGCTTATCTTTGAAAGTCACCCATGAACGCACACAAAAACATTGACAACAGATAATATAACCAGTCCATTCCGCTATGGGGTCTGTTAAACTATGACCCTCAGCCCTCTATCAATGGTTTGATGTCAATCAACTCGAAGATGACCATTTTTGGAACTCTGTCTAAAAAAGGCATCGATGAGTATCTTGGTGGTCTTGGAACATATCGTCCTTTAATAAAAAAGTTGTCAAGCTTTTTATAGTTTCAGCGTATTGCAAGGTAATGTCAACTAGACCATTATTGGCGATCTCTTCAGAGACTCAATTCTAGGGTTCGATTGTATGTCATCCTTAATGCTGCTTGTATGTCACGAATAATTGAGTATCCAAATTGATATCTAAAATACTATGAGCTTTATTCAAAAAATTTTTAAAATTAAATATATATTGTCCATTTACGATTGTAAATGGTCTAAAATATAAGCTTAAATACTCTATTTTGTTAAGCTTGTGTGGATTTTTGATGCAACCAGGAGGAGTCTTGGCTCCAGAATAGACACCAAAAGAACAATAAAACTGCATTTACTTCTATTTGATACATTTTGCTATTATTTTTACTGATATCATTGTCGAAATAGTACATTGTATTCCAAAAAACAAAATGAGAGCATACATTTACGACACACAAGATCCTGCCGATCAAAGAGCACCTCATGACTTGGGAATTGCAAAGACACTTGACGATCTCAAAAAAATTGGTGTTCTATATTGGCAAATAGAAGATGGACCAAATGCTATTGAAAAAATTGATGAAATTGCTAAAGAACGAAATTACAAGAACCGCGACACTGTAAAGAAGTTTCTTGGGTACAGAAGGGTACACACATATCATACTAATAATGTTGCTTTTGTATCTTAGATTGTAGTGTCGCCTGATGCAATGGGGCCCATTTACGAAGAAAAAGTGAAATCTTTTTTTGCCGAGTAATTTTTTTTCCCTAATATGAACGTCCACTATTGACAGGACTCTGAAGAAACTGACAAACAAATGTATTGATTATTGTAGACATCTTCATGAGGATGAGGAAATCCGTTATATTCTAGATGGTTCAGGTTACTTTGACGTACGTGATGAACAAGATATTTGGATTCGTATTTATATGGAGAAAGGCGACATGATTATTTTAGTAAAGTTTGTGAATGTGTAAAAAGCCAGTGAAGGCTCAGCGGATCATATTAACAGTACCTTTTTACAAAAATAGCCACCAGGAATATACCATAGATTTACTACAGACGAGAAGAACTATATAAAAGCGATGCGACTGTTTAAAGAAGATCCATTGTGGACCCCTCTTAACCGTATGTATTTTATGACAAGTAAAAGCGTAGAGAAGACAATAAGTACGTATGCTTAACATTCTTTCTTACTCTCGTAGGCCCTGTTGCTGAAAATAACGAATATCGCGCGGAGTATGTAAGGAATTATAACATTACCACCGTAAACTAGTTGACTGTACAATAGGTATCATGTAATTGAAGCTGAAAAAGCCAACTACTAGCATTTGTACCCTTCAATAATAACAATACTTTATTGTTTAATGAGAAAACTTGGTAAACCATGCATCTTTACTGTTTTCGCGTATATGTAGAGAGTTAAAAGATGCCTTATCAATTCTTTGACTTCAATTTTATTTGGACATCTACAGTAATATAAATGCAGTTAGCGCTTTCTGTATTGTACTGAACATAAAATAGTTCCCAGCATAGCTTTTTCTTTTTTTTTTTGTTTTTTTCATTTACCATCATCTTGACAAACTCTTGGTAGTTAATTTGCCCGTCGCCGTCGACGTCAGCTTCGCGAATCATTTCATCAACTTCATCTTCACTTAATCGTTCTCCAAGGGAAGTCATGACATGGCGTAACTCGGCTGCCGAAATATAACCATTGCCGTCTTTATCGAAAACTTTGAAGGCCTCTTCGATTTCCTCTTGAGAATCAGTTTCCTTTAATTTTCTATATTAAGTTTGTCAGAAGTGTAAGCTTTAATGTACAGATTACATACAATTTTACCTAGCTAACATGGATAAGAATTCGCTAAAGTCGATAAGGCCGTTCTTGTCACTATCTACCTCGTTGATCTATTTAAACAAAAATGATCATAAAATGAAATATTCAATCAGTATGAAAATGGACTCTTCTACCATATGCAGTCATGCCAAATACTGTGATATTTTTTATTTTTATTTTTCGCACACATGCACAGGTGTTTTTTTCTTCCACTTTTGCGAATAACTAACGGTTCAAAACAAATAAAACTTATTTTATTTCTTACCATGTCTTGAAGTTCAGCTTCTGTGGGGTTCAAATTCAAGGAACGCATAACAGTTCCTAATTCCTTAGTTGTAATGGAACCATCTCCATCCTTATCGAAAAGACTATGTGTTAAGTTCAGCCAGTTTAAATAGTTAGAAATTGTATTCTGTTAGTATTGATTGCTTAAAAAAGTCATATACTTGAAAGCTTCACGGAATTCGTTGATTTGTTCTTCGGTCAGTTGATCAGCCTAATTCGGTTTGCATAAAGACAAGCGAATCACTGAGAAATAGTTATAGTATCAACAAGTAAATAACCAGCACTTTACCATGATTGAAAGCAAAATACTTTTATATAAGCAAAGTGTTTAGCAGAAAAAAGAGCGAAATAATGAAAAGAAAATATTTGTTTGTATTGTATACCAAAACGCGTGACTGAAAGCTGCCACCTCTGTCATAAACAAATCCACAAATTGACCGTAACACAAATTGAAGACATAGGCACATATTCTCCTTTAATGAAAACTATACACATGTACTAAAACAGAGAGCATGAAACTTATAGTAAAAATTCTATTCCAAAATAGGACTATCAATGACAGCGAAACCAGCTGCAACACCTCCTTCACGCGTAGTCGTTGCTTTTGTACGTAAAAGGTGTCCACCAGTATGATTTAGAATTTCTTCATCCCCATCTGCAAGATAAGCCCCATAGACACCTAATTCACTCACAACATCACCATGGATTGTCTCGCCCTCCCTGATCATAATATTATTCAATGGTGGAGATCGGATAATATCCATTAGAATATAGGCGCTTCTTTCTTCAGCAGTCAATTTCTGGAGGGTATCTAAAATATCTTGACCATAGACATTATGCCCACCTCCTTCTCGTTGCGGTTTCATCACATAACCTTCAGGGTCTGCCAAGGCCAATTCATATGCTCGGAGACCTTCAGGAGTTTGATCTAAGGGATATAGTCCTGCAAAAGTTGAGCGAATCTCATCTGCTAAATCAGAGTCATCCTCGCTGATATAGCGCTCTAAACGATTTGCTTCAGATAAAACTTGCTGCACCTTCTTTGATCCAATTAGTTGATAAGCAACAGTAGGGCATTTGATGGACAAGGAGCGTTCAATGAGCAATCGAGCATCCCAAGCCTTTTGATCAGGATAATCTTCGGGTCCGTAACCAGCACGGAAATATGTTACTGCCACTTCCTTTCCATCACTGTTAAAAAAAGGACCCGGTTAGATTCAGACGATATTGATACGAATAGCGTATACTTGAAGGTTCCTGATAATAGATAACCGACTTACATCAGTAATGCTTTACTATTAGGATCCAAGGTGGCTTTATTTGCTATGTCCTCGAATGAGTATCGTATCAATGGTATACCATAACTATGTGATTACGAATAAAAGAAGTAAGTTTCCTCATTGATCGCTGTTCGGTAAAAATTGATAAAATTTCTCAACCTACCTTTCAAACAATTGATACTCAATCCAACGTTGATCAAAAACGTTACGTTCATTTGGTTGAGTAATCATAACAACAACAGCATCATTCTTTCCATAATGTTTCCAAGCAGCGGCTAAACCTTCGACATATGTTTTTATGGACTTGTTCTCAGGCAATCGTTCCAAGTCCATGGGTTTCGTTCCTCCGTAATTTTTGATAGATGTGGCTAGTGATCTGTGTAAATCGGTAACCTTCTGACTCAAACTACAGAAACTGGCAGATACTGTATTGAATTCTACTTGTTTAATAACAGCTGTCTTAGCATCTGCACCAGGGTTAGCATGTAATAAATAGTCGTTGCGATGAATGCCTAAACTTGCTGTCTACGTGTAAAATATTCAAGATTGTATATTTTAGTACTGCCATGCCAACTTCAATTTGATTTAGTTACGTAGCATAATCAATACATATATGGCACGTACCTGAGCAATACCCTCTTCTCTCACTTTTAAATAAATTTGATACAAGCCGTTCACAAATGGATCTAAAGTAGATAAACTAAAATATCAACGCAAAGACAGCAAACTTGAACGTATCAGTGTCATATTTAAGGTAATAAATAAAATATCCTTTATGGAGTGGTAGGTGTACGCAAATGAGCCTTACGTTTGCATGGTTTCAGTAATAAGATCATGATCTTGACTCATACGATGGACGAGTGTATTCCATGGCTTTTGCAATTTGATAGCTTTCTCGTATTCATGGCGAGGAAAGCGGGTCGGATAAAGTGCAAAGGGAGCATGAACAACTGACGCATTCTTCTTTCTCATGGACGTTTTATCAGGAGCGGGTCGTACAATCAAACCATGAGAAAGAGCATAGTCTATGGCTGTGTTGACTAATACTTCTAATTCCTCAGCGGGTAGTTTGGGTGGGTAAGGTACGTCTTTGTCCATGTTTTAAAGAAACCGTGAAACAAAAAAAAAAAAAAAAAAAAAAAAAGAGAGAAGTCCAAAAATAAAGGATTTTTATGGAATCTTAGTCTTGCTGAATAATACAATTCTTTTAAACACAGAGTGACAATTCTGGCAATAATTTAAATGGGATTTCTGAGAGAGAAAAACGAAGAGATATTGTTACAGTGTTTTAGCTTCAACTTTACACTTTATACAAATTTTATTGGACAATATATATATTTAATTTAGATAATTTTAAATTATTTTAGGATTAAATGGTATAATATTCTTGGACGATTTATTGAATAAATAATTGTAGACATTATTTTGAAGGTCAGTGGACATTTTTCAATTGATAGTGGCATTACTTTAAAGTACTACGAGACGTAATGAGTATTTTAGTGTAAAACAGGTCTTATCAGCAATAGATACATGGTTGTGGTTTACGAGACTTTATTTATGGATCATATGAATTGATCTACGCGTTAAACTAATCCCAGACACGTTCTTCCGCCGCGTAGATAACGGTCGTTGTTGTCAATCCTAATAAAAAATAAGATGTTGTCAAACTAGCATTTACAGAAAATAAGTTTGACATCTTTCCTTTGATTTCCATCTTCTTCTTCTTATTCTTCTTTCATCTTTCTTTCCTCATCCTGATAGCTACTACTCAGCATGTACAAAGCCAAAATCTTGCAAAAAATCAAATCGGTGGCAGAAGCCCATAAGAATAAAGTCAAAGATGAGTCCTTCCGTAAGTAACACATGAGCGCGCTGCCACAAATAAGTTATAGTAGTAATCTTCAGATTATGTTTTGTATGACTAGTAAACATCGAGTGCAAGGATTGCAAAACACTCGGACATTTCAACAAGGCATACCATGAATGCAAGTTTTACAAAGCAGTTTCTGCGGCTGATGGTAAGTATCATGCTCTCACTGCAAGGCAAGTTTATGTTTGCTTAACGGAAATTTAGTTGGAAGTAGCGGTAAGAAACGTAAGCAATCAGCTACAATCAAGGAAGAAAAGAAGCAAGCAAAGAGAAAGAAGAAGCAAACAACTGGAGATATCAAGTGTATCAGTTGTGGCTTAAAGGGTCATTCTACTTCTCGTTCTCTCTAATACCCCAATCACATTGCTTCAAAGGAAGAAGTTATCACCTCGACGCTTGGAGAAGGCTCCACTGTATTCACGAGGAAGCTCCCTCTTACGTCTGCTGTAAAGCCAGCGTTTCGCGAACAATTCCAAGAAAAAGTCATCTCTTGCTGCTCTGACATAAGGAGAATAGTATTCTCTAGTCAATTATTCGTTAACTCGTACCTCATTCATTATCAGGAGAATAGAAGGAATGCTAACAAAGGCGACAAGAAAGACACTGATAAAAACAGCAACAAAGGCAGTAAAGAAGCCAACAAAGAAGACAGCAAGAAAGACAGTAAAGAAGCCAACAAAGACAGGTCTATTCCTGATGTATTCTGCCAGCAATTCTGGTATTCAGTAGGTCAGCTTATAACGGGCAAGCAAGTTACTCACAAAACGGCATTATCCGAGGACATAAAACAGTATTATACAGACTTCAAGGCAAAGTTCCCTACTATCGAAGTAAAACACAAGCTGACCGTGGGATATAGTCATTGCCTTACAGAGGCAGCAAAGGAATTGAGCGTCTCTTACACGAACTCCATTGTAGAGCGCTTCGAGCAGCGCTTAACAAAGTTCCTTACTTACAAGTTGAGAACTATGCTCCCGGTAAGGCTGTAACCGAGTACCTTCTTAATGCTCTGCTGTTTTATTCATTTTATTTCTCTTTATACACATTCTAGAATATCAAACGCACTGATGTACAAAGAATTGTACAGCTGTATTGTTACCAATCTGTCTGTCATGGTCATCCTCATTGGCCAGAAAACCTCGAGCTGGCGGCTGTTGACAAAAACCGAATTGAATTACTCTGCAAACAATTTGAAGAGTTCATTCCAGGAGAAGTAACCCTCGTTTTTCTTTCTGCTGCTCCTGCAAAGTTTGTTAATGCGTTATGGAACATACAGTTTACGTACGAGCAAGAACATATACAGCATAAACCGTACGATGTCCGTGTCCTACCACTTCCTCAGCGTTTCTTTCTCTTTCCTACTCCATCGCTGAAATGGCGTTTCATCGCGATAAGTTTAAATGCTCTTACACCCTTCATGTTTCCCGGAAAAGTTGCCAAGGGTTATACAGCCCAACTCGAACAATTCTGTAAAGTCTTCGACTTCAAAAAGTTTGGCTTTAAGAGGTAAAACTATAGAAGAACTTCTTCAGCAAAATTATGCCTAATAGTAAACACACCCCTATTTTTGCTTCTGTCATAGTCTAACCGCTTTGAAGGAAAGTTCTGATGTAATGTTTCGAAACATGGTTAGGTCGGACGGCTTTACTGTAGACTTTTTGTTCAGCCGCAAAAAGAAAACAAAAGAAGACATGACCATTCATAATCATACCTTGACTTTGGAAGATTTTTCTTATGACGAAGTACAAGACAATTACAGACCCGCTTTCCTTGATCCAGGGCGAAGATCTGTCTTCACAGCGGCAATCGGACTAGATCATAACAAACATCAAGTACGCAGCTGCTCTACCAAAGAATATTATCATATGACCGGAAGTACCAGATACGCTGCAAAGCTGGAAAAGAAGAAAGCAGGCACACTTAAAATGATCGAAAGTGGCATACCAACCGCCAAAACTTCTATCATTGAACAACTTGACCGTCATGTACAATATATGTTGCAGCACTTTGAAGCCTTGTTTTCTTTTTACGGCGAGAGAACTGCTGAAGACAGATTTCGTTTATACCAGGGTCAGGAGCGTGCTGCCAACAACATGGTCAATTTGCTTATTAATGGAACCACAAAGTACAATAAGCAATTGAGGTTGAAGAAGAAGAAAGATCGAAGCAAGTGGCCAAAGAAGATTATCGACAGAATGGCCTTTTGTAAACGTAAAAAGAAGAAGAAGAAGAAGCAAAAGGTTCCAGAAGAGAAGGAAGAAGCAGATGCGAGAGAAGTAAGCGATGTTCTCGCTAAGAAAGATAGGTAAGGTTTTTAAATGATAAGCAATTCATTCACTATTCGCAGAAATATTGATAGAACTCATGCTTTCTACAGTAATCCCCTGAAGAACAAGTGGAAGCCTGAACCCTTTAGTGCAGGCGACACTAAAAAGATCCCTTTGATTGTAGTTGGTGATGGCATGTTCGGGAAGAGTGCAGTGCCCATCAAAGGCCATAAGACTGGTGTCGTTGGTGTTCTGTGGCGTGCATTGAAGCGAAGAGAGGCTGCTGGTGATCTCCTTGCCGTTACAATTGATGAATACTTGACATCACGCATATGCAATTGTTGTCGCTCAGACACATTGAAAGCATTAGACACCGTGCGTGGCTGTAGTATCCTTGTTTGCAAAACCTGTAAGATACTATGGAACCGCGATGTCAATGCAGCAAAAAACATGATGGCCATCAGCATTTCGGTATGGAAGTCAACGGGAAGACCTGCGGAGTTTTCTAGAAAACCAAAATCACCCGCATCAACCACTTGAACACCATCCTCTAATCGCCAGCACGAAGCTGGTTTGATTTTTACAGGTAAGCATCTCAATTTTTGTGTAGTTCAATCTTGAAATTATAACTTGAAGGTCTCAAAAATTTACTTTTTTCGTCTAGTTATATTGCGGCTTCGTCTAAACCCAAAGCTAAAAAACTGTATAAGGTATTCTAGTAAGCTAGCCAGCTTGGCTCACATTTAACGATAAATTAGATGTATAAAGTAGCACCAGATCACATATGTTGAGCAAAACAAGCATATTTTTTGTCATTATAAGATTACAATCCTAGAAAATGCTACCATTTTCGCGGTAAGGTATTTTTTGAAATGAAGTGGGGGGGGGTGCAGGTTTACGCGTTGGTCAGTACTATACTTGCCTTGGAATACCTAGTTAATAATATATATACATTGAACAAAAATCTCTCAGTCACTGATGCGCGCTAAATATGTGTTGAAACTGTAATATACTAGCTTTGAATGTGTGGAATTCTTCGTATATAATATCTGCACTCAATGCGTTGTTTTCCGTTCGGTTTCAAATGTCTGTAGACCTGGTTGACGCATAGTATTGACAGCTTCCAGGTCAAAACTATGTCTTATTGTCCAAGCCTTGTTGGAAAATATATGTGTTATCTTTGTTTGTTCGTTTAATTTGAATGTGCTTTCGCGGTCGCGACCAAAATATGAAGAAGTAAGTTTAATAACTAATACTAGATAGGTTTATTTAAACATGGTATTGAGGTTTGCATAAGGTATGTTGGCTGCTAAAACTGAGTAAGCTACGTTATTTTATTCTCTTAAATGATTTTTCTCTGGTATGAGCCTACTTGCTTTTCAACGGTAATGTATCTTTTGCCTCCATTCAATTGAATCTTCAAGGCTATTACTAGAGCCGCCTCTCCTCTTGATTACCTTTTACCTTTGAGCTTTTTCTCTAGTATTTATAAACTTAAAGAAGAAACTACCTCTATGTTAGTGTGCATATATATTGTATGTTCACAAAACTAACGAACAGACGACAACCTCGATGACGGAATGATTGATTCTTACTATGTAGTGTCTTCAATTGCTCTTCATCTGCTACCGTATGGAGGGTTATTAACCGATGTAATTACTTCGTTGACAAAGCCTCAACATCTCTTTTCCAAGGTTCAATGTACATGGGTGGAAATACATTTGTACTTTTTGTTTGTTTATAAATATTACTTTGGATAGGAAGGTCAGTTGTCTATCAAAATGGAACAAAGTAAAGTTAAAGCAGTAAAAGTATCTGATATGTGTCTTGCTTTCTTTATGCCATGCTTGGTCTCGAGAAGGAGACGAATATTAGAGATGGCGTTTCACAAAAGATAAGCACGAAAAATACGCTGCAATAGTAGCGAAGGCTTTCTTTAATTACACAATGATAGTTAAACTCTGATATGCTTGAATAAAGCGCTGTAAAGTAAATCTGAGCAATGGTATGGTTGCATGAGGCTTCATCACCTGTGGCATTATAACAAATCGTTCCTCAGACATCTTCAGCAACTTATGGTCGAACAAGCAACCATAAACGTATCTCTTTAATTGAACATACACTGATGTTCAATCGATTAATGAGCAAGTACACAAATTAGATAAGTGTGAACTATTAGATAACGTAGCCTAACTAATTCAGTCTCCTCATCTTCTATTATGACGGTCTTGACCTTACGCATTTTTATCATCCCTGTTACGACCAAGTTTTCCACAAAAAAAAAAACCCTGAATGTTATCACATCGCTGGGTACACATAAAATTACTGATAGACTAAAAAAAGCATTATTAGGAATGCTACTCGTACTGGAGTGACAAAACAACTAGTTGCAGTACAGGAAATAGATAAGAATTTGTAATACACCAAAAGGCAAGAATTTGCTACATAGGTAGCTGATATGAAAGGATATTTTCCCAAGGTTTTTATTTTGTTTCGATTTCTTCCAAAGGCTTCTTTGCGGTGAAAATTTTCCAACGAGCCTCACAGTGATATTGTTCAAACTCTTCCAAGGCTTCCGCACAAACACGATCGTATTCTTCCGGAGATACGTGAATCTTTGTGCACCACCACTTTTTCATTGACTTGAATAACGCTTTCATTTGTTCTTTATACAGATAGCCATGTTGCTTCTCCACTACAAGTCATCCAAACAAAAAAAAAAAAAAGGTCAGTTCCCACCCTCTTACATATACATATATATACTTTTTTTTTTTTTTTTTTTTTTTACATAATGAAGATGGCCATTCACCAATAGGTATATCAAACACCATGGTTCGAACATCTGTAAAATTAGCCTCTCGTAAATATTCGGACAAATGATTAGAATATTCGGGGTTAACGCCTATGCTCTCTGCTGCTTCACGGTACCACTCATTGACTTGTGTCAATAGCGGTCCTGGGCTTCTAAATAATAAATCTTTCATTTTTGAAACAGTCAGTCTTTTAAAATTGGAAAGGTTATTCCGTTTTCATTGAACATAAATTCCTACGAACCATATTCTACTAATTGTATCTGGCCTCCAGGTTTCAAAATCCTGTAAAAGTCAGCAATGAGTCGTGGCCAAGAGTTGAATGGGAGTACTGTAGCCACATCCCTTTGATATACAAAATCAAAATAATCTTTGGCAAAAGGTAAGTTCTGCTGAAGGATATCGCCGTACTGATAGGTGACGTTTGTATCTTTCATGGCTGTTGCGGTAGCTATTGTGGTAGCTGTTGCGGTATTCATTGTGACGGTAGTTGATGATGTCTTTTTCTGTCCTGCAGAAGATGGATTGTTATAGCTGAAGCTCCCTGCTGCTGCTGCTGCTGATGCTGCTGGTGCTACGGCGGATGGGGCAAGGGATGGTAAATGCCAGCCACCTTTTTCTGAAGGGGGTACGACATCAATACCTATCACTTGGCATTGAGGATATGCTTGAGCCACTTCTAATGACCACAGACCTTTGTGCGGAAACGGTTTGAGTTCTGTGTGTACAGACAATGCAATCTCTATTCATATTCGTGGGATAACTGGAATTATTTTATACTTTACCTACCCCGCATGCACTCTCGAGTATTTTTTTAGGCTGATTCAACTCTACATGAATATTGCTACCAAATACTTGCTTTAACACATAATGCTATACGGAGATTTGAGTGTGTAAATAGGCGTGTGATATAGGAAAGCAATATCATTTTGCAGTGTAGATCATTTTACTTGTCTTGTCTGTCTATCTCTTTCCTTTTCGGCGCCGTACTCGTAAACCCAATGATCTTCCCTACTATCCGCCTTCTCCTCGATGGGATCGTTGCAATTACTATTGATGCTGTCTTGCGGTGGATATTTCTCGCTCTTCTGATGCGTGCGCTTTTCCTTTTGTTTGGGTGACATCCATGCAATTGGTTTATACGTATTGATGACCAATTCATTCAGACACAATTCAATATCTGCCTCTTCATCTGTCTCTTTATACTGGCCCTTCTGCATCGATGGAGGCGGCTTTTTCTTTTTGTTGCTCTGATGACTACTCGCTGTACTATAATTACTTTTATTGGAACCTCTTCGAGAATGTGGGGAGTGCTGTTGTCCAAGTCGGCTGCCCGTATTTGTTGTTGTAGTGACTGAATTCAAAGAGATTAATGGAGACTTCTGATCTGTCAACACCAACTGATGCTTGACAGGGCTAACCACAGTCTTGTTTTTGTTATTGATTTGATTATTGGTATATTTGTGGTAATAGGCTGCTGTATTCAGTGGTCGAACACGGCGTTGATTGTTATGACTATTATTCAGATTGTAGTTATCTTTACTTGGCTGATTTCCCATTACCGTAGTCGAGCTAATCGTATCGCTTGAGGTGCCAGTCAGCGTTGAGGAAATGAAAGAGAAAAAAAGAAAGAAAAAGAAGAAGAAGAAGAAGAAGGAGGAGGGTAGTCCTCGCTCACATTTCAAAGAATAGCACAGTAATACAAGTGAGTGCTAACTTTCAGCTTGGAAAAAGGGCACAGAAGAAAGCTAAAAAAGTACAAGATTCAAGCGGCGTTCATGAGGAAAGGGAAAGGGCTCAGTCTTAAAGCATGAATCACAATTTACGACTGTATTTTTTTTTTTTTTTTTAATGTAACAGTGTAAAATGCATTCAAATAAGGAATGCTTCAGTACAAGTGATGCAGTATGTACAATGTATTTTTTTTTTTAATCAAACCAACACCATCATGTAGTAATTCTTAAATAACCTTTCCTGCGTCTTTGTTTCAATAAAAAACAAAGATCAAGTCCATTTGTATTAAACAAACAAATTAATATATTTGTTGCTTCTTAATAAGACAAAGGATGGGAATCACTTTTTTACACGAAACAGAGTTTATAGCCTTGGGGTGTGTGTGAGCGCCAGCTTGACAGTTGAGGGATCAATCATATAAAAAGTCCCTGAAACGTAAATGATGGAGTGCTATTGGCTGAAGTAGTGCATAACATTATCTCCGACTTTCTTGAATCAGCTTTAATGCTTTTTACCCAATAAAAATCGGTCCTTCAGGGGCATGCTTTCGAGCAGTATCCGTGAAAAAAAAAATTGGTGTTGCTTTTTGTTCAATATGGAACATGTTCAATAGGGGCACGCCCATCGAACGCTTTCTTTTTTTTCATGTTCAAAACGTACCTTTTCAATTAAAGAGTATTGACTCTTAATCGGCGATAAAATAGTGTAGTTGTTGCGTCGTACTGTGCTACAAAGTATTTATTCCCTACCACAAATACAGAGCGAAAAAGTTTTTCCTTCATGTTGGCAAGAAGCAGCAGCAGCAGCAGGAAGTAAGCGCTTGTTTCTTCTCTTTTCCATTGAGTACCTAAACTGACTTTTACTGTTTGGTTTTTATCGACCGAAAACAACTCCTCCATAATCTCAGTTTCTTACATCGACGGCTTCTTATCAATACTACGACTAGTAGAAGTAGTGCAAGCTTTATTCAACCGTCCGCTCTTTCGCTCCAATCTAGTAAAATGCACATCCCATTGCACTTTGTAAAAGGTGCCATTATGACCACTCTCATTTTGATCGATTTTGATGAAACCATGACAATTGAAGATACGATTGCGCCGTTAGGATCTTTTGCTGTCAACGCTACGAACAACTCTCATCCTTGGTCCTGGTATTCAGATGAATATATGAAGGACTATTATGCACACCAAGCAACTCTCACCAACCAACCCAAAAATTTTGGCGATTTTGTTAAGCAGCTGGATAGTTATCATGATGTGGAACAAGCCTCTTTAGACCGGGTTGGAACAAACCATGTCTTCAAGGGTCTCTCACATAAAGACCTGTATGAAGCGGGCGTTCAATATGCTTCAAAAAAAAAGATCGTTCAGCCTTATCTGTTCGAAGCCCTCGAACCTTACTTGCCTCAGATGCGCATCATCTCTTTGAATTGGTCAAAGGATTGGTTATTGGGCATATTGAAAGGTTTAGATGTTCAGAAGAAGGATATCTATAGTAATGATTTGGTGTTTAAAAAGAAGAGACACAATAAAAAGTCACATCATGGCTGTAAAGAAGAAGACAAGGAGGACGAGGAAGTGGCAACAGGTATTATCACACCCGAAATCTTGACGACGGGTGATAAGCAACATATCATCAAAAAGATAAAGCACAATAAAAGAGTCATTTATATTGGTGATTCCACAGGGGATATTGAAGCATTAGGTAAGAAAAAAACGCCACTGTCGTTGAGGAGCATGTGTTTTCGCATCACTTTCAAAGCTGTACTAACACTGAGTTTCTTTACTGGTTTGACTTTAGTCGAAGCTGACATTGGTATTGTCATTGGTAACAATACCTCCCTACTCAAGCAATTGCAGCGATTCCATTATTCCCTCGAGGAAGATATAACGAAACCCAGCTCTTTATACCGTGTTGACAATTGGAAGCAAATCAAGACGATTCTTGATAACAATATTCAATAGAAGCCAAATACGACCATCTGTGCAACTCCCCCCAACATGGATTTTTTATAATCTTATATAACTTTTTATACTTGACCCTGTAGACACCTCCCTGTTTTTTAACAATAGAATGTATCAATAAAAAAAAAAAAATAACAATCTGCAAATAGCTATCGTCCTTTTGATGTAGCGGTTTCGTATTTTTATTTGCTGCTTTTACCCGCATTAAGAGTGGAAAGAATAAGAATCCTTCAGACTGTGGTGTTGAGCAACATTCAAATAAAAAAAAAATGTTGTTTATGTGATATTTTCAAATATACATTTTGTGAAAAAAACTCTAATGACGACGAGAAGCGGCAATAACACCTTGAAGTTCTTCGATCTTCTTCTTAGCACGGAGGAAAGAACCGAGCTACAGAATGAAAGAAAGATGTGGATCAGTTTTAGTCCCTGGTTGTAGTGGACAAGTACAATTCATCTTTATTTAATTTACCTTCTTCTTGCAGAGCTTTCTAGCACGCTTATCCTTGGAGTTCTTGATCAATTCCATAAGACGACGTTCATAAGGAGCATAACCGGAAACTTCACGGATGACGCTCTTAACAAAGACAGTACGCTTGGAAGCGGCCTATTCGTTTATAAAAAGACGAGAAAAAAAAGAAATTTGAAAGTTAACAACGAATTCAGAAACACCTCAGTCATTTGAACGTGGACGGATGAATAGTGGGATTGACAAAATATTGCGCTCATTGTCTATCGTCAAAATCTTTCTAAATGATTTCCGTTATTGATCGTGGAGATGTTGAGGGCTTAATATAAGAATCGTGTTGCTGACTATCACTCGTCCAAAAGGGCATCTTTTTGATTATTTTTAATTTTAGCTGTGCAAATACAATGGTCGACATTAAGATTTAATTTTTTTTTCGCGCAACTTGTGCATTTTTTCATCCTTTCTATTCATCCATCCTGCTCTTTGTTATGCATCCATTGAATACATACACCAATCTTGTTGGAAGGCTTGGCCTTGAGTTCACGACGAGTAGTGATATGACCCTTGTTAATGCCAACGGCGATTCCTGAAGCAGCCATTTTTCGCTATGAAGTTAGAAAGGGAGAAGGGAAACGGAAAAGTTAGGCTGGAGAACAGTAATCCTTTTCGGGTGGGGCTCGGCCTACAAACCACCCAGCTCATCCACAATGAAAACAATTTCCCGCCGGCCCAGCGCGCATAGTACCCTTTATTGAACGAGAAACGATAGGTTCGAGGAAAATTAAAAAGCCGCAATTTTTATATCTTTATTAAACATATGAAAACATTAAAAAAATAGGATGAAGAGGGGGGTATCAAAAGCTTAATATATAAATAGGTGGGTGATGAAATTATTCGGAATGAATGTTATCATCCGTAGTAACAGTATTAATATGAGTAGGTTGATCGGTGGAATGTTTTTTACAGGATAAATAGTGTCGATTCATATCATGTTTACGTGCAAAAGGTCTTTGACATAATTTACAAAGGTGAGGTTTAGGACGATTTGGGTTATGTATTTGAATATGCTCTTTCATGTTATTTGCTCGATTACTGGTGTGCTGACAAAATGGGCATCGATGAATTCTGCCCAACTTCTTTCGACCTTTCTTTGACACTATTGATTTAGCAATCTTTGTTGTTTTTCTTGCTTGTAGTGACGATGGTGACTGCGTCCTCTTCGAAACAGGTTGTTCTGCCTTTGCAACAGAAGCGCTGCTTTGACTGGTAGGGCTATTCTCGATGTGTTCATCGTCTTTGTTATTTTGCGTAGTATGGCTGCTGGCAGCATGAGTAATGGGTGTGGTAGTCATCATGGTATTGGTTCGTTCTGGGGTATTCTCTTTCTTATGGGAAGCCGTGGTATTGTGATTGTCGAATGATTCATGGATAAAATGTAGCTCTTCGATTTGTTTGTTGTCTGTGAATGAAGGCGTCACTGTCGTTGTTGCTGTGCTGATGCTGTTGATTTTGTCTGTGTCCAAGAATTGCGAAATTGTAACAGAATCATTGACAGCAGCAAAGGAGGCTTGCTGTTGCTGTTGCTGTTGTCCTTGGTCTGATTGAGAAACAAAAGAAGCCATGTCTAAAAATGCTGCGGCAGCATTAAAGTCAGCAGGAGGAAAAAGATACTTTGTTTCAATAGGAGAGCCAGGACCACTTGTAAAGTACAGTCCTGTATCTGCCAAAGGTGAGGCTGAATTACTGACAGTAGCGTGGTTGGCGGCGGCATCGCCGACACCATGATAAGGAGATGTGTTTTGTTGAGGGCTGGCGCCAAGAACGCCAGGTGGAAGAAAAAAGTAATTGTTGTTACTATCTATGGGTTGGTGTGCGGTCGAAGCTGGACTATTTACTACTGATAAATAATGGTGGTTGGTGTTTGTGTCGTTCAAATTGTAATTAGGGCTACTTAAAGGAGAGACAACAGGACTTCCCAAGGGCAAGTAACTGGGGCTGTTACTGCCGCTTAAAAAGCCTAGTAAAGGACTAGCATTACTTCCAAGAACATTGGCATTATTATCGTTGACGTGTAATTGCGAGGCTGGGCTTCCAACAGATAGATATTGACTTGGTTGGCTGTACGCAGAATTGAAACTGCCCACCATCAGGGGCTGAGCAAAGTCATTTTCTGCCAAGAAAAATTGATCTGTTACTTGCGAGTTTGGCGAGGCAAGTAATTGAGGACTGTAATAAGAACCATTAGGTGAGGCAACAGCTAATGCATCAAATTGAAGAGCTAGATCATCCTTGGCACTGTTTGTAGGATTCAGTAAATCCAAACCGTACTGTTGTGGAGGAGTTACTAAAAAGCCTATGTTAGAGAGAGAGAGCAATGATTAATTTTTTTTGATGCCTATTTATTTTTATACATGTGAACAAAATTGCATACCATCATTTGGAACACTAAGCTGCTGATGTGGCTGTTGTGGCTGATCAGAATTTAAACTACTGCTTAATGGGTAAGTTGATGATGGGGCGGCAGGCACTTTAACCGAAGCGTGTGCGTTATGCTTGGGCAAAGTTGATTGATTCAGTTCAGTTTCTGTGCCAGTTTCTTCAGATGCTAGAGTAAGTTGAAGTGTAACGGGTTCAGGATGAAATGACTTCTCTTGCTGCTGCTTTGCTACATTAGCATTGTTGACACTGCTTTGAGATGCTTTATTGTTTAAAAATGAAGGTGTAACTGTAGCTATATGATCTTGTATTGCGTTGAAAAATCTGACAGGAGATGTATTGAGTAATGCGTGTGCCATGCTATTATGAAAGATTGATCAAGAAGTACGCCTTTCCTTGTCGAGTGTTAGCAGAGAGAAAGATCCAAAATGTTGAGAAAGAAGTAAGATAGAAAAGAACAAAGTTTCTCTCGATATTTATCTTTTTTTTTTTTTTTTTTTTTTTTAATCTTTTCTTGGAATTTGCCTGTTTTGGAACCGAAATGTAATCATAGAAATCTCTAAAAAATCTATTAAAAATATGGGCTTATAATTTCACACACAACGCAAACAACGGGTACTTCTCTTTTTCCTCTCCTAACAAAAGACAGGCGGCGCATGTAGATGACCAGTCTTTCCTTTTAAGGATATTTGCCTAGAAAGCAGCCCTTCCGTTACAATTTTTTACTAGCAATCTCCGCTTATAAATCAACCATGGAAATGAGTAATTGCTTCCAAAATGTGTTCGCAAACAAGATAATCAGATAGGAGCAAAGATATCTTTCTCTGTAGAAAATCGCAGTATCTCAAAAAGGCTATTAACAAACTTTTACATGTCTTAATGGCACGGACCGAAGCATAGCAATTTTTAAAATGCTTCAGAAGCTAATTTCCGTTTTGGGGCACTTTCGAAAAAGGCGGGTAGTGTAAAGATGTTTTGCGGAATAAAGTAATCCCTTCCATTTAAACGCATCAGTCGTCCAAAAGAATCTCTGGAGAAGCATAAGCATATTTAGTGCAGATTTTGTGGTACATAAAGGCAAAAAGAACGCAATTCTTCTAAATAGAAAAAGCATGCTTCCCGTACTACCAGTGCATTCAAAAATGACGAAGCAAACCCTTTTGTTGGTACTTTGTCTGATTAGTACTATAGCACAAGAGCGCCCCAATGCTAGTTTTTCTTTAACGAAACAGCTTCCATAATGACAAACGATATTGGAAAGTAAATAGTAGCATTGTTAACAGCTGCTATCTGTGAACGCCCTGCTTTGTTCTAAGTGACTGTAGTTCTTAGATCAGTTCGAGTCATTTTGTTTTTATCTTGTCTTTTCTTCCACGTGGAACCGCGCCAAGCCAAAAAAGATTTAAAGACATTTACACAAAAAAAAAAACCAGTTTTTGATCGGGAAAAGGAAATTTCCAGCCACAAACAAAATAGTCTGGGGTTAAAAAATAAGAAGGTTCAATTCTTATATGTATAACCTTTCCCTCTTCTTTTTAGGTTTCATATTGAAGAACTAAAACAATCAGTCCTGGCAAATCAGAAGATGCCATTTGTTTCAACCATTTTTCCAGCCTCCTTGCCCAACTGATGCTTAAATATCCCCTCATCATATCATCACAGATCCCGTACTCGCCGCGCAGGTTACTAAAAATGGTTAGAATGGCTTGATGTGGCTAGTGTAACTGGCTTTTTTAGGAATCCTTGGAAAATTCTATAGATTCCTTCTGTTAGATCGAGCTTTCGTAACAATTTTTACCCTTTCATTTTATTTTTAACAATGACACAAATTTCTCCAGTCAATACTCTATTTGCTGCTTTTCAAGATGAATAAGCAGCTCACATATTTCCTTTCTGACGTGGCAATGTGTAATCGAATCGCTCTTCCAGAATCAAAGTGTTATAAAAAGTTACATGCTGCACTGTGATCAACCAACTTGGAGATACAAGACAGTCAAGGATGCCTCATTATTGCGAGAAGACTGCTGACTTGCCATACCAATCACCTGTAACAACCCCACAATTTTTTTTTACACGTGACATCTTCACGGCTCAGTGTAGCGCATCATAGGGCATAGAGTAGATTTGTTAAATCCGTGAATTTCATCAACCAAACATTGGCATATATTTTTTATTTATAGCCAGCTAATCATAGTTTACTACAATTGCTACAGACTTGTGCTTGATGTGTGTAGTTCGACCTTTCTGCTGTATTAAATTATGAAAAGCGGCTGATCTTGCACGTCTAAATGGAGAAAAAAAAAAAAAAAAAGAAGAACATGGTATATTTAGCTAGTACTGGTCAGAAAGAGATTACTGTTACAATGTCCCCTTGAGTTCTTGTGAGCGCAAGGAGACATAATCAGCCTTACTTTCTTTACCATATAAATGCTCAAGGGTCTAAATTTGCGTATACCATGTTGTCCTCACCTAAATGTTGGCGTTGCTTTTATTGATCAAGCTGTCAACGAAAACTATAATAGGTGTTTTGTCTTTATCAACACCGCTCTCAGATTTGCCTCTGTTCCCTTTCCTTTACAATATCAGCCCGTTTTTTAGATTGTAACGCGATTGCAATTCGCCCATTATAGTGGTTAGGAAACAAGTCGACAATATTTCCATGATCTTCGAATCTAGAGAACTTGCGCCTTTACGAAATTGATACCAATTAACATTTTCAATGATCTTTACTCTATAATCTATACTGCTACTTTGTACCCAAAAAGTGTAATATCCAGCTATTGAGATGTCGTGGAACCTGATGTTCATTTCAATATGTTACAGAACGTATCAATCCTTCCAAGATCTACTAGGAAACATCGAACGTAATTTTGTTGCCTCATCGTCAGAGATTTGATATAAACCAGCATTACTTCATTTGATCGCTCTTTACTCTTGCAGGTTGACTGATTAGTGTGTATAGATAAGAGCCTATCACGCCACGACTGCCCGCAGATGCTTCCTTACTTTTTCCATAAAGCGACATTTATCACAGCATTCAGATGCCTTACAGTGACATGAGATTGATGATTCATTAAAGTTTCAGGAGGTTGTTCGACAATGATATCCTCTGATTTAAACTTCGAATTAAGTCGATGAAGCATCTAACACTGTATTAATTGCATTATATATCCACGGGATAACTTTATATCACTGGCATCACAGCGGTTACTATTTGTTGACATTATCCCAACAAAATGCATAATTGTCTCCAAATTAAGTGCGATTTATTCTAGATTTGCTTCTCCCTGCGCAAACTGAAAGTTACCAGTAAGAGTATTTAATGACCGCTCCTTTTTTTTTGAAGCGTTCAATGGGCACCTCCCACAGGTCCTTTTATTCTAAACTATACCAACCAAGCAATGTCACAGATCTTACCACTTGACAAGAAGCAACTACGTGCATGTTTACTATGCTCACTTATAAAGGTAATAAGCAGTAGACATCACTGCTGACGATCTTTTGTTTTTGTATTTTTCTTTGTTCAAGATCGTTCTTATTGATTGAAATTTCTTGTTTGGAAATGGATCTCTTTAGAATGCTTCACAATTCCGAGCCAATGGATGTGAAAACTGTGACGACATTTTACAAATGAGAGGTAGCATGGATCGTGTCTTAGAATGTACTAGCCCAAAGTTTGAAGGTTGCATTACGTCCATGCAGCCCGAACACAGTTGGGTAGCTAAATGGCAGCGTATCAACAAGTTTCACGAGGGTATCTATGCCATTGTTGTTTACGGAAGGATACCAGATGATGTGGAAGATGAATTGGACCGACGTGGAATAACTTTCAAACCAAGAGACGGCAGTGTGAAAGAATAAGTCGTTAGATGAAAAGACTTACCTCTCAATCTCAACTTCTCCTTCTATCACACCCTTTCCAATTTTTATTGCTCTATATTATAGATGAACTTCAGCATACAATTTCAGTTGTTTTTAGTACCTATGTCGCCCCCCACCTCCATCTCCCTTCCCCTTCCCCTCAAAACTAACTGATTGCCTCACTTTCGAACATTTATCATTTTTACTTTTGTCATTCAAGTGTTTTATAGACAAAATGGATCGAAGTAAAACTCTTATTTTATTCATGTTTCAGGCCAAAACTTTTCTATATAACTGTAAATAGCGTATTGTTTACCCAACGTATGTTTGAATGAGTAAGAAGATGAAAAAAATAAAGCAAATAAATAAGTAAACAGTAAGAAAAAAAAAAAAAAAAGAAAGAAACGAATGCATGGTCAATCTGTCTAAATGTAGCATTAATTGATGTCTTTAATTTTTGCATAAAAGACATACTGATGTTGCTGTAAGTGTGGTGTTTTTGTGTTTACTGTAGCTGTTGGTTTATTGCCAATGATTCTGTTGTGTAACAATATCATTTTCAACACGATGGGGTTCCTTAGTGTCATGAGCAGATGGGGAGGTACTCGTAGAAGCCACGGTATCTGGATAGCGGTAAAGACGGAATTCTTGATTGACGGGGCATTGTGGATGACCATGGTCCAAGCTGCTACTACGGCTACTACTACTGTGGCTGTGACTCATACTGTTGCTACTGCTAACATGGCTATCGGAAGCCTCCCCATCCATTGTCATTCCTCCTTTTTCTCTTCTTCTTTCATGTACCTTTTTATGCTGAGTCAAGTTATCTGATCGACTGAACGCCTTTGAGCAGCCGGGATAATGGCATTTGAATGGCTGCTCATGCGTATGGATGCGCATATGTCTTTTCAGGTGTTCTAGACGTCTGAACATTTTACCACAGTTGAGGTGAGCACAAGCATGAGGCTTTTTCTGCGCATCCTCTTCTTTTGGCGTTAGTCTCATGGCATCCGTGTCCGGGGCAGCATTACTAGCGATATATCCACGTGGATGATACGTAGTGTGGTAAAAAAATGCCTTTGTTGAATCTTTTACTTTGATGATAGTAGTCGCTTTATCTGGAACACTACTATCGCTCCTGTTTCTTTCGGAGGGTGTTTGTCCGATCTCTGTCAATTGTTGTCGCTTGATCGCTTTTCGTTCGTGGGTGCGATAATGAGCGTGGAAATTATCCGATCGACTAAATCGTTTACCGCAGCCAGGGTATGTGCAAACATGAGGTCTTTCGCCTGTATGGACCAACATATGCCTTTTTAAATGTTCAAACCTTTTAAAGCTCCATGTACAATCGCGGAATGCACACATGTGCTTGTTATTCCCAGCATGATTCGTACGGGTGCCCTTTGATGTCGCCATGGTCATCTTGTTATAATGCTGCTGTTGCTGTTTTTTGCCCTTCGTGTTCAGAGAAGCCGTCGACCGGCCATTATGATTACTGTTAAAAGAAATGGTCATCGCTACTGTCGGCGTAGTCGGTGATACGTCATCAAAAGTAGCACTAGAGGTTATAGACGGATTCGTAGCGCCTGTGATAGTAGTTGTAGTCATGATGGTCTGATGGTTATATTCAGTTTTCACAGGTGTTGAATTTAATGCTTGTTGTTGAGTGGATGTTTTGTCCAATGGCTGACCTGCTACTGCCGTTGCTGGCAGAATTCTTTGGTGATATTGATGTTGAGGGTGAATTATATGTAGTCTGTGATGCTGCTGATAATACGGTGAATGAGAGTGAGGTTGTAGACCTAAATGTTGTTGTGATTGTTGCGAAGGATAATGATAACCAGCAGTAACAGAATTTGCTTGAGGCTGCTGCTGTTGTTGTTGTTGTTGTTGTTGTTGTTGCTGCTGCTGCATCCACAGCTGGTAATGTTGCTGAAAGCTGTAAGCATGCTGCTGTTGCTGTTGCTGTTGCTGTTGCTGATGATGGTTGGCTAGTGGATACATCGATACCGAGGGCTGTTGCTGCTCACTATCTCGATTGGTGGTGTTACCAGTATATGTCTGATGGTAATGGTTAGCTGTATTACTGGCTGTATTGGCCATGTCAAATGAACGTATCCTTTTGTCCAAAGGATGTTGTTGTTGAGCAAGAGCAGGTGTTAATGGTGGCGATAAAACAGTGGCCTTGTTGCTGCTACTTTCGGGAGTAGTATTTTCTGTTCGTGGATGTGGTTGATCCATACAATAAGTGGCTGAGCTAGTGTTAATAGCACTGGAGGACATGATAAACATGTATATGTATATCTATTTGAATTAGTTGTTGAAATAAAACTTGAAAATAGATGGAAAAAAGAAATATGATTGTAGTATTAAAGTACGCTATGTAGAACCTTAAGGAATGAATGCAATCGTTTAATATGTAAGAAAAAAAAAAAAAAAAGAAAAAGAAAAACCAACTTGAAGATTTCCTTATTTTTTTCTTTGAAAAAAAAATGAAAGCTCTTGTCATGCATTTGAATCTTCTTTTTCTTTTTTCATGTATGTAAGATTACAATCTATTTTACATAGCTACTGATCTACGGATTGTGGGTCTAAGTCATTTCCAAAATTGGTTAAATTTATTTTAGATACCCAGCAGCAACTTTACATGTATGCATATTGGGATGAATTCTAAACAATCTGGAACACAGATAACAAACATTGGAGTCAAGCATGGATTAGTACTATATACGTCCTGACTTATTATTTGCAGGCCCAGTTTACAATGTATCTCTGTAGACGATGTAAGGAATTTGGATGATGTTTGTAATTAGTTATAAGTTGTAAGTAATGTTCTTCATGTAAGAGAAAAGATTAAGGTTTGCTTGTGCAGACGGCTCTTTGAAGTATAGAGTTGGAGGTAAAATTGACTCCTTCTTTAAACTAATGATAAAGAATGCTTATGCCATCAGCGAAAGGCAAATCTGTACGAAATGAATGCTTTTAGCATCTTCTTTATGGACCCCAAAACTGAGAAAGTGGATATAAAGTTTTCTATAAAGCCGAAGAATTGTTAAGTAAGTGTAATATAAATTTGTAAAAACAACAGTACTCATGCATTCTCAAAAATCTTTAGAGCAAAATATCGACTGCTTAGAAAACCATAGGTCTAGTTTCTATTTCAAATTGAAGGCGTCTCAAAGCTATGCAGAACATGATGAATGGATATTTATTGCATTTTTTTAATACTAATTTGAATGACAGAAGGCAGGTCCAATACGCAAGATGTATGAGCTGTTTTCAAAGCGAAACGAAGAATTGCTGGTCTTTATGGATCTTCTTTCTTCGATCCTCTCCTCCTTTATCGAAATCTTGCTTTTTTCTTTTGTCTCCTGACGATCAAAAATAAGTTGAATTTCAGTTGAATCCGATTCTACTGTTTTTTTCGCTTGACTTTCGCACGAAATGGCTATTAAATTGAGATTATCTTACAATTAAATTCAGACTAATTTAAAAAATTATTTAGATAAAATGTATAGTTTTTCAGATCATACCTTTTCTGTCCAAATGCTCAATGCCAAATTCGACGGAACTGTATCCAAACGTATACAAGTTAAAAACGTAATGAAAAACCTCAACCTGTTCTCTGTAGGTGTTTCCAGGATACTTTTGGCTCGTTATAATAGACAGCGTTTTGTGGTTGATATGGATATGGCGCCATTTCAAAGAGGGCATTGGAAACAAAGAGAAAAGTCCTGGCTTTTTTTTGCTCGTCTGTAGTAGCTTCGGAAATAGACAACACCTTCTGCAGCATCAAGCCTAACGCTGGTAGGAACATAGACCCGTTGGCAGTAAGATTTTCTATGTTCGGGATCGCGGGCAGTACGTCTTCAACAGCTTTGCATATGGCATTAGCCTCCTCTAACCGCTCCAAACCGGCCACCCCGTTTGGCCATTCGTAGTCCCCCTTCATTATCTTTTTGAAGCAGTATTCGTTGACGATTCTGTCGATTTCTCTTTTCTTATGCTCCTAGAACATAAAATAAACAGAACTTCGTGAGACACTCTGCTACTACAGTTGTTATGGATGCGATCATGACTTACAGGGAACAGATGCTTCAAACATGTTCGAGCGTAGTGCTTGAGCCTATTTTCAAAATTCTCTAGTATAAAGTTTGAATAAGTAGTGGCCAGTGTCACGCAGGCCGCTGCCAGCGAATCGCTGTATCCTTTCATGGGATGTGTCTTCAGACTGTAAACGATTGTAGGAAATTTGCTTTTAAAGTCATCAAAGGCAAGCGTGACCGACATGTCCATGTATTGTCGATTTCTGACCCGCTTCCCTAATATAAGCTTGCAGATGCTGTACCAGAAGTTCTGCTCATAAAGGTATGGGTGACCAGTCGTTGTTTCGTAGTTATCAGTAATGTAGTAGTTCACAAATAGTTGGGCTCTATACACCACTTGACGGGTAAATTCTGCTAATTTGATGATGTTTTCTGTAGCGACTTGAGCAAACGCTGGTCTCATCAGTGTGGTTAGAAGCAGCTTCCTGCTGTAGACTTCATGACTCGAACAGCTGGCGGAGCAAGACATCCTTTGGAGGCTTGTAGTTCAAGCATAGTGGTGAAGATGATCTACTATGGCCTGCTTTACCGCAAGAGGAACAAACAACGTCTTGTTACTGCTCGTTTCTTGCTGCCTTCCAGCTTCTTCTTTTTTCCTCTAGCCTTTGCAGCCTTAGTCTCGTAATCATCCTTCGCTCCTGCTTTTCTTTTTTTGGCTTTAAAACGGGTAGGGTAAGAGATCTGTTTACCTTTCATTCAGAAAGTGATAACACGGCTTTCATGCATCGTAAAGCTGGCATTTGTAACTTTTTTTTGTTGATATGACCAACTTCTCCACAGTCCTTACAAATTCCTACATTCGTAAGGAGTATTGAATTGTAAAACTCTGTAACTGAACTAGTTACAGACGATCACACTATGACTGTTTGAGAGAAAAGGCAGCCTGTTTTGAACCAGATACGGAGTAGTACGACACAGCCTGTGCTTATATCAATCGAATAGTACGTTATCGTTCAGAAGCTTATGAATAAGAAGTTTCCTGACAATGTATGGTCTCCAACATTTAAAGAATTTATAATGGTAGAAAAACAGATAGAAACGGATACCATGACCATACCTCACTTATTAAATATGCCATCAACAAAAGCAGATATAGGCCGCTTTTTCATCCATCTTATTTACCAGTTGTTGATCCTAGAAGTAAGCGCTTGGCTAAGGATAAAAATAACACCAAAGGCACACCATTAGACAGCAATAAGCTCTTACACCACGTATTGTGCAAGCCTGCAAAACGTTTATTCCTGAGGATTGTAGGGTTTAGATCAGGCATGCTGAAGGGAAAGATACGTACAGAAAGAAGAGGGCCTAAGATAGTTTATTGAAAGTTTTTTTTTTTTTTTTTTTTTTTTTGTAGATTATTTTATTCAAAAATAAATAAATTCGTCAAACATCTCTGAGGGATGGGGCATGGAGAAGAAAAAGACACTTTCTGTGGTGGGTAATTAATCTAAGGCAGCCGCTTCCAGCAAGAGCTGTGAAGAAGACAGGCTCAATGAATTAACATTGTGAACTTTACTAAGGATGGATTGGCGGAGGGTGTCAAACGGAATGGCATACAATATCATTCGAAAAAATGATGTCCATATTTCCCAATGGATATTAAAGCAGACGGTGAAAAATCGAGACTGTTCAGACGAAGGTAGGGATGGGTGGTGGATATACTGAAAGTGTCCGAATTTTGGAAATAAGTTATCGAAAAATAATTACTTGGATTGTCTGAATTAGATTATTGAAAAAATCCAAGTTTGATAGAAGAACGTCTAAATCAAAACCGAAAATACTGTAGTTATCCTTTTGACCTCCTTGAAAGCTGTTATAGCGGCTATCCCACCTTGATTGTTGATTGCAAGAACAAATACTTACTAAATTGATCGCACAATTCCTTGAAATGCAAGTCAATGAATTAAAACGAAATATGCGATTAGAGTCGCTGTGCATTGACGTGGTATTTTCTTAATGAAATGTAAGGCATCTATCTAATTTTAAAGCCGCCCATTTTGTAAAAATTTACGGGTTTAGTATAGAAATACCGTTATAAAGAGATTTAAGGCACATCTTCAGAGTAGAGAAAGAGAAATGTTGACACCATGAAGCATGTGCATAAAGGAATATCTAAAGAAACTGGACCGATTGTAGCAAGAGAATTTATATACCATTTTCATTAGAAAGGAATGTATAACATTCATAGACTAGTCAAAGCTTTCACTTGATAATATGGCTATATTCATCAAAAATGGCCAAGTGGTGCTAACTTGCAACTTTCGTATCTCGGTTTTCCTGAATGGATCTATACGCGACAAACCAATAGACAATCTTGTCCTTCTCATCCAATAGAAAACATTCATCAAGTAGGAAGAAGCACAACTCGACAATGTATCTCAAAATCAAATTAAATGATTCAACTTTTTTCGTGTGTGTATGTGATTGGATTGAGTTTTTCTGTCAGGTTTTTGTTTCTCTGTTGTTGCTGTTGGTCATCTTTCCACCTATATATTCAAACAAAAGCAAAGAGACACAAAATAGCTAAATGTATATAAAGCGGCAGCCTCCAGGAAATGTCAACTGTAGCCCTCATACGAAAAGAGAGCCATTCCGTAACTTTCTTCTAAAAATTGGTCGACAGACAATCAATCTTATCCAACAAACTAGCAAGCAATTTTGATCATTATCAAAGCTGATTGTACATCGCATACTCTTAACTTTAATATTTGCATCAATTGTAACGTCAGACTTATATGCCTTAAGATGAAAGTAACCAGAAAAGAGCCCCACAGGAAAAAGAAACACAATCCATCTACTGCCAGAAGATACTAGCTCTCTCTATTGTACTCAAATGGTGATTGGTGTATGGACCTTAACGTCTTATATTTACCCACTTTATCGTTGAAACGATTTCCGAAGGATATGTTTCTCCAGAGCAATGTCCTTCATTTCGTAAGCCTACGAAAACCAAAAGCATTGCTTACAGTTTCTTTTTCTTATTTATATGGATATAGAAGAGCTTAAAAACTTCTGAAATTCAATGTTGAGTCGCGAAAAGCACTATTGCAAAGATTATTTCATTATGCCCTCTAATTAAGTCAACATTCTCTGCGTTTTTTAATACTCTTGTCAATGGGGCCTTTTTCGGCTCTACAGACTATAGGAGAAGCAGCAACCCATTGCGTAATGTTTACGCTTCCACACTATGCTGCAATTATGCCAGTTTTTAATGGTATGCTTGCAGACTTCTATGACCTTATTTAGCGTAGACAGCAGATTTAGGCTTACTAGCCAACAACACCAAATCAATCTTTAAATGGGAGCGTTTCATAACTGCCAATCTCCACCACTAAGCATAGGTACAAAGAGGCTTTCAACTTCAAGTATTTGATACATGTCATATAGAACACCAGGTTTGATAAAATGAGAAAAGGACCAAGTAAAGAAAAAGTTTATTCTTGAAATGCTCATTATATGTTTGGAAGAAGGGATTCTATAGTACAGGCTGCTTTCAATTATGAATTTCACATTCATTGCTTCCATTTTGTACTTCTCCACAACATCTGTTGATATTTTTCAGGGGGGGGGTATCATCATCGACTGGTCGCTTTCGGCTTTCTTACAGTTGCTTGGCAGCGACTTCTGCTTTCTTATTGACAGCCGCATTCTTTGATGGAAAACGTTTACGTAACATGGCAATCATTTGGCTAAACCACCAGAAATTTAAGCAGGTTGTCACAAAATTGCCACCACCGTAAACAATCCAATCTAAATAGTAACAAAAATGCGTTTATGTGAATGGTAAGTATATGACTTTCTACATCCCGTTGCAAATCCAATTCTCTCCTGCTTATAAACTCACATCTCAAAGGAACACTTTCTTTTACTACATATATATCTCCTAGGAGTGCGGGACAAAGCAATGGGTTCAGATGTGTTAGTAAGAAAAATTGCCGACTTTGCGATGTATGCAAAAATACTCACTCCACATTTTATAGGACATTATTGTTCCAAACACAATACGTGCGCTGAAAAATGTCATGAGCAAAATAACTCCGTTTACGAGCTGGATTTTTGATCCCGTCCAGCCTAACTTATCCTATACAAACATATTGTTTCTGTTTAGATCCTCTTTGAACAGTATTCTACTTGTAACCTATGTCCCAATTACCATAAACCAATGAAAGTTGAGAAAGATCGTGCTGAGTTCATACATAAGGAAGATAGCTCCATAATAATTGACAAAAGGACGCTGAAATTATAGCAAAAGCACGTTAGTACGTCATAAAGTAGAACATAGCAACTCATCAAAGAACTTACAAAAGAGAATATAAAAACAGAAAATGAGGCAATGCCATGAAAAACCATGCTGATACCCTGATACTTGAGGAAATAGATAGCTACAATAGTATCCCACAAGAAGTAGCTAAAAGATATTAAAAGTTAGCCAACTGACTTTTCTCGCTTTTTGTTGCTTTTTGGCAATCCCTTCCCGTATCATTGTGCCCAAGAGAGGCATGTATCAAAAATTACTTTACCCACAAGAAATTGAATATATATCAGCGGCCCATTTGACATAACCAAATACTCTGTCTTGATGTAATGTGTTATCCATGAAGATGAAAAACGATCCCAGCACAACCACTAAGCAATGAACCGTGGATACAACGTGAATATGCCAATTAGGAGCATTATACTAGTAAGAGAATCAAAAAGGTTAAGCTAAATTCATAAGGCATTCATCTTATAAGTACTTTACGCCTTTAAAAAACTGAAATGTCTTTGGGAATAGCACCGGTGAAAAGACTCTAGATATTTCATAGGTGATCTGAAATATCACTGCAGAAGTCAATACGGCTTGCCAATGATATTTTAACGTGGACAACGAGAGTTGATCTAAAATTTGACCAAAAGTTTCCATTTTATAAGGGATTCAAAAGAAAGGAATAAGTTGGGAAAGAAGAGCAAATCTTTTATAATATACAAATTCATTCTGCATGTTTTAGAACAAAATATTCCAGAATTACCTTTTTTAAACAGCTCTTTTCTCTCATATGTTGTGTAAATTGAATCCCAGCCGTCCAGCTTGTACCTGTCTTTCCTACACGGAGACCAATACAGAGAGCCAAAAAAGTTCAACAGTTTTTGGGTTGAAAGTCGTAATTTAGGTATCATCACATGAGGAAACAGCAAAGATTTACAAGATATAAAGACGAGACGTTACATGCATTTGATCTCTTTACTGCTGGTTTCTTCACGCTGGAAACTGACTTTCTCTCATTTCTGCTACCCAAATGGAAGATGCCTGACCCATTGTATCATCCCCAATTTAAGATACACTACCCTTATCCTTCTTTTCGCGGGAAAATGCCATTTATAGAAGCCATACATTCATTTCTTCCCATCTTTGTAATTAGGAACAAGTAAGAGTAATTCACTGTAAGAGCCAAGTTGTAGCATTACATCAGTAAAATAGGTAAACTTGTTCATTTGACAGGAATGACATACGAAATACGATATGCCAAGCAAAAAGGGATACTAGTCCACATTTTTCATAGACTGGCGGAACAGTACGAAAAAAAACCCCCTAAAATAGAATGCGGGTAGGGCAAAAAAAAGGAGTTAACCTGGAAAAGAAAATAGCTTTTTTTTTATATGTATATCTATCTCATTCGACTTATTCAGAAAACTGGTTCAATATGAGTGAACTAAACGCTTGCAGCAATGGAGTTATCATTGGGGTCTCCACTCACAACTGTACAACTGTTACCCAGACCCTTCTGACTGTTCCTTTTCATGATTTGCTTACATGATCCATTCGAGCTGAACGTCACGAAGACACGCTTTTTCTGTGAAAGAAAAAAAAATAAACGTGAATTTTTCAGGAAAACCCAATCTTTTTTCTTGCGTGTTCTAACTCAAAAAACCAAGAAAACCCAGTCTTTCATCGATCTACCATTCACCTCTACAATGTCATCATCTATAGCTGAAATCACCAAAGAAGAAGACAATGTATCCTTTTTACTACCTTCTGTCAAGGTACCACTGACCAAGTCTCATATGTACACAAATCCAGCACCATCACTGGCAGCAAAGGATACGTTAGCTGAGAATAAAGAGCCTTGGGTTCTTGGTGTAGATGAAGCCGGCAGAGGCCCTTGTTTGGGCCCAATGGTGTATGCCATCAGTTTCTGTCCTTTATCTAAACATAAACAATTCAAAGAACATGGTTTTGACGGTAAAATCAATTGAGCAAAGTCCGTAGCAACAATTGTATCATTTTTTAAGGAGGACTACAGATCCTAATTGACTTTTTCTGCTATAGACTCAAAAAAACTGACAGAAGAAAAACGTACTGAATTAGCGAAAATGATACAAAAAAATAAGGATTGGATTGGATGGGCAGTCTATGTTTTGTCACCACAGGATATTTCTGCGAATATGTTCAAAAGACCTGTTTATAACTTGAACGAAATGGCCCATGATGCCACCATCAAATTGATACAACACGTAGTTGGACTGGGGATAGATATACAAACGGTACATATTGATATAAAAATGGATTAGCCCATACAGGATCTCATATTAAACCACGGATGAAATGAATAGATTTATGTCGATCCAGTGGGCCCAAGCAATACCTACAGAAAGAAACTTGAATCTTACTTTCCCAATGTTGAAATTATCGTCGAACCTAAAGCAGATGCTCTTTACCCAATTGTTAGTGCTGCCAGTATCTGTGCGAAAGTGACGCGAGATCAATACATGCAGCACTGGCAATGGACAGAGCCCGGTCTCATCGACTTGTCTAAAAAGTTTGGATCTGGCTACCCATCCGATCCAGCAACAAAGGAGTGGTTGAAGACGAATCAAGATGCCTTCTTTGGATTCCCTAGCATTACTCGATTCAGCTGGAGTACCATCATCAAGCTTATGGAGGGTAGAACGAGGACAATATGGGATGATGAAGTGGATGAGGAAGGCGAACAGGAGCCTACTACAAAAAAAGCAAAGAAATTATATGAAGAGAAACTGGCCAAGAAGGAAAGAAAACGACAGAAAGAAGCTAAATATAACCATCATAAGAAAAGCAGAATCATCCGTCAATTAGGCTTGGAAACTTCTGATTTGTTGTTGTAACGAAGAACAGTTGCCAATATAAAGATCCTGCACTTCTTGCTTCCATATCTTTATCTTCAAAGTGAGAGAGCCTTTTCCCATGTCATGTCTCTTGAAATACGAACATGCGGCTCTCCGATGGCTGAGAAAAAGTACTTCAAAGCCTTAAAAAAGCCTACTACAACGTATGTATCACGAAGCTTCCTTCATTGGTTACGATAAGAGCGGGCTCCATTATTGACTAAGAGCATGTATATTAAAAAATCTTTAAGCGGTGAACTTGCTCTGAAATCCTCGAGATGATGCACAACCTCTTCCAAAGAGGAAGCTCATTGGAGCATAATTAACAAAAGGCAATATATCCAAATTGTCTAACAGTAAGCAGAGTACCCATTTTGAAAAAAATGTGCTCGCTCTGGAAGTCTATGAAGACATGAATTTAAAAAAAATAGTCACAGCAGGAAGAAAAAATATTTTAAGAAGGGTTTCTCTCTTTCTCTTCTCTTCCACTTATACTTAGTTTCACACGCGAGGTTATAATGTCCAACGCACCCATTACTCATCCTTGTATTGAAAATGGCTGGTTCATGGAAAAGAACGACCAATGGCCTGGTCAAGGTAATTATAGAAGCGGCAGAGTTTCAAGTAAAGAATCTTTTAGTATCCTGTTCAACTTATAACGAACCTCTGTTCCGAAATGTCAAAAATATAGCCATGTCCTTGAAGGTCGAAGAAGTTCTTCACCATGAAAAATCCAAATATCAGGATGTTTTGGTCTTCCAATCTTCCAACTACGGCAACGTTTTAGTTCTTGACAATGTTATTCAAGCTACTGAACGTGATGAATTCTCGTAAGTTCAGAAGGATTTCTTTGTGCGGGAGAATGGGATAGAAGGCTGACGTCCTTTCTATGCACTGTCATATTGCTTTACAAACTAGTTACCAAGAAATGATTACTCATCTCGCCATGAACTCTCACCCTAACCCTAAGAAGGTAAGTAAACACGCTGTTATTATGCATGTTTTCAATGGGAGTAGAACCTTTAGAAATGAGAAAATGCACTAACATGCTAGTATGACTTTTTGTGTAGGTTCTCGTTATCGGTGGTGGTGATGGTGGTGTTCTTCGTGAAGTTGTCAAGCACGAAAGTGTTGAAGAAGCCGTCCTTGTTGACATTGACGAAGCTGTTCCTCGTGTGTCGAAGAAATACCTTCCTAACATGGCCATCGGTTTTGAACACCCCAAGGTCAAGGTTCACATCGGTGATGGTTTTGAATTCTTGAAGGACAAGACCAACCAATACGATGTCATTATTACCGATTCCTCTGATCCTGATGGTCCTGCTGAATCTCTCTTTGGTGCTGAATTCTTCCAACTTCTCAAGAACGCTTTGACTGAGAAGGGTGTCTTCTCCACCCAAGGTGAATGTATGTGGCTTCATCTTCCTCTCATCAAGAAGGTCATGAACTTCTGTAAAGATCTTTACCCTCGTGTTGAATATGCCTACACTTGCATCCCTACTTATCCTTCCGGTCAAATCGGTCACATCATCTGTTCAAAGGATCCCAATGCTAAGTTGAGAGAACCTCTTCGTTCATTCACTCGTGAACAAGAAGAGAAGCTTTTGCGTTATTACAATGCTGATATCCACAAGGCTGCTTTCGTCTTACCTCAATTTGCTAAGAAAGTTTTGTATGAACAATAAAAATGTTCAAATGAAGTAGTATATTATGGTATTACGTGTAAATAGGTAGTAAGTACCGGTAGTTTTTTTTTTTTTTGTATAAATAAAATTGTATTGTAGCTTAATGAAACAAACATCACACTATAACTGTTCTATTTTGGTTGTAGTCATGTATTCTAAGCGATAACACTCATTTAACAGTAAAGCTCATTTTCAATTGGGATGAATTTATTAAAGGTAGTAAAGATATCATTCTTGGACCTATCATGGGCATTCTGTATAGAAATGGTAAAGAATATGTCAAAAATGTGTATGTAAATTAACGTAGGTTCAGATGCGTATAAGATTGTGTAAGATTGTTTAGGAGAGTGTATCAATTGAAGAGATAGATATATATATATATATATATATATACACTTTGTCTTTTCTTGGGTTTTTGGTTGTATTCAGTTTCCATACATTGCAAATCATTTTTGTAATGTATTGTCATGAATTATAAAAATCCCTGCTGAGAAAGCTATTTTACGCAGTCTCTTCTTTCTTTTCGGTGGTGGCCTCTGCCATAGCTCCCTCTTCCTTTGCTGCTGCTGTTGACTTTTTCAATTCTTGTAATTTTTTACATTGTTGCTTGTGAGAGACTTTGTAATCGGCGACTTGGCATTCACGGGAACAATACCAAATGCTTCTGCAAGCACCACAAGCCATCAAAGGAGCGGAGTTTTCCTTACCCTTGGCATGAGTGGCAGCACAATGGGAACAACGCTTAGGGTTGGGAGGGAAGGATGTGTTTAAAATACCAGATTCAATCAATTGTTTCATCTTATCATCGTACTGTCTCTTGGGTGCATAAACGGCAATCAATCGTTCAGCTTCCTCGGGTGTTTCGTGAGCCAAAATAGCTTCACGTTTTACTTTGCTCAAACCAGTGTGGGCACCAAATAACTCGAAGAATCGTTCTTCAGTCTTCTTGGCACGCTTATAGTATTCCTCAGCTTCAGCTTTACGCTTCTTATGATTCACTAAAGTAGAAAGAGCGTAGAGAGCGTGGATGGTATCATTGGAATCAGGACACCCCTTTTCAAGGTAGGTCTTGTAGTTCTTGATAGCATTTTCACGTTGGTTATCCATGGATAGATAGACAGAGCCAAGAACAAAATAAGCCAAAGAGAAGCTAGGGTCTTTCTCAAGAGCCTTTTCTAAATCCTTAATACCTTGTCTATAAGAGAAAAATAATAAAAGTAACTTGTTAGTACGATCACTGTGTAGCACATAGCCTTTCAAGTACATAGTCTGTGTAACTTCTGCATTACACATATAAAAGTTTGTTAGAAAACGTACCTTATTTTGCCTAAGGAAAGGTAACATGAGGCACGCATGTAGTTGACACGGGAAGGAAGGTCAGGGTAAGTGTCGATAGCCAAAGTTAAAGTAGTGATACTAAATGATGTAAAGGTGTAAACAAAGGGGTCGAAATATTTGTCAGGTTAAGGAAAACACGTAATGAGCAAACAACAAATATAATTTTCACACACAAATGCACGAACAGGATAATGCTGCAAAAACACAAGCAACGCATGCTTCTACCGTTTTCCTGTCACCCTCCTTGCACACACACTACACACACGCACACACATATACACGCGACTCCTCGCTAAAAAAGTGTACTTACCAGTGTTTGAATTGTTTGCCAACCAACAGAATCCAAGCAGAGAACAAAAGACTGTCCTTCACGAAAAATCCTTCCTTTTGTTCTTCCGGCAAGTCTTTCAAAAGCACTTTTTCATATTGTTGACCCAAGATAAGTATACGTTCAGACATAGGAGCTGCTCTATCATCCATTAACCAAGCCGCAACCATAGTTTCAGAAGCTTGCTTGATATCGTCTTCATGCTTTGCCAAAATGTCATCATCCAAAGTGCGAGGAATACTCATACAGAGTTCATAACCTTCACGGAACTTTTCCTTGGCAGCTTTGTAGTTAGTGGCATCAGGGTCATTAATTTTATCAGCGTTACCGCGGGCTTCTAATAAATCGTAAGGGACGATACGGGCAGAGCTCTCAATGAAACGATCTTGATAAGGTTGTTGTTCATTGGCATCTGTGGTGGCAACAGTAGTGTTGTCGTTGTTAGCAGCGGCAGGAGCAGGAGTAGTAGCAGCTTGAGTCATTTGATATCAATAAATTAATAATTTAAAAGAGAGAAAGGAAAAGGAAAAAGAATGCGAAGAGCACGAAAACTAAATGCTTTTGAGCTATTGACTAACGAAAAAGTGCCCTGTAACACCCCAAAGAAAAAGCCAGACGGTCCCAATTTTAGCCAATCAGCACTTGACGTGGCACTTCTTATTTTTAGAAGGCGTGCGCCTGATTTTTTTTTTCTGTTTTATTCAAATGAATTGATTTTTTGCCACGAGCAGTTTTAATTGAATCAATAAAACTTGGTTCCGTTTGTAAAATTCAATTTTGTTGACGGTATCATCTTCCACAACCACCTGGTAGTTCTTCAATGAGATAGTGTATGCACTTTTCTTATTGATAGTAAGGATGATTTCAGTCGTTGTTAAGTCTACTGTCCAGTTATGAGCATTCTAATGCAGGGTTAGTAAAAAATAGAAAATTTTCAACTTAAGGGGAAAAATTCGCCTTACTTTGTCAGGCATCGGGAGGATGATACATAGGATATTTTCCTCAGGTTTCACTTTAAATTCAGGTCGGCAAGTCCAATTTTTAGATGAAAGAGTACTCATAGTCGATGTAGTAGATACTCCAGAACGTAAAGTAGCATTGGCAGTCGTAGCATCCTTGGCGGTGGGATGACTTGTACCCTTATTAGAATCTAATTCTGTTTGAATAGCTGTCATTAAAGACGGTTTTGGTAGCTTTAAAAAGCGACTGGGTATCGCGCCAACGGAAGGCAATGCTGGCATGGTAAATTCTCTGCTTAATTCAACTTGTTCCATATCTTCCACGTATTCCATACTCAATTCTAATATGTATAACCGGTAATCGAGATCTTTTTCACTTCGTAAATAAGGCTGCGTATTGATGCAGGCATCCATAATTAAGGCATCTACAAAAGTTACCATTTCGGATCAGAAGACCGCTCAAAGGAGGATAAGCTTTATACGATAATTATATTCACCTGTATCATTGGATGTAGGTTGACGTCTCAGCATACTTAAGGGTACGCGATAAGTGGCGTCCGGTTCTGCATTTAATGCTTTCTGTATATCCCTTTCATTTGCTATCGGGGGAGACGGGATAGCTGATGCATGGCAGATATTAATGTACACTGTCTTCCCAGTTTTATGCTTACTGCTATTCCCGCCCAATGTTCTGACAATCTTTGTTTTACATACATAGCCCGGTTGGGGTTGTACTTTTATGGCCTGGAAATCTTGCTTCGACGCTTGCTGTAAAAACTCATTAGCAAGCTTGTCGAATAGCTTTGGATCGTTCGCCACTTGTGATGCAATGTGATCAAGTAGAGCATTTTGCTCCTCTTTTGTAAGATTATCAAAAGTTTTTGGCTGGCATTGTTGCTGTTGGTTGTTATTGTTGTCACTTTCTAAAAGAAAAGGGCTGTTAGCCTCACTGTCATCGATGAGTTCCAGTATTGCCATTCAGAAGTGCAGGTATATTTCAAAAGGACAAAAAGAAACTCTCAAGACGTTCTCTATTTTTTTTATTTTATTTTATTTTATTCTTTTTTTTTTTTTTTTTTTTTTTTTTGCCTTGATTGAAAAATTTAAACAATTTTTTTCTTATATCAAGTTTGTCGTTCTTTTCGGCTTCAACTCCACAACGAAGGACGTCAACAGACATACAAACTGTCAACATGTCAACAAACAAAGAGTTTAACGTACGCAAAGAACAAGTTATCAGCTCACTCGTAGAGTATTTGGATCCTGAAAAGCGGGACAAATCGCCAAAAGGGTTCATCGATGAACCGATTTTGGATTTAATGCATGTCATTAACCAACATCCCGACTACTATACCACCAGCAGTTGCTCCGGTCGAGTAGCTATTTATTGTGACGGTACGCAGCAAGATCCTGAAAATGAGCAAAGGAAGAAACGAACGACGAAAGGTGGTACATGGCTTTACGTGAGTCACGATCCTATCCAGTTACCAGCAGCTATGGACAAAGATTGGGTACTGAATACGATATTCAAAAACAAAAAAGTAATTTTGACAACGCAAACAGCTGTAGAAAATGTTGATTTGGAAAAGCAAAGATTTGTATATTTTAAATTCGAGCCTTTGGTAAGCTCTCATTTATTCATTTCACTCTATTCTAAACCGTCATGAAAGCGACAACCCACATCTAACGATCTACTTTAGATTCTACATATTGAAGCCTCAAGCCATAAAACAGCAATGCAACTATTAAATATCGCTAACCAAGTGGGCTATCAAAACTCGGGTATTACTCCTTCTTCGCATCGACATATGCTGTCTATCAAAAGCACATTGAAAATCGACACACCTATTGCTTATGTCGACGAAGAGGGAGAAGATGAAGAAGACGTGTTTTACTGCTTTGTCTCACCAGAATATCTATGGTTATTGTTGATGATGTCAAATCAAAAGTTTGAGCAGAATATACAGCGCATGAAAGTATTTGAAGAACGCATGAAGGCAGAGTTGGAGAAAAAGAACGATGAGTTCATTGAGACGGAAACAAAGGAGGAGCGTAAACAAAGAAAGAAGAAAGAAGGCCTTTTACTACAAAAACAGCAACGAGAACAAAAGACACAAAACATAGAGACAGAAGATGTGATAGATACACTAGACTCCTTATCCTTGCAATAATAAAAATACAACTTTGGATTTTTTTCCTTACTGAGCAATCGTAAATAGCCCAATTTTAAGCCCGGCTTGTGGAGCTTTAATTTTACGGCGGGCTTGTTTCGTCTTCTGCTCCCTTTCCTCAGTGCGAATCCTTCCTTTTTTCTCTTTAAAGTTATAATTAATATTATAAATAAGGTAAAGAAAGCAATCCAGCGTCATATCACTTTGTAGATAGATTGTCGATGGCAATATTTTGAAGATGGATGGATGGTTTAAGCAACAGCTGAATTAATACGCGTTTGACTCGTTTATTCTAGATGGCGGAACAACAGCAACAGCAACAACCTACATTTAAGCTCGTTCTCGGTAATTACTAAATGTTAATTCTCAGCCATCATGCCCTATTGTACTCATTCAATTCAATTCACTTTGATTGTTTATAGTCGGTGATGGTGGTACTGGTAAAACCACTTTCGTCAAGCGTCACTTGACTGGTGAATTTGAAAAGAGATATGTTGGTAAGTTTTTATCTAATTTATGCCTTTTACATTTCTTCAATTGGTGATTACGCGTCACCCTTTCAAGCCTACCCCCAACAATTGAAAACACATCATCATCTGGTACTAAAATGAATTTCGTGCGCTCACACAATACTTTCTGTTGCGTTTACTCTTAGCCACTCTCGGTGTCGAAGTTCATCCTCTTACTTTCCACACCAACTTTGGTGCTATCGTCTTCAATACTTGGGATACCGCCGGTCAAGAAAAGTTCGGTGGTCTCCGTGATGGTTACTAGTAAGTTTCATCTGGCTGCAAAAGTCTATGACAAGTTGAATGATGACTGAAAGAATGGGAAACTGATCAATTATACTTATTCTCGTAAAATAGTATTGGTGGCCAATGTGCTATTATCATGTTTGACGTCACTTCCAGAATTACTTATAAGAATGTTCCCAACTGGCATCGTGACCTCGTCCGTGTCTGTGAAAACATTCCTATTGTTCTTTGTGGTAACAAGGTTGATATCAAGGTAAGAAAAATTCCAATATTTTCAATCCAATACACACTATTTCGAGAGAGACAGTAGAGCAAGGGCACGGATGTTGAGATAGGGAGGGGGTTGCATATGACGTATATCCACGATAAGTTGACTTACCCCAACAATGTTACCTATCATTTCGTCGAAATCATATAGGAACGTAAAGTCAAGGCTAAGACCATCACTTTCCACAGAAAGAAGAACTTACAATACTACGATATTTCCGCCAAATCCAACTATAACTTCGAAAAGCCTTTCCTTTGGTTAGCTCGTAAGTTAATTGGCAACCCTAACTTGGAATTCGTTGCTGCTCCTGCTCTCGCTCCTCCTGAAGTTCAAGTCGACGCTCAATTGATGCAACAATACAACAACGAAATGGAAGAAGCTGCTGCTCAACCTCTTCCTGAAGAAGATGATGACTTGTAAAGAGAAAATCAAAAGAACCGAGAAAGAAAGTTGATATCTTTATTCATCATTAAATTTTTTCTCTACATCTTTTCAAACGACTTTTTTTTTCCTTTTTTTTTTATTTTCTTTATACAACATTATTAATACATTCGAAAGAGATTACTGCGCTTCGGAGCAACGCAAACCGAATTTTACCTGCAAGACCCATATCACTCTCACTCACAACTTTCCCTTCCATTCAGTTTCCCCCATTTTCTTACATATAAACGGTATCCAAAATAGTTTAAAAGTTTTGCTTTTCCCATGTTTATTTGTAAATATTTCAGTGTTTGTCTTCTACCCAGTTACAATGAAACGGTCGGATGTAGCTGTGCATTCTTTTTTTCGCTTAAATGTTCAAGCGCATAAACGCATCGGAAAGTATCTCTTTTTACAAAAATTCAGATGATGATTCTTATACACATGTATCTGCAAAATTGAGTGATTTTTACCGATATTTTCGGGTCATCATCAATTGTGCACTCAATCGACACCCGTGCATGCAAAAAAAAAAAAAGGAACAAGTAAATGTTTGAACATAAGCAAAATCAATTTATTAATAGAATTGCTTTAAGCAGAAAGACGGAAAAAAAAGCAAGTTCTTCTTTGACATAACTGAAAGAAAAACAAAGAGTTGACGATAACAAGCGGTTTGCTTATTTGAGCTTCTTCTTGGGACGGAGTTGGTTGGTATGACCACACTTTCTCTTACGGCAGTTAGTGGCACGAGGAGGAAGACGAGCATAACACTTACGACAGATCATCTTGTCGCAGTTGTACTTGGAAGCCAAAGCCTTGAGAGAGGGTTCGATGATACCACCACGAAGACGGAGGACCAAGTGAAGAGTGGATTCCTTTTGAATGTTGTAGTCACTCAAAGAGCGGCCATCTTCCAATTGCTTACCAGCGAAAATGAGACGTTGTTGATCGGGAGGAATACCTAAATTATATACACAAAACCGACTGGTTCAGTTTTTTTTTTCTTTTGGCTTTCTCATCAAAATGCCGTCTTTGATTGACGTCGATGAATTTACCTTCCTTATCTTGAATCTTTTGCTTGACATTGTCAATGGTGTCGGAACTATATACAGAAAACAACAAGTTGTTTGTCGTCAATGTCCCAAACTCAATGTTGATGTGAGGCAGCTGCCCATTGCTGGCTGAACAGTATTGAATAGTTTACCTTTCGACCTCCAAAGTGATGGTCTTACCAGTCAAAGTCTTTACGAAGATCTGCATGTTTCGATGTAAAAACTAAATAAATGGATAGATGGATGGTGTATCGATAAGTATCATTGTTGCATGTAATCTATTCATTGGTGATGGCATAAATCGTACCTTTACGAATAGAGGAGGAGAACTTTGGGCGTAATTGCACTAGTTTATTTTTCTTTGTTGAGCTGAAGCACTGTCCGTCACCCTGCTGGTTTACTCCCGGGCACAATTTTTGTCGGGCCGCATTTTATTTGCTTAAAATGTGACAGAGTTCGCTCTGCCTAAAGAAAAAAAAAAAAAAAAAAAAATTTTATGATTTCCTCATTTATTCAAAAGGTTCCCTTCTTTTACACATACCGTATTGTCTATTGGAAAGAAAGACTCGCATGGAGCAGTTAAAAACTCTGTTCCCTGGGAGAGAAAAGGAAATTGACTTGCTAGAAAGTGTTACGTCCTTTCATGTATGTGTCCCTTTCAAGGAACCTTTCCCAATGATCCAAACCACGTCAGTTAACTTATTCCTCTTTAAACTACGCAGTCTGACTACAACAGTTATTCATCCCAAAGTATCTTTGTATATGGCCCACCGTCCACAGGCAAAACATCGGTTGTCTCAAATTTTTTTGGTCAACAAGGAGCCTATGTCAATTGTATAGAATGCTTCACGCCCAGACTTTTATTTGAACACGCTTTCAACCAAATTTCAAGCTATAAGCCAACACATGCCAATGGTTATACATGCAGTAGAAGACTTGATAATATACAGCAGTTCGTGAGAGCAATCAAAGAAATTGTGCCTCTTGACTCAGCTACGAAATATCTGGTACGAACAGTGCAAAACTGAACTTTCGTGAAAAGAAAAAAAAAAAAAAGTGTAGTAACTTACCATGCATATGTGATATTTGACGTTATCAGATATTGGACAAAGCAGAGCGACTACGTGATATGCCTCCCACAATTTTACCCAGTTTACTCCGATTATCAGAGATTACAGAGCGAAATATATCCGTTGTACTCATCAGCAACCTCGTATTTGAAAAGTTCAGATTGAAGGGAGGTGTCGTCGAACCATTTATTATACGATTTTCTGAATATACAGAAGAGAATGCGATTCGCATACTAGAAATGGATTTTAGAGAATCGACATCGTTCTTAGCAGATACGCCAAAGCCTTCTGTAGATACTTCTTCAAGTACAACCACTTCATCAACCACATCCTCGTCGACCACATCAGATTCTTCTGAAGCAGCATCTGATATGGACGATACACCTTCCTCACCTCGCATAGACCAAACTTTTTACAGATTTTATATACAGAATCTGTACGCTGCACTGTATCAGAACTGTAAAGATTTGAACGAATTGCGTTACTTTGCGTCTCTTTTATTCCCTATTTATATTCAGCCCATCAAAGACAACGTGGTTAAATTGGATGATCCCAACAAGCATTTCACACTACTTAAACTCGCTCAAAAATACTTTAACGAAGTGACTGAGAAATTATATCTACGAGAACTATCCAGCGCAGAATGGCTGATGACTTCGAGAGCTGCACAGATGACCCACAGCGGTGTGAATAGTCCTGCATCTACAAGAACAGATATCAAATTAAAATACGGTGGGGTTTTAGAATTGCCTTATTATACCAAATTCCTGCTTATCGCCTCTTATTTGGCTTCGTACAACCCACCTCGATTCGATGTTCGTTACTTTGCAAAGTCTACCCACGAGAAGGTGACAAAGAAAAAAGGCGGGGGAACACGAAAGACACCCACCGTCGTTGCTCGGAAGAAAAAAGACAATATCCGTCAACAGCTATTAGGCCCGAAAGCCTTTCCGGTAGAGCGTATGTTGGCGATCTTTTATAGCATCCTTGACGATGATACTCTAGAAGATACAGTGGATGTTCAGTTACAATTAACAAGTTTGACTACCTTGCGCTTGCTTGTGAGAACTACCTCCATGGAGCGTTTGGATAACGTCAAATATAAATGTAATGTAGGTTTCGAATTGGTAAAGGAAGTGGCTAGATCAGTGAAATTTGAAGTGGAAAAATACCTCTACGACTTTTCATAGGAATTGTTTAAATGAAATAAAGGATAGTGCAATAACTTATTTTTTTTTTTTTTATTGGGTGAAGGAGGTATTAATAATGATTGAACAGTGATGGTAGGTATGGAATTTATCAAGTGGTAACGCTATATAATAGCATTGCTTATAAATCTACGCCGCCAACAATCTTTTCCAATCCTTGAACTACGACAGGAAGTTCATCATCTAAAGGTTACGTTTAAGTCAATAATTGAGCGGGGAAAGAGCAATTGTTCGTAACAATGAATTACCTTTGATTACTTCTTTTTCATCATCTTCTTCGTAATCAGTCTCTTTGTCGTCCGGACTAGAGGAATCTGTAAGATCGTCATCCTCGCCTATAGAATTATATTAGTCATATTGAAACTAGCGATAGCATGTTGAGAACCTCATGTGTCAATAATAAATGTAAACCTACCTTTGCTTGTTGTTTGTTTTTCTTTGGCTTCTGCAAGGGTCTTTCTTAATTCTTGAGCAAACGCTTGCACGCTGTCATCTGATGCAGGTAATAATATTCATTTTGTCAATATAAAAAGAAAATGGTAAGACGGCATCCATATATTCCGTTAGCTTTACCTCCACCCATATCAGTAGCAGGGTCCACAACATCTTCCAATGGATTAAACTGCAGCAGGTTTTTATGAGCAGCAAATGATGGCTGTCGTTTAGTGGCGCGAATTGGAAGTGCAGCAAGACAATGCATGAAGCAGAAAAAAGTGAACGATAGTAGGATCCAGTTAGCTTGTTTTTTAATGAACATTTTGGGAAAATCAATGAAATTGTATAGTATAGCTTTTTAAACAATGCAATTCAAATTAAAGTCTTTCAATCCAAAGTTAGATCTTTTTATATGTTTGATTTGCTGAACAGCCCACTTCTATGTTGTGCCATATGAAATCTTGGTTTCAAGTACTTTGACATCTATTGTAACAAATTGCTCTTTCTAAAGTTTGGTTCCTTCAGTTATGATGTTATTGCTAAGCTTGACTGGCTTCATTTCCTTCATCAATATTATATGCAGACTAGTTTTGTTCCTAATGCGCATAAATGATGTAGAACCAAGAATATTTACATTGCAAACGACTCTTTCAGGCTAACTGCAAGTCTTAATTGTTTTTTCTTTGCTTCACCTTCTCGGCAACTCGTTTGCATCCTTCTTCGAATTTTTGTTCGTTAGACTATATAAAATGAAATGAACACCTTTCTGTCCGTCGATTTTTGTTATCTTAATACCAAGGCATCCATGCTACAGTGCAAATCATTAAAGTCAGCGTTTAAGTCAGAGACAATACTCAGGCATGATTCGAAGGAAGATCTACGCAATCATGTCGATTCAAAACTATGTCAATTTCTGCACACGATATTTGAGTACTGGCCCAAACTTTTAACTCTGTATGCTCTTTGCATCTTTCTAAATCGCTTATGATTGGCTCCCTCAAATTTCCTGTAAGCTTTTCGCAAAGTAATTAACCCTATTTGGTCTCTGTCTTGATTGTGATACTTTTGAAAAAAATAAAAGAAAAAAAAACTGAGGAAGAGGATGAAGAAGGAAGAATGGATAATGTTATATTACATCACAGGAACAAAAAAGTCATAATAATCGGTGATACAGAAGCGGAAGACGGTCGAAACGCGGTGCTCAACAGTGGATAGTTTGATCAAAATAAGCGATAATCTTCAATGACACGAGGAGGAGGAGGAGGGGGACAATAAAGATATCAAAACAAATAGGCCAGAATTGCTGAATCGGATTCAAATCGGGAAAGTAAGGAGACAAGTACAGCATGTTATAGCTATGTTCTATAATAATTCCACCAATTTTTTCAGCTGTACAGTATGTATGGTAGCATTATCCATAATGAGCCAGAAACCCTTCATCTCCGAATACTTATCCATTTCATCCAAATTATCAATTATAGAATTCATACAATGGTTGGTGTACTGTTGACCATTGTTGAATTTTTCTCTTCTTACTAGGTGGCATAGGTTGTGTTACACACCTTCAAATACTAAACGCGTTTTTATGAACATAGAATCATATTAACAGTTGTACACGTCACTTTGTACCTCAAAGACAAACGTATACATAATGCTGCATTCTTACTGGTTGATAATATCAGGAACGAGTATTTAACTCTTTTTTTTTTTGTTTCGCCATGAACGCTTCCCTCTCTGATTTTCAGTATACAATAAAAGGACTAAAGGACGTTCACTGAACCAAATAACAACTACAAATATCACACCTGGCACTGATTTCATATCAAGCTTTCTATTACAAGATCAACGCGTGATGGACATTATTGTTAAAGCGATAATTGGCAACATATCTGCAGCTCCCTATATAGTTTAGGGAGCTGTGAATAGCCCAACAAATCCGTATCGAATGCTTTATACATACCGGAGCAGAAAATCTGGCACCAATTTTAATAGAGGTGCAAAAGTGAATGAAGAATTCATTTCAAGAGCAATTACGTATTGCTTATCTCTAAAAAAGAATATGGACAATCAGCAACCTTACTGATTATTGCAATCAAAGCTGTTACGAATAACGGCAAATCAAATTTCGTAAATCATGATGAAGATTATTTGAACGTTCCTGAGTGTGGATTCTGGGCAAAAAAATGCTTTATCATCACTGCCGCCTCAATCCAGGCTCATTTGAATCATACCCCGTTGAAAGGGTTAATGGCTTTGGGTTCTTCATACAACAGAAAGGGTCCATACTCTCCCTAGCAAAAAATATGACCCAACAATATAACTTCTGCACAAAATTGCCAAGGATAAGTTTGAAGATGTATGTCCTGCTGAAGCCGTAATTCTAGCTTTATGTTTTCAAAGCAGGCGTCAATTTTCGTAAAATCATTGGCTGCATAGAAAAGAACGAACCAAAAGAAAAAGTGATGCACTATACGTTAAATGGTGCATACTTTTTCTGTTGGTTCGTACAAGGAAATTTGATGATAAGCAAAAGGAGGTAACGCCGACAGAAGACACTCCAGATATAACAAACCTTACCGCGACGCCGTATCACGACAGACGGTTGACAGTAAATGATGACGATTTTGTTGGCAATTTCATTGCCAACAAAACCGGAAACATGAGTTGGAAGCGGTGCTATGAGGAGGGGAAAGTAAAAGGCTTCTTTTCGAACTACACATGTTGGCAGTCGTTGAAATCGGCTCAAACCAGAAAAAGCCTATCAAAAGACAAAGAATAGGAATAGAAAGTAATGTATAACAAAAAAAAAATTTACCATATTTATTGTTACTGTTCTACATGATTAAGTAAGATTTTATACTTGAATCATTGCTATGTAAAATGTTATTCTGTATATCGATTATACAACGAGTCAACGCGATAAATACTTGCAAACGGTATTCATGAATTTAACGATGTTGTCATGATTGACAGGTCAGAGAGCACGCGCTGACGATTTTTCTTCCTCAGGATAAATAGCTTTGTTTGTTTTTATTTTTCATACACGAGAAAATGGAAGCAACAAATGTTGGATAACAGAACAGACAGTGCTCAATTGGAAGGGTGTCCATCTCTGTCTGTTTTTTCTTAGACAAATGTATATTACGGTTCTTTTTGTATTATAGGGCATTTGATATGATTGATTCAGCTATTGCCTAGATTATACCTTATATGTACACTGTGATATTATTTTGTATAATTTAAAGGAATATAAATTCTATGTGATAATTAAGGCGGAATAATGCCGGGGATTCCATATTGTTGAACGCAAGCCATAGCGCCCACAATACAAACCAAAAAGATGGAATGTAAAATTGTCTTACGGAGTACTCGGCCTTCTTGTCCTTGTAAACCGATTGTGGATACACCTGTAGTCAAATTCTGAGGGGAGATCATTTTTGAGCAGATGGCGCCACTGGAGTTAGTGCTAGCCATCAAAATTTCTGATAGACCAATTTGTCGAGCTGCCACCACTTGTAGATTACCAAACAGGGAGTTAGCAGATGTATCACTGCCTGATAGAAAGCATGCGAACCAACCCAACCAAGCAGATAAAAAGGGGAAGGCTCTTCCTACTGAAGATAAGGTCAAACCGATTGTATAAGCGATACCCGAGTAATTATATAGATAGGCAAAAGCCATAATGAACGAAACAGTAACGATAGGGAAAAAGACTTGTATCGCGGTTTGACGGAATGCTGCCAAGAACACACGAGGATGTGAACCGTTCCATAAAACAAGACCACAAAAAGGGATAGCTGATATCAAAATTGCTGTACCTGTCGCAAGTGGCTCGAACGTCCATATTGCGTCATAACGCTTTTGATAGAGGGTTAGATAGACCTCTTGATGCAAATGTGGCCATTTGACAGGCGTTCTGCCGTAACTAGGAACTTTGGCAAATGTCCAGCTGTATATATGGCAGAAGTATGTAGTTAGTTGAAACTGTCCAATTCTCTTTTATCAAATTCATTTCTCATTACCAAATGAAAAAGAACACTTACATGATGACGACAACTACAATAAGAACCCAAGGACTCCAAGCCAAAAGCATTTCCCTTATTGTGAGCTTATCTATTAGGAGCTGCTCTGTTGTTCCTTCTATCTCTCTATCATTGTTACTGCCTACTGCTGCATGTGTTCCATCAGGATCCTGTATTTCTGCTACCTCTTCTACTTGCTGCTTTTCTTTCGTATGACTCATATAGGATGCATTACCATCACTCACACTTCTGTTACTACTGCTGCGATGACTGATATTATTCTCTTCATCTGAATGTTTCGTATCGACTGCAACCATACGTGCGTGATATTCCGGTCGATACTTTGGCTTCCAAAATTGTACAAATGCAATAAGGGATACCAAAGAAATAATACCTGCAATGAGATCAGGAAGCTCTGGGCCTACGAGATTAGCGAAAATTCCCTATTGTGGTGAAACCAGTTTTATACAGAATCGATCAATGTTAGGGTACGAATTGTCAAAAAGGTGACAGAAGATTTTAACACACACCTGAATAACTGCAAAGGATAGACCTGCAACAAGGCCTGCTGGCCAACACTCCAGTAATCCAGCCCTTGGACCTATACAATCAAAATTCATAAGTTGGATATCCGGTCTTTTTTTTTCCGCAAAGGTCAGGATTTGCTGAAATGAATTTCTCTACCTGCATAAAACAACAATGCATAGCAAGGGAGAAACAGACTAAGCAAAGGTAATTGCCGACCCATCATTGCAGATAGTTTCATAACGGGCAAGCCTGTAATAGATGCTAACGTAGTCACAGGAATACCTAAAGCACCAAAGGCGACTGGTGTGGTGTCAAAAATTAAGGTGTAAGTCAAGGCATCAATTGGGTCAAAGCTATGGTTCACACGAAGAAAAAAGTGAGCAATTTTCTCGCTGAATCTCACACGATGTAATTATTTTGTATGCAAATTGTACTTACCCTACAGAGACCATCAATGAGGAGCATATTGCTCCAGGCGTACCAAATCCAGCAACACCTACATAAAGTGATGTTTTAAACAATTTATACGATAGCCTTCGTAATCTACACTTTTACAGTCAATACTACCTTCTAAAAGCGCGCCGAAACTATATCCGATGATAAGCAAAATGATTCTTTTGTCTGGTGGAGTGTAAGCTAAAATCCATCGACGAAAATAATCAAAAATGCCTGAATGAACAGCTGTATTATAGATAAACCTATAACAAAAAAAATGTTAGAACATAATTTACAAACATTTGATTATGATGGGAAGTTACTCTACATAGCGTTCACAACGATCCACATAATGGGCCAATTCGCAAAGACAATACCATTGCCGATGGATTCGAAGGCTTGTTGTGCTGGCATATGCCAACCAAAGATTGCAATGAAAATACTATAAAATTCCAGCAACTCAGTTTGTTTTCATTTCTTCACTATTGCAAATCTATTAACCAATTTACCATACAATTAATCCTGCTAATGATGCATAGTGTGCAGGTAATTTAAATATGCCCAAAAGAACCAACACTAATAGTAATGGTATGAGGCCGACAAAAAAGGACCCAACTAAATTGTTGGCGATAGGCGCCAATTGCTGAACGAAGACTCCGTCAGTCTCAGGACCAACAGGTGCAACTGGTATATTCACCATGATGAATGGATTATGTATTTGGAAACAGGTAATGCCTCAATAAATAGCTGAGAAAGCCGGAAAAGGTGAAAGTATAGTAAGGTTAGGGGTAAATGGGAAGTAGAAAGGAGAAGAAAAAGAAGAGCCTTCAAAATATCCATCATCCTCACTCACGCCTCTACATATTTTCGAAGAATTTCATTTTTCATGCATAATTTGTACTTAAGTCGACACTTTCCCCTTGTTGCTGAAGTGTACGATGATCATCAATTTTGCGTCAAATTTCAAGGAAAACCAATTCTTGTGTCCTGTCAGCAATACAAAAAAGTTTAGCTTTGTGATTTCTGGATCACCATCAAAAAAGATTTGAGAAACTTTTTGATTCCGTTTGTAAAGATAATTCATGTGGGGAAATAATATAAAGTAGTACACTGGCAAAGAATTACCATAATCCACTTTTAGATTTAGTATTTCTTGTATAAAGGGCAAGTTGTAATTCAGAAAGTAACCTTATCTTGAGCTTCTTTTTCCTGGGTTACCTTTGACGTTCAGTTGCAAGAGAGGCATGCCAATGCAGTTTTCTATTAATTGAGAAGACTATGCTGGTCTTCTAACAATGACTTTGCGTCATCAGATGCTTTTTATTTGGCTGGTGCTAAAGATATTGGCGTTTGCTTCTTCATCTGTCTGAGAAAGTTTGACATATGAACGGGAGTATCGTTTGAGCATTTGATTCCTATGATGTCTTGACGTAAAATATAAATTGATATCAAACTATGCGCTTCAGTCCGAGCAATTGGCAGTTTAGATAGGAAATGTCTCTTTATGGTAAGTAACAAAACAATCAATTCCAAATTAAATTCATCCTAGTATACAACTGATTGAAGTAATTCGAACTTTTACTTTCTCAAAGATCCTGTTGCCCCAAGTAACATTAGGCAACGTTCTTCCTTATTTTTGGGTTGTGCAACGATTCCGCTATGGAGCCTATGTCCATTTGGGAGTTATTTTCCTTCTACGATAATTCACACACGGAACGAAAAACCAATGATCTGTTCCTTTCATTTATTATAGGTATACAGTACAAACTAATTAGACAAATGGTTGGAAAGGGAACTGTTATCAATAAATTCCGTTTTGGGCAAGAAAATCAAAGCAATAGTGAAGCCTACTCCTAATGGGTGTCTGTCATAGATTATAAGCTCGTCAAGAATGTTATTAACATAGTAGTGTTGGTTAACATTGCACACTACTACAAATTATACTATATGACTCAATTCTTAATTCCTCAGGAAATAGATAATATTTCCGGAAAGATATGTTTTTAGAAAAACAAAAAAAAAGAAAAGCTATTTCGTAGTAGAGTATTTACAAATGTTCTGAAAGGTTGTGTGCCAATAGCTCCAAAAGCACCGTTTAAGATAAAAGTACAGTTACTAAAAACACAAAGATATAACGAAAAGAGTAACCATAGCAATTTGAGGATTAGCATATTAGCTATTATAGAGTAAAAACATATAACTAAAAGAAGTGGCATAAAATGTTACAAGGTAAAGGCGTTGGGAGAGGTTATCCGAGGTATATCTTGCTTATTTAAAGTGTTTATAACCAGCACATCTGGCAAAATGTAAGAATGATTAATTTTTGGTCAGTGTGCTTTTTGGCTATTTTTCTTTTCCTTACCTATCTGCATATTGTTATCAAATAAGTGTTGCTGTTGGTTTGATGGGTCTTGATCTTGCTGATACGTGTAGTTACTGCTATTATCATTATTTTCATCCATTTGAGGTGTTGTTACCGATACTGCTACTTCCTCCTCAGATGAACGATACCTATCATTCATAGTTGTTTGATTGAGATTGTCTCCCAAAGTCATATTTGGTGGTAAAAAGTGATTCGGATAATGATCTCTCTTGATGTACATTTCTTTTCTACGTTTCAGTAGTTTGATCATTTTTTGAGCGTTGAAGACTGCTAATTCCACTGAATTATCAGGTCTTGTGGGTGTTGAATTAGGACATAGGAACCAATATTTTCTCAAAAATCCTGGTGGCACGAACCAACAATCAGGATTACCCAATTCCCCACCGATGAACATAGCAGAATCCAGTAAAAGATTGAATAGCTCGTTGGCGTTGTAGAAATCCTGAAAAATGATCATGTAGTCACGCATGGTAGGACCAGGAATTAAGTCAATTCGTGGATCATGAGGGATCTTACGCTGAAGTTCCGCTGATGGAGGGAATAAAAAAGAAAAAGAGCAAGAAAACATGAACATCATATCTCTCAACAATTTGATAGGATTATAAGCAAGTCTTACTAGGGGTTAATAGATATCGATTATCATTTTGATCGCGCATCGTTCGCATACGAGTCACTGCTTCCAATGGCGGAATTGGGCCGTCTACATAGACTTTGTTCGATGCAGAAGATGTTTTCTTTATATCTATCCAAAAGTCTTCTTCAACGGGAATATCTGAATAGGATTCATCGCTGTTGACATTCTCAGCCGATGTATAGGATGTTTGGTGTTGCTGCGGCTTAAATTGTTGTTCTTGTCTTTGTTCATGTCGTTGCTGTTGAGAATATTGCGGTGGTAAGTCTGGAAGCTGCAGTTGAATAGGCTGTGGATGTGCTATTTGTGACTGTATTGTGAGAGGAGGCTGCATTGTCTGTTCCAATGGATCTGTAAACAATTGTTGTGGGAGCATTGATCTAACTCCCGGCGGGATGAAGGGTGCTATTTCCGGAGGCAACAGAGTCGACCAAAGTTCAGGAGGTGCATCCTTCATTTGACTCATTATATCATTCATAATGTTTGGTTGCAGAATATATTCTATCAAGGTAGGATCCAAATTTGAAGTTAGAGATGGGTTTGCTTGGATATAATTCGCTATGTTATCATCGCTTATTGTATTTGCATCAAACATTGGTATTCGGTTGGTTTCCGCCATGTTCAAAGGTGACAGATGCTGCTGTTGTAATTGAGAAGCCATTTCTGAAAGAACGGACGATGGCTGGTTGAGTTCTGGTGCTGTAACCGAGCTCGAATAAGTTGTTGTAAAGGAATATGTCGGTGACAATGATATAGCAGGATCAAGCTCGGAGGATCTCATTTGAAAATGTTGCTGCTGCTGCTGCTGCTGCGGTTGCTGCTTTTTCGAAAGATTGTCATCGAGTTGTTGAGAGCTTCTTTCTTCTTCTGTGGCAGTGGTGGTGTCGACATTAATAATATTGCCATTGCGATCAAGAAAAAATTCCAACGATTGGGGTATATCTTTAGTTCTGGAATAGGTTGTTATATCTGAACCCATCCTATCCCTGGAACCTGTATCCCAAAATTTTGGTACATTAATACAATGTGCCATACAAGCAATTTTGAGAGTAAGTAATTGCCCCTTCAAGTAGTTATTCTCGTATTTGAGCTCCTCTAATTTTGTTTGTAGATTCTTTATGTCCTTTAGCGCTTGATCACGCATGTGCATTGACTTTTTTATGTTGATTTCTGCTTCTTTCATTTCGCGGCGTTTACGTTCACGAAAGGCTCTTTGCGCAGCTCTATTCTGTGCTTTTCGCTGTGCTGGTGATGGCGGATTAGGTTTCCTACCAGGTTTTCGACGGGGTTTGATAGGTTTGCCATTAAGGTCCAAATTGCCCAGTTCATATTCAGGGTCAAAGTGTTCAAACGATATTGTCATTGTCGGTCAATTGTTACTGTATGCACTTCAACAAGTATTGGTATCTGGTATATAATCAAGAGTGGTAATCAGTGGGATTGTGGAATGTGTAATCAAGTAGAGGCAAGAAAGGAAGATATGGAAATAGACAATTCAAATGAGCAGAGAAAAAGAGAGTATAAGTGGGCGGTATGTGCGTCTGCTTATGTGTGTGAATGGTGAGAAAAGCAGAGCTACAGAAAGAAATAAAGAGCTGCTCCATTTCAATTGCCCAAACAGATTTTGCTTATATCCTGCTATAATGTATTTGTGTTACAGACATTGATTGAAATAAGATCTTATTGTAACCACATGTGAACAGAAGTATACACAATTGTTAAACTTTATAGGCAAAGCAGCGCTAAGAAAAAAAGAGGTCGTGTTGTTTACAAGAGGACAAGAGCTTATAGATGCACTGGAAAACTTGTACTCAGTTCAAGTCTATAATCCGATATGTAAACAAATTCAATTGACAATTCTGACGTTCAACTCAATGCAAATGCGGTAATGTACCCTTATCCCTTGACAAGCTAGAACAAATCCAGGAGAAAAAGTTAATCTTTGCACATGAAAACTTTTCATCATTATCCCTTGCAGAAAAACAGTAGATGATCTTATTGAAGATTTCCCTTTGGCCTTTTTTTTTTTTGCACGGAGCAGACAAGGCTCTGCCCTAGAATCATGCAAATCACAAGCGCACGGTTGGCCAGCATATGCAGACATTTCATGCAAAAATTCAAACAAAATTAACATTAGCATTCATTCCTTCGAGTCACTTTCTACTATGGTCAGGGAGATATTACGAGTTTTCATTAACAGTGACCTGTCAGTATTGGTAATATAAGGGGCCCTTGTCTTTCATGACGAAATTAGCACTTTTTTTGAACAATGAGATATAAAACAATGAACAAAGGTGAGCTTTTCTTATTTTTTTTTGCTATTCTTCTCTTGTCCCTTGAACCACAACTTCTTGTGAGCGAACGGTATGAAATATCTGCCCAATATATTTATCTTTTATGTGTTGGCTAGTTGGCTTTTTGCCGCCTGCCATAGCCATTGTGATTGTGATCGTAATGATAATGAATGCATCACTGATTGTGGTAAGAAATTGTAGTACTATATGCTACACCTGTTTGTATCTTGTATATTGAATAATAGGCTCATGCATTCGATCATATTGAAACTAGTAATTGAGGCAAACGATTGTGTCACCGCTTGCAAAGGAGACGTTCGTTGTTATCAGAATTGTATTGATGATAAATGGTAACTGTTTTAAGAATGAAGCAATGTCCTAGTTAACCCGCGGCTCATTGCGATATTTATAATAGGCCGAATGCAGATGCTTATGGTGAAGGCTACAATAATGACTATAAACAAATCTTGAATCCATCTGTTACTGTTTATATTGCAACAGCAACAGTTACGCAAGGTCAAACTATCACAAATAACGCTGAAAATCAACAGCAAGGTACGTCCTCCGCTGCAGTTATTTCAGGTAAAGGGTCCTAAGCGACTACATCGATGACCCTTGCGTATTTGTACTCAAACCACATTAATTTGAGCAATAGCAACCACAGCAAATTCAACGTCTATATCATCGGCAAGTTCTGTATACACTATATCTATCATTTCTGTATTTGCAGCCTCTCTCGTTGGTGCTTCAATTATAAACACACTTTAAAACAAGAGGTAAAAGAATGGAACACCGAAAATGCTGACTTCGGTTGATATGGTTTTGGATGAAACCGACGGATTTTTCCAATCAACCTTGTAATTCTATTTCGATTGAAGAAATAAAGAAATATAGAGATTTGGTAGCAAATCAGCGTTTTTCAACCCAGAACATCGGAATCAAAAGGTTACTTTCTGTATAAGTGAGTATTCCAATTTGTTGTTGTAACTGGAGGTCTACGGGAAACTCGCTTTGCACTTTGATCACGATTGAAACATGGATTTGCAATGATTTACTGCGTTTGCATTATCCAATCGAATGACAGCCGTCTTACTAAACACCTTATTCGTCAGTAGCCTTCAAGCGAACGGATCAGTCAATTTGAAACTCACCCATTAATCATTTCCTTTACTTCATTTGGGCAAATTATAAAACTTTCTCTTCTTCCATGTTTTACTTCTTACCTGTGTTTTAATCTACTCTTTTCATTTAACCTTTACTCCGTTATTTGTGGGTTATTATTTTCAGAATCTGTTCTAAATAGAGTTATTTTTTTTTTCAAATACAAACACAAAAAAAAAAAAAGAAAAAAAGAATGGACTCTTATTTAGCCAACATTGACGTGTATATGCAAGAAAGACAGCAGCAGATACCTGCGTCTGCTACGTCAACCTGCGAACAGCAGCAAACCACTCAACAAATGTCAGAACAACCTACAACACTGCATGCATCAATTCCTTCCACACAGCATCAGCAACCACAACAGCTTCCTTTTCATGACATATGGCTTAATAGCATACATAATCTATCGCCCAGTCCCGTATACAATGTATATAATGAATACCCTTCATCGACTCCTGTAACAACTTTGTCTGATCAAAACACCTTTAGCACCAATAGTCATCCGCCGTCAGAGCATATTGAAACGCCTATTACTCATACACTGCCTATTAAGCATAAGAAAAAGCCAGGCCGTAAGCCAAATCCAGCATCACCTGCACTTCGTAAGGCTCAAAATCGAGCAGCTCAGCGAGCTTTTCGCGAACGTAAAGAGCGTCATTTGAGAGAACTTGAGACCACTATTCGGAACTTACGAGACCAAAACCGTAAACTAAAATCACAGCTTGATGCATACAAAACTGAAAGTTGGTATCTAAGAGGTATTGTTTTGACGCTTCAATTTGTATGTATGTACTATCAAATCACTATACCTACACATTCACCTTACATGACGGAAGAGGATCTGATAAGATTGATGGAAAAGTCTCCGAGGGATGTGGATATGCGTGCTACGGAAGCTTATCTTGAAGCATGCAGGAGAAATAACAAAGACATCCAATCGATCTATGAGTTTGTGAACGAACAACAACGCAGCAATCATGTAAGTAGTATGAATGGAGCCACTACCAGTAGCATGGATGATATAAGCATGCCTATGGAAAGTACTATGAATCACGGGCGAACAACTATGCAAATGAATGAAGGCAGCTGTAGCAGTGTTTCTGATGCAGAAACAAATGGCAGGGCATCGTCGACAGAATGCGAGCAGCGTACCACTTCTGAACGAGTCCAAGAACAACAGAGCCAAGATATGATGAGGGATAGTTCTACGAGCGAAGAAAATGAACAATCTGTGAATGACAATATTAAAGGTAAACCATCTATCAAGCCATAACAACAATAGAATCTGTTTATCTTTTCTTCTCCACAAACTAATCATTCATCTGGATATAGCTATTCAACAAATACGACTGCAGCTCGGCGTACAAGCTGTTTTGTCAAACGCATCCACGCCAAATCAATCTGCAGTTACAGCTCGACTGAAGCCCACTTTATTGCAACTCTCAGTTCCTCATGATCCTCGTATTGACCTTATACCGACACCGCACACCAGGGACCGGTTTATCATATTCAGAGATCAATTTGTTGTGGGCCAGAAAGAATGTTATGATAAATGCTTCAATATGCTGCTAAACGGTGCTGTATTTCATGGAGGTGATCCTACGTTAAGCGAATGTTGGGAACTACCAGAAGAATATTTTAGTGAATATTGGTTTTTGACAATTAATTACGATGATGTGAAAGGAACAAATAAATGGAGACGTCAAAAAGGTTTGTGTGACGTTTCTCCCGGGCCTGTAGGAAGAACGGCAACCGACAGTCATACAGCTGCAATGACATCAGTAACGTCAGTAACTACTAGAAACCCTATGCCTACTGTAAACCAAATCAATTGCAATCTACAGTTACTGAGCAATAACATTCATCAGCAACAATTATTAAATTCTTCTGCAAATTTAGAGAACGGCGATGTGAATGATAATGCATGTCTGTTATTGGATGACATTACGCGCGATATCCCAGCTCTGGAACAAAGACAGCAGCAACAGCAACAGCATGATGTTTTTCTAAATAATAATACTGCAACCATATTTAGATGATTCTCGATGGTCATAAGTCTAATTTATTTTTTTCTCCCAGTCTTACTCAGAATACTAGCATTTTTGCATCGTTATGCGCCTCTTTATTTGAGATAGCAGCGGCATATTACTATCAACAGTTACAATTGTTACCATGTGTAAAACAATAAAGACTGCGGTTATTGAAACATATATACGGGCTTTGTCAATTTAGTAAATGCGATGAAGTTTATATTCTATCTCTGCGAAAGACGAGTAACAGAATTGTACTATATATAAACAATGCTGCCCTTCGTCAAATCCATCCCACAGAGGAAGACGTTCGAGCATTTCTTAAGGAGCAATTCATTTGTACCTTGATAAATAACAATAAATACCTTTCGCGCACCGATTCCTACAATCCCGTAACAGGTTACTTTATCCACAGAGAAGACTTCAGTCTTCTTTCTGAATCAATGCGAATCCCTTTACAGCGAGGTGGCCACTATCATTCAATATCCAAAGATCATATTTTGTATGCTTGTTGACACGTGTTTGATGGGCATTTACGGATGTTGACGAAGAGTCAGCCTGAGATGAGGCTGACTTTTTACCGCAGACAGTCAATGGTCGGTTGACATATAGTGGTGATAAGCATTTATATTCGAATTCTACTACGCGGTCATTAACTGCTTCGTTCTTTTTCTCTAGAGCTAATTGCTGCTGAAGCTTTGATATCATAAGAGTTCCACTCAAGGGACCGTGAACTAAGCAATCCGGATGGTTTTCCTCTAAGGTAGAATATAGATAGTCATAATGGATCTTGTGTGAATTAAATGTCAGAGCCGAATAACGGAAAAGCATGATTGAACTGGGATTTACAGTGAACTGGAAATCCGATTGCTTTTTATCTATGGTAAATATACTTATTATCAGTCCCTATATTCTTTACTCTACATTCCTGAATTGTTAGGAAAAGCTTACATCTAATGCCCTTCGGTGATTGCGTAGGTTTCTTCGGATAATATACCATACATCTTTGTTCACTCATACACCAACCTTTATCGTTTGACACTTCCTTAGTAAGAAAGAGACGAGCAGTTTCACCTAATCTTCCTGTGCTATTGAATTCGGTTCTGTCTAGACTGGTCGTCATTTTTGCGTGGTTATTTAAACATAGTGGGTTTTCGAGAGAAAATCTAAGCTTAGCTCCCACCCACATACGGTGAGCAAAGAATTCCTTCGGCGGAAAGAAGTCCATCTCATAGCCATCACTGGCTAATTCAGATTCCTTAAGACGCGGGGGAAAATAAGCTAAATGATAGCAAGGAGGAACAGCAGCATCATCAGTAACATTTTCCTGCCTGAATTGATTGTCATCACGTGAATTTCCTACAACTGGGGGAAGAAATCCATCATCAAGCGTATGACTGAGTAAATTCGCTGTAGACCAGCCAATATAATCATATTCCACCTTGCTTCCCTTTTCTTTAATAACACGTTCCCAATTTTGTAGAGCTTCTTCGGCAGTAGATTTCGTATTATTCACACCAATTAAGCCTTGTGGAGCACAAGCACTGCTTGTTGTTGAGTAAGAAGCAGCGAAAATTTTTGCCACTTTCTTTTGTAGGTTCTGCCTTGATAAGGACAATGATTGTTGACTTAAGCCTGAAAATAGCCTTACTAAATGTAATTTATCCATGTGATAAAAAAGGATAAGAGGAAAAAGGAACAGGAAAGGTATGATTTCCGTTTAATGTTTGCATTTCAATAGTTTGGATTTGAAAGACCGGGAAAAGTAACTTTTTCTAAGAAGCTGACGCATCAACTTCCCAGGGACCTCTTTTCCCCGAAAACTACAGAAATCGAGTTATAACATGCTTCTACGGACTCTAGCGAAACCCCTTACACAGCAACAACGATTGCAGTTTTCTGCCTACTCCACAAGTTCAAGAAGCACAACAAGCTTTTATGCTCAATTTGGGCCGCCCATTATAAAATGTACAGTCATTGCTTCAGCAACAACCTTGGCATTTCAATTGTTATGGGAACATTTAGAATATCAAGAATATCGGGATGAAGCTGATGCCACTATACATAGATTAGAGGAAAGACTGAAATCACTGGAACAAGGCCGTTAAGCGAAACAACAAGATACATAGGCCCTTTCTTAATCGCAGAAAATTGACAGATACACATGTATGACTTTTTTTTTTTTTATATCTTTTCCAACATTCAAGGTACCGCCTTTCAATTCATTCTATTTTACAATCATTTTACTGTCTTTTATTCTGCTAAATTTACAAATAAACTAATAAGATGTAAGGTTGAGTATACTTAAGCCTTGGTGGCACGACGACCCTTGGATTCACGCTTAGCATGGACCTTCTTGGGTTGTTGAGAGGAGATAATAGCAGAAGCACGAGCAACGGCAGCCTAGATGCAAGATAGTAGTTGTGATGAGTTATTGATAACTTATTAAACTGTATTTGTGGATTGTGTGATCAATAAAATGCAACTTACAGCGCGAAGATCAGGACGGTAACGGCTCTTGGCAATCAAGTTAGCAACAGACTTGGCAGTAGCGCGACGGGTCTTAGCGATGACAGTAGAGTTGGCAGACTTGGCAGGGTAGGATTGCTTATCCTTCTTTTGAGTGACGACACGAACACCGCGAGCAGCGGAAGTAATAGCAACAGACTAAAGAAATAAATAATTAAAGTATATGTCAACACTCTATCCTGCATCTTCCCATATCTTCAATTTTGATTGATTCCGTAATTATTCAAATTTGCTCCTTCGTATTGTTTACCTTGGGGTTGGCAAGACCGGAGTACTTGAAAGAGTTGACATTCATCAAGTTGGAGGGTTCGGAAGAGAATTGAACACCTTGACGCTTAACAAGGAAAGAGTTGTTATTTCTGATGATAGACCAAACCAAATCAGCACTCATTGTTCTACATGTAGAATGATGATGTTTAACATTTTTGAGTAATTAGTCGCCTTCACAAAATAAATAAGCCACCAGCGTAACCATAGGCTCGTCGTATATACTTACGATAGATATTAAGGGAAGGAAGAGGGAAGGTTTGTAATTCAACCAATTTTTTTGATACTTTTCTCTTTCCTCTAAGCAAGCGAGATCAAGAATTCGATTGGTTAATTTTCTTGTGGCTTATCGTGGGCTTTCTTCTGCAGCGCTAGGAGAAATGCACTTCCCACAGGCATAAAGCTTTATGAGTCTACATTAGGTTACGATATAGCCATGTAAGAGGCTTACTAGAAAACATTAGCAAGGCAAAGTATTTTTATATACGTTCGTCGATGCTTGCCGCTCCAAGTTTTTTTGGAACAAAAGGGCGACAATCGTAGGGAGGGAAGTGAAATGATATTAAAATTTACGTTTCCGAAAATCTGTTATACGATACGCTGTGTATACAACCGTTGTTCAGGCCAATACTGGACGAAAATCTCTGAAGCAGTCAGAAGTCATACCGGAAACACTTATCAATCCTTTAATAAAGTTCTGAGACTCCTAGAGATAGTTATGAATTTATATTATAAAAGCATACATATGTATATCAAATTAAATTGCGGTTCTTTTTGTTTCGCTTATCAAGTCGCAACATATTTTTTTATGGTGCTACTTTTACCATGGCTTTGATTACCGACGCTCTTCAGCAAGAACTTAGGAGGGCCATTTAACCTATTCAAGAGTGTTTTGATAATAGTTCACTGAATATATTTTTGCTTTTAGCTTATGGAATACAAAGGATTCGTTTCCACAGAGGCTTCTACTGTTGATCCTTCAAGCATCCCCTTGTGAGCGCTTTGTAACAATTTTTTTGTCTGTTTTCTAGATAGAGGCAACTTATTTTCATAGAAAAGCTATGTTGATGATTTGATATGAGGAAGGCGGCTATGGAAGGATGTTTATTGCTGCAGATAGATCAATCGCTTTGTATCGCCTTTCTGTTCGAGACCTTGGACCTGTGTGTTTTCTTCCTCCTGTGGTATTTGCTGTTACTGGCATCATACTTACAATGTTACCCATTGTTGTAACTGCACGGGAACGAGTAGTACGAAACGAAATAGTGAGAAAATTGTCCATAAAAATATCTATGTGAGTACATCTGGAAAGGATGAGAATGGCATAATCACCTCAACTTTTTACTGTAACCAAACGTGTTTGTGATATAAGCTATGTAATCCTTCATCTCAGAAATATCACGACGTATGTAGGCTGATACGCTAATCCCCTTGAGATTTACAGAGGATTACACTTGATATATAAGCTCATTAAATTGTCATCATAGAAGCCTCCTGATCTAGCCACTCTGCTTTAACAAATGTTATAGCCTGAAGGCTAGCATAAAAAATTGCTTTTATAAACTCTGTAAGCATCTCAAATTTGTTTATTAAAGTATCTGTAATACAATTCATTTTGCTTTGTAAAAAGCACTCTTATTTGAAGCAAGAAATAAAGTGTTCAAATAAGGCAGTGTAAAGGTCATCGAGTGTTAAACCACATCTATACTGTTGCTAAATTCATATAACCTTGCTAAAATACAATGAGGAATCAAAGAAAGGTCGCTATGCAGTGATGCTGTCATAGACAAGGCTGCTAAAAACTACGTAACGATATAATAGTGATTTGAAAATGTCTATCATAAATAATATCAATAGTTTAAAAGTTTTTGGATGCTTTACAGGTAGCTGCTGTTCACAACATCCTTCGTATCCAAGCCATATCTTTAACGTCCGTCCCTGCTTTGCCTAAAAGATTCTCATCCTTGGCTCTTTTCCATTTAAACGTTTAAAAATTAAAAAGTTCGAACATTCACTTTTTTGAACTAGGTTGACAGGTTGAGAAGCTCCGCGCATAATTGCTGAATTTCGACCCTGTAAAATAAAATTAATGCCCCCACAAAATTAAGGTACTGGTACACTTTTTTAACTGTAGATCTATTTCATCTCAACAATCATAATGTCACTCAATGCCTTACGCCGACCTTTCTCAAGGCTTTTTTTACAACAGCGCTCTTTATACACGACAGAAGCTGTTAGCAAAGTTCAAAATGGGGAGACGACAAATCATGCAGCATTATTAGCCAACAAATTCATAACGCACGCCAAATTCCAACGTCAGCAAGCATACATAGCTACGCCATTTGTTTCTATCCAGCATATTCCACCTACAGCCACTCTAGAAGATATTTATAAATTAGCAAGAGAAGCTTTTCCTGAAGGGGACAAAGCCGTCAAAGAAAGTAAATTTTCAGAAGCACTCTTGAAGAGATTATCATTGTCAGTTGTCCTCATTGATTAAACAACACATTTTTGTAGTTATCTTTTGTCGTAACCAATATTTCAATTTAAATGGGCGTTGTATCGTATCTATGGCTAGTTCTGAAGACGCTACTCGATTTATTCATTATGGTAATAATCGCACGTTAGGAGGTAGCATACTGAAAATGAACTATGTGAGTATGGTTCCCAATCTAATGATGAGAGTTTTGAAGCGTACTCTGCACATATACTAATTTGCAATTACGATTAAACAGACAAAGGACGTGACAAATGATTTTCGTCGCCCAGAACTGACATCTATAACAGACTCAACAAATTTTTCTGGTCGATCAGTAGTTATAACGGGATTTCCGAAAACAGCCTCCGGAGGAACTGTTTTAGGGCATTTGCGTGCGAGAAACTTTTTCCCTATTGAAGGAATAGAAGATAATATAGTCCAGTTGAAGACGTAAATGTTCAAAATTAAGATTGGTTTGAAAAGAGAGACCTGATTCTAACAACTCACTCTCCTTCTTAATTCTCTTTTTTTTATTGTGCTCAGGAACCCTCAATCTATGGTGTCGAAGTTTTTGATCAAATTTGGATCTGAAAGCGAAGCATGGCGTTGTGTACGAACTTTCCATAATACATACTTCTTATTGAGAGATAAGGATTTAAAACTAAAGCTTCATGTCAATGTAGCTTATTAGAATAAATCAAACATTATAGAATAACTTGAACACACAAGAAGACACTATTTATTTTTTTGTTTTGTTCTTATAATGAGTGTTATGATGATGATGATGATGACGATGGTGTTGGTGGTTATTATTTACGTGAGAGTGATAATGCGAATTTCCGGAGGAAGCATTTGTATTTGTTACGCGCGCACTACTGATAGCAGCAGTAGTAGACGTTTCTGCTGTTGGCTCTGTGATTTCAGGAAGCTTTTTGGCAAATACATCATTAAAAGCAGAGGCTATGCATGCTTTCAATTCTTTGTACGATACGATTATTGTCGTTGTTTGATCTTCACGGGAGGTCAAAAGCAACTTCTCATCTACACCAGCATCCAACTAAACGTAGAGAGCATAAATACTAGGGTATCATTTCTTGCTTAATGCAGCCTTTATTACCTTGTTCAAACATGTAATAACATGAGTCATATCTGTCATAGGAGCTCCTACTTCATTCACTTGATGAAAAATATAATCTCTGAAAAGCTTAATCATATGTCTATCGCCTGTTTCTGACCAACGGGGATCCTTTCCATATTCTGGTCGCTCGTTAATGAAATCTAATTTTGATAGCAGCTTGATTAATCGACTATTTTCCAATTCGGCACTCAATTGGGACTCCAGGTTATCAGTGTAATATTGAGTATTATTGAACTCATGTAATAATCGTGGTCCAATAAACGTAAACACTTCATCAATCGATTTTGTTATTGAGGGTTGTCGCAACAGGTAAATTGCAATATTTTTGAGATCAGGCGAATAAAATCTCGCCACATACTCTAAAGACTGCAAAAGATTATTTTGAAGAATAGCAGCGGTTGCTGAGGAAGAGACCAAGCATGCAACAGAGACAACAAGTTTTCCAAGACTGAATAAATCTTCCTGCTGGTGCATGGATATTGTATTGGCGTCACACATATCATATTGCAAAACATCCAAAATGGCTGTATGGTTAATCCGCAGTCTGTTTTTGCTTGTCATCAAGATCTTACTAGGTTCAATGGTTCTTGCTGCTAACCCAGACCGATGAATCACTTTCAAAGCTGACGCTAATTGTGTAATAAAGCTCCATAAGGTGGTTTCCAACATATTATTCACACCGTTTTGAAATGCAGCGTGCATCATTGCTTGAGCCTGCGGTGAGAAATAAGCATCGTATAAGCTGATCGAACAAGGATGGTATTTGTAAACAAACACAATTGCTAAATTAAATGATATATATTCTCAGCATGTTGTTCATTTCATCTGATTACTCGTAATACAACAAAACCTACAGGAATCTCCAAATGCCCTGGTTGTAAATGCTTCGTGTATAGATATAATATTTGCATGTTTAATTTTCTGCCATGACTTAACAATTTGCATTGCTTGTTCATTAACCAATCGAAACCCTATATTGGTGATGCCCGGTAAACCGTAAGGCTTGAATTTTGAAAAAGATATCTAATTCACTTTACCTTCAATCCTTATTAATGTGTACAGTTTACCATCAACTTTACTTGTCGCTCTGTATACCCATGATGCATGACCTAATAATTTACCAGGCTTCTCTTCCAAAGGGCATAATGAATGATATACATGTACTTCCTCTGGCAATTTCAAATTCTTGGCTACATAACTGATGTGCTCAGTCTAATGGTAAATCGGTAAGCTCTATTTTTCCAAGAAATACCTCGCTTGTTATGAAGAGAAATTTCATTTCGTTTCAATAATTGTTCCTTCAAGTTCTCCGGGACGTTGAAAGATTGTAATATACGTTGATGCAAAGAGAGATTGCTGATGTGAGGTAAAGTGGGTGCACATTGATGATACTAACATGGCAGAAGCAGTAGGTACAAAGGCTGTCAGAAAGGAATAGACACTTTTGTTAAAGCAACTGTTTGTATATACCAAGAGCTGATTGTAAGCGATTGCTGAATTGTAATAATAAGAAGGGTCTAACAGCTGTTGTGTTGCCTGTGATGGATAAAATGTGTTTGCTCCTCCATTACTCATAAATGCTGTTTGTTGTTGTGTTGCTGCAGGATTGAGATCATTCATGAGGTCTACACAAAAGAAGAGACTGAATTAGCTTGTATATGATGTCGCATTTTAGTTAAATCAATAAAGATTTACCAGTAGAATAAGGCGCTAAGGTTGCTGTGTTTGATGCAAAGGAAGATGTAGGAATAAATACGGGCGCATTTACAGAAACGCTACTGATTGGCGTAAGACTATTATAAGTCCAAATTCAGTTAAGCAAAAAATGAAGGGTATGTGCAAAGCATTGAAGTCAGGCTTTACTTTTCTATTGAAGCGGGAGCTTGCTGCTGATTTGCTGTTGATATTATTGTTGCTGCTATGGTCGGTTTCACATCATCCTATACAATTTATCGATATATAATGCTTTGAATATATTTAAAGAAAGACATTATCGCGCTTAAACTCTTACTGCTGTTTTGTGGTTGAATTCACACCCTTTATTTTCGTATTTACAAAAGCCATGTATAATGACATTTCGACACAGTCTTTTCGAATTAGCGGACGCCGTTGAATGTATTACTTTTATTTTGTCATAGAAAAAGTTTTGGCAAAAGATAAAGTGTAAGTTTGGTGTCCGTTAGTTATATTGGTATATTAATGTTAATTGACTGATACCTTTGGGTGTTGTAGCAGTTGAGCCTGCTCTTGATGTCGAAGCTGAAGCTGAAGTAACGGTACAAGACGAATTGTTTTCCAGTTCTTGATTATCCAGACTATTTTTGCCGGAGACTGCGTGATTTATGGACGACATAGTAAAATACAGGAATCCTCGTTTTGAATGCGTCTGTTTGCCTCTGTTTTAGCAGGATTCTTAAGAAAAAGAAACTGAAAAGCGTTGAATTTCCTACATCCAGGATTTCGGAATATCAAAAATTGATTGGATAATTTTGACAGAACTTCAGAAAATGTAAGCAAACTCAGCGAGGAACAACTGCGCTGCCACATCAGGTATGGACAACTCTACTATTTGACCTTACTCACAGCTGAAATAATGAGGATGGCTGCGTCTTTGTAAGTCTAATTCTGATTATCAATAAGGGATAGAGGATGAGGGTAGTATAGTTTTTCTCGCTTGGTCGAATGTATTCCTTATATAAGCTCAATAAGAAACCTTACATAATGACACACAAAATTGAGATAAATGGAAAGTATCCCCTGTCAGGAAAAAGGTCAGTAAACGTGCTAATATTATTAAAGCGAAATTTTGTATCTAAAAGTAAATTGTTTCCTGATCAATAAACTACATAAATATTTCTTCAACTTTAAGGGAATTGTTTATCATAATTGTATTACATCAGATATAATTGTGAATTTATAACAACCCTAAGTTGATTAGAGAGTCAACTAAACAACCGTTTTATATAGTAACGGTATAAAACTTGCCTGCTATTTCGTTTATCTTTTTAAATGCAATTTTCTTCACTATTTTATTGATCATCAAAGTATAACATACTCTCATTCCCCATTTCTATCATTAACATTATCAGAATTAGCTACACCCAGCACTTCATTCGCTGTTGCTTCTTCTTCATCAATGCTATTATCAATGCTATTGTCATCTTCTGAACCAAGGCTTCCCCGTTCGTCATATCTGTAAAAGAGTATAAGTTCAAACTTTCACTCAAGATTTTCTACTGCAACATACGGGAGCATTTACCTTTCTTTGCTAATGTACTTCGGATCCAATACTGCACCTGGAAAAGTGTATAATCCATCTTTGATATACTTCCAAATCTTTCTTTCTTTATGCTTTTCATTGAAAGAGTCAGTTACTTCGACTTCATCCCCGTCACCTTCACGACTCAGTTTATAGCTCTCTGTACTTAGAGCACTGCCTCCAGGAAGTTTTGGATGTTTTAGATCCCATTTCAACATACGGCACAGTTCAGGCACGATCACATCGGAATCTCCTAGAAGCTGGATATCAAATGTCATATGGGTGATAGGTGTACGATTTACTAAGATCTGGGGTACGCTATGCGGCATCTGCGACATAATCTCCGAAACAGGCGACACTTTAAGTGAAGATCCCATCACTATTAATAAATCTACTTTTTCTGTATCTATCGCAAGTAAATTATCGAACTCTGCTGGAAGTTGTTCACCAAAGAAGGTGATATCTGGCTTCATGATAGAAACGCCTCTTTTTCTATATGAATGTTCTTTGTCATCATCATCTTCTGAACTATCATTGCCTTTATTTTTATGACTGGTATTATTTGATATGTTGCTTTTTTCTGCTGCCTCAGCACATCGAGGACAAGGTGGTATCTGCTGTTTCATAATATACTCTTCAATTTCTTTACCATCTACTTTATAACCACAAGTAACACAACTCGCTGTAGCAAAACTACCGTGACAATTGACCACGCGCTTTATATTGGCTTTGTGCTCAAGCGTATCGATATTCTGAGTATAATTCCTTAGCAGTTTCCCTTTCTCTTCAATTAATTTGACAAAATGATGACTAGGGCTGGGCTCGTAATTTGAAGGGTATAGCTCTTTAGCAAAAGAATAAAATATTTCTGGTGCTACCCTGAAGTAATCAATATCAAACATTTGTTGAGGATCATCTAGTTCATATTCTTGAAGTCGAGAATAGATTCCTGTTTCGGATCGAAAATCGGGAATACCACAGGAAACAGAAACACCTGCACCAGTGACAATCATGATATTGTTGGCCTTGCTGAGTAAGTTAGCTACGTCTTCCAACGTGTTGACGGTTTGTAATCTACTTCTTTTACGCAGATAACGAGTAACAATGCTTTTCAATATAGGAAGTAATTCTTTGTCTGACGCCAGTATGGCTGCCTGAGGGTGCTATTTTTAAATATGAATAAATAAAGATATAATGATACAGTTAGTCATTCATTTCATATGTCTCTATGACCAACTTTGTTTTTACCATGAAAATATTGAATGCTTCCAATAGTTTTGGAACAGGTGTCTCATTTTGAACAACGTATTTTTCAATAAACTTCATTAGTCCTTTTTCTTTGGCCTCCTCTCTTATGTTTTCCATTTCTTGATCAGTGAATGGCTCCCAAGCTACCAAATTGTAAATTTTTAGTAACGAAAGATTTCTGTATATGTATATATACAGGCAGTACTTACGGAGCTTATACATAGCTTCATCATCATCATTTCCGTCAACATCCACATCATTATCAGCGTCTGCGCCTATTGTTGCTGTTGTATTCAACGGTTGTGGTATTTGAAAAGCACGGTGTTCCAGCAACTCTTCTTCAACACTGTCATGACTATCACTTTCACTGCCTTCGTCGCCTGAAGCCCAATCTTGATCAGATTCTTCGTTGTATTCATCTTCGTTAAACATATCTTCAAGCGTGAGCTTGTCAGAGTTTGCAGTCTTTGTTGTAGTTACGGTACTATTGTCATCACCAACAGTAGGGTTCGTTATTTCTTCGGTCTCAATAGTCCCTTCAGCATTAAAAGCAGTTTCAACCATGAGATTTTAAATCATTTTACAACATTGTTCTGTAGGTTATCTCACCTTCTATTTTCACTTTTTTGACGGAGTGATTGTATAGATTACTATCAAGCGCGTTGTTGGCAATGGATGATGGATCGCTGTCTTCGGACTGTTGTCGTTTTTTCGTCGGAAGCATTTTTGTTCAATGAAGTTTCCTTTATGTCGATTTTTCATTCCTAATATTCATTCATTGATTTAAACTGTTTCCATCGGACTTTTAATAAGCTCGAATGTGGGTGTGGAAGTGACTACCTGCGTAGAAAGCAAGAAGTACTCCCCATAGTTCTCATATTGAGTCAATATAATAAGGCGTTTTATTGAAGCAAACAGAATAATGCTATTAACGTACTATACCATTTCCCTCTACTAGTACTTGTCCGCCTTGCTAATACAGGTACTACTGTTATTATTATTATTGTTATGACATTGTGATAGTATCATTTGTATCCATCCTTTTGCTAACAAAAACACCTTCGCGGAACCTTTCGATTTAACATATCTTAATGCTAATATGTGATCATTCTGACTAGTTGATACACAAGATATATCAATAGTCATGATAGCAAATCCATCAGGGCTATCGAAACTGTTACTTTCATCAGCATTATTATTCTGCAATATCAAAATAGATTCCTCCTGGTCTCTCTTCTTTTTCTTATGCATTGAAGCTTTGGAAAACAGCGATTTTGTATGATACGTTGAATCGCCCAATACCATAGCTGTTGACGCCGAGGTTGAAGTAGTAGTTGTAGTGGCGGATAAAGCAGATGGGTGTTGAGGCTGAGAGATATGATGTTCACTATTCCCACGATCGTTATAGAAAGGATTCGATAATCTGTGCAGCTGCTTACTCCACCATTTTGATAACTGACTATTCCTATTACTTCTAGTGCAGCTGGAATGCTCTTCAACACCGGAAGTCATTGAGTTCATAGTGGCCGTTGTCATCATAGTCAATGTTGTTGTTCGCGACATATTACTAATATTTGAGTATTTCTTGTTATTGAATAGTTTAGATTTCAGTAAAGACGAGGTTGTGAAAGTCGTTGTCATGTTTGATCCGTTAACTTCTTTTTCATCGTCATTATCATTAAGACTGTTATCGTCTTTATCTCCTTTACTTTCAAGAAATCTACTCAGCCTCTTCTTGTAATTCCTCCTCTTTTCCTTGCTTTTCTTGTTGTTGTCCTTAACTTTTTGATGAAGTTCTTTTCTCTGGTCCTGGCTACTTTTCAGTTTACAATTTCGTAATGTCAACAGACAGACCAGCTGTGTTGAAGATGACTGATAATAGGTGATACCCAATATATCACATGCTTGGCGTATTAGTCGCGTCATTGTTTGTATCGCACGTTGCTGCTGTCGTTCCTCGATCTCTTCTTTTTCTTTTATTTCTTCATATGACAATGATTTTTCGGGATCTGAATGATTTGCATGTTGTGGCAAGAATGCCATAGATAAGCGATGTGAAAGACTTTTCCGCTTATTGTTATTGTTGCCGACGGTAGTTGCGATTGCTGGCACGGGTACCGAGCTAAAATTGGAAGATGATATTGAGTATTCAGACGTTGAAATCATGGTTGATGATGCAAGAGAGTCTGTTGCGGTATTGTTGTTGTTGACTGTTGTAGAAGTAGAAGTAGTGAGAGATTGCCGATGGGAGTTGATATTCGACGTAATTTCAGACTTTATAGAGAAATAACTGACGTTATCTTTGATACCTTTCTGATTCAATAAACTTAAGACGGATGCCGCTTTGCGTAATTTGAGTGATGGAGTTTGTTGCTGTTCCTTCAACTTTGATTTTCGAAACACTCTGGATATAGTTGACTTGGAAGTGATCTCTTTTTCATCCATTGATCGCAAATGTACACTTTTCAGGTTTACTAAAAGTTGCTGGTTTAATTCTGTAATAATTTGAGTCTGCTCCTTATCTCCACTTTGGATAGAAGCATCGCTTGAAGTAAAATAAGTAGACGAATGCGTTATATGATATATAACGGTTTTTTTACATGGAAATAATGTTTTTCGATGTTGTTGGGTATCAGGGTACTGTTGCTGAGGTTGACGTCGTTTTTCTTGTTCTTGGAGTAAATCCTGTTTACATTGTCTTTTTGTCTGCTGAGCGCCCATTTGTACTCTGTTTAAATCTTCGGATCTGAATGATTCCGCGTATAATCGCGTCGCTTCCTTGGCATTATAATTTAGTCTGCTATCGTCCGTATTATTTGTGTCTGTAACAGATAGGCCGTTATTGCTTGTATAAAAAAATATGTCCTCATTACTTAGCGTACCGTTGTTCGTAAACCACGGATCTTGCTTCAGTATAGTTTCTAAACTTAACCGGTTTGCCCGATCTGTTGATAAACACTTTTGTATCGTCAATTGCAGGTCCGTACTTAAATGTGACGGAAATCGATACTGTCGGCATAAGATATACTTTTTCAATTCAGCAGGTGTTTTTGCGTGTGCAAAAAGCTCAGTTCCAGCGGTCATACGGAACAAAAGAATGCCCAAACACCATGTATCCACTTCAGGTCCAATATATGATCGAGCTGCAATTATTTCCGGACTATAGTAAAGCATAGATCCACAGACTGTTTTCAGCCTTTGTAATCCATATCGGTTACCCAGTCCAAAATCAGCTATTTTAACTTGGTTTAAGTTTTCGCCTGTGAGAAGGATATTGGGCGTCTTCAAGTCACGATGTACAACCCAACGAGAATGACAATAATCGACTGCTTTGACAATCTGACGAAAGATATGGCGTGCCTTTTCCTCATCCAAATGTGCAAATTTATTTTTGTCGCTGTTATTGTTGGTAGCGATGGACTTTAAGTAATCTTCAAGGTTGAGGCCAGGCACATATTCCATGACTAAATAGAGTGCATCAGCTGTCTCGTAAGTCTCATAGAGCGTGACGATATTAGAGTGTTCATTAAGAACTTCCATTAACTGTATTTCTCGTACAAGTCGGTACATAACTCTATATTGATGTGCTCTTTTATTTATGATCTAGTAGTGTTTAGATGTTGAGTACATGATGTTTTCTTTTCGTTTTTCTTCTTTGGAATTTAAAGTAATCGCCTTTGCTCTTTACCTTGACAGCCACTTTTTCGCCTGTTGAATGATGTTCAGCCAACATAACTTGACTGAATTTTCCATCACCTAGTCGTGACAAAAAGATATAGTCGCCTATGCCATTTAAATGACTATCTGAATTGACGAGGTTGCCATCGGTAAGATTAGGTGCTACTGCTTTTGCTGTTGTTAGAGTAGCATTATCATCGTATTTAGGCTTTTGCTTCGTTCTATATATCGTACTACTATTGGTACTATTGCTACCACTGCTTTTATAAGGGGCTACTGGTGGCGCTGATGATTGTGGCGCCTTACTATTTTCATTGCGAAAATAAGGATTATTGCTGCTACTTTCTTGATGGTAACCGTCATCGTCATCATCATCAAGTTTCAATTGCATAGTAGTAGATCGATGCCGCCATTTCGGTACTGTTGCTGATGATCGACGAAAAGGATTGTTTATGACCACCATAATTTTTAATGGCCCGGTGCGGTATATTCAAACAGATTATATACTATAGAGAGGTAAGATATTTATGTGTACAGTTTCAAATCTGAGGGTATGTTTTACTGGTAAAATATATGTACAATATTAATTTAGGGAATAATAAAAGTACAGGTATCTTCTTGGGTATTATTTATTGTAATTTCGTTATTGCAGAGCAAGTGAGAAAAAAGCAGAAAGTGAGAACAAAAAGGAGGTTATTTGCTGAAATGGCTTTTTTTAATGGTGAAAAGTTAACTGTGAAACCTTTCTACATCTATTTTAGGAACAGAGATCGTCATTCCATCTTTTGTCTTATTGTGTTAGCCCTTCTTTTCGTTGTTTCTTTTTATTCAATACATGTTATTGTCATAAATTTTCCTTTGCGGCTTTATTTCACATCCAAATTTGTACACATTATTTTTATGCAAGTTAAAAAGCACTTGCGCACTGTCCTTGTTGCTGTACCTGAAAATGGTATAATTCTGAATAGACAGAGGCCAATATTGAAAAGCTTGCGATAATAGCAGCGTTCGAAAACTCCTTATATCATATATAGACGATTCTAAAGGCATGGCTGTTGGAAAGACAGGTCACCAGGTCACCAGATACCTTATTATATGAAAAAGTTCAAGTTTGGGAGGATGACAATCAAAGAGAAGAGTTGGAATAAACAAAGTCCTCTTTACCTTGGTTCTCGTTTATAGATACAGCGTATTTTCTTTTCTTTTCTTTTCGTTTTTACAACCACTATCAACCTATAAAGCTTTTTGGGTTCATGGTCTTCACAAAAAATTCTATCAATAAATATATATTAAGCACTTTGTAAAGATATTTTGCAGACCTAACGTCGTAGATTTTTGTAAAGATAGCAGGAATAACAATTTCTCCTTTACCAACTTACATAGAAGAGCAACTTGAAAATGGAGCGCCAGATATTGAAAGTTTCGAGGCAATCTCTTTCTATAGGTATTGAGCAAGTATGACATTTAGGATTGGTAATCATGTGCTATCGAATTTACAATAAGGTACATTGTCGTAGACATAGGATTTGGGAGAAAGAGCATTGCACATCTATTATACTATAGCTAATTGATATAAGGACTTCCATTCAAAAGAATAGTTATAATACAACATACTCGACATTTGAAGCAACTTTTGCGCGAAATACTCTTTAAGTTGCTGCCTTTTGTCGTAACAGTGTCTTTATCAACTACTCGATAACATGCCTGACAATTTGTGAGAAACAAAGCATTGTAATCTGTTTCGCAAAAGAGTTTGTTGCCTTCTACTTCTAACCAGTTGCAACTGAATCTACTGTTTTATTATGATGAGAGCATCATAGGTGTTCAAGGGGAAAAAATTGGTTCAGTATGATTCCGGGTTTTACAAATCCTTTAAAGGTTTTTGGCTAAATAAAATACAAGAAAATTTAAATGCAATAGTCTGCGAGCAAAAGTGGTTGATAATGCCCATCACAATATATACTGCCTTTAAAAACTCTCAAATTATTCTGTCCAAAGCCAAGTCTTAAACACACCTTAAACAACGTTCATGATACAATTTTTACGAACAATTAGCCTTGATAATTTTGAAGAAACGGGAACAGTCATTCAATGCTTATACTGACTTGCGCTACAATAATATCTGCTTCGCTGTGCCGACAATGGGTACATGAACTTTGTCCTATGCAGCTGTTACTATTATTTTGTTGGTTTTTTTTTCTAATTGACGTTTTCGGTTGCTGATTACTCCTGTCAATAACAACAAATGCATTCTGTTGATAACACGATATCTGGGAGAATTTATACTATTGTGCGTTAGAAATAGTAATACGCGTAAATTGAAACATAGAGTCTAACTTATTGGTTTCTGATCTGCATACGTATTATAGGTATGCAGGTCAGTTAAAAGACATATATGGTTCAAGAAGATTTTGAACTGACATGGCCTTCACATTTTATACACTTAATAAGGGTAAAATGTCCTTTGCCATCATCTTGTTAGAAAGTTTGAGGTAAGAAAAAATAAATAAAGAATAAAAGGACTAGACAATGCAAAGGAGAGAAGACTGTTCGTTTATCACATACATATGCGGAAATTCATTTACCAACTAAGTTTTCTGATTTTTCATAAATTAACCTTAATGAAAGAATAAACAAGTGTTAAAACGGTTAATCAACAGAACCTTTTAGTCTAATTACAGATCAATGACCTTACATAGGCAAAAGGATGTTATAATCTAAACATACTATGCCATACAATAGTTATTTAGCCATAGTGGAAATTCAGGAGACTGGCCTCTCATAAACAATAGCCGTTTTAGGCTCATTGTTTCGCATCAAGCAAAAGACCTCTTTAGATGGGAAGTACTGTGAGCGAACTTCTTGTATTTGCAGCTAGCTTTGTGTTATAATCACAGTCTTACACATTCTCGAACATTTTGAAGAGTGCAATATAAGAAGTTTATTTATATTTCTTCCGATGTGTACCCTTAGGGTAACATATAGGGGCACAAAGTAAAAGATGATGGCAGGCTTTCTTGTGTTATGCTAGTACAGCAATGTCTTTCTTATTGATTTTGCGTTGCTAAAATAAGTAATTAACAAAAAACTTCATACAATGGATACAAAACACAGGGGGAAACAAGCTTGCTGTGTTTGTATGTTGGTGTACAGTGGTACAACAGCAAGAGACTTGGTATTTCAGGTTCGTTTGCTTTTGGCTTTATAATGTTCATAATTGTTACATTTATGGACTGAAGAAAATTGGGGACGGTATATGAAAGAGCGTAAAGTTAGAGTCATCGTCTAACACGAAAAACGCGGGGAACAGTATGTCAGGATGATCATTGTTTTTCTTGTTCAAATTGCTACTCCTTTTTCATTTTGCAGAATTTTTGAGTTACAGTTGAGACATTAAATAATCGCAGATTTGAACAGGCAATTTAGAAAATTAGAACTTAATGATTCAGAATAAACCGGTTCACTGTGCCTCTCAGTAAGAGCTTTTTAATCAAAAAATAAGCAGAAAATTGTTCATTCAAGTTATAATAGCATCAAATATATAATTGTCAGAAACAAGACGCTTCCAAGGAGATGAAAAGCGCGTCTAAAATTTGGATGGGTGTCTGAGTTTCACTTAGTGCCGCAAGATATGTATAGACGGATGATTAGGTATTTTAAAAGTCAAAGAAGACATGAATGCTCAAGTGTTTTACTCGCGAGATGAGGCGCATCTATTTGAATACATTTTTAGTTTGTATATTACTTCAAATTTCATATGCCTAAGGATATTTCCAAAGAAAAGGACTAGTTGCTAAGTATCCTACTTGCTGATTATCTTGTATTAAATGATATATGTATATAACTTTCTTCTTTGTTGTTTTTCATTTATGGCTTTGACTAGCAATCCGCTTTTATGTCTAAAAGAAACAGTTCTGTCAAATAAAGCATAGAAACCACTCTCAAAGAAAAACCATGAAATAAGAAAGCAACAAAAATGCCAAACCATACTAAAAACAAATTTAGTACTTTTGGCATTCATGAAGTGTCAAAACTGTACTAAGTATTCTTCTTATGCCTGTAGTACGGGTGAGGAAAGGCTTTGTTTGGGTCAAGGTCTGCAACTTATTGAGAAGAATATGAAAAACATGCAATTCAACAGGAGCACAATATATAATAAGAAAATGAGTAAAAGAAAAGGAAGCATAGTTGTAAGAATCCTATGAACGCGATTATCATTAGAAACTATCAAAAAATACAAAATGCTTGTGTTGTATGTTTAATCTTTTAAATTGCTCTTTTCCAAATAAAAGTGTAAAGAATTCAATGCAGACGATTTGAAAAAGGTTTCTTCGTAGTTTCTGGAGATGGAATGGTCTACAAATCCGTTATCCGATTAAACGTCATGGAACTGGTTTTATCGAAGTATTTATGGCATGAATATAAATAGAAAAGAAGCGTCAATTAGTTCCGTGTCTATCACAAAAGATGAGCACAAGGCGTCAAGCATTTGCAATTGGTGTAGGTCAGACACACTGAAAGCATGAAATATCGTATATGGTTAAAGCATCCGTCTCTGTAAGTCTTTTGAGATATTTTTCGAAACTGAGATGTTAATGCAGTAAAAAGTATGTTCGCAATTGATAACTCGATATGGAATGAGGAACTGCGTTCAAGTGTCCAAAAGTAGAATCAAAATTGTCTAAATGACTTTATGTCGAATACTTCTATTTAATCTCCGTTTAAAACTGAAGCTAAAAATTATAAATGCACTTTTTGCCAGTAGGTTGAATCACACACAAGACAATTATCGAAAGTTAAAATGTAAGCCAGGCACACAAAGTAACGATGGATATCGGTTTACCTGAACGACTTTTTCTCCTATATTTCACGCCTTAAAACCCTAATAACTCTCTTTAATAACTTTAAGGCTTCATTCAAGCCCGCCCACCCTCAACCCCCTTTTTTTTCCATTAGACTTGGTCTTCTTTTTTCTTTTTTTTTTTTTCCTCTTCTCAACTTTTTTTGTTCTTTCATTTTTTTTTTTTGCGGTCATCTCCTAAAAGGTGATCTCTACAGGAAGACAAAAAAAGTAGTAGTTAAGCCAATATTTGCTGCACATATTATCATTTATGTCATCATCGACAATTACAGCGAAACCATATTTAACAGAATCTTGGATTCATCAGCATATGCAGAGACATGATCAATTCAGCAATAGTGAAAAAGAGAATAAATATGCAAGGTCAACAGCTAGTAGTCGGTCTCGGTGTTCAGCTACCAGTAGTATGATTGCAGAAAGTATTGCCGATGGAAGAAGAAGAAGAAGCGCAGCTAACATACTATCAGAACATAGTAGTAAGATACATTCTTCTTCCAACACTGCCACTAATACGACAACAAATTTACCGAAACTGCAACAGCTTCAGTCAAAGAGAAGACAATCACAGTCAGGTGCTTTAAGCGGTAATGATAGTAGTAGTCATAATATAAACAGAGATAATAAACAACCGACAATAACAGCACTGGCAGCGGGAGCAGGATCGGATGATGGAAGCAGAGGGCCAGGATTGATCAAACTAGCAGACACTTTACGTCAAACCTTAGCTTTGGAACGAAAGTTGGCAAAGGAGGAATTAGAAAAGGCTACTAAAAACAAGACAGGCACTGCCTTGACAACCAATAAATATACTAGAAGGCGTACATTATCCACAACCAATGTTGCTCGACTCCCTGGAAATGATAATGGTCAGAACAGTGGTAGTTACTTGAAACCCACTTTAGCAGATCATCAACGTAGAAATTCAATGCGTCTAAGCTCTCCCAGTCATACATCGGCATTGGCAGCAGCGGCAGCACGAAGAAAAAGCGTTGCACATATTTCTAGTAGTACTACTAATAAAAATGCTGAAAATGATAGCGTAAGTTTAGCGTTAAGAAGGAGATCAATTTTAGCTGCCGCTACTGCAAAAGCCCGGCAGCAAAATCTACTATCTCCAACAACATTAGCAGCAAATAATAGTAATGCTGATGATGAATCTTCGTTAGCCAGCAGCGACAATAAAGGTCCCCCACAAAACAAGATAAGCCCCTCACGCCGTACGAGAAAGAAGTCTATCCTGAATGAAGTGAACGCAGGCCGAAGGATGTCCAGAACAGAGAGTTTAAAAGAAGGATTGCCTACGATTAATACTACTACTACTACTACTACTGCTACTGCAAATAGTACTACAACAAATTCGATCTTGAAATCTGCTCGGCTGTCAAGTAGAAAAAGCAGCATTACCTCATCACCCACAAAAAGGAATTCGTCAATAACAACTACCAAGAGCAATAATATTGCCGATGGTATTACAACGATATCAGACATAAAAACAGCTTCGGAACAAAAACAAAGGGGAACGATAACGAACGCAGTTGGTAGCAGAAAGCGTGGCAAGGTAAAACATACCCAATTTGGACACATGGCGTAAAATCTATGCATCCTGTACATCCATATTAATTTGCCCATTCCACTTTATTATGTTTAATCAGACATTACCAGGTAATTTGGCAAAACCTCCACCTGTTCAAGCTTTAAAATTGCCACCTATGAAAGTAGAGCCTATTAAAGTGGATATGCCATTAGTTAAAAAGAGAACATCCGTTGCAATGAAGGCAAAAACCCCTACTGCCGTTTCTCGAATTGCTGTACAGAAGAAACGCATGTCTCTCTCTGAAAGCACAACGCCCGTATCTGTCTGTCCATTGTCGTCTTCGACATCTTCATCTCCTAACACCGCTACTATCACATCAACTTCATCAAAAGCAAAACGCAGGTCGAAAGGCCTTAGTTTAATAGACACCAGACGTGCTTCATTCAAAAGTCTATCCAGTTTGAATTATACTCCTCCTCATACAGCTACAGCTGCACTTATACCAGTCAGTAATGTGAAACCTTCACCGCGTATTAGGCCTACATCAACTACTCGCCGACCAAGTTTAGGTCTGACCATAGAAAACCAGTCGAGAGTCAAGAATGCAGAGAAATCACAACAGAAAGAGCAGTCATACTCACCATCATATTGTAACAACAATAGTACAGCCTTTTATAATAGCATCAGTAGTGGCAGTAGGAAGAATTCGCTTGTAGTAGATGAAGTTGCCATTGCTGAGAATAATAATAATACCAGCAATAAAATACGTCGTTCAACAGCAGCAGCTGTCAGTCTTCGTGAAAAATTAGAAGCTATGGTGGCAGAACATGCTATTCAGGAAGATAACATTGTCACTAACAATCGTAGTAATAAATCACCTTACTCAGCAGCAATAATTGGTATGAAAAAGCAATCGAAAGACTTGAGCAAAATGCTCGATAGTACTAATATGACAAACACTTTGCAATCAGTACGCAATACTAGTAAGATGAACGATTTAATATCAACTGGAATGCTGCCCTCAAGTATCCAAAATCTCCCCATGACACCCTCTATAGCCATTAAATTGTATGGTCACCAACTGTCCCCCTATGAGCAAGCAGAGATCCAAGGTTATCCTGAGATCTACTTTGTAGGGCGCTCTTCTATCGAAAAATATCAAGCGATGCCAGATAGCTATCATCATCAGCAGAATAGCAAACAAAATTATGGTTATGACGATGAAAGAGGAGACTATAAAATCCTTTTACACGATCATTTAGCTTACCGGTATGAGGTTTTGGAAGAATTAGGCCGAGGTTCATTTGGGCAGGTCGTCAAGTGTTTTGATCATAAACTAGGCATTACGGTGGCTATAAAGCTGATACGGAATAAAAAGAGATTCTATGCTCAAGCAAAAACAGAAGTGAGAATTTTGAGTGATTTAACCAGATGGGTAAACGCTTAAATCACCTATAATGTTTTGGATGGAAGCAAGTTGTTTCTCATGTCTCAACTTTTTTTTATAGGACCCTGAGGATAGACATCACAATGTGAAAATGACGGAATATTTCAACTTCAGAAATCATCTGTGTATTGCCTGTGAATGTCTAAGCATGAATTTGTATGAATTCATCAAAATTAACAATTTCCAAGGATTTCAAACGAAGCTGATTAAACGTTTCACGATACAAATACTACGGTCTTTATCTCTACTTAAAAAACACGGCGTTATCCATTGTGATCTGAAGCCAGAAAACATTCTATTGAAGCATCCTACCAAATCGACAATTAAGGTCATTGATTTTGGTAGCAGCTGCTTGACCCATCAGCGCGTATATACCTACATTCAAAGCCGATTCTATCGCTCTCCCGAGATTATTTTAGGATTAGATTACGGTACATCCATTGATATGTGGAGTTTAGGCTGTATCATTGCGGAATTGTATACAGGCGTGCCACTCTTCCCAGGCGAAAATGAACAGGAGCAACTTGCATGTATCATGGAAGTGCTGGGCGTGCCAGACTCCAAATATATCAATATGAGTGAACGTAGAAGTCTATTCTTCGACCGTCATGGTGAACCTCGCGCCTTTTACAATTCGAGAGGCAAAAAGCGAAAAGCTGGCTCAAAATCGCTTCCCCAAGTGTTACGATGTAATGATCCGTTGTTTTTGGACTTTATTCAGCAGTGCCTCGTGTGGGATCCCCTGAAGAGACTCACACCAGACAAAGCATTTCAACATGCATGGATCGTGCAGCAACAACAACAATTACCGCTACCGTCCTCCTCCACTAATAGATATTCACCGTCACACCAAGCAGAAGTGCATGCTGGCAGTGAGCCTACATCTAATGTTGTAACTGAAAAATCATCCATTACAACTTAACCGGAAGCATTCTAAAAACAACTTTAATACCGCAACCCTTTATTGCGGCTCTATCAAACATAAGTCAATCTATTTGTAAAACCTTTAGAACGAACTGTATCAAATTGATATGTAGAATATTTATGGACCAAGTCTCATATATCCTCTTTTTTTTTAAAAAAAAAAAAATTTACATTTTAAGACTTCATATACCATCTTGAATCCATTCTAAGTATAAAATGAATTTGTTCAAGAAATAAAACAGACAGTAACTAATACAAGGTCAATTCTAAGAAAATTGCACTTACCATTCCTAAAATGACAAATTCACTTCTTAGAGAAACTGTGGTAAGAGTGGTAGTAAGGAAAGAAAGCTTATGCTGGTGTCTTTAGCCGATTGAAGACTGTGAGTATGCATGCGTTCGAGGAAGGCTCTAAGCGGCGCTAAAGACGTTTTCTGTTGATTTCGCGTCCCTAGGCTATATAATTGCGCATGCGTCTGGAGAGAATGTGAAATGAAAATTATTGTCGTACGGTTTATTTTTCAGTATGATAATCAAATAATTTTGTATGACTTCAGCTTTCATAAATAACCGCTGAAGGAGGTTTCTGACAACATGTGGTATATAGCATCTACAGTCTCTGCAGTCAACCAAAAAAATCGCTTAAAAACTTTCTATAAACAATTTGTTAGAGAAAAGACTTCCCTTCATCTAAATTTCTGTTGGTCTACTTCAGCAATCTTCCTTTCAAAAACATTATATGAATGATAGAAACAGTAACTGAACTACACATAACAGTACCGTCTAGCTCAGAAATATTTCAACCGTTGCATAAGTACAAGTACCAATAAAGAATTGCTAAGATGGTGACATTGTTTACCTTCTATACAGAAAGTACTAACAAAATTCAGGACAGGTAAGAATGGACATCCTTAATTTTCAATACGCATAATTGCTTCAAGCAGTTTTTCAACTTTTATTGTTATTGTCCAATGAATAAAAATCATATAGCGCATAGTAACTCTATATTTGATTTCGTTAACAAACGTTGACTGCTGATCACTTTATACTTCAAAACGGACTAATACATTTAAACAATCAAGCTGGGGTAACAAATCTATAAAACGGTAGCTACACATGAAGATTGATGCCCATTTTTTGACGTTAATTAATTGTTGGCCATTAACAAAAGGGCATGCACAAATTAACTTGTTACTCAAATAAATGACTATTAATTCGAATAGGTACTATATCAGGGCAGATTTCAAAGAGATCAAGGGACAAGTGAAGCAGCAGCACCGAAAAATTCAGGATTCTGAAGGAAACATAACAAAAGTTATGTTTTTGTTAATTTTCATTTCAGTAGACAGCATTCACTTTCGATCCTCTGTAACATAGTAATGATAATATTGGTTAAAATAGTGATAGCCTACCACCATACTTTCAATAATTTTTACCATTTGTAACATTACTTTAATCTAACTGCTTAATTCTTTTCAGATGATGTTTATGATGATGGTGATGCTTATAAAATGTATAAATATGTTTGGATTACAATTGATAGTAGTAGATAATACGTTTAGAATAAAAATTTTATGCAGAAGGCACTAGCGAGCATAAGAAGGAGCTCTTTGATTGTCAATCATCATGTTTGAAGCTGCCATTCTTGCCTCTATGAGCATTGTGCTCTCAAGCCTGACCCATTCTTCAAATCTATGCATGACGATACCACTGCTATCGAATTCACCTTCGCGACGTCCATGATCTTCTCCTTTGTCCGATTGTCCTTCAACTACACGAGTTTGTCCCCAAGAGAAATCATCAAAATGCCAATAAGCATAAGCGGGTAGAACAAAGTTCCAAATAGGTAGTGAGAGCAAATAAATAAACATCCACATAACGTAGATCATCTTGAAAGTAGTAATGGCAATCAGTACAGCCGGCAAACCCAAAATAACAGCAAGCAGCAGCAATGGGATTAGCGGAATAGGCTTGACAAAAAAGGAAATGATGATCAGGTAGAGAGTGAAAGATATGGCAGCAGGGAGAACGACGGTGCCGACAAGTTCCATGAAAACAACAAATTGCATAGAGAAACAGAATGTACCGCACAAGTCGCGAATCAATACAAGCTCAAGTAAATTGTGAACAGTAGAGTTGATCCAGCGTCTTCTTTGGGATAAAAGAACTTTGAAAGTATCCGGTACAACGGTTTTGCAGACCTAATAGAAAAGGTACGGCAAGTTTCAGTTTCTTTCTCCCATTAATAAAATTATTTCTTAACTCTGTATATGGATATAGATCGTATAATCTTACTGCTTGAGGTACAAACATCATTTTCCTTTTAGGAAACGTCCGTAACATGAGTGTGGTTAAATATCTATCTTCACCCAGCAGTAAAAGATTCTTTTTATGCAGGCTATCCACGACATTTTCACAGTATTTCTCAACAATATCCTGGGCGCAAAAGATAGGAACCTTTTTACCGGCTTTTGGGGCAAGAATGCGATACATACAGAAGCAACCAGGTAAGCAAGTGACACCGCCGAAAATAGATTCAAAGGCTTTGCTCATATGGTGTGAGATGTAATACTCGAACACTATGGAAGAGTATTGATTAGTTTTGAAATTAGCAATTGAGCGCTCTTTCCCTTCTCTTACCTTGAATGGCAGTAATCCATGAATCGCTTTTATTAGCAATCTTCGTTTCACCACACAATCCCATAATTGATGGGTCTCTCGACATGCACGCCACCATTCGAGCTAAAGAGTCTGGATAAACTTTTGTGTCTGCATCAACCTACATTAGATGAAGTAAATGTTTGTCGAATGAGCCCTTTTCCGATAGATCAATATATATATTTATCAGTTTTCAATTAAGTTTTACCATCAAACAAGTCTCGAATTCTGAGGGATGAACGCCACTCAATTTGAAGACTGCTTTACAAAACTGATACTCTAAATCACACATACGCTCGGCATAGTACACTTTCTGCATTGCGTTCATTAGAATAACTTGACTATCTCGTTTACCACGATTGCCTGGTTTTATATCACTACGTTCGGCGTCTGTGCCACACTTGACCACAACAATCATGGGTACCCGTTGCTGTTGATCTTCCGGTATCACTTCAGGCATTTTAGAAGTATCTTCATTATACTTGTAATATCCAGCATAAACTTTAGCCATATTATGCCGCTTACTACCATCAGCAATAGCTACATATGAGGAGGGTTGTACTTGCTCGCGCGGAACTACATCATCCTTCATCATGGAAAGAACAATGTCAGGTGTAGATATACCATTGCCAGAGCCTGTTATAATACCATCGCACACTACTATAAGCATTTTATGAGTAGCTGGATAATCGGTGTTCGCAAGTGAGTCTAAGGTAGTACGTAATCCTTCTTCTCCTTCTGAATAGCAAGTAACAACCATAAAAGTATGAATCAAGTCAAAATTAAATTTATACTGCTCTTTGGCGGCTTGAAGTTTTGCTTGTTGAGCTTGCCGAAAAGAAAGAGAAAGGGCGTGTTGACCATCATCGTAGCGTGTGCGGAATTGAGATATATTGGGTGATCCTCCATCTTCAACCGTCAGACCAAACGAACGAGACGGGCTCTGATATAAAGTTCGAGACGTATTGGGTTGGGTAAACCGCGAAGTGGTAGGGAAGAAACGACGTTTAGGTTTGTTATATTTCTGCTGAGGTGATGCGGTTGTTGTTCCATTTTCTTCCCGGTTATGAGTGCTTACAATTTCAGATGGTATCAAGGGACTCGAATTTGCTGGTTTTGTTTGGTTGAAAACAGCACTAGAAGCAGCTGGTGGTACTATGGAGATATTGCTTTGATCGCGATAATGCATTTGTTCAACATTATTCATTTCCCATTCCAACACTTTTTCTCGTCGTCTTCGTCGATCTTCATCGGTCTCTTCACGTATACTACCAAGCTTCCCAGAAACAAACCAACCAAAGATAAGTGCCAAGAAGAAACGGATAAAGACAACGCCGAGAATGACGGCTAATGAAATCCATAGAACAATATCGGAAATAATACAACCTGTGGATCTTGTATCGACAACGCCTACTTTAAGGATATCAGTAAGACATTTACCAATCTGTAACCTATCAGATGTTGTGCTGAGCCAATAGGTGGCATCACGGCCAATGAAAGCACTTCCAGGGCCAACAATTTGAGCTACCTGCGCAGGAAGAGGGATATTGGGTGTCAAATAACGTAGTCTTGATAAATCCAATACATTACTATATCAGACGTAGTTGCAAACAGTCAATAAATGTTTACTTATTTTCATTTGATTTCAAAAAGCCTGTCCAATTCAACAATAGTTACCCATTGAAAGCTACTAAACTTGTTCCTGGTTTCTGAATATCTGTCCAATTATAGTATACATCCCCTACTACGTCCAATCGACGGATGGCTAATCTTGCTTTCTTACTGATATGACATCCTTGGCGCCCTGGGTTATCGGTCGCATTCAAATCGGGATTGTATCGATTCAACGCTACACATGGAAAGTAGTTCACTACGTTACCGTGCTCATCATCTGGCTGTATAGGGTTGAATATTCCTTTGCAGTTATAATTAACTGTCTGGAACATGAATGACAAATCATGACCACCTACACCTAGTTCCTGAAGATCACCACTGGCAGGAATATCAGGAAATGGTGTTGGATGCCGAAATGTATTGAGATCAAATGCTCGGCCATGGATAATCACATGATGCTCTTCAACGCCAGTTGGACGTATGCGGTTTGGCTGAATACCACAGACAGTAGCATTGAAACCAAAAGTTAAAAAACCTACAGCGGCACACAGCAATATTATGATTTGCACAAGTGTAACCTTTTCACGCCAAGCTTGCTGCATATATTTATCACGAATGCCTGCGTTCCAAAAAGCGCCATAATGGATAAGTCTAAGTGTACCTCTTTCAAGCTTCTCAATGTTGATATTTGTTTTGACATCAAGGAAAATTCATGAATACATTACCTATGGATCGTAACATAAACGATGGTGCCCACCACGTCATTGCTCTACTGACCATTGTCCAGCAATCGATCGGCTTCTGGGAATTGCCTTTTCCAAAATTACTCTTTTCGTCTCCATATGGATATGCTTCAAGTGAAGTGGGTGAATGGGATGGATTGTTCAAAAAGGTCGCTCTTCGTATTTCCTCCAATTGCTCAGGTCTTCTATTGCTGAATTGGGTATTGCTTGGTAGTTTGCCTAATTTATTCCCATCTATGGGCGAGGATGGTGACTGTACCGGATTTGTACGTGTCAGCACTTCCTCTACCACATCTTTATTATTCTCAGATAGCGACTGTACCTGTACATGAGAGATAGGGGATCTCGCTTGATCTGTGTCACCACTTGTGCCACTTTGATTGTGTTGAGGCAACGGTGGCGGGTGTGGCGTTGCAGCAGAATTCGTTGTCGAACGTCCTTGCTTATTGAGGTTGTCCGAATTCATCCTGTATTGTTGTACACTATGAATCGAAACAATACCAAAGGATTGTAAAAGATGTGTCGCTACCGTTAAGATTTCAAAGTCTCAAAAAGAGAAAGTAAAAATGGAAATCGCATATAATTTGTCAAGAAAGGAGAACACATTCTTTTATATCAGGTTGTATTTGGAATTTTTTATTCATGAATGTTTGTTAGAAGAAGAATCGGAAAAATTCCTCACATTGAAAATTCTAACCTTATGTTATTGTGTATGCTGTTATGTACAAAATGAGAGCAGGTAACTTCTTCCTCTTCTTTTCCAATTGTTCAACAAATTGTTAATGCTTGTTGCTGTGGCTTGTTAAGGCATTGAATGTCTCTAAGACATCCTGTACAGTTGGAAGTCTCCACGTTGCCATTGTCTTTTTATCTTCTATACCGACTACTACCGTATATACTACCGGTACAGGCGTTGTCGTTGTTGCTGTTGTGGTAATTTTCTTCAGTACTCTAAACATATCCTCATCTGTCTTATCATCACCACAACACATCACAAAGTCAATGTTCTCGTCATTGCCTGATAGAAGTCGCTTTATGATTTCACCCTTATTCGTAGCCGTAGGACGCACTTCCAAATTCTTCTTTCCAACCAGCACCTCTATTGGCATCTTTGACAGAATAGCATTCTCTAAATGGTTCTGACATTCTTTCGACTGAAAAGCACCATAATCAGGATCAGCAAGACGGTAATGCCATGTGACAGAGCATCGTTTATGTTCAATAAAACTGCTTGTTGTACGTTCAGCGTAATAGGTAAATATTTCAACGATATCGTGCTTCCAACTCATATCGATATGTTCTAATAAATTGATCCATTTATGCGTGCCAGGATATTTTAGAAAGCAACCATGTTCAGCACTGAGACCAAGGCCTTTGACTTGACCAAGCCATTTGTCAAGTGTAGCTTCGTCTCTACCAGAAATTACCCACACAACATTTTGAGGATCGTCACAGAGGGCTTGCAATGCGTTTAGCATCTCAGGTGTAGGAGCTCGAGATCCGGGTATTTGACGAATAGCTGATAAGGTGCCCTATATGGTGATATGAAAAGAGTGAACAATGACATCGTTAATGCTTAATGAGCGAGAATGTATACATTACATCATAATCAAAACACAGTAGCCTCTTCTTTTTTGAGCCGTTGTAATCCTTTAAAAGATCGTTGATATCTAGAATAGGGGTATAACTTGACTGCTCTGAAGCAGCAATGGATTCTTCCAAAACATTAAGAAAGGACTTTGCCCAAAAAGAAGATGTATGCGTCTCTACATAATCCAACATTTGCTGAGGTGAGCAAGAAAAAAAAAAAAAAAAAATTATTGAACGGTTCAGAACTTCAACTTTACATTCTGATATCGCATCATCTTTACCAGGTGCCTTGATTTTTTTTCTTCTTCAGACATGCATAACGCTTCGTTGATAGCCTTGGCTACACCAGCATAATCCCAGGGATTAATCATCATAGCCGAACTTAAAGTTCCTGCCGTCCCCGTCAATTCTGATAAAATTAAAGGACCATGTTGTTGACCTTGTTGCTGACACACAACATACTCCAGACTGGTTGTATTCATACCATCTCGATTCGCCGTGATAACACCGACATCTGCTGTAGATAATAAGGCATAATACTCATCCACTTGAATCTGATGATGGAAATGATACACAGGTGAAAATTCTAGATTTCCAAACTTATTATTGATCTGAGCGACAGTCTCTGATATCTTCCTATGCTCCCATGTGTCATTGTTTGTGCCATCAGTAAGTTGAATCATTACGACTCGATCCTTCCATTCTGGATAATCAGTTAGGAACTTTTCAAAGGCAGCGAGTTTTTGCAAAGCGCCTTTGACAAGGTCAATCTTGTCTCTGCCGACGAGAATCTTTTTACCAGCGTACATTTCGCGAATCGCTTTTATCTTGGATTGAACAGTTGGGTCACGACAACGGGCTTCTATTTCAGAAGGGTTAATACCAATAGGAAAAGTGCCTACGTGGCAGAAGTGGCCATCCAAACAACGAACACCTTCTGGTGATGATTCGTATCCTAAGACACGAGTACACGTAGAAATGAAATGGCGAGCATAAGCGTAAGTCTAAACTTTAGTTAAGGGGAGAGATTAGAATTTATGCAATCAATTTCATAGTACGTTTTTCAATTCTGCCTAGCAAATAAGCATTCTTCTTTTGCGTACCTGAAACCCTATCAGATTAGCGCCAATCATTCCCTTCAATATTTCTTGTCTCTCTACATGGTTTTTAAAGGACAAGGCGGTAAGATACACCTGCTTGGAGCAATTTTCTTGCTTTAAATGCTTTAAAACTTACTGGGCAAGCATCTAAAGATTTCCGATGTCGGAAAAGGTGAATGTACAAACAACCCTATCCTAGCTTTTGGATGTTTTGCTCTGACCATGGAAGGCACCAACAATAGATGATAGTCATGTACCCAAACTAGATTGGGTTTTTCATGCATCGAAGAAAAAAAGAAGAAGATAATGAATCAATAGGTCCGTTCGCTTTGCTTTGCCAAAAAATCAATATTGATACTGACTTACTTATATCACCATCTTGATATAGGTCAGATACAAAATCAGCGTAAATTTGATTCACTGCGGCATATGCTTCCCATTGTTTCCTTTCCAATCTACCATCGGTGGCGTCATTCCATATCATGTAATGTAACAAAGGCCATAGCACTATTGATACAATAATTGTGGAATCAATATAATGACTGATCCAATAAAAGCAAAAACTGAGGCATTATCAATAAACACTTTACTTGTTTTACAATATCCATCATAATGGCCAGCTACACTTTCCCCATCAATGAATAAAGGTATACACTGGTACTTTTCTTTTAAGGTACTGTATAATTCTAACTTTTCTGTATCTGTCAGGTCCCTATCTATCAATTCTTTCGCCGTGTTTGTGGTTATGGATGCTGCTGTTGGTGGGTTTTTATTCATATCAGTAGTAGTGGTAGTAGTTGTAGTAGTATTAGCTGTCGTGGATACATTGGTAGTAGACGAAGCATGACAAATACTTGTAGAAGTACTGATGGTCAGCTGCCCTGTCCACCCAATATATATTATATTCCATTCATTCCTGAGCGAGTGTACACCATCGTACATGGCACCATGGCCTCTTCTAGGTGCAAACTGCCATTGTTGACTTTTCTGACAAAAAGAGATCTCATATGGGATCTGATGAGTGACATTGATGATTCGACCTTTTTTCTGGGTCATATTATTCGTATAATGGTTTGAACTGCTTTTAGTATTATTGGCTTTGAAATGTGAAAGTGTAATGAAAAGTAGAAATTTGGTAAAGACAAGCGAAGAATGTTACACCTTTTGTTGAAATAATATGCAGACATTAAAAAATGGACTGCTAAATATTTTGTGTGAGGAAATCAGCTTTAATTGCCAAAAGAAAAAAATTGACACTGATTTAAATTCATTTTTTTTTTGGTTAGCAAAATCCAAAAGAAATGCAAGGTGTGGGTTTTCTTTAATGTGAGGGCAAATACTACAATACAGAAGAGGAATAATGAGCCATAAGCGATGCAGGAATACTTTCTGCTTATTCTTACCTTGTAAGGGTTCATGATGCCATTTGGATCAAGCATATTCTTTATCGTTTTCATCAACTGTATCATCACTGGCGATTTAGAGTACCCCAAGAATTCATTCTTTGCCACTCCCAAGCCATGCTCTGCACTGATAGAGCCTTGGTGATTGGCTAGAATACAAATACACGTAAACATAATCAGAATTGTACATTCAGCGCTTTCTCTTGATTCGATGACCATTTAATTTTTCATCCTTCAACTTACCAACCCATTCGAATAAATAAGGCTCTATCAACTGAGAAACTCTACTTTCCAGACAGCTTGCTGCAATGTTCAAGTGAAGATTACCATCACCCACGTGACCATAAGCTACGACGTCTGTAACAGGAGAGTCTGGCTGTCCAAACACACCTCCTTCTCTCAAATGCTGACGCATATCCTCCACGCATGCATAAAGTCTATCCACAGGCATAGAGATATCATATTTATATACAGCAGGTTCTTTACCCAAAGCTTCTGTGAATCCCTCACGTAAGCTCCAAAGGCTACGAATCTGTGTTTCATCTTGAGCCACTACACCATCTTCCGCAACTCCTTCTACCATCATATTCTCTAAATAGTTGGTCAATTTTTCATCGTCGTGGTCTTTATTTGAGCCGCTTGTTTCGATCAGCACGTAAAACGGATATTCCTTCTCCATGACTGATTTGGGCGTAGCGTGCTTCTTAAACATTTGTAGAGCGTTACTGTCCCAGAACTCAAAAGCTGACAAAATTTCCGATAATTCGATACGTGATTGTTTGAATGCTTTTTGTACATCATCAAACGAATTTAACCCGAGTAGAGCTACATTGACTGCTTTTGAGCGATGAGGTGTAAGGATAGAAATACCGGTAATCACGCCAATGGTGCCTTCAGAGCCGATGAACAATTGCTTGATATCATAACCTGTGTTATCCTTTCTTAAAGTGGACATATTATCCAAAATAGTTCCATCAGGCAAAACAACCTCCAAACCCAAAACAGTACCATGAAGTGATCCATAACGTAATAATCGTAAACCGCCTGCATTGGTCGCGATGTTTCCACCGATATGACAGCTAATCGATTTGGCATACACAACAATGAACAATAGGGAAGCAAAAGTAAGTTCTCTAACAATAAAGAATTCCATCGTGCATTCTCCCACACTTCCTTTTTATTTTTTCTTACTTTTACCTTCCTTTTGCACCCAAATCCAGAGGCATCATATATCCTTTCTCTCCTAACCAGTTATCAAGTACTTCTAAAACACAACCTGCGTCTGCTGTAAGTATGCCTGATACACTGTCAAAACCTCTTATTTTATTCATTCCTTGCAAGCTCAACACAATTTCATCAAATACAGGTACAGATCCACCAACAAGACCAGTGTTGCCGCCTTGAGGTACAACTGCTAATTTCTGCTCGTTGCAATATTTCAGAATATCAGATACTTGCTGTGTGGTTTTCGGTTTTAGGACAAGTTGTGATTGCCCACGAAACTTGTGCATCCAATCGGTATTGAATGGGAACAAGTCATCTGGGTTATTGTAGATTAAACTATTGGCGCCCACTATGGTCTTAAAGTATTCGACGTCCTGTTCTGTGAGCTATTAGAAAATATGCTTCCTATGAGTTGTCTGTGCTATGTTTTATCTTTGTCGATACAGATGAAAGAGTGCTCAAACCTTTTTGAAATGATCATTTCGGACATAGCCTGGAAATTTATCGACTGTGTAAGAAACATTTTTGGTTGCATAATTTTGCTGCTGTTGTCTATTAATGATAAACGGTACAGTGACGGATTTAAAAGCCGTATTATGCTTGAATAAAGTTGATTTTATGAGAGACTTTGATATGAATCGAGTCGAAATAGTTCTAATTCTAGCTGGCGAAAGCATAAGGTGCTCTATAGTAACGTTTGATATGGGAAAAGATGAATAAAGCTTAATAATGAAAAGAAGAACAAAGGGGGCAAGTAAAGTGGGGTAATCTTTGAATGATAATTTTAGCTGAGGATGAAAAGACGGGAGAGTGAGTTCGTTAAAAAACAATCGCGGAGATCTCTGGCAGCTACTAGCAGTTGTTCGTTTTTTACCCTGCAGAAAAGATCACTGTTTTGTTGGTTTCAAAAAACTTAAAAGTATGATCAAAGCATAGAAGAAGAGATCCTTACAATCGCAATTCTGCCAACAAACGGGTCGTTCTATGCAATTTGTTTGCATTTACGACGCATTCTTTTAATCAGCGCTTACGGAGAGGATGCACACTTGGTCAAAAATTTGAAAAATCATTTGGTCATATTGAAGTGAATGTGTTGACTTCCAAGTTCATTAATTATACTATCTGTTGGTACCAGTAATCTTGACAATGACGAGTCTCAACCTCGTTGAATTTGTCTTTTCATTCACGGTTGAACGTGTTTCTCTCTAAAATTACTTGAGACCATTGGTTCCTCAGAAGGGCAAGGTATTGTGCCCACCCACCCTTTTATGATCCTTTCATTATCCCATACATGTATTATCTCTTTGCTCAAGAAGATCAAAGAGATTTTATTTACTATGTATACTACCGAATTGACCAATAAAAGCCCTTTTGAGGAGCCGAAGGTCTAAGGCATAATGTCAGGTTAATTGAGGATTAGTGTCAACAATAAGGGATAAAGCAGAATTGATCAATTATTCTGAACTGTCGCTTCGCTCAACTATTTGTCATCGTATACTACCAATTACATTGACTGCAAATTTGCTATCACCTAAATCGTTGATTTAATTCTTTGTGTAGGTCTATGTTTTCTTTTTACATGGCTTCACCCCATCTGTCAAGTAAAACATGCCCTTCACAACAAGAGTGAACATCTCACTCCAGTTCTTCAATATTCCTCTATTAAAATTTTCATGTTTTGAAGTTGTTGAAGGTGCAATGACGGTGTTTTGAAGGTGTCGAATGTGGTATTTTCATAACTCCTATAATATATGAACACGAATTAGACACACCTTCAAATACTAGCGACGTTATTATGATCATAGAATCATAATAACACTTGAACACGTCATCTTGTATTTCTAAATATGTACATACCGTAACTACAGTCGTTCCAACGCCAAAGGGCGGTTTTGATTCATCCAATGAGCGGTTTTTGTCACAAAAAATAAACCCACATTTTTCACTTTTTCTCTGTATTCTGCAAATGTAGCGTACAAATTGGAAAATGAAGTCAATGAGGCTTCTGAATAAGTCAATACTTATGAATGGTGAATAATTTATTTATTAAATATACATAATGAGAGTGAGAGTGAGAGTGAGACGTAACTATGTGTATAAATGTTGGGATAATAATTTAGCAGCTGTTTGATTTGCATTGTTTATAGAAGTTGCCAATGAATATGCCAAAGTCTGAAGCAAATTACTCAATAACTTTATCCTCATCATCTTCCAGTAATTTTTGTCCCAGTTTCAACTAAGCTAAACTAAGGTAGATTCGGGCGTCCGGTAGTGGTATAAAGTTACTGGTATTCGGGCCCATTTCAATTGTCTTGTTTGCTATGGTTTATTTGTCAAGACGTACACTTAACGTTACCATTAATTGCAATTGGTAGCTCCAATTTTCAGCTTCGTTGTATTGTCATCATGAGTGAGGCAATTTCTATCTGTCCATATTTTGATTTTGATTTCGGAAATGAAGATTGGTGAATAGAAGAACTAGTTCGACGTTCATGGTGAGCATCAACTGACTTTAATCGGCCATATGGTTCGACACAATTAACCATTAAAGCTGTTGAACCGCTCAACAAAATATACCCTGCGAACATCTGCGACGTAGCAAACCGCAGTTGGGGAAAAAATGCCCAATCTTTATTTATTTCTTGGACAATTTGTTCGCTGAGTTCGCCAAATTGTTCATCGGCTATGTGTCTGTAGATGGGACTTGTGCTAGCAATATGTTTGAATAAATCGCCTGCATTTGTTGAAGTTGATGAGCCTTCTGTAACTGAATTATCTAATGTAGGAAGACTCCAGGTTCCAGTTGGTTCATCAGATAATATATCAATTATAATGTTTGAAGCTGTGAGAAAAGGGTAAATTTTTACCACTTGAGGACGTTAACAAAATGGCTTTTAGTTGTCCAATTTTTGCGGTTAAGATACAGTTTTCTTGAATGCGGGGAGAGTGTAATGAGTGAATTGCCTTTCATTAGAGAGGTTTCATATTGAGAACAAAAGAAGATTTGATACAAGGAGCAGACGTATGTACTATTTTCTATGCCATGAAAACTATATGAGTATCATAAGTCAATATGGTTTACTAACAAGTGCATTTAATATGTATTAGAGTTTTATTATGTTGGGTGTACCTGAAATCATAAGTAACTTGCCAACTTTTAGCGGCCCTTTCTACCTTTTGATGGATGAAATGCACCTAATCTGTCGTGGCATTGGTCAACTGGTCTTCAGTCTTCTCTTCAATAAGTTCAATAGCAAGTTCAAGTTTTTACCAGCGGACGATGATGCTGAAATGGTAGAATATACTTTTGCTTTCAAGGATGGCTATACCAGCAAGAATGTCCTGTCAACTTTCAACGCTCAATTGAAAAGAACTCGCGATCTGATTCCTGAGATTTTTGAAGGATCTTAGGATGAGGTGAACGGTTTTTATCGTGCGGTGAATTGGCTTAACTTCTTGTTATACCAAACCCCTACACTACTGCTTCTTTACATCAAAAGCGATCAAGCATGCAAGGCTTTGATGTGTCTCGTTAATGGTTGTTCTCTTGCTTTACAATGATCAATCAATGATATCGAGCTATCAAGAATGGATGCGTAAGTCTCTTTCTTTATTACACCTTGGTTAATTAAAATTGATAAACATATAAATATGGCCTGCCTCTCAATCCATAATATTCTGCAGTATTTTTATCTGCTCTCTGTTCTTCTTGAATATTACATTTTACTCTTGTGCTAAATAAACAGTATTCTTATTATTCTTTGTTGTAATTTCTGCTCAGAGTTGCAAGTAACACCAACCTCCGTCGCGTTATCTTGAGTGATCCTTCTTTCATCTAGTAGATCGCTGCTCCTTACAGAGAGCTTGAGAGTGAATCACAGGCAAGTAGAACAGCGGAGTCATCATCACATTGGGTGCTTATTAGAAATGTAACTGGGTTGTCAGTGCTTAAAATCAATCTCTCTTTCATTGGGCGTATGGTGCTTCATAAGAACTGAGGATGTGTTATTGTCTTCGTCTGTTTCCAAGCTGCGCTTTTTTTCTGCTTTAGATAAGGTTGAACAGGCTCCTTGATTTTCCTTTTCAGATGATTGTTAAACGACCTAGAGGTAGAAAGTTTGCTTTGGCACTCAGGACAATTAAATTCACCGTCTACACTTTCAACTACACTTGTTCTAGAAGAAAGTGAGCACAACGACTTTTTAAATTGTCTGTTCCTACTTTTGTTTATAGACACTTGTAGCGTATTCACATGAACATCATAATTATGGTCATACAATTTTGCTGATGACTGAAATTTAGTTTTAAAAACGTCGCAAAGGTGAACCATTGTCTTCTTTCAATGAGAGACATGTAAAGGGGAAAAAAAAAGTGGGAGAGAAAAATGGCAAAACCGCCTTTTGACCGCCTTTTGGGAAAATTTGTTAGCCGCACTTTTTTGGAACGATAAGCTTAAAATAACAAATCTAACATTTGGTTTAAAAACGATGAACATACACCTTCATTACACCTTCATTACACCTTCAAAACACCTTCATTATTGGTCATTTCCAGCATAAGAATTGACGATTACAAAATAGCACCAGAAGTAGGGCCATCAACGTATAATTTCACTCAGACGTGTTCAGTGAGATAACAACTACAATACTCGAGTACGTACAACCAGGTAGAAAATACATTCTACCATGGTCTATCTATATTGCATCTAATATAGGTCAGGTACAACATAGAACAAGATACAGGCCTAAATATAATAATCACCCAATTAGCATCTGAACCTGAAATTAGTGACTAGCATACGCGTCCTCAAATAATATAATTCCCATTAAACCTCACAAAGTAAATAATCCTTCTACTTCATCTGAAGAATAATAAAGACACCTAAGTTCATAGTCATCGACTTACAACTGTTATCAATTTTTTAAATAAGCAAATACAACAGCTACAATTCACAATGTAGCATATAAGAGTGGACTTCATAGACAATTGCCTGAGTAAGCACCTCTTTGATGCGTGAATCTGCCAAGCGACTAACTATTTTCTTGCCATCATTAGCAACGTTGTTCTCGTTGACCGCTCCAACATAAGTGAGGTAGGCTAAGTTTCTTTGTTTCATTGAAACACATTTAATGAATATTTATTAATCGTTTAATTTTACAGAATCTCCAATATACAACTGAGTTTGCATGTCCTGGATGTTATGAGCTTTTCGAGGATCTAGATACTTTAGATTCACACAATTGAACATGGTATTTCAAAGTTTTCTTTTGCTGCATAATCATTATTTTTCTTCTTTTTGACCAATTTTTTTTTCTGTAGGCCAAGATGAAAAAACCACATTCACTCAAGACGAAACATTCACTAATATTTCCAAAGTCTTAAAGTTATCAACCGAACCAGTGCCAACAGACACGGAAGCGATAGCAACTGTCTCATTACATGATGCAATAAAATCGCTATATCCTGAACATGGTGTTACAGAAAATCAGATGATTAGAAATGTTATTACCTCTTTGAACTTGGCACCCTTTATCATAATTCTGATTGCACAGATAATAGTAAGCTTGAAGTTACTGCTCTTACTACGTCATCACAACATAAACGTATTTTAGATATTGAGACCAGAGGAATCAAGCGTATAAAATTGGACACTCTTGTTGAGAAGGCTGTTACTCAGTCTACTGACTGTATACATTTGAGTAATATATCCAACGACATAAGCTTTAATGATATTATAAGAAAAAGCCCATATCGCCAAATTTTAGCATTTGAAGAATACAGACATATTACTGAGGAGCATCTTGATTTATTGAACAGCCACTGGAGGAAACGCTCTTATATGTTCATGATTACGTCACAATTGCTGGCCGGTGCTATATTGGTTGATGGTAGTCAAGCACTTCTTTTGAACGGTGTGAAGTCATATAGTAGATACCCTTCCATCGACGCTCATTTTGAAAATGTATCAAGTACACAAGAATTATCTATACCGCAATTATCCTCACAATATTCAAATAAGCTCAAAATAACAAAGATCAACATGGACAATTCGGAGAAGTTAATACTTGGTTCAAAAACGATGAACATATTGGTCATTTCCAGCATAAGAATTGACGATTCAAAAATAGCACCAGAAGTAGGGCCATCAACGTTTAATTTCACTCCGTCGAAAAAGACGCGAATATTTGTATCAACGTCGTCAATTCAACTGGCAGCCAGGATATTAAAAGATCCTAATAGGCTGACGCTTTCTGATCCATTAGTGCATCTCAGACAGCTACGATCCAAATTCCACCAGCAAAGTACGTACTCTCTCGCTAGGAGCTACAGTGTCTTCACGGCAGATATTACAGTTCAACCATATACTATTTACACATTTGTAAATAGTATATCAAATAACGACACTTGCTGCATGATGGGTTCTAAAGTAATGGAGCTTATTGCGAATTCTATTTGCGAAGGAAATGGCATGCTGAAAAAAGAGGACATTGAACACCTACTGCCCAAAGAAACCGCAAAGAAAAGTCAAGTTGTAACAGATACTCTTAAAATAATAGATTTATTTGAAAAGTATAGCGAACTTGAAATCATTGCGAATACTTCTGTAGCTGCTTCTCTTCGTTCTATTGCCATTTGCACGACAAATGGTTTAAAAAATGCAAATACAATTATTGTGAGAAACATCTGGAATAAGTTTCTTCGAGGTTAAATAAACTTATTTATTATAACTTCAAATTACTGTTGGGCTTATGACAAATTTAGGATACTGAAAAGTTGAATAAGTGAAGGTGTAAATTTGCTGACAAAACGAGAGAACTGCGATAATCAATTTATAAGTGCTAAGTTGAGAGGGGTCGTACTGGGTTAAGGGGGGAAGAAAAACTCAGTAAGGTCAGATTGTTAATTGTCGAGAGCCGGTACACGACAATAAGGGTTTTACAAACAGAAGAGGCTCTATAACACATACTCGATATTCAGTTTTGATATTGATTAGGCTATAAACGTGCGCCTGCCAGACACTCATTTCAAGGTCAGATGCATCTCATGTTACCCTTAGTGCATTGGCTTGTACATATTCTGTCAAATAGGTTGTACGTAAACTATCTTAGATGCAATACAGATAGACTATAGTAGAATATATTCTCTATTTGGTTGTATGTTTACGACATGAGCCTTGATCGGTAGCCTATATTGTGTAAATCTGTTTTGATCTTGCATACTCTCAAATAATTCACGTTTGTTTAAACTCGTCATGTGTCTGTTCCATGTATCTGATCACACTAAATTGACTCTTCCCTTTCAAATATTGTAGTAAGCAAATATTTCTGTCCAATGAAACTAAAAACTGTGAAATACCATAAGAGAGTACTACAGAGATCTGTTTGACTTGGCTTGTCTGAAATTTTGGAACAACATAAGCATAAATAGCCTCTTCATCGTGGTTGCCTTCCTAAATTCTATTTCGTATATGTGTATAGTCTTTTGCTATATCTAATTGAAATTAATGTCTTTTTATTGATTCTTCATTTGAGGTTTTTGTATTGTTCTTATATTTTATTATTAATGCAGGAGCTGAGTGCGTGTAGTAAACATGGTTGAGACTATTTGCGATCCTCAAATCCTTAGAAAATAATGATTTTGTGTAGATGCATTCAAGTATGTCTATTATGGTATATTGATCTTCTTGTATAGGTGTTTGGATTTGATTATAAAAGTTCTAACAAGTATGCAGAACCAGCTTAAAGTCTTTTATAATTGCTTCAGTACGCTTGACTTGCAAATCGAAAAAAGCAATGAGAAATAAGTATTGGCAGGATAGTTTCATAACACAAAATCCTACCGTTCGCCTATTCTTTATTTTTTCGTTGGGCCACATATACCCGCAATATTCGGAAAATGCATCATGGATGTTTTTATGCCCCTTATATCTGAAGAAATACAAATCAACAAAGAAAAAGGAAACTTAAAAAGGATTTTATGTACTGAGGCCAGCGTGTTTCTTAAAATGAAGCAATGAATGTTCTGAAGAAGGGCCCTTGATGCGAGATAAGGAATGATGCTTATGGCGTGAATTAAGAATGAATGCTTATTTCAACTGGAAAAAAAATATGTAGGGTAATACACTCAAGTATTGCAACATTGCTATTGTCAAAGCAAAACCGGCTAATACGGCCTTTGCCAGCAAGCCGGTTTCTCCGCGTTTGAGTGTGCCAGCGTACAATTGGATCAATTACATACGCTGTTTTGCAAAAAAAGTCATTGAGAACTCAAAAGCACATGTGTTATCTTGTTTATTTCTCTGAGAAGTTGGTAGTGACGTTGATATTTGTCTTACTACGTAAAAGCGCCCACGTTTTCAAAGAACTTCAACCAGCAAAAAGAAAAAAAAATATACCGGAGTTGCAAAGAAGAGCCTATGTCATTAGATAGAGATTTGTCTGTGTCGCCACGTGAAACATCCCACATGCCAACGTGCAAGAATGCGAAAACCGGTAGATTTATAAGCACGTCCCCATGTTTACTTTTCGTGGATAAAATGCAAAATTAACTTTAATTACATCAATATAAAAGTTGGCCTAAGCATTTATACATTTTTCCCTTTTTTAGCGCAATTTGTGTTGTTAAAAATAACCGTATTTAATGGTAGTTGGTAACATGGCATTGCAGAATTCACTTTATCTTATAATGACTACTGCCGGCCAGATTTTATTTCAATTCTCTGCAGTCGCAGTTGAGGCAAACACGCAGATAAAGTGTTTTTGGCACACTAGGAAACGCTGCACATTAGTGAAAGAACCGAAAACAATTGACAATCGATCGAGTAGAAGTAAACTCTTTCCCATAGTTTGGAACGCGTTTTCTTCCTTCAATTAATTGTGCATGCTTGTACTATGAAATGTTCCCCTATGATGCTTAGTCTGAGTAGCTATTCCAATGTGAAATTTTGATTTCCTGGCAGCATAATGGTTTAGGCAGAGTAAATATTGTTTATCAGGCTTTCGTATCAATGGAATACTTTGCGCTAGTGTTTCTTGAAAAATGGAATAAACATACGGGCGTAAATCTGCATAGATCGTTCTATTGCATAAAAACCGACCTTTCTCAGCTGACAATAAGAACGTACTGTTAATATTAGAGAACCTGCATCTTGCATAGCTGTGCTGGTCGTATCAAGTTGTCATTGTAACAACTTGATGCATCGTAGTTATCGTAAAATGTAACCACAGCCAAAAGGTTGTGGATCAAATTTTTTTACAATTCAAAAAGGGACATTCGCGAAAAAGGAAGCTTGCCATTTTTGTAAAGTCCTTTCTGTTCACAAACGGGCAATGAAACTCCGCCCGTACCTAATAATGTTTATTATAGTGTATTTAAACATATGCCAGTAGAACATGAACATGAGCTAGCAGGAAATCGAAAAGAAATTGGGTATATAAAAGTGAGCCGTAAATCGTACCAATCCTATTGACTTTTGAAATCAACAGCTTCTTTCTGCTATTGAAGACTTAAAACCATTTTCTTTTTATTTTTATCAATTCTGTATTTGTTCTTGACTTTTTCTTGGAATCAAATCAAAACATGAAGTTCCTTACACTTGGTGCTGTCGTACTTGCTTCCAGCAAATATCTGGCTTTTGCTGCTCCCACAAAAACTTCAACAAGTTATATTCCTCAATTTTCACCGGTCTTTCCCGAAATGGGGTCCGCCAGCAATGTTATAAATGCGTACAACTACGGCCCTTACAATAGAAGCGCTACTCTCCCACTGGACCAATTGTCAGGCTATCCTGATCCTTGGGATACTCCCGATCCTACCAGTGACGAAGTACGAGCTGTCATTGATCAAATTAACTGGAATCTGGTACCTGACGCTCCTGTTCGTGTACAAAAGGATAATGGAGACTTCAAGACGCCTAAAGATGAAAATGAAGATCCTTACTGTTGGTGGTCTGATACTAACTGTTTGACACCCAAGATTGAAATTCCTGGAGACCTCCATAGTTGTCCAAACGCTGGTGAATGGGGTTTGAGTTTCGATGATGGGCCATTTAACCTTTTGGAGGCTGATAAAAAACATGCCGATACAGAAAATCCCTTCGCTGAACCTGCTCTTTACAACTATATGCTTAATACCAACAACCAAAAGGCAGCGCTTTTCGTAAGTAGACAAGGCACACAGATAGCTGCCTAAAATCGCATGTTGCAAAGTACTGACAGTTTTACTCACGTTTTCACGCGATACTTTTGTAGTATATTGGTAGCAATGTTGCTAAGTATCCTGCTGCTGCTAAGAAAGCACTTGACGATGGTCATGTTCTCTGTATTCACACATGGTCGCATCCTGCTATGACGACGAAGAGCAATGCGGAAGCAGTATCCGAACTTTACTGGTCTTTGAAGGCTGTAAAAGAAGCTACTGGTGTTACTCCTAAATGCTGGCGTCCCCCTCAAGGTGATGTGGATGACCGTATCCGATCCATTGCATGGCAAATGGGCTTAACTACTGTTATGTGGGACTGGGACACAAATGATTGGGACATGCCTGCTCCCAACGGTGGCAATCTTCCTCCTGAAACCGTGGATGGCTACTTTAAAAAGTGGATCAAATCTCAAAAGAAAGGCAAGGAGAAAACGGGACATATCGTTCTCCAACACGAACTGAATAGCGCTACCGTTTCTATGGCTGAAAAATGGCTGCCTGTTATCCAAAACACCTTCAACGTTCTTCCTGCTACATCGTAAGTGTCGATTCAAATCGCCTTTCCATTTGAAAGATTGTTTCACGGTATGAATTCCAGCTCACGCATTTTTTTTTCTCCCATTTTATAGCTGTAATGGCATTGAAAAGCCTTATTGGGAAGAAAACTTTGTATATCCTCTTCGTAACGTTGCTGAGCAACGTTAGAGCTTTTCAATTTTGTTATTTCCTATTTTATCATCTACCCTTTTTTGTAATTGTAAATTCACGCTTTAGATAGTTAACTGCTGTTTGTCAATAATATCCCGTTCATAATTTCTCTTTACCCTGCTAAAAACCCGACATTATATGCTTAGTAATTCACTTCCTAACACTATTCAATGACTTTGACGGCACACTTTCCAAATTTCTGTATATAAATAAACTGTCTAATGTCTTTGATGACAAGTCAATTTTCCGTATGTGAATTTTTTTTTTCTTTTTTTTTTTTGTTTTGGATGTGACCATAAACTTAAAGCGGTACGCTAGCCATTTTCTAGTAACGTCTTATTGTGTTCTTCGTTAGGCTATTCTTCCCTTGCCACGATGAAAGGAGAATGAATGATCAAGTAAAATGTGATTTTGAAATTGGTAACAAAAACCGTCTTCAATATCTGTAAAAGCCCATTTTTCTTATTCATGGTATACATAAGAATAATCCATTGACAGTATTTTGGTAGTATTGCATAAAGTCAGGCTAATAATCCAAAATCAACAGTAACTTGTTGAAGCAACATTATCTCACAATTTGAAGAGTTCGAGAGAGAGAAAGACATCTAATGTTTATGCTGTTGTATAAAAATGGTACAAGGCAAAGTTTATTTGATAAAAGTACATAGATAACAAATGTTTATAGACATTTATAAAAAGGATAAATGGGATAGAATAGTTAAGAATGTGTGTGAGAGATGAGTGGGGGAAGGGGAGGGATGAATGCTAAAAGAGATGCGATGTATTACTGATTTACTTGCTTAGAAATCAGCATCCAAGGAGAAGTTACGTTCTTCGGCATTGGCCATGACACCGGAACGTTGGTAATCAGAGACACGCTTCTCGAAGAAGTTAGTCTTACCTTGGAGGGAGATTAATTCCATGAAATCGAAGGGGTTGGGGTCATTGTAGTGCTTGGGGCAACCAAGAGAAACCAAAAGACGATCGGCAACGAAACGGACATATTGGCACATCAACTTATCATTCATACCGATCAAACGAACAGGAAGAGAGTCAGTGAAGAAGGATTGTTCGATTTCGACAGCTTCAGTAATGATTTCGAGGATGGTTTCTTGAGGAGGAGGGTTGAGCAAATGGTGAACAAGGAGACAACCGAAATCGGCATGGAGACCTTCATCACGAGTAATGTATTCGTTGGAAAGAGTCAAACCAGGCATCAAACCACGCTTCTTCAACCAATAGATGGAAGCGAAAGAACCAGAGAAAAAGATACCTTCAATAGCAGCAAAGGCAACAAGACGGACACCGAAGGGTTGGTCGGATTCGTTGGAGATCCACTTCAAAGCCCACTTGGCCTTTTCCTTAATGACGGGAATAGTTTCAATGGCGTTGAAGAGGTATTCTTTTTCGACGGGATCCTTGATATAGGTATCAATCAATTGAGAGTACATTTCGGAGTGAATGTTTTCAATCATGATTTGGAAACCGTAGAAACACTTAGCCTCAGGAATCTTCACTTCGTCACAGAAGTTTTGGACCAAGTTCTCGTTAACGATACCATCGGCAGAAGCGAAGAAAGCAAGAACACGAGAAACGAAGAAACGTTCATCATCATTAAGCTTTTCTTCCCAATCAATCAAATCCTTTGACAAATCAACTTCTTCGACGGTCCAGAAAGAAGCTTCGTGCTTCTTGTACATTTCCCACATCTATACATGAACAACACCCATTGTCAACAATCCATTGCTATTCCGTAACCCACAAACGCTGTCAATTGCAGCCAACAAAATAGAATACTTTACCTCGTGGAACTTGAGAGGGAAAAGACAGAAACGTCTGGTGTTATCCTTCAAGATGAGTTCTTCTCCAGGTTCCAAATCGGTGGTTAACTCGGCCAAACGAGCCATGATAGACTTACGCAAGTTGACACCAGTAAGTTCGGATTGAGAATCAAAGACAGTCATTTTGGTCTATTAGATTTTTGTTAAAATGGATAAGATTGAAAGGAAAAAAAGATTGCTTATGAATGAAAACGAAAAAAAGAAGATGAAGACGATTTCAATCGATCCTTTATATATGCATTCAAAAAAATTTTGTAGCCATAGGATTACACACCGAGAATCCGCAAATTTGAGTAGGAGTAGAAAAAAGTGGAAGTTTTGAAAAAAAAACCAGCCGAATAGGCCTGGCCATTTGCTGAACGACTGCAATAAAAACTGATCTTTTGGTTCGTTTTGATTGGATGGTCCATCTTTTGGGCTTTGTTTCTGCTCAAATTAAATCTGATTAGTTTGCCTTTTATGCTGCTAAAACTTCAATCTTCGCTCGCCCGTTGCCATGGAAACCACGCTATACGTGTTTCCGTCGCGTGCAAAAAAATATACACGCTCAGAGCTCACTACTCACAAAAATAGGCATTTCCGAAAAAAAAAAAATCTGATAAGAAATGAGCACTGATGCTGTAGCACTGAAATAGACAAACGCATTGACGTTTGTGATACTTGAGAAAAGTCTGTGTTCATGTCATGCACTGGCAAAGATTCGACAAGTAAGAGGCACCTTAGGGGTCTGTCATTGGTGTACAACAATCGGCTGATTACGCTTTATTTGGCCCTGAATCTTGATTTTCCCGATCATCAACGGCATTATTTGAGATTGCAGTGAAACTTGTCCCAACCAAGATAATCAAACAAAGTACACTTATGAATTTTTTTGAAAAAAAAGTGGTGCGATTTCCTTTAGCACAATTATTAATCTAGGGAAGAACGCGTCTAACGCAACAAATCGCGAAACGTGAGTAAAAATTAAACACGTAAAATGCATCATCGTCGTCGCTTTGAAGCTTAAGATCTATCTTTGCATCCGCCCCTTTTTCTCAATATTCATCTTATCAAAGCGTTGAAAATGGACAATAACAAACAAAAAATAGATAATTTTTATCATTCAGCGATTTTATTTTGTATTGCAATTACAACTGTAAATGAATATAACAATTCTAACTGATACGCTCATACGGATAGCATTTACCGGTTGATTAATAAACATGCTCATGTTTGATTTAGTTGAAAGGAGTACATTTTTGTACAGCCATTTATCGCCGGATCTTCGCTGTGACGTTGTAGTTAATATGCGGTTAAGTGGTTGGTAAATTGCACTCCAGTATTTCAAACGGAAGTAACTTAAGCTTAATATGGCTGCAGACCATTTTAGGTTAAACAGGCACAAAGAATTTTACGCCGATAGAACCCGCTTTCTTCCTTTTTTTAAGGGTATCTTTGCTTTTTTGTGAAATTTCTTAAGTACTATAACGTTTTTCTTCTATGCATTCGTCTACTGAAGCGAAGTGCTGATCATGACCTTCTAGTTAAACGATGAGGAACGCGTGGCTTGGTCATATCAGTCTTTTATTATGCAAAAGTGCTACTTTTAACTTAATTTCAGTTTATTAACAAAAACAAAAGGAGTGAGTATCCATAGGTGCGAAAGAAAGACGTCACGAGCGTCATTGTCCAATAATGGAGTCGACCTCAAATTAATGAAGAATGTCAAGCAGAATACGCCTTAGTACAGTTTTATTCGATTAAAATCGGAAATACTACTAGGCAACTTTGGAAAATGGAGTATATTTATGAGAAGAAATTTACATATTGTTTAGATAAATTTTATTATAAATTCAGACGTACTTAACAAAAATTACCCAAATTGTTATCGAATTGTGAGTTGAGTAAATAAGGTCGAAACAGTAAGCATTCGGCCTTTGGTTATACTTTATGAATATATTACAACTTACACTGTAGGGATATCTGAAGGAGTGATATCAATCACACATGTAGGTCTCGTTTGAAAGATGTTCTTGGCAGCATTGACGTCGCGATTCCAAGTTGTATTACAGTTTTATACTGCAATACAGCATGTACTCTTCGCTTTGACGTCGCTGTCGTTATATTCTCCAAAAGTCGAACGCTTGCATTTATTACAGCTAGTCATATATACATTGATGAAGCAGATTTCCACCTTTTCATCTTCACCATCAATAGGTGCTTTTGCCTTCTTGTTCGGACACAGATTGCTTGTAGGCCATGCATGTGTGGCTTGCTTACAGGATGGACACGTAACCATTTTCGTTGTTTTATTATCAACTTTGAATTCTTGGAGAGCTTCTTTTTTTACACCTTTTTTGACAACACTGGCTTAGACGAAGAAGCACTCGAAGAATCATTGTATGTCAATGCCATTGGTATTAGTGTGTGGATAACTGAGGGCACGTAGATGATTTCTTGATAGAGTCGTAAATAAGATAGTCTTACCTATGTGCAGCTTGGGCCTTTATAAGGGCCGTTCTGAGCTGGGAGGCGTTGTTTGTCTTTCCACTTTTGTCTAAAAGAAAGAAAGCAAAAAGGAAAAGAACATTGTGTGTTCTATTGTATATCGCGTTCCTTTTTTTTTGACAACATCACGATCAACTGACTCAATAAGTGACGGCTCTTACCAACATGCATCAAAGTTCTGAAAAATCATTGCTATATACAGACAGTGGCGTATCTCGCTCCTCAACTAGTTTTTTGACGTTATAGTATGATTAACATATTCCACAGGGTAGTTAAGCGCGCTGGTTATTGCTCTTGTTTCCTCGTCACCCCTCCGTTTTTATAGTGCCCTGAGTTCAAATTCTAAAAAATTCATCTCAAACTGAAATTATTAAAATCTAAAAAGTTTTTATGGTATTTCTTAAATCCATTATTCTGTTCGTCTGAAGCAAACAGTATGAAAGTCCGAATCATAAGTTAAAAAACTGTAATTCATTATTTTCCCCCAGAAACTCCCACTCTTGGTAATAAGTTAGTCCAGTGGCTCACTCAGGACTAATCTAGTCCTGGATTTACCTTCTTTTCCTCTTCCCTTCTCTACTGCCTTTTTCCTTTATTGACTATCAAAAAGGTTTTTTAGCACCCTTCTTCCCTTATATTTGTTCTGACCCGGGCAATTCAATCTCAGTACCATCAGGAATAAAAAATGCAAAAAATCCTAGATTATGTGCTCATGCGGGGTTAAAATTATTTGCCAATAAAAATCTTGTTTAATCGTAATTCATTATTTTTTAACTGAAGGAATCCTTGGATATGCGACATTTGGAGCAATTAAGAGTGATTCGTATGTTTGTCGCTTCTAGAACGTTATATACACACCCAACTCGATATCCAAGATTTCGGGACCTCAAAATATTTTTAGATATTACTCACAGTCTTCTTTCTGTCAGTACCTTCCTTTGTTTCTTTCCTTTTGTATTACAGAAAGCTATTATACAAGTAGAAGAGATGGCAGCTATAGAAACACCAGTAACAATAACAGAACCTATAGTAACAGAGAAAAATAAATTTGCTGAGGAATTTTCCGTTACAGAAGCTGTTGCGGTCAAACAGTTAAAGGATGCTTTACCAGAGATACTAAAAGAGGCCTTGGGCACTGAAGATGCTTATATCCTTTGGGGTGTTCCCTTAGACAAGAGCTCAGATGATGCACGCATAGATGTTATACTGATAAAGTTTTTAAGGGCTAGGTAATATGAAAGACCGATGTCGTGGTCTACGTAGGGTGTTAATGAGCTTACGGTTTAGTGAAGAAAGATGTGCTCATACGTTATTGTAGAAATATGGAAATCCCTGCCGCTAAAGAAATGCTTATCAACACTTTAAAATGGAGAAAAGAGTATAAAACAGATGGAATTTTGGATGAAGAGTTCGATACAAATGTATTTAGTGATAATGTGGGATTTATTCACGGCAAAGATAAGGAAGGAAGACCCGTCACTTACAACTTTTATGGTGGAATTGACCAAGATATAGTATTTGGGGATATCGATAAGTAAGACGTTTGCAGCAATAGATTGTTCCAGTACATAATGGAGGATGCTGTTGACTTTCAAACTGATAATAAATTGATCCATCTTTGACATGCATATAGATTTATTCGTTGGAGAGTTCAATTAATGGAAAGAGGCGTGCAAGCCATTGATTTTGTCCATACAGATGCCATGATACAAGTACATGACTACAAAGGTGCTTCTGTATTTGGACGCACCCAAAATACAAAAGAAGCTACGAATCGTCTTATCAAGTTAATGCAAGACAATTATCCAGAATTTCTTGCCAGTAAATTATTTGTGAACGTACCAAGATGGGGAAGGTAGGGAAAGGCAAGATAGCTAAAAAGACAGTCAATTTACAAACGTATCACTAAACAAAATTTAATCTCAGCATGATCTTCAAGTTATTGACCCCTCTACTTTCTCCCGCAACATTGAGCAAATTCAACGTTTCTTCAAGGTAAGAATAAACTTAGTATAGCAACTTGCATCATGATTACTGAGAACTTGTCTTGAATGTTAGCTCTGAAGTAAAGCAAACGCTGCTGACTTTTATAGACCAAGACCAGCTACCACCCATTTATGCAAAAGATCTGTGAACCGTATGACGGAAATATCGTAGCACAGAGCTTGCAGAAAATAGAAATTTTCAGTAGAATTTGCACATTTACACTTCTGTTAAGACAATAAGTATAGACGGCCACTACAATCTACATTTCATACTATTTTATAATTTATTTTTTTTTGGATGTCTTTACAATAGTACACTTCATTTAATTTCTTGTTGTAATGACAAAATCACTGGTCTTTTTGCCAGCGATGTCTAAAAATTTTTGAGTACAACTCCACCAATGTTTTTCTATCAAAATATACCAAGTTAGCCTCCACTTTAAAAATTCTACTTTGATGTAATTATATGCTATACTTTACCCATACTCTCTGTTGGATCACAACTACATTTTTCGGCGGGTAACCAGCTCGGCTCGCTTGGACAGTTGAAGAAAGGATTATGGAAATAACCCATGTCATAGAAATAATGCACTTCTGATTTTTTCAACATCAATGCAGCGGCAATACTATGCACAGGCGCATCACCCCATCTTTCATAAAAGAAGCCACCGGCTTTGTCCAGATAATTGAAATAATCTAAATAAGCTTGTGATCTCAAAAATGCCAAGGATGCAATTTCAAAATTGCTCCAGAAGTGACACAAGTTGTACGTCTCACCACCGTCATCGCTGATCCATTTCATTAAACTGTCAGAGCTGTTAGCAGGAATGATATGTTGGGGATATTCTTTCATGAAATTCTTCGTGGTCTGCCATAACGTAGGAATGGTTGTTTCGTACTCGTGCAGGGAAATTGTAAACCCGTACTTCAAATCCCTTTCTCTCATTAATCTGAATGGATCATAATCTACGTCGCATGTAAATTTGATATCAGGTTCAACTCTCCTGATAAATTATTGCGTTAATTCTGAAATGTATCAGCAAAATACAAAAACTATTGTGATCAACCTACCAATAGTAATCAAACTGATCCATTAAAGGATGTCGAAAGAACCAGCCACTTTGGAATCGACACATATGTCTATAGGATTCGGAACCACCGTAAATTACTTTATCAGCTGCCATTTTCTCTCTCGCTTGTTTAGCCTTGTCTTGATCAATCCAATCGGGATATCCCCACATATCATGGGTTAATTCGCCATAATACGTCTTTCCCGAAGCCAGCCCAGTTGTCCATTCTTTGAACTTTTCATCGAAGGGTACGTCATTAAGAAATACCCAAGGGTAATTGTATTTTCTATTGAAACGATCTTCGACCATTTGCATCGATGAACGCAAACCGTTCAAATCGCTGTTACGGGCTAGAACTACAAAAGCAGCATTCTCTCTTTTATATTGTCCGTCTTGCTGCTCTTTCGATGTAGGTAATCCCTTGCCCTTGACTCTATTGTTATTAACGGTTGCATTGTTGTAATTATTGGGATTATAGGCATAGTATATCATTAGCATAATGCAAATAGGCAGCAACAATAACAAGCCCACTCTTCCATATCTTGCTGATATCATTTTATATAGCTATTTTTCTAAATGATGACACAACCGTGAAGGGAGGAGCACGGTAAGTAAACAATCTCTGAATAGATTATGTTAAAAAAAAAAAAAAACCCCCAAAAAACGAAAAGGTATATGTGGAAGAGAAAAAAGATGATGCCTTTGTTTTTCATTCCCTTTCTAAACTTAATTTTAAAACGGAGATAATGCATTCCTTGGTTTGAGACGCGTCTAGGCTGCAGAATTGATTATACAGTTTGACATACAGCCTTTTCTGTTCAACAAAGAAAAATTAATCATTTAAAAAAGTTTTATGCGGATAGAAGATCGAACCCTTCTCTTTGGAGACAGTACAATAAAAATAGAGAAAAAAAGAATAAAAGTAGAAAGGCTCAATAATCAAAATGAACTACGTCATTATATAAACGCAAAGACGGAATGTAGAAAATATTTATAACTATAAGATGAAGCTCAATGTTACTTGGCAAGAGGTGAAAGAAAGTGTGGGGAAAGCTCTAAATTCATTATTTGAGAAGCATAGGCGCCTTCAGTTGATAATGTTTGAAAGTTACTTTGTCTAATGTTTATAAAACAATATAAAAATCATGTCGTTTATATGAAATGAAATTATTTTGTTATTTTAAAATTTGAATTTAAAATTCTACACCATGGTGAAATCATATCATGAAAGCAGAGAACGACCTGTCCTGTCAAACGCGCTTTTTTATTGATGTTGTCGATTGTAGTCAAAGTTAGCTGTTGTTTGATGATTATATTCATGTTCGGCATACATAATGAACCATTGCAGGCTTACACTGTTTCCAGTCTTTAAATGAAGTTACATTCAACATCACCAAGCTTAAACCAGCCTTTGAAAGATTTGGCAGATGCTTTTCAGTAATACACTTGGTATACATACATTGTACCTTTCAAGTACGATCCTCCTACTTCAATTGATGGAGAAACTGCCTCTTTTTCACAATTGTCAAAAGTACAGCGAACAATCGAGCACAAATAAAAGACTCCGCACACCACACCACAGCCCCCACCCTGCTCCTCAGGACACAATGGTTTCTCACGCAAAAATATTATAGCGATCAGTAATGTTAACTTTGGTGCTTTGATAAAGAGGGGAATTGTCTCTGTCAAACTGATAAAAAAAGAGATCCGTAAGCTCTGCAGATATGCTTCTTTGACGATTATCTCATCAGTCAAATTTGCAATAGCTATAAGAACTGACGGCTACAAAGTGTTACTACTGCTAAATCAAAGGTACAATTTGTATTGCAGTATCAAAGCAAACATTATAATACAGTTAGTAACAGTAATCTCAACATGTTTTTAAAAGCTTCATGGAACGAAAATGAAAGATATAGTATGTTCCAAAGAAATAGAATCTTTTTCTTTTTTTTTTTTTGAGTAATTAATGTAGCTCTATTATATATTTTGACAGTGTAATTTGGATATCTCTTGTTTATCTGACAGCGTAGTGGAAGCTCACTGCTAATACTTAACATAGAACTCCTTTCAGCATGAACTTCTCCATACGATTATGGTAAGACCCGCTAAATTGACACACTTTTCAGCTTTGTAATTCCTTTTTTTGTCTCAAATGTAGTTTCACAATGTTTGAAAGAGTTGGTTAAGCAGTCTGATCTGACTTTTAACAAGGTTGAATGGGAAAACATACCAATTAAACTTGAAACTCATTTCAAAGGTTAAATTATTTTGAAAAGAAGACGAGATGTTGTAAAACGTACAAGGTACGATCATAAGCTGGTAAATATGGACCAACCGTCTTAGCCGCTCGTCATTTAAAAGCAGTAAGCCTGGATTTACAATACCATCGGAACGACACTAGATCCTTCCCTCCTTAGCAAACTCACAAATTGGACAGGCACTGTACACAACGGTTTGCACCGATTGTTTAAACATTGCAGATACATGCTTTTATAACTCCTACCATGTGAAGCATCCCTTGAACAAATTGGCATGTAATACTTATTGTTAGAATTTCTGCTGATTCAACTTCCGTAGTTATTGTTGAATCAGGTCTGAAATTCATCTACGTGCAGAATGTAATGGATTTATCAATAAAGTTCAAGATATATCTGCCAGCACGGAAATGAGTAGACAATGCACGTTCATGCAGGGCAATTCCAAAGATAGCAGTAGGTTCTGAGGTTGCTTTTATTGAACGTAAACGCAAATTCTATTGGCAAAAACAGCCTGATAACAAAACGTTATTCAAAAGTCATCTGTTGCTATTGCTGCCACCATTCTGTTACGATGATCTCATGGTTTAAGCCGTCTAAACAAACCAACAAACAGCCATTCAGATTTTTGAGTTCTTTTAACTTTACAGCGTCGAGAAAGGAAAGGCGAGAAAGAACAAGTCACTTTTATAGAAGCACTTAGCTTACGAGAACGACCTGCCCTGTCCCTTTTTCTTATTAAAACCATCAAGAGTATTGAAATTAAGCCACATTGTTAAGTAACTATATAGCTCATTCATTCTACATTATACCCACTAGGTTACAATAAGTTACAACCACTCGCGCCTGGATCCTCGTTAACGGTTGACATCTGTGCTAGTACTGATAAGTAAAGGGCAACAGGATCCACTCTATTCACGCGTTTGAGTAGCATGAAATTAATGCGAGAACTGCCTCAGTAATATTTAGCCTCTTTCCGTTTGTATTTCAATACTTCTAAGCGCATGATTTTCCATTGAAAAAGTGGCTACTGTCTACCTTTGTATATGATCTTGAAAGGGGCTCTTCATGATGTGCGCGGGCATTCAATTAATAAAAACACAGGCTTTCCGTTTATCTTCAGCTGTACACGGGAAAAGGCACCATTGAGGCGTAATGATGCTACATGATAAATCATATTAGTTGAGGAAATTGGCTTGCCCATATCAATTACATCCAAAGGCGTAGAACAAAATTATTTTATTTATCTCTAAACTGCTAGCTATAATACTGTAGTAATATTGCATGTACTCAAGATACAAATTACAACGCCCTCAATTCAGTGCTTGCTTCCCGCTGAAAACGGTTGTGCGTTTATAGCAATCATCGGTAGAACGTTGACAGCCATAGTTCTATACTTGACTTTTGTTTAAAAGCTACAATGACGATTTCTCCAAAAAAGTGGACCGGAAAAAAAAATCTTGTAATTTGCTGCGAACAGTATCAAAAAGCTTCTTGACAATTGTATTGGGAAAATATAGAATGGGCAAATATACAGTGTTTTTACTCGTCGTGGAAACGGGTCAAAATATCGCTACAGACAAAGTAAAATTGATGTTTAGAATTCCGCAAATTTACGAGCCGCCATTACAATCATCTAGACTTGGGTCTACCTGTAAAAATCGAGCCAGTTTCTTTCTGGCGATGAGAGGATGCTGTTAAGCGGTTGATGCGGGTGACTTCCTTGGTTTTCTACAAAACTCAGTAGGTCTTCCCGCTAGCTTCCATATCGACACGCTAATTACCAACCTGTTTTTTGCAGCGTTGACGTCCCGGTTCCAAAGTATCGAACAGGTTTTACAGGCATTGATACTTTGGCCTGGAACAGTCTTCAATGCCTCAACAGTGTTGGAACGGCAATTGTTACATATTCGAGAAGTTAGGTATTCACCAATTGTTATCACTAGTAAATCACCAGCAGCCTCTCTTTGCTTCAAGGCACGCCAAAGAACTCACACGACACCAGTTTTATGGCCTTTGATGGGCACTGCACTCTTCCCGAACATGCCATTACCAACTACAATCAAAAGGGATCTTTTTAGTGTCGCCTACACTAAAGGGTTCAGGCTTCCAGTTGTTCTTCAGGGAATTGCTGTAGAAAGCATGAGTTCTATCAATTTTTCTGCGAATAGTGGATGAATTGCTTATCATTTAAAAACTTTACCTATCTTTCTTAGCGAGAACATTACTTACTTCTCTCGCATCTGATACTTCCCTCTCTTCTGGAACCTTTTGCTTCTTCTTCTTCTTCTTTTTACGTTTACAAAAGGCCATTCTGTCGATAATCTTCTTTGGCCACTTGCTTCGATCTTTCTTCTTCTTCAACCTCAATTGCTTATTGTACTTTGTGGTTCCATTAATAAGCAAATTGACCATGTTGTTGGCAGCACGCTCCTGACCCTGGTATAAACGAAATCTGTCTTCAGCAGTTCTCTCGCCGTAAAAAGAAAACAAGGCTTCAAAGTGCTGCAACATATATTGTACATGACGGTCAAGTTGTTCAATGATAGAAGTTTTGGCGGTTGGTATGCCACTTTCGATCATTTTAAGTGTGCCTGCTTTCTTCTTTTCCAGCTTTGCAGCGTATCTGGTACTTCCGGTCATATGATAATATTCTTTGGTAGAGCAGCTGCGTACTTGATGATTGTTACGGTCTAGTCCGATTGCCGCTGTGAAGACAGATCTTCGCCCTGGATCAAGGAATGCGGGTCTGAAATTGTCTTATATTTCGTCGTGAGAAAAATCTTCCAACGTCAAGGCGTCATTACGAAACATGATTTGAGGATTACCACTATAACCTATTTGTGGCAGCGCGATCATGTGTTACTTACGGAAGGACTCGTTTTTGACTTTATTCTTATGGGCTTCTGCCACCGATTTGATTTTTTGCAAGGTTTTAGCTTTGTACATGGTGAGTAGTAGCTATAAGGATGAGGAAAGAAAGTATAGAAGAAGAAAAAGATGGAAATCAAAGGAAAGATGCCAAACTTATTTTCTGTAAATGCTTTGAGTTACCAACATCTATTTTTTTATTACGATTGACAACAACAGCCGTTATCTACATATGCGGCGGAAGAACGCGTAGATCAAATTTGTTTGATCCATAAATAACGTCTCGTAAACCACAACCCAGTGTCTAATTACTAATAAGATCTGTGTCGTGCTGCTAATTCAGTACATCTCGTAGTACTTTAGGCGTAGTGCCGCTATCAACCGAAAGTATCTAATAACATTTAAAGTAATTTCTCCAATACAAGTGTAAAGATCTTACAGGTATTTCAATTCGTATCCTGTTTTACCTAGAAACGTCTCCAAACAAAACTCAGATTGTCCACTAAATAATTCGACCCGCAGCTGATGTATCCGATGGCGTTTGGGTTGGCTTCCTGGAGGCCACTGAACCTATTGCCTTAAACATCCCTCGTCATTACTTACAAAGTCCCACGCTATCTCCTGTTTAAACATGCACCACCGCCTGCGATTCCCTAGTCTGTGATCCCATATTCTCAACCGTCTTCCTACACATCCGATTCCCAAATACAAAACTGGCATTTCCTATGGCCAGTACTTTGTCACATTTTGTTTGAACTCGACTACTTACGTCACTCTCAAGAGCCGCCTACAACTTCTCGGTTAGGGCATCTATTGCTCGACTGGTTACCCTCTTCTCCCTCCCCCACACCCATTAGAACATAATCCTTTTTACCCTTGAGCCCTAAGGGGTTTTTAGATACTACTCAGCCTTTGGAGCTGCCCCGGGCAATTTAGATAAGTTTCATCTCGTGTCCATTGGGCTTTAAAAATTTAAATATAATTCTAGCCAGATGAAGTTTAAACTGCGAAGGACAATGAATACTCTGGCTTTTGCTCTAACAATAGGTCGGTGAAATCATCTCCGCACGCAATCGAAGATCCGGAGATTGTGAAAAAAAAACTTTTTTGAATTGCATTAATAGGGAAAAAATCCAGGGACTTTTTTTTTCATTTCTTTCATCATGCTGTAAATCACAACTTCTTTCCTTTTCCTTCTCTTATGATCAACATCCCTCTTATTTGTTCTTTTAACTCCAATAATACATGTTATTATGTCAAATATTAGTCATACCAAGCCATTATTTGACGTAGACGGGGATCCAATTGATGTGATAATGCCCTCATCAGCATCAGCTTCCATTGCAAAAAATCAGCACTACAACAACGACGATACAACAGCCATTCTCTCCGTTCAACCTAATGGCTATGAAGAGCTGATTTTCGCAGAGCAGCAGCAAAGTTCGAGGAGGCAACATTTATCTTCCCTTCGGCATAAAATCAAAAACTTTGTGCTCAACTGGAAATGGCCGTTAATGCTATTTTCCATATGGTTAACTGTTGGAATTATTGTGCTTGTATATAGAAAACAGTTTTTACAGCTATTAGAAACGTTGAGTCATAAGTTGGCTGACATAGGAACGAGGTAATCTTCAAATTGGTTCCAGAATAAGCTGTATCGTTTTAACTCAAAGTAATGCTGATATGATACTAGTGGATACTTGTTAATGGCATCCTTAATTTTTGCAAGCGCGTTCCCGCCTATGATAGGCTATGGGTTGTATCAAACTTTATCCGGATACACGTTTGGTTTTTTGATCGGCTTTCCTGTATCGTACTTCAGTGCTCTTTTCGGTGCCATTGCATGCTTTTTGTTATCAAGAACATTTTTTAAACATAGAGTGACACGTACACTATCTCAGTATCCCAATCTTGAAGCTGCTGTAAAGGCGGCAGAGAAGAAAGGATTCAAGGTAAAGAGCACTCTCAATTAGGAAAGAAGGCGCCAAACTTACACCCTTTTCTAACGTTACTTTGGTTTCGAAAAGCTCTTTCTACTTATCCGTTTATCGCCTTATCCATTCAATTTGCTGAATGTGTTATTCGCAGCAACACATTTACCACTGAGTTACTTTGCAGCAGGAACGGCTATTTCATTATTGAAGATCGCCCTCCATGTGTATGTTGGTGCTACCTTGACCTCCTTTGTCAAACATGTGTTGGGAAACGATGAAGATGCGAGGACAGAAGGTGAAATACGAGCAGAAAAAATCAAATACATATTTGTGGGCCTTTCGGCGTTGTTAGGAATGGGAGTGATGATCTACTTGTATCAAGTAGTAAAAGTAGCTGTGGCAGAAACAGTGAAACTGGACTCAGCAGCCAGCAACGAAGAGGAGTTATCCTTTTTACATGACGATGATACAACAGAAGAGGATGATTATGATGAGGAAACACATATTGGGCTAGCATCGATAAAGCAAGACATGATGAAACACATTGATGGGTCTCCTAGGCATTCGATCGATACTTGGGCTGATTGGGGAGAGGAGAACGACAGCAATCAAACGAAGAGCGTTGAGATACCTATGAAAAAAAGAGATTAAACTTAATGTATAGTGTCGATACTATCCCAACAATTTTTGTATATTTTTTTTCGTTTATTTATTGTCATAAGAGACATACATGCTCAATAAAACAGATAATAGCTTAAAAATGATGCTTTCATGCGGCAAGTCAACCTTTCGTTTTGCTGTTGTACTCAGCCAGTGCAAAAAAAGAAGCTGGTGACTCTGATTGAGTTTTGCATTTTTGGTTTTTTTCTTTTTTCCCTTTAATAAAGTAGATCTATAACAATGGTAAATACACGATCCCAGTATGCCTTATGAGTTAGATCAGAAAGACTTCTAACGGTTTATTTTTGCTGATAGTCTCGCTTGGAGCTCCTAACACCAGAAGGCTTGCGTGTGGATGGTCGACGTGCCAATGAATTAAGAAAGATTACAGCAAAGACATCAGTCTTTAGCCAATCGGATGGTTCGGCTTATATAGAACAAGGTAATACCAAGTGCCTTGCTGCTGTTTATGGTCCAAGAGAGGTAAAAAGAAAATAAACAGAAAAGTGGTTATCATTCAATGACACTAATCCGATTCTTGCGTATGGTATAGCTTCGTTTCCGTCAGCAAGGTGCAGCCGATCGTGCGATTATCAACGTTGAATTCAACATTGCTCCTTTTAGTTCAACTGAACGTAAAAAGCGTTCAAAAAACGACAAGTAAGGATGGCTTTACGATGGAACAGAAAGGAGGATTATAACCGATCCATTTTTTTTAGACGTTCGTTAGAAGTTGCAGCCTTTATCCGTCAAACATTCGAACCTATCATCTTTACTTCCCAAATGCCTAAAACACAAATCAGCATTTACCTTCAGATATTTCAGAACGATGGTGGCTTATTACAGGCTTGTATTAATGCAGCGTCTTTGGCATTGATCGATGCTGGTATTCCCATGATGGATTTTGCATGTGCTTGCTCAGCAGGCTGTATCGATAAAGAACCTGTTTTGGATTTGAATCATTTGGAAGAATCAGCAGATACCCCAGAGTTGACATTAGCGATACTACCAAGATCAGGAAAAGTGACTTTATTAGAGGTAAGACCAAGATAGTGAGAGAACGGTATGCATTATTGTGATATTTACATGTGTGTGTGTGTGTTATTGTATTTAGATGGAATCAAGGCTTCATATAAGTAAATTAGAAGGTGTGACGGAATTAGCTATGGAAGGCTGTCAGAAAATCCATAGCTATTTGGATCAAGTTGTTAGGGAAAACACAGAACATCTCATGTCGAAATTGAAAGCCTAATAAAACAAATGATTTTCGATACGTTGGAAATAAAGAAATATTTTTGTAAATAGTTGTAGTGACAATAATGTTAAGAAGAGCAGGTCGAAATTAATGTTTATATATAGGAATACGAGTAGTTTTAGGGAACAATGAATTTTCATTTTAATTTGGATGCTAGCGGATATTTGTTGCTTTCTCGACGTAGTTGCTTGGAAAGACTCCTTGCACACAAGAGCCATCAGTTTCTATTAGTCGCATGCAATTAGAACAACAAAGAATGAATATCTACACTTATGTTTCCAAAATAAAAAGAAGGCAAAAATCACTTACTGTCAGCTTTGTACCCCATCCACCAAATATCGTCACTCGAATCTGTGACAATGATAGGGTCCGACTTCTTAAAACCTAGTTCACCTTCTTCACGTGCTTTGAAATCAAACTTGGCATAATACAAATGAGGATGATCCTCTGTTGCAGTAGTTGTCTGGGTATTATTGATTAGGGCTGAATCCATCATTGCTTTAAAATCACTTTTGTGTTTATCGCGTTTGCTATCTGATGAAGCAGTGGTAGCTTTGATAGGACGTTTTGAGAAATACTCTTCTACCATACGTTTAGAAGCAGCTCGGCCATCCAAGGCGTTAGTACCCATGGCTGCAGCGGGTGTTGTCAATGCTGTTTCACCAGCATTATCCCTGTTGGTTGGTAATGAAGTCGAAACAATAGTATCTTTCTCTGTTGATGCAATGGTAGTGTTGGGTATAGGAGTAACAGTGTCATTATTGTTTTTATCTCGATTTATAGTTTTCTCGTTATTATCCAAGGTCATGGATCGAGATGTGACAAATGCTGACGCAGGTTCTACTAGTCTTTCGGGAACATAAGCTGTTTCAATGGGTGATCCTACATTAGTCGTTTTCCAACGAATATCGCTCCCTTGCTGCTGTTGGCTGTAGTCCTCAGTAATGTTATTACTGTTATTGTGTTGTGGTGTTTGTACAAAGTTGAAAGTGTTACTTGTAACGATAGGCGCAGATGTTATAACATCATCAGAGCCAGATAGCCTGAACGCATTGCTATTCATCACTTCATGATGATCACTACTGCTTTTATCTCCGGGCATATGATCGAGTCCAGAAATAGTACTTTGAATAGTAGCTCTTCCTACATTAGCACTTTGACTACTGAGGTGTGTCCATTGAACAGTATTCGATGCGGGCGGTTGTTCTGGTGGTAGAAATGAAGGTATAGGAGTTACTCTATCACTATTTTTTGAACGCTGCTGCTGATGTGTTACTGTTGTTGTTGATGCAGCTATAAGAGAGGGTGTCGTTGTAATCACTGCTGTAGCAAAAGCATCTTTGGAACTCGGTGCTGTTGTCCATTTTACTTTTTCTGGTTGTTCAGACGCAGTGTCATTAGTAGTGATAGCTTTACCAATCTCATTTTCTGTATTTGCTTGGAACTGTTGTTGTTGTTGTTGTTGTTGTTGGTAATGATGGGTAGTTGCTGTACTGATTAAAGATACAGGTTTAATAACAGCAGTACCAACATCTGCAGCTGGCGCAGTAGTCCATCTCACATTGTTTTCTACTGGAGCTGGCTGGAGAGAAGGATCATTACTATCGTTATCATTATTGTTGGTTGCTGCAATCGCTGCACCCGTAGAATCAAAAGCTAAATTTCTAAAAGGATTGAAGGGACTGTGTCGCTTGGGCATTTCAGACATTTTCTTTATGCCAGCTACTGCATCCATTGCTGTATTGTTGTTACTATCGGACTGTAACGCTTCATGACCATTAGCTTGCTCATCGTTAAGTAACATTGTGTTTTTTTCCTGAATTCCTTGTTTATAATGCGTTGATGGATACTCATTGCTCTTCTTGGCTACTGCTGAAGCTGCTACGGTCGTCGTTGTAGCCACTGCTTTCGTTGATGAATTATTCAAGAACTCCCTACTGATTGTCCTGGATAGATGATACAGGTTCTCATTCTCTCTGAAAGGATTGCTGCCTTGTTTTTCTGCTGTACCAAAGTAATAGCCATTATTTCTGTCTCCATTTTCATTAAAATTGATATTCTCGTGTATCACATCGTTTTGCTTCAAGGTGGCTAATAATGAATCAGGAGACATGGGCGGCTTGTTATAGTAGGTAGCAGGGTTCATTTGAGGATTCACTTTAGCATCGCGTTTTCGTTTGAAGAATAGAATCAGCATGGCTAATAAAACAATCAGAAAGACTATACCCAATGAGATGGCAATGGCAACAAGAATGACGAGCGGCTTGGGTAAATAACCCTTGTTTTCATTGAGAATAACAGGTAGAGGCATATGGAAGAGGCTGCTTAGAGAACCATCAATAGATCCATCTGCATTGGAGGTGACCAAATATGGAACCCATGCTGTACCATTGTAAAAGGCAGCACTGACATATCCAAACGAACCTAAATTGAGGTAGCCGGAAGCCAACAAAATACCCTTACTATTGTTACCGTTATCATCGTTACTATTACTACTACTGCTGATATCAGATGTGTTTACTAGAGGTAAAATTGATAAGGAGTTGATCACACTCTGCGGTCCCAGTTCTTGTTCGGGTTTGATGAATTGATGACCATTCCATGTACGAAAATAAGTAGCGCCAGTCTTATCTTCTTTCCCTGTAATATATAAGCTTTGGGTTACATTGTCGAACGCCAAAAGACGAGATGGGCCTGGTAGGTCGGCCGTACTGAATGGTCCCCAAGTATTTTTTTGAAAATCGTACTCAGCAATCAACAATGGAGAAGTATTGAGCGTCAAATTACCACTCGCCACCAATTTATTGTTAACAAATTGAACATCATTCACTTCACCCGATAGACCCGATCCTAGTGAACTCCACTGAAGCTTCTTGGTATCGAAAGAACAAATGGATGCACACGAAATCGAACCAATTGAGCTGAAATTACCTCCTACGACAATGAGGTTTTGAATAGGGTCATGACGGATAATATTAACAGTCGCAGGCGAATGATCGCTTGCGATAACCTCCGGCGATAGTGAAAGCGTGCCTGTGGGTAATTGGAATATGGCAAGGTTGCTGGCTTTTGATCCAGAGAATCGTCCGCCCACATACAGATAATCGCCACTGACAACTGAACTGTGAATAGCACCTTCCCAATCATCCGCTCCATCAACACCGCTCCAGATACCATTGTCGTATATAGCCACATTTTTTATGTTGTTGTCGGGCAGAGTAAATTTTCCTGCAAGAACAGCCATTGTTCGACTCGTTGCAGTTGAATTACGGTAGATGGCACCGCAAGAAACTGTTGCAATGCCATTATCAGTGGGATTAAAATTGAGTAATGTAGGTAGTTGTAGAGCAGTAGCAGAATTGGTCTCTTCCTCTTCTTGAGGTGAGGTAATGAAAGAAATGCCGTGAGAAGAGTATCTCTGCGCAGCTTTGATATTGCCAATGAAATAACTGCTGCCTTTATAATTAAACGAACCATAGGTAATACCCGATAAGTATGGCATATCAGTAGCATTCCAGTTTTGATTTTGCATGTCCCAAAAAGCATGCCCGTTGGATCGACTGGAATATTTCTCTTCATTTGTCTTTAATATTTCAGAGAACTCCCCAGAAATGAGAAGCCGTTGATTGAGGCCATTGTTAATTAAGCTCAAAGATTTAACAGGGCCATTGACACCAGCACGTAATGGGCTCCAGGAACTCGTATGAGTATCATATTTTGCCATATTCGCGAAATAGTTAGTAGCAGTTGAAGGATTCTGTCTCTTTGAAAAAGTTTGAGCACTTAATGAAAGAGCTGAGAAAGCGCCTCCAACGTAAACATCATTTCCTGCGCCAATGATGGTTTCCACCATTCCATTTACACCACCTTGTGGTAACGCCTTTACCAAATTAGTGGATAAATCATATCGCAAAATGTTGGAATAGGATCCATTTATAGTATCAGTTCCACTAAAATTGCCGCCAATGTAAATGTTATTATTCACTAACGCCATTGCTTTTACTGTAGCATGATAAGGAACGTTATCTTTTAATGGGCCCCATGGAACAGCTGTCGATGTGATGTTTGTGACGGAGCTGTTATATTCCAAGATATTAGCTAAAGCTGGTGCAGTTGCATATTTAATGAATTGAACAGCGTAAGCAACGAGATTTTTGGAAGGTGACGATGATGTAAAGCTAGCATTATGTGCTAATGTAAGTTTCACATTGGGCCGAAAGGCAGTACTTGTATTATCAGTTGTTGTTGCTGAATCAACATCAAAGTAGCCGGTGTAGACTGAAGCGCCACCTGTTATTTTTTGACTGAGTGAGCTGTTTACCGTTTGAGTCTGCGAAGTCGATATAATAACATCAACATCTGTACGATCTGAGCAGCCGGCGGTTGAACATGATGGATTGTAAACCAGAACTTCGTAGATGCCTGACTCTTGAAGGTTGGGATAAAATGTAACAGATGGAGAAGATGATAAAGCAGATGCATCCACTTTAGCACTTAAATAGGGAATGCCATCGGTGACAGCGTCCCATCTCCCTCCATGGAGCGTGACTTTAGGAAGCGTCATATTATTATTGCTACTATTTGCTACACATGTATTGCCCTTTTGAGGATCAACAGCATATGTAAAGATCTCTATTATTGATTCAAAAAATTAATCTCTATTCTTCTTTCCATAAAAAAAAAAGGAAAATAATCGTTCCTTACCCGATTGAAAGACTTTAACAGAAGCCAAACCGCCACTAACACCATACCATGACTTTACGTCTATGGCAATGCCGCTCGTCATTGAAAGATTGGTGATAACAAAATCCTGATAGTCCACAGTAGGATTTGCTGAAAGTATACAATTTGTCGAGCATTTTTTTACTAAATTGGTGTCTGGATCAAGATACGTGAATTCATAGATCACGGAAGAATCCGTCAATGAACGAACACTATATGAATTGGAAAAAGTACAATTAAACATGTCGGTTTCATGGCATTACAACAACCTCCTATTCCTCCTCGATAAAGTCTCTCCTCTTTCCATTTTGTTTTATCGTCAACCCAGGTTTTGCTATTACTCCTCCTTAAAGCAATCTTGAGAAGTAATAAATGGAGGAGTACGAGGAGAAATAATACGGGATTTTTTAGATAACTTACGAGAACTCTTTCGTCTTGTGATTATCCAGCTTTGAGTTTGCGATTCTTATCAGTGAAGGGTTGACGTTGTATTCGACGAATGTGATTTCCATTGTACCCCTTGTTCCATCAGCCAAAATCCAAGGCTTTTTGTTAAAAGCATCTGCACAAACGATGGTTCCAGGGACTGCTGAATTACTCGCTGTGCTGTTGGCTGTAACATACTATCATAAACAAATCGTCAAATTAGTCTCACCATATAAATTATATGATAATCTAGGGGCCGAGAATGAAACATTTGGACTCATAATTATCAAAAAGGAAGTGTTTACATAGTAAAAGAAGTATAAAGTAGATGGAATAATGAACAGGTAACTGAAAGAAAGGATGGAAAAAGGGTCCGTTAAACTTACGTCTGCAGATAAAGCGATGGGATGACTTGCAGGTGCATGATACATCTGTCCATCTGTCGTGATATCAAACTTCCCTCCGAAAAGTATGGAGTCAGTGCTTTTCTTCAAAATGGAATAGACAGGTCCATTCATTCCTTTCCAAGGCAACGCATTCCATTCATTATTTTTCCAAACCGCAATGCTGCCTCCATATTTGGCTAATGAATCTGTATAATGAACCATTGAACTACTGATGGGTGCTCTGAAAGAACCACCTGCATACACTGCCTGATGATCCGAATCACAATAAAGACTGTAAACAGGTCCGTCCAAACCGTATTGCAAGGATTTTATGTTATAGTTAGATAAGTCGATAGATGCAATGTTGTTGACGGTATGCCCGCTAATTGTTGAGAATTTGCCTGCGATATACAGCGTTGAATCAGATAAAACACAGGTGTCAAAAATTTCGCCATTGATATTGGAGGAGGCAATCAGCTTTAATGTATCATTTGCTGTTAAAGAAATGACAGATGAGGTCGACTTTTCAATTTGCGTGAGCTGCTCTGTATCTTTGTATAAAGATATGCCACTGTAAGAGCCCGCAATGCCCAATGCTTTGATAGGGTTGAAGTTGATTTCAGGATGTGTAACATATGTTGCACGACTGAAGTTTATCGCTGTTGTTAAGAGTAATAATACAAGTCTGACATGTAAGACCTTCAACATTGAAAATAGAGTAGATGAAGTTTTTGTGCCAATTCAAGGAAAGGAGAGATTGTTCTGTATAGAGTGATTAATGATGCAGTTATCGTCTTTAATTGCTGAGAATGAGTGGGGGTGGTATAATGTCTTTCGTTATTTTTCTGCAATGAAAATAAACAACCAAATTTATAAAAATTTTGGCTTTTCCGATGGCTTGGGCTATGCTATCCACGCTGGTTTTTTTCTTCTTGTCTTTAGTTTACACTCCAGTTTTCTAGCAATGAACCTCGTTAAAATTGCTAGTGTAGCAAAAGTTGAGCAGGTTGGAAAGGAAAGGAATTGGGGTTAAACAAGTTGAAAAGAGAGGTTAGGTCGAAAAGAAATGGAAAAGGAATAAACTTAACAATCAAATGAAAAAAAAAAAAGAAATTCAAGGGAGATTATAACAACTTCAAAAAAGGAAAGAAAAGAAGGGGAGAATCGCTGCTAAATGATGGACAGCAGCACCTGCTCGTTGCCTTGCTTCTATTATTAAAATGAGAATGTGATATTAAACAACAAGACACATTTAAAGCAGAACGAGCTTCATTAGGTTGTTGTGGTTGTGCAATAGCTTATCTCCGCCGTGCTTAAATATAGGCGGTAAGCACGTTCCATTGCCTTTTCGGGGTATGCGAAATCTTGTACCTTTCTTTAAAGTAGAGAGCTAAAAAAATATACACTTCGTGATTTATCTTATTGTCCTTCAACCGAAAACAATTTTTACGACAACGCGTAACAATATAATCGCTGATACGCCTGAATGAATCAGAAAGTATCCTGACATTGATATGCAAGGGTTACACTACCTGTTTCTTTTATTCGAGCAATTTACGTTTGTTGGCAATGATTTGTGCGATAATTCTACATTGTTCGGTATTGGAAACATGCCTTTCAAAAAAGCTTACACTCAATGGAAAATGCAATGGTATTCATTAACAAGGATATTTTTGTTGTAAAAGAAAGTATTTCAAAAGTGTTTGATATATGATAAGTCAGTCATTAAATATTATCTCGGATCATGGGTAGTTTAACTGTTATTCGTATGCGTGATATATATTATGAGTTCTGCTCTTACTAGAAGTAATGAACATTTGCGGAATCACATCAGAAGGTTGCCAGTCTTGCAAAAATATAGTGCGCGAATGTAAACAGCGCGTCACCAATCTGCAAACAGATACATAAACAAACGAAGGGGCCCTTTCAAAGGCAAATGTTCTCTCATGACAAGTCTACCTTTGATCCTTTTCGAATAATGCGAAACTGACAAATGGAGTCTTTTTAATCCACTTGCGGAAGGCCGAAGTCCTTTACCAGACTTTGATATTATAGATGTCTGTATATTCGCAAAAGGACCTATCAACTCATCAGTAAGTTTAAACGGCAATCTTTGATTGAACTCTTGTCCATAGCTGGTGAAAACTTTCAATAAATTAAATTTTCAGTGTTATCAACATAATTTCAGTAAGCTATAATAAGATTGTTGACATAAATCGTCTATATCAGCCCTCATCTATGCATCCAAGCCGAGCCGGTTTTTCGTGCCTTCATTTTCAAGACTTGATTGTCAAAATTATTCAACAAAGCAAAAATTGAATAGCCTTTTTATTACGATTATTTCAAGAGTCAATAAGACACTATATTTATATACACGGGTAAACATCAGAAGCTGAACTGAGGACGTCGTGCAATGTCTCAAATAACGGAAAGGAATACATATATAAATGCAGTTGCTCTAAGAAAGCTGGGCGTTTACTTTCTGGCAAATGTAACCTTCATTTGCTGGTCAGGTCCAAATGAATGGTTATGCAATTCTGCTTTCGCAACAGCTGACTGCAGTTCATTGTCATATTCTACAAATGCAATAGATTTTTTGGCAGGAATAGTACGCACTTCTTTGAAGCCAGGAAATTTGTGGAATAGCTCGATGAGTTGCTCCTGAGTGATGGTTTCTGGTAAGTTTTGCAAGAAAAGAATCTTGTTAGGTGGTAAGTATTCATCTGGAATGTTTGCTGTAGGATTCATAGGAACCGCACCAGCTGAAAGCGAAGAAATAAGAATTTCATAGTTAATAACAAAGCATATGCTAACACACTAAATCTTTTTCTTTTTGAAAAAATGAAAAAAAAAAACTTACGTGGCAAACGGCCAGGTTTGAATGTAGGCTTATGAGCTCCAGGCAAAGGCAGCTTAGATACTTCTTCTTTTCTTTTCTTACGTGACTCAAAATGTGTATCCCAATCTCCATCCTGCTTCGCATGCACATCGGATTTGTTGTGAGCAAACTGCACAACCATAGGCTTATCATATAATATGAAATGCTGTAATTCTTTAATGGCCTTTTCCGCACTTTCGACGTCGGGATAAGCAATATAAGCCTGTCCACGCGCTCTAATATTGCGGTGAGCTACAACATCCAATACTTCGCCGAACTGTTTAAACAATGTACGTAGAGAATTTTTCAACACATCGATCTTCACTTTTTCATTCAGATTGCTGACATAAACCGTACGGCAAGGTGTTGTATTTAAAATTTTTTTGTTGGGAGGTATGTTCAAAGGGGGTGCTCCTGCTGTGTGAGGCGGTAAAGAAGGCATTCCTGCTGTATTGGGTGGGAAACCCGCTGGACCATTAGGAAGAAATCCAGGTGGTGGCATTCCTCCTGGTGGGAAATTGAAACCGGGTGGTGGCATACCGCCTGGTGGAGGAGGTCTTCCTGCAGCTCCTGGTGAAGGAAATGGTGGTCTAGGCATGTTGCCTGGTGGAAAAGCACCTGGTGGCGGCATTGGTGGGGGTTGTGACATTATTGATTTGATCGTGTACTGAAGACTGCAACTAAACAACACGAAGAGAGAAAAGGAAAAATAGGAAAAAATAAAATTGTCGTTGCTATTGAAGGAACTCTGATCAAGTCACGCAGCTAAAAGCATTAATCAGTTTTGATAATTCATAAGACATTCATGCACAGTTTTCTGCCCCTACTTTTTGCTATTTTCTGTTCGACTTGTCACATCAGTCTGCAGATTACCATTTGGAAGTCTTAGCAACCACACACTTACTCAACAATCTCGACAGGACTTTCAGATTTGTACACTAAATGATGTAAAGTGGATTAACAGTTTATATGTTGCGAGGATAACCACATGTATTATTAATGCTTGGAATTTGTGTAGTTTCAACATTGACGATCTCGTTGTTCACTTTCCTTATGAAAAAATATACCCTGAACAGTATCAGTATATGTGCGATCTAAAAAGATCGCTTGACGCACAAGTAAAAAATCAAATACAAAATGATGAAGAGGCGCTTTCCAACTGATGCTCAATAACTTTAAAAAGGGACATTGCGTCCTAGAAATGCCTTCTGGCACAGGCAAAACTGTATCTTTGCTTTCACTGATTATAGCTTATCAAATGGTAATACAAAATTAAGATATCTTTATCAGCTTGAAATATCAACGAAAGATGTTATTCATTCTGATATTCCGGTTTTCTGTAGCAATATCCAGAACAAAATAGAAAATTGATATATTGCTCTCGTACTGTACCAGAAATCGATAAAGCATTAGCCGAATTGAAACATTTAATGGCCTATCGGGCTGAACAAGGTCTTGAGGAGAACTTCTTCGGCATTGGGCTAACATCGCGTAAAAACTTGTGCTTAAACCCTATAGTCAACAAAGAAAGAAAGGGACGATTGGTCGATGCAAAGTGTAGAAATTTGACAGCTAGTTGGGTTCGCGCGAGAGCAGGAGTTACGATGAATAAGATGCAACATCAAGACGCAGAATCTGAGGATAATAATAACAATGCGGATGCTATGGAAGTTGACCCCCAAGTAGAATTATGCAATTTTTATGAGGTATTGTTGCTTTGAGATGAGTTGCTTTATCCAGAGGATGTATTAAATTTATGTTTAATACTGTAGAATCTAGAAGCGGCAAATTCACCCAATCCTATACCAAATGGTATCTACACATTCGAAGATCTCAAGGAATACGGTAAAAAAATGCAATATTGTCCCTACTACCTTGTGCGACGAGCAGTAAGTTCTTATGCATAAGAATTTCTTAATTCTCATTAATGATTAATTACTTACTATTTCAATTTAGATACCTTTCGCCAATGTTGTAGTTTACTCCTATCACTATATGCTCGATCCGAAAGTGGCTGAACTCGTATCCAGAGAACTATCTCGAGACTGTATTGTCGTGTTCGATGAGGCACACAACATCGATAATGTGTGCATTGAATCACTGAGTATTGATATTACCCGGCCTATGCTTGATGCCAGTGCCAGAAGTGTTGGTCTTTTAGCTGACAAAATTAACGAGTAAGTTTTTCTAAAGATCTGAACAGAGACAACGAAGTAGCATAAAACTCTGGACGTTCAAGTAGTTAATCCGTCGTTGTTAGAATCAAACAAACAGATGCTCAGAGATTAAAAGATGAATATTCAAAGTTAGTGGAAGGATTACGTGATGCAAGTACCGCAAGAGACGAAGATACATTTATGGCGAATCCTGTATTACCGGACGATCTACTCAAAGAAGCAGTACCTGGCAATATTAGACGTGCTGAGCATTTTGTTGCCTTCCTTAGAAGATTCATTGAATACTTGAAAGTAAAGCACAATATACCTTTGGAATCAAACAGTAAATATGACTGACTTTTCATTCACAGACTAGGTTACGTGTAATGCATGTAGTTGCAGAGACACCAGCGTCTTTTCTACAGCATTTAAAAGATGTCACGTACATCGAAAGAAAACCCCTGAGATTTTGCGCGGAACGTTTAACCAGCTTGGTCCGTACGTTGGAATTGACAGATCTCGAGCATTATCATAGTTTACAGAGAGTTGCTGCATTTGCTACTTTGACCTCAACCTATGATAAAGGGTTCTTGCTTATTCTTGAACCATTTGAATCGGAAACTGCTACAGTTCCCAACCCTGTTTTACATTTCACGTATGCATTTTTTTATTTCAATCTGAAAGTTTTGGTGATATCGATACCATGTCCTAACATCTTCCACCTCTTCGTTTTTCTCATTTTCATGGAAAAAAATCGCTTTTAGTTGCCTAGATGCATCTATAGCCATTAAGCCTGTGTTTGACAGATTCAGTACTGTTGTTATAACCTCTGGTACTTTATCACCTCTGGATATGTATCCCAAGATGTTAAACTTTCAAGCCGTCGTTCAGGAAAGCTATTCAATGACTCTAACCAGAACCTGCTTTTTGCCGATGATCATCACTCGTGGATCAGATCAAGTCGCTATCAGTTCCAAATTCGAGGTGCGTAATGATCCAGCTGTAGTCCGTAATTTCGGGCAAATTATGGTGGAAATGGCCAAGGTCGTTCCTGACGGCATGGTTTGTTTTTTTCCAAGTTACTTGTATATGGAGTCAATTGTTTCCATGTGGAACGATATGGGCATCTTAAACGAGGCATGGAAATATAAGCTTATCTTTGTAGAAACGCCAGATGCAGCTGAGACAAGTTTAGCTTTGCAAAATTACCGAATAGCGTGTGATAACGGTCGAGGCGCCATCTTACTGTCTGTAGCAAGAGGCAAAGTATCTGAAGGAATTGATTTTGATCATAACTATGGCCGAGCGGTCATCATGTTTGGTATACCCTATCAATATACAGAATCCAGAATTCTGAAAGCGCGTTTGGAATATCTTCGTGATAATTTGCATATCCGTGAAAATGATTTCTTGACTTTCGACGCCATGCGCCACGCTGCACAATGTGTGGGTAGAGTTTTAAGAGGTAAAACAGATTATGGTCTTATGGTGTTTGCTGATAAACGATTTGCAAGAGCGGATAAACGAGCCAAGTTACCAAAGTGGATTAACCAACATGTCACAGATTCGTCGACGAATCTGTCGACGGATATGTCAGTGGTTCTTGCGAAGAAGTTTTTGAGAGGAATGGCTCAGCCCTTTGAAACAAATCAAACGGGCGTATCTTTATGGACAGTTGAAGATATCGAGAAGCACACTTCTAAAAAACAGTAAAATAACATAATCCATTGTTTCATATTAAAGTATCCCTAAAACGGTCAAACAACAGTTTGGCTCTACTTGTAAATAAACCCTATTGTTTGATATTTTTGAAAGTTTTTTGTTTGATCTTTCAGGCACGTACACCTTTTTCCAAATGGTGTCGTTAAACATAAGATTTTGAATGTTCCTAAAAGGAGATTATAATCTTTAATATTTGTATAACATCTCTCCTCAAATACGACAAATATTTCGGGTCTACCGTTCCCATTCAAAATCATGTACATATTGACATCATGTTCCTACAGTTATTGATGTCCCCGTTCCATAGTTAGTCGCAGCTTTTACAGGGTAATATACTATGGCCGAACGTCATCCAAACCATGTAATTCCTCGCTGAGGCAGTGGCAGCAGATGTTCGACGTCTTGAATTCGTCAATCATCAGCACTAACAGATCACCGGCTGCTTCCTTTCTTTTCAACGCACGGAAACAAGACATCAACAACGCCACAACGGAGACCCTTCAACTTCACGTTATCTTTGCCAAACATGCCATCTCCAAAGACAACAAGAGGAACTTTTTTCTTGTCGTCTACTTCAAAGGCTTTCGGCTTCCATTTGTCTCTATACGGACTGTAAGTCAGTCTTGTTTGAACCTCTAATATGACAGTCATTTACAGTTAATTGACTTACCCCTTTCCCGTGCCTTTAACCTTTTTGTCTTGTTCTTTCTGTCCTTCATCTTTATCAGACTCTGCTATGCTCTAAAAAGTGTACAATAAGGTTACTAATGTCTCAAACTACACACTGTATAGTGATATGCCATTACCGTTACCGGACGGATTTTCCTTCTTGGTATGATTTTCTTTCACTGAATTGATTTTATCTATAATAAGTGTCTTGTACATGTGTGTAGAAATAACGTTGGTTTGAAGGTAATGAAGTGAAAGAAAAGAAGAAGAGAAGAAAATAATTGAAAAAGGTGAAAGATAAGAATGATCACTAAATTTTGGCAACATAACATTTCGTTTAACAACATTTATAATAACAGTATGATTTACGCGTTTAATGTCACAATTAAAAATACGCAGATATTGAAAAATTTGATCCGATACAGTAATTTAGCGTTGGATTTAAACAAAGCTGCCATATGAATGGACAGTACAAACCAGATTTTTGAGACGTCTACTCAAACCTTCAAATTTGGCATAGAGCTCCTGTCTTGCAGCTTCAATTGTTATCAAAGGTCTCGCATCAAATAATGCTATAAGAAACTCAGTATGTTCTGCAAAAAGCTTCTTTGGTCGAGAGATGCCGGTTCTTGGCTTGCTACCAGGAAGGACTGTACCATCACTAGCATTCCACTGATCTAAAAACTTATAAGCGGTGGACCTCGGAATGCCACACTCAACCGCAGCTTTGGGAACTGTAAGCCCAGCCTCTTGGATTCAGTGAATCAACCGTCTAATGCTGTGCTCACTATATTGCTTGCGCTTCTTGGACTTATCCGTTAATGCGACAGTGCTGAATTCTGTTGTTAATTCTTCAACAGTTTCTTCCATTTTCGCATCATCGACTACAGGGCGCCGCTGCATTTCATCATAGTCGACGATCTTCTCAATTTGCCCGAAAGTAACAGCAATTTCATCCAAGTCCATAGCAAAAGTATTTTCGGAAAGCATAGGCTCACTTGCAGGATTATAATTTATGTAATCCATGTTGCAGGGATGTGTTTATTTTAAAGCAAAAGAAATCTACTCAAAATATTTCGTCTACCATAAAAGCCCAATTCGTCTAAAATCAAAAAAATCTATAATCCACTAAAAAAAAGAAACGTCCCAACTAAGTTTTCGACTTCGTCCACAAAATTTTCGAAATCGTCTCTTATGAAACCTAAAATACACTAATTTATGTCTGAGTTTAAAAGTTTGTATTGACGTACTTTGATACCTTCTGGTACTATTTTTACATCTTTTTCTTACCTTTCATGACCAATGACTAGGGGAAGCATCATTTGCTTTTTGACAACCCGGTAAGCCTATCGAGAAACTTTGGAAGATAGAAACTCCCTCGTCTGCTTAGTCTTCGTAGCTTGGGGTCTTTTCAGGCTCGACAGTAGCTCCTCAGTTAAACTGATCAGTGGCTAGTTGACTAATATTGTCTACTTGTGCAATCTTGAAAAAAAATGGAGCCCTAAGTATCATTATATTGTTGTGGATTATTGTTTATTATCTCCTTCGCTTTCCTGCGTTTTCTCAGTGACTTTTTACTTTTCGTAGTGAAAATCTCTTGTGGCCATTTGTTTCATTCGGCTTATTCATTTGCAGGTAAACTCTGAAAACTTAAGTAAAAGATGCAATGTATAATAATTGTTTTAAATAGATGGATTTGGAACAATTGCGTTAGTAACTGTTGGGCTTTGATTGTATGTAAACCCACGTTTGTGGGCATCATGTTAATTAGATTTACTATGGCGATTGTGCTATTGATTCAGAAGATAAAAGTTATACATTTGTTATTCTATTCATAAAGACTGACGATTAATTATCAGGCCTATTAGGTGAACTATTCATGTTAAGCCTACTTGTCTTTTGGATATAAACATTAGGAAGCTTAATGATAGTATTTTTTTTGAAATTATTCTGGATCTCACTAATGTCTTCATAACCAGGTGCTTTTCTAGTCTTTATCTTCATGTTGATGATATGGGAACTTTCTAAAGCGTCTATTGCTTCATAAGTTTCTATAATCATTTTCTAATAAAAAGACTTGGTGATTAGCATGACATCAAAGCGTTCTATGATAAAAAATAAATACATATCCTCATGAACCAAAGTAAATTGACTAATTTTCTTAAACTTTCTTCGCTGTTTCTCGCTGTTGTTGGTAGTTCCACCGAGCCTATACAATTTTTAATTTACAACTTGCTGTATGACATCGATAATCGCCAAATTCTTAACTTGGTGGCTATAAAACGGATATTAAGAAGTTGGTTACACACAAGACGAAAATTTGAAGATACATACGTGTTACTTGAACAAAGAATACACCAATTCTTTTAAAGATGTCAAAGTCTCCATAAGAAAACTTTCGGCCAATGTAATGAAGCATTGATATTAATCCATAGCCAGCCTTAATGTAATCATGTGTCTCCTTTGGGTTGTTTGAAAGGTGAAAGGGACCTGTAGTTTCAACAATGGCAATTTCTATACTATGTTTGTCGTTGATAATGACACCATCAGCATTGTAGTAAGAACTACTACCTTTGTGTACCAACTTCAATTCATCACACACGGCCTGCAATCTAACTTCTCCAGGCTGAAATCTGGTGGTTTCAATTGATTTTGATAAATGGTCGATTATCGGCCATATGATTCGATAATTATAGCATGTTTCAAGCTTGTAAATATCACTATCTTCGATGAACATTCCAGAAACACTATGACAAAAGTAAGCTATACGGACGTGATAAGTTTCAACTATTAATTCAAATACTCACAATGATGAACAACAACATGAAAGAATTTCATGAAAGGCTCATTTGATTTAAAAACTGAGAAATATACTTCCGCTAGTAACTCATTCGAAGATTGTTCTTTGGCAAGTGTCTTTAATTAAAGTAATATAATATTAAAGATCCATATAAAAACGAATTTGTTCCATATAATTACAGTATACTTACTATTGTATCGAAAATTCTGTTATAAAAATCTTGGTCTTTCACAAAGGAGTCAGGGATTTCTTTGGTAATCATTTCTGTCTTGTCAATCAAGTTCTTCGGATAATATTTCCTTGTTAGCTCGGAGCCGATATTTCTTCCGATTTGTACAACATTCAATTTCTCTAAGCTATAACAAAATATCAATTTACTGAATGACAACACCAGGCAAAGTTTCTGTATACCTGTAATTGTCTATATCGCCTGTGATTGCATATTGTCCAATACTTTCTTCCAAAGCTCCCAAATACCTAACTTTACATCTTCTTCCACAACTATTTCTATTTCTTCCTCACTTTCCTATTGGCAATTATAAAATAGGAATTCTATTGTTTTGTCTTTTCTTTCTTCGGGTAGACTGTTAGTACTTACAAATTCGTCGTAAAAATATGCAAAGGTTTTTTCTGTTGGCGCCAAATCTGCTGGTGATGTTTGTAAAGGTGAAGATGCCAAAGATGTTGAAGACAAAGGCGAAGCAGATTCTTCAAATATTTTTCTTTTCTTGTTACTGTGATTACCCACCACTTGAGTTCCGTAGTTGACAGTAGCAATATTGACGTTGCTACAGTTACTGAGAGTGAGGCCAGATTGCTCTTCGAACGACTATTTTGGGCATTAATATCTTTGACAACAACAAAATTTCAGTCTTTTTTACCTTGTTACCAACATCTTCCAGCAAGCTTGCAATGTATAGTTTGACGTCGTCTTTTACTGCACCGCTTATGTCAACAAGGCACTGCTTGTACTGATTGATTATTACATTCATTTTTGGTTTAATGCGTGCATTGTTTAACTTGTGTTCCTTGAAGCAACTGAACGTCCATTCAGATAAATTGTTGTTCCTGAAAAAGTCATATTCTTTGTTTTTTTGGTAGCGAGATTTTATCATTCAAGTTAAGCATTTGTTAAAGAAAAGGCAAAAAAAAAAAAAAAAAAAAAAAAAAAAAAAAAAAAAAAAGATTATCATTTTTGGAAAGGAGTAGTAACTATCCGTCATAGGTTTTGATTTGTGACAGAGGATAATGGTACTGGTTATCATTTCCATGCTGCCTATAAATAATCCATAGTGGATGTAAGGTAGAAAGTATTGCATGGCTCTGGGAATGCCAGGGGAAACTTCCAGATGCATTACTGACTGTGTATGCCTTCAAAAGTAAGGTTAGCGGCAGGAGAATACTGCTTTGATGCTTTTTCCAAAATTTCCCATTTAATTTAGCATTCAACCAGAAAATAACGTCCACTATCTGTACCTTTGCCACACAATGAACAATCGGAGGAAGTGACTATACCATAGCGAAGGAGAATCTTCTTAGTAGGTATACAGTTTAAGAGGTATCGAAAATATAGTGTACGAACGTTTGAATACATCGAACATGACTAGAGGCCCTTAACTACCGATGAGGAGTATCTTAGAGTAATAGGAGAGGAGGATTGGATAATCTTTGCAAGTATCGAGAGTTATAATACTTACATGCAGTGGAACTACTTACATGAATAATCTTGGAATGGTCAGACCAATCAACTGGAGAGGCAATTCTTCAAGAATATACTGCCAAACATTAGATTGTAGTTTAACAATACGAGTCTAAAGAATATCGCTATATAAATATTGGCACAAGCGAGGATATCGAGTGTATTCACTGGTGATCCGGAGACGGAGGCATTTAGAACAATAACTGACCACTGAGAAAGGTTATATGTATGAGTGTCCAATAATAGCTATCAAGTGGTATAATGAGCTTGTGGAGAGGTACGATTCATAAAGTGTCTAGCGAAAGCTATAGGAATTTATTTAGAATCAGTATGGATAGCGTCAAATGCGTCAATGATAGCATGCCATATAGGGAGGTTGTCGTCACGCATGCGGCTCTTACAGTATTCAGGGAAGTAGAAGGGAACAAATGGACAAAGTGAAGAATTGAGAAAGAAAGACAGATGGTTCAGAGCAAGGTGACGTACAAAAGATTGATAGTGACTCGAGTCAAAGATATGATTCAAGTATCGTTGTTGGAGAAAATAATGCTGTATAGTTATATTACACTTTTAAACCACCAAGACACCATTAGAGATAAAGCACTTCTTTTTTGAGGAGCGGATGCTTTTTTTGCCAAATGAATTGATATATCACAGACCGAAGATGCTGTAAAAACCGCTTAGTTGGCATAAATAGCCTTAAAGAATACCATAAGTATATTTATAATAGTTACCAGTCCTAAAATGATACCTGGTGATGCTAACACAGTCATCTTTTGAAGGATCAGCGCGTATTCCACTAGACATTTAGATGGCTGCTTTACAGGTCATCTTATTTAAGAAACAATTATATATGCGATCTCTTTCTTTTAAAAGGCACGACACTCTTTTCTGAAAATATATGGCACTCCTTCTTTTAAGAGTGCGACACTTTAATCTTATATTTTGCGCCATCATTTTAGCAAAAGGTGTATATATACTGATAGAGTATATGAACTATGAGACCCAATTTCAAGACAGACCAATGAAATATGACGAATATATATGCTATTAGTACGTGAAGAGGCACAAACAAAAAAAATAAAATAAAGAAATGCTGTAATACTTGTAGTGTCAGAAGTTAGGGTTGAGCAGAATGACATATTTGACAGAAAAAGTGGTGTTACTGAGTGCTTTTGGCAGTCTCGTTTATTTCTTTATACCTCTTACCCAAAAGGAGACAAAGGAATTATACTATAACCAATCAAGCTCAAGTTTTAGTCATGACTTGGCTTCCTTTGTTTATCACCCAAAAAGCAGAATGGACAATTATGCAAGTAAGAATACAAAAAGTGTTAAAAGAGTCAGATTGATCAGCTCACCTCTCAGACGGGAGTATTTCATTGGACGATTTCAGAAAAATTAGGATACTGGAATCAAAGATCTTCGGACTCTTAAATATGGTCTGTTTTCCCCATTCACTGATAAGATGATCAGAATTGTACCATCAAGTCATATCCATTTAAGAGGTACAAGACTATTATCTCGTCATTTTCAGGTGTTGCTAAAAACAAGAGTTTCTCCAACCATGACAGGTAATCTGCAACTTTTTAAAGCTGTAGTTGCTCCTTAACTGATGGACTGATTGCACATCCATACTACTATAGATTATTCAAAAGAGAGAAAGGTTGCCATTGAAGCTGTTTTGTCTGCTAGCAAAGTTTGTCAATCTGTTTTCCAACATTTAGTTGCTAATGAGACTTTGACCAAGAACGATAAATCACCAGTTACAGGTATATAATATAAATGCATGCATAAAAAAAAAAAAGAAAGGAACAAATAAGAGAAACGATAGAATAGCAAGAAGGCTTCAACAAGGTTGCGCACATGCTTACTTACGTTCAAAAATGCTGGTACAACATTTCTCTAGTTGCCGACTTTTCAGCACAAGCCATCGTCAATACGAAGTTAAAGCAGCACTTCCCTAACGATCCCATTGTGGGTGAGGAGGATTCTAAAGACTTGAAAGGAGAAACTGGCACACCGTTGAGAGAAAAGGTTGTTTCTTTAACCAATGGTATTTTGGCCGATAACGAAAAGCTTTCAGAGCAACAAGTAAGAGAGATGCAGCAAGTGATAACTAACTGACAGTCAGAGTTACTGTTGTCTTACACATGTATTCTTGTTGACATAGATTTTGGATGCCATTGATAGAGGTAATTATAGTGGAGGAGCTAAAGGACGTCATTGGACGTTGGATCCTATTGATGGTACCAAAGGATTTTTGCGTGGCGGACAATACGCTGTTTGTCTAGCTTTGATTGTCGACGGTATTGTACAATTGGGTGTGATTGGTTGCCCTAATTTACCTATTGATCATAAGAATCCTGATGGTGAACGCGGGTCCTTGTTTATAGCTGTTCGAGAACAAGGAGCTTTTCAAGTAAGTACCGCAGCAATTGATTTTTCAGGGAGCTTATCTATAAAGAAGTCATTGAAGCTGATGCTGTCTCCTTTATCAGCGTCCTTTTGATAAAGATACAGAAACACCTATTCAGTTCGCTGATATCTCATCAACAGAAGAGGCTACTTTTTGCGAATCTGTTGAAGCAGCCCATTCTTCACACTCTGATGCTTCCAAGATCGCCAAAGAGCTAGGTATTACTCGCGAGCCTGTTCGTATGGATAGTCAGGCCAAATATTGCTCTTTGGCTCGTGGAGATGCTGATATTTACTTGCGTTTGCCTGCCAACATGGCTTACGTAGAGAAGATTTGGGTAAACTGATTTTTTCAATCATTTTTGAACGGAACTTGCTTTTAGTATAAAACTAAAACGTTACTGTAGGATCACGCATCTGGTAATGTTCTTATAACTGAAGCTGGAGGTGAAGTAACTGACATTTACGGGCAGCCACTTGATTTCTCTATTGGACGTACGTTGGAGAAGAACAAAGGTGTCATCGCATCGAAGAAAAATATCCATGCTCGAGTGTTACAAGCAGTGCAAAAGGTGTTGAGCATCTAAATGAACTCTTGATAATAGAATCCGCCGCCCCTTTTTTGTGTATTTATTGCTGCCTAACTGTATATACATTTGCTGAAATTATACTGTGATCTTCATGAATTTTTAAGCTTACTAAATTATATACCGACAAAACAAATTTATGTTGATAGCGGTCTTCCATCTGAGCTGTCCTTAATGGGGTTCTTAATAAGTTGTTCATTGAAGACTTGGGACTGTGTTGTAATGGTTTTCTTTTTGTGCATCACCTAAAACATTCCTTATCCCAAACAGCGAAAGCCTGGCATTGTATTTCCCATGGAGGTTAGCAGCATCCAAACTGCTATTCTACTTTTTGCCAGAACACAAAGATATGGAACGAGTATGAACTGATTTGAACCTTTCTGCTTTCTTCGAAGACAGAAAAATTGCGCACAGAAATAACATCAGATGTTTGACCAGTAATAAGGAATGCACATGATCGTTACCAAATGAAGAATTTATACAGGGAATACCTAACTTTAAATATTGATTTATTTCCCCATTCGCTAAGCATGCATACTATGGCATAAGAGAGATTAGGTTGCAATTAGCTTAACCCGCTGGTCATATAAAAACGTGCCTTTTTTTTTGACATTGCTCTACCGCCTTTCTTTTTGTCCATAACATCTATCAGTAATGTCTATTGCTTCTGCTGACGAGTTTATCATCCCTACTAAAGACAATGTCAACCAAGGCAACCTTTTGAAGAAAAAAGATGATCTTTCAATGGTAGAAATCCCTGTGCCAGAGCCGACTGCAGGCCATGTTCCAGTACAAGTAAAATGTACCGGTATTTGTGGCTCGGATATTCATTTATGAAAGCATGGAGAGATTGGTATTTTTCCTATGACTTACACCGCAACTTCTCGGTCATGAAAGTGCTGGTATTGTTACTGCTGTAGGTGAGGGTGTGACGCGACTTCAAGTAGGTGACAGAGTGGCTATCGAAACGTAAGTATAGGAAACTGGTGAATGTAAGACCATTGAGGAAAGAATTTGAGTAACAATATAATGACCGGTGGATCGCTCTATTCATTGACTTAGTCTTCCTAAATAGTGGTATTCTTGTTCTCTCTGTGATCAATGTATGAGTGGTCGATATCACCTATGTCCTGACGTTATTTTTAAATTCACTCCACCGCACGATGGCCAACTTGCTAAATACATCACACATCCTGCTCGGTGGCTGCATAGAATTCCCGCTTGTATTAGTTACGGCGAAGGTGCCTTGTTAGAGCCTTTGTCTGTAGCCATTGCTGCTATTGATCGTGTAGGTGTAAAGTTCGGAAAATCCTTATTAATTACTGGCAGTGGTCCTATTGGTCTTGTTGTGATTGCAGTAGCCAAAGCGGCAGGCGTATATCCTATTGGTATCACAGATGTGAATGAAAGTCAGTTGGAATAAGCAAAGAAAATGGGCGCTACATTTACATATAAAGTGGACCCCTCCAAACCAGAGGCGAACACTGTAATGAAGTACGCGCATTATTTGGCGGCGAAGGAGTTGAATATTCTCTAGAGTACACCGGTATTGAAAGCTCATTTAGAACAGCTATCATGGCCACCCGAGATGCAGGTACCTGCTGTCTTGTGGGCATGGGAAAGAATGATCAAATTATCCCAGTGAATAACTTTGCTACGTGAGAGGTTGACATTCGTGGTCTATTCAGGTAAAGCAGTACCTAAAGTAGCGGAGGGATCATAAGGTTTCAAAGTACAGGCACTAATACTTGATGAATACTATCTTTTTATATCCATACATAGATATCACCATACATACCCACGTGTCATTTCTCTCTTGCAGGGTAAAATGTTAGACATCAAACACTTAATTACTCATACGTTTGATTTTGCTGATGCCCTGAAGGCATTTGAAACAGTAGCAGATCGTGATTCAAGAGCTTTGAAGGCTCAAATTACAAATTAAATCTCTAGAATGGTCTCTCGCGCCCAAAAAATATAAAATTGTATAAGCATAGGCTTCAATGTATCATTAGAGTAAATATATTATACTTATGGGTGCATTAATAGAGGATATTTCTTTGTGTTCCTCAAGCAAAACTCTATTCAGTAATCACTACGTGTGATGCGGTTTCATAATTACTGAAAAAAATACAAAAGATCAATATGGATTGTGCAGCCTGATTTGATCTCGTCCTGATTGCATTACTATGTTACACCACCATAGAATAGTGCCTTGGCAGTTCAGATATGAAATAAAGGAGCACGGGCCAATTTAAAGTAACTAGTTGTATGCTGTCGAGAGATAAGACTTGCCTCTTTACAAAATATCATAATTAGCTCAGCATTTGTACTACATTATTGTCAAACTCACAGTTATGTAATAAATACTTAATAGATACCATATGATCTGATGTTCTGGGCTGTCAAAAAAAGAAGAAAAAAAAACCTGAAATTTTCCATGCAGTTTTTTTCTTAGAAAAACGGCTGGTGTTTCAAACCAAGTAAAAATGACGGCCTTTTCTTTCTGTTCCTTTATTTTCTATAAAAGACCTGAAAGGATAGATACGTAAGAGATAAACGATGCTTATATCCATCAACGAAAATCAGCAAGGTAAAGCATAATATGACCAAGCATCTCCCTTTTTTAATCTGATTTTTGCTTATATTGTTAAAGCAATTGTAAGATTCTCCGAAAATTATATCAAGAGAAACCCGAAAGAATTTTTGAACCCTAAGAAAGATACAGCATTCAAGGATAAGAACGCTTGTATAATTGTAAAGATTGAATACATGTGTATATGTCTTATTCATACTTACAATATGATTCTTATTTAGTACAAGTCAATTGAAGACTATTGGAAGAATGTGCTCACCTTGAGTAAATCAACATTTATGAAAGGTTGGATGCCTGCAATAATCTCACCAAAAAGGCCAGATTTGTATACGCAACTGCTTTATCATTATTTCGACTATCCGTTGGAAATTAAAAAGGCCTTATCCAGATCTAAAAGGCAACTTCAATGGTTTCCACCGCAGTGGTTTCAGCAGTGCCAACCACTGTCACCTTCTGGTCGAATGGGTCAGGTATACACTTCTCAATGTAGGATACCTGGCTCTTCAAAGCCAAAGCACTGCATTCTGAGGGAGGTGAATTTATGTATGTTATCACAGGTAAATAAACTCTCTGGTATTATATTATGTGGTTCCCTTACATTAACAAAAATTCAGGGAGATATAGAGAGTATGATACCTGACTATATCGATGGAATAACAGCTACACTTCATCATCATGAGCGAAAATTAGCCTTTGTATCGATAAGATCGAATGACACAATCACATTAGAGCAACTGATACCCCAAGTAGATCAATGGTCTTTGCAAAAGCTATATCGTGTTGCACTATCACTATGCTCTACTGTTCGTAACTTTCACGCACAAAACAAAGTTCATCCAAATTTACAGCCCAAAAATATCCTTATTTGTAGCAATACCATCAACAATACCAATTCAGATTCTCAGCAACTCAAGCATACATTGAGCGAAAGCAGGAGAAGGTCGTCAACATTGGTGTCATCTGACAACGATTCTATCGAACTGATTGACTACTGGACTTCTCTGCCTTTGTGCTCCCACTATGGACGGTATCCGTATATAGCACCTGAACTATATATCGATGTGAGCAATACAAGCATGACCCAAAAATCAAACATATATTCGCTGGGTATAATTTTATGGCAACTCGCTTGCGGTGTCATTTTCCCTACGTCTATTCACATTAGTTCGGCCCTTTATCAATTAACAGCATGTCGACACTGCTTACCACCAGAGTATGGAGATTTGATAGCAAGATGCTTGAATCCTAACCCCTCAAAACGTCCGTCAGCAGAGCAATTATGTGAATGTTTGCTTAGACTGTTGATGACCGAATTGGTAGTCTGCCCTACACCACGTCAATTACAAGAAGAGCGCGTAAATTGCATTAGGGAATGTCAACTTGGAATTGCTAAATATCTAGTAAAGAACGGTGCCAGTAAGCATGATATCGAAAATTTGCTTTCTCAAGCGTCCATTACAAAACGTATGGCGTTGCATATTGTTGTATCTTTGGAAAAGCACAATTTATATTGGCACCCTAAAACAAAGACAGACGATGCTGGCATAGAAAAAAGAAGAAGCAGCAGCACCAACAGCAATAGCAACAGTGATGGCAGTTATTGTTATTACACACACGATAGCAGTACTCCGTCAGATCTGGCGGATTATAAAACGTATCATTGTCGTGCTGACAAGTCCTCATCAGCAGAGGTTGATGTAGTCATCAATACACCTCATGATTGCTGTACAGCTGCCACTACAAAAGCAGTACCCACCACGACAACTACTAAAACAACTGTTCTAGCTGCAAGTAACACTCCTGCAAAAAAAAGATTCAGGTGTAACAATAACAAAACAACTCGGAAAACGTATGGTATATCTAATAACTCTATATATTATACTTCGACTGAGTGCAGCATTTATGGTGCAGATTTACCTTCGTTGATGCAAATGGGTTTTGTTTAAAAACTCAACGAATCTATGAGTGACCAGTCCTTGTGATTTTATATTATATATATATATATAGGTTAGGAAGCCACATTTGAGCTTCCCACTTTTATTAAACCTCTCCTTTCATCACGCGTTTCGCGCTTTTTTTGCGTTCCTTTGATTTGAGTGATCCACTTTTTGCTGGGTGGGTAAAACAGCCTTCGTAGGTGCTTTAATATCATTATCCTCCTTTGTGATTCGTCGAAGAGGGTATTCAATGCCTTGTTGTGCTAAAACGTTGGGAATGGGTTTCGGGTCTTCTTGGAAGTAAGGGTGATTCAATGCTTTTTCAGCTGTGATTCGTTTTGCAGGATCGTATTCTAATAGTTGTGACAATAAATTAAATGCCGACTCACTCTTAGAGCATACCATCATTTGGTACACTTGCTTCAAATTATTCTGACATGGAGGAAATGAACTGAGTTGTGGATAATCAGGCAGTTGATCTATGGTTGGCCATCGTTCTTTCGTCGGCGTACCCATTATTTCAAATATTTTTGTCAACTGACTGCGCTGAAACGGCATGTTTTTTTTGCCGTCCATTTTAACTTCTTCGCCTTTGAAGATGGGTTTAAGCGCAAGCATTTCGCCAAAAATGCATCCTACCGCCCACATATCCACTGCTTTGGTATAATGCCTCGAACCAAGAAGTAATTCTGGTGCACGATACCAAATAGTAACAACAACTTTATCGCCGTTGAATAAGGGCTGAAGTGGTTTGTAGAAAAGTCTGGCAAGACCCAAATCGCCAGTTTTTACCACACCGTCACTGGTGAGTAGCACGTTTGCGGGTTTGAGATCTCTATGTAGAACCCAATTTGCATGTAGATAAGCGACACCGTTGATGAGTTGCCATAATAACGATTTGATGACCACTTCAGGTAGTGGCTTCCGTTCTGTATGCAAATGATAATGGATGATTTGCTGATATATTATCGCAATGGATGCCAAAATAATTGATTAGTTGAACAGAACTGCAAAGGAAGCAATTTGTTGTAGTTGGCTTGATTTGATCCTTTACCAAGAAATCATGTTCTGCATATTCGAAAACCATAAAAATAGCCTTATCCTCGAGTAGTACTTCTTCTAAAGCCACTATATTTTCATGCCGTAGCTCTCTACATAGCTTAAATGTCGTAAAATTAGCTTTCCAATTATCCCCATTGCAAAGTGTCCCGTACGGTACAGTGGCAATATTATATTTGTCTTACAGCGATCTCTCTACAAGCTGATTGTGAAATGCCTACATAATGATGTGAATCTCCTTCACGATCAGGCTTGAATTTTTTTATTGCAAATAGACGATGGTCATCTCTATATTGAAATATCATTTGAATGAATAATCGTTCACCAAAGCTTCCTGTGTCTCATTTTATACCGAGAAATTTGATCGATATGTTGTGGTTTCTTTACTTGTTTTTAGATTTGGCTTTATATACACGACCATATGTTCCCGAACTGATAAAGCCTATAATATCATACTTGTCCAAGACTTTCACACGTTGCGCATCTCTCTTTCTTTTATACTCTGTCATAGACATTCTGTTATATGTTATAATATGTTAAAATTAGTGCAGGAGAAGAAAATAAAAAGTATTTAGAAATGGAAGATATGCATTTTAGTGTGAACATTTGCACTTTTTGTTCGAACCACTTTGTTTTTTCGCTAATTGAAAAAGCTCTAACCATTCTCCTTTCATCTTTTGTCCCTTCAAAAACGAAAAAAAAGCAAGCTTTGCCTGAGTCGAACTCTGTGCGCTTCATAGAATTTTCATGCATAAGTTAATCTTACCGATAATTCCATAGTATAGTTACAAAATGGAGTACACATCCAAAGGAACTATCTAATCTGTCATATCCAGGCATTTATCATGTGTGTGTCACCTGAAAGAAAAAGAAAAAGAAATTTCCATTCTTGGAAGTCTCCACATAAAAGTGTGCAGATGGTGCCTTGCTCTTAAAATTAATTCAAGCTTCCTTCTTACCAATAATCAATTTACATGCTTTTCAAAAGAGCCTTTAGATATGTCAAGCCAGTATCTATAAATACAGTTAGAGTACATATACCCAAATCAAAATATGCTCATCGAGCCAACATCATAAACGCGAGATCTTATTCAACCGACATTCCTGCAGTCATGCCAGACAAAAATGTTTCCAGCGGCATTGGGACGATTAAGCAACGAATGTCACTGTCTGCCCATACCAGTACCGATCGACTATGCGGAAGATACAAACCAGTAAGATGATGTAGGTTTTTTCTTCATAGAGAAAGTAGCTGAAGAGTTACATATATGTCATTCGTGGGTTTGTATCATTAGACGTTTTCAAAGTTATTGGTAGCCAACCGGGGGGAAATCGCTTGTCGTATCATCAAAACTGCCAAAAAAATGGGAATTCGAACTGTCGCTGTCTATTCTGATTTAGATGCACAATCCCTTCATGTTCGTTTGGCTGATGAAGCTGTTTGTATTGGCAAGCGATCAAACACACATGAAGAATCCGTTTATTTGTCTATACCCCGTATCATGGATGCCATCCGCCAAACTGGTGCAGAAGCTGTTCATCCTGGCTATGGCTTTTTAAGCGAAAACGCTAGTTTTGTGCAGCAGCTAGAAGAGAAAGGGATCATCTTTGTAGGGCCGAAAGCATCGGCCATTGCAGCCATGGGTGATAAAATACAAAGCAAATTGATTGCCAAAAAGAGTGGGGTGTATTGTATACCTGGATTTGACAGGGAAGTCAAGACAGTGGAAGAAGCAATTTCGATGGCACATGAAATTGGCTATCCAGTGATGATCAAGGCGAGTGCGGGTGGTGGCGGCAAAGGAATGAGAATTGCATGGTAGATATACAGTAGGACTAAATCACTACGCAGTGGAGAAATGTTTTAATGACAGATATTCAAACAAACAATTATATTTCTGCTAACCATGTAGGAATGATGAAGAAATGAAAGATGGATTTAAACTTGCTAAGCAAGAATCCAGATCAAGCTTCGGTGACGATCGTATGCTTATTGAAAAATACATTGATAATCCTCGCCATATTGAAATTCAAATACTAGGTGATAATCATGGGAACGTTATCTACTTGCCAGAACGCGAATGTTCCATACAACGCAGAAATCAAAAGGTGATTGAAGAATCACCAAGCGTACACATGACTGAAACGATACGGCGACGGATGGGCGAACAAGCTGTTGCATTAGCGAAGGGGGTGGGTTACAATTCAGCCGGTACAGTTGAATTTCTGGTGGATTCGCAGCGTAGATTTTATTTCTTAGAGATGAACACACGTTTACAAGTGGAGCATCCAGTAACAGAATATGTTACTGGGTTAGATTTAGTAGAGCACATGCTTTACTCTGCTGCTGATTACCCGTTGAATATCCAGCAAGACAGCATCACTATAAATGGCTGGGCCATGGAAGCAAGAGTCTATGCTGAGGATTCTGTCAATTATTTGCCATCAGTTGGTAGACTACGCACTTATCGAGAACCATCAGTACATCCGGAACAGACGCAGGAGAAAATAACAAACGCTAAAGGAATAAGATGTGATTCAGGGTTCATAGAAGGTTCAGAAATACATGTTGATTATGATCCTTTGATTTGCAAGCTGACGACACATGGTAATACGCGTTCAGAAGCACTACAGTTGATGCTACAAGCATTAGATCAGTATGTGATCAAGGGGGTGACCCATAATATTCCATTGTTACGAGCAGTCTTTGCGCATCCGCGGTTTCAAGATGGAGAGCGCATTACCACTCATTTTCTAGCGGAAGAATATCCTAATGGTTTTAAAACAGAAAATTTGAGTCAACAGACACTGGGAGATCTGGCCAGTGTCGTAAGTGCCTTATGGCTGCAAAAGCAGAACATATTTCAACAGCAATATACGCCAGCGCCGATAGTCAACAATATAAATAAGGAAGTCAAAAAGTTATGGATTCAAGTGATAGATGAGCAAGACAAATCTATGCAAGAGACGAGTGTTGACATAAAATCGTTGGGCAATTCACGATTTAAGGTATTCATCAATATGTCAGTATCATTTTCCATATACTTTTTCTCTCATTATCTCTTTAAACTTTAAATTATCAAAAGGCCATTACTTCAGGGGCTGAACTAACACTCAGCACGCAATGGCCGATAGACAGTGTTTTAGCACGTGCAAAAATCTTCATAGACAGGCTAGACAACAGTAGTAGAAGCCTGGTGCTGCAATATTTAGATCCGTCAAAATTGGGTTTCCGAATACAATTTCATGGAAACAAATACCAGATCAACGTCTTAACGGACGAGCAACATGACTTGAAAAAGTATATGAGGGAGGAATCAAAAGTAGAACAAAGTAAATTGGTGACTAGCCCTATGCCAGGTCGGATTGTAAGTTTGGCTGTTGAAGAAGGAGACAAGGTTTTACAAGGCAGTGAATTAATTGTGGTAGAAGCAATGAAGATGCAGAATATTCTACGTGCATCGCAAAGTGGAGTAATTAAAAAAATTCATGTAAACCCAGGATGTAATGTTAAGTCAGGACAGGTTTTGATTGAATTTGACCAACAACAAGAGCACACTTGATTTATAACCACTTATCATCAGCTATATTAAGTACTTGGACTGATGGAGCAAGACAGGAGCAGCATAAATCCTAATGATTACAAAACAATTTGACATATATCAAGGCAGCGTGTTTCATAAGTTAATAAGGACTTTATTCAATATGTTTTCCTGGGGTACTTCGTTTAAGCATCAATGGCTTTGCTCTAATAAAGGTGGCTTTCTCAAGACTTGAAACCCAAATCGGTAACTTTCCCGGTAGTTCTTTCTGTGTATGCACAGAGTCAAAGATACAAAAATAAATGTCATCAGATATAGCAAAGTTTACATGCATATTCTCGTTTTGTAATATTAAACCTGTGCTATGAATTCTTCTTGTTTAAGTGAAGTTGCTTTTAGGGAAGGCGCTATGATGTACTCTCCAAAATATATTCTAAGTTAAAATCATAAGATAGAAACTACTAGGTATGATTTTTATCCGTGAATCGCAATTCATCCTTCAGCATTTGACACAATTGATGATAGGCAAACAACCCCAAAACTTCCCGTAATATAAAGTGTCTGGAAGTGCTACATACTTCTTGCAACATGTTCCTTGAAACTCTGTACAACATTCCACTTGGAAGACGCACAATCGTAAAAAAAAAAAAAAAAAAAAAAAGAAAAAACTTAAAATTTTTTATCAATGGCTTGACCTTTTAAACGCATTGATCTTTGGCGCATGCTTGTTAGCTTCCTTTCTATCCTCCATTGTTTTTATTAAGTTCAAAACAATTTGTCACAGCAAAGGAATATAACTTAATCAAGAAGATAACAATAATGAAGTTTGGTTATACACTTAGAACATCTTTAAATCCTGAATGGACTTGTTATTACGTTGGTAAAGACGAACGACTTGAAACATGAATTCTTTCTTTTTATCTTTATATATTCTTGTTGCAAATATACTAGAGATAAAAACCACGTTCTCATTTTTACAATATTTAAAATTGCTTACATGCTACTAGCTTATGATGAGTTGAAGATTATTCTAAAAAAGATCACCACTCATGGCGGTATTTGGTCAGAAGAAAGCGAGTCTTTGTTCATTGAACGTCTGGAAGCTGAATTGGATAAAGTATATACGTTTCAGCGTGCCAAATTGGACGAAATAAAGCATCGTATTGAACAAGAAGCGCTTGAAGTGGGGAGACTCTGCCAATCTGATTTTCCTGATGAAGACGACTTTACTGCGTCCGAAATTGAACTGGGACATATCATTGCTGATGTCCATGATTTGGCAAAATTCGTTAAGCTGAATTATACAGGATTTTTGAAGATAATCAAAAAACATGATGTAAGTATACCAAATTTTCTTTTGTTCTTTAAACTGTGCTGTTTGTGCTTTCTTGAGCATAGTACAATATTAGCTGGAAAAAGTAAATTATGCTAGGTTTAACCAATCACTTACCACACGTGCTGTCAGATGGGTTACAACGCGCGGAAAAACTTCCCTTTTTCAAAATGTCATCAACTTTATCATTGTGTCTAATTCTTTTGATTTCTAATTATGATTGATTAATAAATGTTTATAGAAAGTTACCGGATGGCCATTGAAGCCTATGTTTGGTGTACGTCTCAATGCAAAGCCTTTTCATAAAGAAAACTATGATGCTCTGATTATAAGGATCTCTGATTTATATGATCGTGTACGAACTCGCGGACAAGAAAGATGTGGTGATTCAGGCGCTGGCGGCAAGCAATCAGCTTTTGTTAGAAACACAACAAAATATTGGTAACTTTCATTCTATTTCCGAAAGAAAGCACAAATATATGTAGACTTTTACTGAAATCGCAGTAGGGTCCACCCAGATAATATCACTGAATTAAAATTAGCAATCTTAAAGCACTTGCCTGTCCTTGTTTTCAACCCTAACAAAGAGTTTGAAACGCAAGATTCGGCCATCAGCAGTGTCTACTTTGATAATGACGATTTTGATCTTTACATGGGCAGATTAGAAAAGAGTGAGGGTGCTCAAGCCATTCGAATGCGTTGGTATGGAGGCATGGGCTCCAACACTATTTTCGTGGAGCGGAAAACACATCATGAAGACTGGACAGGAGAAAAGTCCGTCAAAGCACGTTTTCCAATCAAAGAAAAATATTTGAACAGCTTTCTGGCAGGTACTTATACAACAGACGAGCTGTTTGCCAAAATGAAAGAGCAAGGAAAGAAATTGGAAAAGGAGATTCAGGAACTAGAGCAACTAGCTCAAGAAGTACAATATACTGTACTTACAAAACGTTTACATCCAATGATGCGAACATTTTACAATCGTACTGCATTTCAATTACCTGGTGATGCTCGAGTACGCATCAGTTTGGATACAGAGCTTAGTTTGATTCGCGAAGACAATATGGATCATTGCATACGGTCTGGTGGAAACTGGAGACGAATGGATATCGGTATTGACTATCCTTTCAAGCAGCTACCAGACAGCGATATTTGCCGTTTCCCTTATGCTATTCTTGAGGTCAAACTACAGACCCATGTCGGCCAAGAGCCACCGCAATGGGTTTTGGAATTGGTGAACTCTCATCTTGTTGAATCTGTGCCAAAATTTTCGAAATTTATTCATGGTTGTGCTACGTTAATGGAAGACAAGATAGATACTTTACCATTTTGGTTGCCTCAAATGGGTATCGATATTCGAAAACCGCGAAGCACATTCTTTGGTATCTACAGACCCAATGCACCTTCCAATAGCTCGGTATCCGGTAGCAGCGGTAGCGTTTACGACGCCAGTAAATTAAGCGCTGAAGATCAACATAACAAAATTACGATACGTGATGCAACGGAAACGACGCCTTTATTGATTATCCATAATAACAACAGTACGAACTGTCAGCAACACAAAAAAGAAGAAGGGTTTATCGAGCAATTGATGACATCGGCTGGAATGACAAATTTGTTTAAACGAAAGTATAACGAAAGAGCTTGTATAATCAAAGTTAATGGACAGACTATGGTTAAATCACGTACAGCTCGACCGATTCTTTTAAAGCCGCCACCAGCAAAGACATATTTCGCCAATGAACGCACCTTCTTACATTGGTTGAAGTTCACTTTATTACTAGGTGGTTTAGCGATTGGCCTACTCAATTTTTCAGATAAAATCGGTCGACTGTCTGCATCTATATTCACTGCGCTGTCCATGTCTGTTATGATTTATGCCTTATATCACTATCATAACCGTGTTAGTCGTGTTAATAAGAATGAATTGGGAGATTTCTCAGACAAATATGGTCCAGCAGTATTGACCTTATTAGTTATCTTTGCAATTAGCATTAATGTATATTGTAAGTCTTACACATGTAGACTTATGACTATATCTTTAACCAAAAACATTCTTTACTAACATTACTTATTCTTTTTGATCCAAACAGTGAGAATAACCATGGATTTCAAAAAGGAATGGAAAATTTAATAAAGTACTGGTCGCATATTTCCTTGAGAAACATCGTGAATACTTACTTGCATTGGAGCTGTTCATCTGCAGCCGTTCGAAAGGAGATATTTATCATAAACTTCTTTAATGAAAGTAAACATAGTTGTTTAGAAGGATTGATCATTTATAAACTCAAGAAGGTACAATCTGAATGTAAACGGGGGAATGAAACAATATACGGCATGATCTTAACGCAGCAATTATGAGTTTGTGTTAAATTTGTAAACCATTAAGTTACGCTTACGTTAGATGCAGTAGAACATATTGATCTATTAACAGTAGTCGTAACAATGTCTATATTGTATTCGCCGTTACAATCCTTACACAGAAGCGTTATGCAGTTTGTGTAACAACTCTAAAAGGAAATCGCAATGTAGCTATGTCACAGCAATTGTAATAGTTACATTGGTTAAAAGCAGACAACCATAGATATGGGCATGCTATCAATCTCTCCTTCATCGTAGACACAGATGAAACTTAGGATGGCGAAATTGACAGTAGGCTGGACAAAATGGCGGATACTCTCTCCCGGCTGTAACTGATATGTTACCTTTTTTCATACTCACTCATGTCTACAATCTTTGAATTTGTTTTACGGTTCTATATCAATGTACGCCTTCGCATAACAGCGAGAAAAATATCTGATGACGTTAAGTAGCATGAAACATCGTTTCATGGCAAAATTGACTTTTTGTTGGAAGCGACCCATCAAACCCTATCAGAACACGACATCAATGAAAACTAGCTCAACTGAAATGATAGATTCTCTCATACAATGTATTCATAGTAGGTAACATGGAGCATTGGTTTATTTTCAAGCAATGATTCATAGAAATCAACTATTTACAGGTTGCTTAGATTATTAGATTGACGTATAAGCTGGTAATTTTAATGTGTGTACAATGGTATATTATTACGCCTTTAATAAGACTATCTTCGTGTTTACTGATTACAAATCCCAAACAATTTCCGTAACATACATTAAAATTGTCTGTCTGGATTCTCCAACTGCATCTAAATCATCAATGTGGATTTTCAATTGACCTGGCATAATTTCTTGAGGGTTTGATATGCCAACCGATAATGTATACGTCCCACCTGGCTCGACAACTGCAGTTCCATCTCCGTCCAATCCAGAAATAAGCACAATTTCATGTGCAGGGAATTCAGCTGGGCCTTCTACTGTCACCTTGAAACGTAATGGTACCTTGACTGCTTGATTTATTACTGTCAACGGTAGACTGTCCGGCATACAAGCTGACTGAGGTTGTACTATTCTGGAAGTATTAGTGTTACTACCGTTATCAATATTGTCATTCTCTTGATAATAAGTGACTAGCTTGAAATCCAATCTGTACTCGCTTAAAGAGAATGTAGCAGCCTCGCGCAAAGCACATCGAATAGGAATCATTTCACGTATGCGGGACTTATATTCACTTTCATCTTCTTCTACAACTGTGCCAGCTGGCCAAGTAGTTACCCATAGTTTTGCAACTACCATACCTGCAGTATCTGTTAATTCAGGGTGGTTACGTGGCAAACGAGATGCTTCGTTAGGCAAAGCTCTTACACGAACTTCAATACTGCCTTGTGGTCCAATTGCAATATCACCATTTAACGGAGAGTTGGTATAACGTGATAGTACATCCAGGTGTATATAGGGTTTGAGTTCAGTTTCAATATCAGCACCAATTTCAAAACGTAAATCATCATCTGTCTTATTGTGGATCACAAACCAACCATCACAGGGAGCATTTTGGAGAGCAATAGGATGATATAAAGTGGGTAGAATCAATTCACCATTGTCGGAAAGACGTTCAAACTCTAACTCGAACACCGTCATTAATGCTTTCAATTGAAGGTGCATAGAGTTGCTATTATTCCGTAAATTAACAATTTGTACATCGAAGTGATGAATTCCGGACGTCTTATCTGGCATTTCTTTCGGTAAGAGTAATCCTTCAACACGTTGGGATTTGCGTGAAGGTATATAGAAAGATTTCTGCTTTACAGCAGCACCATGGCGATCCAAAGGAGTAAATTGAATAAAATTGGGACCATGAATTTCATATGTAGCAGGAACATCAGCCATATTGTGTATTTGGAATTCGAATCGAGCAGGTTTGTAAGAAGTACTATGGCCGATTTTACCCAGATTAATTTGATCTGTTACCAATTCAGTATGAGACATACAGAAAAGAGCTTCAAGCTCAATAGCAAGCACTTCAAGTTCCTGGCGAGCATCGTACAAAAGAAGCATGCCTTTCAAAGAGCCATTTTTACCTTGGAGGGCCAATTGACGGGCTTCTTCATCCAGTTTATTAGTTGAGGGATTGTGAATACGCATACGAACCCGCTGTCCAGGCTGCAAACATAACTGCCCACTACGTTGGAGAAACGTAGTGTTTTTATATAGAACCTCTGTGCTGATTAGTTTATTCTTATCTACTACGAAGGAAGCGGTCATATCAACGTCACTCATAGCCACCAAATGCATAGGCTGACCCGATGTGTTAGCGATGTCAATCTCTCGCGTATATAGGCGGGCTTCCTCTTTATCCGGTAATTTCATGACTTCCAATTTGTTATCAGTTGTATCATCAACAGTTGAACAGATGTATATACTTTCCCATTTGACTAAAGGTAGTGGGTCAGCTTCCAGATGGTCAGTTTGATCATTTTCATCAGTAATGTGTTGACGGTGAGACGGTACAGGACTTCGTAATAGCATCTTTGACGGTAAATGCCATGCATCAATCTTGTTACAATCAACAAATAGACGTACATCAATGACGAATACTTCTTGGCTGTTCCTTTTATTAGTAACTGTGAGTTGCTCATTTAATAAGCCATGTCGGTAAGCATAAATGCGGAATGTGATTTGGGTTGAAGAACACATGGTTGCTAGAGATGGGGCTGTATACGAATTCTTGCGAGTGGCAATGATAGTGTTTTCCTCATTTCCATCAGTGCTTAGTGCAGATAAACTGTCTCTGCGAGCGTGGTGTTCATCGCCACTGAGGTATCCCAAATCAGCATCTCTTCTACGCTTATTACCGCGCCATCCAGGTAGGGTACCACCTCTTCGATCTAATTCAATATTCCCACTGAGACATTCTACCTCGTAATCGAGCGGCAATTCACCAGATTTATTCTTTATCGTAAATGCGCCATAGAAATCTTTGTTGAGTACATCGGTGTACCCTAGGTTGATGACTCGTTCAGAAACTTCCAAATGTGATTGTCCGATAATGGAGGTAAACTTAACCGTTTGCGTCAGCATCAAGAGTATATCTTCATCTTCTTTTCTTAAAGCAGAAGTATCATGCTCATAAATGGAAAACTTCAGACCCCCAACAAGCTCACGGCATTCATCCGTACAATTACTCAAATAACCGGTGAGGAGATTTGGTTGTATAGCCACCCATATAGTCGTCATAGCACCACCTTTCAAAGGCATCATTTCAACTAGGCCTCGTTCACCTGCTTCGTCTTTAAAAATCAACACCTGATGGGATAAATTACTCTGACAAGTGATTAATATATCCTGTTCAGATATATTAGCCACCAATAAAGGCGTCACTTGCGAGTATTTGCTACCTGGATCAACATACGAAAAACCTAAGTCCAAAACACCATTGTCTTCGTCCGCTATTGACGGGAAGTCAAGATAAATGTGTCTATGAACTAGACACTGAGTGGTAAATGGTTGCAAAGAGCCATTATGCTTATTTCGAACATAGAAAGTGTAAGTTTGTCGACCGAGTTGATTGGGTCTTAAACCATACCGGACCTTTCTGATTTCTCCAGGAAGCAGCTCTTGAGACTCGGTGTTACTGAAATCAAACACTGATGCATTTTCTTCTGCAAACAAATCGAAAGTGACAGGACTGTCGGATACATTCTTAACTTTGACGTAAAATACAACTTCTTGATGAATTCCAACACGTTCACCATCGAAAAAGTTCCTTTCTAATTCAATAGGTTCTATGCTGGAATCTACAGCCGTATCTCCATCAGTTACCGTGATATGACCCATCTCATCAGCTCCAATGCTGTTGGTGTCCTTATCTGAAACTGAATTTGTAGTGCTAGTCGCTAATGTTTGGTACAATAGAGCTTTATTGTCTTCGACCTTATCCTCATCCTGCAAACCTTCTCTCATAGTCGTCTCATCAGGGTGAATCTCTGCTGTATATGTTATACTTCTACAAACATCCGTGTTCTTATACTCATGTACTAGAATTCGACCTTTGACAGCGAGTACTTCATCAACTTTGGTAAATGAGTGCATTTCATTCTCTCTTATAGGCCTTAGCATAGCCTTAAAAATGACAGAAATCGTCTTGGTAGCATGAGCATCTATCGAGAATACAACACTTTCTGGTGTCTTCTTGAATATTACACTGTTCTCTTTAATGGATGCTCCGGAAACAGCTGCACTTGTTGAATTGTCGTTTGACGTCTTCGAGATTGTTGATGTTTTCTCCGGATTGACATCGGAATTGACTGAAGCTTCCTCTTTAAGCACACTGGATCCATCATCTCCAGCGGATTCTAATTCGTTTTCATCCAAATTCTTTAATTTGGCCAGTTTACGCAAATACTTTTTCACTTTATCTGGTTGTGCTTTACGCTTGGCGATTTTCAACTTTTGCTCAAGATTTTCAATCTCTTCTTCTGCTTCTTGAGAAATTGTATTCAAATCCTCTTCCTTAACGCCAAAATCAAATTCTGCATAATATTGTCCAAATGTAACTTCGTTGGGATCAACACGAATCTCGAACATACGCGATTGCTTGTTAGTATTTGTTAAAACTATGCTTTCTATCTTTTTACCCGGCTGGTCAATCAAGCAGCAGCCAAAATTGAGTTCCTCTGCAGAATTTATCAAGAATGTTGATGGTTTTCGAACTTGAGCCTTTAGCAACAGCACTTGATCATTTGTACGATCACAAATGTTTTCAACGACTAATTTTTCCATAAAAGGTCCTGATAATGTAGGCTCGAACACAAATTCTACCTCACGTTTACCATACGAACGCACTACACCGTAGCGACCGATATCCAAATCTATATCGCCTGAAGCAATGGACCCTGACTTACGAATAGCATATAACAACGGTGTTTCACTACGATTATGAAGGACGATCGTTTTGGTATGACGCTCGTTACGCTCTACTAGCCCAAAGTTGATATTCCTTTGTCCCAAATCCATTACAGATCGACATAGCTGAGACCGCAAGATTATTTCTCGTACAGGGATTCCTTCCCGACCTAAATCCAGCAGATTCTCAAATTCGGTTTGTTCAATATTTTGATCAAACTGTAACAGTTTCAAAAAGATCCGTGCATCTTGTTTCTTAGGTGCTGACTGTACATGCTGCTTGTTTGCTCCGTTGGGAGTAATGACAATAACAACTTCTTCCTCACCTTTAGGTGCCACATTCAATACAGAAGTGCGTACTAAAATTTTTTTTTCAATCAGACGATCCAACTCTCGTCGCCAAGCTAGTTGATATCGTACATACTGCTCTTCAGCAGCTTGTTTTGGAAATAACGGTGGAGACGACTTGGAACCATGTTCAAGTACAGAGATCAAATCTTCAAAAGGAACGCGAGACTTCCCAGCTATATCGGACCAGTCCAAATTCTTTCTTGATTTGTATCGAGCAGCTGTAATACCCAACGATCGTTTTGTTTTGGCGTTTCGTAAACCATAATTGCTATGCTCCCCATGACTATCCACGCTTTCTTTATTCATCTTGATCGGTACATTTGCTGATTTAGTAGACCTTTCAATGTCATCAGAATGGTTAGCAGTTTCTTGCGAGTTGGCTCGTCTCAAATGAATCTGGCTGCTACCATCTATCTTACGATGCATAAATTGGTTGTTTTCTTTTTCGTTCCCTTGTGCTTGCTGGTAATAGGATGATTTACGTAAAAGCGTGTCATTCTTTCGATATATATCCTTCGTATCGGCGCGTGCGATTTTCTCTTCGGAAGTGAGTGGTAGTTTTTGCTGATTCTTCAGCAGTTGTGTGTGAGATACTTCAACCAATTTTCGTCTGTATGATTTGAGCGAATGCAAAGGCGGTAGGGCTAAATCTAAATAAGCCGTTGTAGAGCAAGTTTGTTCCCTTTTCAACTGATTAACAGAATTACGGAAACGACGAGCCATAAGCAAATCTCTTTTGGCGTCAGCTGTACGTTTTGAACTATTCATATTGTATTCATTAGCTGATGACGGTATATCTAATTGTAGTTTTGCAGCATGCCGATTGTTTATTGAATCCAACAGTAATTTTGATCGCTTACGATTGCTGTTACTGATACTTGATGTGGTAATTGCAGTTGTTGCAGGTATGTCGGCCACCTTATCACCTTTTTCTAATGCTTCGGCTGTTACCGAATTTGAGAGTTTCGATGCTGTCGTCGTTTTTGTCGAAGAAGTGGCCGTAGATGCTGCTGACAAAATAGCAGAAGATGCAACAGTACTACTGGAAGCTGATCCTACGGGATTTTCAGAACTCATCGTCTTATTTCTCGTATAAATAGCAATATCATGAGGTAAAGATGTCGTAAGCTCTAATTGTAACGGTTTATCACGTATATTTTCTACCGTAAATGTTCGCAACGAAGGTGAATTCAAAGTAATAGATCCAAAGTCGAGAAAATTAGCACCAGTTGCTGTGAGGATACGATAGAATAAGGAATGAAAGGTTACTCTGTTCTTATCAATGTTGGTGCTGTGTACTTCAATAATCTGATCGTTATCTCTGTTCAAGTAATTAACAAGAGTAATCTGCTTTCTATAATCAGGATTGACTTTTCGAGGGTATAAATCCAGCTTCAATTCTACGTAGCTCCTAGGCTGAATAGCAATCTCTCCTCGAAGACAGTTTAACACTTTTGATGTGAACTGTAATTCGACACGAGCGACAATATCCGACCGGTTAAAAATATTTATAGGCAATGATTTAAGTGTACCAACATCTGTATCACCAAAGTTGATTAGTTTTGGGATGGTTTCAACAAATGATGTACATGTCCTTGCTCTACACTGAATGATCTTTTTTTCCTTCGGTTCTTCTGCTCTAAAAGTACCATATTCTAAGGATATTCTGAAGTTTCTGCGAATAAGCTGTCCAGCATTAAAATCATTAATCGACACATCTTTCTGTGGGCGGTAGGAAACCTGCACTATGCGTTCTGTACCAGGCTTTATGATTAAGTCTTCAATACGAGTATAGCTTTCTACTGTATTCTTTGCTGTTGTAGGTAGAGTACCGGAAGAAAAGGTCCCGTTTTTCAAAGGGAGCGTCTCCAGAACGCTTCCGTTATCTAAACTGACTGAACCAACGCCTGTCTCCGAATCAGAATCCTCTGGAATTGTTGCAAATTGAAGGGCATAAGGATTACTTGAGTCGACTGACATTGGTGAAGATAAACCATCACTGATATCTGCTGGTCGAAGAAGTGTGGGTGAGGATGATCTTGAACTGAACTCACTGTTTGCAACTGACATTTCACTTGGAGCTGTATGCACTGTTGCAGGCGTAGTATAGCCACCTGATCTCGCCCCATTGCTATGTGTGCTCGCTTTTCTTCTCCCAGAGATAACTCTAGGGTCTAATTGCTCGCCATAGTTGATATTTTCGTGATTTTCCGTCACATTCGCATCTTGCTTTATATCAAACACCATTTCGGCGCCTTCAGGATGGAAGTGAACTTCTACTGGTGCTTCACTAATATTGCTCAAAACTAGTTGCTGTACCGCCCATTCACCTGAAATGCAATCGCCAAAGTCTATAACATTACCACTGCTGACTATCATAGTTTCTTTCCGTAAAACTGAACGCACCGTAGCATGCATTTTTACTTGTACAACATTTCGCGAATCATTTGCGTTTTCGAATTGAAGATCGTACACAAATTCTCCAACTTCTTTTGGCATGAAAATTATGCGTATTTGCTTATTCGAAAAGCTCTCTATCGGCGAGAATGTATCGAGGATGTTTTCTGTTTCGACATCAATGAACTGTATCCAATCTGCATAAGATAAATCTTTAGTGTTTAATGTCCAATAAAGGTCGATTTCAGACCTATTTTGAATCGTAAACTCTTTGTAATATGTCTCTCCTATGACACAGTCATCAAAGCTCAAACCAGTTTCAGCAACATCTATCCATAATGCTGATTGACATACACTGGCCCTGAATTTGACAGAGAGTTGGTAATCCGCTAGAGTGGAAGTTGACAGGAAGTCTTTGGTTGAATTTTCATCCATGCTGTTATTCGCCATTCCTGCAGATGTTGACAAGCTCTGTTCGTTCGAATTGCTGTTCTTGTAATAACCGAAGAAAAAGAGACTGCCTGTCACATTGAACATGTTGAACGTTGTGTTCTCATCAGTGACAACCGACATGTCATAATCGTCTTCATTCAAGGCCGCTACTTCTCCTCGATTAGTGCTGTTGTTATTATCATCTGAGGAGTGGATTTGATCTGGTAAAAATGCTAGAATTAGATTGCAACTTTGTCCGCCGTCCAGTTCAATCTGGTCAATATGATTGATATAATTAAATAGCTGGTTGAATGGGTATCTTTCAGCTTCACGAGACCAGCTCACAGTGTTTGTTGTGATAGTATCAGTTTGCTGTTGTGGTATTTTCTCATTCAAAAAGTTTAGAATATTTTCATTTTCAAGTTGAAATGCAATTTGATTTCGCAAGTTCGATCTCATTTTAACAAGAATGGGTTGATCAGATAGGTTGCGGATTTCAAGTTTCCGCAGTGAATGGAGACCATTCAAGTATACTTCATCGAGCGTCAATCTACCATGTACATTGACTAACTCAAACATAGGGCTACTGACAGTAGAGAATTCGTTGTTTGCTGCTAATGATGCATTGTATCGGGTATTGTTCATGATTTCGAGTGAAGAACTAAGGGATATTTGGATCTATTAGCGCTTATTTGTTTGCGTCTTATTTTTGTACTTTTTAAAAGTCTTACAGAATATTGACTATATACACAAGATTACAGATAAGAAAGTGTTACTGTAAAAACTATGTAGCTACGAAAGCGGCTGAACTTTTATAGCCTCTTTTGATTTGACTTCACACTTTGAATCCCTACAAAAAGAATAAGATGATAAATGTGTTGTAAAATGTTCGAAAAAGGGCTTGATGCGAAACAATTTTAGGAAATATGACAAGGTAAAGGGCTTTTTTTTTTATTTCTGCAATCCGGCGTTTTCTCTTTAAAGTATCCGGTGTTGTCGGAAGTTATGCCTGTCATCTTTTACTACACCGCTCGTAATTGGACGATCGCCACTGATACAGTGTAATTAAGCAGATATATTAAAAGTATTTACCATAAACTGGGCATGCCTTTTACCATATTTTCATCGAATAGTTTACTTGCGTCATATCAGACTCTGAAACAAGCGTCTATGACTTTAAGAGATAACGCTTTTCCTTCTGATGAAATTACGCTCCTTGTTGCACTTTATTTTTGACCAGCGTTCCTTACGGAATTTTTAAAAAACGAACATGGCAGAATCAATAGAGGTTACAATTACATTTATATATGCATCCACAACAAACTTATTGTAAAGAATCCTACAATCGCCCATGACTATAAAATACGCCTTCATATCACGCTAAACTATAGTATCCATAACAGCTTTGATAAACCTGACAATATGTTAAACAGTAGTACCCTTCATGATTTTTGAAGCCTTTGCCTTATACATTGTCCTCATTATGCTCTAACTGTAGAAACTTAATACTTATGGACTTTTTTCCAAATGTATATCTCTTTTGGATATGTTCCTGACGCGCAACCCAACCGCGGTTTTTCATTAAGTGTGTATCAAAACCAGCCTCATCAATAAATACGTAATTATTCCGAAGATCGGCCACACCCGCTGACCCGCTGGGACCCTCTGTCTATCACTCCAATGACGCTGTTTGGTACTAGATGGACGTTAGTATTTCCTTACAATTGCAGAAGTAATTTTTCAGATCCTTGATGACCATATGTGCAATAAGTTGTACTTGTTGACAGGTACACATTTCGTCTGAATTAACATTTAGTCCCTGCTTTTATCTACAACTGCATTAGCACTGAATGCCTTGACTTGTTGTTCATAATATTTTGTCATTATCCTTCAATTCTTGATTCGAGGAACCATTCTGCTAATAATTAGCTTACTTTCTTGTTAGTCGGTCATATGACCTTAATTGTTTTCATCTATAACATCGGGGCTACTGGTATATGAGTAGAAAAATTGAAGCAAGAGCGACAAGAGTAGTTTAATGCGACTTGCTGATTTTTAAAAGCTGGGTTTAATTGAGTGATTTGATACGGAGAAAGGATCATGTAAAAACTCCTGTGTATGGTGCAGGCATTGTATAAGGTAATTTAGTCATCGTATAGTCATTAATTCTCATTCTAGTCAGCAGAGTCGAAAAGAAAAAAAATTTCGATCTTTTCTTAGACTTCTGTGTTTTTTCAAACTATAGAGACAGACAAAGGAGAAAGGAAATATAAACAAGACCAAATATTCATCATGCTGGAACTTTGTCAATTATGCTTTTCATTTTGATGAAACTGTATGAGACGCGGTTTTCCTATAGTATTGGTAAAAATTAAACGAAATGATGACACAATAATAGGAAATACTTTGCATGTAGAAATCTATAACCTATCACTGGTTTGTAGATAGGAACCTTTATAATAAACATTGATATTATATCATCTTTTATTGTTGCTCTGCTTTTCATATTGGTGGCTAGTAGATACAATTTTTATGGAATTAGCCATGCCCAGAAAATATTGTTGATTATTCACAAATCTGTATTTTGAGACACAAAACACGGTTTTCAATTAAAGGAGTAAAACCAACCTGGCAGCATCCTAAAATAATATGTCTGTGCATGAGTGCCACATGAGAATTATTGGCAACAGAATTGAATAATCTTTATTTATTGCAAGCTGTGAAAGGGAAAACAGAGCTCTGATATGTATAAGGCCAACTTGTTTACAAAGTTCGTTTTTCGGTGTGGAACGTGCAATAAATCCGTTGACCGATATTTCCCACACGACCTCGGTTCATCATTACACCATCTCTTTCACTTCTATTCAGTTTTCTAATTATTGCGCGCTTTTTTTTTTTTGCTATAAAAAACGGAGCAGTTCCAATTTATTCATATCCTTTATCTTATCTTCCGTTATTGGTTAACAACGATGATTTTATCGAAACTAGATGTCCTTTTCATGACTATTCTAGGCTTACTTTTGCACTTTGTCAGTGGTACGCTTGCTCTGACCGCCGCTGAAATAGTAGCGCAACATGTTGAGTATAAAACACAAGGCTATCTGGTTTTGGAAAGTCGGCAATTCAGTGGCTATTCCATCCGAATGAAGGAACCTAAATTGTGTGAAGCAGGAGGAGCACAGGTATGCAGCAACATTTCATTATGCGGGATTCTTGTATATTGCAATCAACCTTCCTTTCATCTTTCTATTTTCTATCACAAATTTATTATACATGTAGTACTCAGGATATATTGATAAGCACGATACCAATGACCATTTTTACTTTTATTTTGTTGAATCAAAAAATAATCCTGTAAAAGATCCAACAGTATTGTGGTTGAATGGTGGGCCTGGATGCTCGTCTATGATGATAGGAAATTGGATTAATATAGGGTATATGTGAATGATATGGATAGATAGTCAAAATGCAATTTTGAATGTCTACTCACGCTTTCATCTTTATATGGTTACCCAATATCGATGTATGAAGGCCTTGTAAAGTAAATGCTTTCGGAAATGACATTGTACCAAATCCATACAGTTGGAACAATGCTGCAAACCTTATCTTTTTAGATCAGGTATTAAACGAGCAATACAAGCCAAGATCGTCACATGTAACAATTTCTATATTTATAATTGTATAATTTCCCTATATATGTAGCCTGTTGAAACTGGATACAGTTACGGTGACACTAAAATCAGAACAACGGAAGAAGCTGCTCAAGATGCCTATGCCTTTTTGCAGATCTTTTTCTTCCATTTTAAGAAGTATGCAATGGGGCCCTTCCACATAAGTACTTTCTCTTATGGAGGCCATTTTGGGCCAAGTCTTTCTGCTGAAATTATTCGACACAATAGAAAAATCAAAGAGCATGATCGAGGAAAGAAGGATGGTGACCATCATGAGAGCTATTTTCACTCACACAATAGCAAGCACAGCAACGACACTTCAAGCCACAATTACATCACCACAAACAATGCAGAAGAACTCATCCATATCAATTTCGAGTCCCTTATGCTTAGTAATGGCTGGACAAACGCTGCGGTCCAGTTTAAAGAATTCTCTACCTTCGCGTGCACTGCTGATCCGCTTGCCAAAAAAGAAAATATTGGTCTCTATCGACCTTTTGCTAATGCAACCACCTGTGACAGTATGAAGCAATCGTATAAGCAATGCAAAACGCTATTAGATACTTGTTCTAAGAATGCTAAAGCAGCTGTGAATACAACAAATGCGGCTTGCGTATCAGCCATGTCGTATTGTCAAAGTACCTTAGGGAATGTGGTGAAAGTTACCGGAATGAATGCCTACGATTTACGTAAAAAATGTGTAGGAGACCCCAATTATTGCTATGAAGAGTATACGAACAGTGAGACATACGGTAATCTACCACACGTAAAAGCCGACCTGGGCGTTGACAAAGAGGCAGTAGATCGATTCAGTATTTGCAGTGATACTATTGAGACCAACTTTTATCTTTCTGGAGATTAGTGAGTAACAAAGAAAAATTATATCGTGCTGACAGGATTGTTTGTCTCAAGATATATCATTCTACAGTGCATTTGAGCATAGCACCGATATTGCATTTGCTTTAAATTCGGGTATACGTGTTTTAGTTTATGTCGGTGATATGGATTGGGTCGGTAATTGGTAAGTTTCTATATATAAGAGCAGTCCTCTCACTCAGGCTCAGTTGAAGGTGAAAAGCTACATGTAAGTCAATGCATCTAACTGCATTACCGTAGGGTTGCGAATCTAGCCTACTTGACTGAAATGGATTGGTTTGGAAAAGAGGAATTTGATGCAGCCCCTTTCATAAAATGGTATACAGCAGGGAAAACGGAGGCTGGTAGAATGAAAAAAGCAAAAAACCTGACCTTTTTGAAGGTATACGATGCTGGACATATGGTAAGAGAGTGGCCGATGCAAAGTACAATTATACCTAAACTAAACTTGCTATCGAATAGGTCCCCTTCGACCATCCAAAGAATTCATTGGATTTATTTACCAAATGGATAACCAACAAACGATTATAAATAGCAGCTACCTTTTACTTTGCGGGTATGGCCTAGTATTTCTGTATTTTTACAAAACCAATAGTGGATGAAATAGATATTCTGCACAGTAAATTAAATACAAAGAGACCCATCTGCAAAAATCTCATTGTTAGTTTTTTAACTTTTATATATAATCTTCAATCAAAACTATCGATAATCAAACCTATGCAATTGGTTCTCAGTAGACCATTGAGTGATCGACGCTAGGTAAAAAGTGCTGCCAGAGTATAACTTAGAGCACTGATCAGCTGTGACTGTAAAATCAACCCTCTGTTTCAGGTTCTTTAAAGACAATAGGGACAAAAGTGACAAAAATTGACAAATTTTTTTTCCAAGCTTGAATGCGCTTTGTTTCTTTTGCAGCATTCGTTTCGAGTAAATCAACAAAGGCACCGTTACTAAGAACAGTACTTACGAGAGGGCGGCCAACTTTATTTTCGACAGAACGAAATCATACAATATACCGTACTATCATGTCTAGTGCTGAAGCTACATCCACAAAAACAAGACAACAGCCTAAATGGCATGTTCCTTCTCGCAGTGAAGTTCCTGTCTTGAAATTTCAAAATTCCTTGACTAAAACAAAGGTATTTTGCTCTATTTGATTTACTTTGCAGCTGTAATTTTTCTTTCCCAAGCTTTGATTGTTTACCTAGGTCCTCACCAAACGTTTTTCTTTTTTTTTTGTTTGCGTTGGGCTTTTAGACCGAATTTATTCCCAAGTGTGGTAGACGTGTTACTTGGTACAACTGTGGACCTACCGTTTACGATGCCTCTCATATGGGACATGCTCGAACTTATTTGAGTATGGATATTATTCGTCGTGTTCTTGAAGATTATTTCAAATACGATGTTTTGTTTGTTCAAAACATTACTGATATCGACGATAAAATCATCTTACGTGCTCGTCAGCAATATCTTTTTGAAAATATGAAGAAAGAGACTAACGAATTGAACGAACAATTGATCAAACAATTGGAAGAAGCTTGGCTAGAATTTGCCAATGCTAAGTTGAAGAAGCTGGATTCTGCACACGTTGCGTTGGCTACTAGTAACTGGACAGAATTTTCACAGAAAATGACACCTGAAGAAATCGCTAAGGCAGTTGTTTTGGATGAAAAGTTCAAGATGATCTTTACTGCTTTGGTAATTTGATGCTCAGAAAAGCAAAAGATAGCATTGATTCCCTATATGTACGGACAGACAGTTGATAGCATACAATCAATTTATCTGTTGTTTTTTATAGAATACTTCTTATCTTGCCATTCAAAATGCCAAGTCCAACTTGCAAAAGGGCACGAAGAGTAAGGAAGCTGCCGAAGAATTATTAGATGCATCACAGGATATTGTTTCAGCTTGGTTAGATGCCAGAGTAAAGTATACAATTTTGAAAACGTAGAGGGAAAAAGCATCGTTAGTCAATGGGAATTTCTGATAGCATGGAATTTTTTGCTCTTTTTTTTTTGGTAATTAGAAAGGACATGAGGTCAATGATCCCAGAATTTTCCGTGACCTTCCTGCTTATTGGGAAGACCAATACTTCAAAGACATGCAAGCTCTCAATGTTCGTGCACCTGATGTACAAACTCGCGTCAGTGAATACGTACCTGAAATTGTAGAATATGTACAGAAGATTATTGACAATGGCTATGCCTATGAAGCTAATGGATCTGTGTACTTTGATACATCCCGTTACGACGGCCATCAAGGCCATCATTACGCCAAGCTTGAACCCTGGTCGAAGGGTGATACTGCTTTGATAGAAGATGGTGAAGGTTCTTTGGGCAGTAAGCTTCAAGGTAAGAGAAGCCCTAACGATTTCGCGTTATGGAAGGCTTCGAAGCCTGGAGAGCCTACATGGGATTCACCTTGGTCCAAAGGTCGCCCTGGTTGGCATATTGAATGTTCCGTCATGGCCAGTGCGGTTCTTGGCGACAATATTGATATTCACTCTGGTGGTGTCGATCTAGCCTTCCCTCATCACGACAATGAATTAGCTCAAGCGGAAGCTTACTACGACTGTCAGCAATGGATCAATTATTTCTTACACGCTGGACATCTTCATGTGGAGGGTCAGAAAATGAGTAAGAGTTTGAAGAACTTCATCACGATCAACGAAGCTCTTAAAACATACACCGCTCGTCAGTTGCGTATTTTCTTCTTGCTGCATCAGTGGGATGCAAAGATGGATTTCAAAAAGTCCAGTATGCAAGAAACCATTCAAATTGAACAAACGATGAAGAACTTCTTTGATAATGTGAAGGCTATTATCCACAAAGTGCAAAAAGATGGTTCGCGCGGGGCCACTGAATTGGCGGACGGTCTTGTCACGCATCGATTCAGGAAAGCAGAGAGTGATCTTTTAAGCTTATTACAGACCAAACAAGATGCTGTTCATGCAGCTCTTTGTGACTCTATCAATACACCTATGGCAATGGATGAAATTATGAGTTTGATTGGTTCTACCAATATCTACATGAATACTGCCGGTGCCAAGGGTGTGAATACTCACCTATTAAACAAAATTGCTAAATACGTGACTTCAATGTTGAAGGTCTTTGGTGTCGCTGATAACGGAGCCGATATTGGTTTAGGTAATGTTGCCGGACAGGCCTCTGGAAACGTAAGTAGGAAAATGTTATTGTAAATATGTGTGTATGTCCTTGGTTTATTTATCGCATTTTTCTCTTCGTTATAGGTTGAAGAAATTTTAATGCCGTATCTTGAAGCGCTTTCTACCTTCAGAGACCAAGTTCGCATTGGTGCTCGTAATAAGGTAGATCACAAGGACTTTTTGAAATTGTGTGACTCTCTTCGTGATGAACAAATGGTGGAATTGGGTGTTTCTTTGGATGACCAAGAAGATGGCACAGCTCTTGTCAAGTTGGTACCTCGCGAAGAACTCATTCAAGCCAGAGAAAAGAAGTTGGCTATTGCCCGAGAAAAAGAAGCCAAGAAAGCGGCGGCGGCTGCCGAGCGTGAAAAGAAGCGCTTAGAACGACTTGAAAAGGGCAAGGTCCCTCCTCAAGAACTCTTTAAGAATCTAGAGGAATTCTCCAAGTTTGATGAGAATGGTTTCCCCACACACACTAAGGACGGCGAAGAGGTGACGAAGAGTAGAAAGAAGAAGCTTCAGAAGGAATACGATATGCAAAAGAAACTGCATGAAGAATATCTAAAGGAAATGAGCAAACAACAAAATTAAGAGAACTATCTTGACTTTTTCCATCGCATGCATATAATCATAAAAAGCTCCTCAACGGGAAGCTCGACGGGCATTCGATAGGCCTAGTATATCAATTGTTCATCCATTACCTGTAATAACAATAAATAGAAACCATCAATCGAATAGATTATGAATGAAAAGTGCATCTACTGTTTATTTTTGTTGAGGATAATAATAAAAAAAAAATTATGGAGTGCATTTGTGATGGCGATGATCAAAGAATAACATTACTGTTTCCTTTGGAGAATAAAACTATAAATATATACAAGGCGTAAAGATGTAAACAATAATTAAAAGAGTATGGAGTAAATGTTAGAAACGAGGAAGAGAAGAATGGTTGGCGTAAAACAAAATGGTAGAGGGATGTTTCTTTAAAAGTCGGCATCTAGAGTGAAGGTCTTCTCAACGGGTGTCTTATTCATGACACCAGCTCGTTGATAATCCGAGACACGCTTTTCGAAAAAGTTGGTTTTGCCTTGGAGAGAGATCATATCCATGAAATCGAAAGGATTAGTAACGTGATAGATCTTGTTAAAACCAAGAGCCACCATAAGACGGTCAGCAACAAACTCGATGTATTGACACATAAGGTTAGAGTTCATGCCAATCAAATTCACAGGGAGAGCATCTGTCATGAACTCTTGCTCAATGCCCACAGCCTCCGTGAGGATACTCTTGACACGTTCTTCAGAGGGAATCTTCTTCAAGTGGGTGAATAAAAGACAGGCGAAATCCGTATGTAAACCTTCATCACGACAGATGAGTTCGTTGGAAAAGGTCAAACCGGGCATCAAACCACGTTTCTTCAACCAGAAGATAGCACTGAAAGAGCCAGAGAAGAAAATACCTTCAACAGCTGCAAAGGCCACCAAACGCTCAGCAAAGGAATCGTTGCTGGAGATCCATTTGAAGGCCCAGTCAGCTTTTCGTTTGATGCAAGGGATGGTTTCGAGAGCATCAAACAGCATTTCCTTTTCTTGAAGATCCTTGATGTAAGTGTCTATCAGTAAACTGTAGGTTTCCGCATGAATATTTTCAATGGCAATTTGAAAACCGTAAAAGCATTTGGCCTCAGGAATCTTGACTTCGTCACAGAAATTTTGCACCAAATTTTCATTGACCACGCCATCCGCACTGGCAAAAAAGGCAAGTACACGGGAGATAAAGTATCTTTCATTATCGCTCATCTTGTTTTCCCAATCATACTGGTCTTTCGATAAATCGATTTCTTCGGCCGTCCAGAAAGAAGCTTCAGCCTTCTTATAAAATTGCCAGATCTATGGAAAAAAGATGTATTTCTCTCGATAAGAAATGTGATCTGACGAGATTTTTGGAGTATCCCACCGGCTGCTTATCAGATCTAACTTTACCTCATGATACTTAATAGGAAACAAACAGAAACGCCTTGTGTTTTCCTTGAGGATATCTTCGACTTCGTCCTCCGTATTCATGTTGATCTTCTTTGGTTCGTTGAGAGATAGCTTGGCCATTTGGTTGGTGGTGGTTTCTTTTTGCTCAGCAGACAACATGCTCTTGATTTATTCTTTGTTGGCCAAAAAGATTTAAAAGAAATGAAGCAGAATAGGTATTAATTGGGAAGGGAAAGAGCGTTTTATCTCCACATTTTTATAACTTTTTTCGCTTTTCTAAGTGACTGGGGAATGGTAAGGTTAGGCAAATTTTAATTCGCGTTTTTTCGTACTTTTTTATTTTATTAACATGTAGACAAGAATGGGTATCAACAAATTTTTTTACGCGTTTTTTCTTCTTTTTAATAGAACACGTCGCATTTGTGTAACTATTCGTATAACTGTAGGGAGCAATTTCAATGCTCTTGAGAGATGAAGTCAGGGGGTCGTCGAAATGACGACCAATTGCAGTAACTCCGTTCAACTGCGACAGTATTCTAGGCTGAAATTGAGACATAATGGAGTTATTTTAAACAAAGTCAATACCTAAAACGAGATATTATTATTAAAAGTTGATAAAATTGAATATGGACGATACTAGCTCAAAATGTGGACGTTTATTTTTTGGGGAGGTCAATACGATAGGTAGACATGGTTAATCATACGTAATCTATAAATCAACCAAGCCTAACTTCTTTCTGTATACATCTATCCCAAAAGCTCTCTGTATGTTTAACCCACCCGAGACAGTCTTAGTGAGGGAAGTGGGGGGGGGGGGTTAACCGTTTGCTTCAGTTTTACGAGGAGAGAGCCCGTTACCTTTTTGAAGAGGGTTTCTTCTGATGCTTGCTTTCATTTTTTCCCAGCATTCTTCTATAGGGCTGAGAAAGGGAGAGTATGGAGGCATAACCATTGGTTTATAACCGCGTTTGTTAATTGTATCAATGACAAACTGAGCATGGTGGAGTCGATAAGTACCCATCACGATGAAATAACCTTTCACTTCCAATCTTTCCAGCGTATCCATTATAACTTCCATAAACAACAGAGTAAATCGTTCTATTACAAGCTTATTCGTTCTCCAAATCGGCAAGAATACACTTTTTCTTCACTCAACTAACGATCCGAATCAGCTGCTCTACGACGCTGTATCACTAACTTCCGTACTAGCTTCCTTCACATTCAGCAATCAAACTACCCCAATTCAAAACTGATTTCCCAATGTCGTTCTCAATTAATGATCGATCCGATCCTTTATGTACCAATGTCACCTTACGAACGAAGCTGATGTATCCGATGGCGTTTGGGTTGGCTTCCTAGAGGCCACTAAACCTACTGCTTTGGACATCCCTCGTCTTTACTTACAAAGCCCACACTATCTCCAGCCGCACGTGCACCGCCGCCTGCGACTCCCTCCATCTGTCTGTGACCCATTCTCACACGTTCTCAACCGTCTTCCTGCCCATCCGCTCGAAACTCAAGCTCGAGCACAAGCCTGGCATTTTCGATGGCCCATATCTGTGACATCTTATTTGAACTCGACTATTTACACTGCTCTCAAGAGCCACCTTCACTCCTCTGTTAGGACATCTATTCCTCGACTGACTGCCCTCTTCTCCCTCTTCTCCCCCTCCTCCCAATAGACCGTAGTCCTTTTTATCGTTGAGCCCGAAGGGGTTTTTAGATCCTATATAACCATTGGATCTGCCTCGTACAATATAGATAAGTTAAATATCTCGTGTCCATTGGGCTTTACAAATTGAAAGTTTTAAATAAAATCCTTGCTTAAACGTATCTTGTCCATTTTATAAAGTAAGGTTATCGTGTCCTCTATCTTGCCCCTTCCTTTAAAGTCTCTTGATTTTTTATAACGCTTGATTTCATTTATTTATAATTTGTGTTGACTATTTGAAACTTTATACAGTTTTTTTATCAACAATGAAATAGTTTGATTATAAACTTTATTTAATGTAAGGATTATAATGGACTAAGTTAAGTAGCGAGACTATAAAAAGATATCGATTTCGAGTTAACATCAGGGTCTCTGTTATATCGTTGAAATGAATAATTTGTTCAGAGAAATTGCATGTCTGAGAACTTATGAGTAATATGAGAAAAATAGGAAATATACGTAATGTGATTTAGGTAAATTATTGCGTATATTTGGCCTAGGTGATGATTAAAGGCATCACATTGGTTTTTTCAGAATCGTTCAGAAGCTCTTGCGAGTCGTAGACATTACAAACGTTAGATTCAGCTAATTTGTCTATTATCAATTTCTTGACATTTGGGTTGTTTCTATTATGATAGGTCATGAGGAGTTACTTCAACTTTTGCTTTCATAAAAAAACGACTTACTTTAAAAAAACCTTCAAATCTTCACAATTTGTGGTCAGTCCTGCAAAATCAATTGCAACAATGCAAACTTGCTTTTTCGATATGAAGACTAGCATGTCTAATAAGCAAACTAGAATTTAGTTATAATCATGATAGCATAATAAATCCTTTTCTCACCTTGCATATCGCCATCTGCAAGTGTTTGAGATAGAATCTCTTGTTGCTTGATCGCATCATGTTCTACCAACGGCTGGTCTGCATTACAGTTAACAGACGCAAAAACCTTACTAACCAAGGATCTATCTCTTAAGTTGTGGCACATTTGATTCAGCAGGCCTACGGCGTGTACCAACATCTCTTTCGCACGGAGACTTTCTCACGTAATCTATCTTGTGCATGTGACAGGTTAAGTGTTTGAAGCTCTGAATATATGCTTGATAGCGAGGTAAATGAATGGCAATGCTCTCTATCAAATTGTCTAAACGCTAGATTAATTATGAGCTATTAGATTTATGAACGATTACTGTATGTCTTACCAACATATTCGTCCTTTAAGACGTATAACGAGCGGACTGAAACTTTCTGCTGTAAAGCATTATTCTTCCTTTTGGTGCTTATTTGCGTTGAGTACAGCTTTAGTGGATCATCTTTGTGATATTTGTGGTTGTTTTATGCTTAGTGAACGCGACTCAATAATTGCAAAAGACTGAAGGTGGACCCATCCCACCTTCAGTCCTTTTATTGTACACTGAAAATCAGAGAGGGGAGCGTTCATGGCGAAACTGAATGATTTGTATTTGACAACAAAAGAAAGAAGGAAGAGAGAAAAAAAAAATAAAAACAAAAAAAAGGAGTTAAATACTCGTTCCTGAAATTCTCAACCAGTAGGAATGCAGCATTATGTATACGTATGTCTCTAGAGTACAAGATGACGTGTACTAAGTGTTATTATAATTCTTTGATCATAATAACGTGTCTAATATTTCAAAGTGTGTCTAATTCGACTTTATATGTTAGAGAAGGTATGGAAATACCGCATACAACATATAAGCTCTTAAAAAGATGAACGCCAGTGACGGCACCATTCTTTTCTGGCCCCAAGCCAAAAAATGGCAACGCTAAACCAAAAAAGCTCTTAGCTGCACATACATACTTCTTCATAGCATTGTTTGATGCAAAACCCTTAATTACTATAGCCGCTGTAAGACAAGGACTTTGCGTTTATTCGAAGGATTAAGCCTTTCCATTCCCAATCTTGGGAACATATGACTACTACGTGCTCATTCTCCGTGAAAAGAGCAAGTAAGTATACCGCTTAAAGAGATGCAGCGAGAACCATTGTGCTTTGTTTCAATATCGTAAGCCAATGAAAATCTGCAGGTGTTGACTTTGGCAGAACTGCGTATTTGTAGACGAGGCCGGCTTCAATACACAACTTATGACAAGTCGTTTATGGTCAATGCCGTTAAAGTCATGACTCAGAAAGGCGCCAATCCAAGTCTAATTGGTTGCATTTGTGCTTGAGGCATCATCGACTCTTCTAAGGTAAATCATTAAGTATAAGCGAAGCGTTAAAGCTCGAACAACAATATCAGCAACAGCCCTATACAAAGCAGAGGAAAGCTGATAGTCAAGATCTCCCAAAAAGCCGATCAGTGGCATTACTGTTTACCATAATGTGAGGTTAATGAAAGTTATAATGGATACTCTGGAAAGATTGGACGTGAAAGGTTATTTCATCGTGATGGGTACTTATCGACTCCACCATGCTCAGTTTGTCATTGATACAATTAACAAACGCGGTTATAAACCAATGGTTATGCCTCCATACTCTCCCTTTCTCAGCCCTATAGAAGAATGCTGGGAAAAAATGAAAGCAAGCATCAGAAGAAACCCTCTTCAAAAAGGTAACGGGCTCTCTCCTCGTAAAACTGAAGCAAACGGTTAACCCCCCCCCCGCTTCCCTCACTAAGACTGTCTCGGGTGGGTTAAACATACAGAGAGCTTTTGGGATAGATGTATACAGAAAGAAGTTAGGCTTGGTTGATTTATAGATTACGTATGATTAACCATGTCTACCTATCGTATTGACCTCCCCAAAAAATAAACGTCCACATTTTGAGCTAGTATCGTCCATATTCAATTTTATCAACTTTTAATAATAATATCTCGTTTTAGGTATTGACTTTGTTTAAAATAATTTCAAAAACGTCTCATTTTGATATACAATACTGTATCATCTATGTGTTAATGTCAGGGACCCGACATGCTGCGCTAGTTGAAAGTAAATGAACTAATGGTGTATAATGGGTCGCTTCAATATGATGGACACTATCTTAAGCGCGCCATCAGCACGTTCTTTTCTGACTAAATGCTCCCCAGGCGTTCTCAATTTCTGTTTTAGTAGGAAAGGAAAAACAAAAGTCCGAAAAAATCATTCATACTACGCACCATCGCCTGCAAGAAAAGAAAGGATAAATTAAACTCTGATAAGCAGTCAAACTGAGATGATATGTTATGGTCCGGTAGCTTGACACTGCAGTGTCTCTTTCCCTGAATAAGGGAGTCGTTCGCTAATCCTTTTGGAAAGAGCGTTGTGTTTCACATCATGATTGTTTTTGGAGACTCTTTGTTCTTGATCTGAAACAATGAAAGCAGAGGAAATCAAGGGGCAAAAAATTCATAAACGATATAAAGCAGACCCAAGCCCGCTTCATGTGGAACAAGCACACTCCTACGATCAGCTCTGAATTTGAAGACTTATATTCGTTTATAAGAAAAAGCCATGTGTAATTTATTCGTGTAAGAGTAGGCAACCATTATTTGAAAGGAGAGAGCAATTAGTCACCTAAGCGCAAAGTAATCCATCAAGTCTTGATTATTAATCAAAAATGCTGACATATCACTGTCCGTTGCATAGTAGTCATCATTGCTGACCCTGCTTGAATGTTGCGTTGAAGGCATATGTTAAATACAAACATTATTCGGATGTGTCAAGCTGCTCAGCTTCAGAGGTCTTTCAAGGACAAGACTGATAAGCATTAGATTTTCTTTTTGAGGTTTGCTTATTTCTGTTATGAAAAGATCATTCCAACTAAAGAGATTTTTCTGACAGTTCTATACTATTCACATACTTTGTCAAGTCTGCGCACGCTTTTTCTTCAAAAATAACATAAGAAAATTGTGTGCGTTCATTATAGTAGTCATTGTTGTGCGACCCTGTAAAGCGAGAACTTGGTGATGTCTAATTTGTCTATCATATATACCGACTTTTTAAAAACGAACAAATTCAAATGTAAGGCGTTTTGTGCAATAGGATCTTACTTACTGAGAGGCAAAAGTTATATCGATAGTAGAGGCTTGTATATCGAAAACGAAATAAAGCCTTTTTCAAAATGACGAGCACAAATTGACTCCTCTCATTAAAATTGGATTGTAAGCTAAACTTTTTTTAGCTTCTTTCATTGTGAATTGTATTAAAGGAGTGAATCTAAAATTGGTTCTATTCATATTCCTATTTTCATTACTTTTCTTTCCTTTGAGCAAGGCATCCCACAAGCAGGCATTTGCTTTTTGTTCATCACTGCTACTATTTGACCTGTCTCATTTAGCGAAAGCTAACACTTGTATTTGTATTCGATCATGTTGTTTCAAACAGCCCTTCAGCTTGTGTCTATAACTTCCCTGCTTACACAAATTCAGACAACGTCTGCTGCTGTGAGGGCTAAACGTAGCGATAACCCACTTGACGCGCATTCGACGACGGCTACAACCGCACCTATACATGTATCCCTTGTCGAAAAAAGAGCAACATCTAGCATAGGCAAACGTTCAACGGCATCAGAGATTCCACTGATGGACGATATAAACTCTAGTCAGTTTGGTATTGAAGTGCAAATAGGCACCCCACCACAGAATTTCGTACTTATGTTGGATACAGGCAGCACAGATACCTGGGTCTCTTCCTCCGAATGCACAGTGAAAGATGGCTGTCCTGACTTTATGCAGCACTTTCTTCCACAAAATTCCAGCACTTACAGATCCGTTTTAAATGATGATCGTGAAAACGAACACAATCATGAAATGCCAATAGATATTGTATATGGTATAGGTCATGCAGAAGGCCGTTATTTTGAAGATGTGCTCACTCTAACAACCAAAAGTAGTGAGGACGATCATGTTGAAGAGAAGGAAACCCGTGCTACTTCAGTGTTGAAAAATGACTTTCAGCGGTTAGTGTTGGTCCATAAAACGGAGGGTCCACTTTCGCATCAGCAGCATAAAAGTGAGAAAGACGAAGCAGACATCACTTTAGACGGTGTCTTTGCTGCAGGGTTGACGACGACCACCACAAGGGCAACTTTAAGTAGCAATACTACTACTGAAGAAGAAAGACAACGCTTACATTCAACATCCTCCACGACTGACCCAATGACTAACCACCCCTTCTTTATCTCACTTTATAACTCCAACAGCATTCCGGAGCCCATGTTTTCGGTCGCTTTGGCTGAAGGAAGCCTTATTTTAGGAGCCAAGCATTCATCCAATCATAGTTACGTCTATACAGATGTAGCCTCTGTTGAAAGTCAAAAAAACCAAGATTCTCATCACGTATTGACAACAGCAAGGTGGGATGCGAATGTCTACAAATTCCAATTTGAAAATGCTTCTCGTGCTGTCAACTTCAATTTCAACGAACCCACTCCCGTTGGAGTGGATACGGGTTCCAACTTTTTGTATCTTCCAGAAGTGTTGGCTTATGATCTCGCAGCGGCTGTATCGCACAATACGTACAAAAAACCGACCGATGAAAGACCTTACTTTTTGATTGACTGTGAATACCAATCAAGTCATCAGTTTGTCAACATCTATTTCCTGCCCTCTTCTTCTGCCTCATTTACTGGACGGCAAAGGATCGACAATGAAGTGGGGATGAAAATTTCAGTGAAACATTTGATTGCGCAACGAGAAAGTGATGGGCAGTGTCTGCTATTGTTTGTTCCTTCCAAAGATAAGTTTATCATTGGAAATATGATTTTGCGCCATTTTTATACAGTGTTTGATTTCGGTGAAGTACCCAAAATTGGATTTGCACCCTATTACCGAACCGAATAAATAAAGGCTCTATTTATTTTCGTCTTTTTACTTCTATGTATTGTTTCGCGGATTTGCTCCTTTTGCTCTATGAAATTGTAGGTGAAAAACAACAACCAAAATTATTGGATCACTTTTTCCTCAAGGCAAAAGAGGCATCGAATCAACTTTCAAAAGTCCAAAATTGCAATGAAAACCTTTTAGCAAGTGCTGCAGCACATACATATAAGCATCTTTCAATTATCGTTTCATGCTAGATGTTCACCATGTCCATCCTTGCTGGATACTGAATTTGAGTTATTAAATGCATATTGTGACGAATTGAAGTTGTACAAGCTTAGTAAAGCATCATGGCGGCAGGAAGGGAACCCCAATAAATTAAAAAAAAAAAAAAAGAAGGGTTTGTTTGCCTTATCAAGCTATTTTTGATACGCGATAGATGGGTCGTGCATTTCTTGCATTCTAACCGTTACATCAATATTACATTAGTACGCAGTTTTACGGTGTCTTTGTTTATACTCGCGGATTTCTATCGTGCTAGAGACACTGATTACGAAATTCTACTTTTTTCCTTCGGGCAAAAGTTGAATGCTTTTGAAGCTACGAATTGACTGTACAAAAGAAGCTTTGAAAATAATGCAAGTTTAAATGGTCCGATTTTAACCGTAACTCATAAATGCCGTAATGAGTGAATAGGATGTAAAAAGCGCCTCCATCAAGAATACCTGCCTCATAATTGAATTCTCTTCTTTTTATCAACCACATATCAGACAAAGCCAATGAATTGATACAGTTTCAAAAAGAAGGGGAAGGCGGTCGTTGCAGTCAGAAAGTTGACATAGGAACGAGACGTTTCTATCTTTCCTCAACCTGGGTTCCTTCATAAAGCAATACATTACATATGAACAGAGGTTACTGTTATCGACACACACACAAAAAAAGGAAAAAAAAAAAAAAGTTTGAAACAATTGCCTTTGAATTACCAGCGAATCATGTGTTCTAAAGTCCTAAAGAAACAGTAGTTCAAAATAGCGTTCCAGCCTATTTTCAGCTGATATGTCTTTGTCGTTGGCGCGGGCTTTTGATTATTCCAAGCGGCGGTGAGCTGGACCCTAGAACAATATAATAAAAAAGGTAGAACAAATATTTTTACACATGTTTCTCTTTTTTATAAACCATTCCAAACCATTTTTTTTATTTTTTTTGGTGCTGTTCTCACTTTTTGATACGAAAAATCAGTAACAGTTTCAGGTAAAAGGGATCACTAAAACCATCAACCTGTTTTTTTTTGTTCCTGAAAAAAATAGCCATGACGGTGTTCATGCAAAGTGATCATGCTACTAACGACTATGTCTTTCTTTTTACTTCATTTGATTGTTTGCGCAACAGTTTTTTTGGTTTTTTTGATAGAAAAGAAATGAATTTGTCCAACCGTAAAGTCATCTATTTTATAAAAAGGAAAATTTTTTTCTGTCGCACAGTCGAAAAATATTCTGACATTTTCTTTTTTTGGCAATGATAGTGCCCGCTGTACGTCTTGCTTCAGGCGTTGAACCGCAACAGAAATGGCCTGCTATGTCTGATAATGATGCCCCGTCATCTGCTAAAGCCAACACAAATGAAGGAATCAAATTAATTGAGTTGAATCCAACACATGGCAATGAAGGCACAATAGTTACCGTGGTGGTCCAAGCTTTACCGCCCCATATCCCCGCTAAATTGGCTTTCAATAGTTTAATGGTTGACACAAAACAATTGCAAGCTCAAGGCATCACATCTCTTGTAGCCACTGTACCTTCCTTCCAGCAAACACATTCCCCATCGCCTAATGTCCCCATCAGCATCTGTTTTCTTGATAAAGACATGGTGACAGAAACATGGATTGTTGCTGACTTTGTTTACGATTTGCAACCACCTCAACCTCAACATGACGAAAGCAACAAGTTCAACAAGGATTCGTCTGCTGCTTCGACGACGACACATACGACGATCACTCCTTCTTATCATCAGCCTCTCCATTATGATAAGCATCATGCTGCCGCACCTTCTACAGCTTCGACAGCCGCTGATTCTTTTCAATCGAAAGGTATGTCCTCTTTTTGCCATACTTCTCTGATGTTTCCTCAATCCCCTCCTACCCCTCCACTCACCTATCCCTCTCTCCATTTGATTAATTATTTTTCGTTTCCCCTTCCAGGCAATAACGATTTTCTCAACTCATCAGCAGCTGCCTATCAAAATTTTTATTCATCTCCCGCTGTCAACTCACCCTACGGCTTTGGAACTCAGATCCCGAACTACCAACAATATGCTTATCAGCAGCAGTCTCCAAGAGATGTCTTTGTTGACAGTAAGTAGGGCTGAAATGACGGCCAGATTTTATCTTTTTAAGTTTTTTATAGTTTGCCAGATTGACAAAAGAGACGGGGTGGAGAAGAACAAAAAAGTAAAACTAATTACTCTTCTCTTTTTGTTTCCTTGCACCCCTGTAGAATATGCCCAACAAGGACGTCCCCAACAACAACATCAGCAGCAGCAGCAGCAACATCAAGCTCCTCCTCCTCCTCCACCGACACAGTACAGCGGATATAATAACTCAGCTCTCCATTTATTTCCCTCCGCCGGTGCGGGCGGTTTTACAAGCATGCTAGCAGGTGGGTTAGATCAGCAAACAGCCGCCGCAGCGGCTCATAATGCAGCTGCTGCCAACGCACCTACCACAGCCGCTGCTGGTCACACAAACATGATACCTCCCATGACGTCTACTTATGTTCATCACCACCATCATCCACAACAGCAGCAAGCCCCACCACCCTCTTCTTTGCCGTCCGTATCTCAATCTCACCACCAGCAACAGCATCAGCAGCAGCAGTATCCACCTCAGCCTCAGCATCAGCACCAACCACCTCCTCCCACCCCTGCTACACCGTCTCTCCATCTCTCACAGCATCAGCATCCGTCCTCTTCTAGTAGCTCAACTGCAGCGACGGCTCATCCCACCACCAGCAGCCGTCGCCATAACAATGCCAGTGGAGCCGGAGGGGGAGGAGGCGGTGGCGCTATTTTCGGCTTCAAGTCAACGACGCATACGCCTACTACTTCTGTCGCCAACTATCAGCCTTATCCCGGCCTTGTCAGCCGTGCCAACTTGGATATTATGGGCGATTTAGACAGCATGACCAAAAGCTGGACCAACGAAGAATGGGATCATCGTCGTCGTCTTGTTCAATTTTGGCGCGAGCAACATGGGAATAAAATCACGACTCATTTCCAGCCTGTACCTCAAGGTGAGCGTGCTTCCAACAGCGGTAACATAGTCGTTTCTTGCATTTATTGGATGGAACGAAACGACTTTTTCATCACTTCTGTTGATTGTATCTATTTGCTGGAATGTTTGATGGACATTCGTTTCAGCGTAGAAGAAAAGAATCGTATCCGAAGAAACCTGGAAGGCTTCCGTCCTATGACCGTGAGCAAATGCAAAGTCGACAGTGCCGATTTCTTCAAACTGATCATGAGCTTCCCCAATCCTAAACCTCGGAACATTGAAAAGGATGTCAAGGTCTTTCCATGGAAGACATTGCCTTACGCTTTGAAAAAGATTGTTACCAAATATACTGCCTCTTCCTATAACAGCGTTCCTCCTCCTTTGATTCCCACAGCTTTTCAACAACAACAACAACAACAGCAACAACATGTCAGTAGTAGCAATGGCATAAAAACTTCGGTCGTCAGTACGCCGACTACGTTACTTCCGCCTACGACACCTACCACAGCCACGCCGTCCACCATGACGACATCTACACGTCATCCTACCATGAATGCTGTCACAGCAGCAGAACATCCATCCACCAGCACGACGATGCCTGCGGTTGCTGCTGTCACTGCTGCTACGACAACAACGACAAGTATGCCCTCAGCGATGACGGCGCAAAGCAGTAGTACGGATCCTTTCTATCCTCAACAACATCATAACACGTATCAAGCACAACCTTATTCTCAAGAACTTTATGGCACATCTTACTATAACCAACAGCAACAGGAACACCCACCCACAAATAATGCTGCTCCTCCTCCTCCTCCTACTACTACTACTACGACTAATACGACGACGGCTACTACCGATACGACGACGAAAACAACAATAGAGAGCAGCAACAGTGACGATCATACTACTGCAACTACTAATAACCCAAATACCATGCACAGCAACACATCTATTCATCCTACGGCTGCGGATGAATCATCCGCTCACGTAGAGGCAACCAACATGCATCCCTCTTCCGACCATGATTTGCCTTCCTTGAAAACTGAACTCAATTTAGCACCTTTAATGACCCATCATGAATCGCATACACCCTATTCATCTCATCCTAATAACGAACCAACGAATTAACACGAAAGAAAAAAAAAGTTTTTGCATTGTCAAAGTGACTTTTTATTTACTTTAAAAAAGCACTCTATCTCTCTTTTTATACGTTATCCCAGTTTTTTTGTTTTATAAATATTTCTTTTTTTGTCATGAAATTAAATTGCGGGTGTAATGCTAGGTAAAGCGAAGACAATTCTTTATAATTAGATGAGTTCTTTGTTTCTACACTTTTCGAATTAAGTAAAAGAGTATTGTATAAAAGCTCGTACATGTTACGAAAAGATGTAAAGAGCTCAAAGGATTTAATGAAACAAAACCTGGAGTAACTGGGGATATCAAGGCGAGCCCGAGTACACCAGTCAATAAACTGCAACTGATATTTACGATAATTTTTGAAAGAAAGAGACGAGGTGTCATACTTGGACATGAGGGATTGAATAGCAGAATCGGAAAGACCCTGGTTTCGAAACTTAGACCGGATACTCTCTAAACGGATAGTTTCCAGTGCTGATTCCTGTGGAGAGGGTGGGTACTGTGTACCGTTGTCGATTGAACCTGACAACGGTGGAGGAATAAAGGTGGTGCTTTGGCCATGGAGCAAAGGAGGGGAAACCACAGCGCACTTGTCCAAAACGGGACTACTATGACCGCTGAGAGGTCTCGAAGTAGCTTGGTAAGGACCCGAGGTATCAGATTCCACGGGGGATTGATAAATGGATTGTCCACGATCCGCCAATTGAGGGTACGTCGACATGCCATGCCCTCGGATCCGGAAGCCATGACAAGTATCTTGGTAGGAGGAAGGTCGTTCGATCCGCACAAAGATCTGCGTCGAATGGACCCCAAATTTGGTTTATCCATGTAAACACCGAGGGAAGAATTTGCCACTGGTTCTTCTGGAATTGACGACGAGATTCAAAGTCGGCAATCGTATTCTGAATGCCTTGAATGTGTTGAGCCTGAATGATGATGTTGCGTTGGAGGCACCAGCTCCAAATGTCGATTGCTAAATTTAGCAGAGGCAAAGAACGCGTTCCCCCTTGCTTGTTGATGTAAGCTAGACTGGTTCAATTGTCTGTACGAATCAGAATCGTGGTGTCCTTCAGTGTCGAAAAAGACTGCATTGCTAACCAAGCTGCCTTGAGCTCTCGCCAATTGATTGATTGGGCTGCTTCGTTGGGCGTCCAATATCCATGCGTTGTCTGGTTGTTCCATGTACAGCCCCAGCCCGAGTTGCTTGCATCCACAAAGATTGTCTCTTGAGGGGAGGTTGGAATAAATGACCGACCATTCCATTTCTCTAGATTGTCGTGCCACCAAGTTAGTTCCTGAATTGATGCCTCGTCGAGAGGCTATGGCAAGTCCCAAGTCCCAGTCCGAGGGTGACTTCACTGTTAGATTCTTGAAATAGAGCAGCTGTCTGGTGTATAGACGAGCTGGTAGGATCGCAAATAGCGCGGATTGCAGTCGCATGGCTGTGGATCAATCGTGGAGTCTGCTTCGAGGGATGTTTCAGAATTTGTGCAATTGACTTCTTCAAGTCTCGATCTTTCTTCTTCGGTAGTTCTGCTTTCATTGTTGTTGTATCCAGGATAAACCCGAGATGTTCCAAGCGCTGAGTAGGGACCAGAACTGATTTGGTTTCGTTGATCAACCAGCCAATTGCCGTAATTTGTTGAGGACAAGTTGTGTCTGTTGCAATGCGATTTTCTTCGAGGGCGCTATCAGTATCCAGTCGTCCAAGTATGCCGACAATTTGATTTGTTGTGACCGGGCGCAATCGAGAATAGGACGACAAACTTTGGTGAAGACATATGGTATGGAGAAAAGGCCAAATGGAGTGGTACACCATTGATAGATCTTGGACTTCCAACAAAACCGAAGGTACTTGCGTGAATCTGGATGGATGCCTAAATGAAGCAAATGCATCTGTTAAGTCGATCGACACTAAATAGTCTTTATGTGCCATAAGATGTGCGACTTCTCTGATCGTTTCCATCTTGAAATGACACGGCTCCATGTATTCGTTGAGCTTGCGTAAGTTGAAAACTGGGCGTATACCGCCGTTCTTCTTCGGAATGACAAAAAGGGAGCTGTAGAAGCCTGGTACTTGAGTTTTTCGGTTAGGGAAATTTCTTCTATTGCATTCTTTTGAAGTAAATTTTGAATAGCTTGATCTAGCTGTAGTGTCTGGTCTGCAGAGAACGGGATGACCGATTTGGGTGTTGTTGTGGTAGGTGGTGTCTGAGAAAAGGGATGCGATAACCTTGAGCGACTATGGAGTTGACGACTTTGCTGTTGGAAATCTGGCGCCACTCGGAAGCGAACCATTGCAAACAACCCCCTACCTTGATAGTACTCAGTGTTGGGGTTGGGTTTGAGGTTGAGCTCGAAAGGGATTGTTTGATCGCTTGTTGGGGTTTGGGAATTGTGTAAGGCTGTTGTTGTTGTTGGGATTGAAGCGATATCGTTGGAGTTGAAGAAACCGCCCTGCTAGGAGGACGGACCTGATCGAAAAAACGGATTGCCAATGTCAGGCGAGAAAGCAGAGGAAGGACATGTAGTGCGTTTACGATAGTTCGAAGTAGCGTCTCGAAGGGCCTTACGTTCCGCTTGCTCATTAAGGGCCGTTTGAAAATCAGAAAGAGGGAGAGTATAAGAACCATCATCACGTTTGATGGAATAAGACGGGTTAAAGGCGCGTATTGCGACGTTATTACGCGCGTGATTCAATGTAGAGGATACATGTAAAAGGAGTTCGCGAATGTCTTTAATCATTATCATATATTTCTCAAGATGTTGGTTGTCAGACTCATTACTAGCTATCTCATGGGCTAATACATCTAATGGACGGAGTACAGCCGAAACTAAGTACTGATACTGTTTTAGTGCCTGATCTTCTTTTTTTTTGGCCCTTGTTCATACGTCGCTGGGCTGAGGGAACCGTGGCAGGCGCGTGATAATTTATATAGCTAATGGGCGGATACGCCTCAATAATAGCCTTGCGTTCATTATCAGATAAAGGAGGAGATGTGTGGATAGGTTAATCCAGGTTAAGGTAATCTGTCAGGAACTTAAAAGGTTCCCAGTCGTATCGAGGACGCGTGCCAAAGGAATGTAGTTGAGCAGTGTTATTACCATCAGACTGCATGCGTTCAGGGGCATTCTCCCCTATTTGTTTTTCCGATTGTTGAAGCTGTTGCTGTGCAACTGTGAAAGTGTGGCCGTGAGTTCTATTTGTTGGTCAACGAAAAGAGTTCATTTATTTGGCTTTATCTTTGTACCTGAAACTTTTTTAAAAAAAATGGCAATAACTAGAGAACAAGCAATATATTTGTTATTTTGTGAAGAAATAAATAAAGAGAACATATCCAGACTTACAGAACGAATCAACTCATTGAAAGACATTGAGATCTGCTACGAAAAGGATCCTCACCAGCCGATTCTTTTGCCAATCGTTAGGATAAACGCGAATCAGTTTACTTATCATAGATATCTTAGCAACGCTCTAAAGTTGGAGAAAAAATCAATAAATGAAAACATAAAGCTTACTAAGTATAATGAAATAATTGTTTTACGCAAACGTATTCGAGAGAAAAGCAATCTAAACTTCACTTTAAAAATAATAGCCTCTGATACTCAGATCATTCGGTTTTTAAATCAGTTGTATTTACCCTTTGATCCATATAATGAAGAAATATATGAGCAGAGAGATGTTACTGTCGTATTTGAGGGTAGATGATATACAAATATTAAAGACATAATTCACTTTATGAAGGATAAAGATGAATTATACAATATTGCAAACCAGAAATAATTAGAAACTACATAAACTCTAATATATGAGTACCGTGAATTAAGTGTTGTGTTTAGTTGACAGCATCATATGAGATGTGGAGAACTCGTATACAAATTATACAAGATCCTCACACCTCATTACTGCTGAAATAATATAAAGTAGAGTAGGAAACGAATATAGAATAAGTGATGATTCTTATACGAGATTAGCTACCTCGTATAAGGTTGAACAGGTTGTCATTTAGGATATATAGTTTACTTATTTTGCTATAATACGTTACTATATGACATAGGATATATAGTAGAATTAATATATGGACATGCAGAATATATTGATTCAACACCAAGGTATAATAGGTTATAAGTACTATTCTCTGCCTTCGGCATAAAGAATGATTACAAGATAATAGGTTGTGATCATCCTTTACAATAACTGTTCACTCAACTCAAACACCACGCACGAATACTATTTTCCTAATTAATTCTATTTTCCTGCAAGCAGTGCTACATAATGGTTAGCACGGGAAAACAGGTTAGTTGCATGATCACTAGATCAAGCCATGGATACGTTTACAAGTCCACCCGCTCCGGGTAGATGCGTAATCTCCTCAAGGGAGAATTCTATTCTTTTACGGTTCAGAAGACGTACGTCTTCTTTGAGTAGAATAACTCAGCTGCCAGTTTCTAGGCTCCGCAATATGAAAAGATATTTAAATTTTTGCAGTAGATATTTTTCTTCTCTTTGAACTTAAATTGATTCAAAATAAAAAAACCTACTAGTTTGATCTCGTTAACTTTTTACTGTTTTAATTAAGTGATATTTAACTCTACAAGTCGTCAAATACCACAGTTACAATGAAGGATATTTTCTCTCTATTGTTGAAATATACCGCGATAAATTTGCGATAAAACAATTAGCTCATTCACGTCATGGTGTTCAAAGAATAAATTTCCATTTATGCAAGTAGAGGCCTCCAGAAAGTCGTTAAAAAACAATGATAAGGAGAGAATCCGATATCGCGGGCTATTTGTGGCTAAAGATATATTCATAAGTAAGTCAGAACTTCTAGGATTATTCTAAGATTCCAATCACTCAAAGTTATTTTTAGATGATATTGCAAAAGGAATCAAGGAAGACATACCTAAAATCCAACAATACATTGGTAACCTCAAATCAGATGGATTCGAAGTCATTGGCTATGTAAGAAAGTCGTATGGAAATGAAGACAGAAACACGAGAATTAGATTGCTTCAATCTATGATAGACAAAATGCTTGAAAGATTGTCAGTTGATAAAATCTATGTTTCACCAATGTCACAGGCAGGCGAGCCATTTTCATCAAGAGACGTGAACCATGATAGCCCTATATTAAGGGAGCTAAATAAGGTTGAAGGTACTACCCAAGGTAATGCGTTAATAGCCAAAGAAAAAAATCTTATATCTACAATTAAACTGAAATAACCATTCTTTAGATCTTATCTCATATTTCAGTACTGCAAAAAAAATTTGCTTAATCAGAGTAGACTTTGCAGGTATCACGACCAATTGCGCTAATCTGAGAAATCTTTTGAGGTATAGTGGTATACGTGAAAGATAAATATTGCTTTATGTTGAAATTTTTTTTTATTTTTTTTTGTAGTCAACATGAAAGTTTGAAAAAAATTATAATTGATCGTAGTCCTTTTGGGAAACCAATCAATATTTATGATCGAGATAAGTTGCTGGATGGCACCCAAGATATAAGCGAATTTGATTGTCGAAAAGGACTTTTTCAACGATCCAAATAACTACATTTTAAGTCAACTAGCGAAGCTTTATTTGTCTTTGATTGTATAATAAAAGTAAAAAACATATGCCAAGAACATAATTTATGATTAAATTGAATCATTATCAATGATCACCGCTAATAGTTTTAGCGATGTAGTCTTTCGAACTGATTGTATATTTCCGATGAGCGTGTAAAAGTATCAGGGGATTAATCTAGGTTGTTGTAGATCCTTTTCGTAGCAGATCTCACTGTCTTTCAATGAGTTGATTCGTTCTGTAAGTCTGGATATGTTCTCTTTATTTATTTCTTCACAAAATAACAAACATATTGCTTGTTCTCTAGTTATTGCCATTTTTTTAAAAAAGTTTCAGGTACAAAGATAAAGCCAAATAAATGAACTCTTTTCGTTGACCAACAAATAGAACTCACGGCCACACTTTCACAGTTGCACAGCAACAGCTTCAACAATCGGAAAAACAAATAGGGGAGAATGCCCCTGAACGCATGCAGTCTGATGGTAATAACACTGCTCAACTACATTCCTTTGGCACGCGTCCTCGATACGACTGGGAACCTTTTAAGTTCCTGACAGATTACCTTAACCTGGATTAACCTATCCACACATCTCCTCCTTTATCTGATAATGAACGCAAGGCTATTATTGAGGCGTATCCGCCCATTAGCTATATAAATTATCACGCGCCTGCCACCTTGACCACCTTGACCACCTTGACCACCTTGACCACCTTGACCACCTTGACCACCTTGACCACCTTGACCACCTTGACCACCTTGACCACCTTCTTGTTTTGGCTCTTGTTCATACATATCTGGGCCGAGGGTACCGTGGACAAGGTCCAACAAATAGAGTCATTTTATTGGCTAATAAAAAGGTAGTGGGCATGGTGGACAAGGACAAGGTGGACAAGGAAACAGGTTGTCATCTGATTGGTAAACAATATGATCCTCCAGAACAATGCCAAGTCAGAACCTTTCAGCCCTACTATTGGTGTCCTTAAAGGATCCATACTATCTCCTATACTCCATTCATAGTATATTAACGAACTACCCATACTGCTCCGTCCAAGCCCTCTGGATTTTTCCTTACCTGTTCCGGAATTGATTGTAAATGTTAACTGTTTACTATATGCCGACAATGTCGTCTTGATTACTGATAAAGATCATCTTCAGACCCTATTGCAACAATGTGAAGCTCATAGTCTTCGTCTAGGTTATCGCTGGCATCCGGATAAATGTGTTATCCTAGACAGATCAATGCACCCTATATATTACCGGCTTTATGGAGTTCCTCTACAACGTCAGCTCACTTTTCCGTATCTGGGGATACCTTTTCAACCAGGTGGTAGTATAAATATAAATGAACTAACACGTACTAATACGTACTAACACATTTAAGGCCCTTACTACGATGAATCAATTAGCAGCAATCGGTGTCAATCCTGGTGGATTCGAAAAACGGCTCTTACTACGGTTATATGTCCAATTGGTCCGAGTAAAGATGGAATACGGACTGGCCATTAGCCTCCTAACTGCGAAGCAATATAAACAGAACAAGTGTATTCGAAGAATCTTTGGCTGATCCAGTAGATCGTCTGCCCGCCTTACGCTCCACCTTGCCAATCTGCCCACAATGAAAGAACGCTCCTTCGTCTTACAAGCTGTGTTCCTATTACGTTCTACGTCACTGCCTACTGATACTTTAAGCTCTATACTACTCGCATATATAGGCCGGCAACAGAGTAAATCGTTACATTGCAAGCTTGCTCGTTCTCTGATCGGGCAAGATTACACTTTTTCTCCGCTCAATCAACGATCCGAATCAGCTGCTTTGCGTCGCTGTATTGCTAACTTCCGTACTAGCCTCCTTCACATCCAACAATCGAACAGCCCCAACTCCAAACTGATCTCTCAATGCTGTTCTCGATTAATGATCGACCCGATCCTTTATGTTCCAATGTCAACTAATGAACGCAGCCGATGTATCCGATGGCGTTTGGGTTGGCTTCGTGGAGGCACCGAACCTATTGCCTTAAACATCCCTCGTCATTACTTACAAAGTCCCACGCTATCTCCTGTTTAAACATGCACCACCGCCTACGACTCCCCGTCATCAGTCTGTAACCCCATATCTTATGTCCTCAGTCGTCTTCCTACACATCCGATCAAAAATCCATCCCAAATACAAAACTGGCATTTTCTATGGCCAGTACTTTGTCACATTTTGTTTGAACTCGACTACTTACACCACTCTCGAGAGCCGCCTACAAGTCCTCGGTTAGGGCACCTATTGCTCGACTGGCCCTCCTCCAACCCTTTAGAACATAATCCTTTTTTACCCTTGTTCCCAAAGGGATTTCAACAATATATAGTCTATACTATAGAAACTTAAGTATCTGTCCCGGGCAATTTTTGGTGCTCATTGGGTTTTTAAACGTAACGATTGCTTCATAGTCAAATAGAGTGGTATTCCGTGTTTCTATCCCGCGGCTTTCCTGCCGTATTCTTTCCAAACGTAGAAGTCATTTGTTACCGAACTATCAAGGGGAAAAAAAACTCTCAGATGAAAAACATGAAAAGTATACCTACTAGAATAGAGAAACATGCGTATATATACGTCGTAGGAGATGATGAATTCCAAGTGGTATAATTCTATTGGTGACTCTCGAAGGAGTCTTATACTATTCGCAACGGTTGAAGCAGCATTAGAAAGCATGACAAAAGCTCAGAGAAATCAGGCCCATTGAAAAACTGTTACAACATGTAGTACATTGCTATACTCCTCTTATCATTTGATGTCATCTGAGCTGAATATCTGTGGGTATTATGGAGAAGAATTTGCCACACGTTGTCAAAAAAAACCTGAACTAGGGCGGCGAGTAAGGAAGATACTGGAATGAACAATTACAACAAATGGATGAATGAAACACCAAAATGCTTTTTAAACTGAAACAGAGGATGCAGATCTCTTTCTTTTGTAATATTCCAAACTGAATACTGCGACGAAACCTTATTTAAATTATCTACTTTAATTCTACTCGTCAAACGGTAGCTTCCATGGTTTCAGGCGTCCTCGTTTAGGAAGAAAATGATCAGTGGCATATCGATGACTCTTCTTTTAGCTCTCTCACGCTTGAATGAAATGTTGGCTTTTTTGCATCGTAAGACACGGTGCTAAGAAGCATTTTTTAGTAGAAAATGGAATGGGACGGGGAGTGCGGGAAGGCAAATGTTCTCAAGGTACTGCATCATTGTAATTGTTACATGTCCAAGGATAATCATAGACTTCAATGACATTGAAAAAAAACAAAACAAAGAGGTTGATAGTTGTACTGTCATGTTAACCATGTCATTTGATTTCTAATCTCTTTTATTTTCATGAATGGCATCAAAAATCTGGAAACTGATCATGATAAGGATCCTCCTGCTGAATGCCATACATGTAGACTTCTTCTGGATATTTATCAAAGTTACTGGGATCACCTTCGCTTTTCAAATGGGGAATATGAGGAGGTTTGATTTTACGTTGGATCAAAGCTTCGAAATCCAGAGAGGCAAACCACTTATGTTCACAAATATCGAGATAGCCTCGTTTCAAATTGCCATAACGCTGTGTCAAGTCTTGAGTGAGAAGGTGTTTCAAGAGGTCTTGTGCCGTCGCGTCAATGGAGGCTGGATATTTCGGCTGTGTTGTTAGGATCTTTTCATATAATTTGAATTGGTTGTCATCGTAGTAGGGAGGGTGTCCCGCCAGCATTTCAAATAAGAGAACACCAAAGGCCCAGTAATCGGCTGCTTTACCGTAGCCTTTGGTCTGGATGATTTCCGGTGCCAAATAGTCGGGTGTGCCACACAATGTCCATGTGATGTCCGGCACCAGTTTGGCAAACCCAAAATCGGTGATACGAACATGTCCGTGGGCATCTAGCAGTATGTTTTCAGGTTTCAAATCACGATAAATGATATTTTTGCTGTGGAGATAAGCGAGTGCTAGTAATACTTCGCCTGCATAAAATCGAGCGACGTCGTTGGAGAATTTTTTGGACTTTCGGAGGATGGAAAATAGCTCGCCGCCGGGCACAAAGTCCATGACCATGTAGAGATTGGCACAGTCTTGAAAACTGCCCCAAAGGTTGACAATGAAAGGATGCTGAACACGAATGAGAATAGCTCTTTCGTTGTTTGTATGCTCTACTTGCTTCAATTTGACAATTTCTGACTTTTTGAGTACTTTAAGTGCGTAGTATCGCTTGTTGAGTTTGGATTGCACTAGATGAACGCGGCCAAACGAACCCGTGCCAAGTGTACGTTGTAAGTTGAAGTTGGCGAGCTTAAGCTGACAATGAGGACGTGTGACATCGGAATCATCCACTTGCAAACGGGTATTATGAGTTGAATTCGTAGCAACGCTGTTCTCCGTCGTCGTGTGGATGCTTTGTCTGTCATCTGTTGTGTTATCCGTGGATGTCGTCGTTGTAGATTTGCTTTCGTTGACTTGTTCATCTATTTCCTCTTCTTCCTCTTCTTCTCGCGGCGGTGATGCCGGCACAGTTGCTACCATTTTCGCAGAGTCCTCTTTCTCGTCGTTTTGATCCGCCATTGTTGCTTTCTGTTGCTGCTGTGGTGTTGTGGTCATGGTATTATTACTTACAAAAACGGAGCCGCCTGGTGTTGTCGGCGGTGTATGAGGATACTCATCCGGGTAGAGAGGTACTAATGTTGATGTGCAAAGTCAATGAACAACTCTAATCTCTACGACATTGTGTTGGGAGTATTATTTTTACCTTTGCTCACTGAACTTGGTGAGGATGGTGTTGAGTGTGTAGGGGTATGGACAAATGCAGGATGATTTTCTTTGATAGGTTCGGTTTGAGTAGGTGGAACTATATATGAAGAATAATGAAATACAATGGGTGGTGAGCTTCAAATTCTTGTTATTTTTTTTATTTTATTTTTTTGTTTGTTTGCATAGTGAACAATGGTTTTTTTTTTTTATATTTTACTTGGTGGTGGCTCAACGTAGCTGTCTTTGGTATTGTCTTTATAGCCAAATGTATGAGATGATAATGATGCTGTCGGTAGACTGGTACTTAATCTAAACTTATGATGCTGTTTCTCTTCATGTGCACTATTCTTGCTGTTAGTACTATCTGTACTACCGCTTTTAGGATGCTGATGATGGTTGAATGAAAATCGAGGTTTTGCCTTATCAATAAATTTGCTTAAAATCGTTGGCATTATGGTTAATTATATAATCAATAGAAAAAATTTTGATAAAAGGTTATTAAAATACAAAAATAAAATGGAATAAAGTGTAAAAAAAAAAGGAAAAACAGAAAACAAAACTTTACATGAACGGTGAAAAGATGCCTGAATATTGAAGCTTGAGAAACTGTTGAAAAAAAAAGGATATCTGACTGGCTTTTCGTCACTTTTTTTTTTTTTTTTTTTTTTTTTTTTGTTTCATGATCCTGCTATCATTCAAAACTATTTTGTTGGTCCAAATACATTAATTCAGATATTGAAAATGGCATGATCCTTCCTATCTTATGGCTTGTTGCTATTAAAAAGTCACAATCAATGTAACCTGAATTCAATGGGTAAAGCATCGAATTACAGCTGAGCGCATTCTTTTGTTATTTTTTCAACTTAAAAAGCTAGTAAAACATTCAATGAGAAAAAAAAAAGGAACCGAGATTATGAAATAATGACAATGAAAGATAGATAGAGGGATTAAGCCGATATCGGAAAAGAAGTCATTTTAACCTTTTACAGTAGGGTCTAATAAGGTTTTTATTCTTATGGTATATGTACTACTTTAGGGACCCTTTACACAAATATCCCAATCAGCCAAGGAAGGTGTGACGGGAGCAGGCGGGAAAGTGAGAGAGCAGGGTTAATCAAAAATCCGAATATTAGGAATCCAACAAAAGGGCGCATTTTTTTTTGTCTTTTTATTAAGAAAAAAAAAACCAAACAACAAATGCTAACCTCATTACACACGTATCATACTGACTTGTATTGCCAAGTAACCCTTAGAGTGAAGACTACAATCATGAAGCGTTATTTTTAGCAGTTCATAGCGTGTGCGGTTTATTTTTGAGGCCTTATTGTTTAAAATTAGAAGTTACCACTGGTTTTTTTTTTTTTGTGTTTGTCTAAATGCGGAGCATGGAGAGGCTGATTTACGGACCCTACTGATACTTAAAAAAGAGCATGGACAAAGGATCAGTATTGGCATGGATGCCCACAACACGATCCTAACATTGAAGCATGCTTTATGGCATGTCCTAAACATAGGTCATGAGAACAACAGGCGTAATAAACATAAACAAATATCCATCCACTCCAGTCGATCTTTTTTTTTCTGCTGGGTAGCCAGTTGGATAGGACCGCCACGTATCTACTCGTTGCTTTTTGCACCCTTTTTCTCGTGTCAGCAGCTACTGTTTGGCTATACGAGTGCCGTGCGTCCCTGTGAGCATTTATATAGTCTACAGCTTTTTTATTCTGTCTGGTATAATACAAATACGGTGTATGTAGAACGTGCTCTATATATTCTGTACCCATATTAAGGTGCTGCTGCGAGATTATTTGTACCACCTTCAATCACCATCGTCCTCGCTTAAAAATGACAACTTTGACAAGATATAATGTGCATTGAGCATGTATAAAGAAATAGGTTGAAATGCCCAATTTCTCTTCTTTCTCTCTTTGTGTGTTGCTGCAGCAACATAGATTACATGCTCATCTATGCACTATACATGCAGAAACCTGTTTGGACGAAAGAATGCCCCAGATGAGGTTACTCCTAAACACTTTTTTTGCACTTCTCCTGGTCCTTCTCGGTGTTAATTCTTTTCTTTCTTGAATCTTCTCCATTCTTTGTTTTCTTGTTTGCACTTCCATGCTTTCTACTATTGACTTTGTTTCTATAGATCAACATTAGCTCCACTTTTTTTACTCGATAATAATACCACAACCATGGAAACACTGAAATCCTCGTTTTCGAATTCTAAATTTAACACGAAAAGATTCTCGCTATCTTATTTTCAAACAAGCACAAAGGCAGCAACAACATCCTCACCCACACAGGAGAAGGGGCGTCAAGAGCATATCACTACTCAGAGACTGAGTACAGCGAGCAGCCTTGATGAGACAATCACAAATGGAAATGACCACAACAATCCTAAGCATTCTTCGGATAAGAATCGAAGAGCACACAAGTCGAAAAGTTTATACGTAACATCCTTACAGAAATTAACTGCTGCCGCCAGTCAACAACGATCTGCTCAAAATAAGGAGAAAAAACGACAAGACAAACCCAAGGAACAGAAACAGCAACAACAACATCATCATCAACAACAACAACAACAGGATGATGACGTAGAAGAATCATTTCATCCTAAACACATACGCAATTCCATCAAAAGATCACTTTCAGCTATTTTATACACTACACCACATCATGCTTATTCCACAAGTAAATCCGACCCTCACAAACGAGATGATGAAAAAGCAACCATTCCTGATAGCGGACATCATCGTCTTGTACCTATCTTGGTTACGCCAGAATTATCAGAGACTCTGGGAGATGGTATTTTGATTGACCACCATTATCAACAAATGCAAAGAAAAGCTAACTATGATGATGGGGTCCGCCATCATCGTACTAGTACTAGTTGTAGCAGTAGGAGAAACAGCAGTAGCAGCAGTAGCAGCAGCAGCAGTAGCAGCGGTGGCAGTAGTCATACGACGAGTGAGGGTAGGAATGATCCCACCTCGTTAAAAAAGAAGAAACCCGTAGCAGAATACGACAATACCCTAGTCATTGATCATGACAGAAACGAGAATGAATGGATGATTGTTTGGCAAGGCTATGCTTTTCAGTGGAAGGAACAACAGCATGATAATACGATAACCCCAGCTTATATGAAATTGCATTATGAAAAAGACGTTTGGGAGCTGTATAAAGGTCTCATCCATCCACTACACATTTTCCATGATGAATTGTGGACAAATCACCCTCACGGTAAACAGGATGAGCAAGTAGAAGTAGCATCGGATATCTGGAGCCAACTTACTGTAAAAGAACTAAGGCAATATTTTAATAATTATGGATCTCTCTTGCTCAAATTACATGAATCGAGGCTTCAGCAGCAACTGGAAAACGTATAATATCTTGAAGAAGAGAAGGGCGGAATGGTGTTTCGTGTCTTAAAAATGCAGAATCTTCAACATAGAATTTGTTATCCTATTCAAACTAATACTCAAAAACACATGCTAAACTAATACATGATACAAACATGATGTCAATGAATTCAGGGTTTCTATTTTGTATCTTTTTTTTTTTTTTTTCGCCACACATGACATATAACAAAAGCCAATCCATTTATCATTTGCTCTATCCTTTCCCCCCCCCTCGTTTCAACTCCTGAACACTTGATTGAAAGTGAGATGTAGTTACACTAATAAATATGATACGATCTCGATGAGAACACCAACAAAAGACTTATGTTACAGTACAACCTTCTTTTTTATTTTTCTACCTTCTGAATGAATAAGAATGAAGGGAGACAGAGAGAGAGAAGGAGAATGCAAAATGGTGACTAAAATTGTAATTCATTATGATTGTTCTATTGAGAAAAAGATAATTGCAAAGTACGCTAGATTGGATATAATGGTATGATAAAAATGGTTCGAGTATAGAGTGGTTGTTTCGATGACGGTATGATGAGTTCTTTTTTTTTTTTTCTAAGCTAATTTTTCTGCATCTTGAAGACCTGTGATAACCTCATTTTCGTGCTCTGGATAAGAGCTGGTATAGTTACTACTGACCATGGTGGTGCCCATAAACTGATTTGTATTACTACCTCCGTTTCCAGTACTACTACCACTTCCTCCTCCGCCTCCTACTCCTGTGCTGCCCTTGTCTAGACCGAGTCTTTTATTGTTGATCAGCGTCAATGCTGTCAAAATCAACGGCGTTGCAATCAACGTGATAGCCGTCACTGCCAGCAAGATATAATAGACTTCACGTGAGATGATGGATAATTGCTTACCACGTGACGCCAAAACGAAGCCAAATTCTGAGATTTGTGCCAACGCGATGGCCATCGTGGAGGACTTTTGCAGATCAAATTTGAAGACGACGAGCGTGAGACAAGTAGAGATGTATTTGAAGAGGATAACGCCAACCGCCAAAGTAAATAGTAAAAAGGCTTCTTTGGCCAAGAAGGTTGGATAGACATGAAGACCCATGGACGCAAAGAACAAGCAAGCAAACGTATCACGGACAGGTTCTATCACCTTGAGGGAGGTTTCATAGAGACCTTTGCGAGAGCGAAGAATTACACCCGCTGCAAAACAACCAATTTCCATACCAAGCCCCAAGCGTTCTGAAACGATGAGCATCGTCATGCAAATAGCAATGGTACCAAGGAGCATCAGCTCGTGGTTTTTGGTGATGGCATGAATAGGTACCACGCGACGAAGGAGACGAGGGATGAGTGGCATAAAGCGCAAAATAGCGTAACAGACAAGCCCAAAGATGGTGAAAGAGAGCGAGATATTTAAGAAAGCGATCAGTACATCAATGCCTGATTTCGATAAGGCAGGAATAATGGCCTACGTAAAAAAAAAAAAAAAAAAAAAAAAAAAAAAAGAAAAGAAAAGAGGCTTTCTGTATTAACATCCATGGATATTCACTTTTCAGTGCCTTCCCCCCCCCGCCTCACAAAGAAGAACAGAATATTACCAGCATAAAACCCAAGATCACATCTTGCATCACTAATAAGCCATACAAGTGTTCTAAATGATCCAATTTGATGCATTTGACGACGACAGCCGTGGAACTCAAACTGATGCATGCTCCTACAAACACTGCTTCTTTGATGTCTGCGCCAATGATGGATGCCATGATGACAAAGCAAAACACAGTAACAAGCAGGATGGTGACAGCTCCTCCTAAAGCTAATCTCCACATTCGCTTTAATTTGTCCAATGAAAATTCCAGACCAAGGACAAAGATGATGAGTACGACACCTAATTGCGCTAACGTCTTTACTTGAATGACTTCATGAATTCTATTGTAGCCGGAAGGGCCAAGCATAATACCAGCGAGGATGTAACCAAAAAAGGCAGGTAAACCAATCCAAGTGAACATCCATCCCAGTACAAATGATACAATCAGGATCAGAATAATATCATGTATTAACTTTATATCTAGTGGAAAAGGAGATGGAGGCGCGGGGCAAAGGGGAAGGGGAAAAAAAAAAGTCATTAGAATGCATGATTATTTAGACTTGCGGGTGCCTTGAGTCCATATGGACTGTGGTATATAGACATGTCCTATTTACCTTCCGTAATAACAGTAGTATCCGAGGGTTTCATCATGACATACTCGTTATTATCTTGATCTATCAAGGTCACCATCGAATCGCCTTGACCATTGCCTTGATCATTGGTCAATTTTAATACTGTTTCTACTCTTCCATCCTCCGTTGATAACAACATTAAATTGTTTTGCATTTCATCTTCTAATTGATCCGCATGTTGGCTCACTTCATGTAACATGCCATTGACCACGTCTTCCATTCCCCAAGTGGTCGTATCGATCGATGCCATATCCTCTTCCATTTCCGCTGCTTTACCTACTGCTTCTGCCTCGTGATCTGGTAGCGATGCTTCTGCTGCTTCTGCTGCTCCTGCTGCTCTTGCTGCTGCTGCTGCTGCTGCTGCCGATAATGAACCGGTGGCTGTTTTTAACCTTTGATGGGACAACTTGACAGCTCGTTGAAACTCAAATGTTAGTTTAAGAGCAGGACTTCGGAAATCATTTGTAAATTTGAAAGGATCTTTTCGAACCGTGGTATCATAAACTTGTAAGATGCCCAACACAAAATCTTCAAAAGCTTTAAAGTCCTCTAATTGAACACCAGCTAATGTGTACAGTTCATCTTGTTGATGTTGATTATTGGAGGAGACTTTGTGTCGTCGAATGCTTTCGTAAAGTCGTTGTTTCTTATCCATCAATTTTTTTTCATATGCTTCTCCCCGCTGTAATAGATCAAGTATATTTTCCGCATTCTTTGGTGATAAAGACTATTTTTAGCATATCATAGAGGAGAATGTAAAGCAGAAGCACAGAAAAAAATTAAAATAAAAAGGTGAGTGGATGATGATCTGCCATTCAGTTGTATGTAAGCTTAAAAATCTGTGCGTTCTATGGTTATGATATGATTTTACCGGTATATTAGACGGTTCTGCATCTATAAATGGACTAAGAATGAGGAGTGATAACAGTATCCATAGTACTATAAATGTTCGAATATGTAGGTTTCGAGAGAGTGAGCAAAATAGGCGCATAATGTGGTAATTATGTAATTAAATGGGTGTGGCGAAACTGGACAGATTAGAGTTACAAAACAGGATATGCAGGCAAAAAAAAAAAACAAAAAAAAAAAAACGTCTCGCAGAAAACTAAAGGAAAGGAGAGGCGAGGAGAGGTATATTGGATGTATATTTAGCAATGAAAAGAAAGAAGGAAGAGGAAAGGGAGTGTGTCATATTTTAGCTTAGTGAGACGAAAAAGGTCCATTTTTTTTTGCCAACAAAAAATAGAATGGGGCTAAACCGTTTGCTTAAGGGGCGGCCGAAGAAAATGAAGAGCACCCAAAAAAAAATGGTACCTTGAACGGTTCTCAATTTTGATTGGTCAATAGAATGAAGCAGCTCAAAAACCAAAATTCTTATGAAAAAAGGTTCTTTGCAAAAAGTCAACAAATGACGAAAAAAAATGCGTTGTAGGACAAGAACGAAAGAACTGCTATTTTTGGAAATTTCCTTTTTTTCTAAAATCATACACACCAGCTTTCTCCAGATTTCTTTTTGCCTACCCTTTATTACTGCTTTGATTACTCCTTTTCTGAAAAGCACGTTTTTTTACGCCCACAGATTTCAATAAAATTAGCTTTTTTTTTTTTTTCTATATAAAGAGGCCACATAAGATGTGCTTCTTTCTTGTTTTTTTCTATTTTTTGTAACTCATTTCATTCAAAAACTATAAACATAACGAGAAACCATTTGTCGCATTTTTCCATCTTACTAAACTCAATTGACATATATATATGACGGCTTCAAATACCAGAAATGAACAATCTCAACAGGCTATCTTTACTGTTGGATCCATGGTGGAAGATTTAGAGATTGTGAAAGCACTCAATATTGGAACTTATGGACAAGTGTATATGGCGAGACATAGACATACCTTTGAACGTTATGCAGTAAAGTCACTACCTCACACTCAACTCATCAAGAACGGTCTCGAAACTCCACAGCGTCAATTATCTGCCTTCCAACGAAATGAAATCACGCTGCATTCTCGTCTTTCCGGCCATCCGCATATCATCCGACTTGAAAAAGTATTACAGACAGCCGAATGGACGCATGTCATTATGGAATATGGATCTGAAGGAGATTTGTTCTCAGCGATCACAGAAAAAAATCTGTATTACGGTAACCATGATTTGATCCGCCATGTCTTTCTCCAAATTCTCGAAGCCGTTCGGCATTGTCACAGCAACCATATCTATCACCGTGATCTAAAGCCCGAAAACATTCTGGTCTTTGACGGTGGACGCACCGTCAAGTTGGCTGATTTTGGCTTGGCGACGACCGATGCCATCAGTCATGATTTTGGTTGCGGATCTACCTTTTATTACTCACCAGAGTGTCAAGGTACCAAGAGCGGGATTCGATTAGCAGGCATCAAGAACCGTCATTATCGACATGCATCCTCCACAGGTGGGTACGCAACGGCACCTAACGATGTCTGGGCCTTGGGCATGTGCTTGATTAATTTGGCCACCTCTCGAAACAGTTGGAAAGTGGCCTCTTTAGATGACGATACTTTCCGCGCTTATTTGTACAATGACTCAAATTTACTTTTAAAGATTTTACCGATATCGATGGAACTCAATAAGATTCTAAAACGAATTTTTGTTCTGGATCCGAACAAGAGAATGACTCTGGATGAATTGTCCATGCGCATTCAACACTGTCGCTATTTCACTCGTACGCAAGAAGTCATTCACTATGAAGCAGCCATGATGGCTTCCCACCGTTCAGCAGCAGCTCTTCTTTCTCCTTCTATTACTCCACCCACGACAGCGCTGACGGTCACTCAAGCGACCGGCAGCACCATTGCCTCACCCACCAGCACCTTGGACACCACTGCCCACCCTCACCATTATGCTGATGCTCAACAAAAGAAAAAGAAGAAACATCCTAACCTTAAACGACTCCAAGTTCCACTCCAGTTCCATACCCACCCTAACTATGCTCATTACGATGTATTGCCACCCACACCCCCGTTCACGCCTACCTCGTTTGTCAAACAGCCAATGTTATCTCCAGCAGATAGTGTCAGCAGTAGCGGGAGTATCAGCAGCAGTAACAGTAGTACCTCTACCACAATGAATCACCATTCCCCTTTATCAGCATCTTTTATTCTCACTTCTTTTCATCATTACAACCATCATCATCATCATCATCACCATCACCATCAGCCATATGGAGATATGCCAAAAAAAGAAAGGAGCCAACAACATCTGCAGCAACATATCAGCATCATCACCAACAACCCAATTGAAAGCAGTTTTTAAATTTGGGGGTCTAGAACATCTGGCTTTTTTTTTTATCTGTAAAAATAGAGATGTCTTCTATGCAACATCTACACATACATACATATACACATTACACATCATACAGCATCAGTGAAATCAACTTCTTTTACGCCATCTGGGCTAGATGCTTCTTTTATACTCATGCTACGAAAAAACTCGTCGATAACAAACAACAATCCACCCTCTTTTATTTACACAAAAAAGAAGGTCTCTACATACACATATATACAAGACATTTTTACATATAACACATCTTTTTTTTTTTTTCTATGCTTATTTTCTCCTTCATTTTCTATTTTTCGCTGCTGACTTAAAACAAACTCCCTTTTTTCTTTTCCATTCGTTCATTCATTATACTATGTATTTTTTGGCTGCCTATTTTTATATCATACTATCTCCCTCTTTTTTGGCCTTCACTTTCTATCCTATGTAAATCTATTTTTTTTTGGCTTTCTATATACCAAGTTTACGCTTTCATTTTAGCATGCCCTTTTTGTAATATACATATACCTATCTTATTTGCTGTAGAAGAGAAATTATAATTATTTTTTTCCATTTGATACATATAAATAAAAGAATTTCTAAAAAAAAAAAAATGATTTATGCAAGCTTATCTTATGAGGTTTCTATAAAGAGTAATAATGTCAGGTAAAAATACAGACTTTCCATGAGTGTAGAGGGTTATGAAGCGAGTCATTTTTAAACAGCCCACATGTTTTTTGTCTTGCTGAAACGTTCGGTAAGTCTCCGTTAACTTGGCTTGAAAATACTCGTTTCCAATGCTTTCTTTCTTTATTCGTAAAGGAAGAACCACACTCATTGGCTCCTATGCTTCGACACATTGGATGAGAAATAAAGAAGAAGCGATTTCTATCATGCGCATTACTTATTTTGACGCAAGAACATTTGAGCGACGAAGCATGAAGAATCTCGTGTAATACAGGGGAACGATTTTCTGCTCGTCGTTGTCAATGCAAAGTGCGAGATGCCAAGGGCAGGACTTGATAATATTGCCGACGTTTTCCAGTAGGCAATACGAGTACCATCCATGTGGATTTTGGGTTCCTTGTGAGACATTGCCTTCCATTGCTCGGTCGAGGGCATGCTTAACATACTCCATGTCCATCTCCTCAAGAAGGGTAATCATGCTGTCTTACCACTCCTCCCCTTTCTCAGCCCTTCAATGTACTATCTCTGTACCACATGCAAAGTCCATTCATGAACTGGACAATACAAGTACATAAGGATGAGATAGAATCCAGTGTATGAATGAAGAGTCATTCTAGGAGTTCAAGTGATCATTTGTACTTTTATTACGAGCGTGCCTTTCCCTCTATTATATTCTCTTCATTTTCTTGTTTTAGGATGAACGCTTCTCAAAAGGATAGGATGGCAAGGGAAGTAAGTAGATTCTCCCGCGAATGGCATGTAAAATAAATAAAAAGATTATCTATGAGTACATGCACATGGTTTGTCAAGAAGGAGCAACTCCCCCCCCCTTTTCGGTCTACAACGTCCCACTGGCAAACTCTTTCCTATGATTTTCTCTGAGAGGCGGGTGATTATCATTTCTTTGCTCATTCATATACAACAACTTTCATCATGAAAAGAGTTTTCGTGCCGTAGTGAGCTGCTTTTTGTTTGTTTTTCTTTGGGAAAAAGGAAAGCAAAAAGTATGCTCGAGTCTAAAGTTTTTCCTTGTGCTTATTGAGGCTTTTTGGTAAAGTCTTTTTGCAATGCACCTAGTGATGGATACGTTCACTTTTTCGTTTCATCCAAAACGCACTAGGTTTATTTGCCTACGGAAAGATCATCATTCTTGATCCCATTGATACCTATGCCATTTTGCATAGCCACTGTAAGCAATTTTCTATAAGAGCAGCTATTTTGCGGTTTCTCTTTTTTAAAAAAAAAATCAAAAAAGCGGTGATGTCCAGTTCATAAGGTAGTTATTACACAGCTAAGCATTCGGTACAAAATAAACGAAACAGAGTAATGTGGTGTTTTCGTCTCCCGTTGCTTATAGATCAAGTTGGGTAACTATAGTACTTTTGCAAACGAGTAAGAATCGGGATCACATGAAAATGTTTCTCACTATGAAACCCGTCATTTGCAAGTATTATTTCATGTAGTTTGAATAAGCTATATATAATTTGAAGTCGCTCATCTTGGGTGTCATTTTCAACTAGAGGACGGTTAAGGCGTCGCCCAGAAAACACACACTTAAAAGTCCGAAAGCAGCCATTTGCTTATGTCAGGTAACTTTTTTACTCCGGGCGCTGTTTTGAACTTGGCACTCTACTTGCAAAAGGGGGCAATAGAAGGTAACCTTACGTTTCAGCTAGTTGTTCTATCGCGTTCTCAGGGCCAAGTCACCTCCGCCAGCTAGTATCACATTTAAATTTCTTCTTTATTGGCAGAGTCAGAGATGGGAAATGACAACATGCGGAATCTGTTTTTGGCCAGCACGTTCATAAAATTACTGCTGATTCCATCATAGTACGTTTTTGCATTGCCTATGCTTCAGTACCAAACAAAAGTCTAATAAAGGCTTCTCTTCTACCATTCACCTCAATGTGAACAACAGTCGATCGACAGATTTTGAAGTGCATAGAAATTGGCTGGCCATTACATACAGCTTACCCATTAATAAGTGGTATATTGAAGTAAAGCCTGTTCCTCTAAAGAATGATTCTTCAAGCGTGCTACAGCAATCGCTAAGCAAATTATTATCTATTCTACTAGAATACGTCAGAATGGACGTTGGACTATCCACCGTTCTTTGCATGGTTTGAAAAGTTTCTCAGTCTTTTTGCCAACATGGTGGATCCAGAAATGGTCAAAATAGACAACTTGAATTATGCCAGCACAGAGACGATTCTATTTCAGCGATTGACAGTGATTGTGAGTGAGTTGATATTCTATTGGGCTTTACTCAGGTACAACACGAAACATCAACACGAAACGTCGCAAAACATCAAAAAATAAAGCGTTGCTTCTAACAAAAAGACGGAAACCTATAGATACGTCAAGTATTTTGGGAACCAATATGTCCATTGGATCATAGCGGGTGCACTGTTCCTTCACCCAGGACTTATTATAGTGGATCATATCCATTTTCAATACAATGGATTGCTTTATGGCCTATTGACTTTATCCATTGTCGAAGCCAAGAGAGTAAGTAGAACAGCCAATTTTTTGTTCGAAATATAAGCGAGCCAAATGAGAGTATCGCTCATTGAAAGCTTACATAACAACCGGACTTTTCTTTTTTTTTTTTTTTTTTTTTTTTTTTTTTTGCAAAAACGCCAAAACTAGAACCATTTACTGTGTTCTGGAATCCTATTCGCCATTTTACTTAATTTCAAACACATTTACTTATACGTGGCTCCAGCTTATTTCGTCTACTTACTCAAGGCTTATTGCTTTGTTAAAGATGCAAAAGATCCAAGTACAAGAAAAGCCTAAAGAAAATGAAAAAAAACCAAGAGGATGATGCCTTTACTAACTTGCTCCATTTTTTATTTCCTTTTTTGTTTACTGTATTTCCCGTTTAGATGGTAAACAAAGAAAATTTTCTGTCAAAAGATTCTTCATGCTGGGAGGATCGGTTATCGCCGTGTTTGTTCTATCCTTCGGACCGTTCCTGTACTATAGACAGTTGCCCGCCGTTTTTCAGCGCCTCTTTCCATTTACCCGTGGACTTTGTCACGCATTTTGGGCGCCCAATTTCTGGTCAGTTTATGCCGGAATAGACAGGATGTTAATTATAGGTAAAAATACAGAGGGGGGAGGGATGTTTAAGGGGGGGGGGGCTGGGTGGAACGAAGGTACGAATGGAAAGGTTACAGAAAGAAAAAAGGATGGAGGTGTGGCGGAAACAGATGGGAGATTTTTGTACCTGAATTTTTTCATGTTCCATGATAACAGAGTCTATGTTGTGATTCTATACATACAAATAGATAGACATACGCTCAACTCATCTACTTTACCTCACCCACTCTCATTTACTTTATATAGTTGCTAAACGGTTCGGATGGAGTTTGAATGAGGATGCTGTTACTTCCATGACCAGAGGCTACGTCGGTGATACTCAATTCGCGGTTCTGCCCGCAATTGAAGCGATTCACACTATGATCCTCACGCTCATTGTACAAATGGTGAGTCGATAATGTATCAGATAAAGCCGAAAAAAAAAAGCCGGATTATCATGCGAAACGTCTTATTTTTGAAGCTGACATGTTTGCTTTTCTGGTTGATGATTAATAGATGGTCTTGCAAAAGTTATGGAGAAAGCCGACATTTGATAATTTTCTCTCTTCATTGACATTGTGTACTTTTGCATCCTATCTGCTGGGCTGGCATGTGCATGAAAAAGCCATTATGATTGTATTGATACCATATGGGTAATAGCAACTTATTCATATACATAACATTAACCTTTATCCGATGCGAACTCACTCGAACCGCGTTTCTCTAGTTTAATGGCTGCTAATTGTAAAACCAATTTACGTATCTTGATCATTTTGAGCGCCGCTGGAATTGTCTCGCTCTTTCCTTTATTGATTCATCCGGCCGGTAAATCAAAAAAAAAAAAAAAATTCAGGGTCAAAAAAAAGGGGCTTGATTATTTCCTATTCGAAGGCATAAAATTATAACCGATACTTTTTTTTTTTTTTTTTTGGCCTGATGATGTCTGATGGATGATGGTGCATTCATGGATTATAGAAACTCCTATCAAGGTCACAATAACGTTATTATGGTTTTGTGCTGTCATCCCAGGCTTGGCTCACAGTGTTCAAATGTAAGTGATGCGTGCAAAAGATCAGAAAATTTGAAAAAGTCAATGAAGCCCATGTTGACGTTTTGTCTCAATTTTTTTTTTTTTTTTTTTTTTTTTTTTTTTGATGCTCGCTCTCCTCACATCATGATAACGGTAAATTAGACCTTTGAAAAATCTTTTATCCACAATGGAACAACAGTATTTGATAGGCTTGGTGCTTCTACAATTCTATACAGGGTTCATCCATGACATTGTCTTTGGGGAAAGGCTTCCCTTCTTGCCTTTAATGTTGACTAGTTTGTACTGTGCCATAGGTATTCTCTATGGATGGGCCCTATTTATGTATGACTATCTTTTTACATAGATATCCGGAAAAAATAAAGAAATAAATAAATGATTTCTGCCCATGGCTAACGAAAAATATCTGATCTGAGCGTTTTTTTGATGTGACAAAAACTGGATCCTGAATTAGAGTTATCCTCTCCTTCAGGGTTCTCTTGGTTTCATCTTCCGGACAAATTACCTCACCCACATCGGTTTCCCAAAAGAGAAAGTCAGCCAAAGAGGGTGAGACCTGGGAAATTCTGGGAAAGATAAAAAAGAGCCTTTTCTGATCCAGTATATAAATGTAGCGAGCAAGAGACTATAAGAGAGATAAAGGAGAGCGACATTATTGATTTACTTCATAGCCCTACAGATACAGCCATCTTTTGGTTTTTTTTTTCCCACATAGATCAATAGTTTGGAACTCTTTTCTCTGTTGTTATAGTCTCCATATTCACATACACAATTACACACACACACAAAAAAAAAAAAAAATAGAATATGGATTCGTTAGATCTTAAATTCAACAAGTACATGGTGTACTGTGTACTTATCGCTTGTTTAGAACCCTTTGCAAACGGTTGGGTCTCAGGTTCATCCAACGTACCTGGTACAGTCACTCACGTTTGTGAGCACGGTATGGCTCATGTTGCTTCAAAAGGTCTTCCTGATTGTTTGCCCATGACCACCGCCCTTTGGTAAGTCAATGACTTGGCAAGTACTTAGTAAACGAGACATGCGCTTCCTAACCGTTGAAAAAAAATTTTTTTCTTTTCTTTCTCTAGGGGTTTTGCTGTCTCCTCTTTCTGTGTAGGTGGTCTGATTTCTGCTCTTTTCGGTGGTAATCTCCAAGAGAAACTGGGTCGTCGTTTAACCATTATCGTCAATAACTTTGGCTTCATCATTGGTTCCTTGCTTTGCTGTGTGGCTGTCCATCAAGCCATGTTTATCATCGGTCGTATCCTCTGTGGTATCTCCTGTGGTCTCGGTTCTCTTGTGGTGCCTACTTACATTGGTGAAGTGTCTACTATCAAGGGCCGTGGTACGATGGGTACATGCAATCAATTCTTGATTGTCATTGGTCTTCTTTTGGCGTCTGCTATCGGTCTCCCTCTTGCCAAGGTCCCTCTCTGGCGTATCAATTATGCTATCACTGCTTTCCCTGCTATCGCTCAAGTCTTCTTGATGGCTACGTGTGCTGAGTCTCCTCGTTGGTTAGTCAGCAAGAGCCGTTTTGAAGAAGCTCGTGCTACTCTTCAAAAGCTCCGTGGCAACTGTAACATTGAACAAGAATTCTACGATATGGTCGAAGGTATCCATGGCGCTGAAGTCGCTGGCACTGTCTCCAATGGCCACTCTCGTCGCGAAGGCATGGACATGATCGACTCCAAGGAGGGCGCTGAAATCAACGACACCACCGATGTGGAACTCAAGGCTGCCGGTGAGGACGTTGCTGACAAAGAAAACATGAGCATGTTGCAAGTGATGAAGGACCCTGTCATGCGTCGTATTGGTTTCACTGTCTTTGTCCATCACATTATCCAACAATTGTCGGGTATGAACGCTGTCATGTACTACTCTACCAATATTTTCTTGCTCGCTTTCAATAACTCTCAATCCATGGCTCAGCTGATGGCTATCATCACCACCATTGTTAACTTTGTCGCTACAATCGTCACTGTCATCGTCATTGATCGTTTCGGTCGTCGTCCTTTGTTGCTCATTGCCGAAGCCGGTACTTGTATCTTCTCTGTCCTTTTGGTCATCGGTTACAAAGTCAACTCTCCGGGTCTTTTGATCGCCTCTGTCTTTTTGTACGTCGCTTCTTTCGCCCTTGGTATTGGTCCTATTCCTTGGATGATTACCTCTGAAATGACACCCACCCACGCTGCCTCCGCCGTCGGTGCTGCTTCTACCTGTATCAATTGGTGTATGAATTTCGTCATTGGTCAAATCTTCCCTGTCATCTTTGCTGCCATCGAAGGCTGGTCCTTTTTGATTTTCGCCGTCATTTGTCTTTTATCCTTCTTGTTTACCTTTTTCTTCCTCCCTGAAACCAAGGGTCGCTCCATTGAAAGCATTGCTAGAGGCTACGAAAAGTATAGAAAATAAAAGAGAGGATGCCACTCTCTTTTTTTTTTTTTTGCTTCTTTTTTGCTTTTTTTTAAGAAAAAACTACAAAACTTATCCTCCTCTATGTGTACATCATTTTCCCTCTTATTCATTACTTTATATACTCTATAATCACACCCCTCCTTTGTATATTTATTTCCTGATTTCTTGCTTTCTACCCAATGTATTATTACCCTTTTTATTCACTTTTATTGTTGTATTTGTTGTTTAAATAATAAAAAAAAAAAACAGACGATACGTTTTCATGTTCTTTTTCATGGTGACGTTCCAGGTGTATCTCTCTGTTTCGCGCTGTTGTGAAAAATTGCCATGCGCTATGCTTCTGAGGGTCTCATTGAAACGAATAGATCTTGGGATACCGCAGAAAGAGCGTAGAGCGAATCCGTCTTTTTTGATTGGTTGACCCACTCTTTTTTCTATTTTTTGGAGGATGCCACACCTTTCTCTGTTCCTTCTTTCCCTTTCCAAACACATAGTTGACCACACAACCCCCTCTTTCAACGATGGATCTCGATTCTTCACTTGACGATATTATAAAAAAGAAAAAACAAGGACAGAAAAAGCCTACAAACAATAAACTGAAAAAGTCGTCATCACCTGGTCATGTTGCAAAACTGCGTGCTCAGAGCCATCATCGACCTGCTGCTATTCAAGTGTCGAAAGCAAAGGTGACAAAGCCTTTACCACGAAAAAATATCAATGCACGATTGGTAATGTGTTCCATCATGATGTTTCAACATGGCATGGGAGTGATGAGGAAAAAAGAAAGAAGCGGGTATCCGCTCCACACACACCCACCCACCCACGGACAGAGAGAGAGAGCGAGAGAGAGAGAGAGAGTAGAGTCCCTCGGTTGTCATTGCCTAACCCATGGCTTTATTGCACCCTTTTTAGTCTACTGGCTCTGGCCCCCTTTTTACCGCGCATATCAAACAACAACAACAACAACAACAACCATCGGTAAGAGTCGATCCTTCTCAGATTATCATTACAAAAGCCATTTCCAAAACCGAGACTCCAGCGAGGACGAGAAACGAGAGTACACTTGAGCTCGCAAGACCTGCGCTTAGTAGTGGATTAGCCGGTCGCTTAGGTCTGCAGCAAAACAGAACGCGGGGGCAAGCTCAGCGAGGAGCCACCACGACCACAGCTCCCATCTCCTTTCTCCATCACCGCCCAACACCACCACAACGACCGCAAATACAATCCATGATCAGTCGACCTACGATTTCATCTTCTTCTTCTTCCTCCTATAGACGCTCCTCATCAGACATGTCCTCTGCACCGCCCGCCTTCACAGGATCGATCGTAGGAAGAGCAGCAAGGAGAGAATACAACACCCGTGGTCCTATAGAGGAGGATCGTCGTCATGCTCCTTCTACTCGAGCAGTGTCTAGTAGCGTAGGGACAGGGAGTGGATTGTCTATTCGTGGAAGATCCAGCGCAAATCAGTCCAGAGAGAGAGCAGATATCTCCATCAAGGGAGAATCAGGACCCACCACCGTTTTAGTCACTGGTTTAGACCCGGAAGCCAATTCAGAGGATGTTTATGTAAATGGGAGGGTTTTTATGTTTATACAGGAGAAGCAAAAAGAAAGCAAGTGTATTCACGTTATTTCGATGGCAATTTTTCTTTCCTACTAGATCACCATGGAGCCTTTTGGTCATATCCTACGTTGTGAAGTGATGAGAGATCGCTTCGGCCGTTCCTACGGTGAAGCAGAAGTGGAATTCAGTAAAAAGCATTTCGCTTTAGACGCGATTGCTATGCTCGACAACAAGATGTGTGACGGTAAATATTATTGTGTGTATGGCTCTGGTTTTCGTTTTGTGCTAATCAATGGCTTGTCTGATGGATTAGGTCAAATTCTACGTGTGATTCTGAGAGACAAACCAAAGTCCCAATCGGTCGAACATTTTGTACAAAAACAAATTCGATCCATCATTTCACCTTCTTCTTCTGGTAAAATGTATTCAGATCGTTTATAAATGAACAGCCACTCAAATACCTTCTCATTGGTAACCACTGGGGCTCCATACTACCCATTGTTTACTTTTTTTTTTTTTTTTTAAATAAAAAAGACGCACCCGGGATCTTCTCTTTTATTCATTTTTTTTTTTTTTTTTTGGCATGTTTCGGAGCGACCCTATAGGAATATAATCTGTTTGTAGGTGGGTGTCTCAAGTGCATAGGTTATATCGTAGGAAAAGCCATGCTATAGTACTATTATCCAACGCTATCCTGTGTCATTTTGTATCAAATAATCTAAGAACGTTCACCACGGAGACGACGGGCCAATTGAATATCCTTGGGTTGAATAGTGACACGCTTGGCGTGAATAGCGGCCAAATTAGTATCTATTTACAAAAAAAAAAAGAAATAAGAATGTTGTCTCTGAAAAATCATGTCACAAGAACAAAAACGTACCTTCAAAGAGAGAAACCAAATAAGCTTCAGAGGCTTCTTGAAGAGCACCAATGGCAGAAGATTGGAAACGCAAATCAGTCTTGAAATCTTGAGCGATTTCACGGACAAGACGTTGGAAGGGCAATTTACGGATCAACAATTCAGTGGACTTTTGGTAACGACGGATTTCACGAAGAGCGACAGTACCAGGTCTGTAACGATGAGGCTTCTTGACACCACCAGTAGAGGGAGCAGACTTACGAGCGGCCTTGGTAGCCAATTGCTTACGAGGGGCCTTACCACCAGTGGACTTACGAGCTGTTTGCTTGGTACGAGCCATTTTTTATTTTATTTTTTAAATAAATTGAGAGAAAAAGAAGAAATGTAAAAAGGGGGAAAAAAATAAAAAAAAATAAAAAAACTTTTTTTTTTTTTTTTTTTTAATACAAGAAAAGGGAGGAAAGGATGGGCGCACGTCATTCAAAATACCATGTTTGAGTGGGAGAGGGCGACGAGGCAAGCGATTTAAGGGGGGAAAAAATGTAGTCGGCTCATACCGTTTTTGGTATAGAAACGCGTTCAAGGAACCGGAGTGTTGCCTTACATGAACGTGTAAAACGCGGTAGAATAGACGCGTTTTTGGTCTTATTAAAGTATCGACAAAGTTGAGATGATGACGACGTACGAAAAAGATGAACAAGCAGTCGGTAGCTTGAAAAAAAAAAATTATTTATTAAATTGCAAGTTTTATTTCCCATTTTGCTTTCTCCTTTTTCTTTCTTTATTTTATTCAGATTATTTAGAAAGTAAGTTGAACCTTTCAACACGTCTTTTTTTTCAATCCAGCATTTCTTCTTTTTTTTTTTTTTTTGCAAATGACGAAATCAGCATCTGAAAAAGAAAGACTCACACTCCTCAACCCAACCTTTGAATAGTGACTGGTCGTGGTAAAGGTGGTAAAGGTCTCGGAAAGGGAGGTGCTAAGCGTCACAGAAAGATTCTTCGTGATAACATTCAAGGTATTACCAAGCCTGCTATTCGTCGTCTCGCTCGTCGTGGTGGTGTCAAGCGTATCTCTGGCTTGATCTACGAAGAAACCCGTGGTGTCCTCAAGGTCTTCCTTGAAAACGTTATCCGTGATGCCGTTACTTACACTGAACATGCCAAGAGAAAGACTGTTACTTCTTTGGATGTCGTCTATGCTTTGAAGAGACAAGGCCGTACCCTTTACGGTTTTGGCGGTTAAACACTATAAAATGTTGTTATCCGTTTGTTTTTTGTTTTTTTTTTGTTTCTCAAAAAAAAAAAAAACCAGAGATTATTTCGATACGCAGCAACTTCTCTTTGGAAACCCAAAATAATCCTTACTCACTTGAACGTAATAATAAAAATCGATCAATTATGATTTCAACAAACGATCACACTTTTTATGTGAGCTTTTGTTATTTTATTTTTTTTTGTGCGTTTAGTTGTAGTTTAGACGCACAATCAGCAAAAAAAAATGAGGAAAAAGAAAAGGATCATCCCTTTTTTCTATTGTTGACAAGTACCGTTGCTGATGATTTCTTGTATTTCAGGAGGCATTGCAGGTTGTGCGTTTGTCATGTGTTCTTCCATCAATGTTTCATTGTACCTTTCCACATGCAAATGGACGCTTGAAATGGCAGGAAAAGCGTTGACTTTGCTCAGCACAATACGATGTCTTTGGTGTTGTAAATAGCCACGTATGTACCCCTAGTATCGACAAGGATGAAGGAGAGAGGCAGTTAAGTAACAAGGAGACACGTGGATGGTTGGATAGTTAACAACACGATCCTACCTGACTGATTAACGATACAAAGATACCTTCCACATCATTCAAATCGAATACTTGCTTTGGTTGTTCTTGTTGTTGTTGTTGTGGGTTATAAGAACGGTCGTCATAAGATGTATACAAAGCTGTCAAGTATAAATCAAAGTCAATCGCCGGTTTGGTATTGCCTAAAATCTGCTGTTGCCGGTACAGATTCTTGATCAAACAACGCCAAATCAGTACTACACCTCTTTCTTTCAACAACAGGTATGTAAAGTGACGGTAAAAATAGGCAAAATAAGCCTCTAGATGGTGTAAGAATCCCGCCATATGACCGGATCGGATGCATCGCATCAGAGGCGCGAAATATTCTTCAAGTTGGTACTTTCTTAATAGCATAAGGGAAGGAAAATAGCCCAAAATGATACGCGTCGGTATGAGGTAATGGAGGATAAGCCTTTTGTTGTTCCAGTAATCGATATGGCATTTGTTAAAGGCGAAAAGCAAGTATTCCTCAGCCTATTCATTGATCCCGCAGCCCGAACACAATGGATGAGTGAGAGCCACATAATTGAAATAGCATCGATGGCTTGGTTCCCTATTACCTGTTTTAATCGTCCGTGATACAGTGCATATCTCCCTGTATAGTATTTGTATGTCACTTGCTCACTGATAGGAAATTGTTCCAACTCAACACCTCCTGTCCGTATATTCGACATGAATGTTTGACACATACGGATATTGTTCAATTTGAAATACACTTTAAAAGCCAAATTGGTAACATGGAAAATGCCTTGTCGTTTCGACGTTTCCATCGGTGACCTACATATATTTTTCAGCAAAAATAGGATGATCAACCATCTCATTCAAAAACTGCCCTTTTTCCTCTTCCTACCTGTCAGCTAACATGATATTAAACATTTTCGACAATAATCGGGCTGCTGTATTGGCTTTTCGTGCTTTGCCTTTGAGCCCCCTTGTTTTATCAACCTATGAAAAGCAACACAATTTTCTGTCGAGTGAGAACCATGCTGTCGCTTTCCAGTCAGATTGAAATCGCTAACCTACATCGAAGGCTAATTGTACAAATGCTGTTGATAATGTTTTCACCACTGGCAGTTGAAAAAAGGAATCAGATCCATTAAATAAGGGTATCAAAGAGCTATATGTTTTTGTAGTCTGTCGTGTCAATAGGGGGTTTTTTGCTGAAAGTCTTTTCATTTTAAACCATAATAAATCATCACCTATACAATGTTGTAAACGTCTCAAAAACAACTGTTCTATCGGGATCTGACAAACAGCGTAACCATTTGAGGTAGTTGTGTGTGGCTTCAGCTAACGCATAAGATATATCTTCCAACTGGCTGTTGACAATATTCTCCACTTGATCTTCTCTAGTCTACAAACGTATTTTGTAAAGTTGTTGGTTTTTTATTGAAGAGGCATAAAAAGAAAAACAGTTCGAAAGAATCATTAGGATCTGGCATCGTCAGAGCTATTGTTAAACTTTTATGCTCGCTTAATGTGCAAGTAAAATCTCGACAAGTACATTCATTAAAGCATCTGAAAGGACGGTTGGAGTAGCAATATTGATATTGAAGAGACTGCTGAAAAGTTGTTCATCCTGATGGATATAGGCATTTTGAACCTGATTAACATAATCGTATAAAGGTGACATTGAACTGTAGACAAATGCAATGGGATGAAATTTTCAGAGCAAAAAAGTAAGTGTCAAAATGAACAGTTTTCCCAATTTAAAATCTCCGCTTTAACTAAAACGTACCTTTGGCCAAGTGATGTTCTGAAGCGAACTGCTACCTAGATTGCTCAGTAGCTATCGAGAACAGCATGGATGGATGGCATTGCTATCATCCAGGATGAGGTATATGAATCAGCTTATCTTCTCAGTGGTGCTGCCTTACTTAAATTACCATTACTTATGGAATAATTGGTTTATCTCTTATTCCTAATTTCATTGAATCAGGCACAGGAAAGTTGACCTTCACCCCCAATGATAATGATAGAAGGACGTTTCCTTTCCATTTTTCTATACGGCTTGCTGGTTATAAATACTTTTCTCAATCGCTGAAGGGAGAGTGAATGTATTTGATGTACAATTTTTTGAAAGAACAGACAGTTCTGGCAGTGCATATAGGTTCACATCGGTCTCCCTTCATCGTATATGCCATGTATTATTTAAATTACAGGATGAAAGCCTATGATAAATAGACAGTAATAAAATCTGTTTCTAAATGGATGCTATACGGTATGAAAAGGCACGATCACTCCTCTATCTATTATAATTATCCCACCGGGTATCGAAGCCACTTATCTATACTCTCACAATGGTCCACGAGCCCTTTCCCACCTTTACTGATAAAAGTACGACATAGTATCGATTTTAAAAGTTGATGCCGCGTTTTGGGCAATTTATTCTGGAAGGTGGCTTCATTTCCTTCAACGTATGCATAGTGGTTATTGCTATTGTGTATAGACAAAATATCACTCAATGGATTGGATACGAAACTGACCAATTATGCACTCAAGCTGACTGGAGCTATTGTTAACATATTATAAATTCGCATCATCCAGACGATCTTTTTGCTGAACCATGAATGGGCTATTCGTTATTCTTTCAAGTACTTAGGTATAAGCATATAGCATGCTGACACATCAGTTTAGCTGTAAAGTCACTCAGAAGGAAGAGGATGTTGACCCTCATTGGCGACGTAGTTATGAACATAAATTTAAATATACATTTTATAGTATCATTTAAGAGCTAATAAAATAAAAAAAAAAAAAAAAGATTGCTACTATTTAAATTACAGGTATAAATTTACGGAAAACGATCAATCATTGGTAGTGGTGGGAGTAAAAAGTAAGAAAATATTGTACGAAGTAGGTGAAAACTATGTAGAATTACATTAAACAGAAAGAGAAAATTACTGGAAGCGACCCATGATTTCACTTGATTTTCTAGCGGGTGGTTCTTGACTCGGTGATTCCTCACCGCTGACAAATTTGGTCAAGCTTCCTTCCAGGCTGCCCCAGATGGAGGAGAGTGTCTTCTTTTGTAATTTAGGCTTAAACCAAGACGCAGGATCCACTCTACGAATATCAAAAGCGATGGTCGTAAGTCAACAAGAACGGTGTATCAAACCAAAGTTTTTTACTTACCCATTCTTTCTCCCGCAATTATTACTGATGTAAGAGCCGAATACGTTGACCTGTTCCACGAGGGATGAATGTAAGTAAGGGCTTCCTTTCGTGAATGATTTCAAGCATTGATCTATGGATTCATAGTATCTCTTTGCCAAATCGACACAACCATAATCTGCCAGTATCCATGCATGTTTCAGTTTATAGCCTTGTAAGAACGGTAAGCATGTACTAGCATTGTTACTGGTATTCCATGAATTGGCATACTCAAAGATTTCTGACAGGCACAGTGCTTCTGCAGTAGGTTGATCGCTACCGACAAGCGTTAAACGTACTTGAGCGGTGTCATCACCTGAGTGAATCGACGTTTGCGGAGACAGTAAATAGCTGATAACAGCGAAACAAACATATTAGTAAGCTTTTCGTCTGATTCCTTCCGAACCCAATAACGAATATATGAAAGGGGCTGGTTTCTTACCATATATGAGCGGCCTCCGTCCAACCCTGTGTCTTTAAAATATCACCCAAAGCCGTTAAAGCCTCCAAATCCCTAGAGGTTCTATTGGCCAAAATTATAGCGAGGGTGCTTCTCCAACCAGCCAATTGCGATATTTCCACTTTAGGCGTAACTGTTTGTAATCCGTAGGGTGTATTCACATGTTGAATATCGTTGACAATGAATTGATTCACTAGGAATACACAAAATGACAAAAATAGAGTCAGTAAGACAATCCCTTTCTCTTTTTCCCCCCGAAAAATGAAAGAGCCAGACTCACTTGAAGCAGCGCCCACACCAGAAAATAAAGAGTAAATGACGCGCAATGCCTGGTTATTGCCCGCAATAATGTTAAAATTCCTATTCTGACTTGTCTCTGGAATGCTATTCATTTCACGATCCACAAAGTTTTTAATGACTCTTTGCCAGCACTCTCTATCCACACAACTGCTGATAATCAGCGCATGAGCCCATAAATCTTCTTGTATAGCAAAATTAACGGCTCCTAAACGATCACCATTTAGTAAATACCGCTCAATTTTTCCAAGCATCTCGTTGGACGAATCAAAGGTTGATGTATTGCTCTCACTCGAAACCCTTGTAGCTGTCGTAATAGAGGGTGTGTCCATGCCTGTTGCTGCAGTCGTTGGATAATTAAATTGTGAATAGTCTTCCTCCGTGCTGGGCATTAGCGGACGGATTGCAGCTAAAATCGCCTGATCCTTCTTATCTCTATTCAGTAAGGGAAAACCCGAGCCATGAAGTAAAACCAGTTTAGTTTGAGCCTGTTTCGATCATTGTAAAACTTCCCGTCCATGATCATGGATCATCCTACGCTTTACTTACTTGTCATTTAATTTTCCGTCACATTCAATCATCACTTTGATCACTTTCCACAATAAAATCTTGGCTTCTAAACGGTGATAATCTTCTGAATCATAAACTGTAAATGTGCTTTTCTCCTTTTCAAGAGCTTCCAGCATCTGTGACATATATTGAATAATATCTCTCTTCTTTTGCTTATTGCCCACTTTACTATCAAACATAACAGGGCCAGGAAAGACAATATTCTTTGGGAATACAGGCTCTATGCTATCTTTCGTCGTCGTAGTAACATCCTTCAGTTGCTTAATTTGAATGGGTCCAGGTTGAGCATTGGAAGTTGAGGAATAATAATCTGGCACAGTGCGCGGAAATGTCATGACCATCTTGCCGCCAAATCCGAAAACAACTATGGGGCAACCTCTACTCCTACCTAATGGATCAACAGAAGGTTGATGCAATTGGGACTGATGCTGCTGTTGTGAATAGGCTGCTGAAGATGGATAATTACTATTATTGATAGCGTTAGAAGTAGTCGGGGTAGTTGTTAGCGGAGTATGTGCATATCGATTTTGATCGTAAGCGCGCAGATCGTACATGGACGGATGGTGCGCCCCAGATTGTATGGATGACAGATGAGTTGAGGGTGATGCAGCAGAAGCTATGCTTGGCTGTACTGTGTTTTTTACAGAAGGAGGATGGTAAAGAGGTACGGTCGTATCTAGTGAACTTCTTCCGATCGGTATGTTGGTCGTAGTAGAATAAACAGGAGCAGTAGGTGGTCTATGAATGGTTGGATGATGAGGCGCATAGTAAGGATTTTGCGCTTTTTGCGTAAGCTGATGTTGGTAACGTTGCTGTTGAAGTTTGTATTGTGAGTTATCAGAGATATAATTATTAGACATAGACCTCGTCAACGAAGTCGTTGCTAAGCCTGTAACAGCAGCCACAGAGCTACTACCGGTATTATTAGTAGCAACGGGTGTACCTGTCCTTGAGATGGGCCCCAAAGCAATACCGCACTCTTCACAGAACTTGGATGTAGGCTTGTTTTCACCAGTACAATTAGGATCGGGACAAGGCAACAATGGCACTTCAGGAGACGGTTGCCTCGACGAAACAATGTCTGCCTGACTTACTGACGACTGTTGTGATGGCTGTTGAAAAGTTGGCTGTTGTTGTAATGAATCTGGGGTATATAACTGTTGTGGAGTTTGACTGTTGTTATGTTGAGTATAGTAACTATTCGGTTGGTATTCACTCGATGTTCTCGGGCTTGCATAATACGCATTGGCAGCAGTGGCATCTCGAAGTTGCTGCTGTGGTTGCTGCTCTTGCTGTTGATATTCAGGCTGATAGTTCACGTCCAAGTTGGTGTTTGGATCGTAATAATGAAGCTGACCTTGTTCATCGTAATAGTAATGGACATTGGGATCAAATTGATACCATTCTCCTTGCGTCGATCCTACGTGTGGTGTTGACATTCAAACAAAAAGGGAGAAAGAGAAAAGATATTGTAATACACTAGGGTAAATTGAAAACAGGAATGGAAAAAGTTAAGCAAAGAAGGTAAAGATGACGCACAGAAAAAAGACGTAGACATTCGCTTGAGTGTCCTTACTTTTTTGCTTAACATACAGACTCTCTTCTTTAGAATCCGAAACAAAAAAGGATTCGGTATTTAAGACTCCTCTCGTTGCTCCCTTTTTGGGAAAGTTACACATAAGCAAAGGGTCATTTTACACGAAAATTGAAGAGTTTCTGAATCGATAAGATAATTGTATTATGACATAGTAGCTATAGTATTCTATAACATTTTAGGAGAATCGTGTGGTAAAGATTAATGAAGCTTTATTTTTCTATTTTTTTTTTTTTTTTTTCGTTTTTTTGCCCAGTTTTTCCAATGCCCATTATTTAATAGGACCCCCCAAAATTTTGCAAAAAGTCAAACAATGAATTGCTTTATTCATTATTCTTTTATGACGAAAGTTCCTATTAAAGTCTTTCGTTAAGAATTGATTTAGCTTAAATCTCGAACAACTAAAAAGAAGAAGGCTATACATGAGCAATTTCGAAAATTTTTGATCTTGAACATATCGGTCTTCATTAATTAAATGAAAACGTCAAGAAACGGAAAGCCTAGCAGAATTTTTGTAGAGAGTGAATTGGTCAGAATCGCGTCAATCACGCAAAGAAAACTATCGGCAAACGAAATACTAATATATCAAAAAAAAAAGTAAGGGATCTAGAATGATTCTTTCATTCCAGACAAATTACAGGGTCCAATGATGATTACTGCGATTATTCAAATTGTGCACTATATACAGTACTGTTGATTTTATTGTACAAAGATTATAACTTTTTACTTCCTTTTAGACACTGAATAGCGTTGTGAACCATCTGATTCAGATGACTCTTCTTCATCACTGTTACTGGTATATTCTTCTTCGCTGCTCCCCTCTTCCTCCTCCTCCTCTTCTTCTTCAGACACGTCTTCGTCTGTCGTTGTTTCATCTTCGTCACTTTCTTCCTCAGTTGATGCTACTTCCTCGGCATCCTCATCGCTACTTTCGTCGTAGAATGCATCCAGATCATAATCATTATTCTTGCCCTTTTTATACATCGAAGGCGAATAAAGAGACGAACTTCCCATTGCTTCTACACCGGATAAGGCAGTGGATGGATAACGGCCTCTGCTATCACGATAATTATCACTGCCGAATCCCGATTCCACCACTGTTGTTCTACTACCACTCCAGCCCTCTAATTCTTCCACATCACGTACAGTGGAATCAGGCTGTTCGCCCTCGGGGAAATCGGGTATCGGTTCATAACCAGGCAAGGGTTGGTTAGCTAATAACGAAAGGGATCCAATGGTGTATTCTGAGGCTGCTGCAGCGTCAAATAAGGGTGTAGCTTCAGTGCTGACAGTTGTCTTATAAGGCGAGAGTAGAATCTTTTTTAGATTTTGCCGGATTTGTAAAAGCCCATCAGACAACTGATTATTGCTGTTTTCGGGTATCGTCAAAGCACGTAAGAATCGAGCTCGATCTCTAACATCGTAATCCGTATCGTATCTCGCTAAATTAAGTAAATATTGGTTGATGCGGTTGAGAATAGTGTGGGTGGGATTTAAGCAAACCAATTTTACTGATAGAGTTAGAATTTGTAATTTGGTAACATTTTCCTATAGAGTTTATACGACGAAAAAAGTTCAATTTCAAAAAATCATACACTTTTGCTAATTTCTCCCCGTTTTCTTCTTTTTACCTCTTGGACAAAGTTTTTAGCAGCTTGACGTATAACATCAGGTCCAACCTTGGGTAGCATTTCAGCATATTGTCCCATTAACCAATATATATTTGCCCTTGCCTTCGGCGCTTTCACCGTGTCCAACAATTTCATAAGTGCAATGACCGGTTTCTGTCGCGATTCTAAAGGAGTGTGCAACAATCTTGTCAGAACTAAAACTGATTCTGCAACGACAAGTTCTATCATAAAGACAGTAAGGAAAGAGTTATTATTCCATATGATATCGAAACTATCAATCTTTGTGTTGTCTTCATTAGCTTTTACCATTCTTGCTATGTAGCAATTTCAAAAGTAAACGGAGACATTGATCTGCGGCAGTAGGTACCGTAGAAGCGCACCGCCCAATGGCCTGAATAGTTGCAGCTACAAAATCTTTGTTGGGACTCTTGATATATTGCTAATAATGAAAGGATTCCGTTACAATGAATGACCCCTCGTCCATCAGCACTAATATGATATTCTCTCACCTGTAGTTCTTGCAGTAATGTGTGTATATTATCTTTTGTTGCAATTGTAGTCAAAATATCCAATTTGGTATCACGAATAAACACAGGTTCATTTGATTGAGTAAAAAAGTGTTGAAGTGAGGATTCGAACAAATACTATATAGGTCATGGTAAATGATTTTCTCGTAAGCGTAACAGCAAGCAAAATGTAAAAGTGAACACACAAATAATGCCCTTACTGGTCTCTTCAATGCCATTGTTGCAATATTTGTCAAAACTACATAGGCTAATTCACGATGTGTTCTTAACAATCTCACAAGTGGTTTTTCTATCTTTAGAGCATCGATTGCAGGTGCTAAATAATAGAATAGTTTTGCTACTGCAAGCACAACTCCACTGTTTCGGCTTTGTAGCAAGGGTGTGCAACTTTTCAACAGTAATTCATGGTCTGGGTCCAAATCGATTATATCGTCTACCTTTTGTCCATCTTCATCATCCTCTTCTGATGAACTACTCGAATAAAATGATTTGTAATTATTACTGCTGTTGGTTGTTTTTTGCTTCGGCGCAGAACGAGATACATCCTCACCCTAATTGTATGGAAGTGTCAGTGGACCATGAAGAAATCCAATAAAGTTTTTGTCAATGAAACCTCTCTTATAGTACTTACATTAGGGTTGGGGTTTAAAAATTGACTTCGGCCATATCGTAACAAAACACCCAAAATTGACATTTGCCCCCATTCATCACAATCACCTAACATAGAGCATAATTTTCGATAACAAGGATGGATCAAATCAAAACGGTTTGGACAAACTTCATTGAACGCCATAATTGTACTGCCTATTACAATACTGGATCTATCCTTCAACAATGTAGCAATAACCTCAATCAAAGCCTCTTTCTGACTGTCATCAAGACTATATCATACAGATACAAACAACGGTCATTTCTATATTAAAATGCTGGATTATATAAGCTATACACGAGAGGAATTTACCTGTAACATTTGGGAATAGCGTGAGCAGCTGTTTTTCGTACATAAGGACTTGGATCTGTCACGCACTTCTTGATGCCAAGTAGAACAATAGGGCTGATAACAGGAACACGAATACCACTCATGACTCGTAAAGCCATAGCACGAATAATTTGATTCTTGTCACTGAGGTCTTTCTGAAAAGAGTTGATAGATAGCAATGCTAGATCCGGTTCCTGTTCTGCATATCGTAATAAGAAGATATATACTAGTTTACGGATTTCGATATTCTGCGATACTACATTCTTAACCACGTCAGGGAAGAATTCAGATACATCCCTTCCTTTCGAAATCATCTATAAAGTCCAAAGATGGGGAGGATTAATATGGCAATTGCTTTTCTACGAAACAAAGCAAAGTTCTTGGTCGTCGTCTTCTTACAGCGATGAGTCTTTTCAGGCCATCTAACTTTTCTCGATCGTTTTTGGAATCTAACTGCCTCTTAATGTTACGCAACTTTTCTTCTGACGTATCAAAATATTGAGCACTCGAGTCGCCACCAGGAAACCCAAACTCTTTCGCGTTCTCTACTAATCCCATGGACACTTTTTGTGAAAGTTTGGCTGCTTTTTCAGCAAACGTTTTAGCACTGGAGATGTAATCTGACACTTCCATCGTATGTGTTTGTGTATGCTTTGAATCTAAGCAGCAGCTGTATGTATTAAACCGTTACTGGTGTAATTAGGTATAAGTGTATATGACAGTACGATAAGATGAAGCGTTTGCGAAGAAATGCAAACTGTTTCAAAGAAAGAAGAAGGAACAACAGCCCTCATAAAATCATTATTGGTACACAGTCGGGATTTAATCTCGGGCTTTGCTTTCTCGAAAAAACGACTTTGTTTAATGCGATGCCCATCTTATCAAAAATTAGGTACACTTCAATAATGCTTCTGAAGGCTGTAGCAACAATTTCGTCCTCGCTACCAAAATTGAATTCTGTAAAATCAATGCTTTATGATGAGTCGACTATTAATTTTTTAAAAGTTGGATCTTAACACCATCAGTGTTTGCTGTGATCGTTTGTCTCAAAACGCCTCAACGTCAATAGGTGCCAAAAGTTGAGCAAATAGCAAAAATAGGAAAGCGAAAAAAAAAGACCAATCTTTGTTTTAAAAAGTTATATGTTCCTGCATCATCGGCTTTCTTTATCCCTTAAATTTGATACATTTGCGATATATGATCTTCAACGTGAAAGCAAACTTTAATTCTGGCGTGTAAGCTATTCAACCTATTGTAGCGCAATCCTGATCAGTAACAATATGGAATAGCGTTAAGGGTCGGAAGAAAGTAATGTCACCATCAATAAGCAACCGCAGTTCAACAGGTTCATGATGCTTGAAAATTATGTGCTAGAAATATAATTGCCAATTTGACATTATGATAATACGTATTACCAACTCCTCTGGAGTGTTTGGGCGGCATTATTGGAAGTAAGCAGTAGAGTTTACTAAGCTTAGTGATCAGCGCTTTGATTGAGCAGAGAATTGTTTTCACGTGAGCATATCTGTAATGTTGTTATTTACAAAGCAAGAACAGTGGCCAGCATTCATGATGCTTAAGTATTCAATGATTAGCCATATTAGCGAAAATATCAATTTGATCTCATCCATAAACTATCCCAACAGCAGCTTACCTTCCACTATACGATTAACGTAAATAGATAACTGAAAGTCCTAGTTGTTTGAGGACAGTTTTAGACCGTAAATATTGTCATGCAACCATTATCTTTCATTACCGAAAAACTCAGCATAGGCTAAAAATCAAATTGAAATCCATTTTCAATGAACTTTTTCTCTTTTCCCCTCGAAAATACATGCCTTCACCATCAAAGTTTCACCTAAAGCAGTATAAAAACATCAATGAATTCCTAGCAGAAACACAGTCTTCTTTACATGAGGAGGAGATCAAAAATGCATTACTCTTGACAATGTCTTACCAAATACGTGACAATCACAGCAATAAACCCTATTATTGCGGTGCTGTTTGGAGCAACAGCAATGAAACTAAGGAACAGCAATTGATATTTGCCTTATTAGCCAAAGATCAAGATTGCCTCTATGCATCGAACGTTTGTGATGAAACCAAACTTGACGCCATCAACTTGCTTATAGAACATTTACTCAACACCAGTGATATCTCAATTCAAGAAATTCATGCATATCAACCTGTACTACAAACAGTCAAACGCGCTATCGAAAAACATAGCGTTCACCGACATATACGCTTCCAACAGAAGCATCCTGTTTGGAGTTACAGAATAACCAGCGACAACATTATTTGGTCCAAGCGTGCAAGAGAACTAGCCATGACCAATGCAACTGAACTAAGACTCGCGACAAAAAGTGATTTAATGCTAATGAAGAGTTGGATCTCGGCATTTCTCTGTGATGCATTTCAAGAAAGCAACACTAAATCTGCTGCGATTAACGATCTATGCACAAGTATGCTAGACTTAAAAGAAGCATATCTGTTATGTATTGAAGGAACGCCTGTCTGTATGGCTCGACGTTTGCGGCCTCTAAAATACAGTTGCTCCTTGGGTTATGTCTACACGCCACCTAAATATAGGCATAAAGGTTATGCCGAGGCTTGCGTTACAATGACAAGCGAGATTCTACTAAAATCGTTTGGCTTTATTACATTGTTTGTAAATAAGGACAAGGATAAAGACGATAATTTGTACACCAGGATTGGATACAAATATTACGGAGAGGCAGGCAGATTCATACTTTTAGATAAATAATCTCGTTCAACATATACCACAAACTTTGATACAGGGTTCTCTTTTAGTTTCCTCAATTGAAATACGCTTATCTATAATTGCGATTGACTTTGTTTTATTGATAAGAAAGGAGGATTATAAATAGATATATACATTGGCTAAACAGCTTGATAAAAATAAAAAACAAATATTCAAAAGATTTCGAATTTGATAATTATATAATGTAGTTTGTTATAGAAAAGGCAAGAAACAGATGCAAAAAAAAAAAGAATTTCGAAAAAATTTAGCCACTGCAACTGACACAAGCATCCTTGTTATCAATGGAGCAAACCATATCGGCTTCATTTTCCTCTGTAGTCTTCTTTTTACGGTATTCACGTAAAGAAAGTTGATCAACAGTGAACTTAATAGCATCCACAGCAGGTCTTGTACGCAGATAATACATACCAGTTTTGAGACCCTTTTGCCAACCGTAGAAATGCATACTTGTCAGCTTGCCAAAATTGGGTTCGGCAATAAAAATGTTCAAACTTTGACTCTGGTCTATGAAAGCACCACGATCTGCTGCCATATCAATTAATGTACGCTGACTTATTTCCCAGACAGTCTTGTAAATACTCCTGAGGTTTTGTGGAATATCAGGAATCCTTTGGATGGAGCCATTATCTTGCATAATCATATTCTTCACATTTTCATTCCATAAACCCATTTCAACCAAATCTTTCAGTAGCCAAGGGTTAACAATTTGGAACTCACCAGCAAGTACGCGACGGGTATATAAATTAGATGTATAGGGCTCAAAACATTCGTTGAAACCTAGGATTTGAGATGTGGAGGCAGTAGGCATTGGGGCAAGCAAAAGAGAGTTGCGAAGACCATACTGAGCAATTTTCTCCTTCAGAGCTGTCCAATCCCAGAGTGAAGAGGGAGTAACATTCCACATGTCATATTGTAAGATTCCTTTTGATGCAGGACTGCCAGGATAAGTTTCGTAATGTCCTAGTTCCTTAGCCAGTTCATTAGAGGCCTCTAGTGCAGCATGATAGATGGTTTCAAATATTTGCGTATTCAATTGTTTAGCTTCAGGTGAGTCAAAGGCGTACTTCATCAACATAAAAGTATCTGCTAAGCCTTGTACACCGAGACCAATGGGACGATGTCTCTTATTTGAGCGTTCAGCTTCAATAACCGGATAATAATTGATATCAATGATTTTGTTCAGGTTTCTAGTGATAACTTTGGTTACGTCGTGAAGTCGTTGAAAATCGTATGTTTCGCGGTTATTAACAAAAGTAGGAAGCGCAATAGAAGCTAAATTACATACAGCAACTTCATCAGGACTCGAATACTCGACAATTTCTGTACAAAGATTGCTACATTTGATGGTGCCGAGATTTTGTTGATTGCTCTTTCTATTACATGCATCCTTATAAAGCATAAAAGGGTTTCCAGTTTCGGTTTGGGCTTCTAAAATAGCGTACCAAAGTTTTTGTGCTTTGATCGTTTCTCTTGCTCTACCTTCACGTTCATATTTTTCATACAGTGCGTTGAACTCTTCGCCCCAAACCTCACAGAGACCAGGAGCTTCATTAGGGCAGAATAAAGACCATTCACCATTATCACGTACACGTTCCATAAATAAATCGGGTATCCAGAGAGCATAAAAAAGATCGCGGGCTCTGATCTCATCTTTACCAACGTTTTTACGCAAGTCCAAAAAGGTGAAAACATCAGCATGCCATGGTTCAAGGTACATAGCAAAGGCACCGGGACGCTTATTGCCTCCTTGGTCTACATAGCGAGCCGTATTATTGAAAACACGCAACATTGGCAATAAGCCGTTGGAGTATCCGTTGGTACCAGCAATATAAGAACCACTTGCGCGAATATTATGGATGTTCAGACCAATACCACCGGCAGTCTTGGAGATTTGAGCGCAAATTTTCAATGTCTCATAAATGCCTTCAATTGAATCTTCTTTCATAGTCAGTAAGAAGCAAGAGGACAATTGAGGACGGGGAGTGCCGGCATTAAAGAGAGTCGGGCTGGCATGTGTAAAATAACGCTCAGACATTAAATTGTAGGTTTCGATTGCAGCATCGATATCTTCCTTGTGTATACCAACAGCCACTCGCATAATCAAATGCTGAGGTCGCTCCGCAACTTTACCATTGATCTTAAGCAAGTAGGAGCGCTCTAAAGTCTTAAAACCAAAGAAGTTATAGTTGAAATCACGATCATAAATGATGGCAGAGTTCAACCGATCGGCATTGGCCAGAACAGTCTTGTAAAAATCCTCCGCTACCATTGGAGAGTGCTTGTTTGTTTTTGGGTTGACATATGTGTATAGGTCTTCAACAACTTGAGAGAAGACTTTTTTAGTTTCCTTATGAAGATTGGAAATGGCAATACGAGCCGCTAAGATAGCATAATCAGGATGAGTTGTGGTCATATAGGCTGCTGTCTCCGCAGCCAAATTATCTAATTCGACGGTAGTGACCCCTGGATAAACACCAGAAATAACCTACAATGCAATTATTAGACCAGACATCACCAAGAAGACTACATTTGATAATTATTCAATTTACTTTTTGAGTGACAGCAACCGGATCTACATAGTTCATGTCAAGACCATAGCACAATTTGTTGATTCTAGCGGTGATCTAAGATTTCGCAGCACATCAGGATTGTGGGGATGAGTATTTGGCACGATGGAACTCGCGAGAAGTTCAAAATCAATTACCTTGTCAAAAGCAACTCTCTCTTTCCTACCATCTAAAAACAGAACGAAATCTATAAGTTCACTGAGATGTATAGCCAGAATTATCAACGCTCAGGTACCTCTCTTATATACAAACATAGGCATTTTCTGATTTGAATGTTTCAGTTGATTTGGATTTCAGAGGGAGAAAGAAGAAGAAGAAAAGGGAAAAATTTGACCAGTTTTATATACAAATTTTCCATCCCCTAATCCTAATAAAAAAACTGCAGGCAATTCGCGAAAACATAGAAGTATTAATTGATACTCAAGCGCGTCTTATACACGTTATCATTTGTCGTGAATAGTTTGTACAACCATGTCAACGTTCAGGATAAGCATTTTTGCTGCAATACTTTCATATTCCGCTACAACGCTTCGCTGATGTAAGGCCTCCACAGTTTAGACTTATTCCCCGTTTTAGTAAGTCAGCATACTCAAATCACAATAGTTGCCGCTGAAAAATTTGGAATGAGCATATCGAACAATCAAGAGAGCTATTTATAGTAGTTGACCAGCGTTCTTAAAGGCAGCTTCTATACTTGTTAGGTTATTCGTAACTTTGTCTGGAATTAGCATAGTTTTACATAGACAGTCGTTCAACGATCTTTTCCGAAGTGTGGGTCTTTACAATGGTATCTGAAATTTTGATTTTTCATTAACTCATGAACCTTCCTAGCCATGAAATCCGAAAAAATAGTTTTACAGAGTTTTCCACCTAGGCAATGTTTTAGTTTAGTACTTAATTTGTTATTCCAAAATTTGCTAATTTCGAAGCTTTTTCAGTCGACTTGAAAATGCGTAAATTATATTGATCTTTCGAAGGGTCTTTTGCTTATTCTAATCCTTGTCTAGGAATGGGACTACATGATTAAAAGGTACATGAAGTCTTCCTCTAACAATTTCGAAGAAGAGAGCTAAATCTTTTTGTAAGCGTATATACTGCATTAAAAAACATGCTATAACCGTCCTTGTTCTCTAAATCTCATATGTATATTAAACTCTTGCTGTCCCTTCAGTATGCTAGCCAATTCTTCTTCAGATTTTGCTCCATATGGTACTACCATAATGGATATTACTATGATGCCTACCGGCGCCGCTACTCTGTATTTGAAATCGCCCACTACCTTATCAGGGAATGGGTATTACGAGGAGACACAGCGAACCAAGAAAATTCTATCTCTCTCTTTTGTGCTATCCTTCTCAATTTCTTGCTTCAACGTAAATGGAACCGCAATGTTGTCGTAATCCCAAACAGCAAGTCCTGATTGCAGATTTAAAACGCGATGATCTCGAAAAAGATATTGAAAAGAGGCTTGAATCATTAGACTTGCCACTTTGTTCATACACTCACTTTAAAAAATCAAGGAACGAGAAGTAAAATGCATGCAATAATTACTGAAAATCGAAATGCACATCGATTCTTTGCGCTTACATAGCTTTTTGATAGCTTTGGTTATTTGCATTTTGATTCAGAAGAAGATGCTAAAATCTTTCAATACATAATGCAGAATAGAAGCGATGATTTAGTATCAATTAAGGCAATCAATATCCTTTCTCTTCCTTCTTCTACCCTAACTGCGAAAGCAACCCTTACAAAAAACGACCATATTGACTTTATTAAATACAAAAGTGATCTACACAAATTATTCTATTCCGTGTATACACAGACTAAACCATCGTTTCATGAACCAGATAAATAACAAATTGAAGCACTATGATAAGATGTGCCTTTTGCATTCTGAATTTATAAGCATAGTATGCTAAGGGATTATAGATATAACATCAATTTAGGTAAACTAGTGTCTTCTATATTGTTGTAATAAGCCTTCCACTTTGGCAGCAAACTTTTGCTTAGCATCTTCAGACATATTCAAATGATGATCCCTTTCAAAGCTATTAACAACTTCCATAGCATTGTCATTTTCATAGACAGCTAATTTAGCTGTAACACCAGGTGTCAATTCGATATTGAAATTTATGCATGGTGTATCCAATCTATGATGAACTGTAACCGGTTGATGTTGTTGCTGAGCTGGAGGCTGTTGGTATTGTTGAGGTTGAAGTGGCTGTTGTAAAGATTGTACGGGGGGACGACGAACTTCTTGAGTGGCCGTAGGAGTAGCCCATTTAGAAGCTGCAGATCCAGCAGATGTTCTAATAAATCCAGTTGAAGTTTGAGGTTGTGGAGCAGGTTGATATTGAGTCTGAAGTTGAGGTTGGTATTGAGGCTGAGCTGGTTGTTGAGGTTGAGCTGGTTGTTGCGGCTGAGCTGGTTGATACTGTCCTTGAGCGGATGTTGTACGAGTATCAAAGGCAGACCATTGATTGTGATTTGCAGTAGGTTGCATAGTAGATACTGGTGCACTGTTTACCGGTGGTGGAGGACTTGCGTATTTGGATGCATAAGTGCCTGTAGAGGCATTTGCGGCAGGAGCTTGCCAGAAAGGTGTTTCCGCTAGTTGACCGGAAGCCCAGGGACCAGAAGCTGGAGGTTGTCTAACACGATATGCAGAGGATGAGGGTGGAACAAGTCTGGGTGATTGCGAAGCCCTTGAAGGGGGTCCTCTAGAAGAAAAGGGCCCAGGAGTAGATCTTGGTGTAGTGTTTGGCGCAGACTTTGATTTGCCTTTTCCCTTCTTCTTCTTCTTCCCTGAGCTACCAGGTACTGGAAGACCCAAACGTCTGTTGATAATTTCTTGCTCGTCAACAGGAATAAAGTTTTTACCTTTGCGGTGAAGCTGACCACTACCAATGCCGCCTGGTTTTATTTTAACAGAAGGATCGATGAGCGATTCCCAACCTTGTGCGCTCACGTTGATGTTGGTTGTGCCATCCTTTGTAACGGTCTGATCACCCCAAGCTGCTAACTCAACTTCATCGTATTCTGAATCATCACTGTATTCATCTTCATCAGAATATTCAGATGCGTTCTGATTCCAGTTCGACATTTAGTTAAAGTACAAACAAACACGTTTGGAAGAATAAGAGAAGTGACCACAGAAAATTTTGGATTAAAAAAAAAAATTGTATGTAAACGACAGACTGAGTTCAACAATTACCTTCTATTCTGTTCTTTTTAACAATCAAAATTACATAACTGTCCAGATTTTATCAAGCCAGCTAAACGAAGTGAACGGATTTTCATCATAGTAGTGTGAACACAGGTTTGCTTCTCATTATTCTCAGCGCTTTCAAAATGATAAATACAGCTACTCATACAGAGTAGCACGTTAGATAAATAAATCATTCGAGGGTTAGACTGAAGTGCTGCCTAAGCTGCAATTATGGTATTTTTTGGTCACATTTCACAAGGCTAAGTTAAACTCTAAACAAACGGACGGATACACGGAAGGCTAAATTCTAAGCAGCCTATTTTCGCATCTAAAGCCGATGCGTCGCAGCAAGTTGTCTTGCTGAGCAATTTATGACATATATAAATAAGGTGCAATTTGAGAGCAAGCTTTTTTTAAAACTCTCTGTTCTTTTTCTTCCTTATCTTTTAATTTAACACTCTTGAATTGATGCCTTTCGTCTCGACTCTTAAGGAGAGCTTTGCAATTGCACCTATCAAGGATAGGGAGCATATTTTAAAGAAAGTAACAACACCTAATACCGATGAAGCTCGATATTATGAAGGGTTGATTCTGCTTCAAAAAATTTATGACGAGGTCATGAAGGAAAGTGTCCCTGAAAGACCACGTATGGCTACTGAAACTGAGGCGGAACTAGCAGCATCAATGAGGGATCTGCTGAAAAAATTCATTACCAAGAACAAACAATTCGGCGAGCTTAATACGCGCTTTCATCTTCTTATTTATCCTTTTGATACGAAGACTTCTACAGATTTCATCAAAAAAGAACTCCAGCTTGATTTATCCACTTTTGAAACAAGTGACAGCATTGAAAGTCAATTAACAGCATGTTCCGACACTTCTACTTCCAATCATCCCTCCAAATTAAATTCATGTATTATTGATGGACTTGAATTGGTCACAAAAAAGTTAAAGCAAGCCAGACCCAACGATTATCTTGATATAGAACCATTCGCTTTTCCACATCTTCGTTCTATTTGGGATACGCTAAATAATGAACAGCAAGTGATTCTGCTAAAGAAAGTGTTTGATTGTTGTCCTACCTCAGAACAAGTATTTGGCACAGACATCATGCATTATTTAACAAAACTATGGAAGCTACAGCATGAAAACACAACCTTAAACAATTGGAAGTTGGAAGAACTACCATTTTACAATTTTAGTCTCCAGCAAATGGATTATCTCATTCATGAAATCTCCCACATTGTTTTTTCGCACAAGCATTTCGTTACGGCCTATCTAAATAAGCTCGCTCCTGCTGAATTTGATGATGTCAGTGTAAACATTAGCTTTTGGGATGATGAAGACAACGTTTTGCGAAACTACTTGGATCGCTTAGACATTTTTGTTGGACAATTACCGTCTGCATATGTTGAACTTAAGCTTGCAGTCAAATTTCACACACTTCGTATGAGCCTTGTGAGAAGAGAATTTAACGAAGAAGCATTGCTAGAGTAAGGATTAAGTAGATAAATAAGATTTTTATTGTTTGTTATTTACTAACGCTTACAAAATCTTAATGAATTTTAAGTTATTTAACTATAACGTCTTCAGCGTCCGCATCTGTGTCACCAGTTCCGTCCCGTAATCTGTTTGGAAATGCATTTGCCAATAACAGTAACAACAATCTCGGAAGCCCCTTCAGTAACACCGCTGAGAACAGTGATCCTATAGTCATTCCACTATTAGGAAGTAGCTCAATACCGGCCAGCGACAGAAAGTCGGTCCTGCGAGAGTATCTTGCTGGTTTGATCGAGCAGGATAAATTGACTATGTCTATAGACACTTTAGGTTCCTTTGGAGATTACCATGATTTCTTGAAGCCTTTGTATGCTGAACTCATGTTGACTACAGCAAAATCAAATATTGGTGTAGAGCAGTATATTAATACTCTAGGCCAGCGTCGCTATGAAGCTTTAGTCAACGAATCTTATATTTCTTTCACTCCATCGACATTATACGCTTCTGTTAAGAGAAAACCTTCAGACAACATTGAGTTAAGACTGAGAAGCAAAAATATTCCCCGTCTATCCATTCGTGTATATCAAATTGAAACTGAAGAATACTGGCGCTTGCACAGCAACGATGATGAGAATGCTGAGCTCGAAGATTCTAAAAAGATCAACCTGGACGGCTTATGTCCAAACTTTGAAAAGGACATTGACCTTTCTGATGAGCCTGCCATCCATGTCAAGTCTTCTTTATTCGAATTTGGACCCAATGGTTTAGCATCTGATGTCTTTAAAGGGCGCGGTATGTGGGTTATTGAATTTGTTGGTGGCCAGCATCAATGTCGAAGTATTGTACAAAAAGGCTATCTTCGTAAAATGGAACAGTCTACTGCTGCAGGCCATTTGTTCAAGCTTATTGATGAAGAGAATAATTGTCTTAAAGAAGCAAAAATTTGGTACAACAATCAGTATTACGAAGTACGTGTAGCAATAAAACACATTGACATTCGTTTTACCGTGCCACTATATACTTACTTTTGTTGAAAACATTTTTTTTTTCTTTTGTTGTAGGCTGATAAGGAAACTGGTGATATACTGATACCATATTTAACAAACGCCGAAAACCCAAAGCGTAGTAAGGTTATTCTGATCTCCTGTGCAGATAACTTCAGTGAACCAGCTTCGATTTACCATCTTACCGAACAGTATGATTTTGATGCCAAGTTTTATCTGAATAATGAAATGGTCTATCCCAACAAAAGCGCGACGGTTGTCACGGTTCCTGATTTGCGTTTGAATGGTGTTATTATTCCACTCAATCTTTTGGAAAAAGAAATAACTCTGACTGTAGATAGCAGCACTATTACTGGTGTAAAAAATAGTATGAAATGCCAGCAGGCTATTACTGATTTCAATTGTATCTCATTTGATTTTGCGGTACCTAACCAATGTATGTCAATATGCATGTTGCTTAAACATTGTTCCCGCTGCTTTATTAACCACTTTTTTGCATCGGTTATTGTAGTGGCTCTTCTTGAGTTTACCTTGAAAGCAAGCATCAAAACGCTGAGCGGGAAAATGCAAGATTTAAAATGCCATCATCAGATTCACTTTGACTCTGCTTCAAAAACCAGTGGACTTGCAGGTAGTTTCAACCTTGAACAGCTTAAGGATAACAAATACATTCTTCGTGTCCTAGGAAAGAATGGCGAGAGTAAGAAAAATCATGAAGTATCTATACGGTTGAAGCATGAATTCGTGAGTGAGCCAATCAACGCCTATCTGAAAACCGATGCTTTTGGAGCCATTTACCTTGGTGAACTCGCACATATACAAACCATAACTTGCACAGATTCGCATAACATATTTAAGGTGTGGGATTTGACGGATAGCTCTAAGCAACAGCTACCTATCGACATATGTGTACCAGCAAACACTGCTTTCAAACTATCTTGCGTGACTTCATACCCTGACTGTTTGTATTCACTGCATGAAACAGGCGCTCAACAGTAAGTAACTCCAGGAACTGACCAATAACTTTTTCACTAGTTTAATACAAACATACGTATACGTTAAATTGTCTTGCATTGTAGGTTTCTAGTGAAGAATATGACGAGCTATATTAAAAAAGGACGTGACTATCTTGAAGTTGATGGGCTTCCTGAAGGAAGCTACATCTTCTACATTCCTTCAACAACAACCGCTGTGAATAGCGTAAAATGTACAGTCATCCAGTCGTCTGTATCTTTCTCTAAGCTTTGGTCGAAATGGCTTTTGAATGAAACCGTTTACGGCCAGTATAGTAGCGCATTGAGAACTCCTTTACATATCCAAGCAACAACCATCAGCGATAACTCAGTTGATATTCAGTTGGATCACTTTTCACCACATACATTTGCCGTTGTTACAGCTACGACGTTTGTACCCCCTACAAACGAAAGCTGGCGTCTTCAGCGAGATAGTAACATGATTCAACCTATGAGCCGTCTTTCAGCAAATGACAACTGTCGCGCCAACATGATATCTACACGAAATATTTGTTTGGATGATAAACGTATCAGTGAAGAATATCAATATATACTCAATCGTTCAAGAGCTGAAAAGTGGGTAGGAAATAATCTCAGTAAGCCTTCTTTGCTAATGTACCCCAAGGTAAAAAAAAATTGCTGCTAAGTAACTAAGAGTTTTGATACATTAAGATGAAGAAATTAATTTTAACGAAATGCCAATTCTACTCTTAGAAAAATGCTGACACAGTTACAAAAGAGCGATACCTCGAAAAGGGAGCGACATTAAAGAATAGAATGACCGCCAGTGCCACACCTGAAGCGGTTCAGATGTCTTACGGTTATGAGCCAAATGCTATGTACCTTTGCGGTGTTGATGGCGGTGATTACAATCGCTTTGATAACAGTCTGAATTTTTTGAGTCATCAGTCTCCCGTTTTGATAGTTCCTGTAGACCGGAATACAGGTAAGATTACTATCGACCGTAGTCTACTGGGCATTGATGCTCGCCTTCTCCGAGTTTTGATCATTTCGGGTCAGCAAAGTCTCTATCAGCTGCAAGTACTTGAAAGCCCTAATACCAGTCTGAAGACCAAGGATCTTCGTCAGCCATCTACCAACAATAAACCTCTTATTCGCTCCAAAACCATCTTCAAACTGATACCGAATGAAAGGTTGCTGCTTCAAACACATGAATATGAAGTAATCGACAGCTTTGAAAAATTATTTGATATCGTGAAGAATATTTCAGATGTAGGCGAACTTTTTATAGATAAGTTCTACTTCTTGCGCAACTGGTCATTATTATCCGTTGACGAAAAGTTATCGCTGCATGAAAAACATGTTTGTCATGAATTCAATCTGTGGCTCAAGAAGAAGGATTACTCGTTCTTTGAAAAATGGGTAAAGCCCGCTTTGAAGGTAATAATATATCCCTAGACCAAACAATTACAAGTGCTTATATAGAGTAGAAGTTGACAAAGCATCTGTTATAATAGAGCAAGGTTCAAAAGTCCTTCATGGATAAATACTTGATCGATGAAGATCTGACTGAATATTGCCAGAACATCCATCAGATCAATCAGCTTAGTATTGCAGAAAAAGCTTTACTAGCTTCTTCGATTGGATCAGAGACGATCTGTACTAGTATTTCAAAGTTCTTCAAGGGTATCATGGACGACAGGCATTTTGAGGAGAGAGCTGATGCTATATTTGACTCCATCCTTGCTCACGGAGGACCCAAGGCGCCTGATGACCTCACGGATGTACAATCCGATTATGAAAATGCTCAAAGCCTTGATGAAGCAACCTTACTCAACACTAACGTGAGTCGAACAAAGAACGTTGTCCACATGTCTCAACCTACTAGTTATGCTTTTGGGTCGGCCTCATTGGCCTTTTCCCAACCGCAGCCTCCTCCTCCTCCAGCCCCAACTGCTCCTGGAGCTAGGGCTTTATTTGGACAATCTCGTTCCGCGAATATTGCTTCTTCTGCTTCCTTCACTTCTCCCTCATCAGAAGCAGTAGTCTTTGAAGCTGAAGATGGAGATGATGAAGAAGAAGTGAAACAAGCAGAGTTATTGTTAAGGGAAAAAGCCAAAGAACAACAGAAAAAGATCTCTTATACGTATATGAAATCCACTACCGAGTACAAGGAAACGGGATTCTACGATGATAACAATAAAGTCACCGCTGTTAAACAATTCTGGATTGATTATTTGGAATATCATGCTCAGAAGAACGTAACAGAACAGAGCAATCTATTTTTGTCAGAGTCTTTCATGTACAGTTTGGACAGTGTCGCTGAAATCCTTTACGTTTTAAGCTTGATGGATCTGCCATTTGCTTCTGAAACTGACTGGAAGGCTGAAATGGTGACGAACAAAGTCGACAAAACTGAAGAGAAGACTACTGTATCAATCTCTACATTCAAACACCCCGTGATTGTTTTCTACAGAAGCTTGAAACAAATGGAGGAAGAGAGCACTGCCGATGGTAATCAAAGTCTGATGATTGGGCAAGAGTTTTTCATTGTAGAAGAAAATGTGCCTATTGACTCAAACGAATGTATCAAGTTGAACCCCTTACAAACAGCTTTTGAACCTCTGCTGGAGTATGGTAACCACTTGATCATTAGCAACGCTTCCTCTAAATCTATCACCTGTCAAGTTACTGTTCAAATACCTTCTGGTTCAATTCCTACGCAGATCGCGGACTATTGCAAATCTAAAACGGTTTCCATTGAAGCTTACTCCACTTGGCATGAAGTGATGAGCACGTTTTACTTCCCTGAAACTGGACACTACCATATTCCACCTGTCACTGTGTCGACTGTTAGCGGAGATGATCTTTTGCGAATGGTACATGGCTTCGATATTGAAGTAAAGTCGCCCCAACGGTCTGAAGAAGTTATAGCAACACCGAACAGTATGTCATGGGCTTCTATCGCTAAATACGGCTCACTGCCGAGCGTTTTGTCATTCTTAGACTCGTATAGTAAATTGGATAAATTGGACCTCGGTTTACTTCAGTGGAGAATGACAGATAAAGAGTCTGCTCGACAAATTATTGACAGTTTACGTAGCCGATATATGTATCGTCGAGATCTTTGGCAATATGGCATCTTGCATCAATTTACTGATGTGCTCCGTGAATTGCTTTTGTTTGAATCGAGCTACTTACTCAATCGAACAGGCTACATCTTCGAGTCACCAATTGTGAGCACTTCAAGCGCTTCTATTTATGAGGAGGAGGACTATCAAAACAAGCTCGGAACTTTGGATTATTATCCCATGCTTCATGCGCGTATTCACCCGTTAAAGCCAACATCACATGAAATCCTCAATCAACAATTTTATGCACAATACAATAGATTCCTTGAATACTTGACACAGAAATCAACTGCCATTTCTGCAGCCGACTCATTGATGTTGACACTTTATCTGTTACTTCAAGATCGAGTAGGTGAGGCGCGCAGTGTATATGCTTGTATTCAGCCTGAAAATGCTGCGGAGGACGTTAAAGTTCAATACGACTACCTCGGTGCTTATTTGAAGACTTGTGTTCCTACAACCATGGACATACAGACGCTCGATCTCAAATCTGTAAAAGATATAGCAAAACAATACATGGGCAACTTTGGTGTACTGCAATGGCGTCAACGTTTTACGGATTTATACAACTTTGTTTGTGAGGTGGAGCAGGGCTATTTAGCTATTTCTTCGCAAGCAAATTTGAACAATGAACGTGTCCGATCTGAAGAACCCATTTTGGAATTAGAGATTGATGAACGTCAGCGCCAATTATTGATCCAATACAATGCTCACGTGAAGTCAGTTCAAATTAAATACTATGAAATGGACATTGAAGTGATGTTTTCCAATAATCCTTTCATGAATCATGGATCTGCCCGCAAGAATGAGAACAACTTCCTATGGATCAAACCTAGTAAATGTACTGTGATTGACATACCTGAAGATCAAGCTGAAGACGAGGAAGATGGTCACGAGGAAGATAGATACGATATGATTGGCGTTGGTCAGATTCATTCCTTACATACGCTTAAAATACCATTCGAAGGCGGTAATAAGAATGTTTTTGTGGAAGTATCCTATGGCTCATTAAAACGTCGTCAAGTGTATTATGCAAACAACATCTACGCACATGTTTCTGAAGCGTTCGGAGTGGTTCGTGTCATCAATAAGGAAACAAAGAGACCGATGATGGGAGCTTATGTTAAGGTATATGCCCGCTTAAAGGAAGGAAAGCAAGTCCATTTCTGGAAAGACGGCTACACCGGTTTGAATGGTGTCTTTGACTATGTTAGCGTTACAGAAGGTAATAATCTTATAGGAAGAAGGAACGACGGTGATTTGAGGACGCTGATGCTGGATAAGATTGATAAGCTCAGTATTCTGGTCCTGACTGCTGAAGCTGGTGCTGTTGTTAAGGAAGTTTATCCACCTCTCAATGGTTGAATCGCCCGGATATGCTTCTATACCATATAATAATTCGCAATACTACATCATCTTCCCGTAAGCTCTTGATAATCAGTATTTGGCTTTTAACGTGGAATTAAATAATATACTTCAATAGCTTTGTCTGCTATCAATAGTGCAAATAAACAAATTTGTCAATAATAAAATACAACAAGTACCGACTTTGTCCTCGCTGATACTTTATTTTTCTTTACCATTCTATGGCTTTTGTTGATTGATTCTCTAATACCTCTTCGCTTTCAGCATAACTTGGTTACTTTTTTTTTTTTGTTCCAAGCTTGCCTTCCAGAGGTTCCTGGTAATAGCTTAACCATCAAGAAATTTAACAGTCCGATCGCCGCATTATTTGCATTTCAAAGGGAATCGTGTTAGACTGTCATTTTGCGAGTTTGACTGTTGTAACGATGAATAAACAGGATTATATACAGGACGTATGTCAAGCTAGCCTTTCAGTAGATGAAAACCTTCGATCATTTCGTTCAACTGTAAGTGGGATTGGTAAATGCCTTTGGGAACTCATAATTTAATACGATCGTCCTGTATTTGTTATTGTAGTTTTATCAGCAGACTTTCAAGACGTTTGAAAATTCAGAAGTGTAAAGCCTAAAATCCATTTGTACTTAAGGAAAGGAAGCGAATGAAATCTAAACGCTTATTACTTCTCCCCTTTAGTTGCCAGACTATTAGTTCGAATGAGGCCGTCCAGCAATTTGAAGAACTACTGCATAATCACATTGAGCTAGTTGAACAAGTAAGACTTTAGAAAAAATGATGAATTACTTTTTGCCGCTTTATCCTTATACAACCGTAGTTCTACCATATTCCTGCCATGCGAAGAGAGCGTGATTCTTTCACACAGCTATTGTCCATATGGACATTTTGCAGAATCCTATATTTTCTAAAAGACAAAGACTTATTTCCTCCACTTATGCGCTGGTTCAACGACTTTAACAAAGGTAAAAAGCTTCACCAGCATTAAGAGACGATAAAATGTTTTCGAGTCATGTCATAGTACTGAAAGCTCCTTCTGTTATGCCAATGATCACGTTAGCTTTATTCTTTGAGTATGACAAATACTCTATCTATCACAATAAGTCAGCGCCGATTTTTCATGAAGATTATTGGAAATATGCCACCCGTATGGCTGTGTTAGGCCAGCACGATCAACTTGTCGATTTACTTGGGCATACTTTAAAGAGAACATCCAGTAACCGACTGACAGCAAGAATAGAAGAGTTATACAAGCTGATAGAAGGAAAAGAGGGTAGACGCTTCGATAAAAACGGCCTTAAAGAGATCAAGGCTAAAACTGAAAAACTTGGGGCAAAAAATGAGACGACACAACTTCAAATCAATAATTTACTGTCACTTATCCACATTTTAATGGGAGATGAGGGCACGATTTGGCGACATACAAAGGATGACCTTCACGCGTTCATTTGCATTTTTTATTATAAAGGCGAAGACAGCATCAACTTTTCTACTGCAGCGTCAGACTTTTACAAGCGATACCCAACAGAAACTAAGACAGTCTATGAACATTTACTAAAAAAACGTTTTGATGAGGCTCTTGAATTGTGTGCAGTGAATGACTGGTGGCTGCTATGTCATATGCCAAATTTATTCAGTGAGATGAAAGGCGCATTTAGTAAAATGATGGCCATTGAAACTAAAAAGAAGGAAGCACCATTTTTAGTCCCATTGAAAAATCACACAAGACTTTATTATGCATCAGCTTTACTCAACACATTTGGATTGTGGAAAGAGGCTTTCACTTATATGCTACAGTGCGAGGATTTGGGAAAAGATGTTATACAAGAGGTCGGTTCATTGAATTTTATTGAAATATATAGTCTGCAGAAGAACTAACACCATCCAAATTCTACTGTAGCATATGAGAACTATAGATATCTCCAAGTTGGATGACGAAAAGATGGATGATTACGTTCAGTTCTGTCAAGATCATTCCATCAGATCCATCGGAGATGAACTTTGCATGGTATGGTTAAGCGGCATTTATTGTGAATGACAGTTTGTCTAAGACTTTATATTTTTTACTGTGTTGAACCATTAGAGAAAGGCGAGCTATCTTTTGTCCATCAGAGACTTTAAAGGAGCCCTAACCTATTATAGCAAAGCAAATGCTTACCAGCAAGTGGACTCTGTATTTGAAGAGATCCTTTCTGATTACGTTAAACAGGGCACAACGATCGATCTACAGGCACTTTCAAATCAATTTTCTGGCTTTCACCACACATTATATTCTCTTTTATGGAGTATGAATCAGTATTTATCGCAGTTGGATATTACTCAAGCAGCAGAGGCGTACAAAAAATTGATTCGCTTGGATCCTATCCCTATGCGCCTGATACCCATTGTACTCTGGGAAGGATTGAGGATTATTGAAGGTTGTAAGGGAATCGTGGCCAAATTTCTCTCATTCAGTTTAACGGAGGATAGACATTTACTTATCTTTAAAATGTTTCTTTTTATATTAGATGTCCATATTGTAAAGCTGAATACGCAAGAGGTGGAAGTTATCAAGAGACTTTGGAGCACTATAAGCAAAAACGATGATCCTGTTACTTATGAACTATTCTATTACTATATCCAAAAAGACAAAGATGGTTTAGTGCAGCCCACAGTGGAGGCGTTGGCGCAATGCGCACGACAATTCCTTGATGCTACCAGTCTCAGGTATTCTGTGGCTTTTTCAAAAGCTGGCTGCTAATTCATTAAAGAAATCGCTGGAACAGACTTTCTCGCTGAACTCGCTCAAAAACATAATGACATATAGAATTATATACCCCTTTCCATTCCATGAATAAAGTTGCTTATTGTTATGATAACTGTTGATCATGAAGAAAAGGAAGAATAGGCTTCTTTTTTTTTCCAGCGAGAATGTTGTAAGCTGAAGTTACAGTTTTAATAGTCATGAAAAGATGAAAGTCAATACATTGAGAATGGGTTTAATAAATGAATATGTAAAATGCATTAATGAAGATCTAATATATACAAACAAACAAACAAAAAAAGAAAAAAAAAAAGAGGAAAAACCAGTGGTATCTATGTGTTGATTTCGAATTATCTCTCATCACGTACAAAAAAGGATTATTGGCTATTATGAATGGTATTTTCTACAACAGAATTGATCCACCAAAATCTATCTTGAGTTGTCAAAACAGTCAAAGAAGGACCATCTGAACGTGAATGGTTTAAAAGAAAGGTAGCAGCCGTTGCAGTGGTAGCTGTAATGACATTATTTGCGCTACTACTGCGGTGGCTATTGCTATAATGACTGTCGCTTGTTGGGTTGTTGTTATTTAACAAAACATTGGCCAGTTTGAACCGATTCTTCTTTGTCATTCGTGGTGGTGGAGGTAAAGAGAAGGCTGGGGCAGGTTCGTCCGATACCTTTGTCAGCAATGTTGAATGGGGTGGGTGCTTCTGATTTTCATCCTCTTTTTTGTCATTCAAGGCAATAGCAGGTAGGGTCGTGGCAGTGGGGTGAGTACTACTGCTGCTGCTTGCGATACTCGTACGATCCCTATCGTTTTTAGGATGAAGGGTATCTAATGGAATAGCCTCCGATGAGGTCATAGCGGTTTGATGATTGTACAATTGTTGTTGCTGTAACAACAGATAAGAGCTCGGTCGAGCGGACAAAGGACGGAGTAGTTTGCTTTTCTGATAGATGGAGGCGGCTTGATCAGTAATATGAGCACAAAGAGGTTTGTAAATAGCTAAGGGAATCGACTTGATTGACTCAGTAAAGGTATGGTTGACAGCGGCTGCAGCGCCTCTGGTGGTAACAAAGGAAGTAAAGCATATCAATTGACATGGGCCCGTGGTGATAGCGAAAGGAGGTAGGTCGAGAATGGAGGAGGAGCAGGAGGAGTGCATCGATAATTTGGACGACTGGAAGAGAGCTTTGCTGTAAGAGGTCGTGTGGATGAGTTTTTCAGCAGCTTGTTCGAGAGCTCGAATAAATTCAGGACGGACACTGGCTAAAGACGACGCTTTCCTTTGTTGTTCATTTGTCTTTTTCATCGTATGGTTGACGTTGTTGCTCTTCGATTCGAGTGAAGCACTGCTGCTATTATTTTCGTCCAAGACAGAACAAGGGTTATAGAAAGAAGCTTCCTCAGCAGCAGCATCTTCCGTCTGTTCCTTCCTGGAAGGGTCGTCCATAGGAATGGCTGTATCTTGGATGGTTTCATGCTTCTCTTCTTGCTTGAGAGATAGCACAGTTTGTGCCAGATCGAGAAAGTCGTACAGAGAACGGCCTTTCAGTCTGTTTAGAAATTCTATTTCATCCGCATCTAATTTCTCAACGATAGTGCCATCTTCCAATGTCAGTTGAATAAGCGGGAATGTATATCGTCTTGCTTTTTCGACCAGAATGTGCATATCTGTTAAATCGCGCGATTCATCCAGCAAAACAAAAGCGCCCATTTGCACAGTAGGTCGCGTCGATGCTCTGAAAACTGTAGGATGGAATGTGGGCTTTTCCTGAGGTCTAGCCTCTGTAGGCGAAGATAAAGGTGACGACAAGGGCCAATGAAGCTGTGTGAGAGCATTGACCGAATCGGCCTGCTGCTGCATGTCTGTAAAGTAATATCGCATGGTATCCGTAGGAATCCGTAATTTTACCGCCATGGTTTTGGCGATGAAGACAGGATCGGCAAAACGATATCCCTGTGCTAAGAGTCGTTGTGCCTGTTGTTCATCGGTTAGTCTACGGACGAGGAATATATGTTTATTCTCGCCGTCTACATCGTCCAAGGAAATGCGACTTTCCTTCTGGTATAGGATATCATCAAGTGAAGCATTGGCAGACGAAGGAAGGAAGGAGTCAGAATTGCTATTGTTAGCTAAAATAGAGGGACGAGACTGTGGACCTTGCGTAGGAGCAACACCAGAGCTGAGGGTATCGTAACTGCTCTCCATGACTGGTTCTTTGTCTTTTGCGACTTTTCTCTTGGGTGGGGCAGTGATATCTGCTGCTGTTGCTGTTGGTATTACCGTTGTCGCCGTACTCGTACGACTCGTATTATGGTATTTTTTCATATGAAATACATGTTTCTTTATTTTATGATGATTGGCCAACACGTCCATTTTCGACGACGAAGTAATGGAAGAGGCCGTTTTGTCAGCTGTTTTCTGATGGAACAACTTGAAACTGCTTGTAGGTGTGGAAGGCGGCAAAGCAATGGTATCGGTGGTGATGACATTATCACTCAAAATACCCAAGTCAGCGAGTGTTTGGAAGCGCAATTCATCTTTTAGTTCTCGCCAGCCCTCCAAAAAACCCTTTTCGATGGTGTCGTATATCTCCATGGTGGTGGTGGTGGAAGACGAAGAGTTTGAAGTAACTGAAAGACGTTTTGCGGATAAAAGCCGGTGGGTGGAAGAAGTAGCAGCGGCGGCTTTATCGATGGATGTTTGCATCAGTCGTGCGAATAAAGGGTGTGATGTGTTGAATTCTTGATGCTGATTTAAATAGGGTTGGTTTAAATGGTGCGGGGGCCTATTGCCACTAGGAGGATTATTCATGGCGTGAAGGTACATCCATTCCAAATGGAAAACGATGGTGGTCATGGGTAGAGTGCCATCTACCTTGACAAGGATGCGACCCGATGGATTAAATAGAACAGTATTCAGAATGAGTCGTTTGCGATAGCTCGTCTTTTTTCTCGTGCTAATGTATTTTGGCAATGTCTTTATACCGGCTTTGATGCTCACGTAAAGTAAGCCAACACAACAGCAAATGATGACGGCTGATATGATACCAATGAGAGCGGGTTCTTGTAATTTGGCAACGGGAGCTTGTTGGCCTTCCGGTGGTATATAGAAATCAGTGCCTACGAGACCCGTGTAGTGCATACCACATACGGCTAATGCCATCAGTAAGGCACAGCCTAAACGCTTGTACCAGTCATTCATCCAACGCTCACGTAATTTAAAAAAGATATACAGAGCAATGGTGACAGCTGCACAAGCGATAATGATAGCACCCATCAAATAAGCAATGCTATACACAAGAACAAAATACTCTATGGCAAATTGTCCTGCATCCATGGAAAAAAAAAAAAAAAGGAACCCAAGGATGGGACGTATTTAAGCGTCATCATTGAAAATCATTCATTCAGTAACTCGTCTCGAACACGTGATGCGTATACGACTTTCTCATGAGGCTACTTTACCCATATAATGCATACATGTAATGCCCAACTGGATATGTCGGATAGTTATTTAGCCATTTAGAATGAAATGCAGCCGCAGCCGTCCCCCCAAAAAAAGGAAAATAAATCACGTCAGCTTATGTATGAAGAAGTTTTTCATTTGTGTTATTATTTTTGTTCATTTGATTTTTTACCCCAGCAAAAATGCCACTTGGTATGATACGAGATAATCTTGCATCTTCTGTGATCCCGACAGAAATGAAGGCAATAAACATGCAGACAACGGCTACGACAAGACTGGCAAAAGTATAACCGGCTCCATAAACAAGTTGATGTGATTCCGAACCGAAACATAGGCGTAAACTGTTGTTACCGATGAAATGCATCGACCATATACTAACAGCGCCCATGACGAAAGAGGCAGCTGTCAATAAAAACCTATGAATGGGACAACGGTCAAAAGGATGGCATTCTTTTATGCACATTGGACGAGAATAATACATTACCAATTATAGAGACCTTTGATATGAGTTCTTCTCGTAAATAACTCAAGTGTTGTTTGACAACCTATGACAGATATCACGTAACTGAGAAAGATGACACCGCCATTAAAATTTTTAACAGCGGCTTCTCCTAGAGTTTTATCCATTCTTCTGCTGGTCTATCTATGATGGAGAAAAGGGGGGCGAGGGGTTTCTTCTTCCCTGAATTTCTGTCAATTTGTTATAGGATGTTCAATTGATGAAATTGCGTGTCACCAATGCTTTAGCATAGAAAAGAGTTTATATAGTCTGGCAGTTAGTTATATGTCTATTGTATTGTAAAAAAGGGTATAGATTCAAATAAGACAGAGAGAGAAAGGGCCAATACAAAAAACAAACCAAAAAAAAAAAAAATAAAAAAAAAAAAAGAAATCAGAGTCATTTTCAAACTGCTCTAAACATAGAAGAATGGATTTCAGATCGAATCAATGTACCTCCATTGCCCCCAAATTCTTATGTAAGACGATATACTTTAAAAGGAAAAATTATTTTCCTTCTAGCGCTTAAGGAAACGTTGCACAAGGACCCTTTTGATAGAGCATCAATGCAGGTTGGACGTCCTATTGAGTCTGAAAGATACAAATGAGGCGCGGAATAAGACTCTATGAAGAAAAGCAAAAATACTTTTGGTTTACAACGAATGGAACTGAATCAAGGATTATTGAGAAAAAGAAGAGATGAAAATGAGAAGAGAAAAGCTTTCTTATAAAAAAGCATTCACAGTATAAATTGGGAATCAATTACATTCTCTGGTTTGGCTTTTTTGATTTCTTACGGTTCAAAATAACTACATTTGATAAAGCAATAGGATATTTATAGAGAACAGATATTGATTTTTACTATTCTTTTTTAGACCTCTTTCCATCTCCAGCATCTTCCTCTGCTTCTGCGTTTACTGATCGTTTCTTTGCATTTGTATGTAAACCGCGCAATGTGATATCGTAGACTACTTCTTCAATTTTCTTTACGTCATATTTGATGCTATCAAATCTGTTATGAACGGGTGAGGAGGCATCGTAAGGTTAGTTTTACCATTGTCTCAACCAAGCGTTGCACTCGTGCAAATGTGTATGCTAGAGACGTCCTACCTTTTACGTAATATATCATTTTTCAAATTCAACAATTGGAAACCTGCACTAAGGTCTTTTACGTGTTTGGATATGATCAACGGCCTCTCGTAATCACCCACCGTGACAGAATTGATACAAAGTCTCGACTAAAATTCAAAAAGATTGTATTGTAGGCAAGTACCCATCAGCCATCTGTCAACAGCAATAACTGTTCTCCTTTGTCTTTCTTACCATTTCATTAATGAGTGAAATGTAAGCATGTAGAATATCTTCAATAGGGATATGAAATCCTTTCAGGTCATGGTGCATATCCACTTTGACTTGACAAATAAAAAAAAAAAAAACCAAAAGAGTGTTAGTGCGGCCCTTTTTTTTTCGTATACATATTGCTTCTCTCAGTTACTGTCCAAGGTTTCTTCTACAATAGGTATAATATTCACAACTTCCTTCTTGTCTAAATAAGTGCTGAACGCAATGACAAATACAATCTGTTGAACTGTTCTTGACCATAAATCATTGTATTTGTAAAATTCATCTTTAGGGATCAAACTGGATAACCTGCTGAGAATTTCCTTTATTTCAGAAAAGTCGATCATGGGCGCTGAAAAAGACGAATAAGGTAAAAAGTGAGATAACAGTCATAAAGATAAAATAGTGTACTTTGTCATTCATACCAGGTTGAGTGGGATTGGCATGGACTTGATTCAAAGTGGCGTTCGCTTTTCGACAAGCGCGATCCAACTCTTTTACAGTCGTTCTAATCTCCTGTAGATGAGATTATCGATACTTTAAAACCTACATTGGGCCTGCAGTTAAGGAATGAGTCCACTTACATCTTTTCTATTGCTTTCTTCTTCAAGTGATGCTTGTAGATCGTTGAAAAAATTTAAATGGTTGTTCATTTGTACGATTTATGCAGACGCTTATACAAAGAAAGGGTCATGGTTGTCGTTTTCGTGTTTGTCGGGAAATCAAATAGAAGCGATAATATTCAAACCCAGGATCCTATAGCAAGCTAAACTAGTCATTTGTCATGGTCAGTCCCTTTTTTTTTTGTTGGGGGGCGGTTTCCTTGGCCGACCCACAAAAAAAGGAGTCACTGTTTTGGCCATCGCCACAATGATGCGGGCTCTTTTTCGGTTACTGCTTTCATACCATTGATCTCCGACTTTGGATAGGCCCGATCGAACCTTAATTTTGGTATTTGGAAAACAGCAACAAGAAAGAGGAAAGCTTTCGTTACGAGAGAATGGACACAAACGACAGAAACAGGAACAATGTTTACATAGACCTGGAACAGTATCCAGGAAATGATATAGAAATTACGTCAAATGGCTTTCAAAAGTAAGAAACGTCTGTAAAGAAAGATGGCAATTAGGCTTTGTTTTGTTAAGCATGGCTCTGTGGTTTGTCATTCTCCGAGAGAGACCAAGCATATACCTATCTTGTCCTACTTTTAAAATACTATGCGCACTGGTTTGACAATAAAAAAAAAAAAAAAAAAAAAATTTGGCAGAGAAGGTGATGCCAGTTTCATTTCCAAATGTTCTTCTTTTGATGACCTTGGTTATACTATCCTTTTTATCGTTGTAACATGTTGTAACATGTTGTCAAACAAACGACAGTCGTTGTATGCAATGGATGAAATGACCAAAATTATACATATCATAATATCAAAAGGACTATTATGCGCTTTGTAATATGTGCGCATGACAGAAAAAAAAATTTTTTTTGACAATATCAGAGAAAAAGCCTTTTAAGTGTAAACAATAACAAAAAGGGGAGTCAGTTTTACGGTTAAACCGTTTTCATTAAAGCAAAAAGAAAAACCAAGAAAAAGAGACGCAAGGCTTGCTACCCTTCTTCTTACGTAATGCTACCAAGGAAACGCATCTTTATCCTACATGTGCACTAGGTAGTACTACCTAATTCACCATGTGATGCAGGGTCCTCTGTGCACGAAAAACAGTGATTTGCTATTTGCCTTTTTGTTCCTTTCCTCTCCAAGTAATAGCTGATGCTGTTGCCTCTCTGAAGAAAAAAAAAAAAAAAATAAATAAAAAAATTGACAGATGAAATTTATCCTTCCCGGATCAAAAAAGGTCTAAATTTCTAGTAAAGGAACAATGTTTATATGCGGTCTTTGATTTTTTCGTGTTTTTTCAGATCCTAAACTTGTTTACGATAAACAGATAGCATAGTGTGTATGGTGTAAAGACAGTTAGTGTTACTTTTACATGTATCTAACATGTGAAGTGGCAGTGAAAAAAAAAAAAAAAAAAAAAATAGAGACAAATTTAATTAGATCAACAATTAATGTGGAGTAACTTGAACCATCCTTTTTTTCCTCCACCTTGACAACGGGTTGTCATGGCAATATGACGACAACAACAACAACAACAATAGAAAGAGATGCAAAAGTGACAACCTAATCTTAGACTGCATAATGTTTTTTTCTAAGAATATCTAAAAGAGAAAAAAAGGGCAAAATGAAAATAAATAAATTACTGAAATAGTAAAAATAAAAACAGGGCTTTTTGATCTCTATCTGTCTGTTTGGATTGTTGTATGCATGCGTACGTGGGTCTGTGTGTTGACAGATCTGTGTCTATTTCACTGCATTTGTTTGACTGGAAAAAGAAGGGTTTTTTTTAAAAAAAAAAGAGGGATCCGTGCGTTGTTTGTTTTGGGCTTTCTTTTTCTCGATGCTATATAAAAGGACCATTTAAAAAAGTAAAAGACAACAAAAAAAAAAAAGAAAAAAAAAGAGAGAAAAAAAACACACACACACACGCACACACACAGCACACAACTTATTGCTTTCTCTCCTCTCTTGCGCTGGTTTTTTTTTTTTGTTTTTTTTGTTTTCTTTTTTTTTTTTTTTCTTGTCTATTTTGTATCTATTTCTTTTCTCTCTGCGTTACTTGCGCGCGTAATTTACGTCCAATGACTTTTTATACTACCTCTGCTGCGGGTGCTGCTACAGCGACATTTATGGAGAATGCAACATTCTCGTTTGTTCATGATAATAATGCCCCCTCCAAATTGATGGGGCAGCAGCCCAATGCCATATCAGGCCTATTGCCAGCAACTCATTCTTATCCACCCTTATTGCAGCCACAGCAACCTTATTCATCGGGAGTAAAGCAAGATCATGACATGGAGCTACAGCCACCACCACTACCACCCCCACCGCCACCACAGCAGCCACCTTCCTCTATGAATACGACTACCAATACAACCAATACAACCACCACCACCACCACCCAAAAGAAAAAACCTTTATCAAAACAGCCACAAGACAAGGATATCCCAATTAAACCTACTTGGAAACCGGTCAAATTAGATGAGAAACCACCGTTCTCTTATGCCACTATTATTGCGCATGCTATCCTTTCCAGTGAAAAGCGGAAACTCACGTTAAGTGAAATATATCAATGGATCTCTGAACAATATCCATGCTATTCCATGAAAGATCATCGCTGGCAGGTAAGCATCCCCTTCTTTTTTATTCCCCCCGCATTTTTTTTCTGTGCAATGCCCCCTTATCAACTATTTTTTTTTTAGAATTCCATCCGTCACAACCTATCACTCCAGAAAGCCTTTGTCAAGTTGGAGCGTGATGCCAGTACGCCTTCAGGGAAAGGCTGTTTTTGGACGATTCTGCCTGGTTATGAACAACAGTTTATTGATAATTTGATGAAGCGTGGTCTCAATGCATCTACCCGTGGTTCCTCCTCTTCTCGCTCGGATGCGTCCTTCTCGTCGTCTTCTGGTGCGGGCGGTGAGGGTCATGGTAAGAATGGCGGTAAAACCATTGGCGCAGCGACGCACAAACAGATCAAGAAATTCATGGACGCGACCAAGCTGAACCAAGCCAATTCCCCCTTGTTTACTATCTTTCGGATGAACCCCACGACAACGACAACGACAACGACAACGACGACGGCGACGGCGACGGCGACGGCATCCACAACAAAGAGCAATGCAAAGGCAGCCACACCCAAGCCAATAGCATCAGCAGCGACAACGACAACAACAGGTTCTATCAAAAGAAAGAAATGCAGTAGCCATAAAAGGCAATCGCTTGTGGTAGAAAAGAGACGTTCAGCCCATGCGACGATGATGGACGCGGAAGACGAAGCGGACGACGACGAGGACGACGAGGACGACGAGGAGGAGGATATCTCTTCCTGTTGTTCGTCCAGCCAAAGTGATGATTCTGATTGTGACAGTGGCGTGGATTTTGACTGTGAAGTATTTCCTCAGAATAAAACGAAAACCAAGAACAAGAGCAACAACAACCACCGACGCCATCGTCACCGTCATCATCGCCATCATCATTGCCGTCGTCATACCCACCGTCGCTCGCAACTGCAAAGAAGACCGATCCCTGTGCTGTATGGTGGTGAGCAGCAGCCCTCTGCCTACTTGTTGCAGCATCAGCTGCCTTATCCACCGCCGCCGCCGCCGCCGCCCTCTCTGCAACCCCCCATGTATCTCTCCTCTCAACAACAACAACAACAACAGTTGGATCAGTTCCTCTTCAACGACAATGCCTTCTTTTTCCCTTCCACTACACCGACACCTACACCGGCGCCTGCGCATGCGCCAGGCAATGCCTCTCATCCTCAGGATTTTTTATTTATGGATCAGCCGCTGATAGCATCCAATCACACGACGGTGCCAGCACCCACCTCCTCCTGCCCCCAAGATTATTTGACTTCTCTACTGGACTTTCAAGCACCCCAAGCACAACCCAATCATAATAATACCCATATACCAACCTCCACCCCTTCTCCCATGATGATCACGCATCCTTTCCCTCATTCAGCACCACCCACAGCATCCACATCTCAAGAGACATCCTCCTTTATCCCTACACCCACCTCCGTGCAAGATTTCCTGTATACTCCTTATTACATGCAGACGTGTCCATCCAACGCGTCTTCCAACTCTACAACGTCCACAAGGACAACCCACAATCCATTACAACCCTCTCCGTTACAACTCCCTCTCGCGGATTATAGTCAACCCATCTATAACCCTACAACGCCTCAACCCACTCATCAAGGAGGTGCTGGCTTTTGTCTTTAGAAAAAAACAAAAGCAAAAAAAAAACCAAAAAAACCATAGAATCTGTTATTTTTTATTTATATGATTAAAATATAAAAATGAACTTTTTTTATTTTATTTTTATTGTCTGGCTGTAAAAATGTAGTATGAAGAGAGAGAAAAACAAAACTTAATATTGTGGACGATGCTGATGATGTTGATAATGACTATTAGGTTGAATGGTATTTTGATGATAAGGAGGATAAGGCTGAGGCGGGTAAGGTGGTTGCTGTAGCATAGTAGGAGTAGGAGTCGTTGTTGTCGTCTGTGTGAAATGGGTGAGGATGGGTGTTACATAGGGTGATTTTTTGGCTTGGACGAGGGAGGCGTGTGGTTCATGGTGATGAGGGTGATGATGATGATAAGGATGAGCGTGATGGGCATAGTGGTGGACTTTTAAATACAAGTGGGTCACATGTTGCATCACCTCTTCAAACTCCTTCAATTGGATCTCCAGATGATAATCCAGTAACTGCAGCAACTGTGTTTCCATCAAATTGATTTCATGGCCTGTAAACAAATGCAAAGCGTACCCTGTCCAGTATTTATTTTTGATCGCTGTGTCGTGGATGTATTTCGCAGCCACCATGAGGGTCGCTAAAAAGATGCGATGATGGGTGTATTCCATTCCCTGCGACGTGGTGTAGAGTTTTTCCCGAAGCCGTTTGGCATAACATAGAGACGCGAGCAACGTACCATTATCCAGCCTTGACCTCCTAATCACGTGTTCGACAAAGTAGCGAAAGGGTATATGGCTTTTGGGTATCGTTGCCTGGTGGCGATGGCCATGGTGGTTGTGATAGGGAGGGGACGGTATGCCTGACGCTGGACGATCGACATGGTGTTGACTGTATTTTCTGTTGTAATGGTGACTGATGAATTTAAAAGGCGCTGGTGGTGGTGGTGATGGTGAGAGCGGTAAAGAGAGCAGGTCATGATCCTGACGAGGTGCGTGGGGTGTGTGGGGTGAGGAGGACGTGGAAGAATAAGGCGAGCAAGGGGTAAAGGGATCAGGACGCGTTCCCATGGTGCTGGCAGACGATGTAGATGAAGATGTGGTTGAAGAAGACGATGAAGAGGCTGACCGAAGCGAGGGACACGAGATAATGGATTCGAATTCTTGCGTGATATAGTCCAAGAGATAGCCTTCCGGCTGCTGTCGAAGCATCTTGTCAATGATCATCAAGCTAAAGGAAGAAGAAGAAGCTGGATAATGATGATTGTTGTACATTAAAAGGGCATTTCTATCACTCGTTTGAAGAGGACGATGGAAATGGCAGCTGTTTGCAAAAGATGTCATCCTTTTGTCAAAGTCGTTTTTTTCTCTATTTTTTTGTCGTAGTCTTTTTATATACAACCCCCCAAATGAACAGCGGAAAAAGGGGAGAAAAATGAACAAAACAAATGAAAAAAAAAGCTGTTGTGTACGTTTCTACAAAAGTGAGAAAATGAGCGTGCAAAAAGAAAGAGAGAAAACGTATTAAAAAAGTCAAAACAAAAAAATAAAATAGATGCATTATATTTATGGACTTTTTAGGAAAGTTGGAAAAGCTGGTCCTACACTTTTTTTTTTTTTTTTTTTGCTTTCCCTTTTTCCAGATTTTTTTTTCGTTTCCTTGCGGGAGAGCACGATGCGTTATATTTTTATATTGAACACATTTTACTCTGACATGCTAGTCGTCGATCCATAAAACCATATCATAAGCTAAAGGATCCAATTTTTAATTTTCGCCTTTGTGTCCTTTTTCATTTTGTTTGCACTTTTAAAGGAGAACAACCCTTTGCATTCTTATGTTCATGGCCAGGACGAAGACAGACCCGTTCTAGATGCTTCTTGAAAAAAAAATTAGTTTGTTCTAGAGCCTTTGTCGTATAAACAAATGAATCGCGACAACAGACAAGTCATTGCATCATTATATAAAAAAGAATCAATCTTCTTTCGTTTTGTTATTTTTCTTTTTTTCAACAGCAGACATTTGGGAATGATTTGCCTTGTTTTATCAATGGGATACCCACGCGCGGCATTTTTTTTTTTTAATTATAGAAAAAGGACAAAAAAGTCAGAATTCCAGAAAACTTTTTTTTCTTTTTTTGCTCTTGTCAAAATATTTCCATATTTGGTTAAAGCAAAAGAAAAGAGTAATTGATAAAAAACGAAAAAGGGGATTCCACAAGACCTTACAATGTAGTTTTGAAAGTGTCTATGTGTATGAAAGAGTGCTACCTACATCACCACAAACATGAACTGCGTTATGAATTCCTTTATGAGATTTCCCGCTACCATCCATATGATTTTTGTAGAGTCATGCGGTGAGCAATGTGAAAGATTTAATTTTAGAATACCTACGCGTATCCGCGTGTAGTGTGTTTTTTGTCACTTTCTATTTTTTTTGCTAAAAACATAGAGAGAGAGGATCGCTTCTTGGGTGTAAACATAGTCGTCTTATGGTTGGTACTTGAGAAACATCAGAATTGTCTAGATTCTTTATCATTCCCAAGTCGAGACTTATCCAACTACGTATCTATGACCAAGCTTAAAAAAAAAATTATTAAAAAAGAACCCCCCCCCTTTCAACTGAACATCTCATCTATTCTACCAACACTTTGCTATGGGCTCATTGGCTAAAATTAGACTCTTTTTATCCGATTTGGTTTTCAAGGTGTAAAAAGGGGGAGATATTCACATGGAGAACCCATGGGCGAAGGGTGGTCATTCGGTCATGCAGAAGCGTTTGTGTTCGTGGGTTAACCTGTTATTGTCTCGTAGACAGGCTGTAGGTACCCTGCCTTTTTACTTACTTTTTTTTTTCCCAAGCCATAAGAATCCCTCCGTTAGGTTTTTCTCAAATAAATCAAGAATGATCTGACGAATACACATTTGGATTGACAACAATATCTTGAAAAAATGTCTTGAATGATGATGTATGTTTTTATTTATTTTAATGCTTGAATTAAAATTTAACAAAAGACTCGTTTTATACACTTTTAACGCGAAATGTGAGTAGGAAGGGAGGATGGGGGGGTATTGAAACAAAGGGATTTTCCCATTGTATTATCTATCGTGGCGGTTGGTTCATCATAGGGTGATTGTTTGTGTTTTGAAAAGGTCTTTGCTGTCTTCCTTGAGTACAACGATTCGCATAATGTCCCATTTGACCGCATTTGAAACAAGTGACGTCTTCTAATCTTCGGAATGGCTGTTGTTGCTGAGAATGCTGCTGTTGCTGCTGCATGTTTCTATTATTATTATTATTATTATTGTAATTCGTTTGCTGTCGGTTAAAGTAGGGATTCTGATGTTGTTGCTGCTGTTGCTGTGAATCGTTTTGATCGCCTAAAGCATTATGCATCACTGGCAGTTCGTACTTTGGATGACCATTAGGACAGTTTAAGCCGTCTGGACAAAAGCCCGTAAGATAATTCTGACACACCAACTTTCTGACATGCTTATTTCGACAATTAGGTCCTATTCGCAACGAAATGAGTAAAAACATTTTCATCTTGAGGCTGCTCATGTCTTTTTCTATGCTTACCATGTTTACAAAATCCTCGCGCATACCAAGGACATTCCTTTTGTTTACTTTCAGGATCAATATGCAGATACATGCACTCATCGCCGTTACAACATTCACCATACTTTGAATAGAACCAACATTCTGGCATTTTTTTCATATTGAACACATGAAGAAATTCGCAGCTGTCGCCCTTTTTACATAACCCACGTAGCCAATGTTTGCATACCACCGACTTGTCTCTGTCATATCCTTTATGTTTGAATTGACAATTGTTGCCTTTTGTACAGGTGCCTTTTAAAAAGTATTTACAAATGGGTTCCTCTAATCAATCACAGCAAGGTAAGGGGGAAAAAAAAACAAGAATCGATGAGAAACAATGTTGGACCCACTTGATGAATGAAAAAAATACGACATACCTTCTTTCTTTGTTTGGTTATCGAGCTTTAATCCGATTTCGTTTCTGATAAACTCTTCAAAATCAAAAGTGATCTTTCCATAATCAATGTTAAAGATGGGTGAAGCGAGCATGTTTGTGGAGAAAGATAGAAAAAAAAAAAAAAAAAAAAAAAAGAAAAAGCAAAAAGAGAGCGTAGTCATTTCAAAAAATCGAATCCCCGCTGCAAGAAAAAGGATTACAAAACAGGCAACGTCACTCACTCATGCATTATCATTGGATGATTGAGTTAGTTTGATCGATTCTGCTTTCAAAACGCCCCTAATTCATCACATTACTTGCAAAAAAGGTATAAGAAGAAGGGGGAGGGGCAAAAAAATAGCTATTTTCTTTTTTTTCTTTTTTTCATAGTTTATACTCGGTTTAGCCATGCCTTCTCCTGCTGCTGCCTCAGAGAAGCAGCTCAATGTTGCAGTGATAGGATCAGGTCTTGCAGGTCTTACAGCAGCTTATTTATTAGAAAAAAACAACCATGAGCATCAACAGATTCATGTACATCTCTTTGAGAAAAGCTCAACGTTGGGCATGGATGCAGCTTCCGTTTCTGTCGGCCATGAAAAGAAAAAGTTTAGAATTGATGTAAGCCAGCCCATCCTTTTCTTCATTTTGGGGTTTGGAGGGCGTACCCTTGGTTTTTTGGTTCAGTTTTGCTCAATGTTTTCCCTGTTTTCATTCATTCACAATGCATGTAGGTCCCCATGCGGTCCTTTATGTCTGGTAAATGGGCTTGATCATTTGTTTGTGTGTTCATCGGAGGCTTGTACCACTTGAGACCAGAAAGGAGAAAAAAAAAATTTCCAAGTTGGCTCATGCTCCCTTTTTTAGGCTATTATTCACATTTATTTAGACTTTACAAGCATTTGGAAATTCCAGCAAAAGAAGCAAAATTTGATTTTGGATGGTATCGTATCAAAAAATACCACGCGTTCAAACAGACATTGGAAGGAGAGACACAGGCAGCAACAGCAACAGATAGAGAAACGAAAAACGAATCCTACCTCGTGTACAGTGGTGCGCGAACAGTCGGCCATTTCGACCTGATCTCCTCCTCCAGGTCTCCCTCCCTCGCGACCCTCCTGCTCGACCTCCTGAAATACATGTGGCGATCGTTTGTCGTCGCTTACTCCTATCTATGGCTGATGTGTATTGCTCTATGGATGCAGTACCGAGGACATTTCAAAAACCCAGAGCATCCCATCTGCAATATGACACTAGGACAATTTTTCATAAAATATCGCATTCATCCTTATTTCTCTCATCAGGTCTTTGTGCCGCTCTTTGCTGCCGTGTGTACCAGTACTTATTCATCCATGCTCAACTATCCAGCTTCTGAGATTCTCGGTAAAGCAGAGAAAAAAAAAAAAAAAAAAAAAAATAGGTGGGCATTGCCGATCATGGACTAACGCCATCCTCCATTTTCCCGTCATGGGTCCATAGAATACATGGCCATGGGATTGAACCAAGCCTCTTATGTGTGTGCAGGCGGTGTGCAACAAGTGGTACGCGCTATGTCAGCGCCGTTAAAGCACGTTCATCTCGCTACAGAAATCACATCCATCCAAGCCAACCCAGATCCCAACCATCGTTTCCTTTTGATAGACCAACACCACAACACCTATCCTATTGATCATATTATTTTTGCAACCCAAGGCAATCAGTCGCTCCGTCTCCTGGAGGGCCTGGTGGACGTCCTCCGTCAGCAGCAACCACCACCACCACCACAACAACAACAAACGGCTACGTCCGTGGCCATAGAACCCGTCCTTGAACAAATCAACATGTTAAAGACGTTTGTTTATAATACCGCTTTGGTCATCAACCATACCGATACACGCGTTTTACCCTCCAACCCTTCTCATTGGAAGGCTTTGAATTTAGCCATGGTCGACAAAACCGTCAAGACGCATACGATGGATAAACGCTTGATCGTGCCTTTTCCTCACGAAACCACCATGGCCACCCATATCCTCAACTATACACATCCAACCCCTCTTTCCTTGCCGGCCGCTCGTCAAGCGCAGGAGGACAAGGAGAGTGAGGGCTTGTTGATGCAAACCACCAATCCTTGTGTTGCTGTAGACCCTTCCAAAGTACTTTCCATCGCGTGGTTCGAAAGAGCTACCGTGACGCTGGAATCGAAAAAGGCATTACAGAAACTCTTCACTTTTGCCCCCTCACCGACAAAGAGAGAAACGTCGAGCGAGGACGACGAGGACGTCCAATTAGCAGCATGTCAAGGAAACCAAGGTCTTTGGTTCGTTGGCTCTTATTGCTGGAGAGGCATACCCCTTCTGGAAGGTTGTGTGGCCAGTGCTGAATATGTGGTGAAAAAGGGTCTCGCCTCATGCGAACAGCTAAATATACATGTACCATGGTCTAAAGACAAACAAGAGGCATTAGAAAAGCATCTCATAGACAGCCTACATAAGAAAAAAGATTAAAAAAAAACTGTAATATAGAACTTGGAAGAAAGCAGGTATCAAGTCTACAAAAAAAAAAAAAAAAAAAAAAAAAAAAAAAAAAAAGTTTCCTTTCTTTTATTTTTTTTTTAAATGAGAAAATGCAATACAAAAAAGAAAAAAAAAAAAAATGAAAGAAAAAGTTGTATAGAATGTATTTCTTTGAAAAACAAAATAAAAAATAAAAAAAAAAAAAACCATCCTTTGTATGGTTTTTCTTTTTTCTTTTTTTTTGTTTTCCTCTCAAACAAGACATCATGTTGTTGTAGGAGAGAGAAAGAGAGAGAGAGAGAGAGAGTCCATGATAAAATAAATTAAGCAGTACCGGCGAGTTCATTCTTACCAATGGTGTGAACCTTGAAACCAATCTTACGAAGTTCTTCAGCGTTCAACATCAAACGACCATCAAACAAGAAAGCAGGCTTGTGCATGTTGTCATAGATTCTTTGGTAATCGAGTGTCTTGAATTCGTCCCATTCAGTCACGATAATGACAGCATCCGCATCCTTGGCAGCTTCATAAGCATCGGCACAGATAGTAAGGTGTTCTTCAACGTTCTTACGGGTATCAGGGAGGTTGTCGGAGAGATCCATGTACATTTGTTCGTGTTCGACCTTGGGATCGTAAACAGCCACGTGGGCGTTTTCTTGGATAAAATCTTTGATCAATGTGATGGCTGCAGATTCACGGGTATCACCGGTATCCTTCTTGAAGGCAAAACCAAGAACGGCAATGCGCTTGTGGGTGATGGTATTGAAGAGGGTAGAGATGATCTTTTTGACGAAACGCTTCTTTTGGTATTCGTTCAAGAGATAGACCTGGTTCCAGTATTCAGCTACTTCGGGCAGGTTGAGTGATTGAGACAGATACACCAAGTTGAGAATGTCCTTTTGGAAACAAGAACCACCGAAACCCACCGAGGCCTTTAAGAATTTAGGACCGATACGGCTATCACGACCGACGGCATAAGCCACTTCATCGACATCAGCACCTGTCGCTTCACAAACAGCAGATAAAGCGTTAATGGAAGAGATACGTTGGGCCAAGAGAGCATTGGCAGCCTAATTTATATACACACACACATACATAGACACACAAGATGCGTTGTTAAAAAACGAGGGTTCATATTGAAGCTCCATTCTCCCCGCTCCCACTCTCACTCCAGAGGAGTAGTCCCCGCTTCGTTCTCCTCCTCCGCCCACACTCACTCACTCACTCTCTCTCTCTCTCTCTCTCTCTCTCTTCATCATAGATATATATATATATACTTACCAACTTGGAGAGTTCGGAAGACCAAAGGTTGGTGGTAATGACACGATCAGCAGGAACCCAGTTCTCATAGACTTCAGCCAAAGCTCTTTGAGCAGCAATGCCTTCAGGTGTTTGGAGAGCACCAATCAAGACACGATCAGGGTGGAAGAGATCGTTAATGGCGGTACCTTCAGCCAAGAATTCGGGGTTGGACAAGATATCGAAGCGGACCTTTTCAGTAGAGTTGGCTTCGAGGATAGTACGCATGCTCTCGGCCGTGCGACAAGGAACAGTGGACTTTTCCACCACAATCTTGGAGCTCTTGGCTACTTCAGCAATACGACGAGTTGCCTTTTCGATATAACTGAGAACAGATGAAAACGAAAGGGTGAGAAGATATGTAAACATACATTTTTGACGCCCCCTTTCTTTTTTCTTTTTTTTTTCTAGAATCAACCGCTGGCCCCCTCAAAATAAAAAGATAGAATGATACTTTACGCAAGATCAGCTGCCTTACCAGCACCCAAACCAGCCTTCTTGGTAGGAGTATTGACAGAGACAAAGATCAAATCAGCTTCGTTGATGGCAGTATCAATATCGGTACTGAAAAACAAATTCTTGCCACGACGATCAAAGACTACTTCTTCTAGACCGGGTTCGTAAATAGGGAGCTTGTCAGAATTCCAAGCATCAATACGAGCTTGGTTTAAATCACAGATAGTAACCTTGATATGATGACACTTGTAAGCGATGACAGCAGCAGTGGGTCCACCTACAAAAAAAATGACACGAAAAAACAAAAGGTTGGCTTCACTGAATCGAATGATAATTGTGTGTGTACTCTCTACAATGAACTACTTTACCGACATAACCGGCACCTACACAACAGATATTTCTAACAGAGACCATTTCAGAGACCATTTTTGAAGGCTTTTCAAAAGGAGAGAATGCAAACAAACAAAGAGTAAAATAAAATAAATAAGCAGAAAAAAGAAGAACAAAAAAAAAAAAAAAAAGGTTTGTAAAAAATAAAGAAAAAAGCTCGAAAAACTTAACAACCACCTTAAATAAAATAATTGAAGGCACTCTCCTTTGATTGGCGTAAAATAGCGGTTTCATTGACTATAACAAAAATTCTCCGTTTCCAACAAGAGCTTTCATAGCCCCACTTTTGTTGACTAGACTGAAGATCTTTTTTTTTTTTTTTTATTTCTATTTTTAATTTTTCCATAGAAACTGAGCAAAAAAATAAAGACAGCCGCTTTTTTGGGCTTTCCTTTTAAAAGAGCGGTTTGGGTGAGTTTTGTGTGGCAAAAAGACTGGTTTGAATCTGGTTTCAATTTAATAAAATTGGGGGATCCATAACGTGTGTGTGTGTGTCTGTGTTGCTGTTTTGTTACTTTTTTTTTTCCATATTTCAATGCAGTGTAAATAGCAATGAGATAAAGCTTGTTTGTTTGTTTGTTTGTTTGTCGTTCTTGTTGCAGTAATTGACAGCCATCAGATGAAAGCATTTTCGTCCACATGGTTTTTTTCGTAGGGTTTTAGAGTCATGGTTTTTCCTTTTTTTTTATGACTATTTGGGAGCTTTTTTGTAAGCTAAAACGTGGTTTAAGACACGAACTGTATTTTTCTTTTTTTGTGTAAATACATTTTTGACGTAGGTACATGTACATTTTTATTTCTCTTTTATTGAGTCCCGCCTTTGTTAAATGAAAAGGAATCATCTTAGATGGCGCTAATAGGCTTCGTGTTGCATTGGATCCAGCTTTGGTATCTTCTTTAAAGTTACCGGGAACGTGTCAACCAGTGTAGGATCGTTGTTCTTAACAAAAGGCAAAAAAAGAGACTGGATCGCCCATTGTAAATTTAATGAATCGTAATATTGTTTGTGTTACACTCTGTGAAGCACACCAAGACAACGACCACAACCCGGGCAGAAATGTGCTACATCTGTCAAAATCTTGTTAGTACACTCGGTGCCCAGAGTGCAGACATCAATGACTGACAGCCCTACAAAACGAACCTTTAAAGTACTTCACATAGAATGGTAACCAAAACAAGACGACTGTACACAGCAACCTAGTAGAATACAAGGTGAAAAAAAAAACCATCAGCAAACGCCAAGAGAAAAGAAGAAAAATTTTATTGTTGCTTACATGATAAATGCCATGAGCCACACCATAACTCCATTTCGATACCGAATCCTTGTTGGCGTATATTTCTCGCAAACCTCACAAAACGCCCTTGTTTCAAAATCAGGGAATTGCTGTTCTTTCATCATGATTTGAATTCGCTTTTGTCTCCATGATTGACCGCTACTAGGTGCACTTTTCACACTATGGCTACTACTACTACTACTACTACTACTACTCATAGGGTTGTTACCGCCGTCACCGTCACATGGCACTATCCTATCCGTTTCGTCATTATAACTATCTGTCGCAAGAACGTTCTTAGGACTACTTGGGTTTCTTTTGCGAAAGAAAAAAGAGGTTGTCCATCTGCTTGACTGAGGGGTGGCCATCGCAAAAAGCGAAGGTTCCTGTGCATGGTTTTTCTTTAAGCTACTCTGTTGCCATCTTTTCTTGCTGTAAAATCGCTGTATTGAAAAATAAGAAGGCTGGTAGGGTAAAGCATCAGAAAGGGGTGGTAGGATGCCTCTCTCAACGTGAGCAGAGGTGGGGGTCGTACTAAAATGGAATGTCGGGTTTCGCTTAGATGATGATGATGAGCAGTAACCACCCTGCGGCGTCAATGCGTCGGACCTCATGAGCTCTGAAGTTTGGGTGTTTCTAGCTGCCACGGTTGCTGCTGCTGCTGCTACTACTGCTGGATATGAATGAGCGGAACAAATAGATCGGCCTTCATCCTTTTCTTCTACCGCCACTGTTGTCGTTATGGCTGATCTTGTGGGAAGATACCGTTGCTGTTCATCATCATCATCATCATCATCATCATCATCAGCCATTCTTTTACTCAAGCTAGGCAAGGAGCTTGCAGATGACGAAGAACTACTTTGAGTAAAGGAACTAGTCAACTGGGTTGAGTTGGAATAAATAATCGGTGTGGATCGAGCTTGAGCAAACCTGCCATCTAGAGGAAAAACAACACTAGCAGCAGCAGTAGCAGCAGCATCATCATCAGTACAAGGAGTAGAAATACATGTATAATTTTTATTCAACTCGGTGACGTTGGTAGTGATGTTTGAGCCGTGGTACAGGCCTTGTTGTTGATCGTGATGATACTGATTCAGTTGATGTCGGTGTTTGATATTTCTACTACTGTTATTGTTATTGTTGTTGTTGTTGTTGCTATCACTCGTCTGATGGAGAGGGTGGTCCGTTCGCAGCATAGTTGGATCTACCACACCAACCACACTTTGGCTATTGGAAGATGAATGCTTTAAAGTTTTTCTAAAAGCAGCTCTCCCAAAATCTGTCATTCTTGCCATTATTCGAAAAGTGATGGAATGTCGACTCTTTTTCTCTTTGCTTCTATCTTTAGAACGGTGCGGTGTGAGAGAAGCTTCCATCGTTTTAGTACAACTGAGAGGCTTTTTGTAAAAGCTTTCCTAGTGATAGATCTAAAACGTCCAATAAAAGACGATACCAAGTAGAAAACAAAGGAAAAGAAAAATAAAAAAGTAAGAGAGTGGGAGAGAAGAGTTTGCGAAAATGGGCACTAGGTTATCCATGGTTTCCGTAGTTTTTGCAATCAGTGCCCAGGACGGTGTGTGTATATGTGAGGGTAAGAATCCAAAACTATGCAAATCTCTTTTCTTGTGCGTTCTATGTGTACGACAATGATGCTCTGCGTTCACATAAAAACACTATGCTTTTTCAGGAACTGATCCAAATCAAGTGGTGGAAGCGTGACTTTCCCCCCGGATGGAATCTGCTGATTGAAAAACGAACCAACCGTTTCAACTAGGTTTTCATGTATTGCTTTTGAGTGCAATGAAAATGGTTTTGAACGAGACAGCAGCATTCAAAACGATGATAGGGTTTGCTTTTCTTTTACTGATATCATTTGATTAAGCTTTTATCAAATAAACACCAATAAATGCATGTATAAAAAAGAAAACGACAGTATTTTACTCTAAAATCAGAAAAATAAAATAAAAAACTGCTCACTGTTTGATTTCACTTTTGGCTAATGCAAAACCACTAAATATCAATTTTTAAGCGCCTTTAAATGGATAACTGGTGATAAGTAGAGTTAAGAGGGAAAAAAAAAGTCAAAAACAGAGGACCCGTCTTTACCATTAGTTTTAGATTGTTTGAAATCAATATACTGTTCATACAATCAAATATAATGCATTTGATTACAAAGATCATTTTATTAAAAAGCTAACGACGTTAAAAAAATAGCAGCAGAATAAGAGTCTGCCTCTTTCCGTTCAAATGGTGGGCTTGACTAATAAGAACCTCATCAAAAAAATTAATAAACCAAACAATCAAGAGAGTCGTTTGTTAGTCCTTCGGTCCTCGGTAGGCGGTGTGCAGAATTAATCGATCATCCCATCACGACCATTGCTGATAGATCTGCATGAAATAGTGTTTTTTTCTATGGCCACAGCTGTCTACGTCGACGTAATTCTTCATTGACTCGTTCTCATCCATTTTTGTAAGCGTTCTTTCTTAATAGAGTAAAATGAGCCTTTCTTTTGATCAGGTAATTAGCACACCCTCATGGACTGCAACTTGGTTAATTAGATCTCTTTTTTTATACAGAGAGAGCTCACTTACTGTCTCGTTTCTCTGAAGGAATCAGCCTCGACACGGGGGGGAATATTTTAGCGTAAGAAGCGAGCCAGCCCCGATAAGAAGCAGAATATTAGTATATATACCTTGAGAAGTAATGGACACATGCATGCGTACAACATCCACGCAAGGAAGTAAGGTAAAAAGAACACATTATCCACTCTTCCTCAACGGAAAACAACAAAAACCCACGTTTGTCCAACCGCCCAGCGCATCCTCTTAATTTATTTGTTTATTGGACGTGGTTATTTCTTCCAACTTTACGTTTTCTGGTATATGAGTGTGATCAAGATCAAAGTACTCTACCAACTCTTTCAATCGCTGTTCCTGCAGTTGCCTCTTTTTAGTGTCATCTGACGTGACTATGCTTTCTTCCCTGTTGTCTTTTTCAACCATGTCGTTCTTCTTTGGGTTGAAATGTTCGAGCAACTTGATAATGTCAGGGTACACTTTTCGTTCCAATCCCTTAGCCCACAAAAAGTCCATATGCTCGTAACCATGCACATTTTTAACATAAACTAAAGGTGGCAAGTCGTTTTGAAGAATGTCGAAATCAACCAGCGTGTCGTTCGATCCGTAAAAGACAGCAATCGGTGTTGTGATCTGTCTCGTAGGGAATCTGGCCGGTAAATGGTCAATGACAGTGTTTACAGTACTGTACGGTAGCAGACTAGGTGTCTCATCGTACATTTGAAAACGTCCAGTACTGATGATTTGAAACCAATGCTTTTTATCACCGCAATCAAAAAAAGGAAAAAAAGACAGTGGCGCATTAGTCAAGTTGACACTACTACTGAGACAGCAACCGCCTCCTCCCTCCCTTTTCCCCTTGGTAGTAGAAATAGCTAAACTTACAACGATGGATTTGACACTGGTTGTGCTAAACAGGTGTTGATAACTAACTAATTTCTGAGCTTCTGTCATATTCTGACAATGCCAACCAAACAAAAAGCTGACTGCTCCATCAATCAATTTAACAAATAAAGGTGGACTGATGATCCTTTGCCAGAAAAGAACTGATTTTAAGAAGATTTTGCGACCTAATAAACCGTAGATAAGAGAAGGCGCGGCTTTGATTAAGCCATCAAGAACAGTCGACGAAAAACCCTTAGGCGTGGCCGCGGGTGCCAACGCAATGAATAAATTGATCTTTTCGTTTAAATCAGGATTAATGGAGAGACCACCAAAAGCTTGAGCTGTGCCTTGAGAAAATCCGATATACGTCAAATGAGGGGCGCCTGTCTTTTTCAAAATACACTACAGTACCAAACGGACTCGACGTTACTTAATGATAAAGATTTTTCTCAAGCTTATCATCACTTACATTCACAGTATCTGGTAGATCAATCATAGCAAATTCATTAATAGAGAATTCCCAGAAGGCTCCGTCCTTGGGATTCTTTGTCAGATGCGATTGACTATATTTATTGCCACGTGCATTGCCCATCCACACATCGTATCCTCTCTCAACCAAATAGAGAGCCAGATTTCTCTGTTCCTCAATATTGGAAATCCAAACCTCTGATGTCAGCGTCAGACCATGCCACAGCAAGACGACCGGCTTGCCTTTGTATCCATGACGACGAGTGTTCTTACGACATTGATGAAGGTTATCTGTAATGCTGGCTCCTTTCTCTTGTATTCTATCTTCAAATGGATGGCTGTCGAAACGCTGATACTGTGGTGGCTGCTGACAATGTCCGCTTTCTAAGCGGCTGTATTTGAGTCGATGTAAGCATAACAAGTAACCGTCTCTCGTTCTTACATAGTGTTCCTCATGGTCATAGTTCCTATTTCGTAAATAGGTAAGATGGATGAGGGAGTTAAGATAATTTTTAAGATCAGTTTTTTTTTTTTTTGGCTTTCTGTAATTATAATCTTTATGTAATACCAATAATTTATCATTTCTTCAAAGCTGGAAGCAAATTCTAGAGGACTCACTCTTGGTTCTTTATACGACTTGTATAATTTTGGAAATAACCTAGAATAGTTGATAAACATTATATCAAACTATGGCGTGGGCATTATTTGAAAATACTGCTTTATTGTTACATTCGAATAACAGAATCGATCCCGACAATGATGAACTTGGGTGTCAAACTGACAATGAATCGTACGATCGACTCAAAACCAAAGAACACCAAAGTGAACACAAAGCTTGGTAGCGATATTAACGGTCGTATAAACATGGGTCTCTAATGGTGGCGATGTGGATTAAATATAAACTAAACGTGGCTACGTTGTTTCGAAAAGGTTATAAGAAAAGAAGAAAGAGAGAGAGAGGGAGAGAGACAGGGAAACAATGATGTGAACAATTAGGTAGAGTTTTAAATTTTCAAATAGTAGCCTTATTTTTTCTTTTATAACCATATTCTGAAGTGGAAATTTGAGACCTCTCTCTACCTCTCACTCCCCGAACAATAGGTTCGCCGACTACGGGTGAACATTGGTTTTGTGCCCGTCACTGATGTGGTGATAGAACGATGACCAAAGCCTTTACAAGTGGAGCTTTTGTAAGTGAGAGGAGGGGAGAAGGAAAGGGGGGGGGGTGTCTGGTCTATCCTAACATACGAGGCATAGTGATGTCTTTCGATAGGATGAAGAGTAAATACAGAGCCCTACCCTGTTGCCGGACATTGACTAAGATACAATGAAGGGCAACTCTGTGCGGCTATGGGCAGCTTCAGGTCAATGAAGGTCATAACCATGTAGCCTGCTTTCATCAAGAGTGAGAATGCGCTTTCATCATTGACGTTCCTTAATAAAGTAGCTTTAGGTGACCGAAATTCCGTCTTTAACTATATGGATACAACAAATATGACCTGAACCAAAGTCAAGCAGCCATGTTATTACTAAATACTAACTAAAAATACTCTAATGCATGGAAGGATCAAACCCACTCTAATCAAGATCCAACTACCAAGATATCAATAAAAATGTATTTTTTTTTTTTTTTTTTTTTTTTTTTTTTATTATTCAGTTAAACTGCTGTGATTATGAGTGATCTGTTTCAATGCTGATTAATTTTGTAAAAATAGAAATCTTCAAATGTCCTTCTTCACTTCATCAATAGTGCCACTCTTCTTCTTCTCTAAAGCATTATGTTCATCAGCTAATCTGTTGTATTCCTTTGATTGTTGGTCAGCTTGCTTTTTTAAAGTATTGTAGTCAAGTTGTTGACGCTTCAATTCCTTGATTTGAACGTTCAAACTATCAATCTTCTTTTTGTAATCGTCTTCCATATCAACAAAATTCCTTTGACTTGTGGTTGCTTCAGCGGACTATCGAAAACACAGGTCAGCAAAACAGTTAGCTTAAATGAAACAGCAGTTCATGTCAACATCTTTCGTCTTACCTTAATTCTAACTTCCTTTAATTCTTGCTTACGTTGAACCAATTCGAAAACAAGAGCGCTTGTTCTATCCAAAATCCTAAAACACCAAAAAAGAAAGGAAAAAAAAAGGGAATGAAAGATATGATTATTAACTTTGTTGCTGCTTATCACTGCTGGCTTCGTGACAGTATCTCGGATCACTTACAAAGACAAGAAAAGTGTGAAACCAGTGAGGTATAGGTTGCGTTGAGCATAAAATCTCTTCGCCTTGAGGTTTGTGTCATAGCTGTAATCATGGTTACGCGCTTTATCACTTTCAATTTCAGCCTCAATACGTTGAAGACGGTTGATGGTATCTATAAGATTTAGGAAATTACATATTAGAAAAAGCTTATTTTGAATCTGCTGCCTCAAAGTGCTTGATTTTACCGATAAAAAGTACGAAAATAAAGCTGCATGTGTCAAAAGACAGCGTAAGCAATAGTATGCAGGTTAATCACACATAATATATTCCTCATTTCAGGAACTTCTTCTGTGCATGATATCCTTACCCGAAAATTATTTTTAATAAATAGAGTGCTTTGCCCATCTGAGAAAGTCATAAATAAAAATGTGTCCGCAGCAATCATTAATCGCTAGCCTACTTCATATATACGAACAAGTAATTTCACTTACAATAAACGATGTGGAGGCGAATTTCAGCATGGTGAATCTCCAACGTGTAGGTAAGGGTAGCTAAAATTTTGATAAATCAAACAATGATATAGGATATGATTGAATGTTTGGATGCAAAACAATAAAAGACAACTGTAGATGACTTACAACTAAGAGGCCAAAGGCGACCATCTGTTCAGATGGAAGCGTGTCATTAGAATTTAATAAAAACATTTCAATCTCGTTCTTCGTTGTGTCCCTGACTCACCTCAACCACCAAGATACCAAAAGTCAACTCGTAATAGATAGCCATATTTTTATCTATCTTTTAACTATATGCGTTGAGGAGAACGAAAAAAAAGAGAAAAAAGAGAGATAGTTTCCTTGGGGCTCTGTTTTTTGATAAATCATTCTGCTTTTTTGAACCTTTTTTGTCTTTTTTGTTGTGCATTTTACTATTGTTGTTTCTTTTGTTGAAACTCAGTAATATGCACTGTGGCTCATTCAACAGGCTATGTGATACTTTTTGAAGACACAGCGAAATTCTTGAAACGCTTGCTATGCATTATTCATTGGGCAGAGTTGATGCAATGCTTGCAACCTGGACATTTAAGATAACAAACAAAGAAACGAGCACTGACCAGATTGGCTACCCAATCACCGGCGACATATGAAAAAAGAAAAAGTAATATTACAGATCATCTTTCAGCTTACAGCCGGACTGCTCCAACTTCCTGAACGAACTTTCTCTAACCTCACAATAATGGCTCTATTCTATTTGAAAAAGTTCATACCGTGTTAACAAACTTAATAACAAGAGGGGTCTCATGCTCCATCCGCTCAGACAACAGTTACTATACGAAACAGTAGCTGTGTTTCTTTCTCATGAGCTGCTCGATCAAACGAACGTCTCATCCTTCTGTGGTTTGAACTTTTGCATTCGTAGTATGATTCAGCGGAATATCCAAAATTCTCTGCCAGAATTGCCATGGAGTTGAATTATTCATAGAATGAAGTACCAGTTATAGCTGAAACGTAGCTTTGTCGTCATTGTTGTTTTTTTTTGTCATGTGTAACTTTTACAATTAGAAAACACATGCCGTGATGGTGGCGAAATAAGGATCAATAATTTGATATAGAGTATGAATTGCATGGGATATGGTCATTCTCTGCTTAAACACCGGTTATTCTTTCCTTCTTTTTTTTTCACAGTAACTATACTGCCGCCAGCCTTAATAACGATTACATATCCGGGAACTTTAAAATGATAAATTAAGTAATGCATTAGAAAGATTCTAGAGTAAAGCCTTAATTTTTTTTGCGCCGCTTAATAAGCCTGAAATAATAACGCAAAACCAAACCTTAAAGATGAGCAGAAGAGGTAAGAGAAACGGCATTGAATACAAAACTAAAAACTTGGAAGGATCTTCCTTTTTTCTATTTTTAAATCTTCTTCCTTTTCGTCACCTGCCCATCTCTTTCTTTTCTTCTTCCATACCGAAATATCTGGCTGTCATATATTTGTTATAGATGAAGGGGACTTACAATAGAAAACATGCCTTGGAGAGATTGGATTACTATTACCAAGTTATCAACACAACCATTTTATCGAAGCAGAATGCAGCAAGTGGTTTGATTCCTGCTTCAGTTGCTATCACGGTAAGCCCTGCTTTTGAATAGAACGTTTCTCTAAAATGTGATCAAGCCGTATAATGACCACTTGGTGTCAATATTATCCAGACACACGGTGACTATACTGATGCTTGGGTGAGGTAGGTTAAACAAAGGGTTCACGGACATTCTCCAAGTTGTAATTTCATACTGACACGTAACATTGTTTGCTTGAACTCCTTTAGAGATAATGTTTATTCTATCTACTGTGTATTTGGTCTTGCGTTGGCTTACAGAAGAATTGACGATACCACAGGAAGAGCATGTAAGTACAATTCAGGCAACAGTGGATGGGTTGCTATTGTTTGCTTCAGGTTGAAGGTGAGTAATAAACTTGGTCTGACTGAATTGCCCCCCATAATTTCATGCTGCTAGTTGAGCTTGAACACGCGGTTGTTAAATTGATGCGGGGCTTGCTGTTCGCTATGATGCGCCAAGCGCCCAAGGTGGAGAAGTTTAAAAAGACACAAAATGTATTGGATGCACTTCATGCTAAATACAAGACGGAAACAGGTGCTACTGTGGTGGGTGATCGTGATTGGGGTCATTTACAAATTGATGCTACTAGCTTCTTTTTAGTAGCTCTGGCAGATATGACCACGAGCGGTTTGAACATTATTTATACGCAAGATGAAGTGGATTTTGTGCAAAACCTGGTATTTTATATTGAACGTAAGTACTACCAAAAAAAGCAGTGCAAAAAAAAAAAAAGTTGTTATGAGGTGGGCGGCTTTTTACATGCCATTTGTCTATAACAGGCGCTTATCGAACACCTGACTTTGGTATTTGGGAACGAGGTAACAAGGTTAATCATGGACAGCCTGAATTGAACTCTTCGTCCATCGGTATGGCATATGCTGCTTTACGAGCCATTAATGGTGTAAATTTATTTGGGGCTCGTGGTAGTGCTTCTTCAGTAAGTATTCATTGTTACAATGCGTTGCTGACTGTAATACAGCTTAACAAGTTAATCATGAAATCAACCACCCTTCTCGCATTCTTAGACAATTTATGTGATGCCCGACGAGATGACACGTAACAAGATTACACTCTTAAGCGTTTTGCCCAGAGAGTCCAATTCGAAAGAGGTGGATGGGTCCGTCTTATCAGTGATAGGTTTCCCAGCCTTTGCCGTTGAGAATCCAGCTTTGTTAGAACATACTCGCACAGATGCCAAAAGTAAATTGGAGGGTCGTTATGGATGGAAGAGATTTTTGCGTGATGGGCACCAAACAGTACTCGAAGACCACACTCGTCTTCATTACAATGAGAGTGAATTAAAAGTTTTCGAAAACATTGAATCTGAATGGCCTCTGTTTTTCACTTATATGGTTTTGGAAGGGTTATTCTCGGGAAACATGGAGCAAGTCGAAGAGTACCGTAAAAAGCTCGAATTCGTAACCATTGACTCGTCCTTGTGGGATCCTGAAAACCCTAGACCTCCCGAAGATTATAAGAATGAAGATCCAGAGCTCCGCCCTCACCCTCCCGCTCTTTGTCGTACAGCTAGTCTCGATTTAACAATTGCACCTGCTGACCTCCATATACCTTTATTGCCGGAATTGTATTATGTGCCTAAAGAGTCCATTGATGCCGAAAAAGCAAACCCTCATTCTCAAAAGAGAATTCCTAACGATAACACGCCCTTGGTGTGGGCTCTTTCGCTCTACTTGTTGGGTAATCTCATGTACGAAAACCTACTCTCACCCTCTGAAGTCGATCCTTTAGGCCGTCGTTTTAATGTGAAGGGTGCTAGCAAAGACAATGTGGTGCAGTTAGTTTTGCTATCTGAGGATGAAGAGTTACAGAAGACACTGTCTACTTATGGTCTTGAAACTCAATCACTTGATCAAATATCTTCAAGCTTCACTGTTTTGCCTCCTCAAGCGCTTGTGGATGTGTACGGTGCATTAGGTCAAAACTCTAAGCTGGGTTTGACAGGTAGACCTAGGCGTCCCATTGGAACTTTAGCCACTTCTCGTCTTTATCGTATTGAAGGACACATTTACGCTTTCACACCTCAGTTTATGGATGTTGATACTTTTTATCTTAACTCAGATCCCGATTATCTCGTCTCCACTATTGAAAATGAACTGAGCTTTACGAACGCTAACTGGCTCTTTGCAGGCCGCCCGACGATAACAATTGTCCTGACCAACGCTATGTTAGGAGATATCAACCGAACAGAAATTGCACCTGCCAATTGCAGTCTATCTTTGACAAATGCTTTATTGTCGGCTGATGCTTCTAAGAAGAACTTGCTCAACTTTTTCATGAATTTACGTTCGGGAGAATGCAATGGTGTTCGCGTTCGTTTATCGCGTCTCGTTGAAACTGTGAATACAAGCAACATTGAATCCCTCGACTTCTTGGTCAACAAACGTGACGTAGATTGGAGTAATATCCTCTCCATGAACAAATCTCATCGCTCCGGCAGATCTTACCGTCGATTGAATTTTGATGAATCCGGTATGAGTTCTCCAGGTGGTGCTCTTACCCCAGGTGGCCCAGGAGCAAGAACACCTCGCCGTCGCAGTGTGTTTGGTGGTAAATTGTTGGGAACTCCTTTGAATAAACTGGACGATAGCGATACTTATTTCCAAGACGTTGCTGCTGCTTTGGAGAGAATTAATAAAAATACTGTGAGCGCATTCAAATTGAAAGATCACGAAATTGTTCCTGCTCACCCAGTGAATAATGCCACACCTCCTGGTCGTGCAGATTCTCCTCCTCCTAATGACGCCACGAGTGATGCCCAAACGAGTAAGAAGCCAGTAAATATCGTGATCGATACTGCTGAGGGTAATGAAAGTGGCGACAACAATGAGGTACTTTTATCTTTGACTCTGGGCGATATTTCACAATACAACGACGCCGTGAAAAGCCTCCAAGATTCTGTTAATTTGTACGATCAAATCGATTTGCTGCAATATCTAGCCTCTGTGAAAAACTTGGACGAATACATTTATGAACTTGATGCCACCCTTCGTGAGCTATTGGAAGAAGTATACGTAAAATCGAAACGACTTCAATATTGGTCTATTACTCGTCAAGCAAGTGGTTTATTGTGCAAGACGATGCCTACTTTGACTTACAACTTAACCGACCTTATCATTAACAATAAGCAAGTTAGTATCGGTTCCGGTACTTCAGAACAATTCATTTCCACTCCTCTCAGCCCCGATGCGCTTACCAAGATGATATCAGAACAATGCGCTGATGATGTTCGTGAAGGACCTGTCGTTCAAGAAATCATCATCTTTTTGGGCAACTTCATTCGTACTAATCCTCGTATGTTTGAAGGTATCTTACGTTTGCGTACACACTTTATTATTATTGCTTTACGTGAAGAAATTAGCCGTACCAACAGATATAATGAAGAGGAAGCTATTGAACATCTGATGCAATTATCACCTTTCGAGTTGCAATCCTTATTGGGTACCGTCATGTCTGGTCCGGGAATGTGTGAGGAGACCACTATCATGGTTCGTGATAAACCAGGAGGATTTTTGATCTTCAACCAAGAATTTGATCCCAATCGACAGCTCAGTACGGAGGTTCCAGCTCTCAGTCTACCTCCTTCTAGGAAACTCTCGCGAGCTTCAGCAGCTGAAGGGAACACAGAGAATATCAGCGACAACCAGAAAAACAGCAATGATGACAAGATTATTATTCGAGCTCAGTCCGGTGGTTATAATGACGGAAACTTTGCTCGCGCTGAAATCAATGGTAGTGTATTAGCTGCCAACACTCGTGGTCTCCATGTCTGGGCAATTGATCGTCTCGAAAACCTAGTCTTGCAACATGCTTCTTTCGATACTCATATATCTACAGAAGAAAGCAATGATCTCGTTCAGTTCATCGTCGGCTTAGTGCCAGGTATTATCGTTGTGTTCGCTTCGAAGGATGATTTTACTGAGCATTTAACTGAAGAGGCCAAGGATGCTCTCAGAAGTCTGGGCGCAGAAAAGATTGATCAAGTCAAATACCGTGATTCTTACGTCTTGATCGCTGAAAAGAACGGTGATCGTACTATCGAAGCTCATCGATCTACGAATGATGGCCCAACTGAACTGGTTGAAATTGAGTTCGCTATGCTTAAAAAGAACGATATCCAGCCTTCCGAGATTAACTATGATAATATCAGTCATTTTTGTCCAACTTCGAATGGTCGTTGGTTACGTCGTCGTAAAAATGATGGTGCTCTTAACCGTGCTCCAAGACATTTCTTCTCTCGAATTTGGAAAGTTTTGGACTCATGTGAAGGTTTTCAAATTGGTTCTCACTACTTACCCCGTGATCCTATTGTATTTGAAAAGACACCTGAGGAATTCAACTTTGCTTTAGCAGTCGAAGGTTTCTTGGGTATATTGAGAGATCCTGCAGAACGTCAAGTTGGAGTCGAGTTATTGTCACAGATTTACGAGATTCAAAAATCCAAGCCCAAGTTTGTCTTCATTGAACAGAATATCGATATCCCTGCTCTTATGAATGCTGCCATTGCTGAATTCTGGAACAAATGGATTGAAAAGAATAAGGCTGCTTTTGAAAAGAGTCCAATGTTCGAAAAAGGGTTTGATTACGAGACTCATAAAGACATGGCACATAATCTTTTCTATGATTTACCACTGGATAATAATGGAGAAGAGTCCACCTCAGCTTATTTACGTAGAAGTATATCCAGCATATTAAATATCTAGGCAACAGTAATTTGAAGTTGTCCATTGGTTATACGTTATTCGTTCCTTTTGGTTCTATTTTAGTTCATTTTTTGATTGTAGTGAATTTCCATAATATTTGTAGATACGTATGCTTTAATAGCAGTAAAATAAATAATAATAAATCTCAAGTCTGTAGTAGTAGTAATAGTAGGTTTAAATTAATCTCTGTTTTTGTCCTTGTTCATTAACAACACGTAAAATGTTGGACATAATCTCCATTTCTCCCATAATATTTCTTTGATCTAACCAAAATTTTTGCTGCTGAACGAGCGGCTTTATGCCCTTGCTTTGTTCCAATTCATGCTGTTTCTTCAATATTTGGTTATTCACTTTCCAGGTTGAAAATGAAGAGTCTAAGGCTGGAACCAAATCTCGCAACCTTAATGTCGATGTTCGACGACGAGTCAATATATCCATTGTTTCAATAGTGATGATTGAATTAGGCGTGATATTATATTTCTCTATGTTGTGGTTTTCATCTTTCTTTGCTGTTGTCGATTGAGGCAAACCATTCTCGAGTAGGTATATTTTATTGATATAAGGGGCTAGAATATATGTGAGAACACCTGTCGAGCAAGCACTTGCAGCAACAGCTGTTAAGACGAGTTGCGTTAACACAAAGCGGATTAGAGATTCTTTTCGATAAAGCAAATTGAGAATGTAAAGTCGTATCTCCCAATAAAGAAGCTCAGACATTATTTGCACTCACCTCCAAGGAACATAGTGCTTGATAAATTAGCAGCTTGCACTGTAGTTTGGAAAAAGAAGACGTTAATACTTCAAAGTTATTCATATGTTGTCAAACTTGAGAGCCTACCTGCAGGTGCATCCCAGTAGCACATTACGGTTGGAGTAGCTAATGCCGATAGCTAAAACAGAGATATTGTCAGCCGATGAAATTGTAACCATGCTTTTGATAGGAAGCTGTCTAAATTGCTAGCCTTACACCCAATGTAGATAGAGAAAATCTTTTGACAAGCTTAACAAGGCCTATATTTGGCGATGCATAAATAAGCTTTTTTTTAGCTTGTGCAAGAGTTTCTGTTGAATAACGTTGAATAATAAATCGACATCGTGGAATTTGAGAAGGTACTTTTTTAAATAAATGACATGTACTAGATCCGGTCAGTAGCATGGCACGTAAGAAGAGAAACAGGGACAGCCTGTCAAGCAATTTCCATTGAAATGATAATGTAGAATAAGGGTCCGCTGCTTAAAACGTTGATTTAACTTTAATTCAATTTTGAGCTACTCGATTTGTGTTCTCAACTTTTCTATAAAACTCCCATTTTTACCTTAATCCTCGAAATGGGCTCTGTATCTACAGAACTGTTTTTCAATGAAGCAGATTTTCGCATCATTATACCCAATCTAACTACAGACGAAAAGGAGCAAATAGAATCTGCGGCCATCTTAGAAGCCCAACCGCGTCAATTTGCCTTCTATGGTAAACTCCAATGCTAAATTATTGAAAGGGGAAGCAAAACCATTAGAACGTACCTAATTACCCTTTCTAAAACTATGCTTTCAAAGACGAGCATTTGCAAGTATATCTATTAGCCTGTCTCTCTCAACAAATCACAGGCACTGGTGATGAAGTCAAGGAAGCCGTTCACTCTTTTTACAGTCAATTAGACGTCACCGTAGATGCCACATTCGTAGATAATGTACCCAACCTTCAATCGACAGGCTTGTATAGATCTAATTCAGTACCTACTCAGTCACCCAACATAGGATCTGCTTCACCAAAGATTAGTGCCAGTCAACCGCACTACCAACATCAACGTAGAAGCGTTTTGAACGATGTATCAACACCTTTTTTCACTCAGGCACACAATAGAAATAGTAAAGATTCCATGATTCTTTTCGAGAACGACAACAACTATTGCTGTCTTTACCGGATGCTTATTCCAATTGGTAAAACTTTTTGGTAAAGAATGATAACCTCATTCTATGCAATTGAAAAATAACTGATTTTTGGGTTTCGACGTATTAGTTTATGCAAAAGCAAAATCCACAAATCCAAGTCTATCTATAAATTATACTCTTCAATATAGACCGCAGTCGACGAAGCGAGCTAGCTGTTTGATGGATAACAAAACGACAGATGATTCAGAATATGATACAAATCTATTCGAAACTATCAATTTATTGAGTGGATTAGAGGATGGTAAAGGAGGCAAAATTAATGATCTTTAAACTAATGTATTTACGCGTACTTTCTGAACTATCAATGAATAGATCCAGTCTTTTCAAATCAAAACTATCCTTTACAGCGCTTTGTTATAGATGGTCAACAACGGCCACTCAGTGCAGACTCGTCATGGGCATCTGTTCAAAATTCTAACCTCAATGCGAATTCTCCTACAGCTACCAATCAATTATCACTTAAACGGAATATTAGAGAGAACTTACCCATTCGTTCAGGTCTCGTCGTTAAAATGCGGACAACCAACGCAGCAGTAACTGATAAAATGGTAATGATGTCTGTCGAGCTGGAAAATCCTGCTGATATAGGTTGCGAATTTTTAATTGATGAAGTAGATGTGCAGATATCTAATGCAGTTGTTACAACAGCCTTCCAACAAACCGAAGAGCAAAGCAAGTTTCCTATCTTCCTAAATAAATCAGATTTGATGGTCTTTGTATATAATATTACACTATTAGAAGATGGTTCGGTTAAGCCACCTACCCAACAACGTATATTTCCATCGCGCCGGTCTTATCAACAGCAACAGCAACAACCACAACAGCTTCCCAATGATGAGAAACCCCGACCTCAAAGAGTCTCTATACAAGTAGTCGCTTGTCCAATTATCGACGGCAAAAAAGCCTTACCAATGCGATCAAAATGGAATACGATGCTAGATGTCTCTGGACGACATTTTCATCAACAGCAAAGGCGTGATCTTGACCCTTTACAGGAAACAAAATCATCTAATTTGACAAGGTCGCAGGATTTGAACAGTGTTAGCAGTACAAGCCCCGCTATTTATTCGCCAGGTGCAAGGTCTATCGTAGGGAGCCCAGTAGGGCTTGGTAACCAACATATGGGTGCATCTTTGGAAACAGTATTCGGCTCAAGAAATCCATTACCAAACCAGCAACCTATAGGAGTTATTCCGGGATCACCAGCGTCTGTCTCTAATAATTCCGATACCCAATTGATGAGGGAAAGGGCGGATGGTATCGTCGTATCATTCACTGTACCGGACTCTATTCGAGTGGGTAAAACCTTCCCTTTACACATATTTATTGTCAATCGATCAAAGCATACTCGACGTTTCCAAATTGTGATACCCAATCGTAAGAGACAACCTGCTAATATACAAGGCCATATTATGAAGTCAACTTTACCGCCATTACCTTTGGAGAAGTTACCCATAGACCCATATATGTCTGAGTCAGGTTAGGAAAGAAAAAAAAAAGAAAAGCCTACAATTTACTTTTTATTCTTGATATTTATCAATTATATTCTTGTATCATTCACTATAGGATTCCTAAAACAGTATTTCGAAAACGAAACACATGAAGCAGATATTATCTGTTTAGAGAATAATGTGAGATTAAGGTATGCCAATTGGAAAAATCGTTGTAAGCTTAGTCTGTCATATTCTAATTCATTCTTATTAGTCCACTTGGTCCTTCTACTTCGCAAAGTGTAGATATACAATTTATTGCTGTCAAAGACAAATTGCACACAATTGACTTGATCCAATTGGTCGATCTAGATACTGGTTTTGTAACCAACCTTCGTCAGGTTTTGGAGGTTTATGTAGAGCCATAAATCAATAATTCAAAGTAGAAACGGGGCACTCAGCTGCATAATTTTTCTACATCATTGAACAATTAGGCACCTGATTTTTGTGGTCGCTTGTGTACCTTTTTTTTTTAACTTTGGTTAGCCGTTTTTGTAGAACACATCGTTGTTCGTGATTAAGTATTAAATGGCAACAATGTCCTTTAGTGATGTATTAATAGAAAGGTTGCAAGCACGGGATAACACTGTTCACAAATTTCATACTATTATCTCTAAGAGTAATGATCCTTCATTGAATAAGAAAATATGTTTTGATTCCGGGTAAACTCATTTCAATATTTTTACGTGGTCTCAATAGATAATCAGCTTTTGAGATCAATCGTTGAATTAGAAAAAGCCGTTGAACTTGCTAAAATTACACAGCACATTCCTGAGGGAAGGTACTTGTAAACCAAAAGCGTCCAACTAAATGCCATCGACAATACTAATGAAGGTTATATTGACAGTCCTTCACAACAGGTAGCCGACTTGGACCGGCGTATCAAAGAATTGAACGAGGAGAGAGCTGAAATGTATAAGACACAAAGCGCCAATGCTCAAAGACTCGTTAATTTGAATGAGCAGTTGCGAATTAAGGAAGAAAAAGATAGTAAACAGACTGAAGAGTAAAGCTAAGTTGCAAAGAAGTCCATTCTTCTCTTTGATGATGTCTTGCCTAAAGATGCTTTTCCCCTAAAAATTTCTAGACTTAACAACTTGTCAATGACTATCAGGAAGTTGACAGCAACTTGTGGTTTGCAGAAGGAGCAGTTGAGAGAAAAGGACGTTGCCATCCAGGTAAAATGAGCAAAAAATTTAATTCCCTTCTGTTATGTCTGAACTTTGCATAACAATGTAGATATTGCATGATGAACTAGCTGCTTTACAACTTGAAATGACCACCATGGAAGATAAGATTAAAAGACTTACTACAGAGAATGAGCAGCTAGTCCAACGATGGATTAACAAAATGAACGAGGAAGCAGAGAAGATGAATGAGGCTACACAATTCTACGAAAGGTAAATATAGAGAAATGTACAGACTCGGCGTTATACAGACATGGCTGTTTTAATACATATATTGATGGTATAGCGCTTTAGAACAAGCAAGGAGTACAATTGATAAGCAAAAATTGTCTAAAAAACAGCTGAAGGATGACCAGAGCTCCGGTAAAACTCCAAACATGCCAAACTACCCACTCACGAGAATTGTGCCACCGGAAAAGGCTAGTAAAAAAGTTGTAAGTATAACAGAAGCAGATAAGTAACCACTCTGATATAGAATCTGAAGCTGACAGCTAAGAGGTCTTTTCATTTCTATAGAATGCACATGATACAGAAATTCACTGCATTGCAGTTTCCTCCACTGGATCCATATTTGCCACAGGGGGTGCGGATAAGAAAGTGCGGTTATTTGATGCCAAAACAGGGCATTCCCTACATTCATTATCGGGCGCCTTGCAAACAATCACATCGATTGCATTTAATATTACCGATGACTTGGTGCTGGGGACCTGCACTGACAATGCAACAAGATTATGGAGCCTATCAACTCATAGACTTAAGGTATGTAATAAAAAGCTCCTTTTTATGTTTTTTGTTATCAAACAATGAATTTGACAGATCCTTATTCGTATTTCAGCAAACTTTGACTGGGCATATCGGTAAAGTCTATGCAGCAAAGTTCACGGCGGATTCAAAAAAAGTAGTAAGTGCTTATTCTTTATCAATTTAAATAGTTAAAGACAGTTATTTTGAGGCATAACTTCTGCCACTTTAGTTATCCGGAAGTCATGACCGTACATTGAAAGTTTGGGACCTCCAAAAAGGATACAGTAAAGTAGATTATTGTAGTTGCCAAGCAGCATAAAAACTGTGTAAGAGCTAATATGTTTGTCGATTAGATATACGTACAATATTCACATTCAGCAGCTGTAATGATTTGTGTCTAATGGACCCCGATGGACAAACAGTAATAAGTGGGCACTTGGATAATACAATAAGGCTTTGGGATACGTGTAGTGGCACTGGCATCAAAGAACTCACGGGTATACACAATGGGCAAATTACCTCTGTTTGCATGTCACCTGGTAAGACTGCATTGATACTAATAGAAACAAATATCAATCCTAACTTCTGTATCTACTCTTTGTTAAATGAGATGGAGTGTCGCTACTATCAAGTTCTAGGGACAATACATTAAAAATTATTGATGTGCGAACCTATGAAGTTTTGAAATCATTTCAGTAAGTTTCTCTATAACTTTGTCAAGCTCTGTTGACGCATTTTGCAATAATTTACGACCATTTTCATATAGGGCTGACAGTTATAAAAATGGTGTAAATTGGGCACGATCGACATTTAGGTAATCAACAAAAATATCAGTTCAAAATGTTGGATTTCATTAACAGATTTTCCACGTAGTCCTGATGGGCGCTATGTTGCGGCAGGTTCAGCAGGTAAAACAACAAATTCTAATAACACTAATAAAAACTGCTTCTATGCTTACGCTTCACTTATAGATGGTGCCGTGTATATTTGGAATACAAGAACCGGAAATCTGGAAAAAACTGTCGCGGATCACAGGTATGCAATGAGCAAATCGAGACTGATTTATTATTCTATGAGAACTGTAAATAACATTTAACAACACTATAGTTCTGTTGTTTGCGGTGTTGCTTGGAATCCTTCAGGTGAACACTTGTACTCAGCAGAGAAAAATAAGATCGTTTGTATTTATGACACATCAAAAGACGCTCGATCAAGATGACAGCAGATGTGGTTTTAGACATTTGAATTTGTGTTAAGAATAAATAATCGATCTTGAAATGTGGAAGTTTGGAGTTAATTTTTGATATAAGCCAAAGACAATCCCTTCATTGTTCCTCCAAATCCAAATCTTCAATAACTGTTACTGTTGTTAACATTGATTTATTCTTGAATTCTTGGACTTTTGGTGCTTTCTTCTTTTTTTCATCACCATTTTCCTCATCATCTTCATCCTCAAAGCCGAGTGTTTCTTCATCATTATCAATATTCGACCGTAATAGTGCTGCCATTTCCTCAACATTTTTATTTGCTAAACGTTTCCTTTCTTCTCTGGCTTCTTTACGGGCCTGTATTTTTTCCTCTTTGGCTAATCGCGCATACTTTTCCTTTGTCCTTGCTTTTCTTTCCAATTTTCGTTTGTGAAAACCTGTTAGAAACTCTCTAAAAAGTGAGAATATAAAGTTAAGTGTCTATTAACAAAGTATGTTCCCCTTAATCAAGATGCTGTTGAACTCGATCAAAGACGTACTTTCGACTTGCTTCGTCAAACTCGACACTTTCAACAATGTCTTTCTTTGCCTTTCTTTTTTTTGCATATATTCTGCTTCCAGCTGATAATATATCAGAGTTCTTTGGTTTCTTATTGTATTTTGCTTTCATGGTAGAACTTTATCGTGATCGACTGTCAAAATTGATTGATCGGTTAAAGGGCAAAAGACAGGAATCTATAAGTTTGTTGTATTTCTCAGCAATTTAAGAGACAGTCTCAGAGAAAAAGGCCAAAAAATAGATGAAAAGAGAATATTTTACCAAAGTGTGAGTATTTTTTTTTTTTTGACATTGTAAACACTCCTCAACTTCTTCTGGCTCAGACAATGGTTTTATACTTTACTAGCGAAAGTGAGTTAATAAGCAGTGATGAGAAGTGTTACCAGAAACGATTTCGACATTCTCAAAATATGATACCTTTGCGATTTTCCTGTTTTGCCAGTTGTCGATCCTCCTGTCACCATTTATATGGGAAAGGACAAGTTTGAAAGTAAAGCGATAATTTCGAAAAGAAGCTCTTTTAGCCACGTTGCACTAAATAAGTTTGCTCTATACTGTGATTAGATAATGATTTAATCAAATATGGCTTTCCTGAAGATGTTTGGTAAGTATTGATTTATGGTTGCGCTTCTTTCAATCTCCTGATATTACTAACAGAATCAAATATTACATATTTAGGGTAACTAAAAAGAACAACCAATTGGAATGATAGAGTTTCATACATTTCTGTTGCTTCAAATATCAACAGCAACCTTTTTGAATACAACATTAATGGACTGTTCATAGTTTCACGTCGATAAACTTTCCAGCGCACACGTATATGTTCGTTTACAACCAGGCCAAACTTGGCTCGATATTCCACCGCAAGTTGTTGATGACTGCGCACAACTCGTCAAAGCGAACAGTATTGAAGGCAATAAAAAGAACGGTATCACCGTCATCTATACTCCATGGGATAATTTGAAACGAACACCAGGCATGCCTACAGGTCAGGTTACCTTCCACAATCACAAAAAAGTTAAACGTGTCTTTGTCGAAAAAAGAGTCAATGAAGTTGTGAATCGTCTCAACAAAACTAAAGTCGAAAGATATCCTGATTTAATGCAAGAGAAGATTAATCGTGAAAAGATTGATCGATTAAAAGCGCGTGAGGAAGAATTTAAGGAAAAGGAAAGGGCAAAGATATTGGCAGAAGAAAAGAGGAAGGCAGAAAAAGAGATTCAAGATCTATTTGATCCTTCGCAGATGAGAAGTAACTGGCGAGAAGAGGAAGTTGAAGATATTAATGCTGCTGAGGAGGATTTTATGTAAAATAATAGTCGTTTGGGTTATAACTGATGCTGTACAATAAAGAGCTTATTTGCGTAGATATACAATCATATCGGAGTGGGCATTATGTTGAAGTCAATTGATTTTGCTGTATAGTATTGTTATAAAACAGGTTAAAAAATTCGAATGTGTATAAATCGCCTTTTTGAGCAGTGACTACTCGAGGAAAGATAGTGGTTCAACCATTTAGATGTAAAAAAGTACTATGGTTCTAGAAGTAGTACTTCACATATTGCATGGTACAAATCTGAAGGTTCCTTTTTTGCATGGATACCAAGGTCAGGATTCTGTTTCTTCTCTAGCATAATCAATACAACGGTGTGATACGAAAGATGGATAGAAGAACAATGTAAACGCTATAAGGCTATATTCATGGTCCGTAAATGACTTTCAAGCCGGTAGAGATTGAAGTATGTCTCTGTTTTACAACAAAACAGGTCGATTTCAATGACATTGATTTCTTGCTTTATGAATTGCAACACTTAGAGTTTGAAATAGATAGACCTCTTCACTTATTAAATCAACTCTATTTGCGGTGTGTGTAATAAAACGGTCGACATCAATTTGGAATCCTTGGCGATTAACATAGTCCTTCCAGCAAGCAAGTTTTTCCTTTTTAAATTGCTTTGACTCAACTATTGATATCTTTGTGATTATTAGGTGCAAGTGCGAACAATATTTTTCTCATAATTTTCAAAACGTCATGAACTGCAGCAGCCTTACTAGCAAAAAACTCTTAAGGCTCCTAAGAGTAAATACACTTTGTAGAATCCCTCCAACTTTTAAGTTATTCGTTGTATTGTTGTTGCTAACTTTTTAAACAGGTTGTGCAAACTCTACAGTAAATGATTCAAGAAGGGTTCTATCGGGCCTACAGCTTTAAAAAATGTACTTCATAGTAAGCGGAGCACTTGAGGTTCATTGATTTTAATGATACGGAAAAAGCGTCCAAGAGCAAAAACTATATTCTTTTCGTTGTTTAAAATACTCCTATCCTATGAATTACTCCTCTTTGCCCTGATGTCGAAGGGTAAAAAACAAGCCATTGATAGAAGTTGTCGTATGAGAGGGCAGGATCAGGAAACTTTTTCGGCTTAATATTTATGATTAGAAGAAATAACTCTACTAACGGAATGACACCTTTCAAGCTTGCCTTGACTATGCTCGTTAGTGTTTCTGTGTTGTTTGCAATGCAAATATAAATGCTACAGTGGTACCTAGGTAATCGAGATTCCTTGGTCCTTTCAACTTAAACATTCAATATTACTCATCTTGAAGACTAGGTTAAGTTTACATTAACAATTTGTAAGGAAATTTGTATATGTTTTCCTACTATTTTGGATAAATGTATTCTATTTTTTTATTTTTTTCTTTCGGCTTCAGTAGGCGAGCATCATTTGCACTGTGTAACTGAGATGGTTTTGAGCAGCTCATCATGGAATATGTACTGAAATTCCAGATTTCTTATTGGCGGAACACTATAGTGCCTATTCAATTTCTTTACAGCATTCTGCCGCGATCAAGATTAATCAATTGTTTTGGCGCGGGTGTACTGTTTTTGAAAAAGCACATTGTTAGTAAAAGATCCTCCAATCTTTCAATTTCAATGCTATAAAATGAATGCACCTTCGCTCAAACTAGTACTGCTGCTGTTGTTCAGTATTGTTACAATTTGTGCCGCGTCTTATGGCGATCAACAATATGTATACAGACACTGTGTTGCCGATTGCGCTTCTCGAACTGACATTTCGGAACTCCCTTTTTATCTACGTCTATTACGCTGGAATGTTCAGCAAAATTGTGGCTACCATTGTATGCATCAAATAACGCAACGAGCTATTCAAGAAAACACAAATATTTACCAGTACCACGGTAAATGGCCTTTCTATCGCCTATATGGTATTCAGGAGCCAGCTTCAGTTCTTTTCTCTATTTTAAACGGACTCATGCATTTGCGTTATTTCCAAATTATTAGACGACAAGTTAATGAGCTTTACCAACCTTTGAAAACTTACTATTTGATTACTTCTATCATCGGCATGAATGCTTGGCTTTGGAGTACTGTGTTCCATACCAGAGATACCCCTTTCACGGAGAAGATGGATTACTTTAGCGCAGGATTGTACATTTTTTATGGGTTGTGTGTTGCTGTCATTCGAATCTTTGGTTTGCAGCGACGAAAAAGAGCAACAATGTTGATATCAGGATGGACAGCTGTTTGTGCGGTTCTCTATATAGCTCACGTTACTTATCTGTCATCGCGATCAAGGTTTGATTATGGGTATAACATGAAGGCCTGTATAGCAGTGGGATCTTTACAAACAACTCTATGGTTGAATTGGTCTATTTTACAATACACGCGATGGGGGAAGAAGGAACAAAGACCATTTGCTTGGATGGCAGGTTTATCTGTCGTACTGGTCAGCTGCGCTATGTGCTTAGAAGTCTTTGATTTTCCACCGTACAAAGGCGTCTTAGACGCACATTCTTTATGGCACGCCTCTACTATCCCGTTAGCACCTTTATTCTATAAATTTTTGTTAAAAGACGCAGAATTGGACTCTTTATCGAAGGTGGACATAAGCAAGAAAAGAAGATTATCTTAACACCTAACTGTTGCTTAATGATGAGTGCAAAGTTATCAATATTAGCGGACAAACCTCGTCATGATGATACCAAAACAACTTATAGAAATCAATAATGTCGATCTCAATCCAACTGTATCTGAACCACCATATTCATTTGTATAAAGTTTACTACCAAGTAAAGGAATTAGATATCTTGCAAATGACAAATTTTGACACTTTAAAACTGCTCTCTTGGCTGTTATATAGCCATTTTGTTGACTCCATGGTACATGGAGTGAATTTTCATAGAATAAAAAATATTGAAGTCAAATTCATACTCAAAAGGTACCTCATCAATCAAACATACGTTACAAAATAGAAACTGATGGTCAAACGTCGCTATCATTCGTATGAGCAGTATGTTAACTATGGGGCTATCATTGTGCTCTTAATCGCTTGATAAGCTATCGTTGTTCAATGAGTCAACAGTCGTTTTCTCAGTATATATTGAAGGATAATTCTTGAGATAAGTGTTAGAGAAGCATCTTTTGTTTTAAAATGGGTATACAATATTGCTCATCATCAGAGACTGACATTTTTTGATTAAGAAACTTCTGCAAATCACAAGTCAACTGACAGAATGGTATGACAGGTATATAGATGAATCTTCGCTCATTTAAGCCATATCAATCATTTATCGCATAATATTAACAGAGAAGTTGTTTTATGCACCATGTAGATAAATATATTCAAAATAAAACATTATTATTCATATAAATATTAATTTATTCACAAGTTAATAAATGACTGGAGAGCCGTAGAATTCGTTCTACTTAATTACAAAAAAAGAGAAATAATAGTAAAAAAATCAAAAGAAAAAAAAAGCTATGAGCCTTAGTAAAATTGTAGTGCCTTACGACAATGTTTTTAGCTGTGGAGCTGCCCTAAATGTTTGGAGTCAACGTTATGGATGTAATTAAGAAGGTTAAAAACTACCTGACTCGTGTTGCATAGAAGCGCTGATGAAATGCGAATGGTCGTTCTTCGTTCGACTCGTTTTTGCTCTGATATGCATTTTTGGTGTTTTAAACATGCTGAACATGAGCATTTAGCTATTTAGAGGTGTGTGGTTCATCATCACGGAATTTTAGCAATTCCCAAATCATTTAAGCTGCGGATTATGATTCTATATACCCGTCATATATATATATAGATATATACCCAGACATACACTCACCATCAGCCTATAGTCTCAGGAGATCAAATTCTAGCTACTAATGACATAATTTACCACACCGCACACAGCAATACCGAGCACAAACAGATGGATACATCGTTCGTAACGAGAGGTGGGAAATCTAAGCATTCATTTTATTGATTCAAAGATACCTAACATTGCATGTCTTAATACAATACTGTAGCACATGTCCAACTCTGCAAAATTATTCGTCAAAGGCGGGATTTTCAGGTTAGCTAAATCGGTTTCAATGGCCGCTGAAAATCAGGGAAAAACCTGGATTTCATAAAAAAATTTTTCTTAGCGTTGCCTTATTAATAACCCGTCGCGAGACGGGCCACCCTTTTTAACTTCTAATCGTTGTTTTTTTTGAGGGGAAAGATTGTCAGAAAGCGTCAAGTGGTACGTTGTAAAAGTGTAACCGATTTAAAAAAAATACTCTATATCCCAGTTGTTTCATCTTTTTCTTTTGCTTCGAATGGGATCCTGTAAACGACACTATCTTACAACTCAATCCCCGAAAAGCGAGCTAAAGTTTTACTATTATTATCCTTATTCAAAACAAGCTTCATAACTTTCTTTTATTTTACTGCAACGGTATTCAATAATTGATGACTACCATATATAAAATAGTCCTTTTCTCATAACTTGTGTATCTCATACGTTACTCGACTTCTCTTTTTCTCTCAGTAATATTCTACCTGTTCTTCTTCACTTGAACCAACATTTAAGCGAATCATCTATCTTTGCAGGAACAAAATTAGCACGAATCAGATAGATAAGGCTATAATAAAGCAATCTCTATAGCAATATTGCATAAATCATGAATCAATCTCAAACAACGAATATCAACAATGAGAATATGAGTACCAGCATAGGCGACATCAACAGCAAAGCACAAAATCAAACTGATCAGAATAGTAGTCAGCCTTCAATAGTGGATGAAAAACGGCTACAGGACGAATATGAGGAAGTAGCGGCAGATCAACTGGAAAAATCAGGAACGAATCAAGCAGAAGCAGTGAAAGAAAAAAGGCCATCCATTCTTCTTAACAATAACGACAATGATAACGATACTCCTAATGACCAACCACTACCACAACATTCTTCAGCCATGTCTATTGCCAGTACTGATGATGAAGACTATCATGAAGACCGTCTCCTCATGGATGACGGTATATTACCGCCCAGTATCCCTCTTGAAGCTCTCGCTGGTCCCGCCCTTATCCTACCTGCCAGTGTTGACATTGACGGTAAAACTTTAACTGAAGAATTTGATTGGGGAGGTCATGATGATGATGATGACGAAGATACCCGCAATAAAAGCAAAGGAGACGAAGATGAAGATGATGAGGGCAATAAAAAGAAAAAGGGTGCTCTCACCAAGTCAGGCGTCCTTATTTGTTTGAATGAAAATTCTTCTTACATTGCGTGGTCATTTATTATCTTTTTCGGATTGGCGATAATTGCTGTAGATGTTGCAATTTACATTACTTACCATAAGAAAGTAGTCAGTGCGGCATCTTATAGTTTACAATTGTGGTTTACATGGTTGGCTTTCTTATGGTGGATTGGTTTACTTTCGCAGATTTTTGTAGAACTGGTTCCTTGGGCAATCAAGAAAGCAGTGGGACTATTTAGATCACAATCTATTGAAGTGCTTCGAATGAGATTATCAGTAAGTCTTTGACAATTCAAAATTTTGTGCGAACTATAAACTGATTCTGTCGTGTAGAATGTTTTACTGATTCTCTCTCCTTTTTCAACATGAAAAGTATTATATGGCATTACGGGTCTACATCAAGTTGTTACTTATAAGTGCCTGGTGTTGGGGCTCATGGGCTGTGATCAAAAGCAACCTCGAGCTTCCTCTCCTCAGATCAACACCTGAGGAAGGTAATGTTTATGAATCTCCACCAGCCTATGTTGCTATTTTTCAAAGCATATGGGAATGTTTGTTCTTTATGGCGTTATTTCTGTTTGTGGAAAAGTTTATTCTGCAACTAATAGGTAATGCACAAATAAAACAAGCTTGCTGCTGCCCAGGAAGATCTTTAAAATGAACATGTTGTACTAATACAAACTTTGTTTCATTGTAGTTACATCCTTCCACAAGTAAAGTTTATTTCGATATAAAAACATCGACTAAAATAGCTTTGCATAGGTCATGAAAAGCCAGGAACTAACCGTATTTTTTTTTTTTCCGTGCTTCACTATAGAAAAGCGTATGGCGACAGAATCAAGGAAAATGATAAAGCGCTTCGCGTTTTGGACAGATTGAAAAAGATGAAAAAAAAAAACCCGCAAGAATTTCTTCTGAAACGTATCCGCCGTAAAAATAAAAACGCCAATAACAATAACAATGGTACCGAATCTAAACCAAGTACGCCTCAACGATCCTACTCTTTGGATGAGAGCAATAACCCCAACAATGGCTATTTTACTGCCAGTCATCACCCGCCATCCTACAAACCTTCCAACAATAATACATCTAACGCTAAGAATGCTAAACCTAGCAGCAAATCCATAATGACACCTTCAGATCAACAATATTTGGATGGTAATGCCACTGTTAAGTTCCCAACGAGAAATATGGATACTTTGATCGCTATTCCACCTTTGGAAGACCGTTTAATCAGCATGAACAATGGGAATTCTGTGCAACAGCAACAGCAACAACGACCACACGAGCAAGATGATGTAATCAATAAAACAGATGCAAGTAATCCGGAACTACCCCACGGAAAAGGAGGCCTAATCAATAAGCTAGCGAAAAAAATGAAACGACGAAGTGGCAGCGGAAGTCAGCCAAGCACACCAGCTTCTCCGGGTACGATTGATGAAGGTTATGCTTCTCCTCCTCCTTTGTCCAGAGATAGCACAGGTTTTCTGTCAAGACAGAGCCAGGATGATCATCCACAAAGGGGCTTTTTAAGTAATGCTGGAGCAGGTCTTAGTAGCACAGCTGCCATTCCAGGCAAACTCTTGAAAGGAGGTTATCAAAAGTTTGTCAATAACGGTTACAATATCAACAATCACATCAACCGAGGTCATACAAGCCCCTCAACTCAACAAGCCAAATACGTTGCTAAACGAATTTATAACAATTTATTGGGCCCTGAAAACACAGCAACACGTGATATCATAGTGGAGGCTGATATGTACCCCTTTTTCCGGACCACAAAAGAAGCTGCCTACGCTTTCGGCTTATTTGATCTTGATGGTAATGGTAATATCACAAAACGCGAATTAAGATCAGGCTGTATAAGAATATATCGTGAGCGTAAAAACCTGACACGGTCTATGCGCGACTTGTCTCAAGCAACGGGTAAATTGGATATTATCTTGATGGTCATCTTTACTGTGGTATGGGTCATCATTGTTTGCGCAGCTTTTGGTGTCAACGTTGGAACAGATTTGATGCCTTTATGGAGTGCATTTGTAGCAGCAAGCTTTATATTTGGTACATCAGCTAAAGATGCTTTCGAAGCTATCATTTTTGTTTTTGTCACTGTAAAATCGATCAAATATGTTGGCACAGTAAATGGAGGCGAAAAACCACTCACTCAATTTACTTTTTTTTTTTTTTCCAAAATTATAGCATCCATTTGATGCTGGTGACAGAGTGTTGATTGGAACTGAAAACTGGATCGTACATAACGTTGGATTATTGGTTACCACGTTCCTGTAAGCATGCAAAAAGCTGAAACATGCAGGAAGTACCACATTGACTAATGCATTACTTGCTTTCATTATGATGTTATAGTAAATGGGACGGTACGATTGTGTATGCTAAAAATTCTGTCTTATCCACTCAATATATTATCAACGTCAGAAGGTCAGGCAGAACAGGAGAAACAATAGGTAATGATTGGCTACAAAATATAGATAATCGATGACGATCCGATGAGATAGTAGCATGATGGATTGATGTATGTACAAAATAGAGCGATTCTTGAACTTACTTACACGGAATCTTTATATTCTTTTCTCTTTTCAATTTGATATTTATATAAATCGTAGAATTACAAATTGGATTTTCGACACCCTCCTGGAAAATACGCAAGATCATTGACCATATGACAGAATGGTGCAATCAATTTCCCAAACATTATACGCCTAATTCAGCATCCTGTAACGTTGTTTCCTTCAAAAATCAGAATTTGATCAACATGTCCTTTTATTTCGAACATACACAAAATTGGCAGGATGCAGGTGGACGTTGGTTACGACATAATAATTTCATGATGGAACTGAAGGAAGAATGTGAGCGTTTGGAAATTAGCTATGTTCTTCCTCCACAACCCTACGTTGAAGAAGGCAATCCTGCGAATGACGCGCCAGCAGATTCCTACAATCAAGGCGAAAAATCAAGCTACGGATTGGATGGTATGATGCAAAGAAGAAGACCCTTCCGTCATCAAGAAGACGACGTGAATAATTCGTTCAAAAACGCTCCCATCGGCGCCAACCCTGGCCATTCTGGTAATGCTCAAAGTGGAGGTAATGACTCAGGAGCAGCAGCAGGAGCAGCTTCTGCTATGATGTTTGCTGCAACCATGTAAAAAAAAAAAAAAAAAAAAAAAAAAAAAAAGAAAAAAAAAAAAAACCATGGCAATACCACTTTTTGAAAAGCAGGTTCACTTCTTGTTTATTCCATGATAATTATCTATTTCTTCAATATGTACCTTTTATTTAACCATTGTGCTTTCTGTGAAAGCCTTTTCTTCCTTTTTTTATGTAATTTATAAGCGTTGATTGTTGTGTATAATAAACCTGCTAGAATCAAGCGACAAGTCCGATTTTAATTCTTCTGTTGGCATCACTGGCACAGATTGCTCTTATTTATTATTGCATCATGAAATACTTGGTTAGCATTGTTGTAATACATATCCCAAGTTGGTTTCAAGCGCACAAAATTCGACAATCTGCAACCACTATTCTCATATCCTGCTTTTTTCCCGCTCATAATCTATTCTTGATTATGAAATAGCTGCAAGCTGACATTCTTAGTGCAATTAACTGTAATGAATTTCAATTTGTCGACGCTAATGCTACTTGATACTTTACATTCTATCACGAAATGAACTTGCCAAAGGTCTAAGAAAATCGTCGAAAAGTAAAATTCTGAAATGTCAAGAACTGATAACAATTCTTTGATGAAGACTTTGAATAGGTCACAAAAAAAGATATTGCCTGTAATCAATTGAATCAGTGTGCTACGTATGTCACATCTGTTTTTGAGGATCGTTCTGCATCGTTGCATTTGGCCTAAGAACATCGTTGTTAGATCAAAGTAACCAACATCTTCCTACACGCAAATACTATTACGTTACAAGGACTATGATAGTTATTTTTACAAGATAAGTACTAACAGGGTTCTATACGAGAGGTGCTATCTTATTGGCTGTGAATTAAAGCTATGAATATATTAGTCCTTTCTCTTTCGAAGAATACTTTTGCCAGGGTGATACTTTTCTTCGCTGTCAAAAGAAGAAATTACTCAATAGAGCATATCAGTGCTTCAATTATAATTGCATGCTTAAGGTATCAGTTTAATTCGCATTATCATCGAGCAATTGATGTTCCTTTGCTTCGGCAAGCCGCTACCTCACGTCCATCACTGCCCGTAACGCAGACTTCGACTCAATTGTTTGAGCTGAACGACACCTCGACCCAATTCTTTGAGCTGAACGAACTTGACTAAGCAGTAAATAGGGCCGCAAAAGTACCAAACGCGTATTGACTATTGATCTCATAGATCCGAGAGGTTGTGATTGAGTACCAGTGATAAATATTATGTTGCTGAAGGGCAAAAAGGCCTACTTACAATTATCACAGTCGGTTTTTTAGTCTTTGAGAAAAGAGGAAAGAATGAATCAACTAGGTATTCAATTGGTTCAATCATAGAGAGACAAGACTGACTCTATTGAGGTTGGTAGTCGTAAACCTCGAATCATTCAAACTTAAGAAAATCATGAACGTCTTGAAATTCTATCTTACTCAGTAGGCCAGTATATGAACAATTTGTTTTCATAACGAGTAGTAATGCTCTATACAAAAAGCGACAGGAAGCCTAAATACACTTGAAACATTTGTGTAGAAGAACACTTTAGAATGATTGAAAAAATTTGTTAAATATTGTGATCACAAGTATTCAAAAACCAACAATTCATAGTTAGACTTAAGATTGATGCAGAAACGAGGGTTACAAAAAATAAAAAAAAGAAGCCTGCTGTAACATTTAACAATGCGATATGTATTTGAGAAACCAAATTACCGATTTATCTGGTTTGATTAGCAAGAGTCCAGATGATTAAAAAGTGTAGCCAATGCTAAGTAACTGCCCGAAAACAATAGTTACTGTCTGAACTCTTGATTTTTGAGATTGTAGAGATTAAACTATATTCCATTTCAACCATCATTCAGAAGAGATATCGCAAAAGTAACAAATTTATATCTGATATTGGATGTATAATTAGAAAAGAGGCAGCTGTAGGAAGTGGACATGCTGGAAATAGCAGCAGTAGTGAATTACAAAGAAAATGCAGAGAAGAAGCCACAACAGCAGCCATGCCTATGCCCAATGTTAGCAAGCAGCTTTAAGGCTTTGTAATGCGACATGCATTCAGTTACATTTTATCTTACATAAAGAATTAATTTATTGGAAAAAAACGGTTTATGCTTTCTAATCAGATTACACTAGCAGCAACCCTACTTTTAATAGCAGTGTTCATGGATAACGTAAAAGATCTTTTAAGCGCGCCTCATGTATATTTCTAAGAGGATATTCAACTTACTAAGCAAAGAACAGTATCGGAAGATCTTTGTTTCCCCCACTATTTTATCGACTAGGACCGACGTATAAATGAATGCATTGTATAAATGAAACAAAGGCTTCTTCCAATTCCTAAATTAAGTAAACACTGCGGCATTTCATGTCAAGCCCTCTTTCAATGATGAAACATCAAAAAGACAAAAAAATCGGTCAAAATTTCAATTTTTAAGGGGTAGATTTGGTGCTTAACGTTAATGTAGTGTCCCATAAATGCATTTTATTTTATTTTTTTATCTTATTTGTAGAAACAGACTCAATATTTAAACTTGTGTTTTCCCGTCCTTTTTTTTTCATCTAATTCTTGTCTTTAGACTTCTTGCATACTTGATCTTTTTTCTTCAAAGCGTAAATACAATCTTACTTCTTGTTATTTGTAGCATGGAAAGTTCAACATTTAATACTGCTACCACCAATACTGCTTTGCCTTTCAATACATTCAACGAACCACAGCATTGTTACTCTCCACCGCCGGAATCGTATCAGGAAGGTTACAGTAACCATTATCCCACTTCATCTGATATATTGGCGTGGGGAAAACATCAGCAACAACAACAACACTTAAACAGGGCCCTAACTACCAACACTACGATGTTTAACGAGTATAATTACTACACACAACCAAGTAACTATACCAGTTTAATGCAACCAAGCCCTTCAACTATTTCCAATAATGATTCAGGTTTTGAGCAACAACAGCCTTCCCCTTTATATAATTATAATGCCTCCCCAGATCAACAGCATTTCTACTATCCTTCATTTAAAAGGGAAGACGTAATATTATCTCCTCAGCAACAGCAACTACAGTATCCAATAACAACGGACTATTATTTTGGGACAACAGCATCCAATGCCCCTACTAATGCCGTAACCATAACAACGACACATAATACAAACTTATATATACCAAATCAACAACCAATTAAAACGGAAGAAGAGGAGGAAGAGCTTTTTGACGAAGAGGACGATAGAAGCAGTAGTAGTCTTAGTGCTAAAAAAGCAGAAAATGATAATAATAGCTCCAGAAGGTAACGCTATAGAGTGCATCAGACTGAAATTTTAAGTTTTCAATATTTCCTTTTGCTCTCAAATAAGGTTCGTAACAAACCAATTCTTCTTTCTATCCTTACGTATCTTATTAGGCAGCAACATAAAGGCCCAGAGAGAAAAAGGCAAAGAAAAGAATCACATAATGCTAGTAAAATACGGCAATAAACATAGTTTGCATTCGCTACAAAGATAATAGGCTGGGTTATTGATTTATGCCTTCTTTATTACCGATAATATCTCATATAGTTGAACGAAGACGGCGTAACAATATTAACGATAATATTAAATATCTCGGTGAACTGTTACCTGAAAATCTATGTCAAGGAAAAATAAGCAAAGGAACCATACTCAAAGGATCTGTTACTTACATACATATGCTTAACAGTCAATTGGCTCAATGTAAAGCTAGACTACAACAATTAGAGTATGAAGTAGCTGCTTTTAATTCGTACAATATCAGCAACAGCAGCAGCAACAACAACAACGACTTATAAATTCACGCTATTCCTATTTCTTCTGTTTAAATTCACGTGTACTATTTACTACTTTCCATCGTCCATTTCTGTGTTATCATATCGTGTATGCATTTATACTCTTCATCATTTCATGCCCCTTCATTTTTCTCATATTTTACCATCTATAATTAAATTAAATAAAGTACGCTTTCGAACCGTATATGGGATTACAATGAAGAGAATGGCTCAGCAGGCAACTAAGCAAACTAGCTGCAGCCAAGAAAAAATGGTTCTTGAAAGAAAATAAAACAGGACCTAAATAAGGAAATATAGTATTCTTTCATCTTGATCGCCCCTGAATTGTCTGTGTGCTCCTTGCCGTTTTTTTTTTTTTTTTTTTTTTTTTTTTTTTTTTTTTTACTGTATTCATCTTGTTGTACCTCAGGTTGACATTTATCACATGAATAAGTCAAGGTTTGTCTTTGATCCGTCAGTGGAAGCCTGGTGATATCTGTTGCTATAAAGTCGTACCAAGTCAAACCGTACTCAACATGTTGTAAATAGTTAAAAAACACGCATACGTTCATCAGGTATCCTATATTAGGAAGGGTAATTCCAAGTTTATCAAAAAATCAAACTCTATCCTTGTAGCCTCTTGAAACGTAATCATCGAGCATCATTTTTCCTCGCTAAAATTGAACCTGACCTCTCGGCGTATGAAGCCTTTGTGCACAATGATTGAGTTCATTTTTAAAAATAGTACCTATACATACGGAGATGAGCATAAAAAAGGCGGGAAAATTGGCAACGCTTACTTCTTCAAGAAGGATAGAATAATTATAGCCTGTTTAGATCAGACGGATACTTCCCGCATGCATCATGCAGAAGTGTAATGGTTTGTGACGCCATTACATTCATGCGAAGGTTCTATTGGTTCCTATCAGATGCCTGTACCATTTTGAGCAAGTCGGTACAATAACAACTTTTGAGGCAACCAGCACGTTACTAAAACGAGTGTCCAGTATAATATGAGCGTAAAGCCAATTCAAAATACAACGCAGCAAGATCAAGCATCCAATCACATCCACCCACACTACAGGGAGGAAAGTATGGTTTTTCTTTATTCTACTTTAATGACAGTTTTGCCCACTTGAGTTTGGGAAGCAGCATGCTTATAGGCAGCGCGAACTTCCTCTTCAGTGAACCCAAACACTTTTTCAACGGGCATATGAATCTTCTTTGCATGTACAAAACGAACAAGCTCTTCTGAAAGCTGTTTGTTACCAACGAGAATACCTCTCACATGTGCACCCTTACCCATGATCATGGGAAGGATATTAGGCACGTTACCATCTGAACTGCTCAAAACACCAATGCAACCAATATGTCCACCAGGCTTCAGACATGTCAAGGATTTGGTAATAGTACCTTTTCCACCTACCTCAACCACAAAATCAACGCCTTCGCCGTGAGTGATCTTTAGCACTTCTTTCTCCCAATTGGGATTTTTACGATAGTTGACCGTATAATCAGCACCGTATTTCTCTTTGACATAGTTTAATTTTTCATCAGACGAGGAGGTAATAATGGTACGAGCCCCTGCTGCATTCGCCAACGCCAATGCGATCGTTGAAACACCACCTGTACCCAACATAAGGACCGTTTGACCTGCAACAAATCGATCCGCAGAACCATAGAGCACGTTCCATGCCGTGACACCGGCACACGTCAAACAAGCAGCTTCTTCGTCCGAAAGAGGAAAATCCTTGGGTAATTTGGTAACGCTATGACTGGGAAGGATTTTGTATTGCATTAATGTACCATCGACACCGCCGCCTAGACAGTAGTCTTGATTCTTCATCACCCCCGAAAGAAGATGCATATCAAAGTTGGTGATAACACGATCGCCTACCGCTATATCAATCACGTCATCTCCAACTTTAAGAACTTCTGCAACGGCATCAGAGCAAGGGACAACATTTTCTTTGCAGGGAAAAGGGTAGCGACCATCAGCAATGACAATATCACGGTAGTTGAGAGAAACCGCTTTGATTTTGATGAGAATTTGACTATCACCGAGTTTTTCGGCCTCTAATGTTTCTTGTGCGGGTATAATAAACTCAAAACCTTCACGCTTCGTGACACGATATACAGTTTGCTCTTTAGGTAAGGTGAGCATGATAAATAGTGGATTGTGAAAAAAGAAGGTTTTACTGCTGTCTGTTTTTTGTGAACTATCAAAATTATCTGAAATTGAAATCTGCTATAATGGATTCGAATTTTCTTCGATTAATTTTGTCGAATAAATTTAGAAAAGCAAAGTTCATAAGAGTTTTTGTTATTTTCCAGGCTTTCATCAAGTTACTTTAACAGCATTGCTAGACACGATAATTAGATAAAAATTCTTTTTGTTTTATCATGTACAATTGCAATCTGCTTGCTATTATTTCTTTTGTTTAGCCATATAGTGTATATGCATTCAGTGAACAGAACTCTTCCGGACATAGACATGATATATATTCATAAACGCTTTTCTTGATTCTAATTCACGAGCCATCGTTTCTATATCTGAATCATAGGGTATCGCATCACTTAAGCTGCTGACACTGCCTTCGTAACTGACGTCTGAGTCTGCGCATTCGTGCATCTTGATATCTAAATATAGATCATTGATCGCGTCACGGAATAATACGCCTAGTTTACCACCCCATTTTCCAATCGGTAAAGACGTGTAATTCATATAGAATCGCTGCTGCTTTTTCTGTAACATTTCCCGTGTATCAATGGGTGACGGTTTTTGATCTTCTCTTTCAAATATATTTTGTACCAAAGAACTCAGTTTTCGCGCTAGCCGTGGATTAATGTTATGGCGTTCCATAATTTGAAACACTAATGATGAAAAAGATCAGAATGCGTGTGCACAAATGAGTTCAAAACGAACATTTCAAAGTTATTACCTTTCCCATTAAGCTTATGTGTACATGGACCGGGTCTGGGGGAGCCATAGATTCTCATGTCCATTTCATGGAATTCGACGTAACCATGTGGTTTACAGATACGTTTACACTCCTGAATCAACGTTTTGTATTCGTCTTCGCTGTAGCTATCTAACAAGAACCGCACATAAATGAAATCGAAGGATTCTGAGGGTATATCATGCATTGTCCTTAATATATCGTAATAGCAGCGTATGTATTTGAAATTCTTTGGTACTTTTCTTTGATCTGGACAAGGGCCACCTGTCACATCATCCATCCCGACGACTAACCAGTTAGGAAATAAGGAGGCTGTATTACTGCACCATAAACCTTTGCCGCAGCCCACATGAAGCACATGCTTTTTGGAATGTATTTGTATAGGACTTAGGAAAAGGCTGTAATAAATTAAATTGAAATAGAGAGAGTGAGTCAATTGATCGGTATTTTACAGCTCAGATTTCTTTTTCTTTTACCCATTCAGAGCAAGTCGTATCAGTTCATTGTTCACAAGTGTTCGTGTAAAAGTTCTATCCACCTTCCACTCGGGCAGCTCACATTCACCTTCTCTGTCCACTTCTTCCTCTCTCAAAAACGTGCTCAATTCATCCCAGTCCACCAGGTCGCCATCTTTCTGTAACTTTTGAAACCCAATTTCTGGGCTGTCCACATATTCCGGCAATGAGAATACAGAGCTCTCTCGGCTGTGCCAAGTTTGATTACTGTCTGCTCTATCACTCAGATCGCCTGTATGCGTACTCGAAGGTCGTCTTGAACCGTTTTGAGCATGATTCGATCGTCGACGTTGCTGTGTCATATTCTCGCCCTCTTCCCCAGAGTAGTCTCTGGATCGGGAGTCTGAAAAAGAGTGACGATGATGAGCCCATTGGTTACCCAAAAGCCCTGATGACGAATGTTGATGATGGGCAACCTTGCTGTTATTTCTGTTGTAACTGCTGTAATTATCGCGTTTCTCATCAGCAGGTGTCATTGTCAATCCGGCGATAGTAGCGGCTGAGCTGGCAGGTACTTTTGAAGAAGCCGAATCATCACTACTATGCCTTCGATGACCGTGCCGCAGATAGCTTTTGATAAAACCATGTGGCATATGGAAAAGATTCAAATGGTCTTTCTTAAGGTGCCTTGAGATCAAAGAGGCTGTTTTACTCCGGATAGAAGACCTGTCGTCTTCTGTGGTAGAATAACCATCGTCGTCGCGTATTCGAATGGTCGGTGGTTTGTCATTAATTTCACTGTGGCTAGTTTGTTGATACGGATGCAACAACTCATTATCAAAATTAAAATTGTTTATATTTGCAGTGGACGTATTTGCTGCTGATTTTGAGGCTGGAGGATTGTCAGTTGATCTGTTGTGGATGGTGTTGGGGTTATGGTCGTTCTGATTTTTTAAACTCTTTATCCAGCTCATCAGAGGATTGTGTTCTTTAGAACTGGGTTCCGCTATGCCGACCCCTCCTCTATCAGTAGACTCTGAATCTTGCATTTATATTCGTTTATACACTTAGTTATATATGTATTAGGATATTGTAATGAAATTGAAAAAAGAAAAAGAAAACAATTGAATTAAAAATAGATTTTCAATAGAAAAAAGACTTCTACAATCTGAAACTACAAGATTAATGCGGAACTGGGAAGAAGGGCTCTATTGCAAATAGTGCCAGGTCTATTTAGCATAAGCTCAGTTAGTTTTTTCGCCAATCATCGCTTTGATCATGGTTTAATTTTTGTTGTATTCCGTTTCCAGGTAAATCACTTTCAATTTGAAGTTATTACCTCATTTATTTTGCCGTTTTTCGCCTTTCTTTTTTAATAGATTCCCAGTCTATCCCAGAGTTTGCTCTTTGTTTTAATCTCATACTAATTGACGAACCTGGGGGCGGTTGATTCTTCTTGCGCTCCATCTCTTCTTTTTGCAGCCTGGCATGCTCTGCTCTTGCTCTCATAGCAGCATTGACTCTGGGTTGTTTTAATAAGACAGAGGACGAGCTTTTGGGTGTCAGCGAGGTCGAAGTGCTTATTGTTGTTGCTGGAGTAATTTTAGAAGAATTCGCAGCGATGGTTTTTTTACTCGTTTCTTGCTTCTCTTTGGCTTGTTGTAGCAGTTTTGATCGTGGGGCAACAGCAATAGTAGGAGCAGTGGTATTATTAAGTATTACGTTAGCTACATGTTGAATAAAGTTCATTGTAATATGTTAGCTAAAAAAAGTAACACTTGTGCTAAGAGCGAAGTACTTCATTATCAATTTACCAGAGCGTCGTTTAAGGTTGGATGTCGTTGATGGCATCATATTTGAGCTTTTCATAGATGACACTTCAACTTTTTCATCATTGATAGGCGTTGGGGAAGTTGAATGCTTCATATCAATCATAGAATGTCTTTTACTTTTGCTTGAAACTGGAGACGATGATTTTGATGATAGTGTTCCCCTGTTGGCTATATTTTGATGTTCTACTGGTTTCGTTGAGTGAGTATCTTCCTCTAGATAGGAACGCAGATTAGGTATGATTTGACTAAGATGCTGTTATTAACTTTTCTTGTGCTTCCTTTTCTCGTTTCCAACCCACAGCCCCTATTTTTAGTTTACCTTCTAGCTCTTTCCCGTCGAACACTGCTAGTTGCTGGATCATCCCCTATAATGTAAAATAGATGTTAATATGTTCATTAATACAAGCATTAGCTTATAGTAGCATTATTGTATGGAGGCTTACAAGAAACCCATCCTAGATCAACGCTTTGTTGTTTTTTGATCTCTCTGCTATGGTTATTGTTAGCTACTTTGATTTCTTTTCTGATTTGCGACGGTAATAATTCCTCTTCATGATGCCCCCACCAGTCGGGAAAAGTGCTCGGTAAACTGGCTGTTTTTTGCTTTCTTTCATCGTTCTGCTGTAAGTCCAACTTTTTTGTTTCCTGGTCAATCTTTACTTTGCCCTCTGCTTCCTCTTCTTCTTCTTCAATAGTTTCATGTGATCGGGCTGATGTCGATTCTAAAACGCTGCCATCAGCTTTTTCAAGCTTCGATCGTAATTTTCACTATTAGTTATTCCTACAATAAAAACATCATTTATGTTTCGTATATTCATGTGCCTGGCTTTTTTACCGTTGTCAATAGCTTTTTTTTCTCGAGAAACTCATTCGTCGCTTCGTTGATTCTTGCACGATCATCGCTGTATAAAACAGCAAAACAAATCAATTCTTTCAATAAATTAAAGACGTCTGTTGGAGGATATTGATTGAGAAATTCATGGACATAGGGCGGCAAGGTGGATAGAAATGCCTCCATGCTGATAGATGTTGCTGAAGTTGTGTTAGATAAGTAAAAAAGGAGTGACTTGAAGAAGAAGAGCTAAACCAATGTTGATATCTTCAGGGTACTACATTCCACTCGTTTTGGGTATATTTGCATATGAGTCTGTAGCACAAGGGAGTTGTGCATATGATGTTTTAGTTACAAATTCAATAAAGAAGTAAAATGATCAATATGAAAGGATCAAAAAAGGGGAGGTTACAATGCCAAATTACCCGTCTTTCTTTTTTGCGTGTCCTTCTTCTAACGGATTAATGCTTTTTGAATATATAAGGCAGCTCTTTGCCTTCCCGGCGTGCATCCACTTGATGTCATTCATGCAACTTGTTGGCCCTGATTTCTATTCTTTTCAAGAATTGAAAGTCAACCTTTTTTTTTTTTTTGATTCCCATCGTTACGTGTTCCTGTCCAACTCTACTGCGTAGCATTTACTGGTTGTCAACAGCCTTTTCTACTCTTAATCACACATCATAATGGCAGAACCTGTCAAACTTTACGTTTATGACCTTTCTCAAGGCATGGCTCGGACCATGTCCCTGCAGCTTACTGGTAAACAAATAGGTAATGAGAAACAAAAGTTATTCGCTCGCTTATGTCAATTGCGTGAACTTGTTCCTGAGAAACTCATACACTTGGACATGATGAAGACGGAATTTGGCATACGTCAGTAGTTGTTTATGGGCAAGAATTTTACTTTGGTCAAGGTATCATGACCTCCATGCCAGGCACTACTATGCATGGACAACCGTTAGAGATCATCGACATTGGCGAGACTTATTTGCCTTTGGAGGTTGTGGTGGAATATATAGACAGTCTCCGATCGATTTATACGTAAGTTACTACATGTTTATGTTAGTCGTCCACGTGCTTACCTGGTTTGCTCTATTTTATTTTTGCTTTTTTTGTTAGAGCCGAGAAATATCACTTATTAGATTTCAATTGCAATACATTCTCAAACGACTTGTGTCAATTTTTATGCGGACAAGTGATTCCAGCTCATATCACAAGCCTACCTTCTGATTTCCTGAATACGTAAGTGAAACGATACTATTTTGCGCTAAGCGCTAGTGTCATGTTGTGTATACGATAAACTGATGGACAAGGATAGGACTTTTGGACAGTCGATATTACCTATGATTGAGAATATATTTGGCCAATCCAAACTGAGATCATCCCTATCCACAACAGCAACAGCACAGCCACCAATAACAGATACAGCCGGCGCTTCCTCCCTTTTACAGGGTATTTCATCTGCAGCCACGTCTGCAGCACCCGTTCAAGCTGATCCTGTTCAAATAGCCAACTCAGCATCTGTTGTGGACGGCTTCATCCAGTCTTATAAAGCGGTCATTGTGTTTTTCACTTCAGCCACTTGTCCTCCATGCAGAATGATTAAACCAGATTTTGAAAAGCTCATACGAGATAAAAATGATCCTCAGCAGCAACAAAAGAAAATCAAGATTCTGGGCGTCATTATGGATCTCTCCATGTCTATAGACGGCGCTAAATATGGTGTGCGAGCAACACCTACCTTTCAGCTATTTTTAAACGGCAACAAATTTTCAGAATTTCGAGGTGCAAATTATGCAGAGTTGAAAAGTCAAGTAGACATGCTATTGTTTGAGGCTTATCCACGTAAGGATCCATTTGAATGATTAGCTGATAGACGGAGAAATGTGTGTGTACGGTAGAAAGATGATGTACTAATTCGCATTCGATTATCCCGAAAGCGCATCCCCACCGAAAAATTTTGTTACGCTCTATTGTGGACCAGCCTAATGTACCCATATTATATACGCAGCCTGGAAAGTTGGACATGATCTACGGCAAATTAAAGGAATTCATCAAGCAGACAGACATACACTTGGACGAAGATCAACAACGGATTCTCGATCAGTCAAAGCAGTTGTTGGAAGGCAAATGTAAAGAGCTGGATTTTAACCAATGGACATCATTTGTTGGTACCGTATCCAATGGAGCTATAGACATACTTGGAAAGGCTTCCTTTGCGCTAATACTTGATTTGATACATTGATTTCATTAGAACATCTATTATGCAATCTCGCTCTGGATAAACTGTTCCCACTTTTAGATATCTATAGATCTGTGCTTGTGAATCGGGCTGTATCAGAACTTTACGTCAAAGAGCGTAAGAACAAAACCCTATTGACAGATATGATTTTACTCCGAGTAGACTCGAATTGATTAATGTCCTTATTTAAAATAGCATCTCAAATTGCAAAGATATTTGAACTAGTGTCTTCAACATCATCCGCAACAACAAAGGAAGGTACATTATCTAAAGCAACGTGGCTAATGATCCTGAGAGTCGCTTGTAATACGTTTGCAAACCCGAAACTATCAACGACACATTTTACATCCAAACTTCCTGCATCACATCGTAATGAGACCACTCAAATGGTAGTGACGAGTCTCTTAGCAGAGGATGCTCAAGTAAGACAAGCAGCTGCGTCTTTAGCGTATAATTGCTCTACTGTCATCGCGTTAGAAAGATTGAAAAAGGAAGAAGGGTCCTTTACTGGTATGGCAGAACAGGAAGATGATGAATGGGAAGTAGAACTCTGCAGTGCAATTATTGATGCTTTGATGAAAGAAAGTGACGAGGAAATTAGTAAGTTTATTCTCATTGTTTTCTTTCTATTCCTATCCTTTGCTCACATTGACCCATTTGTTGTCCTTCAATGCGTACACAGTTCATCGCTTATTAGCTGCCCTTGGAAAATTCCTCTTTTTGGCACCCCAGAATGATTCGTCACTATGTGATTTACTTTCAACTCTAGATATAAAGCGTATCATCGAAGAAAAGAAGACCTCGAAGTTAATTGTATCATCCAAAGTGGTAGCACTGGCAAGGGATTTGTGTGAATTACTGAACCAGCAAAGCAAAAATTAGTTTTTGCGAATCTTGTATATAAACGATATTTATTTGAAAGAAGCACAAAAGATGGCCATTCTTCTATCCTTCTTTCCCTTTAACTTTTTAAAAATAAATGTAACTTCCAGAACAGATAACACTAGGTCATCATTTGGGTCATCTTTCTTGCTTAGTAAGTTTATAGCTATATACAAGGTCTACAACTTGACAATTCATTGAATTATACAAATCATCATCGGCTTCTTCACATAATAACATCCCAATAGTAACAGTGAATAGTATTCTTTTGCCTCTATTCGTCTTTCTAGTCATAACAATAAATATCAGGGAATGTCTAACTGTCTCATTATTTCATGAGAGGATAGTCATTATATCCCTTGCCGTACTTGACTACGCTACAATATCCTCTCTCACGACAATTTCTCAAAAAGCTACAACCTTCAAGTACTTGGTATTCTCTTCAACAGTGAATGTCACTTTGTCAGAGTAGCAAACAGCTGCAATTGCTTACTCATAAAACGATCAGCACTCGATCATGCTGTACCCTATCAATTGCTGTATCTTTTATTCATTCATGGATTAGGTGTAGTAAAGCTGTAAAACACTTTTGTAATATCGTAATATCAATCGGCTTGTATTGTAAATAAGGACGTATAACAAAAATCTATCTTCGTCTGTCATTGTCTTTACGCTGACTTTTCTTCTATCAGATAATTTGGATTTGCTGCTATCTTTCTCGAAAGATTATCGTACCACGTCTGAAAGGCCTTCAAAGAAAGATAACCATTCTCGGTCAACTGACCTATAGGTATTGAGGTAACTGGAATATTCTGCACTGTAAATGATGTAACATAATTGTATAAGTTTTCCAATACACGGCTAGCCATTTGTCCAACTTGAGAAACACTGACACCAGGTTTGACAAGAGCTGACGATGAGGCTGTTGTAGGTTGATTCAAGGTAGCAAGCTGCTGTTGTACAGCGTCAATAGGTTCAATTGAAATACCAAGTGTGGCATTCGTTGACATTTGCGATAAATTGACAACTGATTCTTTCGTTTTTAGCCTGAAAATTGCACTGGGCTTTTCATTCGATAGACTGTTGCAAAAAGTTTCAATAAATATCGTTATTGCAAATTACTTGGCCATAGAATAAGACGACTCACCCTCCTAGCAGTTGCCATTCTTTATTGGGCCAATGTAAATGAACTGTTGCTGCAAAACCAGGTTCGAATGGAATTGTCCCCAGCAAAAACACGACAATGTGATTTATAGATTGAGCATCAGACAATTCGAAAACGTACTTATTGACGTCAACTTGTTGTAAGTTTGTTTGTACCTTAACATGGATGGTTAGCCTCTACTGTAAACCTTTTCTTGTAGTCTATGGATACTTACAAGTCTACCAGCGGCAACGCAACCGAACATTAGTAGTTAACTCGATATAGTAATCAGGAATGACGATGAAATGCAGTAGAACAATAAAACCAAAAGAAAAAAAAAAAATGCATTGCCTATTTTATTTCTGTCAAAAATAAAAGAAAAATTCGACAGTTTTCTGGAGAAAAAGTTCAAATGCAGCAAAAAGAGCCGGATGCAGCTCTATTCAATGCGCGCGATATCCGATTAAAAAAAGAGATTATCAATTAAATAATTAGAAAAAAAAAGGACAACTGTATAGTGCACACCTTCTCTGAAGAAGTCATTAAAAGAAGAGTAACCATTTTTTTTAATCGCTGTCGTCATCATCATCGTCATCACTTTCTCCCTCTTTAGAGACACCTGTTCTTCTAAGCAGAGAAAAATAAAGTGGTCCCCAACCATCTGTCTTGTCTGGCAAGACAATCCAACCATACTTTGTCCTCTCACCAATGGCCCATTTCTTCATTTTGACAGCTTCGACAGGAATCTTGCCCTTTTTAATCATACGCTCTACCACCTTATCGTTTTCTAATGAACTGATAGAACAAGTACCATACAATACCAACCCGTCCACTCGCACAGAATGTAGGGCTGCTTTCAAAATTGACAATTGGCGTTTCGCATTCACTTTGGTGCGTTTCGGTGTCCACATGTCAAACTCTTTGTCATCATGTAATAAATGTCGTTCAGATGAACAAGGTGCGTCTAAGAGCACTTTATCGTACTGCTCTGGTTCACCATAATACCGTGTACCATCCTTGCCCACCACGGTGCTGACTTCAGCGGCAATATCAGCGGGTATATAGGATTCGATCACTTGCCGTAATCTTCTTCTGCGGTCAGATGCAATCTCATTGGATGTTAATCGACCATATTGTTTATCCAAGCGTTGCAGCACGGCTAATGATTTACCTCCAGGAGCTGCACAAATATCGAGCACTTGATCGTCAGGCTGTATGTCTAATGCCTCTGTAGCTAATACAGAACCCGCGTCGAGAATATAGTAGTCAGTGATGCCATTACTGTCTTTGCTTGGAGGCGGGAAACGTGCCAAGCTTTTGGATGCATAACAGGGAATCGAAACAAAATCCAGCATGGTTAGGTCGGATAGATGGTCCTTTAGTTTCGCTTTCAGTTCATCGACATTGGCATATTTATTCAGCATGAGGCAATGACGCACGGGCTTTTTCAAGGCTTCGAAAAGGGAAGGCCATCGTTCAGCTCCCCATTCTTCTTCATAATATTTGCTGAAAGAGGCCATGACGGCATTGCGACGTTCGACTTCTCGTTGGAGCGCCTTTTCTTTCTTTTTAGATAATGCTGGCTTTTTCTTGTCTCCCTTCTTATTTCCACGTTGACCTCTTTTCTTTTCTTCAACTAGCGGTGAGGATTCGACGTCTGACATGGCTGGACTTGTTGTAGGGCTTCCCTTTTCATGGTTTCCCTTTGGACATTTTTTTTTTAAATTGCACTTTTGCTAAAAAGGCAGTCCCACCACACGAGAGGACTGCCTTCCATAAAAATCCCCATTCCTGCTCTTTAACAGCGCGTTTTTAAACAAAAAAGGTACACTGTTGCCCATTGAAGGTTTATACCAACAGCCCAATCACAATATCAATGAGTCGCTTTTATAATCTTTTATTCTCAAGTATCTCAAATTATCTATTAGGAGCATGGTATCTATTTATACAAAGTACCATCTAGAATCATAGTGTTCATTATCCTTTTCTTGCTCAAACTCAAATTTTTCTTCCTTGATTGTATCTGTCACTCTCTGAGGTTCTTCTTTATAAGGTGAATTTTTTACTGAAATATTGGCGAGACCAATCCCTTTTGTGTCCTTTGTCGAAAGTACTTTGTTTTGAATTAATCTTTTCCAGGCTTCATGAGTTTCTTCTATTACTGAATGAGCGTAGTCCTAGTATGGAAAGCGACAAAGAGGCTCAGTTTTTCCAATTCTGCAGAGTCAACACGTCAATAGGGTACTTACTTTATCTTTGCATTCACCGTTGAATGCAAATGCGTTTTCTGGCTTTCCATCTGGCACCTTGTACACTCTGAAAAATTTCCTTGTAGTATCTATTAAACCAGGGAAATGCTCTTGCACGTCCTGGATGTCTGATGCGATGTATGGCCAACAAGAAGTAATTCAGTTATACATCATCGCTTTATCTTGTTTTATTTCCACAACATCTTACTGTTTAGTTTGTCTGCTAATGGATCTCTTGTGTCGATCGAGATAACCTTCCAATCCGTTTCACCTTCATCCAGCAAGGCCATGATACCCAATACCTTCACTTGCTTTACTTCACCTTGTTTAGCGATCGCTTCACCAATATCCAACACATCAATGGGATCATTATCACCTTTCGCAAAGGTGTCGTTATGCACATAAGTAGGATCCTCCCAGGTCTGTCAATAAAAGAAAGGATGCCATGAGCAAACCAAAAAAAAAAAACGCGACGGACGTTGGCGACCCTTGTCGTTTATCTATTACAGTTTTACCTGTGGAAGAGCACCATAATTCCAGCTATATCCTACGCAAGGAAAGCAATTACGAACAAATCTTGGTTTGCCTTTCTTAATATCATGCTTTAAAGGATTGAACTTCTCATCTACTGCAATCTGGGTTCCAATTTTAATTTGGCAAGGTAAAAAAAAAAAGAAGAGATATGCATCTTGTAGAGTTACCTCCACTTTCGAGTTTGTCCATCTTGGAATTTCGACAATCATATTGACAATGTGCTTATTTTTCTCATCACTGTAAAGCGGAACGTCGTGCCATGGTGAAATTATTTGGCCGTCCTTTTCTTTAAGCAATCATTCAAACTTTAGACATTTTCAAATCGATGAGCGCAACACACAAGGTGGGGTTGATTACCATAGTAGACCCTATGACTCGCCGTAAAAGGTTTTCCTACATGGACGGTTTTGAAAGTTGAAGAAAACCTTACAAAGGCTTTATTCATTGAGGTTTTATTCTGCAGCAGAACTGTCAAGAATGGCATAGCTTGTTAGAAAGAAAAAAAGAAATGCGTGTGTCGGGTGTTATCAAGGATCAGGGCATCCCGGGGTACACGAAAGTATTTAATGCTCTCTACCCCCTTATTGACCAATCAAGAAGCAGTTTACGAAAATTCGTTAAAAATGAGTGCTAGTGCGCAGAGCCGTTCCTATTTGAATATTGACAAAGAAATACTCAAATATGTGAAAACCATTGTTTGTAGAAAAAGAAAAGAGTAATACGAGTGTTTTTTGCTTTGTACACCTATAAACATAATGTATTATTTTGCTTTGCCCAAACAAAGGCAATCAATAAAGAAAACAAAAAAAAAATAATAATTACAAATAAAGGTTGCGATTAAAGAAATCAAATGTCACACTTGACGGTAACTTGGTTAAATATGGGCTTCCCCTTTTCTTCTATATTTCACTTTTTTTTTTTTTCTTTTTTAATACTATCACAGAAATGCCTCCAAAAAAAGCTTCCATATTACTAAAGAGACGTTCTACAGCTACAGCAACGGACAAGAGTAGTACGCAAAAGACAGTGAAGAAAAAGAAACAACTCGTAGGATCACCTTCTATAGATGATTTATCAGCTAAAAAATTAGTACAATTAAATACACCACAAAGGAGGAAAAGAGCCGTCGCCATATCCACGAGCAAAATTATTGTTACTCGTCGACAACAACAGCAAACACAAAATTCCGTTTCAGACGATGATAACTGTAGCCTTAGTGGTGTGAGTGATAATGGAAGCAGGAGTCATAGTGAAAGTAGTGATCACAGCATCAGCAGTGGTAGTAATTATAGTAGTAGAGAACCGTCACCATCCAATTCCATCACACTCATCTCTGCTGCAACAGCGCTGACAAGAGCTTCAAAGGCAGCAGCAGCTACTCAGCAGCCGATGAAGCGATCGCTACGAGCGGCTTCCAAGGCCATCGTGCAAAGGGAGAAAGAACGAGAAGAGCGTAAAAGAAAGTCTCCTTCTTCATCACCGCCGCCATCAGCAGCAGCAGCAGCAGCAGCAGCGCCTTCAAGCACGAATTTGTCTTCAGCAATAATCACTGAAGCAGAAGCTGCAAAGTCTAGTGCTCCTCCTAGTACTACTACTACGATAAAGAGGAAAAAGAGGAAAATTAACGCACAGAAAATTGTTCTACCTACCAGTCAATCCACCGATTCGATTGATAATGTTACAGGAGACATCAGTTGGAATACTTATTTAACCATTTCAGATAGCAACGCTGAAATCAGTGCTATATCCATTAATAATACGGCCAAACCCATCATATCGACATCTTATACCCATACTACCAAGAAATCATCCACTATAACTACGAACATACCCGCTACAGAAAAGCAACCAGCGACTGCAGCTTTAACTTCACATACAAGAAAACAGCAACAAGCGAATCAATCTAATATACCATCCTCATCACCAGCACCTACGACACCTATACCTACTTTGGATTTAAGTCATCATTCGATATTACCCAACTCCAGTTATATTGCCCATCTACCTCATCCTTCTTCTTCTGCTGTATCTGCGAAAGAGAGAGCCACGAGCCAGTCTCCCTCTGTTACCTCTTCTGAAGCTGGTGACGATCTTGCTGAGCACCCCAATGTTGTCAGTACTTCAACACAAGCTTCAACTGGGGAAAGTGAAATCGATGAGCTTGCTGGGGAATACTCTAATACAGCGACCCAACCATCGGATGCTTGTCCTTCTCTATCTCATACACAAACGAATCCTATCGATACGACTATACCAGCCATGTTTGATCACGTTCATGTTAAGAAGGAAGAACAGGAAGAGAGCATACCTCTCTATGAAACAACTACTACTACTTCAGTGAATATGGATATAGATGAGGATGCAGAATCAGCTGACGATTTCTTTGATGCAACGAACACTTTTGATGGCGACGTAAAAATGACAAACATGAGTAAAGAAGAGGAAGACGATGAATATTCCACAGCTACGTCAACAGCATCGTCATCATCATTGCCCGTTGTCAAGGATATAAAAGAGAAAAATGAAGCACCCAAGACATCCATTAAATATGGCTTTTGGAACTCGTTGGTGAAATCTTTCACAAGTAGCAAATAACTTGCATTGCTATTGAAGTCCTACTCCTTCAATGTACGTGTATACATACATATATACCTAATTTCTATTCTATTCAAAGCAAAATAGCACTATTCAATAAGAAATAAAAAGCTTCATCTTTTTATTCAAACATAAAATAGAAAACTTTTTTTAATAATGAATAAATGCTATTGATCAACCGGTTTAAAAAGAGTTTCGTGTTTTTGGAGTTTTTTTTTATTCATCGGCTTGCTCTTCTTCAAGCATTTCATCTTCTTCTAAATAGTCATCTTCCATCAAGTCTTCATCGATAGTAGCTTCTTGATATTGTTGATATTCAGAGACAAGGTCATTCATGTTGGATTCGGCTTCCGTGAATTCCATTTCGTCCATACCTTCACCTGTATACCAATGCATGAAAGCCTTTCTTCTAAACATGGCTGTGAACTGCTCATTGACACGCTTAAACAATTCCTGAATAGCCGTACTGTTACCAATGAATGTACCAGACATCTTGAGACCTACAGGAGGAATGTCGCAAAGAGAGGTCTTGACACTATTAGGGATCCATTCCACGAAATAGCTGGAATTCTTTTGTTGGACAGCCAACATTTGGTTCTCCACCTCCTTGGTGGACAAACGACCACGGAAAATAGTTGCTACGGTCAAGTAACGACCGTGGCGCGGATCAGAAGCAGCCATCATATTGCGGGCATCGAACATTTGAGCCGTTAATTCAGGGACACTCAGATTACGGTATTGCTGAGAATTGAATGCAGTAAGAGGAGCAAAGCCGACCATGAAGAAGTGAAGACGAGGGAAAGGCACCATGTTGACGAACGTCTTTCTCAAATCACTGTTGAGCTGACCAGGGAAACGCAAACTGGTAGAGACACCGGACATGACAGCCGATACCAACTGGTTCAAATCACCATAATTAGGATTGGATAGCTTAAGCGTTCTGAAGCAGATATCATAGAGAGCCTCATTATCAATACAGAAAGTGGCATCACAATTTTCCACCAATTGGTGGACGGTCAAGACGGCATTGTAAGGTTCTACAACCGTATCAGATACCTTGGGAGAAGGTACCACAGAGTACGTACACAACATTCGATCGGGATATTCTTCACGAATCTTGGATAACAAAAGGGAGCCAAGACCTGAACCAGTACCGCCGCCCAAAGAATGACAGAGCTGGAAACCTTGCAGACAATCAGTGTGTTCTGCTTCTTTGCGGATGATATCCAAGACGCCTTCAACAAGCTCAGCGCCTTCTGTATAGTAACCCTTGGCCCAAGAATTACCAGCACCGGATTGTCCAAAAATAAAGTTATCTGGACGATAGAGTTTACCGTAGGTACTGCTACGAATAGCATCCATAGTGGCCGGCTCAAGGTCAACCAAAACAGCTCTAAGGGGATGACAAATAAAGAAACACTCCCAGTTATTCTCATGTCCTTTTTTCTTTTTGCTTTTTTCCTACATCAAGGGGAAGGGGTGCTCATTGGGGGGAAAGGAGCAATAGTAATTTTTACCTTGGTACATATTTACCAGCAGAACCTTCATTATAGTAAACATTGATACGTTCTAGCTGTAAATCATTATCACCTGCATAAGCACCAGTAGAATCAATGCCGTGCTCTTGACTGATACTCTCCCAGAACTTTTGACCAATCTATCATACCAAAAAATGTAGAAGTGTTCAATGGATGTCTGTCATGTAACAAATTCATTCTCGTGCTATTTATCTTGCAAAGCTTTTTTCTTTTTTCTTTTTTCTTTTTTGGCTTTACCTGGTTACCACATTGACCTTTTCAAAGCATAAGTGGCATGGTAGAGGAGAAAGTTATTGTTAGAAAACCTTCTAGTCTAGCTACGTGTATCCAAGAATTGTTTATGGTATCTTCTTTACTTGTCCGTTCGGTCTTTACCTGCTTGAACGTGTATAATTTCTCTCATTTTAGAATTAAAAACTGTATGGTATAATTTGGCGTGTTATAGTTGTGTTTGAGATAAGTTGATAGGGTATTTGACTTGATTAATGTTTGGGTATAGAGAAAAAAAAAAAAAAAAAAAGGAAATCAAAGCTGTAAAAAAAAGAAGAAAGGAAAATCAAAGAAGAACAGAAAAAAAAGGGGGGGCAAGAAAGATGTCTTGTTGTTGTTTTAAAAAAATTAGATTTATTTTAGTTGTTCTTTAATCTATTGCTTTTGTTGTGAAAGGGGGACATGAAAAAAAAGGAAAGGGGAAGCAAGCAGCAGCATCATCATCAGCATCAGCATCAGCATCAGCAGCAGTAGCAGCAGTCGTATAATGAAGCAAAGGAGAGGAGTTCAGAATTCACATCGCTATTGGTGCTCATATAGTAGTCTACAAAAAGATATTATAAGATGTTACACATGTCTACTTTGCTAAACAGAATCTGTCAATGTTGGTATTACGACTTCCTTTGCGGGTTTTCAATGAAAAAGCCTATATGATAACCTTACTTCTTTATTTATCGGCAGGAATCCGTTGTTGTCTTTGATGCAACAAAAAGAAACATAACCGTTTTATCGCATTTTCCCTGAAACACATAAAACATATATGTATAAGGGGATTTATCAAGGGATCACTCATTAGCAATGCACAGCATAAAACTTTAAAACTGCTGATGCCCGCTGTCAACAGATCAAGAGGAAATTAGGGTGATACTCAGCTCATTCGAAGAGAAACTCCATCCTTCTTTGAACAGCAATAGGTTCCTTCACGTCGTTTTGTACCGTTTTTTGATGTTTCTTCCATTCTTTATTCCTTTTCATATCATAAGTAAAGCAGCAATAAACCCTTCTGAGCGGCCAACGCGGGCTTTAAAGATTTTAGGTATCAATAAGGAAATCCAAAAAGTTCTTTACCCTCTGAATCAATACGCTCTATTTTCATCTTTTAAAGTATCTCAAACAACAGAGTATGAGACCAGACGAGCATAAAGTCAAAGATTCGCATCGATACCAGCAAAAGAAAAAACTTGCAGGCGACTCCTCTGCTGCCGAAATAGCCTTAGCTCGCCGCAAAAAGAACGCAGCTGCACGCGATCGAGGTATGGGTGTCGCTGCCATTCGCCGACGCAATGGGGAATTTGTAGAAGAAACAGAAGAAGAAAAAGCCGAACGAAGATATCAGCAAGCAAAATATTCAAAGCGTACCATGTTGTCCACCAATGCAGATCGATATACAGAAGTCGACGAATTAGAAGAAATGAAGCGTGATGCTGAGATGGGCATTGATCGAGAAACAACAGACTTGGTGTCCATGTTGCAAGACAGTAGCGCCGCAGAGTTAGAAAATACAAGTTCAACGATGTTCAAGTTTAAAGATGAAAAGCTACTTGACGACAATATGACGCTTTCAAAGCAGAGAAACACAATGTTTGAATTGGATTTCGACACTTTTAATACAGCCCTCAATGATTTTGATGCTGCAGCACTTTTAGGATTGAACCATGATGCATCCGATAATGAATTGGTACAGTGCTATTCGGTAGCCTCAAAAAGGCTGCTGAAATAAATACAAAGAAATTGATCACACTCAAACTGACCATACTTACAATATTGTAAATAGCTCGATAATGCGTTGAACGAGCATCCAATTGTGGTTGATAAACCAATCGTGCCGCCTTTCTCCACAAACGCAAAAGGCTACATCATGTTCAAATCGCAACAATATCAACAACCACCGACGTCAAACTATAGAGTATCTGAAAAGGATGGTATTTATCTACGTAACAATACATCAATGAATATCAGTAATAAGGTGTCTATGGCGAATACTCCAGATACTTCGATACCCAATCAGAAATTAAACCCCAAGGCACAATTTAGCGAAAGGCAGCAACAGCAATCTTTTGACGCGAACAAAGATGATGACGCGTTAGATGATTTACTGGCCTTGGATCAAACAAAAATACCCACAACTACCTTAGCAACTGCTGTACCTAAAAGTAATAGTTTACCGTCTCCCACAATATCTTCTGTAGAAAAGCCGACAAAAAAGACTCTACCAAAACCAGGGCAAATCAAGAAACCACTACAACAAGCGCCATCTGTATCTTCCACCGCAGTTTCTCAAGATGATGAGGCATGGCTGGATGAACTGTTAGGTTAATTCTTCATTAAAGCAATCATTAGCTGCTTTTGTATGAACAATGATATCTATTTGCTGTGTTTTGAATTATAGCGATTTTGCGGCTGGTATTCTTAGTTTTGACATTTCTATCTATTTCATGAATGAGGGCGGCAGCTATTTCGAATGTTTGTACTTCATCATCCTTTTGCATTATGACATTTCTAACTGAAGCTCTTGGGTTTTCTGAAGATATTATAAGCCCCTTCATAAAGGCTTTATAAAGGTTACCATTAGTCATAGCATCATTTTGATGGGTTTTAATCTCCAGCTTAAATCGTAGCTTATAGATTCTACGAGTTAATTTCATATGTGAACCTAGGCCTAGAACTCCTTTCCGCACCACGCGCATTCAATTGCTGAAGCCAATCCTTGCAAAGAGTGTTTTAACCACTGACACACATCCTTTTCGAAGCATATATATTACCGTTGCTCGTTTTTATATAGTTGTCGATACCACATTGCACAACTGTCTAATTTTCGGTAATACTCAATCAAATATATTTCCCAAATCCAACAGCTGGTTTCTACTTCTTTCGTACTCAAATAAGACATAGATGATGATACTGAGGTTGTTCGATAGGTTTTCTGCAAAATAATAAAGGTATTCGGCCAAAATTTGGTATGCATCAAAGTTCGTCCAATTGCTGATTACTACGGAAGTATCAGCTTGCTTTATTCTGTCTTTGTATATTTCCCCATTTTTACACATCGCTTGAAATTAGTTTTGAAAATCTTTTAGGTAAGGAATCAAAAAGCGCAAGTTTCGTTACGTAAACTAGAACAGATATCTTAGAAAGTCAATAATATAGCAACATAAATAAGTTTATCTTTTTGAAGCTAGCAATGACATTCAAGCATCTCGAAGCATAGTTTATTTGCTCTTTATCCATTGACTCTATACAGTAGTATTTCATATATGTTCACTTGTTCAGTTTATATCTTAAATACTTTGCACTTGATATGCGAGCGACTCCAGCTACTTGTGTTTATTACAGTTTTTTTATTAAAGGGTTAGATTTAGAGGTTCAATAGAACTGCGTCTAAAAAGTGCCCTCATTCTACCTGCTCTAGTTGAATATTATGCATATGCGGAGCAATATTCTAGTGCGCATGCACACGCACTTTACATAATCTAAGTATAGGTGATTTGGATGGATTTGTGTTATTCAGAATGGTCATGGATATGAAACTTCTTATGAAAACTTCTTGCAATAAATGCAGTCTCTTCAATCGAAGAGACACCTTATATTCGCTTTTCACTTTATATGAACACTCAACCTATAACTATATAAAGCATAGCAACTTCTAATACGAATAAGAAACTTGATATTCAATGAGAGGTTTTTTTAGAGAGGGTGTCATTCCTTATCATTGACAAGTTCGACTTGATTTATTTTCAGGTAAGCGAAGTCTTCATCGATGTATGTATCACCGTCTATCAACAACTTCTTTCCATTATAAAGCGGGCACTCAGTCACCATAGTATGTAGCTCTCCGTACTCACCGGTAGGACTTAAACTTGCATTGGTATGTGCAGCAATTAAGGTATCCAGGGCCGTACGTGTTAGACATCGGCCCACATCAAAATGCTCTTGAACTTTTTGTAAAACGGCAATGGGTATTTTTTTCAAATTTATACATGTAATAAGTATTTTGAACCCTCTCTTTTCCAACATTTCTGTCAAGAGCTCATTTTGAGGTTGCTCCCATAAGGGTCGAATCAATTGTACACCTGATCCTTCAACGGCACGTTCCATAAAATTACTACATACTGGTAAAATATCACCTGTCACAAGCTCGTCAATGCCATAAGTCCGTTTTAATTGCAATATCTCTCTCCGATAGTCTTCTAAATAGTTAGGTCCTTTAATAATACAAAGAACATGCGGTAAACCCAATGCCTCTGCTTGTTTTTGAATAACGTCGAGTGGATGTGCTTTAAACGAGGACACCTGAGTCAATGGTGGGCTGAACGTTACAAGAACTGCAATCCGAACACCTTGCTCTTTTATACGATGAAGTGCTAACGTACAGTCTTTTCCTCCTGTATAAGATACAGCTGCAACTCTGGCAGTGGAGGAGCGAGTCATTTTTTATTTTATAAACAAGAAAAGTGTGGAGAAAAAAAAAGCAGGGTAAATGAATTTTGAATAAAACGGGCATTTAAAAAGGACAAAGATCCATAATTGTTTCCTCGCTTTTCTTAAAGATAAAAAAAAAATGGCTTCCAACATGGACGATATATGTCAGGATGATCAATGGTTTGAACAGGCCTTTACATATATGAATGAACATGACGTTCCATTATCCAATGATAAAAAGTTACTTGTAAGTGCAAGATCGTCAATAACATCTGGCATCGATCTTTACCATCTATTTGATCAACAAATAACCGACAGCTACCAATCTGTTAAGCTGTATAATTTCTTTTGCTAGTTTTATGGACTTTTCAAACAAGCTACCATTGGAGACGTCAATATTGAGAAACCTGGATTATTTGAATTTGTAGCACGAGCTAAATATGATGCTTGGGAGCAATTTAAAGGTCTCAGCTTACGAGAAGCGAGAAACCGTTACATTGAGGCAGTTGAGAATTTAAAAGTAGGGTGGTCGCGTAAAGGAGAATATGAATATATACCATCACCGGATGATCTGGTAAGAAGACTATGTTGCCAAAAATTTATACTAAAAGTATGAGAAATGGCGTTGTTAATCATATGGTATCGAAAGGAAAAAGAAGGATTCGGCAATTCAGTAAGCTCAATGGCTGAAGAAGAATCAGAGTGAGTATTGACGATAGCAGTCAGTAAAAGTTTATAAATGACAGGATTGTTGAACGTAGTACATCATGCACAATTTAGAGAAACAGATGATATTTTCGGATATGCTAGAACGAATAATTTGGAGGCATTAATCAAAGCAATAGAGGCGAATCCAGGGCTGTTACATTCGAAGGAAGAAGGGCTGAACGCCCTTCATATTGCTGCAGACAGAGGTTACTCAGATATGGTAGCAAAATTAATAGAGCTCGGTGCAGACATTGATATGAAAACGGATGATGGAGATACAGCTTTACATTTAGGTATTGTAATAAATGATGCTCTAGCTCTTTTAAATTATGCGCTAATGATTGAGCATCTATTCAATAGCATGCATTTCAGACAAGGCTGACGTTGCCAAATTGCTGATATCCAAAGGCTGCGATCAAACATTGCTTGACTCAGAGGGATCGACAGCACTTGAACAAGCAGATACATCATTGAGACAACAGCTAGAAACCCTTTGATTATTTCACATCACCGTGTATTCGTAAAAATCTTTATTGTACAGGTTTTACTAATAATAGTAATAAAATAGAATAGGAAAGGTGAAAAAAATCTGTCTATGAAGCTGCAAAATGTGCCTTGTAAAAAGAAGGTGGTAAATTCTCGAGAACACTGAACTTGGGTCTCTCAATCACCGCCATTTGATTTTCTCCAATGAAACCGCAATGTAAGATTTGTTGATACTGGTACGATATAGAAATTGATAAAGAGCCATTTGATGTAGACTTTGCATTCTGTTGTTGCTTTTCAGTAACGTCTGCTTCACTATTGTTGCTCTTGCCTTTTCTTTTACCCAGTTTCTTGGGAACAGGTTTATCTTTAATGTCGACAAGACACATATAAGTGCTACCATATAAAATCATCTTGTCTTGCTCTGCTGGGTTATACATAACTCCACGGATACGATCTCTTTGTTCTAAGAGTCGAGAGCCAGTCATGTCCTGGTGTGTATAAGACCAGTTGGTTAATCGCTTATGCTCGACATCATAAATATAAAATGCGTTTGTTGCCAAGGCAACGCAAAGTTCATTAGGTCTAAAGTCGTTGAAAGATAATGCTGTGTGTGGAACAGAAGACTGGGGAAGCTTCATGTGGTGCTGTTTAAAGAATATAACAGAAAAAAAAAAAAAGGTCAACTTTTTATCCAGCACGTTAGATCGCCATTCTGAGCTCACCTTCAAATTGTCCAAGTTAAATATATGGATACGATTATCATCATCGCCTGTAGCTAACCACTGTCCATCAGAGCTGACATCTACAGATACTACTGTCGCAACTGTGTTATCATCCTCATAAGGATTGCCATCACTATCAAGGCCTCTGTGATGACCAAATTCACGTACAATTTCAAAAATGCCATCTTCCGCTTTACTAATGTCGACAATTAATAGTCTGCATTCAACAGTGACAATAATCAATTTATCTGATCCAGGAGTGAATATAACATGATGTGCGCCGGGTGCTGCATTGTGTGTTGCTAAATAAGTATTCAAGCTGGTCTCAAAGATTCGCTGTTTCTTCACTTCTAACAATGCTGGATCAGCCTATCGTTCGGTTCATACGAGAGAACAGTCGTTAGTTGGGTTGTATTCTGATAAAATCCTTTCTCCTCCTTTTTTTAAATCATCTATGTGGGAACTTACACTCTGGCTTACTCTGAAAAGTCTGACCGATTCAACATCAGAAACAGCAAGCCAATTGGCATCTTGTGATAATGCACTTGAAGTGATATTACAGTCGGGTTTCAATTTAAGCTCTAGAGCAAGTTGATGAGGTTTGATCATTTCTGGTAATGCTGGGTTTTTCGAGGCGGTATCTACGTTCGCGGCAGCGCCCAATCGCCATAGGGATATTGAATTGAAAAAAGTGCCCATCACAATCTTATGTGCTTTCGATAACGAAACAATGTATTTTTGTGAAAAGGGCGGTAATCTGTTTTGTATCAATTTGGGAAATTCAATGGCTGGACAAGAGACCAATTCGACATCCACGCCTCCAGAGACAATAGAATTAATATGAGGTCTTTCATCCAAAGCAAGAGCACGGATATCGTGCCAATGATAACGACGGCTGCCAACATTTATCCACTCATGAACAGTTTTTCCGCTTCCCTTCGATGCTGAATTCTTTTCATTTTTGCTGCTGTCCTTTTTCAACGTACGACGGAAGGCTGTCACTTTACGGTCCACACCAGCTGAGAATACCTGATTTCCGTCCTTAGATGCGGCCACACAGAGCACATCGGCACCGTGAGCTCGAATAGATTGTTTCACTGTACCTAATTTACTGTCCCAGAAAGTGACAGCACCGCGAGAGTCACCAGAAACAATGGTATTACCTCTGATAAGCAAAGGGATCGGTGAGTGACGGTTCATGATGTCCAAACAACAAATCCTTAAAAGTTTACCTCAAAGCAGCTACTGCCCAAACTAATGTTTGCTCTTTACGGTTTTTGGCTACTGTCATACGGTGAATAGTACGACCTGTTTTAGGATCCCAAGTACGGATTGCTGAGTCGGAACCGCCGGAAACGATAAACTCATCTTTGGGTGCCCAAGCGATGGAAAGGACACGACCCTTCTGAGGTTCAAAGGTACGGATATATTCTAAATTATCATCTGCAATATCAAACATACGGATGCAACCGTCTTCACAGCCTGCTGCCAATCGAGTACCTTTACTGTTGACAGCTAAGCACCAAACTGCACCACCGTTGGAATCACAAGATCTCTAAACAACGAAGCATTCAAATGAACCAGTTAGGCTTCAATACTATTTACATTACACTGAATGCAAAGGGTTATACCTTGGCTGTAAGTGTGGTTGTATCCCATTCGATGATATAGGAATTTAAGCCTGAAGAGAAAAGTCGAGGAGGCTTTTGCAATAATAATTCGGTTTCTTTTTTCAAATCCTCGGGATCATCGTCGGGATCAGGATTGACAACTGTATTCTGATGAGCCCAAACAACACTTTCAACTGAAAGATCTTCACCACCAGGGATCGTTTTCTCTAAGCGAAAGTTATGTGTAGGATCCCAAATCTCAATGTTTCCGTTGGCTCGGCCAACAGCTAATCGGGTTCTCTTCACTGTGGAAGGTGTGAAATCGAGCGAGTTTATGGCGGCAGGTTGGTATTCAACAAATCGGCAGCGGTGAACTTCCATAATAATATTCTTTCTCAAGCTTTAGAATTCAATACTGTCTATTGATAATTTAATTAATTCAACTATTGCTCCACAAATACTACTTTCGCTTGTCTATGAAAGAATAGCTTAAAGAAGAGGACCAAAATTTATGTTGCTTTTTTTTTTCTTAGGAAAAAGAGGAGTCACTTTGAGCCGTCCCATGAAGTTCATGCAGCGAACCCTCTTTTCTCTGAAAAATCATCCCTACTCCAATGCACACACCATATAATAAATTAAAAGAATTATATAATTTGCAGATTCCAGTTTGTGGTATATAGAATTCTTTGAAGCGAACCGTTGACAGTGCTGCATACATACATTTAGGGTAAGTGCGTTTGTGACTTTTTTAAATGTTGGCTACACAATTTTCTTTCGTTCGAATGTCATGCATTAGCTACTATCTACCGATCCTTAACTTTTGCTACAGAAACCACTATCAAAGCTGCATGCGAAGAAGATAATTGAGCTCAAAAATTAATCTAGAGAATAGTGAAGTTTATGACAAAATTGATATTAAGACGTTTATTGTGATTTGGGATGTGTAAAGTACCGTTGCTCGCCTACAGAAATTACAGCTACAATATACAAACTAGGCCTTAGTAGTATCGGTGAGTAGTTTAAAGGCTTTGATATTTTCATAAAGGAGAATAAGGCTGTGATCAGGCATGAATCTTATTGCAAAAAATAAAATGCGTAAAGGCCCGTTGCTACCACAGATGTCCTGCCGTAAATTATGAACAAAACTGTATAAACAGCTCTTTAAACTCTAAGATGCTATGGAGTTGGTTCATCTTGCGTTTGGACATCGAAATTTGACACTGTTTACTAATGATTTTGTGATTTAATTGAACAAGAAACTCCACATCACGTTTCGTTTAGAACAGACAGTAGCTGGCATATTTTGATCACTCCAGGAACAACCAACGCGGTTGAAGTCTAGACATGTATTTTAAGTCAGCGGTATGATTTGGTTTTTTTGGTTTTTTTTTTTTCTGGTTTTTTTTCTCATCATTTGCTTTTGCGCAGCATGATAAAAAGCCATCAACTTTTTTTCTTATAACTCTTTCTTTTCCTTATCCATCTACTTGTTCTTAACCGATTCTTACGGACATTCTTTAAATTTCTTGCCGAAAACTGTACATTTTTCGAAGGCAAAAACAACTATGACAACGACAAAAATCAGTGAACCAGTCATAAAACGTCTTCGTAAAACCAAGCGAGCCAAATTACCCGAAAATCTGGTGTCAGCCGCAGCGCTTACGGGTGGCTATTCTTTGAGGAAAAGACAAACCACGGCTACTCCCACAAAAAAGCAGAGGACAACTGCAACATTATCCACGGGAGGCAAGCCGAAGCGTAACCATCTTATTGTACAAACGTTCGTCGCCAAAGATTCAGATATTTACAGCGTCAAGAACTATCCCAAATCACAACAAGAAAGAATGAAATACGTCAACCCCAAATCTTCGAGGAGGGTCACTCCTTTCCAGTACAGAGTCTATGATTTAGTTGCACAAGTTCCTGCTGGTCGAGTCACTTCTTACAAGATACTTAGCGACGTGTTGAAATCATCCCCTCGAGCTGTAGGTCAGGCTCTCAGGGTGAATCCTTTCTGTCCCTTACCTGTTCCTTGTCACCGTGTCATTGCTGCTAATTATTCTATTGGCGGTTTTGCTGGAGGATCTGGAGATCATCAGTTTACTGCAGATAAGAGAGCCAAGCTGCAGGCAGAAGGTTGCGTATTTGGAGAACATTATGATTTTAAGCATGATAAAAATGGATCGACTGAATTTTTTGATAAGTTTGTCTTTTAAAAAGAGAGTGATAAAATAAGGCCTCACTCTACTACTATTCCCTATTCCCCTTTCCCGTTCCTTTCCTTATACATTTTGCATGAACGCGCACAAATACAACGACAATAATTGCTTTAAGAAGTGATAAAAAGGCAATTCATCTATGTGAATAAATCAATAAAACATTATAAAATAAACATGTAATCAAAGAATGAAATGTTGTAGGTGTGTATAAAGTAAAAATATATAAAATCTGATAGTCATTAATAGAACACTACATTTGTCTTGCTTAATGTGCATGATGGTAAATTTTGACGATACCGTCTGCACCACCGCTGATCAACCAAGGATAAGTGGGATGGAACTTGACCGCCAAAACGCCTTCGTCTCCCTTTTTACGATGTGCAGAAAATTCCTGAATGCATGTCTTGGAGGACATATCCCACACACGTATAGACGAGTCATGACCACCGGATACCATAGTGGATCCAGAAGAGTGAATATCCAGGCACGTCACACCATCTAAATGTCCAGAAACAGTTTCTATGCATTGGCCAGCGTTGATATCGAAGAATTTGATGTGTCCATCTTCATGAGCGGAAACAAGTAATGATGAAGTAGGATGAGAAATGATACTATTGATTTGTGTAGTCACTGTATGATCAAACAAGTCATCACTGCCTTTAAGTGTTGATATAACTTTGCCTGTTTCGATGTCAAAGAGTAGAATCTTATTATCAGCAAAGGACACTGCTAACTTGTTACTACGTCGGCAGAAATCCAATGTTGTAGGTGCAACTACATTCCGAGTAGGAAACAAAAAAGAAAAAGCACCATTAAGACATTGAACTCCCCTTTTCTCGAGCTTCATTTTGATCTTGTCCATTTCTCTGTTTTACCTCTATTCGCTGTGGAAAATGTTGATGGACTGTCCGCTGTTACTAGGCCATCTTTTGTCCAAGTACTCTTTAGTACATCCCCGTTATTGTCCATCTTCTCACTCACATCCCACAATTTCACTGTTCCATCAGCTGAAGCTGAAGCTAAAATATTTGCTGGCTCTGACAATTTAGTATCCCAAACAGCATCTGTATGTCCAACCAAAGTAGCTAGATTCAACATAGGGTCTGTATAAAGGATGATTCAGCATTGTCCAATTTATTATTGTTACCGTGGTGTTGTTATTGTCACACACTTACCCACCGGAGGAAAAGGACCTCTTTCTTCGGATGGCAATGCCCATACCCTAATGGTCGAATCCAACGATGCAGAGTATATTTTCTCTTGTAGCTCAGACATTATAACACTTGTGATAATATTTGTGTGTCCTCTGAACGTGATGCTAGGATCGGCCTCTTCCAGTGAAGATGAGCCCCTGTGAAAATGAGCGTTAATGAGGAGGAACTATCCAAGGTATGAATAGCCTTCTTTATTCCACCTCTCTTCCCACTTCATCAATAGCACATACTCACCTTTTGGCTGAGGCTCTTTGCAAGTTCCATATTTTTACTGTTCCATCGTCCGACCCAGAAGCTGCCATCATTCTTTCGGGATGGAAACAAACTGAACGAACCGAATCCAGGTGACTACGGTAAATAGTAGATGAATAACAAGACGGTTTACCCGAGTAGGTCGCCCAACGATCCATTTTAATTTTGATTTTACCCTTTTATAGTGATTCTTGATTTCCAAACTTTGGGTTGCGCTGTTGTTGCATCAAGTTGACTATCTACCATATGTTTTACCTAGTGCATTCATATGCCCGTTGATAACGGTTAGCGACCATGCCATACCTCCTCTTTTGCACCTCCTTTATTTCTTCTTCTCAGTATAAAAAAAGATGGATCGGTGACCGAAATAAAGAAAAGGGTTACCTGATCTGGATCAAAATCACCTGCTAATAGTCGATCTTCATGTTGTTGTTGCAGTTGTCGTTGACGTTGTTTTTGTTGCAGTTTCTTTTCATTTTTAGTTGCATGTTTTAATAGTTTCGCAACTTTATCTTCTGAGAGGTGAAACTTTTCTTGTAGTTGTGCAGACTATCAAATGAATAGTTCAACAAGAGTGTGTGTGTGTGTGTGTATGTGGGGAGGGAGTCGGGGGAAAGAGAGAGCAAGTAATAAAATGAGTTTCCTCTTTCTTTTCCATAGTACTCCTTTATCCTTTTATTTACCAAGGTTGCTTCATTCTCTTGTTGTTGCTGTTCCGTTGATGATGAAGCAGTAGTAGTAGTAGACGAAGAGGGTGATGCTGATGATGACACAGCATCAAGTTGCTTTTTCTCCTTATTGATGTTATTGATCATAGCGACTTCATCCACATTAAGCGGAACTTCCATATCCAATTGCTCTAGTGGCAAAGAGACAGATGTAGAGGATGGTTTTGGTATTTGTTGTTGTTGTTGTTGATAAGTGAACGATGATTTTCGTAAAGATGTCATTGGAGAAGGCATGGATGCTGTATTTGTATGGTTTTGTTGTTGATTGGATGAAGATGCTTTCGTGCTCGTATTTTTATCGTTTTGGCGTTGAGAGTAGCCATGGTAGTTGGGAGTTGGCGATGAGGATATTTCGATGGATAAGTCCGGGTTTAGTTTGAACTTCTGCAGTTGCTGTGGTGAAGGACTCGGTTTCGATTGTGTAGACGGTGAAGTGATCGAATTTATAAATGCGTTTGTCAATGGTAGTTTTGACGGTAATGACGTTAAATAATTGATTTCTTGTAAGCATCTGATGTGTTTTGTTTTGTTTTTTGTTTTTTTGGATAGAGGAAAACAGAAGCTTTGGTTAGTCATTGACTGATTACAAGTAGGGTTCAACTTCACTCACGGAAATATACGACGTACGATTTTAAGAGTTCCCTACTTCTTTGCCTCGTTTTACTATTATCTGTGCTTGAGCCTATTGCACCATAATATAGATTCATGTCAGCCCTTTTTCAATGTATGTGCTCCATCCTCATTTTTAAGTAGCAGATGAAAGAAAAAAAAAAAATCGAGATTGTACTTGCGCGTACTGTTATGATCAGAGTCTGTATTGTCTTTTGCCTTGGTAACGTGATTTGGTAATACTTGGTTTAGTTCGCTTTCTTGATGAAGGTCTGCTGAATGCCGCTTCCTTTCTTCTCTTAATGCATATTCCAGCATTTTCACTCTTTTCAGTAAGGTTAATTTACTGTTTTCAACTCCTCTTCTCTCACCCTCTAATAAGGCAATCCGCGCCTATCATGAGCGTGCAAATGTATGTATGTATGAGCGGATGCTTCATGTACCCATCCTACATATAGGGTACGAGCTTTTTTTTTGGTTGATCGAAAGGTGAGTTTTACCTTTAACTCTGCTCGTTCAATAGTCCATTCATTCCTTTCACGTTCAAACCTTCTCCATTCTGCTTGTAGAAAATGCAGTACTCCTGGTAAACTATATTCAGCCAAGGTTGTCTCTACCATCTATGATTTGCGTTGTTCTGTTCTTTTGTGGTGATATCCAAATTTTGGGTTTTCTCGTTGCTGTTATGCAATATAAAAAGAAATACGAAATTCTTGATGCAAGAATCTTCAAGTTGAGATAATAAGAATAATACTAAAAAAAAAGCAAACTCAAGATGAGCAATACAAATGAACGAAAGCAAAACAATAAAAAAGAATAATTATGAAGAAAAGGAAAAAAGAAGTACGATGTTGATTTTATAACAACGACATTTTATTTATTTAAGGGGGAAAAAAGACACAATTTACTAACCATTTTGTAAGTTAAAAAAGACCATGTGACGTAGTAATGAAAGTGTTTGCAGTGATTTAAACGATATGTTTTTGAAGACAGTTGATCTTTTTTTCATGCATTTTATTTCAAGGCCTTTCAATAACTAGAAAGATGAAAGGAATAGTGAATAGCTAAAGTATCTCTCACACAATGATCATGCCGTGTATGATGAGATTTCAAAAGACGCGTTTACCAAATGAGGGGGCCAAAATATCCCAAAATGCAACGCTGCTTTTTCCCCTTTTTCTAAACTAAGTTTTGTTTAACCGAAAGCGCTTTCACCAATCAACTATGAACAAATATACTCCAGTCAATTGCTTTTCCCTAATTGTGTGGCACATCATTTGTATCTCGGTTTTCAGATCATCACTCTTATCTTTATATTTTTGGACAATTCATTCCAGTTTCAGACGTTATAAAAGAAAAGTTCAGGAATAATTCTTTTCAATACACGAACGGACCCTATCCAGTCAGCGGAACGATTCAGTGCTTGATAGTGCGATCTGAATGCACTGCAAACTAGCTTTGTCAGACAATGTCTTTTCTCTCATCAAGGAATAAAACCGACGTCTATCATAAAATGAATGAAAGAACAGTTCGATAGGAAACTTTGTCTTTTTGATTTTCCTGCGGGTTCCTTTGAGAACTTCCCGCGAACCCAAACCTATAGTCAGTACGGGAAACTAAAATTTTTGCAGCAGATATTTTTCTTCTCCTTCATTTTACCGTAATAATTTCACGTGTTACTTGTTACCTAATGAGTCGTCCATATGTCTGAAAAAAACATGCCCAGTGTTATTTTAATATTGTTTATTTTTTAAAAAAGAAGGTCCATTTCACTGCGAGAAGGATGAAAACAATTTGAACCAGTCCATTTATTGTTCGAAGACATAAATTTTAAAAGTTTTGTCTAAATTGTTTTCTAAAGTTGTCTAAATAAATCAAGATATAGGATCTGAATTATTTCAAGAAAAAAAGTCTGAAAAATCAAGGCCAAATAGACTCATATTCTGGCTCTTTTTTTTTTCGGTTTTTTTTTTTTTTTTTTGCTACAAACTCAAATTGCGCACAATCTTTTTCCTTTCTTTCACCTTTTTCTATTCAACGAATTAGACACTTGTAAACAATCAAGATGGGTTCTCCTAGTATCCTTAAAAGCCCTCTATTTAATATGGGCTTTTTACTTGCTTCTATGCAACTTTCTAAAAAGATCGATTGGAGCGATCCTGATGTTTTGATGTACGCGAGAATCGGCTATTACGCCGCTCAAGTGTTGGTAGTGCTTATGGCTTACGGTTTAATCGCACTGGTGAAGAAGAAGAATGGTAATGTATCAGGATAGTTCAAACAGGAAAAGGAGCAGTTGAGAGAGGGAGGAAGGGTAAGAGAGCTTGATGACGTTCAACGAGCATTCGTCATCGTCATGAGCATCATGATTCGACTTTTTTACTCTGGTGGCTATGGGTGGATTGAGAAAGAACTGGCGTGATGGGGAGTGAATAAAAAGGAAAAAACTAACGTCCCTCGTCCCTACTCTGTAGACAATACTACTTTGGTGTATACACCTCCTGCTGCACCTGGTGCGGCTGCGGGCGCTGTACCTGAAACTGTCACGACGACTGTCAAGGATTACGACGTCAGCCAAGTCAAGCAATTCATACAATCTACTCTCACTTCTGTTGTCATCATCTCTGTCATGCATTGGCAATTCAAGTTTACTCAACCCCTTTTGATGCAATCCATTGTTCCCTTCAAGAACCTATTGACACATAAAATCGCCTTGATTCATTTATGGGGGGATGCACCTGAAGGCGGCTTGGCTAGACCTTTCCAAGTAGAGAACCCTTTGGCTGGTTTCGCTAATATGTTTGGTGGCGGCGCTCCTGTGGACAACACCGCTGCTGCTCCTGCTACTACTACTACTGCCACTACCGACAGTGGTCGTGCTCATCAAGATTAGATAAAAGCAAAGGGAGGTCTGACATCCATCCACTTTCGCTTCCTACACAAGTTGTCGAAAGAGAGAAGAAAAAGAGAAAAGAAAGAGGAAATGGGTGTCATTTTGCAATTGACTTGAAAAATGGTTGGGTCCACTCTCTCTATGTGGATTCATCATCAAGTCACCCAACCTACTACGTACGATAGCATACATGTGTAAAAACGTTGTAAACTTGTAATTAAAATAAAAAAAAAAAAAAAAAAGAGTTATTCTTTGGAATATTTTATTATTTTACACATGATGGTAACACACATTTGAATCGTGTTGCCAAAAGAAAACAAAAAGAAAAAAAAGAGGATGAGATAGGGAATGTTGATGCAACATGTTGATAGTCAGAAACAAAAAAAGAAAAAAAGGGGCTAATGCTTTCTTCCGATCACCTTGACGGTTCCGTTAGGCAACATCTCACCCAAATAACCTGTCATCAACCAACCATCACTGCCCAGCACGTCTGAGGTGACACTACTGTCTATGTCGTTGTAATAAGTCGTCAAGACATTATTTCCACGGACCCAGATTTCACCACGCGGGTTAGGCATGTCCTCAGCGGTCAAGTTCATTTCAGGTACGTCGACCAACTTGATTTCGTTACAAGGTAAAGGAGCCCCTTTGGCTTCAGGATCTGCATTGTAGTCGTAAAACATGGAGGCAACAATGGAAGACGTCGTTTCGGTCATATTGAAGGCTTGTAGAACTTGTGTACAGAGAACGATGCGAAGGAACATGGCCAAGTCTGTATCTGTACTGTCATCTTTATGAACAATGGAGAAGGTGAAGAAGGGTGGATGGGCTTAGTGTGATGGGGTTCCACTTTTTCTAGAATGACATGCGTGCGTGCGTGCGCACATCCCATCTTTTTCTTTTTTTCTTTGTTATCTCTTACCATTGTCGATATAGATCAATCTTAAATTGCCTCCAAATAGCGTCTGTCGGATAGCGCGGAACACGAGCATATCATATTTACAGTCACTGACCAAACGGCCGTCTTCAAGGAATGCTTTTTTTACATTGTATCCTCGTTTAAACAAAAATGATGTACCATAATGAGATTCAATCCATTGCTTTGCTTGTTGTAAGAAAGCAGGACCACTCGCAAGAAGGGTAGGCTTCAGATGAGCAACCATGGACTTTTTATCGCTCGTGAAAACGTCTTCCGCTTCATCGTCACCAAGGAAGGCAATAGAACCTCCCATCACACTTACTGCTGTCGCTAAAACATGTCCAAAGACATTGTCTAAAGCAAACACGTTTTTTTTTTTTTGTTAGAATACATTTCATCCTGCTCGGCGTAGGGATTTGTTGTTGACTCACCTAGTGGCAGGCTGAGCAATAGACGATCCTTTGTCGTAAATCTTTGTTGAGGTGGAATAACCAATAAATAGGAAGCTAATGTTTTTTGGATAGGCTTGTGAGTGGGAGACGATCCAATGGCCCATCGTTGATCCTGTGTTGGATTCTTACCTATGCTGGATAATAGATTCTATGAAATGAAAAGAGGAGAGGGTCAATGATTGGAATACAAAAAAAGTAAGCTTGGGACAAGAAAGTGTTTGATCTACCTTATGTGTCAAAACGACACCGTGTTTTGCATCCTACATTTCCAAACCGTGTATTTTGTTCAGTACAATCCTCTCATCACTGCATTTGATCCCCCTTTTTTTTTGGTTTCTTTTTTTTTTTTAATATCGCAAACCTTTCGAATAGAAGACGTGAAATAGATACTGGCAATATCAGTAGGTGCTATTTTTTTTTTTTTCGGAAAAACCAAAAGTCAATTTTTCCGTGGTCAGATGGGCGGGTATACTCTCAACGCTTACCAATCACTCTTTCGTCCATTTTATCACTGGCGGTAGCAGCAGCAGCAGCAGCAGCAGCAGCCCCGTGCTCTTCAAGTTCATCGAATGTCATGATATCCACTCCGTTCTCTTTTGCCAATTGTTTCTTTTCATTCGTGACAGTGTACGTCTTTGAAGAGGGCAAAACAACTATCTGCTTCAGAGCACCCTTGTTACCCCCATTGATCAAGGCGAGTACTCGGTCTAACAGATCCTCATCTATCAAAAGACATTGAAGCAACGCCTTTTGGAGAACATGAGAGACGTGAGAAGAAGGTGCGTTGTAGGCAATAGGAAGGGTGACTAATCCATGCGAGTGACATGCTACATTTTTTTTTTTTTTTTTTTTTTTTGTTAAAAACAGAGCAAAGCGACGTAGGACATATGGATTTGTTCTTTACCTATTTCTGTGATGGTGGTGTAGTGAGAATGCCTACCGTACAAGCCGACAAAAGAATGGGTATCGTTTCCAGGAACCAATTGAGCTGTGGTTCTAAGACCATGATAAATAGGCTTCAATTTCTTACTGACCGCACCTGTTGTGGAACAAGGAAAGGGTTGAGATTTTATTTTATTTTTTTTCTCAAGAGAAAGGATGTGGTGTCCACACTTACCATAAGACAACTACAGAAACGATCCACGAAGCTATAAGATATACTTGAAATTGAATCATGACGCATGGAAAGGAAAAAAGGGGATCACTTACATAGTCGTTTGTCGTAGCATTGGCCAATAAAAATTCTTCTTCGGCATGTTTATCCAGACCAGCAGCACTACCGCCACCACCGGCCAACTTGTAAAGGTCAGCCAAGGTGCGAATAGAACGGTCAAAGGTAGAGCACAGAGGAGTGCCCATGGGATACATGCGTGAACGATAAACGGCGCTTTCTTCTGGATGACGAAGACGCGAGACGTCTGATTGTGTATTCAGCAACAAAGGATGAATGTCGGGTGATTTTGAATTGCGAATGGAGAGCAAAGCGGCTGCTCCCACAATAGAACTGATGAGAGCATAACTGACAGTGTCTAATTCTAGACTCATGCGGTAGAATGGTTCGAAAGAAGTGCAGTCGATGAATGAAAAGGAAGAAAGAAAAAAAAAAACCAAAAACAGGTACAGCACAGATGATTCATGAAGGATTGCCTCTTTTCAGACTCAGAGCGGTAAAGGGTAACATCCACCCAATCACTCAGCTTGATTTCCCTTTTTGAGTGATAGTTACACAGGATCTTAGCATTTTTTTTTCTTCTTTGCCTTTTTTTCTGTATTTGGGTCTGCAGAGACACTTGTCTTTTTTTTTTCCCTTATTTAACGGATTGAGCAAGACGATTCGAGTGGTAGTCGTAACATGCTAATAAAATCAAGGCTACAATTCATTATAGCAGCCGCCTTAGGCTATTTTACGCTTTATTGGCTGTTCAAAAGTTCGCTTTTGTCACTACCGCTGTCTTCCTTCAAAATACAGCAGTGTCGATCCCATCCTCTGTGGTCGTCCATTGCGTCGACGCATTTCAAAAAGGATGATCCGAATGCCGTCGCTTATACCTATATCAACATGAATGATAAAGACGGCAGTCATAACAGTAGTCGTTACAGTGAGGATTGGACAGAGAAGCAGAAGAATAACAGTAGCAGCCAACAGAGTACCCACCAGCAGCAGCACCACCTTGTACATAACGACGGTAATGACTTTGGTCATGTACTCATCTTGACACCGTTCAAACAGTCTGTCCAATTTATCGATCGGTACTTTGATAATGTCAAGCGACTTACTTATCCTCATCACCTCATCTCTTTGGGATTTTTGGTATCTGACTCTACGGATGGGACTATCGAGAAACTCCGAGAGAGGGCACAATTGGAAATGGACACAAGACAGCAGGCGCCGTCGTTGTCGTCGTCTGGTGAGGAGAGTGTCTCGAGCTGGAACAGTTTTGACAGTATATCGATCTTTCAGAAGGATTATCAATACGATTTACCGGCGAACGAAGATAGACATGCGTTCAACGTACAGATCACTCGACGGAATATCATGGCCAAGAGCCGCAATACGCTCTTATCAGCGGCTTTGACCGAGAAGCACGATTGGGTGCTGTGGTTGGACGGTGATGTGATTGAATACCCCGAAACACTGTTGGAAGAGTTGATGGCGATGGATAAGGATATGATTGTACCGAATTGTTACTGGCATTCTTACAATGAAGAAGGAGGCTATGATAAGAACAATTGGCAAGAAACAGAGGAAAGTTTGGCGTTTCAAAAAACGCTACCTGAAGATCAAGTGTTAGTCGAGGGTAGGGTTATCGAGATGCGATGTTCAGTTTTTGATAGGCATGACCGGTAGGAGTTAACGTCCTTCCTCTTTTATATATCATACCAATAGGTTATCCAGAATTGATCACTCATAGAAAGCTCATGATTGACATGCGATTTGAGAACAACCAAACGGATTTGTTTTATGCAGTTCCTTTGGATGCGGTAGGAGGTACCTGCACATTAGTCAAAGCAAAGGTGCATCGAAATGGCGCTATTTTCCCACCGTTCCCGTACCAGCATCAAGTGGAAACGGAAGGTTTAGCCAAGATGGCCAAAGCTTTAGGTTACGAGGTGTGGGGACTACCCAACTATTTAGTTTATCATTATATTTAATCTTATTTATTATATGCCCCCTCCCCTCCCCCATCATATAATAACAACCCTACTTTTTATTTATTTATATACAAACTCCTTCCATTTTTTTTTAGTTGGACCGTCCTATGTTTCTCGTTTCGTTATGCACATGTCAATAAATGCATCGTCTCCCCTCCCCCTCCCCCCTTGATAGACTTACGCTTCATTACTGTAGTTAGTGTCATGTCATGATACGTCTGTAAGTGACATTTTATTCATTGCTCTAGAAGGGAAGGTAAAAAGCTTTCTCTTCTATGATGATCCAGATGCCAAAAACATAATAATAGAGTATGCTCGTGTTTCATGGAGGAGAGCCGTTGTGGCTCTTCCCAACAAAATCCTTTTCTGCAACTGCATCGGTCAGAGAGGGGTGTGTCGTCTCTTTTCGAGAGAGGTATCTCAGAGTGTCTCACATTTGTCTCTCGTTTTAGGCCTAGTGCTGCGATTCAAATGCATTGTTTACAAATAGCTCGTCTCGATAGTTTAGTAAAACCCTGAAAGGCAGGTATGGAACCGTATCGATTCAGCAAATATACAGGCCAAACCTGAGCATGTCTTAACCTCAGGAAATCTGCGCCCATCTGTTCGAAATTGAATAGGCGCTATTGTGTCCAAAAAAAACCCCAAAAATCCTTTCGATGAAAGACCGGATAACTTTAGAGTGGGTGATTTGTCTTGACGCTCATCTATGGAACAAATAGATAGGGACATGTTGGATTGAATGACAAAAATAGTAAATAGTACTTTATTTTTGTGGGGGCTTTTTGAGGTTTGTTATTGTACATAGCATCATGATCAACCGAGAGAACTGCTTTTGTTTTCAATCAATCATCCCAAACGGCTTGCTTTTGGTAAAGGTAACAAAACACACAATGGCATACCACAGTAACAGAAACGAGTCAAATCATACTTTAACGTTTTATAGATAAAGCCTTGATCGGATATCCTCTTTATTTGGTGATAAAGTTTTAAAATGAAGAGAGGGCCAATACACGCAGAACTTTTTTGTCTTGTTTTATTCTGTGATTCAACTTTCAATCCTAATCCGTTGCATCGTGTTGCTACTTTGAAGAGGGCCTTCTTTGTAGCCAGATTGAAAGAAAACAGAAACTGGGTTATTGCCATTGTGATTCTTTGAAAGTCTATGCGTATTCATACAACAATGCCCAATACATTCCATCTATTTCCCGTTTTATCATTCAGGCGCATCCTTCCTCATTTGAAGGAGTTTCAAAAAAAGGGGGCGGTCGTGTCGTCGGTCGCTGTGTTGCAAACATTCCAAGAAAAAAAGGACCGACGGCACGCTCATGCGGACGTGAAGATCTTTTTTTTTTTTTTTTTTCTTTTTCAACACAAGTTCCCAATGTCTCAAAACAGTTAAAGTCAGCAAAAAGAGGGGAGCAGAGAATAGAAATATAGCTATTATACGCACAATAAATGTTTAATACTGTACTAAACGTTTTTCCCGTTGACAGAATTGAAAAAAAAAAAGCTGTACGCGACCCCATCATCAAATAAGATAGATCGTCTGTGCAATTGCTATTGGCATCCATAGGATTCATTCAAGCTTTTCTGACGTATTCATGCCACCACTCGATGCTTTCCATCAGAGAAAGAGAAGCTATAAAAAAAAAGGTGAGCGTGTTGCTCAGGTCACTCATGCGTTTTCTTCCTAGCTCTTCCTGGACTCTTCTGATTGGCTGAGTGGGTCTTTTTTTGCTTACGTAAAAATCATGCACTTGGGTCGCCTCTCTTTCAAAAACGGTTTTTGTAGGGTCAAGGAAATCCATGCACCTTCTCTGCCAATAGTGGAAAAAGAAGCGACTCGCTTTCGGAAGAGGGTTCCGTGCTTTACGCTCATTTTCTTTTCTTTCCATCAGTTTTGATTTAATAAGATATGAAAAAAAAAAAAAAAGAAATCACACGATGCAAAGATAACCGTCGGGAGAACAAACCTATTTTGACAGGTTTTTGATTTAAGAATTCCAAATGATGCACACGGAAGGAAGGCTGTCTATTCTTGATCTGTTGGGTATAACAGCCGTCCGTCATTTCCTCGATGGCGATCCATAGACAAGAAGGTGGACGACAGAGCAGCAGAGAGAGGCATGTCTGGAGCATGTCTTGAGATGCGTTACGAGAAAAGCAGTGCATAACCAAAAACGACAAAAGATTGAAATAGCACGTGTTTGTACTGCACTTATTTATTTACAACTCTAAAAAATATAGCCTTTTTATGCAGTTTTGAAAGAAAAGTCCAGAAGCACATGAAGAAATAAAAAAAAAAAAAAAAAAGAAAAGAAATCCGTAGAGGATGATCCCACTTACAGACCCATTATTCAGCTTCATTGACGTGTCTGACTGATTCAGCTGCACTTTATTGCTTATTGAATCTTTCCTTTTAATGACATGACTATTATATATATCATTTCGCTTCTTTTATGACTTGACAGTCCTATTGAGTTTTTCGACACAGAATTCAAGGTTAAACCCATTTCCTCGGTAACGACTACAGTTTTTATTTTTCTTTTTGTCCGCTTTTTTTTTAAGAAAAAGAGGGGTATTGAGATACAAAAAACCATCTGAAAGAAAAGTCTTGAAACATAAACGACTAAAAAATCCATTTTTTTTTTTCTGCTCCCCCCTTTCTTTTTTTCCATTTAAAGAATCCAGGTTCAAGTGTGTTTTATTTTAACCACCGCTATCCAATCAAGCACCCGCAAGAGTAAAAAACGGATGATTGAAACTCTATTCTCTCTTACTGGTGTACCTAAATGCTTTTGTATTGGATACCTTTTTTTTCTTAGTTTATTTTGTGTAACAAAACAGAACGTTTGTTAGGTAAAAAAGAAAAAAAGACAAAAAACTATCTACTATGCGTCATTTACGTTTTTTTTTTTAAAGTTTTGTTCAAGTATTTTATTCAAATGTATACACCCAAAAAACACACACTCACACGCACACGCATACTCACCCTTATTTTCTAACGCAGTGAAGTGGAGATTCAAAAATGTCAAAAATGATGGAAAAAAAAAATTGACATATCTGGGGTTTTTTCTACAAAAAGAAAAAAGAAAAAATTTTCATTTCTCCAACAAAGGACTTTTTGTCATCAAGCGGGGTATGAAAATCTATTTGACATGAATAAAAAAAAAAAAAAAAAGAAAAAAGCTAGAATGAGAGGAACACAGACAAAAGCGCGTAAAGAAACAAGACTAAGCTTTTTTTTTTTTTTTTTTTTTTTTTCTTCGAATCCCCTTTCCTTCATATAAATTGTATAAACTTATTTTTTTATTCTCTTTCTCTTCTTTTTTTTTTATTATTATATTCTGCTGCTTATTTTTGTTCTCTTTGATTGTTTTTTTTTTTTCATTTCTTTTTTGATTTATTGAGCGCGTCTTCTACGAATCATACCATCTCTTTTTTTTTCTTTTTTTTTTTTTTTCTTACATTAAAAAAACTTACATAAAGCATTTGCATTCAATAATGTCAGAAACTACCAACGCACATCTACAGCTTTGTGTGAATGATTTACTTCATCCAACGGAAAAGTCAGAGTCTTTGTTGGAAGCTCTGACACCTTCACAACTTGAAGAGATCGAAAAGACATTGGTCAAAATCAAGTCTCGAAAGTTCTCTCTTACAGAACCTAGGGTGAACAAGCAACAGCAACAACGACAACAGCAACAACAACAGCCACATTGTGAATTGGGTAAAATAAACGGCTGCCCCGCTTTATTTTTTATTTTTCCAGTTTTTTCCCCCTCCTCCTGACTCATAAAAAAAATTGGTTTCTTGTTTTTTTTTTTTTTTTGTCTGGGTTGGTTTCAAAACATTAGATACTACGACGACTCCACAAACTGCGACAACACATCCTTCCAAGCTGCATCATGACTGGACACTTGTTGCTGCACAAGTCGCTAAAGCGTTGGCTGATACTATCACCACGCCCAACGACAACAACAGCCATAGTACGTCCAAAACAGCCTCCATGGATAAGCCACCCATTCCACCTCCTTCCGTTACCATCACAACCCCTCCTCCATCCAACGATAAAACCGCATCCTCACTCACCGATACGGCTTCTATAAATACCACGTCTCATACGACAACGACTCATACTACTTTCAAATCCACTACTCCTACTCCTACTCCTACTCCTACTCCTACTCCTACTCCTACTCCTACTCATACTACTACTACTACTACCACTACTACTACTACCAACAACGACGCTCATCCACAAACCGTCGTACCTAATCATGAACCCCATACTGAAATACGCGACGGTATTGAATGGGTGAGCTTTGTCTATTCTCATCATCGTGTCCTTCGTCGGTATTCCATTCGTACAGATATTGATCAAGTCGATATTAGTCTATTAGATGAAAAATTTAAGAGTGAAAATTGCGTAAGTATGAAAAACAAGAGAACAAAAAAAAAAAAAAAAAAAAAAAGAAAAAAAAATTTTTTTTCCTTACTCCTTTTGGACATGACCTCATGTTACCCGCTTCCCGCTTCCCCTCCCCCCCCCCCCACATAACCCACAATCAAAGTATTCAACTGACCTTATTCTCTTCATTAGGTCTATCCTCGTGCTAATCTTTCTCGTGAAGAATATCAAGGCAATCGTTGGGCTTATGAAACAGAATGCAATACCTTGGGTTGGAAATTGGCCTATCTCAACTCGTCTGAAATTGCTGGTAAAAGAGGTCTGATCCAACGTGCGGTGGATTCTTATCGCAATCGTTATCCTAGTATGCGCTCTCGTCGTGTGGCTCGTCAAGAAAAGTTGCTCAAAGGTACCTTACGTAAAAGAAAGCAACGCGATCCTACTGCCACTGCTGCTGCGGCTACTGCTGCTGCTACTGCCACTACCACTCCTACGTGTACTGTTCATACGACGACGACACCCACGATGGAGACCGAATGGGAGGAATCCCATCCTACGACCAAGAAATTGAAAACCGAAGGGGTGGATGCCAAGACTCCCTCTTTACCAAAGACAGTGACCATCGACGATGGTCATGGTCAAGGAGGCAAATATCGTATCCGTATCAATGTGGATTCTGTCTCTTTGGATTCCATCGATATGGCTTTTCGTAAAGCCAATTGTGTCTATCCTCGTGCCATGGACATCAATACGTTGTCTCCTTTTGCCTCTCAACGTCAATTGGAAGAAGCTCGCTGCAATGAATTGGGCTGGAAATTAGCCTGGTTGAATCCCAAACAACTGGCCAACCGTAAAAACTTGCTCCAACGTGTCTTGGATGTGTATCGTACGAAATTCATGCCTGCCTTGAATCCTCGCAAGAACTCTCTCCGTATTCCTATGAACCCGCCCAATCGTTTGTCCATTGATACCGATATGTTGACAGCCAAACCCAATGACATGGTGACGCCCACGCCCCTCACCGCCGCTGCTTTGGCCGCTCAACAACAACACCAAGAGCAACAACAACCGTTACAAGAGAGTGATTCTTTGTACAGTGGTACTACAGACTCTCTTGATTTCCATGATTGTTTCTCTTCACGTTCTTCCTCTCCCGTGATCCATGACCCTCCTTCCTCTTTGCCTCATCTCTCTACTACCACGACGACGGCCACGTCTACCCATCCTCGACTTCACACACCTCCTGCTTCCTCCTCCTCGTCTCCTGCTTTATCCACTCAAGACATCCTTTCTTCTCCTCAGGCGAATGAACTCATGTTGTGCTCTTCTTCGGCTACGGCTTCCACGGGCGTACCTTCTCATGCGAACGAAGAGGGCCTTTGGAACTTTCAATTCATGCATCACTTGCATCCTCTTTTCAACGAAAACAGTCGTCTCAGTATCAGTAGCACCACGAGTACCAGTAGCACGGTGAGCAGTCATAGCACTCAAAGCGAGCACCCTGAAACGCAAGCCAACGTGGCGGCGGCGGCGTCGTCGGCGTCGTCGTCTCCTTTCATTCTCAAATCAGAAGATGCTTATCTCGGCATCGATGATCCTATGCAAATCGATCGTACGCTGCATCCCGAGTCTCAGTTGTTCAAGGATACACATCTCTTTGAATTTTTTACAGAACACATGCTGCCTCCTTTTTCCGCCATGATGTTGGCCTCCTCCTCGTCGTTGTCGTCGCCATCCTCCCCTTCTTCTCCTCCCTCCACACAAGATGTCGTGGAAGGACTTGTTGTTGATCAACATGCTTTAATGAATCAATTATTCCAACTCTGAGAGGGGAAAAAAAAAAAAAAAAAAAAAAAAAGTCGGCTCGTTTCTTTGTACATATTATTTTATTTTTTTCTGTTATATATATTTTTCAAGATACCTTTTTTTTGTGCTCTTTTGTCAAAAAAAACATTTACTATTTCTGTGTATTATTATTATAGACTCTTTTTTCTTTTTTTTTGTTGCAAGTCGTTTAAAAAATAAATGTCTCTTTTTTTTGTTTCTATTTAAATAAAAAAAAAAAAAAAAAAAAAAAAAGAGAGAGAGATGTGAAAGCAAAGAGAAGGGGTGGGGCACTTTATTGTTTTTGTTTCATTTCAAGCATGGAAAATCTCAGGGGGAAATAAAAAAAAACACAAAAAACAGCCACCTCCACTCACTCTCATGACTATTCACTTTTTTTTTTTTTTTTTTTTTTTTTTTTTTTGCATGATGGACTTTATGACACACCCACACCCAGTTGGATCCACGATGCTTACTCGATATCTTGTCAGTAACGTCATCAAATTGTTTTTTTATTCAAACTTGATCTGAATGGCGATGGCGGGTTACCACCACGCGTTGGTTCCTAGGGCTGTCCCTCCCCTCTCCTCCAGAATAACGTCCATAGAGAGGACACGATCTTTTTCATTTTCATCAAGAAACAGTGAGAGAGAGAGTGGATCGTACAGGCCACCGCGTCCCCTTTTTCGCCTTTTATTGGCTGGGTGGAACGGGTGGGTGAAGGGTCCTGTGTGACAGACAGAAATCAAGAAATGTTTGACTTTTTTCTTTTATTTTTTTTTTTTTTTTTACCTTAAGGAGAGAGATCTCTTTTTTTTTTCTCTTTCTTTTTTTTTTTTTTTCATGACATGGATTTGTATCGTCAAAGAAGACAACGGACACGATGTCAACCTATTTTAACCAAAAGACAGATTCGAGAATTAGGGCACATGGTGAACCTGACCTCATTTCGGCAATCAGCAGAATTTTTCATGGTATAAAAAATTTTCCATAAGAAAACGACCTCCCAAAAGCGGGTAGAAATGAAATTAACAAGTCACCCCCCCCCCACCACCACCATGAAGGACCCTTTTCATTATTTTACACAGAGTAAAACCAACATGGCCAAGATCCACCGCTATTTATTAAGCGAGGGACTGACCACGATCCCATGTCCCACCACCCATATTCGTCAGGGGGATCACGCTCGTTTACTGATCTCTATCCTCTTTCCTGGCTATCCCATCGTGAAAGCCAGTGAAGCCTACTATCGTTCGCAGAGAGAGAACCGTGGCCCCCAAGTCAAACTCCATGATCTCGCCTATGACCGACTCCCGACCACCGACCGCTATGAACGTCTCGAAGAACTGTTTCGCGCCGACCTCGGTGCGGGTGGCTGGACGTGCCATCCGAGTGACGACGACACAGACAAGAAGGACGGTACAAAGAAGAAAACCGGCCCTCGTCATGTGGACTATACACTCGCGATCCCCTTGAAGAAACTGAACCGATCGATCGTCCTCGAAGGCCACGCCGACTCTACCTTGAACGTTCGATTATTCATGTATTTATGGAGTTCTGAACGTATGGCTTGGACACCCCATCCCGAACAGCTGGAACTCTTGGTGGACAATGCCGAGAAGGAAAACAACAACAACAACACCACGTCAGCCGTCCATGCGGCCGGGTTCAAGCATATCGATATGACAGACACATCGGCGCTGATCCTCAAAGCCAACCGAAGAAGTACACAAACCCTCCAATTCAGGTTCCGTTTCAAACACGCTCCCCACCTTCCTGATCTGCCACGACGGCCCGACCGTATTCGACATGTGTCTGTCTGTGCCGTCATTGAAAAGACACCCGAAGAACTAGCGAGTCAGTTGTATTTACAAACGGCCGCCTTGTACATGGGAAGAGCTTTGGAAAGACACAGTCGACAGCCTGAGGTCGCCGATGCCCTACAGAAAAAGGCAACCCACCTGTTGAACCAGTATGATATGAATGATCGATGGACGCTGTCAAAAATGAAAACCTTGTTCTTGTCGTCTGCAGAGACCTTTCTCCATGAATGGAACGGTAAAACGGATTACACATAGTAATAAAAAAATAGTGTCATTTTTTTGCTCTACCCCTTCTTGACTCACACTTTCCCTCTCTCTCTCTCTTTCAAGACACAGAGAAAGAGGAAAAAGACAACAACGAGGCTGACAATGACGGTGAGATCATGGCCAAGGAAGAAGTCGTCTCTGTCTTGGATCCCATTCATCTCGGTCGCATTGAGCACCCAGCACGTTGTATCTTTTGTACGCATAGCACAACGTTTGATGCCATCCAATTTTTTCGATTCGAAATCAAGTCGACTCACTGGCGTTGTCCCATTTGTTTCGTACAAATTCGTGGCCTAGAAGTAAGCGTCCATGGGCTGTTTTGGCCTTGGTTTGAGATCAAAGGATTCACCGTTTCCCCCCTTTTTTTTTTTTTCTCCTCCGTAGGACTTGTATATGGATTACCCTACAAAATTAGCCCTTGACAAATACCCCGATGAACAAAGGTTCTTTAAAGATGCTAATGATCACTATACATCCATTAAAATAAACAAGGCATCCGACTCTCAAGAGGTAGAAGAAAGATTAGGAAGCAAAAGAAAGTATGATGTCATATCACTCGATGAGGATGAAGTGTAAAAAACCCTCTCGTTCCGTCTACTGATGGTAGATAGCTCCAAAATAGCCTGGAGGATGTAAATAGAAAAACAACTTTAGATAATGCTATAGAAAAAAATCAAAACATCATCTACTTGTAAATAGAATATAGATTGAAAAAATTCTACCCTTTCACATGTCTTTTTTTTCCTAGATGTGTTGGGTGACACGAGGATTCATCTCCATGTTCTACCTCCACAGAATGCCAGCACGACGTCATTCATGAGGCGTATCCATGGAGCAAAAAAGTAAAATAGACAGTGTCTACTGTGAAGCTTTCTCTCTCTCGTCGTTCGTCGTCATACGATAGCTGTTTGTTCATTCAAGCCTGTTGAATTGGGATGTTGAAGGATTACCCAATCACCACCGGCTTGCCACCTTTTGTGTATTTTACCCTTCATTTCCGGGTTTCGCAATCATTAAAAAAATATCCATGTTACACGATGTGGTTAGGGCAGAACTTTAATCATTGGATCTCTTTCAATTTCTACCGATGAATTGAACCCAAGAAAGAAAGATCCACTGTTTGTATACGCTCAGTCGTCATTTTTGGCAGCACATCTTGACCCGTTTCTATAGCCACTCTCGGGTGTCTTTTTCTGGTGTCGAGAAACAGAGTGGGCTGAGCGGGAATCCAATTCTAAAATGAAATAGCCTAGATGGTACCTTGATTTTTGATTGGCTGAGATGGAAACAATAAACTTGAATTTTCCGTTCTTGCACTTCAACACCCCCTAGAATGATGCGGGGAGGGGGGATGTAGAATAAAATAAAAAAATGATAAAAAAAAAACCCTTTTTCCGGCTTTCTCCACCTTTTCTTTTTCATTTCATTTCATTTTTTTTTTTGGTAAAACATCCATTCATAGAGCAGCCTTATCTATCGCTTAGAAAAAAACACAACACTCGCCTATTTTTTTTCTTGTACATCCTTTCCCCCGGGCATTATTGCATTTCATTAGAGGAAGAAAAAAAAAAAAAAAAAAAAAAAAAAAAAGAAAAGTTTCATAGAGACATGAAATTGTTTAAAACAACACATACCTACAATTATGAATGGAGTCTCGTATCAGCAGCTCAATGGCAAAAATACCCGAATGAAAATTGTCCTCATGTGTCGCATGTGGATGTTCTGAAGCGCACAGTGGATCCAAAGACGGGTGTGTTGACGACAGAAAGATTAATTACCGTAAACCAAAAGATACCCACCATTATCAAAAAAGTAGGGAGAAAAAAAAAAATTTTGTTATTTTCGGTCCAATAACTCACTTTATTCGAAAACGATAGATATTAGGCTCCAGCTCAATTCAATATGTGAGAGAAGTATCCATCATTGATCCCAACACAAAAACCCTTACTATGCATTCTATCAACCTCACCATGTCCAATCTATTAACGTGTCACGAGACCATCGTCTACAAAGAAAATCCAGAGGATACCACTACCACCCAATTCTCGCAACAAGCCACTATCTCAGCCGGCAAGAGCTTAGTCTCTGGTTGGTCCAACGTACTGGAAGAATTCTCTGTTAGACGTTTTCAGCAAAATGCAGATGTGGGGAAGATTGGCTTTACAAAAGTGTTGGAAAGACTAGCCAACAACACCACTAGTCCTGCTGCCCAAACCACCACGGCTTAAAGAAAAAGCGTGTTCTCTATTCCCCTTTCTTTTCTATCTCTCTCTTATTTATTCTATTTAATCTACAGATGCAACCCACCAGAAAACAATGTCCATGGATATTGTGTAGATCATCATCATCAACAACAACAAAAATTGTGTGGAATAAAACAAAAGAAAAAAAAAAGAGCTATTTTCACCCCTCCCCCCATGATCATGACTTTATCGATTTAATACAAAATAGTTCTCTACTTTGGCAAACTGTGGCACTTTATCTTTGGGAAAAAAAAAGTGTACATTGGGACATAAAAAAAAAAGAGTGGACTCCCCACATTGGGCTCTAAATGAGCTGACATAAAAAATAGAGATTTCATTTTCACACTCCCAAAAAAGATCTGTTACTTGTCTTTTTCCTTTCTTTTTCTTTTTCCCTTTTCCCTTTTCTTTTTTTTTATCCAAAAGAAATGGATTATTTGAAATCATATGAAAACTTTTTACTAAAGAATGCATCACAAATAACGAGCATCGAATCTTCTCTGCGATCCCTCACCTATTTTTTACCTGGTAAAAAAAAAAAAAAAAAAAATAGAAAGTAATCGTCCATTTATCTTTAGTGCACGACGAGCTGACAACCCATGATCCCTTTACAGGTCGCTTTCATGACGCAGAACTCGCCTCTCAAGCACGTAATGTGATATAGACATTATATAAAGTGTGCCTCATGACAAACTCCTTTTTTTTTTTTTGTCTAAAAACGTATATACCCCCCCCCACACCATTGGAAAAAATAGTCTATGCTGCTATCAATTTAATAGGACTCTATCATAATTCAATTTTAAGAAGAGCTGCTCAAGCCTATGCCAAAGAAGAAGGTCAGACAGGCGATGGCTTTCTATTAGAAGAATCCAACTTTAATAAATACATTCATTTTTGGTCCAACAAGTCAAAACTCAATGCCACAGCTTCCACCGCCCTGTCCGTTCTATCTTATACTCAAGTTTTGTTGGAAATGGCAGTAATGAAGAAGTTTGGAAAAAAGAAACAATGGGAACTCATCGCCACTTTAGAGATGATCAAGTAAAGTGCAAAAAAAAAAAAAGGAGTGACATGAAAGAAAAAGGGAATTCTTCCTTTAAACACTCCCTCTCACCCTTTTCACACTATTTTTTTTTTTCTGTGGGTAGAGTTGTGTTAAGATTGACTTTATACCAAACAACAGGTCAAAGAATGACTTTGCAACCAACCCATTCAGAAAGAGAAATCGATCCCACCAGCCTCCAACAACAACAGGAACAATCATCACAGCAGCAGCAGCAGTACCAGAAAAGTCATTACGTCGGACAGAGAACAGGCATATGTATACCTTCTTTATCAGATACCATCGAATTGAATCAAAATCACTTCATGTCTTCCGGACGCAAACATCATCCATCGACCCACTCAACAGCAGCCTACACAGATGTAACAGACTATCTCTTGTCCAAAGTATTGACACCAGAAAAATTACGTAAACCAGATCAAATGGTACAAATACAAAAGAATTTATCCAAGTGGGCCGAAGTACTCTACATTTTCAGGCCTTTGATCTATGGTAAAAAAACACAATGTTTTCTTTCTTTTAAAAAAAAGAAAAACGACTCATACCATCCGCCCCTTTTTCAAATAGTATTATGTATTTTACGTTACGGCAAGAGATCATGGAAACCTTGGTTCATTTCTTTCATAGCTGAAATAGCCTCCCAAATCGCTTTGAAAAAGGGTTATGATCATGCAAATCAACGTATGATGCCCTTAGAACGTCACGAATATATGCGAAGAGGTCAACAATTGTTACTGTTGAATGTGATGCGGGGTGCATTTTATATGAAATGGACGAGACCTCGATTAGAACGTCTCTGTAATCGCCTGGAATCAAAGCCTTTACTGTCTATCGCATCCAATGTGTTGCGTGATTATCTACCTCTATGGGAGCAGATTTATTTCTATACTTCAGCTTCTTAAAAAAAAACAGAATAAAATAAATAAAGAGGCCCTCCTCTTTTTTAAACGAATTTTCTGTAAAAAGGATGGGCTTCTGTATTGAAAATGAAATGATCTAATGAAATCACTTCAGGTGGACTAAAGATCAGATAAAGGTATTTGAAAGTTTCTGCCAATAAAAACCTATGAATTTTTTTAAGGTTTGCATTAGTTTTTTTGCCTACGTTGGGGAAACCACAAAAAACTTTCGGGGGGGGGGGCACCTACGTCTCCATACTGTCAATTTGATTGAACGCCGATTTCTTGTTCTTGTTCAACGACAATACGTTTTTCAATGCTGCATAAGCATGAGGCGTTTTACAATAGGTCTCGATCGCTTGATATATTTCCCATGCATATTCCTGATATTTACGGTCACCCGTGGTTCGATACAGAATAAACAAGCTTTCTACCGTTTCGGGCCGTAACAAGTAACGAGGATCCGTGATAAAGATGCCGTCCGGCCTTTGTACTTTCATGTCCTGAAGAGATGCGCTCGTCGCTACCCATGCTTCCTCCACTATGTACAAACGTGCGATCAATAGACGCTTTCAATCCGCAAAAAAAAAAAAAAAAAAAAAAAAAAAAAAAGAAAAAGACAGGGTTTTCTTTACCATCGTAGCTCAAAGCATCATACTGTTCAAACTTTCTTTGATCAAAAGTCCATAGCTCGGGTGACAAATTTGTTTCTGAACTGCGATACATCACTACACAAGACTCCAAGATGCCTTTGGCTACTTTCATGTCTTCCGGTCTATTGAAAATCTTGGCCCCCATGGCTAGCATACCAGGTGCAAAGCAAGCCTTTTTTACATTAAACCATGAATTCAGATGACAAAATGTCCCCGCGTCAAATCAAGTTTTTTTCTTCCTCTCTCTAGGCCAACTTTTCTTTTTGTCTTACCAGATGATCCATTTTATAAGTAAATGTTCCTCTCCTCACATCATAAGGCGGAAGATACAAATAGTGAGTTTCTTTTGTACGAAGCAACATGTATTTCTTCATCTTGTCGATAGCCGTTTTATCTAACGAGATTTAGAAAACAGTTCATTCTTCCAGTCCATTTTTCTTTCCTTTTTTTCCTCAAGGGGATGCTACAACTCACATAATCTACCGTATTGTGGTAATTTGCCTTCTGATAATATGTACATTTTGAGGAAATATTCATAAGCGCTGTCGCCCATGGCTCCAAAACTGATATGAGCTACCAACAATTCCCATGTGAGACAGTCTCTCTTTTTCTTTCAACGAGACGAATGCATCATAGAATGGTAGCTTACTTACTGGGTCTTAATTCTCCTGTTTGAACGTTAATATCATTAGGGAATAAACCAGAAATCATGCTTTCGCTTGAAAATGTGTAGTCATCAAGATGATCAATAATCGCTTGAGCCTGTCGAGATGGACGGGGGGAGGGGGGTTGATATGAGGGATCCATGTATTTTTCCCCAAGGTCAACCCGGTGTGTGTGTGTATATTACCTTTTGTGCAAAAATAGGATTGCCAGTGTAATGTGATAATGTAAAAAATTCCAACTGCAAGGTTCCTGCATCTGCCAAAAAGGTCGTGTTGGAAGTAGACGACTCTCTGTTTCTGTGTCAGTTTTTATTCTTTCCTGCCCCCGCCCCCGCCCCCCCCCCTCTTTTTTTGTTGACATACTTTACTTGACAGGATTGAATAAATAATAAGGTATACCAGAGAGTGTATCAAAAGCGGGTAATAAGGCCAATCCAATCTCTTCTGCTTTTTTCAACAGATATTCTTGCTCTTGTGCTAATCCAACGTTGGAGCCTGCGGATGACCTGCTCCTTGTAGCAGCAAGCGCTAATTCATAAGCACTCAAAAGCCCTCCCATGCACCGGATGGTCGTTTCAAACACACTTAGATTCTCATCCACAAAGAAATTGACGTTTTTGATCAGCGGTAGCACCTCTTCAAACTCCTCGTTTAACTCCATCACCAACATGGTGCTCAGACTATCTAACAACGTCGCTCCTACCCCTCCAAAGGGGTTCTTCTTTTGGATCGAAATCGGCTGCAATTCGTCGGCACCGAGCGCATACGTCTTGTATCCGTTCCATGCATGTAAAAAGGATTGTTTGACAGCTTCTCGACGAAAATTGCGAGTCAGCATATCATCAATGCTTTCCTTTGCAAACTCATACTGGATGGTCGGTAGCTGAGAATAAGAAGCTCTAAAAAACCGATGAGATGAAAAGTGAGAAGAAGAAGAAGACTTCGATGCCGTTGTTGTGCTGGATCCATAGAGGCCATGGAGTGGATTCTTTTCTATTTGTCTCAGTCGTTGTTGAATAAAGTCGCTGTCGTTGTACAAAAACTCGAGCCTTTTATCCCGGCTCCCACCTGGAGTCCTTCTGGACGTTGTTGACACAAACACATACACACAGAATGCAAGGCCTACGAGGAGAGCCATCCGCCAACGATGAGGCATTTTCTTTATAAGGTGGTATAACATTCCCCCTTCTTTCAAATAAATTCCTAAATATCAAGAAAATGAAAAAGGGAAGAGAGAAAGAGGGGGAACAGGAGAATGAAAAGGAGGGCCCAAATAAGGTGGGGGCGCTGCTAAAGTATGCTTTTTTTGGATGGAAAATGATTAGAAACACTCCGAAAGTTGAAAAACGTGTTGTTGGCAAGAATCAGAAAATCGGATCTCGTTTTGTACTTCTCTCAAACGTAGCCTAACGACATATTCGCTGATGGCCCCCCTCTATTGGCTTCACTAGTAAAACGGATCAAGACTCAAGAGTCATATTGAGTACAAATAGCATGGCTACTGGATAACGGATGAAGGGTGAAACGCTTTATGCCTCCTGCACGCCTACGTAATATTCTGATGGAACTGTGTGTCAAAAACTGTCATGGCTGCTCCAGATGTGCGAAAACATAGATCACCCACTCTATCCAAACTGTATCACTTTCACTCTAAGCTCCTTTCAAAAACCTATAATCAATGCCAACATCTTTTAACCATCTGAACTTTTCTTCGTACGATTCCCTCCTCTACTATGTACGCTTATGTATCACCCCAAATCTCTCTATTTTTAACCTATCTTGATCAATATGTTTTATTCAAGTTTTTCCTTAATAGGCTATCAGATACAGATGATCCTACATTTAGACTTGACCTCTCCATCGACACGTATGTGCGACGATAAAACATTTGAATCATGAAATAAAACGGAACGGATCTCACAAAAAAATGCAAAAAAAATACGGTAACTTTAATGTAGGAAAGGACGAGCTGCCTCCACATATAGAAATATTGGATAGTGCCCGCTAATATTTTCCAGATTAATCCAAGTCGTGAGCTTGTCATATACTTCAATGCCAGAAGGCGAGCTGATCTCCCAATACACGATCTTGAACGGAGAACGTCCCTTTCTTATTGTTGATGAGTGATATCGATGCTAAAGGGTAATGAATGGAAGGTAATCATCCCAGGCCTGTGGCTGATTTTCACAGTAGTTAAATAAGCAGGTCTTGATAAAACGATTCATTCTTTCTGCTAAACCATCGGTTGGTGGGCTATCGGCCGCAGTCAGTATCCTCTTCATGCCGAGATTCTAGGTAAAAGTTAGCATCTACGTAAAGTTATATTCAACAACAATACAAATTGATAAAAAGCGGCTTCATGTCCAGAATCATACATCACGGAAGGAAGGGAAAATCGTCGTCGCAAAAAAAAAAAAAAAAAAAAAAAAAAAAAAAAACGTATTGCCTTATAGAGTAGTTCACTCTTGTGTAAACGACATAACTTGCAGTTATACTTTGAACTGCGGAACAACTTTTCTATGTACGCGTTCATAATAATGTCATTCATAGCCGTACGTGAAAAAGAAAGAAAATCAAAGGTCTCCTTACTTCTTTACTCCCTTGAACCTTTTACCTTGATATAAACTATGTTAATTCTAATTTTTTATTCCATACTATTCGTGTGCTGTGATCCTATGCCCTAGTATGTGTGCGCTTTGCAATGGATAGATATCCGCCGAGCATGTTTCGTTATAAATGTGTGGGGTCATAAAATCCTTTGAATTTGTCTAATGTCACGGTAATCCAGTGAAACATTTAGATTTTGTTCATGAACCTGTCGATTTTTTGATCCAAATCAACGAGTATGAAAAGATAAGAAGTGGAATGATATCATAAAAAGGGCTTACCTCACTTTACTTATAGTACCATCCTTCTCGAAACAGTGACTGATATAAACCTCGCTCGATTTCTTTGCATACCAAAAAAAGAAAAGAAAAACTGATGCTCTTTTCACCTTTGTCATAATGCAGCAGAAACTATATTTTTAGACCTATTAAAAAATGAGTTGCATTCATCAGCCTTCTAGGCAATAGCTGGGGTTTTAAAATTGTTTTAACATAAACAGTGCTGATAACGTCCTAAACTTTTCGAACAAAGTCCGAAAGCCAAGTTATTTGATGATAGAAAACTGCTGGGTCTTTTTTTTTCTTTTTTTTCTTCTTCTTCTCTGTTCTTTTGCACTTATCAAAAAATGCATAAATTGTTATCTTTTAGTATCTTACTCATCGCTCTTATCGTTCATATGGTCAGCGCTATCCCTATTCTCAAGGGAGTTGAACCTCGTTACAGAAGATCCGCTAATCCAGAAGAAATGATCGGAGAATATGGCAGTTCTGATAACACAAAAATGAACATTGATAAGAATATGTTTATCAGAAATAATTTTGTCAGAATAACTGAAATGTAAGCAATAACAGAAGAAGAATGAATGCTTATTCCTTGAAACTTTTTAACCAAGTCTTCTATCTTGATAGCGCTGATGTGGATAACACGGACGAGTTTATTCTTCTTGAATAAACCAACGTTTGCTCATCCTTATGCTTTGCTTCTCTTATTTAATTACGCTTGAGTGTTGAAAGAATACGATTTTTTGTTAATCACATTAGCTGTTCAGCTAGTGGATAGTAACTTTACTATCTTCACGCTGTTGTAACATTGTTCCATCATTATTTATTAAAAAAATTCTGTAAATAAAAGATATCAGACAGGCCTTTATTGTGCTGTATGCAATGACTGTATTAGTCCAACCACACACATTTGATAATAATATGCAGTGACAGACTAATTGATGAGATATACAATGGACTATCTTTTATGGCTTTATTGACCAGCGAGGAAACAGAACAAGGATAGTATCTATCTTTCCAAGTAAATTTATTTTGTGATAATTTCATTGAAGTTATACTTATAAATTACACCATGATCTACTTTTAAAAGTTGTAACTGCTCAGTTTGACATTTAGGCAAGAAAACAAATACTGCTGGTAATGGATAGATGCCCTCAATACTCCTGCTTAAAGTGTACTTAAGTTTGGTCCCTTTTCGATGTTTCTATCAACGTGGCATTTGCCCAAACGTCCTCATATGTGGCATGGTTTTCATATGTTATCTATATTGCTGCGCTCACGCCATGTACAAATTATGTGTCAAAAAAAAAAAAAAAAAAAAAAGTAAAAGTGTGCACTCAATAATAGCCAATTATGTGCTTTTCATCGTGTGCAAAACAAAGCGTCCGTATGTAAAATTCTGATTTAAATTTTTCTAAAAAGTTAATGGATGCCGGAAAGCCTAAAACACTCCAACAATTGAGATAATAAAAAATGGTTAGCTCATATAAAAAAAGGGCGCCTGGAGCATGTTTAGCTGTTTATAAGCGATAGTAGACAAAAGTAAATTGATTTCACTATTGAAGCAAAGCGAACCTTAGCCAGTTCTGTCTTATGTTGATAGATGCCTACCAAACTGTCTTTACAGTGTAAGACGTTTAGCTGTTACAGAAAGACATCTGGAAAAAAAGCTGTCCTTGAGTATTCGCTACAAAAACAAAGCATCTTTAGCAGATACAGTGATGGTATATGGTTGCATTTGTAATGTGATTCGCTCATCCCTTTCTCTACTTTGTAGTTATGACGAAATTCAAAGGTGGATCTCGAATACTTAAATAACAGACTATATCCCTCAGGTGAGTTGTAAGCAATAAATCTTTTGTTGTTTGTATGCTGGAAACATTAAGGGCTTGATCAAGAAGTCATTGGGTGGCATACTCTGCATGTACGGTTCTGCGGAGAGCTTCTGCTGTAGTGCTAGGTTAGAGCAACAGCTGCCACATGACCCACGGCTACGAAAATGGATCCAAAACAATTTTAAGTTTTTTTTTTATGCTAGAGATCGAGGAGTAAAAGAGGACTTGCTTCAACGCTCATTTTACAACATTTAAAACCTTTCTTTAAATAAGAATAATAATAGTGATTTCTCTGCAAACGAAAAGGAAAAGGCGGCATAATTGTCTTCATGATTTCCAACATATAAATAAAGCCCCGGAGATAGGCTATTCATGGAGAGTCGATTTTTCATTGATAATGTATTTTCCTCTCAGATTGAAGTAAAATAGCTGTTTGGAAAAAATGTCTACGTTGCTCAATACTGTATCGACTGCTATGTCCAAAAACCATTGTCAACCGAAACCTATGGCTATATCGTCCATCACGACCTCTGCTACAGCTACCACGGCTGCGGATATTATTATAAACTCACCCCTACCTACTACTGGCACATCTTTACCTTCTACATCCACTGACACTGCGCCTTTTTATTATCCTACTGCTCATTCACATGGTTATCATCACCAGCACCAACACCAGCATCATGGCGTCGGTGGCGATACAACGTCTAGCTCTCCACGTCATTATCAAAGTACATCAACCTTATCAAACAAAAGCCCTACTTTTCAAGCAACCAAAACCACACCCATTTATTATCAGTACGATCATAGTCGCGAGCAGCAACAGCATTATTTCCTTCAACATCAAACGGATGCTGCTCCACTTTCTTCACCTTCGTCTGCTTCCACTGCCTCTTCAGCTTCAGCTTCTACTTCTTCGTCAACATCCTCTCAACATCAGCAACGTAATTCACCGCTATCGTCACCATTACTTTCTTTGCATGAACGAAGGCAAAGAAACAAAGCAGCATCGGCGAAATACCGTGCCAAAAAGAACCAGCAATATGGTGAGATGAGAAGCATGATAGCGACCATCACTAAAGAAAACGAGTTATTGCAACGGCAATTGGAACAAGTACGAAGAGAAAACCATCAGTTAAAGCTGACTTGCGATAAACTTCGAGGCAAGATGCTGGCTGAGAAATTGCTTCAAAAGATGCTCATGAGGCAGCAACAGCAACAGAAACAGCAACAACACTTACACCTGCCCAATGAACAAACCGCAAACTTCAAACAAAGTAACGATGATACGAGTGCCAGTAGTGATGATGAAGATTTTATGGTGGAAGAAGATACACAAATGCTCCTGTCTGTATTGAATAATAATGATAGTAAAGAAGAACGACAAAAGAACTTCAATTCAAGGCCTATGCCTTTAGGAGACAAAGAAATAGGCATTATCAGACATTCTACTATTGCAGACGATGACTAAGTGATTATATAACCACACACTCCTTTCTTATGTATTTACTCTATGGATTCAAACATCATTATGGCATCTGGAGCGTATAAGTTTTCAAATTCATCTCGTGCACATGCAAGTCTCTATGCGAAGTTGCTCTTAAATATATTTTTGGTATTATGCTTCTATTTCAAAATTCTTATATGAAACTGTTTTGCCCCTTTCTCTCATAACATAACCCAATAAAAATTCAATCCCTTAACAAAAAATCGCTACTGCGCTGTATCAGCCAATAATGCGTTCTTTTTTAAGGCACAATTATTTATTTTTTTTTTGTCACCCAACATTCCCCAAGTTGGAACTCACCCAACTTTTTGCTGTCAAGAATTGTACATGTTTTACCTTTTGTTCTGCTTCTCCTGCTGACCCCTTCTCCTCTAGCAGACTGCGAAAAATACCATACCACTGCTGTTCTACCAGTAGTTCTCTATTCACTCTATCTTTATTGCTACAGATCAGCCTATTGTTCTTCCTCTTCCGTTGTACAACAATAAAGCCGACGGACTAATATTACCAAATATATTACCAACAAAATAATTCCATCCACCCGCTTGTGTATAAATAGGGAAGTAAAATAATGAAGATAGACTTCTCGACCATCTCCTCCTTTTTCTATATGCTATTGTTTGCTGGCATTACTGTATATGCCTTTATATCCATTTTTTTCGTTAAAGCCGACCCTGCTATTGACAGAGCAACATTACTACAAACCTGGACCTTGCCGATGCCAGCAAGACCCAATGTCGATTCACACGCAGCCGATTACATTGTCACCAACTGGTACACCAAAAACAAAAACTATTACGGCAAAGCGGACGTGACGTTTGTCCGTGATCCTCTCGATAGTCAGAACTATACCTACACCGTGTTGAAAGTTGGTTATCCTAAGGGATCCTATGCACCCATTGGGACGAAAAAGACCAGTGCTGTGGAAGGTGGTGTTGAATTCTACTCGGTACCTTATGCCGGCTATTCTTTCAATACAGCTTATTTAAGTTATGATCTTATGTTTGATGAAAATTTTGATTGGGTGAAGGGAGGCAAGCTTCCTGGTATTTATGGAGGTAAAGGACTAAATATATTACTCTCATTTAATTTTTTTTTCCTTGCGAACGAGCCCCCTGCTGATAACATGACCAATTTTTCGGGTTTATTATACAGGCCCTCCTGGTGAAGGATGCTCTGGTGGTGAGAAGGCTACTGGAGAGAATTGTTTTTCAGTTCGTTTAATGTGGAGAAACTCAGGTCATGGCGAGGCATACGCATATATACCCACTTCAGATAATTTATGTAAAACAAAACACGTTATATGTAATGACGATTACGGCACATCGTTTTCTCGTGGTGTTATCAAATTTGAAAAGAAAAAATGGACACACATTGATCTTTACGTGAGACTCAATTCTGGTAATAACGAAAACGGTATCTTGAAAGTATGGCAAGACGGTTCCCTGGTGATAAACCAGCAACAACTCAAGTTTCGATCGAAAGACAGCGTGGGTGTGTCCGCTCTCATGTTTAGTACTTTTTTCGGAGGCGGTTCACAAAGTTATGCAACACCTGTTGATACAGCCACATACTACAAGAATATTCAATTCAGTACCAATGACACAATTGATCCTTCAACTGTTTCTTTTGCGCCAAGCTCATTAACAATATCAGTATGGACAAGTCTATATTGTACATTAGCGACACTGTTATTATCCGTCCTATTCTCTTGATTTTGAGCAAACCTCATTCTGTTTATATATTATTTAATTTTTGAATCTCTCTCTCATCCATAGACGCATAATCATTACCACTACTATTACTTATATTGACACAAGCTCCTTTCTTTTTTGTTGCGATATCTTTCGTTGTATTATAGCTTTTCCTTTGCACATTCTTTACAAAATTGATATAATTTCTTATGTAGAAACGCAGCGATTGTTTCAATGAAGGTGTTTGATTCAAACGTTGATATATTTATATTTTAGCGTTGCGGGAAAGAATTGAGAGTATGGTCATAAATAAGTATCTAATTCTGCTGGTGCTGTTCGGGCAAATAGATATATTTTGGTGGAGTAAAATATTTGGTGTTGTTGTAAACTGATTCACCGACTTTCCAGCCGTCGACGTCTTTCATAACCTCTGCTTCACGGGCCTTAGCAGCCTCCAAACGACGGTAGTTATCCCTATCTGATTCAGCCGTCAATAGTGGGACTAAATGAATACGTGACCATAAATTTTCACGCTTTAACTCTCTATAAAGATTTAACAAAAAAATTCGATTTTAGTTGATTCCTCTTTTCCCAACGTTTTGACATCACTAATGTTAGGGTATACAACTGACCTTCTTTCAAGATTGCCTTGGAAAAGTCTATAGAAACCGAAACCTGATATAGCAGTAACACCTAAAAGTAAAACTAATCCAGAAGGACCACGTTTTGGTAAGTAACGACGATATCTGATTTCAGGAAATCCTTGCTGAGGGGGGAGCTCTTGTGGCATGTCAAATGAGAATTAGACTTAAGAGTGGGGAGTAGGTTATGCTTAAAAAAAACGAAAACCGTCAACAGCAAAGTGGGGAAAATTTGGGAATTAACACTTTTGTTTGTATCCCAGCCCCTTTTCTCCACAATAATTTGGCGGGGTCGTGACGTCAACGTAAAAAAACCTACGGAAGACTATTCACTTTACTCGCTTATTCCATACAACAGTCCAGTCTATTTTTATCGATTCTTTTTGCTTGTATGTATAAGCTATTACAATATTATATTTGACAGATGATAATAACTTTCCTGATAGAAACGATTTGAAAAATTAGAAGAACACTGCCCCCTGAATCGGAACAACATTATTCGAAAACCAAGTCAAAGTATCAAACTATGGGACATTTATTAAATCTGGCTGGTAGTCGATGGAGCAACTGCAATTTCACTTATTACAGACGCCTATTTTAAGCCTCATTTTATGTTACACTGAATTTGTTGTATAAGCAATAGCAGTGTTTTTTAATTAGCTCCTCTTCCCTTCTGTTCCTTTTTTCTTTCTTATTCAGGGCACTACTGTCTGCTTCTCGAAATACATTATGTCAGAACACTGCCCGACTTTGGGCGGTTTAAGTGAAGATGGATTGTAATGAAGCTGTTCATGGAATGATATAAGTTAACAACGTATTGACACCTACTGCATTCTAATATAGTAATCCAGAATTTGATCTAAAGCAGCTTGTATTGAATCCGTCGTAAAGTAATATGAAGTAATATGGGTCCTTATTATAGTGATAATACGTTGATTAAAAAATTACTTTTCGTTCCTAGTTCTTCCATGCACATTTGGGGCTGGTTAGCTTCTGGTTTACTCGTTTTAATTACTGTCACTATAGCTTCACACACTATCAATGAGCACCTTCATCATTATTTTACACCAGAAATTCAGCGACACAAAGTCAGAGTAGTAGCTTATCCAGCTGCTTATTCTATTTTGGCTTGGTTATCATACCTCAAATATGACTACGAAACAGTCATTTTGTTTTTTGCTCGATTGTTTGAGTCCTTCGCGGTCTATAACTTATACATGTGTTTACAATCTTATTTGCAGCCCTTTCGCATCCAAAATGAGGGTATGAAGGAATCTGTCACAACAAAGATATTTGGTTTCTACAAATTCAAACTGTAAGTGAGTTCTTTCAGCTTTCATTTGCTAATCATATACATCTATTTCCACGATCCCTTCAACAGTTTTCTTCGTTTGTTATAGGAAATCGAAATGGGGTTTGCATTTTCGTGTGATAACAGACATACTTGTCCTTCAATTTCCTATATGGTATGGTTGTCTTCATGTTTGCTCATTAAGTTTAAAGACACGTCTGACAAAAGGTCATTTCTCAGGAATATTATAGCTGCCTTTATCTCAATCTTTACACAGATAAAAGGTGTGTACTGCGATGGTCAATTTGATTTTCACGGTGCCTATATTTATTTAGCTACCATTCAATTCATTTCCCTCTCCATCATCCTCATGGCCTTATTCACTTACTTGGCTGTGTTTGATCCGGAATGGAAGCAAGGTCATATACGGGCTCATGGCATGTTTTGGTGCGTCAAAGCACCTATTATGATCATCTTTTATTGTGGCGACATTCTGCTTATGATATTGAGCTATTTTAAAGTTATCCAGGACAAGCCTGCTACTACTCCTGGTGGCACTTATTGGACAGCAGCAGCCATTAAAAACGGATATTATGTCCTCATTATCTGTGTTTGCATGGCTGTTGTAGCCGTTCTTATGCAAATTTATTTTGGATTAGATGAAGAAGAACAGACGGATGAAGAGGATCCTGACTGTGGTTATTGGGAAGCCCTTGTAGATGGATTTTTGGCGTATATACCGCAGTTTATGAGAAACGTGTTTTCATGTGGTGGTGATACGGTTGTATTAGCAAAAAAGCGACGAGGCTTGAAGAAGAACAAGAATAGTGACAAACGTCGATTAAGTGAAGACGAATTGAATTTATTGGCTGCAGATGAAGATAATCATCATCTATCCCTCCATGATACAAATACTTCGCTTTATGAATATTTGACACAGCCTTTACCTGCATTATATAACAAAAGAATGGATGATATGGAAAACGGAGATGGTAGCAACAAGTATTTCATTTCATCTCCAGCAGCAATAGCAGCAGCACGACAGCAGTCGTATAATTACAATGCTTTACCGCTACAGCCTCTCTCTAATGGCATGTATGCAAGCGAAAAGAATGAAGGAAGCAACGATGATTATATGCCAGCTGAAATGAAACGAGAGGAAGGGGATTTCCCCCCAAAGAACAGTACTGCTGCCACTTCGACAACAACAACAACAACAACAATAAGAACCTCATCTCTGCCAAATGCCAGTACTTCTCATAATAATAAAAATAAGACTAGTGTTGCTGTGAATGACAATGCAGACACAGAAAGAGAAACGATGCGGCAGGAAGAAGAATACCCCATGATTACGATGCCTCCTGCTCCACTACAATCAAGAGTTCTAAACCATAACGACGAAATCACTTCTGCCGCACAACAACATACCACTCACTTTACTCCGCATGATCTAGAGCGCAAGTAGAATTCAATCCCATTGTAGTCAAAATGCTTTCTATTTATATTGTATATATGTACACGACGCTGTTTCAATGAATTGCTGATGAAGTATTGTATTCTTCCCGTGTGTTTCTAACCTGTATATTACGTAATTCTCGCCGAACGAAACTTCTCCGTTTCAAATCTCCATTTTTAGTACTTAGAAATACAAAACCCTTTATCTTCTCTAACCTTCAGTTTTCTTCCCATTTCTTTCCATTTGACTGTTGCTAAATACGTATAGCTTTATAAAAAAATGGCTTCGGATAAGGAACTTGTTGCCTCCATTCTTGCTCAAGAAGAAAAATGTCAATTTACAAAATTTACTTCTGAAGACGCGCTCAAATTAGGCTTGTTATTATTGGAGAACGTTAAGCCTTACAAAAAATCAGTCGTCATTGATATCGCTATGAATGGACATCAATTATTTCATTATGCTATGGATGGTACATCCAAAGATAACGATGAATGGGTTCGTCGTAAAAAGTAAATATTACTCTTCTCCAGCCGTTTACATTGTGTGAGGAAACCCTTCAATGGATCGTATTAATCTCCTCTATATCATAGTAATACTGTCAACCGTTTTGGTCATGCCAGTTACTATGTTGGTCGCTACATTGCTAGCCAAGGAAAGACCTTTGAAGAGAAGTATTATGTAAGTGAACTACAAATGAGCAAACCGCAACATACGGGACAAACACACTAAGTCGAGTATTGATAATTTACCTTTTAGGCCAGTGAAAAGGAATATGCTACTCATGGTGGTGCATTCCCGTTGATCATTAAGAATGTCGGCGTTGTCGGTACTGTAACTGTATCTGGTCTCGCACAACAGGTAAATCAAAAATGAGTATGGAAGAATTTCGTCACAGGGCTAAAATGATATGGAATATTTGATATAGGACGATCACAATGTTGTCGCGAACACTATCGAGCAATATATTTCCAAATCAAATTAAGAAAGAAAAGCTGTTTTGCTCATGTATAAACTTCAATAAACAGCATTGGATGGTAGAAAGGACCAGCCCTGCATTTATATAATAAATACAAATAGCTTATGAATAATACATTGTAAGCAGAAAATTGTTCTTCAATTTTGTTCTATCGTCGATGAAAGTAGCAACGAAGTGAAATCAAACAAAAGGGTATCAAGGGTATTATGTTACATTTCTACTGTGTGGTTGTCTATTTCTCTTTTGTACTGGACATTTTTCTTTGACCGATATATTTTCTAATCCGTCACCGGTTACTCTGAGAAAAATGACGCCTTCAGCATTACCCACAAGCGCAATAATAAATGTAGGGCCGCTCATGCCCAATTTCGTATTCTTTAGGTGTGGTAAATAGTTTCCGTTGCTTATGGCGTGTCCTATTTGAGAGAACAATTGATTTTGTACAGATAGTGTAGGCAAAGGGTCGTGCATATTTTGGACTTTAATTCTAAAATCTGGTTGACCCGGATCTCTCTTTTTCCAAGTCGGTCTTGGCTTATAAACATCCCAATCAAATTCTACTCGCTTGGTTTGAGATTCTTGAAAGGGTCTGTACCACGGTGTAGATGGAATTACTTGCAAAGTAGAGTAGGCAGTTTCTATATTCATGTATAGACGATAGAACGATAAAGGTGAGTTAAGAAGTATTATAAACTTGTGTTGACAAAAAAAAAATTATCAATGACAGTTACTGTAATGCGTCACTTTATAATCGTACAGAATTGGACTTCCTGCTCTTTTCCTACAATCATCAATCCATGAACTAATCGTAGCACGAAAGGTTTGCCAAATTATAGTGGTAGTATAAGAACAACCTCTGCGCATGTTGCTGTTGTTCGTTTCACAGTTATTGTTGTCTTTCATGTATGTGGATGATGATCGCATAACAATAAATCCAAGTCTTTTGAGGTACGCATAGACCTGGTATTTATCATATGTAATCCAGCCATCCTTTTCATTGCACATGATATCACAGTATGTCTCGTAATCACAAAGCGCACCATCTGTAGTTTTTGTCACTAAAAGCGCGTTTCTTGAAATCAAAAAGGCTGCTTCTTCAGGATATAAATGTATGGCACCTTGACGACTCAAGCCCATAGTGTGCAAGTGTGTACCTTTCGACTTGGTGATGACTGTCCAAAAAGGATGGCACTTATTTAGGCGTCCCTCACTTAATTGTTTAATGTTGATCTGTTGAGATTCTTGATATGACAGACATTCAAAAAGGGCTTGTCGTGCGACTTCCAGCTGCTGTTCGTCAATACATTGGTTTGTATTTTGTTTTCCTCCGCGTGTTAAATTTTTCTTGGTTTTTCCACTATGGAAAAGGGATGAGCTTGCTTGGCTTAACTTTCACGCAAAATGTATCTATATACTGCTTCCTACCTTTTTTTATGAAGTAATTGTGCATAGTTGATAATTCCCTCATCTTCCTCAGAATCACTCATGACTGTTTAAGAATCATTGATCAGTGGAACGATCCTCATTTTTTCCATTATTTAATATTGCTGGACTTGAAAAAAAACCACAACTAGAGACATCTATATATCATTCATACCCGAAAATGTCCAGGTATAGAGTTTCAAGTTGTATGGTTGTCAGTCAGAGAGAAACATACCTATTCATTTACAGTCGATTTAAGATATTTTTGCTGTAAAATTTAGGCTTACTCTTCGATAATATCCTATGTAGGTAAGAGCTAACATAGCAACACTGAATGAAGACAAAAAAAAAGGAAAAATTTGATCATCCGCGTTTCGAACACTTTTTCTTTTTCGTATAAAAAGAGCTTTTCCTTTTTTCTCTTTTTCAATAGAAAAAACTTTTTTCCAGTTATCGCGAAAAGGTTAGTAGAAGAAAAGATAGAAGAGAATGGTTTATATGAGAAGGAGCTGTTATAAGTGTGGAAATGGTAAGTGATACTCGTGAATAGCATGCACAATCACATTGGCTAGTGTCAGGGATCAGCACTTACGAAACATAAATAGTTGGTCATTTCGCAAGTGATTGTCCCGAAACAGACAGACTTTGTTATAACTGCAAGCAGCCTGGCCATCTATCCAGTGAATGTACCGAGGAGAAGGTTATTGAACCTAAGCAATGCTTCAACTGTGGTGAAGGTAAACTTCCTAAAAGACTCAATAATTCGTCGAATTTATGACATGGGGGTATTCAATATTATGCTTATAGTTGGTCACATTGTTGCGCAATGTCCTGTTGCCCGCTCAACACGTCCTATAAATAGAGATAGCAAGCAATGCTTCAACTGTCAACAGTTCGTAAGTATCACGTTTTTCGCTGGTTGTATACATCAGAGTTAGTTAAGGATTTAAACGTTTCTTCTCTTATGTTCTATTACGTTAAATGTAGGGTCATATTGCTAAAAATTGCACTAATGAACCTCAGTCTCGTGAAGGCAACTTGAACGAAGAAGACGGACAAAGAATGCCTAGGAGACCTCAATTCCGATTCAAGCCTGTGTTATGTAATAAATGTGGAGGTCCCAATCATTTTGCTAAGGATTGTAAAGCAAGCAATATTCTTTGCTATAATTGTCAAAAGCGTGGTCATATCGCTCGTGATTGTCCTTTAGCAGCTGGTGGTGCTGCCCCTGCTGCTATGTTGAACGGTCAACAACAACAAAGACGTAACTTCAATAAGAAATGTCACATCTGTGGAAAGCGCAACCATTTAGCTCGTGACTGTTACTTTGCAAAGAGAAGAGAATCTGAAGAAGCTGAATCTGGCGAAGACGTTGAAGAGGATGAGGAAGAAGCCACTGATTCTGAGGAGGGTTCTGGTGAAGAAGGTTCTGAATCTGACAGTGCATAAAATGATTGCTCATACTATGATTTTTCTTTGTAACTTAATAAAAAATCAAATGAGCAAAAAGTCTTGATGTATTACTATCATTCTATGAAAGCGCCTTTGAGCAAACACTTGCAACTTTACTGATAGAAGTCATCTTTGAATCTAGGAACCTGTGTATCAATTTCCTTTCAGTGTTTCGTTTTTCACACTTGTTAGGAAGCGGCTCAATGTCTAATTGGAGTTATTGTAAAATGTACGGTCTTCGAGCCTTACCTTTCTCTCAATTTCTTATAACAAAAGCGCTCAATTAATACAACAATAAGCACAGATACTCATGCGTTATTAACTCTTGAACATTACATAATGGAGTGTTTCTTCTTTTGGCCATATTTGATACTGTTGCTTTCAAAGACAACATAAAAAGTCAACTAATAACTAATGCTTGCTAATTGCTAGTAGAGCTACTTATTTCTTCATCGCTATCATAACTTATTCATGCAAACCAATAATTCATGGGTAGAGAAGGTGCGATTACGGCAGACGTGTCAAAGAAAGAAATGAGATGTAACGTCGAAAGTCACCGATTCCTTATTAGCTTTCTGTGTATTCTCTTATTTCTTAACCAAAGGGTATTTTCAATCCGATGTGTTTCAAAAGATTCACCTTGCAATTAATTACCGTGAGTCATTATCAAAAAGGACATCGTTCCTGTCGTTCACTTATTTCTTTTTTTATGAGCAGTAATAAAACCTTCGATGACAGCATTTCACTGAATCAACATTAATGCAGATAGGAAAGACAGATATGTTCAATCTAGAATCTATTTAGATACTACCAATCAGTTAGGACTCGTTGAAGAATACCTGCAGCAATCAAAGTTTCTGGTAGCAAAAACATTACAAGCACTCCATAGAGGAAAGAAAGAATTTATTATTGAACAATACACTGACAATAAACAGGTGAGGGGCCCATTCCAGGGTTGCTCAAATCATTATCACCGAAGTCATCCATGCAATTAGGGTATCTATCATTAGTTCTATTCATATTAATAGTAGTAGTAGTAGTAGTAGTGTCGGGTATATGAGACATAGGTGACACAGTTGCAGGCATTTCAGGTAATTTTCGGTAATCTTTATCAGCTACTGTAGTAAAAATTTTCGTTGTGGCTGCTTCAGAGTGTTGGTTCACCGTGGTAGTAGGTGTCCTGCTCCTTTCACTGTTTATACTAGAGGTAGTGATAGTGCTAGCATCAGCTCGGTTTCTTTGGTTACTATCATAACTACAATCGTCTTCTGTTTGAACTTGTTGCGGGATTGTTATAGGTTGTATTTCCTGTCCATTGTTCCTTATTTTCCTTTCTTCCCAAACGGAGATATTCTCATTAATGTGCTCAACAGTGAACGAAAGCTCTAATAAATTAGAACGTAAGTTTTAAATACTTCAGAAATTGGTCGCATCTAGTTATACATTACCCCTAATAAAGCGACTGACAGTTTCAAATAGTCCCAAGGCGACAAAACGTATAAATCCCAGTTGAGCATCTTCGAGAACCATCACCGAGCGATCCATCATAGTCGGTAAGGACAAATTCATTCCAACCGCCTTTTCTAAATCACCTTGTGTTGCAAATTCTTCCATGAGTATTTCAGCCCATTTACAAGCCGTGGCAAACGGTCGAGCGACATTGCTGATATCAGCACACTTCATTAAAGTACAACAGAAGAGTAGGCGGCCCTTCTCAGTTATATCTTGGTGCTGTTCCTGTATCAAAAGTGAATCATCTCGTTCTTTAGTACGCGGCATTAGTGAATGAAAAAGAGGCGAAGTATTGATTTTTTCCAAATAGTCGTGGTGCAATGCCATGTCAGTTGCCAAAATAGTAGTGATGATCACATTTCGAAATTCTTTATAACAGTCATACTTTTTGTTGTTGTGGCTATTATGACTATCCTTGAGGTCCATCGTTGTCAGTATCCGCTGAAAACCGTGCTTTAATAAGAGTTGCGATAGAGTCATGGCATGAAAGTGCTCTAATACGGATTGATCATTGTACAAGTAAGAAAGAGGTGCTGATGTATCTATCAAAAATCCATTATTGACACCAGGATGTGAGCTGTCATGTCCGAGGGCTGCAACCAATAATGCAAAAATGTCCAAAGGGCGGAGAAGGGTAGAGTAGTCGAATTGTGATGACACAGGAGACGAAGAATGTTGTTGAGCTATATTGGCGTTGCGTGATGACAATGAAGCGGTAAGGTCGAGTTGTTGAAGAAAGAAATACATACATTGTAATACATCTACTGCATGCGCGAAATTATGGTACGAGTTTTCGTCATGGTAACTCATGGATAATTCTATGACAAAATTATAAAGTTGCTCTAGAAATATCGTCGTTTTTAGCTATTATACTACACGGTGATGCATATGTATCTGTCAAATTTATACCTTCCGAAAAATATCTTTGGGAAATTTTAGGTACGCCATTTCTTAACATAAGAACAGCACAGTGAACGAGTTCTTCTAGCGTCAACTGAAATGGATCAAAATTCCAACTGGAAAGTAGCGATTGTAATTTGATTCTATGTTGTCTTTTTTTAACATATTGTTCAATTAGAAGCTCGAATATGTAATAGGTTACGTTTCGGAAACCCTACATTTTTAATGGCTCATACGTTGGCAAGCTCAAATTAGGTGGTATAAACTGGTCGATCAACGACGTGGAAAATGTACTATTGTCAAATGTTATTTTACTCTATTAGAAGGGATTGTACTGAATTATTATTGCTCACCCCTTACTTGATAGCTTCCAACTTATGATGGATAGAATTCGACTGGTCTTCTTTTGCTGATTTTTTCAAATTTCGGTCATTTCCAATGACGGGTACAGAGAATCTATTGGTGATAACCGAAAATGAATGTTGATGTGATTGCTGCGCGATAGTACATGATGTCGGAGGATGGTGGACAGACGCGGGAAAGGTGGTCGGTGTTAAAGGGGAAATAACAGCCGGATCTTCATCCTCTTCTACTGTGCTAATAGTGCTGGAAGAGACTAAATGCTGGTTATCTTGATATAGAGTAGCATTAGAAGGGGGTTGCCGGTACTTTTGATTCTGATACAGTGTCTGAGAGTGTAAAATTTATCGTTAGAGCTACTGTGGCCATTATATACTACTTTAATAAAGGTGCTATGCTTTACTAGAAATAAAGTTTTTGCGATATCTGGTGTTAAAGGTTTTATGATATAATGGATTGCACCTGCTTGGATACAATCAAACATGAATGATGGATCATCATTGTTCGCATACACTATACGAAGAATTAGTTGTCTTTTTTGACTAGCACAAAGGCCTAATTTAACATGAGATTTGCCTCTTACCGATGACAGGTACAAAAGGACACTTGCCGGCTATGGCCGAAATGTATGTAGTCTGTTCTTTTGTAGAAGTTTCGTTGCCATCAAGTTCAACTAATAATAATAATGCTGTTGTTGGCTGTTGATGTATATAATTAACGCAAAGATCAAGGTTTGTGGTTGTATAGACTAGAGCAGAAAGGAAGACTTAATGACAAAGGAATCAAATCTTTCAATTTGTTCTTCCATTACTTTTGCCAAATATGCTTTTCAAGAATGAGAGCTCCGGTTTATCAGCGTCGTCATAGTTATCTGCATCATCATCACCGTCATAAACACTATAAGGAACTGTTTGCTTTAACACAAATAGAGTACACGTTTGTGGATCCACCATTTCTTTGTTTCCAGATATTATTGGAGTAATAACAGCATATACAAAAACTTCAAACTCTTCCTTAAATCTGAGTAAAATTTGACACCATTCAATTCTTACAAAATCCGTTTGAGATACAAAGAGAAAGAAGAAAGATTGGAAAAGCAGCAAAACTTGGAAAAAAGGGAGGAGTGTTCAAGAAAAGGGAGAAGAGTAGAAGCAGATTCTTTTTTTTTTTTTTGATTTGAATATTGACACACATACGACTCGTCTCACTAAATCTCACTGACGAATTAAGTTACCATGCCTTTTAATCTCAGCTGTCTCCACGAATTTAAATTAAATTGCGTTGTGGTCTTCCTACAATGATTTTCAATAAGGATATCTTACATAGAAGGTACATACAATTACATTTTCATCACAATAAAAAGTAATGTGTACATGTAAAAAAAATATTTTTTTCGTCACGGCTCCATTCATTTGAACGATCTCAAAACTTGTGATTAGAAGGTTTATCACTGCAGTGTGGCAGATTTTGTCGTATTAACGTGAAAATTGTCAATGTTCACAAAGGGACGTGCTACTTCTAGCATTTAGTTCCATACTTACTATATCTCTGATCAATTCTACCTATTGTTCTTTACCAATTATTAAGGTATTAGAGTACAAACAAGCGGATGCCGAAAAAAAAAAGTATAGTTTTGTGGGGAAATGTTTCGCCTCTATAACGCAAAGCAAACATGAAGCAGGCAAAAAAATGTATAAGGAGGTAACAGTCTATTTATTATTGTCGTTTATGCTTGAAAGAATAAGTAGAGAAGTTTGGGTGGGAAAATAGATTATCAATTTGAATAGAGTCAAGTTGAATTTTTCTGTACCGCACTTTTTTAACATTGTGGACTCTATTAGGAAGTGGATTCCATGCACTTAGTAGTCAACCACGCTCGGGAGCGCTCGTCTTGATAGTAGTACTTTCTCATCTTAAATAGCAAACTACTGTATATTAATTATACTCAATTTAGGCTTCGAGCGATCGAATCAACATTGACTATGATGGTGTACAACATCAGAAAAAAAAACCCATCAAAATAAGCATTTTCATTGTTCCTGGAAAAGAGTTGTTCCCTTTCTTTTCTTTTCGAAATTTTGTTCTGCAGCCTTTTATAGTACTCATATATATACCATGACACGGCCACAGGCAAAGGCTGGAGTGACAGAGGCATCACCTTTACTGCAGGCTGACGAACACAAGCCCTCATATAACGCTGATACTGTTCCAATAATAGAAGAAAGTTCTGATGGATGCATTATTGAAGTAGTCACATCTTCATCAACCACTACAATTGAAAATGCTTCGGCAAAGACACTTACAGATGAAGAAATTGTATCGAAACGGTTGAATGGCGCATCTGCATCCGTTGTCATGGTTGGGTACATAGACAATACAGCATGGATTGTAGACTTGAATTGAAAAATTAATATGTCACCATTGGTCTGGATAGGCTTTGGATTGGTGTAGGTTTGGCGGCATTGGATGGCTCTATTGTTGCAGCCATTTATCCTCAAATCGGTACAGAGTTTAAAAGGTAAGCATTCAAAAAATTCGCTCTATATCAATGTATAATATATCACTAATTCGCGTTTCCTGAAGGTCAAATGAAATTGTTTGGATTGCAACAATGTACTTACTAAGTTACACTGCTCTTCAGCCATTATGTAAGGGTCAAGTTTCGAGTTCTGTGATGGCGAAATTTGATGGGCTAATACATTCATGTTTGTTAATAAAAAAAAAGACGGCCGGATTTCAGATGTCTTTGGCAGAAGAACAGCCTTACTATTTGCTTCTATTGTATTTTTCATTGGGTCCGCCATGTGCGGTGCATCCAATGACTTACTGACTCTTATCGTCTCAAGAACAATTGCTGGTATTGGTGGTGGAGGTTTGAATACAATGTCAGCTGTTATTATGAGCGATCTGGTATCTATTCGTGAAAGGGGAAAATATCAAGGTTACGCTAATGTAGCCTATAGTGTAGGTTTAGACTGTATTTCTACAATTAACATACTTTGCACAAATCAAATTTACATACTGTTTTGGCTGATAATAGGCCGGTTCTGTGATCGGTGCTCCGTTGGGCGGCATCATTACTGATAGTATAGGATGGCGATACTGTTTTTACATCAACCTTCCTCTTTTACTTCTTTCTCTTTACGTTGCTATTTGTGTTTTGACGGACTATAACCTAACAGAAAATCGGAACACTGGCTCTTTTTTCGAACGACTAAAAAAGATTGACTACTTGGGATCCTTAGCTGTTGTCGTTACTGTCATTTGCTTCTTACTGGCCACTTCCATGGGCGGCAACTCTCGTCCTTGGAGCGACCCGCTTGTATACGGCCTCTTAATCTTCTCGTTCTTTTCCGGTGCTGTATTTTGTTATATTGAAGCTAAGATTGCTGAAAAGCCCTTGATGCCTTGGAAAATTATTACCTCACGTACACCATTTGCATGTGCTATGACCAATTTCTTTAGTGTTATGGGATCTATGTCAGTAACCTTTACTACGCCCATTTTCTTTCAAGGCGTTCTGGGCTACACTACTTCCCAAGCAAGTTTGTTTTTCCTGCCTAAAGTGGTTGCTTTAACTTGTGGCTCGCTATCTGCTGGGTATTGGATGGCAAGAAAAGGCGAATATCAAAAGTACATCACCTTCTCAACATCGATGGGAATGATAGCAATGTTCTTGACTAGTTTCTGGACAACAGATACATCTTTTAGCTTTATCATTCTCTGTCTTGTGTTAGATGGGTTTTCTTCGGGATCAAATATTACGACTACCTTGGTGGCGATGCTTTCGTGTGTTGAACATAGCGGTAAAATGGCTAGCTTTTTTTTTGAATTTTACAAACTGTATACTTTCGTAAAGCATATTAAAGAAACTTTTTTTTTTTGGGAAAATATAACAGAAATGGCGACAACAACTTCTGTATCGTATTTATTCCGTTCTACGGGTGGTGTAGTAGGTATTTCAGTCATTTCGACTGTATTTCAAGGTACAGTTAAGAAACTTTTGACTGAACGAATTACAGGACCCAATGCAAAAGAGGTAAATTACAACGAAAAGACACCTCTAGTAAACAGCAAAACAAAGAATGCAAAGCTGACAATCATTTTTGGAATTAAATGCATAGATTATTGAAATTGCACGTAAATCTATCAATGAAGTCCGTACATTGCTCCCACCTGATGCGTTGGCCATTGTCTTGGATACTTATGAAACTGCGATACGTTATTCCTTTTATTTGTGTGTTTTCATGTCTGTCCTGTGCTTTTTATCTGCCTTATTCATTCAGCAATTTACATTAGCAAGTAAAATAAAGTAATAAAGAAGTATTGAAATTTGTTTGTATAGAACGCAACATGCATTGGTGTCAGTATTAGTCAGAGAGAACAATCCTACGTTTTTTAGGAGTGGCTGCATCGGCATCTTTGCTCGAAGTCAACATTAATGAGCTTTCAATGGTATTTTTTTGCGGTGGAAGGGTGATTAGAAGCAGTTACAGGGAATAATGGTGTCCTTACAAAATCTTTTAAAACTGTCTTCCATAAATGTAATCCAGTTGCATATATATTCTCAGCCAAAAAAACCTCACGCTCAAAGACTAAAGATCGTCTTGCTTCTCGACTAGCAGTTGCTGAGTTATCCTTAAGTTTTGAATAGACTGGCCAGTCTGGTATTTTATCGTGATTCGGATTGCCTGTTTTTGCAAACTGAGTAATAGCTCCCGATATCTGCTTAGCCACCCGATCCCTTTCTATGTCGTCTCCCGAGCCTAGGAAGGGATTGTTAGCCCAATAAGCAAGATTGTCCCAACTGAATACAGTATCCACCATGTGAGCAGCTTTAATAACATTTTGTACATCATTAGATTCATAGTTCCACTCATACACATAAACCTTATGTCCCCAACGTGTCAGATTTTCTGCCGTGAGCAGCGTTGCCACTCGGCTCATGACATCAGAGCACATATACCGACTCACCTCAGAAGGCGGCGACATTGGTGGCACAATCTGTTGTTGATATATATCATACGCTTGTTGAGCATACTTACGTCCAAACACGTGAGTAAAATACGTCCGTACGAACAACGTTTCATCCATATCTTGAAAATTCGGTAAGAATGGAAAGAAGAAATTGAATTCATCTCGCGTGTAACCGATCATGATTTCCAAATTTTCATAGCCGCGAGGCAGTGGGTAATGGAAAAAGTGCTGAACAATGGTATGAGAAGGAATTACGTGGCCATCGACGCTGGGTCCAATGGGAGCGAGGCCTTCTAAGAAATTAGGCCAGGTTGTCATGAAGGTTTGGGAATCAAGGAATGTACCTACTTCTACAGACTGTAATTCTGTTAGCAAAGAACTACTTTCACTTTCTGCCACACAGTTGCTTCCTGGCAATACATCCATTCCGATTGAACGAGCAAAAATGGTGCCTTTGAACTCTGCCCAATTTTTGGGAGAGACCATAAACATCGGGGGAGATTGCAGTACAACACGTTGAAATAATCCTGCAGTGTCGGGTGACAAAATAATCGACATGATACAGCTGGCTGGACATAATTAAGCGCGTATAACATAAGTAAAATTGTTAAAGTTACGTCTGTCAGACAGATAAGTGAAAAGTCATAGCCGAAAAAAAAAGCACGTCTAAATGCTATCGAAAGGTATGTGCTTATAGATTTTACCTCCTGCAGAAGATCCGAAAGCGGTTACATTGTTAGGATCGCCTCCGAAGTGTTCGATATTATCTTGGACCCATCGGAACGCAACTATATTTTGGAGTTGAAAAGCTGGTTAGGACGAGTATTTGAATTGCAAGACTCCGTATATCCATAAAGCTTACCTATCTGATCCAATAAGCCTAAATTAGCCGTCCCTTCCAATTCAGGTGAAAGGTGATCCATGGACATCCAACCCAGCGAACCCAGTCGATAATTGAAGCTCACAATGATTGTGTTATTTCTCGCTGCCAAATTGGTTCCGTCCCAAAAAGGCTGGCTCGAACTTCCACTCATACAAGCACCGGGATGAACCCAAACAATGACGGATAAAGGCTTCTTCTCATCTTTGCTTACTTGTTCATCTGTTTTATCAGCCATTGCACCATTTCCACTAACTGAAGCGATAGCTGTAGGCACCCATATGTTTAAATATAAACAATCTTCTGATTGATAATCAATTTGAACCGACATTAGCGTATCAAATGGCATGGCTGTTTGTGGTGCAGCAGGTGCATGTTTAATACATTGACGCTGAATATGAGCTGCCTTCAAAGGTATGGGCTTCTTGTATCTAAGAGCTCCTACAGGCGGCTCAGCGTACGGAATACCCAAGAAAACTTGCACTTCACTAGCAGCATCGATAAAACCTTGGATTTTTCCTGAGGTGGTTGGAACAGAATCTGTAAGTAAAAGTTCGAAAGGGGTTGGATCTTGGTCATTGTGGGGTGAAGAAGATGTTCTCAATGAGGAGGAGATCGTCGGTGGAGTGGGTGACGCTGACGCAGTATTATCACATGAACCAAGCATATACAGTACAATTTGAATATGTTTGATTGTGCGCTTAAAAGGTACTAAAATATATTATTGGTAAGGGAAGGAAGAAAGGGACGGAATAGGATCCTTGAAAAGGCTACGGATAAAGTGATGACATTTAGAAAAGCGATAGATTATGCATTCATTCGACGAAAATCGATTGACGCAAAACGGTTAAATGTCAAATCATTCCATAGAAAGAAACGGACAAAAGTTCCCATTGTAGGGAAAGAAAAAAGGGTCTTTTATTAAATTTGACTTTTAAGAAAGCCTAATACCAGTGGTACCATAGAATTTTGTACAACCAATTTGACAATTTCATGACCCCTTTTCGTGACAACGTTGGCAGTTGTCGTAGAAGATGCCGTTGGCGTAACCGTACTAGTATTGGTAGCGCTGGCAGTAGCGTTATTGCGGTTTTCTTGCTGTTGCTGTTGTGTCATATGAGTCCTTTGTACAGAAGGTAGAAGTAACTCCATCGTTTGACTATACTTCTGGTATACATCATTTCTGCTGTTACTATTACTGGTATCATTGCTTGCTGTAGTTGCATTGAGGGTATTATTAGTTGCTGTTGTCCTTTTTGTTAGTTGTTCATTTTCAGCCAACAAAATCTCTTTCAGAACCTGTAAAGCTACTCTAGCTTCAGATGTCATATTTATGTATTGCCTGATCGTCTCTTCGTTCCTAATATGATTTACATGACCACTGAGTTTTTTCAAGGCATCAATCCATTGAAAACGCTCTTCAGCTGTTTCAACACTGAAGGTATACTTGCGGTTAACGATCTGGTGTCTTCGTCCAGACTCTTCAGGAGCATCATCATCCTTTTCGTCATCTTCTACAACCGTACTGTTGTTTTCTTCAAGGTTATCACTTCGCATGGAAGGTAGCAGTGACCTTTCATCGTTAGAACGAATTCCTGGTGATGACTTTTCTTTTCTGGGGCTAGGACAAGGGTTTGACGGCAGCTGCTGTTGCTGTTTAAAACCAATTTGGAATGTGTACCGCATGAAGGGTCTTTCTACCACTACACTCTTTGTCCTGGGTAAAGTAGGGCTGACATAGTTGCCGGCATTTTCGCCCATTTTGATGAACATCAGTGACGTTCTTCCTAGCGTGTTACCTGTAATTGTGAATGTTTGTGTGCACTTTTCTGAAAAGTCTAACACGTTGGACGGCTTGAATGTCAAATCCTGTCCTCTCAACTTGATCTGTAGACCCTTGTCCGGATTCGGAATAGCAATGGTAATTGGATGGGATGGCATGCCTTTGGTAAGACGAGAAGGTAATCGATAAGGCGTCACGGTTATGACAACGTCTTGTGAACCTTGCTGAATAGATGGCGAAACAATTTTGGGTCGAGTAACGCCATTTCCTGCATTACTGTCTGATAGCAATTGCTCCTGTTGCGCGGCTTTACTGCTATTCTTATCAATACTTCTTCTGCCCGTTTTGTTATCCCAGCCTGTCTCTAGTCTTTCTTCTGTAATTGATTTATACATCTCTTCCATAAATTCTTCAGGTACCAAATGATATTGATCATAATAACTCCATCGTTCAAGAAACTCCTGCAAACTAGGCTTATTGTAATCCTGATTTTCTCGAGCTCGTTTAGACATGATATAATGTAAAGGTTCAATAGCTACATTTTGCTTGCTATTGGTACTGTTGATATTGTTACTACTTCCAGCACCTGTTATCTCCATTGCAATTCCCATCGAATTATTGTCGTCGTTATCGTTGCCATCGTCTTCTTGGATTATTGTTTTGTTTAGAGGATGAAGTGACATTGTATGATTATTGATTACCATCATACTCATCTTTCTTTTTGCATGTCTGTCCTGTCTTTCTTTCAACTCTCTTGCATACCAGAACACATCTCTTTCTGACGCAGCGTCATACCAATACTCGGCATTCAAGAATAAGGTAGCCACTACTACTTTCACCACCATATCCTCGTGGAATTTGATCACATTCTGATTCGCATCATGCCATTTTTTTGAAAACTTTTCCACCAAATATTCTAACGACTCCCAGTTACTCGGCAGTCGGAATGTTGTTAATAGGATTCTTAATGCCTCATCCAATTTAAGTCCACTCAGTCGGAAGCACTCCAAAAATGCATCGTATATATCTTCGTGTTGTGGATCCGAAAGATAGTACCCCAACTGCCGTCGATTTAAGTCAGGAGTTTTGAACAGGAAATTGGCAATACTGAGCGAATCTTGCGTTAGCACCTTTTTATTGATCAAATAGGCAATACCAGAAGAGGCATTATTCTCAAATTTGCGAAGAGCAGACGCTAATATAGGGTGGATTTTAAGGCGCGGTTGCGGAGGTGGGAGTTGGGAAGAAACAGATAGGCTATTATGGCCTACTTCAGCTTTTGTTTTTGATTTATCGGCCGCCGTTTCTTTCTTGCTGTTTTGATATTGTTGTTGTAGATTGTAATAATCATCTTTCGTGATATACAATGTTAAATTAGACAATTGCACAATATTCTTCACTTGGAATAAAGAGTTTTCATTGGGCCTAAATCTATACCGACTACTATTGATTACAATATTGCCGTTCCTTGGACTGTGATTACCACCGCCGGCTCCAATATTTACCTTTCCACTATTTATATGTAGCATATTACTACGATTATTCAGTTCCGTAGACGAGATATTAGTGGTCGTAATGATATTTTCATCCATAATAGGCTTGCATATGAGTAGTAAATCGTTAAATAAGAATAAATATCGATCCTTGACAGTGTTTGCATTCACAACTTGAAATACAGGTGTTTGCAGTAAAAATCTTCGCGGTGGGCTCGGTAAAGATGCCGTAGGCTCTTTAATTAAATTAGATGATGACAATGACAGATCAAGATTAGCAGGCGCGGTTGGTTTTTGTTGTTGTTGCTGTGGCAAGACAGCTGGTTTTGTAAACAACAATCGTTTGACGCGCTCGACGGTAGGTGATATTGTGAAGTGCTTATCTTCATTTTCAGTTTCTACGTTTTTTTCTGCAGCTTCCTCAAGTGGCATTTCTTCATGGGTTGATGCAGTTGATTTTGTTCGTTTTCTCCATTTCAAAGGTAAAATTGGATGAGGCTGTTGATGCTGCAAGCCTCCATCATCTTCTGAAAGCTCAATATCACTATCTTGCTGTTTACCGGTGTTGGTTATCTTTGCATTGAACGCTGAATTTTGCACCTGTCCATCAATCTCCTCTGGATCTTCTTCGTCTTCCTCGTTTACTTGATCAATTTCTCTGTAAGTGTTATTACTACCACCCTCTATAAGTTGTTGTTGTTGTTTTTGCTTTCGCTCTTTTTCATATCGCTGTCTTAATGATCTGAAAAAAGTGTTATTGCTATTATTGTTGCTATTATTAGGGATGCTACTGCCTCCACTATGGCTTGTAGTCCCTTCTGAACCCGGTAGTAGTAGATCACTTGCTGTTAAGGAAGGTGTTATAAAGGGCGAAATGCCATAACTTTGCTCAATATCATAAAAAAATCCATTACTACTATTACTGTTGTTAGTAGCGGTAGCAGTTGAAAAATTGTTGCTATTAAGATGAGCACTACTGCTACTATCACTACTGCTACTACCGTTGTTATGGTGGATATTTATTGCACCCGGAGAGACTGAAGACAAGCTGGCTGAAATGCCATCATCCTGATTGTTGTTATTGTTGCTACGATTGTTGCTACTACTGGTATAACAAGATGACCTATTTTTTATTCCATCCCAATTTATAAATGAGGAAGGCACAGCTACGCCTCTTTCAATCAGTCGCTGCGTGAAAGAGTTGCTGCTCTTCGGATTAGAAGCAACATGAGCAGTTTTGGTAGCTTGTTCGTCTAGGTTTTTCTTATTCAGAGTTGATGATACGGTGTCTGCTGTATCATTATTATCAAGTTTGCTAGTATATTCATTGCTTTCAGCGTTGTTATCAGTTCTGTGCATTTATAGTGTGTAAGAATGAAAATAAAGGAGTGCATAAAAAAACTTTATTATTGTGCTGTGTTCCTGTTATAAACGAGACAGCGAAAAAATATATACATGAATTGAACACGCGAAAGATAATTAAACTACAAAGAATCCATGCGATTGCTTTTAGGGGTCTTAAAATTTTCGGCCTGATTAACCAGAGCTAGTAACTTTGGGACATGCTTGAGCTTTAACTAAAGATAGATATACGTTAGTTGCGGCATACTTGCATTAGCCCATTTGACATAAACTTACATAAGTAGGAATATAAGAACTGGATATAACATTGTGCGGCTCGGGTTGATCGTAGTCACTATCTTCTATTGATACGTTATCTAATAGCAGTATGTCCCCACTGTCACTATTACTGACTCGAGAAGCAACAGCTCGCAAAATTTCGTTGCTTATGGGGTCCTATATTTCAAAGAATTTGAAGGGTTGACTGTCAGTTAATCCAAAACGTCTGCAATAAACATAATTTCTTTTCGTACCTCATAATCGGCTACACAATAGTTCTGAATCAGCTTTTGAATTTGAGTAGGTGCTAAAAACCAACACACGTCAAAAATAATCTTGATGTCGTCTAGTGTTGCCTTCTTCAACTGTAATAACTTAGTTGCTTGCATCAAATGTTCTAGTTGATTGGTTGCTTCAGGCACTTCGTGTGTCTTGCACCATTCTTCCAAGCGTGTAATATTATATTGGATCTGCATAGCTAATATGAAGATATTCGCAGAAATAAGTGATTGGTCATTAACCCACTATGTTAGTAAAGAATAGGCTTTTACCTCTCTTCCACGAGTTAAAGTTTCTTCTCATAACCAAATCATTGAATGTTGTAACACCAATTAGCCTCAAAAGCTCAGTTAAAACCTGTTCCACCACGTATGCCTCAACGTAATAAGCCTTCATTGTAAGATAGATACGGTTCAAAAAGTTTAGTAAATCGTCCATTGAATAAGCAGGTTTAGGGGCAGCGCCACTATTCCTGTTGCCATTACCACCGCCCAACATTCGGCCAAAGAAACGGTTGGTATCGTTAGCAATGAAGCCCGGCAGAGATTGATTTTCAATGATAGCTGGTATGGCCATCTTACTCAGTTTCTTCTTCAATTCGCATAGCCAATGATGATATATATTGTCTTCCAAGCACTGCAATTCGAATTTCATGGTGGAAACGAGTTTTTCAAAATCATGCCAGCCCACGACACCGTTACGTCTACGACCATGTATAGAGTTATAATGCATTTCCCTTTCTAAATCTTGTTCAACGGAATAAACAAGGGACAGAAGTTCATGCGTGTTCGACAACCAAAAGGAGCAAGGCAACAGTGTGTCTTCATTGCTATAAGATAAGCATTCTTTTTGAATGGTGTCCATTACACGGAACAGCAAACGTTCAGATTCGACCAGATAACCGAAACGCCACATTTGCGTCACGGTTTTACCAAGCAAATGAACGGGGAAGACGACATCTTCGCGGTTGATTGTATCATTCACTGATGTGTGTGTTTGTACCATTTGAAGTGAATGCTGGATGAGCTGGTCAATAATTTCTTCTTCAATAGCATCATATTCTTGTTGTAAAAGCTGAGTGATGGCTTCTTCTGAATTCTCTCTATCAATATTCAACAACATTTTATTGTTATTATTACTATACCCAGTCATTGTAGGTACCGTTTGATCTGGCTCAGCGTAAACAACTTTAGTTGTAGTAGGGCTATGAGTGTCAATCATCAGTCCACCATTGTGTTGATTGATACTGGCGCGTCTAATCGCCAAGGCACTAGGCGAATGAGGCACCTGCGGCCTAGCACTTGGAGAGCGACCACGCTGTTGTCCAACACTACTTTGAGGCGATAAACCACGCATAGATGCTTGTCGCTTGGGTGACTGATGTGATTTTAATGATTGCGATAATTGTGCTTTCAAAGCCATGATTTGATTCTTCAATTCATTCACTTCACCATCATCTACACCTGCTCCTCCAATCGGTGAGGTGGAACTCAATGTTTTCAATTGAGGAGGCCTCTGTTTGATTTTCAGAATTTCGTCCTTCTGTTTGTTTAAATCTTCTGTTAGTTTAATAATCTCCATGTCTTGCTTCTTGATGCGTTCCAACGATTGCCTGTATTCGTGCTGTAAACCTTCGCGTTCCTTTTCTAATTGATCAATTTGTTGCTCTAATTGAGTTGTAACAGCTAAAGAAGCCTCCAGTTGTTTGGCTCGTTCATCCAAAGTACGGTATTTGGTAGTCCATTGTTTTAATTGATCTTCCAACTGGGCTGCCTTGGATCGTAATTGGTCTTTTTCTTCCTTATGTTGCGTCATACTCTGAGTTAATTCCACGACTTTACTCTCTAGTCGATATGACACTTCTTTAAAGTGATTAGCTGATTTTGCCTCTTGTTTCAAACTCATCAGTTGTTGATGTGCCTGGCGAGAACGGATCACCGTCTGCAGATCAATAATAAATCTGCGCTTTGATTGGTATTCCTTACGTACACGCCATCCTCTAAATACGCTTTGAATTTTGAGCGCAGCAAAATGTTGACGAATGTGCGCAAATTGTTTGTGTGTGATGTGAGCGCGACATGCAGCTTGCAGTTGAATAATAAATCGGCATTGTCGTAAGTATTTTCGACGTTGTGAATAGCAACGCCATTGAGTTTGAATTTTGATGGCTGCCTTTTCTTGTCGTAAAAAATTCAACTGATACACTCCATACTTTTGACGTGCCAAACGCTGCAGGCGAGAGATTAATTCCAGCTTCCTTAGGTAGTTGATACGGACAATGAAACGACGCATGTTCTTTTGAAGAAGAATGGTGCATTCTTCCCAACGCTCTTTACGGCATTTCTCAAGATATGCAAGTTGGCCGGCACGGAAAAAGAGCTTGGTAAGGCCAATTTGGTATTTATCTGTATCTTTAATGTACGTGTCCAAAATTACACGACAAAGTTGATGTATATCGACAGGTGAGTTGAGATTAGGATCCCAGTATTTTGAGCTAACAAGCGCGTAGAATCTATTGAACAGAACAACGGCGAATGCGTGATTATTTGCTCCTTCTGTCTTATTCAAAAAGGGGGGAACGAAAAGTTGTATGATCAATATACCTATCTGCAAAATCTTCAAACGTCCATCTTGAAGGATAACCCGCACAACTAATACGGATTGTTTCTAAAACACCACAAGCACGTAACTGCGACAAAACCATATTCGGTTCGAAGCCCCAAGCTACTTTTGCCTCATTAGGTTTAATACAACGAATATAATGCACATTGGTCTGACTGATGGTATCCATTAAACTGATCAAGGATTGTTTGAAAATAGAACCCAGAGTAGGTTTCTTCGTGATGCCCATTCCTACTTTCTTTCCAATAGTTGGCTAAGAGGACGATAAGCTAATGACCAACCTGGAACAGTTATATAGTAATACATTCATTTATAGACCAACTTACTTTAGCTTCCTGGGTAGCAGCTGAAGCTGCAGCTGTAGCAGTTTGTAGCATTTCTACCAAAAACGTCGAATCTGCATTTTGCAATAATGCCAAAATTTCATCTGGTACAGTGTCTTTATTCTTATCTAAAAATCCCTCTGCGTCGTATTCAACCTCATGAGCATAATGGCAAACAGTGAATGCACTATTAGAGAATCTTGGTTTCTTGAAATACTTGTCTTTAAACTTGGGATCTGCACCAAGGCTGTTGTACAATTTGTTACAAAAACCTTGATCTGTGCCTGATGGCATCCGAGATTCCTCATCCAATAAGGACAAAATACCCAGCTTAGACTCGATTACTTCTATACAACCTTGATTATCGCTAAAATCGATGAATTGCCAGTTGATTTTTTCCTTGACATATTCCTCTTGCTCCAACTTGAATACGTGCTGGTTGAATTGCTGTTGTAGTTTTTCGTTAGCATAATTAATGCAAAACTGCTCAAATGAGTTCTTTTTGAAATGTTCAAAGCCATAAATATCCAAGACGCCGATGAAGTTATTGGCCAGATCGGGTTGTTGACAAGACAAGCTGTCATTGATAACTTTTACAAGCCAATCAAATAGGCTCGCGTAAATATATTTTGCAACGGAATCTCTTACAACTATTGCTTGAGTTGGATTAAGATTCTTCACTATCTTATCGTTTCGTGTGATGATTTGCTTTTTTGTTAGCCACTTTTTGAATTCAGTTTGTTGAATGCCTAACAGTTGAGTGGCAATAGAAAGTCCACCGCTTTCTGAGACACTAGATGTATCGCCACGCCCACCAATTTCAATATTACCGATGTGTAACAGAGCAGCCAACAGTTTGAATATTTGCCACTGTGTTTCCACTGAAATGCCCACCAAAGAAAGCGATTTTTGTGTCAGTTCAAACTCGGCTGCGTCGTCAACACCTGGAATGGATCCCGTCCCACTTTGATTCAAGTAGTGAAACTTCTCCCAATCTCCCAATTCTAAATTTTTCCGTTCATTGCTGGGTGCGCCTGCGCATAGCTAATTGATTGTTAAGTAAGGATCATTGCTGCGACTCTATGGCGTGCCTTGTCACAAAGTGCAACTGCATTCAGAATTTCCGTACCTGATAAAATACGTGGTAATTTCTTTCTGTTTCAGGTTGAAAAATAAGCCTTGATCTCTCTAATAAATATGTCCTGATTTTGGCACCGACAATATTGCTCTTCTTATCAAATTGGATCTATATGTGAGGAGCATCCATATTGTTTAGAGAACAGGCTCACAAGGCTTGTATTTTCAATGTAAGTCCCATACCTCAATATATTTGCCGAATCTCGAAGAATTGTTATTTCTCGTCGTTTTAGCGTTACCAAACGCTTCCATAATTGGATTGGTGGCTATGCGAAGATTCAGCGTGTAGTAAACAATAACTTCCTTTTTAGTACTCAAGCTATAACCACATTTATACTGAGCTTTGATACGCTACCCATGATCTGTTCCTCTACCTCCGTCATGCCTTGTGAAATGTCTTTTATTTTTCCTGATTCTTGATCATCAGCAGTAGCAAAATATCTCATGATATGTGTAGCAGACACTGTTTTACCAGCACCACTTATGAAGAGGATCAAATTGTCAGGGTCCATCGTTAGATGAAAACTTTCTGTTTGTTCTTCGATAGCTTACCTTTCACCAGATACAACCACGGTTTGGTTTGTTTTCTCTCTTATCATGCAACGATAAGCATCCTCTGCAATAGCAAACAAATGAGGTTCTAATTCGCCACGTTTTCTGCCCGAATATTGCTGGATAATATCAGGATCATATAAAGGCACACTGGAGAATGGGTTGACAGCAATTAGTACGATACCGGAATAAGTATAAATATTACGTTGAAAATAACGTGTACGAATTGTATTTAAGACTGCATTATTAAAAGATAGTTTTTTTAATGTTTAATGCTTAAAAATTGTTTCAGAATAATTAAGTGAATGCAGTTACCTGAAGGTTCATTCAAATAACTCAAATTGGTCAAGTCCTCTGTATTCTCTAAACGCGGCGGGTTCCTTAACGGCGGAAGATTGCTACCTTTCGTTTTTTCGAGCTGAGTATATGTACTTTCAAATACATGCTCCTAGAATTTGATGGATGAGAAATATGATTAGGTTCTCGTATTTTTTGTTTTTCGATTTTATGCTATGTCCTCTGTTTACAAATAAGAAAGGGAAGGAAAAGAAGGAGAGAGTACTAAAAATTTGCGATTGTGGCATTTACTTGTGATTCATCTTTGTCGTCTAGGAAAGTAATTTTGATGCCTGTTCCTGACTCTTCTACTGATAAAACAGAAGTTGAAACCCAAGCTTCATCCTCGTCTACGAACCAAGCCTTCGTTCCTTTGGTGTAAACTTGGATTGCCTGAGATACGCCTGAGGACAACTTTTCCATTCAGCCTAGATACAGAAGAATAGAACACTGAAGAAAGGAAAAGACAAAGGTGCTGTACTTTTTGAAGAAACAATAAATGGGCAGTTTTTATTTTGAAGTGGATAGAAACAAAGCTCAGAGTCTGAGTTTAAAACTGCTACAATTACAGTTTAATAATTTCAGATTTGGACAATTTACACATATTTTTAGAAAACAAATAGGTTATATTTAAACGCATAAAAGTTAATAGTAGACCGTTAAGAGTAAATGTTAGACTTTTGCACAACAGTGAAAAGCATAGGATTTTCTTTATTCAACCTGCATAAAGAGTGCTGTTATAAAAACGAACTGCAGCCAAACGATATGATGTTTAGTGATAGAAGTCAATTGATATTGAACCGTTTAGAGGCAATCCACAACAAGTGGAAGGTAAGAAAAGGTATAGTCTCTCAAACACTCAAGCAGATGACATTTATTTGTTCTCTTCTCTTTATGGTGGTGAATAAATACAGCTGCTGCTATTTAGCCAAACAGGTCTATTTTTCTCAACAGGTTATATATTATCTTTTTATAATGTAAGTGTGTGTAGCTTTTCCTTTCATTAATGTTAATTGGTTTTTTTTTTTGTTTGTTTCGAAATATACTCCCACCCCTTCTAAGCTGTGCCCTACTTATTTATTTATTTCTTCTTTTTTTGTCTGTATATGTGTGTATATGTGTGTGTTGAAGAGTCTTTTCCATACTACCAACCTTTTGAAAAGTAAAACGCATATATGTCCTGTAGTTGGGGGACGATTTAAACTGTATGAAATACTAACTCTTTTCATACCTTTATCGCAGTGTTCAAATTACTGCAATTGCTGTCCGGCTCTACTTAACGTATTTGCTCACTATAATATTCAGAAGAAATGATTACTATCTTACTGTAGTTTTATATTCTTCCCATAATTTTTGCTACGCGTATAAAAGTCAAGGTTCTTGTACTCAAAAAAAGAAGCGTATCATCAATGATGGATCAGTATTATCAATTTTTATGTATTTTATTTGTCATGATAGGACGGTAAATGTGAAAGGGTACTTTTCGAAAAGCAAATGCAGAGGAAAGGAAGAGTGTGGCAACATAGTAATTTAAGCTATTGTAAATTGAAACATCTTAGAGCATATACATAGAGTAAGAAGAAAAAGGGTAAATACTTTGATTTAAAGATGTAATGAGTCAGAGGCAAATAAGTAAGAGGCTTTTCATATAAAAGTTAAACATTTAAATAGAAATAGAGAAAGGAAGAATGTGTCAACTTGAAAGCTATTTTGTATTTTCACTTTTGCGTAGAATTGCTGCTGCTTTCTAAATAATCATCGTGGTTATTTCGAAGTTGGGGGGTATGCTGGTAATATTAGTTGTGCTTAAGTTGAGAAAAAGTGAATTCCATAATTCACGGAAAAGATAGAAAGTCAATAGATGAATTAAATGTAGGATGAGATGAGCATGAGTTAGGCGAAGAAGGGAATCGTTGTTCTGCTGTTGACAAAGGCATGTTTAAAGGGGGCAAAGAATATTTTGGTGTTCTATGTTGTTCGCTAAGAGAAGTGGGTGATCGAGGCGGTGACAGAAGTGGCGGAAGGTTGCAGTAGGCTTTGTCATTATTTTCTTCGTCCTGTGCTACTGCTTTTACAAACGGACGATATTTGCGGTAGCAGCGAGGATTAGGATGATAGTTATGGTTTCCGGCAGTGGTAAGCACGCCAGGCATTTGGAACTGTGAATGTCGTTGCTGTTGTTGTCTACCACGAGCACGAAGCGCTTGGCGTTTATTTTGGAACCAAATTTGAACAGTGCGAGGGCTCATGCCTAGTTTTTTACCAAGCTCAATACGAATCTCAGTGGAAGGAAAGTAAGTTTGGCTGAAAATACTATTTAGGACCATTAACTGGTTGGCCGAAGCTCTCTTTCTTTTGGCTTTAAGGTAAATATACTTATTATCCGACTCATCGCTATGAAAATGGTGGTGCTGTTGATGGTGCGAAAAATATGACGAGTAACAAGAATTTTTATTTTGTTGTTCGTTGGTATAACAATCTGGAAGAGGAGTTATTGCTGCTACAGTCACTGTCTGTTTGAAGACAGGAGTGTTAATGTTGTTATAATGTTCGGTATCAATAGAGCTTGTCGATGCTATGGTACTGACCGGTGACGAGGGTGTATGAACCAAGGAAGGCGAATCAGTTAACAGATTGGCAATATCAAGTACTGAAGTTGAACGACTACGCTGATTATGTTCCTTGTTGCTGTTAGCTATAAGGATATCAGCAATGGGTGGTAAAGTACAGTTCGTTGCAATAGTAGGTGTAATAGTAGACATTTTTTCTATTATTGACCAAAATGTGGGTTTTTTTTTTTGCAGACGTAAGAAATAGTGACAAAAAGACTGAAAGTGATAGACACCTGTGATCGATCCTGGTATATTTATATAGGTTATTAAATGAAATGTCAAAAGATATTAAAGTTAGTTCTTGCAACAAAAAGAACGTTCAATTTCTATAAAAGTATCAAATGAAGGTGATAGCGTATACTACGAATAAGGGATGTAGATCATATATTGACAAAAGAAAGACGTTCGCATGAACAGCCCTAAGCAGATGGAAGACAATGGGTCTGAGAGCGCTTGTGTATCTTTTTTGAAGCTCATGGGGGGGGGTGGTCGTTTAGGTCCAAAGAGCGATATCCTTTTTGCCTCCTACAATTTAGGGTACACACCTCTTCTATTTCAGAGGGCTCCCTCACATCTTTCATCTTTTTATCAAAGAAACAAAACTCATGAAGAAAAAAAAAAAAAAAAAAAAAAAAAAAAAAAGAGAAAAAAAAACAAAGGAGCTGACCAAGAAAATAAAGGAGTCCATCCGGAAAGGCTCATGTCCAGTGCTTGATAGTTTTGTTTTTTTTATTACTGATTGCATGAATAGAACAAGAATTGAAACCAACATCTTACCAATGCGATTACAGAACAGCTTTTGTATCTGTATATAAAAGTGATAGAAACAATAAAAGATCACATAGACTGTATCAGTTACTCTAAGCATCGAATATTTTGTACGTGAACCGTGCAGAATAGAAGCCTTTATATGCTAAGTGACGCATCTTTGCATTTTAAAGAGGTTTAGGCTTATTATAGTGGTATTAGATCAAGTAATAGATTATTCCTTTTTTTGAGTGAAAAAGGAGATTTTGATAAAGTTGAACAAGACAAAGTGGTATAGGATCCTCAATTTAAACCTTAACGACAATAATTCAGTTTTACATGTCTTCAGTAGACCAGGCAAAGGCTTCGGCGGCCCTTGACTTTGACTGATTTTGCTGTAATAAGAATTTATCCTCATAACCATTAGATCTATCAACACCATCCCACCTATAACCCGGCGGTATCATAAAACGGTTAGGTTTCCAGGGGCCATTGTAAGTTGGTTTTACAAAACGCTTTCCATCTTTACTAACACTAGCGTTATTCTAAGAGAGAGATAAAATGGGGAGTATACCTTGTCAGCTCCTATTTTGAATTGTATCTGTCATTTCCTTCTTTTCTGTATTTGTTAATGTAACTTACTGTCAAGAACCCCGCAGCCGGGTCGTTCCATCGTGCTTGTTGTCTTAATTCTTCATTAAAATCTTGGTCATCAACATACCTACAGTTGTTTTGAATGGCGAGAACGAATACAGTTTGAAATCAGAACACTTTGTTTCTATATCCATCTTCCATGGTCTTGTTTTAAGTTGTTTTTTTTTCATTCGGGCTCTTTTTTCGCCCTCCCTCTGACGCTATCGATCCTTAGTAATTACCTTGCTAAAGGCTTATGCTTTTCTTCTTCTAATCGCTTTTTTTGCTCTTCAGCTTCTCTTCTTTGAACTAGCCCCTTTCCCCATTCCATTCTTTCGGCTTCTCGTTCAATTTTCTCTCGTCTACGTCTCATCTCCTCTGCCTTTTTTTGTTTCGGGTCAATTTTTCTACCAGACACATCTCGATAAACTGTATTTTCAGTATCTCCTTGTTGTTCTAACTTGATCCTTTTGACAGCTTCTTTTTCCAATTGACGTGCTCTTTCCGCTTCCTTTTTTATTTCTTCCTTTGTCAATATACCCGCCTTTTGACCGTTTGACATAGTAGGAGTTGCTGTACTTGTCGCATGTTGACTATGCCTTGGTAACGACTCTACATCTTCATCCATTACAACAGTTGGTTGTTCCTCTTCCGCTGAACCTTCTTCGTAACTGTTCATAATGGAAGCGTCTCCTTCTCGTATTGTTTCCCAATTCTGTGTTGTGGAACGAAATGATGTAGTTTCTTCAGCGTTCTCTAATAACTCTGAATCATCGGCTTCATTCTCCACTGTTTCCTTGCTCCAAATAGTGTCATCGTCCTCATCAATGATATTAAAATTTCCTACTCTCTTTGCTGACGTCGACAACCTTTTTTTCTTTTTCTTTTTTTTCTTTTCCTCTATCGATAAGCTTGTATTTTCACCCCCACCAAGGTATTTGTTGGCAATATATGCTTTAGTTGCTTCATCTCCAGCTCCACGGGCTAGGTATTTTTTTCTAGAGATTTCCTCGTGCGTCAGCTGTTCCATAAATATGCGTACGCTTGCTCAAGCACAAGTAATTTTGGTAAAAGTTTGACCGACGCCAACAGTGTAAGGTAAAAAGGTTGCAATGAAGGCAATAAAGTGTAGAATGCTGCGGGCCGTGTGGACGGCCTTGGAAAAAGGTGAAATTCATGCAATCGCAACCGTCACTTTAACGAAAAAGTCGGCATTAGGTCTGGTTTAAGCCACTAATTCATGAACATCAAAAAATCGGAAGCTGCTTTTTTCTTTTTTAATTTGCACATCTCTCAGTCAAACGTACAGTATGGGAAAGAAAAAGGCACCTATTTTTCGCAACGGGGCTAACAAAAGTAATTCCGAAACCTCTGGAGATAATGACAAGATAGCTGCTATTCGAACATGGAATGATGTAGAGCACGATTCAGAAGACGAATGTAACTTGTTCATTTTCTAATCAGTGCTGTTAACCTGAGATAAAACTGATTTTAATATTGTATTCATTTTTGAATTCTTAGTTTTTGAAGATAGGGAAAAAGTATTATTGAACGATGCTGATGATAACGATGAAGACGAAAGCGATCGTGAAGTATATGGGTTAGAAGGTATCGGATCAGAAAGTGAAGAGGGTTCAGACGATGAAGACAAAGCCGAATTCGAAACAGAAGGTATACTCTTGATTTTAAAGAATTCCATTGTTGAAACCTTTTTGTTTGCAATTCTGACATATATGTTTCTCTAGATAAAACTTGGGGAACCTCAAAACAGGCTTATTATGATGCTGATGAAGGAGAGGATTTGGATGAAATGCGCGAGGAGGAAGAAGAAGCTTTAAGAATTCAAAAAGAACATCTAGCCCAGATGGAAGAAGCTGATTTCATGGATGACTGGGGCGCTGGTGCAGCTGCCGGAGATGACGAACAAGATGAAAAAAAACTAGTGGAAGACGTCAGTAAAGAATTGGACGATATATCATTCGAGTGAGTTACTTTTCATTGTGTAATTGCTTATAAGGCTTATACTAAAGTATAAATTGTGTTTCGTGTACCTCATAGTAAAGCGAAGATTGAAAAACGTCGCAAAAATTTACCCGTAACAGAGAAGCTCAAAATCATCCAAAATGAATCACCTGAACTTATTGATCTTTTAGATGAATTCAAAGAGAACACTCGTAGCATTAATTCGTTAAGGCCTATTGTCGAAAAAATACAAGAGAACAGTGAAAAACGGGAGAAAAAAGCAGCACAGTTTCTATTATTCAAGTACGAAATGTTGCTGAACTACATGACAAACATTTCCTTTTATTTTGCTTTGAAAGCTTCAGTGCAATCAGCTAATGAAGTACAATATCACCCGGTAATTCAAGCCTTATATCAGTTTAGACAGACTCATGAAAAATTAGTTGAAATCGAAGACAAGATGCAGGAGGAAATAGAAGATTTCATTAACAATATTGATAAAGAGGAAAGTTATGGAGATAGTGAAGAACCACACAGCAAAGAGGAGATGAAGCTACCTCAAAAGCAACATCTTGATCAAGCTTACAGTGATAAAGAATCCGCACAAGATTTATCTGGTTCAGATGAAGAGTCCGAGGATGAACAGAAGATTCTAAGTGACATACGGGATATTGAAGAAGAGTTCAAGAGCTTAAAGAAATCTTTGGCAAGTAAAAAACGAAAGAGAACAGCTTTAGCGACTGAGTACAATGACTTTGAGGAAATGGATAGCATAAATGATGTTGATTTAGAAGACAAACTGGCCAAGAAAAGATCACTTAGATTTTACACTGCCAAAATTGATGCTGTAAGTTCAATCATTATATTCAGATATCCTCAAAAAAACGAAGGCTTACTCGAAACTCTGTATTGCTTAGAAACAATACAAGAACGTCAATAAGTACCAAGGTGATATTGATATACCTTATAAAGAGAGAAATAACAAAAATCAACAGAAAGGTGTTGCACAGCCGGAAGATGCTTCAGCCGATTTGGATGATGCTGAATATGACGAAGAGGATATTGCTGCAGCCGATGAAGTTCGTAATGGTGTTCAAGATTCAGATGATGAGTTTTATGAAAGCATCGTTGCCGATAAACAAGCGACGAAACGTGCCAAACGTGAGCAGTATGAAGCAGAAAGACCTGAAATTGAAAGTCGCGATATTGAAGTGGATGACGGACAGAAACGACTGGCCTCTTATAAGATCCTGAAGAATAAGGGTTTGACGCCTCACCGTAAGAAAGAAAATAGAAATGCTCGTGTTAAGCATAGAAACAAATATGCCAAGAAACTCAAGAAGTTGTCATCTACAAGGGCTGTTCATAAGATGCCAACAGCAACTTACGGTGGTGAAATGAGTGGTGTTAAGACGAACGTCATCAAATCTGTCAAGTTATCGCAATGATTTGATTCTGTTACAATTATTTAATCCTCTAATACATATTTAGAATTTGCTATTTGCATTACAAAAATCAATGACGATACCGAAATAAATTCTGTTTTCTTGTGTATACATACATCTTTATTCATTTTAAACGAATCGCAAGTAAATATGATATGTGACCGTTTGAGATAGCAAATAGTGCGTAGAATTAATACCAAAAAGTTTTGAAAAGCTCAAATAAATGCAAAAATTTAAACATCTTTTTGATATTGCGTAACATGGAAATGGCAGCTGTCGATTCATTGAAGACGTGCCTTTTCGCAACCGTAGGATATAGGATTTTCGCCTCTAAAGTCTGCACATCTACATGGAGCAATTTTAACTTGTGAAGCTATAGATGGCTTCTTCTAGTGTTCATGTACTTAACTTGATTTCCTTTATCGACTATTATGCAGTAATGCTTGATACGTTAGGGGAAATTACATTCAAGTAAAAGTGGTTCCATGAGTCACTGCACTACTGCTAGCAGTAGCAAGCGAAACAGGCCCTGCTGATGCTTTATTAAGTGTAATGTCATATGTGCGAACAAATCTTATGTCTATACAGCTAAATGAAGAACCAGTATCAAGCAGTACCTGTGTGTTGATTCCTCCTATAGTGATAGGTATAAGAATAGATGGTTAGTACCAGTGATACCGTCATTCTGTGTATTGTTCATATAACGATGCTTATACTTGTAGTCAGGTGGATAAGTGTTTTCGTTTATATTAAATTCCGTTTGATCGTTGTGAATGTTGCTCTGTGGCGACTTGTTAGATGCGTTTTTTGATTGCATCTGTGTTGAATCGTTGATAAATTTTGCAGAGCGTATTGCACGTGTGGAATGTTGATACGAGAGAACTTGTTTGTTGATCATGCGATGTTGCTGTTGCTTATCACGAGTGCATTTAGTTGCGTGTTCTAGAGACCAGGGAACGTTGGCGGAACAGTTGAAGCATATATTTTTACTTCGGAAGGTGCTACTGGGGTTTGGTGGTTCTGTGGCAGCAGTGGAGATATCCGTAAAATCTGGTTGTTTTTGACATTGTTGTGTCATTATTTCTTTGTAATTCTTACACTGGTCGGTTGAGTGGTTTCCCCAACGGTGTATAGCGCATTCGTATCTGTTCTTTGTGTTACCAGAAGAATTCTTGTTGATCCCCAAAGAAGGTTTGGCATGACGATCACGGTTGAAACTGGGATGGCGTCGTGTAAATGGGATTGCGCTGGTACCATTATTGCTGGTTTGGGCATTGGATGTGTTGTTATCATCCTTAATAGTTGTGGTTGGTATGTGTCAACTATGTTTGACGATATTACCATTATTGCCTTGCTAGCAACCTTGTTAACGGTATCTTGTTCATTACGGGGGTACATAAAGAGTGACCTGGCAACTTTGGAGCGCAATTTTGGTAATAGTGATCGTTTGAAGAGTGTCTGATATATCCAATTACTTTAAAAGACTTACAAAAAATAAAATAAGACAGTAAAATGACCAGACACAACAAAGATACTCTTTCTTCAAGTTTGTTGAGAATGATACTTTTATATGAGAAACGGGATTATTAACGGGTATTCAACTATTAATACAACTGAACTAAAACTATCATGAGAATGATAAAACCTTAGCCGCAAGCGGGTGTCAAAGTAGATGTGTATCAGATTGTCAAGCAGGTACTGAAGTCGTTCTGTATTTTAAGACGTATAGTATCTTGGATACAACAGTGTTGCTTTTGTACGATTGTTCTCTCATTTGGCAGCTCTACGTAATCGTTCAAACCTGTCTGTAAATGCATCAATGGACTCTCGTGATGCCATATGTAGGTTTTGCAGTTAATCCATGCTGTCGATCTCCTAGGCAATATCTTCGGTAGCATACGTTTTTATCACTATGGCTTTGAGTTCCTCCCTAAGCTCCCTAAGATAAGTTGCATCCCTTCAGGGTGGTGTTGAATCATGAACGCTGATCTCTATTCATGCGTAAAGGCATGAGGCGTTGCCAGTGTATATCGAGGTTGAGGCTTGCTGCATTGACTTGCATCTCGAATATTTCTAGTACATCTTCGATTGTTTCGTACATGATTGATTCTGGGTGCCATTTATTACCAAGACCATTCCATTGCCAATAAGGAAGATCCATAGGAATACGGGAGTCATTGGTAGCGTCACTTTGGTGGTGTTGGTGTGCCAAAAGAGGAGCTGGAGAGTGAAGTCTCTGCACTTCTTCCATATACCTGATGCAGCGGACAAGACGTTCTGATTCTGCTTCCAAGGTTTCCATAGCTTCCGGAGCGAAATTGTAGAGTATACCATGTGCAATACCATTACTTACTTGCTTTAAGCGGAATCGTAGAGTATCAATGCTAACATCTTCTAAGGTTACATCATCGATATCAATGGCTACGTGAGCTTGTGGTTTATGTTTGGAGCCACCACAAAGGACGGTAGTGAGACTCAGCAGTTTGTTGATGTTAAATGTGCTTCTGGTATTAGCCATATTGTTTATGAACGTTTATATGAATTAAGGTTAAGGAAAGATGCAGAATTCGTTGACAAAACATTTAAATCTCATTCAATTTAAGGATTATAAGTTAAGTAGTGAAACTGTAATAAGAGTGGTTGCTTTTATTTCGAGCTAATGTTTGGATCTCTTTTATATCCTTTGGAATGAATAATCTAGGATGATTATTAAACGAACTCTTACATCATTATGTAAATATATTGTTTTAGAATTACTATCTTACATTTTATAGTTGATTTCTTTAGAACCATATTTAATGTCTCTATTACTATTATCGAACGTATCTTCCTCATCATCATTAATAAATAACCCTTTATTATTATTCAATTATTATATGCTTCAAATTTGTAAACTTTCTGTTTTACTTAAAGTTAACTTAATTTTATTTTCTTTCAATTTTCTACAATTACAGTGACTCACAAAAGTGTTACAATGTTTTACAAAATCAAACAAATTTCCAATTCAAATCACTTTGCACCTGATATGATTAATAAACCCCCCTCCAAACTAATATCATTAGAAAGTATATATTGTTGGGTTTCTAATGATATAACTTTCAAACATATTAGCGTTCTTTGGAATTACTTAAACTATAGAGCTTAATTTGCATATGCGTAAAATTTTCATTTTTGTGATAGTCAGATTTATTTAAACGTGCAGTTAGTACTTTGTTTGACCACCTTTGGCTTTTATAACAGCTTCAATTCTTTTTGGCATGCTTTCGATATGTTTTAGGCATAAATCGGCTGTAACTTTATTGTACCATACGTCTCCTACTCTTTGCCAGAGTTCGTCCATATTCTTGGGTAGGGTGTCATAAGCAGCTAGCTTGCACTTCAGGTGAAACCATAAGTTTTCGATTGGGTTCAAGTCTGGTGAATAAGAAGGCCAATCTAGAACATTTATCTTGTGCTTTTTAAAGAATTTTTTGGTATATTGGGACGTATGTTTAGGATCATTATCCTGTTGAAGGATAACGTCCTTCAATTTCAGGCCATAATCCTTTAGTGTATCCATGAAGTCGCCTTTCAGAATCTCGCAATATAATTGCGAGTCCATTCCCCCCTGTATCTTGGCAATGAAGCCAGGACCATGTTGAGTGAAGCAGCTCCACAATATGAGGCTGCCACCTCCGCCTTTATACTTGTAGTTGACGTTGTGCTCCTTGAGGGGTTCTCCCTTCTTTACCCAAGTCCACTGTTTCCCATCCGATCCAAGACGATTGATTTTGGTCTCGTCGCTAAAAACGACTTTCTTCCAATCATCAACCGTCCAGTGTTTGTGGGCTTTCGCCCATTTCAACCGATCCTTTCTTCGATCATTCGTTAATGGCAATGCTGATTTTCTAATCCTTGAATCGAAATCGGATCTTTTCAGGACCCTACGTATGGTCTGTGGAGAAATATCTACTCCTTGACCCCGCAGGTTCCTGGCAGCATCAACTGCTGTTATGAACTGCCCTAAGTAGAACGATCTTGCGATCATTCTCTCGAGACGATCCGAGATTAACCTAGGACGGCCGGTCTTTTCGTTGCATGCAATGTCATTAGCTTTAGCGATTCTACCAACAGTGACGTTGGATACCTTTAAACTTTTGGCGATACTTCTATGAGACTCTCCTGTACGCAGTCTAGCTAAAATATCATTTTTTTTATCGTAAGGTACGGGACGCATGTTGAGATTTGTCTAATGTTGCGGTTTTTGTGAATGGGTAAAGTAATGTAGCTAATCGAAAAGCAAAAAGGTACAAGTTTGACAAAACATGATACTCAACATTAAATTGACCCCTGATAGATTGCTGAAACTCAATAAATTCGAAAAATCCTGGGGAAAGAAGGCTCTGTAAACATTCATCATTTCAACCATCTGAATTTCTACAGATTGCGAATGTCGAGATGAGCGATTAGAATGTCGAATGTGCTCAAGCAAATGTATATGAATCCTAACACAAGCTATATCACTGAATAGCTTAGAACTACTACTTTCCATATCGCAAAAAAAAATCAGTGCTTAAGTATGTGCTCAAGGGGAAGAATGCATGAAAAAGTCGAAAAATTAAAATTTTTAAAAACATTGTAACACTTTTGTGAGTCACTGTATGCTTCTTTTAGTATTTATGAAGATTTATATATATGTAATCCCATTCGTACTATTATATCCCAATTCTTAGTAAAACCATTATGAATTAAATGAAGATCAGTTTATGATATGATCAGGTCATCATAATCAGCATGATGAATTTGAAAAACACATTTCATTTTTAATTCATCCTTCCTTTCATTTATTCGATTTTTTAAAATACCAAAATTTATTTTTCTTTTTTTTTTAACGAACTTCTTTCTACATTTACTATAGCCCATGCTCCATCAACTTTACGGCTTTTAAATGTATTCTAAATACTTTATTATAAGATGAAACAGTAATCTCTGATATGTTCAACTCTAACGGTTGTGTTAACTTATAAAATATTGTACCTTTTAAAGGTGAAATAGCTTTACTATATTTATAAAAATCGACAAACGTATAATTTTTGTTTAAATTTAATTTCATATCTTAGTTACATTTTAAACATTTCTCATGGTAGTTAACATAATCAATTTTAGTTAGATACGATAGGGTTTCCTTTTCATCATCATCTAAACTCTTATGTTTTTTTTTAACATAATTTTCCTTTATAATTCTCGTATGTCATTTTTGTTAATGTACAAAATTCGAATTTGTGAGCCGAGTCATTTACTACAGCCTTTGAAACAATATTACAAAGTCATGATTGTGATCTTAAAGCATGCTGGCGTAAGCATTTAATATCTTCATTCTTGGTTAGTAAAAACTGCATTTACAGCCGTTGGTATGAAACCAATATCAACCCTAGGCCTGCAAAGACGAACTGGTCAAGCATTAAAGAAGCCATCATTGAGCGCTTTGGGTACCTTTCAACACCCAGTAACAAAATAGAAAATTTTGTCACGATGCGCCAATCGAAAACTGAGCTTCTGCGCGACTATGTGGATCGCTATAGACAAGCCATTCACCGTCTTCCTGACGTCCCTCTCCCCAACTCTGTTGTTGCTGTTGCTTTGTTCGTCGAGTCTCTTTTGCCTATGACGAAAAAAGAGGTTAAAAAATCGTTGAAGAAACACAACGATAAGGGCCCCAAAGCGACTTATTACCCTGAAACGCTAGAGGATGTATATAAGCATATTGAAGTTTATTACGGTCCTATCCAGGAAGCCCTCTACCATGCTTTGGCTACCGACGTTTCGCCAAAAAAGAAAGCTGAGACGAGCCTTAGTGGCCTTAAATGAAAACAAACCGGTTCTGAAAATGATTTTCAGAAGAAGCAACGTTCCACTCCCGCTACTGCTAAAAACCTTTGCAACCATTGCAAAAAGGAAGCATTTTCCTCTGACCACTTGAAATGTTGCATCAATTACTTGCACAGTGATAAATACAAGCGGTATTTGATCAAGCGAATTGATCGCCGTAGTAATAAGGTACAGTTACATGCAGAAGGACAATGAAAACTTTAACCTTAATGAAAATGGAACTGATAAGATAAATCTCTTCTATAGTAATCTCGAAAATGAAATTGCTGAAGACTTTACAGGTGAAATTGTCACTTATAAGAAGTTTAATCCTATCATATATCACTCCAAATCAAATCTTTGCTATCAGATGATGACATTAAAAATAAAAATAATCTGTTTGCTAGGACAAAAACCAAAACATCATCTGCTTTCATGCTGCTGGCTTAACAAAAAAATAAGTCAGAACATGTCACCTTATTCTCCTGCGATTACCATAAACATTGAACAATTGATTGGTATGCTCGATACAGGTGCTCAAAAATCAATAATCAATGAAAAATTCGATTTTGCAGATAAATCTATATTTGACAATTTAATTCCTACAAAGGGTAAGATCACATACGTGGGCCAAAACGTTTCGTCTGAACGTAAAGGAGAAACGCAACCACTTGAAGTCAAAAATAGTGGTAAACCGGATTTCCCCATTCCTTTGAGGTTGTGGAAATGCCTGAAAACATGAGAAAATTACCAGTATTGTTGGGAAGAGATATAATTCTAAACTCTGGTATTAGAATAGAAAAATATTGCTTTTTCTTTTGAAGACAGAGAAGAACTTTTTCTCGAAGATTCTGTTAACCACGAGGATTATATTCGAAATGTTACCAAAGCATGTTCTGAACAAGAGTATGAAGATCTCATAAAGGTACTTCAGCCGTATATTAAGGCGAATGAAGATATCAAATGCAATCTTCGCAATTTATGTACCAATTCCTGAGGCAATTGTACATATGAAAACAGCTCTTAATGCAGTGGCTTATACTAGACAGTAACCTGTAACCTACGCTCTTCAACCTGATGTAAGATTACAAATTAACAAGTGTGCAGATGATAGAACTATTGAGCCTGTTAAGCCATCCGGTTTTAATAGTCGTTTGACCATCGCACCTAAGTGTTCTCCCGGCCCTTGAAGCAAACAAAAGTGGAGAATATGTTTGAACACAAGACGTGTCAAAAACCTCTTGGAAGACCTATCAAACGTCAACACAACTCTCATTGATGACATTTATAATGAGGTACGCGAGTCAAAGATCTACAGTTTCTTAGGTATTTCCGGTACTTTCCACAGATTGGAAATTGCTAAAGAAGATCGCCGTAACTCAATATTTACTTTTGAAGGCAAAAGCTGGCAACTGAGAGGTGCTTGCTTTGGCTAGAAATCCCGTTCTGGTATATTTAAGAATGTTATGGAAACGATGTTCCAGGATATGAAACAATTTGTATGTATATATACATTGATGATTTGGTTGTACTTTCAAAGAATTTACCATCTCATTTGGAACACTGTAAATGTGTCATTGAGGTATCGACAAAAAACAATATGCCTACCAATGTTGAAATGTCTGACATCAGGATTCATGCATATGGTGATGTCGACTCAAGAACAGAAAATGAATACAGTGACTCACAAAAATGGCTCAATGTTTCTGCATTTTGCGGTTTTTTCACTGTAGCTAGACAATGAGTATTTTTAGCTTAATTTTAGCTATACGACAGTAAAGAG